ATAAAAATAGTGTAACTGAGAAAGTTATAACCTAGGAAAATCAACGGCAAACTTTTTATAAAACTATTTATAAATATTACTTCTTCTATGGAATGATTATTCTAGTTCCTTTGATCTTTTTCCTCATTAGGCGCGGACTTATACTGCGCTATTCAGGTTAAGATGGAATTTTCCATTCCATTTGCTCATTAGTGCATCTTATGACTGTCGCATGTTCTCATCATTAGTGATATTAGTAACTAAATGTATGTCACTGGCATCGAAGATTATTTAGATCATTAAAATTGTTTTCTTCGTATTATTAATGCTCTCCTGATTGAGAGATGCGTTGAGTGAGCCAGACCCAACTATTGGCGAAAGACTATTTCAAATTCTTTGAAATTTCTGTCCTGTGAAAAACTTTAGTGGTCACTTGAAAAGTCCCTAAAGAACTACTTGGATCAGACGCTGAGGTGATCACTAGAACCACCTCTATGAAAGCCACTATTATGCATGTTAGTGGCGTAGGGGAGCAAGTGAAGAACTCAATAAGTCCGGAAGGAAGATTTGACACAAAAAGTTTGATAAATAAAGATGAGAATCAGTTTATGCCTTCAGTGAGGTAGTTTAGCAAGATAATGGCGTGTTCATCGGAGAAACGGAGCATGTCTCTAAACGCAAGCGTGTTCATTGACGCACCAAAGTAGCTCCAACAGTACTAATTTTTGTTTTCGAGCAGTTTTCTTGCGTTTCGGAACAATTTTCGTTCTTTCCAATGAACACGCCATAAAAATTAATTTTTAACCTTCGGCAGAGAGGGATGCCCTCAATTTTGAAATGCTCGGGAGGAGAGGTTTATGGTCTTTTGAAAATGTCTGCCCATGTATGGTTAGTGGCCACTATAGTAGTTCTTTTTTAAGTAGTCACTAATTCGACTAATACAAGGCCACTAAAACGTCAAACTCCTAAAGTGCCCACTAAAGTATTTCCTAGTCTGTCTTCGTTTGAATCTTCGTTCAGTTCTGTTGGCGTTCAGAGGCGTCGGCTTGGCGTGTTTGATCCAATCGTTCCTCGCAACACAAAGAGCCAAACCGAAACTCTTGCGCAGACACCTTTTGGACGTGAACGGAGCGACGGTAGGAACGAGGCGGCTGAGTGTTACACAGCGCCGGTCACACTCGCCTCGTACACAGAGGCTTCTGCTGACCAGAAGTTGGCCAGCTGCTCCCTCGTCGTCGCGTTCCTCCGCCGACGGCAGACGCCCGTCCGACGGCTCCGCCCATCCCTCGGTTCATTCGACGCATCGGCTCGTCCTCCGTCAACTTTCCTCTCCGCACGGCTCCCTTTCGCCGAGTACTGGCCCAGCCTATTCAGCTGGTTGACTGATGTGACTTTTCTCATCACAACCTCCTTGAATTGGTTGAGACAGTGCTTCTGCTTTTGCTCTCCTCGGAAAATATTCTGTTCTTCAACTCACTGTTGGCTGTTACACGTGAATGGAGTTTTCTTCATGTTTCCGATTCGATGGTATGGATAAATAGTTAGACTAGATCTAGAAAACTTATAAGTTGCTTTGACTTGATTGAGGCAAAGATTCAAGTTCAGTACTATTGAGCGAGGATTCGTACCTGAGTTCTGTGATTGGTTCTGAGACGCCAAGAGTAATGATATTGTTTTTTTTTTTGCCTTTGCTAGCATCTCGCGGAAAAAAAAATGAACAAGGTCTTATAAATCTTCACCAACCTCTTCTTCTTGCTCACAAAACAGTTTTTTCCGATAAAAAAAAAGTTGCAGGTTTACTGAAAGTTGGCTCAAGCTGGCTTTTCAGATTTCGGGAATTTTCGGGAATTCGGGAATTGAAGGAATTTCACAATTCCCTTCATTTCAGGCTGATGGATGAGAGATAAAATTTATTTTTCATTTTTCTGAAAGTTTATCTTTTTTTTTCGATTTCCGATTTTAAATAATCATCTATCACTTACCGTATCACTGGTTAAATTACTCTACATGAGAAATCATTTTCTATCACCCAACGTCAATGACTCTCAGAAAAAAAGATATTTTAAATAGTACTTACCTCTTTGAAAAAATATCATTGGAGAAAAATTTGAAGTCAATGGCGAATTTTTTTCACGAAAAACCAGACAAAAAAGCCATACTTTGATTTGAAAGATCGGATGTTGTTTTAACGTTGTATTTTTTATTCCATATTCAGACCTCTTCATGAATACTAACAATATCGAAAAAACATCAAATGTAATGAGTTCAGAGCAAGTTCGAGACATTTTAATCTTCCAGGAAAACTGTTCACATCTTTCGGAGGTGTGGCAAAATCTTTCACAGATTTGAACACTTTTCCCATTTGAGAGGCTACAGTAAGACATAGGCCTTTGGAAGGAACGTTTCTTGGGAAGATTACAACGACGCGACGCTCGACGACGCATCTGGCGACCTCTTCCTTCCAAAATGTCTCCGTCGATCTTTTTCTCGCTGCGCGGAACTCGGGCGATGTGAACTTTTCGTTCGTGTTGAGTAATCTGTTGAGGAGACGGAGTGATTCACAAGTTTTTTTAACGCGTTTTTGCGAATCCCTGTTGACACAGTCTTTTTTTCGCAATAAGCTGATTTAAACAAACGTTAATTATGCTAACCAAAACCATTTTTAATTTGAGTAATGACTCAAAAGTTTTGCAAGACCCGAAATAAAATTGAAAACGGCTTCACGTATTGAGTCTGTTCAGAAACTTACACGTTTTTAAAAAACTTTCAGCATTTTGAACGCTGTTTCCGAGACAAAATAAATGAACTGCGTTAAACCTCCCCTTTAGGTAGTGGAAACCTTCAAATTGAGATAATCTCCGGAATATATCATGAAAATTCTTGAAATGATTAAAAAAGGAGGTTACAATGTTCCTAAAAGGTTGGTACCAAAGATAAATTCTTTCCGGTCCATAGTTTTAACCTTTTCTTACCATTGGCTCTTCTCATCGGCTATTCAGTTTCTTCTAGATCCCATGTACGGTCTTTTTTTTTGAAATGAGTTTTGCAGTGTAATCGACGCAGGGTCGGCAAAGATTTCGGTTGGACAGCTCCGACAGGCTCTGCACATCGCGGCGTCTCAATGGAGCGCCATAGCGGACATCGAGATCGTAGAAGGACGCAACGCCTTGATCAACGTGTCCATTGGGGTTTTATACTGTCTGAGTGACTTGGATGACGGATTATTGAAGCGTTCTCACCACAATTGCGCTCACATTTTCCGAAATAACGAGCTCGCGCACGCTTATCCGCCGGAGTTCGGCCAAATGCACGTCAACGACGAAGTCAACTTCCACATGGCGCCTTTCACGAATCAACACGGTACTTTTCATCGGGAAACAATGGAAGCAAAATAATGGGCTAGGCGTTTCTTTGCCGGCTGTCGTCACCCACGAGATGGGTCACACTTTGGGCTTCGAACATTCTCCGGAGCAGGACAGCATCATGTTCGCCTACGACTTGCCCCGTGCCTACCGTTTCACCTCTTACGACAAGTCGCTCGTTCAGCACTACTATGGTATCCTCATAAGTTCACGATAAATCGAAAATTTGAGCTCAACTATACCTGTAGAGTTTTCTTCCACTTATGTGCAAATTAGTAAGCAATAAGCTAAGAAAAGATAATCATCGAGAAAAAAATTATCTTACCAAAAGTTTCGATCTTTTACAGATAGCTCCAACCGGAGATTCATGGAAAAAAAAATTGGTATTGTGAGAAAATTCTATGATAATTAGCAAGCAATAAAGCTTTTTCTACAATTTTTGAAATATGTGTTACTTCTGAAAATTTCGAACAGAGGGGAAAGCCATCAGTAGAAACAGCTTTGACTTTTACCTTTTTTTAAGGTAAGAAAAACGCACAGGAAGAGAAGAAACCGGGCATTCATCTGACTCCAACAAGGCAATCGCCTCGTCTCAATACTCCAGAAGAGACACATGATTTTGTTATACCCGATCCATGCCACGTCTCAAATCCAATAATTACCTTTTTCAGAGGAGAATTTTTCATATTCAAGGTGTGAACGGATTTTTGTAAATTTTCGTAGATAGAAATTTTTAGAGCGAATGGGTTTGGAAATTATCAAGAGACGCCAAGAAAATTTCAATAAAGCCACGACCTATTGAAGAGGTTATTAGAGGGCTGCCAAGCCCAGTTGATGCTGCTGTACCGGTTAGGAACCAACTCTGGGTTTTCATAGGTAAAACGAAAACTATAAAAATGTTTAAAAAAATTTTCAAGGCTCGAAAGTTTATGTGACTGACGGGCAAAGAGTTCTATACGCTCCTATGAGCCTGGGAAATATGAAAATAAACGCAGCAAGCATTGATGTCGCCTATGACTGGCATTACTTTGAGTGAGACTTTTTTTCCTTCATAGCTACAGAATAAGATTGATTCAGTCCGCCTTCTATTTACCTATGGAGTGGTTCGCAGTACTGGCGACTGGAACAAGCAATGGACCATCGAATCGCGGATGAGCGGTATCCGAGACCGTTATCCATCAATTGGGCGCATGTCCCAAGCGGCGTCTCTTCGGCTTTCACATACGAAAAAGGTGTTTTTGTTAAGCTTTCAACCAATTTCATCTCTTTTTTAGAAGTTTTCTTTGTGAAGGACGAGCTTCTTTATCGCATGAACTCATCGAGCCCTAGATTCGAAGTGTCTGCCGGCTATCCCATACAGCTGCGCGATTTCTGGGCCATTTGCTCTGAAGAGAAAGCAGAGAAGCTCGTTAATTCTTCCACGACACTTTCACTAAAAATTGTTCGCTTATTGTTTTCTTTGGTTCTCTTCAAAATGGGTATTTCAACTTTTTCGGGGTAACTTTATTATGTATCAATTTAAAATCGAGATCTCAATAAATTATTATAAAAGGTTGAAATCGAACAGCACAAGTTAATCGTATATTACAGACAATGAGAAATTCAACGTGAAACATGATAAATTACAAAAAAAAATTAAATACATGTACTTACAGGGTTTCACTTCATTTCAGCGTCCCTCATAGAGCTGAAGTCTGTGGATCCTTGAGTGGTTCCCTTTAAAGTGTGAAAATAAAAATTGCAAATTTGATGGTAAACCTGGTAGTTTTGTGGTTCGAAAGTTTGATTCGAGTCGCTGTCGAAGCCGTCGCGTTCCGAAAAGTTTGAATCTTCGTTGATCTCGAAACGAGCCACACGGCTCATGCTCACAGAAGTGGAGTCTGACAAAACAAGAAACTTTTCCCTTTTCATCGAAATTAAATACCTTGAGAGTTCTCCTCAGTTGACTGAATCGTGTTACTGTTTTCTTCATCGACAACTTTTACTTTGGGGGGTGGAGGAAGATTCATCTGTGCCGTAACTGAAATTGCGAATAATATTTTGATTCAACTGAACGGAAAAAATATTTGAAGTGAAAGGATTATCGAAAAAATGAGAATAGAAATAATCATAAAAATAAGAACGTTGGAGACAAAAAACAAACTTTTTTCTATCGTGAGCTCAAAAATCCCAATTTCAAGGTATGACGCAGAAAAAAATCTCACCGGGTACCCATTTCGAAATTTTTATTGTTGTGTCCTTGATAAGTACCATCTTCTTCTCCCATTTTCGAACCTTTTCGACAGAATTTATCACCTGAATGTTTTTCAAATAAGTATATGATTGATCTTTCAAACAAACTTTTCTGAGCTCGTCTTTTGTCCTATTGCGAGTTTCCGCGCGATGAGAACGATTTGCAGAGTACATAGGTTAACGACGTAGATCTTCAACATCGAAATTTGAATTAATTTAAATTATCAAAAATTTTTCAAAAAGCGATTGAAAAACACTATAACTTAGAAATTCGATAACGATAAAAAAACGAGTTTCATGTCTTGAACACTCTATTATCTATTCAATCTTTTTGGATTTTTTTCCTTGAAAAAAAGATTTTTAAAAAGAAGGTGATTTTCATGGTAAAAAAACAATATAAAAAAACGAGAAAAAAATAGAACGCAACTAGAATTTGAAAGAACGCCCCCAAAGCCGGAGGGGCCTCTTGAGGGTTATGATTTCGGCGCGAAGTTAAATTTCGAAGAATTTCATTTCATTTTTTTACTGAAGATCGAAGTTAGAAATTTTTTTCAAGTTTTTTTCAAGTTTAAAAAGGTCAAAGATCTAGATAAAAATTTTCTATTTTTTTTCGCCGGAATTTAAATCATACATCTATCCGTTCCTTATTTCACGATTTATTAATTTTTTTAACTTCAGATATAGTCTCACAATACTTATTATTCTAGGAAAAGTCAAGAAGCTAGAAAGAAATTTTTTATCACTTTTATTCTCTGACGGCGATTTTGAAATTTGCGGAGGCGTTTTGGACGCGGCTCAATGTTTTTGTTTGTAGAATGCGATTGGGACCTGTCGATCTCGAGGTCGATCAGGATTATCTTGAGAATGTGACTTCTAAGGATATTGGACTTTACGAAGTCAAGAACGTTGCTGTAATCAGAACGAGTTTGGGAACTTTTTTTTTTAATTATCCAAAGAAATCTTCCAGAAGATGATCTAGATCTGGAAAACTTTCACAAAGAAAAGCTTCTATGTGTTAGCAACGAACAGTTCATAACGCTGGCCAGTGGCCCAGACCTCGCCATCTTCTCTTCCTCTCAGGAAATCGAGTACAGATCGTCTCTTTGCATGAATGGTGAGTGGCTGAATTAAATTATGTTTATTCAAACTTTTTCAGGTTGCATAAGCTCTATTGCCCTGGTTGGAAACTCTGCTTTCCTCGTAGTTTGTTACTCCGGTTCAAGCATCGACGTAATTTCCTTGACCAACGAGGAAATTGTTTTCAGAAAGGTTTTTTTTATTTAGCAGTTTTAGAGGATCTTCACTCTCTTCAGGATCTTCCGATTTTGGCAAAATGTATTTCTTCGAGAGTCGTCGCCGACGGTTGCTTTGTTCTAATCGGAGACGACCGCGGCAACTTCGTCGAGTGGAAATTCCCAACAGAAGTCGCTCTGAGCGACAACCGTTTCGAGAAGCTCGAAACGCAGTTGTGCACGGCTTTCTTCAATGAAGTACGATTAATAGACGTCAAAAACGATGTGAATTGATTTCAGTGTACTCAAAATCACAATGAGCGTCATTTTTCCACGAACTCTGTTTTGAAAGAAACTTTTTCTTGCGGAAGCGGCCCTGTCAGTGCTATTTGTGCTTTGCCGAGCAATTCACCCGGTCTCATCTTCAGCGACGTTTTGAACTCGGAGTTCTTTCTGTTCAGCGGTAATCAAAAAAGGCTTCACCGCATTTGGTGGTTCTTTCATTAGAAGACATCCAGTGGAAATGTGTGCGTAACTCGGGACGCTTCATTTTCGGCCTTTCCGAGGACGGATTTCTCCACGTGTTCGACACCGCCGTTCTTTGCTTCATCAATCGATATGATCTTAAAGAGAAGAAGGTAGAAACGAAGCGAAATTTCGAAAAGTCGAGTGTTTTCTTGGTTCATTTCGATTTTTAGGACGACATTGTAATCAACTTTGCCTTTGTTAATCAAGGCGAGGCAGAGCGACCGAATCTGTGTTCGTTTGTGGTTCAGAATGGGACTTTTGTACAGGTTTTTAGCAGTTTTTTTTCGAAAAAAGAGATTGGAAATTTAGACGAAAATTTACAACATCGAGACGCACGAGTGCATTTTTTCGACTGCCTCGTCTTCCGAAGCCCACATTCTTGCCGCCAATGACAATTATCGTGTAATGGTGACAGTGGAGCCCCGAGACGCCGAAGTTGCTGCCGAGTAATGTCCGTATTCCACCAGAATTCTGATTTCTCATTTTTAAGTTCTGAGATCGTCGTCCGTCAAGTGTGTGAATCTCAGCCCGAGGTGAAGCTGGACTCTTTGTTGAAACGCTACAAGTTTGACGAAGCTGAGCAGTTTGCCAAGACGTATAAACTGGACCTTCAGGTGATTTCGAGACTTTTCTTTTTCGATAAAGTTGATTCAGCGCGTTTACGTCAGTCGGGTCAACTATTTGGTGAGTGACGCGGATTTGGATCAATTCGAGGAAAGTTACCAAGATCTGATGAGAACCTTTGATCTCGTGGCGGACCATAACACGGTTTTTCCCGACTTCATATATTTTTTGAGCTCTGGTAGTTCAGATTGGGGAAACTTGTATTTCTCTGATATCTTTGAGCCAAAAGTTCGAGAGGATCATGAGCTATTTGACGTATGCAAAGAAGCGTAAAATAACAGGTAATGGATATTTTGGGAAACTTGATAAATTTCTCTCAGATCTCGACACTCTGAATCACCTGGACGACGCTGCTTACATCTTGGCGACGTATCGTCTTATCACCGGACCCGATTTGGGAATCGAGGGGGTACTGCCTTTTTTTGAAGGATCTTTTTAGTTGCATGATAGAGTCAGATAGAGCCAATGAAAAAAAAAATGACATTGGAAGAAAAAACTGCGACCAAAACACTCCTTTAGTTATTTTGAACCAAATTGAAGTTAATCAAAGAATTTTCTAGAGAAGCAATATATTTTGTTTTCGATTTATGGAGCTTCGAAGTTTGAAAAACACGCAAATTGGTAAGAAAATGCGCTATTTCAAGCTTTCAGAGCGTCTTGACTCGGAAACGAGATCTATCGCGAAAGTTTTTTTTTTTTCTGGAATAAGGAGGTCCTAAAGTACACTTGAGCAAAGTTTCATCAAAAGTTCAACCGAGAGAGGTAAAAACGATCTCTAGTTAGTCTGTCGTGTTGAGAGTAATCTGCCACAACTTTTTTTTGAATCGATTCAAGTGGTCCCTGAAGAGTTTTGAGTAACGACTAGCGAGTTCAGATCTATACTTGAGCTCCGTAACAACTGAATAAACGCAAATCAAATGGGTGTCCTTTAGATTGCCGATTCGTGGTTCCTTTTCATCGAAGCCCTTCACGGAGAACAACCTTGGCCCGAACTTTTTTCCTTTCTTCTCCAGAACGCGGCTGTCTCGGTATCCTTGACTGATTATTCTCAATCAAGTGGAGATTTCAGGAAGCGAGAGTGATTTGGCAGCGACACGGGACCGAGTTGAAGAGCGAACTCATAAGCGAAGAACCCGATGAACTCGTTCTGGAGCGGATCGACGCTCTTTTCGAAGTTCTCCAGTCGGCTGTCAATAGTAAAAGTTGATGAATCAATGCAAAAAGCTTTTTTTGTTCAGTCACTGTCGAGTGCTGGAAAGATGTGATCGAGTTCTTCGCGGTGGACCTTCTGCCAGGATGCCTGAAAATGTCTGCAGAGGTTCAGAGAAATAAGAATAAATAAATAAAGTTGAATTGGGAAAGTTCAACAAAGTTTTCTAGAAATTTCGAGGAGATAGGTATTGCTGAAAGCTCGCGTTTTACATTTTTCACAAAATTCCAAACCCTACGCAAAAATGACCTTCCATGTTAGTACAATATTTGGAAACTATTAAAAGTAGCTTTATGTCATTTTTTTTTTTATCAAACTTCATGAATAGGTGCTGATATCATTCATTGGCTCACAAATCAAAAGTGTTCAAGAAAACTTTTGATTATTATTTTTTTTCCATATTTTTGGCTTGCTTCTAAGCAAAGATTTTCGAAGAAAGACGGTGTAAAAAATCATCGAATGTAATAATTTAGAAAGTTTTTGAATTCTTCCAATACGAGTAGCACTTTAGCTGATACCCCGCATCGAAAAGATGCTGGTCTACCTTATCGGACTCTTGGAACATCGGGACGCCAGCAACTTCCCGCAGAACGGCATTCACGTCGCCGCGACCTTTGAGAGACTGGCTCGCCAGTTCAAAGACGACGCAGTCACTCCAGTTCAACAGGTCTGCTCCAGCTCGCCTTGCCGTGAATCAACTTCGGTTTCAGTCAGAACTCGCCTTTTTCGGCAGATATCTCTGCGTCGATGACAGCACGGGCCGTTCTCCATTGTCTCGGATGAAAGTCAACTTTCCCTTCTTTCTCATATTCCGTCAATTCGTTTCCAGAACATTTCGATGAACCTGAAGAACATCCAGCGCTTGAGGGAGGTCTACATGTGCACGCTCAGTTATTCGACCTACACGGTTAATTTAATAGATGAAAATTTGATAATTGGGCTTTTGAGATGTTGAAAACCGACGAGATCTGTCACCAAATCCTGCAACTCGCCCTGGACAACCCTTCGACGATCCAAGAAAGAATGGAGAAGTACGTGAAGCCGTACATGGAAGAGCACTCTCTCAAGCAAGACGAAACCATTTTCAACTATATTGAGGTGAGTTTCAAGAGTTGGAAACTTAATTTATTTCGGACAAGTTGAAAGTTTGCGTGCAGATTTCAAAAAATCAACTTTTATCGAAAAATTTCTTATATTCCATGCTATTTACATGTTACTATGAACAGGAAAAAGAGACCTAGACAGGTCAGACTGTTTCAAATCGTAATCAGAAAAGTGAATTAGTCTACATTTTCAACTAGTCTCCACAATTTTATTATTATTAACGCCGAAGTTGTAAATTTTAGGCCAGTTTTTCTTTTTTTTTTTTGTTTAGTACTGTCTTACCAGTTCATCATTGTTTCATGATCCTGTTCCCAGTTCAATACAGTCTTCTCAACCTTGGTTTTTGAGGGCTTGTCCCAAGTCGCCATGACGGGAACTTCGGCTCCGATCAAAGGTTGGGAAGAGCCGTGCGTGCAGTTGTGCGCGAGCCTCCGTGACACGGAGTACCGTTGCAAGGCGGTCATCTGCATCGCGTCCGCCTCCAAGGTCCCCTGGCCTCGTTCCCTGAACGAATCCGTCAAGGCGATCCTCAACAGCCGATCTTTGCCTCGGGAAACGTGAAGATCCTCTGTTTTCCCCATCCATCCCCTCTTTTATAGCATCAAAACCATGGAAAAGGTGTGCCATCGGGTCGAAATCATCAAGCTCCTTGCCAACTATTCGTACGACCGCAGCTTCCTCACTTCTCTTTGCAAAGGCTTCGAGAAACTTTCGACGCTGGTTCGGTGCGTTTTGGCGCAACAAAGCCAAGCGACGAGGTCTGCCGACGCGGTCAAGGTTCATTTCAGATTTCCAATCAATAAATTGGAATTTTTATAAGTATCCTTCAGTTCCATATAGTTTTTCAATTTTTAATAGAGGGTCTATGTTGTAAATAATAATTACTTGATAAAGTTTGTTGCAAAAATAATTTTTTTCTATTTTTAACCCACATCGTCTGCTCCACATCCTTAAAACATTATATGGGTCACTTTAATTCATTTTTTCATATATCAGACTTATGATATAATTTCTCCTTTAGAATCAAGATTTAGAAAATAAAAATATTTTTCAGCTTGTTGAGCTGTTCGAACTGGTGGTAGACGCAGAGGACATGAAGTCTCTTGAAATTCCTTTCGTGAAGTCGTTGATCGTGATTCAGATGATCAAGGATGACGCCCCGGTAGAGTTTCGTCTCCAAATCGAAAATAAAATTTACCAATGCAGATCCGAGAAGTGGCGACCGTTATAGAAGAGACCGGCGCTGAACAGAAGGAGAAGGTTTTCCGGCTCGTCCTCAATTTCATCGAAAGCGTTGCTGACTCTGTCATCGACTTTGATAATGCGGTTTTTTCCTGCAGACTGTCAACGTAATCATATCTTTTTCAAGGAAAATGTCGAAGAGAGAGAAAGGATCTTGACTTTCGGAGAAGTACTCATCTCCTATTTTGCTCGGAATCGTGTCGAGGACGAGGACTACAAAAGTTCGCGACAACAATTGCAAACTCTGCGCAGAGTCCAAGTATCCCCTCCAGGGAGCTTCTCAATGATCAAGCTTCTCAGAAGGAGAGCGGACGCTGTGTTTCTCTGTCGGACTTGCGATCGTCGAGCTGGCAAAGAGACCATGTCAGACGTCTGGTTACCAAGAACATTCCCATGAAAGAAGTCTTCCCGACCTTCAATATATCGAATACAATCCAGAGATTTAGTTCATTTCCAAGTGTACTGACCTGGGAATCGAGTACAGCCAAGCACTCACTTTGATTCTTTCCAAATACGTCAACGAGATGAACATTTTGGGAGTCGTCGACGCGATTTCGTCTGTCCTTTTCCTCTATTTGAGCCATTTCTCTGTGGTTTAGGGACTACGTTTCATCGGCCAGAATGTCTTTCGTGACTGTCAATCCCGAACTGTTTGAAGTTCTGATCGATAGTTTGGCTTGGATCCTCTCCCAATTGCCCAACGTTTCCGATGATGCCATAGATGCCGACAAGGCCGACAATGTTTTTCTTTTTCGAAAAATAACCCCAATAAATGTTGTTAATTTGAAGATTTTCTACGTCATTTCGTCACTTTCCAATGTCATGCCTACTGTTGTCGAGATCTGTGACGTCGAAGCGGTCGGAGTGCAAACGACGCAATTTCTTCTGCAGGTTTGAGGGAAGAAAAAGATTATTCATAGTTCATTGAGAACAGCTCCTTGGTTTTTCAAAGGGACTGAAGTCTCGAAAAAAATGACCCCCTTGCCACGAAAGATTTTCCGTTTTTTAAACGGGCAAATTTGAAAAGGGATAATCTTGAAGAGCATTTTTGGATCCTTTTTCTACCTCACTTATGAAACGATTGACTCATTCATTTTTGAGCGTTTACCGTTTTAAAATTTCTTTATCGGTCTCCTTTAAAAAAGTCACTCCGCAAGTGGAAAACCTGCAGATGGAAGGCTACCTGAACTTGTTCCGAAACGTCATCAAACAGTCTTTGCGTGGGAAAACGGACGAAGTTCGCGAAGAAGATTCTTCTCAGCAAAGATCCCAAGAAGTCAGCGACCCCGACACGACGGAGGAATAGTTGGTCAACCAATCGAACAATAAAGAAAGAGGATTTCATAGCCGAATCAACGTTTTCGCGCGTCGTCTCGGCGTCTACGATATTTGCAACGAGAGCGCTCTTTTCGAAGGAGTCGAGGGAATTTTGTTGATGGCCGGACTCGCGCCGTCGGTCGCCAGGACCTTCGAAAGATCCTTGCGAGTTTTTTTTAGGACTTTCCGATGAAAATATCTTGGTGCAGGTCAGAAGACAAGAGCGATTTGATGAGCGAGTACCGCAACAACTGGGAGAGCTTCTTCATGTTCCTCTCGGTCCATTCTCAGGATTTGCTGGAAATATCGGCCAGAGTCTTTGCCAGTACCCTGCGTAAGACTTATTTGTGTGCATTATCGTTGGGTTGTAATCTTTCATCAGACTCAAAAATTTTAATTTATCTTCAAAATGAGATATCACTATTTCCAATCAAATCTCGGATCTCAATCTTAATGATATAGCCAAAATTTAGACTTCTCAGCAAAATTCTTCAAAATTTCTCATTGGAATGAGTCCATTTTTCAGCAAAATTATGAAAAAATATTCCTTTGTCTTGCTCTTGAGTTATAAATTCGTAAGAGCGGATTAAAAAAAAAGAGAACTCAACTCGAAAAATGTAAAATTTTTTGTAAAGATAGATACTGAAGCGCTGAATTACTGAAAAGTAGCTTTCATTTTTTGTACATGTTTTTTTTTCAAATCTTTTTGCCAGTTTGGACTCGCCTACGTATCCGATCTGCAATTTAATTACAGCCTGCTGGAATGGAGTCTACCAGGAGACGTGCGTGGATCTGTCGACGACGGTGCAGAACGTCGTCGAGCGAATGATGCAGATGCATCCGTTCGACAGCTGGCACGTCGTCTCGCTCCTCTCCGCCTTCCCCTTCAAATCTCTCCACCAAGTCCGACTTCCTCGTCCCTCCCCTCGAAGATTCTTCTTTTAGAAGCTTCTCAGCCTTCGCAACTGGGTCTCGCATCGAAAGTCTCCACAGACCTACCTCAACTACCTGCAAATCTCCTTCTTCTTCTCCTTGCTCACCGACGTTCGAGACCTGGATGAGATGATGACGGTAGTCCTGTCCTTACTCCAGCTATAAATCTCAAGGCCTTCAGAGCGCGTACCAACAGAAGTGGTGGACGAAGACGATGAACAAAAACGGCTTGAACTTGAGCATCGCTCCCAACATGGACTTTGAGGCGTTGCTCGCCCAGGCCTCAGACCTTTCCACTCCTCTTTCGCCTGACCTTCTCCATTTGTTTCTATTTCCATTTGCAGCTCAGAAAATCGGTTCTATTCCTCAGGTTCTTGAAGAGTTACGGCGAGAAGGCTCGTGGAAAACACAGACTGAGTACTTCGGAGTATATGGTTCGATTCGCGATGATGATGGTTCGGAAGGCGTCGAACGTCTCCAGCAGCCACAGTCCCCAGCAAAGACTCGAAATCGTCCATCGGTACCTCATGTACGCCGAAGAATCTCTTCGGGTGAGCCCCAATAATCTCGATTCTGTTTTTATATCCCAGATCCGACTTCGAACTGATAGAAAAAGGAAAAAAAATGACAAGAAGATGATCATTCACGTCGGTTGAATCGAAAAGAAAAAAGTTTTTTGAAAACTCGAAATAAAAAAAGTTGTTTTTCGACACTTTTTTGTATACGACTGTTACCAATAGGCATTGATGCTTTGACAAAAGTGCTTTTCTAAAATTATCATTTTTGACCTGGATGCATTTTCTTCTAAAAAAGACTTACTCATTGTAACCTCGAGCTTTTTAGATCGGAAAAGCGGAAGAATGCGAAACCGCCTTTGCACACCTCTCTGGAACATTTTACCTGCTCTGTCCGTATAATTATGAAGTTCAATTCTTTTCCCAAAATTGAAGTTCAAGCTGGTCGTTCAGGTTATTGATTTTCTCATTAGCAAAATGGAGCATTACCCTGACCAGGAAGAGTTTTGTCGGAACTGCCGCAGTGTGAGGAACTGTATAATGATTCCCTGTGAGAACTTTCTTTGCAGCTCCTGAGGTGTCTCTGGCAGTACAAACGGACGAATCACATTAGCCGAGACGAGTACGTCTGGTACACGGAGCGTTTGCAGAAGATTGCCCAAGAAGAAAAGGTTTTCGAATACGTTCCCAAGTCTCTGAAATTCGACTCAAAAGTATTGCTTTGAGAAAAGTCGATACTCTTTGGCTTATGTTCTGAATATTCTCAAATGGAGCTTATTTCAGGAAAAAGCTTAAAATTTTATGAAAGTTTGTTCAAAGATTTCTAGATTAAAATTTCTCGCACCTGCACAAACTTCACGTTTTTTTCAAGGCATGATATTTGAAATGATGCGTTCAAAAATTGACGATTTTCGAAACCCATGTTTAGCGATTTCGAAAACTCGTATCTCAAAAAATGAAAGTTTTCGCAGGGAAGTTTCTCTAAACTTCTAGGGAGTTTGAAGCAAATATTTCGAAAGCTCGAAGCTTGATGACCTCCCTTGTCAAGCTCTGAAAACTGAGCCTAAAACTATAGCTGCGGAACTGTATTCTATTAGCATCTGTTGTTTATATTCTCAGAATCCTTTCTCTACGGAAATCTTCAGGAAATTCCGACGGTGAAGACGTTGACCGACCCTCTGGGCTCTGTGATGAAGAGACGGTACGAAGAGGAGGCCGAAACGAAAGAAGAGACTATGCCTTCCGACGAGGCTCCGGCTCCGTTGGTCTTCAAAAAGGACGAGTTTGTCATTCCCGAGCTGCCGCCCTTGGTTCGTGAGCCTTTCTCCGGACCTCATCCAGGTCCCTTTCAGTCGTTCCAACGCATTCCCTTCCACGTGTTCCTCTACCGCAAGAAGGTCGACGTCGAAACGATCATCCTCCCGATAATCACGTCGGAGCTCTCCATCTACAACGTCATCGTTCGTGAAAAGAAAGCAATTCTCGGAAGAAAAAGTCTGCTTGAAGATTTGGCAACACGTCGTCCGGCAGATCTCTTGGCTCTCGCAACTCATTTCTCGCAGTCATCTTCTCTCCACCGCTATTTATACCCACGCGACAGTCACAGCTGCCAAGGTTTGTAACATAGATCAAACCAAGTTAAAATGCAAAAATAAGATCTGAAAATGTTGGAAAAAAACACGGAACAATGAATAAAATGGAACCCGAAAGCTAAAATTTTTTTCAGATTAGAAGAAACTTGACTGAAATTTTCCTCTCTTTTCTTTTGCTTGCCGATTCAAGTCTGCACGATTTTGTTTTATTATATTTTTCATCTCGCGAGAAAAAAAAAACGCGGATCTTATACATTATAGAAAAGTTTGAAGAAAGGATAGTTTCATGATCTTCAAAAAAAAAAAGAAATTACTTCGAGGCCACATTTTTAAGGGTTCTTTTAATTCAGTGGTTGTGATTTCAATGGAGAGGAACATGTAAAATGGATTCTTTATGTGTTGGAGTCTCAACAGCGAAAGAAATATGAAATCAAGGTTGGAGTAGTTGAGAGAGGATATAGATTCAGTGATGCAAACGATACGAAGAGTCTCTTTCAGGAGAGAACCCTGCGCGAAGATGAGAAGGTCGCCATCGGAACCTTGCTGTCTTCAGGAAAGAACCGAAACATCGTCGTCCCTACCATTTCCCTTCTTTTCCGCAAAATCCCACTCAGTTTGCCTTTTTCGAAATTTTCCTTGATCTCATATTCTTCAGGTGATGCCAAGGTTCAACTGCTGAGGATGGGCGCCGATTTGGCCGAGAATTGGATCGAAAACGGCAATCCCGAAAATCCTCTCAGTGAAACTGAGCGCGTCTCCCTCGCAGACCAGTGCACTCGGCTCCGAGATGGAATCGCCAAGTTCTTCACGATGCTCGCTCTTAAAAAGGTTTCTTAGGTTATCGAAGAGAATCAGAAGCCTTTGAATAATATTATTTGAAGGTCAGGTCAGAGCTATATACTTTTTGATATTAGACTTTAATTTTTGCAAAGTATCTTCACGATTTTTTTCCTATCGAGTTTTATTGAACTTTAGAGCCAAATTTACAACGAGAAGACGTCAGACAGACTCGACAACCCCGAAGATCTTTGTACGGTGATCTACGAGGAGATGGTTGACTGGGAGAACTCGGCCGACGTCGGTCTGTTCTTCGAATCCCGACTCCGGCGTCAGCAAGGGAGATTCAGATGCGAAGACGCGTCTTGTCGAGTCGATCGCCGATGAGAGCGGCGTCAACCTGCAAATTCTGCACGAAAGACTTCTGATGCAGTGGGTCGAGTCCGCCGAACTCTCGTCCCACGAGTCTCAGATCCACGTCGACCTCAACGATGTAGGACCTGGTCTTCATTCGTAAAGGAACACAGAAAGAAAAAAATATGCGATCCAAGGGGTCAGAGAAAAAAGTTGATCTTATAAAAAAGAATAAAAAATCAGTATTTTGATCAAAGAAACACGTTAATGTTTGAGAACCAAATTTCATTGAACCTGCCTGAAACTGTAAATCTTGTGAAGAAAAATTAATAAGTTAGTAGTTCTAAAAAACATGATTCACTGAAACAAGTTGGATAATGTGCTAAACACTTTTTGTTTTACTTCTCACAAAGAACTCATAGACGATGGGCGAGGCTTTGCCGGCGGCGAATTCTCAGACCGACGTCGAACTCGTCCATCTGCCGCTTTTCGACAAACACATCACTCGGATCGTCTCGATTTCGAGGAATATGGAGAAAGCTCGACTCATCAAGCAACTCATGCCGTTCCTCGTCAGGGTACAATCATTCTGCAGATGATCATCACGAACTGAAACTTTTTGAGGGCGGCGCAAACGTCAGCGGTGGATATGCGGCCGTTGTACGGGCGTGCTGCGTTCTGCTACGTGTTTGTAGCGAAGAAGATCTGGCCATCGCCAATGGAAACCACGAGAATATTTGGTTGGTTTGAATATAGCTTTTTTTTTATCCCAATTTTTTTCTCAGCGCAATAATTGAGCAACAACAGTATCTGTCGATGCTCGTCAGTTCCAACGTCGACATGTCCATTGAGACTTTCGTCAAGATGGAGAAACTGAACGTTTTGAAAAGCTTGCTGCAGGCTCCGGCGAGAAATCCACTGGTCGGCATCTTGCCACGATTATATCTCTGTGTTTACTGTAGGTGTCTTCGGTGATCGCGGCTCTGATTGTCGACCACGAGTACAAGGACTCCAAGAACATCGAGCAAGTGATGGCTCGTCTGCAGGCTTGCAAGCAGTGGCGCATTCTGAAGGTGTTGCTCGAGTACACCAAGTTAGTTTCTTCATTTCTAAACGATACGTTTCATACTGAAAGCGTCCATCGTAGTTGAGGTGATGGAAGTAATCTTGCCGATTTCAAAGGAATCGAAAAATCAAAAAGTGTTTTTTAAAAACCCTGAGTGCTGGTTACTTGAGGAGGCAATCGCTCTACAAATCGGTGAGGTCCTTCTCTTTGCTGTGGTTCCGGGTGTATGAACGGATCATCACGGATCTGGAATCTGTCAAGACCGACGCTTCTGAAATCGGCGTGCAAATGCGCAAAATGACCTTCTGGTTGATGGGATGCTGCACGGAGGGCGGTCGTCAGGCGCCGGTACCGGCTCTCTTTGAAGAAAAATATTGGAAATATTGAAATTCAGATCGGAAGGTACTTGAGAAGCCGCGGATGTCCCGTTTCTGCTTCAGTCGTCTCGATCCTCTCCTCTTACACTATCCCTGTTAGCTTCTTGCGTCATTTTCCTGTAAACCTTCCCATTTGCAGGAAATGGACGCTCTGGATCTGGACAAGTCCGACGAACAATCCGACCTTTCTTTCCTCTGGTCGAAAACGCTGAAGAACGGTTATCAGAGCGAAGTTTCTATGGAAGCTTAAAGTTTTGTAACTCAAATATTTATCCTGTTTCTTGTGAATGCGTGACTAATTGTGTACGGGATGTGAATAAATTTTTAATGATTTAATTTTTCATCACTTTTAGACCTTTTCACTGAGGTTTTCAAATATTTAAGAATCGCTAGATTGATTGTAACTTATCTGCAAACAAAGTTATTGAATACTGAAAGTCGCCAGGCCTTCCTATAGTTCATTTACCACTGGTTCGAGAAAATGGGGAATGACAGGCTCGCTATACCTTGCAAAAATATAGGCTCAGGCGCCTAAGTACTGTTTTTTTGAGCTAGCAGTGAACTAACTATTATTTTCAAAAAAAAAAAAAAAACAAAAAGTCGGTTTATATTCTTTTAAACGAGTTATTTTTGCAAAATTTTCGTCGCCGTTCTTTTTGCGCATTGGGTCACGTTTGCTCTTTTTAAGAGGTCGCTTTTTTGGTGAGGAATTTCGCCATCTTTTTTTGCTTTTTTCTTCTATTGAGCTTTTTGCAGAGTTTAATTTTCACGTTTTTCCCCATTTCAGAATGTCGCTTCAAGGTAGGGAAGATATTTATGAAACAGAAGACGTTGAACCTTCGGAAAATCAGAAAAACGACAGCGAGCCGACGGACACCGACGTCGAACTTGTATGTATTCAATCAAAAACAGGAGGAGGAATGAAATTTGTTTAAGGTTGCCGTTGATGTCGACGCAGCGCTGAAAAAGTTTGGAAGCCGAATTTTGAACTTAAAGGCTGTCGGTGAGGATTTTCTTCGAATACAAACGAATTGGAATAAGATTCAGATGTTTCGGATTCGATCGCAAAGAAAAGAAGAAACTTCTATGGGAACTCCCAATATGTGCTGGAAGTTGTTGGAAGTGGTCCGTCTTTATTTTTTCTTTTTCTGAAGTTTTTATCGATTTCCAGCATACCAAGGAAATGAAACACCCGAACAAAGAATGAATCGGCTGATTTATGAAGTTTCCGAATTGACGGAGCAACTCAAGGTTTCTTATTTCAATCGAATGTTTTGTAATACATGTTCCAGTCCGATCCCAGCGCCAGCTCTGAAACGCTCAACGACGAGTCCTTGAATGGACTGCTCAAGGAAATCAAGGTTTTCTCCAAAAAAAAAAAAATGCTTCTGCATGGTCATTTTCCAGGATTTGGAGCAAAAAAGCCTTGATCAAGGCGATGAAAAGAAAGAAACAGGAAATGCCGCCGAGAGATCGGCTGCCCAGTCCAGTGGAAACGTAGGAAATTTTCATTTAAATAGTAGATGTTTAATAAAGAAATAACTAGTTGATGAAATTGAGTGAAGGTTGAGAGAAAGAACAGTTCAATTTTTCTCGAAATGTTGGTTTCAATTTTTTTTTTTTTTTAATTTAAGTTTCGGACCTTTTCCGAATAAAGAGAAATCATAGAAATCGCTGTATTAAAAAAATGTTCCTCCTTCTGAAAATAATTTCAGAAAAAAAGAATTTTAGATTATGTTACAAAGATTTGTTAAATTCAAGTTTGAAAATCATAAGATATACTCGGAGTCTTCAATTTGACGATGAGTAACTCAAAAAAAAAACTCAACATTTTTAAAGTTGCTAATCGACGAAATTTTTTTAAAGGCTTTTTTTGTTGTGAATCGTTGAAAAACATTTGTTCCGCACCTTAAGAATTCATCAAGGTTTATAATTGATCATTTTTGGGGTGTTTTACGTGAAAAAGCAATTTTCGTTTTGTCCCATGAACACGCCATTAGAAAAAGTCGGAAAACGAAAATTTCGATTTATGTGATAAATTGAAAAAGTTTCCGCATTCGTACGAACCTATCGATATTTTTTGAATGAAATGTCTTCATGATTGCCTATTTGAGTTGAAGTTTTTTGGTTATTATCTTTGCGAAAACTTCCCAAAATTGAGAGTTTGAAGGCAATCCGTCTTGAAGCGCGTTTGCGACGACTGGAAAGAGTCCTCGGCGCTTCGAGTGTGCCCACTGTCCCCTTGATAGACACTGTGGAAGATCTGAAGCTGAGGTCCATTTTTATCACCTTTTAGGGAAACCAAAATGAACTAGAAAACAACTATCTCCTTCAGATGCGAAACGCTGAACCCCTCGTACGTCGAAGGACTCGAAACACGTATCAACACCCTCCTCGCCAAACTTGACCAGGTTCGAAAACGAGGGATCATTCTCTTGAATAACATTCTTTGAGGTCGATGAGAAACGTGGCAGCAACGCCGAGACGGACGATCTGGAGAAAAAACTTAACGAAGTGCACGAGATGATGTCCAAGCGAGTTTTTGCTTTTTTTATGGATTGCTTTTTTCAAAAAATTTGGTCAATTCCGTTCGTTTTTTTTCAGAAAAGTCTATGTGATCTATTCGGATTTTTTTTTAAATTCTAGCAAAAAACGAAATGCGTTTTTTGAGAACCCAACATTGATTGCGCAGTAACGTGTTTATTTTCTTGGATGTTCAAGTATGAGCCATGATCCTTGTAGTTAGGGGAAAATATTAAAATATTCCTGACCCCCTAGCCTTTCCTTTCCTCCAGGTGGGACGTCGCCTGCTCGTCTCTGCCGAGCAACACCAACAAGGTGAAAGCCTTGAGCCGCCTTCACGAGCAAGGTTATAACTACCTTTCCAACTTCTCAATGTCCCATTCTCTTACAGCACAGCAGTTTGCCACGCGATTGTCCTACTTGGCTTCGATTCGTGAACAACTGGAGAAGGAGATCGCCCAGAGCCGAACCAACGTCGTGGAGCTGCAGGTGCCTTTTTTAAATTTCATGATTTTTGCCAGAATGATTTTCTTATTCATTCGAGAAAATTTTTTCCGTAGTTAGTGAGACTGAAAGCTCTAAAAGAGATTTCCGTTTTTCAGGATAATCATAATTATCTCTAAACATATTTCACATTCAAAAATTTTTTTCGAATCTAATATTCGTTCAAACAGATTTAAAAAGACAGTTCAGAGATAGAAACATTTTTCTTTAAGATGATTTTCTTATCATTATCGGAGTTTCGTAAAAGTTTCATTTTTATTCCGTAATAATTTTTTTATTGAACGATAAGTCACGTTTTTTTATTGATGTTTCAAAAAAATTCACAAATTTTGAATTTCTTGGGAAAAATTGAATTTCAATAGTTATGATGAGGATAAGCTGGAAATTCATTTATCGCTCACTATAAAAATCTACAGCGATAAATATTTGAATGCAAGATGCATTATTTCTTTTTGCAAAATGTCACAGTATTCCTAAATATGAAGAGAAAAATGACAAATTTCGATGCTTTGCAAATCAGCAAAGCAGGGAAAAAACTATCAATCGATGGAATTTCAAGGCGAGCACCAGAGAAGCCGTTTCGGCTCTGATGGAACGGATCGTGTCGCTCGAGGGTCAACTCGCGGCACGAAAATGATTTCGCTTCGCATAAATTATATCTTTTTCGAACTCTAATCGCAGCTCGCCAACCCGCGTGCAATAAAATGATCTTTATTAGCTTTTTTAAACATTTATTAAATAAAAATATGAATGAAAGGACATATGATAAATTAATATTAGTGATGGGGTTTATCAGATTGGAAAGACACGTAAGGATTTGGAGGAAACGTGATATGTGCGTTGTGTGTATTACTGCATGATGAAATGTCGCATCCCAGAATTTTGCACTTCAAGATTCTTTTGCTATCGTCAGAAACTCGGCTGGGAAATAAGTTACAACTGCAAGATATCGGCTAGAAGGCCCGTATACCGGTCAATACACGCACTTTCTTCGAAGGTACACCTCACAAGGAAGCGGATTTCAACTTGAAAGTGGAAATACGCTGAAACTTGCCCTAAAAGCTCTTCGATGCATTAGAAAAAGTCCGAGAAATATCAACCTGTTTTTTTTTTTTTTTGCATTTTGGTTTGCCTCTCTGTAAGATATTGGTACTTTGAATTGCTCTCATTTGAAAAATAGGAATTCTGAAATCTTCTCCTAGTACATCAGAAAATCTCAGGCAATTTTCAGCAACTTTCCACTCACAGTCGATGATCCTCGTCAATTTTCAATTTGTACGATGGTGAAGCGAAACGTGCGGATTTGTGTTACTGGGATATGAGTTATTAACAGAAAAAAGATATCACATGAGCATGATAAGAACACGCTAGCATTCGAAATATACAGTGATTTGACTAGAGTGAATCCGTATGAGGAGTATGAGATCAGAGAGTTATATTCATGAAAGAACAGCCGCGAAAAATAATTCCGCTGAGATCAATTGAGCGTGGCAATAAAGGTCGAAAAATCCATTTGAATTTCACGTACGATCTATAATATTTTAATTTTTCCACTGTAACCGCCAGTTAAGTCAAGATTTTCAATGGATTTTTGAATTCTGTGCTCGACTAAAAAAAAAAGGAAAAATTCAAGAAGTTCATAAATAAACTAGAGAAAGAATATCAAAATTTTATGAAAATATTGAAATGCCAATTTTTTTTTCCTAACACTTTTTATCGATTTCTTCTTCGCAGCGCCACAAAAACAGCGCCTTTTGTGAATTTCAAAGCTACAGAGTAAGAAATGAAAGTTCCAATTTTCAATCTTCTTTTGGAAAGCACTCGCTCAATTATCTCAGCCGGATTTTGATGAGAGTTTAGACGCCGGAATCGACGCTGCTGGCTCGGTTGAGGTAGGCGCGAGTGACGGAGGCCGGTCTTTCGCTGTCGCTGAGCATCGGATCGTGGTTGACGCCGTAGATCTTGATCGCCTTGCGGCCCATCCGTTGGAGCAACTCCGAGGACACCTTGTGGGCCGTCCTCAGTGACGTGTGCCACTCCTTCAGCGATATTTCGTCCTGGAATGATCGCTTTCTGAAGGCGTGTCAGCCGAGAGATCGTACTGAGTTTGTGAGGCTGATCCTCGGTTCTTTGAACCCGTCGCGCAGCTTCACCACGATCGCGTTCTCGCCTTTGACCGTCTGCAGGTCTGCGAAGACGTCTTCGATCTGATCCATGAAGACGAGCTGAAAATCCCCTGTTTCTGTGTCTTCTGATAAGATTTATGAACCTCCGGCTTGCCGCTCAGGGATTCCGGGTACAACTCAAGGCGCGATGGATACAATTTTCCGTAGCGTGTCTGCCACGCTGAGGTAAACGGCCCTCCCAGCTTCTTGATATACCCATGCACGATGACGTCAGAATCTGAGAAAAGAAATCTTGACACGCAACCTGGGGAACTCCCTACCTTTCTCATCAATGGTCACCTTGATTTTCTGTTTGGAACGTTTCTTGCTCTCGGCTTTATCGGCGTCTTGGTTCACTACCTTCAAATTCAGTCGATAAATGTAAAGAACTCAATTTTCCACCTCAAATATCGTCTCGGCGATCTCGTTTTGCCATCTTTCCGAGATTGTGATGTTGAAATTCTTGTAGAGCTCGTTGTCGGCCTCCGTCATCTTGACGCCCTTCACCTCGTCGTCGTCGAAGTTTCCAATGTCAAAGGCGTCGGCTGCGTTGACCTCGCCACGAGGTGGGATCAGCGGGGGCGTCATTCTTCTGAGGTAGACGGTCTGCCAGTCGACGTTCTTGAAGAAGACGTGCTCCTTGACTTCCGATGGACCGCGACCACGACATCCGAGGCGGTCCGGCACGTCGCGCTTCAGAAGGCCTTCCAGAAGGTCGCGACATGTGGGCGTCAGTCCTTCGTGCGGAAGTTCGATGTCCTGGAAAATGCAAGAAACTGGAGATCGGCGTCAAAGCTTTTTTTTGGCTTTTTGAGCTTTTGTTCAAGAGTTTCGTTATTTATTCAGAACGAAAATCGCAGAAAACGAAACTTTCGCTCAGAAAGCGGCTGGTTGGAACGCTTCTTTAACGAAGATTTTTTTAAAAAAATAGTTTTTCAAATTATCTGAACAGAATGGTTTTTTTAAAAAAATATAAATAATTCACTTGATTATTTTTTTGGAAAAGTCTTAGAAATTCAAATGGAAAAATTTTTTTCAGGAAAAACCGATTCCATTAAATTTAGTTCTGGACTTAATGCAAAAACATGACAAAGTTTTGAAGAAATTAAAATTTTTTTAAACTCAGAAGCTGTGAAATTCTGTTTCTTTCAAAAGTTACCAAAATCCTTACCTGTGTCAAAGTCATCTTGTCGATCTCGTTCTTGTCCTTGCTTTTGTGCTGTCGGAATGGCGAGTGACCCTGAATATCCGGATTCCAAGAGATCGATGGCGAAAAGAGCACCTTGAGCAGCTTGTAGAGCATGCAGCCGAGGGAGAACCAGTCGGCCGACGAGTCGTAGGCGACTCCTTTCGCCAAAACTTCTGGCGCCATGTACCCGTGTGTTCCTCTGGAAATTTTAGTTTTTAGTCGTTATTTTCTCTTTTTCGAAAAAGTAATGAAAAAAACTAACACGCTAGCATGAGGCTTCTTTTTAGAAAAGTCGCAGGCAAGACCAAGATCCGAAACGCGAACCTGAACATACATTTGGTCACTTAGAATATAAAAATGGGTCTGAAAATTACTATCAATTTCTTGATTACGGCAATTTCTGATGAGATCAGGAATTATAGTGAGATTCAGAAGAGGAAGAACAAAATTTCAATATAAAAAAAAAAACTAAAAAAAAAATTGATTTTCGAGTTTCAAGAAAATCGCGGTCTCTGAAGCCACAAAAGCTACAAGAAATAATTTTCTCCACTGCTCAATATTAAAACCCAAAATTAGACTCACATGTCCATTCTCATCTAGAAGAATATTGGCCGGCTTGAGATCTCGGTAGACTACGAATCGGTTGTGCATATGTTCCAGGCCGAGAATCACCTGTAGATGTTTCTGTGAAATTCTGAACGGACTCGGAAAATCGCCTCAGAAGCGTAGAAAAGCATCTCGTTTTCGGTGAAGACGCCGTGTTGGGATAGATGATAATGGAGGTCGCCGCCGTTCATCAGATCCAAAATGAAGCAAAGTTTGTCGGGTGACTGGAAGGCGTAGGTCATGCACACGATGAATGGGCAGTCTTGCTGAAAAATCCAAGATTTAGTCAAAATCCTACAGGTTTTCTGAAAATGGTGCTTATAAAAATTATTTATAAAAGCAAGTCCAAGTTCTATAAATTACCGCGATTTTCGCGGATTTCTTTTGCGATAGAATTTTGAATGAAAAATTTTTTTGAAATATTCTCAGTACTTCAAACAGATCTTGTCTTTCAATCAGTCTTCGAAAAAAATAAGAATTTCTAGAGAAAAACTTGAGACCGGCTAAAAAATTGAGCTTTTACACTTGCAATTTTTTTTTTCTGGTTGTTTATCACGTCAATTAGAAATTTACAATTTCTGGAGAGTTTTAATGAAATGAAGGGAAAAAATAACCCCGGTGGAGACGAGACTCAGCATGATCCTTTCGTTGAGCGCCAAAGTCTCTCCTTGTTTCATTTTAATCCGTTTTTTGTCCAGACACTTCATCGCGTACCTGAAGATTTTCAATTTTGAAAACATTTCTTAATTTTTAAATTTTGTTTGCCTAAACCTGTCATTACAGAACCACCTGATTTTCTAAATTATATTAACATTTTTTGAATCCAAATATTTTCCCGTTTGAAACGAAAAAGACGGACATTTTCCCGGTGTCGGCTTTTCTGCAGCCGTAGACCTCGCCGAAGCCGCCTCGGCCAATGATCCGATGGACGGAGAAGTCGTTCATCGTCAGCTGCATGTTCAGCTCCAAGTTCTTCCATTGGCAGAACCTCGTGAACTTTTCGCTGAAAACGAAATAATCGTTTTCATATCAACTCTTCTTTTACAATGGTGAGTGTATCGTTGGATGAAGTATATCATCAACTTGAAATAAAAAAAGACGAACTAAAACAAACTCTATTGAAATTTTAAGTTCGAATTTGCAGAAGTAAAAAGTTTGCGCAGATCGGTCGGTTTTTTTGTGCTGCATATTTTTCCACTTTTTCAATTTTGAAAACTTCTTCGGCCTTTATTAAGTTGTGAACGGTATTAAAGTAAATTTGTCTTCATAAAATGACCTGTTTTGAAGCCTATTTTCAAAAAAATCAAAACTTTTTTTCGCACATAATTTATTCCTATTCAAAGTAAAAATTTAAAAAAAGGTTGGTCTGAAATTTATTTTCCAAAAAAACATGAATGAAATCTCCCATTTCGGGCCGTCATAATTTAGTTTTTTTAACTTTTAAACTAACCACAATAGAGAGCTCTACGGATTTCGGAGACTTGAACAATTTCGATCTTTAAAATTTTCAAAAAATGGGCATTTAAAAAAGCGACCGAACCAACCGACTTGTCCAGCATACACACTGTTTTCCAATCTCAATCTAGACTTTCAAAGAACTTTCGAGGGAATTTATTGAAAATTGCAAGATTCAAACTAAAGCGAAATCCTTTCTAAAGAATCGAATCTAACATGAAATAAAAAATAACACAAACATTCGTATTCTAAACATGTTTGATTTAGAGAAAAAGTTTTCGTAACGCGTTTTTTGGACCACCCTAACCCAAATGGAGCAGAACAAGTCTGCGCCTAAACAAAAACAAGAATTTTACCTTTCCAGAAACTTTTGAAAGATGTCGCCTTTCAGCTGGTCGCAAATTTCGACGACGTAACGCTGAAAATTCCTCAGATAAAAATGAACAATTTTTCGCTCCAAGAGATTTTCAGAGGTTTCGAATCTAATTCACATGCTCAGAAAAGTTTCCATAGAACACTTATAAGTTACCTGAAACAGGTCAGGTGGAACATTCCCTTTTAACAGGTGATATTGGACGTGTTGCAGCGACTCCTTGGAATAGTTCTGAACAGAAATTGTACTTTCGGGAGAGGAAAATCGATTAGAACAGGTGATAATTTGTCACCGGAAGAGATAAAAATGGAACTGACATGAGAATGAGCCAACATTTCGACCATGATGTGGTGATCGTAGATCTCTCTGGCCTTCGTCAATCTTTCTTCCGGCGTTTCCATCTTCTCGTATTCCTTTATCTGAAATCGAAGATTTTATCTCTCGGTTTTCCAGAAATTTTTTTTTATAAATTAAAGAAAGCTTTCTGAAACGATAGCAGAAAATGTTTTTAGCCTAACACTTTGTAAAAAAGGAAATGAAGACGCTTTTCACTGAGGTTCAAAGTAAATCTTCTCCCATTACTTCGGCCTATAATATTTACACATATGCTACTGTAGTTCTACTGAAATAATAACTTTCAAAAATGATACGAACTTTTTAAGGAAGTTTTTTGCCAAACTATGATGGTTCCTCAGAAAACTTGACTTATCATCTGAAACACTGACCGCCTCGTAGAATTTGATCTGCGGACAAGAGTTTTCGGTGACATTCTCTGCGAAATCCTTGAGGAGCAGGAAGCCGAGCTTCTGGTTGAAAATCTTCTCGAACTTTATTTCGCCCGTCTTCTCCAAGTACTTTTGCATGATGCTCCGAACGCTGAAAGCCAATACGTCTTCATCCCCGAAAATCCGCTCAATTTCCACATTTTCTAGCGGCTCAACGTTTTAAGCCCGGAAAGCATTCCTGCCGCTTTTCCCATTTCCTACAAATTTCCAAGAAAAATAAAATACGAAGAAATAATTTTCTCACAACTAAGTCATGAATAAACATTTTGGGGAAAGAAATTTAATAAACGTGAGTCGAACGTTTTTTTGAAATTTAATGAAACCTACAATTGAGTCAAAACCAATGTGATTTTTTTGAAAAAAATATCAGGCACAATTTACTGGTAAATCGGTGAAAAATTGAAGTCTAGAAGTTAGAATAAACTCTACTACTTATAAAAGTTCTACGAAAAAAATGTTGAACATTTGAAGAAATAATGTGGAATTTAAAGCTCCGATACTTTTTAAAAGATTCGATCTCAAAGCTATGAAAAAAATTGAGAAAAAAAGTCAAGTTTAAAGAAATTGAAAAATTGATAAGAAATGGTACTACATATCCTTTTTCAAATAAATAAAATATTTGAAGGAGAAAAAAGTACCTGGGATCTGGAAGAACTATTCTTTTGCTGGCTCGGGCGGCTGGCTGGCTGCGGCTCTTCTCCATGGCCATCAGGTAGCTGACGTCGGCCAGCACGGCTTCCAGGTCCGCCATCTTCGATCTGTTCCGTCAATTCAGCGCCAATTCCCAAACAATCCGCGAGGCGTCGAGAAACGAAAAGAGACAACCTAACACACAAATGTATACATATCGAAATATATCGGAACAAATGGGGAAAATGGAGCAACTCGAAAACAGATGGAGACTCGGAAAAAGTGAGACAGCAGCGAGGCAGATGGTGGACGGCAGCTTTCGAATTATCAAACACACAAAATTTGAGGCGTGAATTTTGAAACAAGTCAGCTAATTTGAAAAATTGAAAAAGCATGTAACGATAAGATTGCAAAATTGAAGAAGAAAAAGGATAGAATAGGAAAGAAAAATTTGAGAGATAAAAGTATTTTTTTAATATTTGGAGAGAGGGAAGCCCTGAAATGTCTAGAGACATGATAACACGTCAATTTGGACTCATACTTTTCTTTTTAGCTTTTTCACGACTGAAATGTTTTCTGCCGCTTTTGTTATTAACGAAATTCCTCACATTATTCATAGATATGACCTTTTTAAAATTATAGAATCTTTAATGCTTTTTAGATTTACTGAACTTTGTCAAACCAGCAATACTTTTCAATCGTGAGGAATTATTCTTCCCCACCAGTTTATATGCACCAAACACGGTATTTTTGTTCTCATACCAAACCTCGTGGATTCGAAATAGTGAACCAACGGAAACTGGATCTCCCGAATCATTTTTGAGAACGCAGATATACAGAATACAGTTTCAGGGAATCTCGAAGTGGAAGACGTTTGAATGGAGACAGAAGAACGACGTGATTGGATTGTCTTGAGGAAGCAAAACTGCCCCTGAAGAGACGTCAATTCGAGGCAAGATCAGAAGATTGAATGAAGACGTGGCAAAAGCGCCTTTTTCTTCAACTCCTTCTTCTATATTTGCGGGCAGCGAATTTTTTTTTTTGACTTGTCGATGGGTTGTTCGCGCCTGCGAGCAACGGATTTGCCTAGGAGCACAACATAGCCGCCGCTCACGGCGGAAAACTCATGGAAAGACTCACCAGGCAGCGATTTGGTGGGGAAACAGTTCCGCATGAACGATAGCACTTGCCACACTTGCCCTACTATTTTTGGATATGAAATAGAAAAAAATTGGAGTTCTTTCACGCATGGCTTCACCAGCAAATCCTAATATGGGTGAATGCAAATCGAGACGTTTTGCAACCTTAGATATTCAGCCGCGGCTCATTTTCCTCATCAGGGATGCGATGAAAATAACGAATATCATAGTTAATCCATCTGCGTGGCTAGAAATTCTAACAATCATTAAATTTTCTTCTTCTTGTGATTGCTACTGCTTAATTTCACCTCTACTAGGGGCCAAACAGGTACAAAAAGTTATACAAATTTTTTCCTCAACCAATTTCCACTCATGCCAATTACTGTGAGAAACAGAGTTTAAGGAAAAAATATTTTTATAGAAGTTGAATGCGAAATGGAAACAGCTTCAAATTTTTTTGAAAAACTTTTCCTTTAGAGCTTCATATCAAATTTTTTTTAGGTCCCCAAGTTTCAACTCCAAAAACTGTCTTTTGAAAATTTCGAAAAAGCTCACTCCAATCCTTGGACTTTTACTCGATTTCACGGAAAAGCTTGTTTGCACGAAGAGTTCTCGAAAAAGCTCGAAAAAACGAATGGTATGACAAAAAGGACGGCAGAGTGTTGACATGGAAACGTTGGCGGGAAAACAGACTATAAACTTGGAGAATGGAAAAATTCCAGAAAGAGCTTCAAAGTAAAACAGTTAAAAGTTATCACTTCTTACAGAAAAAAAGGAGGGTAAATGATCAAGTGAGAAATAAAAAAGAAAACATAAAACTTTAGGGCGTCGCGGAAAACCCTAAAACTTGGTCGGAACTTTTCCAAAAAGTGATAAAATAAAAGTGGCGTTAAACGTGGAAAAATCCATTCGAAAAAGCGAAAAAAAAGGCTTCGTTTAATCAATATTCTCAATTTTATTCTGATAAATGAAAATTTCATTCATAAAAAGCAAAAAAAAACAAAAGGTATTAGGATTATCCCATAGTCCATTCATTTTTGGCTTCCCTTCAAAATTCTCTAGTCTATTTTGATTGAAAAATAAAGAGATAAATATGTAGGTGAAAAAAAAGTGATTCAATCTTATTGGACAACATTTTTTGAAATGCCCATTGAGCAGCTGAAATTTGAAAAAATTCAATGTAATCCGTTTGAAAAGGAAAATATATGAATCGAGTATCAAGTTTCTAATGACCCACGTTTCAAAAACTTTCTTTTCTGTACAGATTTCCCAGGAAAACTATAATTTACCCATTTTCTGGTGAATGGAGACCAAATTGACGGCTTTCAGGTGGACAACCTTTTAAATGGAGCACAAATGAAGTAAATCGAGGTTTGACTCGAAAAGTCGGACAGCGAGGCCTGTGGGAGTGTTAACGCGATTGCAGCTGCGTCCGAAAGACTCCACCTTGATTGGTGTGGGCGTTTCGGGCGACCAGGCCTCGCCAGAAATCATTTCGACTCAAGGAGACGACGTCGACCATTGAGAATTGCGCCAAAAATTAAAGAAGCGAAATTCGAGTAGAAGATCTCCCGTTTCACAATTAAGACATTTTTGTTAAGTAAAAATTCGAGATGCAACCGTCGAAACTTCAGCATAGTCTGACTTAATCTCGACTTTTTTTTTGTTTGGGTAGTGGAAAAGACCTATAGAAATTTCGACTGAAAAAAAGGCTAGAGAAAGATGGCCCACACCGGAAATGGCCTGCCCGTGTACGGCCAAAGAATTGATTGAACTCTTCCTTCTCAAGTCGTCGATTCGAAAAGGAAAGGAAACTTGCAAAAATAATAAACCTTCCCTTGAGAAAGTAATATATTCTCATGTATGGGATCTCAACCAAAATAGAGAGGGGGATGACGTATGAATACCTGAGAAAAAAAAAGGCAAGAGGCTTACGAAAACATAACTTATTTTGAAACAGGAAAACAAATAGCTAGAAAGTATAAAGCATTCAACAACGTATATTAAGAATATTATCAAGAAAAAAAAAATCCGATTTTTAAGAACATTTTATAAAATAAACAGATTAATGAAAATTTTCGTTAAGTTCGGAGAATATGTGAAAAATAGTCCGTCACTTTTAAAATCTGATGTTCAATTTAAAAAAAGGCTAGAAAAAAGCGGATATAAGTAAAACTTGAATTTTCAATATTTTTGAACTCAAAAAAGCAATTTTTTCCTTCTAGATGGAAAACCTTTCGAAGCGTCTCATCGTTTTATATTTGAAGCTTATGGGGTTAAAAGCAAGAATAAACAAAAGTGGAAGAGGTGCAAAGAAGGGCCGACGAAGGCGAGTGTTTTCAAAATATGAATTGAAGGCGGCGGCGGCGAAAATCGAAAAGAAAAGTCGAAAAAGGAAAAGGACAAGACGGCCCGGCGGCCAATCAAAAAAGTTACTTCTTCATCCGAACAACGAGAAACCTAACAAGCACTCGCCAAGTGTTGGCTCTTCAGAGCTTCTTGAAATATCAGAACTTCAAGGGGCAAAACTGGAAAAAAATCTTAAAAAAACTTATCTGAAGACTTACTCAAAAAAATTTATATATATATATATGAAATAACGATTTATGACACTCCTCCTCCCCAATTTCTGCAGGGAAAAAAACCCTAAAGTTTGTAAAGATTCAAAAAAACGGAAGGCGAAATCAGCTTCATGAAAAAAAGTTCAAAAAAATCATTTTATTCGAATATAAGAAAGCCGAATGGAAAAAAATTTAAAACTGAGATTTTTTATGAAAAAAAGACGTTTCTATTCACCTCAATGCTCATGAAAAAAATTTATTCAGAAAAAAACGAGAAAAATACGATATAATTTTTCAAAAATAAAACATAGAGTAATTTTTTTAAATATTTCTATAAAGTGAAACAAAAGTCGAAAAAAAAAATTTCTACGACCTTCAAAGTTCAAAAAACTTCAAAACTGGCCTGAAACTTGGCATTCCACAACATACAAGACTATTTTGAAATCGGCAAACAGAAAAGTTGAGTATTTAAACAAAAGAAAAAGGCGTAGGAAGGAAAAAACGGTAAGTGTTCTTTGAGTGTCAAAGTCAACAAGATGAGTGACGGAATTAGAGATAACAACCACCTGTGGAAGAACAAAGAACTTCAGAAGTTTTTGAAAGTGCTCCAAACCTCAATTAGAGGGAAAAAAAGCTTTTCACAGCAAATATCCGATTTCGTTTGGCGAGAAAAATGTTCTTCAGCTGGAAACTTTTGAAAAAAGTGGTCGATTTATGAAAGCATCGGAAAAATTTCTCTGAAAATCTACTCTTGGAAAAGGCATTCGGACTTGAAAAAAAGTTTTGATCATCGTAGAAGATGAGGAAGCCGAAGTAAAAAATATTTAGAGATAAAAGAAACGTTTTAAAGAACTTTCAAATCTCAATAACGAAAATTCTAGTTAAACATCTTTTTTTTAAATCACAATGACAACTAGATTAGCTCTTGAGGGCTAATTTTCGAACTTTCGACTTATTTTAAATAGTTTCTGATCATTGTAACACACTGATATATTAGAAGAAAGGAACTCTAATCAAAATCCAAAGAAAGAAAGTGCCAAAGTTCAAGAAAAGGATTTGAACCGAGTTCAAGCTGAAGCCGAACAATCTCGTGAGTGCTCCAAATTGAAGAGGCATCGACTTGAAAATCGAAAAGAAGCGGAAGCACACGAGGTCGTCGTCGTCGTCGTCGTCGGTCTTCAGAATCCAGGCCTCCGACGACGACGTCGACGGCGGCGATCGATGGCCGGCGTGAGGCCTCTGGCGAGAGCCTGTGTTGCCCCGCTGGCACTGCTCTGCTCCACATCGCCTCCACCTCATCCCGCGTGTCTAACACCTTTTCATCTTCTCGCTCCGTCCCCCCTTCTTTCGGCTTATGAACAACACCGCTTCATCAAATTTCTTGCTGCGCCTGGCGCCTCTCTGCAGGAGCCACAGCCACCACGCATTCATCAACTTTGATTAACAACCGTTTCGCAAACACAACACACAGAAGCCGCAGTTGCATGTGTTCAGGCGTGAGTTCGCGCCTCGGCCAGGTTTCGGACTCGAGTTTCAGATCGAGCTCATATCCGACTTTGGAAACTTCTGAAGGAAATTTTCAAAAATTATTCAAATTTTTAGTGTCTTTGATCATTCTACGATGAAGTCATTTTTCGAATAAATTAAATTAAAAAAATCAGAAAAAAAAAAACGTTATGAGATTTTTGTCAAAGAACTTGAGCTGACAAATTTCAAATTTTGCCTAACAGGTCTAGTCGCGCACAAATTCGTTCTTCAGATCTAATCTCGACGGAAACGTCGAGTGGATTGTTTTTTTCCGCGTCGGACAAGTCAATCTTGAGAGTCGACTTCAGACCACCTTATGTAGACAAAGATTCGCCTAAAAATTGCTATTTTGATTGGAAAAAAAAAACTATTGGACGACTATCTGAAACTTTTTCGACAACACCTTGAAAATATAATTTGAAAATAATCTGGAGCTGAAAACGTGAAAGTCCTTGTTTCATAGTGCCACTAAATAACAAAAATTTGATCATCTAGAGTTATATTTTTTTGAATACGAACAAAAAAACTCAAACGTTATTTCAAAAATTAATCAGAAGCTATTCGAAAAAGCCTATAAATGCAATAAATTGTAGCGGCCGCCTACTGGGTAAAACAAATTTGTTGTTGTCCCTTGTCACGATTGGCTTGAGGATTAAACCAGCCATTACACGGAAATATTTGTTTTTATATAAAAAGCCATTAAAACGGCTATTCATTTTGAAAAATAAGCGCCCACAACAAACCAAGACAAAATAACCAATCGTAGAGCATTCCTATAATTACTTTTGAGTTATTTGAATTAAAGCTGATTCAAACGAAACTTTTCATGTGGTTCAAGAATGGAGAAAGGATTGGAGAAAAAAAAATTAACAGAAACCTTATAATGTCTAGTGTTCGAGATCAGAAATAAGCAAATCTTTTTTCGGCAAATTTTCTAGCTATTCTCGAATTAAAAGCAACTCCAAATAAGTAAGAAGAACGGTGAAAAAAATAAACTGAAAATTTTCCTCCAGGAAATTAAAGAAAAGAAAAAAATTTTTATTTGAGTGCTCTTAAAAAAATTTTAAAAGATATCAAATTTTATGCCGTGTTCAAAGTGGCTCCGCAAAATTCAAAATATTCGTGAGAGTGCAAAAAATAACTTAATTTTGAAGAGTAAGAGATAATTATGAATTTCGCATAAATTACTTCAAAATGAAGCTGACCGGATTAGAAAATTCAATACTTTCCGCCGAACCAATAAAAAAACAGGAGGAGAATGAGCAAAATCAACATGGGAAAACACTCTGGAAACGTGACCCGTGGTGCGACCACGAGTCCACGGAAACAATGCTCGACGCCGCCTTTTCCTGTTCTTCTATAGGCCGAATCAGAACGCATCCAGTGCTTCTAACACTACTGAATAATGCCAGAACCGAGACAAAAATAGAAAATACTTAATCGGAAACTACAGGATCACACTTGACAGGCCGTTGATCAAGGGTACTAATGACCCAAAACCATTCAACTTCAACTAAAAAAGAGACATTCAAAAAGGATTATAATTTTGCAAAACTTTACGATTATTGGTGAAAACCATAAGTGAGAGAATAAATATTGAAAAAAAACGCCTAATCTGGGAGGTCTTTCAAAGGGTTTTTTTTCGTAAATCTGCAGAGAAGGCGCAGGTAAAGCTTTTGGAATTATTCATGAAAAGACGTGAAAAAATCCTTTCAGCGCTTTGTTTGAGACTTTTCTCTGCTCATTAATCTTCTTGCACATTTTGGGAATCTGGAAAACCGGCCTTGGACCATTTCATTTCTCGGAGTAAGTTGAAAAAAAAATTGAATGAAAAATAAAAAAACGAAGATACATTTGTTTCAATTTGTAAATGTTCCAAGATATAAAAGAAACATGGATTTTAATAATCTTTATAGAAAAGTTCCTTGATGAGAAAAAGAAGTGATAAGAAGAACCTAAAAGAAAAAAACCATCAATAGATCTTCTCAACATAAGTTCGATGATTTACTTCCTGTTCAGCAAGGATTCAACTGCCTACCATCAATCAAACGGCAAAAAAAACGCGGAGAAAAAATTCGCAGCGGGGCATAACTCGCGATACCTAAAACGCTGTCATGAGAGATTTTTCTTTTCCAAGCGGTCGGAAGCTCAAAAGCCGCCTTTTTCAACTCCACAACGCCGTTGGAAAGAGTGTAATGAGTGATTGCTGAATTCCACGGGAAAGTTTGTCGAATAGTTATGCGAGTTGGACGAGGAACTTGAAAAATGACAGCTGTTTAGCTTGATTGGAAAGAGTTCACTTTCTCAAAAAGTCTTGCAACATCTAGTTTTTTTATGGCCTACCTACAGCTGAAGAAAATTGGAACAAAATTTTCAAACAATTAGATTCAAAAAATGAACTAATCTATTTATTAGAAGCTTTAAAAGTTCACGCTCTCGAGCTTGATACGCCTTTGGACTGAAGAGGCCGGATCTTTCCGCTTAAAATCGTCCATGAACACAATTATTATTTGGAATGAGCTACAGTCAAAGATTCTGCACTCCCCGACAGTTTTTGGCAAGTACTATCAATTCTTTTTTTCCCTTTCGGAAAAAGATGTGAAAATTACACTTCTCCCTTTTCCTATGAGTTCAAAGACCCGCACTGCGGACTTGAAGATCAGTTAGAGCCGTCATGAAAAATATGAAAACATAAGAGACATAAAATTAAGTTCTAATAAAGACTCACACGGCGCTTCTGAAAAGTCCATATGAGGTCACCCAACGAGCAAACATGATGAAATGAAAAGCGGCTAAACATTTGCTTTTGAGGAATCAATGGAGCCTGTGAACACGGAGGCACGTGTCCCACCGACAAACACGGATTTTTTCCAGGAGTAGGCGCAAATACGAAAATCCTCGGCCACCGGCAAATGGCCGGCTCTAATTGCAACTCGGCGAAATTGCTAGCGCATTAGCATCGCCTCCCGAAAATTAAGGATTAGGCGGCTCGACTAAGGGCATCTCCAAACCAATTTGATTGTAGTCCCCAAATTTCGACACACTTGCAAAGGTTAACTCTTTTCTCCCTTTTTTCTCGAGAAAGGACTTACAGTGAAAGGGAAATTGAGAAATCATTATGAGCATGGGGGGCTTAAAAACATGATAACAAAATTACATGAGCGGGTAGATCCGTCATTCCAAAACTTAGATGAAGTTTAGTGGCCTAAGCGCATTCAGCACCTTCAACTAAGCTTATGATATTCTTTTACCGTTTTAACTGTTTTAACATGGTACTTTAAAATAAGACTGAAGTACGTAGTGGTCTCCGGGACATCAGGGCGTTTATGATCTTTAGTAAGCTTAAATAAATACTCAAATATTCAAACCATTTTATAATGTAATTATTTTTAAAAACTGCTTTGAATTTCCAACAGGTTATGACATTACACGCAAAAAGAACTGTCTCAGAAGCAGGACTGTGCGTCGGAAAATTTTTGTTCGTAACCTTTTTCAAGCCTTTTTCAGAAGACATGAAGGTGTTAAGTACTCGAAAAATTGAAAAAAAAAGAAATGAGGACTTTATGAAAACTTCTGAAAAAAAAATTAGGTTCTAAGACTTGGCAAACTTCGAACTTTTCCTCGGGGAAGTTTTCATTTTTCCAACAAAAACTGTAACTTTTTTTTTTTGAAAAATCTGAATTCACATGGACAATTCTAAGCACCTGGTTCAAAAAACGAGACCTGAGACTTGGACTTGAGCTCAGGCCTGGTGCAACCGACCAATTGGATTGGCTTCGGCTCAGGTCCGAGTAAGGGACGCAAAAGTGCGGCAAATGGAGTGGCAGGAAGCTCGCGTTCGCACGGCAGACGGCTCTCGAAGCGGCGCTCCGAAACTTTGAATCAGTAATGAACATCGGCGGGCGCAGCGGCCTACCCAATATCTGTCAGCCGCAGCAGAAGCACGCGTCTAGCCGTATAGTTCAGCCCAACATGCTTCTGTTTCCGCAACATTTCGTCCCAAATACCAATTTCAATTCAAAAAGTCTCCCCAACTCAGAGCGTCAGCGTGCGTTGGCATGGAAATTAATATTTTTGTATGGTCTGTTCAAAAATCCTTTCTGATGTGTTCAAAAAGGCAGATTTCTTGCGCGACCTGATATGAAACTGAAAAGGGAAACTTGCTTCTATAATTTGTAGAATCGGTTGTCTTTCGAAGATTTTATCTTTCTAGAAACCAGAGGGTAGTGATATTATGACAAACTTTTGAACTACTCAAAAGCCTCCAACTTCGGACCTTACACGAAAAATATCAATTTAAAAACTTTGATTTATTTTCTCTTTTTGTCCCAGTTTTGTTTATTACTAGTCTACAAGCAGAAAAAGCAATGATAGTCAAATAGATTTCGAAACCCGGAAGATCAGACAGAAAAAACCTCGCAATATTGAAAACAGAAATTTCTAATCGTATATCCGCTTCCAATCAAAATTGATACGAATATAATTCTTTTTTTTTCGATCAGAATAAATTTAAATATTAAAGAAATTTATTATAAAACGTCTTTTAAATGTAAATACAAAAAGGAGAATAAAACTGGATTCTGCCGATCCCATAAAGTTTACGATGTTCCGAAAACCACAGATTTTTTATACTTTCTATGGAGGGACTCACTTTTCGAGCGGAATGCTTACTTTTAAAAGTAATTATAATCCCAGAAAGCTTAAACTTTCGAGAGCGATAATGAAAAAAGGGTAAGATTGAGCAGCCACAACTCATATTATGAGTCTAATAACTTCTTTTCCTTATTTGATCCGTCTCGATCGGAAAATAAAAAGATAATTAGAAAGAAAACACGCAAATCGAAATGGTTCTGATGGCTTAATCTTCTTTTCGCTGTTTTATCAGGAAAATCAAGCCGAGATTGGACCCAAGAGGGTAAATAGAGCGCAGAAGCTCAAAAGGTGCATGAGAACGTTTGTTGTGCTTCATTTGGCCTGATCGTTTTCCGTTCCGAAGACAATATAACGCCGTTTCCGGCACGTGAGAAGAGAGGAATGCCCGCTTTTAATTAAGTCTTCTTGTTGATTCGGCGGAGATGAAATAATTTAAGTCCGGCTATCCTATATTATTCCGATTCTGCTCGGGGATATTGCGTTTTTTTTTCTTCCTCTCGAGCTATTTCCTTGAGTGTGAATGTTTTACAACACACTTAGGGTAACTACTCTGCAATCAATACTAGGGAACAGAAAAGCTCGAATGGTGTCCAAATCCTGTTGAAGTTCAAAAACAAAATTAGATCTATCAGACTGTCGCTCTTTTGGTCTACAATGAAGTCCAAAACTGGCTATTCTTTTTTTTTCTACTTCTTGATCACGTCAAGAGAATAAAATGGCAGTCATGATATCATCATTTTTAAAAATATAGTGAAAACCATATAACCATTTGGGTTAACAGGTAATCAAAACTGAGAACTAATCTCATAAACGAGTTTATTAGAAAAAAAAGACAACAATTATTATACAAGCTATAGCGTAGAATTTTCAAAAATCAAAGTTTAACAACAGGAAAAACGCTTCAAAATGAAATAGCGGCGATTTTATCAGACAACGCCAGCAGCTCGGCACAATCCATGATTTTCAGGGATTGTTCAAACTTTTCAAAAAGTACCTCATCTTCCGGACTGTCGCCAACGAAGCTCTCGATATCGACTTTGTCCATCAGAAGCTTCGAATATTTCAACTTTTCATGGAGCCTTTCGGCGAGCTGGAAAAGAATGAGGGTCTCTTCGAAGATATAAATAGACTTACTGTCTTTGATTCTTCGAGTTCTTTCCGTGCAGCGGACACTCTTTCCGCCAGAGACTGATCAAGTTTTTGAGTGCCAAAACTCGACAACGAACTCTTCAAACACGAAACTACACACATTCCGCAAGGAAGGTCACCTCGAGGACCGAGAGATGCTCGGTGATGTCAACTTGTTCTGCGGTGGCGGCGATCAGTCGGTTTGCGGAGGCTTTTTCGGTCTCGTGCTTTTCCGAAACCTGCGAGAACTTCCTCTTATCAAGTACTCCCTTTTTAAACCTTCGCTGTGAGTTCCACGGCCGCGTGCTCGAGGTCCAGTTGACTCGAAGAAAGCTTCAACTCCATTATTATTCAAGGTATTTCTTTTCAAAACCTCAAGAGCGCTCTCCAGCAGATCGGTAGTTCGGAATCGCTTCAGTGGAGAACTTTCTTTCTTTTTTTCCAGCACAGTTTGACCTTGCGCGTTCGTGGATTTTGAGTTCAAGAGATTCTGTTTGCTTGTCGTCTAAATTTGCTGTAGTAAATTCATCAGAACTTGATCTAATGAACTCTTTGCAGTTCCACTTGACTTTTTCCGTTCTCTCTTTTGCGGCTCGTTCCGTCATTCGTAGTTTGCTGCTAAACAAAATTAAATTTTCGAGAAGAGAATGTTTCACAACAAACATTAGCGCTCGCCGGAGGTAAAGGAGCGAAGCTGACTCTCTAAAAATGAATTAGTCTTCCCCCAAAAAGTTTCCACGCCTCCGCCGCCTACTCGTTCTTCGTGTTGTTGTTGTTGAATGGAGTTCTTCTTCAAAACAGAGCGTGGAGCGTCCATGTGTGTAGCTTTTCTCTCTGAATAGAACCAATTTCAGAAACAAAAATGCGTATAAGAAAAAAAATTCGATAATACTTATGTTGCTGCAGGAATATTGAATCAATAAACATAAATATCAAAAATTTTATTTAAAAAAATATTGTTTCCGACTATTGCAAAAAAAAATCTCAACTTAAAAAGGCAGGTTTTGCAAAAAAAAATTTTTGTGAACAGTTTTTAACAAAAAAAAAATCCCAGGGAACACGGGTAGTATTTTCAAAAACACTGCGAATAAAAAATTCGAAAAGGGAGGGGCTTTACCTTCACTTGAAACCCGAAAAAATTAAAGCAAAAAAATATGAGTTAATTTATAAAGAAATTCGAATAATCACAAGTCTCAACCCTGAAGAAGCCTCTTCAAAATGAAGAAACTCTGTTAGAGCGCTCTTGCTTGCTGTTTCTTTTTCCAATTGGAACGCTTTTTTTTTGTTTTGTTTTACTTTTTTTTTCCCACTCTCTTCCTGGTTCATACTATTTTTATCAATTTTTAAACGCTCTAAGCGGTTTGAAGAACAATTTCGCCTCAGTTTTAAACTTGGTTCGAAAATATTTTTTTATTTCTGAAAAGTTTTTTTTTTTCTGTTTCTTCATCCCTACTGGTTTCTCGCTTTTTTTTCCGAATTACTTAGTTCTTCGTGAAGCTTACTGGGTTATGAAATTACAGATTATTTTCTTTTATATGGACGTACCTCTAAGTATTTCCAACCCGCCCACTCAAGATCAAGCAAGAAAGCAAGCCGATGGACTCCGTTTCAAAACGTTGTCAGATTATAAGGTTTTTTTTACTTTGAAGTCCTCACTGAACTTTGTTTTAGGTAGCAAAAGAAATTGGTGATGGTTCATTTGCAACCGTGTATTTGGCCACAGAGAAATCGGATAGGAAACGAGAAGTTGCACTAAAAGTTTGTCTCAAAAAGCATATTATAAAACATAGAAAGGTTTATTTTTTTCGAGTGTACAGTTTCGTTGAATTTTATCTCAGATTGAATATGTTCAACGAGAGAAACAAGTTCTGGCATTGTTATCCACGGCAGAAAATCAGCATCATGCGATTGTTTCGTTGTTTGCCACTTTCCAGGACGCTGAGAATCTTTATTTCGTTCTTTCCTATGCTCAATGTAAGTTTATATCTATTTACGCAAAGTAAAGCTCACCTTTACAGATGGAGACCTTCTCAGGATAATGCTCAACCAAGAAAATGAGCATTTCATCCTCGATCACTCGAAATACTACAGTGCAGTTCTTCTATCCGCGCTTGGTATATTTAAAATAGGAATTTAAAAAATTGAAATCATTTTCAGAGCATATTCATAGGCTAGGGATCATTCACCGCGACGTTAAGCCGGAAAACATTTTGATGAAATCGGACAAGAGAATTATTTTGAGCGATTTCGGGACTGCAAAAATGATCGACGTTGAGAATGTAAGTAATCGAATCAGGTGGTTTTTTCTCTGGACAAGAATTTGAAAAAACCGTTTTCTTTTAATTATTCATTACGAAGCCTTCAAGATCTTGAGAGAAAAATCTCACAGAACTTTTTTTCTCATTTTTTCTTTCGGAGTGTTCCCCTTCCTTCACTTGGGAATATAACGGTTTTAAAACTGAAGTTTCAAAAAAATTAACTTTTTTGTTCATTTTCCCATCTTTCTCTGAAAATCTCAACAGGTTTTTATGGAAAAAACTATAGTTTTGAGAGAGGGCTCTAAAAAGTAATGTCTTGTAAGAAGTCTGAAAAAAAGTTTCAGAAAAAGAAGAAAGAAGAAAACGAAGGTCGGCGACGTCGGAACTCGTTCGTCGGCACGGCGCAGTACGTCTGTCCAGAGGCAAGATCCGTCGTCCCTCCACTAATTCTCTGCTAGGTTCTGCACGGCGAGGATACGACTCCCGCCAGCGACTTCTGGTCTTTTGGAGTCGTCGTTTACCAGTTTCTGACCGGTTTTGTGGAACTCCTTGAATCATCAACAGGATTATATTCCAGGAAAACACGTGTTTCACGACGAATCCGAGTACTTGATTTTCAAGCGTGTCGAAGGTCTTTTGTACAAATTCCCCGATGACTTTGACAGTGCAGCACGGGATCTTGTTGAAAAACTGCTTGTTCTAGAGGTTTTTCTCAGTCTCTCTTTGAAAATTATGTGAGGAAGACGACGAAATTTCACTTACATTGGTTTTGAATCGAGTTCTTAAGAATTTTTCGGGCTCTATTTCCAGTTTTTTTCAAGAATAATTTCCGAAAAAAATTTTTTAAAACGTATTTGAGCAGTAGGTATGACTAGTTGAAACTAACTGACCAAATTTCTTGAAAATATAAGTTTCCTGTTTTATTCCTGAGTTTTGAAAGGACAATCGTGTTCATAGAATGATGACGCTTTCGCTTTATGCAGAAGTTTTATTCCTTCGAATTTGATTTTTTAGCCCTCAGCACGGCTAGGAACGGGAGAAGGTGCAAAATCAATACGATCACACAAATTTTTCGACGGAATTTCATGGGAAACGTTGGCCACGATTCCACCCCCAGATGTGAAATTGCATTGAATGTACATTCTAATAAATATTTATTATCTCATTTTGTTTGATTTCTGCTTTCCGACCGGGCTATGTGTTTCAGTTCATTATATTTCACATTGATTCGCAATAATTGAAAAATTCAACACGGTTTTGGCAGAAGACCCATGGCGAAAGTTATTAGAAGTGAGTTTTCAATCAATAAACTTCAAAGAAACTTTGATTTTTCAGGTCGATGGGTGTACAGACCGGAAGGAAAGTGGCACAGGTATTTGCCGCGGAGAAACGACGCCGTCAAGGAGTTCGACTACGTCAAAAGAGGCGCTTCGCTTCAAGACTTTGCAGTTTCCCTTCCCGAAGAAGAGGTTTAACAGAGAAATGTTCATAATCAGCATTTTAATACGCTCAGGTTGGTTTATAGTTCTAAATGGTTGTAGGTTTAATGGAGAAAGGATAGAAATCAAGAAGCCTCAAATTTCAGAGAAAAATTTTTTGAAAAAATAGATACTACAAATGAAGGCTTCTCCATGGACATATGTGAATTTTAGCGCGAAAAAAATGTTTTCGAAAAATCAGAGGAGAAAGAAATGTTTTATGTATTCATGTTAAGCACTGCATTAAACTTTTTTTTTTTATAATTTCTCAAATTTGTTGAAATAATTGAAAGAACTATATCCGTAGGATCAATGAAAAACGGATGAGATGATCTTACATAAATTTCAGAATGGACCCATTAAACGCCTTTCTTTCACCTCTATCAATTGTAAATGTTATGGTTTTGTTCAATTTTTTTAATGTAAACCACTTGGCTACTTAAACTTAACACAAAGTACAGATTTGTTTTTTTCAGTTTGACTTTATATTATGATAATTATTAAGAAGCCGCAGACACCGCCCAAACTTTGGATGGCATGGCTGTACAGAGACCTGGCCGGTGAGCCGAAATGGACTAAAAAATACGTTGAAAACCTTTTTGGGGCTGATTACAAGGTTAAACGAGAGCTCTTCCAACTTTTGATGATATAAAATATAAAGGTGGGCCGGATGGAAGTTTTCCGCAATTCGGAGCTGATAAACGAGGAGTTGTGGAAGGTGAAACACCTGATCGAACTGAGGCCGGTCACTTTTCCCAAAGGAGAGCCGACGGAAGAAGACGTGTACACCACGAGGGTAAGTATGGGAGAAATCTTCAAATAACTCTGAAATAATTCAAAAAAGTCCACACCGAAAAGATGAGTTTTCAAAAACCCTTGTAAAGTTTTTATTTTTCTGGGAACGTCAATGAAACCTTTTGCAATTTTCCCCACAGTTGTGAACCCAAAAAGTTTTTTTATTTCTGTTCGTTTACATAAACACCAAGTACTGGATATTTTAGCACCAAAAATACAATTATTTTTCCCTGAAATCTGTTTCAAAACTGTCCAATATAAGAAAAGTTTTCCTGTTTCAGCTTTCTCCAGACGGAACCTGCGAAATCGTCCCGAATGCCCCAACTCCTTCAGAAGAACATCTACAACTTTTCGACAAAAGCCGACAAGTTGGAATTTTGTTCAGAATCTCCAACATCATTTTGCTTGCAGTGGACGAGGCGAGAACTGGGAAGGGACCTCGCCAAAAAGTACCACGGCTATAAAAATTTGTTCGAGGCAGACGTTTATACAAATTCCAATATTATCGTAGCTAAGTAGATCTTGTTATTGTTGATTTTTAGATAAATTTTCAAATTATCATCATTTATTGACGCTTTCGGAAAACAAGAGTTTCGGCTCCAGAAAGAATTCCGCGCTGTCCGCCGTCGACGATGCTTTTGACGGTGCCGCTGAGGAATATTCGGTTGAACTGCTCGAAACCCTTGGGCAGCACGCCTAGGAACTCTCCCACCTGCACGGCTTTTTCTGTAAAAATGGCGGTGATTTGAGCCGGAAAGAAAAGAGACTAACGGATGATGGCACTTTGAACCAGCCACATGAAGAAAGGCGACGAGGAAAAGCAGTAGTGGAACGGCTTGTTCCCGAAAGTTTCCTCCAGGTTCTCGTACTCCTCAAGTTCGAATCCAATAGCCTTAACAGTTTTTTTTTCAATTAAAAACGAATTTTCCAGAAGTAGACACTTTCTCATAACCAGGTCTATATACGTTTCAAGGAGAGTAAATAAGAGAGGCCAAAGTTTTTTAAAAGTTAATGCTTTTCTGCTTTCTTCTTAAAATATTGAATTTCTTTATTTTGGAATACTGGGCTAGCTTTATTAAAAGAGTTTCTTTTTTTCCCGAAACCTCTAAAACACAATCGGATTTTCTATTGGTTGCAACTAGGTCAAACTTCATAATGTTTTGTGAAATAAAGACTAGCCTCGGCGGCTTTTTGCATTTGCATCCGAGTGTGGAGAGAAGGCATCCCGCAGGCGTATTCCAAATGACCGACTATCTTCAATCAAAAACTTTTTCGTTCTTTCTTCCAAGTTCTCCACTCACATTCTTGTGCTCCTCATTTTTTGCGTCGTAGTCTTGAGTTTTGATCAGATCGTAGATGAGGAACTTGCCTCCGGGTCGGAGAATACGGTGAACCTAGAAGTTGTAATAAATTGAGTAAGTTTAACCTAGAGGGACCTCTTTCATAACGTTATCAAGTTCGGGAATATACTTGAGGGAATATATGGCGAAGGCGCAGTCCTGCGAGTTATTTTCTGAACTCTGTATTTTTTGAGGAGGAAACGGTTATGAAAACCAAAAGGCGTGTTTTGGCAGTCGGCTGTCACGATCCGGCAAGTTTCGGATAGTCCTTCGCTAGCGAAGAACTCGTTACCTGGATATGATCAAAGTAGATTTTCGAAAGGATAAAAGCTAGGAAGAAACTGGGAATTTAATGATACGGAAGGTTATAAATAAGTTCGCGAGTTCACTAAAGAAAAAGGTAGAAACTCAGATTCTGCTGTTCTATTCCCAATCGAGCTCAAAATGCAGCAGCTGCGAAGTCTTTTGAGATTTTTTTTTTGTCAAATTGTCGCTCAAGCTCCGCCCCTTATGGCGCGATCAACCAATCAGAGAGAGCCATCCGCAGAGCTTTTTCAAATGTCATCATTGTACTTGACGTTCAAAATCTGAACAGGTTTGGAGGAACACAACGAAAAGATTGCGATTCCGCAAAACTTGTAGTGTGGATTCTCAATTTCCAACTTGAACCGCAGCTCAAACGCAAGGCGTTAAGCCATTCTACATGCGGCCAGTTTCAATTCGGGATTTCTAAAACAGTTAAAAATTGGCAAGTTCTCACCCATGTCGGCCTCGTTTGGAGCAATGGTGACCCCAGTCAGTTCTGCTCCCGTATGAGCGATGTCGCGGATGACGCCGCCGACTCCGCAGCCGAGGTCCACACATTTGACGCCTTCCTTCAGTTTCAGCTTCTCTCCCACATATCTCAAACAGCCCAGATTTCAAGAAGAAAAGCTTTTTCCACCTGTGGAGGGACTTCAGCGCGTCTTCCAGTCTTTGTCCTTCGTATTGCGGCGGCACAAAATGGAAGTTTCCTGTACTTCATTCCATTTGAAATCGTCGAAATGTGAAGTCTCACCCCCAAAGTACTGCTCGATGACGCTGGACATAACGGAATAGTAGTGCGAGGTGACTTCCAAGTGTTTGCCACTCTTTTTCGCTTTTTCGTACAAATCGTCATGTTCTTTTTTGAAGGCCTCCTCAAAAATATTTACTTGAGCGAGTTTGAAAAGGTTACTCTGGTTGTTTCAAAGAAGCTGAGAAAAATAGAAAATAATCAGTATAAACTTTTTTGTGTTCGGACAAATTCAATCTCCCCAAACATATTTTTTGAATAGGTTATGAATAAGAATATTCAATGCATTAATTTTTTCTGTGTGAAGGAACACAGGAAAATACAATCAAATTCTAAATGCGGAAAGCCATTTTCAGTGTTTGTTCAAGGTATAAGACTTGCGCTAAATTTTAGAAAATAAAAAATTTAAGGCAATTTAAATATTACTGGCAGCTAAAAAACTTCAGAGAACTCTCATATTGAGTAGAACCTTGTCTGGAAGAAGAAAGTGTCCAGTTTTTCAAAATGTCCAGTTTTTAGCCACTTACCAACTTGAACGGTCGCCTGGCCGCAATTGACCTTCACCTGGTTTCTTTTCTAGTTCATCTCTTCACATCTCAAGTATGTAATTACTACACCTTTACCTATATTACTTATATAGTATTTTTTTTTTCAAATTAACACCATTTTGACGTTTTCTCGCAAAGATGCTTATTAAAAAAAAATTAGAAAACTTCATTTAACCAAAAATGAAAAAAAAAACCAACCAAATCTTGACGCCGAAAATGGAGGATAAGCTTGAAAAAGTTGGATTTCATGTCTATCGACATTTTTCCGTAGTTCCAGAAAAGGTAGATTAATCAAAAAAGAACAGTCTTGGTCGGGAATAAGGACAAGCGCGCGAAAGGATACGACCAGTCTCCGCCCACTCTCATCCCCAATTTACAACAAGTTTCCAGAAAAGGAGAGAAGAATGAAAAATGAGAAGCTGTCTTTTATCTTTACTTCCTTAAAATGAAGACCTTTTCTTTTCCTGTAAACGAACTATTTCAAGTTTGAAAAAAAGAAAATATTTATATCCCGATTAGAAATACAACGTTAAAGCTTTAAATATGCAGTGATTTTTGAGGTTAAGTGAGGATCAAAAGGTTAAGAAGGAGGAGGAAGTCGTTCAATGATGGAGCGAGTCATGGCGGCGGCTCGAGCCGCTGCGTAGGCCTGAAAAATGCTTTTTCATAAAGAGAAAAAGCAAAAATGGTGATGAATAGTAAGCAAGACACGGAGTTCAAATATTTCTTATTGAAATTTCTTCAATCTATTTTTTTGAAATTTCTGATCAAAGTTATTTGAAGATTTTTTTGAAAAAAAGTTTGAAAAAAACTATGATGTTTCTGAAACGTCTACAAAATGCTGTACCCATAGCTAATCGAAAGAGTGATACTCCTCAAAAAAATAATTTAAAAAAAGATGTAGGCAATGAAATCTTCCTGCAATCGGGAACTCTAACATATCCCTAAAAAGGCATGAAAGCGACTATTATAGTACTTTTCAAATTTTCTCTATTTGCAGATAATAATAGAACTAAAAAGGTGCCATGAAGCTTGAAAATTTTCGAGCTGACGAAAGCTAATTTTTTTTTAAAACTTTAGGCCTTTTTCAATGAAATTCCAAAACGATACATAAAAAGTTACTGCCTGAAAGTACTTGAGTAAAAAAAAACGTTGGCACTGTATCGACTCAAAAAAGCTAACTTTACAAAGGCGTGTGAATTGACAGTTTCCTGACAGAAAGTTCAACTGACCTGCCACAGTTTTCCGGCGCGGCTCTGGCCGTGTTGGTAGTCGGCGACGCCTCTGACGAGCGCCCAGGATCTGATGCAGGAGCCGACAATCGACGCTACGACAGAGTCGAAGCCGACGTCGATTGAGCGCACGTGGAACGACTCGGCAAACGATTCTCGGATCTGAATCGCCAATGATGATTTCGGATCGAACTTTTCAGCAAATGAGAATTTCCTTCACCTGTGTGATGGTGTCCTCGTCATTCTCGGTCGCCGCGTATTTTTTCAAGCTGGTCAGGGCGCCGACTGTGCCCATGTGGAACTGAAAACCCATAGATTTTAATATTTTCAGGAATCGGAAATATACTTCAGGGCCGGCGCGATTTGCATTCGGATGGGGCATCACGACGACGTTTCCTTTGGAAACAGGCATCGCCAGGACGTCGCTCGATTCTGGCGGCGAACTCCAGTCCACGTCTTGAACGAAAATCATGTCATTTCCAAAATTATTAATTCATAAAATGTTAACTTTATCAGGTCGCGTTGCAAATTTCCCAGCTACTAGTTTTTTGATTAATGAATCGCATTAAGCAATCAGAGAAAAATCACTAGTTTTAGCGGCACAAGAAACTTTGAAAATTGAGATTATTTTCAAATGTTTTTATTGTAAACTGCATAGTGTTCCAAAAATATCTAACACATGAATTTTAGAGACCAAAATAATTTCATCGCTACTAATGAAGACTAAATACGCTGATAAAAATCTTGCCTTCGCAACTTCCAAACATTCTCTCAAGTCCGAATTTTCTGGTTACTTTCAAATTAGTCAAATTTTGAAAATTATAATCTCAATTATTGCTCACCTTTTCATTTATTATTCAAAAACCGAAATAATGAGAGCCAACTAATATATTAACACTTATATGAAATATAGAATTATTCTGCAACATTTGGTGCTTTTTTGTGTAAAAATAACTTCAAATACATTAAAATCACTTGATTTCACGACATCGAGACACATCGAATCCAATTTTTTTTTCGAAACGTTCACCACTTTCTTTGGTTTTCAATCAAAACCAAAAAGAATATTTAATACCTGGCGCCGAGCTCTGAAGCCTTCGAATCGCCTCGTTCGTCATTTTTCCCCACTCTTTTCGCAATTCTTCGCCGCCATCACTCACGATATTTTGAATACTTTTGTCTGGAGCGTCCCAGTTTCTGAATATTTCTAATTAATGATCAATCAAATGAAATAAAATTACAAAAGACTTGCTTTTCCATTAGAATAAGTGAAAAAAAAACCTGATTCCGAAGCCGGTTAGAACGTTTGGTATCACGGTTGAACATCAGCTCGTGGGCATAAACGTAGGCATGAGGATTTGAAGCAGAAATCACGGCATCGCCTGCAAAAAAACTCTTCATTTTTTTTGATTTTTGAGAATACATTCACATCAAATTTCGGTTAAATAACTTGTTTTCCGTATTCAGAAGAAAAAAATTTTTATCAAAGTTAAAAAAATTTTTTTGTTTTTTTCATATTTTAAAAGTAGTTTTTTTTCTGCTTCGTATAAAAATAAAACGTCGGAAAAAAACCATTCTAATTTCGATTGAAACATGAAAAAAAGGACACAACGTCTATTAAAATAAAATGATTTCTAAAAAAACTAGGGGAGAAAAAGTTTTTTTTCGAGTAAAATTGGGAAAAAAAGCTATTTTTTTAAAAATTTTTTTGAGACTTTATAGAAGTTCAACCAGCGCGGTATCTCTAAAATTGAACTTTCTTGCTAGTTTTCATCAAATTAGAGTAGCTGGTTTTTCGATATAATCTTATTCTTTTCTGGATTAAAATGTTTTTTCTGATACTTCTCTTCACTTTCTAATCTTTAAAAAATCCTTCGAAGCTTTAGAGATCCAGAGAAATCTCTGCTCTTATTTTCTTTTGAAGAACCTTTTCTTAAGTTCAAAAGAACCCCATTTACAATATTCTGAAGTTTTTTTTTTAGAAAAGTGAAAGTTTTTACCGAGACGAGCATGAAGCCGCTCATCCGTGTAATGAGGGACGGCCCCGCCGACGCCGACCACGAAAACGTGCTCGATTTGTTGGAAGTTTCCGAGCAACCTGGAAAAAAAGGATTTCACAACGCTGTTTTATGATTTCGATGCATCGCTGAACAAAAAGATGACCTTGTCGTGATGGATCCGGCACTGGTGATGGCTTCTCGGGAGTCGCCGATGAGGCCCAACTTCGTCGCGACAACTTTGTGATTTCCAATTCTTCCCAAGGTGTAAACGTTGGATTCTCCCCCGGTTTTGTATTTGTGAATCGATGTGCTGTAATGAAAAGTTTCTTGAACAGAAAAGATACGAAAAAGGAGGTTTATACAAAACATTTTCAACAAAAGAACTCTGAAAAAATATTTTTTCAATTTCTCCTGCGAAAACAAAAATTTTTCACACTTACCTGTCTTCAATCAAGGAATCCATGGCTTGCTTTTCAACAAAAAGACAGGTAATAATCGCAACAGTCGGTTGATCGTGATCGATTCCTGAGGATCAATAAAAATCCGAGCCCTTTTTAATTTAAGCTACCATTCCTAGTAGTTGGCTGGCTTTTGCTGGTGTTCCTGAGCCATTCGTCGCTTTCCGCCAAATAAGTCGCGATTCCGGCTTCTTCGAGCTCTGCCAGGTAGGCCGACGCTTCTTCTTCCTTACATCTTCAAACGAACGAATTATTTCTACCGCATTCCCAGAAAAACAACCTCAAAGCCTCGGCGATGAACCGAAGATTGAGGCCATTCGGATAAGCGTGTTCGAGAACTTCTTGAACGTGGCCGATCGTCACTTCTTCTACTTCTGATTCTGATTCTGATTTTTTCTTATAGGTTCAGTTTATTAATATTCAGCCTGGTACCATATTGAGCTGCATCAGGAATAGAAATCTGTTCATGCTTCTCGACAATTTTGTAGTCGATAATAATGCTGGAGATATCCGGAAAGTCTTGTTGCAGCAACTTCATCGTTTTCTTCATGAAAGAAACGTAATCTTCAAAAAAAGTTATACAAGTTTTGAAGAATTTTAACAAACCGGTAGGAAAGCTGCTCATCAACGTTTTGAAGAACTTGTGAACGACGGCTCGCCCATGATCCAATTCGATGTCAGCGCCCAGTTTGAACAGAAGCGAGCGTTTCTCCTGAAAAAAAAATACCGAAAAATCATTCGAAACCTTTTTGGTTACCTGAACTTGCTCTATTTGATCATTCCCGTCTTTCTTCCTGTTAGTAAGCCACACAGAAAACGATAAGGCAACGTCGCTCTCGAAATCTTCTGAAAAATTAATTCATAAGTAAACAAAACAACTTTCCTCTCAAAACACCGATATTAGCCGGCATAAGCTTGTTGACAACGATCCCCACATGAGAACCAGCCCCAACGTGCAGAACATTGTACGAGTCGATAACTTCATACTCTCTGAATAACTAAAAAACGTTAAATCATCAACAGGTGAGCACGAAACCGATGAATTCGTGCAATATTATGATTGGAACTCTGTTTCAAAGGAGTTAGCACCACAAGACTTTTTCCATACATGCTATTCATCGTTCGTTGCTACTAGAAGACGTCTGAAGAGTTAACGATTAGTCAGGACACATCACATCACAGAAGAATATGCGAACACTCGTCCAGTGATACACAAAAAAAACTGTGAATTTGCGAACAGAAAAGACAAAAAGGCAAAACATGATAATGACTAGTTCAACATAATTTTAAGAAATTCGCAACGGAAAATCGAATTTTTCCTGAAAAAGTGTTAATAATGCTTTCCTACAGTGGTCTTGATGAGTATTTCGCGAATAACCAAAAATCACTGAACGCGCCATAATTACAATATTTTTTTCAAAATTTTTAAAAAAATTTGAAATTTTTTTGCGTGAAACACACTGGAAGGAACCAGAGAGCGTTACCGTAATTTTTTTCAAAAAAATATGTTGGGAGTTCTTTTTCAGATTAAAGTTAAAAAGGTACCTTGTTTTGAAGAAATTTCAAACTCGTAAAGTAAATAAATTTTAGAACGAATAAAAAAAGAATGTGGTAGGTTTCCAAATTTACTCAAATTCATTTTTTTAGAAAAATAATTATTTAAACTTTTCTTATTATGTATGACAGGTTTTTTTATTATCTATCTCATGATTTATGCATTTCAACATCCTGTGAGCAAACCGATTCATGAAAGTGTGGAGAAAGAGCAGTGAGGGTACATAAAAAGCAAAGGTAAATACGAAAATATGACGAGAAGCGCCTGATAGGGCGTCTGATTCACAGAGAAGCCAAGAAAATATCGATAAGCGACTTTTTATCTTTCAGTTTTTAAGAAAATGGCGACCATCCAACGTTTTCCTTTACCTGTGAGTTTTTTTCTTAAATAAAATTTTATAATTTTCACTTTCTCTTTTTTTGGGAAGAAAAACAGTGTGCGTCTCACCCTGAACTGCAAGAAATAATTTCTTTTTGTTCCAAATGAAACTACTCAGTTTTCATTATTTTTTTTCAGACCCTGCCCTTCGGCAGAAACCTCGATCATGGTCTTCCAGTAGGCTCGAAAGTGGAAATTAGCGCCAAAGCTTATCCTGATCAAATCAAGTAAGCCATAATGAAAATTGTGAGAAAAGGGAAAAAAATAAAAAAATTTTTTTAATTTTTTTATAAAAAAAGCAATGATCGATTAACATAAAGAAACACGGACACGTGATCATTTCGTCTTTTTATGACTCACAGAGCACCGTCTAAACAAAGAGAAATAGAGATCGTGTAAGGAAGGATGGAATCAAATTTTATTTCGTGAAAAGGTATTTTTATGGTGAATTTTTGGAGAAATTAGTAACTTTGAGAAATGCGGATCAAGAAAAACTTGGAAAAATTTTGAGAAAAGTTCGTAAAAATGACGAAGAATTCAGGACAGCGGTGCTGAGGTTGAAGACGCAGCAGAACGACGAAGCGCTGCGTCTCGTGCTGCCGTTTCAACCAGATGCCAAGGTTTGCGGGTATAAAAATTTGCGAGAAAAAGCCGCCGATGGCGGCCGGATGAGAGCAGCTGAGGCGAATGGCCACGCGCCATTCATACAACCCAATTTGGACCTAACGAGCTGCCTGAAACAAGCGTTGGCATCGTTCCAAGGCCGTTCGGAGGCTCCATCCATCTCCGATGTTGCCGTTTTAGAGGATGACTCACGTCTCTCGAGACGCGCAAAACTATACTTTTTCATTTCGAAAGAGAACAATAGAATATTTCAAATGTTACCATGAAGTATATAGAAGAAGGAACGCCATTCTTGAATTTCTCGGGAAAAATATTCACATTCTCAGGGTGTTCAGCCCTTCCTTTCATTTTTTGTATCTTGTTACTCGTAAAAAATAATCGAATCGAAATTGAAAACCAAAATGAAAAGAAATTTTAATTTTATGTCCAAAAAAATCCTTTTTTTTTTTTGAAAAGTTTGTAGATGATCTCAAAGAGGGACTACTTATTCAAAAAACTGCTTGATTTGCATTTTTTTTTCTAAATAAAATGATCAAATATTCAAAAAAACAAGAAAACTTTTGGCGAAGAAAAGTCCTTCAAAAACTTGGCAGCGATGTCAAGGTCTGATGGATTGTTGAAGCGAGAAAATTCTAAATCGTTTCACGATTTTTTGCACGATGAATCGCTTTCGGAGGAATCCATTAGCAATAAAACAAAGCGTAAAAATGAAAAAAAAAAACGAAGCAACTTCCGATAACAAAACAAGAAGAAACTGTGATTTTTCGAGGATGGTCAAAAATTCAAGAGAAGAAAGTAAATTCAGATGCGAATGGACTGCGTGATCGGTGGGACGACGTCGAGTGCGGTGGAGAATCCTGTCCGAATCGCCATCGGAGCTCCTTTCAAGCTGCAGTTGCTCTGTCGGCCTCACTCTTTCGAGGTTGTGCACTTTCTCGTTGGGAAAAGGAAAACAGTTGCACACAAATGTACAGAAACTGACATATGACTTCTGAATTTCATCAATAAGGCATCTTTTTCCAGACTCACTAGAGGCTCTAATTCATGGAAAATTTGTTCAGATACTACTCGACGGCACTCACATTGCTGACTTTGTCCACAGAACAAATCCAGAAGATATCAAAGAAGTTATTTATTTCCTCCAAATATTTCTTATTCGTTGATTTTAGATTAGCATTGGAGGACCTTTGATCTGTGAAAATGTCGTCGTGGAAGCTGGTGAGTCAGCTTATATTTCTTTTTTTCATCAAAAATTTGAAGATTTGCATTTTTCCAATTAGTTTCTTTTTCAGCAAGTGGTCCACCGACTTATTATCAAGCTATTGGAGGCTCTTCCGCTTCAGGTGCTTTTTTTCCACACTTTAATGATAATTATGGGATTCTAGCCCCGGAGCTTCCTCAAAAGCCAAAAGAAGTTCCTACGAAGCCGTCAGGACCTGCCGACGAAGATTTCCCGCCGCCGCCAACTTCTATTGGGGTATATTTTTTTTAAATTTTGTGTAGAAATCAAGTTATTTGCATGGAAATTAAGAAGATTGAATTTATTAGGGACTGATGAAAAATAATTTAGAATCGTCCAGCTGCCGGCTCGACCACCACAAGCACTCTTTACACTGGCAGTTCGCAGGTATTTTTTTCATTTTGATAATGAATTTGGAAAAATTGAAGAAAGAAAACTCATCTGTTATTTTAACTACACGTTCCAGAAAAAATTACTGCTTCTTCTTGTTTTAAGTTTCCCTTTACTTGATAACGTAAAAATGAAGGAAAAAAGTGGTAACAGACACATTTTATGCGGCTTTTCCATATAAATAGGCTAGTTCAAGTTATTTTTTTTTGAATTTAATTCCTAGCCAAAACTTGAAAGCTCACCACCTTTCAAAATGTTTGCAGGGCTTCTCCAACCATCCATATCCACTGCCAGGCCTCGTCGACCAATCCACATACTCCTCCCAACAGCACCAACCAGGATCTCTACCGCCTAGACCAACAGTGCAGCCACCAGCACCTCCTCCAGCTCAGACTCGCGTCCAACCGACGCAGCCGACCCAATCCAGCTTCGCGCCGCCTCCTCCAGATCCAAGCAGGACGACTATCGTTCCTTATCCAACTTCCGACTCGGCGTCCTATCCGAAGCCTCAACCGCCACCTCAAAGCTCAATCTCCCTCTCAACTCCTGGCCGAAACGTGAGTTCCTTGAATCACTATCAGTAAAACTACATGGATGAAAATTTAAAAAAAAAATTAATTTTTAATCATACGTTATCTCTTTTCAAATTTTAAGAAACTTTGGATCGAACTTGAAGAAAACGACTTTCTAAATACTCTGCAAACTATTTAAAAGCTCGTCTAATAGCTTGAAACTATACTGTATTTCATTTATCTCCACTATCTACTTCTACGGGATTTGCAAACTGACCTGTTTTTTGTTCGTAGTTTTTGTTTGTTCTCGAAACTTCCTTCTCTTCAATTTCTTCAATTTTTTCAGGATTACTCGAACTATCCGCCACCAACATCGACGGCTTATCCTCAACATCCAGGAGGCTACGGTCCACCTCAAATTCCGGCTCAAATCCCACAGCCACAGTTTCAACAACAGCTTCCTCAGACGTACCTTCCATACAATCCTCAGGTACTTATTTCGTTCAAAACATCATTTTTACCGATTTTTCGCAGGTTCAGATGCCGATAGTTCAGCCAACTCTGGTTGCCGCACAGCCTGCTGCTGCCTATCCTTATGGTATACTAATTTTTCTCATTTTCAATTTCACTTCAAGTTTTTCAGCTTACCAGCCGGCATACTACTACCCTCCAAACGTCTACGAATACTATCCAGGGGTTGGAAAATTTCCATCAAGATTCAAAAATTTACGTTTTCCTTTCAGTACCACTACCGCCATCATCATCACCACCATTGCGATTAAATAGCTTGGTTTTTTTATTGTATAAATATTTTTATTAAACATTTCTACAACGACTTTGCACGGGAATCGGTCAATAATTTGAGCTTGCGAAGAAATAATTTCACCAATTTATCTCTTGTTGGAATGACGTCATGTTTGGGATGTTCTGAGGGCGCGGAGACGTCCGGCTTCTCGAATCTCGTGCATCAGATTGTCCCGGACGTTTGCCGATTCCTAAAAATTGATATTTTTAGTGATTGGCTGATGGCGAACTAACCTTCGAGGCAGGTTGTGGTGAATCTGGCATAGTGTTCTTTCTGAAATGAAACGATGAAAATTGAAAATTGCTTTTTTTCTAAATTGTTTCTTCTTTGAGAAAAATTGAAACTGTCCTCTCCAGATGAATTTTATGTTTGATTGTTTTGTTATATCGATCATTTTACTCTAATGCAAAAACGCACCCTGCAGAAGACTTGACAGGTATCAGAAGTCCTGCAGGCGGTGGTGGCGGTGGCGGTGGCGGCGGTGGAGGCGGAGGAGGAGCTGGAGGTACCGACGACGGCGGAGTCACAGGCGGGAGTCGATCTTCCTTCAGTGAACTGTCAGAAGTTGGCAGTGGAGGAGGCGTTGACGTCGTGGCGGGAGTGTCAACCACTCTTCCCATCGAAATTCCGATCCGTTCGACGGGAGCTCCAACCTTCCTCAGTTTGGGGACGAATCCTGCAGGAAATATCTCTCCGATTCCTTTTGGCGAGCCGCCAATCTTGGGGCTCGGCTGCTTTTGCACTGGAGCCTTTTCAACTGGCCGCGTCACAATCGGCGACTTCTGAACCTTCTCGAGTTGGACGACCTTCGGTTTGTCCCCGTTACGCAGCTTGACTAGAGCTTCCTCGGGAGATTTCTGCCGTTTTTCCACCGTCGCGGCATTTTCCTCGAATGAAATGCGGTGTTTTTTGAGTTGCGTCGGCCCGTTGGGCAACGACGGCCGTTTCTCGTCGTCATCTAGACGCAATTTCACGTCAATCTGCGGCGTCGTTTCCCGGATTCGGTCGAGTTTCGGCGGAGAGATGACTTTTGCGGCCTTTGGAGACGTTTGGGTCGTTATGGTTTTGGATGGTTGCCAATTGAGAGAGGAAGACACTGGCGGCGCCGGTTGGGAAATCGGTGGCGGAGGCTTTTTTGCCTGCAGCGGTGGAGATCGGGCAAAGATTGGCGCCGGCGAGTTCTGAATAGCGTCATGAATGTGAAATCTTCGAAATGAGAGAAGCAAAAAAAGCAAATTTCTGACATAGGGCTCTTCCTGTATTAATTCCCTTTGAACTGTATGAATTCCAACTCAAACGCATTCGTGAGTTCTACAAAAACTTGGAAGCTATTTTGAAGGGTTAGTAGATCGTTTCATCGCATTACTCTGCACAATTATCCCTTTTTCAAAACAGAGAAGTTTTTCGCAATACTTGGATCTTTTGTGGAGTCCTTTCTCAATGAAAATTTAGATTTCAATGACATCTTCCTATTCCCACCTTCACGGCTACCGGAGCCTCTGACGGCGGCTTGGACCTCCGGAAGTCCCTCTGAAGAGTCGACTCCTTGACCGCCTGCGGCTCTTCTCGAACCGCAGGTTTCAGAACTGCGGAAGCGCTTGTCACTCTCTGATGACGGATCATTTGTTCGCGTCTTAATTGCTCGTCAGCCTCCCGTTGCAACCTTTCCACCGCCATCTGCAACTTCCGTCGCCATTTTCAGTTTCCTGAGCAACTCCTACCGAGTTCTCCAGAGAGTAGGATGGCGCCTTCCGGTGGTAGACTTTCGGGAGCTCGTTACTGTTCTCGTCCGTTTTCCTCGCTGAAAAAGCTGACGTAGGAGAGAAGGAAGAAGATGAAGAGGAGGACGGCAAGGAGATTACCGAAGGGGCGTTTTGTTTTCTGAAAAAGGCCCAATTATGAATCCTTTAGTAATCTCAAACTCACTTGAAATTAGGGACTACAGGTTTTTCAACCCTTTTTTCGACGAAAACGTGTCTTGGCGGTTTTGGCGGCTCAGCTTCGACATTAACTTTTTCTACCGGTTTCCCTTCGTCGTTGAGCAAAGACCGAAGTGCGTCGTGCTCTCGAAGAAGTTCTTCCTGAAGGATTTATCAATTTTCCCCTACTTTTGAACGACAAAAAGTTGAAAAATTAAAATGAAAGTTTGGTAGACTTCTGTTAGAACTTTCTATGTTTCGAGTTTGATATTGAAGTATCCAACAAAAACCTTGTACTTCTTTTCTCGCAAAGATCCTTCCTCGGTGGCTTTCAATGACTGCCAAACGCTGAACTTCTTCGTCAACGTCTCGAACATTTGCGATGGATCGTCTTTTTTTGGGGATAACCTGAGCAACACCCTAATGAAGATAAAAGCGTAATATTTACCTGTTCGAAGGCGAGCTTTTCGAAGGAGAAGCCAGAGTTTTCATAGTAGGAAGGGCAACAGGAGACGGAGGTTTTTCTATTGGAGGCGACGGCGCTTTTCTTTCTTTCCGCCGTTTTGGCAGCTTTTCCACGTACTGTGTCACTGGGATTGATGGCATTCTGGAAAAAAAAAAAGATTCCTGGCCAAGTCGAATGCGAGGAACATGTGGAAATGGGAAATTTATCTTATAAGAAGAAAATAACAAGAATATTGAGGCTATGGAAAACAACTTTTGCAAAAAGAAAAGTACTTTAGCGCTGCAAGTTACTTTTTGCGCTCGATGATTCATTCTGAGTCAACTCGGGTCTTAGCAACTCAAAAACCTCTTTCACTTTATCAATAAGTGCTATAAACCTTGACAATTTTGAAAAAAAAAACTGTGAAAATGATCCTCAACGAAAAATATCTGCTCAGCCTTTTGAAAAATTAGTGTGTGTTTCAAAATCTGTCCTTTTCGCTGGATGAACAAAAAAATGAAATAAAATGAGGGAATTATTAGCCAAAGGACGCGAATTCTGTCAGGCTTGAAAATATCAAGATGAAGATGGCGAGATTATTGGCATCCAGGTGCAGCCAAGGAAAAAAATTAGCAGAGATCCGCCTTTATTTCGAACTCTTCTCCGGTCTTTTAGAAGTTACATATGCTATCTATATCAGTTGGTTAAAGACTGATACGACCTATATATATATTGATCTAAGTTTGGCATAACAGAAGCTCAGAAAAAAGCTACTAGTCACTTCGGACAAACACTTCAAAAAAACTACTTCTGTGGTTCTATTCATTTTTGCACACCCCGCACGTTTCATGAGTCACAACAGCCTGATTGAATCGTTTTGATTTGGGGCGCCGTTGGGAAATTCCTCGGTTGTAAATGCTTCATTAGAGATTGGAAACTGGGGTTTTCTATTGAACCAAACGCTGAATTTCAATTTGAAAATACCTCGGGCTTCAATTTAGGAAACGTCATGTAAAAGAAAAGATAAAAAAAAGTCTTAAACAGCTCTAAAACATTCACTTACTCATAATTTCTACGAAAATTTTTTGATAAAATGACATATGATATTGAAAATGCTTCCGTCATAAACACCGAGAAAAAAAGCTTCTCTCGAACTTTTTTTATCATGATTAAAACATTCAAAAAAATTTAAAAAAAGATTTTTTTCAGTCGTTTTTCATGAAAAAAAGATGAAAAAAATTAAATTGGGTAAAAAAATTTTGCACGAAGATTTAAAAATATTATAAAAGGGAAGATTCATAATACTATGAGCGATTCAAAATTTTCGCACTTACAAAAAAATTTTTTTGAAAATTTGATCTATTCAAAAAAAGAATGAAAGTTCTCAACAGGGCTTCCAAAAAAAAAAAATCATCATTCATTCAAATAATTATTTTTGAAGCAGTTAAAACTGTTTTTTGTCAGCTAGAGAATTCAAAAATATATTGATTCTCAGAAAAAAGAAAATTCAGCTTTATATCAAAAAACTTCAATCAGAAAGCCCAACATTTTCCGAAGCTATTCTTCAAAAAGTTAGCATAACTTCCCCATTTTGTTCAAAGTCAAGGACTTTTTTTTGGCTAACAACGTGTTTTCAGATAGGTCAGGGTTATCTGAAATCGAAAAACTGTCTGGGATCAGAACAACACTTTTAATCAAAGTTATTATTTTTGCAATCCTACCTCAGAATCTTCTCATCCGACAAGCTGGCAATATTTTGAACTTCTCTTCGAGATCAACTTTTTTTTTTCTTTGCAAACCCCATGCCTTTGAAGAGGATATCGGAATTTGAAATCGAAAAGTCCTCGTTTCCTTGAAATACCGTTTCCACTTGAAGTATCTCCGACTATTTTCAGAATGACGAAAAAAAAAGAAAAATTGAAAACCGAAGGAGGAGATCTTGAGAAACATGCAAAGGACAGGACGACATACATAGACACAAAAGGAGGAGTGTGAAGGAAGGAGGAAAGTGAAGAAGAAGAAGAAGAAGAACGAACGCGGAGTGGTGGTGGTCGAGGAGGAGGATGTTGCTGCGGCGCTGGACAATGGGCGAGTCGGAATGGACGGCGGCCGAGGCGCGGCTGCGGAGCGACCCGTGCGGCGAGTAGTGGATCACGCTCGTTTGCACAACTCGGCTCACCTGCAAGTCCTCCAGTTCCTTGTTATCAGCTCTTGTCCTCAATGGCTCTTGGCTCCCCGCCGAGGTCAAAATTTTCTACCGTGTTTCTACACTGCTCTGGCTAGCAAATCACAGCGAAAGACTCTTTCAAATGACAAAAATGTCTATTTTTTATACTTAGGAAGAGAGTTATTCCACCTTGCGGTTGGGATTTCCCTGAAAATTAGCCAAAACTCCTTGATGTCCTAGAATAGTTTGCTGAAAGTCTCAACCTGCACAAGTTCCTAGTTTTCAAGAAAGACATCTGAAAGTCAGTGAAAACCGTCAGATGCCAATAGAATAGGCTATTTAGGGAGTTCGAGGTCTTATTTCTCAAAAACCAGAATTTTGTGCAGTTTTCTTCAATTTCGCTGTGCTGGTGCTTCTGCTTCATTGACCTTCTGAAGCTTTGAACGATTAAAACCTTTTTTTTGTTTGAAACTTCAAAAATCAAAAAATCAAAAAAGAATAATCAAGTGATCAGATTTTTGAATTCATTGGACTAGAAGACTTTTTAAAGACGTTTGTTGCGTTCACAAATACATTCATGGATATTTTTGGAGTGATTCGCCCGTTAAATTAATGATGAATTCGAGTAGAAATAATCAACTCAGAGGAAATGGAATGAGACTTGTTCAACCAATGAATGAATTGATCAAACAACGCTTCCTAAATCATAGAGTCATACCCATTTGGAACCAACTGGAGAGAGAAACTATCATTGAATACGAAATCGGCAAGTTTCAGATTATGCTCACCTCATGGTTCGAATCAAACACATCGTTTTTAAAATCATTTGATCCTACTAAAATCTAGAAAAATTCTAACTTATTAAAAAAACAAAGAACAAACTTAAATACCAAATGGGGGTTAGCACCGTCTATTCAGACAATCTTTTCCTCCAGCCGTTTCCACAGATCAGCTGTTAGATTTATTTGATTGTTTTGATGTTTTATTTTTGTATTTGTCGTGCTGATTGCGGAATGGCGAATAAACACTTGAAATGAAAATGAAATTGCTAATTTTTACAATTTAAAAAAATTCCAATTACTTCTTAAGACTTCAAAAAAACTGGGTAGGAAAAGAAGGTTATTGATTTCCAAAGTTTATTTTTAAAAAAAGATCGGTTTCGAGATAAACAATTTCCTCTCGCTTTTTTCCGGTGGACACAACCAAACTAAGCCCACTTGTTGAGCTTCTTTCCAAACAAACAAGGTGAGACAAGCCGCGCTTAACAATGAAGAACGCGCGAACGAAAAAAAGAACAAACAAAAAACAGAAAAAAAAACATATGAGAAACTCAAACCTGTAGGTCGAGGTCAGGCTCTTCGATAGGAGTTGTGACAGGATCCGGGGTTAGCATCGGCGGCTCAGCGTTGACGTCATCGGTCTTGCCGACGGCAGCAGAAGAGCCGCGACCACTGTCGTCGCTGGCGTCGCTTCGCGTCTCCACCTCGACGACTTCTGCGACTTCGGCGGCTTCTGCGACTCCAGTTGTCGCCGGTTCGCGCATCTCATCGTCGTCTGCGACGGCGCCGAGGCTAAACGATCTGAGTTAATGACCGCAACGGATTCACCCATTTTTACAAAGCAGTAGCGTTTTTTTTTTCATTTTATGCTTCATTAATATTTTCTTGATTTCGAGCTTGTTTTTAGAATTTTTAACATGTAAAAGTGAGATAATCCTCAATGAGAATTAATGGAACAGAACATTTTGTTGTACAAGATGAAGATCATGAAACTTTTAACCTGGAGCAGATCAAAAGTTCAAAATATCCGATTCATGCTCCACCTTCTTTGAGGCCGACCTTGTCAAGACGCTAATGATTGAACTGAACTCAGAAAAACAACGATAAGAGCGGTTCCTGGTATAGCCTGAAAGCTTTTCCCTACTTTCTAGTCAAATAAAACTAGACTAATACAAAAAAAAAGATGAGTATAAAAAGAAGATGCGGCTCTTCAGAATCAGATCGAACTCAAAATCAGCCACTAGAGAATTTTGAATCGGAAAGAGAGGAAAATGAAGCTCAATAGAGAGATTGAATAGACAGAAGAAGTTGGCTGTCGGCCTCATCCCACGTATCTACCGCGCAAATGCAGATGTTCAGCGGACACAGAAGGGACCGCCCGTTTCAATGGTTCGTTGTGTTCGTCGTGTGTGTCGCTATGTTGACACAATATTGCAAAAAGCGACAAAACGGACGAATCTCCTCCACCTTCATGGCGTCGGCCAATTTCAGGGACCGCGTGCAAGTCCGCTTCCATTGATATGCGAGCGGAGGCCATTGATATTCATAAAGTAAGAATGGCGGACCGTGGGATGAACAGGAAGTTGATGGAAAAACTTTGAGAGATGTGGTCGGGCAAGGGAGTTCGTTCTGCTGAGCTAGGGACCGCAAAGCCACGCCCCTTTTCGCGATGGAAAAAGTGGCTTTTTTTTGGTTTTCAACTTTCATTTTGTTGTAGTTGCAAAATATGTGGAACTGGATAATAAATTTTGACACACATGTACAGAAAAAGCTTCCTCTTTCGTTTAAAAAAATATTTCACGCTTTTTTTGATGCGTTCTCGCGGAATGTCGTACAAAAAAACGTGAATGGAACTAAAAAAATTTTTTTGTCATTTTTTTGCTTTTTTTTATGTGTTTTTCAGGTCGAACGCACTCTTTCTTTTTTTATATAATGATTTTGATTCAAGTAACGGTAATTTTAAAACAATAAAATAAAAAAATTCGTCTTTGCCAAAAAAATTTTAGGGAGTGCCGAAAGTCATAATTCAAAAATATCGTTAATAAGCGAATATAATCAAGTTTTTTTGTTTTTTTCAAAATTTAGACCATGGGCTTACTTAAATTTTTTTTCTCCACAGCATCTGCGCTTGAAAAAAAGTTGTTTAATACACAAAAAAATGCTCTTGAAACTAGAGAATAAAAATTAGTGGCTTTTTATCACACAGAAAGCGGTCGAACGCAGGTTTTTTTCAAACGATTATATACATTTATTAGTAAAAAAATCTTTCAATTAAAAAGAATAAAAATAAAAAAATTCGTCTTTGCCAAAAAAATTTACGGGGCCGTTTTAAGGCAGCGATCGTTAAACGAGGAAAAAAAGCACTAAAAAAACAGTTTTTTTCGAAGTGAATTTTTCACGGAAAGTTTGAGTAAAGATTTGCGAACATATTCTGATAAAAAAATAGCTGAATTACTTCAAGTTTTTTTATTTTTTTGAAATAGGCAATCTGTGCTATTCAAACGGCTCAAGGGTAAGGTGGATGGAAGCTCCCCTCGCTAGGCCTGACAGCTTGGCGCAGCGCGTGCGCCGCGAAATTTCATTTTGAGGTCGCGAGTTCGATGCCCGCAAGCGTCAGTTTTTTGTTTTCTGGAAAATACCGACTTTTTCGGCAAACTAGCTAATTTTCATCATTTTAGAGCTCTATTATGATTTCTTACATCATAATAGACCAGTATCAAAACTTGTTCTAGAAGAAAAATCGAGAAAAATGTCAAAATGGATAATACCAAAATTTCAGTACTAAAAAAATGGTGCGCAGTGCGCCACATTTTTCGTCATAACTTTTTTCATCTTCAATCTTTTCGAAAAACTCAACGGTTCTGAGTTTTGAATCGGAACAGCTATCAAACCATACAAAGCTCAATGCTGAAAAAAATTTTTTGAAAATTCGTCTGCGGTCCCTATGCTGAGCTTAAGAATTAATTTATTTGTTTGACCGGTTAGAAATGAGCTTTTACAGATAGTTCAACTCATTATAAGAACATGATAAAAATATGTGGAGTTCCAAGGAGTATTTTCCAAGTTGCGAATATGATCAGCCACCAACTGCCACGCAGAGGATACATTTTCTGGTTAATTCTTGTCTTGGGAATGAAAAATGATTCGAGACACCTAACGCTCATTTCCATCTGACCAACCTAATAAAGTGGGTCAAGTCACTTTCGAATGCACTAAATCAATCTCGAGCCGCTCGAAATTAATAATCACATGAAAAAAGGTGCGAAATCCAATTTCCTAACAGTACTTTGCAAAAGTGGTTGAAGAGGCCTGCTTTTTTCCCAAAAATTTTATGGAGAGTCTGATGTTCAGATCTTCATTCAGTACATTTTATGTGCTACGGCCAATTAATCAGCATGAAAATACATGGCCTCTACGGAAGAGGCCATGTGTTTTCTTTAGAGGCTCTACGTATGGAATTCAAATGTTTTAAAACAGAAAAAACGAAAACTTGTACGTAAAGTTGAGTAAAAAATTAAGATCGAAATACCCTCGCCTGTGAACTCAAAAAATTAACAAAAGGAAAAGCTCACAGAGATTTTCATCTTCTCCCAGTCAAATTAATCTCATTCATTTTTCTTATTATTACTTCCGCATAAAGCTAATTCCTGAAATACTGATAGGTTCAAATTTGAAGCATGATGAAGTTTCTGATCGAAGTGACTCTTGTGAAAGCAACTACTATTTCTCCTTGAGAGTTCTTTAAATGATTTCGATTCCCTTCCGAACAAGCTTCTATCTGATCTAACTACATATAACTAAAAAGCAAAAAAATAACACAGTTTAACGCCAATCAACTTTTTTTCAAGTTATTAATAAAAAGTGTAATCAACGTCGTCAGTAATTTAAACCAGATGAAATGAGAGGTACCTATTGACAACGGCATCCGGTTGGGTTGCTGGAGAAGTCGTCCGCTTCTGAATCACCCAATTATCCACAGATGGAATCAAAGAGAAAGAGAAAACCTTCTTGAAGAAGCCAAGGAATCCCTTCTTCTCCTTCATGTCAGGGCGACAGAGAGTGTCAGTACGACGACATGACGTGGCGAGGCTCCGAATCGAATCGATGAAGGAGGAGTCCCGTAGGAGGTGATAAGCGGTTATCAGACGAGGTTCGGAATGCCGCAGGTGTGGGTAACGAGGCAAAGGTGCGCCGCTGACACGTCGAGTGCGGACAGGTCGGCTGTTGACTTTTCGCACGGCCGATGCCGTCAAAATCGTCCAGTCGAGTCCATTTGCGGAGCCGACCTCTTTTTCTTACTTGTGAGGTCCCAGCTGGAACAAGAATCTCTGATAACAGCGCCTAAGTTTGACTGGTTTCGTAAAATTTGATAAAAAGTGCATTCAAAGAAAAATCTTTAAAAGGCAAAACCTCGTTTGTCCCATTTCTTTTTGAAAAACCTGAATGGACCCAGATATTCTATTCAGTTCTACAAATCTTTTGGATAGTTTGAAAATCGATATGCTTGCATGACCCGAAATAACACGAAAAAAGCTCTCCGCCTCTAGAAATTCCGTTTTTTCTCTAAGATTTCTTAAACATCTCAGCATTTTTTTTTTCGAAAGAACTGTATAAAAACAATTATTAAAACATGAAATGAGAAATCCGATTTAATTTGATCTCTCAGTTTTTTCGATCGCTATCTCTTCTATCGGATATCTAAGCTCTTTATATTACATACTAGAGTTGGATACAGAAAACTGGAAAAATGATGGAAAATCTATGTAGATCGCTTGAAAATATAGATGAAGAATGTTGAAAATAGCGTGGAAGTCAAGGAAATCTATGAAACCTATGATGAAGAGATTCATAAAACTTATGGGAAATTTAGAAAAAAAAATGAAGGAAAATGAAATATTATGCGAATGTCGGAAAAACGGTGTGAAATTATTCTCGAAACAATTTTTTTTATGTGAACGACCTTTTTATTTTAGCACACTCTTTCAGAAAAGGAGCTTCACTGATCTTGAGTTTTTCCCAATCATTTTTAAAGGTTTTTCTTTGATTCTATCACTTTGGTCTCCACATTTCCCAGTGAAATTAATGATTTGCGAAAGAATTGAAAAATTATTTCCTCTTCATTGAAAAACCGTTTGATTGGACAACGCGGCAACATATCCAGTTTTTTTCCCGACCGAGAATAAAAGCGCGATTTTTTCTGTCGACGCATTCAGTTTTTTTTTTTTGGATGCTTCTTACGGGAATTCTGACGACGTGTGGCGCGACGAGCGTTGCCGCACTTGTCTGCGTCGCATTTCTCTACCACGATGTCGCCCTTTTCGGAGAGAACTTCTCGCGTCTCAGCGACCAATTCCGAGTAGGTTCCTTGTTTTCACTCTTTCTGAAAGTTTGGTTTTCGTGGTGAAGTTGGAAAGTTTAAGTACGTTTTAACATTATTCGAGAGAACTGGATCTATCGGTTTTCAAAATAATTTGATGACATCAAATCGACCTAATTGTTTTCAAGTCCTTTCTCTGAATGTTTTCATGAAAAAAGGCTCACAATGAGCTGGAACATCAAAGCTTTCGAACCTATTCCTTTTCCTTATCAACTTTCACTGGAGAAATGACATAAAAGTGATAGTTTTACTACAGGACAAGATAAAGGGAATCTGCCTACAATAGGAAAAAAAAAGCGCCACTAACTCAGCTGATAGCGCTTTCTTTTAGTAATTGTGGCAACACAAGGGGAAAAAAAATGATATTTAAAGAACCGTTCCCATGAAACTGATGCTCGTTTGTTGCTTTTCACAGTTCCTTTTTATGAACTTTCGAACAGACTAGTCACTTTGAAGAACTATAACAAAAGTCATTGAGAATTTCACAATACACGCTTGATAAGATGAAATTTCGTAGTAATAGGTTAGCAAACAAACAAATAGACAAAAGAACTGCTATCTAATCATCATTAATCCATGAATACTTAATCCGGCTTTGTGCTCACTTTACTACAGTCTACATAGGTTTTCCCATTATCAATACTGAAACTTATAACTTATAAATTCAGTTTTTCGAACATATCCATCTTTCGGACTTCAGAATGACGCAGATGCGACCTGGGCGCTGATAGATGAGGAAATCGCGTCAGAAGTCCTTCGAAGCAAGCGAAGCTCCCATGGGGCACATTGTTCGTTTTCCAAACAAAAAAAAACGTGTCTTCAAAAGATTTTAACGAGGAGAAGCCAAAACTCGAAAAAAAGCTTGCTTGCGTTCAGAAAAGAACTTGTCATTCAGGCCACGACCACGGAAAATGTCCTCCTGGACCCTCAGGACCTGCCGGAGCTAATGGACCAGATGGAGGTTTTCTCAAGATTCCAATTCTGTGTTTCAAAAATCAGATCTCCAGAAGATGGAACTCCTGGTGACGCCGGAAAAGATGGCAAGAACCAGGTGACAGAAGAGGTTTAACATCTTTTTTCGCGCCAATCTCTCATCTTTACAACCGTGCAGATCGTGAGAGAATATCGCGGCTGCATTCCTTGTCCTCAGGGTCATCCAGGACCAGCTGGGCCGCCTGGACCTCGCGGACCTCCAGGAGTCGAAGGCTATAAAGGATACAATGGAAACCCTGGGAAGAACGGCGGCAACGGCCGATGCGGTCCGAAAGGAGACCGAGGAGCGCCTGGAAGACCTGGAACTCCTGGTTATCCTGGTCGTGTCGGCGACACTGGCTACCAGGGACAAGGAGCTCCAGGACCTCAAGGGCCTACTGGGCGGGCTGGAGAGCCAGGAAAACAAGGAATCATAGGAGAAGACGGTACGAGCCAAAGAAGTAGTGAAATATTTTTCAAAGGAAAAATCCTCTATATTTCGTTTCATTGAAAAAAATTTGCTTTGAGCATAATAAATTGAGCTCAATCTCTGATAAAAAACGAACTTGATGTTATATAAGTATGTAGCCTTATTAACCACTGAACTATCTTATTTGAAGAATCTTTTTTTTTTGGGTATTTTATTAATTTTATTAACTTTCCAGCTCCTAATGGATCTCCTGGTTCTCCTGGAATCCCCGGAAGGACAGGAAGAACTGGCGCTGCTGGCAGCTCAGGTCAGCCAGGAGCTCCAGGTGCCATCGGATCACCCGGAGCCGATTCTCTGTACTGTCGCTGTCCGGATCGAGCCTCGCTTCAACTGGACGCCGATCCGGAACAGGTGGCCGTCGATGCCGCCGCCTCCTCTTTCGAGCAACAGCGGAAGCTTGTCACAAACTGACGATGACGTAGTGTTTTCCGGTTGTTTACTAGTCGATTATCGTTTGAAAGCGTTGTAACTACACGGGTTGGAGTCCTTTCTGTCCAAAATGAAATCTTTCGACTCGCTTGTCCAAGATTATTCAAAATGCATGCGCAAGGAACGAGAAATTCCGCCATTGCAAGCTTCGATGCGTGCTTGGAATTCCCGACCGAGTTCAAAATATGATCTCATGCTTGACTTCATATCTTTTGATCTAGTAAGAAAGAATTTCTGAAGTTTTCTGGTATTTATTTCTAAAAGATTCTAGCCTGCCGAACAAAACAATTTTTCTACGGATGAAGATCATTCTGATTGGAAATAGGCCGAGACTTTTTGAAAGGTCACCTCAAGTAACTTTTAGACAAATTATCCGCCGATTTGTGAAATTAAACAAAACCTCTATTAGAAAAGCCAGTTGCCTTGCAATGTAAAGAGTCAATTTTGATTCAATTTATTCAGTCTTCAGGGTAAGATGTAGAAAATCTCTGTTGAATCATGGTATAATCGAAGAGTTATAGTCTGTTCAGATTTTAAATGTCAAGTAGAACGACGTCATTCAAAAATGCTCTGTGGATGGCTCGCTCTCTGATTGGTTTATCGCACCATTATGGGCGGAGCTTGAGCGACGACTTGACATTCAAAATCTGAACAGACTATAGTCGTCGGCACGGGTTACGGTCCACAATCGTTGTAAAGAGTCAGTCAGCTTTTTTTTTAATCGCTACCAGTTCTTCGTATAATTAATCAGGCAAGCACGCCCTAGTTCCCTTCTGCTTCTTCGATTTTGTTCCATTTTCCCTGAGATAAAAAAAACCAACAAGCCTCGACATTTTTTGTATGTAATCTATCGGACAAGCTGACCGGTACATACAAGGTATTTGGTTGGAAAAGCAAAGCTGCCGAGGCAAATGACGCGACGAAAGGCAGTGCTCGACGCCGCCGGAATTGGGTTAAACCAACACGGAGCCGTTGTGTGCTCTCGGCGGCTCGGCCGTTATCCTCGGAAGGAAGGCCGAGTTGCTGCCGCCGACGGCGAAGCCATCTGGGTACGGTCAATTACACGCGCGGCTAATTACAGTTCGAATGTTGGCGACAGATGCGCAACATAAACGACACACCCAGAAACGAGCAAATCGGCTGTCGTTGCCTTTTTTTCGAGATATCGTTTTTCTAATTGGATAATTGTGAAATCTCAGAGAAAGAATCACGTTAAAAAAATCAAACACTTGATTAAAAACATAAATTTTTTTCACAAAGGCCGGTATCATAGTGACACTTGGTGAAGGAAAAAGCTGAAAAAGTTTGAATCAGAGAAAAAACTCTCCCTAGGTTCTTTGAAAGCGCACAAACCTTGCATGACCTGCAGCAGATTGAAAAAAAACCGCTCTTTGCCTCGAAATAAATTCTCTTAAACTAGTATATCAAACTAAAAGAAAACCTTCAATGAATTAAAACCTCAAAATAAATTTTTAGGCTCCACCAATGTGTAACTAACCATCAAATTATCTTTAACTACGCTATCGCGTTTTTTGAAACCTTTGCAATAATTGAAGCTTGTTATCTGTATTTCAAACTGACAAATTCAGCACATATCCTAATTTGATCGTAATTGAATTGGAACACCTTGAATTCCCCAAAAGAATAACTCCCACAACACCAGTGCAAAGGAATTTTGTCGCCATTCTGCGGTTAATTCTGAGGCCGAACCACTTGGCAACTTTTGTCTTGCGCGGGCTCATCGTGGCTCTCCGAGCCAATTACTTCGGGTGCAGTTATGCGCTCCATAATTACTACCAGTCGCAATTAGGAGACGTCCGTTTAAGGTCCGCGAAACATGGCTGCGCTAACCCCCAAAACGTCCACTTTGTGTCAGTTGAGCTAATTAGAAACGATAAAACACAGTGAATTGAGTCTTTTGAGTGAGTCTTCAGTGTAATCTTCTGAAAGAGTAAAAGCGAATCTTGCCTCAAGTCTTTCAAACCTAACGTCAAACAGGATTAGAAACACTTATCATAATGTCCTCTAAATTTCAGACAAACGATCTAATAGATCAACAGTCGTCGACAGATCTTTCCAATTAATGAAAACTTGGTATAAAAATTTACCTCTCATCGAGAAAGTCTGAAATCTGGTATCCGATGACGTTCTCCTTAGCTCTCGATTCGAACGCATTTCTGAAAACAGATCTTTTTACTGTCAAAACACGGTAAAAAAAAATTAAATATACGGGAGTCGACAGGGAAAATTTCACAAATTTCAAAAAAATGATATTGATCAGCGTTTTATAGTGGTATCAAAAAAAAATACACAACAATGATAACATTGATGCCGTGTTCAAAGTAATTCCGCGAAATTCAAAATAGCTGTCAGAGAAAGAGAAAGATAACTAAATTTTGGAGGGTCAGAGACCATTTTGCATTTCGCGGAAATTACTTTGAACACGGCATGAGAATTTTTTTTCAATTTCGATTGCAAAATTGACAGCAAATCTTAAAAACATATAAAAATTTAATAAAAATATTTTTAGAAAAAATTCATGTTAACATGAATTTCCTGTTATATTGCAATGAGTATCAAAAGAAAAAGTCTTTCAAACGTTTTACTTTTTGCGCCTTTTTCCATAGAGCGCAGAGTTTTAGATTTTTTTCTTGCTTTTTCTATTATTCAATTTTTTTTCTTTTTTTTTAAATTTTTTTACCAGGCTAATGGGAATTTGGTCGTAATCATCAATTATCTTTGAAAAAAATTATGATAGAGTTCAAAAAGTCAGAAGGTCTAAAAACCAGATTGAAAAAAAGGTGAGCATTGAAATTTCATTCACGAATAAATCATTATTATTAATAATGTAAAAAGTTCGTTAAGTTTTTTTGATACTATTCTGATAAGCAGGTTATTCTATCGCTTACAATGGGTTTCTAATTTGTGCCTACAATTCATAAAATCAGGTAGAAAGTTGCAAAGTTTTTTCCAACTCGGGCAAAGTCGGAATGGTGGATAATGGCCGCTAAAAGGGAGAGGCTCAAAAAAGGCCGCAGAAAGGCAGCAAAAAGGCAGCAAAAGGCAGCAAAAAGACAGCGAAAGGGAGCAAAGATACTTCCTTTATCGAGCCTTCCATTTTTCTGGGATTTTAAAGGCTCGAGAAATGGTGGAGAAAAGGAGAGGCAGCAAAAATGGTGCATAAGGGCTGAGAAAATGGAGCAAAAAGGCAGCAAAAAGAGAGCCTTCGTCACCCTAAAAGGAACATTTCTATGGTCCTTTATGGACCCTCGGAGGGTCCTTCCGACTCTGCCTATGAAGTCTATTTTTAAATCTCAACAACCCCGAAATTTTTTGTTTTTCAGCCGTCTGGTACGGAACCTTATTTCTTTAATCCTTTTTGTGCATGTGTTTTCTGGCTTGCTCAACAATTTCAGTAGTACTTCAGTTGTTTTTTCTACTCGATTCGGTGGCAACTCGGACAATGGCTTGTCCTCCAGCGGCGCCTCGCCAAACAAACGATCCATTTGCCCTTTGGTTGTTATCCGGCGACGGAGCTCCGCCTCCAGGCTGTGCTGGCCACGCCCAAAGGCCCTCTGCCCATTTTTGGAGACCACGTCTCTGATCCGAGCACTCATCTTCCTCATGTGTTGCTTCTTCTCCTTACTACTGCTTCTAGCCTCGGTAGGAGCTTCAGAGCTTTTTTTCGCAATCATCATCCAGAAGAGCTCATTTTTTTTATCTCTTCGAAGTGATTTCTTGAGCTGCTGGTGAAGTTGATAAGTGGAGAGCTTCACTATAAATACAGTAAAGAAATAGTTACGAAATATATATCAGTTTCGATAAGCATTAGTTTTCCAGCTATATTTGATTCGCCTGTGTCATGAACAGAATGAGATAGTTCTCAAAACCTAAAAACTTCTCTCACAAGTTTCATCTTGATTATTTCAGGCAGCAGTCGTTCATAGCAATGTCGTCAACTACAGGATACATGATTTGAATGGTACTTTTTGAACTTTCAAAATCAATGTAATTATTTGTTCCAGATAATGAAGTGAATGAATGCGTTGAACGAGCGATGGAATATCTCATGGACGAAACTTGCTTATTTTTTTCCGAAAATCTGAAGAACACGAGTCTCCAGTCACCTTCTTACAATCAACGTGAGTTTTAACTTTAGTTTTTTTGTCACCTATCTATTTTCCATTTGGAATTTATTTATTATCATCTCGTGCTATTTTGCTCTCTTCTATTAATTTTTGAAAACTTGCACCGTTTGAATTGAATTTTTTCCTGTCAGACCGAACATATCGGAAAAATCAAGCTTTTGCTCTTCTTTTTTTGCATTCAGCCGAACTCAAGTTTTTTTGTTTGACAGATATTTTCAGCTTCCTTCTCTCGATTTCGGTTCAAATCGCTCCCGAAAAAAATAATCACAAATTATTTATAAATAAAATTGTTTGTATTCATTGCCTTATGAAGGTTTTTTTGGGAGTATATGTATTGAATTTTTTTGCACTGAGATATTTTTTTCCCTTTTTTTATTGCGACAACCAAAAATGCAGAATGATTTATATCAACTTTTTTTAAATATCTGTTCTGAAACCAAAGCATTTTTCACATGAAACGAGTCGAAAAATTCCACCCTTCAAAATTCTTTTTCAATTTGATTTTTTTCAGCTTATATTTTTCATTTTTCAAGATTGTTTCGCTAATCGTTATTTAAAATTTTTGAATTTTTTGAGTTTCAATTCATAGATTTTTGTTCATTTTTCAAACTTGGAAATTTTTGAGATTGAGATATTTCAACTTTTTATTTTTTGCCAAGTGATGTCGAATTCGCCTTAGTTTTTGGTGACTAATTCGGTACACTCACTTTTGTACCTGCCAGCCGACGTTGGCCTTCCCACCAACGGCCTAATGCGAGGATTTGCAGGCACTGCGCCTGGCAAGCGTCCAACCGAACCGTCCATCTCGGCCCGTCGTGCATTTCGGTAAAATTTACGCCACAGTCAATTATTGCGCGACGACCTGCACGCTCGATTTGGCGCATTCACACCGATTTCCAACGGAATACAGGAAGTTGTTACAGGAAGACACGTGCCTGAACTTGCTCGCCAGCATGCTCGACGCGAATTTCCCGCGTCATCAGATCGTCACGCAGATCAACCTCCGATACAACTGCACCGGTGCGTTTGAAAAACTGCAAAGAAATAGGGTCTATTGTTGGTCTCTAAAAGCTGTCTCCAAGGAAGGATCAAGTTTCAAAGTTCAATTATATAACGCTCTGAACTTAAATAGTTCTTCTGAGTGTAACTGGCATCATTTATTCCAGTTTTTTGATACTGAGTATCACTCCGAGCGCTAACTTTATTGTGAAGCTCTGAAGAGGTTTCAGCGGCTAAGATATTTTTTATTGACAAAGAGTTCTCTCCTGTGACGGCGAAAATCATTTTCCCTTATAAGGGTTTCGAAGAGAAGTACTTTTTTTAAAATCGGAATTCTTATTTTTTTTTTTTTCAAATTTGAGCGGCTCCAACGATTTTTACCGACGACCTCGGCAATTTTTGACGCCAATTCTACTTTTATTTTACTCAGAATAGTTTCGTTTCACTATGTGGTTCACTTTGCCTACCTTCTAATCTGAAAAATAACCTCGGATATTTGAATTCGTTATAAGAAAATTTAGTTTCATAACTGTTTTTTCTAGAAATTAGGTTTTTTAGTTGTCTTATAGTTTTGAATCTGAAAATTCTGAAGTTCTGAAAACCCAGGGCTGTTATTTTCGGTGGCTGGATTTTTCGAAAAAGAGAGTCGAAGCCATTTGCACAATTGGTACATTATTTCTCGACGTCCTAATCCCGGCCTTTCTGCAAGAAGACCTAAGAATGACCACATTCGATGCTAAATAGTGGCGGATGAGCCGCCGAGGAGTCGGGTGTCCGAAAATCATCAAGCAGCGAGGAAACCACGAATTTCCTACTTTTGGCCGCGTTGCACAATAGCCGCGGACGGGTCTAATTGCCGTGTGTCGAAGCGCATTACCGGAAGGTCTCAGGTTGCCGTCGTGGTATTTGCCGACCCAACGGTACGTGTGTGTGCGGCCAGAAAAGGACAGGTGGAGGGGTCAAGTACCTCCGGCGTTACTTCTGCCTTCTTCTTCTCCACCGCCGACCTCACTTTCGGCTCTAGAAATAACAAATGGCAGAACAATGCTCTAGCCGACTGTAAGGGATTTTCTGAGAGTGCCTGAGCGTGGTGAAGCTCTCAGCTAGAAGTTTTCAAAGATCAAAAAATCGGCCTAACTTCGAGCCTGCTTTGGAGAATTATTGGCCTTTTCGAGCGCTTTTCATGAGTTCTCCAGTGAGATACACATTAATTTAGACAGATAAGCTTTAAGTTAAAAATGTTATCGAGACAGTTTTTTTTGCTCCGAGTGCTGTAAATAGAAATTTGAAAATTTCAAATTGGAGTCGAAATTTGTAACGCTTCTAGGGTTATCTAAGTGTACGGAAATGTTTTTATTTCCATCGCCAGCCCTCTAAATTCGAATACATCTAGTAGGGGTTGTCAGTGTTGTCAATGTATTCGTACAAAATACTGATATTAATCTTATTCGGATAAAATTCCCGAAGAAAAGAAGACGAAAAAATGATCGATTTTTCTTCCAGAAAAGTGCACGACAGTCTGTGAACACGGCGGCGAACTGCGCGACGACTGCACCTGCAAATGCGAGTACGGCTTCACTGGACAAAGGTGAGGTGTTCCTTCGAATCAGACCTTTTTTTCCCTCAAAAACCAGTAGAACAAGGAATTATCGAAAACAACTGAAAGCTTAGTTCTCACCTTCAGATGCGAGAATTTGGCGCGTGAGTCTTCCTTCACGGATTCTTCCTGCGGCATCGTCGACTCCAAGGCTTCTGGAGGCGTCGTTTCGCTCTCGACTTTCCCCGACTCCCGCCCCAAGATCACCTTCTGCCAATGGCTCATCAAGGTAAATAGTTTCCCTCTTCTAACTTTTGGAATTTCAATTTACCGGAGAAATCATTATCAAAAACACTTTCTCAATGAACCTGACATTTTTGGAAACGGAAATTCTCGACTTCAAATTCAACGAATTTTCGAAGCAGAAAAAGTCAAACTATACTTAGAAAAGTATGGTTTTCAATTTTATAGTTAATAAAAGCCTTGTTTTTAGATGCAAATGGATTTTTGAAAAACGAAGTTTTAAACGTGCCTAAAATTTTTTTCCAATTCAGAGAAAATGTATTAAAAGACTTACGAAGCGCGTAATTTTATGCATAAAAATTTTTTTTAAGTACTAGAAGATTATTTTTGAGATCAAGTTCTGCACGAGTTTTTAGTTTTCTAGAAATTCAGACACCTCAGAGTTTTCACCCCACTGAAAATCTGAAATATTATGAACTCAGAAGGGTCTTTTCCTGAAAACTGGGAAGTTCTGAATTTCAATATTTTATCGATGATTCAAAAGTATTGACGCAATAGAAACATCCAAGATCTTGGAGACCCTGTTGGGAATAAAGTTGGTAGTCTATTTATTCGTGAAGGTATCATCAGATCGGAATTGAAGTGATCCGAGTACTTGAACTGAGTTTCGCACGCTCTATACATTTGAAGAGCCTCGAGATATCCCACGATGGAAATTGCAGACGGACGACGCCTGGGGGCTTGTCGACGCCGAGATTGAAGTGCTCGGCCTCGACGACGTCAACGTCAGTCCCGACCAGAACTGCAACGACCGCCTCAACTTCTACGGCACCAAGGACGTCAAAGGGAACGTACGTTGTTCGAGTTTTTCCGTTCATAAGATTGGGGTCATGGCTGTGTTTTTCCTGACACAATCGGTAAAATGAAAAGATTTTCAAGTGGTTTCAAGCGTCCTAGGGGACCGAACAAAAGGAACAGCTCTGAAATTTGTTTTGAACTCTGCCCATGAATTTGATGGGTTATTGTGCTTCATTGATGATTATTTTAAAAAAATCTTTTTCAAAAAATTTCTGCAAAAAAAACTTACTAGAATAAAAACGCTTACTTCAAATTTTCGAATAAACTCATCAAAATTATTAACAACAAAGTTTTGAAGTAAAGCCTATTGAAAATCTGAAGATGGCTCTTAGTCTTTAGATATTTTGGAGAGGGGTCTCGGTTTCTTTAAAAACCAGATCAAGTTTTTTTTTAAAATATTTTTTAACTTCGAAAATGCGTTCAGGAGAAAACCTTATCAGAAAGTTTTTTTTCCAATAAACACAACTTTTCAATACCAGAAAGCATCTCAATTAGAAACTGCTTGCAGGATCCCATGCGACGGTTCGCGGAACATCACGCACGTAAGGTCGTCCTCCAACTGGCTGCTGGTCGAGCTCCGCAGCGATCCTTTCTCAAGCAGCAGTTCGTTCACCGGCCCCAAGATCCGCTACAACATCATCCGCGCGCCGTCTGGTCAGTCCATGTCTCCGTTTTTGGCATCTTCGAATAATCCAGCACCATACGGCTGCTGTAAGAATATCCCTCTCCGCACTCATTAGCATCCCAAGCGATTATTCGCCTTCACGTTATTCTACCAAAGCACTGGATTTAAGTTGATCCTTGATTGAAATTCTATGAGTTTGAGAAAACGACTGGGACTCTCTGAAAAAAAGGGTTTTTGTCAGCAATTTTAAATGACTCACAGTAACGATTTCAACTTTATTGACTTATTGCAAAAAGTCTTAACTTTAAAAAGACGTTTGGAAACTTTCAAAAAATTTTTCTGTGGGAATATTTATCAGAAAGTATGTGCTCAGAACTAAAATGATGAAGTGCTAGAGAAGCACCTTAAATTGGGTTCTCTCCAGAAGATTCTTTAAAAAAGTCTAACTCTAACTGGCTCAAAGCAAGTCTGCGCCAAGTAGCACAGGAATTTTTCCAGTTCATGCTCTCCATTGAGCTTCATCACGCCAAGTAGGTTATTTCAACTCTTCTCAAGTGCTTGCGCATTTGAATAGCTAGCGGGAGCATTTGAGTTGACGAGCCGCACGACCTTAAGTAATTGAGTTCTTGTTCTCGGAGCGCAATCATCCGGCCCATTCGGCTCCTTGGCTAACATCTTTCCGCGCACCGAGCCCAATCAATGCCAATTTTCAGCGGTCCGCGTCTTCTCCGAAGGGATGACCGCCTCGGCGACCACCAACTTTGTCTCATTGTTCGCCTTGTTCGTCGTCGCCGCCTTTCTATGATCCTCAAGTATTCTCAGACCTGACTCACTCAACCTAACCACTCATTCTGAAACGGGGCATCCTACTCAATCAATGTTTTTTCTTCCGTACTTCTTGAGTTGTGAAAAAAAAAGAAGAGGATAATTTATCGTGGAAACCGAATTTATTCACATTCACTTATAAATATTTTTTCGAATATTGTTCAATAAAATTTACGTTTTAGTTTTATTCGGCTTCAAAGAAAAAAATCAAACAAGAAAACTTTTGTACCAGAGATATTTCATGCTATTCATATGTATTAAACTGCTTTGACTCGATAATCTTCGAAAGGTAGGAGCCTGTACTCGCAAATACTGTCCAGAATCCATTCCGCCGTGATAACCTTTAAAAAAAAGATTTTTTTTTGATAAGAACAAGCAGTAAAAGTGAGTCTCAAATAATGCTGTTTTTCAGCTCAATATTTTCGCGATAGTTAAGAGTTTCGAACCCGGCATCCGTAGTCACTTTCGGCAAGACGAGCTTCCCCTTCTTTAGTAGAATATGATCCAAAAACGACAAAAGACGTTTCGAAAACGGTCGGCTGAGAAGACTCGAGTAGCGTACCTCCGCACAGCTTGGTCAGCTCAGCCAATTTCTGGAAGAATCAGAAATAAGGCGATCAAAACAGTTGCACGAAAAAGCTGCGGCTAATTTTGAGATATTCAAGAATTCTTCAAAGCCTGACCTCCTCAAAGCAGAACCCAAGAAACGAAAATCTGAGAAGAAATTCAGTTTTTAAGAAATGTTCTAATCGAGTTTTGGGAATTTTGAAAACTTATTACTTCAAGCCACGGAAATTTTATCGGGATTAAATTTCAGCCGCAAGATCCCTGTCAGTCTTTAGTTGTCCATAGAGCACATACGCCTTGGATTAATCACTTCGTATCCCTTGTTAGCTTACCAGATTCACAAGCTCGTTAACAAACCTTGTAGTCGAGGTTGTCAGAAGCGGCAAAACGCCTCAGAATGAGGAAACTGAGGCCTTTGAAAAGAAGAGACCTTTCGGTCTTGGACTTTTCCCATCCCTGCCCTTTCTCGTTCTGGCTTTCGATATCTTCATCGTCCGGGCTGGAAAAGACAGCGCCGCTCGATGTTATCGCGTAGGATTCCTCAACTCGTCAGAGATATTCAAAGTTAAGCTGGTGAGTAGAGAAGGACAGCATTAATAAGACAAACACCAAAAAATAAGGGGGATGCAATGCAAACACAACGAAACCGGGCACAGAAGAGTCTTGGTTCGCAAACATTCATCCATCCAATCGCGGCAGATGATCTCACAGTGGCGAGCCACGGCGAAAGCGAACATCAGCGACTTCTGCGGACATCTGCGTCCTTCTGAAACACGATCCCTCAGTGCTTCATCATCTTCAATGAGGACGCTTGGGTTCATCCACCTGGTCAACAAAAAAAAGATATGGAGCTTTTTTTCGACTAAAGAGAATGATTTTTTTTAAAAATTTGACGATAAATTTATTGGAAAAAAACGAGGAATTTTTCCGGATCTAAGCAACAAAAATATTCTTGCCTTGATTTTTCATTCGTTATCGATCAAATCTTTCCCCAGGGGTTACGTACTTCCGAACTAAAAATTAAAATTGTGAAGCACATTCCAAAAATGTTTAACTTTTTTTATTTTCAAATTTTTTTAATGGCACATGAACAGCAGGTGAAAATTCGTTTCGAGTTAATTGATTTCGGCTATTTGAATGTTTCAAAAATCTTTTTGGTTCTGGAACTCCTAATATTTCATTGCTTAAACGGTAGATGTCGCAGAAATTAATTTAAGGCAATAACTGAGTTTTAAAAAATTGATCCTTTATCTTTCAGACTACGGAGTGTTCAGAGAAGTTAGTCAAGTTTGTTTCCATGATAGACTTATCGGAGATAGTTTTCACAATGGTTTCCCTATTTTTACAGAGTCTCCTCTCTAGAAAACCGGAATTTTAAACTTTTAATTCGAATTATGGAACCATGATCCTTTTTTCAGAAAGTCGCCGAGAAAAAATTCTCAGCGCTCAAAGTTCAGGTCTTCAACGTTGATTTTCTACTGGTTAAATCTGTTTTGAAGTTTTTCAAATTGAACTCAGAGCTTTAGAAGTTTCAAGATATTCGCAAATAAAACTCAAAAAAAAACCTCTTAAATGTTGTATGTATAAGATTAAGCCTCTGAGACCAGTTCAAACATCGAACTAGATTCTTTTCGCGTCAAAAAATTTCCACCTTTTTTTAAATTTCGTCCGAAAAGTTATTAGACTTGCGACCACATCCATAAATATTTTGCAGCCGCTCCGTGCTGATTCGTGAGAAATATTTCAAAAGGAAAAACATGAATTTCATCATTCGTTTCTTCTTGCCAGACAATGACTCCCAAAATGATACACAAAGATTTTCGACATTTCATTTTGATGGAAAAATTCGCCACAGACATCAAAGTCCATAGAGTAGCTTTCCGAAGTCTACTTACTAATCGAATTAGTCTGTAAATGATAAGAAACCTCGTTGTTCGAAAACTTATCAGCGTTATAACTTTTCAAACTTTTTTGATTTTTACTGGTTCAATAGTTCTAACTTTAACGCGATTTTTGAAAAACAGAAGACATTGCATTTCCCGAAATCTTCTAGAAGACAATGGGAACAATATTGCCCTTTAAAAAAGAAAACGAATGGCTGAAATTATGGAAATCAAAGAGTTCACTTGATCTTTCAACAGAAAAAACCGCCAGACGAACCGGTGTTCATCATAACGAGATGTGTCGAATGGGGGCCAATTTCTTCTTCTAATCGACAATTGCTCGAAAGAAATTGTGCGTGAAACTCTTCCACTAACCTCTGCAAAAGTGCATTTGTCCGAGACATTTGAGATGAACTAATTTCTTATTCTAAGATTCTAAGCCTAAAAAGTTCTCTACCAAATATAGTCATTTTTGTTTGGAAGTACCGGAAGAAAAGTTCTAAAAATTGTTTTTTTTCTTGCAGCAGGAAGAACTTCCTTTGTCAAATGACTGCTATTGGGGTAAATAGAACGAGAAAAGTTTTGAGAAAAAAATGCAAAAAAATCCGATGTTTTCTTAAATTACTTGAGGGTTCACTTTTTCAAAAAAATTAAATCAGCAACAAGACCGTTTTTGTCAATTCGAAAAATAATTTAAGGAAGAAGTTAGTTTTTTTAAGTTAAAGATTAATCTTTCACAAAAAAATTTCTTCACGAGTCAAAAGGACATTAAGAGGGGTACTGACCCGAACTAATATTCTAAAAAAATTTCTTGCAATTCGGAAAAAAATATGAAAAAAAGAATTATAATCGAGAGAAAATGAAAAAAAATTTTTAGCGTGCAGAGTTTTTGGATAATCCCTTCCTTAAATAAAATTTTTCCAAAATCCTTGACTAATTCTTGTTGATCATCCATTTATCCACTTCATGAGCCCCGATAATTCCAAATTTACATGGTCTTCTTCATTTCGAAGCCGAGAAACGCTGTAAACGATTGGCTCCCTCTCAAGTTCCATATCCAACAACTGACTGTTATCTGAAAAAAGAGCACTACTGTGAAAATGAAATTATTCAAACCGCAAAAAGCTAGAACCGTTGATTCGTTAGCATTGTTAAAATCACTGAGCCTGGGTACCTGCGATGCAAATAAAGAATGATAAATTTAAAATTTGAAGTAAAAAACACTGCGAGAGTGGCTGGCGGTGTGATCATCGTCATCAGGATCCGAATCCTCGACGATTTCATCGTCTTCCTGTGGCTTGAGTACTGAAAAAAACGTTTTCTGTTGATATATCTTCTTTTTTTTTCATACCCGGCATCGAATTGTTGGCACTTACAAATGAACTTCCTACAGAACAATCCATTTCTTCCAGTTTTCGTCGCCAATTTTGCGATATGCTAAAAAAATTATCGAGGTAGAAAAAAATAAAACTAACTGAGATTATTTTTTTATTAGTTCAATCTCAAATTTTAATCAGAAAAAAATTTATAAAGAAGTTTCTTTTCTTAAATATTTCTCCTAAAAAAATGGAAAAACGGATGTAATGATTACCACTGAAAGATACTCGGTTGAATTAAAAAAATAAATTATACGACAAAAAAATCAAATTTTGTTGAGAACTTTTTGGTTCTTGAAATTTTCTAATAACCCTTGCTTTTATCTTGACATGAAATAAAAAAAAACTCGAAAAAACAAATAAATACCCGAAATAGGTTTCACGATGAAGCTTTTATCAGTACGAGCACTAACCTTGGTGAGAAAGGGTTTCGATTTTGGAATAAGCTCGAAAAGAGCATCGATCTCATCTAACTCTTCGTCTTGGTTTTTGAGAACTGAAATATGTGACAGTAGATGATTCTATTTACTTTCTCACCTAAATACTTTTGCAACAATTCGGCCAGATCGAAATCCCTCCAGCAAGGCAGCAAGGGATCGCTGGGAATCGTTTCAGGAACTTCGGGAATCGGTGAGCTTTTATCTGTTTGAACTTCCTTTTCAGAAAACTTCGCAGCTTCCGGTAATTTGTCAGGAATCGGCTGGAATGGAGGAAATGTCGGTTGTATGCCTCATTTCTTCGAACCTCATCGAATTTTGGTCTCTTGACTTCTTCTGGTGCAGGAGACCTCAGAGGCGCACTTAACTTCTTCCTCCTCTTCAAAAATATATTTTTTGAATAGTTCTGAAACGAAACCATAGGGATAGCAGGTACTGCAAATGTAGGCTCAGGAACTTTGGCGACATCTTGTTCTGGCATCTGAAAGCGTGAAATTCCTCTTGAAAAACTCAACCATACCTGGCTTTCTGCGAACTTGTTTTCGGGAGGTACATGAAAGGCAGTTTGCTTCTCGACGTCCAACTTGAAAGCAACCGAAAGTTTCAGATACTGCTGCACACTGGCGGCCAGTTGCGAAGATTCTGCACAACTCCTGAAACCTAACATTCAAAAAAAAAAAAAATCAAGCTTTTACTCACCTTCTATCTAGAACATGCCTACAGATCGGACAGAACAACTTCCTTTGCCGCCGAAAGCATTCATCTAAGCATTCTTTACAGAAAACGTGTAAGCAACTAGCTACTGTCGGATGTTTGAAGGTTGAACAACTGAATTGAAAATTCGAAATACTTGAAAATTTAGGAGCAAACCAAATTCCGCATCTCAACTCCCTCTGAAGTCTGGAAACGACATCGTTTATTCTTAATGCTAGGTTTTCTGCAGAAGTCATCCTGAAAAGCCATTTTTTTAGATGAAGTCTCCCACTTTCCTAATCGCAATCGCAAATTTCAAAGAAAACGTTAAGCAAAGCAGTGATAAGAAAACTTTATCTTGCCATAGTGAGAAAAACTACGCGATAGCACAAGACACACATCAATGTCATGTAAATTATGTGCTGGAACGAACAGGAATTTATTTATAAGACAAAAAAGACAAAAAAAAACTTTAAAAAATTTAAACTTGCCGCGGCTGAAGCAAGAGCGCTCCAACTTCACCGTACTCCGGCGAGAGAAAGAGGATCAGAGCAGTTAGAGGAACTCCTCCCCGCGAAAATTCGACCGCCCCGGTTCATTTTTCGCCCGTTCGCTCCCTTCAGGCGGCCGGCGGCTGTCTGTTCTCTGGAAGTTCTTTGGCGTTCCTATCACCTGGAGTATGCCTTGGACGTGTTGTCTTTAATGGGGACAAGTGACCGCAATTCACACCAATTGCGCACTATTTTGACTTCTAATCGTTGGAGAAGATGATGAGACAGTTTAAAGCCGAGATTATAGAAAATAGCTTGTTTTGTTTACTGAACAGACGTTCTATAGATTCATATTCGGATTTCTCTGTTCCTCTATATCCGGTTGTCTTCTCGCATAGAAAATGAAACTGGCTTTCCTGGTTTTCATACGTTTTTTTTAAAAAAGATTATGCTTCCTCAAAAGTCGTTCAGTTTTTTATGAGGAGAACGAATATTCCCTCAAAAAGCGAGAATTGACGCTTTTGAAGATATTATCTATTAAACTAGTTTTTTCGATTTTTATAAAATGTTTACTGTCGCAAAATTGAATGACGGAGTCTGAATCAGACGATTTCGGTGAGACGATAATGCGTCGAACGACCATTTTGCAGGGGTGCTCAAATGCCTCCAGAACACTGTCACGCCATGTTGGCCTCTATTTAAGCTCGTTTCTTGTATTTCCTTCGTTCGATTCCATTCAATGCTTGATAAATACTTTGAACGCGTTTTCTTTTCAGGTTTCTCAAATGTCGGACGTTCACGTCTCTTTTAACCTGGCCAACGATCATTTCAATGATCAGGAGGTAAATCGCTGACCTTTTTTGTACTCAATTGTTAGTTTTGTTTCAGATGTTCCTCCCACCAGCGCCGCTTCTTGCTGGAGCCCACGTTTCTGGGATCAACGCCTACCATGAGCTCTACCGCAATTCTATCAACAACACCGACGAGTTCTGGAAAACCGTCGCTAGCGAACTCTATTTCGAGCGTATCTCGAACAAGGTTCTATTACTTCCCTATTTGAAATTATACGTTTTCTTAAGGGCCTCGAATGGAATTTCGATCATAAGACCGGTCCGATTTTTTGCAAATTCATGGATGGCTCCCTCACCAACATCTCCTACAACTGCTTGGAGCGAAATATCAAGCGAGGGCTTGGTGGAAAGGTGAAGCCGTTTTGAAAAATACGATTTTTTCATTTCGGAGAAATGGGGTTTTTTTGTTAAGAGAACGTGTAAAAAGTGAATCCCTCGGAAAAAAGCATTTTTAAGACCTTTCAAAACATACGGTCAGGTTTAATGTTTGTTGCTATTATTGTGTTAATATACATTTGTAAAAAAGAATTGAGAAAATAATGTTCAAAAACTTTCATGTTTCATTTTTTTTAAAGTTTAATTTCCGAAATCTAAACAATCTTTGAATTTGATCGATCTGAATACATATATTGTAGAGAAAAATGCTTTAAGCTTTTTTTTTGTTCTTTTTTCATTTACTATTTGATAAAATATTCATCTAAGTCACTTTTCTGAGTCCTTGCCTATTTCTTCAAAGATGTCTTCTAATATTTCAAGTTTGGTTTTGCAGATCGCTTACCTTTGGGAAGGAAATGAGCCATCGGATACATCGACGATCACTTATCAAGAGCTTTTAGATCAGGTATTTCTTATTCGTCAATTTTGTAGCCCATATGGTTCATGTTTCAGGTGATCAACTTCTCTGCCGTCCTCCGCGCTCATGGAGTCAAAAAAGGAGATGTTGTTGCAATCTACATGCCTATGATAACTGAACTGGCTGTGGCGATGCTCGCTTGCACTCGAATCGGTTTTCTCACGATTTCCTTCGTTTGAAAGTTATATTTTTGATTTGCAGGTGCCATGCATTCGGTGGTTTTTGCAGGCTTCTCTGCTGAATCGCTTTCCGCCAGGGTCACTGATGCAAAGTATGTAGTTTTTTTTAAAGTGACTACTCATAGCGAGAAAAGTTGCTGAAAATTTGTTTCAAAAAAAACTTTTCTTCGAGAATTGGTCCATTATAAGTTTTAATACTGATTTCCAACATTCGTTCAATTATCCATAAAGCATTTTTTCTCCAAAAGCAGTGTTCAATTTGAGATGCCGAGTGATCTTGACTTCCGACGGCTTCTACCGCGGTGCCAAGGCGATCAACCTGAAGGAAATCGTCGACAAAGCCGTCCAAATCGCCTCGGCTGACGGCGTCGACGTCACCTCCGTCATCATGGTCGAGCACGCCAAACGCGTCACGATCCCTGAGGGAGCGCGACCAATCAACGTTAGTTTTGAAGATTTTCGGCAGCTGAAGGAACAAAAACTTTCAAAGTTTTTTTTTTTAATTTTTCGAATTTCCTGGTTCACACAGGAAAAGGGCAAACACTTATCTATTCAAAAAAATCGTCTGAGTTCCACCAAAAAAATTTTTTTGTAGACCGTTAAAATTGAAATGAAATAGTTTTTTTTAAACATCGAATTTTTTTAAATGTCAAACTCCTCCGTTTAATCAACTCTGAAAAAAATAAATTTAATTTCTCTTTCGAGTTTTTATGAAAAATTTTCAAAAATAATTTGAGAGCTTTTGGAGAGGAATTTTTCTGTTGATATGCTTTTTTTATTTTTTTCTCTTAAAGATTTGAATTATCGAAGAATTTTCTGTTGTAAAATTTTAAAAATTTAATAAAAAAATAATGGAAGTTTTTCACTTTTTTTCCTGCTTGAAAAAAATTCTTGAACTAAAGGTCGGCAAGCTCTCTTCGATCTACTCGTCCTACGAGTCGGAGATGTCGCGTCTGAAAGGAACCGATTCTCCCGTCGAATGGATGGAAGCCGAAAGTCCGCTCTTCCTTCTCTATACCTCGTGAGTCTTTTCTTCAGCCCAAGATTTCACGGCCTGCGCATATGTTATGCGGTGGCGTTTCGGAAGGCGCCGCTTCTCCTAAATCGATACAAGAATGCTAGCTTGCTGCAAAAAATGAAGGAAAAAAAGAGAAACGCGTCTAACAAGAAAGATTATCTGAGTCGAAGTTGGAATTTCAAGTGGATCAACGGGCAAGCCGAAGGGAATTCAACACACGACGGCTGGCTACATGTGCTATGCTTACCTTACCACAAAATGCACTTTCGACGCCGATTTGCAAAATGATGTGTATTGGTGCACGGCTGATTGTGGATGGATCACAGGCCATTCGTTAGTTGGAAAGTGGGAGAAACGAGGGAAATTTATGGATCGTTAGGTACCTTCTCTACGGTCCTCTGCTCAACGGACTCACTGGCGTCTTCTTCGAAGGCGTTCCGACGCATCCGAGTCCCAGCAGAATTTGGGAGATCACCGACAAACACCACGTCACCAAGCTGTACACCTCTCCTACTGCTGCTAGGGCGCTCATGGCTTTCGGCGACAGCTATCTTCAAAGGTATTAAAGTCAATTATAAATGAGCGTGTAAATTTGATTGGTTTTTCATTCAAATCTTACGTAAGTTTTCTGTTGACGGAAGGAAAAAAAATGTTTTTTTCTGATAGTAACTTATCTTTATTGGAAACGGTGGACAGTAAATACTTCGTTTGAAAAGAAGAAAAAGTTTTATATTGAGACGCTTTAAGCACATCTCGCAACTCTCTGCGGATCATCGGAACCGTTGGTGAGCCGATCAACCCGTCGGCTTGGATGTGGCTCTATGAAAACGTCGGAAACAAGCATTGCTCCGTCGTCGATACCTACTGGCAGACTGAAACGGTAGGTTTTTGAAAAATATTTATGCGTCGACTTAAAAAGGGATGGTCACTTTGTTTATTCCAAGTAAATGAAAAGAAAAAAAATTTTTTTGGGGTTTTGAGCAAAGTTGTCCAAATCGGGAATTCTCAGAGTTGTTTTATTTTTTTAATAATCCAAAAAAAGCTGAAAAAAACTACTTTTCGACTCGAATGGGTATTTGAACTTCTCATGTTATCCAATATTATCAATATTTGATCTATTTTTTTGCCGTTCAGGGTGGTCATATGATTACCCCGCTCCCTGGAGCCACGCCAATGAAGCCCGGATCTGCTACTTTGCCATTTTTCGGCGTTGCTCCAGTGCTCCTGGATTCTGATGGCCGCGTTATCGAAGGCCCCGGAGAAGGAAACTTGTGCTTCAGCCGTGCGTGGCCCGGAATGATGCGAGGAGTGTATGGCGATGAATCCAGGTGAGTTTTTTTTTTCTTGATTCTCCGAGTTTCGCGATAGAAAGACTTCTAAATAATATCAGTTGAGTTCATGAAAAACTATTATAATAAATTTCCACACTCGCAAATGTGTGTGCAGTTTATTACTGGACATTTTGATCAAAAATGATCTAAATAGTCTATTTGAAAAATTTGCTCCGAAGTCCTTGAGGAAACATGAATTTTTTCATGACAGAATCTGGGTTTTAAATTTTGTTTTTTTTTTTAGATTTGTGAAGACCTATTTCGCGCCTTTCAACGGTTACTACTTCACCGGCGACGGTGCCCGACGCGACGAAGATGGCTATTTGTGGATGACCGGCCGTGTCGACGACCTGATGAACGTGAGCGGTCATCTCCTTTCCACCGCAGAGATCGAGAGCGCCTTGGTCGCTCACCTCAAGGTTCGACTTCGCAGCTTAGAACTCAGACTATTTCCATCTTTCAGGTCGCTGAAGCTGCCGTCGTCGCTGCTCCGCACGATATTAAAGGCTCATTTCCTTACGCCTTCGTCACTTTGAACCACGGAGAAAAACTTACCAAGGAACTCGTGGCCGAACTCAAAGTTCTTGTTCGCCACAAGATCGGGGCTCTAGCTGTGCCAGACATTATCCAAGAAGCGCCGGGACTTCCAAAAACTCGATCCGGAAAAGTCACTCGCCGGATTCTGCGCAAAATCGCCGAAGGCTGCGACACGGGCCTGGGAGACACAACAACGCTTATCGATGAAAACGTCATTAAACAGCTGATTTCTGGAAGAAACAGCAAGGGATAAACCCTTTATCTCCGAATCAGTTTTTGCTAGTGTTATTGAATATTTATTGTAGCTTAAAAAGTCGGCCTAATCATTTTTTTAATTATTTACAAAACTGTGCTTCCCTGTGATGCTTTAGCATTCCGATGTCTTCGCAAACTGTCAATCTCTTTTAATCTCTGTAATTTATTTGTGAATTATCTACTTGCATCAACGTTATACACTCACAGTTGAAAAGGAAGGAAATGAAATATTGCCTGTTCAGTTCTCCTAGCTCACAGTCAAGAAGTTAGTATTGAAATTAGGTGCAAGAAGAAAGAGAATTTGAAGTATTTATGGTGGTATGAAAAAAACACCAGCGAAACTTTAAACGGCGACTTTTCCGATTTTTTCATATCGCTAGGGAACTTTCCGACGGCCACTTTTCCGACGAATCTTTTTCCGACTTTTTTCCCTTATATTTTTCGGTTTATAAAACATCTATAAACATTTTTTTTTTCCCCTATTTCTTTGTGTTTTAATAATTAACCAACTACCTACTTTATATAGGAAGATTTAAAACAAAGATTTTATCGAGAAAAAAAGTCGGAAAAAGATTCGTCGGAAAGTTCTCTAGCGATATGAAAAAATCGGAAAAGTCGCCGTTTGAATATTCGTTGGTCTCTTTTTCATACTACCGTATTTATCGCCCGTTCCTCGCAAGCTTGTCACGATCCTTATTTCAGAAAGGATTTTTCAACTCTGAGAAAACCAAAATTGCAACAAACTGGCGCGGAACGGGCTATAAAAACTATATGCTGTGGATTACCCGCTTGGCAGAAACGTCAAAATTTTGCAAGATGGGTGATGATCGACGCACGTTTCAATGTTTCACCCGATTTTTTTTTCGACGAAAAAATTTTTGTTCCGAGAACTATGCAAAATTCAATTGTAGCCGTTCTTCAGCGATCCATATCTGGCTTTTACCCGAAAAAATGAATTTTATTTGAGGATTTTCAACGAAAACTTCAAATTAGCGGTTTCTCGATGTATCCAATTTATCTAATGGCTTCAATTTTGCTTATTACGCAATATCATTTCAAACGAACAACGCCTTAGTTTCAAAATCGCCGAAGCAAGAGGTAAAAAAAAAGGGGGTCAAAGATTTCCTACTTGAACTTTAAAAGTGGCATGTATTTTCCGAGGATTACTATTTTAACTAGGAAAACTACGTATATTATTGTATCAAATGGTTGCAAGTCACAATTAAATACAGCTGACCTTCAAGCTTCTAACCTTTTTAATGCAAACATATTCAATTAACAACAATAAATTTATTTGCAATAACAATTAAGCACGAGCTTCTTGCTCAGCAACAAAATCACGTTTAAGTTTGCCCATGAAGGCGCGCTTTTCAGCAGTGGTCTGGAAGCGACCATGACCGGTCTTGGAGCTAGTATCAATCCATTTAAGACTGATCTTTTCATGCGCGAATCTCTTGGTTTGCGTGATCAAAGATTTACGGAGAGTGATGAGGCGCTTCTTGGGTCCGATGACAGCTCCGCGAAGCATGACGTAGTCTTGCTTCACAAGTCCGTAACGAGGGAAACCACCCTGCAACAGGATTGCAAATTAAACGTTAAAAAACTATTATTGAAATAAATTAGCGCTCTCAGAATTCAAGTTTTCCACAAAAAATTCAGCATTGCAGACTTTATCATCACAGAACGCAATTCAACATAAAATAACATACCAGAGGGTTGATGGTCTTCTGCGTAAGATCGAATTCGGTAGATCCGTTGTTCTTTCCCTCAGCAGTCAGGCACGAACGACCAATTCGGTAAACCTTGTTGTTGATGACCGTGCGATGATGGTAGCCTTTCTGACCGGCGCGAGCAACAGTGAACGATACACGCGACGGATGCCACGCTCCAATACAAGCGACCTGAATCCAATACTACTATAGAACAAGAAATTTTTGCTAAAACCTTGCGGAGACCCTTGTGAGTCTTGCGAGGAAGCTTTTTCGTGTGCCATCTGCTGGTGACACCCTTGAAACCGTGACCCTTGGTAACACCAATGGTATCGATCATCTCGTCCTGGGAGAAGACGGTATCGATTGGAACTTGCTTCTCGAGGTGTCCACGAGCCCAGTCGACTTTCTGTTCGATGGTTCCACCGTTGACTTGGATTTCCATGAGATGCGCTTTCTTCTGGCGACGGTTGAGAATTTTCATCTGAAAAATCGGTATAACTTCATAAAATTTCATCTCCCAACCTGCGTGTGGGCGATGACGCGGATGGAAGTGCAATACTTCTTAATCTTCGTGATATCGCTTTCGATCAACTTCTTGCCATCGTCGTCTTGCCATTTCTTGGCATGCTTGGTGAAAGCCTTCTTCTTAGATTTTCCCCTGCAGCATAATGATTATGAACTCAGTGCCTTTGCTTGACAGCATCAGCCACATTGTTCATTTTCCCTTCATGTACTAAGACAGAGGAAGAGAATCACTACTGGCAAAGCTGAAAGTTTTCACCAGTTTAAATGGTGCCAGGAAAAAAAAGCAAAAATTTATCTAACCAGTTTTTGTAGAAGCGACGACGGCAGTCCTCGCTCAGGTGCTCAGCCCAAACAGTCTTGAAGTTGCGGGGGCCACGTGGAGTGTCAATGTAGCCCACGATGCCGACAATAACCATTGGAGGCGTCTCAATGACAGTGACGGCTTCGACAACTTCTTTCTTGTTGACCTTGGATCCAGGCTTATCGACCTTAATCGGACCTTCACATTCCAAACTTCTATAGCCAAAAACTTACATCACGGACGATGTGAGTCATACCAGCTTTGTAACCAAGGAAAGCAGTCAAATGCACAGGCTTTGACGGATCATCTTTAGGGAAAGCCTTGCATTTACCACGATATCTGCGCGAACGCTTTTTTGGGGCAAAGCCCATGGAACCGTGTCTCGGTGCCGAAAACTTTCGGTGAGACATGTTTTAACCCTGAAAAAAAAAGTAAAAAAGTCTTTAATTTAACAAAAGGATGAAAATTGATGATATAAACGTAAAACAAATGTTCATCAAAAACGTTTATATTAAATTTGAATGCTACATTCGTTAGTTTTTTAATAAATAGTCAGAAACCACAAAAAAAATTATAGTGAGTTAATTTGCAGTTGTGAAAAAAAGTTAGGAGCCATCAGAATTAAAGGAAAATTGGCTTAAGGTTTTTTCATTTGTTGAAGTTATACATAAATTATTTACACTTAAAATTCTCAAAAAAACCGTCAGAGGTTGACATATTTATAGATTAATTGTGTGTTTAAAAATAATTTTCACTCTGAATTTCCCTATTTTTTTGACTCTTTGATGGATTTTTGAATTCGCGGAATTATTTTTGAACATAAAACAAGAAAATAGCAGCAACGTAAAATAAAATTTACTCTAGCATGCATCAATTGTAAATGGAAAGAAATTTTGGGATTTGGGTGCCCTGGCCTAGTGTACACGCACACTTCAGCATTGTGCGTCGTTGTTCGTAGTTAACACGCCCTTCCGCAAAACCGCGCGTATTCAAATATTTCTACATTCCTCACCTAATGCCGCGTTTAAAGTAATAAAACTACACGCGGAGAAATTGTTTTTCCTGTTTACAGCCACGAGCCGAAATTATGCGCGCCGATATTCGTTGGCAACATTCCAACACTTTTTTTTTCTTCTTTTTTTTTATTTTCTTCTTTTTTACATAATTTTTTTCTTTACTTTTTTAATTTTCAATCCGTTCATGGCTATTAATTTCAGAAATAGTACGAATGAAAACCTTTAGTTAATTTTTCGACTGTTTGAACTTGAAAAAAGTTCAATTTTTCTCAAATTTCGTATTTATCGTGTTTATTTTTTTTCCAACGGATGTATCAGAGTGTTTGAAGTTGCAGGTCTCTAAACTATGGCGGGTCTTCGATTACCGAGTTTTATCTTTGAATAAGGTTAACTTTTATTCAAAAAAATTTTCTAATTTCTTTTTACAATTTTTGATTTTGTTCACAAAAAAATTCAGATTCGTCAGGGAGACGGGCGGCTCGTGTGAAGGTAACGCAAAATGTTCGTCTCTACAGTCAAGCATAAATTCGTGAGTTTTCTTGATCTTCGATATTATTTTTTTTTCATTTTCAATATGTCTTGTCTGTTCAGTTTTACACGAAAAATTAATACCAAGGTTCAATCATTACCTTGTGCAATCCTCACCTATTATTCTTTCATTACTGGCTCAGAGGCTCGTGAGGGCCTCAAGTGCCTTTTATTTATTTATTTCAGGCTTAATGCCAAATTTTTCTCTCTTTTTTTCTGTACATGTTATTTTGTTCTGCCTGTAAATAAATAATATTATTAAAAAATCAGCCTTTCTTTTTTTTTGAAAATTGTTTTTTTCTTCTTTCAGGCCTAGACGATCGGTTTACGAAGGACACGCCGAAAGACTACACGTGAAACTTGGATCTCTCTTTATGGAACTTTTTTTCTAATAAAAAAATTCATTGTTTTTCTTCTGCATTTCAGAAAAAAATTTGACAACAAAACCGTTTTTTTGTTATTAAGTTTTTGAATTTGATTAACTAAGCAGCTTGTTTTTTTACATTTATTCCTCAAGAAATTGATGCTCATCATCTTTATTCAAATAAAAGATGGAGGAAATAAATGCGTAATAAAACAAAACAAAATCATTGAAATAAAGGAGAAGTTAAAAAGCTCTGAATTTGACACAATCGAGACATGACAAATTGCAAATTTATCCGGCTGACCACAACGTCTTGTTCGAATGAGCTGAAAAATTCAATACTTTTTTTCTGAATTAAATGAACTAGTTATTAAGAGATCTATAGGAAAAAAACTCACAAATTTCTTATTGCCCGTGGCGTCGAAAAATTACGCGCTACCTTCACACGAGCCGCCCCTTCCTCCCTAACGAGTCTGAATATTTTTTTGTGAAAATAATCAAAAAAATTTTTAAAACATAATTGCGAAAAAAAGTTTTTTTGAATAAAAAAATTAACCTTTTTTTCAAATTTAACACTTTCGGTAATCCAATACCCGCCATAGTTTAGAGACCTGCAACTTCAAACACTCTGATACATCCGTTGGAAAAAATAATAAACACGATAAATACGAAATTTGAGAAAAAAATTGAACTTTTTTTCAAGTTCAAACAGTCGAAAAAAATTAACTAAAGGTTTTCATTCGTATTATTTCTAAAAATCAATAGCTTTGAACGGGTTGAAAATTGAAAAAAAGAAAAAAATTACGTTAAAAAGAAGAAAAGAAAAAAAAAGAAAAAAATAATTTTCGGCTCGTGGCTGTAAACACGAAAAACAATTTCTCCGCGTGTAGTTTTATTACTTTAAACGCGGCATAACAAAAAAAGATATAGCCAAGGCTTCTCGCTGCGATCTCGTCAAAGTCTCGCTGCCATATCGCTCCCTCTCAAAAATTGTTATTAAAAAAACTTTTTTTTAACATTATTTTTGACTTTTATGATGAAATGAATCAAATTGAAGAAAAAGCGATATAGCACAAGGCGTTTGCGAGGTCGCAGCGAGAGGCGAGCGATAAGCGATATTCCCCCGCGGTATATAATTGCTTTCGCTGCCACAATAGTGGGAGCTTGAGACAATCTTTCTTTCTTTGTGTGTTATACCGCGTTCAGAGTAATTTCAGGAAATTTCGAATTTATGTATTCGTTTTCTTTTCCATATTCATTGCATGCTCAATACAGTGCTACGGCCGGTCATTATTACGCCGTCTCTTTCGGAGCCAGTAAAATTTTTCACTTTTTTTTATGCGATCAGTTCAGAAGCTATAGTCGATGTGCCACAAGTTGAAATTTCATGGAACAACACTCCGCTGTTTCGATTTTGTGCGGTAGCGCGCATCTTGCGAATTTGCCAACTTCGGCCACGCTAATTTTTTTTTGGTTTTCATTCTAATTTTGATCGTTTTTTAATTGTTTTATTCCTTCAAAATGTATTATTATCGTTGAAAAGGATTGCGTTGTACAAATGTAAAAGAAAGAACACAGTAAATTTCATGATGTTTCTCGAAAAAAGCGATTTAAAAAAAAATTGAAAAACTTCATGTATTTTTCAATCGCTTTAATATTGTTTTTCTCGTTTCTCAAAAAAAGTTTTCAAAGACTTACCAAAAGGATTTGCGGGTGAAATAGGCCGTAAACGCCACAATATTCTACAATAGTTTCTGTGTTTTTTTAAAGCCATGTTTTAATGTTTTCATCGTTTTTTTTCTGTTTGCAGTCGTTAATTGTTTTTTTCAGAAAGTGAGCGCCTTATAAAATGAAGATGCGTACTTCCATGAGCACATGCACCATAATTTGAAGAAAGGTTTTCGTTCCTTTTTTTTAAATGGAGCTTTAGATAAATCGTATTGCTGAACTATGCGTCAGAAATGGGGCGTGAACAGGGAGCACTTGGAACAGTGGAAACGATGTGCTGAACGAAATGTCCAGCAAACTAATAATTTTTCCTTTGAACTTATGTATCTGTTTTTTTAAATAAAAATTCGTCAATGTAGAAACATTCAATTTTTTTAAAAATCATTCACTGTGTATTTTATTTCTGATTGGGATATTTTTTACATGATTTGAAATGAAAAAAAGAAATGTCGATAAAGGCTCAATGAAGGTAAAATAACGGAATATATTGAACAAAAACCAAAGACCATCTCATGAAAAAAACTTTCAAATATTATAAACGCATTTTTTTCTCTTAAAAATTCGCAAATTACTCTACTTTATTTTTTTATCAATGAAACAGTCTATCCACTAGAAAAGATAATTATGAGTTTGGCACGAAGAAAACTATTAAAACATGATTAAAATAATGAAAATTTCAAACAAAAAAAAAATTGAAAAGCGCGACCGAAATTCGCAAAGGCAAGACGCTTTCACGGCCACGGCCACCCAACGGAGTGTCGTTCCATGAAATTTCAAGTCGTGGCACATCGACTATACCTCTCGGGGTAATAAGGGTAGTCACGTCTCGAAAGCTACAGGAGTTCATATTTTATGACCGAAAAAGATTTTTGAACTTCCGTAGTATGACCGGCACTTACATAGGCAAAGTCGAAAGGATTCTCGAGAGTCGGATCCGAGGGTCCATAAAGGCTACTGAAGGGTCCATAGAAATGTTTCTTTTAGGGTGGCAAGGGCTCCTTTTTGCTGCCTTTTTTGCACCATTTTATCGGCACTTATGCACCATTTTTGCTGCTTTTCCCTTCTTCCAACATTTTTTTCTTTTTTTCCTTGAGCCTGTAAAGTCCCAGAAAAAATGCAAGGCTCGATAAAGTGACTCTTTGCTGTCTTTCTACGGCCTTTTTTGAGCCTCTCCCTTCGAGCGACCGTTATACACAATTCCGACTTTGCCTGAGATTTGACTTTGAAACGTCCTTTTTCAAAAATGAGAAACTTGTGCAGGTTGAGAATTTCAGGATTTTCAACTGGTACATAAAGAAGTAATCGGGTCAATTTTCAGAGAATTCTTAAAGGCATAGGGGCAGTAAAAAACGGTGTTTCAGTTCAAAGCAGTAATTTGTAGAGCTTTTCATTGCGAATCGAACGGTGAACTTGGAAACGTACAGTAGTTCCTAGTTTTGAAGAAAAAATAATTCAAAGTCGGAGAAAGGAAAGCTTGAGTTCCCGCGAAAAGGGCGCTTTGCAGTAACTGTAAACATTTGTCTGTATACCGATCCAAAGCTTTTTTCAAAATTAAAGGCGGGAAAGTAGAATCGCGTTTTTCTTCTAAAGTTGTCACATCTGTAATTTTTTTGAGTACACCATTCGATTCGCAAAGAAAAACTATATAAGATACTGCTTTCACCTGAAACCCCATTTTTTACTGCCCCTATGCCTTTAACCGCAAGGTAACAAAAAATATAAATTAAATCTTTCGCGTCAATGTTTAATCTACAAATAACGATGGCCCTTTAATAAGGCTGCATTTTTGACTTCTTTTTCTATCTTATAGATCAAAAAAGATCAAAATTAGTCCCGCGCGATAAAACATCGACGCGAAAAGGCGCCGTCTCAGCAGGGGCGGAGTTAGCTGTTTCTCGAATGCTGAGCAGGGTAACACAGCCGTGCTAACACGGGCTCTCAGCGGGTGCCCCGTATTAAAGCCGTATGAGCTTATACGGGTTTAGCCCAGCTGGTAAAACTTTTGGCAATTTTTAGCCCAGCTGGTAAAACTTTGGCAATTTTTAGCCCAACTGAGACCCCGCTTTAGCACAGCTGGGTTACATATTTTCCTTACACCCGTTGTTCCCCCGTTTTAGCCCAACTGAGACTGAAATAACCTCAGAAACACAGGATTAAAACGGGTACACCCGTTGAGACACCTGCTCAGCATGCGAGTTGACATTCAAAATCTGAACAGACCATAAATCTTATTTTCTTTTAAGAAATAAACCATTTCGAAATCGTGTACGAAATAAGTTTCTTAATAGAAATTTAAAGCATATCGGTGTGCACCCTGGTTACAGTGCGGTCATGGCGGCCAAACGTATTACGGTATAGCTGATTCACGGCTGGCTTGAGCCATCGAAAAAAGGGTCCTGACACGATAATGCGTGAGATAGTGCCTGGCTCGTGAAGAGCGCAGACAGGCCACGCCCCCTTACCGTCCCAAGCTAGCCGTGAATCAGCTATAGTTCAAATGATATTTTTTTTTTGTAAATAAGTTGATATTTCCCTATTTATCGAGACCTAACTACTATTCACTTTTTGTCAAATACACTCTTCAACCTATTCAAGACTTGCCAATGGACTTGCACCAAACAATGTAAAAATGAAAACGTTTTATCGAAGGGACCATCTGCGACGGTGTTTCAGTCGTAATTACAATGGAAAAAAAAATCGAATAGTGCCAATTTTCAATGCAATACGGTAAAACAACACCTAGAAAACTTAGCATTTCCCAAAAAAACAAAAATTGGAACGAAAGCAAGGAACGAGCAGATTGAGCACATCATTGTATGTACATAACAAAAGAAAAAGAATTAGAGTATGTTTGAAGCTCATTTGACGCAACAAACTTCATGAATAGTTGGGAAGATTTCTTTGAAATTCAAAAAGGCACTGAAATAAAAGTAGCAACATAAACTATGGGAAAAGTTTAACCATCGCAAACAGAACCATCAAAAAATTTCTTAACAGGTCGAAAATTACTCATTCGATGGTTCCATTTCTCCAGAAGAAAAAAAAACAAAAGACATAAAACAAGAAACAAAATAATTACACTCCATTCACCGCTAGTTGTAGAGAGAAACTATTACAGACGTCTAAACCTCCTTCTTTAGAGGTGTTTCGCTGGTCATGTCACGAAACCTATTGCCGTGTTCAAAGTAATTTCCGCGAAATGCAAAATGATCTCTGACTCTCCACAATTTAGTGATCTTTTCCTTTCTCTAACGGGTATTTTGCATTTCGCGGAATCAAATTGAACACGGCATATCAAACTGTATCAAGCGGTGAATGAATTGTTCGAATGCAGAGAGTTCAAAACGGGACACTGCATAAGAAATACGATGAAAAAAAAAAAGCAGAAATTAAATTTGAAACAATGATTTTTGTGAAAAGAGGGGGTTGTTCGAGATAGAAAAACTTGCTGGAAAGTTCGGTTATCATCAACTGGTGTATTTCATTTAGAAGGGCTGTGAAAATATCTTTTTCAGATAAAATAGAATTTGACAATTGTAACAGTGAGAAGGTTATGAGAAATTTACAAAATTTGTACATATTAAACCGAGCGCTGAAGGATCCTGAACCGAGTTAATCAATAGCACAAGGTTCAGGGAAATTTCAAGTTGGACAAGCCGTGAGGTATAGAAATCTCCAAACAAGAAAAACGAAAACTTGGAAGACTCTAGATGGATCATATTGAAGTTCCAACCTCACGATGTAGGTCTCAAAAATCTGTAGGAATAGGTAAGTTGTCAATTTTTCGTACTCACTTCAAAAGCTCTAATTGAGTCCTAAATAGAATTTGGAACGGATGAGACGAACACTTACGTGCTCTTGCATTTTGATTCAATATGAAGAATTTTATGATTATTGTTTTCGTTTGGTTTCGCAAAAACGTGAATGAGGGAAACGAGATTGTAGACGGATGAAAGGCAACGTTGATGTGCAGAAAGTATGACAGTGAAAACAAATTTCAGAAACCTCTTCAAAAGTTCTAGTATAAGAGGTTGTTTCAGTGTTATTTTTGTCAGAATAAGTAACAAGAAAAAGGGAAATATGGAAGTTATTTGAAAATGTTGGTACACGAAGGTCTTGAAACCCGATTGATTCTTAATCGTTCATCAGTTCGTTTCTTTTAATGTCGGTAACTTTCCATTCTATCGGTGTAGAGCTATTGCGCGGCTCCCTGAAAAATTGCATACATTGAAAAAAAGATAATTGACTTCGAGAAAAATTTTTATTTAATAAAAAAATAAACCTAATTTTTTTTGATTTAAAATGAAAAAAAGAAACCTTTCGGTATGGATCTTCGTGTACTGTTTGTTGGTACATCATGTTGTTGTTAGATACTCCATGATTCTGTTCATAAGCGTTCGAAGAGTTCGCTCCATATGGCGGATAAGAAGGCTAAAAAAAAGTTTTTTAAAATTATAGTTACTAAATTTCAAATGAACCTACTGCGTAGATGAGCAGTTTTAAAAAAATTCAAATGAACCTTTTTTTAATTCAATTTAAATGAATTATCAAATTTTTTTCGAAATTGAAAAAATAAGCAAAAAAAAAGTTTAAATCATACTTTTTCGAGAGTTCGACTGGACGTAGTACTGGGGTTGTTGTTGAGAATTGCTGGACGAGTTGTTGTAGACGTACATTTCATTGGGTTGATGCGAGTTTCCCAGTTGCATCGCACCCATTTGCGCCGTCAGTGGATTCATGTCGTACTCTAAAATAAATTTCCGGTCAACAAAGTTTAAGCAGAGTTAAGGCGCTTTTTAGTCGAAAAAGGGTCAAATAAAACAATTCTCATCAATAATTAGAAATTTTGAGAAGTACGGCGTACGTGAAATGTGATACTTAGATCCGAGAATAGTTTTTTTGAGATTTTTTTAAGGTCTTCAATTTTTTTAATAATTTTTCTTTCATCTTTAATTTTTCCTTAGAACTTTGCTGAGCATTTCCCTCAGAAACATACTTCTAAATTTGGATAATTATTTTAATCAAAAAAAGAGAAGAAACACGAACGATAAGGAGCGACTGGCTGATGAGGCTGATACCCTCCAAAGTAAGGGGTCGTGTGGTACATTTGCGGAATCGCTGTCACACCGCGCATCACTTCATGGGATCCAAGACCCAGCTGCTGAAAAAGTTCTCCCATTAATCGTTTTCCTTGAGAGTTCGGCTTCTACCTGATTTTGGAAAATGTTCATGTCAAAGCCCATTTCGTTGCGTTTTCTGTTTGTTTTGCGGCCTGTGTCGGCTTGCTTAATCAGCAGTGGCGGCAGTGACTCGGACATCGCTTCGAAGCGGCCGCCGTTCAGCGCTTGAATTATTTCCTCGCATTTGTCCTAAAGTTTAGTCAAGTTCCAAAACATTTCAAGAGGGTAACAAACGCTGCAAAACATCACATAAGTTTATGATTATAACCTCGAAACATACCAATTTCAACCTACGCCTCTATGCAAGATAGATAATTTCAAGAAAGGACGTTTTTAGAATCGGGCACGTGAAAAGCTGAAGAAAATTTCTAAAAAGAAAATTCAAATAAGCACAAAACTTTATTAAAATCATAACGAAAAAAATTCCTCTAACCTTCCAGGCATTGGTTACTGTATTTTGCAATGGAAAAAATTAGCCCTGGCTTGAGATAGAAGAAAATAGCAAAACTTTCGAGAGTTAGAAAACCAGATAATCTAGGATACCTTGTACCAACTTGAAACCTTTACCTATTTACATGATTTTTAGAATTTTTATCGAGAATTTTTTTATTCTGACTAAGCTTTTCAATTGAAAAAAATATTTCCTAGGAAGTAAAATGTATGCTGATTGATCGTAAAAAAAATAACTAGGGAGTTTTTACGATATCTATGAGTTTGTTTGAATAGAAGTGCGTTATGAAGTGAATCATCTTTTTATACATTTTCAACTAAAATTAACCTTGGAATCCATTCGAGCGAAGCCAACACCTCTGGAAGTCGCGTCGTTGTGGCGCAGAATCCGCGTCGACACCACCAAGCCGAACCTGAAGATTGAAGAAGGTAGCAATCCAATTGTCCAGGTGAAAACCCTACTTTGCCAACTCGTTCTCAAGCATCTGCTCTGTGTAATTGGGTGGCAGGTTCGCAATGTAGAGGTTGGTCGGATCCTGCTCTTGCTGCTGAAGCTGTATCAACAATGAAGAATACCGAAAGTACGCGATACCTTGGCCATCTGTGCCTGGACGCCGTCGGCCACCAGTTGCTCTACGGCACGTTGTGCAGCCTGAGGGCTGTCAAAATCGACGAACCCGTAGCCTTTGCACGAGTTGTTGCTCTTGTCCATTATCGCCTAGAGGAGTTTTAAAAAAATGAAGTTTGGAAAAAAAGAAGTTTAATAGCAATAATATTCAAATTCTTATCAATAAAACATATTGAGATAACTTCGACTCGTTGGTCAATATTAATGGCTTCAGATTAACTTCAAGCTCACAAAATGTTTCCCTCTTTTTATTAATGATCTCAACTCTTTAAATGAAAAAAACCTCACAAAACTATAGAAAATCGATTTCCGGTAATAATTCAAGTTTTTTTGGTGGTATGAAAAAAAAGCCAGGAAAATTTCAAAACGCGACTTTTCCGATTTTTTCGTATCGCAAGGGAACTTTCTGACGGCCACCTTTCCGACGAATCTCTTTCCGACTTTTTTTCCTTTATATTTTTTTCGGTTTATAAAATATCTATTAACATTTTTTTCCTTTTTTTGTTTTAGTCATGAATAAACTACTTACTTTATATAGGAAGATTCAAAACGAAAAAGTTTATCTAGAAAAAAAATCCGGAAAAAGATTCGGCAGAAAAGTGGCCGTCGGAAAGTTCCCCAGCGATACGAAAAAATCGGAAAAAGCCGCCGTTTGAATTTTTCGCTGGTTTTTCATACCACCGTTTTTTTTTTCCAATATGCACATGGATTAAAATTTTGATAGAAAACATCCCAGCAAAGGAATATGAAAAATTATCTCTTCCCGCATGTGTATGCAGACCGACATTTTTTTTCGAAAATTGATTTGCTTGAAGTGCTTCCTTATATTAATTTGCATGCCCCCTCCATCAAAATCTCCTCGTTTTTTTTTTCTATTTCACTTTCCTCTTGACTCGTCGAGAATGGTGAAATCGTTTCTCGAATTGAATTGAAGGTTTCAACGTTTTTTTTTTCAAATTCTACTCTTTCTAGAGCTAAAAATAAGACTAAAATTTGATGATTTGTGTATTTTTAGTAAAACGCGGAACAAGCGAATAAATTTAGGAGTTAGAGAAACTATGCAAACAATGAAAGCACGCGGCAAAAAACATGATGGTAAATAAGGCAATTCAATGGACGCGGAATGTATTCCCATCGCCTCTCCGAGAAAGTGCAATGAACAGTCAAACGCGCCAAGAATCTTTAGTCCTCGATAATATAGAAACCAGGGGAATGATTCATTTTCTTCCTTTTTTATTCTCTAAACAAACCATTTATTTGATTAAAAGTTTAAATTTAAACTATAAAATGATAGGTTGCATCAAATTCACGGTCACTCAACATTCATTCATCGTCTTCGGAAGTGCATAATTTCTTAGTGTTCAATTTGATACCTTTGTAGAGGAGATGGTGCCAAACTTCTCACACATGGCGCGCAAGTCGTCATCGTTGGTGGCGGGCGTCAAGCCGCGGATGTAGAGGTTCGTCTGCAACTGCCGAGGATTCCACCAGACCCGCTTGTTTTTCGGACTAACCAGGCTCAAAGGTACCGATTCGTGGTGTGGCGTCGAGTCTCGTTGAGAATTCGAGTAACCGAAGCGTCCATTTGAGTTGTTATTGGAGGAATATCGTGAGTTGTTCTTAAAATGTATCCTTGCAAAAATAACTCGCAATTTTTTTCAATTTATGCGTTACTCAATTCTCGTTAAAATGAGCCTGTCAGAGTCCATTTTTCTTGGCTAAAGATTTGAATTCTGTCCGAAAAATCAATCTACTTTGAGAAGTGATAAAAATTTTCAAGAAAACTTTTAGTAATAAAAAAAATGGAGTAGTGAAACAAAGATACCCGTAGAAACAAATGGGTTCATGAATTTCCATCTTTCAGGAAAGTCTCTGTGCTTTTTATATGTATTACCTTTGTACATATTTGAAGTTACATGCGAATATTCATAGAGAAACGTTTGATTGAAATAGAGAGAGAGAGAGATGCAATCCGCCACATTTTTTTTGTTTTCTTTAATTTCCTAGGCGGCTTAATTCCTTCTATTCTGACGAATAACCAAACAAACAAATCACATTGAAACATTTCGAACATTTCTCCTATTATGTAATTATTTTTTCACACGGAGCATTTCCCGTGGAACTTCTTTTCTAATTAAAAACAATCCATTCTTTAAAAGTGAAGAAACTAACGTATGAATATGAAGAAGTGTAGGGCTGTCGCGAGCCGGCGTTCGAAGTGTTCATGACGTTTGCCGAGGTGTTTTGAGGATGTTGCCCTGGGGGCATTACAAAACTTCACAGCTAAATAAGGTGCAGCGTTTCCGCGGCTTCGCAACTGCGGAGAACCTGAAATATCCAACGGTGAAATGCGAAAAAAAAGATGAAGACACAAAAATAACAGAGAAGTCAGAAAAGGTCAGAAACGCCACGAAATGCGGTAGTTCGAGAACGTTTGGCACCTTAAACTAGGTCATGAAGTAGGTGTGAAAAGAGATAATTGGAATGCGAAGAGAAGTTAATTTGGAGAAAAAAGGCGCCCTATCATTAATTATTATATAGTGCAACCAATTTTTTTTCGATTTCAGAGAAGAGAATCAAGGATAAGAAGGGAATGCAGGAAGGAATCAGAAAAATAAGCTAAACGATCGGTTTTTACACCGATTATCTTCAGAGAGAAAATATTGTAATTTTCGAAAGTTTGTACTACAAAATCTCCTATTGATGTAAGCGATAAACGTGTAAATATTATAAAAATTGTGGAGAAAAAAAAATTTCGAATAACATCAAAAATTTATAGTTCAAGAAAGGATACGTTATCAAAAACTTTTCCCACAGGAAACAAGAGACATTGCGAAATTGGGTCAGCCGCTGACCATAATTCACCCAATTAGAGAAACAAAAAGGTCATGCGAAAAAGTATTATGAGAAAAAAAAAATCTAGGATGAAATGAGAAACAAGAAAAAAGAAAAAAGCTGCTTAATGAGAGGCAAGGCGCAAAAATTGCCTGCCAAGGCGAGCGGGTGACGACAATCTGGCCGCGTGCCAATTTCTGGCACGCCGCCAACACCGTCTCGTTTCTCTGTGCCCCTCATAGCGGTCACAGTCTCGCGTCTTCCGTAACCCACCGCTCGGCTTCCCACCACGACCAGTGCAACTTATCTTTTTTTTTCACCCATTTTCCGCATTTTAGACTATTATCTACTTTGACACGTCGTGCGAAGCTCAAATATAAACTACAAAAAAAAAAAATTAAAATCTTAAGATATTGGAGTTTTAGTTGAGGATAGTTAGAAAATGGAAGAAAAGTTTTAACTTCTCAAAGTAAACTTTTTTTCCATTAAAAAAGAAATACTGGAGAAGCTGAGTCTATAACTATTGGCTTTTTCATAATAAAACGGATAAAAATCTATCACAAAAAAAGAACACTTACCAGTTGGTTAGCGGTAGGCATATAATGGGAAAAGATGATTAAAGAACATAGAAAAGGCCATAAAAATCCTAAAATACAAGAAGAGGCCGAAGAAGAAAAAAAAAACAAGAGATTTGGGTCTGAGCTGCGCGGGAAATGACCGTCCGCGGCGACGCCGGCCTTCGACCTCAAAACTTCCGTATGTAGTATGATCGGGGTTGAGGTCAACCTTATGTACTATCTATGCAGTAGTTAAGATCTAGTAGTTGATACCAGTGAAACAGAAAAGTTAGAAACAGCAAGAGTATATAGCAACTTATAAATCGATAAACGTAGTTGCGTGTGCGTACAGCATTATGTGTCAGTTACTGTACGGGGGCCCTGAACAGAGAGACGAGGAGACAGCTTGTGAGAGGGTCGGATGAAATAGCGTTGGGTAGGCAGAGGGTAGGCGCCAGCTAAAGGTATTTGGCCTCGCGCCAACACGAAACCAACACGCCGCGTGAGAGTCGGTCCGACTTCTTTGAGAGCGGCGGCGAGACCAAAAAACGTTGAAAACTCCCACTTCGATTCCGCAACACTTGAAACTGTGGCGATTTGAATGTTGGAGGAAAAGTGAGGGAACGAAGAAAGAGTCCGGAGAAAAAAGGGTAGATGAGTCGGCTGATACGGACAGAGCGGAGGTCGTTCGCCGATATCGGCCACTCGGACTCTTGCCAACAACCTCCGCCGATGACGCAATTATCCTCGTTCCCTTGCCAAGACCATATTTGGTCAACTGGTGTACGCCGTCAACTACTGGCTTGTCGTTGAAAAAAAACTAGTCTAAAGACGCACAAAATCTTTTCTTTTTGATGTAACGTGAAATATTAAATAGAATCATTCAACTGCTAAATTACAGAGATCTACTTCAAAGAATGCTTCATTTCACAAAATGGCAAAAAAATTATGTGTCAATCAGGTTAGTACATAGGGTCATAAACAGGCTCTTAGCGAACTCGGTATAACATTTTTCGCTGCATTTTCTGTTGCAAGTCGCCGCGTCTGATCAGATTCGAAATCACCTGAAAATGTTTTTTGCTGGAGAAGCTAGCTATTCTGCAAACCTTCTTGACCAAAGACTCTTTGTAGTGCTGCCTGGCGACGAAATCTTGAATAATGAGGTGCTCAGAGACGTGAGTTCCAACTGCAAATCGCTTCTTCATCTGCGATTCGATCCGAGATATCGCTTCTTGATCTTCGCCAGAAGTGAAGCCCTCGACTCCTGAACATGACTTCTTGAGGATTCTGGCGAATGCAATGTCTAACCGGCGAGGTTTCCAGTTGCTGCGGCTTCAATAGTAGATACTCGGAAGAGCCGCAGAGCTTCTTCCACGTGTTTGTCCGTTGCAAACGGCTGCAGCTCCATCTGTGCATTGAATTCGTAATATTTTCCAAGTCCAATTTGGAGGTACCTTGGCCAAACTCTCGCAAATTCTCACAATGGCCTCCAACTGTCGGACAGTGATAGGAATTGCCGATCTGTGAGCATTCTTTCCTGGAAGAACATTTTCCTCACAAAGTTTAACAAATTTATTTAAAAACGATCCTTCTCCTTGAAATCATAAGCAATTCACCAATTCAAATATAGACAAGGTAGATATTTTTTGTGTGAGATTTGGAATTTTCTACAAATTTTTGCGTTTTTTTCGTGAAATGTTTTTCTCACGGGAGTTTCCTGTGCAAACTTTTAGCTTTTGAGAACACAATTATAGAAATATCGTAGTTTTGGTCGTAAGCCAATTTCTAGGTCAAAACGTGAAACTGAAAAACGACCTCCCTCCTAAATTTTTAAAAAGAAGTTCAGAAAAAAGCTAAAAATTGAAACTATGTCTAGTCGAATGCTTTCATTTTTAAAAATGGAAACCTTGCCATTTCTGAGCTTCAAAAAAAGTTTAATGCAAAGATTATCAATCTCTCAAGCAGAAGAATCGCTTTTTTCTCATCGACAATACCAAAGTTCTCGGTGGACATGGGCGGATTGCGCATTTTGACGTAATGGTTGACGAGTTTTTCGCTGGCCGCTTTCGTCAGCCTCGGGGCACAAGTGGATCGAGCATATGACACAAATTTCTTCAGGAAAGCTATAAAAGAAGGCTGTTGAACCAAAAGAAATTTTTAAAAAAAGTCCTGAATATTTAATAGGCGACGTATCTTTTAAAAGAGGAGAAAAAAAAAACGCTCAGACTTCAAACAGGAATGAGGATTTTTCAAAGATTTTTGAAGTACAGAAAAGAAAAAAACAATAGGAAAAGGTAAAAAAAAAATAAATTCATCAACTTTTTGTAATCTGATTCATTTTAAAATTATTCCACTGCGAAACATTGTGAGATTGGCATTTTGGACTTGCGCTTTATTCATTTTCGAACTCGCAAAGAGGCTAGAAGCTCTTCAAAGGATAATGAAAATTGCCACCTCCAAAAACTAGTTTTTGACGGCAGCTTCAATATTTTGATTACATGCACTACAATCAACAAGAAATTTTTTTCTTCAATTTTTTTTTGCCAAATTCCAAAAAAGATGTTGTTGTGCGTGAAACAATGTTCATTCTGGAAAAAACTATCTCTTCATTTAACCTTTTTTCATGTAAACCTGGTCCCACGAAAACTATTTGATCACTATTTCCGGTAACCAATTAGCAATTTTCAAACTTTTTTGTCAAATTATTGACCAATGGAATATTATTGAAAAGTTAGCAGTTCAAATTCTCATCAAAAACTCTGAGAAAAAATTAATATTAATTTTTTTAGTGGATCCTCAATCTAATTTTTTTTTCTCCTTGGATAGCTCCTCCCTTCGTAGTTTCGGGTGAAAATAATTCACCATAATTATTCCCTAGTAAAGCAATTTTTTCCGATTTTGGACGGTTTCCACAGAAGGCTCCACTCACTGAGAGTCAAGAACCCATCGGTATCGTAGACGGCATTTTTATCGACGGTGGTCACAGACTGGGCGCCTCTATCACGTTCGTTCGACGCGTTGACATGCACTTCGATGACGTGTTTCGCCAGTGTCTGTAGCAGAAAGGATGTCCGTAAACAGTGAACGGGAGTCGCTCACCGAGTCCTTGTTGACGTCATGCGTGTCCTTCACAATGTAAATCATGTCGAAACGCGACAGAATCGTCGGCATGAAGTCGATGTTCTCGTCGCCCCGCGAGTCGTCCCAACGGCCGTAGACAGAGTTGGCCGCTGCCAGCACAGAACACCGAGAATTCAGAGTCGTTGTTATTCCTGCCTGAAAGAATATAGGTGATTCCAAACTTTAGAAGAACTCTTCGAGAAACCTTAGCGATGGAAATGGTCTGTTGTTCCATGGCTTCATGAATCGCCACACGGTCGTCTTCTCTCATTTTGTCGAACTCGTCAATGCAGACGACGCCGCCGTCCGCCAACACCATAGCACCTCCTTCCATAATGAAAGACCTCTGAGAAATCAAAGTCGACATTTGAAAAAAGATGGAAGTAGGTTTTTGTTGGAAATCGGACTCCTAACAAAGGCTTTTCATTTTTGGACATCCTTCCTTTTTTCGTTTAAAAAAATATTCCACAAACCTTCGAATCAATCAAGAATATTTTCAAAGATCAGTTTTCTTTATAAATGGAAAGTATACAAATAAGTTGAAACTGTTAAAATAAGAACAGATAGCAGAAAAAAATTATCGAAAAGCAAAAAAAGAAAAAAACAATGAGAAAATTTAAAAACAAAAAATACGCTCTTTTTTCAGTTTTCACTAACTTCACTATTTCAGGATCGTATTTAAATCGGAAAAATAAAATTCAAGTCATAAAAGCCATCACATAAATTTGAAAAAATTTGATCGGCGGAAAAAAACATTCAACAGAATAAAATACTATTTCGTCATAATGTTCAGAACGAACCGAGGTAGGATCTCTAATGACGGAAGCCGTGAGACCGGCAGCCGAAGATCCTTTTCCAGAAGTGTAAACTCCGATGGGCGAGACCTGCTCGACGAACTTGAGCAACTGCGATTTCGCCGTTCCAGGATCTCCCAGCAGAAGGACGTTGATATCGCCTCGCCGAGTGATGCCGTCAGGAAGCCTACCGATTCCAACTTTAATATTTCTTTCCAATTCGAAATTCCAACTTTTTCCTCGAGCCGCCGAAAAGCAAGCAAGCGATGGACTTTTTGATATCGATAGAGCCGTAGATAGAAGGAGCGATCGACTTTGCAATCACATCGTAAACGTCAGACTGCATGGCCAGATTCCTGTTTTTTTTTTGTTGGAAATGTTTATTTCTGCAAAAAAAATACTTGAACTGTCGCTCTTCCTCCGGTGTGAACTGCTCAAATGTTGATCGACCTGGTCCAGAAGTCTCAACTTGAATTCCAAGGATTCGAAGATAAGGCGACCGAATTCCTGTCAAAGTCTTGTCAGCTTTCTGAAAATCCACAGGTTTTAAGAAACAAGAAAAACTGCTGGTGAACCTTTTGGAACATTTTCTTGATCGAATAAACACCGACAATTGTTACACGGTTTCCAGGTGCGACTTTGTCTGTTAGATACCTGATTAAGTCCAATTAAAATTAAAAAATAAGTTGTATCGATTACCTTTCCGCGAAGAGTTGCAAATGGCGCGGCATCTCTCCATGAGGCACGTCTTCTGGATTCTCTTGAAGTTTCAGCGTCTGGTAATCGACACACACGCACTTGTCGGGCAAGATGACGTAAGGATCGATGGGACATCTTTGCATCTGACCAGCTTGTGGCCTTAATTCAAAAATGATCTGAGAAATCCAGAAAATGTTTCTCGTACGCTCCGCAAGTTCGAGGAAGCTGGAATCCTTCGAGGCCCGGCTTGACAAGCATATCCGGAACAGTGTGCTTGCAGGAACGACATTGGAGAGTCACTCTCGTGGCTTTTGAGCGAACCTTCAAATCATTTTGAAGTTTTTTTTTTCCCGATAAGTCATTCTATACGAACCTGCGCTGCTGCTACAATGATTCCAGAAATTTTGACGATTTGGGAAACCTGACCACTTTTTACTTTTCGAATAGAGCTTGGGTACTCATCCATAGTAAGTGTGACCTGAAAAATATTTCTTTTCACAGAGTTGATATATTGATATACCTGGATGTCTCGGATCTCTTCGTCTCCAGCAGCTCTGGGCTTCGTGATCTCATCAGCAACAGTTTTCGCGGCCTCTTCTAGCTTCAATGTGGAAATAATGAGATGTTCCTAATCGAGAGGAACTTACAGCAGGAAGGACTTTTCCTGGATATTTTCTGAGTTTTTCTTCCGTTTCCTCGTCAAACATTTTCAGGTGATTCAAGTTTATTTCAAGATGGTACTTCCCAGAAATGTAATTACGCTTCAATTCGTCTCTACATATAGAAAGAGTAGGGAACTTTTCCTTTCAGCATTTAAACCTGTAAATCATTCCAAATCCGCCGGTTGAAAAATCTCTGATGAAGTTCCGAAATTGTGAGATCATCTGCTTATACTCTGCAATGAGTTCTCGGCCACTGTCTGGCATTCCATCGTTGGCAAAGAAACGTTCCTAATACAGCCAAGACATGGAAATTATAACTAAGTGAACAAACTTGATAATAGAGTCCGGCATCGTCCAGATTCGACATTTTAAAGTTAGTTGTTAGGCTGAAAAAATTATATGGCGATTTAAGTTAACTCAAACAAAGAATATTTTAGAAAAATAAAAAAAAACTTTGCGGGAAATGAGAGGAATTGAAAATTTTTTCGATTGGCGCCTCTTTTGACATTACACCGTGGCGTAAAACTGAACAAGCACTACATTTCACGACAGTTTTTTTCCAGTTCAACAACCTCACTCATTTATAAAAATAAATTTATTGCTTTATGGAATCCTCATGCTCTTTTTCTTTTTGATAGCAACTTTCCTAACATCTTATGACCAGAATCTTTTATTTTTCACTGCGATTTAGGGATTCAAGTACAAGAGATTTCTTTATTTAGTGAATGAACATATATCTACCAAATTTTGAACGTGGAAATGGGTTAAAAACCAATGGACTAAGCTGTTAGTAAAACACAGATCACAGAAAAATATCTCAAAATCTGGAACCGGAGATTGGGAGAGACAGGGACAGCAACAGTAGTGAAACAGGGGGGAGACGAATCGGAAGGTAAGTAATAACAAAACACGGAAAAAAAAGAACTGATAATAATAAATGAAGAGATGTCACAGGTCCCATTAGATATCATGCAAATATTACAAGGATAAGAGGAAATTAGTGATAACAATATTTAAAACTTTGCTTCTGATATGTAGACGCAAAATCCCATAAATGCCACTATACTAATAGAAGTCGGAGGCTAGAATGTCGATGATCATATTTACAGCAAAAGAAAAATCAAAAAAAAAAAATCTAAACTTTCAGAAAGAGAGAGAGAGCGAGAAAATTCAAAAAACAAAGAGTAAATAATGATAAACAAGAGAATCTCTTCACAAACTGGCGAATATTGCAATTCGAGTTGAGGGGAAATGGCGGAATTCTTGTACAACAAAGCTAACAAATGGAAAAAAAAAACAAAGTTAGGTAGATTCATTCTGCATCCGCTTGTGGTGCAGCTCGGCCTCCTGCCAGATCAACTCTTTGAGCTTTTCTTTCGGCAGATCGTCCAGCTCCATCTCTAACGTGAACGGCTCCTCGCAGACCGGCTGCAAATGTTCATTTTTTAGTTAAATCTTTTCAGAAAGTCGCCTATGAAGATTCCGAGGAACAAATTCGGCAATGAGCTGAAAGTTTTTTTTTTTTAAATTTACCTCATCATTGGGGTCATAGTACTGCTCCAAGTAAGGATGTGCGAGTGCCTGTTCAATGTCGATCCTGAACAGAAAGCATTAGAAATAGACGTGAAATGGAGACTCTACCTATTGTGGGGATTGAAAGTGAGCATTTTGTCGAGAAGATCCAGAGCTCGCGGATCAGCTCCCGGGTACAGCCGGACCCACGGTTGCTTCGGCTTGTGAGGTAAAGAAACGAGGTACGACCGAGCCTGAAAAATTATAAGAATTGTGGAAAATTAAAGGAAAGAACCTTATCGTTGATGATGCACTGCAAGTCTTCGGAAGACGGAGATCCGACGACCGCCAAAATCAGATTCAACTGATCGAGATAGTGCTTTCCAGGGAACAGGGGCCGATTGCTGAATAGAAAAGTCCGAACACAGCCTTGATTAAATTTTTGAAAAAAAAAGCGTTCAACTAAAAAATTAGAGATAAAAATGAAACAAAGATCTTTATTTAAAAACAAAGAGTTTCTGCCTAAAAATGCTTCAACCAGTTTACTGAGGTTGATAAATGTGCAAAAAAAAAAAAACCAAAAACTTATTTTCCAAACACCATTAAATTGATCTCGAAGCTCAGTCTTTAATCATAACATATATTTTTTAAACAAAGGATTGGAAAAGGTTTTTTGCTTCATATCAAACTATAACGAAAAGTGAAGTAGAATTTTCTTGTTAGATTTCTCCAAACATGAGGGCCTCAAAATGAAAGCAACCAAGAAAACACAAAATTTTTATGAAAAATGAACACAATTTTTCCTTTTTATTGGTTCCAAAAAAAGAGTTGCACCTGAGCATCTCTGCGAGAATGCAGCCGACGGACCAGACGTCGATCGATTTCGTGTAGCCTTTGGAGTTGAGCATGATCTCCGGCGCGCGGTACCATCTCGTGGCGACATACTCTGTCAGAAATCCTGTGTGGTCCGTCTGCGGATCCGTCACCCTTGCCAGACCGAAGTCGCAAATCTTCAAAAGGAGAAGGCTTTTTTGAATGTCATTCAAACCGAAGATAAACTTCCGCAAAACCATTTCCAACTCGTAAAATTTCATATGAACGAATCATGATCTTTCTGAATCCTTTTTTTTTCGAAATGTTATACTTTTAAATTATTTTTTAGGATTCAAACTTCCAGTTACCGTCATTTCCTACCAGACGAAAAAAAGCGCCTGGGACAACAAGAAATTTTAAGAAATACTTCTCAGGAGTACAAAAAGAAAACTGCTGTTTTGCCAGCAGAATTCAAAGACTACTAAATTATGAAATAGCTTTTTTTTCATTTGGGAGCTTTTCTTTATACTGTTATTTCTGTTCTGAAAAAAAAAACTCGTTGCGTGCCAATTTGAATGAAATACCTTAAGGTCGCAAGTTGTGTTGAGAAGCAAGTTGGACGGCTTTAAATCGCGATGGAGAACATTGGCCGAATGAATATACTTGAGACCTCGAAGAATCTGAAAAAATTTCAAATACTTATTAGGAAATGAGAAAATAGGCTTTTGAGCTTTGGATGGTCTCTCACATATAAAATTCTTTTTGATAGAAAAAATATCAGTTTTCTACAAGAAAAAGAAAAAAACTCAATCCCATCTTTTGCAGCACTTTCATGATCTTACAGATAGTCCAGTTTTTCTAGTCGCTGTATAACGGGGAAACCAAATCACCTGGTACAAGAAGTAGCAGACGTGATCGTTGGAGAGTTTCTGCGTCTTCAGCAACTTGTACAGATCTGTCTCCATGAGACACTGGACGATATAGCTAAAACAAGTCGCAAACTTTGGAAGAGGTCACGAAATCCTCACATGTCCTTCATCGAGTCAACAGTTTCGGAACGGATGATCTCTTGAATGTTGATAATCTAAAACGTGAGTATTGAACTGCCGTGCACTGTTATCGTATCGCAAACGTTTTCGTGTTTGAAGCGCGTAAGAATTTTGATCTCACGCAAAGTGCGTTGGCAGAAGGTTTGGTGTTCAAAAGGCGAAATTTTCTTAATCGCCACCCTTTCCCTGGTAATTGTGTCCAACGCCGAGCTGAAACCCCGCCAATAATTGTATATGCCAAAAAGACGAAAACAACTTACGCGACCATCCCGTAGGCGCCTTCGCCGATGTAAGAGAGGTTCACATACCGTGGAGCTACCTAAAATGACAATAATTAATTATTTCAGGGATAAATCGTCAAAGATTCTTCTGTAAAGGACCAAAAAAATCGGAATTATCATGCTGAATCATTTCTTTCTCAGATACTTTCAAATTATAAACAGAACATCTAACAAAAAAACTTCGTTTCTGAATGAACAGGTCTTCGAAATTTCTTAGAAGTTCCTATCGGTATTCAGGATTTTCAAAAAAAAAAAAACCACTTTAATTTCGCAGTAAATTTTAAATTAATAATTGGGCGAAATCCAAACGCACGTTGACTTACAATGTTTCAATATAAAGTAAAAACCAGAAACATTGAGCATTATTTTTAAACTCGTTATCAAACTTGAAGCAAGACAAAAAAGGAAATGATCATATTCTTACACCTATTCAAAGTTAACATTTTCTCATTATTAATAGCTTTAATAAATTGAAAAATTCTCAACACAGCTCTAGAAATGCCAGAAAATAACACAAAATATTTTGAAAACAAATTGAACCTCGAAAAGCTGTCCGTGAACTTCCTCCACGTTGTTTATCGTACTCCCAGACGTCTCGGCCTCGGTCATCTGGAACAAAAAAGAACTCATCAAAAGGCCTCCGAGACAATATCAACGGCTGGAACGAGAAGAAACGTGAGGAAAGATGCACCAAGACGCGTTGCTAAGAGACTGGGCCGCCAATGAGTTCGCTTATCAAATCCCCCAATTCTAGGAGCAGAGCTTTGCAGAACTAAGAAAAGTGCGTCAATGCGACATTTCCACACAATGAAGGACAGACGGCGGGAGATTAAAAGTTTTGAAGAAGACTAGTCCAGGTAAAGGGGCGAGTACGTGAGTAAAAATATATTGAAAAACACAGATGAAATGGCTACCTTTGAAAAACAAACAAAAAGATCATTATAAAAATATTCTGAAGTATAAATTTTATCTTACTAAAAACCATTGTCATATTTTTAGAAGCGATTTTAATGGCAATTATTTCTTTTGTGAAAATCGAAAGAAGCCATTTCGGAAATCGAAAAAAAAAAATCTTTTGTCATCGAGATAAGAAGTGCATTTGACATAATGTGTAAATGAATTTAGCAGGAAGAGAAACACAAACGAGAGGAAAGAAATATAAATCAAGAGAAGACGACGGGAAAAAGTGGCGTTTGAGCGAGAAGGAGAGAAAGAGAAGTATTGATTTGCATGCAGCGAAGCACAATAATGCTCACATTCATTCAAGTGTGTCCTCGGTGTCGCAAAAAGCACGTTAACTCGAAGGGCCACAAAAACTCAACGGGGTTCCTCCTCATCAGTTTGCGGACTCTTTGCGATACGGCCACGGTCTGTCTCTGCCTGGCGTCAATAGGCAGAAAAAAAAACACAGCACAGTGAAAGTGGCAATAAAGAGAAGCGTTTGATGATTGCGCTTGTTGCGTTGACAAATGTTCATATGTGTGAGGATATGCGGGTCCAAGCGTAGCGAAAAGGTTACACACATGTGTACTGGCCCAAAGATTATTGCTCTAGACACTTGAAAAAAGCGAAATCAATAGATGAAAATTGAAAGCGAGACACACACTTGAAACTGACTGCCGAGTTTTTTTTTTTCTCCTTCTGCTGGTCGGCGAAACGAGTAGAAAGCTTCTAATTATAACTTCGTGGAGAGCGTTTCGAAAATTGGAAAGCGTAGAAAAAGTCAAACCGTTGTCTAAAAATCGAGAATAAACAGAAGATATCTCATGCCGGACAGCAGAAAAAAAGATTGGGGCTCAAATGTCACTTCCACGAGCGCCATAAAAACAAAAAAGCCAGATGTGAGACTAAAGCTGAGAAAAAAAAAGCGAGTTTCAAAGTGAATCATTAAAAAGCTATGAGATGTATCGCAGAAGTAGCTCCGCCCCATTGACCGAATACTGTATTAGGAAGGAGTTCTTATCGTCGTTTTTAAATATTTGTTCATCTCGCTACCTCCTCGTTTTACTTTTTCAATCGCCGCTATTTTTTTAGTTTCGAATTTATTTATTCACAAAGAAAAGCTATGACGGGAAAAAGTAAAGCACTTGACCTGAGATTTCTAAAAAAAATTATCACTTTATGGACTTTGAAGAAAAATTAAAACTTGGTTACGTTTCGCATTTTCATTTGAGCCAAAAACAAGGGTGCTCAATTATTAACCCGTTTGAAAAAAAGTTAGAAAAAGTCGTAACTTTTTTTCTGTACATTAAAATTAAGCAAAAAAACATAACTTTATGAAATTATTGATGATAGATTTTTACTTCCGAAGCTTGGCAATAAACCTCGCGGTTGAGAATTCGAGTCTTTTGCAGTGAGTAAAATAAACAAAAAAACAAAACAAAAAAAGAACGAAGAAGAATAAACTCCAATATTTTCACCTCGAGGTGATCATACACCCAGTTTTTACGGACGAGGTCGCAGCGAGAGAAACGCTATATCGCGGGGGAGCCGCGAGCTATATCGCTCGCCTCTCGGCGCAAGGTCGCTCACATCTCGCTGCTATGTCGCTCTTTCAAAAAAATTTTTTAGCTCGATTGGGCTTTTTTTTTCTTGATTTGCTTTCTATGCTTCATACTTTTATTGGGTTGTACATGATAACATATCGGTCTTTATCAACCTTCTTTACTTTTTATTTAATATAAACAATATATTTAAATGAAAACTTGAGAGCATTAAAGAAATTTCCAAATAATTGATGATACATTTTCGAATTCGAAGTAAACTGAAAGTATGTACAAATCTGAAGAAGAAAAAAAAATTGAATTGAGGCGAAAGAGTGAAGCTTCAAGTAAGAATAAAAAAGGACAATATGAGGAAAAACATGTGTATCGTTTATTTTTCATAGGAAAAAAATGTGACTAGGAAAAGAGTAGTTTCAATAAAAACAGAAAAGTAAACCGATTGTAAGCTCGTAGATGATCTTTAAAAAAGTTCAAATTAGAAAAATAAAGGAGGGAGGCTCGAAATGAAAATGAAAGAAGTTTTGAAAAAAAGAAAATTAAGCTAAACAATCAGATTGACCCTAAGTTCCCTTAAAAAAATGTTACTGTAAGCTTTGACTTGATAGTTTTCGGCATATCCTTCATTTGCTGCGTCAAGAACTTTTCTAAATGATAAAACCGGTAAAAAAAGAGAAATACTGAAAAAAAGTCCAACCTTGAATAAGAGAATAACTCACAGGAGCGACTGTATCAAGACAGCAGTTCGTGCTTTCTCGAAATCATGCCTCATTTCTTCTTTTTCCTTACCCATCGACGCCAAAGTGCAAAATCATATCTTCAAGCAAAAAAATGGATATACTGTTTCAAAAAAATAGTTTACCAAGAATCTTATTGATTGTATCCAAAAAGCAAAGTTTCGGTGCCATCTCCCACGGATCTTTCTTGACTTTTATTGATCGAAAAAAATGTTAGATGTTTTTTTGAAGTACTAATAACCTGAAATTATTGGTTAAAAACATGAAAAAATGCGAAAAAAAGGACTTTCAAATTCAAGAAAGGTGTGCAGTGCCGTCAAAAATATATACAAAAAAACGCTTTTTTTAAATCACAACTTTCTTTAATGGGATTTCACCCTTTTGAAACTCTCTGGAAATATGATGACTGTTGATTGTAACACCGTGGTGAAAAACTTAGAAACACAGCTGAAAAAAAGTTTCAGAAAGATTGAGCTCTATACGAGGAAGTTGTGAGCGAAAAAAATATTTTTTTCCTCTTCTGACGGTACTGTATGAGCGTTACATTAGTTGTAAAATTAACATTTTAGAAATATTAAGTGAAAAAAATAGACATAAAAAAATCAGAGAGAATATAACACACGAAAAAAATTAAACAATTCAAGTAAAATTTTTGATGGCACGTAAATAGTGACCAATCGATAATCCGCGACCTCGCGCCGATATCGCGCCGGGGAGTTTGCTAGAGCTGAGCGAGATGGCAGCGAGATATGTCGCTGCTATGTCGCGCCACTCTCGCTGCGATATAGTCCACGAAACTGGGTGTAGAAAATCGTGTCGTAAAATAAACTGTTTGGTGTTCCAGTTACGAACTAGAGCACTACAGTAACCAAATAACTTGGAGCTCTCACTTATTTCAGGAGTTTTGTGTTAAATCCGTTTTTGAAGCGTGAGAGAGACTTCTAATTGGCTTCATCACTTATTCGGCGCATGTAGAAATATATTTCCAGAAATAAAAGTTAGATCCAAAAGTGCAAGAAACGTCCAATGCAGATATGTCTATGAGGACGTATAAGGGAAAGTTTATTGAGAAAAAAAAAGGAAGAAAGAAGGATGAATCACGTGCAAACACCTTTTTTTGAGGCTGGCCATACAATCCTGTACACATTCGGCACACGGTCGAGTAGCGAAGAACAGGCAAAAATGGACTCGAACGCCGACGAAGTTCTCCTTGATTTTGAGACGGTTAGTTTTTTGCTTGACACTTCATTACTTCTGCTATTTTGCGTTTTGAGCGAATAAAGGTGGGCGGGTAAACAATTTTCACATTTCGAACATAAATGAGTCACATTTTACTTGGATGATAAGTCTCAAGTTTCTCTGCAGCGGAGCGAACCAAAGAAAAACAAAAAAGAAGGCTGTGATTAATTATAACTGCTTATCGGTTCGTGTAAAAAAAAAAATATTAAATTGTAGTTACAAGAAAAAGAGATCCCTATCCAACTAAGAACTTTTACAGGCGATGCGAGACTTCGGAGTCATGTTTCCGGAAAGAAGTTCCGACGACATCGAGCTTGCGCTTCGAAGGAACGACGGCGACGTCGCCGCTACCATTGACGCCCTTCTTACTCACCAGGTTTCTTGGTTGGAAGGAGAACTAAGACAAATAATCAACAAAGAAGTGAAAAAAAGAAAGAAATAAAAAAAGAAATAAAAACTCATGAGGAGTATTGGGAAGAAATCCAATAAATGCATTACGATAAAATTCTCCATAAAAAGCTGCTTTTACATAATTGAAGTCATTTCTAAAATACGACCATTGGAAGTTGATTCTTTTTTTCCAACGAAATACACATTTTTTTCATATTTTTTTCAAAAACATAGTTTTTATTCAACTTCCAGGAGTTTTTTCCACGTGTTTGATTAGAAAACCGCCACTTGTAATAAGAGAATGTGTGCGCTATGGATAATCCAGGATAATCGACAAAAATTTTCAACCTGAGCTTCTAAACCTTTTTCTCGACCTTCTGGACGAATGATGTCAACTATATCACCTTCAACACTTCTTTTTAGTTTTGAAGACGGAGGGAATTTCGGCCTTTTTGGATTCTAAACGGAAATTGTATGATGGAAGAATAATGAATCGAAGTGAATGTTTTGTTTGCGACGCCGTTCAAACTAGAGCCGGGTTTCGCCTTAACACCATCCACACACATGCAAAGACACGCAAAACGACTTACTTTGGTTACACAAGCCACGAAAAAAAAAGAAAAAAAAAGTCGTTTTCCAATGCTTTTTCCCCATTAATTTCATCGGAAAACGGGAAGAAATATAATTAAGCGACGGAAAAGCGTTGGCCGCGACTCTCCGAGGGAAAAAATTCAGCTCTACTGCTTGCCAATTTTTTACGAGTGCCGTTTGGGGTGAGAAATTATTCATTGGTTTTGTAGTGAGGTCAGACTTTGTCGCCAGAGCAGAGTTGCGGCGGATAGAGCGGGGCTAAAACTTCACAGTACAATTTTTATAGGTTAGGTAAAAATAGATTTTGTGTTTTGAACTATGTAGAAGATCAATGGTCTACTACCTACTTAGAAGGGAGGAAAACATTTATTATTGGGCAAAAATTTATCGAGTAGATTCGAATAAAAAAGTAATGAAACCAAGCTTTTTTTTACGTTGAAAAAAAAATATGTTAAAGCAGACAAAAGACGGAGTTGGTGTAACCGAAACAAAAAATACTCACTTATTTGGCGGAGTAATTCAGGCTGAGTCTTCAAATTTATATTCTCGAAGAACAATAAAATGAGTTGCGGTCTCATTTTCAGACGAAAAACAGTTGTCTGTTATTGAGAATCGAACTAAATTTAGAGAAAGTACTTGAAAAATCGTTGTGAGAAAATCAAAGTTCTTTGTTTCCTTCAACTTAAAAACTGATTCAATTTTTTTTTTTTTGAACAACCGCTATGTAGTTGTTTTTATTAGAAAGAAACTCAAAAAAAGTTTTTTCGAAAATAAAATAATACTTAGGCTTCAAGAAAGGTCACAATCGCTTCTGAGACAAGCGCAGTACAGCCAAAAGGACTGGAAAACCTGCAAAAAGAACGAAAAGAAGTGGAAAAACTGCTCCGCGAGAACCAAAAAATGCTGGATGTCGTCTGCGACGTCAAGAAGGCGCGGTCAGTTTGGATGATTCATGAGCTCTAAAAGAAAAATGAGAAAAATAGGCGGTGCAGTCGATGATTTAAAATTTTATACTCATTAGAATTTTCAACTCCAGAAAAATAATGGAGACGTGTAAAAACCGAGCTGCAAAAAAAGCCAGAAGGAAATTGAGCCGCAGAGCTCCATTTTCACAATTCTTCAAATTGATTTCGAATACCATGAATAAATAAATTCCTAGAGATCTGAAAAAAAAATTTCAAATTTGTAAAACCGCGTAAACGGTGTTCATTTAGGCTCCTAGGATGGAGAAAAACAATGAGTCACTCATCTTTCAGTGAATATTCCATTTATTACTGGGAAAAGGGCTCAGAGAACTGGAAGACGCGCAGTTGGCCTTGCTTCTGCGTCACCACGACGTCTGCGCACTGATCAAGCGTGAAAAGCCGACGGCTCAAAAAGCCGTTAAAGTGCGCCCTGCGGAGAAGGAGCGTCGAGTGGTGGAAGAGCAGCCGCGGACGCGCTGTCCTGAGGGGCCGGTCGTCGAATTTCCGGCGACGACGCCGACGACACCCGCCGAACATCTGCGCCACGGCTTGGCCACCGTCAAGAGAGGTCTCCAAGTGTCGCATTTCTGAGCACCCTGAAATTGCAGCTTCGCGACGGCTTCTCTCCTCCCTCTCCACGGATTCTCAGTGACGCAGAAAAAGGCTTTCTTTCCTCATTCCTCGACGGTGAATTGATAAAGAGAAAACGTTTTGTTTAAAACTTTTACCAGGAAAATCCTTTTAAGTAACTCTCGGAGGTTTTCTGAAAACAGTTAAAAAAAGTCAGCCGATAGCACCGTTTCAAAGAAACAAGGAAAATGTATCTAGAACTAGGAAGTTGTGAGGCTGAGATTTGTTTTGACTCAGAAAGCTCCCGAGTACATAGTGGAATGACCTTTTCTGTGAGTGTTCCCGAAAACATTCGATGAGAGTTGTTATTAAAATTGACTAACATTTGCTTTTGATTTTCGTTATTTCTGGTTTCATTAAATTCACATGCTTGAGTTGGTACTTTGAATATGACCCACACCTGTCCTAATCACTCTTAGAATTACTTTTTCTTAATTCAGAATCCCATATTTTCACCATTTTCTAAAAATTATGAATTGGAATAATTTCGAGTATGATTTTTGATTTTCTCTGCGAAATTTTCAGCACTTTGTCTTTCAGATTTTTATAAGTTATTATTAAAGACTTACAAGATAACAATAGATAAATGCAGGAAGATAACAAATGAGATATTGCGTGATATTCAAAGGCTGAGGAGGAGTTTGCTGAGAGTGTCGAGTTTGAACAGTTCGAAGAGCTCGGCGCTTTTGTACGTCTCCAAGATCAACTGGTTCATCTCCTGAAACGTCAAAGATTACATTTCGCAACTGAGATCCGAAACTGACAAAGACGGTCCCAGTCATGAGAATCATGTTGCCAAGGCGTTGGGCGATCTCCAGAGGATCGGTCAGGATGTCCTGAAAAGCGAGATTAGGACAGGTGAAGGACGAGCTGGACTACCTCGTAGTAAGAGTTGAGGCCGATGAGCAACGCCGTCTCGTGCTCCTTGGCCATGACTTTCATCTTGTTCGAGTACTCGCAGTAGCCGAGCTTCCATATGCAGAACGCCTTCAGGGCCGCGTATTCCACGGGGTCGATGTTCATGCTACGAAAAGGCTTGCACACTGCTTCGTTGAACCGCGCGATGAACTCGAAGAACAGACTGAAAGATTTATATTAAATTTCATAACTCTTAGAAAAACTTCCAGCATTTATTGGGTACTTTGAAAAAAATTATATTTTCAAATTTATAAATGGCCAGTTTTTAAAAATTGAAGAGATCGAAAAAAAAGTTTCTCCAAAGATGTGCTGAAAGAGAAAAAAACTCTAACTTTAGTTCAGAGAAACAAGAAACTTGATTGAAATTTCGTCCTAAAAAGTACATTCTATTTCAGACTTGCCTTTAAAAAAACCAAACAAGAAAACTAAGATTCATGTTTCAAATGAAAAAGCTGACTTTTTCACTTATATCTCAATTCTATGAATTTTTTTTGTCAGAATGAAGAAAAATTGAATTATTCGATAGAAGTGAAACTGACGTTTTCTTCTCTCCCCGCTGAAGTCCGACCTCATCTTCCCAACCGAAAGAAAGGTCGTTTATTGTGGAAACTGAGCCGTCCGTGTACATGACCAACTGAAAACAAGAAGTTTACTTTCAAATGGAAAAAATTTCTTAAGGAATTCCCAATTTCATTTTATTCGGAAACCATAAAAAAGAAAAAATGAATGTCTTTAAACCGAACAGAAACATGAAAGTGTGGTTATTAGAGACTTTCCAAATCTGAGAAAATCTTGCAAACTTATACTTCTGGGCAATCATTTTTCACCAAAAACTAACAGGGCTCTCATCGTTCTCGCGATAGGCTTGGACGGTGATCCAAGCGATGTCCAAAAGGGCATATGACAAGGCGCAGAGACGGAAAAAAACGGCTCTTTCGGTTCCGTCCATCAGGTCGAAGCCCGGTGTACTTCTGCAGAACTCGTAGGCCAAAAGGTTGTCGAACTTCTGCGCCTCGTACTGCCGCTGCATGGTGTGCGCTGGCGGAGAAGTCGTGTCGAAAGGCTGGAAATTCTACTTTTATTGTCGAAAACTCAATTTTTTTTTAGTGAAAACCTTTTCTGTGTCTATGAAAAAGTTTAACTGCGACAGACTGGTTTCTTTGTGTAAAAATTTAAATCAAAATGTTGAATGTTAAATGTTATTATGTGCCGTGGAAAAAAAAAAGTTCTTTTTGTAACTGAGATCTTCAATTTTTTTTCGACGATTGGTTCTGAAATAATATGAAAATTTAGTTGCGTTTTCATTTTCAAAGTTCATTTCCCACTGCTTCGGTAGACTTATGTCTACAAAAAAGGATTCTGGGACGTGGAAAAAAAAACTGACCATATCACCACGCTCTTCCATCACAGCAAGCATTGGCGTTTCCGTGAACATCATTCGCCGTCTGTCCATAGCCTTCCGCAACTGAAAATCGTTAAAATTGTCGAATTAAGGCTTGGAAACAACCTCTTCGACATAATGTCTCAACAGCTCGGGACCAGTCATGTTGACAATTTTGAAGCGAAGATCCCCAGGGGAAAATCGGTCGGCTGTAGAAGGTCGTGGGATCGGGTGGACGATGTCGGCGAGGCCAGACGGACTCCGCGAACTCGTCGACGGCTCGGAGGTGTAGGGCCGTCTTTCGGAGCCTTCGCCGTCGTAGTCGCAGGGTTCGGTCTTGACAGGCGACGCCGTTACCGCGTACATCGGCGTGAACGGCGACTTCTTCTCTACGCTGAAGGGACTATTGGCGTCGTCGGAGATGGGCGGCGACTGGAAGAACGACGACGAAGGCGTCGCGAGAACTTCTGGCACTGGGTCTTCGTCGCCGCTCGATGTCGCTCTTTTCTTTGTCGCTGCTCCAGCCTTCTTGTTGCTTCTTCGTTTTTGAACGCCTTAAACAGAGATCGCCTTGTTGATATTGATGAATAACAGAGGGAAAAATTACCCACTGCACCACTGGAAAAACCAGAGAATAAGAACCGATCTTCTTTTTTTAAATGTTGTTATATACTTTATATATTCTCGATTAACCATTGAAAACTCTCCAAAAGCTTGAAAGATGGTAAAAAATGTTTTAAAAAACTGACATTCTTTCTTCATTCCGGCTGCAAGACACTTGGCGAACCGACAAGCTCGGCAAATCATTCGGAGTTCTACAAAAAAAGATGATTTCCAGCTGAAGCCCTGAAAATACCATGAAAAATGGTGCAGCAGCGGTCCTTTTTACAATGAAACGTAATATTGAGGGAGACGGTCCTTCTGAAAAAAGCGGCACAAGCCAAACAAGATGTGCTGGCAAAGTGAGCAGATCCGCCATCTGGGTGCTCGCAAACCAGGCATTTCGTCCCTGAAAGTTGATATTGAGGCAAATCCTTGGGAAAAAGATAATTTCTACTTTTTTTCTCTGGTTAATAGTAAACGTTTCATTTCTATTTGCATTTTTTTGGAAAAGAGTTTTCTCAAGCGCGCCTTTTTGAGAGCCCTTGACCACAATTCGCCATACAAGACCTTGAAAAATCGAAAAGCCAAAAAACATTTTTTTGTCCAAAAAGTACAGACGAATGCTGAAAACACAAAGGTCCAAGAGAAATGCATTATCGGAAAGTTAGAAGGCGAGGGGAAATTTCGGCTGTTGGATGAACGAGTTTGATCTTTTGATTTCTCTCGTCCCTCAAGAGAATCTAATAATAGAATCGGCGTCGCGGAGAGAGGAGGAATAAATCCTAGCGAGAGGAAAAATGAAAAAAAATGTAAGATTTTCTCTTAACGATTCTCAAACGAAGTTTCAAATATCTAAACTAGTAAGTCTCTGACCACAAGTTGAAAAAAAGATTACTTTTTCTAATTTTTTTCCTTAAAAAGGTTTTTTTAAAAGTTCGTTTTTTTCAAGATTAATAAATGTCAACTTTGAATAATAATAATATTTCATTATTGCAACCTTGGACTTACTTTTTTTGACAAGTCAATTTTTACTAAAAACAGAAGAAATTATATTTTTTTCCAATCATTCAAAAAAAGTTTATTTTTCTCGTCATTTTTCGCTTATGAATTCAGTTTGTAGACTAGATATCGTTTAATAATGACTAAAAAAAAATTTTATCGGCATTTTCTCTCTCGCATCGACTTTCGTTGAAGCTCAGAGACTTCAAAGAAAACGGTCGGCCTCCAAGGAAAGAAAGTAAACCGAAAATTATAAAAAAATTGTAATTTTCCTCAGTCCATCTGTGTCAACTTCAAAAAGAAAAACAGAAGGGCGACTGTTTGCGGAGGGCACAGGTGCGAACGTTTCATGAGGGCGTCCCCGGGCGATGTTTGATGTATCCCTCCAGACGCCTTCATTGTCGTCTTGCACTTAAGGGTCCCCTTCTTTTGAATTTCCTTCACTCAAGATCAGAAAAGTTTTTATCCGAAAATAGATCTTTTCTCAACTAAATATTATGGATACGCGCTCAAAACTACGATTGTAGGAAACGAAAAAAAAACTCAAAAACCGTGAAAATGAGGTCAATAGACACTGTATACCCCAGTGGGAAATCACAGGAAAAATCAAAACTCGAATATGTTGAAGAGAACCGTTTCATCTCTTTAATACATCGTTGAATATTTGTTCCAGCCGTTTAGATCCTTCATTGAGCCCATCTCACTGATTTAAAAACATAAGTTGCAAAAAACAGAAAAAGAAATTGAATCGAACTATTCAAAAAAAAAAAAAAATTCGTTCCCATAACTCAAAAAACTTAGTATAACAAACTCACGTTGAAATAATCACTTTACATACTTTAGCTAATCCTTTCCCCATATCTATTGAAAATAGTAATCGATAAATTAATCCTCTCAAGAAAAAAAGTCTAAAGTCCGTCTAGAGACTTATCATCAATGTTCAAAGTGTCATTAGTGGGCCTTCGGGCAAATTTTCTAGTCAAAAAGTTTGGTTTTCACCTGTCTCTCCGCCTGATTATCAAAATGAGAGTAAAAACGTTTTAATTGCTGGAAAAGGCGCTTCAAAAAACTGAAGAGAGTACAAGTAAAAAAAATCTCAAAATAAAATGTTCAAAAACTCGAAGTTTTATGTAAATCAAAAAAATGTTCAAATTCATTGTAGTTTCCGAAAAAAACTAGCAAAATGCGAAAAAAAAGGAAAACAGTTTTCTATAAGTTAATTTAAAAGTAAATTTTTAGAAAGAGAGAGAGAGAGAGGTGAACGTCATATAATTTACACATACAAAATCTCTTCAAAAGAGCTAGAAATCTCCGGTTTTATCCGAGGAAAAAAAGAATGATTCAGCTAACCGTTCGGCTTGAGAAGCTCGGCCTTCATGGCGAGACGAGGAAGGGCCGCGGGCGTCTGCGAGGCGTCTGAAATACCGGCATCATCACTTTCGCATGATTCTGGATGATAAGCCGCGAAAACTTCCTCCTTCATTCAAGCGAATGCAACAAAGCTGAGCAAAGTTCAAACACGCAAAGTCGAGGAGGAAATCGTTAACGAATGCTGATGAAATATGTCTGAGTGTGGGAATTAAATTCTAAAGGCTTTAGTATATGTGAGAGAGCTACTTAGAGCTACTTTCGGCGTAACTCAATCAAATTGCTTCATAAAAAGTCATCGAAGAAAATGAAAAACCTGGAAATCGCTGCATCATTACGAAAAAAAAACTTTACATTCCAAACTATACACACTGAATCAACGAACAGAAAAATATACTTCCTTTGGTGAATGATCATGAAACACTAGTCCAGAGAAACCACATCAACAGAGGTTCATGAGAAAAATCAAAGATCGAACATATACATTTTTCGCTTCTATAGTCAGTTCAGATTTTGAATGTCAAGTCGTCGCTCAAGCTCCGCCCCTAATGGCGCGATAAACCAATCAGAGAGCGAGCCATCCACAGAGTGTTTTTGAATGACATAATTGCACTTGACATTAAAAATATGAACAGACTATAGCAAAGAAAAAGCTTCACCTGCAAACTTTTTGAAACATTGGTCATTCAAATGTACCCGGATAAAGTGGAAAAAAGGTGAGGAAATGGAAACTTCAAGGATTTTATCTTTTTTTTTTCAACTAAAACTTAATTATAGAAAGGCACTAGAATTTCTGAAACTTAATATAAAACAATCAATATCTCCTTCTGAGCATGCGAAAATCGGCGTAAATGTTCAAGACCACTAAAACAAGCGTTTTGGTCAGACTATATGTAGTTTGGCGCTTTACACACGCTGCGTTTTGCAGCATTCTCGTCTGGAATAAGTTTTTGCTGCTTAGAAATTCCTGCTAATCTGAATATGTAGCATTTCAAGACAACACTTTTACTTCTACAAGTGACGAAAGGTGTAAATGGGAGGAGAAAAAAAAATAACAAAAAAGAAAATTGTAATAAAAAAAAATTCAGAGCGTAAATCATCAATTTTTTCTTTAAATATAAATGACCCAATTGAAAAACGAGCAACTAACGAGAAATTATGTATTTTAAAGTCTGAGACAGAAAATAACAGCTTAAATTTAATACGTTTATCTCTTCGTGGTGAAAAAACTTTTGAGAGTTGTTTTTCGCTGTGTGCCTCTGTACCTTTAAACAAACTTCAATATTTTCCTCGAAAAGGCAATCAAAGTTTCAAGATATTTGAGAATGGCGCTTTTTTTTGTTCAGTGGAAAAAAACTTTCAATCTAATGTGGCTTCTAAGAGATATTTGCTGCACTAACTTTAATCCGTTCAACCAATTGATTGCCTCTTTAAGTTTTTTTTTTCTTGAAGTGGGTGTAAAACTGTCGGTCTTTTCTCTTTATTTCTGGCTTTCTAATATAAAAAAAACGCGTTGAAAAAGAATAAGTAGAAATATATAGATTCTAGTGGGGGAGGCAAAATTTCAACCTTTGTTGCCAAATCACGCGAGTCTATGGAGCAAGAGGAAAGGAAATAGAAAAAAGAAGGGAAAAAAGAACGCGGCACACACTTTCGTTGCACCACAAAATAGTGTAGTGGGTGATGCAGAAAATGGCCAACAGAGAGGTCGAGAAGCAAGCAAAAGTGGGTTATTTGAAGAAAAAAAAAATCAAAGATTTTCTCTAAAAAGCTTATCATTATATTGATTTGATATTCTAAACACGGGCAGGGTTTCTAAAAGCAAAACACGGATCCCAGATGAAAAAAAAATCTCAGTTTAAAAGCCGCTCAAAAACTTTGAATGAAAAATTAAAAAAACTTCAATTATAAGTTCGGTGAAAACGGCTTCTGAGTTCATTTTGTTCATCACGAAAATCGTTCATGGACCTACCTATTTCTGATCGTCAAAAACGAATTTTTATTTATTTTTCCTTGTGTGGATGAAAATTTGCACACAAACTACATTGGACAGTTTCCGGGGATTAGTCATCGTTTGGATCGTTTCGGGACCAAACAGAATCTTGTGATTTGGTGTTTGTTCAATGAGCGTTTCACTACGGCCGAAGTGGCAATCAAAAAAAAAACTTCTTTTTTTGTAAAACATGATATTGTCCTTTTGAAAACCTTAAAGGTGCGAAGGACTTTTAGGCGTGTAACGGTAAAATTTGATGCCGAAAAACGTATCGAGTTGCAAAATGTTTGATACTCTTAAAGGAGCGAAGGGGCATAAGTTAAAGCGAGTCAGGTGAGTCAAAGCCCGAATCAGAAAGTTTTTTGGTTAAAAAAAAACTAAAAACAAGAAAAAAAAAGTTAACAACTATTTTAATAAGAGCATAAATTTACATAGCTCGTGTGAAGTTTGAAAAATAAATGTAAAGCTAAACTTTCAAAACGAAACTTCTCGAAAATTTTGCAATTAAAAGAGGAAATGGAGAAAAGCGAAGACACTCAAAAGGAAACTGCCGTGAACTCAAAAAAGAACAGCTTGAGGGTTCAGAAGTTAGACTCCTTAGATGAATAGAACTCTCACACATCCTGCAAAAAGACTAAACAAAGCCAATAAAACTGGAAAACTTCGATCCGTGTTCGGGTCGAAGATCATACATCAGAAGTTTGCAGGCGTAGCCTAGACGCCGAAAAACCCGAGGAAACGACGAAAAAGAGAAAGAAACAGAAATATGTGCATGGCGCATGATTTTCCGTCGAGATTCACATAAAAGATAGGACCAGAGTTGTTGCTAATTTCAACCGAAAAAAGTTGTCTTCATCTGTGAACTCGGTTAGGACCGTCAACTACAATCTGCTGGCTTAGAAGCGGACAAAAATCGAGCTGACGATGACGAACAGAAGTGATTTGGACGAAGGCGGAGGGTGTGAGGTGACTAGAGGAATCGACGAGAGAGTGTGGCGCCGAGGACGACGACGTCTCTTCGGTCGGAGAAAGGGCGGCGAGAGGCAAATACGCGCCGGCGAACATTGGTTGTGTCGCTGGAGTGTAGCCCTGAAGTTGATCCCGATGGTCTCTGCGACAAGGCCACGCCCACTCAGACTGGTGTATTCTCCAACAAAATACACGTCCTCCAGGTGTATCGAACAACATCCTCTGCTGAATATGTTTATTCTCAAACAATCGGCTCAACTTAACGAAATTTCAACAATAAATGAAAAAAAAACAAACATTTCGGATTGTCGCTTTAAAAATAATCCACATTTTGCAACATTGTTGATTACTCCTCTATTTTTGTAGTGTGTTCAAAGTTCAGAGCTGAAAAAAACAGGCCGAATGTCAAATAGTGATGCAAGTGGTGTGGGCTGTGTCATTTGTTTTTTTATTTCTTAGATGCCAACTTTTTGCAAGCATTTTTTTAACTTTAAAAAAACAACAGTTTGAAAAAGAAATGAAAGACCGTATTTGAAAAAAACATTGAAAAATAATTATTTTTTTCAGAAAAATAGACCTACTTATGCTCACCATAAAGAATTTAATTCTTGGATCTAAAGAAATTTCTCGATAATTGCAACGTTAAGAATCATACATTCCCGATACGTGGTCATTAATTTTCTCTTCTCTCTGAAAGCTCAATAAATCAGCAAAAACAGGAAAATGACCAATGAGTCATTTCGAAGCTAGTTTCTCTGTATTTCAATCCCCTTCAGTTTTTTTTTTTTTTTTTTTTAAATATTATACTGAAAACTATATCCTCAGCTTATCTCTAACTGTGAAAAAACCTAGTTTTATTTCTTTTTCTTTCGCCAACTAAATCTCTCCCACACTTTTCTCGCAAACGCGTTGAAAATTTATGACAAGCTGATAAAGAATCTAGTTTCAACTCATCTCTTTAGCAAAAAACTTAAGAACAAAAGAGATCAGTAATTGAGAATTCCTTGAAAAAAGGCCAGAAGACTGATCAGGGAACCAGAAAAAGATCCTTAAAGCCTCACCCTGCACAACTTTCTAGTTTTTCGGAAATAATAGCTCAAAATGGGCCCCCAAATGACATATCTCAACAAAATTTAAGGGTTTTCTTTGAGTTTGTGGTTTTTTTTTTCTCTCGAAAACTAGAAAGTCGTGTAGATTGAGACTTTCAAAATCTCTTTTTAGTACATCGTGTTCTGACCAACTTTCATGAAATCCCAAACAGAAAAGTAGAACTTCCAAATGAATTTTTGGACTCGAGTTGACTGTGAGTAGTGGAATGAAACCTCGCAAGCGACATTCCGAAAGGGATCCTACGAAACAAAGCTACCGAGGATGTACAAATGTTCAGGCGAACTCCTGATTGGCGGAGACTCGACGAATCCGCAGAACGGTCGTCTCTTCGCTGCGCCCTGCAACGCGAAAAACGAGATTTTCGGCTTGACCGGTTGATCAAACAATTCACGATTTTCGTCTGATTGTGATTGTAATGGGTGTAGTCGATCTCTGGACATTTCGTGCTCTTTTCCACGACCACCGCTTCGACTTTCGCCGCTTTCTCGGCGAGCAACGGCCTTCCGAATATGGAGAAATTGGCTCCGCCCACCATCAGCACCTGTAACCTGAGACGTTTGTCGGAAACGTCATTCGGCAGCACCTTCTCCAAATTTATTTCGTCGCCTATCGCCAATGGCAAATTCCCCTCCAAACTTATCAGGTCGCCGTCTGTTACCTGTGAAAATTGGGACTTTATCGATAGCGGAAAAACTAGCCATAAAACTTTTATCTAAAAATGGCCATCACCTGACAAAAAATGATTAGGAGTATAAAAACTAGAGGTCAAAAATATGCCGTCTTAAAATGAATTTCAAATAGTTCGTTTCTCGTCTTTTAAAAGAAAGAAAAGTTTCTTAGAAACTAAAAAACCGTTTGCTGAAGTCTTTAAAGGTGCCAGAAACGTGTTTCGTCGACCATCGCGTCAGGACCCACAATTTTCTGACCTTATTCGTTGAAAAAAAAAGATGACACAATTTCAAATCAACGAGAAACGGTTCCACCACAGAAGACCAGGAAGTGTTGTCAAACATTTATGTTGCTAACGCAGAAAAAAAATCAAAAACTTTTTGAGGTTCTTTCGCTGAATAATTAAAAATAATTTGACGAAAAAAAAAATATAGAAATTGTTTTCAAGTCGCGAATGGAGTATCTATATTCCATGCGAGAATTTGAAGAATAGTTTTGATTGGTTATTTCCACGAACTTTCTCACTCAAAAATTGGAAACGCGAACCGAACGTGTTGGGGGACTTCCAGTGATCACTACAGTAGCGTCAGCACTCTTAACTGATCCCTAGAATCGCTCAGAAACGTCCGGAGCGGGTCCGGCTTTATTTATGGCTCCGATTAACGTTGAGGCGCTTTTTTTTTCGAAACAGTCACTTCCAAAGTTTCTCTCATAGAGAAACTCAATTGTTTCCACTCTTAAATCTTCAAAAGTCAAACCTTCCATTGCCTTCCATTCACATAAACGACAGCAAAGAGCTTTTGCCGCGGATCGCTGAGATTCTCGGCGATCTGATCGAAAACTTCTGTCGTTTTCTGAAAGTCTACTTCTTCGAACAGTTTATCTGTAGGTCAGACCTTGGCAGTATCGACTACAACTGCTGGCGAAGCTTTCGAAGAAGACGTCGAGGTGCGGGAGCAGCTTGCCGTCAACCTCAAGGAGTTCAAAAACCGTCCCCGGGCCAACATCTGCCATAAAATGTTTTTCGTCTCTAATTATTTTTAATATTGAAATCGAACAGAGATATTATTTCGTTATATTCACGAAAACATAAACGGAATAGAATAGAAAACGAAAAAGTTCATTTCAGCAAACAGAACAAAAATTATACAAAATAACCAGATCAAAATGAATCAAGACTTTCGGAAACACGACTGTTCGTACTCCTCCTCTTCTATGGACTGTGCGAGATGGACGAACGCGGCTCTTTCATCTTCCGTGAGGGCCTTCATCAGCTCTTCAGGGTCTTCGCTCAGTCCCAACGCCTAAAGTGGATGGTATTCCCCAGAAAATGGAGTGAAACTTCTACCACAAGACGCCGTTCGATTTCCTTGTCATCAAGACTGTAATCCTGCATCGTGGCTGAGAAAACTGTTTGGGCGTGTTTTTCGGCTTCGGCGTCGTCATCAGAATCTAGAGCCTCGCCTTCTGAAAAATGATTAAACATATTTGTGTCAAAACGTTAAAATTTATATTAAACAAATGGAGAGCATTAACTTCCTTTCCTAGACTCCTCATATATAGTATTCAAAATGAGAAACTGGTGAAGTCATATTCCGAAAAATTATTGCAAAATAAAACAGAAGACAAATAGGAATTTTTTATCGTTTTAGATCCTATTAAAAAGCTTCCTGTTGAATTTTCTTTATTTTTTCCAACATCAATTTCCGAGCTACAACCCTATGAAATTTGAACCAACTTTCTTCCGGAAAAACTCAAGAACTAACCAGGAATATCGCTCCAGTCGCCGCTCATGTACTTTCTGAGCTTTTCGTTAGCGTCAGCGTCAGATGTGGATTGCTCAAAAAACTGTCCCTTCAGTTGATCTTTCACCCTTTCCTGCAATTAGCTGGAATTAAGTGGAAAGAATAGATGAGAAAAAAAGATCTCAAATAAGGCCAATCAGATTCTATTTTCAGAAACGGGCGTCTATGGAACAATCAGTGAAATTGTTGGTAATTTCACTGGTTATAATGAAAAAAAAAACATTGAAAACCTTGTAAAACCCTTCAGAGCACTGGCCATGTTTCTCGTTCCGGTAGCACCTGGAAAAAATGGAGCAATGAGGAGATAAACCGAATGGAAACATACTTGATAGAGCAATAAGGTTGAGAACAACGGGGACACTTGTAGGCACCTTTCTTCTCGATTCCACACACGCCACACGTCGCGTACTTCTCCTCCATTTTCTAAACCATTTTAAGAAAATCAACGAAATTCACAAGTTTGAAAGATATTCAACGGTAGTTCATATGTAAAAAGAAAAGAAGAAGCTCCCACAAAGAATGAAGAAAATTTTACTAATGGGATAACAAAGGGAAAAATATAACAAGGAAAAGTTCAACAACAAATTTCAGCTATAACAATCAGAATTAGTCCTTTCGCCTCTTCTTTTTCAGCTTCTTCGGCGTTTCCTTTTCCAGCAAATCTTCGAAAAATCTGAAACGAGGAAATGAAAATGATCAAAAAAAAAGGGGGAAAATGAACCCTCCGTCCGGTTTGTCCTTCTTTCTTTTTGCATCGACATCTCGAAGAATCGGGAACTTATCGACAATTTCCGGCAAAGACCAAATCTTAACAGATGCTTCCAATGAGACGGCGCTGAACAATGTGGAGCGATCTTCGCTGATCTGCAATAAATCAAATCAAAAAAGAATGTTCAGAGATTTCAGTGCTATAAGTTTATATCTTTAAAACTATGGTTATAGGCCATTCCGCGCCGGCTTGTCACGTTTTTTTTTCCGCCAAAAGGCCAGGTCAAATTTAACTAACTTTCGCTTCAAGACCTTTGTTTCTTGCCGTTATAAAAGCAGAAATTTGATCTAATTTGGTATACGGTCTTTTTGGCGGAAAGAAAAACGTGACAAGCTGGCGCGGAATAGGCTATAGTATCCCTTCGAATTCAAAATCTCTCAACTTTCAAACTCTTAAAGAGGTCTCTCAAATTTTTATTCTCATCAGGAAAAAAATTTCTCCGAATGTGATTCTGGACGATTTGATGCCAGTTTTTCAATATCACAGTTTCTCCGTCACATAGGTTTTTTGGACTTATGAGAAGCTTTAATAACGAAAAAACAAGAAAAGTTCATTTCTCGACCATTTTCAAAATAATTAAAAATTGTGCATCTTATACAACTCTAAACCAGCCTAAACGGATATTTTCTAAATTTTCCATCATTTGAGTTGAGAAAAACTTTGGTATTCCCACATAATTTGAAGAAAATATGAACGAACACAAATTAAGTCAATTCCGTCACTGTCCTCGCCATGCACCCCAATAGTCCCAAGTCGCTTGGTCGGCATCACGTTGAGAACTCTAAAAAACTAAATATGGCCAAAAACTCCGAAAAAAACCTGAGTTTGTTATCTGTCGAGCTAGACGTCAATAGTAAGCCTTTTCGAAGCTCTACAATCCCAGCAACACCCTAAAAAAATATTATAAATTTTTTTACTCAGAAGAAAAAAAGGCCATAATCAGCTGAACAAAAATTTCTAATTGGTGATTTATTTTATCAGCCAATATTTCCGTTCTTTTCAGAATCAGAGCCGGTTCAGGATGAAAAATTCAGAACACTTAGCCATATTTCGAAGTTAATATTTGAAAACCGCAAGTCGTATTGAAAAAAATAAAAAAATCTAGAGAATAAATGGTGGGGAAGAAATAATTTACAGAAAAATGAAAAATATAAAAAAAGAAAGTAAAAAAATTGAATATTAGAACTGGAAATCAAGAAAATTCTATAATAATACAGATTCTAGATATTCTTAACACTTCCAAATTTTTCACGGAAAAGCAATCTCACCAACTCGAAGCCACTTTCGATTCTTTTCAACAAGTTTCCATACTCCCCTGTAGTGAAAACTTCGATAAAACCATCGCCGCCGCCAACATAAACATAACTGAAAAAGAGAACTTTTTGAAATAGCTTCACAAAATCACGAACTTATCTGTAGTGCAGATGCTGAGGAGTTCCGAGTGCATCGTCTCACTTTTCACCCGTTTCTTCTTTTTTCGAATCTCCAAACTGAGCATGAACTTCGTGTTAACATATGTGATATACATCAAAAGCGACTAAGGAGCCGTCGGAAGATGCGGACAACAAATTGTGCTTTGAATCGTAGGCGAGGTCGTTGATGTCCTATTAGAAATAGAAGCATTCTCAGAAATAAGGAATATTCAGGAACCTCCTCTTGTTCTTGAAAATCTGAAACCTGGGGAGAAGTGGCTCGGAAGTCCCAAGTGCGGATCTGTAGAATGAAATTTGTTTTGATATTTATCGAAAGAAAGGTATGTTTCTGATTAAAAAAAAGACGGACCGAGCCACTTTCATCGCCAGTCGCAAGTTGCTGGCCATGCAAAGCCATAGGCGGCAGATATCTCAAACTGCACGGCGTATTTTCGTGTCTTCGTACCAGGCAACGTTTTCTGAATGAAGACAGTCTACGGAAAGTTGCAAAGCAATACTTTTCCCTCGATACTTTCAAATTGAATATTGATTGTTGAGGAATAAAATCCACTCATTTTGTGATTCAAAGTTTATCTAGATGGACATCCTCGAAGTTTTAGCAAAGCTTTAAAAAAAATTCGTGAAAAGAAATTTGAATATTTCCTTTTTTTCCTCAAAATCACGCCGTTCTAGTTGGTCGACCGTTGAAATCATGAAAACTAAAATTTTATTTTCTAATTTCGGAGTCAGAAGTGACAAATAATTGTAACTCACAAAGAAAACGAACCGTTTACCGGTCTCGACGTCAAAAACTGATATGGATTTGTTTTTTCCAATCGCGTAAATTTCCAGGAGCTGCTCGTTATAAGCTACACCGCGGATACTGGAGTTTGTTTGGAATTTCCATTGCTCCTGAGCAATTGAATGAATAAGATGAAATGTTATTAGAAGAAGACGAACATCGAATGATCCCTGTGAAACGTCGCCGAATTGAACAGTTCCGTCAACGCATCCGATTCCAAGGAACCGCCCATTTCCACTGCTACAAAGACTTTGTGGCGGAACGTCCACCGAAAACTCCATCCTTCATTTGCCAATGATCAATATCACAAAGAATAAAGGCGAATCGAAGAGTAGATAATGTAAAGTGTTCTTTAAACATGAAAAAAAAGAGAAGCTCGCTCTAAATTCTAAAATTTATATCACAAGTGTAAGTAAATGAAAGATAGAGATCAAAGTGAGCGAAAAATTATCAAAAATTGCACAATCAAAATCAAAAAATTAGTTAGTCTTCCTCATCGGAGCTAGTGATAATCCTCGGGGCTTTCTTGACCTGTTGCACCGAACTTGCGTCAGGAGATTTGCTTGATTGGCGACTTTCTGGTTCCTCTTCTCCCGTATTTCGGTTCTAATAATTTTTCAACTTAAAAATGAAACCTCTATTTTTTTCTGATAACTACAAAATCAAGAAAGAAAATCATTGAACCTGGGAGAGCACGATCTCATCGTCGTCGCTCGATTCGTTGTCACTGTCAAACAACTGCGCAAACTGTCTTTTTCTTGACTTAAGTCGATTTTGCAGTGTGTTAGTAGGGTCCGTGGCGACCTTGAAAGACAATTCATCAATTTTGTATTTCGCTTTTCTATTTCGCCAGAAAGAAATAAGAACCTTTGCTAAAAGTTCCTTCAAATGATTGTTCTTCTTTGGAGATTCTTCGACTTTTTTCGAGACAACCGGTTCTTTGACAGCCTCAGCTTCCTGAAAAAATGTTTCTTCATCGGAAAACATTAAAATTGGGACTCACATCATCCACATCCTCATCGTCACGAATGATAGCCTCGTGGTCGCTTTCTACCTCAAATTGAAACAGTTTTCAATTGAAAACAATGAAGAAAAGTTACATCGGACTGTGGCGGTTCGACGTCTTCCTCTTCATCGTCTGAGTTGGTGACGATGATTTTCTTCGTTGATTTTTTACTGAAAATTTTTCCTATTCACTTTTTTCTCTACGAACACTGAAACTTAGTTTTGGGCGGACGTTGAGGAACAGAAACCCCCATCGACTCTAGGAACCTTTCGATATGCGACGTCGGCTTTTTCTCGCTCAACTTTTTCCGAATGTACTGGACAATGTTACAGCCCACTTAAAAAATTTCTTCTCATTTTTTTTTGAAAGTTGCTTTTTAAATTACAAAGCTGCTCGGCATAGTCGATTTCTTCGTATTGTTCTTTAAGCTTAGTCAGCTCGGCGATCAAATCTTCCGGCCACTCTGGTAACCTTAGTGGAAATACAATTTCGAAAAAAGTTTTTTTTTTTGTTTGGGAACCTTCTTGGTTTCTTGGGTTTTTCGTAAAGAATATCCGCGAAAGCCAGCTGTTTGATGACTTTAGACCGGGAAACCGTTCCATACGACTCGGAGAGTTGCTCACAAATCAAATTGACCAAATCGACTGGAAAATTTTAAATTATTAACTTTTAAACGTCAAGGTCAACCATTACCCTTGTCCTTATCTTCTCGAGAGTTCCACTCATCGTGAACTCTTTTGAGCTCAAGAACAGGAAGATTTGAATCGCCACTTCCTCTGAAAGAAAAAAGCTTAAATAAAAGAAACAGAACAAACTTGTTAGATTTGGCGCCAAGAGTGTCGAGACCGAATTCCTTGAGCTTCTTGTAAATCTGTTTCCTGGTCCTGCCGCGACTGAGGTTGTGCTCGATGAAGTCGAGGACGTCAATATCTACAAAAGTAAGAGAATTTAAATTATGCTAGGATTCGAATGGAATAAAGAAAATATCATGCGAAAGACTAAAAGACTTAATATTTTGAAAGATTTACAAAAAAAGTTGTTCATGGCGTTATGTAAAGTATATTCGAAATTTAACGTGCTATTTTGGAGAATATGACTCGAAATACTGAGTTTAGTGTTCCCCGATCCTGATTGGTTTTTTTGGTTCGAAAATCCAGTTAAAAAAAGATTTTATTTTTTTCTCCACTCCATTTTTTTGGTTGAAGTTTTTTTACCTTAACATGAACATCATTAGGATTTCGCTTTTTTTAATGATAATTCCTGTGATTTTATCTAAAAAAATCACAAATTACGATTTACTCGACATGAACTTTTGGAAATGCCACAGGTTTCCTCTATTTCCTTCCGAATACCGCCAAAAACCGAAATTACGAACCAGCAGGCCGTTCTTCCATGTCGCGGTACTCCTCATAGAGATGTTTGGCTTCTTCTTCCAGTTCTTCCGTCCAAACCCGCGCCTCTGTCTCTCGGTCTTGTCTCCAAAATTATATCCATATCGAGAATAACTGCTCAAAAATACTCGAAAGATCCGTAGCCATGATCGATCTCATAACTTTCCCTCGCATTCTTCCAAAACAACACCTCCACTACCAGCTTGTCTTGTAGAGTCGAATAGGCAGTGAAAAATCTTAAAAAACGTCAATTTTTACGAATAAAAAATTATTAATCTTCCTAGTTGTCGGCCAGTTGTTCAGAACAAGCTCAGAAAAAATAAAATTTCCAGGAATTGGGAATTCCGAAACTTCACACTGAAACTTTCTCCCTTGTGAGAAAATTGAGAACGAAAACGACAAAATTTATAATTTGGTTAGTTAAAGATTATTTCCTTCCTCATATTATCCTGATTTTTGCTAGACTTTAACCACAGAAATATGTAAGCGTACAGTCTTAGTTTTTCTTTTCCAATCCAATGGATATATATAAGGGAAAGATTTTTATTAAAGAAAGAAAGCCGACAAAAAATACGTCCGCTCAATGGTTATTATGCCTAGCAGAATGAAAAAAAAACACAAACTTTTTCAAAACGTGAAATCCAAAAGTATGAAGTTCGAAAAAGGGGCTACTTTTGTGCTCTTCCTTTGGCAAACAGGAAAAATATTCTCCAACTTGCGAGAAAACCCGGAACAGAGATAACTGCAATCCTTTTTCTTTCAAATTTTCGATTTTTGAATAAAAACCTGATAGATTCGACTGGTCATTTTCAAATCAAATGCGATCCGATGAAGCATTTTGACGATGGCTTTGTTCAGCTCGACACTGTTTTTCTTGAAATCGGCCAAAACGTAAACATACCTTCAAATTCATAATGTAAGGAATGAAAAACGAAGAAAAGCCAACCATTGAAGGACGTCGCTTTTTGCATATTTTGCGACGAAATTGTCGAAATCGAAAGCAATCTGGAAAAAGGAATTGGTAAAAAAACTCCAAAAAGAAAAAAAGAAAAAACCTCAGAAACGTTATAAGCGGGTTTGTCTTCTTCATCTTCTTCGTCCACGTCACTCTCTTTCTCTTCGTCTTCTTCATTTTGATCCACTCCAGCATCGGTCTCTGCTTTTTTCAAACCTTCGATAACCTGGAAAAAACTTGGATATTAAGGATTTTTGTTTGGGAAAAACTTCAGAAAGGTCTGCGAAGAAAATCTCGCGCAGTTCTTTGAGTTCTTCTCCGACCGGAATTCCTTCTGTTCCGAAAAGTCCTGGAAGAGAATTTCATCAGTCAAAGCTGGCCACAGTTCCAAGAAAATATATCAGTGAAAAGAATCTAAGAAAAAAAGTTGAAAAATTCTGGAAGAAATAATGAAGTTTTTATTAGATAACCTTTCAAAAAAAGAAGAATCGAATACTCTGATAAACTCATCACAAAAACCTTAAATGCAAGGATATTTCCAAAAACCTGCTCGCAGGTCTCAATTTCAAAACAGTTGAAGATAGTCTTAGAAAAAAAAAATAATAGAAATTCAGACGCATTTTCTTCGAAAAAAATGAAAGTAATATCAAAAAAAGAACAATACTATGGTAAACTTTTGAATGCATTCTAACGTCACCTTGGTCGGGCCACCATTTCCGGGCCGATCGGTAGAGTTTCAAGGCGTCGGTCAGAAGTTGCGACCGGATGCTTCGCTGCACAGAAAGCATGGCGAACTGCCTGAATCCGACCTTTTTCAAGACAGAATCGTTTTTTTTTTCATTCAAAAACAAAATATACAGAATTCAGAATATAATCATTGAAAAATCCCACTGATGCTGAATTTCTTCGACGTCCAGAACCACATTCAAGGGTGTGACTTCTTCTTCCAAGGCGAATCCCGTCAAAACACCCTGCAACTCCTTTTCGATCGACTTCCAGAGCTCGTCCAGCTCCGTCTGTTTCATAGTGTCGATCCCAGCTTGAGAGCCTGCGTTTCTTTCTGAACCAAATCAAATTATCGTTGAACTTGGGCTGAAAACTTTACTTTTGGTTTTCGGCTTTCTGATTTTCGTCCTTTTCGTCACACTTTTCAAATCTCCTTTTTTCGAGGACTTCTCTAGGAGACGCAGGTAGTTGTGGGTAGTCGTGATGAGTTCTCGGAGGAAGTTTTTCGACAAAACGCCAGGCTGGAAGTTTCTCTTTGGTGAGCAGAAAGATGGGAACTTACAGAGAACTTCGAAAAGAGCAAAGGAGACAGTTCGCGGTATTCCTCCACTCGGAGAATGTGTTGGATCGCACCTTTGCCGTCGTTTTTCTCTTCCTCGTTTCCTTTATCAGCGGCGTATTGGTGTCTGGAATCGTTGTGATGAAATATTCATGAGCAGAAAAGGAGACGAACAGTAAAATGAGTTCGTTGAAGGCGGAGAGGGCGTATTGGGCCTTGAGCCCCATCGACTTGGCCTCGTTGCCTTTCAAAACGCTCGTGCTCTCCAAATAGTTGTCGAGTTTGAGCTGGACTTCGTGAAAAGCTTCAACTCCAATGCAGCAGTTCACCTCAAACATAATCATTCGAACATTTCCTTTTTCTAAATATAATAAATCATTGCCTGATGTTTCTCAGAAAATTTTTTAAAATCATTATTCATTCTTCCTGAAAGAAAATGGAACCACCAAAAACCTTTTGCAGAGATTTTCCAGAAAGGCGACAGAAGCGGAGAACAAATTTCATCAAAAAGAAATAGTTGATCTCCGAATTTCTGTGCCCAGCTGCTCGGATTTCGAAGACCATTTGCTTGGCCGATTTCATGATTCGCAGGAAACATTTCTCCATAATTCTCTCGACCATTTGACTGAGCAACCGGCGCAGCTCTGTAGTTGTTTCGTGGGTGTTTTGATCGATTTCGAATGGTCTGAAAAGAACATTTATGGGGAAAATAAAGAAAAACGAAACCTTCGATTCTTCGCAATTCTTTTCTTCTTTTTACGCTCGTCAAGAAACTTCAAGTCGCTGACTGCCTGGACCGGCCTAAGATTAGAAAATAATGAGGTAACAAAATACTTCGAAAGTTTTTTGATGAGGGAACATCGATAGAAAAACATCTTCAAACAAGAAACTTATTGAGAGATCATCAACCTTCAAAAAATGAATTTTTGATGGATCAAAGACATTTCTTCAGGAAAACATGCTTCCTACGCGGGGCAGAAAACTCACTTCAACACTATCATTTCGGACTTCGACGACAATGACTGCATTCCCTTAACGACATAAGAACCTCCAAATCTAAGATGAAAGAGCTTTTGACGATAATGAAAATGTCATTTTGAACCTGGAATGTCGGGAAGAAAGCGACTGTCGACGCTGTAATACTTTCACAGATTCCCGTTCGCGGGCGGCTCGCAGCTCTTCTTCTGCCGCTTTCCTTTCCGCCGCCAACACTTCTTCGTTCGTCGTCAACAACTCCTCAGGCGTCTAAAGTTTCTAAGTTTCCAAAAAATTGGTTAAAATTCCTACATGTTCTTTCAATAATAATGCAAATATATCGACTATGGCCACATGAAACTCTTTTTCTTTTGGCTCCGATGCGATTTGAATAAGAACCTGAACAATTATAATTTTTTCTCTGCTTTCTTTATGTTCACCTCATCTAAGCCGGCAGTAAGGAAAGCAGAAACGAGTTTGTCGTGAGAAGTGTCGAAATAACTCTGAAATTTTTAAATCATCTCTAAAAAGTTCTCAAAAATAGTACTCTGAGGTCGTTTCCGGTAGGGCGAATGGAGAAAACAAAGCGTATCAGGAGAATTATCCTCTCCATCAGAAGTCGGGAGTCCTCTTCCCGATCTTCCCAATCCTGAAAGGAGATTTATATATATTCTTAGTGAAAGATAAAAGCTGACCGTTTTTAGGAAATAAGTTTCCAACTTTCCTTTCAACACTCGGAAGAATTCTGGATCGGCAAAGGCAGATTTGGCTCGAAGGAGATTTTCCTCAAGAGCCCAATAAAGCTGCCACTGCTCTCGGTCCTCTGGAGTTTTGCCTTGCATACTTGCAATGGCGGGCTGACAAAGGTTCACCAGAAGCCTTAAGTTGGCTTTTGAGGTCAGAAAATTGGTGGTCACACCTAACGGCAACGTCGAACATTTCCGACGTTAGGTCGTCAGTTTTCAGGATAGGAATCAAATCCTGCGAAATGACGTTATGACGACCACATTCGACACGGGCTGTGAGAGTTGGAGTGTCGCTTCGGAGATATCGGATCAGATCTCGCATAGTTTCTGAGATTAAATCCATGTCTTTTTTGTTGTTGTTTAAGTTACCATAACAATCCGGTTCCCTGTAGTACTTGCCATCTTCTAAGTATCCAAGGGCGTTGACAGTTCCTTGAACGAGAACTTCCATCCTCTGAAAAAAGAGAATATTGAGAAATCGTCCGAAAAAAAAAAATTAAAAATTGTTTAGAAATTAAGAACGAAACGAAACCTTTTTTCAACAGGTTTCGCTTGCAAATTTAACTGTCTATACAAAAATTCAAACCAAAAATACATTGAGATATGTCAATTTAATAAAAAATAAAAATTTTCTTTCTGTTAAAAAATTAGAAAAATTAAAAACTCTTTGCAAAATCTTTACTCATGAGTAAACTTTTTGAAAAATTCGAATTGGCGCCAGTGCTGGATGGGTGCGACGCAGACGTTGAAACTGACGACAGCGATTGGAAACTGAGAATTCTCGAAAAGCAAAGTTGAAGTCAAATCGCAAAAGCTTAATGATTGATGTAAATAATTAACATCACAAAAAGTAAAATTGCCTAGAAACGGCCGTCAGAGAGTGGAAAAAGAAAAAGAAGTTTTCGGGAAGCCTGTAATTGTTTTGATATTCTTGGAATTATTTTGACCCGACAAGTTTTCTTCTTGGATTGTTGAGATTGCGCAAAGAGTAAAAAAATTGTTCAAGAAAAAAATTTTTTTCTGAAAAAAAGTATAGTTATAGGAGCACACAAAAAGATCTATCCTTACCATCTTGGTATGGAAAAAAAAAACATCAGAAGATCTCACAAAGTAATCAAGTTATAATGATGCTATACTATTTCAGAATTGAAAGCAGCAATGAAAAGCAGAAAAATTGGAGACTTGAATAACCCAGAGAATTTTTTTTAACAGATTAAAATTTTGGCATACAAGTTTCAGTCTCAACAGCTGCGAAAAAAATAACTGAGTTTAAAAAAATTTTTTTAACTTTTTAAAAAGTAAGAAAGCTGCTTTTTTTCAGTGTTATTTTCAGTCACACTAAGAATAACTGCCGAGATAAACGCGAGACACTGGCGGTACATTGACGAGCTCGCAAACATCTCGCTTTTTTTCTCGCGCCGGTCTCGCATTAGTCTGGGCGCGAGCTCGCATTTTTCTAGGCGCGAGCTCGCATTTCTCTCGCAATTTGAAAATTTCCGAAATGCAAGATAAATGCGAGATGGCGCCGAGAAAAATGCGAGGTCGCGCCGAGAGAAATGCGGGATCGCGCCTAGAAAAAAGCGACATTTTTGCGAGTTCGTCAATGTACCGCCACCGAGCTCGCGTTTATCTCGTCAGTTATTCTTAGTGCATACAAAATCTATGCAGTTTCAACAATAGATAGAAGATTTTTGAAAAACTTGAAATATCTGTTTGACTTCAAATTTTCAGTCATGACCACTGAGAAATTGAAGACGCCTTGAGTGAAACTGCCAGGCCAGCATTATGTTGCGCTGACATGCTGTCGGACAGCGGGGCGGTCGTGGCCTAGTGGTTAGCGCGCTAAAGTATCGTACGTAGGGTGGCACGATCGTCCCCCGCCGCTGCATGTTTCATGAAAGTTGTTACCGGTGCACCGATGAAAGTCAGAATTCCGGTAGATGACCGATGCCGGCTGGGAGCCGAGGAACATGTGATTCCGGTAGATGACCGATGCCGGCTGGGAGCCGAGGAACATGTGATTCCGGTTAAGAGCCGATGACAGTCACAATTCCGGTAGTTGACCGATGCCGGCCAGGAGCCGAAGATTTCTTTTTTAATTTCCACTGATGAATCATCAAGAATAAAAAATGTAAAAAGCCTCTTCTTTCACGAAAAAAAGCCTAATTTGTCTTTTTTTTCCCGCAATTATGTTTATTAAAAAAACCACAAAAAATTAAGATTTTTTTAAAAACAGAATGTAAGATTTTCGAAATGCTGAATTTTGAATTTTGAGACCAAAAATAACAGATTCAAGAAACCCTCACTCAAGAAGCGTGTACATAGAAAGAAAGTTTATTATCCCGTGTGAACGTTCCGAAGACAAATTTCGAAGACAAGAAGGAGAAAAAAAAAAACGATTTTACAGGTCAGACACGCGAACGCGCCGGAAAAGCACCCGAAGAACACGGAGATCGTCAGCGGAGAGGGACAGGAAAGACAGAATCGACGAGCTGTGGCCGCTGATCCACTGCAAATTGAAATTCCCATTTTCCGTTCAGATTCCTCGAAAGACCTCTTCACCATCATTGTACGGCTTGCTGGCCGACGACATCTCGTTGACTTCGAAATGTCGAGTCAGCGCAAAGTTGCGACTTTTGCCGTAGGCGTCTTCATTGAAGTTAAGCCCCTTTGTTCCCAGACACTGGGAGATAAAGTCTAGGAAATTAGAAGAAATATTTTGGTTGCTTCGAGTCAAAGTTAAGTTTAAAAAAATCTTGAAGTTTTATTAGATCGAAAAAAAAATTCAAAAAAAAAATCACTTATTTGTGATGCGGTTTCAGAAATAAAGAGCAATTTTCGCCTGAGCCAAAAACTCTGTGACGTCTTTGAGTTCGAACTCTATTTCAAATTTATCATCCCATTCAATGAGAACCTTTTTCAAGATTATATATAAGATAGAACTCCTCACTATTCACGGAAACATCGCAGTGACACAATGAATTTCGGAGCCGGTCCCACAGAATATCGTGAGCAGCTCTGGACATCAGGATTCCTTGGTTTTGATTCCTCCTCCAGTCCTAAAAAATCATATTTTCAACTTGGGAACAGCGCGACGATAAAGATCTCGAATGACCCAAAAGATTCGAAAGCGATACCTCGAGGCTGACGTCGGCCAGCACGGCGAACTGCGGTTCGTGAGAGTCCAAGGCGCTCAGTTCCTGAGAAGCAGCAGTTGATCAAAGAAGAAGAAGAAGAAGTTGTTCACACCTTTCTCAACTTGTCGACCAAGACGTAGGCGTCGTCCAAGGAGAAGAGGATCCATCGCGAATGGCCCGGAAGGTACTTTGAACTGTAGGCCAGCATCCTTCTAAACCTTTTTTTTTCTCCATTCATCGATTATTCCTACAAACTCGCTTTATCAAACCATTTCATGAAATATTCTTCTTCACTCAGTTCGTCGATAAAAAGAAATATGTATGGCTTTGTCATAAATTCTGAAGAAGAAAAAGTCCGTTCGGCCCAGTTGAACCAGTCTGATTTCTCTACACCTCTTTCCTTCTCTCTTGTTTGCGTTCTATTTTCATATTTATTTTTATGACCTTGCCAGTGATGAAGTCTTTAAAGTCTTGGCGAACGGAATAATAAAGTATTTAGGAGAAAAAGTTCGAAGTTCAATTTTAATTCTAGAATTTCCAAAGAACGCACTAATAAAAAAAAGTCGAGAAATTCTTCTAAATCAGCAAACAAACTCACGTGAACATGAAGCAAGATGCGGCGCGAATGCGTCGGAGGTCGATTCGCTGTGGGAAAACAAAAAGATCGTCGACGTCGGTGAGCCAACTTCCCTCACACAACGACGTCTGTTCCAAGAGATGTCATCCATGAATCTCCGAAAGGATAGAAACCTTTTCTGGCGACGTCGACTGCAGAAGGACGAAGAGCGACGAGTCGAAGTCGCCATTGTGGAACCGTCTGGAGACGTGCCGCGGCTGCTGCTGATGGAACGTGACGTAGCAGAAGCGAGCAGCGAAAAGTGCCAGAAGCACGGCCGATCTCGTTCTCATGCGAGAAATAGCCGAATCGACTACAAAGACCGCCCCCCGCAGTCTTCTTCTGAAAAACGGGCGTGTCTTCTTCATTTCAGATTTGGTATCTAACTAACCTTTTGCAAAAAAAGCTTAGTCCTACCTGGTACTTTTTGAAGCATTTTTAGACTTCTTAATAGATTTTTGCTCTCGATTTCCTTTTTCTCCTCTTAAATTTAAAAAAAAAATGGGATTTTATAAATAAAAACTATTTTGTTTTGCATCCATTGTCCGTATTATTGGTTCATAGAGACATTCCTCTGCTCCTTAATTTGGATTCATATTGAAATCTTCTAAAACTCAATAACTCTCTAGTTTTTTTTTCTTTTTGTTATAACAATTTTTAGTACAAATACATTTATTTTCTCGATTTTCAATGATTTAAAATTGGAACTTTCGAAATTTCATGTACAAAAACTTCTGATTTGACCTGAATGTGAAACATCGAACTGCCTTTTAACTCCATAACCGCGTGAGAAAGTTTACTTTTCAATCAAATATTATTGTTTTTAATTAATCACGCCTGTTCAAGGTTACTTTTGTTATCTCGAGGGATATATTCAAAACAAATTGCGAATAAGAAAAATAATTAGAAGAAACTTGACTTCAGAAGACCACTAGCTCAACAATGGGTGAATTACCAGTTTAAAAATTCCGAGCTCAAAAAGTTAACCAGTATTTCAAACTTTCAGCGACCCGTCCCAACGCCGTATGGATCTTATTTGATGCATTAAAAATAAATACATGGTTACAAATGAACTACGACTAGCGGGTACAAGAATAATTCCATTACTGATGGGAAAACAAACTCAAGATGGAATATGTTGCTGGTCAGTTGATTATCACAAAGAATAGAGATGCGAGTTGAAAATTTTCTCTTGGATTTTCATGAAAAGCAGGGCTTGAAGCGTTTGCAGTAGTTCGGAGGACTGTTGTAGAAGGCAAGGGCGGCCTCCAAAACCCGGGCCGCAACTTCCGGATTCGAGTCCTTCATCTCCTTCCACTCCTGGAAATGGATGAGTTTCTTCAGAAAATGGTGGCTGAGCACACTTGGCTATCTTGAATCTCCTTCTTGTATTTCAAGAAGAAACTCGAGAGCTTCGAGAAAAGACTATCTGAGCGCAGAAGGTCGGCCAGCTGCAGACGTGCAACGATGTTGCTCATCGTGATACCTTCCTTCAGAGTTTTCGTACATTGAGTTTTCAACGAGTCCAACATCAGTCTAAAATACTTTCAATTCAAACAGATTCAGTACGGCTGAAAAGAACAGTAAAATTTTATATTCGAATAGCATGAAATTGAGAGAGATATGGCCTAAAAAGTCATTTTACTTTTATTTTTTAGTTTTAGGTTTCTTGTACGAACTTTCAATTATCAGACAAAAGAAGAGTTGTAATTTTTCGGCGTTTCTGAAACGATAGAGGCCAGACTCACCTATCAGCCGCAATCATAAGCTCGTGGGTCATGTCTTCCGGCTTGAAAACCGTGAGAGGAGAATATAAATGCCGGATTATAACTTCCATGACCTCGACGCTGATATCTTTGAAGACAACCTACAGAAGTGAAATAGCACAAATTTCAATCTGGAACAGGTCCAAACCCTTCCTTCGGCGCTTTCTTTCGTGTCGGACTTCAAAAGCGCGTTGAAATAGTCGGATCTTGAAGAAAGAACGCACTTGTGAACACTAAAACTGTGACCATTTTTCGCTGTTATAACAAAATCAGAGAAATCTCCCGACTCATAAAGATGGATCAAGCTTTCTGAAAAAAAGAATCTTTGACATTTGAAGGGTTTCGGTTCGAAAACCTGAGAGTGGTTTTGTAGGCGAATTTTTGGCCCTCAAAATTTTTCGGTCGAACATTTGGCAAGTCGCATCGCAGTCTTGATTAGTCTAAAATGTTTTATATTTCGATATAAGAAACCATTCCAACCACAGTTTGCGTTTCTCCGAAAACGGTCAGATCAGCCCCGATTGTCAGGACGTCGTTTGGTATAAACCTTTCAGCGCAATTCTGATGAAATATTTTCGTAAGCGAAACTTTTGAAGTCAAACATTGAGAGTAGTGATGTTGAAGAACTTGCTGGCGGTCACGATTCCAGATCTGTTTATTGTGACGACGCTTTTGTTTAAAGCACAATTCCTGGGTCCGTCCAACGTTTCTATCGTGAACTTGACACGAAACTGGAGCCTTGGCTGCGGACATCCTAACAATTTTCGGCTTATGAAGCTTTTAAAATTTAACAAATAGGAAAATGATAATTACTTCCACCGTAGGGTCCCGTTCTTTTGAAAAAAAACGTCAATACCGATCACGATTTTTCCAGTTTTCATCCTCAAGTATACTCATTTCACTCTAAATTTTCTAGCAGAATTATTAGGTAGACCATTTAACGACGAATATTTATCACTCATCAAATATTTTGGAGTTTGAAAGTACGATAAATTTTTTTCTTCGGAAACCTATTTAAAAAAAAAAACCTTCATTCGATTTTTTATCTCATTTTTGCCAAAGCCGAGAGTTGAGTATTTGACCAATTATGCGCCAAGTGTCCACTCACTGTTGATCTGCAGGAAAAGAGAAATGTAGCCGACGTTGTCTTCGTCTTTGCCGTTGGGGAAAATCTTGAGAAGGAACTCATAGGAATCGTCGCCGAAGGTCCTGAAATCGAATTAGTCGTCTCTTACTGAGAAAAATCGAAGACTCACTGTCCGGTGATGCTCTCGCCAAAGGGGTGGAGCTCCTGTTGCAGTGAAAACTGTTCGATGGACCAAAAATTGGTGAAGGTTCGCGTCTGCATCCGAGTGTGGAAATGAGAGAAAACAGAAGATGATGCGCAAGGCTCGTCGCTGCAAAACGTTATGTTAAACTGAAATGATTCCACGAATAAGAATTTTTTTCAACCTATTCAAAAAGTTTTCTTGAGGATGAAAAAAGAAGAAAGATCCAATTAAAATAATTATTTCCAAGCGGTTGACTTTATTTCCTTTATTTATTTCAAAAAAAAAAACTCTGGCCAAGGTCATAAATTCGGTTTTCTGGAGCACTTATTACTGTTTTACTGTTTATTGCATCTTCAATGTAAGAGTACATGTGCAATCGACTTTCATCGATTTCAACTGTGTTTAAACGGCGGCAGGAGCTGTGGCTTAGGCAGAGAAGTTGTGAATTTCGCTCGTAGAACATCAGGTACAAGAGAGGTCGTAGGAAGAAGTACGGTGCCGGCTTTCCAAAGGCCGATGGCAGAGATTGAGCCTTTTCGCTGCATGCAGCTCCCAATTTTATCTACCCCGGAGGGATGAAAGGCTTGGTCGACCTCGGGGGGACTCGAACCTACGACCTTGCGGACGTTAGAAATGAGTTATGCCAGCTGAGCTATGCCGCCCCCTTGCACTTATGTCAAAGGGAGCACTTATGTCAAAGGAAAACTTACATAGCGAGCAAACCTTCGCTGACTTCTTCGTCCATCGCTAAGTTCATCTGTAACCTTATGCTTATACAAATTTACTTCATTTAAATGTGAAATGTGAATTTCGGCAAGAAACCTCCGAATTAACAAAAAGAACTCACGGTTCATATAACTTTTCTCGGTTTACAAAATAACCAACGAGGATACGTTCTTTGAAACAATCACGGAATATAATTCAAAAATTTGAAAAAAATTTACTCAGAGTCAACCAAAAAGTGATCCACGTGAAAAAAGACGATTTCAAAAAAAATAAAAGGATGATGGAAAAAAGAGGATAATTTTTTTCGGAATTAAAGTGGTCTAGAAAATCGAAAAGATCAAAATCGATATGAAAATCTCCGTTTTTCAGTGAGAACTCTCTGAAGGCTCTTGGAAAAAGCAGCTACAGAAAAGACCGGCGAAAAGAAATGGACAGAGAAACAAAGAGGATATCCAGCCGTAATTTTACCAAGTAAGATTGTCTCGAGAGACCTTTCCGGAGCAAAAAAAGACAGTTTGCAAAACTGAAGTTTAAGGAGAAATTTTAAATCCCCTTGGAGAAAAACAATAAACGAAAATACATATAGTCGCTCGACCGAAAGAATATTGGAATTCATGGGAGCAATGGACGTTGAGCACATCAGAAACATAAAGGGCACAAGCATTTGTTCAGAATATCGATTAAAAGGGTCTCTTAAAGAGACGTTTCCCATTCAGAAAAAAACATTTACAGCCAAAAAATTGATTATTACAGGGTGTGATGATCAGTTGGAAGGACAGGGGTTTCACATGACAAAACAAAAAGTAAAGCGCTTCGAAGTGTTATTTCGTGTCGGGGAGTCCGACGAGGCGACGCATGAACCCGTAGATTCGGCGTATTTTGGACGGCGGCTCGACGACGTTCCTCGACGCTTCCGCCATCTCGTCCAGCTTCGACAACGACCATTTACTGGCACGAACTTTGTCGTCAACCGCGAGCTCTTGTTCCTGAGTTCACATCGTTAGGCTCTATATCCCCTGTTGATTTTGGTTCTAAAGAGTATGGAGTAGTTATAGGTAACAATCTTTTTTCACAATGGCACTGAACTTTTGTAGTTAAACTTCTAAACTTCTGATTGCTTTTTAAAGTCAAACTCTTTTTGACTTTTGTCAACTATTCTTCTAAACTTTTGCTAAATTTTTGTTCTGAAAATAGCAGAATGGACCTTTTTTTGCAAGAAACCATCATATGCTTGCACAAGATTTTGTAATTATAAACTAAAATGTGAATATTTGACTGTTCTTCCTGAAGAAAAGTGCGCTTTTTGAATTTTCATTCGTTTCATTCGGATTGATTTTTAGGAAATTCTTCTGATAATTGGTTAGTTTTTAAAAACGTTGGAAATAGGAAAAACGAAAAATCGAATATATCTGTAAAATTCGATATCAAAAAGTTCGATACTCAATGAAAGAATGGTTATTTCTTTATAAAAAGGTGTTTTTTTGGGACAATAAAAAAACAATCTTCGAAATTGAAAAAGACTTTCGAATTTACAGATATGCAAAAACGACCGAGAAAGAAAGTTATCCGGCAAGATTTCAAAATTGAAAGAAAGGGAAAACCTTAGAAATCTTGGAAGGGGTCGAAGGCGCACTGGCGCTTCTCGAGACGACTGTCGGCCCTTCTTCCCGTCCCAATGACATATTTCGGACCAGAGGAGTCACGCCAGTCGATTTTCCGTCGTCGTCAGCGGATCTCTTACGTTTCCGACTGGAATCATCGGATCATGAATTATATAGGAAGGTTTTTGAAAGACCAGATAGATTTTGGAGTAACGTTGACGGACGAATCTTCAGGGAAAACAGTATTGGGCCTCGTTGACCTATCGCGTGAGCTGAAAGTACAAATCTCACGAGAAAGTAACTGTTGAGATTAATTTTCATCGAGGATAGCGGTTCGATTCAAATCTTTGAAATTGATTTGGAAAGAGAATGTACATTTAGGATAATGTGTGAAGGCAGAAGAGACAAAGTTTGAATTTGTCCGCAAAATTTTGAGAACTAAAATAGTTTTTTTAAATGGGAGATATCTTTGAAACTGTTCACGGATATTTTTCAACTTGCTAAGTTCTGCTCTTTAAATAGACTTTTAGTTTACGCCCCAACGCATATTTTTTTTTCATGTGTTTCTAATAGAACTTTTTGCTTATTCGGTTAACTGTTTACAGAAAGTTTAAAACTAATCAAGACTTCCCGCCATTTCTATATTTTTTTACCGTGTGATAATGCCATATTCTGGGTTGGTGGCTGCACGAGTAGGCGTCGTAGGTGACGGCGGAAGACAAACCTGAATACTCTTTTTAAAAGATACGAAATGCACCGATGGAAACCGTGGATCTGGCCGCTTGGTACTGGACAACAAAGCCGTTTTTCGCATTGGAGGTGACGACGACCTGGGCGATGGCCGCAGCGGCGCTTCGGGTCACTCGCCGCTCCGAATCCTCCAGGTTCGCGCTCATTTTGGGAGTTCTCAGTCGAGGCTTCTGATGAAAAAGTAACCCTTTGATAGAGCTCAAAAAGGCAAGAAACCTGGAGAATCGCACAAGTTTTCGGGGTTCTGGGAGAAGTTTTCTTTCGCTGAGACCTTTGTGAAGGCGCAGAATTTAACAGATTGTCTTCTTCATCACTTTCATCCAAAGAACTAGCGACAGAGGTCTGGAAGGTCAGAGTGAGAGCTGGTTCATGGAAGACAAAAGCTGGGGAGGTTTTTATGATTACTTTATGATTACTTGCTCTTTCAAACAATTAAAAAAAAGAATTATGAAAACCAGCAAAATCAAAAAACAGAGAAGCGCAGATCCTTGTTGACCTCCGACTACATTTGGTTTGTCGAGAAAATTCATAGAACTATTGTAGAAAAAACAAATCTTTCCGTAACATTCAAAAAACTTAAACTGTGTTCCTGGTTTAATCCAACGGCTATTGAAAAATGCGAAAACCAATCAGGACTTCGAATAAAATTATCACAAAAAAATAATAGTAAGAAAATAATGACTCCAAAATGCCTCAATAGCTGAACTACAAAGGAGATTTGTGGGATTCTGCATGGAATTGAAGGATATGTTTCAATAAATTCACCTCAAGTCAGCGATGGAAAAAATAATGGTATAATCCTTTTTTTGAAACTTCTAGCAATAAATAATAGTAAACAACTAACGTCAAGATTTTCCATGGGATTGAGAGCTCTTCCAGCCAAGACGTTTCTCAATTCCGGTTCTTTTCTATTACAATCGCCGCCCTTTAAAAAAAATGATTATTTCGAGCTGCGAAATGAAAAGCGTACAGATTCTCTTCGACGCGACAACGGAGGCGTCTTTTCGCGCAGGATTCTGTTCAGCGCCCGATCTTCGCCGTCTTCCATCGTGAACAAAATGTCAGCGTCGTCCTGGATCTCTTCCGAGCCGATGACACCGTCTTCAACAAGTTCGAATCCACCGCTCTTCAATGACTCATTATGTTTTGAAAGGCCTTTGTCTTGAGAAACCGGTGAAGGCTGAAGTCGAAGATGTTTTTCCTCCTCGTGAAGCTCCTGCTCGTGAGTTCGGAATCCAGGACCTCGGTAGGAAACTTCTGCAAAGTTTTAATACTCAAATTTGCTCCTCTGGGAACAAGTTATAATTTCCTTAGCACATCGCGAAAATGTTTCCATGTTCATTTTTCAGAAATAATCTATTGAGCTCCATTCATTTTGCGAATTCACCAAATTAAACTTTGTTGAGCTGTTTTTTTATTCTTCTTTGTTGAATTTTTAGTTACTTTACATCAGGGAAGCCGGTGATAAAATAGACCGGGAAAAAAAACCGAGATGGGTTGATAAAGGTCGAGATATTTCATTTATTAAAGGTTTCCTTATGAAATTTCTTTTCTCTTCTTATTTTGCTTATAGATGAAGTTGTTAAGAAAGCAAATAATTTTGAAGAGATCCAATAAAAAAGATAAGAAAGGAACTTACTGCAGAACTTGGGGTCTTTGGACCCGGTGTAAAGAATCGGAGTGCGGAGTGTTTCCCAGGCGGAGTTCGAAGTCGGCGTCACTTGCAACATGGCGTCTTGCTTCTCTGTGAACAGATTGTGCACTTCGGCGTACTGTCCCAGCTTCGCGTACAGCTGCGATTCGTTCAGTTTCAACTCCTCCTGATCGATCATCACCTGAAAACGCATTTCACAACAAAAAAGCGAATAAAGTCATTACCGCAGCGACCGTAATGTTATCCGCTCGTAGAGATCTCCAGCGGTCCAAAGCACTTTTGAGCAGAGCGCGAGCGTGATTCGAATTCGCTTTTACTCTTCTCTGTAATTGTAATTCTTGAGGTTGTTGTCGATAAACTGGAGATTTACGCTGACTCGCTCCTCTTCTTCAACGACGGCTACGACTTGAGACGCTGTCATGACGTTGGTGAGGCCGTCAGAGGCAAGGACGATACAGACGTCGTCATCTACCAATTTTGAAAGATTTTTCACATAAAAAAACCTAATGAGAGTGTATGAAAAATGATAAAAAATGAAAATTAACCCTATAACTCTTAAACATTAAGCAACCAATGATTGAATAACTAGAGAAAAAAGTCAATGAGTAAAATTGATGAGTGAATTCATGAAAAACCTTCAATCTCGCAGACATCGAGGTCAGGATCAGGCGAAACTATATACTCTTGCGTATCTTCGCAAAATGACCACAAGTCACCTTAAATCTTAGATAAATACAAACATTTATTGATAAAAGCAAACCTAAACTTCTGGCAACGGACAAAAAAGGAATTTCTTCCGTGGTCGTGCTTCTTCTCTGCAGCCCCAGGTGTTGACCTTTCACGGCTCGACGCCAAATAACACGCGCAACACCACTTTTCACGACTACCTAAAATTATTTCCCAAGTTCTTAAAGCTTTGAGGATAATCGAAGTCGTTAAGACTTGGGGATATCTTCATTTAAAAAAGAACAAGAACAACTTTTCTATAGAGGTTCACATTTTGGATTTATTTTCATTTATATGATAATGCGCAGTAAGCACAGAAAACTGAAATTCAGTCCAAAGAAAAGCAACTCACTCTTCCGCCAGCGACACGTATTCGCTCATACTCCAAATCGTTCTCCGGTTTGTGGTCTATTGTCATTTTTCGTACTATAATTGTCTCGCCATCTAGGCCTGTAATCAGCTAATATTGAAGAAAAGAGGTTCGATTCCGGTTGCACCTCTCTTTCCGAGAAAAATAGCTGAATCTCCGACGTGACCCGAGTAGAGTTTACCATTTTTGATAAAAATGCAGCTAACCGTTGTACCAGCCGTTGAGGGGTACCCAGAAGCTGTGAAAGGCCAATCATCTGAAAAGATAGAGAATTTACAAAAAAAGACGATTGAGCTTGACCTGCAACTTCTTTCATTCCTTCGTGTGTGCTGAGGAAACCTTCACGAATAGCTTGTAGAATCATTTCATCATTGCTAGAATGGAATTTCGGATTCTCCTAAATAGATAAGGAAATATGAATATTCTGAATGTTTCTCACTGTTATATTCTTGAGAAGATTATTTCTGACATAATCGCTGGCTTCATCGCCTCCGTGACCGTCGAAAACTCCCAAGAAAGTATATTTCAAACTTCTGTCAGAGTTTCGTTCTGTGTGTATGTGGACGCGGTCTTCCATATATTTTCTTCCTCCCTGAAATTCTTTTCAATTTCAGCAAACATCAGTTTTCGACGAACTTGATTAGCTGCTACTGTTATTCTCAAATTTTCGCCGCGTTTCCTTGAAATTTCCCCATTGCCGTTGGCTCTCACTACGCTTTGACCTAATTCCAACTTCATCCCTTTCCTGTAAACCATTTGTACAATGATATAATTTTAATAAAATATATAATGGAACTCGTTCATAAAACTGGCTAATAGAAAAAATTATTATATTTCATGACAAAAAATAAGAGGACAAGCTCTTTCAGAAAAAAAAAAAATTAACTGTGGTTTTTCTATTCTACAAATTTCGAATATGCGTGATAGAAAATCGAATTTTTAATCAAGAAAAAAAAGTTGATGGCGTGTTCATCGGAGAAACGGAACATGCTTCAAAACAAAAAATCGTGTTTATCGGCGCGCTAAAGTTGCTCCAAAACAGTACTAATTTTTGTTTTGAAGCAATTTTCTTGCGTTTCGAAGCAATTGTTATTTTTTACGATGAACGCGCCATGAAAAAAAAAACTCAAAATTTGCCGCGAAAAGCAAAAGGGCGTGGTTTGTGACGTCGGCTTTGCAAAATTTTTCGACGGCGCACGATTCCCTTCATCTTTTGAAGTGCTATTAAATTTTTGTTTCAATTTTGTTCTAAAAGGTTAAGGTATAAAAAGTATATTTCCAGATATTACAACAGAAAGATGCCCACAATAGAAGAACTGGATAAAATAAAGAACAGACTTAAAGCCACTAGCACGACGTAAGTGGGAAATAAAAAAAAGGAAATTTAAAGTATACATTTAAGAGTGACTCTGGAAACCGGTGAGACAAAAGTGGAGCTGCGGCAGGCAGACGGTACATTTGCACAGGCTGAGGAGCCTAAGCAAATTTCGAAACGCCGACAAAAGAAGGTTGAGTACCTCCGTAGATGTGGCTACGTCGTCGACCTGAAGCCCGATCTCGAAGTTGGGATCGTTAGAGAAGGCCTATTATTGGGTGAGAGTTTGGGTTTAGTTGTATTTTCTGAAGTTCTCTTCAGGAAGTCAAGACGTTGCCGCAGACTTGGCACTGCTCCAGGCAAATAAAGTCACCCATATTGTCAACTGCGGGACAGGCATTCGTAACTTCTTCCCGACAAAACTCAAATATCTGAAAGTGGAGATCCTGGACCTTCCAACAGAGAAAATCAGTCAACATTTCGAGGTCGTTCATTCCTTCATTGACGATTCCTTGAAGGAGGGCGGAAAGGTACATTTTATCTCCTGGTTTCAGTAATTCTTCTAGCAAGTCTAGGTTTTCGTTCATTGCAACGCCGGAGTCTCGCGGTCAGTAACACTTGTCCTTTCCTACCTAATGCGAACGGAGAAGCTGGCCTTTCAAGAAGCTCTCCGAGTCGTCAAGGAAGTTCGACCAAGTATCCCATTCAGGAAAAGTACAAGAAATCTTCGAAACCTTCCTTTCAGGCGCCAAACCCAACGCAGGCTTCTGCAAAGAACTCGAAGCCTACGAGGCCAGTATCGTATGACGGCTCCGTTTTGAAATAAACAATTCTCACACATTTCTCCATGATTCTGTCTTTCCAATCGCTCATTTGGTGCTTACTCAGTTCCCTCTTGTATGCCTTCAACCCCTGCCTATACGATGACTCGGCCTGTTTGCCTTTGGAAGATTTCCAAGTATGTTATAATGTATATTCACCACGATCTCGACGGAAAAGTGCCTTCAGGAAAATTGCTCATGTATATTAGTTGATAAAAAGTTTAACGACTCCGGGGAATTTTCCATGTTTTTCGACGGCTATCCCGTCCCCTTCTACTACTTCAAACAAGTGAGACCAAAAGCTGACAAATACAAAAAATGAAAGAATTAGGTGGAAGTGGAACAGCTCTACAGAGACAAGTTATCCATAAGGCTTCCGAAAGAGAATATTTTTCCTGATCATAGTGATCTTTCCGAGAACATTTATGGGTTTGGTGATATTCAAAACATCCGAGTTTATGAAAAAGTTCTTGAGAAACCTCGAGGTAGAAGAAAATCTAATTCTCTTCACGGCAAACTGTTCAATGACAAGTCTCATCGTGGAAAAGCTCATAGAAGAAGGCGTGAGTCGATATTGGAAAGATGATGAAAGAAGCAATGAAAATTGAGTTCATCCGGACGAGTATGTTGAAAAACTCATCGAATCGTTGGTGCCAAGAAGGCGAATGCAACGCCTTCGTCTACGAATCGGGCGTTTTCAACAAAACTGAAGGTTTCTCGAAAATTGAGGAAACCATGGAATCTCGTTCAGGAGTCTATTCTCACGTAGCGGACGTCTTGCAGGTCATCGAGTTCAAAGGGAGATCTATTTTTGCGGTTTCGAACGCATATGGGAAATTCGACGTCCCCAAGGCCATCCAGCTTTTTCAAATAATAAAATAAAATAAAACTATTCAGGTGCATCAGATGATCTGCACGAATCGCTGTAAACTGTTCTACTATAGCGAGAGAACTGTCTGTTTGTCTCAATGCGTTCAGGGGTAAAAAAATAAATTATTATTTCCATATTCAAATATAAAAAGAATGAGATGTTCAGCTTTTTTTAGTTTTTCAGTAGTTTTTGCGATGTTACGTATGCGTTTTTTTCACACCCATTTTTTTCGAAATTTTGAAATTTTACCATAAATAATTTCATGAAAAAAATTATAAAAAAACTTCTTCGATTTCCTTGAGATCATTTTCAAACTCAAAAACTGAACATTTTGAGACTTCGCTACGATCACATCGCCGTCACAGGAGATCTTAAGAGAAACTTCGATTTTTTCATCCGTGCCGCCGCCTTGAGCAATCTTCGTCAAAAGTATTCCAGATACATATTTTAATAAAGATTTCATTAATCCAAAAACACAATTCACCGTTTGAGAAAGGATGTTAAATAACAGAAGCAACAAACAATAACCGAAAGCGGAAAAAAAAGACTTCGTAAACATTGATAACAGAAATGGACCAGACTGCCCGAAAAAAGAAAATCATTACGAGCGGTAGGACTTTGGCCGTTACCCATGAAAGAAATAAAAAAAAAACAAGCGATAAGTTACTCTAATTCAATTGAGAGGAAATTCACCTCTCAGATAAACAACCAAAAAAGTTAATCAACTAATCAACAAAGTAGGAAAAGCGTTTTCACCAGTGAAAGAGCGAAGAAACGGAAATTAGAGGGATCACATAATGTCAAGGACTTTCTTCAGTTGAACGATCAACTGCCAGTCGGCCTTGGTCAGGTCGTCGCGGAAGTACGTCTTGCAGACGTCGATCGAATCTCGAGAAATCTAGAAAAAAGTTTTTTTTTGTTTTGCAAAAAAATTTTAACTTGAATCGTGTGAGTCTACGAAGTTCATCAAGATCGAATAATTATCGAAAAAGGGAAATTTGAAAGTCGATGAGATAAAAACTTTGCATCTGGAGAGAAGTAGGAGGAAAAGAAAAAAAAACGTTCATTTTTTTTTTCAAGAATTCTGTGTAAAATCTTTGTTCCGTGTGAAATCTTCACTAGAAGTGGTCGCTCTCATTTCGAGGCTCCCACCTAGAGCACGGTGTCTTCAACACAACATCTGCTACGATGTGAGCTCGTCAAGGCGCAATTGAATGAACTACGCGCAGACGAACGAGGCGAAGGACCGTAAGACCATGCTTTCAACTCTTTCGACTACATGTTTGAACTTCTAGTTCGCCAAAGGCGGTTGTTCGTTATAGCTTTGAAAATTCTTGTTCACCGCCTAGTCGATTACATCTATGACTAACAAAAAAATAAATGATTTTATTGATTGATTTGAATTAAATTAAACTTGAGATAAAGACTTGTGCCAGAAAAGATACGAAAAAAACTTTTTTGACACAATTTTTTGGTATGAAGTTTTATATTTCTTAAGTCTTCTTCTGACTAGAACGCACAGATTTCGATGAAAACCCGAAAATATGCCCCAAAAGTTCGCCGACAAAAAAAAAGTGCGGCACTTCTTTTTTCTATTCTGTATGTCTTATTTTCCCAGAGCAATGCTTGAAGAAGGAATTCTCCACAAACCTTGCTCACGAGAATATCCTCATGACTGAAATGTCGACCATAAAGTCGTGGCGCTTCTCCCGTCGTGTTCTCAATCTTCACGCAAATCTTGAAGAGAAAAATTGAATCTAGAAGAAATTTTAAAAAACACCTCATCTCCTTGTTTCGCTAACGGGACTTCTTCGTTGTTCCTCTGGATGGATGCAACAGTTCCGAGCATAACTCCCTAATTTTTCAGAAATTGATTGGGAAACTGTGATGATAAAACTTCTTTGCTGGGCACACAAATCGGGGTTCCTCGCTTAACTTGACCAGCTTCCACGCTCACACCAACGATGATTGGGTCTCTATGAAATATTATTTTTTTACAAACTAAAAATACTGCTTCTGTAATCGTTTTTTTCTCATTTCTTTCTTCTTTTTTTGAAATTGTGTTTCTGTTTATGAATATGCGTATAGAGAGATCCAATTCAATTGAATGAAAAATCAAGGATTTTTTCTGTTCGGCTCGCAAACTTTCCTTTTTTGTTCAATAGACTGCTAGAAAAATGTCCAAAACCAAAAAAAAAAATGTTCAAAAATAATTTTTTGGAGTGGTTTCTTGAGTGGTTTCTTACTATTCATGGTAAGATCAAATTAACTACAAATTTGATTTTTTCCTTCATGAATCTTTGAATGAAAATACCTCGTTTTATAGATATGCGTTGGGATAATCCTCAACTTGCACGGGAAAATGGCTAAATGCTCATGATCCTTCCTCGCCTTCTCCTTCAGTTCTTCCCTGAAAAAAGGTAAATATTGATAATTCAAAAGAAAAATAAACCTATATTTCAAGAAGCTGTCCTGCAAGTGATAAATTATATCCGCCTGGAAGATTTTGATGCCTTCCTGGTCGGCGAAAGTCTGCGCGTCCCTTTCCACCTTTACGTCAAAGGCAAGGATACAGGCGTATCTGTGATTGAAATTTCACTAATTTTGGTCAACTTGAAAAATCCCTGGGCCCGGAAAATCGATGAAAACCCACTCAAGCTTGTGTTCCTTCATGGCACTCGCCTTCTGTACGTCCCGCTTGTGAACAGGTCCGATGTTGACGTTTGAGTACTGGAAATCAATAAATATGAAACAGGTTGAAAAAACAGATAAAAACCGGGATTTTCTGAGACTTGAGGAAGTCAAGGAGGGCTTCTAAAGATCCCAGGGTCGATGCCTGGACATAGACGCCTTCTGGCTTGCGTCGGATCGCGTGAAGGGCCTTGGAGAGCTGGAGATCCGCTTCTTGTCTGTAAAATGAATATCCTTCTTGGAACTAGTTGCCTCATTCGAAAAAAATTAGAAATTATTTCCAATCAACAGTGAAGAAAGTTATTTCAGGGATCAAAACGAACTTGAAGTAGTCGACTTCGTCATACTGTCCAATGACGAAAACAGGCAGCCCGGCCAGAACTTTCTCCAGATTTTTCGCGAGAACCTTCACTCCACGCGCGCCTTGGACCTCCTTGTAATGCACGTACTCGTTCTGAAATCCCGTCTTTGAGCGAATTATCAGAAAGTCCAAAGAACCTTGACGCGCATTTCCCGCAAGGGCTTCGGCATGAGCAGTTCTCTGACTTGCGTCATGACCGCTCCATCGCTTCCGGTCAAAACGATGATATCGCCGACTTTGAGTTTTCCATTCACCAGGATCACATCGATTGTTGTTCCCAGTCCCGGAATCACTTTCACCTTAAAAAATCTTGTTGGGAGAGACTTTTTCTTGAAAAATCTTGGAATTTCCCTATAGATTTTTTTAAAATAAGAGGCCTGTAATCGTTTGTAAACTAAGTTCAACGATCCAGAAAAGATCATAGACTAAATTTCCAATTTTATATATTATTTTTCACGCGATTTAATTTCACAGCGATATGAACCGCATGTTGAGTTTACAACAATTATTCAGCCTTTCGAGTTAAAAACCGTACAAAACTGTCTATTTTCGATATTTATCCGCGGGTTTTTGAACGTTTAATGAAAGCTGATATAACGTTTTAAAATGAATTTTTCGATATGAAAATCGTTCATTTTTTAAATATAAAAAGACTGTTTTGCTAGAATCAATTATTGAAAATCGGAATCTTCTTAAGAAAGTCAAATGAAATCCTCCCAAATATTGGATAATCTTTCTTCTCCACACAAAAATAACCTCCATAACGGTCGCATCGAGTTCCTCACTGAACGCCACTTTCTTCGCAAACGTTGTTTGAGTGGAATTGACGATATAGCTCATGATGTTACCTTAAATGGACATTATTCCAGGGAAAGCACAGAGTATTTCCCAACCGATTCCGTCTCCAAGGTAGGCTGAGGTCGGGACAACGCTCACGTACTCCTCCTCGTTCTTGTTCTTGTTCGAGAGAACCACGTTCACCCCCTTCAGAATCGATTTATTGAAATAAGAAATTTACTAGTTAGAATCGAACTTGTTCAGCGAAGGCCACGACGACCGCCTCGTATCGTTCCTTGAATTCCTGTTGAACACGAGTTTTCTGCGACTTCAGATGCTCATAAATATCTTTTCGCGGGTTTGACTCGTACTCATACAAGCGATCGATCTGGAAAGTGTAGAGAAATTAGTATATTTTAGAGAAAACAATTGAGAAAAAAATATAGCATCTCAAAACGTATTTCAGAAAACATAATACTGGGGTTTGAAGAAAAGCAGTGACCTTTTTTAAGCAAAACTTATAAATAATTTTTTTCTTGAACATCTTAAATCAATCTCCAACATCAATTAACTAAATTCTGAGAAAAAAACATTAGCACTGGTCATTAAAAAAAGTTTTTATTTGATCTGAAAAGGATTTTTTTTGTGGGAACTGTAGTCAAAAAAGTGAAAAAAGTTGATTTCTTATTTTTTCATTTCAAAATGCTCTCCTCCTCGATAGAGCTAATTTAAGGAGGAAAATCGGACCTTGTTCAAGGCGACAACAAACGGAGTATTTCCCTTAAGTAGCAACTTCAAAGACTCAATCGTCTGCGGCTCTAGTCCGTGCATGATATCGACGACAAGAATGGCAAAGTCGCAGAGGGACGAACCTCTGGTACGCAGGTTTCTAGAAAAAAAAAATACTGAAGTTATTTCGATGGAAATATGGTTACGAGAAGCTTTCGTGACCAGGTGTGTCAATGATGAGGAATCCGGGGATTTTCATCGCGTCGGCCTTGAAGTCCTTCACCTGACGGCAACGTTCTTTGATGGCTTCCGCGGGAACCTGCGCATTACTTTATTCATTAAAAAAAGTATGCTTCAAAACTATTTTTTCCAATTTTTTTTTTAGCAATCTTATCAACTAACTGTTCAGGCTACACTATTTTGTAGTTTTTTTTCTTACCTTTTTTTCAAATCTACATTCCAAAAAATAATAATACACTTGAAAATATCAAAAAAAAAAACGATGATCAAAAACTTTTTGATTGCAGGTAAAGAATGATTTGAAACCTCAGTAGCACCGATTTGCTGTGTGATACCGCCAGCTTCTCCGCCTTGGACGTTCGTCCGTCGGATCTGAAAAAGAAATTGAATGAGAGTTCGAAAAAAGTTAGGAAACCGTATCGAGCATTTTGGTCTTTCCTGTGTCGACGTGGCCAAGAACGCAAATGACGGGAGAACGAAGATTATCCGTGGAGCGCTTGGATTCCGCGTCTTCACGTCGTTTCTGCAACAAGCTTACTATTTGAAAAAGATGCTTTTTTTGAATTATTTTTCTGTATTATCTGAACAGACCTTGATTCGGAGCTTGACTCGTTCCATGATTTGCTCCTTAGTTTCTCGACCTTTTCCAGCTTCATCTTCCGAGGAACTTTCCTCCTCTTCTTCATCGCTTCCTTCTTCACTCTCCGCCTCCGAATCGTCTGAAGAGTCGCTCTGTAAAAAATATTCTAACATTTTTTTTTCCAAAACGATCGAACCATCATGGCAACGTCTTTAGGTGCAGTATCGGGTTTGGCAATATCTTTCTTTTCCACTTTTTCAGATTTTTCTTCGACTTCCTCGGCCATTTCCCAGTCATCGAGCGGCTCTTCTTCCTCTGCTTCTTTGGATTCTTCTTCCTAATGAAAAAAAGTCCTTAGAAGCTTTTAGAATGTTTCTAGATTACTTCTTCGATAGCGAGAGCGTCTTCCACAACTTCCTCCTTAACCGGTTCCGGCGAATCTTCGGCCGGCTCAGCACTTTCAGCTGAACAACTCACAAATTATGAACGTTTACTGAAGTTTCAAACCGGCATCTTTTCCCTCTCCGAGCTTCTCCTTCTTTTTCTGCTCACGGGCCTGTTGTCTTTTCAGCGTTCTAAAAGCCATGATAAAACCGCTTAGTTGAAAATATAAAACCTCTTATCCATATAAACGACTGGTTTCTTCTTTTCAGTTTCTTCGGCTTCTTCGCGCCCAGAAGGAAGGGTGACTGAACCAGATAACTTCCTGATTGCTCTAAAAAGTACCAACTTCCTGCAGCAGCGAGCTTCTCCAAGGTCTGCTGCTGCTTTTTCCTCTGAGCAGCACTGAGATAAGTTCCTTCGGCCTTTTGTTTCTCAATCGCCAGACGTTTTCTCTCCTTTTCGGCCTCCTTCCTTTCCTTGGCCAGTCGTTCCTAAGGGTATGCCAATTATAATTAAAGATCGTAACATCTTTTACCTCTTCTTCCTGTTGCTTGGCAATAGCCTCCAAACGGGCTTCTTCCTCGCGTTTAATCCGTTCTTCTTCTTCCTTGGCCTCTTGTTGCAATTTCAAGAACTCTTTGATTTTATCAATCTAAAAAAAGTTTGAATAAAAGCAAGGTAGAAATTATTTCTTACTTGTGTCTTCTTCTTAGGCTTCTCCTCCTTCTCCTTCTTTTCTTTCTTGTCCTTTTTCTTCTTCTTCTTTTTCTTGTCCTTGTCATCCGCCGCCTCATCTCCTGAGCCAGCGTCCTCCTCGTCTTCTTTTTCCTTTGATGGACCTGGTTCAGGTGTTTCTTCCTTTTCTTTTTCGCCATCCTGAAAAAGATCGTAACTTCCCACAAAAGTGCGAAATTCAGCCACCTCTTCAGCCTTGTCTTTGGCTCCCTTCTTCTTCTTCTTGTTCTTTTTCTTCTTATCATCCGTTTCCTCGACGGCTTCTCCTTCTACAGGTTCTGGAAACTACAAACTTCTAAACGTTAATAAGCAGCAAAACCTGCAACAGCTTCTTCGGGGCCTGCAGACGGTTCCGAAGCAGGAGCAGTCACAGGAGCAGGCGGAGGAGCGACTGGCTCAGCAGTTTTCGGCTTCTGGGCTTTTTCGCCACTTTCGATGCTGGCCAGAATAGCGTCGAGGTCGTCGTCGTCATCTGCTTTACCCTTAAATAATTGTTTCAATCAAAGTAATTCTTTTCGAAATCAACCTTTTTATCTTTCTTGCCCTTTTTCTTCTCTTTCTTTGTTTTTTTCTCCTCCACAACTACGACCTCTTGTTCTTCGTCAGACGGCTCTTTCTCTTCGACCTCATCATCATCCTCCTCAAGTTTATTGAATGATCTTAACTTCTAAAGTGATCATCTCACCAGCATACTGAACGCGGCGAGCTTGTTCTTCTTTGGCGGCGCTCGTTTCACAGGCTCATCTTCGTCAAAAGGGCTTTCTTCTTTTTGAATCGACAGCGACGCAATTTTCTTTTCAGCGGCATCGTCATCCCTGAAGTAGTTTATATACTTGAAAACAATGACAGTACAAACCATTCATCTTTTTTGTTCTTCTTTCCACCTGCCTTCTTGGGCGGCATTTTCTGCAATACAATATATGGTTACTTGCAAATAGAAACAAAATTCAAAAATAGTCAACAATAGGTTCCTATTGTTCCTAAGAAAAGATAAATATTAAAAATAAAGAAGTTCCCAAATTATTTGACTTCAAATTTGAAAACTGTGATATAAATATGTTAACAAAATAATTTGAGCCAAAATGCTATTTTTGAATATTTCATGAGATAGAGAAAAAGGTGAGAAAAACATGGGAAAAATGCGAAATATGGTCAAAAACCTAAACAATAGAATAAAATAAAAAGTCGTGAATTGGAGGGTTTTGTGTGCAAGTTCGCGTGAGCCGCTTAGGGTCTTTTGGCGGAAGTTTAAAGATTTATAAAGTTCTACTTCAAGGATGGTACGACAAAATCGCAAGTCCGCAAATCTCGAGGACCGTAATCTTGTGTACGCAGATCTAAAGTCCCATAATCTTGGAAACCAAAATCTTGGAGACCAAAATCTTGGAAACCACAATCTTGAAAAGTAAAAATCAACGCTTTGGCGAATAGATTTTATCAGAAATTGTATTCGGTGATCCAAACAAGAGAATATAAGTAGATAAAAATGCAATAAAGAAGACTAAAAAAAGGAAGATTATTCTTCAAATAAAAATTCTTCAAGTTATCAAAAATTCACTTTCTTCATTGCTCATACTAAAGGTTTAAAAAATAAAAAAATAAAAAAACCAGTTTATTTTCAGATTTTCTTCCTGTTTATCTCTTTTCACTGGAATGTTCTAGATCCATGCCGCTTTTTTCACAATTTAGTTTGTTTCTAGCTCCAAAAAGGTTGCAATTCGAAAACTCCTTTTTTTTTCTGTGTGCGATTCGTTGGTTGAAGCGCTAATCAGCCGGTGAGCCGACATCACAGTCCAGCACGATGTCCGCAGGCGGAAATGACCGGTGTTTACCTTCGCGTCGGAGCGCCGGAGCCGCTCATTCATGGCTCGTGCTCTACAGTTGCTCGGCTCCGTGCTCCTGCTCCATTTCTCGCGAGCTCAGGAGGTCCCGCGCGGTGACGTCATCCCTGACTCATGGACTTTTTACAAGTTCTACATGGTTAGTAGACCACTTTTGCAACGAAGAGGGTCTTTTTTTTAGAGATTATGCGTTGAATTAAATTTTATCTTACCTTTTTTTTAAAACCCTGTAGTGCACTTATTTCCTCCTATTTATGAGGACCTTTTTTCGGTTGTGATTTTGAAGTTCTCCGTTCATTTTTCTTCGATTTTTTTTTTGTTCCGGAGATGAAAATGTGCAAGTTTCTGTGAAGATTGCCAAGTTTTCCTGAAATTATATTTTACTGAGCCACGAAAGAGTCATTTGTGAAATTTAGGTTTTAGAAAAATCTTTCGAAGTTCTTCTCTTCATTTCTCTCGAAAAATTCCGTTCTTTACATTTCTTTCTGTCAGCGGCCTTTTTACGAGCTTCCAAGGAGTGTGAGCCCACCAAGCAGAGCAAAAAAAGTCCGTTAAAATGACATAAGGAACTTGTCTGGCTGGGCAAATCTTTGCGTAACTTGATGAGCTTTGGCACGTGAATGATGGGCTTTTCGAACAAAACGAGCTGTTTCTTCAGGGGCTTCCATTAACGCCAGAAGAGCCGCCCCAATATCCGGCGCCGATTTATGCGAGGTTGACGGCTTTCCTTGGGAAAACGTTGTTCGTTTCAGGCAGCAGAAAAACCAATCTCCGGAAGCGAGAAGATGGGCGATGCAGCTGTCGAACAAGCTTCGCAAGTCCGCCGCCAAGCTCGAGGAGGAGCGGCTCAAGTTTGAGAAGACCGTCAGAAAAAGCGGAATCGAAATGAAGGTGCCCTGAATACAGTTTAGATACTGAAATATGCTCACCAATAGCTTTTCATGAAAAGATATATGTTACTGTGACTTCTTATAAAACTCAGTTCATTATCAAGTTTCTCTGAATTACTGGGCCAGCGATTGAAAGTTGTCTTTCAGAACAAATTCGATAACATGAGGAAAAAAATGGAAGCGCGGCATGAGAAAATACGCATCGGCTTTGCTAAGTTTATGCCGTACGGGCAACAGGTTAGACTACATTTTCTGAGATATTCTGGCAGTTTTTCTGCAGAATGTTAAACAAGAAAAGAAGACGTTAGAAGCACAGAGAGTGACGTCATCGACGACGACTTCAACAGAACCACCAGTAGCTCTTCCGCTTCAGAATGCCGACGTTGTAGACAGGTTTCCTTTTTTTTTGTTGGTTTTCAATCATTCGAATAACAGACTTGTTTAAAAACCGTGCTGAAAATTTTGGAAGCGCGAGATCCATTTCTGAGCTGGATTAACACAGCAGAAGCGTTTTTTTCTGTAAATTATCCTTGTCATTTTAAGTAAACACAGCGTCAAGGATTTCTGAACAGACTGATAGTAAACTTTTTGCATTCTAAAATTCACTAATTTCACCTATTTTCTCCCGTTTGAGATCATAAAATTGCATTTAATGTTTAAAAACCTTTTTTTTCAAGCTTTCGGTGTGTTTCCTAGTTTTTATCGGTTTTCTGTATTTTCCAATTGTTTATTTTAAGCCGAAACGATCGGAAATTGCTTCTTTCTGTGCATCGAAATATTTTGCAGGAAAGAGCCGGAAAGGTCTGCTTTGGTCGAGGCGCGGACCATCCGCGTCTCTCCAACCGGCGAGTTCGTCGAAATCTAAAATCACATCAAAGAATACGGTCCGTAAATGGGTTTCAGAACCTTAATTTATCATCTCACCTCAACCAATTTATGTACCGTAACAGATAATTCTCGTGAATGCCTTCCTCTGCGCCGACGAGCCTCTCCATTCCTTTTCTATGGAGGCGGCTCGTCGTCGATCCCAAACCTCAGTTTTCTCCACCAACTATACATAAATTATTCATTATGATACAAACTTCTATGAAAAATAAACATGAAACAAAATGTCCGTCATGAGTGTCACAAATATGAATGGCCGAGGAATGTGTGAAAAGTGAAGAGGAAAAGCCTGGAGTGTTGAGTTTCAGACAGCTGTCGCGTCGGATGAAGGAAAGAAGCGCGTCGGGTTGACTGTTTTCGGCGATCGGCTGATCGACCTCAAACTTTCTTTTTTTTTCCAAATAGGCAGAAAAAAAGTGTAGAGAAAGAAGCTAACAGCCGAGAATATTTTTGGGAAAAGATATTTTTTTCAATGAAGCAAAAGATGTCCGTGAAGTGCAGTGATAAAAAGCCGGAAGTTTCGAGTAAAGCTGAGTAAATATCTTGAAATTTAAAAAGTAATAGAACTCCATTACTTTAAAAAAAGCATGGGATTTCGTTTTTTTGGTCATAGTTTAATGAATTTGTTGAATCTTTTTGGAACTCGAAAGTAGAATTTTTTTTTTCATTGGAATAAAATGAGATCAAGTACAATTTAGCCTCTTCAGATGAGAAAAAAAAATTGATTTTTGTGAAAAAAAAATTGGTTAAATTCAGACAAAAATATTCGTGAATCACTAGAGCCCTCAGTTTGAACCTACCAGAATGCATGAACGTTTTAGACTTATTTTCAAGGCTTTATCGGCTGAATTTCCGAATATCTCACAACAAAAATTGAAAATCACAAACATTTCTGACCTTCTGAGTTGACCGCTCCTTCGAATGACACTCGCCCGAAGAGTGTCGACAGCTCTTTCGACGCTTTTTCGACGGTCTTGCCGCACGTTTCCGCAGCATCGGAAAGCACAAACACAACCTGAAAGTTTCCATTCTAATCTGGCCCCAATTTTCAGATTAGGGGTTAAAAAAGACTCAAGGAAGTCAAAAAACCAGTTTCTATTTTCTCTGAAACGAGTTTCTATTTTCAAAAGTTGCCCATCAGTCTATAAAATTTGAGATCTGCGAAAAAATGGCAACGCTTTTATTTCTGTCATTTGCATGTTCAAGCCGCAGGCGTTCGGAAAAATAAAAACAAAATAAGCGTGCCGCGAACGGCTTAAATATCCGCTTCAAGCCGTTCCCGAAGCCACAAACAACAATGATGGCAAAAAAAACTCACAAGTAATGAAAATTGTGAGAAAAACGGCGACAGCAATGGAAATGAGCAAAGAAAGAGTACCCGTGTCGAACTTGTCTTCAGGAACGCCGTTCAGTTCGTTCGACAGCTCTTCTGGAAGGTTTTAGAGCATTCATCGGGAAGAAGGATGAAATGAACGAACTGATGATGATGGAAAGAGCCTGGAACCAGTTGTCGACCTGAGCGAACTCGTTGACCTTGGAGATGATCGCCTTGCGTTCGGCCGACGTCACGTATCTCTCGGCGAGCCGCGCAGGCCAGATCACCAGCTCAAAATGGAATTATTCACGATTGCACCCAGTAGGTTCAACAAATAAGTGTCCAAATAGAATCTGAGCATTGCGGAGTGGGTATCAACTTTCGCGAAAGACTTCTAATTTCTGACCTCTTATTTTGAAACGATAAAATTTGATTAAAAAATCTTTACGTGAAAGGCAGAAGCTTCATTTGAAGGTATAATTTTAAATTAAGCCCTCTTTTCGTTTTTTTCAACCTTATGACTATGGCGTTGCTATTTCAAGGGGAAAATGAACCCATTGTCTTTTAAAAGACTCAAAAATTCAACAATCCAATTAGCAATTCAAAACTAGCGTTTGATGCTAGGTTGAGACGAGAAATGTTTTTGAATAAAAAATCACAACTTTTGCAGGAGAAATAATAAAGAATTGTCGTGCGGACCTAATTATAAAGATTATTGACATAACTTGGCCGTTTACGGGATAACTTTGAAGACCAAAACCTTTTTATAGTGCTGCCAGACGAAGATGATGATGGAGTTGCCACAGTCGCCAAGAGCCCAGCGACCTTCCAACGCCCGACAAAACAGTTCGGCTCGTTCTGTCAGCTGTCTGAAAAGCCCCGTGTTCTGAAAGAAATTCAGCGACTTACGCTTCGCTAGGCGAATGCATCTGCATGTGTAGATTCCGGACGATCGCCACACTGACGACAAATCCATGCAGTCCTTCGCTTCCGCTTCCTGAGGTTAACTGATTATGGAAAATAGATTTCATTGGGAAATAGCGAAAAGTAAACACAAGTAAATAAAAAATATGATTACTTTTCATGCAAAACGAGAATTCAATCAAAAGTATTTACTTTGAAGATGGTCAAGGCTAAAATACTCATAAGGTAAAATTTGTCTTGGAATTTAAAATAGATCTTTAAATGAAGAAGTTTCAAAATTCTGAAAATTTGAAATATGAAGTTCCCTGATAATTCATAATAGATTTACATTAGTTTAGGTACGTTTCATGAAACAAAAACTGAAAAGAAATTTGATTTCTTCAGATAGAAGTGAATATTCTCCAACAGAAAATTATCATAGTAAGGCTGCTGAGAAATTGAAAAGAACGAGTTGAAATAGGACTGACAATTTGAAAAATGTTTTCAAAATCCTAACGATAATAATTTTATCGAAAGAGATGCAATATCGAAAAAAAAATTTGCAGATAGCAAAGAGATATCGAGGTCGATGATCAAACTCGAAAATCACGCAAATGACAGATTTTAAGAACAACAGAGTTGAAACATCGAAGATGAACTTTAGATGGAAAATATTCAAAGAAATGCAACAACAGTAGTTTTTTTCAGGAACTCAAACTTATGAGCAAACCTACTTGACACATGTCTGGAAGAAAAAAAAGACCTGCGGAGCCGGAAGTACATTGAGAGCGTCGTTGACAGTGACAAGGCGTTCCCACGGCCAATTCTTGCAACATCAGGTTCAGCTGCATTGCTGGAATTCGTCACTTTTCATGTTTTCCCTTCCAAACTTGGATTTAAATTTAGAAAAAATTCTTGAACGTCCGTTCCGTGATGAGCAGTTTCATGAATAATTCCCAAAGCATGATGCGGAGAATTTAATTTTCTGCAAGAGGAAAAAATTCTGGCTGTACGAAACAACGTGAACTTTTCCGTTTCATAGAAATAAGCAAATCTTCGATTTTACTTTCAATCAAAATTTAGAAATTAAAATTTAAGTCTTTGAAACAAAAACGGTGAATTATTAAGTGAGACTTACTGGAGATGTGTGCTGGGAAGTTATTTTCATGGATTTTGCACGACTTGAAAAAAGATGGTCGCACAGAGAATGGCTCAACGAGTAACGGTTATCATGTAGCGTCAAAATGACTTGTTTTTTCCACCATTGGACATCTCAAAACGTTAAGTTGAGACTCAACGCGCTGAGGCATTTCTAATGGGGTCATATCTTTTCAAGTCGCGTTACATGAACCTTTCAATGAATGGAAAATACCTTGAGTATTATTGAGGATGTGGTCGGGATCGCAGACGTAGAGCTGCTGCTTGTTACGTGGCAGAACGGCGAGACACTGCGAGACTGTGGGACCTCTCAGGTCAGGGAACATCATGGAGGTCCATTGAGAGCCTCTGCCGCCGACGAGCACGACTAGGCAGGACAAAAGGAGCGGCAGCAGGTAGGACATGGTCTGAGCTCTACTGCATGAGCCGGCGAGGGTGGCGCCGAGGGATCAATCGCCGCGCCGCCATCGTCTGCAACCGACTCTCTCTTGTTACAACCACGCTTTGGCTCCTCCTGGTTGTCCTCAGAGTTGGCAATTTTTCTGAGTGACAGCCCTTGTCGTCGAATCTGTTGCAAGAGTTCAATGCTCCTTCGCTTTTCACGTGAACTTGTAATTTCTTGGGTCAGATTTGTTTGCCTTTCTTTTTGATCGATTACCGTCATGAGACAACTCAAACCGAGCTCAGTTCGACAACAAAATTTTGAGAGTCGTCTTTAAAAAGTTTTCAAAAAACGTCGTAAGCGTAATAACTGCGGGTGTGAAAGTAACGCATCCGATTTCATAACGCAGCTGCTTTTTTCTCGGTGATGCTTTGAAAAAGGTTCATGCAAGCAAAAAATTTCGGTGGGAAGTCGGAGTTCAATGAAGCTTTCGTGGCTTTTCAAAAAACTGTCAAATAAAAACATTTGAACACAGTGTACCCAATAAACATTTTATCTGAGAATGAATCACTTTTTCAGATTTGCGAAAAATTTTGGGCAGTACAAAAGAAAAATGGACAGTTTCGGAAGTTCAAGAAGGATTGAAAGTTTCGAGCTAGGAGCTTATTATTCTAAAGCTACTTTATCTAAAATTCAAAATTTCGTCCGTAGTTTTGTGAAAATTACGTGTAATTTAACTTATCTTGTTCGAAAATATTAAAGAGCAGTTTTGAGCAGTCTAATTACCACAATTTTTGGAATAATAACGGTCAGCGTCCTATTAAAAACTCATCTGAGATATTTCAAGTGATCCTTGAACTGGTGAAAGCCCTTTGAACTCAGCCCAATGAAATTCCACATCCAAAAGCTTCCGACTCGTAATTAATGCATTCGTATGGAGAACAATGGACAAACTTCGAAGCAAATTGCATTTAATCTTTCCAAAATTTCATTTTCCAGACATTAACCTGGAACTTTTGGAAGAAACGGCAAAAAATAAGAAGAAAATGACCTATGAAGTGTGCAACGCAAAGTATGAAGGAGAGAAGCTGACCCATTTCGAGAGGCTGCTCGTTGGGATTACTCGGCCTTCGGACCGCCCTTCGCTCCTTGTTCGGCGCATCGTGTCCTAAAGCCCTCTGGCGTTTCCTTGTGATCCCACGGCAAATGAATAACGGCTCCACCACCCGCAATCCATGTGATGCGGCTCCATCTCGGTGTAATAAGTTGTTACACTCGTTTTTTTTGCCACGATTTCCGGACCCATGTAAGAGCTCTCAAGTGCCTCTGCAAATTGTTTATTAAAACGTTTCGCGTGGCTAATTGCTCTTCCTGGTTGAACCACGAGTTTTGAAAAGCAAATGATCGAATTCCTGAGATTCCAAAAATACTCATTTAGAGAGAAAAAAATTGAACCGAAAAAAGATAGCTTTTGAGTGCAAAAAGAGGTCTAAAATGACCCTCCTATGAGTGGCTGGAAAATCACTTTGAAAATCTTCTTGGACTTATTTTTGAAGCTTCTCCAAAAAAGCCGATTTTGGTAGAAAAAGAGTATGAAATTTTCGAAAAAACTGATAAAATTTTAAAAAAACAATCGCTGCATGATAAGATTTCTCATTAAAAAAAGAAAATTTTCACCAGAAAATTTTTTTCGAGTCAATTGAGAACTTGTAGAAACTCCAAAGATATATATTGTGAGCTCAAACAAAGATTTTCTCTCAGATCACCAAAAACGTCCAATTTGAGGCACTAACCTAACCCAGAGTCAGAAGTCACGTCAAAAAGGAGACCTCAAAGTACAAATGTGCAAAGGTTCCTAAGTCAGCAACCAAAAACACTTTGCTTGGTACGGAAAGCCGCTTGAACAACCCGAAACATGGAGGTTCTTTGAACTCGCTTCTATTTTAGAGAGGCTGTGTGACTTTATGATCGAAAGCAACGTACTCAAACTTCAAAAAGTGAAATCATATAATGAACAAAGCCTCGTAACCATAAAAGAATTTTGAAAAAAATATTAAAAAAACGAAAAAAAGAACTGAACCTACTGTAGTTTTTTTGAAAATACTTTGAATAAGAAGAATCTACGACTTTCTCAAAGCGCCAGCGTGCACGATCGCAATATGAATTTTTTTACGATTTTTTTATTCACTGTAATTAATTTCATAAAAATTTTTAAAGAATTCTTTCAGATGCATCTCGCACTTCCCGCAGTTGACCGCATCGAGCCCACGGGAGCTGTGGAAAAACATTAATTTAGCACCAGAGCGCTCAATCCTGTACGGAAAATGATAATCAGTTTCATGTTTTTGCCGTGTTCAAAGTGATTCCGCGAAATTCAAAATAGCCGTCAGAGAAAGAGAAAGATAACTAAATTTTGGAGGGTCAGGGACCATTTTGCATTTCGCGGAAATTACTTTGAACACGGCAAAATGCCGTGTTTCGAATCTGAAAACTTCAACGGGATATTTTATATACTTTCTTTTTAGTACTTTTACACACTTTAAGCAAAATTTTTGTTTCCTGTTTGAGTACTTTTTAATTTATTTGTCCAGTTGCTCCAGCTTTTGAACTGCGCTTGCAACCATTTTTACACTTTCTATATAACTTTTCTATATTTTTCGGCCATGAAACTTGTCAAACTTCTTCATAAGGTCAGATTTCGCAATTTAAAATATTTTCGTGTTGCTCGCTTGCACCTTTTCACTTTAAAAAAAGATTTTTTTCAGTTAAAAAAACATTTATTGCCTTGTCAATGACTAAACGTTCCGCAGAAACCGAAATTGTAAGTTCTTAGTTAGATCGTAATAAATTTATTTTCTTGACGTTTAAGAAAAGGAAAGCCGTGTGGGCCGATGAAGATGATCATAATTCCAAAATAGAAGTTCCTAAGTTGAGGAAAAGTATCAAGGATGATTTGGTTAGACCGACAGACGATGACACATTAAAATCAGAGGTAATGAAATTTCAACATTGCTTCAACGTTGTTTATAATTTTAGGACTACACTCAAAGGTTACAAACTGCGTTCAAGAAAAGACATGGCGGTTCTACTCCAGCCTGGGCTCAATCTCGGAAAAGTTTGTTTGCAGCCAATAAGTTTACATAAAAACGATCATTTTACAGAAGAAGAGGATGAAGACGAAGAATCTGGTTTATTGACGAAATCCGCTGGCGATTACATTGAAAAAGATTCTTTCCTACCCAAAACCACGATTTCCACCACATTAATCAGGGACTTCAACATTGCTCATAAATCTACGGTTGGTAAATAAAAATTGAGTTGAAAGAAGGGAAGATTTAGCGTCCTATCAACGTTGTTCGATTCCACAAAACTCGCCCAGTGCTCATCACGGCAGACGAAGCCGGGACAGTGCAGCTGTTCAAGGTTATTAGCCTTCTATAGGTTTCAAATAAATATAATTGAAGGTTGATTCTGAAGTGAAAAAGGATAACTTTCTCCAGTCTTCGAAATTCACAAAGTTTCCTATTCATTCGATGGAAATTTTCGAAAAAGGTCAATCCGTTTTGTGTTCTTCCAGTACTCAGGTGACCACTTCGTTTCATTGACCATTCGAGCGAACTTTTCAGGAATACTTGATGAGTTACAACATGGAAAAATCGAAAGCCGCTCAACACCGCTTGCCGAATTGTGAGCGAAATTTCGTCAATTTTTATACAATTTGAGATCTTCAGCCATTCCCAAGCAGGGAATCAATCTTTTCTCTATTTCACCTGACGGACAAATTCTTGCGATCGCCGGTCACAATTTCCATGTTTATCTTCTTGCAGCAAACGTTGGTTTTTGTTTAATATTGTCAGGAAGAAGAACTTTAAAAAAATAAAAAGGTTTAAGCACAAAAATAAGGGCGAAAAAGAATTTGAAAACATATTTTTCTGGTCTTTATGAAACGTATTCATACTTAAGTATCTGGATTCGGGTTTTTTTCCTTCATAAAAAAAAAATGAAAAAGTTGAGATGATAAGGTAATAACGTTATTTATAGGAGGAAGTTTAAAATAACAAGAAAATTGCTGTTAATTTATTTGCAGCCCTAATAATTTTTTTCAAAAAAACTTCTTTTTTTATACTGGAAATCTTAGGTTTCCAAGATTCTTTTTATATCGAGAAGGTATGAATTTTCAGTCGATGGAACACATCAAAAACCATTTCTTTGCCTTCAAATGCGACGGATTTGAAGTTTGCGCCTGGTTTTAGTCGAGAATTATGGGTGATGACAGGTTAACTTTTCTTTTGAAAGTGTTTTTAAATCTCAATATTCCCAAAAAAACATCTCATTTTATTCGACTTTTTTTCTTTTAAGACATATTCAAGTTTTAGAGGTTACTGGAAAAAAAAACTAACATCATTGATTTGAAGGTATCCAACTTTTCCGATTTAATATAAAGTTTATGAGTAACCATATTTTTTTAATTTTGCATTTTCTTCAAATATATGGATTGAAAACCACTTTATAGTTTTATGACCTTCTGAAAACGTTCGAAAATCTCATAAAAGGAATGAATGTTTCAAGTTATTTCGAAGGACCAGGTATTTAGCGTTTTTATGTAAAACTTTTTTCAAAGTTTTTCAAGGTTTCGTAAATTTGCCGTCGAAGTTTGAGATGGAAATCGAAAAATTGTTGTTTGCAGAAGACGGTCAAGTGGTGATCGCAGACGCCCGCGGATCTTCGCAGCACACTTTCGTCGACGACGGCGCCGTCCATGGCACCAGAATCGCGTTGAGCAACCACGGCGACTACGTTGCCACTGGGTCAGTCTCCAAAAGTTCTATTTCTGTTTTTTTGCTCTTGAATTCAAACACTTTTCAGTTCTTTCTTTATATTTTTAAAGTTTTTCCTGGTCTATGATTTCAATCCATTTTTATCGTTCACATGGAAATCTTTTTGCAAGAAATCTATTTTTTCGCCTCGCGCCAAAGTTTTTTGCGGAATTCTTCAACTTTCCTTCGAACTCCGCTTCAAGTTTTCATTAAGTTTTTGTTTTCCAGAAAAAACTTAAGAAATATAATATAGAAACTCAAAATTTCCCTCACTTTTTTTGAAAGACACGCTCTGTATCAAGAGTACTTCGGCGACCTTTTTAAAAAAGGTCTCCGAAGCTTTAGAGCTTCCGAAAAAAATAAATGTCAGAACTGCCTGTTTTTTTACAAAAAAATTGATATCAAAAGAATTTTTTTAAACTTTGCTTGTCGTTTATATTTACAAGCTACCGTTTATATTGGAATCGATCGAATAAAAACTAGAGGTTCACAGTTTTTTTAGCGTATATGAAAAAAATATGTAACCTCAAAGATACCGGGCGTCATGTCTTTTATTTTAATTTTAAAAAAACGTTGAAATTAAATTGCAGAAGCGACACAGGAATCGTCAACGTCTACGACGGACTGAAGATACGCGACGAAACGACGCCGAAGCCGTTGTTCGCCGTCGACAGCCTGACGACGGCCATTTCTTCCGTCAGTTTTAGCAGCGACGCCCAGATGGTCGCCATCACCAGCAACGTCAAAGTAATCGTCGAATTTTCACTCTTTAACTTTCTTTTTTTTCAAAGGTTAATCAGCTCCGCCTGGTGCATTTGAGAAGCAAGACCGTCTTCAAGAACTTCCCTCTCCGTCACGACAAAGTTGATCATTATTCCATAATTTGTCCAATTTACCCCCCTTTTGAAGGTCACCTCCGCCAGATCCACCGACTTTTCTCCTAACAGCGGCTACCTCGCCGTGGGATGCGACGACGGCAAGCTCAACTTGTTCAGAATAGAGTTTTTCAAAGACTATTGATCATTGATTATCGTTGTTTTCTTTTTCGAGAGGATTTGTTTGAGAGAAAGAGTTTGGGACTTCTTTTCTTTTGGAAAAAAAAAACTTGAGAGATTTTGTTTTTGTTTTAAATCTTTGAGTTTTTTTTTCTTAATTTTCTCAATAACTTTTGGTCGAACGTTTGAAATAGACCTATCACTAACGTTTCCTTCAATTTCTGCAAACTTTTTTTCCATTTGGAAAAGAGTTGTGGTTTTTTGTTTTGTGTTTGTAGTCAAGAATTTTGTCGTTCAGGCGCCCCTCATACTTCTTCTCTCATTACATTCTTCCCGTTGTTATTGTTGATTTTCTTCTGTTGATACGTTGCTAAGAGATGAACAATTGATTTCTCTCACGTGTTTCTCATTATAATTAAGAAAAGAACTGCGTTACTATGCGCACTAGGCTCCGCCTACCTCTATTGCAGGAAAAGATTGGTCTTTGGTGGGTCCAGTTTGTTTTCCTTCCGGCGCCTATCGATATGGGTGCGTTCTCTGTTTCTGAATCTTGTTTTCTATGAAATTTCATAATTGAGCTATAATCGAAATTTCTGGATTATAGAAATCGTTTTAATCGAATTATCCATATAAGGGGCTGTTAGCCTCTCATAGAATAAGAAAGACTGGTTGTCGATTAAATTTTCTGAAACTGGGAAGCACTTACGTAAGTGAGCTGTAAGGTGAAACGTAAGCTTACGATTGGAAACTTCCTCGAAAATCGCTAGAAATATTTATTTCTTTATGCTGTGTTTAAAGTGATTCCGCGAAATGCAAAATAGCCGTCAGAGGAAGAAAAAGATAACGAAATTTTGGAGAGTCAGAGATAATTTTGCATTTTGTACTTTGAACACGTTTATTTAGCTCATTTCTAGATTACTTTTTTTTCTTCGATTCTCTTCGATTGGACCTAAAATATTTTTAAATTAAAGTGGAAGTTTATGGAAGTGGAGGTAAGTGAAACTTTCCTGGTTCTCTTCCTTCACGCCACAGAGTTGTCTGTGAGGGAACAATGAACATTTCATTTCAACATGGCATCAATAGGAACTTCAGGATATTTTTTTCAATCTGAATTAAGCTTTGATTTTTTTTTTCACTTTGGACTTTCTCTTCCAAAGTTATGTGAATATTTTCGTAGGGCTTTGGTTTTTGTGAATGTTTCTTTTTGAACGTTCTTCTAACCCGTTAGTTCTCTGCTCCGTGCGTAATTAGTCCAAATCGGTTCAGCAAAAACCTATTATTTTGTTCTCCAGATGTTATCTCGAGTCCAAAAATAGCCAAAAACTCTAAAAGACTTCAGTTTTATCTGATTTTCTGTTGCCAAAAATGGAAATCACCGAAACAAGTCGGTTCGCAGACGTTTGTCTCTACGTAGACAGAGACGCAGGGGAAACTTTCCGTGCAAACACTTTACTATTGCAACTTTTTTTATTCTGTTCGCACTTTCCTGTTTTCTCATTAATGAACTTCCAGATTTTTTCTGAGGTTTTTTTTATGTTGGCGCTGAAATTGTCTTTAATTGTTTTACGAATCGTTTTTATAAATCAAATTTGGAAGAAATTCCGAGAAAGTCAACGAGTCCGCTCTCACAAACATAAAAGACGAAAACTGTGTGATTCTGACAAAAATAAAAAAATTTTTAGAGTGACGTTCTTTTTTTGGTTTCAATAGAAAAATATTAAATTTATGGCTGAAGCTCGCTGATGGCGCCTTTTATCATGTGAGAAGTGTTTTTTCTTCGTTTTTTTTATAACCCTAATGTAAAAAAAGCAATAAAAAAAGTAATTCTCGAGCTGAAAAAAACTGACTTAACAAAAAATTGACAGATCGAAAAATCGGACCGCCTGAGATTTTTTTCAGTTTATGAAAAAAACTTCAGGGGACACAATGATCAATACAAATGAAGACATTTTGAATCTGTTCTCGCTGTTTTTTTTCAAAGTTTTGTGACTACATCAGGGGAGACAGCCTGTTAGACCGGTGTAACCTGAGAGAGAAACTTCCGCGTCTGGTTTTGATTGACTGTTCCCGAAATTCAAAAAAAATCCTTTGTCAATTGTTTGAAACATGAGAAACTGGGATGTAGACTTCGTTCGAATTCAAAAGATACATGAAGCTTTTGATACCTTAGTCTCAGTCTCCTTCTTTTTTCATGTGGCTTCATCTAATATAATTCTTTTGTTCATTGATTTTTCATTGTTTCTCGTTTTCGAAATGCGACAAATTTTTAAGAAAATTTTTTTAATTTGGAAACCATTAAATGTAGGTCTTGAAAGATAATTTTAGAATATAAAGTTTTTTTTCAAAGCCTGAAAATCTTGTATCAGACGATTCCAATGAGATTACTATGAACGGAAATCTTAATAATTTTTGAATTTCTTTTTCGCGTTTGAGTGATTCTCGGTTCATAATAACCTCGCTTTTTCGCGAGTATTCTCAATTTTTTCAAGGGTGTTTTTTTCAGTCCGAATCGAAAATATCATAAAAAAGTTAGTGTGGAGACTCCTTTGATGTCGCATCAAAGCGGTTCTCAGCCGGAGGAAGTTTGCCTCGTTTGTCAGGACATCTCCACGGGATACCACTACGGAGTTCCTTCCTGTAATGGCTGGTCCGTCGAAATCCTGTTTCTCCTCAAAAATTCCGTGTTTTTCAGTAAAACATTCTTCCGGCGTACGATTATGAAGAATCAGACATTCGTCTGTCAATTGGAGGGCAAGTGTCCTGTTGATAAAAGTGAGTTGAAAGGAGGATTTCTCAGCTTTGAGTAAAATATTCAATAGATCCAAAGAAACGGAGCTAATTGGTGAGAATTGCGACTTCAATGACGCGTGGTCTTAAAAATGAGACGTCGTGGAATGGCTCTTTCTTGACACTTCAAAATCTGTTTTAAAGTCCTGTGAGGCCATTTTGCGCAAGTCGTTTTGGGTCAGGCGCTTTGTAAAAGCTCCGACGATGTTAAGAGTAAAACTTGAGATTATGGTCTTCCCAGAATAATCCTAGTAAGACTATTTTTGAGAAAAGAAATTGTGAACTTGAGGTATCCGATGCGCTTGTCGGCATTGTCGTTTCGAAAAATGTCTTCAAGTCGGAATGGATCGGAGTGGTTAGATCCAAAGTTTTTATTGTTTTTCCAAATGCCTTTCTCAGCGATCCAACAGAACCGGGATCCAATCGGATATACGAAAAGAACCCGAAGATATCCGCCAATCAGAAGAGCCGACGGAAACGACGAGTTTTCTTCCAATGAGATTTCGGTGCTTTCAAATTTTTCCTGATTGATTGAAAAATCAAATGTTTTGAAGGTTAACCCGATCGATCAAAAGGAAGACAATTTTCTCGTCACTCTTGCGCTCACCGAACAAAAGTTTCTTTTTTCTCTTTATTTTCAGTCGGGAATCAAAAGTATTTGTCAATAATTAGAAAAAAATGTTAATTTTCCAGTTATTCAGAAAAAAAGTGAAAAAAATTCAATAATTAGTATTGATTTAAGGGCCATTAAAAAAATAATCTTTTTTTCTCAGTTTTTTTAACTTCAAGCGTTGATTAGTTGGTTGAGAACTCAATTTTCACTTAAATAATTTTTTTTAAAAATTTTTTTGGAGGGGCCCTTCAAAAAAATGGGTCTACCCATAAACTAAGTTGATAATTTTTTTTCGGACTTTCTCTATCTCCAAAATATCTACTTCTTTAAAATGTTTCTGTAAAACTCTCTTTCATGACATTTCAGATGCAACGTTCTACGGATTTGCGAGTTCACGACGTCGCGAACTTTGATAGAAGCCGTCTCTTCGCCTTGTCTCCTGACAGACGAGCTCTTCATGTCCCAATATTCCGTTCCCGTTAGTTTTTCGATCTGGAGTTCACTATCCGTGCAGTTGAAAAAGTCTAGATTGGTTTTTTGAAGCTTTTATCTGAATTCCCGTTCATTTTTCTTAGAACTTTGTTTTGAATGATTCTCTCATTATTTTTCTCAGAAATTGAAATTTTGCTTCATTTGCTGCGAGAAGTTTGTACCTAGAATGGCTCAGAGCGTCGCGGCCATTGTAAGCTCTAAAGCCATCTTGATGCCCAGCAGATTTCTCTTATTCTTCTTGATACTATCGCGCGCAAGTCGCGAGAGGTCGGATAAGTTTAAAAGCGACTGCCCCACGGCCACTACGTATTTAGCCATTCCAAGGTCAACCTCAGACTTCAAATTTAGTATTGATTCCATTTTTTATTAGAAATTTCCAGTCGCGACGGAATAACGCCTCGATTCTGAGGTTCGCGACGCAAGCGGATTATCACTATTGGCACGAACGCGACTGGTTCGTCATGATTGAATGGGCGAAAACGATTCCCGTCTTTCAACAACTGCCTTTTCCTGATAAGGTTGGCAGATTAATTCAGTTGCCTAAAACTTTTTTTTGGTGAAGATTATGAATAAAAATGGTTTAATTGGACTGCTGGGAGTAGCTGATAGGTGTAGGTTCTTTGTATTTTCCAGAAATAGGTAGAAAGCGAAAAAAAAAGACAAACCCAAAAAATAACGTCTCTTTTTTCAAATGAAGATTTTCATTTCATAGGTTATACATCTTGAATAATTTATAGGCTTGTTCATCGCAATCTCAGTCCGTTAGTGAAAAGGAAATGAAAAAAAGTTGCTCCTTTCGATTTAGTAGCGGTGGAGTGGAAATTATTATTTTTTCTGTAATCTTTTAAGTCGAAAGTTTATTTTGAAACTATCACCTCGGCATCAGTTATGATGACTTTTAGGCGTATTAGTTTAAATCTCTCACATTTCTCATTAGTTACCTTACCTTCTGCAGCTCGCATTATTACGGCACTCGGCCATCACTTATCCTTCCTTGATGCACGTTTTCTTTTCGCCAGACCATGGTCCTGACACGATCGTTTTTCCCGATGGCGCCTATTTTGACCGTACTCCTGAGCCCAATCGGTATGCTCCCTCACAGTCAACCTTTGATCTTGTAAAAAGCTCGCTCAGACCCCTGGGATTCAATAAAAAGAAGTATCAAATGTTGGACCAACTTTTGAAGCCGTTGAGAGCCTTGGAGATCGATTTGACCGAGTTCTCAGCGTTCAAAGCTATCTTCTTCTTGAATCCAGGTGATTCGAAATTATGAATCATTTTGATCTAGAGGTGGGTTTCAGACGCAGATGACGTCGACACGTCTTCAAAAAAGCCTCTGAGCGACGGGAGAAGTGGGATCACAAACGCGCTCTATCGATACATGGTGAAGAAGGGCGGCAGCGAAGAAGCCGGCGATAGGTTTGGATGACGTCGTTTTTCTTACTTGGTTGATGTCTGAAATTCAACGCTTTCGCTTTACATTGGACACGATTGGTTAAACTCTAGTTGCCAAAAATGAGTCTCAGAATAGGACAATGAAGTGGCTGCTGTTTAGGATTTTGAACAAGATCAGAAACATTACATGCTTTTTTTGGAATTTGGTTTGAAAGTTACTCGTTTGGTGATTGACTTGTAGGACCATCCAAAGCTTTAAAATTGAAGTTTCACAATAGTAATATTCGGATGATTGATGCAGTCTACTACTTGCCCCTGAAAAATAGAGTGAAGAGTTTCAGATTGAATAGGAATTTTCTAAAGTTTCTCTTCTGATAAGGTTTTCAGAAGCGCTTCTTATGTACAATTTTAGTCATTTTCAACACAAACTAGACGTGACAAGCTTTCTAATCGGTTTCCACTATGCTAAAAATTATTCTCATTTTTTACTTCAATATCTTGAAAGCTTTTTCCTAATATTTCAGCTTTTTCTCATCATTATTTTCCAGATTTGGTCGCCTTCTTCTCCTGGGCACAGTTCTGGCGACGATGGCCGTCGAAATGAAAGAAGCCGTTCTCGTCGCCGATTTCTTCGACCAGATCCAATTCTCAACTTTTGCCAAGCAACTTCTTTTCGGAATCAAACAGGAGTGATGTTACATGTAGAATCAACTATGCTGCGAATCAGGGCTACAAAATATTTCAATTCGATTTTTATGTACCATTAAGAAAATTTCCACATTCACGGGTTCTCTCAGCTCATTATTTCGATCCCATCAGTTGAATAATTCTACCGTTTCTTTCTATGTACATTTTCAAAATTCCTAGAAGCCTCTTGAAAGTTTTTCTTGATGTTATGATATTTTCATTTCGAAGTAAAGTTTTATTCTGAAACAACTTTCTCATCAGACTTTTTTTATTGCTATATAAAATATAAAAACATAGGAATTTGAGCTCATTCGGGCACCTGAAGATCGTAAAAATTGATAAAAACTGACGAAAGAGCGCTTGATATGCAAGTAGTGCGAAATGTTTTGGTGGCTACTGGCGGCTGTTTGCTCTTTGAGCCATTCTGAGCTCCTTTCCGCCACTGTCGGTAGGTTCGAGGCTCAAAAAAAAGCTAGAAAATTGCCACTCTCAATTCGATATTTGTTCTAATGTTCTGCTTTGTTTTTAGTTTTAACATAGTGTTTGAAAGTTTTTACAGAGAAAGAGACGTTTTCTGAGAATTTTCGTGAAAAACTTAATAACGTTTCCGCGTTATGCTAAGTACACTGGCTAGTTCTAAGAGTTAGCCTTGCTTGCATGGAATTGTCGTTTTAATAGGAGCGCGAAATGCGGAGCTCCGACAGAAGTTCATTCCACCGGCGGAAGCCGCAGTCAATTCTGGAACAAAGTTCATGTTCTCCTTCCTGAACAGTCATCTCGAGTCAGCTTCATCTTTTCAATCAAATGACGTCATCGAGAACTTTCCAGCACTTCGCCGGCCAACGACTCCGAAATCCTGACCGTCAGTGTCACGAATCCCTCTGCCAGCAGCGCTAACATTGTTATCACTTCTCCTTGGCCCGGATTCCAACAAATGAGCTTTTCTGTTGCTTCTGGAGCGTCGCAAATGGTTTATTTCCGTAGAAATAAAAAATAATTCCGTTCTTTTTAGGTTACCATCACTCCACCGTCAATTCAGACCAATTACATGGACCCCGAGTTCGAAATTATAGTCGTCGAGAACAAAACTCTCACTCTGATTTCTTCTCAGCCAGTTTTCGTCGTCACAAGCAATACTCATACCGATCTTGACCACATGGACAAGTATTCTGTCATACCGGTGAGTCTTGGAATCAAAAAATGGATAATTAGAGTGGATTCGGAAAAGTCGGAGTTGACCGAAAAAGCTGCTGCTAATTTCATTTTTAATAGGGTCTTTTTAAAAGTTATTTTTGTAAACCTCAAGTTTTGCTCGATCCCTCTCGGTTTCAGGTCTGTCAGCTGGGTCAGGAGTATCACATTGTAGGCGACCAATCCAGCTTGGCCGGCCGTCTGATGTCGTCGAACATCTTCACAGTCATCGCCACAGTAGATAACACCTTAGTCTCGATTGTGGACTACGGCTCCAAAGGACCCAAGAACTACACCATCAACACCGGACAGCAAGTCTGAACAACGGAGAGCTCTCAAACTCTATCTTTTTTTTGAAGGTGACTTTGGCAACTTTCTGGTACACGACCAACATCGTCGTCTTGGCCAACAACCCTGTCGCCGTCATTTCTGGCGCAGTCTGTGGATTCGGCTACTATAATCAGTACGAATGCAGTCAAGAGGTCTTGAAACGAAATGTAAAAGGAGAATAATTACTTTGTCAGACGGTCATGCTGTATCCGATCAATAACTATGGTTTGCACGTGCCTTACAACAAGTTTCTGCCAGAAGATTTCGGGGAGATGATGGTTCTTGTGCAGGTAGAAAGCGATATTTCCCATTTTCCAGAATTACTGAACTACTAGGAGAACAACACGAACCTTTTCGTGGATGGGATACAGACATTCGCCGGATTGTCCGTCTTCAACTACGTCATTTTCCGGTTCCGCAATGGCGGCTACATCACAGCCAATAATCCGATTTATGGACTAGCCGTAGGTTTTGAAAGTTGTCAAGGCAGTCAGGTACGAGTTTCAGGTTGGCTCAACCAATGTGAAGGACCAATCTGGGCCTTTCTTTGCGCATTTACCTGCTCAGAACAACTTTGTCAGCTCTCCCATCACATTCCCGTGATTTTTCACACTCTAGAATGTTCAACCTATAATCAATCACAGAGTCGCCCAAGCAGACAATGAAAAGTCGCTGTCCAATTACGCGAGAGTTGTGACTTTAATCGGCAATATCGGCTTCATGCAACTGGATAGCTATGTTCCCAATGGATTGGCCTACACCAGGTAGGTCGAGAGCCATTTTATTCCCGAAAGACTCGGAATCTCAGAATGGGCCGCAGCAACTTTTATTTCATCGACATTCCAGTCCAACCTGGCGTTCACACTGTATCTTCTCTCAACGGCGGAATCTTCTCGTAAAAACTTATTAGAAATATCAATTCTGTACCTCTGAATTCAGTGTCACTGTTTACGGGTTCGGAGAAATCACATCCTACGCCTTCACACCTGGATTGGATTTGCAAAGTGAGAAGATTGCTCCCAAATACGACCAATTTTTTGTTTCAGCATCGGGAACCTGTTGATTGACTTGTACACTGTTTCAAGGACCAATCTTTCACTTGCAACTTTGTCCTTGCCGATAAAATGAGAATAAAAAACTTGGAAATTGGAGATAGCAAGTGATAAAAGCGAGAGAAATTACTGATAATGAAATTATGCAGTTAGAAAAAATGTTGGAAAAAAAATGGAGAGTTTGAGAAAATTGAGTTTTTTAGAGCTTTTTGAGCATTTTTGAGCACCTGGTTTCAATGATAAAATAATTGAAAACGTGTACAATTTGGAATAAACGGAAAACTTACTTTAGAGCCAATTGAAGAGCCCAATGCATTTTCGAAACATACGAGAACAGAAGGCAAGCTTCTGACCACTGCCTGTACGTAGAAAAGAATGAGTGTGAGGAGTATCTTGATAAGAATTATAGTGAATACTAGAAAAAAGTCAAAAGATCGAGAAAAATGGGAAAACAGCATGGGATAGTGGAGTTTGATCCCATTAAGAGACTCTAAAATCATAAAAAAGGCATGATAAAAAGTGTTGGGAAAGTGTTTGATAGCTATTAGTGCGGAATGATCTGGTGGCTACTAGTTGCTTTTTGTTCTTTGAGCCATTCTGAGCTTCTCTCCACAACTATTGGTAGGTATAAGGTTCAAGTTGGTGCAGCTCAACTCCATCACAGGAACGAGAAATGCGGAGCTCCGACAGAGATTCATTCCACCCGCAGAATCGGCAGTCAACTCGGGGACAAAGTTCATGTTCTCCTTCCTGAACAGTCACCTGGCGTAAGTTCTACCCGTATATTCAACTATTGATGAAGTAGTTCTTTGTTGCCCAACGACACGGAGATCCTGACCGTCAGTGTCACGAATCCCTCCGCCAGCAGCGCTAACATTGTTATCACTTCTCCATGGCCTGGATTCCATCAAATGAGCTTTTCTGTTGCTTCTGGAGCGTCGCAAATGGTAGGTTCACTTTCGAATGAATACAATAGTTTATTGCTTTTTGTATTTTCTTCATTTTCTATATAAGGTCACGATCAATCCACCTTCAATCCAAACCAACTACATGGATCCTGAATTTGAAAGTGTCGTCATAGAGAACAAAACTCTCACTCTGATTTCTTCTCAGCCGGTTTTCGTCGTCACGAGTAATACTCACGCCGATCTCGACCACATGGACAAGTATTCGGTTATACCGGTGGGTAGAATAACTTGAAAAAATTATAACCCTCAACTTCCATTTTCAGGTCTGTCAGCTTGGCCAGGAATATAACATCGTGGGCGACGAGTCAAGCATGGCCAGCCGTTTGAAGTCGTCGAACATCTTCACCGTCATCGCCACCATAGACAACACGGTGGTCTCCATCCTTGACTACCGTACTTCGGGACCAATTAACTACACTATCAACACTGGACAGCAAGTCTGAACTGCGGAAAGCTCTCAAGTTATAATCCATTTTTGAGGTAACTTTGGCGACGTTCTGGTACACAACCAACATTGTCATCTCGGCCAGCAATCCTGTCGCAGTCATTTCTGGCGCCGTCTGTGGCTACGGCTACTATAATCAGTACGAATGCAGTCAAGAGGTTCTGGAACTACCTGGAAACAAGACAAACTTCGCTTTTCAGACGGTCATGCTCTACCCGACGAACAACTACGGACTGCACGTGCCTTACTACAAGTTCCTTCCTGAAGACTTTGGCGAGGTGATGGTGCTTATGCAGGTTGGGGAAGGCCAATACTCTTTCCATATTCTGGGAAAACAGGAAAACAACACGAATGTGTTCGTGGATGGCGTACAGGTCGTCACTGGTCTGTCTGTCTTCCAATACATCATTTTGCAATTCCGAACGGGAGGTTATATCACAGCCAACAATCCGATTTATGGATTAGCCGTAGGTTCTCCAGCTAGTCAAGTCGAAGAGGATCAAATTTCAGATTGGATCAACGAATGCTAATAATCAATCAGGGCCTTTCTTCGCCCACATACCTGCTCAAAAAAACTTTATCAACTCTCCTGTCACATTCCCGTAGTGCGCATCCCTTAGAAGCGCTTCATCTCATTTATTCCAGGGTCGCCCAAGCAGACAATGAAAAGTCGCTGTCCAATTACGCGAGAGTTGTGACTTTAATCGGCAATATCGGCTTCATTCAACTGGACAGCTACGTGCCCAATGGATTGGTTTACACCAGGTATGTCGATAATCATTTCATTCTGAAAAAACTTGCAAAATTCAGAATGGGTCGCAGTGAGTTTTACTTCATCGACATTCCAGTCCAACCTGGCGTTCACACTGTATCTTCTCTCAACGGCGGATTTTTCTCGTTATTGATCCATGTGAAAACTTTTCATAAGTTTGAGTTCAGGGTAACTGTCTATGGATTTGGAACAATCACATCTTATGCATTCACACCGGAATTGGATTTGCAAAGTAAGTCGATTTTTTTCGAATTTTTCTGAATATTATTTTTCAGCGTCCGGTTCTTGCTGAAAAAAGTTGTACAATAAACTGTCTACTAATCAACTTCACGACACTAACTTATTAAATTTTTTTTGTGAATCTCTGTGATTTCTATAAATTAGAAAAATTTCGTTTTGCAACTTGTGATCTGCAATAAAAAAAAAATATCGACGTTTAAGAAAGAAAAATAAAGTACATATTGTAAAATTTGGTCAGCAGAGAGAAAAAATGAGAGAATGAAATTTCGAAAGCACGAAAATATGCGGCTACCACCAATAGCGTGTGTTGTCTGTCTGCAAGTTTAAGCCTCGGTGCACAAGTATCAGTTTTTTACGCTGAAAAGTTATTTCGTATAAAATTTCATTTGTAATTCTTGTAATTGTTGTTGATATCTAATTCCATGTTCAAAGTAATTTTCGCGAGATGCGAAACTATCTCTGAATCTCCAAATTTAAGTAAATTTCTTATTTCTCTGACGGCTTTTTAGATTTCGCGCAACCATTTTGAACACAAATGCGCATTTATGCCGGGTTCAAAACGATTTTCGTTTGTTCTTTTTATGTGAAGCATTTTTTTTTGCGTTAACGTTTATAGAAAGCGAAATTTAGTTTGCGTCGCAAGAGTTAACTTTTTTCTTTTCAGGTCCGGGTCGTTTTCAAAGTAATTCAATATGACTGGAACAGAACGTAAAGTTTTTCAGGTTAGTTTGATTATTGAAACTTTCTTTCTTTCTTTTCATACTTGATAGTATTAATAGGATGAAATTTTCAGAAATATTATCCACCGGATTTCGATCCTTCCAAGATCCCTCGTGCAAAAGGACAAAGGAACAGGTAACTATTAAGGCATATTTTTGTTTTGAAAAAATATATTCAGGCAATTTGTTCAACGAGTCATGACACCTTTCAACATGCAGTGTAACTCGTGTCACGAATATATTTATAAAGGAAAGAAGTTCAATATGAAACGTGAGACGGTAGAAGGGGAAACTTATCTCGGACTTCGGCTTTTCCGTTTCTATTTCAGGTGTGGTCCAATTTCAAAATTGGTGATTATAAAATCAATTACTTCCTTTTTGTGACATCGTTCTATTATTTATTGATAAAACATTTCAGATGTCCTAACTGCCTTGCCGAAATCACGTTCAAAACTGATCTCGAACATTGCGATTATCAACAGGTATGATAGTTTCACAACCTTTTCATTCTTTTCTGCATTTTCATCATTTTTCCCCTTTTTTGGAAGGCCGAATAAAATGTTAATATGAGGATTCAGGAGCATGGAGCGACGCGTCTTTTCGAAGCAGTCAAGCTGTATCAAGACCAAGAGAAACAACGCGAAGCGAAAGAGGAAGAAGACGCGAAAGATCCGATGAAAATGCTAGAGAAGAGAACCATGATGAGTCGCCTCGAAATGGAGGCCATCGGTTACTCTTCAGTTTTTGAAAATCTTCAAGGGAAAGGATTTTCCAGGAAATTTGGAGGACTTGCAAGAGTCGAGTCGGCACAAAGAAGGAGTCAATGTCGACGAATTTCTTACTTCGACGGATCCTCACCTCGCACAGGCGATGAGGATTAAAAGACAGGAAGAGGAGGACGACCGATTGGCCAGGTTCTTTTTTTCATCCTTTGGAGAATTTAGGATTAAGCTGCTTTAAAAGCTAAGATTTTATGGCAATTGAGAGATTAATTTTTTTGTAAAAAAATTTCAATAAAAAAAGCTGAGAAAAAGGAACTGTTTATTTTGTAAAACAAATCTTTTTTTTTTGTTTTTTATTGAACTAAATTTTTGCGAATCAGGCTCTTTCTTGGCCATTCATTTTTTTTTTCCTCACTTCCAAAAGTTTCAATACGACTTTAAGCTGTTCGATTTTTTTCAACTTTTTTTTCCATACAAATAGAAATAGATTTCTTCTCCCAACATATTTGTTTGAATTTCAGAGAAATGCTCGGAAAAACGGCAGATGGTCGAATCGAACGGAGAATCAAGGAAGAAGACAGCGACGAAGAGCTGCCAAAGCCAAAAATCGTGGGAATTTCTATGGAAAAAATAAGTTGGAATAAAATTTTTTGAGGCAAAACTCGAAGATAAAAAACCACAGCCGGCAAAGAAAAACGATCAACGCGAACTTCTTTCCAAAATCGTCATGGTCAAGAAAAAGAAGGTTTGGAAATTTTCGAAAGTTTTAAAACTGCCATTGTTATCATTACAGAGCTGATAAAGTGAAAAAGGTAATCTGAAATTCCAATTTTTTATTTTGACGGGTGTGATTGAAAACGTTCATTCGAACTTTTTTTATACCATTGCAATTTACGTAATTATTTGAATAAAATCTTAGCAAATGTAAATTTAGTTTTAATCTTTCTCGAAGATTTGATAAATCTGACACCGAACCTGCAATGCTACAATTTTCTGCTTTCAGGTCGAGAAAGACGAGGTTGAAGTGAAAAAAGAAGCCCCAGACGAGAAGCCCGACGTCATCGTGAAATCAGAAGCCGGCCCTTCAACTTCTGGTTTAACCAGCCTCGTCGACTACGGTTCCGATTCCGATTAACTTGTTTGTTTTCGACTCTCAATCTCAGCCCTTTACTGTTTCTGTACAGAGTTATATGTGTAAATATAATTTTGTTTATGATCAACACATTACTATGAAGGATTTATGGCGGCGATAAAAACGATGATGTTTTCTGAAGGTGCCTGCAATCGGGATTCTCATTGAGAAAGTAGATTTTTTGCACAAACTTGAATGAAACAGAGATTTTGGGACTCTGTGTTTGGCATCGGATCAGTGTCCGCCGTCGTTCGGCTGTAGTTGATCGCGTTCACCAACCACATTTGGTCTTTGTACCTGGAATGTGGATATTTAGTCTGTTCATAGTTGCCTCGGTAATATATATTCAAAAGATGAATGCCTTTTTCAAATTTTCATCGTGGATCGCACACAAAGGATGGATCAATAAATCTTGATCTATTAATAATGTGTTCCGCCCGAGATTTTCACTCTTTAAACGAACATCTGAAAAAAGCAACCGGAAAAAACCGCTTTTTTAACACTTACAAAAATGAATAAAGACAGAAAAAATAGGGTCTTTTAACTGAAAAAAGACAGCAAAAAGTAAGGTCAAGTAGGGTCAAATATGATCCTATTCGGTATAGGGTCTTTTTGGAAGAAAAAAAATGACAAGCCGGTGCGGAATGGGTATTCGTTTTGGGGAAAAAAAACCCTAAAGGGGCACCGATTTTAAAGATGAATGGAAAAGGTACCCTCTAACTTGTTGGTCGACGTAGTTGCTAATGTCATCGACGGTCCGGTACTGCTGAAGGGCTGATTGAACGAAAGAGAAAAGTATTGGGTCTGGGCAAATCCATGCTAAATTCAATTATTCAAAAGACAGATTATGAGGGAGTTTATATTTTCTTTCAAAAAAACTTCCTTAGATTCTCAAAAAAGCAAAATTTTCAATTTTTTTGCGTTTTTAAAAGGCTCTATCCCGAGTCTTCGAGAAAAGATGCATGATTAAAATAAGCAAACTAGACCTTAATAGTCCTACGTCTACTGAAAAATTTCGTGGCTTGGGTGGATTTATTTCGACTTCATTTCAAGTTGTTCAAAAGTACACAAGAGTAGACTGTGAAAAGGGACACTCTCGCCTATCTTTGAAAACACTTATCTTGATTTTTGGTTCTTGAGAATATTTCGAGAGATGTTTTTACTGCATTTTGATGAAGAAAAATCTCACAGATGATACTCGGCCCATCATCAGAATCGTGTTTGGTTAGAGTCGCGTCAGCCCAACAAACAGCTAAAAAGGAGAGCAAGAAGAGGGAGCGCATTGATTGACGATTACAATAAAAACGACCTTATCTTGGCTGCCAGAAGCACCTGTTTCGTGATAAATTCCAACATTCCGGTCACATAACTATTCATTTTATCGAGTTCATGTACAGATATGGTGCTAGGGAGAGACGAATCGGTTCATAGACGGAAGACGGCGCGGAGATCCGTCGAGTTGGAACTTTCGTCGACGATGTGGAACTCGTCAAGTTTCGTGTCGCAGATGTAGACGTTGGTCTGCGGATGGCACATGAAGACGCAGCCCTGTGACACCGAAATTTCTTGGCCGATTGGCAGCTCTTGGCCGTCGAGCAAACATTCTGCAACAAGATGGCTTTTTCTTCTCAATCAGTTCAAAAGACTCACTGGTCTTGAGAATGTGGCCGTAGTTGCACTGCATGATCGCGGCGCGACGGTCGTCACGCCATTCTGAGTTGTGCTCCTTGGTGGAGTTGTCGAGTGAGCAGGCAAGGTCTGAAGTTGATCCTTGCTTTGGTAGTCTTCGGGGACTTCCACACCTTTCAGACTGGCTGGTTCAATCTTCACACTTCCAAGCTCGCTCTCGACGCACTTCACGTAGTCGCCGTTCCTCAGTTGTCCAAACTCTCCAACCAAAACTCCGATTCGGCCGATCACACATCCTGAAACAGATCAAGAAAGGTTTGAAATGAAAAAGAAGAAATGATACTTTTTTAAACCAATTCATTAGTGCCTCTTTTGCTTTCTTCACCAGTTATGGCTTCAGATAAATCATTCAAAAAATTTCCAGAAGATTTTTGAATGCATTATTTTGATTAAAAAGCTTTGGACAAAGTTGAGCGTCAAACACAATGTGTTCAAGATTAGTCTTACTATATCCAAACTGTCTTCCTAAAATTTTCCCCACTTTTTACCGAACAATGTTCGAGTTTGGCAATTATCTCACCAACTACATGGCTCTCATAGTAGCTGTAGTGAGGTCGGAAGCATTGCATCAGTCTCGCATTCATCGTCATTCCGTCGTCATCTTTGGCCTGAACTGAAGCCAACGGCTCGATCCATTTCTCGTCCTCTCCGTAGATCGTCTCGTTGAAGTAGCATCCAGCCACTGGAACTTATTCTTCGGAATCGTTCCAGAGAAGAGTCTGAACCTCGCTCGACGACCTTCTTGAGAGCGCCTCCGAATATGTTGCAGTGAAGAATGACGGTGCCGTTGCTCAGTTTGCGAGCCTCTCCAGGATACATCGGAGTTCCGAAGGCGTCGACGCACGCTGAATCCGCAATAGAACGACGTCTTCACAAGGATGTCCTACCGATCGCTTCATAGTTGAGAACGCCGTCTTCGCCTTCTTCGCAGCTGAAGACGAAGTCGTGCCCGTGATGCTGCTCGTGGACCTTCAGCATCTCTCCGTCGTCGATGTTTGAAGGAACACAACCTGCAGAAGGAAAAGATCTGAATATCCTTCAAGACCGCAACTGCAAACCAAGTGGTACGATCTTCGCCTTCCTCTGCTTCCCTTCAAAGATGTACTGGAACTTGATGAAGTTCTGGACCCACGTCTTCTTAAGAACGTACGGCTTGGTGAAATTGCGATCAAAAATCGCATTTGAAGCCGCTAAATGTACAGAAACGAGGAACAAAAACACCTGGATCATCTCCAGAATGAGATTTTCGGTCTTCTGGAGCCATTTATAGTCGCCGGCAACGTCGGAATTCGCATTGCTTTTATATTTGAGCAGCTTTGAGGGCGATTTTTGAGGGCGTCGGCCGGCGAGGACCACAACAAACCCCGATTCAGTACACACATAGCAACTGGCAGCTGTTTTGTGCCGCTCATTTCCATTTTTGTCCATTTTTGTCTATTTCCGTCAAACACATGTACATACGCAAATACACAAATCTTCTACATGAAGCTTCCCAGACATGTTTTTTTTTACTTCTTTACTGGATGTTTCGAAAAAGGGAATGTTGCAGGGAAATGTTGGCCACGTTTTGTTTGGAGACCACTGAGTCGAGAAGACACGCCGAAGGACAGACGGCTTTCGAAGAGAAGAAACCCTGAAAAGAACAAAAAGCGGATAGAAAGAGTTTCTGAGCACGAAACCTTCAGAGCAGAGAAAACTCTGTCTCTCCACAGTAGGAATGTGACATCGTCGCCGTTGTAAGCTTCGTTTATACAGTTCTGCTCCAGCGCGTCGATTCCTAATGGGTTTTTCTGGAACAAAAAAGTTTAAGAACATTTTCGAAAAACGAAACTACCAAATGAGACATGGGTAAACAGAAGAAAACCAAGGCGATGTGCCCAGAAAAGAGTTTCACGGGAACTGGAACTCTGATGAACGGTCGTAACTTCAGTGTGATCATTTGAAGTTCTTTTTCTGAAAAAATTTGGAACAAGTCTATTTCTCAGTAGAAAGATTATCGAAAAAAAAAACAGATCTTTTGGAACGAAAATAAATGAGAACTTTTTTCTCACCCCACGAATGTTAAAACCTCTGCTAAAAAAACACTTTTTTTTAGAAATTTTGTTCAGCTCGACATTTATGGAATAATGTATCAAAGTTCACATTACGACGACAATCTTTGTTGAAAAGGGATGAATTCTTCGATTTATTTTCTTTATTTTTCTTTTCACGTCTACTGAACACAAACGAACCCGCACAAATCGAACAAAACAAGGATGTTTTCCTTTCGACAATTAGCCGTGTCGAACAGTGGGTACATTGAAGCACCCAAAGTGCGATCATATCACCGAGATCTCCCAATAAAGTCAGGTCGACTCGATAGAATCTGAAGACTCTATTGTGGGAAAAGATTCTGAGGATCGCGAGACTTCTCGAAGAAAAGATTGGTGCCGACGTCGGCGGAGAAGAGCTCCTTCATCTCTTCGTCGACGCCGCGATGCACAGAAACCCTCTCTTTCCCTACTTCCAGCCCTTGTCTCACCGCGTCTTCCGTGAAGATCCGACGTACCTCAACATTTTCGATTTCATTCTTAACCTTTTTAGAAAACCACTCACCCCAAAAAGCGTGTTTCTACATTTTACAGTCATCTCGTTTTCTAACTGAAAAAAATAATAAATTTTCGTGGGAAAAATAAATCTCGGAAAAAAAGTACATTCAACTGATTTTGAACTTTCCACCGCCTAGAAACCTTTTATTTGAATTTTTTGTATGTTTAGAGATTTGAAAAATGGCTGTAATGACCCCGCGGTTGCTCCAAGTTAACCGAGTGAAATTTTGGAGCACCCGAAATGTAAAATTATGACCTTTTTGTCTTACGGGCCTACCCGCCGCAGCATGAGAATAATGAAAAAAAGGTCGTAAATTTATCTTTTTCCATTTTTTTTTCACTTATCCTAGTCCGTCTATCTAACAATAATAGCTGGAAGTAAAATACATTTATAAATTGGGAAAAAATTCACCCAAAAAACTTTAAAACAAAGTTACTTTATGAATCTATACATGAAAAGCCGAAAAACTTACTTGGCGTCGTATTTTCGACGACCGGCGGCACTTCAGCTTCCGCCTGTTTGTTTCGTTTCTAAAATTTTTCTCCCTCGGACTTAATTCTGATTTCGGACTGACCGGCGGCTTGTATAGAGGAGAAAGTTTAGCGAAATCTTCAAAACATTTCATAAATTAACTTTTTTTACAAAAAAATACAACTTTTATTTCTGCCCTGGGCAGCCGATGTAGAGGCGCCATTGGAAACCATCTACAAAATGAAAAATATCATCTCTCTTGAGAAAACGAACCTCCGATTCTGGCAATGGTGTTGCATGATTCCTCAAATCGTTGAGAGCTTTTAGCTGAAACAAGAAAAAACCAGTCAAAAAAGTTCTTAGAATTCTTTCAACCTGCTCTCCGTCTTTTTCTGTTATAGTACAAACTTTGGAAGTTATGAACTTATATTGATGCGCATTCAGGATATTTGGTTCCCACAAAACGGCGTGGCATCCGCTGGCGCCGATTCGGATTCCTATCGATCTGACGTCATTATGAGTCTTTGTCTAGAAACTGTCATATTGGAAGAATACAGGTGCAGCTGAAAACAAGGCCTCGATGAATTCTGATGATTTGTCCGGGAGCGATGCCTTCTAGATACGAATTCGAACTTCTGTCTGCGCGGACCTTCACGCTCGCCGTTTCGTCCTGCAAATCGCAATTCTATTATTGGAAAGTGAGCTTTTCTGCCGCACCCAAAAAACTTCCTTCTCCTTAATTTTTAAACAAAAAAAAGAATAAAACTCGTCTTTTCTAATATCGTTCCATTTTAATAAGTATAGGTAGGTACAACTGAATGAAGATAGCGAACCCGAATAGTGAAAGAGCAGCCCTGGTCGCGGAAGAACTCGACCTTCTCGACGAGTCCGTAAACGAACACGGTTCCATTATAAGGCAACTTATCGAGTTTCGTGTAATTGTACGGCGGCCCAACCATCTGAGCTCAAATTAGTGCCGAATAAAAAGCGTTTTTGAGAAAATTCCTGGGTAGAGTACCAGTCAGAACCCAGCAAACAACAGATTTTAAGAAAGACAATTTATTAAATCACAGATGAACCTAAGACTAAAATCCTTGCCATAAGAATCTAACTAATAACTTTTTTTTCCCTTCATGCGCGATAAGCAATAAAAATTCGAAAAAGCCAACTTTGATGTTGAAATCTCGATTTCGAAGAATAATTTCATGGATAGTTCGATTTAATCTTTGAAATGATTCAAAAATTGGTCTCAAACAATCTGTTTTGTACTAAAAAAAAAGCGCTAGGTGATCCAATCTTCATGTTTTTGATCCAAAACGACGCAAATTCAAACCAAACAGAATCTGAGTGATTCCTTCTCAAAGCGAATCTCTCCGGATGTTGATTTACCGTTGAAAAACGTTTTCCAGTTGCTTATTAGGTAATCACCAAGCACAAAGTAAAATGTTCTTTGACACCTAGACAAACTTATATTTCACTCGGAAGTTATAAAAACCATATCAAATTCAAATTTTTCGGGAAATAATGCTAAATTGTAACTTTTCTAAGTTTCAGCTCTGCAAAACTATCTAGAAGCGAAAAAAGTGGTGCAAGCGATGACGAAGGCGGCGGCGAAGAAGGCGGCGATGTGCTGAGCGGACTCCTTGCGCTCCTTGTCGCGCTTCTCGCGCATCAACTGCTCGAACGTCGGGATCGGGTACTTCTTCTGCAGCCGCTCCTGCTCCCTCTCAAACTCCCGCCGCAGTTCCTCCTGCTCTCGTTGCGCCGCTCGGCTGTCCTTGTACATCGAGCCCGTCTTCAAGCGAAACATGCTGATCTCGTTTGTTTCACGGATTCGAAACCTTTTCCGGATCTTCTTCATATTCGCTTTTGAAGATCTGCCGTTTTCCGCCGAGTTCCGAGTAAAACTCGTTCGGCATATCAAAGTGCGAATGATACTGAGGCCGACGTCTGAATGGAAAGATCATCAAGTTCAGTTGGTACGATTCATATTATTTGTAAGTCTCATTGACATCCGTAATTCTAATCCCCCTTTGCTATCGGTAAAGAAATCTAGGTTTCTGAAACTTTATTGAAAATCTGAAAGTTACTAAAGCTACCAAACTATTTTGTTTGTCTTCGCCTATAATAGAAAAAAATTTTTTTGGCATTTAAAAAACCATCAGATATTACTTTCAATTAAGAATAGATAATGGCAGATCTGTGTTTATGAACTTATCACGGCTAGAATATTTTCAAGTCTATTTTTTAAAGCTTTGGCCTTTTCGTTTTCCGCAATTTCAACTTCTTTTCCTGCAGTAAGAGGGCCTTTTACGCAATTTATTTTATGAAAAAGTGCTTGTTTTCAAAATTTTTTGACCTTCTAAAAAAAAGTCGAAACAGACTCAAAGGACTGATAATCCTTTGAATACTTTGAAGAGAGAATTTGATACCTGGTGTTTCTCTGAAACTGCTCAAAATTCTTGTAGTCGATGTCGACGTCCGTATACTGCTTGGTGGCTGAACGTCTCGGCATGGGCCGACCTTCATAAACACTGGAACTAACTCTCAATAATCATTTTGAGCCCTCAAAACTCACTCGGAGACGTTAGATGTCCTTATTCTTGTCATATCGTACAATTTTCTTTTTTCATCTGAACTCAGGACTTCATAAGCCATGGCGACCTGAAGCGATGCTGCATTTAATCTATCAAGAATTAGGTATTTGAATTAAGAGATTTATGAGTATTTACTAAAAATCAACAGAGCATTAATAAAAAAAATTAAAGAATGGAAAAAAAATATCGGAGAGAACAATAATATCATAAATAGTACGCGAGAAACAAACAGTATCCCACAGGAGTGACTACGACATAGAAGGTGAGATTTGTGGTGTTAGGGTTGATGAATTTCGGGGACTGGTTCAACTGAAGATGAGGGTACGGTAGCGTCTCTGTCCTACCCTGTGCAGTGGTAATGGTTTCCTGCGGGAAGAGCGTCATAAGTGCGAATGCTTTACGGGTTTTCTGGCCCAGAATCTTTCGTGTCCAAGGAAGCCGTCACGAAGATGACAGCGGAGACGTTGGAATTGGTGTCGACGATGAATTCAGGAAATAGTACGAGTTCTACTGTTACGACTGGCATTGTGCTGGGAAAGAGTCTACTTCTTGTTAGTGTTGTTCAAAGCGAATTTTTTATATAGCAGTCGTTCTTCTCGCGTTGCTGAGAGTGTTTGGTACATTCTGGTGGCGACGCTCTTACTCGCGGCTTCTGAATATAGTGCGAGATCCTGATTAAACGATTCGTGCGCAGATAGCTCCATCAGCTCCAGAATGACGACTTTGTCTCTGTTATTCTTGGGGGAGTGGTTTTGGTCGAATTTGATTGTAAGGTGCATGTGATGTTGGGATGGTGATAGTATAAACGGTTGATTGCAATGAGTGATTATTATTTAATATGGTTCTACAAGAAAAGCAGAAGAGATCGGATAGACAAATTTTGAAAATTAGGGGTTTTGTGAATTCACGATACATTTTTTGAGTAGTGCTATGTCAAACACAGCCCATCGACCACTCGTCTCCAAGAAAAATTTGATTAACTGTTCTATTGAGTAGTAAATATTATTATATTACGAGTGTGAGTCCTCTACAATAAGATGCACTCAGAATATCTAGATGAGACCTTTTTCACATTCCTAGCTAGAAAAGGCGTAACTCAACCAGAAACAAGCTCTTTGAGCAAAATAAGCGTAAATAGCTTTCAAAAACAAACTTTTTCTCTCAAAGATTTATCCAAAACGTTGATGGATACAAACAAATGATAACTTCCTTCAAACCTGGTGAAATAGCCTCGAAGCTTCTTCCTTATTGTCGGGATTCGTGTCGGGATGGTGTTTTTTCGACAGCTTGTAGTACGCGCCTTTGATCTCCTAGAAATAAAGTATAAAGTTCTCGGATGAATCTTTCCCTCTGAAAACCTTTGCAGAGGCCCCCGGCCTCAGTCCAAGAACTTGGTAGTGATCCTGACTACTGGAACACGACGCAGAAGACGTGTGCAAAATCCGGCGTCCGCCTAGCGCGAACGCCTGTCGTATTAACATCTGCCGACGAAAAATGAATAAAATCGAAACAAAAAATCCGAGAAGGTATAATCAGCAGGAAAGATCCAGAATCGACACCAAATGAACGCGGAGCAGAATACATGCATTTATAAAAATAGTCTCGAGTATTATGAAAAATATGTGAATATTATGCTACAATAACTGGATTAAGATTTGAGATACACATCCATACAGTCGCCCTCCTCAATGTCAAGGCCTCCTACGGTTTCTTCGTCTTCGAGTTCCTCGTTGTCGAAGATCAGCCGCATATCCGTCCCTTCGACTTCTAACTCTTCGGCCAAAGCCTCACGAATTTCTCCCACGCTGTCTTTCTTCAATTCTCAGGATTATACAAAGATTTGGTTATTGAGAGACCTTATCGAAACGCAATTCCAGCGGTTTCCTCCGATCAGCCAGCTGGAACTTGATCAAAACTCCGTCAGCAGCACCTTCTTGCGCGTCTTTTTCCTCTTGGCCAACTCTGAAGGCCGTCAGCTGGTAGAAAGACTGAAAAACAGAGGAAAAAAAAATTTCAGATAAAATTGAGATTCAGATTTCTCCGTGTACATAAAATTTCAATTTGAGATTAAAAAATGGCAAAAAAATTTGAGCTTTGAAAGAAAAACTTCTCTCTGACAAAGTTATTATATAAATAAAAAAAGAGCCAATCCAGAAAGTAATCCAAAACTTACATCGGGAGCCATTCCATAAGAACAAGGAGTTCTTTTGAAATCGAGTTCTTGTTGTTTTAACCGGATGCCGACCAGCCTGCCTTCGCACTCCCAACGACTGACGAGCATCTCGCGGACACTTTCGAACGTGTCGTTCTGAAAACAATGAACGTAATTGAACCGGAAAAACGGAGGGAACACACCACGTTGAGTTCGAAATTAACACATCCGCCTTCTTCTAAGTTCGAAATCATGAACGTAGCCGTTTCAAAAGCCTGGAAATCGGCATGAAGGAGCATAAAACACAGAGAAAAAGAAAACCCTCGACGGCGAGACTTCTTCGACTTCGATGTCTAATTGATCCATCGACGTATTCACTTTTGTCATAAGAGCTTCCCTGAAAAATCTAAATGGACAGAAAATCCCCCAAAAGCCTCGAGTTATCCGTAGCTACGTGTGAAACAAGCTTCATAACTATTTTTCACAAAAATTATTAACTTGCAGGGAAACTTAAAAGTCAAGACATCTATGAAGAGAGCGCAAAAAAATTTTTTTCCATGAAAGGATAAATTTTATTACGAATTTTTTTCCAAGAATTTCTCCTGTTTAGATAGATTGTGGCTCTTCGAAATATATCATATTATTGTATTACTATCACTAGTTATTTTTTTCAATGAATACATATAAACCTTTCCCGAAACATTCACTTTCAACTCAAACTCACTTGATGGCTTTTTGTGAGGCGTCCAAAGAAGGGGTCGGGTAAAAGTTTTGAGGAACGTCGCCCAAATGCACGTCCTCTGCATCGGGAATTTCTTCATCGATTTCTTCAAAATCAAAAAATCATATAATTCACTGAGAAATCCTACCTTGACAGGCTTTCTCGATCCGTTCATTTGTGTAATCCGTGAAAGTTTTTACATCTGATTTCTGAAAAAATTATTGAAAAAATTCGTGAACATCTTTTGAAATTTCTGAAATTTATGTTACTTCTACCTACTGAGAAAAAGCCAACCTCATCGTCGTCTAGAATTGATATTTCCAACGGCGATTCCTCAATTCTTGGACGCTTCCTTTCATTTTCTGCAAAAATCTCATTTCAGGTTTCCCAAAAAAGGAAGGACCTACCTGCTAGTGAATCTCGGGGTCTCGAGTGCATCAGAGCATACTCGGCCTTGAGTTTTTTGTGCTCGGCGGCCTTTTTTGAAGTAAAATTCGTGTACATATCACAGTCGCTATCACTATCGCTATCAGACATCTCTGAAAACAATTTCTGAAAGGTGTCTTCGAGGATTATAGATCAGAAAGGAGGATTTGAACCGTTAACAGAACAATTTGCAATAAGGTTATAATAATACAGAAAATTTATCGAGTGAAAAGTTGATTACAATGAAAATATGCAATAAACTTATGATTTATACTGATTATATCACAAGACGAGGGAATCAAGGCGAGATCTTCTGAGAAATGAGAGTTTCACGTAAGTTTTCAAAGTCAATAGGGTACTTTTCATCACAGGAAACGTCGAGTAATCGGTGGAACCTACAAAGAAAAAATTATTTGGAAGAACGGAAATGGTAGGAACCTCCGCCGATTTCTTTTTTGTCTTCTTCCCTCAAAATGATCGATGAAGCTCAAGAAAGGCAAAACGTCCATACTGATGCCGGCTTTGGAGAATCGTCCATTCAGGCATCTCCACGCGTTTTGCAGTGTTTTTGTTATTTGAGGGTCCTTAAAAGTGATCATTTATAAGTTTTTGAACTTTATTCTATTTTTCTCTCGTTTCATTATTACGGTTTTATGGAAATAAAGTAGAAAAACTCATTAATTGTTTTAAAACATCAAATTATTCAAATTGGTAATTTTCGGAGCAATACCAGCCTCCCGCTTTTGAAAAAGTAAACATAAAGTTCTGTATAAAAAAAGTTTAAGAACGATGAAACATGATTCAAAAGAAGTACGAACTAATTTCGAATTAGAAATAATAAGTGAACTTTCGATTCGAAACTAACAGTTGAACTGGGCGCAGAAGCCGAAGGAAGGACTGAAACGGGAACAGTTCGATTCCATCTTTTCGACTTCAAATCTTCTTCGGCCCATTTCTGGTCCCATCCACTGGAAATTCCCTCACGATTCGGCAATTCCAGAGGAAGCTTCAAGAAGAAGAATAGTATATTGGTATATAATGGAAGAAACTAACATCTTTTCGAAGAGAAAAGAAAGAAATAAGGTGCAAAAGAGCACGGAGATCGTGAGAAACAGACTTGGAAAACGCGATCATTTTGCTGTCTTCAATCTTTGTCCCAAGAATACTCTCCGAGGCAATCTGGAATAAGCATTTAGTTGAAGAGATAGACGAAGAACATGCCTGACAATACTTCTGAAGTCGAGCTGGAGATGTATTCATGTTTATAACCAAAGGTTCAGTCAACAAATGAGTTTCTCCAGTCTGTTTCGGCCAATTTCTTTCGCAAGTCCAAATCACCGGGATCTTAAATCAGGAAATGACTCGGGTTGATAAAAAGGAAGAGCTTTAGATAAAATTGAGGTATTCCTGACAAAAGTGATCATTAGAGTGAAAACTAAAAATTTCTAATTTGATCTAAAAATGTCTGAAAGTGTTTCATACTCGATACAAGTTCTAGAAAGTTATAAAAGCACATAACATGAGAAAATTTTACTAAAATGATACCTTGGCTTGATTAGTGGCGTCGATCAGAGCAGCGACAGCCCCGTAGTCAGCCTTGTCGAAAAATATATCTACCTGAAGATAATTTTGATCTTAAAAAAGCAATGGAATATGAACCAACATGTTCAACAACGACAAGAGTTTGCTTGTTGTTGACTTTTTTCTCAGAAACTGGCGAGAAAAAGGAAGCCGCCGGAGTTACCTACGAAGATCAAAAAGTGATAATTTCAAAATGAAAAAGAAACCCTATGGGAAACGACGGCGTTGTGCATCTTCATCCTTATGCTGTTCCCATTTCTACAATCGTCTGGACTCAACTCGACGATCTTCATGTTCATCTCCGTCGCCAAGGCTTTCACCTAACAATTTGATCGATAGAACCCTTTGTTTTTCCAAGTTTATACAAAAAAAAAACTGACAGAAAACCACTAAATTCTTCTCGTGCTTCTTTATTGATATTTTATCAAATTTTTACTTATTTTAACGCCCATTCCTGTTTTTTTCTCTTCAAGAAATAGCGACGAAAAAAAAAAATTAAATTCAACATAACTAAAAACATTCGGTACACTCAGAGGACGGCGGAAATCAACAAAATATTTTTTAATAAAATCAAAAAAACAGAAAAGAGGTTATGAGAAAAAGTCTTACAAAAATAAAACTATAAGCTGCTTTTTCAATCCCGTGAACTTTTCTTACTCTTAAAGTTTGACTCAAACCTCCTCAACTTCTGGCGAATCCTCTTCTAAATTCGAACTTTTTTCTATCTGATCATCAAATCTTCTTAATTAAATTTGATGTGAAGCCCGAAAATTGCGGAAATTATAACGTTGACAAGAAATATGTTCTCTTGACAAACTTTTGAGTTAATTGGAAGACAAAAAACCGACCAGAGCCGTTTTGCCGACGCCCGCTTCGCCATGGATTATCAACGGATTCTGGAAAGTTTTCTCGTCTTCCATGTCGTAGTCGTCGTCGCTGTCCTCACACTTCTTCTTCTTCTTATTTTTCGAAGTCTTCGCTTCTCGGTCTGGAATCATCCCAATATTTCAAGACAGCGAAAATGGATTGACCTTGTCTGGCAACACGACTTTTCCAGCCCCGCAGCCAACTCAGAATCTCATCGTTTCTGCTAGAAAAAAGGACTTCGTCGCATTTTTGAGGCTCCAAAGAGTCGCCGAGCCATTTGGAGAGATCCTCGAATTTCCTTCTGTCCAGATATCTTTTCCACGTTTCAACGTCTTCGGTCAAACTGCGAGAAAAAGTAAAATTGAAACTATTTCAGCTTCCAGCGAAAAAAAAAGCGGAGTGAACTCTCTCAAATGGTGTGAATGGATATAGGAAAAACTTCCAATGATTTAATTTACCTATCGGTTGATTTTCAAACTCTTAAACAACTTGAAAATTCGAAAACTCACCATTCAAGAGAAGACTCCGGAAACTTTCCCTCTCTATCAGATTCTTCGGGAACTTCAACCGGTTCCTCAAGAAGTTTGAACTCTATTAAAAGGTCATCCGTTATTTCGTAGGGAGGTCGAAAACAAAAAGAGTCCTGAAAAAGGCTCTAAATAAAAGAAGAACCGTTGTGTTTCACTTCATCTTTCATCGAGACGTCTGAAGATTGAGTGTTTGACAAACTGCAGCTCTGGAAGTCGAGAGGGACCGAGGAAAAACTCCCCGGATCTTCTTCCACCGAAGAAGACTGCGAAAAATGCCCTTTAAACCAAGAAAAATCTCGAAAACCTGTTTAGAATCGTCTGACAATGGACAGCATGCTTGATGAAAGTCCTGCAAAAAAGATAAAAATATATTTTCAAGTTTGGGATTAACATTATCAGGTTCTTCTTTGACAGTTACTGGCAATTCGGGTTTCTTTTCAGAAACCTCCGCCTTTTCCAGACTTCTTCGGAAAATCGGAGCAAAGACTTGACTTCTCCTAGTCATTCTTCTCGGAGGAGCAGCTGTTTTCTGAGAAAGTAAGGAAAGTTTGACAAATTTCGGAGTTGGAGGAAACCTCAACAGCCTTCGGCGAAACGATAACGATTGAACGGCGACGGGTGTTCTTCGGTTTCGGGACCTCCGGTTTATTTTCCACTACTTTCTCGGCAATCTTCTTCTTCAAAATACGACTATTCTCTCATATAAATGGGAAATCAACTTCGCTCTTAGCAGGTTCGACGGTAGGACTTTTCAGTGGATTCGGGCTGGTGGGCGTCTAAAAGCGACACGGATGTTTGATTTCAACACAATCCCTACCAGAATCGATTTCCTGCGACGTCTTTTCACATTCGATTTGGCTGTACCTTTGCTTTCTTCTTCATCATCGTCTCCGAAAATCATACTTGCACTCAAAAACGGATTTTCGTTACCGACTGAGTGGAAAAAATTACTCACTTAAACTCAACTACTGGATGCAATTCTTCGTTCTCAATTTCCTTCGCTCTCAGTGACTCTAACTGAAAATAGAAACAATGAAAAATTCTTGATTTAAAGTTGAGAAACTTTTTCTTTCGACGTCGGAGTAAGATTTAGAGGAACGCTGCTTAAAGTCTTTTTCGCCGCCCTTTTTTTCCTTTTTTCGCCAGCTTCTTCGATTTCTTCTTCGTCAGAAGATGGCATACTCAGCTTTTCAGGGTTCTGTTAGAAAAATTTAAATATGTGGGATTGGTTTTAAAATTCCCAACTTTTATTTGAAATGATAGAAAACCATGGTTGAATGTTTTAACGGGATCAATTATATCAACATATAACTGTTGACTTTCTTTTTTTTCCAGTAACTTAGCCAAGCTTCTTTCAAACTATGTTGTCAGAGTTCTACAAACTGAGAAAGCCAGAATAATTTCTGATTGGATTTTCAAGCAAAAGACCAAAACTCACATAACCAGGACGAGGAGTTATGACACGAATCGAACAAAACTTATTGAAAGAGATATTCTTTCTTTTGATCGGAGTTTTCGAGTGAGAACGCGTCCGACGCTTGTACTTTTTCGATATCTTCAACGACATAAAATTTTTTTTAGAAAAATCGGGAAAATCACTTTCAATGCAGCTCTTTTAGCGAAACGATGGGACTCTGCTCGGATGATGGATTTCAGATCATGTGGCACATCTCCAACGTCGAGCTGTGAATTGAAAAAAAAATAAAACAGAAAGAAAGAGGGCAAAAACTCAGAAAAAAAACCCCAGATAAAATGCAGGTCAGGAGATACCCGGTATTAAACCCTTCCTTTCTATCTTTAAGTGTCTTTTTTAAATGAAAATAACTTATAAAAAAGAGTAGAATATTTGAAACCCACCAGATAGCACTCCATTCCTCCCCTAAATCTTGTCCTCGCCGCCGCGGCAGCCATTCTCCGGGGCCTCACGGCTTGCACTGGAGACCCCGTCACAGTTACAGATTCTCCGTCTTGGCCCAACAAACTTCGAAACAAGCCGATCGACGCACCGGAACGTCTTTTTCTGAAGTTTCAAAGTCAAAATAATCTCGCTGGCAGAAATTTACAAACTTTTTGTCCTCGGGAGCTGGTTTTTGCTCCGCTTCGGATTGTTCAATCAACAAATTCTCATTATTTTCCTCAGAAGTTGTTGGCCCCGATGAATCGCCCATGGTGACATCTTGAAGAAAAAGTTAAGACTATACGAACTTCTGAAAGTATAACCGTTGATATCAATCTTACAGCTTTTCGATGGGCTTGTGTGCCAGGATTCAGACCCTTCTCCCAAGTTTTCTCCGGACGCACTCGGCTTCATACCCTAAAAAAATCGCAATCATTTTACGAGAAAAGAAAAAAAAACAGATAAAAAGAATGTGAGAGGAGAATTGAAAACTAAATGCCACTCCCTTGAACTAACGGTTTCTAAAATTTCAAGAAAAAACCACCAATTAGAAGTCAACACTGTAGAAATAAAAATTCTTACACAAAAATTAATTATATGGAAAAATGTATGTAATTAGAACTGACTATGACTGTTAAGAGCAAAAAAAGTGAATAAATAAAAAAATAAAATGAAGAACAAATTCACGCCTTCGTTCTGAATTTTCCCGGCTTTTCCGCTGCAAGAATGCTCCAGCGTACAAACCAGTGACCATTCAAGGGGTGAACTATAATTTTTCGTTTTCTTTTTATTTTTTTAATTAAAAATTAAATTTATATTTTGTAAAAAAACTTTTTAACGACGTTGAGTGAAAAATATCACTCACTTAAAAAGAATGCTTCGAAATAGAAATAGAAATGAACTTTTCAGTTGTTCGAATTCCTAACGCGAAAAAAATCGATTCCGAGTAATTTTTATACTCGTTGTATCAGTAATATTCCTTTCTTTGGTTGCTTTATCACTATAAAACCGAAGAAAAAAGTAATGCATTTTCTTTAATTTTCAAAATTTCCTCTGAATCCGTTTGACAATAATTGTTATGCTTTTTTTTCGCCACGTTTTTTTTTCGTCGCTGGCGTCACGAACTCCTTGGCCATGCAAGTCAATTCAAAAATTCTTTCGCAATTCTAATTGAAATATCATGTCCTATAATGAATGATAAAACTTCTTGCCTTTTTTTTTGACGGCTTCCTTTGAGTGATGCGGTGTTTAGGTAGTTGACCTAATTCAATCTCACCAACGTTTTTTTTTATTTTTCGCAATTTCTTTTCCATTTTTCAGGATCTTCTGAGGTCTTCTTAAACTTGCTGGTGGTCAATCCTATGTTCTGCGTTCAACTGTTCTAGAGAATATCTAATAAAATTAGCTGTAAATCAACATTTTCGTTTTCAAAACGTGTTAATTTATATTCGCTGTGGATTGAATAGCGATGGATGACACACATGGAGCGATAGTCTTACAAAATGTTGCGGTAGAACATGTAAGGTCAACAGGCTGAAAACTAATTGGAAGATTTCCAACAGGGCCGAGAACTGACAGAGGAAGAACAATGGCAACTCGAACATGCCAAACTCCACGAGAAACACAAAGGACACGATGCGATGCACATGGAGATGATGCTGATTCTGATCATGACACTCGTCGTGGGCCAAGTATTCTTGGTTCAGTGGAAAAGGCGTCATTTCAAGTCCTATCAGGTAGGGCTCTCTTTCTTCACAATGTGCAGCTTTCTTTCAAAGATGTGCACTTTGATTGGTATGTGGATAGTTCCGGTGTACGTCTGTCTGGTGAGGAGTTGGTACAGGTTTCTGATAACCTTGGCTGTGTACACGGTCATGTCATTCCTCGTTTGGCGGAAGTCCTCATCCAGCAGCATCAGCGGGGATACGCCTAGGTAGATTTATTCGCTCTCTCGAAAAATATCATAAACCTTCAGATTTGTGTACAAATGGTTTTTGTTTCTGCACAAAATGAGCTACGTCCTGGGAATCGCTGGATATATTGCGATGATGTTCTCTCTTATGGGCCTCAATTTAATATTTGGCATCAAACAAACAACTTCTATGGACTTTGGTTAGTTTTTTTTGAATACTTATGAGATTTTAATAGACGAAGATCATATTTGATTTCATATAAACCTGAAATATCCGTTTTCTTTTCCTGAAAGTTTTACCTATTTCCGCAATTCAAAAAAGAAAATTGAAAAAAAGTATGATTTAAGCCATTATAATTTCATGCTTGAAGAAAAAAGAAATGCTTTCAGGAATTCTTTTGCTTTTTTACGGATTGTATTACGGTGTTTTGGGAAGAGATTTCGCACATATTTGTACGGATCGCATGGCTTGTAAGATAGGGGTGAGAATTTTCCATGTTTGTTTCGTTTTATCGGAGCAATTTCAGTATTATACGGCTGAAGGACTGCCCAAAAAGCACCTGGATGAAAATGTGTGTGCGGTTTGTGATAACCAGTTGGAAGGAAAAGCCAAGAAGGTGGTCAGTGCAAATGATGAAGACAGCGGAGACGAAAAGACATACAAGTTAGTCTTCAGACTTACATCCAAGTCAAAAAATGTTCAGATTGACCTGCGGTCATACTTTCCACGAGTTTTGCATACGTGGTTGGGTTGTTGTGGGAAAACTTCAGACTTGTCCTTATTGCAAAGAAAAAGTCGACTTGCAGAAAATGTTCAAAAATCCGTCAGTTTCAGTCCTCACTGGAATGTTTTCAAACTTCACATTTCAGTTGGGAAAAGCCGCATTTATTTTACGGGAAGTTACTTGATTGGATACGGTACTTAGTCTGCTGGCAGCCTCTTATCATAACTTTTGTCCAAGGCCTTAACACTTGGCTCGGTTTGGAATGATTTAATCCGGTTAATAAATTATTTTCCTGCCATTCATTGTTTCTTTCGTGATTGGAAAAATGTCGTGTACATTGAAATATTGCTCATTTTCTTTTTCTGAAACCTTCTTATACTCTCAACTGTTCAGGTCGCTCTCAGGTTCGATTCGGAAGAAGTGATGACAGACCTATTAAAAAAGTTTGTTATTATTTGACTGGGACAAATTTACCGAAAGATTTAAGGAAGTATGGTCTGATAGTGAAGAAACCAAAGGATGCGGAAGCTGAAAAAAATTGAAGACCCAGTCGGCGGCGATTTTCAACGACGAAGATGAAGTAGAATCAAAGGTTGGCCGAATTTTTTTCGCTGAAAGATTTTGGTCGCAAAAAAAGCGGACAGTTTTTTTGAATTATAAATTAGAGAAATAACGGAGAACAGTTTCAAGAAAAAAATTATTCATTTTTAATTTTTTTAATATTCTCTTTTAATGGTTTTAAAGCATTTTTTTCGAAGTGAGTTCCAAAAAGTAGAAAAGAATTTAGAAAAAAACTCAAAAAAATTAAGACGTTTTTTTCAACAAAAATTCTATTTCCTATTACGGTTAATTTTATTAGTTTTGCACGAGATCCAGTGTTTTCTTCCAGCCGACGGAAGTAAATCCGGAGTCGGCGTCGCGAATTCGAGTCCAAAAGCAGGCGGAGCGGCTACATGAAAGAGCTTTGGCCGAAGATCCGTCCATTTTCGATTACGACACCAATTACGATGAGATTCAAGCGGTGAAGAATGAAAAAGTAAGCAATTTTCGTCGTTTTGTGGGTCCGTGGTTAATCCAAGATTTCAATTATGTCATTTTTAGCAAGTTTTGCAAAAATGAAAAGGCTGTTTTTTTCTTCAACTTTAAAAATCTAACAATTATCGCTGTAATTGATTGAAATCAGCTTTTTAAAAGACGTTCAGTGAATATCTCAACGCAAAAAGAGATTTTTCCCTTAAAAAGACAAGAAAAATTCCAGAAAGAAGAGCAGAAAAAGGCGGACAAAAATCGCGAATCGAAATACGCGCTAGCCATCATAAAAGCACACAAAAGACGAGAAATCGAAACTCATAGCCGAGAAGAACGACAGCAACAGAAGGAAAGGCAGAAGGAAGGCGACATGTTCGCCGACAAGGAGGTTTTTACTTTTTCTTAGCAAAAATCTCACTTTTTCTGCTTTTTTTTCTGATAAGAAAGATTTCAGGTTTTTGTCACCGACGCATATCGGAAACAAATGGAAGAAGTGCAGAAGTTCCGTCTGGAAGAAGCTAGTGAAGCTCAGTTTAACGGTTTGACTTTCAAATTTCAAGTTCAAATATAAACCCACGATTTCTCTCCATTTTTTTGTCAGGCATTAGTTTGAAATTTAAAAGCTGTTATTTAAAAATTTATGGAAAAAAATGGGAGCTTCCCATGAAAAAAACTATTGCTGGAGGGATTGAAATTTTTTTCTCATTAGTCAGTGATCCATAGAAAAAGAAGAAAAAAAATGGATTAAAACAGTTTTCCTGAAATAAAAGTTATTGTATGGCTTTTGAATTTCAAATTTTTATGTTTCATTTTTTTCCCTCTATATGCACCTTCATACGAACAGATATCAGGATTTTAGTTTCCAAATATTTATTCTTTTCAGAAATGACGAGCGTTTCCAAACAAAAAATGTGGGAGATTGGAATGGGAAGGACGTTATTGAACGATATCGCGAGGTCTGGCGACTCTTCTATTGCTCAGAAGAAAAAGAAGGAACGCCACGCTAGGGAACGGTAAATAATTCAATTATAATGGAAGTAATTTTTTTGAAAACTTTTTTTAGATTGGAACATTCTCCTTCGCCGACGAGAGAAGGCAAAGAAGAAAAGGAGAAGCCAAAAAAGTCGATTTATTCGGACGAAGAAGAAGAAACGCCGGCAGAATCTTCGGCTCCCCAGAAGAACTTCGAGGGGGAACTGAAACCGGGATTGAACGTTGTTCGTTATTTTTCGAACATTTTTTTTTTTTTGGATTTTTCTTATCTTTTTTTGAACGTAAATTGAAGATAATTGAAATAGATAGGAGTGTTAAGAGTAAAAAAAAAGAATATCTCAAAAACAGCTATTCTTTCGAATGAAAAAAAAAGCAAAAAAATGATTTTACTATAAAATCGAAAGTCAACTAATTTTTTTGAGTAAACTTTATCTTTTTCAGAACAATATACATTGATTTGATTTTTTTGAAAAAGTTACCTGCATTTTCAGAAAAACAAAATAAGGAAATTACCCGCAGCAGAATAAATTACGATTTATTAAATTCAAAAATAAAAAAAGTTGTTTTTGCAGAGTTTTTCATATTCTATTTAGAGGTTTCCTATAGATTTTTCTCACGTTTTTGGAGTTGTAGGTGACAAAAAAAGCAGCGACGAGGGCGGAAAAACTGCGGGAAAGGAATTTCACGCCGACGCCGCCGGGAAGCGACGAAGAAGACGTCGCTCCGGATCCGTCCAGAAGACGTCGTTCATCAAGTTCGGAAAGAAAAAACGTCAAAGAAGAACCAGAAGGAGAAGAGGCGGAAGCAGCCGCGGCGGCTCGAACTTCTCGAAAAGTAGTAGAAATCGATTCCCCAGGAAAAATAATATTTTTTGCAGTTTTCCAACAAGGCTGCTCTACGGTCGAAAGTAGTAGACAAGGAGGAAAGATTGAGAGGTCTCAAAGAGATTCTGAAACAGAGGAATTCCGACGCCGACATCGAAATGTACAGGTGAGATTTTCCGCGTCTTTCATTTCAAATCGTGTGGATTGTTTCAGACAACGATATTTGGAGAGAAGGGATTCCGGATTTGTTGTTCCTCCCTTGTAAAAACAATTTTTGTTATTTTGTTTTTCAAATAAATTATTTGAATCAATTTCCTTCGAAACTTGTCCTATATTTCCACGAAGTCCTCATCTTCGCTCCTACTTTTGAAATTTTTAACAGTGTCATTATTTTAACAAACCTTCTTTTTGTCCAGAAAATGGATGCCGAGGCGACGGAAGGAAACACAGAGCCGAAGACGCCGCCAGAAGAACCCAGTGGCTCGGAGAAGAAGGAGGAAGACAATGCCAGGTACACTGATCGATTATTTCTCAGTAAGAAGGAGTATTTAAGATTCGAATGCAACATTTGTCTGGACACGGCCAAAGACGCCGTCGTTTCCTTGTGCGGCCATTTGTTCTGTTGGCCGTGTCTAGCTCAGTGGCTCGAAACCCGTCCCAACAGACAACTGTGCCCTGTCTGCAAATCGGCGATAAGCAAGGAAAAGGTACCAAAACTTATGAGTTAGAGCAGAAAACTCGAGACAGTGAAAACGTGAGATACGGTTTTGTCAAAGATTTTTCAAATTTCCCTTTCGTTGAGGAATTTTGGAAAATGCAAGCTTACAATCAACTTTTTCAGTCGTTTTTCGATTAACCTAAGATTGATCGGAAGCCGATTGAGACAAGTTTTGATATTTCTTTGAATTATTATCAATATAAGGTGCAAAAAAAGCTTTTTCTATTAATAAGAAAATATAAGGAGCTCAACATTTTCATCACTTAGTCCTTTTCTTAAATCTTCTTCACTTTTGCTGTGACAAATAGGACTTTGTTCAATTGAATATCAATAAAAAGGAGAATCGTTGAGGTGGTTCCAATTTATGGCCGTGGTGGAGAGACCAGCGACCCTCGCGAAAAGGTTCCTCCACGTCCGCAAGGTCAGAGATCCGAGGTCCCACCGGTTCGTTTCATTTTTCTCCAAGGTTTCAGAATTAACATTTCAGCCGTCATTCCCAGGATTCCAGTGGGGAGGCGCAGAAGGAAACGGCAATGTCCAGTTTTCTTTCGGCATCGGTGAGATAATCTTTCGAGAGAGGCTCTCCTTATGAAGTATCTACCTCAGGAATCTTCCCGCTGTCGTTCTTCGCCTCGTGGTTCCAGAATCCGATGGAACGTCGACCTGAAGCTCCTCCGGCCGGGTCTCGTCAGTCCCAAGAGGAGCAGTTTCTGTCCAACGTCTTCATGTACATCGGCCTCTTCTTCCTGCTCTGGCTCATCATTGTTTGAAATTCCCGTCACTCGCAGAACCTTTTCCTGTCATTCCTGTTCAATTCATCTACGATTCCATCATATTTTCTTTTCTCTGGGTCAGAACAAAAACATATATTTATAATGTAGATTCCTTTCGATGATTTCGAAACTAGCTTTTGGCTGTCAATTCGGTCGCCTTTCTTCCCTTTTCAGCTTCAAAGAACGTTGATTGATGTTCAACACCGGCGTATGGTCCCTGTTGTGATATGACCTCTCAGAAAGATGCTTAGCTTTTAATGTACATTACCCCGATTTATTGATAAACATTCTGGTATATTAATGTGGAATCTCGATATCACAGATTTTCTCTCTTTAAATTAGGTGTTTGCGACTATAACGTATATGATGAATGACAATAGGGCGACGGCGATGGCGGCGATGATGAGGGTGTTCCGAAGGTTGCAGTAGGATTCGCCGATTTCGTATTCGGCGATGCTGACGTCCAGTGGTGTCCTGATCGAGGCCATTTCTTCTTCGGTCAAGGCCCGTTCCCAGCCTTCGTCAACGTGTTCTGGAAATCCCTTTCATTCATGGACATTCGTTAGTGAACTGATCAACGTGCAAAAACTGTCTCAGTTAATTATTTTGGAAAATTTTTATTTTTCCTCATTGAAGAGGTAAGAAGAGGTTTTTTCTTTTCGAAAATTATGAATTTTTTTAAATATTATCTCAAGGATTTTAAAAATAAATTTCCATTATACCCATTACTTCAGCTTTTTTTATAGTACTATTCGAAGCTTTTCCTTAGCTAGCATCTTGCTCTACGAACCTATGCTCGTTTGAATGTCCATCATGTCCTCGAAGTTCTTCTGGGCGTCCTCGATGGTGTCGGCCTCGAAGAGGAAATCGGAGAGAAGGATCGCCGATTGGGTCGGCAAAACGGTTGTCGCCGGCCGCGGCAGCTGGTGAACTACACAAGGCGTCGGACATTCCTCCACGATTTCCATCGATTCGTACTGCAGTTCTGCAGGGAAACCGATGAATCAAAGATTTTTCGTGAGGTGAAACCTGCTCGAGAACAGAGATTTCTGATGAGGTGATGTTTCATCGCCTTCTTCGCTTCTCGTACAGTTGCTCGGACGGGAACCGACGCTCTGATCTGAAAATAACCAACAACTCGAAAAAATCCTCATTTATTCTATGAATATAGGTTGAACGCCTGCGCAAACTTTAGAAACCCGATAAGTCTAGGAATTTTTTTAATTTTTTTGATTATAGAAAATAACTCTTTTTTTCAAACTGACTTTTTTTTCTTACTGAGCAAGTTGCCTCGTTCGATTTTTTTCGAGTATCAAAACTTTGATTTTATTTAGAAAAAAATATAAAACCTACAAAAAACCTTTTTTTAATGAAAAATGACTATATAATTTGTTTTCTCGAAACAAAAACCGCGTCAATTTCAGAGAAGGAAAATAGTTTAAAAGGAAAAATAGAGTTACAAAATAATCTCTGGACTTTTTCGTACAAAGATCTTTTATTTTCTGACGAATTTCAACAACACCAAAAAAAAATCCAAGAGAGTAGCTCTTTAATTATTAATGCGAAGGCTAACCTCAATGTCGAAAAGGATTTCGTGGAGGTTGGTGGCTCGCTGTTCTTCTTGTTCATTCTGACGGTTGTCTGTAAATGTTCCAATCATTCAAGCGCCTCCAAAAATCAATACAAAGAGGATCCAAGAAGATTTGAGCCTCGACTGCATTCTTTTTCCGCTTTTTGATGTCTTTGAAAAGGGGCTCGCTGTCTTCGCGGAGCACGCCGTCCAGTATCACCTAAAAGAATATTTCCTTGAAATCTCCGCTTTCAGATATCTCACATATTGGCAAGTGAACAGATTCGTGGTGAAAGTTTTGCTGGCGGCGACGAAATCGTTGTAAAAATCGCTTCTGTTTTCTTTCCGTGGCGGCACGTTGAAAACTATTCTCGCCGAGGCGTTCGACACCAACGAGACCCATTCCAGCTGGAAACTATCTTATTGAAGGGAAATGAGGGTTTCGCGGGACCTTTTGGAAAGCGACTTTTGTGGAGACGTCAGGATTCTTTCCTACGGCGTCGATGACGAATCCGGACGGCTTCATGTCGGCGTTATCGACAAACACAGTCACCTATTAAGATTTTAATATACTTTTGGTCATCTGACGACCGCATCCACTACAAGCCTAGTGGTTAGGAAAAACTCCCTCAAAACTTCTCAAAAAGTCTTTTTTAAAGGCCAGAAAATCAATGTCCATTTAACTGTCACCCAAATCAAATATTTTTACACGAACTCTCGCCCTTTCAAGTTCCTTTGAATGAGGCACAACATTAATTTGAGATACTGTTCAGATCAAAGTTAGAAGTAGCTTTTTCATTGTTCTGTCAAATCTAAGAACTTATTCGAAATCTCGATCGAATTGGCGAATTTTCTATTTAAAAATTTAATAATTTATTCTTCTCGGTTTTTCAACTTCATGCTGAAACTTTTTTTCACACATCAGATCATTTTCAACAATTATGCTCTGAAAAAAGCAGCGCCGTATTTCTTTTTTTTTTCAAGTTTTTGCTTTGTTACAGATAATAACTTTTGAGAACATTCGAAAGATACCTCAATTTTTTTAATAATTTTTTTAAATAACTTTGTTCCAACGTCTGTAAATGCCATTAAACTGAATTTAAGACGGCGGAGATCTGAGTTAATCATCACTTTGGGAAGAAAAATTATGAAGATAAACGGACCATGGTATCGCCGAGGGACTCCTGGTTCATGGTCGTCAAGGCGTTCGACATCCGTTGGATTCGAACCAAAGCCCGCGTTATTACATTTTTGTGTTGGGTGAAGAAACTTTTGCTCGAAAACCAAGCGATACCTGAAGAATTCAGATCAGAATGGTGAAGAAGATAGAATTAACCTAGAACATTGATACCACCAGGAAGTATCCGAAGGACTCTTTCGGCGTTGTCGGCGATCCAAACGTCGTCTAGAGTTTTTGAATTTGAATCTGCTCCCTGAAATGAAACAAATGAGCTTTTCTCAGGGCATTTGGAAAATAGTGTGACATCGGGTGATGATGTATAAACTGAAATCTCTCTTGAAGAATTTTCCCACACAAACTATAGCAAATGTGTCTCGTTGAAAGTAAGATCAAAAATGTACGGCCATTATTCGATTTGGAATTTCAAAAAAATGTTTGGATTTTTCTTACTTTTTCTGTTCTTCTGATTCCGAATTTTTTTGAAAAAATGAGAAAAACAATTGAGAAAGGCTGAGTAATTAAAAAAATAAAAAAATTAATTTTTTTATGAACTTTTTTTATTACTTAGAACATATTGTTGAATAATGTCAAAAAAAGAAAGATCTCAAAATCTCAAAAAAACTCTCAAAGATCTTTACTGATTTTTCTTTGTGAAGATTTTTTTCTTACAAACCGATGCAGCTTATTGAAAAAAAAGATTGATACGAACCTCGGCAAGAGCACTGGCCGGAACTGGACACTTGGTGATGTGGGCGATGTGGTAGTCGCCGTCAGTGGAGAAGGAACCAAGAAGATAATAGGCAGAGGCAGGAATCCCCTTCTCCGTCTCCACGTAGTTGTGATTCTTGTGGCTTTTCGTCAGCCATGGCTCGAGCTGTTGATCGAAAACGATCATGTTCTCTGCAACATCGATCGCCCACATTTCGACGAGTGAAAAGCGGGTGCGTGTTAATGGACGACGAAGCCAGCGTTTGGGTGATTGTCTCCATGGAGACGCGCACAAAAGGTAAACCGCTGCTTTTTCTTTCCGAAGTTTCCCAAAAGCTGCTATATAGGCATCAACTTCTTTTCTCATAGCATCTTTGGAAAACCTTTAAAAAAAACTTTAATTCATTAAAACTATGCTACGAACCATTTTCCAACCGTAATTTCCCAAGCAAAGTTTTTGACTTCTAATTTAATAATTCTACGACAATCGCAAAGAAGTTCAACATCGAAATATTTTTCAAAAATCCGGAAAAATGATCGAAAATTCACTAATTTACCAAGAAAAACGGAGATCCTTCAAGAAAAAAGCTGCTAAAACTTTATTTCACGCTTCCGAAAATTTTTAAAGAGTTTTTTGTCACTAAAAACCTTTTCTAAAGTACGAAAAAGTGGAACCGACGCACATATTTTCCGATTTCAGCTGGAAAAGGCTAACATGGATGAAAATCGAAACTTTCATGTTCTCAGGCTTGCTTTTTTTACACCTGTCGGTGTTAATAAATTTCTATAGGCTATAGCGATTGGAACAGAAACTGAGAAAATGAATAAAGGTGAAATTGAAGAATTTTAAAAAAATAAAAAAATAAAAAAATAAATGTAGCAATAGGGCGCACTTTGGCCTTCGTGCAAAAAAGGTCAGTCTAGACTCTAGGATGGTACGACAAAATCTCAAGTCCGCAAATCTCGAGGACCGTAATCTTGTGTACGCAGATCTAAAGTCCCATAATCTTGGAAACCAAAAATCTTGGAGACCAAAAATCTTGGAAACCACAATCTTGGAAAGCAAAAAAATCTTCCTTTTTAGTCTTTTTTTATTGCACTTTATCTACTTATATTCTCTTGTTTGGATCACCGAATACAATTTCTGATAAAATCTATTCGCAAAAGCGTTGATTTTTGCTTTCCAAGATTGTGGTTTCCAAGATTTTGGTGTCCAAGATTTTGGTTTCCAAGATTATGGGACTTTAGATTTGCGTACACAAGATTACGGTCCTCGAGATTTGCGGACTTGAGATTTTGTCGTACCATCGACTCTAGACATGCTGTGCTTTTACAAAAAAACTTTTTTCCTGATAGATAATTATATAATCGTTTGAAACTGGAGATATGCAGAACAATCATGTAAACCTGTTATTAATTTGAAGTACTCCAAAAAAACTGAATAAACATAAAGGGCACAATTTCTATAACTTAAAATAATTTATTTATTCATGAGATATGTTTGGATAGTTCTGAATATTCCTGGCACACATTTAAAGTTACTCGTAAAATTGTTTGAAAAACTTTTGAACGCAATAGGGATGTTGGGCGTTGATGATGAAGAATCGATGATGAACTGTGGCGTAGGAGACGAGAAAGGCATACCGTCCGTCGTCAATTATTTGATTCATTATTGAAAGAAACTTTTCTTTCTTTGATTTATCCGCGTCGTGAATCTATACAGAGGGTAAGTTAATAAGAATAGAAAAGGTAGAAAACCTCGGTGTTGATCTGACAAACGACGATTCCGTGGCGGTCAAACTCGCCGTCTTTGCCCATCATCGGCAGAATGTTGTACTCGGCTCCTTCATTGTCCATTAGAAGCTAGAGAAAAATAAAAATAAAACGAATTAAAATGAGATAAAAAGTCTAAAAATAGAAAACCTGGTCAATTTTCGTTTCATTGACAAATTTTGTGAGGAATGTGATGATGTCGATATGCGGCATCGTCATGAGTTTGTATTTTCCTGTAAGAAGAATATTTACTTGCTTTAAACGCAAGTGATTCCTAACCTTTGTGCAGCACGTTCGCAGTTGAAACTGCAATCTCGTGTCCAACAGCAAATGGGAAATAAGTCCCAATTGGAGCGTAAAGATCAGAATTGCCTTCGAAGATCGGATCAGCGGAGAAGAACTTAGTTCCTTTTGGCAGAGTCTCCTTGAGCTTCGTCTCCGCCTTGACGTCGAGTCCGATGCCAAGAGTCACGACAACTCCGGGCGTCTGAATCCTTTTAATTTTCTTGATTGATAGAACTTCGAACTTTATCTCCATAAACGTGATACTTCATCTCGTCTTTGTTCTTTATTCCTGTCAACACGATATTGGAAAAGCTCGTCTTATTCTGACACTGATTCGTCGCAGATCTGACCCAATACCACATCTGAACTAAAGTTTAAGGACTTTGAGCTCGTCGTTTCAGACCTTTTCCGGGTCTTTTCTGCAGTCCTTTAACTTCTGAGAGAAACATTCTCGCCATTCTCGGAAACTGTCGCTGAACACGGGGAGTCTGCTGATTGGCATCTCTTGGAAACTCCGTGATTCCTCATTTTTTGAAGATGACCGCTAAAAGTAGAAAATAGCTTTTTAAAATTGCTTTCCGAGAAAAAGTTGGAACAATCTGATTTTTATAAACTGTCTCCTCTCAAAAAAAAAACCGAGGTTCTTCTGTTCGCTTTTTTTTCAGTTTCCCATGACCGTTAATGAAAGAAGCGCTGGCGGGTCACCGTTCAAATTCGTGGTCAAGGATTTTTTACCTGTTCTGATTTCAAAGTTGGGATGAAAATTACCTTGAAATTGAAAGGAACTGAAGTGAGAACTAGAAGAAGGAAGACGACGAAAAAGAAAAATAGGACTTGGCGAGCCAAAAAAGGAAGCGCCATGAACTTTGCAGCGAAGACTGTTCCAACCTTCCGGGGCCTCGTCAAACATTGCAACAATTGTTCAAACTTTGCAGTTTGGGCAGATTGTTCGAATCTCTGCACAAATCAAAGAGTCCCTCGCTCTTTCCGAATTCCATTCACCCTGGATTCGTCTTAATTGAGAAATATGCGCGGATTTAATTGAATAGCTTTGAGAAAATTGTCCATCTTCGACTGGGTAAAAAAAATGCTGAGAGTGCAGATAAAATTTCGAGTTGATGATCCATTTGAACATTTATGAGCATTTCAATCTATAAAAAAAACTTATCGAGGTTAAAATTTGCCTTCAAACAGTCCTTCAAGTTGTTTCTGAACGCAATGTTTTATATCAAGTTTCCTTGTCTATGACAATTTTTATTGTTTCTACGCAACTCTATTCGCAGAAAGCACTTGAAACTCGTTAATTCAAATCCAGAAGTGCCATCTGAGCAGCCGGGAAGGCAAAAAAGAGTCGAGAGCGCGGAACTTCGGTTGGCTGGTCAGCAATGGCCGAGTTAGACTGAGACTCGGCGTGTGGCCGTCGACTGGGGAAACGCAACGAGTGTGTTGGTGACAGCTTTAATTGGATAGCCCTTTAGGCTTTTATCTATTTTCGCGCTCTTCTGGATTTCACTCGCCCCGCCGCAGCTGCAACTTTCCAGGCCGGCCTCCTTCCAATCAGGCGTGCTCTTTGACTCGGCCAGATTTGATTTGCAGACGCCTCGAGGCACATCTTCTTGTTCGTCGTTCCCCATGTCAATCGTGTTTTTGTTCATTTTTCACCGTTTTCCGCCTGCTTTTCCAGCTTTTGGATGGAAGAAAACAAATTAGAAGCGGAGGGGAGGGATACGTTTGGAATCGGCAGCGCGCGTGAAGTACTGGCGGATGCGATTGGATTACTTGAAGGTGCGTCTCCGTCGCTCCTTGGTCCACTCGATGATCTTGCTGCTCGTCGCGGCCGTCGTCTCCGCCAAGGAACTCGCCCGCTGCGAGTATTCAGAAGAGCGCATCGTCAACGAATGTCTCCAGGTGAAGTTCAGCTTCTGAGCACTCGATTCTCCGAAAAACTTCAAAAAATAGTACAGATAGCAGCTTGAAAGTTCAAGAACGTGGAATGTTAACATAAATAAACGGCCAAGAAAGAAAAAAGATTTCTATGAATCTCACTTTTGAACCCAATCTTTGGTAGATCACGAAAATATTTCATCAAAAATTTTATTTCTTTTTTTCTTTATGAATTATCGAATAAAAATCAAAAAATTGCCGGCCAGAACAGAAACTATTCGAGTTTTGGAGGACGTGTTTTGCGTACCGCCAGTTTTTCCCATTTCTTTTTTTTTCGTTTAAATGCCCTTCACTCCAGGATTTTCAAATTGAGACAGAAAAGGTTCCAGAAAACCAAAATTCTAAAAATTGAAAGTTTGCTGGATTGTTTTGAAAAACTTTTTGAGAGGCAACACAATGTTTTTTTTGGAGTTTGTCTTTCTTTGGAGTTTTGCTTATTTAAAGCTTGTCGATCTTCTTTTACTCTGAAAACAAATTCTAAACTTTTTTTTTCCAATAAACTCTAAAATATTTTGATTCTTGTTTCCATATGGAAAAAAATGAAGTTAGAACTTGACGATTCTTGAGCGACCCGCAACGACGTTTAGAATAATTTTGTTTTCTAAACTCAATTTAGAAGAAGTGGACTACCGTGAAGTTTTGTTCTTGAGGCTTTTTCTCAGAAAAAATTCATTCATTTTTTTCTGGTTTATTTTTTTAAAAAAATGAATATTTCATGAAAAACTCTTAACAAATTATAATAGACCAAAAACATATTTTAATAATATAGAAACATTTATTGAACGCTTTCTATTCTTTTTGATTACATATAAGATGATAATATCCTCTTTTTATCACTAGTTTAAGTCATTATAATAAACTTTCAGCCGATGCTTCAGTACGCGACGAGACTTCAGTCCGAAGCAGGAGCCGTGCAGTTTCCGCTGCAAGGCGGACGCGTTTTCAACGAGCTTTGCACAATTTACACTGACTTCAAGGTAATTGCCTTTTCCGTTTCCTTGCAGTTTATATATGTAAGTGTTCAGAAGTGCGTGGAGCGCGTCCAATGCGATTCTTTGTCGATTGACGCCGTCGACGCCTCCTACGGCTACATGTGCGGCAGCGGACAGCATTTGTTCCAGCAACACGCTTCCTGCTTCGCTCAGGTTTTTTCTCCTTCCAAAAGTTTTTTTTGGCGCGTTCAGCTTCCTCTTTCTCAACTTATTTATGCATAACCTGCAGGTCGAATCCGAAGTTTCCTACATAAGTTGCAAGACCGCGGCAACACAAGCAATTTCAGAAGCTCAAAAATCAAAGGTGCGAGTTTTTGAATCAAATTTTCCAAGTATCAAATGCCATTTGCAGGCAAAATCAACAGAATTATACCTTTCGGAGATGTGCCGAGCAATGGACGGCTATCTGAGATGCTCCCATCCGATTATAGTTTCGAAATGTGGTACTAGTGCTTGGGACCTTGTTTCAACGGCAAGTCCTATCTTATGAGTTCAAAACCAGTGCAAAGTTCAGGTCACGAGAGACAGCCTCGGTGTGACAATGCCCGACTGCGACATGCATGCCGTTCTTTTCTAACCCCAAAAATTACGAGTTCAAACCTTCCTGAAAATAAAGACTTTTCAATTGCTTCCAAATTATATTTGATTAAATACAAATAAGAAGAATAAGAGACTAATGTAGCGAAAAAGAAGAAAATTATCATTCGTCCCACACATAAACAAATTCACAAAAACAGAAACGAAAAACGTCAAAGATTGCGCTCAAAATCTTTAAAGTTTTAGAAAACAATGATGGTAAGGCACACAATTTAAACAAGATGCAGGGCCGAGAGACTCGACGACTTTACGACAAAGACTTTCCGCGATTCTCCACAAATGTTTCGTTTGTCGCGTCTCCTCTCTTCTAGTGCTTATCACGCTCTTTTTTTTTTGAGACGCCTCTAATCCTCACATCGTTCTTAGTACGAAAAAAATCGAGTCGAAAAATAGTTCAGTTTTTCGACCAATGATTTTTTTCAAAAATGTTTTCCGCTAGATTCAAAATTTTTCCGCTTAAAAAAATAAATTTTCAAATAAATTTACATCATTCAATGAAGTAACCTAACAAGGATAACCTTGACTAAAGCGCATCATAGAAAACAGTGGTATGATATTCATAAATACTTTTCATTAAAATAAAGACCAAAAAACGAAAAAAAAATGTGAAAAAAGAAAAAAGTAAATTCGATTTGAAGAGAACTTGGTAAAGTCGCTCTCTGATAAACCCTCAAGCGGCGCAGCGAATGACTCCTTCAGTGTTTTTATTATGTTTTTGTTTTTTAGTCTTTTTTTCTTATTCCATTTAGTTTCTCATGCACTTTTTATTTGCGAGAAAAAAACATGATCATCAGTACATATTTGAAGTGGCAATTATATCACGAGGGCTTTTCGCACTTTTCTTCATCGATTCTTTGTAATACATGCTTCTTAAACAGTCGTTTTTCTTGCTGAATTTTTCATTTTAGATGCATTTCACGAGACGGCTGCTCGGGCCGTTTGTGGGGACTTTGTCTAAAAAGCTTGATTACTATAGGTAAATTCAGAAGACCTCCCACTGAACTGTATATTTTTAGCCAGTTCCAACCGTCTTCACTCAGTATTCAGCAGTACTTGGATTTTGGAAGGATAGGTACAGCAGCCACTTCATACAGTTTTCTGAAAAATGAGCTTCTTGTTAGGCTAGCTAACATTATGCAGGTAAACTTTTCATATAATAACTCATTTGACCTCTCTTAATATCAGGAGTTTACGCTTTTGCCGCCGAAGCTTCTACAGATGCCTAGCTCGAAAATGGTGTCCAACTGGTATGCGGAGAGTTTCGAGGACCTATTGCAGTTTGAAAGCTCCTCAGACACGGCGGAAAGTGTGGCAAAGTTAGTAATTCCTTAGAAAAGTGTTTCCAAATTGATTTACAGGTTTAACGACCAGTTATCGATCATCTTGAAACGACACGCGCACGTCGTGGAAACAATGGCCGAGGGGCTTATCGAGCTGAGGGAAAGCGACGGCGTCGACATCGCCAGTGAAAAAGGTTTTTGATGAAAGTAATGTGTTTTGAAAATTTTTTTTAAAGGTATTCAATACTTCTTGGACAGATTTTACATCAACCGCATCTCCATTAGAATGCTGCAAAACCAACACTTGGTATGTTTCTCCGAAGCGTAAAAATCATTGTGGAAGGTCGTATTCGGCAATGTTTTACCCGAAAGTCCTCGCCATGTCGGCTGCATCGACCCGGCGTGCAACGTCGAGAGTGTCGTATATGATGCTTTTGAGAACGCCAGGTCTTCCTTTGCTTTTTCTCGTTCCAAGGTGCAAATCCAAGGATTTCAGATTTCTCTGTGACCGTTATTATCTCACGAGTCCGTCGATGAAGTTGGAAATGCACAACGCCGTCGAAAAAGGCAAACCGATTTCCGTGGTCGCCGTCCCCAGTCATCTTTATCACATCATGTTCGAGCTTCTCAAGGTTTTTTTTAAAAATTAATTAGTTTAATGCAGTTGGCAGCGATGTTATTAAGATTAATTAACTTTGAATATCGTCATCAATATTTTAAATTGTGATACTTTAGCAAGTTATCACGTTATCAAAGCTTTTTGAGTTCTATTCTAATTCATATTTTAATTAATTAGCTCCTTTTTGAAAATTTTCTTGGTCTTCGACTTTTATTTTGCATGCGTTCAGCTTTGAAAATTTACGAAAAGGCAGCAAAGTTTTCTCAAAGATACACTAAGAATGAATTTCGAAAAAATTAGTCTTCGTTTTTTAATGATTTGATCAAATACAAATTTTTCGTAGATGTTCGATTATATTGGGAATGAGGCCATTAAAATTCTTCCCGTTGATGAAAGCACGTATTGCCGAAAAATATTTTAATCTTGCTGTGAGAAATACGTTCTTTCGAGAAAAACAAGAAAAGACGGAAGATTATCAATATTTTGTTCTTTTTTGAAACTCAGTTCGATAACTTTTAAGAATGCGATGCGGGCCACAGTAGAGTTCCACGGGGTCGACGACGATCTTCCAGAAATCAAAGTTTTCGTCGTGAAAGGCAACGAAGATCTTTCGATTAAGGTCCATTTTTCAGAATTGCCGATCTCAACATGATTTTGCAGATTTGCGATCGAGGAGGGGGCGTTTCCAGAACGATTCTCGAACGTCTCTACAATTACATGTACTCGACGGCTCCGCCACCGCCCAGAGATGGGACTCAAGCACCGCTGGTTAGTTTTTTTCATGATGTGAAATCTTGTGAACTCGCTCTTCTACTCAGAAGACAGAGCGAAGCTAAAATGAACAGATTAAACTGAAGAAAGGATGCAGGCTTTGTAGAATTTATGAAGCATCAGACTAAAGGTAAAATATTTGGGAGGCCCGTTAGAAATTAGCGGTAGTATTGGAGTTCATTTCAATGTAGAACATGGTAAAAATAGATAGATAGAAAAAATAAGAATTATCACCAATGTTTATTCATGAATGATCTCTTGAAGTCATAACTTGATTAGTCTTTGAGATTACAGAGAGATCCAACATTGAAAGTCATAAATTGAAAAATACGAATCGGTAAACGCTCATTTTTAACCGACAAACCTGAGAATATTAAGTTTGGTTTGAAAATTTCAGTTCCTAGATAACCTCGAAACAACTTTTTCACCTATCAAAACCCGATTTTTTAAGATTACCCTTCAATGATTTTTTAATAGTTTTCCTGGAAATTTTTGATTTTTTCTACGATCCGAACAGAAAGTCAAGCGAAAAAAATATTTGCTGATCTTTTGTGAGCTCACCAAGAATCTCAATTATCTTCATCCTAAAGAAATTTCAGAATAATTTTTGCTGGAGATTTTATCGCTTTTTAAAATTCGTTAATATATTATCTACTCAAAATATTGATTTTCAGATGTTTTTCAAAGGAAACCTGAGAAAGAATGCGATTGATAGTTTTTTTCATGAATTGGTTGGAAATAAAAATTTGAATCTTTGGTTTTCTAGCAAAAAAATGTTTTTTTCTTGATGAGAATTTTTCAGGCTGGATACGGCTACGGTCTTCCACTTTCTCGACTTTATGCGCGTTATTTCTTGGGTGATCTTTTTCTGGTTTCAATGGAAGGACATGGAACTGATGCGTGCATTTACTTGAAGGTTTGTTGGTTTTTTTTATAATTGGGTGTCTTTGAAAAAAATGGTGTTGTGTATTTCTAGAATTATTTTTGAAACTTCTACCTTTTTTTTCAATTTGAAGACTTTTCCTTAGAAAGTTGATCGGAAAAATTTTTTCTTTTTCTCCTTCTATTCTTTTTTCATCAATCAAGTGTTAATAAGACTTTGAAAGTAGCCCATTCGCCATTACTGCTTTTAATTTTTATAAATTTTCCTTGGAGCATGATTTTTCCGAAAAGAATTCAATTTTTGCGCTTGCATCACATGATAATTAAAATAAATAAAACTTTTGTTTCAATAGTTTTCGAGAATTTCATCTTTAAATATCTTTTAATCTTGTTGGTATATAGTTTTTCTCAGGCGGTACCGGTCGAAGCGAGTGAAGTTCTTCCCATCTACAGTACTTCTTCGCGGCGAAACCTGACAATGGGTCCGCAGGTCGCAGATTGGTCCCATCACGTTCCTGGACAAGGAAATCGACCAGCACAATAGTTCCAGTCATTCCATCCCGAATTTTTGACTATTCGCCTAATTTAATGGTAATTTGTGCTTGGCATCTGTTTTCCGATTGTGTGATTTAATTTATTTTCCGAAATTAACTCTCTTTAAATTTACCTTTATATTTTTTCTCACTTTTTCGAATGCGAAGTAGCTTATAGGAAACGTTTACTTCATGATATATTAGTGAAAAACCTTTTTTTCCACTAAAAGAACTGCTTCTGAAGCTGATTCTTTCTTCTCGAGATTCAAGAGTGTTCTTGAGGTCTCTTGGGAATGCTCCAATTTTTGAATCTCCCCTTCTTTCAGTGCATTGTCATTCGAGACTTTAATGCCTGTTTGCACATGTTTTTTTTGCATTTTTTTTTCTAATTGCTGAATCAGTTTCATGTCCGTTTTTTTTGTATTTAGCGGGTCTTGTTGTAGTTTCTCGCTTCTTTGAAATTGTACTATTTGAATGTATATATATGGAAAATTAAATTATTATAGAGAGAAGGGAAACGAGCTGGGACGGCGTACATTTCCATTTATGTTTAGGGTATTTTTGACGATAAAATTTTATGTCCTTGCTTGTGTTATTCGAAGAATACTGCTGGAAAATAACGGATCGATGGTGTCCGGGCGACATCTTCTCGCTTATCCGAAGTTTGAGAGAAAAAGCTTGGTGTGGAACCGGTAGAAGCTTGTGGGAGATATATGCCAAACTCTTCCGTTTCTGCTCACTTTTTCCTATCGATCAGCTTTTTGTTTGTCTCGACGGAGCGCGAATCCTTTGAGGATTTTCCAAAACCGAAAAAAAAACAATGGGAAACCGAGGAATTCAAAAAATGGAGCGGCGCCAGCCCTTCCCACAATCCCACGCAGTTTATTTTGTTGTTGATTGTTTTTCCGTGCCTCCGTTGCTTTTGAGGTGTTTGTTTTCATTTCTCACCTTTTTTTATCTGTTGCAATGTTTGGCATCTTCGTCACGCACTTTATTCTTTTGTTTCGTTCGATGTTCAAAGTTTCTTACTCTCAAATTTCTTTTTGAAAGTGTTTCTAATGGAACTTATCTTCGAGGTTTCAAAAACGCAATCAAACTTGAAAGTATTCAATTCAGAAATTTCCTACTGAAATTAACGGTCTTTCTTGATTTGTCCAGGCTGAAGCCATTTTTTTGCTCATCGACACCAAAAAAATGACATTTTAAGTTTTTTGAGGTTATATATATCTAGAAGATCGAAGTTTTTTTCATCTCGTGAGATCAAAGCTTCCAAATTTCACTTTTTTTATTTTGAAAATATATTTGAATAAACTATTCAATTTTTTTCAAAAATTAGAATTTAAATACCTCGAAAAAAAGTTTTTCTGGTTTTTTTCATGCTGATTTTTTTAAGTTCATGACGAAACGTACTCTTGCAACTATTTAAAAATTTGCAAAAGAGTGCCCTTTTTGTTTTTTTTTACCCTCACTTGTGACCATAGAAAATCTTCGCTCGGCCTTGTCGCTTCGGAACATCGCTCAAAACTGCGCAAATCGGGCAAATCTAACCAAATCCCACGCGTCAACAGAACGGCGACAATGAACTTGTTAGCTGAGAAGCTTTCCTAATTTATATACCGCTCATGTTTTTCGTTTGGGTTCTTTGTGAACACATTCATTTTTTCGCTATTCGTAGCGTTTCCCATAATATAATACTATAATTCTCGCTTCCATTTCTCCGAGCTGCAATTAATTTAATCTATCTTTTCTGCTGCTTCTGCATCAAAAGGCTTCGCCTCCTTTAGGAACTTTTTCCCGTTTCCATTTCGAATCAACTAGTTTTTTTTTCTTATGGAAAGGCGTTCGAATGAGATCTCGCAACGTCAAAAATATTTTGGATTTTCTTTTGTCGGCGCATGACGACGAAGGGAACGATTCGTTACGCCGCCAACTGTCTTTCGCTTCGAAACATGTAGCCAGCAGGAGCACGTGGGAGACGCCCCTCGCGTCATTTTCTTCCTTCGAACAAACTTGATATTTCCACTCATTAATTTTTGCTTTGTCAATTGTCAATTTGGGTTCTGTCTTTTGCCGTTGGTCTCTTTTTCCTTTCTTCTTTTCTTCATTCTTGTTTATTAATAGCCACGTGGTGTTGTCTCAAGTTGAAAGATTCTCAGAGTGATAGAAGGATCAACTTTCTTTGAATTTCGAATTTTCAATTAAAAAGAATTTTGAATAGCGAAAAAAAGTGGTAGTTTTTTTAATTCCATTTGTTAGATAGGGGAGCTCTTAGTTTTTTTTTTCTAAAAGATGAGAAATTACACTCCGTGGTTTAAAAAAAAACCTCAAAAGGACTTTTCTGTCTCTGACAGATTCATGGAATTACACCTATGACTACAAAATGATTGATTGATTGATTGATAACTTTGTAATTTTTTGTTTATTTTTAAATATGAGAACAGTTCAATTATTCGGAGCTCTACTTTTCAATCTCGTCTTTTTTTTAAAATTTGTTGGGTTCGTTCTAATGGAGCTAGCTTCAGAAAAAAAAAGTAGGTTTGTTTTTGCCAAAAGTGAAATTGAAGTGAGAATCGATGAGTTGCTTTGAGAAGAGATCGAATCGTTCTTTCAATTAAGTTCTAGTGTTTACTATTTTATTTAGTTCCTCAGTCGCTTCAAATTTTCCCTGAACACATAGTAAGTATTTAGGAACAGTTGTCACCGAAATTCTTTACGTGTTCTGTGGACCTTTTTTTGAGCCTAACGTCACTGAAGTCGGGTCCAAAGTCTGCAGTTTACGTTGAAAGGTATCTTAAATAAAAGAGTTTCAATTTCAGAACAATGAAAGAAAAACTAGTTCCTGAAAATAGATCAAATAGAAGAAAAGGAAGAATGAAAACACGTTCTAGCAAACTTTCTGTCGAGTTTCGCGATTTTTCTTTTACCTGGACAATCCTTGGTTTACCTTGTGATATAAGTGAACTCACGTAATATGTTTGACTTCTTTTTGGCTTTTTTTTTCCTGTCCTCCCACCTTGACACAATTGACATTTCTCGCTGCGCTTCTTGCCCAATTCTCCTTCCTCTTTTTCATTCTTGTTCTCTTGATTTTTGCAGTCTCCTCCGCTTTATTATAAGTCCCAACACTTGAATATTCAAATCTTCTGGGAACTTCGAAGGAAATTAGTTCCGCGAGTCTGCTGCTGGTGCAAAGTATTTATTTCGCTTTTTCAAAGCACCTGCCAGGTTTATTTCTGCTTTCGCTGGGCTCAGAGTATTTCGATGCTTCGGTTCAGCACCGCTCAATTTGTTTTTTTTGACGCTTGTTTGTTGATGTTCGATCATTTTTTCATCAGCTTTTGTTTATTTTGTGTGTTTCACCCGAAAACCGTGCCTGAACAAAGTACGTTTGCCATTTGTCAACGCTCTGAACGGTATTTGTGTCTGAGTGAAGACGTTTCCTCTCTGTATCTCTCCTTATCGCGTACTTTTTGATTCCAGGGGTTCTCCTACTATTTATTTTCTGCTGAAACATGTCGATTGCATGTGAACGCCGCCGTTGTCTATGGCAAAGCAAGTGCACAGAGGCCTTTCTGTTTGTTCAAAACAACTGCGAGATTGGGCGGGTTTCACTGCGCACTTCATTAGTTTGTCGACCAGCAAAATGTTGCGTGAAACGGTTGAAATGATCTTTTTTCGCATTATTTATTTTCCTTCTTGTCAAACAACGCTCTGTTCGTCTTAATGGAAAAGTCGGAAAGATCTTTTATGGATTATTAAAATTGACTAAATTTTCAATTTCATCATATAGCTTTTATCTTCTTTTATTGCAAATCAATTTTCAAATTGTATCTCAAATTCGTTTTTAGAAGAGAAAATCAAGAAATTCGAAGTTTTTTTTTGCTTTTGCCTTATGTCGATATTTTAAGCAGTTTTGGCTGCGAAAGACGTTAGAAATGGAAGAAATCTGAGAAGAAAAAAAAAACTTGAACATTTGTAAAAAAAAATTCGTTGAAGTACCTTTTTTTTTAAAACAAAACATAGATCCATAGAACATCTGTCCGACTTTTTGTTGTTGTACCGATTTTCCAATGTTCCATAATGTTTCAGCCAGCGTGGTGAATGAAGCATTGACCGTTCCGGATGGGTTTTGTCTCGGCACTTTTCGCCCCTGTCTCTTCCACCGTCTCTCTTCTCTATGCTAATGTATGCCGTACCGCCAAATTGTGCTCACCTTCCCTTTTTCTTCAGATCTTTCTTATTTTCTTCACTCTTGTGATTGTCGGTGTCGCCGCTTTCCTCATCTCCTACTACTTGTACGCGTTCACCCCGCAGTCGAACGCCTCCAGTCGCAATGGATCTCCGAGGACGTCGCCTATCAGTCAGTTTTCCTCTCGAGAATGTGCGGAATTCGGAGATCTTTAAGTTTTATTTTGAAAATTTTTTTTTGATGCTCAGAAAAAGGAGTTTTGAAATTTTTTCTGTATGTTTTATTATCAAGTTTTCCTTCTCGTCTTTTTCGTTTCAGGCCCTCTCATCGTTGGCTTGTGGAGACGAAAAATTTTTTAGTTCATGACACCTGAAACTTGAACTTTCAGACCATTTAAAAACAATTTTTTGCTCTTTTGTATTCAATAACAACCCTTCATCTGAACATTGAACTCAACGAGTTAACTTCGAAAAAATGATATATTGATAATAAAAAGAAATATGTCAAAACCCCTTTCTGACACTCTAGGAACTTGAAATTGAGACAAAAATTTGATTCTGAGACGAGCGCCGTCCTTGATCGTGGAATTTCAGAAGCACATGCGCCGAGGGTCGATACGATAGCAGAGGTGGACAGCGAGACTCCGGCTGACCCTATGCCCGAAATTCCATACCATCGACGGATGCGAAAACGCGATTGGGCCAAGAAAATCTACAAGAGTATTGTGGTGCGAGAAAATCATGAGAAGCTCTCTTAGCTGGGTTTTGTTCAGCAAAATGACTCGCCTCTGCGGACGCCTTCGGATGATTCTTCCAACGAGTCCCAGGCCGATGGATTTGCCAGTCGAAGGAAAATCTTCCGACGTCGCCATTCCACTGGTCCCCTCCAAATGGCCAAAGAGTTACTCAATCCCCTGTGAAAACCGATTCAATCAACAGTTTGTAGACTTATTCGACGAGGAAGTCGTAATTATTTCCGACAAACCTCGGAGAACATGCGGGAGCCGAGGCCTCTGCCGCCGACAGAGTTCTTCGAACCGACAGACCTGCCGGAGATTCCCCAGAACTTGCAGCCCGAAATATTTTATATCCTCCATAATTTGAAGTGGGTTTTGGAGTAATAAACATCGAAGCGAAATTTTAATGATTTTCGTTTAAAAAAATTGATAGAAAGTTGATTAAAAAAACGCTTGTACAATTTTTTTTGCTCGTAGAGAAATTTTTTTAAATTTGATTTCTTGAAGCTTTTTCGATTATTTTCTGGCTTCACTTTCTAAAATGATGATATTTTTCTTTCAAAAAAATTATCTTGGTTATAAGTTCAAATGAAAGTTTTTTCAGTTGCTGTTGTGCATTTAAAATTTCTATGAAAACAGTTTTCACTGCTTCTAGTTATAATTTGGAACACAAATATTTCAGAAAAAATAGAATATGTAAAAAAATAAAGAACTTTACCTTTCATTTTTGAGTAAATCTCCATCCAAGTTCAGATTTTGCGCCAAAAAAATAAGACCATGGCTTTTTAACAAATATAATTCTTTTTTGTGTTCATTTTGCAGCACAAAATATCCATGTAAAACAAAAATGTATTCTTTCGGCTTTTGTTGGAAGCACGAAAAAAACTTTCCTTTTGGATAATTTTTTCTGTATTCAGAATGTTGGAACTGCCATCGGAATGGAAGTTGGATCCTCGAGACATCGAGGTCCGTACTTTCACCAAAGGAGAATACATCGTGAAGCCGGGCGAACCCGACGACTCCATCTACGTCGTGATCGAAGGATCGGTATCTGTGCACATCAGGGTTTGAAGTGATGCCCTATTCATGAAATGCTCCATCTTCTCAGCACCTCGAGGGCAAGGAGTACCTCGTGAAGAGAATCGCCGCCGGCGGCAGTTTCTTTTCTCTTCTCTCCATGCTCGATATCTTGATGGCAAGTCTGAGAAACATGCAATTTTCATTCTTCATCTTCAGAATTTCCCTTCCATTTTTCGAACTGTTTCTCTGAAAGCTGCCGAGTCGTGCAAAGTCGCCAAGTTAGCAATCATTCTTCTTTTTTTATCTCTTATTTTGCTTCTTTGAGATTCCCTATCACATCCTTCCGTGAATCGTACAAAATGCACCCTCAGGCCTGGATTCGTCCCATTCAAATCGTCATCACCCGCCTTTTGCACGTCACCCTCACCACTCTTCATCAGTACATGGGACTGAGCAGCGAACTTATGAAGAGAGTTCGTCAGCCGCTCATTTTCCCGATTTGAGAATGGCCATTTCAGTGGCGAGAGGAAAATGCGCAGAAAGTTCGACATGGCAGTGGATCTATCAAACTTCCTCTTGGACAAGGCAAGAAGAAGGAACGCTGGTTTAATCCCAATGATAGTAAGCGGATTTCCTATTTTTCGAAGTTAAGAATGAAGATATGGTCTGTCTGCCAGATAAGATCTTTTCGATATTTCTCACTTTGAGTATTTCTTAGGCGAGGCTGATCAGTTGGCCGTGGCGCGACGTTGGTTCGCCGAAGCTTTTGGATTCACTTCTGATGAAGCGGCTGAACATATTGGCGATAGGGTTTGCCCTAAGAAACTTTCAAAAATTGGAATGGATTCTTTCCAGCTTTCTCTGGCGACCTATGAAGCCGGAAAAGTGTTGGTGGAGCAGGGCGCCGAGGAAGAACAACTCATGATTATTCTCTCCGGCAATGTCATCCTGCAACAGGTTTTTCCTATCAATTTTTCGCTTTCTTTGGTTTTTTTTTGAGTTTTCGAGTTTCATAATTCAAGAATTACAAAACGGAAAGCTTTTTTTCTATTTCGTTTAGTTAGTTGCTAGAAATAATGTTCATTATCTTGCGTTTCCTCTGTAATATTGATAAAGTATTTTTTGAAGTTCCATTATCTGACTCTTGGACTTTGGTTCATCAATAAAGGAACCTTTTTTTTGAAAACTAGAGAATTTCGTTTTCTAACAAGTTGAGAATCACTATGATGAGTTCAAATAATATTGTAGTCATTTTCTCTGACTGTAGTATAACAAGGACATGAGACTTGTTGAACCCATCAGCCTCATGTGATGGCCAATCTATTTTGTCGCTTTTTTCTCCCACGTGAGTCGGTTTCCCCGACAAACCTGTTCAAGTTCGAAATTTGACCTCCACTTCCTTTTGTTTTTTTTGTTGTTTACGTCAAAACCTTTTGATTGACGTTTCCAGGAATCGTTGTTTGACGAAGAGAACACGGAAGATGAGGAAAACGGGAATATCCGCGTCGGACCCCGGGAACTCGTCGGAGGACTTCAGCTTCTCACAAATGAACCTTCTTTCTACACGATCAGAGCCGCTGTTAGGACGACTGTCGCGGTCATGCGAAAGAAGGATTTTGCGACGTTTTTAGACTTTCCCGGATTTGACTGGATTTCGAGAAATTTAGATTTCTGGAGGTTCAGCCGCAGATTTACCTTCCCGTGGCACATTCTGTCCTCCGACGACTGTCGCCTTTCTTGAGAGGTGTCGACTTTGCTCTCGACTGGGTTCTGGTCGATTCTGGACATGCTGTTTATCGGTTCATTTTTCGTCCTTTATATTCGGATATAGCTTATTCCGCGCCAGCTTTTTTAAGTTTTTCTGCAAAAAAGGACCTTGTACAAAATTTGACCAAGTTTTTTGCTGTCTTTTTCGCAGTTTTTTTAAGGCGAATTTTGGTAGCTTTCCACCAGATGCCAACAAATGAAAGATACACTTTTTTATTTTTAAAGAAAATAACATTCTGGCGAAGGACGATAAGCATCGTTGGGCAGAAGTTTACTAGTGAGAATTTTCCAGAGCTGGTGACAATGCCGATTCCATGTTCGTCGTTTTGAGCGGTCGACTGCGATCAGTTGAGAAAAAGACAGTAGTCGAAGAATTTGGCCGTGGCGATGTCTTGGGAATGGTTCGGCATCATCTCGAACCGTAGATCCCATCCTTTTCAGATGGAAGTTTTGACGAAAAAGCCGCGTTCCACGACCGTCCTCGCCGTCCGATTCTCACAATTGGCTCGTGTACCTGAAGGCCTTCTCAACTTCATCAAGATGCAGTTTCCACAAGTAAATACAGTTTTCAAAGCGGGAAATGGAAAAACCGACTTCAGGTCGGTTTCCGGTTGGTCCAGCTTCTCGGCCAGTACTACAGCTCAATGAATCGACGTGGACCTTTTGCTGTCCCGGCGATCCGATCCCAAGAACTCTCTTCTACGGATCCAATGAGTCACATCAAAGTTAGTGACCACTCTTTTGAAAAAAAGTTTGAATGATAATATTTTGTCGATTTTTCGAAAAACTTTGATTTTTTGAAATTTGCGGATATAAAACATCGGGTTTTCGAACGAAAACATCCATTCATGAAGGATCCGTGACTTCAGAACCTTCACACGATCGCGGTTGTTCCTGCGAGTTCCGACGTGCCTCTGGTACCTTTCACCTGCGAACTCTACCACGCACTGTCCACCAACCTGCGCGTTCTCCGACTGAGCAGCCAGAAAGTGGCGACCTACTTGGACAGCTCCGTCTTGGAGAAACAGGCCGACTTCCGGCTGATGCACTGGCTCAACGTCCAGGAAGACACCTATCCGCTCGTCATTTATGAGTGCGACTATCAGGCTACCAACTGGACCAGGAGGTTGGTTTTTCGTTGATTTCTGAACGTTGAATTAGAATTAAAATCAACAATATGATTAAAAATTTATAAAATTTGGTCCAGAACGGCAAGTTTCGAGAAAGAGTTGAATAATGGAAGTTTTTGAATATCGAGAAGTTACTGAATCCCCTTTTCGGCTTTCAAAAAGTATTTTTAGAGTGGTATTTGACATAAAGGCAAAGCGAACATTGAAATATGATGAGTATTTTTTAGAAACGGATTTCCAGCATGCAAAGTTTTCGCCTGTAGATGCGAGAACTCTGCATAACTTAACCATTTTTCAATAGCCGGTTTCTAGATGCTTGCGTCAGGCTGATGCCATTCTCGTTGTTGCGTTGGGCGGTAAGAAACCTGAAAAGCAAACTTTAGTGAGTTCGAGAGAATCGACGAAAAAATGACATAATTTTGTACGATTCAGATGCGCGAGCTGTTGAGCATGAACCAAGAGGGAGTTCGAACCAACAAGGAGCTGATCCTACTGTGGCCGGAGAGCACTCAAACGCCCTCCGGGACCATCGAATGGCTCAAGAACAGCTACTTTTCTGGTCATCATCACATTCGCGCTCCGAAGCGAATGTACCAGTGGAAAAAGTTGCGAAAGAATAGCCGCGACCGAGATCTTCCTTTTGCACCGGTTTGATATCCATTCTAACTTCGGAGTGAAAGACTTTGTTCAGACTCTGGAACACGATGTCATCGATTACTATGAGAAGAACGTTTTCTGGACCACGGACCGTCGATCTGATTTTGCGCGACTGGCCAGGATTCTGACGGGGAATGCAATTGGTCTTGTCCTAGGAGGCGGTGGTGCCAGGTTGGTCTCCATCCGAGATTTCTCGATCATAATTAGACAATTGTACACAAAAAAAAATCTAAGGACAACAGGAAAAGTCGGGATTAGAGAAAAAGAAGAAAATAAACATATTAAATGCAGTGGGGATTCATCCATAAAGCAAATCTCTTGCAAAACAAACATTTGGCAAAAATTCAATTTTTTTTTCCTTATTTTTCATCAAAAATAAGAACTTCAGTAAATTTTCAATTAAAAAGTTCTACACGCAATAAAAAAAAGTCTGCAAGATGGCATTGTGTTTTCTGCCTTCAAGGGGAACATTTTCAGAGGCGCTGCTCACATCGGAGTCTTGAAAGCCCTGCGAGAAGAGGGAATCCCCGTGGACATTGTCGGCGGAACTTCCATCGGCTCGATGATTGGCGGTCTGTACGCAGAGACGCCGAACGAAGAGGTGGTGGAAAAAAGAGCTGGCAGCTGGTTCCAGGTACCTTCCCCTTCCATCGAAGATTATTTCACCTTTTAACTTCAGGTAATGACTTCGTTGTGGAGGAAGATCCTGGACCTGACCTACGCCCACTCGGCCATGTTCACTGGAGCCCAGTTCAACAGCACCCTCAAGGATTTGTTCGGCGAACGTCTCATCGAGGACTTGTGGATCTCTTATTTTTGCATCTCTACGGATATCAGGTTGGTTCTTGAGACGAATTCTTCCTCATTTTGGATCCAGCACCTCCGAAATGCGGGTTCATCGAGCCGGTCCTCTTTGGGCCTACTGCCGTGCTTCGATGTCGTTGGCCGGCTATTTGCCGCCTTTGTGCGATCCTCACGACGGCCATCTCTTACTCGACGGAGGCTACGTCAACAACCTCCCTGCGGATGTGATGCGCAACTTGGGAGCTCATTGTGTGATCGCTGTGGACGTCGGTTCGACCGAAGAAGTCAATCTTTACGACTACGGAGACTCGCTCAGCGGCCTCTGGGTCCTCATGAAAAGGTTCAATCCCTGGGGAGAACCTGTCCGCATCCTCAACATGGAGGAAATTCAGGCAAGTCTGTTCCGTGAAACTCTTTGCTTTTGAAATCTTCGAGGGTCTTTATCCGACAACTGGTTATTTGTACACAGTTTCTAGATCTTTATCTCATGTATCAAGAAAAAAATTTGTAGGAATTTCAGAAAAATTCAGTTTTTTTCCCGAGCAAATTAATTTTTTTCTTAATTTTTTTCATAAGTTTTTGATACTCCCAGAATTTTCAAATTTTGGTCGAAAGGTAGTGTATAAATGTGTAGCGTATGAAAAACGTCTCAATATATTTGAGGCCTTCAAAATTACATTCTTGGACTTACCTAAATTCGGCAGTATTTCAGAGTAGACTCGCCTATGTTTCTTGTGTTCGACAGCTTGAAGTCGTTAAAAAAGCCAATTATTGTCAATATGTCCGTCCACCGATCGAGCCGTTCAAAACGCTCGACTTTGGAAAATTCGCATCTATCATGGTCAGTTTTATTGCATCATTTCTCTAATCAGCCGTTTTTTCAAGGCTATTGGGTATGAATATGGAAAAGACAAGGTTCGTGAGTTTGCAAAGAACGAAGTCCTCCGGGCGACGCTTCTCGGCGAGGAGAGGGACGTCAGTCGTTTCAAGCGACAGGGCAGTCGCAGAGAAAAGGTTCGGAAATTACAGATGAGAAAAAAAGAAGAAAAAAAAATACGTTTGAAAAATTTGTTTTGACCCTTGATAGTTTTAAAGTCATGACATTGAGACTGTTTTAAACTGAAAAGTTAACGCAATTAGGTTTCCTTCCATTCAAAGGGGACCGAGAAAACAAGGAACTGGAACGCTGAGGAGTTTTTTTCTTTTTGAGAGAGAAAGAAATCAAAAAAACGTCAATATAGTTCTCACAATAAAAGTTTCTTAAGGTAGCAAAAAGAAATCAGATGGAAGCAATCAAATAGTTTATTAAAAGATTTAGTTGTAAGTGAATCAAGAAAAATATCTGCTTTTTCTATTTATAAACAACGTCAGAGATGAAGGTGGAGGTTACAAAAAATATAGTTTTATCGAAAAAAAAAATCTTAAATACTATGGAAAAAATGAAAGAACAAACTAAAGGTCCCCTGAAAAATTTTCTTTTGGCCTTACTTAACGGCTACCAACAGGAATGCTTTTTATAGAGAAGCGACATGTCCAGAGCCGTTTCCTTCACGGATCTCGCCGCGGCCATGTCGAAAATCCCTGCGGTCAGACCGACCCTCCGCCATTCGATGAGCTGCAACACAAGACGGGACGATTTCCTCCTCGACGAAGAACTTTTTGCCGGTTTGTTATGTTCTCACAAAACCACCTCTTCAACATCACGCCTTCAGATGAATCGTCGCAGTCGGAGCTCGGCGACACTTCCAACGAAGAAGAGGAAGACGAAGACCTGGATTTGGTCCGAGGCGTGACTCCCCGACCCAATATGTAGACTCTTCACTTATTTTTTTAGGATTTTAGGATGATCTTTTTTATGCATGTTCTTGTTAATTTTACTCGGTTTCTAGAAGTATCTCATAAGCATTGCCTTTCAACAGTTATCGGTGTAAATCGGAGCCAGTCCGCTTTTCTTTTTCTCGACATCTCATTTTCTTTGTGTTGTTGTCAATTTAGTTGAATTCACTTTATTTTTTCAAGTTCCCTGGCTACTTGAAATACGGGAGTTATCAGTCATGTTACTTAAGCTAATGATGCCAAAAGAGCTTCTTTTCCGTGATCGTTTTCAAAATGAAGATCAAATATTTTTTATGTCCTTGTTGGTGTTGAAAATGAACCACGCGATAAGATACAAGGGTCTGGCTGATAAAGAGTTAGGAATTCTCGTTACTCGGGGTGCCATGCTTCGTTCCTGGTCGGCTTGTCTGCTGTTGCTGGCTGCAGCCGTGCCGACTTCTGCCCAATATTCCGATGCCTTCGTCCGAAAGTTCTTTCCCACTCTTTTCGCCGCCACCGAGTCCTCAAACGCGTCTTCGTGTTTGAGCAAGATCTTTACAGATTTCGAGGTTCAATATGAACTTCCAATCCGGTTGAACGGGGCTTTCAGATGAAAAAGATGGTGACTGTGGACTGCGACAAAGCCGACGGGCTGGACCACTGCCGCGGATACACCGCCGTCAGTCACGATCAGAAAGTCATCACCTTGAATTTCAGGTTTACATCTTCGAAAAGTAGAAATATCCAACATTGATTGCTCGGCTTTTTCCTAACTGACTCAAGATTTTCTTTTGTTTTTTATATATTTCGATTCTGTGATTCAATTTCAAATCGTATGCTTTTCCTATAAAAGTTTCGAGAAAGATAATATCAGCAAAAAGTGATATAAGAAAGTGAACTTTATTTCGTATCAGAGGAACCAAGGGAAAGCTGCAACTTTTGGTGGAGAGCGACCAGACGATCACCCAACAGAAGGTCTGACGTCGTCCAGCTCCCTCTGAATCCTTCCGATTTCAGGTTTCTTGGGTTGGCGGCGGTGCGGCAAGCAGCTACTTCGCCAACGCCTTCTTGCTCATCTGGAACAACGGAATGAAGGACGACTTCCTGAATCTCGTCCACAAGTTTCCTGATTACGATGTCTGGGTTAGTTTTGTGTTGAGAAATATGAATTGAGAAGGACTCATCAAATTAAGTATGGTATTAAATAAGATTTAAAATCGAATCTACTTTTGAAAACGGGCGTTCGAGAATATAATTAATTGAAAAGTTTGAAGAGTGACATTTAGAAATTTTCGAAATTATTGAGAAAATCGCTTTTCTCGAGTTTCCGTTGACAAAAATTCAATTTAGCTGAAGCATGGGGTTATCTCTCTCTCTCTCTCTCTCTCTCTCTGTTTTTATTATGGGTCGTTAATTGGTGCGATAAAATGCTAACGTCAGTCTGATATTTGATTGGCTTCTCGAGCACTTATCTTATTTCTAATATATTTCATTTGCTTCGAATCGTCCAAGAAACTTCCTTGTTCCATTCGTGTCAAGAATGAGCATGGATCAGGGCTTCGATATGAACTTGAATGGAAAATCGTTTGGTTAACTTCTAGGATTCGCATTTAATAATTGAAGATATTCATGATAAGCATGGTCTCCAGTGACTAGAGTCTAGTCATTGCTTATTAACTACAGATTGGCGGGCACTCTCTGGGCGGCGCGATGGCGGCTTTGGCCAGCTCTTACGTGACAGGAATGAATCTGGTGTCGGCCTCCAAGATCAAGCTCGTCACTTTCGGACAACCGAGAACTGGAGACGTCGACTTCGCCAACGCACACGACAGCATCGTCAGTTTCAAATCGATAGTTTCGCTCTATGATCATCTACAGATTCCATATACGTACCGAGTTGTGCACAAGAACGATATCGTGCCGCATCTACCGCCCAGAGGCCTGGAGAACTTCCGACACCACAAGTCCGAGGTTCATTTTGAGATTCAAAAGCAGCTATAGTTCGTTAAGAAACTGAGAAAATCATATATGGACAAGGAAAAACCCACAAAGGTTTTCGTTTTTCTTTGTGGACGGGATGTTCCTGAAAAAAATGGCGTAAACTCATTTCGAATGAATTTCAATGTTTCGTCCTTCATTATTATTTTATCAGTTCCATTCGATTTTATTATTGAAATGCATTCCAGGTGTGGTACAACAACGACATGACAAAGGTCGACTTCAAGGAGTGCGACTCGCAGGAGTCACCCCTGTGTTCGGATCTTCACGTCGACGCCTCCATCGAAGACCACCACCGCTACTTCAACATGTACATGACCTACTACGGCCTTCGTGACTGCACCGGAGACCCTTCCAGCTCGAAATAAACTTTATTGAGACACGAAAAAGAGGAGCACAAAAGATTAGACCCATTTTGGACGAGACCCGGCGGCTTTGTCTCGGATTGTTGAAGGCGGAGCTGGCGGAGGAAGGGCTGCAGCTCTCGGCGTCGTCGTTGTCGTTCGGAGGGGCTTCGGCTTCTCCAGAACGTTCAGTTTGGGAAGGGAAGGTCGGCCAGACTGCGTGCCGGTTTTGATGAGGCTTGGACGAGCGCTTGTTGAGACGCTGGTGGAGACGCTCGGCTTCATTGTCATCTGAATGTTTCTCGGTTGAATGAATCTGCCAAGTTCTGAGGAGAACTTCTCTGCGTTTCTCGGCTGTCATTGGAGGACGACGAACGGCGGGAGCGCTGCTTCTCCGAATTTCTTCCTTTCGCTCTAGTCGAGGCGTCGGTGCCGAAGTTGGTGTAACTAACGGTTTTCGAACCTTCTTCTCTTCCGACTTTCTCTCAGTCTTTTTCACTTCCATCGGAGAAGGCTGTAAAAAATATTTTTGTTAGAAAAAATGTCTAGAACTTGCCTTATTTGGTGCGGATGTAGGCTTGGCTTTTGGGATTAAAGATTGCGGTCGTGAAGGTGTTTGTGTGGAAGGTTGCTGCAGAGAGCCACCGGATTGGTATTCTTTTTCAGTTGAAACCTTTTTCATTGTTGCTTGTGGGGCTTTCTGGGACGCTTTCGGTATCTCAGTAGGTTTCGGAATTTCCTCTTTCTTTGTCACAGTTTCAGTCGGTGGTGGTTTGGTTCCCATGCTCTTTGCAATAGTCGGTTTCTAAAGATTCAATTTCCTGATAATTTTTGGATTTTGGTGTACAGGCTGAGATAGATTCGTTATATAAGACTCTAAGTCTGAGCATCGTTCGTAGTTGGTTGAAGTTCTGCACGTGGACGCCGTGCGGACTTCAGAAGGCCGAGCCAACTCCGTCGTGATTGCTACAGGAGACGTCATGGGTGAATCATCCGAGTTAGAGGACGTCGGAGCGAAGGTTTCCCGCACTTTGCGGATCCTGACGGCTCCTAGCTTCTCACGGCTCACTGCAGTCCACTCCGCCCTTTTTCGAGGCCTGAAACCATAATTTTCATCGTGAGAACATTTTTTTATTATCTCGAGGACTTTCAATTTCCAAAGGTTTCACCTTCTTCAAGAAATATTTCTAGACACATACAAAAGGTTAAAAAATCTTAGAAGTCTCAACAAAGTTTTGATAAAATAAAATGAGAACAAACATTAAAGTGTTCGAGTTGGAAGATAGGGCCTCAAAAAGGTCTTTTTTCACGGCGGATTTTTGCTTGAGAGGCTCGTCGAACGCATTTTCCTCGTTGACGTTCTCTTCTTTCGGCTTCTCCTTCTTCCTCTTCCTTCTTGTTTCTCTTTCTTCGTTTTCCTAAACTTTGTTTTATTCCCAATTTTTTGCTTTTTCGCAGACCTTCTGAGCTTGACGAAGACGTCCTAGAAATACGTTGAATATTTTGAAGCATTCGTCGAGTTTAAAAGCTCCTTTCCGTTCACAAAAATAGTCTGCAATCCGTTGTTGGAAGTCTGCCAGATCTTTGAATTTGGACTCAAACTCGTTGAGCTCGCTCGAGCATATTTCCTTCAAAGATTAATCCAATTAGTTTGACATAATATACATTTTGAAACCTGTAAGTACTCTCTGACGTCTGCGAAAGTCTTGTCTTTCGACTTTTGCAAGCTGTTTTTCAAGCTTCGTCCGTTGGTCACTCAAACCTTTCAAACAGTTTTTGAGCTCTTCGAAGCTGATTCTGAACCAAAAACTTCACTTGAGTGTCTGTAGTCTCTACTAACTCAGCAGCCCTAGGCAAAGAAGGGAGCTCTTGCGTCAAAATGGAAGCCAGAGACGGATCACACTGAAAACAATTCATTTTTGGAACAAGATTGGAAGTGAACTGTGGCGATGACGTGCAGAAGAGAACATTCGTGCTTGTTGGTCTTGAGATCGACGAGTTTCCACATGGAGTTGAGGGTGAAGCCGAAGGCGTTGCCGTTGGGATTGCTTGAGTTGAGGTAGTTGCCGATGTTGACCAGAAGCTGCAGAAGACGTGGCACGCAAGAAGACGTCATGATCTCGTCGCAGGCGTCGGAAAGCATCGCCGCGTTCGGCTGCATCTCGTCCATGGTTCTTTCGAACTCACTTCGGAACAAGACACACTCGATCCTGTACTTTGGTGATTTCTATATTCGTTCTTTTTTTTTCTCTTTTTAAATCGAAAAAAGAAAATTTTTTTTCTCATTCTAATGTTGAAAGAAAAGATCAATCTATTTTAGTGAAAATGTACCTTAGTCGGTAATGAGGAATCGACGCAAGACGTAGGAGGAACTGGGAAGATAGAGACAGAAGACTGACTTCTCCTGAGTATCTTTTCAGTGCTTCTTCCTGTAAAGTTCAAGTTTTTCTTGTAACTCTTCTCGGATGGACCTCTTCTAGCTGAGGTAACATGTTTTTCAAGGTCTGGAGGGCGTCGATTTCCTCAATTGGAGCGTTTTCTCGTAGATCTCCAAGGAACTCTTCCATGTTCTGAAACTGATTTCTTTCTTCTGATACCTTTCCCAATAAAACTTTGAACTGTTTTAACATGATTGCCACGTTTTGGCTTCTTTTTGGCGTCAGAAGCTCGATGACGTCTTCTTTTTTCGACTTGACTTTTTTCACGACTTCTTTCGCGTTTGATGATTGTGGCTCAATGCCAAAGTAAGTGTCGAGTAGGTCCAAATTCAATTCAACTAAAGCTTTTGATAGTTCTTCCTCGTCGTTCACACTTACGTTGGCAAGCTCTTGCCAGTTTGCCCCAAACACTGTTCTCAGATACAGTAGTCTCGCTGATTTTGGACCACTGTAAACGGAAAAATAAAATAAATGTTGTTGAAGGGAGTCATTCACCATGACGGTTTTTGTTTTAGTTTTCTTTTCGCATTGGGGAAGCATCGATGGCGGACATTTGGCTGAAACTTTGAAGGTTGAAATGAAAGCGAATGGATTGAAGTTGACTTTTCAGACCATCTTGTTTGGACAAAGCTGGAGGAAGCCGAGACGGCGGCGGCGGAATCCGAAGGTTGGGAAGAGGAGCCGTCGGAGGAAGTGGTGCCGGTGGCGGTGGCGGCGGCGGCGGAGGAGGAGGCACGATTATTATATTGTCTGAACGCTGATGTTGAACTTCAACCAGTCATTGTCGAAATCATTTCAGTTTTAAAGTGCATTAAACTTTCACACAACCATTAATCAAACAAGAACATTCACCGTTCGAATCGAGGTTTTGAAGTTTCTTGAACTCTTTTTCCACGTCGTCCTAAAATAGTTGATTTCGTTGGGATTTTAGATAAAAGAGGTTCAAATTGAGGATGAGTTATAACTTGAGGATACTCGCCTGTGAGACGATAACATCGACGTTCGTGAAAAACTTGGAAAGGAAAGAAAGTCGACTTTTTCGTGTTCTTTTGTCGTCGAGCAGCCGCTCGAGCCGACGCATCAGCTAAAAATTCCGTAAACTGAATAATTCTTTTATATTTTTATTAATCATGTTTTTGATAAAAAATTGTAAATAGAGCCAGACTTGAGTCAAGTTGATCGCATGAAAAATGGCTGACTGGAGAGTCCATAACTTTTTTCACAGATGTATTGAGCAAATTTTGAAACCAGGTTTGAAATCAGCGTGAAAAAATACATCTGGAAAACACGGTCTCATTCAGAAGTCCCACTGAAAGCTGAGACCATTCCCTGGCAAGCGGGATAATTATTGAAAATATTTTTTAAAAACTGTTCGAAAAAGGTGTTTTTATTAGTTTGAAATAGTCATATTTTTTGCTCGAAAATCATCTTCTTTCTTTCGATATTCGTTGCTCAGCGGTCACTACATTTGTTCCGTTTTTCCGCCGGAAACCGCATGTGGCCACTTTTTCCCGTCCCATTTGATTCCTACGCAGTGTGGGATTTTTACGATCAAAGGTTTAATAATGCTCAGAATCAGTTTATGGCGATCGGAAAAGATGAGGTGAAACCGGCAGGTGTTCTTTTTCAAACATTGATTGCTTCACAAAGCAGCCATTCTGAAGTTGTTTGAATTTTATTTTTGCAAGGGTCAATGTCAACTTGCGCATTTGAAAATTAGAATCTTGAATGTAGCCAAATTATATTTTCGAAATGCTGCAAAAAAAGTTTATATTATTGAATCCGAGTGGAAATCGAAGTCACATACAGTAAAATTAACTTTTCAATTAATGAAACCTTTCAAATTTTTAAAAAAAGGACACATTTTCAGAAATTTTCTTGTATTAGGACTGGTAGCGTGCTATGAGCCTCATCCTTTTCCATTAAAGTTCAAAAATTTCGCATTTTCAAGCGCTAATTTTCCTTTTTTTTTTCAGAGGTAATTTTATTTTTTCCATATCAAAAGTGGCTGAAAAAGGCAAACCTCGTCATCGGCTTCGTCGTCGCCCATACGGCAGGCAACCTGAAAATGGACTGATCAGTGAAAGTGAGAAGAAGACACGCGGAGATCGAGCCGGAGACCAAAACGGAAAAATCGGCGGGCCGCTGAAGAGCCGCGGCAAATATTCATCAAAAGTTGGGCGGATTTCCTTTGTCTGCTGCCGCCGCCCCCGTCGGCCATTCCGGATGGACGGGAGCCTCCCGGGGAAAACAATACGGCAAAAAATTGTTATCAGAAACCGAGCAGGGGAAAGGAAAGGCGGGGAAAAGCAGAAGCTGATCATTCGATTAGTTAAGCCAGTTAACCTCAATCCTTGTTTTTCACTGCTTACTTTGATTCGAATCTTGGAGGAAAATTGTGGAATTATTGGAAAAGCCACCTTTTTTTAAATTCCACATTTTTGTCTCCAAAATCCAGATTTTTGGAAAAATCATTTCAAAAATCCGAACTCGAGAAAAGTTTGTGAGTGCATTTTTGTACACAAGGGTTGATAACAGAAAAAAATAAATTGAGAAATATTCATCATAATTACCGTTTGGGTAATATGTTTCATTAAATTTCATAAATATTCAAGACAGGGCTATCTTGTGCAATTCAAACACACATAAATTTTCAAAATCCAAAATTTTTTTTTCTCAATTCACCTACGGTAGCATTATGAGACTTTTTTTCGAATCACTGATTCCAAATTTTGGAGGCAAAGTAAACGAAAATATCATGGCCTACAGAGACCTAGAAGAAGTCCAGAAGAAGCGAAGGCGTGAAACGAAAACCTGAGGAACGAAAGAAGGCGTCGAAGATGTGGCGGTGATTCACGAGCCACAATGTCTTAACACTTGTCAAACATTGACGGCCCGTGCGAGTCAGTTCTTCTCGCCTTGTACGGACTCGCCAACCTCGCCTCCGCCAGATTTTTATCCACAAAACGCGTCCGTTATGATTTATTCCCACGCGCCGCGGCGACCAGCAACTTTTCCTTCTGACCATAAGAGGGCATACAGCTGTGCCTCGGGGAGAAACGAGCAGGTGTTCCGTGAAAAAAGAGTGGAATCGTCGCGTGATTCCTTCTTTATGGCGAAAGATGTTCAAAGCCCGAACATACCGATTGAAGCGTAGTTGAGTTTCGAGAATCGTCTTGAAACGAATTTCATTGTTATAAAAATTTTGAAAGGTGTTAGATTTAATTTGTAATTTTGTTGAAACTTTAAAAAGATGTAAGTGGGAAAAAGTTGAAGGAAAGTCTGTTATTACCTTAGATATTGACTCCGTGGCGACGGCTGAATTTTTGACGCTTTTCTTCTGCGTCAGAATCAGCATCAACTTACAAAGGAAATCCTTTTATCTTGCAGATAAAAAAAATTATTAAAATTGGACGTAATGATCTTCGACGTGCAATCATGGAAGTTTGTCTCCGCCTGCGAAACTTCTAAGCTTGAACACCTCAAAGCAAGTTGAGACTTTCAGAACCTTCACATTGTACTTCATAGAGTTGTCTGATCGATTTACAGAGAGTTCATGACTGCAAAGTAAAATAATCCTCCTTTTTATATCTTTAATTTTGCCCTAACATCTTCTAGCTCTGTGACTCTGTCATGAAGACGTACTAACATACGATTCGACTTACTGGTCTTTGTAATAGATTCCTGAAATTTCCTGGTTTGTGTACAAACTTTTGAAAAGTTTCGCTGTGGACAGACCAAGAAAACAAGCTTCACAATAGAAAAACGTCGAAAAAATGCCTCCGATCGGATCTCAGACAATCTCGGGCAAAAATCTGCGGTGGCCTTTTTGCGATATTAGCAAAACCGTAGCAAGAGAAAAAAGAACGAAGATTGAACGAAAACAGTCGGAATGGATATTAGTTTTGAAACGTGCGTGAAATGGAAAGCCAAGGACAAATGCGGGAATCGGGACTTGAAGAAAAAAAAACAAAGGAAAACTCTAGTTTGGTAATTACGGAAAAGTTCTTCGACAAACTGAGGCTAAGAAGTTCGAAGTAAGCTCCAATCAGTGATGCATTTGTTTATTAAATAAGTGATTTTGCAAAGTCCCGGCATGAAAACGGACAAATTTAAAAGCTCTCTACTCAAATCTTCAAAATGAGGACAAAGTTAGAACGGAAGGATAGAGCCAACGATACTGATGCTTTAGTTGAGGGGAAAATCTTTCCGGAGTGGTTTCGACAGTTGAAAATTGGGCGCATCGCCTTCGCACGTGCGATAGCATCTGCGTGTTCTACAAATCTCACAAACCCGACGCTCTTTCTCACGTTCCTCAAGCCGTTTTGTTTGTTTTCCACTGGGTAAAGCTTCAAAATTTAATGAGCAATTAGGGCGAAGAAAAAAAAGGAAATATGGATGCAAGGAGCGAAGTTGGATGTGATGGCCCAATAGGGAAAAGAAAGGATTGAGCCTCTATTTTTTCGATTTCGAGTTTGAAAGGCTCTTATTCCTCACTGCCAAGAGTCCTATTGAACGGAAAACTAATTTTAATACCACGATTTCGGTAAGCAAGGTCGTTCTTGAAATATCCCGAATGGCCTTTGTTTGATAGCCATAAAACCTGTTGAAAGGTTACCCTCAACATCATTTGTCGGAATGACCATAAACCTGAAAAATGCATGAACTCGCCAAAAGGATGACTTTGAGGGGATTTCCAGGAGATTAGCCGAGTTCCCGCGGCGTCGACGCGTCTCTTCGGCCATTCGGTGCGATGCACGTCTCCGGATCTGTTGTTCTTCTTCTGTGCTTCTGGAAAATTGACGTCTTCGGCTTTCTGTTCCCCGCGCCATCGACGTCTTCGTGCTCCACCTGCACCTGTCCGACGGCCATTTGTCCCGCTCAGCCGTCTTGTCCTCCAGTTGCGGCTTGTCCTGCGCCGGTATTTATTATCTATTATTAGATGATTAAATTTCAAGTAAAAAAAAATATGGGAAAAACATTTCTGACTCAAGGTATCTAATCCGTGTTGCGACACGTGCCGATCCTGCAAGAAAGAGCGATTCCGACGCTCCATTCTGAGCAATGCGACCTACATCGTCGCTGAGGATGTCCTAACTAACACAAACAGCCTCTCAAAAAAGCAAAAACGAGAAATCTCTAAAGAAAACTTGGACTCCGACAAGTGCAACAGTCCCGCTCTCCAGCAAATAATTCTACAGGTAACTTTGACTTGTGAAAAACAATCAAAAATCCGATGGATAGAACATTGACCGAGTCACTTCGATTGGAAAGAAGAGGATGCAAGAAGTCGCGGAGAGCACTCTTGGAGCGAGGTTTGAACCAAAAACATACAAAACATTTCAAACTTTATAGGTACAACGTGATTTGCGCTCGTGGCGACTTCTCCTACATTGCCAATACGGAGGAATACTGCCAACAGACGGTCGGAGACGTCACCTGCTTCCTCTTCAAGCAACTTTCCGACGTTGTTCGCTCACGCTTGTAAAATGTTTCCCTTTTTTGCATGCTCCTATCCTTCCGTATGTTTACTTTTCACCTTGAAAAACGCGCTTCTCACAGCCAAAATAAACGGTTTCCATTCTGTCAACATGAAAACTCGAAAGCTTCGAATGAACGAAGTCGAGACAGGGGTTGAAAAGTTATGAAGATCTTTTTTTAAAGAATGGGAAAACAATTTTACGTTACGATAATTATTCCCTCGAGGAGGACCGTAGTTACTGTAGTACGGACGTCTGCAATCAAGTGTGCATTGAAATTTTTTACGAGAAGTAATTTTTTTTTGAAATTTAAAATACTCTGTGATTCCACTTTTTCTTATCGTTTGATAGATATAATCAATTTTTTTTCTGCAGAATTTTTCATTAAGGTTTCAACTATTTATTCTTTGTTTTCTTATTCTCAACTTCTCATTTAATATGACATATACATTATGTATTGAATTTTTCTTTTTTTTCACGTTTTGCTTTTATTACTTCATCAGAAACTCATGGTTAATCTTTTTTTCGACATGCGGTGACATGTCACGTACTATTATATTCTTTGCAACGACTCGAAGTGGGCGATTGGTGAAGAGGTTTTTCTCCAACGCGCGACCCGGCGATCCTCATAAACTTGTTGATTTAGAAGCGTACACGCCTGATAAAATTCGAAATTTTGGGTTTGAAAAGTGTTCCAAAACTCTTTAAGAGTCTTAACTTTAGAATCGTCGCACACGTCGATCATGGAAAGAGCACTTTGGCTGACAGAATCCTCGAGCTTTGTGGCGTTGCTGCACCGGGGCAACAACAGGTTGGTTTTTCACTTTTTTTAAAAATGTAACCCATAAATGTATTGTTTCTTCCTTCTCAAATTTCATCATTTAAGATGCTGGATCGGTTACAAGTTGAGAAGGAACGTGGAATCACGGTCAAAGCGCAAACAGCTTCCCTCCCTTACAAGGTTCATTTTCGCGCAGCTTCATGAGAATTTTCAGGGCTATTTAGTCAATTTGATAGATACTCCAGGTCACGTGGACTTTTCTGCCGAAGTTTCGAGATCTTTGGCCGTTTGCGATGGAATCGTTTTACTTGTTGCGGCGAATGAAGGCGTTCAAGCTCAGGTTTCCCCATTTTCTGCGTTCCTTCCAAAGATTCTTCAGACGGTGGCAAACTTTTGGTTGGCTTTCGAGAAAGACATCACTATTATTCCTGTTATCAACAAGATCGATTTACCCGGGGCTGATGTTAAGATGGTTCGTTTTGAAAAAGGAAAAGGGGAAAGTTGATTTCAGGTCACTTCCCAGCTCAAAACACTTTTTGATATCGAAGAAAATGAATGTGTTTTGATATCCGCCAAGAAAGGTTTGAACGTGGGCCAAGTTCTCGACAAAGTCGTTGAGAATATTCCGCCGCCCAAGGCCGATCCAAAAAAGGTGTTCAGGTTAGTGTCATTCCGAACTTTGTGGCTGAAAAACACTTGAAATTTTTCGATTTTTCACAGAAAAGGGTCCGAATCCCGATTGTGAGATTACAAAAATTCGTCAAATACCTTTAAAAAATGCTCTGATGTTTTCCCGTCGCTTATTTGCTATTATTTCTTGCTTTTTTTAATTTCAAAAGATTTTGTGATATTGGCCTTAATCCTGCTTATGGTTCCCGTTTCAGAGGACTTCTCTTCGATTCCTACTTTGACAACTATCGGGGAGCGATCGCGCACGTGTTAGTGAAGGAAGGATCTTTGCAAAAAGGCCAGAAGATCAGCTCCTACCACAACGGACGCTCGTACGAAGTGTCGGAGGTAGTTGAAGAGGCTGAGAGAAGGACGAAGACGGATTGAGGTAGGCATCATGCGGCCGGAGATGATCCGCTGCTCGCAACTTTTTGCCGGACAGGTCGGTTACGTCGTCTGCAACATGAAGACCGTCGCCGTGAGTTTCTTCATGATTTCAAACTGCTCCAACTCGTTGAACATCTTCAGGAGGCCTTGATTGGCGAGACTTTGTATTCGGCTTCGCTAGATCGAAAAGATGTCGTTCCATTTGAAGGAATGAAGGTTTTCCGATTAATCAAAATTGAAATCAGATTATTAACTTAAGCTCGTTCAACCTACAGTTTATGCTGGTCTTTTTCCTGTGGAATCTGCTGATTATGAAAATTTGAAACAGGTAGATTTCCGCGAATGGTTTGCATAGACAGTGAAAAAAAAGCGAAATAATTTTTTTCTAAAAATCAGCAAATGAAACTGAGATAGTAAGAAAGCAATATGAAATAAAAGGCGTCAAAATAAGTAGAAACTTTGAGATTTTTCACGCTTTCAAATTCGCCCACTCACAAAGAAGGCCATTCACCTTCGTGGTAGGGAATATCCTGTAATTTCTCCAGAACACCTTGGTTTACCAGATGAAGAAGGTCTTCATATTTTACCGATTTTTTGTTTGAAGGCTGTCGAACGCCTTTGTTTGAATGACTCTTCGGTCACAGTAACTCCAGATTCCAGCAGAGCCCTGGGCTTAGGATGGCGGGTTTCTATCTTCCCATTTTTCATATTTCATTTTATTCCGGTTTCCAGATAGGTTTTCTTGGCGTTCTACACATGGAAGTTTTCGGCGCGCGTCTTTCTCAGGAATACGACGCCAGTGTCATTTTGTGCCAACCAAGTGTTGAATACAGAGCAATTATTAAGGTAAGGACGATAATTTTCATGTTTGAAGACTATCCGTATAGGATAACGATACGATAAGGAAACGGTACGATGGGAAAAGTGAGATCAGGATACTGGATCCAGGAAAGTTCCCGGACCATTTCGATGTGGAGGAGTTCTTGGAGCCGATGGTCAAGGTCTCGGTTCGAGACTTTTTCTAGTTCCTCATTTGGGATTTCAGGTTCGAATGATCGTGCCGAGCTCGATGATGGGCGTCGTCAACGGCCTTTGCTCAGAATGTCGCGGAGAAAGAGGGGATATCAACTCGATCGACGAACAGAGGATGATCATCGTTTGGAGGCTTCCACTTGCCGAAGGTTTTTCTGGGAAACTAGAATTGTTTTTTAGAATCATCTTGTCCTTTTCACAACTTTTTCCTTGCTATCATGTAGAGGAAGCAGAGAAAACACAAATGTCTCTTGAAGGCCTTCGAAACTTGGACAAAAAAAAGTTTGAAAATTATTTCTAGAGATTGAGAAGAATGATTTTCTTTGGATTTCTTAACTGAAGAATATTGGCTTTTGAAAGTTTTGAAAAATGGCTTTCTCGTTTTTTCTTTCTTTTTCTTAAAAAGTTGTCTCTTTCAGAAAAATTTTTCAATATAATGCTCTTTGAAATTTCTCACTTTTTTTGCAAAAAAAATTATTATACTTTTAAAACATCCATCCAAAAAGTGAACTTAAAAATTGTTCCCATATCTATACTCAACCGCAACTTCGGTTATTTCAGTCGTCGTCGATTTCTTCGAAAGACTCAAAAAGCTGACTTCTGGCTATGCGTCTTTTGACTACGAAAACGACGGATACAACAGCTCGAAACTCGTCAAATTGGCCATTCTGATCAATGAGAAAGAGGTAGTTTGAAATTTACGAGAAAACTAAACTATAGCAGAATCAAATCTGAATTAAAAATTTCAAAAAGTTCGCGAACGAGATTTTTCAAATCTGTATGGATAAAGGTTTTAGGTGAGCGAATTCTCTCAAATAATTCCGGCGGCTATGGCGCGAGATCGAGCACGATTACTACTGCATCGCTTGAAACGGGAAATTCCGCGACAGCAATTTGAAGTCGTCATTAAAGGTTGGGAAAAAGTTGAAGAGCTCCGTAATCTATACTAAGAACTTGCTGTGATTTTCAAAGGCGTCATCTTGAGTTTGTCCTTCAAACTTTCTGGCTTTTATGAGTCAAAGATCGACACTTCCTGTATTCAGCGTGCATCGGCCAATCGACGAAAGCGTTGTCGCAAGTGGTGATCCAGCCGATGAAACGCGACTTCAGCCAACTCCTTAAGGGTAACTTTGGAGGCGGAGGTTTTCCCCAGCCGATTCTTCTCCTTTTCACGCAATCTTGTTAGGAATGGAGCGGCTGAACAAAAAGTTGAGTCATCAGAAAAAGGGCAAAGAACGGATGAAGACCCTCGGAAACGTTCAAATTCCCAAAGAAGCCTTCCTCAACATCTTGAAGAACTGACGCAGTTTGTTATTTAGACACTTTTATTTGTTATTTTCGTTATAAATTTGAATTTGAGCTATTTCCTGTGGGGTTCTGTCACAAAATCTCATCGATACTCGTGTTTTCGTAGTCTTCCAGGCTTTCCTTTCCTTGTTTCTGCAGCGGGGCTCGCCTGAAACTTGAAAGTGGCAACTTGGGCAAAGTTATGAAAAATATACAAAAATAACTTGAGCGTTTCAAAAAAAAAAAGTTATGGAGGCTCTACTGATTTTTCTATGTAAGGTTCGAAATATTTTTCATAAATCTATGGAATAATGAGAGAAATTATCACAATTGATTTTGGAAGAAAAAGGGAAAAGGGTAAAAAAGAACATTTATTGGTGGTAATTTTGTGGAATTGGGGAAAAAATAGTTCTCTTTATGTAGAATAATTTGATTTTTTGATACCTGTGATTGGAGCAGGTAGGTAGATGGAGTTCTTCGATAGCGTTAACGTCAAAGGAAAGACTTTTTGCGTGTCGATTTCTTTTTGAGCCGTTTCTTTTCTTGAGGACGTTCCAGTTGAATCTCGGCGGTTGGAACGAGAAGCTTTTCCTGGAGTAAGTATATATTATTGAAGATCGTGTTTCAAATCCTCTTTTTTCGACTCACTTTCTGACGTCAGGAGCGTGTGGCGGCGTGTCTTGTGGTTTTATCTGGGAGTTGAGGCGTAAGAAAAAGAAATAGTTTAAGGGTACCTTGAAAATATTTGGAACAGGCATTTCTACCGGAGTTCCGGCTTTCTTCAACCTTCTTTCCACCATTGCGGCTTTTTTCTTGTTTCTTGCTGAAAAGTTCTTTTCAATTTTTTTTTCGGTGGCGTGTTTCAAGTTTCAAATTTATAAGGGAATTTTTTTTAGTTTCAAATTTACAAGGAAATTTTGAAGCTTCATGAGAAATACCAGTAAGCAATTTCAAAGTTGCCATAAATAGAGGAACTACGGAAAAGTTATTTTTCATTCTCTCAGCTAATTATAAGCGATTAATTGAGCTCTCATAGAGTCCTAGCATTTTCAAGCATAGATACTAGCTTTTCGAGGATCGAAATTCGTTCAAAGTATTATTCAATAAAGTTTTCTAGTTGATAACTTCCACTCACAAAACGTCTTCTGAGTGATGTCAGTGTGGCCCGTTTGGAATCCGGCCTTCCTTAAGATATCCAGAAGTTCATACCGGAACGCGCTGATATCCTGATGCATTCATACGTTTCATCCACCAGCAGAGTGAGAACTCACCTGTTTTATTTCGTTGACGTCATCTTCTGTGACGCCGACGTTTTGCTGCTTCGTGCGTTGCATCTGCGCGACGTAGCGCTTTACCAAGTTTCGTGTTACAAACTGAATATTCAAAGCATTATTTAGAAGTTTTTCTCATTCATCGCTCACTCTGTAGTTGTTTTCCCGGTCATTGACCACCCGCAAAATTTTTTGGTTCTGAAAATCTTTGTCTTTACCGAGTAAATTTTCCTCGACTTACTCGAATGCTTTTATGCTTTCCCAACTGTATGAACTTGGAACAATTGCAGTACCTATCCATAATCCATCGAAAGCCTGAAACTTTTAGTTTTTTTTTCCGAGTTTATTTATAATTTCACCGTAATAAAAAGTTTTAGGAGACGGTAGAATATTAAATGGAGGCGGTAGAGTGGCTGTGTCATCGAAATATTCTAGAAAAAGTTTGCTCCGCGCGAATTTCCATTCGACGTCGGCTTGGTTCTGTAGAAAACGAATTTTCACATTTTCAATTGCGAACTACCGATATGTATTGGTAGGAGTTGCTCATCATGGCGATGAGCATGTTCAGCAGAACTATGATGGAACAGCAACAGTAGCTTCCGAATATCGTTTTGCCCGTCCATTCAGAAAGTAGATGGTCTTCCTGAATTTTGAAGAAATTAAAACTCATCGGAAAGCTTGTAAATTGGATTTCCGAACTGTTTATAAGATCCAAGAAAAAGAAAAACCTTCAGCCTGAAGTGTTGCAAATCGACAAGACCGAACAACGCCCAGAACAAAGTTTCGGCAGTGTGATAAATGCTTCAATCAAAGCTACATTTTCCTCTCAATAGCTTTTCCTACCTTAGAGTCGCTTTGTACTTGTCGTCGCAGGAGTCCTTGTAAGGCTCGAGGTTCCGCGGAGCCGGTCCGACGTTGTTGGACTTCCACTTCTCGTACTGCTCGCACTCGCTGTGTCGCATCCTGGCGTAGTACCACAGCAGCTGGTGGAGTCCGCAGGCGAAGGCAAACAGAACCAGAGCGTAGACTAGGAAGAACTTGACAATGTCGATAACCATCCTTCCTGGAAACCGGCCGCGAATTGCTAGTTTTTTTTAAAGGTTTACCTAGAGATATTTTCAATGGCCCTAAATATGGATTCACGGTGAAAATGTGGACGAGCTTGAGCGAAGAGAAGATGTTGGCTGTTGCAAAGACACATTCACTGACTAGAGTCGGATCCCAGGCGTCCCAGTCACGTCTGAAGACGTTTCGGGTTGAATCATTCATCAGAACCTACCTGTGAAGATGACGAGCGATGTGGAACATTTTTGGATTCGAAGCCTCTTTTTCGACCTGCAAGTAGGAGACGGCTCTCAGTGCAGCCGTACAAAGATACAAGGCGTTGGTGATAAAGTCGAGGATGTTCCAGAGATTTCGGCAATAATCGTGAAGACCGCAGTCCCACAGTTGTTTGATCTCCACCCAGATCAAGCCCGAAAAAGTTTGGCGTGAACAGTCAAAAAGTCTATCCGAACAAACCAAGGACCCAGGCGAAGATGGCCCATTCGATGATGGTCGGTGGAGGTCCGCGCGTCTCTTTCCGATGAATCACGTCTTCTCGCTGGAAGGTGCTGTCCACGATGTTCACTTGTTGACTCGCCATGATCAGAAGAACTGAAAGATTCTTTCAATAGTTTTAAATGTTATGCAAAACTGACGCAGGAAGAAAACGTAGCTTCCAGAGTGAGCAAGGAACTTTATGAAGGGCTTTTTGACGAATTGGCCGAGCTGGGAGGACGGCGCCACCAGGTAGATTATGGCGAATATCGGAAAGCTCATCATTGTCAGCAGGTAGAAGGCGAACTGGACAACCAACTCAGAAACTTATGTTATTGAAAATCAAACTCGAAAAAAGCCGCAAGTGTTCCTGACGAAGTGAACTCCTTCGTACCACATGTCCACAAGTAGTTGTTGACAATTTGGATGTGCCACGAACTGGACAAACGTTAATTTAATGTTTCATCATCATACAGTAAGTCCTCACCCTTTTCTGTGCCAATTGAATCGCCAACTTCAAACGAGCCAGTTGCTCCTGTAGTTCTTTCTCAGATTTCAAGTGAATTCCACCTACCTGATGCCAAGCGTTGGCCGTGTAGTTGAGAACGATCTCGAGTTCTTTCGAACCGCGCACCTGATCGAGCATATGGACGCAGAACTTTTGACATTTTTGAGAGAGCTCCTGAAAACTGAAAAGATTCCAAGAGAAAACGAGGTTTTCAACCTGATATTCTGATCGGAACTCGTTCTCAATGTAGGACAACCGCCGAAGTTCCCAACTCAGTTCGAAGGCGTAAAGAATAGGATCTCGGGCCGACAGACAAATCAAAGACGGCGAAGTCAGTGCGCGGTAGGCATTTAGTCTGGATCTTGACAACCTAAGAGAGTCGTCTTCACGAGCCTTCAAATAAAAATTGTTGTTGAAATAGTTATTTACCGGGTTGAAACCGGAAATACTCACAACATGACATTCTGAGCAAGAGCATCTGACGTCGTGCGGATGAGGAACACCACCTTTCTTGTCAAGGAACAGTTTTATGCACTCGTAGTTGTCCTGGAATCGATACTTGGGGATTTTTAACGTTCTGTTAGCAATTATTTTCAAGTTTGAAAAAAAAGTAAAAATCATTTGAAAAAGCGTCTATAGTCTGTATGCCACGATTTGAAATTTCACGGAACGACATTCCGCTGTTCCGCTGCGTGCGTTCGCGAAGCGTATTTCGAATCTAGGTCACGCTTTCAATTGATTGTTATTGCTGTGGTAGCACCTGAAAGTAGAGTACCTTAATAGAAGAAAAATAAAATAAAATCACGACCAAGGTGCGCAAAGGCGCGTAGCGGCACAGCGGAATGTCGTTGCGTGAAATTTCAAGTCGTGGCACACAGACTATACGATAACTTTATAAAAAAAAATGGATTTTTAAAATCTAACCTGTCAGTTTTATATTCATTTTTTGTTCTCACTATGAAGATGGTCCTAGAAAAAAAAAAGTTCAATTTTAATTTGTTAATTCTAACAAATATGTTCTAATAATAATAATAAGTTTGTCAACCTTATGAGCGGCTAGAACGATCGGTGTGATGTCTGGGGTGAATGCCGAGTGTTCCGTTATCTCGACGCCTTGTCTCTGAATCGTTGATTTCTCTTTTATCTTCAGATGAAGTGCTGCAAAGACAAACCTCAGCGTCGAACTTCTCAATTTTTTCCAGATGCGCCACAATTATTTCCACTGCTTCGACGTTTTCTTCCCCAATCGCATATAAAATGGCATCACCCGTCTGGAATAGATTTTTCTAATTTTTTGAGGTTTCATCTCCAAATTCTATATAATTAGTTTCTCTCACTTTCATTAGATTTATGTGAGTTTTGAGTATCTCATGAATGATTTTCAGATGACGTATGCGTGAAATTTCTCAATAATATTTTCAAAAAAATAGAAAAAAACGGCAGTCTTCTTGACCGAAATTTCAAAATTTTCAAACATTTCTATTGGAGAAAAAGTAGAAGTGAAAACCTCGATATTGTGGTCGAGAAGTAATTCGATCATCTCGATGTTTTCGTTCTCGATGGCCATCAGCAGGGCGCTTCTTCAAAAATCCGGCTTTTCTTCCCAAATATCTTTTTTCCTCCTTTTTCCGTCATTTGAGAACCTTTTCAACCTAACTGTCTGCGTTTCAAAACAAAGAAATCCTTCTTTCTTTTACAGAAAGAAAAATTATTAAGAGTTTTTTAGCGGCTTGGGAACGTTTATTATCGGTTGTAAAGCGGCTTCGGAGGTTTTAATGAGGAACCAGAAACGTCTGGAAGATTTTAAAGTTCTCACAACGCTCAGATATAAAAAACTTGTTCTTTGGCCTGTTCGAGGCTCGAATGGAACAGTAGAAAATGTAAAGCTACGAATTTTGATGTCCTCTCTTTTCAGTACTATCAAAATTTAAAGAAAAAAATAAATGACAGAGTCTTAGTAAGGATCTAAAATAGGATTTTCCTTGCAAAATTAGAGTATCATTATGTCTGAATTTGTGAAAGAGACCCTTGAAGAAATTTACAAAACAACGTTTCTAACTAGCGGTAAATGGACTATATAGAGTTTAGAAAATTCAAAAGTGGTCCTAGGGATGGACGCGTTTGTTTTGAGGAAGAGACGTTCAGAATAGTCGCAAAAAAAGGAAAAGGTCCCGAAAAATGAAAGAAACGCAAACGAAATCGAATTGAATTCAATATGAGAATAGACTTTTTTTTTTCGCGAATTGGTGGCTTCCAAAAAATAAAATTCTATTTTCAAGGTTATCGAAGTTGGGTCCAATAAACACTTAAGGTTCATAGGGAAACATTTTTTTTCAATATATTTATCGAGGCTCAGAAAAGAAGACGTGAGCAGTCAATGGAAAACATGGTTCGTTGGAGCGTACTTCAGATGCTTGGAAAAAGCTGCCGTGAATAATTGCAGCCTTTTGCGTTTTTTTGTACTTCCTTGGAAAAAAATGGAAGACTAATTTTTGAAATTTAATTGCATCTTCTGGGAGAAAAAAACGTTTCGCCAATTGAAGCAAGATGGAAAAATTTTTCTAAAAAAATAAACTAAAAAAATTTAAATAATGACTTAAGTAAACTTTTTGATGAGAAACTTTGAAAAGTTAAATGAAATAAATATAATTATTGAAGTCCTTAAACCATTTTTGAACGAAATTTTTTTTAGGCTTTCGCTTTCAAAAATGACGGCTGTTTTGTTTCTTGCGCAAACTGAAATAAAATTTGATGACTGTTACTTCCTTTCGAAGCAACTTATTCGGAAATGCGGCTTGATTCAGAATTATCAAGGTTAGAAATATTTTCCCAAGGACTATTTTCGTATAACCAGAAAGCGAAATCATTGATCAAACCAGTACAAATGCAGTTTTTTTTCAGGCAGCTAGCTTTTGACGGTAAATATTTCAGATTACTTCACTCTTGTTTCTTTTTCACTAATTTTTAGTCGTACCAAGACGATTTCGTGGAACTTTTTGATTCTGTTGAGCTTTTTGTGTTGGGATTTTTCGAAACCTTTGTTTTTTAATTTTTTAATTTTCTTTTCCTCCATCTTTGAAACGGCACCTTCCGAGAGGGTCGACGCAGTTGAGGTTGAACGGCTCGCCGCCGATGTTGTCGAGCAATTTGCGGACGCTGCCGATGTCGCCGCGTTCGCACGACAACAAGAATTGTTTCTCGCGCAGTCGGACCTCATCTGAGTCGCCAACTTCTTCTCGTTAACTTCGTTCCACCACACACACAACATCCAACACGTCGCGCTTTTTCCTCTCCCCACGAATTATCGCATCCAAAAAACGCCCTTTTTGTCGACAGTAGTTATTTTCTTGGTGCTGAGAGTCAAGTGAAAGATTATATCTACGGGAAAACTTTGAATAAGGCCTTTGGGCATGGAGGAACGCTTACTTTGCATGGAAATAGCTCTCAGAAGTTAGAGAAACGCTTTCTTCCTAATCAAATGACTATGAGACCGGGAAACTCAAGAGTAAGTAATAATAAAATTCTAGGATATTCTGGAAATAATAATCAAAAACAAGTTTTCTTTTTTTAGAGTCATCAAAAATGTTTTCATGTTCAAGATTTGACCAAAGAAATCTTCAAAACAAAAGAATTTCAAAGCTGATCATTTTGATGAGAAAATGAAGGAAATAGAATGATTTTGAAGATTTTGAGGTGCTCAGAACGATTTTATAAAACGAATCTTCTAGTTTTCTAAATTTTCAAGTGTTTTTGAAAGGAACATTCAAACTTAATTTTTGTTTCCCCCTCTCTTATCTCTACCGGCATATCAGTACCTCATTCTCACTTTTTTTTTCGAAATTTTTTGTCTTCATAGCGCGCTGCCGAAAGTAAGGATGACTTGAAATAAACGTTTTGATTCCAAAAAAAAGTTATTTTTCCGATTAGTAAGCCTTTTCCTACGATTTTAAAAGTTCGAATCTGATCATTGAACGGTGGAGAGAAAGAAAGAAAGACTGACTTTCGATGCTGGACGAAGGCAGGAGAAGCGGCGGCGGCGGTGCGATAAAGTCGCCGTCGGAGTGGTCGGCGCCGCTGTCGCTCATCTTGCTTCGCGACGATGGTCAGGGCTCGGCGACGACGACGACTCGACGCTCATCGCTGGCCGCGACGTCCACTGAATTTCCCTTCAGGCGGCTTCCTGACTCCGCCTACTTTCACAGGATTAGAGCCTCACACGGCAGGTCGCATTCTTTTTTCTTCCTTATCTCCCCTTTTCAAGGCTCCAAGACGTTTTTTTCCTTGCTTGCGCAAAGAAAAACTCGAACATCCTCGTTTTCAGTGAGTTTTGAGTGGTTACGAGACTGCTTCGTGGTGTTTTGAAGCACGTCTCGGCGAGGGTTTATAGGTTTTTAGCGAGTAAAAGTAGCGCCGCATGTTTTGGCCGAGAATTATGAGTAGGGAAAGAAATATTCTCTATTCGAAATGAGGATATCTGCATCGAGTTCTGAATGAAATAATTCTACATGTTTTTCAGAAAAAAAGTTTCAAATACGAGAGAGACTGGAGAAAATGAATGACCGGGAAAAAAGAAAGAAGTTTTAGAGTTTATTTTCGATAATTCGGAAAAAAAAAAAAAACGAATTCCCTACTTGATTTCCACGAAAAATCCAATTCATTCATTTCAGAATTGCAATTAAAAATAAAGACATTTTCTTCTTGAAAAAAATTTGAAATAGTTCGCGAAAAATACCCCAAATAGTCTCATTTCAAAATCGAAATGCACAAATAACCACACAAAAAGTTTTTGCAACAGGTTTTAGGGGCGGACGGAAGGAAATAGAACTGAATGGGCTCAAATTGCTGGAAGTCTCAAAGCAACTCTTTCAAAATCATCATTTTTACCAAATCGGCTGTTTTTTTTCAAATAAAAACAGATCGTTTTTCAAGTTTGCGTGACAGCCCAAACACATGTGAAAACACACGAAACAGACAACAGAAAATGCGACGAGAAAATCTGAGTGGAAAGTTGGGAGGAGAAGAAATTGATGAAAACGGGGCTGGAAGCTTGAGGGAAAAGCGGTTTTATGAGAACGAAATTGCATTGCAAATCATCGAAAAACGTCTTCAGGCGGGCGGGTCCTCGGAGCACTTTATTTTCGTAAACTCTGGCGCGAACCGGCGCTGGTCGGATCAGAAATGGCCGCGGTGAAAGTCGTCGCCGGCGAATCGCTCGTACGACGGCGTCGTACTCTTCGTATCGTAGCCTCAAGTGTTTTTTTTTGTTACTTATTTTTGTTTTTGTCTCACTTCTCTTTTAAAAACCAAAATGCTTCAGTTTCGGGATTATTTTCGATCAGATTAAAGAAGCCACAAAACTTCAAATTAGGCCTTGCACATGCTCGCTGACTTCAAAAGAGTGTTCGGGTTAGAATGATTTTTTAAAGATTCAGTTAGTTTTTTTATGTGAATTACTTGTGATTTTAACAAGCAAAACAAAAAAACTTTCAATTTTATCGTTATTTTAAAGTTATAAAAATGTGTTAAAACTATATTTTGGCAATTAATTTATGTTTGGAGATCGATTCACTTTTCATTTTGACGAAAAAAAGGTCTAAAAATCTTTTTTCAGGCTTCCGATAATAAAATTTTGTTTTTCCTCTTCTCTAAAAAAAAATAGAATGCTTCGATTTCGGGATTATTTCTGGCCAGCTTAAAGAAGCCATGGAACGGCAGAGTTTGGAAAACAGAAAAGTATAAAAAATATTGAAGTATTATTCAAAAATAAGAAGCAACTTTAAATTCAAGTAGGTTGCGAACAGAATTCCATAGTTGACTCAACACTGATTTGATTATAGGCGAAATTTCGAAGTCTCCTTGAACTTTCCGAGAAGTCTATTAACCGCAAGAAAGCGTTTGAAAAAATGTTATCATAGTTCCAATTTATCATAGCCGCCCATCTGAACTCTCCTTCAAGACCACTCTATAATAAAAATCCCGCAGTCATTAGGAAATCGAGAAATTAACTATTCTTTCGCAGTTTCCCATCATCTTCCTGGGCTTCAAGAAGAACTGAAAATGCCTCACCAAGTAAGGACAACATGGGTGCAAGGTCATTGACTTCGGCTAAAGTCTCATTTGAAAAACAGTCGAACCAGGCAGTCAGAGCATCGACATTCAGGGCCTTCTTCACCTGTGAGGCCGAGAACTCTTGGCTAAAACCATGAAAATGATATTTCCTGGAGAATTGAACCCCACTCGCTCAGGTCGATCTCGTCGCCTATCAGCTGATGATGTCTCAGGACGTTTTCATCGAAAGGAACGTCCAAAAACTCCAAGATTCGGCCGATTTCTTCGCGCGGTTTTTGAACCAGCCTCTCGTAAAAAACCTGTGATTAAAGTTAGTGTATAACGAAGGTCTCAAAATTTTTTTACTTCTTAAAATTTAGCTCACAATTTTTTTCAAAGTCGGTGTCTTAACTCTTGAAATAAACAATCTGTTCCACCGATTTTATTTGATTTTTTTTTTCTCATTCATTGCTAAATTGAAAAAAGTTGGTGAGTATGAAAATTGAAAAACCGTGAGAATTGATTTGCAAACCAAGAACGGATGAGCTAGTTTTACGAAAACTTTTCTGATCAGCTTAGTTCTCCATCATCCCTATTTTGCGATGAACTGACCTGTAAGCAGAGGCCTGGGGCATTGCCGCACTGGAACAGCATTTTAGTAATCTCTTGATTCCACTTTCGGAACATTTGCTGCGAGTCTTCGTTTTTTTCCGAATTTGCCTTTTCTTCTGAGCTTACCGGGGGATCGGAGCGGTTGTAGCCGCCGACGGGAACTTCGCGTTCGACCATCGAGTGGACGACGGCGCGGGCGTCGCGAATCATCAGAATGAAGCGAGCGTTGGGGAAAAGTCGTCGGAGAGTCGGAAGCCACAGGGCCGTGTACGGGTCCTTGTTGCAGAGTCGCTCGGCCATCTTGTCGTGTTTGGCGACTATCTGACAAAGTGGCCTATTTTATTTTAAGATTGGGAGTTTGATAAATTTCGATTTTCTTCAAGTAAGAAAAGCTAAAAAAAAGTCATTTATCTAAATTCCAAAAAATGATGCCGATTGCGACTTTCATGACCTTTATCTAGTGCTTCAAATACTTTTTAGAGCCTAATGCGAGAAAAATTTTCCTTCAAAAGTTTATAAAACGGGACTTTTAATATGTAAAGGTAAAGGTAGTCAAAAACAAGAATTTTATTCATTTTTTTAAACCAATTTTTTTCCCCGGATGAAAAAAATTTTTTTGACAACTTTTCGATGGCTCCAAAAAGTTTAAAAAGATAGGTCTTCTGTGGAAGATTCTAAAAATAACTCCAATTAATTTGAAAATTTCTTCGCTGAACTGATTAGCAGTAGAATCCATAGTTTAACACGTTCTACCACCGAAGATTTTCTTTTTTGAATTTGACGATAAAGACCTCGGAAATGAAGGCCGAAACGGCGAGATCAAGGACTTCTGGAGTGATTCCTGAGCCATTCATCCATTTGTCGCCCCGCCAGCCGGATTGCCACTGTAGGAATTGCGGCAGCATCATCGTTTCACCTCCACTTCAAAAGGAATGAAATCGCTGAGCAGAAACTAGGATATCTCCCACCAACGGATGAGAGAATGGGCGTCGAGCATCGCCCTCATCAAGGTGGTTCCTGAACGAGGAACTCCACCTGCACTCAATTTTTTCCGGTTCAGATCTAACTTCTTACCAACAAAAATGTAGGGCTCATCGATAGACAATATCCTTCTGGGGAATCGTATTTCATCGTCTGAAGGTGCAAGTGGATAAACTTTTGCTATGAACTTTGCGTTTTGGAGCTCCGCTTCTAGCTGTTTCCTGAAGAAAAGTTAAAAACTTCAAAAAAAAAAAATCTACTTTCATAATATTCTTTGTTCGAATATATTACCAACCTTTATATATGAAGCTTTTTCTCATGCATTTTACTTTTGGAAATTTGATTAAAAATGATTTTGGCATCCATCCTTCATTTTTAATATTCCTATCCCTCATTTCCCAGGCATATTTAAAAAGAAGATCTACTTTTTCCTCATTTTTCAAAAATTAGATAAAATAGTTCTTTCGCGACCTTTCAACGACTGAAGCAACAAGTAGAAGAAGAACGACGACGAACGCGACACCAAGCAGTCTAGAGGACGACGTCGTCGAGGCGAAGCGGCGGTTCATGCTGCCGGATTTCTTTATTTGTTCAGCTCATCCCATGATAAATGTTTATTATTCAAATGAAATCTCGAAAAATGCAAATGTAAAGAGGGAATTATTTGGCGAAGACTTGGTCGGCGGTGAGTGGATAGACGGCGCCGGGCATCGACGTCCGGAAGACCGACGAGGAACGACGCTTCTTGCCGCGTGACGTCGTCTCGGCCTATGACGTCACTGTGTTGGTCATCGGGAGTGGTTGAGGTGAAAGGTAAGGCAGGGCTACTGGTACGGTCACGGAATCAATCTTTGAAGGAATCGGCGAATTTCATGACAATAGTGGAAAATATACATACACCGAAGTGAGTGGAAAAGCCCAAAACGTGGAGCAAATAGTTTAAAAATTGAGATCGTTTGAGGAGGCGTGTCGACTGGATCCCACGGACACGTAGGTCAGCTTCTCGTCGAAGATCTGAAAAAAGCGGTGGACTAGCAAAAGCCAAGAAAATTTTTCTTTTTGAAAAACAGAGACTCGATGGATGGATTTTGAGTTTGTCGAACCAAAAAAAATGGCGCTTGTAGAAAACCTAAAATTTCTCTATTTTCTGGAGTCCTAAATTTTTTTTCACAAGTTTTGAATCAAACGTGATAAAAAAAGGGAGGCTTTTTTTAGAATAACTTTTAAAAAAAGGTTTTAAACTTTTTGATAGTCTTCTTCTAAAAGTTACCTTGTAGCTTTTAAAAAGAAAAAAAGAATCAAAATGTTTATCTTGACTTTAGACTCGCAAAACCTCTCATAGCAAATAATATTCATTTATACTTGCCATCCACCTCTTCTCTCTGAATTGCCACACCAATGGAAATCAACAGTCCTCCCAACCGAACCGATACCGGTCCCGGGTGGTTTGACCATTTTTTTCTTTCCAAAGCACAAACTTTGACGTTGCCGCCGCCGGGCTTGTGGCGAATGTTGTCCTTGGAGCCGACCTTGCTTTCCGCCTTCCAGTCCAGCTTCTGGTTCAAAATCTGCAACGCAACCGCACTCGTGCATTGTGACTGTTTCGAGCTATGGAAAGAATTCATCTCTTTCGGAGTTTTATATACCTCCGTCCCTATGAACCAACTTTTTTTCGAATTACAAGGCCACCGCAATTTTTCAGTGCAACACGGCCTTGCACGCCTAATTTACTTTTCACCTTGAAATTATCCGCTACTTCAACGAAAAAAATAGTCGTGTGAAATGTAAAAACACACGAAGAAACGGCAAAAAACACATCACAAAAGCTCAAAACGTGGAACTCTGTGAAAGAAATATAGAAAACTAGTCAATGAAGTTTCAACTCATCGAGTTCTCTGACCACGTTTTCAAAACTTCAAACGTAATCGTTCTTTCTTTGACAAGAATTTCTGTGAACCTTCCCGAACTTTTGGTTTCCAACAACTCATCACTGGAAACCTGAACGTTTCCGCCTTGAGGCCGGTGGTTGGCGTTCTGCAGAGATCCGACCTTGGAAGCGGCGGTCCACTCGAGTTTCTGCGAGATAATCTGCAAACAAAATGACATTGTTGAAAAACTCGGCAGTGTGCATTTCGATTTTTTTTTCCCTGAGGTTTGAATTCTGGTTTCCTCTTTTCTTCTTGAAAAAAATAAAAAGCTATTCCGCAAACATAAAAAGGAAGCTTTCCTGCTTTCATATTATTCGACTTACATCTCACCTTTTAATATTCACCCCAAAAAATTTAAAACAACGTTCAAATGAAGACAATCCAAGAATATTCTTGCCTTTTTCTCGCTCTTCGCCGGCGTGTAATCCGTTTTCGAAGCAACTCGAGGCTTGGCCGTCGCCCCAAAGTTCAACTTGATTGATTCAATTTTCACATTGCCGCCGCCTTCAAACTCAAGTTTTTTAAGTAAAATAAAATGGGGATGTTCTTCACGTTTGTGGACTTTAAAGGTCTTGGGGTTTAAACCAAGTTTAGTTTTTCTTGCAATTGAAAAAAGATAATGCTCACCTGGAGTATGATCGGCTTTCTCGAGAGATCCAACCTTAGATTTTACATCGTAGGTCTGAAAAAAGAAAAAATAAATTTAACTTTTTGTACTTAATCTAATTTTTTTTTTCAATCAAAGCTAACTAGCAGATCGAAATTTGAATCAGTGGACCAACCTTTTTTTCTCAGAAAATATTTCAACGTTACCGCCGCTGGGCTTATGATTAGTGACTGATCCAACTTTTGCTAAAAAAATCTTAAAAAAATATAAATTATCATTTTTTTGAAAAGTACCTTCTAACATTGGCGTATTTCGCGTTGACTCGAGGCGTTGTAGATCCCGAATTGACTGTAATTCCTTCATTATTTTCACTATTAATAAGTGAAAGGTAGTTTTGAACGAATGTAAGTGACACTTCAAAATCAATTTTAAGCTTTTTACAATTCATTGTTTTTGCCTTTGATCGCGCCACCATAGCCAATTAAATATTACCTTTCAAGTTTTTTTTTCTTGGATCCAATATTTTTTGAAACTATTTCAGAAACAATATTTCGAAAAAAGAAATCATTTAAAATAGGGACTGTTAGAACTACCACTTCCTTACAGACACTACTTGTTTTGCCCTTAACTAATTGAGATCTTGTCTTTCGCCTTTCAGCTCACCGATTGGCGCCGGTTTCGGCGTGGCTGACCGCGAGTCTGAACGAGTATCAATTACAGCGAACGAGTTGGGCGGCAAACCATTTCTCGGCGGTCGGCTGCGGCTTCCCACTGCGGGCGACCTTAACATTCCATTCTCACCTCAATTATTTCTCTTCTTAACTCATTTCAACTGAATTTATCGATATTCACATTTGAAGGACATGTGAACTAGGAAAAGATAAAGAACTCGTTGACATCAACGAAAAAAAAGTGACGCGTTTGCTCAAACAAGAAAAACGATAACCTTTGAAAAAGACCTTTCCTGGTTTCCACTTTGATAACCGAATAAAATGAGCCTCGAAATTTGCAAAGTGAAACTGGTTGAAAGCAAAATTGACTTTTTTTGTTGATTTCCTTTTTACAGAACTGCACGATTAGAAAAATAAAATAAATCATAACGCCCTTTTTTTTCCCAACTGCCTAAACCCAAAGGGCGCAGAACAAGTCTGCGCCTAACAAAGTAAAATCCAGAGAAAATTGTACATTATATTATCTACTATTCCTCCTGTTTCAAACGTGGAGAAATTGAGAAGGAAATTGATATACTTTTTGCTTTCCGAGCGAATTTTCAATGAACTGATGAAACTCACGCTGGTGTCTTTTTCGGCGTTTCAATGGAATGATCGGGGACCTTCTGCTCGGCTCTAGGAACATATTGCATGAATTAGGAAACAAAAGAGCAGCCGAAAAAAGAAACCTGCTAATCGCCGCTCGTTGGAGGCTTTTGATTTGCGTTGGTGGCTTAATTCCCGTCCTTCGAGGCTTTTCGTCCTGCGGCGGCGGCGGCGGTGTGTTTTCACTCGCCGGAACTGCCTGAAAAAAGTCGGTTTTATCTGAAAAAAGGAGTCAAATGTACTAAAAATGTTCCCGGAGTAATATATTTAAAATTTCATCGATTTCAATCAATGGATATGATAAACGGCTAGGAAGATAGATCCCGTTCAAAAGGAGACTCACGCTTTCAGAAGACTCTGGCGAAGACAACGGAGGGCTATTCAATTGAAGGCGTCCGACGTCGACCTCAACCTCTTCTGAATTCCTTCTCTCGTCGGAATTGCTGGTTGGCGAGTGCTGCTCTTGGGTCGGAGAGCCTTCCGACAGGCGTTCTTCCTGCTGAATAGTCAAAAAATAAGATGCGAAAGGATAATTTCCTATTTTGCAGTTCATCGTATTTGCATTAAAGAATCTCTTATAATAAGTGGGACTAACACCTGTCTAATGCAAACAGCTGTAATTGACAGCGTCGGCTGGAAAGCGACGCAACAACGGGGGAGCATGAATAATTAAGGAAAAGCCAACAAAGGCGGTACCCCGTGAAAGTAGTTGGAAGTGGCTGCGACCTCCATCGGTGGCGGCGACTCGACGACGTCCTTCTCAGCGAAGAAAACGGCGATGGCGTCGTCCTTCTGGCTGGCGACGTCTTCAACCTGGTCGGCGACCGCTAACGGCGGAGCCGCGACCAGATCGACGAGGTGTGGCTCCGGTTCCGGTTGTGACCGCAAACAATCGTCGAAGCTCGGCAGCTGCTCACTCTCTTCTTCGGTCGGCTCTGGCTCCGGCTTGAGCTCGAGCTTAAAATGCCGAATTTTTGAGTGGGATAAGAGCGTGAGATTTCGAGAAGCATGTGAATTGCAAAACAAGGCTGAAGCATTGTATGATACGAAAAATGCATAAAGAAATCAAAAATAGAGGTGCGACTTTTCAGTGCCAGAAATATAAGGACGTTAAATCAGTAGAAAGTTAGAAATATTGGAGTCCATACCATTCCAATTTGAAATAACTACTAAAGAAATTCTTTTAGTTTTCTGCAATGGAAATTGTTCTCTCTACAATTATATGAGGTTCCCAAAAAAAAATCTACCTACTCCTTCAAAATTCGTCTGAAACTTGTCCCAAATTGAATAAAAATGCTCTGAAACTCTGAAAGATTACTTTTTGGAGCATTTTGAAGCGGAACAGTCTGTTATTTTAAAATCCGCTCAATTTCAAATGTAAAACATGACAGGAAGAGTCGAAAGATGTAACGAAAGGTATACAAAACGAGATCTGTAACATGGAAATGACGGCGAGGTGCGAAGACGAGGAAAAGGGAACGACCAGCTTTTGTTAGAGTTCCTTACAATTTCCAGCTGACTCTAACAAAATTCGGAGGAAACGCCGCACATCCGGCTCTCCCAATCATTTTTTCTGTTTTTTTTTTTTTCTGAAGGACGGAACAAGATTTGGAGATAACTGAAGACGTCGAGGTGGCGTGGCGGCAAAGAGAGCGAATGCCGCAGGATCAATGAGTGCTAGCGAGGCCGAAAGAGCTCCGTGAGCCCGCTTCTGCCGCCTCCCACCTTTTGTGTTGTCGCTCCATGCATGAGTAGTGCCGATTCGGAACGACACGAACAGGTGTGTTGGCCTTTATGAATTGCTTCGAGGAGAAAGACCAAGTATTCTCCTTTTCAAGTAAGGCTAACATTGACCTCTTTAGATGTATGCGGTTTCATTTCTGAATGTTTCAACAAACAAAAGACCTGATATAAAGGAGCAAAAATTGTCTGGAGGTGGAGATCTGTAGGTGTGAACTGGTACAGAAATTGATATTGAAAAACTCTTTTTAAATTATCGTTTCGCTGCGTTTCCTTCGATTTTTTTTCAAAAGTGTTCAATAAAAAACTTGGATGACCGCCCAGCAATTTTCTCCTCCTCTTGCGGTGGTTTTTCTCCTTTTGAAAAATTGAAATTTTGTGGACGACTGACAACAATACTTGGATACACAAAAATTTTTGGAGATCTTTTTCTCCAAAATAACTTTTCATTTTTCATTTAAAGTTTTTTCTCTCTATACCATGGAAAATTTTACAATATTTCCAGTATTCAGTAGGCGGCCTTTGAAGACCTTCAAAAGAGAATAAAAAGGCTTATCACCGCATGTTAAAATTTTCGAATAGACCTGCTAGCGTCATTTTTAAGGACTATTTATTTTTACCAAAATGTCACTAGGAACGATTATAAACTGTCAAAAACGCATGTGAATCTTCCTAAGCTGCTTATGCCTGAATAAACACGCACAATGCCTCATTAGTACGAACGAGAAGCAGAAATGAAGTTTTGAGAAGAGAGGAAATACTGAAACTTTGAAAAGTTATATTCCAAAAAACAAAAAGAATGAACTCCGATAGTAGGCGACAAAAAAGGCAAGAAGTTTGTGGAAAAGTATCTCGCCATGTTTGAATCGATGGAATCTTTTGAAGGTCTTTGAAAACTGAAGAGTCATTGGAAGCTCAATAGGAAATGTCGAATCAGCAGTTTCCGACGGAGACGGACAATTTGAATCGAATCCGCACTCGAAGAGGATGGGAAGCGGGTCTGAAGACGCGCGACATACAGGGCGAGGCCAAGGTAATTGCAGCAAGTCGTTTGAATGGACGGCCGCCCAGGGAGAAGTGCGATGTGCGAGAAAAATCACTGCAAAAACAGTGCGACGTGAAATCAATGGAAAAAATCGGCGAGGTGGAGACTGAACGACGCTTGAGCAAACAATTTTCAACTCGACACTTGAATCGAATCCGATATCGCAACACAACGGACGGACGCGAAACCGACAAGAGGACACGCTAAACAAGCGAGCAGAAGCCCCGAAATTGGGTGTGGCTGAAGGCGTGAAGGAACCTGGTCGGCGTCGGCTTCTTCTGAGAGTTCGGACAACGCCTCCTCGACATCGCTCATCTTTTCTTTCTGCATTTTTCATAGTTCAAAAGAAAAAATAATCGTCTATTTTTGATACACCGCTGGCTTGATCCTCTGTTTCTAAGCATTCAAGAAATCATACATGCGAATGGAAAAGATTTTAATCGTTTCCCATTGATTAATTTTTTCAACGAGCTAGCGGTGAAAAGAATATCAGATTACTCGGAATGGCAAAACGGAAACCAAAGTTGGCTCCCATTGTATTCAAAGGGTTTCTATTTATATTTGAAATATATTAGGGAAAAAGTGAGAAACTGAAGCTTCTGAATGAAAAAAGAAAATGTTTTTTGATAGCTGTGAGGAGGTTTCTGCTCATCCGCAGTCTCATAAGCCTTGCATGAAGTTTTTTTTTCTGCGCCGTCCGTCTTCTTATCTGTCTGTTACCCCCAAACTTTCGTTCCTATGCATTTTCCTGGTAGACAAACAACGCATAAGAGGGAAAGACATCGCAGCAGCGCTCAGAAATTCTCGCAAGCTTGAAAACTGAGACCGCTAAAAACAAAAAAAAAATCCCTCAATATTTTCAAGTACGGTAACCGTTGCGACCGCAAGAGAACAAGCCATGATACTGCGACAAAACTCCTTACAGTACAAGAGAAAAAAACTAACTTTTTTTCAAATTATTTTTAATCGTGCAAGTATTTATTGAAGCTATTTTATTTATCAGTATTCATGAGTACTTGTTTTTTTAAACGTTCATTGTTTTCCTCATTCATCTGTCTAAGACTGCAACAGTTTTTTGTTTCTTTTTTAAAAATTCAAATTTCAATTATTTTCAGGAGAATGACGGCTTCAACCGCATTGTTGAAGATAGTAGACCCAAAAAATTATTACGAGAGCTATTTATCTGCTGGCGTATATCCTGAAGGGCGTTCACTCCGATCCTTCCCCAGGCTTTCTTTCAAGGTTTCGTTTTATCCTATATTTCCCAAAATATAAGAATTTCTTCTAGCAAGGAGAATGTGGAGGAGTTGGGTCGTCTTTAGTCAGCAGTGGTGGTGTAACTGTTTCCTGCTCGATTGAAGCTTCAGTATCTCTGTGCAATGATTTACGTCTCATAACTGCATCCGTTGCGCCGACAACTCAACTCAGCGAGGTATTTCTCTTTGAAAGTTTTCTCAAGGTCATAAATTTTTCATTAATATCTTTTTATGAGGTTTTCTAGCTTTTTTTTTCCTACCAATATGTAATATTTAAAAATGATTACCGAGCCTGACGAAATGATAAAATGAGTAATTTAAAAAACTTCGTCCTTGGAATAATTTTAAGCTGTCAAGTGCCTCAATGAAAGTCTTGGAAGAGTGTTTTTTTGAAGAAAGAGTCGAACGAAATAACGTCTTGTTTGATACGACTTCTCGATCAAGGCTCCTTCGTCTCCAAAGAGGCTTTGCGTTGTAAAAACGTCGATGGGGAAGATCTACCGTTGACTTGGAATTTGGAAGTCGTCATCAAGATTATGAGCGCGGATGGTTGTCTCATGGACGCAATTATCGTTAGTTTTTCTGTCTTTGCTCTAACTTCCAGTTTTGCAGTGTTCCGTAGTCACAGCTCTCCGCAACGTGAAGCTTCCCCTAATTAGATTAAATCACCTTCTGGAAGACGAATCATCAATAGAAAAGAATCAAATTTTGATTGAGCGACAGGTTTTTTTTTCCTAATTCCAATTTTTCTTTTTACGTTTGCAGAGTGTTTCTCTGAATGATGTACACGTTCTCATGTGCTGCACTTTTGGACTTTTCCTAACGAAAGCTGGAGAAGAAGTATGGAAAAAATTGCATTGGAATTTTTATATTGTAAAATTAGATTGTTCTTTGTGCTCCGAATTCGGACGAGTTGAACAATTGTGCGGCCAAATACGTGATGATTGTCAGTGGAGAAGAAGAAATCGTCCTGTTGACAGGAAATGGATCCAGCAAAGTTTTTGATAATTTAAGAGTTGGTTCCTTCAAATTACAAAAAGAATCATCTATTTTTAGATTTTCAACAGCATTTGCTCGAAAAGATGGAAGCTTTTCAAAGATGCCCTCGATAAACCTTCATAATAACCATTTCGAGTTGAATTGTTGATTTGTCTGTTTTCTCTCAATACGTAAAATTTGGATCATTTTACTTGTTGAACTGACTTTATTACCTGAGTTTACCTCTTAATTACCTTTTTTCTCTCAGATAATTTCTTTTGAAAAGATTTCAGATACTCGACTGTATACAATTTTGATCTTTGGGTAAATGTGGAATGGCCTACGAAAGTGAGTTTTATATTTGAAAAAAAAAATACATTCCAAGATTATTTTTTTTTAAATTGAATATTAGAAATAACGAAACTTGAGAAACTGACATTTTTACCGTTTCATCAATTTTTTGTAGTTTCGTCTGAATCAGTAATAAAAGGCATATGGTTCTGAATGTTAAAATTTTCATTTTAATCTAAGCGTTGACAAGTATACAACCTTTTGTTAAAGGCATAGGGGCAGTAAAAAACTGCGTTTCAGTTCAAAGCAGTACTTTGTAGAGCTTTTCATTGCGAATCGAACGGTGAACTTGGAAACGTACAGAAGTTCCTAGTTTTGGAGAAAAAATAATTCAAAGTCGGAGAGAGGAAAGTTTGAGTTCCCGCAAAAAGAGCGCTTTGCAGTAAGGTTGCTCTATCGACAACAGGCTTCGCCAACTTCCGGATTTTCGCTTTTTTCTTCGTTTCTTTCAATTTTCAATTTTTTCTGTTGTCACCAAAGTTCTTTTCGTCACAAAAGCTTTCTATTCATGTATAATTTGCAAATTTTGATCGCAAAAAAGCGTTTCTGGTGAAAAATGATGATTTTACATAGGTTTCGATTGGGATAGCGATTATTTGTGTTTTCTTTATTATCAATGTGTGTTTTCTGTTTTCTCAATCGATTTTTCAGAGAAGAAACCCTTAATTTGAAGCAGATAGCCGGTTATTTCACACAAAATGCGAGTCTAATGAGACGTCCGCAACATCGCGTGTACGGCTACTGTAATCAGTTGTCTGCATACCGATCCAAAGCTTTTTTCAAAATCAAAGGCGGGAAAGTAAAATTGCGTTTTTCTTCTAAAGTTGTCACATCTGTAATTTTTTTGAGTACACCATTCGATTCGCAAAGAAAAACTGTATAAGATACTTCTTTCACCTGAAACACCATTTTTTACTGCCCCTATGCCTTTAAGTTAAAGTTCGAAAAACTTATTTTTTTTTTGTTTTCAGAAAATCTCATTCGCCTTGCTGAAGATCTGAAAGACGTAAGCGTAAAGGAATTGAATTCGATTGACTTTTTCCTGCTCCACTCGCAGTCTTTTCACCTCGGAAACAGTTAAAATTCTCCTTTTTTGTCATATTTTGTGCCTTTTCCAGATCTTTACAACTGCTTATTAGAAGAAAACTTCCGTCGCAACCCCACATATTCATACGCTCAGGTTTTTTTAATTTTACTATTTATTTATAATGCACATGTTCTCAGTGTGTTGCTTGGCTGGCTTTCGCGGCTCATTCGACCATTCAGGAAATGGTGCCGCGCGGAAATTATACGGGAAAGCCTAGGGCTCACTTGAGCAGGTCGAGTTATAATTAGTTCATATATTCTTCTATCTCAACATTTTAGACTTACGGATGTAGTTCTGCCTAGACGAACAGGTTACGACGAAGAAAGCGAAAACTTGATACAGGTACCGATTTTTTTTTATTAAAAAATGTAGAGAAGATTTTCAGATTGAAAAGCTCTTGAATATTCTCCAGCACTGTGATTTTAGCAGCTGGACTGACGAACATCGGGTCATGTTTATTTACGGTTTTTGTTTTGTAGCTGATTTAATCGAAATAACTGTTTCAGCTCTTCTGAAAGCTTCTCTTCGATTCCCTCGACCTTGTGAAGTACCTGAAATTGGAGCTTTCTTGCGATTGGTTGGAAAAAGATCTGATTTTCTGTAAATCATTCAAATTTAGTTGTTTTCCTACGAATCCAGTCGTGTTTTGTCGGGGTCATTAGCAAGCATTTTCACAAGTTTGACAGGTTTTCGAAGTTCTCATTTTGAATCTAATACCAATTTTGAGACGACCCGAAGCAGTTGCGAGATATTATGGAAATGCTGTACTTGGCGACTTTTAATGTAGAGATTCCTGTGATGATGACTGCTGAATATTTTATCTGCGTTTCGGAACGCGGTGAAGTTGCTGAGATGAAGCCCAGCTTCGAGGTGAGACCAAGTAGTTATTTCAAAAAAGGCAAAAATCAAAAAAGGCCGTTCTTAAGTCCTGCAAAGGATTGTATAACTTCAAAATGATTCTTGGAAATCGGAAAAAAAGCGTCTTTCATGCTGTTACTTTGTCTTTTCAGCGTGTGCAGTGTGGACCATTTTATTTTTTTTCAAGGCCCTTTCCTGTATAGCATTTTTTTTGAGCAAAATTCTGTTTATGAACCCTTTTTTTTCTTTTTAATATCTGAACTCCGTCTATCAAAATTGTCAAAAAAACTGAAGATGTCATTTTTTAGGAACCGAAAAGGATGTATGTCAGAAAAATGTGCGAAATAATTGATTTACTTGTGGTTGATGTTATGGAAAGGACAGACGTGAGTTTTTATCGGCAATTTTTCAATTCGATAATTTATTTTCAGCAGGCTTTTATTCGGGATCTTGTGCGCTATGTGATAGATGAAGAGATTGAAGGAATGTATGGGGTAGAGGAGACCAGGCAACTACTTTTGAAACTGGCATAGAAATCAGCTCGTCTTCTTTTTTTGAATCCGCAATTGCTCAACGCGCTGAGGTCGCTCTTTGGTTTAAGTTAGGGTTGCAAAGAGGAAATTCTCATCTAATCGATTGAATCGAATTAATCTTTGGAAGGAATCGAACTTTTTTTCGTTTCTAGTTTGACCTAGTGATTCATACTGACTCACCTTAGCGACGAACGTACACAAACGCGCGCCGCGGAGAACCCCGTTTCTCTGCTTCTCTTATTCTTCACAATGTCTCACTTTATCTCTCTCTTCTCTAACCGCCATGATGTCATGCGATTGCAAAATGTTGTGCAATAGTGGGTGGCGCTTTTCGGCCTTCGCGTCTTCGGCCATTCCTTTTTCTTTCCCTCTTCGCCTCCACTCACTTCTATAACCTCGTGATCTATTGTAAATAATTTTTAAAGATAGAAATTAATCACTCGATAGAATGTAGAAATATTTATAACCTCTAATTTCGTAATCGTTAAACAGCGTTGAACATTTTGAAAGATTGGTCAGACCGTAATGTATGTAGTTTCACCTTTTTCATCGTTTTTTTTTTCATATTTAGAGTTCCTTCTTGTATCATGGTTCATTTTTATATTCATGTACTAATTGTTATGTACGCGACGCGTCTTTTGATTGATATTCGTTTTTGTTCAAGTTTAAAATATTGAAGTAAAATTTTCAGGGACCCAGCGAAGGTCCCACCGTAACCGCGACTCGTATCGGAGGAGCGAACAAGCTATCAGTGAACGACTAGCTTTCCAAGCAAGGTATGTGTTAATCAGGAACATTTTTCGAATAAAGGGAATCTGTCGATGAATTGGGACTTCAGTAAATGGATCTTAACACGCTCACTGGATATTTTTGAAAAAATAATACGGTTTAGTTTCTGTTTCTCAAGAAACCAAAACTTTGGGAATATGATCAGCAATGATAAGAATACAGTTTACCTTCTAGATTTTTCCATTATAATATTATTTTTTTTTTCAGAGCTTTCCCACCAGCGCCCTAAGGCGGCCGTTTGTCACTAGACTTCGAAGATCTTCCTTACGACTTCTTCAGTCCAGAATGCAATTCATCAACGCTACTAACATGTTCGCCACAAATGACGATGCCGCCTGCGGTATGAATATCCTTGAAAAGCATATCTCATGGAAAACTTCAGGCAAGTACGACGCCCGGCGGGTTTTTGGGTTGGCCTCCATCGCCACCGATTCCCCCGCCGGATCGTGCTCCAGCTTCGCATGCATTCCAGGATCAGGCACGCCGCAGGTTCCTGCAGGCTTTAGGGTTTGCGGATAGAACCGAAAAAAGACATCTGAATTTTCTACTTCAGAAACAATGTGACAGGCGACACGAAGAAACGACGACGAATTCACGACTATACGGATTGCGAGTTAATCTTGGTTCTGGATTCGAAAAAGACTTCGACGACTCCCGAGCAAACTTACACTGTGACATCAACTACGACGACGACACAGATTCACGAGATTTCCACGTACTTCGACGAAATGACGGACGACAGCTTGTCTCCGACCTCTTCCTGCGACATGAATGCATATCGCGATTTGAACGGTAAATCGCGGTAGTTGGATATGGATGTATACGGAGGCGTTGCAGAGCCAATGAGTTCGTCCTTGCTCCTCACAGAGGACTTTGAGGCCGAAATTGGCCAAACTGCGCACTACGGTCTTTACAATGGTATGTAAGATTGAGGTGAACTCAGTTAAAGTTTTGAGTTTTCAGATTACCCGACCACCTACGATTTCCCCACTGATGCCAACGCTTATTTGCCCGCTCCGTGCGGCCAGCCAGAAGACGCCTTCGACCTCGATTCGCTCATGAACTGCGACATCACCTCGCTCGACGCCTACATCCATTATGAAGCGATCGAAGTCGCCGAATGCGTCGAGGTCCAGCAAACGTACACCGAACTCGGTCCGTCCACCTCCACTTGGCAGCCTCCAGTTGCCTCTCCTGTCGACATTGATCCAGTCGAAGAGTTCTTCCCAAACCTCGGCTCTGACTATCAAGGTAGCACTCCATCAGAATTCAGCCTTCATTCAGTTTTTGCTCCAGGATCCACTCGCTCGCGTAAAAGCTCCAAGTCTACAGCATCTCCAGAGCTGTCCGACTATCGGGTTAAGCGCGACAAGAACAACATCGCTTCTCAGCGGTCGCGCCAGAAACGACAGCAGCTGATCCGCGAGACCAAGGAGGAGAAGGACCGACTCGAGAAGAGAAACGTGGAGCTTAAGACCTTGCTGGACACGCTCCAGAACCAGGTCGACGACTACAAATCTATGGTCCTCATGGTGGTCGCCAAGCGTGGCGAGTAAGCGTTCAATGGCTCAATTGTTTATTTTTCTTTGTTACATATTTTGGGTTTATGGTGTATCTCTCAAGTTAACATATTTAATCCTCTCCGCGAATTTGTCGTAGTGTTTAGATTGTTTTTATTCTGTAGCCTTAGAAATAAATGAATAAAAATAAGTAAAGCGTTCATATACAACAAAAAAAAGCTTTTTTTTCCAAGTTCAAACGTCTGAACGTCGGTCGGTCGGTGTCTCTGAACGAGATACATCGTGAGAAATGATCTATAATCAGAACACCTGGAGAGAGGGTGTGAAGAGGATACTCTTGTGGAGTTGTCGGACTCGTCGCCATGTCTCTCTTGCCAGTACCCTCGAGATCGTTGCCTTGCGAGAGATTCTGACAGTAGAACTGGTTTCCTAGCAACTTTCAACACAAGCCTTGGACATGTTGAGGAGGGAAGACGGCCTCAGCATGTCTGTGAGCGACGATTTCTTTGACATTTCTTCCCTGCAATTTCTTAGGTTTGTCTGAAAATGTTTATGATAAACTATAGCAGACAAAAAAGCAGAGTGGCTTTCAAGTAAAAGCCGCAAACATGAACTTACGAAGCTAGATCTTATGCGCTCTATTGAGAATATCTTCCAATTCAACAGTAAATCCAAGATTGAATTTTTAAAAAAAGGAATTCAATTTCTAAAAGAATAAAGTTAAAAGAATCATTTTGACTTGCAATTTCCATACATTAATAAATGGAAATTGCAAGTCAACAACCTTTTTGACTTGTTCATGAAGTTTTGTATACTTTTCCCTCTTTATCCGATGGAAAACTCCAACTCACGGCTTTATCTTGACAATACGTTCTTTGACAGAACTCGAGCGTCGTTCTGTGTTCCGAGGAACCATCCGAACTTGAGAGACGCTTCGCGGAAGTCTGGAATCCATCCTCAGTTTCCAGAAAGAAAGTCCCTTACTTGATATGAGCCAGAGAGCCTTCACGTCGGTGGTAGCGTTTTTCGTGGGCACTCGCTTCAGAATAAAGCGGGACCCAGTCGTCGTCCCAGAAGTCGTCCTTCCTCAGCTCTGGCGTCCTCCCGTACCCATCGTCCACGATTTTCAATCCCATCTGGGTGATTTTGGTTTTAGGAGAGCTCAACAGGATTAATTAATTGGACTCTTAGAAAAGAAAATGACTGAAAAAGCTTGCTTATAACTGGAGTTCTCTTAAAGCTTTCTTTTTATTTATTTTTTTTTATGGAGCACACATTTGAGATATGATCCGACTTATAAGAAACTTTCAGACTCACATTTTGATTTAATTTTTTTAAATCTGATTTTGAATTTTTAACGGGTGTAATGCTAATAAATAAATATTCTCAATGTGAAAATACCGCGAAATTCCTGTCGATGAGCATATTCGTCTCGAAGTCGTCATCGTCTTCTCCCCACGGGTTGAGAAGTCCTTCGGCCACCTATACAACTAAAGAGTAATAAATTAATGAGAAAAAACCAAACTTTGAGCCAGCCCATGTAGAGAACGAACTGAATACTTGTCATGAAGGGAAAAACCAAGTCAATCTGAATTTTTCTTTATTTTTAGCGTTTAATGAGTTATGAAGCTAATTTGAAGTTGCACTCAAAACTTTTTAAAGAGGTGGATAATTAAATACGTAAAACTTCCAAAGATCAGATTATGGACTTAACGAACATTTTGACTAAACTTTTTTTTTTGCTTATAAATTAAGTGCAATAGAAAAGTTTTCAAGAAGCTGTTTGAGCTCTTAGACTCCAAAAAATTCAATTACAAACCATTTCGTTCTTCGATCCTTCAACGTATTGTCGAGCCACAACGCAAACCAGAAAATATCTGAAAACGTCATCGAAAATAAATTTTAAAAAGCGAAAAATAATTGAATATTAGTTGAAGTTTTATATTATTCCGATCCGTATGACCTCAAGAGAAACTTTTATTTTTTGAAGTCTGTTTTGAAATGAATACCCACATGTGGACGGCGAGACAAACGATTGTCGGATAAATCATGGGAAGAGGGACCCAGTCGTAGTTGCACAGCCAGGCCAAGTCCGTTCGGAACTTTCTCACTTCCTTCGAGGAAATTTTGGAGTTTCAGGGAATTACTTGACAGACTTCTGAGAGAACTGTGACGTAGTAGTCGCTTTCGATGAAGCCTTCGAGCCGCGCGTTGTAAATCAAAGCCCAGGCCCAGTTGAACGGCAAGAAGTACTTGTTGTAGTTGTACTGGATCTGGTCGAAATTCTCTTTTTCATGTGGCATCATGAAACCTGAAAACTCAAGAGCTAGCTGAATTTATAAAAAAAAATCGGCCGACTGAGAAGACACATTATAATTTCCCAAACTGTACAATTCTTTCATTTTTTTCCTACTCTGATGTCATTATTCATCAACTCAGCTGTAACATGAGCGATAATTTGCATATTTTCCGAAACTCTGACCTGCAGCAGCGACAGTGTCGAGTGTTGGGAAGCGTTTCCGAGCTTTCATCGAGAGGTCGCGGAAAATGAGCACCTGCGTCAGTTGGCTGTACCGAACGATGTTCCGTCGGTATTGTCGCGCCTTTTCGCTGGTTCCTCGGATGTACAGCGCAGTCATCAACGCGATACTGTTACCGAAACTTTTGGAATCCCTCGGCAAAGTTCAAGTTATAAACCATTTCTTCAAAAGTTCCTTTTCAAAAAAAGACCAATTCATTTTTGCTCTTTTTGGTTCTATTCAAAGTACGCTCTTAATCTCGAAGGATGCGATAGACTTACTTGTCCATCCAGCCGATGATGTTGTAGAGATACCAGAATCTTCGTAAAACTCCTGCCACGAAAAATCCTAGCATCAAATCGAGCGGGATGTACGTCATTCGCGAGTTCGCGTAGTCGACGATGCTCACGAAAAACCTTGATTTTTCTGTTCATATTTTTCCCACTATTTGAGACCTACACTCTCTGCACAGGATTCAACAAGAAACGATAAATGGCGGACACGGCAAAGTAAAGTCCTAGCCATGCAACGTACTGCATCCAAACCGCCTTCCACACAGATCCACGCCATCTAATTTTCTCTTCAAATGAATTATTCTTAATTCGCTTACCGGAAGAAAAGCCCGACAAAAGTCCAAGGACGCGAAGTTGATATCGATTGATTGTAGCTGACAGTCATGGCGTGAACATCGAAAGAAACAAACTCTCCGAAAAGGCATCTATAATCCTCTTCGGCTCGTTTGTATGCAAAGTTCCCGCTTTGGAAAAAAGGTCAAAAATGCAGAGAACTTCAAAATTGTCGACCTCAGAAAGACTAATCAGCTAGCATTGCGTTTCCTCTTCAGGTAGGGGTTTGTTCTTCATGGGTCTGCGGACTCGAACCACGGTCCTTAGAGCGGCAAACAACGCATTTGTCACTGCGCCGTCGTTCACACTGGACCGAGAGCGTTGGGAGACCGCCATAAGGGATGCGGAGATGCGCATATTTTCTAAATACCTTTCTTTTTCATTCAATAAAAATAATTTATCACCGAAAGATATAAAAATTTATTTACGTCGAATAATGTAACCGATTTCGTACCCTTTTTTTATAAAAAAAGGGAAAGGAAAAAAACACTGATAATAGTTATATACAGCTGATGAAAGATTATGACGAGACTCAAAACTTCTCAAATTTCATAAAACTTTTAAAGTTGAAAATTCTTCTTTGCAGATCTTTTTCTTAAAAATATTGAGAAAAAAACACAAGGAAGTAGTTAGGTGGTGGGTTAGATGTGAATTTTTCAAGCTTTTATTTTTTTAGAAAGATAATTATATCCGCTATTAACCGTATTTGACTTATCACTGAACAATTTTAACTCTAAATACGCATTTCACAGCTAATTTTAGCTAAAACAGCGTTGACGGATGAATGGAATTCAAGACTACGGTGGTAACCTGCGGCGTGAGATCTGCAACGCACGCAAGCAGGAAAAAACATGACGAAGAATATTTTTAATTTTGTATTTCAAAACTAGTTAACTTTCCTTTTTTTGTTGTTTTTCTTCGTTATCTTTTTTGCTGTGAAATTTTTTTTGCTCATTGAAATTTCATCTGTTGGATACTTAATTCAGTCAGAGCTCATTTTTCAAAATTTATCGTTGCTACAAGATTTTTCAAAATGTTTCAGTAAATGCAGTAGGGTTTTCAAATTCTAGAATTTTCTTAGCTTTTCATTTTCATTTCTTTGTGTTTTCAGAGTCTTCGTCGAGAAAACAAGTTCACAAAATCGCCATGGCGAATCTCGATGACGAGCTCGCTTTGTAAGTTACCTTTCTTTTTTCGCTGCGACCCCTTATTTTGCCCAGTGAAGTTTCATCTTTTCGATATTTAATTAAATTGAAACTCACTTCTCTCACTTTCTAGTTTGCGTTACTTAATTTCAAAATTTTTCAGTAAATTTTTATTAAGGTTGAATATTTTAATTATGAATAGAAAATTAAATTATGGACGTCAATCAATGTTTGAGGTTCGAAAGCGAAATCTCATCACTTGTGGATGATACCAGTTCAGCGGCTTCTGGAAATACGGCTAGTTTTCCGAATGGCTCTACGATTTCTGCTCCACCAACGTCAGGTAATTTTTAGTTTAACTTTTGAATGAGTTGCGCCTGAGGGTTAGTTTTGTTTGAAAAATTTTTCATCCAGTAAATGCAATAATGTTGTGTTGTAGACGTTTTCAAAGGCAAAATTGTTTAGCTCTCAATGGCACCATGCTGTTTTTGGGGGTATAAAATGTATCAAGCTTATGAAATGATTGAATTTTTTTCAGCCGCTCAACCAACTTTCGCGGCCCCGTTGCTTCCCGCAGGAGCTACTATTGGCGGAGGTTTTTTTTTTATAATTATACACGAACAATTCCATTTTTAGGATTTGGTTGATATGCTTAATAAAATCAAAGAAGGAAGTTAATATTAAATAAAATGTTGAAAAATGGATGTTTTTCAGTTCCAATCGTCTCGCCATTTATCGCTTCAACTTTGGCAGCTCGGCCGATGCTCGGAGGAGTTTTGCCGCCTCCGATCCCGCCGCCAGTTTTTGTACCTCTTCAAATGAGGCCCATGATGGTCATTATTTCGATTATCTCTATAAAATTAACTGTTTACTGATCTCAGTTTGAAGTTGAAACGAAAATGAATAGAACTCTCTGCCTTTTCAACCTGAATATTTGTTTCAATACAGGCGTCTTCGTCGAGACCAGCGGCCGCGACGATCGAAGGAGCCCCGGCGCTGTATGAGAGACCTGCAGCTCCAATTCCTGCCATTCCTTTGCAGACAATGGTTTGTATTTCAAAATGTGTATTATTTATTTTTAGTTTCGAATTCCAAAAAATAAAGAGATTTTTCTCCAACCAACTTTCAAAATGTTTAAAAATTGAAAGTTTAAAAAATATTTTTTCTTTCGTATGTTCATGAAGAAGATGAAATACTGATTAATATTATTTTCCAAGTTATATTCAAGCTTGTCGAGATACTGATTGCTGTAAGTCTTATAATTATTACGTTTAAAAAACGCTAGGTGGAAATTCGGGTGCTTGACTAGGTCGAAAAAGTCTTCTTACAAGTAAGTGAGCTGCTTTTTCGTAATCGTAAAATTAATTTTAAAAAAAACGTTTTTTATACTCTAGGCGTTGCCTGCGGATATTGAGGCGATGGCGTTCAAGCGACAGACCGATCCGCTGAAGAAAAGGCTCAAGGACAAGGTCAAGAAGAAGTTCATCCGTTCTGGTGGCGGTCAGGTGAGAATTCTTCGTTTTCTTGATGATATTCTCTGAATGAACCAATATTTCTTGTCTTTTTGATCAAGCTTTCGTCACTGAATTTCAGATGAGGTAAACTTGAAATGTAAGCATTGTTACTTTATTTGAATGTTTTCAGTAGTTGTTTTGAAACTATGAATTGAATTGAAACTTGATTTGAATTGAAATGAATTGAAACTATGAAACTATGAATTGAAACTATGAAACTATGAATAGAAACTATGAAACTATGAATTGAAACTATGAAAAGAAACCACAGCTCCTGCCGCCGTTTAAACACAGTCAAATCAATGAAAGTCGATTGCACATGTACTCTTACATTGAAGATGCAATAAACAGTTTGAAACTATCGTTTTTTTTTGAAATCTATTAAGGGGTCTTAAAGAATTTTTCAATTAGTATAAGAAGTTTCATTTAAATTTTTATATTTTCCTTTCTTGGCATGAGTGTTTTTATTTGAAAAAGAGTTGCGAAAAATATTTTTTACAAATCTTCTAAATAACGCCAACTGTAAATATTTTTTCAATAGAATTGTCAATCCGAATGAATATTATTCTCGTGTTCATGAAATTTGAATTTCAAAAATATCAGGTCTGGGAAGATTCTTCTTTGGCTGAATGGGACGAGAACGACTTCCGCGTGTTCTGTGGTGATCTTGGAAACGAGGTTGCCAGAAATTATTCAATTTGATTGAAGATTGAATTTTTCAGGTTTCTGACGAACTTTTGGCAAAAGCTTTCCGCAAATATCCGAGCTTTCAGAAAGCTAAAGTTTGTGATACAGTGGAGTTTGATATAATGGCTTGATTTCAGGTCGTTCGTGATTCGAGATCGAACAAAAGTAAAGGCTACGGGTTTGTCTCGTTCCGCGAATCAGACGTACGCCTTTTTGGACTATTTCAGAATATCTAAACTTGTATTACAGGATTATGTAAGGGCAATGCGCGAAATGGACGGGAAGTACGTTGGAAACCGTCCCATCAAACTTAGAAAGTCGAATTGGAGAGAAAGGTCTCTTATTTCATATTATTTCATTTATAATTTTTCTTCTTAAGAAACCTCGACACGATCAAGAAGAAGCAGAAGCAGAAGAAGGACCTCGGCTTGTTCTGAAATTTTTGAATATGAACTCATTGTATTTTTTTTTTGCTTCATGGATAAATTGGAATAATTTTTTTTTTGGGATTGTTTTTGATGAACGTGTTTGTTCGTTGATTATTTTTTATTTTTGTTTGGAGGATTTGTTGGGATCATTCTGAGCGTTTTTCTACAGTAAACCCCGCCTTGATTTTGGTTCTGGGAACCGTTTTGTTGAAAATCGATGAGTTTTCCTTGTTATGGCCGAGAAAAAAGTATGGGCTTTTTGAGTATTCGAGTGTTCCGCAATGTTTCAATTAGGGTCCGTTTGAAACTCCTGAAAAGTTTTCTTCTGATATCATTCGTATCAAATAAATAATAAAATCAACTTCATCTCCTGAATTTTTTGAAGCCTTTCGAAGAGTCGAAAAAATTTTGTGAAATACTTGAAGTTGAAATTTTAAAAAATCGTTTGGGTTTTTTGTAGCTATCTATTTTATTATCAACATCTTTTTGGGATTTTCATACGTCTTGTCTGTCTTCTGTTAAAAATAAGCTAAGAAATTTCAAATGCGAGTTTCAGAAACCATAACCCTTTGAGCCCCCCTTTATGAACCGTTTTTCTTCTGCTTTCTAGTTCTAGTTCATCTCGGTCCCCATATCTTCGCCTTGAAAAAAGAGCTCTTAAGAAAAGTGACAGACGAGCCGTGCCATTGGAAAACGTGGGACAGTAGTGGTTATGTTGCGCATTAGGTAAATTGCTTAAGTTGCGGCTACGTGCTCGATATGGGAATAAGTGGGCAGCCACAATGACACGGAAAGTGGCGCGTATCGGGTTGCAAGCCTCACTGTTTGTGTTATTGTCTCCTGCACTTGTCCTCGTCCACCAGAATGGACACTGTTGGTCGAGAGGCTTCTGGCTCAAGTAATCTTGTAATTTTGATGGAAAGTGGGCAGTCTTGTGAGAGCATTCAGAGAGTTCATTTTGACAATAGTTAATATAGTCGTCAGGTAGTCTGAGAGATTCATTCAAAAAGGAATACGCAGAGCATCTCCGCCGTTTTTTTTTTCTGAACGAATGTACTTTTAAAAATAGCGTCATTTGCTTGTTTTTGTTTCGATCTCCTCAAAAGGAGAGCAATTTTGCAGGTCGGCTTTTGAACCGCTGATTTGAGTTCAAATTGGGCTAAAAATGTAAGAAAAAGACTACTTGAACATTAAGTTTAGTTTGGCTTTTTACTCGAATAGCCTGTTTGATAGAAGAGTCATTATCACTAAGAAGTCTACGAGAAGCCTTGAAACTATGGATTTTTTTTTGACTCAAACATAGTTGAAGTAATAATTTAGAAGCTTTTTTTGGTTAGAATTTTCGAAGAATTTAACAAAAGTTTTTTTCTGGAATTTTTTTCCGAATTTTTTTGTAGACGGTCATAAGTAAACGCTTGTTGTGCGTTGTATTTTATAAAACTTTAGTTTTTTCAGGAAACTGTCGCTGCGATTCTTGAAAGTTCAAACAGTAGAACGTAAGTCAAAAAAAAATATGAATATTTTTCTTTAAGCTTGACCTGAACGTTGAAAATTGAAATTCATTAAATGTTTTGGTTTTTACTGTGTTCTTTCGTTCGAGGTAACGGCTTTCACCGAGTTGCAATCCAACTTTCTTATATTTATCCCCTAGACAGATTGTGAAAGTGCTTTTTGCAATTTTCAATCGAAGTTTTTCGCTCCCATCGCGGAGCCATAATTCGTACTTGATCCCAATGAAGACGTCTATTGATGGTATCACTGCGGTATCAGCTCAGCTTTTCGGCGGCGGCACTGCCAAAGGCTTCCGAAGTTTGGCCTTCGGATTAACCTACGGCGAAGATGGACGGTGGTCGGTGCAAGTAGGTGGCAAGTCGAAAGGAAGACACCGTGTTGTGCAACATCCTTTCGGCGTGTCCCTTTACGCAACGCAAACTTGGCTCCTGCTGAGGCCGAAACGAGATACGGCCCGCTTATGCAATTATTTAGTGTTGCGCAAGGGGCCGAGTTGGCCGGTCATTGCGTCACACGCCGTTACCTTATCCATCAGTAAATCATGACACGCTCGTTATCCGGCTGTTTGCTCACTTCCTCTGTTGGAGAGGCTTGATAAGAAGCTGTGAGAAATCAGCTTGCAAGTGAGCTGGCACCTCAGCTGTTCGATTGGAGTTTTCCTTGTGGCCGAATGTTTGATCCAAGAGTTCGTCAGTTGGAAGAATTCGTGAGATTTGAGAAGAAAGGGGCAAATAGAAGATTAAAACAAGAAAAACAGTACACGAGATGAAGCCAATTCTAAGGAGTTGACTGGTACCCGGAAATTATGTCAAAGTTACTTAAGTTGAGACGGGATATTGTCATGAAAAGTTGAGAAAAATGAGTACAACCGGAACTTTGAGTAGGACTCTTTCGAATGAGATCGGTCGAAAAGAAGGTTAGACTTTGAAAAACTGGAAAATTTTTTACTTGTATTTGTAATGATTTGAAACCAATTTGTTACTCCAAAAGCTCAGTGTTTTCCGAGTTTCGATAGTTTCCAATTTTAAAAATGAATATTTTCGAGAAAGATTTGGTTTTGATGGTTCTTTATTGTACCTTGCGGCTTGTTTTCGGTTGAAGAACTAGATGGATGGCCGGACATCGGTGTGTTACAATGATGAACTCCCGTAGCGACGGGAAGACACTTGTTCGCACCTGTCTCCTCCAGCTCCAACAAGTCTCGTGCCGCTCCGAAAAGCCGCCATCGGCCCCCGTTGCAACTCTCGAGCTGCAATTAATTGTTCCTGGAGTGGCACCCAGTACCGTATCGACCAAATCAAACACCTTTATGAGGCTCGTAAACCTCGGCGAAACGTGTCACTTTTGGCCCATTTTGTTGCCATCTCCCGCGTTATCAATCTGATTGGCGCTGATTTCAGAGGTGTTAAAAATGACTTTGCTTGCTCTCCGGCAGCTCAAATAAGTCAATTATCAGTATCACTCTGGCGTTGCGGAACAAAGGGCAACTTCACCTGTTTTTCGATTTTTGGGGAAGAGCTGTCAATAAGGACACGGACTGATGGGAACAGTTCTTCGAAATGAAGAAATAAGAAATAATTTCTTTCCAATGGTTTCGATTGAATTCAAAGTTTCAAAATATAAATATATAAAAAACTCTCAAAAATTATAAAATAAGAGTTCTTGAATAATTTTTATTTTCCGAACTTGCGTTTAATTCATTTTTGACCGGTAGCTTATTTGTACATTAGATTCCTTCACAGTAAAGATATAATGCGACTTTAATAGTTTTTTTGATTCAAAACGAGAAAAAAATTAGCACTATTTATATTAAAAATTTTGTTTTTTTTTTCTCGGTAAATCATAGTTTTTTTCCTCTAAAATTTTTTTTTATAAATTTTTTTCTCCCATCGCTAGGAAAAAGTCCCTTCAAAGATGTGAAAAAAAGGAGCCTGAGTAGCGCGAGTGTTTTGACGCTGGCGACGGTGTTTGCATCGCGGCGATCATGTCGTCGCTCTCGGACCAATGTGGATTCGGAGCTTTGTCTCGTTCGCATTATCAAGTGTCGGATTTGAGAGCGTCGTTTCGATTGGCGACCAAGTTGCTGAGTTTTCGCGGCGAAACGCAAGGCGCTTTGTGAGTGTTTGTGGATGTTTGCCCACTCAGTACCGTACTCCTTGACCGATTTCCCGCCACCCAAAGCGAAGCACCGTAGGCAGTGTGAAGAGCTTTTTCTAGGGCTGGACAGTTTTTTTAATCTAAAAGTTTTTCCTGTTTTTAAATGTAGTATACATTTTTTTTTATCGAAATGACTGGCAGTAGCCCAGAAACGAATTTTTTTAGAAGTTGCTGGAAATCTTGGTTTCATAGTTGTGGCAATTTTTATGTTTTCGCTGAGTTAAGCTTTAAAATTGGATTCTCAAAAGTGCAAAAGGTCTGGTTAACCTTCCAAGGATTCAAACCAGCGACCTTACGGACACTAGAAATGAATTCTAGCAACTACAATTAACGTTTTCTGAACTGCTCCCAAGGAGGCTTCAAAAATAATATTTTAAGATGTTCAGAAAAATAATCACTCATCTTTTTGTTCTTCTTCGAAGTTAATCAAGGACTTGAGTTGTTGCAGAGTTTGCAATCGGAAAGAGAATCATAGCAATAATTCTTTTCTTTAAATAATAATCAAGAAGAAAGAAAAAAAGGAATTTTCCAGGGTTTCGGTTAGATGAGTAGCGACAGCGAAGAGAAGACAGCTTTCCTGGAGCTCGTCGCTTTTGTTGACGCTACTGCTTCGTTAGTTTTATAAATACTTATAAAAAAATCTATCAATCGTTAAAAGAGATCCAATAGAAGGCAGATTGAAAAGCCACATAAATATTAATTTTTTTATTTTATTTTTTTTAAAATGAAAATAATAATCATGACACATGCCAATTTTTACAACTGCAAAAATTGTCAAAGAAAAATTAGCGCAGCAGTAGAAATGCTTGAAAATTTCCATATTTTTTTTGCTTTCTGAAAAAAAGAAACTGGAAAAAAGTTTCATTTGACATCGGTTTGTTAAGTTTACAATAGATACTATTTTGATCGCAATGCCGTCTTATGGAAATTTCTGAAACATGTATTTAAAGGAATGGGAAGGTTATTTTCTTGATTACGGTAACTTGCCTTAATTAAGACTAAATGTCCGGAGAGCAGCGCTTGAATACGTGACCGGCGTAAGCGTGACACTGGACGGATCGGCCAGCGAATTCTTCAAAAGATACGACTTCGCCATTGGACATGTTTGCCCCTTCTCCGCCTCGTCTTCCGCAGATTCGAGAAGTTTCAGGCCCTTTGCAAGCTGTGTGAGGCGACGGCTTCTGACAGGACGCAGACGATGGCGGCGTTGACCAACTTCACGTCGGGCTCGGCCGAGGCGGCCGATTTCGTGCTCGAGAATTCGCGATGCACCGAAATCGCCTTCACCGCCTGCACGACCGACGTAAGGACCCTTGAGGCAGACTGCTGCCACCGCCGCTCTTCAGGTTGTGTACGCCTCGGTGGCGGCGCGACTCCTCGCCAACGTCTCCCGCCATTTCCCCGACCGCGTCTGCCAACGGCTACAGAAGCTCAAACCCGGATTCCTCGCCTCTCTCATCAGTGAGTTGGCTTTTGTCAAGGTTAGGAAAGTTTAAGAGAAAAACGCCGTTTGGTATCAAAAGTTTACTGAGAATAGTTTGCTACTTTGAGATCTTGAAAGAGACTTCTTACTTTTTCAGATATTAAGTAAAAATTGGTTCTGTTAGAGGTCTTTTCGGCCCTTGAACTGTATTATTATTCGTATTGAATAAATGATGATGATGAAGTTCTAAACCGGGATCATATTTTTGTTTGTAAACTCTGGCCGAAATCTCAGTTTTCGCGGGCTCAAAAAAGAAGTCACACCTTCATAGGGTTGAAGCGTTGCAGTCATTTGTTGGCTTTTTTTTATGAAGTTTGAAAATAATTTAAAATTAATTACTTACATTAAGTTTTCCTAATAGGCTCTCTTTTTTCAATATTTTCTTCTTTTCAGTGGTGAATTTTTCACGCTGGGCCAATCCAACCAATTATTTTTATGAACTTGAAGCTTTCTAATGGTTCGACAACTGGAACGAGTAGGATTCTAAATAATCGAAGTACACTGATCTATCGAAACTTGGTTCTAGGAAACTGTAACAGGTTGAGAAGTTGTAGAGTTACTCCCCATTCAACGCTTCCGATTCGCATATCAACAGCGAGTGTTCCCTTGACGCGATACCGTTTGACGACGGGTTTTCTTCACCTCTTCGCTCTCCAGTTGTTTTGGGTGTAATCAATTTCGGTGTGTGGACGCTTTTTGTCGCAGCCGACGACGGTCTTCTTTTCCTTTTTTCGAGGCCTTGTCGCCTTGATTCGCTTGTCGGCGATTCTTCAACGTCGCCGTTTTTTTTTTGTTTGCGGCCCTCCGTTGTTTCGACGTCTTCACCTATGTGGACACTCGGTCCGTCCGTTTGGCCGCTCAATTCGTCTTGTGCGCGTTTTGTAACAGAACGCAAAGGCCAATGATGGATGATGTGTGTTTTTGACCCGCGACGTTGCCTGGGATCCTGGCCAGAAGACTTTTTTTTGGCCTTGTCGTCGTTGATCCGATGATAAATAATAGCCGATATTTGGAACTGTGAGATATCTTCGAACTTGTATTAAAGAAAAAAGTTGATTTCTGGCTTATTACAGAAGCTCTTTTTTTTTTGATAGCCCCAAGTAGTTTCAAGGAAACAATTTCATTAGAATGAAAATTTCGAACTTATATCTAAGTCGGCCTGATTAGCTGGGCACGTTCATTCGTTGGTGTTATTCATTCATTGGGAGAAAAAGATTAAATGAATAGAGTAATTACTTTTTTTATGATACCTTCAGATTTTCTCATCCAACGATTTTTTGAATTTTAAGTCAGATTGATAAAGTAAATTTTTTCTGAGTTTATTTCTTTGAGCGAATTCCGATGAGCTTGTTTTTTATTCTTTCTATGTTACAAGACATTTTTTGAAGTAATCAGTATGAGGCTCAATTTTTCACCTCGACTGGCCACGCTTTCTGTACAAACTGACTACAACGGTCCCTAATAGTCAGTTTGATTGCGTCTTTGACGCCTTACCACCTTCCAGCCCTATCGATCCACTTCGAAATGAGCTTAGCAAATTAATATGATTAGCAGTGATAAAAGTATGCGGACAAGGACGTATGTTGACGAGTTAGGAGGTTGAAAGCGGACGCCGCAGGCGAATCGGCTTATCTTCTCTTGTATCGTATCGAGCACACAGACGCGCCGACAGCCGTTATCATTATCAATTAAGTGGATTAGCAGTAGCGAGGTGCGAAGCCGCATATTTCTTTTTCGCGCTTTTTACCACCGTATCAGGCCGCATTCCTTGGCCGTCGTCGCTCGCGTTGTTTGTGCTCCGGCAGAGGGCCAACCATGTTCAGCGACACGGGTTTCACCACGATAACGTATGATTTACGACAGAGGGCGCCGCTCATTTGTTGACTCGCGACGGCTATTAACATTTTAGTGGACTGACCTCTTCATTTGCAACTGGGCTTTTCGTTGCAAGGTAAAAGTAACAGAGAGAATTATCGATTATTTGAAAAACTTTTCTATAGTTGATTGTGAGAGTAAATATATTCAACTATTCCAAAGGTTCGAAATGATTAAGGAAATCTCAAAAGTTTTACTAAAAGTTCATAAAAAGACAATTTAATTCGGCAAAGAAATGAAAATCACAGCGAAAGTTGTGCTCCATGGGTAATGAAGTTCGGATGCTTTAGATCCCGATTTTTCTGATTTCTAGAAAATAGGGGTGTGCATAATCAGACTGGCACACTAAATGCTTCGAACTTTTGAAAAATGTTCGGTCGGCACGAGCTTTTTTCCCGAAAATTAAACGAAATATTTCAATTAAACTTCTCCTTTGAGAAAATTATTTTTTAGTGGCGACCTTGTAAAGGCTGAAATTAAGGTTTAGCTTTCTCTCTTCTTGCCACTACTCAAGCTTTTCATATATAGATAACTTTTTAAATCAATGTTTTTTTGTCAAAATTTGAAAAAGAAAAAAATTGGAGAAAAAAACATCTAAAACCCTCATTTTTCAAGAAAAAAATTGAGAAATTTCTCTCCTCTCGATAAAAAAAACAAACATGAGAATGCGCGAAAATGAGATGGGGAAGACGTGGCTGTGCCTACAAAGAGAACAAGAGGCGCCTTAATCGAATTAACGAACTCAGCCAGGCGGACAGCCATCTTGCCTTTACGTGTCTGTTACCGTTTGCTACCGAAAAAAAATTGATCTCGGCCTTTGAGATTTTTTTTTTCTGTGCGGGTCTCTCTTCGTTATTTCTCAATCGTATACCACCCATGTTTAGTTGTCAGAAAAAGGCCTACCGATGTAAACCACGGTGTTTATCGGGCGCCGATAAGACTGGATGATTGATGGGCCCACAGCTCGAGATATTCTTCTTTCCTTTTGCAGATGAAGTCAAAGCTTCGGCCGAAGCAGATCCTCTCAAGGCGCGTCTTGTTGGGTTCGTCGTCGTGAATCTGACGACGTTGAGTGCCGTTCGAGAGCTTTTGGTCAAAGAGCACAGCGTCCAGCTCACCGTCCTCTATGAAATTCTGGCCAAGTCTCCATCGGCCGACCTCAGGGAGGTCGTCGCTGACGTCCTCCGCAACCTTTCTTTCGATGACGGTCAGTCGCTTTCTCTTTTTCTTTAGTTATTTATTTCCAGAACTCGGTAGTATTATTTCTCACAAAATTTGTTGAGAACAAGAGCGAATATTTGAAAATTGCAGTATTAAAATGGAAAATTATGAACTTATCTAGCGTATATTTTTAATCATCTTATCGGACTTTTTCTAATATCTTATGGAAGTTGAGTTTTTTTTCGAACTTATTTTTTTTCTTTATCGAAGCTGTGCTCTTATTGCAAGATATCACAAGCTTGAATTTGAGAATCTTCGAAGGATGAATACTTTTTCTATTTTTCTGTGTGAAATACTTCAAAATTCTTGAAAAATTTTGTTTTAAAAGGCTGGAGCAAGATCTTTCTGTCTATCTTTTTACTGTTTTGTTTGTAGTTTAACAAGTATAACCATTACGAACTCGGCCATAGACGAGATCGAAGCGTCTGTAGGAGAGTTGCCAGTTGAAGCGAAGTTGAAAAGTATAACCATGCTTGATTTCTTCGCGAGATCAAAAATACCGAAGATGTTTTGACGCCTGTGGCGGCCACTTCGGAAGCTACCGTTTTTCGCCGCGTTTTCGCCTGCAGGCGTGCATGTGCGGTTCGCAGCAGCAGCAGCACCGTGTGCAAACAAGTCGCGGAGGTGTACTGTAGAGCGACGGCAAGGGGTGCGATTAATCTCGATTCAATGGGGCCGTTTGCTCTTCCATGTCATCTCGTCGCAGGAACCGTGTCGCAGCCGACACCGCCGACCTGCTGTGTTATCAGCTTAGCACGACGAACCGGCAAATCTAAAAGGTAAAGCGAATTAGTGGAGTTGCCTTGTGAGAAGCCGCGTGATAAAAATTGTCTGACGACGGGTTTTGCCTATTTACCTGGTTTTTGATTAATTTTAAGAGCAAAAGGAAGCTTGCATAAACACAATAATACGTACAGTAGCAACCATGGAGATTATTTTTTCAGATTTGTTGAAACTATAACTTTCCACTGAGCTCAAATTTGGATGTCGAAAATTTTCGAAATTGAAAAAACGCAGTTTTTAAAAATTTACTCATTTATAAACTTCATGGAGATTCAGTTAGAATTCGGAGCCTCTCTGTACTTCCCTTGGCCTTTACAAATTTGACCTGATTCCATCATAATTCTAAATTTTGGCGATTTCTGAAATATTTGGATACTCGTCCCGCAGTTTGTCAGCAAGAAAACGACTTCGACGCGAGAAAATTTTCGCCAGAGGAGAAGTTGTTAAAGTGTGTTAAACAACACATTTGCGTGTCGAAAATGGCGCATCAAATGTCGAATTGTTCCCGTTTCCCCTAAACGTCGTCTCCATTTTCTCTCGCCTTCGCCGCCCTACTACTGTAGAAGCCTTAGGGCGAAAAAGAAGAAAGAGAAAAAGAAAAAAGACCTGGCGATCGTCCGCCGCAAAAGGAGAATTCTTGGCAGAATTCAGCAGGAAAAAGATAGAGTGGAGAAAGTGTTCGGGTGTTCATCGCAAGCGTATCAGTTGGCTGTCAAAACGCGGCGGCGTCGGCGTTTGAAGTCGGCGCAGAAGTTTGATGGGCGAAGAAGGCGACGGACTGACGAGAATTAATGGACGACACGCTCCCGACTGACATTTCAACGCCAGATGAAGACGTCGTCGTGAAGAACTGATATGTCTTCGACTAGAAGAAACCTGTAAACTTGGAGCTCGAGTTTTATGAATGTGCGACTGTAGCAGGAAACGGAAATCAGTTTCGAATGAGTGGAAGGAATTAAAGAAGGTTGAATGAAGAGACTATAACTTTCAAAGGGTACTAAAAATGGGTTATAGTTAGTATTAGATAGGTAGCTCACATTTGAAAACTCCACTTTGCAGAAGCTTTCCCGGTATTTTTGTGGAGAACGGTGTAGTCTTTTCTTGGATTGTTGTTTTTTGGGCATCTATAGAAATATTGCTTTTCGTAAGTGAGGATCTGGCTCCTATTTGATCGAAAATCCTCGAAGAAACTCGAACGCTTCAGGAATTCACGATTTCTTTTTTCGGAGTACTATGTGGCTTACTAGGGAACTACTCGGACTCGGGTACGCGGATCGAGTTCAAACTTTAATAGTTTGTAGACCTAAGTGAGTTTGCTTGAAAACAAGTGAGAATATCTGCTAAACCCAATAGAGAACTGGGAAAAAATTAGTAGAAAATGTAAAAAATAGACCTGAAAATTTTCAGAATACTGATTTTTACCTTATCTTATATTTTCATACAATCGCTTCGAATGATGCGGCTATTATGAACTCTAAAGAACTTTTTTTCAGCCAAAAGAAGGAGGAAAGCAATGATTTGATAATTTTCAAGCCTAAAATGTTCATTTTCAAAAGGCTTTTTCTCAGAAGCTTATGGAGTTTAGCAGATAATCTCTCTTGTTTCCAAGTACTCTTACCCGGGTCTATAAGCCACCAAAGTTTCAACTCGAAACGCGTACCCGAGTCCGAGTAGTTCCCTAGTTAGATGGATACAGTTTGTTGGCAATTCATTTTTGTAATATTCAAAAAATGAAACATAAATAAGGTCTCTTCGGAGCGAAAGGATCCCGCAGAAGCTCAAACGCTTTGACGATGTTTGAGTTGATTGTGGTGTTCTGGCGGATGGGGTTGATGGACACGCACTTGACCTCGGATGGACGAGTCTGCAGCAACGAAGAATGACGTCGAGCCAGCGCAATGTTGTTCTATCCTAATCCGCGACATTTGATACCACCCGCACTCCAGAATCGACCAAGAACACTGTGTGTGTACGCTCGTGCAGCTTCTTCAGCTTTCCGCCGCCTAGAGACACTCGAAAAAGGTTCGCCGACACCCCGGGAAGAATAGTCCTCAACAGGTAGATTATGTATCTAGCTAGGCCCCTCCTTGGATCTCAAACTTGACAGGTCGTCTGTCTTCTTGTTGTTCCCATGTGAATAAACGTGTCAAAAACGACCTCCGACGATTTGCGCCTGATAAAATCTACGGCGTCGACTGGAGACGCTAAATTGCTTGTGCATGAAGATCCGGCGAACCCGAATCGCCTTTTTCTGATCGTTGACGAATTTCGGACGGTCCTTAAAGTCTATTTGGCGGCATTTGATGGCCTTTGGAGCAGTTTTGCCGAAACGACCACTGAAATGAGCTGCCAACGGAGGCTTTCGTTTTGAAGGTCGTCACTGTTTGGTCGGAAGGCCAACATGCGTTGAGCAATTAGCGAGCATGATGGATCGGCTGCGATCAGTTCATGGTCTTTTCTTCCGAATTAAGAGGCCGTTTTTGAGGTTGTTGCAGGTATTGCAAAAGTTGAAAAGATTCATATTCACGGCAGCTCGAAATAACTGACGCTGGTAGGAGGATATACTTAACTTTTGAGCTTTTCAAGTTTAGAAGCAATACTTTAGGTTTTATTTTTTTATTTTTTTTCAACCACGAGTTTCATTTTTAATCTTTCATGAATTGATAACCTTCAATGAGAGTAATTTAAGTATAAAAATTAGAATAAGAATAGAAGTTTCAAATTCAGACGGTTGCAAAATGAAATCACCCTTCTCAAATTTTGATTTTTTTTTTTATGCACTCATTCTTTCTTTTTCATTACCTTCGCTTCGAGGTTTTCGATAGTTTTCAAACAAAATTTCAACGATAAATTTGGAACTTGACTTTTTCGACTTTGAAGAGATATAAATTTTACCGGATCCATTAAAAAGTCGACCTTCTCAATTTACTCTGATATTCAAGATGAAGAGCTGATTGAAAAAAGTTGAGGAATAGTTGAACTTTCTTGGCTCTGCTCTCATATTCACATTGTTCGAAAAGCCTTCAAAATTGAATAAAAGAAAGGAAATGCGCTCGGAATTGATCGAGGCGTCGTGCCGTCCATCCAGTCATCCCGAAGCTCGCCATTTGTCGCTTTTGTTGCCTATCACACTTGTTCTTATTTGTATAGGAAGGCCTCACAAACACGTTTATGAGCTACAAACTCCCGCAAGGCGAACACTTGGTAGGTGGGAGCATTGTCGCAGATAAACCGCCGATTCGGTTGTGATTTATATGAGCAGCTGCCTGTTGTTAGCTCCTGTGTTACGATGGATACACTTGTCGCGGCCGGCGGAGGTCCACCGGTGTAGTTGCAATGATTAGGAGTTGGCGAACGCTGTCACCTGTTAATTATGCCGAGACTCGTGTCGGTTTTGAAGGCGCCGCTCGGCGGTCCGCCGAAGACGTCAATCATTGCGGCCTGTCACGGTTGACTCCGAGGGGCAGCGCCATTAAGTTGCTCTTGTAATGAATTGCCTCCTTTTTTCATAAAATACATCTTGTTTTTCTAGCTTAGCTGTTTTTGAGCTAAGTATTGATTTTTTTCGAGGAAAGCTTGAAAAAATCAATTAACAATTTTATTCTTTCTCTATTTAGGCACTTCTTAAAAGAAGCCAGAAGCCTAGTAGCTTGTAAAAAAAAAATGAACATGACACAAGAGAAGTTTTCGATTTGAGTATGTTTCGATTGAATGTAAAGATTATTATCCCAATACCGAAGGTAGACGCTCAATTTCTACCCGTTGCTTAGTTTTCCGTTCCAATGATTCTTTTGATTGTCAATCGACGTCAGGAGTATTAAAAGTTTCATGGTAGGTGCAGAAGTCGCGTCGGACAAAACGTCTCCGTACGCTACACGATAACTTTTTCAACTGTTTTGATTTTAGTGATTATTTAAAATGTTTCGGAGACCTTCAGCTCGCCAAATTTCAATTTCGTCAGGTTCTATTTTTGGAATTTCGGTAGTTCAATATATCTTCTAAATCTATAGTAAGAAAGGAATGAACTTCCTTCACCCCTTGAAACTTTATGACACTTGTTCAACTCGAGTAGAGACTTAATGGTCGTCGTCGTCGCCGAATTCCCCGTTTAACCCACTAATTTTCTTCTCACTTGTCTTTCGATCATCATCCTGGCCGTTTTGGCTCTCCGAGATGCAGCAGCACATGCCCATGTTCATGCTCACACACACAATGACATTAGGCAGCCGAGCCAAGAAATAGCTGGCGTAACTGAGAGACGCAGCGTTTGTCGTCGAGGGCCGCCCAATTTGTCGCCACCAACTTGTGGAATTGAGCACAATTAGAAAAGCAATGAGTGGTTGGCGGTTGTGAGGCGACGACGAGGTTGCCTCCAGACGAACTCCCCACGGGCCTTCGGGTTACGGTAGAATCTTTTGTTGCAAAACGAGTGTTTGTCTACGGTCATTCGAGTTATCAAATCATGGGAGGCAGTGTAAATTTTGGTCGAAAGATATCACAATTGTTTCTCACAGAAGTTTAAATTTGTTTCTGATTGATTGATTAATCGTTGATTTTTTAAGCGGCTTCAAAAATTTTTCCGTAAAAACTGAAAGACCGGTTTATATCATTCATATTCTCATTTTTTTATTCAGCTCAACTTTTTGTTTTTTTGCTGAGAAGCTCAATCTTTTTATTTTTTTGCAAAAAAATAAAAAAATATTAGGTTTATCATGAAACGAAGTTTTGGAAGGGCTGCTTCCAAAAAAACCTCAGATCTTTTTTTAAAAATTTATCTTTTGATAGCTTCATGTTTGATTAGAAATCTATAAAAAAACTTTCAATATCCTTATCATTCGGAGATTTTTTTCTGAAGTCTTGCAGATATATGGATAGTTTTTTTTAAACTTTTAAACTAACGATACTCTAATATCAGAAAAAAATTTCCAAGATCTAGAGTGAAAAAATAAAAGTGAACAGGACTGTAAGCGCTTAGTTCCCTGAAACTTCTGGCCCATCCTTCAGTTGCAAATCTCGACGGCCACCAATTGCTCTAAATATCACAGTCACAAATGTTCGGAAGTGGCTGTGGTTGTGATGGGTCGGTCTCATTTTTCAAACACGTGTCGCTGCGTGTGTAGGTTATTTGTGTGTGCTAGTCGTGTTAATCTCTTCACTCTCTTCGAAACCGACGGCGCTTCTCCCCCGGCTGCTGTGTACGTGAGGCTGTGTTTGCGTTGAATCGCGCGTTGATGCGAAACGAGGTGAAAAGGCTGTCGCCCTCGGCGGCGGCGGCAGAGGAGCCGGAGAATCGTCACCTCCGAATGTTGCCATCTGGTGGATCGACGTCACCAAGGACGTCCTCGGTTTTCCGAATTTTGAATTAGGAACCGGATATCAGTGATTTTGAATAGGACGCTGCTAGGTTACTATACAATACGGAAAGGTCACTTGAAAAGTCTGAAACCAGCAAAATGTAATTAAATGGAGAAAGGAATAAAAATTGTCAGGGATAAGGGCATTTTTCAGATCTCCGATTTTTTGAAAATAAGATAATTCAGGGCTTTTGTAAATTTCCTCGTAATTTATCATACTCGATTATGCTTTGAGATTTAGGGAATCCCATTCTTCATTGACAAGGCAAAAAAAAATTCGCAGTTAGTATCTTTCACAATTTTGAAAAAAGATCCCACTTTTCTCATTGAAGACATGTTTTCGCCAACAAAGGAAGTGATTATAATTGAAGTGGGGGGCAGAAGATGAACCAGCCTGGAATTGCTCGTTAACATTGGGAGCGGAGGTCGAAATTTCGAACGCATTGGCCATATGCGCAAAAAACTGCACGCCCTCGCATTCTCAATAATGTCGTAGATGACGTTGGCAGATAACAAAGGAGAAAAAAAAAATAATATTTTCAGCCCTGCATCCGACGCTGCTCGACGATGACGACGAGTACCTGTGTTCGGTGTTGGCGCCGTTGATGGACGCCCAGGACGCCTTGGACGACGAGGACATCTCCAAGCTGCCCCTACGACTCCAGTATTACGAGGGTTCTCGGGACGAATCGGAAATAGTTCGGAGGAAACTCGTCGAAACGCTTTTTCAGGTCTCATTTTCGACATTTAAGTATTCTTATTCCTCAATTTATTCTTTTTGATAGTTTTTCTTTCTCAAGGCTCTCAAAGGAAATGATGAAAAAAATAGATATTGATCGACGAGGTAAAAAAATGTTTTTTTGTAGATTTATTAGTTAAAATTCATGTTGAAGGTTATTTTTTTTAGATTCCATTACGCATCATTAAAAATATGAAGTTTCCATCACTGATATTTTCATACATATCCAAAAGTGTTTCTCAGAGCCTGACTGTTTTAAAAAGTTTCAAAAAAATTCTTTTTATACGGGCTTCAGAGAGTTAACTTTATCTTATTTTTAACTTTATAAGTACAATTTTTTTGATGCTTGTATGCTCTAGGCTTGCTCATATGGAGAGCTAAAAAAATTTTCCTTTCCAAGCTTGTATTTATTTATTTCGAGAGAGATTCGTTCGATTGTTGCACCCTGGCTCTTCAGTTCCTATCTTGTGTTTACATTTGACACTTTTCTCGTGGGGAGCGACGCGCTGATTTGTGTTAGGGCGTGTTGAACGAGGCGCTGACGGAGACCAGTGATAAACCTCTTGAGAACGAGTAAAACAGACCGAGGGGCGAGAAATTAAAGCGAAAATGATTCTGATTGCAGCTGTGCTCGACGAAGCACGGCCGCGAGAAGCTAAGGTCCAAGTCTGTCTATCCGGCAATGCGCGAGTTGGACCGCGCCACAACTTCTGCCGACGACGTCGCCAGTCAGAAGCTGCTCTCCGCCGAGCAGGAGCACACTCTCCACGCTCTCATCGGCATCTTGATCCGTTACGAGCACGAAATGGCCGTTGATCCTCAACTTTCTTCCATTCGTCACTTGGAATGAGCAATTCGTGAGTAACTTCTCTTCTGAAGACATTCCTCATACTGAAAAAGCTGCTGAAATTTCGGATTGTTTCCTGAATTTTCAGTGTATGTCATACTCATTTTGTTGTTGTTTTTTTTTTTGGACAGAATCACTTCATCTTTTTTTCGCTTTTTCAATACCCGATGAAAATTCGACCAGCGAGAATTCAGAAAACTTTCGTTCATAACAACTTTCTGTTTATTGTTGAAAGTTGGAAAATGAATCAAAAAAAAAAAAAATAGTATTAAAAACAACGAAAAGTTTTTCTGTCCCATGATTGTTAATTTTTTTAAATTCACATTATTGCCTTCTTGTTTTTTTTTCCACCGGTTCCTCTTTCCATTGTTGAACTCTCCGTTGTTGATTTTTTGTTTTTTTTTCAGAGAAATAAATTTGGCCAGTGTAAAAACGTTTGGAGCGGAAACAGAAAACTTGGGAACAAAAAAAAAAAGAAGCAGAAGGTTACACGGGTGAAAAAAGGACAACGGTGAGGAAGGACAAAAAAAATGAATTGTTGAAATTGGCGTCGAGGACGATACGTAGATACAGTAATCCTCCACGCCGTGGGAAAGCGGCGGCCGGTGAGTCTGGCCGACGGCGGAGTGGGTGCGAAGCCACGCCTCTTTTCGTCACGCCCCATCCGAGTGGAGTCTGCGGCGACCAGCCAGCCAATCAGGTGGCGTCAGAGGCGGGGCCGTCGCTGTTCTCGCCAGGCCTGCAGTCTTCTGGGGGCCTTCTCGACGACACACCGAGTACATACAAGTTGGTCGGCCCTGAGGTGTCAATGCACACCAGATGACGTTCAATCCGTTCGCGATGCCGTCGTCGCGGCCTGACGCCGCCGCTGCCACCGCCGCCTTGTCTCTTTTTCCGTTCATGGGCATGGCTGGAATGCCTTCGCCGGCCTTCTTCCCACGCATCGGCGACAACTTTCCGGCCGTTCCGGTGATGCCTGAAGACGACGGAGTCAAGGACGACCCCAAGGTCGAGCTCGACGACAAGGAGCTCTGGCAGGAGTTCTCGCAGTGCGGCACCGAAATGGTGATAACTAAAAGCGGCAGGTGCGAAATTGAAGTGCCAATTGCGGTGATAACGATTATCTTATGCTTCAGACGCATTTTTCCGGCCTATCGCGTCAAGCTGAGCGGCCTGGATAAAAAGAGCAAATATATCTTGCTCATGGACCTCGTGCCAGCCGATGAGTGCCGCTACAAGTTCAACAACAGCCGGTTCGTTTTCCCATTCATTATTTCTTTTTTTTCACTTTATCTGACTTTTTGCACGTTTTGATTCTTTGCAATTTTTCACGCTACTCTCAAACATGCTGGTTTAACTATTTTTTTTTCGGTCTTTTAATTGATCTTCAATCCTTCGGTTTGATTGGTATTTTGAGATTTTTGGTTGCCCTGAATTTCTGAATTTCTGAATTTTTAATTTTTCTTTTTGAATTGACCAAATTGAACTTTTTATAAAAGTTTGAAAGATTTTTTTGTTTTTTTCGAACTTTGCTTCAAAAATAATTCAATTCACTGTTCGATTCTTCGACTCATGTAGCTACTTGAAATTCAAGTTTGAAATTTTGTTTACCCTTTTTTTGAACATTTTTCAAAGTTTTGTGTTTAAAAAAACATTATTTGTTAGAAGTTATAAAATTTTTGATTTTTTTCAAAAAAATTTTTTTCCCACCATTCATCCAGAAATTTCTCTGTAATCCATACTTCTATGCGTCTTTTTTTCATAATTTTTTAGTTTCGAAACAATTTTTTTCGGCTTTGATATACCCTTACAATTTTCAGTATTTTTTTTATTTCTGCAACAAAAATTTGCAAAACGTTCTAAATATGTTTTTCTTTTTTCTTTTACGAAAAGGTGTTTATCATCTTTTTTGCGCTCTTTCATTGATCTTCGAGTTTTTATGAGCGCTCCTGTCTCTTATCAAAAAATTTCATTAGTTTAGTGTTTTGTACGGTTTTCTTCGGCTATGAATTTCTGTATTTTGAGATGGATGGTGGCCGGAAAAGCAGATCCCGAGATGCCGAAACGGATGTACATCCATCCCGACTCTCCAGCCACCGGCGAACACTGGATGACCAAAGGCGCCAACTTCCACAAACTCAAACTCACCAATAACATCTCCGACAAGCACGGATATGTAAGTGAATATGTAAGTGGTGTCCTGACGGTTCCTCTCCTCAAAAGCCAGTTCTTTTGTTCTCCCTCTGGGTTTTTCTATGAATTCGCTCAAATACTCCTTGGTTTGTGTAAATGAAAATTCTGAAACTCGTAATCTTCAAAATTCATAACTTTTTCAACACTTCGTAGCAGTTTTCCGAATATTCTGGGAGAAAAAGGAGTGCTCTAAGCGTGACAGCAAATTCCCAGAAAAATCTACGAATTTGAGTACAGTGACCCTCATTTTTTGTTATAGAGCGCTTCAGATCGTTTTTTTATACTTTCTTATTGAAAAAAATGTAAATATGTTTACACCGACCCTTTAGGGCTAGAAGTTGATTCAGAAAAAAAGTTTTTTTAAAAAGGAAGACTTTCTTCTTGGTTTCTTTCATTAAAAACTAATTAGAATTCTGATGATTGAGGGTTTTCTGAAGTGGATTCACAGCAGCTAGTTTAGCTATTTGAAGGCGCAGAAGTCATATCACATCTGGAATGACTCTTTCTTGCGATATCTTTGAAAATTTCCAACTTTGCCTCTTCAAAGATCCCAGGAAGCGTCTGTGAATCCGCGCACAGGAAAACTCTGGAAAGAAAGCAAAGTATACTGTACACGTTGGACTTCTTTTGTTGCCGGCCGGCTGCTTTCCAATTCTTTTGACGTGGGCCCGTTGATGAATGGAATGGAATTGCAGACGATCCTCAACTCGATGCACAAATACCAACCTCGACTTCACGTCGTCCGCTGCGCCGACGTCGTCCAGCTCCCTTATTGCTCGTTCCGGACCTTCGTCTTTCAGGAGACCGAGTTCATCGCCGTCACCGCCTACCAGAACGAGAAGGTTCGCCTCGTTCCTTGTTTTCTTTTTTTTCGTCATTTTCTCTTTTCATCTGATGCTTTTCTATATCGTTTCATCTGATAATTTTTTTTTCTGGTTTCGTCATATTTTTAGTTTTATTTATACACCTTCTGTATACTCTTTTTTCTACTGGATAGCTCTGAAATAGACAACGAGGCTGTAAAAGGCAATGAAAACAAAAACAAAACTTAAAAGTTATGATTTTTTACCTTCAAATTAACAGCTCAGCTCATTTTAACTGCGTTCAGATTTTTTCAAATTCCATTTCCTTTTTTGCTATTATTTTGCTTTCGAAGTTTCATCAGTGAACGTAGAACGAGGGTGAGGATAAATAGGCTGACTTCTTTTTTTTTCTCGAAAAAGACTACCAACAAAAGAAAGATCGTGCTGCGTTTTCACAGTCTCGAATTTCCATCCTCAAGGGGTGCAAAATAACACGAGCAGAACACCGTACCCAGAGGCTTATTGTAAGGGTTTCGCCTCGCGGCGTCAACTTTTGCTCATAACACCTGCGACGTGTGTAAGAGACGACCAGGAAAAGGCGGCTCCTCGGGAGATTTGTTAACTGACGCGAGACGCGCGTCTGTTAACACTTCCATCAGCTCTCACCGGCTCTTATCACCGTCGACTCGAGCTTTTTTCTCCCTTCTCTCGACTCGCACAAATCACCGAGTCCCAAAAACACGGACGAGTCGTTTATTGTGACAGCTACCGCCGGAGAAACCGCAGAGCTCCTGTTCGAAGTCAAAACAGTTTCAACTCTGGATTTTTTTGAGCTGGCATTTGAGAAATTAGCGAAGAGAAGGTGGTCGTGAAAAGTTTATAGAAGTAAAGGGATGAATTGTTTCTACAGTAATCTAAAGTTTCTGTTTGAGCTTTGCACATACGTTTATAGAATAATTGATTATTCTAAGATCGCGATTGACTATTGAAAAAGTTAAAGTGAAAATTTCAAAATTAGATCGAATAATAATATTTTTTATGAAATTCACATGTTTAAAATCAATTGAAAGAAGTTCTTCATGCAAATAGAGCTTTTGATCGAAAAAATGTGTTTCAAATTTTTCATATAAAGTTTCTTCCATTTCTCTTACCTTCAATTTCCTTCTTTTCCTCACTTTGGTTCGATGTGACTTGATCAAAGTCGAATTGACTCACACATGAACTGAAACGTCTTCATCCGGTTTCAAGCTCATTTTCCGCTTTCAATCACTAGAGCGGACCACGATTATTCCCATTTCCTGTAGGGCAGAGGCGAAATCTCTGAGGTAATTTGAGAAGTCTGGCGCCGCCGTCGGCAAATTCCCAGCATATGGTTATAAATGGCGACGGTGGCGGCAGATTTCAAAACGCAAAGTCTTCAGTTACCAACAGCAATAAAAAGGCAAAGAAGAAGAAAACAATTATCGAGTTTTTCAGGTGACGCAGCTGAAGATCGACCACAATCCCTTTGCCAAAGGATTTCGCGATGCTGGTGCCGGGAAAAGAGAGAAGAAGCGGCAAATGCAGCAAGGACGCTCCAGCGCAAGCCCTCGACCTGGCGTCAACGGAGCTCCGTTGGTGACGCCGTCGCCGCATCCGAGCGAAAGTGCTTCTGAAGACGATGAACCGGCGGCGAAGCGCGTGAAAGAGGAGCTGAAGCTGCGAAGCAACGGCTCGGCTCCTCAGCCGACGCCTCAGGTCGTGCTCCCCTTCATGCCCAACGACTTCGTCTACCCTCACGACCTCCTCAGTCAGTGGCAGGCCGCCTTCTTCCCTCCGCAGGCCTTCCTCCATTCCATGACGTCACCTTCACCTCGAATGCCGTCGGTCAAGGTCAAGGCGCCACCTTCATCCGACGGCAGCGGCGACGACGAGAAGCCGGTCCGGAAAGGCGGCTTCGGCGTCTGCGATCTCCTGTCCAAGCCTTGAATTCTTCCTGTCACAAATCCCCGCATCGTAGTCATTCTAGTCCAGCGGACAATCTACCTCCACCATCTCAAGAGGTAGTTTCACACCACACCGGGCCGGTCCTTGAGAACCTAATTCGATGACGATCTAAATTTGATTGATTCCCACAAACGGCTGGTGTGTTCGTGATTTCTACTAATTTATTCGTTGTCATCCCGTCTGAAAAATGGTTCAGTTTGATTTTCTCAAACTGAACCCTTTTTCGCTCTATTTATGCTTCTCTCCTTCTCTTCGGGCTCGTTCATTTTTCGAAATGTAACAAACATGCTTCTCGTACAAAAACATTATCTAGAATTTTGTGAATTTCATTCCTCTGTGGACCGTTTAGGTGGGATTTTTTTTTGTTGTTGAAATCGTTTCATTGCAATTAGTTGATAATTTTTCCAACGGGTTTTATGTACATTTTTTAATAACGTCCCATTTAACCTTCACCAAAACTCTCTCACACTAGCGGATGATCCGAAACACTTTCTCACAGAAATCTGGTCGCCAATTCTCTTTGTCTCTCACCACAAAATGTACATTATTGACTCCCCGTGATTCCAAAGCGAGATAAATGTATTTTTTTATTAATTTCCGACGTTTTCGATACAATTGAAAGGACTATAGTACAGTGAATAAGTCAAAGTGAAATCAAACAATATTTACAAGAAGTGAAGCTCTTACACATGTAAGCGATAATTTTGGCCCGTCTATATTCGAACTGTTTTCAAAAGTTAATACTAGCAAAAGCTCTTTGGCATGGCTGTAAATAATGCAAAGATAAATAAGAATCAGGGGAAGGCGTGGTCAGGAAGGCTAGAAATATTAGCGAATGATTCGGTGGTAGAAGACATGGTGGAAGGCGTCGTCCGAGCCATTGGACGGTCCTCCATCTGAGCACGTCGGATGCAAGACGCCATGTCGGCGTTGACTTCTCGGAGCAGCTCGCTCTGTCGTGACATCTCCTGAAAACTCGGAAAATTGTTTTGACGTTCACACGTCTTGAACCTCTCCAGAAGAGCCCACGATGGCCCAGGCCTTCAACGAATGGCTCCGGCAGAAGAGAAGCAGGAGGACGTCGATGTCGACCGTCTCGCAGCAGCCGTATTCACCGCCATATGCACTTCTGAACATTTCCAATTTCTTCTTGCACTTTGTCGAGTGGAGAAGCATTTGTTGTGTGTGAGATGCTCAAATACAAGTGTTAGACACTCGGGACGCGCAACTATTTTCACTCAAAGTTCGGCGCGAAATCTAACAAGCCAGGCGACCCGCAAACAAAAAGCGCTACTTTTTTTAAAGAAAAAAAAATCACCAAGTCTTTTTTAATGCAGGGATGTGTGCAATTGTTCGAGAAGTTCTTTTGGCGGCAGATTGATCCATTTTTCAACACTAGTTAATCAATTAACAAAGACGAATCTTTCAAATTTCTCAGCGAAAACTTTTTTCTCTGAATATCAAAAACAAAGTGATGGAAACTAGTGGATACGTTCGATTTTTAAATGAAGTACCAAGTTGCTGGCTCACATCCCTACTGCGAGTCAATTAGTCGGCAGTTTCAGACCGTTGGTTGTCATTTCGGCAAAAAAAGAAGCGTCGCACGCGATGACGACGACTGCTCAGGCCATAAATGGTTCGGCGTCAGCCGAGGGAAATTACGCTCGTCACGGTGTCGCCGCGGCCGTCATCTTGGGTCCACCAGCCGCCGCGCATCCGTCTTCACTACACAAGGTTAGGTGCATCATCTGCATAATAACCGCCACGGTTACACACACACACACAGAAATCGGTGTGGTTGAGGCGGACAGTATGCCACTAGAGGGAGACTAATCTCAACACAAACACCGGCTCCTCCTCATCAGCCTTGTCCTTCCGCAGGCAGTATTTGGGCAAACAGCGCATCAATCTCGAGCAAATTGACTGAGGAGAAGCTGCAAAACAGACGGAAGCTCACCGAAGCTGACGAATCGCTTGTAGGGCCTGCGAGTAGCGCTTGTTGGTCAACAGCAGGACCAGAGAGTCTTGGGAGTGCTGCGAGTGGTGGAACATGTTCTGGAGGCCTGACGGAGGCTCCAGCGTCGACGGCGAGCAGCCGCTGGCGCACATCAGAAGCTCGCGGTGATGCTCCAGCACGGCTGGGGAGAGGCTGTAGGTCTGAAAAACTTTTATTTTTTTCAATTTAAATTACAACACGACTTGCTCGGAGCAGTTTTTTTTTCGAAGTTGAGCTGTTCATCTTTTAATACAAATAATATTTTTTTATTTTTTTTATAGGCATTTGAAGACCGACTGAACCTTCTGTTACTATTTATGAAAATTAAGGTGAAATTTGTCACAGTTTTATCTTAAAATGCGAATTGAATGATACAAACTTGGACAATGTAAGAAGGGTTGGAAATCGGAAAAAAACGCTCAAAAAAATTTGTATCACCTTGATCAATTTCTTCTATCTGAAACTAAGCTAGCAGATTTTGAATTCAGAAATAAAACGGAATGTAGAGCTTAGTCCGATCTCTGAGACTTCGGTTCCAGGTTTGACCATTTCTTTTTTCAAACGATCGTATTCTTCTTTTATCTGTTCCCAAGAAAATTGAGACGCGTCATAAACAACAGCGGCGATCTGCGTTTTACTGCGCGATCACCTCTAATCCCTGCAGCACCTTTCTCCATGGACAGTATACTCAAAACACTGTCAAATATGTCAAATTGCATGTTACAGGCAGCACTGCGGCCGCCGACGGTTTAGGCGAATCAAATTGGCGACTTAGCGGCAATTATTGCGAGTCGTCGCGTCGCAAATACCAATCAACGACTTCGCCGTCATCAACCGAGTCTTCGAGTTGAACTGAACGAAAACACAAACCGAAAGAACAGTTTTCGCGCGACTCCAATCTGTCGGATCGCTCTCCACCAGTCAATTGGCTCGACAAAAACCGCAGCTGTTCAACAGTTGATATACTTGACACAAAAGGCGCGCCGCCGGCCTACAGTATCCTCCTTCGCCGCACGACACGAGTCGAACATCCACGTACAAACACACTGCACATCCATCATGTACAAATATGGGACGTGCCGAGCTTTTGCCCATTTTCTGCCAAAAACGGAAAAAGAACAATGTTTCCCATTTTGACTGGAAAAGGATCGGAAGATCGATAAGCTTACATTTTCAGCATCCAAAGAATCAAAGGTAGATTGACGGATTATGGCGCATTACAATTTTTTTCAGAAAGTTCGCAGTGAAACTTTTAAGCTTGTCCTATAATTCAGCTTCTGTCGAGAATTTAAATTTTAAACAAATCCGTCAATCTATGTGGCACATAATGTTTTCTTTATATTAAGTGCGAAGTAAATTGAATCCGAGGCCTTCTTTGTGGTCAATTTCTGTTCAAGCCAAAAATTGTTCCTGATCTTTTTTCTCCACTCTTCAGAAACCTTTTCTAAACTTTTAGTTATTCAGCTCAACGTCCCAAAAACACAGAAGAAACACTTGATCGAAAATTCAAAAAAAAAAAATTCAAAACTATTATTCTCCGAACTTCCTTTCATAGTACATTTTCCATGGAGCGTACATTCATGATTTGTCGAACCTTCTGGTCAGCCTTTCGTTGAGTACAAAGCTTTTGAAGAACTTGATCTGCCAACTTTATTTTTCACGACACACGAAATTCCTCCAGTCAATCTCTGTTCGAACCGAAAACTGTTCCCTGTCATTTTTCTTCATTTTTCTTTTTTCCCCGACACCCCCATCCATCTCTCCAGGATATTAATGATAGGACACAAGTCGGAAGAACGGCATCACTCTGGGCGATCCAAAAATGGGCAGTTGGCGGCGGCTGCCGACAATTATGAAGCATAAAAGCCAGGCGTCTCCGACGTCATCTGGGCGCGTCGACGGTGGCAACAGCGACGCCGTTGCTGTCGACGTCTGCGCGACTTCCTCCGTCTATGGTGACCAGGCGAGTCAGCCCACACACACATACACACTCATTCCGGCAAGTGATTTATGTCGCGCCGCTACCGTATCCTCTGCGCCGTTTCTCGCACTGCTTTTCACGTTGACAACGGAACCGCCGGCCGTCTCCACCCGTATTCATCACTCATACACACTCGGCCACCGCTCCTCGGCAACCATGTCTCAGGGCTTCTCATCCATGGATGAGGCCCCGAGCAGAGACTTTACTGAAAGTCGAAAAGCCGAGAGGGATTCCAAAACAATTCTACAGAAAGTCAGCCTTCTCGGAGTAATCTTGAACATGCGCTCCATGGGCGTCAGACGGCAAAATTAAACTTGGAGACATTTTTTGAATTTACTTGGTTTTTTATTTTAATGGTGACTTCAATCGGCCTTATCCATAGATGCATTTTCTCACGGATACTCAGTTCAAGGGAGCCAAGAAGGAAAATCTGATAATTAAGACTTTCGGCTTTTGTAATAGTAAATACCATTCCATGCTTTCCGAACAATAGACCTAAACCTCCTAACCACTTGAACTCTACAATAGAGAAATCCGCTTCCTTATTTTCTTATTTTTCTGTTCGACCTACCAGATTAAAGAATCAACGGGACCAATCGAGTGTGAAAAACAAAGCTTAAGTCGTGGCAAAATTATGGTGCGCCGCCCAATTTCACACGCAGCCAGCCGCGAAAGCTTTAGCAGATTTGCTCACAATACGGTAAGTGCTCACTTGAGAGTTGGTCGAGTTCTTGACCACGTTGGTCATGTCTTTCAGGGAGTCGCTCATCAGCATCACTTGGAAGAGAAGTTTATTGAGTAGACGACCGACGTCCAGTTCCTAGATTCCAGAAAGGAAGTATGCACAATCAAGAAACATTTACGGTGCTAGAGCTGAGAGAAGCCGTCGAGCCTCCCAAAGCTGATAGTTTATAAGCTGATCGCAAAGAGTTGAGCGCCTGAAATATTTTCATTATTTTTCGAAAAAGACGTCTTTTTTTAATAGTATCAAGTTCAGAAGCGGTTGAAAAACCCTTCGAGGAATAAAAAAACCGACCAAAAATTTCTTAACTTCAGAGTCTTCAGTTATTCATTTTGCAATGATTTTTCGATTTTTTTTTTTCAATACTTGCTGTAAAAAATCGTACTTTCACTGAAACTAAATAAGAAGTGGAAGAAAACACTTTCTTTGATTGCTCACCTTAGGAATTTTCAACTGAATTCCTTCTTTCTTAAACTTCATACTGGAAACTGTTGTAGAAATATTTGTTAATGGAGAAAAAAAACGGAAATCTGCGAAAACTACAGCAAAAAATCAGGGGTTTTCTCGTTTCCACTTTATGATACCACTCAGAGATTGCCTAAAGAAACACTTCCAAACATTTAAACAGGAGCCAGCCGCTCAGAAGTGAATAGCCGGAGCCTCTTTTTCATCCTTCTCGTTAATCCTCATACTCCGGTGGTTGTAATGTCATAAAAGAAAAAAGAGAGGACATTCCTCTGTTCATGGGCGCATATGCACGCGCAATATTCAACGTTATATGTGCGTCGGCTTTCCGGAGACGGAGCAAATTAAGAAACACAACGCCTTCGTCGGATCTTGGTATTCATTTCAGTTTCGGGACATCTTCTTTGGCACAAAAACATCCTGGCGCCTTTCAGACACCGGGGTGGCGCTGCAGAATTTATGCTGACAGAGAGGGAAATAACTCAAGATAGGATCGCAATGAGAACACTTACGCAAACAAGGAGGAACGTCCCTGAAGTTTCGGCTATGATTTATATTCCTTTTTCAAGATGAAAGTTTCAGTTATGTTGGATTTTTTTTTTAAAAATAGTGATTGTGAAGATTGGTGACAACTTTTAACTTTAAATAGTATTTGAGAGGTATAATCGTCTGAAAAATCCTTATTTTTTTCAGCGTTTAAATGAAAATTCGAAAAAAATTGAACGTCCAGTTACTAAAAAATTATAATTTTTTTCCAGCCCATTCGTAGAAGTGAATAGCCGGTAAACCCCATTAATTGTCAAAACTTGCATTCTTACAAGATTTTTTAGAAAATTCGTCTTCAACCTCTTTTTTTAACCATACAAATTTTTACTGAAAGATTTCAAATGTCTCGGTTCCAAAAATTGCAAGACGTTCCCCCTGAGAATCGAACTTTCATACTTTGTAAGTAGTTCCTTTTCAAACGCTTCATATCCCCGGTCAATCTATCTTTTGTATTTTGCACACCTTCTGACACTGCTCTTTTCGCTCATGAAACGTCTCCCAGTGCTCCTTGAGCTCGTAAAGCGACAGCTTCAGTCGTTGCAAAAGAGGCGAGCCGCGCATCTGAAAAAGGCAATCGTTTAGGAGAACCGCCAATGAGCCGATTTGTCAAACAAATTGCTCGGTGATGAAGAGGAAAGGGAAGTCGACAACTTTGGCGAGCGCCTGAAAAACACCACATTCAGGGGCCATTATGTCGAGGCCCAGGCAGCCTCCAATGAACTGCGGCTCACTTCCTGAGCATTGATGAAGCTGCGCGACAGCGACCGGTTCGACAGCAAGTGAGAGGCGTCTCTCAGCAAATCGCACACGTTTCCGCAACTCGCCTGCAAAAAATCGAGTGAAAAGAGTTTTAAATCGAGAATCAGTTTCAAAAAATGAATGAAACCATCTGGAAAATGAGCACTGCTAAAAATCTATCAATGGAAAAGGTTCGACTAACTCAAAGCGGGAAACGGAAAGGAAAAGAGGAACTTATTCAAAAAATGAATCAATTATGTAGGTAATAGATGATATCTCTGAACGTAACCATTAAAATTAGGAAACTTTGATGGATTTTCGAAATTTCATGGATCATGTATGAGAAGCTGACCGTACTACCAAACCCTTCAAACATAATAGCAAAAATTTTTTTACTTTTCGCCGTAAAGAGAAATGGTCAGGAATCGTCCACTCCGGGTATTTTTTGCTGATTTTCAAAAACCTTTTGAAAAAAACCTTTTTTGTAAATAAACAGACTTCTGCCTATTATAGTATTTACGCACTTAACCTAAGAAACCTTTTCTAAGAAGTTTTTGGACCATCTACGATGGGCCTGATAAGATGTTCTCGCAGATGATCTGAGCCCCTATTACACCTTCAGTAAAATTCGAAAGTTGCCAGCGAGCATATTTATAGAGCCGATCGAATTTCTGCCGAGGTCCAACTAGGACATCGACTACGGATGGCGTCGCAGTCAACACGGCAGCGGGATTTGGCGAATTTGCAACCGGATAGGGCGAGATTAGTGACAGCATGTGTGCGGGAGGCTCGCACTGCGACTATTTGCACGCGTGATCGTATGACAAAGTGGCGAAAATGGCGAGAAGTCGCTGAAACCCGAGGCCGACGACTACCTTGTAGACTTGGGCAGCGATAAGTGTCGCGAAGGCCGTCGTCTCGCCGTCGACGTCGTCGTTCAGCTCGCTCATCGCACTCGTCCAGTCGTTCTCCACCTGAATACATCATTGAGCAGACTTCAAGTCAATCCAACTGTTGTTTGGAGAACAACTTTCTCATACAGTAACTGTGACTTTTTTTTTTCAAAACATTCGGAAAACTTTTCCCAGTCGGAGAGACTTACAGGTTCATCTCAATATCACGATTCATTTCAAAATAGTGAGAAAAAGGATATTGTAGTTTTTCAACTTATCGAACATTTCTGAATGTTCCAAACGTTCAGATTTTCAAAAATTGCCAGTCCTCCAAAACTTCACTGAACGTTAACTTCGAATCTGAATGTGAAGCTTGAACTCGAATCGAAGTTTTTCAATAACTTCCATTTAAAAAAGTTTTTTTTTCTTCAGCTATTCTTTACCTTTCCATCAAGATGATGAAGACACTGGACTGAAAGAGTTCGAACGCGGTTAGGATAATAATCGCCGGTGACCGAGGTATGGCTGTAGGCGCAAACCGAAGAGCCGTCGATACTTGTGTCTTGAATGTGTTCTCTGAAATGAGACTTTGTTGAGAGATAAAGAGAAAATCAGACAAATGGGAAGAGGAAAGCATGGCTGATCCTAGGCGGATTCGCAGAGCTTCTTCTTCATCGCAAGCCGAACCATCAAGAACATCTAAACTATCTAGCTAAACATTTCTTTCCGATTTCGGAACCATCATCATCTTGGTCGACGTCGCAGCCTTCTGAAGGACACGGCGTGCGTTCTTCTTCGTCATCGATAGAAGACCTGGAGAATCTTCCCAACGAAGGATCATCCTGGCTCGTAGTATGCGTCTCAGACTCCTGGAAACGGCTTAGACGACGTCGGAAAGACTAAAAACCTCGTCTTCGTTCTCCTCGTCGTCGTAGTTGCGCGTGACGGAGTGGCGGTCATCTCCGTTTTCTCCAGATCTTGTCGTGGCTCGCATCGTCGACAGCCATCCGAAGCAGCTGTCCGTCGTCTCGGAGACGCTGTCATGCTCCGCTTCGAGGAAATCAAACTCCTGAAATCGTATGAGAACTTAGTCAAGTTATAGATTCGATTACTTTGAAGACTCGTGGAAACGAATCAGTGATGCTTGCGGCAGGATCAGCCAAAGAGGCGGAAGAGGCAATTTCCTGGAAAAAAAGTTTTGAAAAGAAAAACTAGATGTGGAATGCATGAAAAGACTATTTCTACAGGAAAAAATGGAAAATACTTGAGAAGAAGCGTCGATTCTGTCGGTGGACGAAGCAGCACTGCCAAGTTCGCTTCGGGAGAAGACCAGCGACGTCGCCGAAGGGATGCCGATCCGCAAGCCCGACGCAGACAAGACACCAACAAGGTGATCGCGAACTCGGATCTGTACCAGCCATTTTGTATGGACAATCGCGTTGAACGAACATGTGCCGGTGGCAATCTTCTTAAAGTGCTCGCCCCGGCGAACGGCGGTCCATCGATGGTTTTCCGTGGCGAGTGGGGACTCATCGCACGATCTTCTTTCGAAGTCGCCGCGACGAAGGCCGGCAGAAGATCCAGCATCGAGCCCGTCTCCAAGCAGTTCTGAATAACTATTTGGGGAAAAATCGTGAAATTTTCCTTGTTCCCTTTCTTCTCTTCAGTTTATTGATAAAAAACACTTCCATTAGAATATGAAAAAAATTATTAAAAAAATTAAAAATTAAAAAAAGTTTTTAAAAATTGACTTGAAATTTCAGTTTCCTTTCTTTGCTGTTGAACTTCATTTCATCTACCGGTTTCGCCAATAAACCTTCATATTATATTCTCCGTAACATTTTTTTAAAGATTAATTTCTAGGAAGCACTTTAAGAGGGATTAAGTTTTTTTTAGTATTCTTCAAACTATCAAATATATATATACTTGACAATACAGCTGAAACCTTCTAGATTTTCTGCTCTTTCTTTATGATGTGCTCTTTTCGTTTTTCTATGATTTCTTCGGAGAAAGAGCGCTCTGAGTACAGTTTCAAGCCTTGGCATACCACATTCTCGGATTGAAAAACTTCTCAATTTGCTAATTTCCCAGCAATTGGCGGCGGAAATCAAAGAAGCCGTCGCGCTACCCAAGTCATTAACAATTTAACATGGTTTTGCGGTAGCGAGGGGCCAGCAGCACAGTGTCGCATTTCAGTCGGTCGCACATGTCGGCGCTTGGAAACAGGTGTTTCTGTTGGCACTTACAACGATGCCGCCTTCGATGATGATTCCCGCGGCGATCGCCGTCACGGTCGCCTCGTCGCGCAGCTTCTCCACCACGGCCTTGCAAACGCGGGACGCTTCCTTCCAGTGAACTCCCTGAGAAGAAACCGTCAAATCGTACACAAGCACCTAACAGCCTAAAGAGATTCAACTCGAAAAATTGTAAAGACATACTTTTATTGAAGCTTTTAGCTATTAAATGAGCCTAAACGACTGAACAATTTTTTTCATGAAATCTCAGGCTTCAGTTCGAAGAATGTAAAACTATTTTTCAATTGTCAAATTTAACTTCGATTCATTTTTTCAGCTTTTCCATTCAAAAAAGGCGAACTACATAAATTTTTCTTCTCGCCAAATACTGAACTATTCGCTTAAAACACAAAACTGAAGATTTATAGCTTTGCCGGTAAATAACTAGATCCACTCTTCCATGTTATGACTTTGAATCTCCCTTTCTCACATCTCACATCCGAAAAAAAACTCATAATATTATGACCTCTTCGTCATTTTCCTGGAAAGCGGCTATAAATTCCTATAAAAGACATTTTATTTCAATAAAAGGAGACTAGACCAGGCGCCTGACTGTCGCATACATCAGCCGGATATCCAAAACCAAAAAAAATGAGTCCCGAAAACCTTTGAGAAGATCATAAAATTGACGACTCACCTGCAAGTGCCGCGAGACGCTGCGTATCACCTGAAAAACGCCACAAATAGACAATAGAAGATGAGACTTCAGACGGAAGCCGCCCTGCCAGCATACGGTCATAACACGGGTCGACCCGCCGACATGCGTCAATCAAAATCTCATAAAATGCGTTGCCGCTAACCCTATCCGTCGGTTCCCGCCAGATCTCCCTACCGTAGATATGAAGACACTATCGAAAATTAGGGGTCCAAAATTTTCTCAGTAAAATTGAATAGAATTTCACTGTAAGTCAAGCTCGATAAAACAATTTATCTCCAAACTTTCCAAATACTGGATTTTTTTATAGGAGTTAATATTCTTCATATTTTTCTAGATTTGCAGTGAAATGAACCTTGCATTCTTCTTTTTACGAATTTCTTGGAACTGAAATAGTGGATTTTTTGAAAGTATATCTTTTCATGTTAAATGTGGACTTCTGAGTCGACTTCTCTTTCTCGTGTATAATGAGTTCTGCGTTTGAACTAGAGTTGACAAAAAGTGAAAAATAAGACTTTTACTCGGAAATCATTCAATAAAACTTATCCTTAGGTTTTTTTTTACTTTGATGGTTTGCCTAATTCTTCGTTAATGTCATCCTACATATTGTAGAGAATTCCGCGCGGGACCAAAAAGACCCAAAAAAGGTAACAAGCGTTAATGGACTCCATACGGCGAGCGATTGTATCGAATTGCAATAGCTGATAGATCTGACGCGAAACCCGACAAGAATTATTGGGATTAGCAGTTGGCCGTTATCCAATTTCCGAATCTGGAAAGGATGGCGCCAAAAAGGCGGTTCACACCGTTGTTCGAGGGAAACCGTATGCGAGCAGGTGCTTCCGGATCGACACTTCTCAGCCACCTGTGCGTTCAGCGACAGAGGCGACAGCGCCGTGTTGTGGCTGTGCTGGACCAGGAGGAAGATCATGTGCAGCACGTAGCCTTGCATCGACGACCAGCCGCGCTCCAGAATCTTCAATTCAGATTCTTACCCCTTTCTTATAAACGTTTAGAATAAATTTTCATCAAAAACTCTCAATGATCAAGAAAAAAAAAACTAAAAAAAGGAATAGAATAAAATGGAAAAAGCTGGACTTTGATTTTTGAGTTCAACGGGCTGCTTCCTTTTTGAGAGAGGCTTTTGAAAAAAAATATACATTTCTGAAATGAGATTTCAATGTTTCATAGTACAGAAGTTGGTCAACACAGGAGCACCTTCAGAATAATATTTCGAAAAATCTTGCAAGAGCGGCTAGAGCCTATTTTCTTACGGTTCTTAACCGAAGCTATGCAGATTGAGAATAAAATAATGAAAATTCTTGGATGGAAACTCTTGCTATCATTTTCTCAATAATTCCACTAGAAATTTGTCTTTTCTAGCTCCGCCATAACAGTTGCAAGAGCCAGGGCTGGTTACTGTGGATCCGTCTGTCACATTGGAAGTTTGTCACTTTGTTGCTTCGTCCGTCAAGATTCGCCGTGACGATTGGAACCGTCGTATACACTGAGATAACCATCGATTCCGCTGCCTTGCCTTGTCAATGTGGGAAACATATTTTTGGAGGTGGCCTATTGCGGGGCGACGATCTTCGACGCGACAAATTGTCACTCCGCGATTTCCACACGCGATAATCGCCTTATCCGCTTTTGTTGTCTTTTTTTCTGTGGGAGCGACTTTTTGACCTACTGTGTTAGTTCTAAAACTCAGTGGAAGTGAAGGAAGGGAGCATAAAAAATAATAATCAAAGTCCATCCAGTGTGTAATTGAGAACCGTGTAGAGCTCGCTGGAAAACTTTTGAAAAGTCTAGATAAATATTATAACCTGTGCAAACTTCTATTCTTGAAATTAGGGCTTTGCACATGTTAGAACCTATTAAAAATTTAAAAAAATTAAACCTTCAAAGCTCTAAAACAAAGAGTTTGTGCTGGTAGCAACTATTGAGTCTCAACCTTGAAATAGTGACTGAGTAAAATAGGTAGAAAATACAAATCATGACCAAAACGAAGTTTTTTTCTTCTTCAATTCATAACGAAAGCTTTGGCGAAAAGGATAACCTCTGCCAGAAGACAGACAATCGCGTCCATATTGATGCCCATAACGCCGTCGCAGATGTACTGCAGTACACATTTGGCAAATTGAAGACCGTCCTTCTGGAAGCTCTTCGAGGCGTATTGCGACATCACCTGAAATCTTATCACTTGCGACCTTCCGGAGCCACCAAATTTGAGAGATAAAGAAAATTTCCTAGTGAAGCTGAATAAAATGATCAAAAGAAAACTTTCTTCAATGCGACAGCCAATTAAAAAGTTCCAAAAATTTTCGATTTCTTGCATTTTTTGGCTTTTTCGAACTTTTTTTTCCGCTTACCGTAGCTAAATGAATGAATGGATGGTCTGAAGGGGCTTTTTCAACTCGCTGGACTTCTTGTCGGCAGAACTAAACAAAAAGATTCTTTTCAGTCTTGTAATCCTTCCAACAGCTGCGATGGCATTCGAAGCGTCAATGGCCAGGCTGTTGGGATTGTCAAAGTTGAGCAGCATGTAAGGAAGCGTGTGGGCGACGAACAAGGCGATGCTGTCGTGACCTGAAATCCGCACGTCTTCAGATTCTGTGCCAACGTCATCCTCTCCAACCGCCGACGACGTCTTCATCGAGCACGTCGCACAGACGGATGAGCGCCTGAATCGAGGCTTCGTAGGCGATCGATACCACCGAACCTGAGTTAATCGAATCAGACTCTTCAAGTGCAACGTCGCTCCGTCGGAGAGACAGGGGCACACGACTTTGATTCATGGGTGCGATAAAAAAAACGACGTTCGTCGTGCTTATCGCCGAACCGCATCAAAACCGTTCACATTTCCATGTTCGCATTTTATCTCCACATTTTAGGCTACTCACTAATTTTTTCATCGGTGAGGAGAACTTCCATGAGGGACCAACGTTCTAACAGCATCTATACATCAAATTTTGAAAGGCTTATTTCAAAAAATCACACGGTCACTGTTTCGATTACCTCGAAGATTACACTATCCTTCTGTGAATCTTTCGAAAATTCAGCTCAAAATATTCTTTTAAAGGATTTCAAAGAGTGAATCGGAAAAAAAGTATGCTTTGGAGGTTCTAATAGGGCAATTAAGGCATTCAAGTTGTTATTATATAGCACAAGTTTGTAGAAATTGAAAAATCAAAAGATCTTTTTTGAGTTCACAGGCCTACCTCGGATCACAAGAGAAACGATGCCGTCGAAGTTCTTCCACTCGAGCTGCGCGATCATCTTGTCCAGCTTGTGGAGGCACTGCAGCTTTTGGGCCGTTCCCATGTCCAGAACCTTGTCCAACAAGTTCAACGCCAGCAGAAACTCGTTGTCGAGTCCGCTCTCGAGCAGAGCCAAAGCGATGGCGCACATTTGCGTCCGAGCGTTGACTTCCTGGAAAAAATAATAACCTTGATTTGCAATTTTTGATGTAGTTCTCTCCAAATGGAATATCAACGCACTTCATCGGCTTCCAGGTCAGTCTTCAACTGGTCGGCACTTTTGCTCCTCACAAACTTCTCAGTGGCGACGGACCACGACTCCTTGTCAGAGACGAGCAACGACAGTCGCGCGTCTGAAACTATGGGCGTGAGACTCTAACATCAAACCAAAAAATCTTATCTCAGTCACTTTTTGAAACACTGTTCTTTTGAGAAAGGACTGATTCCTTCCATTTCCATATATAAGAAAAGAGGACAGAAAGAAAAAAGGATCCGTGGACACAGGTACAGAAAAACATCTCAAAACTGGGAAATTTGATCATCTCACAGGGATACAGTATTATATCCTGTGTTCATGTATGACGAACCTTTCTTGTCGTGTTGGTGCTGAACTCGGGAGCAAAGGACCGACTGTCGGACCAGAGCCGGAGTATAAGAGGTTGATCGGGCATGCGTCGGCGATATTGAGCCGCGAATGATCACAGACTCTATCGACTGGAGGGAATATTTAGAACCGACAAGGTGAGACCGATACAGACCGGTGAGATGTTAGAAGCGCTATCGATGAGGCAAATGAGCAGGTCCGTGACGTAGGCTTGCGTCTCTTCGTGTTGTTCGCCAGCCGTTTCTACCAAACGACTCATCAACGACGGAACCCAGGCGCCTGGAGGTTGTCGCAAGGCAGAAACGATCTGCGAAGAAAATATTAGTTATTTGGATTCGTGAAGTTCAACTACCTCACTTCAGATGTGAGAGAATAGAGTAAGAAAAATAAAATTAAAGAGACTAACAAAATATTGGTACAACTTTCAGCAACAAGAGAAAATGGCGATCTTATTAAAGAACAAAGAAAGTATTATTCGGCTCACTGGTTTTTTAAAAATTAACCTCACTAGTGAGTCATTTCACAATTTTCGTACAGTTTTTTCTTAACTCAAAATTTATATTTTCTAAAACTTAAAGACATAAAAAAGTTGAAAAGTCATTCAGACTTTCCTTTTTCATCGTACCTTTTTTGTATGATGCTTAATTGAATCTCTTATTAACCTGGAAACACCGTCCGGCACTGTGTCGTTGTGAAGTCGCCAAAGCCATTCTCATGGCCAACTGCGTCCACATGATGGCCACCATCGGGATGTTTCCGATCAGAAGCTGGGCGACTCTTTGAACGAGGCAAGTGAGTTGGGCCGCGCTCGGGACTCGCCAGTTCCGCGGAGTCGCATCCTCGTTGGCCCACAGAGGCCAGTCCATGCTGAACATCACGATACAACTCACAGATGTAGGAAGGAGCAACTTTTCACTCAGACAGAAGACGATGGCTGCGACGAGATCGGAAGAAGAGGAAAAGGTGCAAGGATTCTCGAGAAGCATGGTTCGGTACTCGTCTGCGGCTGCCCTTGCAAATGACGGCGATTCTCCGCGAGCGACGGCGACGGCTGATTCTCCGGTCAAGTCAGAGGAGCCGTCTGCATGTGACTGCACCATCTGAATCAATGCAACGCTTCTCTTTCAAGATTCAAGACCATCCGTTTAACGTCTTCGAATAGAAAAACAAATCGACTTGAAACGCACCTCATTTTTCAGAAGAATCGAAGAAACTTGCGTCAACGAAGTTTTATCAACAAAAAGCAGACAAACATTGATGATAGTCTGAAAATGTGATTTGTCTTCCAGAAATAGATAATCCCGTCGGACCTGACGAGCATGACGGCAGAGAGCTGGACGAAGGGAATCGAGAGAAAGAACTCCGGCGTGCAGAAGAACCGGCGTCGCCTCGGACCAGTCGACGTCCGACGCAGCTCGGATGATGTCACAAACGAGGAGCAAACCGACTTCACTTCTGTGAAAGATTCTCATAACATTTGGTTTTTATTCCGATCTTTATACTTGTTGAAGAACTGAACAGGGTGTGTAGTTGGCGGCAGAAGCGTAGAAAGTTGAGAATAATGGCCTCCGTAGGCTGGCATCGGAAGAAGTCTCACGCCATCTTTTATAGTTTCGTCCTTGAATGAAGAAAATAAAGAAAAATGAGTCTCACGTTGAAAACCAAAAAAAAAATGGAGAAGATGGTTTTGATCATTTCAAATTTTATGAGGAAAGGAACTGATAAGGTTGGTTTTAACCAAAAAAAAAATTGATTTTCTTAAACGTTTTCCGTTCCCCTCGAAACCAAAGAACTCGGAGCTTATTCACGAGACAGTTTCAAATCTAACCGAACCCCTAAAAAACGACTTCAAACCTTCAGCTCCTGCGAATCTCTCAAAGGCGAGCTCGGAGCATCACTCTTCTCCTAAAATCGTTCATAATTCGCTGTAACCCAGACGAAAAAGATACCTTGCGGTCGACAGAATCGTCACGCCATCTGTAGAAAGGCGGAATGTCACTGCGTTCGAGGACGACGCGGACCGAGTCCTGCGAGCCGCTCAGCCACTCCAGAAGCAGAGTCGCGAGCCTGTTGCCGACGACGTCGGAGATGATCACGCAGACCCTCTTCATCACAGGCAACAAGGTGTCCTGCGACAGCAACGTGACCGTGTAGAAGTAGTTGAGAATCGCAGGAAGGTTGGCGGGAAAAGAAACCGCCAAAGACTTCCACAGTTCACCGAGCTCTCTGAAAAGGGTTTTTTCTTCGGTCATTTGGGATTTCACACTTTTCATGATCAGCTCCAAAAGTAGCTGTCAAATGGAGCAAGTTGTTCAGAACGAGTTGCGTCGCCTCTTCGGAGCCCCAGCCTCGAGGTCCTTCCAAAGCCTCGTCAACCACGTTCGGATCAACTAGTTCGAGATTGGCTATCCACGGCTGGAGTAGTGCCAAGAGTTGAGCACGACTGGAGCAAGTAGTGGACTCCAATCGATACGAAACTTCTGCGAAAAACGGAAATTCTCAGATCACACTCTTCAGTTTGAGATACCGCTGAAAATAGTCACAGTGAGATGAGGGTAAGCGTTGGCTAGCCTACGACAGACTTTCTGTTGCTCAATCGGCAAGCTGTGACCGATTTGGGTCTGGAAATACGAATGGAGAACAGAGAAAACGATAGTATCGTACTGAAATGATGTTTGCCGTGCTCCTGAAGTGGACTGGTTGGATGGGAGAAGTTGCTTGAAGAGCGCTAGATCTGAAAGAAGTGGGATGTGGGAGGAAACGACGTCTTTGCGTACGAATCGAGGAACTGTTTCCGAAGCATCTCGATCATGTGGACAGCACAGTCCGTGGTGGACGGCCCGGCGAGCATCGACTGGCAGAGGACGAAAAGGGAAACGAATTCGCAGGGAAAGTCGCGTCGCGAAAATACTCGCACCAGTGCTTTGAAACAACGGCATGCCACCGTAGGCGTCTGAATAAGGACGCATCAGAAAAAAGCTTCTCAAATTTCGTTTCCTTTCTATATTGAAATTTTTTTTTGGCCTAACTAGGGATCTTTTCTTACCCCCCGGTTGAACTTTTTATGAAACTTCGCTGAAGTGTACTTTAGACCCTCCTGATTGCAGAACAAGAAAAAAATGTCTCACAATTGATCTGGTTTTCGAGTTAGGACGCTTCAAAAGCTTGAAATAGTGTATTTTTGGCCTAATTTGCGTGTTTTGCGGACTTTGAAGGTTCATAACTCGAAAACGAGATCTATTGCGAGAAATATTTTTCTTGTCCTGCAATCAGGAGGTGTTAAAGAACACTTCAGCGAAGTTTCATCAAAAGTTCAACCGGGGGGTAAAAAACGTTCCCTAGTAAGTAAATAATGTTTTATTTAGAAACCTTTACGACACACCGAAAGAAATTGAAGGACTGTTACACGCGAGATGATTTTCTATTAAGAAAAAAATACAGTTAATTTGAAAAAAACAAAGTTTAAAAAAAGGATTTCTCAGATTGGATAAATGTTGTGTTCAAATCCCCAAAACATAAGTGATTCAGAACATTTACTGTAGTTTTTCGAAGCTTTATATATAATGTCTAAGATTTTAAACTCACGAACTATCCTTCTGAAGATTTCTGTTTCTGAAACTATTATCATTTCTGGTAGTAAAACCCTCCGCTCAGCGTGGTAAATTCATTATAGTCTACCAAAAAAAAAACCCAAATCATAGCTACCTTCTAAATACTCTTGAGTCCAATCACCTGCTGGTAGCACTGCGCCATGAGCCAATCCAGAATATTACTCGACTCGTTGAGTTCCAAAACCCAGGCGAGGAGTTCTTCGACTTCGGCTTGCATCGTCGCATTGTTGCTGGTGACAAACTCCTCGAGCCAGCCGTAGAGATAGCCGTCTTCTCCGATCGACTTGTTCGCCTCGAAAATGGGCCCGCAGCACAAAATCCTCGTCATGGCCAGGATCGACTTCTGCTCGACGTAGGAGCCGACCTGAATCCCGGTTGAGAAAGCTTCGAAGATAATTAGAACCTCCTTGTCTTTGCATTTCCTGCCAGCCGTGATGGAGCGAGAACACCATCCAATGAATAAATAGAACAGATTCTGCCGCTTTTCCGAAGACAATAAACCTGAAGAAGCACATAGATCGCAATATATCAGACTCACCGGAACGAGAAAATGGAGGCGTCGAGTCTATAATCAGAACAATGAGCTTGGCCAGGTGAAGTCGGAGCTGTGTCACAATAACCAGATCCCGCTCCTGGGATATGTCTACTTTTTAAGCTTGAACTTCGGAGCCTACATGGTCACTGGCAAGATTAACACGCATCGAATCGATAAATTCAACGATAGTGCTGTTGAGTGCTCCAGAAGAGTCAATCATCGAAACTTCCAGAAGACCGCGGAAGACGGCAATCTTCAGATGAGAGAAATGATGAAGATTATTGAGAAGAGAGACACCTCGATCAGGCGGATGATTTGCAGACGGAGCAGGTCTTTCCTCCTGCGACGTCGCAGATTCGTCTCCACCTTCTTCTCCATCGCTTCCCGCAGGATTCCACAGGCTTTCAGCTCCTCCATCAGCGAATCGAACGCGTAGGGATTCATGGATCCAACGCCGAGAATGACGCTATCCCGTATGTCCGTCATGTTTTCCCATCGAAGAATTGTGCACAACTTGGACAACAGCTGGGAAAGAGTTGTAGGCAGAGGTCCTCGGCTAGATCTGATGGACGAAGAGACGGACCGGAAGACGTCCGAAGCATCCATACTGATGCTGAATCTAAAGAGAAAAAATATATCGTTTCTTCCTTTTAGAGTACTTGTGTGTGAGAAATAAAACATTTTGATTGATTGATTGAGAGGTCGCATCCAAAAATCACTCAATTTTTCGAACAGGAAAACGATTTTTCAGAAAGGAACAACTGATAAAATTTGACTGAAAATTGGCTTTTGCTGAAAAATGTATCCTCACGAATTAGTCGGACTGAAGCTCCGCGGAAGGGTGGAGCAGTTCTGGGGCGACGGTGCCAAGGCGCAGCAAAGGATCAAATATTTCTGCCAGAGGGAGAGACAGCCGTCCTGGCCCAAGGCCTCGCCGTACGCCGAGGAGCCTTTGCTTTTGCTGCCACGGAGAAGCGAGGCGCGACTTTCGTTTTGAGGGTTGCTGGGTAGACAATGAGATGTTGCAGATCTCCTCTGAACTCACTTCGGATCGACATATCCACTGACGGCGTTCAGTCTGGCGAACAAGATTGGCCAGGCTGTCATTATCGCCGTAGGGCATCTAATAATTATCGAATGACTGATGAATTTGCAAAGAGGATTTTTTGGGATTTTTTTACTATTGTTAAAAAGAATTAGGGGTATAAGATAATCTGGAATTATTTCTGTAGAGCTATTGATCCTTCGAAAATGCGTTCGGCGACCTGTAGAGAAGAGACTTAAGAGAAAAAAGTTATCACCTTGTCAAGAGATGTTTCCTTTCGGAATAGCCGCTCAGAGCACACGCCCAGGCATCCCATTGCAAATATTCATTACCCTTGTCACTGTTTACCTAAAAAGAGAATTCTTTCAATTTTTCAACTTTCAACTTTTGAATCACCAAACAATTGTCCGTTTCAATTGACCCGATCTTCTCGCAAACCGAAGCGAATTCCATGGTCCAAGCCATCTGAAACTCCTTTTCTGCTATGAATCCCTCTGTCTAACCAACTCTTTCGCTCAAAGGCACATGTTCAATATACTTCTTGACGACGTATGGCGTAGCATTGTCAAGGACAGTTATCACTGGAGTATCAGTGTTCTGAAATCAATTTCGATGAAGAAACAGAAAAGTTAGAGAGAGACTTCGATAGCCAGAAGTCCGATGATCGTTTTGACCTCCTTCAACAGCTGGATCGCCAGTTTCCGTGGCTGCGATCTTGAAATCATATTTTAAGAGATAAAGAGGGCTTTCAAATTCTGATAATTTTCGAATAAAATCGATAGTTATTTCTTATTAGATGAAAGTTTACTTGAGAGGATCAGGACAATGACAGAAGAACGAAAATCTAAGTTCTCTGATCGGATTTCAAACCCATTTAAAAAGTTCTCTGATCGGATTTCAAACCGATTCAATCACAAAAAACTTTCAACTGGAAGTTCCTACCTATTCTGACACAAGTAGACGAGAGCAAGGCCTTCGATGGAGTGGAGGACAGGGGCGTAGTTGATCTGAACTCGTTCTCCTGCCGAGGAGAGCGCGACGTTCTCCGGCAAAGAACACAGGGACGAAGATCCGATGGAAGAAGGAGCCGTGGACGACTGGAAATCTTGCTTTTTTCTCTCCGCGCCAGCCGCCGTCTTCCAAGTCGTCAACAACTGCAGCAACAGCCGCAAAGCGTCGTCGAGGACATTTGGAAAGAAGTCCTGAATACATTTCGTCCAAAATTATCCTTTTTCTCCGCGTCGCACCGAAATCTGACTCTGCAGCAGTTGGACCTGGGCGACGAAGACGTGCTCCCGCCAATCGGGAAACTCGCCGATCATGTTCTGCAGGGTGAGACCGGCCATGTTCCGCAACTCTTCATCGATGTGCACAGTCAATCGTGTCAAAATGTCGATGAGCTCCTAGGGAAGTCTATACTTTCTTGAGCCTTTGAGGGTCTCTAGGCTGATACTAATATTTTCTTTTTATGATACTAATACTTTCTTTCTATGATACTGTTTAACAGATATTCTAAAAAAAAATCCGAAAACATAGATAGTTCAATTAAGGAAGTTTTTCTCAAAAGTTTGAAAATACGTGTGTTTTAGAGGGGCAGCGCTGACGCCATAAACGAAAAAAATGAAAAATAATTTCACAACTGGGAATATTGTTAAGAGAACTATTCCGTTTCTTATAATTACCGTATGCGACATCGGTTCAGGAAGTAACCGTGGAATGGCGGCAATACACGTGCGGAAAAGGTCCAATTTCGGTTTCGTATCGCCACTGAATGAAAATCTTCATGTTCATGTTCAGAAACGGTTTTTCCACCTCATCAACTCTTCTGGTTCTTTCCCACGACCATGAATTAACGGCATCATCAACGGCTTTCCGATTTGTGTATCCAAAGTTCTCAAAATAGAGTCGAAGGCTTTTCGACAAGGCGTGTAGTACTGTTCCAGGCCGATGGATCTTCAAAACGGAAAAATACAGCTAGTTCTGAGATTCTTCTACTACTTTGCGATTTCAGCGGTAAGAGGTCGAGTGATGTAGGTCTTCTTGCGGATTTTCTGGATGGTTCCGCTCGCAGATGGACCCATTGACTTCGGCATGGCCGGAGGTTCGTCCTTCTGCTGGAGCCCGTCGGCAATCACCATCAGGGCTCGGATTCCGATGTTCATTCTCTCGGCATACAGCGAGCGCTGAGTTCTGTTGCAGCACAGAAGATCGAAAATGACGTCCTGAAGAAGGTTTATAGAAATGAAAAATGTCGAGATCAACTTTGAAAGCAAAGTCAAGTTTCTGCTGGGCGATGAAGTGGATGATCTTGACGAAAATGTTGAGAGGAGCGTCGCGAGGGACTGAAGCCACGGACTCAAAGAAACTAGAAAGATCAACTTTCAACCTATAGATCGGTTTCCTTTGGGAAAAAGACTCCCACAGATAGATTCCAGTCGAGAACGCGTCGCAGTGTTGCCGTCGCTGTTGTTTCGGATCATGTAAACCCTGAAGACTTCAGATTTCCCCTCCGTTTTAGAGATGCTGACCATAAAAGTCGATAGAGACTTTCCAAAGCGACACGAGAAAGTTTGGAATCACGGTTCTTGAGATTTGCCAACGTCACATTCAAAAAAGGAACCCAGTTCGTGAGGAAAAATTGCCGTTGGCTCACACAAAGAAGACAAGTTTGCAAAGGGTAGGCGGCCTGAGAATAATTTTTGTTTTCGTGTGTCTCGGAACAAAAACCAATTTGTGGTGCTTCTTCGAGGCCATCTCATTGGTGGGACCATACAATTTGGTGACGAGGGCGATCAACGACGGAATATTCGTCTCACGTTTGATTTGCTGAAAACAGCAAATAATTATTGAAATTTGAGGAATCTCACAGCTGCGACGGGAAGTAGAATCTCAACGAGGAGACCAGTAACGGCGTGTTTCACGTCCTCAACTCATTATTTGGATTTTTTTCAAAATATAAAGTCGAACTTTATCTTTGACTTCAAGAAGAAACGTTCCTAAGTCGTCGAGAAACTTCACTCCCATTTCAAAATCTTCCACTTGATTTGTCTAAAACTTCGTTTTTAATGACCTAGCGAAAAAGAGACGCCGACTTTAATCTTAACGAATTTCATGGCCATTATCAAGGCTATCATTTGGTGAGGCACCAGTGGAGAAGAATCTTTCCTCAGGTCGTTCAGCATGTTCATGAATATTCTAGAAACAACATCATCAGGCAATCAAAAAAAAATCGCATACCTGTGAATGCTGGTGAAATAGGTGAGTGAGAGGACTCCAATAACCTCTCCGTAGGCTTCTGCCACGAGCAAATGATTAGTATTATTGATTCCAGTAACGCTTCTAAAACAATTTATCGAAAATCCCAAAAGAAAAAGCATCAAACATGTCTTTGTACTGAATGTTACGGAAACAAATGTCCAACAGTTTTCGAACGAAATTCTCACAAGAAACTGCATGGAATTCCAACTGAAACCATTGAAAATCAGAAAAATGAGGAATAAGTGTTCACCTGGGGGAGAATTTCGATAAGAACTAGGCAGAAAAGGTAATTGACAGCCAGCAACTTTTTTGCAAGCTTCAGCCTATTTTCGTTTCTGAAAAAGCCGGAAATATTGTTGGAGTACTATATCTCGATCACGTTAGTGTTGTAGAAGTCATAGTAGCACTCAAGTTCTCTTCCATGTGTTCGTACCACTTCAAAAGAACTTGAAGAACTGAAGGGAGGCATACTTCGCAAATTCCATTCAGAGCTCTGCAAAAAGCCCATTGAAACTAAGAACTAAATGAAATTAACCGGCAAAGGTTGTCAAAGTACGGGTCTCCGCCGCGTTGAAGAGTTTTGTTCAGTAACTTCTCCTGAATTCCCAGTGTTCTATTGGAAAAAGAGCAAATGCCAACCAATGGCTCGTCCTCGACAACGGCTGTGAGCTTGCGATTGAAAAGATTGAACATATCCAGCAAAATCGCTTGTCCTTGAAGAAATTGATGAAATCCAGAAAACTTCCGGCGACAAACCGACAAAAGAGCCGCTAGGCTGATTGAACTCCAAAGGAGTAAGAGCGACAATCTTTACGCCACCCCATGGGAGTTCGCACGTGGCTATTCTTAATTTTCAACTATGTAACCCCTATTGAGCATTTTCATTGAATACAATAACTCACGACTTTTCCGCATTTGCTCGAAGAGTTATTGTCCCAGGATCACTTTTCCGACGGCTGACTTTTTTCGGCGCCAGCGCCATTCTGCTTAAATCAACGATGAAACTGACCCAAAAAAAAAGCGCAAACAGGAAAAAGCAAAAAGGGCAAATAAAAACAATTTAAAAACAAGGTCCGTAAATAAAAACACAGATTGTGCGCTCCAACGAGAGCCACCGGTATTTGTACAGATTGCCTCACGGTAAATCGACCCCAGATTTCTCAACGGGGCGCGCTTTCTTCCATCCCATTTTTTTTTTCTTATTCGTTTCTTCATTGCAAATGTGTTTCTGTTCTAGTTTTTTCTACTCTTTCTATTGCACGGCGTTTTGAAAAGGGTGGAAAAACTGGCAAAATGTGCCCTGATGAAAAAGTTATAACGGCGGACTACGGTTGGAGGATGCAAGTTTGCAATATATTGTTATTCATATTCCCATTGTCGTATCGTGCTTTCATAGAGCTAAGATTTAATTTTTGAGATTTTTGGAACTTTAATTCGTTCAGTGAAATTATTACAAAATTCGAATTCTAAGCATACAAATTTTTTCAAACGGTTTCGTTTTCATCAGTTTCAAGCTCATGACAAAGGTGAGATACTACCCGGTCGCATACAAATGACCACCGATTAGCATTCGCCGATTGACTTGAGTCGCTACCCGGTACCTACTTGTATCTACCTCTCGATTCACCAGTGGACAAACGTATATTCCTCCTTTGCAAATACAGGCTTTCCCAGGTCTTGCAAAGGCACATTAAAAATCCACCTCGCTAGTACCGTTCCGCCGCCTTACCACTGCTCCTCGCTGCCGTTGCTTCGGCAGTCGCCAGATCACAATATAGTCTGTTCAGATTTTGTATTTCAAGTCGTCGCTCAAGCTCCGCTCCTGATGGTGCGATAAACCAATCAGAGAGCGGAAAATTCCAGAATCGCCCCCCACACTGTTTTTGCCCCCCGCGTTCCAACAAGCCCCCCACCAAGCCAAGTTCCGATCTGTGGGGGGTAAAATAGGAGGACTTCATGTGGGGGGAAGAATCGAACGCGGGGGGTGAATATGTATTCTAGAATGGCCCCCCACAGTACAAAACGGGGGGCGATTCTGAAATGCCTAGGCAATCTTTCATATTTGCCCCCCGCACGGCTTTGAAATAGTCCCCCCAGAGCTCATTCGAACAAGCCCCCCTCCCATTTCAGAATGACCCCCCTCTCATTTCAGAATGGCCCCCCTCCATTTCAGAATGGCCCCCCTCCCATTTCAGAATGGCCCCCTCTATTTCAGAATGACCCCCTCTATGTCAAGTATTTTATTTATTTGACGAATTGTTCACTGTGGCTCAGTTTTTTCGAAGCGAGCCACAGTCGGCTTCGCGCTATGCGCGCTCCGCCTCCGTGTGAAGCCTTAAAAACTAAGCCTATTTTTCCTAAGTAATTTATTAATTAATGTGCATGAAAAAGAAAAAAAGCAAAAAAATTCTATTCCTCAGAACAATTACTTGATTGAAAAACTAATAAAGTTCATCTTAAATTTTTTTCTAAGTGGTCAACGCCCCATAATTTTATGATATTCGTACGTATCTCGGCGAGACGTACCCGTAAACTTCTTTGTCTGACTTGAACTTCTCATGAAACTCGGACAGCGACCTAATTTCTTCCATGATCTACAAATCAAATCACAAAAAAATTATTAAATTCACAAAAAGAACACGAATTTACATGCGAAAAATACAAAAAAACCATTTGAAACAACCAAGAACGACGAATGATACGAAAAAAATTAGAAAAATAAATTTAAAAAAATGGAAGCTCTGACACGTGTCCTGCGTGATCGTTGCGTGACTTTTTTTCGGTGTGGGGGGTTATACTGGATAGTTCCGGGGGGCTATATTGGATAAGTGTGGGGGGCTTGTTCGAACGTGTCGCGGGGGGGTGATATCCAACATATGCGGGGGGCTATACTGTAATATGCCCAAAATCCACCTCGCTAGTACCGTTCCGCCGCCTTACCACTGCTCCTCGCTGCCGTTGCTTCGGCAGTCGCCAGATCACAATATAGTCTGTTCAGATTTTGTATTTCAAGTCGTCGCTCAAGCTCCGCTCCTGATGGTGCGATAAACCAATCAGAGAGCGAGCCATCCACAGAGTGTTTTTGAATGACGTCATTGCACTTGACATTCAAAATCTGAATAGACTATACCACACCGCGCGCGCATTCTCTTGTGTGCGGCTGCGCTTCGAAAGGTCATACCTTGACTCCGAAATTTTTTTGAGAAAAATTTGATTCGAAAATCTCAAAAATTGAATATTAGCTCTATGAAAGTACGATACGACAACGTGAAAATGAATAACAATAGAAAGAGTAGAAAAAACTAGAACAGAAACATATTTGCAATGAAGAAATAAATAAGAAAAAAATGGGATGGAAGAAAGCGCGCCCCGTTGAGAAATCTGGGGTCGATTTACCGTGAGGCAATCTGTACAAATACCGGTGGCTCTCCAACGAGTAGGTCGTCCGCAAAAAAATTCTTTTTAAAATTAAAAAAACTTAAATTTGTACATTTTTTTAAAAAAATTTCAACATCTAACGGATGTACATAAACATAAAGATTAATTTTTTTGTTGTTCAATGAAATAATCGAATTTTTTTGAGAATCGATGAAAGGTTTTTTTCTTTCACAAATCATTCATTTTTTTCGATGAAAGAATAGTTGAAATTGTTGTAGTTTTCAATGTATAATAGAATTCTGAATATAAGATTATCAAATCAGTTTGATTTGATTTTTTTCAAACTTAAGTCAGTTTTATCTGCGCATAGTTCGCTTATAACTTCATTTAATGAAATTACGGAGAAACGGTTACACTTTCGAAAAATATTTTCTGATTATTTTCTTTCAACGATGATTTTCTCGGATAATTTAATTTTTGAAGAGCATTCAACTTTCGTTCAATTGAAGAACAAAAAAATTAGAAAATTTATCGACCAGTAGAATTTCAGAAAAGACAGTATAAATTATAAAAAAATAGGGGTAAAAAAATGGTACTGTACAGCTAATTTGAAAAATAAGACAATCTGATTCATTTCCCGTAGGCCTCGATGAGCATTCCAACGCCGTGGCCGCCGGCAGCACACGCGGCTATCAAAGCGTATTTGCCCTTTTCCTCCTGAAATTAATTTTATTTTCTCGATAAGAATATAATAGAAATAGACCTGGAGGCGGTGAGCAGAATGAGCGGCGAGTCGGACTCCGGTGGCTCCAAAAGGATGTCCGATCGACAAAGAGCCGCCCCAAAGGTTCAGCTTGTCTATTGGCACGCGGCCAAATTTACCCGAACGACCCATTTTTTCCTGGAATTAAAAACTGTGAAAAAAAGGGTTTATTATCTTCGCAAAGCTATTGATTTTTCACTTTTTATAAAGAACTTTCAAGAAACTTACAGAGAAATTACAAATAAGATGAGCTTTTTCAATATATCCACGTGTTTCATTCCAAGCCGTAAAAATCATTCAGTCCCACGACAGTAGTATTATGATTGAAGTTAACAGAATAATGATAGAATTCAAAGTTTATGAAAAATAGTTTTCCTTTTTAAAGAATACCTCAACGTTTGAAATAAGTCAAAAAAATAAAACTTAAAAAAATAAACAAGTTTTTTTTCAAAACTTTTTGGTGAATATATGAAGTTTTGAATAACAAAACCTTGCAGAAGTAGTCGCTATCCAAGGCGTTGAGATTGGCGAGAACCTGGCCGGCAAAAGCCTCGTGAATTTCAAAAACATCGATGTCTTTGAGTTTCAAACCAGCCTGGAAGTTGAAAGAAGAATGAATTTTCAAAAAGAAAAGTTGGAACCTTGTCAAGGAGCTTGGGAATGACGTAAGCTGGGGAGAGAAGCAACTCATCTTTCGGATCCTGAAAGGAATTTTGAATATCAAGTGGGAATATTTGAGCAGATATACCTGAGCAACATACATGAAGTCCCGCAGGTAAGCCTTCGGCTTGTATCCGTTGGCCAGAGCGAATTCTTCTGTTGCGATGAGGCAAGCCGAGGCGCCGTCTGTCAGGTAAGACGCGTTTCCTGAGACTCATTGATTACTTATTCATCAAAGAGAAAAGAAGGAACAAATTTAAATGAATTCGAATTCGCGTGATTCTACAGTTTGAATGTGAAATTATCGACTTTTTTCCGTATTATTTTCGCAATAAAAAAAGGAATTCTCATTGTTGAAATCTAATCAAACTTCCACTTTTCGTAATATACTCCTTAGATAATACTTTTACTGACGGTTGATTGAAAGTAATTTAAAATTTGAAATAAAGGTTAAAATCTTAAACTTTGAAGTTGAAAATGAAAAAGCTCACAACATGAAATTCAAAATTTTGTTTTCTTCAAAACACAGATCTGCGGCAGTTCGAGTTTTTTTTTCTATCTTCTCCAGTAAATTGAAGAATGAGAATTAAATTTCCAAAAAAAAACCTGCAGTGACAGTTCCGTGGGGTTTCACGAAGGCAGGCTTCAATCCTGAGAGCTTTTCATACGTGGAAACGCGGATTCCATTATCTTCCTTCAAATCAATTTTTAATTCAAACAATATAACAATAAGATTAATACTTAAATTTCATAAATTATCATTGATGATTTCTTTGGAAAAAGGAACAGCTCAGATTTCAGCTTACGGAGCAGGAAATTTTTTGACGCTTTGAATAAGCCAACCGAGGAATTAAAAAACAAATCATGAAAGTACTGAAATCTAACTTTAAAGAATTCAGTCAAAATCTAAAAAAAGAAAAAAAAGAAGAAATTCGAAGCAATAATTGATTCAGTGCCATATGAGCCAATTTTCATGGTCCTTAAAATTTCGAAGATTTATTAAAATAACTCATTAGGAAACGTGGGAAAACAAAACTTCCACTTTCAAACTTTTGATGTAGAACAGATTGACGTACCTTGATCGTGACAGGTTTTTTGCCACCCAAGAAAACTGGAACGACATCGGTGAATTTTCCTGCAGCGGCGGCGTCTCGGGCCAGAGTGTGTGACCGGATGGCGAACTCGTCTTGTTCCCTGAAATCAAATAATTTTGGAATGTTGATACAAGAATAACTTGACTTCTTTTTCCATCTTCAACGGCGCAATATAGTGGATTTTTATCAATTACATTAACGCCACACGCTTTTTTGAATTTCCTTCACGACCTCTAACTTTCAAATTTTTTTCCAATTAAAAATTCAAACAAAAAAAAACTCCTCACTTTCTGGAGACGTTGAAAGCGGCGGCCAAACGATCGCCGCTGTGGCCCATAGTTTCACCCGTTGAGAATTCGGCGACCGCGGGAAGTTCTGGCGCCAAAAGGTTCTTCACGATTTCCGTGCCTAGAAAATGTCCCTTTATCCTCTTTTCATAGGGCCTCAAAATTTTCTATAAAAAAAACAAAAAAAACGTTTCAAAGAAAATAGTCGAAAGTAGTTTTAAGATAGGCGAGGACCAACTTCAAAAATAAAATAAATTAACCAACCAATCTTGACCTTCGAGCCAACGTCCTTAGCTTTTTGCAGACCGAGCATAGCTTTTCTTGCCTGGATACAAAAATAAAAAACAATTAGGAAAAGAAGAAAAAAGAACCTTTCTGTTGTAGCGAATAGGAACGTCTGAAAGAAGTTCGACGCCTCCGGCGATGATCGCGTCGGCGTTTCCGGTCGCGATCATTCCCATACCCGTAGTTATAGCCACATTCGAGGAAATACAAGCTAGCGTCACTGTGTGAGCTGGGATCTGAAATATCAAACTTCGAACGGAAAATATGTTCTTGAGAGCCGGAAGAGCTCTGTTTTAAGCACATGAGCTGCTGAAATACTAAACCTATCATATACATTTTGATTTGGGCTAAGCTAATTTCAATCAAGAAACTATCGAAATAGAAACCTTAGTAACACGTCTAGAGCGAAGACAAGAGGAGAAACTTTCAGACCTTGTCTGGGACACCGGCCATCAGTGCAGCTTCACGAGCGATGTTGCTAGTTTTGCACTCCTGAATGACGGTTCCGCAGATGATGTGGTCGATCTTGTTGTACGGAATTTGAGTCTTTGCTACCAAAGCTGAAAATAAAAACCTTTTCTAAAGCCACGGAATTCTATGGCACCTTTGATAGCTTCTTTCTGGAGATCGACAGCCATCAGATCCTTGAAGACCGTTCCAGAAACGACAAACGGCGTTCGGACCGCATCGATGAGAACGATGTTCTGCCGACTGGCGGTAGAAGCCCCGCGGACACCCGACTTCAATGCGTGACGCGCCGTTCCGCTCAGCAGCATTGTTCCTTCAAATTCAGGGAGTATTGAAGATAGTTTCGAAAGAAATTTAACAAGAAAGATTAAAGAATAAGCGTTATATCAGAGTATGCATTGAAATCGATTCCCTGAGAGCTGTGTCTCCGTGAACAAATTTGAAAGAAAACACGATTCAGTACCGATTCACAGTATTCTAACTTACAAGTTCACTGTATCACTTTTTAAATGATACGCGAAAAAAGAGGATTATCTTAATGAAAATATGATATTAGGGTTATTGAATCACATTCATTAAATTTTCTGAATATTTTAAGGTATATCCAGCAAAAAACAAATGGACCAAGTTCGACATCAAAGAACGTAATTTAAAAAAGTTCAAAAAAAAAATATCTGAACAAAAAAAGACAGAAATCATCTAAATTTATGAAAAAAAAATTTCTAAATATCTAATCAAAAAATTTAAAAAAATTTCAATGAGAAGCCGGACAATAAATAAGGAATAATTTGACGTTAATATGAATATCTATACTTTGGAAGCAGTTGAATGAAAACAATAAAGAAACGACATCTTACAACGCATGCGGAGAAAGAGAACAGCCGCGATAAGGGACGGCCCTTGACCAATGTGCGCGTGGACTTTGGACTATGAAACCCCTAGGCTACAATGGATCAACCAAGTCTATCTTTCCCCCCAATAATTTAAAAGAAAAAAAAACTGCGAAAGTAAAATCACACTAAAGAATCAATGTTTGACGATCCTACGAAATGAAAAATTCTACATATTTATTTTTACGTGAATAACGTTTATTGAAAACTCATTTTCCCATGCTTCAGACTTTCTTGCTAGCTTTCTTCTTCATAGCGAGGGTGAGATCACTTGAAGGTAAAAATACCATCATAAATGAAAAATTTTCGACATCGACCGTCAAACTCCTGAGCCCGAGTCTCGACGAGAAAATTTTGCACCTTCTCCTCGATAGCGCTCAAAATGAATATGACCAAAGAGGGGTGATGAAAAGTATATTTCTCACTAAAAAGAAATTAAATCACAGAACACGAGCAGAATAGATCATCTTATCACCGTGTGCAAAGAAGGAGAGCTTCCATATCCTTTCCCCAAATTCCTGTGTCCCTTCGTAGACGTTTATCTCAAATATGCTCACAATACGTTTGACAGTGATAAGGTCGGAAGTAAAATGGGGAAACTATTAAATTAGCCCTTCAGACCCTTTACGATAACATGACATCTGCGGTGGCAGCAATCAACGATGTAAAAGTAAGCTTAAGAACTAAATCTTACGAGTCCCCAGTGTCTCAATTGATCAGAATCATCCTTGTAATCATTCGAAACATCAGTCCGGCGTCGTCGTTTTCATTCCTCAGAGAATCGTCGTCGGCTGTGTCGATTTAGTAATTGCCGAGTTTATTTAGATAAGTCAAAAAACAATTTTAAGCTGAACCAAAAAACGATGAAAGATGATTTCATGGTGGAATTCCTGATAGACCACCCTTTTCCTACGGCTAAAACTTGTGAAGAGGACAGTTCTCCGTGCGAACTCGAGGTCGGATTCGTGGACGGCTACATGCTTTACGAAAACCGAACTTGTTGCTGCCCAGCGGAAGAATGTGCCTTGCTTCTCTACGACCAGGTGTTTTCCTATCATCGAAAGCTTCGCAAAAGTATACTTCCTTCAGCCGGAACTTACTGTGGCTCCCCTGGTCTTTGAATTGATTATTATCGATCCAATGATGTGGTATCATGTCAAGAAAAGAAGTATCGACGATTCTACTGGGATAAGGAGAAAGCGTCATTTTCAAGGTTTTTTCTTGAAAAAAGCTAGCCGACATGGAAAGTTTAGATGACATGCGATCAAACACTACTCCCGATCACAACTCCGTTGTCGTAGCCATATCATTTTGTGTACTATTCTGCCTGTTAATGTTAGATTAACGCACCTACTTTGTTCAATATTAGTTTAGGGGGATCTTAAGCTTCTATCACGCACTGAACGACGACTTTACTCAAGAAGCGATGTCTTATGGGATAGAAACCCTTGATGTGAGTTAAAAACTTCAGAGGCAATATATCAAGGCTCAAAAGAAAAACTCAGATGAACTCACACAAAAAACTTTTTTTTTTCTTCACAGGTGGGGTTAGTTAATCCACCTAGTGGTCTTTTTCCCTCCCTGCAACATCACCATACTATCCCGATGTTGCGAAAAATAAACAAATTGAATTGAATTGAACTTTATGAAAAGTAACAAGATAAAAAAATGCAAAAAGAACCTAAATTTTAATGGATGAATTTATTTTTATTAATAGTACTATAGTCTGTTCAGATTTTGAATGTCAAGTAGCTAACTCCGCCTTCAAGGCTACAATATCTTCGCGATAATATTTTATCTCAAGATGAAGATGAACCTTTATTATAGCTGCATTTTTTGACTTCTTTTTCTATTTTTAGAACAAAAAAGATCAAAAATCATCAAACGCGATAAAAATCGACGCGAAAAGATACTGTGGCGACAGGGGCGGAGTTAGCTAATTGACATTTAAAGTCTGAACAGAATATAGGAATTTGAGTCTTTATTCGGCGTAAATCCCTTTTTTGAAAATTCATTGAATCGAAAAAATTCAGGATTGATTTCACAAGATAAAACTGTACGAAGTTACGAATGAACGCCAACTTTTACATGATTCGTGAATAAATTTATTTTTCTTTAAACTGTGAAAAGCAAACATAACAAGAAAAAAAAACAATAAAAAAAAACGAAAAAAATGAAATCATTTTTTGCGATCATATGTCCATTTATAAACTGCAGCTTGCATAGGTTTTGCTTCTTGGACTTTCTGCGGCTGGAGTTCGGAACGGGAGGAATCGGCAAGGTTCTGTAGGACAAAAATGGTCAAAATTTTACACTCTTTAAAATCCAATACCTTTTTCAATTGTAATTTTGCCACAACAACTTCCATTTCTTCCACTCGGTTCATTCGTTTGATCAGTTCGTTGTATCTTAATCTCCGTAACCGATCAGCCTTCTAAAAAATTCCACTTCGAAATCATTTTCACGAAAGGAAAACCTTGACTGCTTCTTTACACGTCGCACCAATTATTTGCTTCTGCTCAAGGTCTCCACTTTTTATTCTATTGAACTTCCTTCCAAGAACAGAACTGTCTGTGTTGAAGTAGGCAGCTGCATCGAATGAGCGAGCTGAAGTTATTTTTAAAGAAAATTCCCTCGTCTTTTTTAAACCTTCTTCATCGTCGTCAACAAAAATTGTGTGCTTGTTTTGCACCTGGTGGCAGCTCGGATCGACAAAATGCAACTCTTGCTTCAGTTCCTCAACTTTCTGCAAAAGTCAAACTTCGAAACAAAAAAAACTTTCTTTTTACTTTCTTCTCTAAAGCAAGTTTATATTTGATATAGTCTAAATTTTTGATATCGCCCAGCTTTTTTTGCAATTCCGTTTCCTCCTGTTGAGCAGCGTTCAGCTTCTCGAGATGACGTCCATCCTCCTGGAGATTGATTGATATCGTTTTGAAAAAATAGACGAAAAATACCCTGGTCACACTGTTGATCATATGATGGTGATATTCGTCCGTGTTTTTGTCCAAAGCATGTTTCCTCAACTTCTTGAGAACATCTCTTTTTTCCTGAAATAGGGAGTTAGGACATCATGCACAACACGAAACTGAACCTGATAGTCTTTGGCGCGAAGTTTGTAGTCCTTCTTCTTTTCGAGTAAACCATACTTTTCAAGTCGTTTCGGCTGAAATAAATTTTTTAAACCGCAATTCAAAGTACTTGAGATTGAAAAAAACCAATTTCAAATTTATTTTTAAAAAATATACCTGCGCTCGTTCTCGATGTGTTCTTTGCCCAGCCAATTTCTTACTGATACTGATAAGAGACGACATCTGGAGACCAAAAAAAAATTATGAAGAATGATATTAGTGAAACAGGACGTATTTGAGAAAGAAAAAAATTATAAAAAAATGGGAAAAAAATGAAGGTAAATTTAGGCACGATTAGACGTCGGTTAAAATGTTTGCGGCACGCACGCCTCCAAACTTTACAGTACCCGAAATTTCGCCTGGTACTCTTCATGAAGATGAATTCAAGCTTAAATAGTGAAGTCCATTCAAAAATATGATCTCGAAAGAAAATATTAAGTTTCAAAACATTTCTCAAAATTACGTGAACGGTTCAGAGAAATTTTATCGATGAGTTGACATTTCTATTCAAAGGACAGCGGATATAAAGTCGCTCTTTCGATTCTTCATGAACAAATTCTTGGAAGATGTTCGACGAAAAGACAGAACAGAAGTCTTGAATAAACTTAACACACTTGCAAACTTAGCAGAGGTAAACTTTCCAAATTGGAATTGAAGATAAACGGCTTTAGGACGGTCGGATCAAAGAGATTTGCAACTATGTTCTACAAAACTCGTCGATCTCGCTCAAGGTTCTGAAGGAGAAAGCTCTGAGATGCGAATTGTTGCAGGAAGCCCAGATGCACGCTATCATGACAGGGAATTTGGGTATTGTGGAACATGTAACATGTCTTTTCATCGACTATCCCTTTGATGAAAGAAAAGGTTTGTCCCAATGAAGATTCGAACTTTCATATTTTTCTACCTGACAGGTTGCACTGACTCTCCAACTTTTGAGCCCCATGTGACGCCGTTGATTCTGGCGTGTAAGAACAACGACTTTCCTATTGTAGAGTTCCTTCTTTCGCGCGGCCACTCCATAGATATCCCGCACTTCAGATCATGTTGGTCGTTTCCTGCCATTCTGTCAGTTGTTTTTTTTCAGGCACCTGCAATTTGTGCTCAAAAATGCCCGCTGGCATCGGAATCAACGCTCGGAGGGTATCCCAAAGAGATCTGCAAGTCCGAATGATTGTTTTAGATCGACGTTCTGCGAGCCGTCACTTCAGAAGCCTACTTATGGTTGGCAACTGACGACGTCTTCTCCGCCTGTTGCTCCGTCGTCAAGGATCTCCAGATGATGAAGTCAGATGGTCCTCTTGAGTTTGTGGTAGTCAGATGATATGGAGCATGGGTCCTAGATGAAAGATCTCAGGAAACTTTTCAAGAATTGGAAGTTAACGTGCAGAAATTCGTGGCCAAACTCAGTGAGCATTTCCGAATGCAGGAGGAGTTCGACGTCGTCATGTGCTCGGTACTCGCCGAAGTCGTCTCAAAGACAGGAACCTTGTTCAGAAGCGCTGCTGTTCATTGGCCGACAGCGAATTAGTGTATCCTCGGATCCAGCTGGCTTTAGATGCTTCCATGCGACAGTTCATCAGCGGCGCCCATGTGCAGTCGGCCATTCGAAGCGTTTGGCTACGAGGTCTGGTCATGGAGCAACTGTATGACTTTTGAATGTTCAGACTGGGGGAATTTCGGAATGGAGCCCCTGAGAGACGCCTACCGCATCGGCCGCCACGTCTTCCTCTATCCGCTTCTTGCTCTTCTTTTCACGGTTTCTAACGGGAAGATCGCGTCATCATTCAATGTGCCGATTGCCAGGTTTTTCTCAACATCCAGTTCTAAAGTTCCTAGAAAAGATTGAGTGGATGAGACTCCAGATTTCGATAGTTTATTAATGGCATTCCGTCAACTTCCTTTCTAGATTCGTGAGTCATGTTGCTGCCTACGCATCTTTTCTTTTTGCCGTCCTTTTCCACCGTCGAGTCAGCAGTCATACTTGTAAGACTTCAGTTATCTACGAAACCCTTTTCTTTCCGTTTCAGTGGGATTATTCCTTGAGTGCTACTTCTTTTTGTATATTCTCGGGCTTTTGTTTGAAAAATATCTGCTCTTCACAAGACTTGGATTCAATCTCTACTTTTCTTTCTGGTGGCGATGGTGAGAAAAGGACCATATTAACCATAATGCCTGAACGACTAGGTTCGACTTCTTGCTTCTTGCTGTTTTCAACATATCTCTTTTCGTTCGTTTGGAAACGTTTTTGGTGGGATCGCCGATCAAGCTCCTCCACCTCGAAAGAACTCACTGGGTACGGCGGTCTGCAAAAGAAGCAGAGATTTTTTTTTTCAGTCAGCCTTCGAGTACGACACTTACCACGAAATATTTCTGACTGGCGGTTATATCTTCGCTATTTGGAAAGTCTTCTACTACTGCCAGCTGTTGAAGAAACTGGGAATCAGTGTGGTAAGATTTGTTCTCTGTCAATTGAAAAAGTCAATCATTTCCAGTTGACAGCTGGCAAGTGCGTGGCCAAGCTTTACCACTTCCTCACCATCATGGCGATTGTCATCTTTTCATTCGCGGTTTGTTATTTCTCGTAGTTTTCGAAATGAGATTCGAGTTGTAGGTCGGACTCAACATGATGCTGTACCCCTACAACCAAACCAACGGTCTAGAAAAGCTGACGGCTTTCAACACGTTAACCAGGAATCGTCTAGAGCCTTTCAATCAAGTCTTTCAGGATCCCGATATCACTAGAGACGTTGTACTGGTCTTTTTTCGGATACCTCGACCCAAAGTCGTACCGTATCCAGATAAGCGAAGAGAAAAGAATCCCCATAAAAAACGAAATGCCAGCGACAAATGTTTCTGTCGAGGTTAGCTTTTCCTTGTTAAGAAATCTTGGCGATCTTGACTTATTCCAATAGACAACTTCAGATGTTTGTCGCCTTGTTTCATATCGTCATCATTATTGTTTTGCTGAACTTGATTACCGCACTGTTAGTGAAAACCGCCGAGGAAGTGCAGGTCTGTGAGCACGTAAAATGGAAAAAGAGATATTTTGTTAATGTAGGACAATGAGGAGCTCGAGTACAAGTACACGAGGGCGGCCATCTACAGCGAATTCTTCACCTGGGAACACGCCGTTCCGCCGCCGTTCAACCTGATCCACGTGCCTGTCGCCTTCTTTTGTCGCTTGGCTGAGCAGAAAAATGGCGACGACGACGAGGATCTTGTTGTCTTCTATCAAGTGAGTTGGGATCGTTTTTTTTTTGATCTAGTCAGGGTTAGGTTGTGAGAAGTTTTCATAAAGCCCAATTTCAAAATAAATAAAGGATCACTTCTACATATTTTCGATTGCTTTGATTTCAAATTTTTTTAAATGAAACATTTTAACTGCGTTTCCAAATAGGATAGTAGTGACTGAAGTCTTTGCTGAATTTAATCTCTAATGCTCAAAATGAAGTTGCAGGTTCTGCGAAAATTGTATGATCGCTTCCGTGCGAGCAAGGACTACAGAAGCGCGTGTAATCAGAACCTTGTAAATATATCAACCAAAAGTTCAAATAATTATTTTTCTCAGCTCTCTGAAGTCCAACCAAATGAAGGTCCAAGTGCTCCGGACCTTTACTTACGCAAAAAGACGAGAACCCAGTCTGCTTCCTCTTCTCGTTGATATTCTTTCTATTTCTCAACAAAAGCAAATAAACTTTATTATTTTCATTTCTACTCGGAAATCTAATCATTTGGAATGAATACTATTCGGCAGCTTTATTTCTTTTGTGGAAGAATGTTTTGCAGTACTCGTAGGAGCCGATCATGATGGCACACGCCGGCGCAACTTTAATAACCCGTGGAAGAAGACCTTAAAATACCTCGCTATTTTTCATTCGATTCTCAAAACAAGTTGAATATTTTTCTCGAACCTGTATAAAATGCAGAACTGCCGCGCGTCGAGTACAACTCATGGGCGATCGTCTTCATGGATTTGCCGAGTTCGGCGCCAGATTTGCCTATCCGAACTTGGCTGTTCGTTTTGATCTGAATCCTCCTGACCAATTTTTTTTTTCCGAGATGATATTCCTAACCACGTCGAAAGGATGTGTCAATACACTTGCTACTGAGCCGGAAATGGCGCCGGCGGCAAAAGAAACAGTGAAATGCGCGTCATCGGGTCTTTGTCCTTTTGTCATGCTTTTCTTCAGAAAATCATAACCAGCCCAGTAAATTGCTGAAATACTCTTTTTTTTAAAAGGACTTAAAAGTGATCTTTTTTGTTATGGACTTGCCTGAAAAGGGAATATCTCGAAGAATAGTCGGTGTCCAGCCCATATAAAAGCTTCGGAGGCCTTTGTGTTGTATTGAAGATCGGATGGCCGTTCTCACTTCTGAACAAAGGATAGTGAAAAAGACACAAAAAAGTCAATACGAAGAAATTACAATTTTTAGGCGTAGATTCTTTTTCAAGTTTTTTGTTTTTTCAAGTTATCTAAAAGTAGACGTACAACACTTTTTTTTCGAAGATTACTAACCGCTGTAGGACATGTTCTGACTCTGGATCTTCGTTCGGATCATTTCGACAGGACTGACGACAGAGACGGCGATCGCCCTGGCGACAGTCCCGGCGACCATGGCCGCCGTCCATTCTGGAGGCGTCGTTTTCTCCGGATACGTCGCTCGCCGACAAATTATTCTGGAAGGCTTCAGTTGCTTCGAAAATAAAATGAACCTTAAACTTTTTCTTGAGAAAACCGGATAAGTTATCGTAAATCGTGAAATAGAAAATAGTGGCAGGCAGAGCCATCACTCTGAAACCGATAAAAATTGAAAAGGGATGAATATTTTTCAGCGAACAGTGTAGGCGTCATTCCACTCCACAGTGAGGAAACTCCTTCATGTGCCGTTATTTTCTTCATGGCATCCTGAAGGTTGGAAATCGTGTTGAAAATAGTGAAGTTGGATGGAAAACCCATGTCCCTGTGAAGTTCCCCGGCCTCTGATACCATTCACAGGGCTTTTTGAGATCGCAAGCCGTACACAAGTGTTCCATCAAGCCATTGTGATAATAGAAGCATTCGCCCTCAAGAGAAAAGGTTTTTCGCATTAGGAATCAACTTTAAACTTTTTTTTTCTTTTTTTAAGTCGAGGGAATTCTCAAAAAAAGTTTGAAGCGCTATTTGCTTGTTTTTAGAGGTCCAAACATTTTTGCTAATTATTTTTGAAAGACTTCTTTTTAAAAAAACACATTTTGTACTCCGAAGTCTTTGTTTCAAGGTGAAAATTTTGTGCTACGTTTTGTGAGAAAGGTTTTCAAAGTCAATTATTCACCAGCTTTTTACATTATACCAATAATTGCTGAAATCTCCAAAATTTTTATTTCATTCATTCATTTTTATTTATTTTTATTTCTGTCAAAAATTTCCAAGTTCTCGGTGTTCACTATTGCTTTTTTCGAATGAACCAATTTTGAAAAAAAACCTTCGGAAAGGGATGATGTTGCTGTTGTAGTCGAATTTTGACAACATCCAGGGGTGTCACTGAATTTTCCTTATTTCTTCAAGACTCTCAAAATTCAACAGACTGAGAACAGAAGTGACAACGGCGCCAGAACAGCTCGCCACAACTTGCTGCCAAACGTTCACTTTTCTCGTTTCGCATTCTGGCCGTTTGGCTACAAATTTGTTCTTTTTTTTGAAACATTAATTTTCAATCGAGAACTACGAAAAGAAACTCACGAAAATGTAAAGACTTTTCACAGCAAGGTCGCCTTTCACATTGAGAATCATCCATTCTAAAATCTGTCCAGCTCAAAAACTACAAAAATGAATGAGCAAGTAGTTCTCTCGGCATGCCGCCAATGATCTATGTTGTCAGGGCGAGGTAATGTTAAAGCGTTCATTCCCAATGACCTAGAAAATCTCACTGGCATAACGAAACAAGATAAAACAATAATATTAGAACCAACAAAACGAAACAAGAACTAGAAAACAATGGAGCAATAAATAGAGATATGAAATATTATTATCACTTCGAAGAGGCCACATAGACAATAGTTTCTCCGAGAGGTTGTTTAGATCCTCCGTGTGACAAGGAGATCTTCTTGTCCTCGGCAACTTGAAGAAGCGCTGAAAATTAGAATTGTCTCGATTCGATGATCGAAATGAGAAAAAAGCAACTGACCGTTCTCCGGCATCAGCTCGTTCTCCACCAAAGGCTCGGAACACCGGATCAGTTTGCGGTCGCCTCCAACAGGATCTTTATATCGATAGAGAGAGACGGTCATTCGCGCTGAATATAATGAAAATTTAGGAAGTTTGGAACAAGAAGCCTCACGTTTGACGGCTTTATTCAAACGACGCAGTTTGCGCAGAAGCAATCCAACGGAATCTCCATCCACAACTGGGAGTTCGACGTCGAACATCGCGTTGGCGACATCGACGTTCCGTGCCGTTAACTTCACAGAAGCCTACGGAGAGACCCTTTTGTGGGATAAGACAAATTCCATCTTTCAGAAAACTGTCAATAACTAAAATATAGAAAGGGCGTGGTCTGTCTGAGCTCTGCATCAACCAACCACTATCTATTTTTTCTTTGGGTCAAGAATCTTTTCTTGATGGCTCAAGCCAGCCGTGGATCAGCTATACGGAACTTTAAAATTGCGGCGATCTGGATGTGATTGCGCTGTCTTTTTAAAAAATAGTGGTTCCATGTAAAAATGGGTCAAAGTCGGAAAACCAACTCCTGGAGGCAAAAAGTTGATCAAAGGTGCGCCGGGCATGATGGTTTCGATGAGATTGGCGTCGATTCCTTGCTCATCAGTGTGCCTGATAGAAAGGCGGTCGAGATCCAGAGCATTCATGATATAATCCGTGTTCTCCGTCAATATAGCCGTCTGAAAAAATGAACTCAACTTCAATTTTCATTTGTTTTTTTACATAGTGATTAACAAAGAATGAATTTTTTTTTACTAAAGATTGTAAAAAAAGTCGCCTTCGTCATTATTATTTATGTCTTTGATTTCATCCATTTCGATATTTTTCTTAGAGATCAACTCATACCTGGTCATAAAGACTCTCGAAGAAAAGAGCCGTCTCTCCTTTTTGTTCGTACTCGACTTTGATCATCTGCACAAACGGCATGGCCTTCTTCATGTACTTCTTCAGGGATTCTTCCTTTCCAAGCAGTAAAGATATCGCTTTGTTGTCCGGCAAGGTTCCGTTGTGCTCCTGAGCGCCAAAATAACATTATTGCATTTTCACTTGGATATAAACTTGAGCAAGGCGCTGGAGGAGACAAAGAATGGTCTTTTGCCAAGGCGGGTACTCCTTGGCGACAAAAATGACGGCTTCCGTCGGCGCCTCGACGGCTGCCTTCTTTTTCGGCTGCAGGTAGTTCTTCAGTCGAGCCCGGAACTCTGTCATTGTGTCTCTCATAAAGTTGGCCTCCTGAAACTTTTCCCCCTTGGAATTTTTTTAAAAACTGCCACGTTTTTTGAAACCTTTGTATTCCTTGCTATTGAAACTCCTTGAAAAAGGCATCATTTCAAAGTTCGTAACTTTTTTTTTGAAATGAAATTATCGACAAACTGACAGACTATATAACTACTGTTCGAAATTCCGTGATTCTTTCAAAATATAACAGCAAAACAAAAAAGGCTCTGAATGATAATTTCCGGGAAGATAATGTAAAACTTCGGAATCTTTGTGGAAAAAACGAACCTGACACAATTTCTCATCAACGGGCTCAGCTTTCGGCCAACTCGAATTAACGATAAGACCTTCCTTGAAAACAATGAAAAGAGTTGCAACTTCGTGAATCTTTCTTGTACCTTTCCAAGAAGGCGCCAAATCTGTTCCCCGATGTGTGGACAAACCGGAGAAAGGATCAAGGCTTGCGTTTCGATGAAACGGAAAACGAGTTCTTCACTCATGGCTGAGTCCGAACCGCCGCACAGTTCTCGGTACATGTCCCGAAGGGCCTGCAGATGAACTTTTTCGGAAAAATAAAAACCAAGTGGCGGCATTTTTCGAACTTTCATTTTTAAAATTAAACGGTGAAGGTTTACTCAATTTTTTTCATCCAATTGTGCGTCGCAGCTAGAAATTTGATAGCTTTTCGACAAACTGTGTTAAAAAAAGGGAAGACAGAAATAAAAAATTTTCCTTTTTATCAATTTTGATAGAGTGAAAGAAAGATTTTAAAAAAAAACTTTTAAGACTTTTCAGAATTCTTCACTTTTTTCAAGATCTACCTGGTACTCAAAGAAGCCAGTTTTCAAAGCGTCCTTGAACAAAGTCTGGTCGTAGTGTTTCTCCGTAATGAGAATCGCCTTGTTCATTTCGTTGAGGAAAACGCGATCGGCAAAAGTTGATACGCCTTTTCGGAAACTATTGGATGATCTCAATGCAACCTGCAAATAAATTAAGACTGAACAATGAATATATTATCATCCAACAGACCATATCTTTGACCCATTCGATAAGGTTGAACAGACGAAGAATAGCAGCGTCCGCCATGCTGAACACGAAATTGGCGTCTTCAAGACCATCTCCGGCATCCTAAAATCAATCCGATAGATGAGGTTGAAGGAATTGGAGGAATTGGAGGAACCGCAAGTGAAAGACGCATTCCATCGGCCGAAAACCTTTCGATCGCCTCTTCGAGGGTCATGAAATTACCCGTACTCTTGGACATCTTCAAAATTATCTTGAAAGAAGAAAAAGTGTTTTTCGGGAACCTTTTCATTGTTGAGGAGCAAATGGCCGTTGGCGCGAATTCCCTTTGGCCATTTTTGCTCATCTTCAGGCCAAATGGCAACGTGGTTGAAAATGAGGTAGGATAGATGGTTTTGCAGAAGATCTTTTCCAGAAGCTCGCATGTCGATCGGGTACCTAAAATATCTAAATTAATGAAAACTCTTTTGGGAATAATGTACACAAAACTATCTACACGTCTGATTATAATATCTGAGTTCGAAAAAAAAAATCCAAAAAAAACCATGCTATTTTCTATCAATATTTTTTCATGAATTCTTTCATGAATCATTCCAATTTTTTTTTTCAAATCATTCTTGACAAATCTAGACGACTTTTTCGACGATAAATTCATATCAGAGCGACTATTATATTAATCACTGTTTAACTATTCTTTAAATAACGTTTCTCAAAAGTTTTCAACAACGCAGCCTCTTTTCTTATACCTATTCGATTCATTTTCCACTGAAAAACACGAACCAATACAAAAACTCCTTGCGAAGGCTCTGAAGACGCTCTTCCTCAACAGGCATCGTCTTGGCGTCGTAGGGCGCTCCGAGGAACAGATAGCTCCAGACGTCTTCTGTCAGCTGATCCGGGCGGATTCCTGCCGGACCGACGACGCTTCCGTCCAGAGGGCCCTGCTGCAGGAGATGCGCGACCGTGTAGTAGGCGTTGTAGATGGTCGAGTCGGAGAGCGACTCGATCAAGTACTGCGGATCCCACGGAAGCTTCGTTCCCAGGCCGTAACTCCGAGAACACGCGTGCTCGTGCAGCCAGTCGATGGTCACGTCCAGTTGCCGCCGTGTCTATAGGAAATCATTGAGGGAAGTAACAAATAGAAGGACGAGACAAGGAGATCATTCTACTCGAAATTTCGAAGATCCAGACTGGAAAAAAGAAATTAAAAGGGGCCTGCATCTCCAGGCCTTAGGCGAATGAGAGCTTTATTTTTTATTACCTATGTTTTTTTTGCCGGTTTTCAATCATGAGTAAAAAGACTTCTCCTATCAGCAAAACTTCATAAAGAAAAACCTATTCTTAACAATATCAATGTAATTCTTCTATTTCAGATACAACAGTGGAAAAAGAATTCTCACTTCTTTGAACAAACTAGCAAAAATTTTGGAAAAAACTATTTAAGTGAAACAATTTTTCGCCGTTCTGCGGAAAAAAATTAAGATACCAACTGTTTTTTTCTTCGAGTTTCGATTCAATGTATACAAATATATAATTATATAACGTACTTTTTTTTGATTCCCACTCTGCGTAAAGTTTTTCAAATTATACCTCCTCATTGAAGGTGTTCACTTGCTCCAAAACTCTTTTGGCATCTCTCTTCCAGTTTTCATCGCCGTAGTTCAAATACCTCAAGATCGATATTCGTTAGAATATTTCATCTGGAACCCAACCATTGATCGCAGAGAGCGACGACACACTCATCCCCGCTCCGACTGATCACTTTCTTTTCGGGCTCCACATATTTCAGAGCCAAATTTTCGGCGATCAAGTCGTCTTGAATGCTTTTCTTCACATCGGCCGTCTTCTTTCCAGCGTACTTGCCGACAATCATTACCTAGAAATAAAAAAATGAAGAAAATGGAATGCTTCCTTTCTCACTCCGTCATAGAATCCTTTGAGATAAACTTCTTTCTTCGCTTCTTCCAGTTTATCTTTTTCATTCTGAGACTCTATCTTCAGCCGCGAGCACATTTCCACAGCCGCCAACTTTCCGAGACCTTCGATTTCAATAATAGGGACCTGAAATAATGTTTCCATCTTTCAAAACTTTCTTGGATTTACTCACAGGTTCGAATGGTAGGACCATTTCGTCAGTGATGCCGTACTTCTCGCGCAACGGTTTTTTCTTCTTGAGATCGGTGAGAGCGGCGAAATCATCAGGAGAATCGGAGGGCACAGACGTGACAACGCCGGTTCCTTGAGATAATCAATTTCAATCACTTATAGAAAAAATTATTGTGAACCTTTGTCATCTTTGATGGTTAGCATTGGAAGCGCATAGACCCGTTTATAATGGGCCAATGGAGCAGACAGAGCGGCGCCAAGAAGTTTGCTGCCAGGAACCTTTGAAAACAGTTATGAACGAAATATAAAACTCTAAATTATTTCAAGATAACCTCAGACTTCTTTCTGCTAAGATATACAAAGAGCAATTTAAAAAAAACCTTTTCGAGTCCTTCGACATATCTAATTTTGCTGTCTTCCTTGGTGAGCCCTTGATAGGACATGTTGCGTGCAGCTCTACAATACTTTTTCATTCCGTTTTTTTCCGATATGAAAAAGCACCTGGCAGTCGCAATGAAGACCTGGTCCTCATTAGCAGTTGCATAAAATGCCGAATAGTTGATGTCTGGGTGAAGGTAGCAGTTGGTCTGACCGTACCTAAAAAGGAAAGAAAGCCGTCAAAAATGATAGAAGATAATCAGAACATCGTCTCAGGACGGAGAGTAGCAGCGACGAGGAAGACGGGCTGGCTGATCGAAGCGAGAGTCTGAGGCTTGGGATCCAAGACTTGGAGCTTGATCAAGGTGTACTCCTGCGGACCGACACCTTCCCCACTCGCGCGGTCGTGGTCCATGCATGGCTGGCCGTCTTTCGGCGAGTAAATCGTGTATCTGCCCGTTCCAACAGTTACTCTTGTTTCCAACGCTTGAGCTACCTTTTGCCAAAATCGATCTTGCTGGCTGCGCGAAGTTTGTTGAATTGCCAACGGACGAAGGAGTCGTAGTAAGGATTGACGTCGGTGGTGATGAAAGACCTTCTCCAGTCGGCCTAAGTTCGTCAGATAAAAGTTTCACGTGGAGAGAAAAAACTTTGAGTCCCATTCTCTTGAGGTCGCTCATCCAGTGCGGGGGAAAATAGTTGAGCCAGTAGTTAGGATCAGAGAACTTCTTGATTTCTTCATCGTCCAATCCAAGAGATTGCATGATTTGCCATTGGTACTTTGCGTTGCCGGACTTCGCAATCACTTTACTCTGGAAAAGAATAAAACTGAAAAATTAAGTTCCGGGTTAACCGACCTTCTTTCCTTTACTCTTGTCTTTTGTTATTTCTTCGATAGCTGACAATTTCTCTTTTTCTTTCGGTTGGTCAGCGCCTTCCGGAAATCTTAGCCAATCCATTACCCTGATCAGACATGTTTTCTTACTGAGGCGGGTATCCGTAGTCTTCCATTTCCAGTTTCAGCTTATCAGCACAAGCCTTTATTGGCATCCCAGTGCAATGGAAGCCGAAAGGAAAAAGAACGTTTCGACCTTTAAGTCTTTGATAACCTGCGGTGAACTGAAAAATTATCTCAATGTAGAACAACATCAAATGAAAAACCTCGCACTTTGAGACGGTAAAAGTGTGTCCAAGATGGATTCGACCATTCATGTATGGGTAGGGAAAAGTTACTAAAAACTTCTCTCGTCCACTAAAGCTCATTTATTTCGAATAACACGAAAAAGACTAACTCTGTCGAGTTTGCTTCAAAGGCGTTTTCCTGTTGCCACAACTTTTGAATCTCGGTCTCCTTCTCAAGGAGTTGGGCGACCTTCTTCCTCTCTTTCAAAGCCCCGGCCATTTTCAGGACGCGCAATTTGTTACCCTAAAACATTGAGAATTCGTATCTCATTCATAGAGTTAAAGTTAAAGTTATTCCGGATTAGCGAAGGGTCTAAAATAGAAAAAATGTTCAGAACATAGTAGACTCACAAAAAGTCTACCTTTAAAGGTCAAAGCTTTGAACAGGCTACATTGCTTTGAGCATCTGAAAAAGACATACTAATTTATTTAATCAAAAAAAAAATCATATAATTTTGAAAAAAAAACACCAAAAAATGTTTTCAATAAATTTTATATATAATGGCGTGTTCAAAGTAAATTCCGCGGAATGCAACATCATCTCTGTCTTTCCAAAATTTAGTTCTCTTTATCATTCTCTGGCGGCTATTATTGAGTTTCGCGAAAATCACTTTGGACACGACATAAGAAACTTTCCAAAAAGTTTAGGAAGAAAGAAAATTATCAAAATCGTGAACACAAACGCGCCCTGGTAAATTAGGAAAACTCGGCCATGTCAGATAAATGCGAAAAGACGGCCCTCAAAATTTTTGAGTCGATTACGACGTTAATTTTCAAATTGAGAAATTGGGAGGAACTTGGCGAACTAGGTTGAATAAAAAATCTTGATAAAGCTTAAAAGCCTACGGAAAACTATTAGAACTAACGATTTCTCAAACTTTTCATTTTTGAACACACCAGCGATCATTTTGGCGATTATTTCTTTCTTTCTTTGGCTCGTTCAAATTCATTATAAAATTCATAAGAAAAAAACACGATTTGAATTCAACGAGGTCTTAGACTTTTATACATACTTTCACGAAGAGTTCCGATTTGAAGGGATATACAAATTTTTTTGAGAGGAATTTTTTTGTAATTGTAAAAAAATCTTTTTATTTTATTCATTACATTTAACGTGAAGATTGTTGACAAATTAATCTGACTGTTTCGTAGTTTTTTTAAATACTTCCGAGCGCTTTTAAGTTGTGTCTAACTTTACAAATGGCATAAACCTTCATTTTTTTTTTATACGTCTTTTTTTATATTTTATCATTTTTTTTGTTCTTCTCTTTTTGCGAACGGTCGCTGCTCGTTAGGGCACCATATGACCTTTTTAGCTTTGTTGTCTGTCCAATGTTATATTATTTCCTTTCTATCTGTACCCTAATTGTTTGCGTTGTTCTGACAATAAAGAAATAAATAAAAAGTGAGATAATATAAAAATATTATTAATCAGCACAAAAAGAAGTCGAAATAATATCAGTCAGGCGTCGTTTTCACCAACGTCTTGTGTTGTTCTAAAGAGATTTTCCGGGAGGAGTCTTGAAACACTGTTCAACCTGTGCTGCAGGGCTGTTGAACAGTGTTTGAGTTGAAGCAGATTCAGTTGCGGTTTTCAGTAAGGGCGAGTCTAGGGCTCTGAAAATCAGTAAATCTTGGTAACTCTTCCCACAGCGAACCGTCTTTCATTTTTTGAAGTTTGAGTGTTATCATCATTTTTCGATGTGGGCGCAACTTTTTTATGCTTTTTACCAGATCCCTGAATTTTCTTGGAAGGACTGATATAGAGAGGAAAAATATTAACCGGTTGTCGAATATTTTTACTACTGAATACGTCGTCATCTTCTTGCGTAAAATCTTCATGAACGCTTTTTTGAGACTAAAAGTATAATTATAAAACGATCATTCATTCATAATGGTGAACCCGATTTCCAGTCTCCTTCACAGGCTCCGGTGCTCTTTTACATTTTATATGTTCGCTGTGATCTTTCTAAAATACCACACATATTTAAGCTCTTCTGCTTTCGTCTAACGCTTTCCATTGACTGTCGAATGCGTCGTACGAAAATGCAGTAGTGGTAGAAAAGCAAGAAAATCACAAAAACTATCGTTTCACTGATAAATATCGTAATCGTATGTACCTGGGGTAATCACCCAGTTTCGTGGACTATATCGCAGCGAGAGTGGCGCGACATAGCAGCGACATATCTCGCTGCCATCTCGCTCAGCTCTAGCAAACTCCCGGCGCGATATCGGCGCGAGGTCGCGGATTATCGATTGGTCACTATTTACGTGCCATCAAAAATTTTTACTTGAATTGTTTTATTTTTCGTGTGTTATATTCTCTCTGATTTTTTTATGTCTATTTTTCACTTAATATTTCTAAAATGTTAATTTTACAACTAATGTAACGCTCATACAGTACCGTCAGAAGAGGAAAAAAATATTTTTTTCGCTCACAACTTCCTCGTATAGAGCTCAATCTTTCTGAAACTTTTTCAGCTGTGTTTCTAAGTTTTCACCACGGTGTTACAATCAACAGTCATCATATTTCCAGAGAGTTTCAAAGGGTGAAATCCCATTAAAGAAAGTTGTGATAAAAAGCGTTTTTTTGTATATATTTTGACGGAACTGCACACCTTTCTTGAATTTGAAAGTCCTTTTTTTCGCATTTTTCATTTTTTTAACCAAGAATTTCAGGTTATTAGTATTTCAAAATGGCATCTAACATTTTTTTTTCGATCAATAAAAGTCAAGAAAGATCCGTGGGAGATGGCACCGAAACTTTGCTTTTGGATACAATCAATAAGATTCTTGGTAAACTATTTTTGAAACAGTATATCCATTTTTTTACTTGAAGATATGATTTGCACTTTGGCGTCGATGGGTAAGGAAAAGAAGAAATGAGGCATGATTTCGAGAAAGCACGAACTGCTGTCTTGATACAGTCGCTCCTGTGAGTTATTCTCTTATTCAAGGTTGGACTTTTTTTCAGTATTTCTCTTTTTTTACCGGTTTTATCATTTAGAAAAGTTCTTGACGCAGCAAATGAAGGATATGCCGAAAAACTATCGAGTCAAAAGCTTACAGTAACATTTTTTTAAAGGGAACTTAGGGTCAATCTGATTGTTTAACTTAATTTTTCTTTTTTTCAAAAACTTCTTTCATTTTCATTTCGAGCCTCCCTCATTCATTTTTTTCTAATTTGAACTTTTTAAAGATCATCTACGAGCTTACAATCGGTTTTACTTTTTCTGTTTTTATTGAAACTACTCTTTTCCTAGTCACATTTTTTTCCCTATGAAAAAGTGAACGATACACATGTTTTTTTCCTCATATTGTCCTTTTTTTATTCTTACTTGAAGCTTCACTCTTTCGCCTCAATTCAATCTTCTTCAGATTTGTACATACTTTCAGTTTACTTCGAATTCGAAAATGTATCATCAATTATTTGGAAATTTCTTTAATGCTCTCAAGTTTTTCATTAAAATATATTGTTTATATTAAATAAAAAAAGTAAAGAAGGTTGATAAAGACCGATATGTTATCATTTACAACCCAATAAAAAAGTATGAAGAATAGAAAGCAAATCAAGAAAAAAAAAGCCCAATCGAGCTAAAAAATTTTTTTGAAAGAGCGACATAGCAGCGAGATGTGAGCGACCTTGCGCCGAGAGGCGAGCGATATAGCTCGCGGCTCCCCCGCGATATAGCGTTTCTCTCGCTGCGACCTCGTCCGTAAAACTGGGTGATTGTTCCTAAAGAATTCCAACCAAAAATACGAGAACAACCCTATTCTGCTATTAAGGTAAAGAAGACTAGAAGTTGACTTACCACAAACATTAAGAAAGTAAATTGCATTTTAAGACAGCGAAACCTAAAAATGAAGAACACGAACTATACGTCGAAAGAAATGTATTTATTTCAAGTCAGTTATAGAATTCATTGATACTTTTCTTCAAGATGGCTTGAATGTTCAGATAGCGCCATTTTGCGACATTTCTCGACGTTTGTATTTACACCGTGCGTTAAAGAAAGTCTAAAGAAAATATTTACGCCAAGAGATACAGAAATCCCACGTTCTAATAGGATTTGAAGTTTCAGTTTGTGTCTTCTGTAGTTCAATTGGCGACGACGGTTTGAAGCTGTTTAAATATTGCTCTTTCTGTGTTCTTGAATTTGATTCTCACGTTTGAGTAGGGTGCATCTGGAAGGAGCACAGCGGAGCGTGGTTGATGGGTTGGTTGGAGCGTAGACAAGCCAGAAGGCTTAATAGAATCGTTTGATACTTCGAAAAGAGAATATTCACATTGCCGACTTCTGATGAGTCGTGTCGCAGTCGCCGACGACTCGAAACGTAATCTCAAAAACGCAACTTTCAAAGATATATCGTCTCCTGACAAGGGAAGTGTTTTTGGTGGCCGGTTGAACTTTTGTTGAAACTTTGCTGAAAGGTACTATAAAACCTCCTCTTTCCAGAACACGAATAAAATTTCTCGCAATAGATCTCGTTTTCGAGTTATGAAGTTTCAAAGTTTGCACGCTGAATAAGTGCTGCAAGGCAAGAGGGAATGTGGCTCGCGTACGATCCCTCTACTCCAGTTGGCAGCGTGGTGTAGTGGCTAGCGTGCACTGCGGTGTCTATGACCGAAGTTCGAAACTTTTTGAGATAATTCCATTTTGCCAAACTTTTTCTAGAAGGAATTTGTCGACATTGATAAAATCCATAAACTTTTTTTTTTAATAACATTTTTCATTTTGATTCGGTATACCGATAAAAAAGATTTCTTTCGCTTATAAACATGATTAATAGCCCTTTTTGGGGGAAAAAGTTCTACGGGCCACGGTGTTTTTTTCATTACGCAAGGTCAAGACTTTTCGTAAATTATGATGCTTAGGGTGTAAGCACACCGAGACGCACTATCGCATACTCAAAATGTTTTTTTTTTTCAATTTTAGAATTTGCGACTTCAGGATAATAACTCCTGAAATGTTTGAAAGTTATCAGTTTGAAGAATATGATGTGAAAAAAAAACATTCACTTACGTTAAAAAAACATTTAGGAACGATTTCGAAAGGGGAAAAACTCTAAATTACTGATTACAAAAATAAAAAAACAAAAAAATATTATGAAAAATGAATCAGCTCCCATTGAATAAGCATTTATAAATACGAAAAAAATATTGAAATGAGGAAAAATTCGAGGAGAAAAATGAAAATTTATATACCTCGAAAACCTATGCCAACCTATAATTTTTGACCTGATTGCAAGATCGAAAAAGCTTGGAATGCTTATGCCGTGTTCAAAGTGATTCCGCGAAATTCAAAATAGCCGTCAGAGAAAGAGATAGATAACTGATTTTGGAGGGTCAGAGACCATTTCGCATTTCGCGGAAATTACTTTGAACACGGCACTAGCTTCAGAAAAACAAATAATGGATAGAAAGCAGAAAATTTAGAAAAAACCTCGTATGGCGAAATTTTTGTTTAAATCCGAAAAACAATCAAAAAACTAGGAAAAAAATATATAATTTAGATGATTCATATATCAAAATCATTAAACTGCATCAGCAAATTCAATTTGGCTCTAATTTAAACGAAACCGGTTTCAAACTACGTCAAAGGAACTAGATAATAACTTGTACACAAATCCACTTTGTGCATAAAAATTAACTGATTAAATTAAAAACTATAGTTTCCGAATTAGAGTGACTCTTTTCATGTCGCGAAACAGATTTCAAAATTTTGAAAAATTAGGACTTTTAGAAAAATCTTCAACTCTTTTGAGAAAAAAGTTAAAGATTTGAAACCGGTTCAGAAAAGTGCGCAATTTGCATTTATGTGATCCGCCTCTCTATGGGTACATCCACAAGATGTACCCATAGAGAGGCGGATCACATAAATGCAAGAAATAGAAAAAAGTAAAAAACCAATGAAAAAAGTGAATAAATTCAATTTTTGCATCAGAAACCATGAGAAGGGCGCAATAATGCGCCACGGATAATATGCCGCTGGGACCCAAAATTTCGCATTTTTTTTTATTGCGCGGAACGCCTTTTATTCAGCGTTTCAGTCCAGTTGATAATTTAAAAAGAATCAAATAAAAACTTACACCACAGAAAGATGAGTAAGTCCTCCCTAAATTCTTGAAAAAAAGTACAGAAAGCGATCTATTGAAAGTTTTGACAAAAACGCATTTCTTCAAAAAGTTTCGAACTCCGGTCATAGACACTGCAGTGCAAGGACACTAGCCACTACACCACGCTGCCAACTGGAGTAGAGGGATCGTACGCGAGCCACAATCCCTCTTGCCTTGCAGCACTTATTCAGCGTGCAAACTTTGAAGCTTCATAACTCTAAAACGAGATCTATTGCGAGAAATTTTGTTCGTGTTCTGGAAAGAGGAGGTTTTATAGTACCTTTCAGCAAAGTTTCAACAAAAGTTCAACCGGCCACCAAAAATACCTCCCTTGTGAATAAGAAGATTTACCTTTCGATGGTGTCGATCTTGCAACTCGACTTGCAAAGTGTTGCCCATCTTGATCTTTATAACGCGTAGCTCGTCAATTTTGAAAGCCATGCCGTCATTCTCCGATCTGGAAGCCTCTGGATTCGGCAAGTAATTTGAAATGCAAATACGAACTTTTAGTATTTCAGTAACTTCCAACATTTTTGCTGGGTTCCATGGGTTTTCAAATCTTCTGTTAAGACTGACTTGTAAATGTAAAGGACGTGGTTGACGGTGAGAACGGCAAATCTTTGGCTCCACCGACCCATTCCCACTTTTTTCTTCACCACGCACGATACACTGCCTGCACAGTTCCGTTGCCATTGCTGATAACTACCCAAGTTCTTTTTATTTCCCATAAAGTTTCAGAGAAACTATAGCTGATTGCATAGAGAAGCTTTCTTGGGTGTACCTGATGCGGCAGAGTGACGTGCGGGGATACTGCATGGTTGAATAACCGCATGCGCTAGTGCTGTTAGTAAAAATGAAACAACAGTTGAACTTTCCACTTCATTTATGATTTATAAATTTTGTAAATGCAAATGAAAAGGTTAAGTAAGATCGCAAGCTTCGAATTTGCCGAATTGTACTGCGGTGAGTCCGAGATCTTGAACATGGTCTTTTCTGCTGTCAGCTGAAATCCGTGAACTTTTTCTTCCGCAGTTCTGTGATTTTTTTTTTACATAAAAGAGAGTTCCAGCAACAGGTCGAGACAGAGAAGAAGCTATGGGCGAGTCGTTGAACAGGCAGCGGACGTCGCTGCAGTTGCTCATCAGACCTTCTGAGGTCAACTGCAGCGGAGTGTTGGTGTAGAACACAAAAACGACGTACTGAGCACGGTCTGAGCTTTTTTGTTTTCGGAACAGAGTGTGATAAGCCATACAGGAGTCTTGCTGCGGCAAGGAAGTAGTGTTGTCCACAAAGGAAAAAGAACCACCGCCGGAGCTAATTGAAAGGCTTGAAACGCTTTCTGTCAGGGGGATGTTGTAATTGAAGGCCAAAGCAAAAGGACGATACGCTGGGTCTGAACTCTTCTGTTTTCTTCAGAGAAAAATAACTATCCATTACCAACAGTTGTCAGAATGTGAGCATATCCTGAGCCCAAACTCATCGGCAAATCAACGGCTTGGACGATTGCTGAGACAACATTCGGATAGGAGATGACCACCACCTCGTCGCCAACGTGTACCGGAGGGAAGATTGTAGTTTTATCGATGGGAAACAATTGAACCTTTGTTTTAAAAAGGATGAAAAAACGAATATAAACACGATCCAACCGACTGTAAGAGATTGATAGGGGCCTGTGGAAAGATCTGCGGAGCCAGTTTGCTCTCAGCCAGCCCTTAATCAAATTGTTTTTTTTTCTCACATTTTCTCAATTAGTTTTAAATACGCATGCAAAACCAAAAATTAAGTCAAACATGCTTCAAAAAGATTCAATAGTATAAAGGAGAACATAGTTAAAACATTTTGAAATTTCAGTGGGAAATTTCGACGAAGTTCTTTTTTGTCTTAATCCAATTCAACGACATATTTGGGCCGCTGTAGAATATATGAAATGTTGGTTAAAATATAAGAACTGAAGGTGTGAAGATACGAAAATTAAATTTCTAAGTAATTTTCAGAGCCTTCTCGCATAACCAGCAAAATATTTTCAATCTTCTAAGCGTTTCTCCCTTTTTCCATTGAACAGGAACGAATCCGAGAATTCTTACAGTCTCCAATGGTCATCGAGGCACTTTCGCAGCACAAGTGGAGCGTTTCATTGGAAGAAGTCGAGTCCGTCGCCTGCCTGTTTGTTTCAGTTTATTATCTTTAACGAGTCTGGGAATCAAGTCGGGGTTCCTTGTCTTTCAGTTGGAAGTCTTGAAATTAGTTCCCATTAGTTTGAAACCAGTGAAGCTTCGTTCTATACGTACTTCAAGGAAAACGTCTTTCAGGCCTAGTGGAAAAAATTCATTTATAAAGTTTATGAGATCGCTTTTTCAAAAATCAATTACTTTATAATGATGTAGAACGTGTATTTCTAATGAATTAAAACGAAGTTTTCTGAATTAAAAACCTGCAGGTGAAGCCAGAAGGACACTGTGAGCGAACTTCCGGGTTGCATGTGTTGTAGTCGAAAGGCAACCCGTTTTGTGGGCAAAACTTTGTTAAAAACACTATAAATGGTTATAAAGGAAGGTTTAGAATATTAGTATTACCATTGATAGGTGACGTTAAAAATTAGGAAGAAAAAAAGAGCATATTGATATGAATATATTGAGCTGAAAATGACGGCGAGCCTCGCTCTATTCCCTTTTTCCCTTTTTTTGTTGACTCAACTGTTCGAAAAACGCATCATATTCATTCAGAAGCAAAAAAATTAAAAATATTTCGTAAACTTTTTCCATTAATTTTATGATGGCTCATTTTTTTCTTATTTTTTTCAAATTGTAGTTATAGCTTCTGACGAGGAGTCAGATTTTTTTATAAATTTTTTTATCGAGAAAAAAAAACGTATAAAAAGCCTGATAGTCATGGTCTGGAGATTTGTGTTGATATTTTTTTACAATTTTACGATTGAAAGTTTACTGTCGATGAATGCAATCGCGTGTTTCTCCTGCGTATTTTTCCAGCCAGTTGAATCGTTCCCATATCGAATGTCTGAATGTATCAAATTAATCGCCCCAACAATCAAAAATGTTCAATTTGTAAGCACTTTTTTTAAAAAAAGATGTTAGAATATTACCTTGGTTGGCGTTTTGCCAGAACTTATATACTGATCAGGCACGCCGATAGTAATTCTTCTCTGGCATGGCTGAAAACAATTTGATAAAGGAAAAAGATATCCCAAGTGATTGCAAACCGTCCAGCCGTCGTCACAATCGTGATAAATGTTAACGCGGGGATCGATCGACGTAACCTAAACACCCATAGGTTCAATGAGCAACAAAGAAGAAGAAGAAGGAACCTCTGAATCGCTTCCAGATAGATAAAATTCGCCGTTTCCGTCGCTTGATTTATCATCAAGTTTTGTGTCCATCACTTAAAAACTTTGCAACTTTATAAGCTTTTAAAGTATAACTGTCAGTTTCTTTTCCAGCAAGCAGGCGTGGTCGTCAATTTTTTGAACTTGAAAATGCATATTATAAAGTATCAAGAAGGGTTGGATCTCAAAAGAACCTTAGTATAGTCTTGTTCTACAGAAATTTAGCATAACTAAAATCCTCAGGGAAAAAAAACGCAAATCATGTTCATAATCAATGGAAAGACTCATGAAAAAAATGTCACCGATTGTGCTGTAAACCCATTCCAAATAATATTGGAATCAGTTAAATTATTCTTAACCGAAGTTTTTAAGGAAATTTTAAATAACTTAATATATAAAAGACTCACAGACGTCCTTCTCATACATCTTGACGCGGACGCCACTTGCGGGTTTGTCGTGACACAGAAGACGTCCCTTGACGGCGACTGACTGCTCGGAGCCGATGATTCCAGCATGGACGACACTCAAAGTCGCCGCCAACACCAACAACGTCTTCATTCTCTTCTGAAAGTAAAACTCAACTTGAAAGACCCGGAGAGAAAGTCGATTTGTTGGCGAGAAGACAGCTATAAAAGGGAAACACAACCTCTAAACAATCAAGTGTAATGTTCAGACCGCCCTATTTTTTTTTCTGTGATATCATTTGGCCTGAAGATCGCTGAATTTTGCGGAAATGATTCATTGAAAAACTAAAGTGTACTTTTTCTTGTTTGGCACAATAAGTAGGAATCTCTTTCAACATAAAAATTTATGAAAAATAAAATTCATCTAAACATTTCAATTGAGGCAGTCACGAGTTTCTCCTGAGAATTTGGCGGCGAGTTGAAGATTTCCGAAGTCGAAGAACTTCTTTGGTTGTTCTCCACTGCAGATATACGAGTCGGGAATGTAGACTGTGATCTTGCGTTGGCATGGCTGCAAAGACATTCTTCGGCCAAAAAAGAGTTTTTTCTGAACTTTCAAGACCACGGTTTTTAACGGATTTCAGAGAAGAAAACTCATGAAGAGCGACAAGAAGAAATTTATAAATTTAGTTTCCATGTTCCCCTGTGTTTACCTTGATTCCGTCGTCGTAATCGTGGTAGACGTTGAGTTTTGGCTCGATCGAGGTGAATTCGTCAGCATGGCCGCTCAATTCGAACTTACCACTGCCGTCACTCTTTCCAGATGCCATCAACTCGTCAGGCGAGACTGCAAATCTCATGGAAAGCAAACGAGAAAAACCAAGGATTGAATATGTGATTTGATTTGATTTTAAAGAAAGATTTACGTTTTTCTTCGTCGAAGATCTTGACCTTGATGTTGGCGGCTGGGTGGTCGTGGCACATCAACGTGCCACGGACGCCAACTGACTGAGTCCTTCCAAGGGCCGAAGCTCCTTAGTAGTATAGGAACGACGGATTATAGTCTTTTCAGATTTTAAATGTCAAGCAGCTAACTCCGCCCCTGCCGAGACGGTACCCTTTCGCGTCGATGTTTTAACGCGCGGGACTAATTTTGATCTTTTTTGATCTAAAAGATAGAAAAAGAAGTCAAAAATGCAGCTTTATTAAAGGGCCATCGTGATCTGTAGATAAAACATTGACGCAAAAGATATTGTAGCCATGGGGGTGGAGTTAGCTGCTTGACATTCAAAATCTGAACAGACTATAACAAAAAAGAGTGTTTCTCGCCTTCCTCTGCGTCTCTGCCTTCCACTCTAGCGACTCCTTCTAAGTTTTTGGAAAAGTAATTACTTCTGACAAGAGAAGTGTTTTTGGTGGCCGGTTGAAATTTTGTTGAAACTTTGCTGAAAGGTACTATAAGACCTCCTCTCTAGAACACAAATAAAATTTCTCGCAATAGATCTCGTTTTCGAGTTATGAAACTTCAAAGTTTGCACGCTGAATAAGTGCTGCAAGGCAAGAGGGAATGTGGCTCGCGTACGATCCCTCTACTCCAGTTGGCAGCGTGTGGTAGTGGCTAGCGTCCTTGCAATGCGGTGTCTATGACCGGGGTTCGAAACTTTTTGAAGAATTTCGTTTTTGCCAAAACTTTCTTGGGAGGAACTTATCGACATTGGGGAAATGGACCAAAAATTTCTTTCCAAAATAAAATAGTTCTCATTTTGATTCGGTAAACCGATTAAAATTTTTACTTCAGCTTATAAAAATTATTAATAGTCCCTTTTTGGGGGAAAAAGTTCTACGTACCTTTTAATCAGCGTTTCAGTCCAGTTGATAATTCAAAAGGAATAAAATAAAAACTTACGGCACAGGAAGATGAGTAAGTCTCCTCCAGATTCTTGAAAAAAAAAAACAGAAAGCGATCCATTGATCATGTCTGAGCCGCCGAAGGAAAATTTTTGTCAAAGTTCTCGGTAAATCGGATAAAATGAGGAACTATGTTAGTTCGAAATAAAAAAATTGATTGATTTTAACAATGTCGATAAGTTCCTCCCAGGAAAGTTTTGGCAAAAACGAAATTCTTCAAAAAGTTTCGAACCCCGGTCATAGACACCGCTGTGCAAGGACGCTAGCCACTACACTAAGCTGCTATTTGGAGTACAGGGATCGTACGAGAGCCACATTCCCTCTTGCCTTGCAGCACTCATTCAGCGTGCAAACTTTGAAGCTTCATAACTCGAAAACGAGATCTATTGCGAGAAATTTTATTCGTGTTCTGGAAAGAGGAGGTCTTATAGTACCTTTCAGCAAAGTTTCAACAAAAGTTCAACCGGCCACCAAAAACACATCCCTTGTGAACGGGTATCAACACGAAAACCTCAAAAACTTCTTTACAGAAATATTTTCCCCCTTTTTTTTTGTACAATTGAACTATTCGGAGCAGTTACTTCAAATTGCTTGCAGTGTTTATGATGATTCGAAGTTGAGAATGTTACAATTCAATTATGATTGCATTGATTATTTTATAGATAGAAAATATCGACAACTTTTGGAAATGGATACAGATTCAGCATATATGGCTCTTGCTGGAGATTTTGAAAGCCTGATTAAACCACACTCGAGAGAAGAATTCCAGAAAATAAATGAAAATAGAAAATGAAATCGACATCTCTACAAAAAATTGATTGAGAATGACAAAAAAAATTGGTTGGGATAAGCACTTTTTTGTGTGTCAAAAAAGTCATTTTTCACTTTTCTTCCGAAAAGTGTTGTAAATGAGGTGATTATCTTACTTCAGAGAATGAAAATGTGTTAAAATGATAGAAATGTCGAAAACGGTATTAATCCCTCGTTCCTATACTACTCTCCTTGAACGAGTACTGCCAGCAGGACTAACGCACGGTTCATCGCAGTTTGAGAAATGAGAATGAGTGGACAGAAAGAAACGAAGAAGAAAAAGGAAGCAAGGCCGACGACTGACGGCCGAACAAAAAAGCAGTGTATAGCATGCTATTCCTTTTTTCTTTCCTTAAAGGATCCTAAGAGAAAGATAAAAAAGCTTCCTCTAAAAGCTCCTAAAATGATGTAAAAAAGCTTTTGAGCACCTTTTTCATAGCCTCAGAGAATCCTTTTTGAAACCTCTCGAATCTTTTTAGTTGCTTTCCAGCATCCTTTTTGTCAGAGGATGTGAAAAAGATGCAAAAAAGAATTGGAATGATGTAAAAAAGATCTGCTGAGGACCCTTTCAAGGTCTTTTTTTGAAAAAAAGCTTTTGGCATAGGTAAAACTGAAAAGTTCCTTTGAGGATCCTTAAAAGATCCTGAGAGGGAGATAAAAAGCTTCCTCTAAAAGCTCCTAAAATGATGTAAAAAAGCTTTTGAGCACCTTTTTGATAGCCTCAGAGGATCCTTTTTGAAACCTCTCGGATCTTTTTAGTTGCTTTCCGGCATCCTTTTTGTCAGAGGATATGAAAAAGATGCAAAAAAGAATTGAAATGATGTAAAAAAAGATCTGCTGTGGACCCTTTCAAGGCCTTTTTTTGAGAAAAGCTTTTGAGGAGCTTTTCAGTTTTGCCCGAGAAAAACCAAGTTCAGTTTGGTAACGCGAGAAAAAGTCCGGAGCCCGTACGGATTATCGTTACCGAGGTCCGACAGGGTGCGATCAAAACCAAATTTTATCGCAAGAGCGCGTTTGTGGAGCTTTAAAAGCTGAATGTGATGAAGAATATTTATATTCCCAATAATCAGGCTTGTGCGACTGGCTGGGAGACCTAGGCTTTAGATCTCATTTTTGCAAGAAACCTAAGTGAACTTGGCCTAGGCCAGGCTTTGAACTGAATGTTTAAACTCAATCAAAGAAACTCGCACAAGCCTATACAACAGGCACCATGTCTAAATTTTTCACTCTTTTTAATTATTGGAAAAAGGTATTCATATATTAATCTTCTGTTGCGAAAAAAATAAACAAATGGATTTATTGATTGATTGATTCTTGACTCTAATGCAGTGTTCAAATTTATACCGAGAATTTCAAAATGAGGTGGAAAAGATAACTAAAATTGAGAGATTTTCGAAGTTCACGGAGATAACTTTGAAGGTATAAGAACAAACTGTAAAAATTAGGAATTAAATTTCTTACAAAAATTTTGTCCTTCTTTTACATTTTTTTTTTCACACAGTTTCCATAAACTTCAATTGGAAGGTTTTTATGCTTCAGAAACTTGTGTTGAAATTCTCGAAATAACCTTGAAACTTGATGGATAATATTATGTATGTGACCGCGTTGCGTAGAAATTGTTTGAAAAATGTTATTTTTTAAGCATTCCAAGCTTTTTCGATCTTGCAATCAGGTCAAAATTCAAATCTGGCGGGGGGTCAAATCGCTGGTCTGTAGGCTGAGTATCGCACGTTACGTGCTATTGAATACGCAGCCAAATTTTACCAGCCGCTTTGCACGACACATCGACGCTTCTCGCATTCAGCGTTCATATCAAAAATCGATCAACTTGCCGTGAATTTCCAATCGTTTTTTTATTTTATAACGTTATATGGCTCAAAAAAGCCAAATTCTTTTTAAATTTCGCCTACCGCAAATCCAAAACGTTCAAAAAGATGAAGAAACGAACCATTGTGTTTTTTCATACTTCTGGTATTGTTATTTGTTAAGCAAAGAGTCTTTCTTTTTTGGGTGTAATAGTATTTTTTTCCGCACAAAAATTTTTCTTCACAATTTCTATTGAGGTTTTGTTAAGAAAATTCTCACATGAATATCATTTTTATTCACGTTTTTTTTAAAAAATTTTTTTACATACTTTGATTGAAAGCATATCTGAGAAATTTTCGCAACTCTCAAATTAATTTTATTGTATTTTTCTCATTCATAACTTTCGTACGTTTTCAGATCTCGTTTTACAAGACCAAGAATGAGCGCTGTCGATACGCAGGTTCCGGTATCAACCGATGAAAACTGGAAAACAGCACTAGCCCTTCCTCCGAAGGATCGTCGCTTCAAGACCGCTGTGAGTAATCTTTTCACCAATATTTATTAACTTTATGCGAGTTATAGGACGTCACTGACACGAAGGGTGTTGAGTTCGAAGACTTTTGTTTGAGCCGTGACTTGCTTATGGGTATTTTCGAAAAAGGATGGGAGAAGCCGAGTCCTATTCAAGAAGCTTCTATCGGCGTGGCCCTTTCAGGTATACTCTTTTTGATGATTAAACTAAGTAATAATACTTACAGGACAAGATATTTTGGCTCGTGCCAAAAACGGAACTGGAAAGACTGGCGCTTATTGCATTCCCGTTCTCGAAAAAATCCAAAACTCTCTCAAGAAGATCCAGGCTTTGATTATCGTCCCGACCAGAGAATTGGCTCTCCAAACTTCGCAGATTTGCGTGGAACTTTCTAAGCATATTCAGTTGAAGGTATTTATACTCGAGGTTATGATAATCAAAAATTAATCATTAGGTCATGGTTACTACGGGTGGTACTGATCTTCGTGACGATATCATGCGCCTTAACGGAACTGTTCACCTCGTGATCGCCACTCCTGGTCGCATTCTTGATTTGATGGAGAAGGGAGTCGCTGACATGTCGAACTGCAAAACCATCGTCCTCGACGAAGCTGACAAACTTCTCAGTCAAGATTTTCAAGTGATAAAAGATAATTGGTTCTTTTTTTATCAACGAAATTCAGGGAATCCTGGACCGCATGATTGAATTCCTGCCGAAAGAGCGTCAGGTTATGCTGTACTCTGCTACGTTCCCTCATACTGTGACCGAATTCATGCAGAAGCATATGCATAAGCCTTACGAAATCAACTTGATGGAGGTCTTGTTTCTATAGATAATTGAAAAATTAAGAAAACATTCAGGAGCTTACTTTGCTTGGAGTTACTCAGTACTACGCTTTCGTGCAGGAAAAACAGAAGGTTCACTGCCTGAATACGTTGTTCCGCAAGGTACAGTCTGAGATATGAGATATGATTTTGATGTTGATGGTTTAGCTGCAAATCAACCAGTCAATCATTTTCTGCAACTCAACTCAAAGAGTGGAACTCCTTGCTAAGAAGATCACGGAGATTGGATATTCTTGCTATTATATTCATTCTAAAATGGCCCAAAACCATCGTAATCGTGTTTTCCATGACTTCCGACAAGGAAATTGCCGAAACCTGGTTTGCTCCGATCTACTCACTCGCGGTGCGTGTTTTTTCAAAACTTTGATATATTTTTTCAAAAAAAAAGCACGATGAGGAACCTTTTACACACTACTAAATCTTTTTTATGTAGAACAAAGAACGGATATCTGAGTGCACAATAATTTTTAGTCGTAATAGTATTCTTTGATGACACGTCCGATAAATGAAACAGAAAGCTTTGTAACGCAGAAGATGTTCTAAACTGCGAAAATACTACAAACTGGAAATTACTTTTTTGAAATACTTCACTGTTTCAAATTGATGCGTGTTCTGTTCATACATTGAATGGGGTTTTCGATTTTTTTTTTTTGTTTACACTGATACATGAATTGTTTTCTAGGTATCGACATCCAAGCCGTAAACGTGGTCATCAACTTTGATTTTCCTCGCAACGCTGAAACTTATCTTCACAGAATCGGCCGGTATGTTTTTTTTTTCCTAATGTGTCTTGTATATATTTTTTTTTGATTATGAGAACTAATTTTCTGATTTCAGTTCTGGTCGCTTCGGTCACCTCGGAGTCGCTATCAATCTCATCACCTACGAGGACAGACACACTCTTCGGCGTATTGAACAAGAACTCCGCACCCGCATTGAGCCGATCCCGAAGACCGTCGATCCCAAACTGTACGTTGCTGATCATCAACTAGTTGATGAAGACACCGACAAAGCGAAATAATGAGCTCATTTTTATATATACATCTCATTTAATGATCTCTTTAATGTGATTGCAACCCGATTTTCCGTAATTTTTTTTTTTTGATAGCTTGTGTTAATTTAATAATTGTTACATGTTCAACTTCAAATGCAATTCGTGTAGATCACGATATTCTTTCTGCAAACCAAAAACCATTGGAAGCCAATTATGTAAATTTATGAATAGATAGATTAGTTGGCATCTACCATTTTCTGTACTATTTTTGAAATGGCGCGTCCTCCGATCCTTCCAAATTATGAACTCTGTGCTCCCTTTTCAAGTTTCAATTTTTCTGTATCTCCAGATGTAGGTAATTTGACTTTCATTGATCCTTGATGGTCATTCAGACCTTTTCTACGTTACGGGCATTTAAACGTGTTTGTGTTTTTGCATTGGCAAAGGGTGGGCGAAGCTACTGTCGTATTTATCTTGTAACAGTAGTGGAGCCTTACTTTTTACTACGAATAAGTCTTCGGACGCTTTCAAAATAGCGGTTTTTGCCAATCCAACTTCTAACATCTTGTTGGCTTTTCCGCAATAGTGCACTTTGTAATTGTAAGATCATACCTGTTCAACTTAACCCAGTACTATCCATATGTATCTTCCTTCCCAGTGGTTCATCAACTGTCAACGCGCTCTTGAGCGCGGTTGGGGTTGGCCTCGGCTGGCCATGTGTCTCGCTTCCAGCCAACCCTCCACTTCTTTATTGTTCCTACCAATTGTTATAAGTTGAAATGTGCACCTCTCGAAAACGAATTTTAAAGCATGCGATTTTTAAGAAAATCTTCGCAATAAATTCTTTTCGAAATTTCTGGTTTTTTTTTCTGCAAGTGTTCTAATTTTAATCGTGGTGAAGTGTGCTTTTGAAGACTGAAAGGGTTTCAAAAATTCTCAAATGAGGCTTTTGATTTCGGAGATAACATTCACGCATTATTGAGAAAGATTGCGGCGGACGAGGACGCAAGGTCATGCGGGAATGTTGGATATTATGGTCTGCACATAGGACTTGGCTTCTGTCGATCCCTGGTTTTCTTCTATATTACTATCCATCTTGGCTGCCATCGTCTCGTTAACAGGGCGTATCCCATGTTTGATGGCAAACGTGCGGCTACCAAACGCAAGAACCGGTCGGCCAGAACCACAAAAGCACCACTGGCCAATTTGTGTTTCCTGGGGAAATTGATACCGATACGTCTTCTTTTCCTAGGTTTCGCTTCTCTTTCGTTTGCCTGTATGACGCTAGCTAGGAATGAACTTCCATTTTTCACGCTCTCTTTTTTCATCAATATTAACTCCGAATATGTATCTCTTCTTTTCCTTTTTTTTTTTTGAAAAAGGTACATCTCTGTCTGAATTCATTGCAGGATAGTGGAAAATAGCCGCTATTGTTAGACATCCCTTTGGCCAGGAGCGTGTCCGTAACACTTGCCAGCGCCTCGTTTCAACTTGTCACAGCGCAAGTGATCCACTTGGATCACGCCGCTTCTTGCGCAATTCGCTTTTCCGCACATATTGTTGGCCGGATAAAGAGACGAGAGCGATTTCATGGAACTCGTTGCCACTCTTTACAGTTAGCATTCCCCGCAGCTAGTGTTTTTCAAGGCGATGCTTAATGCGTTTTTTCGGGTTCACAGGTTGTCATTCTCCTTAATTGTTGTGGAATTCTAAATATTTGACTGATTCAAATCACGCTTCTCCCAAAAAACGGACGGCAAAACGGTTACTAAAGTAGTTCGACATGAAAGGCTTAAATTCACTTCTGTGATCTTGTCAACTTCTTAAAATAGTTTGATGGTAAATGAAGTTGAGAAAATGATCCATATAGCAGAGGAGATTTGCTAGTTGAGCTTATTTTTTTCACAACAATGTCCAACTTTATCATCCTAGCACTTCGAAATAGACTTTTTTCTCATCATTTTGCAGAGAGTATCGGTCTTGCTTATTGCAACTCAGTCACTTTGAATAAACCAAATCATTTGTTCTCTGGAGACATCAACATGACCAAATATAAAGAATTGGAAGCTTGATCTTCGCTGCCCAAACAAGCAAGTTTTATTACAACAATAGAAGAAGATAATATCATCTCATCAATGTGACAAATTGATCAATCTTAAAGTAATGAGATGAGACGTTTGAAAAACGATTAGTCGAATTCGTTCATCAATTTTCTAGAATATGAAACTAAAGCTGATAGGAGAAAAAGAAAAGTGAAATCTCAAAAATAACGGTGAAAATTCGAATTCCCAATCAATATTATTTATTTTCAAACCTTCTTCCTGTCTTTCTAAATCGGACATTTCAATGAGAATCAAAATCCGGCGTTGTTTTATCAGTGAAGCACTTGTCAAGCTGAGGAATTCCTTTATTTCCTTTAGATTTTCCTTTAGACGATTCTGTAGACAACTCCAAATCAGTTTTATTCTTTACCCGATCTCGCCAATGTTTTGAACTCGTTGTCTATTGGTTTCCTCCATTGTGTTATTCTTTTCGAAATGTATATCTCTTCATATATACATTAACGATTTCCACAAATACTTCTTGGAAGTTCATTTTTTTCACGTGAATGTAGCTGCAGCTTTTTCAATCAACAATGTGAATCGTAAATAGATTTGAATCTAAAAATCTTGAAGCTTTTTCACTGATACTCCCAGCTTTCAAGCATACCGCCTCAGGATCTGTTTTTGTTTTCATTAGGAAAACTTTTCTTGAAATTTTCGAGAATTCTTTTTTTTTTCCTGCCAATGGATGGGATCTTTTCTCGGAACTTTAAAAAAAATAATGGCTTCTCTTTTCTCTCGGATAGACCTGTATGCCACAAATTGTGAAGACGTGCGACGGCTCTGTTGGAACGTTGGCAGCGACGTCATCCATCGCTTGATCCGTTGGCAAACAAGAAAAAACGTGGACGCAAAAAACCAGTGGTGCGGAAGGAACTGGGGGTCGCCGTGAAGCTGATATGCTGATGATTTCTTTGGCCTTATCCGATATTCCAGTACTTGGTGTTGCGCAACCGACGGAGGCGTGGCGGTCGCGGATGGCAGACGGGCGTGGCTTCTCCTTCCGAAGTTGCCTCCGCTACCAACTTCTTTTTCTGCCCCTTGCTGATTGTTTTTCAGTTTTTTCTCTTTCTTTCTCTCTTTCCGTATTCACTGATTGATATTCGGCCCTACCTGATCACCAAAACTTTTGCAGGCGATTTTTGTTGTTTCATCTCATATTGTTCTATTGAGACGTGGAGTCAATCAGTAGAGGAAACAAAGTTTCTGCTTTAAAACGGTTTTTCAAAATGAACCAACAGTTCACAGGATTTCGCTAAAATTTTTAAAATACGTCTTTGAAAAAGTCGAAATAAGAGAACTCTCGAAACATTTTGGTGTAAAACTCCAAAATACAAAACATGAGAAAAGAAATTGCACAATTTTTTTCTTTTGAATGACATATTTGAAACTCCCGGCTGGTCAACTAATCACATGTAAATCTGTAAAATGCTTCGAGAACGGTTCGTGCTTAAGATACTCGCGAAATTATCCTTTTTATCCTTTTTTGAACTATTGCAAGGAGGAAAGAGCTGATGAGAGTCATTTCCTACGCCGTCCACTCAAAACAACAGCGCGATATATTGTAAATCCAATCTACCCTTTCAACGGTTCTTATTTATTTATAGTTTGATAGTTCATCTCTACTTATTTTTCAAATACATTACACCATAGATTTGTCAAAAATTAATACTCTCATTTTAAATTTTTATGAGAACCCTATTTTTTTTTCAAACTAGGAAACGCTATGTTCAGAGAAAGCTTCACATCCAACTTTCGACTTTTTTGAATTTCTATTCCAATCGATTTTATTCTGTTTGAAATCGAAAAACAGAGAAATGTACTGTTTTTGCTATTATGGAACTATTTCATCGATTCAATAAACACTCACAGGTGAATAATCAGTCCAATTGATCGTTTCTGCCTAATTAACCCAACAAGTCAAATCGAGAACAAGATGCCATGGCGTTGATATAGCGCGCCGAATGATTAATGGCGCCGAGGGCGTTTCCGAAATTTCGAGGACACTCCATTGTTATTTTATCCACCTGGCAACATTTCCCACCTGTAATTACTCTTCTCAATGATTCATTTCTTCAAAAACAGTCGAAATTCTCAACATTCTTACGTGTTGCCGCATTTACATTTTTTTGCAAAACAAAACACTCCTAAAAAGTTTTACAGCGTGCAGAGCCACTACCTAGTTCAGAAGACACTAATTAATCACTGCCTAATCATTCTGAATGAGATTTCTAGTTGATGTTTAATTAACGACGCCATCGTCCGTTCTTTTTCTCCTCTGAACCCAGCCCTCTGAGAGAGGGAAAGTGGTGGCTTTCCATTTAGGTAAGTCAGAGAAGACTAGATCAGATGCCTTTATAATATGGTCTTTCTACGAGTATTTGTTTCAATAATGAGACTTCAAGCACACTGAGATTAATTCTTGATTTTTGCTCAGGTATTTGAAGGAGCACACGCAATTTTCATAAAGATTTCGAAGCGGAGAACATTTCTTCGGGCGATTCAAGACTTCTGTATCTTCAAATCCTCCAGCAATGTGATTCGGCCGCTTGTTGACGAGCCAAGCTAAAACATTTTTGCCATATCAAACGTTTCGGTCAGATCCATCCATCTCAAAATGCGCGAAGAACTTACCTCATTCCATTTCATTGGAGTATAGTTCAACTGACATGTCGGTACGGCTTCTTTTGCTCGTCGTCATTGGCAAAGTTGGGTTTGACGGCCGTTCACATTGGCCTCCTCCTCGCTTGGATCCGCCGTTCTCCTTCTTCTGCCATTCCCATTTGCCGACGTCGTCGCCGCCGCTTTCCACTTTCTCTCGCCCCCGCAGACGCATCACTCCCATATTTTCAACCGTTGATTTCCACTTGTTTTCTGTGTTTTCCTTCTTTTTGCCCGTCTACCGTGGTTCGAGAGAGGCAGATATCGTGAGGGCACTCATTTCATTTCAATTATGAGTTCTTGAGTACTTCTGATGGTTATCCAGAATTGTTTAGAGGCTTTTATTTGGAAGTTAGGTAAGAATATGGAAACGAATCATTAGTTAGTTTGATATATCAGATCTCCCGCGAGTATATTTTTGGCCCTCGATCCATTCAGCTAAAATGTGAATAGACTTTCTTCGAGAGTCTGATAAACTTGGCTTCATGTGAAAGTTTCTGGTGATAACTTGATAATATCAGGTTTAGCTGTGGACACGCAGTGCGTTGATCAGATTGAGTCAACTTTAAAATATTTCGGTTTGAAAACTTTTTATGAAAATTCAATGTTTTCGCTTACCATTTAGAAATCTAATTTTACCAAAGTTTTGAACGCATACTCTCAGATACAGATATGCTTTGGACTTTTCCAGCTCATGACGAACTTTTCGTTGGAGTTGTTCTATGGCATCTTTAAAATGTCAGTCAGTTTTTAGGAATTTATAATCTTTCAAAACTTCAAGTTTGAGCTAAGGAAACCAAAAAAGCTTTTTCTAGTTTCACCTTCTTCCTTTTTTCCACAATTTCTTTTTTTCTTTTTTCTTCGCAAATAAATCATGCCCAACGCAACCTGCAATCAATTTTCTTCTGTTCTCGAATCAGAAACCGCCACAAACAGTCGACCGGGTGTTGATCGAGCCTTTTTCTGGAAATCGACGGTTCGGCGGTGATAGCGGCCTGATATCTGGCGGTTGTTTGTTCGAAACGGGTTCTCCTTTTTGCACGTCTTCTCTTTCGGTCTTCCATCCGGGAAACTGAATCTTTCTTTCCTAGTGAAAGGTGGAACCGGTCAGGTTTCTGCTCATTTTCTTCCAGTTGAATTGTCTGGAAGAAGAAGGCAGGGCTGAGTATTTCTTCGCATGAAATCATCAACAAGTTTGAAATCAAGTTTGTAAACTAAAAGTTTTCTATTCAAACCATCTTTTTCAAACAAAATTCTCTAGATTACCGACATTCTCAAATTTTCTTTATGACAAAATCTTTTCGGCTTCCTGGGATGCTCAAAATTTTTTCAGAGACAACTTTAATACTGAAAATGACATATTTTTTTATCAATGCTATTCGTGTACTCTAAGAGGTTCGAACTATTTCACAAACTTTAAATTAGATTGACAAAAACTACTGTCTTTCACATCTTTATCCCCTTTTGGAGGTTCTGTTTCCAGATTTCCAGAATAACAAAATTTCTTATCAAAACTTGTCAATGAAGATTAATTCTGAGTTATCCGCGTCTGACCTTCAACAGACGTTTCCAGAAAAATCATTAATTCGATGCAGAAACATTCCATTTCTCTCCGTACTTTCGCTGTTTTCTCTTTTTCGGTCCGCAGACAGTTCAAAAGAGTACCGACAAGAAGGTTTTGCAGGCCATGAGGTGGCGGACGACGCTGTTCCTGCTGGTGCCGAACCTGCTGGCGCTGGTCCAAGCGACGCCCTACCAGCACACCTATTGTACGTCCTTACCGCTTCTTCTCCAATTCCTGCCTCGAAAAACTTTCGATGAATGAGCGAAAAGAGGACACCACACCCATCTTTCCGCTGCCTTGATTGTTACTATCAGGCGGCTTTGCGAGACCTTGGGAACGTCGAGGCAATCCCCGCGTTTTCCGTCGGTAGTGGGTGTGTGGCCGAGTAATGGGACCTGTATCAACAATCGTCAGCCAAATTGTAATCATAGCATTGGCAGGCGGTTAAACAATCGTTGAGAACTTGTTCTTTGGGTTTCTGAGGTTCAGTAAAACCTGGAAAGCCAGATGAACAGAGTTGAAGGGTTCATTCTTCACAAATCGGAAGAGAATTTCGATTGTCTGATGCAGAGTTTTTCGTTGGATCAATCAAATATTAACCGGTTAGCCGAACCTGTTTAAAAACAAAAAAAAAACTATGAGAAACAGTTTGAAAAAAAGAGAAAAGTTTGTTTCAATTCGAAAAATCTAAAGTCATAGGAAAGTCATCGACTTTCAAGTACTAATAACAAAAAATTTCTATAAAAAAGTGTTCTCAAGACATCAGAAAATTTTTCAGCGAGCTTGCAGTGTCGGGTAAATGATCCTCTTTCTTGCAACCAGCAGAAACACGAGGTGAGGCTATCTTTTTTAGCCATTCCTATCAAATGACGTCATCCAGGTGTGTGTATTCACGAATGGCCAGTACCGCTGCGAATGTCCGAACGGCGTGCGAAGACTCGCCGACGGCCGCTGTCTCCTTGTCGACGAATGCGCCAGACCGTCGCTCAACGCCTGCCACAAACAGGCCTCCTGCATCGACTTGGTTCATCAGCCTCTTCTTGCGACTCTTCTGAATCTTGTACTTCAGGAAGACGGCTACACCTGCAAGTGCAACGCCGGCTACGCGGACGTCTCCCCAGACAGGGTCAACAAACCAGGAAGAATCTGTCAGAAGACGGCGGACGAGTGTGGCAGCAAAGCCACGTTAGTTGGTATTTATGGAAAAGAAGGAAAACAAGCGGGTTGAGATATGGCGTCGACTGCGATCCGAACTCGGCTTGTGTCGACACTCCTGAAGGCTTTCAGTGCGTCTGCCAGCCTGGCTACGTCGACGTGTCTGCTTCTTTGAGCAAGCTGCCTGGCCGCAAGGTTCGATGAGGCTGTGTCTAGTTCTGATCCGAAGGTTACAGTGCCAAGAAGCCGTGAACGAGTGTGCCAACGGATCTGCCGACTGTGCAGAAGACGCCGATTGCTTCGACCGTCCAGACGGCTACGAGTGCAAGTGAGCTTCAATCCAGAGCTATAGTCACCATCCTCATTGCTTCAGATGCCGCCCTGGATTTGTTGACGCCTCTCCCAACGTGCAGAAGTATCCAGGACGCGTCTGCAACCGACCAAAGTCCCCAGAATTTTACGGACAGCAGAGTCGTCAGCCACAGTGCACGGATAACCATGGCTGCGGCTCCAACGAGGAATGCCGTTTCAACGTCGGCGGCGAAAGAGTCTGCCAGTGCCGTCGTGGCTCTGTTCAGCAGAGCAACGGCGTCTGCAAACGTATATTTCGACTCTTCCGAAACTTTCTTATCGGAATTTTCAGTTTTCTCGCAATGTGAGCAACGCAACGAGTGTGACCGCAACGCGTTCTGCTCGAATACTTACGATGGATACAAGTAAAAATCCAGTCTTTTTACATATCAACTATCTTTTTGGACAGATGCCAATGCAAGTCTGGATTTTTGGACATTTCTCCAGATCCGGAAACGCTTCCTGGTCGAAAATGTCAAAAGAGTAAAGAAAAATCTATGAATTGCTAGTTTGGAAAATGAGTTCAGTAACTAATGAATGTGCGGATGGAACTGCCGATTGCTCTCCTCTGGCCACATGCCAAGATACGCCTACTGGGTACGTCTGCGCCTGCAAAAGCGGGACCATCGACGTCTCTTCCCGCTACAACCTCAAGCCTGGCCGAAAGTGCAGCGAAGGTTGGCTTTCCATTGTGTTTCTAATATTTATCACTTATAAAAGCCGTAGACCGAATTTTCGTAATGAAGTGAACTTGCGAATTAGTAGGTAGATCTCCTTCGAAAATTCCGAGACGCTTTGAGAAAGTTTGAAGCTCAGAATCTACTCGGAATATTTTTTTCCAAGTAATTTTCTGAATTTTTTTATTGAACATTTTAAACTTTTTCTGACCATTATTTGTACCAAAACTGAAAAACATGTAAACTATAGTTTTTAGAAATTATTTCTCACATCAAAAAGACTAGTTCTAAATAAATTGAAGGTTCCAGTAGCCGAGGCAACGGTGAGTTTTTTCTTTTGTTGAATAAAACCGCAAGTAGTATACAAAAAGTTGTTATTGGCGCACCTTTTTTGTCCAAACTTGATTTTTACACTGTTTCACTATTTTAATGCACTAAATCATCAAAAATCATGCTTAACATAACAAAAATCCATCATTTCTGAAAACTGAGCATTTTTGGGCTAGCTCACCTTCTGCCCATTTTACCCACTTGCCGAATGTCACGCTTTTTCTTATTTTCAGCCCAATGAAATACATCTTTTTGAAAAATATAAAAATGAAGATCAGAAGGTAAGTAAATGACATCATTTCTGAAAACTGAGCATTTTTGGGCTCTCTCTCTCACCCCTCAAAACATAGGTAAAACGGAAAAGTTCCTTTGAGGATCCTTAAAGGATCCTGAGAGGGAGATAAAAAGCTTCCTCTAAAAGCTCCTAAAATGATGTAAAAAAGCTTTTGAGCACCTTTTTCATAGCCTCAGAGGATCCTTTTTGAATCCCCTCGAATCTTTTTGGTTGCTTTCCAGCATCCTTTTTGTCAGAGGATGTGAAAAAGATGCAAAAAAAGAATTTAAGTTTTAAATGACTACTTTAAAGTAGTCATTTAAGACTTCAAAGTAGTCATTTAAGAGACTAAAAGGAGACTAAAAGCTTTTAGTCTCCGAAAAGACTTGAAGCCACTAACCAATCTTGACCTCGAAGAGCTCGTACTGAAAATCAAGAGTTTCCGTGGTGTTTTCATGCGAGACACTTTGCCGAGTGAAGGAATTGGAGAAAAAGAAGTTGGTATTGTCAATCTAGACTCTCCTTATAATAAAGGAACTCATTGGGCCCAATCGATGTGATGCAGAGCTAGTAATCTGGAGTCATTTTTACTTACCTTCTGATCTTCATTTTTATATTTTTCAAAAAGATGTATTTCATTGGGCTGAGAATAAGAAAAAGCGTGACATTCGGCAAGTGGGTAAAATGGGCAGAAGGTGAGCTAGCCCAAAAATGCTCAGTTTTCAGAAAGGATGGATTTTTGATATGTTAAACATGATTTTTGATGATTTAGTGCATTAAACTAGTGAAAAAGTGTAAAAATCAAGTTTGGGCAAAAAAGGTGCTCCAGTAACAACTTTTTGTATACTACTACCGCAGGCCGTAAGCTTTTGAAGATCATGTCCCGTAGATTTACGGCCATAAATGAGTTTTAATAGTTAGCTTCACAGAATCGAAAGCTTCTCGAATTCCTGTAGACCCGTTCATGGCCTTGCATCTGACGAAGCATGAAACTAGCGCATGCCTTTTTCCTTACTCGAAAAAATCTCATCACCAACCCTTTTCCTCGCCTATTCTCACCGGAACGCTTTCTTCTCCATTCAGCATGCTTTTCACCCTTTTTCGCCTCAACACAAGTGAGTTTCAGCCGCGAATCAGTGCTCGGACAAGTCTCTCAACTCGTGCGACAGGAACGCCGACTGTGTCCAACTTCCCGACGGCTACACCTGCAAATGCTTCGTCGGCTACGTCGACGTGTCCTCAAACGCCAACCTTCCTCCCGGCCGCGTCTGCACCCTCTCCACCGCCTGGTCAGTTTCCAACCAAGCATACTTGAGGACAAACTATTTTCGAAAACTTGGCTTTTTTCAATCGATACTATCCTTTCCAGGTCGGTTTGGTTATCAATATGTAGGAGGACACTTAACAATTATTGAAAACCTCTTTATTATGAATTTTTCATAACTTAATTTTTCAGCCCAGCCCAGCCAACTGATCTCGTTTTCCTGATCGACGGCTCCGGGTCCATCGGCTCCTACATTTTCCAGACGGAAGTTCTGCGGTTCCTCTCCGAATTCACCGATCTTTTCGATATTGCACCTGACAAGACGCGCGTCTCTGTGGTCCAATACTCTGATCAAATCAGGTTTAAAAAAAAGATTCTTTTTTTAGTTCGTATATGATAATAATTATTAATTGAGAACAAAAATCTTTGAAGAACGCCTCACTCATTGAAATTCTTGATTATTTGGCAAAAAGTAATTTGAAAGTTTTGATTTTCTGCGTAAAGAAAAATTTGACAGCCGTGCAGCTCTATAGGCAATTTCTCATAAAAAAACAATTTTCACATAAAAATTTATTTAACTTGTTCTAGTTTTCTGATGCAAATCTTTTTAAATTTTGAAATTTGAAGACACGAGTTCGGGCTCAATGAGAACAGTGACCGACGTTCTCTCCACGACGCTATCCGCAACATCCAGTTAGGCTTTTCATATGTAAAGCCAAAAAGTTCTCCGAATTCAGATACCTGACGGGACTGACACGCACTGGCGCCGCCATCGAACACGTCGCCAACGAGGCGTTCAGCGAGAGAAGAGGGGCCAGACCAGTCGGACAAGTCAGCCGCGTCGGCATCGTCATCACCGACGGAAGAAGCCAGGTTCTCAGTGTCCTGATCAGCCTGAAATCAAGGAATGTTTCAGGACAACGTTACCGTCCCGGCTAACAATGCTCGAATCCAGAACATCCAGCTTTTCGCTGTAGGAGTGACAAACCACGTCCTCGATGTCGAACTTGAGGAGGTATTTTTGAAAACATTTTCAAATGTTCCATTGGGATCTTTGCAAACTTATCCGCCGATATATATTTGTATTTAGAATGGATTTACAGTTGAACTACTCTTAGGAAAGATAAAATAATCGGAAGTCATTTTTATTTCAGATTTCTGGAGCGAAGGACAGAACTTTCCACGTGAGCGGCTTCGAAGATCTGAACACTCGTCTCCGAAGTGCCATCCAACGTGTCGCCTGCCCTCAAGTTGTCCCTCCACAGCAGGACGATGGTCAGTTCGATCCCGACTTCTGCTGTTTCTACTGAGAGATTTGAGGTCCTTGCGATCCAAATACGCACAAAGGATGCGACCGCGCTCTCAACCAGATCTGCATCGCCAACGGCGGCCGATTCTCCTGCGGTTGTCCTCCTGGATTCGATCTTCATCCTATCACCAAAGTCAGTATTGTATTGAAAGTAAAAAAGATGTTTCAGTGATCTTTTTGAAGTGGAAAGGTCAAAATTTATTTTTGATTTATTCTAGGTCTGCGGCGGTGACGTCTGCAACCCCGAAATTTCGACCTCTTGTCCAGATCCGGAGATTTGCGAGAAGACGCCTTTCGGTAACTGGAGGTTTTTTGAAGTTAGCAAAGATAAGACTATAACGAGAACATTTTGAAGATGCACGTGCCCAGCTGATCTCGGATGGCGCGACCCTCACTCAGGAGTTTGCAGTTCGTCATTTCTTTTCTCCCTTTTCATTCTCAAATCTTTGATATGAACAATTATTCATATTCATTTTCCTTTTCTAGAAATCGGAACTCCTCCAATTTTGCAATCCAACGACGAATGCCACCCCAATGACATCACTTCCTGTGGCGGCAACGCGAAATGCGTCCGCGGACCTGGCGGCGAGTTTGTCTGCCAATGCGAGGAAGGCTTCGTCCGAAGCAGCCGCACCGGAAAATGTCAGCAGCCTGGAACCTGCGACCCGCGAATTCCCGACTCTTGTGACGCCAGGAAGAAGGAGAAGTAAAGATAAAAAGCCTTTCAGAAACTGGAACTCCAAGTTCAGATGTCTTCCTGGAACGAACGGCCTCTTCACGTGTCAGTGCGACCGTTTCCACAAGAGACATCCAGTCACTGACATTTGCTGTGAGTTTATTCGGATCAAGTTTGACTTATTGAATTCGCGTCAGATCTACGATGTTTTACGTTCGAAATAAATAAATAAATGAGTTATAAACTTCAAGTGATCGACGAATGCAGCGCTGGAACCCACGATTGCGACCCCAATGCTCAGTGTACCGACACGGACGAGTCCTACATCTGCTCGTGCCGTTCCGGATTCCTCGACAAGTCTCCAGATCAGGCCAAGAAGCCTGGCCGCCTTTGCTCGCAACGTTTCATCAGTCAGAAGAAACCCCCGTTCATTTTGAAGTTCAGAACGGAATGAATGCGCCGAGAACCGTCATAACTGTTCCGTCAACGCCGACTGCATCGATCTTGTCGACGGCTTCATGTGCCGGTAATTCATCAAAATCCTTCATTTCAACAACGAGTGTACAGTACAGAAATAAATTTGAACACAACGTTTGGTAATGGAAACGAGAGTTTTATCTTTACGCTTCCAGCAAAATCATGCATGAACTTTTTCTAAACTTCTGAAATCAGAAATTGCCAAAAAGGAAAAATAAATAGTTCCAACCTTTCAAGTCGTTTTTCAGATGCAAAAACGACTTCGTGGACATTTCGCCGAACCCCAGCGCTTTCGGAGGCGTCGACTGCCGTGCTCTCATCGACGAATGCGCCATTCCTGGAGGCAACACCTGTCATCAGAACGCCATCTGCATCGGTTTTCTGATTCCTATCATTTTTATAGACTTTCTTGTTATCAGACACCCGAGACTCGTACAAATGTCAGTGCAAAGAAGGCTACGTCGACCACGACGAGCTCCGGAATCCAGGCCGTGACTGCCGCAAGTGTAGGGCCTTCAGTGGATGCGTAGAAGGATCATAATCCTGGTTGCAGTGAATCAGATCTGCGAGAACGGAAGACACGACTGCGACCGCAACGCCCGTTGCATCGAGAGGGGAGCCAACGACTACGAGTGCGTCTGCAACGTCGGCTTCATCGACAAGAGCCCCTTGCCGCACCGACTTGGTACGGCCTTTCCAAGATTATACTTCCCTCGGAAGAACTATAGACCTTTGTGGCAGTTTTTCGAAAACTTTGTTCAGGCCGCAAGTGTCTGGAACGAGTTTGCACCGACGATACGAAGAACGACTGTGACGTCGCGGCGACTTGCGAAGAGGTCGACGGCCCCGAAAAATACACGTGCAAATGTCGCAACGGCTACTTCGACGTCAACAAAAATCGTCCTGGTGAGCGAGAATTTGCAGGATCTGAAACTTTTGTCCAGGCCGCGAATGCAAGGAACTCGTGAACGAGTGTCTCGACGCGTCGCTCAACAACTGCGATCCGGCGGCGACGTGCACGGACCTCGAGGAAGGCTACACCTGCGCGTGTCCGGCCGGCAGCAAGGACATCTCTCCCGATCCCAGCCAGCCTGGCAGAAACTGCAAGGGCGTCAGTTTTATTGATAGTTCATTAGCATTAGGGTTCCCAAAACTTCTCCTTTATGGATATGAAGTTTCTCACTGCTCACTGCAGTCCAAATTTACAGATTTGAACTTTGGCATCATCGAATATTTTATAAATGCAATACATATTGAAATTTATGAACGTTGACTAGGGAGAAGCTGGGAAAATATTTAAGCTCATTTTTGTTTAACTTCTCAAAGTAACATGGAAGTTTTGGTCACTTTTTTTCTAATTCGATTTTCAGCTGGTGAATGAGTGCAACCTGCCGCATTTGAACAACTGCTCTCGATTCGCTTTGTGTATCGATAAGGAGGAAGGCTACGAATGCAGGTATCGTTCATCAAATTATCAAAAAATCGAGTTTCAAACACAAGCAAGCAACTTTTAAAAAAAATTAAATTTTCTCTTCAAGATGCAAACCGGAGTACCACGATCAAGACACATCGCGGCCTGGAACCAACTGCAAATTCAGTGAGTCTGAAAATGGGTGAAGTTTCCGAAAAAACAGTATTTCAGTCCTTAACGAGTGCCTGGCTGACAACTTGAACGATTGCGACAAAAACGCGATTTGCATCGACACACGCGAAGGTTACGAGTGCAAATGCAAGGCGCCTTACCAAGATATCCAGCCGGAAAACCCAGGAACCGTTTGTCGGTCAGTTTTGCTCTGAGAAGCGTTTTTCAAGGAAATAGTTACGAACAAAAGTTTGATCGGGAATCCTAAGGGAATGATTGGTTAGTTTAAAACTGTTTTAAGTATCCGTTATTGAAAAAAAAATTTCAAGACTCTGAATACCTCTAAAATACAGCAACTGCGATAATCGGCTGCATCCAGTGCCTCCGCAATTGTTCTCCCCCTGAAAAATTTTCTGATTCTACAGCTTCAATGAATGCGCCAACCGCGCGGACAACGACTGCGACGCCAACGCCGACTGCATCGACACCGACGAGGGCTACACCTGCCAGTGCAAGGAAGGATTCTTCGACGAGACCTCGGATCCTGCCCGGCCTGGCCGCGTCTGCATCGGTGAGCCGACGCCGTCTTTCCTATCGATTATTCAATCGTGAAGAAATAGGTCTGGTGATTGACAAGCCGCAGTTGGCTGAGAAGACGACGCTGTCGCCGAATTTGATCCCTTGCGGAGCCGTCCACTGCAGACTGGACCTTCACGAAGTGTGTGTCGGCGGATCCAAGTGTCTCTGCCGTCCTGGAGAAGCTCGATCTAGCACCTTCGAAAAATGCGTTCCAATCACTTCGGTTAGTCTAAATGTTGAGCCTGGAAGTGCTTCTTTCCAAACTTGAAGCTTTTTTTTTTAACTTCAAACATCTGAACCTTTCCAGGTGCCACTTGTCGTTCGTGTCATGGAGTACGATGGCGAACCCCTACAGTACTCTACGGACTACAGTAAGCCGCAAAGTCCTGCTCACGTTGAAGTTGTCGAAGCGGCAAAGAAGGTAGTTTTCTCTGCACTTAAAACTCTTAACTTTCCGATTATTAGGGTATCGGAGCTGCCCTCATGAAGACTGAATTCGCCCCAAGATACGTCACTACTGACGTCAGCTTCATCACCAACCCTAAGGTCGAAAACAGGTTTGACTCTCGTTTCTACCGCCTCATAACTACTGAATCTTCAGCGATTGGGACAAGGGACTTCTTGTGAACAGCACGGTCCAACTTGCCGGAAACGAAGATGTCGATGTTTGCCGAGTCTATCAGGAGTTCGCTGACGCCGTCCAGAGCATGGGAGGACGTCTGGACCGTCTCAAAGTGGCCGATGACTCTTTCGGATCTTTGGACCCTTGCAAGTGAGTGAACAAACATTTTTCTCTTTAAAAAGAAAATTTCAAGGAAGGAAGAAATTCGCAAAGGTACGCCTTGCGGCGACACTTTCTGCTCCGAAGAACTCGGCGAGGAATGCATCGCCGGCAAAATCTGCGGCTGTCCCAAGGGCCAGAAACGCCGCAATCCTTCGAGTCCATGTCGAACGGTGGAATCTTGGAACTTGCCTCTCTACGTCATTCGCGATGGATCCAACTCGATCGAGTTCACGTCTAACCTTGCCAACCCGCTGGACGAAAGCCATAAGTCGCTTGTGTCCAGGTGCTCTTCGTTGAACTTTCTAAATTAAAAGGTAGAATGCTTTTAGATTTGAGACTGGAGTTGCTCAGAGCTACGATAAGACACCATTGAAGAACGGATTTGTGACCGTCGAAGTCAATGAAATTCAACGGCCGGATGAGAAGAACAGCGTTAGTTTATCAATAACAGACAAATTTGTCTAAGATATTGTAAAACCGATTTTAGAAGGTACTTTATCGTCGGAGAACTAGATAGCCCAGTCGTTGAAAACTTAAAAGCGTTTTTTTTCAAATATTATATATTCCCTTCAATCAAAATGTTTTATTGCTCACACACAAGTACTAAATTTCACGAAATAGATGTAGGGAGAGTTTGGGAACATATGTGTCGGAACTTGTGGTGATGGAGGGAAGAGGACTCGCGGTTGTGTTAACCCCCCACTTGAGTAAATTGGAATAACCATGAAGTTATTCTTCTAAATTTCGATTATGTAGCTTTCATATTTTTGTTGGATCAAGAGTGTTTAGTTCTGTAATGTTGTTTTCAAACCATTTCTCAAGTTTAGATCTGAACTTATTTTTTTCATACTCAAATACTATGTTTCTATCCATATGATTCCAATGATTGAATACTCTTTGATTAATGAACCGGTAGTGTATGTCAGAAAGTAGAGGCCGCTCTATTTTGAGACCATTTCCTCGCAGTTGATTCGATCTACTTGTTTTATTTTGTAAAGGGATTGGAGATGGGCACCAATAGTATCCGTAAATGAAATTGTGAGCAGCAGTTATGTCTTTCTTTAAACGTCTTTGCCAAAGGGTGTTTAGTCCAAGACGTTGAAGTCTTTCTTTGTAATTCGTTTTAGGGAAAAGTCTTTTAGTAAATTTCCTTTGAACTGATTCCAATCTATCGATATCTGTTCTTTTTAGAGGACAGAAAAGTTCTGACCCATATTCAAGAACCCTTGTTCATTCTTTAATGTTCACTTCTCACCTACTAAATGTCCCCTCACAGTCTTGAAATTTATCAAATTCTGAGCTTAAATCAGTAAAGACTGGGTAGAAAGTTCAAAAAGAACTAGTGACATAATAGGAATGGCGAGAAGCTAAGAATTTCCTCCCTGAACATGAGAAAGCTTAATTTAATTTCCCAGAAAAGCAGTTATGAAATACTGAAAACTTCTCAAATTTAGTCGTGGACCACCGGAATCCTGTACAACTTCACGTCGCACTTCGTTCGCGGTTCCGTCGCCGAGCCATCCACCGTCTTCACGGACCTCATCGAGTACATCTCCAAGCGCAATCACTTCGAAGTCGGCACCTCGAAGCTTTTCATCTCGCCCAACCAACTCAACCCCTTCTCCAAGTGCTACAACGCCGACTGCCATCCTGACGCCATCTGCCGAGAAATTGGCGGTGGATTCCAGTGAGTAGAATAGGCTTGAATCAAAAGTCTAGAGAAGATTCAGATGCTCTTGTCCTGACGGATTCCGCGACCTCAATCCATCTCATCCTGGACACGAGTGTCTGTCTTTCCGTGGCGTCAACGAGTGCGAGAAGCCAGAATTGAATGAATGTTCTCCTGAAGCTCGTTGCATAGACCTCGACTACCTCTACAAGTCTGTTTCTCGAGCCTTTTTAGATCTTCTCTATTTTAGGTGCGAATGCGTCAAGCCTTATGTCAACGCGGCTCCTCAAGGCGCCATTCCCGGCTCCGTTTGCACCATTGACTATTGCTCCGACGTCAACTATTGTCCTCTGAACTCGACTTGCGTCAACGTCGATCAAGAGGTACGCCTTCAGATCAGATTTGTTTCCTAGCCTTGAGTTCAGGCGCGGTGCGACTGCAAGCCAGGGTTCGTCGACCTCCGCAAGTCTGACCGCCTGTCGGAGGTTGGTTACCGCTACCTCTTCTCTGTGAAATCTTGTTTCTCAGGCCGGACTCGGAGACGCGATCTGCCTGAGGTCGATTGACGTCAACGAGTGCGCCCTTGGAACGCACAACTGCAGTCCCGCTGCTCAGTGCATCGACAAGAAGATCGGCTACGAGTGCAAGTGCCTCGAAGGGTTTGTCACTTATTTTGCAGAATAGTAGGAGTTCTTTTTGTACAATCCAATTTGTAGCAATTTCATTTTCATGATACCAAAGAGAAATACAAATAAGTCTGAAGATGTGTTAAAAAATAAAAAATAAATCCTCCCCATAAAACAGAGTTTTAGGAAGTTTTATGAACCAAAAAAAGATAAATCATCTTTTTAAAACTTGTCTTTATTTTTTTGCCTTACCAAGCAGTGAGGTGAACGATCGTTTACTTATTCGAACACAAAAAGCTGTTTTAAAAAGATGCCAGTACAATTAGCAAATGGATTAAAAAAAGCATTTTCATTTTTCCAATGAATCCGTTCAGATACGAAGACGGAAACCCAGCGGAGCCAGGCCGCAGCTGCGCCGCCCGTCTCTGCGGTCTCTGCAACGGCCACGGCGACTGTATCCACGACTCCTTGTCCAGCAACGTCACCTGCGCTTGCCTCGAAGGCTACACCGGACAGTTCTGCGAGGTTTTCCTCTCCCCCAAGAATTCCAGTTTATTTCGACTTTCAGTTGGCCCCATCTAACGCCGGACTCATCCTGATGACGATCCTCGCTCTGCTCTTCCTGCTCCTCACTCTTCTGTGCTGCTTGTACGCCTGCGCTCGCTGCAGGTTCAAAAAAAAAGCCCATTTTCTTTTTTCATGCAACTTTTCAGATGCTTCGGAGCTCGAGGAGTTAGCGAAGGTAGCGCCAGTGGACAAGAAATCCTTGGCTCTGATTACTACACGATCCCGAGAGCCAAGCTGAAGCCTCTCTATGGAGTTAGTTTTTGCGCTTTAACGCTGAAATTTGAAAAAAACTATCAATCAATAGTTTTTTTCTTCTTTTTTTATATCTTAAGTTTATATAATTTAAAAGGAAAAACTTTTTTGTGAATGAATTGAAAAAAAAAGGAAATTTTAACTTTGAGGAGGACCTGGGTCATGACAACGCCGGAGCTCTTGCCGCCTATCTCGACGACGGAGCTTCCATTTCTTCAGACGGATCGATTGAGGAAGTCGAGCGCCGAGTGACAACTGACGTCACCACTCGAGAAGTCAGAACCACGACGGTCCGGGACGAATCTGGCAACGTCATCAGCCAGGTTCGAAGACAGGAAATAACTATCAAAAAGATCTCTTGAAGACGGTTTCCCATTCTCACGGAGGCCTCGGAGGGGCTCATGAAACGGACACGGAGCAGTACGCCTTGACGACGAGCGACCACTTCAGAACTGCAGAATCTGCGGCGGCTGGAGGCGCATCTTCTGCTTTGCGCTCTGAACACCGGTCTGGAATCAGGGACGACTACGACTCTGACGACTCGACCGACACCGACGCTGGTCATGCCGTTTACGACAGAACCACTAGAACCAACTTAGTATAACCTATTTCAGACTCTTTAAGTATTTGTTTAACTGTTTTCAGTCTCACGACTTCCAGCCAGGCGTTGATCCAAGAACAGGAACGGAGCGAACTCGGCGCGAGTTTGTGACGTCGACGAAAGCAGAGGAAGTCAACTATTTCTGAAACCTCCATCCATCTCAATTCCGAGTTTTTCATATTTAGAAAATTCAAAGTTTTAACAACATTTTTGCATTCTTAGCAAAGCACAAACACTTGAATTTACCTTTTTTCGACCTCTTCTTTTCACCTTTTTTCCGCAAATGTACATACACCTGCTCAATCGGTTTTAGAACATTGTTTTTAAAATACGGAGTAATAAAAGCCCGCTAGATTTTTATAATTCACCTTTTCTTTTTTCTTCCACTAACACATAAGTTATTCCCCCGCTTGCCTTCATCATAGCCTGCAATTGCCAGCATTTGCTCATATTTTCTGAATCTTTCAGCAAACTTCTAAATACGACTGCCATTTTGTTTCCCGTGTATTCTGTCCAGTTATATGTTTTTTTTTTCGCGATTCATAAATTGCCATAGAATGGTTTATTGCTGTTTGATGCATGGGAAGAGACAGTTAATAGCTTCGAAGATTTGTGAGGTATTCTCTTGCGTTCGGCAAAAGACGACTTCCAAGCCAGCAGCTGTGAAAAATGCACTTTCGACATTGCAAAACGTCGAACTTTTCGATCGTTGACTTCTTTTCGATCTTGTAAAGTCTGAGGTTAACCTTTGTGGGAAAGTTTTGAAAAAACCTGATAAATTAGTCGATCGAAGCACTTTTTATCTTTTACTGTGACTGAGCCTGAGATATTCTCTCCTGCATGAAGACCGAACGCTCTGTGAAGGCGGAGAGTTCAAAGTTATTGCCTTTTCCAAGAAAAAGAAGAACTAACCCTGCACAGTTACGCTCTGGAATGTTCGTGTAGAAGTCCCAATAGCCAGTTCCTGTGGCTCTGCGGCGGTAGAGATTGAGCCAGGAAGTGTCATGTCGGATCTGCATCGTTCCTATCCGATACCTTCAAGAAGAGGAAATGAAAATCAGATTCGGTCAAAATCCAAAACTTACCACCCTCTTGGTAGTTTCACATCAAGTCCTTCCTTTTCTAGATCGGCGTTAGGGGGAACGTGAGTTTCACATGTTATCGTTCTGAAATCTCTTCATTTTCCTTTTTTTTTCTAATTTCTAAGAACCCGCATGTGATTTCGTTAGTCTCTCTGTAGTATGTGCAATAGACATTCCTAAAGCGATTAATAGGTTGAATCAGTATTATTCGGACTTACTCGCTAAGTGCTGAACTGAAAAAGGAGAGAATCAGTAGATATGAGAATATCATGAGAAAATTGGAGGTAAAGGTGGCCCCAAGCGAGTCAATAAACCATTAACGGCGTTCTTCTCAAGGACGTTGAGGCAATTTGTTCCGTCTCTCATTTATCGTTCTTCACGGAGGATCTTGAAGGATCTCAGGGATATCTATTTTTTGTATAAAAAAAAATAGAAAAGGAGAAGCTGATATAGCATTATACATTTTAGGTGACTTTTATACCGCATTCAATCTCTTTAAAACTTTTCCCATCAACTTCTTGATTCTGAGTTTTTTTAAAATTGTAATGAATGAATCACATAATTTTAAATGAGCCTTGTAAATAATTTCAACGAAAATTCCCTCTCCAAAAAAAGATTAAGACGAGAAATACAGCCAGCTTTACGCCAGGCGTCAAACGCGCTCCATCGATAAGCGTGACGTGCGGTGATCATTCCCCAGTCATTGGTCTTTCTCTATTTCATATTCTATTTGATATTTCATGTTTATTCGTGAATTTCTACGACTTTCTATCATATCAGTTTGTGACCACATCGATCTAATGATCGGCCCGACAGCGTTTTATTGATTTAGTCTTGATTTTTCTTGAAAAATTTTCCTCAAGTTCCGGTTCGATACTTTGTGCATTTATATCTACTTTAACGGTGAAAATAATTATTTTTTAGGTAAAATGTCGGGGGGTGGTAAAGACAGGATCGCGGTGTTTCCATCGCGTATGTAAGTTTTTTTTTATTTTCATTTTTATTTTTTGCTTTTTCAAAATAATTTTCTAATTTTCGATGCTTTCCAGGGCGCAGACTTTGATGAAAACTCGTCTGAAGGGAGCTCAAAAAGGTCACTCGCTTTTTGAAAAAAAGAAGGCGGATGCCCTCAACATGCGGTTCCGAGACATTCTCAAGAAAATCGTGGAGGTTGGGTTTCCTTGGTTGAATTTCAATAATATTCATACTATTCATTTCCGTTCTCTTGAGGCATTGTGCTCATTGACACTTTTAGAGAGAAAGTGTCCAAAAATCTGTAGTTCAGACTAAATAGTAGAATTTTCGGTTTCGAGGAACGGCGAGTGGAGTAAATTCTTGGGCTAAGAAGCTGCAATGCAAGTCACTTAATTGACATTAAATATTTTACTCTTTTCTTCACCTAACTAACGAAAAATATTCAATGATATCGATTGTTTTTTTCCGGCCAGTCATTTATGAAATATAGTCTTTGACTTCAGATTTAATCTGAAAATAAAAATTGTGTTCATTTATTTGCTTCGAAGTTTTTTTTCACCGATCTAATTCAGCTGAACATGATGCTGTGTTCAAAGTAATTTCCGCGAAATGCATAATGGTCTCTGATTCTCCTAAATTCAGTTATCTTTTTCTTTCTCTGACGTTCATTTCGCGTTTCGCGGAACCACTTCGAACGCGGCATGAAAAATATTGAAAAGAAACAGTTTAAAAAAATATTAAAAATTATTAAATCTTCAATCAAAGTTTTCAGAACAAAGTGTTGATGGGCGAGGTGATGAAGGAGGCCGCCTTTTCGTTGGCCGAGGCCAAGTTCACAGCCGGAGACTTTTCTCACACAGTCATCCAGAACGTCTCCCAGGCCCAGTACCGTGTCCGCATGAAGAAGGAAAACGTCGTCGGTCAGTTATCCCGAATATGGTTTTTTTGACGGAGCAAAGTGTGAAGGTGTGTTTCTTCCCGTGTTTGACGCCTATCAGGACGGCCCTGACGCCTACGATCTGACGGGTCTTGGCAAGGGTGGCGCCAACATCGCTCGTCTCAAGAAGAACTACAACAAGGTGAGGCGTTTCTATTTATTTTTTTAAACCTTGATAATTAGAAAGTGTGGTTGATTTCAGATTTTGACGTTTTTCTAGAAACGAAAAAAAAATTGAGCCAAAAAAAATAGCTTGCGCTGAAAACTAGGTCAATTTTTTGAGAACGAAGCTTCCCAGAATCGTAATGTAAATTTACAAATACTGGTTTTATTTTCAACAATTAAAAAAAAATTTTTTGAACGAAAGTTATCAAAAATTCTTATGTTATGAGCTTCTTCCCAGTCAAAAAAACTTGGACTCGAAATTTAAGTATCACGCTAAGTTTCTGACGTTCAATGAGTGCATTGCTGACTTTCCATATTTTCAAATGGTGATTATTTGTCTATAAAATATTAAAAAATGATGATATGAAATATTTATGACATAAGCTTTTGGATTGGCTTGTTTCTACGCAATAATTTGCTAACTTTTTTTCCAGAGATCTATCTAGTTTCTCACAAGTTTAATGTCGCAAAAAGTATTGTTATTATATGGTTCCTAGTCGAGAACATTTCTCACCGTTTCAAACAAAGGTAGAATGTTTTTTGGATAATGGAAATCGTTGCGTAGGTGGTTCCGGCTGAAAAAAGAAAGGAGTGTTTGTCAGAAATAAGTTCTCTTTCTTTTTAAACTCAGCAAAGATTATCGGGAAATTTTGCAGGCGATCGAGCTGCTTGTCGAGCTGGCGACGCTACAGACTTGTTTCATCACCCTGGATGAAGCTATCAAAGTGACCAACCGTCGTGTCAACGCCATCGAGCATGGTGAGGATGCTTGAAATTCCGTCGTTGAAGATCAGATTTCAGTTATTATCCCGCGCATCGAGAATACTCTCACTTACATCGTTACCGAGTTGGATGAAATGGAACGTGAGGAGTTCTTCAGGTTAGTTCGGAAAACATGTTTAGATTGCTTTGTCTTTGTATTATAACTAAAAGTTGATAATTCTAAACTTCGACAATTTTCAATGGCAACAAGCTTGAAGCTAGAAAATGTTTTTTTAAACGTTTTCCTCGGAGGTTCCAGTATTTTTGGGCAATATATTTTACACATGTACATCTGAGAAGATTCAGTCGGCTTTCGATAAATCTGTTTCGGCTCAATGAATTGGTCGCACGTGGACAACTTGCGTTAGACGAAACCTCAATGAGAAACTTTTTCGAACCTTGAGAGCCTAAGTGGAATCGTCATGCAAATTTTAGAATTTTCGCGATTGAAAAATTGAAGTTTGAATCAATAATGTTTTATCTGAAAACAAATTGAAAAATCATTCGTTTCCAGAATGAAAAAGATCCAGGCCAACAAGAAGAAGCTCAAAGAGGCTGAAGCCGAAGAAAGAGCCAAGGTGAGCCCAAATGATTTTGTTTCTCAAGAAATGTGTCGTTTTCCAGATAGCAGCCAAAAAAGGGCCGTCCCAAGAAGAGGAAAACGAACCGCCGCGTAATTTGCTCTCTAATGAGGAGGACATTCCCATTCTATTCAATTAAGTCTTCCACGTCTAGCCGATTTTCGAATTCATTTTCCCGAATGCAGAAATGTTTCTAATTCAAAATTTTGCCTAATTAGGTACTGTGTAGTGGATTGTGTCGGTATGTAAAAAAAAAAAAGAAAATTTCGCTACTTTCCCTAGTTTAACAGCTCTCAGTGGCAGCCTTAGCCGTTGAAAAAAAGTTAAATACATTCCAGTCCGATAGATTTCTAACCGATACCGAGTCCTCCATTTTCTCTCCATCTTGTCGTGATTGACCGTGGTATCCTTTGTAAATTATGATTGACAGATACACAAATAAATGTTTATTTACACGAGCTCTGAAAAGAGGTGTTTTTGACAGCACGGCGTTGCATCAATTTTGGCCCGTTTTTCGTCGCTGCAAACAACCCCACGAGTACATATCGACCCGCGGCCTTCCGCTCTCTCTCCCCCTATTTTTCATTCTCGTATGTCGTTCTTCTAACTGTTTCCGGCGCTCCAATCAGGATCATGTCGGTGCTTTTCGACCCATCCATCGTCATTCTTCGCGAAGATCAGAGCGTTAAGGTCTTCAATGCGTTGCTCGTCGCTTCTCAGATCTTCGGTGAGGATTTAAGATACTTCGGATGCAAAATCTGTGCGATAAAGTAGGGAATGTTTTCCTTTAAAGAAAAATGAATGAATGTCGTTATTTTATCACTCAAATCGAAATTTTTGAATTTAATTAAAGACTTCATAGAGGTTTCAAGTTCAGATGAAAATCCTTCACAAAAAGGTTGACATTTTTCTTATAGAAACTTTTTTCCCCTTTTTTTGCTACAATGCATAGATCAACAATCAGGTATTTTTTCTGAGCTTAAATTTTCAACTTCAATTAAACGATTGAAGTCGAAAAATATTATTTTTTTAAAAAAATTCTATTCCATGGGCTGGTAGTTTTCTTTGAGAGGTGAGAGGAAGGAGACGTGAGAAATTGCTTCGAAAAGGAGGGCGTGAAAAGCCAATAAAACATCCCTCCTTGAAAAGATGAGAAAAGAAGCTTTTCGCACCGTTTTTAAAAACACCTAACTATTAGTTTGTCAAGAAACGGATTTCGTTTTTCAATGGTTGACTTCAAACAGGCATATCTCGTCTCAGAAGGCTTTTTTTTGACTGATTCAAAATTTCTAAATTACTTCGAAACCTTGACTATGAGAAAAATTTATATAATAAAAATAAATGACCGACGTGCCTAAATTTTCTAAACTCATGAATTCATCAAAGTCTTATTGACATCATGTTAAATTTAAGGGCATTTCTCACATATAAAGTTTCGATAAAATCTTTTTATGTAAAATTTGATACACATACATCAAGCTTCAAATTGATATATAACATTACGGTATCGAAAAAAATATTTTGTACTGAACTCCTCGTCAAAGTTGAAGCATCAAAAAAACGAAATCCGTTACTTGAAAACTTAATAGTAAAGAAATTTTTTTGTCATTTCGATCGAATGAAACAAATACAACGAATAAAATTAAATTAAACACCTACCATTTTAATCACTGTAAAAAACAGCTTGGGTATAAAAAAAGTTGAAAAAAGTGAAACGCTTGAGAAAAATAAAATTATATATTCTTTTTCAGATTTAGTATTCAAAAAAATTAGGACTCTGGCCAGAAAAAAATTTGCAGAAGCGCTGTACCTTTTTAAATATAAAAAAATTATCTTCGAGTTTCTGACTTTACAACTTCAAATGAAAAACATTTCCTGTATATAAAACTTAAATCTAAAAACATCAGGTGGAACGGCTGTTATGTTCGTTGCGATATGGATGAGCGGTTTTGGGAACGGATTCGCGTGGACGGAAGATCCTGACCGAGAGTTCAACTACCATCCGACTTTCATGGTCATGGGAATGGTCAGTTTCATCTCGAAAATCAAATTTAGCAAGCAACCAGGTGTTTCTCTACGGCGAATCGATTCTCGTCTACCGCGTCTTTAGGAACGAACGGAAGAAGTTCAGTAAAACCCTGCATGTTATCCTGCACTCGGTCGTTTTGGTCTTCATGATCACCGCCTTGAAGGCCGTGTTCGACTCTCACAACCTTCATATGAAGGATGGTTGGTTTATCTTCATTTTTTGAAAACTTCTTCTAATTAATATTTATAATTCATGGACGCCAGGTTGTCAATCTTCACAATTGATCTTTTAAAAGTCCTTCATAATTTTTCTAACTGTATCGATTCAAGAATCAGAGGTGTTCAAATCATACGGTTTCAGGTCAACCAGCACCGATTGTCAACCTCGTCTCCCTACATTCTTGGATCGGCCTTTCCGTCGCCATCATCTTCTGTGCTCAAGTATGAAAACATTTTCGCCTGGTATTCTGATTGAATAAACCCTTGAGTACGTTCTCGGCTTCATGACTTTCTTTTTTCCTGGAATGCCGATTCCGATCCGACAGCTGGTGATGCCGTTCCACCAACTCGTCGGCGTCGTTCTCTTCGGTTTCGTCGCCATCACCGTCGGAATGGGCATTTCGGAACGCGCGGCATGGAAACACAAGTGAGTGACGGCGGCTTTGGCTCATTTGCAACTGAAGACGTCAGGTGCTGGACCCAGGACGGAGAAATGTGTAGCGAGCAGTTCATATCTACCCTCGTCGGAATCTGCACCTTCATCTACGTCACCATCGTCCTTGTCCTCGGTTTGTCTTTCAAAGTTATAGATTTTTTGGAGATTAACTCCATCTTCTACGTCTACTGGTTCATCGCAAAAGCTTTCAGTGGCGAATCCTCGTTGGAAACGACAGCCACTTCCAGAAGAGGAAGGTCTCCATCAACTCACCTCGAGAAGCATGGACGACTGAGGCTATATTTCTTTTTCCTGCCATTTTTTTCGGTTTCCTTCGGGGCATATCTTGATCTCATGCTATGTAGTACTAACTTCACCATCTACTTGTATAAAAAGTTACGTTGTGATGCATTTCTTCATATTTCTAACAATTATCGAGCAATTTTCTGTCGGGACCACCAACATCGTAGCTGAGCAAGTGAATCAATCAACATATGAGCAATTAAAACAAGGGGACCGTGTGCACGGGAAAAGTGAACAAGAATGTACCCGTGGAACAACTTCAATGAGCGTTTTTTTTTTCTAGAATTACCCCTAGGTCCAAAAAATTCTTAAATCACCAGTCACTTATTTTTACAAAATGTTTTTGAAAAACGAATACAAAGAGTCATTTAGACGATTTGAAAGGCTTTTGGCCTATGAAATCGAGTAAATCAAGTTCAGTAGACGAGAGCGAGGCGTAGGACGAACAAGGAGGAGCACTTTCATAGGCGCTGTCGTTTTCGGTTTTTGGCACAACCGGAGAAGAGTAAGGTCGAGGTTCCGACCTCGCTTGACTCAGCTTCTGAGGGTCCAGCCGAAGTTGGTTCTCGCCGTATTCGTAGGCCGCCAACGCTTCAGAACTCGTCTCAGTCGTGGTTTTGGGACGATGTCGGGCGCTTTGTTCTATCTAAAACGAATAATTCATCGTGTTATATTCAGGATTCGAAGAAAAAACCTCTAATCGTGTAGACATGACGACGCGCTCGAACTGCTGCATGATTCCTAGACGATACAACTTTTTCCGATGCGCGTCCGACTTTTCGTGTTCCACGATATCCACGATGTTTACATTGCAGTAGGTGCATGTAGTGTCTTCTTCGTCCTTCAATAGGAAGTTAAGCGTTTCTTTTCAATTATAATTTTTGCGTTTAGCTTGAGATTTAACCTTCTGTCAACATTTTTTTAATTATCGTAGAAACCAAGTCAAAAAAACTTTTGGGAAATAAAAGCCGAACTTTCACTTTTGCAAATAATTCCGTTCATTTCCCGATTAAATAAAGTTAAGAAAAAAAGATATTTTTTTACGTTCTATACTTTACAAAAAGCCTGACAGTCTCTGGCAACCATCACTATTGGAACTTTCAAAAAGGGAAAAAAACTGACAATTTTTTTAACGTTTTTTTCTTCGAGCCACGTACCGACCATTTAGAAAAATCCTGATAATCTCGTTTTCCTAAATTAAATCTTCAAAATGACAAGAAAGATGATATTTCTAACCGTTTATTCACTAAAGAGTCGTCAGCTTTCCTCAGAACACTGTAACCGGCGTCATAACCACAATGAAGTCTTCCCATTCCATTGAAAAACTGCAAAAAGCAAGTAAGTGATAAATAACAAGAGATTCCGAAAAACTTTGATTTCTGGTCTTCGTCGCGGCGGGTCAATCCTAATGAAGCAGGGCGTGTCATTTGCAGAAGAAAAAGAAGAAGTTAGATCGACCAAAGACTTGCGGCTCTGAAATATCATAGCTGAAACCGAATTTCGGACAAAAATGATTTTTTACCGAGGGAAACTGTCGCTGGATAGAGTTGGACGTGGAGGAACTTCGCTGTGTTCGCGTTTTGAGATTCTCCAGTTGTTTCATAAATGTTTCTGCCGTCCTGACCTTGAAATATTTGGTTCATAAATATCGAAAAATATATATACCTTGATCCCGCGCTTGACAGCTTCTCGAAGTAGAGCCGGCAAAACTCTGAGAAACTGAAAAAAAAATTTTTGAAGCTGGGAATAATTGAGCGAAGAGAAAATATATGAAATAAGCTATTGAAAAAAATTATGTGTATGTAATGAAAAAAAGCAATTTTCACCTTGGCTCGAAAATCGAGCTTCGAAAGCTACTCATGAGCTCAAAAACGTTTCTCAACCTCAAAGAAAAAGAAATTTTTTTGCACAGCACTATCAAACTGTCGGCTACCAAATTTTTTTCCTCCTCATTTCAAAAAAATTATCGACCTCTCGGGCCGAAATATTTCTTGATATTTTCAAAAATATACAAAAAGTTTTCATGACAAACATTTGCGGTAGGATTCGAAACATCCACTTGCTTCCGTTCGATTCTGAAAGCCAAAGAATGATCGGAGACCACGACCTGAAAAAAAATCATTCGAAAAAAGCTTTTTCATTTAAGCATTATTTAGTTCTAGAGTCTTTGAAACGCACGGCAGGAGTTGTCGATTCGTGGATCGTATAGACGACGGAGCCTCCCTGACGTCGTATCGCCGTGCTGATTCTCTCCTGGACGCGATTGTCGTCGATCTCCAGAAGGAAGCATCTGTTCTGCGATATCGCTCAGGTCAAATCAAAGGGAAGTTCGCACAGACTTTCAGGGGGCCGCCGTTGTTCATCGACGTGTTTGAACCCAATCGGCCCGCATTTCTCGAGGCGTCTGTCATTGGAACCTCATCCGTTCGACTAAAGAAGTATATTCGAACCAATTTTTGACTTTTAAAAATGGTGAAAAGAGAAAAATCCGTGAAACGGAAATAAAGGACCAATTTTTTTTTATCATAAAATTGCTATTTTCTAAGATTTCTCAAATACTGGACTTTTTCCGATATATACTCATCGAAGAAACAATCACATAACTACACTCTCAGTTCCTTCGTTAAACTTTATTTTATTCTTCTCAAGGCACATTGAAACCAAGAACAACATAACTGAGATAACAACTTAACTAAATACACTTTGAATCTGAGCTAGAAGACACACTAAAGAACGAGAATAATCAACATTGATCAACTTACCACAAGGCAGATCTTTCAAAAATGAGCGGTTTTCAGATGAGCACAAATCACGGCAATCCAGTGGGGAGCGGAGAGAATATTCGATGCAATATGTGACTCCTTCATAACATATCAATTTACAATCTTCGGTTTAATTAAATTCTTCCGTAGTTTTCATGTAATGGCATATGGCTAGTCATCAATCTCGAAAAACTAAAGCTCTAAACGAATAAAAAACAAGAAGAAAACAAAAAAAATAATAACCTAATCACTAAACTATGAAGCAACAAGAAACAACAAATAACAAAAAATCTAAACTAAAACAAAGAAAACCTAGACCATCAATGAAATGGACACTATCTAGCCTAAAAAAAAGAGGATAACATATTATAGCCGAAAAACGCCTTAAACGGGAGATCACGGCAAAAATAACAAGTAAAATGCTGATTTAGAGGGAACAAAAAACGTAAGAGTGGATGTTGAGGGGAAGATTTCAGTCGAGTCCTTCGTTTTCGAGCTGTTGGTTCAAGGCTTTGCTCTTCTCGGCCTCCGCTTCTTCGCTATCCGAACCAGGTTCGGGTCTCATCGCGAAAGAAGGAGAAATGGGGATGATGATGAAGCCGTTGAGAATGTTCAGCACCTCGAGGATTGACGAAAGCGAGGGCGCTTGGATCTGCAAGTCTATTTTTATTATTATCTTTAGGAACTCCAGAGTGGCAGTTCTCAAAAAGTAAATGTTTGAACGAACGTTCAACCAAACATTTTCCGAACGTTTGATGAATTCGACCAATTAGTTAAATTTCACATGAACCGTTTGTTAAAAAAACTTCATTTTGGTTAAATTTTTATAACTAAGCATTTGATAAAAAAATGAACAATTACTTATTTTTTTCGAAAAAAATTTTTGGTTAAAAAAATGAACATTTAAATTTCATTTTGAAGATTTTTGGTCAAAAGAGTAAACATTTAAAATTCGTTTCGAAAAATTTTTGGTCGAAAAAAAGTGACCATTTACTTTTCACTTTGAAAAAAATTTGGTCATTAAGACGAACATTTATTTACTAGTCAGAATATGATTGTTTAGAAAAATGACCATCTATTTTTTTCAGTCATTATTTGAAAAAAGTCACAAAATGAAAAAGAATGAAAGTGATCAATTTTGGTTGATCTTTCAAAAAAACGACATTCGTTTGAAATGTCAAAAAGAAAATTTTTCGTTTTTGAAAAATGTCATTTTTTTCAATTGGTCATTTTGAGAACTCTAGTAACAACCATAGGGGCCCATGAAGGTACCTCGCTATATTCAATAAATTAATTTCTGAGATCAATTAGACGACTTTTTCTGAGCGGCGATATTGCTTCTCCGTGTAGAGTATAACTGGGAAATGAAAACTACGTGGTATGAAAAAAAGACCAGCGAAATTTCAAACGGCGACTTTTCCGATTTTTTCATATCGCTAGGGAACTTCCCGACGACCCCCTTCCCGATGAAATTTTTTCCGACTTTTTTTCTCGATAAAATCTTCGTTTCAAAGCTTCCTATATAAAGTAGGTAGTTGGTTCATGATTAAAACACAAAGAAATAGGAAAAAAAATGTTTATAGATGTTTTATAAACCGAAAAATATAAGGGAAAAAAGTCGGAAAAAGATTCTTCGGAAAGGTGGCCGTCGGAAAGTTCCCTAGCGATACGAAAAAATTGGGAAAGTCGCCGTTTGAATTTTCGCTGCCTTTTTTTCATACCACCAAAAACTAACCTGAATAGGGAGAAGCTGCGAGATGGAGCTGCTCTTGTTGGCGTCCATCATCTTCTTCTGGAAGGTGACGGCCTGCTGAGTGAGGATACCCAGGTAGTCACTCGACTCCTTCGTTCTTTCGTTGTCGGCCCCGAACAGAGTGACGTAGGTCGAGTAGGTCTCCTTCTCGGCGACGAGTGCTGCTCGGAAATCGCCACGCGACGCGTGGACTCGCGCGATCATGTGTGTGATCAGAGCCGTCTGGAATTAATTCAACCTTTTCATCTTGATCTTTTCCAAATACCTTAAGCTTTTTCGGCTCTCCCACGGCCTTCGAGATGGAGTCGGCCGAGTTCAGAAATTTCAACGCGCTTTCATATTCTTGAATGGCAAACAGAATAACGCCGATGTTGGACTGAAGATAAAAATTATCGATGGAGAAAAAATAATCGAAAACAAACATCGATTTGGGCCATAATCGGGTGCTTCTCTCCATAGTTGATGAGAAGCAAATAACGGGCGCGGTACAACAAACGAAGCGAAGCATTTATGAGCAAATTAGCAAAGGCAAAGTGCGCCAGGTTGACCTAAACAATCGTTGAACAAATACATCGACTGCAGGATCGATCTCACATATTCCATGATCGTGTTTCCACTGTCCAAGCCGTTGACTCGTTCACTCATCATCGTAGCCTTGTGTTGGTGATTCAGCGCCTAAATAATTCTTTCTTCCCGATATACGAAGAAAATTTCCACAGGCAAAACATATAAGAAAGTTCTGGAAATAAAGCCGCCAATGAGCCTTCTCAGCTGAAAATGTAATAGTTTTGGCAGCCCCTAAACAAATGCGGCTCCAAATGTAGTGAAAATGAAACAGGACCCAATTATCGAAAATTATTTGGAATGAACAGGATGTAAAATATGAAACGAATTGAAAAAGGTACGTACATCCGTCGAATCGTGAAGAACATGAGAAAGACGAGCAAGACAACGAAGAGCCTGGGCGAGTTCCGCGTGCATGGCGCCATAGACGGAAGTCATGAGGTTGACCTTCAAAAGAGGAACTGACGTCACTCGGACGGAAACTCACAGATTCGGCGATGCAGTCGAAGGCTTCGCGAGCCTGCCCCAGCTGCATTGCCTGCTGCCCGCGGCCGTAAAGCTTTTTGGCGTCCATAGTCCAAGGCTGGAAGGAAACTCACTTCAGCGACTTGGAAAATTACGACTTTAAGTGACTCGAGTCAGTGACTGACACAGCAAACGATGCCTTGTTCAAATTGATCTCTGTCATTACAAAATTGGCGTCGTTTCTGTTCAAAAATGATTTCGCAAAATACGCGAAATTCGAATTTTGGGAACCGTGAAAAAAAAAATGGATCTTACATCAAGAAGTTTTGAAATTATTATTTTAAACAAAAATTTTATAAGTCTCCTAAACCTAATCTGAAAACATTCTTGAATGTTGATTGGTGCAAGCTGTAGAAAAATCGAAAATCTCACATTCTGATGCTTGATGACCGGATAAAGGTTGTTGATATCGTCTTCGCCGAAAATAGACTTAGTCTTGTTAGGCGAGTCCAATTGATAGTCCTAAAATCAGAGATGTTTCAGTAAATTATCCTGATTCATACTTTGGCAGCCAACTGAATTCCGAGGCTTCTGCAAACGCGACGAAGCAAGGAAATTTTCTGGATGCCATGAGATTCGATTAATGCATCAAGAGAAGAAGCCTTAAAAAAAAAGAGAAAACAGTGAAGAGATAAAAATATAAACGAAACCTTGAGATCGTATCCAAAGTAGGATTTGCATTCATCGACAATCGATTTCCAAATGGAAGCACTGGTGACTGTGGTCCACCCACCACTCGCCGCACGCTTTTTTCCGCTCGCCTTTTTGTTGTTCTGAGTAGTAGAATTCTTCGAGCAATGAATGCAAAGATAAACCTTTTTGTTGGTCTTCTCAGTGAGATTCGGCATCGGAACGTTTTCGCCGACACCGCTGCCGAAAACTGCACTCAACAAGTGCGACACACAGGAGCTATATTGTTCCTGAAACTGACTATTCATTGAACATGAATTTTCCGATTTAATTCAAGCAAGAAACCACAATACTGTTCAAAAACTACCTCATGATCTGATAAATAAATCCGAGTTTCAGGTCGTATTTCGAAGCAAAATAATTACAAAACTTCAGAATAAAATGAACTGATTGCGATTGAGCTGTGAAATAAATCTCACAACTGATAAGGAGAATGATTGAAGATTCATAATGTAGACAGCTAGAAATAAACTTCTTTCATGACAAAAATTTTTTATTCATTTTCAGAAAACTCTCAAAACTCACCGCGGTCACAGAGTTTAAAAATGGACGAATAATGTGCTTGGCACTGCGACAGACGAGTTCAGAAAACACTAGAGTACGGATGAAAGAGCTTGACGGATCAACCTGAACAAGAAAACTAGAGAAAAAAAACGTAGTCCTCTTTGCTTGAAATTATCATTCTATTTTTGATTTCAGATGTTTCCTACCTTCTTGAAAAAAAAGACGCGCATGAAAATAGAGTGTTTGATAAAACTGAAGCCGAAATAAACTATTCTTCGTGATTATTTGCAAGTTTAGCAAATATGAAGACAATTCTTAAAATAGAGAGCCGAAATAGAGATAGAAATAGAAAACCACACTTTCGATACCTCATCTAAACAGTACTTGAACGAGAAAATACATGAAAAAAATGAATGAGAGAAATCAATTTTCAAACTTGTTTGGCAAATTCCCCGAGGTATCTGATGTTGATTCCTCGCATGTGCAACTGCTCCGAGAGTCCTTCCCCGTCTATCGGCGTGATAACGCACTCGAGGCATTGCTGCACAAGTTCGGGGATTTGCGAAGTGAGGATGAAATCGCAAATCTATTGAATGAACTGAGAAAGAGTTCTACAATTCAGAGAAAAACCTCGATGACCAGATTTCTTTGCCTTTCCAAAGACTGTCCTGGAGCGTGACGAACGAGTGTAGAGAAACAGTCAGGATTGAAGCGAATGTCCAGAGAATCATCACGAAGAGATCCTGCACTGACGGCCGCCTTCAATTTGAACGAAAGTTATAACTCAATCATAAAATGAATGATACCTTTGCGAGTGCCGCAACAATGACAGAATTTTCCGTGTTGGGTTCTCTTCCTTCCGTGATGTCGACCAGAACACGACCCAAGTCGTTCTCCGCTTCGGCTAAAACATCAAATCATTTCAGAAACGCTCACTAAAATGTCCATATGCCATTTAAATATAAAAAAAAATTAGTCTTTGCAAACGTTTCTATTGGTGTTAGCTTTGCCGTTGAAACTCACCGAGAACAGCTTCGTCTTCAGTTTTCTCATCCTTGGCGTTGCGAACGTGCTGAGCAGCGACCTTGATGAACTGCAGACACCTGTTCTCGTGGAACAAGTCGACAAGTTCTCGTCGAACTGCGGGCAGCTTGTGCGGCAGTTTTCTGGGATATCCTGCCTTCTTAGCAGCTTCACCGACCTATGAACATCAGAAGTACCTTTCGATAAACTTGAAACTTTCACGCTCGAGATCAAAATAACCTCAATAGTTCATGAAAGCGACTGAAGAACTGAAACGAACGAACTAAACAACGTACTGGAGGTTTATGATTGATAATTTTTCGCCTATAACCTAATTTGCTCAATAAGTTCTTTTCAGTTTACTTACGTTTCTCTGAAGCTCTCAGAGCTTTTGTTGGACCATCAGCTTAACTATCAAATTTTTTCGTTGATGCAAGTTAAAACTATCATGTTTGTTTTTTAAAAAAAATACCTCGGCATTTTCCAGAAAATGAACGTCAGGAGGCATGGTACGAAGAAGATCCAAAACATAAGTTCTTCCATCATTTCCAATGATACCCTAAACATTTCCATGGGATTTTCTGACTGCAATCGTAAAGTACCTTCGTCTCGTAGCTCGTGAAGAGCTTCAAAGTTTTCTCATTGCCTTCGGCGCCAGAAATAACTTCGTGAGGCATCATTCTCAGTTCTCGCGCAGCGGCTTCCAGAAGCCCGTGGTAGCGTTCGTCGGATACGACGCTCTTTCCAAAGTCAATCGAGCCATACACGACCGACTGTTCCTGAAAAATATCATCTTAAAGTAAGTTTGTCAGTTTGAGCAATGGCTTGAACCAAACTTTGAGACTTTTCAAATTCAACGATAAAATAAGTTCCCGAAAATTATTTGTTCAAACCGAGCTATAAATATTTGGGAGGAACGTGCACCTGTTCTCGTTCCAAGATCCCGGGAATAATGCTTTGAGCGGTGACTCGATACCCTCGGTAGTCGAAAATAGCCATTCCAAGAGTGCAAAGTTTGGAATTTTCCAGTGTTGAAAAGGCTTTCACGCCTTGGAGATCAGCCGCTGTCGCAGCAAAAGCGGCAGCATCCCCTCCGAGTTCCTGATCAAAAATGGATGACTGGGAAGCTCAAGAAGTTGGTACTTTGTAGTGATCCTTGACGTCGAAACCCAAGCTGAAGAAGATATTCTGCCAAATGAACATGTGAGTTTTGCGGTCATCGGCTGGATTGATAGCGATGACGTTTCCATCGATCACTGCAGTTGCTCCCTGAAGAGATCTCAAGTCATTAAATAATTTAAAAAGGTAACCGAGAACTAAGAAAATTCAGGAGTTCATTTTCAAAAATTCTAAAACTTCAGAAACTTGAAAAGTCTACTTTCCAATAAAAAGAGTTTTTAGAGCTTAAAAAAAACTTTTTTTCGAAATAAAAAATTGATAAAAAAACAACAAGTAGAGCTTGAGCACATACTCGAACAGCCGCATTGATGAAATCACTGTGGATTTTGAAGTAGCTTCGATCTCTGATGATACGTTCCATAATAGAACCACGCGACATCTCAAAAGTCGTTTGCAGCTCTTCGTTCCAGTCGCGAATGGACCCAGGCAAATGGTCTGAAAACCCAATTTATTCTTAAATCAGAAAAAAAAAACAACCCACCTTCGTATCCTACTCGGAAAGGCTGTGAGAGCTCATCGGACCGCGTCGAGTCTTCAGAGTACAGTTCGGAGCCTTGGAGAGCCGGCGAAACCCAAGAGAAAACTGGGTAGGTCGAAGGAAGTCTTTCTAGCAGAGATCGTTCCGACTTTCGTTTGAGAATCAACGGATACACCTGGAAAGACCATAATATTGAATAAATCAAACTATCCTCACCTTCTTGAATGTGGGGCTCACAGCGTTCAAAAGCTCGACAAGGCTGTGATAAACTGTTCTGTACTGACCAGAAGGAAGAGGATTGAACACATCGTCTGTAGATGCATTCACGTAGAATCCCTGAATATTTCGCATGGAAAAATTCTCATCTTGTCGAAATCTACCTTGGTACAACACGTGACATGGACAAGTCTCTTCTCGCATAACTCGACGTTTATGTAGAGAATATCGCCCTTCAACTTTCTTGGACCTGGTGGAGGATTGTATGCAGATACTGAGATGTTTCTCAAGGCAAGCAGGTTTTTCGGAGGAGGAGATGGCAACAAGTATGCCAAAGAACGCTCCTGAAACTGAGTTGAAGGAAAAACTTCAAATTTTAAAACCTTGGTCCCAGGGAGGACAAAATCAGGTGGAACGCAATCGAAGCTCTTCCCGTCCTTGCCATCTTTTTTGTCTTGCATGTTTATATTCTGCAGGAAAGTGAAGGAGGAGCAATCAACTGCTGACGCAACATCCATGGGATCAATGCCCATTCCGCTTCTCAACAATTCACGAACATGTTTCAAATGGATTCTTGCTTCGCGCACAGAAAAAGGCTCTGCAACAAAAATAAATAAATTTCGAATCATATTTTTATCCTACCATCAATGACAATTATGGTACTGCCGTCAACAAGGTCCGGAACATTTTTAAGTTCAATAAAGCTATCGAGATGTTGTCCATTGAAATGAAGAGAAAAACAAGTTCTATGACATGTGGAGTCACGATCAAGAAGCGTTTGATATAATTCTTGTACCATCTCATTGTCGTTCACCTATAATTTTTAATTGTCATTTATTTTTTTATTTCCATCCAAACCTGCAGCTCAAAAGGTTCACCTACTGATGGCTGAATGTTGAGCTTGAGTGTTTTGTCACCGAGAGGAACGGCACCATTTGCCAGCTCACCGCCTAAAAAAGGGTCGTCTTATTATTTTTTTTTTTTTTCATTTATAGACTACCTTGATCTTGATCTAGTTTAGGTACGTCTGGACTATTGGCAGTAGAATGATTCCCCGAATCGAGTTCTTCACTGTCTTTGTTTTTATGCTCTCCGTTTGGAAATGAAGAAATATCATCTCCTTTAACGTCAGCCGCTGCACCCGAAGTCATCTGTAACTTCAGCGCTTGAGTAACTTTATCGAAGCAATGATCTCGAGTGTATTTTGTCTTTAAACTGAAGAGCACTAAAAAGTGAGTTGAAATAATGAAAAAAAAATGAAAATGATGCAAAAAAAAAAGAAAATGTTTGGATAATTAGAAATTAGTGACGGGTATTTTCGGCAATAGAACAATTAAAATCTTCCGTTTCACCATCCTCTTGTATAATAGAAATAAACAGGAAGCAGATTCGGAAGTAAAAACAGAAAAGTGAAAACTTGATCTTCAGAAAGAGGATAGCTACGGCTTGGCACCAGGAAAGCGCTAATAAATCCTTGTTGACTCAAGATTCGTGCATTGTATTGACATGGACGCTGTCTCATTTCGTCTCGATTTCTCTTCATTTTGAGCGTTTCATGTTTCATATAATTGACTCGCTTCTTTTGCGAATGCCTGGATTTTGCCCTGTGCTCATACTGTTAATTGCTTCTCATAATTCGAAGCCGTGGTGCAAAAAACGTTTCACGGGTCTCGACACGAAATTATTTACAGTAGTACAATAGATGTGCAGGCAAGAGTTATATTTTTTAACAGTTTGTCACCGAACTGAGCTTCAGATCACAGACAGAGGAAGATTGAAGACAACGAAAAATCTTCCTTCCGATGGATGGTGGGTGTACAAAGGTCGAAGAACAACTAAGTTCAATGTCAGCGCCACAAGGTATAAAATTTCAAAAAGAAGAAAAAAAAGATACGTGAATCAAGATGATGCTGGTACGTCTCTGCAGCCCAGAAAACGACAGATGCAAGGTTTCTTCATAAGCTTAATATTGTTGTGAAAAATTGTAGTTACAGAACCTGCAGTTGTGGTGACCAAGCTTCCGAAACTTGAAGTTGGAAAAGAAGAATCTACATCTTCTAGTATTTCTCATCGACAAGGTTTATATAACCTCTAATATAATTCAGATAATACCGTTTCTTCGCGCAAGATTTTTACGGTGAAAAAAACAATGGGGAAGGATGGTCAATTTCATTTCCTTCGCGTGGCTACTGCTCCACCGAAAGTTGTTGTAAAGGTTTTTTTTTAAATCTTCGCAAATACTTATTTTACGGTCACAATCTCAGATCTAACGAACTGAACATTCGATTAAACACTATATAATTTCGTGTTCAAATCCCGAATTTCAAAATAAGCGTCAGAGAGTAAAAAGAACAATCAAATTTGGAGAATAACAAAATAATATGTATTTCGCGTAATTTCTTCGAACAAGACTTGTTCAGGACGTATACGAAAAGGTGGAAAATGACTTTCCGCCTTTTTTTTTGAAAATACAAAAGACTTGAAATTCGCTATTAGTTCATGAATTCCGACTTCTCGGTGACTAGACTTTAAAGGAGGATTCAGATTGGGAAAAACATATTTTAATTTTAATAAGACTACTACAAGTTAATTTCGTGTTAAAGAAACATAGCGGAGAATCATTTTGCACTATATTGCATACGGCCTCTGGATTTCAGAAATGAAAATTTAAAGGCGCATTTTATAGGGCTTTGAAGACACTTTTTGTGTGCTTTATATGCGCAGAAGTTTTACATGAACTAAAAATACACACAAAAAAAACGGTTTTTAAACTGTATCTAGCGCAACCTTTTGTTTTGTATATTTAATGAAAACTTATGCATCTATGCGCTCCCTGGAACTTTTATGATAAGAATGGTTTCATCGTGGAATAAATTGCAGTTTTTTCTTATATTTTTTTACGAGAAATTTAAAATAGGACGAGTTTAAACTATTCAATTAAAAGTGTTTAATGTTTACCTGTGTATGAGTATGCTCCGCAATTGAGACAATTTTTCCAGAACAAAGGAGTGCGCTATTGAATATTATGGAAAACTTTCGCGTGCTTTTCTTTAAATTTTGAATTTTAAGCAACTTTCTTCATGTGTCATCGTTAGTTTATCATATAAATTTATGGATCGTGTTTCTGTTTAAAATATCACATGGTCCGCCTTCAAACTAGGAGTCGACAATTTTCTAGCAGTCCAATCATTTCAGAGAGCTTTTCCCGTTGCAAGTCCTTCCACTTCTGATGGGATTAAGTCAGCAGAAATTTCAGAATGTAAATGCGATATTCATTACTTCTGAATTTTTTTTTCGAATTCAGATAAAAGTCCCTCGAAAATGCCTGCTCTTGCTATGGCGACTGTAACTTCAGAAAGTAAACGATAAGTGTTCTGAAAGAATAAAAGATTGCCAATTTCAGAGCCACTGGATCTGGAAGCTTTGTTGAATGGCTCAAGTTCAATATCAAATCCTCCAATATCTACTTTTTCTGATCCGGTAAACCATTAACGTTTAGTCTTTTCATGTAAAATTTTCGCAGACAGTTTTCAACGAGTCAGAATTATTCCCACGGGAAACTAAAGATGATGAGTAAGCATTTTATAGAGTTTTGTTCACGATTGTATGTTTAGAGAAAGAGATGCGACGGCAGAAGGTGAAAAGAAATGCCTCTGTGATTCAGCGGCCAACCGTATGACCATGTAAGTGAAAAGTTCCAAGCCCATCGCATAATCGATTTACTTCTTCTTTCAAATAAATTGAAATATTCGTTTCGTATTGAAAGATCAGCCAATTAAGGAGCCAGGAAAAAGATAATAGCTTCGCAATCACAAAAATGAGTTTTTTGAGTTTGAAAAGCAAGTCAGAAAGTGCTTATTTTTCAAGTTTTCACTTAGGCTTCTGGCGAGGATGGATGCGAGATTGAATTGCATGGCGAATTCTCTGGATCGACTTCTTCAATTCGAAGCCAACAAAGCCAAATCAACTCCATTGCAACAAACTTTGGCTAATCAAAACAGTGATCAGGGACCTTCATATAAAAAACCCCTAGTTCGTGTTTCTTCTTCAGTTATTTACGTAACGCCTATCCATCATAATTTTTCAATTCAATTCAACCATTTTATTTTTCGCAACATCGGGATGGTATGGTGATGTTGCAGGGAGGGAAAAAGACCACTAGGTGGATTAACTAACCCCACCTGTGAAGAAAAAGAAATTTTTTGTGTGAGAAAAGAAACATAGAACCATAATAAGTAGATATTTAAAACCAAGTTAATTATGGCCAAATCTTTGGGTCTAAATAGAAAATATCATCTTCTTTCAGTAACTTTTTTTTTGTTGCAGTACCCTGTAAGATCTCCGGTCATCGCCATGCCAATCGTACGCCCTTATAGGTAATAGTTTTTATTTATTTTTTGTTCTATTTCAGTCATTTTCAGCGATAGTATTGTCTTGCCGAATGTAAAAAAGTCCACTGAACGTGGGAAAATCATTCGCATAGGATTCGCACCAGATTCAGCGCCTGTTTTGAAGTCAAAAGCAACAGTTGCCCCGAAATCCTCGCCATCATTCAAAAAACAGGTCTCGCCGCAAAAACAGTCGGCCTTGGTAGAGAAACTGTTCAGTTCGAAGGTAATGAAAAAATTTCTTGAGAGGAACGAGCCTTTTCTCAGCCTACAACGCCGTTGCTCGAAGGATGGTCCTTGCGAAAGTCGATAGCCAAAATGATCTTGCGTTATCCGGGAAGCGAATTTACCTGGAAACAGTTTTTGGACTACGCGCCCAGCTCGATCACCAGTTGTGAGCCAGACATGGTGAATCCAACTCTTTTTTTAAAAATCTATCTCAACCGTTTTCTAGTTGAAAGATGCTCTGAGGAGTCTGGTGAACGACAACCTTCTTTTTCAAGAGGACGATGATGAAGAAATGCTCGGAGAGGAAACTCTTTGGCAGAAGGAACAGGCTAGTTTATTTTCCTTTCTTTCGTGAATGCAACACTTAATTTGCAGAACAAAGCAAACCTGAAAGCTCTCCGGAAATATGACATGAAGCTGGAAGACTACATCAACAGTTTGTCTTACACTTATGAGGACACAACGGAAGAAAGTGGGGACAACGAAGTTGAGATGAAGCAAGAACCAGAAGAAGATATTTAATACACATTATTTTTTTCTATGTCATTTTTCATTTTTAAATTTTATTATTGATCTCTTTTTGTATTAAACCGTTTGTTTTTTCGCGCATAAATTTCTTTATATATCTCGTTTTCTGGACTTCTCATAGAATATATCAATTTATAGTAGCAAGCTATAAAATATCTTTTCGGTTTGGAATCGAGCCAAAAGTTGTTGGAATCTATACGGCGGTGGCTTTCCAGAAGATGTTACCGGGTTTCGGCTATTCTGTATTAAATGCAAACATCCTACAACAGCAAATTCTTATGCAAAGAGGTAAATTGCAAAGCTCTACATTCTTTTGTTTTTCAATTATTGACTTTTCGAAATGAGAAAATTCCTACCAATACTTCCAGTGGAACAGTCGGCGAATCAAGGCACAAAAAAATTATAAATTCAATTGAAAAATATGAGAAAAAGAATAATATGAAGTCCAAGACTGTTTTTTTGCAAAAATCAGCAAATTAAATCTCAACTATACTTTAGCATACAATCTTCTTTTTTTCACCGATAATTTGAAGCAAAAAACTTCGAAGGCGTCTAAATCTCTTCATTTTATACTCATTTTCACTAATTGAGACCTGCATTATATAATTTTTCGATGAAAGGAATATGGTTTGATTTCTGCCTCGTGACAAAAAAAATTATGTAAACATCGCTAGATGATAGCAAAAAATGGTGAGACCGCCTAAAAAGTTTTATTGTCCCAACCGTTGTAATTTTGGCTCCGAACTGCGGCTCCGCACTTCTTTTTCGGTTGTTTTCTTCAGAAATTTCGAAGCTGAAAGTTATGAGCGACCACTAAATCCAAAAGAAAGATGAATATAAGGTTTTCACCTCTTTCATCCTCAAAACATGTTTTTGAAATCATGTAGGTTTTTCATAGTGTTTTACACGATTTGTAGCGATCGCGTCCGCCGCGAGCCCCATGCCCATTCTGAATGTCCCTTTGCCTACCGGACCGGCAAGGCCTGCGCCGATGTTGGTTCCTCCTGGAATGGCGGTCGAAGACGCGACATCGAGCAGTCCGCAAATCCCTCAGTCATCATCTGTTGAGAAGATCAATGGAAAAAGTTTGATTGTGGTATTCAGACATCCGACTGGACTGAGCACAAGCACACTGATGGCCGAGTTTACTACCACAACCGCGTTACAAAAGAGTCTTCTTGGACCAAGCCTGAAGACTTGAAAACACCTCAAGAGGTCTGTACTCAATTCACTGCTGGTTTGGGACGAAAAAGAAAAGCCAATTTATAGTTCAGCTTGACTTTCATATATTTCGTGCTTCTTTGAAATTTCAATGATTCTGTGGAATTTTGATTAATATTTTTGAATATTGTATAAAAAACAAGTTTGAATCAACCCCATTTTAGAGTTCATATTCTACGAATAAGAAAAGAGCGAAAGTTAATCCTCTTTCCGTACCAGTTTAAATACAAAATTTGAATTTCAGAAGGCACAACCAAAGCCGTCGACGGGTTCTCAAGTTTGGCGAGAGTACAAAACGGCCGAAGGTCGAATTTACTACTATAATGTCCAGACAAAAGAGACAACCTGGACTAAACCAGAAGCATTAGGTAATTTCAACTATACTAAGTTTCATATATGTTTTCTCAGCAACCAGTGAAAAGGAAGCGCCAGCTGCTCCAGTTGCCGCTGCTGCTGTCGAACCTCCCAGAGACTTTAGAACGGTTTTGAAATAATCATGGGATTCCCAAAATTGTTGTTGTTTCAAAACAGGAATCTGAAATGGATAAAGCTATGAAAGCGACTTTAGCTGCAATTCCTGGCGTTGAAGAGAAAAAGCCAGTCATTCCAGTAAGATTCTCTGAAAAACCCCTTCATCCAATGTTTTTTTTTTCTTAGGAACCTTTGACAAATGATGAACAAGATTTGAAAAAGCGACAAGCTGAACGCTTCAGAGAACTTCTTCGCGACAAGTACAACGATGGTTTGTGATTTCGTTTAGTGACAGGTTTGAATTAAATTTTCTTAAGGAAAAATCACAGCCGTATGCAGTTGGGAACAGGCTGTCAAGTTCATTCAAAACGATCCTCGCTTCAGAATTCTGACGAAGGTAGTGAAATTATCTCAAATTTATATTTCTGAAGCCATACTGGATTTTTAGGTTTCTGAAAAGAAGCAGCTTTTCAATGCCTGGAAAGTTCAAAGGCAAAAAAAGAAGAGGGTAAGGAAAAACTTTATACGATTTGAAAAATGCAACAAAAAAATTGTAACAGAAAAAAAAACAGTTTTTACAATTTCTAGTCTAACGGATAAAATATTACTGAAGTTGAATGCCCGCATCCTTCAAACGAGTCTCAGTCTTTGAAAAAAGTTCCTCTTCACTTGTTTCACCAGCTTCTTCCTGCTTCACGGTGTTGTACTCTTTTATGAACATCTTGAATTTTATTCCTTTATTTTCACACTTGAAATTCATTCTTACCTGCGAAACACTTTCTTTCAGACTTTCAACGCTGATAGTCGCACGTGTTTTGTAGTTTTTATAAAACTTCCTGAAAAAAGAAACATTCAAATTTTCAAACGCTGCAAAATGTTACGCTCTGATGATGTCCTCATCATAAAATATACTTCTCACGGGCTCATCACTCTTTGGAAGTTTGACATTCCAATCAGGAGGCGTAATAGGCGGAGAAGCGGCATAAACATCATACCTAGATCACTTATTGTAATAGATAAAGTTTACATCGAAATAAAAAAATGTACCAGAGTGGTCGTTCGTTCCACTTGAGTTGACCTGCACGTATGAGGCCAGTAACGCGAAAGAAAATATTGCCGGAGCGTTCAGTACGAGTAATAAAAGAAGACATTTTATAAAAAAAAAAGTTTCGGTGTAAATTTTTTTATCAGAGAAGTGGTTCTGCAAGTGGTGCGCGGCTTATTCGCCGTGGAGCACACATGCTAGCTCTCTGCATTTTCAAGAATTCAACTTGGCTATAGATAAATATAGGTATAATGAGATGCTACGGCGTTTTCGAAGAGTTTTCAAAGCAGGAACATTCGAGAATTGAAAAAAAAGAAGATGAATCAGTTTCAGGACTTCATAGTTTTCACAGAAGTAAATTTTCAAAGAGATTGCAATCATTTTTCAGGACGAAAAACGACTGGCCATCAAGAAAGCAAAGGAGAGCTTGGAAAAATGGCTTCAAGAGCATCCAAAAATGAAAGAGACGCTAAAATATTCAAAAGTTGGTTCTTTGAAGTCATGAATCGACTATGAATAATTTAAGGCGTGTGATTTGTTTGCCAAAGAACCCTTATGGCAAGCTGTCCAAGACGAAGACAGGCAGGAAATTTTCAAAGATGCAATGGTTATTGACTGTTTCAACTATAAATATACCAATAACTTTGTTTTTCTAGGAGTTTGTGACTTATCGAGACAAAGATCGAAAAAGAGAGGTTAGGAAGAGGAATATCGCGGCGCTGGCTGAGATTCTGCAAGCGATGGAGCACATATCGTATAAAACGACATGGGCCCAAGCACAACGGTTACTCATCGAAAACCCTCAGTTTGCCGACGACAAAACATTACAAAGTAAATAAAACGTTTCATTTTTCCCCTAATTATTTTCTAAAAATCATCAGGTATGGACAAAGAAGATGCGCTGATCGTTTTCGAAGAGCACATAAAAACCGCTGAAAAAGAGTACGACAACGAAAAACAAATGGAGGTTGCTGAAAGATAGGAAAAGTTTCTATGATATGATTGAAGGAACGTCGCATAAAAAGACAAGAGCGAAAAGTGCGAGAAGCGTTTCAGCAACTACTGCAAGAGCTTCACAAGAAAGGTCCGCTTTGCTCTTAAATTCGCTCAAAAAAGTAATATTTTTCAGGAGAGCTGACATCGATGAGCCTTTGGACTTCTCTGTACCCAATTATTTCCACTGATTCTCGTTTCGACCACATGTTGCATCAGAACGGTTTGATATTCGATTTCGTGCCTTTTTTTTTTAGCGACATTCCCCAAATTTCAGGCTCAACTCCTCTTGATTTGTTCAAGTTTTATGTTGAAGAGCTGAAAGCCCAGTACGGCGAGGACAGGCGCAAAATCAAAGATATTTTGCAACATTCGGGACACGTTGTCAAGGTTTTTCGTTCGTCTTTCCCTTTCAGACGTTCTTTTCCCTAGGCCGACACACCTTACGATGATTTCGCCGATTGGATAAGCAGCGATGAAAAAGGATGTTTGATCGACCACGGCAATATGAAGCTGTACTACCATTCATTGATTGAGAAGGTATTTTTGTTTTTTATTCATTTATAATCTTCAGTTTTAGGCCGAAATCAAAGAAAAAAAGACGCGGAGAAAGAGGAAGTTCGGAAAAAGAGAAGAATCGAGAGCGAGTTCCGCAGCATGTTGCGGGCCCAGAACGTTGACGTCAACAGCGAGTGGTCCGTCGTCAAGTCCAAAATCGAGAAAGAAAAGGCTTATCTTTTCGTAAGTATTTTGTTAATTATATTTTTGGGAATGAGATTGTGAGATTTTCTAATTTGTTTCTGCGCAATGTTTTTCGTGTTATTCACTCTTTATCTAATTGTTTTCAAGCAGATGCTGATTCGAAAAACTAACTTCTTGGAGCTACCATTTTTGAAACTTCTTTTCCCATCACAGAAAACTGTAATACTCGTAACTATCCACTTGACTTTGTTTTAGAATATAGTTTTCTTTCGAATCAATTAGGAAGATCCTTAAAATCAAAAAAAAAAAAAAAACATTTTTAGTTAGAAAACGACGAAACGCGTGAGAGATGCTTTGAAGACTACAAGATCTCTCTCAGCGAAAGCTGCGGTCATCATCATTCATCGAAAAAGAAGAAGAAAGACAAAAAGAAGAAGTCCAAGCGAAGCGATGTTTTTCGTTAATTTATTTTCTTCTTTCATTTGAAACGTCTTCAGAGAGAGTCGGAATCGGAGGGGGAAATCAGAGAAAAGAGGAAGAAAAAGAAGCATTCCAAGGACAGAAGCGATGACGAAGGTACTTCTAGGCTCTGCTTCAAAACTTCCACCTCTTATTTGTGTTTCAGAAAGAGTCTCTAAGAAGAAAAAGTCTCGAAAGCGCTCTCGTAGTCCGTCTAGCGCTCGGAGTAGGAGTCCTGAAGAGAAGCGAAGAAAAGTTTGAAATTTTCTGCATTTCAACTCAAATTTCTCTTTCAGGTTGATTCTGACTCTGAATGATCTCTCTCTCTCTCTCTTTTTGTACAGCTGGGTGTACAGTTTAATTTTTTAATAATACTTTTACCTGAAACTTTTTTTGTACGTATTTATTTTACGCTTACCGATTTGAATAAAATTATGCATTTTTTGAATTTTCCTTCACTTCGTGCGATGTGCTAATAATACACTCAGTATTTTAACTCGAATTTATATCATACTTCATACTTATTGGAATAAATCAGATGTCGAAGAACGCTAAGCAGAACTTAGCTGATTCTAAAAAGGTTTGAAAAAAAAGAAGTTGGAAGATTGGAAAGTTTGAATTCAGATGAGTGCCGAGCTCTTCTGCCTCACGTACGGCTCGCTTGTGACGGAGTTGTTGAGAGACTACGAGGACCCCAAAGAAGTGACCATGCAACTGGACAAGGCACGATTGTCCTAGAGAGCGAAAAACGGTTATTTTTGACAGATGGGTTTCAACATGGGAACTCGACTCGCCGACGACTTTTTAGCCAAAAATTCAAACGTTCCGCGTTGCACCGACTGCCGACAAATCGCAGAAGTTCTCTGCAAAAACGCCATTCCGTGTTACCTTGGTGGGCCTTGTTTCTCAGACCAAATTTAAAAGGATCGTTTAAATCATGGGATCGTGGAAAATTTGAACAGCTTCAAGTTTTTTTTTGTCTAGTTTTCAACTTTCGGTCTAAATATACTGATTGAGTTATTGCAAATTTTTTCGTCAGCTTCGCGACCTTCTTCTAACTAAATCTTTATTTATTGTCATAGTTTCCTTTAATTTTTCAAAATGTTTGTTTTCAGGAACAAAATGTCTATGTGATGCTGAGGTTTAAATCAGTGTAAATGAACACAATTTTTAGGAGTGAGAACTAGAAATTCATCTGAATGTATTAATTTTTTTTTTTTGAAGTTCACTTGATACCGAACAGTATTGGTTGAGCTCAATTCAACGAGAAAAAAAAACACAAAAATCGAAGGTTTCAGGAACGACAGCGAACTCGTCAAACTGGGTGGGCGGCGACCGCGAGTTCACAATTGTCATCGAAAACAATCCGCTGAACGAACTCGTCCAAGTGCCGCCCAACCTCCTGGCCGCGGGTCTTTCCTATTCTCAGGTCATTGCCGGCGCCATTCGTGGTGCTCTTGAAGCAGTTCATTTCAAGGTTTTTTTTTTGACTTCAGGACAACACGAACTTTTGAGGTGTACGCAACTGCCATGGAAAACGGCGCCAACACGGAAATTCGAATTAGGTTCGACTCTGTCCTGAAAGACAACCTACCTGCCGGGGAAGACGATTGAGTCACTCATTTATAATTATATCTTTCCTTTTCTTTCATATTGCATATTTCAAAGTTGAGTTCCACTAAATGGGTACAAAATTGATAATTTATTTGATCTTAAGCTTTTTGAAACGGACCAGGTCGACATCGACGTCCACAGATTTCTTTTTGTGAAACTTGTAGGTCTGCGGTAGATTCCATCTGAGCTCAGCTATGCAGTCTACCTAGAGTGTTAGAAAAATTATCAATGGAGCGACTTTCATAGGAACCTCCACGTTTTCCATGTTTTTAGCTGCCTTAAGAATGAAATTTCTTGTGGACGTCTTGTGTAGGGAGTAAACGCTTCCGCCCGGTTTCAGTATTGATAAGCCAGCATTGACAAATTTCATGTCCATTCCTGTGATAGAACCTGTTCAATCGAATAAACACTTTCCGATTAGCTACCTGCGTTGTTCTTAGTGCCGAAGGGGGGATTCATGACAACAACGTCAAATATTGGCCCGAACGCTTTTCCCGCCGCCAACGCGTCTAACTGTACCACTTCGCAACTGGAAAAGACAACAGTCACAATTTTTGGAGGATTTGGAGTTGCTCACACGTCTTGCACCTCTGCATGTTCTAGATTCTCGCAGCAGGTGGCGATGGCGTCGTCGTCGATTTCGACGCCAAGGACGTAGGAAGGCGAGAAGGCGAAAGCCGCCGTCGTCATCAACATGCCGCAGCCACAGCCGAGGTCCGCGACCGTGGCGCCGTCCAGGGGAGTCAGCTCGTCGATCGCGTCCATCATCGCCACTGAATCCAGGATTCAGATGATAAATTGAATCATTGATAACACAATTTGTGTGTCGAAAGTCCATACCTCACAAATTCCCTGGATTCAAGCATTTACTTTTAACTTTCGATCAAAATTAAAATAGATTCGAACTTGCTTGGTCAAAGTTCTTTTAAAAATTAAACCTGACAACTCTTCCTTTTGTATTTTTCGTCCCTATCTAACTAGACGTTTCGATTAACTTCTTAATTTACTAGGAGTGCTTTTTTTTTATTTCAGTCGAACAATTGCTGTTTAGAAAGTCTTACAAGACAGTTCGGGAGACGTCGCATACTGTTCTAGACTAATTTTTGGGTCTTCGAATCCGCTGAGCTCCTCCAAAAGCCATTTCAATTTCTTTTGCGCCATTCCTGGAAAATTCCTTTTCTCTCCCTTTTTTTTTCATCTTGAAATTAATTAAGGCTTAACCTTTTTCGAAAACCTACAAAACAGACCGATAAAATTTGAAACCAGGTTTATTACGCGTGATATTAAAGTATATGTTTGAAAAGAAATGATAATTGAAATAAAGTAAAGTAGAAGTGAAATCGAAGATTAGGGGCTCACCCACCAGCATAGAGTTATAAGCGACGTAAGAAAAGCTCAAAATGATGAAATGTGAAGAAATAGAACAAGTCGTTATGGAACAAAAGGAGATCAACTCGAGCTTGGAATTGTCAGCTACATACAATAAAAGCTATTCACAAAGACGATTACCCTTGGATCATGTGAAGCAGCAAAAACTAGAAAAATTGCGAGTAATTATACAAAAAAAAGAAGCCGTGAAAATTCAGCCGCTCTTCATGACTTTAGAAAAAATTGTGAAAGTGGTTTTTCAAAAAAAAAAAATTTCTTTTATCGCAGTCATGGATGTTTTTTTTCGTCGAAATTAAAAAGCAAAATTTTGGATAAAAAATACCATCAAAAATTTGAATGCCATATTTCACTTATTGAAATGTTTTCGTGATCTCGATCAATAATGGCGACTGAAAAGAAAAGTGCGATTTTCCGACTAAATATTGAAATACCAGCGAGGACGTATAAATATGTATAGGATTATCAGCGAGTGTAATGAATCGGGCCTTTGAGTGTCTCGAAATTGGCCGCCGACTCGAGCAGGTACTGTACAATTTGGCTCTGCATGATCATGCTGAACGCGAGGTGCGAATTGGACTGCACCGGCGTCGCCGATTTCGCTTCCTCCTGAGTTTATAATGAGTTGACTGAGTGAATCACTCAAGAGATCCCTACTTTCTTTCCGTCGCGCTTGTTTTTCACCGGTTTCTTCTGGCGAACTTCTCGCTCTCCGGACTGGAAAAGCGTCGGACCGAACATGATGGCCAGGTTATGTTGCTGCATGCGATTTTGCGCAGCATACGAGGAAACTCTGAAAACTTATTTGCGAAAAAAATATGGAAGAATAGCAATGGAAGAAAGTATAAATTGTTTCTTCAAAAAAAAAAACGGCTCTCGACATTTATAGCTTGCCAGTTCTTCAAAAAAAGTTTCAAAAAGCAATGTGACTTTTTCCTATTTTTTAAAATTACAAATTTCATCATATGATATCCTCTTCTGTTAAAATAAAATAAAAAAAGACAGACAGACTGCAAATTAACAACTGAAAATCAATCATCCTGATAATAGGTTCAAAAAAGAACCTATTCAAGTGCTTAAGAAGCGTTTTGAGGGTTTCCCGATTTTCCGCCGGCAACCGACCCAAAAGCTCTTCGAATTTCTTTTGACGAGCTGTCGTATTGGGATTTTCTGGAAAGGACAAAATACCGAAGATGATTTGTATAGAACGTACGCATTGAGCTTATATATTCCTTGTGCTGAGCGGGTGGGAAAAGAGGTTCGCCGAGCTCTCGGAAAAACAATTTCAGAGCTCCGGTCAAAACGTGGACGTCTTCCTCCGCAACTAACGCTTTGTAGTTGTCTAGAAATTGGGAAAAGTCGATGATTTATTTTTGAAACGAAATCACTCACCTTGATCGACTTGGCAACGGATCTTCTGAACAGCCGACAGATTTCCACTCATTCTAAACATTTTATATTTCTCTTTTTTTAAAGGTTTTTTTAAATCTTGAAAAAGTTTTCGATAGATTTGGCGTGATGAAATTTATAATGAAAAAAACTTTTTTTTCGCATTTTATCGTAAAATTGGTCTAATTTTTTTCCCCCTAGAAGTGGTTGATTTTAAGCCGTGTTTAAATCAATTTCTGGGAAAATCGAAATTATCTCGAACCAAAAATGAATTATATTTTCACTCTCTGACGACTATTTCAAGTTTCGCGTAATCTCTTTGAACACAGTATCATAGAAAAGTTGGTTTTAAGCGCAATAATGAGAATAAAAATTGGAATACGGCCAAATTACCTTTTTTTCATCAAAAATGAAAATTTACCTGTAAATACCGTCCGTTTCCAATCCCTTGCCTTCAATTACTTCAATCACAACTCGAATGAATTTAGGAACCAATGAATTTTCGTGTTGACATATTACAGCCAGGGTACTTCCGAAGACCGGCTCCGCTAAAAAAACACGATTTTTAACAGACTATTGAACCAAAAACTTGAATGCAAGGCGATGAAGCCGCTCACTACAAATATAATCGTTTTCAAAACTCACGCGTGGTTTTTTATTGAAAAAATGTCAATTTTTGGTTTTTTTTTCTTTATTTCAAAAAATTTACTGTTGACAGTTCGACTGATTGACTGCAACCAATTTCACACAAAAAAAACAGAACTTGATTTCTTCTTGATCTTATAATGAAATGAGATCGCTCAGCCGTTCCTAAATAACTTTGAAAATATGAATGACCAATTTTCTAGTAAATAAGCAAACTTTGAAAATTTTTTAAATTCAGATGCTCTTTAAAAGAAAGCTGACCAGCGTTTATAATCTCCAGGCGAAATGAAAAAAACATATGATTAGCATCACTGAGAAAAAGAAAAGAAACTCACGTTTATAGATGCCCTTCTCTTTTAGGCTTTCGACGCTGGGACGAGTGCGGAAAAACCGGCGAAGTTTCTCCAAAATGCTGTCTTTGGAGGGTCGCGGCTCGTCCGCCGTATGGGAGACGGTTTCGATGGCCGATTGAGTCATCACGTCCGTCCGACTTCTGTTGCGGCCGCTCTTGCTGAAGAGACTCAATCAGAATCGATCGATAACTCTGGGAATCCAACTATTGGAGCGCCGAGTGGGACAGAGGACGCATGGAAAGAGTCGAGAAATTGCGAACGACCGTTGGGTTCAGAGTGACTGGGTCGATTCCCGTCGTCGACGGAGCTGGCTGAAAACAGAAAGATTGGACACTAATTTATTTTTATTTTAGATTACTAATAAACTGAAAAAAACTCGTTCAAACCCTATATTTCCAATCATATTGATAGAAAGTGTGGCTAAAAAGCTTTTTTTCTTTTTTTCTAGCTCTCCGAAGAATAAAAATTATTTATTTTTTTTTAGATAACTAATAATCTGAAAAACTTGTTCAGACCATATATTTTCAATCATAAAAAAAGGATACCAATTTAGAAATGACGTCATGAAGGGCGCTGAACCATTCATTCGTGTCGTTGTCACTCAAGGTGCGCAACAGATACCGGCCAGTACTGTTGAGATCCAGCTAAAAACATTTTAAAAGTCATTCAGAAAACAATTTCTTATTCCATTTCAAGTCCAAATCAAAGATATCGACTGATGCTGAAAATATCTCCCTACAATCATTGAAGATGATGGAAACTGGTAAATAAACTCTAAAAACAAAAAAAAAACTAGTAAAAAACTTCTTCATAAATATAGAGACATTGACTGAAAGTAAACTGATTGATATTTTAAAACGGGTTTCAGTAACTCTTTCCAAAATTCACTTCTTTGCGCAGTTCAAACGCAATTCGAAAAAGAAATTAGAACTGTTAAAAATTTCGTTGAACTAAATTTAATGTTCAATTTTTCTTGAAGACTTTTCAAAAAACCGACCAAAAAACTTTTTCGCTTTTTCTTTTCCTTCTCGGAGTACCAATTGACGCCGGCGCCTCGCAAATCCCAAACCCCCATCGGCGGATCATAATGTTTTCCGTTTTTCTGAACTTCGTTATGAATTCATAACCACTTTTTTCTTTTTTCCAACCTCCGCACTTTTCTCGTCTTTGTACAGAATCAAGTGCGCAGATGTCAGGTACATGAAGTTGGTGACCCACTCTTTTTTCTTCAGACTTATGAATATTGAGAGGTGTTTCTGAATCTGCGAAACCTTGGACTTGTTCGTGACGTCATCACGAAGCTCGCATCGCTCCATGTTTCCGCTCCGGATAGTTCTGACAGGCTCGCGATGTTCCGTGCTGCCGCGTCGTTCGTTTTCAGAATCTGCTAGAACCTTCGTTTTCTGACTCTTCTCAAAAAAACTTTTAGAGCGTTAACTAAAAAAATTATATTATTACCAGTAATTCTGAAAAACTACTTATTTTTTTAATTTCAAAAAAACTGTGGTGGAATCGAATTCAAAGCTTTTTTGTAGTTTTTTTAAACAAGGATTCTTTTTAAAATAAGAGGTGAAAATTTTTTAGTTTTGCTGAATTTCAATTCTAAAAAAACTACATGGCTTATTTACCTTCAAGGAATATTTAGGCAAGGAAAAGTTTAATTAGACAGCTAAGAAGAGAACTTTCATTGAACCAATGATGAAAAAATGGATTTTAGGACTCTGTGGATAACCATAATGCTACTTAACGCTTTTTTTTTTGTCATAGACGTTCTGTGAAAAAGAATAAATGTGAACCTGTACTGCTCGAACATCTCTCGCGTGTACATCTCCGATCCAAAGTGTGTGACATTTCCATCATACTGCCAGTGGGCAAAACCTCAAACAGAACGAAATATAAACCAGAAATTGCGAAATGGTTTAACCTGTGGGAGTGGGACGTTCTTCAGGACAGTATTCCGATTGTTGAACGATTTTGAGCGCAAACTTCCCGGAGAAATGTGTTTTCTGGCGCTTCCATCGCTCGTCGTGACGGATGGCTGAACAATTTGTATAAAATGATAATTAAACAATTGACTCTGAAATTTGGAGAATAAATGATATATAGAATATACCGAATCAATGGAATCATTTGCGTTGAAAAAATGTGAGTTGGACGTTGGTGTGAGAGATTTTTTCTCGTCACATTCTGTATGAAGGAGGGCTTCATGCGGAACAAGAACCTGCAAAACAACGTTATCGATTATTAGTTTCAGAAAACGTTTTAGCCTTGCTGTTTTTCAGATTTATTAAGAACATGAAAATAAAAAAACAGTATTAAACCTTCTCTTCTTCTTCGTCGTCAGCAACTTCGTCGAAGATTTCTTCTTCTACAGGTTCGGCCTTGAAAAGAAAAAAAATGAAACAAAACTGATAAATTTAATTACCGGAAGTTTTTTCTCATCTTCTTCTGCATATTTCCCTTGAGTCGTGCAATTTTCGTCCAACTCTATTTTAGTTTCGTTTAAAAAAGCCTGAAAATCGGTATTCATTAAAAAAGTACAACTTCAATTAATATCACCTGCACTTGGGCTGGCGTTCGGATGAATCGCGGTGGGATCCATTGACTTTTTCCACTTTCTTTGTGATGAAAGTACGTCCTGAACACAAAAAACTTTTTGAAACTTATTAAACTATTAAAAACCTTCCAACATCCGTTTCGAATTCAAACCAGCCATTTCGAAGATCTCTTTTCGGCGTGGCGGACGGCGACGGTACTGGTGGGATCGGCCGACTTGAAAGAACTTTCAAAAAAGAATATATGAAAGTGATACCTATTCAATTCTTCAATTTCTTTTAAATTTGTATAAACATGTGAATCGTCGTGGAAAACGTTGGATGGTGAAGGCTCGGAGAAGGCGTTTGAAGGGGAGCCATTAGAAGAACCGCTGGTGGATTGGCAGGGCTAAAAATAAATAAAACTTCTCCTTTCATCCTATTTCATTTAATACAGAGTATAAGTGTTTCACAACAAAAAAAAATGTTTTGAAACTCACCTGAAATTGAATAGTTTCGTCAAGAGCATTGTCGACGGTCGGTGAAATCATTGGATCGCACCCGTGAAAAACAGTCGTCATAACCGTTCCTTCCGGTTGGTCGATGGCATAAAAAGCTAGGCACAAATACAGCAAGAGGGCATTCGTGACGAAGAGGAAAAAAAAGAATAAAAACGCTTGGATGGCGCTGCGAGAGTGTTTGCGCGCTCTAGTGATAATCCGCCGTTTTTGGAGTTTTTGCATGGACTGCTTCCGAATAACATTCAAATTCGCATTTCAAAACAATTTGTTTACATCAAAATCAAGTCAAATGTCCTCATGGGAAAATAGACGGCAGAAATATAATATTAATAGAATTATAACCATATAAATTTATTTTTTCCGGAAAGAAAGTAAAAAAAAAAGAGAAACGCAGTGCTTTCTGTAGAGAAGATCAGAACGTTGAAAGCTCTGAAAGCTTTTAGAAAATTTAAAAAAGAAAAACGTCTGGCGACGTGTCAGAGTGTAACGAAAGATAACAAAAAGGGGCGGCTAGAATAGGAATAAAAGGACAAAACAACTTTTAAAAAACAGTTCTAAGCTAAAATTATGATAATATGGAACAGAATTAAGAGAAAGTCGTATGCATTTTGACCTGCCGTAGACTGGGAAGAAGATCGAAAAGCGAAGAGCGCGAAAGAGGGGCAAAAACACCAAAAAATAATTGACTTTTGGACACTGACACGTGTTTTTGCCTTTTTTAATAGATTTTTGTCGTTTTTTCTCGTGAAAATCCAGGTTAATTAACGATTTCCAGTCAAACGTAATCACAGAAGGTTCATCTGAATGTGGGCGTCTTCTCAAATCTTGTCCGACATCATCCGCCCATGCACCGCCTGCCATTTACGTTTGAAATCTTGAGCGCGAGACCAATAAACAGCTTTCCGATTCTCAGCTTTTGACGGAAATCTGCACTCTCCTCAGCTTTTGCCCTGCTCGCACACGTTTTGCCGGGACTGCCTGCTGAAGGAAGAAAATGCCAAGAAGAAGAAATGCTTCGAGTGCAGAGCGAGCTACTCAAAGTACACCATCAACGTAATATTGCTAGGTTTGTCAGTTTTAATTCTTCGGAGAAATGAGGTAAAAAAAAAGAGTTCTACTGAATTAATTGGAGAACGGAGCTTCCGTTCAAGATGTTTTACCTTTGTTATGAAATTTCTCGCTTTTATAGTTTTAAATTTCAAAAAGCGCTTAAATCCTTGCAAATTTGCTTGTAAGATATATCTGTAATATGATAGCATCCATTAAATTGGCGTCTGATTTTTGAATGTCAAGCAGCTTACTCCGCTTTCAAGGATACAATATCTTTCGCATAAATGTTTCATCGCAGATGGCGATGAACCTAGGCTGCATTTTTTTGACTTATTTTTTTATTTTTTTAGAACAAAAAAAGATCAAAAAATCGTCCTGCGCGATAAAAAAATTGACGCGAAAAAGATACTGTGGCGGCAGGGGCGGAGTTAGCTGGTAGAAATATAAAATCTGAACAGACTATATTGTGAATGACCTACGTTCCTCAGAGGAAAAAACTTGTTGCTATTCCATTGAAAGAGCTCATTTGAAGTTCATGTGACCCTTTCCTGAGTTAAAAATGAAAACTTTGGAAGGATTCAGAAGCCGTGAGAAGGCTTGAAGAGCGAAAAAAGTGGTTTGACACACAGTTACGGCGATGCGACGAATGTGATTCGCGCGTCCCCGTGGGTTTAATGCGCCGCTGTTCGACATGCGAGTTGGCCCTTATAAACCGTACCAAATTTGAATATCGACTAGTGAGTTCTCCACCGCGAAGTCGGACAGTGAACATTAACGCTCAGGACTGCATTATATGTCTGGAATGTTGTGTGAATTCGCACAATGGGCATGAGGTGCAGGTGATCGCTCCGAGGTTCGTCGTCAAACGGACCTCTTCTAATTCTATCTCGAGGTGGGAAACGAAGATGAGACCACTAAATCTCCCTTTCAGTTCTACGGACTCATCGGACTGTCAGAACGACCAGAAGCGTGGCCTCGGTCGGAACTTAAGGTATGCAAAACAGTGGCGATGAGCTACAAGTACTCGAAACAGCTTGGCGCAGCGGATGAAGAGTCGCATCTGCGGGGTCTTTCGGATGATGTCGATGAAGGGGCGCTCGAGCGGCGGCGGCTCGTTCAAAATCCTATCGTCGCGTCATCCAGATACGTCGCAGTTGTTCAACGAGAGCGAAATTGTCCAGCAGCGACACTGCTCTTTCTACGGTTAGTGAAGCCTTCTCGGGAATCGGTTGCGAAAATTGGCCGCCTCGGGGCATTATAAGTGACCGCTCTAGTAGCGTCAGCACTCTCAAGTGATGCATAAAATTGCTCAGAAACTTTCGAGCACGCCCGGTATTCGTTACCTGGGTCCGGGTTGTTAAAAAAACGATTATCCAATTATTCAAGTTATACGGAATGGTTTTGAGTAACTAAACCAAAAATGGGCACTAGGTTTTTCTTGCCACAGTTTCATCTGATTGGAAAGTTTCCATAGTCTGAGAGTAAAAACTTTTTAGTATGTCCTTTTACCGGAACGAATTTTCAATCGTAAACTATTTTTGACAATAAAAAATGGAGACGCCCCTCATCTCTCAATAATGAGATTTTGTCAGAAGACTTCGAGAAAATTCAGAAAGCGATGAATCGCCGAGCTGGAAGAGCAACAGAGCCAAAGGTCGTCCGACGACTTCGCTCTCAACGGAGATCTGCGGCGGAAAACTCGACAGCAACAGGTCACCGTCGTTCCTGACCGACGAAATGTCCTTCAAAGACACGTTCAGCGTCGACAGCGTCTTCGGTTTGATCATCTCGTTTGAGATCTCAGAATGAGATTCAGAACCTCGCAGTGCCGAAGCCGACTACAACCCCGCCTACCTGACGAACAACGGATTTAACACCGAGGGAGGAAAGACCGACTTGCAGAACGGCACCAACGACTACTGGCGTCTCCGGATGGGCGTCAGCTGCGGATTTCAGCCAAGGTAATTCAGAAGAGCTGAAGGAACTCAAGCAAGAGGTTCAGGATGAAGCCCGCCTTTCCATTCTATGAGCAGATCCCATCTCTCTTTCTCTCCGCCGACGGACCCAAAATCGACAAGCTGCCGGTTCGAGCTCGTGAAACCAAGTCAGACAGTTCCTTTTTGCCCCATTCCTACTACGAAGAAATCAATGCTTGATGGACTTCTTTGTTTTTAGATTTATTATTCTGAGATTAGGTTACATTTCTATTGCACGGCTACTTTATAAGAGATGTATAACGCTTATAAAACGTAGGTGAGACTCCTCAAGGCGGTCCTCACCGAATAATTACTTGCAAAGTTATATTTAATTTGTTCGTTTTGTTTGTTTGTTTTCTTTTTTGATTATCGAAATTCCCCAGCGTGTTGGATAAAAAGTTAATTAAAATAAAGGTGCACCGTGGGAATAGTTTTGTACAATGCATACAGTTGATTCAATGCTTCTCGCAGTTTCGGATTCGCTGACCATCCGAGTTGACGACAGTCTTACAGTACTCAGGACTGCAAAACGAAGATCCGCATGAAACTGCAAAAAGTTTTTGAATCGAAAAAAGTTCGAAAAAACCCAAGTTTTCGGTTAGAGGAGAGGTTGAACTCGCAGTTTCTCCGACGTGACCCTTTGGTGGCAAAAGAACCCCCTTCAAAAGACATTTTTCAAAAAATTCATTTTCAGTAAACCTGCGCGGGTGAAAAGAGGAACAACAAACATAGCAATAATTTCAGGAACATTCGAGTTCTAGTAAAAAAAATTAGTTAACAAAGATGAAGTTTTAGAAATATTCTGAGGTTTCAGGAATACCGCAAAAATCAAATACAACGTATAAGGCTAAGCTTTATCATACACTAGAGGCACTAAAAACGTTTTCAAGAGTAGTTTTATTTGGGGCCGAGCATGTTCTCAGGTTTGACCCATTGGTTGAACTGCTCTTCGGTCAAAATTCCCAGTTTCACGGCCTCTTCTTTCAATGTCGTTCCGTTCTTGTGGGCAGTCTGGAACAGAGTTTTGAAGCACTCAATTTTTCGTTTCGTGAGTCTACCTTGGCGATCTTTGCGGCGTTGTCGTAGCCAATGTGAGGGTTCAAAGCAGTGACCAACATTAAAGACTCTCTCATAATCTGGAAAACATTATTCAAAAAGTCGAAACCGGCATTCGATTGCCTTGGCGATATTGTCTCTGTTGGCTTCGATGCCGTCGACGCAATGTTCAGCAAACGAAACGGCTGAATCGGCCAGAATTCTGTAGAAAAGTTACAATGGAAACCACTAGAAAATAAAATGAAAAAATATTTTTAGCCAAGCTAAATTAGAAGAAATGGAATCGATGATAAAAAAGATAGGTTTTTTTTTTTCAATTTGGATGGTAATTATTTTTTTCACAGACCTTAATAACACTTGAACATGAATTCTGAGGAACGTAAAAAATGCATCTCGTAATTTTAAACCCTATCTCAGAAGTTTCAGTGTGAGTTCAGAGAGTACCTCAGTTGAATTTGAAACTGATTGAGACTTTTTAAAAAGATTATAGAAAGGTGGGATAGTTATTTGGAAAAACAGAAAAAAATAGTAGTATTCATAAACCGACTGCCTTGACAAAGATTTTTCGACGTGAGACAGAATTGTCACTCATAAAGTCTTCTTGGACTTTGTCTTGGTTCATTTATAATACTTAGAAATCAATTTGATGATTGGCAACAGAATAAACAAATAGAAACGAATACTCTAGATTGGAAAACAAAAATTAAAATGACCTGGTAGATTGCAGAACATTTCTAACAATAAGTGGCTTGAAAACGTTGAGTTCGAAATGTCCGTTGGAACCGCCGACAGTGACGGCCACCTGTCACCCCGAAGATTAATTATTCAGTTTTACACGCGTAGTCTCACCTGGTTTCCCATGACCTGAGCGGCGACCATGGTGATGGCCTCGCACTGCGTCGGATTCACCTTTCCGGGCATAATCGAGCTTCCAGGCTCATTTTCTGGAAGCGAAAGCTCGCCGAGTCCGCACCGCGGACCAGAGCCCAAAAAGCGGATGTCATTGCCGATCTTCATGAACGACGCCGCCAGAGTGTTCAGAGCTCCGTGGACCTGATTATCTCCTTTTCTATGGCTCTGGAGGAATCTAAGACACCTCGACGAGAGCGTCATGAGCAGCCAAGGCTTCGAACTTGTTGGGGGCAGTGACGAACGGCAAATTGGTGATTTCCGATACCTTACTAAAAAAATTACGTGAATTAGGAAAAACTGTTAAAAAAAGCAAACTTGAAAAACTTTTGAATTATTATATACTGGTTTTCAATTATAGAAAAAAACTTTTCAAAAAAAGGTTGCATGATTTTTTCACAGGTAGTTCTTCGTATTAACAAAAGTCAAACGTTTTTCCAAACTACTCATAAATAGTTCTAAAAACTGACGCAGCGACTTTTTCAGCAAATCCTTTGCGAGTATTGAGGCCGGTTCCGACGGCAGTTCCTCCGCAGGCGAGTTGGTAAAGACGCGGAAGCGTCGCCTCCACGCGAGCGATTCCGTTGTCAACCTATATTCCTTATTTTATTTCAAAAACAGACTTCAAAAAAATTCAAAAAAAGCTCTAAAAATTTTTTCTTTATTTTTCACTTTGAATAAAGTTGAAACGTTCGAAAAAAACTACGAACAGCCTCTTTTATATTAAATGTAACAACTGTCTTTCGATTTTTATAAAAAAAATACTCATATCACAGATCAGCTGTTAGATTTATTTGATGTTTTATTTTTTGTATTTGTCGTGCAGATTGCGGAATGGCGAATAAACACTTGAAATGAAATGAAATATGGCGAACATTTATTCCTTAAAAAGGACTCACAAGGGCACGGCACATTTTCGAGACTGAAAGAAGAAATCAAAAGAATTTGGTTGTTCTTAGAAGTTCTACTCTTGTGAGTGAAATGAGCTGTTCCGATATTTCAGAAAACAGTGAAACTTTAATACCTGAGTGACGTAGGCAGAGAACTCCTGGCCGAGAGTCAAGGGAACGGCGTCTTGCGTGTGAGTTCTACCGATCTTGATGATGTCCTTGAACTCCTCGGCCTTGTTGTTCAGCGACTTTCGCAGCTGCTTCAAGGCCGGCAGAAGGCGATTGTTGATCTCGCGACCGACGGCGATGTGCATGGCCGTGGGGAAGGTGTCGTTGCTGGACTGGCTCATGTTGACGTGGTCGTTCGGGTGCACGGGTTTCTTGGATCCAAGTTCTCCTCCGAGAATTTCGATAGCTCTAAAAGAGCAGAAGATGACCTTCATGGAAGAAAGTTTATATGAGCAGACATTTTTTCACAGGTGCTGGCCACTCTTTGACGGACTAGGAATCAAATCATATAGTGAATATCTGCGCGAAATTTCAGTTTTGAGAATCGAAGATTTACATTTTTCCTGTTTTAACAGATGACCTATTTTGGAAGTAATCTGGCCCAGAAGCACTCTAACACGGTTAATAAAGTCATTAATTTTTTTTTGTCAATCTTTAGCCTGAAAAAGGAGAAGTGAGTTAAAAAAAACCCACAACCCATCAAACCTTTTGAAAAAAGAATGCAAAAGAAAACGTATCAAAAATAATCAAAACAATTTTTTTTTGAGAGCAGAGGTTAGGTTAATTAAATTAGAAACTCATTTACAGCTCTCTTTTTTTTGAATCTCTAAATGCAATATGATTTCATACTTCACTGGAGAATATAAAAATGATGAAATTTGAGAAATTGGAAAAAAATGATCATCTGTGTTTGAGGAAACCGGAAGATAATTTCACAGAAATACCCTAATATAGAACAGATTAAAAAGAAAAGTCAAAGAGAAGAAAAGGAAAAAAGAAACTAACCTGTTGGAAATGACTTCGTTGACGTTCATGTTGGACTGAGTTCCAGATCCAGTTTGCCAGGTTACCAAGGGGAAATGATCGTCCAATTTGCCGCTCACTACTTCGTCTGCATTATTCAAATATGATTTTTTTCCACTTAGAATTGAGCTTTTTTCAATTTTTTCTTTCAGAATTAATACTAACCAGCAGCTTGAGAGATGGCTTCAGCAATTTTCTTGTCCAAACCGAATTCGGTATTGACCTGCAATCTCTTATTTCCATTTAAAAAAAGAAGAAAAATCCGGTCTGACCAAGGCCGCAGCTTTCTTCAGAATTCCGAATGCATGGATCACTGGAATCGGCATTCGCTCTTCAACGCCTCCAATTTTGAAGTTCATCTGAGACCTGAAAAAAAAAATGATCAAGTTGAGAGCGAATGAATAATCTAAAAAGAAAGAACAGATTTTTTTTCAAACAAATATCTTTAAATCCAAACGCGATGTAAAACTTTGGAAATGAAATTTCAAGTTTTTCGAAACTTCCATTATTTTTTTAAAATAATATTCATATCAACCGGGCTGAAATAAATGGAATACCATAAAATAATAACTGAAAAACTTCCCGTTTTCCTAATTTGAAAAATCCAAAAATTTGTCAAAAAAAATTTTTTTTTCATGTTTGCGTGCAATTTTTCTCAATTTCGAACTCACAAAGTGCTTCCAAAAACAGGATCTCATATTTTAGCTTCTATTACTGAAAAAGTGAACAAACCTGGCGGTCTGAGCTCCATAGTACTTTTCGGCTGGAACATCGAGTTCACCGAAAGTGTCTCGCTCCTTACGAACCTGAAAACCTCTCGAATTTCATTCAAAATAACTATTGTCTTGCCTTGGCCATTGGGACGACGGACCGCGAAAAACCTCTAGAAATGAATGTAGGGGCGGCAAAAATACCACGCGTGCGAACAACAAATCGGCTGGCCAGCATTCCCTCTCACCCTGCCAAAAATTGACTAGAACGTCGGCGAAACGTGCAAAGAGCCGCAGGGAGAAGGGAAAACGAGAGGGAGCAGAGAAAATGCTGTGAAACGCACGTTTCATCTTTTTTTTCTGCGCGGGTATTACTGCCGTGCCTTGGCTATCGGAACAGAAGAAAACTGACAGAAAAAAGTAATTGGCGTAACAAAAGCGCTTCTATATAAAAATTATTAAGCATTTACTAAATGTAAATAATATTCACAAGAATAAGCGTTAAACTTCTTTTTCACATTATGGCAATTTCAGGAATGACTTGTATGACTTTGTTCAAAGTTTACAATATGAATAAAGTTATTTTTCAAAGTTACGATAAATTGGCTGTAATAGGTGGTCGACACATGTCCAAATAGCTGATAAGCTTCTGCAGGGAAAGCATCGCCAGATTCAAGCTTTCCAAAACCTGAAAAGAGAACAAAATGAGAGAGAACTCCAAAAAATGAAAGTGTTAAAACCTTATTTTTCTTCAATAAAAAAAAATACTAACCTCGTCGAGAAAAGGCAGTTGACACTCGGACATGAAAACAGTGAGCCCTTGAGGATTGACGGTTTTTGGGACAATTTGGTAGGAAGCGCAAACCTAAAACATATTGCTGCTGAGTTTACAGAGCTCGCATAAGTATACCAATCTGCAGCTGGAAATGTAGAAAGAGAGAAGATTGTCCTGAGGAAGAGGTGGAACAAACTTCCGAGTAGGTGGAAAATAACACAACTCCAAAAGGCTTCTGGAATATCAAGTACCTATTAGGAAAAAAATTCATTGAACCCTTCTAAACAATATACAGATCTTAAAAATCCCCAATCAAGAAAACAATTGCTTTTACTTACTCATTTTGAAGCTGATAAACTTCAAAAAATACCGTTTTCTTGGAAGTAGGATAGAGGATCGGGCAAAAGATATCTCGTCTTTGATCGCCCTGGCTTCATTCAAAAGCAAAGTCCCCGTTTCGACAGAAAAGCTGAAAAAAACAATTCAAAAAAACTCTACATGCAAAAGTTTTACCTATCACTGTCACTTTCACACCGTGCGTTCAAATTATTTTCCATTTCACAAAGGGAAATAGTCGCTCGTGCAATGTGGTTACCGAGGTCCTGAAATAAAGAGCTTGAAAGAATTAAAAAGAGTTGTTGCAATTTCTTTCACCTGCAGTTGTTGCAATTTCCACTGAACGTCAGGCTGAGCCACTGAGCGGAAAAATCCGCCAGCCACTTTAGGGTTTTTAATAGTCACCTCGGCTTGTATGACGTTATCACCGAGCAAAGAAACAATCGCCTCAAATTTAATTTTTTTTTTCTTGGATAAAAATAAAAAGATACCTTTAGATTGTCTCCGCCTTGCTTTGGTAAAAGATTGTATCTTTCGGTACCAGGATTTGCATTCTGAACACCAAGACGTGGATCGCACTTCTGCGAGAGGTGAAGGCTAGTGCAACACTTCTTCAGTTGCTCCATTGTCTACAATTATTTGATAGGTATTTCACAAAAACAAAAACTCACATCTTGGAATGCTTTTTTTGCTTGAGTTCGTTGCACCCATAACAACTCTTTTTTCATGTTACCAATACTATAGTCAGTTGTATCTGAAAAGCTGATAAAAAATGTAAAAAAAATGGAGAAGGAACAAACCTATTACTTTTCTTTTCGGTTTTGAAACCGTAATAGTGAGCGTCGACATGATTAGATAAAATCTGGAAGAAAAATAATAGAAGAAAACTACTTTTCAATCGCGAATGAATAAAAGAATAGAGGGTAACGTGAGAAACTAGATGAAAAATTATCAAAGAAGCATTTTTATGTGTACTCTAACCATTTCTTTTTTTCTCGAGAATATCACCTTTTTGAGCCAAAAAAATAGAACAGATAATTGAATTGAAAATTGAAAAACAAACAAATTTCCAAATTTTAAGTTCCAATGAAATCAAGAATTTTGAATGGAATTTTTGCTTAAAAACTGCTACAAATCGATATAAAATTATTCATATGTTGGAAAAGAAAAAAAATAAGAAGTTTAAAGCACATGGCGTGTTCAAAGTAAAAATGCAAAATGATCTCTGACTCTCCAAAAATTTTTGTTATATTCTTCTTTCTCTGACGGCTATTTTGCATTTCGCGAATTACTTTGAACACGGCAACAGAATTGGAAAAATGTAAAAATATAACTGTTTTTCCAGCGGGTGTCCGGCGGGAGAGCGGTGCGCGGTTATCAGCAAGCCGTGCGCATTTTCTTCTGTTTATTTATTTTACAGAACATGTGCTGAAATTTAGACCAATTGGTCTAAATTTAATTAAGTTAATTGAGTATTTATTTTCTATTTTCTATATTCAACGTCAATTTGTGTTTCTGATTTTTCTATCTCATAAGATTTGGCGTGAAAGTCTTGTTTTTCAAATATTAAAAATTTTTGAAACTTTAATTACTTTGCTGTTTTTTTTACAAACTGGGGCTGTTTGAATTTCTTGGATATTTCTTGTAATTTTATCTCAATCGAGCCCCTCTCTCGCGCACACTATTGTTTCTCCCGTCCGTTTGCACTCTCCAGGTTGCGCAGTGCCGTTTTGTGGTCTTTTCTTCAGTCGATAGGTTTGCTCACGCCGTTCATGCACCCAAAACGTCCAAATAATATATAGTTTTTATTTTCTTCCGTTCAATTAAAAGTCAAAGATAGTAGGAGTTTTGAAAGAGAAACAAACTGGTAAACTGGCGGGGTGTTCCAAAGACATTTTAAGTTGATTTGAAAACAAGGTTTCCTTATAATTGGCGCATTTTTTTTTTGATGTTGTGATCGCGTCCGGGCTGAGTTTTTAATGTTCTGTCAGACAGAACCTGGGCCGGAAAGAAACAGTAAAAGCTTAGTAGAAGTAAAAGTCAGCCTGATGTTTCTCTGGCAGCGACTTTGTTACGTTTGGACTGGTTCAAGCCAACTAAGCCTTTTCTCATCTGAACGATAGCGCCGGCGACAGTCAAATATTCATATCGTTTCCCAATAGTACAGGGAAAGGCTTTCCTTCTGTCCCGCGAATCGAAAAGCGAAATCGCGTTAGAACTGTATTTGAGCCGATAGTCATCTCTTCTTAGGATTGCGATCTTCGCCTGGACGTCTTTTGTTCTCGAAGTTTCTTTCACATTCCGCTCTCTTACGTGGTTGGAAAATGTTTTCAATATGATTCACCATTGATTCCGCTTTCCATTTGGAATTTTTGATTATTAGCACGTTTTCTTCTTCTTTCATTCCCTTTTCAATCACTGATTTTTTTATTTCTTTCATTTTCTCCCTATTTATCAATTTTTTTCTCTTCTTTTTTTCTCTTAAGAAATCTTTGAAAAAAAGATTGGTTTCAAATTTTTTTGATTCAGCTTTACCTTTCTCAATCGAGCTTTTTGAAATTAAAAATCTAGTAAACCCTGCGAGTTATTTTTTTCTCAATGGAGCAGGTGAGAATAATGAACAGAAAAACAAAAAAACTTTAAATAGGACTAAATTCAAAGAAAAAAATCGGATTTAGTTTTTGCAAAAAAATACACATTTCATTATAACTATCCCTTCTTCACTCTACATTCCAAATTTCAACCTCAATTTTCTACCTTTATACTTTCAATATAGACTTCCACAAGGACATAAATTTAATCTACCTCTTCGTAACTTTTTGACCTCTGCCGACAACAATCGATATCGGATATGAATGACTACATTTCCCCTTTTTTTTTCTCTTTTTCCTTTTTCTTCCCCCTTCATTTATCAGTTTTCCCTTTTTCAATTTTTCCAAACTTTATTAATTTAAAACTGCGCCTAGGTATAATAGCTAAAAAAATCTTTTTATAACATTTTTTTGATTTAAAGCAAGAGGGTAAAAATGCTGACGATGGGTCACCCTCTAAGCCGTCCATTTTGGGACCCGAAACGGCTGCGCGACATAAAAATATTATCATCTTTAAACCCTTTCTCCTCTAAGAAATTTCAGAAATCCTAAAACCTTTTCATAGTAATGTCCTCCTCATATGTATTTTCTCACCCTTCATATTGATCAAACACACTGAAGAGTCTGAAATCCGATCACAAAATAGAAAAAGGTGAGAAAATTCATAGAAAATTTTTTCTCACTTTTGTTCCAACATTTAGGGGGTGTACACAGACTTAAAAATCTTTTACATCTGACAGTTATTCTCAAGTAGCTTGAGTAATTTAGTGCATGAATCTTTCCTCATCATCAGTTCAATACTTTTATGATTGGAAAAGAAAAAATTAAAAGACTGATCCATCTGAGAACAGAAATGTTTGTTTTTGGATTATTTTCTTCGCGGAGAAAGAGAAGATTTCTTGAAAGAAGTGGGTCGGGTTGAACTTTTTCTATTCGTAGTGCTATCACATAGTAAGAACCCTGGTCACCTCGCTATCGTTATCGCAAAATAGACTACAACTCGCTTTCGCGGACGGCCTCCAAACGGCAAACAGTTGCCAAAATGGTTGCAGAGGCGGCACGTCGCCGCGGATTTCTGAAGCGCTTTCGCAAGAAACGCAGATCCATTCGAACGGATCCGGTGGTTCGGCCTCAAAGGACCATGTCTTCGTCGTCGGCTCGCGGTTCCACTTCTTCTATTGCAACTGTCGATATTGCGTTCGTTTTTTGTTCATCAGAAGTTGATTAGCATGTTTTTTTGAAAATTAAAACGCTTGAAATTTTATAGCGTGGTCGAAAAGGCTGGTTATCTGAATAAATGGACCAACTACATCAAAGGATACCGACAGCGATGGTTCGTACTTGACAAGAACTCAGTCCTGAGCTATTACAGGTGACCGTTAATTTATCAAGTCGTATTTTTTTTTCAATGAGAAAAGTACTCGAAATGATGAGAAACTAAGCCTTTGTGTTTTTTTTTTCTCTAAAGTAAATCCATTTCTTCGTTCTGTTACACTTCACAGCCATGCTGATCCTCGATGTCTGGGGATCACGCTAGAAATCAGTTTCTAATCGGTCTTCTTCTTCTCTCTTATTTTCTGAGTTTGAGAAAAAAAACCTGAATAATCGTCATAGGTAAACTCAGTTTGTCGCGTAGCGTTTAAAGTTCTGAGCAAACAGAAGGTTCTCAAACTTGATTGGAAGTTTTGATCGATAGCGGAAAGGAAGAAGAAGAATCTGAAGTGATCCTGAAAGTTACACATCACAAAACATTGGCCTTCTTCTCGCTCTGCTTTTCAAACGCCTTTGTTTGGGAGATGGTGATGTTGGAAAAATCGATAAAGATAGTTGTTCATGCCAAATATTTTGTGTGTGTGTTGGCGCGCCGTCTCTTCGCGTGCACTCGATTTGTCCCTTTGCTCTCGTCGAATGTGCTGTCGCTTCCGTCGGCACTAATTCAGCTTCAAACTAGAGAAGAATGATCGGGGTTTTGTCCCTCATCAAACGTGCCGATAACAGGCCAGATAAGGCGGCCAAGAAGAAGGAGGAGAAGCGACGCGAGTCTAAGCTGAAAAACGATCAATCGATGCTGATGGGCCTCCGCGGACGGTGGCGTCGCGCCAGAAAACGTCTTCCTTGGTGTGGAGTGCAGCCGCCGAGGCGCTGCAGCCTCGCCTCGGACCTGTACTTCTCGACTCTCGACATTCCTGCGGCACTGTCGAACCAGCAAAGTTTTCCTCTTGCTCATGACCTCTGTTGCGATGGAGAGCTCAGGTTTTGCATAATTATTCCGTGTTTCCTTGTTTCTCAAAGTTCCGATCGAACTCGTGGTAGTTCATCTCCAACTTAGGGCTAAATATGCATTCGAAGTCTTGGAAAAGTTGAATTTTAGTTAGATCGCGGGTTTAGAGGCTAGAACTTCAAATTTTTTCATCGTCTGAAACATTCCTTGACGTATTGAATGAAGATCTTCAAATTTGCCACCTGCAAAACTTGATACTTCTTGTTAGAGAATGTTTCAGCAGATGTATCGAAGGAAATTTACGCTGAGACCCCTATTTTTGGGAAAAGAGCCAGTCGTGCGGATTGCGGCTTACAGAATTCTTTTTTTGATATAAGGAAAAAAACTTTCAAAAAAATACTAAGTTCTCTGTAAAATTACCTTTCACTGGTTTTTTAGGATCTTGATTAGCTGGATAACTCTACTAGGAGAGAAGAAAAAAAGATCATAAAGTTTTCAAATCTATGTATTTGTTCTGAATTAGCTTCTTAGGCCAGTTTATCTAACAGCGCTTTCATTTTAATATGATAGAGGGAAGAAAAAGCACGTTTGATGGTAATAACATCTTAGTTGTAATAATGCTTGAAATACAAATAAAGACTTTTGGAGGTAATCTTGATCTTTTAAAAGCTGCATTTCATTCTCTCGAGTTTTGTTCCTTCAAGAAACATTTTCATAGTATTGACATTTTCTTTCCGCAGTCTTAATATCTGTTTACACCCTCTGTTATCAAATTTTGGTTTTTAAAAGTTCAATTTCGTCGGTTTTGATAGACACACAGGGAAATGTCGACCGATAATAGTGTCATTAAATTTTCTCATGAGTCAGACTTATGATGCGTTCAGTTTCATGGAAACGAAGTCGATTTGGTTTCAGAAACTCGAAGGAAGTCGGTCAGACTTGCCGTGGCAGCATCAACCTCCACGAAGCGCGGATATACTCGGACAAGGTTGAATCAAAATCAACCGCCATGAAATAACTGAATACGTTAAGACAACGAACAACATCGTGATAACTGCTGCCTCGCAGGCGTTCCACGTGAAGGCCTTCAGCGACGCCGACCGTCAGAAATGGGTCTCGGCACTGGAATATTCGCGTCACAAGGCTATTCGCAGAGCAGAAAGCGGTTCGCTGTGCAAGATTTTTCCCGGATTATCGTTCTGAACTTTTCAGAAGAAGACGAAGACGCGAATCTGAGTGCAGGCGTCACTCGCGTCGAAAACTTGCAAGCTTCTCATCGAGTTCTCGCCTCCAAACTTGCCGACTTGGAATCCGCTATTTCTCTTCTCAGTAAGTTTCTGTGAAGAAAGCTAGCTGCACAAGTTTTCTGCTTCATTTAGATCAAAAAGAAAGAAAGTAGTTATTCAAATATTCACGATTTAAAATCACAAATGTAGATTTATTATTCCGCAGAAAAACTTTTTTCATGGTTAAACATCGTCCCTTCTATCAGAAAAATGTAAACCGAGATCTCGCTCATCTTTGCTAGTGTTGAAGATTCATTTTTATTGAAATCATCAAAAAAACTATCTGGAGTTGATATTTGGTTTCAGTATGATTTTTTTATTGAAAAATGATTAGATCCATTTGAAGCGCTTCTCTCAAGTTACTCAAAACTCAATAAAGTCAAAACAGAATCACGTTTTTTTTAGAACCACTTGGTGATTAACTTTTGAACTTTCTTTCTAAGTTTGTGAAAGAACACATATTTTCACTCCGTGCACTCTTAGATTGCACTTTTTATTTTTTATTGAATCTTTGTTTTTGCAAATAGAGAAGATGTGAGAAAAAGTTGGCTTGTTTTGTCACTGATCCACTTTGTTTTGATACTGATCGTGAGAATAATAAGGATATTTTTAATAACTTTATGGAATAATAGATTTGTTTTGATGGCCTTTGCAGATTATTTTTTGAGACAAAGAAAGAATATTTTTCGATTTGACTTCTAAAACAAAGATCAAAGTTTGATGATTCATGGAGTTTGTTGTTGTAGATAAACAGCGAGATGAATTCGTGTACAGTGTGAGTGACGAAAGCGTTCCAATCGACCGAAAAGCGTTGGTTGATCGGGCCGATTTGTTGAAGGTCTTTATCTTATTTGTCTTGTGACGAAGGAACCCTTTCAGATAACGACTGCGACAGTTCTGAAAGCGGCCGAAGAACTCGTCGAGTTATCGGAACGCGGACACGAGAAAGTTAACAAGATTGTAGAGAGCGAGCACAAAGAGAAAATAATGCTCCAGGTTGAGGAGTCGAAGAAAACTTTTCTTAGCGTCTTTCCAGGACCAACTAGAAACTTTGGCCAAACAACACTCCAACTTGGAAAGAGCCGCTACTTTGACCGGGGCCGTCGGTAGATATAAGCGATAATTTTCATTTCTGTTTTTTGAGTTTCAGTTTCGGCCTACAGCGATCAAGAGGATGAATTTCACGACGCTGAGGAGGAGCTCGACAACGAGAATTTCCCTCCCAAAAAAGAAGTAGAAGAACCAAATCGCGTCGATTCAGAGGAGTTCTTCACGGCTCCTTCGTCATCGCAATCTGTAAGTTTATTTTCTCAGAAAAAAGAAGTTTAAAAAAAAAAGAATTTTTTTATTTTCTTTTTAATTCTTACTGTGAAAGTTTCGAATCTCCTCTTCGCGCTCCAATTATTTTAAGCAGCTTTCAAACATTTTGAATAAATTTAAGCAAATTATGAGGCAACTACAGTGTCTAAAAAGTCTAGAATTCGCCTCTGTTCTAGTTTCGTATAAAAATTCGTAAGTCGAAAAAATTTATAAAGAGCAAAATTTTTTCGTTTCTTTCCCTTCATGAAGTCAGTTTTAGCTCGAAATCTAGTAAGTTTAGAGAAAAAATTTACAGGAAACGACAACAGACGACGTTCGGAAGCGAAGACGACGAACGACGGTTCCGGAAAGGCCTAACCTGCCCATCAACCTGTGGTCGATCATGAAGAACTGCATCGGCCGCGACCTCTCCAAAATCCCGATGCCCGTCAACTTCAGCGAACCGATTTCTGTTCTGCAGCGAGTCACCGAAGACCTCGAATACGTCTCCGTTCTTGAGAAAGCTGCAAAAATGGTTGGGTTCGCCGGAATCTTTGAATCAACCAGTTCTTGGTCAGGATCCCTTGGTCCAAATGTGCTACGTTGCGGCGTACGCAGCGAGTAACTACTCGACGACGCTCAACAGAACCAACAAGCCCTTCAATCCGCTGCTCGGCGAGACCTATGAGTGCGACCGCAGCGAGGACCTCGGCTGGAAAAGCATCACCGAGCAGGTGCCAACATTTTTTAGAATGTCAAAAAGCCCTTCTTCGTATTAGGGCAATTTAGAGAGAATATTTTCGTGAATTCGAATACACGATTTTGAAAGTTTTGAAACCGATACGGCTTGTTTAAAACCTAAATTTTTTATTTAAGCGACTTTTTTTGTCAAATTATTCTCCAATAGTTCAGATTAGTAGGAAAGCTGCAAAAATAGAAGAAATTTTGAAGCTACCGATGTTGAAGTTTTGGTTTGAATTTTCAAATAGTTTTGACTAACTTTTCTTTTAGAAAAAAAAACCATCTTCATTATTACTAACTTCATTGAAACTTGTCTTTAGGACGAAAAAAATGTCGATTTCTTAAAAAAATTTCGTAAAAAGTAGGAAGCAAGATTAGAAATAAGGAACGAAACGAAATATGTTTGAATGCTGTATAAAATTTCAAACGAAAAAGAGTGAAAAAGATTTGAAACATTCCTTTTTTCAACAGGAAAGAAAGAAACATTTCCCAGGTCTCGCATCATCCGCCAGCTGCAGCTCACCACGCCGAAGGCAAAGGCTGGGTCATGTACCAGGACTTCACGATGACGTCACGATTCCGCGGGAAGTACCTGTCGGTGATACCTGTCGGCTTCACCCACATCCTTTTCCCTCCTTCCAACAGTCACTACTCTTATAAAAAGGTGCCAAAACCATCTCGAAAATTTAAAATTTGGGGCTTCAATCTAGATTACTACTACTGTGCACAATATCATTGTTGGAAAGCTCTGGATCGATAATCATGGCGACATGGAAATCACGAACCACGGCACTGGTGACAAGTGCGTCCTCAAGTTCATTCCCTATTCCTACTTCAGTCGCGAGACTCCGAGAAAGGTATCCAACTTTTTCAGGCTTTCTAGTCAGATTTTCATTTTTTCTGAACTCGTTAGACTCAAAAGATGTTAAAAAGATTCAAAGACTTGAAGAGACGTCAGAAGATGGATATCTCTTTCCCTGGCGTCTCTTCATCAAAGTTCATTCTCTAGCTTCAAAAATTTTTTGGAACTTGCTTGGACGAAAACCGGATGAAAAGATTGAAAAATAAGGTTTTAGTTGTTTGATTACTTTTTTAAAATTTACTTTTTCAACGTTTTCTTTTGCCCAGGTCTATGGAGTTGTTCGCGATGCGACGGGGACCCCGAAGTACGTGGTTCAAGGGACGTGGGACAAGGCGATCGACATGTTAAAAGTGATCAATTGGAGCGGCAACGGCGAGAAGCAGAAAGTGGAAACCGACGAAAAACCGACTCGCGTCTGGACCGTCAATCCTCCAATGTTCGTCACATTTCAGCCTAGTCTCATCTCCAGTAAACGTTCGGAAAAAAGAGAATCGCTTCTATAAAAAAAGAGAAAAAGCTTCTATAATTTTTAGGCTCTTCGGCCAACTTGAGCCAATTTTACTGGAATTGTTTCTGAATCTTAGAGATTCATTCTAAAGTTTCATCTTTCTCAATTTTCAGCCCTGGTGCCGAAAAAATGCACAACTTCACGAAGCTCACGATAGAGTTGAATGAACCGGAAGAGGGCGTGGCGCCGACGGACAGCAGACTTCGGCCTGACCAGCGTTTGATGGAGGACGGCCGGTTAGTTTGGAAGAATTAAAGAAAAAAATCATTAAATTTTACACGATGTTAAGTCAAAAAAATTATTAAAAAAATAAGCAAGAAATTAAGGTCATGTTTCTAGATGAAAAAAATAATACTTTGAAAAATAGAAAAAAACATATTTTTTTTAGATGGGATGAGTCGAACAAGAAGAAATTGGAAGTAGAAGAAAAACAGAGGACGGTCAGACGTCGACGAGAAGAAGAAATGGAGAAAGCCATGCAGCGAGGTGAACAAATATTCTCGAATACCTATTTGATAGTCGAAGAATTTCTAGAAAGGAAATTTCTGTAGAGCCTCTAGACGGCTACAGATATTAAAAGTGCGAGAAAAAAAGATGAAAAAACTTCGAATTCAGCCGTTATTTACAGAAAAGATGAAAAAAACTAGGAATATTTATGATTTTATTTTTCCAAAATGTGAAAATGGTTGATTTTTAAAAAAATCATATGTGGCTAGGATTTTATCCTCTAATCGGAAATTTTTTTTAAAAGTGTATTTTATGCTGACGAGGCGGAAGCAAAAAATGTTTTTTTGACTCTCAAAACCTGAAATAAAGTTCGAAGCAAATTTTCCTAAATTCAGGGATATAAATATAATATTTTTTGATGTTTGTCTTGAAAACTTATTTTTGATACTGAAAAATAACGGTTAACACATGTGAATTTTTCATATTTGTTTCCATCAATTTTGCATATTTTCTCCTCAGACTTGCCACTCAAGAAAACACGGCGTATATGATACAGAAAATCAGTCGGATTTTACGAAAAATCGCAGAAAACTTTTAATGAGTTTGATATTGATGCTAATATAAGAACATGCAGATGAAAAAAAAACTTGTGTTTAAAACTATCGAATGCCCCTAAAATACGAAATCTCTCAAATCCAGGAAGATGGGGTTTACTTACAGGAGAGATGTTCGAGGAGTACCAGCCGACGTGGTTCTCGAAGGTGCAGGACGAACTGAACGGCGCCTTGATCCACCAGTACAAGGGCGGCTACTGGGAGGCCAAGCAGAAGGGCGATTGGTCGCGTTGCCCCAACATCTACTGATCTCTTTCCTAATATTTATCGCCTTATTCTCTCACTTCTACTTATGCTTCACTTGTTACCCTCATCATGTACAAATTATAACTATCATGCAAAAAATCATTTTTCCCCTTTCTCGCCCGGTTTTTTCTCATCCAATTGTGATCGTTTATTTCTTTCTCTTAATTTCGGCGCCTACGGTTGTCAAGTCTAATTCCCCATGAATAGTATTGGCCTTTTCAGAGAATATTTACTAACCGAATCTTGTCATTGTTGTCAATATGCATAGGCGAAATTCAGAAGGTGTCTCTTGGAACTGCAGAAGAGGAAAAAATAAGAGAACTTCCAGCAAATCTCCTAATTACCTTCTATTTTTCGCAGAAATGTGGAAAAATCGCAATGTTCTGAAGGCCCGAGCAAGATTTCTACTTACGTGTTAATAAACTTTACGAACGCTTGAGCAACGGAAAAGGAGCGAAGTAAGAGAGAATTAGAGGTCTCTGAAGATGCGGCCGACTGGCAGTTGATTGCCCTTCACCAACTCAATTTTCTCAGCAGCCCTGCCGCCGCCGAGCACAAGAGAGCCCACCTTAAAGCCTTTTTGGCGGCGGTTTTGTGTTGCCAAAAGCCGCGTCCTCTTTCTTCTGAAATTGGATCGACGTCGGCCTCCATTGTAGCCTTAGGACCTAATCTTCGGGCCTCGGCCATGGCCCTTCATTCGAGAATGCTAGCTTTTTCTGTTTGGCTGGCTCTGATCAACGCCACAGCCACATATCCTTCTCACATTGTTATCAGTTCGTTTATTTTTCGATTTTTTTTATAGACATTTAGGTAAAGGAATTTATTTATTGTAAAGTTATTTGGAATCTCCAGCAATACACTTTGACGACGAAAAGCTTGAAGTTAAACTCTCTTCATCTCAAATAGAAATAAATCCAAACCTATTTTTCTTTTACGTAAATTACGAGAACTAGAAAAATCAAAACTCCTTTTTATGGAATCGTCCTCGACTCACTGCGCTCCACTGATAATGCCCGTCAGATTTTTAATTTTGATATTTTTTTTCATAATTATTTTGTGTATTAATATTACTATATTTGAATCAAGGTTTTGATTTTTTAGTTCACTGTATTTATTGTTCGAATGTTGAATCTATCAAAAAAATATTGCAATAAGTATATATTGTACATATTTTTTTCTAAATAATTAATTTACACGTTTTTAGTTTTCAAGCCTAATACAAAAAATTTTATTGAAAAAAATTAGTTTCTTGTTTTTTTAGAATCTTTCGGTTGCAATGATGGATCGTCAAAAGTTTCTCTCAAAGCAATGGAATTCGCTGGCGAAAACATCAATTCTCGCCAAGATTCACCTTTCAAGTATTTTTTTTAATATTTTTTTCTGTTTTTTTCATATCTATTCGATTTCAAGAGAAGATAGTTGACCTCACAGGAGCTGACAAGCGTTTTTTTCAAAAAGATATAATTTTAATAATTTATTCAGACTTGTTTTCGACCATCGAGAGATTGAATGCGGCAACGCAGAAGCTTGGAACATGGTAAACGCAGGTAAAAATTCTCAAATTTCTTAGGAAAATACGTAGCTTGAACTATTTTTGCATTTTCAAACGAAGAAGATATTCAAAGAAGTAAAGCGAAAAAGATGCCGCTTTATAAGAAAGTTTATTTTACTAATCAAATCTAACATCGCTAGGGTGTGGCAGTGAAAAAGGGTTATCTTTTTGATAGACTTTAGCTTTGCCTAAAAACTCTTCGAAAGGTGGCCAATCATGAATCCACTATTATTTTTCTCTCAAAGAGCTCGTGACGAGGAAAGTCACACTTGAAGAAAAGCCTGGCAGCTCATAAAAAAAGCACAGAAAAGCTTCGCGGACTCTCCAAAATTTTGGATTTGAAGTTCGCTTCGAAATTTTTAGCATCTGGAGAGAAGACTTGAAATATCTGAAACTGAAGAAGCTGGAAAAAATACAAAAAATGTTTTGAGTTTGCGAGGAGCTGAAAGAAGGAGCGATGACGTTGATCAACACAGTCGACGGCAGGGCTTCGGAAGGCGTCCGCGGCGTTTCCGACGCCCTCGAGATGCCGCTTCTCTCCTTGTCGGCACCTAACTTCGAGGCTCACTTTTCCAACTTGTTGGTAGTTTATATTCGAGCAAAAAAATATCTTGGATTGGACTATTATAGAAAAATAGAAATGCTTATTCAAAAAAGTTTTGAAATCGAGGCTCTACTTGCAGCTTCGAACTGTTCATCCGTCCGCCGAACGCTGAACTTGTCGCCGATTTCATCGTCCACAAAAGTTGGACCGACGTCATTTTGCTCATCGACACACGCTATTGTTGGTTCTATTTTTTAATCCCCATGAAGAAGCTTATTTTACTTTAGGGTCGGGATTTTTCTGAAACTAGGTTCAAACATTTTCTGAGGGCACAAATGAAAATCTTAAAAACTTCGCTCACAAAATTTCTCAGTTTTTGAAAAAATGAGCTCCTAATGTTTGAAAATGACTGTTTCAAATGTCGAATCGTTTTCAAGTTTTCATTGACCCTGAAAAGATGTTTCTCGATGTGATCAACGTGTGATAAAAGGATATTTTTTCTCTTTTATCCAAAGTAACTCTGACAATTTTCAAGAGATTCCCAGTCAAAAAACGAGATGACCTTCCTTGTCGAAAGTTGATTTTTCAGCAAGTCTGTCGATTCCTTGGCTCTGGCAACACCTTCGCGAAAAGACCAACACCTCGGTAACGGCGGCTATTTTTGAATTGCCGCCTTCTGAGGAACAGTTTCCTGAGTTTCTGATGTCCCTCAACGCAATTCGGGTCAATGCTGTCAATAGGTTCCTCTCTTTTTAAAATTGAACGGATGGGAACGAATCTTCTGAAGGATTCTGGTGGACAGTTCCTCCTCGAGTCGCATGAAAAAGCTTCTTGTGGCGGTTCGCGCGGCTCAGTTCAGTCAGGCCAACTTCCACTACGTCGTCACCAACTTCGTAGGCTTCTCTAAAACTTCTTCAAGAATTTTTTTCCAGGACTTGTCTTCGTACGATGTGGAGATGTTCCAAAACGGCAACATCAACATCAGCGGGTTCAACGTTATAAACAAAGAGAGCCGCGAGTACTGGGCTGTCCGGAAACATCTCAAAGGGACTGACAACTCTGGAGACGTCGATGTGAGCTCAAAAAAGTTTTTGAGATGAAATTTCAATTATTCTGAGTTTTATAATGCGTGTCTAACCTTTAAGGTTCTGCTTTAAATAGCCAAAAGCCTCATTTTCCAAGCATACATGCCAAGAAATGCAGCGTAAACTTTAATTTTTCTTTCGTAAATATATCGATTCTGTTGGAATCAGAAAATATCAATCATGTTGCTCAGATTTTTGAGGAATTTATTCTAAAAACTGTTCTTTTAAGTATCCTTGCAGTAAAACGGTGAACGACCTTGTACACCTACTCCAAATCATTAAAAAATTATGAAAAAGTAGAAAGTACGTTTCAAAGAAAACGTTTTTGTGTATTTTTAAACATATAGAAAAAAAAAATGCGATATGAGTTGATAACATATTCCGTTTTACCTTCTTTAGAAAAATAAAAGTACTTTTAGATGGAGCTCGATAGGTTGTAAAAAGGAAAATTATCATCGTCTGTTTCCAAGAATGAGAAGTTCTTTCGTTTGAAGGCCGACGGCGCCATCGCTCACGACGCGCTTCTGGTCTCGTGGCACGGCTTCTCCCGTTGTCTCCGAGTCAACGATTCTCTCTTCCACGGAACTTTCCGCCACCGAAGATTTTTCAACCGAGGCTTTCCCGGTGGGTCTTCTCGCCCACTGCAAGTCGAGCATGGCGGCGACGGCGATCTTTTGATCTTTTCATTTTTTTTCTTCCCAAAAAGCAGCTCAACTAGTTTTTTTCCAGGAATATTCTGCGATCCTCTGTCAGACCGATCCCATCCGAACCGTCCATTCGCTTCTTTCGAGCATGGTAGAACCATAACAACGGCTCTGAGAAATGTGAACTTTATTCTCTAAGTGAAAGTTGAAACATGGAACTTTTCCAGATTCGAATAGGAACCCAGGATGGAACTCTGACAGGCAACATCGAGTTCGACCGGTTCGGTCATCGACGCAACTTCGACGTGTCTGTGATCGACCTGGTGTCCAACACGAAGGCCACCTTCAACCGGAAGGAAGTGATGATGTGGCGCCAGGGCGCCGGATTCTTCGCCAACCGAACCGTCGCGCAGCATTCCCGCAAGGCGGTCAACGGCCGCAAGGAGGACCGCGTCATCGTTCTCACTAATCTCGTGGGTTCTGAAGTCATAATCTGTCTGAAGTAGTCACTTGAGGGGAAGCTAAGTTTCTTACGGAGTGATCTGCATGAAACCACTGAAATATAAAGGCCTGAGCTATGTGACTTCTCTTGAAAAGCTTGTTTTATTTTTAAAAATGGGGATTTTTGGTCTTTCCCTTTGATTTTCTCAACTTAAAGGCAAAGGGGCAGTAAAAAAAATGGTGTTTCAGGTGAAAGCAGTATCTTATACAGTTTTTCTTTGCGGATCGAATGGTGTACTCAAAAAAATTACAGATGTGACAACTTTAGAAGAAAAACGCAATTTTACTTTCGCGCCTTTAATTTTAAAAAAATCTTTGGATCGGCCTACGGACAAATGTTTACAGTAGCGGTGCAAACACAAACACAAACTGATAATAAAGAAAACAAAAATAATCGCTATCCCAATCGAAACCTTTGTAAAAATCATCATTTTTTTCACCAGAAAAAGCTTTTTTTGCGATCAAAGTTTGCAAATTATACATGAATAGAAATCTTTTGTGACGAAAAGAACTTTGGTGACAACAGAAAAAATTGAAAATTGAAAGAAACGAAGAAAAAAGCGAAAATCCGGAAGATGGCGAAGCCTGTTGTCCATAGAGCAACTTTACTGCAAAGCGCTCTTTTTGCGGGAACTCAAACTTTTCTCTCTCCGACTTTGAATTATTTTTTCTCCAAAACTAGGAACTTCTGGCGATTTTTTTGAGAAAATATAAACTTTACACCAATTTTAGAGATTTCTGGACTCTTTGAGTAATCTCTCTCACTAGGTGTTTTCTTTTAGCATCAATTAAAACTCCAACACTCTAAGTAGTCATGTCCAAATCACCTTTTAACAGGTAGCTCCGTTCGCGATGACCAAAAAAGAATGTCTGGAGAATCCGGGCAACAGAACAGAATGTCAAGGAAACAACCGATACGAGGGATACTGTACAGATTTGCTCAAGCTTTTGGCCGACAGAATCGAAGGCTTCAACTACGAGATTCGGCTCGGGCTTAAGGTTAGTTGAAGAAAGGATAAAGACTCGCAGAAATCATCTTATCTTTCCAATATTTGAGTACCTGTCTTTTTTTCTCGTTGAAGATGACCAACATTTCGGGCTTACAAGTAATTTAAAAACCTTCAATCTTCCTCAGGCCGGATCGAAACAACCGGACGGCAGCTGGGACGGAATGATCGGCGATCTCCTTAATGGAAACGCACACGCCATAGTTGCCTCTTTGACTATCAACCAGGTATTCTTTGGAATCATAGATCTTAACATCTTATATGAAATCGAGATACAATAGCTATAAAACGAGAAAAGTGAGATTTTTGTATTCTCAGTTTTTTTTTTTGCTGTATCGTCAAATTAATTTTTGAAAAACTCAGGAACGAGAAAGAGTCGTCGATTTTTCTAAGCCGTTCATGACGACCGGAATTTCGATCATGATCAAAAAGCCGGACAAGCAGGTCTTCTCAGTGTTTTCTTTCATGCAGCCGCTCAGTACTGAGATTTGGATGTACATCATCTTCGCCTACATCGGTGTGAGTGAAGAGTGTAGAAATGGATCTACAAACTGAGCTCGAAGTTCGCTCCAGCGGAAATTAATATCGCGAAGTTTGATTGCGAATTTCCTTCCACAAAAATTGGGTAAAATTTTCGTTTTGCGAGTGGATGCACTCTGTTGACTGAAGTAGAACTTCGGTTTTCAGAAACTGCCTTCTCTTGAAACTGATTATTTGAAGGCTTTTGTAATGAACATCTGAGATTTCGGAGAACGTGTTCAGGTCTCCGTGGTGATTTTCCTGGTGTCGAGGTTTTCGCCGTACGAATGGCGAGTTGAAGAAACGGCTCGCGGCGGATTTACCATTTCCAACGACTTTTCCGTCTACAACTGTCTGTGGTTCACTTTGGCCGCTTTTATGCAGCAAGGAACGGATATCTTGCCGAGGTTCTTTTCATTCATCTTCCATCAATTCAGGCCACGACTTTTGACTAGACTCCATTTTGGATAAAACGTTAGAAAAACGAAAAATAAGAAATGAGAAATTTTCTATAGGATCTCAGTTCGGAGAAATGCTGCTGAATAAATGGTATGATTTTTTTGATCATTGAAATGTTTGAAAAAAAAAGTCGTATGAGAATCGTCCTAACTTTATTAGCTAAAGCTTCGCGAACAGCAGATTTTCTAGTCATTCGAGAAAATAATTTGGATATAACTTTCTGGAACAAAGCGTAATTATAATGAGAAAACGAAGTTTTTTTGATTGCTTTTTCGAGGCTCAATAGACTGGTTTAGTTGAAAGCTGGATGTAGACGGCCATCGATAAATTTTTCAATTTGAAGATCGATTTCTGGTCGAATAGCGTCTTCTGCCTGGTGGTTCTTCACGATGATCATCGTTTCTTCGTACACGGCCAACCTGGCCGCCTTCCTCACGCTCGAGAAGATGCAGGTACGTCTCCTGCTCAACGGCCCGTGCTCTCCACGTCATTCTACCTTCTTTTTACATAAACAACAATATTCAGCAGTAATTTGCGAGATAACTACTTAGTCATCAAATTTATTTTCACCTCAAAAACAGAATGAAATTTCTCAAACGCTACACACGCTTTGAAAAGAATTAAATTTTGCACTTTCGTTTTCAATCTTGATATTTGCTTCGATTTAAAAGCTAATCAAAATTTTGACTCATACTTTGAAGAGAAAGTAATTTTTCTTCAAATCTTATAATCTGTTAGAAGAAGAGATATAAAAATCAAAAGTTGAACGCCCATAAGGAGAAAATTATATACTTTTGTTTTTTTCAATAAAATTTCACTTTCAGGCTCCAATCGAAGGCGTCGAAGATCTGGCCAAACAGACAAAAATAAAGTACGGGATTCAAGGCGGCGGCTCGACTGCCTCGTTCTTCAAGGTTTCAACGTCTCTCGAATTCTTTCTCAATCGATAATCTGTTGTTTGAAGTACTCTTCGGTGCAAATCTACAACCGAATGTGGCGTTATATGGAATCTCAAGTTCCTTCCGTTTTCACTGCTAATTATGCGGAAGGTTCGGTCGAAAGCCTTTCGAGAAAAAATGAATGAGTTTCAGGAATTGAGCGAGTTCGAAATCACAAAGGTCGGTACGCGTTTTTACTGGAAGCGACCGCCAACGAGTACGAAAACACGAGAATTCCTTGTGACACGATGAAAGTCGGTGAGGATAACTTTAAAAAATAGTAACAAGCATGGATATTTGGAAAGAAATTGCTGCGAAGTGATGAAAAAAGTGGGTTTCTATTAATTCTGAAATTGATTGAAAAAAGCTCAAGAAGTATTTCGAAAATCAAGCCCCTTTAGGTGCTAACCTGAATAGCATTGGATACGGTATCGCGACGCCGTTCGGCTCCGGCTGGAAGGATCATATCAATTTGGCGATCCTGGCGCTCCAAGAACGAGGAGAGCTGAAGAAGCTGGAGAACAAGTGGTGGTACGACATGGGCGAGTGCGACACCGGCATTCCCGTGGTTTGGCTCAGATTCTGTTCTCTGACTTCTTGGGCCTTCCTTCTTTTGTAGGACGGTTCCTCGGCCAGTTTGAACTTATCCAAGGTGGCTGGTATATTTTACATTCTGATGGGCGGGATGATTGCGTCGATGCTGGCCGCTCTTGGAGAGTTTCTCTACCGATCCCGGATCGAAGCTCGAAAGTCTAACTCGTCCTCGTTGGTGGCGAACTTTGCGGTGAGACCTGAACGTATGGATTGGTCGAAGTCGCAGTTTCAGAAGAATCTGAAGAGCGCGTTGTCGTCCCAACTGCGGCTGTCAGTCCAGGGCGGAGCCGTGGCTCAGCCTGGAAGTCAGTCTCATCTCGCCTTGAAGCGGCAGCAAGTCGCCGCCTTCCTGCCGGCTTCCAACGAAAAAGACAGTCTCGCTTCTTCGGAGAAGAATTCCCAGGCACCCACTCCGAACCTCTACAACACCGCTGTCTGAAAGTAACTTATATTTGCAACTTTTAACGTAAATCATTTTTCAGAACCTGTTTTTTTTTACCACGCCTCTTATTTCGAGAACATATTATTCGAGAGAGAACTTAAAGAGATTGTAAATTTGTTTCAAAAAGATTATATATTTTTATGCAGTCTTTAACCATTGAATGAACTTCCAGGCTTTCACCCTCTCATTCATTTTCCGTGACCGCTCTTCGTCAACAATTTTTCATATTTTTGGTAAAGGTCTACTAAAAAACTTTGTAATAAGCATATCTTACAAAGTAAATAAGCCAAAATCTGAACTTCAACGGGGTTTTTATTGACACTCATTTATCGCAAATTATCCTGAAAAGCTGAGTTCAGCTCTATTGTCTGTAGATTCCAGATCACTTCCATTCTCATATATTTATTTTCGCACATTTTTTGAAGTATAAATTTTTCAGTTTCATTAAAATTATGTGTTATATTCATAAAAATGAAGAAGAGAAAAGACTCGCCCGAATGGTAACACGTGCAATGCCTTGACGCTTCGAAGCGGCTCCTTGAAGACGTACCCGACCTAAAACGCCTTGAGCGCAACGCCATTAGTTATCATTAGAAAGGATAACATTTCGAAGTAGAATGAAGCATATAAAGGTCGATCTCTGTTTTTTTTTTCTCCTGTCTTTTTTCAGAGCACAGCCAACCTGGTGGCTTTCTTTACGCTCGAGAAGATGCGGCTTTTTTGGTTCACTCTTTGTTCAACGACCCATGAGCCCAACGTCATCTGCCCTTTTATAGAGGTTAACTACTCGAAGCTTCCACGTGCAACAAAGTCAGTCTATTAACAATCGACGTGAGAAGGAGGCTAGTCAAATGAAATAATATGTTTTGGCTGTGTGCACCTTCTTGGAGCCGTCTAAATGGCCTGAGTAATCCGGCCGGAACAAATGCGCCTGAAGCCACAAAAAAGTAGTGAGAGGCGGCGAAATGGAGATGACTTGGGGCGGCGAATGAGATATGAAAAGCTAATCTCATATCCATATTCACGCTCTTAGGTCCCACCGACTCCTTTGCCTTTCCACCTCTACTGAGCCTAGAAACTTTGTGGAAAAAGGCGTCGGAAGCATCGAGGCGAGGCGAAGTCGTGTTGCGAGGCATCTACGATTGCCTAATCGCCGCAATTGGCGCCTAGGTGCCACAGGCTCCGCCCACACTCACGACTTGTTGACTTTCAACTTGGCACACACTCCACCTGAGCAAGGCTTTTTTCGACTTTGCAATTTATTGAAAAAAAAGTTTGTCTCGAATAGTCGAAAGTTGACCGTCTTTGAATTTTCACACAACCATAGCATGAAAAAAACCACCGTCTTCTACTTTTTTTTAACGGTTTTTTTTAGAATATCTAAACACTAATTGAATACGAAAAAAAAGGTCAGAAGAAAAAAAAATTGAGCTAAAAGGGAATGGTTTGCTTTGAAATGAATTCCCTTTTCATTACTCGGTTTTCTGAAAGTTCATATCTTCGTAAGGATATCAAATCATAGTCAAGAAAAAACTGCGATTTTTCAAGTTTATACTTTTCTTAACATCATTAAACGGAGACTTCCTCGTTTTGGTTATTTCCTGACCTTCAATCATTCCTGAGAAGACGGCACGACGTTTAATCAAGCACTGAAAACGGATGGCAGGAATCCGACGGTCAACATCCTGCCAGGAAACGCCGTTTTAAATTTCGCGCCATCCAGCTTTGCCCTTTCATCTTTTTTTTTGCTCCTCAGTTTCGTTTGAGAGTTTATTTATCATAGTAATATGAAGTCATTATTGGTGAGGTCGAAAACGGGAGACTTTTTCTGACTTCATCATTTTCCTCGTTATCTATGAAGTTTTGTAGTTCAACTTGTAGCAAGTTGAAGTTCACGATCTTGCCTAAGGTGACAAGGAAAAACACCACTCAACTTTTAAAAGAGTCCGAACAATTTTTCAAATTTTTGGAAGGGTTAGATTTCCAGCAAATTTCACTAATCTCTCTCTTCCAAAAACAGAAGTCCGGTCGATGCATTCCTATGATGGATAATCCTAATCTTCTTATCATCCGCTCTTTTTCTCGACTTTTCTCAAAAACACGGCTACTCCCATTCTGAAGAAGCCGTCGAAAGGGCTGATGAAACTGAAATAATTCATCGTCGACCCGCGGCTCCCGATTGGTTATTTATTGTCTTGTGCGACAATATTTTCTGCTTTTCTCGGTGAATTATTGTGTCCGGACCGTCTTTTTCTCATGTGTTTTTCTAAGAACGAAGCCTGGGCAAGTCGGAAAAACCTCATCATTCCAAGTTACGGGCCTCGTTTGGACAATGCGAGCAAAATAATAAACGTCAGAGTCTGAAGAGATTTTGAGGTTTTTTGTTGGAGACTCGGCCGTCGGGGCCAAACGTTTTTGTTCATTCGTAATGAAGCATATATCCTATGAATGTCGTTTGCAGCCGCCTCTTTTGTCGGCGATTTCCTCCCGAACCTTTTTCTTCTGATTACCATCCCAAAGTCAAATGTTTTCTGTAGAAGATTCCTCTAAATCCCTGAGGAAAAGGGGAAATTTTTGAACGATTCAGGAAATAAATACAACTCGAAAATTCGGGAACATAAACGATTTTGAAGTTGGATAAATATACTTAAAAGAAAGATTGAAAGTTTTTCCTATTAAAATTACGTTTAGCTAATAAATAATGAAGTTTTCTTTTGGAAACGATACTGAAGTTTAGGAAGAACTTTTTATAGTTATTTTTGAACCCATATTTTCTTTCGCGGATATAACTTCATTCTGATTTATCTTCTTATCTTTTTTTTGACTTATGAAAACTCATCAAAAAAAGATATTAATTTCCAGCTGTTCTGGAGACGCTTCTGAAAATTATTGCGTCGATCGCTTAAAAAAAGATATATTATTTTTTTCTTTTTTTCGAGTGATCGATTTGCGAAGGAAGAAGAGATGATAGAGCTTCCTGAAGATTTCAAGCGAGCAGGCTCTTCCGAATACAATCAAAATGTCTTGCAAAACCTTCAGGAATGATTAATTTAGTCCAGGTGCTTTTGGCAGCCGTCGCGGCCCAACCAAAACTTTCCTAAATGATTGAAAAAATCATTTTTTTAATACCTAATATGAGAACCTTCCTTATAACAAATTCAACCTTCAACTTGGACATCATATTCCTTTGTTTGGAGGATCCGCCCAGTTTTCCTCCGCAAAATCTTCTTCCTCTTGTCATTTCCACCGCTCTTTTGTTTTACAACCATTTTTGCATTCCAATTAGGAATTTTTTTCTCCAACTCTGTTTTCGAAGCTCTTGAAGAGGCGTTCACACAGAAGAATCGTAAAAAGATCTTTTGCCGCCATTCGAATTTTGTGGGGGAATAAAATCTTATTGTTTCGAGCGAAAATGCAAGCGAAACTGTTTCTTTTTTGCTATTGTAGGACTCTGATCATCTGTTTTTCACAAACCAGTTTGGATATTTTGATATATGAAGGCCTTTAGACTTTTTTTTTCCCAAGGTTCTTCTGGCTCAAATTATTTTCAGTTGAATGAGTTGTGTCACTTTCTATAACTATATAACCATTTAGCTGCAGTCGATGAAAGTTGAAAAGTGCATGTATTTTCTAGGAACTGGAGGCAGAAGCCGAAATGGGGAATAATTTCCGAGGGGCACAGGTGTGCAGCGAAAAAAAGTAATTCTCGAATCGAATTGCCACCCATTTGTCCAATTGCCGACTTACTTCGCCCTCTTTATTTTTTTTTCGACGTTTTGAGTGCGTCGAGCCGCCAAATCTCAATCCGTCTGATGAACTTTGTTTTTCGCTCGTTTCGGCTCTTTTTCAAAAGTTGGAGATTGGAATAGGAAGGAAGAAAAATGAAAGAAGCTTGGAGTAGGGCTAACTAATGGAAAACTAATATTCAGATTGAATTTTCCTCGTATAGGTCTGATTTCACCTATCCATTATTCCGGTATAAAAAAAATGACGTCTTATATAGAAATAAAAACAGACATTTTCAATTATATTCAATTCTAAAAGTTCCTTAAATTATATATTTGAAAAAATTTTCCAGATCCTTGTTAATAAACGTAGAAATAATTGAAGTCCATGGAAGTTTTGCGATTCCAAAAAAGTTGCTTTAGGCGGGAAAAAAAACTAGGAAATAAGGCATATTCGTCACGAAGCAATCAATCTTTGGTGCTCGAAATGATTGATATCACTCTTAATCACGAGAAAAAGTTGGAGTTTTTCGTTTCAGAACCATGTCGGGCTGGAACGACGCTTGGGACAAAGGAAAGCAGAAAGTGGCAGAGTTGGGCCAGCCGTTGGCGAGGTCGGTTTTCCTGATTTGTTGGAAAAAAGAAAATTTATGATAACGAAAGATGCATTGAAGTGTTTTTTTTTCCAATAAATAAAGGTGGTTTCAAGACCAACGCCGTAGTCAGTGTGCTTCAAAAAAAAAAAAAAGAAATAATAAATGGAATCATTCAAGCTTTACTTAGATAACCTTACTGAAAAGTGCAAAATTTCTTTTTCGGCGGTTCAAAGTGAGAAAAGCAATTATGCGTCGAAAAGTGACAACGAGGCCGTTTAGAGCCTCGCCAATTTTTTCTTTTGCAGAATGACGTCATCGAAGAACGAGGACTTCCAGCAGATGTAAGATTTTCAGAAGTAGAAGATAGAGAATGACGTCATCGTTTCAGGCCGACGACGACAACGACGGCTGAAAACGGCGTCGACGTCGCCGCCAACGGCAACCCCGTCGGCATGCATTCCAACAAGATCTTGCAGGTATCCGATCTCCGAAAAGTGCATTTTTCCCTCATCAAGTCAATTTTGTCTTGATGACAACTTTTATTTTCTTGTGTTAGATGCTGTTTTCATGTTCTGATGTCGTCTCCGGTGAGAGAAGGGAGGGCGCAGACAAGTCAGTCAGAAGGCATTTTCTCAGAATTAAGAAAAAATCCTTCAATTTTGCTATTCATAATAATGTACATAGGACAAAAGTAATTTTCGAGTTTCTTTTTTTAACGTCTGAAAGACAGACGATTCAGGTAAAATAATCAACAATAAGGTTCCAGGGATGTTAGTGAAGAGTTACAAAAATTGAAACTGTAATTTTGATTGAAATTTCTGAATGCTGTTATACTCCTTCAAAAAGCAAAATTTTAGGATCAATTCATTTGAAAAACAATGTTTTTCTCATTTTCTCAATGTCTTTGAATATGTTTTCCTTTGAGTGTGTACTTCAGAAAAATCAAAAGAAGTGCTTCTTTTAGTTGGTGGAGCAGACGCGTCTGAGCCAATGTCGGAAAAGATGGCAACTGGCGGTTCTGGCCAACATCGGCTTCATGGTCGTTTTCGGGATCCGCTGCAACTTCGGCGCCGCCAAAAACCACATGTTCCGCAACTACACAGATCCCTGGGGTAAAAAACACGTGAGTCTTCCGTTTTCACAGATATTAGAAGAAAAGGCTGATCGTTCAGGTGCACGAGTTCAACTGGACGCTCGACGAGCTCAGCGTCATGGAGAGTTCTTTCTTCTACGGATACCTCGTCACTCAAGTGCCTGCTGGGTTTTTGGCAGCAAAGTATCCTCCAAATAAGTGGGAAAAAGGACCGATAACTGTTTTGATGCAGACCTTCAGGTTGTTCGGAATCGGAATCGGCGTCGGCTCTTTTCTGAATCTTTTCCTCCCCTATGGCTTCAAAACGAAGAGCGACTACCTGGTGGCGGCGATTCAAATAACACAAGGCCTCGTACAGGTGAGCACTCGTCTTCCTGGAGATGAAATGAGATTTTTTGTGTTCGAAAAAATTCGGTATAATAGAAGCATGAACGCTGATCAATTACCATTCACTACCAGTTATTTCAATTTCTAAGTTATAAAATAAAATTTTTCGGGACAGTACAGAGAGCGCAGAAAAGCTGATACTGTTGAAAGTCGAGGAAAATAGAACGTATTTCGACTTTTTATTTTTTCAAATGCAAGAGCCTTTATCATCAACTTAAAGAAAAGTATATTCCATGACCGCCAACAAAAAAAAACAAAGCTTGAAGAACATAATCAACTATGTCACTCAAAAAAAGTTGAAACTTGACCCAAAATTAATCCTGAAACAAAGATGATTCGATATATGTTCAATATACGGCTCTAGAAAAGGTTCTTAACTGGAATCTCTCACCAACTTTCTGCCCGAGTATAGAACTAACTCTGAAATGACCCTACAGCTGGAAAGAGTTTCAGGGCCTGTGCTATCCGTCGATGCACGGCGTCTGGCGCTACTGGGCTCCTCCGATGGAGCGCTCCAAGCTGGCGACGACGGCCTTCACCGGAAGTTACTCTGGAGCTGTCCTCGGCCTTCCGCTCTCCGCCTTTCTCGTCTCCTACGTCTCCTGGTCGGCGCCCTTCTATCTCTACGGTGCGTTTCCTTTATGACTTGTCCCTAAATCACCGCTTCATGGTGTCCTGTGTCCTTTCGGTCAAATGGCCTTGTCAGAAGGTCCAGTTTTAATAAGGTTCTGGAAGTTGGAACGAAGAGAAGTCCTCTTGGAAACAGGAAGAGAAGATCAATTATTATTTCCATGGGGCAAAAAGAAACTGTTTTATACCGATCTTGAAACCGCGCATATTTTTTTTATGGTGAGGTTTGAAAAATTTTGAAATGAGCATCTGAAAATCTTCCTTCATAAGTCAGCTTCTTCCTTTTAAATCGTTCAAAAAGAATTGCAGGATTTGCCGGCGTGATATGGGTAGTTCTGTGGTTCTCTCTGTCCTTCGAGAAGCCCGCATATCACCCGACTATCAGTCAAGAGGAGAAAAAGTTCATCGAAGACTCGATCGGCCACGTCTCGACCTCTCATCCCACGGTCCTCACTATATCCGAAATCCTTGTCGCAACTTGATTTTTGCAGATACGGTCGGTTCCTTGGCGCGACATCGCCACTTCGAAGCCCGTCTGGGCGATCATCGTGGCCAACTTCGCCAGGAGCTGGACCTTCTACCTGCTGCTCCAGAACCAGCTCACCTACATGAAAGAGGCTCTCGGCATGCGCATCAACGACGTCAGTCGGCCTTCTTAATCCCTCCCCACCTGATCTCTTTGCAGTCAGGCCTGCTGGCGGCGCTCCCCCACGCCGTCATGGGCATAGTCGTACTTCTTGGCGGCCAACTCGCCGATTATCTGCGAGTCAACAAGATTCTTTCCACCACTGCAGTGCGGAAAATCTTCAACTGTGGAGGTATTCCGGGAAAGTCTTCCCACCCCTTGAGAAGTCCCTAGGATTCGGCGGAGAGGCAGCTTTCATGTTGATCGTCGCCTACACGAGCAGCGAAGCGACGGCGATCGCGGCCCTCGTCGCCGCCGTCGGATTCTCAGGATTCGCCATATCTGGTTAGTCTTTTCGAGTATTTCGAAGTGACTCATATTTCCAATCCTCTAACTTTCAATTTCAAAAAATTCGACTCATTTCAGGATTCAACGTCAACCACCTGGACATTGCTCCACGATACGCGGCCATCCTCATGGGATTCTCAAACGGAATCGGAACTTTGGCCGGTCTGACGTGTCCTTTCGTCACCGAGAAGTTCACTTCAACCAGCAGTCATGGTTGGACCAAGGTATTCTATCTAATAAACCCAAGAAATCACGAGCATTTCTAGGTATTCTTGTTAGCTAGTCTTATCCACTTCACGGGTGTCACTTTCTACGCAGTATACGCTTCCGGAGAACTTCAGGTGTGTTCAACCTGTTGTTCCAGAAACCTAGCAAACTTCTTTAGCCTTGGGCTGAGCCAAAAGCCGAGGAAGAACCATGGGCCAATAATTCCCTCGTCAATAAAACAGGCGTTAACTCAGGTGAATCTTCGAACGTAAGAAGGAATGCACGTTCAAATTTTTCAGGAGGTTATGGAGCGGCAGAGGAAACGAGCTTTGTCTCCGTTCCAGCTGCTGCAGTCAAAAATCCTTCAGGTGAGTCTAAAGTTTTTCAAAACTTAGAAGAAAGGAAAGTTCAGACTCGAATCCGTTCGCACCATCTTGGGATGAGCCACAGAGTAACGTCTTGGCCAATCCGCATTACCAACAATGGTAGTGCAAATAGTTATAATAAAAAATTTCTTATTTATAATTCATGATATTTTTGTGTTTTCTAGTCTTCGAATAGTCATTTCAAAGCAATAAGAAAATTGTATTTTTTGAAATCGTATAACAACAACAAGACAACAACAGGAAAAAAAAACAAATCGAATTCAACCAATAACAAAACATTAGTTCAAGACATTCTTGATCTCCTGCTTGGACAGTTTACCTTTTTTGATCTTCTTCATAAGACGGATGTCGCTGTGGATGTCGTCGCCGGAGTCGTCGGCCTTTCTTTTGGGGGCCTTCGTCTGTTCTTTGTGCTTGTTCTTTTTCGCCAACTTCAGCTTCTCTTTTTTCGCTTTCTCCGCAAGGACCGAAACTTTTCTCTCGTGCTTCTCCTCCATTGCCTAAAATCACACGGTATTTTTTTTTAAATATCATGGAGCACGATTTTCCAGAAGCGACTTCCTCAAATGCAGATTTTGGACCGAAAATTTTAAAATAAAAAGACAGAACTTACCTTTTATAATGTCGTTTTGTTCATATTCTCTTTCACAAAACTTCTCATTGACTGAGAATCCAATACTTCTTACTCTAACAAGAATAAGATCTTACTACTGTCCAATCAATGAAGAAAACTTTTTTTTAAAAATATATCTTTATGAAAATCTTAAAATTTAACTTCTGAAAACGCACCGATTCTCGTCCAGCTTCAAGTTTAGGATCGGCATACTTGATCGTCGACGTTTCAATAGAACTTCGGTCAAATCTAAAACATTAGTTTAGAAACTATTATCGATACTTTAAAGAAAAAATATATCAAGTTACTTCTCCAAGTCCTTCCTCTGGGCAAGTTCGCGCATCTTAGGTAGTCTCAGCAGGCCGTAGGAATTCGCAAGGCCAACCACATCCAAATCTATAAAAAAAACCTAATAAAAGTTTTTTTAAGTCCTTCAAAAACCAACCGTCCAAAAGAACATACAATATTGCAATCGTGCTTGACGTAGGCTTCAATATGGCTCACAAACGCTCGAGTTCCAGCTTCCAGAATAGCTCTGAATAAGAATAAATTCTTTCAGATCAAGTAAAAAATTTTTTATGAATTTTCATGGAAAAGATCCGAAAGATTTAAAAAAAAACCTGTCAGAACACTGGATTTTGATCATTTTCTGCCGAAGTTCTTCCGCTTTTCGTGCGCTACTTGTTGGCACGCTGATCTCTTTCAGCGCCACCTAAACGATAGAAGAAGTTTTGTCAAACTTTTCCATACTGAATAGTCCTCGGACCCTTCGAATGAACTACTACGCGCCAAATCGACACGAAAAAAACTTTCAACCAAGGGAGAAAAACGTGTTTGGCTGAATTTGCAAAATTTCAAAAATGAAGAAAAGCTACCTTCTCATGCTGACTGACAAAGTTCACATAGGCCAACTGTTCGGTTCCAATGATAATCAGTGCATTTCCCTCTCTTCCGCATCGGGCAGTTCTTCCCGCGCGATGAATGAACCAACTGAACTTGGAGTATTGTTAAGATACAACAAAACAAGATAAAAATTTCTATAATCGGTCAGTCTTGAAAAAAAAATTCAAATAGGTGTTCATAACCTAACGAGCTTAAGTTTACCTATACTATCCTTCCGCGAAATTGCCTTTTAACCACAAAAAATTTTCACGGAATATTATTAGACCCATAATAGTCCACTCGTGTAACATCGTTCGCCTAGAAGGACCGCATAAAGAACATATCAAAGAATTTAAAAAGTGTTATTTTTATAAATAATCCGTCAGATTATCCAAGTACAATCCATAGGTAAAACTGAAAAGTTCCTTTGAGGATCCTCAAAGGATCCTGAGAGGGAGATAAAAAGCTTCCTCTAAAAGCTCCTAAAATGTAAAAAAGCTTTTGAGCACCTTTTTCATAGCCTCAGAGGATCCTTTTTGAATCCTCTCGGATCTTTTTAGTTGCTTTCCAGCATCCTTTTTGTCAGAGGATGTGAAAAAGACGCAAAAAAGAATTGAAATGATGTAAAAAAGATCTGCTGGGGACCCTTTGCAAGGTCTTTTTTGAGAAAAGCTTTTGGGGAGCTTTTCAGTTTTGCCCGAGATCATGGTTAATGGCTAAAAAATATAATGTTAAATATCCAACAATAAATAGTTTTTAAAACCTTGATAGCTTGGGCAGCTCGAATTGAATGACCCAATCAATGTCAGAAATATCGATTCCTCGGGCCATAACGTCCGTGGACAACATCACGCCATTTGAACTTTCAGAGAACTGAAGAATACTTTTTTTCATATGAATAAGATTTTTATCGCACCTTCTGAATTTGAGTTGCTCTCTGTGAAACATTCAGACCTTTCCCGAAAACTCGGAAAAGCGGTCTTTTTGTGAGACATCTCGTGAATATCTGTGATCAGAGAGTGAAATAGAATATTGATAGTAATGTTTTGTCAAACCTGATGAAAGTACTGGACAGCGCTACATGAAGGGTAAAAAATCAAAAACTTCTTATCGGGTCTCTGACGGATAAATTCCAAGCAACGGAGCGTTTTCTCACTCGTTTCACATGACTGAAAATCAGCCGATATTCAATTTTTTCTAATCAAATTTCAGACCGTATAAAAGTTGTTGAGAGAAGAAGGAACTACAGTTTCCTCTGAATGTGTAACTTTCACTTTTTTGGCGTTTCTCAGGCCAAAAGAAGCCATTTCGTCGTATTGTTTAGTCTGAGTGGCCGAAAAAAGGCCCGTTCTCCTTTGTTTGGGTAAAGATGCCAGAATGTCTTTCAAACTGAAATGAATAACTATTTACCGAAAGGAAATCAAGATGGAAATCACTAACGCGACTTCAAACTGCGATTCGGAGAACCGGTCGGCTTCGTCAACTATCAGAACTTCCAAGCTCCGGAAACATCTAAAAATATAAATCCTGAGAGATGAAATGAGCTGAAAAATAACCTTACAAGGTGCGCTCGTTCTGCTTCAAGCATGCTGTACAAACGGCCGGGAGTTGCGATCAAAATATTCGCGCTGGAAAGTTTCCATCAGAAACAAAAAAAAACAACAAAAATACCTTCCTTCCTTGAAATTCTTCAAATCTTTTTCTATTTTATTTCCTCCGGTCGATGTCCTCACTGTCAATCCCAATTTTTCCGCATATGGGAGTGCAACCTATTGAATTACTTGTATCAAATCTGACAAAATTCAAAAACCTTTGAAATTTGAGTAGCCAACTCTCGCGAAGGCGACAGTATCAATGCTCCGATTTCATTCTTTTGCAACTAAATCATATAAAACATGAAGAAAAATGTAGAACTGAGTTAACCTTCTTTTTCTGCAATATAGTGAAAAGAGGAAGAAGAAAAGACAAAGTTTTGCCAGATCCAGTTGGAGACTCCACAACAACATCGGAATGGTTCAAAAGATGGGTTCCTGACAAAACCTTAAAAAAAACTTCTCTTATTTTTCATTGCATTTTTCTAATTTTTTTAAATAAAGCCATCCTGCTTAAGCGAGGATGATCTTATGCGCTCCTCGGCTACTGAGCTTCAAGAGGAGGAATAGGAGCTCAACCGATCGATATTTTGCGCTAGCGCGAAAATTTTTTTCTCTTAACTCTTTTTTCTTTATAAACCTTTATAGAACTTCTACTTTTTTACAGCAAATGAACAATAAGGCGAAAAACAGTCACAACTGGGGCGATTACTACTACCAAGGAAGCAGGCCGAAAGGAAAAACTAAGTGGATCTTGGACATGCTCAACAACGTCAATGATTCCATTCCTTCATTCAACGATCTGTTTGATGAGGTGGATAACTAAATTTTTGAAAAAAAAATTTATTTCGTTTTCAGGAAACTTTCTACGTTTTCGCCTTTTTCGTCGTCATAGCCAGCGTCATCTGCACAGTTATACTGGCGAAAGTTTTCAAAGTTAAAATAAAAGAGCACGAAATACAAGTAAACAGAGATTGGGGTGAGCCTCGGCCGGCCAACCCCTTTCAGTTTCCTTGGAAACAAAAAAGTGAATAAATACTTGTACATGTATGTTTTCGTTAAGCAATAAACAGTGTTTCGAGGGCAATAAACGAATAATAAACTTACTTGAACATCAGTGAACTTCTTGAAGGATTGATCAAATACTTCTAGAATTTCTCGGGACAATCTTTCGCGGAAAGTTCGTTGGGCCACTGAACCGAACTTTGATTCACCCGAAGCCATGGCTGCAATGATTTTTCATTTGCAGATATGCGTTAAAAAATATTTTCTAGCAAGGTTTTTAGAATTATGGAAAGATTCATGAATATTTATAACTTGTTCATCTGAATGTGTTACCGAGAAAAACACAAAAAAACTTTTTTTCATGGGCGCTCCAAAGTTGCTCCAAAACAACCCTTTTTTTGGAGCATTTTTTGCAATATGTAAAAGGTTTCCTGTTTCCAGCGGAAGGAAAAAGGCCTAAAAAATGAGATAAAACGCCTGAAAAAAACTTTAAATTAAAAAAATAAATTCGCAAATACGATAAGTCTTGAGAGAGCTCTTTAGTGATTTCACAGAGCGCATTTTCTTTTTTCTATGTTTTTTTTGTTTTTTTTGTACAAAATTTTATCGGTACTTTCTTTGTAAACTAAATGAAGAAGGGAAGTGGCGAGAAAAAATGTGTGTCTTGTGGTTCTTCGAGCTTCAACCTTCTAGATGGCCTTCTCTACTGTGATGTTTGCGGCGCTCATTTTGAGGTTTTTGGCTTCTTCTTTTTTTCAAGTCTTCATTAACTTTTTCAGCAATTCCAAGAGTTAGAGCATGATGAGAACGCTCAGATTATTGGAAGAACCAAAATACGTGTGAAAAAAAATAAAGACGATGTAAATCGGACAAAAAAGAAAAGGGTAGAGAAGCGAAAGGTTGTTGAATATTTGAAAAAAGATATTTTAAAGAGTATTTTCTAGGTTGATCAGTTCCCGAATAATTTCAGCACTGGCCCTTCATGTTCCTATGTTCCCAAGTAGGGTTTTTCAAACCTGAAACAATTTCTTCGATATAATTGGAAGCGAAGATACATTTTTTTTTTCAGTTTGGTTGAAGAGCCGCCCTGGGCGAAAACTCCAGAATATTTCTATCGAATGGGCGTCAGAATAGCCACTTTTTCTTCGATTTTGATGCGATGTTCTTTGATAATGCGTAGATCTATGCGACTTCCGGAAGGTTATACGGTAAGTTCCATGAGGAGGAGTGAGAAGGAGAGAGCGAATATTTCTTTTTCAGAAAAGTTGCTACAGCGTGTTCCAACGGTATTTGAAATGTAATGACGTCGCTTTTACCGAAAAAGAAGTCTGTGAAGATACAGAGGAAATGTTCGTAGCAATGGTCGCGATAGAAGAAGAGTTCGTGTTTTCTCTTTCTCATTTGGTTCAGTACATGATATTTCAGTAAAGTAGAAAAACGCGTGTCCAAGAAGAAAAAAGCAGAAATGAAGAAAAAAAGAGGGCTGGAGGCTTTGAGCACGTCCCAAGCTGCTTGGACGTTTCTGACCCAAGGAACTCTCGATGAAAATTTAGCCATGTCCTCGGATAGCGAAGCCTCCGTTGATGTTTGCACTTCTATAATCATTTGATCGTATTTTTTTGAGGGGAAAGAAGTTACTAACAATTTTATTAACTCGTCTTGTATCCAGACGGTTGAAACCCAAATTTCAAAGGACTGTGTTACCAATGTGAGCTTTCGCATCGCTTCGAAGCAAATCAACGTTTTCAGGCATGTCGGGTGCATCTAGACCCTGAAGTTCTGATTTCTATACTTTATCTAGCGGCTTTGTGTTGTTCTTGTTCTAATATTCTCCTTTCAGACCTCGTCAGGTGAGTCCGTTTGGTATCGAATTATTTTTTTGGAGTCGCGCATGTTTAAGACAGTGTTACTGCGGCCGGTGGCCGGTCAATATTGCGCTGTCAGTTTCGGAGCCAGGAAATTTTTTAATTTTTTTTTCTTTTTTTGCAATTTGTTAAGGACCTATTTCTCGAGGTTACAAGACAAGTTACGCCACAAAAAGTACACAAGTTTTCATTTTATTACCCAAAAACCTAGCTTGATTACCGTAATACGTTCGGCCGCCTTGAACATGCGTGGAGTTTTGTTCAATTTTTAGATGGTTCCGAGAAGATCGATTCAAAATTTCTCGTAAAGAGTTGTGTCTTCTCAAAAACTTTGGATATGAAAAAAAGACACAAATGGACCCAAGTTCTATGCAAGATTTGGTAAGAGGAAAGTTATAACGATGCTATTATTTCATTGAAATATTTCAAAAATGAAGAAAAAGGAAAAAATACGGGTTTTGTTGTTCAGAATATACTTGGTTTTTCCTTGATTGATGATCAAATGAATGAAAAAGAAAGTTTTTGAGAAAGTAGCTCGAAAATGCTGAAAAGGGTCAATTGTTTCTTGAATAGCAGTATATATTTACCAGTTATTTTTTTTTCCATCACGTTTTTTTGAAAAATTTTTTTGAGTGTGAAGAAAGCTCGACGTGGTGGAATGGATTCTCAAGCGTAAATATTTTATAATATTTTTTTTGTTTTTAGAAATCAAGATGAATAAAATATTGACTTCAGCGCTTCCCCTTGTATGAGATTTGCCGCAGCGTTTCTTGCATGTCTCAATCTTTGGTTCTAGATGTGTATTTCACTTCACCGACATTTGAGAAGGTTCAGAAACCATTAGAAAAAAAAGAGTAAAAATGATCGAATTTGAAGATTGCGGCGCGAATCGCATATAGTTTGAACTTGCCCGAAGAAATGCTCCAACGAGTTCTGTACTTGCACTCCACTATGCCTGCGACTCTCGACGTGTCCGCGAACTCTTGGAAACGCCAAGCTACGCTTTCTACTGTAAGTTCAGAACGACATCAGAAAATTTGAAGAAGAAAATTATTTACTGAAAAGAGGCTATGTCTATGCTTTGGCTTTTCTCAAGAGAAACTAATCGTTTATTGAATTTCTTTTGGTGTCTCTTTTTATGGCTTTCTGAAGTCATTTAGAGGGTCGTTTGGTTTGAACAGATTTCTCAAACAAAGTTCAAATTTAGTATCAAAAGGTGCTTCCAACTATTCAGACTTGCATTACGACGATTTTTTAACAGAAAATGAACCCTTTTCTTGCTAGTCGAAAGGGTTTTTCGAAATGTTTTGGGAGGATTTCCGGCGCTCGAAATTCTTCTCGCATTTCTGTGGAGTAGAGTTTTTTTTATTATTAAAAGGAAAGAGAAAATTCAGTGTGACCATTTCTCCTGAAACAAAAGTGATTTCTTACTTCATTATGGCTATCAAATTGTTTTGCGGATTGGAAGAGAACAATGATTCTGGTAAGAGAAATTTCAATGAATCTTCGAATTATTCAAATAGGAAAGGAAGTTTTCGACTTTTGCGATTGGCTGATGCAGCTGAAGATGCGGATCGGAAGCAGTTGTGGAAAAGACTTCAGAGAAATATTCAAGAAAAAGTAAAAGTCTTTTTTGTCTATTTTCGAGTACGATTCACCGCTGGTCGATCGGCGTTAGCTAATCAGTGGTTTTTCATTATATTAACTGGATAATAGCTATAACTATCCCGTATCCTGCTCCGGAATACCCGGTGCAACCGCAAATGTCAGGTAGAAAAGGGATAGTATCTAGATACCTCTCCGGTAGTATCCAAGTACCTCCTCCATGATATCTACATGGTACCCGCTAGCTAATAAGCGACCACCGATTAGTTCACGCTGATTGATTTTTGATTTTCAGTGCCGTCAATCATGAATTGGTTGCTCCGAAGCCATTTGACGACCATATCAGCTTGCGGTTTTTTCCTCTCCCATTAAGCTCAAGTAAAAAATTTTCAAGGAAACAAAAGGGAGGTTTCGGACTAGACGAACGGTCTCGAAAATGCGATTTCAAAAGAGCGATTCCTCAATTATTCACTCCAAATTCGGTAGGTCTGATTTTTAATCTTTTCCCATCTTTTGCACAGACTTATATTCTTCCTACGGTTTTCCTGGACGCGGAAAAGCAAAATGACGACCTTGACACTGATTCTTTATTGGGTAAGGTCTTTCAAAGCCTTCTGCAGTTATTTTTTGAAGCTCCTCTCCGACATCAGGCTTCTTTACTGAAAATCCAACTACGCGAATCTTCTCGAAATTTTTCGGAAGTAGATCTGCCCATAGCCGATATTTTCCTCAAGAATTTTTCGGTACGCATTAAAGAAGTTTTTTTAAATTTCTGTTAAGAGATTGACCACGTCGGATGTTGATGGAACTTTTGATGAGTATTTCCCGATGTCTAAATTTTACGAGGTACGTTTAGTTGTACGCTGGAGATACGTAAATATTTTTGAAATATTTTTTGTAGTTCTAAAGGATTTTCAAGACTTTTGATCACATGTTTTTGAGTTCTTCACGGACATACTTACAGAAGTATCCCAGACCAGACTATGCCAACGGCTGTGTCGCTCGTTTTTCTTACGACAATGCGAAAATGGAAAATTTTAATAATCGAATGGACACAAAAACTGTAGGCTTCTTTCAAAGTCAAAATATAATCAAGCGGAAAGTTTCAGTTGGCGGGGGAGTACAGGATGTACCTATCATTGAGGCTTTCGGAAGAGGTCTACGGCTTGGCTTCTCCGCATTTCTCGCCAACTTTCAATAATCTCCTGCGAAGTTTCGCGGCGATCATTGGTATATATAGGAGCAGAAAGAAAAGAATTTTAATTCATTTGCATTTAGGCGAAGACGAGGTTGTTTTGTACTCATCGTTTTTGTTGCTGGAACAAGCTCTATTGGAAAGCGGGAGGTGAATTCTTATTCTTTCTCAAAAAAAAAACCTAGCTTTTGCAGGATAGGGATGGTTAAGAGAATGCTTCTGAAAGGTCAACCAATTCAAATGGAAGCGAAACTTTTCAAGGTTTTGATGAAAATATTTTTAGTTTCACTTTTTATTTTAAGGAACGTGGAAAGTCACGAGAATCCAAGATTATCGTCACGACTTCGAAATCGATTGATGACATCAAAGAGCTGAATTTGTTCCGTTTTGGTGTTCCACAGTGGAGTAGGTCGAATAGAAGGCGTTTGCTGAAATGAATGTTCAGTCGCCGAGGAGTTTGAATATGGCCTGTTGCGTAAAACCAGAAAAGATTACCCCGAAAGTGATAATGACGAGAGCGACGACCTGATGACTTCAAGCGCGGAGGAGAGCGAATTCAGTAGTTAATGGTTCAATAACTTTTAATTAAAAAGGGATTTCAGACTGTAACGATCCTTCGAGAGAAAAACCAAAGCAATCTACAGTGAGGGTAAATTTCAAATTCTGTAAAACATATTCTTCTGGATAATTTTCAGCATGGGTTGGGTTTCAATACGGTTTGGTCAATCTTCGCACTCAAGTATTGGTGATTCCTAATTTTTTCACTTTTTGATATCCCCTGTTACAATTGTTGAATAAATTTTTTTATGCGATTATGTTCAACTTTTAGAAGGTTAGACAGCCGAAACTTACATTGATTTCCTATCATACGCTTTTTTTTCGAAGTATTTCTATGTCAATACTGCAGTTAACTTTTTTTCAAGATCAAAAAGACGAAAAAAAAAACGGTGGGTCTATTCACCTTCCCTAACCACCTTTTGAATTTTCGCGGGCTCTTTGTCATGATTATTTTCGTGAGGTGCCTGCGGCGTCACCGACTACAGTAAGGTAATAATGCCTGCGAATCTTACGTGTCTCTGTAGCAAAGCGCGGTTTTGTCATGCTGCTTTCGCTTAAGACAGCTGTTTGTCTCGATATCCTCTGATCATCAACGATTCTTTTAGTTTTTGAAGCGTTTTTTTCTCGTTTCTATCCGTCTGTTCTCTTTTTTTCTCTAAAATTTTCCAACTATAAACTGAAAATTTTCAGTTGCAATGTCCGGCGGGACAATCATGGATACTATTACTTCTCTTCCTCATCAGAATGACCAAAATGTTATTCGACACTTGACTAATTTCGGTAAGTTCTTAACAGGAATAACTCGTGTCGTTAGTGATATTTTTGATTTGTCTTTTTTGTATATCTCAGAATGAAAAACTATTTTATAATCTTTTTAATCATTTTAGTTAAATCACCAGCCACCGATGATGCAGATATCAAAAAGAAAGAAGAATCAATTATGGAATTGGGAAATATGTTGGCGCAGTCAAAACAAACTGAAGCGCTCAGAAACGTTAGTTTAATTTAGTTTCGATGGCCTATGTTAATGATAAATTCAGATGATTGAGCAAACGCGTCCTTTTTTGATTTCTTTGGGTAAGGCCAAAGCAGCGAAGCTTGTCAGAGATTTGGTGGATCTTTGCTTGATGATTGATGATCAAGACGGCGATATTAAGGTTAGTTTTTGTCAATGGTTCATATTTTACGTTTTTGTTATTCTTTTGATTTTGAATACCTTGTTTTTTATTCGTTCCCTTCAGGTCAGTCTCGTGAAAGAATGTATCCAATGGGCATCCGAGCAAAATCGCACATTCTTACGTCAAACACTGGAGGCGCGTCTTGTGAGATTGTACAATGACCTTCATCGTTACACACAAGCTTTGCCCTTAGGTTTGTTCTCTAACAACTGATCTCGTAATTGTTGAATGTCGGTTTGAAGCTGCGGATTTGATTCGCGAGCTCAAAAAGTTGGACGATAAAGACGTTTTGGTGGAAGTTGAGCTAGAAGAAAGCAAAGCTTTCTACCATTTGTCGAACGTTGGCCGAGCTCGCGCTTCTTTGACTGGAGCCAGAACCACCGCAAATGCCATCTATGTCAATCCCCGCATGCAGGTATTCATCGGAATTTGGAAGAAAAAAACTCAGTTTCCCAAAACGTTCAGGTTCCATTTTTTTATTATTTACTAACTTTGAGAGAAAAGTAAGGAAAACCGAGAAAGCTAATCTTTCTTCAAATTTTTTGTAATGTTCATTCTTGATAACTTGTTTCTAATTTTTGTAATTTAAAAGAGAGCGAAAAATGTTTTTTCCGATGATTTCACAATTGAAAAAAGGGAAGTTTGATTGTATTGCCTGATTTAATATTTGAGATAATTCAGATTTTAGCGGTTTTTTTTTTAATTTAAAAAGGATCGATGTTTTCTCGTTTTCATCCGTTTCTGGTATTTTGCAGACAATTTTAGAAAATGGGAAAAGAGTGGGCGAAGAGTTAAAATAGAGGTATTAGAAGAGTAGGGGCAACGTATTTCAAAGTGATTAGGAAATGTTTGTACGGCCTTTTTTAATTTTAAAGCCTTTGTTTTTAGGCTGCGCTCGACCTTCAATCTGGAATTCTTCACGCAGCTGATGAGAAAGACTTCAAAACAGCATTTTCTTACTTTTACGAAGCTTTCGAAGGTTACGATTCTGTTGATGAGAAATCTTCCGCACTTGTTGCGTTGAAATACATGCTTCTTTGCAAAGTTAGTTTTTTTTCCGTTATTTTCTTTTATCGAAGGATGATTTCCAATAATTTAGGTTATGCTGGACCTCCCTGATGAAGTGAACAGTCTGCTTTCCGCCAAATTGGCCCTCAAATATTCTGGACCTGATATCGAAGCGATGAAGGCGATTGCTGTCGCTGCACAGAAAAGGAGTCTCGCCGATTTCAACACCGCTTTCGGCTCTTATCCCCAGGAACTTCAGGTTCGCGCAAATAGTTTCGGGACACAATGGCATTTTTCAGATGGATCCTGTTGTCCGGAAACATTTCAATTCTTTGAGTGAAGTTATGTTGGAAAAAGATTTGTGCCGGTTGATTGAGCCATATTCTTTCGTTCAAATTGACCAGATCGCACAGAAAATTCGAATCGACCGGTCCAAGGTAATATCTCTATATAAATTAATCGTTTTATGAGTAGATAAAGAAAATTTACAGACGTGATTATCATTTCATGACTATTTTTCTCTTTTCGAGATAAAAAAGGAAAAAATAGCCGTCCCAATGGTTAATTCGATAATACTCCACATATTTCTTTGATAATAATTATTAACGACTATAATATTAAAAGAAATTGCTTCCAGAGAAGGAGAATACAAATAAGACGTATACGTGAGTATTTATATGGAAAGATAATAGCGAAAACCAATTCGTTTTCAAAGTAATTTCCGTGAAATCCAAAGTGGCCGTCAGAGAAAGAAAAAAGATAATCAAATTTCGGAGAGTCGGAGACCATTTTGAGTTTGCCGGAAGTTACTTTGAACACGGCACTAGTATCATTCGATCAATCATTCATCATGTTTAAATCTATTTATGAAGCAACTGTGACGTAGATTATTTGGCTTCGGAGGCTAGAATTAGCGGATTTGTAATTTTTCCGGCCGAGCTACATTTTGATGCTTGCAGGTTGAGAAGAAGCTGTCGCAGATGATCCTCGACCGGAAGCTCTCCGGCTCCTTGGACCAAGGCGCTGGAATGCTCATCGTCTACGACGTCAGCCCTCCTGACGCCGCCTATCAATCGGCTCTCGACACCCTCCACGCGATGGGAGAAGTCGTCGACGCTCTGTACAACACCGCCTCCAAGTTACATTAATTTATTTCTTACGGCTCCGTTTCAATCTTATTTTTTCGTTCTTGTATCTCCTAGAACCTCAGAATCGGTCTGAACATTACCCTAAGAATGTTTCACCTCACTTTACTCCAGTCATTGTGCTTTTATTTTTATTTTGTCGTGGATCGAACGAAAAGTATACTTTGCAATGTGATTCCGCAGGGGTAGAATCTGGATCACATTTTTTTCCCCAATCCCAAAATTCGTTTTTCTGTTTACCTTGTGAAATTTGTGTTTGGATTGGTATTGTTTTTATTTGTTTCATTTCCTGCTTTTGTATAGCCTGCATAAATACTGATTCCAATAAAGATGATTGAAGTGAACTGAAATGCCATCTGAACTTTTGGTGAATAATACCTTAAACGGTTTGATCTTTGGTGGCCCATGACCAAAAACATGGACGTTGGCGCGGCGACAGGGGTCAAAAAAGACCAAGTTTTGTGTGGAGAAAATGTCGATGATTGGGAAAATTTTTCTCGCGAATACAGTGCTTCCGGTTGTGGCTGGGCGCGTCGGTGGTGTCGCATGCCGATTGGATTGGTTCTCGGGAGGTGTGCATTGGCCTACGTCGACGAGCTGCTGGCCCACTCCTCCGTTCATCGTCACAAATCCTTGCAGTTTACCTTCCAGGTAGAATAACGGCGGAAAAGAAAAGGAAATGTCACTCAAAAATCTAAAAATCATTTTTTTTTTTTTCATATTGCGTCGTAACGGAGCATGACTTCAATTTCGCATTGCTTTTGATCGCTTTGAAACATTTCAAAAATAGCCTTTTTTTCAGTTCTGAGGAAGCTTTCTCGGTTTTCACTCGACGTGCGGTATTAATAAATATTTTTTTGTTAAAAAAATTTTTGGCTCATATCAAGAACCTAGCTTCGACCAATAATACCTTAATTTATTTTTCCTTAAACAAACCTATAAACTTGAGACACAGTTTTTCTTAAGTTTTACGCATAGTTTAAAGGCAAAGTTAGTGACTCCCAAAATTATAAGTTTGATCAAGCCTTTCATGGAATTTTTAAGTATTTCTTCAATACTGAACCGATCGCTTCACTTTTTGATAACTCTCCCCAGGAATTTTGAATTTGCTTTGAATTTTTAATTTTTTGAATTACTCAAGAAAAAAAGAATTATACGATTTATCCCATCTTTATTGGAACAGTTGTAAAAAGTCACGTGACGGTATTCACCGCTAGCTTAAGACAAAACTCGCAGGGTTCTTTTCTTTTCTCACACTATTTCACTATTATTTTTTCACTATCATGTTTTTAATTATTAAGTTATGGATCAAATTTTATTCTAGTAATCAACAGTAAATAATCAAGGATAGAAAAATAAGTCTTGAAAGTCTGATATTTTGAAAAGTTGTTTTTCAGTGTGAGTATACAATAAAAATGATAAAAAAAGGAGAAAAAAATTATATGAAAGTATTCATAAAGACTTGATTAAAAGCGTATTTGGCATGCCTTTGCCAGCATTGACGCGTCGTCGGGCTGTAGATCGTAAATCATGGGATGTAAGACGAGTGTTGCAGCGTCTGTTGGTGGTTTGCGGCAAGTCGCAGCCGACAGTCTCGACGCACGTCGCGCGGATCATCCTCGCTGCCTACGGCTTCATCTCGGTGAACACGCCGGCGAAGAAGTTCGTCGACGAGGCCACGGCTACTCAGCTTCTTTCCTTGGTTTGTTTTCCCGTCTTCTCCGACAGACTTGGTCTTTCTGCAGATTGTGCTCTTCTCGTCTGAGGTGAAACCCGGTCGCAGCGAAAGTGAAATCACAGGCGCTCGTTACATTTTCGAAGCGGTTTGCCTCGAAATCGTGAAGAGGCTCAGCGGCGCCGACGAACTCCAAACCGCCACCGTTCTTCGCAACTTTTTGAAGAAGGTTTAAACCTTTTTTTCTCAGTTCAAAGAAAGGCTCTTCGAACTGATTGAAATTTCAGGTTTCGACAAGTATTGAACCGTCTCTGAGTGTCGTTCTCCTGTCTCAAGTTGCCGCTAGTCCGTCGATCAGTCGTTTCCTCGAACCGCTTTTTGCTCAGTTCATCACTCAAAACGGTTTTTTTTTCGGGAAAATGCTCTGAGAAAATGGATCGTAACTGAAACAGGAAAAATAATACTGAATAGTCCTAGTTGAGGTTTTTCTAGAGGACTGAGGCTGGAAAGGTAGTGAATGAGCTGAGAGCAAGCCTTTACGAGTTTTTGGGTTTTTTTTTATTCTCCAGTTTCGTTTGTAACGAGTATTATACTTTGCGAAGCTTGCCTCTTGCCGAATAAATAATCAACTTCTGAGTGGTTTAAGAATAGGATTTTCCACTCGGTTCCACACAGAATAGGGAGTTTGAATACTTTTTTTTTTCCAGGGAAGTGTTCACTTCGCGAAGGTGTAGTGGTGGAAATTATCGCGAGCTATTTGAACACGGACGCGATAAAACATTACAAACACCTGAACAGCGACCCGGTCTCTGTTATTACCTTCCTCAAGGTGCCTATTTTTGTCTGTTTATTTGTTTTGTCATTTTTTGTTCTCTCTTTGAAATGAATATTTTTTTTTCATTCTTTTTGTAATTTTTCCATTTTCAGACGCAAGGTGGAGCTTACGCTGAATTCGCACAGGCCTTGGTTCACAGCTTGTGTTTGCTTCTGAGGGAAACTGGTGGCCTGGAAATTCCCCCTGAACGACCTTTGGATCAGTCGGATAAAACTGTTAAGGTATTTTTTTCAAACAGATTTCGTTAAAAAGCTTATCTTTTGTACATCAAATACTCTATGATTAGTTTGGTAATAGAAGAAATTGAGGCAAAAGGCCGTGGTCCCAAAAATTATTTCAAAATATTTGTGAGTTCCGTGAACAAAAATTCACAATCAGTTACCAAGATTATTATTCACTCCTGGAAGAAATTAGGAAGTTTTCAGCCTGTTCGAGCTTTGATGGAAGACATTGCCATCAATGCTCTGATCGCTGCTTTCCGGTACTATGGCCCCGCTTGCACTGAAAGCGAAGATTCCATCGAGGAAGCTCTCGGAAAGTTCTCTGTTCGCTCAGGTTTTATTCTCAGATCAATTTTCCTTTCCAGTAAACCTTCTTTCATCTCAGATTTGTGTACGCCAAGGTCAATTGGTCTGTCTTTGATGTACATTATCGGGGATTGCAATGATAATATGCTTGAAAGGTGCGACTTTTTTCTCGTTTTAGAAATGAAATTGTATACTTTTTCTCTCATCTTTGAATCAATTTTCTTTGAATTAATTTTCGAACTTCAGGCCAGCAACGGAGCAGGGAGTTCAGACGGTCTGGAATGGAAAAATTTTCGTCAAAGGCATAAACAATATTGTAAGCTTTTCGGCAAGGCAACTACTCTAACCATAACTTATAGAACCGCTTCCTCGTTTGGAGCGACATCTTGCGAGAACTCGACTTCCCGAGCTTTCGGTTGGAACGCGTTTCTCTGATTTTCCTCTGTGACGTCATTTCGGAAGCCTCTGAAGAATTCCCAATAAGCTTTGTCTACACCCCTTGGAAAAACAGGTCGTTTAAAGCTTCGAATCTATTAGGAATCGTCAACTTTTCAGCGTCGCTCAGCTGAGTTTCTTGTTGAAAATCGTGGAGAATTCGGATGTTTTTTGTCTGTTCAACTACGAACACACCCATGTTGTGCAGCCATCCCTCAACTTGAAAATGTTGCCGGACGAAAACGATAAATCAGTTGCGAACTGGTGCGTTCAACGGCTTTTCAATCTCAAACTGTTGATTTGAGGTGTTGCCTTGACCTGACCAACTGTCTCCTCACCATTGCCAATAAAGACCCAAACCTGCACAAGAACGTCATGCAAATATTCGATATTGGAATCGCTTATTGTCCTGATGTCGTCATTCTGGCCTTGATTCAATCTCCAGTTTCTTTGCTTTTGTTTCCAAACCAAGTGTTTTCTTTGAGTTGGCGTGGACACCCTTCAGAATGGAGATTTTCAAGAGTATTTTGCCGAAAGTCGTCATGCAGAACCTGAATGCAGTGCCAATTCTGAATTTAGCATGGAATTTAGACGTAATTCTCCTCTATCCGTAGAAAGATTATTTGGTTGATTCAGCCGGCTCCGCTCAAGCAAATGCATTCGATCATTCTGAACTCGTTGGCGAACCTCTACGTTCTTGACGATCAGCCCAGGCTCACGAAACTTTTGGATGTTTTTCTTCAAACAAATGTGTTCGTTCTAATTGGTTTGTCACAGATCGCCCACGAGCTGAAGCCTGCAGGCCTATCTGAACTGCTTTCATTGGCCGGAAAACATCTGCCGTTTGTCGTCGACCTTGCTTGCTTGGCTTCAAAGCGCGATTACTTGAAAATTGAAAAGTGGCTGGACGATAAATTCCGATCACATGATGTATATAAATACCTTGTTTTTTTTTTTAAATGTGAAGCTGAAATCCTAAGGAACCTGTCGTGGCAGCTGTTCTTTCCCATATTCAACGACGCTACAAAAGGCCAGCCTTGGTCACGGCTTCGGCTGCTGTTGCCAGCGGCTCTTCTGGCGATCCATTGTGTACTTTGCTGCAGTTTGTAAACACACGTGCAACTCCCCAACTACGTCAACAGTTTTCTACCATTTTCCAGGTGAACATTGTCATGTATAAGAACTCTCCGTCTCGTAAATGTTTCAACTATGACTTATTCCAAGTATCACTTTTTTTTTTTCCTTTTATCGCCATATTATGAGTTCCTTTTAATTAATATGGCCCAGCTCAAAATAAGTTTCGAACACAGATATGCTAGTTCTTCATGAATATAAAATACACTCAAGGGCGCCTTTCAACCGAAATTTTATTCACAAATACTTTGAAGGCAGCATAACATTGAAATAGCTGAAGTGCAAAAGACGAAAACAAAAGTGCAAAATGAATTCGCGGTGCCAAAATAAAGAAAGCAGCTTGTGTGCTCCAATAGCATACGCGTTGCGTTGCGATCGCGGCACGCCTCTGTTTGTTCGCGTGATTTTCATCAATTTTTCCTATTTTTATCTATTTCTGGATATAGGTTAGCTATTTGAATTTACTTTTGAAATAAAAAAAGAAAGCTGATAGAAATTTGCTTGCATGTAGAAGTTGTTTTTGATTCATTACTTCAGTGGTTTTGCGGTAGAAACCGAACAAAAAAGTCTGCTCTGTTTACATTTTTATTCTTTTTCTTTTCAGGTTATGAAAGAGAACTCGGGTAGGAGTTCGTCCGTCTCATCAGTGGGCGGGCGAAACTCCGTTCAAATGCCACCTGTTTTTGGAGCTGGTCCACCGGGACAAGATGCAAGAGGCATGCAACGAGTTCCTGCGTATCCTCCAACGAATCAGCAGCCTCCTCTCAATTTTCCTGGTCCTGGTCCTAATCAAGGCGGTGGACATATGCTGGTTTCTTTGCTGCGCATTTTAATTTATTATACATCAAGTTTCTAGCCTCCTCAAGCTTCTGGTGCGGGTATGAGTCTTCTCATGGGTATGAGTCCGTTTGGAAACTCGAATAGAGATTTATTGAAGGTTAAACTCTAAACCTGTATTTCAAAGAATCTTTTTGTTTTCAGTGTGTTCAGCCATCAGCTCCTCCTCCGCCATCGATGTCCCCTTCGAATCAAATGATGAGATCGACGGTTTCCAACGTTGGCATCCCGCCCATGCCTCAGCGCCAGGTATCTTTGTAATTGCTTTCAAAGAGGAATTTGCGGATAGAACTCTTCTGGAAGCTGGCATGGCGCGGTGGCTCGTCCAACTGGTCCTTCAACACCCAACCAACACATGGACTTCCGTTCTCAACTTCCGATGCCAAGCGGCGGCTCTGACTTCATTCCACAACGGCCTGGGCCAATTCCTCTTGCTACTCCTCAACACATGAATGATGATTTGTCGAACATAAACTTTGCCGAAGACGTACAGGAGGAGGCGAACTCGTACTTCGAGAAGGTTTTTTTTAAATATAAATTTGATGCTCTTCATTGATTTTTCTAGATATATTCCCCTAACGGACAGATGACAGTTCCTGATCTCATTCAAATGCTCAAGACCTTTAAGACATCAAATAATACTCGTGAACAGAAGGTAAAATTCTTGGACATATTTCATTAAAACTTCGATGTTATTCTCAGGTTTTGGCTTGTGTTGTCAAGAATTTGTTCGAAGAATATCGATTTTTCCACGAATATCCGGAACGAGAGCTGAAAACGACGGCAGAAGTTTACGGTGGAATCATCCGAGAAGGCATTATAGGGTAATACTCGATTCTAACAGAAGCAATACATACAAGCTGATTTTTAAGGAATGTGCAATTCGCAACAGCGGTGAGAAAGGTGATTGAATCTTTGCAAGCGGAACCTGGAAGCATGCTCTGGACGTTTGGATTGGTCGCTCTTCAACATTGCCGAACCAAGCTTAGCTTGTACCCGAAGGTGCTTTTTGAAAGAAGTATAACGAGATCTTATGAAAGTTTTACTGATAATATTTACATAGGTCATTTTTGCGTAGGGTTTGGAGTTTTTTATAAATTTGCTCAAAAAATCTTTGATGGACTGAGAATCGATACCTCATAGTTTGTCCAATTTTCAAGCAAGTACGGATTTTTTATTGATTTATTTTAATCTGAAAAAATGTTCGCTTGAATAAAACGTACGTGAAAACGTGAACAAAAAACTTCATTTTAATCTTCTTTTGTTTCGTGAATCATATTTTCAAAGGTCTGCTCGATGATACTGTCTCTGGAGAACTTCTCCAAGTTCCCTCAACCTCTGAAGGACTTTGTTGTCGCCGGAGTAAAAGGAGAACAGCCGCCGGATGCTGGAAGAGCGACCCCTCCAGTGGTTTGGTCAGCGAACCGGCCGGCTGTTGAGAACAAGATCGGAAACGTGGTCCCTACTAATCGAACGGTTTTTTGTAGCATTTTAACATCATTCATTATTTTTTGATTGTAGGGAAACTCAGTTTTGTCGTACACGAACGTTGATACTTTGGTTGCTGCAACGGAAAAAGACGGCGCCGAAATCGCGCAGCCACCGGAGTCAGTCGTCGACAAAGTGTCCTTTCTCTTCAACAACCTTTCGCACGCTAATCTTCACGCAAAGAAGGAGGAGGTGAGAATTTTTTTTTAGCTTTCTCAAATTGTTATTTAGTGAAATTCAGATTAAGATACAAAAATGAATAGCGAAAAATTTTTTTTTAGTTTTTCTACGAATCGTCCTAGCTTTAGGAAAACTATATATAGAACTGGAAACAAATGTTTAGGTCGTCGCGCTGATCGCAGAACACGGAGAACCGTTCACGAGGTGGCTCGCCCAGTATATCGTCATGAAACGTGTTTCGATCGAGCAAAACTTCCAGCCTCTGTACAACATTTTTGTCCATGCCATCGACAGTCGATTGCTCGAACAGTTGATTCGAAGAGAAACATTCAGAAATATTAGGGTTCGGGAGAATAGCTTTTTTGGTTCTAGCTTTGTTTTATTTGAAGATTCTGCTGCGTACTGACAAACGAACCAATGCGGCTTCGAACTACAGCGATCGACAGGTCCTGAAGAACCTTGGAATGTGGCTTGGATCCATCACGATAGCGAGAAACAAGCCGATCCTACTCAATGTTTGTTTGGTTTCAACATATGATTTTAAAATTTTTTTTAAAGGAACTCGATCTAAAGTCCTTGCTGCTGGAGGCTTATTACAAGGGCCAAGCCGAGCTTCTTTACGTCGTTCCTTTCATCTCCAAAATACTTTTGTCATGTGGAAAAACGACGGTTTGAACTCTAATCTCCTTCCTCTGAAAGTGACCAATTTCAGCTATTCACACCCAGTTGCTCTTGGATAAAGTCTATATTGAAGGTATTAGCAGAGTTACATAACGAACCGGATTTGAAGATCAATTTGAAGTTTGAAATCGAGGTTTTTTCGCTTTCGTAAAGCCGAATTCCATTTAATTTTGTACAGGTTTTGTGCAAAGAACTGTCTGTGGATTTGAACAGCATGCAAATCGACGGAATCCTCAAAGACACGGAGAAGTTGGTGCGAGTGACGCAGCAGTTGTGCGACGTGAAGGCACTGGGCCGACCTGACGTTCCAAGTCCCATCCCGACTCAAATGCGGCTGCCTGGCGAAACTTCCAGCGCTTCTCCTGCCATTGAAACGAAGGTTTCATTTAAATTTTTATTTCTCGCGGTTCTTAACCAATTTCTACTGTTAATGTGACTAAACATTAGAACTTTTTTTCAAACCTTTTTCGCAAATTTCTGGAGTCTTTTGATTTTGCTGAAAATTCTTTTCTTGGAGATTGGTCGGCGACATATTCACATGTCCAGTTTTCAATAAAAAAAATATTGTAGTAAGATGAATATATCAGTTTTTTATATTTTTGTCGTCTTCTATTCCACTTCATCTTTCAAAGATTTTCGAAACTATTCTCAAATATTCATAAGTTGTAACTCGACGGAAAAATACTTGCAGCCGTCGACGCCACAACCAGAAGGCGGCGAAGTGGCAACGACTGGGCCAAATGCTCCAGATCAGACGTCGGCGCCTGTCACGCACTTCTCTTACCACGACATCAACGTTCTTTCCTACGATGGACTCATCCCTCATGTCAAGATACAGGCTCATCTTCCGCTCTTCCATGTAAATCCTCTACCTATCTTCATTTTTAACAGTCCATTTTAAGCTTCACCCTCATGCTAAGCATTTGATTCGCCCTGCCATGACTCACGCCATCAAAGAACTCATTGGTTAGATTTTCATGAGATTTATTTTGAAAAATGTTTTTCTCAGGACCTGTCACCGAAAGAGCTCTGAAAATAGCCATGACAGTGACAGAAAACTTGATTAAGAAAGATTTCGCGCTGGACCCTGATGAGAAGAACATCAAGCTCTCTGCCTTCCATATGGTTTTCACTCGCAAAAAGACCTTTCATCAACTTGAAATTCAAGATGCGGGCCATGACTGCAGGGATGGCCATGATAACCTGCAGGGATCCACTTGCAAGTACCATGCTCGGCTATTTGACTCAGGCCTTCCAGACCTCTTTGAGATCAGCAGCCGCGAATCCAGAACTGGTCCGTTGTTCCCTTATATTTTGAAGTACAATTTCTTCCTTTAGCAAAAGCAAATCGAGGAAGCCGCGCAGGCAATCACGCAAGACAACGTCGAGCTCTCGACCAACTTCATTGTGAAGGTTTTATTTCGACAACATTTCAGATTCTTACCCCATTCTTCCAGACTGCCTGTGAAAAAGCTTCGGCAGAAATCGAGAAGCGACTGGAGCCCGAGTACCAGAAGAGAATCACTGCGCGTCGTGACGGAGAACCTTTCCGAGATGAAGCCGCTCTCAAGCTGCAGGCTCGACTTCCAGCCGCCATCGCCATCACGGCCGGAACCACCGAAAAGTCGAACCTTGCCGTCTACGAACAATTCAGCAGGTTTTTTCAAGACTTTTTCAAGTGTAAAATGAATTTTCCCAGCCGAATCTGTGGTTTCAAGCCAGCTAATGAAGAGACCAATGACGCTACTCTGCGAACGAATGTTGAACCGGTGAAGGATCTCGAAGCGATCATGGTTCAACTCCAGCATTTCATCAAAGAAGTCGATCAGGCCACTCAGTCCCAGCCACACATAGCCAACAAGGTTTTTTTTTCAGAATTAAAATATACTTTAAATTTAGTAATTTTCTTAACAGTATATCGTTTTGCGTTTAAAGGAAGCCATCAACCCTTTTTCCTTCTTTTCAGGCGTTCCAAGCTGTTTGTGTGATCCGCGACCAACTTTCCAACGTCGTTGCCAATCCAAAAGAAAACAACGCTCTTCAGAGCCTCATCAGTAGATCCGTCGAACATCTTCTCCACTCGTACCACCTCGATGTAAACTCGAGAAGTTGGTTTTGTTTTCAGTTTCAAACAATTTTCGAGAATTAAAATTGAAATGAATCGTCAAATTCCATACTGCGAAAGATTTTGAAAGGTTCTAAAGCTTTTTTGACCTGATAAAAAGTTCAATTTAAGAAAAGAAGATTAAACGGTTTAGCATTTTAATAAAAGAAAAAAACAATTTTTTAGATCAATTCGATCTGGAATGGACCCGAAGGCTGAGGGATTTGTTCATCGGAGTCATGCGACTGATGTGTTCGCAGTTCGCCCAGCCGGATTTGGCTCGTCGCGTCACGGTCGCTCTGATCAACATACGATCTGACTACAAGTGGAACATGGATGGCATTGAGGTTTCCAGAAGTCCCCGTCTTCCGCTTTTCCAACGTTTTCTTTTGAAGATCTTGCTCAAGCAGAGCCTCATCCAAACTGCTTTGTGGGACCAGCATCTGGCTGCTTCGATGGACGGCGGCGGAAACATTGAAGCCATGTTGTTCGCCCAAAAGTTCGTCCGAGCCCTAGGAGGAGGAGACATCCAGAAGCTCTCGGTAATCAAAGAGGTGCATCTTGCATTCTTCGCAATACAAGACCACTTTTCAAGCCAAATATTAAACCTTCAAACCGGGGAATCGAAACAGGAAAATTCATATTTCACGAATTATAAAAAAAAATTGAGACCCGATTTTTTTTTTCGAGTTATGAAGCTTCAAACCTCTCAAAAACGCTTCTTTTTACATTAATCGTGTAGTTTGCGAAATTAAAAGACTCATTACTCGAAAATAAAACCGACTGCGGGAAATTTTTTTGATAAGAAATCGGAATATCCTAAAGCGCTTTTCAGCCTTTTTCCATTAAAAGTCCAACCCTGGGACAGAAAACGCTCACTTGTGAGAAGCAAACAAATTATAGAACGGAAAATCTTGAAACTCTCAATTCATCTTCACTTCAGAAGTTCCAGGCGTTCCCGTTGACCTGTGAGCAGTTGCTGAAACTGCAGCAAATGCAATCGGCCACCAGGGCGACGATAGAACCGAATCCGCCAAGCGTCGAGTCTCCGGTCAGCCTTGCCTCGGCTGTCGACGCTGCTCCGGCTCCTCCTCCTCCCAGGACCGAAGACTCTGACATGACTTCGAAGGTAAAAATCAGTTATAGCCGTATATTAGAATTGAAAACAAAGTAAACCGAAAAAAAAGGTTCAAAATCAACTTTTATTATTTTTGGCATTTCAGACTTTTTTGAGTGGAAAAGTTTTAAAAAAGAAAAGAAAAAAGCCGTGTTCAAAGTAAATATTAAAAACGATTGTCTGATCGAGGAAAAAAAAACCAAAATTTCGGTTAGTCAGACTGAAATCTGATTTTCCCGAAATCACATTGAACGAGGCATAAAAATGTCCAAACTGCTAGATCTTTTTTTTTTTGTTTTTTTGAGAATTTTCTTTTGATAGAAAAAACACTCCAATTTACAAATTGCAGGTCGAAATGATTTTGCGCGATTGGATCGGCCTTTGCTACACGCCAATGGCGCAGAGAAGTCCCCAAGAAGCTTTGTCGCAGATGATTCAGCTGGTATTTTTCACTTTTCACAAAGTTTTGAAATGAAGTTTCATCTTTCAGATGCACGAGCACGGCGTTTTGGCGACCGACGACAAAATCACCCAGTTTTTCCGTCTCTGCGTCGAAATGTGCGTCGACGTCTCCGTCCGAATGCTCAAGACGGACTCCCAAGCCAACGCCAACGCTTTCCAAGCGCCCGTTCATCAGACGACCATTGTGCGACAGCGCTGCTACTACACTTTGGACGCCTTCGTTAAGCTTATGGCGTAGGTTTTTCCTTGGTTCTCTGAATGAAGTGCTTTTATTCCATTTTTTCATTGATGGAGTCAAAATTATATGATTGTCGCGCTCTATTCAGTTTACAATTTTCATTTCCAGCTTGATGATCCGTCATTCTGATGGAACGCAGTCTCACAACAAAATCAACTTGTTGAAGAAGGTTGGTTGAAAAAGTTATTTTTAAATTTAATTTTTTTCTTCCAGCTCCTGAATATTGTCGTTGGTGTTCTCCATATGGACCACGAAATCCGCCGGAACGATTTCAACGCAATGCCTTATCATAGGATTTTGATCTCTTTGTTCAACGAAATAACGGGTCCCGATCCTCAGCATTTGTTGGAACCGATCGCTTGGAGCATTTTGGAGGCATTCGGCCAGGTTTTACCTTTTATTTGTTAACTTTTTTCAAGTTTTGTCTTCAAAGACTTTGTTCGCCCTTCAACCCCGTCGAATGCCCGGCTTCGCTTTCGCTTGGCTCGACATTGTGGGACATCGAAATGTGATTGGAAGACTTCTCGGTTCGTTTTCTCTATTTGTTTCGAGAAAAAAAAGATTCCGAATTTTTGGGCTGCTTTTTTAACAAAAATAGCTCGTGAAGTTATCTAAAAGTTGATAATTTCAGCGAACACGGGAATTGCGGAAACGGTGGATCCAGTTAAGACTGCAGCCACTTTCACGCAGCTCATCATTTGCCATCTGAAGTTCCTGGCGCCCTTCCTTCGCAACATCCAGCTGCCCAAATCGATTGCCATCTTGTACAAGGGCACCTTGAGGTCCTTTTCTCGGCCAGTTCTGCATCCTCTCGTCTGTGTTTAGGGTTCTTCTCGTGATTCTGCACGACTTCCCTGAGCTTCTATGCGAGTACCACTACGTTATCTGCGACACGATTCCTCCAAATTGTGTCCAGCTGAGGAACTTGGTTCTCTCTGCGTATCCGAGAAGTATGCGGCTGCCGGATCCGTTCGCTCTCAACTTCAAGGTTTTTTTGATTTCATTTTCATTTAAAATTGAACAAAACAACTTTTTTCGACCCCAGGAAGTTTGTCTCATCAGATATGTCTTTTTATTATGAATTTATTTATTGCAGCAAGTCGACTCCATTCCGGAGATGTCAGTCGAGCCGAAATCGAATCTCAACATGGCCACGATCATTCCGGAGAGTATCCGTGTTCCGCTGGACGAATACCTGTCCAACCGTGTTTCTGTCGACTTCCTGTCCAACCTTCCGACGTTGCTACAAGTATTTTTGCCTTGCTTGGGATGACATTTTTCTTTTCTTTTTTCAGGTGTCTAACAATCCTGGTTCGAAGTATAACACGACCGTGATGAACGCACTCGTTCTGTACGTCGGCATCAGGTTAATTTCTCCAAAAAACCTCAAATCTCATGGGAATTGTTTTTAGGGCAATCGAAGCACTTCATGAACGTCGGCAGAGGATATCGATCCATACGATCGCCCACACGGCTTTCATGGACATTTTCCAGAATCTGGCCGTTCAACTTTGCACCGAAGGTTCCATTCTACCTTTTTTTTTTCTTTTCACAGGTGAATTAATTCAGGTCGCTACCTTCTGTTCAATGGAATCGCCAACCAGCTGCGCTATCCAAACGCTCACACGCACTACTTCAGCTGCGTCTTTTTGTTCTTGTTCTTGAACTCGGACTGCGACGCTATCCAGGTCCTTTTTTGTTGATAGATTCTGAACATTTGAAAATAATTAGCAGAAAAGATACTTTCAATAAACTTATAGGAAAGAGTTTTTTGAAAAAAAAAACTTTCATTAAGTAATTCACTTTTCAGCTTTTAGATGCGTTTGACTTTATTTTTCTTATCGCCGACACAAAATTCACAAATAATTGTTAGTTTAGAATACAAAAAACTAGTTATTTCTGTAAAAACAACTGTTTATGGAAAAAAAGTTTCGGGTTTCAGGAGCAAATCACGAGGATTCTGTTCGAAAGACTCGTCGCCTTGCGTCCTCATCCGTGGGGATTGCTCATCACCTTCATCGAACTCATCAAAAATCCAACTTATCACTTCTGGAAGTACGAGTTCACTCGTTGCGCTCCTGAAATTGAAAGGTTTCTTTCTCAACATCCGACCCCTCACGGCCTTCTTTTCTCTTCAGGTTGTTCCAAAACGTTGCCAATACCTGCGCGCCTCCATCTACGGGTGTTCCCATCGCAACAGCTGTACAAACCACCGAAACAAAAAATTGAAAATATTGCAAAAAACTCACAAGCGATCGATCTTTCTTCTTTCATCGTCTCATTTAATAGGAAAATTACGGGCCGGTTGCAAACGACTGGAAATTCCGCTTGACTGGTCCTTTTTTGTTCTTCTTCTTCTTGTATTTAAGTTGTATTCGCTCTCCGAAAGGTATTGTTATGCTAGATTTGAATATAATTCAGCAGTCCATTTATCGGTGTATCGATGATCTTCAGAGATTCTAATGCGAGTAGTTGTCCTTTCGTGGCGATTTCCACCAAAATGTGTTGGTCCTATCACCTTTGTTCCCCCCTTTGTTTGCGTATTTTATTAATTGGTTCTGTTGTGTTTGCCATTAATTTTTAATGCTTTATTGTCATTCATTTCCCTCCTTTTCTGTTCATTTCTGCACATATGATTTGGTGATATTGGATATTTTGCAGTGCTAAGAGCAGCAAATTCTTTGGATGGCAGGCAGTGGAATGCACTTGCCGTCTGTGTCTTCTCTGCCGCTCTCTATCGATTTGTTTTCTTTTTTTCCTGCTGTTGTTTTCCTAACATAAACGATAACTATCAGCTCTAAACAGTGTTCGACGTGAAATATGTTTTGACAGAATAGGTACCGAGGGTCTCACGATTCCATAAAAATGTTTATTCAAAGGCGGGCAAATATTCGCCGCCTTTGATAACGTCTCATTTTTTCCTCTTTTATTTTTGGTGAGGCGAGTCATCCGTTCCTCCTCCATCTCCTCTTGTCTTTTCTTTAGTTTGCTTTACCTTGAGAAGCTTTCATAATTATTGCGAATAGTCGTAACAATAGAAGAGGTTTTTTCCCCGAAGCTGATGATTCACGCCGCGTTCTGTTGCGTCTCGCCACCGAAATTTTTGTTTGTGATCGACGCGAAGTGGGCGGCGCCGATTTCACTCGACGACGGTTTTAACCCCGCTGTTTTGCGCCAATCGCACATTTGCTCTATCCGATATCCAACTAAAACTAATCATGTCCCTCAAGAAATTCGTCATGTCCGGCATTCAGGACGTTATCGTACGTTTTCACCTTTTTTTAAAACCTTTCTTCCGGTGTTGTTTACTTTTTGACAAATCGTTTCGCATACAAAAGATTTGTGTTCAAATTAAGGCAAGTCTTGTTTCTGATTTTTTTTTTTCCGCTGCAGCGAAATTGACTTTTATTTTGAATTTTTTTATTGGAGAAATGAATATTTTTCTTTTTCATAATTATACCCCGATTGAAACCATTTAAGTAATTTCAAATATAAGAAGAGCCTTTGAATTTTTAATTATTAGATGGGAATAGGTTTTTTTAATGATTTTAAAAGTCTACTGAAATTTCTAATCCTACACTTACTAATTTCAATTAATTCAGCGTTACTTTCAAAGAAAACATACGTTTCAAAGTCAACACTTTACCTTTTGTCATGGTTGAGACAATTTGATCGAAGTCAACCAATTTTTCGATTACTGCGTTGTAAAAAGCGTCCAGATGGAAGAGACTGAGGAGCAGAGGCACCATTCCGAAATGATTCAGGATGAAACTTCTTTTAGGAAAACAAGTTGACCGGCCGCGGCGGCAACCAACAGCCACAGCAGCAGCACAACTCCAGCCAGCCTTCCGATATGAACAACTACAACAACCAGGGCTACCAGCAGCCGTCCTACGGAAACGCCGGCTACAACCAAGGAGGCTATCCGCCTCAGCAGCCCCAGTACGGCGGCGGTGGCGGATATCCTCCGCAACAGTCGGGATACCCTCCGCAGCAGTCCGGATATCCTCCGCAGCAATCTGGTTATCCGCCCCAACAGCCTGGATATCCAGTCAATGAGGTTCGTTTTCATTTTGAAACCAGAATTTATATAAACTAGACTTCTTTTTTGAACGCTACTGAAAAGGCAAGTTTTTCAGATTAATAGAAGGCTTTTTTTAAAAATTTTTTGCTGAAAATTTCGAACCCTGGTTTTATTTTTTTGAAGTTTTTATTAACGCTTTTTACAAAGTTCCCATTTTTCTGATTGTTTTTAATTTATAAGAAGCCAAAATTCATTTTTTTTTTTTAAATTTTAGTTTATTATTTTTGGTAACCAAAATAACCCTCTTCGCTCTCAAGTTATGATTGTGTACTTTGAATCTAATTTGGTCTCTTCTCTCATTTAAAAAAGTTCAAAAAGATTCGCGTAGGGGTTCTAAATATATTTACACTCTGACGGAAGAACGTCTGCGGATGAATTTTTGTCGATAGAACTTGCGCCGTTCGAAAATCAATACTTGTTGAGACGTGGACAACAACAATTCGTTTGTTTTCCTTCTCCTCTCGAACTTCCAGCTTTCGAGATAAAATGTGAAAAAAAAATTGAGATAAATTTTAGAAAACTGCATTTTGGGGTGATTGAAAGGGCTTGAAAGGAACGAAATTGATCTTTAAAAGAAACATTAAATTTTATATGAAATTTTAAAAATAAAAAAAGGACTTGCATATTGATAGATATATCTTTTAAATGCAGATAACGAGTTCTCTCGCAAAATGGATTCAGGCTGAAAAAAAAGTAGCTCGAAAGTTTCAGATGCCGTATCCTGGAGGCCAGCCTTCGGGTTATCCTCAACCCCCAGGCATCGGCTTCAACACGGGAATGGGCAGCGGCTATCCGCCACAGCAGCCGTCCGGGTACCCTCCGCAGCAGTCGTCGTACCCTCCGCAACACGGCGCAGGCCATCCGCAGCAAGGCTATCCCCCGCAGCAGCCGCCGCAGCAGCACTACGGCGGCGGCGGATCTAATTTCTACCCGAATCAAGGCTTTGGCCAGCCTGGTGGGTCTTTATTATCCTTTTCAAAACTCGCGTATTTTCGGAGTGCTTTTTTTTGCATTTTACAGGGCTTGAAAAACGATTTCAATTTATCAAAGCCAACCTTGTTCTTTCATTTTTTTTTTCTTTTTTTTCTTCTCTTCGCCTTTTCTTTCAAATATTTATACCTCTCATCTATTTTCTATCATATATCAGTGGTCACTGATTTAGAAAAGAAACTATTTGAAAAAAAATGTAAAAAGTTTTATGTTTGGGGGACCGTCCCATAGTTTTCTTTGCTAATGGAAAACGCCATTGATTTCATATATTTTCCCGTTTTGCGCGCTTTTGTGTATTCTCCTGTGTTGTATGTTTTTGATACGTTTCCTGCTCGATTTTCACGTCAACAAAATTGAAAACTGTTTTTGAATGGCGCGTATTTCACAATATTTTGCAGTTTTTCAAAGAAAGGTGTAGGCAAGTCAAGGAAAAACTGTCCAAAGAAGAGGGATTTTCAAGACTCTTAGCCAAAAAATGTTCAAAATTTGTGAAGAGATTCAATAATAATTGAATTATATGAGAATTTTTTGATAAGTTACTGTCGAAGTTTGATGTTTTTCGCCAAAGTAGACCTTATATTGAAAACGATTTCGAGCTAAAGGATTTATCAAAATATTGATTGATTTTCATCCTGAAAGCGTTCAAAAAACATTCAATATTTGACAAGTTTGTTTCTTTCGGAACCAAATTCGGTTTCTGATGCAGTTTCCCACCTCACGCAATTCCCGATTTGTTCCTTTCCGATAATCGCCGCCAATTAGTCGACAGGTAATAACTCACCTTCTCCAAATGGACGTTTTTTCTCTCTCGGCGAACCGTCGTCCTTTGATTGTAGTGGCCGATGTTGGAGTATTCTGTTTGTACGCAGAAGACATCGATTGCCGTGTTTCGACGCCTCGGTAAACATCTTGACGGCCTTCTGAACGAGGATGACTCATTCTGCGTCATCCTCTGAATTCACTCTTTTTATTTTCCCGCGCTTCCCCCAAATTTCATCACTGCTCTTCAGCCTCCGCGGTATAAAACAGCAGAGCTCCAGATGCTCCGCAGATTTCGCGTTTTATCTCTCTTCTCCCTTTTTTGGTTGAGATTTTCAAAGTCATGAAGTTTAGATACCGACACTCTTTTAACTTTTTGAAAATCATGCCAAATCAAGTGATTATTTGAAAAAAAAAATCAAGATAGATATCGCTAATTTTTATTAAAACTCAGTTTGAATTTTAATATTTGGCTCTGAAAAAAAGCAACTCAAAAGTTAATTAAAGATGTACAGCCGAGCTTGTCGGTTTCTTTGAAGACAAACAATGGCGGTGAGAATTTTCGCGGCTGAAAAGACGTCGCTCAGTTTCTTTCAGTTGGAAAAAGAGTCAAAAGACAGCTAGAAGTTGGTAAATAGACTGAATTTCCCGAGATAAATAAGTCCAAAATTTGACAAGGAATTTGTTATTTGATCTACTCCTGTTTGAATTCCCCCGAAAGGCCTAATGAAATGCATCCGGCGAAAGTGCACTTTCTGGAGCTTCTGTTGATTTCCTCAAAGCCTCTCTTCTCTCTTTTTGCTCCTCTCTTTTCCGTCAATAGTTCTTTCCCAGTCGCCTCACGCTCTCTGATCACAAAAATAAAAACAACAAAAACGACGCGCCCGCGAAACTTCAAAAACGCCGATTATCGGCAAAATAATACTTTACTTTCACTTATTTCCTGTCGGGACTGTATTTCAAAAACATTCACGTTCTGATAAAACTCCGTTTTTATTCCGATTCGTATGCTAAACTGTTAAGAAATCAAAGTTTTTTTCATTTCTTTTTGATTGTTATCGTTGAAAAAAATATTCCACTTTCCGATTCAAATTTACAATGTTTCTTTTTTTGAAAGCATTGTCTTCAAAGAATAAACTAGAGAGCTCAAGATTGAATATTTTTCGAAACTCAAAATTTTCTGAAAAAAATGTTTGTTACTTTTTTTAAAAATTCGTTTATTTCTGAATATGGACCGCAAAAGGGGTTTTCAGACTCACTCAGAGATTCATCGCAAATAGGACGTACGCCGTGTTCAGAGAAATTTCCGCGAAATGCAAAATTATCTTTAACACTCCAGAAATTAGGGCTTTGAATTGCTTTTTTCAAATTCGCGTGAGAAAAAACCTTTTTGTGTATTTAATTTTTCGTCGATTTCATTTCAAAAGAACGAAGCTTGAAAATTAATTATCATTGTTTGATGACCGATATCTTTCATTATCGTTTTCCTCCACTTGAAGCCTTGAATGAATTCTGATTTTTTTTTCAGTGATGCTCGGAACTCCGTCGTTGATCCCAGCCCCTGGCTTCAACGCCAATCAGGACGCCGAGACTCTTCGGAAGGCGATGAAAGGTCTCGGCTGCAACAACGCCAAGGTGGTCAGCGTCCTGTGCGCTCGGACCAACTCTCAGCGCCAGGAAATCGCTCGCGCCTTCAAGGTCATGTACGGCAAGGACCTCATCAAGGTTTTTTGTAGCTTCTCCACTTCGAATTATCCCTTCTGACCTGTCTTAGGATCTGAAATCTGAGCTGAGCGGCGACTTCGAAGACCTGATTCTCGCCCTGATGGACCAGCCAGCCGTCTACGACGCTAAGCAGCTGCATAAAGCCATGGAGGTGGACTTGTCCTTCAGCCCAAAATTTAAAAAAAAAATCTTTTCCAGGGCCTCGGAACCAAGGAATCGGTTCTGATTGAGATCATGACGTCACGAACGAACCAACAGATCGCGGCGGTGCGCGACGCCTACAGAGCTCTGTACAGAAGGGAGCTGGAGAAGGACCTGATCGGCGAGACCAGCGGTTACTTCAAGGTTCGCCCTCCGTTTGTTTATCGCCGTCGTTCTCCTATTCGATTCGCCACGGCTCTTCTGTTTGTTTGACACTCGAAACGCACGACATTTTTTTTCGTCTGGTCTCCCATACTTAAAGTTTTGATGTCAGAGGAAAAAATGATATCTCACACCCGAAAAAAAAAATTCTCAGAAAATGTAGGCCGAAAAATCCGTGGGAATCTGGGAGTGCTGAAAGCTTGAAAAATGAGCTTTCCAAAGCCAAAGCAGAACATTTTTTATTGGATCAGCTAAATTTTCGATTGACATGTTTGATTTTCGCACAATTATCCAATGAGAAAATAATTATCTACACGGTTATTCGTTTGATTATATCTGAAAATTGATGAGTTTCGAGGTTTGAACTTGAGGATCTTGAACTTGATTCCAGAGGCTTCTCATCTCGTTGTGTGCCGGTGGACGTGACGAGTCCAACGGAACGGACCCTCTCCGTGCCAACCAAGACGCTCGAAGACTTTACTCGGCCGGCGAAAAACGCCTCGGAACCGACGAGGCCATGTTCAACTCCATCCTCGCAAGCCAGAATTTCTCCCAGCTGCGCCTCGTTTTTGACGAGTATCAGAAGGTTGGACTTCTAGTGAAGATTTAGGAAATTTTAAGGTTTTTAGGTTACGAAACACCCAATCGAAAAGGCGATTCAAGACGAGTTCTCCGGCGACGTGCGCGACGGACTTCTTGCCGTCGTCGCCGTGGTCCGCAACCGGCCGGCCTATTTCGCCAAGCTTCTGCACGACAGCATGAAAGGCCTCGGGACCCGCGACAACGACCTCATCCGGCTCGTCGTCACGCGTGCCGAGTACGACATGGTCGACATCCGCAGCAACTTCCAAACCTTGTTCAAAACCTCGCTCGAGAACATGATCAAGGGCGACTGCTCCGGAGCCTACAAAGACGGTCTCATCGCTCTCGTCAACGGTAACTCTGGTCGATAACCTTCTCTTGTGACTTTATTTCTTGTAATTCTACGCATTTTAACGTATTACCTTATCTTACGGCAAATTCACATAATGCATGTATAAAGAAGAATAAAGCTTTTGAAGTACTGTACCCCACGTAAACAGGCAAAAGTGTATTCATCAGTTTCACTGGAAAGAAATGAAAGGGAACAAAAGAAGCGGGAGACCTGCGAGCGATCTTCGGATGGAGTTACACAGATCTGTGGCGCAACAAGCCCTTTCGGGACATCCATTGCCCGCCAAGAGAGCCAGATTCGAGGCGCAGCGGTCGACGCGCTGCGCCATGCATCCTGAACCAAATACAGCCATTTCTTCGATTGGTAGGAACCGAAAAACGCTCTCCAAATTTTTGTTATGTTCATAAAAAAAACACCGAGGTGAATTTATAGATTGGTTGTTTTTTTTTTGTAAATTTCATCGGTAAAAAGCAGCTTCCTAATGGGATTAGAACTTCTTCTTTAGAAGTTCATGAAAAGACGGTTGAAAAAGCCCTTTTTTCACCGAAATAACACGCTGTCTCTGTAATTCTCAAAATCAACGGTTACAGAAAAAATTTTTTTTTTGATTTTGATGTGTTATCATGTAACCAGGTCAGGATTGCGAGCACAACTTTTTTAGCCATTTCTTCCAACCGTAGCTATAAGCTTTCAAGCCTATAAAGGAGAAATTTTAGCCAATTTATAATATTATATACGATTTAGTTGACGAAGAGCAAATCGTAATATAAAGGCTTATTATTTTCAAAAAAAAAAAAACACAGTAACCCATATAACCTAGAGAAACTTTTTCAACGTTTCCTCAACACTATTGACTTGAAAGTCTTTGGATTTTCACCAATCTGAAAAAAACTTCAATTCTTAACTACGATGTTTGAACTGACCTGTCTCATAAGAACAACTGCGGACGGCCGCTGTCACGTAGGTCATGTTGTCGGCGTTGCTGTAGAAGTGCAGCTTCGTTTTCTGAAGACGAACTTCGTCCAGGGAACCTTGCTGAGTCGAAACCTGACAATGGCTTCCCTCGGCACATTCCATCTGTTGCCAGTTTCCTGTCCCTGGATTACTGTCGCAGTCAGTTCCCACACAATTCCAGCACTTCAAAGCTTCGCAATCACCTGTAAAAAGCAATTTCGAGTCTGAAATTCGCCAAACCTGCGAGAAGAAGAACAGCAGCGGCGATGGCGAGCATATCAGAATGGAAACTAATTTCCGTCTCTTCCTTTTTTCTCTGCTACTTTTTTCGTGGAAAAATGAAAAGCAATTTATTAAAAGATGAAAGGCTATTGAATATGATAACGCAGATAGATATCATACCTAGCTGAATCTTAAAATAAAGAGTGCAAACAATATAAATGTAACTATTACACGCAAAAAAGCCTTTTTACCAGAAAAAGGCGGGATTTAAAAAAAAATACAAGACGTATTAAGCTTAAGAAATAGAAAAGGGAAGCAGTACCGGAAAAGAAGTGAAAGCGAAAAAAAGCCATTCCACAAGACGGAAAGAAAAAAGTGGACTCATTCGATACAAATATCTGAGCACAAAAAAGGCGCAAAAGCGAGAAAATAGGATGTGGAAACACATCAGGAGAAGGTCGTTTGGTGGGTATCTTCGGAAAGTTATGTAAAAATATTTTTGTTTTTGAGGCTAAAGTTAAAATATCGTTCTTTCTCTGTTGGAAAAATCACAAGCTGTTCATTGAAATCAAAAATCAATTTTTTAAAGGTTGGATTTTTAGCTCTGTGAACAAAGACCAAACCTCATTTCAAAACAAATCCCGAGAAATAATTTTTCCCGTTCAAAACAGGATTCCTCTCACGAAACTCATATGCAACTTAAATCCGAAAAATAAACTTTCAGATACCCACTTCCGCAACCGTTAGCCTTCCATTCGAATCATTTCTTTTTCAAAAAGAAAACGACTTCCAGCATTTTCATCCAGCTCGGTCACAACCACAATAAAGCGAGCCTCAATCTCCACTAATCTTCGCCCAAAACAGGGAATACACAAAATTTCACTCAAGAAAACAAATAATGATATTATGAATTAACAATTTTGAAAGGATGAAATGAAATTACGAGAAATGATAAAAATTTGATAAAATATAAAAAAGTATTTCTCAGCGACATTCCCAAACTTTACAAGAAAGGTCGACGCTGCCCGTGATGACATAAGGCGACGTTGGATGGAAATCTGAAAAGAAGAAGCTTTCGAATGCTTTTGCTAGAATTACGAGGTATGGAGTCAATTTTAAAGAAATAAAAAGTACCAATGCAGGTAACAAAGTGTTCGTGGGCATCGATCATCTTGGCACATCTTCTCTGCGGCAAATCCCACGTCCGCATAGTTTTGTCGTCCGAAACCGAGACCAAAAACTGGAAAACGTGTAATCAGTTTGTTCAGCTGAATATTCAGCGAGAAGATCCTTCAAAAAAAAAAAATTTAAGCTTTTCGAGACTTCTACGTGGTAACCGCGAAAAAAACTGATGAAGTCCGTGGAGACTTTCAAAAAGAACTTCCCCTCTCAGAAATAGAAAAAAATTTTTCTCATCTGTTCACACTGAAACGAAAAAGCTCAATCGTATCAAATCTAAAAAATGATTGGAAAGGCCTTTTTGTTCAACTTATCGGCGAAAGTTTCAGAGGTTTTTCATCTTTTTCGGCTCTCAAACTTTTCAGAACGTCACGTGATGAATCATAATTTTTGTGCGATTTCTCCGAAAAATCTTCCTAATATTTTTTTTTCACTCGATACTCACCTTTCCTTTGGGATGGAAAGCGAGGTCTCGGACCCAATTGTCATGGCCTACCAAAGAGAAAAGAACGCTTCCTGTCGATACATCCCAGGCCTGAGAAAAATATTCTTATTTATTGCTAAATCTTAAGAAAGCCAAAAAAAAAAAGTTGATTCGTTTATGGCGAAAAACTCTTTCTTTCAAGTACGTTTCCAATCGACCAAACTCAAAAACTCTGCTGAAAAAGATCACCTTAATCGTTCGATCGCGGGATCCGCTGAACAAGATTTGAACCATAGATTCAGTGGCTGTGGCTGAAAAACAAAAAAATGCGAATAAACAACGGAAGAATTCACCCGAATTGGTGACGTGAGCAAGAGCCGATTCTGGAGCCCAGGCGATGCATTCGACGACGTGTTCGTGGTCACGAAGAACCAATTTCGCCTGTTTCGTCGCCGTCGACCATACTGTCACCGTCTGTAATCCAGAAATAGAAGAAATTTTGAAACGAGTGATTTGTTTTTCTTCCAATTGCAGATTATTAAAGTTTCCAGGTGTGACAAAATAAATTCTCCTTCTGATAAAAAAGAATCAAAAACTTCAGTACAAAAAATCTTTTTTACGTCTAAGTTTACCGCACATTTCCGTTAAGAATTTATCAATAGTAAACTTCTTCGATTCAATTACTTAGCAGAGAAATGAGTAAAATTTGAAATGCGAACCAGGCTTTGAATAGGACTTCTCTTTTCAAAAAAAAAAACGTGGATATCAACATGAAAATTATTATTTTCATATAACAGAATGGAAACATTTTGAAGTATTTTTTCTAAAATAATTTTGGAGCCGTCAAGTTGAAAAAACAGGAGATTATGGACATCGCACAATAAAAAATCCGTAGAAATTTTAACGAGCTCTTGAAATTTGAGAAAACGCATCTGATATGTTATTTAAAAAAAAACTCTAATTCCGAAAGTTCTAATTGGCATCAAATTGCAATGAACTCTAGCGGCAAATCTAGCAGAAAACGAAATCAAAACCTGATCATGGCCCCCGGAAGCGAAATGAACTCCGTCAGGGGCGACTCGAACCATCCGCACCCAGTCAGAATGTCCCCGGAACGTGTAGACGCAGAATCCTGACGAGATCTGAAACAAATTATTTTTTTTTCAAAGCTACGTTGATGAAAATTCAATAAATACAATTACTCGGACAATTTTAATTGATTTTTGTGATCGTCTCGTTTTTTTTTCAATTCGCAGGTATTTTTGGCCATAACTTCAGTCTTATAAACGATTTTTGAGCAAAATTCCAGCAGGATTCAAACCTACTCTCGAATTCGAGAAGAAACCAATAATGATAGAAATGTTCTCACATCCCACTGCTTGATGGTGTGATCGCGGCTGGCGGAGAGGACGAAGTCTCCTTGAGGAAGGAAACAAACAGAGGAGATGTTGTGCTCGTGGCCCTTCAACGTCTTCAGACACGAATACATGCCCCCGAACTCCCACAACTTGACCGTCATGTCCGCAGAACAAGATACTGCACACAGAAACATTATGGAAGTGAGAAAAGCCGACGGAAAATGCGAAAAAGTCTTTTTTGGCGCAAAATTACAGTTGAATATGTGAAAAAGCTAAAAAAACAATTTAATCGACTACAATATACAAAATATTAAAATCAAAAAGTAAAAAAAAAAATTCTATTACGGCTAAAATAGCTCAGGCGTCGCTTTTTTTCTTTTTTTTATCGTCTTGAAGATCTAGGCTAATTTTGTAAAGACTTTCCCGTTTTGCTCATAAAATTTCGGGTTGAATTGCAACTGACCTAATAGTTTTCCAGTTGAATCGAAGGCGATGTCCTGAACGGCTTCCGTGTGACCTTTCAGCGTTCGTTCGTACTCCCCGGATTCATAGTCCCATACCTTAAAAAAACAGAAATAGAAAAGCAACTCAAAATAAAAACCTTGATGGTTGAATCCTCGCTGGAACTGGCCATAACGGCCCAAACGGGATGAAAAACGACCCTCGTTATTGGTAACCGATGACCTGTCATTTTTTGAACCTCTGGTGGCCTCGGAATCCATTCCGACGCTTGTCTTTTGTCTCTTAAAACACACACAACTTGATCATACGCAAAAATGAAATGATTCGAACCTCGTTGGAACGCCGTGATTGACTTCGCGTTGCGATTCACTTAGCCGCGTTTCCAGGTCGTTCACCTTAAATGTTCCCATTTACATTATTTATTACAAGATGAAAAAAAAAATTGCAATGGAGGAAAAGCCTCGGTTACGCTTTATGCAGTAAAATATGAGAAAAAGAATCAAAAAAATATTGATTTTTTTGTTCAGAGTTTGCAGATAAAGTATATATATATAATAATGAAATAGAAAAACTTTCAAATAATAGATTTTATTCATAGAAATTTGTTTTTTTCAAAAAAATAGTTTCCAATTATTTTTAGGAGAAAAAAATCTATTGGCCTTGTAGTTGTATTTAGTATTTATGATCATGGTGATTGGGAGAGCTTTTCTGACAAAAGTCTGTCAAGCCAAGAATCTTTTTTGATGCTTGAAAAAGAGAAACCGAAAAAATATAGCGAAATTGAAGGTTTAAACTTCTTTCACAATTACTACTCGTAAACTTTGGTTTAAAGATATGAAAAACCTTTTTTTGGAGTCGCAGAACTGAGGTCCACTTCTTCTCGAGTATTCCACTCAACGCCTTGGTGTCATTCTCACTCTTCAAATCGTGTTTGTGATCAATTAAATCGATCGATATTATTTACCAAACTTGCTTCCTTTTGAAACATGGCGAATGACTCAGAGTACCCATGTGATTGAAGGTAATCAGCGATTGCTCGATTTCTGAAACAGAAATGTCTTGCACAGAGAAAGAGAGTGACATGCAGGCAAATTTCATTTCATCGGCGCGTCCTTCGTTCTTTTTTCTAGCCTTCGATTGCCACTACTCCGGCTTTATTGGCAAAAAGAACCTATGGCCGAATGACAATGCTGACGAAATTGAGAAAAAAAAAACACTACAATTCATTCCTTATTTTTGCATAAAAGCTCACCGACCATTCAAAAGTTCAACAACCATTGTATATTTCAAAATTTCACTTTAGTGCTCTTTTTCATATACGCTCAAAAAATTCAAAAAAAAAACGAGGCAATCAGGTTTTATTGTATTTAATTGAGTTCATTGAAAGAAAAAACTAACATTTCCTCTTTCTGCCTTTCGGAGATATTCATTTTCATCACAGTGAAAACTTCCTAAAAACTCCTTGGATGCTTTGAATTCGCAGAGAAATAGACCCGATTTGCAGATAAACCTGAAAAATTTTAACTAAGACGCTATATTTAAGAAAAATAAATTTTGAGGAATACAGACACGAGAAGTTTTGTAGTAAAAAACTGAATTCACAAGAAATGGCAACATCTTTCGAAAGATGATAGGGAGTACGAGGCAGTTTTTTGTAATTTATTCAATTGAGATCAATTTACTCATATAATTACATAATAAGAAATTTTTTTTGATATGATCAAAATTCTCGGAACTCTATATCACAGACTAATCGACTTTTATAGGTCATTCCGCGCCAGCTTGTCACGATTTTAAATTTCCTCAAAGCTAGAGCCCATTTCGGCGCTTCGCTTCGATGCTCTCGGTGTGCCCTCTTACGTGCGCCTTTAATAAAAACTCATTATTTCCGAATTTTGGAATTTTTCTTATTTTACAAAAAAACAGTTGTAACATCAAATTTTATATCAAACTAACCCAAAAAAATTATATGCAAGAAAAAGCTCGAACAGTCGGTTTCCTTAATAAGATTTTTCTACAAATCCAGCACAGAATCTGAGTGTGTATAGTTAAAGCGAAAAATGAAATCAATCCATTAAAAACAACCTCGTAAATTAATAAAAGAGATAGAGAAGATTGAAGCAATATCTTAATCAGAAATAATGTTTTATTAAAGGCGCACGCAAGAGGGCACACCGAGAGCATCGAAGCGAAGCGCCGAAATGGGCTCTCTAGCTTTGAGGAAATTTAAAATCGTGACAAGCTGGCGCGGAATGACCTATATAAGAAAAAAACCTCGCGGATCACTTTATGTAAAGATTGCTGAATAAAATAAAGTAATAAAGTTAAACAAGCAGGCACACGGAATGAAATCTATGACATGGAAGATTATAATTAAAAATTACGCTGAAAGATGCTATTTTATGCCTAAAAACTTGTAGTTAAAGTTTGTTAGAAACTTCAACGAAATGCTGTCCGAAAAAAAAAAATCAAGAAGTAAGACCGAAAAAAATTAAGAAGAAACGAAGTTCGTATAGTCGACGAGGGTAAGAAGCAAGAAAATCGAAAGTAATTTAAACAGAAGGCGTCGGCGGATGCTCCAGGACAAAAAAGCAAGACTGGAAAACGCAGCTGATGAGCCCGCCTGATTCTCTGGCACACTCCTCACTCTCCGCACGCGACGCAATACGCGCGCCTCGTAATCACTCTCCAAACAGAGCAGATCTTGCCCGAGGCCCAACTTTTTTCTCGGGACTTTCAACAAGCCCACGAGGCCGACCCGGCGTCGCAGAACACGCCAACGATTTTTCTCTGTCATGAAATTGGCCGAAATCCGCACGCGTTCGATTAGGGCCAGATATTTTTCCTCGTGTCGCCCAGCGCTTACACGCGAACGTTTTTTTCTTCTCTTCCGATGCCTGAGGCTGCTTATGGGCTCAATTAAGGCCCATTACGAGCCGTCCAGCCGCGTCGCTTCACTTTCGTATTCTGCGCTCGGCGAGTTAATCCAATAAGTTGCGTATAGAACAGCAGTTGCTCCATGTTTTGTTTGTTTAAAGTTTCACAGGAAATTTAATGCCTAACGTTATTCCAGGGGGCTCCATACTTTCTCAAAGAAGAATTGCAACTCATTCGATCTCATATAGTTTTCCCCCATTTCATTGAAAAAAATAATTTTAGACATTAACTGAAGCTCGTCTTGTCGCAAGCCGTTTTTGTTTAAAGAAAAAAGAGATCCCAATTTATTTCCTAACAAGAAAAGGTAAAACTCTGTTTCTCTCGATATGATGATATACCTCACCACTTTCAGACATCAGAAAGAAATTATCTATATATAAAGTAGAAAAAAAAATTAGATATTCCTATACGAAGCTGGAATGTCACTCGTTTTTTTTCAAGATTTTTAGCTTTCCTATACTTTTTCCTTCTTCATGTTTCGTTTGGCTAAATTTCAGTAATTTATTATGCAAGAAATAAAGCGTGATATGAAGGTAGTTTTTGAATACAGTATAGGTGTATAGAACAGAAGAAACGCATTAATAAAGTATCTGACAAGAAAAGAGAAACAAAAACAGTGATAATGCGGAACGGGAAGCGAGAAGAGTGAGGCACAATTTTGACCTACATATAAAATATGCTTGTTGCTCTGAGGAGGATGTAAAATGAGGAATAACATAGTGGGTAAACGACTTGAAAGGTTTCTCGGAATTGCACGATAATGACTTAGAAACTGATGGTAAGAAGTGTTATTAAGGGTGAACAAAAAGAAGGCAAAATGAGAAAGAAGACGCCTCAAGGGAGTGGGTGTCTATTTTCATATGGGAAGATTTGATGGGTAGATTTGATTGGAGCCTTCCAAGACCTGCCGTTTTCGAAGATTTCGCGAGAAGAAAGATAAAAAAGAGTTGCGAGACCCATATAAACATGGAAAGCTTGAATCGGGCAAGGGTGGTGAAACACGCAACCGATCAATCAGCTCAAAACGTCTAAGAATCAAGTCTATCTAGGAAGTTCGGGTCTTTGAAGTACTCGGGAATGACGTCATCGAGTCGGTTGATAACCTTGTAGATAGTCTTCTTCCACGATGGCTCGTTGTCTTTCCCCATCCTGACAGCGTCGAAAAACTCCCGCAACGATTCCTGCACCACGTATACGAGCTTCTCCGGTGGCTGAAAAGCGACTTTTCAATCAGAAAAATTTCTGCCGTTTACTTGACAACAAAATTTTCAAAAATCAAAACATGAATCATCAGAAACCTTGAAAAAAATGTTTGAACCCAAATGAAAAAATTAGAGCCTTACTCAACACAAAAAAATCTAAATTTTAATTTTTCGTTCATTTTTTTTGAAAAGAGTAAAAAGCGGCCTCGACTGTTCAAAATTAAAAAATGTCCTTTGAAGTATTTTTCAAAACTTCAAATGAATTAGTTGGCAGAATCTTTGGAAAATTATCGTACGATTATAGCTATGATGGATTACTGTAAATTTTGAAACACTCATGACACATATTCCCTTTTGCTTGTTGGAAGTTGAGAAATGAAAAAAGTAGAGTTTGAATATTGAGAGTTTCCGGAAACAAACGAGAATAATGCGCGGCGCGGTAGAAGATTATCGCCGCTGACCTGAATGTGATTGTTGCGGTTGTAGTGGGTGTTGAGCGCCTTGAAGAGCTCCGAGTCCTTGGAGACGAAGATGTCCTCGCGCCGTTTGACGCCTTCCGCCAGCAGCTGCCGCGCGAACTTCTCCATCTGGATGTAGTAGAACTCTCTGAAAAACCTTTTTTTCAGATCGATGAACATTGAAACTGTCGGTTTCAGACAATTCTGTCTGCATATTTCAGTTTCTATTTTTTTTTCCACGATTAAAGTTTTCGAGCTTCAAATTTTTTGTAGGATTTTGACCATTCATAAACATCTCTCGAGTTTTCATACTCAATACGATATCTGTCTTTTGAGCAAAAGTAAGCAGAAAAAAGATCCCACAAAATTAAACGCTAGGTCTGACTTTAATTGAAATTTAAAAGTCACTAATTTTTTTTCCCAAGTATTCATAATCCGAACTACTCGTTATGAAAGACACCTCTTAATTTTTTTGAAGTATTTTTCTAGTCATAATGTCTGTAGATTATTACTATATATGAATAGTTTTGTAGGTCCACTGAAAACTTCAAAAATGCCGTTGAATCTCTTTGCCATTCCCTGCACAACAACACTTTTACAGAATAAGCTCAATCTTGTATAAAAGACTTTAATTTGACTCGGTAAAATGAGAACAACATTTTTGCTTTCACGTATAAGAAAGAGCAATAACGCAATAGTTCTCTTTCTAAGTCAGCCCAATAGAGCTGAAATGCAAGCATAGCACACGTGTGACCCTGAGGCTATAATTTATTTGTAGCCTTAAAAAACTTATCATAGAAGTTCTTGCCCCAGGTAGGACTGTTCAACTGTTGGTTCCAAAACTTGCTCTTTTCTTTTTCGTTTTCCCTTTTCGCCGGCTTTGTTTCTGTTAAGAGACAGCGGTTGGGAAACGACATCAGCCGGATTTGGAGTCGCAGAAACAAGGACAGGCGCCGAAATTCGGGCGACGGAAGTCCCTCGAACTGGTACACATTTGTGGGAAATCGAAATCGGCTTTGCAGCGGAGATGATTACGTTGATGATGACAGGGAAAAGAGAAAGACGAGGCCGACGTACAGTACCACCCAAGCATGACGGCCCTCGTTCCCTCTAAGACCTATTGTGTGCAATTTCGGAATGGCGTCTCGCCCATTCACTCCTTGCATGCCTGTGTGAACAGCCTTCAGCATGTGCTTTCATCATCAAAAATTTCTCCGTTTATGGGCCGCGCGATTCTCCGACGCACGGCGTTGAAAAATGATGAGAGCAGCAATACATATCGCGCTTTTCTCCAAACGATTACAGTAGAGGTTCGAAAACTTATTTCCATGTTACTTTCAAGGAAAATAGTCCATGAAGTTTAAAAAAAGTGGGAAAATCTTAAAAAGTCCAAAAAAATTTGCCTAGTTTTGAGATGGAAAATAAGGAAAAAGTCAAGCGGAAAGCTTCAACCCCATACAAAAAAGGACTCATTTTTAAGTTCTTGCTTTTTCCCATATAATGTTAGAAACGAGGTTAGAGAAATCAGGTTATTAATTTTCTTTGGTCTCTAAAAACTCGAATTCCAAACGCTCTCTAGCTTTCGAAAATTAAGAGATCTTGTATCCTTCAATTTCACAAATGAATAAAAGTTAATCTTCAATAGTTTCGAAACCAACAGACTTCTTAAGTTCTTTCACAGAATACTGGTAAAAAGATGAAAGCGAATCCTCATTTGAAAGGAGATAAAACATTTCTATGTTTCGTTCTCAGGTTTACAAGTTTACTCAGCTGTTTCTACTTATTTTCTGTAGGGATTCTCGATAGAGCGAACCTGAAGTTGCTGAACCACTTGACGAGCTGCGCCGTGTTGTTCTTGTTGAAGCGAATGTCCGGGAAGTAGGACTTGAGGAGGTTGGAGTTGGGATATCTCGTGTAGAAGAACATGAGCTTCGCCTTGCGCAGATGCATCGGTGTCAACGTCGAACTGAAAGAGAATGCTTGAAGATGTTATTCCAGATATGTTGAAACCTATGAGAGCCATCATAGGGACCGCAGTCGCTCAGCTCATCCGAGTTGGTTGGACTGTCCTCCCGCTCGCCGAACGACACTCCGCCGTACAGCGGGTGACCGACGAGTGTCGGCGGGAAGTAGCGCGACATATTGGGAGTCGTATGGCCCATCGAAGGACTTGCTGGCGGACTGAACGGCGAACTGTCGCGCACGGAGTTCGAGTCTTCTTTCTTCATTACGTCAGCCGTCTGCAAAAAAGGAAACTAGTTAGGAGAAGTCTGCTAGAAAGATCATAAGCAGCAAAACTTTCAAAAAGTTAGACCCTCCTAGTAATCTAAGAAAGTGCTTTGAAAAGTTTTTGTATGAAAATATCCTTTGACGTTCTTTTTCTTGGAGATTTACACAAAAAGATGGATATCCAAAGGATATTGCCAAAAAACGCCCTAACGTTGCTTCTTCCGGAAATTTTAACAGAGTTTCCCGGGGTAAAAATTTCAGATACAAACGCCTGTTTTGATATTCCTGTCGAGGCACCAGATCAATACCAGAAAAAAAAGAAAGCCGAAAATATTGAAAAGATTACCCTCGACTTTTTCTTTTTCGGCGTGTCCTCCTCGTTGATGACGGCTGTCCTTCGGAGAGCGTTGAAGGCGTGCAGATTGAAGGCGTTGAAAGTGCTGGGGAAGATACCGGAGTTCATACCTGGAGAACAGGAAGTTGGAAAGAAGGAGACTTGAGACAGACCGTGAGCCAACGGGAACTGCGTCAAGGGGTTGGCGGGAAAGAGTGGATGCTGAACCGGAGGTTGACGAAATTCGTTGTTGTTGGACTGCGCCTGCCGCGCGATTTCTGCCGTTGCCCACTCTCGAACTACCTGAGAACTTCTTTTGGTGCAAAACACGGATAATTATTGTTAAATATCGCTAACAGAATTTCCTTTACTCAGTTTTTCCAAGTCTAATATGCTCATTCACAATAGCTAGCTGGGTTTTTAAAAGATCGGTTGAGATTTACCTCGAGGAAACTTCCCTTAAAGCTGGATTGACTCTTAAAAACTAGAACAAAGCAGTAAGTTTGCCATTTATAATTATATCCATTCCTAATAAATGACTCGCAATATTGCGATTTCTGGGAATAATTTCTTTCTAAACCTAATATTTTAATTTCTTATTTTTTTAAGCTCTTGATGAAATTTTCTTTGAATAAAGAAGGGACTAAAAATTAATAAATCAACAAAATCGGCGATATAACGTCAACTCCGCGATCAACGTCGCGACGATTACTTGACTATCTTCAATTCTTCCCATAGAAAATCCACGTACCCGCTCAATGGAGCTGGAAAGATTTTCAATAATTTCGTTCTTCAGCGTCTGCACCAGATGATTGTAATCGATTTTTCGCTCCTGAAAAATGTTCCAAGTCTTCTTATTTCTTTGATTGACGAACATCATTGGTGGGTGGCATGAACTTGCGCTGTTGCTCGAGTAACGCGTTGTACAGCTTCTTCTCAAATTCCAAATAAGGTGGCTGACTTTTCTCCTGAAGGTACCTGGGCCTCGAAGACGTCGCCAGGGAACTTGACAGGGGAGGCGGAGAGTTGAGCTTGAAGAGCCGAGTATTCCCGGTTCTCAGAAGCCGGTTTCTCTTCTGTCAGCTTCTCGATCATTTCCGTCTCATCTTCCACGCTATCGTTCTTGACGGAGTCCGTTTCTTCATCTGACAGAAAGTTCTTTTTTTGAAAACTTTTTGAGCTGATTATTTTTTCGAAAAATTGTTGAAATTTATTGTAAAGGAAAACTTTTTTAGTTTTTAAAACACAACTTTTCTTCACTCTCAGGCACATCTCCCTAAAATTTTTAACCTTCTTCGACTCACAGTCAAATGCAAACAAGGTTCCTCAAAGAATGATTCTACATAATCGAAATATTGGTTACCAATTTTTTTTTCATATGTAAACTTCATTCTAGACAGAAAAACGTACTTTAGTCGATCAGTTTCTTGAAATTTTTGATTCAATTAATTTTTTAAATAACTGTAAAAACTTCGTGTTCATTATTTATCTTTCATTTCGTTAATTATTACCATCATTGGCCTCCAACTGTTCGCCAATCTTCTGAGGCTGGAAGCTCTTGCGTTTGGAGGCGGAGCTGGTCGAGCTGGGGCTTTCTCTGCTCGCCGGAGTCTCTTCCTTGCTGTTGGGCTCCTCGCTGTCCTCGCAGAGGTCGTCCTTCTCCTCGACGACGTCTACGTCGAGCTGCTCGGTGTCGTCGACCGGCTGAAGCTCCGAGAATAATCCGAAGAGAGACGGGATGCCTACCGTGAGGCCTTTGAACGACAAATCGGTCGGCTGTTCGACGGACTTTGCCTCGCAGACGGCGCTCGGCGAGTTGGCCATCCACAGGCTGTTTATCGATTCGTTCGATGCCATCATTTCTTTTCCGTTTTTCCCCTGAAAAACGTCGGGAAATCGGCGACCAGAGAAACAGACACTCGTTCATCCCAGTTTTGTAAACGCAACTGCTATCATAAGTTTTCAACTTTTCGCCCTTTTGCCTTATTTCAGCTTGAAACGAATAATCTTCGAAAGAATCAAAATTTTCTGCGTTCTCAGGTATTTCCACAAAAAAAAAATATTGGAAAACTGAAAACTTTTTTGATTCAAAATTTAAGAGCAAAAATTGAATACAGTTTGAATGAAATTGTGAACTTGAGCGATAGTTCTCGTATGAAAACTTTGGAGATACAAGTAACATTTCTCTTAAACCTTTGTACAATTCCTCATTGAAAAACCCATGTCATAGAAGTTTGAGAAGATTTTCCAGATTTTGACGGAACTCATCTCTTTTTCTTTTAAAGATTGAGAATAAAACTACAAGGGAATAGCAAAGTCGGAAGAAAAATTCCGTTTCTCATCAAAATTCTTCATAAAGTTGTACGAAAGACTTGGCCAACGCTTTTTTTGATTCAAAAGGCTCCAGGTTTGTCAGACTCATCAAAAACCTGATTTTTTATTTTGATAGAGAGTTCAAGAAGCCTTAAAAAACTTGAGAGTGAACGAAGTTACAAATTCAAAGGCACACCTGGAAAGAGTTCCTGGGCTCGCCGGCGTCGACGCGCTGTCGATGACGTTTGATCTTGAGACGCTGTTGGTGTGCAGCGGCGGCGGCGGCAGCGGCGGCGGCCGAGAAAGGCGAGGACTGCTGCGGGAAGAGGTAGGAGAAAGGCGAGAACGGGCTGAACGTCGGCGGCAGCGCTCCTCCAGACGACATGGGCGGTCCGCTCGGCGGATCCCTGAAACTCGAGAGAGGATATTGCGCATCGAGCTGCACAAGGATATTACGGCCGACGACAATAACAATATTGAATTCAGGTGTGCGCCATGGTTCAAAAGGGATACGGTCGGAATGGGGCATTCAACCGCGTGAAGCGGACAAAATTAAAAATCTGAAAGGCTTTTGGTGAGTGAGCCGTCGTGGCAAGTGATCGACGGTTGGAGTTTGGAGGAAAATGAGAAATGACGTGAGGGAGATTGTACAACTGTTGTGGAAACTAAAGTTGAAAAACAAGACTGATGCTCTTTGGTTGAGAAAAGCGATAAAAGGGAAGATAGAAATTAGCAATCATCAAATAGGATCGAATGAGTGTGAAGAAAAAAAAACCAAAAATATATAATTGAATGGAAATATTTTATGAGGACTTTCTTTTTAGAAGCAAATAAAGAAAAGATAAATTATCATAACTTCCTTTTTTTCAAATCAGCCAACGTTTTAATGGCCCAGAACAAGTCTGCGATCAATATTGAAAAAAGAAGCTTCGTCTATCACATGCGAATATGATACACCTTTTGTTCTATAACTTCCAAGGACAGAAAAGTCGCCGAACTTCAGCATTTTGCAGTAACAAAGACAACTCTGACATTTCGAGTCCTCAAGAAACGTATGCAAATTCGCCCTGCGGCTGTTGTTGCGACGACGCATACGGTATGGAAAGCAGTTCCATCGGAAGAAAGGCAATGTTCATTGAATATTAAAGGAGCATCGCCGTCTCTGAGATGCCATTTCGCGCATATTTCCAACCTCGAAGCGCGATTTTCGTCATGGGAACCGAGGTGCTTTCAATTTCCGACCAAGGACTTTGACCTATTCCATTTTAAGGCAATAGGGTGGAGCTCATGACCAAAGAACAAATAGGAGTCTTTTCCGAAGATTTTTGTCGATAAGCATCGATCGACATTAGACTACGACTTTTTCAGTTAAAACTTGAGCTTCGTGGTATGAGGCAAACATATGACATTAAAATGTGTGAATAAATTCTATGAACTATGAGTAAATTAAGTGGAAGTTTTAAAGTATGGAAAAGAGCTTTAATTGTCTTACAAAAAAATTATTTCTTCTGGTTATAAAGGAAAAAAAAATTGAAAAATCGATCCTCAAAGTTCTTCTATACCTGTATTTTATTTGTAAATTATTTGGGAAACTCGCGACAATCCCAGAAAAGATTTCGAAGAGTATTTCGAAAAGAAAAAAGATTTTTTGGATGCTTGGAAAATTATAAATGAAGAACTTGCTGGTTATTAATATATAGTAATCTGAAAAGGAGGTAACTATTCCATTTTTGTTAAAGGTCCGCCTACAAACTTTCTCTCACGCACGTATCGTTTCAACGTAACAGCTATATGACGACTAATGAAATCTCTGGGGTCGGAGAATATGAAGTGCAAGTGCAGAGTACAGGACGATGAAATCAGATGTGAACTCACTTGGAAGGTCACTTCAACTCGAAGATGACAAATATACTCGAAAAAATGCTTGAAACAGCCTAAATTCGAAACTTTTCGGAAATGCAAGAGAAAAGGAAAACGGATATGGTAAGGAGATGAAGTTGGAGTGGTTGAGATTCGGAGGCCCAGGCAAATGGCGCAGTTTTTCTCGGAGGACAGAGAGAAAGAGGGCGTGGCGTCGTGGAGAGAGTGGGAGGGGCGTCGGCGGAGCGTCAGCCAATCGCCGACCTCGTCTCAAGACACTCGTCGTCTTTCTGTACTTCTCGAGGCGGGAAAACCACCGTCTCGAGGTTGCAGGAAGAGGAGAGGCTGAAGAAGTAGGAGCGCGGCAGAGAAAATAAGAAAAAGATCATGGAGCCGAGATAAGTGTATGATAAATCGTTGAGAGATAAGAGAAGTCGAAAATATTTCAGAGTCAACCAATTCATTGAAGATATGAAGCGTGAAGACAAAAGGTATTTCCAGAGCTCAATTTGAGACAGGAAATTGAGTGCGCAGGTTCAATCCCCCATCCTCTGCCCTCAATTCTTCGCTTTCTCTCTTTTATTTGCCGTTGTTCCCACCGAAGTGAAGTCGAAAAATCGTATGTTGTGAAGCTTCAAGAACCAAATCTCCAAATAGGATCAAAGTGATCATACAACTAAAAAAGGAACGCATTGAATTATTTGTTTGGAAACACACATCGTAGTATTTCTGCAGCGATTTAATCGATATTTCCGATGAGAAAGAGGGAAAAAAAACTGCGATTTGTACAGGTAAAAGAGCGATTCGTCTGAGTGTGCTGCGAAAAAGGATTTCTCATTTAGAAATGAAATATCAATCTGCGAAGAGGTTTGGCGAGCCTGAGTACTGCAGAAAAGTTCAATTGATTCAAAAAAGGGCTAGGCTGTACATTGAGATGAGATTAGGTCTAGGAGATGAAAAGGTATTGAATATGTGTACTTTTTTCTCCGATAATGTATGCGAAACTTCGTCCTGAATCATAATCTACATTATTGCATCTGAGAAATGGAATCAGAGGATCCGACGGACCAACCGACACTTGGAAGACCAACAGTTTGATGGGAGCTTTGTTTTTGCTCAAGACAATGAGAGGGCGGCTTTTGTGGTGGCACGTCTGGAAGCGAAGGAGGACAAGAGGCGGCACCGTGTGGAAATTAGGCCTGATTGGAGTAGGCGGCCGGACGAGCAGCAATTTGCCTCAGCGACAGAGCACATTTTGCCGGTTGACGGGACCGGAGGAGCTGCACAGGTTGGAGGTGCACAGGTGCCCACATTAAACCTACCATTCAAGGACATTTTTCTTGTCGGTTCGCGCGCCGCTCCATTGTTGTCCCAATTACTGTTAGCATGGGCTTTTTGTGTTCAGCCGCCTCGAGAAATCCAAATGAAATGGCTGGAAGAAATGAAAAATTGCGTTTGTGACCTCCAGCAAGGAATTATGAAAAGGCAAGGTTTTCAATGAATTATTCCCCTTGAAACTGTCAAAATAAAGGCCTCTAAACTTTTTAAAAAAATTAACGTGTTTTTCTTCTTTAAAATCACCCTCTTGAAAGTTACTAACAATTAGGTTACAAGGCTATTAGAGTACGTAAAATCAGATTCGATGTTTGAGCAGAATGACGAGCAATAGAACTATTTCTCTAAAATGAAGCTCAACGGTGATTTACAAATAAAACTTGAAAAAAACTTCCGAAACGAATTGGAGAAAAAGACTGCGTATGACGAGAATACTACCAAACGGGCAAAAAAAAAGTAAGAATTCAAAAAAAAGTTATTGCCTAGGCTTTTTGCCTATAAAATTAAAAAAGGCATCAATTCTTCATTATAAAATCGAAAAAAATTACGACATCAAGCTATTAGAAGATCATTGGTTGTGTTTTTTCTATGAACAATTTTTCTACATTTCAAACGTCACACAGTTTGTCGACGGCTTTTTATTTGAGCACCATTTTTCCCAAACAAATTTCCACTATGAACACCGTTTCTGACGTGGGCGGACCGAGAAAGAGATAGAAATCGTGACTCGATGCCTTTTCGATCATGAAACAGATCAAAAACTCTTCAATCAACTGAAATAATAGGAAAAGAGTTTGAAAAGCTGAGTAGAGATCGAGCGAAACGGAGCATCTGGACGGAGAGCGGATCTGCTCCAGCCGAAAATCTCAGCGGGGGCTTTTTCCGCTTCCCCTTGATTATATATACCTGCCCTTCAATAAGGAAATTAAGCTTCTGAGGACCTCTCATCTCGAATATGGGGCCTCCGATATCTTATAAATGCTCTACGTTCATACCTTACTGAGTTTATCAGTCGGTTTCTGAAGGAGCTTGTAGAATAGATGCGAGTATTACCCCAAGGAAGAAAAATAAATAAAGTAATAGACTGAATAACAAAAAAAGGAGTTCTAAAAAAACGGGGGTTAAATTCTCCAGCTCTTCCAATTGACACTGGTCAATCGGCGTATCCACACAATGTTTATACAAAGTTCCAGTTTGAATCCAATCGGCGAGTGTATTTCATTGATCAATTAGTTTTGTGATTCTTGATTTAATCGCGGTTTGTTTCACATCTTCGGAAATCGACAAGGAAAGGCAAGACTTTACAAACTTTTTTTTTTCGAAAAATTTTAAATTATTAAAAATAATTTAGAGAAAATTTTTTTTTAGCTTGAGAAGTTTTTGCAGAAGTTTTGGATTATCGAGGAATCAAAGCTGTGAATGCTTCCAATTTTTCAAGATGGAACAATTTTCAAACAACAGGTTAGCTTAAACTTTTTTCTTGAATACTGGAACCAAGGCAAAGATGCTAACCAGATTTGAAGTTCTGGGTTTTGTTTGAGGTCAATATAAACTGATATGCTCCCAATGAGTTCGGCAGACTTCGAAATGAGAAAAAAAGAGATTTGCTTTGGGTATCCAATGGATGAGCATGAGAGTTTACACAAACTCCGCGGTGACCTTAGAATGGCCGAATGGAAACCGGAGCCGCGACGCGATACAAACAATTGCGCAGCGGTATAAACCGTCGTCGGTGGCTCGGTTGGCACTTACAGACAAACGGACGAGCTCTTTCGCCACCTGTTGCATGCAGTGAGTCAACAAGGAGAAGCCCGATCTAATTGCTCACGCAGGTGCCCAAAAGGCTCCCCATTTAATCGCTTCTCCCGTTTTGTCTCCTTCCTAATCTTCTACCAGCGCATCACCAATTATCTCTTTCCCAGCTTTTTCGGGTGATCTTGAGAAAAAGCCGCCTTGGAGTCTTAGACCGTAGTACGATGGATTATAGGAAAAAAGAGATTGGATCAAATTTCAAGTGCTGAGATCCCAAGAAAGGAGTTAATAGATATTCAATGCGCTACCCTCAAAGAAAATCAAATTCTTCAAAACTTTAGTAATGTTTTTAATAATACAAATTTACTCATTTTTAGACACGAGAAGCTTATAAATGTGTTTGACAAAAGTTGAAAGTCAGATTTTCTTGAAAAGTAAAGCTAACCTTCGATTTCAAGTTTGATCTTATTCTCCAAAATTGAAGCAATCAGAAAAATGTAAATATACTGATATATGTCTTCGACTTAAAATCACTTTTTTCCTCGAAACTTAACTTCCGACCATCTCTGAGGTGTCTAGGCAAAACTCTTAATTCATGAAATGAGTGAAAAGAAGACATCAAGCACAAATTGGAAATGTGCGAAGTATCGTGCCGCCCAAATGGGGCTCGCCAATTGCGACGGCAAAAGAAGCGATGAAATTGTCCCCAAGATGACAATCTCGAGTAATGGAAAGCGGCTGGCGCCACCGTCAAAACGGATTCCTCGGCTCGGGAGCAGAGAAACCAACCAGAGACTGGCCAGTTAAGACCTGAATCAGAGGAGGAAGTCAGTCGCTTAAAAAAAAGTCGGAAAGTGATTTCTATAAAAATAAGCTTTAGATATAGCAGAAATCTACTTAAAACCCCTTGAAGGACGCTTTGAGATAGTTGGAAGATTTTTCCCTTGAATTCGAGATTAAGGTGACTTCGTGTCCTCTTTACCATTACAAGTTACGGTGTACCCTAGGTTTTTAAGCTTAGAAGCTTTATCTTTCTAATTTTCGATCTATGAACTATTATATAACTAAAAAGTGAGGAAACCCCGTAATAAGTAGAAAATTTGCATGAGTTCTCTAGTCAATATATTTTGAAAATTGCGGGAAATTTTAATTTTTCTTCAAGTTTTGCAATAAACAGCTTTTTAATAAAAAATATAAAAAAAGAATAGTCTTAAACTGAATCTGTACGATTCATCCGCTATTCAATATAACTACCTGTGAAAACTTCAGTTACAAGATTAAGAAGCGTGACATTAAAAATGTTAAAAGAAATGTTTCGAAGTAAAATGAACCTATCTTTGACTTTCGCTGAAAAAATCTAGAAAAAAAGAAATTGAAAAATAAGTAGTTATTATATATAAAGTCTCAAATTATTTCCCCTGTAAAGCAAAAAAATAAAAAAATTTGAATTGAAACTGATGACTTTTTTTTGTTTGAGGTTTTCAAACTGACAAAAAAATGTGAAAAAAAGTAGAAAAAAACAGAAAAAAAGTATACCGGCTCGAAAAAAAGAAGCATTTGGGACGAGAACAGGACGGAAGCGGTTCTCGTATAATGATGGGATGGTTATTATGCGGCGTGGACAACCCTTCAAGATGGATATGTTACTGTGCAACATGATTGGTCCAAAAAAGGGTCAAGGAATGCGCAATCGACCTATTCGATGGGCTGAACTCGATGGAGCCGTCGGCGGAAACTTTCGACGGACCCATTATCATAGGCCGCCGACCGTGACCGCCGGACGAGCCTTCCCTCGAACTTATCGCCTTCAAAATTTTCAGTTTTGGCCTTGAATGAGCTAATTTGAATGAACTTCGTGTAAAGGCATCGGCTACTAAAAACTAATAAGGTATCGAAGAGGAAAGTATGGGAAAGATTTTTCAAATTACAAATATTTTAAGTTATGCATTTACTGAGTCACATTAATTTGAATCAAGCACAAATTCGAAAGAGCCTGTAAATAATATATTACTACAGAAAAAAAGATGATATACTGAGAATAAATAAATTTACTACTAAAATTATGTATTTTTTTCACTGCCTGGAAATATTATTCTAACTTATTGACGTATCAACCGAGTTTGAAGAGTTAGAACCAGCACAAACAACTAACTTTTAAATAAAAAGTACCGAGAAAAACTTAATAAACAGAAAAATAATCGTCAACTTGATAATGTGCGCTCTATTGAAAGTGTACGATGGAATTGCGTTGAAAAATTTCGCAGAAATTTGGATGGTCAGCGGGGTTTTTTTCAAATCTCAATCTCATATTTTACAGGTTGATGTTCAAGCTGGACGAAATTTTCAGCTTTCGAGTGGACAATAATAAAAATATTTTGAAGGAAAAATTATAGCTTTCTTATCAGTTGAGTGATCAAAAACTTTCTTAAGAAAGCCGGAATATTTGATAATTTCAGGTGACGAGACGATGTCGTGTTGGCGCCGAAGCTCAAGGGCTCCGTGAGCCTCAAAGTCCCTCGGGAGCGAATTATGAAGGAATTGATACACGGACGACGCCTCGTGGTCATTAAGATAGTAAACAATTTTCTTTCTCTTCTCTCAAATCAATTATCTCTTTCCGCTTCGCCTTTTTCTTCTTCGACTAACTTCAACTTCTTTGTAGGTAAAATTAAATTGCGTCGTGAATGTCAGAATGAGAAAAAAGAACTTCAACAGATTGAACCGAGTTTTGGATAAAAAAAAGTATAAAGAATCTTTTATACATTTAGTTTTGTTAATTCTTATAGGCAAAATTCATTTTATACGAATTCTTTGAGATTTTCGCTTATTCATTACGCATATGGGAACCCATCTAAAGGGTGACTGGACCAAAAAAATAATAATAATGTTAACTAAATGCACTGGAATCTTGTCAGAAAAAGAACGTTTAAACTTGAAATTTAAATTGCACTGTTTTGAAAACTTTTTTATTAGGTATTGATTTCGCTAATATGGAAGCCACTGGAGAATCTCTTTTCCCTTGAGACGGTCTGAAAGCCGAAAAACGATCCACGAAGCCACGACTACATACATTGACCAATTTTTTTGACGGTCTTTTTCTATTGCGAGCTTACTAGAAAAAAGATAATGTAAAAATTGTATCAGTTGATATTATTTTGCGTAGATTGACGCGAAAAATTCTGGAAATTCAAAGAGGGAGAGTAAAAAAAATTAGAAACCAAAGATACAGCGAAAAGCGGAATTTTCTCTATTCTACTGAGAATTGTTTCGTTTTTAAATTTTTGAAGCTTTCAGGATGGAACCTGCGTCACCGGTACAAATGCGACTAGCTTTGGAGAATCTCTGCCTCGCTCGGCCACTGAGCAGCGAAGAGTTCAGTCGGCCTTGCAATTGCTCGACCTCCTCTCCTCGGACATACCTCGCCGCGATTGTTTTCCAAGGTACGTCTTCAATCGCGCGGATTACGGTAGAGCGCGAAAGTAGTGTGATTTCGACGACAGGTTGATTGGTAACCGCCGGCCGAGTAGATTATCCCCGCGCCTCGGAAGCGAATTCATCTGACAATTTCCTCCTCGAAACTGGTCCCGTCGGCACCGTTATAACTTCTTCTACGATTTCATCCGCCGCTTACCCTTTTGCGGTTACTTTTGTTCCTCTGGGGGGAAATGATGAGTTGGGTTTCGATTTTATTCCATAATAAAAGCCAGTTTTTCAAAAGGTCAACCGAGACTGAACATCTGATAGTAAGTCAGAGCATCCGCGCTCTACGAACTTTTGGGAAATTATTCATTCTTACACTTGAATAAAGAATAAGCAAAATTCAAATATATTTTGGTCTAATCAAAAGACCGGATTTTTTGCGAAGCTCTCAAAAAAGATTACAAATAAAATCGATTAGCAAAAGAAAATGTCTCGTTGGTTTTCCTCAACTGACTTGAAAGACTTGAACTTTCGATGGCTGTCGCATTAGACGGTTTTGTCTCCAGCGAAACTGGTCGGTTGGCAGCTTCTTCGGCTTTTTTGGGGAAAGTGCATTACTTAACCGGAAATTACAGTAGCCTGCCAGGCAGACAGATTGCCGCCTTCCGGCCAATTTCCTTCTCTTCGCCTTCAAGGGACCCACTCACGTGTTTCAGATGGAAAGGGCAGTGATAAGTTTTGAATTGGTTAAAAAATATAAGATTTCTGAACGTCTATTATATAAGTCGTGAGCAATAAACGAGAAAGTGTGTTTCCTCTCAAAACAAAAATGATAAATTCAATGAATGGATGATTTTTTTGCGGATTCTCGAAAAAAAAAGGATATGGCAAATTTCTCAAACCTAAAAAAACCGACAAAAAAATCTTGTTCGTTTCTTAATTTTCTCATATGAGCTAATAATTCAAAAAATGATTCCGACGTAATTTTTGAATTTAAAATTTTTTTTTCAAAAACTTATTGCACTGTGCTTTTTTCAAAATAACCCTCGAAAAGATGTTCCCATGAGAACTGTGACCTCATGATGAAGGCTGTTCCATTTTTAGTTCTCAGCTCTGTTTTGAACTTCTCAAGGAGTTTTTTTTAGTGCATTCTCCACTATCTTAGCTCGAACGATAGTCTCCTGAGACAGTGCTGACCTCATACGAGCTCTAATCACCTCAGACTTTTCTGAGTGGGTCGTTCCCTGAGGTACTTAGTACTGCTCTCAAATAGGAAGAATTATCATTTCAAGGAAAAACATTTCTTGGGATTCTTAGAGGTAGATTCTCGGTTTTTCACTATAGGTGATTGCAAACCAAACCTTATTGAGTTAACTGCTCCGAAATTCCTTATGAAAATAGTAAATTTCGCAAAAAGGGTGTACAAAAGGAGTTAATCTTTGACATGGCACTTGAACTTTTGTGTGGTAATCCTCGCGATAATTGGCAATTATGTTAGATCTAGAGAGTGAATTCAGAAATTTTGTATTAATACAAATCGAGAAGGACCTTGTGAGAAGAAAAAGTTTCATATTACTCCAGCCACTTACCTAAACTTGTCAATTAGAACAAAAATCGAGAATCGGAGCAACACCTGAGGACAATGGCTAAGGACAACAAGAACAATATGCGGAGAAATTCCGGCTAATTGGGCGATTGTCCGCGCGGCTCTCGCGGCTGCCCTCAAATCAAGGCGTCGCGGAATGGACATGTCGCGTGGCTAATTCGCCGTTGTTTTGATAGCGGTCCTCACACAGTCACCTTGAACACGAATCTCAATTGGCCGCCAATTTACTCACACGGTATAATCTGAGCCCCGTTTCCGCCGTTAGCGCCATTTCTGACACCTTCCGATGTACTGTAGGCGCGAGAAAGTCGAGTGGACAGTAGGCTAGGGTTCGAAAATTTTCACGGAGTGACCATTGGAAGAAACGCGTTACGCGCATATTAAGTATCTATTCCAAATTTTTCTGGAAATCGTTATTTCCTCTAGAGAGCAAATCCTGAGAAAAAAAAAGAGAATTTTCGAAAATCTTGGAATTCAACCAAATTTCTTTCTTTTTGAAAAATAGTTTTTTGTGATCGAACTACGTGAGTGTAGTCAAGAAGTATTTCAGTTGGAAGGAATGGTGAATAAAGTCTTGAAGTCACCATTCTTCTGAAATCTAGAATAATCCTAGGTCGGTGACAGAAGTCGTTAAGCCGCTAGTGTATAAAGATCAGAATAACTAAGTAAGGAAGAAAATAGGCAAAGTTGAAATCCTTCTTCTCCATCGGAACTTCTACCACCTAGCCTGAAGCTCAAACGGCTGAAAAGAGAAAAAAGGAGGAGCTACCGTAATCGGCAGCTCCTTGCGAGAGCTTCGTCCGCAGGTGAGTTGTTCGAAAGGATTGTTTAGCTTGCGTCGCATCTGAAATCTCAAATTTCTTCGCTGGCGCGCTCCATCCACGTCGTCCTCGCGTCTGTTTACCTGCGGATCATCAGTTTATACAACGGAGTGGCGCTTCGATTGGGGGAGAAATGTTCCGGGAAGAAATGCTCGAATTGGCGGCCCGATGACCTGCCAATTCATTATTCATTTGCCATCCGCCGGCACTCCACTCGATTGGCTCCGCGGCTCTAAGCAACACCGCGTCCCATTCAAGCCTTTCTCCGTCGCATCAAGAGAAGATGTGTCTGTGACAAGTCCAAATACTTATAGACCACGTTGAAGGGACTTCAAACGCTTTGCCAAACTTGAGTTGGCTCCAGAAGGAAAACGAGAAGTCGAGAAAGAAGTTTTTGATCAGTTTCCCTTTTACTCCAGAAACGAAGAGCTGGATTCTAAGTTCATGAGTTTCTGCGACAATTTTTAGGTCCAAAAGGTTCATGAATCTTTTGTTATTTCAGACCAACTATCAGTTCAAGAGCTTGAATTCTGTAAAAAAAAAAGCTGAATTAGACAAAGCGAGAAGAAAAAAAAATCAGTTTGATACTGAATGAGGGAATTTCTCCTTCTTGCTTTATCAGTACTTTACTACCTTATACAGTACTGGCCATAAAGGTATTTCAAAGTTGTTTTTCGAGCATAACTTCTCTGAAAGTGGCTCAAATGACTTGAAACTTTGCAAAAATTTCAAATAGCTACGCAGTAATTCTTTCACGGAAGAAAAACTCATTTGCTCAAGTCAGACCGGATTTGAGAGCAAAAAACCAAAAATCGTGAAAATCAAGATTTTTCTCTTGAGATTCGAAAAATCATATCTTCAAAGAAACTTGGTTTTCGAACCAGAAATTTTTTTCCCTACTAAAACAAGTCTTCGGCTTTCCAAGAAACCTAATCAGCCCCTCACCAACCCGATAGTAAGAGCGTAGTGACTTTTTCTTCGGAAGGCCTTTGCGTTTTGACGCCTCTACGTTCAAATGGACTATACGAGGTCATTTTTGTTTGAGAACACCCTGTATTATGTTGAAAAACTTTGAAACACCCTCAAAAATAGTTTTACACTGATTTCTTCAGCTTTCTCACTTTATCTGCTCTCCAGAACTCACTAACTTCACTAGGACCGATTTTGAAACCTCTGATTTGAACAGTTTTTCTGGACTTTCGGGCGTTCAAAGTAGTTTTTATCTGATCAATCGCTTTTCGATCGTGAATTTGAAAATAAATATTGGCTAAATTGCAGGCTCTTAGTTCCTGAAGACTGCTAATTTTTTTGCTAAAGCATTAGTTTCACAAGATCAAAAACTTATTTTCACATAAAATTTGAAGAAACTTTTTACAGTGCCTATCTTCGACCTGAGAGCTAGAAAGAGGAGTTACAAATTTATTTCATGATCTAAAACATTTAAAAGTATGAAAAGAAGGGGTTTTTATCATCTTCCACAAGATTTGGAGCCCTCTAAGCAACACTTACCGAAACGAAGTTTCGAGAACTTTAAGAAACTCATTATAACTCGCTATATCTTTTGAATAAGTAAGCAAAACACAGTAGGTCTCCTTTTATTTTTATTCGTCAAGGTCCTGAAGAAGCTCTGAAATCTGAAATGAGAAATCGAGAATGTTCTGATTTTGAAAAAGGAGCATAACTGCTTCAAATCAGAGGTTTCAAAATCGGTCCTAGTGAAGTTAGTGAGTTCTGGAGAGCAGATAAAGTGAGAAAGCTGAAGAAATCAGTGTAAAACTATTTTTGAGGGTGTTTCAAAGTTTTTCAACATAATACAGGGTGTTCTCAAACAAAAATGACCTCGTATAGTCCATTTGAACGTAGAGGCGTCAAAACGCAAAGGTCTTCCGAAGAAAAAGTCACTACGCTCTTACTATCGGGTTGGTGAGGGGCTGATTAGGTTTCTTGGAAAGCCGAAGACTTGTTTTAGTAGGGAAAAAAATTTCTGGTTCGAAAACCAAGTTTCTTTGAAGATATGATTTTTCGAATCTCAAGAGAAAAATCTTGATTTTCACGATTTTTGGTTTTTTGCTCTCAAATCCGGTCTGACTTGAGCAAATGAGTTTTTCTTCCGTGAAAAAGTTACTGCGTAGCTATTTGAAATTTTTGCAAAATTTCGAGTCATTCGAGCCACTTTCAGAGAAGTTATGCTCGAATAACAACTTTGAAATACCTTTATGGCCAGTACTGTAAGTCTAGTCTCAGTTTTTCCTAACCAACTCATTAAAAAAACGCGAATTTAGATAAAAAAATAATCAACTTCTTCTCCATAGATTTTGAGAGTTTTATTTTTTTGGAGATTATTGTCCCAGCTCGATAAGAAATTTCCATTCAACGGGTTGTGTGAGTTTAAAAAACGAGTTTGAAGAAATTCTCTGAAGTATAAGTGAAACCGGTTTTGAGTCAAAGCAAAGTTGTAAAGTTAAATAAAGTTTATTTTTAATAGACTGTAGCGATGATAGTTTATAGACTTTGAACTCTCACAAGTATCCACCTACTAGATTCAAAATGCTAATTACAGCGACAATTAGAAGAGGATGCCGTAGCACCTGAAGCGAGCTAAAAGGGAGCTGGACAAAAGAGGCGGAAGGATGAATTGGAGCGCCACCTCAGTCAGTGGATTGGATCATGCTCGGCTGCACAGTCGGCACGGTCCGCGGCTCTGGTAATCAGGCGATCCGCCGGATTAGCATAGTTGGCCGCTTGTAGTGGCGAGCGGATCGTCATCAAAAATTCAGAGGGTGGAGGACTACGGTAGTCGAGTGACACGAGGATGGATGATAGACTGCGCAAAGAAAAGGCGACGATGATCGAGCGAAATAAGATGTGCAAGTTGTTCGACAGTCGGCTTGTTTGGCTTCCGAGCAGATGAACCAACAAGCCGCCCTCTTCGTCCTTCTTTCCTGCCGTTTCATCCGTATTTTCCCTCCGAAGAATGTCATTCAGAAGGGTTTCGGAGTAAAGTGAGATATCTTAGCATGCCTAGGGGGCGCAAAGCCCCGCCCCTTCACGCCACCAAAATGACGATTTTTTTGTTGCAAAAACGGTTTTGAGGCGTTTATACTAGCTAAAGTCCCACTTTAAAAATTAACTGTTTCTCTTAATCTATGTAATCGACAACGCTCTACAAGACTGAATATTTTAAAAACTATGTATTTTTCAAAAATAAGCGAAAAAGTAAGATTTAACACGAAAAAAACTGACAAGTTTCACAAAATCGTCGCGTTTCAGAAAACCAAGTGAGGAACGCTTCCGAACTTTGAGTTAGTTATACATTAACACTTTCTTTATTTTTTTGAGTGAAAATGAAAAAAATCTACCGACGCGAAAAATATTAAAGCTTGTAAAGTGACACCAAACTTTGAAGCTGAAATGCGAAAAAATTTCAGCGACAAGGTATACTTTTTATTTGATTTAAAAACTCACAATGTGCTCACAAACAAAAATTCAAAATGAAAATAATTATTGGGACAGCGAATCAAATTATATTTGAGATTTACCAAAACCTCCTTTTTTCGCCTGCCTCGTTGACGAATGAGAGATTAGGATCGCGTCTATACTTTTTGATTATGTTATTAAGCGTTCAAAACTCTACCAATGAAAAAATTATGAAAAAAATCGATCGACGCGAAAAAAATAACGGCTTTGAAAACCTCGAAAAAATAGCAATTTTTTTTGAAATTTCGGAAGATTTCGTGCAAGTGTCCGTAGCAGTGTTTGCGTCAAACACACCGATGCGCCCTTTTAAATGTCGCAGGAGCCGGTTTTCGGAGTCAAATTGCACTTTTTCCTGTTTTATTTCGAATTAACATTATTTTTCATTTTTTCTTTTTTCCAAATCGAATGATAATAATTTTTCTGAGTAGAGAAAAGAAAAATAAGCTGAAAATTCCTTCTGACCTTTTTCTAAGTAGTTTTTTTGATATTTTATCAAAAATTCTTATGAGGATTGTACAAAAGATTCATACCAAAACATGAGGCTCAGTTCGGACAACCTCTCAGAACAGAAAACCGATTTAAAAACGGTCCAGAAACGCGCAAAAACATTTAAAAAGAAAGCGTGCGGCGGCGGGTAAACCGTGAGATTTTGCCTCCAGTTGTACGCCGCGCGCGCTCGTTTTTTGGCCATAACTTTTTTCTTAGTGGAGCTTTTTTCAAAAACTAAACGGATTATGAAAATGGACATTCTCCTCTATCGAACAATGTGAAAAACATATTTTTTGAATCGTTCTGAAGAAATGGCTTGCGGTCCCTAAGCATGCCCATCAACATTTCAAGTATATATAGAACCGTTGAAAAGTTACCAAAAAGTCTTTTTTGAAAAATTTATTCGCAGAAATTTGAATTTCAGTCATTCATAGTGTTCGTAACTGTGAAAATCTAAATCTATTTTTAACTTTGTAGAATAACCAGCAGAGCGAAATGGCTTCAAAGATAAAGCTCATAAAAGGATCCTGGAAGAGACGCTTCGAGAAAGAAGCCTCAAGAAGAAGCTCGAAGAAGAAGAAGCTTAGAGGTCGTGCGGCTGACAGGTAATCCCGGTTGTCTAAGACGAGCCGTGTGCAAATGACAAGCAATTTGCGCGGGATTGCGTCGTCGGGTGGATCCGAAGAAGGCGTACAAGGAGATTAGCAGGTCAGGCTCAGACAAAGGAGGCTAACTTGTACGCGACTGACCGCTTCTTTTCTCCGATCGGCTCATTATCTCGCCAGAAAGATAGAGCCCGACGTAGGATTTTCGGCATTCATACCGCGTGTCCTGACGGATGGCTCTACTCAAGAGGGGTCAAATTGGATGTAGAAAACGGCTCATGAAAATTATTCCTTTTAATGTCATAATGAATCCAATATGGGCGAAAATTCTAGCCTAAAGTAAATGTTTTGCTTCAAAAACAATTTAAAGCTAACCGGTAAGAAATTAATTTAAATGAGAAGTTTTATCAGGTTTTTCAAAAAGAAGTTTATCAATTTCTTGCAATTTATAACAAAAACTCAGATTGAAGAAAAAAACGGAATCTTCATCTAATGCATAAAATATTGTTTTTGTACAGTTTTGAAAAGTACAGAAAGTTTTGAGAAGGATCTCTCAAGGAAACCGGAAATGATGATTCAAAAAAAGTTTGAGGATTTTTTTTTCTAGAAAAACGAAAATTGCACTGAAAAAAAAAGATGAAAAATTGAAGCTCAATAATAGGCAGCATTAGTAACGGTTTTTTTCGCAAGATGAAGATTGCGCAAGAACTTGAGCTCCGCGCCTAGTAGTTGGTATGCTAATAAGGATTAAGGTAGCAGATAAGTAGTGGGAAATGTGTAGAAAAACTAAGGAAGGCAGAAATGAAGGGAGAACTTTACTGACAGGAGCTTTGGTTTCAGTTTTTAGCCCAGTTTTGTCTCTAAACAGACTCGAAACTAACAGGAAGTTTGAAGGGAAAGAAACTTTTTTACTTTAAACGGACAGTTCGACTTAAAGCCAAAATAATATGCGGGAATTTTTTTTGATCTACTTTTATTTGAAAACTAATTCGCTAAAGCGGAGATTTTTATTGCTTTAAATGATTTCTCACTAGAAAGATTTTCATAGGCAAGACCAACCTCAAAAATGAACGTTTTTGTTGAGTTAAAAACCTAAGATGCATACCAGGAGTTTTTGACAGCTTCTTTACAATTCTCACATAGTAAAGGGTTTGGCAGTAATGGAGGAGAACATAGTTTTGTAATTAATTATAAAAAGGTTTCAGAGTAATTGAATTACCTAGCTGAAATGGTTTGTGTAACCCCAGAAGTAGTTTTCTTGATCTTTCTGCTTTTTCAACTAAACCAATGGGTAAAAGATTTTGGAGTTCTCCAGAGTCGAACGATTGAGAAATCCCAGCTTTTTATGTACTACGAAAGAGAAAGAAACAAAAAGTAAATAAAGGAAGTTGTGGCAAACTGAAGGAAGAAGCGCCGGTGCAGAAACCGACCGCAACAAAAGGCAGAAGCAATTAATCGCCGGCGATTTGCGGCCACAACTTTTTCGGAGGCTGAGTAGTCGAAACGAGAAGCCTGGTGGACGACTCCGAGCAGACGATTCTTTGAAGAAGTCGTGCTCGATGGCCACTTGAAAGGCCACGAACTCGACGCCTTTTGTCGGTTGCACCGTCTCGACACTTTCCGATGCTCTTCTCGACTCCAAACCTTCTTCTCCCGCTCAGAAACACTTTCAAGGCTCGGACAGCGACTATTTCGAAAGCTCTGAAAGTGGGAATTCAAGCTGAATTTCCAGAAATATCCGAAACTTCTGACCTTTCACGAAATTTCAAATGTGTCATTACATCTTTTTTTGATTTACTCAGGGAGTATGGGCTTCAATTTATAAGATTTGTAGCGCGAAAACATCATTCAGAAGTTTGCCTTTCACATTTTTTAAGAACGGATGAAGATATTTTCAAATTAAAAAAATGCGCCTATTTTTCTAGAAGAGCCGTTTCAACATGAAAATGAGAAAGTTTTCGAGGATAGAACAATAGAAGAAGTAGCATGCTTTATTATGGGAAAAGGCTAAAAAAAATGACTATCCTAATCGAGGATTTTTACCTATCAATTTTTGAAAACCCATGTGGTTTGCAATAACTTTTTTTTGTGTTTATCAAAAGTGCTTTCTTTTCGTGCAGATTTCTGGAAAGATAATAAATTTTTAGCATAGTTAAATGATACTCAAATGTGTTTGGAAATGGTAGAAAAAAAAAGAAAAGAGGCATTTCTTTTTGACTTTGAAGTATTCAAGTTTTTTTCTCAGCCCTTCTTTTGTCTTTCTTTTTCTTTTTTCGTTATCCTTTTATCGTTGAAAGTTAAACTTTCAAGTTCAAGGAAATCTGAGTGGTCAGTTTAATTTTATGTTCGAGGTTAATCGAAACATATAAACTTTTTTAGTCACCTTCTTGCTTTATTATTTTTAATTTTTTTGGAAATCGTGATCAGTCTGTTTTTTGTTTTGTTTTATTATTCTTTTTTTGTATTCTAACTAGTTAATGTTTTCGTGGTTCAATTAGTTCATTAGAACTAATTGAAGGCCGCTTTCATCGACCGATTTATTTTGTCTTCAATAAGAAAACCTTAATTTTTGCTACCACGATGTTCAAAAATCAGGTGTGTAATAGATTTCTGCGCTTGCATCAAACAGTCTCGGGATATCTCGGATATAATCGGATTCGCCGTGAGAGATCGATCAATGGGCCCAGCATGTCAGCTTCATCCATATGGATCAGCCCTTCTTCCTCTCTGCAGAAGCATAAACAATCCTCTTTTTCTTGCCTAGTCCAGCTTCTTGGAGAAGTCTTGAAGTGTTTATATTTCTTCATGGGAGAAGAAAAAGGCGTTTTGTTAGAGATTAAAGCTTCTTGCAGTTAGAAAAGAACGGAAATACTTTTTGATGGTTTTTCTAAGCAAGAGATCGATGAAGCCGGCCGAAGAATGGTCAGCTTCATCCTGCGCGGAGGTCACTTCCCTCCTCTGCGTCTCTGACTGTCTGCGTCTCGCACTCCCTACACGTCTTACCCATTTCACTTGCACTCTTCTCAGACCAGGCCTGCGCGAGTTTCCTTTTCCCAAGATTTTCTCCTTTTTCGCGTCTTTTATTGTTTTCTTTCGATGTATAACAGATTTTATATTTATGCCAAAGAATTTTTTGGAAAACATAAAAAAAAAAAGAATTGAAATGTCCTTAAAACTTTTCAAGTGTTTCGACACTTGAACTTATCTTGGCGGAAACGTTCTCTATTCCATTTTTCCGATTTGTTCCTTTTTTTCAAATGAAAAACAACAAAAACAAGTCTTTCTCAAATTTGAAATAACTATGTATTTTTCCAATTTCTTTTTTTGAAATTTTTTTAAAATTTATATTAAAAATCTTTCGCTCTTAATTTTTTTATTTTTTTAAAGTTTGTTTAGTATTCAGTAGCGCTTTTTTTCAAATCCGAAAAGTTCAAATTTTTTTCTTCATAATTCTCTTTTTTTCTATCTACTTTCAACTAGATATCATTTTTAAATTGAAAAATTCTTTATTGAAAAAAATCTAAGATAATGAGTCAAACTCTAAATTCATTTTTTTCATAAGAAAAATCTAAATTTTTTTAAAAATTTTATCTTTTTTTAAAAATTTTTTTCTAATCGATTTCAAATAATAGTGCAAAAAGTTTGTTATTTTCTGCTCGACTGAAGTCAATATTTAAAATTTGACTGCCAGAGTGCACTATTTACCCACGTTATTTTATTTATTTCGCCCGCAACCTTCAAACGTCGACTTTCTTTCGACCTCATTTCCTAAATGTTACGGCATAAAAATCAGTTAGTGGAGGTTTGTTTTTATTTTCGTTATTCGAGCACTTTTGATTGATCGCATCAATGGCAGCTCATTAAAATGACATTGTGTTAGGTTATTTGAGCTTAATTCAAAATTATCTCTGACTCTTCGAATTTGGTTACCCTCTCTGGCGGCTATTTTCCATTTCGCGGAATCACTTTGAACACGGCTGAAAGAGTTGGAAAGCATTGTTTGCCAGCAAAATTTGGAACATTGGTTTGGAGATTATTTCAGTTTTATCTCATTCGAACAAGGTAAAAATGACATTGATAATAATAAAAATCAATGATTGAATGTGAACCTCCTCATGCAGAGACAGAGGTTTTTTTTTAATGTTCTCAGTGGATTCTTTTCGCTTGTTCCATTAAATGAACGTGAGAAAAACTGTGCTTCAGAGATATTTTCGAGTGAGAAACTTTGCCAAGACATGTGGTTTTTTTTTTCCTGCGACTAAAATCTTTACATCATAGAAATTTTCGAAGGAATTTCATTTTTTTCGCTGAATACATCTTTCGTTAATGAAGTTAGGCTTAATATTTTTATTTGTGAGCAGAAAAAAATTTTTTTATGTGTTTTTTTCTTTCTCAAAAAAATAAGTATCCACAGTCCGGAGTACTTTTTAGGATATTTTACACCAAGGAAAATACTTTTAACATAATCAATCTCATAATGAATTTTTCATAACGTCTTCTCTATGTCTGCGATACCTTCCAAGTTTTTTTTTTTCGCTCATAGTTCACCCAATTCACAATTTCCGACCTGGTAACTCTCAAAAGGCAGAACTTTTCCTACGCTCCGATCCGCTTAAAAAAGCCGACCTTGATTTCTATCTGTCTGTCGACTCGGGTCCCATTTGTTGTCCAACGACTGAAAGGTGTCAGAAAGTGGCGTTTTGCAGGCGGCCGTCCAGTTCGACCTCGGTCCAGCCGCAGCCGCGCCGATGAAGAAGCACGGCACCGCCGACCCATTGCTCGGTGGGTCGAGATCCCTCCAGTCATTCCATGCTCGGACTTGCAGCGCACATCCGGCCGTACAGCCGCCACCGCGTCCGTCGCTACCTGTACATCGCCGCCTCGCTTCTTCTGCTGTTCCTCGTCTGGAGGTGGCTCTACCCAGGAAATGGAGGCACAACCTACGGTGGTCGGCCGCTTGGCTATCGCGATGAGGTGGGGGATGTTTTGAATTGGGATTCGGTACACGAAAGATCCGAAAAAGTTGATAGAACATGCGGCGAATTTCCTCGATTTTTGTCCGAAGTCGTCCCTTTTTTTTCTAACTTTTCGGTTCCTTCTTCCCTTTCGTCGAAATCTCCAAAATATTTTTTCTTAGTTGTGCATGTTGCGCCGTGAACATAACTCCTTCGAGTGTAGTCAGATTCTCATTTTGCGGTTCTTTCGTTTCGAGAAATCTTAAACTGAAAAAAGGGGCTGCCAAACAGAAGCCAAACTTTTCCAAATTCAAAGTCTGAAGTCCAAGAAATCGAAACATCAATTTATTGAATTGTGTATACATGTACGAAGTATGAGAGATAATAGCTTCAACTTCTCGAAAAAAAGGAATTATTTGGAACTGATTTTTTTCGCAAAGATTTCTTCATACAAAATTATAGAGAAATTTTTGAAAAAAATTATAGTTTGTGAGAAGTAAAAGGACTTATATACAATTTCTGATTAATTGTGCCCGCTCAATGCAGACAAAAACACAGAAAATCTTTACACTATGTTGATAGTTGATATGATTGCAAGTTAGTAATAAAATTTTCATTTTTCATTTCACTGAATGTAGTCTGTCCTAAGTTTTTTTTTGAAGCAAGAAGGAAAAATGAAAAAGTTGGAGCGAAATCAAGAACTTCAATCTTTCCCAGACATCTCTTAATCACTGCTTTGATTCACGCGGTGATATTTGTCACCCGACTGGCGACATTTGTGAATCACGGCCGTGCTCGGATATGCTTTTCTACACGAATCTCGGCAGTGTGTGTGTTCGTTATCTTCCGGTGTAACATCCAACAATTGTCCTCAAATTGTCGTCTCTAACGGCCGTTCTGCATGATCCTGGTGTCATTCGACAAGTTTCGCGGCTCGATGCGCGTCTTCGTCTTGTTTTTGGCTTTCTGTGGAGGGGCCGCGAGCCTTCCACGGCTGACTCCACATCAACTGAGCCTTCTGGAGTGTCTTTTCGTTCGTCGCGACTGCAAGGACCATCTAGCAGATTTGTCTGCCGCCAACAACCTTTTTTGGAATGTTAGCTTCTTTATTAATATTTCCTTCTCCCGTCGAAAAAAATTATATTTGCAGTTGATGTCGCGCGAGTTTCCAGCGCAACCTCCGACCAACACTGTCAGAGTCGAGCTTTTTGTGGAGTCTCAATGTCCAGACACGTCGAGGTTTGTTTTGATATTTCTGAAAAAGGTTACCCAGTTTCTCAGATTCATCCGGAAGCAGTTGAAAACGACTTGGGACGCGTTGAGCAACACTGGCCGCATCGAACTGTCGGTGGTGCCTTTCGGCAAGGCTCGGTGTGTACCGCGAGGCAACGACTTTGAGTGAGTTTGGGCAAAGAAAAAAAGATTATTTTTGAAAGTAGCAACGTCTTCCAAAAATATTTTTAGTTCAGTGTAATCGGGTTTTTGGATTGAACGAATTATTTCGAAAATTGGTTCCTGTTCCAGTTGCTCTTGTCAACACGGTCCGACAGAGTGCCTGATAAACCAGCTGATGAACTGCGTCATCGACAGAGTCGGATTCCCCAACAAATACGTGGAGACGGTGATTTGCATGCAAGGCACTCACTCCCTCGACGAGGCTCTCAAGTGCGTCGAGGGACATCCTTCGCTCGATCAGCCCAGGCAAGTCTTTTCCTTTTAGGATAACTTGATGAGTTCGTTCACAACTCTGTGTTATCTCTAACGAGCTCTTTTTAATCTTGAACTTCGTGGCATTTGAAGCCCATGGGTACTAGTTAGGATGTTTGAAAAGAGAATAAAAATATCTAAGATGAAGGGTCTTCAATTTGAATTTTCGAATTTATTTTTGTGAAATCGGCCGTTCATAATTTCTTAGCCTCCTTTTTTGCAGAATGCGAGACTGTGCGACTGGCGAACGAGGCCGACGTCTTCTGGCGCTGTCAGGCCAGCGGACGGCCGGGCTCCAGCCTGCTCTGGACTTCGTTCCTTGGATCCTGATCGACGGCGTCCGCAACACCGACGCCCTCTACGACCTCGCTCAGAACGTCTGCAACGTGTTGCACCCTCCTCCAGCGGAGTGCTCTCCATTCCTCACCACGGCTTTATAGGCTTTTTTAGTACAGATTAGAACAAATAACTGGACTATAAGCATTCTTCCTATGTATTTTCCTTCGAGTCTTTCCATCTCGTCGACACCCATGTGCCTTCTATCCAGCTTTGCTTAACGGGTCTCTATCCTTCTTTATATTTGGTGATTTGTTTTGCCTATCAGATTTCTATCCAATTTTTGTTCACGAGGTTTTTTGTATATGTTTGTTAAATTATTGGATGTATTTAGTCATGTTTGAAGTGAAGATTTTTATTTTTTTATTTTTAAAGACGTCAAAGTGAGACAAGATCTGCTTTTGTGGTTGATATCGGTCTTTGTTTATTTGATTAAAAAAAACTTCCAGATTTCGCAAACATTTGGCAAGAAAAAAACGGATTTTGTTATATTTTCAAAACGAGTGGTTGAAAAGCTCTCATGGCCACGTTTGGGTCAAATTCAGCATCAAAGAATAGGAGAAACGTGCGAACTCAGCGAATATCAAATTCAAAAAAAAAAAGAATTTTCAGCCGAAAACAGAAACCGTGGAACTGCTTTTTTTTTGTTTTGATCTCACTGATTTAGTCATTTAACTGAAATCGGAGTAGCTAATAAGATTTACTGGAACTGAACGGGTTAAATCAGTTGAAAGACTGTTGACTAAGGTCAAATGAAGGGGTGTTTGGCCGTTGGGTTGTTGGTATAAACATAAATGGAGGAAGCGGCGGATTCGGCGGCGAAAAATGTTCCAGAGAAGCAGATCCAAACCGGGCGACATTAAGAAGTGGAAGGCAACGAAAAGCGGGCAGACAAATCGCGCAAAAACCGCCGCCGTCAGCTGTTTCTTCTTGCGCCACTGGCACCCGACGTCTTCTGACAACGACGACGGCATGGCTGCGGCCGCGACGACTTCCAGGTCGACCAAGGCCCTCCGACCTCACCACATTCTCTACGACGAGCGCCATCTCGCCGTCCAGCAGACGCTGCGCAAAGTTCGCTTTTTTCTCTATTGATTTTTAATTTATTGGTTCTTTGTTCTCCCTCAGGATGTGATTTCAAAATATGTCTCACTATTTTTTTTTTAAGTTTTGTTCTTCTTCTTCCTACGCATTCGTACCGCTTGAGCGGCGTCGTCGCCCCAAGTATTAGCCGAGGTTCTATCTTGATATCAGGAATCAGAGGTGAAGGATTGGGAAGGCAGCGGTCAAGCCAAGCCATTTAGCCAAACGATAGAAATGAGTCATTCACTTACTATTGAAAAAGTCATTTCTGCTTTTGGGCGTTCATGGCTTGGCAGGCAGTGCGGCCAGTGGGCAGCCATCCTCCACCTCTGACAGGGATGATCAGTGGACGCTCCAGTGACATATCCGTCCTTGTGTGTGAGGGCTGGGAATTTTTGATGTCGTGGTTTCCGACTACCAACATTTCTCAAACCCCTTGGATGGGTTGAGGCGAGGATCGAACTTGTGACCTGTTGACCGTAGACAGGCCCACAACTCTACAGGCTTATATGTTGAGTCTTACAATTCTATCCGAATAGATTTGAGAACTTTTGAAAAGTTCTACAGGCTTAAAGATTTCCGCTATTTTTTTCGTTATCAGTATTGTTAAAGAATATATATATAATAATATTCGTTTTCTCACGCACCTGATCAGCAAGCTTTTCAAAGACACTCCTCAAGAATTTGATTGTTTTCTGATCAGAGCGCGATTTTATCGCACTAATTTCTCATATCTGTCAATCTTTTTGCGCGTTCTTCCAGAAACCTTCTTCAGCGTGACGATATTTTTTGGGTGTGAACAAGTTTCATTCGAGAACTCTTTCTCACAAAACCAACTTGAAATTTGTTGTTTGTATGTACGCCGATCGGAGACCAACCTACACAATAGCTGTTCGTTTCCGCAAGCAAATAAACAAAAATCTCGTCGTGTTTTGATGGCGGAAACTGTTTCAGATAATCGATGACAAGATCAATCCGCAAGTGCGTGACTGGGAGCGCGACGGCATTTTTCCAGCTCACCAGGTCTTCAAGACGCTGGGTCGCGTTGGAATTTTCGCCGCCAACAAGCCTCAGAGTGATTTTTTCGCCTAATTTTCTGGTTGATATGACGCCTTGACATGGCTATTTCATGAGAAGAGAACTTTTTCCTATGAATTGAAATTTGAATAGAAGTTAGGAAATACGTCGAAATAAGGTTCGAATGATAAAAGTAGAAGACAGAATTAAAAGTTTAAAAAATAAAGAAAACTTTCATTGAGTTTGAAGTGAAATTCTTGAATTTTGGTTTATCACTATTGCTGGATTGAAAAAAAAAATTATGAAACCCTCATGCATAGTTCCTTCATGGTTCAAATAACTGGTCAAATTAAGAATATGGAGGCCTGGGCAAAGACTTCTCTCTTTCGATCGCCGTCGCAGAGGAGCTTGGTTCAATCGCCTGCGGCTCGGTTCCGATGTCGCTGTTGGTCCAGTCGGACATGGCGACGCCGGCTCTGGCCGAGTACGGCAGCGACGAATTGCGAGAGACCTTCCTCAGGCCCTCCATCTCCGGAGACGTCGTCGCCTGCATCGCCGTCAGCGAGCCTCACGCCGGCAGTGACGTCTCCGGTTCGTTTTGCGGAGCTCATCGAGTGAGGAAATCGATTGCAGCCATCCGAACGACGGCTCGAAGAAGCGGTGGGGACCTCATTCTCAACGGCACGAAAATGTGGATCACCAACGGCGAACAGGTCAAACCACATTATTACAGCGACTGCCATTGAAACCAAGGCAATTTAAAATGGAAGAAAAAGGCGATTTTTATGTCTTCAAATTCCTAAAATTGACGAAATAGACCGGCTTGGGCAAATTTCGCATTGTCTCAATACCTTACTGTTTAGGCCGCGCAAACTTCTCCCGGTTAAATAAACTAATAACTTGATTACTCTCTACTCGCGCGTGAGGTTTATTTTCACCGAAAATAAAAGAGGCCAGTATTTGATCAAACGGTGTCAATTCAGCAATGTTTGCAATTGGCAAATGAATACTTTCAGACCTTTTTTACACTTCTTCTTGAAATTACTTTTCGAGAGGAATGTGGAAAATAAACAGAGTGATGTCAAAACCGAAGAAGGTCAACGGAACAGTCGAATAGGGAGGAGAGAGAAAATATACGTGGCTGGCATCGGAAAATTGACAAAAAAAAGAAGAAGATGCCAATGTCAATCAAAGGAACAGTTTTACAGGCCGATTGGGCTTGCGTTCTCGCCAATTCAGTAGACAATTCGGACATTCACCACAATAAGAGCCTCATTTGCGTTCCTCTTCATTCCGAAGGTCTCGAAACGAGATCGTGGAGTTTTCCAAGAGTTTTTCAGGAGTACATCGCTCAAGAAGACTGGAAAAGCTAGGAATGCGATGTTCCGACACGGTTCAGCTGTTTTTTGACGACGTTCGAGTAAGTGGGACGTTACAGTAAGGGAGAAGACGTTGACATACAAAGGTTCCTGTCAAAAATATTATCGGAAGAGAAGGATACGGATTCCTCCAACAGATGAAACAGTTCAACGATGAACGATTGGTCACTGTAGCTGTTGGTGAGGCAGAATGAAAAGAAAAAAACGCGGAATATTTTCCAGCTCTGGCTCCTCTTCAGAAGTGCATAAGCGACACGCTGAACTACGCTCGTGACCGTCGAATATTCGGATCAACATTGCTGGATCAGCAGGTTCGACGGTCCTTACTAGAAGTATTCAGAAGTGTGTTCCAGTATATCCAATATGGTTTGGCCGAACTGCAAATTGAACTTGAGGCGACCAGAAGCTTGCTTTATAGGTTCCTCCACTGCCTTTATTTTAATTTTCTGTTTAGAACTGTTTTGGCGAGGCTAGATGGAGAAGACGTCTCCCTTCTGACCGCAATGGCAAAGCTCAAAGTCGGTCGATTGGCTCGGAAAGTGACCGACAGGTGTCTACAGGTAGTCCTTGCTCATGGCTTATGAACTTTGGGTGTTGGACAGGTATGGGGTGGTGCTGGCTACCTGGACGAGAGCCACATCGCGCGCTGTTTCCGCGACCTGAGGGTCTTCTCCATCGGCGCCGGCAGCGACGAGGTCATGCTCTCCATTGTCCACAAGCACATGCGTCGTTGTTGAGATGAGCTCTTTGTAAATAGTCCTTGTGTATTTCTGTACTCAGTCATTCAAATAAATATTCATCTTTTCTTTTTTATTTCATATTGCCCATTTTTCTTTTATTTTGGCTACTTTTCTATATTGATGACACTCTCAGAACAAGATTTTTAAAACTGACCAATCAGTGAATTTTGGAAAAAAAAAAGAAGAAGACGTTTTTAGAACTTTTTCAGAAGAGCGAACGTTATGAATTTTCTCATCTGGTAGGAATTCAATGGAGATAAAAGCATTAAACTAAAAACGGAAAGCTCTTTACGGAAAAATTTCACAAGCTTGGAAAAATCTTAATAAAAGTATTCGAACCTTTGAAATAATCTCTACAAGGAAGGTTTTCTTTGTAAGGAGTAATTTCGCTCAAAATTTCAAATTTTCCGGAAAAATTGGCCACACCGCGCTGTGATGTACCTGATGAAGTGTTGGCTGAGATTTTCAGATGTCCGTTATCCGAAAGAAAGTTTGTGACATCCAGAATTTTCACCATGTACATAGAAGAACGTTTTGGTTAGTTTTCGAAGAACGGTAGATTTTCAAGAAAAACTACCTCTCTCCGAGAGTCCAGACCTTCTGATAAACTTTGGCGCCCTTTCTTCTCCATCTAAATCTTGAGCCTTTCCTAATCAACTCGTCCAAGATAAATTGCTAATCCAAGCAGTCGAGTTCGATTTTGTACGTGAGAACTGAAACCAACACCAGGCCAAGGTTAACGAAAAGTTAACTGGAAGGGGCTCCGTGCAAACTGAAACAAGTAAAGCTGACAAACAGCCGCAGCCAGTTGAATATTTGCTCGGCGGCCCCCAATTGCCGTTCTATATATAAAGCTATTGTTGCCAGCGTCGCCAGCATAGTTTTCCGAGTAACTTTTTCCACCTCAGTCGCTTGTTATGTGTTACTGGCAGGTCCGCCCCGCTGACAAAGGAATTTCGACGCTCGTCTGCTGGTCAAACTCATTTCAGAACTGGTTCGGCCAACTGTCGAAACCCTTTTTTCCATTCGTCAGTGCAACGGCCACCTTCGGCCGCTGTCTTCCACTCTTTTGATATATTTTGTTGGTTGTTCGCTCGTGTTATTATGTTCGCTCTTACGAGACCTGTTGCGGACTTCAAGTAATGCTTCTTCCGTTGTTATTGTTATTAGCGTTTCAAAACACTGTAGTTTTCCTATCTCTTCACTGAGTTTAGCTCGAAATCAGAAAATAAATAACGGCAGTTTTTAACCTTTGAATTTTTGTCTAAAATTTTTATTTTCTTACGATAAATAGCAACAAATTTACAAAAAAAAGGGGGGGGGGGCACGGCTGGCCTAACCCCGTGCAAGTTTCTTCGCCAAAAAATACTCGGACATTGATAACGCGAAACGGACGTGCTCCGGACGTTTCTGGGCGATTCTAGGGATCACTTAAGAGTGCTAAGGCTACTAAAGTGGTCACTAGAAATCCCCGACACGTCCGGTCCGCGTCCCGTTCGCGTTACCAAGGTCCGAGTATAAGCTTTGCGGTTGAAAGTTCTCAGTGGAGCAACTTTTCCTTCGCGCTTTTTTGACACAAAATAATAGCCTTCGTAGAAAAACTTTGATATTTTTGCCGAGGCTTTTTCTGAAATCGAGGACGACCACTGATGCGTTTGAATTTCGGATTCCTCTATCGTTTGGTACGTTATTTAAATATGTTTCTCCTATTTGAATAATCAGATTGCAGTTGAAATTTGTGTTCTTGAGTAGTTCCTATGTTCAGTATTCTTTCTCTTCAAAATTTTTTTGTAAAACGAAAACTTTGATATGTTAAAAACAGCTACAGAGTAATAAATAATAAGTAAATTCCTCTATTTTGAACCGAACCATCTTTACCGTTTACATGAAAAGAAAGAAGTTCTGACATTTTTAGATTACTGAAATATCCAATGTTTTTGCGTTAACGTTCAACGTTTTCTTCGGACTGTATTTCATTCATAACTTAATATTTAGGATTTTTTTGCAATTGTTGAAATTCTATTGGAATGTGTCACCTAACGGTTTTTCTCTCGAATGGACGCTCGTTCGACGCGCATTATGACTCTATTGTTCTTTCTTGACCCTCAGACATTCTCCTAATTTTTGAAACAATGGCAAAAGTTTTGAGGTGTTTCTGACAGAGAACTTTCGCTACCCAACTGAAAATGAGAAAAGGCTGTTTGATCCAATCGAAGACTTATCTTCCGCTTGTCCGCCGCCGCCAGCGTGTCTGTTTAGGCACCAATTAAGGAAGAAAATAATTGCGCGGAGAAATCGAAGCGACTGTCCAAATGACGGTGGAAATACTCGAACGGCCTGTTTACCAGATGCGCCTTATCATATTTAACTCATTACATAGTGCATTTGGATAGAAGGCAGAAATAACGAATAATATTATTGGCTCCGTTATGTGGAGATTTTTTCTGTTCATCTCTTATTGCCCCTTTTTGAAGGGTGGAAGCCAATCAGAGACGTGCTTCAGTGGAGTGCATTTTAGCATTAAAAACTTCTCTGAATGAATTATGGCCGTCTCGGACTTCGGTAACACAACTCGGACACGTCCCTGACGTTTATGAGCAATTATAGGAATCTCTTAGGAGTAGTGATGCCTCCAAAGTGTTCACTAGTAATGCTCAGAAACTTTTTGGGCGCGTCCAGTTTGCGTAATTGATGCCTGAGGTAGTCTACCTTTTTCTGACCTTTTTCAAAGATCAATCGAGAACTTCCCTCCGACGGCACTAAATCAGACAGCTCCCGTTTCGAAAAGGAACTTCGCTCGCTGACCTCGACGACGAGGCAGAGCATTCCAACGCCGATAGTAATCTTGACGGCGCGACGCGATACCGTCTTCGGTTCCAGACCTCCGTGCCAAAACGAAAGCGAAGCCTTGAGGCAATACCTTCGGGGCCAACCTGCCTTTGGTTCCACCCAACAGAATCGATCGCCTTTTCAAAGCCATCGATTTTTCTGCCCCTTCGCTTCGGAACTCGTCTTTTTCCTTTTGACTCGTCGGTCCTCGCGCAATTATCCTTCAAACTGAAGACGTTCCTATAAGTATTTTGGCGTCTCGAGGTTCTTGCCAAATCTCACTGAAAAAAAACGAATCTATCGACTAGTTATCGACATATCCTTTTGTTGGTTCTTTCAAATTGCAGATGGCCTCTCATACACCGGTTCATGGAAATCCCGGTGATTCAGCAGCTTCTTATGCAAATTAGCGTCATTGCGACTTCCAGACCGTCTTTTCACACGTATTCCACACGCCTAATTGCGCGCCTTCTCACGCTTCTTCTTCTTCCTCGCCTTCCTTCTTTTTTCTTTTGTTTGGCCGAAAAATTGTTGGGCAACACCATCGCCTAAGTGAAAGTCTTATTTTGATGTATCAGTTTACCCACTGGTAATTGATTGCGTTACTCAACAGTTCGTACCTTCTTTCAGCTCTGTTTTCGACCGAGTACTGTTTTTTGGAGTTCAAAGCTGTTTGTGTTCGATTTTAGCTGGTAATGCGGTAATAAGGTGAAGATTGTCATATGTACTGAATATAACTGATAAAATGGGCCATTCCTTTTCTTTATTTCCCTTTTTATATATTTTCGTGTTTCACGAGATCATATTCTTTCTATTGTCACATCATTATCTTATCAAGAAATGACATTTGTTAAACTTGAAAAGTCCTTTAGGCCTACAATGCTCTCGTTTTCGCTTTCTTTTTATCTTTATGACCGAGCCGGAAGAAGAAAGAGAGCGCAGACAGGTCAGACAGTTTCAAGTCGGGAAGAATGCAGTTTGAACTGTCTCTAATGTGAGCCAATACTTGGGGACACATCAAATTTTCCTAAGAAATATTCCTTTCTCTGAAAAAGTGGTGATATATTTTTGATTGCGTCCCAGTCTATCAGGGTTTAAATCACTTCTTTTTTTCCAAGCCGCTGCTATAGTTTCAGTGGAAAAAAAGGAGATCAAGGGTCCGACTTTCTTCCTCTTTAACTTTTTTCAGTGATTTCGATTGTTGAAACATGTTCTCTTTGAAATAGGCGCATCTTGTTCTAACGGCCCCATAAACTCATTCGAGACACGTGAGATGCCCTTTGGCATGTACCTGCCGAAGCGGAACCGCCTGTGTAAACCTCCGAAGAGAATCCGCAGGGAAAGCCTCCTGGGGTCACGTCGAGGTGTAACGTATGCAATTGGCAACTGGATTTCTTCCACTGACTTATCTACTTCTGTTGCAATGCGCGTCTTATTTCCTTTCCGTTGATCTTGCCACACTTTCGCCTTCTTTCATGTTTGTCTTCGATCTCTCTGTTCTCCCAGTAAAACTAATTACTGAAAAGTTCCAAGAAGTTTCTCAATTGATCGTATTTCAGTATAGGTGTTTCATTTCGACGAGTAGTCTTTTCAATCGAAGTGTCTATGAGCTTTCTAAGTTATTATTTCATTCGGAATTTTCAATAATTTCGATTGATTGTTCTCACATAATATTTTGATCAATGATCGAACTGCAAGAATATTTCGATTTTTTTTTGCGCAGCTTCCGTTTCCTTATCCAATCTGAAAAACGGAAAAAAATCATTGGACGAAAAAGGAGAATGTTACATTCAGATGAAGTCAGCGACGAAACTATAATCATAGAGTTCTTCTATTGATTCTAATCGCTATGGGACAATAAATAACTCTGTCGATAGTGTTTTTGTTGATATCAGTTAGAACCTTTTGCTTTTTTTTTTCATGGGTTGCAGTCTCTCGGAAAACACTCATCAATGAATAAGGAACGAAACGGTTTCTTCTGATTTTCGGTCTGCTGCACTAAAAATGAGAAACAGTCCATGTTGAAACACTTGAAATGGAACAAGTACAACGTGTGACCGGGAAGGAGCTCTTGCCCTTGGAGCGAGAATACTCAGAGCGACGCCTCCGCGCGACTCGACGTTCGCGTCGACGACGCCAGCGACGAACGAAGAAAAAGTCGCCATCCATCATGGACCCGGCCGAAGACGTCGTCGACCGCCGACGACGTTCTTCCACCACGCCTTTACCTCTTTACCCAACTTCCGTAGCGCCTTTTCTTTACATTCCTTATTTCCTGGTGCTCCACGATTATATATTCTTTCACATTTCCTGAGGCCTTAATTTATTAAAATCAATCCAGCGATGACAGAAGGTATATTTGAATCAATAAGTGGATAAGAATCTTGAGGAAACAAAAAAAAAGCAAACAGATTGAACATAGGCGCAACCTCAAATATTTCAAAAATATTGATTATTTTTTTGTATAATTATAGTTGAAACCAAAATGTTTTCGAGCAAGAAATTATTCTTACACATTGAATGAGTCGATTTCTTTACGATATTTCTGATTTTGTACGTTAGTTTCATTAAGAACAGCTCTTAGGGTTCGTATGGGCAGACCTTTCCGGAATTTTTTCGTAGTGTCTAACGAAAGTACTTGTCCTATTTACTTAAAAAAGTGTCCTAGATACCGTTTCTCTCGACGATACTATCGCGTTCCATCGTGTCTTTAACAAATTTCATGATTTTCTCGGCAAAAATAGTCGTTAGTCTCCCACTTTGGCTTTCCGAAACCACTTCCTGGTGATCAATCCCTTTTTGACAAACCTTTAAACTGACGGTCTCCTCTTTCTGTCGCTTCCGATCGCCTTCGTTTCCTTCGCGCTTCTTAATTTTTTTTTTTCTTAATATTGATTATTTTGGCTTGTCTGTTGTGATGTTGATCGAACGTCCTTGCCTTTTCACAACACTTCACGTTTTTTTTGAAAAGAAAGATGTTCACTCTGGTTGAGTGAAGAACGGAGAAATTTCCATAGACTTATTCAAAAATGATTCTGTTGCAGACATACCTATATGAACTTATGTTTGTTTGAAAAATTCTCAAAAAAATCCAAAAAAATTTCTTCGATTTTGTTTTTTTAAAAATACCCAAATGAAGATTTATTTTCATTATTCCTGCTTATTTTTTTCTATTATTTTATCGCATCTTCAATATTTTTTTTCATCGCCAACATATAAAAAAATTTTTTTCAGATATTTTTTTCAAAAAAATTGATACTTGACATCGGAGTTTTATGTGTTGTTTTACTATATTATACTTGAACCTTTATTGTTTTTCATTTTTTTTGATTTCTACTGTTTTCTTTTCTGGTCAACTTTAAACAAAGCCGATTGGTCTTAAAATTTATCTTTATTCTGAGATTAAGCTAGCGGACATTTTCGGAAATTCAGCTTTTTTCTGAGCGTTCCTCCTATTTTATTACTCCGTTTTCACCGTTTCGAGGCAATACGACCTCGAAATTCACACAGAGGGGGGTCTAAGCCAAAAAAAGAAGGCCGGAGCGAAACTTTCGCCACAAAACATGCCCAAGTTGAGGCCTTGACATGCTAAGCGTTCTTCCTCCATTTGTTCGCCTGTTTATTGATCAGCAGATCTTGCCATTTTTGGCATTCCACACTTTTAACTTACTCGCTTGTTTGTTTTTTCGTTACTCCAACGTACAGACGTTCGTTTCGACAGGTTCCGGCCGCGACTTTCCCTCAAAACAGCCCCGTACAGTTACTTTCGACATTCACTTTGCCCACACTCAACTTTTCTACCGTTTCCTCGGTTTTGCTGTCTCTCAAGCCTTTTCCTTTCTTCTTCAACCTCTATAATATGATAGCTATTTCTCAAACCCTTTTTTTCTAAAGAAAGCGAAAAAAACCTTAACGCACAAAATGTTCGATTTACTCATTGCTCATCATAGTTTCAATCTTTTTTTTGAATTTTATTTATTGTAGAAGTTTATACTCTTAATTAGTGGTCTGTAGTTCTCAATTTGAGATTTCTGTGCGTATTTCAGAGTAGTTTGGGTCTTCCGGATCTGGAGATTTAGAAATAAGTCGCAAAAAGGTCAAAGTATCTCATTTATTTTTCAGAAGCTCAAATTATATTCTCCTCAAACTTAACTTATTTTTTCTATCTGAAAAGAATATCGGCAACCTAAAGAAAAGACCAAAAAACTTCAAAAATAGAATTCAATCGTACAAAAATAAACGAAACTTTAAAGGCAGAAATTAAGTCAGCGACAAAATTATAATTATCGATTCCTGCTTATTTTCATTGCTGTGGGGCAATAAATAACTGTCGTTAGTTTTATATAGGTCGAAGTTGTTCCTTTCTTTTAATTCCTACACACCTTACATTCTTATCTTTGTCGACTCGTAATCAAAACTAATTTTTTCAGGACGCAGTTTAGCATATATTTGGGAATGGGTGAAATTTAATGATAATTTTTCTGGGACGGTAGTGAAAACGTGTGAAAAAAAACTGAGAAGAGACCTTCACGGTAACCTTCTCATTTTTCGTGACCAGTCAGAGGTAATAGGAGTACCTTCTATAATCTTCACATTAACTTATATTTTTCCGATAATTGTTTTCTTTTCCTTTTCAAATATTTTTTTCTCCTTCGAAGTTTTCATTTCAGTTTGTCGTTCTGAAGTTCAGTTCACGGTATAAACCACATTTCGACTTCCTTTTCCTCTTCTCTTCCTGTTAATTGAACGAGCTTTTCGTTCCTCGGCGATGATGTCAGAAAAAAAAGAGAAGTCGCACTTGTTCTCGTGTTTGGGTTATTACAATCTGTTGTTATATTATTATGAGTTGATCGCATAATGACTCGCCCGAACTTCTCGCTTTAAACTCGATGTTTCTTCGCTTTTTCATTTGGGTCTCTGTGTGTGTAATGAAAGAAGCGCTGCGCAATCGGTTATTCCGATCAACGGAGACGTGACGTCACTTTTTCTCGCCTTTTGCTGCCGCGGATTGGCTGTGCATCAGCTGTACAGAATTATGTTCAACTGTTTTGGTATCAATGGCTCACAGTCTTGTGTTTTCGTAAGGTTAACACCATCCAGCAAATAAATACTTTCGAAAACAAAGCATTAAAAACAATTTTTGGACTGGTATGTTATGAAGAAGGGCGAACGCTGTTTTTCTTTCTCTTTATTGATAGAGTCGATAAAAAGTCCAGTCGCTTCACTTTTTTTTAAAGGCGCATACTGGAAGCTTTTCCAATTTGATGGAAGTTTCACGTACCCAAACGGTTTGGGCCAAACCAACCATTTTTCCCTCTGGAAAACATTTTATTTCGGATTTTATTTTTACTGTCTACCACTCATATATTTCCTGCTTGAAAAAGCTACTGGACTTTTTCCTTCGTGTTTTTCGTGTAGACGACACGCCTCTCTTTGTTTTCTGATATCTGGAGTACTCCTTATTCCAGCCTGCCGGTCGAAAAGTCAAAACAAGTCAAATTCATCTGAAAATAACTTTGCTCCATCGCTCGTTGATGTCCCTTCTCAAGTGGGCGGCAGAAAGTATCCCACAGGCCCTTACGAACTCGCACAAGTTATAGAGCAAACAGCGGTTCTTGTTGTACCTCCTGTTTGCCTATACCTTCGCCTACGGTTATTAACCTCACGTTCATCCATTTCCCGCATTTTTCCGCTTTTATGAGTCGCCGACCTCGCGAGTGACCATCGGTGGTTCTTTTTCCTCTCCTTTCATTCACGCCCAGGAAATTTTTCAAACTTTTCTGTTAGTGTCATTGAGAATTCTCCTAGCTTTTGTGTAATATTCCTTCTGTAATCAATCTCAACTTTTCCTCTAAAAAAGCAAAAATCTTCTTTTTTTCATTTTATTCGGACCTGCCAGAGACTAAAGTTCTCCTGCTGAAGTCTTACCTTTTTATTGCAAAATTCGTTCAATACGAATTTTCTGGGAAATTATGAATTGTTTTGAATCTTCCCCTCATATAGTCAAGACAGCAAATTTTTTGTAGAGGCTGTTTTTTTTTTGATTAGTCCAAACTCAGTTAGATGAGACAAAAATATTCTTCTCTTATGCTTAATTTTCTTATTTGAAGTTGTCGGAAAATCCTCGACTTTTTCTTGCGGTATTGTAATTTTTTTCCTCAAACAAACATTTTATGGTCCTTTTAAATCTTACAGAACGTTTATTTCATCTTAAAACCCATAATGCTCTCCAAATCTTCTTTCGTCCAAGCTCACAGATTTTACCAGACATTTTCAGAAAGAAAATTCCCTTTCCACCCTTTTTTTGAACTGCCTCTTAATTTCAAACATATTTCCGAAGCTTCTGCTCGCCCTTTTTCATAATTATAACCGACTTGGTGTTATCTTTCCTCAACCAGATGCTTCAGGAACGAACGAAGCGATGTGGGGAGGATGGTTCGGTGGGTACTCGCCACCTTCGGACTATGCCAACGCCGAAGTCCCCAACTTCAATCTGAACGCCTTCATCGTCAGTTTCCTCCTCGGTCCCTCTATTTCGAGTCGTTTCAGATCTCGTCGGTGTTCTTCGTACCTTACTTGGCGTTTCTGGTCGTGATGCCTGGCGTTCGGCGGAAGAACATCATCACCCTCGTCGTCTTCACTCTTTTCATTTTCGTCGGCTGCACCATTGCATGTCCGTTTTTTAAAACTTTTTTTCTCCGCTTTTAAGATAGAAAATTCGACACTTTCCATGCCATTGCTCATGTTTAGAGTCAATTGAGGCTACAGAAGGGGTAAAAGTTGATTATTTATTCGTATTATAATCATTTTCCTACTTTTTCTCTTGATCAACCTTTTATCCGTGAAAAATTGATAGTTATTTTTTTCAATTTAGCTAGGATTGAAACAAGAAAATGGAAAATCTAAAGAAAATGTACCAGCCCAGCGATAGGAGAACCTTCGACCACGCCCCCGCGTGGGCGAAGGTTCCTCAGTTGGTGGGTTGCTGGTTCCGCGTGTCCCCTCTATCTCTCCTTAACTCCTGCCTGCCTGTATTTCCCTGTGTCAAGCAGCTGACATCCCAAACAGGAAGGTCCAATACGCCAACCTTTAGAATTGTATCTGGAGGGAGTCTCTAGACTCTAAAGGCGGACTTTTGGAATAAAAAACTGAAAATTTTCCAATTTTCAATTTCTCGCTTTTTTCCATGTGTCTAATTGACTTAGGCTACGCGTACATGTAGTAAACGAAGTTTTCGCCTATTCGCATTTTTCTTTTTTTTTGAGATTGGTGAGAAATCGAAAAGACATTTTGTGAAAAGAAAGCAGCAAACAAAATGCCACAAATACCCCGGGAACTGTGCCAACAAGTTGCTGGATGGCAGCCAAGGGAAAACAGTGGCAGCTCCGTTTGTTTGTTCAACCTGTCGTATCATTTCGAACTCCAAACTTTGCGCTCCACGAATTCCGATACTGATACTTGAACTCGAAATGTGGGGGCAAAGGACTACAAAATTGCATGAAATCGGACCGAATTTTGAAAATTTCAGTGTCTTTCTTTTATCCTGCATGGGCCGGTGGATCTCAGCGAATTTATGCCCAGTTCAGGTATTTTCCTTCCAGTCGCTTTGAATCGATTTCCCCTTCAGGGCACACTCGAATGAACGAGCTCTCGCCGGAATCGGCGTCGAAATTGGACTTCAGAAGGTGAATGTCACCCTCAAAGGTTAGTCGGCTAATTAGTTAAGTTGCACTTTTTTCTTTGCTCAGTCGAAAAAAGGATTCACTCGAGCGATTACAAACATTCTGTAGAAGCAACGAACCTGTACTACAACGAAGGTTTCGACATCACTGGAGGTATATTGGAGTTTGAAGTCTATTTTAGTCAAATAACCGTATTGGCTATATTTTTATTTGCGAGAACTGTATTTTCAAAAAGACGAGAAAGTTATTTTTTCGCTAATAATAAAGCTAAGAATTTTAAAAAAAAGAGCTGTAACGGTCAGAAATCGAATTTATTCAAAAACTATTTGAAGTCACAGGTTTTTTTAAGCTGGAGATTCAATAAAGACAGTTTTCACTCTTAGAACTATCCTAGCTCAAAAAATCGAGAAAAATGCTTTTAAAGTATTTTCTTATTTTTTAGGCGCTGATAATCAAATTTTTTTCGGAATTTTTTTCAACTTATTTAAAAATTAAAAAAAGTTTTAAAGTACCTCTAATCGAAACTTCTATGGACTGAGCTGAATTTTCAGTATCTTCGATGTCAGAAGCGCTTCGCGCCGCTTTGTACCATGGACTGCCGTATCCGATTCTGACAGTCCTTGAGTACTTTTCCCTCAACCAAGACGCCTTCGACTGGGGCCGTCATTACCGCGTCGCCGGCTACTACACTCATGCCGCCCTGTGGTCCGTTCTTCATTCTTTGGTTCTGAACATCTCCTCTTGCAGCTTCGCCTTGTCGTGCTGGGTTCTCTCCTTCGTCTTGCTGCTCCTTGTTCCGCATCACTTCGACAAGGTTTGCTTTGTTACGTCAATCAGAACTTGAGTTCGCGAAGAAGAGTTTTGGCATCGGAAAGATAGAAGTGTGTGGCGTGATAATGTTACATCAAACCGAAAGGCACAGAAAACAAATAGCAGGATAGCGACCAATTTTTTTTCAATTAAGTCACGTGATAAAATTGATCCTTTTTGATTAGCCGTTGTTTTGGAGAAGCGGATTGTGTCCTTGGGTATCGTCCAAATAGTCACAAGTTCAATTCCTGACTCCGCTAAATCTAAAGAACGGAGCTTTTTTTCTCGAAGACTTAAAACTTCGTCCTCGCTTTCAAAATCCTAAGTAGCTTTTCATCTAATATATGCATTAATTTTTTTTTTCTTGTGACACCTCAAATGTTTCCATGACTGAAATTTTGCTTTCAACCACAAAAAAGGAAACGGTGTTCAAACAAAAAACGGTACTGATATATATTTCATTCTTTTCATCATAGTCTTCTCATTCCGCAAAGTACTCCGGAAAATGAGATGAATCTCTGGCGATTCTCCCAGAAAACCAATCACAAAACTGATCTCAATCAATGTTTCCTGTCGTTTCATCCAGGAATCTTCCAGGGAGTTCTGGCTACTGGCTTCTCATGCCTCGTCGCATGTCTTTTGTACTTGCTGATGTCGCCGTGCGAGCTGAGGATCGCCTTCACTGGAGAACATCACGAGCGCGTCGACCTCACCGTCACCTTCTCCTGGTGTTTCTACCTCGTCTTCGCAGTCGGTATCCATCCTCCCATCTCCGATTTCCTCGAAACTCAGCCTTGCAGGCCTTCTGTGCGTCGGCAGCGGCATGGCCCTGCTTCTGATGCAGCACTACAAGGTGTACACACTGTCCACCTTCCTCGACGCCACCATCGATGACGACGTCAGACCGCGGAAAAAGCGGTCGCCAGAGTTGCTCGACGTCGCCAGCAGCGTCGAAGTGATGAAGCGCTGCCGAATGACCCACGGCTCGGCCGACAGCGACAAAAACGCTTCAAGCGGGTTCCAGTCCCGCAACAGCAGCTGCTCTCCTTCTTCAGCGTCTCTCAGGTTTCCCAACGATATGAAACGGCAAAAGTTTGAAAAATTAGCGTTTTACAACAAAAACAGAATTTATGGAAATTCTTTGTTCTATTTCAAAATCATCTTTTAAAAAACAAAACGAATTTAGAATTTTTTTTAGAGGAAAAAAATAGATGTTATGTTATATAGAGGCCAAGAAAATTCATCGTTTTCCAGAAGCCAATCATCATTCGAAACAGTGAGAGACGAGGAAGAACTCGAAGGGACGCCTCAATTTGCCTCGCCTATTTAGGTTTTCCCAGTTGTATTGTACCTACCGCACCTTTGCTCACTTTTCCTTCTTTCCGAAACTCTTCTTTGTTTCCGTTTTTAGTTTATTTCGCACAAAACGGCCTTTCACTGATTTGTTACAGGTTTTTCAAAGGGTTAGAAAGCTATTAAAACTGGGACTCTCCCATAAAATGGAAAAGAGCTCCGAAAACGTTGGCAGAAAGTTTTGCAACTCGAGTTGCCTAGACGAAATTTTGTATATTCCATGTCGAATGAACGAATTATTCAACTTTTGTTTCTTGAAAGTTTTAAATGTTCTACTGGTACTTTAGCGAAACTTCTTTCTTTTCTATTTCTTTTTTTAGTTTTTCAGCGTTTGAAGCCTTATATTTTCATTTCGAGCTGTGATCTCGGAACTTTTTTTCCAATCTTATCCTTCTTTCTAAAGTTACACGACTATGTTCAATTGTTATACGGGTGAATAGAATACATGTTATTTGAATTTCTAAACATTGTATGAAACGCACAAGATTATGTTGAATTTCCCGTGTCCATGGCGTCCGCCTTTCAGGTATTTTGTTTTAGAAAAAAATCTCATTTCTTTTTTTGTAATAAATCGCAGTTTAATAAACATTTTTTTGAAAGGTTTTCATAAACAACAGTATTGTTTAAAGGTCAAGGCAGTCCTTAATAATTGTTTGAAACTGTTTTCAGATTCACAAAAACAGAGGTTGGTGGAACAAAATACAAAAAAAAGCAGACTAACCTTCCGACAGGAGAAAGAACCAAGCTTCAGAGTGGAACACTTTAAAAGAAAACTATTCAAGAATGATCAAGAATGTTGGAAAACAGAGATTTCACACACTTTATTGGCGAGCAATGGTTTATTCCCCCCCATATTCTTCCTTATATTTCTTCAGGGGAAATGGAGAAAGCCGTGGGAAAAGCGAACACTTTATACAGTCAGGCGTTTTATCTTTTTCCGTCTAGTTCGAGAGAAAAATGCATTGTTCTAATCTCAAAAGAACTAATTTTTCCAGAATTTTTATTTATAAGGTTTTTTTGCTGTTCGGCGCAAAAGATGAAACCCTGGAGTAATTCTTCCAAAAACATAAAAAAATTTTTTTATTTTATTTCTACTATCTTCGTAATTGGAAATCTAATCAACTCGGAAAAAGCTCCTCAATGGAAGTTCAAAAGAGAGTTCTTACCTCTGCGGCTATTTACTAATTCCTGAATTTATAATTACAGAAGTTTTATTTTTTTCAGCTAGCAGACCAGATTTAAAGTATTCAGAGAATTGTTTTCAAATTTTACCTTAAGCATGTCCTTTTTTTAAAACGAGCTTGTCAACGCGAGTCAACGCTCTACATGCGCTCATTTTTTTGAGATACTTTAAACTTCAAGATAAAAAAACACTTATTTTGTATATTTATACAATATTAAAAGCGTGAAGCCACCTAATTACAGGAATAGTAGCGCGCGCGCGAGTTTTGAAACGATTCAAATAGGACGCTACTCACAAGACGCCAATTGATCGAGCATTGGCGTGCTTTGCGTTACCTCCCACTTTTTTGAAAATGGCTTTATTTTTTTTTCTTTCTTTTTCCTTCTTTTTTCTTTTATTCCTAATGCCGTGTTCAAAGTGATTCCGCGAAATTCAAAATAGCCGTCAGAGAAAGAGAAAGATAACTGAATTTTGGAGGGTCAGAGACCATTTTGCATTTCGCGGTAATTACTTTGAACACGGCATAATATTAAGTGCGCATTATTTTTCGAACTTAAGAAAGTACGTCATGAGTTTGCTGTATCGGAAAGCGTTAGATGGAATTTCTATGATTCTTTGCTAGTAGAAAGTTTATTTCACTGAATTAAAATATTTCTATCCTGCTTTTTAACTTTTTAATTTCCTCCGAAAAACAGGAACTAATAAGTTTTAAATCTCTTTAGGAATGTTTTTCTTCAGAGTTTTCAAAGAAATTTAGCTTTTTTTCTTTTTGAATCAGATAAAAAGCGTAGTCAGCAACGGCGTCCTTTTTTCTGTATTGCTTTCAACGCAAAACTTACTTTTCAGAGTTTTTCCCCCCAGTCATGACTCTTACAGAAGCAGAGGCCAAGAAATTAACCGTAAGCCCTTTGAACAAAGTATCAAAAGCTTGAACGATCTTTTTAGGTGCCCAAATTGAAAGAGGAACTTTCCAAAAGAGGGCTTAACAATGCAGGCAACAAGGCAGAGCTATTGGATCGACTTTTGGAATCCATTCAAAAGGTTGAGATTTTTTTTTCTCATAAACTTAAATTCTATCTAGTGTACTTATTTCATTTCTGACGTGTAGTGGTCGAAGAAAAAACAATATTCAAGTGTCGGGAGACAGATGAGAATTTTTCAACCTAATAAATAAGATGAGCGCAATTTGAGTTTTTCGTTTCAATAATTTTGTTCAAATAAATTGGAGAGGAATTAGAGGAATTTTTTTTTGTCATGTTTTTATTCAGGAAATTGATTTTTCAGGCTGCAGAAGAGGCAATTTTGGACGGGACGGGTGTGGAGGATGTGCCTTTTCCCAGTGGTAAGCTTTTGGAGCGAAACGCCGTGAAAAGAAAGTTTTATAGATGACATATTGAATGAAGACATTCTCGACGCTTCTTCTGTGGACGGCGACACTTCAAAACCTGATATCAGTTTGGATGAAAAAGAAGCTTCTGGGAATAGCGACTCGACGGCGGACGCAAATGGCAAATCCGAGACTTCTAATGTCACGGCTAAAAAAGAAAAGGTGAAAACTCCACAAATTGCTTGATGAGATGAAATAATGTTAGATCACGATCAATGAAGCTTCTGACAAGGCGGCATGGGCTAGCCGTTTCGGCCTTCCAGTCACATCGGACATCGCTAAGGAGCAGAGGGCTAAGCGGTGCGTTTCAATGTCTTTTCTCTCACATTTTGAACTTTAATGCGAAGTAATAACTTTTAACCTTCTTAGTTTTGGCATCTCCGCGCCTTCTGCTGCTGACGACGCCAAGTCGAAGAGAGCTGAGCGGTCTGAAATGAAATTTCATTTCAAATATAATTATCTATTTTTAGATTTGGCTTAACCAAAGAAGCTGAGGCTCCAGCTGCTACTAACGAAAAACTCGCCGAGCGAGCAAAAAGGTTTGCCGAAGTCAAGTTTTGGTCAAAATTTTCGGTTTTTAAGATTCGGAATCACGGAAGAGCAACCAAAGTCTGCAGTGGTAATTTAGATTGAAATTTTGGATATTCAGTTCCGTAATTTCAGAACGAAAAGTTTCTTCAAAGAGCCAAGCGATTCGGAATGATTGATACAGACGTACGTTTTTTTTCTTGTATTTTTCAAGACAAATTAGCATTGATTTATTTTGGGGAGTGAAATTGTTGCAATTTGGTTTTGATGAGATTTTCTATGGCCCAGGTCCATTTTTACGTCAAAACATTTTTTTTTCAGGATCAAGCGGAAAAGAAAAGAATGCGTCTCGAGCGTTTCAAGTGATTCACTCGACGATGGGTTTTTTGTGTTTGTTAATTTATTAAACGTCTTGCTTTTTGATAATGGTTTTCATCATATAAAACTAGACGTTTTTTTTATTTTCTTGTCGTTCTGTTGTTTTTCCCCCCAAATGATCGCCAGATACTCTTTCTACCAGGTATGAAGCTGTTAATCAAAGTTTTATTATTTCCAAATTGTTTTCCCGTTTTTTTTTTCTGAACAGCATTCAAGTTACACGTTCCTTCTGCCATTTGATTTGGAGAATAAATTTTCGTTTAAAATCATTGTTAATTAATTTTTCAAAACTGCCGTTTAAAGTTGGTGTTCGTACTTTGAATGCTAATGGTTTTTTTGATGTTTTAATATATATCTATATAGATGAAGCAATGCAAAACGCGTTCATCTTTCCCTTAATACATAGTGTCTTTTTTCATCTGTTGGTGTTTCCGCTTAATGATTTTCGAAGAGTAGCATAGGGCGAAAGTAAAGGGGGAGGCTAATTTGAAATTTTTTTTTTTACGATAAACGCCAAAATAAGCTGAATATCTTTTCTGTAGGTACATGGAAAGACTATTCTAGCTTTCTCATGATACTTCGTTAAAATCTCTTTCTTATAGAGTTATTAAAAAGTAGAAAGTAAGCTCTGAGATCTTCCCATTAAAAAGGAATTTTTTTGATCTTGAAACACCCCGTGGACTTTGCTAAAGTTTGACCTAACCATTCAAGGTAAGCACGATTCTTCTGTGACTTTAACCTATTTTTGAAGATTTATTAATCCAGCCGTTCTTCTTGCACCTGCGCGGCGACGCTTTTGTATCGAGGGCGTTTTGAGTTGCGGCGACGCTTTTTCTCCCTACCTCTTTCATCGATGATCGCGCTTTATAAACAAACATTGTGTGTCATCTCCGCGATCGATCCTCTTTAGGACCACGTTTCCCTTTTTTTGGCTACAATCGTTAGAGGTCTTGAGTATTCAACTGTTTCCGTTTTTCTGTGCCTGACTCATCGCCCGTCGATAACCTCAGTATCACAATTCTTCGATGACTAACCATGCGATAGCGGTCTCGCTCAAGTGTCAGTTGTGCACAGAGGCATCTGGTCGGCCGTCGTCCATCTCAGCCGTTTTTTCCTCTCCGTTGTAATCGACCTCCTTTCCGTGGTTTCACCTTCTGTCCTAGTTATTCTTGGACCAGTGTGTGTAATCCGATTAATATTTGGACTGGAATCAAGAATAAACAGTCGTGCTGCCGTTTTCATTAAGCCGTTGATAATTTCTTGTTCATGATAAAGAAAAACGCTGTGGAATCCTAGGAATCTGTTCTAGGATGTATTTAAAAGTGTTATTTCTTCTCATAAATTTTGTATTTGGTCTTGTATCGCTCGAAGGACTGTCGAAATTTAGGATTGGAGCTAAATGGAGCAACGGTTTTTTTTTCTATTACGAACTTTTGGAAAATCCGTGAAATGAGTTCATGAATAGTTTATTCATTCAAGAAAAAATTTTTCTACAAACAATATTAATTTAAAAATGAAGAATTTCATCGTCCGTTTTAGCAAAGTTGCGATTCTCTGTCACATTCAAGTTAAGAGGATTTTGGAAGCTCAAGGCTGGAATGCGGCGGATTATCATTGGGTCAGTAGCTACAGTTTTCGGCAACTTTTTTCTGTTAAAGTGGATAAAGTCTCTCTCTCTGCAGGATCGTCCACTTTTTTTCATGTTTAATAGAGACAAAGTGAGCTTCTTCTTCATTACACTGGAAAAACACTTCCTACACACTTTCGGGGAAAAATAGTTTTTTTTTTTTTCAAAGTGCTCGAGTTGCCCTTTCCTTTCTCTCATTTAAAAAAAAAACAGCCAACACTTGTCATGTGACGTTGATCGACGGACATCGCCTTCGACTGACAGCACAAGCGAGTGCTGATTCAACTGTACTCGCAAAAGTCAGATCGGCGGATCGCTTTCTCGTTTCATTTCTCTTTTTTCTGTTTCGCGACATTCCAGAAAATGCCGCGTCGAGGCAACGGAACGATGATGAGATCAATTCTTCGCGAGAAAAGGCAATTGAGACATTCATCGACAAATTGTAGTGGGCAACACCACAAAACACGGGCGGTCCGTTTTCTCTCCATCATTTCGCGCCTGGCTTCGTGACCTCCTTCGGGCCAGCCGGCTCTCTCTTTGCCTTTCCTTTTTTCGTGTTACTAGGATGTTTCAATTGATCGCAACTTTTTTTTTTTCATTTATGTCATTATTCTGTTTCTGATTCTCTTTTTGACACTATATTTGTAGTTTAATCTGAAAGTCCCAAGTTTTAATTTGTGATGGTTGGTGAAAAATGAAACTCAAAAAATAACCATTTTTTTACAGTTTTTTTACCAGTGAAAACACTAAAACTTTCATAATGGAGCTTGATAAAAAGTTAGGAAATGTTTCTGAATAATCTAATTAAAGTCTCAATGAGTCATCATTTCATTGCTTGACTGAAAAAAAATTAAATTTTGACGGTTTCTTTGAGCTCGGAAACTTGCGAATTATTTTCATTGGGATAATCATTTCTGTACCTATCTGCTTTGAAAGTTCGATCCAAGACTTCAAAAAAATATAAATATAAAATTGCAAGGGTCTTTTTTTTCTTCTCTGATTTATCCTTCTCCTTTCACTTTTTTGCCGCGGCGTTCGAGCCAGCCGCAGTAACCCATAAATTCGTGATCAGTCTGTGGCGACTCTTTTTTCTCTCCTATTCTTTCCAAACCAAAGTTGTCAGGTTTCGAGAATGTTTCGAATGTTTATCGAGTGAAGGGTAGGGTAAAATGATCCGGCCATGTGTGTAACGGCGTCAGCCGATTCCAATCGTTTACATCTGCTGCATTTGAGCATCTCGTCTGCGAATAAGTTTAGTTTATTCTGGCTCAAATCTTCTTGTGGCCTTTTTCCAACGCCGTAGTAAGATGGACTTTTATTGTTTTCAACAAGGTGGTTCTCAAGGGCTAGAATATGTTAGAGTTTCATGAAGTTTACCATTTTTTATTCATCATTTTGTGGTTGAAAAAATATTAACCAAATGAAAAAGCTTTCTATTTGATGTTTTATAGTTTTTTTTCCGCTCTATTGACCCAGCTGGGAATCAAAAGTGAACGAACTTACCAGGAGTCCACCTGCGATCGAAGAATATTCCCTGATTAGAACTTATTACTAATATTTGAACACTAGTTTAGATAGTATGGTGAATGGAAGCCCTAGGACGACAGGATAGTTCCAAATAGAGATATGTTTCATCTTAAATTATTCTGCGAGCATTTTTTTAATCCGTCAAATTCTGATCATTCATCTCGATTTTTTGCAACTGAAAAAAAAATCTCTCGAAGTTTCTTCGCCTGATTTTCCAAGTTTTTGGACAGTTATAGCCCATTCCACGCCAGATTTTCACGTTTTTACCAATGTATTTCAAATTTGACCCCACTTCAAGATCTTTGTTTTTTTGTCTTTTTTGGAGTTTTGTAAAAATCAATAGCAAAAAAGCTGTGGTTACGGTAGCTTTGTTTTCTGCTATTCTTTTAAAACGTGACCGTCTATCAAGCATCAGATATGCTGATGAAAACTTTGTTACTCGTTACTCCTCATGTGTTTCCGTAGTTACTATACGTGTTTCGAATTTTCTCAAATCAGCATGAACAAAAAAGAACAAAAAAGAGGGATCGCTGTTTTTTTTTTTCACAGAGGAAACCGTCATCCCTGTCTCCCATATTTATAATCAGATGATGATAAGATAAACTGAGCTGGAGACGAACTTTGGCGTAATTAATCTGCTCAGCACATAATAGCGCCGTGGTGGTATTATAGAAACGAGGAGTAATTATTTGCGTAACCGGCCCCGCCTCTGTCGTTTTCCCGATGGCCTTCCGTACACGCTCAGCGCACGCCGGAGCTGCCTATCTGCATATTCTGCACTTGCCGCACGCATTCCTTCTTTTCGTCTGTTGCCCATATCAACCGCTACACACAAATCGTGTTCACAACACACCTTTATTGTACTGCGATGGACCGTGTCGAGGAAAAAGTGTTGTCGGCCTGGAAATGGCTCAAACTCAAGTTTATCCAACTTTTTGCCTTTATTTTCGGCGATGACGACTCTGCTTCGCGAGACGTTGAAGGTATGCATTCTATAAGGGTTTAAAAGATTCGAGATTCCTTCAAAATCATTTGATCTTCTTAACGTTCAAATTATTTGCAACAAGAACGGTTTCTGGAATCTTCGTAATCTTTCAAATTAAACTTTTTTTAGTTTGCAGTTATATTCTTTCTCGTTTATTGTGCTTGGCTCGATTTCAGCAAGAAGCTTTACGTTTTTATGGCAAAACTACGAGAAAACATATTCAAGCTTGAAAAACCGAGTGTTCGTTTTGAGTTCTTGGTGATAAGGGACATTCCTGAAAGCGTATGTAATACACCGATAAGTTCCTAAAATTTTCTCTCACTCATCGAAAAAATGTCCACTCATATTATAACTATATATATATTTCCCTTGAATGTGACCTGTTCACATTTTTCTCCTTGTCCTAATACTTTTAGAATCAAGAGTTCGTTCAACAGAATCTTCAACTTTTTGATCATAAAAAGTTTTTTCTTTTGCCTTTAAATTTATCATTCGAAGGAAAAAAAAAGAGAGCCACACCCAATCCTTGATTCCTCTTTCGCTATGCTACGTATATTTTGTAAATTGCTTGTTTTTAAACCTGTCTAGTACACATTGGCTCAAAAAGAATTTCGAACCAATCAGCACAAAGACTAGTCGTACTAGGGGACAGGTGTGGGACGTCCTTGTATGGAAGTAATTAGTATTTCGGTGTCGACAACCTCGGACGCCGCGAACCAATTTACATAACACGCCTTTTCAAAATGAAGAAGAGAATAGGACTTCCGTTTTTATTTTTTCTGAGTCATGCAGATTTCGAAAGCTCGAGACGTTAGAAGAAAAATAAGTAAGCGCTTGAGGGGAACTAGTTCCAGGAAAAGTAGTTTCGAAATAGCGATTGTTCACTGGAGAGGCTTGCGCCCTCGTGTATTGATTCCAATCTCCTTAAACAACTATTTTTGCGCGATATTTTTCAGAATTCTCGTGGAATTCATCCAACTTTTTTGAGTTTGCAGCTATGGCAGCAGCGAAGAAGACAAGCAATGCTCCAGCTTCCACAGGTGCCCCCGTCGTTCACAAGGTAACAAAGAAAATTTAAAAAAATTTAATTCCATTGTCTCCAAATACATTTTCGTGATCTGTAAACTCACTTTCCGAACCCCTTTTCTTTAGTATAATAGGAACGTGAATACAAACGAAAATTTTTTTTAGACCTTAAAATCAGTTATTCTTTTCGGATCTCAATAACATAAAAACTTCCGCAACAGAATTTGAATTTTTTTATACTATGGTATATTATGAAAAGAAAACGTTTAGGTAATCATGGTTGGAAGCGGAGGAGTCGGAAAATCGGCGTTGACTTTACAATTTATGTATGATGAGGTTCGTTCAATAAAAGTGAATAGGTTCCAAAAATTCATTTAGTTCGTGGAAGAGTACGAGCCGACGAAAGCAGACTCGTACCGCAAAAAAGTCGTCCTGGATGGCGAAGAATGCTCCATCGATATCCTCGACACAGCTGGTCAAGAAGATTATTCCGCTATCAGGTTCTCATTTGATTTGAATTTATTTTCTCAGCTCTGAATTATAGAGATAATTATTACCGAAGTGGGGAAGGATTTATTTGCGTTTTCTCCATATTGGACGCCGAATCATTCGAAGCAACCAACGAGTTCAGGTAATTTTTCCCTTGTTATGTTAAAAAATATGCGAAAGTTTTTTGCTATTTCTTCTGTGCGCCCGTACGCTGAGACCAAATGTTTCATGAGGAATCAACATGACTATGATATTCATATCTTGATTTAATAGTTGTATGAGCTCAATCTACTAAAATGGCGATGGGAAAAGCTATAGTCTGTTCAGATTTTAAATGTCAAGCAGCTAACTCCACCCCCAAGGCTACAATATCTTTCGCGTCAATGTTTTATATCCAGATGACGATGGCCCTTTAATAAGGCTGCATTTTTGACTTCTTTTTCTAACTTTTAGATCGAAAAAGATCAAAATTAGTCCCGCGCGTTAAAACATCGACGCAAAAAGGTACCGTCTCAGCAGGGGCGGAGTTAGCTGGTTTACATTCAAAATCTGAACAGACTATAAACCTGGTTTTTTTTTTATCATTTTCCATTTTCTGAGGACTATCCTTTCAGGCGAGTATCTTTTAAATGTGTTAACAGTCCATCGCCTATAATTGCGTATGATGAACTGTTCACATAACTAAAATATAAGCTCTCACCAACACTTAAATTTCTAACTTTTAAAGTCAGTTTTGTTGAAAACAAATTTAAGGAAGTTTGGTTTTCTGAAAGTGTGAAGGTTCGAGCAAAAACTTATAATTCAAACTTTAGAGAGCAAATTCTTCGAGTGAAGAATACAGATAACGCCGTTCCAATCGTTCTGGTCGGCAACAAAGGTGATCTTCGAGAACAGAGAGTCGTTCCTGCAGAGGTGGCAAGATCAAGGTAATCATTCGAATTAAATACAGCGATAATTTATCATATCGAAATTTCATCTTGTTCAGGGCCGAACAATGGGGTGTCCACTATGTCGAAACATCAGCGAAAAGAAGAGAAAATGTCGATAAAGTAAGCATTTCTTTATACATTTTGAATTTTTCCGTCGCCTTGTTCTTCTAAGTGAATAGAAAAAAAATTAAGGATCATTACTTAAATATTTGTTTCTGAAGAATAAGAACTCTTCAAAGACTTAGAATAACTCTACACATCGCCAAGAAATCTATAAATAAGATTTATGAATTGTAGAGTGTAATTTAACCCAGCTTGATTGTTTGATTTTTTCTCTACTGTGGATAGACGATTTGGAATAACGAAGGTTCTTTTCGAACTTGGTCAATTTACACTTGCTTATTTTAAAACCCAATGAGAAACACTGAGCAAAATTTGGGAAAATCAATAGAAATACTATAGTTTAGTGGAATAAAACGATATTTCTTTCAGTCATGAACGCGTTGAAGTAAACTTGTCAAAATCCTCAAAAGTTGTTTTTTTCAGGTTTTCTATGATCTTATGAGAGAAATGAAGAGGAGAAAAGGAGGAAACGCCGCTGTTGCCGGTATCGACGTCAATAATAGCTCTGGTCGCAAAAAACGCGGATTAAAAAAACATTGCACAATCTTGTGATATTATTGTAACACATCTCGTCACCCTCTTAAATAATTGAATGATATTTGATCCCAAACCCAATTTCAGTCAGCGCTTGCTTTTGTCAACTCTGTTTTCGAAACTTACAATATCAGTGTTGCCGTAGAAGCCCAATCTTATATTCTCGGGTCAAAATTTTAAAAATGTCTAGTTTTGCTTGTGCATAATTTTATCAAGTTGCCTTACATAAAGTATTAATAATTTATACGTAAACGCAAGAATACATTAATTATGAAAGAAATGGACTTCAGAAAAGTATACGTTCAAAGAAATAACAGTGAAACAGTAACAGTTTGAGACGGGTTCTAAAAGATCGCAAGAGAGGTCTTTCCCGTATTGCACAACAAAATAAAAGGAAGAAAAAGTCAAGTATTCCAAGCTCCAGGGTTCCAACTGCCATAATTAGAATTAGAATTGAAATTAGCTTGATCAGATGCTTGAGATTGTTGAGGTTGGATGGGTTGTTGCTGAGGTTTGGGAACAGGAACTAAGGTAGAGTTAGCAGTTTGTTGGCGGAAAAGAGCATACAAATCTTCATAGCGCTCGTGTTCACGCTGCAGTTCGCGCGAGAGTGAATCAACTTCTTTTTGGAGCTCTGCGTTCTTCCTCTCCAATTCCAACATGCGCTGATCATCCATCCGAGGTCGCTTCGCTTCATATGAGTCCATAGGTCCCCCGGAGCGTCGATTGCCATATCCACCGCCACCACCACCACCGCCGCCGCCGCCACCACCACCATATCGAGATCCTTGATGACGGCCGCCATGAGATTCGCCGAGAGGAGGGAGTCCACGGTGACGACGATCACGCTCTTGGTCGACGTTAACGTGCCAGTAGCGACAGCGGGCAGCGCCGCGTGCACATTTTCCTGCTTGGAACTCTTTGCAGACTGGGATTCCAGCAATCGTGTCGCCCTGGGATACCGCCGCTATAGCTCGCGCTAACGGTAGCGTCACTTCATGCGTCTGTTTGTATCGCTCGACCTCATCGCGCTGCGCATGGACAAAGCGGCAGTTCTCACGCATACATCCGCGGTTCTAAAACAGCGTACATTAAGAATAGTATATTCACTTACACAACGACAAATATTTTTTTGTGAAATTTCAAAAAAACTCGATACTCATATGTGAGAAAACCATTTATTTGGAAAAATAACCTTATAGTTGCGCTCAGAAACTTTTGTTAAATTTTTCTTTTTCAGTGAGGTTTTGTAAGTTTATAAAAAAAAAAACAAAGATAGCTCACATTCTTTCTAAGACATCAAAGCGAAAAAAATGCATAGACTTTTTTCATTATTTGGAACTGAGTAAATGACAAAAGATTTCGAAGTTCGTACGTTTTTCAATGATGACTATTTCTTTGAAAATCGTGTTTATAAAACTTCAAAAGAGAAGTGTCGTAGCTTTCTTCTTCAATTTTAGTGCAATTTTTTAAAAAATAATCATAAATAAAAATATATCGTCCTGTTTCTAATAAGATTTGAAAAAAACTTTTTTTAATAAAAAGATGAAACAGTTTGAAAAAAAGTGAATTGAACGAGCTTCAAACTGAAAAAAAAAACTTCATTATTTAGAGGAATGGAGAACTACCCAAACTTTAAAAAGTTGACTGCAAAAATTATTTAGTAACATCAAATGAAAATAGCCATTATAAAAAACGCACGAATTATCAGAACGCAACATGACGCTAACCTTTATGTTGAAACTTTGATAATAGTTGTTTATAGGAAATTTAAAAAATCGCAGACGCAACGGACTTCGCTTAGATACGCACCTGGAAGTCAATGCAGAAATTGACTTGTTCTTGAGCGCGCATCTTGGCCTCGGGAGGATGATAAAACTTGCAGCGTGAACCACGATTACAGATGTTTTTCAAAAAGTCGCGACAAATGTCGTCTCGATCGTTGTCACCTCCATTCGCAGACATATTGTCATTGACTGGTCCTAGCCCATCATCTGGCACTGGATCTCCCATCCTGCAACAAAGAAATGTTAAAAAAATTATGGTGTCTAACCAGTAACGAATAAAGTAGAGGAAATTTCTTTTCAGCTCTCAGCTATTGTTGATGACTCAAAAAAAATTTTTTTTGGTCTTTTTTCAACTCGAAAGCTCATGATTTTCCGAAATATAATGAGTAAGCACTGCCGAAAATCTCTCTTGATTTTGTCCGTTTTAGATATTTGTACACTACAAAAAAAAGCTAAACACGTTTCAAAAAGCCAAAATGAGCAAGTTAGATAGTAAAAAACGTTTCATGAGCGTGGTAACTTTTGCTACAAAATAACAGTTATCACTCGAGCTAAGGCCGTGTTCAAAGTAATTTCGCGAAATTGAATTTTTTTTTTTGATTTGCCGTCAATGAAAGAAAAATATAACTAAATTTTGGAGAGTCAGAGATCATTTTGCATTTCGCGAAATTACTTTGAACACGGCGTAAGTATTGCCGTTTTCAAAGTAATTTCGGCGGAATAGGATTGAGCGTTAGATAGTGAGAAAGATTATAAAAAGTTTGGAAAATCAAAGATCATTTTGCATTTCGCGAAATTACTTTGATCGTGGCAATAATACAGAAGAATCTCTGAATTGGAGCGCCAAATGGGCGCCACAACTCTTTCACTGACATACACTATTTCGTCGTTTTCTCGCAGCTAGATAACGACGAAATAGTGTGTGTCAGAGAAAGAGTTGTGGCGCCCATTTGGCGCTCCAATTCAGAGATGATATGAAATTTGAAAAAAAGTGAAATGAAAAATTTTGAGCTGTTCTCACTTAGATGTGCAGGTGCCTCAGACACGTTTGCAACGCGGTCGCCATTGTGAATGGAGCAGGCTTTCCACCAAATCGCGTCGCTTTTGCCGCATAATTGGGAAGGCGCCAAAAAGTTTTGCAGCCAAATTTTTTTTGTTTACATGTTTCAGTCAGTGTTAGATAGCCGAATGGTACCTGTTCTGAACTTCAAAGAGCTCATCAAGTTAAAATAAGCATCCTTTTCCTAATTTAGGCGCTTATTAGCTCGATTGATCGTTTTTTGATAACGTCATTTTTAAATTCGTTATTGCTATAGAAAGCATTGGTTGAACGGCGAATAGAAAAAGCTGTGTTCGGCGGTGTTAAGAAAGAATCACGAGATCCGTCTATATGTATTGCTTTTTGTATAGGAAGTTTCTCCTTCCGCGAGGTCATGTCGTTGTTATTTTTGTATTTGGCATCATTTTGCCGAATTCTTCTTCATTTCGAAGTTTTTCAGACAGATTTTATCGGTCGCCCGTGAGAGTTCATGGGATGCCACCGACGATAACAATAACGTTCTCCAAAGAAGGTAAAATTCAGTTTGAATAGTATAATCGAATAGGGAATATTAACAGCATATCGGGAGATGCCAGTAAGTGGCGTGGCTGCAAGAAGATTATCAATGGGAGGTAATGGAAGCAAAAGTTCCGATTCAAAGCCGAAAAAAATTATTAGGCGTGAGTTTCATTTTTATTTACAATCTTCATGATTACATAACGGTTTAGAAAGTCAGAAGCTTGAGGATAGTCCTCCTGGACTCCTAAACGAAGAGACTCCGAGTTCAACCAATCAAAAAAGAGCCAAGAGCTCTCTTTTGCGTTCCACCAATAAAAGAAACTCTGAAACAGTTTTGAGTGAGATATTAGAAAAGTTGATCTGGAAATCGAATAAATCTAGAACGACTCGAGGCGGATGAGAATCTAGTTCAATCAGGAGCCGAAGATGAGAGTGAAGATCTTGATAGGTCCTCATACTCTGTTCATCCGAGCAGTTCGACCAGGTGTGCGAACTGAGATTGATTGTATGAATTTTCTCGTTTCAGGAGGTTACCAAGCATTTCGGAAGAGGAGAATACGGGTAAGAAGTCCGAAAAGGAAACTAAATTGACGAAAAAGCAATATTTTGTCAAAAACGGTATTTTGATGATCGTTGATCGATTTAAATTGTTTTAAATTAAGCTGACGGAAAACCGACAGAAAAGTATGATCGGGAGTATTTCTTGAAAATGAGATACGAAGAAGATGTCGACGACGGGAGTGGAGACGAAGGCCCCAATTCGGTCATCACAGTCACTGATCGGTAGCCAAATTTCTTTTTTTTTTTCTTTTAAATTTTCAATTTTGCTGCAGTTGGCGAGCAGAGTGGGAGTATGGAGTGCAAATATTGCTCAATCCGGAAGACCTTCCGGTATTCTCAACAAAACATATGGAAGGTCCTACGCTGAAAGAAAAGTCAACTTTTTCCTTGTTAGTTTTTTTCTATTTGCCTATTTTTTTCCAACTTTTTTCTTACTACCACTCAGTATGAAAAAATTTTCAGACCTTCGAAATATGTTTCAACGGAAAACACTTGCGAAAGTGACAAGAAAAAACTTTTGCCTCGTCCTTCCGTTCGTTTATATCAGGGTGACGAACTAGACTGTATTTGGCTCAGAAAGTTCAACGAGGTGAGCCCAATTCTTATTGTATTGCGTTTTGAGTCCAATTCTCGGGATTTCTCCTCATCAGAAGCATTTTAAGGCTCGCGAGGCAAAAGGACGATCTTTGCTGGTGAGCACAGTTTTCATGGATATGATGAACGCTCTGGAAATCACTGCCTATAAGGTTTTGAAAAAAAAATCTGAATTTTTCAAATCATAAATTTCTCAGAACATTCACGAAATGCTCTTGCGGCCTCTGCACTCTCCCGCCTCGCGGGATACGAATTTAGTGGATGACGAGGCCTCCTGTGACATTTGCAGATATGTGAGTATACATATATCTAAAATTTATCGATTCACTTAGTCGATTTTTTTCAGCTTGTATGGAAAAATGTGAGGAAAATATATGTTTCAGCGAACAATAAGAGAAACATAAGTTTATTATTATCTAGAACATGATTTCAATTTGAAACTTTATTCAGTCTTCAGAGAAGGTACTCTGCTGAATCATGGAATAATTGAAGAGTTGTTCGTCGGTTTGCGAAACTGTCGCTGATCAAACGTAGACGGCGCGTAGAGCATCTCGCCTCTCTTGTGCTAGTAGTAGGCGATTTTAGAACGTGTCCGACGATCACTGCTTCTCCATGTAGGAACAGTACGGCGCCCAGCTTGTCCAGGGCTGACGGGCGTCGGATTGAATCTCGGACGAGAGCGGAAATGAAGACCGACCACTCGGGTGGTAGAAATGAGATTTCAATTTTTTCGGGTGGTAGAAATGAGATTTCAATTTAGTTTAATATAAATTTTTCATTGAAGAGTAAGTAGAGAAAATTTTCTTCAATGAAGTAGTTGCGAAATTTGAGCTTTTCTGCAGTTTCAATTTGAAAAATCCAACGAAATGCAAAAAAAAATAATTGGATGTGAGGCACATTAGGAGTATACCACTATATTATGACGGAGTAATTGCGCGAAATGTAAAAATATTTGTGGCTCTCCAAAGTTTAGTTATCTGTTTTACTTTCTGGTGAATATTTTGGATTTCGCGGAACTACTTTGAATAAGGCATGAACGCGGAAAAATTTAAGGTTTTTTTATTTGAAAAAAAAAAAGAAATTGAGCGGAAGTTGCATTTGAGCTTGGATTTTTCAATAAGAATTGATTCATTCAGTAGAATGCGTTCAGAGAGACAGCGAACCGGACGATGAGATGGTTTTCTGCGACGGCTGCAACGTCTGTGTTCACATGTCGTGTTACGGATTGGAAGACTTGCCGCAAGACGAATGGCTCTGCATGAAATGCCAGATTTGCAAAGGTTTTTTTTTCGATTCGATTTCCAATCAATTTTTGTTCAGACGTGAATCCTCCTTGCGTTCTTTGCCCCACGATTGGAGGCGCCTTGAAACGCACAAAAAGCGGCAACCGGTGGGCCCACGTTGTATGCGCTTTGTGGCTTCCGGAATGCAGGTTCTCTTTTCAAATTTTGAAATTTTTTATTGAGTTCTTTCAGATTCGAGAATTTCGAAAAACGTGAGCCTATCACCAACATTGAAGAAATCGCTGACGAGAGATGGCAGTTGAAGTGAGCTTCTTCTTTGTTGGTTTGACTGATTTCTTGGAATTGAGATGCTCGATATGTGATACGAGACAGGGGGCCTGTATCCAATGCACGGAGAAATCTTGCAATACTGCATTTCACGTTAGCTGTGCGCTCCGCAGTGGAAACGAAATGAGAATAGAACAGGTTATAAACTGAAAATTTCCTTTTTTTTTGCAATTTGTTTTCAGTATCCGGATCCGGAAAATGATGGCGTTCAAATGATAGCGCTGTGCAACAAACACGATCCCAAGAAAAAAGAAGAGAGTGTGAGTTTTTGAAACATTTACACAGAAAAAAATGTTAACTTATTTGGTAGTTCAAGTTTATTAATTTTGGGACACTTCTTTTTCAAATCGATCACACGAAAAGTCCGAGTTTTAGCAATAATAAATAGAAAATATCTATTCTATCTATTTTTTCTTTGTGTTTGTGGAGCTCGCTGGCTCAAAAAAATGAATTGCAACTAACTTTTATGTGGCTTTTTTGAATGCTCATTTCATTTTTCTGTTTCAGCTTTTGCCGCAGGCTGAGAACGACGAAAGAGAAAGTTCGGACCTCCGTAGACTCGAATCTTTCTTCTATTTGTACGTGGATGGGGAGAAAGTCAGCGATAGGTCTGTTATAAGCGAAGAAAAAAATCACAGTAGAATTATGTTTAGCATCAATTTGAATCGCGCAATCGGTGCCGAAGTGTACGAATACTGGAAACAGAAGCGTCTGAGGAAGGGAGGAAGGCCTCTTCTCGAAAATCCACAGGACAACATTGTGGTTGGCTGCTCCATCCTTTCCTTTCCAACAGTTTTTTTTCAGATTGATCCAGGATCTGTGACTTTGGAGCTACCAAATGCAAACTTCACAACGAAGACGTGCCCTCTGAACAGGCGATCTGAAAGCTTCAATTCGGAATTCCACGTGAATAAGTGGCGTGCGAAAATTCTAAGGAGCAATCTTGACAAGGTAATTTCAAAAAAAAAAAAATCGAAAATGAACATAATTTTCTTGTGTAAAGTGGTTTAAGAAATTGAATTTAGAAAAATAGGAGATAAAAATTGTGGACAGACAGCCTGAAAGGAAAATTGAATTTTTACCATATCTTTTGTTCTAAATTTCCCCAACGTAACTACTTCGTGCATCGTTTCATGTCTGTTCGAGAACAATGTTAATCTCAGGATCGCAACATCATAACGCAGCTGGTGCGACGCGAGCGGATGAAACAACAGCTGCAGAAAACGGAACGCGACGCCATCGAACTTCTTCTTCAGATGACGAACAGCTCCGCCGTCGTCAGCCAACGCGCCGTTGAAGGATTCACTGAAACAATCGAGGTGCACTTTCTACCATAATTGAATAGCCAAAAGTAGAAAAAAAAATGTCGTTTGAAACTCTAGCACAATGAAATTTTAGGGTTTTGATTTTTCTGAAATAAGAATTTAAAAGGGAAAAACGAAAAAAATTCCAGTTAAAATCATATTCATTTTAGTATATCGAAAAATTGGTAATGTGAATTTTTCAGAAGTTCCTGACAGAGGAAGAAAAATCTGAAGCTCTGCGTCTTTTTCCCGCTCCAAGCCCAAAAGATTCTCTCGTGACAAATCGTGCAAACAGGTAGATTACTCATTGCTATCCTAAAAATAAAAATGAGTTACTTTCAAGAGCCCGATCTTCTCTCCAATCTGCAATTTTTTCAACGCCGGTGAGAAAACCCACTAAGCGAAGGAATACATCAAAGTTAGTTTTTTTTTTCACAGTGGGATTTTCGTAGAATTTCCTCAAAGTTTTCGAAATTTCATGGACTTTCAGTTTTGGCGAACCTCCTGCCCCAAAGCGGAGGCTGACTTTGACGCCGTCGTCCAAGTCGCCCCAAAGAAAAAGGCCTTCTGTGCAATCTCGGCGGTCTTTGAGGTCTAATATTTGAATTGATATTTTTTTAAAGTTGATTCTTCTCTGACTTTAAAAGGTTTTTGTTGATATTAATTTTTTTTTTCCTCCGTAGTTTTGACTACAGCTTTTTTGATGTCGCGTGCGAAATACACTGTAAAAAGTGATACTTCGAGTGGGTTCAAGCGCCTAAAATTCGGTTTTTTTTTCACACAGAGAGTTGAAAAAAAATTTTAAGATTTCCCGTGCTTGAACCCATTTACTGCGGAAAATCCCCGAAATGTTATATAGTCAGTCTGATGCCTTTTTGGCGAATAAATGTTCTTTTCCGTGAAAAATTTTGAAATTCGTTGATTTTCATGATTTTCGACGTTCTTTTGTTCTAATTATTGGCTTTCGATGTTTTTCGTTCCTCATACTCGGGTTTCCTTCAACTTCCTATCCCACAGACTCGAAAATCATCCATATTTTCTTTTTTTTTTGTTGTTTTGTGCTTCCTTTGCGACTCCGAGGTATAATTCGAAAACAGTGCCCTTCACGCTTTTTTTAAGTTTCTCTTGTACGATATTGGGTTAACTTTTTAACAAGTATGTGCGATCCATATCTGAAACATGCTATTTTTCTGATTTTTAAAGCACATTTTTTTCCCCTTATTCCCAGTACATGTAAAGCCGATTTTTGTCGGGTGCTTCCTTTTTACTACGCTTTTTCTCATTTTTGCTCTTAAAAAAAAATCGAAATTGGTTTATTTTTTGTTTTCAAAGAAATATTTCGACATTATAGTTGGTGAACGCATTTAAAGAAACATAGAATAACAGTTTTCCTGTGTACACATGGAGAAATATTTTAGTATTATTGAAGATGAAACATCACAGCGTAAAAAATTGAAACTATCACTCTGCTCAACTACGTCTATACGCGAGTTGGGAATCCCCCTATAATTGTTCGAATGAATTCAAGGGTAGTAAGTTATAAATTATATCCTCCACAGAGGGAAGTCTTTTGAATACTGAAAATTATATAAATATGATGCGTTAATTGATAAAATGAAATTTTTTTGAGAGTGAAATTTTTAGATTGAAGAAAATAAAATATATTAACTAGAGCGCTAAATAACCGTCAGATATTGAAGAAATGAAAAAAAATGGTTTGAAAAAATTCACATAAAGAAAAAAAGTTCATAAACGCAAAGAGAAGATTGGAATTTCGAGGAATGTGTCCCCGTGAGTTGTACATAAATTAGAGGAGAAGTTGTACGTTTCTAGACTCGAATTTCTGGACCATGGACGATTTTGGAATGACTTCAGACGCGGCAGGAGACGTGTGGCGGCGAGAGCGGACTGTGACGAGGCGGAGTTTCTCCCTCGAAAGAGTCGCTGCCTATTGAGTCCGTTCCCGAGTCGCTCTCCTGTCAATTCCATGCTGAGCTTGAAGTGAACTGTGTCCACATGTTTCGCGAAATTCGGAAATAATTTGGCTTGAGTGTGGTAAATATGTAGGACACTTCAAGTGTCGAAAGAAGTAGAATATTTGGTCTACAAAAAAACTAAAAAAATCAAATTTCGAGCTGCTAAAATTATTCTATTATTAATTTTTCTAGAGAAGAAGCCGAGAAAGGTCAGATGACCTCAAATTGTAGGGCTTTTATCACAAAAAGGCCATGAAATTTGAAAATCGTTAAATAACAAACATTTGATAATTCGCTGGGAACCTGAACAAACTGGTAGACGAGTCGCTGGCCATCGACTTTTTGCAGGATTCCTCGCTGGTAGTAGTACCTTCAGAGGAAAAAATAAATAAATAACGAAAAATTTGCAGTTCTTCTCGTACCTTAACGCTCGGCCCATAGTTTCGTAGTTCATACCCTGAATATTTCCCCATTTTATTCTTGTTCACAGAAAACAATCGCTTACCGGCTTATTTTTATGCATCCCCCAGAGCTTGGAAACGGCTTTCGAATCGACCAGTTTAAATATACCCTCAAGAAAAGTTATTTTCGAAAGCTCTAGAAAAAACGTTTGCAGTAAGAATTTGAAAAAAATTTTGTTTATCGAGTTGAATTTCTTCTTCAAAGACAAATATATCTTTATTCCCTTTTTCGGACCAACTGCATTTCCCTTGCCTTAGGAGAAGAACTTTCAAAAAGTTCCTTCCACTTTCCAAATTCAATGGAATCAAAACCTTGGCCTGATCGATCCATTTGATGAACTTGGGGGAGTATTCCTTGTCCTGAAGCAGTCGCAGAAGGAACTCCCACAGGTAGGTTACCTGGCCTGTAGAGCAATTCAGTACGCTCTTCCGAACACAAACCCGACCTTCACGACTTTTCCTTCTTTGGGCGATGAGATTGGTGGAAGAGGCCATCGGTTCGGAAAATCGGCGCGCTTCCAGGAGATACGGCTGCAGCGGACACAACGAAGTCGCCGTCGGCAATTGCGGAGTCGCCAGCTCCGACGGAAACGCCGATCCCACGGTCTGCGGCAGAGGCGCTGAAAAACATGCTTGTTTTCCGATCAGTTACTTCCCACGTTGTCTAGATCGCTGTTTTTTTCAAATTAGAGGGTCGAATGGTCGTCCAATAATAAACGGAATGAAAAATCAATTTCTAATTCGAAGGAATATCTCCCTATTTTTCAAAATTATAACTAGTATTTGTACTCGATACTCCCATATTCCTCCTATAGATATTAAAGACGAAGAAAACTTCATACTGTACAAAATCGAGGCTGATAGGGCTCAAGAACTGAGAAAAACTACAACGTTATGAAAGCTTCTTTCAAACTGATAGTTCATGAAAGCTATCAAACGTTTCTAGCCCTGAAAATCTGTAAATTGAAAACATATTAAAGCTCCATTCTACATAGATCAAAGTCGATCTGCATATTCATAATAAGGCTCTTTCACTGGAAGCAATATGAAGAGCACAAACTGGTGGTCAGGAGTCCGACGGCAGGACGTGCGGCTGGCGGCTGCGGTATCGCGCCGCACATGGCCCCCGGCTGCGATAACGACGGATAGAGCAGCGCTGTGGAGAGCCATGGATGCACGACGTGTCGGTTTTCAGACACTGAAACTCATTTCTGATTATCAAAAAGCTGTCAGGAATTTTCCTGATTTTTACGAAAAATTAACCACAACTTTCATGACCTCGATAACGTCAGTTGCTTAAAAAAATGGTATTTTCTGAGTATTTTTTAAGAGAAAAAAAAGGTATAACTCGAGACACTGGAACTCATTTCTGTCACAAAATTAAAAAAGAATAAAAAATTGTGGAATAGTTTAAAAAAGTTTTTCATTTTGTATAATACAAAAGTTATTTTGGATGAGGATTTTTCATTAAAGAATTTCTTAGCCAACTTTGGGGCTTTTTTTTTGCAATTCTTCGCTTTTTCATTGTCAAATTTCGATTCGCCCAAAGAATGCTTCTTCCTCAGCAAATCTGTGAACCGCGTCCAATGAGACTCATGGTCGAGTGCAGAAAAATGAGGCGGATATGAAGGCGACGATTGGACTTTCGGCGTTTTCCACCACACCAGTTCGTCCTTTCATCCGCATCACCTCCGGTCGCACTCCTTGGCCCTCACGTTTCACTCGCCTTTTCACTCCCGCCAGCGAAAGCCTCCGGACAATACAACTGGTATCCGCGGCGGATATGCGGCCAGCGCCAGCACACCAGCAAAATGATTCGTTTGAGAAGAATGTCCAGGTGAAAAAAGTGAAGAAAAGCGGATGCGACACACTTTTTGTGTTTAGGCGTGAAAATGACCTCTCAGTGAGGGATTTAAAAAAAAAGAAGTGGTTAATTTTTGAAACAAATTGTTCCATTTCGCGTTTACTATTGTCAAAGGGACGCATGGAAGACGTGTGGTCCGCGCTGACAGCGAAGACGGACCATCAAATTATCAAAGTGTCAAAGTAAGTATTATCAAAAAGGCTGTAAAAAAATTTTTTGACCTCGCGATATTGTAATTTTGTTGAAGAGAATAAACTTCAAGTTGATCTGTTAAAAAAATCTGTGAAAATGCGTTATCAAATGGAAATCTGTTATCTTTGTCTTTTCTCTCAACACATAAAAAAGTGTATTTTTTGAAGAGCCTAAAAGTTTGAAAAAAGGAAGGCCACAAAATGATCTTACAAAATGAATAAACATTCCAAAGTATTAATTTGACGACCTAGAAAACTCTACAGAGCCTTTATGAGCTTTCCCGGTCATTCTTAAGGGTCTATATGCTCCTTCTTCTCCATCCTTCTACCTGAAGAAAGGAAAGGAGCTTTATCAAGGCAATTAGAGGGCCCTAGTTCCAAGTTATCAATCGATTGTTCCAAGGAGGCGGAAGCTTCTTGAGATGAAGCTTCTCAAGAAGAAACCCCCAACAACGGAACGAATCGCCAAGGGTCACTTGGCGTGCACGACGCGGAAAACGTCGCGCATCCGTCCGTCCGTTGGAACACGCAGCGCAGTCGCCGCTTCCGCGACGCTCGACCGCAAACATTCGGCTCACGACTGCGCAGACACGCCTTCCATTTCAAAAGCACTTTTGAAACAGAAAAGGAAGACGTTTTCTTTTCACGTCCCAAACCGTTTCACGTTACTCGGATCCTATGGAGAAAACGCGAAAGCAGAACTGGAAGAATAAAAATTCTGAACTTTTCCAATTTTTTTTTTCATACATGAAGAGACAGTCTAGATCGCAAAGGGACCAACGAAGGAAATCTTAATATAAATGATAGAGAAGCTCAATAACTGAAAATAGTACTTTCTAGCGAAAAATTTACTCGAAAGTGAAAAAAAAAAGAAATTTATTAATTAACCAAAATTCTATACAATTCTGCAAAAAAGAAAAAGATTTCAAAATGTATTTCTTCATTTTTAATTTTAAAAAAAATATCTCAATCTTTTTCAAAAAACAGAATTGTTCTCAACTGTTAGATACTACTTTAAAAATAATACTCTATAGGAATTCCTCATTTCAAAAAATGTCTTCGCCCTTCTTCAGTATTTTAATAAAACTCTCGAACTTGATAAGTGATTCCTTTTTTTCATTGACTTCAAAGAGCTAGCGAATCGATAGAAACGTTCTCAATACCCCTGGGACCGTGCGAAAAGTCAACAAAATTCCACGGGAAAAAGAAGGCGGAGCCTCCGAGGGCACAAATACACACGAACCGACTCAAAAACTGTCGAGACACAACACGAAACGTTTTGGAGGACACAACAAAAAAGGTCTTCGTATTTGGAAAAGTTGGTGCAAAAAAAGTCAATTTTCTACCATGAAATATGGAAATTTTTGGTTCATGCAAGCTCAAAATTCATAGATAAAAAAAACATAAATTTTTCAAAGTAGGAAAAAGATGTACTAAATTAACTAAACTAAAGAGAAAATGCGCTTTTTATTTATTTTTTGTCTTCGAAATATGTTCGTTTTCACCTATGCACCTAATCAATGCACCTAATCAATTTCGCTGGTGACGTGAAAAATCTATAAAGATCAAAAAATGTTCAGCCAAATATGTTGATTCCCCAAGAAGTACACAGACATTGGTCAGTTTCTGTATCTTTCTAAAAAATAAGCTGATAAAGAACTGAACTGAAAAACTAAGCAATTTCGTTGGTGACGTGAATAATTAATCTGTCCAATGAAATGCACCTAAGACACAAGGTTTTTTTTTCCTAAGAAAGTGATCCTAAAATCTGGTTTTTGCTCAAAAAAAAAGCTCAAAAACACGAAAAACCAAAAATAGTTCCTTAAAGTGAGTATCTGCTGACAAAAGTAGACAATGTTCTGCAAGTAAATAAAAATGAGAAGATCAAAAGACCATTTTTTTTAAAGAGGACTTTTAAGCAATCAGAAAGATTAAAGAAACTTTAATGGACAAAGAACGAAACCGACTTACTATTGAGCCAAGGCCAGAGGAACGGCGAGAATCCAGGAACAGAGGGATCAGCGGTTGACGTCGTCGGAATCGGCGGAGCAACGACGATCTTTGGAGGCGGCGGGGCGAAGGCATGACGAGTCGCCGTCGAAGAGAGCGACGAGGAGGACGAAGGCGACGTCTCCGGCGTCGAGTCGCCGAGTCCTGAACCCTTTGGTTAGCAGGAGCCCTGGATTGGAAGGACGGGACCTGAGTCAGGACTGCTCTCTTCTACTTTCAAGGAAGACTGCTTGTCGAGTAGTCTCTGTAGGATCGTGATCTGCATGGCACAGGACGAAGGCTGAACCATTCAGTTCACTTTTCAGACGGACGAAAGAAAAACGCGGAACCGATGATTATCGAAGTTGATAAGGCAACCATTTCCTCATGGAAGGTCCGAAGGTCGCCATGATATTGTTTTTAAGGGCCGCTCAGTGATAAAAAGAACCCACGATTTCGAGGAAATTTGCAGAAAGAGCCGCCGGTGCCGAAGTTCTTCGACCATCTGGATATTTTGGAGTTGGACGCTCAATTCTGGCAAACCCGTCCATAGTCTCAATTTTGATGCCGGTCTGAGAGAACAAAAAAGTTATTTTAGCGATACTTCGCAGTACTTCAAGTAAAAAATTCAAATTGTTGATTATAAACATTTTTTTGAATCCCATTTTCTAATGAATCCCAATGAATAGGACTTTTTTAAATAAAAAAAATCTTTGAAAAATGATTCACTTCTTTATTGTTTTTCATTAACTTATTAACAAAAGACAGAACAGGCTACACATGAAGATCGTCGTCTTCAAAAAAACTTTCTAAAAGAATTGTTTCAAGAGCATAATCTGTTTAAAAAGGCTAAATGATCTTGGTATAGGCTTGATACATGAAGAAAAGTTCCTACAAGCTTCATTGAGCCTTATTTAATAAAACGTATCAATGAAAATCTATGACGGCCCAAATAATGGCTAAAACATGCTGAGAAAAAAACGTGTAGCCTTGAAATCAACCTCTCAGAAACTGTAAAATCCACAAAAAGATTATTTGGACTACGACCGTGTCTTGGCTTTTTCCAGACTTCCAAGCGGGAACAACCTGTGAGTTAGGCGAGTCTGCTAGCCGCGGGCCCATGGCGGTGAGTTCAGCTGCGGAGTGGACGGCGGCTGCAGGTGCGGGAGAGCAGCAATCACTCGGGTGCACGCGCAGCATATATCCGTGCGGAAGTGAGTCTCTCCGCTCGTGCGTTCGCCTGCGGTTCCCCTCAGGGTGGACCGTCGGCCGCTGACTCCGCCTCTCTCCGATTTTTTTCCGTCTGCTTGACCAGCCACACGTGTGTCCGCGACTTTCAACCTCGCGACCTTCCGTCGGTGCGTCACGTTGGCCACGCCTATTCTTCCCGGGATCATGTTAAGTTGATGTCGTAAGTCATCGGCACACACATTAAAGTTGTTTTCCGATGAAGGAGAAAAAATTCATTCTATTTTATTTTGATTAAATAATTGTGTCAAAGGAAGTCGGTAAAGGAAAAAATGGGTAAAAGGATACAAAATATGAGTTTTTGTATATTTCATTTCAAAAGCGTTAATAATAATAATCACTTTCAAAAAAAGTTGAATACAATGAGCTGCAGAATTACAACACCAAAATGAGCTTTCAAAAAAGCAGAATCTGAAAAAATTCGATCTCAAAGAGATGAAAATTTTTTAATGAAGCACAATAGATTTTTTTTTTGAACCGAAGACATGATAACTTATCGGTCTAAAAGCAGCCTGAAACATTTTTTCTGAATTTTTTTTTCCTTAATAGTGGCTGAATTCTCACAGGCTCTCCTTTCCCGAACGCCTTTCTTTTCAATCCTGACTAGCTTTCCCTGCCACCAAAACCTTTCACCTCGGAACACGTTTTTGACGTCATTTCTGATTTAGAGAGGCGAAAGTTCAAGTGAGAGAGGTGACACTAGTGAAGATTGAAGAAATATCCTAATATTCCTCCCATTGAGCCAATCTCAGATCTCTATTCTCAGATATCTGAAGAAACATTTTCGGAAAAGAAATTGAAAAAAGTTGGAGTTTGCAAAAATAGAACAATTTAATATTTATATGTTACAAGTTAATTACAAAGGATGTTGAAGTTAGATTGCCCAAATTCTTAAAAATAAAACGGGAAATAGGTAACGAACAGTATAGGTTGCGCTAAATTAGAAAAAGATGTAGATAAAAAAATAACAATTGATTTGTGAGATCAGAAAGTTCTTCTTTAACCGTGTAAATATTTGAGTGTTGTAAGTAAAACCCGAAAAATATACTTCTGCCTCAGTTTAAAAAGATTCTGGTATTAAAAATTTTTCATGCTATAAGACACTTTTTAGTTTTTTTAAGCTTGGCTATTTCTGCCCAAAAAAAGTAAATCTCAAAAAAACCAAACAAAAGAGATGTTTTAAGTCGGAAGTTGGGTATTTTTTTATTAATATATACTTTTTGATTATCTAGATGGAGATATAGTCGCTTTTTTTCGAACGATGATTGCTGTACTAACATATATGGTCAACTTGTCCCAAACTAACAAAAAGGTTGGTCGCACGAGGAATGGCTCAAAGCGCGCACAACAGCAATTCTTTAAGACGTTCTAAATTCTGAAAGAAGTTTTGGATAATGGGAAACGGACTAAATGTGTAGATCTACCCACTGTTTCGCCAAACTCCTCAGAAGGCGCAGAAGTCGAAGGCAACGAGCCAATCGTCGCGACTCGCCACGATCAGCAGCGATCCGCACTGGACTGGATTTGAGAATAAGCTCGTGTTGCAGATAGGAATCGCCACGGCCGAGGCTCCCCGTTGCCAGTCGAACTCCAGAAGGAAACCCTCCACTGCCGTCAGCCAAAGCTTCTTGTTCTCCATGATCAGCGGCGATTGGACAAACGAATATCCATGAAAATGAACCCTCCTCTTGACTTCAAACGGAGAAATGCTGATAATGAGCAGATATCCCGTGTTGGTAGCGACCAGAAGAGTTTCCGAGTTCACAACCGTCGGTGAGGCGAATACCGGCTCAGAAATGTCGATTGAGATCTGAAAAACAGCTTTCAAAGCATCGATCCATTACCTTTTCTTCTCGACTCACGAGTAACTTGAAAATAGAACTCATCAACTCATCTTTTGGTCAACCCCACTCGTTATAAGAGTAAAAATCTCAGTTTGTGGATAGTTTGAGCGCAAAGAAGTTCCTTTGAACTGTCCTAAACATGAAAAATTCGAAATATCGCTCACATCAATACCAATCTCGAAAAGTACAGTTGCCCTACTTTTAATCACAGAAAACGAAAAAAATGAACCAGATAAAATAAAATGAAAACTAGTCAGGGAAATCAGAATCGTCGGGGGGAAAATGAATCTTAATAAAGTTATCAGAAAAAAAACTTGAAGGCTTTTTTTCCTAGACTTTTTTTTTCTGTGGGCTTACGTTTCCAAACTTTAATTGGTGGATATTGCGGACTCGAATTTTCTTTCATAGATTGACACAGAAATCTTTCAAAAACATTATCACCAACTTTTTGGCCACTCTCAACGTCGAAAGCCATGAGAAATCCGTCGGTAGAAGCGACGAAGGCGGTCGCCTCATCTTCGGCCATCGCGGCTTGTGAGAAAATAGATCTTCCGGTTTCGATGCTCCACAGAACGATTCCATCCGGGCCCTGAGTTTCTAGTCTTTTTTTCTCATTGAAGAACATTTTGACATACGTGGTATCTAGAGACTTGTCCGTGGATAGTCGTGAGAAGCACCGAAATTCCCATTTTCGAAAGGACCAAAGGACCCGCCGGCGAGCCCCCGTTAATATTTCGCGCCCACTTGCAGTCGCCATCCTGAATTTAACAGAGACAAAAATTAAAACATTGAGAAGTATTGCCAAGGAAGAGAAAGCATAGAGATTATTGTCGTAGTTTATCACATATACTGTCGAATTCCAATCATAAGCACAGGCGGCTTTTATCTGAACTCACGAACTTTTATTGTAGTGCCTTGTTTTCTAAAACAAACGGATTTTCCAAATTTCTTTGTCCACGACTTTTCCCCAGTAGCAGCTCGATAGGAATGAACACGACCGATGAAGGAACCTGGAAAACTGATTTATATCCAACAATCAACTTGTGCTCAAAACCAACGACGACGTCGTCATTCATAGAAATCGGACTCGCTTGAATTCTTTCATCGATATCTTTCTAAAAAAATGAAAAATTTCTAGATATTCCGACGAGCGAGAGTTCATCATCATCAATCATCATAGCTTTACTAATTTCTTCAAAAAGTAGTTATTGAATACGGAGTTTAAAAACTTCTATAACTAAGCTGAAAAGAGCTTAGCTACGAAACGGATCAAGCCGCAGCAAGGTCTCAAAATGAGTCGTATGAGAAAAAAAAACTCAATGGCTCTCGTAGCTCTACTTCAGATAGTTTCTGAGACCAAAATAGAATGGAAAAGTATCGAAAAAAGAAAACTTACTGTCCAGATAAGTTTTCCTGTGCTTGGTTCCACGCAAATAATGTATCCGGCGTGCGATGCAGCAATGAGAAAATCTTTGCCGTTTCGCCTAGAATCTTCTAATTGGAAAAAAGAATAACGAGCAATAAACCTGTGAAGAAGCGGAGTGCCGTCGATGCACTTTCGCATGTTGTGAGCCCAAACAATCGGCGGCTGTGGACGACGAGAAACTCTGACATGCCTCGTACTTGTGTCTATCGGTTTCGAAGGATTCTCTTTCGGCTCATGCGAGTCCGTTCTCAGTTCCAAGCCGTGCTTACTAGTGAAGTCGCGAATTGTCCTTTTCCGGTCCAGAATCTCGGCAATTGCTCCAGCGTCTTTCACGTACATTGCCAGTTCAGCTGCTAACATGGAATCGACGCCTGTGATTCTCATTTACATCAAATTTTCTCAAATCTTTCAAGTTTCGATTCAATGAATGTTCTAAATGATCCAATTTTTCTCTTTTTTTTCTGGCTTTTTCTTTTCCATTTTTGCTGGCGTTTTTTTTCCAAAAAAGCACGTTTAAAACATCAAAAAAAGGATTTTAAAAAAACTTTTAATCCTTATACCACTTATGGTTTTACGCAACCATAAGTGACGTTTTCAATATCAAGTTTTGGATGAAAGCCAGCCGAATTAAAATAAACGAAAACTTTCCAATTTTTTCTGTTATCACTTGAATTCATAAAGATTTCAGAGCTTCTGGAAACTTTTTTTCAATAATTTGCCCAATAAGCTTTTTCAAAAAAAATGCTTATAAATTTTTTTAAAAAAATCACCATATTGCACGAAAGATTTGTTTTGCGATATCGTTTGTTGCCGAAAGTTGATCCCGGCAATGGAGTTCAAGCGGTCCCAAAAAGAATTTATGTTCCGAATCCTTTTCTCGAGCAAGTGAGTCAAAGCGACTTCGTCAACCTTCCCTCGAAAAAATTCGTTCGATTACCATTTTTGTACTTATTCACCATTTCTGTTAATCGGTAATTCAGAAACGTGATATATGTGCGCTGGGGTAATTTTCTTCGGCAGAACCTTAAATTATGAGTAAAAAAATGAACACGGTTTGTTCTACATGATATTTTCATAGAAATAAAAAAAAATAGATAAAAAACCTGTCGAATCTTCGATTCTAAGCTTTTTTCGCGCGATTTGTGCAAAGAGACGAAAAGAACAAGGAATTTTGAGCGATAAGAAATGAAATGAGCATCTTTGACTTGATCGACAGCCTTGACGTAGTGCGACAATTGAGAGAGATTTGTTCGGATCCCGTTGATTTTGACCTGAAATCGAAATTAATTCAAAGTAGGTGGAAGAAAACTGAAGGATATTTTCTCAATAAAGTTTTCATTAATTTCAATTCTTTTTGAAAATCAGTGCTTTTAAGTGGACAGCCGCTTCGGAAAAAGGTGAAGAAAAGAAAAATGTTGTGCCTGATGATCCGCTCTGCCAATAATCCGCCACCGACCACAAGAAGAAACTTCAACGACGTCGCCAGTGCAAAAAGATTTCTCTTGTAACGAACCGTCGATAAAACACTTCCGACGACCTCCTGAATTCGACAAGAGATGCAAAAAAGTTGTTTTTCTTTTTCAGAATTCAGAACTAATTTTATTCCCGAAAAAATTTGGATGAAAAAAAAAGATTTTTGATGTTCATAATAGTTCGAAAAAGCCTACAAAGTAAAACTTTTCAGTAGCATACTTGTTAAATTTTTCAAATTCGACAATTTCTTATTTACTCGCGAACAAAAATCGGAAATTTGAAGCGAGAAAGTTCCAAATAAAATTTTCTCACGTCCCAGAAAGTCTCTCAATAAATTCTTAGGCTCTACTTTCCACCGAGTTCCGTTCCTCCTGGATTCGCTCGCAAAAAAACTTAGTTTAAAAAGTTTTAATTTAAAAAAACAGATATTTTTTTCTTCGTTTAGATCGAAGTAGTGAAAAATGGTAGCGACGTTTAAAGAAACAAGTCAATTAACCTAAAGTAATTTGATTGTCTACGGCGAGAGTGAGTTCAGTTCCCCTGATAGCGTCGCCGACGAAGACTTCCGTTGTTCTGAAATAACATTCAAGAAGTTCTCAAGGCAGTCAGAAAAACTCGGAAAAAACTTCGGCGACCGTCGCCCAACAAGACACCTCTGTGACCCCGTAGACATCAAAAACTCTGCGAAATCATCCATTTTTTCAAGTGGAGAAGTATAAACCTTATTTTAGGGTTGCCGAGAAAATGACGACGAAAGAAGTCTAATGGAAAGGGCATCCCACCAAGTAACAAAATCCTCAAGGGCGAACTTTCATCAAAGATGAAGCGGAGGCAATCACTGGAAAGCATTGTGAAAACCGCAGGAGTCAACTGAATTTTTTTAAAAGTAAATCTATATTCCATTTCTTCGTACCTGAATAATCGAAGGTCGGAAACTGCGAATGGTTTTTTCCAACTCAGAAGGATTCGAACGGAACTCGTCGGGAACGAGAACAAGTCGACAGCCGACGCAAAAACTCAAAAACATCTCGATGATGCTGGGATCGAAAGAGAAACTTGTTGAGCAGAGAATTGTGTCCGCAGAAGTTATCGTGAACCGCTTTCTGGAAAAATTTTGGTTTTATTTTTTTATGCTTATAGAGATCTTGGGGAAGAATGGCCAGATGATGAGCTGAAGAAAAGAATCTCGAAAACAGAATAGACAAGCGAACCGCAACAGTCTCATTCCGAATGATGCCGTGGATAACTAGGAATTTTTCCACGAGCCTCATTTTTCTTTCCGTTTTTACATTCAAATATTTTGAGATTGACAAGTACACTATCAAGTAAAACTCAGCAAAAATGAATTTCAAAAAATGCCCATTTAGCACTTTTTTCTTTATTTATTTGACCGACTTAACACTAAAAAGTCGCCAATGAGGTGCTAAACCTTTTTGTTAATTGCTGATGATTATTGGAGTGCCTTTCGGAATGAATCAAACTTTTCAAATGTTTTAAATATCGTTTTTTTAATTCTCTTGAAATTTCTGTTTTGGGGGTCTTTTTTTCGAGATTCTTGTGTTATTTTTCCTTAAACTAACACAAAGTCTTCTATGTTCTCTTGAATACAAGATAAGGGTACGTCGACCCGTTTTGGCTTTCCAGTTGTGCCCGACGTCGTGATTGAATAGCAGATGTAGTCATCCCCTGCCGAAACTACAGGAGCAGACTTCAACCTTTCAAACTGAAACGTCGTCTTCTCCGACTATTAAGTAAAAATTCTAACTTGGTGGCCGTCAAAACGACAATTGAACACAGGAGGTCCGTTCATTTCTCCGCAAAATGTGAAGGAGATTTGACGCTTCAAACAGCTGAAACACAGAAAATACGTCAGCGGCTTCGCAGCAATTATGTTCGCAAAGAGTAAAACCAACGCGATGACGGAAAGAACAGAAATAGGCGATCTTGACATCTCCAGAAGTACGACGTCACCAGGAACTGCCGCTTCCAACAGCGAGACCAAACTTTCCACCGCAACCGCAACATCTCTCGAGTCCATTTCTTGTCCATTTCTAGCATCTGTCAACCGGAAACTCGAAAGCTCTCTTAACATTGTCGTACAGGTGCCCTGCAGCAGAAGGGAATCAAACGATGCAATTTTTCACCATTCAGAAACTCTTCAAGACAAACGATGAATGATGTATATTTTCTATAGTCTCAACTCTACTACGTGTTCCCTGTTCAATCTCCGTCCCTTCAACCTCAAGCTTAAGTCAATAATTTATCGTTAGAAGGAATTTTGAAAAAAAGGGTAAGTCATAAGTAAAAAGGTGCGTGAGTGATATTCTGATTTTGCTATATTTATAAAAAGGCTATCGATGATAACAGCTATAACTAATTCTCTTGTAAAAATTTCCTTGGAATCAAAAAGTTCCATCAAACGAAAAATTCAGAAATTTGAGCGCCTTGCTAAGAACCATTTTTGACTAACGCTATCTTCCGTTCACAGATGAAATTTTCACAGTCAAAATAACGGAGTTATTAAACTTTCTTCAAGATATGCAAATTCGAAGCTATTGGTGTACCATCGAGTGACTCAATTCTCAAAAAAAAAAAAACCAAAAATCTCAGTAGCTTTCTTTTCAGTATAGAAAGGCAGTATATGGGCCATGGGTGAACCGAAAGAAAATGATAACACAAAATAAAAGAGCAAACTTTATGAATGGTACAAGAAACAATGCGAGAGAGATAAATGAAATTGGTCGTTTCGGTTCAAATCCCACCGATGGGTCTTCTTCCAGTTTCGATGGCGAGTTTCTTCAGAGCGTGCTCCTGCAGAAATGGACATTCGCTCACTAACTTTTTGGAAAGAACTACCGTTTGTTTGGGATGGTACAAATGCCAAAAAGCGTCACTTTCTAGTTGACCTCTATGAAAATCAGAACGATCCTCTTCTGGGACACTGGCCCGTGCATCGAAGCGATAATCGACGCGGAGAAGTCCGAGTCTCGTCATTCTGTCGCAAACACGAAGCTCTGAAACGAAAATTTACCTAAAAGTTTCGAAATTTTGATTTGGAACCTTGATGCCACTCGACGTCGCGCTCACCAAACTCTTCTTGGATCATCTCCTTCGCGTCTCTCAGGAAGACGGCTTTGTTCTCTTCGCCAGAAGCCTATGAGATTACTACGCACTTCATAATAGCTTCTGATAATTACCAAAATGAATTTTTCGTTGATTAGGTCGGCTAAAGAGCCCCAAATGCGCATTCTGAAAAAAAGTAATTATGTAAAATGAAGTTTTTGAGAGAGAGATCTACATAAAATTAACAGCTAACTTCGTAAAAAAAGTAACCAACCTTTTATTGATAGTTTTAAGATCATACATCGGCTGAATCCCACCCCAGCTTTTTGCGCGCGAAAAAAAAATTTGAGAATGTACTCAAGTAGGCCGCACTTTTTGGGGGGTAAGCCGCACTCCGGGGTGGGATCCAGCCGACGTATGGTTAAGATTCAAGATTTTTACTCAGCAGTAAATGAAAAAAACTACTGTCTAGCGAAAACTCAACTATCAATCTCAAAGATCAATTCAAATATGCTGTGTCCTACTTTTTAATGTCCTGTTAAAAGCAATTTCCGCGAAATTCAAAATCATGTCTAACTCTACAAAATTTAGTTATCTTTTCTACTAACTGACGGCTATTTTGAATTTTGCGGAATCCCTTTGAACACAACATAAAGATTTTTTTTTTACGAAAAGCAGAAATTTTTTTTTTAGAAATGAATGAAAAACTTCAAAAATAATAATGACAAACGTGAAAGACTCGACGATTTCTTGGTCTTCTGTAGAAAGCCCATCAAAAGTCGGGAGCTGGACGAGGTTCCTCACAGAGACGAAGTCCTTACCTTGGATTTCGTTCCTCTGATCCCAGGCCTTGATTGCGAGCGACATACCCTGCAAAAGCTTCATTTCGGGAAATGTTGAAAATTGAATACTCACAGTAGTTCCAAGGAATTCTTCGCTTTTCAGATGCTCTTCTAACGTAAATTCTTCCGATTGAGTCTCATCCTCTGAGATGTAGATGAACTCTGTAAAAAATATATATATATATATATACAGTACCGTCGGAAAAGGTACGAAAATTTTTTCTCTCACAACTTCCTTGAATGGAGCTCAATATTTTTGAAACTTTCTAAACTGAACTTTAATTTTCTGCGATATGAAATTCCATCAATGTTTCTAATAAAAGTTCTCTCAATCTACAGAAGGTTTCAGAAAGATTATTCTCCATACAAGAAAAATGTGATTAAAAAAACGTCTTTTCCTTTTCTGACGGGGCAGCATTAAGAATTATCCCTTTTAAAATCTAATTTCTACTTTCCGAGTGGTAGGTCTTCATTTCGGTTCTCTTCTAAGATTTAATCTGACGCCAGCCGGCCGTACACGAGCTGCGCTCGTGCTGTTTCTACATAACGACGCAGCTGATTTTCGAAACGCTCAAAACTCGTCTACCACTACCTCAAGAAGGGCGGAATGTTTTGCTCGCTGTTTTTAATCAATGAAATTTTCGCGGACCGATGAAAAACTCTTCAATTGTTTCAGCAGAGGAACTACTCTGAAAACTAGATAAATGGGCAAATATGCGTTTCAAACTATGAGATGAAGAGAGCATGAATCTTGCTTTGAGCCCAGAAAAAAACTTTGGTAGGAATTTTTACTTTTTTTTATACCAAAAAGAATTAACTATCCCAAAGGTCGAAAACTTGTCTAACCTCTCTGAGAAACTTCCACCGTCGTTTTCGATTCTAGTTTAGTCGGCTGGAAAGTAGTCAGGTCCTCAAAACAAGGTCTTCTCAAATTGATAGAAGAAATTGCAAACCGATTGCAAAAGGAAGCTGGAATCGTCTCCGATACTGGCATTCATTGCGTCGGCCAGAGCTTGAGCTGCTGGAGGTTTGGATGTCTCCGTGACCTCAACGATCGGAGCTAACTTTTCTGCAGAAAGATCTTCCAAATCTTCCGTTTTCTGAGCATCATTTTCATCTTTCATCTTAAAACGCTATTTTTTACAAAATTAAAAAAAATTCTTACTGTAGGCAGACTATCTTTCAACTGCGACAAGTTAAGTAGATCTTCATCTCCAAAAAGAGAAGTATTAAACTTTTCCTGAAGTCTTTTGGCCCAGCTGGAATCGAGCGAAGACCGCCCAAGTGAAGATCGGCTGACCTGAAAAAGAAACGAACTGGGTTTTTAGTGAAAAAAAAACGGACGTCTGCGTTTTTGGAAGTCTCCAGAGCTTCGAGGGTCGAACGGTCTGGGTATCGAGTATCGTAACGGCTAAATAGATTAATCTTCTAACTTCACTTTACAAAAAAAAACCTGAGTGATCCATGAGATCCAGTAGAAAGTCTTTGAGGTTCTGAAAAGATTGAAATAGTTGAGAGTTCGAAACGGAACTCAACCTTCTGTTTTTATGTGTCTATCAGATTCGGCAATGAGAAGAAGGTCTTCTGGTGCTGAACTTGTGCATTCAGTGCTCTACAATACAACACATTTTATTAATCAAAGATCAGAGCGCCCATTTTTGGACTACAAAAGCTATTTTTTTTGTCTGTTTAATTTCAATTCCGTAACCAATAGACTTAGACTGGCAGTATACCATTCAGCACTCCCGGTAGAGCTTTTTGCTGAAGTATATACCGGAGGTATGACGATGAACATACTATTTTACCATCCTGATCCATTTTGACGTATATCCTCGTTATACTTTTGTTACCTGACCCCGATATTTCTATGCAAGTATAGCTGATTCACGGCTAGCTTGAGCCATCGAAAAAAGGGTCCTGCCACGACAAGAAAAGAGACAGTGCCTGGTTGATTGAGAGCGCAGAGAGGCGACGCCTTTGTGCGTCCCAAGTTAGCCGTGATTGGGTTATACTTGAAAACGGTTATTCAGCACTCGAAAAAAAAAACTAAGGATAATATCCTGATAAAAACTGGCAAAATATTGTTAAAGATATTATTTAAAAACTTGACAAAACTTACTTCGAAATCAACGGCCTTCAGAAGTACAGAAGCCACACTCATTCTGTTCGGTTCCTCTCTCTCTTCCTGCGTCTCTTGAGAGCTTCCAGCCTTCTCTTCTGTCGGTTCTTGAACGAGCAAAGGTTGCTGGCCTAAAGAAAAATCGTATTTGGATGGATTTCCAACTTCTGAGTACGCTCTGCTGGAGGCGGACCGTCGTCGTGAAACAGATTGCTGGCAAAAATATTCGTCGCGAGCTGTCTTTGCAGAGCCAGTATCGCATTTTCGAGCTTGGCGGTTACCTGCCTCCGCATGTCGTTAACCTCTTCCATCGTCAACTTCAATTTTCGGATTGAAAAATAAATTTAAAAGATCCAAACAGTATAAAGATTGAGATGTGAGATGAAGAGGAGACGCTGTTCAAGCTGTGCAGCGAGAGTTTCATGATCTGCCGACATACTGAAACTTCTTTTCAATTTCTCAAACCGATAAAAAAAATACTTTTGTGCAAGACGAAGAGTCATAACTTCCGTATCATACAGGATTTCATAAAAACCGCGAATCTTCAGAATGCGCATTCTCAATTCGTCTATCGTTTTCTGGATCAATATAAGTTATTATAATAATCCTTGTAATGGCTACCGGGCTGTTGACCATCCTTGCTGGACAAGGCGAAGTCTCTTTGAAGAACTCTTCTCTATTCGAGTTTGAGAATCGTGATTTATCTGAAATTTGCTCAATGCACGAAAAATCTTGGAGGTAAATTTACAAACCAACAAGAATAATAATATTGAATGAATGAAATTATTTTTAAAATAAAAGGTTATGTTTGTAATGAGCGCATTAACAAAAAAGATAAGGTTCGAAAAACCCTTTGGTCTAGATATCGGCGTGGTCAAGTTGGTTTTGTTCACGAGAGTGCTTGTTGATCTCCAGGAGGTCAACGGCGTTTCGAATTTGTCGCTTTCTCGTCTCACTGTCGGTGTATAAAACTCGAGATTTTCGATATCTTCCCGATAATCCACATTTTCCTTTAAAATGATTTGAAAATGATAAGAATAAAAAAATCACCTCTTCGAATCGATTTGCTGAAAACTGATTTGATTTGCCGTTTTCACAAAAAGTATTTTGATTTTTCGATGTCATAGGCCCAATAGAATCAGCTGTAAGTTTCCAATAATTCAGAAGCAGAACAAAAAAAAACTCACTGAAACGTATGTGAGAATCCATTTGCCTATTACTCAGAAGCGCTGAAAATCACTATAATGAAAGAAATCATACCGATTTCCATCGCTATTTTTTAAAATAAAACACAAAAACTTCAGCAAACAAGATGAAGATAGAACAATCGAATTAACACATTCAAAACGACTTTGATTTGCCTCGCGAGCTCGTAAAAAAACAGCTGTTTAAAAACGCGACTTGGCGCGCTAACGTACAGCACGCATCTCACGCGAAACCTCACAGTTTTTTATTTTCGGCTAAAAATTAGTGAAGCGGATCGGCGCGGATGAAGTCTGCTAGAGTGATAGAAAATGAAAATGAAAATGGTGTAAGATCTTGTTTTTTTCTGAACTCATTTCGAAAAATGCTTTTATTCATCTAGAGTTCACTCGGAGGAACCCATTGATACAAGACTCGTTAGAATAAAAAGGACGATCTCCTGAAACATTTTTTCTCATTAACACTTTTCAAAACTAAACGGGAAAGACTTCGAAATAGGTAGCCAAGCTGCTTTTCACCCGTAAATCCTCGGAAACTTCGAAAATACTTTTTTTTGTGGGAAAAGATAGTAGAATATAAAACAGATTTATTGATTGCGATCATACAATAATGTAATACTTTAACATGTATAAGTATCATATGATAGTCAAAGGAGTACACAAATACCCATTGATGCGAAGAAAAACAATGGTTCAAAGGAAAAAAAATTGATGCTTTTCAAGGAGAAGGAGTGTACTGGACCACACCGAGCAAAAAAAATACTTGTAAGGGGCGAACCGTGCATTATAAGAAGAACTTTCGCGCAGGCAATCCTAAAATATTCTCTATCGCGGCAATTTCGACGTTCTGAGTGTGAGTCGAAAGAGTTACGCATGAAAACTCAACACTCGATATTCATAAATTGATCGACACGAATCATTGGAAAAAATCCTCAAGATCTTGGCAACGGAAAACAACTCCTATCAGTGCTATGGGAAATTATGGGCAACGCACAGGCATAAGCTCCAGAAAGATGTCAATAATCGCGGATTTGTCCTACATCTTAGAAAGTTCAATCTCAGATCATGAACGAATATTTTGAATCGTCAAAGAAGATGTTCTTTCAAACCCAATGAAGCAGAAAACTATTCCGTCCTAAAACTCGTTTCTAACATAAAACACGTACATGCAACAAAAAAAAATTCAGGGCAACTAAAGGAATCACTAAGAAAAAACATTGAATTCGTTGAGCGATGAAAACTATCAGAGAAAGAGAGAGGAAAAAGAAAGATATTGCACTCATGTAAAAAGTCGGATAATACTGTGTTCGCTAGGCCTCAGAAAACCGTCACATGAAAAAAAAAACACAAAAAATGTGGGCATGAAGATTGGGAAGCTTTGATCTTTCTTGGAAAACTGGCTGATTACGTAAATTTAACGAGATCACTGAACAAAAAAGAAAGATTTCAGTTATTCAATAAAAACCATATAAATCTAAAAAGCGATAGAGACGATCAAAATTAGTGAAACATCAGAATAAAAGTTGACGACAAATGCGTGGATGAATAAAACGACGAAAATAACCGATGGATCACCTGAGCCATCTAGATATGAACAAAGCCACGGTGAAATACCTCGTAGATGAGGAAACTGAATTTGAATAAATGGGAAGAAAAAGGCAAGGACGGGACAATTATTGTATTCAGACGTTGGTGCGTGGGGTGAAGACGACTGGCGCTGCAAAATTATAAATGAATATAAACTTTGAAAAATTGTTGATTTTTCACTGATTAAAAAAATATTTTCACAATTGATTTCAATTTATATTTGAATCAACGCTGGCTTTAACTAAAAACAGGTAGGCAAAATTTCAAGAACTTCGATTTGAAACTATTATTAAGAAGGACCATGAAAAAAAGTTCTTCTAAAAAGTCGTATATTCTTTTTTCCACTGCTATTCGTGAAACTATAAGAAGAAACTTCAAGCCAAGTTTTTTTCAAACAAACCCGTTAACAAAACTTTTTTTAATTTTCGAAAAAAAAAACTCCGAAAAGCTCACGTTCGTCTGACATGAAGATTCTCCAACCCTCGCGAAGAGAGCTTATGAGAGCCAAGTGTCGGGCATCAGGCTGAAAAACGAAAGTATAAGAGAAATCGGTCAGAAAGGTTACCTTGGGCATCTTGGCGACCTCGGCGGCATGGCCCTTGGCGAATCGAACGACGCGACCGCCCAGTTTCAGGACGAAATCGTTGGGGTCGTTGACTCCGTTCGTAGAAGAACTCGCTTCTTGAAGTCGGTTTCCGTCTTGTTGACTCGCTTAAAAAAACTTGAAATAGACGTTTCTTCCAAGTACTGAGAAAAATCAAGAAACGGAAATTTTGAAATAAGTTTTTAGCGAGGCTTCCATTATACCCACCTCAATTTTAAAAGTTTTCGTTATCGTCCATGAAAAATACATTTAAAAAAAACTGAATCCTTAAAACACGCTGAGAAATAAATTAGAATCAAGTTTCAAAAAATTTCAGGATGATCAAAATTTGAGAAAACAACTTACCGTGTTCGTCGTAGAAGAAGGAGAATTTCTGCGGCGACGGCGATGTGTGGGCGGCGTTGGGAAGGACGGCGATGCAGTGCGAGATGTTGCTGTCGTCCGAAGTGAAGGTCTCCGAAGACGGGTCCGGTGTGTCGGCAGGGTACGTCGCCTTGCGATTCGCCGAAGATGCCGGCGAAACTTCCTGCGGCGATGATTCTCCGCCTTAATTGAAACATTATTTAGAGAAAATTCTAGCATAACGCTCATTTTTTTTTGCAATTCATCTTAAACCCAGGTGGCGCAGAACAAGTCTGTTCCTAATTGAACATTTGTTATTTCAATAAGCCAGGGTTTGAAACGTTATATTCTAAGTTTATGTATAGTTGTAGAATTTAATCTATTGAATCTAAGATTTTAGTGAGCTTATTGGAGTTCACGCTAATCTGCTAATAAATTATTATTATTAAAAAAAGGATGAATTATCCAGGAAGTTTGGATTTCAGCGCACTTGACCAAAACCCCCAGCTCAGAAAAGCATTAAAGAAAATTACGGCAAGCTACGAAAAAAGAGTTCTCAGAAAATATGAGTGCCAACTATAGGCTTCATTCATTTTATGCTCGATTCGAGTTTCTAGGAGTGACGAAAACAGTTCATCGAGAAAAACTGACTGGCTTCTGCAGATTTCTTCGCAGCATCTGCATAAGAAACACGGTCCGGAGAAACTGGATTCGACTGCTTATTGTTGTTCGAGGGCAAAGCCTGAAACGTATACTTTTTTTCAAAATCACCCTCGAAGTTAACAAAAATAAGAAAAAAAAAACATACCGTGTTGACAGTGATTTCTGTATCGACCGGAGTCTCCAGGAAATGTTCTTTCTTTAAAAATCAATAAGAATACGTTTTTTTATAGAAGAAAAAACCTCTTCTTGCCCAGTGCTCTTTCTCTTGTGATGTTTGCCGCCCCGTGTTTCCTGATATACCTCCGTTGAAATAAATCAGAGAAAGAAAATAAAAACGTTTTTGACATCGGTGAGAAGGTCGGAGAAGGTTTTGGCAGCCGGACGACGCTGTTGGTGCTGCTTCGCGTCGTGCAGAGACATGCTTCTCCCTTTGTCGTCTTGGTTTCTCTTGTTTCCGCTGACGTTCATCTGAGGCGAGGAGCGGTCGTACTCGCCGACGGATCTGTTAAGCAACGTTTATTTCATATTCACGCTCAATAATACCCAGTGCGCTTCTCGATCTTCTTTTTATTTTTGCCCACAGTGATGAATTCATCCTCTTCGGTCAGCTGCTTCGCGATTGCCGCGACGTCTTCGTCATCAGCTCTAAACATTCATTAAAATTGAAAGGTATAAATGAAGAAAATTTCCACCTGTAATTAGCTCCATCGAGCAGAACTTCAGATATATTCTTAATATCGCCTTTGGCATCGACAAACTCAGCCTTAAATGGAGAAGATGAATTTCAAACAAAAAAAAAAGATTTTTCTAACCGGCGGAGTGGTCAGACGACTGTTTGATCCCATTCCTTCATCGGCAGACAAAAACTCCTCGTCCGCGTCGTCCCAAGCAACATTTCCGGCCGAGGCTGTCGATGTGCGCTTCACACTAGAAAACGTAACTTTTTGCAATATAAAGAAAATAATTTTTTCAATTTTTCTGATCTTTTTGAAATTATTCATTTTTTTTAAACAATCTTCCTGCTTTTTCTTCTTCTTGTTAGCAAATTTCAAGTTTTTATTTTCAATTTATTTTCTTCTCTTTTTGAACGAAAAGTCGAAACAAAAATTTGATTGTCAATGGTAGAAAGAAAAAAAAAACTATGGACCTATCCCATCTTTCCGAGAAAATTAGGCACTCGATGTTATAAATCCATACCTTCGGATAAACAAAAGGCGAGATTCTCAAATTTCACACACCTTACGTATATATCGAAAATGGACTAACAAACAAATACGCTTTAAATTTCATAATTAAAGAAAAAAATCTTGGATTTCAGGCTTACTCTATAGTTTCCTGGTAGAAGTACAACATCATGCTGCTGTATTAAAATTAGCGCAAAAAAAAACCGCTTGAGGCAATGAACAAGGAGTGGCGAAGAGTCACTTGAGACAACCTCAAAAGAGGACTTGGAAGGTTCATAAAATATAGCAGCACCCCATAACAACTAAACCGATTGCCGTTAAGTTTTAAACTTTGAGAACCATATATGTATATGATTCAAGCGCATGTAGGAGGTAGGTGTCTGGGAACGAACTTTTGAATGGCGGCGGGTTTCTCCTCGGTGATTTCCATTTCTGGAGTGGTAGTGGCGGTCCGCGGACCCGTCTCGTCGTTGTTCACCGAAGACTCCTTCGTCTCCTTGGCCAGCTGTTGCTCGCGCGACTTGCGCCGTTTTTCCTTTTTCGTCGTCTGCTTTTCCGCCGCTTCGTCGCCTTCGATCACTTTTAGCAGCTCTTCAACCGACAAGTGACCGAATTCCCCTAAAACTCTACATTGAAATCGCTTTACAAGTTTTTTTTTTGGAAAGAAGTTATCAAACGAAAAAGTATTCCTAGAAGTACATCAGGACTACTTGAAAAAAATAACAGGTGAAAAATCAAGTGAAATCGCTGGACCCCGGTTATGAATGAAAAAGCGCATAGGAACAGCACGCAGAGATGTTAAGGTTCGGTACTATCTCCGAGAATTTTCCATGAAGAAGAAAACTATGGAACTGCTCAGCCAAACGCGATCGAGATGTTCTCGCAATTGTCATTTTCCTGTACACCCAGCTTTTCCTTTACTGAGAAAACCATTTTTTGAAGGTTAAAAATTCTCGATTTTTTGCATATACCGAGAACTTAAAATTTGCAAAAACCCGAAAATAATGAATTTGGCCAAGTAATCGATGAAATATGGAGGTCAAAAGGGGAAAAAAGAAAAATGCGGCAAGGACCAAAACGCGCTCGAAGAGTGAGCGGATAAATAGGAATGCAACTAGGCCAACATGGACGACGGCCACAGCACGCGTCCGCTCGCGCGACAAAAACGCTCAAAAAAGCACACACTCTCGCGCACATCTCCTCCACTCACTAAAGACGCTCTATGTATGTGCTAAATGATGCCAAAACAAGGCGCTTCCAACTCAATCTCGCGTCATCCAATCTAATTTATTATGTTATTGAAAATAAAACATACTGCGATGCATGAGAAACTGAGCTTATCACCTATATTTAAAAAAACGCAAAGTCTCTTTCCCTTGTGTATATTCAAAAAGGTACTCTGTTTTTTTTTTTTTTGAGTTCTGTTACAAAATAGAGAAGCTCTTTTTCAAGCAAAAAAATTGTACTGAATAAATGTTTTTTTCATTTTCAAAATAATTTTCTGTCAATTCGAATATTGAGATAGATTTATTTGTGTGCGAAAAAAAACTTCCTGATATTAAAAAAAATCTCCTGTTCCACTTAAAACAAAAACCATCAATTCCTTCACGTTTCCGCGAATAAATTTCATTAACGGAGTCTTTAAGGCTCAATCTAAAAATCTAGGACATAAACATAAGTAAAACTTTCTTCGAAAACAGTTTCAGATAATCGTCGCAAAAGAAACTGCGGAATAATCTGAAAGCGGAACGAAAAATCTTAAAATCTTTGGAATCAGTAAAGATCAAAAATGAGGAACAGCCGAACAAAACACGCCAATAAAGCCAAAAAAAAGAGGCTCAGCAGTGGTTCAGCTCGTAGCAAACGAGTAAGGAGATGGGGAGGAGCAAAAAACGCAAAGAGCGCGCGTCCAAAAGAGGAAACTAGTAGAAAAAAAGCACCTGCTGGGGCGACGTACGTTTCTCCCTTTTCCTTCTTCTTCTTCTTTTTTCGGTTGTTCTTCTGAAAGCACCAAACTGTTCAATGTATATCTCAGGTTTTTAACTTACATTATCGGCAATGGACACGATGACCCTTTCCTCATCGGTCTTCTGAAAAAAAAACATTCGGAAAAGCTTTTTGAAAACTAAAACAGCATCCTTAGAAAAGTTTTATGGGACAGTTGTCCCCATTTCTCACGTGATACATTAGGTCCCAAGTTTGATACGATAAAAATCACTTAAAACACCATGAGGCGCAACAGGCGAAACATTTTAACGACTTTAAAATTGGTCCCAGTTCGGCTGCGCCTATTTTGGGTTATTAGACTCCGAAATGGGTGTTGGAGAACGTGTTTGACAAGATCAGAAAGACTTCTCGTGAATTATAAACTCTTAAAACTAGTCGTTTCGAAATGACCAAAAAATATAGCGCCAAAGAGGATCGATAACGTGGGTGTCATTGATAAGGAAAAAAAAATTAAATATTCTTTCTGTGATAATCAATATTTCTTTTGCGTTGATGAAGCTCTATTGGAAAATTTTTTTATGAACCGTCGCAAAAATGCATGGAATCATAAAAAATTGGAAGTTTCTCTATTGCATCAAAAATTATTTTACAAAGTGAATCGTAACATGAAAAAGCAACGAATTCTCTATCTTTTCTCCATTTTCTTCGTCTTCAAAAACTTTTTCATAACCATTGAAAACACAATTTTACCAGTAGATCACAATGGTTCGAATCGCAAATTGTTGACTTATTTTTTTAGGAAAATAATTTTAAAAAAACGTCGTTCTATAGCCCGCGAAAAATCTTCTCAAAGATCTTGAGATTTCAAAAGTTCTTTCAAGCGTGAAAGCAAATGAACTTCATACGATGGAGTGAGCGAAAAGTAGTATGTCGAAGAAAAAAACCGAAAGAAAAATTAAAATGCACTTAGCAAAAACGGTATTCCAACAAAGTGAAGAAAGAGTTTGTTTGGTTTGCGTTTATATAAAAAGAGAATTATTATTCTACATTTTAAAAAAAAATCAAATCGAAATTTATGAAGTTTTTATGAATATAACTATTTTTTTTAGCTAACCGAAAATCATAAAATGTTAGCATTTCTAAAATCTAGTTGCATAATCATCAACAGGTAGATGCACCTAATTATTGATCACGTACCTCGGAAAAGTAAGAACTATTAAAAATGAAAGAAGAATAGCACAAACCAGAATCAGAAGAAGCTCGAAGCCCATGTCTCAACACGAAATGAGTCACTTTCTACGACCAAGGGGCGTATTTTTTGGGAACAAAACAATATTTTGATGACAATTCGATTGACGAGAGAGAAAAATCGATCGCGACACTAACTCACATTAAAGGGCTGCATAAACTGTGCAAAAGAAGCGTTGCCCATCTGGATCATTCTGACCCAGTCCGTGGTCATCATGACGGGCTGCGGCAGAAGCTGCTGCTCAGGACGCCTGACAAAGTCTGTCGGCGGATCGGCCACCAACGACATACGATGATTCGCTACAGGACTGCCCGATATCCAATTCTCTAACTTAGCACCAAGACGATATGGGCAAGACCGAAATTCAAGTTTTTTTTTCCGACATACGACATCTTTGAACGAGAAAAAACGATTTCAAAACAATGATGAGAGAAAATAAGTAGCAGTTAGAAAGGAAAAATTCTTTCTAGTGTTTATTTCGGCTTTTCATAAATTTTTTTAAAAACCACTGAAAGTGAGAATTCGTTATGGATTCGTTCTGGTCGGTTCCTGCGCGAAATCTCAGTGTTAAGAGATGAAAATTTTCGAAATTAGCTTTCGACAAATATTCAGTTCTACTACCAAAACAGCAAACTGGAAAAATAATATATTAAAAACAAAGAATTATCGCAGGTATTGAATATGAGAAAATTTGGAAAATAAGAAAAAAATCAGATTGTCAATGAATTGATGCATGACTTAGCCGTGACAGAGAGCATGAAGAGATAACTTGAAAAATTAAAAATAAAACGTGACATCATAAGATAGAAAAACATTTTCAAGAATGAGAAGAAGACTAGCCTCGAAATTTTTTTATTTTTATAATCTGTTCAAAATAACGCTTGTGATGGTATTTGAGCGGTTAAGGCATGTGTCAGTTAGGTCATCGCTTCCACAATGCAAAATTTTGAAAAAAAAATTGGTGGTAAAGTTGAGTCTTTTAAATATCAGAGAGCGTTTTAAGAAATGACTATAAGTATAAGCCCTGAAAGAGGACTTCTAGCTGACCTATTCCGTGGGGCTTGGAGTTATTTAGAGAGTTTGATCAAAGAGCAACATCAAAAATGAAAATAAGAATGAGTCCCGTAATGTCCGAAAGTATTTCATGACATTCCGAGATGAAGCCGAAATCTCGGGCTGCCGTGCCTTAGGTTATCACCGTGAGAGGCGAGGACAAGACAGGCCTCCATTTTCGGCAGTGATCGAAATTGATCAGGCGACCGACGACGACCGCCGGCAAAACGATGACAGCAGCAACAATGCACAGGCAACAACACAGACCCACGTACGCGCACACGGGAGTGGCGGCGAGAGAGAGTACCTCTTTCGCAATCCGTGTCGCTGTCCATTTCATTCTTCAGCGCGCCAATCTTCTATCTACCATCTTTCTCCCGCCACCTTGCCACACAGACTCTAACCATCAATAACTTTTTGCGACCTTTCCCGTTTTGTTTCGTCAAAAAGTGATGTTCTCCAACTAATTAATATTGGAGAAAAAAAAACGGAAACTATAACTCAAAAAATTCCTCTCGGATCAAACGAAATTTAAAAAAAAAAATTTTCAAAGTTATTAATCCTAATCTTTTTTTCCAAGTGAAAGGAAATTATAGTCCAGATAGTAAGTGGAAAACAAAGGGCAAGCTGGGAACTTGCATGCCCCGTGGAAAGAGTTGACCGACAGAAAGTTGAAAATAAAGAGAGCTAGATGACTTCATACTCAATAAAAAAATGCAAACTTTTTTTATGCCTATTCTAAAAAATGTCTACTATGACTAAGTAGTTTCACATTTCTCTTCAATTTCTTCAAAAAATTTTTTCAAAGAGGCTTCATGGGAAAAAATAAATGGGAAAGTTCTCACCTACACAAGATAAATATATAAATGTAAAAAATGTAGAAACGCGGAAAATTTAGTGCACTTGACCCTTGTATGGCTTAGAAATGAAAAAAACCGCCAAAAAAAAAAAATCCCTAGGTTGATCTCACAGTTGCGACAAGAGAGAATGAGTAGAGTCATTACGAAAACTCCAAATGAAGAAAAAACTAAATTATTTGCTAAACACCGTTGCAGCAAAATGTAAGCAAATAGCTTGAAAAAACTTTGTTTGAGTATGTTGACCTACGAGATTCGCGACAAAAATAAAAATTTCACGAAGCGAAAAGTGTCCTATATTTGAAGTTGATCGAACGGAAATGGAAATTATGATTTTATGTAGCAACTGACAAAAAAAAAGTTTTGGATCGATTACTATGGAAAGTTTTTAATTTTGCCTACACACTCAGAGTTCTAAAAGTACTAAACTTATTGGATTTTATGTGTGAATAGGCAAAAAAGAGCCTTCTGAAACTATCAGCAGACATTTTGAAAGAGAAGTTCAAGTTATCAGATGACCATTAACTTATCCTCATTTATATTCCAGAATGAGATCTCAGGAAAATAAATTTGAAAATCAAAAAGCCGGTTGTTCAAAACAAAAGATGGTTGTCATTGGACCTCATGGCAACTCGATACACAAAACAATATCAATGGAAAAATATTCAAATAATTACACAGAATCTTCATGAAACTCTGAAAAGCCATTGAATATACCATGTGCCTATCCGACTCTCCAGGACACAACTGCTCCTTGGCCTCTTCACAAATTGTCAGCTTTGGAACGAGTTCCGATCCAATCGGAGTCGTTTTGAAAGTAGTGAACTCGCCTCCAGAACCTTGAAAATGTCTCATTTCGGGCTATAAAATGGAATGAAATACTTTCAGAAGTGATCCTAACGCTATGATTGAGCAACTGAGATGTACTGGAAAACTTCAGCTGTTCTTCCTGAAAAGTTCTTATCAAAACTTCTGAAACATGAAATTCACGAATAGTGACAAACCTCGTTGCAAAATATATTTTTCTGGATCTCGTTCAACTTTTCAACGCCGTTTCTTTGAGAGCGGGGACCAAATCTGAAATTTAAAAAAAAAAATATATATACATGTTCCACGAGAAAAAAGAAAGGCTACCCGTCGTGTTGATCGTGCTCCACTGGGAACGTTTCTTCGTTTCCGCATTTGAACTTGTTCGCCGCTCCGTTTTCCACAGTTTCGAAGTTCTTTCTAGCTAACTGGTCGGTCCTTAATCAGAAAAATATAATAAAAATAAATAAAGTTTGGAGTTCCACTCACTGGTCAGCATCGATGTAGGCAAAATCCTTGTCAGGAACCGAGAACCTAAAAAAAAAAGATAATCGAAAAGCAGAAAAAATAAATTTACGGCTTATCACGACGATTTTTTGTCGGCGAGTTGGGCCGGTAGTTGTCGCGAACTTCTCTCAACAGTTTCCGCTTCTCGGGACTCAACTCACTATCTTTCTCCTATAAATTTGCTCACCAGTCGAGTAAAATAATTTCTTAAAAACGCATTCCCCCGGTGAATATTGCAGTTCAGGGAGATTCTCATTATCATTTCGCTTTTGTGATCAGCTTTTATATAATCGATTATGAGCCGCTTTTCCTCCATTATCGTAAGTTTTTCCCCCCGTTCACTTCAGAACTGATCATCTCATTCAGAAATTCAACATTAATTCGTTCTTGAATCGCTTGTTGTTCGTTTATGAACTTTAAAATTTGAACATTTTTTTCCTAACGCGAGATTGTGTCAAAAAATGGCAAAATTACGTTATCGTATAAGATACCTTCAGATGATATTCTGGGGTGCTAGCCTCCTTCATGACTTTCTCATAGTCATCAATGTCCATGGCAGACCAGATTTCGGAATCGTTAGAAGGAGACTGTAAAGAAAATATCCTTGAACAATAATAGATCTTGAGACTTACCGAATTTTTGAAATTGGGCTTCTTCTCAAGTTTTTTGACGAAGCTCATGAAAAGAAGCCCCAATCAAAGTAAGCGCTTTATCGCACTGAAAGTACATTATTTACTTTTCCGAATACCAGGGTAATAAAAAACAGGAGTTTAAATAACTCTTTTCAAGTTGCAAGTTTTCTATCCGAACTGACCAAACTTTGTAATATAGTGACTTAAGATCGAAAGAAGATTACTGAAACGATTAACTCGTGAAGCGTCAGAGAAACCCTACATAGCTGCTTTCACTCTCAAGAAATAAGAGTTATCATCTAATTGAAGAGAAACAATCTAGAAAATAAAAGAAAACGGTGGAACGAAAACATAGCGCTCAAATAAAACATATTGGGATTTTTCGAAACTTCGATGAGTTAAAATCGAATCTATTTCAAGAAAGGAAAAATGATAATGTAATCCTATTTTCAAATACCTGCCAAAGTATTTATAATCAAAAGAACTCAGAAAAAATGCAGAAATTCTAGCTAGAATGAAGAAGAAACTGTTGAAATTTTTTGAAAAATTTTGTTGGGCTGTCAATAAACATTCTCAGTAGAGCGCATAAAACATTTGTTGCAATTTTCGAAGTTTCTGGTTCTCTCTGACATGGGGCGCATGAAGATCGCAGCAACTCTTTCTCTGACTGTTTCGTCGTTATCTAGTTTTCTATCTTTCTGTCGTTCAGTTCACAGAATTCTAGAACTCCGTCTTTGAAAAAACTTTCAACTCAATTTGTCAGTCGCGCATGTTCAAGGCGGCCGGTCGTATTACGGTAGTCAAGCTAGGTTTTCGGGTAATAAAATGAAAACTTGTGTACTTTTTGTGACGTAACTTATCTTGTAACCTCGAGAAATAGGTCCATAACAAATTGCAGAAAAGGAGAAAAATTTAAAAAATTTCCTGGCTCCGAAACTGACAGCGCAATATTGGCCGGCCACCGGACGCCGTAGCACCGTCTTAATCATGCGTGCAGTTGTCTTGTTTATTTTATTTTGCAAGTTGTTCACACGCGCTACATCACGTAGCTATTTGGAACTTTAAAAAATTTTAAAGAGTTCTTTTGCGTTTCCTTTTTAAAGTTTCTTTGTAATTGTTGTTTTTTGCCGTTTCAATCGTCTTTGTTCGACCATAGTTTGTTTATCAGTCTTGTGAAAACGTTGAAAATTTAATTTACAGGAGCAAGTAATGTCAACACAAAATACGCTCGGTCGGCTGGTGGCGCCGGGAGACAAAATTCTGGATGAGATCGGAGAATATAGCTTGGGAAAAGGAATCTTCGAAGCCAACAAGAAAATATTTGCTTCAACCGCTGGCTACGTGAATATCTACGGCTACCGAGATGTAAGCTTCTTTTCAATTCGAAATTTATTGAGATCTTGTTAGTTCACAATTATGTACTCGGAATCAAGTGTTTTGAAAAAAACATTTTCTATTTAAGGAATCACACAAATTTATATAAACCCTCTTATCTCTTTAGATTAACTCCCCCTCAAAGGTTAATTTTCATTTAGAAAACTGATCGCTTGATTCAAGTTGTCGAAGTTCGAAGAAAAGAAAACCAAGCAGATAACGAGCTACTCCCTTTTGTTGGCGCTGTCGTGACCGCAAAAGTTCGCGCTATCGGATTAAGGTTAGCAATTACTTCTCATAGGCTTCTGTGAATTGAATTAGGTTCGCGAAGTGTGATATTCTAAGTGTTGGTGATAAAGTATACAAAAAGCGATATGCAGCTCTTCTTCCAAAAAAGAAATTGAAGGAAAACGAGCCGGAATTGGTATGAAATTTAATTATGTGAGCATTATAATTTTTTTTTTCTTCCAGACAGAGCCCTTTAAGAACTTCGTTAAGCCGAAAGATTTGATTCTGGCCAAGATCTGCGAGGATTCGAGCATCCGCGATAAGTTTGTCCTGACAATTGCGGAAGACCAACTAGGCGTGGTGAGGCCTTCACGTTTTGAATGATCAATAACCGATTTTCACAGGTTCTATGTCGTGGCAGATTTGGTGAGAACATGGAGATGATCGACTGGAAATTTGTCAGATCGACAAGAACAGGAAAATCAGAACCTCGGAAGTTGGCTATAGTCCCTCAATTATGTTTATTGAAGACTTCTTGATAATTTTCCTACATATTTAATTGTTATGTACATTTTTGTTACGAAATAAAAAAGCCGAACGATATCATATTCAGTTTTTATTTTCAGCCAACCTATCGAGATTTGGGCCACAAATTGACAAGTTAGTCAAGAAAGATAGCCGCAAAAATTTAATAGCATGCTTCAAATTTTATCGAGAAGTTGATACAAATTTCATGGACAATCGAGTGTTATTTCCTTTTTTTTTCGATGACTGAAAGTTGTTAACTTTATGGAAGAAACCAAAAATTCACTGAAATTCTTTTTTTTCATACCGATTATTTCTTGTTCCTATGAATTAGCATGTTGAAATCAAAGAAAATCAAATTTCATCTTACATTTCTGAATTAAAGACCTAGAACATAAGCTCGAAAAAACTTTCAAGTAGCTATAAAGCGCCTGTGGCCTCAACTTTGTTTTTTCTCTTCTCTCGGACTGGTTTTTCGCAAGTTTACCCAACCTTTTTTTTTCATATGCCCTCCAATCTAAAAAGATTTCGGTTTGCAACAGCAGGTCAAAGGCCGAAGTAATTGGGATTGATACGTCTCATGAAAGCGGCCGAGAGATGTGCCCAGGGACGACTACGTGAAATGTTAATGTTTGTCGCTTGCCAAAAAGAAAAAGAGCAGCATGATGTGTTGTGATGGCGGGTGAAGCTCTCCTATGCATGTAGAATATGGCGTTCCTGACAAAAAAGTTGCGGGAGCATCGGGCGATGAGGTTGGTTTTTTTTTTCATTTTTTTTTTATTTCATCAACTGGTTCCAAATGTATTCGTATTCTAGCGAACTAATAGGTTATCACACTTTTTACGGACAGTTTCGGTTTTTCTTTTGTCAACCAAACATTTTTGTTGAAGTAAGAATCATTCATCCTGGGCGAATCAAGAAATGGTCTCGCGATACTCCATGAGGTAAATCGCAGGGTCTGAAGGCTGAATGATACCTCGAGTAAAGCTCTGAGGACTTTGAGCGAAATGAGATAGATTTGAGATATACTCCCAAATACCTCCGAGACGGCTCAGATATAGAGCTTAAAGGTATGCTGGAGATCTCACGATGGACATATTATTCGATATTCGCAATCCATTCTGAGAGGTACCTTTGTGGACACATTATGGTACCTTCTCGATTCGCCTGTGTTAAAAAAATTGGAAACGCCGTAAATTTTCTTATAATCGAACCTATTTTAGAAATAAATATAAGTATAATTGATATACAACAAATCATTCAAGTCTATTGCCTGTTTCGCGCCAATCTGTCACATTTTTATTTCGCTTCCAGCTACAGAACCCTTCTTTTCGATGCGCACATCCTGTATCCTTATCCGCCTTTTGTTTAGCCTAAATCTTTCGTTATATCGGAGGCAAATGCACAGAGACAGGCCGCGCGCTACCCTTGCGAGGGAAGGGTTCTATAGCTCGGAAGAAAATTAAAATCGTTTCAAGCTATCGCGGAATGCGACTATGTTTTTCAAACGCGCCATTACGCGTGGAAACTGTAATCGGAAATACGAAAGTTTTTGATTAAGATGAATCAAAAAACTTAGGATGAAAGTTACGAATTCGTTTTGTTTTGCAGCCACCAGGCGGTTCATCTCGGTGTCGAGAAGAAGTATAACAGCGACATCGCCGCCGCCGCTAAATTGGCATCGATGCGATCGAGTAAATTAATATCAAAAAGCAAAGCTTTCATTTTTAAAAACATATTTCTGGCAAAATTTACGAGAACTCAGACCCACCAACGAAATAAAAATGATATTGAGGAATCGACGCTTTGCGAATCGTACCACTCGGCGAACTTCTCTGCATTCGGCAGCTTTATCCAACTAGTAAGAAACTTTGATCGCAGTTAGAATTTGAAAGTTTGGCGTTTCAGAGAACTCCTGCTATCAAGACACTCCTCAGGAAAGGTTAGTAAAAATTGAATTGCCGAAGTATACTTCAAGAATCAGTCACTAAAAAATTTTTCGTTCATTTAAGTTTCAATTTGGAAGCTCATGTGAAAAGTTCAATCGAGAGAAGGCTTTCCTGTGTTTCGAAAGGAAGTCTACTCTTTGCATGCTTTCTGACCAAAAAAGACGAAACTTTGCCTGAATAGCAGATTTATTTTTTCACATCTTAAAGTAGCTTGTACGTGCTCTATCAGTATTTTTCTCTTGAAAGAAAAAAAAACGGAACTTTTTGGAATTAAAGCAGCCAATAGTAAATGGAAACATGGGAAAAACTTTTTAAAAATTGTTATATGACGATTGGTTTGGTCTGAATTTCAAAAAATATGTTCTTTCTTTAAAAACGATCTTAAAAGTTTTTTATATGCTACAGCACCCAATATTTTGTTTTCACCTAACCAAATTTCGAATAAAGTATGTCTTCTAGATTTTGGTACGTTTTTTAAATCTCTTTTAAAAAAGTTAGAGTTCATTCATTAACTGCAGACATTGGAATAAAAAGTGTGTTTGAATCCAAGTGCAATAATAATGACTCAAAGCTCAGTTAGTACTCGTGACCTCTCGTAGAAAGCTTAACACTTATCTCTGCACTTTATGGGCGCCTGATTACTCTTGCAACTTGTAAATATTCTCGAGAAACGACATTCTACGGAAAGTAATGGGAGAACTCCTGATTGAGTCAACTTCGGTTAGAGAGCAGGTGAAAAGTTTCCACGACAAAACGCAGGTGCATGGGAAAAGTGCCCTGAGAAGTCAAGTGTTCGTCGGCCATTCTGAGTGAGACATTCTGAGCGATGTGGAAAGCGCGGATCTTGGACGCGGCGCGACGCGAGAAGCTTCGGGATCGTCGTAGGAATCTTCTGTCGAGGTATTTGAAGTCTTCGGAAGCTCTGAGTGTAATAATTTATGACAAATTGGCTTGCTTTTCAAAGCCACATCATATAATTTTTTTTTGACAATGTATATCACTCTACCTGTAAGTTATCTAAAATACATCTTAGGCACCTTTTGATGAGATATATTTTTTCCCTGAGTCTCAGTCTGCAGAACTCAAGTTTTTAGAGAAGACGCTTCATAGATGAACAAAGAAAAACTACTTTGATGGTTAAATCCAGAAGGTTCGAGGCGTCAGTTCCTTAGGCAGTGCCGCCAAGAGAAAAATTGAGAATTTCTATTAAATCATTAGAAAGCCTCTGAGTCTATCTCCGAAAATTAAAAAGTTCTTTAACAGAACCATTGTAAAGATCTGCTCTACTTTTTCAAAAAGCTGAAGTATGTCATGATTAGGCTATGTAAATGATCCTTTCTCCCAAATTTGTCGCTATTGATTGAAATCATGAATGTTTAAGCTGTTGGCTCACTTCTAAGAAGTCGATTTTCTTTTTTAAAATATCACTTCTTTTCTCATGTTAAGCATAAGATCACACTTATTCATTTATTCTTTCACCGTATCTTGTCAAGCTCTGGAAGTGGGGTCTTAACGATTATTTTCTTTGATTGACCGATCACGCCCTCCGGCGGCGCTTTAAAAGTGGTTCGATACGTTGGAACTTATTTTAAGGACTTAATGTTGCATATACTTCGTCAAGTCATTATGAAGACCTGGTAGCTATAAAATTATTGGGTCATGTCTACATTCTCATATTTCATTCCGTATCATCGATATTTAATGGTCAAAGACGATACGAAAGGAGGATATATTCGGTTTCTGTGATTTTTCGAAAGTTGAGGAACAAACCTGGAGAAAGACTTGACGGGAAAACGAATTGTTGCCAGGCACACGACATTATCCAAAGCTAAATTGCGGCCATTTCGGGCAAAAAGAGGGCAACCGGACGCTTCATATGCATTATAATGAGAAGGAGGCTTCCAATTTCTCATAATTTCGTCGCTTGTTTAAGAAAAGAAACGTCTTGAAAGTCGCTTATCTATCGATTTCACACGTGCCTCGAGCCCTCCCCTTAATTCTTTTCGTGTGCTTATCCCTTTGCTTTATGTGAATTGCGACTTGGACAAATCCGCGCGCCATATATATTTTTCGCCTTTTTCTTCTTTACTCATCAAGAAGCCTTTCAAGGCCAGCTAGTTCTTTTACCACTTGTTTGTCCAATTTTGAATAGAAGGACCATTTCTTCGACTAGAATGGAAAACTCAATTAGGATCGTACTAGGTATCTAGTCTTCCGTTGACTAATCACTCGCCTTTTAATTGGCTTACTTTTAGTTTTTCATTTTCGTTAAAATTTTGGCTTGAAAAAGTTATGAGGTCTGCTTGCCTCTAAGTACGAAAAATTGGAGAACTTTACAGTTATCTGAATAATTTTTGTAACTGCCTATTAACTTCATTTTTTGTCCGAAATTTCGAAGATATTCAGACTAACAGTACCTATTGAAGTCAGATATCAGCTTGTTTCCGTCGACCTTGCGACCTTGTTCCTGTGCTCTGATAGTTTTGACGCATCAGCCGTATCTTGGGAACCGTAGCCGGCGCTCAAATTTGCTCTGTTGGATGCGGGTTTCCTGAAGTGGTGAGATGAACTCGGCGGTGCTGCAAGGCTCGATCCTCGCCACTTCCCACGGCATCGCTCGTCTCAACAGACACAGAAATGCCAACGTCTTTCGGATTCCACCCGAGAACTGCCTTGCCAAGCATCTCCGCGGCTTTATACCTTCCGAGCCGTTCGTTCTTTTGTTGGCCAGAGAGAAAGTGGAAAAAGTAGTATTTGTAGTGTCCTTGAAAAAAAAAAGAAAAGTTTATTATAAGGCGGTCTTCTGAAAGTTATTCTTCGTTTCGTATCGAAATTTCTCAAAAAATGGGAAATGCTTCATTTAAAATTCACTGAATGTTAACCAATTGGTTTTCTGAGTTTTCAAAGAAATAATCTAAAGGATTTAGCGTCTTCGAAGAAATTAGCCACGGTAATTTGTTGCTAATTCAAAAAGCTTCAAAAAGTAGATGGTATTTACTATTCTGGTTTCAGAAGTACAAGTGGGACTCCTGATAGACGCTCCAGTGACGAGGAAATCCTCGGCGCCGAGAGAAAATGCGAAGTTGGACTTTTTTTTTCAAATTTAAATGTAAAAAAAACTAATTCAGATTTTCATTGGCGATGTGCCGAGCAACGACAGCTTTGTGAGAATTAACGTTGGCGGTCAGAGGTTTATGCTGCGGAAGGAAACTATCTTACGACGCGGCGTCGGTATGGCCTGAATTCAGTCTGAACCTTACCATTTGCATTTCTCCGAAAATCAATAAATAATTATTTTGTTGTTTTCGCCATATACTTGATCAACTAGGCAGTGAACAAAAACTTTTAAATCTTGAGTTTCATCCGTATAGTCGTCGCAAGAGTTCAGAGTTTTGGAATGTAGTTGTAGCTGGAGCCCGGCTCTAGGTGGAAGCATTAGAATGAGACCAGAAGAGTGATGACTCTACAGAGAATAAAATGAAAAGTTTTAAGTTAAAAAAAAGTTCCAATTCTGTCAAAACACAAAAGGAAAAGTTCAGGACGACTTGTGCAGTTGGTGAATCAGGAAGTAGATGCTCACAGCGAGGCCGACGCCTACTTTCGGTCCAGCAATGAATATTACTTCGAAAGAGCCCCCGCTCTCTTTCACATCATCTATCAGTTCTACATTACAGGTATCGACCCCATCAAGATTTTCGAGAACTTTCTGCAGGTCAAATCCACCAACCTTCACACCTGTGCCCCATGGACATAGTAGAGGAGCTGGACTACTGGCAAATCGTCTCGGAGCAGTATCTCGCCGAATGTTGTTGCGCAGACATTGCAGTAGGTCGTCCAGCTCTTCTCAGATGAATGAGGACTCAGATAAAGGAAGAGAACGACGTCGACGAAGTCGTCAAGCCGAATCTGTTCAAGACGTTACGGTTTGGCAACATCCGCAAGCAGATCTGGGATATTATCGAAGAACCGGCAAGGTTTGTAGAAGTTGAATAAAATTAAAGTATGAAACATTTGAACAGTTCTGGAAAAGCTCAAGTGTTTGCGGCACTGAGCGTCCTCTTCGTTTTGGTGTCCATCTCAGGACTTGTTCTGGGATCTCTGCCTGAGCTCCAGGTTCCTCTTCACTCCTCGGAAAACTCAACTGGTACGACCCTATGATTATGGCCAATTTTCCGAGAAATTGTACATAACGCATGCCAAAGAAAGCTCGATATTTTGTTTTGGGAATCGAAATTTTCTTTATGTTTTTTTCATTTATTTATTTTTTGTTCAAGAGGACTTGTTCCAGGCTATACCGTACCACACTCAAATAAAAGAACCGTGAAATTTTCTACAGAAATCGTGGAAATGGAGCCTCTTCCCATAATAGGCTACGTCGAATACGTTTGTATCGTTTGGTTCACTTTTGAATACGGTTTTTTATTTTCGTATTTTTTATTTTCATTGGGGACAAGTTCAGGGATGAAGATGCTGGTGAGCGCAGAACGACAGAAGACGTTCATGCAGTTGCTGAACATCATCGACTTGCTGGCGATTCTGCCGTTCATCATCGAGATGATGCTCCTGGTGTTCGGCGTGAGCACGGAGCAGCTGCGCGATCTCAAAGGAGCCTTTCTCGTGATCAGAATTCTGCGTGTCTTGCGGGTCATCCGTGTTCTCAAGCTCGGTCGCTACAGTAGCGGTCTTCAGATGTTCGGCAAAACCCTCAAGGTCTCACTTCTACTCGAAAATTTTGAGAGCAGATTTTAGGCCTCATTTCGACAGCTCGGCATGATGGCAATGGTCGTTATGACTGGCGTCATTTTCTTCAGCACTTTAGTTTATTTCCTTGAAAAGGTTGGCTTCGATTCTTGTTTTTAAAATTCATTTTATCATATTGTATCTCTTTAAAAAAAATGTGTCTCTTTTTTTTTACCTCAACGAGAAAAATCGAATTTCTTTTTTTGAGAAGAATCTTAGAGTTTTCAATTGATTAGACTCCCGGGAACTTTTTGAAGAGGGTATCGCTGTTTTGAATACATTTTGAGTTGTATTATTAAATGAGGCTTTTCTTTCTTTTTTAGGACGAGCCTAACTCGAAGTTTCACTCGATACCGGCTGCTTGTTGGTGGTAAGTTGAAATTTAAATCTTCTCCGGAAAAATTAGTTTGCAGGTGCATCGTAACTATGACGACCGTAGGTAAGTGCAACGCCGTTTTTGACTTGGGAAATTCGGATTTTCAGGCTACGGGGACCTTACTCCCATCACTGTTCGTAAGTTTTTCATATTCTCGAGGAAAAAGGGCCATGGGAAAATAAAGAGGTTTTTAGCTGGGAAACTGGTGGCAACTGGGGCGATCGCCTGCGGCGTCTTGGTCCTCGCCTTGCCAATCACAATTATCGTGCGTTTTTCTAGTAAACCTTCGAGTCGCTCCAAAACTCTTGCTTTATTTGCACGTTTCTGTTAAAATGGCATCCGTTCAAATTGAAACTTCAGGCTCAAGTAGCATTCACGATAAAATCAACAAGAAAAGTGAGCATTCCCACACTTGATTGCTTCACACGCACCTTAGTTGCTCTTGCGAAAGATATTTTTGATATTTTAATTTTGCCACACTTGGACTTTGAATTTTTTTCGCTGCAACATCGTGGGAAAAAAATTCTTAATAAATTATGAATCAAAATCAACTGGGAAAGTGAGTAGAGAAGAATGACTTTCTTGTTTCTGCAGTGATGGCTCAGGTAAAGTCGGGAAAAAAAAATAAAAAAACTCTTTTCCAATTCAGAAAATTCTCCACAAGGATAGCGCGTTTTTTTTTTCAGGAAAAAATGAGGAGACCACAGAAAATTCATTGATTTCCGACTCTGCCTATGAGCATTTTTATTTACTTTTCAAATAATATGGTTTGATCGTCTGTTGCTCATTTTTTGAAACAGATCTGACTTGCTGATAATTTAAGGTGGACAACTTCATGAAAGTAGCGGAAGGGGAACGTCCACACGGAGGTGGTCCCGCTCCCAGAGTTCGCACCTCTGGACTCTACAGCAGCCGGTACCATTAACAGATCACTTATGGACACTCTAGTAGAAGATTTTCAGAGAAACACCGCAGTCGGAACCTTTGGCCCCGGGTACGGTCGCGCCTTGCTGATTTTTCTTCTTTCTCATTATTTTCTTTACAAAAATGAACTTACGAGATCAGAGTGGTGGTGAAAAAGAAAAAAAGCCTCAATAATTTCTCTGCTTTGAACTTTTTCCAAGTTTGACAAACTGATAAGTTTTTTTTTTGCAAAAACGAATAAAAAAACCTTCGAGAATCTAAAAATGTATGACAGTAAGAGTTTGCTATGCGATCGCTCCAGGCTCCTGTACTTCTCTTTTTCACTATTCTACAAATAATATTGTCTGATCGCCCATTGCATTACTCTATTGCGTTAGGGAATTGCATAGGTCGTCGACGCGCCTCATGAGCTCAAGAAACCTTGATAACCATTCTCGTTGTTGTCAATTGTTTGCAAAAACTTTCAAGGATTATATAAATTTTACAATTTTTAAGAAGAGAAAATGTACATGAGTCTCAGTATGTAGTCTTATCCGGCTTATTTGACCACATTTGGAACGGCATCAAGTAATCATCAACTTCGACGTGCTCCAGTTTCCTGAAGATATATATGATGAAGTTCGCTTCAGCTCAACTTCCAACTTCATTTGGAAGTTTTATCATTCAGGAAAAAGGAACAAAAAGCAAAGAACTGATAAAAAATTCTTATCAAAGACGAGGAATACCTGAGATCATCCGACACAGGGTTCTTGAGAAAGTCGTAGAAGGCCTTATCATCGAAACCAATCGCAGCCGCCTGTAAATTAATCATTTTTTGTTTTTGATTCTTGTGAACCTACTGTAGAAACGATGGAATCTGGATCAAACTTACTATTTTCCATATTTCAAGAATATATATTTTGAATAGAGGTTCGTGAAGATACCTGTTCGGCGGATGCAGCGTAGTAGATGGCATCAAAACGAGCCCAAAGACAGGCTCCCATGCACATCGGACAAGGATAGCAGGATGTATAAAGAACGCATCCCGACAGATCAAAAGTTCCTTAAAACTTTCTAATAAAAAATCGACTTGATAATTTTATTTTCTCAATAAAGAAAACACAAATAAAGAAAACAAACCAAGTTTCTTGCAACAATTGCGGATAGCGGTAACTTCTGCGTGCATTGTTGGATCGTTGGTTACAACAACCTGAATTCGAAATCTCACTTTTTTCAATCAAAGACAGGAAAATATGAGTCAGCGCCATCACTCAACAGGGAATATTGATACACTTAAAGCACACGTTTTTAAACATTATCCTAAATTCATCTCTTTATATATATAAAATTTTTGTTGGCTGCAGACGTACAGAAAGGCTTGAAAGAACTAAAAAAAAAATCTAAAAACGTCATATGGCCTCGGGGTTCTGACTAATTCAGTCCATGGCTCTATTAAACCCAACCAATACATTTTGAAGAAAATAAATCGTGGGCTAGACGTGATGCATTCATACAGTATACTCAAGAATCAAATAGGTCAATGAAAAATTAGAATAAATTTTACAAACGTATAAAAGTGATAATCTAGAAAAATAAAAAAAAATGAAGTAATATACCATGTTGTGGCCCGTGGCGATGACTTTTCCGTCCTTGACGACGACGGCTCCGAAAGGACCGCCGTCGCCACTCAAAACTCCTCGACAAGCTTCATCGAGCGCCGTTCGCATGTGTTCTAGACCTGAAAACATCCAAAATTACAGTTTCCCTTATATTACAAAGAAAAACTCACTGATTTCTTGAACGTCCATTGGTAATGAAAACGGGAAAGAGGAAAATACGACGTTTAGACTGAAAGTCTCTCCTTTTTAAGTTTTCCTCTTAGAGAACCTTATCTTTCCACCCACTCGACTTGGTGATTATCTTTTCTCCACTAGACAATGAAAGTGTTTGAAGAACCACGTGCTCCACAAAAAGTGCACAAATATATCATAATATTCGAAAAAATGAAATGAAATAATCAAATGTGTTTGTATGAAGTCTAACTGGAGCTCGAACCCTGAAATGTGTTGGAAACGCTGATAAAACGTTTTTGTTGCTAACAAATCAACTTTTTTATTGAAACAACAGCAAGTAAAACGGATTTGGAGCGAAATCAGCGATTTCCAGGCTCATTGAAATATCCTTTGATTTCGTTTCTTGCTTCCGCAGCTATTTCTTGGAGCCTGAAAAGTCCATAAAAGATAGATGAATACTTTTCAAGCAAACTGTTGTTCAAGTTCCGAGACGCGTTGTTCAAGAGATCGCAACCTATTTTCAAGATAACGCAAAGTATCGGCAACTGAAAAAAATCGTATTGGAATTTCAAATTTATGAACTGACCATTGCAGTTCGAAGAAGAACGTGAAGTCGTTGATTCATCTGAAGATTTCGAATTCAACTTTTATACTTGATTCAAAATACCAGAGCTGTAGGAGTAGCGCCTTTGCCTAGTTCTATCCCGACTGTAGCGGGTTCTTGATTCTTGCCTCCGAGAACGACGGTGCGACCTGCGCGAGCGACTTTCGTGGCGGCTCCTAGGCGAATACGCACTTCCAGATCGAGTTGAACGAGGCGAATGAGTTCTCGAATGGTCGCGAGACCAGCTTCCGTACGAGCAAGAAGAATAATCGCATGAACGACTACGAGATCGACTGCGGCTTTCAGAGTGAGTGTTGTGAGTTAAGGGATGATCAACTGCTGAAAAGAATATATTTAAGAACCGACAACAAACTCTCTAACCGTTTATGGGTACCAAAGTGTAGCCGACAGGAACATAGATCCAGTTTTGCTGGTTGGGCACGTAATAAGACATTCTTGGCTTGCTGAATTCCTGTAATGAATTGTCTCAGAATAAAATTTGACGCGATTTTTAAAATTTGAACGGATATATACAGATAAATGACGTGAAAATTTTAAGAAGTTCAAGCAGGAGGAAGTTTTTAACAAAACGTAAAATAAGAAGGATCTTTTGATAGTTTTAAAAATAGAAAAATATTAAAAATTACTGTAGCTTTATGTATTGCTCGGTGCAAGCATACGCTTGCGTACCATATGCAAAACACCCTCAGCGCGCGTTTGGCTTCACTTTCTTTCATTTTTTTTAAATTTTACCTTTTAAAAAAGTTTTTTTGTATTTTTGTAGTTGCGGTTTTTACTATAATCATTTTATTATTATTATTATCAGCATACGCTCATTATTTTAATGAAAAGTAGGCGCTTCTATATCATGAGCGAAAATCCGAAATTTTTCTCAGAAACCGTATCTGTTTTCTTTTTTTTTTGTTGTTGTTTTTTATGCTTTACTTTTTAATTTATCAATTTCAGGAAAAATGAGTGCTGAAAAAGAAAAAGACATAGGATGGATGTACGAAGGCGCAAAGTCTCATGTAAATCGGGAAGACTATTTGATGGGAAAGAAGGTTCCATTTGAGGATTTTGAGAAAATTGCACATTTTTTTTCCAGGTTGACAAAAACTTCGAGAAATATTCTGATGTTGTAAATGCTGAAAAAGCTGAGGTTATAGAAACAATTGCTCAAACAAGGTACAAGAATAATTAAAGATTAGTAGTCATGATTTCGCAGAATAGTTTACAATCCCTCGTCAACCTCGACGTCCAAAACTTCTTTCTTGCAAAAAGACATTATCAAAACAGAAGATCCGTTTGTTGCTGTCAAGGTTTCAAAATGCACGTTTCATGATTTTCAATATATTCTTTAGATTCGCGAAGAAAAGAAACGAAGAGAGATGATGGAAAATCCATTAGTAAAGCTCAAGTTTCAAAAGATGATCAAAGAGATGATGACGGATAAAGAGAAGAAAAAGAAAAAGAAGAAATCTAAGAAGAAGGAAAAGTCGAAAAAAGAAGATGGTCGCAAAGAAAAGGTAATAAGTCAGTCAACGTGAAATATTCTTGTTTTAGAAAAAGAGGTCAAGAAGCTCTTCCAGCTCTTCGGAAAATGATACAGATGAAGATGACAGGAAAAAAGTTTTAATTTCTTTCTTTTTCGATCGTGCCAAAACTTTTCTTTTTCAGAAGTCGAGACGTATTTCAACGTCGCAATCCAAGTCTTCAGTCAGTATCTTTTTTTTTCTGTCAATGAAAAACTCGTTCATTCAGAAAAAGGGTGCCCGATCGCGAAGTTCTTCTAGAAGTATTGTGAGCGAAGATGATAGAAAAAATGTTTTTTTTTTGTTGATCCGTGTAATTTTCATGTTCCTTTTTCAGCGTTCGAGAGGAGATCGTAGCATATTCTCTTCGCGAAAAGACAAAAAGTCGGAGGTTTGTTTTTTTTTCCCCCTTTTGTCTTGAGAAATTTTTTCTAGAAGGATAAGCGCAGAAGCAGAATTTCGAGAGATCGATCTTCTTCTGGTGAAGAAGCGGAAAAGCACAGAAGGAGAGCGGTAGCCACTCTTTCGATATTCTGGACTGAGATTTTCATTCCAGAAACATTCGCCTTCGCCTAAAAGAAGGAGAAGAAACTCTTCAACAGAAAAAAGAGGCGATAGAAGGTTCGATTCACGTGTTTTCAAGCTCATCAACAATCTTTTTCAGCTCTCGTTCACACACAGTCAGTAGGAAACAGGGGGATTCTGAAAAGGATCGACATCACAAAAGGTTATCCTAATTCTATGAAGATCTTCGTTAAATTTTTTTGGAAAGGAACAGAAGTTCATTAAAACAATAGGGAGATAAACTAGACATTCCAGTTTTTTTCTCATTTTCAACTTTTTTTCGAAAAGAAACTATTCGTCTTTTATCACTGTCAATTTCTTAAAATGCAAATGTAATGAATATTTTATATAAATTAGAGGAACTTGTATTAGCTATTTAAAACGTTCACTCAAAGAAATAAAAAAATTCTTTTTTTCATCTCGATCCTCCAATCCGGTGGGATAACATTAAAAACAGATCATTTTTAGAAAAAGCCTCCGTTTTTGAATCTTTCGAGTATTTCAAATATTTTTGATCCAGAGAATCCTCCTCGTCGGATGAAGAACCAGAAACTTCTCGTCGCTTCGATTCTCACATTCCCGCCCATTTGTTGTCAAAGGTTTGTTTTTTTGTTTCATAACATTTTTAATTCTTTCAAAGTTTTGACTGTTCGCAAAGGCATGTCATTCGTTTGAAAAACAAAAAAAGCGTTGAGAAATGTTTCAAATTCAGACATTTTAATTTTTTTCAAATTTCTCATAGAAACGAACCGAAAAAAACATAGTAAAAAAACTTTTTTTATTTGACAAAAAAATATTTTTTTATTGATTTTATCTTTCCATATTTTTCCCTAAGTTGATTTACTTACCATCGAACTTTTTTTAATTTAGAAAAAAATATTAATTTTTTTAATATGTCTTAGGGAGAAGACGGTCATTCCAAAAAAGAGGACGCAGAAGAGAAACCCAGAAATTACGGTTTGATTGAGGTGAGAATTAATTTTCATAAGTGAAAAGCGAAAATTTTTAGCTAAAATCAAGAACTGACAAAGAAAAAGAGAGAGACGAAAAAAGCGAAGAAAAGTCGAATCCATATACTTTTGCACGGTTACCGGGATCCCGTGCAGCTCGCATCAATCAACCAAAACAGGCAAGAAAAAAATCTTTTTCACTTTGTTTTACTCTGAAAAAAACCTTTTAAAGCGCTAGAAAAATTGAAGCGCCTAATTTCATTTTTTTTTAATGATTTTTTTTAAAACACCATGTTCATTGTTTGCCTTTATATATATATTTTTTTTTCTTTTTTTGTGAAGTGAATTTCTTATTCCTCTGGTACTAAATATCGAAAAAAGCCAGAAATTATTTCCCGATTCTCAATCTGAATCTTTCCGAATTTCAGGAAGTACCAGAGAAAAGGAAGCTGACCGAAGAGGAAAAACAGCGAAAACTGCGGGAAATGCAGGCAAACGCCGAATGGAGAGACGAAACTCGGAGCCGGAACATCAGCAAGGCCAAAAAGGACGACGAAGAAGAGGACGAGGAAGCCGCGACCGCCAAGGCTCCTTCTTTCATCAGGTTCTTTATTCACTTTTCATTCGAACCAAGTTAATGTACAGAAATCGCTTCCGTATCTTCGAAATTACACGCTCCCAGGTTAAAAATATACTACGGGGTTCGGCAAGATAAACAGGAGAATTAATCGCTTAAAAATTACAAGCCTTTAGTTTTAATATCTATGCTATAAAAAATTAAAAGTTGAAAAAGAAGTTTCTCCATGATTTTTCATTTACAATTTTTGAAAAAAGTAATCTCAACATTCCAGGGCTCAAATCAACAGCGCTTGTGACGACTTGTCAGTTGAAAAAAGGCTACAGAGCAGCAAAGGCAGCGTCCAACGATCACACGGTTACATGGAGAAAAATTTCGCACGCAAGTAATTTATTTTTTGTTTTTCGTTTCTCGTTTTCAGTGATGAGCATAAGATGAATCGAATTAATCGTTGTATTGGTCGCAAGAATTTTCAAAGTGAGAGATCATTATTAGTAACGGTAAGATGTGGGCGAGTGGGGATGAGCTTCGAAAGTCATGGCTTCTCCTCGAGATTCGATTGTTGTTGGTGTTGGTGTTGATACTGCGCCATCTGAAATCGTTCAGAGATTGAGTGGTATTTTGAGGGAACCGGCGAAAGTCAAGGACTGTTCAAACTCGCTACGGCGACATTTCTCAACTTTTTCCCACTAAAAATATTTTGTTTTTTTTAACATTTTTATCTTTAAACATAATTTTAATTTCAATTTTTCAATGAAAATCCTCTTGAACCGGTTAAATATGCAATCGAAAAACTCAGTTTCCACCAGGAAACATTTTGAAAAAAATTTTGTAAAATATGGAAAACTTGCATTCTTTTTTCAATAGCGCATTCAGGTCTTGTAAGAGAAAATTCAACAGAAAAAAAAATAATTCTTCGTTGTAGGAGAAAAAGTTTTAACTTTAGCTAAACATTAACAACTGACCAGTTGAGGATTGTAGGCGCTAAGGTCGAAGGCAGAACTCATTCCCATGTGAGAAAGGTCTTGGCCTGGCAGCATTCCTGGGTAGGGATTCAGGATGCCCGCAGAAGCTCCAGGAAGAATTCCATACGACGCTGCCATGCCTAGAAAAACTAAAGTTTTTCAAAATTTCGCAGAAATGACTGTACCTCCAAGGCCATGGGCTGCAGCTTTTTTGGCGGCGTACATGTTGGCTTCCTCCTGAGCCTTGGCGATGTTCTTCTTGTACCTGATCCGTTTGTTTCCGAACCAATTGGACACCTTCAATCATGTTCTTTCTTGGAACAGTAGTTAGACAAATAAAGCTTTAAAAAATAAGCTGCCACAAGGAAGTTCATTCCACTTTACGGCAGGAAATTTCTTGTAAATTGGCTAGTATACTTTGATGTACCAAAATGAACACTCTTCAAGTACAAAACTCTTTCCTAATTTTCGAGAAATAAGTGCTCAAAACCCAAAAAAAGCCTTTTTATTTTTGTTTTTCGGAAATTAGAAAGTTGTGCAGTTCAATAATTACAGGATCCTATTCTAAAACTTCAAAAAGCATTCTGGCCAGTTTTAACGAGATTCTCAACCGCAAAATAAATTCACTGTCAGGGAAGCAAAACAAAACACGGGCGGACCTAGTAAAAGAAGTTACCTGAGAGACAGTTATGTTGCACTGTCGGGCGAGCTCCTCCTTGGCTTCTTCGGAAGGATACGGATTGCTCAAGTGCGAATAGAAGTACTCGTTGAGCACTTCGGTCGCTTGCTTGGAAAAGTTTCGGCGCTTACGTCTATAATATGTCCATTCAAAGACGAAAAAAAATACTTTTATCTCACCTAGCATCTAAAAATCGGCTTCTCAAAATCATGACAGCTTCACAAGTGGACTGCTTCAGTTGCACTTGGATACCACTAAACTTCTTCTGAATGATGCAGACCATTCTTTCAATTTCCTGAAGAACGACTCCAACTTGAGATGAAACTAGTAATGGTTCCTCACCTTATGGTTGATCGGCCTCAAGATGGACTGATCTTTGAGCAGGGACCTGACGTGTTGGGTGAACTCTGCGCAGGCCTGGAAATTCATGAGTTATGGAATTTTGATGTTGGGAATTGGCTGACGTCTTCATATTTCCGGAGCTCCTCGTTGTAGACCTGCCTGATGTGGAGCAGCTTCTGTCGATAGTCGGCCTGGTCTCCGCCGCTCGCGTCTCCTGCCAAAGGAACCCCTTTATCAGGTCCGGCGACGCCTTCTGCCACCTTCAATGTCAGTTGTTACAGAGGAATAAAATATTAAAGTAAACCCATGAAATTTCTCGAACCGAAATCTTCAATAACTTCAACGCCTTGTGCACTATGCTCACTCGGTTTACTAGGTTCGAAAAACTATTTATAATCTTGACAAATTTAGTGTCGCTCGTTCGCCAAAAACTGTCTGATTTCTCTGCTCTCCCTTTTTTTTTACTTGCTGTTTCATGTTTTTATTACCTCGCCGGTAAAAAAAGAAAAAGAAAAAAAGCAAATCAGAATGTTTCGACTCGCGGCGAATGTGCAGAGTTAGCAATTACCAATTTTTTTAAAAATTAAAACTCGAAATTATCCTATCTTTCAAAGTCCATAATCATAATTCTTCAATCGATCGATGTAGCTTTAATTGAAAAAGTGAACGAATATAATTTTACCAAAGTTTTGACAGCTCAGTATACTCTTTTTTTTTCACTCATCAGACATTTTATCAAAAAACTGGAATTGAAAAAGAAGATATTTCTCAATAGATGGTGAACTACATATCGTATTAGGTGTCTTCCAGTTTGATTTGAACCTTAATTTTAAGGATAATGATAAATATGAGTTACCAGCATGTTGTCTAGTCGCATCAACTGAGGGTCTTCCGGAGTTTCGTCAACACCTGTTCGAATTGACAAAGCTGAAAAAAATTTTCAAAACTTTAAACTCGAAAAAGTCAACTCACATGTTTTTTCTTTGACTTCGCATAGAACATTGAATAAAGCGGGACGCATTGGATGGCAGGAAAGGGCTTGTTTTCTGAAATTAGAATAATCAGAAAAATGATATCCATGGTTTCGAGGTACTTCTGATTATCGATGTCTTCCAGCGTTTGCCCATTAATTTTCATAACCTCCGCCAGAAGGTCATTGAGACTAGTCAGGTTGGTCCCCACCATCTGAATCAGAAAAAATATTAGAAAAACGAAAAAGCGAAATGAAATTTCCCGAAAAATCAGCCGATACATTTTAAAAGGAGGAGAAAATGCTAATAAAAATTCAGTGATATTTTTTTTAAGTTTTGCTCTCAACAGTCTCAGCCTTCGGAGACTACAAAAATATTTTTCCATCAAATTATTCATGAAAAAAGGCTGAGTTAGTGTTACAGCTATAACGAACTAACAAGACAAAGCAAACGATTGTATTTCTATTAATGTACTACCATAAATCGTCCTCAGGGATGTTGTTTCAAGTGCTGCATTGAAATGTTTTTCTTTTCGCGAGACGCAACCTTTCGTGCAACGGTCAGCAAACAAAGAACAGAAAAAGCGCTGGCGCACGCGGAAACAAATTAGATAAAAGGCTTAAGGGGGTATGAATTTCAGCGGAATGAGGGAGAGACAATGTGATCGGCGCGACGCGGCTACGCGGAACGGCCCAAATCGATGACCTCGGACCAAGGAGCGGCGCGTCTGGCCCGTTCCCGCTGCTCCAGTAGATCCCAACGGCAGATCAAGTCGTTGATTCTGTCGAGTTCGGCATAAACACTTTAAGTTCAATTTTTTTTTTGTAAACTCGAAATTTTTTCAAGGTTAAAAAATTTTATTATTGCTTTCCTCATTCCGGTTTTGACACCTGTAAGCAAGCTCAAAAAAACGAGTTCGACCTTATTTAGTAGAGCCTAATCGCATATTATATCGCAACTAATATGATTGTTTCGAATTTTGATGATTGTAGTTTATACAATGAGAGAATAGGATTTTTTTTTTCCTTTTTTCAATTGTTTGATTTTTCTTGGAATAAAAAACCGAGTTGAAAGTTGTGTTCAAAGAAATTCGCGAGAATGAAAATAACCTCCGGACAATAAAGAAGGTAATTGAATTTCGAAAAAACCAGAGATATGTTAGAGTTTCGTGAAATATCTTTGACCACGGCATTAGAATTTCAAAAGCGTATCTCGAAAAGTTCATGAGAGACACACTGCTTAAGAAATTCAGTTCTCTGATTATCTGAAGCACTAAGCCACGCAGGAATGACTGAACGCGTCACGGCTGCGAAGCGGTTGTCAGAATATAAGTTTTAGTGAGAATTCAAATGCTAGCTTTGAATTCATAAATGGAACCGCAATGCGACCGAAACGCGCAGAACTTTTTTTTTGCTCTGTATATATATTTTTTCTTTTTTTTTCCGATTATTTACCGACGAAATTTCAATAAAAATTTATTGAGCTAGAGCTAAAACCCGTACAGACTTGATTTGATATATTGCTTTCTTCCGATATGCTCCTCAGTATTTGTCGTTGAAGTACTCGAAACGGTCAAACTGCAAAAAAAAAAAAACAGAAGAGTCAGAAAAGGCGATTCAGCCAAGTCAACCTCATAGTGTTCGTCAAAAGAACGCGTGTCATCGTCGACGTCCCCGGCTTGGACTTCGTACTCGTTGGGCTCCAAATAATCGATGGGCGTGAACTTAAAATTCCCTTTACTGCTCAACATGAGAAGATTTTTGGGAACTTATGTTCCTTTGGTTTTTTTTTCTCGAATATTTGCATTTACTCCATGAGTTTCAAGACTACCTTTCAAAACGAAGGAGCTGAAAGGATCTCCTACAATCAAAAATGATCATACAATCGATGCAAAACTAACAGTTCTCGTGTTATGATCTTCTTATTTTTTTTTATAGTTTAGTGAAGCTTTCCGAAAAAGCAAGTCATTTGACTCTAGAGTTCATCTCCTCACTATAGACACACAACCACGACTTTTTGCAAATAAACGGGGATTTGATTCAAAAAGAAGCACCTTTCTGTCTTCGACGTCTCGAAATGACAGATTCTGAAAGAAGGGATGAGCGTGGAAGACGGTGAAAGAGCACAGTCTGTGTTGGAGCGGAACCGCCAGAATCTGAAAAACAGGCTCAACGTTTATTTCAACTTTTGATAGACCCTGTCCAAAAGGTTGCCGAATTGTTTGCTGCACCCGATGGGCGTACTGTAGTCGATGAATCTGAATGAAACAAGGTTATGGGAGTAACAAAAATGATCTCACTTCAAATCTGCATGATGTGCGGCCTCTGCATTGGGATATGGGTAGATCCCAGTGAAAAGGACGTGCAAAAGGACTCCGAGGGACCACCAGTCCACGTAGTTGGAGTAAGGCCGACCGGAAGCCACATCCGGAGACATGTACTGAAGTTTATACGACTAACGAATAAATCAACTTTACCAAAAGTCAATATTACATATCACTTTGAAGTTTTTTTCTCTAGCGCAAAATAAAGATTGAAGAGCTCCAAAAAAAAGTTTCGTCTTAAATTGATTTATTTCAGGTCAACTGTTTTTGTTGAAAAAAACTCGACAAAACAGATGACACAAAAATAGATAAAATGCTGAAAATGTCGAAAAAGACGCTGAAAGAAAAATAGTACCTTGTATTTTGTTACTAAGGTCTCTAAAAACTTCTACCCAGGCTTCAAAAACATAAAAACCGACTTACCAGTTAGGTGAGTTATTTTTATCTGCAAATTAAAAACTATTCAGATGGATACCTGTAAGGTTCCACATATTGTGTTGGTGTAAGCGCCGTTCCGAAGCTTTTTCGCCAACCCGAAATCGATGAGCAAAACGTGGCCTGATGCGTCGAGAACTATGTTCTCCAGCTTGACGTCGCGGTAGATGACGTCGTGGCGATGTAGAAAGTCTGAGACTTTCTTCAGACTTCGTTAAAAAGTTTCTCTCACCCAAAGCGCAGGCAAGCTCGGAAGCAATGAGACGAATGGCGTTTTCGCTGAAAGATCCGCGATCTCGCCACACCGAGAATAAGTCGCCGATGCTTCCCACGGGGTACTGTAGGACTGAGAAGAGTTTGGACCTCGTCTGCCATGTCGAATATATGCGAGCCACAAACACGTGGCTTGGTAGATGCCTCTGAAAAGAAAAATTCGAATAGGGAATTAGTTACTATTGTCATGATAATTTAAAGTTGATTTACAATTGAATTTTCCAACCTTGGAAAAACCCTGACTTTTTTTCATGATAAAAATGATAAAAATCAAATATTTTCAGTGATTTTTTTCTCATTTTTTTCATGTTTACCAGAGCTTTGAACAAAGAGAAATTTTTGATCGAAGCTTCAGCGTAAAACTTTGTCTTCTTTCGTCGATTTTTTTCTTACTCTAACACATTTTATTTTTTAGCTACAGTGACATAAAATTCCAACTATCGATTCTCAAATACTTCTGCCAAAGAAGTTGATTTTAAGAATTCGTATATTCTCGGTTATATCAGCAAAACGTGAACTGGAAACTCGGTCATTTCTTCTACTCGATCCGTGCCGTGGGCCGCTCTAACTCGAATGCCTACGTACCGTACAACAGACGTCGTGACTGCCCTTCGAATCGATGACGAAAGCGAGGTTTCATATTGATTCCATCATAGGAACAGCTACTATATTTTCAAACTAACAAGCCTCGTTATTTAGATGACCCTACAGCTGAAGGACTTGAATCTTTTTGCGTCGGGAGCCTTCAGCAATGTCTACAGGTCTGATATAAAATTATTCCATTTGAATAAAATAGAAAAATTCAAGAGGCACTGTTGAGACCGCATCTCACAGAACATCAGAAGTTGTGATCAAGAAAACTTGGCCGCGACAGAAAGGTCTTCCGCTCGAGGTTTTCAGCATCTCTAGCTAGTTCTAACAAATTTTGAACTTCAGGTTAAAATCCTGAAAAAACTAAACCGACTCAAGCACAAGAACATAGTACGTCTTATGTACAGCTACCAGAAGGAGTACGAAGGCAAGTCTGCCAATAGCACTAAAACGTGGTCATTTTAGAAAAGACGTGCTTGGCTTTGGTTTTTGAATACATCCCGTTGAATCTCTATCAGTTCCTGAAGCAGAACAACCGACGGATCGGCATCATGGAGGCCTCTTCTTTCAAAGAAGAATCAATGAATCTTCAGCTTTCAGGTCAAGATGATCGTCTGGCAGCTGTTCCGAGGACAGTTCCACTTGCAGAGAGTTTGTAAACTAAGGTAGACAAAAGCAGTATCTTTTTTTTCAGATGGATATATGCCATCGGGATATTAAACCCCAAAATTTGCTCTTCAACGCCGAGACTGGTCTTCTGAAGGTTCATGAGTTCTACCGAGACCTAAACAAGAAGTCTAGTGCAGATTTCCGATTTCGGCTCTTCGGCGTTGGACGTGAAGTCGTCGCAGCAACCGAGCTACCACGTCACGCGCTACTACCGACCTCCAGAACTTCTTCTTGGAGCGCGCATCTACGGACCCGAAATCGGTTGGTCTTCAGACTTTGCTCATCAACCAAATTTTGGGCATGTGGAAGGAACGGAATCCTTCGATACTGAACTTTGCTTTCCTAACTTTTTCTTAAGAAACTTTTTATCATCATTTGTTCCTACTAAAAGTTCTCTCCAATAAAAAACTTTTCTATGTTTGAGATTACGGAAATTTATAAATAAAGCATTCTACAAAAAATAATTTACTAACTCTAAATATGTTTTATTCACCTACATATGAAAAAATGTTAAGATGTTTGGTCGTGCGGTTGCGTATTCGGAGAACTGCTCAAAGGTGCCGTTTTTCTTCCTGGCCGCAACAGCTCCAATCAGGCCGAGGTTGAGCGATTCACATTCCGACCTTTTGTTCCCATTAGGTTCATCCTTTTTTAGCTTGTTTTCGATTTGATTGGTCCACCGACCAACAGTGACCTCAAAGAGCTGAAGCATTCCAAGTCCAAGTACAAAGAAATTATCGCGGTGCTGTTCAATTGAGAATGAGAAATTGAATCGAACGAGTTCAGAACTACGTACCAACTACGAAAGGGCCTTACCCGAACTTTCAATTTCTGATGTCCGCTGCGAGTAGAACTGGCGTGTTCACTTTGCACAACAATGTGAGTTCTGCTGGAAAAACAAATAGGAGGACAGACGAAACATAGCTGATCACCGCGCAAGACATGGCTGAGTCAGTGGCAGTCTTGTCAAAGATTCTTGTCTACAGTCCCCTCGAACGCCTCTCCGGACACGAACTCTTGATGTCCAGCTACTTTAAGCCGGCAAGTGAACTTTCCCATCCAGTTCTATTTTCTCTCAGTTGTTTACTTCTGGTGCGACTCGGTCCAACGGTCAGAAGATTGAGGCTATAACGGCTCGCGTTAGTTGACCTAATAGTAAAAAAGGCTAAGACGACTGTTCAGGACTATATGGACGTGAAGATTGGAGACAAGACGGTCACTGGATCCGTCGAGAGCGTCGATCACAACGAGAATCAGTGACCTTGCTATGAATGAAGCCTTATTCCACTCGCTATCACTTTTGGGGACTTTTTGTGGCTCTCACCTGGATGCTGGCCTCGCGCCGCACCTGCAGTACTGCGTGCCGACTGATCACCTCGTTCTTCTGCTGTACCTTGATGGCGAACTTGCGTTGGGAGTCGTGCAAGGCGCTGGCGCAGTACACCGTGCCAAAGGAGCCTCTACCTAGCTGCCGCTCCAACTGAAAAAGACTGATCAAAACTAAAACCCTTGTAAATTACCGCAAAAAAACGATGGATGCAACAATAACAGAAGTTTTAAAATATGTATATTCAATCAATGATGATAAAAATAACGACTAGCAACAAAAATTTTGATGCCCTTCTTTAAAGGGTTTTTAAAGAAGTCAAAACCTAAATTCAAGAATTTCGAATCTAATTTGTGAACTTTTTTGAACAAAACACTGAAATCTGGATTGAAAAGATACTGATACAGTGCACTCTCTTTCAAACTTGTCGCACACATATTCCCTCACACCTACCGTGAAACTTTTCTCGTTGATGATACTCCTGGTGGGGAACTCGGGCAGAAATAAAACGTCAAACCACGGCAAAGGACAGTCCTTCTTCAGAGGTGTTGGAGTCACTAGAAGGAAAAAAGATAAATTCTAGTGTTCCATTTCAAACCTTCTCCTGTGTGGGGTTCTTCAACTTCGTCTTCTCTCGAAGGAGTGAGGGCCGAAAAAGGTTCGTGGAGTGCACGTCTTCTACCGTCATCTCGAAAATAAAACTAGGAAACAGTTTCTTTTTCTTCCAAATTCATGTATGGAAATAAATTTTTCTCTTTTTGGCTTATGATACTCAGGTATTAGAGGAATTGATACTAAATTTTAAAAAAAATTGAAAGAAAAAAGTTCTTTTTCAGCTCTACATATCTGTTCTAATTTACACTTTAAAATTATCAGAAAAGAATCGAACAATCTTTTAGGCTTTAAATTGATCGCCACAGATATATGTCTCTAACTCTCTATTCCCACACGAAAACTAAAGAAGCTGAAGAAGGGAATAGCTCCTGCAAAAACAACACCGACAAAAAAATCCTCGAGGCAAATACAAGAGAAAATTGGCAAGTCTAAAAGCGACTGTTTTGCCTCTCACCCAAATAATCGCATGACACGGCGTCTGAGCGGACAAATTTCGATGAAAGTGAACTGTTTGCCAAGCTCTCGTAAACGTATGTCCGTCTATTTCAACACCTTTGCACAGAAACAATCACGAGCCGAAAGAGATGAAAATTGGGCGGATCAAGTGGCGGAGAAGGTTAGTTTTGGAGCTTTTAGACTTGATTGGGACAAAAACATGAAAAAAATAAAGTGGGGCGGAAAGATGAAAATAAGTACATAAAATGATTCTTCGGAGAGCAAAAATGTGAAATTAGTTCAGATTGAACTCATGTCATTGTCATAATTTATGCGGTTAACCTTTCAATAAACAGTATCTTCTCTCCGAAAATGTGCCGCAAACGAACAATGAACATCCTATTTGTTATTCATACACTCACTTCTACGGGCTTGCAGTCTCTGACGCAAGAAACGTAACCGTGATGAAATGTTGATCTAGAACATACGTAATTAAGGAAGTACAAAATCAAAATAAAATAACCTCTTCATAATGTGGTTCAAGTGAGAAACGCATACGCTTTCGTTCTGGTTCATCTGCCTGAATTTTTAAAAAAAAGTTAAAAAAGCAAGCTTGAAAATTGGTAATTCGATAAAATCAGCCTCGTTTTAGTAATCCAATAACTAAAGCAACAGAAAACTTTAAAAAAAAACCTTGTCGGCAGGTCGCTTGCGCGTCGCCACGTTACCCATGATCGACCATTCAGAAGTTCAGCGCGAGTTGCAAGGAGAAGCCGCCGAACAATGCCGCAACAGCAGACAAACAGAGATTATGTGCATTTGGGAGGAGCTCCGCCGACGCTCGCCAACGTCTCAGGAATCAGATCGACAGACCCATCTGGTCGTTTTAAATGGTACGGAGGCCAATGAAAGGCTTGGAGTGGCCGCAGGCGAGATTGCTCTTCATCGATCCGTGTCGTTGGCTCCTGCAGTGGAGGGCACAAATTAGCTAATTCGAACGCGCTTATTTGCTTACAGACACTGCGGAGAGGAAACTAGTTACGAACATGAAAATGAACAAGAGAAAAGTAAGAATAATTCCAAAAAAGAAAACCCCAAACTCCCTTCCTTTCTTCGAAGTTTCGCCTCTTTATTGAGTTAGATAATCGAAGGCGCCAGTTCTTAGACATGAATCAGGACAATTTCGATTGAAAAAAAACATGGCTTAAACCAAGAACAAAAAAGCTTTGACGCGTGCAATTGAGAAACGACTAGCTGTAATTTTCTCGACATTGTCTCAGACCTAATGCCGTGTTCAAAGTGATTCCGCGAAATTCAAAATAGCCGTCAGAGAAAGAGAAAGATAACTAAATTTTGGAGGGTCAGAGACGATTTCGCATTTCGCGGAAATTACTTTGAACACGGCATAACAAATCAGTGCAAAGAGTGATTAAATATTTACTGTATCAAAGCAACTTTGGGCGCCAATGAATACAAGTTCGATTTTCGAGTCATACATAATTTTCGTATAACACTGCACGTAACCAGGTTTCGAAATTTTTTTAATCGGGGTTCCAATGAAAATTTTTCCATTTTACATTCCAACTTTTATTTTTAGCAGAGTAAACATGAACCACTGATATACGTTTGGCAGTGGCGCACTTTTGGCGCTAATTTGAATTTCGAAAAAAAGTTTTTTTGTTTGTTTTTTTTTCAATGGCGTGCTCATCGGAAAATACCAAAATTGCTTCGAAACGCAAAAAATTGCTCCAAAACAAAAATTAGTACTATTTTGGAGCAACTTTGGCGCGCCGATGAACACGATTTTTCGTTTTGAAGCATGTTCTGTTTCTCCGATGAACACGCCACAAGAGTTTTCCAAAAATCTTTTTCGTGTTTTAGTGTTCTAATATAGGGTGACAAAAGCTCCATTTTTGCTGTCTTTTTGCGCCATCTCAACGGTCTATATATGCACCCGTTTTGGTGTCTCCCTTTCTCCACCATTTCTCGAGCTTTCGAAATGCAAGAAAAATGGAAGGCTCGACAAAGAGACTCTTTCTCCGGCCTTTTTGTTGTTGCTTTTCTGCGGCCTTTTGTGAGTCTCCCCCTTTTATCGGCCATTATCTACCATCCCGACTTTGCCCGATATAAGATTTAAAAAAAAAAATGCTTTTTTTGGTCACTTATTTGAATATATTCGTTTGTCGCTTATCTCTCTTTTTTAAATTTTCTATGATAAGTTGAGGAATTTGGGTTAAGAAAGAAAAATGTCGAGACAGCAGAAAAAGGTACAACGCCCGCGTATATCCACGCATCCAAATGATATTCTCCAATTGTGTGATGCCAAGGTGTTTTTCAAAATAATTTTTCTTCAAAGCTGTCTTATATAGCCAACACATCAAGCACCAGTACACGAATATCTGGACGATCCCGAAATGGCTGAAGAAAACAAAATGAGAGTCGATGCCTCCGAGGATTATCATAAATCGACAATGGAAATCGGTTTGTTCTCTGCGAATGATTGGATGTCACACTGGTAATATTTCTTGTTTAGCTTCCATGAAGATTCGAGAAACGACGGAAAGAAGAATGTCAGTTCTTTCGAAAGCAGCTGATGTCATCGAGAAGCGCGACTTGAGCTTAAAGGTATTTCCACTAACCATAGAAATAGTCATAACACAATTTATATTCAGACCACTATGTCGACATCTCTTTTTTCATCGGAAATTTCGCTTCTTGGAAGTATGGGCACGGCGCTCAAAGACACCCTTCACTCTATGGGTGGCATCGTTTCTGTCAATCCCAAAGAAGTTGCGATAAAAATGGTAGTTTGGAGGAAAGCAAAACCTAATAAGTTTGACCTCAGCGCCGGAATATCGATAAAACGATAGAGGCCCACGAGCACTTCCAGAAAAAGTTCAAAATTGACAAGGAAAACGTCAACGAACTGATGATCGATTCGGGGAACTCTTCTGACGCAGAAGACAGCAATGAAGACGAAGACGGTTGAGATTTCAGGCTTTTCCAATATTGATTTGTTTCAGAGGCCGAGGACGATGCTCCTGGTGAGAAGAAGGTTGTTGCACCTATTAAACTTCAATAATAATGACTGAAAACTTCTAGAAGTTCGCGTCCAGATTGATATTCGTCAATCGAATTCGCGACATTCTCCAAGACACCGGCGATATGCGAGATGCTCTCTACGAAACGGATGTGGGAAAGAAACTTCTCCGTCGGCATTTTTATCCTCCACTCTCTGAGGATGCTCAAAGATTGGATAACTTGTCCGTTTTTTGAATTTTTCGAATTGAACTAAATATTCTTCTCAGCTTGCCATTGGTTTATTCGAAAAAGACGCAAAAGGAGAAGGCAGTGAGAAAAATAGGTCAGAAAGAAGAAAAGGCGGAACTTGTCAAGCTGGCAGATAAGGCACAGGCGACCGTTCTCGACGAAGAGATTTCAATCGGAAAAGAGGTCTGTTCATAACTTCTCATCGTATATCGAAGGAGTTGATTACAACTTTTTGTAGTTGGACCACGTCTCTAAGTGTTTGCGTCGCGAAATCAAGAAAATGGGAAAGAAACCAATCAACTACTTTTCTTTTGTTATTGACCCGGAGAGCTTTTCGAAAACGGTAGGCAGCTCTCTTTTAACTTATGATTGATGTTAATTCACGCAGGTTGAGAACGTTTTCTACGTATCATACCTGCTGAAAGATAGATCTGTTTACATGTCATTCGATGAAAATAACGTTCCTCTTCTCAGTAAGTTTAAATGAAAGGTTTCAGGAATTAGCATCCAACTTCTATCCTCTTTTTTAGTACCCCGCCTAAAATCTGTAAAACTTGCAGATTGGAAGAAATGGATGGACGATACTTCTTTAGCGAAGTTTAATGATGAAAATAACTGTCAGGCAATCATGGTATTCACTTATGAAGACTGGAAGGTTTTCATTTATTTATTTTTCCTTCAAACTTAATTTTTATTCAGCACTTGATACAAGTTTTGAACATCAGCGAGGCATGCCTATAGCAAACCAAAGAATAACGTTTTACTTCTTTTTTCTATATTAATCGAACAGGTATGCAACAGGTCATTTATAAAATATTCGGCTGGTATTGTAACTCAGAACACAGGAAAGTGATAAAAGATGCTTTAGTTTGAAATCTGAATGTGAGAAAATGTATTATGTGATGTAAAAAGCAACCCATCTGGATCCCATCATTATTCAAAAACAAAAAGAGACCCGTGAATTGTATTAACTATTCAAAAAGAAAGCAACACCTAGCTCAAGTTAAACCCGTTATTTAATTAGTGAAAACTAACGTTTTTCGAGCAAAACTATAAAAAAGAGACATTTCGCGTGTGAATGCCAGCTTAGATTTAATTCACAGAAGGACTTATTCGGAGTTCTGGGCAAGGTCGTTGAAGAAGAGAGCCGACAGAGCAAACAGAATGAAGACCACTCCACCGATCAGAGTCACTGCAAAATCAAGGTTCAGAAAATGATCTAAGTTCACTGCAATTTTTAACAATGAAAAATGTGCCACTGCAAAAGTAAATATACAAGCGCGTCCAAATATGTCTAATTCGGTAAATTAGTCGAGCGCCTGCAGTGAGCCTTTCTAAATTCGAATTTTTCATTTTATTTTTTAATTTGTTATTTTTCGCATTCATCATATTTTATCACTTTCGAGAAGATTAAAAAGTAATAAATATTATTATGGTCAGTTTTTAGCATCTATATTTGAAGGACTACAATTTTTAATAATTCAATATATTTTTTCGGGTATATGATAATCGGGCCGCGAAAATCGAGCCGCCTTTTGTACGGGGCGAGACGAACAGAAAAAAAATAGTGTAGAAATGGAGGCTCGATTTTTGCAGACTCGATTTTCGCGGCCCGATTATCATATACCCATTTTTTCTCGTATTAAAAACAGCTACTTGTAGGAATGTTAAAGATTAATAATTTTAATTCTCACGCACACTAGACACTCGTCCCAAAATTGTTTTTGAAGCGACATAAGGTTTGAAAAACCTGTTCTGACGGAGATCCGTTGAGCGACTAGTTTCCCACCAATTACCGCGATTCCTGTGCAAAGAGCATGTCCCAAAACACCACCAATGATAACACCGGCTGAAAAAAGAATGTTCCATGCAGTTTTTTCCAAGAGTAACGCACTGATGTTTTCTCGAGCGCCGAGAATAATGGTGGTGAGCTGAGAGCGGTCTCCCCACTCAGCCAAAAACGTCAAAGTGAACGACTGAACAATAATTTCAATTGGAAAAAAAACCTACACATTTTTACCTCAATAAAAATGCGCGATGTGAAAGAAAAAATCAACCAAGTAGAACTCCTGAATTTGAGGATGAATACGAAGTGAGCAAAATGAGAACCTTGTCTGTTCTCCAGATTCCAGTGCTGCATATTTACCCGCGTCCAGACCTAATTCTCTCTTCGAAACCTCAGCCTGAGACTCTTCAAAAACTTCCTAGGAAGTTCGAAAAAACAGTTGGTAAATCTTTGTTTTTCTGTGTAAACTTGGCCCTCGCTCGCGGACATATGCCATCCCTCATGCAGCATTTTCAGACCAAAGAGAGCGAACAAAGCAGTGGAGACGTAGTAAGTGACCGCTCTAGGGATCAGCTGAGTCACCCAACCGAGGCAAGCTTGAAAGATTGGAAAATTTCGAAAAAGAACCATCAAAAAAAACTTGCTCAGCTACCAACCTGATAGAACGGTCATAAGAGCGAGGGCGGCGATGGCTCCAGCGAAGACAGTAAGACGCGAGTGTCGCATAGACAAAATCACGGCGATGAACCACGTCTTGTCACCGAGTTCCGAGACCACAATAACTGAAAACGACGCCAGGAAGCCGTGGTAGAACGATATGTCCAGCTCGTGCTGAATATTTCCATTCGAAACTTTCTTTCTTTTTTGTTTTGCCTTCGCCGAGGATGACCCAGGGCTAACTTCAACGTTGCTTGCGCCTTCATTTGTCAGCTTAACGTCTACAGTGTCAACATTCTGCAAGTACAAGTACTGAAACATGTTGGCAGAACTACGATCAAGTTTTCAATCAGCCACGGTGTCTTTTGTAAATTTCTGCTTTTTTTTCAACATAACAAAACTGTGCTGAAACATGAATAACACGTACTCAAGGGAAATGATAAGTTGACTAACCCCGACATCCTTTTCAACGCTAGTTCCGCTGCACAACTGGAGCCCAATGACAATGAGAAGTGGCCAAAAGTAGCGCATCTTTAAAAAGGTAGTTTGTCAGCTTAACAAATAAAATTGAACGCATTTTGATGCATCGTTCTTCACCACTTTTCACGGGGTAAAATTGAGACGGATTTTTTCTGAAATGGTGTCAAAAAGAAAAAGAAGTGCACCAGCTTCAAAATCAAAAGTACCAGCGATTTTTTGGAACAAAATGTCTGCCGAAAAGATAAGAAAAAAAGCGTGTGCAGAACAGATTTCGAATCGCTACAGATTTCTGTATCCCAAGACAGTTAAGTAGTGGTTGATCATTTTTTAATTATTAAGCGAAGACTTTTTTATTTGAAAAAATAATGTGAGGGAAATGGAAATGATAGAAAATATGGAAAGTACTGATTGACTCTCGTTTTATCATTTTCCTGAAAGCAGATACTTGTAAAACTAAAGAGAAAAATTAAAAATTAGAAAAAGACGTCGATAAGAAAATTATATTTTTTGTCTCACGAAAATGTCGTGTTGCGGACCGCAAACATACCGTAACATCTATGAATTCCTCCCAATTTTGAGAGGCAGTTTGAGAGAAAAGGAACTTCTCGCATTTTTTCTGACTTCATTTGTTTTTTGTTTGAAAAAACTGGAGTGCTTGAAAGATAATTTCAACTTAGCGTATAAATGAATAATCAATTACACAAGCTTGTCAAGTAAGAATGTCCTTGTTCTAATACATTTTCAAAACTTTTTACAAATTCCTTGAGTAAATTTATTAACACATTGCATAACGAGTAACATTGAAAAAAAAACCTACATGAAAACAAGAGAGAAAAATGGTTACCGCAGAGGTTCCAAAAAGGCATCCAGGGAAAACTTCTAGTCTAACGACAATTACAGGAAAGTTTTATTCTAACGATATTACAGAAAAAAATTTAACAATAATCAACAAAAAGTTTGAAAATTGAGAGAAATGTACAAATTCACGGGGGGTGGAGAGGAATAGAAAATGAAATGCGGCAGGCGAGGTCTCTTATTGAGAAATGAACTGAAAAAGTGAGATGTCGCAGTTGGGTGAAAAAGAAACTTGAGATTTGTAGACATACAAACGAGTAAAGTTCAGTGAATATGGTTAGATAAACGAGTAATGCTCTTGATTTGGGGCTCTTCTTTCCAGAGTCGATCAGCACTGTTTGATTTGAGTCTCAGAAGGACGACCCATCACAGCCGAGCCCATTTGATGAAAGATGGGACAGTTCGGCAAGGTATTTGCTGGGCTGTGGCCTTGATGGTCACACCTCGGTCTTCGCTCAGAATCACCACATTTCGAAACAACCGCCGAGTATCGCCGTCGTTCTGGAGCTCTGAGACCGCTCCAATTGCCGCTTCCGGCGTCTTTCCTACCAACGCCGTACAGCATTGGATGATCAAATCGTCGTTGATCTGAAAAAAAAGCTTGTAGCTCGTTTGAGACCAAAAACTCTGAAAAACGTTACTTCAGGTCAAACGAAATCCAAAACATTACCTCATAGGTATTCGTCCTATTGGCATACGCCTTTTCTGAAGTCCAACTAACCTTGCGCGGACCGTCTTCTGTTTCTTCGGAGGCCATGCTCAACGCCATCTTCGAGCCTTGAGTTGTGATGGTGCTCATGAGGGGGTTCTTGAGCTGCACTTGCTCTCGGAGCCATGTCACTGCCGCCTTCGAGTTTAGACGCACGTCTTCCTTCATGTCCAAGTAACGCCCTAGGCTCAGGCCAATCAACTCTCCGATTACTGTAAAAAAAAAAAATCAAATCCCGTTATAATCTTTTGAAAGCTGATTGTACCAATTGTAGGAACGAGTATATGGTATTCTTTCGAGTCGAGGATCCTCTTGAAAACTTCTAGATGGTCAATCAAAGTGTTCGTGTCGGGTACGATGTTCTCTGGTTGAACGACAAGTACCACGTCTGTTTTGCGTCTTTCTTTGTCGAGGATCTCCTCTCGGGTCAAAGGTTCACTGCTCTGTAAAAAGCATCAAATTAAGAAGGTTGAAGACGAAATATTGATTCACTATTCTTTTAACTATAAAACTCACATCCAAACTCTGCACTTTAGATTGTCTTTTCTTCGATTTGGAATCGACATCGAGCTCTTCGGAACTTTTTACCAAAACTCCAGACTCAAGCAGAAACGATCGCGCTTGCAGCAACCTTTCCAACCTTATTCGGCAGGAGAAACCAATCTGAAAGTGTAAGTGAAACTGCTAAAGAAGAGATTAATGAGCAAACCGAAGAAGATTCTTCGGCGTTCGCCCTGAACCTTGAGCCTTTCGCTTCGATATGCAAAAATGAAGAACAAATCAAAAGCTCAGGGAATACAAAATCAACGCCTGAAGGAGAGAAGGTCGTTTAAAAATACATCAAAAACGGAGTAACCTATTTCCGTAGAAGGCATAGCAATTGGCTCGAAGCATTCGACAGAATCGAGAAGTTGCCAGACGTCCGTCTGTAGGATTTTGTTAGGAAGAGCCTCCACGGAGCTCGTGTTGCCATAAGTCGTCTGGAACTCCTCCGACAGAAACCAGTCACAAAGAAAGTTCAGAGCCGGAAGAACTCGGAGCACGGTTCTCTGGATATCGCCTTCTCCAGAGAAATATCCAATGATTTCGTCCTTCTCATCCAGAAGAACTCGCAAAAATGTGCTGAGAAGAGAAAAGACAGCGCGAAGAGGCGTCAGCTGCGGGACCGAGCCGGACTCCAGACCTTTAAGTTGAACGTCGTTTCAGATGAAGTTTGTATATGACGCTTCAAAATTGATATGAAATGGAAAAAGCGTCATATCGAAAGAATTGTCCATCATGATTCAAGTAAAGCTTGATTAGCTTTTTTTATTTGAGATAAAAAATTGAAAAATTTAAATTAAGTTAGTCTTTAAAAAAGTTAAAAAGATAAACTAGTTTGTAGGATGACCAATACTTTTTTTGGACATAAAAATTTCATAGAACAAACAATATTGGAATATTTTCTCAAAAATGACTTTGAAATTCAAAGTGAATTTGGTAGATTGTGACAATTTGTCCCCTCTAACTCTTCATTTTGCGACGCAAAACGGCGATGCGTTGAATATTTTTAGACTCCTTCTCCTCTAATTTTATTCACTTCGTTACGCAATTATTCGTTTAAAGCTGAGAGCTTTTTTTTTCAAAAAATTTTGACTAGTTTATCTGCCTAGCATAGTATTAAATTTTATATACTTTGTAAAACTTTCCCTAATTCCTCTATAAATCTGACTTAAAAAATCCGCGCCAGAAACTTTTAATTTTTAAAATGGATCATACTTTTGATTGCACTGACGTGGGCGACGTGGATGAACAACAGGGAAATCTGAACGAGTTGCATGGATGAAAAAGGCGAATCTCTCTGCTCCAAAGAGGCAGCCAGCTGGGCGAATGCCCGTTCCGAAACTCTGCGTTTTTCAGAAATTTTCAGAATAAACATTCTCCAGACTCACCTTGCGAAATTCTCCATTCCAATTTTCAGTAGTAACATCCCGACAGTGTCGATTATGTAAGAAACAGTGCGACGATGAAGCTGAAACTCCAAAATATACTTCCAGCTCCCTGAGTTGCACCTTGGATGGCTGTTGACCGCGAAAATATGAGAAAATTTCATCATTTTCTTCTTTGGTCTCGTTTTTCAATTTAGCTGACGTTTTGGATATCCAAATCTGAAAGGAGATTCTTTGGAGATGACTGAGGCTTTCTGAGACTTCACGAGGCCGGTGAGTCAAAGCAATGACGTCTTCTTCCACCTTTCCGCATTCAGAACTTATCAACGGCTCGTATCGCTCGACCTGACGAAGAGCAGTTGTTTTTTGTTTCTTCAAAAGGGAATAAACTTTTTTTCTCATGGCAGCCAGACGAAAAGCCAGACGTTCGCGAGCCGCCTCGTAGGGATGAGCAGCGGCGAGAGCCCGAACCAGAAAGAAGACTTCGTCGAGCACCCTCTCCTGCAAACCGACGGTCGTCGTTCACCGTTTTCGAAGTCTTTGAGGAGTTGCAAAGGGAACGCAAGCTTTCGATCCAAATATTTGAAAAGTCGACGAAGAAAGTAAAGGTTTACATACTTTGAAAAGTGCGAAAAACAGTTAGCAGAACCAAAACAAGCTTTTTGCCCCATTCAAAGGAAACATAACGAGAAAGCGGGAAAACAGTTTGGAACGTAGGATCGAGCGAAGCGAAATTTTCCGCAAAACTCGAGAAGTAGATGAAAGAAAAGTATTATACGTGCACCTTAGAAAATATTTGATACTTCAAATTCAATTTTCTGGAATAGATACCCAGATAAATGAAATAAAATGGACTAGTGGACTTTTTGTTTTGTTTCGAGGAATCTGAAGCGTGAATGTCCTACGTTCCCAATTCAAAGCACAAAGGTAAAATTCGCCCCGAACAAAGTTTTAGTAAAACCGTTAAACACCCAGAACCCGGCGGAATACTGTGTTAGTCTGACATCTAAGTGAAGAATGGACTCGGAATAGAGTTCGACTAAAAAATGAGATTTCAGGATGTAATTTTGTACGCTGATTTCGAAAACTGTGCTGAAAAGACATATTTGGAAAAAAATAATAATAAAAGCGCTCAATTCATCTCACCGAATCAGCTCATTTTTGAACGATAAGTAGAACCCGCCCATGAGATTGAAACCTACTTATTTCTTCACATTTCTCAAAAATATTATCAACGAATTCAGAGCAAAGATTTAAAACCAGCGTCAAAAACTGCACCTAGTGATATAAATCTCATTTAAAAGGCGCACTATACGCAAAAATCCTTCTTCGATGAGAAAATTGCAGTGGTTCACTGAAGAGAATCTGTTATCAGGACTTCAGGTTTGATATTTAAAAAGAAGCGTTTTCCAAGAAAGAGGATAGGAACAAGAAGGTGCCATGGAGTGCAAAAGAAGGCAACCTGTCGCTGTCGCGAAAGAACATCGAGAGGCGTTTGCCGCGCCCGATGTCTGCTCCGGTACAGCATCTACAAGCGATCAAGTAGAGCTGAGGTTCAATTTCAACCATCAAACTTTTCCTTTTTCGGTTTTGTACGGAGCGATTTCAACCCTTGACTGAGAATCCTACCTATTAATTCTTTTGAGATTTCTTTGATTTCTATTTTGATTTTTAGATGATAGTTTATTCAAAAAAATTGAAATTTTTTTGATACTAATCCACATAAGAAATAAGATGAAATAAAAAATAAAAACATGTAAAAAGTCAGAATAATTATCCACAACAGGACCCAATCGGAAGCGATAAGCTCTCAATCGTAATTATTCTTTCTTTTTCCGTTCTTTTTCCTTCAAAAAATATCTTGAAAAAATAAGCTGAGAATTCTGGAGATTCTTCAACCGCACACTTCTGTCTTAGGAGACGTTCTGCGCGCCGATTGAATGTTTGAAAATAACTAGCATTTTTAAAAGTACTTAAAGAAGTCTGTGGCTTTTTTAAGTTTATCAAAAACTTTGATTGGAATCAGCTGTTATTTCTACTGCCTGTGCAAAAACCATTAGGCCAAAGCACAGAACCGAAATCTATACGAAAATTGCTCCATTCAAAGCGATCAGAAAATCAAACACGATCTAACCAATCAGAAAGATGGAACGGAAAAGAACAATCACAGAAAAGGGACGGAAAACGTACAGAGTAGAAGGCGACAACGCCCAACTGATTGTAGCAATGGCCAGAAGCGGCCCACAGTTGCGAAGCTTGTAAGTAGAAACTGAAAAGCGGTTATACGGGCAGCGAAGAAGGAGCCTGACCTTCTGGGAAGAGAATAGTCCTCAGAACCATTGTTCAACGTCTGGTAGCGGTAGAGGTCTCCCAGGGAAATCAGATTTCGCGCCAAGGATTTTAACGCTGTCTGAAAAAAATTAACGCATTTGAGTCGAATTCTGGAAGAAAATGTAAAACTTTTCACCTAAATTTGGAAAATGGCTCAATTTTCTTGTAGTCTGACTTGAAAGCTTTATTTTTAATTCCCTGCTGAATTAAGTATCCCAAAATTCCTCCTTAACTTCCTATTTTCATTCTATTGAACTACGACAAACCCTTGTTTGAGCACATGATAATCTCGATACTTTACAGATACCGTATACATTCAATTATTGGCCTATTAAATATAAAGTTGAGTTTACTGTATCCGAGACTTGCCAGTCTCAAACTGGCCAAATCAAGATTCTCGAAAAAAAAAACAGGACGAAACCCTCTGAGTTGAAGAGTTGAATGCATCAATAGGCAGTGGAGTTGGAATGAGCCGATCTAGGCTTTGCGGACTTCCGTTCGGCCAAATCAAAGCCTCGGACAAGGAAATCTCAAAAGCCCTCTCATATTCAGGCAACAAAACGTTGGAATAGAACTCGATCGCCTGCAAGAAAACTTTTTCAGCATTTCTTTTCTCTCGATAATCAAACTTGAAGTAGAAATCGCGAAAGGTAGGCGCGGAAGATTTTGGCGTCGCTTTTGGCCGAGTTTGCACAAGAACGGAAGGTCTCAATGATTTTGTGGAAGGCCTGCCGCCAAATGTGCAGCTCGACGCGATTTGAAAAGGTGAAGACAATGTCGCGCGTCAGAAACTCCATGTAGGTCCGCGAGAGTTCTCCACTAAAAGGACCACTTCGACTAGGCTTTTTCCTCATTATCTGAGTTTTTGAAAATGATAAAATGAACTTGCTTTTGCGTATCGCTGATGTTGATTCTCCCTTATAAGTTTGTTTTTTTATATTTGATCAACTTCGAAAAAGCTGTTCTCAACGGGCTAACAAACCTCAGTTCGATGAGTTTTTTGGCGGCCTCGCTGTTCCGATTTCGAGAAACTTGCGTCACTAATGACGCAATTTCGTCGTTCAGCTGAACATTCTATTGTTAACTTCTGACAGAGAAAAGACGGTCTGATTTTACATGGGTTCCCAGAAAAAGATGCGTGTGTCAATCAAAACTCCAGATGATATACGAGAGATACTTCATTTACATTTTAACGAAAAATCGTTATCAAATAAAAAGTTTACCTATCAAATAAAAAGGAGCTGAAAAATTTATTAAATGAATTGTTGCTAATTTTAATTATTGAACCCTCCCAGTAAAAAAATATATAATTATTAATTTATTTTATAAGATTTATCCAATCATGTCTACAAATATTTTTGCGTCAATTTGGTCAACGTTCTATTCGAGTTTTTCAATTTTCCTTCTTTTTCAACTGTAAATGAAACGCTATTTACGTTCGGTATTGAACGGGGTTTAGGACAGGTACACACAGAAAAAGAGCTCATATTTTTTTGTTCGAAAATTTTTATTTGAATTTAGAACTGGGGTTAGAAACTAGTGAAAAATCACAAAGAAACAATGGGGTTATTTGAAAGCGAATTTTTAACTCCTTTTATTTTGTTAAGCACCTGGTCCCCCACAAAAAAAGCATTTGTAAACCTTCTGTACTTGTATGCCTTCCTTTTTTGCAATATCATCAATTGTCAAGCCGCGTTTCGTTTCATTCGAAGATAGGCTGAAACCAGAATTGTCAATCAGTACAATCGCCCGAGTTTATTATGAACAAAAAAAAAGTTAGCAACGTACATTATTAGACGAACATAGGTTATTGTTAACAGGAAGATAGTACAGCAAAATTAAGTTATTAGTAAAAGGTACAAGTATAGGTATGTGGTGCAAGATCGGTAGGTGAGTAGATGGGGGACAATTATTGCAAAGGAAGCAAGGCTTCACCTTTCTTTTGATGGGACGGAATCGCGCGTCGAGCCGGGCGGTATGTTCTTCGCATCTGAAAACGCAAAATCTATGAGTTATGGTCTACCTATTAAAACCGAGAAACAAGTTTTGTCAAAAAAAAAAAACTAAGGTAGACTTTCCGACTCTCCAATGAGTTATCTAACTAGACTCCACTGATCGAATTTGTTTCAATAATAAACGGGAAGCTTAGAAACAAACTTTCGCGATAAACATTCAAGTATTTGATTTTGAATTCACTGCTACATTTTCAATTCTTTCACTCAATAAATTTGAGAACTTAGAACAAACTAATTAATGAAGGTTTTTCTTATAACTCAGAATCGTCCAAGTGTAACTGGAAGAAACCTCGTTGCGGACGCAGAATTTGGCGCTGCTCGCTGGCGCCGACGAAAGAAACGCGGCCGGCAAGTCTTCCAGAGTCGAAGCGGCGATCGGAAGACTGTGAATAGGACGCGATTTCGTCGTCGCGATCGTCGTGCTCGCCGCGATATCGGCTTCGCTGCGACGCCTTCTTCTTTTCGCTCTTTTGCCATCCAGCGTCTCTTTCTTCTCGAGTTCGCGCTTTAAGTCAATCTTCATTCAGGAATATCTCGGAAAGATGAAAAAATTCGATTAGAAATTTGAAGTCTTCGACATCTGACTTCCGCAGTTCAAATTGAAATATAAACTATTTCATTATTAAAACTACAAAATTTCCTTTCTTTTTTCATCCGTCTTTTAAAAATAAATTTTGAATGAATATCACAGTTATCTAAAAAATGAATGAAAAGCCAAATGAAAGAAAAGTCGAAGATAACCATTAAAAAAACTCTTAATATTTAATACCATATTCATTATCGTAGTAGTTCTTGGGCCCGCCATATCGAGACTTGGGACTCTCCTTCGAAAAAGTAGGACCGTAGCCTGGAAAAATGAAAACGATTGGTTTCTAGTTCCTTTTGAGGAGCTCACTGCGCTGAAAAGTCGGAGTTCTTTCTCCACTTCGAGGCTCTTCATACGAATATTCTTCTCCGGCTTCTTCGGCTATGCTCCCACCGAATGAAGAAGAGCGGTCGCTATCTGACAGACACTTTTTCTTGCAGCAACAATGGAAAATGAAACCGTTCCGCTGTCTTCGGGGTCTCCCGTTCCTTCTGTGCGAATTCTCGTTGGGGGCCATTTCGTTGTTTCTTCAATCAACGTATATAGGGTACAATTTAAAAAAATATGTGTGCAATGAAAAATTGTTTTATGATTTGTTAAATTTCCTTTTAATCAATTCAAGTATCATAGAGACCTTTCTTTCTCTGCGTCTTGTCGCCTCTGCTCCTCTTCGAGTTCTTCTTGTCTGCTCTGCTCGAAACCCTCTTCTTCCATCTCAAATTTCGAATTCGTTCATTTTTCCCGTGACTCTTCACCGTCTTGCTCCAGTCCATAGAACTGAAAGACTGTAAGGAGTCGCACAGTTGTTGGTAAGAGAGTCCTGAGAACTGAGGGAACGAGGCGCCACATTGACTTTGGGTTTCCAGGTTCGTGTCGACGTTCAATTCCGACTGCAATGCTGATGAGAATTACTGAGAACCACTCGAATCGAACTTTGGCCTGAGAAGGCATTTCGCTCTGCGTGCTATTAATCGAATCGTTACGACGTCGTCCACCGCTTGACCTTCGCTTTGTTATCGCGTTCTCAGAACGTATTGAAGACCTTGCGGCAAAGTTATTGCTCTGGAAATGTCGGTTAAATGGTGAGATCAGTCATAAATACACTTACAGCTCTTTCGAAAGGTTTCGGTTGTGGCTTGGAGTTCAGATAGCCACCAGGACGACCAGTGTCATACAGGGATTGAGTTGAATTCTAAGAGGTTTGAATTGTTGAACACATTGTTTTCAAAACAGTGTAAAATAGGGAAGAAACTTACATATGATGATCGCGAAGTGTTTGGGGCGTCCTAAAAAAAACTAATTTTTCGAACTTTTTTTAAACGTACTTTGTGTCTATCTCGATTTTCCCGAGGTGGCCGCCGATCGCTCAAAAAAGTTCTATAAAATAGAAGTGCTCAACTTTCAAAATGATCGAATAACCTGCGGTCATCATAGTTCTCGTTTCTGTTATTTTTTCTAATATTCCACGACCTTTCTTCGTTCAATGCTAGTGCGTCAGGAGTTGTATTGCCAGAATCACGTTCTAAAAATGAAGTCACAACTTAGAACAAAAATTCTGATCCTCACGTGAAGAGACACTTTCTGTATCATTGCTTCTGCGCCTTCTGTCATTCAATCTCTCCGACGACGTTCCTTCAAAAGTTTAATTAGATATTCGGCAAAAAGTTTGTAATTGATTAACCATTGCGAGCTTTTTGGGTATCACTCTCGGAACGAAGTGAAGTTTGACTATCACCCTTTCTTAATGCTCCTGAAATTCGAAAAAGATATATGAAAAACACGTGAATGTATATATTACCTGGGGGCCTATAAATCTGGATTTCCGGGCGTTGCTTTCTGACTTTAGTACTGCTGCGTTCCCCAGGATCTTTTACTTCTTCTGACATCAGCAAAGAGCCTCGAAAAACCATCATAATCACAATCCAAATATTATAACTTTAATCAGAAAAAATGTCGTTTTTAGTCTTCAAAATAAAGCTCATTTATACATTTTTTTGACAAATCGAGTCGATTGAAATTACTTCAAAAAGAGTAAATAGAATAGGAATTCAAAAACCTAAAAAGCACTTGGAGATGGAAATATATCAATGAAATTAAAAAAATGTTATTACAGAATTTATGTAGGAATCATAATCTTCATACCAATTTCTTAGCGCGGAGGATTAAAAAGGCAGATATTTTTATTAAGTGTGTAACCGGAAAAGAGTATGTAAACGGTTGTATAACGCAGAAGATTCAAGGAGTTCTTAAAACAAACAAACAAACAAGGAAAATTTTAAATAGTTGAGCAAACAAAATTGACGAGGGTTTTGTCAAAAATGCTCTCGTGATAATTCTTACTGTATGCGATAGCCCCGCAATCACCACGCTTGAGTTTCAAAAAATTAATTTTTAAATTAACTTTTTTTTTAAACAAACTAATTTCAAAAGGGAGTGTTCATCGGATAACGAAACTTGCTACAAAAACGCGACGGAGACGGTTTCAAAAAAAGAGTAAATGTTAGGGAGCATCTTTGGCGCGCAACTGAACACCGTTTTTTTTCCGTCTTGAACATGCATCGTTTCTCAGTTAAACATGTCATAATTGATATTTGAATCATTTCATTTCTATCATCCTTCATTGGAAATTTTTTGAGCACAGCGAGTAAGCTGTTTACGTTAAAAGTTAGAACTAGCAGTTAAAAAAATCAATCTAGTTTTCAGTTATGATATATCTTCTGCTCGTTTTGACGTTTCGAATAGCATCAGGATTGGAAACGTACAACGAGCGGCTAGACATAAAGACTCTTGAAAAGGGAAGGGTACATGCAAAGTTCACATTTTTAACTTCTAAAGACATTATTGGTAAAATGGATTTCAAGTTCTTAGAAACAGTATATCTTTCAGACAATGACTTCATACTCTTTCCGCGGGTTCTTGACCAGCTTGTTGAAAAATACAACGTTCATCGCTTTGTGTTAACCATGCAGCAAGGAAGATGGCGCAGAGAATGGAATGAGCCGCCGCAACCTGCGTCTCCAATCGGAGCTCAGCTTCTCGTGTACTTCAAAACAAAAAACGCGACAGAGTTCGTTTTTTTTCTCATTGTTTGGTGAAGGAATACATATAGGGCTGAAAAGAACTTCTCTTCTCTCGTGGAAGCTGCGAATGGCCTTTTCTGCACCTCACTCTCTTCTTTAACCGTCACGGCGGTATCTCCAGAACTCCCCGTTTTGGAGAAGAAATCTTTTGAGCTCACCACGAGGTTGTTTCAAATCCGTTTTTAAAACGAAACATTTATATTAGATATGGCATAGTGAGCAAAGAAACAACTTGTACAGAGAATCTCTCGCAACTTCGCAAGCTTCTGCCGTGTAAATCGGTTCGGTTCCACGTTCGAAGTTTCTTGACTTGAATAGCTTTTCAGAGCGGCCTCTCAGTTTTTCTCCACCCTTCTAAACTCTACGACTCGCTCTTTCACTCTCTCTCAGTTTCTATAAATTCTTCTTGCGAAGTTAGTATTTATCTATCAACTAACTATTTCCAATTCAGGAAATTAAATGTAGAAGGAGCATTGAGTTCGAATTATCGGTTGTCTTCAAAACACCAGCTGACGGTTTTTCCTCTTATTTGAAAATTAAATATTTTTTTTTGAAGGATGGTTATTGTCGCGCCTTTTCGACAGTCAGTTCTCTGAAAAATGCTCCGTTGCAGAATCAAGTAAAGTGACAGTTTCTCATGACCCGGTACATTATAAATGTTGTCGCGGAAAAAAAAACGAAGAAGTTGTTAGATATCGGATAAAGTTAAACCTTCTGGCAAAGAATTGGAAAAAGGCGTTTACGAATACGACTTTTCGGTCTGGACCAAGGGGGCGGATTTGGAGGTGGAGACTCCCTCATTCAAAAATTCCTCCATTGTTCAATCTGCAGGAATTAGGTTAATTAGCGCCACCAATTTTTTTTTTCAAACAAAAAGTGCTTCAGAATTTGGTCGACGCTCGGCGGTTTGAGCCAACACTCCGGAGAGCTCCGTATTTCAGTCAAAAACTTGGGAAAAGCTGGAAACAACGTTGTGATTTCTCAAATCGTGCCTTACTTCGTGAGAGTCCATTACAATAGCCTCATGGTGAAATGTCGATCTGCTTCTTCACGGGTATTTTTCAATAAAATTTGATAATAGCACAGATTATCCAGGTCCGCGAGAAAGTTTTCAAAGCTTCAAAGGCGCCAAAGTCTTCGCTTCTGATTCAATACAATCTGGAAATAGACGAGACCGATACATGTATTCTTCATATACCACTGGAAAAGTCTTTGCTGCGGTCAGTTCATTTATTTTTAGCTGGTGTGTTAATAGGCTCGACATAACGGCAAAAAGCCTCAAACGAAGTCTCACCTATGAATGACTTTTAAAAAATAAAGATCTTTTTTTCACGTATTCTATGAAAAAAATAGAAAGGCAACAACGAAGAAAAAAATATAATGTTTCGTTGATAAATTTTCAGAAGATAATGGTTAACAGTGTCATCGATGCCCTTTCGGTTAAAAAAATAAATTATTCTACGTTTAATTTTTTTTTTTAAGGATAAACGACTATACACCGGACGCCAATCACGGAATGTACATACCAGGAGCCATAGCCACATTTTTGCAGATAAAAAAGTTTATATAGAAATTAGAAGGATTCAAAATGAAATACTTAGTGATTTGAACGGCGGATATGCTGTTCACAGCAACGCAGTGTTGGTGGCCTTGCCCGTTCCGGATTTTAGTATGCCTTTCAACGTTATTTGCTTCGTCGCCACCACCTTGGCCGTCTGTTTCAGTCCTATACACACTTTCTCCACTCTGTGGTTCGTTTTAACGACATTTTATATCCTATGAAACATTTTTCAGGATTAGCCCCGATATACCAAAGTCGGTGATGGTCAAGAAAATTTACCGCGGGTGTTTACTGATGCTTCTAGCGTTGTCGTTGTATGCTCATTTTAATAACTCGAATCTTCACGACCTGAGAAGATTTATTTCTGCTTATCTTCAAAAACTTAACGAGCTCAAATAATTTATTGTAATATTACATTCAAATCGCGGGTAAAAATAAATTTTGAATTCTTTGCTCGTATCATTGAATGGGGGAGTTTCTTTTGCTCATTAAGATATTAGGCGCAGACTTCTTCTCGGCCTTTTTGGTTTTTAGGCTGGTTTGAAAAAAAGGTTTTTAATTCTCTACCTCATATCTAAAAAAATCAATTTATGTGAGTTTCAACGTAAAAAGTTTTACAATACGAATTTTTTTAAAAAAATGGTGTTGAATATGTGAGAATGGACTACCGTGCAAAGTTTTTTTCTGGCGTTTTGTCCTCAATAACCGTGCCGCGGTGTAGGCCAAATCGAGCTGCGATCAAGTGGGCGCAGATCCATTTTTGCCCCATTTTCAACACATTCACCTGATATGAAGAACCGTGAGAAGAAGTATTTAACACACCCACCTGGAAATATTTACAAGTGCAATAGTTGGCTGAAGGCAGGACGAATTCCGATCCGTATTTACTCTTATTGTTGACCACCTGTCGATTTCAAAACTTTGATATTTCGAAAGGTTAGAACCTCAAAGAAACGGACATTATCAAACATTTTTTCATCGTTTTGTATAGGAATATCGTTCGGGGACGGCATCTGAACTTCTGTTCAAAAATTTTTTGCAAATAGAATTTTTAGATTAAAGCAAAGCTCACATCTTTTTTCGGCGGATCGCGGACAACAAAATCGCTGTATTTCCTCGTTTTCGGTCTAGCTCTTCTTCGAAAAGCTTCAATTTTATGACATGAACATCATGAAAAAAGGAAAAAAAAAACGTTTTTGTTGCTGTTTGATAGGGATGATCGCTTTGACGAGTTTTTTCTCTGCCAGTTGGATTCCCTGCAGTAGAAATTATAGTCTGTTCAGATTTTGAATGTCAAGAATCTAACTCCGCCCCGGCTGAGACGGTTCCTTTTCGCGTCGATGTTTCATCGCGCGGGACTAATTTTGATCTTTTTCGATCTAAAAGTTAGAAAAAGAAGTCAAAAAAGCAGCCTTATTAAAGGGCCATTGGCATATGTAGATAAAATATTGACGCGAAAGATATTGTAGCCTTGGGGGTGGAGTTAGCTGCTTGACATTCAAAATCTGAACAGACTATAGCATCAAAATTTACTTAGTTCGCATGAGAAATTGTTGAGTATGTAGAAATGAATAAATAAGAAATAGATCAAGTGTAAGACACGAAAATAGTACAAAAGGGTTTGATTCCTCAGAGTGTTAATTGAACATATCTACACTCCAGTTACCACACCTTCATCTATTATGCCCGCAGTCGTGCCACCAAAGCGTCTTAGTCGGGCTTTAAAGCCCGACTAAGACAACGCCTACGTCACCGATTGCCTCGCCACTCAACTTAATAAGGAACTTCAAAGTTCTAGTACTGTTTCCGTATACACAAACGGCCTTAAAGCACGAAAAAGGTTGAATTTTCAATTAGAGAGAAGACGGATGAACAAAGATCCTAAAGGGAAGGAGTGTTGAGAATTTAGAAATTATCAAATAGGAACTAGATAACGTGAAAGACTAGACGAAGAAAATAGTATAAAACGGGTCTGATTCCTCTGTGTGATCGAACGCTTATACAAACCAACAACTGCACACTCCCCGGATCACTCTACTTGTGGAAGACGCCAACGACGACTGATCCCGCTCTCAACTCGCCATTTCATTTTTCACAAAAACATTGAGATCTTATTGTTTAGAACCATTCCGTTTTATTACACGCACACAACATAAAACTTACTGCAGAAAAAATTTTTGGCTCTAGGATGGTTGAAAGAGGTAGAACGTCAGTCGGCACTTTCTTACATTCTTTGTCAAACTCTTTGAGCGTAGATCGGAAAATCTCAACTGATAAAATTAAAACCAGAGGTGGAGAAATGGCGCTTTCTTGATAGTTCGCTGCCTAGGGCGCCAGGGGACAAAACCGCAATGGCGAAAAAGAACGCGAATAATTGAAATCTTCTAAAATCTTGTAAAATCGTTGTTTTCGAAGCTTCCAAATTTAGGTCATTTGAAATATTTCAGAAATTTAAATCTCTGTTTTTGTGGCGGCAGAAATTTATGCTCTCAGCAGATCCCTAACCATAACTCTGGAACTATTCGCCTAAAGGAATGACACATATAACCGCACTCCCCACAGAAAATTTAACTAGACATTATATAGTCAATGTTTCCCGAATTGAAAGGCGAGGGAGGCGGGGCAAGGGGCGGGACGCGTAGCGTGTGCGTACGCGGTTCGAGCATTCAAAGCTAATTTATCGCTCTTTTCAATTCTTTTTAAATTATTTATTGATTAAGTTAATTTGTGCTCAAAAATAATTAATAGAAAGTACAGAGAAAGAGCGGTTACCGAGCTTTTTAAATAGTCGGCGGCAATTGAATTGAACTGGCGCCAAGAACGGCGTACGCACACGCTACGCGTCCCGCTCCTTGCCCCGCCTCCCTCCCCTTTCAACTCGGGAAACATTGACTATAACCACTGAAAGTTCTTAAAAAGTAATGAAAAAACTGCGGAAACCAATATAAAATGAAAAATGAACAAAAATGACAATTTTCGCCTAACTTTCGCAACGTCGTATTGAACACCATCGCCACACAATGGCGCGGCTTATTTTATCTCAGAGGCCTGATGGCTAAGGCGGGCATGTTGCGTGCCCCTCATTTCTTCCACCTCTGATGAAAATGAATTACAGTCTGTTCAGATTTTGAATGTCAAGTAGAATGACGTCATTCAAAAACTCTCTGTGGATGGCTCGCTCTCTGATTGGTTCATCGCACCATTATGGGCGGAGCTTGAGCGACGACTTGACATTCGAAATCTGAACAGACTACAGCCGCGTTCGAAGCTGACTTGGCGTGCTTATAGCAAAACAGTTTTTCTCGGTCAAAAGGATGAGCCGAACCGCAGGAAAACGCGGCAGATTCTCACAGTGATTGGTTGACTCCGCCCGCGTGTAGAAAAATATTTTGGAAGTAAATCTATATTGGACATTCACCAAAAAGGCGAAGTCGTCCGATCACGCTGAGGGAATCCGCTTCATTTCGCCGTGTTTCGGCTCGAGCTGTTTAACCAGAAAAACTGTTTCGCTGGACGCGTCAAATTAGCTTTGAACGCGACATCATGAAATCATACCTCATTGAGAATACTAAATGCGCAAAGAGAGTCATCTGTCATCGGGATCTTTCGTTTGGAGGGCATCAGAAAATTTTTTGGAAAACCCAACGAAATCGCTGCAAAAAGTTTTTTTTTTAGGACGAACAAATTTGGGATGTGTTGCACTCGCAGTGCCCCAGGCGTTAATGAATACGGTTCTGTGTTCTGAAACCTTCTCCATTCTTCATTGAATAAACAACGTCATAAATTTGCGAAAAAAAAAAAATTATATCGTGTCCAGTCTTGTTCGAAGGCCGGTCCGTCAGCCTGTCGGCCCATTAGCAAATTTCTAAACGCGGTCTAGTGCAAAAAATGGCTAGCCCGGCCCTAAAAGCTCAAACTTTTTCAAATGGAATATCAAGCTTTTCACGCATGTTTGAGGCAGTGCTACGGATATTGCGACGTCAGTTTCGGAGCCAGGAAATTTATTTAATGTTTTTTTTCATTTTTGTTGAGGATCAATTTCTCGAGGTTACAAGATAAGGTACGACACAAAAAGTACACACGCTTTAATTTTATTACCGAAAAAAACCTATCCTAACTACCGTAACACAGCCGGCCGCCTTAAACAGGCGTGTTTAGGACAAAAAAATTTTTTTTATTGTTTTTACTCAGAGTTCAACATAAACTATGATTTAACAAGTAAAAAAATAATTTCTCGGTGAAAAATGTTCTTAATCAAATTTAAATTTTTTTCGAAGTCCGGCCTGACGCAAAAAGCCTGATCGTGCCCGTCCAACTGAGAAAAACGAACATATTTATAAGCTGATTCACGGCTCGCTTGAGCCATCGATAAAAAGGGTCGTGGCACGATAATAAAAGAGATAGTGCCTGGTTTGTGGAGAGCACATCAAAACATCAAAACGCGAAGAAGGAGCTCATTAGCGCTCTAAATTTTTTATATACAGAAGCATTAATTTTTAGTCTGGAAAAAACTATTCACGCGTTGAAACAAGTTTTTTTTTTCGTTGAACGCCTTTTCTATTTATAGTCTGTTCAGACTTTGAATGTCAAGTAGAATGACGTCATTCAAAAACGCTCTGTGGATGGCTCGCTCTCTGATTTTTTGCCGTGTTCAAATTAATTTCCGCGAAATGCAAAATGGTCTCTGACCCTCCAAAATTTAGTTATCTTTCTCTTTCTCTGACGGCTATTTTGAATTTCGCGGAATTACTTTGAACACGGCATTTTTTATCGCACTATTATGGGCGGAGCTTGAGCGACGACTTGACATTCAAAATCTGAACAGACTCACAGTGTTCCCAAAGGAGCGGCAGCTGTGGTCAGTAGGCGTGGCTGACTGCAACAGCGGCACGGTTTATTGCAATAGGGGCACGGGAATGAGAGTCAAGTTTTGTGGATTTAGTAGTTGGAAAAAGACCATTAAATGATGTTTTTCCTAGGTTCTCGCAAGTTTTCAAAGATTTTTAATGTGTATTAAATTATAACGAACAAATTTAAATGAAGAAAGAGACGAAAAAGTTTTTGCAAAACAAAATATCTCCCAAAATGTCGTTTTTTAGAAAAACTCGTCAAATCGAACTTCCAAAGGGAAAAATTGAGAAAAAAAGCTCAAAGCACTTCTCTTAAGAATTACCATTTGAACGTTTTAAAAACAAAAAAACAGATACATAATAGCTTGTGCGAATAAAGTTGTCACACAAAAATGACATTTTTCAAGAATAAATTCGTCGAATACTGCCTCGAAAAAATTTTTTTGAGAAAAAAATCTCACAGCGTTTCTCTTAAGAAAGTCCATTTGAAAACTCTAAAACAATAAAACAAACGAAATATCTTATGCGAAATAAGTTGTCATCAAAAATGTCATTTTAATGCGAATTTCTGTGACGAGAACAATCGAAAATCACTTCAAATCTCTGGAAAACGCGATAAACACGTTTTAAGAACACATACAACGTAAAAAAAAATACGAAAGAATGGTAAAATACGCAAGAAAAAGGGAAAAAACCGAAGTAAAAGTGAATGAATTTTTGTGGGGGTGACACGCGCCGCACCGCGTTGCGTTAGAAAAAACTCGCGTTTTCGCCCCATTGCGACGACCTTTTTTTTTCGCTTGCCGCCGTCTCTTTTGGAACACCGTGAGACTATAATGAAATTTTTGATAAATTTAAAAACATTTAAGAAATTCAAAGTTTTGATTTACCGCTCGAAAAATTTTGGCTATAGAGCGCGCTTAAGCCTTTTCCTCCTACATCACTAATGCCGTGTTCAGTAATTTCCGCGAAATGCGAAACTGTCTCTGACCCTCCAAAATTTAGTTCTCTTTCTCTTTCTCTGACGGCTATTTTGAATTTCGCGGAATCACTTTGAACACGGCATAAATAACTGACGAGATAAACGCGAGGTCGGTGGCGGTAAATTGACAAACTCGCAAACATCTCGCTTTTTTCTAGGCGCGATCTCGCATTTATCTCGGCGCGACCTCGCATTTGTCTCGGCGCGACCTCGCATTTATCTTGCATTTCAGAAAATTTTCAAATTGCGAGAGAAACGCGGGCTCGCGCCCAGAAAAATGCGAGACCGGAACTTGTTTTCTTTTCTTTATATCTATACCCTCATTTTTTTTCATCAAGTATAACTCTTGAAAAAAGTTACACGGAGTACGAATTTCATGATCTCAATTTGTTTTTCCAATATATTCGAATATCTTCGAGTGCTTTTTTTGTGTATAAATGGTTGCTATCATTTTGAAGCTTATAAAGTACAGATCACAGAATGTCGAAGCAGGCGGAAATAAAGGAAACACACTCGCAGTGCTACGACTGCTATGCCAGTTTAGAAGAGCTCCGCCACTGCATTTTGGACGGCCATCCCGTTTTGGTGATTTTGCGAGGAATACAAGGCAGCGGAAAAAGCACATTGGCCAAGTATTTTTTTTTAGCAAAAAAGATTGTTCGAAAACGAAAAGTTCACGAACTATTAAAAAAAAGTGAACGATTGAAATACTCTCTTCAATTTTGCATAATTTTGGATTTTTCAAAATTTATTAATCATCTTTTTCAAATCTAATCTCTTGCAGATTTTTGGCTGGCTTGAAGGAAGGAAGCGTCATCTGCAGCACCGATGATTTATTCATGAAAAATGGCGTCTACGAATTCCAGGTCGAAAGGCTGGACGAGTTCCATAAAGTTAACGTTTCGAAAGGTGAGAAGTATTAATTTTTTGTTGAAATGTTGAAATCCAGTGCGCCAGTCTCTCGATAACAATGTCACGCCTATTATCGTGGACAACACGAATATCCAATTTATCCACGTGAAGCCTTTGGTGACAATGGTGAGCTGTCGTGAATGAACTATACTGATACTCTTCCAGGCGGTTCGAAGATATTACGAAATCTACATTTTAGAACCAGAGACAGGTTGGAAATATAGCGCGAAGGAATGTTTTAGGTTGGTAATTTATGATCAGCCTTCAATTTCTCTTTCTTTTTTTTTCAGAAGAAACGTTCATGGCGTTACAAAAGAGTCCTTGGAAAGAGCTCTTGAGCTCTTAGAACTAGAAGGAAGACCTCCTTTTGAGAAACTGGTTCCTACCAAAAACTTGAAGTTTTAAAGATTTGTTATCACGGCGCATACCAAATGTTCAGAATCGGTCCATTAACCCAGATTGAAACTGAATATTCAACGCAGGTATTTAATATTTTGCCCGGTTTGCAAGTGTTCTGTTTTTTTTTAAATGTTTTTTTTAAAATTTTATAGTCAAAGCTGGTCCTTCGGCCAGCCTATTTTCTTTGACTCCGGAAGATCCGCGCAAGAAAAAAAAGTCAGTGCGGTCAGTTGGAACCTTCGTAGACGTTGCAGCAAGTTCTCCCAAATTTACTCACAAATTAAAAGCAAATGACTTGAGTTGCTCGGAAACTGGCAAGTTTGCAAGATCCGCGACACCTCGAAGAGTTTTGTGAAGTTGAACAAGTTCCTGTGAAGCTGGAGAAGGTGGAGCTGAAGACGAGAGCCTCGCAAACTGATTTCAAAAAAGAAAGTACGTTTTTTTAAAGTAGTTAGTTAAATATAGTTAAATATTATTTAACTATATATATATAAAAAAATATTTAACTATATTTAACTAACTACTTGAATAGTTAAATATTTTTTTAGATTCCAAAAATCCCAAAAAAATAGAGTTCCAGTTAATGGTTTAAAAAAATTGGATATAAAATTGAATTTTCAGTCGTCGCAGAGATGAATCTGATCGTGAAGAAGAATTCGATCCTCTCGATATTTTTTTCTATCCGTTTTTCCCTGGAGAACACCCCATGATTTTATACGATTTGTACTGTAAACATCAGTATAAAGTCGCCTTCCAAATAGTTCTCGAAATGGGAGCATGTTTGGACGAAGACGTCAGCTGGGAGGACATTTCTACAAAAAATAAAAACGTTAGTTTTCCATTATAACTCTAGAAAAAATTGAGTGAAGGAGAAAAAATTGCATTGGGTCAAGGAGCTGGACCAGTTTCTCAGCCAGACATATCACCAAGATGTCTTCGACGAGGATTTCGGTAAAGTCCGTTCAGAACAGCTTCCTAGCAACGAAAATCGTTATCATTCTAGGTGAAAACTGAAAAAGCAGAGATCTTAATTTTTTCTCTGATTTTTCTAGTGCCTCAGAAAGCTGCTGTGAATAAAGTAATCTCTTTGGGATCGCCAATTTTGATTATTTTTCAGATGATTCGTTCTTGGATGATTTGAGTTTCTATGAGTTCGATCCAACCTGTAAGATAAAAAATGAATTATTGTTTTGAAAAATCGAGTTTCCGGCGTGAAAGCCTTTCCGAGCTTGACGAATGAGAGCCCGCAGCCGTCTTCGCCTCGAGGAGAAACGATTGGAGACAAAATGAAGCTGGCGAGAATTTGTGAGATGTTTCCTGGAATGAATACGCGGGATGTCCAAGAGTACTTCAGATGGTGCGAGTAAGTTTTTTTGATTTATCAATTGAGAAATCAATCTTGGCGGAAAGTACAACCGAAATATACTTACAGGGAAGGTCATTTCACTTTGTGGTTGGGAAAATCTTAAATTTGGCCAGAATACTTTTTGATGTACAAGAAGAAGAATCTGAAAGTCTCAACCTGCACAACTTCCTAATTTTCGAGAAATAAAGGCTAAAAGATCCAAAATAGCCTATTTTTATGATTTTGAGGATTTTCTTTGAATTTGAGGCGTCTTTTCTCAAAAACAAGGAAGTTTTGCTGGTTGGGATTTTCAGAATATTCTTTTGGTACATCGAGGATCGTTCTCGCAAATTTTCAGGAAAATCCCAACCGCAAAGTAAAATTACCCCCTTGTTACAGAAATTAACTCCTCCAAAATCTAGCTGAGTTTCATCAGCCAGTTAATTAATCATATTGTTTACAGCAATAATGAAGACATGACGATTGATGTTCTCAGAGACTATATCAGTATGAACCCGAAAGCCCAAAATAAAGTTATATATGTGATTGACGCTAGATACAGATGAAACATTTTTTGGAAAATGTTTAGGGAAATCAAATGGCGTCGACGAGCGCTCTTCATTCTACATCACTACAAGATGCTCACTCGGAAGTGATCCCCATCCTGAAAAAGATGAAAGTATTCGAAATTCTCCTCAATTGGAGGAAGATTGTGTTAAGGAGATGTATCAAACATACAAGACGTTGAAAAATGCCGCGAGTTCCTATGGAAGCAGTGCCAACAAAGTACAACTTACCGTTCATCACATCAAAGAAGTTTTATTACATTATGTTAAACAAAAAAATTTTTAAAAATTCAAAGATGGCCGTCTTGAGAGGGAAAATGAACGATAGCAGGCAGCGTTGCGACGAGCTTATCCGAGATGCGCATAAGAATATGGTTCACCTCGACTTGCACTACATGACGGTGGAGGGGGCCAAGGCGTTGTTCCTAAGCAAATTGAGGAACTTCAAAGGTGATAATCATTTGAAAAGAAATAATCTTGCGTGAGTTTTTGAAAAAGTAGTCCAAAGTTAGTGAATCATGGTCGAAATCGAGAAGTTTATACAAAAGGGGAGTCCGGAATAAATATTTTACAAACTTCACGCCCGCCGTGTTCAAAAAATTTTGGCAAGGAATCAACTCCTTTGTTTTTAATCGGAAATAAATTTTAAAAGGAAAACATTTCACGCAAAAAAAAAGTGAAACTATGGCTGGAGAGGCGTGAACTACGGATTTTTTTCGAAAAGGAATTCAAATAGTTCTTATTAGAAACAATTTTGATAGTCGAATTCTTTTTTTCAATATGTGCGGAAAAATCTTTAAAAAAAGTGAATTGTATAAAAGAAGTTTTCAGAAGGGAAACTGCACGTCATCACCGGCTATGGAAAAATCACAGGAAATTCAAATATCAAAAATACCGTGATTGGCCATCTGCGTAAAAACAACATTGAGTGAGTCAAATGGCTGTCGAACTAAAAATTACGAAATTCTTTCCAGATTCCATCAAGAGAACGAAGGAAAAATAGTAATAACGATTAGAAGAAGATAGTCTCACCCATATAGCCTTGTTTTCTGCTGTATAATTTTTTTTAGATGTTTTTGTTGTTTTCTGAAACAAATACTTCTCTTGCCTTTGTTTTTGTATTTATCCTCACTGGACACATATCTTTGTCGCCATCACTTATCTCTTATCGACGGATTCTAAAAAATTAAACAATTTTCAATAATGAAAAAAAAAGGATAAACTTTTATGAAAGTCTTGCGCAATAAAATAATATCGAAGAGGATGTTGTTTTCACAATAGAAAATGAACCAGAAAAGACTAAATACACTCTGTTCGAATAAAAAAAAAAGGGAAAAAAAAACTCCGGGTTTAAAACGATGAGAAAGACAAGTACAACATGTGGTGGTTAGTGGATTCAGGTCTTCCTCTGGAGGATCCAGCAGAGTCTCAGACGGCAGAAAAAAGCTTGCACAGCTGTTCGACAGGAAGATCTCGGTGTTTGAGGGCCAGTGACTTGCGAGCCAGAAGCTCGCCGCTGCGCAGACTCCGAACCGCGTCGCGCTGCTTCACCGTCGGCATAGTCAGCATCGACGTCGTCCTCTGCATCGCCGCCTTCGATGTCTGTGTAATTCCAATTCACAGAATTCATTGAATAGTTAAAGATTAGAGAAATCGCAGAAAAAGTCTACATGGCTGAGGAATGTGTAGAAATAATAGTTTTAAAAGAATATAGAGAAAGATCGGCTTCTATACTTTGTCTTTGAACGAAAAACCTTGAGAGCCTCCAGCAGAAGTCGCATCGATTGTTCTAATATGTCGAAAATCTTTTGCAGGCTCAAACTGCCAGCACAGAGGTACTGCTTCAGTTCTGCTTCTCTTCGCCGAAGTTCTTCCAAATCTCGTTTCACTTGCTCGATCTCTTCGCCCGAGTCCTTCGAAGAGGTGAAGAAAATCGGGAAACAGAAATGAAACCTCAAGGAATGGCTTATAGGAGTTAAGTAGGGCTTCGTCCTTCGTGGCCTTCATGGCGGCGTTCAGTTTCCCTAGCATTTTTTCCAGTTGCTCGACAGCTTGCGTTATCTCATTGAGTATGTAGGTTCTAAAGTAGTTGAGTTTGGAAAGAAAAAATAAAGAAAAAAAAAACCGGACTGGAACCAATTTCATTTCAACTTCTTGAACCGAAGAAATATTAAAATCTGAGAACGTCGCGATCAAATCTGCCATCCTTATATTGCTGTGACGTCCCTGATAATAAAATATTCTTGTTTGAAGTTCCCAGCCTACCTTTCCTCTCAGTTGGAGTAAAGATGGGAGAGAGGAAAGAGAGAAACCGGCGGCTTCGGCCCAAACCGATCCCTAAGAATGGTGATTTCATTTCTCAAGCTAATAACTACCTGATTGAGATAATTCCCGTATTGAAGACACTTCCTCAACAAATTTTGCACAAGTGGTCCTCGCGACATTTCACACGCCTCGAAAAGAGCTTCGATCCAATTTTTGAACTTTGAAACCTAATAAAAAGTTATCAACACTCCGAGATTATTAACCTCTGAAGAAAACGTGTCTTTGGCAATCAACAGTTCGATTCTCAACTTCAAACTGGGCTTTCTGGCAATGTGCCAACAGAACTGGTCGCTGGCATGAGTCAACGTACGAAACTCGACACGTTCAAAAGCAGCCAACTGTCAAGTCCGTTAATTATAAGAGAGATTCGTGAAGAGAACCTCTTCAACTTCCGGATAAATAGTCAAAAGCGTGTTCATCAGATCAACTTTCATGTCGTCGGTGTTGTTGGTCTCTAGTTTTTCGATCAGCTGATTATAGTCCAGAGGCCGCAATCTAGGAAAAGCTGACGAAAGCATTATGTACAAAGTTTAGTGATACTTCTTGAGGAAGATTTCGATGGACAGAGCCTTGTTTGCGGACAAAAGCGAAGTCGGAGACGGCGAATCACAAGAGGCCGAAGCAGTCGCCCGAGCGCATTTTGCACCAAAAGAACGGCCGACAGACCCGCCTTCCAAAGGAGACCTGTTCGATTTCAGACTTGCCTCTTCGAAGATTTCTTCCATCTGTCAGGAGACTTTAAATTTGAAGAAAGTTTGTTTTCATACCTTCGACCTTTCTTCGGCGTTAAAATCCACACAGAACAAGTCATTGAATACGGTTCCAGCACCTGAAAAAATAACTTTCTTTCCTTCATTTCCATTTGGACTTTCCATAGTGTTTTTTTTCCCGCCTTGGTCTACATTTGGAAATTTTTTTTTCAAAGTATTAAGCAGTCCCTTTCCTTACTTTAGAGCTCTTCAAAAGAAATTTGAAAGTGATGTTCCTTTAAAAATGATTTATTCTTGCGAAGCTATTATTGACAAAAAACTCCCACTCTCAGTTACTTGATAATTCAAAAACCTTGAACTTGTGACTGATTGAGCTTTTTGCCAACGGACGACGCACGTTTTTCCGTTCTTTGGGATACACAATAGAAGATTTTACAGCCGACGGCGACGGAGTGGTTATTGGGTCAAAAATAAGAAAAAAAGAGTATTTACAGTATTATTTGTATTTGACGTCGAAAAAAATCTCACTTGTTGAGCCGGCTGCGTTGAAGAATCCGGGCGGCGGCGGTGGAGGCGGAGGTGGAGGTCCTGCTCCAGAAGTACCTGCTGACGTCATCTGAGGAGGAGGCGGCGGAGGAGGTGGCGGCGGCGGAGCAGAACATATCGGAGGTATTTTGCCATTCTAAAGACTCAAAAGGAATGATGAGTTTTGAAAAAAAAAACTGAGGCTTTGAAATCACCTGTGAAAAAGAAGGCGGTGGCGGTGGTGGTGGTGGTGCAGAACAAACAGGTGGAATGCTTCCATTCTGTAAAATCGAAAGAAAAAAATTATATTTCGATTAGAAAAAAATTTTTTTGATCTGCTAAGATTGTAAAAACATAGAACTTTTTCAGAAAATCGAAAAGTTCGGAAAAAAAAAGCTGATGAATTTAAGCCTTCGAAACGCATTTTATGAATCGAAAATAGTCACCGCAAGTTTGAGAATATGTAATAGGGTGTTGACAAAATCAGAAGTAATGCGCAAAAAATCTCAGATAACGCAGTAGTATCTTGACTCAGCTATTACTGAAAAATACATCGGCTGAGGAAATTTTTGAATTGTTCCAGAAAAAAAAAAACCTTTTTTCAATAAATTTTTTTCTGCTTTATAAGAAAAAAAGCTCAAGGTCAAAAGCAAATTTTTTCAAAAATCTATCAAGTTTTGGTCGATACGAGAATAGAAAATCACCTGAGAGAAAGGCGGCGGCGGAGGTACTGATGGGCCTCCCGTAACTGGTGGCAGCATTCCCCTCATAAGACTATTATTCATTTCAATCAAAGGAGGAGCGGATGGACCCCCAGTTATTGGTGGTAGTGCATTGTCTGCGTCAGAGCTATTCAGCTTCTGAGGTGGCGGAGGAGGTGCTGGTGGGCCTCCAGACACAGGAGGAAGCATTGAATCCACTGTAGAACATCCGTTCAGAGGCGTTTCGTCCAAATTTTTTATCTTCGACGTCGGAGGCGCGGGAGGTGGCGGCCCTCCAGTCACAGGCGGTAGGTTGTCGTCACTTTTTATCTCTGCAACTTTTTCTTGGGATGGAGACGGCGAATCAGTCACAGTCGGCATGGAAAATTGAATAAGAGCAGAAGAACAGTCGACAGGTGTCGATTTGGAGCGATCGGGACGTTTCACTTTAGGAGACGTTATTCGTGAAATGGGCAAACCCGTATCGTTTTCCTTGACCTTTACTTTCGTTAGAGGTGAGGGAGTGGCTCCATTGGATGAAAAGCTGAAGTCGGCAAAAGACGTGCTGCGGACTCTCTTCTGATCATCTCCTTCGTCTCTTCTCTCTGGCGTCTGGATGGAAAGCGTCGGCGTGAGGTAGACGTCGTGACTGTCCATGCTTCGCGGAGTCGCTGACTTGGTATCGCCAGAGAGCTCGTCGTACTCGCAGAGCGACGGCAGATGCTTCGGCGTCGAGTTTTTCGAAGTGAGGCCTTGCGTCGACATCGGAGAACTGCTCAAAGCCGAAAGGGTGGATGACGAATTTTTGGCTTCGCGCGTCGAGAAGCGGTAGATGAATGAGTGGGACTCGACGTTTTCCTCCATCGGCCTAGGTGAAAAAAAGTTTTTCAACTGAGTCTGCTTAGTTTTACATTCAACCATTTTTTTTCAAGTCAGTTTAATGTCAGTTGACAACTGACGTCCTTTTAACTTAAGTGATTTCAGAAATAATAACTTTATCGGAGAATAAGTATTTCATAATGGTTTTACTTCTGCACAAATTTCCTATAACTGTTTAATATTTTTTTCAATTTCAAAAACGCCCAGAGACAGTGGCATACCGTCTAATTATATCTTATCATTTTTTTCATTTTTTTGAGGGAGGCGGGGGGGTTGGCAAGACTGAGGAGATATATTATTTCGAAGGTTTTACTTATATTCAAAATCTTTTCAAATATTCAACAAGTCTAAATATAAATTTATCATGACGCAATCTTTTTTTGGTCTATAACTCAACACTGAAAATCTTTTTTTGCTAGATCATGCTTTGCTACATCTGAAATTGCTTCAAAAAAATATTCTGTGCAAACCTAAAAATCGAAATGAAAACATTTCCCTTCCTGGCAGATTAGGTATGGCATTTTTCACGTGATTATAAAAAATAAATGTAATATTTCAATTGGTCAAAAGATGATAACGAACTGTTAAAAAAAGAACAGAATTGAAATAAAACATTATCTTTCTCACTACAATCTTGGTAAATTTACGGTCCTATTGATTCAGATATTTTCATAAAATCTTGAATCATGTTAGTTTTTTTGAGTGAGCTCACTGTTCCACTGTTGTTTTCAACTTCAAATAAAAATGAGTATTCCAAAAACACTAACGCGCTTCTATAGGCGCTGTCATGGCTAGAAAAAAGTCACCTCCTGGGAGTAGAAGCTTGGGTGAAAGAGTGAGATAGGGTCGAAGCTGCGACATCAGTTTCCTGAGAATATTTCATAATTTCTCGCCAAAAGACCTTCTTACCGGTATGTCTTCCTCCAGACACACCTTAACAGGTAACTTCACCGCAACGCTTCGATGTCGAACACCTGAATCGCGAGTTATTCCGAATCAAAGTGAGGAGAGGTCTCACGTGGAAGAGCGGCCGTTTTGGCATCCATAAAGGACGGAGTTTCAGTCTGAACTTGTGCATCGGATAGAGTCCGTCCTGTCACTAAGTACTGAGACATTCGCTCGCAATTTGAAAGAAATTCAAAAAAATCAAGCTGAAATATCCAAAAAGCAATTTCGATACGTTTTTGAAAACTGACCAAATTTTTCCACGTGGCGGGGTCGGCTCTCTCTTTTATCCTCCAAAGACAGTTTATGGGGCTCATTTTTTCATCTAAGAAGGTTTTGTTAAAAACGAAAAATTCCTTGACATCCAAACTGAACAATTCATAGTCTTTCAACTCTCTGTTGAGAAAAATGCGAACTTCTTTCATCAGAGACGCTTCTTTGACCTTCTGAACAGACGGGGAACGAAGTTCCGAAAAGAGACCAAATTCTGCAAAGCATTGAAACTTTGGTAACAAAAAGTGCCTAACCGATAAGTTTTTGGCGCAAGTGATATCGTTGAATATACGTTTTCTCAGAAATATAAGCGTTTATGAACGCCAAATTACACGCCCGAGCTTTTTCTGAAGAAGAATTTCGAAACTCTTTTACAGCCGCCTTCAATTCGCTCGCAGAGCCTTCAGCAGAACCGGCTGTCTGCTGAAATTCAAATCCGAAAATGAAAAAAAAAGACTTCATCGACGTTAGCGACCACTGTAAAAGGTGTTTCCTTTTTTCTGATCAGGCCAAAAAATTGTTAATTTCAGATAAATTCAAGGTAACTAACGTTTTTTTCATGGATAAGATCAGTGGCGTCATTCAGTTTCCGAGGATTGGAGTTTTCGTCTGCCTGACAATCAATTATCAGAGGAAAGTCGAAATCATCTTTTTCGGCAGCTTTTTTTGACTTCGAAGAATGAGACTTACTTTGGGGCTCTTCTTCACTACCTAGACGATTCAATTTTAGAAAAAATGATAAAATAAACAAACACCATTTTTTAAAGATATCAAATCTTCTTTTTGTGATCTTCTCAAGGCTTTTGCTAGTTTTTTCTTGGCCATTCGTGTGGATCTATAAACATTTTAATGAGTTTATAAGAACATTGAAAGCAAATTTTGGAAAAAAAATAATTGAGATAAAAAGAAAGACAATTCGAAGTAGGGAATCGATCTAACGGCATCGCGAAAAACTAACTCACATTCCCACGTGTCGTTCATTTTATAGATCAGCGAAAAAAAATTCGATAAAAACGTACATGATTCTTATTGGCATCAAAAAAATACAAGCTGATTTAAATTGATATACATATACAATTGCAAGTACAGCATGATGATAACTGAATTGCAAGTCAATTGAATTAGATGATCTCTATGTTCGAAACGGGCGTCGGATCATAGGCCTCTACAGATAAGCGCTTGATGAATGATTCCCGAAGAAATGTCAAGAAAAAAACTTCTTCGAATCTCTTCATGCATGAATTTCGACCAACCAAAAAAATTTGAGAATCCAGAGAGACAGAGAGATAGTGTAATATAGAAATGAGAAATGAAGTTGACGCAACGTCGAAATATTTTTTAGTTTTGAACAGAGGTGTATAGTAATTGACTAATTCGGTTGGGAGCCACCGTAGCCATCTTCGTTAGAGCACGTTTTCCTAAAACTTCGGTTCTTCATATTTTAAATTTTTTTTTTTTTCATTTGTGGGCCCATATGGGTGGTTGGTGATTCTATAGTCCGTTCAGATTTTGAATGTCAAGTCGCTTCTAAAGCTCCACCCCTAATGGCCCGAAAAGCCAATCAGAGAGCGAGCCATCCACAGAGCGCTTTCGAATGACGTAATTGTACTTGACATTTTAAATATGAACAAACTATAACTAGGGAACGTCATCAAAAGTTTAACCGGGGAGTGAAAAACGTTCCCTGGTAAGTCGCTTGAAAAAAATTTTTTTTTTTGAAAAATGATCTAATTAGGTGCTTGGATTTCTATATTTTCTTCAGGGACCAGTGTTTTCGGAAAAAAATATTCATTCATAGTGTATACCTCCACTCGTTCTTTAATGTTTCCAAGTTTTTTTCCAAGTTGTTGACCAAGCGGACAAACTCCTTTTCTGCTTCTTCCGTTGTAATTCCTTCATTTGAAGCAGTTATATCAGAGATTTCAGCACGTAAACCTTTGCAAGAATTCCAAGCATGCCACTTTTCGTTTCCATGTATCCACGACCACATCCAACTTCCATGTTCGTCATCCACGTAGTCTTGCTCTCAAAGGTCAGTTGCAAAACTACCGTATGATTTTGCAATTTGAAGAATGAAGCTTAAGTAGGTGAAATACAGGCGCCGCTATTTCTAGACCAGGGGCGTGGCTTGCCTCACCGTAACCTTGTGCGGTGGCGCGCACATACCTACTTTTTCCTCAGTCATTTCCTTTATACTCATTTTTTTTCTTTTTCATATTTCTTTTAAGTATTCCCCTTTGATTTCAATATAACTCCTTCTATTTCTTAATTTTCGAAGATATGGTTCTTCTCAAGTACTTTCTTTGAAATCATTCTGCAAAAAATGTGGAGCAGCATTTATTCATTGCTTCACAATTATTAGTTTTCTAATTGTTGGTGGAGAGAAAATTGACGAACAAATTCAAAAAAATTCAGCTATTTTTAATCACTTTTTTTGGATTCTTCAAATTATTATACACTGCGCGTAATAAGCATAGGAATCCAAATAAGTTGCGCAATTCCATACTTTAGAAATGAGTTAAGAATATTCTACCAGCGTAAGACTTTTGAGTGTACGGAAAGAACTTACCGTGCGAAAAATCTCGGACGAACTCGAATCTATATGGCAACGCGACCCAATAAAAACCGAAAAAAACAAGACGCGTCAAAAAGTTTAGGGTATATGCGAAATTTCTCGAATTATAACGCAGTAAAGGATTGTCAAGTAGAACTCGAAAACTTTGAAGAGGCATAAATCTCGCAAGGCCTAAAAAAACACTGAAAAACTGCACCAATTACTTTTTATTCAATTTGACTGTGCTCTATTAAACATTTGAGGTACACTGAGAAGAACTGCCGAGCTCGCTGGCGGTACATTGACGAATTCGTAAACATGTCGCTATGTCTTCGCGCGGGTCTCGCATTTTTTTAGAAGCGGCCTCGCATTTATCTTGGCGCAACATCGCGATTTGAAAAATATTCAAATATTTACTAGTTCGTTAAAAAAAGCGAGATAAATGCGAGATCCGCGCGGAGACGATATTTAAATATTTGCGTGATTGTCGATGTACCGCTCCCGAACTAGGTTTTTATATCACACCCGAATAGCCAGTTATCTTTTTGTGTATCTTGAACATAATATTTAATAGGGAATTTTCTTTTAATTCAGATAGAATCGCTTAACAGCGTCAAGATTTTTGCATGGAGATGAAGGTAAATGACGCGCATGACCAGAGGACCGAAGTTATTCGTTCAAATCCAGGAAAAATGAAGCCGTCGTGACACAAATCTCAAAAATAGATCGTGTTAACTGCAAAATCATCATATCTGCTTTCCTTCTGAAAATGAATTTAGGCTTTTTAAATCTTTACATGCGGTAGCTACACTTCCCACAGCGGTGTATGCTTCGCGGAGATAATAAAAGCAAATAAACTATAAAACTTTTAATTCGACCAAAGAAGTAGTCGTCGACGATGTAGATTTCATCAAATAGTTGGAGTCCTCTTCCTGTGGACTTTGGACACATTCGCAAAGTGTTCAAAAGAAACTAGAAAAAAGGGCCTGAACTTATCAAAATAGGAGATTTTTCATCGAAATAAAGAGCTCACTTTTTATGGCTCGAAAAAATCTTTATGGGAAAGTAGAAGAACCCCGAAAATGAAATTATTCGCAATGGCGTACACTCATTTAAACTAAAAACGATTTTCGGCCTCAAGAAATTCGTCTACGATACTAAAGACAGAAGAACCATGTATTCAAAAATTAAAAATTTAATTAGATAATAGAAGGAGTTATATTGAAATCAAATGGGAATACTTAAAAGAAATATGAATAAGAAAATGAAAAAAAAATGAAGAAATATAAAGAAAATGACTGAGGAAAAGTAAGCATGTGCGCGCCACTGCACAAAATTACGGTGAGGCAAGCCACGCCCCTGGTCTAGAAATAGCGGCGCCTGTGAAATACTTACTGGGGACGTTGATGTTGCCGACAGTGGCTTGTTGATACATTGCCCAAATCGAGTAGCAATGCTTTTCGAAGCTCACAAAACTTTCGAACTCGTTCACTAGCGACTGAATTTCATTTTCAAGTTTCATCAAAAAACTCCTCAAAAATGTGTTTCGTCACAAGCAACATTTAATCTTTATTTCTCGAGTTTTCGCCGCACAAGACGAGAAAACCGGATAAATTAGTCACATCAAAAGCAATAGAAAAATGGAATTACTTGTCTTTGAAAAAACGGCGCGCGGATCTTTTTGAAGGTCTCGGCAGCCTGGAAGAATGCGGGGTTCTGCATATTTGGTCGATGTGTGAATGGTATTCTAGGCGGCGTTTATTATTGAACCGCGAAAAAAAAAAAATGAGCTGCAATCATAGAGGAGAGAGGGAAATTGCTATCGTTCTTCTTGGTCAATTTTTGCTGAGCGACGGCGTCTCCGTTCTTCTGAAAAGATCAAACATGGGTAGATGTTTATATTTAGTCGCTAGCGAGAACGCCTTTTGCAAGAAACGAAAGATTGATACCTTGATCTTGAAATAATTGTTGATAGCCCTGAAGTTGGTGAATGGCGCGGTTCATCGATGAAAGTTTCCAATTGGACAGTCTCATCGGGTCTCGCAATACGCTCACCATCACTAAATAAATTCAAACATATAAACTTCAAAAAAAGGTCCATTTTTTTTTCTTTTTTGATAACCATATATAGTCTGTTCAGATTTTTAATGTCAAGTGCAATGACGTCATTCAACAACACTCTGTGAATGGCTCGCTCTCTGATTGGCTTTTCGGTCCATTAGGGGTGGAGCTTTAGAAGCGACTTGACATTCAAAATCTGAACGGACTATATTAACAGCCGACTCCAGATCAATAATTTAATCATGAAATTTTTTAAACGTCAAAATTTTCGGCTATTTTCCATTTTCTTAACTCACGCCTGAAACTTTTTTATAACTTTATCTAGAAAAGTATATATCCTTTTTGACTAGAATAAGACAGCGGATCCAAAAACTAAGTGATTTCGAATTATTCATAACTCCTTCAATATTTTTATAGTAACAAATTTGATAATCCCCACTCATGCAGTTGTCTCCTTCTCGCTTTCCAGTACATAAAAAAACGTCGCGGGCTTTGCGAAAACTGAGCATACGAGGCACAAAATCAGCAATTTCCACATTTTCAGGTACCTGAAAAAAACAGGTTTTTAAAATGAAATATCCAAAAAAATTAGCATTCCTCACAAATTATTTTCCATTACCGAAAAAAGTGCGCCTTGAAGGAAATAAAAACAAATTAATTTATGTCCATAACGATGAAATACAAATTTTGCTAACTACCTTCTAAAATGAGTTTGAAAATGAAAAATGCTACCAAAGCGAACTGTTTGAGATGTATCTGTTCTTTTAGAATAACGCAATTCAACAATATTTATGATTCATATGAATTCATGGTAAACAGAAAAACTAATGTCTAACTTTTTACAATAAACTGAGTCCAATGTTAACTTCTATGAGGATAATCCTTTCGAAAAAAAAAAGTGAAAACGTGTAAAACGAGAAATATTGCTTGTGGACAAAGTTAGAAATTCAAAGCTTTTCATTAATTCCACAAAGAAAATGTATTGAAGCAAATTAGCTCCTGTGGGAGAAGTTTATGAATCACTAGTTAACGTCGTTAATAGTATACAAATCGTAGACGCTGGACAGTTATTTTGCCCAGTTTTTGCACCTTTTTGTGCTTTTTCGACTCATTTTTTAACGAAAAAGTGTCTAAGCTCATCGAAAATCAGTCATTTTTGAAAAACGCCACTTTTTGGGCTGGACGTAGAAGTGACCATTTTGCCCACTTTCAATTTTTTTTACTTGTATTTATTGTTTTTATTGGCAAAATCTTAAATCTCTGACAAATGATGATCTCATTGAATTAGTAGAATTCTTAAAGATTAAGAACTTCCGGGGAATCTTTATGAGAGACAATTTGCCGAGTGAAGAAATTAAAGATAGAGAAATTGGTATAGTCAATCTGGATTATTCCAATGATAAAGGAACTCATTGGGTCTGTTACTCAAAGAATGGTAAGCAATTTTATTTCTTTGACTCCTTTGGATTGGATCCACCTTTAGAACTTTTGACACATTACCCATCCATACACATTATTTGCGTCTAAATACAAAAGGAATTTTGGAGTGTATTTATTATTAACCTTACTAGGGTATGGTCTCTCCTGAACATCGGGTTGAGAATTGAGACTATGTAGGTTTGATAGCCCTAGGTAAGAGTTCTCGGATCCAAAAATAAAACTCTGCTAAACCCCTGAGGCAACCGAGGAAAAGCTCGTCGAAAATTTCCCAGCGCGTATATGTCCGCGATCGGAACCTTCGGCTAGCAACTGGCGGCGTGGTGTAGTGTAAGTGGTCTCTCGAAGCTTGTCAATATTGTGACCAGGGTTCAAGTCCTTTTGGCGGATTTCATTTTTGCCGGCTCATAACTTCATCAGTCTCTTGTTTTTGAGAAATTCTTCAAATCTTTACACTAAAAATATGGTGGTATGAAAAAAACAAATACCTACTTCTCATGACAGTATCTTATCCGACAGTGTTTCTCTTAAGATTCCCCGGAAATTCTTTAACTTAAGTACGTCTACTAATTATAAGAGTTCCAAGTTTGTAAGGGACTTCAGATTTTTTTATTAAAAATGAATTTATTGAGCTTTATTTTTTTATTCACCGTTTATTAAAAATTATAATGGTCCTGAAGTGCACCAGTAATGTATTAAATTGTTTGATTTCTCGCTTTAAGTAGCTCAGAATGTGTCATAAAGTGAAAACTGGGCAAAATGGTAACTTCTACGTCCAGCCCAAAAAGTGACGTTTTTCAAAAATGACTGATTTTCGATGAGCTTGGTTAGATACTTTTTCCTTAAAAAATGAGTCTAAAAAGCACAAAAAGGTACAAAAACGTCATTTGGGCAAAATGACCGTCCAACCATTCGTATACTACTGTCGTTTATTTAATTGATAATTAAATGCAAAAAAGTTTTGGAAGATTTTGTCAAAGAAACAAGTTATTGCGTCAAAGGTGCCAATATTTTCGGAAATTTAAAGTTTTTTTTATATATCTGCGTGGCCTGAAAAATAGAAATAATACAAAAACGGAAAACTCGGGAAAAAAAAAACTGAATTTTCAGGGGTGAGGACATGAAAATAAACTCCGAGGCGAAAAATGACGAATTCTTTAGAAGTGACACGGATCTATCAAAAATTCCGTTATTCAAAGCTCCGACAATCGCGGAGTTTCCGCCATGACCACGAGCGGGATTTTGATAGTGGCGAATCCATTGTCTTTTGCGACAAAAAAGACTTCCTCAACGTAATTGCAAAAGCTTCAAATTGAGAAAAGTAAAAAAAAAAAGAAGATCTTTTCTTCAAGAAAAGGTTTGAAGAGTAAGTGGATCGAATTCGGCGGAGTCCATCTCTATGAGTTGAAGTAAACGAGCCATTTCAAAATGCTTTTTTTCTGTGAAAGACTCCTCAATTTTCTCGAGTGGCCCTGGAATCTTCTAAAATAAAAAAAAACCTATTCTCCGTACAAATCTATCTCGTCACAAAAATAAACAGATATAATTCGTTTTGATTGTACTGAAAATTTCAAAATTAATTTACGAGATGGGTTCAACTTTAAGGAAATTTTCTGAACATTGCTAAAAAAAAAAGCTCTAAAGGTCTGAATGAGGGAAAGCACTCGACGATTCTCTTTTTTAATTTTCATTTAAATCACAAAACAAATGAAATAAGATTGAAGCTGCTCGCACAATCGCATAGATTTTCGTTGGAATGCTTGTCATAGGCAATTCTTCCGTGTAAATAGCCTCATAAAGAGCGACATCCAGATTATCTGTGCTCTGAGACGCGTGGTGGACTCTAGTCTGAGGAATCTCGACATTTACGGAGGCGGTCACATCAAAAATTGCAACCATTGTTCGACATTATAAATTAATCGCAATCTGAACTTTATCGACTAGAAGACGGGTTTTCTAAAGAATTCTTCTAAACGTTTGGGTCATATCTCGAGTTCGGTAGTCATGAAAATTTCAAGCCTGATTTTCGATTCAACGCTAGATTCGACAACTGAGGGATATACTAACCACCCCCGCCTCAGCTCGAAATTGTTTATTCAAAAGTGATCTGATCTTTAGATAAAAGAGAATAAATTCATGAATTCGGAAATCAGAATTTGAAAATAAGTTATTACACGCAGGATACTGTCCAAACGCGAAAATATTATTTACAATTAGCACATTCTCAGTTTAACCATCTTTGACCACAATATTCGAAAAATGCTCTGAATGGTCAGATCTGGAAAAATAGGGATTTAAAAATTCACTCGTAAGAAGTTTTCACTGAAAGAAAAATAAAAGAGACAAAAACACAGCACTCACTACTAAATGGCTCATGAAGATTCTGAGAAAAATTTTAGGAAGTGAACTTGGGTAATTCGTTTTTCTGTTCTACGCAATAGGAGTGTTCATTGAAGCGAGAAATCGTGGGGGATGAATTGAGGAAGACATTTGAGAGGAACGGAATTGAAGCCATCAATATTTCAACAAGATGGACCCTTGCGTTTACGAGTCACCGCTAAGTTTTCGATTAGGTAAGCCGAGCAGATCTGCCGCGATAATAATGTCAATTTACCTAACGGCGGGGGCCTGTTTTGGACGTGGTTTGCGACGTCGGAGGCTTTTCCCCGCCCACGCACGACTCGCCGTCGAGATTCTGCCATGCTTCTCGCCTTGTGGGTATTTTCGCTTTCTGGCGTCTTACCCCAACTCAGTACGTTTATCTCTCCGTATATCTCTATGGGATTTCAATCCAGATAATTTTCAAAGCGTTTTTTTTCGATCTTGTCATGATCAACTTTTTTCCTGGTTTCTATTTCCCTATTTCACTAAAATGGAGTTCTCTTTTTGATCTTTCAAACGAATTTTCGTGAATACTCAATTTTTCAAAATTTTGAGACGTGTCGAAGTTAAAAAAAAATATACATTTCAAGGTAAAGCCCTGAAGAGGTTTCTAAAATTCTATGAAGAGTGGGATTTGACTTTTTGCATTATTTTGTTGTTGTTGTTTTTAGATGGCCATGAGTACAATCTTTATTGCTAAATCTTTGGTGATGTGTCCGTTTTCAAATTGATAACTGATATTTGATTCAATTCAAAGATATCGACTTTCAATATATACAATTTGAAAAAACAAATATTTTTCCTACAGCGCCTCTTATCGATCCGGGTCTAGACGATGACGAAAAGCCTCTGGAAAAAGATATTCTGGTCATTCCCAATCGATTTCCCAAACGACTCAATTTCTTTTGTGATCCCAAGTGAGTGTCTGGAGCCTTTCCGGAACAGCCGACGTCTACAGGAACGACCTGATGCGAGACCGACTCTGCATGGGCGAAGTCGACGCCTTCGCCATCGCCTGTGCCGACGACTCGCCTCCGCTTCAGCTCGTGCCGTTTTGCTTGGGTTATAAGGTAGTTATGAAGTCTAGTTTTGCAAAGCAGATCTGGAATGATTTTTTGAACTTTCGTTATATTGAATGAGTCTGAGAATCATGAAAAATGTTTTTTTTTCTCGTGAGTATGCTTCTATTTGGAGCCTCTTTTTTGCAGAAATGTACAGCGAATTCTTCGCTAGCTCTCAAGACTCAAACCCCTTTTTCTATTTTTCTTTTATTCATTTTTTTTTTTGAGGTCATTCGCATCGAATTATTTATCAAGCCAGGGGTCAGTTAATTTCATGTAGAGTGATACTATTGAGCTTTCAAATTGTCATATTCCAACGAATTTTTTCAGCATCAATGCGCCAAAGCAAATTTTCCGAATGATGAGTGGTGCGAGAAGGAGTTCGACCATTACCGTGGGTTTGTGATAACCTGTTGAAGAAAATTTGATAAAAAATTGATAAAAAATGTTCAAGTCTATTAATAGATTTTCACGTTCTAAATTAGAGAACTCTAGACTAAAAGCATGGTGAATGAAAAACTCCTGATTAAAATCGATGTCCTTTGGATGAAAACGTTTTTCTTTGTTCTTCCTGGGAAAGTGCGCGAAAGCCAGAGACAAAAAAAAATGGAAGATGGCTGAAAGAAACAAAGAATGAGACGCTATCAATTCTCCCTGAGACAATCAAGTTTCATCACTTCTTCTCGAGATTTCCCTTTTTGTTTCACAAGAACCGGAAAGTGGGATGGAAATTCCAGGTACTGCACGCGATTCCCCAAAAAGACTTGCCGTTCGTGTTCCTACGACTTCACCTGCGTCTGCGAGCCGTTCGACTGCTTCTGGAGGAGGTGAAACTAGAAGTTTTTTTGTACGGATTTTCCATTCTAGATATGGGTTCGAGACTGCGCGTTGGTGCCAGAAGTACGAGTTGGTCTGTGATGAGAAGAAACGTCGGGAGAAGGGCACTGAGCTGGTCCAGCTCATGCAGGACTCCATCCGGGTTCACTACAGGTCAGTTTCCATCTGCAACTGGGAACTTGGAGATTCAGATGCCTGCATTTGTTCAACGTGCCACAGGTCATTTGTGATCCCTTCAGCACACGTTTCGACTGGCCTCGGTGCATGAAGGTAGTTCAAGTTATGAATAAATCATTGGAGAGGTCATTTGTCGGTATATCATATCTACCGTATATGGATAAAATCTACAAAACTCTTAAGAAAAAATTTTACCTCAATAAATTGTCGTGGAAGAATTCTACTCTTGCTTATCAGGGTTTTTTTGAGAGGTTTTTTTCATATACCCCCTTTTTCAATAACTTACATTGCAATATGAACCTGAAGGCCCATTAAGTTCTTGTTCGATTGTGAATTGGTCTCCGAGTGGAAAGAAGACGAGCCTGAAGAGGTTGTGGAACAAGTCGTCCACAAGCAACTCATCAACAAAGCCTCCACGCCAGAGGATCCCAACTTCTTCCAGAGAACCGACCAGATATTGGGTAAAATTCAAGTTTCTTGAGAATCTCCTCATCCTGGTGGCTTTCCAGGAAAAGGTGTCACTTTAGACACGCTGAAAGAGGCGAAAAAGATAGAAGACGCCGAAAAGCAGGTTCAGCAACTTCTCGCATCGCAGGGAGGTGCTCCAGCCCCTGTTGTCAAACCAAAAGTGCCTTTTATTAAATCATAAGATTCTAATATCCATTAATTTGCTCAATTTATCGAATGTTGTACTTTCCTATTGAGGAAAAAAATTTATTAAGTTTATTGAACACTAAAATAAATTAATAAGAACATCAGTAGCTTGACAGAAAAAAAGAGACTGACGAAATTGGCTTAGCATTCAATAAATAAATGGGATATTTCTAAATTAAAGCAGAGAAAAAAAACTTATTATTGATCAAATGAAGCTCGACAAATTCAACAGACGCGAAAGTATGAAGATCAGCATTGATAAAGAAAATAAACGAGTAAAACGTGTGAAAGAAGAAAAAAAAGCTAAAGTGAATGACCCTCCGAACTTTCGCAAAGCAAACAACAAAATACAAGAAAGTTGATAAATTTTCGAAAATTAAATTTTGCTTTCTCATTGCTACCGCTTTTCAAAAGAAAGGAGAAAAGTTTTGTTTTTCAAATAAAAGGGTACACGGGGAAAAGACAAAAACGGGTTATGAAACAAGGAAAAAAGTTCAGCTGGAGCTAGATTTGCGCAGCTTTTTGTAAAGATTGTCGATGGTCTCTTGGTAGGTTTTCTGAATCGGCTTACGCTTCAACTTGAGCGCCTCGGTCAGCAAGCCGCTCTCCGAAGTCCAAATCTCCGGGCACAAATGGATCGCCGCTGGGATTTCAATGCGAGTTAGCTTGCCTGAAAGTGACAAACATTTGAAAGCAGTAGTGAAAAGAAAATTTACTGGATTTGGCATGATCATCGAGTTTCTTTTTGTAGGCATCGACAACTTTTGAGTTGGAGCACAAGTCGGCAAGGTCCTTGGAAGTAACCCCAACCTAAAACAGAAATTGTGTTCGAATAATCCCATAAATGGTTCAAATACTTCTTCCGCGATTTTCTCCAAATTCTTTTGGTTGGGTACAATCAAAGCGACAGTGCTTTCTTCGTGGGAACTACCGTAGACACAAATGTTATCCACGATGGGACAGTTCAAAAGAGCACATTCAACCTGAAAAATCGAAAAATTTTCGACCTGAAGGAATGGATGAACCTTGGCTAGAGAGACATATTCTCCGTGCTGCAGTTTTACTAGGTCCTTCTTTCTATCAACAATCAGAAGAGAGCCGTCGTCCCGCATTTGTCCAATGTCTCCAGTAGCAAAGTAGATCTTTCCCTGAAGAGCCGAGTTTTCCGGATTCACTCACAGAAAACAATACCTTGTATTCAATGAAGTCTTCCTTCGTCTTATCGGGTTGTTTCCAATATCCAGGAGAAATGTTCTCACCGGAGATGAGGATTTCCCCTTGCGGAGGGTCATTGAAAGGCGAGTAGCCGCCTATTATTCAATTTAACAAGATGAAATTTTTAAAAAACACAGTTATGTACCTTCAGGCCATTCGCGAAGAGCAATGTCGCTGCAACGGACAGGTGGACCGACAGTTCCAGTGCTCAGGTCATTTATGTCAGCAACGCAAGCTGCGCCGCAAGTTTCAGTCAAACCGTATCCCTTTAATTATCAGGTGTATTGAGGAAAGAAGAGGCAGAAAACTTGGACAACAGGGCAGCACATGCAGATGTTCATGAAACGCTGCGTTTCCGCATTGAGAGGAGCGCCTCCAGAAAGAACTCCTTTCAGCTTACCTCCCAAAAGTCTGCGAATCTTCTTGAAAACGATTCTGGAAAAAAAAATATCCGTTTTAGGATAGTCATAAATTTCAGTTTTAAAGTTGTTGACAATGTAACTCGAATGGGTCTTAAAGATCGTATTTCATCTTTCTAAAATCGTATTTCATCTTTCTATAGTCGTGAAAACATCACGAATGATAGAAATCTGTATGGAGAAACTGAAGTTATTTCGTTATTGTAAACTATTTTCATTGAAGGCGTTTTTCAGATATTTTTAAACTTTTTCTCTTTTTCACTTTTCTCTCGACACTATTTTTTCTAGAGTTTTTATATTTTCCATCTCTTTAACATCTTAGCTTACCTCTAAACTAAACATGTTTTGCATCCCTTTTTTTCTGTTTGCCCTAGAGGTACCTGTCAAGGAACGGACTGCAGTATCCCTCCTGGTAGCGAGCTCGTTTACGTTCATAATTCAGTTTGAAGAGCTCTTGCATGAATCTTGGGCTGGCAGCAACTTCCTCGGACACTGCTTTGAAAATTCGATCCATGATTGCCTGAAAGACTCTTTCTGAACTCTTAAAACAAAAATAAAAATACGTACGGGAACTGCAGCCATGAGAGTTGGTCGCAAGGCGTGGCAATCGCCGTGTGTTCCCTTTTGAATTTTGCTGGCGCGGTCGTGCAACGTCAATGGCGAGGAGTAGCCGACCTGTTAAAAATTCAAATGAAGTATGATTTTTTTTTTTAGAGAAGTGAATAAACTTAATGAATTGAGCTAATTTTCATTCATTTTTTTTTTGCATTCGAAACAAATTATTGATTAGCCTTTTGAATTCACAGTTTCGAAATTATTTTTAATTCCAATAAATTACCTTGCATCCCTTAGCCAAACAAGTAAGTTCGGCGTCGAGTTCCAGAATGTGAGCCAATGGCAGATATCCGATGTAAGTGTCTTCTTTCCTGAAAGAAAATGAAATAAAAAAGAATGTTTTAATTGCCGATTTCACTCTAAAAAAATTAATAAAACATAATTCAAGATTCCGTCATATTATTACCGACGAGATTTTGAAGTTACATAAATTATAGAAACAAATTTTGAAACAGTTGCTAATAAAACGTGAAACCGAAAAAAACATGGAAATAGATATGAAAAACTAACGTAATGATGGCAACTCCATGATTCTGACCACAGAGAGCAGCGACCACATTTTCGTGGAGCAGAATGACGCCTTTCGGTTGCCCCGTTGTTCCCGAAGTGTACATGATCAAGGCAATATCGGCTGGTGTCGCCGTCGATTCAACTGAAAGAGGAAAAAATAACGAGTTCTGAGCCGTTTTTTTTTTTGAATTGTTTTGTTAAATTTAGCTTACGCAGAGGTGTTTTGTTTCTGGACATGACACCGTTTAGAGAAAGGACGTGCTTGAACTGGTTCCTGAAGTCGCTCAAGTCTTTCAATTCTTCGTTCTCGGAAACTTTGGGGAAATAGATCTGTAGGCAGTGATTATGTTTCCAAATAAAGAGGAAAAAAAACCAAGGTTTTGAGAGTTGGGCATTTTTTGCCTAGAGTTCCGATTTTTGGCAAAAGTTCCGCTGAAGTGACCAAGATCGTAGCTTCAGTCTCTCCGATGGCGTGAGCGATCGCCTGGAAAACAGAAAGAACAATGAAAAAGGCATAATTCATTCTCACGTCTTCTCCTAGTGTGGCGTAAACAGTGACAATGGTAATATTTGCGCGGAAACAGGCGAGAGCGGTAGTCAGCCAGTCAGCGCGAGTTTCAGCAAAAATAACAACCTGAAAAAATTATCACAGGTTTAGAGAAACACGAAAAAATTACCTTGGGTTCCTTTTCTTCGTCAGCCAAATCCCTCAAACCTGCTGCCAGACGTTGCACCTGAATTTTAACAATCTTACCACGAAACTTTTTTTTAAATCACTTTATTCTCGATTTCGTTGTAACTTTGCCAGACATAGTCTCCGAGGTGCCACTTTTCAAAAACACGGCCGTCAGGTTGCTTATCTTCGTGCACGGCAATCAGCTTGCGGGTTCCCAGACACGGCGCCTCTTCAAATTCTCCGACGATGTGACGCCAGACCTGAAAAATCAACATTAAACAAGGATAATCCCTTTCAAAACAACCTTATCGATAGTATTTTTCCCGGGGAATGTTTCAGCCAAGTGTCCGTCGACGTTTCTGATTGGTCCATCACGATCATCAACCCATTTTGCCTGAAAAAAAAAATTTAAAATAGCTTACTACATGTTTATGATAGCGAACCTTTACACGGCCAGACTTGCGCAATTTCTCGACCGGAGAGTTGAAAAGTTGGTAAGGAATGTAGTTGAGACAATCATAGATGAAAAACCAGACGCGGAGAATCCAGATTGCCAGGCGAATCCATATTGGTGATTCTCCTTTAACAATCTGAAAAAAAAATCATGCAACGAAAAAAAAAAAGATTCAAACCTTGCCCAACGTTTTGTCACGTGAAGAATCGTATACTTCTTTGGTTTTTTCTTTTCCCATCTTAAAAAATTGATTGAAAGCTGGTTTGGTGAAACAGCTTCAAAAGTTGAAAACACACGAAAAACGGCGCGACGTGTAACTTTCTGAGTGGAGTGGAATGACAATTCTACAACATGTTGTTGCAACATTATTGATTTGAAGAGAAAGTTATCATAACGCATTTTCTTCCAACTCAGCCTACACCTAATGGGGGCAGAACAAGTCGCAGCTTAATAAATTTTGAGTGGAATGGAATAACTGTGTGAAAGCAAAAATTGAATCCAGCATTTTTTCGATTAAATCTCATCTATTAATCTGCAAAAAGTGTTGTGAAAGTGAAACGTTTCTCTGTTCGAAACTTTTAACTAATTTTTTCTATGAGCGTTGTAGGCTAATTTTGAAGAGATTTCAAGAGAACATGAAATATGAGGAAAGAAAATGAATATTGACTGAAAAAGAAAAAATAAAGAGTTGGTTTAACATTCATTAAGATTTTTAAAACTGTGTGAAAGCAAAAAAAAAATAATTAAAATCGTGAAAAAATATTTTACACTGCTCTTTTGATAATCGTTTTGCCACAATAGAAGATTTTTTTGTTTGTTTTATTTGGTGCTAGGACACGAGCACGTCTTTTCCCTTGTTTTTTTGGACTTCATTGAAATGAATTATAAAAAAAGAATGCGGAAAGCGGGATCAACTATATCCATATTAACTTATAGAAAAAGTTTGAATCAAAAAGCAGTAAAGCTATTTGAAAAAAAAAAATGGGGAAATGGAAAACGCGCTCGCATCGCAGCACTTTCAATTTAATGACTATTTTGTTTCCTCCCCAAAACTATATTTCAAACGTGTCATACAAAAGGTGATAAAAAAAGCATGAAGAACTATCTTGTCATATTGATTTAGAAAACTATTTGAAAAGGAAACACGCCAGCATGAAAATTAGCAGAAACGGAGGGGAAAATGGAGAACGCTCGAAAAGGCATCGAGTTGTTCGCGTTCAAGACTGCACGCTGCAGCGCACTTTAGACCACGTCGCACAAACAACGCACGTGCCTTGCGAAATTGCGCTAGCTCTAAGATTTCAATCAACCTAACCCAGATCTGTACAGCGGATAAGTATATACATTTTCAACAAAAATCAGTTTAATACTATTAGCGGCCCAAAGGATCTTTTGGAATGATTCAATATATTCAAAAAGTTCATGCGCGAGGAATCAATCATTTGACCATTCTTTCTCTCGCCAAAGAAGATCAAAAAGTCGAAATTTTTTCGATCTAACCACTATGTATATTTCATCCATCGTAGGCTCCCTTCATTTGATCATTGATGACTGTTGACCCGAGAGGCAAATTGCGAAACAAGGCTTAAACGCCGGTTTACTTTTTTCCTTTAAAACCGGTGAAATTCAAAAATACTCGCCACGAAATGCTTGTTTCGTGGAAGCGAAAAACATTTATTCAAAAAAACGACCAAAAAATATATTTAAAAATAAATATTCATTGCGTTCCGTGTCATATAATCTTATCAGTCGTCGGAACAAACCGTTTAACTTTCCTTCTAACGTACAAAAATTCAAAAATCTTTATTAAATTGAAAAATATATATATATATATAAATTATTGCAAATCCCTGCGACCGTAAGACCGCATCTTCATTTCATGATCTTCAGCTTCATCAATAACATTCAAGTCATGTTCAACTTCGATAGTTTCCTTGAAAATAGATATTAAACATCAAAGAGATCACCACGAAAAAAACCTCTACGATATGTGGAACTTGTTCGACATGTGAATAGCTGAAGAGGAAAAAAAATTAGAAAATTTCAAAATTCAAAAGGAACCGAGCAATGGGAATTCGCATGGAAGCGTCGTATTGAGCTTGTAAAACTTTTTCTTGCATCCTCTGCAGATTGAGTTGGCGAGCGAGAAGCTGAAAATTTCCATTGTTAATTGCTCCAATTTCATTAGAGAAACCTCTTTTTGCATTTGAATGACTTCGGGGTCAACAGACGGCATTAAACACATCGGAGGCAGATCGAACATCTCTGGCCTACTCTGCGAGGATGGGTCATAGCAAGCCGCTAGATCGGCTTGAGTCATAACCCCAGGTTCTGAAACAAATTAATACATAGAAAAGCTAATATAAAAACCTGTGTCGTTCAGAGCTAGGCTATAGCGACCCGCCATGCCTTCAAATGATGGTTTTTCTTTCTTTCGTCGTTTTGGATGAGCACTCTCTAACTCTTCAACTAAACGCACACGTTTTTCTTGAAAAATCTCCAGTATCAACCAAAAATCTTTTTATCGGGGAAGCGACGAGAAGACGGGCCACCTTGTGCTGGGTCTTCGTGAACGGTCAAATCGCTCGATGAAGGCGTTTTGTATGCGCGTTTGGTTGGACGCAGATCACAAGCCACAGGATTTTCGCCCCCTTCGATAAGTTGAGCACCTGATAATTCTCATTAAATTATATTTTGAAAAAAATTTCACCTTCCAGGTGATTGGTTTGCGTTACAATAGTCGCCATTCCGTCACGTACGTCTTGTCTATCAATCATATTTGTTGACATGACCATGTTTTCCATTCCCATCGGTTCCACGATCTCCCTGAACAGATGACAAATATCAAACAAACAACTAGAAAATCTCACTCTTCTATGACTCTTTCAAACTCATCGTCATTTTCAGCGTAGGCCACATTTGGACGATCGTAAATTTCAATAAATTCAGGTTCCTAAATAAAGCTAACATCAATGGCAAATTTTCCCCGAAAAATCTCACGATATTCCTTCCTCTTTGGGAGTATGGAACGAGGTATCCAACTGCGTACTGATTGACGCGCTCTCGCTTGACGTACGGCTGCTTACGAAAGCTAGAAGGACCCTGGAATTCTACCTCTAAAAATGAATCTCTAAATGCTTACCGCAGAATCACGAACATTATATCTGCTACGGTACTCGCTCGTGGTCTCTTTGAAAGTATAAGAAGTCATCCTGGTGAATGCAGCAGTACGCACATCTTGTTCATTATAACTGAGGAAACAAAGAAATGAGTAGGTGAAACTTTTAACTCACCCGACCAAGTTCAGCTGCAGTCTGCTTCCATCAGCCGGTCGTCCTTCTCGCACAGAGATTTCAATGTCAAAGTTGTCGCCTAAAAGAATTTATTTCCTACACCAGCTAACAAGTAAAAATAATAACTTGTGATATCTACAGGAGCTTTGATGATTTTCCGGCCTTCCAACTTCTTCTGATTGCAGAAATCACACATATTGATAAAGTTTCGAACATCTTGTCGGACAGATCTCCAGTGCAGTTTTCTCAAAACCACTATTTGCCTAAAAATTAAAAACGATGACAAAAAAGCAGAAAAAATTCAAACGTCCGCTTCTGTCCTAGATGTCCTATCAGTTCATGCACCCTTTCCAAGACCTTTCGAACTTCGCCTTTTTTCACTACAATTTTGGGTTGGTCGTTTATAGCACTGGTTCTATTGCAGTAAAAAAGGGTTTCCTGATCTTCACCCAAAGTGAAACGCGTACAACGAGATCTATAAAATGAATAATTCGGTTCAGTGGTGATATACGCATTAACCTCCAATGACTGGGTGCACTTCTGTCATTACGCTTATCGATTCCAGCTGGTAGGATTCCCGTTCTAAAAAAAAATGTTTTTCTTTGAACTTTGGGTCTCATACCTTTTGTATTCAACAATAGTATTGTAAAGTTCAATGCACATTCCGCCAAACCCGTCGCAATCACTGTTAATTTCAGCGGGTTCATCTTCATCATCGTCAAAAGCTATTTCATCGGTCACTCCAGCTCGACTTAAGTCCTAAATATACTTGACTTGATTGTAATTCAAAATTTTAAGGAACGATAACTTCAAAGATTCTCAAAAAAGACTGAAAGCATGACCGGAATGTTTTCTTACATCAACTCCCGCAATCCCTCCATATCCATCCACTATGTTTCCTTCACCGGTTGATAAGTTGTTGAGCATCATCTGAGATTTTATATCATCTTTTAACTAAACTTTGGAACATTGAAAAGTATCCTACAGAAGTTTACTTAAAAAAATTTAACAAACCTCTTACTGTATCACGATATTCTAAACGATATGTCCCCATTTGAAACAAACCGAATGTTTCAAGAAAAGTTTTTTTTTCAATACTACTTTGAAAAACTCAAGGAAAATTGCGCAAACCTTTAAAGAATGAAGATTGGCGCAAAATGGGATTCTCCGTTGCAATAAATGGATCAGGAACTTTCAGTTGACACGCACCAAGTACGCGCCATCGAGCTCAAAACCGCGCCAATCGATTGCCAAATTTTTTCTTGCATTTTCAAAAATATGTATTTTTTCAAACCATTGAGGATTATTTTTCCGTTTCCTTAAATTTCTTTCTGAGTTGCATTGTCTAGCTTTCTCTTTTCGCATAAGTTTTCGTGAGGCTTTTGCAAGATAGGTGCCATATTCTATTGTATTCCCTCTTTCGAGAAAAAGCTTAAAAAATATCAATTTTTGTGCGTCTTTTAGCTATAGGGACTCGCATGTTTGAGAAAGTACTACGGCGGCCGGTGACCGGTCAATATTGCGCCGTCAGTTTCGGAGCCAGGAAATTTTTTTAATTTTTTTTTTTTTTGCAATTTGTTAAGGACCTATTTCTCGAGATTACAAGATGAGTTACGTCACAAAAAGTACATAAGTTTTCATTTTATTACCCGAAAACCTAGCTTGATTACCGTAATACGACCGGCCGCCTTGAACATGCGTGGGGAGACGGGAAAAATTTTATAAAACTTTGAGACGTTCCATTTCTGAAAAATAAAACAAGTCGGACCGTGGTAACGCGAAATGGACGTGTCATTTTTAGTGACCACTTAAGGAGCGTTTAAGTAATCCCTAGAATTGCTCAGAAACGTAAGGAGCACTCCCGCTGTTCCGAGAAGCCATTGCTTTGATTTCGGTAGCATGCAGTGGGCCTCGAGCAAACTTATATTTTTTTGTGCATACGAACATTCGCTAAAAATGCCTTTTGATTTTCTCTTTCTTTTCTTTTCACGAAATCAATTCCTTTGATGTTTAATAAATTTCTGTCGCACTAATCTATATCACGCACTACTTAAAAAAATGCTCTATTCTAATTTCAGATGGATAAGGCTAGCGCATCGAATGCAAAGATCCCGAAAGTGGATTTTAATGATCGTTTCAAGGCCCTCCACAAACTTAGACAGAAAGCTCGCAAGGAGAACCACGAGCAGGTTGTCGAGGAAGATCGTCGCGCGAAGTTGCCCAAAAACTACGAGGCGAAGAAAACCAGAGAAGAGTGGCAAGTCAAAGAACTCGAAGAGCGCAAAGCAGCAGACGAACGTGGATTGGACTTCGAAAGACTGAAGGCTCTCGAGCTGCCAGCTGACGTCGCAGACAAGTTGGAGATGAAAAAGAACAAAAAGAAGAATCCCGATCTCGGTTTTTCGTCTTATGAAGAAATGACGCTGCGTCAGCACTCACGACTCACATCTTCTTTGGATCCGAACATGGACGCTTACACGAAAATGAGGGACGTCGTCGGATCAGAGCAGTTCTACCCCACTGCAGATACACTAATTCATGGAAATCACTATCCAACCACATCAGCAATGTCACGACTGGTTGATGACGTCAAGGGTCAAGTTAAGAGACGTGAGCAGTTCCATCGCCGAAGAATGTTCGATCCTGATGCACCTATCGACTACATCAACGAAAAAAACAAAAAGTTCAACCAGAAACTCGAGAAATTCTACGGCAAATATACGGAAGATATTCGCGACGATTTGGAGCGTGGAACCGCTATTTGATCTTGTACCTTCTGTTCATACATTTCTCTGTTAAGTCTCTTATCAGTTTGAAAAACCGTTCGTTTGATGTTATTTGACTCGTTTTGAGCTGTATTCTGATTAATAAACAATTTTAGGTTCGAAGATGACGCAGTTTCTCCCTCCCAATTTACTTGCTCTCTTCGAAGCTAGGCCGCCTATTCAATATCTTCCGCCCTTCGATGAGTTGCTGATAGACAAAAACGAAAAGCGTCCAGCGATTACTGGAATCGCACAATACGTATCTCAATTTGAGGTTTGTTCGTAGATTCTGCTATTTGAAACCATATATATAGTTTTTTTTTTCAGGACCCCGTAGAGACGCCTGAAAAACCCATAGTTGAAACGCGAGAGCAGAAAAAAGAACGTCGAAGGCGTGAAAAAGAAGAACTTCTTGCCTACAAGGTTTTTGCATCGATGAATTAAACTTTTTAGAAAGAATGCGATTTGATCGGACATTTCTTAGTTCAAATTTCAAAAAAAAAAAACTCATTCTAGGTAGAACAAGGAATCGCACAATGGAATCCTGCAGAAAATCAACACTCCACTGAAGACCCATACCGGACTTTGTTTGTCTCCAGAATTGTCAGTTTCTTTTTCTAATTATGCTCACCAAGATATTTTGTTTTCAGAACTACGAAACATCAGAGAACAAGCTAAGACGAGAATTTGAAGCCTTCGGCAAGATCAGGAAATTGACGATGGTGCACGATAAAAGCGGAAAGCCGCGTGGCTACGCTTTTATCGAATATAGTGATAAAGCTGAGATGCACAGTGAGTGCAAGCTCCTTTTTTGAGTAGGATGAGCGCGTTGGAACAGTTTCGGATTAGTCTTTATCTCTTCCCACTATTTTTAATGCTGTTCTGATTACAGCACTTCGCCTGATACTGTGATGAAATGTTCCTCAGTGCGAATGACCCTTACGTTATAGGTTTGTTTGAGGCATCGCTCAAGCATTCAATTTTCTAACACACACAAGTTCCGTGTTTTTTGTTCTCTTAACTTTCATTGCTTGAATGATGTTCTGAACAGTTGCCCCCCTGCATTTCGCGTTCCTGCGCTTGGTTTGTTTACGGATGGCGGTAAAATCTTGTTAGAAATTTTGAATTTTGTAAATTTACTAGAGTTCAGTTTGCTCTATGTAATCCAAAAAAAACGGGTAAGCTAGGTAAGTTGCTGGATTACCCTGCGCGCTCAATTTCAATTACCTGTACGTTGGTAGGTCACGGTTTTTTTGAAATAAATTCAAAAAAACATTATTTCAAATAAATTTTTTTCATTTACATTGAAGTTTAACAGCAAAAAAATTTTGTATATATAATTTAACAATCCAATTCACTTTTTTTTATATTAATCTTCCATGAAAATATTGAAATTTCCTTTCATTAGCCTCCGTATCCAATTTTTTTTTAAAAATTGAAGGGCTTAGTTTGACATGAAATAGTTGAACGAGGAAATCTATGTTTTTGATTCAAAGACAAAAAAAAAATCATAATTTTGTTGGTTCAGCTTTTCCATACTTTATTCTAAAGCATGATTTCAATAATTTTTTTCTCAGATGCGTATAAACGGGCTGATGGAGTGAAAGTTGATGGTCGTCGTCTTGCAGTTGACTACGAGCGTGGTCGTACTCAGAAATCGTGGCTTCCAAGGAGATTAGGTTTGAAAATAACCGTTTTTTCTCTTTTAACTGAAATTTCTAGGTGGAGGCAAAGGCGACACGAGAAAAACGCGCGAGTCCAAAGCAGTATTAGAAGAAAGAGAATATGCTAATGGAATGGATCGAGATAGGGATAGAGAAAGGAGCGGGTGAGTTTTTCATGAAAAGAAAAAAAGTAGTTCTAAATATGTTTAATCACAGAAGTCGTGGTTTTGAATCCCGCAGAGACTCGGGCCGTGATCGTGACAGGGACAGAAGACGTTCTCGAGAACGTGACGGTGGACGAAGGTTCGTTTTCCTCTTTTTACAAAAAAATCTTTTATTCTGAACTCGAAGTATTTTTTTACGCAGAACGGAAGACAGAAAAAAAGAAGAGGCACTGGTTGTTTATCCAGTTTTTCATTTATTTTTTTCATCAGTTTTTTTCTCAGTTTGAAAAAGTATGTTCTTATACGGAAAAAAACTTTAGAAAAAAAGGAAAAAAATTGATTAAAAAAATAAAATTCAAAGTAAAAAAATGGAAATAATCATTTTAAATAGTTCCATTTTTGTCATTAGGTTTTTAAGAATTTTTTTCGAGCTTTGTCTGATGATTGAAGTTACATATACTTGATATGAGGAGATTGGTAATGAATATTTCTGTCTTTTTTAATAGAGTCTGAGTTTCAGAGATCGCGACAACGGAAGAGATCGTGATCGGGATCGAGGTGGTCGTGATCGCGACTACGGTGGCGGTCGTGACCACGGCGGTGGCCGTGACTTCGGCCGTGGCGCCATCAACACTTCTATGCGAGCTGGACCTCCTCCTTCAGGCTATCGATCCGATCGCCGCTAAAACCCTACAATTGTTTCGTTGTTGCTTTTAATTTATGTTTGATCCTTGTTTTTGTAATTCACATCTAATAAATTCGTTCATCCCATTTTTCGACTGTTTTTTTGTTTCTGTTTGCAAATTTGGTGAACTTCCTGACTACATACGATCAGAAAAAAAAACTCCTACTTCACTTATATTATTTTGAAGGGGCCAACATCAAAAGATGTCGGGCTCTTTGAGCAAATTGGGAGGATCAGCGCGTCGTTTGTTCGTCTGCTCCGTCCCAAACGTGTCCAAGAACAATGCTCAAATTCGTACGATTGTGCACAAAAGCCTTTTAAGGTTAGATTTTCGCCACATTGAGACAAATTTAACACTAATTCAAGTCTCTATTACTGCTGAAAATAAATTGAAAATTATACACATTCGGGGTTTTTCTTCAAAGTTTAGTTTAAAGTTTTTTTTTCCTGTTGCCATTTTACGGATATTTGTACTCCGCTGTGGTGTATAGAAAGTTCTGACGGTAAATACTTATTTCAAGCTGAAAATTTCATAAATTTTGTCTATCAATCTATAAATTCTTCATGGAAATTTGAAGTCAAAAGTCAAGATTCGGTGTTCAAGGCTACCTGCGGATTATCCGGCTGCATGGGACTACAAAAACCTTGGATTCAACAATGTCGACGGCTTCACAGACGATACTTCCAAACGTTTCCACCAAAACTCCAAGCTCGTCGTCGTTGAAGGAAACATTGGCGCGGGAAAGGTTTTTCCGAAGTTTTTTGTTGCTTTTCGAAAAATGGAGAAATCTCAGAGCACAATGGCCAAAGAATTGGCAGAACAGCTGGGATTCTACCATATGCCCGAGTTTCGAATGGACGACATTCTAGTTGACCGATATGGCAACGACTTGAGAAACTATTACAGCAAGGTAGGAAATTAGAAAAAAATTAGGGTTTGAGTTGTACCCTTTTTGAGATGCTCAGAGTTTTTGGAAATTCATCTTTCAAAGAAAGTTATTCATTTCTAATTTTTCAAAATACTTGAAATGAAAAAAAGTGAATATAAAATAAATCTTTGAAAAGAAAATCTCTTAACAAAAATTTAGTCATCGTAAAATCCTATGAAAATAAAAATATGAATTTAGAAAGTTTAGATCAAGCAGTTTGGAAAGTTTCATGAACATTATTGCTTCTTCTACACAGAGTTGAACTTTCTTTGAAAAATCAGATTCATAGAACTATGAGAAATAAAAATGATTAAATTTGAGTATTTCGATAGGGTTCGTTTATCGAACTTGATCAATTTAATTAATTTAGTTCCCGAAGCGATTCCGTATTCCTGACATTGAAATGTTCTACAAGAACCCTATGGACGATATGACTGCCGTTATGCAAGTGAGCGAACTTTTATTTAGTTGACATTTTTTTTAAATTTTCGAACTAATCTTTCAAATCAACATGAATATTCAGGATCGCATTTTCAAATGCCGATTCGATCAATATTTGAACGCTCTTGCCCACATTCTCAATACAGGTAAGAAATGAATTATAGTCTACCTATCTTTTTTTATTATTCAGTGTTTTATTATTATTTTCTTCGTAGAATGAAATTTTTTGCCGAATGGGTACCATTGTCATTTCTTCAATAGGATCAAAGAGTTAATAATTATCTGTGTTCAATGGGAACAAAAGATATTTACAAAACTCAGGTTCCTATAAAATTAGTAGAAAAAAAAAGAGGAGCTTTGAGTTTTTTGTTCCTGAATGAATTTTGGAAGATATTTCTTTTTTCTCAAGTTTCACTTTGCAGGACAAGGAGTCGTTTTGGAACGAACGCCTCATTCTGATTTCGTCTTCACGAATGCCATGCGCAGCAAGAGTTTCGTCGGTCCAGAATGTTTGTTTACTATTCATTTCATCTCTGATTATAAGATTTAGGAGAGAATAGAAAAAAAAAATTATTTTTCAGACTTCAAGCACTACTACTACGTCCGTAAGAACGCTCTGCCGCATCTTCATTTTTTTGGCCACACCTCGTCATTTATCTTGATACGCCGGTCACCAAGTGTCTCGAGAACATTCGACGACGAGGAAACGTTAGTTCTAAAGAGAGGCTCAAAAAAAAAGAAAAAAAAAAATTAAATGGAGTTTTCAGAGAGTTGAAAGCGAAAATTTTCTCTTACGGGAAATAGAGATTTTTGAAAAAGTCGACTTTTTTCTGTTTTTTTTTTTTCCTTAAAGGCTATTTTTCGTATTTTCGCAGGAATAGTGTCAAATAAAAACTTGAGAGAAAAGGGTTTTTTTTTGGTGTACTTCAAAAACAGCTTGCTAACTTTTACCAAAAATAAACTCGCGCAAAACGAATTATCCTCTTCAGATCAACGAGATGGCAGCTGTGGACGAGGGCTACCTCAAGATTATCGAGGAGTCCTACAAGGATTCGTTGAAGGAATACCGTAAACATTCCAAGATCCTCGCCTACGATTGGTCGAAGCCCGGAGACACAGATGCCGTGAGTGGCGTCGCTGGTTTTGAGATCCGAAGTCTCTTCAGGTGGTCGAGGATATCGAGAGGATCGACCTCGACTTCTTCGAATGGCACAGTGGCGACGTTTTGGAAGAATGGAACACGATCGTCGACGCCGTTGGCTGGAATGGATGGCGCCAGTAGTTCGTTTTTTTCTGTTTCTTCACCTTTTTAAAATCTGCTCTGCTTAAGTAGTGGGCTTGCAAGTAGGGAACGTATTAATCAAATTGATTAACGAACATTGAAGTTAGAACAAGAAGTTCTGTGGAGCACCCTGTGAAACATAAGAATTGAGACTTCCGCAAGGCCTAACGAGCTTTGCAACATTCAGAGTCGCTCATGTGTGAATTAAAAAAAGATTTTTTTAAAAAAACTATCGTTTATTTCATGAACAGACTTTTTTTGCAAGAAAAAAACCTTTTTTTCAATTTCGATAAAGTTTTTTTATCTCGAATAATCCAGAGAATTTTTTTAGCATTGCCAAATAGTGATTTCAGACCATTTACCATTTAATCATTCACCGCTGCTGTACAGAATGACAGCTAAAGTTGAAAAAATTTCAGAAAGTTGTTTCGTCTCGTTTTGAATTATTATGAAGTCTCGTTTTAAATTATTATGAATCTAGTGTGACCTCCAAGAACGACGCCCATATACTCGCCTTTGACGGAATCGAGAAACACGAAGTCGGAGAACTTTACATAAATCCGAGGGACACCGGCGCTTTCATCCACGCCATGAGAAAAGAGGTTATTTCTTTTTTTCCAATTTTCTTCATTAATTTCAATTGATAGGTGCTGAAATCGCCTTTCGGTTACGGCTACATCGCGAAAAACGGAGACGCGCCTGCCGGCCTTACCAACTGGCACACCGGCCACCATCTTCCTGAGCCATGGTTTCATAGTTTTTTTCTATTACTGAAATCGCAACTCACGACAAATGATCTCAGAAAAAGGAGAAAAAAAGATGAATTTTTTTGATGGATTTTCTCTTTTTTTCACTCATTAGGAAGATTAGGAGCTTGAATTTTGGAATATTTCATAAATTTAGTCAAAAAAATTAAAAAAGTTGGCAATGTAAGGCTTGAAAGACATCTTCTTCACTTGGATTTTGAGAATAATTACTATCGACACCTTCAAAGAGTTTTGAGGTGACTCATAAAAATTTTCAAACTTTTCACTGGAAAGACTTCCTTTTTTGTGGCTAGAAAATTTTTTCGTAAACCCCTTTTTTTATTCTTGAATGATAATTTAGGTACGACTATTACTACAAAGAGGCGTACTACGACGACATTTCTTCCCACGAAACCAGCCTCGATTTGGATTCTGACACCTACGACCCCGATTACGCCCATCACCATCACTAGTCTTTTTGTTTTGTTGATAGATTTGTCTCCCCGTAGATTGTATTTAGATTGTTCATCACACGAGTCTTTTTCTTTTCCTTTCAAACTTTTTTCAAACGTTTTCTCTTCTTTTAGGGCTCAATAAAACGGATTATCTGATTATTTAGTGTTCTTCTTTTTTGGAAAGTGTGTCGATTACAAGCTTTCATATTTTAGCGTTTTTTTGTATCCAACACTAGGTCTGGCAGACATGAGGGGGAAATGTAAAAGAAAAAGCAAAAAGAGCCAAAGTCCTGAAAAGTCAATTTTCTTCAACTTCGTCATCATTAGTCACTGATAATGACGAATCACTCTTTTTTTAGGTGAGACGGATATTTAGAAATTCATGACGCATCTTCATTATGTGCGTCTCGAAAAATTGCTCTATAGATGGTCTGTTTTTATTTCTGCGTGGTGATTAGGTGATATAATCTGCGATAATAGTTTAGAACACGAATTTGAAGCTTTAAATCTGTGGCTCAGTTTGTTTACAATTTTTTGTTTATACCATGCCATTAACAACTTCTATTTTGAGGAAAAGGAAGCATCATCTTACTTCAGACTCCCAAATATTAATATTTCTGAAAGCCGTCGGAATAACTGATGCCTATTCGAGGTTTAGGTCCAAGAGATCGAAATGAAAGAAAAATCCTAGGTTGTTGTTTGATTTTCTGGATGACGTGAGGATGGCTATTTTGACGAAAGAGCATGGCAAACGGAGTGGCGAGGGGCGCGAATGGCCGAGAGTGGGAGTTTCCTCAGGACGCGCAGACAGCGGCGAGACAGTGATGACGCCGGTGCAGACGGAAAAGATGCGAGCGGGACGAGGGAACGCCGTCGCGACGGAGACGTCGACAATGGCGCAGGCCTGCACACCGACGACCTCTGCGCGAGGGAGTCGCCGTCTCTCCAGCTGTTCTTCTCAAGCCTTGCTGTTTAATCGTTCAACAACTGTGAGAGCCGCTTCATGCTCCTCTTTATCAGTTACCGCTCTTCAAGTTTATCTCTCTTCCTGTTTGCCAAAGAATTTCCGCTCGTCTCACTGGTCCGGTCCTTTGTTTTCCGTTCTGTTTATTACGTGTTCGCTACTGTTATCAAGTTTCAATCTTTTTTTCCTGTTTCAGTGGTCTGCGGCGAATGGTTGATAGATGAAGATGGATAACAAGGCGTTTATGATGCAGTCCTACAATAAGGTTTTTTCCTGTCTTCTGAGTTTCTCTGAACCATGGAAATTAAGAATTTTAGGACTGAAGTTTGATTGAAAAGAAGAAATGTTTTTTTTTTTCAACAACTCCAAATTTTGTCTTCATATGAGAAAAAATGGGAGAACGAACTTGGAAAAAGTTTAATTCCTAAAAATAGTTCTGCTCTTATTACGGTGTTAACGTGCCTCAATTATTTGTTTTATGAATGTCTTTTTGAGATCAAATAGCTCTCCTTTTTGTCATTTAAGAATCACAATTGATGTTTTTCTGCACTTTTTAAAAGCTTCTAAAAAGTTTCTGAGGTTTTCAAATGAAAGCAAAGTGGTTTGGCTTTTATCAACACTAAAAAAGAAAAGCAGTTAGCGTCTATGTGTTATAAATTATTTCTAGAACCCGAGCAATCTTTAAAGTTTGGTCGCTATTTTCGCTCTGAAGTTTTGAGGGTAGATTTTTATCTTCAATTCCTTTCCTAGCATGTCTTTCTTCTTCATATTTACACCCCAGCTTACAAAAAAACATTTTTATGCGATTTGCTAGAAACGGAGTTGAGTCACGAAATGAGTTATGAGACGTTTCAATTTCTCGGCTGCTTTTGTATCAAGTTTTCTGCCAGTGCTGTGCCGATTTTCGGAAATGCCTTTATCGCGGCTAGTCGCTGTCGCGTATTCCCGTTTCCGACGCTCTCTTTTTCTGGCACACTCTCTCCGCTTTAAACCAACATTTCACGCGGAGAAGGGGGCTCCTGGAGAGATAATTCTTGATGTTTGAGAACTGGTATTTAGAGTTCTTTGGTTAATGATGCGACGAAAAGATTATAAGACGCTTTTCACAGCAAAAAACTATCATTTAATAATATAAGTCGAGTTTATCAAGCGATTTTAGCTCCATGCGCAATCATAAGAAATTCGGAAACACGAGTTTTTCCTTAACATGTTGTTATCTCGTAGCTTTTTTTCCTTCTGCGAGTGTTTTCTTCGCAAAAAATTTGATAATGGATTTTCGAAAAACACAAATTACAGACTTTATAAGAATGTTCAGTAATTTTTTTGTTTGGTAAAACTTCTCTGAAACGTTTCAGCGCGAAGGGCTTCAAGATTTTTTTTTTTTGGAAATAAATTCAAAAATTGTTGCCCCTTCGTGTGTTATTCAACTGTTAGATAACCCATCAAACATTAACTTCGAATCGGTTTGAGAAAAATTCAGAAAAACAGTGTCGAGAAACTGTTAAAAAATGAAAAAATGTGAAATGAAGGATGTTAGTGATAAGTTTTTTCCAAGCGTTGCGAAATCGATACGGATAACATGTTGGTTTGCAGCGAGAACTGGAGTCGAGGATTATCGGCTTTTTTTTTGTTAAACGTTCACACATTTATTTATTAATGAGATAGTTTTCTTATAAGAAACAGATAACGGAGATTTTCGCAGAGTTTTCGCTGTCCAGACGCTGCTCGTAAATCGTTTCTCATGCCTTGATGAAGTAATATTGTAATTCCGAAACGTTCAAACGAACATCTGTTTCTTCAAGAAGAAAGTAATTTGAACTTCGGACAAGAAAATGAAAAGATTTGATGGTTCTGTTGCAGATCATGGGTGCGACCGGAGAACAACTCGCCCCGGGCGCCGTGCCACAACATCCGGTGCTGGCGCCCGTCGTCCAGTCCATGTCAGCTCAGGCTTTGGTCGCGCCGCAGCAGCTCTCTTCCATGATGCAGGCCGTCATGCAAAAGGTCGAGATTATGTCGAAATTACTACTTATTCTGTACCAAAAGTTCGATCAAGTACTTATGGAAGTCAAGTTTTATTGGCTATCGGTTAACGTTCACTCAAAAAATGTTAGAATTCTGAATTGACTTTATTCATCTCTATCCGACGGGGAAACTAGAATTTCTCAAAAGATCTTTCATTCGCAGATTTTTTGCATACGGCTACTTTTCTTTGGGAAAGTTAGTTATTTTATTTCTGATGAAACTTGTTAGTTTTTAATTTTCAAATCAGTGTTTTTCCTAGAAAAAAAGGCGTGAGACAAACTTTTGCCTCCCTACTTGACTTGCTTTGTTAGTTTTGGTTTTGACGTAATTATAGTTAAGCAGTAAAATGGAAAAAGATGACTCGAGAAAACTTTTATTCTTCCTGCTATAAAGCTCGGAAAAGCCTTAGCCAGGAAAAGTGATCGAAACTGATGAGTTCTTTGCTTTCCCAATAGTTTTATTTTCTCATCTGAACCGAAATTTCTAAAAACTCAAAATTGATTCAAGTTTTCACAGGCAGCTGCGCAACACACGGCTAACATGATCCAGCAAACCACCAACAGCATCGAAAGCGGTTAGTTTCACTATTTTCCGTGTTAAATTCATTCTTTCTTTTTGTTCGAATTTTTCTCTCTAAATCTTCACAGAAAGAATTTAAGAAAAAAGTTTTCACGTAATCTATGTATTGATTCATCTACAAAATAAAACAGATTTTTTAAACTTGACAATTTTGTTCCAAAAAAATGCCGAAACATTTATTTTTTTCAAGCCTTCTCTTTGGAAAAAAAGAAAAAAATTTCTAAATATTTTCGTTACTTTCTTGAGTTTGTTGTAAATAAGATTAAAATTTCAAGAAAAATGCCGTTTTTTTGAAAAAGAAGTTTGCGAAGTGCAGAGATAGATAATAAAAAAATTAAGTTGAGTTATTTCTCCTTCTTGATATTTCATACAATCCTCGTATATATTTTTTCGTAGTTCACTAAAAACGAGTTTTTCCAAAAAGGTGTCAGATAAAGCTAATAACACTAGAGATTGAATTGAAAAAATCGAGCGATGAAAAGTTTACATTGAAGTATTTCTAGGTAACTACGATGCTTCGATGACGACGGCGCTGACGGAAATGGCGCACCGGCAATACCAGGCTGGAGATTACACTGGAGCGGAGAAGAGCTGTATGGCCATCTACCAGGTCGAGCCGAACAACGTCAGCGTCTTGCTGCTGCTCTCTTCCATTCACTTCCAGCTCAAAAACCTCGACAAGTCGTTCTTCGCCTGTCGTTCTCCGTCTTGACGGTTCAGCTTCAGATCGATGAAGTTCTCGACGCTGGCCATCAAGGCTAATTCGACGTGCGCCGAGGCCTACAGCAATCTCGGCAACGTGTTCAAAGAGCGAGGTCAACTAGCCGAAGCCTTGGAAAATTACAAACACGCCGTCAAACTGAAGGTCCGTGTTTTTCCTAAAAGAGATAGAAAAAAAATTGTTTGAAAAAGAAATTTTCATGAGCGATTTTCTTGAATTGGTTGACTGAAAAATACTTTCACATCTTTTCATCTCACCTAATAAAGTTATTCGAACCGTACATTTTTGAAGATTTCTCATGTGAACCTTTTTCAGCCCGAGTTTATCGATGGCTATATCAACCTCGCTGCTGCGTTGGTCGCTGGTGGGGACCTGGACTTTGCCGTCCAGGCATATCTGAATGCCTTGAAATACAACCCGGTTTGGGATTCCTAGTCTTTTCCTAGTTACTAATCACTTTTGTAGGATCTTTACTGTGTTAGGAGTGACTTGGGTAATTTGCTGAAGGCGATGGGGCGACTCGAAGACGCCAAGGTGTGAACTCCTTTCCATTCTCCTGTTATGCCTCGATTCAGCTCTGTTACTTGAAAGCGATCGAGACTCAGCCACAGTTTGCCGTCGCTTGGTCCAACATTGGCTGTGTTTTTAATGCTCAAGGCGAAATTTGGCTTGCCATACATCATTTTGAAAAGGTTCGGCTTAAATTTAAGAAAAACTACAGAACGTTTCCAGAAGAAAAGAAAAAGAAAAGTCTTCAGTTGTTCTTTGATTTTGGAAGAAAGAGAAATTCGTTCAAGGAAGTTTTCTAAAGGAACTAGTTTCTTAAATATGATTTGAAGCAGGAATGTAGGGCTCATGAATATATTTGAAGATTATTTTTTCAATTTGCAACCATTCTCCGATGAGAAAAAAAAGATTTGGGGGTTTTCTTCAGAAACGCAACAAATGCGAATTCCATTCGTTTTGAATTTTCGAGAAGACATTTTTTAATTAAGGCGGTCCAACTCGATCCCAACTTTCTCGACGCTTACATCAACTTAGGAAATGTATTGAAGGAAGCGAGAATTTTCGACAGGTTTGTCAGGAAGTGAATGAAGTTTCACAACGGTCTGTGACTCTAGGGCGGTGGCGGCTTATCTGCGAGCTCTGAACCTGGCGGCCAACCACGCCGTCGTTCATGGCAACTTGGCCTGCGTTTACTACGAACAGGGCCTGATCGACCTCGCCATCGACACCTACAGAAGAGCCATCGAACTTCAGCCGAATTTCCCCGACGCCTACTGCAATTTGGCCAACGCCTTGAAGGAGAAAGGCCACGTTGCCGAGGCCGAAACGGCCTACATGACGGCTCTCGAAGTTGCTCTTTCCATTTTTCAGCCGAATTTCATTCCTTTTCCAGTTGTGTCCGACCCACGCCGACTCTCAGAACAATTTGGCCAACATCAAACGGGAACAGGGCAAGATCGAAGAAGCAACGCGGCTGTACCTGAAAGCTTTGGAAGTAAAACATTCCAGTCCTATAACTATTTTCCTCTTGATTAATGAGACAAGGATTATGCTCTTATTCCAGATATACCCCGATTTCGCGGCAGCCCATAGTAATTTGGCTTCGATTCTGCAGCAACAAGGAAAGCTAGGCGACGCGATACTTCATTACAAGGTTTTCCGTGCGAAATGCATGGAATCGTTCAATGGGAGTTCAGGAAGCGATCCGAATCGCTCCGACATTCGCAGACGCCTACTCCAACATGGGCAACACGCTGAAGGAGATGGGCGACACGAACAACGCGCTCCAATGCTACACGAGGGCCATCCAGATCAATCCCGCCTTCGCCGACGCTCACAGCAACTTGGCCAGCATTCACAAGGCTCGTCTTGGCATATAATATATACTTCAATCGCCCTCCTTGACTTCAAATGTCGTGATCCAGCTTGGAATGACTCAAGCGTTGCGGTTGTGTCGCTGTTCGAATCTTGTTTATAATTGACTTTTGTTCTAATTTGTGAGAACTTGCTTAGCTGCGCAAGTCGCTTTGGGTCAGGCGCGTTCCAAAATGAATGAGCTAATTTAGCGGATGAAGTTTTTGCCGTTACTTAATTTATCATTTACTGTTATAACTGACTTGAAACAGAAGCATCCATACCAAATAAAAATAATAAAAGATTATCTTCAGCTCCAAGCATCATTTTTTCAGTCAAGGTGTTTTACAGGACTCTGGAAACATCCCCGACGCCATTCAGAGCTATTCGACGGCTCTCAAGCTCAAGCCAGACTTCCCTGACGCGTTCTGCAACTTGGCGCATTGTCTGCAAATAATTTGTGACTGGACCGACTACGACGGACGGTTCGTGCTGGTCTTACCCTTTCAAAATATTCCTCCATTCTGGTCATATCATTGAAATTTCAGAATGAAAAGACTGGTGAACATCGTGGAGGATCAGCTGCAGAAAAAGCGACTTCCGTCGGTCCATCCGCATCATTCCATGCTCTATCCTCTGTCCCACTCTACTCGCATTGCAATCGCCTCGAAACACGCACAGCTTTGCATCGATAAGGTTTTTTTCAAATAGGAAAGCCCAGCTAGGAGGGAAACTTTTGAAAAGAAAAATGATATAATTGGATTTATCTGTTTTCCAAAAAAAACGCTTCAATCAAATCAAATCCCTTCCATTTTCAGCTTTTTTTTTTAGCAATGTGCAGTTTTTTTTCAATGCTAGTTGAACCTTCTGATAAGCCTTCTGATATAACCTTATAAGCCGAGAAAAATTCAGTACGTTGTACATTTATGTTTTTTTTTTCTTTTGGACCATCTCAGTTCGTATATCTAGCTCAATTATTTTCTTTTCGGTATTAGCTTGAAATTATTCAACTCTTTCAAGGTTCAAATGCTTGGACGTGTTGCGTTGGCCTATCCGGATAGAATGAGCGTGCGAAACGGCCAACGGCTGCGCATCGGCTACGTATCATCCGACTTTGGCAATCATCCCACTAGCCACCTGATGCAAAGCATTCCCGGCATGCATGATAGAACCAAAGTCGAGGTACTCATTTCGAAAGAAGAGATTTTTAAAAATCGAGTTTGAGGTGTTCTGCTACGCGTTGTCGGCCAACGACGGAACCAACTTTCGGCAGAAGCTGATGAACGAGGCCGAGCACTTCGTCGACCTCTCCGCGGTGCCTTGCAACGGCAGAGCGGCGGAGCGCATTTCCAAAGACGGCATCCACATCCTCATCAACATGAACGGCTACACCAAGGGAGCTCGCAACGAAATCTTCGCTCTCCGTCCTGCGCCAATTCAGGTGAAGAAATGGCGAAACGAGCCTTCGAATAATTAGCTTCTCATGAGTGTTTTCTGTTTTTGTAAAGAAAAAGATTAGTGGAAAAAGGTTTTCCTCTTACTTTTTCTCGTTCGAAATATAATTACAAAATTGAAATTTGGAAAGAAAAAACAGCGAAAAAAAGGAATTTATGGAGGTAAATCAAAACTTGAAAGAACGTAGTCTGTCAGAAAAAAAGTACAATGGAAAAATTTTTGAAATAATCGTTCAAATACTCTTCTCCAAAATGAACGTCTACTTAAGGTCATGTGGCTCGGTTACCCTGGAACTTCTGGAGCTTCTTTTATGGACTACTTGATCACAGACGCCGTGACATCTCCATTGCGACTCGCTCATGCTTACAACGAAAAGGTTGCTCCGAATGACGGTTCCTCATATTCAAAGGAATGGTATTCAGCTCGCCTACATGCCCCACACTTTCTTCATCGGCGACCACGCTCAAATGTTGAAACATCTGACCGAGCGCGTAATTGTTCGGGAAAAGTCGGCACAGAGCGACAAAGACACGATCGCCGTGATGAACTCGACGAATCTGGAGCCTCTTCTGAGCAAAGCCGACGTGAAGCCGTACGTCCGCGAGACGGAAGTCGTCTGCGGGCCTGGCAAGGAGATTCTCCGCACTGAAGTCGTCGTCCCCGTCTTCGAGGTACATTTCACGCATTCAAGGGGACTTCCTCCTGAAACTTTCTGTTGTGTGGAGAAATTCATTTAAAGCTAAACGTTAGATTCCGTTTTTTCTTTGATTTTTTTATTAGACAGACAAAGGATGAAAGAACAAGTAGTCAGTTTTGTTTTGAGTTATAACGAAAAGTTAAGAAAAAAAAAATGACTTTTCTGCTTCGACCGAAGTTACAATCCCAAAGGTAGGATTAATTCAACGTCAACCAGAATTCCGGACAGCTGCATCTGGAAGAAACAGTCGAAAAAAGATAAATTTCGTAGAAATGGGCGAATCTTCAATAAAAGTGGTTCATCGCAGGTGCCTACAACCGAGCCGCTTAAACAGATGATCGGAACGGGACAAGTCGCCACGAGCGTCGTTGACGGACTCCACGTCCAGAATGGCCTCGCTCAAGTAAATCTTTTTTTCGGGTTTTCTGTCCAAATTCTCCGATGAGGAAGAGCTATCTCATATGAAAAATAATCAGCGAGAATTTTCCATTTCAGGTTTTTAATTTATGCGTCTTACAGTTCCAAGTGCATCACAAGGCAGCGACGGGAGAAGAACTGCCGAACTCGTTGCTGTTGACGAGTCGACAGCAGTACAACCTGCCCGAAGAGGCCATCGTGTACTGTAACTTCAACCAGCTGTACAAGATCGACCCTTCGACGCTGGAAATGTGGATCGAAATCTTGAAAAGGGTGCCGCGAAGTGTTTTGTGGCTGCTGCGGTTCCCATACCACGGAGAGCACCACGTGCACAAGTTCTGCGCCGAACGGGGCGTCGATCCGAAACGCATCGTCTTCAGCAACGTCGCGGCCAAGGTGCGCAAAAATCGAGGGCCTCGAAATAGAGGGTCCTGATTGCAGGAGGAACACGTGCGGCGAGGACAGCTGGCCGACGTTTGCCTGGACACGCCTCTTTGCAACGGCCACACGACAGGAATGGACATTCTGTGGACTGGAACTCCCATGATCACGATGCCTCGTCAGTTCCTTTAGAAGTAGAAACAAAACGGAGAGCGGACCAAAATCCGTGTGAACAGTTGAAAGTTATCTTATCTTCGTGTAGTATCGCGAAAAGTCAAACCAATCTTTCTTGAGACGGTGGCAAAAAAAAACGGAGAAACTCACAATTTATTATTTAAAGTGTCTGATGGATAACTAGGTCGTACCTCTTTTTTTCCATCACTTTTTCTCGAAATGCCTCATTACATCGATAACAAAGTTCGGAGAAAAATAAACATGAATGAAATTTTTGAGTCATTTCAACGGAATAATCCGACAAGTTTCCAGTGGAAACGTTGGCATCGCGCGTGGCGTCTTCGCAGCTCTACGCCTTGGGAGTTCCCGAGCTCATTGCTCGCAGCCGGGAAGAATACATCAACATCGCAACTCGATTAGGCACCGAAAAGGCCTTGTTAGTTTTAAAATTCAATCGAAAAAAAATGCTGTTTTTTGATTGATTTTACGTATATCAGATGTTGGAATCTCTTTTTGAGATAGAATTCCAACTTTTCAGTTTGAATACTTCAAAGACTGTGTTGACTTGAACATTCAGACGCTTGTGACACGGCAGATACAGTCTTTTTCCATGTTTATTCATGAAGAAAAAAGACCTATTATCTTTTCTAATTTTTTCCTTAGGAAAAAATTCATCTTCTTCTCTCTAATGTAATCGAAACGGATCACCGTACTTTAACATCTGGTTTTGTGGAAACGAGTTTTTTGCAGCCTTGCCGGAGTACGCGCCAAAGTGTGGAAGGCGCGGACGACGTCGACGTTGTTCGACGTGAAGCAGTACTGCATGGACCTCGAGAACCTGGTGCACATGATGTGGAGTCGCTACGAACAGGGTCTTCCCGTCGACCACATCCCCAACAATTCTGAAACTCCGCCAGGCCTTTAAACGGCGGTCATTCTCTTTTTTTGTCTTTCTGACGAGTCAATTGTGTGATCTACGAGGCCGTTCCTCTGGGTTAGCGATATAATATAGATTCACGGCGTTAATAGTTGTAAACCTGTTTTTCTTTTTCTTTTAATTTGTAAATTAGTTATGTGAGGAGGAAGATCGCAATTTGAGTCTTCTTGATATCTTGTTACAACTCGGTTAGTCCATTTTTTTCAATTTTTTCTGTTTCTTCGACCTCTGTGAGGTCTTCTCATTCTTCTCAACAACCAACATTTTTTTCTATTTTTCATATTATTTTGCACACATCCTGTTCCACAGCTAACCTCAGAATGAAAATGATTCTCTAAATAAAAAAGCGAGCCTTGCGGCTCCAACAGAGTTTTCGTTTCTCTGTACCACCTTGTTTTGTTTTGAATTGCCTTTTTCCTTACTCCATCAAATGGTTCTTCTTTGAACTGTTAACACAATAAAAAAATAAAATTTTTTTTTTTTTTGCAAAATGTGTCTCTGGGTGAAAAAAATGGGTTGAGACATGAAAAAGAGATCATATTTCAGTGCGCTCAACAAACGTGGAGCACATTTGGCAACGTATACAACAAGCAGAAATATGTTGAGCATCACGGATCTCGACCAGAAGAACTAAGTTAGATGGGTCCTATTTAGGTATTTTATTTTCGTAGTTTACGAAGATTTTTGCGAATCCAACTTGAATTATTCAAGTTTTCAACTGTTTTCCATAGATATTTCATTGCCCTTCTAACAATCTCCCATTCATCTTTCTCTTGGAATTCCTAGTAAAAATTTCGAGTTAGGTCCCCACCAAAAATTCTTTTTCTCATGTTTTTTTTTTTCTCAAACGCTTCTCAAACACAACTTCTGTGGACTTTGGAGCCTTGTCGGAGTCCGACTTTTTTCTCTACATGTCCTAGAAGCCACTCAAGGGCTCGAAACGATTTCCTGTGTCGTTTGGCAGTTTGTTCAGTGGTTGTCGCCGCAAAATTTAGAACAAACAAAACGAATACAAAGTAGAAAGTGGCGGCCCGACATCCTCGTCATTTGCACTTATTGATTTTCACTGTTTCTTTTTTTGTCCTGCGATTCGAGGGAAATTGGTTCTGATTTCTTTTGTCTCAGACCGCCTTCTTGCAGTTATCAAAATTTTCCTTTTCAAAAATTTTTTTCAGGCCACTTTTTGAGGAGATACAGTAAGCCAACAACGCTTCAGATTTTTCGCAGTAATTTTCTTTTTTTTTTCAATATTTCTACAATAAAAATTTTAAATTTAATGTTTTAAGTAAAAGTCGCTTTGGAATAAGAAAATCAACCAAGTGATCATTCTTCCGAATGTTGTGCATAGAAAATACGATACAACCTTAGTTGTGTACTTTTTATTCAAAAATCAGAAAAAAAATTTCATCAGATGTTGTTTGGTGAAAGTTTGAGATTAATTTTTCACAAAAATCCATTTTTTTTTCTCGAATAGATCTCGCCACCGGCTGAGCAAACTGAATCCTCCTAGTGATAGCTTTCATTTCAATCTCGCATTTTTTCAGATTTCTCGAAATTGAAAAAAAAATGTGGCCCAGGATAGGAATTCTGAGCCTTTTCTTGGTTCAAATAGCGGCGGCTCAGCTGGATGCGGAAGAATGTGCGTTACACGAAGACGAACTTCAGACTTGCGAGACTTGCATTGGCAAAGGAACTGTACGTTTCCCTTTTCTGAAAACTTTGAAAAATAATCAGATGTTCTAGTTTTTTGAATCTTCCAGTGTCCGAATTTAGACAAAAATGAGAAAATAAACAGATCAATGAAACATGTGACATAAAGGACTTACTAAAATCGAAAAAAATTTTTTTGTAGATCTTATTTTTTATTCATGTATTTTTAATCAAAACAAGCATATTTTATTTAATTAATTAAAAAAAAAGTTTTATCATTGGGGAAAAAATCAAGAAGTTCTATTGAATATTCATTTTTTTCCATAAGTTAAGACAGATATAGCTGTTCATTTTTTGAATTTGATTTCGTTTTAATCTTGGTCCTGACGTATTTCTCCTCGTTTTTTCTGTACGGAGTCCAGCTGATAGCGCATGACTAGCTCCATTTTTTGAAACCAAAAAGGCATGAGAAAATTTTGTCTGTCATTTTTTCTGAACGGAAAATTGATTTTTCCAGTGGGAATACTTTATCGCTTTTTGAACGGTCTCCGAAAACTTTAAAATTAACATTTCAACGATTTGTAAGGCTCACTTGTTAATAGAAGTTTAATTTGAAATATAGGGATTTTTTTCATTTTTCTTCAAATTGTCATAACGTCAAAACGAGGGAAAAAAATGTGTTAAATTTTAGAAAATTCCAAGTTACGTTTATATTTTCGAAAAATCGCTTAATTTTCCTGGAAAAATTCTCATATTTTTTTGATCGAAAAAAACTGCTTTTCAGGTATTTTTTTGATTATGGCTCAACTTTAAAAAGCTGTCAAAAAAATTTTTTTAGTTTAATTTTTTTAGTTACATTTTAAAAAAATGAAGTATATGCGCAAATGACAAAGATATGAGCCGGCAAAAAGATAACCGCCGAAAGGATTCGAACCATGGCCACAGTGCGGACATCTACGCGCAGAAAAAACTACGACGAGCTTTTCCTTGATAGCCTGGGGCGTTAGGAGAAATTTGTTTTTGGTTCCGAGTACTCTTACCAAAGCCTACCAGCCCCCAAAGTCTCAATTCTCAACTCGTTGTCGAGCCGAGATCGTGACCTAGTTAGTCTGTTTTCAAAAGTTGAACTCAATCTTTAGACACTATCAAAATTTTGAATATCAAACTTTATACATACAAGGTTTGAGGAATTATTCTTTGGACTATAAATTTTCCAATTTATCTTCATTCCAGAAATGTTTCTGGTGCGGCGGACATAAGCAAGAGTGTCTTCCGTACGAGTGGTACTTTCCGAATTGCGATCTCAAAGACGCGAAGCACAACTATTGCTGGGGTGAGTCCTTTCTTCTGGCTTCAACTCAAAAAACACTACAGTGAGCACTTCGGCGGGAGTGATAGTGGCGGCTGTGGCCTGTGGACTGATCGCCGTCATTCTGATCGCCTGTCTCTTCTACTGTCTCTGTCGGTGCAACCAGTACCGCAAACAGAAAGAAAAGGCTCGCGGAATCAGTTGGAATCAGGTAAATTCGAATCTGAGATGGGATGTGAGGCCTCTAGACGTCAGGAGCAAGCGGTGAACCGAGCTCAAATGAAGGAGCGACACGACCTGAGGACCAACCAACGGCAGGCGGAGCTTGAGGCCTATCGCATGAAATACGGTTAACAGAGGATGCAAAAGTTGAGAAAAAGAACGTTTTGCAGGATTACCGATGAAAAAGGACTCCAAAACCGGAAAGAAATGAGGAAGGATGAACCAGAAAAGAAATTTTCGTTGTGAAATCGGGTCCAGTATTTGATTTAAAATCTAATGAAAAGATGAGTATTTTCATTTTGAAAGTCAAGAGAGTTTTAATTTTTTTTTTGTATTCTAGTTGTTCAGCCAAATTTAATGGTTATTTTTGTGGGTTACTGTGATCTTCATAAAAACGATTTTATTGTTCTTCATTATTTTTGATTTGAAGTTCATCTACACAAAGGTTACCAATAAAATTGAGTCGTGAAATAGTGAAAGATGAAAAATCAAAAGAAAATTAAATAAATAGATTGAAAAAGGGTTTGTCATACTCCATTCACCGCTAGCTTGGCACAAAAAGCACTACAGAGACGTCTGAACATCTTTTCCTTGCATGATATTTTATAAACTCTGTAAAGAGCTTTTATAAATATTTTTCAAGGCAAACGTGAATGAATATATTTACAATTGGCAGCTGAAAATGTTGAACAGACAAACAAAACTCGGAAAGTATCTGGCAAGAGACGTTGAGCCAACAAATTACTCACAAGTACTCGAGAAAGAAGGGACAGTATTTGGGGCACGTGTTGTCGCTTCCGCCGCTGAGTCACGCCGATCGGTGGACGTCTTCAAAAAGACTCGGAAACTCGTTCTCCGCGACACTCCCAACAACACCTCATTCGCCATGCTACGACTGGCTGCGACTCTTTGCGCTCTCGGTGCGTTCTTCTGCGTTGCCGATGCGCTTTTCACTCAATCCGCCGGCGTCAAAGGTGTTCTCATGTGTGGAGACCGACCTTTGGCAAACGCTAAGGTCAAGCTTTACGACGACGACTCCGGTTCGTCCTTTTTTTGTTTCATTCAGGAATTTTCATGACACGGGTGACAAAAGATAGATATTTTCAAATGTTCTATTGTTAACAAATAAACATGTTTTATACCTGTTTTTAAATTAAGACTTTCATTTCTCACTGACCGGTCACTTTTTTTCTAGCATATGTGTATTACTGATTCAGCAAAGGCCTGGAAATCAAGGAAATAACCAGCTAGTTGACCTTCCCGGTTTTTCAAAGGCCGATTTACCAAAAAACGACTAACCAAAAATGATAAACGGCCTAATATCGCTCGTTGAATTTAAAAATTTTTGTAGCCCCTTATGAAGGACTCTTATGAAAGGTGGTTTATATAGAAAAACTTCTTTTGATTTTAAAAAAGCAAGTCATTTACCATTTTTCGGTAAACACGATAGAGGCGCTTTTGTCTTTTTCTTGCATACTTCCGAAGATCTCCTGTCCCTTTTACATTCATTCTAGAAACCGTTGAAAATTATATATTTTCAGTTGAATATTTCTTGTCGACCTATTTAAACAAAGTTATGACTAAAAATAAAAGTCCTCGGGAAAACATTTTCCCATTGAAACAAGAAAACTTTTGAAAAGGGGAAAATTTTCTAGGACCGGACTTGGACGATTTGATGGCGGAAGGCACGACAGACTCCTTGGGACAGTTCTTGCTATACGGTCACACTTCCGAGGTCATGACCATCGACCCGAAAGTCAACATCTACCACGATTGTGACGATGGCATCACTGTGAGCTTTGATTTAGTTTCAGCGAAGTTTTTTTTTCAAAAAAGATTCTCTTAAAGAGCTTAAAAAAACAGTACAGCAAAAGTGTTTAGCCATGCCAACGAAAGGTGTCGTTCAACATCCCCAAGTCGTTCGTCTCTTCTGGAGAACAGCCAAAGACCTTCTTCAACGTCGGGACCGTCAACATGCAAATAATATTCAACTCTGAAGAACGAGACTGTGTCCATCGTCACTAGAAGAAGGATCTCTCAGGGTGGCAGTAGATTTCCCGCGCCGCCGTTGTAAATGTGTGCCTTTCTGATAAAAACTTTTCCTTTTGTGTCGGTGGTTGATTACGTCTTCAAGGTCAAATCGATGCGGTATTCTTGGCTGCTGCGGGTTATTCCATCCTTGGTCCTTGTTCTCGATTACGTCGACAGCACATTTTCTCTTCAACTCGGTTTGAGACCGACATTTCGCAGGTTCCTCACAGTTCAAAGTTGAAAAAAGTTGGTTTGGCAAGGCAAATAGAACACTTGACCCGTTTCCGAAAAAAAAATGAAACTCAAATATCTCATCTTTTTCATTTTCTTTTTAATTTCAAGTAAAAACATTGAATAATTTAAAAAAATTCCTTCATCAAGCCATATATAGACAGAAAAAGCGGAAGATCTTCAGACGAAAAACCAGCGAATTTCAATCTTTCTTGAGATAAGAAACCGAAAGTGGAGGAAAAACGGGGATTAGATTTTCTGTCTTTTTAATCAATTACAAAACCATAAAAGGTTCAAAGAAGTAGTTGAGAGAAGGTACAAATATTTTCTATTCATATAACTTGTTGATTTTCTCTTATTTTATTCCGATCAGATCATACAAACGCTCGATAGAGTCTAACCTCGCGCTAAACGATCCCAACGCAATTTGCCGCAATGGCGGAATTTATTCCGGCGGAATTTGCCACTGCATCCATCCACAAACCGGCTCTCATTGTCAGCACTTCGCTTGCGGTTCTGTCTTACTCTATTCCAAGCCAACATTCAGTTTCAGTACATGGGACGTCCGTGGGACCTCGCTATGACCGCAACAGTCTGTTCTTCGCAAAGCCATGTCTCTGCGACGACGGCTGGGACGGCGAATTGTGCGAGTACAAGCTAGCCGACAAGGTTGGCTGTCATTCAATAACCTCGAAGGAGAATCCTTAGTGTGGGACTCGCGGAGAGTGGAAAAACAACCGCTGCGAGTGCATAGGCTTCTTTTTCGGCAGCGAGTGCCAGTACACTAGTCGCTGCATCGAGGGCAAGATCAAAAACGGTCGCTGTCTTTGCAATGAGCACTTCGAAGGCGACTACTGCGACCGAATCGTCTGCTACAATGGCACTCCCAACTTCAACAACCGATCGCTGTCCTGCATATGTCCGCCGAAATACACCGGACGTCACTGCAACCAGTGCACGTCGACAAATCCGCTAGTCGAGAGGTACCCCGTCTGTACGATCCCCCCGGCCGTCAAGCGCACCGTTGAGAATGCTTGGGCGAATCGTCGCAAACAAAAAGAAGAGGTCAGAAATTGAAACAACATTCGGGGTATGTAGGATGCTCCCATGGAAGGTCGGAATCACGACAAATCTTGACTTATGTTTTATTATTTTATCCTAAAATTCTTCATCTGAATCTGTTTTCAGATGAAGAAACGCCTTCGGCTCATATCTTTGGCGTTTTGCTTTCTTGTATTTTTCGGCGCCTTGGTTTTTGTCGGCCATCTCCTTCGTCGAAAAAAGGCCAAAGCGGTTATTATCCGTGGTTCTATTTTAAATTTCAGCCTTGAATGTTTCAGGATTTGGAGTGGCGCATGAAAATGAAAATGGATCGTCACCGGCTGCTGACGCACGAAGTGATGGTTCAGAAGCTGTAACCTCTCACCAGCTATAATACTTTGATGAAGCTGTGTTTCAGAGAAGAAGAGATGAAGGCTGAAAGAGAGGCGGAAGAGGAAGTGGAGCTTCGACGGCGGGTTTCGGCTCCAGACTTGATGGTCCGGGTGACCAAGTCTGATCACCAGTTCATGAAGGGCGACTTCAAGACTCTCCACACCCGAATGGACCTCCAGTTCGTCGACGACGACCGATTTTCTAAACCATTCGAGTTGTGATTCAAGTTTCCATGTACTCTGTTTTATAAATTTATAAAAAATATAGGACTGATGTCAAATTTTGAATATTTCAAGTAAAAGAGAAGTTCTGCGAAGAAAATAACTCGGAATCATGAGAAATAAACCAGACCTCCGTTAATTATGAAAAGTATGGGAAATAAAACGTCAGTTCTAGAAAAGCCATTTTTAGAAACGACTTCTCTCCATGACGGCGGTTGTTCAAAAAAACAGTAAACACCGAATCTCAGTCAGTTGTTCTTCGATTCTGAGTCCTTGAAATGATTTTCAGGATTCAAAAGATGTTAAAGACGGTAAAGTCGGGAAAGAAAAAAATTCGAAAGAAGATGCTAGTCTCGATGAACGACCGGTGAGAGAAAAAGACTACACCGCTTGTTCTGAAGCCGAAAACAGTGATTCTTGACTTTCAGTACCTCTTTCGAATGTCTTTATTCAGAAGTTTTCGTGGAAAAAATGATTTTGAACATTTTGTCGTGTAAAGGACTATCGAAACAACTCTCTTCTAACGAAATCCTTCGTCTTCTCTGTTATTATTTTTGACAGTACCAAGAGAAAAGCTGCAATTTTTGCAGTTCTCGGAAAACGGCTTTTCATTTCGCAGGCAAGAATGGTAGAGATTGAGGCACCTGTACGCATTTGTGGGGACACCCACGGTCAGTACGGAGATTTGATTCGACTTTTCCACAAGGTTCACTTCGATTTGTAGTTTATAAAAGTAACTGAGTACAGGGCGGGTTTCCTCCCAAGTCGAACTACCTGTTCCTTGGAGACTACGTCGATCGAGGTCGCCATAGTCTTGAAGTCATTCTTCTTTTGCTCTGCTACAAAGTCCAATCAGAGCGATTTCCCTGTCACATCTCGTTTTTCAGCTACGTTTCGAGAGAAACATTTTCTTGCTGCGAGGGAACCACGAATGCGCTCATATTAACTTTGCTTATGGATTCCGCGACGAGATCGGACATCGGAAACCCCGCGACGCGTGCGTTATCTACAATGAATTCAAGGTTTTCAGACCGATGACTGGCTCCAAAACCGACTTTAGGAAATGTTCAACGTGATGCCTCTGACGGCGATTGTTGGCAGCAGGATTTTGTGCATGCACGGCGGCCTCAGTCCACGGCTCAACACTCTCGACGACCTCCGCAAAATGCCGTCGTAATGGATTTTCCCTCTGACGTCTTCTATTTTGGTTTCAGACCCACTGAAGCTGCAACAGACTCTCTCGAAATGGACATTTTATGGGCAGACCCGATGAATGACCAGACTGGCTTTAAGGTTCGGCTCCTTCTGGCAACGGAGAAAAGCGACAAAGTGTTTGAAGCCTAGTTTACGAGGGGCAAGTGTGAGCTTCGGGCCTGACGTCGTCAGCAAAATTTGCAAGGACTTCGACCTGGATCTGGTTCGTTATATTCATAATTGAAGCAACTATTGTTTGCCTCTTCGAAACTATTTTCTTGGTTTTTCTATAAAGCAAGTACGGAATTAAATCAAAGTGGTATAGTCTGTTCAGGTTTTGAATGTTTTAATTCAGATTGTTCGTGCTCATCAAGTGGTTCAGGACGGCTTCGAATTCTTTGCTAATCGTAGGCTAGTTGTGCGTCTTTTAAAAGGTGATGAGAAAAAAGTTTTAATTTTTAGACAATTTTCTCGGCACCGCACTACTGTGGCCAATTTGATAATAGCGGAAGTATGTGCGTAGTTAGTGAAGGTCTGGAGGTAAGCCTTTCTCTCGGAAAAATAAACTAAACTTACGGAAAATTCTCGAATTATGATTTTTTTTTAAATCTGCATACCAAAACCCTTAGAAAAAATGTTTGATTTTCGGTCCTCAACGACCAAAATTCAAAAAAAATTGAAAGAAAAGACTGATTGGAGGTTTCATTCGATATATTGCGGCCGGCGAAGATCGAAGCACAGCTGCCACGAGGAGTGACGCCCAAGTGATTCTCAAAGAAAAGATAATAAATTTTGCGGTAACCTGTGTCCACAGGGTCAGTTGTCCCGCACAAAGTCTCAAATGTCGGCTTCTTTTCCTTTGCTTCTTCTTTTGCTGTTCGGTCCTATTTTCTGCTTGGGCCATCCACGTCTTCTTGGCGACCCAGCGCGCTTTTCGCAGTTGAAGTCCTCCAATTATACCTGGCAGACGAAGTTTCTCGATGTTCCTCTCGACCATTTCGCGTTCACTACCAACCGCACTTTTCCGTTAAGGTTTCGTTTTTTTAAAGGGGGTTCAGACACTTCCACGGCCAATTAAGAATTTTTATTTTAGAAAGAGGCGTCTTTTTGAAAACATTTTGATGAACAACCTGAGTTTGATAAAAGGTTGTACAAAATTCTTCTTTTTTTTTAACAATAGCACCTAAATTCAAACGATTCTGAGTTTGATAAAAGGTTGTAAGCATTTTGTCTTATTTTTATTTTGAAAAGATGAAATTTGATGATTATATTTTGAAATTATCTGTGAGGAAAATGGTGAAACCTGTACTTTGTGAATACAGAATTCGGAATTTTCCGATTTTCACGTTTCAATTTTAAAATGTTGCCCAGGTATTTCATAAACACGGACAGCTACAAAGCCGGCGGCCCGATCCTTTTCTACACTGGAAATGAAGGAAGCTTGGAATCGTTTGCGGAAAACACGGTGATTCTCAAGATAAAGGAATGTTTTTACGAACTTTTCTTCCAGGGCTTTATGTGGGACCTAGCGCCCAAGTTGAATGCTTCTGTCGTCTTCGCCGAGCATCGCTTCTACGGAGAGTCGAAGCCTTTCAAGTATCCCCTCTATTGGTTCACTTGTTCTAAGAAGCCCTATAGGAACGAGAGTTATTCCAAAATCGAATACCTTGGTTACCTGACGTCTGAACAAGCGCTCGCCGACTTTGTTGACGTAATATGGCACTTGAAAAATAAAGTTTGGATTTTTCGATAATTTTAATTGGAAAAAATTGTCAGGAACTGCAAGGTGCCAGCAAGTCTAAGGTTGTCGCTTTTGGAGGGTCTTACGGTGGAATGTTGTCGGCGTGGATCCGACTCAAGTATCCTCACATTGTTAATGGGTTTTTCTTGTTTCGGAAGACCTTGCAAAACTAATTTCAGAGCGATTGCCGCCTCCGCCCCGGTTTTTTGGTTCATCGAGTCGAAAATACCCGAAGATATATATGACAAGGTACTTTTATTTCACATTTTCCGATATTTCTTTTTGATATATAAAAATCATAGATTGTTTCACGAACCTTCAACACGTCCGGGTGCAACTGGAAAGCCGTGGAAAAGTCTTGGATGGTCTTGGATTCTCTTGCCAAGCAAGGTTTCTGTACAAAATGTCCCATTTTCACATCACTTGCAATATTTTTCCAGCACAGGGACTCGACTACCTCAACAAATTGTTCAAACTCGACTCCAAGTCCTTGCTCAAGACTTCTGAAGACGTGAACTTCCTCAAGGTGATTGTGAACTTCGCCATTCACAACGGGTCACCTCAATTGGATTCTTCATCAGTAGAAATGAATCATAGAACTGAACAATTTTTATCATGAAAATCTTGATTTCGCTTGTTAATTCTACTCTGCTTGAAACACTCAGATGGAGCGTTTAAGAAAAAAATCAAATTATTCAAAAAAAAAACTGGGGCTTGAGCACAGAATGTTAACTTCCTCAAGTTTCTGCTTCAAAGAGTTCGAAGCCTTGGAATGTAGAGCGAGAAATGTTTTTCAGCAATATATACGAGAAGCGATGGAGGCGATGGCGATGGTCGACTACCCGTATCCGACGTCGTTCTTGTCGCCGTTGCCTGCCTGGCCAGTCAGGGCGGCCTGCAAGTTCTTCACCAAGGTGCCTAACACCGACGTCAAATCGGCCGAGCAGCTCTACCAAGTCGTCAACTTGTACTACAACTTCACTGGAGACAAGGCCACTTTCTGCGCCGACGCTTCCAAGTGCGAAAGTGCCTTCGCAGCTCTCGGAGATCCTCTGGGCTGGCCTTTCCAGGTCTGCACCACCACTAAAGAAAGCTGTTCGGAAATGAATTTATCAAGTAGGGAAAAAAAAAGCGAATTTCATTCTTTCCTCAAAAATAATAATATTTCATTCAGAAAAAAGCCCCGATGAGCTTTTATACTTTTTTATTTTATAATACTTCATAAGAAGCTCTCATCATTTGATAATTTTTCTAAGAATGGACAAGCAAATATTAGGTTGAATGTAAGTTGGCAAATAAAAAGATATTATTTTCCGAGTGCTTCAGACTTGTACCGAGATGGTAATGCCACTGTGTGGAAGCGGAAGTCCAAACGATTTTTTCTGGAGAGATTGTCCATTCACCGTTGAAAAGTATGGCGACTACTGTGAGCAGACGTAAGACAGCTGGAAGGAGAAGAAGATAGAAGTTGAAAACTTGCAGCTTTGGCAAAATTGGGTACAAGCGCTCGATGATGAGACCTTTGTTTGCAACGCAGAACTATGGAGCCAACTCCTTTCCGACAGCTTCGAACATCGTCTTCACGTGAGTTCTGGAGTTTCGAGTCGAACTCAGGTAGTCTTCAGAAACGGCTACCTGGATCCTTGGTCTGGCGGCGGCTACACGGAGAAGACCCACGGTTCTGTGGTGACGATTCTTCTCAAAAGAGGCGCTCATCACTACGATCTCCGCGGAGAGCATCCAGACGACACAGAAGAAGTTCGTCGAGTGCGACAGCGCGAAGAATCTGCCATCAGAATGTGGATTGCTTGATTTTTTTTTTCTGTCTGAACTCTTCAGGTTTTTTTTTGATAAATATCGAAATGATTCAAAGTTTCTCGATGGACTTTGGTGATGAAATAATAACTTTTTGGGATCGCAAAGAAAAAATTGTTTGAAAAGTGACTTCGGCAATCAAAGCGATTGAAAAAATTACTGGACTGTTGACTTTTTGAGAGGCAGTGGATGATGACTGATAATGTAGTTCAAATTCCTGAAAATTCTGTGGCGAAAGGAGAATCAATTGGAGAAACTTTTCGAAAGTTCTATCCTTGACAAGCTCCATTTATTTCAATTATAAAGTTTCTATAGAAACCAAATATTTTCGAATTTGTTCCTTGCTGATCATTGATCATCGCGTCGATCTAACTTTTTTTCGCACTTTCAGCGACGCTCGACATCATTTCCAGCACTTTTTCTCGCTTCCGAATTTTTTTTCTCTAACAAGTTACACTTCAAAAAAGATACACAAGAGCAAGAGCAAATCTGTTTGTCGGAGCACACGAACAACTCTCTGCGGGTGAATCAGAAACCGATTGAGAAAAAAGGTCCAAGCGAGTTGGTTCTTGCGAGTAATGCGATGCGAGGCCAACTTTCAATATTTGTCGACAAGAGCTACTTTGCGCGTGCCAACCTCCGCGACTGGATCCACCTCGGGGCGTTGACACCCACGGATCTCAAACGTCAACTTTTTCGACATGCCGCGACGTTCCGACGTCTTCGGCTTCTGCCTTCTGACCGTCGTTTTTGCTCAGCCCCAGTCCACTCAGAACTACGTCTCCGTCAGCACTTCGTACGGCGTTGTCCAGGGCAAAACTGTCGACCTCGGTAGGACGTTTTTTATTTTCCTTTTTTACTGTTTTTAGTAAATTTGTGAACTGATAGAAAGTTTTTGTGAGTACTTACTTATAAAACGTATCTATACGAAGAGGTTAAAGTTCCCCAGAATCGGCAAATTTATTTCCTTCACTGCTGGGTTGAGGTAATATGAAATAATGATATCAACAAGAATGATCTGCACCTGTATAAAACTGTATCTGAAGTGTTCCACTCCAGAGAAAGCGATACGTGGAGTATGCCGTTTTACTTTTGATTGATCTAATAAATTCTTTTTAACTTCCATACAAAAACAGTTTGATTGATATCCTGGTCAAAGTACATTACGCTTTGATGAAATTAATCCCTATTTTCAAACCAGAATTAGTTTAGAAGCAAAAGTAGCGCCCAAAATGACGAATCACTTCAAACGCCTGGCTTTTATTTATTTTATTTTTATCACTTTTCAAATTTAAATAAGAGTATAATTTTAGTTTGAAGAAATGGTACCCCTGTCTGCGGTAGTTTTTTTTTCCGCGTTATTTCGGTGCATGCGATGCCAACATATTTGTGTAAAGTGCATTTATTATTACGAGTCATTTGTTTGCCTTCGTAGCCTGACTGTTTGCGGCTTGCGGCTGTTGATCAGCTTCATTTACAGGAAACGATCCAAACCAATTGTACAACGGCCAAGCGAACGTCTTCCTTGGAATTCCATATGCACAAGCTCCCGTTGGCGCGCAGCGGTTTCAAGTAAACTTTCCTTTTTATTTTCACGGAACTCTTTCATAATTCAGTTTCGTTCGTCAACAATAATAATCGTAGGATAAACAGTCAGCTCAAATTTTGTTCAGAATCTATCCTGGACGGAATTATGTTAAGTTTTTTCTACCAACATTCAAAATCAAGCAATTTATTGAGCAGTTTTGATGTTTTTTTTCAATAAGTTTCAATTAAAAAATTTTTTCTATAGTCTGTGTACCACGACTTGGAATTTCACCGAACGACATTCCGCTGTGCCGCTGCGCGCCTTTGTGAACCTCGGTCGCGCTTTTAATTTTTTTTTTCTTTTATTAAGGTACTCTACTTTCATGTGCTCCCACAGCGATGACAATCATTTGAAAGCGTGACCTAGATTCGAAAGACGCTTCGCGAACGCACGCAGCAGAACAGCGGAATGTCGTTCGATGAAATATCAAGTCGTGGCACGCAAACTATATCTCCTGAAATTTTTTTAATAAGTTTAAAACTTCTGCAAAGTTATACATAAAAAGTTTATTAAGAATCTGAAGAATTTCATTTAAATTTTATCGAAGTTTTTGAGTGAAAAGCGTGATCTTAATGAAATAAAGTCGATGTTTTCCTTGACAATATTTTGTTGAGGCGCCGCAAGAGCCGCGGAACTTCAATCAAGTCTACGACGCGACGTATTACCGACCGAAATGTCCTCAGGCCGACGCCGGATACTACGTTAATGAAGACTGTTTGTACCTGAACGTGTTCTCCCAACAGGTGCGTGTCAACAATTGGAACACGAAAGTTCCTTTTCTTCCTTGATCTCTAAACACTGCGAAACAAGTAAACATGTCAAAAACAGCAAACAGTTGAGTATTTCGAGCTTTTCCAGGTGGGAAACCAGTCGGCTTCGATGGCCGTGATGGTGTTGATCGACGGCGGCAACGGGTTCAACGCTGGTGGCCAGGACGACACTCAGCTCAAGGGCACCGTTTCGAACCTTGCTCAACGAGGCATCGTTGTTGTTAGCATCCAGTACCGCCTAGGGGCTTTGGGTTCGTTTTCCACCTTTTGGAGGAATGAGTCCTCAGAAAATTTGGAAATTGAGCTTTTCTAAGAAAACTAAGTTACGGAAAAAATAAAATAGCTGTTGTAGTTCACTAATCGTTGGCTTCCAAATTTATTTGGTGAGATTTACCAGGAAATGGTCTCCGGTCGCAGTGGGACTTCGGAATGGACCAGCTCTCCTAGATGTATTTTTTCACACTTATTCCAAATCTGGTCTCAAAAAAACGCCGGTGATCTGTGAACAAATTTTTTTGGAAACAATCGATTGATTTTCTAATATCATAAGGACAATATCTATATACCCTCGGAAAATGAGCTTAATCGGAACATTTGAAATTTTCGACTTTCGAGAGTTCCTAAATATTTAGTTAACTGAAGCGAGTTTTCCAACTTTTCTAACTTGACGTAAGCAACCCGAAAAATTCCAATTACGCAGTTAATAAACTCAAAAAAGGGACGTCTAGGCTTCTTCACGACATACACGGATCAGATCCGACCGAATCTTGGCATGCTGGATCAGGTGCAGGCTCTCAGATGGGTCAGTACCCAGATCAGCAACTTTGGCGGCGATCCGAACCGTGTGACGGTTCTCGGCCAAGGCGACGGCGCCTGTGCCGTCTCCGCCCACACCTTGAGTCCGATGAGCCAGAGTAAGGCTCATTCGCACTGAGATAATCTCGAAGGGAAACTTGCAGACTTGTTCCAACAAGCCATCATTCAAAGCGGTTCCATCTACAATTGTTTCAACAACAACCCTGCCGTGCCGGCTCAGAACCCTCAGCAGATGACGTTCCAGAACAGTCAGGGTTTTCAACAGGTTTATAGTCTCATCCTTTTCCTAACTCTGATTAGACTCAGCAGTCGCAGCAACAACAGCAGTCCAACTATCAGAACAGCCAATTGAATGTAGCCAGTCAACAGGTTTATGAATTTCTGCTTGGAAAAAAAGTTTCTCTTCGGTGAAAACTGTAGTTTGTCGCAACAAAAAGAGAAAAAAAGTGAAAAAAAAAACTCAATAGTTCATAAATATTTTGCCATCACTCTCTCGAAGAACTGCTAACTAATGCTATCTCAAATGAAATAAAGGCTCAGGTGGAGAAAAGGTTGAGTTGAGGATAATTTAGAAAGTTTTATTCTGTTTTTACAGCCCTATTTTGAGTCCTCTGTTTGAGATTTCATTAAATAAGTTTGAAACTTTTTTTATAAAAATATTCGTATGTTTTTAAAAAAATTAATTTTCAAGTTTTTTTAATCTAGTTATTTCATTTTTTTCAATTGATAATCCTCTTTATTAATCCTCATTCCGAAAAAGGCACAATTTTTTTCCTTCCTACATGAAACAAATTCTGTCTAGCAGCAGCCGCAGCAACTCAACTACGACCCAGGGATGGCCTACGTGCCTCTGGGTCAACAGCAGACGACGTCGTTCCCTCCGCTCACGTCTCCAGACAGCAGCTACAACGCTCCTTCCGTCGTTTACGATGACCCCAATCAACAGCTGGCCGCTCAGGTTTTAGAAAGCTCTTCTGGAGATTCTGAAAACGAAAGTCAAGCTCTGCAACGTTTCCTCGCAACAATGGGACAATGGTCAGCTGGGCAACCTCAACAACTGTCTCAACAACTTCACCGTCGACGTCTTCGTCCAACAAGCAAACGTGATTTTCACTCATTCGAGAAAACGAAAACTTGGGGATGTCGCAGCACTCTATACGGTGTCAGCTTCTCAAAGGACGATGACTGAGAGTAGAACTTCTTTGTGACTAGTTTTCTTTTTGTCTTCCTCGTGTTCAAAAGTGCAGACGTTTGAAATGCCCCAAGAAACACGGGAAAGGTATTATCGCCTTGAACTTTTCCGATATTAGTCTGTGCCACCCACATGATTTCAAGCAAGCTCATTAATTTTTTTTTTCAGACAAGCCTGTAGTTTTTCCTGATAATCATCCCTAGTAACTGTTCATTTTAATTGAAAAAAATGTAAAAAAAGGTTTTGCAGGGCAGAACGGCGACGTGGATGATTGTGAGGGACAACGACTTCCTGCCTGACAGTCTCGAGAATTTGGCCGCACGTCGTCCGCCGATTCCCATCATCATCGGCACGGTTCAAGACGAGGACGCCGACTACGGTGAGTTCCAGAAGGATTCTGACATTTTGTAATTTTTTTCAAATCATGAAATATTAGGAATCTTTAAACCTTTTTGTATACATTAGTGACGAGCTTAAAAAAATATGGTAGGCTTGTAAGAAACACAAAGTTCAAAGTTTGAAGTTCCTTGAAGGCTTTTTAGTTCTCCTGAGAAATTCTCAGAATGTTACCTGACATCCTGTCAAGAATAGAGCTTTCAAGCGAATTTTTTTTTTCAAAGTTTTCGATTCTGCCATTAGAAAGCCTTTTCAGCCTTCAAAATGATTGCAAATGGCAACGGGGCGACGTCGTCCTCAGACGCTTTTAACACCTGGTTGGTCGACTTCGCGCGGAAGAACAAACTCAACTCCACGGCGACCAATCAAGTTGCTGACGTCATCTCTCGGAACTACGACATCGGGTTATTTTTGAATTATGTTTTAGAAGGATTTTTACTTGTAAAAATTCCATGCAAGTGTAAATCTAAATCTAATGAGCGAACTTTCAGAAATTCTTAACCGCAAAGTTAAACTTCATTATTTCCTGATCAAACTAAGTTTAAAAAAAGGTGTGAATGTTTTTTTTTTCAGTTGTATTGGAATATCTTGCTTTGAGCCCTGTCATTGATAAAAGTGTCTGCTCGCAAGGAATTATTTATTAAATTCCACTCGAAGCTTCAGATTTTTTTTTTCGAACATTTGACCAGAACTCTCTGATCATCGAAACTAAGTTCAACAAAATAGTAAAATTTTCACTCTTTTTTTGAACTATGACCTGGAATTTTCATCAAAACGTTTATATTTTTTTCTAGAAATCCAAACAATGGAGCGAATTCGTACAACAACCAAGCGCAGTACCAGCCAACGCAACAATATACGAATAATTACGCGAATGGAGCCAACTATAACAACCACTACAATGGAAGTCCTAGTCAAATCGCCCAAACCAGCCAAACGAACTACGCCACGCAAAGTCAGTACTCGGTCCAGACGGGGCAGATGAACAACTACAACCAGGATCAAGGACAGTACGGACAGGCCAACTTCAACGGCCAGAATCAGTATCCGCCGGTGCAAAACGGACAGATCAACAACAACCAAAACCAAGGACAGTATAATCAAAATCAATATTCGTCGGTGCAAAACGGACAGATCAACAACTACAATCAGAACCAGTACCAGCCTGTAGGAAGCTATAACTATTTGCAGTACGGCGGTCAGTTCGGCAACGCCAACGCCGCCAGAAACTACTACGATCCTCAGGTGAGAAAGTTTCGTGTTTCATTCGGGCCAATGTTTGAATTTGAAGCCTTTGGCGACGACGACGTCGGCAGCGGCAGTGGCGGTGCGTCAGAAAGGAATCTTTTTCATTTTATGACCGCGAATTTTTCAGTCGAACGGCGCTGGCGGGGCCGTCACAAACCTCCAATCGCTTCAAACGATCACACAGGTGAGAAACTTTTTTTTTCAAATTTATTGATGTTCGTCGAAAAAGGCAGAGAATACGGTAGTGCTGAGATTAACCAGAATTATTGGTGTAATCCGAAGTTGCTAAAATGATATCGTATTTGCTCAACATTGAACTGAACTCGCTGAACAAATTCTCAAATAAGAATTAATAAGAAAAATCTTGAAATTTTTCTCGATTTTTTTCTCTGTGTTAGTCGTCTGCGGTTCCATCTACGACACCGTTTAAAAAATAAATCTTTTTTTCTCGAGTCTATTTCGAATCTGCAGGTCAGTTCTCAAATTATTCATGATATGTCATAGTTTAATCGCTCTACTGCATTCCGAGTTTTGAAGAGAGCTAAAAATGGATTTATTTTCTTACATTTACAAAGAATCGATAATTTTTCTTTCGACAAAAAACCTGGCAGTCTTGTTTTTCGCCTCGACGTCTATTTCAGATAGCTACTGACTCTTCAGTCAGCCTGACCACGACCGAAATCGACGATTTCATGCAAAACGGGGACCGACACGTCCGCATTTACCAGTTCACTCACGTTTCCTCGGTTGGAAGGAATTCAGTTCCAAACACTGGAAACTGGCAACGTAGGACCTTTCCATCAAATCAAATCATTTATTTTGTTGTTTTTGTCTGATGTAATCGACTAGGCGGTGAACAAAAACTTTAAAAGCTATAACGAACAATTATTATCTCATTTCTACCACCCGAGTGGTCGGTCTTCATTTCCGCTCTCGTCCGAGATTCAATCCGACGCCCGTCAGCCCTGGACAAGCTGGGCGCCGTACTGTTCCTACATGGAGAAGCAGTGATCGTCGGACACGTTCTAAAATCGCCTACTACTAGCACAAGAGAGGCGAGATGCTCTACGCGCCGTCTACGCTTGATCAACGACATTATCGCGAACCGACAAACAACTCTTCAATTATTCCATGATTCAGCAGAGAACCTCCTCTGAAGACTAAATAAAAGTTTCAAAAGTATAACGAACAACCGCCTTTGGCGAACTAGAAGTCCAAACGTGTAGTCGAAAGAGTTGAAAACATGGTCTTACGGTCCTGTTGCTTCGATTCAACTTTTCTCTGAAAAATAGTTTTGATCTAATCGGTTGAATTTTTTAGTTAGACAAAAAAAACGTAAATAGACAGAAAAAATAAATAAGAACAAAAATAATTTAAAAAAAAACGGTTTACATGCACCCAAAAATAGTTGACACCGTATGCCCCCTGCTCTAAATGGTTTTTTTTGAAGCTTCGATTCAACTTTTTAGAAAGTTCGAAGTTGATTGAATCTGTCTGAAAAAAGTTATGACCGAAAGTTTGTATCTTTATGATAGGTACAGTATGAACATATGCCGGATTTACTTTATCCATTTACAGATGCCTCTATGTTTTTTTAGCTTGTTAAGTATAGCCTCTCTACCACGACTTGGAATTTCACCCAACGACATTCCGCTGTGCCGCTGCGCGCCTTTGCGAACCTCGGTCGCGCTTTTAATTTTTTTTTTCTTCTATCAAGGAACTCTCCTTTCGTGTGCTCCCACAGCAATAACAATCATTTGAAAGCGTGGCATAGATTCGAAAGACGCTTCGCGAACGCACGCAGCGGAACAGCGGAATGTCGTTCGATGAAATATCAAGTCGTGGCACACAGACTATAACATCGAATCATTAAATTAAAAACGAAACGAAAAAATAAAATATGTAATCTTTTTTAATATGACAATTTTACAATTCTGCCCCTACGTCTAAAAATATCAAATAAGTGTGAAGTTTCTTCTAATCAGACCATTATCTTCCAAACTTTGTCGATCTCTGAAGTCAAAGTCGAATTGCAGCGGTGTTCAAAGGACAGGACATGTTCTTCCTGACCATGTCGGAGACTGTCTGGTCCAACTCGACGTACACGGCCGCCGATCGTCAGGTTGCTGACGATATGGGCCGTCGATGGTCCGATTTTGTCAAGACTGGGTATGGCTATTTTTCGAAATAAAATTTCCTTTTTCATCTCAAGAATTGATAGGGCTTTCACAAACTCAATATAAGTTTTAATAAAAAAAAGATTTAACCTTTTCAAAATTTTTCTTGGATTATTGTGATTTATAAACTTGGGGATTTAAAGACAAGTCAACAATTGGAGTCCGTCGACCCCACAAAACTACGCCTACTGCAATTTGAACCAGCAGCCGACGGTTCAAACCAACTACGGACAACAAGCTCGAAGAGTATTCGAACAGCAAGTCAATCCGATTGTCACACAGGTCTGCAAACTTTCTTCGAACAAAAATGATTTCAGTCTCAGGCTCAACAACAACAACAGCAATTGCAACAAAACCAGGTTCAAAGAACGCCGACGCAAGTCCAGTACAACAACAACGGGCAGAACTCGCAAGACTTTCACATTTCTTTCACTATTCAAAACCCCTTGCCACACTACGGTTGATTTCAGAATCTCATCCTTTTTTTCAAGCCAAAAAAACAACATAAAAAAATCAATAAAAATTTCGAAACTTTTATTCACATTTGAGAGCTCATACAACGTAGTATAGCGAGAAACAACAAGTTATTTTTTTAAGCATCAAGAAATTTTCTTCCAAGTTGCTACTCGCGAGAAAAAAAAACAAAAACAGGAATGAGTGCGAATAGAGCTTTATGTATTTATTTGAAATTGCTATATCCTGGGGAAGAAAAACAATCGAGCTTTGAGCTCATTCGGGGAAAAGATTTACCGGTATTCAAACTTATTAAATGCTCAGACGGCACGGAACGGACTTTGATAAAATAAATTTAATAAAATGGGGAAAAAAGTGAAGATGAGTGCGCGTGGGACCCTAGAGTGGCACCTAAACGACGAAAGAGCAGTGGGAAAAACTGATCTGTGCGTGGAGAAAACCCGTCGGAGCCGCTTGGACTGCTTGGGCGCGTCCTTTTTTCCAAAGGTGAAAAAAAACCGATTAGGAAGAACTGGGAGATGAAGGAAGCGTCGGATGCGTGGAAAATAAGGTCACTTTTCGATATTTCAAGCGAGGAACGGACTAAACTACCTAGGCCATTCAGCACGCAACCTAAACGAAAGCTCGAGAAAAAAAGGCGGCTCAGTCGATGGAAGGCGTCAAAATAAGACCGCCGGCACTTCCGTCGGCGCTTGCCCTCTGCTTCTGCTTCTTGTCCTTCATCCGTCGGTTCTGGAAAGCGATTGAATCACCATCCAAGACAAGGTACTTGAAAAAACCTCAGAGGATCATTCTCAATTGTTTTACAGTTGAATACACTGATAGTTAGCTTTATGATAAATTTGAGCTTCCATTCTTCCATACTTCTTTTGAACTCAAGTTTGTCGCACCAATTTCTGGTTTAGGAGAATAGTAGGAATAAAAAATCACTATAGGGAACTTCCAGCGAAGAAGTTCAAAACTGAAGTCGCCTAAAAACTTGCTAGCAAAAACTACTTTTAAGAGGATTCTCAGAATTTCAGAAAACTTAGATTGACCGTAACACGTCAACCGAGATCGGAAGTTTAAGACAAAAAAATATTTGCAAGTGTCTTGGAAAATTGCACATAATCTACGCGTTATCCACAATATCCTCAACTTCCTACTACGTGCATAAACCATTGCGGGAAAATTTATGACGGTCGGCAACGACGGATAAAGACACGACGCACCTGGAACCAAATCTTCACCTGCCGCTCCGTGAGCTGCAGGTAGCGGGCGAGCTCCCAGCGCTTCTGCTTGCTCACGTAGGTGTTGAAGAGGAACTCCTTCTCGAGCTCCAAAGTCTGCTGCTTCGTGTACGGCTTGCGCTTCTTCCGCATCGAGTGAGAATTGCTAGCCCATTCGCCGACCAATTGACCATCTGAACTATTCCCGTTCAATCAATTCTTGATTCTTTTAATTTCATGAATAATTCGATATGCCGTGTTCAAAGTAATTTCCGCGAAAGACAAAATGATCTCTGACTCTCCAAAATTTAGTTATATTTTTCTTTTTCTGACGGCAATTTTGGATTTCGCGAAATCACTTTGAACACGGCATTATGATCCAAAATGTCAGCAAACCAATATCAAAAGAGAACGAATCAGCGAAATTTACAGTTGGGCACGAATTTTCTCCCGAAAATTCTACAAAGATCTTAAATATATCGAAAAGACCTAAACTTTTGAAGATTTGGAGATGTTCAAAAAATTTCAACAATGAAAATTTAGAATAATAAATCGATGAACACTCAATTTGAGTTTATGACCAAAATATTGAAAGATTTCAGTTTTCAAAAAATCAAGAAAATAATGCACGTGAGAGCTTTTTTCGTTGTGAAGATAAAGCTTTTCTGAAAGGAAAAAAACTAAATTTTCGATTAGGAATAAGTTGGAAAAATTCTTGTAAAATTATGTTGTTCATTTGTTCTTATTATTGAATCACAGCTTCTGATACCTGAACTAGAGTCATTTCGGAGCTGGAATTCAAGTGTAAAAGTGTAATTTCAAAGAGGCCGCCGACTTGACAGCGGCGTCGTAAGAGATTAGATTGCGCAAGTTTTTTGATAAAAATGAGAGCTCTCCCAGAGGTTACTGTCCTCTACACGAATTCTACGATAAATCAGAATAACCGCACATGCCGCCGTGGGGCGTCGGAGACGCAAGAAACAAACGCATTCGTCTGATTGATTGATTGGCTGATTGATTGGCGGAAGGCCAAACCCGAGACTGAGAAGCTTCCTTGTAGATAGAGTAGCTACATCCCGAAAAAAAAAACTTAGGAAAAGCAGAAACTGCTGAGCGTGAGACTGTTTAGAACATAATTTAGTAGTATTTCATCATAAACACGGTGTCCAAGTTCTATGATTCTAAAATAGACATAGATATCTAGATTGTGAGAAAAAGTCGCGAGCTTGAGTTAATGGTGAGTGCGAAAGAAAACATTTTTAAAATTAGCAGCTTTGTCTAAAAATTCTAGAAAAATTAGAATCTTTGGCTTCTATTCGGTTCGAAAATAATTGGTTCAATGGAAGAGAAGGCTACTAGTGTCTCGTTTCTACAAGCAGGTGAATTCACAGATACATTCGAACTCAAAAAATCAAACTCTTATGCTAATTTCAGGCCGGCTTCTCTTACATAGGCGATTTTGCTACCACTTGTATTGATTGTATGACTACTCAATTATTTCAAGGTTACTTCCAAAAATGACCTCACGATGACTTCAACAGTGTCGGCTGAGTCGACCCCAAGGCAGGAAGGAATTTTCGAGTTTTGCTGAAATTCGCTGCACATTCATACACGTTTTGGGCCCAAAAAAGGACAGAAGAACGGAGCGAGAGAAAGACGGTCGTAAAATGCATGACGAAGACGTGCTGGCCGCACACACACACAGACACACTCGCGTTTCTCTGCGCATAAAAACGGATCGCGGCAGGATCACGCAACCGGAGGTCCGTCGCACCTGTCCAGTCAAAAAACAACACCGGCGTGCCGAGAACAGCTATTGGCTCCGTCTGCAGATGCCGCACTACCGTAGTCCAGCAGAGCTTCTTTTTCAAGAATTTAGTACAAAATCTGCCACGAACGAAGCTTTGAGTGAAGCTTTCCGGTTCTCATTTTCGATACTTCAACTTAAAGTTCATGAATTTCCATGTCAAAATATCCAATCATATTCTAGATGAACTGTGTATAAATAACTGCAAATTCCTAAATTCCTAAAATCATACTAAGATCTGCCAAACAATCTCACTTCTTATTCGCCAAAGACAACGCTAGTTCTTTCAAAAACTTTAGTTTGAAATAACTATAATTAAACATGAAATTAATTATTAAACAGCGATTATTGAAGAACCGAGGGAACTCATTAAAAGGAAAGATTGTTGGAAGCTTCTGACTATGGTCGGTAAACTTATTCATGTAACTTCATCTTAAGAATCTTGAAGAATGCGATGACAGTGGGATTGTTTGAGAAAAGAAAGAAGAAATCTGAGGACGCCAAGATTGGACACGCAGTACCACAGAGCAAACACGACGACGCAAATCAAATGGTACGATAGGCTATCAGATGCCGAAGTCGTCCTCGTCGTCGTCAGGTGCCCTTGGCGCTTCCGATCTACTTTACCAGCTCTTATCCCTCGTCCCAATCTCATTTTGCCGATGCCTTTCCATCGGGCTTTTACGACCGCGAGCGGACCGCACCCTTCGGAGAATTTTCGGATTAAAAACACAACTCGTGGGTCCGTGTGTTCAATTAGTCGGGCCTGTGTTGATTCCACCGCCCACCGACTACGGTAGGTCTCTCTTCCTAGTCGGCAATCATCGATTAGGCGCCACTACTGCTGTTTTTCTCCCAAAGGCAGGCTCCTTCAAGTCTGTTTTGTAGGTGTAAGCACTGTTTTCCACTAAAATGTAGCTAGATGTTTCAACCTGACTATTTTGTGTAGTTATAACGATTTTTTTTTTCAAAATTCTTAATTTGAAACAATTTCAGCATGGAAAGTAGCATCAACTATGGTTCAAACTGATAGAATTTGAAATCTCGGCTTTCAAACTTGAGCCACATTCTTTGAATTGCTGAAAAATTGAGCAGCATAAGATTAATTTTGAGGAGATATAGAAAAAGAAACCGAAAAATATTCAAGTTTGAAAATGTTAGGCGGAAGGTTCATCCAGAGCAGCTAAATTTAAGTTTCAGCAAAAGTTCAACCGGGGGCTAAAAAAAGTTTCCTGGTTAGCTTTTCGAAGAAGTTCGCTCTTTTTTAAGGATAGAATGAAGCAGAATTTTCTACTCCCTAGTCATTTTCTCCCTTCGGTCAATGAAATATATGAGTTATTTTTTTGCGAAATCGACAAATCGCCTAAAATTCTACATCAGAGAAGAAAACAGGAGTTAGTGAAAGCCAATTTGTTGTATCATCACTGCCCGAATCGCCAAGGGCAGAAAAAAGGTTCCGTCCCCGAAATGACAAACAATGGTGGAAGATTACGATGGAACGACGTTGAAGGCAAAACTTTTGAATTGTGTGCGAAAAATATTCGATACGAGGTGGAGGAGATCAAACGAATTCGCCGCCACTCACGCTCACGGCCTGCACTCACCGCCGCTCACGCTGTGATAGCGCGACGGACGGGGGTTACTGTAGTCCGTTGCCTTCTTTTCAGACGTACACCCTCCTGAGACGATTTGCAATGGCGAGTTAGGTAATATGACAACTAAAGAGGCTTCTAAACACGTACCTTCCGTGAGTACTTTGGAAAAGATTTAAAAAAATTCGACCAAAATGAATAAATGGTCTACAATTAGATTGGTATGAAAACTTTTGTTTCTGTAATTAATGCGCTTTTTATTCTACTTTCCAACTCAATCAAGAAAGTATATCTGAACTAATTTTTGGAAAGTGAAGTTCATATCGGGGGGAGAGAAAGAATTTGGATCTAAAATCAGAATTCTGAAGAGAAAAAAAAAACGCTGAGATGATTAAATCGGTAAAATTAGTTTGAATAAAAAAAAGAGGATTATTGATTATACCTTGGGTTTTACCCTTTCGAAATCATTTATTTCTTATTGGATGAGTTTGATGAGAATTCTTATCTAAGTTTCCAATGATGAATACCATGTTTCAATTTTTCATTGCACAAATAAAAAAGTTGAAGAAATTTGTTATGGCTGATCGCCAAAGTTATTAAAACGTTCACATCGTTGTATTCTTGGATCATCTTTGAACAAAACCGTACCAGCTCTAATTTCGCAACAATTTCATGACGACTCTATGAAAAATAAAGAAACGAACCGGCTAGACTTCCATCGACGAGTGGCGTGGAATAGTTGGCGGCAAAGGGGTACTGCTGCGAGTAGGTGTATGGTCCCCAGGGCAAGGAGTTTGAGTAGAAGTCCGTCGGACACATCGAATTCACGGCCATCATCGACGCCTCGAACCCAGGAACTGGAGAAGAAAGATCCAAGTTTAGCATTGCCCCAGCCAGTTTCACTCACTATTGGCACCCGGGAATCGATTGGCTTGGAAAGCTTTCTGCGCGGACATCCAGTCTTGGTACATGTAGCCAGCGGGCATCGTCATCGCCGTACTACTAGAAACCCTTTATCGCCAATGAAAAGCGAGATAAAGAAAAGAAACATTCGGATCTCACTACTACTTTCTGTTATGGTTTTTTTAACACTTATAATTTTAACAAACAATTTGTTTCTATATATAAAGAAAAAAATTTCTATGAAAAAGCACTATCATAATCAGATTAACTATTAATTCATCTGGTCCTCATTAAAAGGCGAATTATGAAAAAAAGTTAACTTAGCCTATTTTTCAGCAGCTTTAAGAAAAATGAAAACGCCAAAATTCTCTGCTACTTCTGGTTATTGATGAACCACAATAAGTTTTTGATACCTATGAAAACTTGATCTTGAGTGAAAAATAAGTGGAACAAAACTCGATTAACTTGTTTCTTCTCGGAAGAACCTCTTCGGAATGTTCACCTGGTTGGAAGCTGGACGGCAGACGCGGCGGCGGCAGGGCTTCCGGCGGCGTCGGAATTGTTGCTGCCGTCAGACAGGCTGTCGGCTCCGGCGGCGCCGCCAGCAGGGAGCGTCGACGTCGGTGTCGTCGAGGAGTTGGTCGACGACGTCGGCGGCTGGGCCCACAGATAGTCTTGTCGAAATGGCTTTTGGTCCGACAGCGGGTTGCTACAAACAATTCTTTCTGTTTTGAAGCTTGCAACAGAGAGGAACTGATTGGTTTTTCTAGTGATGCTTCACAAGTTTCATGAAATGCATTCATAACATACAGATTGAATTTCATTCAAATTTAATCTTCAAAACATGCCCTATTACTTTCTTCACTTCGTCCCATTAAACACAACAAACTTGGAATGTAACAAAGCGTAGAGATTGGAAAACATCTATGAAATGTATCGGAAATGTTTTTCGCATGAACTTCCTTATTTTTCAAACAGTCAGGAAGGCTGATTTCGATCTACTGAAACGATAATATCACAGGCAAAAAAAAAGTTAAGTAATGCCATATTGATCATTAAAACGCATATCCGAAAAAAAATGTTCTTTGCCCAACGAACATTTTTTCTCAAGTTATGAACAAGAGGAAAAATAGAATATCTTATATGCCTGCTCTAAAAGAAATGCACTGAGGCTGTCTCATTGAATCGTGCACCAAAAAGAATAACGGTGGAAGTCGCAGGACACTACGAATAGTTACATTCCTCTTCGAAGTAACTTGGATAAAGAAGAGCTTGATTTAGATCGGTCAAGAATAGCCGTTCCTACACACCTAGCACACAAATTAGTCATGGATGGGCATCGAAAGCACTGAAAGCGCCATAAAAATGCGTCGCGTGTGTGCCGTTTATATTATGGTGATCATTAAAAAGCCGCCGCGTAATTTGTTTCCGCTTAAACAATTAAATTCGCGCTATAAAATCAGTCATCAATCACACGCTCCTAATAAAATCAAAATATCAGCTTATCTTTTCAAAAAATAAAAGATGTACGGTTACTGTAGGACTGTCGGCTAGCAGTTCCGCTTTCTGCTGTCCGAGGTGCCAAAAAAATGTTTGAAAGAAGAGAAGATTACGGTACCTGTGGTTGGTGTTAGGGTTGGTGTTCATCATGTGATTCATCACAGAGAGCATATCATGCGCCTTTTTCCCGTTTTCGTCGCCAAACCTTCTATTCCTGGAAATCTCAGATGACTTAGGGTTAGCCTGAATGTGAAAAGATGACGATGAACAAGTTCAAAGGAAAACTTCATGGGAATTGAATATTAATCGGTGGATCTATAGTACATTTCCGAAGATTTGAAAAATTAATTTACAAGTTGCTCAAAAAATCAAAAGATGATTCAAACCTAAGAAGTGGAAGCTCTATTTACAAAATCAGTTTACAGGCATTAAAAAAACTGCATATTAATGGTGAAGTTATTGAAAGATAACAAATCCAACTCATTTATGACCAATGAATGTGTCAAACCGTGGAACACTCAAGCTGAAACGAGCGTCGAAGATTTGATAACGCGAAATCAGATTGAAGTGAAATCAGGATTGAATAATAAATTATTCGAAACAGCCGCGGAACAAATTAAGCGCCATATCTGAGAGACTGGAATAAAACAATCAAAACGGCATAAAATATCATTAATTATGGCGTGGGATCGTGAAGCAAAACTGAAGGGGCGTGGCCAAACCAATTAACGGCTGTATGCTATGTTCTATTTGTACAATATAACGGCTCTCGCGACGAAAAAACCTATTAAAGCGACGGAATCGACAGTTAAAAAGTTTTATAAGCGCTGCGAGACCACTGGAGGTTGGCCAGGGCCTGGTCGGAATGGCTGCCGCCGAAGAAGCACTGCCTCGCCGCCGGCACTCTCCGCCGACGACGGCCTGTCTGAGGAAGGTGGGCGGAGCCTTGCCGCACCGCCCATCTCCTCACGCTTCTTTCGTCGCTCGTCGTGGCGACGTTGGCCAGCCGAGGTACGGTAGCCCTGGATGTTCTCCTGCTCGGAACCGTTTTCCACCAACATTTTTTGAAAAAAGAATTTTCACTCAAGTTTCGTTTATTCGGTTGAATCAAATGCCGGGTACATCGAAGCGTATTTCAATTGGGTTGCCTTTAAGTTCTCCCCGAAACACAGAAAAAAAAACAGAATAGCTATTATCCGATACATTAAAAAAATTCAGACAAAACTTTAAAAATCAAAATTTTTCTCTGAAAGCCTTTTTCATCAAAAAAGACTTCGAAAATCACGGTTCAAATCAAATTAGTATTAATGGAAAAAAAATTTAAAATATGGCCAAATGAGGTGGCACAAAACATTTTAACATTTTCTATCATCTTTTTAAATAAAAGGTCAATTTTATCTGAAAATGTTCGTACGAATTAGTTCTCACAGCGATTATGACTTTGATTATCATATCATTCCCATGGAGGCGTTACAAATTTCGGGCAAGAATCAAAACAAGCAAAAAATATAATTTTAATACCGCAAAAGTGCTGGAATGAGAAAATTTGTTTAGATATACAAAAATGTGAGCAAAAATTTATTTTTTGAAGATACAACGAGAAAAATGGCATGATTAAAAAAAGAAATGTTGGTGTCTACCAATCGAAGCTTCATGGAGTCTACCAATCGAAGCTTCATGGAGGAAAAACTCTTTTATATCAATCGAGAGCAAGATTTTTCGTGCTATTCTTTAAATCACCAGGAGTTACGATTGAGATGTACTTTTAAAGTTTTTTTTAGTAAAGTTTTGAAGTAATCGAGAAGAATGAACTCACTCGATTTGAAAAATTTATCAGGAATTGCGATCTGAAAGTGCAGAAATATGAAAATTATATCAATTTACTGACTTCATGTGAATGGGATCGAAACGATATTTCGTTTTCAAAAGCTCAAACGCACATACTCGTGTTGTTCTTCTAATAGAATAATTAGGAGTAATCCGATGGAAGAAAGGATTATTTATTGAACAAAAAAAGGCGCAAGCTGCTTGGGACCTCGGTTCAAACTTGCAATTTATCAAGCGGCTGACAGCGGCTCTGTTTGGGCGGCTGAGTGTGGGCCGATCGGAGCCGCGGATTACAAGTGCGGCGGTCCAAGCTCAAAGAGCTCAGATAACAGCGTTTGTTTGGGCTCTCCTTCGCACCTGGCGACAGTGAATGTCTTACTCAAGACTTGGGTATCAATTGAACGCAGGATTTCTGCAAGTTTGATGAAAGCCTGAAGTTTCCTTTTAAACTTTGCGAGATATCTTACGAAAAAATGTCTTGACTGTAGAGGCAAAGGAGGATTTCCAGTACTTATTTGTCGATTTGAGAACAAAAAAAAAACTAACTAGTCTCAAGAAATCACACAACACAAGTGGATGGAAATCCTAAAAATCATAGTTCTTTTGAGTTGGTTTAAAAAAAAAGAACAAACTTCGCAGAGCTACTTTTCGCCAAATGTCGAAAAAGCGGAAAAGCTATTCAAATCCACGAAAAAAGCCTGGGTCAGTCTGCAGACATTTGTCTTGCCAAACGGGCAATTGTCACCCAGAGAAGTGCGCGAAAGTTTTACGAGAGCCCAATAAACGACATGAGTTGTGGAGGATTTAGGAATTAAGTAGAGAGTTAATGAGCGGGTTAATGAGAAAGCACGTGTTGAACCGATGGGAATCTGAAGCAAGTCCACAAGGAAGGTGTCAAATATCTTTGGGTTATGGTGATGAAAAACTCCGTTTTTTGGATCAATTTTCAACCCATCTTCAAAAATTTGACGCGAAAATGAAATTTATATGACCGGGTCAGTTCAAACTTTCTTCATCTTCGCTCGAAAAGTGCCTGTCTATCTCCATTGTAGACTGAACGAGAGTTGAAATCAGAAAGATATTGAAAATCAAAAGTTTCTAATAGCTCATATAGAAATATGCTAAAACCTATCGAAAACGCAATTAGACCCAAAGCAAACGACATGAGAAGTTTTAAACGATAATATGAAACTTTCAAGACAAAATGACAAGAAATTAAAGAAAACTAGAGCTTTGAAAAATTATCATGTGAACATTAAGAATACTAGAAGATAGCTCATCTAACATTTTGGGGTTGCGCAAATCGTAGATAAAGTGTGCATAAAATACTTTTCATAAAAAAATTGATACTAAAGTTTAAATGAAAAACTTTGGAAGTAGAGTGAAAAAATCCGAGGATTATTCCGACCCGTGGTCCCTAGTCATCTTTTCAAAATTTTATCGAAAAAATAGTGGGTCGTCGCTTCTCCTGATTACGGTGAGCGCGAAGGCCCAAGGGAAAAAAGCGAAAGAGCGGGTCGACGAGGCAATAAAGTCCAGAGGAACGCACATTTTTACGGGAAAAAGCTGCGAGAATTCAGCCGGAACGATTCGACGTGGAAAACCACAGGCTCACGAGTTATCGTTGCAATAACACGACATGATTGATTCGGTGATAAGGACGACGCGCCAGGTCTTTCCACCACCATACGGTAAGCAGCCGAGCCGAAATCAACCAAAGAAAAACTTTTCACAATGTGTTCATGCTACTTATTTATCATTTTCTAACTATTTAATAGTTTATTGAGTAAGCTGATGTTGAGCTGATGGGGGTTCATAATTTATTTAACATTACCTCTTTTGAAATATCAGTCAAAATTCAACGGATAATAACTTGTGACTACTTTTTTTTAGTCACTACTAGTCACAAGTTATTATCAATTTTCGAAATTTTGAAAAAAAAACTAGCCACTGACTAGTTTTCACTAGTTTTCGCACACGAGAAATTTAACAATCGTTTCTTGAAAATTCTCTGAAACGATTATAAAAACAAAAAGTTCCATAAATTATTTGCTATAACTCTTCACTTTGTTTCAACCTAGCGCTGGACGGTAGCAGATTAAAGCAGTTTGAACTTTTCTTAAGAGCGGAGCAGGAGTGAAAGAAAACAAGACCAAGTTTTAGAAGTACTAAAAAGTGGCGATAAAGCAGTACTTGGCCAGCAGCACCTCCGGTTTGTGTTTCCCTAGTCGTTATCAGTCGATTGCATCTAGGAGCCGGTGCCGTTGCTCCCACGGAGTCCTTGATAGCGGCTTGTCTTTGATCAGCCCCCAAAGGCTGTAAATTACGTACTCAGGCATACTCTACAGCGCCGTTCTTCCTCTGGAAACGACGTTTCCGGCTCATTTCTTTTCCAACGTTGTTGAATCAGATTTTACAGTTCTGAACGTTTGAATATCTACCTCTGGGTTTGATTTCGAATTTATTTGAACTTTATTTTTGTTTTCCGAAATCGCCGGAACGTTTTTGTTAAACATTTTCATCTCAAAACTGGCTGAGTCAACAAATCGACGTTAAAATGACTTCTACATAAAAATGATCCAACTTTTTTTTTTACTAAGTTTGTTCAAGCCGAACCTTGACTGCGAAAAAAGTCTTTTATAAAGTTTTTCCCGCGAAAAAAACATTTTCGGAAAGTTTTGGCTTCTGTAAACGCGGTGGCATTGATTCCGAATAGGTTGATTACATTTTCATATATATATATATTAGTGATCCGTGCCATCAGAGATATTTCATGCATTATATTCAACGATTTTAAAGTCAAGCCGAATTTCCATTATGTGTTGAAAGGAATTGATACTCAACACTTTTTTTCCGACATTTTTCAGAAGCTATAGAGAAATCTCTACTTCAAACGCCTAAATCTGACTATAAACAAATCAGTCACCTAAACGAAATAGTTGTGTGATGTAAGCGATCCTCAAAGGCGGCAGGATCAACACGTGCTTGAAAGGTGACGAATAAACAGGAGCCTAATCCGATTGCGAGCTCAAACGGCCACGTGTGTTTGCTCCGGTCGCGACAGGTCCTCGGGTTAATCCGCGATGTCGTTGTCGCTGCGCCGCACTTCAAACGAAGCCGCTATCAGTCAACCGCCGCGCTATCAGAGCCACGACCGACAACGGATTATCACACGCGCGGTGCAAACTTTTGTGCCACGTCGAGGTAATCCGAAAAGACATGTTTGCCCCTTGTTTGACAACTGTTAAGCGTTCGCTTTAAGATGTTAAAAAAAAGCAAGAAATAAAGGGTGTAAACTGAGAGAACTTCGCAGCTCTTGAAATGTTGCCTTCAAAACGATTGAAGTTTTGCTATTTGCTATTTCAGTTATAGCCTTATGCTATTGAACTTATGTCAGGTAGAGTCCAAAAGGGTTTCTTGACGAAGTTCTTCTATATTTCATCTTTTTGACGAGCTTATTCAACAAAAATATAGTTTCTCGTCTCGATCACTAGCCTTCTTTCCAAAATGACACCAACGCGTTAAGAATAATAGCGCTCGCGGAGCAAAAGGCTCGAAGTTGATGGATTACGCGAGTCGGACACCTTGATCTAACGGTTATCCGTGAATCGATCGCGCTACGGTAGTTGATGATGTCGTCAAGGAACAAGAGAGACGCGTTTCAAGTCGCCGCCATTATCGAGCAGTTCACTTTCAACAAAATTATCAGCTAGTCATAGCTGTCGCATTCGAAAAGTTTTTGATTATGAAAAATGATTGCCGGAGTCCAATTGGTGAAAAATGCTTCAGCTGTAGGATTGAAAAAAAAAACTGATATAGCCACCTCAGAATAAATTTTATAATCAGCCAAGTCGAATAAATTTTCTTTAAACCTATCGTGGAACTACAAAAACTACAGAGTGCAAACTCAAAAAAAAAGTTTTGGAACTGCGCCAATAAAGGCATCATATTATTTAATTCCGCTTGCTTACAAATCAAAGAAATCGACTACAATTGGTTACTATATTCATAGACGAATCGGGATCAAGTAATAGAAGTATATACCTCAAAATGGATCAGGGTGCTATAATAATATGTTCATCGTCATACCTCCGGTATATACTTCAGCAAAAAGCTCTACCGGTAATGCTGAATGTCTATCTGAACTGCGAGTCTATCGCTTTTTTCTATAATTTAGCAAGATATAACCGTGGTACCACCGTTAGACTTCAGTCCCTTCGACACACTACTGGCACTATCGCGATACCCTTTTTGCCCGATTCGTCTGTGTTGAAATTCATATGAAAATATCAGGGCGGGTAAGACTTTTATTTATACAGCGCAGACCAATAAATTAACTCGCTTAAAAGAACGTCCTGGGATCGTAATCTCTGCTTTTCGAAATATCGACCAGTACGCCGTTTGTGCTCACAGTGTTCTTGAAGTTGATTCAAAAGAGTGGCGTGGGCAGTTTATGAAGAAGACGTTAAACGGACAGGTAAAAGGTACCGGTGTATGGCAACAACATGACGCGACAGTCGTAAAGATAGACATCTAACCGTCAACTCGCAGACAGCAGCAGCAGGCTCACTCATTTGAACTCCCGTCGGCACCGCCGTCGTTTACGAGCCCTAAATCGTTTCGATTCATGTCGCGGATGAATGATCTGACATGGTTGATTGCACTGATTGCCATCGATCTACTGTTAAAACACTATTTTTGAAATTAAATTTGTTTGAACAGCCGAAAAATCAGATTTTACTAGTTTAAGTTTATCTTAGAGCCCCCTTCCGCGCAATTGTATATGTATACCATATACCAAAATGGACCAAACTCGACCAAACTTGCAAAAATATAGCTTTGATTCTGTTGTGCTTTTAAAAACTAGCCGTCTCGCGCGGAATACGTATTACCAGGCTTCTCAGCAGAATATGCAAACTGTTAACTTCTATTATTCAATTAAATGAGAATTCAAATCCTCAATTTGAACCTACCCTTTTTCCAATGAAAAAAATATCCAGAGAAGTTAACGAAAACTGAAAATAAACCTTCACACGTTCTTATTTATTGAATTTCCTTTTTCCTAGACGCGCCGGGAAATTTCGCAATGTATCCATGCGTCCTGAAAATGAAACATCAAATCTGTATAATTTACAATATTAGAAAATATGATATAAAAAAGATTGAATATTGAATAAATCTTTGAATTTGAAAGTATCCTTTCGCGCGCGCACAGTAACACTTTTTTCGCTGTAAAGCACATTTCGTAAAAGAACTAATTTTTTTATGTGAAAAAATAAAGAAAAAAAATCCATCTTTAGGTTTCAGACCTTCGATAGACTATTGGCTCTACCGCGATACTCGTGCCCGATTCGTGTGTGTTTCAGTTTTCAGGTGTCCCGATTTGTTCAAGGTCGGAAGTTTAAGCAACAGTTTCATCGGCATCATGATTTTAAGGCGCCTTTTAGTATTGAAAAATTGACTTTTATTCTTCTCAGAATGCATATTTACACAAGTCCTGGCTTTTCCTCAACTCTGACCAACAGCGGAACCTCAAAAGATAGTCAAAGCTCTTGCGGAAAGAAGTCCGACAAGATGTTGAGAGGGTTTACGAGCGCAGCCGGGTGGTCAGTCGGCTCCGGCGGCGAAGACAAAACTCGCCGAAGCTGCCGACGACACATGTTTCCGTCATAAAGACACGTCCGCGGCTCACACACGTCTCCAATATTTCATTCAATTTGTCGGAATGTTTTGGCTTGCACTAATTGACCGTATGTCCAAGAGACGCATTAATCGCTTTTTGGTAGGAATGAAGAAATCATGGAAGCGGTGCTTTCAAAAAAAAAAAAGTGCTATACCTACCGTACACAAAAAAGATGCTATAAAGATTGAGGAATAAAGCGTGAGAGTTGAATGTGTACGAGAAATGGTCCACGTCAAGATAAAAATGTTGCAACCAAGCCTACACTTTATAAATATATAAGGAAACATAAATTATAAGAATCATATAAGCATACATTTTGAATCTAAATCAATCCTAAATTTTAAATTTGAAACGGTTGAAAATATTTATTTTTTTTCATGAAGAAACGCAAAAAAAGTTGTTTGAACCAACCGGCAGCTCCGAGGTTCATGCTTCCTAAGGAATTCTCGTCTGCCAAAGGCGGTTTCTAGTCAACTTGAGAGCAATATGTTCACATTCTTCTCGATTATATTCATCAAAAAGACACCAAATCAAATCTTGAATGATCAAGTTTCCTGAGGCACCAAATTAAGAACCGCGCTAACGAACTGCGCAGCTTCTTCAGTAAAGCCGAGGTGAAACCAGGGAGCAACTCTCGGGGCGGAGCTCACCCAGGCAGATGCACGACTCCATCTGCTCGGTGTCCATAAAACAACAACACACACACGTACCGTATCCCTTGTCGGCGTCGAATTAAACAGCAGCCGTAATAAAAACCGCAAGGACGCGGCCCCAACAAGAACAAAACGGCGGCGGAAACGTCAAAGAAAGGGAACCAAAAAATGGCTGCACTCAATGAATATAGTTTCAAGTTGAAAAATGCTCTAGAGAATTTCATGTTTTAAAATTGGGAGGAAAAAAAATTTATGAAGAACTTTTTAAAAAAAACTATTGAGAAAACTATTTTGAAAAAGTTACGTAGCTTACTTGCTGAGTAGTAAGAAATTTACATTTTTATACATTTTTCAAAAAATAAAAGTTTTTTCTCAAATGTGGCCCTGCTCATGCTTGTTAAGAAGGAATTTTTTTTCTCTCTTATTGTTCAAATTTTAAGAAAACTCCTATTTTTTTTTCTTTTTACGTAAACTATTTCATTTTTTTTTATTCAAAAATGGATTTCTGTTATAAAAAATGATCTGAAACCATTTTTTTTTCACAAAAATCTGTAATCAGATTTGCAAAATTCAAACCTTCAAAAAGAGAGAAGGACAGACACAAGCAAAATTTTCAACTTCCTTTTTCCACTACCTTCTTAATATTACAGTGTGAAATTCACACTGTTCTCTACGCATATTACTCCAGAAGCGTTCGACCTCGTAAAAAAGGGACCACAAAGAAGCCAAAAAAAGTGTTCCTGTACAGAATTCTTTAGTGGTTATGGTAGAGGAATCAGGTTTTAGACGAATTTTCACGAGAAAAAGTTGTCGAGACCTGAAGTTACGGTAGTTGGCCTGGTCATTTTATAGCTGCAATCGGTGAGGCGCTCTCTTTCACGTTGTACTAAATATCACCATCGACTGAAGTTTAGAGCGCCATTTTCACGTCGGCTTGAAGAGGGAAGCGTTTTGATCTCAGAAACGCCGAGGAAGTAATTTTAAGGATAAACGAAAATTTAACTTGAAAAAAGACACGCAAGAATGCTCACACCCGCTTATGGTCAGAGTGAAGGGAGATATGAAGAAATTAAGATAGGACTACAAAAAAATATAGTTGTAGTATTCTTATATTTTATCAAACTTTCGAAAAAAGTAAAGTTGAATTAAAATAATATCCCATAATAGATATATGGTTGAAACTTGAGCAGAGCCGGAAAGCTTCCAATTATAAGTTCTAGCCTCAAATTGTATCCGATAACATGTACCTAAAAAATATATTCCGAATTTTAGGTATCTTTTGTGGGATTTTGGCCTGAACTCCCCCTTCTTTTATTAGACAAAACTTACAACGGTTAGTTTCATATATAAGGCATAATTTTCATAAATATTCTTATTATAAGAATTTCCTCGGAAATGTGGGCTCTAGAGTTTTTTTTTTTCTATACCTGTCCAAACTAGTGACGAGACTGGATGAATAATGGAGGAGAGTCCACAAGGCAGCGCCATCGCTTGGGGCAACCGGAATTGATCGGCGGCGGCGCTTGGAAACTGCTTGAAGACGTCGCAATCCAGACGGAGCTCCAGAAGAGTCATGGGAAAGTCTTCTGGCGATAGCATCGTGGTCGCCGTCCGCGTACGTCCTTTCAACGACCGCGAGAAGATCCGAAAATGTCAACTTGTCATCGACATGCCCGACGCCACTACCACCGTCATTCGGTCAGCACTTTGAAGCGTACCTCATGATATCCAAAGAACAGATTACGATATAAGAGCTTGAAAAATTAAAAAGTTTTGGTAGATTTCACCAAAACAAATAGCCAAAATTCAGGAATCTCACATTAAGAAGGATGTTTTCTTCAACATTTTAATGTGAAATTAACGAAAACTTCTTTATTTATTTTTTTTTCTGCATGTCAAACGCGTTACGGGTAAAAAAAAAAGTGCGTCGTCAAACTTTGAATCAATATCATTTTTTTTTTCTTTTTCTCAATTTATTGGAGTTTTATTGTCATTCGTTCAGAGATCCAAAAAGCGGAGATGAAAAGCGATTTGCCTATGATTACTCATATTGGTCACACGACGGGTTCATAGAAAAGTCCAATGGATATTTGGAGCCCCAAAACTCGCATTATGCCGATCAGGTTCGTTAAATACATTTATCGTGATTTTTTACATGAAGAATTCTCGCGAAGATCGAAACAAGGGCCGTATATTCAGAAAAAAGTGTTCGAAGATCTTGGAAAAGGAGTTCTTTCAAACGCTTGGGCCGGATACAACTGTTCGCTTTTCGCCTATGGCCAGACGGGAAGCGGAAAAAGCTACTCGATAGTTGGATTCAAAGGGAATAAAGGTTTCCACATTCTTCTTACACTGAAATCAACTTTTGTAATCAGGAATCGTGCCGATTGTTTGTGAGGAGCTGTTCAAGCAGATCGAAATAGCCAAAAAGAAGAACTCACAGTTCGAAGTGTTCATCTCCATGTTCGAGATATACTGCGAAAAGGTATAACTGCTAATTTAGCGATGAACGAGGCTCAAAAGTTGAAATTGGTCGTGTAGTTCCAAAATATTTCTCGTGACTATTCAGATTTAGTCATAGTCATTCTAAACGTGCTTAAAGTTGTCAAATGAGCTGAGGATAATGAGAAATTTTCAAAATAAAAAAAAAGTCGGTTTTATTGCCATGAAATCACTGCTCCTCTCACTTGAAAATGTCGAGAGGCGCCATCCCAAAAAATAATTCAACAAAATGGAGATCACTGAAAACAGAGATATCCCTAAACAGATAGCAGCGTTGAGAAATTGAAAGGTCGGCTGGCCGCAAATCATAAAATTGAGGTCCGCGATTTGCTGAGCGACAAGCCGCCGCCGAAAGGAGGACTCAAGGTGCGCGAACACCCAAAAACAGGGTTTTACGGTAGGAAGACACCTGGGTGACGTCGGAACATCGTGTTGCAGTGGAGAGTCTGAGCAGCGTGCCGGTGAGCTCGTACGCCGAGATCGAAGCGAAAATCGACGAAGGAACTAAAAGTCGCACCATAGCTGCTACCAACATGAACGCCACGAGTAGCAGGTCCGGGGAAGTCCGAGATAGATAATACCATCTTGATAAAGGGCAAAAAATTCTTAGCAAGTCCAATGAAAATAGTGACTTTCAGTTTTGAAACTAGGGAGAGAACCGCATTTTTCAGAGCACACACGATAGTGAAGATAATATTCCATCAGAAAATTGGCAAATCGGGCGGTGGGACGACGACCAAGAAGAGCGAGATCAACCTGGTCGACCTTGCGGGAAGGTGCGGCTTCGGAGGCCGATCAGGCGCCAACCTTGCGGTGATTCAGCGAACGGCAGTCGGCGGCTGGGACCGAAGGCGATCGCCTCAAGGAAGGAATCGTCATCAACCAGTCGCTCTCCACGCTCGGCAGAGTCATCAAGGCTTTGCACGAGGCTCAGGGAGCCAAGAATGGGAAGAAGCCTCAGGTTGGCCCAGAAGAGTTGTCAAGGACTCTGAACTCTGCCTCAGATACCGTACCGAGACTCTGTCCTCACTTGTTTGCTGAAGAACGCGCTAGGCGGCAACAGCAAAACGATCATGGTGAGTGTATTAACGAGCACTTCAACTCGTGTTTCAGGTCGCCGCCATCTCTCCGGCCGACATCAACTTCGAGGAAACGCTTTCCACGCTCAGGTTGCGTTTATAGCCTCCGAGAGCTCTTTTTACGTCTTTCACATCACGTTTCAATGAGCTTATCGTTTTTCTTGCCATTTGGTCTTGAGGTTAAGTTCCCAGGAAATATTGAAAGCTCTATTTGCCTCTACATCGTAAAAAAAAATTCTCGCTGGCTTTTTTCAAACCTCGTAGTTTTGAATTATTTAAAGTAAAGCTGAAATTTTCTCTGGATCTTCGAGAAACTTTTCTAGGCACTTTGCTTCATATCATTGGAGAAGTTTTTTAACAGTCTGGGTTGAGAAATTTTCAGATTTGCTGATCGAGCGAAATCGATAAAAACAAACGCTGTCGTCAACGAAAACCAAAACGAAAGAGTTTTACGCGAGCTCAAGGAAGAAAATGTTCGCCTACAGCAGCAAATTAGTGGTGGTGGCGGTGGATCTCAGGTAGAACTAAGAAAAAGTAAAAAAGGAAGACTTTTTGTGCCAAAGGAAGAAATAGAAAGACTTCGGCGTTTGCTGGCGGAAAATCAAAAAGAGATGGAGAACATGGAGAAGTCATGGCAGCAGAAGATTGCCGAGGAAGCCTCCAAGGTTGGGAAAGGACAGTCGTACTCGGAGGAAGGAGTGAGTTGAAGCGGCAAGCCGGGGCGAGCGAGAAGGCCGAGGTCGAGAAAAACAAGCGTCTGATGCCGCATCTGTGGAATCTCAACGAGGACGCCGCTCTCACCAACGTCATCGTCCATTTCATCCCCAAAGGGGACGTCGTTGTCGGTACAAAATCTACAATTCATTTAAAAAAAAACGTAAGAACAATCGCAATATTTGGAGGTTTTTACAAAGCTTTGAGCTGATGCAGCCGAAGATTTTGTCTAGTTTTTATTACGTACAAAAATGACATTTGAAAGAGAAATCACTCAAAAAAAGAGAAGTTTTGGAATTGTTAATATTTCGATTTTGAAGTTTTGAAGGTTTTCTTCGATAATTCGATGATTTACTTGGGATAGAAACATCTTGGCGACTTTCGAACTCAATTTTTTTCCCCATTGAAAGAATTATGCTCCATTTGAAGAGCAATGAAATTCAACTATCAATTTCTTTCCATTGACTACGAATTTTATTATGCAAATAGTTTTATCACAAAAAAATAAATTTAAAAAGTATTTTTTTTATAGTTTTGTTCAAAAAAATTGAAAAATTGTTCCTTATTTTTCAAATAACTTTCAGCAAAGAAGTTCAGGTAACAGGCGATCAGAATCGCTGAACCAAGTTCAACTGAACGGACTCTCGATCCTTCCACACCATGCTACTTTCCGGAACAACAACAACTCCAAAATTACCCTCATCCCATCGCCGGTTTTTGAATTGAGAGTGAAATCAAAAAATATATTGAGTAAAAATTACAGGGAGCTGATATTTTGGTCAACGGCAAACCAACGACTGGTGAGACTATTGTAGAGCAAAATGATCGGTGAGTATCTTGTTTTCTTTAACATCAGAATTTCATATACTTTCTCAGAATTCTTTTCGGAGGCAATCATCTTTACGTCTTCAATAACCCAAGCAAGAGTGGAATGCGGCAGGACGTCACCTATGAAGAAGCGCAAAAGGAGATGGCCAAATATGCTACCGTTCAAATTGGTGGAACTTCGGAGAACAAAAGTTGGAAGACTCTGTAAACTTTCCATTTGGAACTTCAGGAGATCTGATCCTCGAAGAAGAACTTGTTTCGACTATTCCGCTGGTTCACCGAGCCAACGCCATGTCTAACGAACTCAAGTATTGGTTTCTCCTTTTTTTTTTCATCAGGGCTTTTTCCAGGCGAAACGTGACTTTCGAAGTGATGCTGGTTTCGCCGGAGATGCGGGGTCTCAACGACGGTCTCACAGAGGTCGAACATAGTTCTTCAATACTTTTATCTTTTTGAGAAAACTTTTCTGAAAAAAATCCACAACGCTTAATCAACCTCAATGTAATTTTCTTCGCAAATAGTTTGATTTTTCGGTTTCATGGAAAGTCAATACGAACCTAAAATATCATTTTTGTAACCTAGCGAATTATATTAAAGAGGTTTTCTTCAGATATGGGTGAAAGTTCACAATGTCCGGGAAGACACCTACTTCTTGTGGGAAAAATCGCGGTTTCTGAATCGCTACTACGGTATGCAAGAAATGTACGAGGCGAAAATAGACGGCGAAGATTGGAACATGTCCAAAGTTTTCTTTTTCAGTTGGAGCTCTCATTTAAATGGTATACTTCCAGGAGCGCGACCCTTTCTACGAACCGCCGGAATCGCCCGTTTTCCTGGCTTCTTGTGTCGTTTTCCTCCAGTCTCTCGCCTACCTTGTTGATTGTGATGAACAGTTTCCAATTGTGGATTTCAGCGGTTGGTACTGAAGAAGTGTGGTTTAAAGATTCTGGAAATTCTGTTTCAAAAAAGAAAAAATCAACTTTTTCCCTTTCCATTCAGCATTAATTCTATTTTACTCTTGAGAAGTTTCAACTCTTTCTAAAAAGTTTGTATGGAGTTTGAAATCAGCCGTAGATTAATGTGCAATCAATCAACTCAGCCAACTTTCTTTCAGGAAATGAGATTGGACAGCTTTCGGTAGGCCTTTCCCCATGTTCCACAACTGGCAAAGATCTTCGTGGCGAGTATGTCGAGAACCCATCACAAATAGTTGACGCGAAAAATATTCACATGATCGCAAATAATATATTCAGGTGGGCAGGAATATTGCCTTCAAAGTGAAAGTCGGCAAAGCGATCGGACTCCAACGCCGAATATTCAAGGTTTTTGATGATATTCGATGAAATTGGAAAACTTTATAAGTTGCAGTCCTATTGTAAATATCGCTTTTTCGGAGCGAAAGAAGTGACGACGGACCCAGTAACTGGGAACTCGCCAGATTTCCGTCATGAGCATGTTTTTCCTTTCAAGCCGGTCACAAAAGAGGCTCGTTTCCCGATCATTTTTTCGACCGCAAGCGAAATGAGGCAGCCTGAAAAGAAAAAAGCGTAATTGCACACAGCTGGCGGCTCTCTTTTTACTCCGAAGTTCATTTTTGCGAAACCTCGCGGTTTTTGCAGCTGATGGAGTACTTGCGCAACTCGAATCTGTATATCACCCTGTGGGGCACGCAAAAATCGAGAGACAGCCGCGGACGGATGAGCAGCGCCGACGCCGCATCTTTTCCTCCCAAAAAAGTCCGCTCCGTTTTTAAGTAAAAATTCATTACTCTTTCTAGAGCAAAGAAATTGTGAGGCAGCTGGAGAGAAGAGAAAGCCGCAGCATCTCCTTGAAATCGTTACAAGGGGCTCTACCGATAGATGTTAAAAATAAGTTTGAAGCTTTTTTCAAATTTGAATTCTTAATTTTTAATTTAAGGAGATCTACAAAGAAGAAAAAGTCGAAATCACGCACGACAGACAATAGAAAACCCATTTAAATGTATTATACACTGTATGAAATTTTAATTGCTCGTTCGTACATCTAATACCAAGTTTATTAATTCTTCACAAGCGCAGGCTAAACTTTGGAAAAGCTATTGTGAAGGATTTTATGCGTTGAAAATTTTTTATTTCTCCTTAAATTTCATAAATTTTGAGATACTGTAGATCTTTTGCAAGCTTGTGCTTACAGAACAAACGCATACACCACGCGCAAGTTCGATGTTCAAATGTTGGAAAACTTTTTTTCTTTTTTTTTATCTTTCTGTGAACAGTCTGTGAAGTTTGAATCATTTTTATAATTTTGGGCTGGAAATCGTTTTTTTCACGCTTACCGAACTTTAATTAATTTTCCTAATATTTTATGAATGACCTTATTGCAGGTGATTATCCTCAGAGTGGGTTTAATGACGTTTTTCCATTTTATCAACTGCGTTGCTCTTGCTTTCGCTCCATACTTCATAGTTTACAAATATTCAGGTCTCTCTAACTTTGAAAAAAGTTTTAATGTCAATGGCCATTCAGGAATCAATGAATATAGCAGCGTATGGAAGTGTGCTCAGGCAGGAGGTGGCTACCTCATGACACAGTTGGCTAAGCTTTTACTCCTGGCCACGTTTTTCCCAGCAGCCGAAACTGATGGCTTCGCAGTACTCCCGGTTCTAATGATTTCAATTTATTCATTCCATGTTTTTTTCAGGAGTTCCTAAAAAGTTGTTCAGACGTGCTTGATGTCATCGGAATGCACATTGTAATGTCATATTTGCTTGCTGGAAAAGGAGAAGTGAGCACCAAATTTTGATTTTTTAGAGTTTATTATGATTTTCGCAGGTGAGATTCATCAGTGGCGGAATCGGCTGGGGAGCTGCTCATTCTATTGCTCACAGAGTTTTGATGCTCTGGGTTGGGGCAAGGTAAGGTTTTTTTTGGCATAAAATATGAATCCATATTTTTTTCACACTTCTCTTCTCAGAGGCTCGGCCTTTTCGTGGGTTTGGATCCAAACGGCTCTCGATTCTTCGTCCGACCTGCTGTTGATCTTGTCGATGGCAGCTTTGACCTGGATGGTGACTCGCTCGCAGAATCGCATCATTGTGGCTCCTTTTCTTGTCCTATGCGTTTTCCATTCGTTCTTTTATCAGTGAGTTCTTTATTTATCTCTAAAAATCTTAAGTACTGTCTTTCCTTTTGTCATTTAATTCTCTTACAGGTGCCTCTACAACTACTTTCATGTTTCCGGATGGCTTTTGGTGTTCTCTCGTTTTGCGTTCTCGGCGTTTGTCGCAGGCGGAACCATTTTCTCATACGCACTCTATGGTCGAGGGAACACGAAGAAAATCGAATAACTGCTCTTTCCTAGATTTATTACAATTTTTCTTGTTCAATTGCTGCTTAATATCACTTTGATTTTGTTGTTAATTTAATAAAAAAATGTGGATAAACTTCAGTTAACGTTTGATTTTCATATATCCGGACTAATGGGTTGATTCCAAGTTTCCTTCGATCGAAAAATCATAGCTCTCCATTTTTTTTTTCTCTAGAAGGATGCTCGAAACAAATTTTGACGACTTCCTACTGCCAGTGGAAAACACTATCTCCAACGATGAAATGATAAGCGGCGGCGTGGTCCGAGATTCGCCTTCAAAAAGATTCGGGTTTGTTTCTGATATTTCAACATAATTAGTCGTTGAAATGTAGAGTTCTTCTCAGTGAGCGGAATCTCGTAGCGCCGGAGTCTCCAGATATGAAGTTCGCGCGCAATCGACTTGGAAATCTGCTAACAAGCATAAAACATGGAGAATCGATCAGTGGGTCAATGGATCTCGGGTTTTTTGAGCTTGAAAATGGTTGGAGAATTGAACTCTGAGCAATTTTCAGCGTGGTAGATATCGAAGAAAGGATCACGGGGAGACAAAGGAGGTTAGAAGAGCTGGAGGACAAACGCGTCGTTTTCCAACTTCGAGGGAAGCCGTTTTGCCTGACAGACGGCCGGACAGAGACCTGTTACGCGTTGAGCCGCGCTTGGGTCCGCGGAGAAACTGCCGACAACGTCTACCAAGAGAACAAGCACCGCGAATACGCGCCCGATCTACCCACGGTACTGTGAAAAGGAAATGGTAGAAAGTTTGAACAGTTATTGAGGAAAACTTTCAAAATTTATTGAATAAAGCATTCACTAGCTTTCGATGTAGCCAACGCCTCAAAAGTCTCCTGACTGTGTGAGAAACTAAAATTCAAAAGCGTTAGTTCTCAAAAAAGCAAGTTTTGCGGGGTACTTCTAGTAAATCAAGAAGTTTTTCAGGTAGTTATTGAAACTTCTTAAGCTCCTAGTAAATTGAATTCCATCGTTTAAACTTTGGAAAACCCATTGGGCAAACTAAACAAAACTATTATGCAGAAAGAAATTCTAGATTTTGCTTATAGATCTTAACATTCAGAATATTTCCTAGACGTGTCTAAGCACTGAATTTCCATAGAATGATAGCGATCGGAGCAAGGTTTTCAAAAGTAATAGAAAGCATATCGATCTTGCGGCATCGAACTAGCGATCCTGTAGACCCTGAAAAAGTGTCTGCAGTTAAAATAAATTTTCTCCGAATAGTTTCATGAAAATGAGAATGAAAATTTTCAAGAAAAAAGTTGGAGTTACATTTTTTTAAAGGCATAGGGGCAGTAAAAAACGGTGTTTCAGTTCAAATCAGTACTTTGTAGAGCTTTTCATTTCGAATCGAACGGTGACATTGGAAACGTACAGAAGTTCCTAGTTTTGGAGAAAAAATAATTCAAAGTTGGAGAGAGGAAAGCTTGAGTTCCCGCGAAAAGGGCACTTTGCAGTAAAGTTGCTCTATGGACAACAGGCTTCGCCATCTTCCGGATTTTCGCTTTTTTCTTCGTTTCTTTCAATTTTCGATTTTTTCTCTTGTCACCAAAGTTCTTTTCGTCACAAAAGTTTTCTATTCATATATAATTTGCAAACTTTGATCGCAAAAATGCTTCTCTGGTGAAAAATGATGATTTTACACAGGTTTCGATGGGGATAGCGATATTTTGTGTTTTCTTAATTATCAATGTGTGTTTTCTGTTTTCTTAATTGATTTTCCAGAGCAGAACCCTTAATTTGTAGCAGATATCCGTTTATTTCACACAAAATGCGAGTCTAATGAGACGTCCGCAACATCGCGTGCACGGCTACTGTAAACATTTGTCCGTATGCCGATCCAAAGCATTTTTCAAAATTAAAGGCGGAAAAGTTAATGCCGTGTTCAAAGTAATTTCCGCGAAATGCAAAATACCCGTTAGAGAAAGGAAAAGATCACTAAATTTTGAAAAGTCAGAGATCATTTTGCATTTCGCGGAAATTACTTTGAACACGGCATAAAGGCGGAAAAATCGTGTTTTTCTTCTAAATTTGTCACATCTGTAATTTTTTGAGTACACCATTCGATTCGCAAAGAAAAACTGTATAAGATACTGCTTTCACCTGAAACCCCATTTTTTACTGCCTCTATGCCTTTAAATAAAATTTCAATAGTCTGTGATTATAGTTTTTAGTTTTTTTGAACATGAGTTGATCATGAAAATGTTTGCAGGAAGTTCTCGCGACGCGAGAGATCACGGCGATGCCAATGCCTGATCCGCAGAACCACCATATCCCGTTGATGCCGCTCATACATCGACAAAGCAACGAGAAAATCAACGCGGATAATGCCAGAGAGTTGAAAAATGACCATGTACGGCACTGGAAAAGAGTCAAGAGAAGGTACCTGACTTCCATTTTTCCCCAATGTCTCCTTCAAGTTGGTGTGCGCATACGAGAAAACGCGAAGAGCGGTTCAAACGAAGCGAGGAACTCTTGGAGGCGATGTTCAATTGCTGATTTCTCATGTAATTATTTCTACTAACTTTTGTATCTCATTTTCACTGATCTCTTTGCATTCGAATACCGACTAAAAAAACTTATTTTTCAGAAATAATTTATTGCTTCACAAAGAAAGAAAGTTTTGATTCACCCATAAAAATCGAACTCATTTTGCCAAAAAGATGTGATCTAATTTTATGGGAGAAAAGGAATTCGAGGTCATGATTTTGATTAAATTTTTTTCGAATAATGATTCAATTAATAATCAGTCCATGAAAAGTACAACTCAAAGAAAGAAAGTTATCTAGTGGTAAAGCCCTGGGGATTATTAATAAATTAGGTGGTTTTTTTAATTTATAAAAATTAAAAATTAATAGTTCAGAGTTCACCACGAAGCAGGCTCATTCCAGGGGCTTCAGGGCTTCCTTCCATGTGTTCGCACTAAAAAAAAGTTTTTAACCTTATCTAAACTGTTCTAAGGACTGCCACTTTAGACTAGAATGATAGTAAAAAAAAAGTAAAACCTTGAAAGTTGTCGGATTTGGTTTGAATGGGAAGCAGCAACATCGGCAGACTTTTTCGAAACGATATTTTGCGTTTTTACCGCGGCCACGGCGAAACTTTCTAAATCAATTATCAAAGGATTTGAAAATATATAATGAAAAAACTCGAGCATGATAAGATATAAATGGTATCAATTTACCTGGTTTGTGGGATGCAGCTATACCAGTTGAGTGTGTCGATTTGCTGCCTGAACTGCGGCTCCACAGTCGACAAGTCCACTTTTTTCGTCGGCCACAGTTGGCACTCTTTCCCGTTTTCCTGGGATCGAAACGAGTTTTTTTCAAAAGATGTCGGCCTTAATCTACCATGAGCTTGTCGTAGTCGACGGCACACGAGTCCACTTGACCGTCCCCGCCTAGATCTCTTGCTGTGCATACTCTTTCAGCCACGAAAAACGGCATGAGAGGTCGTCCACCAGGAATCCTATCAAAATAACGATTCTCAAGTTTTCAAGATTAAGAAACTCACGACAACGGGCTTTGATTGCATTTCTTGGCTCCTCCGAACCCACAGCTCTGCTTGTAGGAGCACAAGCCGCACGGCTTGGTGGATTTCAGAACGCTGCTCATGTAGTTGTAGAAGTTGTTCAGAGCCTGTGATGAAAAGCCTACAGTGATATACATGAAAGGACTAATTCACCGGCTCATATCTTTTGATGAAGATGTAGAACCAATGTTGTTGACAAACTGCTGAGAGTTGCTCAATGTAGGGCAACTAAGAAAGGGAAAAGAAATGGAAGGAAAGAAAAAAAGAGACTGACTGGTCTTTCGTGGTCAGGCCAAACGCATCGGCCCCAGCTGCTCCAATTGCTGCATTCTCGAGATCTCGAGGCGTCTGAGTAGACTGCAGCGAGTTGACACGATCCTCAACTTTGATATTCAGATCGGTGTATATTTCAAAAAACAGGAAGTTTTCGCTTAAAAAGTTCATTTTCGGAAAAGTAATTCAAAATCAAACTATGATCATGGCAGAAAATTACCAAACCGTGAACAATATGCTCACCTCAGATTAATTTTCACCTCGATTATAATAAGTCAGACGGAGCCGCTTATTGAAAGTTTAAAAAAGTTTTGTAAGGAGTCTAGAGTCTAAACAGGAAACTCGAATATTTATGTGAAGAAGAAAAAAACCTTGATGTTTTATGTTTTATACCTTGATTTTTGAGCACTACAATCGGTTTTCAAGGATATAGTCTGTTCAGATTTTGAATGTCAACCAGCTAACTCCGCTCCTGCTGAAACGGTACCTTTTCACGTCGATGTTTCATCGCGCGGGACTAATTTTGATCTTTTTCGATCTAAAAGATAGAAAAAGAGGTCAAAAAAGCAGCCTTATTAAAGGGCCATTGGCATATGTAGATAAAACATTGACGCGAAAAATATTGTAACCTTGGGGGTGGAGTTAGCTGCTTGACATTCAAAATCTGAACAGACTATAGAATAAGAGAAGGAACAGAAAATTCAAAGACAAACCCAGTGCTACGAGGGCAGAGAGCAACGGTAGAAGCCGGCCGGTCATCTCCGCAAAATGAAAGACTTTGAAAGTCGCAGCCGGCCTCGATTCGCATTCAGGCCGCTTTCTCCGCCGCGCACTCTGATGAGGAAACGCCTCTGAACCTCTCCGGCCGGAATCAGAACCAGTGGTCGACGTTCCAGTGTGCAGATTAGGTGGGATCGCTGAGAATGCCTTGGCGACATTCCGGATCCACCGGCAAAGCAATTCCCCGTCGGCTTTATTTTGAATGTTAATTAATTGGTGTTCGATTGCACCTTTGGGGAAAATATCTCGTTAAGTGGGTCACGGCAGTTGTTCTTTTCCCACTGCTTCGCTTCGATTGTTGCACTGCCGAATGATATTTTACATCGAGACTTTGGTAGTTGTGTGCCGACTACTTCTATCATGGAACAGACTATAATTTACGATGTGTTTAGTGGACTGTTTGATCAAATCATAACACCCAGACACGGATATTCTTCGGCACTAACATCTTAAAAACCTCCACCAAGCTGTTACGAAGTTCAAAATAAGGGTAAAATTAAAAACGATTTGCAACGCCTGGTTTTTTGCATTGTCTAACGAGAATTGGATGTCAAAAGATAGCCCTTCGGATTGCTCTATAGCTGATTCACGGCCAGCTTGGGACGCTAAGGGGGCGTGTCCTGTCTGCGCTCTCCACGAGCCAGGCGCTATCTCTTCTTTTATCGTGCCAGGACCCGTTTTTCGACGGCTCAAGCCAGCCGTGAATCAGCTATACGAATAATCAAAATTTTTCAAGTGTAAAATCTATTTCGGAACAGGTTTAAACAAAAACTTACCTCATGAAAGAATTTTCTATCTTTCAATCCAGCAAACCTCAATTTTTTCAAGCCTGAAAACTTTATTTTCAAAAACTTTTATTCCATTTGAAACCGGCTAGAGTGAGGAAAAAAGAAAATGAAGACACTTTTCTCAATTCTCCACGTCCAAAAAGAAAGAGAAGAAGTTAATTAAAGCTCAGTGCAAGCAACTGGATTCTTGCTGGCGAAGAAAATTACAGAAAAAGTTGTCCTTTAGTCTCTCATATACCATCTTTCATCGCATTTCATTCATTTTTCACACCAAGTAAAATCCTCATAAAGTTGTCAAAGAGCAGATTCCGACGCTTACAGTTGGTTAACTACTAATTAGCCTCCAAAGGCGCCAATTTGAGCTGCGGCAGCCACACCACGTGGCTTGGTCTCGATCAGATGTCAATGAGGGGTTCCCGAACCAATAATCAACACTTGTTGTCACGCGCCCACTTTGTAACTCTCTTATCAATACTTATCGTTTCGTTTTAGACGGATTATTTGTTTTTTTCTTTCAAAATTTTCGCGAATCATCGCTGAAAAAATTTTCCTTTTGTATAACTAAATAAAGTTCGCGGAGCAATCGATTTTCTGAATGATCTCCGGAACGATATGTTCTTTAACTGCATGAATTATCGATTTGCTTTCTAGTTTCTGGCGTATCGTTTTTTTTTAAGACCCTTGCGGTTTTTTTTGGCTTTTCCCCGGTTATGTACATATTATATAATGATATTCTATAATGTACTAAGAATCCATGAACAAGGACACGATTTGAAACTCATTGGAAAATTAATTTTTTTCTCCGGAGAGCTCCAAGAAAAGACAAAAAAATTTTTAAAGGACCATGAGCAGCCTCTTTTTCGAACATTTTGCGCCTTTAATAAGAAAAATTAGTTGACGTCATTTTTCGTTTCAGTTTCGATATATGTTTGTTTTTTTTTTTAATTTTTTGAAAAGACACCTTGCTGTGTTCAAGGTAATTTTCGCAAAATTCAAAATTATCACTGATTTTGAAATTTAGTTATATTTTTCTATCTCTGACGGCTTTTTTGAATTTTGCGGAATTACTTCGAACACGGACTAGTTTTTCCATTAGTTCATTAAATCTCTTTCTTGTAACCACACTAAGAATAACTGCCGAGATAAACGCGAGACACTGGCGGTACATTGACGAGCTCGCAAACATCTCGCTTTTTTTCTCGCGCCGGTCTCGCATTTTTCTGGGCGCGAGCTCGCACTTTTCTAGGCGCGAGCTCGCATTTCTCTCGCATTTTGAAAATTTCCGAAATGCAAGATAAATGCGAGGTCGCGCCGAGAAGAATGCGAGCTCGCGCCCAGAGAAAAGCGAGATCGCGCCTAGAAAAAAGCGACATGTTTGCGAGTTCGTCAATGTACCGTCACCGACCTCGCGTTTATCTCGTCAGTTATTCTTAGTGCATATTGAAAAGAAACTGCAATCTTCAGTTTAAAATTTTTCTTATTTTTAAAAACCGTTTCCATCCAGTAAAAATTCACATATATCAACAAAGGTAAGTTGTATAATATACAAAGTTTTCTCATTAATTTTACAATCAAACTTGGGTGGTATGAAAAAAAGACAGCAAAAATTCAAACGGCCACTTTTCCGATTTTTTCGTATCGCTAGGGAACTTTCCGACGGCCACCTTTCCGACGGATCCCTTTCCGACTTTTTTCCCTGATATTTTTCAGTTTATAATATACCTATAAGCATTTATTTTTCCTATTTCTTTGTGTTTTAATCATGAACCAACGACCTACTCTATATAGGAAGCTTTAAAAACGAAGAGTTTATCGAGAAAGAAAGTCAGAAAAAAAGATTCGTCGGAAAGTTCCCTAGCGTGAAAAAAATCGGAAAAAGTCGCCGTTTGAATTTTCGCTGGTCCTTTTTACATACCACCCAAACTTGAATTGAAGTAATTTTTTTAGAAAGAATGTATTTATAATTCTCGACAATTCTAAATTCAAATATTTTTCCGCAAACTTTGCAAAAAAAGATTAGATTCCTTTTTTTATCTTGCAAGTTATAATTTGTTCTGTTGAAATTTTCACTAGGGCATTCAATAAGTGTTTTTCTTTTTTTGAGAGTTTTTGTAATTATAACTTAATTAGGCCAAGCTTTTGCATGAAGTTATGAAAAGCTCGAGCGGAGCGTCTGCAACGCGGTGTAGTGTTGGCCGTGGGTCGAAGGGTTTCGATGGGTCGTCCGTCGTCCTCCGCCCCTCCGCTATTCCTCCGTTCTTTCGTCGAATCTCTCTTCGCTGCGTGTAGCTCCTCTCTCTTACTTGAACCACGTGCTGTAGCCTTTTTTGCTATCACTACCTGCGCTTTAAAAGGAATTCCTAGCCGGTTTACAACACCGAATGGCCACCTTCTCGTTAAAATTACTGTTATTCTTTCGTTTCTTTTTCCTTCTGCTGCGTTAGATTTTTGATTCTGCAGAACCATCAATCGATCCGAAAAAAATTTTCGTAGTTCAAAATTGCCAATATTTTTGAAAGTTTGTTTTTCCCAAAAAATTTTCGTTTTATTTTTTCTTCATTTGATATCTTTTTTACTTCAAAAGGAGAGAGCGATGAATTTTTTTATTTAATCTCTCGATGTTCGAATGGTTTTTATTGTTGCATTCATCACATTGAACTTTTCCTTGCAGATGGGACAGACGCTCAGTGAGCCGGTGACCACAAAAGACTCGGCGTCTTGCGCTAACGAAAATTACCTTGTTGGTAGCAGCTGCATGCAAGGATGGAGAATAAGTTCGTTCCTTTTTATTTTCCCGGTTATAAATATTTATATGATGTGTAAATAATCTAAAAAGATTTTTTTCAAGAACTAATTTTTTTCTGTTAAGACATGGAAGACGCTCACACTCATCTGCTCTCCCTTCCCGACGATCCTAAATGCGCTTTCTTTGCTGTTTACGATGGACATGCTGGACCAAAAGTGTCTCAATACGCCGGGATCAACCTCCACAAGAGGATTGTCCTGCAAAATGAGTATGGTGAGTTATCGTTTTCCTCTTTTATTTCATTGATTTGATATAAATCGGGTAATCGGAAATTGCATTTCAGGAGAGGGAGATATGAAGAGAGCCATAGAAAAAGGTTTCCTAGCTCTCGATGACCAAATGAGAATTGACGAAGAAATGCGAGACGACGTTTCCGGTACCACTGCTGTAGTGGTAATCGTAAAAGAAAATACCATCTTTTGCGGTAAATCAGTACTTTTTTGACTCGGAACAAATTATTTTCCAGGAAACGTTGGAGATTCTCGTGCTATTGCTTCCGTTGTAGGCGAAGCTCGGCCACTGTCTTACGATCACAAGCCAGCTCATCCCACTGAGGTCCTTGAGTGGAACGGATAAATTATAAAATAAAATCAGGAAAATAATGTTTGTGTATATAGAGTTCCGAACTCAATGCAGAGCTCAATTTAACATAAAAAAATTTTTGAGTGATCGAAGTGATTCCTGAATTGAGCTATAGAGCTGTTCTCGGGGCCTTATTCCTCGAGTTGGAATTTTGCTGTCCAAACGTTTTGTTCATTTCCTAATGTTCTTTCCTTTTTATTGTTAGAGTATTTCAGGCGCGGCGCATCATAGCGGCTGGTGGTTGGGTCGAGTTCAACCGCGTCAATGGAAATCTGGCTCTTTCCCGAGCATTGGGCGATTTTGTATTCAAACGCAATGAGAACAAATCAGCCGAGGAGCAAATTGTCACTGGTAAGAATTCGTTTATTCAAATCAGAGGGCAAATTCAAAAAACATGTTTGTTTTTAATCGTGAAAAAGCTACAATTATGACGGTAGAGAAGTCGCGAAAAGCAGAACAAGTACATCTTATTTCATCAAAACAAGCCATTCAGCCATGGATATTTGGGAAAGTTCTCATCTTTCAGACGGCCTTCGTAATTGGAAAACTTTCGAAGAATTAGAAAATATCGAGTTCATACTTAAAATGAATTATAACGTGAGTTCTGCAAAATGTGTATACTATCGTTCTTCAATTTCGAATTGTAAAATTTTTCTGGGACGTTGATAAAAAAATGATCGCAGATTTCTGCCATTACTTGTTTTTTTCTGCATTTTATCAAAAAGTAAACACTGAAATTTTTTTGGGAGTTTCAAAAAAATTTTTTTCCAAAAATAAAAAAATAAAAAAAGACCCGAATGGATTTTTTTGTACAAGTTTTGAATCTAGTCGAACCATCATATTGCCTAAAGTTTTTTTTCTTATGGAATGAAGTGTTCGAAAAGCAATCAAAAGTTCGTTTAAAGCGTTCCCCGATGTCATCACTGATAAATTGACCCCCGATCATGAGTTCATCGTTCTCGCCTGCGACGGAATCTGGGACGTGATGAGCAACCAAGAAGTCGTCGATTTCGTTCGCGAACGCCTCGCCGACAAACGCGACCCCCAGACGGTATGTCACAGATTGATTTTATTGATTTCTGGATGTTTATATTGTTTTTTGACCTCGTTAATTTCCAAGCTCGAAACTGACATACTGAGCGATTTCTTCTCCGTAAAAGAACAGGAATTCGTTTGAAACTTCGAAGTGACGTAAGTGGCGCGTAGAGTTAGGTAGTTTTTTTCCTCATTGAATTGAGAAATTTAAACTTTGGTGGTATAAAAAAAACCCCACCGAAAATTCAAACGACGACTTTTCCGATTTTATCATATCGCTAGAGAACTTTCCGACGGCCACCTTTCCGACGGATCCCTTTCCGACTTTTTTTGCCTTATGTTTTTCGGTTTATAAAACATCTATAAACATTTTTTTTCTATTTTTTTCTATTTTTTTTTTGTTTCAATCAAGAACCGACTACCTACTTTATATAGGAAGATTTAAAACGAATGTTTTATCGAGAAAAAAAAGTCGGAAAGGGACGTAAAGGTGGCCGTCGGAAAGTTCCCCAGCGATATGAAAAAAATCGGAAAAGTCACCGCTTGAAATTTCGCTGGTGTTTTTTTCATACCACCTAAACTTTGACCTTCCCAGAAAAAAAAAAGTTCTAACAATTGGTGTTTTGTTGAAGGTTTGGTCATGAAAACTATAAGTTAGAATCATGTTTTGCACTTTTTTACAACCAGTTGAAACTATAAAATGGATAACCAATGGTATAAAATATACCTAAGTTCCATAAAAAAATTTAAAAAAATGAAAAGAATTTGCATTAAAGAAAGGATTGAAACGTGAAAGACGATAGCTTTCAGATTTGCGAAGAACTTTTGACCAGATGCCTGGCTCCGGACTGCCAAATGGGCGGTCTTGGATGCGATAATATGACGGTCAGTTTCTTTTCTCTTTTTTTTTGAACTTGTTTTTGATTCAGGTAGTTATCGTAGGATTGCTCCATGGGGAATCTTCGGAAGTCCTTTTCAACAAATGCGCTCGACCAGCTGTTATTTCAGACGTGAGTGCTCTCCAGCGTTTCCATAGTTTTTTTTCAAAATTTTCAGTCAAGTCTTTTGGATTGAAGTTGAGGCCTCATTCCCATACTTTTTTGTTGAAATTTTGAGTTTCAAAATTTTGTTCTAGATGAGCATTTTTATTTATCTCGTTCATAATTCAGACAAAAAACGACGAAGAGAGTTCCTATGATCAGCTGCCCATTGACTCGCTCCGTATCGACGGCGTTACTGGAGTCGTAGATGAAAAAGGTCAGTTCTTAATCTTTTTTTCTTCCATGTGATTTATTCTCTAACTATAACTTCTGTTTTGAGACATAATGGGAGCTCTTTGAATTTTCAAAAGTTAAACTTATAAATATTTGCGTTTTTATATAACGTTTATATCTCTAGTTAAGTAACTTTTTGGAAAATTACTTTCATCCATTTCTTTTTTTTATTCAAAGAGGACTTGATTTTTTTTGCACTTTTATCAATTTTCCGAATTTCGAAATAGAAAATTTTTTTTACGAAGTTAAGTTACTAATAAACTCGGAGCTCTACTCATGGAACATCGCAAACTGTATACAAAGCATACATGTGTAAGTACAGAACTAAAATAGTCTAGGAAAGGAACTGACACACTTAAGTTTCGAGAAATAAGAAATGAAAATCATTTTTATCTCCTGAAAACAGTATTTTTAAAGTTCAAACATAGTTTTATTAACTCTGGTTGAAAAACTGCAAAGAAGAATCCACAATTTATTGAACTAGTAATGACCTATTTTTTGAGAATAATTGATTTTTAGCACACAGATCTTTGTCCATGTACGCAACTTAAAAGAAAGGGAATGATGTCAATGATATGGTGTCTCATGGTGGATCGATTTCTCAAGCTGGGACCTTATCATTTACTTTGATAATTTTAGGTTGAGAAAGCAAGTTGTAAAACTGAAGAAAATAGGTAGTTTTCAACTATTTGGAATTAAAAATACACGGCTGTTTTGGAAAGATATATCAAATCTCAGGGAGCGTTTGGTCCTCTGTGATGATTATCTTGCTCAAATTAGGTTTTTCCAATGATTCTGTTCAGAATCTTGCAGGGAAACACGTTGAGAAGGCGGAAAAGGAGGACGGGTCGGACGAAGAGGCGGCGCCGACAGAATTTCGCGTCTCTTCCTGAATTTCCGACTTGCTGTCTCCACTGTGATCGCACTTAATTGCTCAAACCGTTTTAGTATTTTTTTTTTCTTGTTAAACATTCAATTTCTTGTTCTATTATCCTTGAAGAGATCTTCTTCCCGCCGTTTCAAAGTTCTGCCTTTCACACAGTTGATTCCTAACCTTTCGTATTATCTTGTCTTGCATTCGTGTAACTTTCTTCCTAGAAAGCGTTTCATTTTCATATTAAATTACCTTCTAGACGGGGTACAAAGTTAATATCAGTGCCAATTGTTTTCCGATGAATGTGGCAAAGATAGATAGTGTACTTTTCTTTTTCAATTTCCCTTGTATTGGTTTATATTCCAACTCTATCGCAAGCTAGACCAATTTAACCTGAAGATTTATTCATTTTTTCACAGATTAACGCATTAGAACGAACGTTTGACATGACAAAAGTTTTTTTTCAAAAATAAAAAGTATTAAAAATCTTTTGTTGTTAATTCAAAGATAAATTGTTTGTATACTTTGTTTTTTTGCGACTGTTGGAGATCGAGTTTGCCATGAAAAATTTTTTTATTATGACAGAAAAAAATAATTTTGAATAAAAGGATCATTTAAAAAAAAAAAAAAGCCTTCTGATTTTATTGATGGCGCCCCCAATATTCAATTATCATATTTAAGCAAAATACGTGTAAAATATAAAAAAGAAATCTACATTTTTTAGTACGGAAGAGCAAACATTTCGACAGCACTTTGAGAAGCCGTCGGCTAATTAAAGGTATTATATTCCTTTACGAATACAGCAGGAGTCTGATTTATCAATAAAATAATTTTTTTTCGATGACAAAAAAACTAAGTTTATTCGTTGCAGTCAGTTCTTTTTTTTTGTCTTTCAGCTCACATTCTCGAAATGATTGCTTTTCCTCGAAAAGAAATTCGGCCCCCAACTAACTGCCTTTCTTGTGAGAATTTAATACCGTGTTCAAAGTGATTCCGCGAAATCGAAAAGAGGCGTCAGAGAAAGAAAGAGATAACTAAATTTTAGAGGGTCTGAGATAATTTAGCATTTCGCGGAAATTAGTTTGAACACAGCATTAAAAATTACCATAGTTGTTCCCGATCAGATGCTATGGAAAAGGCGGTACTGACTCGTGACCAAAATTAACCCATTTGATCATCTCGTCTTTTGATCTACCCACAGACTTAGGTTTGCGCGCGCAAAGAATGCACGTTGAATGGTCGCGGTTTTCCGATCGTTTCTCGTTGTCTTGCTGCCCGGCTCATCATCTCCATGCGGAACCGCGACACGATCTTGGCTCTTCTACTAACCTTTTCGTTGCAACTAATACAGGTGACTGGCGAGTTTCGCAGAAACGCATTTTGAAGAGTTTGTTTCGTTGAATTGAGCTGAGATGAAACAAAATACTTTTTTCCATTATATTCTCATCTTTCCAGCCAGCTCATTGTTAATTTGAGATAACTCTCTGCGATAACGCCACCTCACCGTGCATCGAACAAAAACATTTCGATTGTGGAGTCGGTCTTCAAAGATGTATTCCTTTGGAATGGATGTGCGACAACGTTGCCGACTGCGACAACGGATCAGTGAGCAGAAAAAAAAAACTTTCAAAATGTATGATTTTCTTGAGGATGAGATGAAATGCTCGTATATTCACTCGTGTCCTTCCAATTATATGATGTGCAGAAGTGGGGAATGCGTTGCGAAAGTCTGTTTTATTTATTTTTTGTTTTCAGGAAACTTCCATAGATCATTTAAAAAAATTTTTATGGGGTATTTGAAGGATTTGACAGATTTACAGAGCGTTCCGCGCGAGACGGTCGCTTAAAAAAACGGAAAAGGTAAAGCTACCGTAAATACAAGCTTGCTCTACAAAACCTGATAAAAAGGTAGCAAAAACACAATTCTTGAAGCGAAGATGCTCAATTTTGATCTAATTTGGTATACGGTCTTTTTGGCGGCAGGAAAAACGTGACAAGCCGGAATTAGCTATGCAATCATTTTTGTGACGATTTTAGATATTTTAACACGGTTTCAGGCGAATCAACAGTCTTTATTGAAAAAAAAAAATAGTGTCTCCCTTTTTCCATCTATTTGTACTTAAAGAATGAAAAAAAGTTTCAAAAAAGGTAAGTTTTCAGATATACAAGTGCGATAAGGAGCAAGACTGCCAAGATGGTAGCGACGAAGTCCATTGTGACCAAGTCATCCAAGGCTCTCAACGACCCAACGACGTGCCGGTCTTCCCTCCAACCAGAACCACTTTTTCGACTTTCTTCTCTGAAAAAAAGTGCGACGGGTCACGAATGCTTTGCAGAAGTGGCCAGTGCATCTCGAGTGACTTGGTTTGCGATGGAAACAAGGTTCTCCTCTGTTCATTTAACACTAATAACGAGAAAACTTTTGAATTGAAAAAAATTCATTTGTTTTCCACGAGATTTAACTCAGATTTTCCAAACAGAGAGTAAGATTAAGAACCAAACAGGAAGACCTATTTTTGGTATTTGCGACCGTCGACGTTCATTCTTTCCAATACTTGCTAGGAAGTACAAAAAAATTGAATAAAAGTGGAATGCGTAGAGTTCTCGGACCTTTGTAAAGAAAACCGGACGTGCTCCGAACGTTTATGAGAAATTCTAGGGGTCACTAAAAAGTGCCGAAGCTACTAAAGTGGTCACTAAAAATGCGCCGACACGTCCGGTTCGTGTTACCAAAGTCCCAGTCGTTTCCCCTTCATGTTGAGTTATGCAGAACTTTCGAAAACCATGGCAAAATTTTTTTTACGAGCTCTAGATCATTATTTATGAACTGCCTTGTTTAATTTATTTTCTGTTATTTCTTTTTTATTTATCATCTACGGCCTTTAGGCATGGAGTGAAAATTTTTACACCAAGTTCTAATTTCTGAAAGGCCTGCAATTTAATTTTTTTTTTCAAATCGAAATTTCCTATTCAAACAGAAACTTTCTTGCAACAGGTAATCAAAAAGATAAGCCCTTGATTATGTGTTTTGATTTACAGGACTGTGCCGGAGGAGACGATGAGGACGACTGTCTCGGACCCACTTCCCTGTGCAAAGACGGCTACATCGCCTGCAAGTCTGGAGACGCCTGTATCCCTGAAAGTTGGGTCTGTGACGGCAGCGAAGACTGCAAAGATGGCAGCGACGAGGTGAGAAATCTTCCAATTCTTAGAGAAACGACAGTCAAACATTTCGCAATCGAAAACATGAAACATTCCTTCAGTTGTATCTTTAATTTATGATCACAGCTTTAAATTCTCCTTTCTCAGCTGCAATGTGTTGATGAAGAACAAGAGCGCTTTTCTCACGGACAAACGACGGTTATCAATCAATGCTCCATTGAGGGACAATTTCACTGTCAAACAGGTCTGCCTTGGGTGCAATATTCAAATACTCTCGTGGATTTCAGTTAACTTCGAGTCAGAAACCGTTTGCATTCCGATGAACGCCACCTGCAACGGGGAGAAAGATTGCCCCATGGGCGACGACGAGAGTCCGCTTTGCGCCGAATGCTCCCGCAAGCACTGCGAGCAGACTTGCGAAAACACTCCGTCCGGTAGAACTGCGAACATTTTCTCTGAATTCTCCATGGCTCAGGCGCCAAATGCGTGTGCCAACGCGGATGGAAGTTGGACGTCGACGGCGTTGGCTGCGTCGACGAGGACGAGTGTCTGACCCACGGCCACCTCTGCCAGCAGTACTGCGAAGATTCTCGCGGAACGTAGGCCGCACGAATGAGATTTCCACCTCGAAAAGCCTTTCAGCTACAATTGCAAGTGCGCCCCGGGCTACGTCCTCGGAAACGATGGACACAGTTGCCGACTCGACCGCAGCCAAGAAGGTCTTCTCTTCCTGAGTTTGGGATCGGAAGTATGCCTCCGCAAAAGAAACACTGTATAATGACGTGTATTCAGATCCGACACATGCCCTTGGCCGACGCTTCCACCTCCAATGAAGGGTACACGACTGTTCAGAAAGTTGGGGGTCATGGCATCGCCCGATCGGTCGATTTCCTCAACAGAAACAAAAAGATTTTCATGGCCATCAGCTCTGTTAACGGCCAAGAAGGAGAACTGGTTTCCAACCACTTCTTTTTATCCAAGCAAACATTTTCTCAGGCTGTTTCTGACAGAGGGTTGTTGAGGGTTTTGCGGGAAAACGTCAGCGGAATCGGCTACATAGCAGTCGACTGGATGGGCGGCAACGTTTTCTTCACTCGAAAATGTAGGAAACTTCGCGAATTCATTCGTTCCATGATTTGTTTCTTTCAGCACCTTCCACCAGCGTTGGCATCACGGTCTGCTCTATGAACGGGTTTTTCTGCAAGTGGATCATCCGCGGCCAAGAATCTCAATCTGGAGATGCTGCGAGGAAACAAAACTACCGAGGTGGAATCTTTAGATCTAGGACGAAAATATCGAAGCCGTTCTGAATTATTAGCCCCCTGTAAAAAGTTTCAAACTAGCCATCAAAAAAATAAACCTCGTGTGAAACTCGGTTTTTTTTTTCAAGTTTGAAGAAATTATATTTTTTCAGGACTTGCCGTACACCCACTGCGCGGAACTATCGTATACATTGACACTTACAAAAGCAAGAGCAAGATTATGATGGCCGACATGGACGGATCCAACGTATATCTTGATGAATAGAGTGTAGTTAAAAAGATTTTCAAGATCCGTTCATTGGTGGACAACAAGTTGGAGTTCCCTAGCGGGCTTTCGATTGATTTGCTCCGCAATGACGTCTATTTCGGAGACGTTGAACGGAAAATGATCGAACGAGTCAACATGGATACTCGCGACAGGTTGGACTGAGGTCGTAAGCTCTTGACCAGAATTTATCCTTCAGAAGAGTTGTTCTGAGCACCGGAGTTTCGCATCCCTACGACTTGATCTTCTTTAATGGCTTCCTCTACTGGACTGACTGGTTTTCCCTTTTCCGAGATGACATTATTCCGACATTCATACTTTCAGGGGAACTGAGAACTTGAAGGTTGCCGAGCTCAGCGAACACCATTCGAGCCCTCGAGTCATTCATTCTTTCAACCGATTCCCCTACGGACTGGCAATCAATCATTCCATGTACCAGGTCAGTAACTATTTGAGTATCCTTTCGAAAAGGAATATAAAAAAATGTTTGCGAAACAAATTTCATCATTAGGAAACGAAACAAGTTTTTAAAAAATCCATCATTGACCTTGAAATAAAATTTGTACTTCTGAAAATTTAATAACGTCTGTGCATTATAATCAAGCCATTTTTAAAACAAATTTGTTGAAAAAACTCGAAAGGTTTTACATTTTGTTCAGAAAGTAGTGTATAGTACAAGTTTGAAGATGGATTTTTTTTAAAGTTTTAGAGCCGTCTCAGCCTTTGAAAGATACTCCCCGAGTTAAAAGGCTCAACGCAAACTTTCCAAATTTTCTCTTCAGCCAGTTCCGTCTGCGAATCCGTGCGAGAGTTTGGAGTGCGCGTGGCTTTGCGTGCCTTTCAGAGACGTGGAAGGACTTCTGCGTGGCCGGTGCGTCTGTCCCGACGGCTACAACACGACCAAGGAAGACTGCGTTCCTCACGAAACCGGAAACACCACCGAGGCTAGTCGAATGATTTCCTGAGCAACTCCTATGATCTCGAATTTAGGCGTCGTACATCGGCACAGCTCTGATGAAAGAATACTGTCTGAACGGCGTCGGCTGTTTCAACGGAGGCTCCTGCAACGACGTGGTCAACGAACATGGTCGGACCGAGCGCATCGTTTGCGAGTAAGTTCAATGGCCTGGATCCGGCGATTCCGAGGTTTTCAGGTGTGTCGCCCCGTACGAGGGACTACACTGCGAGAGGCTGAATCCGGAGAAGCTGCTGGCTATTGAAGAAACTTCCGTTTCGGCATTTTTGGTCCTCGTAATTTTCTTCATGGTCTTTCTCATTATGTTGGCAGCATTGGTCCTCTTCTATCAACAAAATGAAGATTTCAAGTACGTTTTTTTTTACTGACGAATCTGCGTGAGTCTGTTTAAAAACGTTCAAATGGTTGTTTGAAGCAGCGATGGAGAAATGGTTTTCGAGCGGAAATAAAATGAAATGCTTTCTGGTTGGAAATGACGTCAGATTCCTCTGAAAGCTCAATTTACGTAACTCGTTATACGCGCGCTCCGCCTCTTTTTTGAATCTTTCTTATTCTATAGATATTTTATCAAGTACCAAATTAAATGAAGGAAAAAAAACGCGAGGTCGAGAAAGATGGTTAAAAAACATTTTGAAAATTACTTTGAACGCCAAAATTTCAAATTTGAATCATGATAAATTCCTATTCAAATACGATCTTCAAGCAGTTTCCAATTCTCAGGAACGATAACTATTTTGTTTTTAGAATTTTCATTATGGTCTAATCTGAATGATATTGAAGGCAACAAGCCGACAGAGCTCTATCATCAGCCCAAGGAACAGTCAACGAGCTGGCAGTAAGGACGAACATCATGGCGGAACCTCTGGTGAACAAGCTCCGAGACACCATCGCGCGAAGGTTTCTCCCGTTTCTCATCCGACCGTATCCGGTTTCCTTTTCCAGGTCTGAGAGACCGAACCACGTCGTTTCGAGCAGCACCCTCGCAGCCAACGCGCTAGTTGATCCTGAACCTGGTCGACCTGACATCACATCACCTGTAAGTCCTCTCAATCCTGAATTGCTCCAAGAAATCGTTTAGACTTCCTACCACAATCCGCTGTACTCGGAGGTGCCCACTGAAGCTTCCCCCATCGCCGGCCACAACGATGCGCCTTTCCGAGACCGACCACGTCTGTAGAAACCATTAACCGAAACAAAACAAAACCACTAATATCGCAATACCACTGTAAATAAGGCGTTTGTCATGTTTTATCTCACTCACATAACATTAATAAATATTGCTTGCTTGATTGTTCTGTTGCTCGTTTATTTATTGGGGATACTTCGAAACCATCAATTTTTCTGTTACTATTTCATGGAAGTTTATCGAATAAGTAAATATTTTTCTAATCAGATCGAGAACCAAGATCCGTCAGAATCTTCGACTCAGTTTTCATGCTTTTCACCCGATTCGCAATAATTCCTCATTTCCAGTCATGCCGAAAGTGATAGTGTTTCACAAAAACGTAGCTAAAAAAACTTTGAGGCTGGCTCGCCTCCAGTCAACTCTTGATGTTACTGAAATTGACGATGAAGATATTTTGGTAAACGATTTCTAACCATTTGAAAGTCTGTATTTCTCAGAAAATCGGCGAAGTGCGCGAAATGAGCAACGGAATTCTGGGAGAAAAATACCAGCCACCTGCAGGTTGCCATTTCAAAACATGTAATATTGGCAATGATACGTTTAACGATTGGCTGAAAGTAATCTATTTCGACGTTTCATCTTATATTATGTGACACAGGCGACAACTGACGTTGTTTTGGTCGATGACAAAATGTTAGAATTGCACGAAAATCTGCGCACCGCCAAGTCAACCTCAGACGTTTTGTTGTTTTCCGAGCAGTTGGGGGTCTACATAGATAGAACTACTTTCCAATTTCTGATTACTCATCTAGGTGATCCTTGTAACTGCTAAGTCGGCGAGTTTCGCCCCGAATACAGTCTACCGCGGTTCTGTTTTCGCGTAAAGATTTTTCGTTTTTGTTTGAGAGTGCACACGATCTTCAGCCGATACCGAGATCATGAACAAGGAAGAGCTTCGATGAAAGTGGAGAATGCTCTAAAGCGGCTAGGCTGTCTCTGGTCGACGCATTGTCCAATGGAACCGCTACCTGATGTCTCACCCGCAATCTTGGTGATTAGTGATCCCGGTTCATTTTTTACTTGTCTTTCAGAAAGGAAAATGGGAGCAGTTCTGCGCGGATGGACTACCTTTCTGGGTCTCGAGAGAATGCAAAAAGGAAGATGATTCTTTGGAGGTTCCTGATGATTCTGTGGAGGTTTCGTGGAAGTATTCTCAATGAACCCTTCAACCTTTTTTTGTAGGAAGGCTGCCGGCAGCCAACAGAAGAAGATATTCTGGAGCAGCGAACAAGGAATTCTCTTGGAATCGCTCTAGTGAGTACACGGCTACATACGTTTCAATCAAATTTAGAGCTTGATGAAAAAAAATGAAGTCGAGTTGCGTGAAGAGGGAGGACTTCTGTACGATATAATTGCGGAGTTTATCAATGGCGATTAGTTCATCTCAAACTGCTTCTACGAATTCCTCTAAAAATTTATTTTTTCTTTGTTTTTCCACTGGCAAACCAGGCATTGTTCCAAAGAAAATTTTGCTGAGGCTTGAACTGGCGATTATATCGTCGATAAGGTTGAAAAAAAGTTGAGACAGAGTACGCACCAACAACCGCTCGGCAGCTACCTTGCTCGGGTTTCTTTATGTCATCAAACTAACATGGAAAATCCTTTTATTTCCAGTCAGCAAATTTAAAAAATTTCGTAAAAAGTTTTCTGACGTAATGCGAAATAGAGCATCGCGTTAACTCTAAGCTCAAACTTTGACTCACAGGCGAATCGAGAGGGTATGTACGATAATGTGTCCACAAAGGTACCTCTCAAAATGGATCGTGAAGACTCATAATGGGTCCATTGTGAGACCTCCGGCATACCTTTTAGCTATATCTGAGCCATCTCGGAGACACTTGAGAGTCTTTCTCAAGTTCATCTAATTTTCCTTAAAATTCTCAGAGATATACTCGAGGTACCATCGTGAGACTTGAGAGCCTGCGATATACCTCTGAGGGTCTCGCGATACCCTTTCTCGGTTCGCCTATGTTGGGGCACAGTGCTTCTAATATTTTCATGTACCTGGTCATAAGGCTATGAATTTTTTTTGTTGAGTGTAGTTCCGATTCTCAATTTTAAAAAAAGAGTTTTCAAGCAGATTTGTAGAAAGTTAGCATTTTTGAACTTCAGAGTGCACTCTCTCACTCACTAGTGATTTTTTTAAAGCCTCGTTTATGACGCCCCTTGAGTGTTTTTGTGCTCCCATGGAGCACGTTTTCTTTTGTCGCCTTTTAAAAGACCTATCGAATTTGACATTCATGTTTTTACTAACATTTCCTATTGGAAGTTCTATTCCTTTTATTCCTACAAAAATTCTTCTGATCTTTTTTATGTTCTCATGATCTGTTCATCTTGTACTCATTGTATGAAAAATTTCATTCGCAACTTTTCCATTTTCTTTTTGTTCGCATTTTCCTCTCTAAACTTATAAAATTTTATTCGTTTCACAGTGTTGTTATTTTTTTAGTGTCGCGTTGATGGATTTAGTCAACAAGTTGTGATGAATTCCCTATTCTCGAACAGCCTAAGGTTGTACACAAGGAATACGCCAACCTATCTATTCCGAAATATTTCCACAAGTTCTGCAGCAGGAAGATGGAAAGGTAATCTAGAAATTCAAGTTTATTAACTTTTATAGTAAATTTAGTTGCCGAAAAGACTACCGGAAAGGTAACCGTGGTTGAAATGGAGAAAATGAATGATGGCCCAGGTGCCAGGAGAGCCGAAGAGCCATGCGCTCTGTGCACTTGTAATGTTTCTGTCAAAATCACGTACAAGTATTTACTTTTTTTTTCACAAGTTATAGATCATTTTTTTTAGAGATGTTTTGATTTTGGAACAATTTATGCGCGACGATGGCACAGTTTTGCCCCGACAACTGACTGGTCTCTGCAAAAAGCAGCAACTCAGAGTGGAAAGGTTCGTATAAAAACTTGGGCAGTTTCATTTTTATAGAGCTCCAAGTGGATTTGCTTCTTTCAGCTTTATGCTAAATATTTAATTTCAAATTTTAAAATAAATCTCGCATTTCACCTTAGGTAGGGTTTTTTTAAATAGTTCAATTTGAACTGTCTTTTTGTAAAAATAAATTTGATGAAGAAAAGAAATTTTTGAACTTTGACAGGTGCGTAATGCAAGCTCATTGGTCGGGTCTTTTTTTCCTGACAAAACAATTCCCGAATTGGATCGCGCAGGTTACAAGAGATTCAACAGGTTTTTCTATATTTTTTGATTTTAATTTGAAAAGGGTTTTCAAAGTCATTTTAGTATAACTTTAAAAATAAATGTCTCCTCATCAGCGACATATTTAGATATTGGAACGATGACATGGACATGTATCGGTTGAGCAAAAAAAGGTCGAGCAAGGGACATGGTATTATATAAAGAGGTTTGTGATTTTTTTGCAGGCTTCTTTAAATTATTTTTTGAAGGTACCCAACTAAAAATAGGCCGATCTTCGCTGACCCAATGAATAAATAGTCGTTTGTTGTACATTTATATTGTTTTAGTTGTTTGAAATGAATTTTCTTATCTTTTTTCTCAGTTTTTAATTTTTTTTTTCTTTCTGGACGTTACTAACGCTCAAAATATTTTCAATATTTCTTTTTATTTTTTTTAATGAGTTTCTGGCTTACAGCTCTTCTGGAGCTATAAAGATGCGCATATAGAAATGAAAGCTCTGTCACTTTTGTTGGCATTCCACTTGTCAGCTTCTTTTGGAGAAAGTCTCATTAACTTGACGTCGAACCCTTGTGCGCAGGTACTGGGTTGTAAATGTGTGGATTCTAAGCCTTCGGACGTCGTCTGCCATTCCATCGGTTAGATTTTCCCTTTTTCGGGCCTACGAAGCTGATCTTTTTCAGCACGAGAGACACTCGATGATCTGAGTCGGTTTTATTCAAAGGCTGAGCGATTCCGCTTCTACAAATGGTTTTCCGAAAGCGTCGACCTCGACCTCTTCGCCAACTTCACCAATCTTCAAGAGCTTTGGATTACGGGTTATTCTTGAAATTGACTGGAATCACTTTTTTTTTGAATAGTGATTGTATTGGAAAATATACGAGTTAAAAACAGAAGTTTTTTAGAGAAGAAGATTGTAAAACTTCATTTTTTTTATTTTGATGCTCACAGGTCAAGGATTTTCTATTGATTTCAGTATAAAAAAAATTTCAATAGCGATTCCTCTGACAAATTTTTCAATTTTTTTCATATTTTCAGACAGGGTATGTTGAAGATGTCACTGCTACAAAGTTATTGAAGCGTCTTAAAACTCTTGATTTGAGTGAAAATTACCTTCAAAATCATGAAAAGGTCGAGTGTCTTTTTGATTCACTAACGTGTAGTTTTTTTCAGCTTTGTTCCGTTTTTCCTTTCCTTCCTTCTCTGCAAACGCTGAATGTGGCACACAATTTGCTAGGACATTTCGGTGATTGTGCTGCAAACTCTACGAAATCCTTGACTGCTCTGAAACTGAACGACAATCAGGTTTTGAGCAATCGCAATCGTTTATAATTGGTGTGCATGTCAGATTGCAAATATTGGCGAACTGCCAACATCTCTTCAGCTTCTTGATGTCTCCTTCAACTACTTGACCGACGCTCGCAACATTTCCAGGCGTGCGGCCAATTTGAGTATGACGTCTGCGATCTTCGAAAGATGTTTTCTGGTTCAGACATCTCGAACAACCCGATAACTTCTTGGAAAAAGTGGGTGTTTCCGAATCTGGTCGTTCTCGATGCTTCTACGGTTGCCACGGAATCTTTTTCGATCGAGGGACCTCTTCTGCAGACTCTTTACCTGGACAACGCCAAATTGAGATTTCTCAACTTCCATCGTTTGAAAACGCCCAATTTGAAAAGGTTGCCGCACAATACACTGCGACGCATAATTATAGACCCACCCTAATTTCTCCGATTTTAAGAAAGATTGAAAAACTTTCAGCCACCAAACTTTTTTTGTGATAAACCTTGTTGATAAGGAACATAATCATATCATAATTATCAATTACCCAGTTGAAAAGTTTTTCAAGATACGAGAAAATCTGATTTTTGACCGACGCAGAATTATAGACCCACCCCAGAGTTTTCCGAGTTTCCGTTTCCGGTACCACGTTTTTCCTGTTTTTTTCAGTGGTATATAAGAGAAAAAGTCCTCGTGTATCACTATGAACCATAATGCCTAAATCTACTCAAGTTGATAATACCGAAAAAGCGGTAATCGATGCTCTACTCAACAACGGCTTGTCCCATCGGGAAATCGCTCGTCAGACGGGTCGCTCAAGACGAACAATTGACCGTTATGCAAGGAATCCGCAAGAATACGGCACAGCAATACATTCTGGACGGCACAGGCTGCTATCGGTTCAAGCTGAACGAGACGTCTGTCGAAAAGCATCAAACTCCACGAAGTCCGCCAACCAAATCAGATCCGAAATTCCTGTAAACGTCTCGAAGGACACCATCTTACGAACAATTCATCGGTCCGGTCGGCTTGTGAATACTCCAATGAAGGCAGCACCTCGTCTACAGCAACGCCATAAGAATGAACGGCTCCAGTTTGCACGCTCTAACATGGCCACGGATTGGAATAAGGTATCAATGTTTTCTATCACCTTATGATTCCCAATTTTTCTGTTCAGATCATCTTCAGCGACGAGAAGAAATTCAACCTTGATGCGCCAGATGGGTACGCTCACTACTGGAGAGATTTGAGGAAAGATCCGATGTACTTCTCCAAGAGAAACTTCGGCGGCGGCAGCCTCATGGTCTGGGCGGCTTTCTGCGGCAACGGGACGGTAGCTCTTTCTTTTATTGGGACCAGAACGAATTCGCAAGACTACCAGCAACTGCTTGCCCAGCATCTCCTGCCCTATCTCCGTCGCCGACGACGTGCTAATATGATTTACCAACAAGACAATGCATCTGTTCACAACTCCACGTTGGCTTGGTTTGCGGCCAATAACGTGGTTCTTCTGGACTGGCCCGCGTGCAGTCCTGACCTCAACCCTGTAGAGAATGTATGGTCAGTCCTTGTACGAGGGTCAACGCGAATGCCAAGCAGTATACAACGGTCAACGATCTGAAAAGAGCGATTCGAGCCGAGTGGGATGGTTTGGACAAGTCACTGCTGCAGTCACTCGTTGGCAGCATGCCGAACAGGATTTTCGAAGTCGCTCAGAAACAAGGAGGCATCACACATTATTAATTAATTTTTTTGTTATACTTCGTTGACTTTGTGAGATGAATTTTGTTGATTACTTATAGTGGGTCTATAATTCTGCGTCGGTCAAAAATCAGATTTTCTCGTATATTTAAAAACTTTTCAACTGGGTGATTGATAATTATGAAATGATTATGTTCCTTATCAACAAGGTTTATCACAAAAAAAGTTTGGTGGCTGAAAGTTTTTCAATCTTTCTTAAAATCTGAGAAATTAGGGTGGGTCTATAATTATGCGTCGCAGTGTATAAACTCTAACGTAAGAGATGAGCTCAGAAAAAGAAGTATTTGTTTAGAATTATCGGCCTTACAATCAGTGAATAGAGGATTCGTGTGATATTTTGTTTTTTTTTTACTTCTTTTTTCATGAGCTCAGTTTATATCAAGTATTAAAGCACACTTCTTGAAAAAGGAACGTTTCTGAGCCAAATTTTTTTAAAGCTTTTTAAAAATTTACTTTAAATCGAAATTTCAGAATATCGGCTAAGAATACTCGAAATCTGGAAGTTTTGTCGGGAAGCCTGCCGCCTCGTGTGAATCAGCTCTTTCTCACAAACACCAAACTGCGGGCACTTCCTCAAAATTTCTTCGCTTCGACCAATATTTCGACGGTCGACCTCTCCGGCAACGATTTCGACTGCGATTCTTGCGTTTTAAGATGGGCTCAACCAGTTTTCTCTCAATTGGAAGACTTGAAAGCCAAGTGCAAGCTGAACCAGTCAGTTTTTGAGCTCTTTCTGGTAATATTTGTTTCAATTCAGAACTGCTTCATTCGACAATTGTACTTTGGGAATATCTAAAGAAAGGCAAATTCAACGAGGTTTATATGGGACCGATTCGATAATCACCTGTGCCGCCTACGGAAACCCTATGCCTTCCATCAAATGGTTTTCATTTTCATTTTTTTTACCGGTAAAAAGTTGGTTTAGGTATAGATATCGTCCAGTTGAATATTTGGGGAGTTACGATCCACAAACCGACAAAGTCGATACAACAAACGTCAGCGAATCCGCTAAGAAGCTGTGAGTCACTTTTTGCGAACTATATTTCTTTTCACAGTTCTTTTAATTTCAAAGGACAGTTTTATGACTTGTTTTAGGTATTCTGTCACTAGCGGAGGCCAATTATTGCTCAAAAATGTCAATCGAAGCTCCATCGAACGATACATTTGCGTTGCGGAGAACATGAATGGAATCGTCTACGAACCAATTCATTTCAGGTCTTTTTTTGGAATCAATTATATATATCAAAACTAGACATGAAAAATTAACCTAAAAATCGCCAACAAATGGCCGAATTTAGTGTGCTTCACGGTTTACCTTTGGCTAGTTTATTTCTTATTTTTTTCATTTCACGAACTTTAATCATGTCAGCGTGGTAGCATTTAAGAAAAAAAGTTTCAGTCAAGTGTGAAGGCTTTTTCTCATGGATTTGGGGATGATTGAAAAATTAAAACAAAAAAAGGCCGAGAACGTACTTCACAAATTCAACATTGGCGCGCAAATGAGCCGTACCGCTACCATTATTTTTTTTTACACGTTTTTTACGAACTTAATATTATTTCAGACTCGATTACACCAATTGGTACAGCTTGAACATTTTCAACAGTGTTTTTTGGGGCGGGCTGGCGACCGCATTTTTGGTTTGCGCCGTTTCTTTCCTTTTCAATATCACGTGGATTCTGACTCGGAAGAGTATCCTCTGGTGGATTCAAAGGTGAGAGAAGATTTCGAAGTTGTTCTTCATTTTGTTTTGCGCAGAGCGGAGAGGCTATCAAGAGTGAGGAAAATGGTCGAAGCGATGGAGAAATACCGGGCTCGCCAGATGGAGAGTCTGCACGACAAGTACACCAAGAGGGTCCAGCTTGTCAGCGATAACTACCATCAACAGGTTTTTTTTTCCCATTGCACTTCCTCTTTTCGAGTCGTCCTTATATTTAGTTTGAACACACAAAGATTGAAAAATTATTATTTTATTTATCGTTTGAGTTTCATTTAATTTCTTTGTCGTCCTTGACGTCTGTTTAGAACCTTGATGCTTTTGAAAACTTTCTGAAAAGAGGTCAGTCTTTGCGCGCACTCACAACTATTTTTTGTGATTAAATGAGAGAGAAGACAGGCCAATGTATATTCCTACAAAAGCCATGTGTTATTGTTTGTAATTTTTTTTCTAGAGAAATTGACTTTTTCTTTCAGGTAGAAGCACTGCGAATTTCATATACCGCGCAGGCCGACAAGTTCCGCGACTATCGGACTGCTCAAATGGGAGCTGTAAGCGCACAGTTGGATAATATCAGGGACAACTACAATTCACAATTGGCCCGCGTCCGAGAGTACGGCTCGAAGCGGGCTGAGCAGCTCTGGGAGAGTTATGAACGGCAGGTGCGAAATTCGTTACCTTTATCTTTGAATTTATGAGTTTTCTTTCAGGTGAACCGAATGAGAGCCTTCAGCTTACAACAGCGTCTGAAATTGATGAGGCAGTACAAAGTGAAACAAAGATACTTAAACAAGCTGCTGGAGTCGTTCCAGGACACGAGCAATCCGGAAGAGATGCTGAAACATGTTTGGAGTTGTCTATAATGAGAAAGTAGTCGCGGTTTGTTGAGGAGGAAGAGGTGAGAGCCGCGCTGGAGCTGCCGGAAGCGCCGCCTCTCGCCGACGCCGATCTTCCAGGGTCGGCAGCCCATCTCTCGCGCACGTCTTCATTTCTGTCCCTTCCTGAGTACGTCATCGACGAGGAAGGATTCCGGAGACCCAGCCCTCTCACTGGCGCTTCTTCTTCCGCTGTTAGGTCAGTTCATTTCTTCTTTCTAAGAATGATATCTTCGCATCAGTCTTCAAAGATCCAATAAAACAGACAAAAAAAAGGAAAATAAAAATTGTTTTCATATTTGACTAGAATATCAAAAAACTTCAAATATTTATGGCTAGAGCTTTTTAATCCCCCTGTGATGCTTTATAGATGAGATGCTTCTCTTAATAGATGAACTGTAGAAAAAAATTAACATTTTTTTAAAAAAAGAAAAAAAGCTTTATCTATACACTGTTCAACCTTTTTGAAATTTCTTTGAGAGAAACCGTAGCGGATTGACTTTGTTCAAAGCTTTTTTCTATGTCGAAATCTTCTTTTTCAAGGACCTTTTTGTGTTCTAGAAAAAAAGAAACGGGAAATTCTGTTCTTTTTGAAGATTCGCTCCCATCCAACCCGTTCCGAAGTCAACAACGAAGAGCGAACTTGAAAAGCCGCGGAGCGATTCTTCCCCACAACCATGAGCTTTTAAAAAGAATAATTCATGTACTTTTTCAAAATAGTTTTGGATAGTAATATCTTCATAATGTAGCAAAAAGGAAACATTTGCAATGATCACCGGGTCATTCGTTTAGCTCGTACTGTGATTCAATCTCATAATTCCTTTTCCTTACGTGGTCGTTCTTCTTTGCAGTTCTACTAACCTTCATGTTTAAATGTCTCTCTGATCGCCCCATTCGAATATATACAATTGAATAAGATTGTGATTTGTTCATTACAGTTAACATAAATCAAAATAATAGTTAAAGCTTTGTACACGGAATGGTTTTGACCCGTGTTATTGACCCGAGTTCGGCGATATGTGAGATGATCAAGGCGTTTTAGGGGTGATTTCTGAAGTTCAGCCTTCAAAAAGCACTATTTTCGATTCTAACCTTGAGGGGGTAATGAACTAGGAGGTGTGAAGTCGACGTAGGGACACTGCAGGCCATTCAGCATTTGAGCGATTGTGATGAAAGACGGCCTTTCCCGAGGGTCGAGTTTCCAGCTTTGCGACATCAGTTCATAGCTGCAAATCCAATTAGGTTGATTCTATTCGTAAATTGAGTTTTTTTTACATCTGAATGGAGCAGTGAGGAGGCTTTTCGAGTCGTTTGCCCTCCAGAAGATGTTGATGAAGGTCTTTGTCGGCGATGGACACGTAGGGAAAGCCGCCAAGAGTGAGAATCTCCCATAAGACGACCCCGTAGGCCTGAATTATTACTAAGTAACACTTCAACGCAAATGTGTTTACCCAAACGTCGCTCTTCGTCGAATAGGTGTTCTCGCTGATGGCCTCTGGGCTCAGCCATCGCAGCGGAATCACTCCTAAATCGACGTTGAGAAACTCTTAAACGGGGTAGTTTTGTTCACCTCGGCTCATTTTGACATAGACGCCAGGTCTTGACATTCCGAAGTCGCTGATTTTGAGCTTCTTACCCTCGCCGACCAGGATATTTCGTGCGGCGAGGTCTCGGTGAGTTATTCCCAAGGCTTCCAGATGTGCCTAAAATGAGAAATTATTTTTTTCGGACTATGAGTGATTTTACGAATTTAAATGGAGATTTATAATGCGCACGATCTGTGGATTTCTCTTTGGAACCATCTATTTTTACATTGATTAGCAAGGGGATCCAGAGTTGCAAAATAAAGGCATAGAATAGTTCAAAAAGTTTGAAGATCAAAAATACGATTTAAAAAAAAGATAAACTAAAAAATCAAAAGACTCATCAATGATGAAAGAAAGAAAAATAATTTTTAATAAGTCGTAAATTCTTGACACCAACCATGCCGTTTGCGACTTGTATGGCGAATGAGTGGAGCTCTTGCGGATCCAACGTGTACTGCATCTTCTCGCTGACCGAGGAGGTCATGTCGCACTCGGACTGTTGCAGCAGCAGCGGGAACGTCGAATGCTTCAATATAATGGGTGATTGATTCGTAGCCGGGAAGATAAAACAAAGAAATGTCCCTGGGAAACGCGACTTTTTCCCTCGGGCGACAACTGTCGTTCACCGACTTTGATAATTATCGTCCGTGTGTTGCTCCGAGCTTTGAGCTATTATTAGCATATGGTGTTTGAAGTTTTTGAAATTTATGACATCCATCCATTTCTTCATATCTATCAAAAAAAGTTCACTTTTATAAGCGTGACTTTCACGAAAAAAATGAACATTCGACTGCGGTTATGGGACTCTCGCCCTAATCATAAACAGTTTTGTATATTACATTTTTTTAATTTTAATTTTATATTTTATAATGAAAAAAACTTCTTCGCCGAGAATCAACAGATGTACCAGATTTGATTGTTTTTTTAAAGAAAAATCAATTACAATAAAAAGCTGAAAAAAAGTGAGTTTTTTTCAGGTTTTTTTGCTCTGCTTTCCTTTCTGTCCATTCTTTTTTTAACGGAGCGTTAATTTGTCGGTTTTTTGTCGAAAATTGTTCTCACCTGCTTGCGGACGTTCTGCAGGTAGTGTTTGAGGTCTCCGTATGGAACATATTCCATCACCATGCACTGCATCTCTTCGTCCAAACAGTATCCGTACATGGCGACGATGTTTTCGTGACGACCCACCTCAACCATTTCAACTATACTGTTTTCACACCCCGTCTAGGAACCCCAAAGTCCAAATATCCACGATGTAAGAAGCCCTAATACCTATTTCATTTGATGAATAGTTCGTTTAGATCAGAGATTTTTTTTTCTGAATACGTTTCTGAAGAGAGCTTCTCACCACTTGCATCATGCGAATTTCCCCATTGAACTCCTCGCGCTCCTCGTCGACGGCGTTCGCCTTGAGCTGTTTGACAGCCACTCGAACCAGCAATCCGTTTGCTCTCAATGTCCCTTTGCACACGAGTCCGAACGCTCCTTCTCCTGGATCAACGTTTTTTTCGATCAGAACAAGATCCTTCGAACCTATGACACTACCGACGGCGATGTCGCAGGATCGGATCCGCCAGTCCGTTGCCTCCAGAGACTGGCTTACAATGTCCAGTGGCTGGCGGTACAGAATATTCGTTTCCATGATTGAGTGCCGAGAATGAGAAAGCGTCCAGCCACCGAATTTGCTCGACCTTCTTTTCAGGTTTTTCCTTCTTCTAAACCTTACTAATTCGACCTTTTCGAAAAATCCACTCACCGGCGAATGATCAAAAGGATGCTGATGGTACATACCGGGCTGAGGCACGCCACTCCTAACAAGATAACCAGAAAGAAAGTTGATTCCTGAGAGAGAGAGACAGGTCAAAGTAATGTTACTAATGAGTCCGACCATGAGAAGTCTATGCGGAGAGATGGAAGAGGCCTTCCCGATGCCTTCAGTGGCAGCAAGGACCTCAGCTCCAAAAACATTCTCCTTGGGCAGGCTGGTGGTTGGTATCGTGGCCGTTGTGTTCACTTCTGTAACGTTTTTATCTTTTTTTTCATTACTTCGGAAAGAAATACGTCTGGTAGGAACGTCGTCCGACGTGTTGAAGAAAGCGAAGACGTCGGTGTTGTGGCAGAAGAGGTCGTCGACCGCAAACAGCGAAACCTTGTACTGCTCGTTGCGTTTCAGCTCGTGTGGCAACAGCCGTTCGAAAAAATCTTCTCCCTGAGGTGTTTCCATGAGAAAGTTCAGTTGCACGATGTTTTTACAGGCTCGGCACGAAACTCGAACGGCTCATCGTTGACGATTTGGAAGTTGAAGGGTCTGTCAGAGAGAAGTTTGATGGGAGCCGTGAATCTGAAGATTTTCATGGATTTGAATAAATAAAAAAAGAAGTATCTTGGAAGAAGAAAAAGAAGTTGAACATTTTGCAAAAAAAAGAAGTAGAGACGTTTTCAAAGAATATGTATATTCTTCAACACTTCAATATTTTTTTTGTGTGAATTGAAGTATTGATTAATAAATTAAGAATTTTTGTGTTCACTGCTGTCGAGCAAGGTGTAAGCTTCGACGGAGAGGTTGTTGAACAGGTGAAACATCAAAACTTTCGGAAATCTTTTGTACCTCTCATAAAGATCGGCGTAAAAGGTGTACTGCCGCGCAGGCGTCTGCTGGAACTTCCAGGTGAGCAGTACCCCGTCGCGTACTTCCTCGGCCTTGGGATTTTCGGCGTTCGGCACGGCGTCGTCTTTGCACTCGCAGTACTTGCCGATGCACTCCGGCACCTTGTGCTGCGCCTCGACGAGAAATCGCGCGTCTCCGGCTGGGTACGGTATCGAGTGCATCTGCAGTCGGTAGCTGCAGCCGTGGTCCACGATCAACGGATGTCCATGGAACTCCAGCGGAATCTTGTGGGAGCGCGAGTCCTGCAAAAGGGAGGTAGGTTCCGAATATAGGTTGGATCCAAGATGTAGTCGCTATTCACCTCGAACATCAAAATTTATCTTGAAAAAGGAATTAATTTTAAGTGGATACAACATTTTTTCATTCAATTTGGCGGCTGACCAACTTTTTGAAAATTTATCTTTGTATCAAACTGTCCGAATGCAATACTCCAAAAAAGAAAAAAAAAAAATATTTTCATCGCAAGATTAGGAAGCTTTGCGGTTTTTTTTCTACACAATTTTCTTTGTTGTTAATTTCGTAATTTCAGAGCACAAAAATTTAAAAAAAAAATGGGTCATGCAAGACTTTTGCGTCGTCTTTGAACCAGCCACTAAAGACTTTTAATAGAATCATTCTTTTTCAAAAATCACTTCAAAAACTATGGAAAAAATCTCATTTTTTATGCATAAATTAATTTTTGGTAAGATTGAAATCAGATCTTAGTAATAAAAAAGAAAAAAGAAACCGCTGGAAGGCTAGAAGTGAAATAGCCGGGAAAATGGCGCTGACATCGTTGCTCGACGGCGCTGTAACGGAGGTAGAAGCCGGTGCGCAGCGAGTCTGCAACGAGACATCACGAAAAACGGAGAGACGACAGACCTTCTGGGGCCGTCCACTGCACCGACGTCTCCAAAATCTTCCCGCTGTCCATGACGACCTCGGTCGCGGCCCACGCCTTGCTAGGCGGCAGAGCGAACACTGCAACCGATATTGGTATTCAATTCATTTAACATTCAACTCTTCATTCAACTCAAACGGTGAGGCGATGGGGGAAAAAGGTTATATTGACTCCTATCGCAAAAATCTTCCCCAAGACGAGTTTCATAGAATGTCTGATTTTTTTCAATAAATCTTTTTCGTTAACTTTTAGTTACCTCTAATTCGAAAAACCCTCAAGTTTCATGTTTTTTCTTGGTAACCGAGCTGAAATGATGGATGGTTGACCGCTATTGGTTTATCTTTCTTGAGTAGAGATCGATTTTCTCGAAAGTTTTTCGGTTTTCCTCAATAGATCAAATGAATAACCTTCAATAATACATAGATATCATCGGAAAAAAATTGTCCTTTAGCAAACTGAATAGTTACGTTATATAAATGAAATCTTATTATTATTTTTTTAATGAATGCGATGAAAGGAAAAAGAAACTTGAAAAACGTGATTATTTTTTTTCTGTTCTGTTTCTTTTTGAATGTAAATTGATGCGAAGAGCACGTTGAGAGTTTGATGTTCTCACTTCGCTCTCCCCAAAACACTTGTCGCTTGATCAAAGTGTAACACCCCATGGAGCTTCGGAATTTGTTAGCCATTCCGCCGAGTTTCCCATTGTTAGTAGTAAAATATGAGGAAAATATTGATCTAAAGTATGAAATTTTTATCGGGAAACTTCGAAATCGAAAAGTCAGATTTTCGTTGGAAGGAAGTGAAATCAATCGATTGAGAATGTGAAAGTTTCAAGAACGATACCCAAATTTTGCAAAAAAAAAACATATAATACAGTCCTAAAATATTTTTCCGGCGGCTTTTTTTAAACAAATATGGCCCCTTAAGAATTTTTTTAGGTAAAATTTCATAGTAGTTTCAAATCGGATTTACTTTCTCTATCCCACTGATTTACCCTTTTTGCTTTAAATTAGATTACGAAACACTAATTCAAGAAATTCTGAAAAAAATGGAAACCAATCTTGAAAAAAATTTTTTTAATTCATAAAAAAATGAAAAACGGAAAGCGAGAGGATTAAATTTATGAATTCTCCATTACAATTCATCTCCCCATTTTTATATTTTTTTAAACTCAAAGAAAGTAATAAACAAAAAGCTCGTGATTTTTCTGATTCAAGGGATATATTTTCCATTGACGATAAATAGGGGAAAAAAATGAGAAAGAGAAATCAAACTTTCGACATCGGCGACATTGTCTAGACGGGGCAGTTTGCTGCATTCGCTGAGACAGACGCCGAACTCCTGGTCTGACTCGATGTGGGAGCAGTTTCGGACGCAGTCGCTCCGCTGGACGCCGACTATTGCGCCGGCGGACCCCGCCAGTAGAAAGAAGAGGAAGAAGACGTGGCGGATCATCGACGCATCGACGAGTCGACGGCTAGATCGAACTGCCGACGGCCGAGTGGCGGACAGCTGTCGCAGGTCTCGGCGCCGCCGGACGACAAACGTTTTATGCTTTTCTTATGGTTGCACGCTGTTGACGGACAAGTGGCGGCTCCGCCGTTTCTCCCTTTATCAGCCGTGATTTGACGCTTCTTCCTTTATTGTGATGAGTTTGATGGCCAGTTCTTTTCAGAAACATTTGTCACAAACCTGGTTTTTGCTATTTTTTGAGATCCAAGAAAGCAAACATTTTTTTAAGAGAAAGGTCATTTTACTTTGCGGCTGGAAATTCCCTGAAAATTGGGCAGAAAATCGGCTTTGATGTAAATTATAAAAGTCGAAACCTGCCCAGCATTCTAGAAAAAAACATCTCAAAGTCAAAGAATATCCTCAAAATCCGTTGAAATAGGTAATTTTGGGATTTTGAGCCTTCGCTGCTCGAAAATTAATAAGTTGTGCAGGTTGAGACTTTCAGGATTTCCAGTACATCAAGAAGTTCTTTGGCCAGTTTTCAGAAATTTCCCATCCACAAATCAAAATGACCTTTCTTGTTAGAGGATTTCAATGAAATTCGGCTTTCCTTCTTAAGAAGTCTTCTTCACATACTAAGGTTCAAGCAGAGAATTTTTTCACTAATTTGATCATTGACTTGATAAAATTACACATTAATCACGTAAAAACATTCATATAAACGTTGTGACATGTGCGATTTCAAAAACCGACCAAAAAAGTTTAAAAGACCAGGAGAAGTCTAGTGTAAGCTTCAAAACTCGCGAAGACAGCTGTGAACTATGAACTGTCAGGTCTCTTGGTTCAACTTTCTGTACAAAATAAACCTCTTGAAATAACGTCGTGCAGGCAAATAAAAGATTAATAATGCGAAAACTGCTGGGTTATCTTTGAAAAATTCATCGGAAACTGTAATAAAATATACTCAATTGATTTTATTCTGTGCTCAAAGTGAATGCGCGAAATTCAAAATAACCGTCAGAGAGCGAAAAAGATCTCAGTTTTGGAGAATCACAAATTATTTTGAATTCAGCAGTAATTACTATAAACACGGCCTAATGATCATTTTCGCCCATATGAACACATTCCAAAAAAACGGCAGCAATACGGAATTTGTCGAGTTCATTCAGTTCGGCTTCTCCTCAGATGACCAGTAGTCGGATTCGAAGTGACCCTGAAGGATTTCCGGAGAGGCTTCCACGGAGCTCCGCCCACTTGACGGGCTCCGCGAGCTTTGTATTTCTCGGTGTGTCTCTAATTGGCCGTCGAGTCGCCGTCGCTTCATAACTTCGTGTCAACATCACCGCCGCTCGACGAGCCATTCAAATGAGTTGTTTTGAAGGCCTCAAAATATCGCTTGATTAAAAATGAAAGCCGAATCGACCAGCCTCACTGATAAATTTTTGCTACATTTCTTTTTTTAATTATTCAATTCATTCGAATGCAAACAAGGAATTAGTATCACGATTTTCTGTCGTCGCTGCCCTTAAGTGGCTTGATTTTAAGTCACACTTCTGGCGATAAGTGGCCACTGAAGGGCTCGATCGACAAATTATCTTCTTTTATTACCTATCACATATTATTCTCTATAGTTGCAGTAAACATCTGAAAGAAAAAAAAGAAAATGCATCATTTTGTTTTTAATCATAATTTTTGTAAGTTTGAATATATTTGAGAAAACTAAACATTTTTAGAGCTTTAGGAACACAACAATAAACATGGTAGTTTCATGTCTGGTTTGAATCTTCTTATTTTTTTTGACTTCAAGAATTTTATAGGCTTGAAAAATCTGAAGAAAAAAACATTTTTTTGATCGTATCAGTTTCAATATTTTTTTAGAAAAAAACTAGATAGTTTTTTTGGGGCCACCAAATTCTTCTCTGTTGATAATTGCTGATCCTCTACAAATTTTGATTGAGGAATCAATTATTCGCATTCTCTTTAGGCTAATCACGTGGTTTTGGTTTGTTTAATCTTTATTTCACTGGCCAGAGAGGAAAGCCTCGATTTGATACTTCAAGCAGTGATTTCACAAAAACGGCAAGTCTAATGTCTCATCCGCAGTATGGGATACGCGGCCTTTAAACTGTTTTCTGTACACCGATCCAAACCAGATGTCAAGATCAAATGGAGGAAGAATGAAGTCGCGTTTTGCTCGAAAAGTACAGAGATACCTCTGATTTTTTAAAAGTAGACGGTTCGATTGACAATGAAAAGCTCTGCAAGAGGTTTCCTGTGAAACTTCGTTTTTACTGCCTTTTAACCTTTGCATTTTCTTTGCTTATACCTTGTTCAGAAGCTTTTTAATTTAGTGAACATAAAAAGGCATATTAGACAATGTTTTGCGGCTCATTGCTGGGTTCACATTTTTTCAGACGCCCCTCCAGTAATCTGTGAGACGCTCGCGTGCGTGTTGTGTGTGAGTAGATTGCATTTGTTTCGAATCTTATTGTCGACTCCGAAAAATCCTCACATATTTCATCGTTAAGTTTTGGTCCACTTCTTTTTCTTTTTATTCATACTTCTTCTGAAACATATATGGTAACTCTGGTTTGAATTGCATGTTCAGTCGTTTCCAGGAGCAATTAGTTATTGTAGCTATATGTTTTGTGAAAAAAAACCCAAAGAGGTCGATTTAATATCATTTTTTTGGTGTTTTATTAAAAAAACTTTTAATTTATTCGCAAATTTTTTTATTCCGTCATCATTTTTTTATTACTTGTTTGACCATTATGTAAAAAAATTTGGTCTCCCGTTTTTTTCTTTCCATTATAAATTTAAAAATTTTCAAATGATGTAAAACTATTATTTATTTTTCTATTTAGTTGATTTTTTTATTCATTTGTTCATTCAAAAGGTGTTGAAGACCTTTTTTTGAGATGGAGTTCGAAGAAATTTGAATTCAGAATCTCAAAGAACCTCTTTTTAATTGATATTTTCTTCATAGGAAGTTCATGTTTCCCCGGAATGTCTTCTTATTTCCACGGCTCCGATAATATTTGTCCTTTAGATGACATTTCTTGGAAAAAATGTTTTCCATCAAAGGGAAGATTTAATAGTCTCATTCTAACTTCAAAATTTTGGAATTTACTAGTCTTACAGACGTTTCTTATGTTTGCGAAAATGTCAAACTCTTTGTTCAAAATTTTCTAAAGAAAGTTAGTTCTCATTTTTCTTCGAGTTCAAATATTGGTTATCGAGTCGAAATATATCTCAGCTGCGGTGAACGGAGAATCAAACTTAGAAGATTAACTGAAATCTGCTGCCAACTACTAGCGACCCCATAAACAAAACGAAAAAAGCCTCCACTCAACAAAAAAATACTATGGCATTCTTGGTTGCGACTTTTTGGCCCGACTCTTTTTTCTCGGCCAGAGCCAATCATTACATGGTTAGCGAATGTAGCAGATGAAATATTCAATACGAAAACAAGAAAACAACGGCTCGTAAATAAATATTCGAAAACACTCGGCTCACGAACGTCGCCACCACTGTATCGGGTTTCCCAATGCTTTTTTCGTCATTAAAACCGTACTGCGTTCAATTTTTCCAGCGAAATGAAAAAAAATATTTGCAAAAAAACTTCCAAGTTATTTTACGAGTGAGCGCACGCGTTAAACCTTATTTTATGCTATTACTCTTTTTTCGCTTCAAATGCAGATTTTTCGTGCGGCTCGATTTTTGAATTCATCCGTGTCTTTTCCCCAAAAATCTATTTTTTCGCTTCAAATTTGGAATGACTATGAGAAAATAGTAGCAAATATCAACAAGTCTTAGAAAGATTAATTATTTTTCAAAAAGAACATTAGTCAGATCGTGAGATAGAAGCTTTCAGATAGTTAATCAATGGAGGGAAATATCCATTTTTTGTGAGGTATCGGGATTAAACTGATTCACTTGGATAATACGCAAAGTTTGACATTTCTTTGCGATTATCCATTCATAAGTCATCAAAAATAAATGAAAAAAAGTGGATTCCGCGAGAGAACATCCAGGGCAGCGTTTTGAAAGTTCAGCAGGAGCCGAGAAGCTCTTCATTGTCTTTTATTCCTCAATTCATCTTGACTTTATGTGCTTGAAAATAAGCCCTTTCGAAAATTTTGCGTTATAGCTCTTCGAAAAAAACGGAGAAGCTGATTTGCGGAAATGAGCGTTTTGCGGTTGTTAGAATAGGTGGGTGGAATGAGGTTATTCAAATGGTGGAGATTACAATTTATACGCATATCCGCCGTCGAAGAACGCTCCGTGCAATTTCTAATTCAAAGAGATTCGTTCTCCCAGGCGCCTGCAACAAAAACTGATTTCCGCCTGCTTCTTCTACGGCGAATTAACGCTCTTCCGCATTTTTAATTGCAATGAAAGCTTCTGAGAAACGCAAAGTTCTTTTTTCTCTCTTTCTTGGCTAAACTTGTACGGAAGTCTTTGTTTTTAATTTTGGACTGAAGAATTAAGTTTTCCGTAAACTAAGCTTTTAATTCAGCTGTAGATTTCAAACCATTTCATTAAAGGTTCTCACGGAAATTTTTTATCTGGCGCCAGAAATATTATCAGAATTACTTCCATCTTTATTATCTGGAGACTTATCTGAAGCCTTATTCGTTGAGCCGAAATTAGGGTTTCCTCTGACGTTTAATTCTCTTTTTTTTCCTGAAAAAATATCAAAAATACAAATTTCTTCTCACTCTCTTTCCCACGCCGAACGTTCACCTATGTACTTTCTGAGTACTTCAAAAAAGACCTTTCTTCATTTTCAAAAAGAGCACATTCCAATGCCCAGCAATCTTGTTTGTCCGTTGAAATGCACTATACCAACGCCTAAGCAATAAATAGACCTGCAATTATAATTTGGGTTGCGTGGCAAAAGTGCTCGGAAGAACGAGCAAGTCATGCAAAATCCCCTTTTTTTAATTGTTTTCCACGCTTTGTTTGTATTCTCTTTTTTGTCTCGGCGCTTTCAAACAGCTTCAAACTTTTTTTGGATTTTGCCATTCAAGATGATCTTACTGTGTGAGACATGATAGAGATGCTCCTAAGCTCTTTTTTTTCCCGTCCAAGTTTTTAACAATCTTTCATGTTGATGTTGGTATTTTAATTCAAAGCTAAGAGCGTTTTTTTTTTCAAATGAGAGCTTTTTTTGAAGTAGTTCCGGTTACAAGTTTTAACCGCGCTTTTAAAATTTCCATGTTCCATAGATATTCGTCAAAATGTTTAGCGCATTTTTTAAATGTGATCGACTTCTTTTTGTCTTTGTATCTAGGACCTGAGCTCAATCGGAAAGAAACTCAATAGATTGGTTTTGAGGAAAACGGAAAACTTGGTTTCACTGAAAAAAAGATAGCTGTTTTGAAGATACTTAAATACAGCTTTTGAATGTTAAAACTTGCTTCCAGCACACTTGAAGCCGTTCCACTCATTCTCAGGAAATCTTTGTAGGCCTAACTTCTTCCTCCGTTTGCTAACTTTTCGCGAACTGTAAAGGTTTTCTGAGAGAGAGAGAGAGAGTAATGAAGAAGTTCGCGTATAAATCGTCAGGAGATGTGTCGCTCCAGATGACGTCGGACGGCGGATCCATGTCGCCAAACGTTTTGCCAAGTCTCATCATCGCCCATTATAATTTCCTCGCTCGCAACTCGTTTTGCATTTTTCATTTTCGTCGACGCCAATTCCATTTTCTCTTGCGGCTACGATGGCAACTCAAAACAAACGTCCACTCGCAATTTTTTTTTTCATTTTTTTTTTTATATTGTTCATATTTTTTGAAACTTTTTCGACGTTGAAGTCGCTGTTTAACTTCGCGAGTCTCACTTTTCTTTCTGGAGTAACTAAGTTTTCGTACCGAATAAATTGGAAAATTATTAGATTTTTTATATTTTTCTGGTCTTCAAAAAACAATATCTCTCGCATCATCTTTTAAAGCTATCTAGAAAAATTTGATCGGCGAATTTAATTAGCAGCGCAACTACTATTTTTTGCTGAAGTTTTCTTTTTGTTTTGCAGCGAGATTAATTATTTTGATTAGTATCTGTTTTCTTTTTCCAGTTTTCATATAATACTCATTAGTTTGAATGACTCATAACTAAAATCAAAGTTTTGTTCATCATTTCTTAAGAAATGGAAAAAAGGAAATAGTCTTAGGACGTTCCAGTTTTTTTGTAAAGGTGTGGATCACACTTGACGGATACTTTTCAGAAAATGACGTATTTGAGCCTTAATTTTCCAGTCTCTTCACTACATTTGCACACTGTTTCATCTTCCTCATTCCAAAGACCTTCACGATTTTTTTTTGGATTTTGTGAATAAGTTTCGCATGGATTTTTTGAAATATGTTTTATAAATTTACCAGTACTTTAACTTAAAATTATTCAGAAACTGTAGTTTTCAAATACTGCAAAAACGTTTTGGACAGTTTTTTTTTAAATATATGAATCTGCAGTTGCTAATCCCCCGTCGAAGTGATAAAGCATTCGAAAACTTTTGAGCTTCAAATCACCCGATTTAAAAGCTTCTACACATGCGGACTGGCAAGGTACATCTGAACGGAATAGAAGACCTTTTAAAAGTTGCGAGCCATCTACAGTACTCACTTGAAGCTGACTCCCGAACATTTCCAGAGCAACTCCATATAAGGCCGGAAATGAGGACGTTGCCATCAACAATCGTCGCGACATCCATCAATTTCAGCACTTTTTTTCCATTATTCGCCCCGTTTGACGCCGACAGCGGTTGCATTGTCTGCGCTCATTTGTGCTTAATTCCTCGTCGGCATTGTTGCGCGCAATCGGTTTGGCTTCCGCCTCACTCAGCCGCCGTCCCACCCACTTTTTTGTCGGCCTCAGGCGTTCTCTTTAGGTTCGGCTTTTGGCCCTGTCCTGCCTGGCTACCAAGGAAGTTTTTCTCGGCGGGTTAATAATCTCTTCTGATCGAGGTACATCCAAAAGATCCCGCCTCAAGTCGTTTCATTCCGACTTTTCGAAAGTCTTATTAGACCTGAGTCATGCCGAAAGTATTCAAGGGAGACTCTTGTCGAGTTCTAGGCTGCGGTCTGACTGTGGCAATACTCTCATTGTAGCATCTCGGACAAAATTATCAATTAAGAATTAAAATTCAGTCTCCATTATTTGAAGAAAAGTCCGGCATAGGCCCAACGGTAAAGAACATAAAAAGGCAGAGGCCAAACAATTCCTCTGTTTTTTTTTTTCTGTTGACGTCTTCACTTAATACTTCTTCCCTGGTTATCCAATCTTTTTCATCCTCGGCATTTGCAAACGTTTTTTTCTGCCTCCTCTTTTCTTCGCCGGCATTATCGCTAATCCGTCCCACCTACGGTAGCCAATCAGTTCTCATTTTAGCCGGAGCCGAGGCGTCGACGTATGTGCCGGTGGCTGCGAGTAGAAGACGAGACCACCTTCATCTGCGGCCTCGGAATCAGAAACCGCTGGCTCGTCGCCTTCTTCGCCTCTCTTCAGCTTCTCGTCGCTGCCGTCTCCTTCGCCCAGCATGTCTACTCCGTCATCAACTTCAAAAAGGTTATTCGTTTTTCTGTATCCAATTTCTTTTGATAGAGGAGTAAAGAAGGGAAAATTCGGAGTCTTTTGTGACAAATCTCCAATTTTGAGTTCCATCAAAATCTCAGAAATCAAGTCTTTCGCAAATTCGTAGAGAAAACTGTTTCCAAAAAGCTCGAATTAGGAAAATGGATGAGTTTGATCGAAAGATATGCCGTTAATTTTCAGATTTTCATGTGCTCGTTCAACGAGTCGATATCAGACTCCGGTCAGTTTCTGCAGCATGACGTCATCATTTTCGATTTCGGTCTTTTCAACGAACTTATCAAGGTATGTTCCTTTTTGGGACATGGCCTGAACCAGGAAATTCGAGGTTGACGAGTGCATAGCCAACTATTTGGACGGCGGCTACATGCGCTGTCTTTGGTGTCTGGGCCAAGTGTTTGCATTGGCTCTGACGATTGGTAAGTAGGCATAATTACCTTCTCGAGTGAGCCAGGAAACACTCGGAGAGTTCCAGGTACCTGTGCATTTGTCGCCAAACCGCACCCGTTGCTGTTGTGGCCGGCGTTGATCATGCAGAACGCCTACTGCTTCGGACTCGTCATTTTGACTATCGCCACAGCTGATAAGGTCCATTTCGAAGCTACCTTTTCATTCTTTGTTTGAGCTGGTTAAACGGATATTCATAACATTCACAATCAAAATCCATAAAGCAGTAGTCATGAAATAAAATAAACGAAAACGAAGAATTGAACATTTTTCTAACGCAGCCGTTTTTTAAAAATTGAAATTGACGGTAGTGAGTTTTTCATTGTAGCGATTTTCCCTCTTCATAACATCCAAAACTTTTCAAGAATTTTTCGCATTTTAAAAATAGCGAAGAAGAGATTAGAAGAAGTATGTTGAACAGAAATAACCGATTATTGATGAGGTAGAGAAGTGTTATAAAAATCATAATGAAAAAGAAAGACTCTTAAAAGTACAAAATTATTTTAAATTTTCGATCATCACTAGGCTGTTTCCGTATCTCTAACTCCGTAGAAATACTAATTAAAGGTTATCTGAAGCGGGAGGCTCTTTGAGATTCAAACCGTGGTATCTCAGAACCATTGAGAAAGGTTTTTTTATTATAAGTTTTTGCTGCGAGATGAAAAGTGTGAAGAGTTTCAATCACATTTCTTGTGAATAATCTGGTCTGGTGAGATTTATTGACCAATGCCCAGCGAATTTCGATAAACGTATTGATAGGAATGAGTAATTTTTTATTACTTAAAAGACCACTGTTCTGGTTGAAAATAAAAACGTGTTTTTGGTTTTTGGTCTAGCTCATCAAACTGTTTATAAAGGGATACTGGTTCAATGAAAAGTTATTTTCGAATGAAAAGGGAGAGGCACCCAATATTCCTCGTGAAGCTGATCTTACTGATCGTGAATGAATAATGGAACTTGCAGCTTTTGGTGGCGATCGTGCACCCGATGAACGCCCATCTCAACCTTCTCATCTTCTATTTCGCCGTCGGAACCTGCATGAATCACCTCTTCGACTACATACTCTGGCATTACTACTGGCACGAGGAATTCCAGTACATAGGCCGCACCGGCAAACACGTCATTCCGTTCTGGGTCTAATTCATTTTTTTTTTCGTTTTATCGATGACGGCTAGAACTTCCTTTCACGTTCTGCATAGGTCTAAATTATTTTCAACTCGGTTTAAAATATTTTAAAACTCGAATACCGATATTCCTTAAATTTATGAAATAGTTATTTTATTTGCTTTTCCTATTTTCAGCCGCCACTTCAGTTTTTGCACATTTTTTGTTTGTTATTTTACCTAAATCATTCTTACCAATCAAATATCTCATTTGGAGGCTAATTGCGCTAGTTTGCCATTCGATTGCTACCCACTTCATATTCGCCACCAGTGCTTTTTCCTATTTTACCGCGTACTTAACGGGTATTGTTTCCCCAATTTCCAAAGTTCTCAAGCTTTCTCTGATGTCCAAACTCCGACTGCCTTTTTTCATGTCATACACCAAAACTCAACATATCCATAAATATGTATGTATTCTTACTCGCAAGACAACAAAAACATGAGATCATAATATATAATATTTGATGATACCCGTGATTTCGTGGGGGTGGGAAGATCAGAAAGAAGCTTTTCGACTGGCACTTCCTTCGGTCCGGTTATACTCCCGGCTGAAGCGACGCCCTCCTAAAATCGGCAAATACGCGTTTTTTTAAAGCTTTGATTGCTTGAAAAGGAGATTTTTAAATGGAAAAGTTGCATTTGAAACTGTCTTTTCAAGAGATTCCTGAACTTCATTTGCAAAACTGCAGAAAAGAATAAAATCAATAAAGTTGCAGTGAACATTTTTTATTTGAAAAAAAATCCATTAACAATCAAAACTCAATATTTTTTACCTGATGGAAAAATTTAAATTATGAAAACTAAAGTAGGTTCAAACTTCGAAAAATTTTAGGTTGCGTCCCTGAAGTTTGAAGTTTTATTAGACAACGAGCTTATTTCTTTTCCATTCTAGGCACCATTACTTTAGGAGAAAGCAGAGTTTCTCTCATTTTGACTACTTTTGGAACATATTCACAGTCGAAGATGCGAAGGTAGGACTTTATAGCCAGTACAGTAAGACTAAACGAACTGTTCTGTGATTTGTAAGGCGCCAGGACGCTCTCCACAGCGTCCGACTTGAGGAAGTTGGCTTTGTGTCTCTGAGCGATAGAAGAGTGGAACTCGTGCATCCGCGACTCCAAGGCCGCCAGCTTCTGAACGTAGTCGCCGCGGTCCCCCTGCAGAACAGAGCTTCAGAGATCTCCAAAAGGGCGTTTCATAAGAAATGAAATAAGGGATACCTTATCGTAAAGAAAAATGCAAACCTATAAAAGAAATTGAGGAGTTAGCAAAAAAAACTATAGAAAACATTTTCAGGAGGAGTTTCAAATCACATGAAATTCGAAAAAGTGCAACAGTACTTATGGTAAGTTTTAAGGAACAAGAAAGAACCTGCGGATTGGCCCTCATGCCGTCCAGTTGTTCTTGCACCACTGCCAGAAGATCGTAGAGCTCTTCCAGCGTGAAATCTTGCTTTGTTTCGACCTCAGAAGATGTCTCCGGTCCATCAGAAGTTGTGACCTGGAAACTGTTTGTACTTTTGTCTAATTTCCGGGTCGGAACCTGTTCAGGACTAGACAGTTCGTCTACAACCGCGAATCGACTTTCTTCGGCTGAAATTTCGAGAGGCGGTGTACATAGGATCGTCGTCTGCGGCAAAGAGAGAAGTCTGATTGAAAGGTGTCCGATTATCTTCTGCGTCTCGCTCTGGTTCGCCCAACAGTTTCTACTTCGTGAGTTATCGGAAAACCTTGAACATATCAAGAAGGCGTCGTGGTTTCGAAAAAGCTGCGGTGGAGAGAGAGGCGCAGACTGTGATGGAGTCGTTGACGTGTAGGAAGACGAAAGAAGCCGTGACAGAGGGGTCCAGCGAGGGAGAAACCAGGAGCGAGTCGAGCGAAGATCCAGAGCAGAACTGAATCAATATCCATTTCCCAGTTTGCGTATCAGAAGAAAAACAAACTTTTTCGCTCCCAACATAGCGATAAAAAGCAACTTGAACGCGATGAAACCTGTAGAAACGTCGGAAAAGAGGCCGTAAATAAGAATCTGGCAAGAATTTTCGCCCTGAAAACTAAGTGATGCAAAGTAAGTCCTACAGTGTTTTTACCCAAAGTCTGAGACAATTTCAGAGCATTTCGAACACTGCCGTTGGCTGCCGCGGAAAGTCGTCTTTGCACCGACCACAGTCTTGGAATAGCTCCTAGGTTATTAAAGTTGTCATTTTTGAAAGTCACATATAACATTGAACAGTTACTTGCTTCACAATAATTATTGAAAAGAAAGATTATTTTCTTATTAAACTTTTTCAAACGTTTTCGAAACAAGCCGTGAAATATGCTCAAACTTTTCCTGTTGAGCTTTCAAAACCTCTTTTAAAATTCAGACCTTGATCCCAGAAAAATTTAAATTGAACACTACACAAGGAACTCCAAACAAAGTGCTATATTTAACCTTTTTCGCAAAGACTATTGTTTTCCAAAAAGTTTGACTGCACACCTTCGACGCTCGTCGGCAGCTGGAAGGGCACAAGAAGCGTGTCGCAGATCCTAGAAGACGTGACGGGCCGGAAAGAACGACAGCTCATGGGGACGCAGACGCCGACGTCCGGCGGATGGAGAACTCCCTGAGGCAATCTGGCACTTTTGGAAAGTCGCCTCCGGAAACCTCGCTCCTGAAGTGATGTCTGAGGGTGCTGGCCACCAAAGAGAGCAGAAGTTCTTCGCTCGTCGCTCGGAGCAACTTTTCGGCTCGGTTGAGCATCTCCGGCGAGGGAAGGTCACACCAGACCGTCACGCGTTCTTTCTCTTCTTCTGCTAAAAAAGGCTATTTTTCAAATGAACTTTGTCTACTTCGGTTTGTAGTTTTCAAATGCTTTTATTCTGTTGGAGGGGATTTTTTTTTTCATTTAGCACTAAAAAACTTTCAATGAACTTCAAGAACTATAATTCCCTTCACTAAGTGCTGCCAATAAGGATGCTCTTTCATAGAAATTTTTTTTTTCTTTATTGTTTTTTTTTGCCAAAAAAACGGGGTTTGAAAGTTTCTTCTGAAATCTAAAAAAAGAAGACTTCTTTTATTAAAACAATATATTTAAAGCTGACTCAAGGTATAGGCTCCAAATTCAATTTCAAACTTTGTTGTCTTTTTTTTGTGTTTGATGAATCTTCAATGGTTGAAAACATTTTTTCCAATGATTGAATCTGTTTTCAGCCATAAACGAATCTAGAAGTTGTAGCCAAAAAGAAAAGGAAAAAAAACTGACGCGGAACGCTGATTTGTACAGAAGACGTCAGAGGCGCCTGCTGTACCTGGTCGCCGTGGCGGCTGTCTTCCAACCTCCGTCTGAGAAAACGGAGTCTCTGGTGATTGATTTCCTTTCAGTACCTCGGTTTTGCGACAGAGCCGTGCTTGTGCTCGATCTGCTTCCACATGACGCACGGCTGGCGAATCGCCAGACATACCATCATCCAGGGACCCACTACGGCGCACTAAAACAAAATAAATGAGGGAAAATTTGACTATAAGTAGTGCGGCACGGTATGAAGTGAGCTTCTAGGTAATTCGCTAAATGTAAATTGCAACACGTTCAATTATGACATGTTCAAAAATTAGAACGTTGCGAAAAGAAATGAAAACATTATCGAATATTGTTCAACAAAGATATAAAGGACTTATTTTTGTTTTCTAGGTCGCTTTCGACTTCTAGTTCACCGGCGAAAGCGTTATCGTGATCGCAAAGAATCACCTTCGCCGACCTGGCTTTTTCGCTTTTTAAATCCGCAAAAATTGATTATATTCAGAAGTTTTTTCGAACAGAAAAGCGAAATCTTCAACCTGAACAGCGTTTAGAATTCTTTTGTAGAACGTTCTTGAGTAGCGCGACAAGGAGATCGTGTTGTGTTGAGGCTCTAGCTGAAAAAAGGGATGTGGGAGAGGAGTCTTATCTGTAGCTTCCCAAAAACTCAATATAGCATATGAAAATACAGAGAAATTTGGCTTATTTGTTTTCCCTACAACAAATCGGTTTCAGAAAAAAAAAAATTCTAACCGAAATACACAGTAGCTGAAAACTGGACATGATACATTGCGTGCGAAAAATGCAGAGATTTGGAGTCACCGCCGAGCACGAGATCAGAATCAGCGTCCGAGGAGAGCTCTAAAAAGCCTTTTTTCGTTTCAGGAGATGAAACGAACGTCGGCGTCGGATTCAAAGTCCTTAACGATTGAAACAGTGAGAGCTTCGGAAGATGACGTCACGACGTCGCTCAAAACTCTTTGCAGGTCTTTCAAGTTCCGAAGTCGTCGTCGTCTGTTTATGATTAATTTATCAATTTAACATCGTCCCGTCTAACTTCTAGAGTTTCAAACAATACTGGATTTTTCAAAGAAATTAAGATAATAAGATTAATCTTTCAAATGTTTGAGCTTCCATAACGAAGCTCAAAAAAATTTGAAAAGATTTGAGAAATCGAGCCCATACGAGGGTGAGTAAAGAACTTAATGAGTCGTACGAACGAAATTCACTAAAAAATATTGTGAAAATTGAGGAGTAAGATCAACTTTTCATCTCATGGAAGTAGTACTAATTTTCATTTGAAAAATTCGAGCTGAGGTTCTGGCGGTCTTTTAAAAGGGTCTGCCCATGTATGATCAAGCCACAGTTCTTTCTAGTGTACTTCACATTTTCCTGAGAAACTTTTTTTTTCAACTTGTTTCATTTTGAAATTATACAAAAAAATTTGCGAAATGGAGGATTTCTTTCATATAAAAGAATATGGATGGATTTTTTTCATTCTCTTTATTTCAAAATTCTTTAAAAAAAAACAGTTTCATAGATAGCCTAAATAAAGGCTAATAATCAGAGAAAAGCATCAAAAAGTCTTTTGGCGCGTTCAAAGATATTTTTGTTGAGCAAGGAAAATTATAAAGCCGAGGACTTATTAAATGGGTGTTATTTCAGGTGCCCTATAACAATTACTCACCTCAATAATTATGTGAGCTCGGAAAGATCTTTGAACATGTCATCAGACAAAAAATTATCCCTCGGAAAAAAATTTAAACTCATATCGCCCGCAAAACACGGTATCGCAACAGTTACTTACTACGGTAATCGTGCGATAGTGTTCAAGAAGGTCGGTTTGAATGTGCAATATTCCTTTATTCTAGTGGATTTATCTTGATAACTGTTGTCTATAGAATGAAGTGCTAATGAGTGTTTCCACTGGTGTATTCAAAACCAATAATAGAGTCTAGAAAGAAGTCTCTTCGAAGAATTAAAAGGCAAAAACTAACTCTTGATCCCACAGCTGGCCGATTTGGTTGCTGGGAGTCGATGAAACTTTTTGGAGGAAAGTGCAGAAACGAGTCAACTGAAACAAGCTTGTAAAAAGATGACTCGGAGTTCCAACCAGCTGCCGGAGGTTTTCGACAGAAACATCTCCCTCCAAAAAAAGACAGGCGACGTCGTTTCCCTTGCCGCACAGAGGCCAGTTGTGAGAGCACCTTCTCAATTATGTTCTTTATTCCGAGAAATTATATATTTCTTACAGTTCAAGAAAACAAAACTCATTTCTAGAATAGACCTATGTCACTGACTAGTGTGAAACATTTCGACTAAACAATTTAAAAATCAAGTTACGATTATGTATTCATTTTCTCGTATTCCGGAATTAAGTTGCGGATAACCAAGTGTATGATATCAAAGGGAAAAAACTATCGGATTAGCAATGAACCCTTGCATACTTTTCCCAACAAGAACTACTTCCTCCCAAAAAAGGAGGAATCCATATCATAATACAGCCATGAGATTTCCACCAAAAGGTACTTTTTTGGGACTTACTGATGCTCAAATCGTTCTCCACTTTGCTTGAAAAGACCGAAAAACCGTAGAAGAACGAGAAATGGAAGAATGACGATTGCAGCGCAGAATATTAACGCGCTGAAGACGCATCCGATTATCGCATGTAGAAGCTGGAAAGGAGTTTATTTTAAGAAGTTCTTGAATACTTAAATAGTGCGTTCTATATGTTACTTTTTCTTATGAAAAAAATAATAACCGTTGGTAAGAAGAAAGAAGATTTTATGAAAAAAAAAAAACGAAGCAGAGAAGATTTCTGAGAAGAAAAAAAAACGAATAAACTTGACAGAAATATCGAATAACTAGAAGAAAAACCAAAAATACGTTTTTTAAAGTTAACGAAACGCCGTTATCTCAGGTCCCACAATATTAATAAGCTAGAAAGCGTTAGGACAAAAAAAAATAATTTCTTATCTCTTTATTAGGAATGCTTCAGTTTCATTTTACTTTTTGATTTATACTTTTTTAAAACAGACATTTAATTTTTATGGGCCCCAAAGCTGTTTACGAAAAAGAAAAAAAGTCGGGCAAATTTAAAAACAGCTTGAAATAGTGAATGGTAGTTTGACAAAACGATTGAAAATAAAAAAGGAATCAAATATTTTTTAATGATCAAGAGTATATTTTGGAATTTATCACATTAATTGAGAATAATAAAATGAAAAACAAAAAGAAGTCTGTCTAAATGTTTTTCTGAGACTAAATTCCCTGAGAAAATAGTCGAAGAAATTAGAGATTTTCCTCAAAAGTCTTGAGCATGCAGAAAGTACGCCCTAATAGATTTCCTTTGTCACAGTCTCGCACAGCAAGTTAGAGAACAGTTTCTTTTTCAGTTTTCGATCTCTACCAAATCATTGTGAAAAAAATTAACCAGAGTTAGGCGGAAACTGGCTCGCTTGCGGACGACAGGAGGACTTCTGGACGAGAGCGAGCGGCCACCAGACGGCGCCATCCACGCTCCCCTGCAATTTGCTCTTTTTGCTCCGGATGGCTCGTTTTCGCGACATCACGCCGCCAACCGCATAATGAGCTACGTCGAAGAAGAAAGGCCATTGCAGCTCATTGTCTCGCGCGCAAATTCCTAATGACCTCTTCAGTCGCAACGATATCAAATTAACTTTATTTTTTATTTTTGCGATAACATCGACGAAAAAACATGATGAAGCAGTTTATTCGCTGGTACTACCAACGGGACCACATTATTTCCCAACTTCAGCTGTCACGCCGGGACTTATTGGACAACGATTGTGGACCGTAACCCGCAACGACGACTAACTCTTCAATTATACCATGATTCAGCAGAGAGTTTTTCTACATCTCACTCTGAAGACTGAATGAATCGTAAATTGTAATTATTATCGACGAAAAGTGAAAATAAGAGAAAAGAGAGTTGGAATAAAGAAATAAGAGACTTACGTCGCCGGATGGATCCAACAAACTGCAGTTCAAATACGAGTCTTAACCGCTGGATATTCCACCTGCAACTCTTCGATTAATTACTAACCGCTTCTAGTTTCGATTGCAAAAAAATTTCAACGCTTTTCTACGCCTTCAATCGCTTGTTTGGAATGTTAATGCTCTACGAGAAAAAAAACGAAACGAAAGGATCGTTGAGCAATTGAGTGAAAGGGCTTCTCTTCTTTAATAAACTTCATAAACTTTCATTACTACGGTTAGGACATGGGAAAAAAAAGAAGCAAACAATTTTTTGCAAATAATTTATTAGTCGTGAATTAGGTTTCATTACAGAGCACAAAGCCAGTCTGTTAAAATTGACTATTTTATGGTTGCAAAAATTTTTTTCTGAAGGGTCCTTAGGATCTACTGGCTTCAAAGATCGAACTTTAAAAAATCTGCTTTGAAAAAAAAACTTATAATTGTTCCTTCGTCATTGAAAAACCAATAGAATTGTTTTTAAAAACTTCTGAATATAACAAGTTTAAAAATGAACCAAAAGTGAAAAAAAAAAATGAACTTTCAGTACTGTGTGTAATCTTCTTTCCCGTTTTATCAATTTCTTGATAGAACGGGAAAAGTAGATTCGCATAAAGAAGAAGCTTAACGCAAAAATGGAAGATTGAAAAAAAAAGCCTGAAAAACTCGGTCTCTTAGAGGCTATAATTGAAATCGAAAAAAGCTACATCCTAATCGAGAGAAAGGAGCTGATAGCCAAGCATATGGGTCGCAGAATTCTGCAGAAGGCGGTGCGCGGTGCGCGGTGAAAAGAAAAAGAAACGAAGACGTGCGTCAATTCTATCGGGTTGAAAAAAGGAGCAAGTGCGCGCCAGTGTAAAAGGAAGGCTTATCCGTCAGCAAAGCGACAAATTGATGAAAGCCGCCGTGTAGTGTTGTATAGAATACGGAATCAGGCAGGGCGGCGCCGCGGAATCGATCTCTCAGAAATATGGATAGGTTCAGGCAGTCGAGCAAAATTTCCTTTTATTTTCAAATTTATCGAGGTCATATTTTTCTCCCAATTAGCCTTCTGATCTGACTTCCAGAAGCTCGTCGAATGGCTTCAGACTTGCAAAAGGAAAAAGCAAGCGAAAGTTCGCAAAACTAGAAATAATTGGAACGGCGAGGACCACCCAGAAAATTAATAACCCCAACAGCCCCACTGAAGTTTATATGAAGTTTTTTTTAGTTTTCTCAACGCTCCCTTTCAATTCAAGTCGTTGTTTCCAGCTCATTGCAATGCAAGTGTCATTATTTCCTCTCATAATAATTCAGAAGAACGCCGTGGAGAAATTTCCTTCGAAGCTCGCGTTTTCTCAATCGCCCGCTTTCTTAATTATTCAGCAACGGAAATGTTATGCGGCTGACAGCTCTGACCTTTGAGATGGAATATCCAGAAAGCCACCACTTACTCGTTACTTTTCTTGAAAATGAAGAAAAAATGACACTGCGATTTCTGAAGAAAAAAAAAAGCAATTTTTCAAAGTGCTGTATTTTTTCGGCTGGATTCAGAACAATTTTATGGGGGCGGCGCTGTCGGAGGAGGCGAGGCCAAAGTGGCGCGAAAACACTTGTTCAAACAATGTTAGCAAGAAACCGCCTTCCTCCTTCCCCTTTTCTTCATCGCAACTCTTCTCCCACGTTTCGATATCGTATATTTTTATGATCTTTTCTAAAATTCCGACGTTCAAGACAATTTCAAAAGAAAAACGGAAGAATGTGATGCTTCGGCCGCCACAGTCCCTATTGATCATTCTAATTTGCGTACAGCGTGCCCTCTGCCACATGCCGTCCATTTTATTCGAGGACCACGCGCTTTGGCAATCCCTTCTCCGCTCAAATTATTCGAGAACGCTTGTCTTCTCCATCATCCCCTTTTCGCCCTGTTTTTGCTCTCCAGGTCCTCTGATAAACAAATTTTGAAAGTATCTTCACTCTCCACCATTTTTCGAACTATTTCTGCTCAAAAGTTACTAAAAGTAGTTTTCCAGAAGCGCTCAAACGACTTTATACATTTAAAACTCGAAATGATTATTTATTGTTACTGTCATTTTTAAAAAGGCTGCGGACACTGGACTTGAACAAACGTTTGATCTCACGCGCATCTTTTTTTAATGGAAACTTTCTGTTTTAAATGTGTTGCATTGCTGGCAATATTTGAGAATTTTCGCCGTATTTTATTCTTAAAAAGTGGCAAACATTATTTCAAACAAAAAAAACACCTGTGCCACTATCATGTAAACTACGAAAAAAATTAATATTTGATTTTGCATCTGAAAACTTCTTGTGATGAAAAAAAACTTTTATTTTGTTCAAAAATTAATTCATAAGAAGCTGAAAAAATGGGGGAACGCTAGTATGTAGTGAAGTTTTAAATAAAAAACTATAGATAATTATATTTCCATTTAAAATAAATTTACTGGTTTCTAACCAACTTTTTTTTGATTTTGTCTCTAAAATATTTTTGTTAATATTTCGTCGCCTATGGAAAACGATCATTTCTTTAACATAGTTGGAGAGTGAAAGTCGATTTTTTCTCATTTATCTCAAATCCTATCTGTTTTGCAACTATCTCATTGTAACCTCCGACTGCATCTGTCTCAAATCGTTGGCATATATCCAATTTTGTCCAGTCGTTTTGTGGTCTGTGTGGTTTTCCCCGCGAAACGCGAGACGTTTCGTGTTCAGCACATTTATTTCGAAAGGGCGGAAGGCGAAGCGAGTAGATGGGCAAAGCTTAGTGTGATTTGAGCGCCGCAGTTAGTGGCTATTTGCTACTCTTTGCTGGCTTTTCGTCTTTCACTCCCACGACGTTTACCAATACCCGACTTGCTGTATGTCAAAACTTTCGTTTTTGTATTCAAGTAATGTTTCTCAAAGTTCAATGGAACAATAGATCTCGGATTTGTTCTCAAGCGAAAGTTCATCGCTGTAATATCACGGCTGCTGATGAATCATCACCATTTGCTATTATGGTCAACATTTTTGAAACTTTGAGTAACGCATTCGTTTTTGAAAGTTTTTCTTTTGTTTTGTTAATCATTTTTCAAAATCATCTCATGTACTTGTTCTAAACCTTGATAGCGTCGTCGTCATTTTAGATTCTGAGATGATTTATTTCTGTTACAGGATGGCCACTTTTGATCAGCTGTATGAGAGATGCTTCAAAAATGTGTCTCTTGTGAAAATCAGCAACGCCAACGCTAAAGAAAAGGTGGAATCCCTCACTGTCAAGAGCGATGTAAATTATCCTTTGTTTGTAGAGCGATGAGAGCGTTTTTGTCACGTTGGACCACGTTTTCACTCTGAGTAAATATGTGGTTTTTTTGTTGACATCTTCTTCCCGGAGTAGTGAGATTTCTTCGAAAATCGAGCACCTCGTAAATCTCAAGAATGAAAAAGATGACAAAATACAAAAGTGAGTTTCGATTTGTTAGCTGGTTGTATTCAAGACTCATCGAGAAATCAATCGAAGGATAATGAACGTAGATGAACGCATTTTTTCTTAACAGGAAAATTGCTTGATTTCAGCTCACCAACGCGTCTTCGGCGACTATTTAGCTTGAAAAAAAAGAGCAAAAAAGAAGAAAAATTGTCGTGTGTATCGGTAGTCGTTATCGACGCAGAAGGCCACGATTCTGATGACATTTCGAAAATCGCACGACCTGGTTGGTACGTCTATGTTCCTCAATCATCCTCTGTTACGGTGAGCTCAATTTTCGATACTTTGATGCGTAATATCCGTTTTAGAGCCGCCTTTTGCGCACTCTTGGTTTCGAATTCTCTCCGTCTGTTGTCGTGATCGAATGTGTTAGCCGCGAAGTCACTTCCCGGGAAGGCCGAAGGCTTCTCAACGAAGACGAACACGGGAAATCCTTCCCTTGGTTAGTGTCTTGCTCTGAAAGCGAGAAAGTCTTCACGAGAGCAAATGTAATAAAGAAAAAAGGACAGATGTGTGTGTTGCAGGTGGCCTCCTTCTTCCTCAAGTCTTCTCGAGGGCACTCTTGTCTCAAAAGGAGGCGTCCAGAAGGACTTTAAGGACGTCAGGGAGTCAGTTCGTGGCTACTTTTTCGGAGCATTTTGGGTTGAAACCTTGGAAAGGAGAATTTTTTACTCTGGATTTCTAGTGTCCACCAGCTCGTCAGTGGGTGAAGCAATTGATTCCGGTCTATGAAAAGCTGAGAAGTAAAGGAATTTCGCTGGAGATCGTTTTCTGTTCTTCAGACAGGACAGTCGATGGTTTCAATCAGTTTTTGGATCAGGTGAGGAGGCTCCTCCGAATTTTGATTGAATTTGGTCGAATTTATTTGGTTTAGATGCCATGGCCAGCTTTTTCTTACGATCCAGCAAAAACTAGCTCAATGACGCGCCTTTTCAATGTCAATGGTGATTTTTCATTCAATTTCATCATATTTTCAAATTTTTTATAAATTCCAAATTTACGAGATTGTGTTACCGTTAGTTATCCTTAACTCAAAAAAGCTTTAAATGTAAGGTTTTGAACAATAAATTGCCAAAAATTTCAAAATTTCAACTGTGCGCTAATTGGACTCGAGTTTCTAATGAGAAATCTTTTTTTAATCAAAAGTGTCTATTGCTCAAAAAAACAAGTGATTTTTTTCCGAGATTTAAAAAAATACGTTTCTCACTTTCCAGCTTATGAAATCACTGAAATGTGGAGAAAAAAAGGTTTTTTTGTCTCTAAATTTTGATAGAAAACCCTGAAAAACTAGTTAATATTTTTTTGTGACTTCTTCAGTTTTAAATCTAATTATCTAAGGGATCCCTGCGCTAATTTTGGCGGACGACAAAGGCAATGTGATAAATCGACATGGAAAGTCGGCCCTATTATCTGATGTCGACGGAAATCATTGTCCCTGGGGGCCTCAAGAGATCTACGAGCTGACGGAGCACACGATGTGTCGTCTGCGCGAAGAACCCTCGCTCATCCTCTTCACAGGTGCCGTCGGACCGTCCGTTCCTCCCAGAGCTCTTTTTGCAGAAGGCTCTCCTGAAGACATCCAGTTCTCGCTGTCGATTCTGCGGACCGTTTCCAAGGACCTCAAAAGAGAACGCGAGCAGATGCAGACGTTGCTCAGATCAGAACAGGCCAAAAAACGCGAGGATTTGGAGAACGCCGAAAACGCCAACGACCTCAAAAAGTCGAGCAGCTGCAGGTGCCAGGAACGCTTTTTTGACTCCTTGGACACCGAATTTCAGCTCTGTTGACTCTGAATCGTCGCCCGCCAGTATCCCCGACTCTCTTCAAGTTTTTTATACTGGCGAGGATCCCATTTGTGATCATGTGAGTCCGATCGACTGTTTTTTTTTTTTTTTAGAAAGTTTTTTATCATTCCTGGCGAATCCGGAAATTCAGAGTTTCGATGCGAAGTCTCGAATTTCCTGTGAATTTAACCAAAGATTTTCTGAAGAATAACAGATAGAAAAAAACTCAAAAAAATTTGGAAGTTTTAACTCCGAAACTTAAATTTTGCGCAGGTAGCGACTAACAGAAACATTCATTTATAAATTCAAACTAATCGGCCAAATTAAGAAAAAAATTATCACACTGTTAATAGTTGAAAAAGAATATGTACGATGAAGAGAGTTGATGAAAAAAAAGTTCGCACACCGCAAAATTTCTGATAATTTTTTTTTTGATTCATTTTATTGGTTGAGATCATTAAGCATAGGAAAAAGTTTTTAAATATTCGTTTATCAGAATTTTACTCTCACTTGTTTCGTTCTTCAATTTTTTTTCTTAAAAATAAAAATCTTTAGGTTCTGGAAAAAGTGCTAGGTCTGGCTGAGGCCGAACTGCCACTCATCTGCATCGTGGACGGCGTGATCGGCGAGTTGTCTGTCTGTGAAGATCCCGACGTCAGCGAAACCGTCGTCCGCGCTTTCGTCGAGAAGTTCAAGCAGGGCAAACTTTCCTGGCAGCCTCTCAGCCAAGGGAAAAAAACGAGGTAAATGTTTTTAAACAGAAAAATTTAATTTTTTTTTGTTTTTTGTGAAAAAGATAGTTATGTTTCAATACACCAAACAAAATTAGAACCAGCTCCAAGAAAAAAAAAACCATTCATTGTACTCTGTTCAGCTTTCCTAGCTTCATCGTTCGACGCTTTCAGAGTTATCGGACAGTCGCCGGAATTCCATGCGAGATTCTCCAACAGGCCGCCATCGTCACATCTCCATCGCAGCAGTCGATCCCTTCCAAGTCACAATAGAGCGGCCGCCGCACTTTATCTACCTCACTCACTAATTTACTCACTTCATTATTCGACTTAATAATTCCGAGTGTTATACTGTCGGGTTTGCGATCCGTATATATATTTTTTCTAATAAATTCACTTATTTATTCTCAACGAGTTTATGGAGCACAGCGATGCCAAAAAAGTGTCGGATGGAATGTTAGTTCAGTTATTATAGGCTCTTCAATTTTTCTTTCCAGTACATTTTACTATTCAATATTCTACCATCAATTTTTATGTTCATGCTATCACAAATCCTATTAATCGAAACAAGCGGAAAAATTTGAAATTTATTCCAAAAATACTAGAAAATTTGATCTACAGTTTCACTTTTTTGGAAACGCCGTGTAGAATAGGAACGAAAAAAAGACATTTGAAGTGGGCTAGATTTGGATGTCCGCAGCTTCGAGGTCGAAGGTGGCCCCACACAGCGACGGCAAAATGGACATGACCGGCGACGGAAGAGAGCGCATGGCTGGGAACTTGCGGAGATGATAGCGTCTGAAGATGTTCCCAAGGACGTGCAAGACCAAAAAGTTGGTCCTGCAGGCGATCGCCTGGGCACAACACGCCGACTTGAGCTCCGCGTGTCGTCCGCAGATCAGGTCCACGTTTTTCTCCCAAGGCGTCACGTTCTAAGATTTCGTTAGGATAGTTTCCCGTAGAACTATTACCGATTCGAGGTTTTTGTGAGTCAGATCTCCGAACCAGCGAAACACATCTTGGCTGACCGTTTCTCCCAGAATTTCGGCGATTGCGTCGACAAACGCCTCAACGATGATGAACCGTTCCGATGTCATTGGGAAGCCTGAAGTGCGAAAAATCCAAGAGACATAAAAATCCGAAAACCTTCATACTGTAGACCGACGTTCTGTGCGAGGTGTTTGAGCGATTCCACCATCAAATGATATTCGCTTTGGAGCACCAGGATGAAGCGGCGCTCATTGGCATCGAGAACCATTCCCGCGTCTGGAAAAGTCCATTCAGCTAGTTCTTCGAAAAATCTCACCCTTGAAAGAGTTTTTCAAGTGTAGGTGTACTCTGAAGGCTTCGTCGCACTGCAATTTCCTTCGGACAATGAAAATAACGGAAGGAGTACTCACCGAATCATTATAAAGCCCCACTTTGACGCCCTGGCGATAGGCGATACTTGGCTCTGAGCGTCCGAGAATCTCTTCGACGAGCTTGAATGAAAGAAAGTTTGTAAAGGGATTGCACTCATGAAACTTTTTTGATACTCAATACGCTCTTAGGAATGATTTCATTTTATAATAAATATTTTATTATGAAGCTCGAAATTTCTGAAAATTTTGCTGAACATTCTCTGAAAGCCTAGAAATTTCAGTGGCTGCCTTCAGAAACTTTTATTTTTGAAGGATTCTTGGAATTTGTCCCAGATTTAGATAAAGTGTTTTTGTGAGCAGCGACAATGGAAATCTTATTTAGACCTTCAGGGACGTTTTAAGAAAGTTTTTAAAACATTTCCGAGTTTCTCACTAAACGACCTTCTTTGTAAAAGCTTTCCCTCATTAGCACGTCTGGTCAATATTATGTACTTCTAGGACTTCGAAAGTTGTCCTGAGTTGATAAACTCCACTTTTTTCTTAGACATCGTGGCGAAAGAGTTCTGCAACGGAATCTGGTGCGTCTCGAAGGCGTGTCGACTGGCCCGACGGCGCTGAGTCTCATTCTCCAAGACCCAAGGACCGACGATAGCGTGCAACTAGACGGGAAACGTCTTCGATTAGAAAATGTCACACTCACTCTTTCGACAATTCCAGAAAGAAGCGTAAACTCGTTCATCGCAAACTCGGCGACCATACAGACGCCGTCAATGTTGCCATAGGTCTGGACCGAAGCCAGAAGAAAGCGCAGATCCTACACAAAGAAATGGATGACAAGATTTTCCTTCCCACTCGAATGTTTTCGACGTTGCCCTCGGTTTCCTTGAGAATGGCCTCCTTCACGTAGGCCACGTCTTGCTGGTACTTCCGGAGAAGCTCTGCGTCAGTGTAGGGACCACTGCTGCCTTAATGGAAAACAGTCGAATGGAAGTCGTGGAAAAGCTACCTTGATGAATTATGTGATTTAGCATCACTCCTTTCCCTCCTAGGATCTCCTCTTCGACATCGACGTCGTCAAAGTTCTCGACTTCAACAGGACGCCTCAACATCTTCTTTTTCGCCTTCATTCGGGCCCAGCGTTCTTTCCTGACCAATAAAAATAAAAATAGAACTGCGGTAGAAGAACATACTTCGCTGCAAGGTCGGCGCGCTGCTCAAAGTTGGGCGATGCAAAAGATTCGATCTCAGGTGGTATCAAAGGCGGAAGACCTCCAACTGCCATCTTCGACTTGGCGTTCTGCGGATAGTAACAAGTGGCCGAGGAGAAAGCTCGCGTCTTCCACCAAGGAGGCATTTGGTCTGTCTTGCGCACTTGTTGCCTGCGAGAGGCTGAAGACGTTGGCGGTGAAAGCTTCTCTTCGGAAACGGCTGCTGAGAAGCTCTTCCTGAGTTCTGGTGGAGATGGTGGAAGACTAGGAGGTGAGGGGCTGGTCGGCACGAAGAACGGTTCGAGCGGAGTGAATGACATCGGACGGAGCTTATCTATTCCTCTCGAGCCCGACTTCTTGCGGTTCGACGCTGCGAAAGGATTCGCGTTGACTCGTGGAGGGACAGATTGAAGGATGGACGCGAATTCGAGTTCGAATGATGACATCGGAGACTGTGGGCGGTTGGAGAGACCAAGTGATGCCAGAACTTCGCTGAAAATGTGTCTTCTCAAAACTAACGTACAACCCAGGTTAGTGCAGAGATCAAGGACATCCAGCTGAACACGGCATTCCTAATGGGGTGAAGGGAGGTGAGCGAGGCGTCAAAGTTTCTGAATTAACAAAAAAAAAGTAAGGGCGCGCACCGGATAAAATGCACTGAGTATCAAACGTTAATAACTTGTTTGTTCGATCGCCTTCGGCTCTGTACTCGAGATTTCAAATTTCGCGCCAAATTTTTTTTTGACGTTTTCCCACCCCGTTTGGGAACACCGTGCTGAATCCATATTTGAAACAATTTTTTTAAAAATTTCCATATGAGATAAGCTGAATCATTATAATAATATCTATAATAAGAAATGGCGTTTGTTTTTGTGAAAAAGTAAAAAGGATATAACTATCATTTCAAAACGACTTTTGATGAGAAAGAATCGAACCAAATGGAGTTGTTCTGTTCGGTGTCGGTGTGCCGATCCAGGGGCAGAGAATCTCGATGGAACAGGCCGCCGGACTCGGGATCGAAATATGGATTCGAATCTTCCTTCTTCTCTTCAGTTTCTGGTGTTGCCTTCATCGATTGACTGAACACTCGATCATCTCCTCTCGAGCAGAAAACCAACTTTATGTTTGACTCATCCATTAATATTGAAACGTTATTCGGTTCCGAAGACACTGCGGACCTGAAGTCGCAAAAAGTGAGAAATGATCCATTCGCTTCTATACGGACACGCGGGAATTTTGTAAAGTGGAAAAGTTCACCCTTTTTTTGTTGGTTTAAACTCACGAGACGCCAAAAGGAGATGTCGGTCGCGGAAAAGCCGCCGTGGTCGGCTTGGCCGTGTCGTGCCGGCGACAGCGCTTCCGAGTGTTATTCCGGCCGAAGAACTGCGACGTGAGGTCTGGTATTTTCTGTCGCTCAGCTTGGTTTGGTCGTAACTTGCGGTGTCCCGTCATTCGAAATGAATTTTTGCGACACGTCAACGTGCGCCAAACACATTTCGATAAAATTTCGATTTTTTTCATTTTTTTTAGATTTCCGCTATCTTCTTTCCAAACATAACAACTAAACCTGTTTTTCAAAAGGGAGCTCTCAGAAAATCCACCTTTCAAGAAAAAAAGTGCTGTAATGCGTATTCATTATTTTCCCGCATCTACAGCTTATCCTGTTTAAAACGTAAAAATTAATAGAATATTTATAACCTTATTTTAGTGTTACAAACATAATGAAAATGCAGTTCTACTCGTCAATAAATAAGGAACACGCATTCACAAAAAAAGAAGTGAAGTGAAACAACAACAAAAACGATTAGAGTGTGAATTGTTTCCAAAAATATTTACATTAGTTGATTAGAGTAACAAATTAGATGATCGAATTATGAAATGAGAAGTGAGAAGGTGGGAAAAAAGGATCATAACCACATGCTTGAAACGCGTATCAATGGACCTTCGCAAGGTCGAAAAAAGTTCCCATTAGCTTTTCAAGTGAAATCTAGAAAGAAATTTTTACTTTGCGCGTGGAATTGTAGACACTTCTAAATATACTTTTATATAAAAAATTCTATGAATTACGACATTTGTCTTCTAGAGATAAAAAAAATGAAAATCTCGAAATGATCCTTTCACCCGTTGCACAATAGAGTTCTTAGATTTTAAGGCGTCTGTTATGGAAAACTAGGATGATGTTTAAATCAAAACTTTAGGGATCTTCATTTAGTAAAAAAGAATTTGAAGAAGTGAAATGATTCTAGAAGTAAGTTTTGAAATGAAGGTCTCGTGTCAGCAAAGTGGCGGGAAGTCGTCCTCTTTGAAGACTGGGGCCACCGTCACTGGAGGTTTCGGTGGCGAGTTCCGACTCCGTCGCTTCGACCTCGGCGTCCTCGTGTAGCGTTCTTTCATCAGAAGTTCGGGGACGTGGATCTGAGGCGGAGGCCGCGGAGCTCCGCCACTTCCCGTCGTCAGAAGCGCCATCATGGCCTCGACGTCGGCCGACGGCTCTACGTAGAACGGCTGAGGGATGAACATCATCGGCGGGAACTGATGGACCAAGTCGAAGAACTGCGCGTCTTCGTGCTGTTCGAAGGCTCCGAAATGGAAGTTTTCACTGGAAGATGTCAGTTGAAACTTTCGATTTATAATACTATACAGAGATTTTGACTGGCGGTAGCTTTTGTTTGAGCACTCGCTCAGATAAATGTGGGGCAAACTTCCATAGAACAGACTCTTCAGTTTTGTCTGAATTTCTATATTCCTGATTAAAACAATTTTTTTCTTTTTCAATCTTCGACATTTTCAATAAACACGTGCTTTAAATTTATAATTTTGAAAAGAAGGGGAATATTCCCTTTAAATTTGCCGGCTGGCTTTCTTTTTCAATGTTTCAGAAAACCTTGGGAAGAAGTCAGCAGGCGATACGATCCCAGGCTCCGCAGCCGTTTTCGACATCTTCCTGCCTCCACTTCTTGACGCCGCCCTGGAGAACCAAAGAAATAAAAAAAAAAGAAAAAGTATTCACATGTTTTTGCAATCAAAACTCGAGAACTGATGCGTTTCTCGTATCTGGTTGCTGGACGATTGTAGAGGACGACAGTTTTCCTGAAAAAATTCATTGCGAAAACAACACGTACGAAGGATCATTTAAAGAAAAGCAACCTCATCTTCCGCAGAATCTGACCGATTTTCTGAATTGCAGCCAATCGCCTCCACAAGCAGACGGTAGCGATTTCCACGGCGTAGATTAGGAGCCAAAGTTCCTTCGGCCAATTGCAAAGGACCATCGGCGGATATTACCGAATCTTCCGGTAGGTAACCCCTTGAAAAATAAGAATAAGAGCAGTAAAAAACAGTTAGGAAGTTTTCCTGAAAGGCTTTAAAACTTCAAAGAAATACTGTAAATAACTACTCAAATACATCTTTAGAGCGGATTTTATAAGACTCAGGAAGCCTGGAAATACAGAAAACGTGCTAACTCTTGGAAAATACCGACTAATTGATGTCGTCGGACGCTGAATATATCTTCCCATTAAGCCGTTAGCTCAAAAAAAAAAATACTGCAAAGCCTTTTACTACTTTTTTGTGCAATATCTCTCTGGTTGTGCAGATTTTTTGTTTATTTTTGAAACCCCTTCAGAATAAAAAGTCATATTGAATTCATTTTCTTTATCAGAACGCGGTCTCAAAAATATTAGAACTCACGAAGGGAGAATATTGCGATGCAAATGAACAATTTCGATCTTCGGCCTTTCTTCGAACAGAGGGAAACTGGCAGAAATGTTCTGCCACGCCATTTCGTTGTTAGTGAGTATATGGAGACGACTCCCTTTCGAACTTGTTTTGAAGTCGACCTGAGCATCTCAATGAGTGCTGAACTTCCACCTTATACCTACACATCTCGAAGGGAAACCGTCGGCCAGGACTTTGTCGTTGTTGGAAAGGTCGAGGAGCCGCAAGTTGGAGCATTTCTGGATGACGTTCAGGACGCATCCTGGACCAACGTGCGTCTCTTCTGCCAGGAACAGCTGAAAAATGTTCATAGATTGATATTGAGAATATCAAGAAAACCCTGGTCAACGCTCTTTTCCTTACAATCGCGCTGACCCCTGTGGAAATTTCGTTCCTCGTTATGCCATCAAGGTTCAAGTTTTGCAGTTTGGGTAGTTCAGCCAAACGTTTGATGCCCTCGCTGAATGTTTTAAATTTTTGATATTTGAGAAAATTTCAATATTTGGTGAAGAGGAACGTACGAATTGATAGTATTGCAGAACGCCAGAGACAAGCTCGTAAGCGAGTTGGCAAGAGGCCGCTTAATGTTGCACAGCTCCTGAAAACAACAATTAAATAGCTGTCCTGATCTTAAGTTCTAGAGGATTGAACAATAACTAAAAGGGAGCTCACCGCAAGTACAGCGTTGTTGATCATAGAGAAACCTTCTAGGCAAAGAACCTCGATTTTTCTCAAATTTCTCAGCGAGCAGAAACCGTGAAACGACAAATCTAACAGCAGAAAATTATTTCAAAAGGCGTCTTTCTCTGTGGGAGATACCTTTATAAACAGTTTTGACGTTCGATATGAGCGACAGCTCTTTTAACTTTGCCATCCGCGAGAAATAGTTCAAAAGGTTGTCGTTCAAGCAAAACAATTGAGACATATGAAGTATCTGAAAGCCGAAAGAAGATTTAAAAAAGATCGAAAAACAAACCTTCAAGTTTTTAAGCTTTGTACAAAAGTTCTGGACATTTTTGTCTAAAAAGCGGTAACACATTTCCATTTCGAGTTGCTTCAAAGTGAGCGGAGCGCGCTGGAAATGGAATCCGATATGATAAAACTGGAAAAGAAAAACTAACGGCCAGACAGTGTCCACTGATGTACTGGGCGTCAATTTTCAAAACTTCCAGCTGTGGACAGGATTTGAATACCTTAATGCAAAATTATTAACGAGGACGTCAAACTTATAACCTACAGCCAATAAATCTGCATCGCGTAGCCTGTGTCGTGTGCACACAAGGATATCAAGAGATCGAAGTTGTGGACATTGGCGGACAGAAAGAACTACCTGTTGCCTCCAGGCCCACTGTGTGCACTCCTGAAAGATTCTTACAAAAAAATTGAACAGTAAAATTTAACCTTCAATGGTGAAGAACGGAAAAGATCAAAGTTCAGGTATTTGATGCCCTCTCCATAAGAATTGAGAAAAGCTGCCAAAGTCGCGTCGTCGAGTGAATCGATCCCATCCCGGTAGAAGGCTACTGATTTGACCGATTTCTTTACTATCTCGTTGAACTTTCGACAAACTAAAGCGCATGATCCAAATCTCTCTGAAAAAAAATTTTTTTTGTAAAAACTCGCGCTTAGGTTCGGGAAAACCTTTAACCGGCACGAAAGAAATAATCCTTTTCAAAACATCGTCGTTGAATAAGAAAAGGGTTGAATCTTGATAAACCTGAAAAAAAATAATCGCTTGATTTCGTTAATAATCGAATGATTTGAATGCATTTTTTTCAAGGAAATTTTCTCAAATAGTATTTGAGAAAACGGCCAAAAAAAATTATTTCTCCATGAGAACAAAAACTCACTTCCTCGACGGGTAATGATTCGAATGATGGGAGAAACGGCTTCGGCAAATAATCAATGTCATTCAAGAGATAATTCAAAAACCCTGTGGATTCAACCAATCCATTCATCCCTATAATTTATAACTTTCTGATAATGGATAGTTAAAAAGAATCCGCAACGTGATGAAACGCAAAAAAATAAAGATAAGAAATATCAACCGACGTAAAAATATATAATAATATAAATCTAAAGTGCGCCAAATAAGATTTTTTTAAATTGGCGGGGGTGGTCGGCACACGCTTGATTTGACGCGCAATCACGTACTTTCAGCCTCACCGTAACAAATACAAATGCTTCTGACATTAACCAACTTAATTAAGGTTGATTAAAAAAATCCGGAAATTTTATAAAAAAACAAGAAAAAAACATTATATGAGAAACAAGGAAAAAAACATTCATCAGCTTTTTTTACTTAGCCCACTCGTTTTTTTAATTGTGATGAGTTCCTCTTTAGTCAATATAATACAATTTAGAACTTTTACATGAACTTTCTGAAAGAAACTAATTCGGAAAACTCCTACTGAACTTCTAATTAATAAATTTATCCAAACAATCAAAGCTTCTTGATTTCGAACTTATTTTTATTTTAGAGCAAAGAGATTTTTATGTTATACACGTTCATTTTTCAAGAACTTTATTGTGGAAAAGAAAACAAATTTAAAGATTTATCGACACGTTTGGCTTCAATGTCTTTGTTTATTACGAATATACCCATTTTGAAAAAGAACACGTTTTGCAATGGATTGATCACAAATGAACCGCAGTCACCGCGAGATTTCAAATATGGCTAAAGTTGAAGCTGATTCTCCGAACTGCAGAGGCCGATGCCGCGAAAGCCGAGCCACCTGCTGCTGGACCTGCGAGTCGCGCACCCGCAAAGGCAGTTCTTCTCGAACCGTTTCCTCCTCCGAACTCGACGAGCAAGTCATCACGTTGTGCTCTCCGCACTGAAAAAAGGATTAATCAAAACTTCTTGCGGTTCAAAGTACTTGATCGTCTTCGTTGACGGGGTCGAGGTCAGTGTCGAACGACTTGAAGACGTTGGAGCGCTTCCGAAGTTTGGCCAGATTGTAAGCTGACGCACTTTTAACCGTCGGACACATAGATCCAGCGGCCCTGAACGCAGAAATGCAAAAAGGAAGCAATTGGAAAGATGTTTTACATGGCACAGGAAATATCAGAAGCAGAATGGTACAATTCCGACACGAGATCTTCTTCTGCGCTGTACGTCGACATGTAGTCGGCGAGAGAAGAGGCCGAGATATTGTCGTAGCGAGAACTGCTCCTCGAAAGGTCTCCTGGTGGAAAATCAACGTCAGTCACCATTTTGGCCTGAGTGCTGGATTAGTCTCAGAAGCTCCTATGGACTTACCTTTAATCCCTTATCTTTTGACTTTTAACCTTTCAAAACCATTAAGTCTATTGCCTTCTAAATTGCTTTGTACCAAGATATTTCAAAATTTCGCATAGGTTTGAATTAAAAGTTCAACGTTCAGACGCTTTTTTAGTTTGAAGAGAGAGAGAAAGAATGAAAATGTCCTGATTACCTAGGATTGACTTTTCCTCGGTGACGGCTCTTGGTGGCGACTTTTTCTTAGGCGGAGTGTCGACCATTCTGGAGTCTCTCGTCGTCACGACAACGTCGTTGATGTCTCGCTCCTCCTCCACTTCTTTCTTGTCCATCATACGCTCTTTTTCTGAAGTGAGTGGTCACTCCATCGAGTCCTCCCTCTCTCACTTCTCAGTAGAAGTGTCTGTTCGAAGGAGATTCCATAGGAAGGCTGCGAATGGGACATCCAGCTGTGAGATCGGATATCTTCTATTTTAGCTCGGGCGGATGTAGACGTCGTCAAGCACGACTTGATTAGGTGACAACACTCTGAAGTTTCTCATATTTATGGGAAATGCTTTGAAAGGACCAACCTTTTGATAAATACTTGGGAAACTTGACGCTGCCAAGGCAAATCTGAATTTCGTTGCGGAAAGGCAAATGACCAGTGACGAGGGTGAAAAGAAGAACTCCGAGGGACCAAGAAGTCGCCTCGAGAGGCAGGTATTGCAGCTGTCGGAACCACTCTGGGGGACAGTACGACCTCGTTCCTGCAAGATCTGTGATCACATTTGAGCAAAGACCTAGAATCAGCGTATTACACTGTTTTCGAAAATATTTTCATTGTTTTTGAAATCCTATCAATAATTGGATCCATAATATAAATGATAATCACTTTTTTTTCCCTTCGAAACCGGCAAATGAAAAAGCTTTCGCATGCCATTTTTGAACACAACAGAAGCTCAAATTTACGTTTTCCCACCTTGGAACTCTTTTTTGAGAGCACTGGATAGACAGGCCGTCGCACCAAAGTCGACGAGCTTGACATCGCCCGAGGCCATGTCGACGATCAAGTTCTCGTCCTGGAATCCCTGTTCGCGAGACGTAGAGAAGCGGCTTCAGACCTTGATGTCACGATGGATGAGCTCGTGCTTGGCGAACATCTCGCAGACGGTGTCGACGACCTGGGAGAAGACGCTTCGCGCCGTGGCTTCGTCCAGACGGCCGTGAAGCGACACGAGGTCGAACACGTCCATGCAGTTTTCCGGCCGCTCCATCACTATCAGGAAGCCCTTCGAACTGTAATCTAGCTTTCGTTAGTGAAAATTATGGTTGGCTTGAAATGTTGGGATTTTAATAAAGTTCACTATTTTTTTCAAAAATTGAAAAAATCAGAAATGCTCTGAATTCAGCTCGCCTTGAACATGCTTCTTCTATTCATTCTAAAAGCTTGAAAACATTTTTTTTTTCTTAATTTCGAATAAAAAAAAGTAAAAAAAAGTACTAAAATTTCAGGCGTTATAAAATGCGAATTCTCCATTTTCGGGTACATAAAATTCATTTTCGAATTTCACGTTCATGATTTGAATTCAATTTCAAATTTCGGCTTTAGAATTAATAATTTTCAGATAAAAAGGACTCACTTTGCGAACCAATCAATGAGTGAAACGACGCCTTCGATGTCCTTACACGTCTCCAAATGACACAACTCCGAAGGAATCAGTTGTCGACACGTCTGAAACGCTCCGAATTCCGCCTTTTCTCTTCCGACTGCTGACCAAAGTCCATTCTCGAACGTGCTTGTGCTGGATGAACTTGACGGCGACGGGGAGCTGGTCGAGTTTCCGAATCGCCTTGTAGACGATGCCAAAACCGCCTCGGCCGATCTCCTCCAGAACCTCGTACTGCTTCCGAAACTCCTTCAGCGAGTGCTCTGAAATTTGTTCAACCTTAGCGATTTTGTATCGACATTGAGAAAAATAACAAACGACTTTGAGAAAAATAACAAAATAAGATCTGACCTCGCTGGTGCAGAAAGTCAATTTGGTAGGAACAGCACACCGTGAGATCTTGCAACTTCCGTTTGAGCATCCTGAAGCGAGGTTGTTGGAAATTGATGTCAAACAATTCTCCAAAATCAGTACGTGTAGATGAGAGCGTTTCTTGTGGAAAAAAGAATTTCTAGTGCAGAAGAGACCCGTTCAACCAGTTTTCTTCTTTCACATTTTGATCGTGACCAGCGATACAAGTCTCTTCGAACAGTTCAAACAAATTATTTTCCAACAACCATTTCGAAACGCCTTTCCCGAATTAGCGCCTTCTTTCTTCTTTCTTTCTCTTCCGAATTCATCAGTTCTTTGCAGGGACACTTTCCGCATCACTTTTAAACTAGCCCATAGATCATTTGCGCCTTCTCTTTTGGACTTTTGTCCTTGTCGCGTTCACGACCACGTGGTGGTGAGCGAAAAGAGAAAAGAAAACGAAAAGTTGGATAAGATCTGCGATGGGGCCAAAGTTTTGGGCGGCGATGACGAGGTGCAAAGGAAAGACGCCTGTGTAAGCGCCCAGCTGTCGGAGGATTTCATGTCCTACGGCTCATTAAAGCCTCGCAGCCGAACGCCCAAATATGGTCGTGGAGGTCGTCAAACGACCCTCATTTTCAGCTCGTGATTGCAAAAAAAAAAAATAAAAAAGATTTTTGAAAATTGCCGCTGTTCAGCGAAAATTGAATCTAACGCAGCTCCCATTTGAAAAAATAGAGTAGCGTAAAAAAATCCCCTTCTATTGGAAATGAGTTTTTGAAAAAATTGATCTACGTATACTAGATAGAGTCAAAAAGAATTTATTCTAAAGTTTAATCAAATTAAATGTGGGTTTTTCAAAATTCATAGACTTTAAAATGAAGTTTTCTTGCACAAGCAATGATTTATTGACAGATCTCTGTCGACTTCACGACCTCCTTCTAAAATAGATTTCAAAAGTTGAGGAAAATGAAAAATTCCAATTATGATTGGCATCGATTCCGTTTTTTAATTGTTGATTGAGAAACGAGCAAAATAGAAAGTTATAAGAGCCTCTGTTGCAAAAACTGGATAGGGTACCAAAAAAAAAACTTACAAAAAAAAATTTCAAGATCCGCCAAACTGAGAGTCTGCAAGAAGACGTTTAAAAAAAATTTTCTGAGTCGGAGCCAAGTCCCGCTAAATTGACAGGAAATTAAGCGGTCAACAGTTCAAGTCATCATAAGGCACGCCCCCCACTCAGAGAGAATAAATAATCGCCTGGCGGCGAAATTCCAAGCTGCAGCACCTGTACATCAAAAATGAAGAAGACGGAGGAAGGTGAAGAAGGAAGAAAAACGGAAGAAACGAAAAAAAAGGAAGAAAAAGTGGCACATCCCAAAGACTTGCACAAAGCCAGCGCTAATGGAATTTTTGAATTGAACGGCACGACCTCCGGCCCAAAATCGTCTTTTTTCAAACTCATTTTTCTGAATCTCATTTTTCACTTTTTCGTAAACATACAAACCAAAAACAAAAACTGCACTTATTGACTCTCTAGTAAGCTTCCGTATTAGAGCTAAAAAAGCTGCGATTCACCAAATTAAATGTACTTGACCTGGACCACAGAAGTTTAATTTTATCATAACAGCTTCTAAAGTAATCAGAAATCAGAAACCATTCCAAAAGTCAAATAGAGAAGTTTTTTGGACATAGGAAATTCAATATTTTATTGCGAAAAATAACTCTTTCGTAATTAGAAAACTGAGAAAAAGAGAAAACGTTGTAATACATTCTTTCACTGAGAAGATTCTTCTATCAATTTATAACTACAAATTTCAGCTTAGCCACCACTGCATTTTCATAAAAATTGATTGGTAGATCTGCGTCTTACCAAAAAAACTCCGGGGTTTTTTTAAAGTTTTAAGTGGGTTTACTGAGATTTAAAAAAATTTCTTGAAATTAGAAATTGAAAAAAAGTTTGAATAGGAAATTAGGTCAAAAACAAAATTCATAATTTCCAAAATTCTCTGGAATCACGCTTGTTTAAAATTTCCTTGGATCGAGAGTAGTACCTTCTAGAAATATGGAGAGAGATCCGCGTTCCAAGCAATTTCGACTTTCTCAGATTTTTGGAATCGAAAACTTTTCAGTTCAAAAGTCCAAAGTATTCGTGTGTTTCGGTTCGTGTCTCCGGATTTCCAACCAACCGCTGAGCTTTTTGACAGCAGCACAAATAACCACATCTTGCGTTTCCGCGACAAACGCACCAATGAAAATCGACGTTTTCTTTCCAATAAAACTTTTCTTTTTTTTTTAGATAAAAAGCGCATGTCTGAGCTCAAATTCAGCCACGTCTCAATAACGTCTCAGTTGTTGACTCTTTCGAGGTAATTCTATGAGAAAATTCGAGAAAGTGTATTGCCACCACGGCTTTCGGAACGGCTGGACAAATGAGCGGGTGTTCGATCAACTTGGCGGATCTGCTGATGTTTAAAGTGAACGAAAAAAAATCCGAGAAATTTTGTCACTTCAGTCGGTCAAAAAAATCTTCTCTTATATCGAAAAAAATTTTTTTATGACTTCGTTTCTGTTTATATTAACATAAAATGGTTGTTGAAAAAAATTTTTTTTAAAGAGAATTCAGAAAAATAATAGCATAATGTTTGGAAAAATACATTTTAAGCTTATAATTTTTTTGGCACATTCATAACCCTTAAAGTCGTATAAAATTTTTTTGATATAAATATTTCGATTGAGTTTTGATATTTACAGACCTTCGAAAAAGAAAATATTCATTTCGTAATGCTTAGAACGAGAAGAAAAAAGAGAAAAAAAACTGAAAAGTGAGTGAAAAGTGAAGTTCCTGTCATTTTCCATACTCCTTTGAATGATGGGCACATGTGGTAGAGTATATTTGAAAGCGAGAAATCTCGAAAAAATAAAACTTGGATCTGAGTATTCAGAAACTTAACCAAAGTTGAGTTCTCGGTTTCAAACAAGAGCTATAAATATTTGGGTTTTTCAACTTTGATGAGACGGGCCAAAAAAGACTCACGGTCATTTACTGACCGAAACAAGTTTGAATTGACTTAGGCCAAAATACCAACTCATTTTGGGATAGTATAAAGAAAAGTTTCAGGGTTTTTCAGATTTCCCCTCAAGAACGACCAAAATTTGGTTTTTTTCTAGATTAGAATCAAGTTTATCAAGTTCAAGAATCAGGTTTAACCACAAAAAGTTAGAAAATAAGTAGAGAAGCCGTTTTTGCTCGTTTCCAGCGTCACCAAGAGCCGAACAGCTTGGGCAGTTGTTGAAAAAAAGGTGCTTACCGTAATTTGAGAGCGAGCCAGCGCATGTCGAGCCGCGACAGTGTCGGTGTGCCGTCAACCCCGTCGGCGACGCCACAAGATACTCCAGGTCGGCGGTCTGCGTCTCTGGGCGGTGAGCGCTATTTCCGCCGCGCCAAATGTTCATGCCCTGCCCCGATCAGCCTCCAAAGCAATACGGAACCAATCGACGACGCCACTTCCTTGCTTCTTTTTGCAGCTCAGACTCAGATCAGTCTGGCACAACCAACGACTTCTCGAGCCGACTCTTTACAAGGGATATTTTTCGAGACCTGTCTCCATATTGGCCGAAATATTGATCATGATGTATATTCCTTCTGGAAGTCTCAACTGCCCACTCAACCTGGTTTTAAAGAAAAGAAACCTTGGAAGTGTCTTTTCCTTGATGTTTTGCTGAGAAAATATTCACCTAGTACAGCAAAGAAATTTTCGAAGTTTCAAAAAGTTAACAGAAAAATAGAACATTTTGAAGTAATGCCCGTCGTTAGCAAAAAAAAATGGCATAAGAAGAAGTCCGAAATTTAAAATTTTATTACTCGAATGTTGTTGAGCTATCTAAAGCCTTTAGACTAAAGGGCTAGAAAAGGATTTTTGCTGCATTTTTTTTTTGCTCTTTTAGGCACTGTAGAAGGATTTTCCAACATAAAGTGAACCGCATTTTGTACTGGAGAGAAAAATTCAAACATTAAGTCCTTTAAAATAGAAGAGATATAAGAAAAAAAAATAATGGAAGTACTATGATGCGGAAGTACAAAGCCTCGTGCAAATCCAAAAAAAACATTTTTAAATTACTACCTATATCAAATCTATAATAACAAGAAAACCTATCATCATACGGATACGAAGTCGCTCGAAAAAGGGCCTTGAAATTCCCAAAGAATCCTATTTCTTATCTTTTGAAATCCCTCACACCTAGAACGATTGTCGAGAAACTGAACTGGAAAACTAGGAGTAAAATTTCCAAATCACTCAAATCGAAACTTCAGTTATAACCAAGAAAAGTTAGGAAAATCACACAAATATTACCATTTTTCCGTCTCTATTAATTGAAAATCTCAATTTTTCGTCTTCCTAATCAGTTACATTGATATGAAGAGCTTTGAGCGAAAATTTCGGTCCATCATCAAATACGCTAAATTTTTAGGCCTGATTGAAACTGTGGGTCAGAGAATTCTTTAATGGTAAAGGCTGGAAAAGGCCATATTATTTTTTACTTGAATTTTGACACTTTCCTTGGCTTTTGTTTCTGTCACCAGCTCTTTGAAGAGCAATCTCTCAGCCCGTGATCACCTTTTGTTCCGTCAAAGCTTTTGCAAAAAAAGATTTTCGCTCCACACACCCACACCTCAGTTCACTTTTCTCAGTAGCAAAACTCATTCACAACCCTCCGAAATCCTTCAAGTTTTGAGAACTCAGTCTCTGAGTTGAAAGTCTTGAGCAAGCAAAAAACAATGAGTGAAAAAAGACGCAAACATGCGTTTCTTTTTTTTTCTTGAAAACTTTCAAGTGTTCGCGCAAGACGACAGAGCAATTCTGAACTGATCTTCTCGGCAGAAATGTCCAGAGGAAAAAAAAGAAAAAAAAAACAGCCTCATCAGTCATATCGGGAAACATAATAGCTTTTAGAAGTAGAGTTGCAAGAGAAGTGAAATATTTACTAATCCAGGATGAATTCAATTAAAAAAAGAAAAACTAAAAGTTTCAGTCCTGAAAAACTTCTAGGAAATATGATAAGTATGATTCATGGCATGTATTTTTCTTGAAAGCAAGCGCTCGGAATGTAAAATTTAAAAAAAAAACATTGGCCGTCATTTAAAAATTTTAACGCTAAAAACTGCTTTTTTGTCTTATTTATATGGGTTTTTTTCCATTGAAGTGTTAAAAAATCAATGCAAACACAAAGAAACCGAAAAAATACTCAGTGAAAAGTGAGCAAGGAGGAAAATTGTGAGATCAAGGCGAGTCTGAGCCATTCAAAATGTGCAAAATGTGCAAAAACAGTGGAAAGAAAGGCGGAACGAGCAAACTGATGGGCCGATGAAGAATCCTGCGAGAAACAGCCATTTTCCCCAGTGATTTGCCAGCCTTTTCTTCTTCAACCCTCAGTTTTTGGCTCTCAAACACATATCTTCGAACTTTGGACAAAAAAAAACTTAAAAGTGCCAACTTTTGTTAATTCCCTTTTAAGTTCGTTTGCGTTTCAAATCAGAAAAAAAGTGGAAGATTAAAAAAAATAGCTCCCACTGCTGAAATAATCAAATGAACGAATTTCTTACTTCATCTGCTTTCTGACTTTTTTGAAAATCCGAAAACTGATTTTCGAACTTTATTTTAAAAATTAAAACTCCTTTTCTGATATTCTCGAAACTGCAGAACTGAAACTTGAGCGTCGTATTTTTGATATGAAAACACAAAACTTCACATTGAACCACTTTTCTGCTTTTTCATAATTCGCATTTTTCTGTAAATCGAAAATGGCGAAAAGAACTTTACAGAAAGATGACCAGTCAGGAAAAAATGTTATTCACTGAAAATTATTTTCTTTTACTCTTTCTTTGGAAGTTTTAACTTTATTGTCATGATATAATCCACTTAGATTGGCAATACCTTAGTGATCCGACTATCCGTACACAACAAGTTCAGACCCTAGATTATTGCTCGTTGTTGTTTCCTCCGAAGACGCAATATTCACAAGGAGGCGTCTTTCCTCCCAAAAAAATTCCGGAGTAAGCCTTTATAATCTTTCCTCTTCGCATGCTTTCGTGGTGTCCTCCTTCACATTCATTCCCTTCCAATATCTCGGGCACGTCCGCCCTGCCCACATTGATTTCCAACCCAAATAATGTCGTCGTCACGTCTTCAAGAGCTCCAGCGATGGACCAACCAGCACGTCTTCTCCTCGTCGCTCGACTACTGGAATCAAGAACAGCCGGTCCAGCCGCCCAATTACGGTGCCTGACCTCGAGTGACAGAGTTGTGACGTCGGTTCAGGAGCTACTACGGTGGCTGATGACGTTACAACGGAGCAGCCGACGGAAAATGGGAGGCACATGGAGACGGTGGTCGAAGAGCCTCCTCCTGAAGAGCATGCGGCGTCGTCGGAGAAGATTTCTGCTCTGCAGGCTTCTTGGAACGTCACCAACGCAATCCAGGGCATGTTCATAGTCGGATTGCCTATCGCAGTCAAGGTAAACCGTAGTAAAACAACCTGAGAATATGTAGCAGAGAGAAATCGCTCTAAAAAAGCCAGAAGTGATAAGCTTTAAGTATTTTTCTAGTCAAATTTTAATTTAGAACAATTGAAAAGTCTTACTGTAAGTCGCAAACTTAAGGTTGGCGGTTGGTGGTCGATTCTGGCAATGATCGGAGTGGCCTACATCTGCTACTGGACTGGGGTGCTGCTTATCGAGTGTCTCTATGAGAATAAAGCAAAAGTGCGCCACAGCTATCGGGAGGTAACTTCCAAAAATAAACATATTAATCGTCGTTTTCTGTTTTTGAACTGTATCCAAGCAAGAGGGGAACAAATATAGTCTGTTCAGATTTTGAATGTCAAGTCGTCGCTCAAGCTCCGCCCCCTAATGGCGCGATAAACCAATCAGAGAGCGAGCCATCCACAGAGCATTTTTGAATCACGTCATTCTACTTGACATTCAAATTCTGAACGGACTATATAAAATAATCTAGCGATCGATCATCGCACATGCACGAGCTTGATTATCAGATCGCCGACTTCTACCGACCGGGATTCGGCAAATGGGTGCTCTCGGCTCAGTTGATCGAGCTCCTCTCGACGTGCATCATCTACTTGGTCCTGGCTGCAGATCTTCTCCAAAGCTGCTTCCCGTCGATCGGTAATCTTGTTCCTCTCGACGCTATGAGCTTCCAGTCTCTAGACAAGGCAGGTTGGATGATGTTGGTGAGCGCATCGTTGATGTCGTGCTCCTTCCTCGACGACCTTGTCATCGTGTCCCAACTTTCGTTGTTCAACGCCATCTCGCATCTCATCGTCAACGTTATTATGCTCGTTTATTGCCTCGCTTGTTTCAGGTTTGAAATTGTAAGGAAAGAAGGATTGGAGAGCTGAATTTCAAGTGATTGGTCCTTTTCTTCCGTAACATTCGCTCTGAACATCAACACCCTGCCGACAATGATTGGAGTCGTCGTCTTTGGCTACACATCGCACATATTTCTACCCAGTTTGGAAGGAAACATGAAGGTCGCGAAAAATTTAGGCTTTTAACCATCAGAAAATCTTCCAGGACCCGTCGCAATTTAGCGCGATGCTCAAGTGGTCTCACGTCGCCGCTGCCGCATTCAAAGTGATCTTCGGTCTTCTGGGCTATCTCACTTTTGCAGAACTAACACAGGTAAGATAGTTTGAATAAAAACAAAAATAATGATGAAATAATTTTACAGCAAGAGATATCAAATTCCTTGCCGAACCAGGGATTCAAAACACTAGTTAACCTGGTCCTGGTGGTGAAAGCCCTTCTCTCGTACCCTCTTCCTTTTTATGCCGCTGTACAGCTTATCAAGCACAACCTTTTCCGTGGATACCCCGCTACTCCTTTTACTGGGTGAGAAAAGGAGGCGTTTTATAACTTTTCTTTCCAGATGTTACTCTCCTGACGGATCTTTGCGAGAATGGGCTTTAACATTGCGGATAGTTCTTGTTCTTTTCACGTTATTCATCGCTTTATCTGTCCCGTATCTTATTGAACTTATGGGTCTTATTGGAAATATCACAGGTGAGCTCAACCTTAAATAAAATAAACATTATCGAATAAACTAAGGTACGATGCTGTCTTTCATTTGGCCCGCGATGTTTCACTTGAGTATTAAAGGTGCAGTTTTGGTTAACCGTGATAAGAGGTAGTTTGAAAATTACTCAAGTTCATTGATTTCTGAAGCCCAGGTTCGACCAATTCATCATCGGTCTAGGAAGCACTATTTGCATATCTGGCGTCTACTTCTCTTTCATGGAGCTTCTTCGAGCAATTAATGCTGACGATAATTGAAATTTTCGATATTTATTTGGATGGATAAATTTACATTAAAAAAGAACAAATGTACAAAAAGAAACAAGCCGTTTCTATTTGGTCCAGGACACTTTCGGGATGTCGTTGAATTCCGTCAGTTCACTCATCTGCTGGTTAAACCGCTCGACCTTCTCGCGGTGGCTCACAGCCGCTTTTTTCAACATCTTTTCAGTCTGAAAAAAAATGATAAGATTCATTTAAAAATCGGAAAAAGACCATATTTGCGAGCTTCCTTTGCTCAAACTTGAGCTCAGCTGATGTTTTAGTTGTAGTCGTCTTAGTCGTTTCATTTCTGGATGAAAAAAGTGAGAAAAAGAAGAGAACTGTAAAAATACCTTTTGATGGTCATATCGATTTGTTTAATATCTGACGTTTTCTTTTTCTTTTTGAAAATGTCTCCTTTCTTCAGTTTCAGCCCGCTTTTGACAACATGGTCTTTTTCCATCTGAAACAGGATAAAAAACATAAAAACAAAAAGTATCCTTGCACGGCTGATGATTTTTCAAACCGAAAAAGTTAAGAAAAAGAATATATACAAGAAAAATAGAAATATATCAAATGAAATGTATCCACGGAACTGCAACAACTAAATATCTTTCGTTCCTGTAGGAGCTAGCTCGAGCTCTCCAACTTTTTCGACACTTCGAAAAGAAATCATACTTTTATGAGTCTCTTATTGACCCATAATGATCTATAAAATTTCAATAGACCACTACAGTTATTTATCTATCATAGATATAGCTCGATCTGAAAATAAAAAGCAGGAAGTATTTTGAAAAATCATGGAAGTTCTGATAGCGCGAAAATGAACAAAAAGAATATGTTTCGAAGTTATACTTCACGCTGATTAGGCTGCTTCATAGCACATCAAGGAGATGTGTGCTGAATTTCGAAACGATTTCTTATTTGACAGATAAAATAAAAATAACAGAAAGAATTTCGTCCTGAGTGGCGTCGATTTACGAGGTAGTTGTGCGGCAAATTGCGACATGCAATCTGCACGCAGCTTTCGACTCACGCCCACAAAGTGAGAAAAAAAAACATTTCGCGATTGATTTGAATTGGAAAACGTCTATCAAAGTGATTTCTGATTTCACTAAATAATGGGATTGATTCAGTGTCCAAAGTGATCCTGCGAAGTTCAGAATAGCCGTCAGAGAGGGAAAACATATATAAATTTTGGAAGTCAGAGATAGCTCTGAATTTCGCGAAAATTACTTTGAACACGGGATGAGGTGTTAAGCCTATAGTGAAAACTCAGCTCAAGTTTCTGCTCTGTTGATGATTTCATAAAAGGAAGGTAGGAAGTTAATTTTATTTTGGACTCTGAGATGTCCTGGAATTTGGGAGTATACGTTGACTCACAATCTAAGGATACTGACTGTGTCAACCCTAAAATCTTATTTTTCTTGAAAAGACTCTTTAAGTCTGAAGTAAGTTATCGAAAGCAGGCTAAATGGATTGTTTCAAGATGTGTGTCCTTAGTTTCTCGGAAACTGCGAAGTTTTACAGTTTGATATTCTCAAGATCTTCGATTCGGAGATACTTTCCGGCTTGATTTCACAATATTGAAGATTGCAAATTAAAATAGCTTTCCAAGCTTTGATTGACCCACACGACTTAAAATTTTACTCATAGTGAACCCAGGCAACCTATTCGTGAGGTAGCAACTCTCCAAAAACCAACTTGAGCTGTAGTTCCTGAGAGGCTCCCGGAGTGCGTACTCTGTCTCTCTTGATTTTCAACTCTAGCGACTTTATTCGCCAGGGATTCAAACCCTGACAGAGTTAAATTTTAAAAATTTGCTGATTTGAAACATACAACGACTATATAGCTTCTATCTAATCCGGTTCAACTAGGTGTCTATATAGCCGCTTCGAGGCCTGGGTTTGCCAGTGCTTTTTCAGTTTGTTCTTTAAACCACAGATAAATTTAGTTGAGAAAGTGAAAGTCGTATTTATATGCTGTTCAAATTTTATACTTCTTTTGAAGGAAAAGAGAGCTTTGTTTCTCGGTTTAAATTTTTCCGGACAGACTTGAAAAAGTGTCGAATTTTTTTTGAGATCAAGCTTCTCAAATGAACTGAAAATTGACTTTCATTGAATTAATTACACTCAAAAAAAAAAAAATTCTCGAAGAGATATTGGTAAACTCAGAATTCGTTAAAACTGCAAGGAATTTAGGAAGTCAATTCAAAAACCAGAAAAATGCGGCATACAGTGTGATCCCGAAAATGAGGTTAGTGTGGTACTTTTTAGGAATGAGTTGGTCGCTCACTTTTGATTGTTTACAGAACTGTGGCGGCGCTGGAGATGCAATTAGCAGTCGGGCGTCGCGCCCAGGTCGTTCCGCACTTTCTGCTTCCTACACTCGGCTCAACTGTCTATGAAGCGGCCGCTTCTCCTTCCGCTTCTGCTCTACATAATGCGGACAGCTCGACCGCAGTACGTCACTCCAAAGTACGCCGAGATCAGAGGTGGTTTCAGAGGGGTGAGGATTCTGAGTTCGGACTTTTGCAGCGGTGTCGGCGATGTGCAGCAGCGAGGGCATCACGGCGTCGATCGACTTCGACCAGCCTTTCGCCGGTAAAATCTACTCTCTGGACTACGCCAGCGTCCAGGACTGCCTTTACTACAACAATCTCGACGTCGACACCGTCCTCTTCTCTATTCCTGCCCATAGATGTGGAACCAAACTCATGAGGACTTCGCGGAACGTGAGTTTTCTATCGTGAAAGACATCAAATCAACAGGAATACGTAAAGACTGAGATGCATTTCAAAGATTTCTGAAAAGATAATTTTTTCTTCAATAGTTTCAACAAATGTTTTTTAAAAATGTCTCGAAAAAGCTTCCTGGTTGCTTTTAACGTCTGTTACTTCTTTTTTCATCTCTCAAATGTTTTCTTCAGAATTTTCCTTTAGAAGGAAGTTTATGAAAAGTCATGCAGGTCAAATTTTCTTTTTTTTTTCCTCTATTTTTTTCATACAAAGTTTTTCGTGTCTCGAATATTCTTCTAAAGAGCACAATTCTGACATTTTTTTTTAGTTTTGCGCGTCATTTTTTTGACCGAAAAATCATTCGTCTTTTCGACTGTTTTTTGTTTTGAAAAAGACTTTTAGAAAATATTTTTCTTTTTCTAACACATCATTGTGAGCCCATTGCCTTCTTTTTTCGAAAGAAACGGCTCATTTCATAATAAAGATCGTGTCTGAAATGAACGGTGTATATTATCTAAAAAATCAAATACTATCCTGAGCAACGCTACTGAGAATAAAATGAGTAGCATTTTTTTTTTCGATATTTTCCTAGTTAGAAAATGGTTATTGGTTTCGGTCACCCCATTGCTTTTCTAAATCACGAGCAACGGACGATTCCCGAGGTCATTCATTTATTTTGCCGAATCACTGACACGTACTAATTATACGTACCTCCACATGGCCCAATTGACTCGTTTTGCATATATAAACTCTCTCTAACTATTTTCGCGTCTGAAAAAAAACTTCCAGCTTGTCATTATACTTTTCTTACCTTGATTTTCCTTTTTTCGTTGGCCTTCAAAAAAACTTTAAGACCTCAAAAGGCAAAAACGAGGTCGAAGGGCGTGAAACTGGATGTAACGCATATGAGTCAATTACTTTTCTGAAGAGTGAGACGTGTGCCCTTGGCATCGCTAATTTCGCATTTTGACGTCGCGCAGCCCCGAAAACAGCCGGTCGAGACCCAAATAAGGAGAAAATGTAGAGAATCGCAACTGAACCGATCTGAACGTCAATTGCAGGTCGTCGATCAAATGGAAAATCGCGTATATGTTCAAATGGACAAAGATACGCAGACGGCTGCCGACAAGCAGTTTTCCTTCGTCTGTCGGCTCTCAGAACCTCCAAAGTCCTCTTCACTCCCTTCAAAGTTTGAGAGTTCGCTTGTTTTTCAAAAAAAAAAAAGAAGTCGAGGAAGTGCAAAATAACATAAGCGATGTTTTGATTTGAAAAAAATAGTCTGAAACAGCTCCTAATCATAGCAAATTACGAAAAAAAAAACGACGAAAGTTTTATGAACTCGGATTTGCAGTCTAAACTTCGTATCCAGAAGAAAAATGGTTTCGTCTTAAGGCAGTTCGATCAGTTCAAAGACTTCTACGCGAGGCCCATTGCCAACAGCATTTCTACTAAATTGGTCCCCCCGCAATCCGTCATGACTCCGGTCAAGTCGGTAGGAATTTGCAGGATTGTCGTCATAATATTTCATGAATAGCCTCATTTTTACAACATTTTTTTTTCTGAATTGAACAGTATAATAATTTGAGTGATGGGAGACTTATAAATTTTCGGAGTATTTGATCTCTCTTTTTTTGGAAATAATTTGTGGTAGGAGTTTCTCCGAACTGTGTCTTTCTTCAGACAAGCGTCTCCCGCGTGGCGGCCTACTCTTCTGACGCACATCTGGGCAACTGGCCGATTCCAGGTGCTCAGCCTTATGAGTCTTCGATGAAGCCCGTTCCGTCCTATCCGCTGGCACCGGCTGTTCCCCTCCGTAAGAAATTTGGGGCTCATGAAAACTCAGCAAGTGTGACAAAGATTTGAAAAAAAAAACACCTTTAAGCTTCAAAAGAATAAGCTCGAGAATTGAGCGAAGACCTTAGGTGTAAAATGATTATTTCTAGCCCAACCTCCGCCTGCGCACGGCGTCCTTCCTGTCCTGCCAGCCTTGCATCCACCGCTCTTCCCAACAGTTCAGCCTGCGACCCCGAGTCCCGCCGGCGTTTATCCGACTCCTCCGAGATCCATCTCATCCATTGGCGCCAACAGTCCGAATCTGCCGCTCTTCCCCCAGTTCCAACGAGCTCCTCCACTTCCGCAACTTCCTCTGACTACCTCCACAGTACTCCCACCGCCAATCGTTCCAAATATGCACGTGCAGCAAGCCTTGGTCGTGCCGTTCTCAACGGTTACAACGTCCCCTGTCAAAGTGAGAACTTTGCATCGATTTTTTTTCCATTGAACAACTTGCAGGTTGATGCTCATAAATGGAGCGAAGCTTACGCGACTCAGCCTCCTCCATCGCTGGCAAGGACCTTCCAGGTGTCTACTAAAGACAAAGTCGGAACGAATTACCGAGAGGAGACTCCCAAAGTCGATACAACTTTTTCCACAGACGTCGTAGACAATGGAATCGTTGAAAAGTAAAATCACATATCATGTCTGTCACACAAAGCTATTCAGACCGCCGGCCGTCCTGGCAGGAACTCAAGAAGTGGTGGCTGAGCCGCAGGTCACGCTCGAAATCCAACAGGGAGAAGGCCCTTTCGCGCCGCCTGTATCCTCTGCTATTCGAGTTGGGGAAAACATTTCGCTGGTCGTCAAGGCTAAGAGCTTCATTCCTGGCGCCGAGGACTTCGACATGTTCGTACACTCGTGTTTTGCGACCGACGGCCGTGGTTCCACCAGAATCGAACTTGTCGACAAGAAAGGGTAGGCTGATAAAAAATGAAAAAATTCTAGAAGCTTAGACTATAAAGAAATTTCAAAGTCAACATGAGACCACGGTTGAAAGGATTAGACATTCAATCCGGAAAAATGTATATTTTACTATGGACGCCATTTTTGTCATTATTTTCTTAATGACAACAAAAGGAAAATAGGGCGGACAGGCGCCGATCAAGTTCTTCTTGTAGAGCCCAGTTCGAGTCCTTTCATTTTCCCGTCAAAAAAATTACAGAAGTTTAATTTTGAAAAATCTCAAAAATTTTTTTGAGAACCCCGCACATATCGGATTTGATAAAAAAATTTAAAAAAATTGTTTGTCAGGTAAAAAAATATTATTTATTTTAAGAAAAATAGATGGCATGATCCAACCCATGCTTTTCGAAAGTTCAAACAAAAATTTCAACAAAGTGGAAAAAGACCTGGTTTTCAAAAAGCTCCATTTATATAAAAACTGTTTTCAGTTGCGTCTTGAGAAGAGAATTCGCTTCTGAACTCCGAAGAACCAAAGATCCGTCGCTTTTCATGTACTATTATCTAATGATCAAGGTAAACTAGCCAGGGAAAAGTAGGGCTACTTGATTTCACAGGCTTTCAAATTCCCTGGTCCAGACGATGTTTATTTCTCCTGTACGATTGAATTCACACCGTACAGAAACGTGCCGGTATATTTCAAAACTAGGAAAATGAATATTTGGTTTTTGCACAGGAAATATGTTCCTCGAACGTTTCGCGAAGTCGGAGAGACTTGCCAGCAGACCAAATCAAAACTTTGAGGCTTTTCGACAACGTGAACGTCGAGTTGGAGAATGAAGAGTTGGTTGAAGCAATTCAAGGTTTTTTTTTTCAATTTCCGCTTCAGCTGTTTCTTTTCATAACATTTCTGCACTAAGTCCACACATACTGTTTAGTTCTCTTAAACAGGGCGATATCCGACTGAAATGATCCTATAGAAATAGTTGCTAGTATTTGAAGTAAATAAAACCATTTACTGAATCCCGAGATTCGAAATTGAACAAGAAACATTTGCAGAAGAAGAAAAGCGCTGCTCGGCGGAAGCGGCGCTGATTGTTGCTGTGTGCTCCCTGATGCTCGCCTCCACGATTTCCACTTCTTTTGCTTTTTACTTCTACTGCAAATCACTGAGCAAGTGAGACATTTTTGCCGAAAAGTCATACTGCCATTATTTGGGTAGAGGAATCTTTTCCTCGAGAATCTTTTCGCTGACTTACATGGGCGAGTCTAGAATTTTTCAGCCTTGAAAAATCAGTAGCAGGGCAGAAATATTTCAATTCAAGAAAAAGTTAATACACCGATAACAGTTCAGAAATAAACTTTTTAAATTCTTTTTTTGGCTTTTTGTTAGTACGGTTCTTGTTTGAGAAATTTTTTTAATTTATAACAGATTTGAAAGAAGTTTTTTTTCTGTAATCGGGAGAGGTGCTGACTTTTTTTCCAACTAAGTTTTGAAAACGGCTCAGTGAATGATTTTCTTCTGTATTTTTTTGTTGAATTGTTTAATACGAAATTGTTTGTTTTCAAGATGTTATTGATAGAACCTTTCTTTGAATTTTTTTGTTCAGAAAAAGTTAATCGCAATTTTTTTCTGAAAAAAATTTTTGTATATTTTTTTATAATAAATTCTTTATGTATGTGTACAATCAGCACTGCGATATGAGACAGAACCCGTGTGATGAAAAACAAAAGCAGCTGAGAAGAGCTGCGGAGAAAGACAGGAAAAGCGACGAGGATAGTGACGTCACCGCGATGACAGGCACGGCGACTGACTGCTTCTGTCGCGACGGCATCGCACACGTCGCCAACGCGAACGACCTCACCGACCGGTACGCGCCACTCGCTCCGCAGAAGTTCACGTCTGACGTCTCCTGAATAAAAACCGCGGCTTGGAAGCGTTATTAAGTTTTTGAGAAAAAAAAAGATTGCGGGGAAAACATTTCGAAATCTATTGCGGCCAAAACTCTTCAACTCGCAAAATTTAAAAATTTTGAAATAATTTCTTAAAATCCTCTTTAATGGCTAAAACAGCGTTACCGAAAGAGCGGTCATCCATTTGAGGTCGCAAGTGCAGTTGAGCGTGTTTTCTTCGACTCGAGTTTGCCACGCCGTCGACAAGACACTTTCCGAAGTGTCGAGCTCTTGGATCGTGTTACGCGTTATTTTCAGCTGACCCAGGTTTTCGACACCTGAGATTTTCTTCTGAGATATTTTTTTTCCAAAAAATCAGCGAAAAAGAGGATAGTAATGTCTGAAGAACTTCTGTAAGCTATGACGTTTAAGATTTTTTTTTTCTATCCATTCATCTTGGCACTGTGGAAAGGCTCACCAGTAAAAGCTCTGGCGGAAATCGATCCAATGTTGTTGCCAGAAAGTTCGATAACTTCAATCGTTGTGAGACCCGAAAATGCGTCTGGCGCGATTGACGCTAGACGAGATCGTTCGATTAGGATCTGTAATTTTTTTTTTTCTATGGAGAGAAAAATGAATGTCTTTTCTCAAAAAAAATTATGTGTACAGTCTTCATTCCGTGTAAAATTTTCCATCGTAGTGGTTGCTCCCATTCCGAGACGCCCGCCTAGAGCAAGGCTTCCGGGCTCCAGCACAACATCCGCTACACTCTGAACTCGTCAAGACGCAACTGGATGGACTACGCGCAGAAGGAGAAGACCGTGATACCATGCTTTCGACTTGATCAGCTACACGTTTGAACTTCTAGTTCGCCAAAAGCGGCTGTTCTTTATAGCTTTACAAGTTCTTAATCAATGTCTAGTCGATTACATTCATTACTTTAAATAAACAATTGAATTATTGATTGATTGGAAACGTTTTTTAACTTCACTAAGCTTACGCACTTTCAAAGTTAATTCCAGCCAGCACTCTGACTCCCTGAAAAATTTATTGGTCTATCTACCTTCAAACGAGTTTGCCAATTATATTCCTTCTCGACTCACTAGATGCCAATAACTTTTCTCATTTTTAGTCATATATAATTTCCATGCCATTCTCTTCTAAGAGAGCTAGTACATATGTGAATAAGCTATTATTTTTCAAATTTCACGTTCCAGGGTTATTGTTTTGGATTCCAATACAACTTCACCTTTCTTCCTTAATAGTTTGCTCGTATTTGCAAGTCACGGCCTTTGTAGTGGGCATCTTGTTCACAACGGAAATGTTTTGAAAACGAATCCGAGTCGGATTCCACTCCGGGAAACTCGAAACCTATCCGCCGAGTTGTTTAACGCCCGAGGGCTTACCGATAGGATAAAATGAGGACAAACTGACGTGATGCACGTGTGAGAGATCGTGAAAAACGCGAGGCGGGAGATCGAACTCAGAGTGTCGGATGTGAACGATGTGGAACCTCGTCGAGTTGCTGAACAGCTCCGGCTCGGCGAGCACCACACCAGAAACTGTCAGGAAGTCTAGCTGTAAAAACACAGTTTCTCCAAGGAATAGTTCTGAAGAGTGACGAATAAGGCGAAAAAGAGTGACGAAATTGACGAAAACTAGTGCCTATATATTTTTCCTAAACGAGAAAACCGTTTCTCTTTCAATTTTAGTAATCTCGGAAAGCGATCAGAAGCTTTTTGACTGGATAATATTGAGTTTGATAGATGATTGCCCTGAAAGTTTCCTTCTGACTAACTTTCACATTTTTGAGGATCTAAGTTTGAGCGATTTCGCAATATGGGATCATATCTACAACAGAAACATTGTTTTGGCCAAATTTATAAAAATTTTCGAATTGATAAATGAGATGAAAGAAATGCGTAAAATTTTTGTCATTCAATTTTTCGAAATAAACACATGTATTAAATTTTTTCTTCAAGTTAAGGGATATTTAATATTAATATGTGAGCTGATGAAACGCAAAAGAATCACTCAAAGTCGGCAAAAAAAAAACGCAAAAGTCTCCCTCTTCCGACCACTCAGTTTGAAACCACACATTTTTCTTCTCTTCTATTTTCCTCTTGTAAAACCAGACGCACCTGGCGGATAGAAGCAAAAGAATGTCTCGACAAGGCCAAATCGACTCCGGAAATGGACAATTCTCGGATGCTGTGAGCGTTTCTGAGAAGAAAAAACACTGAGTGCAATAATTTCCCCGCTTCAACGGACCTGAAGGCACCACCATGGATCCGCCTGATGGGCGTGTCTTCAAAAAGAATTTTGAGCCCAAATTGGTTGGAGATTCCAGTGAAGGCGCCGCGTTCGATTTCCGTCAGCTGAGGGCTCGACGCGAATTTGATCAGTCTGAAAGGTCATTTGTCTCTTTTCACCTTGCCGCAGGGCTCCGGTGACACTTGCCGCCGCCAGTTCAAATTGATAGTTTACGTAAACAATCTGTTTATTGAGCTTATTATGTTCTGATTTGAGAGCAATGATAACTTGCGCAAAAAGTTATATGGAGAGAGAAATTCAGGAGTTCTCAAAAATGAAGAAACTTTACTCAAAATTTCTAAATTAAAAATTGGCAAAAGGGCTCATTCATGCAATGAATGAAAACCCTGAAAAATGCAACCTACAAAATCTTTCCATTCTTTTTTCTCAATTATCTGTGAAAAATGAGATTATGAAAGTTTTGTTCCGAAAAATTGAAATTGTGAAGATTGAGACTTTTATGGTCTCCATTTTGAAAATGAAAAATTTCGCAGCAAAGATCAATTCGAAGACCCCAGGCCGTCACATTCTTCATTTTTTGGTTTGGCTTTCTTTTCCGTTAACCAAAATGTTCCAATTAGAAAGGTTCCGATAAGTATAACTTCAAATTCACATCAGAATAGTAGAAATCAGAGAATTTAAAAACAAATTTTGGCAAAGCTTTCCTCAACACCTTATTTTAACATTTTTTTTTTGCAAAAATAGTGATTTAAAAGGCGTCTAACCTTATCTTCTTCATGCCCCTGAAAGCGAGCTTTTCAAGAGTACTAAGATGAGGATTGTGGTCGAACTCAACGTTGACGAGTCTCTCCATCTTGCGGAACGAGTTCTTGGCCACCGATCTGATCGAGGTATTCCGAATGAGAAGCGTCTGAAAAGCCCCCGTTGCATTAGGATTTAGCCGAGACGGACCTCATAAGTGGACGGGACGCGGTCCGGAAGCGATATCACTTGCACGCCTTCGCATCGCACCTAAAACATATCCGTCAGCTTGGATTATCTTCTGTCGGAAGCGACAGAAAAGGGGTAAAGAAAGCCGAAAAGATTTAATAAAAAACGGTAATCCATCCAAATTCGGTTTTTTTCACTCTGTTAAATTAGCAAAACTGCAACCAAGATAAGACAATTTAAGAGCGTCGAATTTAAACAAGATCTTACATAAAATCTACTGAATAAACAAACCAAGAGTTAAATAATCTATCAATAAGGATTTTCCTTAACTAGCAATAAGAAGTTGAAATTTTTGTCTAAAAACTTGTTTCAAACTGAATAATCACGCAAATAATTGCATTATTACACTTTGACGCAATAAATTTTTTCAAAAAATTGTTTTATTGTGTGGAATTTCAATTATAACTTCTTACTCGAGCTAAAAAAAGCAAAGATTCAAAAGCTTCGGCAAAAGTAAAAATTTTCTTCAAGATTCCATCGACTGATCGAATTTAAACGGAAATAAAAGTTAGTAGGCCTCTTTGCTATGGTTTTGATCAAGAAAATAGAAATTTAGTCGAACACGCCTGGCTAAAGCCAAAGTGCGAAAAACGTTTGCGGATGGTGTCAAATGGCAATTAGGAGAAGCAATTCAAACAAATTGAGCTATTACACAACACCTAAAAAACGAACGAGCTTCTGATCATGGTCGCAGTCGCAGAGAAGGGGGCACGTGTCTCGCGGATCCTTGGCGGTCGTCGACGTCGGTGGCGGCAAGAGCAGCAGAAGAAGCCAAGGCAATCGGCTCATTCGCGCATCTTTCGCGATTCGAAAAAAAAACACGATTAGTGGCAAAGATCCGACTAAGCCCAGATCCAAGTAAAAGTAAAAACATAAAAAGAGATTCTTTTTGGATACAAATCCGCAAAGAATGTTCGATGTTGCGAAAAAAATAAAAAAATTGATTGAAGTAGCAGAAGTTTAGTGTGAGAACACTACTGTACTTAGATCATTCAAGAAAATCCTAAAACCCGAGCGCTTCAGTTCAGAGAACTGCGTTTTTGTAAATAAAACTACTATTTTCTTTGGATGGAAATGAGATTCGGAAAACAAGAGAAAACAAATTCAAAAAAGCCCGAAGGTCGATGAAGTTCTTTTAGGAATGGCGGCGAGGAAACTCTTCAAAAACTCAATGAAAATGCAATGTTCGTCTAGAGAACAATGACCTTGACATCAGCGACAAAATGCACAAAGATCAGAGAACTATCAAAAAGTTTTTCAGACATCAATGAAAAAAAATGACGAGCGGATGCTGAAAATTCGAAGCACGAAGAAATAAGCGAAATCGTTTTGAAATTAAAGCTTTTTGCGAAAACCTCCAAAAAATTGGGGCTTCTAGAAAGATTTTCTATTCTCCTCATCTGTGGTTCTCTTTGTCATTAGATATTAATTTTTTTTGAATTTGAATAATTTAATTCAATAGATCATGAGTAACCTGAGGGAGATGTCTCCAAAAGAGTTCAGAACTTAAAAAATGTTAGTCCAACCATTCGAAAGTTTCTACGAATCCTCGGCAAATGGGACACCTCCTCTTTTCTTTGTAGTCTGAAATGTTCTGACTCAATCAACGACCATCAATCTGGTGCTGAATGGTGGGGTCATTTGGAACTGGACCCACAATGGACAGGCTGTAGATCAAGGAGGAGGTCCGGAAAACGTGAGCGAGTGGTGTGAGCGTAGCCGACGTGATGTGTAAGCGTGAGTGAGTGAGTGCGAAGGATCGGAAGGCGGAGTCTGCCCGTGGGGCAACATTGCAACCCACTGACAAGGCTCATCTACATCTTCAGCTGCTTGTGTGTGATGACTTGTGGGTGACGCGCCTGTTTCCGCTCTGAAATATGAGCCTCGGCGGCCTGCCAGCAGGTCCGTTCAGTTAGATCAGGTGCTTCTGAATCTCTCCAGGGGATTTGTCAGAAGACCATTTTCGACTAATTGGACTCGGTCTCAGCCTTTTTCACTTGAAAAAAGCATGATTCTCTCGGAAACTTGGAAATTCTTGATGATAGGTTGAAACATACATTGAAGAACTATATAGTCTGTTCAGATTTTGAATGTCTAACAGATAACTTCGTCCCGGTTGGCACACTACTTTTTCCTGGTTACTATCAGTTTTTGCGCGCGACGATGATCCTTTAATACTGACAACTTTTTTATTTAAGAGTTATGAAAAAAGTCAAAAAAAAGCAGCGCTATTGAAAGATCATCGTCCCGCGCGATAAAAGTTCGAAGGGAGAAAACACTTTGCCAGCAGGAGCGGAGTTAGCTGTTTAGCATTCAAAATCTGAACAGACTACAGATATTAACAACCTACACAATTGTTTATCAACATTCCGACAGTATATAAAAAAATATTGGAAATCTTATAATTTCATAAAAAACTATTCATGCGTTCCTTAATTTTTTTCACACGCAAGAACTAAATTGAAGAATATTGTTATCAACAAATTTTTTTATCATTTCAAGTTTTTTTATTTGATCGAAAAAAAGCAGATGGTATCTGAAAAAAGGAAAACCTCTCATGAAATGTTATCAAAAACTACAATACATTTGACAGTATTACTAAATGACTATGTGGGCCTCGAGGCCAGCTTTTCAAATTAGAAAACTTTTTTGGTCGAAAGAGAGGAGACCTATTTTACTTACAGACAGTTTAAAGATTTGTTTTTAATTCCGAGAACTTTTTAGTTCTCAGGAACTGCTGGAAAAGTCAAAATTAATCATAAATATGTGGCAAATTTAATGAACCTTTATTTATTGAGAAGGAGATTAAGAAATCTCAGCTTGTTCGTGTAAATTCTTCACTCGAAGTGGGAGCGACCACTTCAAGGCTCGACCTAAACACGGTTTCTAAGCTCCTTTTTCGCCATTTTCAAAGCTGAATTGATTAAGTTCTGAGTTCGTTTCGCATTGGTGAATCTAAAGTAGAAAAAAATACATTTTTTGGGTGTATAATTAGTTGAATACTTGTTTGTTTGGCATAGTTTACGATGATCACTTATTCAGCGCTTATTCTGTTAAACCTATAAAGAGAAATATCGCAACAAGGCCAGAAATATCTTTATTTAGAACGCAACATTGAATTTTACAACTTTTTCGAATTTCGAAAATAAGGTTCTGAAAGGGATTTGCCGACCCCTGCACCGACGGAGAAGTTCTCGCTTGACGGAAGTGTTTGGCCGGTCTGTGCGTGCGTGCTTGTGTGTGGCGAATGTCTTAGGTAAAGTGAACTGAGGCTGAGAGAACTAAGAAAGTGAGAGCAACTGTATAAATACAAAGTCGCCTCTGACAAGTGCAATCGAAACAATCACTCGTCTCGTTTGCGGCGAGAAAAATCCACTTTGCGGTTATTTTCAATCAAAGATAAACATACCGTTTTTAGATATTGATGCTCAAAAAATCAATTGAGACGTAGTCTTTTGCAAATTGTTATTTGGTTATTTCTCTGATGGGCATTGCCATTTTTTTTTATAAAAGTAATTTGAGCAACCTTAATATTTTCAAACTGCAAGAGTGAAACACGAGAGCCTTTTTTTGCTCGGAAAAAAACTTCAAATTTATTTCCAAAGAAATCATATGAATTTGAATGTTTTTTTTCTTCCAATTACAACTCCTAGGCCATCAACCTCGATCAAAATCAAAAGGCAGAAAGCTGAGGGACACAGAGACTGCAACAAAAAAAAAATGAACTACCCGAAATATTTTCCCAATGATTATTCAATTATTTTTTTTTTTTTCATTGGAACCTTGTCTTTAGTATTACATGAGTCTTCATTCAGTTATTGAATTTTCAACCAAATTTATTCCAGCTTTTTGAAAAAAGTTTCTTCGTTTCGCTTTCAGAAAAAAATTTCCTTTTTTGTGACTCCCTGTGCTAAACTCTGTGATTGGCGAGAAACCAAAAAAGGAAAAGCTGTCGGTGGCGGCTCGTCGCACAAAAAACCTTCAATTTGATATGTGCAGGACAACCGGACGACCCTCGAGTCGAGGCGCGAAATAGCGGCGACTGTTTGTGAGCCTCACAATAGAAATTGGACGGAAAGGCAGTCTGACCGGCCAATTCATCATCTCAAAACGCTTGGCTTTCACCTAAATACGGTTCATTGTTTTGTTTATGTGCTTAACTGCGTTCTCGACCTTCTTTTCTCAACATTTCCTTTACAAGCGTTTCGAGGCAATATTCAGTATATCTGTAAATGAAATGATTAATGACTAAACTTTAACGCTAAAAAATTGTGTCCCACAAAGAAAGAGCAAATTTTACGTGCGAATTCGAAACCTTGGTTCAAAATGGATTATTTTATTGTCCGAATAATTCCGATTAGTTTCCACTTAGCGTGCAATATTTTGTTTTGTACGCATTGCACATGATTAGATCCCACGCGCAAAATTTTATTTCAGATTTTAATTCTTTAAAAAAAAAAATTAAGAAAGTTCTCTGTTGCAATTTTGATGCCGTGTTCAAAGTAACTTCTGCGAAATTATCTCGGACTATCTAAATTTTAGTTATATTTTTTTTCTTTATCTGTTGGTTGTTTTGAATTTTTGCGGAATCACTTTGAACATGGCATGGCATGCGATCTCAAATCTTAAATTTTCTCTATCGCTCCCATAACTTTTTTTAATTTCGGAAAAACTGCTTTTTACTGAAATGTGAAAATTGATCACAAAAAGTTGCTGTCGTAATAGTTGCAAATAGTTGAAGATTTATTTTTCGAAATTGAATCCAAAAATAGTTCTTATTTTGTTGCTTACAGCATTAATTAGTGTTTATCTGCACTAAGAAACTTATTCTGAAAAAAATAGCCGATTCTTGGACCTGGGTGAATGCTTCAAAAATCTTTTTGTACTAATTTCTGTGCGTTTTGCGTCGAAGTCGATGGATGAAAAATCCTAGAAAAGGGAGATAATCTGAGAAAATAACAACACAATTAAGATATATATCGGCTTTATGTATCGCGTCCCAGAAATAACGTTGTATTTAGGGAATGGTGTTAAATTCTAGTTGAAAAATGTTCGTATTAACGGTTTTTTTTGTGGAAGAAAAACGCTTGCCCCCGTCCTTGCCCATTTTGCGGCAATTATCGAATTTTCTACAAAAGTGGATTGAAAACTATTTCGGCCGAAAAAATTCATTCTTGGTATGTGCTAGGAAGAGCTATAGAAGATAAAAGCTAATCTCAAATATCACTTTTTGCTGTTTGAAAGAAATAATTATTTTTGAACGAACATTTTTTTGGCTAAGATTTCCATAGCCGATATGATCTTTTACTTTTCCAATCTAGATTTAATCACAAAACAAGTAATTCTGCAATTCTCGACCTTATAATTCATCTACACGACTGTAGTAATTAAATGAATTTTCAAATGTTATTACTTTTTTGCCGCGAAATATATGAACCTTTCGTTTGACTTCCGCCGAAAGTGTATTTTTTCAAATCTACTTCTGACTGTCAATGATCTTAATTTTTTCAGATGCCTCAAGAATAACTCGCATACTGCTAGACCACCCAGTCGGCTTCTGCCCAAAAAGGAACCTCCCAGTGAGTTATATGAGAAACGGTCGCTCACCGGCCGCTCACACCGGACCGGCTGTGGCGAGTGTCCACTCGGCGGAATGCAGAGAAACTCGTTTCCCTCCACCGACCCCACCAACCGTCGAAATATCGATTCGAGAGAAAGAACAGCTACTTTTCATTGGTTATGTTCTGTCTTCTTAATCCATGGGTCTTACACTTCTAGTGCCTCTTCTTCCCGCCTTTATTTGCCTTTTTGCTTTCTTTTTCTTTTGCTCCGTCGCAATGGTACTCTTGGTAGTGCATTCTTCTTTGAGTTCGAATTAAGAGCTTTCCTTTTTTAAGGTAGAAAAACTCCCTTTTTGACTTGAAAAAGGCCAAAGGTTATAGAACTGATTTGACTGGGGTCTGGTTTAGCCTAATGATTCATTGATAGGTATAGTTGATCCACGACACTGTCAACATAGATACGAATATAAGTCGAAGCCGAGATTAGCTGGAGTAGAAGAGACATGATATTTTAGGAGAATGCAGCTGAGATGAAGGATTTTCGGTATGGGTTATCAGTGACCTCAAAAAAAGTTTGCTTAAATCAAAATCAATCAACTCTTTTTGCCCAGGTCTGCATTGAAAAGTTGGAATTTTTATTGCTTAAATTCAAAAAAAAGCTCAAATTAAAGGTTAGGCTTGATTTATATTTACTTCATGGAAATTTTTCCAAGTTTCCAATTTATCAGTTTTAAGTAACAGTTTATGTTTTGCTATTTGTAGTTATTAATATTTGTTTTTGATGTTTCAAAATCTTCGAAAGACTCTTTCTTTTTCCGAAAGATTGACGAGACCTAGCTCGCAATTAGATGTTACTCATTGATTGTAACAAAGCGCTTTGATTTCTCTCTTTCTAATTTTCATGCTTGTAAATGATCAAAAATGAATGAAGGAGAAAGAATGTGTACTCCTCGACCTTCTAGTTCATCTACAGGACGGAAGAAGTCGCAACGAAGGAAAAGGCGAACCCAACCCGTGCACAGGCTGTCGGCAAAGCCTTTTCTATTGACCTCCACTGTTTGTATTCCCCTTCACCCTACCATTTCTCCACTGTTTTCTTTAATCTTTCTTTCCTCAACCAAGACCCTCAATATCGCTTCTTCTTCTTCTTCTCCTCTTACGATATTCCCACCCACCAAACTTGGCCATTCCATTACTTGTTCGCATTTTTTGGACTGACTTCTAGGCGAGGTCGTTTGAATGAACGTCTTTTTTGAATTCGGATCGAACAACAGTTCTATTTAATGAGATTCTGCAATTTTCTCAAATAATCTTGCAAAAACTCATGAAATTGAGTTCGTTTAAATTTAATGTTTATTTTTGATATTCTTTCAAAATGTAAAAAGTGAGAAGAAGTTTTGAAAATTTTCAGAGTTAAAAAAAAAATTCTTCTGTACTCAAAGAAGGCGAAACGAGAAAACCATAATTTTTACCGTTCAAATTTTATTGGGATATCTTCGAGCTATTATATTTCATTATTACAAGAAATGCCTCACTGAAAAGACAAATAAGAAAAATGTTCTGAGTACTTCGTGCTAGAGAGGGCTGTAATTCGTCAATAAAATTTTCTAGCTAATCAAAATTTTGAAGTTTTTGAAGTAATTAGATATTTCGTACAATAGTATTTTTGAATTTTGTCCATAAAGAATTTGTAATGGTATGATTTGAAGAATTATTGTTAATGAATAGAAAAATTAAAATGATAACGCTTTTATCTCTTTCTTTTTCTCTCAGTCTCTTTATCCGAAGTTCTAGGTAAATTTTTTGATCTGACAAGTTTGAAAAAGCTGTTTTTTTTTCAAGCAAGGTCTCTGAATCAAAGAGTAGCTGGACAAGAGAAAAAGACGAACTTTTCGAGGTCATTGGATGAGTTCTCATCAGAAGCTCCCCGAGTTTGTTGCTTATAATGCATAGGACCGCCCCTCCTCGTCTTTCCGAGAGGAGGACGCTTGACCAATTCACTTCCTTCACCCTTTCTCACGTAAATACAGTCTCCCTCTTTTCTTGACCTCTTTTCTACTTGTTCTTTTGTTGGACTTTTAGGCTCTTTTGCGCAATTCGGTCGGCCGCAATTTTCATATTAAAATGAAGATCTTGATAGTAAATGCCAGGTGACGACAATTAGAAGACTTTGACAGGTGCATCCAAATCTGGTTTAGTTTTTCAATGGCTCGCAGATTGGCGTAAACTGTTCGATTAGGGGCTCGAAAGCATTAAAAATCTAGGTCTTCAAATGATTTAAATAAAAATATAGGGCATATAACTTTCAGTACTACAGTTCGGTGAATGGATTTTTTTTTCTTAAGTTTATTCAGCATTTTTTTGGAATTCGCTGACCTCAGTTAAATATCTAAAATAAGTCATTATTTGAAAAAAATTGAGGTTTTGATTAACAATACGAAAAAAAGTTTTCTAATATAACAGCCTGAATACTTTTTTTTCTCCTGTAGTTTTATGAACGAACAATTTGCATGTTACTTTTAGAAACAGCTATTTCAACTTAAATATCAACACATATAATTTTTCAGCCATGGTGAATTCATCGAAAAAGGTGATACTTTTTTTTTACCAAACTCTTTCGTTTTTTTTTTTCTTGACCATCCCTTTTTGTTGAAACTTCAAGGTAAAACTATCGGACCATACAGATTTTCACTCCGATAAAGTCTCCTTCTTCGATCTGCTCTCTTATCTGAAACCGTGGCCTTTGTCAGAGGGAAACCTTAGTTTTTTTAAAATTACACTTCACATTTCTAAAACAAAGACTTTTTTAAGTTTTTCAAATTAACTCTAATATCATACTTCCTACCAGTTCTCGATGAGAGAGGAACCCGTATTTTTTGAATTAAATAAAAATGAGACGAGACCTTTATTGTGTAAGCTTTTTTGTGGAACAAGCCCTTCTAGAACTTTTGAGTTGCTTCATTTTCTATTTTGAGTCTTTTTCTCAAAATACTGCGCGAAACTTTCGATTAGATCTACCAATTTCTGACAAATCCGGATCGATACCTCCAGGAGGACGGTTATACTGAGTGTGGAGAGGAGTCCAAACTGTCCTCAGTGACCTATTTCCCCCAGAGCGATCATCGTGCGTCCTTGATCCAATAAGAAGAAAATAGTCCAGCACTGGCAGACACAAAACCTCCCAGCCAAAAGAAATTATAATTACCCTTGATCGCGCTCCCTCAAATACTTCATTTCTGCTTTTCACAATCGCTGCACTCTTTTCGGCTTTCTCTTTTTGATTGAGGAACTTCATTCGGTTATTGATAGGACTAATTGGTTCACAGATCCGTGTACACTATCATCAATTTAACTATTTAAAAAGGGCAATAAGAAACTGAAAAACTTTAACAAATTGGCAACACGTTCAGTTGGGCGTAGGACGTTTTGAAGAATAAAAATCTTGGTGTCTGTCCTGAGATTCAGTAAGCTGAATCCAGACTGAAAAATATTTTTTTAATTTTTTACAAAAAATCTCGAGCCTCTTTTTTTCCCAATATCTTTACTCCTTTCGACCTGATCCTTCATTGATTAAAAGAAAAAGCTACATTTCCACCTTAATCTAAGAAATTTTTCATTTCTTTCACCGTCATTTGTCTTCCAATGAGCGCAACAGCTGGTGGTGGACATTTATAAAAAAAAGTTTCCCCAGCCGTAGCAACCCACCAGCTAAATGTAGCCAAAAACTACGTATGTTTTTTTAAAACAAAAATGCAATAACCTTTGTGACGTATCAATTGGCCTATGTTAATCTTTAACACCTTCTTCTCAAATTTTCAGCTTAATTCTGATTTTTTTTTTCTTTTGTGGATGATAATAAATTCGAAAGTCTCACAAAAAAACTTTTTTGAAAAAAGTGCGCCCGGTCATTACCTCCCTTTTTTTTTATCCCTATGATATTAAGTCTTTTATTTATAGTTCATTTCAAGAAGTACCTCTTTTGTATTTGTTACAAGGTATCTATGTAGAAAAATAGAACTTTTAAGTTTTTCATAACTATGTTGAAATATTTTCTTTAGAACAGGTTTTCAGTGGAATTTGGGCCGTCTGTTGAAATTTATCTATGTTTCAATTAAAAAAATTTTTCTTATGTTCATAATAGACTCAAAAAAACGCTTCTATGCTTTTCTGAAACGCAGGAGGAAAGGTTTCCGACAAGTTATCACTTCAAAATCCACAAATTTTTTTGGCCCTTTACTCTTGAAAATTTACACTAAATATATTTTTCGGCTCGATTTTACTCTTCTGATAGTCCATGTAGCTATTTTGAAAGAACTTTGTATTATTTTCAGAGTGGACTCACTTTTCTGGAAAATTTTCTAATAAATTCAGATTTAAAGTTTGATCTTTTTTTCATATTTGCTGCGGTTCATTGTTTTCAAGTTTGAATCGACCAGCACCGAATTTCTGCGTTTTATTCCTTTGCGTGATTGTTCCTTCCCAGTACAGTTTTTGGTTCGTTTAAAAACTTTCAAAGCTGTTAATTCTGAACTTGTGGTCTGAGTCTCCTCAAAGGTCAATTAATGCAAATGGCTGCTAATCGAATCCTTGGGGCCACTCGTCCAACAATAACCGGCGCCCGTAAATACTCGAAACTGAGCAGTTGTGAGCAGTTTGTTGGACGACGCCATGTGCTCGATTATTCAAATCAACTCTTCCGCTCGCCTCTTCTTTTCCTTGCGCCCAACTCTGCGTACAAAATCAAAACTCTCATCTTTGAGATCCTTTACTCGTTTCGAATTCGGCTGCGGCTTACTAGCAGGGTGATCGATTTATTAGGGATCCGTGGTTTTGAAGGAGCAGAAGAAGAAGAAAGACACGCGCGGAACCATATGAACTCGGCATATGGCCGCCGTCTTCGCTTCTCATCCCACCCTCAACTCGTTACTCCGGTTCCTTCGTTCCTAACTTCTTTCAGTTCATCTTTTTCGACATTTCGATACTATTAGTAATCGAATAAAATCCGCTTTCTTGCTAATCTTTTCGAGTAGTGGAAGCACCATGTTTGGAGAGATGAATTAGCCACCTTATCCGATCAATTGTATTTACAAGTTTTTCGGTTTTTTCTTTGACCTTGATCAAAACAATCAAAGAAGCCAACTGTAAGCTTTTCTCGGGTTTTCATTTTGTAAATTTTGGATTGGTATCTTTAAAAAAATGAACAGTCAGATTTATTTAGTCGTTTTTAATCATGAAATGATAAAAAAATAATAGCTTCCAGCGAAAAATTTCAATTTTTTTCGGCTGTTTTAGTATTAAGAGTTTCAAGGTTTTTATGACTCTCAGAACTGTTTTTCTTTTTCATTATGAACTCATAAGAACTTTCAGCTTCCAGTTTAATTTTCACTTTCTTTTAAAAGAAAAAAGTTATCGAAAAAGATCGTATACTTTCATTCTACATTTTATATTTCTTGAAAAGAAACGTTGAACCGTTTCAAAGCAGCTGGTCCGTTCTGAACAGAAGCGAAAAAAGCTACCTGGGAGGTCTGGCAGACGAACCGTGAGACCTGGCGTTGAGGGCAAGGCCGCGGCCTCGAAACAATGTACTTGGGTTTATACTGCGGACGGATCTGCCTGTATTCACTCTGCATCCCATTTTTATTGCCCACACTCTTTCTCTCTACCTGGAGCACCCAAACAACAACTTCTTCTTGTTCGTTTCCAGTTTTTCACCTACTACGGTCTCACTTTTGTCGGTTAGCCATTTTTTTCAAAATTTTTTGTATATTTACTCTTTTGACACTGATGTGGTCGATTCCCATCATGAAAAGGTTTTTGAGATCGAATCTGCAGATCTCAACTCTACGAAGTGCGTTTATTTGCTTTGAAGCTTTCGTTCAACCCGACCTCCCATAGAAGCTCCTCTCTTTTTAAGAGATTGATTAAATCTCCCTTCTTATCCTTCCCTTTGATCTGTGCAATCTATTGTCTTCGTTGGATGACCTCGGATGCAACTTTTTGTAGCATATCGTCCTTTTCTGAGTTCTAAAGATTCAAATATGAGGTTTTGAAAAAAAGTTTTCAAGTTCCACATCGAGAAAAATCAAAAGTTTGATGATTTAATATTTGAGCAATTATCATTTCTAAACTATTCGCTTCATTCGTTTATGGAAAACGAATTATTCATCAACAGAAAACGTGTTATCATATCATGTTATTTTGAAGAATTCATGTCGAGGTATCAAAAGCTGAGAACTTTGATAATTATTGTCTTCAAGGATATCAAGCACAAATGGATCCAGAGTTGAATCCGATAGAAAGTTTTGTTCCACTCGAGTTTCTTTCGGCTCTACATCACCAAATATGACGCATCAACCCAAAAAAAAAGCAAACCCCAAAGCGAAGGGCATCAGCGTCCACAGAGATGTGGTTTTTTTTTTGCGCGAAAGTCCTACGGTCACCTACAGCAGTGCTTTGCGATGAGAAAAAGCTTAAAAAGAAGAAGACAGATCGATTGTCGAAAACCAACAATAGCCCCAGAGTCAGTACGTGTGTGGGCGTCGGGCCGTACGACCTCGAATTCAGGTCATCAGGCCAAGAGAAACGGCCGCCGGCTGTGACTTCCCAAAAACTCTCGATATCACTTTCACTCACTTTTATTTTCGTATAACTTCTACTTATTCTGAGATCAACAACGATTTTAACCCATTATAGGGAATTTACCTGCGGAAACCGTCTACTCACCTTTTTTCCAAAATAGTTTTTGTTTTCTAAAAAAAAAAAAATGCTTTGTCCAGATTTTTAATTTAAAGTTTTTCATTAATATGATTGCGCTCACCTTCGAAGAGCACGGCCAGCGCTCGAATCGCTAATAGAAAGTTCACATTGTAATCATGGCGGAAATCTTATGAAAATAATGTTGGAAAATTGTGAAAAACGTCAACCTCGACATCAAAACTTTTTTCGCATCAGATTATTTTGAAAAGATAAACTAGAAAACTATCTTTAAAAAAAAGGACCGAGCCTTGCGATGTCCTTTTGAAGACTGCGCTGCTCTTAAGGTCCTGATTCATTCTTGATTCAGGGATGAAAACGGAAGGCTCACAATTTCATCATATCTTAAAAAAACTAAAAAGTGTGTGTAGGGAACGGTGATGAGCGATGATCATCTGCACCTCCAATAACGTTTTTGAGAAAACTTCAGAGAACTTTCAAAAAAGTAAGATCAAAATGACCTCCCATGTGAGATCGAAGTCCATTCATAAACAGTTGTAGTGTGTTGAGGAGCGCGAAAACGAGTAGACGCGAGGTGCGTGGGGCCGGCGATCGATTCGATGACCTTCTTGTACTCGATCCTTCGCCCATTTACCATTCACCTCGCCGACCCTTTGCCTTTACCTCACTTTTTTTTCAACATTTTCCGTATGCTTTTGTTTTTTCTCCGCGATTCTCCAACCTAATCCTCTGGAATGTTTTGGAAATCTTCTGAGCGTACGCTTGTTTTTTTCCTCGGCTTCCACATGACCTTTCGAGTTCACTTCTAAGATGCCCTTTCCTTTTCCCATTCCTCATGGTTTTGCAAATCCTTGCCAATCGATTTTGATGGCAACAGTTGCAGAAGTCGGTGAAGATTTTCTTTTCTTAGGTGGTCCGTTCGAAAATGTTTTTCACGTTTTATCTGGCCTTTTCCAAAAGTACGAGAGACCTATTTACGCATGTTTTTCTCTTTTTTAAGATTCACGAATCTTCAAATTATCTTCAACAAGTTATCTTCGAAGCCCTTTTCACACTTTTGACATTCGAATCGTCTCAAGTTAATTGGGTTGTTTCTTCTCGCATTTCCGGATTTTTTCGATGATTACCCGATTAAAAAATAAGTCTGAAGAAGCTTAAATCTTGTGTCTTAGAAAGCCATGTAGGTTTTTTGAAGGAGTTTGAGGCTCATACAGTGAATTTGAGTTCAGCTCCAGTTGATACTGTAGTCTTGCTTGAACTTCTGAAAAAAGAAGAGAATCGCATTTTTATTCGAAATTTGCGCTCTTGCATACTGTTTGACCGCTCTCACGTACCTCGAAGTTTTATTAGACTCACAAAAATGAAGTAATCCCACGATCAGAAAATTTGAAAAAAAGCAACAAAACGCGGAATTTCCCACGATTCTGCCTTCGAGGCTCGGATGATGGAGGACTGTCGTGCATTAAATATGCTCCCGCGGCTTTTATTCGAGACACACGCTTGGGTGGTGCTCTGATTTGGGCATTCACGTAAATCCATGTCTTCCTTGTCTCTTTCTCTTTGTTTCCGCCGAAGACGATATTGTTCTGAACAATGAGCTTGAATGGAGTCCTCTCAAAAACTGACAAAAAATGATCTATGAAATTTCCCTTCATTCTAAAATACACTATTCAGGCTTTAATATTTTGACATTGAAGTACACTTGTTCGTAGTCATCTATCTAGTCCAATTTTCAAGGGCAACAAGGGGTATTTTTATTGCTCTCTTTGTCATTTCGTTGTCATTTTTTTGATCTTCTAGGCTGCGGTGCTGAAAACCAAACGTTCTTTTCCAAAATTTCTCGGGCATGATATTTCATGAAAGTTCTACCAGTTTTGAAATTTAAATAATGAAAAAAATTATCAAATGCTCATTTTTCTCTTATTAATCATTCTTTTTTGACCCAAAATGGATTAAATTTTGAATTTGACGTCTAGACGCACAAAGTTCTTTTTAAGATGAGCTTATAATCTGCTCCAAACCTTAGGAAGGAGGTCAAAGGGAGTAAAATTTTAGACAACCCTAAAAACGCTATAAGCGGCTTTTATTTCGATACTTCTGTAAAATTTGACTTTGATTTACTAAAAAAAATGCTATTGTTTTTAACAAATTGAATGATTTCTTGCACTTTCTGTTGGCGAAGTCTCCGTTCAAAAGGTATCGGAAACTTTTTCGAAGCGAAAATCCTTATATTCTCGTCCTTCCTCTTGGTTTGTTTCACACATTCATTCCAAAAGTTCTTCCATATTCCGCTTTCATGAACTTATACGAGTCTTATTCGGGTCCGCGCTCGTCTTGCTCTCTATTGGAATATTAAATCGTTTCTTTCTGGTCTTGATTACTGTTGTTCATATTATTAGTGTTGCTAAAGTTTCTTCCAGTCGCTGTTCAAAAACGCTTTGAAAGGGCGAGCAAAACTGGTCCGCAGGAATTTTGCTTCAAGATAAAAGTTTCTTTCACAGTTCGAAAAAAATTTCATGAGCTTGCAGACCTCAACTTTTGGCACTTCTGAGGAATAGTAAGAATTTTTTTTAAATAAGACTATTTCTCTAGGAAAAACGCAAGCTTTCTTTGCCTTGTCATATTTAATCTAAGCATTTGCGGTTAGCCGGAAAAGTTATGAGTGAGTGAGTTGTGGGTTGAATTGGGTTCTGAGTTTTGAGTTATAACGTATTTCACGTCAGAAAGATTTGTGAAACCCGCGTCAAAGTAGCATTCAAAGGGGTCTTCAAGAGCCTCCTCGCCTCTGCATCCGACCTCACATCTCCCTCGGAGTGCTCTCTTCTCCACTCGTTTTATTGTGTCTTTTTCAACCTTGCCCATCAAACCACTCATTAATTTTCCGTGCGGTTTTCTGTGTGTTCGCCTGTGCACCGTAATTTTCTCGCTCATTTTATACCGTAGTCTTTTATTGATCCGGTAATTTCGTTTTATTTTGACCTACATTTCATCTTGACTCGCACAGAACAAATTTCCTGTGTAATATTGACTTTAAAAAAAAATAATATGTGTCGTATCTTTATAGGGTGTAAGATTAACAGTTTGATTAACTTTTATACCTGACTTCAATGAGTCACCTGAATTCATCCTTTTCTGTTACCAACTATTAGTTCGAAAGATAACTTGAATTTCATGTTTTGATCGGATCAAATCGACCATCGCATCGGAATTTATATCATATGACTTGTTTTTTTTCCACTCAGCGTTTGCCTCCACTTCCCGATTTTTTTTCGATACTCTACGCTCATTTATTGTTTAAAAGTTCACTACGTGCCACCATAAAGAATCATTCGAAACTGTTTTTTATTTTTCTTTTCTTGAGACCTGTGGCTCGGAATTTTTTATTCAAATTTCCCTCTTGGATAACTCAATAGAGCACGAGAAACATGTGTCCCACGACACTTGTTTGGCGAAAGCACCTATCGAGAGACCCAACCTAGTGCATTATATTAGAAAATATGATTGGGTTTTCAATCCCATTACCGCGGCTGCCTCGCAACAGCCGGCTTCGCGAGTTCGCCATTTTCTTCCTTCTTTGGCCTAAAACGCAGAAAGTTGCAGGATGAACACGTTGATGCAGATAGGACCGATGGTGATGGTGGAAGGCAACGGCAACCATCAGATGGCCATGCATCACCACTTCCCCCACGCCTCCCAGCAGATGCAGCAACAGCAGCCCCAGCAGCCGCCAATGCCCAACAGCATGAACCGATCCCAGAGGTCAGTTCCTGGACAAAACGGCAGAGGCCAGGCCACCGGCCGCAACCGGTGGGTTTTTCCGTATGGTTGGGCGGTTGGATCTTCTCTGCTTACTCAGTACCTCGTTCAAACAAGAACGAATTTCATTCTTCTGCTTAATTCGCTTTAAACAAGGTGCGCAACATATCATATAAAGAAAAATTAATCAATGAACTTTTATTTTTTCATCAATAAAGGCACGTTCTCGTAGTGGAGGAGAGATTTTATGCTGAACTCCAATTTTTAACACTTATCATGCGAAAATCAGAAAACAAAAAATCAGTCTCGTGAAGATAGTCGAATTGATCTTGTTTGTTTCGAGATATTGTTTGAGTAATGGATTTTAAACTTCTGACCTTTAGTCCATATTAGTAAAATTTAGTGGTGAGTCAGTGGAGAAGGAGGTGGTAGCTCCTCGAAAGCTGTAAATAAATTAAATAACTTTTGGTCGTTTATTATGAATTCTACTCTGATGTGGTTGAGCTAGAATTCATCATTTTGAAAAGTTTTAGAATGATCGGTTACTGTGGTTACTGAAGATTCTAGAAAAAAACATTAGAAACTCTTTTTTTTAAATATTTTTTTCCAAATTTGGCTTAAGAGATATAAAAAGATGAATCTATTTTTCAAACGAACTTTTTTTAATAACGCCACTTTTACCAATACTTCTACCGTTCTTTTTCTCAAAAATGTCATTGCAGATGCGGAGTCTGCCGCGGTTGTCAATGCAAGCCGTGTGGTCAGTGCACCTACTGTCAGGACTCGCCGCAGTTCGGCGGCCCTGGCGTCAAAAAACAGAGTTGCATCGAAAGGAGATGTCTACGGGTGCTCGAAAACCGTCTTCAGGTATCTTTCGTCGAAAAAATTTGGTCATTCAAGAAAACTTTTTCAGCGAGATGCCCCCACTTTTAAAGCCCGCGTCGGATGCAATCAGTGCGAAGATTGCCGTATGGCCGATTGTCAGATTTGCCTAGTTTGTCTGGATAAAAGGTGAGAATTATTTTTGAAGTTCAGTTGAAAATATTTGTGGACCCTGTAAAGTTAAAAAAAAACCGTTTTGTAAAAACAACAGGTCATCTAGAGAAATCGGGAATTCAGAGGATCTGTAACTTGGAACCAATTTGTTTCACATAGATATTTTCCTCCCATCGGAATGTATCCTAAACCAATATCAGTGGGCTGATCAAATCGAACTTTCTTTTCAGACCTGACGGGTCAAAGGTCTTGATAAATTTATAATTTTTCTATGCTTTATAATACTTTTTTTTCAATATTATATCTCCTTTGTGTAAACCTTAATTTAAATTTGAAGGAATTAAAATTTTTGAGATGAAATTCGACTTTAATTTGTGAGCATTATTTCAAACTAGTAATTCTAACGATTTGCAGGTTTTTCGAGAACCGCTACATGCGCGGCGCGATGTGTGCCAAGAAACGGTGCAACAACGCGACGAGCATCGAGCTGCCGGCCCACACGACGCCTCCTGCACACGACTTCCAGCGTCAAGTGCGTTCTGATCCAATCTGCGGCCTAACAAACGACCTTTTTCAGGCCCCCAAACGAAGTTACGAGCAAATGGCGCCGCAGCCTCCAATGCACTTCGAAATGAAGCGACGGCTCGACATGCAGTACATGGGCATGCCGCAGCCGCCTCCGCCGACCCAGCAGCAACAAGTTCCACCACAGTCGCAGCCGACGCCGCAGCAACAGCAGAGACTTCCACCGTCCGCTCCTCAACAGATGACGCCCCAACAATCGCAGCAGCAGCCTCCTCAAGCCCAACAAGTGCCGCCGCCGCAGATGCACCTCCAGGAGATGGGAAACGCTCGGATGATGCTCAACGCTAACTATCCAGGTACGAGTGAAAATTAGACAGACTTCATCTATGTTTTTGAATCACCAACTCATCTTAAGAGCTTAAACGTCTAAATTTGTTTATATTTATCAAGTTTCTTCAGTTATCAGGTTAACTTCAAGCTTTCTTCGTAAGTCTTAAAGCTCATTGGAAATTTCAACTTGCATTTTATGTCATTTTAGAAATTCATTTCTTTCCGAATAGAGCTCATTATCCCCTCGAAAAATTGTTGAGAAAACGAAGCTTTAGTGCCAAACGAGATGAACAACCGAATGGTCTCGCTGATGGGAGCGCAGATGCCGTCGACGGCGATGCCGCAGCCGTGCCAACCGCCGAACCTCGAAATTCCGACCTACCTGTTGCCAGGATTCGCGCCAAGCGGTCCCGACTTCTACTCCACCAAGGCCTATAACCTCGAAGAGTTTGAACACAACGGCGATCCCTTCATTCCTCCGTCCTACGCTCCGGAAATGAAGAACGCCGTCGTCCTGCAACAGCTGTAGGCGTCTGTCAGAACCCCCGAATAGGTACCCTTTCTCTGAGTCTATGAAAATCCAGTCTTAAACACACAGCTTGAAAAAAGGTTTCAGCTCACTAGGAATGCTCCAAAAGATAGAATCCAGCCTCAAAAATTTGAGTCTAGATGCTCAATGGAAATCAATCAGATAAGTATGAGCAAGTTCCCCAGATTGAAAGCATACTTCATTATAATAATAATTTAAAAAAACCATTTTTTTCCTTCAATTTTTTTCCAAACTTTCGGACTGAATTTTCATAAATTCTTATTTACTGATATATTTTTCTATCCGATCTGTGATCTGTGCCGCCAGCGCCCACGCACACTGTGATTTACTCGTCTTTTTTTTTAGCTTTTAAGCATCTTTTAATCTTGTTATCAACATTTGATTGTTATCTCTACTACACGCAATTTCTAAACATTTGGTACGAAGTCTGATCAGGGAAAATAAACATATTTATTGGCTATCGGCGCCTCCAACCACAGTGCAATTCGCTTCCCACTTTCTTTGTCTTTATCCGATCTGAAACGTGTTCTTCTTGGCCCAATCAAAGTGTACACCGGAAAAAATAAATTGGAAATCCTCTCAATTGACCATATATTTATTCATATATCGATTGTTCCCATGTGCCTTTCGTCCCGCTGTGTTAAAGCAAATCATACTTTTCATGTGTTTTTGTCCGCGACACTTGTTCCCAATTAGTAACTTTGTTATTGCCTTTATTCTCAACTCTAACGAAAAAAGATCTGTTTACGCAAAAAAGATAGATTGCGAAAAACCATAGCTTTTGCTCAGATTATAACTTTATGATTTTTTTTACCTTATTATTCTTGTAATATCACTTCCCTCTCACTTCGATTAAAACGGAGGGAAACATCGAGATTTCTTAACTTCGAGGTATTTCTCCTTTCTTTGGTGTTTGTGTACTTTTCCAGTTGCAATATTCGTGATTATCATAAATTAATTATAAATTTCCTTGTACTGATAAAATTGATGCAGGACTGGGCAGATTTGCGGCAATAACCAATGCGAGAGCGAGCGAAAAGGAAATATTCATTAACATTGTTCATTCCGCCGACATGTGGTCGTAAATTTTGCACAACATTCGCGATTCCGATAGAAAAAAGAAGTTTGGACGGATATTCAGACAACAGCTGGAAGGTCCGTTTCTCTTTGAAAGTCCGAGGGCTTTCCAAGAACAGTTCAGTCTAGGGAGCGCTGAGAAATCAATCAATTTTGATTTGAACTAAAGGCGATTTTTTCGCGTTGCAGGAAAGACAACTCGAAGTAAGAAACTTTTGTGGGCTAGAACTGACTTACAATCTATAGAGATTCGATAAGGGTTTGAGTTGGGCACCTTTTTTTCATAAAATGAAAGAGAATCTGCTCAAAACGAGACAGATTTATCAGAAGACGTTGAAAATCAGATGACGAGCTTATGGTATTCTTTCGTGAACTTTTCGAGATGAGCCTCTATATCGGCGGGAAGGACGCCGCGAAATTTGAAGTAGTTCAGGTAGACTTGGTGCACGAAGAGGTATTGATGGTCCGTCTTGAAGTAGAAGCATAAAAATTGATAGAAGAGGGCTCACCTGGACAGAGTTGTTGCGCTGATCGCGGATCTTGAGAAGGATCTTGTCCGTGTCCTCGATATCGACCTGTCTGCTGATCTGGTCCAGCATGTACTCGATCATCACGACGCTGCCGGTCCTGCCGATTCCCGCCGAGCAGTGGACCACCATTGGGTACCTTGAATTCAGATGATGAGCCTCTAGATCAACTCCCAAACATTCGTACAGGGCATTTTTCATTCCCTAACGCCTTTTTTCATTCACTGGAAATGAGTATTCGTCGGTTTACATTTCCTTTCCAAGTCAGGAATTGGTGAGAACATTCCTTCGTTGTAGTGACAGACCAGTCATGCGTTAGTGACATACAATATTTTCATTCGGAAAATACATTTTATTTATCATGTTTTTATAGAGAAACAAACTCAGAAAATATTTCTAACAGCCCTGATACATACAGTCCAGCTATGACTAGATTTTTCAAAACGCCTAATTCATTTTCGCAATGGACTTACTTGGTGCCCCGAGTTTTTTCCAAAAGCTGGATGATGGCAGAATCGGCTGGAGGAACTCCGCGGTCGGGCCAGTCGATCCAATGATAATGGTTGGTCCTCAGAGGCCTTTCTCCGGCTCCCTCTACTATCACAGTTGTCAGTTTGACCTTGGCTTTCACGTCTTCGCCGGTGAATTTCAACTTAAACTTGACATGAATCACCATTCGGAGGTTATTACCATGACCGGAGCATGAGTCATCTTGACGGTGATTTTGTGGCTGCCTTCTTCGAAGGTCAGTGTTTCGTTTCCTTTGCTCGGAAAGTACTCGAAGCACTTGTTGGCTCCCTGAGATAATGGCCACGTTTCGAGCATTTTAGCGTTTCTGGATTGACTTTTTAGAGTCATGGATAAAAAGGGCTGACTGGACCTAAACAGTTTCTTTTAAGGGAAGAATGCCCTTTTTGCTCAATTGATACCGAAACTAATCAAAGCAATGGCTGTCTCTCGCTGGTTCTAGAAAATGAGTCCGAGTCAAAAACTCGAAAAATTTAGAAGATTTGTATTTAGAACTTCTTGTAAAAAATACAAGAACGGCTGACGGTAAAAGCAAGCGATAATGTGGAAACTTCTGACCTTCTCTTTGAGGTTGCACAGCATGAAGATGACTTCGACACGCTCGGTCAGACACATGAACCAGAAGTCGGCACACGTCTTCTCCATTGGAGCCTGCGTGCAGATAAAGCGCTTGGGATTGCTCGGTGTCGAGACGAAGTTGCCGTGGATATACTCGTGGTCCCATGGCGGCATCTGCAGCTTCACCCGCGACGCGTCCAGACAGCCTACGTCCTTGTAGCGATTCTTGCCGAGTTCGTTCGCCGCCTTGAAAGCCTTCATTGCCTCCCAATTGTTCGTCCTGAAAATTATTTTCAAACGGTACGCACTTTAAAAAACCTTTTCATTGCTTGGAACTCCGTTCGCAGTCCATTTGGCGTTTTTTCCAAAGTGCGCTTTATAAACTTGACAATCTGAAACTTTCAATAAAAAAGATTTTTCAAAAAAAAAAGCCTTCGATCTCTCGATTGTTATTTGCTCCGCCTTTTCGTCGAGGCAGGTCTTTCCAGATCCTTTTTCTAACTCTTTGTCGTTGTTTTTCTTTTTCTCTGAAAAAAACATCGATTCATCACAAATAAGACATTCAATATCATCTCGAACTCACTACGTATTTGAATGGAATTCTTGTTGTCCCTATTACTCGCCATTTCACTTGCTCGTAGACCTCAGCAGCGGTCGAAATGAGGAAATAACATTTTTCATTCTGTTTATATGTTCGTGTGTTCACGTTATATATATATATTTTTTTCCAGCGAGATTTTTCGTAAAACTTGGTTTCTAAAGTTTCTAACAAGGGAGAAATAGAAAACGCCGTTTGTAGTGGGCTAAGGAAGCAATTTTACGTTCTTACAAAAAAATTTTTCGAATTTGTAAAGTATATATTTTCATTGATTGAGCCATTTTTAACGCCATTAAAAGAAATAAACTTTAAGTTTAAATTTTGAATGATATAAATATTTTAACCGAAACGAACCGGACTAAAAAAAACAGCGGACTGTATTCTCAGTAAATGTGCCCCAAAAAACTCCCGAGAATTTTAAAATTTAAAATTTTGTTGATTGAGGATTTTGTTCAAGTTTTAGTAAATTGACTATTTCTTCATATTTTTTCTTTCATTGTACATTCACCTTTTTCAGCACAGTTGCTCCTTTTTTGTTTCTGAATCGCGTTGAAAAGAAAAGCGAAAATCTGAGCAAAAAAGTTTCGTTATACAAATATTTTGAAATTATTTCTCGTTTTTTTTTTTCGTTTTTACCGCAGTTAACTATTTTCATTCTTTGAGTTAAGAATGTTGTTGTGAAGTACGACTCTTCGATTTCGGTATGGGAAACACACAAACTAACGTCGTCAGCCCAGTGATCAGCTCTAATGACGCACGGGGATATGGTAAAAACTTTGCCGTTCATTCAATCAGGTTTTTTCAGTGTCTGATGAGGAATTTCGTAGACTTCAACTGGCTTTCCAACGCTTTAAAAACGGATCTATTAACTATGAGGTAATAGAAGGTGATATAAAAATTACTGAACCCAAATTTTGAGGAATTTTGTTATCACGTTCTTGGAGGAGCCAGGATTCCCGACGATAAACGAAGACTTTTGTTTTCCTTCTTTTCGAGAGGGGCTGAAACTATTTCGTTCGATAATCTTCTTTGCTCATTAGTTGGCCTGTGCAGAGTGGAAGAGGTCCAAACGAGTGAGTTCCATCCTAGAACTACGGAAGCGATCGAATGTTGAAGAGTTCATCGAGGAGTACAACGAATTTGCTTCCTGGGGACTGAGACCACCGATGCTCACGATTCCACTCAACGATTCGTACATTTCCTTTTACGAGGTCATGTCCTACGTCACTCATCGTTAGTTCAATCTTTCGTTTTCATTTTTGTTTTGGTTTAAGTGTCCGTTGGGGAAGTTATCGAACTGGAGAAAGTTTTCGCGACAATCAGCGACAGGGTGGTGTGCAAGTTAACCAGAGAAAAATGGGTATCTGCTCTCGGTTCCTGCTTTCCACCTTCATTTACAGATAGGTTTTTAATTACCTCAATTAAGTCGTAGTTTGGAGTTCTTAGACTGTTCAAAGTTTTCGATGAAAATTCTGATGGGATGATTGATTTTCGCGAACTCGTTTGTACTCTGTCGGCGCTCTGCCGCGGACCAGCTCCCGGTAGATTATCACGTGAGCATATTTTCTTTCATATTTAAGGGCCGATAGACCTCTATAGCCAAAAGTTTTATGTGCCAAGGAACTGACGAAGTCGGAGAGACCTTTCAGCTGTTTCTATTGAAATTTCCATTTTTCTGTTTTTTATCTGCCTTTTTCGACCCTTTTGTTGCCTCTCCCTTTTCTCCGCCTATTTTGAGCCCTCGAAGAATGGAAAGCATCGCTAAAGGAAGGTAGTAACTTATGTTTTTTTTTGAACAAGCTTCATCTTTGAACCCGCTTTCGGCACTTTTGACTTTGCCAGTGAGTAGAAACTTTTTTGTTCAAAATGGAGAGAGTTTGAAATCATATTCTTTTTTATGTTCATGAAAGTGTTCAATTATGAAATAAGAAAAGTAAAAAAAAAGAAGTTTTTCAGAAATTGCTCGTCTTTGGGATAAGGATAACGATAAAAAGTTGTCTGATGAAGAACTGCTTGAGATGTACACTGATCTGAATGTGGTGAGTTTTTCTTACCCTCAAAGTTCTACATTGAAGGAAAGCAATCACAGAAGATTTCGACAAAACTGGTTCATACGAAATTCCGAAAGTTTTAACTTGTTTGATTGAAATCGTTCAACAAAAGTTTTCTCAAAAATAAGAACGATTATTGGGAAATATGAAGAAATCAATTGATTGCCGAACATTCAATCTTTTTAAAGCTTCTGTAATACTTTGGTATTGCGAACAATACATCGTCAAAATTCAGCTAATATTTTTTTTTTCAGCCCGAGGTAGACAGAACTGTAGCCAGAAGTATTTCGGAGAACCAGGCTGCTCTTGTCGATTTCGGTCTTTGGGCCGTTGAAAAGGACTACGTGAAAGATTATTATTCGATGGTACAGGAGGTCGGTCACATTTGCCTCGGCCTCCGTCCGGAGAGCTTCAAACTCGAGATGGACGTCGTCAGGTATCATCTCGTAGGAGAAGGGAAAAAAACTGAATTTTCCGCTAGGAAAAAAATTTATTGGCCATTTATAAAAATGAATAACTCGAAGCTTTTCTTAGGTGAACTTTTTTCAGTTCTTTCGAACTCCGAACGGCTAACATGAAGCTGCCGGAGTGCAACATCGTAGCTTCTTCGTGGCATCGCGAGTGGGAAACAGCTCTGAAAAGCGGAAAAACTCCGCCGCCCATTGATAACTCTTCTATCAAAGGACCTCGCGATGATTCTTGGAGCACTAAGGTTCCGAAGAAAACTTGGATGTTTTCTACTCCCTTGTAGGTAGCGTGTATGTCGGCCGAGTCAACCAAGTTGCGGACTGATCTCACCAAAAAAGATTACATCTGCGCTCCAACGCCACTGTGGAGAGCCTGGTTACGGTGGCATGGATCCGCTCTCACGGTAACGCTTTCCTTATCAAACTGTTTTCTTATTCGAAAAATCGTATAACAGTAATAAACCACAATCGTATTTTTCATTTTGTAACCGCGGAAACTATGTCGTTTGAAGGTAGATAGTCAATTCACGCGGAAAACGGCTTGACGGCGAGTATTTCGACGACGGAAAACCCGCCGTCGAACTGTACCCGTTGGAGATTTTGCTCCTTGGACACGACAGAAAACGAAGTCATGACGGACACGAGTCCCCTCGTACCTTGACGCCGTGGGCCTGTGCTCAGGTATCTTCTTTTTCTCTCTCAAGAACTTCATTTGCGAAGAAATTGGTTATTAAAAATGAAAGCGATCCGATATTCAAAGAAAAAATCTTCTGTTTATCATAGACAAACTTTCGAGGCCGCCGAATCCTCTTGCTGTGCCATCCTAAATTAAAGCCAGTACTACCTCCTGTCTTTAAGACTTTTTTATTTTCGTCAGCACCCTCGGGGTGAAACTTGTTTTTATACCTTACTTTTGAAAATATTTTTAAGCCATCCAATCCTCCCGGACTTTCTGAGTTCTTAACTTGTCCATGTGGGCTGTTAACAGATTATTCGGTATTTTTTTCGTTTCAATTTATTCTTAAGCTCATCTGGCCTATCCACAGAGATAAATCCAAAGTTTTCTAACTGAAACTTCAAAGAAAAATCTTTAGTTCTGTTTATTTTTCTATTGGAAATAACGTACTCTACTTTTAATGACAGATATCGAGAAGCACAAAAGTTGAAGAACTTCTGCAGCTATGTAAAAGTGAACTTCGGCTCGGAGAAGGAGACGCGAGGTTCATTCCTATATCATTTTTTCAATTCATTCATGTACTTAGACTCTGGCTTATTTCGAAAGAAAGTGACGACGGAAATCTTCTGTTGGATGACGGCGCTCAGAGATTGTATCAGTTGTTCCCAAATCAGAAAGCTAAGAAAAATGGCAAAATGAAGGTTTTATCTGTTTTAATGGCTCTAGAGCACATTCTCTAATCACAGTTCCTACTGGAAGTGCGAGAGCGCAGTACGGGAGTTTGGCCTGAAGAACTTAGAGCTTCTCTTTCCGGAAAGCAAATCACGGCCGCGTCGGCCCTTTCTACATCGGCTCCTCAGCTTTCGGGTTTCTATTATTCATCTTATTTTCATTGATTAAACGTTTTTCTAAATTAAATAATTGAATAAGGATTATGTATTCATTTAAAATTACGTGTGTTGGCCCTACTTGTTCAGCTTTTTTTGAAATAGTTCTTTAGAAGAAGTTTAAACACAACTAGAGTAAATTAAATTATGAAGAACTGCAAAAACTTCAAGGTGAAAAAAACTTAATAGATGAAGATCTCAAGAACTAAACAGCGAAGAAAGAACAAAAAGTGTAAATTTTATTCTCAGATTGCATTTTTTTGAAATTGAACAGCATCTATTTAAATAAAAGAAAAAAACGAAATACTAAAGGCGGAAATTCATAAGCCTTCTTTATCATTTTTTGTTCATTCAGGACGCCCTGGAGCTGTCGGATTGGTCAACTACGGTAACTTTTGCTACCGTAACGCCGCTGTTCAATGTCTTGCTAGAGTTTCTCCGCTAACACAGTATCTATTGGAAGAAGCTAATCTTGAAACGATAAAGAGGTTTTCTTTTTCCATCAATACTTTCTGATCATAAAACTTCAAGGTCAAATACAAAAAGGAAAGACGCTGTGGACACTTCTGTCGAGTATGCGAAGCTTTTGCGTGAAATGTGGTCAGCCAAGAAGAAAAATATCGCCCCGAACGCTTTCAATGTACTGCGTTTTGACAAGTATTCCTATCGTTGTATAAAAGTTATTTAGGACGTGATTCGCTCAACTGATTACTTTGAGTGCAACGAGCAGCACGACTGTCAAGAATTCGTGTCTTTTCTTTTGGATCAGCTCCACACGTGTATGACCGTGGAACACAGAGCGCAGGACAATGCACTGGTAAGTCGAAATCGAAAACGATTCCGATCGCTTCGTTTAAGGAAAAGCCGGACGCACAAGATGAAGATACCAGAGCCAATCAGGTATCTATTTCCATGAAATTCTTTCTCACTTTTCCTCATTTTTAGTCTTGGAGTACCTACCTGAAACAAAACGAGTCGCTGGTTTCCTCTCTATTTTCGGGTTCTTCCGTTCTTCTTTTTTGCTTTTATTTTCTGTTTTTGAAGGCCTTCTGAAGTCAAGACTTGTCTGCCGCAGCTGTTCCTCTTCGTCTTCGGTCTTCGAAGTTTTCACGTCTTTGAGTCTTCCGATCGGCTTCGAAGATGTCGATCTTTTTCAAGTGATCGGTAGGGTATTTATTGTGGAGAAAGGATATTTCGGTTCAGTTGTTCGTAGAGACGGAAGCGTTCCAAGAAGGTACGGGTTCCGTCTTTCTAGGGATTCCAACATTGGCCACATGAAAGACGCCGTCGCGCATCTGAGTGGAATCGAGAAGGAAAAGCTCACGATTCAGTGCCTAACTAACAAAGGAACATTAATGGTAACTTGGCAGTTTCTTTTTATTTTTCCATTTTTGTGCAGAAGAAATCTTTGGGTGCGGATTCTACAGCGTTTTCGAAAGAAGACGTCCTTCTGAGCAGCTTTCCGTCGGGCGCTCGTTTGTACGCTTTAGAATTGCCCGACGATTCGAGTGAAGGAAACTGGAGGGTCGCCGTCCACCGGAAATTGGTTTTATCGGGCTTTCACGTCGGTTTATAAGATTTCCATTCAGCAATACAACCACGAGCCGCACATTCTGGGATCTACGGCCGGATTCGTCGTCTCGCGCTTCGGCCTTCCTCTTATCGTTGGTTGCGACGGCGAAATCACTGGCAAAAAACTCTACGACGATGTCATGGCACAGGTATCAATACTTTTTGTTTCTTTGATTCCACAACTTGAATATCTTTTGACCTAGTGATCTCACCAATGTCTTGAATCATTGTTTCACTACTTCTTTCTAGACTTTTCCTTTCAGATGTACCGCTTCATGGAGACTGCCGTCAACAGTTTTTCTAGTAGAGCTCATGATCCGTAAGCAACTTTATGGGGCACTGTTCGGTAACCTAGTCTTCGCACAGGTGCGAAGGAAGTTCTTCCGGCTACCCTTTCACTCTTTGCGTCGTCGACGATAACTACGAGTGGTGTGGTCAATGTCCGGCACTGCGATTCTGTCGCGGATGTCCAATCAGACCTGACGAATCGAAGGTTCTGAGTTTCTTAATCCATTTTATTATGACAGATTTTCAGACTTTTATACCGCCTAGCAGTCCGATCGCCGTGGATTGGATTCCTATTGCGTTGTACCTTCGTTATAACCACTCTCAGGAGCAGGTGAGGTAGCACTGCTTCTCCGGAGATTTATTTCGAGATAAGGCATGCGAAGACGACGTTTCCGTCTCGGAGACGTGGTCCCGCCATTTCGCTCCGTCGTCGCTGGAACACTGTCTGGAGAAGTTTTCCTGTCCCGAAACGCTGGACGCAGAAATCGACTGCGAAAAGTGTGCGAAGAAGACAAGGCGCGATAAAGTCATGACCATCTGGCGATTGCCGAAGTACTTGGTTTGTCATCGAACCAAGTACTATGAAGAAAAAAAGAGTCTAGATTATACACCTGAAACGGTTTGAGTTCCTACGCGAGCAAGGCAGAATGGGAAAGTGTAAGCGAGCGGTGAATTTCCCGTTGCGAGACTTTGACCCAACTCCTTTCGTCGACCGACCAGACGGCCACACTTACGAGTGCATTGCTCTCGCTGTAAGATTCCCTTTCATCTGGTTCCGGATCTTCTAACTGTTTCAGAACCATTACGGACAGCTTTCTTCTGGCCATTTCGTCGCCTACGCCAAAAGCAACGAAGACAAGTGGCTGCTCCTCAACGACTGTTCTGTTAGGGTGAACATTACGTTTCGCATTCGAAATATAATCGAAATAATTTGGAGTAAAATATTTTTGTAATCTTCTTATCCGACCCCTGTAACGAAGAAGTTCGACGAGAATTCAGTTGACCATAGAATCCAAAACAAGAACTTTGATTAAGTTTCTAATGAATCTTGAGACTAAAAGGCGTGCTTTGCTTGCTTGTGATTTTCCGCACTGTCTGAATTAGTCAAATTTGTTCATTTTTATTCTTTTTTATACATTTCTTTTCAAGGAAGTCCAAGAAGAAGAGGTCGACCAACAAGGCGCATATCTTCTATTCTACGAACGCAAGGAATAACCTTCTGGTCAGTTTCAACTCATTTTTTTCTTTTTATCTGTGATTTTCTCCCGGTTTCACTTAAAATCTGGTCCTTAGTTTGTCATAACCATTTTCCGAAATGTTCATATTTTCCTGCCGTTGATTCATAACTTAAAATGTTGAATAATGCGAAGCCATATGTCGACCTAGGGAGTTCACGGTTTTTGTGTCGATAATTAATTAAGAATCGATGAGAACTTTTGAATTTTCCCAAGACTTGCGGTAGATTTTTCAATAAGTTTGCTTTATTTATCCCAATATTCACTTCTTGTCTCAGATCTTTTAGCGCATGTTCTTTCAGACGAACTTCTTCCTTCAAAACTTCTAATATGACATAATTAGGCGTTTGCTCATTATCGTGACTACTAATATGTGTATAATGATTATTCACCGGTTTAAGAAAGGAGTTTTTATTCAACGCGAGCTCCTAATTGTCTTTGTAATAAATTATTCTATGATGGACCCGAGTCTTGTCACATTAGTGGTAGGCAATGTGGTTTGGCAATCAATAAAAGCCTAAGAATCGAAAAATTCTCTGATAGTTGCGCTGTTCACCAGCAGTAGTATATTTCGCTGCAATCGACATCCATATCAGGAATTGCAGTACCTAGCCGTTTTTCCAGCTCCGTATGAGCTCTATCCTGAAATTCCGTTTGAAAATTCTCTGCGGAATCTATGCACTCAACCTGGAGAAATTGCAGTCCGTGCAGCGTACATTGACCCGCAATCTCCAGTTTTTTGATGTACGGGTCCTTTTTCTTCTTTACTATTCTTTTCACTATCTTCTTTTTTGGTTTATCGGGGTTTTCATCTTCTTTTTTCTTTTTCACTACTTTCTTCTTTTTCTCAGTCACTGGTGGCTTCTGAAACTTCAGTAGTCAGTTTTAACGTTCTTTTGGAAATGCCAAACCTGATCGGCTGTTTTCTGAAGGCTTCTTACCAAACCGTCCACGGTTTCCACTGTGCAACTGCTAATTCTGAATGTCTCCATTGGGTTGTACGACAGAGGGGAGTATCCGTCGGCGTAGAGTGACCAGTCCCTTTTAAAAATCAAGTTAAGGGAAGGATGTTATTCAATATGAAAAGGAAAACGAAAAAAATACTTGAAAGTTAGGTAGATAATAACTAATATTTTGGAGTTTTTTTTTGTTCAGCGTCGAAAAATTTTTTGATAAATTTCTGTGAGACCAACCTAATTGTAATATTCTTCGCGATAATGTTTTTCTCTCGCATCACAGCGTAGAGAGAGTCCAACCGCAATTGTGGCTGGTAGAAGTCTGTGCAGATAATCTTGATTTTATTCAAAGGCAACGAAGGAAGATAACTCAATTGGTTTAGAATCTGAATTTTTGCAATTTGTAATTCGAAAAAACGCGATTGACTTACCAAATGACTTTTATCGGCGTGAAGTTCGAGGTTGATTTGCGCTTTCGAGTAACGTAGCACAAAAGCCTCGACTATTTTGCCGACGTTTTCGTAGTATCTCGCGTTAACATGCACTTGCAACGTTAATTGGTTCAGCTCCTGGAATATGTCTCAATTTCAGTTTAAGAAGGGGCTTTCATTACGCAAAAAAGAGTTTTCTCAATGCTCAGAAACCGGGACGTGACGTCGTTGTCTGGATGGATTATCAGTAACCAGAGTTCCTCAACGTTGCTGAAATATCTCCGGCTGCTCTCTTTGCTCACTCGCACCTGAAAAACATTGTGCTTCTAAGTATTCGTAGTTTGGGTCGGACCTGTTGGATGTTTGCCAAGAAGTTGATATCTGTCGTCATCCGCATTATAGATAGTCGGGATCGACGAAAAACGCCGGCTAGAAAATCGGTAGAGTCAGCGGGGCACTGGATAGACAGCCGCCGGAACGGAACGCATTGATACGCCGTTGGAGACACCGAGCCCAGCTGAGATCTTCTTTAGTTTGACTTATTCTTTTTTTCATTAGGAAGTTGTAGAGTTTTTTAAGAGAAACACCAAGAAAATGTGGAAAGGTTTGGTTGATTTAAAATAAAAGGAGCTTTTTTTTTACAAGGTTTTGACGATTTTAAGAGAGATTGTAAGTGGTTTCTTCCAAGAATAAAAAAATTTGAAGAAAGTTCAGCATTTCACACTAAAATGACACCCATTGGGAGCAGCTCTGATATTTGCGATTTTTTCCGTTTTGGCTTTCAGATTTATTTTTTTAACGACTTGGATCATCAGATAAAATGATAACCTCCTGTATTTTTGAGTTTTTGGTCGGACGAACCCTTTCGATAGTGATCTCTTGGATTTCGCGTCGGAATTGTGCATGGACAGTGTTCATCCAGCGCTTACAGACACGCTCCATCTTGCACAGCCGCGGGTAGTCGAGGTAGGAGAAGATCTTGCGCAGAACCAGGTCCGGCATGTTCGGCACGATCTTCGGCCGCTCTCTTCTACTTGTCCACATCGCTCGCTGTAGATCACATGTTGAAATATTAAAGGGAGGGCTTTTGGGTCGGAAACATCTATGGTTCAAATAAAAATCGAAGGGAAATTTTGAAGATCTTGAGATTTGAGGTCACCAGAAATGATCATATTTTAGGCGGAAACATTTGAAAAAGACGTCAGAATAAAATGATGGAAGGAAACATTTATAATATTTCCAAATCGAAAACCTTAATTCACTGGTTGTGAAACCCAATCTCAATTCATTCTTTTCAATCTATTGCTACGTATTTTTAATTTGTTGAAATTGAGTTATGAGAATGTTTAAAGAAGAAAAAGATTGCAGAATAGTGGAAAATGAACAGCTGATCTGACATGCAGAGATATTGAGCTTTTTCGAACAGGAGATTTTTCTTCCTCTCTCATAAGATGCGACGCGGCTCTTATTGCAGATTTCGGGTACCTCTGCTGTCAAACAGCACTGTTACGTCAACGGCCCCAATGGTACAACTTTTGGTCTTTTTTTAAGAAAAAAAAAACTCTTCGAAACGTTACGATGATTACAAACAAAGCTGTTCTATGGTACAACTACCCATTGGGTACCGTGTGAGTTACACAATATTCAATTTCTAGATATAGAAATCTTAGTTTCGGTTTCGAATAAGCACTCATTTGATTAAATTCAACTTTCCATTCAACTCAGTTTGCTCTTCATTGGCTCAAGGAATTACTCGAATCCTTTTTAACAAAAATTATAAATTTTTTTCATGCAGCTCCAAATCGAATCGACGAGTTTAGACTTCAAATAATGTTTTTTTTTTCTATTTCTTCAATAAAATTTCCTGTGAATGTTCCTAATCAACTATGTTTACTGAAAATAGCGCTTGAACGCGAGAGAGCCGCTGAGAAAAAAGGGGGCGCAGACAAATAATATTTTTCCCAAGTTTCCCTGAATGAAACGGGTTTTATAAAAAATACGAGCAATTTATTCAAGTATAATATTTTCTAGAGTTCAATTCCGAATTTTGGGACGATTTCACTGAGAAAGGGAATTGAATATAAAGAAATAAGAGAAAAAAGACTTTTTTCTTACAGAACTACAGACAAGTTGTAATTGAGATTTACATTCGAAACGAAAATTTCTGATTTTTTTGTTAGCTAATCGACTGCAATGCAACATGTAGGCTAAATATAAACCAGAAATAATGAGATATGATACACATCAGATCAGACAAACAAAGTGAGCACTTAACGCGAAAATCCGAGGGGCGAAACGAAAGACCCCGAGGCTGTCTCGAGAGGATAAACATAAGTCTGTTTGCCCTGCCAAACTTCTTTTTTGAACCTTTTTTAATTCTCAAGACTTTCCCATCGGTTTATCGCTGTTTGCCTGAACATCTTGAAATTTCATGCCACAAACAATGTTTACATTTCCTCTTGTTTTTAGAGAAACTTTTTGAAAAACATTCGGTCAGCGTGAACAAAAGAATGACTCCAAATTTATTACAGAGTGCGATTTCGTGAAAATACATAAAGAAACGAAAATGAAATGAGTTCTTCACGAGAAACCTCGGTTATTAATTTGAAATCGATGAGAGACTTCAACTGTCTTTACCCGCCCAGACAAGTGTCAGATAAATGGACTGCAAACAAACAACAATTTTAATGAATATCCAAACGAAATTTTGATACATTTTGCTTGATAAGACAGATGAAACATAAAAAAAGGCACAAAATGAACTTTATAGAACAGATATATATTTGTTTTCTCAAAAAAGTAGCCAACAAAAACGGACAAAAATGTCATTTTCAAACAGGATTCAGGGAAAAAAAGCCGAAAAGAGCTACATGAATACTTCACGAACAATAAAAACATGCAATTTTTGTTGTTTTGAACGTTTTTTTTTTTCATTTTTGCTCTCTTTTCAAATAAAAAGGTCTCAAGTTTTTTCTGCGTGAAGCACACATGTCTCCTCATTATTTTTCTTACAAGATCGATGCTCGGCTTTCAGAAAATAACAAAATACAGAAATACAAGTATTCAAAGGATAAAATAAAGATAAAACCATGGCCCGTAGGAAATTTGAGAAATGTTCTGAGCGTTCGACGTTATCGAACACATCGGCCACGCCTAAGCTGGAATCCTGGACAGCAAGCGTTCTCGCAAGGTGCCATCACCGTCTTTTCCCTGAAACGAAGCAGTTGGGCCTGTCCCAGACGCTCGGAACACTTACTGTTTGCATCGGACGCCTCGCAGCAACGACAGGAAGCCTCCACATTGGCCGTCTTCTTCTTTCTTCTGCGCGCACATGCCAGTGCACGCCTGCGTGTTGCACACCTGGGTCTCCATCGGCTCGCCTCTGAAAATGGCACTTTCGAAAAATACTAAGTAGGATGATGTTAACAAGAAAAAATACGAGGCGCTTTAATTCGAGAAGAAAATACCTGGTCCCAACTTTGAACATAAGTTCAAAAGGACCACGTTCAAAACAGTTACGAATGACTCACTAGTCTGACAGGAAAGGGTGGAAAACTTTTTTCCGAAATTTAAAATATGAAGTTTTTTTAAAAATATATTGTGAAGCGATTTTTGTGAAAAAGTTCACAAGTACAAAAAGTTGATAGATTCGTCTTCTGTCATGAAAAATTCAAAGTTTGTTTTCTTTTTTCAAAGAAATTCCTGATCAGTTACAGGTTTTTTTCAGTTGAATTATGTAAAAAAAAAGGCATGCTTCGAAAAAGAGGTTAATGAATTGCCACACATGCTTTTTTTCCTGATCTCATACACCGGACGGTTATTTCGCGTTAAAACTTCACACGTATCAATGTCCTTTTGAAATGAACTCAGTCTAAATTATACTTATGTTCAGATGATTAGAGAGATTATTTTAGTGTTCGAAAAATTTAAAAGCAGAAAAAAATGAGTTGTTCTATTTTTTTATTATATCTTTTGTTAATATTCCGTTGACAAACGACATACGTTTCTTTTCTCTCCCTAAATTTGGTGACCAAACTTCAGATGTTAAAAATTATCAATATTTTGACAACTTAAGAAGAAATCGATGATGTTTTGGCACCTCTTGACCCGTACTGGGTGACCTTAAAATACCGGTTAGTGGAAGTTGATGCGATTTGTTGTTAACACCCACGAAATGAAATGACGGTCCAGATTGTAAACTAAGAAGAAACAATGTGGAATGATCAAAGAGAAAGTTTTTCTTTCGAGAGAAAAAATGATTCGAACAGTAGGAAAGTTTCAATGAAATCACGAAGAATCATAGACTAAAAATGTCAAATATGAGCAATAAAATTTGTAAAATATCAATCCACTTTACATAAATGTAGTTTCGTTCTCTTATGGCCTCAAAATCACAGAAAAAAGATGTGTAGACAAAAAAGATCAGACATGTCAATGATTATTCAGAAAAATCAGGTTCAAAACAAAATTAACAAGCATTTGTAAGTCCAAAGCACCTACATTCTAACCTTATTTCCAATTTTTTTTTTCAGTGAAAGATTAGAAAACTTTACAAAACGACTCTTTTTGCTCATTTTTGTAGAATAACTCCGGTATGGCTTTTATGACCTAGATTATTTGAGAGACCGGTATTTGGAAAAGTGTGTTAATCAACAAAACCGAAGCGTTTTGGAGAGTGGGAAGAAGAGTTAAAGAAATAAAACGAACTGGCATGCACTGGGGTAGGGGCAGACTCTCGTGCGCATTCTGGAGCCACAAGCGCCACAGGAAGCCGTGCAGGCCGACCAAGGACTCCAGGCGTTCCAGGTACCCGCCTCAGGAACTGCGCGAGCCATCGCGTCGAACCCTTTTCCGCCGCGGTAGAAGCTCCGGAAGAGCACGACGAGGTCTGTCGTCGCGGACCGAATCCGCGAATTAGGCGTCCCGTAGCAGCAGTACCTGAGAGGCTTCTCATTGAATACGGAATGAAAACACCTAACATGATCAAATTTTAGAAGTATTCTAGAAAAAAAAAATGAGAAAAAAACTTCTGTTTTTTTGAGTGAACTTTCTCCCAGAGGTTATTTTTACTTTTTGAAAAAAACTGAGCTCGAGAATCCTTTCTTGTTTTCTTTCATTATGAAGTCCAATAAAATGAAGACTTAACTAAGAAGAAAACTGTTGTGAAAATAATGCCTATTTTTTTCAAAAACTTTTCTCATTGATTCCCCGTTCTCTACATTTCATATTTGCCCATGAAGTATTGATTCAAAAAACAAAAAAAACCAAAAACTGGTTAATAATTGAGGTTTCCGAAACACACCTCATTCCAGTATTTGCAAAGTCGGTAGAGTTTCGCACTTCAACGTAGTCCATACAGAGCGAGTGTCTGACCTTGCAGTACATCTCGAACTCGCCGACAAACTGCATTTCAACGATATGGCCAGGAGGAGCCACCAAAAGCCATGAGCACTCTTGTCCTGAAAAAATATAAGTTCCACGAAAATTCTTGAATTAGTTTTCAAAGTTATTTCTAGATTTTTTTTTGCACCAATTACATTCTTATTATAAAATTTTTGACTAAACCGAGAATCGGTTTCAAAAGTTTAACACAACACAACGTTTCTTTATTCGATCTCGAACCTTCTTTGAACTCGCGAGGGTAGCCTGGACTCGTGATTCTGGTGTTGGAAGTGGTGAGGTAAGTCTTGCCGCCGCAGTTGGCGCCGTAGCCAGCCATGACCTGCTCGCAGAGCTGACCCGTGAAGCCGTCTGGACATCGGCATCTGTCGCAGCTGGAACCGACGTCAGGTTGCGACTCAGCCGGAAAGAAGAAAGGCTACCGTCGCGGGTCGGTGTAGCCGCCGCGTTGGCACGGCAGTTTGTTGGGGCAGACGTTGCCGCAGTAGATCTTGTTCATCAGCCGGATGTCGTTGAACGAAAGCTGGTCTCTTTGGCCTGAGAATTGTGTCAACCGAGAGTAAAAGTGATAGAAGGGCCGTCCTCACCGATCGTCTTCTGGTAGTCCGACACGAACGTGCTGATCGTGTAAAGGTCGTCGTAACGAGAGAACGCCTTGCTTCTAAATTCCAGGAAACTCAATTTCTCTGGGGAATGAAATCCCGACGGCATAATAAGATTTAAAAAAAGAATTTCATTCTAGTTTTCTTTAATTGAAAACACTTCTCAAATGGAAGTTTGAAAAATAAATTGAATTTTGAAATTTTGGCTTCTCACAGCTAAGTATGAAATAATACTGAGTTCCCTCTTAGAAAATTGTATGTTAATTTCATGAATTTTTAGACTTCCCCGTTTAACTGTCTGGAAAGAAAAATTGAAAGAATTCATCAAATTAATTTTAATAATATCAATGCTAATGCTCGAGGGATTTTTCTCGTTCCGACTTACCCCTAAAAATCCCAAAGAAGAACATTGTGAAGAACAACTTTAAATTCACAAAAAAAAAAACGAAGATTTGAACGTCAGAGACTGCAAAACGCCAACCTATAATGCATGATCGAGCCGTAGTCGTAGGGGACACCGGCGTTGTCGACGTCATCTGGATCTTCCTTCAGGAACTGCCCTTTGGAATCCTGCGAGCTTCTCGTAGGTTCAGAACAAGATCAAGACGAACCTTGTCGATGTTTTCCCACTGGACGTTGACAAACTGGTCACGGTCCGGCCGCGACTGCTCGTGCCAAAACCCGAGCGCATGAGCGACTTCGTGCGCGATCACCCCTAACTGAGCAACGTTTCGGATCAGCGACAGCCTCGTCTCCTACCCGAATGCATTCTGGTGCCAGCGAGACGAGCTGTTCCTCTCCCAGAGGATGACGTCCAACATTGCTGGCACAGCCGTCGACGTCGGTGAACACTATGCGATTGCCGCTGTTGGCGTTGTCGTCGCGCTCAAAGTTGAGGCACGTGATGTTGTGCCAGTGCTCCAAAGCCAGCTCGATGATCCGCTGCTCCCGCTGAGCTGGAAACTCCTTTTGTGGAGAGAACTCTGTGAGCGACCCACTGTGAGAGCCGTCGAAGGAGTAGATGATTGGTCGGGAGGCATCCCACCGACGGAGCTGAGAACCGATGAACTTTCTTTTGACGCGATGGCCGGACTTGTCTCCGCGCTGTTTCTTCAGGGCGTCTTCGTAGATCTGCTGCGCCTGATCAGGAAACAAAACGATGTCTCCTGGAAAATAGAAATTTAATTTCAAATTTCAACCTGGTGAATTAATGAAGTCTGGAGCCTTGAAGTATTCATTAAATTCCGGAAAAAACTGTCAAGACACTCTAGTCCCTACTTCAGCCGTTCTCGCCATACGGTGAGTAATGTCTCTCAACGCAATGCGTCATTCATTTTCTTGACGAATAATTGAAATAAAATCGCAAAATTTGGAGCCGCCTATAGGAGAAAGCGAAATGAGATCTTAAAAGAAATATATTTCCCATTCCATTTCATAGCTATTCTTTTGAGCCGTTTTTTAACCTTACCGCCTTAATGCAAAAATTTCAATATGTTTTACAGTTTTTTCACCGCATTCTTAGTGAGAAAAAAAAATTCAAAAGATTGAAAAGTTTATAGTTCACCAAATTAAACTTACAATCTGATGAAATATTGATTTCTCAGAAATTTATCAGTAAACTACTGATTCAAAATTGGAAAGTATTCGACTTTCTCGAGAAAATTTTCCGAATCAATTTTTCCTCGTTTTGATTTTTTAAAATTAGCTAGAACGATATTTTCGCTCGAACTTCCTCTGTCACTGTATAGTCTGTTCAGATTTCGAATGTCAAGCAGCTAACTCCACCCCCAAGGCTACAATATCTTTCGCGTCAAAATGTTATCCACAGATGACGATGGCCCTTTAATAACGCTGCATTTTCGACTTCTTTTTTTATCTTTTAGATAAAAAAAGATCAAAATTAGTCCCGCGCGATAAAACATTGACGCGAAAAGGTACCGTCTCAGCCGGGGCGGAGTTAGCTGGTTGACATTCAAAATCTGGACAGACTATAGCCTTTGAAACTCTTTTCGATTGGCCGTTCAACTGACTGAGATTTCTAATGGTTGATCGCATCAACGCGTTCTTTTTTGAATTAAGAGAAATCAGTGGGTCGGAAAACAGATGCAATAGGAAACAGCGACGGTGAGATCGATAAGCCGAGGTTGCAGTCTTTCGATTTCACCTTCGAAATGGCGACCATGCTCTTCGGGATTGAGGACGTCGTCCCTCATGCGACGACGCCATTTCGCAGCTTCGCCGTGCTCCTGCAAATCCAAGTGATCATCTCAGCCGCAATCAATTCTCACGCGGTCTGCACGAATACGAAGAAGACCGAGAAGCGAAACCAGTTTGGCATCGAATTGCTTCGCCCCCATGTCTTCTCTTCTCCCAATAACCCCCCAACGACTCCAAAACAATTGTTACATTTGCTGTTATTAACATCTACTAACTATCAACATGATAATGTTTGGGCTGAATTCTTTATGCGAGTAACAAAAGCCAAATAAAAACGGCAATCAAATCTGACAAACATTTATTAGCTTCAACATCGTTTGAAAAGTTTCTACGTTGAAAAAAGTCTCTTTCTGTAAAGAACTTTTCATCAAGCAGTTTTTTTTCAGTTTAAAAAATTTCATTTGAAAATGTGAGTTTTAATGGAAATATTCTTGTTTTAAGTGATTGCGAGAAATGACTGTGATCGGAAAAAAAATAAATTTCAGAGGCTGAACTTTTACCTGATTTTAATGTCGTCAAAAACGATCTTATTGAGGCTAAGTGCAATTAATTTGATGAAAAAAAAATGATGAATAAAACCAGACGTGAAAAATAAGAATAAATCTCTATTTTTGTTAATTTCAGTATATTTTTCTTTCTGATCAATTGGATTTTTTCATGAAATAACTTATTACATCCTTATTGTTTTTTTTTAAAGGACGACAAGCAATATAAGCTAAATCTCGCTTTTAAAAGTTGAAGAATGTGGAAAGGCTTCGAAACCAGAAAATAGGCCTTTTAATAGTGGCAAAGAAAAATCGAGAAAAAACTACTCAGAGATACTAGTTCTTCTACAACAATCAAACGTTATCCGTTAAAATGTCCGTTTAAGAAGAAAAAAATTTCGAAATCTATTTAAATTCATAAGATAGCTAGCAAAGTTATAAAATCATTGAAAAGAAGGTAGAGAAAATGAAAGACGAACCGATGAGGTTTGATTTTCTTCAGGATGTTTTTTCTCAGCCAACTCGTTAAGCTTCTTCATATAGTAGTTGACGACTGCGCTGTCCTTGTCGGAGAGCATTTGACGACGTCGTCGCGGCGCTGCGGACTTCGACGGCTCATCGGATGCTCCGCCAGGGTCTCGTAGTGAATGTGAATCGATTGCGGTGACAGCAATAAAGAGAAAAATGAACAGGGAACGTAATAAGGACATGTGTGGCGAGCGGTGGACACTGTCAGTTCTTCCTTTCGCCTTCTTCGTAAGCGCCTTCGTCTCGAAGTCCCGCCTACTGCGGCCTCTCCGCCCCGGCTGCGATGTCTGCCGAACGACGCAACCGAGGGCTCGCCATTGTGCAATCACCACAGGAATCCGAGAAAATATTCCCCAAAAAAAGTGATTAAAATTTTCGAGATATAAAAAAAAATCTCATTAGGTCAACGAGCTTCCTTATTTATATTTTGTCGCGGTTACATTAGAACAAAAAAAATCGAAAGCCATTCCCAAGTCAACGTGTTTCAAGTGGTGAAACTTCGTAATTTTAAAATTTGGCCTTCGCTCAGACGAAAAAAAAAAATTATGAGAAATAAAAAAATGCACAATACCGTTCCGCAAACGAATGAAACGTGAGAAATCAGTTTTCATAAATTGAAAAATTTATAAATCTCATTATTAACCTTCTTCATTCAATTACAGAAGGCATAAAATGATACAGTTTCAAACATTTTCCAATAAGAACAGAAGGCTTCCAGACTTTTCAAATCGTAAACCTCAAAACTCAGGCCGCTGACCGATACCATAAAAGTTTAACACCCTTCTTCTCAAATACTAGTCTAGCCGCTGACTCCCGCAACAGCTGTTGTTTTTATGAGATGAGCGAAGGAGGCCTTGGTTTTTTGCTGTTCCCGATTCCTCGGCGGTGCTAATAGGGGTGGCCATGCAGAATAGGCGGAATTACGTCGCGTAACTCTTCAAAAACAAGTTCCATCATTTTTGAGTGCTTCTGGGGTGAGATAATTGACTAAACAAGTCCAAGGTGTCCTAAGGTGAGGCTAATTCTAAAAGAGAAAAAAAAAGAAGATAGAATCAAAGAAGCTTTGAGCTTGGCGAAGGGTGAACCAAAAGAAAAGAACGCTCTCTATTCATCTCCTTCTCAATTATTTAGGAGAAATGTCAATTCTCTCTTTTTGTCGATTTAGAATGTTTGATTGAACCTATGCAACGAAATGACGTGATATCTTATCAGCAAATTCAGGTAGTTGTTATTTATTACACGAAATATTTCAAAAACCAAATTTTCGCAGAAAATCAACAAAGCGAAGAAATGATCAGCATCCGAGAGCAAAATGTATTTTTACAAACGTCATGATTGTCCTTTTAAGTTCATGCGAAACCGGTTGGCGTTGATTAATAAAGATCTTAACGAGACTATTTATAGAACAAAAAGAGAAGACGAAAAAAAAGAGGAGTCGGCAACGTAATATCTGGGAAAGGAAGTGATCATTTCGAGTGTTTTTGGGATTCCCTATGCATATTTGCGCTCTAAGTGGCTCGAAGAGCTCCTTGTCTCAAGAAGATCGAGACTTTCCAGAGAAGTTTAAAAAGTAATCTCATCCAAGTTATCAGACAGTAAAATCGAAAAATAATAGTAAAAAACTTTAATTTCCGAGTTTTGTGAACAAAATTTTGTCGCCCAAAAACTGAAAATGTTCATGAATCAACTGAAATTTTTCAGGATGACTCGAAATATGATTTAGCTCAAACAAATAAGATCAAAGATTAGGCGCCAGATGGACTCGATCAATCTTAAAGTGGACACACTGTGAAAAATACATGAACTGCACAAAAAAAACTCAAACCTTTTCGAAGACTGCGTTTTTTTTAAAAATCAAATCAAAATGTTTTATTTCTCACACACAAGTACTAAAATTCACGAAATAGATATAGGGAGAATTTGGGAACATATGTTTTGCAATGATTTTTGCGACGCCGCTGTCCTCCTCTTGAACTATTTACTTCGTTTATGAGTATGTACAATAAAGGTTGGAGAAGATTATATTTGTGAAAAATATTTGAATATATTTGATAAGATTCAAATATATTTGATAAGAAACAAAACTTTATCCTATTGACTTTTTTTGACCTACCGTAACAATGATCAAATTTGTGCTCTATCGCAATACGAAAAACTACAAAAGGGAAATTTTACAGAATTATATTTTTTTCAACGTTGGTTCATGATTTTTTATTCATTTTCAATATTTCTTTTTTTTTTTGAAAGTCACGTTCAAGAGTGTTATAGTCTGTTCAGTTTTAAATCTCAACTAGATAACTCCGCCCCTGCTGGCACACTCTCTTTCCGCGTCGATGTTTTATCGCGTGAGACGATTTTCGATCTTTTTTGATCAAAAATATAGAAAAATAAGTCAAAAAAATGCAGCAATGTTAAAGGTTCATCGTCTTCTGGAGATGGAACATTGACACGAAAGATATTGTAGCCTTGAACGCGGAGTTAGCTACTTGACTTTCAGAATCTGAACAGACTATAGGAGTTAGGGCAGCCGGTTAAAATCACGCCGTTTGTTTCAGAGCCACAAATTATTTTTTTATCTTACCGTGTTTTGCGATTTTTTCAAGATGTGTTACGCGTGAGAAGATCACGTTTTAAAATAACAGCAGAACAACAGTTACCGTAAGCACAGCCTTTTTTGCACTCTTGCTATACAACTCGTAAAAAATACAGCAAAAACAAAGGCCTTGAAGCGAAATTAGGTCAAATTTTGGTCCACTTTGGTATACAGTCTACTTTTGTAGAAAAAAAAATCTGGCGTGAAATCGCCTATAGAACCAATATGTTAAAGTAGTCAGATTAATCACGCCTCGCGAACTCATGCGCCTATCGAGCTCGATAATTGCATGAGTTTTCACTTTGTGACAAAAAATATCTAAAATACTGTGTTAAGATCATTTTGGACATCCGTTTGTTTTAAAGTTGAAAAAATTAGGTTCAAAGTGTGTTGAACTCCGCAAAAAAAAAAAAATTAAAAAATACACTCTGATTTCTTTAACCTTAGGTTTTGGAGCCTATGATTTTGTACAAGGAAGTAATAAGTTTTTTTAAAATTTAATTTTCATTTTATATTCTTCAGAAGACTTTTCAAGATGGGCGACGACTTCGAAGGTCCTAGGAAAAAACTTCGTATCGAAGTATTTTCTATATTGATGTCTCACCTTTCCGGATTAACATCGAGAAAGCTTTACGGAGCATACATGTAAGGGTCCTTGAGTATTTTAGTTTACTTCATGAAATTTTTAGAAGTGACCTTGATTCTCCTCCAAACTACAAAAAGGCCGGCTTCTCATCTTTTGAGGAGTTTCTCGAGTATTGCTGCCAAGCTCGTCAAATGCGTAGGGCGGTCATAGATGGACAGTGGACGTATTTTGCCGAGTATGATCAATTTTTTAAACAAAGTTGGAATATACTTGTTTGCAGTAGTTAAAATAAGAATGATATAGTAGTCAATACAGAAATATCACGTTTTATTTTCAAAAAAGTCACTTTAATTTGGGTTTTTGAGCTTCTGTTATCATTTCTGTTTTTTTTTTCATCGAATTTCGTTTTAGGATCAATGAAAAATCGGCTGATATCCAGAAGATGATCAGCGGGCAAAAGAAGAATAAGAAGCGCCGGAAGCCAAACTTTTCGACGAGTTTTGTTCATCCCAGCTATACCATGAGATCGAAAACGCCTTTTGTAAGTATCAAAGGCCTACTGAGAATTTTTGTTGTTTATTGAACAGGGTATGGTCTCGTTCAACACTGCTTCTCACAATAGGGTGGGTTATTGCTTTAAAAAAATTGAGACTATTCCCGTTAATCGCAAAATATTTTTTCATTTTTTTTGCTGTATATCGCCCAATCACATTTCAATTTAAGCCAGGTCATGTGTGGAAATATTTGCAGTCATTTCAACCTTCAACTAACTCGCCATATCGGACTCCAAGTCGTAACGTAACTACAGTGAGAACCATTGGAAGGGTCGGTACACCCGATGGAAAGAGTTTGTTTCGGGTGCCGCCTGCCAAAAAACCGAATCTCGAGTCTAATCCCTTCCAAAGAACGGTCCGAAATATCTTCCAGCCATCCGACCCTAATGTATGTTTTGAGCTTTGAAATCAAAAACCAAGAAAAAAATTTTTTGGATTTTGAAAACATCCTTTGTACCAATTAAAAATGACAAAAAGATTTAAAAAAAAAGGGAAAAAAAGATGCGCATAAAAGATGTACAGGGGAAAAAGTATACGCGGTATGAAGCCAGTCCTAACGATTTGACAGGTATTAGGAGATGATGACACATTCACATGTCGAGGTTTATAGAAAGAAATAGAATATGAAAGACGGAACAGAAAATGGTCAGATATAAAAATTTTACAAGTTGGTCACTGCTTCAGAAAAATGGCGAAGGCTAAAATACTTATGTACGATAGAAGATGATAAAATGAAGAAACTGATTTGGAAGTGGAAAAAGTTTTTATCAAATTCAAAGAAATTTTTTTAGTTTGATAGGAAAGAGAAAGATTCGTTACATTATCCCCTAAAGTGAGCGAATCAACCGTGAGGGGGCCAGTTGAATTTGATAAATTTTTGGAAAATATTTGATTTCTCACAGAACATGTATTTTTTCCAGCGGTACTCTACAAAAACGGTCACTTCATCTATGACTGGCCGTCCGAAATTTGCTGAACCTAAAAAAGCGGCGACGCCTAGCATCAGTACTATCACATCAGCTATGTCTATCGCGAACGTATACGATAAGCTCACAGAAATGCTGAAAGACGGTCCTGTTCCGGTAAAAAAATGTTTGCTTGAGGGAAATATCTTTTTCGTTTTGAGTTGGATGAAGTTAGTGACGAGTTCGAGAAGACTTACAACCTCAAGATCGATCCGGTGGGATTGTTTTGCAAGTCGTGGGAGACTCTTATCTCGACCACTTTTAAAGGAAAGCTCGAAGTTTGCAATAATGTAAGATTTTTAACTGGCCAAGATCTTCAATCGTGTGGACTTTCAGAATGCTCAATTGAAAAACTATTCCGGAGCCCCACGCCCTAAATTTCCATCTCATTCAAAAGTTCCATCGCTTAAAAATGAATTGATTGGTTTTTTTTTCTCGGTGCCATGTTCAAAGTAATTCCGCGAAATTTAGAGATAGCTTTCAGAGAGTGAAAAAGATAACTAAATTGCAGAGAGTTTTTTAAATTTCGTGGAAATCACTTTGAACACGGAATAAACTATTAATTCGTTTTCAGATAAGGTCAGCTCTCCAATTACCACCCCAAAGAAAAGCCCCGAAAAACCGCTGCAGAATATTCCGGTAATACTATAGGGTTTATTTTTAATTTCGTCCTTTTTTTTTTAGGTTGAACCGGTTTTCTCTCTTCCTCCGCTCAAACCATCTTCGTTGCAGATTGAAGTAGGAAAAAGCAACGGTATGTTTTTCAATTTTCCAATTTTATGTTTGATCTACTTCATTAAATAGGGTGTGAGGAAAAGCCTACCCTCGTATCTGGATCGAGGCTTCTTGAGTCTGCCACTATTTTTTCAAAGGTTTTTTTTTAAACAGCGAAAGAATATTTTCTGAAAAGTTTCAGACGCCTGCGTTCACAACGTTGAAAAACTCTTTGGTTTTTGCTAAAAGCAGGAACGAGCGACAAAATTTAGCGAACGATCAGAAGGCGCAGGTTCAACTCCGTGAGTTTCAAAAAAATTCAGCAGGGTCTCTTAGAGACCATTCATCCCTGGCTAGAAACAGTTTCCACAAAATCAGTATTTCTCAAAGGAATGTTCCCAAACGGAAAATCTCTTCATGAATTTCCTAATTTTCATGAGTATGCTAATATTTTAAGCTGGAATCGTCATATAAAAATCGAAAGGGAGAAAATTCCGATCATAAATTACTTAGGCATGCGCAGTGTAGTCAAACTAGTACATATTAGACTAACGAGTTGGGAATCCATTGAATATAAGTACAGCCAGTTCTGTTGCAACTTTCCAAATCCCTGCAAACCTTCCTTTTTAGAAAGGCATCTGGAATCTCACAAACAGAACTATGCCAAGGATACTGAGGAGCGTTTGTTTGTGGTAAGTTATTCATAAAACCATTTTTCAAACACGAGAGTATAATAATAAACCGTTGTTACGTTAAAAGCGACTTTTTCATTTCCACGTTTTTTTCAAATAGCTTCTCTGATTTTCCGATTGATTTTTTAAAATTAAATTTGAATGGAAATTGATACATTTTAACTATTTTCTGTCATTATAATCCATCTAGATGAAGTCCACCATCAAAATGAAAAAAAAAACGCGGAATTGGAAAAACGCTCATTTCGTAGAATTGATTGACCTTTAAGATTAATTTTAAAAAAAAAATTGCACAGGTTGATGATGAAAAAGCTAAATCGACATCCCTGCAAGCTGTTTCAGAGTCAGTCACATCGAAGAAGGCTGAAAAAACTTTGGTGACCTTCAAAGGGTTGTTTTGTTCATGCTGGTTTTTTTTTCAGTATGAAAGATTCCACAAAGTTCCGAAGAGCGAAGCTGAAAACCCGACTACGCCTGTTTTCCGACTGCCCCCAATGACCGCGGAATACGCTCCCAGAAAGTCTTCCTCTAATTCTAACTCCCCCATCAGTATGCAATAAAACTATGTTTTTTTTCTTTCAAAGTTCATCTTTCAGCTTCCATCCCGCATAACTACTATAACATTACGGTGAGAGGAACGGAAAATGAAACCAAGTGCATTATGAAGCAAGTCGAGTATGTTGATTTTTTCGTTTGTTTTAATCGATTTCGTTGATTTAGGGAACAAATGGGCAAGTTCTCGATTTTGGAAAAAGAATCCCGCGAAATAAAAAAGCGAACCTCTCCTCATATGTCTGAATCATTGGCGTACGCCATGGATGCGCCTATCGACGAAAGCGATATTTAGAAAGTTTTAATATAACTGTATATGTAATTTCGGTGTTTTAACATAAATCTTCATGTTTTTACTGTTATAAATTTTTACATGATCCAAGAGTAACGAAAAACTCAAGTCCTTGTGAACCCGCCCATATTTGCAATCGCGACGCACACCAGGATTTTTTCCCCTGCATTCGCCATTTGTAAAAGTTTTTTTTTTCTTTTTTTTTTGAATTTTATTCAGGCAAAGGCAGTTATTCAGATGAGTGCGGATGGGGCAGACGGTCCGAAAGGAGTTCCACTAAACGAATTGGGTATTGAACAGCTCAGTCAACTACAGAAAAACATTGAGCAAGAACTAGCATTTTTTCAAGAATCGGCCAATACGCTCAAGGTTTTTTTCTCCAGTTGTGGTCAATCTGGTTTCAATTTTTTTTTTTGCTCAGGTTTTAATGGCACGAAATGACAAGAGTATTTTTGCTTTGGCCGATCTCAAAGTGGCTACGTCGAACCACCAAGCTTTAATTCCTTTATCGGAATCTGTGAGTTTTTTTTCCTACGCTTTTTGAGTAGCATCATATGAATTGAGAAAAAGTTTGAAGGCACTACACAGCTCTGATTTTGAAAAGAAATTGCCTCCTGTGAATTATTTTTTCTTGAAGATGTATGTCCGTGCCGAAATTGCTGATCCCTCGAAACAGCTTGTGGAAATCGGAACGGGTTACTTCGTCGAATTAGATCGGGAAAAGGCAAAGGCTGTTTTTGAAAGGAAGAAAGAGAATATATTCAAACAGGTGAATTCTGATCTCGGCTATTTATGTGAAAGTTTTGATTGTTTAGATGGAGACAGTGGAAAAGATCCTGACAGACAAACGAAGAACACGGGCGATTCTCTCAGAAGCCTTCCAAGCGAAAGTTCAGTCTCAGATCGCCGCCATGGGCCCCAAGTAATCGTTGAACTTTTTATTTTTCTTTTTTTTTCGTTCCATTTTTTTGCCTTTCCCCCCTCAAATTTTTTTTGTCTGTTTCTTTTTTCATTTTCACACGCTTTACCTTATTTGTTCTTGTTGCTTGCTAACTTTTACTCCTTTTTCATAATGAATTTTTATGAATTTTATTCAGTAATAATTTAAATGAAGAGACGTTTTCACCGCGGTTTATTTGGTCGGAACTGTATTTAGTACTGCTTTGAGAAGCTCTCAGATGCGTACGGATCCACTATCTACATGTGAGCTGCAGTTTTTCAAAGAGACGATACAACAAGGACAAGTTTGGTTTTCGAAACACTGGACACCAAGAAGGATTTGATTAAGAGATTAGAAGGACGGGGAAGAGAAGAGTTCCGAGAAGCGAAGCTTGTGGTTGGCGCCGAGTGTGGAACCGCCGTCTGTACCATCGGCGACACTAAGTTTGTCGTTTTTCAAAAATGTTTGGGAATGAAGTTGGGGGAATAAAACCTTATTGGCTTTTACCCTCATACCGTGTTCAAAGTGTTTCCGCGAAATTCAAAATAGACGCCAGAGAGTGATAAAAGATAACAACTTTTGGAGAGTAAGAGGATTTTGTATTTTGCAGAAATTAATTTGAGCACGTTGTTAAAAGTGTCTCAAAAGAGAATCTTCAATATTTTGTTTGTTTGCGCCTTTTAATAGACAAAGTCCACTGGACGGTTCGTTTTCTGTCTTTAAAATATTCTAATCTAATTTTTTAAATCTAGATTAGCTGCAAAAAAAAATTGTTTTTCCTTTTTATTTCTTGCTTAAAATACACGCAAGACGGAGTCAGCAGTTGGTTTACCTTAAAAAATTTATTTCAAGGCTACAAGCGTTTCGAAAATAAAAAAAACGAAACTGGATATGAAAAGTAGATTGACGCTTGGCTCTTTTTGAACCGGGCCTTAGTTAGCGCGCAAAAGAATTTCTTATCTGAGTTAATTTTCTCCATTTTCTCAAAGTAACATATTAGGGAGATGTTGCGCTTGATCTCATGCGTAAACTCTTTTCATTAAATAAACGAGTAAATTGATCTTTAAATGGATACAAATCAAGGGTGATGTGCGCTGTTAGTGCTGAAATTTGCGAGCCGTCGTCGGGAAGACCTCAGAAAGGAGTTATCAACATCGAGGTCGACCTCAGTCCCATGGCCAATCCCGGTTTGAGCTTCCGATTTTCTCTCATTGCGCGAGATTCGCAGCTCACGAGCACGACCGTCTTGGTCAGAAGGGAATGGAGCTGACACGACTCCTCGAACTCGTCATCCGCGACTCCAGATGTGTCGACGTTGAGGTTGGCTGATCAGAAGTCGTCCATTTATTCATTCGATTTCATCTCTTCTTCGATTTTCCAGAGTTTGAAGAACCGAAATAGAATGAGCTAATAGGTCGTTCAAGCGGTACGAGAAATTAAATATTTTCACCATGATATTTTTCAATTAGCAATAGTAAATTGAGTATATGATGTTCTTCCGGAGCTTTACTTATAGCGGTATTTTCCTCTAATAATGGAAAAAAAAACATTTCTCCTTCCGTTCTTAACTCAGTTCTTCCTAGTGGGAGTTAATGTAGAAGAGAGAAAACTATATAAACAAAAAAAAGTAAAATGATTCAATATACTCTCTGGTCTATTTCTCACCTCCTTGAATCATTCTTATTTTACAAATTTTGAAGATTCTCAAAATTTTAGTCACTTTGTATTCGGAACGGAAAAGAAGTTTGGAAGTTGCGAGTGGACGTGCGGATTCTGGACGAAGACGGCTCAGTTCTGGACTGTGCCTGTCTGGCCGCCGTCACCGCCCTCCAGCACTTCAGAAGACCCAACGTCACCCTCGAACCTCACCATACCATCATTGTTGGTTGTCCCTTCGCCATCCTGACATCTTCAATTTTCTCAGCACTCGGAATGGGAAAAGGCGATGGTTCCGCTGAACATCTACCACATGCCGATTTGCGTCACCTTCGGGTTCTTGAGGGATGGGTTTGTCTTTCTTTCTGACGGCCGTTGACCTTTTTCCCGAAGAAACGTCATGCTGGTGGATCCTTCGGACAAAGAGACGCAGTGCGTTTCCGGCTCTCTAGTCATCGCCTGCAACAAAAGAAGGGAGATTTGCGCTCTTCATCAGTCTACCAACTTTGTTCTTACTACAACAATGGTTATTTTCTTTTTTGTTTTTGGAAGAATTGATTTGGTTTTTTTTTAAATGTATCAATTCGAAAGTTCTTTTCGAAGTCTGTCAAAACGGCTGAAGTCATTCAAAGTAGGGTCTTTTTTTAGAGAAAAAAAGCTCTTTAGTCTGCTATTAGGAGAAACAAATATGAAACGAGATGAATACGATGTTTTAAATATGAAAAAGCTCCGAAAGTAGTCTCAAATCGTTCATTTTTTAAACGTGTATAATATTTTTATAGACCTCAAGATCATCTTCTCAAACTGTAGCCAGAATAAAATTTAAAACACTCGATTTTCTGATGATGCTGATTTTCCTAAACGTTTTAAAATTCCAAGAAGTTAGAGAATTTTCGTGTCAAGGAAGATGAGGCGATTTTGTGCAGATGAACCATTGTGTGAAGTTGGCGATGCTGAGAGCAGAGTCGCTGTCGGAACTCGTCCAGGAAATAATACGAAACGATTCGCGACAACGCAGCGCCTACTGCAAACCCGAAGGATTCGCAATATCTATTCCCAAGAAACTCCTTAACTGCGGCAGTCGTCAGCCGCAGATCCTGAATCCGCCGAAGCCGCTGATCGCAGGGCCGGTCGATGACACGGCCGCCCACTCGTCCACTTTCACTGTTGTCTGTTTTCTCTTGCAAATTTCAGAGTGTTTCTCGAGTTTGCAGGAAAATAGCCTGCGAGAAGATGCGGTTAAACTAGAAGAGATCGATGAGGATGACGTCATAGCCACTCAACTGGAAGCAATCCAAAAAAACGTCCAGCAGGTTGAGGTGGACACGAAATCTTCTGCAAAGCCAAACAACAGAAAGGTTTGTCATTCGAATTGCATTACCTGAAATTTTGACGGTGAAATTTTCAGGTAATGAACCTCAAATGATTTTTTTTGACTGTGTAAGAATCATAAAAAGCATATTTTTAAGAGAGAAGTGGAAGAAGTTGACGAACTTCTCGATGGCCTCGATGATCTCGATGAAGGCGATGTAACAACTTTAGAACCTAAAGAAACTTCAGACGATGACGATGGAATGGATTTGTTGAAAGCTAAGAAGAAAAAGATTTGAAAAATTGTTTTTTTTTTTGTTGAACATTTTGTTGTTATTCATCTTTGAACAGAAAAAAAATCTAAAAGTTCATTTGTCAAGTGGCAATGTGGAGGAAATAATACAATGTACAAGAAATATAACATGACTATAACACATGCGATATTGTGCATTCAGATATTATGAAAGCAGAGAAGCTTATTCAAAGGAACGTTTCAGTGAAAATCAACTCGACATGATCGAGATCTGTGACCTTCCGAAAAGAAAGAAGAAAAGATTATTCACAACCAGCTACCCAAATTCTACATATTTTGGCACAGATTCTGAAATATAAGCGATAAATGCTCTGCCTAATCAACAAGAAAGAATAAATAAATAAATAAGCTCTCAAAACAAAAACATGAAATAAGAGTATGAGGAAATGTCAACACGTTGGTATAAGTGGCAGTTTTGTGAGGAAATGCAAGAAAAATAATTAATTTCTACACTACAAGCGATTGGCAAGAAACGACTCAAGTAACCGTAAATCTTTGCTCTCGCCCTTCAGGCAACATGAGGGAAAGCGATTTGGCGTTGATCCAAACGAGCCGAGGCTTGAAAGAACTGCCTCCAGGACTCATGGCGACGGAGACAGTCGGCGCCTGCAGAGTCAGCACCAGCCTCATTTGGTTCTGGCCCATCCCCTGAAATCGGTTCTCCGGTTCGGAAACATATCAATCGTCAGCATTACCAGGAAAGTTTGACTCGTCTGGAAGAACTTGAGCTGACCGTCCTGACTACCGTACGTCGCCAAGTACTTGCCGTCCTCCGAGAACGAAATACACGTCGTTGGTCCTTTATGAGCAGCCAGAGTCTGTAAAAAATGAGATCAAGTTTTACTAGTCATGTGAATTCAGTAATAAGAAATAGTTTTTTTTTTCTCAGAGAGAATAGTTACAGTAATCCGAGGAAATCGAAATTTCCTTATTCTTTTTTTGTTGATTCCAACCTAGAGCCCGGTTCACAAACAAATTAGTTACAAGTTACTAGGTTGACACAAAAATTATGTAACTTTCTCGTCAAAATATATGTAAAAACTAATAGCTGGTCTAGTAAAATTCAAAGAAAAATAAGAGAAGGAACTCACGTGAGTTTTGGCGGCGCGGAGTTCGTGAACAATACAGGTTCCGTTTCGGCCGCCGAAAGCTATTCGGCGCGTTGAAGAGCAATATGCGACCATAGGAAATCTGAGAAACTGTGCAAAAAGTTCACTTCCATGTTCGAATACTTGGTTATCGGCGGGAAGACCTCGGCCAAGGAACGATGCTTGAGCATGGAGACGTCGAGGCAATGGACGAGGACGTCGCCGACCGGCAACATCATTTCGACGACGTCCGAGTACCTCTTCTCACACAATTCCTCGATGATCCGAAGCACCTGGAGAGAGAACGCTGAGACAACGGCTGGAAGAGTGAAAACCTCGTTTCTGGACTTCAGTAAAGGGCTGACGACGGTATGTTGGATGGTCTGGTGTTGTGCTGCGGCATTGTACCTGGCAACCTGAAAGTTTCGGCTTAACCAAGCTTAACTTCAGCTTGAAACCTCCATGCTGAGCGCTGTGAGAAGAGCCGGCGGCCGTGCCAAGGCGATCAGCGATATCGCCTGGCGAGCGGTCCGCGACGCGTCTGCTATCGGTGGTAACGGCGCTCCAGTGATGAAACGACTGAACGATTCATCGAACTTCGAATAAAAAGACGGAACATACGAGCTTTGTTTCTCGATGGTTGAGGCGAGATCCAGAAGTCCCAGCAGAACCTTGGAAATCTCCAAGTGCGGCTCCCAGTGGATGAATCCGCGGCCCAACAAATCGATGGCCGCTCGTCGCAACGGAGAATTCACAGGCAAAAGCACAGACGGCGCCGCCACGAGAAGCTCCAACAAAGAGACGGCCGTCGCTCTTGTCAAATCGGCTCTGGAAAAAAGACAAAACAATAGAGAGTAGGAATAGTCTTCAAAGAAACCTATTGAGTTCGTCCCCGAATTCTGAGCCGATGACGCTGAGCAAGATAATGGCGGTCGCTTGATTCCTTCGGACTTGCTGAACTCCTGATTCTCCGTCTTCTGTCGTCGGCGGCTCTGAAATGTCGCTTTCCGTGATTTCCAGCAAAGTTTGTTCGAAAAGCTCTTAGCGGTTAAAAAAATTACTTTTTGAGAAACAACTTTAAATTTTTGGTTCATTTTTCCTGCTATATTCGGACTTTCGTGGTAACTAGCTGAAATAGTCTTACACAGAAAAGTTTTGCTAATAACTTTATAAATGACTTTTCTGTTAGAGCTACCTCTGCATGAGTTAGCGATTTTCAACTACTTTCAGCTATTCTTTCGAGAAAACTCTAAACCTGCAACGATAACAGGCGAGACGCTTGGAGGAGACGACCTCTGACGAGGTGGAATAGGCGGAGCTGAGGGCGGAAGCGCAGGAATCGAAGATTGCAGCTTCGATCCGAAGATGGACAGAGAGTCGTCCAAAAGCGGCGGCAGGAAAGGAGCCCATGACTCGATGAGGCGACGTCTTCCGTCAGACCCCAGCCTTCCCAGCTCCCTGATGAGCAACGCCTGAGCAGCTTCTCGGATTTCCAAACAAGCGTCCTGCCATCTGAATTTCTTTTTCGTACAAGGAAGCTCATCGGAAGTCAGTACCGCCTCGCTAACAACTCGATCCGTGGCGCAGAGTAGCTGCTCCGTGGCCGAACGTGGTCGGGGAGGAGGACGCAGTGAAGCGCCGCGAGTAAGCTCCAACCTTGAAATCTTCGCAAGATCTTCGAAATCAAGAGAATAATATAAAACGATGAGAAAAAACTTTTTGAAAGTCAATGAAAGCTGCTGAATGATTCTTTGAAACGCTATTCTTTCCCATTACTAGCTCTGAATATCAAAAAATAACGACTTGATTGTGAGTCTTTTAGTAATTTTTTTATTTTTACTCAGGTTTACAAAAAAAATGATAAAAGAGGGCATGAATTGCGAAAGGATAGAAAATAAATAAATGAATTTTAATACGGAATACCACTCACCTTGCTTTATTTGTTGTTTCTCCACGGACAGCAAATCTTTAGACATATCGCGGATGAAAGCAGGCGGATTCGGCGCAGCGACGCTTTTTCTCGAACGACTAGAAGTTCAATTTTCTTCATTCTTTTTTTAAAAATTAGTCTGCAAACTTGATCTGAACGACGGCGTTCTTCATGGCCATCAGTGTGTTCGCTGTAGAGATTATTCCGAGCAGATGAATCGTCGTCAAAGAATGACTAGTCTGCCACCGGATTTCCCTGGAGAAAACGTCGAAGTTGGACGAAAGTCGGGAGGGAAGGACAACGGATAACTGGCCTGAACAGAAAAGACAATTACGCATGACTATTCCTTATAAAACCATGTCGCGAGATGTTGCCGAAGTAAATTTCACTCCGAGGCTTGTGTAACGAAAGCTTTTTCTGGCAGACTTCGTCTAAATCAGAATCGAGGTTCCAGGCGTGGAGAAGAGACAACATAAGTCGAGACACGTCCAAGTAGAGATTCGCTTCGAATTGCCACGTCAAACGTCTGGAAATGAAGTCATTTTCGAACTCAGTGGTAGGAGATACCGCGAAAGTCCAGCAATGGAGTTCGCATCATTGACGTCAGCCTTGTTCATAACTTGCGACAGAGTTCTTCCGTCGGCTGCGTCTGCCGCTTCTTCCGACGCGTCGATGTTCAGAATCCCAGCGATCAAGCAGCCCACCTGCCACATAGCTAATCATACGAGATTATATGATAGAATAGCGCGAAAAAATTGGTCCCATTCACACGAACATTTTGCCTACGCATTTGATTTTCTATGAAAAATATTTTTTGCTGATCAAAATAAATTTCGTTTCAATTTCAAGCCATACCAACCTCGAACTGAACGAGATGAGCGCCGTGGTCGCAGCCAGGGAGCGGGGAGATCACCATCGGCGAGCCGAGCTGCATGGCGGTCCCAGTGGGGGTCGGTTCAACGTTGGCTGGAAGAAGGAGTTGCTCAGAAGAAATGTTCGGGAGAGTCACTTGTTGGAGTCGGCGGCGTGTTGCTGACGCCGACGACGCGTTGTTTGACGGCGTCGATGTTCTTGTGTTTAATGGCGCGGATGAGCTGGACGGCGTTGTTGGCCGAAGTCTCGTCGGTGCCTTCTTCTCTGCCGATTTGCTCGTCACACGCCGCCATCACGTCTTCCGCCACCAATCCACTCACTATCCGATCGATATTCGCTGAAAAATCGTGTTCAATGGAGCAAAATTTGAATAGAGCAAGACCTTTTTAGCTTCGATATAAAGCTTTCCTATCATAAGATTTCTCCAAAAAAAAAACTTCAGATCGAATTCTCGTGGCAATTTAGGTCTAGAATACCTGTTTCCATCTGCCAAACGTATACGCTGCCATTGTCGAGCCGAACCAGCATAAAATCGTCGAGAGGGCGCCATTTCACCTGCAAAAAACTTTTTATCGAATAAATACACGAGATGAGAAGACTTTGATAAAAAATGATAAATGTTGAAAAAAGATATTTAAAATATCTTCGATTTCACATAGGTGAACTTCTAGACAGGCCTGAAATCTCTCAAATCGAGATGAAATTTCGTTAGGACTATTTTTTTCTGCGCTATTCAACATCATTTGATTTAGCGTGAACTATTAGAGAAAATTTGGTTTATTAAGAACCTCTTTGACCGGGTGAGGATGTCGCGACGCCAGAAGGACACATTTGTTCTCGCGAACATTCAGCAGAGAAACACTGTGGTCTTCGGCGATCGCACAAACACACTTGCTCATTTGTTTCTGAAGGCAGTCGACTGCACAATGAGCCTTTAAGAGAATTTACGCTGCAATTGGGGGGCGGAGTGACGAATCTGATGACGGGACCGCTGTGGACCACGAAACGGTAGAGTTTGGCCGCCGTGTTGACGTTCCAGATGATGGCCGAGAAATCGTCGCTTCCCGACAAGAATAGTTGGGGATCGAAACGCGTGTCTTTCTCGTAAGGGTAGAACATCGTTCTGGAATAAAGTCCATGATGCATCCGAAACCTCGAAAAAAGCTTAATTTATTTTTCTCGCCGTTTACTTCCATGGTAATTCAAGATGTCTTTTCGAAAAAAGAATTCGAATAATGAAAAAAAAACCTGACGTCATCACTTTCACACGACTTTGCTTACAAAGAGGCTGAAAGAAGCGTCTTAATAAGAAAAGCAGTAGAAAACATGTACATTCGCCACTGACCTGACGGCGGATCGGTGGCCAATCAGCTTTCTGGAGGTGGGCCTTTCCGGCGGAACGTGGAGCCATTGTCGAGAAAGGGTCTCGCAGGCATAGGTCATGACTATCACGCCGTCGTTCCTCCCCAGGAACAGCTTTCCTTGACTGGCAACGAACAAGGAACATCGCACGTTCCCCGAATTCTGAAACCCCTTTCAAAAACCATATGAAAATTCGAAAAAACTTCTTTTTCTTTTGATTTTTAACTCTGTCATTAAGAGATTGAATTCACTTTCTAGCCGCTGGATGAGCAGTGGAAAAACGATGAACGCTTAAGCATAAATCCTACAAAAAACTAAAAACTGTCGGCTTTTTAATCGTGTAAAGATTGAACAACTCCAATGGCTGAGACTCACGAGAACTGGCATTCGGCCTTCTTCGTTATTGTGGATGTTCTCCCAGATGGACGACAGACTCTCCACATGAGTTCCTTTGAATCCTTCAAATTTAAAAGAGTTGGGATGGAAATGTTCTTGGCTTCATACGAAAAGGAAGACTGGCGGTTGAAGTGATCCGTTTCATGAAATCTTTGTCGAAAGAAGGCATTCGCCAAACGAGCGCCTGTCCTGTGTTTCGCGAAGTTTTGCACAGGAGTATGTCCTGTTTGTTTGTTCCAGGCGTTGTCGTGATCAAACAGGCGAATCGCACGTCATTCACCCACTAAAGAAAATTTATCTCTTGTGCTCGTGATTCATAGAAATATTCCGATTTCAGTTTAAGAAAAACTATCTTCAGCTGCCGCCCAAATCCTTTGAAAAAGTTGAATAGATCAAAGAACAAACCGCAAAACTTGGGTTACTCATTCCCTCAAGTACGGCGACCACGAAAGGAATTTGGATACCGAAATAATCGACAGGAATGCTTCCATTGAAGTATCTCGACAGTTGCTCTCCGCGCAAAGAACTGAACTCTCTTCAAGTTTCGAAATTTCGAAAGATTCTCGAACCTTATTGGGAGTTGGAATATTTTCACCGAATGGTCCAAGTAACAAATGGCGACCTTGTCGACTCCTATTATGTAGCCGGCGACTGCGCGAACCGTATTTTCGGCAGAAGCGACCGTGGACAAATCGTCCATGTCTACCACCTGACATAGATATGATCATCTAGATAAAGCTTGTTCAAAGAACCTGCCAAGATTTTGACGCAACAATCAGAAAAATCTTTTCGTTGGCTGTGTTGAAAGCGATGTCGCAGACATGCTGCATGTCAAGACGCTTCGATTCATCTTCGTAAAGCGCGTTGGCCATGTCCTCAACTCTATCTCGTTTTTCGTTGTTGTATTACAGAACTGACACCTTCTTTTCGAGACCAACCAAGGTCCACAATTTGACCATGCCGCTCATCGTGACTCCAATGCACTGGTCTGCTTTCAAATCTCGCTGAACAATCACGTAACTACACACCCAATCTGGTTCCACTCTAAATTGTTTAGTCATGGATCAATTTCAAAACTTTGGAACCTCGAACTAATGTGATAAACTATTGTGAGGTCCTGAGGGTCCATCACGATGAAGTCGCAATAATCGCCCGTACAAAACAACCTTGTCGCGCGAGTATGACGAGAAGTTTTGTATGTCTGGAAGCGAAATATTGAGATCTTGGAAAAAAAAAAATTAAGATTCACATATGGCTGAATATGGCGATGAACGTGAATTGTCTGTACAAAGTCGATGCAACGACCGTCTTGAATTTCCCAAAGACACACCCGACCATCAGAAGACGTTGACACAAAGCGTCTACAGCATTATTTGAACCGGAAATTACACGAAAAGATCAACTCACGAAGTTGCTATCAAATTTGTGGTTTGGGAGATAGCTGTTATTGGAAAAGAGTGTCCTATCATGAGCTGACGAGGAGTCAAGCCATCTTCCGCACATTTCCAAACAATGAGATGTCCATTTTCAGCGCCTTTAACACTTGTATGAATGTTTTATTAGTAGTCCAAAAAAATATTCCAAACTTCAAAAATACATGTTCGTAAAAAAACTTTTTTTCAATTAATGATAATTATAATTTCAAAAACGAAAGTTTGAGATAGGCACCTAATATGTACAACTTCTAAACTGACCGGTAATAATGGTATTTCCGTCGGGAAACATCCTGATTGCACAAATTCTATTTTCCGGCGGTTTTTGGACCCCAAATAACGATTGGAACCACCAAGCTTGACGGATTTGTGGGAGGTGGCTCACCCATCACAGTCATCGTTCTAAAAAAAATTTTAATACAAAGAAATTTAGAGACGAAAGAAAAATACATAAATTTAATATATTTTTGTTGGTGTTTTTTTATTAATAAACAAACACCAACAAAAAAAGATTTCAATTCTCGTAAATACTGCTCTAACAAAAAGAGTTTTGCAACGAGGAGTGCTAGCTGGATTCGCAGAGGCTGTGCCTTTAAGATTTTATCGTTCAGTTGTTTATTTTTTTCAACTAACATTTTTTTTCATAATGTTTTAAATTATAATATCTATTTTCTATTCACACGATTCTGATTATATGAATTTTGGTAATGTTTTTGTAAAAATTTTACTTTTTGCTAAATATCTATATTAACAATGTGTGGTTTTTTTCACACTTTTCATACATACCACTTGTTCATAATTAATAATTGTCATAAATAATTTCCGCAATTTCATCTCTTGCTTCTCAAATTCCTTGACACGAATTTTTTGTATAATTTTACTGAGTACTTTTCAAAGTCTACTCTCTGATGATTAATTTTGTGCTTTTGCTCGGTTTTTGACCGACTTTTTCCAATTACTGGAAGTTAAACATAATTTCATAACCAACCATTTTTCATTGGAGCTCTCTATTTTGATTCCTGATCGGTTTGCTCGAATTCGAAGAAAAAAATTAGATAATTAAGTTCTTGTTCATCGTTTTTTTGAAATTTTAAGAAATTTCAAAAAAACTTTTTAAACTTTTTTTCAACAATTTTATTAATTAACTATAAATGTTTGTCTTTGTTTTGAAACTCTTCTCAAACGCGTGTTTAGGCTTTGCTTCAAACCATGGTCATTTCAAAAGATGTGCATCTTCCTTCGGAAAGTGATCTGACGGTGGATCAGGAAATAACGCTATCGACACCTTGGCTGAAGGCGGTGGCGCCGTACATGGCTAAGCATTGCGAAAAAGAAGCCAATGTGAGTTTTTTCCTAGTTTTTTAAATTTATTGATATTGCTAAAAATTTTCTTTGAAATGATGGTATATAACAATATATAAATAAGTTAGAGATGACGCTTTCAGAAACTCTTGTTGACATAGTTCACCGTAACTAAATACTGAAAAATGATTAGTTGTTGTGTTTCATCTCTTTAACGAATCCATGAGAGTATTTTTAGAAGTTGCAAAAATAATATTCTATTGTTGCTGAGAAATGCTAACTTGTTATGTTTCATCTCTTTTATGTCGTAATTTTGTTTGCAACTTTCATAACTTTAGCTTTTGTTCAAGATTTATCAACTCTTCAAAGGAGGAAACACCATCAAAAAAAACTTTTCGTCTGGTCAATCTGATATATTTTCATACTCTCATTGTCACCGACCTCCTTTTGAAAAATAAAAATATTATCTAAAAACTGTTTTTAGAATTTCCGATAGTTTTCCGACGCTAAGTGAGTATATGATTCTTATCTTATCTGCGTGTTTTTTTCTCTGTCAAAATAAGCTCACTTCAAATATTTATTCGGTTAGGGGTGGTTCTGCTGAGACCTTTTTCCTTGGTTTAGGAGTTCATGCTGCGCCGCAAAGAGCTGGAAGACCCTAGGGCGACTTTGAAAGAAGGAGCCGCTCTGACCAACTGCGGCGTCAAGTTTTTGCAGTCGTTGAAGCGCTCTTGCTTGGCTGAGACGGAGCGATTGGCCAATTGTGTCGACCAGAGCAGCGCCAAGCTCTACCTCAGCAAGTAGGATTCGTTTTTTTTTTCCAGCTTTTTTTTTCTCAGTGTGTATGAGTATAATGGGAAAAATTTCGATTTCATGAAATATTAATATTATTCAAAATCATTCTAGATCAGTTTAAAAGCTAATTTATTTATTCATGGGTCAAGAAGTTAGTTCATCATCTGAAAATCTTCAGTTCGAAGTTCGAAGATGATGACGGAATACTTTTTTCAGACCATTAGGAGAAAATATTTTACTTTTTTTTAAGAGAAAATATTTCATTTTTTCGAATAAAGTATGAAAAAGATGAGTGTTAGAATTTAATTTTTAAAAGGGCTCCTATCTTCATTCTCTTCATAAAATGCTGTGAAATAGGGTAGAAAACAAAATTTATAAAGTTGCTTATTTATTTTTTTTAGATATTGATTTGAAAAAAATATTCAAGAAACAGTATGAGATTCCCAGGAGAAGCGTTTCATAAAGTTTTTTTGTTGAATGTTTGGAAAATATTGAATATCAAGGACACGTTCGGAAACCTCGAAAGAAAGATATGAAGGAAACAGTTTTTTTTGAAACTCAGAACTGTAGTTCTAGAATCTTATGATCGCGTTTTGGTCAAACATGGCTTGCTCGGTCAAAAGGAAACTTTTTTTTTTGAACTTTTCTTACGTTTTCATGCATGCTTCGTTTCTCAGTGGAGCATGACAATCAAAATATCGCCTTGAATCTGTGTGTTTCAGATGCCACGATGACCAGAAACAGCTGGATGCTTGTGTTGAGACGAACCTCCACGTGACGAGACCCAAACTGGGATATTTCAGTTTGCCGCATGTTCATAACAGTGCAGCACCACCTCCACGTGATTGAAATACGATTTATCCAGTGATAATTTCGTTTTTCAGCCTTGCCGATCCGCGATTACAAAGCGGAAGCCGCAAAGGTGCTCGCCGAGCTGCCTGATGATTACCATTTGCGCAAAGACTACCGCAAGTACAACGACTGGAGATACAACTTTGCCGAGAGCTAATCTCACATAGACTGTACAATTTTGTGTGTTTTCTTCAATCTTTATAGGAAGTCGTTTGAATTATTGGTGGAAAGAAGACAATATTGGTTTGTTTTCTATTTCCGCACCTCAAATTTTTATTTCAGTCAACTATTTTCCTAATTATTCTTTGAGTTTTTGTTTAGGACAAATAGTTGTTTCATCTTCTTCTGTTAAATGCGTGGTATCGAATAAATTTAGTGACATTTTCTTCCGCAGAATAGTTATGATGAACTGGCTGTGATCCGTCGAGTGTTTGTATTCCTTGATTTGGATGCTCTGTGATGTTTTTGTGTCTAGAAGCAGATGCGATGGACGCCGTGCTGGGCGCATGGAGAGATGTCGATTGGGATGCCCTTCAGGTTGTAAGGACTTCTGTAGTTGTTCACATCGTGTTGTACAGACCCGCGTCGAGGCTGAAATAGCCGCCATCGACCTGCGGCAGAACGACGCCGACGAACGGAGGGCGAGGCTAGTCGAGGAGAGCAATTCTTACCGCGAGACGACTGACAAGGTTCGTGGCACGCCTTGGCTTTGTGCATGTGAAACTGCAAATTCCTCTTGTTGTTTTGATCTTTGCGTGACTTCGGAGAAATAATTCTTTCGCATGCTCCCTACAAAGCAGTTCATTTAATCAAAACGCTTCATTCAACTCTCAAAACGTGTAGTTTGAAGAAAAAGGCTGGAGAAAAATGGAGCACAAAATCTGTGGTGACTGGCTTTCCAATAACGAAAATGATGAGGGACCTGTATTTGTTAGATTCGTGTTTTGAACTTTTACCTTCAGCCTCATCACGATGATAAGTTTATTTTCTTGACAATGGAATTTAAAAGTTTCCACTTTATTGTGAATAATTAGGTGAGAATTCAATCATAAAAAGTTGTTTTTATTAGTTTTGATTTGTGAGCGCGGAAAAGGATGTAATTAGGTCGAAAGCTCAGATGAGATCATACAATTCCTTTAAGTCACCTCTATCTAGGAGAGTCAAGCTTTCGCTTTTATTCTCACTAAATCCAAGCAGAAGATCCTGATTTATGAGAAAATGAAGTCTAGAGAAGAAGAAGGACTATATTTCACTTTAAATTATTATTTTTCCTCGGAGCTACTAAATATTTTCTTTTCGGGCAAATTTTTTTGCAGACATAATTTCTGAAACAGGTTAATTTATTTTAAGATATTGCTTTTTTTCTACCTAATAATTACTTTGACTTCGAAAATGGCGAATTTCTTTTGAATGTCTCCATGGAGGATCATCGCATATCCTCCTTTCCTCTTCGCTCTCGACTGCATTGGGAAGCCCCGACGGAAGAATGTTTGCCACGGAAAGGCGCGTCTCTGTATAAGGACATAGAAAAGAAAGCCAGCCAGCTGCTCGCTTAATTGCGATGGGCCGACGTCTGGCAGTGGGGATCGGTCGATTGATTCTGTCCTGAAACATCTGTCAGGCCACCGTGAACGCTCTAAGAATGGATCGTCTCTCACCGTCTTCTTCCCATCATTTTATGATTATTATATTACTTCTGAAATGTAATCCACCCAAACCATGAAAAAGGAAACAAAGAAATTGAATCAAGTATTCAAAAAATAAATAAAGAAAATAAAGTCATTAGTGTTACATCTAGTTTCATTATTTCATAAAGAGAGCTGCTATCGTGGCTCATCTTTCACATAAACTATATGAAGAAGATAATATATTTGTGGGTCGAGGCACTGACAAAGACGTTTCGAGAAGGCCGCCTTTATCTGGAAACTCCAGAACTTCTTTGGAGTTTCCCGGCAAAATTTCGAAATCATCTTGAGTCAAGCTTTTTTCAAAAAAAAAAAAAGAGCTTAAAGGCATAGGGGCAGTAAAAAATGGGGTTTCAGGTGAAAGCAACATCTTATATAGTTTTTTATTGCGAATCGAATGGTGTACTCAAAAAAATTACAGATGTGACAACTTTAGAAGAAAAACGCGATTTCACTTTCCCGCCTTTAATTTTGAAAAAAGCTTTGGATCGGTATGCAGACAACTGTTTACAGTAGCCGTGCACGAGATGTTGCGGACGTCTTATTAGACTCGCATTTTGTATGAAATAATCGGCTATCTGCTTCAAATTAAGGGTTTCTTCTCTGAAAAATTGATTAAGAAAACGGAAAACACACAGTGATAATAAAGAAAACACAAATAATCGCTATCCCAATCGAAACCTGTGTAAAATCATCATTTTTCACCAGAAAAGCTTTTTTGCGATCAAAGTTTGCAAATTATACATGAATCGAAGGCTTTGGTGACGAAAAAAACTCTGGGGACAACAGAAAAAATTGAAAATTAAAAGAAACGAAGAAAAAAGCGAAAATCCGGAAGATGGCGAACCCTGTTGTCCATAGAGCAACTTTACTGCAAGGCGCCCTTTTCGCGGGAACTCAAGCTTTCTTTTCTCCGACTTTGAATTATTATTTCTCCAAAACTAGGAACTTCTGTACGTTTCCAAGTTCACCGTTCGATTTGCAATGAAAAGCTCTACAAAATACTGCTTTGAACTGAAACACCGTTTTTTACTGCCCCTATGCCTTTAAGAATATGGGAAAACGAAGGAATCGATTGGTTGATTTTTCCCCCAAACATCTGTCGGAGCAACCTTCGAAAATGGATCGTCACGCACGATCGCCTTTCTTTTGCCTCTTTTGTATCCTCGGATCGATGCTCCGTTTTCTTCGTCTTCGAAATAATTGATTTTCTTTCGAGCAAAGCTTTACTGCTTATTCCAGATTTGCTAAAGTAAGGAATAAAAGTAGTTGTAAGTTATCTACCAATTAGTTAGCTTATTGGACAAAAATCTTTTTTTTCCAGATCAATCATCTTTTTTTACAAAGAGAGTCGGAAAGGATATTACGTTTTTCATTTCTATTTTTTTTATCATCGAATTTAAAAATACTCATTAACTGGTCATGGACAAGTTTGCTTAAATCAAGTGTACTTTTTCCATATGTTTTTTTTCTTAAATTTTTTTGAAAGCTTCAAAAAATCAACTGATTTCCATGCGTTCAGTACTTTATCAAGTACTTTTAATTTATATCAATACTTTCGTCCATGAAAATTTGATGAAGCTTAACGACGGTCGGCTTCGGAAGAGGACGTCGTGAAAAACGAGAGCGATAGCGAAGGCTTGTCCCTTGAAGGAAAAATCGATCGGCCTGGCTGGTGGTCAGAGACTCGCAGCTCAGTCGATACGGCAGATTGGGTGGGCCAGGGCCTCCCGAGCAGATGCGAGAAGAAAAAGACGAAGAGAAAGGCATGATGAGATCGATTGCATCAGATGGCAGTACTGCTGCAGCTGACGTGAAGCCGATTCGGCGAGTCCGACGTCGCCCGACTGATGGATTCCAAATATAGTCGGCGGGCCGCCCCGAAATAGGCACTTTGATAAAAAATACGCCTCCGCAGCTATCAGTTTTATGACTCTGCTATCTCAACTTTTTGCAAAAATCACAACAAAAAGCCAGAAATTGGCTGTGGATCTTTCATTCGGGTTAAAAATATAGCCATCAACATATGTTCGATGTAAAAAAGTTTTCGAAGATCATATTCTGAAATTTTCATTTGTTTCAAAAATTTAATTCTGAAAGATGTTCTCTGATGATCTTCTTTAAAAGTGTTTTTGAACAAGCGGACTTCTAAAAGATCTGCACAAAAAGAGCAAGTTTAGAAAAAAATTTAACTGCGTGGGCAGTTATTTTTGATAGATGATATCAATATCATCTTTTAAAAACCTTCAAAACAAACCGACAGAACAAGGTTGATTTTCATATTTAACAGGAAACGAGGAAGCCGGCTCTTCCTCTGATCAAAGCTTTCCAACGCGAAGTCGACGGCCTCATCGCCCGCAGCCAAGCCGCCGAAGCCGCTCTGATCAACGTTTGCGCGAGAATCACCAACCTTCCAGGTGAGCTTCTTGACCAATTTTGCAAAAATGAGAAGAACAGCAACGCAAAAGGACTTCCTTTGTCCTTTGATCCTTTTAAGCTGAAGAGAGAGATAATTGTAAGGCGGGGGAAGTAATTATCTTTATGTTATACTACCCAATCTTTATTCGGAGCATTCTTTTTTTTTTTTTTTCTGAGTCTTATTTTTTGTTCTTTTTCGAGTTTGACTCTGTGGCTCGCAAAATTCGTGTGCATGAAACCAACGGTGCTTCATTTTCGTCTTCTGCGTCTCCAATGCAGACTCAATCGTTGGCTGTTGATCGGTGACCTACAGTAGCCTGGCAGTGGAAAAAGAGCTCGTGAGCGGCAAACGCGTGTGGCTCCGACGAACACAGAGAATACGTCGTCGGCTCCGCCCAGATCGATCGCCATTGGCGCGATGCCCCAAGATGAAGCTGTCGCGTTTGGTTTCGTACGGGTCCGCTTCGGTGGTCGGCGCGTCGAGCATCGATCTGCTCGGCCGCCTGCCTGCGATCTCCCAATTGGTTAGGTTATTCGTCTCCAAACCTACTTCCCTTTTCTTTCCACTTTCTTGATCGCCTTCTTGATCTAGCCTCTTCCAGCAGAATGTTCACAAACCTAAAAGATGAAATATCATTGAATTGACGCTAGCCTCAGTCAGAAATTTCAAAGATCAAGTAAGTTTCATGTCTTGAATAGTTACCTAAATAGTTCATCAGAAACTTCTCTACAGTAACATGTTACATCGTTTCTCTAAGCCGCTCTCGCGTGAAGCAATTTCTCCCACATTACATGTGGATGACCACTAATTAATGTAATTATAATAAGTTCAAGATGCTGTTTGTCTGGTTTTTTCTGGTTTTTTTTTCGATCTAACATGAAATGTGGCTTTGTGATGATGCTAATGAAATTAACACAACCCACGCACATCGTTTTGTGCTCATTTCCTGGTCGAGGTTATTTTCTCATAAGATCTTCCTTATGAATCATCCTGAAAACCCAAAAATATCAAGTTTGATTAGAGTTTATTGATTCAAACCACCATTGAGTAGTTCAGGGTGAAGAAAGATTTAGAAAGAAAAGGATTTTTTGGCTGAGCGCGCGCATCTGCAACATCATCAGCTGGTTCACGATAGAACAATGAAGTATTGTGCATTTTTCGTTTGTTTTCCATCATTCATCACAGAAAAAAAGTTTACGCAACCGGCTTTGCCTTGAAGAAATGTGACATTTAGCCGTGTTATTGTTTTCAACGAGTCTAACCCTTGTTTGATGTTTCACCCCAATGGTAAAGTTTGAAAATATCATTTCTCTGCATGGGTCGCCCCGTTTACTTTTCCCGAACACAGTTGAAAAAATTTTCCAGACTTTTTTCATTTTTACAGATCCAAATTCTCTTCTCTCGAAAGCGCAGGCGTGGAGCAGCGACGCCGAAAAGACGCACTTGGCCGTGAAAGAGGCGGACGCTCTCAGAAAACAAGTCGCCCAACTCAACGAAGAGCTGCTGACCCACAAGAATCAAGGTGATCCCACATGTAGAATTCTTCAAACCTACCGATTTCTCCCGCTCTAGTTCAACTTTTATCAATATTTTGGATGAGTAAAAAGTGTTGGAATGAGCTGAAAGAGACTGAAGAAAAGATTAGGATTTCCCTGAAAAAAGTTTTGAAAAGTTCAAGCTATGTTTCAAGCTAAAAACTTTTTCAACCTCCCAAATTGGAACTTTGGCTCTTCCCAATCATGACTCGGCGACAAGGTTGTTTATTATCTGATTCTTTTAGATGTCGAAGTGCGGAAACTGAAAGAGAAGCTGAAAGAGGCGGACGATTTGCACGAAGACGAGGTGTCACGATCGATTGCTGACGTGACGAAAGAGCTCCAGAACGAGTTTGCGATTCGCATCGACGAGATGAACGTTTTGAGCGAAAAGTTGAAAATGGAGAACGGAATGCTCGAGAAGAAGGTAATCGATACGGGAATGGCCGCTAGCCGTTTAGACTCGCCTCCAAATCGCCTGAAGGGCCCAGAAACTCGCATTTGTGGTGACCTTCTGACGGAGAGGCTGTTGTAGGTGAGCGAACTGGAAGCCGGGAATCGGGAGGTTCAGCGGCGGCTCGACGTCGTCAGACAGGCCGCCGATCGGCAGGAGTCGCTGGAAAGCGAGCAACTCGACATTGCCCTCAAGGACCTCGAGAATGCCAAATCTCGTATTGTTCGTTTTTCTTTTTCGTACTTTTCTCATACCAATATTTTTGTAAATACTATCTTTTTTTAAAATTGGTATCAGATATTTGAGCTGAATCTAGTATACTCGCCATTCAATTCAAAAAAAGACTTTTCAGAGTTTAGAATTTTTTTGAGGTTTTTTTCAATATTTTAATTTATCTAGAGGTTGAAACGGTGAGGGAAAAAAGTAGTTCAGCTAATTTTCAAAAAAAAAGTGAGTGTTTCTGAAAAATCCAAATGAATTTCATGGTTTTTTTCCAATTTGTATTCTGATTTCCCTCAACTTTTTATATTTTACAAGGGGTCTTAATTTATTTTTTTCGGATAATTACAAGTAAGAATGACTTTTTTTCAGGTAATTGATTTTCATTTTATCGAAGTTTTTTTTTTTGCAAAAGATACGAGTCCTCGACGATTTATCTCCTTCTAGGTGTTCCTGGAAGAGAAAGTTTCGAGTCTTTCGGCGGAGCTTTCCGAGGCGCAGGCCGCAGGCAAAAGAAACGGCCTCGAAGACATCGCGGCCCTCGGCGGCCTGATGATCGAAAAAGACGAACAGGTGTGTTTGCCTCACCGAGCCAGACTGTTGCCGTGGCAACCGATCGCACCCTGTTTTTATGTCCAATTGATAAGTATAGTTTACTGGGCGAAAATATCTCTGTTTTTGGCTAACTTCTTCTCTTCATGCTGAATCGACTTTCAGATTTCACGGTTGGTAGAAGAAAACAAGCGGTGGATGGCCAAAAACGAGGAGGATGCGAAGAAAATGAACGAGAAGATGATCATGATGGAGAGGGAGATCTCGCGACAACTCGTCTACATCGAAGAGCTCAAGAAGCAGTTGGCAGAGAAAGACGATTACGAATCAATTAAGAAGGAACTTAGGTACCTTGGAAAAAAAAGCATTTTTTTCGATTAAAATAAATCCGGTTAGGCATTAAGTCAGGCAAATGAGGTGTGATTTTAGGCCTTCGCGATAATATATTGAAACGAGAAAATTGCGAAATCCCATGGGGAAAAGAAGCCTGAAAAGTACTTACGCTTTAACTCGCCAAAAAATATAGCTTCAAAAAGTTTCTCGAAAAAAACATAAATTATGGAAATCCACGAACTTTCGAAGCTGCTACGAAATTTTAATTTCGATTTTTTTTTATCACAAAGTCAAAACTGATTGTGAAGTTCTGAATTTTGTAATTCTTTTTTTTTTCAATGTCATAGGATAATTCAGTGCTTCTTTGATGGTGTTCACAGATAAGAGTTTTAGTTCAAAAACGCGGCATACGCTTCAAATAGCTCCAATAACCTTAAAGTTAATGTTCTGTAAAAGGATTGAATGAACTAATTTATCAACTAAAAAATCCGTTTCCTCTTTCTTCATGAATACCAATCCTGAAAGTTTCTTTTTTTTTTCAAATAATATATTTCGTTGAAGGCTGAGCTTTTCTTACTAATCGATGACACCTAAAACTCGGAGTTCTAACACGAAATTCGTTTCAGGCTTTTGCGTGAGATCGAGTTTGGCGAGGCAGCCGAGGCCAACAATTCGTCGATAGAGCGCCTTGGGGAAACGGTCCAGTCGCTGGACCGACTTCTCGCCGAGAAGAACCGTCGGCTGCAGAACGAGAACGCCTCGTTGAGGATGATGAACGAGGGGTACAAAGGTTTGTCAGAAGGCTCGTTGTGTTGTGAGAGTGTGGAGAGAAAGAGAAAGAGAGTGAAAAAGAGAGGAAAAAGAAGCAAGCAGGTTTTCCATGTACCGTACTTTGACTCGTTGTTGTTCTGTTGATTATGATGTTGTCGTGTGGTTTGCTGAAGAAGAAAGAATATGGCGGGTGATCATCACAGGCGACGTCCTGATGAAGGCCATCGTGGCCGGAAGCCATCAGGCCGTGGTCGACGTCGTCGGCAAAAAAGTCGGCCGAGAAATCGCGGCCAACTATAAAGATCCTTCTGTTGATCACGAGCTCGATAAGCAGGTCAGAATATTCTTACTCTTTTCTAAACGACAGTATGTTTAGGTGAAGAAGAGTCGCGCATTGGAGGCTGAGAAACATTCTGACGCGGAGCCAAGCTTGTTCAAAATCTTGATGGTGAGTTTCCACTTCATCTGAGCCATTCGGAACAGGAATTTCTTCAGTTTAGAATAGTCTAGAGATTCTTCAAAGGTTAAAAAAATCCTGCGAAGGAAACTTTTTGACCTGCTCCTGTACAACCTACTAAAATTCTTTATAGAAGATGGGCGGCGATTGCTCCAATTTAAGCCGACGACGACGGTGCAGGCGGCGTCGGCCAGCTATCCGAAGATGTTCAGCGGAGACATGACGACTAGAGCCCTGCTCATGTCGAAGGCCGGTCCTCGGAACGAAACTACGTCGCTCGGCGTCAAGGATGATCCCAACTCCAGCCACAACGACAGCAAATCAGACGGCTTCCGCGACTCGCCGCAATTCTCCAATTTCGGGCACCATTCGGCCAAGTCTCCTCAGGAAAGTAGGGCCGTCGAGGACTTGCAGGTCTGGAAAATCTGCACGTCTTCGAATTCATCTTCTGTTGTTCAGACTCGCGTCGCGCACAACGTCGCAGTTCTTGGCTCGAAGCCACTGAACACGGCGGAAATCGCGCGCCAGTGCAAAAGACTTATGGTCGCTTACAATATCGGACAGAGACTGTTCGCCAAATACGTTATGAACCAGGTAGTCAAGGTGAACGGTGCTTTTGCTTTTTGTTTACCTTTTTCGTTCCTTTTGGTTGCTTTTTATTCCCTAGTTTTTTTTTTGCCCAGGAAACAGCTTTTTTTCGAAAAAAACTCACAATTTGAAAAATTTCGACTTATCATACTTTTCATCGATGAAAAAGCGTTGAAAAAAACTTTGACAAAGTTAGAAATTTATAATTTTGAAAATTTTCCAAGTTTGCATAAAAAATTTGAACCTTCTTTCAAATTTTTAGATTTAACTTTTACAGTTAATGTAATGGTTATGTTTCAAGGTTTTTTTCTGATTAATCTAACATTGGACCCTCAGAACCCAAAAAAATCTAGCAAATTTAATCCCTGTTGTGAAGCTTGTGTTGGCTGCCGGCTTTGCTAAGATCGACTGGAAAATCTCAATTGAAACTGGAATATGTTTCAGTCGCAAGGATCTCTAAGCGAGTTGCTTTCGAAGCCGCGACACTGGAGTAAACTGACAGACAAAGGCCGCGAGGCTTTTCGACGAATCTACGGCTGGATCAGCGACGACAAGACCATCGAAATGCTGTGTGGCCTGAGTCCTCGGCGAGTCTGGCCTAGTGGTGAGAGAAAAGTTCTTCTTGAAGGAGTGTGAAGGCCTTTTGCAGACGTGAAAGTCGAACATCCATCGCCAGAATCTCTCTGGGAGAACTACGAAGGTTCTTTGGCGAGTCCAGAACCGCAGAGAGAAGAAACAGTACGGCGCCCTACAAGTGCTCGCGAAGATCAGGTTTTCACTTTAATTTATCAAAAAGTATACAGATTCTCCACGTGGGAATCACACACTTAGGAAGACGTCTTTCCATCATATACAATACAAAAAACGTGTAGGCAGTAGGATAGTCGTTTTTCGAAAAGTTTTCAATACAATTAGGGATGTGAACCATTTTTTGAAAGTTTATCCAATAAATAAAATTTCACGGCTCCTTTGACCACCAAAAGCTTTTGCGCTCCTCTCGCCATACGCTTTTTTACACATCTTGCCGTGATTCATTCCGCGCGCGACGCTCTCAGCCTCAACCTTTCACATTTTTATCTCAAGTCTCTTTTGCTACGTTTTACTGTTGCTTTTCGTACTCAATGTTGTACTCGTTCACTCCTATTATGAAATGATATTAACCAAGATTAAGAAAAAAAACAAAAAAAAACAACTTGGAGAGTTTCATTAAGAATAACTGCCGTGATAAACGCGAGGTCGGTGGCGGTACATCGACGAACTCGCAAACAAGTCGCTATTTTCTAGGCGCGATCTCGCATTTATCTTGCATTTCGGAAATTTTCAATTTGCGAGAAAAATGCGAGACCAACGCGAGAAAAAAGGCGAGATATTTGCGAGCTCGTCAATGTACCGCCAGCGTCTCGCGTTTATCTCGGCAGTTGTTCTTAGTGTTTAGAATGCATCTCATCAATGGCTTAGGTTCACGAAGAGTTTAATCTAATCAACAATTATGATCTTACCGTTATAGTCTTTTTATGTTCAGTATCGACTCGCTGGAACCAGCCAATCTCCAAGTTCTGGAACGACGACGAGGAACAGCCGCTGGCGACACGACGACATTCCCAAGGAGAAGATCATGAGCATTTTCCAGACGGAACTCGCCAAGCTCAAGGAGCAGGTTCATCTTTTTTTTTCGGTGATTAGGGTTTTTCATTTTGCGATTCACAGGAGTCAAACTTGGAGAGGGCGATCGCCAGCCGCTCTTTCAGCGGCCCCCGGAGATCCGACGAGCTGGCCCTTCATCCGGATCGAGCTTCTTCCATCGAAAAGGTGATGACGTCACGGATGCGCAACGGACTCGCGCCCATAACTCAGGAGCAATTCGAGGCCTTTGGCCACGTCGACACTGATCTTGTGGTTCGGCAGGTTAGTGGCAAACAATCACCCAAAATCCTTATTTCTTGAACTTCCAGATAAAAGAGTTCCTCTCGATCAACTCAATTTCGCAACGCCAATTTGGAGAACACGTCCTTGGGTTGAGCCAAGTGAGTGAAAACATTTTTTTTGCCTATTTGATGGATTTATTAAAGCGATGAGTCACTAACAAGGGTAGAAGTTTTCGAAAATAGAGTTGAACCAAAAAAAAATGCTCTTATCTATATTTTCAAAGTATTTTGTAATTTTTTTTTCAAAACAAGAGGATGAAAAAAAAAGTTGAAAACGTCAAAGTGAAAAAAAGAGGAAAGCGTTGATTACTGTTTCTTTTCAGGGATCTGTGTCGGATCTTCTGGCAAGACCGAAACAATGGTCGATGTTGACGCAAAAAGGTCGCGAGCCGTTCATTCGCATGAAACTTTTCATGCAAGACGTCGCCGCCGTCGACACGAGCAGCGAGAAGAACGATGAAGAGCCCAGCAATACAACTTTGGGTTCGTTTTCTTTTTTTCGTTGGAAAATGATCGATATCACGTTTCTTCTGGTATTCATTGGCCTCGTTCTGGTGTGGTTTACCATAATCTTGGCCAATTACGACTGTTTCCTCTTGTTGCAGGATAATTAATTCTATTATCAAAGCGGAATTTTCAGTGGATTCTCTACCTTCTTTTGGGCGACCCATGGAACTGAAAAATGTGAAAACGGAAATTGAAGACGAGTTTGAAATTTCGGTAGCGCCGTTGTCGGAGTTCGACCTGGTAATCAGCCGTCTGACAATTTGTTTCTATTGAACCTTTCAGCTCGTGCAAATGGTCGAGTCCAACGAGAACGCCATTGAAGACGTGGACACGACTGAGTTGATCCGACAAGTCGCCGACCGACTTCAGAAGCACGACGTGCCTCAGAAGGTCTTTCGAGTTCATTTATTCTCACGAAAAAGTGTGATTACCCAGTAAAAGTAGAGAGAAATCGTTTCTGTTTTGGAAGCCGAGGTCTACTTCCAATGAATAAATATCACATCATTTTAATAAGTTTCTTAAATGTTTTCATAGAAATTTTCATTGACAAACGACGATTTGTTGTTTAAAATCATAGACATTTGATTTCCTCTTTTTTTTCGATGGTACCACTAAAAGGTTTCTGTGAGTCATTCTCACAAGCAGCGCTTTCAGCCGTCGGTTGCCATTTTGCCACTTGTTTTTTCTTTTTACTTTTCCACCACTTCAATCAATCAATCAATCAATATTTCTTGGTTGTTTTAGTCAGATGAAATCGACTAGGCGGTGAAAAAATTGCTCTTTTGAGCGGTACTAACACCGCCTTTGGCGGAAAATAAGTCAAAACGTGTAGTTGATTGAATTGAAAGCATGGTCTCACGATCCTTCGCCTCGTTCTTCCACAATTAGATCCCTCAGTTTCGCGGGTACGGGCACGGCGTTGATGGTGGGGCTCGGGCACGTGTACACTCTAGGGTAGCCTCGGCCGATTGAGAGAGCTACCCCTTCGAGTGAAGAAAATACACGGAATTGCTTTCCATATTCAATAAAATAATAAAATTCAGTATAAACTCGATTACAGACTTTGTAACTTTTTTGGAGAAATCGAACAAGAGAAACTTTCAAATTAAAAAAAAAAAGAACAAACAGTAGAATAAAAAAAATCGAACTAAAAACCAAAAATTTTGTATTCTGATTTTCTGGCATCTCCCTCTTTTCTTCAGAAACTGTGATTTTTTGCAGGTTTTCGGCGAGATCGTCCTTGGTCTGACGCCTGCAGCCTCAGCCGAACTCTTCCTGCAGCCGCGATCGTGGTCGACGCTGTCCGACAGGGCGCGAGAACCATACGAAAAGATGCAAGAGTGGCTGGCTGATAAGCAGGCCGTCTATCAATTGGCGCAGAAACAGAAGGTCCGTGCACCGTTCCGAGAATCTGGAAAAAAACATTTTTGAAGGGGACTTCGACGCCAGCGAAGAGCAACAGTCCGCCAACGGCTATTGGTAACGGAAATGGACATAAAAGAAAAAGTTCCGATCCTTCCTTTGCTATGGCGCCTCCTAAGAAAGTATGTTCGGAAAGAAACTCTGAGTGGAACAGATAATTTTACGAGTTGCTTTTGAGTGTTGAACGAAGAAAAAAGACGGTTTCGACCAAGTTTCCTAAAGTTATCTTCAAAAATATCAGAAAGTTACATTTTTTTGAAGTTATTGTGATCAGTCTACCGTATAGTAAGCCTAATATCTTTGAAATGATGGTTTGTTGCAACAGTTTAACTCAGAATCTTTTCCAGAGGACGGTGATCACTGACCAACAAAAAGAAGCCCTTCGCTTTGTCTTTCAACATGAGCATCACCCCAGCCAGAAGACTATTGAACTGGTTTGAATTGAAAAAAGGGAAAAAATTCAAGTATTTTTCAGCTTTCTCAAAAGTTGGGGTTAAATTTGCGTACGGTGAACAACTGGTTCCACAACCATCGGACGCGACAAAAAGCGAGTCTGAAAGAGGGGAAAATCTACGGCGATACACTCTGCGAAACGCCGAAAAGCAGCAACTGGCAGCATGTACGTCTCGATGGCTTCGAGAACAGATAACGTAGTAATCATTGAATACGAAAACTCACTGATACTTCTTGACATTGCTCGTGAACGTAGTCGACCCAGCTTTTTCCCACTTTCCTATTCTTTTTTAGTCTCTCCTTGAAGTCCTGTTCGTTTTCAGAAACTTTGATTTGTTTTTTAAAACAAGAATGAGGAATTTTCTGGATTTTCATTTTCATTTATATTCATTTTTTTTTTTAAATCAACGAAAACTGTAACATAAGATGTAACGACGGAAATTATCTTTCCGTGGCGATTTCTGTGTTTTCAGGACCTGGCTTTGCTGCTGGAAACGGTCTCGGCAGCCGAGGACTCTTACCCGACTCTTGTGACGCTCCCCCTAGTCTCCTCGTTCTCCTCCAACACTCCAGAACGTCCTTCCAAGAACGGCGGCACCCTCAGCCAACTCGACAAGGCTGTCGCCAAACTGCGCCAGCTCGCAGAGCAAAAATGCTCCGAGACAGATTGAGCCACCAATATTTCAACTTCTCTCCTTTCAGTCACGTCTCGGGAAACTAATTCTCTCAAAGTTTTTACAATCCATTCACCGCTAGCTTTCAAGAAACCATTACGATGATTTTACTAAACATTCATAACCCTCTCCCTTTCGCCAACTGTTTCGCTGTCTGTGTCAAATTAGTACTCTTTAAAATTGCCTCATTTTGAAGTAATTGGAAAAGTTAGCGGTATGTCTTCGGAAATATATTGAAGTTAATATATTGAAAAAATTAATATGATTTTGCCAACTTTTTCTTTTCATTCCACTGTGATCTCTTCTTTTTTTCTGTACAGATGCGCAGTTAAAAAATCACCGGTTACTGTCATAATTGTTATTTTTCCAAAGATTTTCAAAAATTCTTTTATTGTTCATTCCGTGTATAAATTATTTTCATCAAATGCAATAAAAAACTTTTTTCAATTTACTAACAACCTGCTTGCAAGAGGGAGAGAGAGTGTGTGTGTGTGTGTGTGTGTCTCATGATTTTTTCCACGATTACCTGTTTTCTTTTTATATTTTTCATACAATCGAATGAAAGAAAGAGGTTGAATTAAATTGGGCATAAAAAAATAGTATCGACAGCCGAAAAACTGACCTGATAAGTTTTTTGAAAAGTTGGAAAACGTGATTTGCATTTATATTTAGCTTGCAGTATGTTGAAACTTGGCTATTTCTGCCTCAAAACCAGACAAATGTCGTTATTAGCCATTTAGAACAATTTCGTGAAAAAATACTCTCAAACCGGTATAAACTGGAAATAAATTCATCGTTTTGAGTTTAAAAAAATGAATGGCAATATTTACTGACTTGACGATTTAAAAAAATTGTACATATTAAACACAAACTTAATGTGTAAGGCACAAAATGAATTTTGCAAAAGCATAGCCGCTTTAAGAATCAATTTAGAATAGAGAAGAATTCCCGCGAAACTTCGTGGTTATAGGTTTTGAGAACAATGTAGAAGAATTCTCTTGATAAAAACAAAACATTAAAAAAATCCATATTTTCGGGGGATAAACTAACTGAAGGCCGATAAAAATTACACGCTTCGAGTATTTCGAGTAGAAGCGAAAAATAATTGAAAAAAATTGCAATCTAATCGATTTCAAGTTCATTCAAAAAGCATAAGAAAGTTTTTTGTCTGAAAAAGCCTTATCCGACTAGTTTTTTAAGCGGTTGTTGTTTTTTCTTTCAAACCTCAGAGTCAGGTCAAACAGTTTTTGAAATTTACAGAGACGGTGAAAGAGAATGCCAAAGCGACGGAATCCTTGAAATCGCGATGTGAGGCGTCGGAACAGCTCGCAGCTCGACTGGAGCACGACCTCCTTCGCGCCACCGGCTCTTCGGTATAGTTTTTCTTAATTTCACTTCAACTTTTCGAATTCAAGAACGTAGTGGAGCGTTCAACGCTGGAAGTCTTGAAAGAAGCGTCGCAGGAAACGGAATCCGAGCTGCCGATTATGCCGATTTTGACCGCGCAGCGAGATCGGCTGCATGAAAAAGTTTCCCACTTAGAGGAGGTTAGCGGTGGGTTCTTAGAGACTCAGTTTTTAATTTTCTTTTTTTGAGTTTTCTTTCTGCGAGCTCAATTTAATGTTGCACCAGTTTTCAAGCTTTTTTTAATGAGATGATTTTTCACGTACATGATTTTGTGTGGACAAATAGATTCAAGAAAAATCCCTTCAGCTTCTTTCGACGGAAAGAAGTCGTCAGATCACGGCTCAACTGGAGCTGGAGAAGGTCCGTGAAGACAACGTCAAGTTGTACGGAAAGATCAAGTACCTTCAAGGATGTGGTTTGCGAGAGACTTTTGTCTCATCTTTTCCAAGTTTTTAAGGCGGTGGATCTAGTGGCCCTAGTGCGAGCACCAACGTCCTCGTAGAGAGTTACAACGACCAATATGAGAGCAAACTCGACCCTTTCAGGTTGGTTTTCGCTTTGAGAGGGAACTCCATTCACCGCAAGCTTGGGAAAGTATCCTCTTCGCACACTTTCTAATTTAGTTTGGCAATACTTTTGTGGAAATGTCTTGAGCCAGTGGTCAAACACCTTCCTTGTTTTCTTTCTGCATCCGCAAATATTTTTATGCTTTTGCGATTTCCAAATCTCCATAGAGTGATTAATTAATTTTCAATGTTTTAGGGCTTTTTTGGAAATACCCAGGAGAGAATGTCTAAAATCAGCCTTTTCAGAAAGTTCAACGTCCAAGAAACCCAACGAGGTTACGCGAAACTAAAACTTCATGACAGAGCAACTTTGAGCATTGTGAGTAATAGGGATCGTACGAAAAGGACGTTGTTTGTCGTAAAAAAAACCAACTCTTTTGGAAGATGGTTTGTTACTTTAAGGCACGAAAATGAGCAAGTGACATATGAGTCCTAATCTGGAATTTTCTGTAAATTTACTTAAAAATTCCATATTTTGGTTCAGACCTAGTTCCGCCTTAATTGCGGAATTTGAAAGTTCGTATTTCTAAAGCTGTAATTTTGCGTAGATAGCGACTATGCGGGTCGATTTCCAGTCCTTCGAAAAATTTTCGAGCATAATTAGAGGAAACTTCAGAAGGCTAGGTAAAAGAATGTGAAGAGAGAAAAAGCGAAAAAAAAAAATTTGTTAGAAGCACATCACACTTTAGAAGATGAAAACTTGAAACAAACTGCCTTTAACAATATTAAATTCGTTCGAAAGGTATATGAAGGGCGTTGAGAACTTTTTTTTTCAAAAACAACATTTAAAAAGCTCGAAAGTCGACTTGAGGGCCGCGCCGTGATGACGTCACCTAGAGCTCGAATGTCCTTCTTCTTCTACTTGATTTTCCTGCACGTGATGATCATGATGGTGAGTCCGATGACTCCGAAACCAATCTTCTTTTTGACCTCTTCAGGTGCTCTACAAGTTCGCATTCGAGCAATCCTCGCTTCGCGACGCAGACGCCGATTGCACACACCAATTCCAGCAACACATGCTTGAGCATCATACAAGCAATGGTCATTGATTTTCCTTCTGAGAATAACACTGTGTTTTTACTTGTATACATTCCTTCTGATTGATTTATTGCCTCATTAGACGGCTAGTTTCGGTTTGATAGGACAAAAATCGCTGTTTGTGAACTTTTTCTTGTAGATCAATTGTTTTTGAACATTGGTCTTTGAACGGTCGGTTTTTTGCAGGCGTTTCCCAATAGACTATTTTCCTTTCGCACATTTTCAGTTATACTATTAACAAAGAAGAAAACTAAATCTATTTTGAGGTGAAATTTTTTCTTCCTGTAGTTTTTCAATCCAAAAACGGCCGTTCGTGTAATATTTTAATGAGGTTATCTTTTTCCGTTTTTTTCAGACCGTGAACAAAATCAACCGATCAAATCGATTAGCCTGAAAAGTGAATATTTCAGCGTGTAAGCAAATTGGCTACTAAGGAAAACTTTCGATACTTGTTCTATCAACCTGTAAACATGGGTGCATTTTCATCTCCACTTTTGAAGACATGTTTCGGCGATTTTCATGCCCCCAATCTCGCATTTCTTATATTCGTTTGTCATCACTTTTCGCCTTTTTTGCCTTGATCTGTGATAATCAAGTTCGGTTCATCGAGCTGATTTGGGACTGTGGAATAAATATTACGAGTCTTATCTCTCGTGCCACTTCTACTATCAGTAGGCAGCTTTGATAACCGGGTCTCAATTTTCAATATCGCAGTTGTCAGCGATAATTTTTCAGTTCTTCGCTTTTTTCATTCACGTTCTGATTTTTTGGCTTTATTTATAGGATGAAGATTCTTTTAACATTGGGTATAGTCGGGTCATGTTTTGCGTGGGTCAATCTACGGGATAGACACTCTTTGCTCAAGGAGAATGTGAGTTTTTTTCTGGTAGGGCGAAAAGTTGAGAATACGTTTATGAAATTTCTCATTTCAAACGTTTTTTTGTTACTGCATTGCCTCATTTAGGCTCAAAAAATGCTTCATCAAGTAACTTAGAAGTTTTTAATCATCAAAAATAGTTATTGGGATCGCGGATTCAGCATTTTTAAACTGATCCGAACTAGGAGCTAAATTCTTGAAAAAGGAATTTTATTTATTTTAGTTTTACAGTTATTTTTTGTCGCTCCATCTTTTCAGACTCAAAATTCATAAGCCAATCAACTGAAAATCGTGTAAAGCTCATTCCATAACTCCGAGAAACTCAATTCAGAGAGTAGACGGCGGCGAGCAAAAGGGACACTCATCGGCCGATTTCGAATACAAATACGTGTCGATTTGCGTTAATGGATCCGAAGAAGGACTTCTCACCATTGTGTAAGAATTAGTTTCCTCTGAATTACTTAAAAGTCACTTAAGACACGCCAAAGAGTGCAAAGATGGGCGGTCGAGAGTAGCGCTCGGGAAGTATTCGAACCAAGTCAACACCACTGGGTATTTGTAAATACTCTGGATTTCAAAAATAAACGTTTGAGGTGGGGAATCCTGGAAATCGAGACGTTCGCTAGCCATTCTTATGATGTGCAAGCCTACGCAGCTGGAGTCGCTGAAGGTAGGATCTTTCTCTTTTTCTAAAAAGAAAAGGGAACTTCAGGCGAGCTGACGCGTCTGCAGATTTACTACCACTACCGCAACACCATCGAGACGCTGTGCAATAACCACACGTCTGTCATCATTTTTTTCTCATAAAAAAACATCGCAATAGAAATTAAGCAAAATTTTTGAGAAACTGTCAGGTTAAAAATTTTAAAACTGAATCCTGAGTTAAAGCTTTTTTAAAATTTTACTCTAGGGACTTCTCACCATTGTGTAAGAATTAGTTTCCTCTGAATTTTTCCTCTGAAGAAGTTTAACTTTTGCATTTTTTTTTTTCAAAACTAGTGATGAAATGTTCCTTTCCAGCAACTTCTGCAAACGACTCTACATTTATCTGCAAGAACACTTGGATTGGATGCGCAGCCAAGTGATCGCCAAGGAAAACGAAGGATGTCCCTACTGGCGCCATGTTTGACGACGTCGATTTGTTGCCATCATGATCATTTCCAGGTTAATCTGACCTTCGCCCAGCTGACAGGCGTCTACGACGCCTACTACAGACGAAACCTGACCCCGGAGATTGGTTTTGATTTGCATCCAATCTAGTGAGTTAGTTTATAGAAGTTCTGTGAAAACTTCTTTTTGACTCGCTCCGACGAGATTTTGGAAAAAAAAACGTGAAAAGAAAAATCATTCAGCATGATGCAACTGTCCGGAGAGATGTTCGACCTGAACAAATTCCTCAACAAAACTCCCGATCCGCTGGAGTACCCTGAAGCCGGACGTTGCTCTGGATTTGTCAAGCTCGCTCCGAACAACGCGGTAATATCATGCCTTTACCGAACTACAAAAATAAGCTCCCCAGGATTTGTTCTTCGCCCATGTCGCCATGTCTAGTTTGAGCTGGATGCAGAGAATCGTCAAGATCTACAAATTTGGTTACGGTATAAAGCAATTCCGCTCTTTGGTTGCAGTGATGAGTTCAGACAAGAATGAGGTTCCCGGACATACGGTGTCATTCTCCGGCTACCCCGGAGCTCTCGTTTCGGCCGACGATTACACTCTGACCAGCGCTGGATTGGTTTTTTGATGGCAAACGCTCTGATGATATTGTATTTTTACAGTCGTCTATTGAAACGACAATTGCTATTTTCGACAAGGAACTTTACACAAGCAAGTACATGAAGGCCCAGGGACAAGTCCACTGTTGGGTCCGCTCTTTCATCTCCAACGCCCTCTCCAAGTTAGACCGCTCTTGTTATTCTGTTGTAGCTGCAAAGTAGAATAAGAAGCTTTTCAGGATGTTTCTCACAAAGCATTTTTGATTTGAATATTCGAAATTAGCTCAAAATTTTTCTAGACTAAACGAAGAATTTGATAGCCACATCCTGCAGAAGACCCTAATTTTCGATGACTCACGTTTCAAATTCTCAAAAAAAAAAGATTTTCTTTGAAAGTGCTATTTTGTCAGCTGAGAGCTTTTTTAAAATCAATCAAATGGCTGCCATGATTTCTTTCAACCTTTTTCAGAACTGCGAAGGGATGGACCGACGTTTTCAGCAAGTACAACTCGGGAACCTACAACAACCAATGGACGGTGCTAGACTGGAAACATTTCACGCCGGGGCAGCCGATTCCCGACAAGGATATGCTCTGGATCCTCGAACAAGCGCCGTAATCTCCAAACTGATAGGTTCCGTCCAAGTTATATTTTTTAGTGGACACATCGATTCGCGCGACATGACTTGGTACTTGAAACGCTATTCTTACTGGCCTTCCTACAACATTCCCTATCTTCCTAGCATCAGCCGAGTCGCCGGCTTTGATGCTAAGGTGATCGAAAAAGATAACCCCCGAGATTTTGAACTCTTTCAGGCTCGCCAGTTCAAATGGTACGAGTGGGGAGGATCTCCTCGTGCGCGAATTTTCGACCGCGACCACCACAAAGTCGTCGACATCGACTCTCTCACAAAGCTTATGAGGTGATTTTTTCTTGAATCCAACCTGATAATCAATTAAGGTACAACGATTACACCAACGACGAGTTTGCCAAGTGCAAATGCACGCCTTTGCCCTACACCGGCGAGGTCGACTCGGTTTTGAACTTTGGTGGATGAAAGTTATTTTTCAGGGAGGAATCTCTGCCAGAGGCGATTTGAACACTCCCAACGGCACTTATGAAGTTGAAAGCATGGGCTTCCGTGATCATGCCGGCCTCGATTACAAGGTTCATTAGTTATGATTAATATCCATAGAGTCGAATTGAGGGAACAAACTACGAGATGTTCAAGAAGCTGCGGTTCCGCGCCTGGGGCGGACCGCCTTACGATCCCGTTCCAGTTTTTGAGTTAGTTTTTTGAGCTATTGTTACAAGCAGAATTCTGTTTTTTTTTTTTCAGTTTCATTTTTCCCATCAAACTGTGATGCTGGAAAACTGAAAAAAAATTAAAAATTTTCGTCAAAAACGCTGATTCACTTTTTATTTCTTCAAGAGCCAACTCAACTAATCCTGAGCTTAATAAATGATTTGCAAAAAAGTACTAATGTAAAATTGAATGAAGCTGGCGGACGACGAAGCTGACCAACATTCGGCACTTTGGACAGCCCGATAGGTGGAACTTCACATACGTCGACCTCGAGTGGCAGCTGCCCACGGAAGTTCTTCTCAAGCCTTAGGTCTCAATCACTCAAACAGAAATCTCCTCATTTTTCCTTCCTCCTTCACCTCTTCAATCTTCCTCTTGTTTTCGCACTTTCCCAGTTCAAATCCCTGTCAAGATTTTTGATGAATGACTGTTTATGAAAGTGTTGGCATTTCTTCCCATTTTTCATGTATCTTTGCAATCTGAATGTGTGTAATTCTTGTTATCATTTTGCTTTATTTTTGAAATTCGATGTAGGAGGCTATGCCCATTTGGTTTGAAAAAATGAATAAAAAAACTACGCGATTTGCTTCGCAACCCTGATGAGCGAGAACACAGAAAGAGTTTTAAAAAAGAGATGAGAGAAAAAATTCAGATAAAAGGGTGAAATGGAGGAGGCTTCAGATATTGAAAACGTCATATTAGGACGGAACCAGTAGGCAGTCTACTGAGTACTTTGAGCACAACTACAATGGGTTGCGGCGATATAACAACTATACCCTGTTTGATGCGAAGACCGGTCAGGAAGGATAAAAAAAACGATGGGAGATTCCGGTCCGCAACGCATTTCAAATACAAAACTCGAAAAGATATATAGTTAAACGAATCGTGAAACGAAAATTGCTGCACCCGTCGCGTTTTAATACCATCGTTTTCATTGTGCGGAAGTTCATTATCTGATATTTGTTCTGTCTGGAAGGAAAAGCTCAGCGATCGCCATTCAAAACCGTGTTATCGTTGGCGGCGATTCTTCCCTGAAACAAAACAATTGATGAAAGTTGTGAGAAGGAGCCAAATCACTTTGTGGCGTCACATGAGCACTTGAGTGGCGTCAGCTCGCCGGCACTACCGTATCCGTTGTTATTTGAAACTTCGTCATTGGCCTGAAAGTTTCAATTTTCTTTGTTTTGAAACAATGGACCAACCGAGACCGGCAACATGAGTTTGGTTGTGGAGTCACCGCTACCTTTTTTGCTCCGAGACGAAAAAGGACTTAGTTTCCCTCCGTTTGCGTTGTTTCCAGCGTTCCCTCCAGTTTCCATGTTGTCCAGGTTCGTCATTGCGTTCTGAAGAGCACGGTCACTATGAGAGCTTTCATGGAGTTCACCGAAACTTGGCCGTTTTTGGCCTGGAAGTGCGAAGCGACACTACGAGAGCCTCTCCGCAGTTCATTCTGACTCGTGTGCAACAACCGATACCTTGCGTAAAATGCCTTCAACACCGTGTTTACCTGGAACAAAACAATGAATCAACATGTCCTCTGGATTCTTCTCACTTCTTTGTTCGTGAAGCAATAAATGATGGTGATCATTAGGCCTTGGTACATGTAGGTGAAAGACGCGCAGTAGGTCCAAACCGCGAAAATCATGATATTGTCGCGAGTGGGATTGAAGGGAATCGTCTGCATGATGTTGGGAATGCCGAGCAGCGGGATCAACATCAAAGCCGCTTTCACGCTTTTTCTGAAGCCATTGAACGTCAAATCTCTTAGAAAACTCTGAATCACTTCATTCTCATCAATTCGCTCGTGTTGTGAGACTCCCGCACCTTCGTCCACAGCACTCGTATCACATTGCAGATGAAGAAAAGATTGACCTGAAACGCTGAATATTTGGTTCTGTTGGTTAGGGTCCATCTTTACCACAAGTTCAGCCATACGCGGACCGTCGAGGATCCAGAACTCTGGCTCAAGATAGTACGATCCAAGGCATCTCTCTACCTTGAACTCTTTTTTCAGCAGTACAACTAATAACCAAAATAGAGTGTGTATTCCCGGAATTCCTGAAATCGATACGTGAGAACAAAAACCAAAGTCTTATGATTCGAGTTAAAAAAAAAGAAAGTGTTCCTGTGAAGGTTCCCACGAACGAGGAACGACTTCTATTTATGTCCCAAGTTCTCAGATAAACCAAAGTTCTGATTTTTTCGGCTTTTAAGAGCTTCCAATTCATGCAAACACTTTTTTTACAAGAAAAAAAGCTGACCGTAGCCAGCAAGGAGGTAAGGCGTCAGACGAGGTTCCGAGTTGAAGACGGTGAGCACGAGTTGGTTGTGTAGGTAGAAGCCCTCGAGGAACATCCAGCCAAAGGCCACCGTCTTGAAGTATTCCAAGAGGAAGAACATGGTCTCGCAGACAAAAGGCTGCAGGAAGATGATGAGAAAAGACCCAAGACAGGTCCTCACCATCGTGTTGATGGTTTTGCCTTCGCTGGGACTTGCGTGGGGTCCGTGGGCGCCAGTGAAGATGAGGTCGATGTAGAGCACCAGTCGGATGATCACCACCATCAGAATGGCCACCATCAGGTGCAGGTGCAGCATGTTGCGGAACACACGCAACCGCCTGGAACCTCTCATATTGTCGAACGCTTTTTTGATTAAAGTGTCCAGCTTTCTATATCTCATTCTCAAAAATCTTAATAAATCCTCCAGAAGTTTCCTTCTTTTCACAAACTTATTAATGATAGGTGCAAAATCTCGAAGATACTCATTTTAATTAATTAGAAAAATATAAATAAGCTTTGATTTTTTTTTAAATTCGATTATCTATCCTAGGAGAAAGAATTTTTTGCGTATTTTTAAATTTTGGAGAGCATTTTTTCTAAAGTTAGAATATGCCAGTCCATTTGAAGTAGTCTTTTTCACGTCGAATTATATCATTCTGAGAAATTTTCCCGTGACGTGGGAAAAACTTTGTGGTTGGTTTTTGAGGTCACGAAACAAATATAGAAATTAATCGTAGTCTTACTGTATCCTAGACAATTTCCGGCCCTGGATACAAAAGATTAAAATAACTGGCAAAGGACAATTTCCTGGCCAACCTACCGGAAATAGGAAAATATGGCGATGGAGACGATCAACGACACAAGTGAGAGGCCGAGGCCGACGAACTCGAGTTTCCGCGCATTTCTCGCCACTTCCTGCGCGATCTGCAAATCCCAGTTGCAGTTCTCCAAACGTGTAAAATTTGAAAAACAATGTAAGGCTGCAATTTTCAAAAAAGAAAAATGATCAGATTAAAAAGCTAAAAACTTTTGAATGCTAAAAAAATGTCCTTTTGTTGACAATCCTATACCAGCTAGCTTTTTTAAGAAAGCTATATTTGGTTATCAAAAAATGTTCGAAGATTTGAGTCGTGATAAGAGAGAAAGATAAAGATGAGAAGAGAGAAAAAAAGGAAAAAAAGGAAAAAAAGGAAAAAACCAAAAAGTTCTTTTTAAAAACGATATAAAAATAGTGCGAAAAATAATGTTAGAAGGGTGAAAGATGAAAGAAGAATTTGTTAGAAGCAGATGTCATATGCATGAATTTCCCTGTCTTGAAAATATTTTTTGATTTCTCTAACAAAAAAAGCATAATATTTTCGGCTGTCTTCGAAAAAAAAAAGATTTGGTTTTGAGGCTGCATACCCATTAACGATTACGCAAATTCAAAAAGTTCATGCATACGGCATCTCAAAAAGTTAAAAAGAATATAATACATCTTGTGGAAGGGAAAATTGAAAAGTTGAGGTGTGTGTGGAAGGAGTGAAGTTAAAGAATGAATATTACGAAGTCGTTTTCTGTTTTGTGATTAGGATTCCCATTGGATCGAAAAATGGAGTGTTAATTGAAAGTGATTAATAAAAAAACAGAATGTGCTTTGTTTAAGCGGTGCCTCCATTTTTGCTATTCAAGCCGCTGACCAAGTAGCTTATGATAGAGGCCTGACAATGACCTTCTAACATTAACCTTGACTATTTTGATTCCATAATTTGGTAGTGTTATTGGAATGGTTAAACTTTGCTAATGAGGGTTCAGAGGCCAGCGACATGAAAGGCAGGAATTATTGCACTGGACGTGAACTACTGAGAAAGGAACTGCTAGTGAAAGAGGTTCTAGGGAATGTGGCGCGAACCCCGATGGACTCGTTGCTGAGGTAGCGGACGATGTAGATGACTTCGTCGTTGAAGCACATCGTGTAGTTGGTCCAGCCGTGGCCGCCATGGTCGTCCTCCGACCGACCTAGCCATTTGCCTGACGCGTGGCAAGTCTTCGTGATGTTTCCTGTCAACCTCATGCTCAGTACCGACGAGTCACCTCCAGGTGAGCTTATCAAAACTGCTCCAATTTTCACAAGTTTGCTGACTAATCATAGCTTTGTTCGCTAGGGCGCATTTGTGCTTCGCGGCGAGCTATTTTTGAAGGATTAGGTCAGGAGTGTGTGACGGCATATGTAGCGTAAAACGTCGCTTTTTTCCATTAACATGAATAATTTTTAAAAGTTTCTAATGTTGCAAAAAATATCGAAGATCCCATGTGGTACCCGTAAATTCTCATTTTTCCATTTTTCGAAACTTAAGAAAAAATATTTAAGCATTCAAAAATGACCAAAAATTTCGTTCAAACGTGTTACTTCTTCGATTTTCTCAATGCAGTTTTTTTTAAAGCTTACAGGTTATAAGTTTTACAAGTTAGACTCAACATGATCTCGCATAAACAAAAAAGAGAATGATCAGAGGTGAAATCAAAAGAGACATTTAGAAGGAACATGCGAGAGAGCAGAGAACAGCACGTTAGGAAGCCGAAGCGCAAGATTCGCAAGACCACCGCAGAACAGACAGAAGAAGACAGAGAAAGAGTTAGTGCGGAAAACAACAGAGGGAGCAATCTTCGATTGTTCAGAACAACATGAGGCGTACGGTAAACTAACTGATTTCAAGGATTCAGGGATATTCGGCTACAGGAGATTGAAAAAGAAAGTTCAATTTTGAAAACTTGGTAGGGCTACTTTTTTTTGAAGTTAATATCAAAGATGAATGAAAAAAGAGCTATCGTATGACGAGTAGCTCTTACGAGTTCAATAAAAACAGTTTCCTCATTTTCCAATTTTAACTTCGAATCGAAAAATGGAACGACGCCGGAGTTTTCTCTTCAAAAAAAAATTCTCTTCAAACAGCAGTAATACAAACTTTTCACGTCGTTCACGATTTTTCTAAGGAGATTTCATGACATTTTCCAACGAAATGGATGTTCACAGATCCACTGATCATCTCAACAACAGAGGAGAAGATCTAATCAACAAATTCCTAGTGCTGATAGTCGAGCCAAGGTCTATCAAAGAATAAAGAGCTTCGGAAAGAAACAGACGGTCGGATGCCCTACTTTGACATCCTCGAAGTCGATTTTGAAGCAAATCGTGTAGTTGGTCCAGCCCCAGGGGTTTTCGTAGAATCCATGTTTTTTGCCCATCCATCGGCCAGTTTCATCGCACCGTTTCTCAATGTATCCTGAAAATCCACGTACTCAGATCTACAGCGGCCGTCCGCAGTTCTTCGAAACCCATATGGATGCAGAACGAGCGGGGAAAATAACGAAATTTTCAAAAATGCTTTTTTTAGTTCACGTTCATTTTCATTCGACAGACTTGAATTACATCATTTTTTTGATTACAAAAAATTCTTAAAAAAATTTACTTGTTTTAATGTTTCTATTCAAACGACTGGATCACGTGTTCTGTATTCAAAAAAATGGTTATAAATTATAAAAAAGTTTTGCAAAGCTCCAATCTACTTTTTAAATATAAGACTTTTCTTTCTATTTCTATTTGTTTTATTATATTCTAGGAAGCATACAGATAAATGAATTAGAGAGTAAGGTAATACTAATTCAGATTTCTCTTTCACACTACTAAAAATAGCTTTCTCATTTTTCCAAGAATGCTGTTTTTACTGAGAAAAGTTCATTTCTCATTCTGGTTTGCCGCCTCAGGGTGCACAGGACTATGTTGAGGGCTTATCAAAAATGCAGACAGCACGCTATTATCGACAAAAAAAAATAGGTTAATCATGCCCAAGTTAGCGAAAAACAGTGATCTACCGGTAACCTCTAGGATCAAAACAAAATTTCGTTTCGATCAGATGAGAGAATTCTCGATGGATGCACATGCAGTTGGCGTCTACGACGTCATTTCACACCATCTATCGCCCAAGTAAGGTCTAATGAAACGTGGAAATAAGCCTAGTTCAACTAGAGGTTGGATTTTTTGATATCTATTCGGTTCTTTTCCCATCTCAACTATCAACTTTTTCCATCTTCAAAACCTAAATAGGACAGCTATAGTACCTCAAGAACCGCTTTTTCTCCTTGCGAATATTTCTCTGTCTTTTTCGAAATTCAAAATTTATTTTATTCAAAACGATAGGACAATGTATAAATTTTTTTCCTTTTCAATTTATCATTATATATTTTTCGAAAGAAATCCTGCAACAGTTAGAAAAACCGTTTTTGGACATTATATTTCAATTCTTTCTTTTTTAGTGCTTCGAAAGGAGTTTTCTCCTTCCAAGAAACTGAAATTAGATATTCATGAGCAATTATAAAAATCCGTGACTCTAAATCCGAGTCACAAAGAGAATAACTACAACGAGAAATAAGCGACACTTCAGTGACCAGACTATCTCTTATTTGCTCAAAGTTCACATTTCCCCAATCATCAAAAATCTTCACAAATTGTTCCCTCGCTCTTTCAACTAATTAAAAGTGTACACGGCCTTTTTTTACAGTCAACCTTATCTTTCAGGGATTTGCCGCCATGTGAGCGCTCTCATGGGAGCAAAATTACCGCGCTTCTAATTTCCCTTTGGCTTGCTCACTCAGGCGAAGTCCCACTCATCTACAAACCTCCTTATAATATTTAGTCATACGTAAATATTTGTGGAAAAAACTTGCGAGTTGAAAAAAACACGACCCTTTAAACAGTAGGTAGCATCCCAAATAAAGAGGTTAGTGGAAATTGAGGTTAAAAAGAGATTTTGTAAAAAAAGTGTTTTCGTGCTCTAGTTTTTGTGTCGCTAATACTATAAGGAGGGATGTACATGCTGTCCAAGTCGTCCTAATGACTTTCGGAAAGACGACAGACTGACTGGATGGATCGAGGCCCTTGAGGGGAGGACAGGCCAACGTTATAGAAGTGTTGGCCGGCGTCGGAGGCCAGCACAGCACTGTGTCGTACGTCGCGTTGCACCACAGGCTGCCGTCCGCTGCAAAACTTCTTTTCATTCCAATTTCAGGAACACGCTTTCTATACAGCTCCTCGATGACAGTTATCAATCAAAAAGCCTTGACGGAGAAGAGGATAGTATAATAAAATTCACTCGATTCAACGTGAAATGATTGCCGATGGATGGAATGGTTGGAATCGGGTTAAGACTAATTGACATTGAAGAACTTTCTACTTATTTCCAACTTCCAGCGGTAAAGTCATCTTGAATCGAATGCGCCTCTAAAACCGCTTCGCAGCCGTCACGCGTTGACGACTATGGCCTTTCAAGTCTGAGCTAACTTTGAGTATAAAGAAGTTGATTCGAAATAATTTTTGACTATATTTCTATGACACTTTCAGAACAAGAATGGCATATTCGAGGAAAATTTCAAAGATTTTTGCTCTCAGAAATGAGAAAATAAGCCGACGACCGCTAAAGAAAAAAAAAAGGACTACGAAAGCGCTTGTTTATCGACCTCGTGGAAGAAAGACAAGCGATCGAAGAAAATGTTTAATTTTGTAAAAAAAAATTTTTAAAGAAGATTGTTTAAAAATCAGATTGAAAACACAAATTAGAGAAATGAAACTGTTATGAGCAAGTATAATGATAGACTCACAAGGCGTGGGAACGGGCGGAATGCCCTTCTCGCGGAGCATGTCGTAGCAGACCTGAAACACCTTCTTCACTTTTTTTTAACCATTTTCGCCTCTTTTCTTTTTTCCCTTTCCTGGCATGCCAATCTTTCTTTTCAAAGCCGCTGAAAGGTCTATATATGGCTCTCGAGAGAATACGAGCCTCCTTTTTGACTCGGAATGAATTGTAATTGTAAACTTGCATCTCATAAATGAACTTGAGCGTCAAAGAAAACGGATATCCAACAACATACAATTTGTTAGAAAAATGCAGCTATACTCTACTGCATTCGGGTTGGCGCCTCTAATTTTGGTCCTTGTTAGAAGTTCCTATTTTTAGACCCAACTTCTTCGTATATTAAGGCGACTTTGGAAAAGATTGTAGTTCGAAACAGAAGTTAAGAATTCTCTCTTCTCCAAAAATGCGGTTTGCAATTGAGAATTCGGAACTATTGATGAGGATGATCAAACTGACATCCATGGTTTCAGCGACGTTCCCGTTACGCAGTGCGTACGACCACGGCACGTGCGGCGCGGATGACATCGGTCGACGAGAGATTCTGAAACGCTTACTGTAAAGTCTCCACAAAACGATTCCCAAGTGTTTTCATCTTACACCCTCGACTTTTCAGAAATGGCAAGAAAATAATCAAATTTTTTGGAATCGAGTCTTTATAGCTACATTTCGTTTCCCGAGAAACTGAACTTGAAAGGAGAAAAAGTGGTTTAGAGGATGATGGAAAATACTTCCGAAGCCAAAATTGTCCACGAAAGCTATTACCAAAGAAGAAAGTTTAATAGTAAATCAGTTTTTATCAAAACAATTATTAAAAGAATATAGCTAATCCCGAAGTCTCCTTCAAAGAGTCGACGCATCAATAAAAAAAATGCTTCCTTCGGATACCTATTGATAAAGGTAACTGGAAAAAGACAGCAGATGGAAGCATTTCAGAGAGCATCAATAAAAAATCCATTCATTGAACATAGTCCACTTTCTGAGGCTCACACGAAGCCACTTGAGAGTTTTCAAAAAGGTTCGAAGGACAAAAAAAGACCGAAAAAAGGAGCTGAGGTCCTCTTCAAGAAAATATTCTGAAGAGTGTTGGTGATTGGGACACACACACGGATTAGGAAGAGCGGGAGTCTTTTTTGGCGGCTGAGCTCCAGGAAACGAGGAAGAATGCTCCGCAGGCACCTTTACCACAACGCCTGTGGCTATGGTAACAATTATCCGTTATCATTGGCACGCGGCCGCACTCGGCCAAAACGTTTCCGCCTCCGACTGGCCACGCCCCTCTTCAAATCTGTTTCTGTTCAATTAGGTCCAAGTCTGGAAGCCATAGAAAAAGGAGCAAATTACAAAAGATTCGAAATTTGATCAATCTTTTTCTCGAACAACGTACAAAGTCTTCTACTTTTCATTTATCCATCACGAAAATATGACTCAAAGAAAGAAGAGAAAAGAACTTGACAAAATTTAATTTTGAAGATTTCTATTTTTTCCGGTTTTTTTTCTTTAAAAAAAAGAAGTTTCGTTTTCGAAGCACCGACCGCCGTTTCTCTATTGTTTAAAATAGTTTCAAACAACACACCTATTTCAAACTGAAAACGCGAAATCCAAAACTGTGAATGAAACATTTGAAATAAGCCCTGAAGTGGAAACTCGAGAAACGCGTGGTCGACTTATCTCCTATATGGAGCCAAGAAACAAACGTTCCGTCCCCCGAGGCTTCGTCATGCACTTTTAATTTCAGCTCTAGAAAAGTTGTTCTCAAAAATGTTTGGGCGGTTCTCGAACGTCTGAGAAGTGATTCACAAAAAGTAATGAATAACAACTTCTGCGCTTGATTTATGATCTTCTTCCCTAAACTTACAACTCGGCGTCTGATGAATCAGTTTGAAAACTTTCGCAAGTTGTTCCTTTTGACAACTGTGAAGAATTCAAAGCCGGCTTAGGTAAGTTCTGTCTCGAAGGGTATTGCAACTATTTCTCGAAAAACTTTCAATAATGGAAAGAATACGCCAAGGTCTTGGAAACCTAAAAACTTGTTTCAACTTATTTATTGTTGTTATACTCTGAAAAATCACAAAAAAGGACAGAAATAACTTTGTTTTCATTCCCCCCGCCTCCTCATTGAAAAAAACTGAGTTGTTCGTAAGTTTCCACAGACGCTCAAATAAGCCCCCGAAATTGCGACTTGATTGGCGTCGCTCCAAAAAAACAACAAAAACGGCCGAACAATATCTAAAGCTAGTTTCTTTTTTCTTTCTAAAAGTAACCGGATTCACCTCACTGAATTCATTAATGCGGAAGCTGAAATGAAAAAAAAGTAACGTTGGCTTGTCTATTGAGCAAATTGTGAGAATAGAAGCCTGAAAACTTCCTAATTCGATTATAAAACAAAGAAGGAAAAGTTCAAGTAATCAGATTAAGAGTAGGGAGAAGTGAGAAAAAGTTTTAAACACTTGGTTTGTCTGGAAATTCAAAACCTAAAGTTCTGTGGGAAAAATCCCAGGATATACCGAGGAACAGACGCTTACATCAAACCCAATAAGAAACGTTGATGGAGTTATCGGAACGAAAAAAGGCGGTGTGAATAATTGACGTCGAGGTAAAAAACCTCGCGTTTGCATCAATTATTCATCTTCTCAAAAGCCATATTTGAAGGGTTTCGCAAAATTGAAAACATTATATCCATCGATTGTAGGGAATTTTGTAGTTTGCCGACAAAAATAGACTCGCAAATCGCACCGAAGAGGGCGCTACAAAACTCGAATGTAATCGTCGACGTAGGAAAAAAGAAACACGGTGACGTGCGGCTCCCCGAAAGGTTTTAGTGACGGAGTTCATTGAACGAAAAAGAATATTCTTATAGTTGAGAAAGCTGAAAGCTCAATTGCTTCTTTTTCCATTTTTTTTTTCACCGAAGTCAAGTTTATCATCAGCATAAGTCGGCCAATCTAGAAACGAAAAGACTAAGAAGAAAGATTGAGCAACGAAAACTTCAAAAAATATGGGACTTGGCTAATCTAGAATATTCTACACGGATTTTAGGATTTTAGAGATCCTGTTATTGCTTTCCTAAAAATATTTTTTGCCGTGCTCAAGCGTATTTGGAGATTTCGTCTAGAAAGTTAAAATAAGTTTGAAAAATGATAATAATGAGGATGTTGTCAGCTATTGGAGTCTCTAGCTTCTGAAAAATGACTTCAACTAGTTGAAAGTGAAGAGAATTTCAAATAACTGCAAAACTAAACAGTCAGCGCGAGGTTCAAAGTAGCAAAGTACCACTTTCAAAAATGTGTTTCCAGCAAAAAAATTATAAACCTTTTTTTCTTCAGTCTCAAATCTTATTTTTTTCACTTTTTGTTCGGTCAACTTCAAAATATCTATAACAAGAGAAAGATCCAGAAAAAAAGCGGCGAAGCGCGCATGTTAATGCCGCGAAGAAGGGAGTTTTCAGCCAAATCTGAGGTATTTTTGAACCAAAAAACTTATTTTTGTCGCTCGAAAATTTCAAACGCGGCATATAATTCAAATAATACGGGTCAGAGATCACACTTTTCTGTTTTGGCTCAACGTCAGTATCAATTAACTCTAAATTCGAAACCGAAAAATTAATTTTGAATAAATTATAGGTGGTATGAAAAAAAGACCAGCGAAAACTCAAACGGCGACTTTTCCGATTTTTTCATATCGCTAAGGAACTTTCCGACAAATCTTTTTCCGACTTTTTTCTCGATAAAATTTTCGTTTTAAATCATCCTATATAGAGTAGGTAGTTGGTTCATTATTAAAACACAAAAAATAGGAAAAAAAAAATGTAAATAGATGTCTTATAAACCGAAAAATATAAGGGAAAAAAGTCGGAAAAAACTTTCGTCGAAAAGATGGCCGTCGGAAAGTTCTCTAGCGATATGAAAAAATCGGAAAAGTCGCCGTTTGAATTTTCGCTGGTGTTCTTTTCATACCACCAAATTATATTAGTTGAATTATACCATTTTGATCATGACTGTCGCAGATTATATCGAACGGGCGAACTAAAACAGTTCGAAACTCTTTAGAATTATGCTGGAGGTATTTTATGTTATCCGACCCAAGCGGAAAACCAGAAAATTGAGAGTAATTGCAAAAAAGTAGATACGGAAAATGGACCACTCACGCGAAACGAGCCGTTTTGGCTGCTTGCAAAGGCAAAGGGCTTCAAAAAGAAACTTAGGAAAAATTTTTGATTTTTCATTCTTCTTCGATTGAAGGTTTCCTAACTAATTGCAAAAAAAAAAATGAAAAGTATCATCTGGGAAAAAAACCATTCGGAAAAATATTCGAGAAGAATTGGATGGCTTCGGAGCCCAGTGGCACAATCAAATCATTCGTTTCCGCCCATTTTCGCCCTTCAAGAACCTATCTTCTTTCAAAGCAACTCAATCAGCATCGTCTCGCATAATCGCAAATAACCAGCTATTGTTATGTAACAAGATTAAATACCTACCTGAACTTCTCAAGAGTGCAATGATGAAGTTAATGCAGTCTATTCTATTTTTAAAACCAATAATGAGAGCCATAAATATCTGCTCACACGCTAGATTACATCGTTTCTTTTATTGGATTGTTTTTTCCAACATTTTCCACTAATTTGCCGTAAGACGCTCCATCGATCAGCTTCTTGTCCTAACAATTTTTTTCAAATTTAAAAGAAAAATGGAGCAAGCGCCAAGAGTCGCAACCCCAAGAAAATCGGGATGTGTACCAAAAAAGAAAAGTAGAGAAATTCGGTGTCACCTTCTGCAACATAAACTCGCAGATTACTCACTTGGTGCCGCGCTTTTCTAATTAAAAAGGGTCCAACGCGAAATTGCCCAGCCATTTTTGCAACTCTCTTTTAGTTAATCCTTCCTATTTTTGGAATCCGCCAGTTCAAAAATCTAGTATGCTCCAAAAAATCAAGGTACCGATGAAAAAGAAAAACTGGGAAAGTTTTAATATCAACAAGCATCAAAAATATTTTGAAAAATTTTGCGAACACGAATAGATTTAGTTCGAGAAGAAACATTTTAATAGAAAAAGGGCATGATTCTCTAATTACCGCCGGAAAACCAAAACTTCAATCCACTCTGCTTATCATCGGATTCGATGATTATCTAATTGATAACTCAGGTCGCATGACTCAAAACCCTAATATAATTTGAAAGTGTGAAAACGCTCGTTTCTTAGTTACATCAAGCGCAATCTACGCACACAAAGGGATATATTTTTGATTTGGACTTTTTTCCCTGAAAAATCGTAATAAATTCAAAATTTAAATATAGTTGAAAACTTTTTTGAGGAATACGCTAAAAAAAAGAAATAAATGATATCAATGAGAGAAAAATTTGAATTTTGAGTATGAGTTCGATACAGAATTGAAAGAAAAAGAGAAAGAAGGGGTTATTTATCGGTAGGAGTTTTTTTTTCAAGCGGAAGAACGGGCAGTTGTTCCAAGCTGTTCGTTAGTTTTTTGCCGGCCTTCGGCAGGAAAAACACTTTTCCAAGGCATAGCCCTTTGAGGGAATCTGGTGAGCTTAAGGTAGATTTGCGTGGGATGGAGTATCGTCTTTCCATAATTATCTTTTCAGGGGCTCTTGATGGGTTTCTATACAGAGCACAAATTATCATTAAATACTCTTTCTGGATCAAGGTATTTTTTTCGAAACCCGCCGTTTTGGACTTTCATGATCTTCAAACAGATTATTCTGAATGTTAAAAACCTTCCTTATAACGAACACAAAAAAGGAAAAGCTCAGTTTCTCCGAGTATTAAAGGAATTTTCGATTATATGAAAACGTTCTTCAAGATAAACGAAAGCAACTTAAAAACTTTTGCCCTTTTCGAATTCAGAAAAGCTGAACTGTGAAGTGGAAAAAAATCTTCTCCATTTCTAAAAATATTAATAATTTAGTGAAAAAAATGAACTAACCATTATGAAGACGTTGAACGACGTCAAGCGTCGACCGATCCAAGAAAAAACGTCTTCTTTATCTGAAAAAATGTCATCATAAAAAATCATCCTCAGAAGCGAGATACGGTACGGATGACATTAATTGCGCGTCAATGTGACTCAGCTCACAATCAGTTTGAGGGAACTTGTTCAATAACTGTACCGATGATTCAAAAAAATATCTTATCATGGTTGAAAAAGGATATTATACAAAAAGTTCAAAAAAATTTTTTTCGAAAAAGCTGGAAGGAAGAAAAAAATAGAGTCGAAAAACATAGCACAAACTATACTCAAATTTTTTTACACAATTTTTTTCATGTTCATGTTCAATATGATCAAACTATGAACATGGCTTCATAGTTTGAACATATAAAAAACAAAAAAGCCTCGAGTCAATAGATCAAAAAGCATTAATAGGAAGGGGAAAAGCATCTCTTGGAAGGTCGCAAAAAGAACATTATTTCCAGGCTATAAGTAGTGCTTGGATGTCTCCTCGCTTGGCATTCATGCGATTTGGGACAAAAAAAGCCTTTTTTTCTGAATACAAAATAAAGAAAAATAATCCTACTAAAAGCCATCCAAACCTACACTTTTTTAAAACAAAATTCACGAAATGATGGGTGCAAAAAATACTGAGCTTCACATGGTATTTTTCAGCAAAACAAAAGGCGTTTTCTAGAAATAAGAAAGAAAGAGCGTCTAGCCGTGAAGATTACGTCTCAAAACATCCGAAAGAAGAAGATGTATCTCATTTACGGTGCATAAATATTTTGAGGTCTCGGAGAAAAAATGGATCCACTACTCCGAGAAAAATCTCAAGGTTTCAAGTTTAAACATAGGAAAATCAAACATTTTCTTGCAGAACCCCTATGAAACTGATATTTAGAAAGATCAACGTGAAATCAAGAGAAAATGAAAAGCAATGATCACTCCAGTGAGTGGGGTTCAAAGGGTTTAATGAACTCGAATTAGCACAGCAAGTGCAATGGACAGCGAAAATGACGTAAACGAATGTACGGCTGATATTGTGACGTCATCTTTTAGAAGACGAAATACGGTTCAGAAGTAGACTACAGGAAATCAAAATCGGGTGAGCTTTCGCCCAAGTCGATTTTTTCGATAAACCACAAATTAAATCAAACTCCTTCATCACAACACAGATAATCTGTTTCGGTCATGAATTTTGCAGACGTAGAATGAGTTTGAAGTAGATTTTCAGAGAACGGGGGCCAAACAGTCATAAGAAGATTACCTTTTATTTTTAAAGAGTGAATAACTCAATATCATATATTGCCTTACAAGAGGACCAGCTCAAAACATAAGAATTTTCTAAAAGATTCGGCAAAGATTCATTTTGATGCTTACAGTCTCTATTAAGGTGAGATGTGGACTTTGCTCTTCAGTTCACGCCATTTTAGGAAATAATTGATTATGATGAAATTATTGACTAATCATCCACGATGGAAAGAATAAGAAGCCATAAAAAGAAGGACAGGGCTTCCCCAGCAGGAAAAAACTCCGCTCGACGGACGAGAGGACCAGCCGAAAAAGGAACGCCCACGTGAGTCTTCCACCTCAATGCTCCACTCCTCGACACATTTGGAGATTCACTAACAAGCATTTATCTGTCCCAACCACCATCATTCGAAAATCTATGAGAGAAAAGATTTTGCAAACCCCCGATGCGTTTTTTCCTATTCATGAGGTCTGCAGAGCCCCAAATAAAGTTATCCTCGAAGACTTCTAGCGCCGAATTCACAGTGAGCAACGCACTTTCGAAAAAGTCCAATCAGAGGTAGAAAAAGTCTCCTGAGTACTTTCAAGAAGTACCTAATTACTTTCTATTACACTAACTGAACAGAGAAATTAGCACATAGTGAAAAAAAGTATTTGCACATAAGACTTAAAAATTCTAACGGAAAAATTTTTGAAAAAGAGTGATTCTAATTCGTAAGCCTTTAACTTTATACTCTTCTAAAAACAGCAGAAATGAATTCGACTAACTAACACTTGGAACTCGTTAAGCTGACATTTTGTCTTCCGGCGCTTCAAACAATTTGCGTGGAACTTCCAAGATAGGGACGGCCTCTTGGACCCTACTTCCTAATGTGCACAAGGGCTGGTTAAGAAAGAAAAGGCGAAGAAAAAGGAGATATGCTGAAGGAAAGGCAAAAATAACGAGGTGTCGAGAACCGCGAGAGGCGTGGCCGCCGAGGGCCGAGTCGAAAAGTGATGGATGTATAAGTAGGCGTCGGACGCATAAGTGGCCGGATTCATGCGTCCGGAAAGTTGCGTACAACTCCATTTCAGTGGGAATACCATGGAAAATAGTCATTTTTGACCAGAAGATGCTCTTCACGTTATTTTCTCAAGTTCGAATGAATGTCGCATTTAAGAAAAGAGTGGCAGTTGCACATTTAGAAAAGGAACTGTTCAATTAATAAATGGAAATCTTTAATAAACAATTAGTAATGAAAAATAAACATTTTTCGGAAGCCACAATTTACTGTGCCATCTGATGCTTTGAACTGATTTCGAAGATAATCAAAAATTTCATAGATAACCGAACTACCTGTTTAAAAAAATTTTTTTTTGTCAGATCTTTCGGCTCTGCTTTTTTTGAAAGAAAAAAAGAAGGGGAAAGTTATATTATTTCAAAAAAAGCGTCTCATTTTTCAAAGAAATTACAGAGCTGTTTTTTTGTTTGGCAAAACTGGAATTTGAAGAAACCAGGATATAATGTTTGTGACTAGTTCAGATTCGATGATGAAACGATTTTTTCTTCTCAACATGGCTAACAGATCCTCTGCGAAGCCGGGATTCGGACAGGAAAAGAACTATCAAAGATCCGCGACGGAAAGTTGGCGTGGAGAATGTCATCACGCAAGTCTTTGGCTCGGAAAGCCGAGAGTTGCGTGGCCAACGACACAAACTTTCCGATGTGTGAGCGAGTGTCTTTTTGGGCTCCAGCGAGAGCACGCCTTCAATCATAGAATTATGCGCTGCATGTTTTGCAATTTCCCCCTCCTTGCTGCTTACTTTTATTGGACGCACCCAGAACTTATGCGACTTGAGGGGTTTCTGTATATTGTTTTTGTTTCGCTTATCTATGTGGCGGTGAAGGAAGAAAACCGAAAGGTTATGTTAGTCTCCACTTCGTATTAAGTTTCACTTGTTTGAAAAAATCTTGAAAAAGCTGACCTGAAAACGCTTCAAAAGTTTAAACTTGCAGCCTCCTCATAACAAAATGATCAAAACGATGTTGATCGCGATTATTTAGGCCCATTTTCCGTGATAAAAGTCGAGATGCGACTTTTTTCTATGCCTTCAGAAAATTAAGAAAATAATTTCACTTTATTCAGCTATTTCTAGAGTTTCAACCTCTGCATTTTTTTTTGCTCAGAAAAACCAAAAACTTCAAAACTAAATAGGATGCCTGCTGCAAAAATTTTCAATCTCTTTTAAATTTGGGTTGATTTATTTGTCAATTCTCCTAAATTCATTTTTTTTTTCCTCTTCATTGCCAAATATACTCCGTAAACTGAGGCTGAAAGGCTGAGAATTTTTTCAGCACTTCCTGGCCATCAAATATTCATTTTGAGCAAACGCTCACACACGAGTAAAGTTGGTTTGGAGTCTTTATGAGAGATTCGCAGAACTTTGCGACCACGTCAACCGCCGCAGGGCCTTTCAGCTCTTTATGATACATTTGCGCTTGAAATAATGAATAAATACCGATGCAAATCAAGGAAGAAGCTGGAATATATGGAATTAAGGCCATTACGTACGAGCTGTTCATGGCTTCTATCCTGTAGTCAACAGCCTGTGAAACATTTATCTGCATTCTCTTATAAATTGAAAAAAAAAACTGTCGTCAGTGCTTTTTTTTCTAGAGTACGATTCAGCAGAGATTTTCTCGAAAAACGTAGATAAGAGATAATAATAGAAAAATTATGAATAGGGAAAGCGGAGGGATGGGTGTGGAAAATAATTAAACATTCGGAAGAGCGATCCCTAGCAACTCACATGCTCACCATCTCATTCATTCCAAGAAAAGTATATTGAAGACAACAAACTCTTCGCATCTGATAAATCTTTTTAATGATTGAGCTACTCTTCTTGTAGGAACGCGCATTCCACGAAGAAACTTCGAAGGCGGACACACGAGTTCGAATTGAGAGGCGTCAATGAAGCGAAATTTAATTGGAGCTCGGTCACAGAGTGAGAAACACGAGAATGTAATTATAACGAGAGGATCGGCAAGAGTCCAAGCGGCTGTTTTTTCGAGATTCTATTCATAGGCGACCAACTGTCTGCCACCTGCGAGGGTCGCCGGTCAGCCCACGTCATCCGGCAGCGACTCGCGACAAATCGCAGCGAATCAGTGCCGTCAAACCGCGTTATCTTCGCATTTCGCTGCCGTTCGTCGTTCCAGCTTCTTTTTAGTCTTCTCGTCGATAGCAAGATGGAAGGCAGCTTGTTTTCCATTGTTTAATACGGATTTGTATCACAGGATAAAACTGCAAAAAGATTTCCCAACTTTTCTCGTCGCTATAAATAGATTCAAGCCCTTTTTGCGTTTTAAACTAATCTCGTCGCCAAAACAAATTTAGAGAAAAACACAATTTCAAGGGAAAAATATTCAATGAAGAAGACTTAATGAGAGATATAAAGAAATCTTATGGTGATCCACGCACTTTCTTTTCTGGACGACCGCTATTCCAAAAGTACAGAGTAGATTGGAAATTCCTGCACTCTTTTGCGAACTTTGCACTGAAAATAGATTTTTCGGAGCACAAATTTGTAAGTTTGCGTTATACTTGAAACATATTTTTGAAATCAAGAGCTCAAGCTTTATTGAAAATTTGAGTGGTATTCCTAAGAGTACTTGAGAATTATGTACGGATTAATGAGGGTTTAACTTCTGCTTTAAAAAAATCTTTCAACCGTTATTAAACCAAAAAAAAAGCACAAAGCTTCATTACAAAGCTGCTAAATTGAGAAAAATTAGCAGCACTGGAAGAAGAGCGCAATCCTCGGAATTGGAGCAAAAAGTGGCGGATTCGGCAGGAGAAGCAAAGGAAAAAATAAGAATTTGTTGGAAGAAAAGCTTTATCCAAAAAAATAAAGTTTTTAGTCTCTTTTCTAAAGCCGAGGGACAGCCGCCATCCCTAATTCCCATTGTATGTTTTCGAATACTTGTATTTATGTCTTGGGTCTAAACGAAGTTACCTTGACTCGCGACTTCAGATAGGTTTTTGAACGAGAAAAGAAGAATTGAGAGCGGAAGCAATTATTTTCAGAAATACCAGAAAAGAACGGCCTTTTTTTGAAGGTTCAAGAACACAGATCACATGATCCCTGGAGTATTGGTGAAAGGTGGTGTTCAATCAGCCGCCAACGAGAAAACTAATTGCCCCTGTCCCAAGCTAAATTTAGTTTTTCATCGTTTTTTTATAATCGATTTTATCTTTCCACCTGCCCGATGAAAATATGTATACCAATAGCTTTTCGAATAGATTAACTTCTAAGAAATTGTTTTATGACAGCTGATGAAGGCTGAAAAAATTAAAAAGATATTAAAATGTCAATTCTTGTGTTCCAATGAAAAAAGAAAAGATGAAAGCTTCCTAAAACCTTCTTGAAAAAGATTATAAGTTTGAGGTGTTTCTTCTGATTGGCAACTTCGAAGCGAAGTAGGTGAATCAAACGCTCGAAGCCCCACACCTCTCTCTAAAAGGAGAAGACGAATTGAATTTGAGAGGCGGCGTGGATAAGGCGCAAAGAAAGACGTTTCAAGAGGAATAATGAGTCGTGTCCGTTTTCCGGAGCCGCGGCCGGCGTCTCTTAAAAGAACCGTCAACCGCTGGAATAAGTAATGCATTGGCCATCGCAAATGAACGTTTTTTCTCTGCCCTCGTTGGAGCCTTTTCCGCAAGCTCATTAAAAGTATCAAGTCCAACGACGCAAGTAAGCAAAACAAAATTTAGATCAGTTTCGAAAATCTAAAAATTTCCTTATGAAACGAAAATTAGATTCTAATATAATAAGGAAGTAGAAACGCAAAACCAAAAAGAATAGTTTTTCGCTTAACTAAATGTCAACTTTCGTTGTGCAGGTTAGAACAGTGATTTGATAGCCACCTTCTGAAAACATAATTCTCATTGAACCCGGAAAAAGGGCAACGGAGAAGATGAAAAATGAGTTGCGAGAAGTCTGACAATCTCAATTTCCCCAGAGACATCTCAAAAAAGAAGCAAACGACAACTCATCTTTTGATGATGGCTTCATCATGCAAACGGTTGTCTTTTTCCGCACGATGAAGAAGAAAAAAAGAGTACAAGAAAATAATATTTGCTGTCAAAACATGAAATTCGCCGGTATCAGCCGCCGAAAACCAAATCTTCGAGCAGAGAGATTTGATGCAATGACTCACGTGGGATGTAAAAGTTCCGGATGAGCTGTTTTCCACCTAAAGCCGCAGATGAAGCCAACTTCCGTCCAAAACGCATTGATGAACTCATTGGTGGCAGGAAACAGAGATATGTGGCATTGGATAAAGTCCTGACAGGTGAAAAACATTTCGATTGAAAAAATAAAAGCTTCAAACACAGTTTTTGTTTTCGAATGCTGTTAATAATCGATTTTCCACACATTTTACAAAGAAGAACACACTGAAAAAAGAAACAAAGAGCGAAAATAATCAAAGACAATTCGTTAATCTTTGAAAAGCCGACGTTGGGCAAAAAGATGCAATCTGCGGATTACCACAAGAGCAAAGAAATTCATATTTAGAGGCGAGTTCGGAGAAAAAAGAGAGCATCGCCAATGCATCGAGGCCAAATCCAAGCGAAGACTACGGCCGATCCCAAAAAAGGATCCACTGATTGGAGCTTTCTGTGGATGTTGAGAAGGGCACGCGACTAATTACGCCAGGCGTCCTCTTCGCTTTTTTTTTTTCAACAAGTGAGGAATATTCGAGAACGAACCAGCATAAAAGACACACAATATGATGCCAACAAGGCGAACAAAAGAAAAAGAAGAAGCCGAAACCGAGCCATCAATTCAAAAGTTGGGAGCTACAAGGAAATTTTTCTAGAGCGTGCGTGGAAGAGGTCTCGGGGGTGGAGCCAACTCAAGACAGACGTCCAGAAACCTCGCGACAACTGACGTGTTTTCGGCTGTCGCAACGCTGACGAGAGCCACATGAACTGCCTCTGTCGAACGTTGAACGACGGTCAGCGACATAAGTTCGTCCTTTTGCAACTGATAACGAAGGAGAATCTCGAAAAAGAGCTACCGAAAGTCGAAAAAGAGCTACCAATCATCTAAGTATCGCAAGAAAAGCGCTGATGACACCATTTCATTCTAACGTGTGATTTTTTAAAGTTGTAGGGCAAGGCTCAATAAATGATTGAAAGTTAATTTTGTTTCACAAAATGAACGTCGTAGAACATAAATTCATAGAGAAGACGAAATCAAATGAGAAAAATTTAAAATAGCAAAAAGAGTTAACATTTGGTCCTAGGACGACTTGAGAGAATAGTTAACGAAAAATCCAAATTTGAACGAATACTTTGAATATGACGTGGTTGTACAGCTAGTTTCAGCTGTTTAAATTACAGTTGCAACTAAAATTCTGCTGCAGAAAAAAAAACCAAAAAAGTAAACTCGTAATGAAAATCCAAAATTTGTCGCGCAAAAGTTGCCATGGAGCATACATACACTCCATTCGTTTTCTAAACATGCAACATGATTATTTTTTCCTTTTTCCTTTTTTCTATATTTTTTCTAAAAGCTTTTATCTTTTTATTCAGGTCGTCTAGAGATTTGATGATACTTCAAAGACTCAAAATAGTTTTATAGTGTGTAAAAAGTGATTTCGGTCGCTGAAAAAAGGATCAAATGATGAGCAGAGTACTTAAGTAAAGCAGAGTACTTAAGTAAAGTATACTTTCAATATATTTTCATGGCACTCTTCAATTTCAAATGTTGCACTCGCGTTTTTTTCACTATTTCTTTTAAATTGAAAAGATCGAAAAATTCATAAAAGGTGAAATTGCTCCGAGTCTCGAGAATAAAATGAAATTTGAGTTTTAATGGTATAATATTAGTATAAGAGAGCGTAAAATTTGGATAAAGAGCGCCATTCAAGATTGGCTTCGTCAGATCTTCGTATTGCAATAGCTTGTACGTGAAACCGAACTTCTAGAAGAAAAAAACCTTCATGCGCGAAAAAGAAGCAACCAGAAGTGATAAAAACCAGACTCTTTAACCTTTAAATTCTCACCGAAAAGATTGAAGAAGTAATTCATCACAGAAAAGAAGGAAGAAATATGTGTAAAAAAGGGTGCGGTTTCCGGAAAGAAAGACCTTCACATCGGATCGTTTCGCAAGATTCAAAAAAATGTTAGGGATAGTTACTTCCGCGTTGGCTTGAAAAAAAAACGGTAATCCTCAAATTCCGAATTGTTTACCTCATAATTTTTTGCAGCGGATATAACCAATGAAAAAAACTCTTGAAAGTTAAATTTTTTTCGAATTAATCGCTTCAGATCCCTTTCGTCAAAAAAAGCTTAATTAATAAAGTTGAAAATCTGAGATTTTTCAGAAGTTCAATCTGATTTCTTTCTAGATGTTTTTTTTTTTCAAATTCAGAGAATATTTGCGATCCTGCACGATTTTTCCAAATCAGCAAGTTCACTTCGAAGATCAAAGAAGAGAGATTGAAAAACTTTATATAAGTTTATTTTTATTTTTCTCATCCAAAAAATCGGCGAAACGTTCATTATATACAGATACTTTAGAACGAATGATGAACTGAAAAAGATTAAGTTCTTTCCTTTAATTTAAAGGCTTTAAATATTGAGGTCATTTTTCAAGCCAAAAACAGACTATCTAACGGAATTTGAGGAGTTTCTTTGTTTTTGAGGTGCTCTTTCTCAAAAAGAAAGTTGTGCAGGTTGAGGCTTTCAGGAATTTTTTGAGCGTGATATCCAACTTTTAAGAGATTGTAAAGAATTTTCTTGCGAGTCCGTTTTTATGTTGATTTAAAATTCTTTCATTCGGTAACTATGGAGAGGATTCCCAGAGATCGGTAAACTTCGGATTCAATTTTTTTGCAAACAGCTACCTTTTTTTCTATTGATAGTTTTGATCGGTCAGGTTTCTGACTACTCCGTTGACATTATCATTCTACTCGTTTTAAAACTAAACTCGGAAATTGAAAAGAAGGTTAAACGGAACTCTTCTTTTGTAGTCGGAGTCGAACCGTGCAAATAGTCAAGAACGAGAACTTGTCATTAAATCACTGCTTTGAAATGCAGGATGATCTCAAGACTCCTGACGGAAATTGATAAAGATAATTCAGAAAAGGAAGACGTCATCAAGGAGGATCAAGAGGAGGGCGAGAGCCTTGAGTGAATGAAGCCTAGTAGGCAGATAACGAGGTTAGGCGCTTTCCCATCTCGCCCAGACCTCTTCGAAGTTCTTTCGGCCTCGAGAACGCGCCACGTCTTCGCCTCGACGACAATTGAACGAATAAGATTGTCGAGAAAAAAAAACGAAAAAAGAACTTGAGGACATTCCAGAAGCACGGGAGTTTGAAACAAATCAAACATTTAGAAAAACCCTCCTTTTCTTGCGGTTCGAGAAAGTGTGACCTTTATGAATTGAATCCAACAAGGGAAGTGTCTGAGGTGAGAATCGCGGATCTGATCCAAACTTCTATGGTATGTACTCCAAGGTGAGATAACTGGAAAAAAAGAATTATCTGCTATGCGGCACAGGGTACCAAGAAAAAGCTGAACGGGTATCAACACGAAAACCTCAAATACTTCTTTACAGAAATATTTTCCCCCTTTTTTTTGTACAATTGAACTATTCGGAGCAGTTACTTCAGAAACTGAATCCAAAAAAAGCAGTTCGCACGTTTCCTGAACAATTTCGAACATCTTTTTCTTGGTACCCTGTGGCGCTTAGCAGATCGTTCTTTTTTTCGAATATTTTCCTCTAGGACCATTTACGACAAAAGGTTGAACCAACGATTTTCACCTCAGACGCTTGTCTTCAAAGAACACTTCATCACTGAATTCGTCAATTAAAAGTTGTCAAAATTTGGTTTGATTTCTAAAAATCAAAATAATTTCACGACGAAAACAATCTGAAGTGAAGTATGGACTTCAAGAGAGATCATCGTTTTCATCAAGTTTCATTGTGTGTCAAACAGAGTCGATTTGAAGTTTTATATAGCCTCAAAACTCTTTCTATTTTCTGAAGCCTGAACTTTTCAAGCTGAACGGATTTTTCTTTCAAATGCGCATCTTTCGGCTGAAATGACATTTTCTCAGTCGCACTGTCTTGAGCATGTTCTTTACAACCAAATTGATTGATTTTTCAATTGGGCCGAGCAAAGCTCTTCCTAACATGGAAGGTGAAAACAAGAATGTGGCGAATTGGGAATAAAATGCAAATTGCATAGCTCCGGGGCACCAACTTTTCTCACCACGTCGGCTCCATCCGAAGACCTCCGAGACACTTGTCACTCACACACTCACACACACTCTCATACACACAGATATAAACAACACGAAGCCTCACTCATAAATTGGCGGGATTTTTCCAAAAATAAATGGTGTTTTCAAAGAAACAAAAACATGATTTTATCATTTTACCTCAAAAAACAGAAATAAAACCATGGAATCGTCATCGGGGCAAATGAAAGCAAACATTTCAAAAAAAAGACCGTAAAAGGAAGTTGAGATAGAAACCGAAAATCGGATTGCAGAAAGAGACACCATCCGGAAAAGCCATTCGAAACAAATATAAAAATCAGAAGACCGGTGAAAAAAAATATCGGAAACTTTTTGCGCCGAACCAAAATCCGACCAACAAAACATCAATTGAAAAGAACTATACAATAAAACGAAAAAGCCATTGGAAAAAGAACTACTTTCAATAACTTTCAACCGTTGAATGTTGCAACAAAAGGTCGTGTTCAGAAGGTTCAGAAAGTTCAGAAGAGACTTCAAAGAAAAAATGCGAACGAAATGTTCTCTTAAATTGATTCTTCCGGTTTCAGTCACCGTTTGACCTGAACACTATTAAACGACTTCCACTTGTTGAAAGTTCCACAAAGAAAAAAGAAAAGACGGAGAAGTAGCCGGACGTCAAGGGTTGGCCACGGCCGGGGGAGGAGGAGGAGGAGGTCCGTTTTCCTTGTCTTCGTCGAGCAGAGCGCAAGTGATATCTGAGAGTGACACTCAGAAATGCCACGCTTCCTCCATTATTCACTAACCCAGATTCTTCATCAGCGTCCGCAGCCAGTTCATTGTGCTCACGTCGTCTTTGAGAAGCTTCTTGAAAGTCAGATCTTTCAACTGATCCGGCAGGCACTGCCGCAGTGCGAGCTGAGCTCTATAGCTAAAAACAAAAAAGTTGCATCAGTTTTTAAGAATTTTAAGTTTTGCGACCCGCATTTCTTCATTAACTAACACATGAAGACCGTCATTGGGGAATCTGCCTAGTCACTTCTAAAAAATTACAATATACAACTTCTTAGGTGAGAAAACTCAAAAAAGGGCAACATTTGAGAAAAAAAAACCATAAAAAACTTTTTACTCATAAAGAAAAGAAGTCTAGTCAGACAAGGAAAAGGGCGGGACAAACATTTTTATGGTGATAATAAATATTAGATCATAAACTTCATTTTCAGAAGAGACTAAGACTCTGTTCTAATAAACTTTACCTAACACCATTGAAAAAAAAAAACTCTTTATTCTATTTTTCTAAACCTTTGGATGCTCTCCTACCTCACCGTAAAAAAATAATGCATAAGAAACCTAGAATTGTCGCTGAGCCGACTATAGCATCTGATGACGTGCTTCAGAAGACGCGACGAGGGCTCACGAGCAAGTTTCAACACCATTTTTCCCTGATAAAGTAAAAGTTCAGAATAAGTTCTTGATGACCTTACCAGAATCATGGCAACGTGACTGAAACGTTCGTAAGTCTGGCAGATGTAGGCGAGGCCAGTGTCGTCGAGGAGAATTTTCTGGAGGATGAAGGTGGCGACAGTTTTGGACAACTCAGTCCCTTGCTCCATGATGCGCAAGCAGAGTGGAATGATCTCCGTCGAGAGCAAGAAACTGATCACCGTCAGCAATTGCTGAAAGCAAGATCTTCGAAGCATTACAGACTTTTTTCCCATTTTTATTTTCCTTATTTTTTGTTTCACCTAGCCCATACATGGGGCAGACCAAATTTCAGGGCCGCCGATCCCTGTTTACAACTTTTTTTTTCCAAAATGCCCACTTTTCTCCAGGTGATATTTCTTTAAAAGGGAGCTCTTCAATTTCAGATTCATTTTTTTTATTTGTTAAAAGAAAATCAAGCCTACCATAACCAATTTCAATATTTTTTTGTTGATATTTCAATTGGTATTTCAATTGAACGACTGAAATGTACAATTTTTCAAATTTTCAAATTTATAGTTTAGGCTCGCCTTTGAATTCGTACTTACTGCCAAATACTGTAACAAATTGCTACAGTAAACGTCCCTCCACCGCATTTCAAATTAGAAAAACTTAACTGTAACTGGGCTTATAATGACAAATCCGTGTTGTAGTTTAAAGAATGGACCGATAATGAGCTTTGTTGAACTTCTCCCTGAGATAATTCTCAATTCCTTCATATTTAAAATCACATTCGAGTTCCAGTTCACCATCTCATAGGCCACCACAACACCATGAAATCGTTTACGCAGGTATAAGATTTTTGTCACTAAAAATATGTTTTGCAGCTTTTTTAAAGTACTTCACTGCAAGTTTAAAAATCACTAACTCGCTTGAAATTCGCGCTCCCAAATCAGTTGCAAATTTCATGAGCTATAATTTTTTTTTCAGAGTTATACTTTTCAGATGGAAAATTGACGAACATCTTTGTCTTCGGTTTTGACGAGAGCTCCGATGACGCCAAGAGATGTCAGACGCAGATATTCAAAGGAACGTGACGCTTTCGTCGTGTGCAGAAATGGGTACAAATACAAGGGAATATGGGCTGAAAGTCGCCATTTGTGCGGTTTCGAAGGAGTAGCAACCTTGAAGGAAGGGAGCTCGAGTGTCCCGGTGACTCGCCACACATTGCATCAAGGCGAGGGCGTTGCAAACGCGATTCGACTGCACAGCGGAAAGGTTGGCTGGCATGATGGCCGGGTAGATCGCCACTACCTGCAGAAAAATCTCCGATTTTTCAAGTTAAGCGAAGATTCAATTTTCTTCCCACTTTTTCAAAAACAAAAAAAAAACGCTTGACAACATTTTCTCTGCGTCTTTTCTCAATCTTTCCAAAAAAAAACTTTTGAGACGAAAATCCAAAAATGGACCTCCTGCAAGAGCGCGGCCATCGTGCCGAACGAATACCAAAGCCAAATGGGCAGTTCTGGAACGCTGTCTCTTTTTTTGCTCAGTTCGAGGAGAGCATTCTGCAATCCTTTCGTAGAAGGATAAATTCCATTTTCATACCTCTCTCTTCCTTGGATCCTTCAGGTCGAGAATCCACTGTTGAATCTCGTCGCTAAAAAATGAAGATTGGAAGCTTACATTAGACAAAAAAACACTTGTTGATTTCTATGCCATTCTGGCCTGCGCCCAGAGCCGGCGAGCTCCGTTCCGTAACACCAGCCATGCGCTAAAATTTCGTTACTAAAATATTGAGATGTAAAAAATTACGCAAAGGAAATATATACAAGGTTTCAGAGCCTTAAGAAGTTGAGGAAAAGAGGAAAAGAGAGGGAAAAATAATTTATCAGAATAGTGCACGGAGAGAACAACAACAACTATGAGAACGGCGATAAATTAACAATGTATAATGCTTAACACGTCCGAAGGAGAAAAATAAAAGTACACGCGGGATTTTCGAAAGGATAAAAAATGATTCAGTTCGTCGCCGCCTGAACCATTAGCCTTGGAGCGATCGACATGGACATGAGTTCTTGGAAGAGAAGCTTGCAGGCGTAGGGTATTCTCACCGCGGAAACCTGCGTCTTGTTGCGGCAAGCCTTAAAACCAGGATTGAAGCAGGGAAACAAGCGGAGGGCAGATGAACCTTGCACTCGAAACTGTTGGTTCGCAAGTTGGCGACGACGATCAGGCCACAGTTGTTGCAGATGTAGACGTGGTAGGGGTCGGAAACCTCGAAAAGCCTTTCACGAAGGAACTGGGTGGCGCCGTGGGATATTTGACAATCGCGCTCCATTTCTCCAAAACGAAGGCCACCATCTCTGAAGTCCTTCTTTAAAGATTTCGAAAAAAAACTTCCAAGGCTGCTCTGCGAAAAAGATGGACTGTTTCAAACCTGGCCCTTCCTTCCATGGGCTGGCGGTTCATCATTTGGATGGGACCGCGGGCTCTCGAGTGGATTTTATCGTCGACCATGTGCTTCAAACGCTGGTAGTAGGTGGGTCCGAAGAAGATCTGGGGCTTTCTTCGATCAACACGCGGCTCCTGTGAATCTTGCCTGTGTGGTGAGCTTGCCGCCCGTGTGTCCGTTGTACATCACTTCGTTGCCACGAAGATGATAGCCGTACTCCTGGAGTAAGTTGCTGATTTTCTGCACGTTTACCGTGTCGTTGAACGGCGTCGCGTCCCCAATTTCGCCCTTGTTAGCCGAAAGCTGGAAATATTTTATTTTTATTGGGAAAAAGTATATCGTTGAAACTGTTAGGATGGGTGAATCCGTTTTCAAAAATTATAAAAACTTATTATTTTGGTTTTTTTCGTTTGAACAAATCTAAAGCTTTCTATTAAAATAACACCTCGTTATCTGGTTATTGGTCGAATCAATTCCGTTTATTTTCCCATTTCTTCTTTTCTTGTATGTATCTATAATCATTATATCCATAGCGAAGGATAAACAAAGAAAATTCTAAATTTAGGATTTGACACATTTCGCGCTCCTAACATCAAACTTAATAGTGTAACAAATTTTTAGACATCTGAATTTTAAAAAATCCTTTCTTTCTGACAATTATTATTCACCTTGCCCTGCAAGCACTCGATAAGATGGCCAATGGTCATTCGAGAAGGAACGGCGTGCGGATTGATGATGATGTCCGGAGTGAGACCTTCACAGGTGAACGGCATGTCTTCCTGGAAGATCCCCTTCAAGGAGAGAAAATCTCCAGGGTTCTACCTGTCGGTACATGATTCCCATGGTACCTTTCTGTCCGTGTCGCGATGCAAACTTATCGCCAATTTGCGGCGATCGAACCGACCGAACGCGGATCTTGACGAACTTGTTGCCGTCGTTGTTCAACGACATCATCACCTTGAAACAAGAGGATAATCTCTCAACTCACTAAAGTACCTGATCGACAATTCCGGTTTCTGAACTTCTTAAGAAAGTCGAGGAATCTCTCTTCGAATACTTCTTTCCTTGAGCATCGAGATCATCATCCTGCAAAAAATAAGCGTGAAAAACGATATCCCCTTTATGAAATTAACAACGATGAAAATCAAATTAAATCTGTGTAGCTTCGAAAAACTTATTTCTATTTTTCTCTTATAGCCCATGACGAAAGTTGAAAAAATGACAGTTATTAACACTGCAAAAACCTTTTCAATTGGATTCATAACAATTCGGCAATATTTGATGAAAAAGTCATAAGAAGGATTCCTCACGATTTCTGGCAAAGCGACAGTTTTTCCAATGATGACGTCATCTCCCGAAACACGCATTCCAGGAGAAATAATTCCATCGTCGTCAAGCTTTAAAAAAGTATCCGTATAACCGGGGTGCTCGTGAAATTAGTGAGAGAACCTTCTCGTAGAGCGCATGTCGCATTCCAGAACACTTGTCTCTCGTCGGCTTCTCGATCAACTCCTCGTTCGGATTGTCGACGTTGGCCTCGTTGTCGCGGTAAGACCGATAGAACACCTGGGCCGTATTTGTTCAGAAACTTCGGCATTCATTTCAAATACCGATCGGAAAAGCCCTCGATCGATGGCCGAGTTGTTCATGATGACGGAATCTTCTTGGTTATATCCGGAATAAGACAAAATGGCGACGATCGCGTTGATTCCAGCGGGCAACTCGTTGAACCTTTCGAAAAAAGCATTGGGATAGGGTGATCCAGGTCGGGCAACCTCAAATATTCCATGGATCTCGTCGTGACCAACGGCTTCTGAGGGTAGTACAAAACGTGGGCAAGAGTGTCCATCCGAACGTGGAAATTCGTCGTGTAAACTCCCATTGCTTGTTTACCCATAGCACTCTGAATGCCGGAATAAATATTTTTGAATGATAATTTCCGTTTGAATCAGCTTTTCGTTTAAAAGTGTTGGATTGTCATAAACTTTTTTCAAAAAAGAGAAAAATAAAAAGAAAAACCTCGATCATGAGTTAAACTTTACAACCTCAAGAAAAAGACATTAAATTTTCCGTTTAGGCAGAGTTTAGGCAGAGTTTATTCTGAAATTAATGATACAGCATTGAAAAAAATATAATTGAATGGAATAGCAAATTTTTTTCAAAGCTGGTCTTGGCTTTTTGCAAAATTTGCAGTCCTAATTTTTTTTACTTTTTTTGAAAAAAATAATTTAATTTTTCAACCCCAAAATTGCGTGTTAAAAATTTTTTTCAGATTTTTTTATCATTTTTTTCGAGAAAACAAAGAGTTGTGGAAACTGTTAATAGATTGGATTTATTTTGAAAAAAAAAAGTCGTCCGTTCAGACGCACAAAGAAAATTTCCAATTTTAAATGTTCATCGAAATGTGCAGTGTAAAATTATAAAAAAATAAATAAAAGTCTTCCGCCCGAAAAAAAAATTAAAAAAAAAACCTGGTAAGTATTACGAGGACTCTGATTGTGATCGGGAAAAGGAATGATGGAGGCGCAGACTCCGAGGATCATCGCCGGATGGATTTCGCAGTGGGTGTAGGTGTCGCAGTAGCCGCCAACCTTCAGATCGTCCGGCATCATGGCCAGCATCACCGTTTCTGGAAGAAAAAGGCTAGAACGGGTCTCAACTGAAGGAGAAAAACCTTCTTCCATTGCATCGATGAGCTCCACAACGCCTCCGGCCACGAGATCAGACCAAGAAAACTTGTTTTCCGTGTCTTTGAGTCGGTTTATATGCGTGGCTTTGAGTGCGAGCCTCTGGTTCTCCACAATGAGCAGAGGCCGACAAACGCGACCGGCGTCCGTGTAGATGCGGATCTCGCGGTCTCGGATGTCTCTGACCATCGAGACTTCGGACACGATGATGTCCATCTGTCGTCTGAGTTTCTTCAGCGTCGACATCAGATGATCGGGATCGCGATGAATTCCGACCCAGGCGCCGTTCACGAAGATTTTGGTCGCGTCAGCGATTGCAGAAGGCGATACCTCTTAAAAAGAAAATGAGTTTTGCTTTATTGTTTGTCTATCGTCAAATACCTTCGAGGTTTTCCATCGACCACTCCTCCAAGAACTCAAGAATAGGTTCCGGAAGAGAACCGACGGAAATATACGCCATTAGGGCCAAGTTCTTCACAAGTCCCACAGCTTGGCCCTCAGGCGTTTCAGCAGGACAAACCTGAATATTTAAGTACAGAAAGAGGTTCGAATTCAATCAAAACCATTCCCCATTGAGTGTTGTGCAACTGTCGAGGCTTGGCCAATTTTCCTTCTCTTCCAATCGGCGAATTTGCGCGACGCAAGTGAGACAACGTCGCTGTGTACGTCAGACGGTTCAACACCTGGAAATTTGGTTTCTTATTCATTTTTATCTCACGTCTCTCCGATTTTCCACATTTAGTTTGTCTGTTCCTAGCCACTTCAAAAATTGATATTCGAAATGAAATATTCTCATTTGGAAATTCGTTTTGATTGAACATTTGGAATTATGACTTCGAGTGAGATTTCAAAGAAGGACTTGGACAAATGTCGTCGTAAAATTGGCATTTATGGCATTTATGGAATACCTGAGAAACGCCGGCTCTGGACTGATGAGCTTTTTTCTGATCGCCCCAGTTTCCAGTGGCCAGCGAATAAGCCAGTCCGCGGGTGATCGTCGAAGTCTTCACGCAAACTTCCAGAGCAAAGTCGCCGTTCTTGTTGATGTACTTTTGAGCCGTCAAACGCATCTGAAGACACGGTGATTGACGTCCCGATTTGAAGGCAACCTCTTTGAGCAAGTTGCGGAAAAGGGCTCGGAAGAGAAAAGCGAGAAGCGGTCCTGCGAGATCGAGGCGTTTGTTCCCGATGTGATCTCGGTCATCGAGTTCGCGTCTTCCCAGTGCAGCCAGCAGCAGTCGGTGGACCATGTAGCCGATGAAGAACTGAACCAAGCGGTGGAAGAAAAGTCAGATATTGATCCGCATACAGCCTTTTTAGTCTCACAATGCTCCGACACGCCGACGTGCGGGAGCAACTCTTTTTGCAGAATTTCTCGCGCATACTTGATTCTCTGCTCTTTGGTGACACCAGGCTTCGCACCACGGGCTCCAATAAAATTCAGAGCGACGTTTTGTTCCTTAAAAAAAATAGATAAATTTTCGAGGAAGTTATCGAGGAATTATAATTTATGTTCAATATTTTTGAGATCGAGAAAAAGCAACATACATAGTCCAGTCATTTAAATTTACTGAAAAAACTTCAAGAAATACTCGCAAAAAGAAGAAAAAAAGGTTCTCGCTGGAACCTCACCAGATGTTCATCGAAATTGTTCTCAATCCCATTCACTTCAGATTTTTTTTCGATTCGAGATTTTATATAGAAATTTCAATTATATCAATGCTTCAGTGATTCCCAGTTCTCCTTTTTTTAAAATATTCACCGTTTCTCTGAATTTTTTTCCAATAATATTCTTTTCGGGGAGCTTTTTCTTATAACGATGAATACCTGGATAACGAAGGCTTCGTCGAGCGACGGCTTTCACCATTTCCATCATCTCCGGGTCTTCGAAATCGTAGATGATGTGCTCAAGGATATCTCTGTCTGATACGAATCCAAGGGCTCGGAAAACAATCATCACAGGAATTTCCTATGAGAATTTTCAAATAAAAAAAACTTCCTATATTTAGAACACCTGCTTGATATAAGGCAAAATGGCGATGATTCTCTGGCCCATGGCCGTCTTTTTCCCACTTCCACCTCCTCGGGACATCATGTTCACCCACATGGTTGACGTCGGACGGCTGCAGTTCATCTTGCGATTATTTTTAAATTAAGCCAGGAAAACCTAGAGTTCTCCAAGCAAGACCGACACTCTGTCTTGAACGCGTACTTTCCATCTTTCATCGAGAAAACGTAAACTGTGTTGGTAGCCATTTTCTCTTGAGCAATAAGAACCTGCGCGACAGTTTTACGGAATCAACAAAATGATGTCTACCTTCTCAGAGCCATTGATGACAAAATAGCCGCCAGGATCGAGTGGACACTCGTTAAGTTCGGTCAAATCGCGATCTGTCATGTTGGACAACATACAGTAGCTCGACCTAAAACAACAAAATATTCCGAGTGGTCGGTTTCAATCACTGACCGAAGCATAACTGGAACTTTCCCGACGAAAACTTTCTCATAAGTTTTCTCGGTGACATCGTCGTCTTGTTGGATCTGTTTGGTGATGTCAACGTACAAAGGAGATGAATAGGTCAAGTTACGAAGGCGTGCCTTCAATTGAACCAAAAAGGGTGAGTTTTCCGTTTTTGTTGAACCTCATTGGGCATCATCGGCATGGGAGCACCGTCTTTTTCCCAGTGAGTGGGTTTCGAAAGATAGATTTGGTTGAATTTGAGGGAGAATTTGGTCGGGTTTTCAAGATCGCCTTAAAAGATAAGTAGCATTTTTAGGGAGGTCCACAAGATACCTTGCAAATGTTGAACTTCTGACTGCAACTCGACCGGCGGAGAGTCTTCCACGATTCTTTGGACGTTCATTTGGACGAACTCGTCGAAAGAATCCAGTTGTTGACGAACGAGACCTTTTTCGTCGAAGTAGGCGCTGATCACGACCCAACAGGCTTCCTGAACCTTTTCCTTCCGAAAAAAAGAAAAACACCAGCCAATGTAACCTGCCATTGTTCGCTGGTGATTTCGTCGATGTCGATTTCCTCAGCCTCGTCCTCCATATGCTCCATCTCCTCCTCCTCCTCATCGTCGTACATCATCTTTCTATTAATTTAAAAAAAAAATGAACAGGAACTTGAGAAAGCCAAACAAATATGAGAGCAGGTTATTCAACCGCATGATTCTCGAAATTTCTAATTAGAAATACTTTCATTGTTTTATTATGCAAGCGAGGAGAATGAGATCGATGAGAAAACCGAAAATATAGAACGACTAGCAGAGATACTGACAGGCGGTAGAAGAAATAACAGAAAGCACAAGAGAGGCGGAAATAATCACAAAAATCGCTGAAATGCTCGAAAATGCAACGCATAAATACAGTATTCAATAAATTAAGTTTTTTAAGTGCTGTAAAATTAATGGACAAACAAAATCCATTACAAAAGTTCCGTATTGAAAATATTTGGCAGAATAGATTCTAGGAAGAGTCGAAAAGAAATTCAGTACAAATATTGCGGCCTTTTCACGATAAGAAACCCCTCAAAGACAGAAATGTAAAATAAAAAAATGGCTCAAGTTTTTTTTTTTTAGGGATTCTTGTTTCCCATGTTGGGCTGAATTTCCATTGGTGTGTCTCCCACGGAATCAAATCGAAATAGGCAGAAGGCAAATAGCGTAGCAAAGCTCAACGGGATTCAGCCCATGGCCGGACTCCCCACGTAGACCATCGAGACTTCTGTGTTTCCATAAACTGCGCAGACGGCAGGAAACAGCCGCACGGGCGGCAGATGACGGAAAGCGACGCCGAAAAACTCGTGACCGCGTTCGAAGTAAGCGACGTGTTGGTCACAGTCGATCACCAGTCGCAGCCGTTCTCCCATCTGAACGAAACGATCCAATTCATTACATGGGAAAAATGAAAAAACTACAATGTGGTTTTCCTTAGGAAAAGTTTGGTTTTCATGAATTTTCAAACGTCTTCTTACTGTAAAAATTGAGGTAGAGCTCTGAGTGCATATGCATGAACGTCTACGCAGCCTAAACCAGGTTTCTGGCAAATAAAATATATTTATCTCTGTTTTATTATTAAATCTCCTGCATTAAACTCATTCACGTCGTCCAAATAACACTACGTGAAAGTTCAAACATCTGCTGGTTTTTGTTTTGAATCGGCTTTTTAATATATTTTCTGCTGCTTCTAGAGGCGAGTATGACAGTATTATTGAAAAAGAAAAAAAAAGCCATGTATAAAAAGCAGTGGTTTTTGAAAGGAACAAAAAGAAAACAAACTTCGTATTTGGGAGGATTGTTAGTACTGGGATAAACGCCGAGGGACTGGGCGTTGTGCATGAGGACGTTGTCTACGAGATTCCAACCCCAAGACTGGTCGTCGCTTCCGAGAAGCGCCACGTACCCTATGCAGTGCAGGGCCGCGTGTCTCAAACCATTCAGTTGGAACTGATTTTTTTCTTTCTCGACTCACTTTGTCGCGAATCCAACAACGGCCACTGTGCCCAGAGGTCCTTCCCAAACGATATCGAACGCGTGGACGCCGCTAGATATTCCTCTCTAAAATTTAGTAAAAACTGTTTCTGCCGTTGTATTCTTCAAGTTCGCGCTACGTAATCAATATGACGTATAAGCCCTAAAGATAATATTAATAAATAACTGCTCAACTGTTAGAAGGGCCAAGAAACAAAAATCGATTCAAAAACACATGCTTAAATATTATTTGAAATCGCTCTAGTATGATCCCCCAGTTATGGCTTTTTTTTATTATTTATTTCTTTAGAAAATCTGAAAAAAACCTATAAAAACTCTTTTTTTCTTAATGAACCTTTCCGCGGATTCCATCCGAAAATTTAATTTGATTAGGCAAATAAATTTCATCACTGAAATGAAACTATATATTCCAACCTTTCCGCGGATTCCATCGGTACTCTGGGCGACAGGCTGTCGATGAACAGTGTACCCATTGGTTCTTACATAATTGTTTCTAAAAGTTCAACGATTATTCCGATGCGAAGATTCAGCAAACCTCGAAGCGTCGTTAGGATTCCAAGCAAAACAAAAAGACCGAAGCTTCTTCTTAGAACTCGTGAGTTCGGACAAAAGATAAGGGTCGGCGAGCGCCGATTCTGGAACGTTTCGCTGAACAAGCGATGACCATACAACACTGTCCTGAACCAAAAAAAAAAACGAATTAATGAAGTCCAAAAAGAATAGATGACCTCGAGAGAAAGAACATTATTCCATTGCCGACAAGTGAGCATACAAGAGCGTAAATCGGACATCGACAAGTAGCTGAACACGTTCACCAGGGCGTGGTGCGGCAAGCGTGTGGCATTCGCTGCTAAAAAGAGTTATACTAATGGTATTTAAAAACTTCCAATTTTTGAGTATTCCCTATGAGAGGATTTCTAGTCGAAAAAGAGGCAGAAAAAGCGCAGAAAAACTTCTTTTTTCTAATAATGTGCGAGGAGTTAGAAAAGTCAAGCCGAGAAAGTGAACCTCGGAACGAAGGCGAACGTGGACTGTAGGTGAGGCTCTCACACGGATTTCCTTCCCCATCACATTCGTCTTCCTCTTGACGCGGCGATTTCTTCTGAAACTCCAATTTCAACTTTTTCAGAAAAAAGACTTCTCACCTTCGTTCGCATTCTGACTGGAGTCGACAGTTTGTGCGGCGAACTGCCTGAAATGCGAGGTGAGCCGTCCGGCATCGTTCAGATTCCTTCTGTTACCGCCACATATTTTCTTGAAATCTGCTCGAAAAACTAATAGTTATGGAAAAAAGAGCTGTTTCTTCAAATAAGTTACTGGGATAAAACCAGTTTCGCAACAGATATGGTACAGAAAATAGTGAAGTATTTTTTAAAGCGGTAACAAAAAACAAAAAAACTTGAGCAATCTATAAAAACATATGTAAATACATAACCACTAAATACTATGAAGTCAAGATCACTTTTTGACTTTGGCAATCTTAGCCTTTGTTTTATCTCTGCCGGCAACTTTCTTCACATCGGCGTCGGAGAACAACACAGAGGGCGAGGTAAATCTGAAACTTCAATTTTCAAATCAAAGCAAGATGAATTTGAATACCGAAACAATTTGGGAGAAACTGCCTCTCTGTACAAAAGTTCTTTTTGAAGAGGGCTCTGGTCTTCGGATTCCTCAGGGATTGTTTCGAGAGAAGGAGTCCAAGTCGGCATGGGACCGCTCTTTAATAATCAATATTTGTTCTCTTTCCATTTTTGATCCGAACCGTTAGTTTCTTCTCTTGCTGAACGCAGTCTTTGAGCAGAAGCAACTCTCCAACGTCTCCAGGAACGCTTCCCTTCACGTAGATGACTTGCTTATCGATATTCATTCGAAGAACCTGCGATGCAAAAAGTAAGAAAGATGAAAATGAAGAGATATACCTCCAGGCCACTGACTGTTACCCACTCATAGCCCATATGGCCAGGCATTCTCTTTCCCGGCCAAATTCGAGCGTCTCCGACTGATCCAACCGAGCCGATTCGTCGATGTGATTTCGTCGTTCTTAAAATAAATGAGACTTATTTCTCTCGAAATGAATTTTATCTTATTTTCGAACGTTTCGTTTTGTTTACTAAACCTCATGAAGAAGTTTTTTGTCGAGCCAAAAACCTAATTCGTCCCTGTATTACCATTTTCTCCTGAAAACCAATTTATGCGTTAATTAGTTTTTGGATTTGTTTTTTTTTTCAATAGTTCTTGATGGTGTTGAGAGGCTAGGCAAAAATTTGAGAAACGGAAAAACCGTCATAAATATTATTTCAAGTAATATAAAGCCTGTAATCTTTTATATGAAAGAGCGAAAGCTTCCTGACAACCCGTAGTTACTATTGAAAATAGTCAATTTTATATAAATAAGGAAAATTCGAAAAAAACTCAATTCAAATTGAAGATCTAGAAACCTGCGAGAAGGTTGGCCACGCATGCCCCATCGGTGCATTCCTCCTTGAAAGCCCCAGTCGACAGTCCTTCCACTCGCCGAAATGAACTGTCCAATGGTGAAATGACGAGCGTCTAGGTACTGACCCACGACTGGGAGAGCGTCTTCCGAAACCTGAAATAGTTCAAAAATGAGTATACATATGTGCCGTGTATGCCGTGCAAATGACTTTTATCGAAGATTTTACTGACCAAAAATGAGCCGAGTTGTTGTTTTACAGGGACCCCAGCTTTCAAAAACTGACGCCGATAAATGTGAGAGTACTTGTTGGCGTCGTCGTTCACTGCTCCCACCGTCACCTTAACCCTTTCAATAAATCATTTTTCAAAATGTTAATATTTGGGAGAAAAAAACCTTCCACATTGGTCCCAATCTGTTGAAGGCTTTCCGTTTTCCAACCAAACTGTTACGGTACCAGTCATCAGGAGAAACAACGCTGACCACATTATTCTGAATGAGCTTTCCTGAGAAAAAAAAACCTAAGAAAATAGTTACCTCTTCCACGTGAAGCATAGTGCAAAGTATCCTATTCCCAACGCTAGTCCACTGCGGGATCATTCCTATTTTTCGAACAATTAAACCTGAAACGCCGAACTAAGGAGGAAAAAAAACTGAATGTATCATACCAACTCTCCGTGACGTGAATGGAATTTCCGAAATTGAAGCGGTAGCTTCAGAAGACGCGTCCACACCTTTCTTCACGGTGTTCACGATATCCGCAGTGATAACTTCATCCAACAATGATCTCCAAATTCAAAATTAAGCTTTTCAAGGATAAAAATAATTACTTAGTTGAAGAATCCAGGACATTTTTATTTGTGTTTTCGTCATTCACTGGCGGCAGCCAAGGAGCAGGAGTTAAAGTTCGTCTGCGTCCTCTGACTTGTGTAATTAATCCGCCGGAAGCCATGATTTGGCGACTCGCCATTTCTGTACACGGCCCGCCAACCCCAGAAACTAATGATCTCAGCATCATACCGCCAGTTATCTGAAAAAATAAACTGCATTGAAAATCAATTTTTAATATAGTTGACTAAAAGACTATTCTTTCTAACAAAGAAAGTCAAAAATTCTCAAAACTGATACTATAACGCAAAACAATCCGACGGAACTTACTTCATTTGAAAATCAATTAAAACCAATGCATAAGCGGAAATTTTTTTAAAAAAATCAAACCGAAGCCGGACCTGGTTTTTTTGTTTCTTTTGATACGAGATAACTCATGCAACTTTTTTTCAGAACGAATAGCTTAAGAAATGTTTTAGAAACAAAATTTAGTTGAATGAATATTCATTCAACTAAATTTGTAAAAAAATAAAAACATTCATTCGAAAACGAAAAAAAGAAAAGCTTTTTAAATCAAACATCGATCCTTCTTTTTCTCATTATGGTAAATTGGCAAATTAATCAATACAAGTAAACTTTGAGAACCAGAGAACCAGTTTAATCACGAATAAATGCAAACACATACAAAAAAAGAAAAATCAGTTTCAAAACTAACAGAAGTAAAGCCTCTTTTTTTCATCGAAATGAATCAGGTAGCTTTCATGACTAGAGAGGTAAATTATTTGAACTTCGACCCACTCAATTACTATAATAATTAATAAGACAGCCTTAAAAAAATGTTTTTTTTGAAATCAAATTGGGGCGGAGTCGGCTTGGGAACATCTGCAATTGTTGCGCTGTTTTGGTTACGCCCCCGTTCTGCCATCGATGAAGGTGCCAAATATCGGCCGAAAAAAAAACAGTCTGCAGTCTTATGGAATTGATATGTGAAAAATTGATGAAAGTGCGTTCTTGAATGACAGGAGGACAATTATAGAGCTTTAGAGCCTCTGAAGAATTATAAGAACAAGGTTGAAAAAAATTTATCAGACTTAAAACGAAAAAAGAAAACTACCTTTATTTTTTGCGTTGCGAGATCTAATCACTGAAAGTTTTTCCCAGTTGGAAAGTCAATTCACACGTCACGACGTCATAAAACAATTCAGTCATTCTGGAAGAGATAGACATTTTGCCATTTCCAAAAAAATCTTATCTACTCTTTCATTTTCATCTCCTGTTTCCGATAGTTTCACTCTGACGTTGAAGATCTCTGGCAAAAGTTCGCTTCTTGGAATAAACTGGGTTCACACTTTCTCTTTCTCTTTCTTTCTTCTCTTCTCAATCGAAATCCTTGTTCTGCTAAACATATTCAATTTTTCTCCCACATTTCGCAACGCTTACCACCTACAAGTATGCCAATATTTGAGTTCAAGCAAAGCGCAAACAAACAGTTCTCTGACTTTCTCTCGGATGATGCCGCCTGCTCATCGATTTGATACAACTTTGGCTTGGAGCCACTCCCAAAACCAAAAAGCAAGCGTTATCAGCACATTGCCTTTTTTTCATGCCTTTCTTTAAAAAAATTCCGCTTGATTGAAGGAAAAAACAAAATGTTTGATAAGAAGGACTCCAGTATGTTTGACCACGTCTTTGTGAACGAGACGCGTCTTATCGCTCGGCTTTCCGATGTATTTAGAGAGCGATTTCCTTTTTTAAGACCTCTGCGTCCTGTGGAACATCTCGCAGCGGCATGTGAGCATGAACCTGGCCAGCGTACCTCTCATATTTCAGGTAATTATCTTCTTCGTGTTATATTTTAATTTTTTGTAGAAGGCTGTTTTTTGGTTTGCTTGTTAGTCTGAAAACAACGCTCCTGAGTAAAGTGACTCACTCGTTTCTCAAATCTGAAATTTTCTAAACGGCTTTTTTTTTCTTATTTTTTTCATTCAATAAAAACTATTAATAATTTATATATTTAATCTGAGTATACATTTTTATTCTGTGATTCCAAATTTTTTTTAGTTAGATTGTCTTTTACAACAAAAAGGTTTAACAAACCTTTTTGTTGTAAAATTTGGAGAATGAAATAAAAAAATAAAAAAATGAAAAATAACTATTTTTTTCAAATTTTTCAGAATTGTTCAAACATATTCATAGCAAATAAAGACGAAAAATATGCGAAATGTACGATTCCAAAAGGAGAAGATGCTTGTAACCTACTCAAGGTATCGCTGTAATAAGGGAAATCAACCACGTTTCTCCAGGAACTTCACAGGGCCAAAGAGTTCCGAACGTACTTCTTGGCGGTTCTGCCGATCGTTCTATCAGTGATAGCCTTCCTTCTGAACATAACTTATTTTGTGATCCTCATTCGCTGCTTCATTTCCGATGACAATAAGTGAGTCTTCGACAACTCCTGCCATAAACAAACAGTTTTTGCAGTTATCGTAAACGTTACGTCTTTCTGATGAGTCGGACCGTTTCTATACTGCTTGCAAACGTGTTGCTGTACGTGGTCGTCATCGTGTGGAAAAGCGACGGATTCGTCTATACTTCCGCCATGATCTTCATCTTTCTCGGCGCCCTCAACTTCCTTTCTGTCACTGGTTCTTTTTCATGAACCTTCTACAATTTCTCTCGATCCAGGTACATATATCGGGCTCACAACGCTGCTCTACACTGCTATAACTCACAATTTTTGGTACCGATATTCTTTGCGACTGAAGCACTGCGTCGCCGGAGTCGCTCTAATGTGGCTCCTCTCTGCGGCTTCGTCGGTTTGTTTTTTTTTCTTCTTAAATTTAAGAATGCGTCACAAGCTTTTCAAGCAAGGTGCTATTTCTTTGGGTGAAAAAAGGAAAACCGTCGAGTTTTTTTGTATTTATTAAAAATCGTTTTGTTGCTTTTTATTTTCACCGTCCCGGTTGAATGGAAGTGTTCAGAGAATATATTACCGCTGAAGAGGATCCTGTTCGAGATTTCATCAAACTTTAGCTTTTCCGTTCATCTTCTTGTTGTAGATTTGTGTTGGACTCTGGGGGGCGACTCTGTTTTATCCGGATTCGGCTCCAGTCAGCTGCGAGTTGGAAACCTGCCAACGTCCTCTCGCAATCTGTATCGGTTCGTCTCATGATCGATACCAAAATCTTGTACAAAAATTCAAAAAATTTATCAACAAAAACGGTTGGAAAAGGCGAAAATATTGGAGAGGGGCATACGTTTCATGCTTTGGGATCATTTTTTTCTCTCGAGATCAAAATTCTACAAAATATCCCACTGACCTTGTCTTCGCCTCTCAAAAGTTCTAAAGAAGTTTCCAGTTGTCTGCTTGGCTCTTTGTTACTCCACAGTTCTTGGTCTCTACGTTCTGATGATGATAAGACTGCATCTGATCACTCGCAATTCGACTTTTGTGAAGGTGAGCTCGGAGACCTGAGAGAAATAGTTATTTTGTCTGTCAGACCAAGTCGGCGACCAACAACATGACTGCAATAAAGCGACTCGGCCTCAATATGCTCACTTTCGCGGTCGGGACGATCCCCATTCTGATCGTCTGTATTGTGGCAGTCAGCAACCTGGGTGAATTGGCTTTTTTGGGTGAGAAAGGCTTTGGATCACTTCGACATCCAGTTACTTTCAGGGGAAGGTGACAAGACGCCTTGCAAGTCTTTCACGAACAGTCCTTTATTCGTCGAAGTTGAAATTCTCGCCAGCGTCGCTGCGATTGTTTGGCAAGCTTTTTTTTTTGAATATCTTTATCCTTTTTTTTGAATATTTTTTTCTCTCACAGGTCATTAATGTTCCTGAAATATTGGATGAGGAAAAAAATTATATCAAAGTATAGCAGACACAAAAAAATTTTTTTTTATCTTACTCAAGTTTTCTTTTCAGCGTGGAAGAGATTCCTTCTAATTTTTTTCAAAGTTAAAATATGCCAAACCTATGATGCATGTGTACAAAATTTTTTTATGTGCAATCAAACCTTTTTGAAAAATTTATTCCCCTCAAATTTTTTTGTTAGCATCACCTTTAAACTGAATGAACAGACCTCTGCAATTAAAAAAAATTTTTTCATTGTTATCTTTTTTGAAACTTTCTATTTTGGCTTCAGACATTTCTGCGATCCAGCTCGAATTTTTTCAAACTAGATTTCGCAAAAGTCTTTGTAAGCATACTGATGATAAAATCGAGTTTAGGTTGATTGCGATGATAATTGATCCGGTGATCAACACGCTGGCCGACCAGAAGATGAGCCGCATGTTCAAGAATGGAGTGAGCACGACCTTTTTTTCAGAAACTTCCAAAGTCTCGCGTTTCAGGCAGTTCGCCTCGGAAGGAGCATTAAGAGCCTCAGGACCTTGTCCACCCAAAGGACCAAAGTTCAATCCACAGCCGAAAACGAATGACGTCAAGCCCGCTTGCCAATTCTTTGGAACAACGACGTTCCTCAAAAACTGATCGCAATTATTGAGACGGGTTCAGAATCACGGCTTTCAGTGATATTATTTTTACGTGTTTATTTGAACTGTTAAGACAGATTGAAAAAAAAAACCCAATCGTTTGTTTCATTGCTTTGTTGTGTCATCTTCAATGAAAAAAAAACTTTCTGAAGCTTCAATGAAACAAAAAAGGCAAGACACACGGGAAAAAAGGTTAAAAAATGAACAAAGATTCCGTGAAATATGTAAAAAAAAATTTGAAAATGTGAAATAACCCCTGTCTTCGATGAAAAACCCCAAATTGTTGACTATAAACTCCTTTTTTGTACTCTTATAATTGCATCAATGAGTGACGTGACATTTTAATAAGTTTCAAAATACACCGTCAAATTTCGACACTAAAAGTGTGATAAGTGCGTTTCGCGCTTAAAAATGATAAAATACTATAATCTTGGCAAACTCCCTCTGTCGCCAAGTTTTAATGATAATTCCTTCGTTCTACCTTGATGGACGTGCCCGCAATTTTCCAAGTAAGTTCCCGAATCGACTCGCTTTTACTGTGATTTCTCAGGATTGCACGGATCGATATAATGAAGCAGATCGAATATTCTCTCACTGTGACATCAAAGGAGACGCCTGCGCCATGCTCCAAGTAATTCTCAATTTTCTTCCCAGAAGTTTTTTCAATTTAAGAAACAAACCGAGTTCATATTTTCCTTTTGAAAACCACAGGCTGTACTAAATTTGTTAAGTGAGGTTTTGCGGCAAGTTCAGATATTTGTTAGGAGGCTGGTGTACTTACTGGAAAGCTCATCTTGAGCGTAGGCTTTTTTTAATCTTCGTTGTGTGATGATGAAAAACGTATCAAATTTTATAAATAACTCTGATTAAGAGATAACATCGGATTTGACTCGAAGTGTAGTAAAATAAAGCAGTTGAGAGATACCACGTAGCGCAGTCCCTGCAGCTGTGGATGCTGGCCATCGTCCCGTTATTGTTCTCTTCAGCTTCTCTGTTGCTCAACGTCTACTCCCTCGACGCCTACATAAGAATTTACCGGAGGAGCGATGAAATGTGCTCTCTTTCTCAAATCGGCAAGCAAGTGACAACTTCAGGGGCAAACAACGCTACATTCTCGCAATAAGCCGCGCGGTTGCTTCCATCACTTCAGTCATCTCTCTGTACGTGTTGACCGGTCTCATCCTCAGCGCCCATTTCAGTTTTTTATCTCTGTCGTTGTTCATTTTTTTCGAGCAAATGAGCTTTTTCGCTTTTATTGGTGAGTTCAGGCTGAATTTTCACTTTAGTTGTGAAGATCCATTTGTACTCTCATGGGGCCTGAAGACTTGGAAGCAAAATGACGTGATTTCGAGGAACCTACGTGGCGATGACGGGATCTCTCTACCTGGCGGTCGCTCATCCGTTCCACCACAGATCTCTGGTCACTCTCCGACGTTGCTACATCTTTTTGATGCTCGTCTGGAGTCTCTCCATCATCAATGCCGTTTGCTTTTCCTCTACGCGATGAACTTATCCTGAACTCTCAGGCGATCTTGGGAGTTTTGGAAGCGACGCTCTTCTTCCCATTCAACTCGCCCATCAACTGCAGCTATCAAGACTGCGAGCTTCCGGTCATGATCTACATCGGTGAGTCGCACCTCCAGTTCTAGAAACTGTTTTTAAGGATTCAGTAATTTCGCTGACATTTTCTTTCTTTATCAATTGCCTCCTTCTTCTCCTCACTATTTTCGCGCTTTTGAAAAGAAGCCGTGAAGCCATTAAGGTTTTCTTTTCTTTCATTTTGATTAGATAATTTGAAATCGAGCTATTTTATTACAGAGAGGGGACAAAAACTCCCAAAACGGCAGTGCTGTGAGCAAGCTCGCATGGTCTCTTGGAACTTTAACATTTATGGGCATTTCTGAAGTCATCATCTCTTTGTTCCTTACCATTTACACGGGAAGAATCAAAGAATACGGTATACTAAAGCCCTCGATCCCTTTTTGGCAACATCAGCGTTTTTTTTTTTTCAGAGAAGACGTTTACTGTGTGTACTTTGCTGAATGGCAGTGACGACCTCGTCGTCGTCACTTCGATTTCTTCGTTTTTGACAGTTCTTTGGTGAGAGAGGTATCTTCCCTTGGGACTAACGGAGCTTCAGGGTTACGAGTGTGTTGGCGGACCCCATTTTGAGTATTCTTTTTGACCAGCAACTATCAAGACATGTTCAAAGACAAGTTGGAACCTGGCAAGAAATCCTCAAGCTTTTTCTTTTTAGATAAAGTGGCTGCACAACACCATTTTCGTTGGACACGCCGTTCTCACGCCAACCCTTGCCACTGATCAGAAAATTTAGATTTAGTCTAACGTCATCTCAAGATTTCATCTTTTCAAAAAAAGGAAGGGTACATTATAACAACATATGTTTGCAAATGGGATGTGGCGTGTGAATGTGACGAAGAAGAGGGCAAGAAAAATGGAATGTCTATTTCAGTCGCCGAGAAATGTAGCTAGACCTCATTTTCTGCCATCAAGGCCATAGTACATGAGAATAGAGCAACGAAGAAAATATTTTTGTCTCTGGGATATTATTGAAAAAGATCATTGAACCTACCATTTCATAAAAAAATAAAAAAATAAAAAAATTATTGACGAACTAAGAAGCTGCTTTTTTTGGAAAAAAAGTTTCTGAAGCATTTATAAAAAAATGTTCACAAATAAGAATTGAAAGCAGAAAAATCTCTTTTTTTATTCATATAAAAATTAATTCTCTTTCTCGAAGTGACTTGAATTCAAAAGTGCTTGGGTACTTCCCTTTCATTTTTTTTAATGGCGAAACCAAACAACCTTGAATGTCAGTTTTAGTATGAACCAATTTGTCACTCATTTTGCCCCCGAAGCCAGTAATTTGGAGGGAACGATCTCAACACAATCACATTTGAGAAATAAATCCTCGAGAGCCCGATGTTCATTCCAACGACGGAGAAATAAAAAGGTTTCAGGCTGTACCTATTTTTCTTATTTTTTTCATGGCCGGTTGTAAATCAAGTTAAGCGGGGGTGCATTTAACGCAGGAAACCGCTTTATTACGTGCTGACGTATCGCGGGATTGAAAGAGAAGAAGCAGAAATAATCGTGTGGGCAAAAATACCAGAATTTCTCATGCTGACGTTTCGAATATGGGGCGTCTTCAGAAGCGTTCGGGCGATGCTCCGCCGACAGGGAACGAACGGGCGCCTCCGCGTTTCGCTGCAAATCCCTCGGCTCATTTCTCCTCCACAAATTGCTTTTCTATTTTTGTTGACAAATCGTGAACATCCTAAGGTTTAGCACCTCCTTTAAAGAGATCTCAAGCAAGATTTCAAAGTCTTCTCAAGTCCCATTTGACTTCGCCAAACTTTCATCTTTAGGTAAGATTATCTCCTTAAAAAAAGTAAGAAAAAAATATTTCACAAAAAGTGAAAAATTCAGACAATTAAAAAGAGAAAAATCATAACATTTTGCATATAATACGAAATAAAATGGTCTTCGACACTGGATATAATTATTTTCTTTCCTTAGAAGTTGTTTTTTTAGATTTCGCCTTTTCGCGAGTAACAAAAATTATCCTGCTATTAAAGTAATAGAAACGGAAAGAGATGCGACAAATAGGAGCAGTCAGACCAAAAAAAAACAGTCGAGCAAGTTTTTTTAATGAGAAGGAAAATAAGCTTTCTTTTAATGACAAGGTTCAGTATGAAAACGATAAGAATACCCTCAAGAAGTCCTTCAAAAAAGAAAGCATTTCGAAAAAACGTGACGTTTATTATTATTATTTTTGAGCAAGCTCATCTAGCCTTGACCCAATTTCCAGATGATATATTCATTATACCTCTTTATACGATTTATTTCTATTCCACTAATATTTATTTTAGAAGGAACTTTAAGTGCTTGAAAATTCCAAAAAAAAAAACAAATAAAACGGAACTAAGTGCGCGCAATCGAAAATAAAGTCGTGTGATGACAGCCAAGCGAGTCCAATTTTGAAACGTAGGACGAAAAAGGATAGATCTAACTTAAGAAAGAGAAATGGAACTTGTGTGAACGAAAGCGGAAATTGTACTTGACTCGCGAAGAAAAAGAGAATCAAAGACAAAATAAGAAAAGAATCGCCCGTGATCCTAAATACTCCCAACCGCTTTCGTTTAAGCGTTTCTTTTCGCACCTTTTCAAAATTCATCATAAAGCTTTTACTAACCTAACAAAAATTATATGATCCCTACTTTTTTTTTTCAAAGCAGCAGTTCTCGAGTTCAATTAACATCAGAATTCCTAGATCAGATGTCATGACGGCAACTGATGAAAAACCAATGTTTTCGTCAGTTACGAGAAGCTCGACTAACAGAGCCCTAGAGCGAGAAATCTTCCGCTTTGATTGCACGTTTGCTTGGATAGCTATGTTCCTTTAATGGCATAGGATCAAATTGGCTTTTTTTGCGCATGATTTAATTTTTTTTTTTTTCAAACAGTGGCAATACCTACGTTGTAAACAAGTCACAACAAATTCACGAAAATAGATGTTTCATACTTGAAGTTTCTTGTTGATTTGATTTATATATGTTTTAGTGTTAAAAACGAAAAACCGCGCACCTGTATTAATTTCTTCCCGTGGGAACCAGAGCCAGTCGGCGCCACGCTTGATCGTCGGGAAGTCGCTGTCCCAGGCTCCAGAAGGCAAGGCGTATGCTCCGAAGACCCGAGCACCACCTCGCTTCTCCTCCTCCAAGAACGAACGACCTCCGCCTCGCTTGTCCTCTTCCAAGAAGGCTCGTCCACCGCCTCGTTTTTCTTCTTCTAGGAAAGCTCGACCACCACCTCGCTTCTCCTGCTGACCAAAGGTCCGAGCCCCGCCGCGTTTGTCTTCCTCGTAGAAAGACCTTCCACCTGCTCGTTTTTCTTCTTCTTCAAAAAAGGCACGAGCTCCTGCTCGTTTGTCGTCGAATTGGTCAGCGAACAAACGTCCACCGCCTCGTTTGGAGTTTCCAGCGAAAATTCGGGCGCCGCCGCGCTTCTCCCAGTCGTTCTGGTCGTCCGCGTGTGCAGCTAACACCAATACTGAAAATTCCATTAAACAAAAAGTTCACATACCGTAAATAAGGCCCCATAAATGGGCTAACGGCATTACAGCCTTTAGATTCATAGACAAGATCGTAAGGCTTGTAAAGTTATATGAAAATCGCGTAAACCTGTTATGTTTATTTTTTCAAAGACGTAGAGTTTATCTTTGTGCAATACGTTGTTGCGGTTCTCTGTATGCTTTAAATGCAAAAAAGACTTTCTGTGAATCTTTTATGAGAATAAAACTTACCTAAAATTATTTCTTCTTTGTTTTGTTACACAAGGTCTGAAAGCAGAGGAAAGCTGTTATTCGTTATTTTATTCACGTAAAACTTAATTCAATTTTTTTCCAGCTTTGCACAATTGAGTAACGTTTGACCAACGCGTGCGTTTTTGTTTCCCCAAGGTTTTCGATTAAAATAAAATTTCGCAAAAGTTTTTTTTTGAAGAATTGAGGAAAAACCGAAAGGTAAATGCATTTTTGAACTTCGACCGGGTAGACTTAACCATTTAGTTTCCAAAATGTCTACATATTCAACCAATATGAAGTTAAAACATCGCGATATTTTCTAAGCCTCAAACTATCAAAAAATGTTTCGTTGAAAAAACTTTTGCAACTGGACGATCCAAAAGCAATGACAGTATTATTTGGTGAATGTTGAAGACTAGAGCCTTCTAACTTCGAAATTTCAGAAAGTGCGTCTTTCCCTCAACTCGGCGAACAACAAGAAAACACTTAAGAATTGACGTGCACTGTAATTTCGTCAAGCAAACGTGTTGATGAAATTCCTCGGGGAAATGGACCAAGGAACGGAGAAAAGCTAGGAAGATGGATGCGACGAGAATCATCCCCCGAGGATTGCGAGTTGTATCGAATATAAGAATAAGAGAGCCCACCTGAAGAAAAGAAGATCCAGACGGCTGCTCTCAGCTCCATGTCGAGCTCCAAATGCTCCGATTCGCGGGGCGGGGCTTAGTCGAGCTCCTGAAAATTGTTGGGGCGGCGGAGGCGTGGTCAACGCGCGGCCGAATGGCAGATGATGACGCAAGGACAACCAGCCGCCCAACGAGTTTGGTAAAAGCCTGTTTAGGCCTGGGCCTGAGATGCAGCTTCTTGGGACCAGAGGTAGAAAGAAGGCGTCATGCTGCTGCTGCTGTCGCTCGCCGTCGCCGTCCTTTTCGTCAAAGCCAACGACTACGACATCGAAGTTCTGCCAGGTGATTGTTAGTTTTTATGTTGCAGTTCAGCTGAATCTATGAATTTAATTTTTAAATTTCTCTTGAAGATATCATTGACTAATAACTAGATTTTTGAGAATCGCAACCTGCACTCAACCTGAAAAAAAAACTGTAATATGAGTTCCATTTTCTAAAGTACGCTTCAAGATTTTGCAAGAGACTAGGTGGTCTTAATATATAGTATTTGCAAAAAAAAGTAATCCGAAATCATTTCCTATTTGAGTCGTGTAACAGCTTATTACGAAAGAAGAATCTGAGAACAAAATCTTCAAAGTTCAATTTATTTCAAAGTATTAGTCGGTTTTGAACGTTCATTGATTGGAAAACTTTCCGTCAAGTTGGTTGAAAAAATATCCTTCTGAAAAGCCTAACCGAAGTTAGATTTTTCCAAAAACAAATTCTCTAAATTCTCAATGGGCTTTCGACCACTGTTCTCAATTTCTTGGAAAACTTCACCTGCAACTTTAAATTCAAAGGACACTTTCTAAAATCTACTTTTCTTTAATTGGTTCTAAACGAATATATTTATCCGTACATACGCAGGTAAAAAAAACTCCTACTCAAGCAAATTTGATAGTTCTTATATTTAAAGAGAGACGTTCAAGTTTCACTCGTTGCAAAACGAAAAAAAAAAACAAGCAATGTGCTGTTGACGTTGAAAATAGAAGCTTCAGCGTTGAGCGAAAATTCTTGAAAATGAGTTTTTGCGAAATGAGTTACTCCAGGAAGAAAAGCCAATTAGAGGGATTGAAGGGAATTCAGAATCGTGAAGAGTGATGACGCTATCTTAGAAAAAAAAGAATAAATTATCTGCCTAAACGAGCTGAATTTTGAGAAATCATCAAAATTTAAGAAAAATGCGATTGTCGTGATTGGTACGGCGGGTGCCGTTTAAAGGATGATAAGTGGACAGATGACTCTGTTTGGATATATACTTGCGAGAAGACCAACAGGTGTTTTTATCCGATAAAAAAGCTCCTTCAAAAAAAAAAACTTGTAGACAGGAAGCGACTTTTGAAGGATGCGGCTCTCACGACGGAAAAGTCGTTTCGGTCAACTCCAACACGACCATCGACAACTTATGGCACACCTGTGAGATAAACGAAGTCTTCCAAAAATTCGAAATAGGTATTGCTTCAGTTATTACTAACTACCAAAACCGATACAGAGCCTCATTGTGAAACGAAAAACGGAAGAAAAAAAGTCGGTGAGCTTTTTCGCGAAGGAACATTCCAATGGCTATGTCTGCCGACGGGACTCTGGGTGAAAGGTAAGTCAAAAGTAGAAGATTAATTTAACTGATTAAGGATGCTACTACAAAAACGAGAATGGAGAAACAATTTTGATCCCTGTTGGTGAGAAGAGATTAAATGGAGTGGTCGAGCACGTCTGCTCTAAGAAGCAAGAATACCCTGCAATAGTCCAATACTACGCCCAGGTAACTCTGTTTTTCTTTTTCTCTGAACCAGGAAGAAAGAAGATATTTGGAAAGGTGAGAAGAAAAACGTCTTAAACCAGGAAAGGCACTCAGTCGTGTCCGATTACATGAAATTAAAAGAAAGCATGCAGGTTCAAAGCGGAATCGACGTCGTTCCAGGCCTCGGAGGAACAAATCGCAATTTGCCCGAAGCGGCTTCCAATTTGGTCAACGACGCTGAGGTGCTTTTTTGAGCAATTAGTCCATTATGAATCATATTCCAGGCGAAACGGTGGATTCATGATTCTGCAGACGCTTTCATCTCTTCCGACAAATCTCGCTCGTTTATTCGTTATTTGCCAGCAAGTCGAAAACCATAGCTCTGTCTTACAGGAATCTAGATTATTTATTAAGTTATTACATATTATATAATACAAGTTATTAAACCCATATTGCTATAGTCAACATCCTGAACAAACATAAGGTACAAGAACATGAAATAGTGTTGAACACTACGAAATCAAAACAAGAATACCTCCAAAATAAGTTGAATAGAAAAAATAACGTTAAAACGTTCGATAAATCTTAGGAGTCCGATTTCTTACCTTTTTTTTAAACTCCAAAGGCAATATTTCGATCAGTCTGCAATTTCGAGAATCTCAGGTTGCGAGTCCTGAGCAGCAATAATTTTCTCTTTGAGAGGAACGTCAAAGAAAGTGTTTTCCGCTAAGGAGTGAGAAGAGACGGCAAGAAACGCAGGCGACCGTTTCAGCCCATTCCAAGCCTGAAAGCGAAAACCTGCAGAAGAGCCGGTTGACGGTAGTTACCTGTTTGACGGTGCAAGCCCAATTAACGCAATCGTTCAACTCTGCATCTCCGATTCGATGCGAAGCCGTCCGGCACTCGAGACATACGATTCGCAGCGCGACTTTGGCTCGCTCTTCCTTGGCCGCTTGGACCACCGCCTGAGCCAGAGGCTCCTCCATAGTGTCGCACTCGACACACCACGGCGACCTGCCGATTCGAATACAGTCCTGCCTGAAGATCTGTCGTTTGACATCAAAAAAACATTGGATACTACGTTAGACAATGATTGGCTCTCAATGGCGCCAAAACTAATTGAGTTGGAAGCAAGTCAGTCACGCGGCGTAGTGCAGGCAGAATATGAGCTCGGAGGTAGTAAGCTACATTTATCTGAACGAAATCTCCGCTACAAAAAAAATGGTGCCGGTGAAGAAACCTTTAAATTAGAACTATGAATGAAATCTTCAATGGGACAGACGCCTGAGTAAACCGTGGACCCAGGCTCCGAGTCCACGATGATGTAAGGCACTCTTTCTCCTCGAAGTGTCACATACGAGGGACAGGCCTGTTGTCTCAATCTATAAACGGAGAAAGCTCGGAAAATGACGATCCAAATGTTTACTCGGCTATTTTCTTCTGCGGGACGCAGGCCTGCTCTGAGTACTCCCCACGAAACTCTTTACAGAAAACGAAGTTGACATATGGCACCTGTTCGAGGGTGGCGATTGTGGTATTCAAATATGTGGCCCAAGAGCGCCAAAGTTTCTTGAAAATCAGTTCCAGGCTTCTTTCCAAGACCTGCAAATGATTTTTCCGTAAATTCTTGTCTTCAAGTTATCTGCGGACCTTGGCTACGATCGGAGCCGTGTCTCTGCGGACCGTCTCAATCCCTTTAGAGTCCAACTTCCCTTCATCTTTTTCGCTTTCGAACATCCAGCCAGCGTACCTTTTTTTCGTTTCGAGCACACATCCAATGTAAACCTGAACGCGTATGAAAAATAAGAAAAAAAATTTTTTAGGTAATAAAAACCTTTTCAAGTTTCAATACTACAGGGTCAGGATTGGCGGCAGAAACATCAGTGGCGATTCTTCGGCCAATATCAAAAGCCTCTTCTAGAGTTGCTTCTGAGAAGATAATTTTGTTACAAAATAACAAAGTCAGAGAAGTTTCAGGCTCAATTTTTTTTTTGATTAGGCTATTACTCTCATTAGCTGAAATATTAGGAACATATAATTAAAAACGCTTATTTCAACTCCATAGCTCAGAAATATCAAACGGAAAAAAAGGAGAATAATCGTAAATATAAATATAAAAAAACCATACATTAAAAATTAACCAACGAGACCTCATATCAAAGAAACCTCGAAACGATCATAGAAACCAAAAATTCTGGAATTTCGAAAGCATCCTTTTTTGTAGATTTGTTTGTCTGATTTTTTTATTCTAGAGGCAATATCGATGCAAAAACGCAAACGAACTCGGCACGAGAACGAACAAGCTGTCGGTGTCGCCGTAGATGACACGAGAAGGTCCGTAGTTGCCAGAAGCAACCATTCTGATAGCCCTCTCAAGAGTTTCTCGACCTTTTCCCAATATCGCGTCGGCGACCTCAATCTTTCCCATCAAAAAAGTAATCGAAGACCGAAAACTTCAGCACACGGCATTCTTCCACTGAAATTGGCAGCTGTGTATCCATAAGTGACGTTGGCGACGAGTTTCAAAGCCTTCTGGCGTGCGTCCAAAATCCGTTTCAGTTTCTGAACTCAACATCGCTCAAAGCGTCCGAAAAGTTCCTTACCAAACCTTATTGGTTGCTTTTTTCATTGCAGTTTTGACTAGCAACCGAGCAGCAAGGATCTGAAAACCAGAAATCAAAAAATACTTCGTACAGTTTGGACCTCTCTGAGCAAAATTGGCAGAAGTCCTTCTCGCTTCGACTTCTTCACAAAAACTGAACTTAACGGTGACGCTGTAACGCTTTTCTGTGCGACGGCTTCCATATATTCAAAAGTCTGCAGACAATTTTTCATTTCAAGAAATTGAAAAAAAATCCCTACTGGGACGCTATAGCTCATTGCGCCCAATACGATAGAGCCGTCAGACTTTCTATCAAGGAGTGTGCGCAGATTTCTAGTCTGAAACTCATGTCTCAAGCCTATATGATTCTTTCGAAGCTAACCTTTCCGAAAATCGTTGTGTAACAGTAATTGTAAGCAATAACCATTGAAGGGTAAAGCGACTATAATAAAAATATTATTTCAATTAAATCAAATATGGCAACCTGAAAATCGAGTACAATGACAGGGTCGTGATAGACCTTTGATTGGGGCTCCAAAATCAATTGCAACTGCTCGGGAGAGCTCATTCTGAACATTTTAAAAGTCCCCAAGGGCCGACGCTCACAAAACATACAAAGTTCTTTGATGCGGCGAAATGGATGGCGCGACAAATCCTTTTTTGCGAGCAAGCCTCAGCAACATCGACTCGACGCGCAGCTGAGAGCCTCTTGTCCAAACCTTTAGAAAAAATAGAACTTTTTCAAAACTCTGGTTGGCTCGGAACCTCTTGGAATTGAATACCGTACACACGAGCCATTTCAGCACTTTGAATGAACCAGTTCATTTCCACCAGAAGACTCACGTTGAGTTTCGATATTTTCAACAAGTAAGTTATTATTTCCACACTAAAATAAAATAAAAACTATGACTTGTGATTTCTACCTACCACTTGTTTTTATCAAGCTTCTCAGCATAACGGGTCAACGTACAGTCGTCGAACAACGGCATTTTCCGGTGCAGGACGCTGGCCATAGCTGCGCCTCGATCATAACTCCTATCAAGCCACTCATGAAAGGGGTTTCTCAGTAACAATGCCTCAAAGTGAGTTCGCTTCGAACAACCTTCCAGACGGCCACGAGCAATCTGCCGCGTGGAGCTAGCGAATTGTCATCCAACTGAGGAAGAGCTGAATCAAGTTTTTCAACGAGATTCGGTCCTCGTGAAGAAAACTTTTCACGAAACGCGACATTTCGCAGAACGCGTTCAGCTTCTTGGCGCGTCTTATCAAGAATCCCCAGGAGAGTCGTTCGACGTCGTACCCCAACAGCACATCAACGTCGAAGCTGAACAAGGGAACGGGATCCAGAAACAAATCGGCCAACTCACAGCATTATCGCCTCAACAACTTTTTCTATCAAACCCACCTCGTCATCCACGAATATTGTTTTAGAGCTTGAGCAGACCTCAAATAAACGAATCATTTCACATTCAAAAAATTGATAGAAAAAATACATTTTCCGGAAGTGTAGTAAAAAAATGGCATGAAATTTAGGGCAGGATGTCCTACAAACGTCGTCAAAAACAGACAACGATGCGCATAAAATTGTATCAGTCTGAAAAATATACAAAAAAATCGAGTAAAAAAATAAAAAGTAAAAAAATTCACGAGAGGGTCCGGCATCAAACTGTTCGTCCTTATGAACAACTCAAGGCTCCCAACACAAACGCCGAGTAAATCGGAGTCCGTTTCAGTTTCGTTTTCATCTCAAACCGAATTTTATTCAAATTTAAGGTAGAATAAATACCCATTGAAGACTGAGAAAGAATTTGGGATCCTGCAACAGCAGCTGGAGACTAAAAAAAAAATCTTAGCTCAGAAATCAAGTTACTTTTACCCAACAAGGGAGGTAATTTTAGTTTGAACTTTGAAAATATTTGAAAATTTTCTCAAACACTGTATGAAGGTGTGAATGAAGATTTTTTTCATAGCCGTTCCCTGCGAAAACTTATATTTTTTTAAATATGAATTTTTAAGTTGCTAAACACGAAAACTAATTCAATGTTAGAAGCGAAATTAAAAAATTCATATCTAAGAAATTGCAAGTTTGCGCAGGTAGCGACTGTGAGAAATTTTTATCTAGGCCTTTGAGGTTTAGTTGAGCAAACTTATTGAAAACTCTAAAATTAAAACAAAATTTACCTGTCTTGTTAAAGTTTTCCCCCTTCAAGGATGGGTTCACTAATGAATCATTCGATGACCTGCTTGATGAATTTATTCCCTAACCTGGCGATAACTGGGCGAAGGTGGCTGTGTGGAGAAGCAAGTGAATCTAGACTTCGACTTTCGTTTGTTCCTCTTTTTAACTTGGTTCTTCTCCTTTTCGACAGCTTCCTCGCATCCGACCACAAACTTCTGCTCGAAAGCCTTCGGAGTCGTCACCCAGTGCCACTGACCGCTGAAGCCAATACTTAAGAAGAGAATAGTGCTAGACGGTACTCTGATCGGGCCTTTTCCCGGTTTGATCCATCTTCTGATTCTATGGATATCGACGATTCCAGAATCTCCCTCGCTGAGTTCTCGTCATCGCTTTCAGACTGTGAAGCATGATACGATGAAGTTTCCTGTAACAAAACTGAAGTGAAAAAAGGAACTAAATATAAACAAAGGTATTTTATTGGAACGCTCGGGAAATACCTCACACTTCATTTAATAATAAATTGTTAAGAGCCATGCTTTTTTCTGTTCTGATTGAAAAAAAACTCCAAAAAATCTTAAACCCCAGCTCACCGATTTTCTATACCTACTTTTGATTCACAAATAAAGCTGAAAACTGCATGTAACCTCGAAATCGTCTTGTTGCTCTTCCTCGTCGTTTTCCTGCATTCTATCCGCTCTCATTGTCATTTCGAAGTTCACTGCTTCTTCTTTCTCTTCCTCCTCCTCATCCAACAGTTCTCCTTCTTCATCTTCCGGCGCCTCATCGAAATTCAGCAAATGAACGCGCTCATCGGCCTCCTTTGCCCAATCTTGCGCTGAGACTGTTTGGGAGAGTCGCATCGTATCTTCAAATTCTATCCTTTTCACAGTCAGATCTTCCAACTCACTCTCAAGCCTTTGCGTAAGATTCAGTCCTCTCTTAATCCTCAAGCCTCGCGCCACGGCTTTCGCCTCCCGTAAAATATCTCTCTCCGCAGGAAAAACTTTGTGGTTTTGCGGAGGCCCTGGAGCATCTTTTCTTCTACCAAACCGGGGAACCCGTGTACCTTTTGGCAAAGGCTGAACGACTTCTTCTCCCAGTTGCTCCTGTCTTCTCACTTCTTCTCTCCAAATATATTCAAGGCCCGGGTTCGATGAGTAAACTCAAAATTTAAGAGTTAGAAACTGGAAAAGTATGAAAACCATTGTTGGCGTGCATCCGAGAGTTAAGAATATCCGAGACGTGAGCATCACATTCGATTTCACAACTGGTGATTTTATCCTCCGGCGATAGGATTTCTCCGCTAAAAAATAACCTTTTCATTTCATTTTTGGAAATGTCACTAACTTCGAACGGATACGATCAACAGTCAGTTCCTTGTAAACATAATCTTAAAACAAAAATGAAAGAATTATTGTTAAAAAGCGTTCCTACCAGAGTCGACGCTTGCAGTCCCCAATCGATATTTCACAGCTTTGAAATGAATCATGTCCATCCCAAAAATAGAGTTATCGATGAAAAACTGAAACATCGTTGGAATGTAAAAATTAGGGAATCGTTGAAATACTTGAAGATGAAACGGGACATGAGCTTCGTACGCTTGGAATAGAGGCTTGTCGAGAACTTCTTTACCCAAGCCAAAAGTCACTCTGAAGGTTGAATATGTTTTCTAATTTCATCATGAATAACCTACTTTTGAGCGTACCACGGGTTCGTGAAATAAATCCTCAAAAAATCTTCTTCTTCCTCCACAAAACCGTACATTGGTCTGAAAAGTGTTGGATGTTCAAAAATATTTTTTGGAGTTAGTACTTGCTACGGAAATGCTCGACGCGATGGATATACTCGGAATTGGAGTTTTTGGTCATGGGATTGTCGATCTCACGTTGGATGACCTTGTTGAGTTTCTTCCGTATCGCATCTTTGACGCCGTCAGTCAAGGAGCCGCCCACTCGAATCACCACATATGGCAGTACTCCGTGAACGTGCACGCAGGCCTTTTGACCTAGAGCACCCATTTTGGAAGTACTGAAAAGATATCACCTGTGTCAGTGACGCCGAAAATATGGAAAACGGGAAATTTGAGCCTTTTGTTCAGCGTCTTGTCATCTGAACGCGGCAGCTCCTGGGTGTGTTCGCAGATGAAGTTTCGCATGCAAAATGTCGTTTCGTCGCTCATTTCCTCCTCCCGACGGCATCAGTTCATAACTTCTCAAATTTGGAGAAAAATCAGGAAATGGAAGATCCAGGAACAATTTCAGAGAGTTCCAAATGCGACGTTCAATTGAAATACCTCTGGCTAATCATACACTAATCGAGCGTTCGACATTTATTATTTTGTTCCGTTGAAAATTACACGTAAGTAAAGGTGAGTTAAAAATCACAGATCATTTGAGTTTTGCCCAAGAACGTGCAACGTTGAGTGAAATCCTCATAGGTACTTTCAAACGGTCCGCCAAAGAATTCTGCATACACGTCCGCACAATCGCAGCTACTTTTTCGGCCAGTTCCCCCTTGGCTTCGACCAGCACCTCGTCGTGCACCAACATCACTATCCTCGCATCCCAATCTGTCGAATAGTATATCTTTCTGTGGGAATTAAAAACTTCGAATTTCATTCAACGAAGCTGATTTTTTAACTTCAATTGGTATAACACTTCAAAAAAAAAAAAAACTCTAGAATTCAAAAATATTGGAAGAGATTCGAAATGATGGCTTGAAAGTTCATCTGTTCGAACTTTCCCTCCTAACATCGTTTTTTTCAATGGAGTTAGGGTTGTTACTTATTGTTTTCAATTGATGTATCAATTATAGATATATGATAGCAGTTTTCTTTTACTATTCATTGATAAAGGCAGATTCTAACCGTTGCCTCAATTTCTATCATTGCAGACACACCTGATAGTTCTTTTGCAATTTGAACGATGGCGGCTTTGAATATTTCGCTGGCAGTTCCTTGTATCGTGTAATTGACGACAACCCGTTCCTCTCTTGCCCTGTCTTCCGTCTTTCCGCTACAATTCGTCAAGCGTTTGTGTCCTAAAAAACTATTTTTAATCATATTTTGTTTGAAGGCTACCCAAGAGAGTCGCGACATATCCTTCTCTATTAGCTCTGTCTTTCGTTTCCTGGATGTACGTTTTGACTTCTTAATGATATGTGGAAATGTGATCAATTCGAAACAAATACTTGGGAAAATGGCGAAAAAATTGTTGCGCAACTGCTCTGCTTCATCCATACTCAATTTGGTCGATTCGGCCAGACTTTTCGCTCCCATCCCGTAGATCAAACCATAACAAAGCTGTTTGACGGCGACTCGAGTAAAACCCCATTTGGCTGATAATTCCGAGAAGAAGTCTCTTTCTGAAAAAGGACAACTAAAACTGTACTAAATAAAAATAAAATGAAATACAAAACTATGTGAAATTTAGCAGCGAAGTCAAAAGTCAGACGAGTGAAGGGAAAAAAAATCTGACCTACCTTCAACCAAAAACGAAATAAGTTTAGAATCTCCACTGAGATGAGCTAAAACACGGAGCTCCAGTTGGGAGTAATCGGCTCCAATCATGACATAACCTGAAGAATTTGTGGTTTCTCAATGAAAATAAAATAGATTTTTCGCCTTCTCTGGGACGAAACAAGTCGCGAACGAAAAATTTCTCAGACGATTCAGTTTTGGGAACATTTTGGATGTTCGGTTGCGAAGTCAGGATCCTTCCCGTAGCTGTACAAATGTCCCAGGTAGACCTCACTCGCTGATCTTCTTTATCAACGGCTTCAATGAGCGGAGTGAGACATTGCTGGAAACGCTTCAGTCATCAGAACAACTTCAAACCAGAAAAAAGGGAAAGTCGAAGTGAAACAAAAAAAAAAGTCACCCTAGCCGACTTGCTCAAAGAAAGAAAAGAAAGTTTTCAAAGAAAACTACATAAATATATTAAAATTTCTTATGCTTGAGATAACCCACTGAAATGACGTAGTTCAGATGGCGGTACTGCAAAATCTTGGGCACGATAGGATGCTGATTCGAAATTTGTTCGAGAATAGTTTTGCTTGTCGATAAATGTCGCTTTGCAGAAGTTTGCTGCCCTGGATGAACCAGGTTCAGCTTACAAAAAACAACCTGAAGTTGGTTGTTTTCCAAAATAAAATTGATGGTGGAAACGTTTGAAACTTCACGGCTGCTGTCGAGGTTGAAAGGAATTTTCGAGAAAACGAAACATTCGCTCTGCAGATTCTCAATAGTTTTCCGGAGCTTGGCTATCGCAGACGCACATCCGATGGCGTCAAATGGAACGCCGTCGTAGAAAATTTCAGAAACTACCTGAAGCAAGTACTGAATCATACAAAATAGGTCGTATGAGCTCTTGAAATGGTCATGACTCTGTTGTAATATAGAAAAGCATCTCAAAAAAAGCTTTTGAGTAGAATGAAAACGTTTCCATCAGTTATTTATTCTGCGCCTTTTCGAGACCTTCCATACCACTGCGTAAAACATCTTTGAAATATTCGAAAAATGATCATTTCACCTACCGGCCAAATAAAATTTTTATTAGCTTTTCCGAAATGTCTAAACGTACCCTGGCGGCATCAAGTTCCAATGAAACGTATTCTGAAGAAGATTGAGCTATGGCTCGCGGATAGATGTCTTGGTACACTCTAGAAAACTTCTTTCGAAACGGTTTCGCTTTTTTTTTCAGACCTTCCGATCGCGAATGCACGCATTGCTGATGCGGCAGAGCCATCTCCTTGAAGATATTTCAAAGGATCGAAATCCCAACTGAGGTCTGTTATCCTCCTATCCAGATAGCATTCATCAACTTCTCCGTTCATCAGTATGTGATTCAAAATCGAAACGATAATAGGCTTCAGCACCTAGAGACCAACTTCGAACTAGCGCACCTTTTTCCCTAACAAACCCTAAACTTGAAGTTTTTGTAAAGAGTGAAACATTGTGAAAGCGACGACAAAACTGTCTCCGCACGGCCCAATAAAGTTTTCAGAGCGTCCAGCCGTTGTTCCAGTGGAACCACGGTCCATACACCATTTACATCATCGTTCTGCGCTGGAAAACAACCAGCGAAGTTATAAATTAATGTCAAAAATTTACCTTTCGATATTAGAATTTCAAAAACAGTATCACCATGTAAAATATGAACTGTATTTATCTTTCCAGAGAGAACATGCAGAGACAAGCCGATTCGATTGAAAGCGAAAATTGAACGCCTCCAGAGATTCCAGCTTTTTAGATCCCTTAAAAGGATGATTCGAAACAAAAAGTTGGAAATTTTGACCATAAGGCTTTTTTTTGACCAATTTTGACCATTCAAGCAAAAATAAAACAAACCTGCACGGATTTTTAACGTTCAACTCAGAGTATTCGTAGCGCATTTGCTTCTGGACCGGACTGGAGGTTGAGGGAGAAAAAGGACCTGTCTGAAAACTTATTTATTCTTTTTGCTATAAAACTTTTGCTGACTAAGCTCGCCTCTCGTCTGTGTTTCAGTGTAGTGCGATTAGCCGTGGGAGGCGTGCCGAAGACATCGAAGGAAGAATTTCCAGCTTAAAAGGAAAATCAAAGGATCAAAGAGAGTATCACGCACACTGATTGAGAACACTTGCCGTGGACAATCGCCTCGCACTGTTGGCCACAGACCCCTGTTTGCTAGTCTGAAATGTTCAACTTCTCTCTTCTAATTCTCTGTTTTGCTGACAAATATTATAGAGTTCTGGAAGGTGTCCTCGATAGAACATTTGAAAGACGTGCTGGCGCCAACTTCGGAAGCAAACACCTACAATAAACATAATTCAAAGGTACATTGTGAATATTTTCAGAATAACTAGGCGATTTCAAAGTTGAAGACGATGATCGATAGAGGTTCAGAGATAAGTGATTTCATCTACATACAGTGCCGTCAGAAAGATACGAAAATTTTTTGCTCATAAGTACGTTTCAGAAAGATAAAAATCCCTGTAAGAAAATAAGAAAATTTTGATAAAAAATTGCGTGTTTTCGTATCTTCACTGACTGAACTATATATCTATTACAAAAAAAAACTTACACTCGTGAGCTTTTTATAGAAGTCTTTTTTGTGGGGTGGCCTGACGGCGAGCAGACTCATTTCCAGAGTGTCCACTTGAGAAAAAACGTCCGCACATTCGCTTTTTCCAATATTGTCAAATACTAATTCATCTTCTTGATCCAGCAATGAAAGCTAAACAAGAAAGTTCAACGAAAACGAAGAATCGTACTGAAACCTCTTCCATCGTAATGTTAAATTTGTCCATTGTTCCATCGCTAATCATATTTGTGGGAGCTTTTTTTGGTACGAACGATTCGGGCAAACTGGCAACGCCGCTGTCGACAAAAGAGCTCTCGGCTGTGACAGATTGGGGTTTGGCAACAGACTTCTCTTCGAAAACAGCCTTTTCTAACTGCCCAAAACTGACAGATAATCCAAGATCTCTGAAGAGAATGTTGAAGACTGAAAAACTGCTCGGAAAACCTGACTCTCGTTAGGAGACAGTCACGAGCTCGTTGGCGGAGAGATTCGGCCGCTTCATTCAGACTCATTCGGTAACACCCAAAGAGCCATTCGCGCTTCCCATCGTTCTCATCCTCACTTTAAAATTCGAGAAAATGAATTAAACTCATTTTTCAAACTAATTTGGCCACTAAATTGAGCTACGCAAGATGTCGGTTTTATTTATACCATTTTAACGGGCTGCTTCAACTATTTTCAAAATTCTTCAAAAATCAGTTTACAAGTTTCTAATTTTCTCATAACATAAATTGGAGCGAAATCACAACAAGATTAAAATTGAAGAGCAAAAAAAAAAAATATCGATGAGTTCGAATAATCAGTGTTCGCTCAAAACTTTCAAACTAAAAACCAGATTTAGAGCAAGAAAAAACACGAAAAGAAAATTAGATACACATGTGGAGGGTGGCGTAACTTCATTCATCTCATATTAAGAACGGAACAGCCATTCTAAACGGTCTGTCCTCATTCCGAGAGCAGCGCTGACTTCGGAAATGACGCAACAAAGGAGCAGCTGAGTGGAGAGGCGAAGGTGTCGACTAATTGGATTAGCTGACAGTGTCATTAGTCTCGCCGTCTTGTTGCTGCTATCAGGCGTCGAATCGCAGTCACGCAACCGTCCACGTATACCCAATTACTCATCCTTAGTTCTATTGAAAAAAAGTTTCTCTGAAATTAGAAAAAAACTGGAAGCGTTTGAAAAAAAAACATCAAATTAAAAGAAAATCGTTACCCAGTTATTCAGGAATAAATAATTATTATGGATGAACATTATTCTTTGACATTTTTTTCACAGGATTTACTTCCTTTTTCTAATTAGTACAGCGTTCGTTTGGAAGAAATCTATCAACTTTTTTTTAAAATTGATTATTTTGAATCCCGAGATAAAATACCGGAATCAGTGATACCTATTTTTTCCTGACTGGATTCTACGAGACTCTAAAGAAGACGACAAATTCTCTGGCATTATGTGAATCAACAACTTATATTTTGAGATTGATGGTGCTTAAACTTTCCACCCCTTCTTAAAATTTTGATTCGAACTGGTTGAATAATCCGAAAGATCTCCCATAAGATCCAAAAAAACGACTCCTTTTTTGCGCGATCTATTATTTGGTCGTTTCAGTTGGAACCACATAGAACACAAGAGGCTGCAATAATTGAGCCAATTGGGTGGGCGAATCCTACGGTATTCGCACGTCGCGGCGACGGAGAAGAGGGAAGGAGAACCTGGAGTAAGGGACAGCCAGAGACAGGACGTTGGCCACCTTGGTCGTCTCGCAAACTGCCAGCTGGGAGAGACAAGTCAGTCCTTGTTCATGGAACACTCGAGCCCTCAAATCGGAGAATTCGAAGAGATCTTGAGCAATCAAAAAAAAAAAGAGAGCTCCATAATTGAAGTACTATCTTACAACAGAGCTCACAAAAGAAGCCCATCAGTAAATATTTGATTGAATACAAATAAAAAAAAAATCTTTTTCCCTTTTCCTTTGCAAAAAAAAGTTCTAATGAAGAAATACCCATTCCAAACTAGAAAGAAAAATTTTGCCAGTCTCTCCCGCTTCTTTCGTGAAGCACCAACTCCTTTGTCTATATGTAAAGTAGTTATCAACTTAAAAAACCAATTTTCTTTTTTTATTAGGCTCAATCTTCTCAAAGTTGTTACATTCGAGCTGACGCATCCTATCACTGGTAAATAGTTATTTACATCGCACCTGTGTCCATCGATTCCCTCGATCATCACCAACTCGCTCAGTTCACTTCGAATGCCGAAAAAAAGTCTCATGGCAAAGCCGTCGAGCAGCGACTTCAAGTACATCCATCCCAGGCGGGCGCAGAAAGCGACAACCATCGCTGAATAGGAAAATTAAAGAAAAAAAAGGAAAATGATCGAGATCGAGATCTGAAAAATAAAACTGGCTCTTTCGAAATTTCAAAGCAGGTAGCCCTTCTCCTCCGCACCTTTCTTTCTATTAAAGATATAATAACTTTGATTCGATCGCATTTTTCAAAAAAAAATTATCAATTTTTTTAAAAAAAGATTTATTTAATAACTTCCATTGACTATAATCGTTTGCTGGACATAAAATGATGAAATCGCAGCCATTACTTTGAAAAAAATATTTTTTTCTAACTCTAATTTTTTTCAAAGAACACAAAAAAATAACTTTTTATGATTTTGAAGCTAACTATTCCGTGAATCTTTCTCCCGTTTTTAGAAAACATCATATAATTTACAATTTCATACATCTACACTCTTTCAAATTGAGAAAGATTGTGGGAAATGTGTCACTTTTGCCTGCTGTCACCGTTCTAACTGAGCCAATTTCGCCCGTCTTACAGAGCCAATCAGCCGACGGCTGACCCATTCTCGTGTTTTTAATGCAAGTCACGATGGAAAAATACTCGACAAAAAAAAAGAAAAATGCGGAAGTTTTTGGATTGAGCACCTGCGTATGTCGAGCTCTGATGCTGAAGGGTTTGGAGACAGCCACGGGAGATACGGTACTTTGCAGACACCTTGAAATACTTTTGCCATATTTTCTATAGCATTCTCTCACCTCGTTCAATGGAACTTCGCTGATCAGGTCATAAAGAGCGAGAGAAGAGAAGAAACGAATGTGAACCTGATGAGGAAAAAAAAACGATCAGATTCGAAAATTGTGAAATGCTACTTGTAAGCGTTTGTCGTGTGCCTTCCATTGCCCTTGCAAACGGTCCAGCATATATTTTTCGCTCATTCCAACCTGTAGAAAGAATTCCTATTTATATATAATTGTTTGAAAGAGGGGAAAAATACCAATTTGCCAACCCGTCGATGTTCAGGAGGAATTTGTACAAACAGGGCGTACAAGTGGTCCCAATCGCAGTCTTGCCACACAGAAACATTGATTGGTGTCACCTTTAAAGGTCTCCGATCAAACTCTCTAGTTCACTATTTTGTCCTTTCTGTTTGTGGTATACGATAATTCTCACACTGGCAAGTCTCTGAATCCTTCCAGTTTACTACCGGAAAAAACAAATTGCAGTTGACGAACAAGTACAAAAAGTCAAAAATATGCAGAAACCTACGAGGTACAGCATATGAAGCTCAGTATCGAGACAGATAGACTTGGATGCCGTCATGAGGTCGTCGAAAATGAAAAGAGCGGCTTCTGGAGGCAAAGACGAGGCCAACGTCGCTTTTCCTAACTGAGTAGCTACCAACTTGTTCAAACCTGAAATAAGTGTTTTTCGTTGATAATATCTTTCTTTTGTTACCCTTTTCATGACAACTTTCTGAGATGAAAGAGTTTTTCAGAAGTTTCTCAATCGAAGAAGAGACATCCGAGGACTTCGAATCAAAAAGAAAGCTGACCAATTGGTGCATTTCTTCCGCCGAACTTGTGAGTCCAGTACAGATACTCTTAAAAGTACCCAGATGACATGCGTCGACCGCTTCTACCTCAAGTAGCAGTTTGCTGACGTCGGGCCTCGACCTTGTCCTGTCTTCTTCTTTTCCAGAGAGCAACTTGAGAACAGCCTCCTGCTCCTGATTCTTCACCACCAAGTAGCTTTCGCCTGCAATTCAATTTGTTTTTGAACTTCGCTGTTCTTATTTGTTTTCTTTTCCGTGTTCAATTCAAGGCGAATGTTATGGCGGTTGCCAATTAGAAGCACGCCTCTCGCCCAGCCCGCGTCTTCGCTCCGCCTACTCCAAGGTCTACGGTATCCATCCATGGGGCGCGAAACCCATCCAATCTCATTTGGGCTCTCCGTTCTCTCCTATTCAACTAATTCCTATTTCCACATCGAAGTTGAGCTTTCAGGTATGGCGATCGAAGAAATGCACATGGCGGCATCAATGCCGATGGGAGCTCCGATGAGTAATTCTCAACGCATGAGCTTCGCGATTCACGAAATCCTAGGGATACAGGTATTTAATCACATTACTAACCTATTTAACAGTCAAATTCAAGGGGAATTCATATTTAACGCACGGTTACTGCCCACAAGGCACATTCTTCCAGCAACAGGTGATTTTTTCAAAGAAGAATTCATCTAAAGCTACTTTTAAAGAATCTCGTCGATCTCGGCTCTTTCGATCGTTCTTTATGTGTCGCAGAAAACACATCAAACGGTAAAGCGATTTTTGAGTCAATTTCTTTATGAATTATAGTTAACAACGCACTAATCTACAATATTCCTGTGCAGTCGCACCAGATGGAGCCCCAACAAAGTATGACGAGTGAAGCCACGTCGACAAGCATTTCCAAACTGAAACGAAAAAAGAGGCGACACAGGTATTTGATATCAAAAACTGTGAAATTTTTTTTTCTGTTTTCAAGGACCATCTTCACGCAGTATCAAATCGATGAGCTGGAGAAGGCCTTCCAGGACGCCCATTACCCAGACGTCTGTGCTCGCGAAATACTTGCCACCAAGACAGACCTGCCAGAAGACAGAATACAAGTATGTTTTCTCGATTTGTGAAATAAGTAGCCTCGTGTAAGAGGTTGACTCTTCACGGAAACGCTTCGGTCTATTGAATTTGGCAATTGGCCGGACGATTGTTCGACAGCGGCGAGGGCGACGATTCGATTATTTGTTTCCGGCATTCCTATGACGCTTTTGCCCTCACGTTTCGCCGTTTTGGACCTTTCGTTACTCTTCTTAATTAGCTTGAAAGCCAATTTCGAAGTGCCCTTTTTGTCGCACACATATTTCCTAAACTCTGGCTCATGCAGACTGGAGTTTTGTCAAAGAAACGCTCGAGTTTCAGGTTTGGTTCCAAAACCGCCGAGCGAAGTGGCGAAAAACAGAAAAAACATGGGGGAAAAGTACTATCATGGCAGGTGAGAACAATAATTAAAAATTTAATTTCAATGCAACATTTCTAGAATATGGTCTTTATGGCGCAATGGTTCGTCATTCACTTCCACTTCCTGAAACCATCACGAAATCTGCTCAAACAGCAGATCCTCAACAGAGCGCCGCTCCTTGGTTATTAGGTCAGTTATCTTTTTTTTAACTATCCGTTGAAACATTATAATTAGATATGATTAAACCAGAGACTTTCACGTATCAGAACTAAAAACTTAGACTGTGGGGCAGCCTTAAAAAAAGAACTGACAGTAAGAAATTTTTTTGTGAAAAAGTTGCTTCTGTACATACATGGTCAAGTAAAGAAAAACAATTACTCCTGAAGGGAGGGTTGACTTACAAAATTTTTTAGAAAAAACAATAAAATGATTTTTGAGTTGAGAAAGGTAGTTCTTTTTTTTTAAATAACAGAGATGTTTTAACCTCAAAAGGTACTACTGAACTTAACTTTAGATTACTCGGGAAGAGGTTTCGGCTGCCTTTGAAAACTTTCTGCCCACGTATACTTCTATATCACATCGCTTATAAAAAAATCCACGAATTTAACCAAAAAAAGTTTTCGGGTACTACAAGGTTGACAGGGAAAGTAAAAAAAATTCCATTATACAATAAAAAAACTTTAAAAATAGATTTTCCAATTGTCTCTACAGTAACCTGCCATATTTTTGTAAAGCTATAATTCAACGAAGAACTTGCAAACTGTTCCGTTCTTCTTTTCGGAATGAAAACTTTATGCAGCTTTCGCGAGCAAATGAAAGAAATCAACTCATTTTTTGTTGTTATTACCGTAGTTTGTTCGGAACTGATGAAAATGAAGATGAATTTTACAAAGAAAAAACTACAGGATAGTTGGTAATCTCTATGAGGGTCTTGAAGGTCTCTCGAGACCGTATTTAGCCGAGTTCCCATGCGTCTCCAATGCGTTTCCCAATTGGAGCAATTAGTGCTTGTTAGACGACAACAAGCGGCAGCCGGCTTTTCGGCTCCGCAATATTTGTCCAACAAAATGTGCCTCGAATTGCACCCATCCGGCCACCAATCTACACAATATGCTAGGTCATCTTTCACGACTTATCCCGTTCATAAGTCAATTTCGACCGATTTCTTCAAGAACACTGCGACAATGCGCGAGATCGAGGTGACCTCGTAGTCTTAAATTCGCAAGCCATTGTCCGCCATCTCCGGCGCGAACAAATTAGTTAATCGTTGTTAACTGCTGGCATTCAAACGCGACTCGATGCGTTCCGCTATTTCATGGCTACTGTAGCGATTAAGGAATGCACAAAAAAAGTATGGAGGCGGCGGCGCACCTCGAACGTGTCGAGAAGGTCTGCGACGGCAGCGACAGCGACGAGGACATGTGCGACTTCGAGCCGAAGGTTCGCTCCTTTCATTTGTATATGCAAATGTCTTGCAATCATCTTAAAGTGGAAAACTACGAAAAAAAAAAAACTTCACTTCAAAAAGTTGACCAATAAAAAATCTCTCCCTAATCCTTTAACAAATGAGAAAAAGTCTGAGCAACTACAAAATGACTTCCGCTTCTAATTTTTTTCATCTGATTTTTTTATCTACAAAAAAATCGGTGAAAATCAATGAAAAAAATTCTTTGATGTTTCAAAAATCAATACATGTTAACAAATTTTGTCTCGAAACCCAAAAAAAAAAAACAAAAAATGCCGTTTCTAGTAGTAAAATTTATCGCTCGCTCATCCTTAAAAAGATCGATTAATAAAAAGTTATTTGCAATTATTGTCGGCTTTTTTCAGATAATGCACCAACAAGGCCCCAGAAGAGACGCCACGTCTTACGCGGGAATGATCGAGAACGAACTGGCCGTGGATCACGGCCATCACGCCTTCGCTCCGTTGCTCAACAACAACGGTCTCAAACTCTATCACGGTTATCAGTCCAACATATGATCCAGATCCTCCAACTTTCAATTAGTAATAAATGTTTCGTCTACATTCGATGGTGCTCTTGAACCTAACGCGTTGCATCATTAGCTCAAGTGGTTGTTAGAGGCTTCCAAGTCTTTCGGCCAGCGCCCTTTGAACGTGCGCTGACCTCGGTTTCCGTGTTTTTCAGTTCGACTTTTAAGTAAGAGAAAAAACATTTTCCTGCATTCCTTGATGATCAACTGAATCCGAAAGTCTTCACCAAATATACTCATGAAAATTCAACGAGGAAATCATAGTTTTGTAAGCGAACTACTTTGAACCTCAACGCAACCTTTGTTCAATGTAGCAGATGAAAACTCTATTGCTTCACACTTTCCAAATAATAAGTGAGCGTAGAGAACAGTTATGGAAGTTTGATTATTGAATCGAAAAATATGTATCTCAACTGCAAAAAAATACAATCTCGAAACTAGAATGACCTTGAATGAGTTCAGTTTTGTCCACGTGAAAATCTACAATTACGAGTTCTACCTCTCTGAAAAACATTTTCGACATCCTCTGAAATATCTAAAAAAATTATCTTGCGTATTGTTGATTTTCGGATTGAAATAAATAGGTTGAACTTGGATTTTAAAAAGGGAACCTTCAGTTGAATGACCCATCCTCCCAGCGCGGCCAATCATTTGACGATAGGTGGTGCTATTTAAAGCAGACGGACCTCGTGACTGTGCCTTTATGATGACAGTCTCTGCCGGAAGATTCACTCCTGGAACAGGAAACTCAAAAAAAAAACGAATGAGATCCAACCAGAGGCCAACGTGCTCGTGCACACCAGAACCAGCAGATGACCGTTTCGAAACGTTTCTTCGATGCATTCCCGTTCCTCTATCGTGAGACCTTACAAACACATCTGATGGCTACAATGAAGAAGACATCGATCAGAGGAACCTGCATGATGGAAAGCTATTCCTCGAGCCAACGACAACAGGAGGCATTTGTCGGTAGAGCCCAACTGATCGAGTCTCTTTTTGGCCGCCATGAGTCCTTCTCGAATTTTTTCCATAACATCTTTCAAAATTGGACTGCTCTTGAGCAGTGGGTCGAGAAGTTTCGCCAAATCGAGAGATGTCTAATAAGAAAATCCTTTCAAAAAATCTCATCTACACGCTTCACCTTTTCCGTGTCAGCCTTTGAAGAGCAAAACAATAGTTGCTTCTTACCTCGGCGGCAGCCTTCCAAGGCAAGTCTGAAACTTTCGACTATTCACGTCTTGAAGAAGTTTCTATTTCTGAACTACTTTATCAAACGATTTTATGTTGAATCTGATACATATTATATCAAAAGTAATTGAAATTTGTAAAACAAACGTCAAGGAAACGTCTCTAGACGATTCTAATCGACGAATTTCTTCTCCAAAAACTTCTCCTTCAGAATTATAGACAATGTCATTGTAAACGACGTTTTCCTTCAAGTCGATTGGTCGAAATTCGGCTCGGAAAACCTGGAAAATTGTTCTCATGACAAAAGTTTTTCGATGAGGAACTTTGGAGTTCATCCATTCGCCTAGACTCTTTATTTGTGGAACAGTAGCGCTCATGCCAACCACACGAATCGGGTTCACGGCGGCAGTCCTAATTTATAAGAGTAAATATGAGAATTTTCAGACAAATCTCGGATTACCTGTTCCAGTACAAAATCTTGCAAAGTAAAAACTCAAGATTCACGCCGCGAGAAGAGTCGAACAACATATGAAGTTCGTCCACAACTACCATACCTATAATAAAACTTCTTATTTATTTTTTCTGAACACATCTTGCCTATCTTATCACACCATGCGTCAGTCAAGGCTCGGTTCAAAAGACTTGCAGCCTTTTCGATGGTGCAAACGGCGGCAAGCCAGTCATTTGGAGGAACTGAATTGGGACCTATGAAGCCGGCAACGGTAATATCCACCCGTCGCCAACATTTCTGAATCTTGCGGTTTTTTTTTTTGAGAAATGAATTGAAACGAGCCTGCAGGTGGAAGAGTTTCTCTTTGGCCACGGATATATATGGCAAAATAAAAAGAACTTTTCTCCCCTCCTGTGCTACTCGAAGAGCTTAAAATATGAAACATGAATTTGACACGTACACTGCACCTTCTTTTCTAAAGACCGGAATTGTAAATTTTTGTCTTTTCGCGCATCTTCTTTGTAATTATGTACTTGACATTATTAGAAAAAGAAGAAAAAAAAGTTTGAAGTTAAAGATCTGTAAAATCCTGTGGCTCTTTCCAATTTTTCGACTGGAATTGCGTTTATGAATGGAACGCCAAAATATCGTACGGCGGTCAGAAGAATTAAAAACTTTGATCAAAACAAAAATAGAAAAATCACCTAGAAACTCGGCAACAATACTCTTTCCGGCACTAGTGGGTGCACTGAAAAGTATATTCTGCTGACTTTCAGAAGATTGGTCGATAATATTTCTTTGCCATTTAAAAAGGTTCTTGACTCCCTAAAACTCGAATCAATAGGAAAAATGAAAAAAAATAAAACCAACAAACATTTTCCAGGTAAAATTCTTTAATTTCGATTGGAAGCCATTTCGGAAAGCTCGTTGACTTCATAAATATTGTATTTCCTATTCCAGTTAAATCTGTCGAGAAAACATGAGCAATCTAAAAGACTGAAATTACTGTAAGCATTTATTGAATGGAAAAATTTTTCAACAGGAAAAATGTAAATTTTGATTTCGCGCTTTTTTCAGCCAAAGCCCTCAAGTAGCTTCTGAGAACCTTTAAGGGATCCCTTGAGCGACATGTGCCACGGAGCAGACTTTTCCAATTTTCGAATTACGCGTGTCCATCTTGATGTTTTCCACTTCAATTTTTCTTCAATAATGTATATAATACTATTAATTTTATTTTTTTATCGATAAACTCCGCGTAAGTTCTTCACTTTTTGTGGTTGATGTCATTTTGAAACTTTTTGAAAAAAATAGTGAATCAATGATTGAAAAATTGATTTACAAAAATTCTGGTAAAAAAAGTAGCTTAACTATTTATAAAATCGAAAAAAGGATGTGCTTGAAATTAATATACTCAAAAAAATAATTTGGAGCAAATGATTTTTTTAGCAAATTTTCGATGAACCAGATTTTCAAGAGTTTTATATTTGATTTTTAATTTTTTTAACGTTCTAACACATAACGGTTATTTGAGAAAGATTTCTCAAAACGGACATTTGTTAAATCTCTTCAGAAAAATAGAACTTCTTTAAACCCTTCTTTTTCTTCTCAAGTTTTTTTGTTTGTTATCCTTGGTTTTTTTCCGTCTATTAGAGTTTCAACTTTCTATTCTTTTGAGGGAAAATATCAATATGAAGTTTTCACGTTCAGAATGACTTATTTTACAAATTGGGAAGAATTTTCTAAGGCAGCTGAACGTCTCCAAGCTGCGAATCCTGAAAAGTGCAGGTATTTCTTACAATCGAAACTGATTTCACAACAGTATAATATATTTTTTTGTTCTCAAGGTTTTTTCTCCCCAAAAAATTTCTTTCATATTCTCAAATGCTACAAAACGCTTTTCACGATGAAAACAAAATAAAAGAGGTGGAGTCATTTGAAAGTTGTTCTCTTTATCATGACATATTCACATTTTTTTCTTCAAAAAAAAACTTGGTAAAATGAAACTTAACGAACTGCTTGATTAGATTATGTTCATTTCATCGTTATTCAACTTCAACCTCCGCAATTTAAAGAAAAAGCGTTATTTTTTGAATTTTTTTGGATTTACTCTCATTTAAAATCATTTGCATAGTTTTGAGTACATAGAGCCAAAGTTTTTGAATTTTTTATTTTGCAAATTCTCTATGAATTGAAAAATGTTTAACTATTCTCTAAATTTTACTTCAATGATTTCAACTGTTTCATTGCAAATTATAATCGCGGTAAATGAAAAAAACGTTGAAGACAAGTTTCATAATTCATGAATGTGAAACCTTGACTAGTTATTTTTTTGCTTTAAGCTTTATTTTGAAAAACCCATAAACAAAAAGTCTGAAAAAAATGAATAAATTTTTTTATTATTCCTAATATGTTGTAGCGCACAGATCAGCCTGGAACTTGAAGAATTATTTTTCATTTTCAAAAAGATTCATTGACAAGGATTTTTTTCATCCCAGGTTTGTCACAAAGTACACTCATCGCGAAGGTCGGCTCGTTCTGAAGTTCACCGACGACGTTGTCTGCCTACAGTACAGCACCAATCAACTGCAAGACGTCAAACGGCTCGAGAAGCTTTCATCATCCCTCCTACGCAACATCGTTTCACAATAGCAATGGAAAAATAAATATTTCTCCAAGTTTTTGAGTTTCCGCCGATAGTTAGAAAAAACGGCAACTTTCTGCCGACTCTTCAAACAGCTGAGAAAAGAAGACCTCGGCGATTGAATGGTTCAGACAAATAAGTTGTGCCACTGACACACGAACTTTGCGAAGCCGCCGCGTCATATATCCTGTGGGAAGGAGGAAAAAGCTGCAAGTGGCGGAGGCGCCAGAGTGTTTGCTGGTAGCACGAGAGGAGCCCGGTGGGCGGAATATACCGGTGCCGCCGCAGACGCAGAGGCCCCACAGCTCAGTGTGCGATGGGATCTCGAGAAGATGAGGCCGAAGCTCGCGAGAAGGTTCGTTAACTCTACTTTTATCAGTTATCATCTGTTGATCATCTTTGGACTTTGCAAACTGGAAAATCTGTCAGACCTTCATCTCTTTTTTTTTGCATTTCTAACAATTTTTTCATCACCACTTTCAGTGTAGTTTTCATTAAAAAATACTCAAAATCCGATTGTTCGGAAAAAGAAATCCGTTTCACCAATATATGATATCCTTAAGATTAAGCAATTGAAAGCCATCTGTTTGAGGGCAAAAACTAGCGGAGCGATTCTAAAGACCGCTAAAGTGAGATCGAAAACGCTTGCAGGGTTGATCGAAGGCCAAGTCTTCGATTACCTATAAGTTAACGCCTGAAACATCTTTCCGTTTCAATACTTTCTTGAATTTTGCCTATTCTTCTTTCTAAATCCCAGCTATAAACTTTTTTCCTGATTATGAAAAAAGAAAAGCAAGCTGATTCATAACCGGCTTTCAAAAGTTCGCAATGCTCATGTCTTGCAATAGAATAGCATATATAAAGTTTATCTGGAGAAGTTACCTATTTCAGCTGGAGCGCAGGTTGTCGGAGTTAGTTTTAATAAATATTTTAGTTAAAAAAAAACCAAAAAACCTCAAAGTATGATAAAGAGCTAGTTGGAATATTACTTCTGTTCCTACCTCCAGGTTTTCATGAAAAAAGTGCTTATCCAACTGTTCCGCAGGTGCGCGAGCTGCTCTCTCGGCCGCCGTCGAGCCGCCCCGCAGACTTCGTGAATCCTCTGGAGAAGATCGAGCAGCTGTTGACTTGTCCAATCTGTCTCGACCGCTACAAGTTGGTTTGCTCTTCGGGTGTCGGGCGGTCACAAGAACACCGTCACTTGACTGATTTTTGTTTTGACCCCAACAAACTTTGTCTCTGAGTCAGCCGATGGGGATCAGCTGAGAAGTATTGACTATTTAATAGGCTTGAAAAGCGTCCTCTCGAGTAGTAAGAGGCAAAACGAACGCTTGTAAAGAAACAAGAGAGAAGGCCGGCGCAGGCGAATTACACTGGCGCACCGCCGACGGCTCAAGTGTGATGTGTCGTTCCGTCTTCCCCAATTTTTATGCGAGTCCAACGATTTTGATTGCTGGAATTGTTGAGAATAGCCAGAGAGTGATTTGAAGAAGCGAAGATTCGAAAACTTGGAGGTCTAAGAAAATAATTTTCTTAAAAAAAGAGAACTCTCAATTTATTTCTATGTCGAAAGTCTTATTAGTAATCTTCTTCAAAACTGCACCAGTAAGAAAAATAATGCTGTTAAATTTTTTTCCCGTATTGTAAAAAAAGGAAAAAGAAGGAAAAAAATATTTCAGGCAGCCAAAACTTCTGCCTTGTCAGCATTCCTTCTGCTATCCTTGCCTGGAAAGTTGCGCCGACAGCCTTCACAGGTAAGATCTTTGAGTGGGCCGAGAACCTGGGACATCATTTTTGTATCCATCCAGTCACTTGAATTCATTTTCAGCACCTAGTAATATAATTTTTTAAGGTTTGTGAGGATTGATTGAAGAAAAGTTGAGAAATGAATCTCAGATATAAGATTTTTGTGAGAATAATTTTTTATGATAACAATCGGTTTAGAGCGCAAATCGACCATCAACTCTTTATTTATTCGATGATTCTGTAGAAAATCTTCTCTAAAAATGAATAAATTTGGAAGTTTGTGATTTGTGAACAGCAACACGGATTATGTAATTTCTATGTTAACCAAACCTAATTTCTAAATTGACTTGTTTTTTTCAACTCGAATAACTATTATACAATAAATTAAAAATAATTTTACAACAGGAAGAAAGGAAATGCTTATAGATAATATTTTCTTTTGAGTTGAACGGTATCTCGCAGAAAAAAAAGTTTTCAGTATAAGAAAAACTAGAAAGAAATAGGGATTTTGTTTTAAAACGTTAAAATTTTAAAATCAAGTTCAACACTTCATGTAATTCAAAAATTCTTTTGCAAGTTAGTTTTGTTTCAGATCTTTGAAATGCCCCGAATGTCGTGCTGAGCATAATATACCGTATGATGGGGTCAAAGCCTTCCAGGTTCCTGTTTTTCGTTCCTATTCGCTAACTTCCGATTTAGCCAAACTATACTTTGACGGGTTTCCTCGAAATTCATTTGCAAGCGACTCCAGAGTCAGCGGCAGAAATCGAGGAGTATATTCACAGGTTACTATTTGAATTTTATTCTGAATATGAAGTTTTTGATGAGTCCAAATGAAAAAAATTCCAGGTATAATTTGGAAAGATGCAAAGTTTGCGACGAAAAGGCAGACTGCGAACCATGTGCTCATTGTGATCGGAAAGCTTGCAAGGTTGGAATTTCATTACTTTTTTTCTAAACGATTTTATTCCAATCTCATTTTGTTTTCAAAGGTTTTTTGTGTTTTTCAGGCTATTTTCAGTCCCATCATACATGTCGAGAAAGTCAAAAAAAAAAATGCATAGTAACTTTATCGTTAAATTTCAAACTCATTGATCTTCAACGTCCTTATTTGAAAATCTGATAGTCGTTTTAAAAAAAACCTTTCGATCAGCTCTTTTTTTGTGAAAGATTAATTCAAACATTAATTTTTCATGATTTGAGAAGCAGAAACTTTTCAGAGAATCATTATGTTTAACTTCCAATCTGTATCATTGGAGCTGAATTTTCATCGACGAACTCATTAGCCAACCCGATAACCGTGCTCAGGAATGTCGACAGACACATATGGACATGCTGAAAAGGGACATGTCCCGTCTCCTCAATCAGGTCAAACGACTCTCCAACCGCATAATCGAGGCTTCCGACAACCTCTCCAAGGGTATCGAGCTCATGTCTCTGAACTGCGAGACGACCAAAGACGAGGTCCGAGAATACTTCCATCGGTTCGTTCATTCATTTTGGTTATTTCAATATGTAGCCTAGTTAAAAGAATTATCAAAAATTGTTGTATTTTTTTTTTTCGAATAAGTCTGCGCGTGATAATAAATAGCTAAAATCTTGCATAATGCATAATAAATTCCTACTTTGTATAGCATTTAAAAAATGAAAAAATGCTGAGGATAGTACATTGAAGCTTACTCGATATTACATGATACTTTATTTTGCCACTCTATTGTGTTCTAAATGTTTTTAGATACCAACGCGACCTGAAGAAACGAGAAGAAAACTTCATTTACGAGATCGAAACGTTCCATGCGACGGAAAGCCGCCTGATGAGCAATTTGCGGGACGTTCTGGAGATCGAGAGCTCGAACATGAGTGAAGCCGTGGCCCGTCTAGACGCAGCCATCAAGGTCAGATCTGTCTTCAGAATCGACTAACCGAGGGGCCATTTTAGGGAGAGTGCGCGATTGAAGACGCAGATCTAGTGCGTCTGAAGAACACTTTCACAGAGGGCCTGGATTACCTCAGAAACTTCCAGGTACACATTTCACCTCCTTCTTCAATTTATCTATGTGGTTTCAGCCGGACGCCGACGAACTTTTCAATCGGAAACTGCGATTTTCAGCTGGCGACGACGCTTCCAAGCTGCCTGCCGCCATCACTACCTGTGGAGAGCTTTGCGTTTTGGTTCCACAGTTTTCTGGAAGGTTCTCTTGGAACAAACTCTCTCAGTATCCAACCTTATGTAGGTATTTGCCGTTGGAGCAATCTTACTTGCCGAGGCCTTTCCGACTGCCTTTGGAAAGTGACACTTATCGCGTTCGAGGAGAAGACAAATCGGCGAGTCATCGAGAAAACGACCGGACGTCACGGATGAGGTTTAATGGAACTAGGCTGATCATCATCTGATTTTTCTTGTTTTTAGAATATTTAAATTAGTACAGACAATGATTTAGTTTTCTTCAGTCAGAGCTAAAAATTCGAACAATGTAACATTGAAGAACTAGTCTAAAAATTGCTGCGAAGTAAAAGAAACTGATCTGAAGGATGGCTGCATGTAATTTTTTTCTGATAAATGAATGTAAAAAAGAGTAAAAAACTCTTTTCACCTATTATATTCCAGTTTGCGCAACGAAGTCGACGAAGGATCTTTGCGATACAAAAGACGTCAGCAACTCGAAGAAGAAGCTTGGAACAGACTTCGAGGCGCTGGTACCGGAGCCGACACGGAGCGGCCGCAAGTCAGGTCGCCCTGGCTGACAAAAATCGACACTTCGACTCCAACATTGACGACGCCGCAGGATTCTCTTCACAAGACTGTTGAGCATTCGAAAACGACGTCTTCTGTGGCTCGAAAAGACGTGAACAACGCCCTGGCTCCGCCAGCTTCTTCATCTCTCACTTCAACACCGAGGACTTCTCCGCTCCCCAAGCATGCGGTCGTGGCTTCGATTCCGTCTCCAAAGACTCCAGAACCGGCGAGTTCCGAAGAGAGTCTTCCTGATATACGCCCGATGACGAGGAAGCCTCCACTCCCACGTCAAGCCTCCAGTAACGACGATTCTTTGAACGAAAAAGTGGAAGTGATCCGAAGAGCCCATGCTCAGAGAACAGCTGCCTCTCGCGCCGTCTCCAGCGAGGAGTCCGACGGCGACGAGCCAACCATCGTAGCTCCCCCTAGAGGGCGCATCAGGATCGTCTGTCGTGCTGCTTCTGTAAACCGAGATGATGGTCTCACCGAGCACACACCTATCCAGGTGACGCACTTCACAGGTGAGGATGAGGTTGAAATTCCGGCGTGGCTGCAGCGCCGCCGTCAGCGATTCCAAAGGTCGCGAACTAACCCCGACATCCAGTCGCAGTTCACCTCGCAGCGCGTCCAACAGCTGCTCGCCGAACGTCAACAACGCAATTCTCGTTTAGACAGTTCGACGAGTGCCGACGAGGAGAAGCGAGTTCGTGGACGGTCGGCTTCCCGTGAAGCCGGAGAGTGGAGAGCGCGCGGACGACCTCGAACAGTTTTTGGTCGCAAAGGAGCCAAGGAAGGAGAGCTGAACTGGCCACGAGGCGTCTGTGCCGTCGCTGGAGGCCTCATCGCTGTATGCGACTCCTCAAATCATCGAATCGTCGTGTTTGACAAGGACGGAAAGTACGTTCGACAGTTTGGCGGATACGGTTGCGCCTCTGGCCAGTTGGACTCGACTGCTGGAATCGCCAGTTCCAAGCAGAGAATAGTTGTTTCCGACCGCTACAACCACAGAATCTGCATATTTTCCAACGAGGGAGAGTTTGTAAGCACCTTTGGCGGACACGGACAAGCCAATGGAAAGTTCAATAATCCTTGGGGCGTCGCAGTCGACGAGCTAGGTTCTATCTACGTTGCGGACAAGGTGAACTTCGGGACAAGGACTTTTTCTATATATTTTATTAAGGACAATCATCGCGTGCAAGTCTTTGATAAAAATGGACAGTTCATCGCTAAATTCGGTACTTTCGGCCATCTTCCAGGTCAGCTGAACAGTCCGCTGTTTGTTGCTGTCAGTAAGACGAATCATCAGGTGAAAAAAGTTGTCCATTGATGATTTAAGTTTTTTATCTTCAGGTTTACGTCTCTGACTCGTCCAACCACCGCATCTGTGTCTTCGACCCACAGGGCATCCATCTTTTCTCTTTCGGAGAGGAAGGTTTTCACGGCGGACAGTTCAAGTTTCCAAGAGGCATCGCAATAGATTCCCAGGTTAGTTCAGTTGGCCGGAAATTGCTGATTGTGGGAATTATTCTGCAGGAGAATGTTTTGATAGCCGACTCCGGCAACAACCGGATCCAGGTTTTTGATACAAATGGACAGTTCGTCTCGTCGTTCGGAACCTGGGGAAGCGGCGCAGGACAGCTGAAAGGCGTCGAGGACCTTTGCGTGGCGGCTGACGGCGCCATCGTCGCCACCGACCGCGAAAATCATCGTATCCAAATCTTCTAATTTCATTTGGCCTTTCATAGGTTGTCTTTTATTGAAACTAGCTTGTCTGTTTGTTTGAAGAAACTACGCCGAAAATTTTTTATGAGCTATGATTTACTGCCCTGAGCACAGTTTTAATACTTTCAAAATTTAACTCTCCTCCGTGTCTTCAAACATTTATGCAAGCTATCCTTTATCCCACAATATTTAAATCTGCAGAGCAGTCTTTACATTGGTAGTTACAAATTTCTCCGAGATTAAGCTACCTGTAGTTTTCTGACTGTTTTCAGCTCTAAAAATTGTTTGTAAAATAGAACGTTCTATCATTTTTCTTTCCAAACTCCCGGTCGCTATGGAAGACGCCAGTAATATCATTATCAAATTATATATTTTCTCGTTTACGAGTCTGTTGTTGGTATAGGCGTATTTTTCACAATCAATGTGAAATTCCGGGTCCAATCACTACGAAGGATTCTTTTTCTATGTTGAAGTTCACTTTGATCGAGTTGCGTCTGTCAGACAAAACATGTTTCTTTTATGCAACAATTTGTTGTGTATATGATTTTCTTCTCTTGAAAAATTGTTGAGAAATATATTTTGAATCATTTCGAAACCATTCAAAGCGATCAAATTGAAATTTTTTTTATGAAAAAAAAAATTTTCCTTCTTATCCTCGTTTTTGAAGCACATCACTCATATCGAATGGCAGAAACAAAAAATACGTTACCACTCTGTTTGGACTTGAATGCGAGCTCAAAATTATGATCGTAATTCAAAAAATGTCACGAAATACGCGGGAATTGGAGTAAGTATTCGGTCTTTCAAGCAACGCCACCTGTTCTGTCCTTCAATCACTCTGAGCAACTGTTGAATTTGATTAGTGCCGCGTTGTTTTTCCTCTTTTACTCTTTCTTTTCCAATTTTTCAAAGCTGATGTCCCATTAATTCGACTATCTGAAAAGGTTAGAAAAAAAGTCTTTTTTGAATGAAATGTTTATTTCGCTCACAGACAGATCTGTGGCGTGGAGGAAGAGAACCATGAAAGTTATATTTGCCTTTTATGAGGTTTATTTTTGTGAGTTTATAACTTACATATTTTTAACGCCAATTTTGAAATTTCCAAGGTGATATTATATACCAGTTCATGTAAATTATTTTCTATGAAATTACGTCAAAGATTACACGAAGAGGCGTTGGAAGGGTGCCGCAGAGCATAATCCGGATAGGTGCCCAGGTCGAACAGCCAATACGTCCACGTGTTCATGTTCAGAACTGTGATTCCAATGCAAAGTATGTTGAGAAAGATCCCGCACGAGACCTGCAGTTTTTTTTATAACAGATAATTGTGAGAGTTAGAGTTCGAGAAGATAAATTTCTAAAAAAAAAATTAAAATTAAGAAAAAGACTCTAAAAGGTAATGGCGCTTTTTTAATAATCGTTAAAAAAATAATTAAAAACGGAGGAGACGAAAATATTCCGAACAGAAAAGGTTTCGAAAAGCTTCTGCTCGGCTGTCTGAGGGGTTCAGCAGAATTTCATTTTTTTGATTCCGAGAGCTCTTCCCTGGGCTTATCCAACTCACAAAGTCTCAATTATCAACTCGATTTTCAGTGGAAAACATAACCCAGTAAGTTTTTATGTCTCGTGTCAGGACCCTTTTATCGATGGTTCAAGCCAGCCATGAATCAGCTATATAGATTTTTAGAGACTTTAGCTTTCGAAGAGAGATTCTTCAATTTCTCAAGTTATATCTTGTTGGCCTTCAAATGTAAGAGAGAGACCGGAAAATATTTGGTCGGCTGTTACTGAGTTAGTTAAAAAAATAATTAGAAGGAATATTATCGGAAATAAAATAAACTTTTTTAAATATAGTGAACTTGCCATGTCAATCATGCGCATCGTTCGGGTTTCGTAGACGATGGCGTTAGCCGGCGTGGCCATCGGAAGCATGAATGAGAAGGAAGGCCCGATGGCGGCCGGAATCGAGAAGTAGAGGGGATGGGCGTGGACAGATTCGGCCATTTGGAAGGTGATGGGAATGAAGATGGAGGCGGTGGCCGTGTTCGTAGAGAACTCCGTCATCACCACCACCACGATCGAGATGATCATTTGCATGACGAAGAACGGCAGCGTCGAGATGGACGAGTTCAGCTTGCAGGCGATCAAATCAGACAGTCCGCTTTCCTGCGAAAAGAAGGTCATTAGCAAAGCTAAATAATTCAGACTCATTCAAAGTTTCTTCGAATAATTAATAATCAGCAATCATTTGTCGTGTTTTCCTCTCAATCTGACTTTTTCTATTACATTCATGTTCACTGAAGCCATATAAAGCTCAAGAAAGTTCTTTGTTTTTCAATAAAATATCGTTAAAGTGTTCGTTTGTTTCGAAACTTTATCCACTGTACCTTGACTGAATTGGATATCGCAAAACCGGCTCCGAGGAGCAAAATGATGGACCAAGGAAAACGTTTCTGAACCGTAGCCCACGTCACCAACGGGTCTCTTTTCACAGAAATGCGCTTTTTATCTCAAATTGTTTCCTTTTTTGCAGAATTTCAACTCTTCGAACCTTCCCTAAAGCACAAAAAATCAGGTTTCTCTTTTGGCCACAGGAACAAAATGAAAACTGCAATCAGTCCCGAGCAGGAATCCGTCACGTAGTCGCTGAATCACAATTTAGCGTTTCGAACTTTTAGAAAAAACAAAACTATTTGAAAAGCTGCGCCCAGCCAGGCACCACCTTCGGATCACTGGTCATCCAAGAAAAGATGGCCAGAGAAAATATTGTGAGAGTAGATTTTTCGGCCCAACTGAAATGATTTCTGAAAAGACTACGAAGGGAATTGCGGACGTTATCGGTCCCAGCTCTTGATAGGACTTGAAAACGGCTCGACGAGTCGCTTCTTCGTCTTTTCTTTCTTCGTCTGATGGTTTTTTGAAAATTGAGCCCATATACTTGATTCCCAAAAATTGAAACTAGAAAGGAAGGTTGCAAAAACTGCTGGAAAAATTGGAACCTGAACGATAAACCAGGAGGCGAACATATAGCCTATCATTGGCGGAACGGCGAAAGCCATCCACGAAAGATATGAAATTCCAGTGTCCTCTCCAGGAAATCTTCTGTGAATCAACCACTGAAATACTTTCTTCGAACTCGATTACTTGACGAGAGTATCGCGGAAGACGAGATTTGGTCCGGTAGCGTTGATAGTTCCTGTACCGCCGATAAGCGAAGCATGAGCAACCAAAAGCATTAAACATTTGCAGATACCTGAAAAGAAGCGTTCCTCTTCCAAGGCTATCAGAAATATGCTGAAAAAAATCCCGCTTTTTGAAACACGAAAAAAATGAACCAATTCAATGATGTACGCTTCTATCAGATATTCTGAATCATCGCACTGCCCCTGCCCCACCTCGATCTCTGGCCGAAAGCCGTTTCATGTCAAGTCTCTGGTTGGAACTCTCCTCTGCTGCTTCGATGATCTTGGGCGGCGCCATTTTCGGAGCCATGACCTGCTCGAGCAACGCGTAGGCGATCGGCGACATGAGAGCGCAGCACGCCGTGTCCGAAATCCACAGAGATCTGCAATCTTGGAGGTCGCGTTAGAATCTTCAGGAAAGCCAACATGAAACTCGTGATGCACATGAAGCCCGCCATGAGCCTGAAAAGGACGAGTTCAACAAGAAAAGTGTTTTCCGAACCATGCAGGTCTGGTGCCAAAGTAGGTGAGCATTTTGAGGGCGATTCTTTTGTGCAGCATGCATTCTTCTACGGCCAAAGACAACATCAAACTGTTGAAGAAAACCATATTAGTGTCCTAAAAATGAGGTTTTTTTACTCTCATTTTTTTTTTTGGTTATTTACGAATCAAATAACTTTTCTCGAAATGTTTCGTTTTCGATTAGAAAATATGAAGCGTCTAGGAATTTTCAGAAGACCAATACGAATTCATACGATTTTCTCACAGAGAAAAAAACTTCAAAAAAGGAAATTTGCAGGGTTCACTCGACTTATCAATAAACGAACGCTGAAGTACGTTGGCGCAACTTTCTTGATGCTTTGAATTCCCAGAATCGGGAGCAAAATCATTGGCAGGAGTGACGTCACTGCCAAAGGAGCTACCTGAAATGCGTTTCCGAAGAAGATTTTCGATTATTACGAACCTCTGCGACCCAATAACAGGACATGACCAAAATGACGAAAGCACATTTTCCAGGCTGGCCGCAGAAAAGAAGCGGACTGAGGAGCAACGGAGCAGCCAGGAGCCAAATCGAGTGAAAGTAGGTCTTGAACTCCCTCCACGCGAGTCCCATTTCTGACTTTCGTTTTCAAAGAAAATTTTCTTCAAGTTTTTCCGCCCATCAAACAATGAGAAGCGACGACTTTCATTCTCAATACAAGAAAAAAGAAAACACGGGAGAAATATGTTCGAAAATTTTTTGAATGTGAAAAGGTTTAGAAATTATACAATCGGTGTAAAAAAGGAGAATGGCCGAAAAATCAAAAAAAAATTTTTACAAAAAGGTTTCTCTCACGCTGCAGAAAAAACACAATGGTTGAGGATTATGCAAAAATACTGGACTGTACTGTGGGAGCCGCCTGAAAGAGTTATTTCCTGAGCCCTAGAGAGATATTTTCAGAGCAATTACTTGACAAGAAGGGAATGAGAAGAATTTCCATAATTTAGACAATAATGAGGAGTTATTTTCAAAAAATGAAAAATTAAAAGTTAGCACCGAAATGAGTCGAAAATGACAATTCATAAAATGCGTCAAACAGATCATGGGGTGATGAAAAAAGACCAGAGATACCCGCGAAAACGATCCGTTGGGTTAAAAAAAAGGGATCAGTTGTGTTTGGCCCGTTTTCCATATGCGTAGCTGACCCAACGACGCACAGTCTCTTCCAATTTCGCGTCGTTTTCGATGTTTGCAATCCACTTCAGCAGATACACATGCACTCCATGATAGTCCCATCTAAAAATTAGATCTCCTCAGACAATCTTTTCTTTTTGATCAAGAAAGTCTTGAAAAAAAGGACAGCACTTAAAAACTTTTCTAGTTTTTAACTCCCTTATCAAGGAAGCTTAAAATAAATAGAATCTACTTTCTCCTTTTTTTCCTTGGCATTTTGGTCGGATTTTTCAATTTTGTACAATGCAGCTTTATTGAAATTTATTTTTTTTATCTCAACATTATAAAAGAATTTCCAGGAAATCTAAAAAAATATCGTTTTTTACTGAAAAGTTCAAACTGTCTAACAAAAGAAGCTCGTCTCTTATATTACGAAATCAAATAAATATTTTACCTGGCCAGATTTGGAGCGGTGTCCAAAGCGACGTGCCGCAGGTCGTAAATCGAACCGCTCCCAGTGTCGAAAAGCGGCAAAAGAGCCTTCAAAGAAGCAACACCCACGTCGTACAGCTTTTTGGCTTCGTTCAGTTTGGCATAATATTTCTCATTATCTAAATCGCTTTCTTGTGAAATCCTTCTCTCTCTCTCTGAAAAAAGTTCTACCGTCAGAGTTCAGTTGCAATTCACTGAAATCGTAAAGACCAATGAGAGAGTACAGGAATCCGTTGAGGACAAAAGAGCCTGGCAAAGTCGGGTATTCCTCGTACCAAGGGAAGCCGAATATCTCGTTCTGGACACCGCCTTCTTCAGAGGACTGAAAGTAAATGAAATTTTCATCTCTCAAGATATTTGGTTCGAAAAGAGCTTTTCTCTGGCATATGACTTGTTCGCTTCAAAAGATTAAGAAAAGTGGGAGGAACAAGTCAAGATTATTTGCCAAAGCGCATTTTCTGGGATAATGACTCAAGGAACCGCGGGAAGGGAATGGCAGCAAAAACAGTGCAAAAGAGCCGATGGAATAATGATAAAAGGCAGCAAAAAAGGAGCCTTCCTCACCCTAACCTTGGAGCCTTTTTCCATCCTTTTTGACTTAGCCTATGAAGTATCAAGAGTCACAGTGAAATTTAAAGAACTTCGTTTTTTTTCATATAACTCGAACCTCATTCTAAGAAGGATACAATACAGACTAATCAAAAAGGATAGAAACATACAAAACTTTGAAAAATGAAACTAAATACAAAAGAAGCTTCAGAGCGGAAACCACACATTTCAACCTTCTTCATAAAACTGCTAAAAATCTTAAATGGAATTCACTTAAGTTTTCAATCAAATAAAAAAAATGTTCGCTATGAGCTCCTGACCTTGTTGAACAAATCAATGGCCTTCAGCGCTGCCGTCAAGAACTTCTCCTCTTTGGTCTCGCTGAAAGCTCTCGTTAACAACGACAATCCGTGTCCTGAAGATAGCGATGAATAATGAAACACTCGGGAATCTCGAAGGGACCTTGAGCCATGGCGGAGTGCCATCCAGGGGCCAGCACAAGTCTTCTTTCTGCAATCGCGCGTTCCACTGGCACGCTCCAACCTCCCTGAGTAAGAAAGTCCAAGCGCGCCTCAAGGACTTCTCACCTGCTCATCCTGGTTCCGAACGAACCACTCTGCCGCCGACAAAAAGGCGTCCAGGTGCTGTTCATTGGACTGGATGATCTCCTGCTTCACAGTCAGGCGACCACGGAAACCGATTGAGACAGTGAAGAGATCACCTAAAAAAATTAGCTTTTTAGTTTTAAGAAAAAAATTTCTATTGTGTTAAAGCACCCGACATAAAAATTCCAAAAAAACAGGTAGAAAAAAATCTTGTAAAATGTTGGAAAAATTCCAAATTCCTCTAATACAGAAAATCAAATTTTCTAATCGGAAAAGATCACATTTCTTCTGGCCGTTAAAAAAAAGTAACAAAATTGAATGCTGACGCAAGTTTAAATCGTCAAAAAATAAAAAAAAAAATAGAATGTGGGTTTTTCTTTTCGTATAAATTCGAAAAGAAAGCGAAAGACGAAGAAACCTGGATGGAAGATCCAATTCTGCGATTTCTTTTTGGTGGCCCCGGACGACAAGGCGCGCGCTGCGTCGACCAAAACGTCTCTGCTCACTTTTTGCCACTCCGACCGCATCGCTCCCATACAGAAAGAGAACGATACCTATTTTCCACGTATTTTCTATAACTCCTTTTTTTTCGTCTTTTGTCGAGGCTTCTACTTCGTTCCCACTTCAATTGATTCGAAAAACTAATTCGAAAATTTTCATGATTTTTAACATTGTTCATTGAACGCCAATTTCATTGTTTATGGCTCGATTTTGAATGATGAGAAATGGAAAATACATGCTTGGTTTGATGAAGGGTACAAAAAATTAAAATAGTTGAGTATATGTAATACTGCACATCTTCCTAACGAAAAAAATCGACTTATGAAGGTCACCCGACAGAATTGAACAAAAATCACGACCAATGAAAAAGGATTCGAAAAAATGTTTTTTTCGTTTTCTAGTTCTACAATTTTTATTTTCCTTTCAACTGTTTTATGAAATCTTCATAGAAAAGCGGGAAATGTACCTGTCCTGTGGATATTGAAGCTTTCTCGTCGTCGTTCCAAACACAGCGATCGTCTTCTCCGAAAACGTAGTTAAGCAAAACTAGAAGATCATTTTCCCGCAGCTAAAAGCCCCTATCATGAAAAATTTGAAAAAGAAAAGGAAATTGCCTTGACAAGAATCGTGAAGGAAGCATTCTCTATGGGAAGCCATTTCAGCGATATTATGTGCAAATCCGGTGTCTTATCCAAATAAACGTAAGCTCCAGAGTTGGATAGAGATCCTAAAACACATATTTTTACGCCAAACTATTGCCAACGCAAGAAATTCCTTTTTTTTTTATCAAGAGGTCGAAAAGTCCAAACTATCTTTTTTGCATCGAAATCGACGCATGAAACTCTGCTTTGGTCTCTATTCGCGCACAAAATGTTGAAACTTTTGAAATTTTGGGCAAAATATTTTTGCAAGAATTTCGCTTTTCGACTAGGTGAAGCGATTAGAAGAAAAATAAAAGAAAAAATGAGTGAACTACAAATAAAAACAAGTTCCCAATAGCAGATTAAAAGCTTGAACGCCTAATTGAATTTAAAATAATATTAATTTCGTGAAACAGGAAAAAACCTGCTGCAGTGATGTTGACAACCGGGCCGACTTCTTCATGTCTGTAGAAAAGGCGCTCCGAAGTCTCGTCCATTCCCGCAGCTCCCTTCCACTCCGGATTCATCCTACCCAGAACAACCTCCGAGTGTGAAAAGTTCGCTGGATCGATGCTTGAAAAAAATATCCCTTGTTTTCCAACCTGTTTTCAATCGGCTGTAGTGCTGAAGACCGTATTGAGCGATTTGAATGGGGTAGTAGTAAGGTTTCGGATCCCATTGAGTTGACATAGGTACTCCTAGACGGGGGAATGAATCATCAGGATAGAAAAAAAAAACAAGAAAACCGCTGGCTCCACTGATACAACGTACGCGTTCGCGTGTTTCGACGCTGTAAGTCGCGAAATGTCCGAAAGGTCCTTTCGGATCGTAGGGTCCTTCCGGCAACCGTATCTTCGAGTATGACGTGAACATTTCAAAAGACTTTTCATCTGGAAGTGAAAAAAGTAGATAATTTCATTTACACGTTTTAGTGTGTAACGAAACAATTTCCCAATGCTCTATTTATTCTTTGAATGACCAATGTTCGTAGTGAAAAACTGTTCTGAGAGGTGCAAAAAATGATTGGAACCATTATCCTATTCTTATAATAATAATAATAAGATAATTATTATAAGAAGAATATTATCTCATTTCATCCCGAGATTATTATCTCATTTCATCCCGAGATTATTATCTCATTTCATCCCGTCGACTAGTCGGTCTGATTGCGCTCTCTCATGGGATAATATTCCGACGCCCGTCAGCCCTGGACAAGCTGGGCGTTGTACTGTTCCAACATGGTGAAGCAGTTTATTCGCTGGTACTACCAGCGGGCGCACATTATTTCCCAACGCTAGCTGTCACTCCGGGACGTATTGGACAACGATTGTGGACCGTAACCCGCGCCGACGACTAACTCTTCGATTATACCATGATTCAGCAGAGATTTTCTTAATCTTACTCTGAAGACTGAATAAATTGAATTGAATTGAATTGAATCCTATTCTTGTTTATTTTCGCTCATAGAACTTTTCTTCACTCAGAGCAACTATTGTAAAAATCAGCAACCCATCTCGTTCTTTCGCAGCATTTATTTGAAGATCTACTTCTCTCACTGTGTTCAGGAAAAACTTATCGTACATTGCACGGAGGATATTTGCGTAAATGCACTTTGCTGTTGGAAGAGAATATTTTGAGAGAAATTGAAAATAGGAAGCTATATGTACTTGGAAGATTATAATCCAAAAGTATTTCTTTTAACTCTTATCAATATATAAGACGCTTTTGAAGAAAAGTAAGACCTCTTGAAGCCTTGCCGGTGACGTCGAACCTCTTCCTGATGAAAGAAAAAGGAAAAAAGACGTCCGTGGCGTCTTTCCAGCATTTCATCGGCTTCCCGTTATCTGCTACGCATTGGTGTTCTTGAGCAGCGCAGTCTTTTAATTCCTGAAAATTATGAGAATTCAATGAACAATGAAAATCAATTCCTACTAAGTTTTAAATAACGACTGAATACCTCATTATGTGTCTCATCGATCTTTTTCCTGCTCGATACGGCTTCTCCATTCTCCCGTTGGCCAACAAAGTAATGATTCAACAGGAAAAGAAAGGCTATGACGAATAAAAACGGGAGCTTCTGTTTCAGGAAACGATAACGCAACATCACGTCTCACCCATTTGCTATAACGCAATGCAACCGATGGGCAAAGTTATATGAATCAAGAAAGATACGGCTGTGTTAATACTTTTCCAAACGCAAATAAAATCATCATTCAAAACATTATTTATTGAATTGTACATTTGAAGAGTGCCAAAAATGAGAAAAATGGTTCTCAATTTCATTCTTTCTAAAAAGTATACAGGGCTACGCGTTTTGAACTAGGACAGGAATTTTGTTTTCCAGTTTACTGAAAATCTTCAAATTTACTTAGAGAATAAGAAGGCAAGAAAAATTAGACATTGAGTGAGAATGAAGAAAAAGTATAATAAAAAAGATTTCCTTGATTTATTGAACATTGTTAATGATTTTCAGCGTAGACCACGCAATAGTGTGCGAGTAGCTGCCAGAGTAATTCCAGCTCGTCTAGCATTTCTATTTTTTTAACCCTGAGAGCAAAAATTTAAAATAGACTCGTTTAAGAAAAATGAACCTCGTGGCGTCGGCGGGATCGAGAATTCTATTGAAAACTTCGTTCATGTCATGAACTTCCACGCTGCTGAATCCAGCCATATTGAACCTAAACGATAAAATTTACACTGAAAAATGAAAAAGTTGAACCTTTCTTTTTGCTTATCAGCACTCTCACACATTGAGAGGCCGTGAAGTTGGATTCCCCGATTACCAAGATTCGCCTCCATAACTTTTGTGAACTCATCGGAGCTTCTGAACTGAAAATGAAAAAAAAAATTAAAAAATCCCTGAGGCTTTTGAAATCCAACCTGTTCATAATTCAAAAAAGAAAGTTTTTTGAAACGTGAGCAGAGGGCTTCGAGCAATGCCGAACTATGGCTTCCGGACATGTACACAAGAACGCATCTGAACCCTTTTCAGGCATTAAATCCTCCGCCAGAGAAATACTCGGCGATGCAAATAGTGGGGATGGAGTTGTCCAGATCTGCAGCGTCCAACTTAGTGTTGAGCTCTCCGAGCTGTCGCAAATCTGCACCAATCAAATGGTAATTTCCAGAGTGCAGATCTGTGTGATGGATGATAGAGGCTAAATATCCTTCTGAATTTCAATATGTGGACCAAAATTACGTTTTTCCGAGAAGAATGACGTCATTTCTGGAGTACCAGGCTTCATTATATTGCGGATCTTTCGAGATGTGACGCTTGCGAAGTCGACTTCAACAAATTTGAGAAACTTGAGATTCTCGGCTGACAACCTCCAAAACAGCGTATCGAATCCACTGCCTACACAAAGTAAACATATAAAATCTATTCGAAAAACAAAAAAAAACCTAAGCTTATAATTTGAACCTTCCCGCTAAACTTGTTTATGAACTGTTTGACATGCTGCTCAACTATTTTCGTTCGGCACCAATATCCTAGAGATATTTCTGGGAAACGGCTAGTTTCTTCATTAGCACCGCTGACGAATCGTCCGATAAACTCGTCCTTCCAGTATCCTTTCTTAAACATCATAAAATATTGAAAAAACGATTGAAAACTTCACACACCTGAACTGCAAAATATTTGCATTGAGTGGCATCATCATTCGTTCTTTGTGTTGAATAATCATCGGAAACTGAGTTCGAACGACGTCGTGACGAGAAAGCTTCAGCCACCAGCTTATCACTACTCACTGCTTCGACATCCATTGGGTATCTAGATGTCTTACTTGCTCGCTTCAAAAAATTTTTAGGATCAGTAATGTCTTAAATGCGGCGAGCTGTATCACACTAGTTCATAATGACTACACATAGAAATAAAAAAAGAAAACATAATTATAAACAACAAACAAAGAAACAAAAGGGAAAAATTTACGGAGAATGTCGTATGGTAAAATGCATGCGGACCACACATATGAAAGGAGGCATACAGTAATCCTCTACAATTATATATATATATATATATATATATATATATATATATATATATATATATATATATATATATATTAGCCGCCGGCGGTAAAAAAATGTTTTTTTGTATAAGGTTTTTGAGGACTCTTGTGTTTCAGCTGAAATTTTTTTATAGTCCAACACCTTTTCATTCTTTCAAAAAAATTTTTAATAAAAATTTTATTAGCTATCAGCAAACATTCGATAACAAGAAATCTGATAAAAAAATTTGTTCTCTAAACGTAAACACTTCAATGAGACGATAAATTGATATGATTCAGTCCATGCCTTCACACCAGTCGCTTCCAGAATCCTGACCCTTGTCCAGTTCTTTTTCGGCATCGGACTCCACTTCAAGCACGGGTTTGATAAGTTTCGTCTTGCGCATGCTCTTCCGACTCGGAGTTCGAGGGGGGACCACTGCAAAGAAGAAAGATAAAACTACAAGAACAAAGTGTACGAGAACCTATCGGAACGACTGGTTCATTTGGCTCGCGCACTAACTCCACTGAAAAAAAATGATAATAAAAAAACTTTCGAAATTTACAAGGACATCGTTGACGGCAAAACTCATCCCTTCGCCTCTCCTCGCGGTAAAAATCTTCGAGCGAGTCCATGGCCAAATTCTGGCGATAGGCTTGACGGCGGTTATCGCTGAGAAATTATGGATGAAATTTTGTTTTTTTTTTTGGGTTTCAACATACAAAAACTTGGACGCCATCTTCCCGAAGTCCAACTCAAGTCTGGTTTTAAAAGCTGAGACTGCCGTTTGATCATCCTTTTCGCTCGTAGAGAGAAGGCAAATCATCTCTGATAAACAAAAAAAAAACAATTAAATATTTGGACTACGAACCGGCGATGGAAGAGTAGAACTCGAGAGGAAGATACTCGTAAGAAGTTCTTCCCACATAACGAACTACCGTGAACAGGTGACGTCGTGAAGGCGGAAGTATCTGATTTCTTTTATTCATCATGAAGGAAAAAGCAACTTCCAACCGAGCGAATAGCAAAAAGAGTGAATTTTCTTCCAAAGTCTATCGGATCCACAGTATTTCCGGTAAAATGAGTCAGCAATTTGGTGAGCGAAACGGTAACGTCCTCCGTTGGGAGAAACACATTCATGCGCTTTTTCTTCGTTTCTTCAATTCTCGCGAAAGAGATTGCAAAATCATGCACCATCTAAAATCAACAAATGAGAAGGTTTTCGTAAAAATTCTTAATTTTCCACCACATCTACGTACTCTTTGATTTACGACATCTCTGAATTTATGGTCTCAAAATTAAAAATTTTTTTTGCAGATTTGATTCAGCCTTTAAGTAAAAAATTCTCTAGAGAGCTGTTTTCGCCCTCGATAACTCTTTCGTATACGTTTCATTCACCGTAGGCTTGATATGATATTCATTAGGTCAACCTGTGAGAAGTGAGCGGTACAGTTAAATTTTATTCCACTATGAATATGTGATTAGAATAGATAGAACTCTTTTTTGTATGTTTTCTCCAAGTCCTATTTTGAAATTACAATATGAATCGATCAACTCAACTCACCACTTTTCTGTCAATTTTGCGCCCCTTGGGCTTTTCTTTTTCCTCTTCTCTGCTCCGTTTATCGCCGCCGGCAATAGCGCAAACTTTCTGAATCTTTAACGATAAATGGCAGATCTTTTTAAGCGGAAATTGAAATCACTGTAATTGATGAATGATCGTTTCTATCTCCTGTTCTATCAGAATATCCATCACTTTCGTCATCGGAATCTTTAAAAAAGTTCAATTCATGAACAATAATGAGAATCTGCAAACCCCATATTGTTGAAGCGCGTGTTGGGAGTCGAACTAGAACTTGCGAGGGTCGCCGTAACATTGTTCTCAAAAAGCCCCTTTCTTAATCAGTAGTTAATTCATTTTCCATCGAAGGACATATGCATTAAAATTTAAGCTGCGTAAACGTTCGTGCATATGGCTTCAAACTTTTCGATAATCAAATCACATCGATCTTTGAAGATCGAAAAGAGGCGAAACAGACGCAACATCAAAAAACAAAATGAACTAATTCGAAAGACTGTAAAAATGAGTATTTTGTCACAATTAATTTTTTTCCAAACTGATCCTGAAAAATTCTTCTAAACTACAGTAGTTTGTAACTTCGGAAAATTTCAAACCAACAGAAAAAAGAGGACAGTTTTGAACAAAAATTTCAATTTAAAAAAATCATCATGCTGCAGAACGACGCAATCGCACAGCCGGACGCGCAAATATAAACTTTCCATGCTACCGGTTATTGTATTAATTTCAGTTTAACATCAATTGTGAAATGCCATGAAAATTTAAAAAAAAAGAAAAACGTTATAAAAAATTTGAATGAGACATGAAAAACAGTTAAACGCCACGTGCAAAGTTGAAAAGAAGCAGACGGAATTTTCGAAAAAAGTTCTTTTAAATGTGAACTTGTTTTAAATCTTTTTTGATCTCCCCTGTTATCCTATGTACTTTTGTCTTTTTATCCATATATCATTCTGTAGTCATCTTCCATTTGGATTCAGACGGTGAGCAGCAGTTTAAATAAATTTGTTAGTGTCACCTCTTTATGGTTTTTCTACACTACGCAATCATAAAAAAAATCAGGGTGAATCAGAGCAACACTATTCACGACAGTCTGCCAACTCTTGATGCAATTTTTAATTTATTAAATTCTGAGTATACACAACCTTCTTTCAAATAATTTAGATAAACAAACTATTTATATGTTTTCCCCTTTTTTCCCTTCTTTGCTTGTTGTTCTTCACTCCAATCATCCAAGTTTCATAATTGATTCAATAATTTATTAGAACTTGCATTTAAAAGTATTTTTTTACAACCTAAAACGTGAAATAAGTTATTTTAATTAGATAAATTATGGGCGGGAATGGGAAGGACAATATGGAGATATAACCGTATATAGTAAAGAGAGTTGTTGCCTGGGGCGATTTCCGGCTTCACGGGTACTTCACATCTTCTTATTGTGCTCGCGGCGTCCTTTTGCACGTCTGGAAGTTGTTCTGTTTAAAAGAGTGAAGCTTAATTTGTATAATCATGTTACAACTTTTTTAAAGTGTTCTATAAACTTTTTTTGTCGCAAACGATCGTTGAACTGATCAAAAGAGCCGTAAGGGTCTGCTAGCGGAAGCGCGCTTCAAAATCGTTTTCTCAACGAGAAGCACTTAGAAGTAACTGCTGCTTTGAAGTTGAGTTTGAGCTCGAGTTTCCCGCCTAAAACCGCGTCGCAACCGCAAAAAAAAATTTATGCAAATCTTGTAAAGGGCGTGTTGAAATTAAATATATGCTTTTGTAAGATATAATCAGATTTTTCCTTTCTGACAGTAGTAGTTCCTTTCATATTATGTGTATTTACAAGATATTAAAAAAAAGTTCTGCGCCGGAACATTTTTCCGGCTGTTTGAGACTTTAGAAGTTTACTATTGGATTGAAGAGCAAGCTCATGAAACTGACGGCGCTATCAGCAAAGGATTGAAAAAAATAGAAATGACGGGGAGGTGAGCCGCTGACCTCCGAGCACAAAAGGACGCCTTCTGCCGCCCACATGCCGCAGCAGTATTGTTTATCCGAGAAAGCGTCATAAATTTAACGTGTGCCAGGACAGAAACGCGGTGCGCGACATCGCGAAAACGGCGTCTTTCTACAGTAACCTACACAGCGATGCCCAATTACAGGGCCGTAAACACAGACAATTAGCCAAGTTTCGTAGTTCGCAAATCGCTTCGATTCGACCATGGTTTTTACGAGCGACTGTCGCCCAATTTTGTCTTAATCTTGCATCCAAAATGTGCAAAAAATTTTCAATCAGTCTCGTTTCAAAAAAATTAGGTCGAGAATCCGATGAAAACGCTTCCATTCAAGATTTCTAAAATTGAATGGAACTCCAGTTGAATGGTATCATAAATACAGTAGGATATATAACCAAATTTCTAGCACTCGATGGGTATCATCTACCATCATTTCACCTTGTAAGGTGAGAAAAATCAAGCCAGCAAAAAGTTTAGACTTGTTACGTCGGGATGGAGAGTTACGCGAGGCGCAAATCTGTTATCTGTGTGGGTTAAAAGAGCAGCCGCGGCTGCGTCGATGAGTTATGGCTCGTGGCGCAACCGACCGTTCCCGGATCGCCGCCATGACCTCTAATGGCTGGATTAGCCCCAGAGAGGTGTCATCCTACGCTAATTTGTACTCCACCTTATTTTATTGACAGTCCAAACACAAACACTTAGTTTTGAAAGAACTAGAAATGAAAAAAGAAATGTCGTTACAAAGAGAGCTGATAGTAAGCAACCATGCTTGGGCACAAAAAATTCAATGAATACTCAAACAGTTTACAAAATAGAATTCAATCTGATGTTTTTTTTATTTCCCCGCACTTTCTCAACTTTTTCGATGTTATCTTACACATTTTGAAACCAAAAATCTGTATTCTTTCTCACCTATTCTGAAACCAAATCTTTATTTGCCGCTCGGTGAGGTTGAGCTGTGTGGAAAGAACACTCTTCCTGTCGGCCGTTATGAAATTATTCGTGATGAATTCCTGCAAACAACAAATCTTATCTCAAAAGTTTTACGATCCGTCAGCGGATGCACAAAACGTTCCGCGGTGGCCCAATAAAAGTTTATGCAGCGAGGTTCGTTCGATGTGAGAAACTCGCGCACTTTTTCCAAAGCAATGAGCATGGGAACCTTTTTCTGATTACGCGAAAAGAGTCGGTACCGCCACGCACCGCTCTTTTTTCTTGGATGAGAAACTTACTTTTTCGAGTTCTAGCCTTTGGTAATCCGAGTAGACCATCCTGTACTTTTCGGCTGTTCTCACGCGAACGTCTGCAATATTTTGAATTTTCTTTTGATAGGCTCGTAGTTGTTTCTCGTTAAGATTTACTATAATCTCACTCATAACTAGATAAAAAAATATTCAGTGAAATGTACATTCACAGCATCTGGAGGTGATTCTAGAGCCGCAGTTTGGATCAATAAAGAAAAAAACGAGAAAAAGTTTACGATTTTTTTCCAAAAAAATTTTTTTTTAATTCAACAAATTAATTTGAATCAACTACAAGTTCTCACGAAATGAAAAGAGAAGTGTATGGCGAAGTAAAAAAATATATATATAACCCTAATCTTCTAACATGATTGGATTTAATGAGAAAAACTTATCTTCCCATAATCTATTAGAGAAGTTGATAAAATTTACCAAAGAGAGTTATAAACGGTAAAAGATTTTTCTTCGAGTTTGAATGAACTTTTTTTGGATAAAAAAGCTATTCAAAACTTCAGACTTGTTTTGATCTTTGTTGCCAATGAATATATTCTTGTGCCATGGAATTTGCTTCAGAATCTTCATTTGGTTCTTCGAAATCCAAAGAAACGCCCCAAAGATTTCTCACTCGACATTATTTCGCGGCAAAACCTAGTAGCGGTCGGCGTCTGCTTATCACAAAGAGGCCGAATTATCACGTTCAAACAAGGGACGAGGCTGCCAATGTCCTGCGGGGGCCTTATCAGCCTCGGCTCCGACAGCCTGAGATACTCGACAGCACTTGTAAATTGCCTTGATTGACACTTAAACCTGTGTAAATCAACACGTATTGTTGGCAACAAAGATTAAACAGTTCCTTTAACCAATAACGGTTCAAAGCAATTATTTATGCTCCTCGGAAAAAATGAAGTTAAACAGAAACTGACGATTTGTTCCAGGCCCTGTAGGGACGACTTTTGTAGGCTCCGACTTGGGTAGACTTTTACCAGCAACTGCTGAACTCATCTTCCATGCAAATTGCATCTGAAAAACTTTTTCTAATAAAAAATTAAATTGAGTGTAGTTTTTGCAGCGAGGACAAAACAATGACACGAAAAATTTAATATGTTCTTAAACGTTCGCAAAAACTTCTATCCTTTACTTTTCAGAGTGGAACTTCTCATAAAAAAGGCTTTCATCCAACAAAAGAAAGCGCTAAAGGCTGAATCCATCAACCAATTCTTTCGAAAAACAAAAAAAAACTGAAAAAAAAACAAATTCTCGCTTTTTTTCTGATAATAATCAACAGGAGTTCTATCAAAAATGGAAAACTCAGACGAAAAAACACCTGTGGGTAGTCGTAGGCTGTGCCGAAAAGGTTATTGGAATAGCATGCTGCAGGATTCATCCTGTAGTCGAGCGGCGGATTTGTGGCCGGAGAATTTCCGGCCACTGACGTCGACGGAAAAGAGTCCGTCTGATACATCTGCAGGGGCTTCTGCAATAAAGATGCTAAACTGCAACTTCTTATAGAATTAACCTGCTCCGTAGACGGGAACGAGAGGTGATAAATCTGGTCCGTCTGCCATTTCGCTTGTTCCTGAATAGAAGAATATTCTATCGAACTATTATTGACTTTGAAAACCTGGTAGGCGGCATCGTTGACTGTGGGCCATCGACTGTAAAACGAAGCCGGTGTGGACAAATTGTCGAACGGCGACGGGTGCAGCATCCGTTCGCTGCAAAATGAATTTGAAAGCATGTGCAAATTTTATAATCATTCGGAATATACCGTCAGTTTTTCGCTTTGAAAAATGTAATCCTCAAAATTTTGATTTCATATTATTATTGGATTATACCACTAGCGTCGAGTGAAAATTCAAAAAGAAACGGTCAAGATTTGGGAAGGTTTTTTGCTTTTACTGTTTTTTTCTAATTCCTGGGCTTCTGCCTAAACACTTCAAAATAGGGCGTCTCCAACCAATCAGATCCTTAGTTCGCTAAAATGATCTTCTAAACGTTCAAAGAAAGCTGTAAACCTTTTATACCTCAAACTCTACTTCGTATAACTAGCTGTTCTGAAGATATTTCATAGAGGCTATATAATTATAGACCTTGAAACCTTTCACACGCCTTTTGAAATATTACTAGCAGCTGAAGATAGTGTGATCGAACTGAATTTAAAAAAAAAACGTCGATGAAATGATACAATGATCTACAAAAAGCACAAAAAAATGTTTGACAAGAAAAATGAGAATTGGACTAAAAGAGAAGAAAAACGATAATTTCTCTCAAAAATTCGACTGAATGAGATTTGCTCGTTTAGTCGTTATGAAGTTTCATCAAAAGATGAGTTTTCATGCACGAATTTAAATTAAACATAAACTTTATGAAAATTTTCAAAGAGTTCAATCCCTTTTTGTATTCCAAACGCTCAAAAATTCCCCTAATTTACTCTATTTGGTTCTTGCTTCGAAATTATGTTTATGCTGAGAAATAGAAAAAAAAGAGAAAAAAAGTTTATGCTGAGAAATAGAAAAAAAAGAAAAAAAAAGAGAGAAATCGTGGCCTTGCCGATTTCGGCGAAGTGAAGGAGGCGGAGATTTGGAGGGACACGGTATCCGATCGGAGGCGGTCCTTCAGTGTTTGTGGTCAGATATTAGCATACACAAACAGTTGTAAGCCCGCCTCCGAGTGTCAAAAGCGCAACAATCGAGGAATTCGTCCATTTATTATATATTTGTCGCCGATAACGCCGTCGTCAAACATTATTAATATGCGTTCAGAGCGTGATAATAGGTCAAATGAGGGTCAGAACAATGCGAAAAAAAATCCAACCTTCGCTATAAAAGGCGAAAAAATGGGGAGAAATTGAGAAATAAAAACTTGGCGTGTTCAAAACAGTAAGCAAGTTAGAGATCAGTTATTATGGAAGGTCAACATTTATTTTTATTTTTTTTTCGTATTTTCAAAATAAAATTTTTTTTGTTTGACGGGTATCCATGAAAGAGCCCATGAAAAAGGTATTGAACATTCAAACTTTCTAAAAAAATGTTTTCATAACTCCAGAAGTTCATTGGATCAAACCTAGCTCCAATTTTTTTCGTGGTAAAAAGGGGCTATCAAACAAAAGAGTGAAACCATCTTCAATATTGGAAATAATTATTTTGGAAGAAAAAAAGTCAACATATTCCTCGAAAAAAATTAATTATTTGAAATAGTCAAAAATTTGAATGACGGACATAAATTGAGGACGAATAGAACGGTTCTGAAAGCTAACCTGATGGATTCGGCGGTGGCAGCCGGGTAGAAAAGCGGGAACATGTGCCAGGAATCTTGACGCGGAGCTGCCGGAGGAGTCGGATTGCTCATGGCGGATGATCTGCGGCCGCGCAACGTCGTTCCACGGCCACTGATAGGGAACCTCTTCGACTCGATAAAAGGCGTACTGTAAGCGCAGAGAAGAGAAGCAGAGGCAGTCAGTCGTCGACTGAATGCAAATGTGCTCGATGGAACGGTGGTGGGCGGCCTTTTCTCAGTTTCTCGCCTCAAAGGTCACCCCAACTTTGGTTGCAAATCAAACGCTTGTTGGTCGACAGGCGGCGTTTCAGAGGTGTCTGGTGGATCCGCTACACACCTACCATGAAAAAGACTTCAGCTGAGAGCAAAAAAAGAGCAGTTATTTAGGATGAACTTTTCAAAAACTCAAAAAATTTTTTTTAATTCAACTTTCAACAGACTTAAAGAGATCTTTCAAACCTTTGAAGTGCATTCATACAAACTTAAAAAAACGATAAAACTTGAAATGATTATTTTTTTAATGAAATCGGAAGCTTAAACAACTACCGACATTGATTTCAATAAAACTCCGTGCGTCAGCCAAACGACGGAGACAAAACACAGACTTGTTTTGGAAATTTGTTAGGCGGAGCCGCGGCTCAAGATTTTTCTTAGCTCTTTTTTCCGAGATTCGGCATGGTACACTTTTCTCGACCTCTTTAACAATTCCTCCTTCGTTGAGAACCATTAAATGACAATGAGCTGGCCACCCGTAAATATCCATAGAATGCGGCCGTTGTCTGCAGCCACGTACAGTAGACGAAAGGGATTAGCACAAAAAAGGAGGCGTCGGACTGTTTTGAAGACGTCGTTGAGACAAGGAATTATGAAAATAGCGCAAGCCCTCGACCTTTCAAGCCGTGCGCGAGAATCGTGATGTTGCTAAAAGAAGCCAAAGCACAATTTTTATTTCGCACACGTATTTTCCAAAAAAAGACAAAGAAAAAATGAGATTATGTATTTTTGAGCGTTTTCATCTTCGAGATTCCATAAACATGTTGACTTCTGTGGACAGCCACTGCATCGCCTAAAAACGATGAAATGTCTTGGTCTTGATTTTTTTTTTTCGAAATGACGAAAGGATATTAGTTTCTAAAAAAGTTTAACATATAGTACTCAATTTGATATTTCGCGACCCAGAAGTTTCCAAGCGTAACTTAGTAGAAGAATTTTCACGTAAAGTTTAAACTTAACAAAACCACAACCTGCAAGCTTTTGAGATTATAAATTCATGTAAAGTCCCCAGTATTTCATTAGTACACTTAAATTTACGGATATTTCCAAAATCAGCGCTTTTAATTATCTTAGATTATTCGATAAATGCTCATAGAATTCAAAAAGAGACTTTATCTAGGCCGGCGCCGTTGAGAGCACATGTCGCCTGGATGGTCCAGTGGTGACCCCGAATAACCTCGAGCCCTAAAAATCTTCGAATGACACTCTGCAGATGACGTCTTCTAACCCAGAGACACAGAAATCTCGGCAGACGACATCGCGTCGGCGTCGTCCATCTTGTTGGCCAGCACCAGAATCGGGATCTCAAATACTTCTTAGTTTTGAGTCGGAAAAGCTACCGTAAGACGAACCGGCCGATGAACAACGTCCTTGTGGTCCATGATCATCCAGAGCTCGTCACGAGCCAACGAAATCCGGAGTCGGTCGGAACTGTCCACGACAAAAACAATCGCCTGCGAGTTGGCATAATAACTCTCCCACATCGACCGGTAACGACCTGTAGCTAGCTCCGACTTTATTGTTTCTACTGAGAAAAGTTAAAGGATAAACTTTTGCTTAAAAATTGTGATATAGTCTGTTCAGATTTTGAATGTCAAGTAGAACGACGTCATTCAAAAACGCTGTGGATGGCTCGCTTTCTGATTGGTTTATCGCACCATTATGGGCGGAGCTTGAGCGACGACCTGACATTGAAAATCTGAACAGACTATATGAACTTTTTTTCATTTTATGAGAAATCCTTTCAGAGTAAAAAGAAGTTTTTGCTGTTCCATCACCTATAACTGAAAACCTGTTATAGTGCGTTTCGCGCGAGATGGTCACGTTTTAAGAGAACACAAAAGAAAAAGCTACTGTAAATACAAACTTTTGCCCTACAAAAATGCTAAGAAGAGAGCAAAAATAAAGGTTTTGAAGAGAAGATTTCCAATTTTTTTTTAATTTTGTATAGCGTATTTTCGGTGGAAAGAAAAACGTGACAAGCTGGCGCGGGATAGGCTATATCTTAATCAAAGTTAACTTTAAACACGAAACTTACTTCATGGTAAACCTATTCACCTATACTTCCTTTTTCGTAGTCTCGACCAAGAAAAAGAAAAAAGGTGTGCCTATGGCATCTCTGAATCCGACGCGGCACCACACAGTCGCACTGTAAAGCTGCCAGACGCGCCGATTTACGACGAAGCCGGAGGCAAAGAAGAGACGACGTACCCTGGCCGGCCATGTCGAAGGCGTTGAAACTGAGGTTGCCGGTCGTAAAGTTGGTGACTGTGTAGCCGACCGTCGGCACTATCTGGCTTGTCCGAGTGTCTGGCGTTCGCAGAGCGTTCAGCACCGTTGTCTGCATCATTTTTTCTTACTCCTTCGATCTTTTCCTTTTATATAAATTTATGAAATAAGTTACTTATGGATATGCGACCGAGAAGCGTCTAAAACTCTGAAGAATATTTGTACTTCAATATTTTATGAAAATTCCCTAACTGATAAAAAAAGAAGTTCGAGAAAACATTTTACTTTTTTGTCGTGTTAAAGTTTAACTGTAAAAGTGCCAGGGAGGATTATTTATTGAAAAATATGCATGCGTTTCATGTGCATCTTTTAACTTTAATAAAAACTTGGAGAAACTTGGAGAAACTTGGTTTGAAACTAACAGGGGAGGTCATTTTACTTTGCGGTTGGGAATTTCCTGAAAATTGGTCGGAACACTTCATGATGTACCACAGATGAAGTTCCTGAAATTCTGAACCTGCACAACTTCCTAGTTTTTGAGATATAAGGGCTTTAAGCCTCAAAATAGCCTATTTTTATGGGTTTAAGGGGTTTCTCTGACTTTGAGGCGTCTTTTCTCAAAATCGAGGAGGTTGTGCAGGTTATGACTTCTAGAATCTTTCTCTGGTACATCAAGGAGCGTTTTGGGCAACTTTCAGGAAAATCTCAACTGCAAGGTAAAATTACCTTCCTTGTAAGTCCCTATTCAGATTAAAGCTCAATTTTACAAAAAAGAAAACTACAAGGCCAACTTTTCCAGAGTTGTCGAGGCCAACAACGATGATGCTGACTTGCTTCTTGCCGAGGCCAAGGAGCTGCGACAGTGAGTTGAAGAGCCCCATTTGTCCGGCTATGGCATTCGGTTGTCTGCAATGTGTGACGGATCGGTGTGTATCAGGCGGCGACGGCAAAAGGATCGCGGAAAGGAATTTATCGCGTGAACGAGCTGGCCTCCCGCCATTTGTCGCCGAGATGAGGTGGTGCAACACTTCCATCCTGGAAGAAGACTCCTTCTCGCCCTGGGAACGAACATCGTAAAATCTGCGGCGAGTATCCGTTTCAATGGGTGGAAGCGCTCGAGTTGCGCAACTGTAAACGGACGCAATCCCCCACTGAGAACCACTCAAACGGTCTCCGACACATCATGAGTCTAAACAAAAACATGAGACGCTCCGCGCGACAATTTACAGCTTTATCGGGAAATATGAAAGAAAAAGGACAGAGCAACGCGATGACAAGAAGACAGAAGAATTGGAGAAAACCATATCGATTGGTAAACCGAAGGCTAACGTTTCTATAGAAACCAAGTGTGCACCACTCGCAAAAAGGAAATGTAACTAGTGATTGGAAAAAGTTAGCTTAAATTAAACTCCGCTCTTCAATGGCTGTACCCAAACTTAAATCCGACGAGTTTTTTTAGAGAAAAATTTTTCCCAGAGAAATTCGCCAAATATTTTGCAAAAAAACATATTTTAATAAATATTTATAGTTTTTTTCAAAATTTTTTTTTCGAGAAGCAAGAGGAAGAGAATGATTACAACCTAAACATTGAGACTTACTTCCTTCTAGGATTATAAGAGCAAGCAAGCAATTGAGGAATGGGTGTTTATTATTATTTACAAAAAAAAAGTGAGCCCGATGAATTGAGCAGACTCTATTTTCTCTTTCCGGTGACCGCTTTCTTCTTACTGGCCGCAGGACCGCCACCGAAGAAGTTGGCCATCACCTCGCCGACGTCAGGCATGTCCATTTTGGGGAGTTGCATCTGCTCCATTTCGCGCTGCAGCTGCGGATCGTTCGCTGTCATCCTTCAAGTTTCCATATAAATGCAGCCGAGCAACTTCAGATGGTACTTGGGAATGACGAGCATGATGAGAAGCGGCACGACGAGCATCAGAACCATCGGACTCATCAGCATGTCCGTCACTCGCCATTCTTCGCGTTTCCGGAAATATCTGGTCGGCCCTCTGGCGCTCAACTTCAGCGGGTAGCTCAGCTGGTTCACAGTATTGGGCTGTAATCGAAGGAATGATTGGTAAGAAGAAACAAAACTATTTAGTTTAAAAAAATGAATAAAAGAGAAATACAGAGATTCTGAGGTCGAAAAGGGAGCTACACAGAAGAAAAAAAAAGAAGGAAAACTTCCACAAGTTCCAAACCTGAATAAATACTTTCATAACTCGTCAGATACAACTGTTTACATATGAGATAGTTCGTAAATCATAAAGGAAAACATTTTCGTAATTTTAAAATTTAAAACTAATGCCTCTTAGAAGCTCGATGATAATCCGAGAAAAATGCTTGAATTCTTGATCTATAATTGCTTTTATTCATTTTTTTAATATTTCGAAAAATTTTATGGTTCTTATCAATATACGTTCATTTTGATCTACCTGAAAAAGTATGACTGATGTTTTTGTATAACGTAAATAAGTCGACTTTTTCATATAATATTATCGAAACATTATCAAATCCAAGAAACTTCTTAACTTTCCATTTTTTTTTTCAAACTGAAAACTCCAATGAACACAGAACATTCAAACCAGAAAACAAAAAACGACTCTGAAAAAAAAAGTGAATAACTTGCCTGAACCAAAGTTAGTTTCCGGGCTCGCATCTTTCCTTTTCCTGTGATGTCCACACGAATTGGTTCAAAAATGAAGTCGACATTTTCAATCTGAAAAAAGATCAAACATTCAAAAAAAAAAAACCTCTACAAAAAGTAGAATATTGAATAAGAAAAAAATTCAACTCAAAAATTAATGTTGGTCGCAAATGTTTCAAAATGGGTTATTTTTTTAGATTTTGAGCCAATATTTTTTTCGCAAAAATAAATAGAGGTAAAGTTTGAAAATTTTTTTTTGACAAACAAGAACCCTGACCAATTCCCAGAAAAACTCTCAACGGCAAAATGTGACCTTACTTGTAATGTATATTATAGTCGTCAAAATCAAACTTTCAACTTTTTTATTTGCAACCCAAAAACTTTTAAACGGTTGGTCGGTTGAAATTTCATTCCAATTTTTTTTTATCTTCTTCCTGGTGTTGTTATTAAGAAAAAAAGTTCACTTTTTCGACATTTTTTTAAAAGCAAATTTTTCGCCTATAACTGAAACTCTCAAAAAAATCTTTTTCAATCATTTTTCAGTTTTACATTAAATCGAAGAGACGGCGAAAAAAACTTCAAATTATTTCAGGAAAAAAAGGTATATCCATCTACGACAAAGTAAAAGCTAAGAAAAAAAACCTATCTCTCCGTATCGGAAAAACTTTACTACCCTCGAATCCTTAAAACCATTTCTGCAATACCTTTAACTAACCTACGATCTACCAGGGCTTTTCGTGAAAAATCAAGCGAAATTGTCTTATATTTCCGTTTTTCTCCACTAAAACTTAAAAAAGCAATGACCTGAACAATATAACTGCCGCTGGGAACGTTATCGACGCGGAAAATGCAGTTTTCTCCAACGAAACCAATGTATTGTCCATGATTCAACATAACTCGCGCATTTGAAGACCATTTCGAACAATGTTTTGAAGCAGGTAGAATAATCTGAATTCTCCATTTAGTGATTTTTTTGTAAAAACGAAAATCACCTCTCCTTCGACTGAGAATTTCCCCGAAGATGGAACTTCAGCCACCTCCGCGTAGACGCTACACGCCAACGCGATTAAAAATAAAAGTTTCATTCTGAATCAAAAATTATGAAAACACTCATTCAATTGAAAGTATGAAATCGATTGGAACGATCTTGCTCAAACAAGCTAGAAATGCATGAAAATTTATGAACATTAAAACTGCGTTATTCGTGGCGATTCATACAATTCATAATACATGAGCTTTTTCGCGAACAATAAAATTGATAGAAAATAAGAAAGAACATGTAAAAACGTGAGAAATAAGTGAAATTGGAAACACAAGTAATCAAAATTAATTTACTAATTAAAGCGTTTGAGGAATTCTTCGGCGGAAACACGCGCACGGGCGTTCAGGGACAGTTTCATCTCACTGATTTCCTACAAAATAAAAAAAGATGAAATCTGGACAAGAACAAATCCGAAACCTTGTCAATCTCTTGCATGAAGTGGAGCAGGAAATCGACGAGTTTGTGTTTGAACATGGCTTCAGTGTGGGCCGCGGTGATCAGAAAAGATATGTCGTATCCTTGAAATGTTTAGATGGTGAGATTTTATCAAGTATTTACCAAAAAGAAAAAGAATACCTGCAATCGGTTTTCTTCGGAGTACGAAAAAGTTGTCTGCTCGTTGACACATGAAGCGGGTGAATTTGTGACACAAAATCCTCTCAATATCATCAGATTGCTTGATTGCGATTGAAACTCTGGAAAACGTATAAAAATTACAATGCCTTTATTTATATATTTTATAGAGAAGTTTCCCGCAACTCCGCTTCCATCTCAAGTTATGAAAATATATAATTTAAAGGCTAGCATTAACCACACGCCTGTTTGAAGCGCGAGGCTACCGCCCGGTTTACACTGCGTCGTACCGTACGGCCGCCGGACGCTTTGAACAGGCGTGACGAAGCCCTTTCTCCGCTTCAAATCTTAAATTGTACCTGACAGCGTTAACCGAAGGCTCAATTAATACGCGTTCGTGCTTGTTCCTGGCGACTACAACCGGCGTCAAAAGAAGTTCCTTCGAGGTTTGAACTTCTACCTAAAAGGAGCGATTTTCAAGCTAACTACAAAAATTTCTCAAATATAACCTCGGGTTTGTTATGGCGATCTACGACTTGGGAACTGAACTGTTCAAGGCACAAAGCCGCCTGAAGGGAGTGACGCACTGCCTCCAAGTAAGGTTGCAATGTTGCACTCTGAATTGATGCACTTATGTTAAAATATTGACAAGGTTGAACAAAAAAATTCTTCTAAAAAAACAAAATCGTTTTTCACATCACTCTGTTGGACTTTTTCAAACATTCATAACTTTCGAAGCTAACCTTGGAACACATTTACTGTGTTGAAATTAGAAAAGTAACAGACAGGACAGATACCTTCATACTACATTATTCAAGTTAAAAGTTCAAAAAAGACAACAATCATAAAAATATTCTTTTTGAGAAAAATCGCATAGTATAAACTTCAGTGACTCACCATATTTTTATTCTAGTCGATACCCTGTTCGACGATCTGCAATTAGAATAACATATAAATTTGATAAAAGTAAATTAATGAATCGTTAAAATGGAAGTGATGTTTCATATAATTTCAAACAATGAAAAAAATTTACAAATGACGTTTTATTGATAAAAATCTTTTTTTATGAGCCACGTTCTTTTGGGCTTGGAATATTAAAAAAAGGCTGTACCGTGATATGGTGTCACAGAAAAGCAATGAAAATTATTACACAAAAAAAAAGTCGGGAAATGAAGTTTGGGATTTAGATTTAAGAAAACATAAAAATCGCAAAAAAGTAGGCGGGCACCAAATTATAGTTGTGTGCCGAGAACTTGCAACTATAAAGTTTATGTCCCGCCTCCAGCCCTGAGCGCGCCGCAGATAAATTCAAATTATTTTTTTTTCGTTTGAAATTTGTTCATATTATCTTTCACGAAATACAAAATTTCCGTCAGAGAAAGAGAAGATAACCTTAATTCTGGAGAGTTAGAAGTAATTTTTAATTTCGCGGAAATTACTTTGAGCATTTCAAAGAAGGTAATCAATTACCTTCTTTCTTTTTACTGCCGCTCAATCAAATCTATCTTAATTTTTTTCAGTGTAGTTCCCGGTATGATGAGCGGACTCCAGAGCCGCAAATCAAACCTCAAGGTTTTAACTGTTCCGAACGATTCTCTCAAAGAATCGTTGGACTATGCAGAAAAGCTCTCACCGCGAGCTCATATAAATTTTAAGCGTATAAAATCTGATCAGTATAGGTGATTCGAGTCGAAGTTAACTAAATTGAAATTTTGTTTTTCAGAAAAGCCGAGAATTTACAACAATTGAAAATTTATGCTGTCTTATTCTCTGTTATTATTTTTGAGGTTAGATTTGATTTAAATTTGAATGCCCTTATCACCCGTTCAGAGAATTGTGCTGGATTCCTTCATATCCACAGTTTTCATCGGAGCATTCATACCGCGTCCAGCAATAGTCTTCGCGGAATGTGTCGTTCTGTTTTATGTATCACTCATGATGTTCTATACTATCTCCCTCAACTTTTTCCCAAGTGTTCAGTTTTCAAGTCTTAAGTTTTTACAAGGTTTGCGAGAAATTGATAATTTTATTGATTAGCAGATACAGGTGAAAGTCAGCTCAATTTGTCTAAATCCGCGGGAACTGCTACGTCAAAAACTACTTCAGAGGCGAAGGACGACCTGAAATGGCTAGATTCGCATCGCTTCGGGTCGCCACAGCAAAGCTCTCCGCAAAAGTGAGTATTTATGATTGATTTGATTTTGTTAGGAGCCGATATTCAGTAAATTAGCCTATGATTGCAGTTTATTGATTTAAAAAACATTTTTCCGGGATGTTTAAAAATTCTGTGAACATAAAGTCCATAGTAGATTAAAGTCAAAAATCTTCCAGCTTCTCAAAATATTACTTCAAAAAACAGTAGTTTTTTTTAAAAGCTTCCGCAGAATGAAGCCAGAAAGTTAAAACGAAATGATGAATATTTTTCTGGTCTTGCAGTTTCTCATCGCCTTCAACAAGCTTCAGCCATGGCAAACATCGCAAAAGCGACACCTTTGAGTCGTTTTATTCTGATGACGCCGCCAGTCTACCCAGTCCTTTCAACGAAAGCAAGCCGATAGAGAGCGTTCACACAAAGAAACAACTCGAAGCATTGCTTAAATCCGCAGAGTGCATCAAGTTTCTCTCTATGGGAGATTCATCTCTTCATTTTCAGAACAGCGCCGGTCAATGAGGGGGATATGAGTCAAAGTTCTTACTTTCCCTACCTCAGCGTCCTCGATTTCACACGAAACGATGAAAAGTCCAAGTACCAACTATCGGAAGACATTGTCGAGTCGTCCAATGCAGGTTGCTGAATTTTTCTTTTTCAACTGACTTTCGGCTACAGCTTATAAACTTGATATTGGGCCTGACGCAAGCATTCGAGTTTCATGGAAAGGGGACGAAAATGAAGACGACTTGGGACGAATGAAGAGGATCATGCAACAAATCAGAACAACTCCAGAAAAGGTCCGCTAATTTGGCTCCAAAGTTGATTTTCTTGGCTTTTAAGCGTTCGAGTTCTGCGGAAATGCGTAGATCCGGTATACGTCGACGCTCACATAGATCTTCTTCACCTGAAAGTCAGCCATCTGCTGAATATTACTCCGACGTCGAAGCATACAAGTAAGAAATATCGCTACCTTGAACACATATTCATTTTTTATCACTAGCTACAATAGCTCGCGTTTTCAAGGCCAGATATTGAAGAACATAATACATCTTGAATCAAAATTAACAATTTTTTCTCTTCTACACCTACTCAGTTATAGATTCAATTTTTTTTCCAATTTAAAATTATAGGCTTTTTTTTAAATAATTGAACAACAAAAATTTCAGGGCTGGTCCTCTGACTGAAGAAGAGCTGCGAAAAGGTGAATACAAAGTGAGAGCTTGGCTTCGAAATACCGTACTCAAACCACTGGCAAACCACATCCACGAAATGAACGATCGACTGGCGAAAGTTCACTAACCAAATTTGAAAAAATGTGTCGTTGATCCATACAGGAACACTGTACTCCAGCTCTTCGCATTGGCACTAGCACCGTCGAAGCTCTGAAACAAGCCGTTATCGAACGCGATTCCTTAAAAACGTCTCCTCTTCCTTTCCTTCTGCCTTTTCTTTCTACGCATACCAACCAGGTTTTGCTTTCGTCACTGCTTTTTTCTAATTTTCCTTCTTCAACTATTTGCTTTTAGGCATATCTCGTAAAGAGAATCGAGGAGCTGAGCAAAAACGAATTCCTCGAAGAGTTCAAATGGAACAGCGGCGGAACTGAACCGAATGAAGACGTCGACAAGACGAAAATCGTTCAAAGGTTGTGGAACGCCACTCTTCCCACAGACGCTATTCTCGTCTTCGACCTTTTCGCCGTCTATATGGACTTGCAGCTCAATTCTTCTGCTTTAGTCGGCTCCTACAGGTATTTTCTCACAATTTTCTCATCTCTCATGTTGATTTTATTTTTCCTTGTTTTTGCGATAGAACATAATAACTAGTTTTTTTTTTGTTATTTTCTTTTTATCAATCTCCATTTTGCGAACGCTGTTTCCATTCGCTCTCTATAACTTCATGATAAACAATATGAAGAAAATACAGTTCCTCTTTTCTATTTTGCTTTTTATTTTCATTTCAAATATTCAAAAACATTCTTCATTTATTTCTTTTCTATCAAAAAAAAAAAATCATCAGGCGTTTCTAGATAGAACTTATGGGTCACTTTTTCACTTTTTCAAATTTGGAAAAAACGGTACCAATACACAAGCTTTTCTATGAGAAAAAGAAACATTTTAAAGGAACAACCAAGTCATTGTTTTTTTCCTTTACGCGAATCGATTTTCTTAATTTTTTTTTCTATTAAGACTCGACCAGCCATTTACATCTCGTTACGTGGTCAAGACGCCACAAAAGCCGAGTTCTTTGCAAAAAACGCCTCACAGCTTCCACATCCACTTGGTAGAACACCTCGCCCCGATTCTCCATTGAAGAAATCTTCCAGGCCTCCGCCAGCCCGCCTTATTTCGAGTTCATTCACTACGATGGGTTTGGCACCATGTCGAAATGTGCTGTCGCACGACAATCCTCGAACGTTTTCCGCGCCATCATCCACTTCGTCCGCCACGTCATGGTTATCAAACTTTTGGATGCTTCATATTTTCATAAACATGTTTCAGGAAGAAAACAATGGAAAAGTGGATCATATTAGCATCGGCTACAACGGGCTCAACCTCAGCACAATTCTTTGAACTAAACTGGTTTTCTATATCTTGCTGCCTTTTTTGTTGATTTTATTTAATTTTCCATTTCGATCTCCGTTTATTTGGGCTCACGAATAATAACATTTTCATGAGAAATGCTCTTTTTCTTCTCAAAATCGGCAAATCGAGTTCTTTCTAGTCACAAGTTTAGTTTAGGAAAAAAAATATATATTATGTTGGGACCAGATATGTGTTATTGCTGTTTTTGCAAATTTGCAAAAGCTTTGAAAATCATAAGAGCGGAAGTCTTCTTCCCGTGTCTCATCCTCATTTTGACGCGGTGTAAAAAAAATTGAAAGACGCGAAAGTTGAGAACTTTCGAAATTTTCGGACGTATCTTTTTTTTCTTTTTTTGGTGGAGATTCTTCCCAATGTATTTCACAGAATTTAAAAAATAACTTTAAACTGAAAAAAATATGATATTTACAGATCAAACAAAGTCAACGAAGATATTCTTAAAAACCAAAGTTTTCAAAATTATTTCGTTATTATTTAAAAAATGTATGCGGGAAAGAAATACCAAAAAATCCCCAGCAGAAGATTATTATTCGTCCAGAGTTTTTTGTCCAACTTTCTTCAGATTTCCTATAGTTCCATACTCAGGTTAAAAAAGTAAAAAAAAATTAGCTTCAAAAGTTCAAGCGCAGTCGAATGGTTCGGGAAGACCCGTGGAAGTGCTCAACTGGAAGTCCGACAGTTCAGCGAAAGCTGGCTGAAGAGGCACGCGAAAGATGAAGGATGGGCGGCGCCGCGCAGAGCTCCGCTGGGAATCATTGTTCAGCCCGAGGCTATGCAATGAACGACCGTCAGGCCTCGACGCGCAGGAGCTGGCGTCGTCTGAATCCTTTCCGTGGAGACCTCTTCCGGCTGCCGGCGTCGCCGCGTCTTCTCCGAAAAAGCCCGCTTTTTTCAGGTAGCTAACAAGGTTTTCTCAGTTCTTTGTAAGTTCATTTTCCGTTTTTTTTTTTTGAGATCTAATCTTTGTGAAATTTTTTTGAGAATCTATTGATGGTTGCTTTTCTCGATTTCTCTCTTCTTTTAGCTTTTCAAATTTATCGAAGACCTAATTTGAAAGCTAAAAATTTTTAAAAGAGAAAAGACATGTTGCGAATTTCATCCGATTGTGAAGTAGATGGCAGGAATTTTTTTATCCCTCATGACATAACTCATCGGTAAAAATGTTCAATCAATTCATTCTGGTCAGAACTTTTTCGTAGAGAAGTGCTATTAAACGCGTTTGGAAAAAAGGACGGAATATAGAACTTTGCGATTTTATGATTTCTGCAAACCATGTATATGCAAATTTTTTAAAATAGTTTTTCTGTTAGCTCTATCAGAATTCTCACATGTTGAAAATGACGAGAGAAAGCAACGAAAATTTTTGAAAAAAAAAGTTTTTTTCCTTTTCAAATTTCCTTTTCAATTTTCTTCAAAAATCACATTTTGAGATCGGAAGCTGCAATCACTGAAAAATAATCTGTAGCTCAATTAATTTGTTAATAACTAAAAAAAAAGAACTGGAATTTCCTATATTCCGAGAGTTAGTCAGTTCGGAAGTTCTCACAAGAGTACTTCACTCCCTTCCAAGGTTTACCGTTTATCTAATTTTCGTCAAGTCTCAGGCGCAAAAATCAGAGCGAGCTGTTCGAGTGTCTCTCCCCCACGACAACAAATATTTTGCAATTGATTGTTTTTCGTCGGACTGTCCCTCTTTTGCGCGCGATATTTCAACAATGGTGATTGGACTTGGATTCCCCTATTGAAATTCGAGATCGACTCAAGCTCTCTGGCAGAGTCTCGAAAATCTCTTGCTCGTTTTCAGAAGGAGAAACTTTCGAGATGCCCTTAGAAAGACGATAATCATTTTTTTTTAATTTAAAATATTTTCTGATAAGTTGAAAGATTAATTCAAAAAGAGAAGGTAAATGGGAAATCTCAGACTCATCGGAGAGCCACACGGACTGGAACTTCGCGCGAACGTCTTCTCTAAAGGTTCAGTTTGGCAGTGTTCCATCCAAACTGAACGGTTTTAGGAGAAGAAGCGAACGTCTTCGTGCGAAGCATCCGTTCAATGCGACGTCGTCGGGCCGCCTGAAGCCGTGCCGACGTCGCCTGTCAGAAGAAGGCGTGAAGCAGTTCACACTCCGTTGCCTCTTGAAGACAGAAGCTCCGTCGTGTCGCTTCTGACGGCACAGTTCGAAGTCACGCCTCAATGTACACTCAACTCTCCGCTCCGCCCTCTTTTCAGACTCGAGAATGTGATCAGCTCTTTTGATTAACTTTTTATATTGCTTCCTGCAGTTTTTCTCTTCGGATGAGCTGCAGCAGTCATTCGTAGGACGGGAGTGGCTTTTTCGGTGCGTATTTTATTTCAAATAATTTTGCTCCAAAGTTGTGTAGATCTTTTCAGAATGTAAAAATCGTAGCCACTTAAAACGAAGAGAAGGTATTATCGAGTGACGTTCAGGCTTGCCAGCCAGGACTTTGGGCCTCATTTTTGAGAAAAAGTCAGCGCGGGCTTGGGCCAGACCAGGCTTCAACAAAAATTTTAAATTTCGTTTAAAAACTTTTCACTTGTTGAATCATAGTTTCTGTTGAACTCTAAGGGCAAAATAAAGTAAACAGAAGACTTTTGTCGTAAAAAAAAAAGCTTGATATTAGACTTGAAGAAAATTTGAGCTTTTTGGGCCGGGTCGGCTTTTTTTTTTGCTTGAGGCCTCCCTATGACCGGGCCGTGCTTAGAAAATTACCGGGGCCGATACGCAGATGAGCCAGCTCTCGCACAAGCCTGATGACGTTCAGGAAACTGAACATGAAAGCATCTTGCAGACATTTTCCTTTAATATGAATAAAATTTTGCAAAAGCTTCGCTCAAAGTTTTCAACATTTTAAGAAAAGGGAGTGGTATTTTGACAAAATAAAAATAGAAAAATATCAACCTCCAAACTCAATAGGGAAATCTACGAATCGAGCGTGGGGGACAAAATGGACGTAACTTGTGTGTTGGGGGCGGCCGGCAGCGGAAAGACGACCATTGTCAAGCAGATCGTGCTTCACTCCTCCTTCTACCAACTTCGAGTTGGTTAAAAGCCGTTCCAAAGTCTCGAGCCAGATGTTCTCAGAACGCGACGCTGGAACGGCAGAAGAACGAATGGCTGCGTGCCGTGGCTTCGCGAGTTGTCGCATGGCACATCTGCGACGTCCAGAACGTGGGCTGGATACGAATTCATTCGAAAATCAAATAGTTATAGGCGGCTTCGTGTTCGATCCCCGAGTTCCTGTGTAACTTGACAGCTTGGTTGGCCTCTTCCCACGTCCTGCAAGCCTACGCCAGGGCCATCTCTAAGGTCAGACTCCTCTCCGATCCTTAACTCCCGGAGTTGCAGGACCAAGATCTTCTGAAACTGGCGAGGGTCGAGGAGTGCGAAAAGAGAGACTGTCGTCAGGTCTTTGCACGTCTAATTGCCCAGCCTTTGTCTCGAATCGAGTCCAGTGATGAGGTGAGACTTAAGTGGTGCAATGATATCTTGGCACGTTATCAAAAGTATCTCCTTTTTCATTCCCTTTTTAAAAATCACTTGAGGGTCCACTTTTAATTGTCGTCGATGGATTGGACCACGCGGATTACTATCACAGTGATGATGATAACTGCATTCGTAAGTTTTTTTTTTTTCAATATTCCAGTTTCTTTTTTTTATGGGAGGTTCGTCTCCGATACCATCAAATTTTGGCTAGTATAATCTGCTTTCATCAGAACTTCAGAGAAATGAGAAAAAAAAATTTTAAAAAAAAGCTCCTTCATGTTTCGCGATTTTTCAACTTTTTGATTACAATCGTCAGTCTTATTTTCAAGGGAAGTTCATATTAGAAGTTCGTCCGAGTCTTCCAAAATGGATCAAGATCGTCATAACCGGCGAAAACTTGGGCCGAGCGGCCGAAGTTCAGCAAAGAACGATCAGAATAGGTATTGGAATTTTTTCGACTCATGGAAGCAATATATTTCGGATGACCTGAGAGACGACCGCGTCTTGTGCGACCAAAGACTTCTCCTGAAGACGGCGAACCTCGACGGCGACGCGGAATTCTGCGAAGAAGTTCTGCGGGGATCTCAAGGAAGCATGCTTTTCACTTCACTGTGCATCCGTGACCCGTCAGTTCACAATTCAACTTGCTTTTTATCTTTCTCCCAGACTCCCTCCGGCGAGCACCGTCGAACAATTGCTGGAGCGGTTCTTAGGACGCATCTTAGGGTTGGATTCCAAAAAACGACAATCAAAGCACTCGGATTCTAGAGAGTCATCTCTGCAACTGGCAACCAACCTCCTGAACGTGCTCGCCACTTCGATGTACCCGATGAATTTGGAAGATTTGCGCGAAACGCTCGTTTTCACCTCTCTACAGTATAAACCCATTGATGTGGCGCTTCTGAACCATACGTAGGAAGTTCTGAAATAGCCGAGGTCACCAAAACCAATCCAGATTAGAACTCTTGTCGCCGTTGCTGCGTTGCTCCGCCACTGAACATTTCACGATTCGCGAGTCTCTCATTGGAAATTTCTTGCTCCATGCCGCATCGCCACGCTACCGACTCCAACCTAAGCAAGACTGAAATGTTTGAAAATGAATAGTTTCTTCTGGTTATAGACTGGGACATATGCTGCACGCGACGCGGTTGGCCTTTCGGGGACAGCTTTCCCCACCTGAAATGTTCCTCCTCGCGCACCACATCTTGAAGGCCAACCCGACCAAGAATCTTCGTCGCCAGCCTCTTTTTACGGTATCTTACCTTTGTTTTTGAATATTAAATACGCTAACAACGGATCATGTTCGTTTGGTTCAATGTGTTAGTCCAAACTTTCGTTCAATGTGTTAGTCCAAACTTTGGACTAACACATTGATTTGAAATGTTACAGTTTGCCAAAACTCGGGAATCTCTGCTGGAATGGCTCCGAAACTCGTCGGCTGACATTTCCACGGCGCTATGTTCTCCCCGACATCTTCAATATCCGAACCTGAAGGTTTTCTATGCCTCATGTCTTCTAATCCCTTGCAAGAGTAGACGACGTCGCTGCTGATCGAAGCTGGAGCTGATGTCGATGCCGACCTCGACGGCAGGAATTTGGTGGAAGTGACCGCCGCCTTGGGCTTTTTTCCTCTTGTTAAGATGCTCGTGAGCTGCTCGAAATTGCGACACATTGGTATGAAAGACAATGAAAAGGATGCATCTTTTTGATTGGAGCTTCTCTGATTGCCCCAACAGCGAGCAAATTCGGAGATCTAGAAACGGTCCGGCACATTATCGATTCTTTGGACGCCGAATGCCTTTCCGAGTGTTGTGTCAAAGCCGCCGCCTCCGGCCATTTGCAGGTTCTTCCGAGACTTGATTCCTCGAATTTTCGAATTTTTGAGTATTGATTATTTATTTTTCCTTCTCTTAGGTGCTCACATTCCTCCTGAACTCCGCACACATGAGCAGCGTTCATCGGAAGAATTGTATCGAGAAATGCGCCTGGGAAGCGTCAAAAACAGGTGGGAAAAGAGTCTAATTTAAAGTTGGGAGCCGGTAAATCATCAGGGGCCGTCATCATTCCATTGATTTTTCCAGCCTTGCTAGGCTCTAATAATGATTATTTTTAAAAAAAACGGGTTTTCCCCTAATAAAAAAGTTTATCTTTAAATCTTTGAAGTTGAAATCTTCCAGACTTAAAAAAAGAGAATGGCCTGTAGATATTGAATGGAAGATATACTTGAAGATTTTCTGGCGCTTTTCCAGATCTTAATTTCGAAAAAGAGCGAAAAAAATCAAAAATTTTTGATCAAAAAAAGGATAAAAAAAGTAGGAATTAAAAAAACTTAATGAATCTATTAGCCTTATGCTTTCGAAAAAGTTCAGCTTTGAAAAAATAGAATAAAGAGTTTCTGTAAACACTTTTCAAATGTGATGTCAAAATTTCGGAAAAGCCGGATTTTTAACAATTTCGAGAGAATCTTTTTTTTGTCAACTCTGCAAAGCTTTCAGACCGGCTGAACGTGCTGGAGTTCGCTTTGCAGTCCGAAAACATCGATGTTGCCGCGTGTATGAGAATCGCCTGTTTGAACTCGTCGCTCAACGTCGTGCTCATGCTGCTCGCCCGGTTCGAGAGTCGCTCCAGCCGCGTCCAGCCTCGGAGTTTCAGAGGCCAGGCGATGAGCGACGAGTGGAAGCCGAAACAGTCGCCTCTGTTGGTCGCGGCCAGCAGCGAAAGCTGGCAGATGCTCCTGGCGGCGTTGAAGATCGTCGACGACGTCGATGTGAGCGACGTCAGGGGTCGAACTGCCTTGTCTCTGGCGGCAGCGCGTGGCGATTCGGTTATGATCGACATTCTACTCGCGAGAAGTTCTCTGGCTGATTTTCCCACCTTTAACTTCCGATCGGTTTCAAAGAGGCCGATGCCGAGTGTGTGGACTCTCAAGGCTGGACGGCTCTTCTACATGCGGTCGACAGTTCGCAGTTGGCTGCAGTTCGATCTCTTCTGAGGAACGGCGTCAGCGTTAACGTCCGCGACTTACGAGGTAGATTTTTTATGCAGTATTCAAAGTAAATTCCGCGAAATGCCCTATTATCTCTGACTCTTCAAAATTTTGCTCATCTTTTCTTCTCTGATGGCTGTTTTGGGTTTCGCAGAATCACTTTGAACGCGGCATTACTTACAAGAAAGGTCCATCAGAGTTCACATTTTTACGTGAAGTCTGGTGAAAAAGAAGAGAAGATCTTCATCTGAACCTGTGAATTCGCAGCAAAAGTCATAGCGAATGCCGGAATCCCGACTCAAATTCTGACCCCTATGAGGAATTATCATATACATTGAAAAAGAAATGAAATAAGTTCTGTAGGACGCTGGACAGCACACATCGCGTGTCAACGAGCTTCTGTTGACGTTATTCGGACCCTTCTCGAAGCAGGACTCGATATCGACGTCAAAGACGAGCAAGGCCTCAGGCCTATCGAGGTCGCCATAACTTCGAACAACAAAACAGCCGTCCGTCTACTCGCAAGTCGGTAAGTCAGGTCACTCTCGATTGACCCTACTTTACTTTGTCCAGCGGAGCACGTTTACGAGGGACTACCTGGGAGAAAGCGGCCCAGTACGACTATGACATCGTTTTCATTCTTCTGAACAAGCTTCTTGATGATGCAAACCAGCTCACAAAGTTGTCTTCCAGCTGTGAGGCGAATGTTTCGAAAAAAAACCATTTCAGAAAGAAAAAGTACGAAGAAGCATTGTACCGTTTGAACTACGCCATAGACCGATGTACGCGGCTCAAATCGAAGAAAGGTAGGTTATGGACTGCCGACGGCCTTTGTAGTGGCTTCTAGAACACGAACAGAGGCTTCTGGCCCTCGAACAGCAGGCTTTGCTATCGAAGGCACGAGTGCGACGGAAGCAAGGCCGTTTCGAAGAGGCCATCCAGACGTGCGTTACGGCGGAGAGCCTCTGCGACTGCGACGACGACGCTCTCTACGCCATCGCCTTGCTTCGTGCCAAATGTCACTTCGACGGTCGCCAAGTGCAGCAGGCCCGAGAGTCGGCCAGGATCGCCGCCCTGCTCAGGCCTTTCGACGACGAGTGTCGCCAGCTTCTCGCCGTGTTACAATCGCCTCTCACTCACATATGCCACCTCTGAATCTTCTTTGATACTGGTTTTTCAAATTGGGTAACTAATTCATAAAATATATTAATTTAAAAAAAGTAGAACATTAACAAAAAAAGTCGTCCCATCCACGATTGGCTGACTTTTGTCAAAAAAAAAGTTTCAACTCCGGAATTTCTAATGATTACACTTTAATTCTTTATCCTATCCATAATAATTTCATCGTTATTCAAAACACTAGTTCTAGACAGCTGTTATTTGAGTAAAATGTTCAAATTTTGTGTGACATCTAAATTAACCTACCTTTATGTGCGAAATAACACTTTTGATTTGTTCGAATGAATGAGATTTCATTTATAAACCTAAGAAAGAAACAGAGAGTAATCGCGACTTGACGCGGCACAAAGAAGGATGCAAGTTTCTTTTTTGAAAGAGAATATGGAGTTGAGATTGATTTTCCATGCATTGGACCAGTTGGGGTAGCTCAAAGAAATAATCTAGAAAGAAGGGTTTTCATCAAGTACGACAGCGGAAACCTAAATATGGGATGCCAATAATTTAGAAAAAAAAAGTGGGATTTGTTTCGAATGAGAAGCTTTGCTGGAACACCGAGAAACAAATTTCATCGATAAGCAATACCTGTAGCGCTAAAGATCGCATCAAATCAAACGACGAATGAACGTTGCTTTTCTAAAAAGACAAACAGCTCGGCAAGATACATAAATAAACGAACAATAATGGTGACGCCGACTTCGGCTGAATGTTTTTTTTTTAAGAACACTGAGTTGAGATGAATCGAGAGGGACTTTTTTGATAACAAAATTATGATACCGGGAGTCCAAAATGCATTTGACAGACTATAACGTGATTTTTATAGTCCCGTAAAATAAAAAAAAGTATTGAAAACAACAGTGTTGTTAACAGTGCTCTTCTTGGAAAGGATCAATCGATGAATCGGAACTCGATGGCAAATTGCTTTCGTTGTTTTGGCGTTCATTTGATGACGCGCGGTCAGCGTCTTCCATTTCGATTGAAGAATTATCATTGTCCAGCTCGGGATCGACGTTTTCCACTTCTTCATATTGATCGGACGGTATGCGTTGAATCTTGAAATTATAATCAAAGAGTTGCGTTTAAAATAGCAAAAAAAACCTGCGGCGGACAGTCAGATGGCTGATTTCTACCACCGAAAGGCTTCAAGAACGAATGTTTCAATGCATCTCCAGCCGTGGCGCGAGCACCCTAAACTTCATTAGATTCTTATTTTCCTGCTGGAAACAATACCTGATCGAAGGTGAGCATAGGAGTGAGAAAAGAAGAAAACTGTTCAGCGTCTTCATGAGACCAGTCGTATTTTTGTCGGAGAACGTCGTACAGAGGCCAAGGTTTCAGCTGGCTTATGTGAAGCAACCGGCCATTCTGCATTTGAACCAATCAATCAAGCAAATTTAGCAAGCATCATCAAAAGAGATATCATTGCTTGAAAATACTAATATCATTTTTAAAAGGCTCGAAATCACTAGAAAAATAAGAAATAAAATCAGTTAAAAGTGAGGAAAAGACAATATTGATGGAGAAACAAAAAAATTAGAATTTTTTTAAATTTTTTTATTTTTAAAAAGAGAGAAAACATTTTCCATTTTGCCCGTAACGTCACGATTTTTTTGTTACGAGCTACAAAACGCTTTTGCTTCGATACGCTCGGTCTGTTTGCATGCGTATTAAAAAAACAGTTTTATTGGCGAAATTAGACTGAACTAAATTTGCATGCAAAAAGGCACGTTGCGTGTATCGAAAAAAAGGTCTGTAGCTCAAAGAAAAAAAAAAGGAAAAGCTGGCGCGGAATGGGCTATAGGTCATTGTGAATGTTTTTAACACTTTCTGATACAGTTATTCTTTTGAATTTTTTTTTTCGTGGTAATAGCTTTTAAATTTGAAAAGTGCTAAAAAAACCTTGGTGAAAAAGTCTTTCCAGTGGGCGCCAGTTTTGAAAACGGAAGGTGGGATTTCTCCCAAAAGTTCGGAAATATGAGCAAGATGGTCTTCGTCACGAGAATAGTTCTCTCCTTGATGCGGCTCGAACAAGTAGTCGCCGGTTGCCAACTCGAAAGCCTGAACCTCCAAATGATGTGAGCTGCGATGTGGTAGCGGAAACCATGCAGGCAGTGCTCCAAATGTCGGCCGGCGGTCCGTAGCCGGCGCCTATCAACACTTCCAGAGCTCTGTATTGTCTTGTTTGGATGTCATCCGTGAAATGATGGTGTGTCCAGCAAGCGTTTCCCAAGTCGGCAATTTTCACCTTAAACAATAAATCAGTACCATTAATCGAGAATGTTTAAAAAAATTTTTCAAATTTGAAAAATTCCCGTTCTTTCAATTACTGAAATATAATTTTTGCCGCTTTTAAAGGGAAAAATGCAAAGTGCAAAAGTTTTTTTTAAAATTATTTTTAGAAAATCTGTCGCTAACATAATTCTTGATTTCATTGAGAACCGTTATTCGCCTTTCATTTGTTTTTTTTTTTAGCTTTTTTCTCATTTAGTTCCTTTACACTCAATTAAAATTCGCTCAAAACAAAAAAAAATTAGACTCCTCACGTGAATATCGATGAAAGGATCATTCATGTCGGGACCAACTGGCGGAGCTGGCAAAACTCCAGGTTCCTGGATGCCGTGAATTGGTTGGAAAATTGGATGCGAAGGAGATAATGGATCTGAAAACAAGTTTTAAAATGAGAAAGAGATTTTTTTCAACCTTCGAAATTGATTGGATAGTTACTTCCCCTGGGCTCGAATTCGTCGTCCGACCGGGGAGAAGCCGCTCCGCCGTTATTATGAACTGGGCTACTGACCTGAAAACGCGCGACTTTTTCCAACTATTCAACGCACAAATACTTGTTTTTGATTATTGGAAAAGTTGACTCCTTCATCGATATCACTCAAATCTTGAACACGCGTTGCCATAATGCCTTCCTCACATTCCTATAATGAGAAAAGAATTTTCCACGTCTGGAAAATGAGAATGATTTCCACAAAAAACATGCCAATGCAACCAGATATTAAAAGGGAGTGCACGCCGGGCTACAACTGCCGTTGGGAAATATTATTGAACTAATTAGCTATCTCATTTTAATTTTCTCGATTAGCGCAGGCAAGGCGAAAAATTTAATCAGAAAGAGCAACTGAATGGCAATTTAGGGGAAAGCAAAAGTCTTTTCAAAGGGAAAGCAAGGCATTATCGAATCCCGAGAAAATGCAAAACTAAAAAAAAACGACAGGTTGTGTCAAAAATATCCTTTCGTAACATACACGAGCCGTAGATTCTTTTTCGAAAATGAAAAATTTCATTGTTTTTTCTGTTGTAAAATGGTAATGTTACCAAACAAAAACAGATTATTGGAAAAATAACCCTAACCCATGCATGTTCCGAATTCATTCATATATCTCTAAGAGACGACCGAAAAAAAGCTTGGTGGGAAATGGAAAAAGAAAAAAAAAACAGTGCAACGACCACGTTTACATCCACGCAACTATTTTTCACCTGTATCGACTGATACGTTTGATTGCATAATAATTCTGCGCGCGGCGACAAAGGAGAAGCAGCCATGCTCCCTTGCATCAGTTGCGGCACAGCGCAGCCACTCCCAAAGGTCAGCGAAGGTGGCCTCATACGGGCGGAATTCTGATTTTTCAAGTTCAAGCCATGAAAACGAATGTTCAAAAAAAAACGTTATTAAATCTAATGCAAAATAGCTTTTTAAAACTTTTGATCACCTATCTTTGAAGTTGATTTTTTTTTTCGAAAATACCTATACGCTTGTAAGAAAAAGTTTAACGTTCCCTTTTCAGCGCTTTCTGTACTCTATTCTCCAAAAAATCAAAACTTAGGCTTTAAAAAAACGTCCTCAGTGGGCGTCTTTAAATTGCAACTTGAGTCGAGTTTCCCGCTTTTTTGCGCAACTCTGTCTGCAAAATCAGCAAAAAAAATCGTGAAAACTTCAGAAAACGCTGAAACCAAAACGTGAAGATGTTCACTACTGGCCAATTGAAATTTTTAAAACTTCAAAATGATCTTTTAAAAAAAAGAAGAGCAGGAAAAAGGTTAACAACTTCGAGATTGAATATCGAAATTAAAAAAGTTTTTACAAAAACACCCGTTCAATTTTTTTTTTTCGCAGTCCGTATATTTGATGTTATACAAAAAACTGAGAAATCAACATCAGGAATTTTCTAACTTGAGTAAAATAAAAAATTACCGAAACTTTGGTGTAGGTATTGGTCAAGGCGTCCATGTCAATGGGCAGACCTTGAGCATGTAGTTCGTTTTCGAGGGCGCTGATGTTCTTCTTCTTTTTTCGCTTTAGCTTCTTCTTCTTGCTCTTTGTCAATTGCTGAAATATGAACTTCCAAGGACGAAAAATGATTCAAAGCTACTTTTGTCAAATGCGTAGGAGCCGTACTAACGGCGGATCCGCTCAGCTTCAGGTTCATTTTCGTGGCGAACGCCGCGTGTTGAGCCATCGCCTTGAAATGATATTTATATCGAGAGATAGCGAAAATCGATGGCAACCTTGACTTCGTCTTCGCTCATCGTGACAAGGACGTTTTCAGGCTTGATATCAGTATGGATTATTTGACACTTCTCATGCAGATAACGTAGACCTTCCAAAACCTTGAGAAAACAAAATGATTTTTGAAAAGTATGGCAGAATAAATTACCTGTTTGCATATTTTCCGCACCTGCTCCAAATGTAATCCGCGATAATTAGATCTAATAATGAGTTTTAACAAGTTACACCCGAGTACCTAGAAAAATCATCTTTAAATATGAATTCTTTAACAGAACCAACTTCAAAAACCATAGCGACATGCCTTCCATTCACACCTTCGACCTCAAACTGATCCAAAAGTTGAACAACTTTTTCACAGCCAACGTCTTCTCGATCTGCGTCTCGTACGGCAAGCAAAAGCTGCGTATAATAGGGAATAAGCTGACGGAAATGAACTGGAAAATACCTTCACTTCATCGAGAGCAGCTTCCGTATAGTGAGCTGCCGATTTAACAATTTTCATCGCCACAAATCGATTTGCTTGACGATCAATGCAAAGCCAAACCGTTGAAAAATGTCCCCAACCAAGTTTTCGTATAACTCGATAACTGAAAACAAGAAATTTTATATTGAACATGTATCCCGTTTTATCCCGTTTTACCGAGAATTAAAAACATCGCCGATGTCGACCGGGTGATAGCCTCCAGCTCGGTAATCGCGAGAATCTTCTTGTTCCTCGTCATCCGAGCCCAGGATCTCTTCTTCATGACCCTTTACCATAGAAATTAGCGGTCAACTTTTGGAAAATATTAACTTTATCGTCTCCAGATTCCGAATGGTGACTCAATGGCGGCGCATTCGCGGGAGAATGACTTCTTTCCAAGCTTTCTGGAGGTGAATTGAAAGAGTGAGACTCTAGAAATAAATGAAAATTAGTAATCTTTCTGAAAATTACTAACTTGGAGCGGCAATGGCAGCTTTTTCGTTGTAATGCAGATCGCCACCGGTTTCGCTCCTAAAAACGATCATCGCGTGAGAAGCGACACAATAAATTAAAAATTTCAAGATTTTGAAAAATTACTTCTTAGGTATTTTATATGGAGAAGAAGATAATTGTGCAGTAAAAGAAGTGGATGGTTCGTCTAGCGAATATTCAGTTTGTTGGAAAACAAGGCTTTCAACATCGTCGCCGGTGTCATCTGTTTCTGATGAAACGGAGGAATCCTCTATGTGAGAGGATTCTTCGGTTTCATGCGCTTCAATGTGTACAGAATCCTCCTGCGAAGAAGCGAACGATTCCAGAGAGCTGGAACGGCAAGAAGACAAACTTCCTTCACTACAACGAGAGCCATCTTGCGACGCCAAGGAATCTGCGTCCAAAAACTCTTCTCTCGCGCAGATTATCTTCAGCTCTCTGGCGGTGGTTATCAAATCACAACTTCTATACGCTTCAGCTCGATCTTCTTGTTTTTTCAATTCAAAATCCAACGTTTGCACTGCATGAGAATCTTCCGATTGTTGATTTTCGAGATTCAAATGAATTACAGAAGACACAGAATAAAATGTTCTCTTGGCGAGAAATAACGAAACGAAGTTGGAATTGGAAGGAGTGAATGCGTTTTCACCAGATCTGGCAGAGAAGTCGTATTCACAGTTGATTTCAATATCTTCTGGGGTTTTTGAACGGCTTCCGCGCGTGAAAACAAGCGACTTCGGTGTTGACGGCACATCATAACTTGACGGATCGGTCTTACGAAACCATTTGCAAAGTAAGGCGACAAACATTACAACAGTTGAAAATATATCTACATAGGCGGAACTGCCATGAGAATCAATAGAATCCAGCCTGACAGGTTTAAAGAAGAACCGACTTGTTCTCTGCGGCTAGCAAGATAGCGTGTGACGACGATGGGGACGAAGTTTTTCGGGGGAAATATGATGGGAACGCTGTGAAGCGAAAGATAAAGAGCGACAACTGACAAGAAACAGTTGCTTTCTCATTCGAATCGCACGTTTCAGATAGAAAATGGTTGAAAAATAAGATTTTCAAAAATATGATAGTATTAGATTGTGAATATCAATTAGAAAACTTCAAAAAGGATTTCAAACATTATTTGATAAAATTCAATTTAAAGACCGACTTTATTGAGTTCTATGGCAAACGTATTGGATTTTCTGGAAAACACATAAATTTCGGCCAAAAACTTACATTCGTATACTAGTGTTTCCATTGACTTCTTTCGGTTGGTTGCATTGGGTCGTAATGTTTTTACCCGTGACTTCACCTGCTTTTTGTGCACCTGAACCGCCGTTGGACGCTGCTTGCGGTGGCTGAACGGTTTTTTTAAATCTAAAACTTATCTATTGTACCTTCTTTTTGTTGTTATTCTTCTTTTTCTTCTTCTGCGTAGCCAGCACTTTCTGGTTTCCTCCCATTGAAGTTTTTTAGATACCTTAAAAATTTCAAGCTTCTTTTTACAAACTAGTTACGATTTTTCAAAATAAAAACGCTATCAGCGTAAAAGCTCTATACAAACTGCTAAAATTTCGATTTCATGAAATGGAAATATGGACTTCAAAACAAACAGCGATGTAGTGTAGAGGAAGAATTATTCATGAATGCTTAGTTTGAAAATAATTGAAAACATCACAGCTAATAATAATAATAATCACACGTGAGAAAAAGCATTATCCAAAAAAAAAAAAGAGAAAGCTGGTTTGCTGATCGCGCACAGCATTGAAAACTTTTCCTTGAGAGGAGCGCCTTATTGATTTTCTGCTTAGAGACGCAGGAGCCAGTATACGGTAGTCCTGAGATTGGAAATTTGCCAATTTGCTTTCGGTCACCTTATCTCGGTGTAAAACGTGTCTTTTCTATTTTTCTACGTTTTTCTACTGCCGTTTTTTAAAATTAATTTTAGAAGAAGCTGTTACCTAGTTTATTTATCAATTCAATTCTTTGATTGACTTGATAATGCGTAACTCTCTCTGTATCTTGCTTGAGTAGGAAAAAGAAAAAAGAAATACATATACAATTAATAAACTGCTTTACCTGATAATCCAATTATCACTGTTTTCTCAGCTTTACCTGATAATCCAATTATCACTGTTTTCTCAACTTTTTCTCAAATGTTTAAATAAGTATTCTGATTTCCAAAGTGAGCTTTTTTTGAGGATGCAAAAAAAACTTTAAAAGTACCGAAATAATTTATCCTTTTATTTAATTACGTAATTACGCGATTAGCGAAACGCGTGTAAAAAATTTTCAGACGTCTATTTATTCATTTTTGTCCATTTTAGGATGCTTTTTTTGCGAGTAGAGTGGAATGTTTCCAAGTAAATTTCTTATAAGATTAATTAGAATATTTTTTTCAATCATCTTTAGTATCACAGTGTAATAAGTCCAACTAGAGATTAGGATGAATTTCTACAAAAAGGAAATGTGTTTTCACGCCTCTTCTATCAAAACATTGAGAAAAATTGCTTGGAGGTAATTGAAATAAAAACAGAATAAACCGAAGCCCTCTGTTGTGTAATATTAAAAAAATTAATATTTTCAAAAACGTGAACCCTGATTCCGGCGGAATAGGAATGGCTGCCAGAGAGAATGAAAATTTCGGAGAGTCTGAGTTAATTTTTATTTAGCCGAGAATATTTTCAAAAAAAGTTTTTTTTTTAATTATGCGTAAGTCTTCTTGCAATGTTTTTCTTTCGTTCTCGGTTATTCTCTCGTCTGAAGGAATTTTTTCAATCATCTTTTAATTTTTTGTTTCGCGTTTTCGTCTCAGCTCTGACAAACATCAAAAATACTCAAATTTTTTCAGCCGAAAATGAATAGTCCGGATAGAGCTATCCTCACAAGGAAAATCGCTTTGATGGGATACCCATGTGTTGGTTGGTTTTTTTTTCTGTTTTTTCTACCTTCACTCTCACAGGAAATTTCATGCTACTTTGCGGTTGAGATTTTTGAAAATCGACTAGAAAACTCCTTGATTTAAACTGGTACACCTGTAAGTCAAATAGAACCAACAAAGTCCGGGAAGATAGGCCATTTTGGGGATTACTAGGGCATGATCTCCGCTTGACAACAATTTGAGAATTGAGACTTTGTGGGTGGATAGGCCTAGGTGAGAGTACTGGGAATCAAAAATAAAATTTTGCTAAGCCACATAGGCGGCTGAGAAAAAACTCGCAGAAAGTTTTCCAGCGCGGATATGGACGCTCGGAGCCTTCGGCTAGCAACTGGCGGCGTGGTGTAGTGGGTAGTGGTCTTGCGCACTGCCAATATTGTAACCATGGTTCGAATCCTTTTGGCGGAAATTGTTTTTGCCGGCTCAAAACTTTATTCATTTCACATTTTGTGAGATTTTTTCAAAAATTTACGTCAATACTTGTAGAAAGCTATTAATTCTAATACTTTTTATCATGCCACTTTTTTTCTTCTCGTATGAGGAGGATATTCTCAAATATTTTTTTGTTGGAAGACAGGCAACAGCAGCGTAGTTATTTTTTTGCACATAAAGTAGAGAAAAACATTTCAAATCAGTATTTTTGTTTTTTTATTGTGATTTTAATAACTACGCTGCTGTTGCCTGTATTCCAACAAAAAAATATTTGAGAATATCCTCCTCTATACGAGAAGAAAAACGTGGCATGAGAAAAGTATTAGAATTAATAGCTTTCTACAAGTATTGACGTAAATTTTTGAAAAAATCTCACAAAATGTGAAATGAATAAAGTTTTGAGCCGGCAAAAACAATTTCCGCCAAAAGGATTCGAACCATGGTCTACACCACGCCGCCAGTTGCTAGCCGAAGGCTCCGAGAGTCCATATCCGCGCTGGAAAAGTTTCGACGAGCTTTTCATCAGCCACCTGTGTGGTTTAGCAGAATTTTATTTTTGATTCCGAGTACTCTCACCTAGGCCTATCCGTCCACAAAGTCTCAATTCTCAAATTGTTGTCGAGCGGAGGCTATACCCTAGTTAGAGCCTTGATTTTTCGAAAACTTGAAAGTTGTTCAGACTGAGAATTTTAAATACTCCTTCTAGTACATCACGAAGTGTTCTGGACAATTTCAGGATATTCTTAACCGCAAAATGAAATTACTTTCCTTGTCAGAAACCTATCATGAACAATAAAAACAGTTGTTCATATTTTCAGGCAAATCTTCGATAACTTTGCGTTTCGTGCAAGGATATTTTCCGGATTCTTATGACACCACCATTGAAGACATGCATTCTAAAAACTATAAGTACGAAGGACGGGATTACAATTTGAAGATAACAGGTAAAATTTGAATGGTTTTAATGATCGGGAAATATGCATTCTAAGATCTTGTTTTTTTCAAAAAAAGTCATTTCACGAAAAATTCCGTTTTAAAAATAAAAATTCTTTTTTTGATTTCACAAATTAAACCAGTGAAACCGCAATTGATGAGTTACGAGTCTAGTATATAGAATTAGTTCATTTTTGTCCCAGAAATATTTTTTTTGATTTTCTAAAAAGGTCACCAAAAAGAAAAATTTTATGCGTTTCCTTATAGTTTTGTTTTTGGTATGAATGGTTCATAATTGATCATTGTAAGTTTATCATTTAAATATATCTTTAGAGAATTACTTTGATTATACCGAAAAAAGAAAATACGGCGAACAACTTCTAGAAACTTGCTGTGCTCTGTATTCCTCGAGCGAAAAAAAAAAATTATTTTGAGTAGTTTTTCATTTTTATAAGGCCAATGCAGTTCAAGTTTTGTTGAAAAAAATTTTTGAGAGTTATAATTAAGCTTTTAATTCCAGATACCGCTGGACAGCAGGAGTACTCAGTTTTCCCTCGTAGTTGCTCAGTTGATATTCATGGATTCATTCTTGTTTACGCTATCGACGATAGGAAATCGTATGTGAATTCGTCGCTAGGACTATATTTTGTATCAATTTGCAGATTTGAGATGATCCAGTCGATTTATGACAAAGTTGTTGAATGCGTTGGTGATGTAAGGTGAGGTTTTTTGTGAATTTCAAGGAGGATTTCATCAAAATATTCAGAGTCCCGATGATAGTGGTCGGTAACAAGGTGGACCTGCAGCACTCCTGCAGAGTAATCAGTAGAGATGAAGGAGCCAAATTGGCCAAAAGCTGGAACGCCGCATTCATCGAGACGTCGGCCAAAGATAACACCGTCAGTTCCAACTTCTTTTTGTGAGTGGTTTTCAACCATAATTGTTCAGGCCGTGAATCAGATTTTCGACAGACTGCTGAAAGAAATCGAAGTGAGTAACGGAAACGCGCCTTCCTCTCCTGAAAAGAAGTGTCTCATTTTATGATTTTGTTTTTATGACGTGAGGTTATATGTTAAAAATTTAAAGAGTTTATGTGCCCTTTTTTTCTCTCATTTCCATTCAAACTTGTGTTCATTTGCCATTTTGGTAATGTGAAGTTCTTGTTTTTTTTTCTACTTGAGGATCAAATTTTGTGTTTATGTCTCGACAACTGTATATTACTATTTGTTTCTCCAGAATGAAATCATCGATGTAAAAACGGATATCACATTTGCCTGTTATGTTTTACCACCTTGTTCTTGTTACTGTATATACTCAGTGCGTGATAAATGTTATGATGATCTAGTTCGATGTTGTGATTCATTCGTTTAATCGATCATTATATATGCAATACTAAATTTGAAATAATTTAATTTGATAGATCTTGATCGTCATAGGATTTTTTTTTAGTTATTTTCTGAGTCTCGTTCAATATCACAAAAAAACGTGGAAAACTTCGAATTAGCGTTTCTTGGATGGTTTTGAGGGTTATGGTTTGCTTCGTGAAGAAAAGCTTGGAAAAGGAGATATGTAACTGATCAACACCGTTTTAGGCATGATGACCGACGACTCACCAGAAGTCGTCAGTCGGGTGCCGGGCCTTCCTCGCGTTGCAGAGGCCGTGTCGAAGTAGGTTTTGTTCTTTGGGTCGGGTAAACACTTGTTTTTTTTTCTGTTTGAACTAGCGCGACCCATCACTTTTCTCTTGATAGTTTCTCCTAATCAACAATGTTCAACCCCAAAAATCGTGAATTTTCTCCAATTGACAGAAAGCGACGGTGAGATTTTATGTTCACATTCATATTTGGTCAGTTTGTAGTTCTTACAAAAAGCTTTTAGCGTGGATTTCGCTCAAGTCGCTGGAAAAGTTGAGTCAATCAAAAAATGGACAATTGGTACGTTTAAAAACTCGCGACAACAGCTTTTGGAGCACATGGGAAAGGTATTTTTTGAACCTTTTTCGGCTCCCAGTAGTATTTTGCAGATAGATAAGACGGTTGATCCCGAATTCGAAGAGAAGTGCGATAGCTTGAAAGAAATCCATCAGAGGTACCGTGAAAATGTATATTTTCATGTGATGACAAAAGTTCAGATATGGGGCTGTTGTACTGGCGTCTCGCCAATTTAGCCAAGTGCTCAGTCAGATGGCGGCGGCGGAAAAGAAGTTCTCCGAGTCCTTCTTTCAATTGTCAGTGAAAGAAGATCAACTGAAAGTATATTTCGGTCTGGGACCTTTGAACAAGTCTTTCCTTGAAGGCGCAGTGCAACGCGACGGCCGAGGTGATGAAGCAGGTCGGCGAGCAAGCGTCCTCCTTGGACATTTGTTTGCGATACTTCATTTCTTCCATGGAAACCATCTACTCGCAGACGATCGCCGACACTTTGGAGACCATCTACTCAACCGAAGCTGTCAGTCTCTCTTTCGAATGGGAGTATAACTTTTCGATATTCTTTTCTGTTTCGAAGAGAGAAGGGTTATTACCTTGAATTTAAAAGATAATAATCAAAAATCAAAGATATATAACACTACTTCATAAAGGTAACCTAGGAAAGTTTTTCACAGTTGCTCTTCTAACTTTTAAAACTTTTTCATCGTAATTTTTGGATTCAGTGACATTTATTTAGTACACAAAAGTCTCAGAAGCATGGTACAACTATTAAAATGAAGATTTATTCGACACCTTCTTTTCTAAATGTTTCTAAACTCATTCAAATTGAAGCAATGGCGCGGATCACGAAACAACTAATGGAAAATGATCCGCATGGAGGTGAAAAGAAACGTTATGAAATAGTTTCGCTTCATGAAATCATTATTATTATTTCTTTTTCAAGATCACTAGAAATAATCTACTTTTTAGCAAACTTCAGTGAATTTGGATCTTTTCATTCAGGCTCGCATTGAATATGACGTTCACCGACACGAACTGGCCAACCTTCAGAACAGTCCTACGGAGAACGCGTCAGAAAAAGTTTCGGAAGCCTCGGAGGCTTGTGAAACGCATAGGAAGAAGTACGAGCAATACAAAGAAGACGTCAAGGTATTTATAGGAGAAAGGATTTTTTCGCAGAACTAGTTCCTTTCAGGTGAAGCTGAAGTTACTGGAGGAGAACCGCATTCAGGTGGTGTCGACCCAACTCGAAAAGATCCATGCCGCCCTGGCTGCCTATTACTCTGGTAACGCAAAGCTCCTTGAGAGTTCCGTCCGAGAATTGTTTGCTTCCGGAGTTTCCCCACCTTCTTTCATTCCTAATATGTAGAGAGAAGCTTATTTTCTATTCTTTCTTGTCAAAATGTTAACTTTTAGAGTATTTATTAATTGAAAGTAGCCAATATTGCCTTCGAAACATTCAATCGGAAAATTGTCATAATATCATTCACTTCTAGGCTTCTTGTTGGAACTAAGGTTGTGCTTTTCTTCTCCATTTGGTCTGCTACTATGTAGTTGCTGGAAGCAGCTTCGGTGTCAGAGAGTAACATAATTGTATTAATCCTGGGTATTTCGTATCTCATCGCCTTTGATTGTCGGCTGTGAGGACTCTTGAGGAACTGGTTATCGTGTCTTTCGTTCCATAAAAATAGCGAAAATAAAAGAATTGAAATTCATTCAACAAAGTTCGATTATATTGGGTTCAAAACCAACATTCAAGAAAATTTGATACAATTGTATCAACCTTTTTAAAGTTTATATTCAGATCTTCAAAAGAACTAATAACAGAGGGACTTGTAACATTTTGTTTATAATTTTTAATTTATATTGTTCTTTTTTGAAAGCGAACTTCAAAATTGAGTTTATAATCTGATCATTCTGGAAACTTTATATAAAAAAAGGGCAAAAAGTGAGTAGTTAGAAAAATTTATGAAATTCGAAAATTCCCGAAAACTGGTCTTTTTTTTTAGCGATTTTATAATAAATCAGCAGACTAGCGCAAACAACATGTTAGTGCAACGAGTGGTGCCACAGGCAGAAAAAACGGCGCAATTCTTTGTGAGTAACACATTGGAAAGACATTAAAAATGGGAATCGCCTCGGATGAAGAGGTCGCGGCGGGAAAAGAGGCGAAATTTGCGTTGTGAGTCACCGGAACTGTGCCCACAAAGAAGAAGAAATGGTGTAAACCGTTTCAGACTTGTATCGATTTACCGCGTCTCGTCGAGAGTTGAAAAAGAACCGAGCGCTTCGATGTGTCTTTGACTCTCACCATGACTTCTGGTTTGTTCTTTTTTTTCTTCTTTTTGGGTCTCCTCCCAGTTCTTTTTTCTTCGAAAGTCGCTCTATTCTTTAAACTTTCCGGTGTTCTTATTTTTGGTAAACACTCTCGAGTGTTTAATTCTCAGAACCCATCAAGATTGGAGAAAAAAAAAGGAAAGAGAAGGAGATTGGGAGAGATCCCTGATTCTTTCGATTTTTATGAGCTTTTCAATTTTTTTTTCAGCGTTCCACACGAAATCAGCGTATTCTCCCGTCGATATGTACTCGGTGGGTTTTTTTTTCAACAGTTCGTTTTATCGAAGAAGTAAGCTGGTGTTGCCTCATTGTCTATTAATACATTTCTGCAGCAATTAGAAATTCGGCAGCAATTAGATCTACGAAATCCATAAATCAGATAGTCTATATATTCTAACGATGATGCTCATTTTAATAAGTTGATTCACATTTCGAGTTTTTTTATTCTGTTGAAATTAATTTCTCTTTATTTTCATTTTCATTTCATACTGAATGTATATAAAAATATAAAAAGTCTTGATTATTTTTTTTTGACTGAAAAAAATTTTTTTTCCCTGTTTTAATTCCTCAAACAGAGATAGGCCAATCTAATTGAAAAAAAATTACTTGCTTTCTCAGATTTTTCATCAGTTTTTGACATTTTAAAAAGATTATTTGAAGCCCAAAGGCGAAAATTAACCAAATTTTTTCATAAGCGACTATGTATGCACATCTCTCTTCAAAGTTTGAAAAACAAACGGAATCTTGAAGACCTTGATATCTCTCATGTAGGAACGCCATTTTCTCCTGAGTATTTTCACAAAATTCGTACCGCCAGGAATTGATGACCAATTCTGACTGCACCGTAGTTCTCCTTTTCTCATGAAGTTTTGAATCTTATGACGAGAAAGGACGGAATCGGGAAGGTTTTTTTCATGTCGGTCCTCTGACTCACGTGAAAGTCTTCGTGTCTTCTGTGCGCAAATATTTACCAAGTATAACCTTTGTTGAGTTTTGTATTTAAATCTTTTTAAACTTTGTTCACGGCCTTGTCAACATTCATAGTTCTTTTTGACAAGAAACCGTTGCCACGCAAAAAAGTGAAAAAAAAATAAAGGAAAATTATTTTTAAACAAAATCATGAAGAGAAATTTTTCGAAAAATTGCGTTCTAGTAAGGCGTGTGGAAAGTGTGACTTCTATGTGTTAAGTTAGAGAAATCGAGTCTTTGAGAGAATCGAAATTTCTAAACCGATTTCAACTCCATGTTGCGAATAAAGTTTTTTTTTTCTTTGAAAAGTCTCTCTCCGTGATCGGAGGATTAAAGGCAACCGCATGATTTATTCAAAGGACAACAAACATGAGTAATTGTTGCCTTTCCGCGCGTCTCCTTCATGGCCTGCATGAGATATGAACGGCTCGGACCTCTTCTAACATCCAGCTTTTCCTTCTTCCTCTCTGCCTTTTTGACGTATTTGGATCACTTCCGAGCTCTCAGATCATTTCTAGCCTTTTTCAGCGAATCGGGAAACTCCTTAGCCGTTTTTAGGCTGTGCTGGAAAGCGATAGGTACTGCCACAGAACGGATCTGCACTTTGAGGCTTGAAGACAACACGTTCGTCTAGCTAACGTTGTTCAGGGGTCAAAGAGAGGGATTGGTGGACTGCGTGGAGAGTCTTCGATGCCCTGGGGCCTCCGCTTCCAACCCGCTCTCTTGTCCCCTTGGAACAGACGCGCCAAAAAAAAAAAATGCGACGGATCGATGGCCAGGAATCGCTCCTGGTTCAAATACATAGTTCCGACACTCGTTAGGTGCGTCATCATCGTCTGACGTCATATCCATTTTTACCTCTAAAAAATTTTCCAACTATTTTTCGTAGAGTTTAGTTTTGCAGTTGGAAGAGATAAGTATCTCTTTATGATTAATTTTGTAAATTTTTAGTTGACGTCCCCGTCCCTTAAAAGAACAAAAGCAAAAATGGAAATTTTGCGGATTTTTAAGTCCAGGCAGATTGGATAGTTGAACAATATTTGTTTCGCTCTCATCGATAAACCTTCGGAACCTTACAGTTTTTTTCCAAGTGATACACTCTTCTCAGACCTTTCTCTTGTTTATGGCAACTATGATCAGCCTTCCAGTTTTTGAAAACTTTCAGTATCAAGACAACTTCCCTGAAGCAGTTGTTCATCTCACTAACACATCTCATCTTTTTTGTTTTGAGTTTTCTCTCACTCTTCGACTAATTTCACGCCTTCGTTCGATTCCAAATTTCCGGCTTATCCTACAGAAACCCGTCAAAAATTTTTGGCGGCCAGGATGTTGAATTTTCCAATTTCCTTTCATGGCCGAGAGGCGCAACGTCATTCTTTTATGTTCTTGTTTGGAGAGAACCGGTAGAAGTTCTGTGGAAACGGAGGAACTCAAAAGATTCTGTAGAAATATACAGAACTTTTAGATTTCAATTCTAAAGTTTTTTTGTTTAACTATGACTCGCACAACATTAAAAATGTTGAGAGAGTTTTCCAAGGAAGATTGTGTCTTTCATTTTTTCTTTTTCTTCGCATAACAGTGTAGTTTCCTTCTGAAGGCGTATGATAGAATTTTTCAAGGAACATCTCATGAGAAAAAAAAAATCTATCTTGCACTTAACAGCCGTTTGCTGAACAGACTATAGTTGGGGAAGCACCTTGTCGCTAATCCACTCCTCTGAATACCTCATCCGTTTACAAATTCTTCACTTGTCTGTTTTTTTCCCTATCCCTATTCACTACAACGCTTTCAGGACGTGGAAAATGTTGCCGGCGGCGGCTTTTGAATAATTTTTGCCGTCCGGTCGCTATCATCCGCTGTTGTTTTCATAGGCGACCATGACTCTTTCATTTTCGCTCCCATGAACCAGTTGCAATTCTCAAATTTATTTTTCTTTTTCGTCATCTCCTTTTCATTCATCTTCTTTTTTCCTTTATATTTCAATTCGTTTGAATTTTCGAGCTCTTTTAAACATATTTAGTCGTTTTTAAAAACCCGGATTTAAAAGTTCCGCGTTCTTTATGATGTTTCTCGTTCACTCAATGGTTTGCGGACGATACACCAAGACTTACGATATTTTGGTTGATCATTTTTAATTTTTATTTAAAATTCAGTTTAATGTCTGTTAGCATTGAAAACGTCTTTCCCTTTTGTTTCTTAGACCTATTATTTTGATTACATGCGTTTCTCATCTCTCCCGCAATTGATCCTCACTAAAGTTCGGTAAAAATTTTTTAAAGGGTTATTAATTTCGAAAGTGCTCTCTCCTATGATTGCTTTTTTTTAAAATTTTTCAATCACGAATTCGAGTGGTTAACTTATAGTTGTTAAATCGATTTAGTTCTCTTAAATGCTATCGAATTTTTCATATCGTTTTCAAAACAGCAGACAGTATCTATTAGATGATTTTGTTTGGAAAGCTGCTGTCCGTCATAGTCAGATGTTTGTGCAGAGTAGTTGAGCAGAAAGAAAAACGAGATGTCTCTATTGGATTCCCTACTCATTGCCAGTTTCGTTTGATTAATAACTGCGTGGACAGCCGTTTTTTTTGCTGTGAATCAAACCTGACCATGTTTTGAGGACTCATCCGAAGTTATAACTTTCTCATGTTCATCAATTCCTTTTTTTGTTAAATAGACAACTTAGAATTAAAAAGATTTATCTAACAGTGGAAACCAGATTCGTTTCAAACTCGAAATTTTATATTTTTCGAAACTTCATTGATTTTTATTGTCATGTAATAACTTTTTTTTCGAAAAAAACCTTCAAATTTTTTTATATTTTTTTCATGCAAATTAAAAAGTTTTTTTTGAATAAAAAAATGTTCAATCAAAGATGAATTTTCATGTTTAATTAGTTTTTCCCATTATTATTTCTTGATTTTTTTGGGATCCGATTGGCTCTACTTTTTAAATCTTCTTAAGAAGAATTCATCATCATTTTTCAAGAAGCGAATCTTTTTTACCCTTTTTAAATCTTCAAAAAGCACACATGCCTCGCCATGATACTTCTACTGAATTGAAAAAAATCTTTACGGCGAAATTCTAATATTATCAAAGTTTCGTCGTCGAGTCGCATTTCTAATGTTCGACTAGCCGTGGACAAGTCTCGTGAGGGATTCAAGCGTTTACGATTTTTTCTACATTCTATTTATTTTTTAAACAAAATGGTTAATTTTTTACGATTTTTTGCACTTCTCTCGGCTATTTACCCGTTGAAAATATTATTTTACTCTAATTCCCAGTACGCGCAGTGTTAAGCAAGCTATCTATAGCCCTTTTTAATTCAAAAAAAACTTTTGAATTTCAACGAAACTGAATTTTCTGTAACCGATATTCGACCATTTCAAAGAAAAATCTTGAAAAATTATGCGACTTGAGCATCTCTCTTACACATATGTTATGTTACGTAATCCCCCTACCGGCAGCTTTCATCATCCTTCCAAACCCGAAAAAGGGAAATCGGTATATGGTTGATGACAGTTGGAACGTTTGTGTGGTTTTAGCTTTAGCTTTTGTAGGCTTCTGCATACCGAAGTTTTATGTTGAAATGCGAAACTTTGTTTCTTTTCCTGTTTAATCCTTTATTCTGCTTTTGTCGTCCCTCTCTTTTTGTAAATAGTATCAAAAAAGTCGAAAAGTGTTCAAATAAAGTCGATAGAAGATTTTCACTTGTGGTCAGGCTAGGCAGATACCTCAAGAAAAAAGCAGTTTACCAAATAATTCATCAGATTTCCTGATCTCACATGTCAGAAACATAATTTACCATAACACCCCATAAGAAACAGTTGACATGGATTTTTATTGGGAGTCTACTTTTTGCGAAGCCTCGACTTCTTTAAGTTCCGATAAGTTTCCGATATTGTGCTGCCCACTCGATTTCTAGACAATTATGGAAGGTTAACAAACCGAACCTTTCTAATTGCTCGAGCGCTGAGGACACGCCCACTTTTTCCCGCTTGACACTTTTGGTGCGACGGCTATACGACTTCAAAATCTCTAGTCTTTACTGGAATCTTTTTTCGAAACGTTGCATCAGAAAGGAGCCGATGAACGGATTGCATTTTAATTGTGTAACTTGGCGAGGGTTGCGTAGCGAATGTCGCCTGGAGACTCGAATGGCCGTCGTGTCGGAAGTGGCTAGTTTTCCCTCCAGAAGCCCCATTCTAGCCCGTGAAAGATATTTATATTCTTGCTTTTTCGTATAATTTGTATAGCCAGCCGATTCAATCTCATTATTTGGTCGGGGTTCCTCTTTTCGATGCTCCCTATATGGGTTTGTGGCCTTGTTGAGAGGAATTCGTTGAGCTTGAATATTTTTTCTCATCATCACTTCACTCTTGAATTTGCATTTATCTGAATGAAAAGGATAGACTGAGCGGAAAAAAGACGAGTTTCCATGCGTTGTTTTGCAAAGTTCATGCTGCGTCAACAGTCGCAAGCACTGCGCAACAAATAGAAACGAGCAAATAATCTCGCAGAAATAAAAACTGGAAGCTTCTACACTTTATTTTTTTCCTCTACCTTTTCACTCGATTCATGGTTTGTACTGCGAAAAAGAAGAACTGATCTTATATTACCAATAATGGAAATTTCCTAATTTTTGAGCTCTCATGCTCTCGATTTTCTTTCTTGGTCTGAAATAATGAACTGCGCGGCTCCACGTTATTTATGCAAGTTGTAAGCGTTCAATAATCAGTGGTAGATAAACAAAATAACACGAGAATTGTAGCTTTTCGGAAGATTTTCGCACTCCTCCTTTTTTTGAGTTTCAACTAGGGGGTTTCTTTATTTTTGCTCAAACACGTTGATATTTCCTGTATTAAGTAAGAGCAAATTCTGTTCATGTGGTTTCGACAATAATTTTTTTTCTGTATTGCTTTTTTTTTCCCATCTTATCAAAACTATTCATCACAGAAAAACAAAAAAAACTGTATCATCGTCTGATTATCTGCTATTCACAAGCTTTTTTCTCTCATCCTATCGAAACTCATCTCTTAGATCCTTGCAAAATTGTCTCAAGTTATCAGTGAACCGAACTGAAAAATTATTTCTCTAATGCTTCTTTAAATTCTTCTTTCGAAAAAAACGACTCACTTTGTTGTTTAATTCAAAATATAATGGCAACATGATACCATCAAAGAGGAAGTCCTTTTCTTCCAGCTATTCACCAATTTTTTTTTCGGAACGCATTGACCCCGTTATTTGAGAGAGCGAAAATATTTGTGTTGATTGAGGGTTGTGTAGGCCAGAAAGTTGCCCTGTATGATGATGTATGGAAATGGTCAGGCGGAGCCGTCGAGCGACCGGATGTCCGCCTCAGAATCTTCGACCGGCGGCTCGTCGTCGTCCACGTCGACGATGACGTCAACGTCTTTCGAGCCCCTGAAGTGGCTCTTTCTTTTCGTCTGCCTCGCTCTCGCTGGCCTCTCCAACTGGGCAGTCATCGCCTACACACACGATTTCGTTCCTCGGTACGCCAAACAGTTATTGTTTGAAAGGCTTCTTGTTGAAATTTTTTCATTAATCTCTAGAGAGTCTCAACCTGAAAAAAACCCTACTTTTAGTCAACATGTCGTCGTAGGTCGGTTTTGGCTGCAATTAGACGAAGGTCTTGAGAAATGAGAACGACTGTAGGTTAAAAGTTGAGGTTTTGCTATCCGTGGAAGAGAAGATGCTTTAGGATGGGCTCAGTTTCGGAGATTCACAGAGAAAGCGTTCTAAGACGAAAAATTCACCAATTTCGTTCACTTTCTGTTCCAGACATCCGCTGCCAGATATCATGTTCGCGCTGATGCCGGAGCAGAAGTGGGCGAGCGTCGGCGGCGACATGTGCGTCGTCGTAAACCTCGTCTGTTTCGGACTTCTTCTCTTCTTCCACGTCCATCGGACGGTCATTCTGCGTCGTATTCTCTTCACGACCGCCTGTCTCTATGGGATGAGGTCCGTCACGCTCACCGCCACCCAATTGCCTTCAGGTACTTTTTTCCTCTCAACATCACCAAGAGTAACGAGCTTTCTTGATAGGAAAGGATACCAAAAATTATGTATTTTCAGAGAACTTTTCATTACCTTTAGAGCTCTATGTAGTAGGTATTGAAACCCCTTTTAATAAAGGACATGTTTGCAGCCTACACGAATAACTCTCAAAAGTGTCGGCCGCAAGTCGATTCTCAGGCTTCCGTGTTTTTTAGCCGTTGGTTGGAGCAATCGATACGGTTAGGATTTCAGGTTGGTCGATTCATTTCGAGGTTTGGAAAAAATGAGTTATGAATTTTCCAGGAAAAAAATTATATGCTCTGCGGAGACCTTCTTTTCAGCGGCCACACTCTAGTTATGGTAAGAAGTTTTTTTGGTTCTTTGACAAATTTTTCAAATTTTCAGTTAGATAAAGCGGAAATAAATGAATGAGGAATGACAAACAAACTAGCAATTAAAGTCATAAGATGTTTTGATGAATGAGTTGTAGAAATTAATCGAATTAGTCGTTCTATACGAAAAAAAAGCGGGATTCTGTCGATAATTTCAGGTTAATTAGCTTATTAAGAAAATAAGGTTTCAGTCCTACATCAGCTCTACAAAAGCTAACTAAACAATTATTGAAGTAACACCTTCATTGTTTTTCAGTTTAGTTGCATACTGAACTGAGTTGACAGTTTCAATGGATAATAGCGCGAAAAAGCGAATACCCCGTATTATTTGTAATACGTTTAATGATCTTTTTCATGATCAAAATATTGGATTTTTGACGTTTTCTTCAAGCACCTGAGAAAACTTAAAACATCATTTTTCAAAAAATTGGTTTTTATAATAAAAAATTGATGAGGAAATTGAAATCACGACTCTGTGATTGAAAGGATTTTCCTCAGGTGAACTGCGCCCTGTTCGTGGCCTATTACCTGCCTCGGCGGATACGATTTCTGCAGTGGGCGACGAATATTCCGGCGGCTTTCGGCATGCTTTGCATGACTATTTCGCGCACTCACTACACTATCGACGTCATCATCGCGTACTGGCTCACTAATTTCGTATTTCGGTTGGTCCAGTAGAAAAGGGGAAAGTCATCAAAAAAGGATCTCCAGGATATACCATGCCTACTGCGAAGTTGACATCTACATGGAGCGACGGAAGAGCATTTTACACTCTTGGTGGCCTTGTAAGGTCATTGATTGGCTCGAGGAGAACATCGTCCCTGGACGGTCAGCATTTGACTGATATTATCTTTATCGATAATTAAGAAAAAGTGGAGAGCTTCGAGTCATTATTTCGTTTGTTTCTTTGGAAAAAAACCGATCTGCGAATGACAAACTAATTTATTCTCGTTTTGGACAGCATTTTAATGGCATTTTTGACTTTTCGAAACTTGTTTTTTTGCAGAATCGAAAACGTATTTTCAATGCCCTTCGTGCGACGGCTCGATCCTTCGATGCTTCAAAAAGCCGTCTCCCGGCAACACACCAAGCAGATTTCCATTGTGAGGCTTTTCCAAACAATTTATGATAGCTTCTATCGTTGAAACTAGAATGCAGTTCAAAACACGAATCATTGGATTTTTTTTTAATCAAAATCATATTTTCAGAGTTCCTCGTCAACGCTCCCATAATTTTACTGTGAAACACCGAGTCTCAATCTGGATAGACTAAATTTTTCATACTATCTTCTCTTTTTGCATGTTGCTTCCTGCAGTCCTTCACATTATTCAGACGAATATTACACTAACAATCCTAGAGTATAGTAAATTTATTTTTAGTAAGGTTCGAGCTACCCCGAGGCATACTTTTTTTTGATTGGTTATGTGTGGCGATCTCCGGTCATTCGTTTGTGTTTTTTAGCCTTTTCCATTGGGGAAACCAACGGGTACATGCCAAAGTTGAAACGAAGTCTCTATTTTTTTGTTCGGGGCACATAGAAAATGGGATACTTTTACTCGATTGAGTTATGTTAGTTTCCGTTGAAATACAAGCTTCTATATATATATATTCATGTTTGTTTTTTTCTGTATAACCTCCGAAGAAACCGCTACAAAGAACTAAATTTTCGCATGTTTAGGCTTCTAATTACTTTCTCCTAATCTCTGTGAATTATCAACTTATGTCTTTTTGCAATCTTGTTTTCTCTGTATATGTCTTGTTGTGCCAGCAAAGATCTCACTTTCTTGCGCTTTTTACTTTGCTCAAACTTTCATCTGTGATATGAATATTTTCTGTGTTTTTGAACAACCGGGAAACGATTTGAGAATACATTTTTTTTTTTCTTGTTCTTTCTGTTGATTCACACGTCGCGAAGCGGATTAGGTTTTTATTTTCATGAGAGACGAAAATTTGCATGTTGAATGATTAAAAATCGCCATTAAGTACAAGTAAACTTACATAAACAAACTCAAAACAAGAAATGATTAAGATTGGCTATAAACAATGAAATGTTTCCGATAAGTTCTATGATGACCTTAAAGGGCCGAGTAAAAAATAATGGATATTTTTGAATTTTCCCGAGTTCAAAGTATTAATTCATTCTTTTTCAGATTCATGCTTGTGTACAGAATTTCGTCAACTGAAAGCGTAGTTATTTTATTAGAAGCCGTAGAAGGGATAAACTATACTTTTTCATAAAATTTGACCAGTTTTCGTAGAGTTCAGAATGGAATTAAGCAAGGGAAAAGGGCCAAGACCGCATTCGCCACCCACGTCGTCACTTCCTAGAAAGACTTTTGATGAAAAACATTTCCGAATACAAAGACCAAACCAATATCGTAGACCATGATGCCGGCCACGCCGAGACTCCTGGCAAATCGAACCTTCTGACTCAAACTTCTCATTGTCTCGTATGACAACCAGAGTTTGTCTTTTCCTGGAAAACTCAAAGAAACTCGTCAACTCAGCTTGAAATTACCATAGAGGTAAGGTGATGCCGCGCGAGAGTTCCACCTTTTTTGATAGTTTCTATTCTTTTCCAACTGACACACCTGAAAAAGCTCTAATTTGCCTGGATAAAGGAGAATGAAATACAGCTGCATAGTTAGTGAAGCGATCGTCTGTGGCGACGGCGGGAGAAAATGGACGATGTAGGAATCGCGTGAGCAGACGGTAGCCCCGCGCGTAGGTCGGAACGCCGAACAAAGTCTTGTTGGCGGACAAGCCGAGCTTGGCATACGTGGCCATCGAGGCTTCCTGAATGTGACCAGAGTACAGGAACAAGTGCAAAGTTCTGACCGAGTTCATGAGCCCAAGGACGGACATTTCGGCCCTAAAGTGGCGAAGCGGCGCGTTGAACCCGACAAAAGGCAACTTAGGAGAGAAGATGTGGAAGTCGTAGTTCATCACGTTGACCAGGTCCGCATATCTGAACTATCGGAGGGTATAAGTTAATCTTCAAGCGGACCGTTCCAGGGCCTCGACGTCGTAGGCCAACTTGGTGATGGTTGGAGGACCAGAGACCGCGACAGTCAGCAGAAGCTTTTTCCCGTATCTGGAGCGCAATTGACGCAAAAGAGTCGAAAAACGCTGCTTGTCGGTCGGTTGTGCGTCGGCGCTCCACGTCGGGAACTCCCAGTCGATGTCCATCCCATCAAGTTCATTCTCCGTCAAGAAATCGTGGCTGTCAGTAACGAACCTTTCTATCGTCTCTTCCGAAGAAACCTAGAAATGGAGGGATATATTGCGCCAGCGGCTTCAAACAAACGAGGAGAGAAAAGTTTGGATTCGGCCCCGTAAGACAGAGCAAAAGTTTCAGAGCAGAGTTCCGTCGTTTGAGAGATAGAAAAGAAGTGGAAACTTCAAGTACTATGTTTCTTTTTTTCAGAAATACGAAAATCAACCAAAGGATGGTGGCGGAACGAACTGGCCGGAGGATCCAACAAAGGTAGAACCGATCAAGGCGATGTGCGTGCAGATGTCCGTCGGCACCTTGGCGATGTCTGGTCGCCCGAACCGTCAAATATAACTATTGATGGTTCTGCATGTCTCAGACATACACATAGTAACAAAATATAGACAACGAAGAAGACGACGTGGCAAACATTGAAAAGAACACGAGCAACGTCGAGAAAACCGACTTCATCGCCTGAATATTTGAAAGCTCAAACTTTTTGTTTAAAGCTTGAGATGATGTTCGAAAACACAGGGCGGCGTCCAAAAGTGCGAACCTGTTTCCCGATAAAATCACTTATAAGCTCAGCCTTGTGTTTTTATAAGTCTTCAAGTTGTTTGGAAAACAACGTACAAATGACGAAGCACAAGGCGAACGTCACACGATCATTTTTTAAACTCTTTATCTTTTAAGCTTTCTTCTCTGAAAATCCAACATCATCGCGCCTCGAACTAACTTATAAATAATTAGGGAAAAGCCATGAGAATCTGTGACACAACCAGTTGAAAAAATCCAGCTAAATAGATAATTTATTGTAAAATATATAAAAATATATATTAAAAATGGCATGTCTAAAATTTTTTTCAAATGTTATATGCAGCGCTATCCGTCAGAATATAATCAAATTAAGCAATCATTATTAGTTGTTTTAGCACAAGAAACCCGATGAGGAAGAATTAACAGAAGGCAATCAAATAATTAGCCCGTATTCAAAAGAACAAGAGTATATGAACTAGTCCATTAGAAATACTATGAAGGTGCCCGTGAAAAAAAAAAAACCAAAAAAGCAAAAAGCAGTGGAGTCATAATGATTACAAGGGGAGAAAAGATGCTAATTGAACTAGGAAAGGAAGTGATCAGTTGCATTGGACACAGGAGTCGATTCCCACGTCGAAGGGCTCGACTTGGACCGTCGCCACGGCAACACCGAACTTCATGCGGATCAGCGCTCGCGCCTTCGCCACCGTCTCCATCGCCCGGTCTTGAGAGTCTGAAATGTTCAAATTACGATCAAAGCTTTCTTTCTACACAATTATTTTTTGAATCAAGATCTCAACCAACTGCGAAAAGTCAGTTACAAATATCCATGCATTGTAACACCATTCAGTACCCACCGAGGGCTAAATGAACAGAAAAGGCAGTTTTGTCCATTCCAATCGACCACAAATGCAAGTCATGAACGCCTTTGACGCCGTCCAATTCACTCAACGCATCCTTAACGGCCTTCAAGTCGAAGTGACTAGGCGTGGCTGGAAAGTCAGATTTTTTTTTCAAACTTTGTGGAACTAAACCTTCCATGAGAACAAAGAAGATGTCTTTGAGAACGGTAACTGTAGTGAAGAGAACTATCAGAGAGAAGAGAAAGGTGCAGATCGGATCAGCGATAGTCCATCCGGTGAACTTGATGATGAGGGCCGCCGCCAAAACTCCGATCGACTGCACCAAGTCTCCGATGACGTGGATGAGAGCTGCGCGCACGTTGACGTTCTTTCCGGCATCTCCTCCGTGGGAATGCCTTGAAAGAATCTTTGTAATCATGTGAAATATGCCGGTAAACGCAATAATGAGAATACTTCATCAAATTAGAAGGGCTAAAACGCTAACTGACAAAACAAATCGTGGGATTTGAATCGTTTTTAGCGTAAATGGACGACTATGCTATTTCCTTCATTTTCAGATTTTATTTTCATAGGACTCTCTTAAATACACAAAATAAAACATAACACGTTAGATATTCCAAAATTTTGTTGGCTTACTTAGCACATTTCCAATCCTTGATGCTCATACTTTTCCACTGAAACTAACCCATGAGAGCCGCCGTGAGTATGCCCGTGACCCCCCGTTCCAAAGTGCAAAACAAGGCCCATCACAATATTGAAGAGCACCCCGGCTCCTGCTGTTATCAGCATCATGTCAGCGTTGATTACTAAAGTTTAACTTTCTCTAACGAAAGAGAAAGGCAATATAAACCGTGGTTTCCGTTGACGATTCGTTCAATGGCCAGCAAAACGAGGACCGTCGTCAGAACCCACAAAATCAAGATCGAGGTCATAGCTCCCAAAACTTCCGCGCGTTCATAACCGAATGAAAGGCGCTTGCTAGCTGGAAACCTCGAAATTCAGATAAAAGTCCTCAACTTTGAGAAACCTGGCTGCCGAGCACAACGAATCGCGAAGATTGAGATGAGAAAAGACAAAAGGTCGGAGAGCATGTGGCCGGCGTCAGTCATGATGGCGAGCGACGAGGCAAAAAAGCCCCCGGCAAACTCGGCGGCGATGAAAACCGCCGAAAGCGCCGCCACAGCCCACAGAACTCGTTCTGCTTTTCTACCCTGCAAAAATAATTTTGTATAATTCTGAAGCACTAAAACCTAAATAGTTTTGATCAGGCGTGTTGGTAATCGACGTTTCATTGCTAAATGACAGCTATCCAGATTTATTTATGAACCGCTTCTACAGCCTAAATTTTTTCAAAGAAATTTTTTTAAAAAGATCCTAGCGCTGGTTTTTTTTTTTCTGCGTGCCTATCTTCATTTCGTAAAGAACACCAATGAAAGTCCGTTTGAGCAACCATGGAGTAAGGAAAATAAAACTACCTTGATATGTTTCTCATGAGGATCAATGTGTTCATGGCAATGACTGCTCCAAGAATATGTTCTAGACTTGAGATCGACTTCCTCTTCAGGCGGTTCACTCATCGCGGTCGAGCTTTTTTCTTTGTTCAAAGCCGTAACAATAATCGCCATTTCTACAGAGTCAATAGTCAGAAAAGAAACTCTTCTCAACGGCAAAAAAAAAAACGTAAAGTGAGAAATAAAGCTTGATGAGTGAGCACCGAGAGATTAAAATAGCCTCTTGATAATGACTTATTAAGATAATAACGTAACAAATGATAGCCACGGCTTCACTAAAGTTCATAAAAAAAGTGACAAAATAAGGCTGAAACCAGGCAAGACGAGAAATTAAAGAAAATCGGAAACGACGCGAAATAATGACGATAATGACATTAAATAGAGCCCCAGATGATTCACACGCTATCAAATAAGCTTCGACGTCATGCAGCTCACGCGATAACTCAGTCTTCTAGTTTCTGATCACCTCAATGTTGTCACGAAAACCGATTTCAGAGATTGTCACGTTGTGCAGACCCATGAACTAGAAGAGCTGGAAAAAAACCACGAGGACAGTTTTTTTTCCTAATGGCAATTCCGTTTCACCGTACTTCTTCCTACGACCTCTCTTGTACCTGATGTTCTACGAGCGAAATTCACAGCTTCTCTGCCTAAGCCACAGCTCCTGCCGTCGTTTAAACACATTTAATTCAATGAAAGTCGATTGCACATGTATTTTTACATTGAAGATGCAATAAAAAGTTTTAAAAAAACAAACAGGCAATTCCGTTCTAGCTATATTCTTATGAACTTTAACAAAACCGTTTCTTAAACCCGCCAATGATAGATTTTCGGAATTTTGTTACCGTGCTGTCCCGAAAAAGAATTTCTAGAAACGACAAGATTCTTATGATCAGAAACTACAACCACTGCGAAAAGCCGGGAAAATATCAAAGAATTCAAAGATCACGACCAAATTGAATTCCTCCTCTCCAACTCTGGAAAATGACAGATGTTGCTGTGATATGAAACCATGTCCAGCTCAGTTTAGAAAAAGATAACTTAAACCTTAATAATTGAGATCCTCTGAAGAAAGAAGTTTTGCTATTTTGTATAGAATACGGCTACGTAAGTTTTTTGTTTTTCCTTCCGACTGAATTTTCATACTCGTTCCATGAGGAATATCCAAAATGTGAGAATTTTTTTCTGGAAAAATTAACGAAGAGTTCAAGCCGTTATCCTGACAATCTCCCTTTTTTTGCTGAGATATTCGGACATCAGAAACTCTTCACAGTTGCCATCCGGATGATTTAAATCGGGTTTTACTTCGAAAAATCCTCCTTTCAGTTTAATAATTTGCCTCAACAACACACAGGTTCACTTCAAAAGTTTTGAAGTCTTGCTTGTTAGCAAAGACTTTCTAGCTGAAATGCTGACCATAATCCTTTCAAAAGTTTCATTTATCTCATCAAACTTTAACTTTTTGATTTCAAAAAAGTATATCAATAGGATTTTCAAATATTTATTCAAAAAAATCAATAATCTTACTTTTTGTTTAGAAAGTTGAGACATTGGCCTCATAATTTTTATAGAGTCAGCATTATCGTCACATTTTTTTTAAATTTTTTTTCTTCCTTATCTTTTTCGATAAAAACATATCAAAAAAATTATCATGTGTTCGCGAATCTCAATTGACATTTAATAGAAAAAAACAGGCCTGTATTCTCAAAATTTCCAAAAAAAAAACTCTTGTATCTGAATTTCTAAAAGGAAAGGCGGGTGAATGATCTCAATGTGGAGCTACTGAATCTATGCTTCAATTCAAACTTCTTTTTTTTCAGATTTTTCCAAGTCTGAGAATATGAAATGAAGCACACGAACCTGTTGTGGCAGATCCTCTTCGACCCCAGAATCGTCTACCCAGCCGTGACAATGGCCCAGTGACTCCGGAGACTGCGTCGTCGATCCGTTGGCAACACGCCAGATCTCCGGCGGCGCCTCATCAATCAACAAATCGTCCTCAATAGTCGGTTCTGAATAGTGCACTTCTCCATATGACACCATAGTGAGTTTTTGAGCTTTGAATGTTATTAAATGGGTCGTTTTTTGAAGTTTATTCCGTTCTGCACGACTCACAAAGAATGAACTCTCTACGCTATTTCCTTTTTGTTTCAGAGAACAATGAAAACAGGTGGTATGAAAAAAACACCAGCGAAAATTCAAACGGTGACTTTTCCTATTTTTTCATTTCGCTAGGGAACTTTCCGACGGCCACCTTTCCGACGGATCCCTTTCCGACTTTCTTCTCTTATGTTTTTCAATTTGCAAAAAGTCTATAAACATTTTTTTTTCCTATTTCTTTGTGATTTAATCATCAACCAACTACCTACTTTATATAGGAAGATTAAAAACGAAGATTTTATCGAGAAAAAAAAGTCGGAAAAAGATTCGTCGGAAAGGTAGCCGTCGGAAAGTTCCCTAGCGGTATGAAAAATTCGGAAAAGTCGCCGTTTGAATTTTCGCTGGTCTTTTTTTCCTACCACCGAGAACAGCGGATGAACAAAAGAAAAAGGATAAATACAAGTCCGACTTTTTCGAGTTGTGGTTAATGAGGTGTGTTTGGCGCGAAATAAGCAGTCGCTTTCAACTTTTCTCACTACTTCCACTGATTTCTTTCATCCCAACCAACAAAATGAAAATCGGATTGGCTAGTGATTTCCTCACCGCTGGGAACGGAAATGAGTCCACTCGAAGAGACTCCGTCCTCCTCTTCGTAACCCCTGTTCAAAGCCATTGTGTCAACGACCAAGGATCGTCAGAAACTAAAAAATATAAAGATTTGCTGATATATTCGGAGAAAGCGAAAAATCAAACACAATTTTCCCGATTAAAAGATAAGATGAAACACATAATCAAAAAACAGACAAGTGATTGGAAACTGAGAGCAGAAGCTTCCAAAATAAAAAAGCAGAGGAAAAAGGCGGCGATCGATCATCAGTGAATGGTCTCCATTGACGATATTGAAGCATTAGTCCAAGACGCGATCGATTTCTTTTCTATTATCGTTCCTGATAGGGCACTGCTTTGTTCGTCGCCATTTTGCACCTTACCGTGCCATCCATTTATCTTGACCGTTCCCGCACTTGGTATGCGCGCTCATTTTTCAAGGAGAAGTCGATATGAGGCAAAAAAGACAAATTTTCAAAAAACTAAACCACGGAAAAAGTTTTTAATAAAAAAAGATCAAAAAGTAGGAAGTCTACTTTTTTTACAATCGAAATGCGAATTTTTTATGACTAACCATTTATTTGATATGCATGACGAGTAGCTCTGAGAAATCTATACTGCTCTATTTTTACAATTATACGCCGTTCAAAAATCCAACAACAGGTAAAGGAGTATGGCTCTTTTCATATTAACATGGAAGGAAAATTTTTAACCTTGTTTTTCTAAAAAAAAAATGCAGGAATAATGACAGTTAGTAGGCTTGAAAAGTGAGAAAATCAAGAGTTTTTAGGCAAGATTCGGTCCATCGGATAGTGGTCCTTATACTCCTCAATGTGCTGATCGAGCTCTGCCCGTTGCCGACGCAGTTTTTCCGGCAGATTTCTGATAAAAAAAACATCACTCAATGTTTCTCCTTTCGTAGAATCTCAAGATGCTTTCCTAATTTCGTTTAGGTCCTCTACGAATGGTCGTGAAAGAGTGCAGTAACATCTTTTGGGCTTTCCAGATTTTGTTAAGAATTTTCTCCGAACCTATTCATTGTTGCGCAAATTAACGAAAACTCACTCGTAAACTCCCTCGAACATGTCGTGGTAGTGAGCAAGCTTGGTCTTCTCCGCTTTTTCGAAAGCCGTCAAGACATTCTTGCGAGACTGAAAGCAATTAGGCGGATTATTCGGTTCAGAGCCTCAAAAGGCAATAAAAAGGCACCTCGCTTTGCCATTCTTTCTCGTCAGATTCGCTCCACCAACCACGCTCAGTGATGTATCGCTTGAAGCGGGAGATCGGATGATCCTTGTCTCCCCATGTCTGCACTTCTTCCAGAGATCTGGAAAATGAAAAGGATCAATAATTTTTTATTGAAAACTGTTCATTAAAACATAGCCACGAGAAAATTTATTAAAAAATAAAAATAAAAAGTAGGAAGTCTACGTCTACTTTTTTGTCTCTTTTCCTAACCACAAAAAAATTTTGATTCTCTCAATCGAACGTTCTCAATGTAAGATAACAAGTTATCAAAATCCAATATATTATTCCTTCTTGTACCACCTCTCCGCGGTGATGGGGATCAACGACCATTTATGGCGGCAACGTCTTAAATGGCGGCGAACGGTACACCGGTCACGCAGTTCGCCTTGCTTTATGCTAATAGAATGGGCGGTACTCCTAGCCCTGGCAAGGCAACGAGGATAACCAGACCACAAAAAATCTCAACAAGACGGCCCCAGTCCTCAGCCCGTCGGTCACGCGCCTCTTCGGTATCGGGGGCTGCCTCTGCCGACAAGGGGCGATCAAATCTCGGAGCAACAGGATACCATAGAAACGGACTACGGACGCGCCACGGTGACTGTCTACGTTTCGGAACCCTCAACTGCCGCTCGCTCGCTTCCGATGCAGCAAAAGAGCAATTGCTCGCGGCAAACCGAAACGCACTCATCGACATAGTGGCGCTCCAGGAAACAAAATCTCAAGACACCAGCTGTAAGACTTGGCCAAACGGTGAACTTCTCATCCTCGGCCACAAAGTCCCTGGGAAGAACGTCGGCGGCGTCGGTTTCCTTGTCAATCGCTCGGTTCAACACCTTGTCGACTCGCACGAAATCGTCAATGCCCGTCTCGGCATCCTCCGACTCAACCTAGGAAGGCGAAGAAGACTCACCATCATCAACGTCTACTCGCCGACCTCACCAGAAGCTGAATCCGACAAGACTAAAAGGGAAGAGAAGAAAAAGGAACTTGACGACTTCTACCGGAAGCTCGAGGAAACGATCCAACGGGAGAAAGCGTACTACATCTTCGTCCTGGGTGACTTCAACGCGAAAATGGGCAAGTACGCCACTCCCTCGATTCGTCACGGGAAGCATGGACTCGGAACTCGGAACGACAACGGCGAACGCCTAGCCGATCTTCTCCCCTCCAGAAGGCTCTACCACGGCAACTCTTTCTTCGAGAAGCCTGATCAGAGACGCTGGACCTGGAAATCGCCCAACGGAGACACCACCAACGAGATCGACCACATTCTGGCCAACCGGAAATGGTCTCTCCTCGACGTTGCCGTACTACCCAGTTTCGACGTTGGATCCGACCATCGACACGTTCGCGCCAAGGTCCGTCTGAACCAGAAGTTCCTGAAGAAAAACTACCACCAGCCATCGAGACCGAGAAGACCAATCTACGACATCACCACGTTGGAGGAGAAGATCTCGGAACACGACTGGCAGCTTCTCGACGACCCGACAGCCGACTACGAATCCCTCTGCAATGGCCTCATCAGATGTGCTGAACCTGCAGCTCAACCAATCTCTTCTCTACCGCCGCGGCTCGACCAACGAGCGAAAGATCTGCTGCGAAGAAGAGGTGAAGTCAAACGGTCACGCACCTAGAACGTCTGACAATCGACAAAGCCTGCAGAATGGCCGTGCAAGAGTCCCTCGCCAACCGACGCAGGAGCGCACTTCTTCAGACAGCTGAAAAACGTCGAAGCCTCAAGAAGAAGAAGTTCGAGCTCGACGACGAGCGAACGGTGATAACAGCACTGAAGGACGAGAACGGCCAACTGAAGTCGTCAAGGAACGAGATGGAGCGCCTGACGGTCGACTTCTACACGAAACTCTTCCGAAGCGACGTTCCCGTCCCCAGAACACCAACGCCGCCACCATAAGATGATCCCCCGATCCTTCCCGAAGAATTCAAGTACGCCATCAGGAAGCTGAAGGTCGGAGCGGCCGCAGGACCCGACAACATCTCATCCGAACTGCTGAAGGCTGGAGGAGACTCGCTGTACCGACTACTTGCCCGGCACTTCTCCAAGTACCTGAGCGAAGCCTCTATTCCTGAACAATGGAAAACGTCCAAGACGATCCTCATTCCGAAGAAGGGCGACCTCACCGACCTGAACAACTTCAGACCGATCTCCCTCTTATCGGTCGTCTACAAGTTGTTCACCAAGGTCATCGTCAACAGACTAGAGAATCAACTCGACAACTTCCAACCGCCTTCGCAGGCTGGCTTCCGACGCAACTACTCCTGCCTCGACCACATCCACGCCTTGACCCAGGTGGTGGAACGGCACCGGGAGCACCACATGCCACTTGCGTTGGCCTTCGTCGACTACTACAAGGCCTTCGACAGCGTAGAGATCAACGCCGTCTTGAATGCTCTTGCCTCCGCCGGAGTCGCCACGAAGTACGTCGAGCTGATCGCCAACAGCAACGAGGGAACGTCCACGACCATCCAGCTGTTCTACAAGAAGCTTTCGATCCCCATCAGGAAAGGTGTTCGCCAGGGAGATACCATCTCCCCCAAGTTGTTCTCCACGGCACTAGAAGACGCGATGCGCCAACTTGGATGGGACGAAGAGCACGACTGGGAAGACAGTACAGACATCAGAGGCATCAACATCGACGGCAAGGTCCTCACAAACCTTCGCTTCGCCGACGACATCGTACTCTTCTCCAGCTCCACCACCGAACTGTCCTCCATGCTAAACAATCTGGACGAAGTCGGCAAGAAGATCGGCCTCAAGATGAACGTCAAGAAGACGCAGTGGATAAAGAACCGCTTCTGCGACCAAGGCAAAGTCACCCTGGAGGGCCGCGACCTTCAAGAGGTCACATCCTACATCTACCTTGGCCGCGAAGTAAACATGGTGAACGACCTGCAAACAGAGATCGGCAGACGCAAACGCGCTGGATGGGCCGCCTTCAACTCCATCAAAGAAGTCACCAGTCAGCTAAAAGACCCGAAACTGCGAGCTCACATCTTCGAAGCGTCGATAATCCCTGCCATCTCTTACGGTACCGAAGTTTGGCCTGACACGAAGAAAAATGCAACCTCCCTACGAACTTTCTACCGCGCACTGGAACGTGCTCTCATCGGCACCGCTCGCTTCGAGCAATGGAAAAAAGAACAGAGGAGCACAGACCTCCGTCAACTGTCCCAAATCCGGGATCTAGAAGAGCACATACAGCGCGGGAAACATCGTTGGGGCGGTCACGTCATCCGCAGACAAGACGACCGCTAGTCCACGAGATTAACACACTGGATTCCGAGAAACATCAAGCGCCCACCGACCAGATGGACGGACTACTTCCGCAAGAACATCAGTCAGCCAGGCCGCCACTGGATGACCGTCGCGCAAGACCGAGCCGCCTGGAGAACGTGTGGTCCACGCTGAGAACATCAGCGAAGATGGACCATCAAAGTATCAAAGTAAGTAGGATTCAATATTTAAGATAACATGGATGGAATGAAAAGAAATTCTGGAATTTTTCTGAAAAAGTAATGTGAAAGAGAAAAAGATAACTAATTTTTGGAGAGTAACGATAATTTTCGATTTTCCGGAAATTACTCTTAACACGGCTTGACGACCACTTTTCGGATAATTTTATATGGATCAATTTTTTTCTACCCATTCTCGCTCCGCGAGAAAGCTTTTCGAAGTTTGAAAAAAAAAAGCCGTTTTGGTGAATCATTTTTGAATATTGAAAATATCTACATAGATAATTTCTTCAATGCGAAGGTCGAGTAAACAGAGGGAGTCTGACTTTTTCTTTTATTTCCAGAAATATTTTTTTGTTTCATTTAAACTCCTGAAATCACACCGATAGGCAGTAGAGTCGTCGCTTGTGGAATGATGTCCGACGCGATACGTCATCGCCTCGATGAGGACAGGCTTGTTCTCCAAAGCCATCTTTCTCGCGGCTCTCGTCGCATTGTAAACGGCAAGAAGATCGTTTCCATCGACACTAAAGTACAATAGTTAAGAAGGAAAACGGGGTAGGCAACCGGATGGTGTTGATTCCATAGGCGGGTCCCTTCCCGGCGATTCCGTCGCCCCCATACTGTTCGCTGGTCGGCGTGCTGATAGCGTAGCCGTTGTTCCGGCAGAAAAAGATGATTGGACATTTCTATTGCAACTTCAGTTCCATTTTTTCTGATTTTTAAAACTACCAGCGTGGCAGCGAAGTTGAAGGCGGCATGAGCATCGCCTTCAGAAGCAGCGCCGTCGCCGAAATAAACGGTGACGATTCTGTTGTTGTTAGGCTGCCTTTTGAAGGCGTATGCCGAACCGACGGCCTGTGGCAGTTGAGTCGTCAGAGGACTCGAAATCGTAACAAAGTTGAGATCTTTCGATCCGTAGTGCACTGGCATTTGACGTCCCTTGTCTGATGGATTGGAATTTTCGAGTTTACGAGGGGCTTTTTGAGAGCATTCAACTCAGTACAACACCGCGTTCCCGTTTCTGATCAAAGCTTAGGTTAAAATTAGAATATTCTGCGAAAAATCTCATTGGTCCGAAACTTTTTCTTTAACGGAACTGTAAAAGAAGGGGCGAACTCACTGATGTCATCGCTGTTTCCGTAGCACTGGTTCATGAACTGTATCATCTGGAATCCCCTCCACAAAAGGACGCCAGTTTCGCGGTACTGTCCATAAACCAGGTCTTGCGGTTCCAATGCGGCGGCAGATCCCACGTGGTTACCCTACACATGTTAGTTCACTTTTTTAAAATTTTTTTAAAAATATTTTATCACCTATCCTATTTTCTATATGCTCTTTTGCTTCAACGTTTATTTCGTTTTTTTTCCGCCTTTTTCTGGTCATTTATTTTTCCAACTCGCTTTTGAACTTGTGGGAGCTGTACACGACTTCCTTTTCGCCGGTGCACTATTAAAAGAAGTCTTTTTCCTCTTCCATTTCATGAATTATTCCTAACCTCTTCGCCGAAGCTTGTCATATAAAATGAGATACGTCCTTGGCGTTGTGAGTCGTACAAAATGCGGTCCATTATATTGAGCTGCGTCATCGTTCGATACATTTTTAGAGCCGTCTCCTTGACAAAATTCATATTTATTGCTGAAATAAACGTTTTGCTTTCCAAGGAACCTTGTCGAATTGCGGATCTTGGGATTTGTCAATGATTTGTCCTTCGGCGTCAGTGACCCGATATATTGGGATCGCCTTGGTTTTGTCTGCGTCGATTATTTCCAAATTTTCAGTGAAGGCAGCCTCAAAAACTTTTTAAAACCTTTGAAACATCACTGTCATACCTTTCTATGACCTAAATATTTCGAACTGAATTCCGTCAACCGAAAATTATCACCAGGAGATGAGAATTTTCTTCTCAGTAAAATCCCAGACAACTGCCGAACATTCAAGAGCACTGCATTACTGAACGGCATTCTGAAAAGTCGGAATCAAGAACAAAAAAAAAATAAATTGATAAAAATATCAATGTACTTATTGGGATGCAACCCAAGGTAATTGTAAACGCGAATAAAAAAAATGGACAATAATTTATTAACAAAGCTAATAACATGGGAACAAGAAAGGGTTACCAAAGAGAAACAGAAACCGTTATCAATTCTATTCAGTTGCTGAACCCGCTTCTGAGTCCCCGTTCACGACTATGACTTTACTGGGGCTCTTGTCCGCGAAATGCAGCACGTCGAAAATAACCTCGATGACTATCAAAACGATGATCATCCACTCTAATGTCGAGGCCTGGGTACAGATAGAGCATAATTGAAATGAGAAAAAAAAACTTACATGACGCAGAGCTATCGTGTTATCGACCATCTTCACTAGTTCTTCACAATAATCCAAACGGCTATTGAGCATTCTTGCAATAAATTTATTTAAAAAAAAGAAAAAAAAGGCTCTAACCCTATACGTCTACCCAGAGAAAAATGTCTTGCAGAAATCGTGTAATATTTCTCGAGTTCCGGCCGCTCCCAATAGAAGTCCTTATTTAACAATGTGCAGTCGAGATTTATCGAATGGCTGAAACGACGCTTTAATGAAAAAAAAAGAACTTAACCAGAGCCACAAACCGTAAAGCAGCGAACTCTCCCGACCTCATTAAAGCTTGTTTACGGCTCCATGGGATAATACCTTGCGTCAGGGACTTAAATACAAATGTTTCTGGTCAATTTTGAAGATATTATGTTCATGAACCTTTGTTGCGTTGGATAATGGCTCAGCCAAATTGTTCAGAAGACTTTCCCATACTCCTACTTTCACTGGAAAAATTCAATTACGCTACTGCTCGAAATAAATAAAAAGATCACTTTAGAGGCTTTTTCCAAAAAAAAGAAAAAAAAGAACTGAACTTCCTCGTCGCTTTCAGCAGCTTTTTGAGGTTTTTTTTTATTGCATCCTAAAATGTTCAAATTAAAAAATAACAAATGTTTTTGACTGTCGAGGAATTAGTACGGAATGACTCTATTTTTGATTTATATCTTACAGGTTATCTCGAAGTTTGTTTTGAGAGAAAAAAATTATGAAAACTTGATCTCAGCGGGTGCTCATTTTCTCTTCAAGCATTTATACCGTGCTTATTGAATATAAAAGAAAGAAATTATACCTGAAGCGGCAAAAGCTTGACTGAGAGCGAAGCGTTCCAATATTGAGTCGTTTGAATTGTGCTGAGCCTCTCCATGACGCGAGGAAAGTTGGAATCGGTCATGTCGTATGAGAGAGGATGATCTGCAAAAAATTTCCAAACTATAGTGGCTAACCATCAGTCGACTTTGATCCATTAACAGAACATTTCTGAAGTTTTGAAGTAGGATAGACAAATTAATAAACTAATAGCAACAAACTCCGTGAACGTTAAAGTAAGCGAGCTTTCCTTCTGCGCGTTCAAAAAGTTCAGCAAGATCTTATGAACCAACTATAAAGATTTTTTGAGAACTAACTGATCAGTTACAACGAAGAACATTCGATCTTGCTCATCCATGACTATCACAGAATCGTACACTCCTTCAGCGTACCGTTCGAGGTCGCGAAGAATCTGTGCCCTCTGTAGAAAATAAATTTTTTTCGAGAACTTCAAGAGCGACAAAGTAACCTGGCTAGATTCAACATTCCAAAATACTACAACGCCGTCGCGAAAAACGAAAAGCTCACTCAGCTCTGCAGGGTTGATGACATACTCCAACTTTTTCGCAAGATGTATCGTTTCCTCAAACTCTGAAAGCTTTTTTTGATATATCATCCTACGCCTTTGCTCACCGTCGTCAATAGAAGATACATTAAACATGTTGCTAATATTCTGATCATGCACAATATCTTGTATATTCAAAGATTCCGACAAAGCCATTGCCACAACTGAAGGTTCCCTCGTCTGGAACAAAACGTAGAAGAATCGACGAACTGAATAAGACTACCACACGAGGGATGGCTGATGAAACAGGTCTCTTCTTGCGCAACTTTCTCGGAATTTGACGTTCGCTCGGTTTTACCTCTTTTTCGTTTGGTAACGAAGAAGAAGATGCCAATCTACGACTATATGCAATTTTAAAAAGATTCTAAAAAGAAGTATACCATTGAAAAAGTTTTGAAGACTGAATGTTTCCAACTGACAGTGTTCTTTTGGAGAGAAGAAAACGAGCAACAGGCAAAATACACTTCAGACTCATCTGAAAACAACAGAGAATGTTGTCTCTTTTGAAAACATTTTCTAGTTCTTATCACATCCTTCATGGCGCGTTAATCGGAGAAACGGAACATGTTTCAAAAGGGAAAAACGTGTTCCTCGGCGACCCAGTTGCTCCAAAAAAGTTCTAATTTTTGTTTTGGACCAATTTGTTTGTGTTTCGAGGCAATTTTCGTTTTGTCCGATGAACACGCCATCAAAGACTTGAACGAAACTTTCGAGAACTATATATATATATATATATATAAATAGTATGAGGGTTTACCCCACCAAAGACAGAAGCTAAGGCTGAATAGAGATTTGTATTTTAAAACCGTTTTTTAAAAACCCAGCTTAAACTTTTCCAGCGGCAACTATCATGTTTCAAGTTTCAGTTCCATTCAAGGAATATAATAAAAATATCGCATCGGCGTGCGTGCGACGATCTTTATTGTAGGATCAAACATCTAGAAAGAAACAACAATTTATTAAACACAAATAGAAGTTTACTTCAGCTTCTTCTTAGGGCGGAGTTCACTGGAGTGACCGCACTTCTTCTTTCTGCAGTTGCTAGCACGAGGTGGCAGCCGAGCATAGCATTTTCTGCAGATCTGCTTGTCGCAGTTGTACTTCTGAGCAAGTTGGCGCAAAGATGGCTCAATAATACCTGCAATTTGATACTAAATTTCATTTTTTAACCTCAAAAATTTAAAGAGGAACAAAAGCAAAAAATCTTAATCTAACAACTACTTATTACAAGTTCAAAGTTTTCCATATTGTCATTCAGTACCCTCTATAAGTGAAAATTAAAATGAGCTAGTTAATAAACGAAACTGACAAAGATCTCTCCAAAAATAGCTAATGCCGTGTAAAAAGTAGCTTCTGTAAATTCAAAATAATTTCCGAGTTATTTTCACTCAAATAATAACTATTTTTAATTTCGCAGAATCACTTGGATGACGGCATGAATCCCTCCACGAAAAAAAAACACTTCATTTTGTTATAACATACCACCGCGAAGGCGCAGAACCAAGTGAAGGGTCGACTCTTTCTGAATGTTGTAGTCGGACAAAGTTCTGCCATCTTCAAGCTGCTTGCCTAAAAAAGACATAGTGGCATTAAGTTTTTCGAAAAAATCTTTTTTTTTTGGTTTTCTAGAAATATCAAAGTCGCTTTTCTAGCTAAAAAAAAGCAGTGTAACAATAACGAAGCACTCACCAGCGAAGATCAAACGCTGTTGATCTGGAGGAATCCCCTCCTTGTCCTGGATTTTAGCCTTCACATTTTCGATGGTGTCCGAGGCCTCGACCTCGAGGGTAATTGTCTTACCCGTGAGAGTCTTTACAAAAAAATTTGCATGACTGAAAAAATTGAATAATAATTTTAGAAGTCACTTGTAGATAGCTGGTAAACGATATTTGTTTTTTTGATTTTCCTAAAAAAAGAAAAAAACTCGCTTCGTTGACCAAACTTCAATCATATAAGTTTTTTTCTAAAAAAAGCCCGATGAAAAAAATTTTTTTTAAATTATATATACATGAGAAACTTTTTTTCATTCTTCTTTCGAAAAAGACTAACTGTTTTCTACTTTCACATGCAGAAGATCTCTAAAAGAGCCTAGAACAATTTATTTTTCACTTAATGAAAATAATCATAAAACTAATCATCAATCCAAAATCAAAAACAGAATATTTCAATAAATAAAAACTGAAAAACAAGAACGATTCATGGGCGTTTCAATACTAATCGAAAAAAATAAGAGTGAAACTCGATGATATGTATATAAATAAAACCTCGTCAGAGTTCAAATAAATAGTTGTAAAATCCAGTAATGATTTTTTTATTAACAAACTTGAGCGAAAAAAATAGTAGTTTGTTTCGATATACATTTCTACCAAAAAAATTAAACTTCAAAAAAATTACATTATTCAGGGTTTGAAAAAAATATTTTTAAAAAGTTAATTCTGGGATAAATTTGGTCAGAGCGTTATAAAATAACAAAAAAACGGCGTTATATTGAAATAAAAAAATACATTTATAAATAAAAAGAAATGTAAATTGACGAAAATTTAGGACAACGGCGATAGCCAGAGAACTCTCGCCACGAAAAGGGGTACTTTTCTGACTTCTATGCGCCTTGCATTTGCAAAACTCGACCGCGAGCTTTGTATTTTTATTCCATCTTCGGTTTTCGGAAGTTTGTTCTTTGCCGTGTTAAAAGTAATTTCGCTGAAAATTATCCCTGACTCCTGCATGTTTAAGACAATGCCACGGCGGCCGGTCAATATTGCGGCGTCAGTTTCGGAGCCAGGAAACTTTTTTTTTTGAATATTTTCTTTTTTTGCAACCAGTTACCTATTCCACTGGGTTACAAGCAACTTAAGTTAAGTTACGCCACAAAAAGTACACAAGATTTCAATTTATTACCGAAAAACCTGTCTGGACTGCCGTAATACGACCGGCCGCCTCAAACAGGCGTGAACTATTGAACTATTAAAAATTTGGTTACCGGTAACCGTTTTTTTCTCTTATGGTTGTTCCAAATTTTGCGGAAATGCCTTGAGCACGAAATTAATTTTCAGTCTTATTCATTTTCTGTGAGATCTGTCGATACAGAACGTTTAAGTAATTAACATTTTTTCAATATTAAAATGAGTATTTTCTTTTTGCGAAATTCGAAATTATCTGATTCTCCAAATTTTTTATCCTTTTCAGCCTATAACGGAAAATTTAAATTTTGCAGAATCATTTTGAACACGGCACGAACTTCATATCGTTTCATTTTATACTGTTAGCAATTTTTTTGTTTAATTTTTTTATGGTTGTAATTTTGTAGAATGCCGAACAATGACTATCGCGTCAAAGGAGGCGGCATAAAAATTAAAAAGGAAATAAAGGAAATTTGTAAGTTAAATTCAAATTCATTTACTGAAAGTCAATAAAAAAACAATTTCAGTTTCAAATTACAGGTTCAAATCTGATAAATCCAGAAAGAAAAAAGATCGATCTAATGCTCCAAAAGTCGATCCCGACGCTGTCAAAAATGGTATGTTTGCATTTAATATTACATATCATTTCCTTACTGACTCCCCTGTTTTGAACTTTGACCGATTTTCTAAAAGACATCTTTATTAATAGGTGGCTGGCGGTGTATGGCCAGCGAAATTGACTTGAAAGGAGGAATGAGCGTGGCTATTGAATGCGGAAGTGGCAATCGGTGTTACTTGGCAGCTTTGGATAACGGGAAATTCACGGTTGGAGGTCCGCATCCTGATGGGGAAGGTCCCAACCCTGAAGAAATCTTCGCTTTAGTGAAAACTTCAGACGACACGAAAGTCAGGTTAAAGTTGCTTATTTTATACTATTAGACTGTTATTTTTTGCAGTTTCAAAACAGGATACGGTAAATATATTGGGGTTGACACTGATTTCCAGTTGATAGCCACTGCTGAGGCGATCGGTGTTCGAGAACAGTTCCAATTCGTTTTCCAGGATGTGAGTTCCGGAAAAAAAAAGTTTGACTGCAGTACTAAGCATTTACTTCAGGGTAAAACCGCTTTACAAGCCATCGCCAGTCCGCTATTTATGAGCTTGGTGCCTAGCAAGGATGGTTACATATATGTGGCCAGTCGAAAAGCCACCGAAGATGAGATGATAAACGTTTGTAAGAAGAATTTCAACATAACAGAGAATTTTTAGGCGCGCACTGATATGGTCGAAGAGGGACCAGTCGACTGGAGATCCGCCGAAGACAAGAAGAGCGCAAAGGAATGCGAACTCGCTTATGTGTATGTTGCTTTTTTTTTTGAATAAGTTTTCCAAGCCGAGACTCCGGCTTGAGTCTTTGTTGCTGCGTCAAGAGCGATTTTTTTTTACCGAGAGTACTGTATGTAAAAGTCCTCATTAGGCGTGTGCAGTTTGGGTGTTGCACGTTTCACGTTTCCATCTCAGAAGAAAAAAGGCAGACCAGCGCGCAGAGAGTGTGTAAAGCGAGGAGAGTACGAGTCTCCGCCGTTTCTCTTCTGAGATCTCCGTGGTATGAAATAAAAGCCAGCGTTTTTTGAACGACGACTTTTCCAATTTTTTCTTATCGCTAGGGAACTTTCCGTCGGCGACGTTTCCGACTAATTCCTTTCCGACTTTTTCCCTTATATTTTTTGGTTAATAAAAGATTTACTAGGCGCAGACTTGTTCTGCGCCATTTGGGTTTAGGGTGAATTTAAAAAAAAAATGATCGTTATGGTAGAATTTTCTCTAAATCAAATATGTTGTAGAACACGATTTTTAGGATTTTTTGAAAAAAAACTGAATATCATCACTCGAGCCGTTTTCGAGATACGGTAGCTCAAAGGATTACGGTAGAATTCTTCGAAAATCTATATCTCGACAAAAATTAACATTGTTTTACTTTTTCTTCATGTTTTAAGCATGTATCAACTATCTATTTTATAAAAGAAGTTTCAAAACGAAGAGATTATCGAGAAAAAGAAGTCGGCAAAGGGATCGTCTGAAACTTCGCAGTCGGAAAGCTTCCTAGCGGTATGAAAAAAATCGGAAAAAGTCGCCGTTCGAAAAATTCGCTGGTTTTATTTCATACCTTCTCCATCTATACTTTTTTTCCATTTATATTTTAAAATTTTAAAATTTTTTGTTTTATAGTACGTCAGAATAAATAGTTGATGATATTCGAGTATTTTCTATAGTTTCAATCTATTAAGAAAAAAAAAGGAGAACAAAACTGGCGAAAACGCGAGGATAAGACCTCTTATAATATGCAAAGCCACAAAAAAATAATGGGTAGAAAAAAAGTTGATGTTAATTGTGAGAAAAAGAAAAAAACAAAAATAGTTTATGGGTTGAAAATGGAGAGGAACTAGCCTGCGAGGAATACAATACGAGTCTACTTTTTTTAGTTTTTTTTTACAGTCATTTTGTTATTCATATTAATGTGGCTATTGCATCCGATCATAATTTAATTTTTGTTTTTTCTCTTTTCTGCGAAGAGTCAGTTCTAGAGGCTTCTTCTTTGTTTTTCTGAAAAATCACCCTTAATTTTCAGAAAAATGTATCAGCACTCAAAGGTCGACTTGAAAGGAAGGCACATCTCGATTGACGTAAACGACAAGAAGTCCGTCAGAAAAGCTCAGCAGCAGGGAAATGCACATGAACTTTTATTGGATCGTCGAGAAAAGACAAAATCCGACCGATATTGTTGATCTTTCCTTTAAATGACTTTTCTGATTATAAAACATTTGTAAATAAAGATTTCAATATTAGACTGATTGGAATTATTTCAACTTGATCTATACAAATTGAAGCTCATTTCGAACTGAAAACCCAAGTTTGGAAAGCAGTCGTCCTTGTAGCTGAGTGCTAGAGCCGCTCCGAAAGGCGGAGGAGGAGCGGAATTTTGCCGCTTTTATTTCTGGATCCAGTTTGCGGCCAACAGACTATAAATCCGAAAGTTGCGCAACTGCCGCTAACCCAGATCGCTTGATGCTGTGCAAATTTTCCGTTCTGCTATTACTCCTCTGGTCTGAGGCTTCTCTAGCCGTAAGATTCAGTCTTTGAGCTCAATTCAGTGATTTTCCAGTGTTTGACTAGCGGAGTGTGCGGTTCTTCCTACTGTGCAGCACCGGCGGCGGTGGCCTGCCAGCCGGCTTCTTGTCAGCCAGGATACTCCTGTGGACAGTACGGATGCGCTCGCAACCGTGCGAGAAGTGCATTAACGAAGAAAATTGTTTTTACTTTTCAAAAGAAGTGACTAATGGATTTCTGCAGGACGGCATCTTCATCGACGAGCAGACGGCGTCGAACGAGAAGGGAGCTGGTCAGGAACAAAAACACAACATTTTTGGTTTGCGAAGAGGTGGAAAACCGTCCCTGCCATCCAGCGCCGAAGTGTACGACAACAAAACGATGGGCCAGCTTACGGTAACCGCTAGTAATTATAAAACCCTTGCGCCATATCCAGTCACCACCAATTCGCACTCTTTAGAACCCTAACTACATTTTCCGGCAATGCTGCGAACAACGAGGATTGCCTGACGCTTGTCTCAGCAAGTGTCACTTCAACACCTACACTAGGGATTCGGTAATTGAGCTGTGGCCTGTGAGAGAGAGAGAGTGAAAACAATTTCAGCTGCAAGCCATGTACTTCAAGTCTGATGCATGTCCACTGGAAGCAGCGGCCGACATGCATTTCTGTGCGGCGCAAGGTCGAGATCACTCCCAGGTATAACTTGTTTTCCCGCTGCCATCCACCCGAATGTTCAGTGTTGCGTGCGTAACGGCGTCACTACTACCTTGGCAGGGGCCAAATGCTTAACGTTCTGCGATCAGCGACCTGACAGGTTTTCGGCATTCAAATTCAATTATTTTCAACAACGTTTACTATTGGCTCCAGGGAGGTCTCGAAAAACAGTCAGAGAAGCTTACCCACATCAAGTTAGAAAAAATAGGGGATTCTTGCCTTGTGAGAATTTGTGTCTAAAAGGAAGTATATACCGGCCACGAACTAATGCCGTGTTCAAAGCGATTCTTCGAAACTCAAAATAGCCGTCAGAGAAAAGAAAAGACAACTGAACTTTAGAGAGTCAGGGATATATTTGCATTCTGCGGAAATTACTTCGAACACGGCTTGAACAAATTCAACCTGTCTGCGTCTTTCTTCCTTCACGTTTTCCAAGAATTTAAGAAAATTTCATAAAATAAAAAAATCATATTTGGTAAACAATGTTCGTAATGATGCAGTTCAAAAAAGAGCCAAATCTGTGGAGTATACTGCAAGTTTGGACTTGCGTCAGGAAAAACCCCGGTTCACTGTTAAAAAAACCGAAAAATTTCTTCATTCTTATAAAGAGACGCAATAGAAACAAAAAGGGCGCAACTAATACCCAGAGAAACAATCAAAACAGCGATAAGAGAATAAGAAAAACAGTTGGCGGAGCGAAAGAAGACCAAAAAACTATAAACACAATAAAAGTACTACTTTCAGAGTTACCAAACTCGACTACTCTTATGTGCCGTGCTACGACAAGTTCGAGAGCATGAAGCGCTGTTTCTACACCGAAATCAAGTATCGAGCAGAACAACAGTTCGGCGCATTCAAAACTTAACTTCACACTCGAAGAGCTGTACATTTTCGCATTATTATCAATCCTATTTATAAATAATGATATGAAAAAAATTACACATTTGTTTAATACATTTTGAACAGAGTGAATAAATTTTGTTATCTAGCGATCTATTACGTTATCATGAGAATGTTAATTAAAAAACCACTCGGAAGAAAAAAAACTCGTAAAAGAACGAAAATTACCACACTAAAGACATGAACCGGCGATAAAAGGAAATAATGTGATGATAAATAAGGAATGAAGAGTTATAAATAAGGAAAACTCACATATTAACTGGTCGCTGTCGTCTTAGACGGGGAGCACCAGGTTCTCGCGTGACAGTCGAGTTCATGAGCATGTAAGCGAAAAAAATGGAGATGAGGAAAATAGCGGCAATCGAAGTGCGATCCATGAACTGCGGAAAGAAGTACGCAAACAACCAAACTGCAAGAAGATGACCTGTAATCATAACGTTAACAATTGGAATTGTTTCTCAATAATGCTCTAATGTCCCAACTGCACGATTTGATTTTTTGAATTTTGCACTTACATCAAAATACGCCTTTTTCAGCAGAAGAAGTCTACGATCCACGTGTTTATCTCAGAGACTTTTTTTGAAAAAAGAATTCGCTGAAATTTTGCGAAAAAAGAATAAATGTTTGAAGTAAACGCTGCCATCTGCTGATTATTTCCCCTTTCACCTGAATTCTGGAAAAAAAAAATAGGCGCATGAGGTTTCTTAAGGAAGTACCATTCATAATTTATTGAGAACCCTCTTTAGCTTGAACTTGTTGCGAGATTAATAAATAATGTCTTTATCACAGCAGTTCAGACCTACAGGGACCCGTCCGGTTTGCACTGCGCCGTCTCCGCTGGCCATACTAGACCATTTTCGATAATTTTTTCTGATTATTAAAATAAACAAAGCTATTTCCGACATTGATAGTTAAAAAGTACAGAAAAAAAATCTTTTTTCTTACTAAATACACATTCCCCAAATTAGGCCGTTTTTTAAGGCTTGGTAGCGTTTGGAAAAACTTAATTGTTAAAAAAACTCAGATTGTATCATTGAATGTTCTACTTACGTTTTTCTTCAAATCTGTTCATTTTTCGTTCAAAAAACTCGTTATTAACGAAGATATCGCTCAAAAACCGCGATTGGTGTATACACAATTTAAAAATACAGTGTGCCAAACCGGACGGGCTGAACAGATGTGTTATGTTTAAAACTTATCGTTTGGTAGTCCAAGAATAATGAAATCATGCGCGCTCTTTTTTGGCTCCTTCACAGTTTATTCGTCTCTTCAGAAATCCACAACGTTTTGTAGCAATAATAACAAATTTACTTTTTTTTTTGTCCCGTGGTATAAAACTGGTTCTACGAGGAATCTACTGACCTGCAAATATCCACAGAAAGTAATCGCCAATGTTTAGGTAAGCGCGCAAAGGCCTGGCAGCTGCTTCTGCGGCTTCTTCCAGCGTCACTGGCCTATCGTCTGGCGGGCCGAAAGCTCTAATTATGGTGTTATGAGTCCTGAAAACGTACGTCGAAACAAATAAATACAGGGTATCTGACCATCGATAGGCTCTCCAGAAGACGTTGGGTCGTCCGGCAGCGGTGTTGTTTAGAAGCATGGTGCTGCCTCGTACTAAAGACCCGTTCACGTAGGATGGGAACAAGGAATTGAGCAGAGCAATCCAGAAAGTTGCCAGCTGCGGATTCCGAACAAAGGATTTCCTCCTGACCGAGGTCCGCTGCACCAGGACCACTTTCCGGAGCCAGCGCTGCTCCTTCTGTCGGCCGTCGTCGTCTCACTTCATGCGGCTGCTCAGGTGGAGGAGCCTGTCATCATACTTTGTCATGGCGACGAAGGAATTAATAAAAATTGAAACTCAGAGCGCCAAAAAAATTCACGTTGTTTTTTGGTGTTGTGTACATTAAATTTGGATTACAAATCGTCAGAAAACTCACACTTCGGGCGTAAGGAGTGTTGCTAACATGACAATGGAGGACACAGCCGTCGTTCAAACCGTACGATTGCAGAGAACGCGTGTCGTCCCGAAGAAGTTGTCCTTTAATGGTTTAGATATATTATTCAAGTAACTCGGAATACCTTGGAAGATCAACCGAACAACTTTCCCTTGTGCGACATCTTCGGGGAAGTTTTTCCTTTAAAATTAGAATGAGAGAATCTAACAACAGCTTCAAAACTTCTTGAAATCGGCCACTGTTTCTGAGAAACTTGCGTGAGTCTCCCTCTGGGTATCATCCAAAAACTTGAGCCGGATTCCGAACTGCTCCCCCACATTGGGACCTTCTTCCTTTTCAAGCTTTGTTCCAGAACTTTCGGATGTTTCCAAAGGTGCCTCGTCATTTTCAGTGTTAGTGGAGCTTCCGCTGGTATTCGCCTCTCCTTCGTGTGACGTGGAAGGTCCTGCCGTGTCTATGGAGACTTCCGAAGATTCAAGTTCTGAATTATTCGAATAAGTGCGCTGAGGACTAATGAAACACCGGTATTTGCTGAATCTTCGAAAGAAACTGATGGAGTGGTCAAAATACTGGCCTCAGTTGTTGTTCCAGAAACACTTTCCGAATGGACACTTTCGCGGTCCGAAAAAACGACATCATTCTAAAATGAACCAAAAAGCTACTATTCGAGCATGACGATGAAAAAAAAAACATACTTGTGCTTCTGATGGCAAGATATTGACGTTGATAGAAGCAATAGTGGACGAATCCTGAGATTCGACTCCTGTCTCTGGGAGAACGGCTTCCTCCGGCGGAGAGACCGAAGCAGCACCGAAGTCGGTTCGCGTGCTGAGAGTAGGGTTGATCCTGAAATCTGAGGTGATGCTCAATCTCGAGAGAAAGCTAAAACCCGCGAGCGAGGACAGCGATGGCAGCGGCGGCCGCGTATTGACTGTCTCGAGCGGGATCTGGAACTCGTGAGGAGTTGGGCGGAATTCCAATTTGCCACAACGTCATCGAGTCTGCTTGTGGAACGCTGAACAGGCATTTACTTTTTCGAAAGAAAGGGAAGAATCGGGATTTTTTAATTTTAAAACATAGGGAAAAAAAATTTTATGTTATGGTATTTATTCATCCGATATTATGGTGAAGCAGTTTATTGGCTGGTACTACCAACGGGCCCACATTTTTTACCAACACTAGCTGTCACGCCGGGACATATTGGACAACAATTGTGGACCGTATCCCGCGCCGACGACTATAGTCTGCTCAGGTTTCGACAGTCAAGTCGTCGCTCAAGCTCCGTCCCCTAATGGTGCGATAAACCAATCAGAGAGCGAGCCATCCACAGAGTGTTTTTGAATGACGTCATTGCATTTGACATTAAAAATCTGAACAGACTATAACTCTTCGATTATATCATGATTCAGCAGAGATTTTCTTCATCTTACTCTGAAGACTGAATAAATTGAAATTGAAATATCATAGCGGCGCAAAATTATCATGAGAAATAATTCAATATTTTTTTAAAAAAATATTAAATAGCATTGTATACATACGTGGGCTAGATCCCACCCCACCCTTTTGCGAGCAAAGAAAATATTTAAAATGTACTGAATAAGGCCGCAGTTTATAGGCGTTAGGCCGCAATTAACCTACTCCGGGGTGGGATCCAGCCGTCGTATGATTGTAATTAGTTACATTAGAACTACTTTTTAAAATGAGCCCATGTTCTTTAACACCCCAGGAAAAGTTGTTTAAACAGCGTATATACTTTTTATTTGTTTTAAACTTTTAATATAATTTTTCATTTTACAAAGTCATTATTGATATTCCGTGAATGTCATATGTGCCAAAATAAAAATTATAAAATCTTTGCTTTATTGTAAAAATAATTGTAACACTTGCTCTAAACCTGGAATAAGGCGCGTCTATAACGGTGGACGGCGACTGAATGACGACATTCGTGTCGGAAATAGCCAGAAGTTCTTCGTTGGGAGGCCTTGGGGACCGTTCTCTCAACTGAGCGACCAAGTTCCTCCAACTTTCTCTGGGACTGAACTCTTGACCAAGATGGAGCACCTCAAATTTCATGAAATCTGCACCAGGTATAAAAAAAACTAACCTGAACTATACGTCTTCTCGTCCATGTGTGCATTTCAACAAGAAAAAGATTGTAATACAGAGGCTGTCGCATTGTAATTTTGTATGATACAAAGGCACATAAAATCGTTACGATGAACAAGACGAGAGTTACAATCTGAAATCAGGCTAAGCTTATTGAGTTCAGTAACAAATCATTTAAAATTAATTTATAGATGAAAAAAGAAACTTATAACTTTCCTCCAGTTTTTTTAAAAAGTGTTTTCTAATTAGATAATGATCATATAGTTCATTTAGCGCCAAAAAAATTCACCTCTACGCTGTAGACTTTCCAAATCAGGCCAAATAAAATATTGCGAGAACCACATCGTTAAATGAAAAAATATTCTGAAATCAAAGAGATTGCATCAACATTTTAACCAAAGTTTTTTTTTTCTATGAATATTCAAAAATCTACGCAAATGTGAAAAAGTGACCGAATGAAAAACTTTTTTGCTAGTCACAACCTTAATCAATAGAGAATAGCAAAAAAAACGGAAACCATTCCAGTAAAACACGAGTACTCCCCCTTCGAGTCTCCATGGAGCGCAATAGCTATCGAATAAACATCTTTTATGGGCCTTCAGATGGAAACAAGCTTCCAAAAAAATTTATTAAAGGAGAAGGGAATGAAAAAAAGTTAACAACTGGAACAATAAATATTCGAGACCAACCATTGAGATATACAGTGAAAAAAAAATTACAAAAGTTTTTGTGTCGAAAAAAAAAAGAAAATTGTTTTTTCAGGAAAGATGACGTATTTTGAATTGAAAACAAATTTAAAACGACGTGGTTAGAAATTGATCCAAATTTTTCGAAAAGTCGGAGAAGGAATTTATTAGAAACGTTCTCTGTCCCCGGAGCGAACAGGGCTTCGACGTCTCTCGAAGTCTCCGCGTGGTCCACCAAATTCACGATCTCTTCCGTATCCTCCAAATCTTCGCTGACCTCCAGGCATCGTTATCGCAACATCAACAAAATCACCGACTTCGAACTTGCATTGTTGAAGCTAAATTCGACATTTATCCCGTTTCTAGTTTTAAAAAAAGCCAAACTGTTTTAGAGTCGTCAATGCCCCTCTGTCCGTTCATCGTGTTTCCTATTTCTCTCGTTGAAAAGCGTGATGACATTTTGTCAGGAGAGACTGGAAATATTTTTTAAACTGCTAAATTATAATTGAATTTTACCGATCGCAAAATCAAATGTAGTACCGCGACGACGAGCATCAGGATTAACTTCTTTTATGAGGCTGGTTAATTCACGAAGAGTACAGTCCAGCCTGTTCGGAAATTTTGATACAAAACTAAGTTTTGCAGTTCAAAAAAACCATGTATACATTTGAAGTTCGTTCGCTGGAACCGATCCGCCATTTCGATTAGAATATTCCATCATCGCGTTATGCCGACCGTTAGCACAGAAAACTCGAAGAAGAAGTGGGCATGTCTTCTCACGATCCACCGGCTTTTCATGACTAACTGCTACTTGAGAAATGACTATGCCAGAACTCATGCTGAAGTTTTCATAATCATCAAGTTCATGTTAACGTAGTGTCAAAGACGACAGTTGCACGAACCGAAAAACATCTTTTCAAAAGAATATTTATTCGGCAGATACGAAAATACTAAGAAGACAATAAATGTTAACTGTTCGTGTTAAATACATTTTCGAAAAGGTGTAGCAAAGTTGAATGAAGGTCGGAAGTTCCGAGAAAGAAAAGAATATTACGAAACAATCTGCTTCAATGTAATAAAAGTTTTTTTGAAAAATTTTATTAAAAATGAGATCAAACTGAAGCACTCAATCAAAAAATTATGTCGCGTTGAAACAACAAGTTTTCATGAAAGCAAAAAAAACTAGTTTGGGATAAAAACTCTGGTACTTAACACCATTACAGATTACTCTCAACTCGATATTCTGTATGCTAAAAAATTACCTACGATAAGCAAGAAATATTGAAAATCAAAATAGAAAAATGAAAAAATTATTCACTGAAGAGACGCCATTTGGATTTTCCGACTTCAGGAGCAAAATATTTGTGTTTTCCTACCACGCTCCTTTAAAAATTTTCTCCGTGGAGCAAAGGTTTACTAGTCACTATTTTTTCTTTGAGTAGTGTTCATCGGAGAAAACGGAACATGCTAGCATGCATATGCTTCAAAACTAATGCCGTGTTCAAAGTAATTTCCGCGAAATGCAAAATGATCTCTGACTCTCCAAAATTTAGTGATCTTTTCCTTTCTCTAACGGGTATTTTGCATTTCGCGGAAATAACTTTGAACACGGCATAAAATTCGTGTTCATTGGCTCTCTAAAAAGTACTTATTTTTGTTTTGAAGCAATGTTTGCGTTTCGAAGCAATCTTCGTTTTGTCCAATGAACACGCCATTACCTTCATTTAATGTCGCTGTCGCTCACAAATGTTTAAGCTTAAGTCTTATAAGACAGTGCTACGGGGGTCGGTCAATATTGCAATATTAATATCAATATATTGCGCCGACAGTTTCGGAGCCAGGAGATTTTTCAACTTTTTTTTCTTCTTTTGCATTTTTTTCCCAGCTGCAGTTATATTACTAAATTTTACAAATCACTGCGCGATATCAGGCTTTTTAAGTAATTTCTCGCATCCAGCCCTAGAGAGTGGTAAACAGTTCAACTTCTCAGAAATGGGGCGCATAAAGATCGGCACAACTCTTTTCCCTGACCTACACTATTTCGTCGTCTTATCGGAGCTAGATAACGACAAAATAGTGTGTGTCAGATAAAGAGTTGCTGCGATCTTCATGCGCCCATGTCAGAGTCGTATTGATACAAAGCTCAAATTAGTATTATTGTTGTAGAAGTCAAAAGGATCTTTTCTTGATACTTAACTTTTTAAAAGCCTTTTGAACACGGCCAAGAATACTTTGATAAGCATTACGCAAATTTGAAAATTTTGCCATTTATCTGTAAATTTTTTAATACTTTTCCGCACACGGTTTCAAGTCCATTCTGTGATTGATAATTGTATTGCGAAATTTTTTCTTCGAAAACTCATCACGCGTTTCTCTGCAGAATACGACAATGACTGGGTTACTTTTTTACTCTCTCACTATTGCATTTTCAGAGAATGAATCTTACTCCATACGCCGAAGAAATATTGAACAAGTTCAACAAATTTCGAGAAAATAGAAAAAGAGAGCTTGCAGTACTATCTCCCGCGGAAAGATTGAAGAGGAAGGTAATTGAAGATTTGAATTAACTTTCCAAGATTTTTTTCAAGGTGCCAGAAATTTACTGGGAGAAAAATGTCTACGAGGTGGGACCTCCGATAAACCCTGCAGATAAATACACAGTAGGAGATATAATGGTCTCTCATTTTTTTTTCTCTGTTATAAGCAGGACGAAAGAAATCGTTGCTGTCTTCGGTACAAAGGAAGTTTTCCGCCGAGATGCGAGCGCCAGTCAGCCTTTCATCGTCTCTTCACAGCAGAATTTAAAGATAAAATTTACGCTGGTGGCTTGTACAATCTCGAAAAAGATCCTTTGGTTGGGAAAATTCTATAACACAACTGAAAAGAAGATTCAGGCTACTCATAGTTTCATGTGCTTGTATCATTGCCGTCTTATACAACTGACAAAAAAGTTTCCATCTGAGAAAGTTATGGTCGATTTTGCAACTCAACCTGAACTCAATTCGGAGGCTTTGCTATGGGGGTCGAAGCCTTTTGTTGAGGTTGTTGCTGTCAATTTACTTTCTTTTGCTAAATATTTATTTCAGCCCGAAGAGAACACAGAGGAGGAGAGTGAAAGTGATAGCAGCAATAGCGACAGCGACGAAGAAATGAAAGAAGAAAAATATTGCGCTCCTTTGAACATGAGTGATTTTGATACCGAAGACTCGGACGAGAGTGATACTGCGAGCGCTTTGAGCGATTGTAGCAGTCTCGAACCGATGTATGAAGAGGAACTCGGAGACGAAAATCTAAAAGCTGAGCCCGGCGGCACTGTTGCTCCTTCTCAAGACGGTTTCTTCGGGATATTCTCCCGAGTTCGTGAAAAATACGATCGAGAAACCGTCAATAGTCAAAGTTGTTCAACAAAGAGTCCTTTTTTACGACGAAAAACGGGATGCTCGTATTGAAGTCTCTGAAAGCGACTTCGCGCGAATCCTTCAAGCAAATGACGACCTGGAGAGGCAGGAACGCGAAGAGTTGGCCGTGGTACGAGCGTACATGTACAATGAAGATGCAGACGATGAGGCGGAAGAAGACGTTGAAGATGAGGAGGAGGAGCCCCCGGAGAAAGAAGTCGTTGACGACGACGACGACTGTGAGGAAGACGAAGACGTGCGTGCCGCTTTAGACGTTTTAGTCGAGGATCTCGTGGAGAACTCGCCGCTCTTACAGGCAGAGGATGACACAGGTTGATCTTTCAGGTGTTGCATTCTACATTTACGCTTTAGAACTCTGGCGGCAAGAAGCACTGGACACTTCAAATGCTGATGCAGCTAGAGCAAGAGAAGAGAATGTGCGAGAACTGGCCAGAAGACGGCGTCGCAAGGCTTTTCTCCGTTTCGGTCGTCCGGAAGACGTTGTCAAGACCTCGCCGGTCAGTTTTTTTTTTCTTACTTTTGACTTATTCAGAAATGATCAGGTTCCCATTTCGCACATGTCGGCCGCCAGTCTTCGACGTTATCGACAGGCGTTCAATATTCCTACCAAGTCGAGTGCTACAAAGTCTTCCGTCAGTTTTCATTTATCACCCACAAAAGTTGAATCTGTAAGGCCATTTATCGGATTTCCTCAGGTGAAAAAAAAACGTAGAGGCACTGAAGAGTTTTTGTGCAAGTTAGAATAAATATTACTGTTTTCGTATCGCCGATGCCATTCGCCAAAAGTCATACAACAAAATGAAATGACGTTTCTCTGCACAAACGTGTTCCGAGAATGAGGAAATCCAATAAATAGCTGTGACAGGCGAACTTCTCAGAAATAAAAAATAAAATTGAGAATTTATTAGCTGAGGTTTTCAATATATATGTTGTGTATGTTTTTCACGTTCAGTTTATAGAGAAAAGTTTGACTTTGCCATTATTTTTTCATCTTTTTGTTATGGAAACACCTTCGCAATTATGATAAAAAAACAATAATTCTGTTAGGTATAAAAAGAAGAATATATTGGAGCAATCTGTAGACGGAAAAAAAAAATGTATTTTTCCAAAAAAAGCGTCCAAACATATTTTTTTCAAAATTGCGGTTCAGATGCAAGAAGGTCTTCGGAAGCATTTCGAGTTGCTGCCCGTTGATGCGTTCAACGATTTCCCAGCGTTTGTTAGTGTCGCGCGCCGAGGAGAAAACAATGTCGAGTAACCATCGAAGGTTTCTTTTCTCAATTGTAACAAGTGTAAATAAAGTGAGGAAGATTTATATTCTAGATGGACCAGTTCCAGTTTGTCACGCCTAGCATTCTTCGCAACAAAGGCGATTTTTCGAAGGATGGGTAGTTCCTAGAAAAAGAGTATTATGTTATTTCTAGTGAAACGCTACCTGTAGGCTACGTGAGTTGCCATACTAGAGAGTCGCAGGGGAGCAGTCGGTTTTGGAAAGTAGTTGACACTGAAATTTTTCTTCGGACTTTTAGGAACTTCTTTGATAGATCCACACCTGATGTCTGTGCAAGATTTAGTGGCGAAGTCGTAGACAAGAGCTCCTCCTTCTTCGTCGCATTCAAACGCAGTGAGAAACTCTGCCCGATGCAGAGCTTCTGTGTGAATCTTCGGTGGCTGTTAAGATTTTTCAATTCCATAGTTTTGATGTTACTCTTACCGTGTACTTGGCTTTGACGTAGCGGAATTCGTTCAAGTCGAAGAAATACATGTAGAAACGGTTGTCAGGGGCTGTTCGAGGCATCATAGTCGGCCTGAGTTCAATTTTTAAAGAGGACGAGACTCGTTTTAGAAACCCATATACTTTCTCTAGGCACCAGACCAAAACGTTTAGCGAGAAGCCGTTGTCCAACCTTCTCACTTTCACCGTTGCGTTCAGAAGAAAAATTAGTACCAGTCGGAAAATATTACGTGATAATTAAATGTTTTCCTTCAAAAAGTACAGGTTAGCGTAGACCAGTCTTAGTCGAATGTTCCAGTAAAAAGTGTTAAGTTGATCGTAGTCGGGCGCCACAAAACTCATCCAAACGTTAGATCGACGGCTAGTGAGTTGTTTGAGGTGTCTGATGGTGAGGTGACCGGAGAAGCTGGAGCAAAACGCCTTGAAAAACTCATTCTAAAGAGTCTTACGCGACTGAGGATTTGTTGACCTCGCACAAGGAAAAGACGTTCGTCAAAAGGTCTATTTTGCCAATCTCATCCATTATCATCACGTCTTCTCTTGAAAAAAAAAACATTCGGTCAAAAAGTTTGATGTTTTGAACCTCCGAAGCATTATAAATAGAAAATTTCCGACGACGAAAACTCCACCGATGAATACTTCTCTTTCTTCTTTTGCGCCTCGCAGGAAAGCGCAGAAGTTATTTATCTGGAAGGTTTGAAGTGTCTTCGACACATCATTCGTTCGATATAAAATGTTAATTAGGCTAGGAAAGTTTGATTTAGCTTTTTTGTCTATAGGAACCATTATTTTTTTAAAGTCCATCTTATTCCATCTTTCATATATTCATTGTTTTCCTTTTCAATCAGTTAAAAGTTCATTCATTATCTCTGGTTCGGACAAACCTGGACTCAACGCCTTGAAAGATAACGTTTTGAAGAGAAAAATACATGTAGTGATATTGTATGACTTTCCTGAAATACCTGAGTGGAGTAGTCGACGTCACTGATCACGTTCAACATATGTGGATCAGCTGCGAAGCTTCTCGCGACGAGTTCTCCGGTTGTTGACCGAGAACCAGTTATGAGAACTCTTCCCTCTTGAAGCTGTCCGACTCCTGAAAAAAGTTCGAGGACATGGTTTTCCTGCTGAACATCTACCGATAAACGGAGAATGGGTGAGTGCAACGGTGACGGTCCGCGTGGCGATCCATTCCGCAGCGTGAGTCTTTGGTCGCAACTGGAACACCACTTGCCCTAGAGTACACTTCTCCACATCATAAGTGACGAGCACCACTGAACCGTATTTTTTGGTTTTTACAGAGTATACTCATTCCAATTCTATCTTGATTAGAGAATTATTTGATGTTACTTTAAAAAATATATATTCAAAGTTTTGTTGTATGGAATCTTTCGAATGATTGGTTATTTCATTGGTAAATTGAGTAAAGAATCGCTTTTACCCGTGTAGTCAGTAACAACGTAAAAGTCACATCGCTGCTGCAGTTCCATCAGGCTCAACTCGTCGTCCACCTCATAGGTGCGACTCTGAATGTATTTCTCGTCTGTGCAAATCCGATTTCTCCATACTTCGCCAGACTTGACGTGATACTGAGAGATGATTTTGACGACTTCGATTTGCGCCTCACCGGTCTCTCGGTTCACGTCGACGTTGACAGATACTTTCCAAGCGTAGATAATCTGAAGCGGAAGGTTTCGAGCAGTTTTCAGCTTCTTCTCACATCTCCGCTGCTGTTAACACTGATGAGATCCGGAAATCGCAGCGCCTCCGGAGCTTTTCTTGAGAAGTAAGATTCCTGTACTTTCGATTTTTGAGTGTTATTAAAGATGAAATTTTCAAACTTTTTCTTTCAATGTGGTCATTGATTCAAGTTCACGTATTTAAATTTCCATGACTTGAAAAAATCTACGCTTTTTGCGCTTTCTTCTTCTTCTGCGACGCTCTCATATAAACAGGAAAATAGCTTTGAAAGAGTGAGTGCAGGGTATAGATAGAGAGGGCACAGAACAGTAAGATTGTTTCAAGCGATGGCGAATGAGTTACAGAGCTTCCTTAAAAAATTCTTCGCGTTTTAACTTTGGGTTCAAGCACAAACGCTGCCGAGAATTTCGAACCTAAGTTTCGAAACTTCTGTATGTTCAAAAAAATTAGGCGTTGGTATGTTCAAAAAAATTAGGCGTTGGAGGTGAAGTAAGGCTGAATTTTGAGAAACGTTAAAATTTGGTTGAAATCTAAATTTTTGATTTTCTGATAGTCCACCAACTATTTGACGGCTGATTTGCTAACGAACTGTTAAATTGGCGACTTGTTCGGGCGACTGAGGAGACAACGAGCGTGTGGACATTGGGTTAGTTGAAGAAATGCTCAGAAGACGTGAGATTTCGACGGCGACGTGTGTTCACGCCGACACGACCGTCCTCATTATGTGATGCATTCTTTGGATCTGCCCGTGAGTCGCATCGGTTGGGAAACATCGACTGACGAGAAAATCATGCAAGCTCGTAAAGACGTTGACCAGGTAATAAATTATTTTTCATCTTATAATTGGGACTCTTAAAAAGGTTGTATAGGGCCGCGATAAGAATACCTCTTTTCCAGGAGAAAACAAATAAAAAAATTTTTTCAAGCGGTAGAGGCTTATTTGGTTTTGAGCTATCCAAAAAAGTCGGAAAACAGTTTTTTTCAGCACATTGAAAAATTCAAAGTCTGAAAATTATTGTAGAAACGGGGAAGTGCAGTTTTTGTTTTCAAGAGGTAAATAGATATTTTTTATTTCGGGTGATTGCTCATGTTATGGATTTCCATCCGTAAAAGTAGGGCTGTTCTAGTTGGATTTTATATTTTTGCGAAGAATCTGATCAAAGTTTGAATGACGACATTATAGTTATAATCTTTACAGGTTATGACGCTTATGCGTTCGAATGTGGAGAAATTGTCGCTGCGCGGAGAAAAGTTGGACAATTTAATTGCTCGAGCAGGTTCCCACTCCTTTTATATCGAAAAATCTCAGTTTTCAGAGAATCTTGACGTTTCTGCTCAACAATTTCAGAGATGCGCCCATGAGGCAAGCTTTTTCGAAAGTTTTTATTAACTTCACTTGTCCTTGGATTCAAAAAGATTTCTTAGTTCAAAAATGAAATGTTTATCGAAGAGATTGATCACAATTGGCTCTTCTTTTCCCGAGTTCAATCATCTTTTTGAGGTTCGCCGTCAAGTTCACTGGAAGCACCGTATGGGACAGTTCGCTATGATTGCCGTCGGCGCCTTCTTTGCCGTTTCCGCGTTCAGTACGTTTTGTTCTTTTCTTTGTGAGAATCAATCATGTGTTTCAGCCTACGTTGCTTTTTAACTTCATGGAATCTCAAAAATGTACGATAAAGCTTTTATTTTCAATATGAAATACGTTTTGGAAGCTGTGGAGGAACAACTATAAGTGTGCGTGGTGTGACTCGTTTTCTGTGAAAAAACGTTGAGTTTATTGATTTTTATTAAAGCTCACCGAATTCCATTTTTCCGTAAAGGCTAAGATTTGACGGTAATTCATGTGGCGAGGTTGGTGGCATTTCTGAATTTCTCTTTTGCGGAAACTTTAGTTGGTTCTTCTTCTATAAGTTTTCAATCATCTATGTTAAAAATCTAAGGCATTCGAAGATGAAGAAAGAGACCAGCATGTGCAAAAACGCAAGCGATAGAAGGGTCGAAAACAGCTAACCATATGCTTCGACGCCGTAGTGAGAAGAGCGCTGGATGGTGTTGCGCCGAGCAGGGACGCCTCCTGGCAAGGTCGACGTGTTCGGACCGTCGTGACTTCCTGAATCTCCATCGGTCTTGACGTCAGCCAACATAAATACGTGTCTTCGTGCTGAGGGTGTGCGGCAGCGTTGAGGCTTGATGGAAGCTGCTTTTGAGAGTGTACTGCTCCCGAGGCGACATTACCACGTGGTCCAGCCAGTGGTCTTCCTGCAATTCTTCAGGCTCTCACTCTCCTCCACTCTCACTCACCTTGTCAGACTTCTGCATTGTGCTCTTGTCGATCAACGACCCCATCGAGGAGTCGTTGGATCTTGAGAATGCCTGTCTACAGTACGATGTGACGAGAGTGAGGAAAGAAAATAGCAGTAGGGCTGAAAAGTTTTTCGCAGTTAGTTTACAGCAGAGGTAATATTTTAAGAAAATATTGGTTCTTTTCTTTCAAAACTGTCGCTGATTCTTCGAGTACAACAGTTCAAACGCACTGGCAGCGAGGAGAGAGTCTCTAGCTGCATATGACAATAATGGCAGGCTGACGTAAAGGCCGATGGCAAGAAGAATAGCGATTATCTGCAAGTCTGAGTCCGATCAGTTTGAAGTCTTGCTTTTTCCCACGGATATCAAAAGGTTCTGTCGGCTGTGGACGCTGCGCAATGACAGCATCGAACAGATAAATGAGGAAAAGACGAAAAGAGCCGACAAGAAACAGGAGTAAAGAACGGCTGTTTCGAACTGAATATCTCTTGAATGAAGGGAAAGGAGGATAAACCTACAGAATCTCCTTGAGAACATCTCCAGGAGTTTCCGTGTGTGGTTGATACGAAAATGACGTCAGTGGCAGATGTGAAAAAGGCCCATTCAAAAGAAATGACTGAAGGTTCAGGTTAAACGACTATGAATCGGACCAGCTAACCAGCTTGGAGAAGAACGAGGGCCATGCAGATGCTGAACATGGTCGTCGGTCGGACACGCTTTGCATTCGAAGTCATGGTCATCCTCCAAATGCACAAAGTCTGGAATTTCTTCGTTTTTTTTTTCATTCTCATCCTTGACAAACCTTGGTCAGTAGAGGAGAGCAGACAGAAGCCAGGGCGATGGGAAAGAAAACTTTGCGGACAGAGCAGGAGATGGCGTTGGGAGGCATGACAAAAGAAGCCGAGGCGAGACACAGCATCGCGAGTCCAGTGAACATGAACGCCGTGCAGACGCGGTATTGTTCATTGGAACTCACGACTTTCTGGTACATGCACATCAGACAGACGAAGAACGCCACAACTCAAAGAAGAACTGAGTGAAACCTCAGAAGATGTCTCGCGAACCTGACGAGATCGCAAATATCAGAAGCCGAACGTCACGGAGAGCCGTTTGAAACATGGGCTTCTGGCCTGATTGAGCACGTTTCTCCAATTCGAAGGCGCACTTTGACCTGGAATTTGGTTCAGTTAGACTAACAGAACAATCTTCTTTACAATTGATCATTAATAGATCTTTCACTAGCTTTGCCAATATCTTTGATAAGAGAATTCGAGAACTTGAAGTTTGAAAATTAAACATTCGTTGAAACGACTAATTTAACGTTTGTTGAATTTTTTTTAAACTTTGGGATTGAACTGAAAAATTTGAAGAGGATAGTAGATCCCAAAAAGGCAATACACATATTCGAGAAATTCTGAACATTTTTAAAAGGTCATGTTCATAGAAAGAGCTCGTATGAATTTATTCATTTGAAATCCCCAACTACAAGAAACTTACTTCGGACAGGTTGAGATAAGTGATGCGCGAGCTCCATCTCGCTCCTCCATGATCAACGGCGCGTCAGCGGTGTATTCAAAACCAGAAATGGTGTCCCAACGAGCCACAGTTTCAAACTCGAGCTGCGAGTCGACCAGCACCCGATTGACCAGCATCGGAATGTCCCGATAACCCGTTGACACATTGAACGACACTCCTGCAAAATTTGGAGCAGTTATTTTACCTTCACTATCCGAGACCTCGTTCTGAAAGAATGTGGTAGAAATTGAGCGCCAAAATGGACTGGAACATTGGCTCAAGAGGATCGTTGACACAATCATTTAGGGACATAACAAGAGCGCCTAGGAATTGTTCTTCTTCATGGTTTTGAGCCTAATTAATACCTGGACAAAGGTTGTCGACTAGGCTTCTTAGGGAATAAGCGATGGCGTGTACAGCCAGTGTTATTGGAGCGATGTCGATGTCTGGACTTACACTCGTCATGTTCAGCAGCTGTTTCGAGGAGCACTCCCTGACGAAGCTACAGATATTGCAAGACTTGGACGGCTCACTTGGAGAACTGCTGTGCGGCGCCGACTTCATCTCCCTCGATATGACACTTAAAAGCCGTGCTCCAGAATTGTCTGAGCCAGTGTTGAGGGAATGCCAGTTGCGGCATTTTAGTAGCGAGTCGAAGAAGCTCAGATTCTTGATGGGACTTTTCTGGTGCCACCTACAGCTCACACATTTTCACCTTCACACATTTTCAGGATAATTTGTAACTGTTAGAAGAAGTTGGTCGAACTGAGGCCAAGCCTCGGTGAAATGCTTCGACGTCGACCACCTTGGGTCTTGCGCGGCAATCAGTATGAATCTGCCGGCTATCACCTGCAAATGGGTCTTTTCCTCTACATCTCCGAGCCTTTTTCACCATTTCGCTCCGGAAAGCCTTCATCATGTCGATCCAGGTCGACTCGCCGAGTAATACAATCACTACACGGGCTTGCGTCAGTAGAAGCCTGCAATATATCATATCCTTTTCCCTTTATTTCATTCTGTTTTGAATTTCCCGAAAGTTTTCATTTTTCATCTCATTTTTTTCCCAAAGAACCAAGATATATTGAGAAATTTCTTTTGTAAGAAAAGGAAACCGCTCTTAGTGTTTCGTCGGTCATGTCGAAATTTTTCATACTAAAGTTTTTTCAATTTTCTAATTTCATCTTCAGAACTTGTATTGATTCTCAAGTTTTCAAAGTTTTTCAGAAAACGGATTTTGGCTCAGCTTTTTCGTAGTGTTTACCGTCGAATCCCAGACTCTGCTACAGCTTTACCACCAGACTTCAACGATATTTTCTGTTCTACGCATATACTCGTTTTGGAAGCCATTTCGAGGAAAGAACGGGCTGATCTTAAGGAAAAGTTGTGTTCATCAGGAAAAAATAGGTGGAAACTCTTCATGGAGCTCGTCGTGAAGGAGAGAGACGCAGGAGCTGTGCGTGTGGTGGAGGAGGGCGATCATCGCCTCCAGGGGCGCAGACATCGAAGGCATGGTTCCTGTGGTGAAGGGCTGCGGTGTGCTCGTGAAGAAGGTGTTGAGGACAGGTAGCCGTAGATGACGTGCCAGCTGCTCCACGTTCGGCATGTGCGAGGCGTCGTCTCGCACTATCGCTATCAAATCATTCCTGAATCCCTCTCTCTCTTCCGGAAATTTCCTATTCTGTTTTTTATAACAGACTTCGTAAGAAGAGATACAATACAACAAAAATGTTTCCTAAGCTCTTTCTCAAATATATATTGCAATTTCAATTTGCGATCTTTTTGCACCCTCTCAAAATTTTTTGGTTTCTCTCGCCAATATTAAAGTTTTCTATTGCTCGTCAAGTTTCCCTGAATTTGGTCTAGTCATAGCTTAATCTAAGAAAATTCTAAACACGGCCTTTGGATGATTGCTCAAAAAACATTCTTTGAAAATCTATAATAAATCGCTCATAGTCGCTACCTGTGCAAACTTTCCGTTTGGGAGATATTAATTTTTTAAAGTGCAAAAAACTAGGACCTCTTCCCTTGTGAAAAAAGCGAAATTTGGAAATTCTCATCTCAAATATCAAAAGTTTGCACAGGTTACCATCGGTCCTTTTATATTGGCAAATTCTGAAACTTATCACTAAAATGATCTTTCTTTTCTAAACGATTTCACATTCAAAAACAAAAAAGAATGTCTATTTGAACTTAACTTTGTTCCAGAAACTATTAAAAGACTATTTATTAATTGAACTAATTTATTAAGTTCTAGAAGCTGTTCTCTTTTCAAAACTGCGATGCGAACAGCAGCCAGCCTCACCGATGGATATTGGTACCGGATAGAAGTTCATAGAGGTCGGCGACAGTTCGGAGGTCGCTGGAGCATGTGTCGACGACAACGGCGCCGATGTTGAGTCCAGTTTCCTTGAGGTTTTGCGCCGAGTTCACCTCAAATCTTCACTGTCGAGAGTGAATTCTCATGATGGCCAAACGTTCTGGATTGCGTCGAGGAACGCCGCCAGACGGGATGAAGGCGTTCACGTCGACGTTGCCGCATTCGAATCTCTGAGTTTACTCGAATTGATTCGTGTTTGTCCGCGAAAGCTATTCAGAGCAAGAACAATCGGATCTCGGGTTTCCGCGGAGGAAACGGAAAAAGGAGACCTGGTGGTTGGTGGACTCGTGGATGGGCAGGATAGCGAGGACATAAAGCCGTCGAGCTGAAGGAATCACGAGAATGTCGTTGAGCAGTCGATGGCTCAGAACCGACACTTGTGCCGCTTCGACTCCGTTGGTCTTCTTCGTCGGTCTGAAACACCCAGAAATAAGAACTTTGAGCGGCGAAACTATTTTCTGGTCACACCTCACATCAGTCAGAAATTCATTGCGCTCAAAGTTTCATCACAGAAGGAAAATCGCGAACGTGAATCTAATATTTCAGGAAAAAACTGCACCTTGTTTTCAAAAAATTTAAATTTCTCAGTGTATAGGCAAACTAGTTGAATTATATCGAAACATTTTTTCATGATTTTGTGTAACTTTCCCGCAAACCGCTTGACAAACGAAACATGAAAATGATCAAGCGTTCGTATGGAAGTAATCCTGTTTGCTTTTCTCGCAAGGAAAATAACGACGACGGGCCAATTCCAGTTTGTTCTGGTCAGCGAAGCCCAAATGAACTTATCTCACCGAACTGACAACCGACTCATTTTCGCCGAGTTTTTCTCTGTTGTCGACGAAGAAGGAGTAGTTGTCCAGAGGACGGGCGTTGACGTCGTTTTCTCAAAAACTTTTTTCTCGTAAAGATTTTTGGCTCACATGTGTGGTGAATGAGTTGATGAAAGGTGGATTTGTAGTGGTGGGAGGAATTTTCGGCACTGGTGCTGGTTTATAAAGCTCGGCCAAAGGGAAGGAAACTATTGGATTTGGCGGTTCGGGAGCCTTGGACGAGGAGTAAGAGTAGAAGACGTTAGGAGAGGCCGTTGGCAACGTCCAGGGCGGCGTCTGAATTTTTTCCTTGAATCCAAATTTTTCCAGATACTAGCTGCTTTTTCATATTTTAAAGTATTTTTAAAAAAACTTCTTGTGGATATTCAAAGGAGCACAGGTTCTGAGAAACTCGAAATGACTTGAACCAAATTTTCCGGAATCAGGGAAACTTTTCAGTATTTCACTCACCATGGATATTTAAAAAAAAAATCATTTTAAAATAAAAAAAAGGGAAGATCAAAAACATTCAAGTAATTCTTGTTACCATTTCGGCTTCAACTTTGAAAAAATGAACCGATCCAGAGAATAGACGCATTTTGCTATCAAACTGTGTACAAAAAACCTTTTTAAATAGTTTCTGGAACATCGCCTAATCTTCTTATTAAAAAAAAAAAATGAAGATCACACCTCGAAAGTTGAAGGGGAAAAACTCGAATAGGAATAAAATACATTCGGAGCCGCAGTACTTGAGTAAACAAATAAAGGATTCGGCGGAGCAGGACTGGAAGTCGAAGAAGGGCCAACGCCGAGCTGCTCGTAGGGGTTGGAGGTGAATTCGAAGCTGGAGGCCGGCGGAGGCGAGAAGACGTTCAATGGAGAGCTGTGGTCGATGGTCCGAAGTGCCTGAGGTCGGAAGTCGAGGGCTGACGTCGGTCTGTTGAGCAGCAGCAGCAGCAGCGGGAGCTGGAGCAGCCGCAACACGCTCATGGTCGTCGCTCGGACAGCGGTTCTGTGTTCTGGGCTGGACACAACAACGAGATTAGGGTGGTGGAGGAAAAGCGCGCCGACCAGCGCAAACAACAGCCAAAAACGCAACTTCGAAAGCGCCTAATTAACGTTTTCTGTGTGTTTGTGTGTGTATGTCTGTTTCACCGCTTGCACGACCCCGTTAATCTTGGATGTTCGTGCTTCGCGCCACGCCTGAGCTGTCTTCAGAAGTTCCTTTTTTCTTTTGCCACATTGGCGTTATGCACATCTCACTTTTTCAAGGGGTGACCTTTTTCTTTGGAAGTTACCAATTCTGCGTTTATGAGGACTTTGAAATGTATAGGGAAAAAGTTATAAATATATGATAGGTTTTTTTGATCATTGAATTATATTATAAGATCGCTTCCTTCAAAAAATCCAGCGAGCTCTATGAACTCCAAAAAAAAAAATCTCTGCGGTTCTATTGTTCAAAAATCCTTTAATTTTTCTTTTTCGAAGCAAATAGTTTCTAAGTTTGCCAAAAATAGTAGCCGATTGTTTCAAAAAAATACAAAAAAACCTTCGGAAATTAATTCTTTTTCCTCGCCAAGACTCATGCCATTTGCGAAAATGACGCGACTTGCCCGTTAGTATTTATATTCCTTTGTAAAATTTTGAAAAAAAAGCATTATTTTGAATTTTGAGTTGGTTCGTCTTTCAAGCAACAAATATAGAGAGGGAATTCATTCAATAGATAGAATTAAAAAAAGATTATGATTGTTAACAGAAAAGGACAAAAATAAGACACATCAAAACGACAAAAAAGAACATCACAAAGAAACTACGTCGATCTCGGGCTCTTCGGCGACACTTTCGTAGTCGCTGGAAAGTTCGGCGCCGTCAGGAGGAGAAACTGTCTGAAACTTTTGGAATGAAAATAGAGTTTCTTCTTCAACCAGAAGTCGCAGCTGTCGACGCCGTTGCAGAACCTCTTCGGCCAAATCAGTTGCATAACGGGGCGAAGGCCTACAATTTTGGCTTCTTTCTTTTCTTTATTTGAGCTTATTGTTCAACGTTCTTTCGAATCAACTCTTTATTTTCAAATTGATTGACTCATTAGTCAAGAGCTGATTGAAAATGACTGAAAGTTCGGAATATTACCTAGCTTCGTCACTGACATCGATGCTCGCCATCGGGTTACTGTAGACGCGATGGTCGAAGTCTGAGCCGTGGGTCGCTCCTCCGAACTCCGTAGAGTCCAAGTAGGACGGAGAAAGTGTCGATTCACAAGAGCTGCCGGTATGCGACTCCAGAAAAGTAACTGGTCTCTCGATATTGGACAGAAACTTTGTCCTGAACAAAACATGGCTTAGGTAACTCGGAATAGAAAATCTGACGCTGTTGAGGCAGTGGCTTCAGAAGCCTGAGATGGCTGAATGACCTCTTTCGACTTGGCAAAACTGAGACGGAAATTAGAAGAATATTTGAAAAAAGAAGAGAACCGGTCGACAACAATCGCACGAGGCGTATAGCTGATGACCTTGGCAAAAGTTTGAGAATCGAAGGGACATGGATCATTGATGGGCTGCTTTGAGATCTCGGTCACCGTTCCGAAGCTCTCTTCGGCTTCTATCGGGTTCTTGGCGTCTCCCGAAGCTCCCATTCGCTGAGATTTATTCGAATTTTCTTCAGCTTCTCTGAATTCTCAGAGTAAAACGAAAATTCAATTTCAAACGAACTTCAGTGTCATCCATGACAAAATATACATAATGCAACCGCTCAAGAGAAATATGAAGCTGATGATTCCGAGGAGAAAAACCGCGCTCTGGGCGTTCGAATCACCAGGAATTACAGAAGTAGTTCCGTTGATAGGCAAACTGGAGAAATTATAGGAAGAGTCAAGGCTTCGTTGATCAAAAAGCTTCAGCCCCAGAGAATTGCCTTTCTCAAGAGCCACTCGCCGTTCGGCCGCCTCCATCATGTCGATGTCCGAACTTCCGTGGCTGCGATACAGGGTCCAGCCACGGCCCACCACGATGCCATCTATCACTTCTGAATGATAATGATTAGGAGTGCCTGAAAGCAGAGCCGGGACTCCGCCATAATTCCAATCTTGGGTTTCAATTCTTGAGCTAAGGCACGCCTTTTTGAGGCGACCGGCCATATTACGGTAGTCAGGATAGGTTTTTCGTTGAAAAAAAAAATGAAGGCGTGTGTACTTTATGTGACGTAACGCATCTTGTAACCTCGAGAAATAGGCCCTTTTTCATTATGCCCACATCTGCGGTTGTGGTCTTACCCAACTGGAGAGAGACGCGAGCGTTGCGAAATATTCCAAAAGCAGAGTTGTCGTAAACGGGAAACTTCTGTTCAGTAGAAATTCGGACAGGAAAAGCGGTAGCTGAACAATTTGATTTCCAAGACAAGAACAAAAAAAGCGAACGCGGAGTGAAGGATAATTCTTGTGGGAGGGAACGAAGATCGCGAACAGGAACTGTTTTGGAGACCGCCATGTCCACTAGGAACACCTGCAAATTCTGATTTCCAAATAAAAAAAACATAAGTTCACCTTGACGGATCGGACGTCAACGCGCTTTTGGACGAAGACGCGCACCCAGACGTCGTCGCCGTCGCCCAGCCAGAGTCGCATCGCGGCCAACGTGCCTTCCTCGGCGTGTACCAGCGAATCTAGACGATTGGAGGCAAGTTCCTTGGAGATTCGACCCAAAGCCGTGACTTCATACGTGACACTAGCTCGCGACCAATCTGAAAACCTTTTTATTCGATCAAACCATACCGCGTTTCCAAAATGGCGTTCTGCAAAAAGAACATCAGAATCACCCAACCGTTGATAGCAACGATGAAGCCGTCGAAGAATCCACGAGATCCGACTTTTATTTGGAGAGGCGGCAGTCCATCGACGCGCCAAGTCAACTGTGTTCCATCTGATGATAACTCTAGAAGTGAAGTCGCGAAAAAGCTATTTTGAAAATTTTCTGAGCATCAACAAAACCAAAAAGCCTCTCGGAGGATCGTGAGAAGGAGCTTCGTAAAAAGCTCCTAAATGGACGGAAAAAGGTCTTTTCTGCTCTCCTTTCAGAGCCTCTTTCATTTTATTTCAGTTTCAACTTTTTTTTCTCATTTTCATTTTTTTTTTTTCAATCCAGATTATACGATTTTTCTGTTCTTATATAATTTTTTTGAACTTTTTCTCAAAAATGATTTCTGATTCACGCATAATTTTCATTTTTTTATAGGGATTTTTATCCGAAGTTCAAGTTTTCTAAATATTTTCGACACACTTCCGAACGAAAATTTCTCTTCAAATAAAACTTTCAAAATGGTCGAAGTACGCCTTTTTCGCTTTCTTTCCTGACTTTTTAAATGTATTAAATGTAGCGGGTCGCAAAATGATTCCCTTTTCATCTAAATCTGTGAATTTGTGCTTCGGGCGCTGTGTTCCAGCCTTACTGATGGTCAACATGGGCGAAATCTCAGTTTCAGTGTAGCCTTCCAACTCACTGATTTCGGCCCTCATTTCTGGCTGATCGGAGAGAGAAGTCGTTGGTGTCAATTTGGAAATGATGCGATACACGTCAATCCGTCCATCCGTTTTTTCCCGCCTTATTTTTCTCGGCTCGAAATTCACTTTTTTATCAGCGTTCGCGGCACTTGTCAAATGCCGATTGACGTGTGATAAGGCCTTTGGATGCGTTTTCTAATAATTTCCTGCTTCCTACTTGTGACCGGCCTTCGCTTCGTCACGTTGGTGTTTCGAATATAGTTGTTTTCTTCTTTTTTGATACAATGGTGAATTGTATATTACTGTAGCTGTAGTTCTCAGACGGCGCGCCGTAGCGCAACAGGTTTTGTGTCTGTCTACGATCCAAAGGGTCACAAGTTCGATCCCCGCCGCGACCCAACCAAGGGGTTCAAGAAATGTTGACTGAGGGAAACCACGGCTTTATAATCATCTGCCGTGTTACAAAAGGACGTTACCAGAGCCCGTCCTCTGATTATCACTGATATCAGGATGGGACCTCGGCTAATCGACTTGGGTTGCCTCTCAAGCGGTACAAAGGCGCCGGACAAAGAGGAAGAATTAGCTGTAGTTCTTAGATCTTCTTGACACTTTTTACCTTCTCTTGTAACATTCTGGCTTGTCAAATCGCTATTTTTGCTCGTTGAGACGGTGATAGACTAAAAACCATTCAAACAAAAGAGCGTTTTCGAGAGAAAAGAGTGAGCAGACATGCGAGACTTTTTCAAGTCGTGGTGAATGAAGTAAAAGGGGAAGTTTTGATTCTGTAAGGAAAGAATAATACATTTTTTTTCTAGCTTGTCAATTTGTGTTTCAGAATTGATGGAAAGGATAAAGGAAAGTAAGGAACGATTGTACAGTTTATCCACCATATCAGCGTTGACCGGCAAGGAGCTTAAGATTTTAGATGCGAAGAAGAGGATGACGGATCTTTCGCAGACGATCTCTACGTCCGCGTCTACAGGAGATGTTGGAGTGACTGCGTGGAAAAGGCGGCGCCGCTGGAGGATCCGTTTGTGAGCATGATGCAGGCTAAGTTCGACCTCGACCGACACAAGTCCTTCTGTCGGTACTGTCAAGATGAAACTAGTTGAAAACAAACAATAAGAGCCTACAACGGGACGCGGAGTTGCGCCGTCGGCTGTCTCTCACACGAAGACCACGACGTCTACCTGCGTCCTTTTTTCCGTCGTAACATCCTCAACGAGTTCGTCTGTCACAAACACTACAACGGTGGGTTTTCTTGATTTGTTATGTCTACATCGGGGGAGTTCCCGAGGGAAACATCCTTATCGGAATATCAGAATTATCACAACACTGGTCAGAAAACTCTTTTTGCAAAATTAAAAAGTTAAAATTATCAATCTATCGAGTATGAAATTATTTTCTTCATCAGCTATAGAAAAAATTCCTACTTTGGCGAAAAAACTTCTAAAACTCCGTAGAAAGTTTACTGCAAAGAATTGAATTATTATTTTATAATTTTCTGTCATTTTTTTCTTCGTCGGGCTTTTTTTAATGATTTCTTTGTTGAGACAACGTAATTAGAAATTCAAAAAAAAGGATAACAACACAAACAGAAAGTTTCGAGATTCTGGCAAACTTGGAAGTTTCTTCGCGTTAGGGAAACTAAAAAAAGTTATACTATATTGTTTTGAGTTGAAAATGGCTGACTTCCCCGAGAAGTAAGTCATCTTTTCAGACATCCATGAGTTTTTGCCGTGTTACCTGCGAAGCCGGACTTTCGAGACCACGTTTCAAAGCTGCGGCAAGTTTGTCTTCGAAGACGAAGTCCGAGCCAACCGCGAGACTTGCAGGTGATTCTTTCCTTCTAATACAGTAAACTCAACGCTTTGAAGTTCTCTTCGCTGCGTGACGCAGACCCTACCAGGCCTCGTCCGGCAGAAGTGCGTGGCCGACGACAACGAGCAGTTCGGCGGAGCAGCAGCGGCCCTATTCGAGAAAATGCTCGGCGCCTTCTTGCGACAGAGGGTCCGTCTCCACAAACTAACACGCCTTTGTGAACAATTTTACATGTGACGTTATAAATTGGTTTTCAGTTTTGCATTCTGTCTGAATAGAAAAGCAAAATGTTCCACGTATGATTCATGGAAGACAATCACAAAAAAAGGCACGCTAAAGGTTTTCTCTGAACGATGCTGTCGATTAGTTCTGAAAGTACATAGTCTTCATGAAGTAGAATGCATTCTCATGAAAAGAAGACGGCAGGCGCCGTTGAGAGTTCTCAATCTCCATTTCACAAGTAGACGTCCTAAGCGGTCCCGGAAAAGATCAAAGCCATTATGGGACGTTCGAAAAAGACTGATATACGACGTGCAGGTCGGACCTGCGTGCTTTAACCCTCGGATCGATGCTTCCAGGCTTTGGAGTAGCGGCTGCCACTAGGCTTTTTCCCGCCCTCTCGCGCTCTGCTCCTCTCGGCCCTCCGACGTCTAGTCGTCCGCCATCTTCCGCCACCTACGACCTTTTTTCCTATTTTCATTTGTTGCCATGCGAACTTTGACTTGATCATGCAGATTCCTTTTCGGATACTGTTGGTTGTATCCATTTCCAGCGCCTTCAATAAGGACAGGTACGTGTCGCGCCACCGGCTTACAGTAGCGCTATTTCAAATATCTGATTAGAAACTTTGTTCTACTGACGTCTTCGAGAACACTTAAATATCTAACTCGCTGCCGTCTTTCATTTTTTAATCCAACAGGTTCTTCAATCAATTAAAAAATTCACAATTTTCTATTTTCAAAAAGCTGAAGCATCTATCCTGAAAGAGAAAAAAACTATAATTCAACTTGAAAATTTACCTATTGAAAAATGTCGTCGATTATGGGGCCGAGTACGTAAACAGCTGACCTGACGGATAATTCATAAGATTTTTTAAGCGCATTTCACCATTTCTGTCCTAGGACAGGACGTCCTCATTGTTTCCATTCTTCTTTTTCTACCGTTTTTTGTTTTTGTTGTGTAACATAGAGGTCTATCAGCAATGTAGAACGATCGACTTTATCTTTGATGGTTTCGACCTATTTCAAATCCGAATTCAAAAAGATAAAAGTTGAGCCTCCCTCATTTTTTTTCTACTACTTACCGTCCCAAAAAAGGGATGAAATTTGAATTTTTGAAGCATTTAGAATTTTTTTTATAGAAGTCACATCCAGGATAGTCCACCTTTCTATGTTGAATGGTTTGAGAGCCCTCGATCCGAAAAAAAATGATGATTTTTTTAAAATCACAGACTTATCACATTCATAGTTCATGAAAATTGATTCTTTTTTTCTGTAATATAATGAGAAATAAATCAAAAGGGAATAAAATATTATCAATTCAATATTTTGTCAAGTTTCCTCTTTATGTTTTTTTTTCTCTAACTTTGCTCTACCAGCTCACTCAACTCAAACTATCAGCACTCGGAAAGCTTTTCAGTGCGAAAATCTTGGCTGCCGGCTGTTTGTCGTAATGTGCCAATCGAGCACTTAGCGTCGCGCACTTTTCATTTTCCTAATAATTTTCGTCGTTGATAGAGCATAACAGAGAGCCAAAACCGGATATAGACCATTATGAAATGGATGACAATTGTCCAAGACGTTCTTTAAGGGTGGTTATTGCAAAAGAAAATTTATTTAAAATCAATTTTTGTTTGGGGGTTTGTTTAGAGCAATTCAGATATAATTTATTTACGAAAAAACATATCACCATTTTTTTTTTCTCTCGAATTCGCCAAAAACAAAATAACTTCTCAAGACGAGGGCTTGTGAGATAGACAAACAGACTCGAAGGACCACTTTTTCTCTTACTTTTGTTGTCGATTGCGATAACATCTCTCGAGATGTCTAGAGGATAAAATCATGAATCTTGTTGAAAAATTCGAAGCAGGTAATTCAAATATTTTATTTTTTTCAAATCTTTCTGAAATATTTTCTTTTGTCTTTTTCAATTGAATAATGGGAAATTGGGCTTGATTAAGTAGATTAGCGTTTTATTTTTTATTCCTACATCTTGAATTATTTCAGAAGTTTTCTAAATCTTTCTTCAGATTGAGAGACTTTACCTGATACCAAAATTTTGTAGTAAGAAGCCTTCACTATGATTTCATGCTCTTAGAACTGAGGGTTTTTGCGCAACAAAAGCTTTGCTGGAGTTGCTGAGCCAACAGAATTATGATTGGCTCTCACGCATCCGTCTCTTCTCAGTGTTACTCGTAGTTTCGTAGAATCAACCACGCAGTGGCGATATTTTCAATTTTCCTTACGATATTGCTAGACAAGACGTTTGAAAAAAAGCTAATTCAAACAGCAAAGCGGTGACGAATATGAAACATCGTGACAACAAATTTATGTGTGGAAGGGACAGTAGTTTAGGACTGAAATCGGATTTTTTTTTTCAAATTAGAAAAAAAGTTTCAGCATCGAGGATTGCTCGAGGGTTTTCAGCGAACATGCGAAAGAACTTTTTGAGAAAATCACTCAGGAACAGAAAATACGACAGGTTAGTTGATGGTCCTCAGAGTTCTTGCTTTGAAAAAAACAGAAAATTCCTGTTTTGGAGAAATTCAATGATCGCAGAAACTTGTTTTGGGGCATGTTCCGTTTCCCCAATGAAAAGCTGGATTTATTTTTTTTGTTTTTTTTTCGGAATGAGATAATTTCCAATCCATTTCAGAATTACGAGAAGCTTGTTGAAGAGGAACAGTTTGACCCTCGGGATGAGCTTAAAAAAAGCAAAGTTCGCATCGAAAAATATCTACGGCTGCGAGCTCAGTTTGCCTACGTGAGTCTACTTCACAGTTCCGATTTAATTTCAAGGAAGATAATTTTCCTTCGTCACGACTCGAATAATTTGATCTTTCTGCGCTCTTTTTTCTTTCTATATCTTCGTGTGTTTACGCCCCACATCTTTATGATCCCTCCGATGAGAGAAAAGATACTACAGAAAACTAAAAAATTTCAACTCTTGACAGATAAAAATACTTCATTCAACGGAAATGTTAAAAAACCTGTGGGTTTCCATTTTTATATAAAACGCGATGAAGACTTTAAATATAAAAACATAATTATAAAAGAGAACCGAGAAAAATATCTATATCAGGTTTACAGTTATCGATAAAATCTATCAGTGAAAAGAAAGAAACTTTTGAAAGGATGATTGTTTGACTGAAATTATGAAAAAATATTTCTCACACATGGGAATTGTTTTTTTGCTGTTCAAAATGTATCCTTAGCACGCGAGTCGTTCTGTTTCAAGTTCAGATTCTTGAGCTGAAATTATTATTTTTTGGTAGTTTCTTGTTTCAGAAAGCAAAAGTATCTCTGGAAAGCCGCGGAATTCGAAATGCGTCAGATGCCGAAGTGAACGACCCAAGCTCGAAGGAATTCATCCGATTCATGTCGGCCAAGCAGGGAAACGACGGAACGACCATCTACGAGAACAATCATCTTGGCCGTCGAACTCGCGTCAACGAAACCAGGTTTTTATCTTCAAACATTCTTTTTTTTTCGAATTCCGACAAAGAGAAAAATTGCGGCTTTTCAGGATCTTCAATCTCACTCAAAACGCCAATTTCTACACGCTAGCGACGTCTTCAATCGCTTCTGCAGTCCACGTTCCGACGCCTCTCTACGATCGAAGTGAATCATTTTCCTTTGTTTAGCACGCTTGGACCTTCAGATGCGGATCTTCTGCGCAAGATCGACTGGTCCAACGTCGACGCGGTCTACAGGACAAACCGGGAGGAGATCCGCGACCTCGCCTTCCAGATGTTCTGTTCGGAGAGCGGCTACATGCGGTTCTACCCGGCGGCGTCGTGGTTCTGGGACAACGAAGAGGAGCACTTGGACCTGTTCGACTGCCGCAACACCGAGTGGTACATCAACGCGGCGACCAACTCCAAGAACGTCCTCATCATGCTGGACATGTCGGGGTCGATGCTCGGCCAGCGCTACGAAGTCGCCAAACAGACCACCGAGGCCATTCTCGAGACCCTCTCCCACAACGATTACTTCAACATCATGCCGGTTCGTTTCCGGAGATTACTGGTTAACGAAAAAAAACTTGATAGAAATGACTCATTTCATGGCGTTAAATTTCTCTTTTTAACCTTAAGAGCGCAAAAATGAATCCATTTGGAATTTTCACGCCTTGCTTGGATTGTCTGCTCACTGCTTTTAGGACATTTCTAGGCTTGAAGATCTTTAAAAAAAAAAAGAATTACTTTGATCTAATTACAGCTTTTCTCGATTACAGTATCTTTAATAAAACTAAAGAGTTGGTTTGCGTTGTTTCTGGTTGATCATGTATAATTATATTCTCCTGATAATATGAGAAATTTGATACGAAGTCGCATGCCTGAAAAAATGAACTTCAGCATTGAATACGCTGTACAAAGATTCTTCAAATCAAGATTTCAGTTCTCGAAATCTCCATACTTTCTCGATGAATGCAACGGAGAAAACGGTCTCCTGCAGGCGACCATGCGAAACAAAAAGGTACATTTTTACGTAATTCCAACAGAATTGCTCAAAAAAGACCCTGAAGTACTTCAAGAAAAATGAATGGAAAAATGCAGTAATTTCTAGTGGAGGAAAACTTTCTGAAGCTTTCTTATATAAATTTGATGGAGTCCTTGAAAGTTTACCTAGAGGTTGCCTGGGAAAACCATTTTGTACAAAACAAATTGAGTTTGTTTTTTACCCGATTTCTTGGGGTTACCAAAAATTTAAAATCTATTTTCATTCAGAGTCTGAAAATTAATTTACAGTGTCTTTGTACATCAAAAAAATCTATTCGCCTGATGTTTTCAATCAAAAAAATGTATTTTTGCCGAAAAACGTTTATCTTTCACATGCAAGTCCCAAAAAAGTTTGAAAAAAAGTTCAGAGTTTGGGGCTGAAACTTTTTATAATATTTTTTTCTAAAGACAAAATAAGTTAAAATTGAGCCTTTGAAAACTTTGAAATGTCGTTTTCTTCTAGAAGCTTGAATTTCTTCTCAGAAGTGTGATATGCAGGCTAAGTTCAAAAAAATACCTATTCCCGTGTGTTGAAGGCTCTCCGCCAGAAGATGAACAACATCTCGAGCGAGGGCAAGGCCGACTACGAAAAAGCGCTGCCACAGGCTTTCAGCACACTTCTGAACGTAGGACTCATTTGTTCGACGTCCCCATTTCGTTCTTGTCCTTTTTTGTTCTTCAAAGTCGCTTCATGTCTGGCGTGGTCATTTGCTAACAATCGAGCCCTGAGAGGCAGCTTTCTTTGCTTTCAAATGTCGTTCAGCTCAAAGGCAGCTATTCGTTGCACACCCGCGAGGAAATGGCTTTGATGGCTACGAACGGCTCCGCGGCCGCCGCCCACCATACCGTCCACGTCATGTTGCCAGAACATGTGCTTACCGCTTCGCAAGAATACATCGATTCCGTAAGTTGCGGTGGCCCTTCGGATCGATGATTTCCTAACTTTTTTGCGATTATATTCCTCGCCTCACCATGAATCAATGTTTCTATATGGAAAAAACCAAAGCAAAAAACACACGGAAAAAAAAAATAAGTTTGTTAGGCAAAACTTTGAATAACTCTTTAAGCCAAGTTTTTTTTTTCCATTTTCTGATTCCATTTTGGAAAGATCATTTTTTTTTGGTTCAGAGAAAACATAGATTTAGTGGTGTTTGTCGATTAAACAAAATTAGCTTTTGCATGAGCTTCTGCGCAGTGTGATAAGTTCTTGTGTCGACGTGGTTGTCCTCCCACGACGTGTGTCTGGCGAGAATTCGTGCCTCCATTTTCAGATCACCAAAGGCGGCTCTGGCGGCCGGGCGGCCTGTGAGAGTGTCATCATGTTGATCACGGATGGCGCTCCCAACGCCTACTCGGCCATCTTCGAACTCTACAACAAGAATAAACGCGTGCGTGTTTTCACGTTCCTTGTCGGCGACGAGGCCATCGACTTTAACGAAGTGCGCGAAATGGCGTGCCAGAACCGAGGCTATATGGTCCACGTCGCCAACATGGCTGACGTCGATGAGAAAGTCCAGGTGCCTCGAACGTCACCTTTTCTTCCCGACCGAAGCGTTTTTTCAGCACTACATCCGTCGTATGTCGAGAGCCGTCGGCAAGCACAACAAGGAGATCTCCGAGGAGGACGCCCTCTGGACTGGGGTTTACCGCGAGCGACTTGTCAGTTTTCTTCTAGAAAATGAGGCCAAGAATTATATTCAGGGTTTTTTTTTTAAAATCATTTTATCTTTTATTCAGAATCAAAGTAGGATAAGTCAGTATGAAATAAGTCGTCATAAGTTAAATAGAAGCTAAGGGATTTAGAAGTTTTTGAAGGTTTTTATCGAATATCGTTGATTGAGGTTTTAATGAAGGTCGAGAAACAACAAGAAAGAGCTCAGCTTTAGATTTTGCTTGGGTTTCGTCTGAGAAACTCCATAATTAGAGTATTATCTCGATTTTCATTTTACCTTTTTCAGTATTTACCCAGACCGGAGGTCTTCGCTGAGCCTGTTCCAATCACGAATCAATCGGTGGGTCTGTCTCAGAAATTTAACCGTTGAAGTGTACTTTTCAGTTCGCAGTGATGAACAAAATGGCTGCACGAAGAGTTTGTTTCCCCTTCTTTATTAATTGGCTAGAAAAATTTTTCAGAATTTTCGAACTGAAAAAATTTTCATTTTTAGTTTGCTCAAGATTATATAAAGTTTCAACAGTCAAGTAATTTTTTTATTTTTTTGGTAAGTTAAGGATGTCAGGGTAAAAAAACTCAGAGGTAATGCATTGATGCCTTGGAGGATAACATTCACTTTTTTGAAAATAAATCCAGCGAAAGTTACACAAAACTGTTTTCGAGGATAAAAAAAAAAGAAAAAAAAATTATGTTCCGTGAAAGTTATAATTTTCAAAAAGATTGGAGCTTATGTGTGTGTATAACACTTATACGGTTTTGGATCGAGGTATTGTATAGTTTATATGTCACTGGTGGCCACCCAAGAATAGCCATGACAGTTATATTTGTAGAAAATCCGGCTGCACAAGTCGGAGGCGCGCGGTCGAATGTTCGTGACCACAGTCTCTTTTCCCGTCGTCGTCAACGAGAGTTTCATGGGCGTCGCCGCCGTCAACATCCCGCTCACCGAGGTCAACCAGAAGGCTCATCCCAGCAATGTCCGTTCCTCCTCCAACTTTCCTCTCTCAATCTCTCTTCCAGATCGGCGCCAAGAGTTACTTTTTCATGCTCGACCAGAACGGCTTCGTTATGTCCCATCCACAACTCAGACCTATTGTGAGTGCATCTTCGCTTTCGTTGAAAATTCTTTTCCGATTGGGTCTACTACGAAAACGAAAATATCAAAACGCCACAAAGAAAATTGGAAATAATGCTGAATAAAGAAAATTGGGAACAATGCTGGAATCGTCCTTTTCAATGGAACATTTCAGGACCTTGATACAAAGCAACATAAGCAGAACTACAACAATATGGATATTCTAGAACTCGAAGTTTCCCAAACTCAGCAGGTTTTCTTTTCTTTTCCTCTAGAATAAAGCTTCTTGACACTCAATGTTCACTTACCGGCTATTTCCTCTTTTCCACTTTTCTGTTCCACTCTGTAGCTTTTTCTTCAAATATCGGTTTCTCATATTCCACACAAATGAAAAACTTTTGAATGTAGCGCGAAAATCTAAAATTATTTATTCGCAAATTACGGTGGTTTGAGAGGAAAAAGAAATAATGGAGACTATGGAAAACTTTTAGGCAAGATTCCTACGCTACATTTTTTTTTATTTAGAAAATTAAACATAAGCATTAGTTGTAATTACAATTTTTTTAAAATAAACTTTGAAGAAAATTTAAATGAAAGGTTTCCGTATTTTTCGTATCAGTTTCGAAATTTCCTACGAACTTGATCTTTTTTTTTTCCTACGAACTTGACAAATTTCCTACGAACTTGACTCCTTAAAGTTCTGAAAATTGCGAAGGAACACCAGGAATATTAATTCATGCTTTTGGAGAGTATTTGATGTTTTCATATGGAATTGCAACTTCATACAAAATTGACTTCCCCTGTCAGTTTCTATCGACTTTTGAAGAGATCCGAATTCGCCTGTCCTATTTCTTGCTGTGAGCATTCCTTTCTCTTATTTTATTCACCGCTGGTTTGCCTCGAAAATATCCAATTTTCTTGCATAATTATATAGTCATTCGGGACAAGAACACTCTTAAAAATTCCCCTGATCTTCTGAATATTTTTTGCAAAAATCAGCGGTGAACCAACTTTACCGCCCCTAACGGCACAGATCCGCTCATCTCAACCAAAAGGCGACGTTTCGGACTTCATTTGTGAATCGGGCGCTCGCTACGCCGAATGCGTGCAGGAAATCCGTCAACTCGTACGTCTTATGCTCGTCGTCGAGTTGCGACTTTTTGTCGTGAACTCAGTCTCACCGATGTCGTTCTAGCCCAACTCACAACGGCTCACAGAGCATCGTTTGCATGAACTGCACGTTCCTTTAAGAATATCCATGTCGTGCTCTTGTTTGGAAGCTGGGAAACCACACAGAAATGTGAGATTTTGAGGTGCGCAAGATGGTTATCGACTGCGACAACAGCGACATCCAGCAGCTAGATGTCATTTTCGCCACCGAAATCCTCAACCGCGTCTATCCCCAGACCAACTCGTACTATGCCGAGTGCATAGATCAAGCCAATTTCGTGTTAGTCTACTAAAAGCTCATGCTTTTTGGTATAGGGATAGTTCTGATTTTTATCAGTTTTTTTATTGTCGTAGAGACTATGGTTGAACACTTCAAAAACAAAAAAGTCTTCGCTTCGATTTTTTTTTTTCAGATTTTTCACGTTTTTCTGTCGTTTCAGGTTGGGTCTAGCCGTCGCCAAAGGCGACGATTATCGGCTCGTGAGCAAAAATAAAAAGTACGACTTCAAGAAAGTGACGATGGACTGGATCGCAGACAAGCAGTGGAGAATCCACCCTCATTGGTTCGCCTAATCTCTTTATTTGACCCAATAGTTTTTCATCAGGAGGTACTGCTTGCTCAACGACACAGATACCAATGTAAGCAAAGAAGAGGCGTTCACAGTTTATGTCGAGCAGATGGCCAAGACAGGTAACCCTCATTAAGGTGCAATAATCGGAACGGAACACAGGAGCCGTGCCGCTACTCTGTCAGCCGCGGCAGCATCTCGTGGAAAAGGCGTTGGTGGATCTCGAAGCTACGAGTTCTTTAGTCGATTTGTGGGACACTCAGTTTCAGTTCATGAAAGAGTTAGTCAAGAAATCAATGATTAGAAGTATTCATTGAGATATTATTGTATACCTTTACAAGATTGACCTCAAAACAAAACACAAAAAAGAGCATACAAACGATTGAAGGAGTAGTTCTTTGGGTAATACATATTTCTAAGCTCGTTTGTATAGGGAAGTTTCGATGTAGAACTATCGATTTGAGTTGAAAGAAGGCGTTTATCATAGGAACAGCGAGACCGGAAGTTTGCAGCTCTCTCGTTCACCTGGTGTTTTTTGGAACTCCCTCAGGCGTGATCCGTTACTACAACTTGACGCTCGACGATTACGACTACATCGATCCCTATTGGAGCATTTTCGACCATATCGGCTCTATTCTGTCAATCGAGCACGTCCAAGAGTTAGCGTTAGATCAAAAACTGATCCGAAGACACTATTCGCAGGTCCTACAACCATTTCATCACTGATTTGAACCGAAAAACGTCCGACGACAGGTACTATCGACGTGCTGTGCGGATGAAGGACACGATTCTTTTCGACGTTTCTGCCAACTGTTTGTTCAATTTTCTCTCCCTTTCTTGGCTCACGGAAGTGGTTTGCAGCAAAAATATGGTACAAGTCCGAGCTGCAAAACACGGGATACGGGTTGAATGAGAATTTGACGATGCTGGGGCAAATGTTCAAGGCGGTGCACATGCAGAACGCGATCCTCGGTATAGTTTTCGACTGTTCTCAGGAGAATTACTCGAGATTTTGTGAATGGAATGAATATATTATCATTAAAGATATTGTAATTTTTTAGGAGTCGCCGGCTTCGAGTTCGCCTACGATTTTGTCGTCGACACCATGTCTGAGCACGGTTGCGCTCCAACAGTGGGTTCATCCTGAACCAACCTCTTTTATGATTGTTTTTGAAGGACGGCCGTCGCTGGTGCGTACTTCTAGATGAGCATGGCTACGTTTTCTACAGTAACTGGCCTGAAATCTCCTACGAAAAATATCTTGCGGTCGGTTTTCTTTTTGAATTTTTCAGTGCGAAAGTGTCTGGTAGTAAATAATTTTTCCGAAATGAACTTTTAAAAAAATTTGATTCAAATCAATCAACCAAACAGAAAAAAAGTTGAATTTGTTGAAAAATAAAACAAAAAGGATGTTGGAAATAGATAGATTTGAATCTTGCCAAAGTTTTCCTAAGCATATTTCATCTGTTCTAATTTCAACGAATGGATTTTTAATCGCTTCTTTTCTCTTCGTCAAGTAATGACGTTACAGAGTTCGCAGAATTCAGTTGTAGGGGAGAAAACGGAGGATTTCTCATTTTTGTGAGGCGTAACTCTATAGAAGGAAAAAAACGTAATTTCATTTCCTGTTGCAGTTCAAGGTTTTCAAAGTACATCCTAGCGAACTAATTTTTGAGGAGTTCGTCGTAAAGGTTAACATCCGCGTGAATACTTCGTTTCAGAACGAAGGAAAGCATATCAACCAGTTTTTCGGGAGAATCAACCGCATCGCTCAGAGAACTATGGCGTTGCTGGTCGAAAACAAATTCTACACAAAGTAGGGATTTCATTGAAATTTCCAATCGAAACGTCTAAATAAATTTCAGGTTAATGTACACAGATCATCAGTCATCTTGTAAAATCATAAAGACGGTAGTAACTTCAGCGAGTAGAAATACGGTTTCGATCCCAATCAAAACAAAAAAGGCTTTATTTTTCAGCCTTTCAACCTTCTTCGGAGTTTCGTAATGAATGTTATCAACGTCGCACTCAATTTCTTTTATAACTTCGGGCTACTCTCTTCAACAAAAGAATATGCTGAAGGTAAACCAATACCTTGACTAATCTGGTAAAAGGCTGTTTGAAGCATATACGGCATCCTTCCACGAAGGAAACGACGGTTATCCATGCTCGAAGACGTCGCCATTTTATTTTTCGAACAAGGTTTGAAATATAAATTTTTTCTGTACTTTGAGAAAAAAAAAACATTTTCAGGATGGTCGAAACAGGCCGCAGAGCACCTGGCTAGTGGCCAGCCATCGGTCGGAGAGACCTTGCAAGAAGAATTCTAAGTGCTCAGTGTAGGTGTTGTCGAAAAGACGGATAAGCGCCAGATTTTTAGAAAAATGGAAGCGTCTTTCGTTGAACACACAAACCTTGTGATGGTTTGGATCACTCAGGACAAAGTGAGCGAGAACTGCTACGAGGAGTCTCACTGTCCTTTGGAGGATCCTAGCGAGGTGAGCACTGCTTTCTATCCATTTATTCATTAATTCTCCAATCTCGTTTAAAAAGAAAAAGCGTTGTTGGGGGCGGAGTTTGCTGCTCGAAATTCGAAATCTGAACAGACTATACTGTTCCGAAAAAGTAAATTAAAGGGAAAATGATTTTTGGGAAAGGTCTACCAAAATGAAATTTACCCCAGGTTCCATTCGGATTCGAAGAGAACCCTCACATGAGCGGGGAATGCGACGAAGCGCCGCCGAAAGAGCGAGCCAGCAAATCATCGGAGATGTGCTACAGCATCGACGACGATGTTAGTTCAAGTTAATCGATTGTAAATAACATAACTTTCTGTTTCAGAACGGCACGGTTCCGTGTTCCTTTGCGCTTTCCAAAACCACATGGCTTCTTCCACTAGCCGCCTTATCATTTCTACTCCTCTGATTTCGCTTTGAGTCACTGCCATTTCAGTTTTTCTTTTTTCTTTCTTCCGCCTTTTTTGTGATCATCTCTTTTTCCATTGATATTGCTCTTCGAAATGACGGGTTTACACGAGTTTCCCGTTTACCATAGGTTTTAAAATATACAGAGATTATTTCTGTTCCCTGTGAATTTTTAAAAAGAATAAAAAGCTCTATTTGTTCTCAAGTTGACTGTGCATATGAAATTTTATTTGAAAAATATTTTTTTCAAAATCTGTTTTGAACAGAACGAGTTTTCATAATTTTTAAAGGTACGGCTAATTTATGTACAACTCAACATCTTTCCGATAGGTCCAGTAGCGCCTTCTTCATCCAAATCTTGTCGCACTGAAAATCCCCGATTATTGGTATTTCCCTAGTCGAAAACCTCCATCTGCTCCAAATGCTCTGACATCGGCGTCAATTTCTCGGAAATCTTCACAACCGCCTCGTTCTTTTTCTCCTCCAACAAAGCAGTTATTTTCTGGAGTTCAGCATTCTCCTGGATCAATGCCTGAATACCGAAAACTGAATTTTGTATTCATTCGAAAACGACTACCTGTTGATATTGGCTCGATTCAATTATTTTCTCTGCTTTGACTTCTTTTTCGTTTTCCAGAGCGTCTGGAACCAGTTTAATATATCAGAATAGGGAGAAATAATGCAGAGATGAAAAGAAGAAAAGGTGGAAGAAAGACGGACTGACCGATATTTTGTTCGAGTTGAAGACGTTGGTCCTTCCACTTCTCCTTCTCGCGTCGACGTTGTCTCTCTTCGCGGTGCAGATTCTTCTTCGCCTCTTCGATCTTCTCGTTTTCCATCTCGATTAGGCCCCTTGAATCAGAATCTTCGAAATATTTCAGCATGATGCTAAATGCTAAATGCGTTGAACAAAAAACGAAATAACTTCGGAAAAATAAATGACTTGAAAATAATGATCATGGTCAGAATGATTCTTTCTGTCGGGCAGACCTTGGAACTCACTTGATGTTTTCGTTGTCCTGTTCTGAGCGGACCTTCTGCGTTTTTTCGTCGTGGACCTCACGTGCGATGGCCGCTCGAATTTCCTTGAGGAAAACTTCTGCGCGTTCTCCTTCTCTCCTCATCTCTCTCAAAGCGATTCTTATAAGCCGAGACGAAGATATTTCTCACGTCTCCGATTCTGGAACACGCGGCATCGTCGCCGTTATGTTCAATCCTCGCGCGAGGTCGAGAAGTTTGTTCACGACAGATTCACATCGTTGCTGTTGCTGCAAGAAGGAATATGGTCTTGGTCGCTCTCCTCTGCGAAAACCTCTTTGAACGCGGCTCGTACTTTGGGAGTTATCAGCCAAGTTTCCTTGCTGATCTGCGAAATCTGCTTCTCAATGTCCAACAGTGTTTGCAGATCCTGAATACACGTGTTCAGATGATTCGCTGGAGCTCTTCCATTAATAGAACTAGACCAAACAGTTTGAAACTTTTTCAGAAGAGGTATACAGAATGCTGAGGAAATTTTGCGTGAGAAAGCTGAAAAATAAAAAGAATCTATAAATACTCAACACGCTATTTCAAAGAATATCTGCAAAGCTACTCTACGATTTCTCAAAAAACTTTCTATACTTTTTCATCTGTTCTGAATATCAAACTTTGACAATAGACGTTTCAGAAATGGACAACTCGGTGATTGAGAAATTCAATGAAATTGGTGAGAATGTATATACTATCATAACGCGCGGCCGTTTCGGGTCTTACAAATTGAGGAACTAAAGCGTGACCAATCTTAAAAAATGTTCACTCTTGCATCAACTTAAAAATATTGGTACAACTACACCTAGTGTTACTGAAGAGTGAAAAAGCGAGATGAGCAAAGAAAAAAGTATGACGGAGAAACAACGGGTACAATGGACCTGTTTTTAGGATGTAACTTCTCAAACGAACGATGTTCACAAAAAAAGATGGCAAAACTGAAGCTCGACCTGGTTCCTCTCGGTGGTCATCTGCCGAGCACGTTCTCCGGTGATGCCGTGCTCGCCTTGGGCCTGGAGAGCCACCTGGGCTCTCTTCTGTTCGTTGATGGCATGTAGCTCCTGCGTCTCCGACAGAACCTCGTCCAGCTCTCTTTTCACCTTTTCCTGCAAAAGTCCCCCTTTCAGAGACACGAGCTCCTCTCCAAACCCAGCGAGATCGCGTCTGCTCGCAGTCAACCTTCCAGTCGTCCCTACATCTCTCAGCCTTGCAGATGTCATCCTCAGTCCGCCGTAAATCTTCTTGGTGCTTCGCTTCAGCTCCGTTCTGAAAAATCTCGTTGATTGCGAAGTTAATTGAATGACTCCGATAAAGAGAAAAGTCTCCTCGCAGCAGCGAAGATCAGACAGACAAAGTTATCGCGATGTGTAATAGTTCTTAACTGATACTAACTAACTAATAAAAGAGTTTTAGATAGATACAAGTTTCGTTAGAACCCGAGCATTTTTTGATTAAATCCACTGGCGGGTCTCAAAAGAACGGTGGTATGAAAAAAACACCAGCGAAAATTCAAACGGCGACTTTTCCGATTTTTTCATATCGCTAGAGAACTTTCCGACGGCCACTTTTTCCGGCGAAACTTTTTCCGACTTTTTTTCTCGATAAAAATCTTCGTTTTAAATCTTCCTATATAAAGTAGGTAGTTGGTTCATGATTAAAACACAAAGAAATAGGAAAATAAATGTTAATAGATGTTTTATAAACCGAAATACATAAGGGAAAAAAGTCGGAAAGGAATCCGTCGGAAAGGTGGCCGTCGGAAAGTTCCCTAGCGATATGAAAAAATCGGAAAAGTCGCCGTTTGAATTTTCGCTGGTGTTTTTTTCATACCACCAAAAGAACAGCAGAGTTTTACAGTGTTCCACATAATAATTAAAATCTGCTTTTTTTTTTTGAAAAATCCACCGTTTTCAAAGTTTTGGGAAACCTTTTCTTAAAGTGAAAAGTTGTAAGATTAGAATTCATATTCACAGCACAAACAAAGTTATTATTGAAAGATATTTTACACGAAAATAATGAGCTTCAAAAAATGCATTCTCACAGCTACAGTACATCTAGTATTTATCGAAACATTTGAATTTCATTAAGGAATTTGGTTTACATCGGTTCTTGCTGATAAACTTTCAAAGAAAAAGGAGAAAGTAAGAGTTTCGAAGTCGAAAATCAAGAATGTTTAGCAGCTCTTCTGTCTTATTTTCGGTTTTAACAACTTTTCATTTGCCGTATTTTTCTGAATTTTTCTATTCCAGTAGAATGAAATCGAAGGGATAAGCGCATAAAACTTAGAAACCAGTTTTTCGAAGTTTGTAAAATCCCACATGAACTTTTTAAATGAGAAGAGTATGTTTTTAACTCCGAAAAAAAAAACTCGCATCCGCTCTGATCTCTTCGATGTCGTAATCCAACTGTTCTTTTGCTTTTTCCAGCATTTCCAGTTTGCCCTCGAGGTCGTCCTGTTGCGCGAAGAAATTTCTCAGATTGATCCGTTTCTCTAAAAAATTCCAGACGTCTCCTCATTTACCAACCACAAACAAACGTTCAATATACTTCGGATCGTTGATCTGAGATCTATTTTTGGTGTAGTCCCGGTAAGTGGAAACGAGCCAACTCAAACGTAAAGCCTTGACCGTCGCCTCGCGTTCGAAATCGTCGCTCGTGAAGAGCTTCTGGCCATTGTTCGTCAAGTCTTTCGCCAGCTGCAATTCAGGGGAATGACATGAGACTTCACTTCAGAGCAAAGTTTAATTGCAAATAATTTCAAAAACTGGTGGAACCTCTTGAGCCGTTCAATAGGCGTTAAATAGACATCCAACTCAGAATAAAAAATTTTTAAAGGCAAAAAAAAACATTATTGACTTTACTTAACGCAGTACTTTCAAAGTATGGTTCTATATAAACATAATTGAACGCTTGAAGATGTTCATGAAATAAAGCTCTACCTTCTCAATGTATTTAGAACAATTAAATTTTATTTCAATGAAAAAAGGAATCGAAAAAAATTTGGAAATTACTGAAGTCCAAACTTTTTTTCGGAATCGTTAAAAAAAACATCTAATTTTGAAACGAAATACCTTATTTGATGTTTCGAGTGAAATTCTGATAGATAGCCAAGAAAACGTACCAAGACATAATCGATGAGCCAGGACAAGACGTCGAGAAGGACGTACCAACTGTGAGGGACGCCCATCGGATTGAATGCGCTCGCCTTTATTGTCCCCGGATATCCCATCTCGCGCATCATCGGCGGGATCTCAAGTTTAGCTCTTTGTTTAGCGCCGATTAGCGTTCAAATAGTCCCCTTCCTGACTATCAGAAACTAACCAAGTCTTCAAGGCGGGTGCCAGCAGGAATTTCAAAGTTAGGGCTAACGTGTTGGTAGATCATCTCGAACATGTTGATGAAATCTTGACGATGAGGACTTCTGATTTTTGCTTCAGGAACGGCTTCCTAAAAATTAGAACTAGGAAAATATTCAACTTCTAACTTACATCGCCCTCATTATCGACAAGAAATTCGTGAATCTTTTTGATGTTTTCATTCTGCAGCGCTTTTATATCCTGTAAATGCGATGTAATTTCGGAACTCATTCAATATTATGAACTCTAGTAGCGGCCGTCGTCGTCCGAAAAAAAGAAGTGCGTCGACTGGCAGAAACAACAGTACTAGAGCGTGGATTTCCGCTCCTAAAATTTGACTCAATAAAACTATGAAGAAGTACATAAAATAAAAAAAACCTTTGAGTGCTAGATGGATAGCACTCGGAGAATCTGGGCTTTGTCGGAGTTTTCGCTCCTCCGTGAAGCCTCGGGTTGACTGCGTTCGCCGTCCGACGACGGTCTGCGCCAGCAAACATTGCTTTAAAAAAATATTATAAATGAACAAATAAGTTAAAAGGTGCTTGGATTGCTAATTAATTTCGCGAAGTTTAAAGTTAAGCTTAAATTATTTTGAACAATACCACACAGAGGCTCAACTTTTCATGAAAAAAAGCAAGAAAAAGATATATCGATTTATATATATATATATATAAAAATATTTATTTCAACGGCAAATTGCAGCAACGAGTTTTTAAAAAAACGAGGATTTGAATTTGGCGCCCAGTTTTGTGAGAACGTGCCCCATCGCATTCTCTTAAAAATAACTCACCGGAATTCGACCACATGCTGCCTTTGAGCTTTGAAATGCTGAAACATGAAAAAAATTAAGCACCATTATAGATAATAAATAACTAGAACCCAATTTTTCATATTTTTTTAGATTTTTTTTCAAAAATTTAAAAAAAGGAATACTTGAAGAAAGAAGTCCTGAGTTTCGAGACCAACTCTTTTACTTTTGCTGAAGATTTCAGTACCTCAGTAGAACTATTAAAAACTATGGAGGAAAAATCGTAAGAATCCACGCGAAATGTGGTAGGAATATTGAAGCAAAACTTACGTTCGATTATATGAAATATTTTTTATTTGATATTGGAAAAATTAAGTTTCGTATTATGAGATTCATTTATAACTAGGAATGAAGATCGATACTAGATGTTCCAGCCAGGTTGAGAATAGCTTTGATATACAATTTTGCAACAAAAAAGTCAGGTCTGTATGTCTGGGCCTATTTTTGTACGACACGTACATCCGAAAACAGCAAAAATGGAAAGCGATAAGAAATTCGCCGTTCAGGTTCAATTTTACAAAATATTTTTTGGTTGTTGCTGAATCAATATCTAAAACCGAGATAATGGACGCTGGAGAAAGTCATTGACGATTTTCAGGCAGCTTCTAAACGGATAAGCCACCCTTATTAAAACTGGTTGAAAACTTCTTTTTTCCCCGCTAGAGTTAAATTATTTAAGTTAAAAAATAAAGAAAGCAGTAAAAGTTGACATCTTCTACTCCCAAAAAAAAAACTTTCGAGCAATTTTAAAAGGTGAACGAAAAGAAGATGTTCTTCAGGTCGTCTACGGATGGAAGCCGTTGCTTCTCTCGACGGCGCGGTGTTTCACGCGAGTCGTCGTCCAATCGCAAATCCCCGTCTTCGTCATGTCCCACATTTCCACTGTCCTCATCTCTGTACTTTTTCTTTAAACCCTTAAGCAAAATTTCTAATTTCCACCCCTCTCAGGGCGAAAACGTTGCTTTGGATGTTGAGCCATTCGTCAAAGTCGTCGATAACGGTGCCACAGTCTCCTATTCACGGTATTCCCGTTGGGTCTCCGACTTCTATGATCTTTCAGACCAAGAGACGAACCATTTGATGAATATCTCGAAGTTTTTTGCGCTGACATGCGACGCTACAATGAAAATACAGAGGTCTATCGTATTCAAATTTGGAACTGTATAGCTATACTATATATAGTCTGTGTGCCACGACTTGAAATTTCACGGAACGGCATTCCGCTGTGCCGCTGCGCGCCTTTGCGAACCTTGGCCGCGCTTTTAATTTTTTTTTTCTTTTATTAAGGTACTCTACTTTCATTTGCTCCCACAGCAGTAACAATCAATTGAAAGCGTGACCTAGATTCGATAAACGCTTCGCGAAAGCACGCAGCGGAACAGCGGAATGTCGTTCCGTGAAATTTCAAGTCGTGACACACAGACTATAAATGCTTGAAAAAAAAAATGAAAGCTGAACTTCTCGAGGTTTGGCGTCGCCAGCCTTTTCACGTTTTTTGAGAATTTGTTTCGTGCGAAGAAAAAGAAGAGTTAAGTTTTTCATCAGAGTCGTATTCAGATTTTTGAAGAATTCTCCCCCAATTTCCCGGTATTTTATGTTTTCTTTATACTGAAATCATAGTCTGCGCTTCACGGAAAATCGAACAAATTAGAGCTGGGAGTTTCTCAATGCAAAAAAGCGTTTTTCAAATAAAAAGCTTTTTTTAATCGGTTATGAAAGTTTCTCCCGACTCTTGGAGCTGCAGGTGATGGTCGCAGACGGGACCCGGATCAAGTGTCACGACGTGAACCGCGTCGTCTGCAGCCCCGAAACGTCCGTCTGTATTTTTCACGACAATTGAAGACGACGTCATTCTTTGTGTTCTTATCAAAATAAATGCATTTAAAAACACGGATAATTCTCACGTGTTGGGATGAAAGCCCACCCCGCTCATTCCGACCTCCTGGTCGTTACTAACCCCTTGCTCTCTCTCTACTCGATTCAACTGACACTACTCGTCTAAAAGGTGAGAATCTGGAAATGAGATCCGGAGACGTCGTCCTCAGATGGGAAACAGACTCGCAGCGCCGACTCAGAAACGGGAGAAGCCCGAACATGCGCCCCTCAGAGTTGCCATGAAACGCGTCAAAGGCGTCGAGAAGCTCAACAAACTTCCCACGAGTTGGTTTTGAGAGCATTGAGAAGGAAAGTGAAGAGTAAGAAGCCTTCTTTTACGGAGAGGCACCGAGACATGAATTTCTAAAGGTTGCATCAAGCTCTTGTGTTAGCCAAGGTTCACAGAACATTTCTGAAAATTCATCGACTATCCAAGACCATGTGAATAATGTTGGCTGATAACCCAAAGAGCCAGGTTATCAATCAACAAAACATGTATTTTTTTTTCATACATTCAATCGGCTAGGAGGTGAAATTTCAAAGAAATTGAAGGTTATGAGAGACTTCCATCTGAAAACTCGGACGAGTGTTAAGGCTAGTTTATGAATGAATCCAAGCTGCTCTCACTTGTGAGTCGTCAAAAAAATTAGTGATTCTCAGTTGCACCTCGACGACAGTGCCTCCTTCGACTGTTGAAACAGAGTCGAGTCCACGATTACCTGCTGCTTGAGGTCGATTTGAGGCCCCAATCAGGAATGAAACGGAGTTTTCCAGGCGGAATTCATTCGCCGTCAGAACGTGAGGCGGCCTCTCGAAGTTCAGCGTCGGAACGAACGTCGCGTCGTGCATCAGCTCCGTGGGACGCCGACCACTCTGGCTCGAGTTCATGAGCTTTTCGAAGACGAGAAGGTATTCCAGACAGTTAAATAACCTGAAACATATTGTAGCTGATGAAAATGAGCTGAAATTTTTCTGAAGAAGTTTAAAATCTCCTTCCAAGACTGAAACGACTTGCAGCACGCAGTCGTGATCGTCGAGGGATCTAAGCGCGAATGGTACGTGCCGATCTTGTCGATCGTCGACAAAGACCTGCTTCGTCTGAACGCCCTCGTCATGGTGAAGGCAGGCGGCATGTTCAAAAACGTGCCGACGGCCGTCGTTGGAGTTCTCGATGACAAAGTTTTCTGTTTCATGGAATATGAAAAGCAAAAGGAATTTGTAGGTGGACAGCAACGCGATGGGACACAAAGTTGAGAAGGCGCCGAAAGAGACTTTCGAAGTTGAAACATTGCGATAAAAAAACGGCCAACATGGTTTTCAGGACATTGGAGGCTGTGAATCGCAGATCCAAGAAATTAAAGAATCGGTAGAGCTTCCACTGACTCACCCCGAATACTACGAGGAAATGGGCATCACGGCTCCGAAAGGAGTCATTCTGTACGGCGAGCCTGGAACTGGTAGAACTCAAGGTAACCAATATCTTCAAGCATCAATTTGAGGCAAAACTCTTCTGGCAAAGGCCGTGGCCAACTCGACGTCGGCGACTTTCATCCGGGCCACTGGATCGGAGCTCGTTCAGAAACACGGCGGCGAAGGAGCCAAACTCGTCCGTGAGCTCTTCAAAATGGCCAAGGAAAGCGCTCCTTGCATCGTTTTCCTTGACGAGATTGACGCTGTCGGTACCAAAAGGTCGCGTGCTTAAAAATGAGGAAATTATTGAGAAGTTAAGGTTTGACACGTCTTCTCGTGGAGAGCAGGAAGTGCAGAGAACGTTGCTGGAGCTTCTCAACCAGCTGGACGGCTTCGAAAGCCGTGGAGATGTCAAAGTAAGCGATCGGCTAGGGATTTATGGGATGTTGAGTTTGCAGGTAATTATGGCAACGAACCGAATCGACTCTTTGGATCCTGCATTGATCCGACCTGGCCGCATTGACAGAAAGATTGAGCTCCCAAGGCCCGACGAAAAGACGCGAGCCAAGATTTTCAGTGTTCGTTCTTGCTCGGAATGATCATCTACTGCTGCCTTTTCTTTGTTTCAGATTCATTCTAACTGCATGAATGTTGCGAAAGATGTCACCTACGACTCTGTGTTAGCCAAAGAGAAGAGCATCAGTGGCGCCGAGATCAAGGTTTTTATTTTTATCCTTTTGGATATATGAGGAATTTAAGGCCGTCTGCACTGAAGCAGGAATGTTGGCTCTGCGAGCTCAACGCAAGACGGTCATGAAGGACGACTTCGACAAGGCCGTCAAGAGTGTATTGCTCAAGACGAAGGCCGGCGCTCCCGAAGAGTTCTACCTCTAGTTTTCCATCACTGACCACACGATAAATAAATGATATATTTATTTTGTATCTTCTGTTTTGAAATTTTGGCAAAATATAATAACGTCTGCTTTTTTCTTCTAGGTTTCGCCTTGCATTGAAGTCATAAACAAATGACTTTACGAAAGTGTCAATTTTTATTTGACAAAAACTTGAGAAGTTCACAAATCGAAATTTTTTGAGCGTAAGAAATGTTTTTTTTTATTTTTGGTATTTCTTTGACAAAAAAAAGCTGACGACATTAACCATAAACTAACAAGAGTTTTCATTTTAGAAAAATTGCTATCGATTTTCAAAGGCAAAAAAATAGGGAAAAACTTATTAAGACACAAAAAAACTTTTTTTATTGCACTTTAATTTGATTTAACCGTGAAATTCCCTGAGTGGAAGGTACCCGTGGGAGGTTCTCGCATTTCCCTATCTTTCTTCGACCTGCCGCTGCAAAGTTCCAAGTCAATTTGGTCCAGAGTTATTATAATTGGGGCTGCTTGGACAAGTCACGTTGAAAACCAACCGCAATTAGAGGAAGAACTTTTTTGACGGTCGTTGCCTCGGCTTGGAACGCTTTCCGCGGATCCTGTAATGAACGAAATTAACTATATAAGTATAATTATATCCATTTTCGAAAATAGATCTAATCCAAGTCAAAATATTAAAAGCTCAAACTCGCCTTAAAAACAAAGAGAGAAAAAAATAAGGAGAAAAAAAAAACTAAATTGTCGCGTCGCTTAAAAAGAGAGAGCGAGAGAGAGAGAGTGTCCCGATTTAACTTTTGATGAAACTTTTCTGAAATGTAATTTAGAATCTCCTGAATCCATCCAGTAGAAAAAATGTATCGTAATAAATCTTTTTTTTTTTTTGATTTATGAAGTTTCAAAATTCGCAAAATAACCAAATTATGAGGAAAAAAAGCGCTTTTTCAAGCTTTTTGACGCGTCTAAAAATCGAGAACCAGATCTATTACGAGAAATTTTTTTACTTTTTTTCTGGAATAATAATATCCTAGGGAGGATATGACCATCAGCCCCAAAAAAAGATCACCTAATTTATTTAACCATCCGCAAATCACTATTTTGTCCCACAGGGACTGTTTATTTGCAAAAATGTTTCCTTTGGCCATTTTTCGCAGCGTATATTAAAAATTTTCTCTATCGAGCGTTCCAAGTTTTCTCTTCATAAATTATAAAAAAATCTGAAAAATAAACCTTATCAGAGCGTTTGGCTTCTTTGAGTAAGATGATGAGTTTATCGTGCTTACTGATTCCTTGTTGCCTCAATATCTGAATGAATAATATTTTCTTGTCTTCTCCGAAAAATACCTGTAATTCCGTAGAAGCGCCAGGATCCAGAAAGGCATACACTGGTGACACCTCAATAGGCCAATTTATTGTTCGACTGAAATTTCTGAGGGAAAAAGTTCTCAAACGAGGAAAAAACGCACTAAAAGGAATGAACAAAGGAAGCAATTTCCTCAAAACGTGCAACGTAGATTCCTTCCTTTTCAGAGGAAAAGTCTTTTGGTGTAAAAAAAAATTGAGATTGAAAAAGTCTGAAATTTGTCTTTGTTTAGCATACTATTTTCTATCTGAAGTTCATTTTTCTGTAAAATAAGACGTCGCAAAACTATTCTTTAAGTTAATCTGGACTTCTGGAACTTGCTCAAATAACTAATTTCTAGAGAAAAATCTGAAATTAACTTTCTGGTTTATTAGAAAAAAAGTGAAGCAGGAGCTCTTTTGACATTTTAACTAGGCAAAAACTTGAACGGACTTTTCTCAAAGATTAATAAGTGCGAATATCTGAACAATCACCTAGTGCACTTAAATTTTAAACCATGGCTCATAAAATTGTTATTCGAGATTCTGAAAAAAAAATAGGACCACAACTGAAAATCCTTTTTTATGAACTTTAACCACTTCATATTGTTGAAAGTAACTCATAGTGTCTCAAAAACATAAATAAAACGGAGAAAACACCTTGAAAAGGGAGTTGTTGCTGCACTTGACTTTGAAGACGACCCGGCACATTCCATCGTTGATCATGGCGTGTTTCGAAGCGCCACCGAGTTCGATAAACTCGGCGAACGGCGGCTCGAGCTTCATCGATACCGCCGGTCGAGGGTCCGTCTGTGACGTACTTCTGAATATTTTTATTTTTTTTCCTAACTTCTTATATATTTTTGTTTGCTTTGATTTTTAAACTTCTATCCACTTTTCTGAACTATGATCCATGATGCTTTCTTCGAAAAAAGTATGAAGAAGATTTCAATATTTTTCTTGCATTATTGAATCTATCCTTGGATGCATCATAAACCATTATAAACCACATAGACACTTGAAAGGAAAAAAAGACGGCGCCATAAAAAAAACAGAAAATGGCCGAATTGGCTTCCAAGTAATATTTTTCTTCCCCGTGAAAAACGGCTTTCTCCGACCAAAAAAACGGCATCGTTCCAGGAAATCTCGCGAAATGGGGTCTCCGACGTATCATCAATCAGACTCACTTGGACGAGGATGGGAAGAATCGCATGGGGTCGACGTCGCAGTAGATCTGAATGTTCGACGGCGTCGTCATCCTGTCTGAAACACCAGGAGACAGTTGGAAGCCGAAGAGAACTAAAGGTTGAGTGAGCGTCCGAAAGAAAAAAGAAGAAGGAAGCAGCTAAAGAAGAAGAAAAGGGCGGGAGCCAGGAGAATATAAGAAGAACATAATCGATGCATCTTACCTCCTGCAGACTCCAGCGAGAGTCTCTTCCGCGACCCAAATCGCAGTCACGTCGCCGCTAAACGCCGAAACGGACGGCTCTCCTTCAAACGGACTCCTTCTTTTCAAAAAGGTTTATATCAAACTCGAAGGCTTTGTTTTTAATATCATCTCGAGTGTATGTCCAAACGAATTCATCGACCAATTTTCGATGTAGCAATGGTCCAAAAGTATCTTAGCAACGCATATATCTCAAAAGTTCAGTCTCTTTCGAGCCCAATAGTCCCTAAGTATGGCCAGAGCGTAATTGCGTTTCAGAACATATTCGCCTGATTGAAAGAGCTTCAGAAAGGCTGATGATGATTTTTTTTCCATAGAACATGAAGCTGTAGTAAAATTTCAAGATTAAAAACGAGTTTAAAATCTCACGAAATTGATCCGGTTCAAAACCTATTAGAAATCAATTTGAAAAAAACCTTCGATTCGAAACTGATAGGATAGGTTAGAAAAAAAGCCTGACGGTCTCGGAGCGAAATCGCAGGAGGAACCGCACCATGGCTATTGAGGCGGAGATTCACCACGGTGCCAGAATGAATTGGCAAAGTGTTGACGGGAGGCTGAGAAGCGAAAAACGCGTCAGATCCCACGGGAAGGTCCGCCGTCGCCTCGGGTTGAAACCGCTCTCCCAAGTTTTTATCGATGAGATGTGCTTCTAATAACACTTCTTTGTTCCTCATATTTATTTAGTGATCAAAATCTTCGCGCAAGTTGAAACATTTGCTTGGACAGCGACTTTCTTTTTCGCGACTTTTTCAATATTGCAATTTCATAGTTTCTTTGAATTTAAATGTTTCATTAAAACGATAATTCTTTCAAACTTTATGACAGTAACACTGGCCCAAAACTATGTCACGTTTTTTGAAAAAAAAAAAAGTTAGAAGAGGAACTTGATTTGTGATTTTCAAAGGAAGACGAAAAAATTTGGTTTAAAAACAGCAAACAAACAGTTAAAAAACGACCCCTCGAACGCGGCGAGAAGAAAATATACTTTTTTTTCGAGTGAATTCTTGAAGATTTGTCTCGTTAACTCTTTTTTAAACAATTAGAAGAAAACGGTAGCAATTTGAATGTTCCTATTATATCTTAATCTACGATCTCAAACTACTAATTTATTCGGCTTCTAAAGCAATCGTTCAATCTCAAAAAGAGCAAAAAAAGATTATTGAAGATGAATACTGAATAATCTCAAAGAATACACATATCATTGAACCTTTTTCTCATATGAACTTGCAACTGAACCTTCGAGACTCAATGAATCAAACGCTAACATAGGCAGAAAAGAGCTCCTGACCGATGGAAATGTCACGAATGGCGACAACGCAGACGACGCGCAAGGGAATGGCTGTGGCCGACGGGTTGAAAACAGCATACGGTAAGAACTTGCGCAGCGACAGCGGCCAGTCCTGCACATCAAACTCCATGTACTGTACGTTGTGCTGGCCATCATGCGTCGCGTTGTTGACGTAGTGACCGAGGTTCAGAAAAGAGAACGGCTCCTGGCCTAGCCACGTCAAGTCAGAGGTATATGGAGCAGGGAAATCGCGGCGAGCACACGACCGGTGGACGATTCGCGAGAGTCGACGATCGTTTCCGTCGACGGAGACGCCGTCACGACACGTCAGCACGAATTGGTTCCCAAGCGACTGCAGAAGCAGCGGGTCACCGACGCGGTAAATCGTCCCTGGGTAGACGCAAGCAAGTTGGCCGCGTCGGAGGTTCCCTTCAATGTACAAGAATGATAACAGTTATGAAGAGGTTTTTCTCCTTTCTAGTATTGGATCGAAAAATTCTACCTTGCTCCACGAACACGCCGCGTCCTGCCACAGAACTCTCTTTACGTGAAAGACGGAAGCCAAGGTGTTGTAGCAAGATTCGAGAGACTTCCTCACTTTCTCTTCCATCGGTCGGCAGAGAGAAGTTCTTGCTCGGAAAGACGCGCTCGAGAACCAAAAGGGCTGTCTTCAACTGGGCCGCTGAAAACTCTGAAGTGGATAGCTTATTCTTCCGTTGCGGAATAGCCTTTTGCAGCAACCAAAAAAGTTTGGGGTTTAGGGAGGTTTTGCGAAATCCCAAATTCTTAATTTATTCGTGAAAATTCGGAATTCAAGCTATTTCTCAAATTCTGCAACTTTCTCTTTTATTCTTCAACAATCCAAAATTCAAACCCTCCGTTCAAATTTAATGAGCCATCGAACTTGCAAGAAAGCCCCACAAATTTCCGTGATGAAGGATATTCGGATGCAAGTTCAAAAAGAAAACAGATTATCTGAGATTTTGGAAAATTAACCCCTACTTTCTATAAAAATTCAAATATGCAGGTTGGTGGGAATGTGCTTACGAACTCTTCTTTACACACTTTGTGAAAAGTCCGAAAAACGCCTCTTTCAATCTTTCGAAAGTCCAAATATCCAGGCGGTCACATAAAAAGGTTTATAGGAAAATTCTCATTCGAAAGAAAGAAAAAACCTGACAAAGTTCTTCCACATCGCACAATTCCTCAGTTTTTGGTAGCCGCCGAATGTCGTTGGTCAAAATTTTGAAAAGCAGAGCCGGCGCAAACCGATTTTTATAGTCGGCTAACCAGCTGCGTAGTATTCCAACCATTCAATTCTTAGAAAAATTCAAAACCGTCCGACAAAAAATTTAATCACAATTCAAATATTCGACAAAATCGTAACTGTTTAGAAAAAATGAAGACAAACTACATGATCACAGATTTATCAGGAACAAAGTGAATGGATCAGACGTCTTGGACTTCTCCTGCAACCGCGACGGCTTCGATCTCGACGAGTCCGCCCTTTGGCAAGGCTGCTACCTTCAAATTTGTTCATTCGTTTTTGTTCCGTTTTCGAAAAAATTTAAAAATTTTTCCACAAAAAGGTGAACGCATGAAGTTCGCGTTGAATATCTTAAACTTGAATATTTCTGATTCAAATAGGTTTTGCAATGAGCGCTATTTTTCTTTTAGATTGGTAAATAAAATAAACCTTTTGGCCATTTGTTTGTATATTTACGTCAAAACAATATTCAGAAAAGTTCGGTCCATCGAAAAGACGTTAGAGATAGAATATGGTGGATACGTTTTTCATCAATCTATTGTGATCTTTTTTTCAAATAGAACTAATTCCTATCGAAAGGCTCATTTCTTTAGGCCAACTCGATATTTTTTTCCTTGAAAAATTCAAAGTCATTACGAAAATGAAAAAAAATAAGTTTTTGTATTCCACGGTATTGACATCGGAAGGTATAACTCAGAAGAAGAGGAAAAATCATTTCGCAAATTTTTCGCAGAAGTCGAAGGAATTTCCCAAAAAATTTGTTTTTAAGAACAGGTAAAGGTGTTTTAAACCTTAATTCAGTTTGTAAACCGTCGGCAGTTTGTTTTCATTACCTTTATTTTTCAACTTATTGTCGTTCTCAGGGATTTTCTTGAATTTTGGGCTAGAAGTTCGGAAACTACGTTTGTTTTGAAAGTCTTAACTTCAATCTATAAATAACACGCATATACCGGAGTGAGCTTTCCATGTGCGCGACATAAGTTATAAGTTATTTCAATCAACTGAGCAAGAATTTGACGGGCAGTGGGCGGAGCTTTGCCTTTTTTCAAGTGATTGTTATAGCACCTGGTAGGCGGCTCTGGCCGGGAACTTTTCCGTGAAATATTCTTTGTAGACGTCGTTGACAGCCGCAAAATCGTTGATGTTCGCTAACAGAACAGTTGTTTTGACAACTGAGAAAGTTGTGAATTTTGCAATATGCGGCAAGAACAAACCGTTGTTGTAACCAACGCCGGCGGCCTTGAGCACTTCGCCAATGTTTTTCAACGACTGGTGAGTCTGTTCGACGACGCCGTTCTTCAGTTCTCCACTATGTGGGTCCAGCCCTAACGATCCGCTCAGATAGATAGTGTTACCAGCTCTCACTGCTTGACTAAAACTTTTCGATAAATACTCTTTTTAACACGAGAGAACCTGAAATGTTTTCAAACAGTTCTTAAATACACCATATAAATAAAAAAGCGAAACATCAAACATTTTCCCATCCTTGAAAACTAATGAATGGAAATCTTTTTCACTCCATGAAAGTTGTTAATTTTGCGGAATTACTTTGAGCACGGCCTTAAACACTCTTCGAGAGGTTTCCTTCAAACCTTTGGTATATATCCTAAACTCTTTCACAGCCTTTTCGAAACCTAACAACTAGATCCTGGTGAAGGAAAAAGACGTAGTTGAAAAACACCCGAACAGGCAGAATACACGGCTCTACTGAAAACTTAGTGATAAAAATATAAAAACCTGTAAGGTCCAATTGCAGCTGGAGCACTCGTCGAATGGATAATTTGGCGAGTGATTTTCTGCGCCATTCCGGTTGCAAGACGCCTAAAATTAGCCTCCAGCTCAAAAATGATCTAGCAGAGAGCGAAACGGACGAACACTGCGAAAATGTTTAACATCCCACTTATTTTCTGGACCATCAGACTCAGTTTCACTGTTCTCCCTTTTTAAAACAGGACCACTTGGCGGTAACAACGGCATGGAATCTGAAAAAAAAAACTTACATATCACAGACTGTGAAAGTGCGAATTGAAAATGAAACTATGGCGAAGACACGTTGGCGGCGCAACGGTATTACACAACCAATTAATTTGCTTTACTGCTAAATGTCTCGGAATGCAACCGGCAGATACCACATGAAAGTTACCCCACCAAAATTCAACAAATTCAGTAACAACGATTTATAAAGAATAATAACAAATTTGGAGTTTAGCTGACAGGAGCAACAGGTTGCTGAACAGCAGTGGCCAGGGGAGCTTCTTTCTTTTCTTCTTTATGCTGGGAGTGAGGCTCTTTGGGGAGAATCTCTTCAGCAGGCTCTTCAATGTGTACGTGATCAGGAAGAGCGTTTTTAGGGCCGTTCTGTCCACGAGGATCGTGAGGAAGCATGATCTTGACCTTGATACCGATAACACCTGAACTTTTCTTTATTTTTACCGAAAAATTACCTTAAAATAGAAAAAAAAAACCTACAAACCTTGTCGCAGTTGAACGTGTCGGACAGCTTGCTGGATATAGTCGTTGACTGGGTGTCCGGAGTGAATCATAAGTCCATCGACAAATTTCATTGCCTTCGCACGTTGTCCACGCAATTTTCCGGAGACGATGACCTACAATTGCGTTGAATAATTTTTTCTGAGTGAATGCGTAAATTCAAAAAAAAAAAAGCTCTTATCAAAACTTTGATTCATTCCACCATTTTACCAATTCTGTTGCTTTGAAGTTTCAAGTTTTCGATTCATATTTGATCTTTAAAGTCCTTTTGTCGGTAACATGCTAGAAGACTTATTGAAAAAAAAAAGAATTTAAACCTCATCATCTAATTTGACAAAAAACAACCTAAACGCGATTGTTAAAATCGTTCAAAGAGGCTAGTCAACATTTTTTTATCCGTCAGGTAACGATGTTTAATTTTTTTCATAATCAGTGCATAACCGGAAAAATATCAAAAAAAAAAATTGAAAAGACGAAAAACTGAAAGTATTAGAAGAAAAAAGTTTAAAAAATTGAATGAAACCAAATTCGTTTTTACCGTAGTTCAAAAAATTGATTGAGCGAGAAAATCTTTTATTTCTTCTTTATTTATTTTGGATCTCCCGAAATTGCTTTGAACACACCATGAAAATGAAGTTAAATGGAGAAAAAAAAAAAGCTTACTTCGCAACCCTGGGCTCCAGACTCCATGATGAAACGGAGAACACCATAGCAAGCGCGACGGACGGCAAGTCCTCCAACCAGCTTGTAACGAAGAGATTCGCACTGCGCGACCGCGCAAAGTCCTCGGTTTGACACCTTCTCGGCGTAGAGCTAAATACCACATGAACATTGTTTTGAAGCGGATAACTTCAGGTTGTTCCTTTCGCCCCATACATTTTTGTTTGAAACATTCTTTCTATTTTCAAACTTTTATTTCTCATGCTGTATTTAACGTCATTTTGGTAATTTCTGGCTTGTGCGAGGGCCGGCCCGTCAGTCTATCAGCGCCTCGACCATTTCCTAAGCCCGGCGAGGCCTCAAGCAAAAACACACACAACGCTCAAATTTTGTTCAAGTCGTTCAAGAATATCAAACTTTTTAACAACAAAAAAACATGTTTTTTTGAATATTTTTTTCATTTGCAGTTCAACAAGAACTATGATTTTACAAGATAAAATGACTTTTGATTTAGAATCTTTTTTTAAGCTTGAAATTACCCAGGCAGGTCCGGCCGGCCTGACGCACTCGCATGCTGAGCAGGTGTCTCAACGGGTGTACCCGTATTAAACCCGTGTTTCTGAGGTTATTTTAGTCTCAGTTGGGCTAAAACGGGGGAACATTGGGTGTAAGAAGAATGTGTAACCCAATTGGGCTAAAGCGGGGTCTCAGTAGAGAAAAAAAAAACTGCCAAAAGTTCTACCAGCTGGGCTTATACGGGTTCAATACGGGGGCACCCGCTGAGACCCCGTATTAGCACCTCTGGGTTACCCTGCTCAGCATGCGAGCACAAGTAATTCTTAAAGTAATTCCCGCGAAATTCAAAATAGCCGTCGGAGTGAAAGAGATAGCTAATTTTTCGGTAAGTCAGAGATGTTTTTGAATTTCTCAGAAAGTTATTTGAACACGGCATAGTGTTCCGCAAACTATTAAAAATAATGATTCCGACAAGAATATATCGCGATATGCCACTTTGGACGATGATTTCAACGCGCAAACTTCAAATTCTCAAAGTCTTGTGGTTTTTTCAATGAATATTCGAATTCTCGAGTCACAAAGTTCTAAATTCAAAGACTACTTTTTATTGTCTTATTGATAGTACCATGGTAAGAAAGAGTTTTGGGTTCACGAATATTCGTGAATTGTGCAAAAAACTATCTTGGGGGGCCCGAATCTTTGAAAGTTTGAATCTTAGAAAACGATTGTTGGAAATATTCACCTATATTAATTTTCTTCTAAAAAGAAGTTGATGGAGAATGCGCAAAGAAGGAATAAAAATAAAATATATTTTCAGCAGCAAATCTTTGACTACGTGTATGCGAGAAAGACGCATTATTTGATAGAAAGTGAGTGGAAAATTTTTGTGTTCATCAGCGGTCGAAACACGACATCATCAAAATTAGACGCGAAGTAAAAAAAAAAAGAAGATTCTTATTATTTATATTTGACTAGTTTTTCTTGCTTTACTCTGCAAATATGTTTGCATTTTCCGAAAAGAAACCTCGCAATTCAATTCCATCAATTTTCGGATAGGTCATCATTATTTCGTAAAATAGCGAACCCAGATAAAACTGTTCACGAAATCCTCTAAGAAATAAAAGAAATCCATCGAAACATAATGACTCAGAACAGACATCAACTATTATGTGAAAAAAACAAGGAAAAAAAGTCAAGAAAACCAACGCCGATTTTGAAGTGACCTCTTCGCAGGGCTATTCTCTCATTGTCCAGCTCTGCTTTTTGAATTCACATATCCAGGTGATGGCTTTTTAGAGCAATTAATATATTGGAATTACCAGCTATTTAATGCTCATGCTGAGTCCGCGTTCAGACGAGCGTAGCAAAACAATATTTACTCGTTCAAAAATCCGAGGGAAACACGGCAGATCCCCACAGCGTAATTTTTTGGCCCAGCCACACCAGTTCAGACCTACAGGGACCCGTCCGGTTTGCACTGCGCCGTCTCCGCTGTCCATACTAGACCATTTTTGATCATTTTTGGTATTGAATACAATTAAGAAGGCAATTTCCGACTTTAATAGATAAAAAATTACAGAAAAAAAAAGACTTTTCACTTACTAAAGACGCATTTCCCAAATTAGGCCATTTTTTTCAAGGCTTGCCAGCGTTCGCAAAAAAACTTGATTATTAAAAAAACTAAATTTGTATCTTTAAATGTTTTATACGTGTTTTTCTTTAAATTTGTTCATTTTTTTCGTACAAAAAGCGCGTTGATAACGAAGATATCGCCCAAAAACCGCCATGGGTGTATGCACAAATTCAACCTACAGAGTGCCAAACCGGACGGGCTGAACAGATGTGCAGCCTAACACTAAGAATAACTGCCGAGATAAACGCGAGACACTGGCGGTACATTGACGAGCTCGCAAACATCTCGCTTTTTTTCTCGCGCCGGTTTCGCATTTGTCTGGGCGCGAGCTCGCATTTCTCTCGCAATTTGAAATTTCCGAAATGCGAGATGGCGCCAAGAAAAACGCGATGTCGCGCCGAGATAAATGCGAGATCGCGCCTAGAAAAAAGCGAGATGTTTGCGAGCTCGTCAATGTACCGCCACCGACCTCGCGTTTATCTCGTCAGTTATTCTTAGTGTAACCCACAAGAAAAATATTTTAACAGTAAATACATATTCGAAATTTGCCAAGTAGGCAGAGCCGTCTAATCACGCTGTGAGAATCGGATGCGTTTCGTTTTAGCCAAAAACTTTTTTCTGCGCGTAATTAGCTTTAAAATTGGCATAAGTCGCGAAAATTACGATGTGGGGTTCTGCCGCGCTCCTCTGCGATTCTTTTCGTGATTTTGAACGAATAATAGATTTTATTTCGAACAGCAATAGAAGACTTGCTTTAAGAACATAAGAAATAGTCGCGGAATAAGGGTCGAACCATATGAAATTCAGACCTGATTTTTCGAGAGAACAGCTACATTTTTTTTCAAACTAACTTTGAAAAAATCCTTCCAAAGAGACGCAGTGGAAATCTGCCTCGTTTCGACCACTGTATTCGAGCCAAATAACTTTTTTCTTTTTCATGTGTGACAAATATTTGAAAATTACACACAACAAAAAATATTTAAAATTATGCACTTTTCATGAACCAGTGAATAAAAAGTGCGCAAAAACCAATTATTTTTTTTTTGGCTGTTGTTTAAGGCGATCGGCTGGATTACGATAGTTTACAAAAAAATTTTTTTGAGATTTGACTTATCTTGTTACATCGACAAACAGCGCAAGACTGACCGTTTCACTGAGCTCGTTCTCAAACATGCGTGAACTTTACGTGACGAAATATTGAGGTTGGCAAATGATTCTAATAGCTTAAAACAGTGCTGCTGACGGGGCGCCCCGCCCCGTTTAGTAGATGAGTAAAAATGAAGTTTAAGTGAGAAAATCTGCAAAGTAACCACTAATAAATAAATCTAATAGTCGAAGAAAATGAAAATTCATTCATATCATTGAGTAACTGTGGAGAAATCTTCTCACAATATGACCGCTTCGCGGGGCGCCTCGACCCGGTCTGATCAGCAGCTCTGGCTTAAGAGGTCAAGAGAACTAATTGTCATAAGAAAAAGAGTAAGCTGAAATACATTTCTTTTTAGAGGTAAACGAAAACAACTAAAACAACAAACTCAATGATTTGAATTTGAAAAAAATCAAATTTGCATGAAGGACCACCGTCAAAAAAAAGTTCAGTATAATAAGCAAGCGAAGAAAGCTATCAAAAACTTTTCTCGCATAAAACTGAAACTATCTACCCCGTAATGATAAAAAAAAAATTGAAGAAAATTCAAAGCCTTCTTTTTCGAGATTTCGGTAAAAAGATTTTAATTCGTTTATTGGAACAAACTTAGTTTTTGCGCATCTGAATAACCCACCGACTTATGGATTAATTATTTAAAAAGCAACGCCATTTTTTTCATAAAATAACAAAAAAATTAAAATATGAAGAAACCTCAACAGATCCCTCATCGAAACCGAAACGCTTCTGGACAACAGAAGTCAGCTCCTTAATACGACGTCCACGCTCACCAAGAACGTTCTGCGTACGAGTGGCCATGATGATAACTTCGGCTCTAGCTGGCGTGCTTCGTACCTAAATAAAAAAAGTTAGGTCACTATATTAAAACAAAAAACATATTGGACTGAAAAAAACTGATGTTTAAAAAAGCAAAATTTTTCGTTAGCATTTTTTTAAAGTTTGAGCCCCCTGTCTAGTTTCGACATTCATTCCGTTTCTTATTAAAAATGTGCCAAAGTCGCTAAATCTGATTTTTAGCTGCGGAGACCTTTTACACCTTTACTATAGACTATAGTAACAAAGAACGTAGCAAATTGAATAAAAACAAACCTCGACTCCGGAGTAACCGTCTTCAGCAAGCTCTTTCATGAGGAAATTGTTGAGCTCGGCCTTGAAGATTCCATTTTGGACGGCCTTCTTCTTTTTCGTAATATTTTGGTTAGCAGCCATGATTTCCCACTGTTCGAAAACTGTAAAATACGGTCATCAAAGAAGAGTTATCGACAAATCGGGAAAAAAATCGACTAAAATTTCCAATAAAACTTTTTATACGCTTTTTTAAACGCTTTTTTCATCAAAACAGATAACTGAAAATCGAAAAATTAACGAAAAGCAATAACAAAATTTAAAAAATTAAAATTAAAAAAGAAAAATGCGTATTTCTCGGCTCCGACAACGTATAAGGGTCGAATACTCAGGCCTTGCCAGCTCTGGCAAAGGGAGGGTAGGGAGCGAAAACAATTAACTCGCCGCGTCATGCGCCTTTAATAAAAGTTTTTCAAATGTTTCCTTGAAAGCGTTTTTGTGCTTTGTTTCATATCATGTTCCGTTTGAAGTCATTAATGCCATGTTCAAAGTAACTTTTGCGAAATTCAAAATAGCCGTCAGAAATAAAAAAGATAATTAAATTTTGGAGAGTCAGAGATATTTTTGCTTTTCGCGTAAATTACTTTATAAAGTTTCTCTATGTCGTGTTAAATTTAACACGGCATAGAGAAACTTTACGAAGATACATTTCACGAGCTGAAGATGGTTCAGTAAACTTATCTTGTGTTGACGCTTGCAGAAACGTATTTTTTTTACGTTAATAAAAAGTTATATTTACTTTGTTCAATATTTTTTTGAAGTATTTATAATTTTAATATATTTTTTGATTTTTTTATAATAAACGTTTATGCTTTTCAAAGTGATTTCCGCGAAATGCAAAAATTATATCTGACTTCCCGAAATTTAGTTATCCTTTTCTTTCTCTGGCGACTATTTTTGGATTTCGCAGAATCACTTTGAACACGGCATTATTTTTTTCCGGAAGTTTACTCACTTATCAATTCTCGAAAAAGATTTTTTTATAGAGCAACTTATTCATATCCAATTTTCTACTGTTTTAACAAAAATGACCGAAACTTTCAACGGTGTATTTTTTTATGTATTAAACCCTGAAAAAGTGATGAAATTCTCAAGAAACCCGTTTTTTAAACAATCAAATAAAAAATAATAAAATAAATTTCACATAGCTTTTAATTGTTTGCTGTTCTAATTTTTGAGTACGGAACTTTTTTTGTTTTTTTGTCCGTTACTCAAATCAATTTTCGATTCTTCAGGTGATTATGGAAGAAGGGAAAATTGTACTAATTGGAAATGAAACAGATTTACTTCATTGTGGGTACAGTCATGCTATCAAGGATTCAGGAAAAAGGTCAGTTCACGGCTACAAGCGATCTTTGGTTTCATAGCTAGTTTTTACAGATATCCAAGTGCTGTTCATTACACACATTCGATGATTCTCCAACAGTTAAGTGTTGATGAAACAGTCGTTGACGAACTACTATGCACGTCTAGTTATGACGTTCCTGAGAAGGTTTAGCTTTTTTCGTTATCATTTGGCAATTTCAGATGTTCGTATCAAAAAAAAAAGGATTTGGTGCGTATAATTTTTTTTTTCCAATTTTTTCATGTGTTCTCCTTTGCACCATTAAATTTTCAGGCAAGGCAGCTCTTAACTCATAATATGCCACCGGGCCATGACATGAATTCTCTCGCGTCTTATTTGCAAAGTAGTCGACAGTCTTACACAATGCAAGGCCTACGACTACGGGTTGAACAAGACCACGGTTATTCTGCTCTTAAAATTTAAACTTATCCACTTTCAAGAGTTCGAAAAAGCTCTGATGGACACGAAGGAAGCATTGCTGATAGTTTGCGATCCGAGAGATAGTGAGCTGGGAATAGGTAAAACCAAAGTTGATTACTTGTATTCAATTTTTGATTTCCAGGAATGGATGAAAAAACGTTTGTCGAGTGGATGGCTCGAGAAAAAGTGGACACTAAAATGATTGGTTATTGGATGCGTAATGATCACTCGAGGCCTGCAGACCTGGGTCAAAATCAACTAGGGTGCCGTTTATAAATTATTTATAGTGAAATTTTGTATATTTCTGACAAATTTTTAGTTTCAGTTTTCTATTATACTTTTGTCAAGGTTTTTCCTCATGTGGCTTCGCTATGAAGTTCGAGAGAAACGGAAAGCTGCGTTATTGGTTCGTGAAGTCCGTCAAGTTAATGGACTATCTACCGATAAAGAGGACCAACCAGTGAAAATTTCTGTCAATGATCTCATAATTTCTCTCCAAGTGAGAAATTTGTGATTTTTTTTTTCATTAAATGTTTCATTTTAAGGGTATATTCCGTCCGTTGAGCAATTATTATCCACTACCTTTTTGAAATAAAAAGTGAGTATGAGTTTCTCTTTTTATAAAAATTGTCATTACAATAATGCAGGGCGGGAGATATCGTTCGGTAGAACATTACGCTTTCGAAAAACTTTTGAACGCACTCAAGATCGACGAAAAAATTATCGAAAAAATCCAGACTACAGTACTGCCTATTCATGTTGGCCTCGTTGCTTGTCGTGTCTTGAAAATGCTTCAAGTAAGTTCGAAGAAATCATTTTTGTCTTAATAAATAAAAAAGTTGTTTACCTAATTTATTCTCAGATCGATAAAGAGCTTATTCTCGAAAAAACATCAAAAATGGATAGATGGCGACAGTCTGCAATGAAGCACAAAATCGTTCATAATGAATATCTTCAACAACTTTTATTGAGTACGGGAGATGCTTTGCTCATCGACTGCGCAGGTGCACAAAAAAAACTTGCTTATGAAGGTTTTTTTTTCTCAGAAGGGGATCGCATGTGGACTTGTCGGTCAACAGAAGTGGAACTCCAGCGTTTGTTAACGAAACCTTACGTTAGTCCCGAAAAGATCGTTGAATGGATGAGTGCTGAGACGGTTCGTGAATTGAGAGTTTTTTCAATGTTGAATCACTGCAGGAAAAAATTCCCAAACCTTTGAAACACTTGCAAGGGAACAAAACTGGGTTGCTTCTCATGGAATTACGCGGTAAATTGGCAACTGCAACACAAAGCCGGATTCCTCTTGTAAGTGTACGATAACCGCTCCCCGTTATTTTTGTAAAATAGATTTCTCCAATCAACACTAGCGCTATGACTTCTATCATAACACACAATGTGATCTGTTTCACCGCCGAGTCTGTTTGGCATCCTTTGTATCCCGCCGAGATCCGACCAGCACCTGATCAGCCTCTCATGCCTTCTCCAGCTCATTTTGTTGCTCAACAAGCCGTCAGGTTTGGCGATTTTCCGTTTATAACGTTGATCCGACCTTCCCAGATATCTTGGAATGAACAAAGAGGACACGGATTACATTCTCAGCACGAACTCTTCCTTGGAGTGCTGGTACCGATTGCATGAGATGATTGAATCCAAAGGACGAGGTTTGGAGCGAGAACAAAGTTGGTGGATGGAGAAACGACAGAAGGTTTATTCGAAAAATGTATTATAATATATTTTTTTCTCTATTAGGCCATCAAAGATTCGTTACAACTACTGTTGGAACAGCATCCACCACTTCTCAGAGCGTTGATCGATACTGGTGACTCAATGTTGGTAAGTATTTTAGCTTTCTTTATTTTGCGGATTTTTCATTATTTCTTCTATAAAATGAACTGGTTGGGTCATACGAGTTTGAAAAAAATATTTCTCACGGTAACTTCGACTATTGTATTATTGGTTTTTATAGGTGTTTGAAAGTAAAGTTTAATTGAAAAACCTTCATTCGTTTTTTTCTAACTTTTTTTATCAGCAAACTTTGTGCCGTCTGTTTGTTAGTCAGAACATTTTTTTAATTATTTCGTTTTATTTTTTTATTTTCCTTTTGTTCAAAAGTTTTTTTCTTTTTCCGAAAGTTTATCGAATTTTTTTACAAAAAAATATTCAAAGTTTCATTTCAATTCAAATCTATCATCCATCTCTATTTTTTTCGTTTAAAAAAACAAATTCATGCGTTTCCTTTTTGATAAAATTATATAGTTTGGAAAATAGTTTTTAAAAAAAATTTTCTTTTCTACTTGCTCCAAGTTAATACTCGAGGTCAAACTTTTTGGAGGATTAATCAATTTTTTGCTATTGATATTATTGGATAGTGTTTTTAAAATGTTTTTCTTGAATTTCTGGTTCATTGGTTGTATGCGATGCTGGTCTTATCTATGTTTTGACTGGTTCATCTAGGTTACTTATTTATATTGAGCTCTGTTTGTTCTGACAAATGAAACGTTTTGGGGAAAATCGCAAGATTTTTCTCATCTCAGTGTATTCAAACTTTTGTTGTGTTCACTTTTGCTTTTTATTTGAATTCATGAACGATTTGAAACCGACTTTTACTTATTACTTCAAACTTGTACTATTTCAGAAGTTTCAATAACTCTTTTCAGGTTTATTGCTCGCGATTTTCCTCCATAGAAGCAGAGTTATCTATTGGAATGAGGGAAAACGATTTGCGTTCGTGGATGTGGGCCGTCGAAGTCTCAAGCAAGCAGGTTTATAATTTAATATCCGGAGTAGTCATCAATTCGAAGTTATTTCAGCTTTTGGAGCTGTGCTCAAGGCCAATGGCTTTCCGTCCAGCTTTTCTTGGAGGAAATCGCTTGGGTCTGATTCTCATGGAACTCCGTAGAGAATTTTTGCTTCGCGGTGTTTTCCCGCAAAGTTTGCCCGAACTCCCTCTAAGTAACCTTAGTGCAAGTTCCAATTACCCCAATTTGTTTCGTTTAAGGTAATGAAGCCGTTCTGGGGACAGATTCACCAACGGAGAACATGGTGGTCACTGAGCCTTTTGACGTCTTGTTACCTGATAATTATACGGCGACTTGGATAAGTATGTAATCTGAATTTTTTCTTCCAGAATACGTGGAATCTATCAATCAACTAGGAAGTTTTTAGACCCATTATTTTTGCTGGCAAAGTCTAGTAACAACCCTGAGTTGATCTCTATGTGCACAAAAGTGAAGCTCGCGCCAAGGCTTGTCACGGTAGATGACGAAAAAATAACGGACATCGTACAAAGTCTTGTTTACGAGGGAAAGGTCAGAACCCATCTGTTTTTTTTTAAATTTGGAATTCATCTAGGTTGATGAAGAGCTTTTGAATGAGGTGGCACTGGAAGATCTACGAGCTGTATTCGTAAAATACTGCACTCGATTACGTCTACGAAAAGAAGAACTCGAAGCCCAGCACGCTAATATGCAAATGCTTGCTTCTGAAGTTGGCCAAACATTCGGAATATATAATATTCATCTGGTCAGGTACACCGATTACAATCAATTCGTCGCGGTCTGGAGGAAACTCAGCGAAGAGAAAACGGAACGAGTCACAATTCCATTGGGCCGACAACGTCGCGTATAGCCGCTGGAAGAGACAATGAACGATTCGATTACAACGATTTGCAAGAAAACTTTGATGCGCCTCCGCTGCGACCAAAACCACGCGAGAGAGGAGAATACAAGATTCCGAACCGGAAGAGAGCAGCAAGTCCCATACGCGACGACAAAAAGAAAGACAGGAAAGAGGTATCTTTTTTAAAAATTCGTTTTTTACATACGGTCACAGTTATCACGGAATTGTGTTTGAATTTGCGTTTTTTCGGTTTTATCAAGTTTTTGAAATTTGAACAGGAGCCAAAAAACGAATGGAGCTTTTTCTTGTGAAAGATTTTTTTATAGGTTTTGTAAGACGTTGTATGCGGCTTAAAAATTTGTGAATGAGACATTATGCCGTGTTCAGTTTGATTCCGCGCGAAATACCCGTTAGAGAAAGGAAAAGATCACTAGATTTTGGAGAGTCAGAGATCATTTTGCATTTCGCGGAATCAAATTGAACACGGCATTATATTAACAAATCTCTTTGATTAAATTGAATAATTTTCAGCCAACAAAGCCTCCTGCTCCTCTCAGAGTTCGGAGCCCACCAAAGAAAAGAGAACCGTCACCTCCGAAAATTATTGAGGAGAAAAAGCCGCCAAAGGCTAAGCGACCTCCGGTCGAAGAGCTTTCAGATGGAGAAATTCTATCAACAGATGAGGAGGACGAAAATTAGATTCGACACTCGCGGGTTTTTCACGTTGTCTTTACGCGTTTTAGTACTTGATACATTTTTTTTTAATTAATCGACAAATTTCTGTATTTAAACCACAATGTAATATTTTCCAATAAAACTGATCTCTTCTTTATTAACAACAATAATCAGAAAATTCCCTTGGAGCGCCAATTTACTTCGAAATCGTAATCAACTCCGCCGACATCCTCTTCTTCCATCTCTTCGTTCATTTGCTGTTTTCTGCGCTCCAGAGCCTGATATCATTATTATTTTCTGAATTTAATTTCTTGGCTCACCGCTGCGACTCGTTTCTCTTTTTGAATTTCTAACTCGTTGAGTCTTTTCAAAGCCGCCATTTGTTCATCTATTCGTTCAAGCTCCAATTGCCTTGCATGAGACGATTCTTCTTGCTCTTTCTGAAAATGAGAGTACAGAAATTCAAAAAAGCCTTCAAACTTTTGAATCCTCTTCGATCTGTTCTTCACTGATCTCTTGTTTCCACCTATCGTATTCGGCATCCAACTTTGCATTCAATTCTTTAGTTTCTTTCATACGGCCGTCTATTTTCTTATCATCGAAGAATCCATGTGGAAGATTGTCCACTGTGCTGCTTGTTGATCCGTGCTTTTCGTCTTGTCGTGATTTTTGCCAAGGCGTCGTGATGCTTTAAATTCGTTCACTTCGAAAGAAAAAAGAATCAGAAGAATTACTTCAGAGGCTCTTCGTCGAAAAAGTCGTTTGGCACTGGTCCCTCGAAAGAATTGTCTTCATTCGTCGTCACGGCCATTGAATCTTCTGGACAAAAAAACCATCCTATACACATGATAAAGTGCTTAAAAATATTTTTAAACATGTCTTCTTTTCAAAATAAAAAAAAGAAGCGGAACTGCACCCTTTAATTTTTTCTTAGGTGGTTGCGCTGCGCTGGTCGGAACATTCTGGCGTTTGGGTCCCACGGAAGACTTCAGTTTTTCCACGTTTTCTCTATGTTTCTTCCCGTTTACATGGGCAGTCCAAATTTTTGTTTTGACCTAAATATAATTACAGCGACGTTCTTGATAGGGGAATAATACCTGCATTGTGCAGACGAGGCATTGTATCTGACCGTTTGACGTTTCTTTTGCAATCAGTGGATTCAGCTTCAGGTTACTGGCCATCTGGTGCAATCATTGAATTATAGTTCATTCAAGTCTTTTTCTTAGTAGTAAATATAATAGCGTTTGAAAACGCTGTAATTGAAATTGTAGAAGAACACGAGTGAAGTCATATGTATTTATTAATTATTTAAAACAGGCAAGCATTTGAAGAGATGTCTTCGCAAAACTTCAGGTCCTGCGAATGAGTCATTGCAATGAATGCAGGGGAAACGTTTCTCTGAACATGAAATATTGTCTAAACTTCGATTAACGAATTACTTTTGTGGATTCTGCGGATGTGGTGGCTTCGGTCGGAAGTCGTTTTGAAAAACGCGTTGCAGACTTGGCAGCGGTACTTCACTTCACATTCGTGTATTGCGCGCACATGCAGGTACATCCTGCGAGAATCGAGGAGCATAAAATTAAAAGAGAGAGAATCTAACCTTTCTTTAGTTTTGAAAGAGTTGGAACAGTGGGAGCAGACAAAAGGCGTGTGTCCCGAATGATTTCTGATGTGGCGCATCAAAAGATACCTGAAAGAAAATTTGATCCACACTCTATTCACTAAAACTTAGAAGCCATGGATTGGCTCGAAGCTTCGCAAAAAATTTTCTTTGGGGTCGTTGTCCGTCGAGCCATTCCACGTGGTTTCAAGCGTTCAAGTTAGAATGGATCGACTATACCTATGTGAGTATTCTTTACACTTCTTGCTGCAATTGTACCAAAGACATTGTCGTTGTGATCCGTCAACATGGCCTTCTGTAAAAAGTCACCTGATTGAATAGGAATTTCGGAAGCAACCTATGTGGTCATGAAGTTCTGCACTAGTAGAAGCGATCGCAGTGCAATCTCCCCACTGGCAGACCATAGACGGTTGTTGCTAACAGAAAGAAAATTGTTTAAATGATGAATGTATCAAACTCACTATGTAATTCTCTTCGAGCTCGATTAGATCATCGTTTAGAGTCTAAAAACGCGAAATAAAAATTTCCCTTTCGACTGCTGTATCTATATATCTCCTCTTACCAGGGAACGTTTTTTACCCCCGGTGGAACTTTTGCTGAAGTGTACTTTAGGATCTCCTGATTCCAGAACAAGAAAAAAAATTCTCGCAATAGATCTTGTTTTCGAGTTATGGAGCTTCAAAGTGCACAAAATAAGCAAATTAGGCCAAAAAAAAGCGCTATTTCGGATGTTTTCTTCTTGTTCTGGAAACAGGAGGTCCTAAAGTACACTTCAGCAAAAGTTCAACCTCGGGTAAAAAACGTTCTCTAGTTAGTCTTTTTATTGATAATCTGTGGCTCTCAGTGAACAAATATAGTTTTCGATTACTCTTAACTAGAAACACCTAACAGGAAATGTTTGACTAATCTACTTTGCTGTGCATATCTAAGATTGACCTTTGGAGCAGGATGCGGGACGGCGTACGAGTGCTCGACGTCGACGGAGACCTCCTCGGGCTCCAGACGATGAAAATAATCGTGGTTGGCGTCGACGACGTGCCATTCGTTCCGAAAGTACGTGTGGTCGTCTGTTGCGAAAAGAGACCGTTCTTCCTAAAAAAAAAACCTTTTTAGTTTTTCTAAAATTCAGCTATTACCACGGCCAGTCCTACCACTGCACTCGAGAAAAGGTAGTCTTTTTTGAGCTCTGCGACATCTGCTAAAAGTAGCAAGTTAGTGTCCATCTAGAAAAAAAAATTGAAATTTTAAGAGACAGACTAAATTAGATATATCCTAACGATGAACTGTGTTAACAAAAAGATGAAGTTAGAGCAGGAACCGGTTGAAAGTTTATTGACACGACGATTTCGATTAAAGTTGGCACGCGACTCAAAAAGAATAAAGCAAGTAGGAAATTGGATACAAAGAACTACAATTGATGGCACAATTTTGATATAGAAAACATATTTCAATGAAAAATCTTCGGGTACAAGCTTGGGTTTCAACGACGGGTCGGGATCAAAGTTTCTTTCGCCCATTCGTTTTCCTGTCTCATCAATTTGACGACGAAAGGAACTACAGTGAGAAGAAGACAAACGTTTAAAACCATCTGAAAAACAATTTAACACAGAACGAAAAACGTTTTTTCTTAAAATGAATTTTTTGAGTATTGTAGATTTTTAGAAACTCGAAAGAAAGATTTACCGAAGCTATGAAGAGATTGCGGTACATGTCATGACGGTATTCACAGGGAAAAGGACATTGATAGTGCGGAATAGACGACAGAACTTCTGTTGACATCTGAAACAGGTGAATAATCTCATTCGACTCTTTTCAGATAGACATTTTGTGCACGGGCCGTGAGGAGCCTCATAAAACCGAGGACATCTGAATCGAGAACGTCGTCCTCTTCCAAAAATCCTGATAGGAATCGAGATTTTTCCAATCCTATCTAAAATCCAGCCAGAAATATAAAAGAAAAAAGAGAACGCTGTGAACCTTAGTTAAATTGATGCCGTCGTCTAAGCCGTGACGCCGATGCCATTGATCGATCCCAATCTCAAAAAGATTTTGGCGTAATAAAAAAAAAGTGATTTAGGAGGTACTTACAAGAATTGAAATGTAACTTCTCATGCTTCCCAGAAGAGTTTGCTCGTAGAACTGAGAGGCGCTGTTCCAGCATTTCAAATTATTGTCTTCAACAGAACAGCGATTTCTGTCATAATGGAATAATTATTAAAAAAATTGTTTGTATACTTACGAGCATCCTTCGACCGTAGAGTTATCACCCGCAGCCCAAGTTTGAGCAAAAGAATAGCTTACAGTGCAGAGAATGAAAAATAAAGGAAGATGCCGAAAGATTCATTCACTAAAGATTAAGATTAACCGATTTATAATTCAAAAATAACTCGAAGAATAATTTGATGAACCGAAAAATTGAAAATTTCTGATGCTACATAGAACAGAAGCGCGAAAAAAATTTTTCGAAAAACGGAAGTTCAGAACCATCAAACCATCGCTTTGAAAAATTTTTTTAGATTAATTTCACGTGGCTTTGCTCTGAATTTCACTTATGACTTATTATAGTGCTAAACCAGTAAGAAAAATGAAAAAGTAAAAAAATTGAATTGAAACTTATTCCACCACAAGTTTGCATATTCCTCATGAATTCAAAGCTTTCAATCAATTTTAATGATTAAACTTCTTCGCAAAAAGCTATAGGAAATCTTTTGAAAAGCAGATAAAATAAAAAATAACAAAAAAAAACTCTTTGATGGGCTCTAAATTGGCCGTGGAGCGATTTAGTGACGCCCCTTGAGGGATTACTTCTAGGATAAAGTCAAAGGCATTCAAAAAAATATATATTAATTTGAGCTTTTTTTGATGTTTTTTCCTCTCGGGTTGTTTTTATAGTTTACAATTTATGTCGTGTTCAAAGTGATTCCACAAAATCCAAAATAACCGTCAGAGAAAGAAAAAGACAACTGAATTTTGAAGAGTCGGAGATAATTTTGCAATTCGCGGAATTTTCTTCTAACATGGCATTAATCACCGCCAGTTTATGACGAAAAATGCTACTGAACATGTAAATCTGAAAATTTTTTTTCAACAATGTTTTGTTATTCCGTGTTCGAAGTAATTCCGCGTGTTGCAAAATAACAGTCAGTGAAAAAAAGAACTAAAGAAATTCTAGAGATTCTGAGATAACTTTGGTTACCGCGAAATTATTTTAAACACGGCATAGTAAAAAAACTTTGATCAAGTATTGTTCCAAGCCAGTGGTGAATGAATTGAATGCCCAGATTTTCATTTCATGAAAGTTTTAAATTCTCAGACAGGAACTTAGCGTGTATAGCATAACGTTTCAGTTAATAATGGCTAATACGCGACAAAAAGCTCGCACGAAGCAGAACAAGCCGCGTTTCAAGAAATCTCCACCGCGAAAAGTCCTTTTTGAGAGTATAACAGAAAGTGAAATGGAGCAGGAGCTAATAATGATGCAAGCGGGAAGCCATCCTGCACTTCTCGAAAGGTTAAAACAGTTAGATGATCAAACGAAAAAATCCCTACAGCACAACGAAATCGAGTACGAGGTGAGAAACTCTTCAACGAAATGAAATAAATTTTCAACTTTTAGCGAAAGCTGAGAGAAATCGAGGACGAATATCGGTACCGAAACAATATAATATTCGAATCGACAAAAAAGAAGATTGACGATCTTAAAGAGACAATGATGAAGGTTTGTGTTCTTCGCTCAATGGTTTCCTAGTTGAAAAAAAATTGCTTAAGGAGTTACTAATGCTAGAGCGAAAAATGGAGATCGAGTTTGCCTCCAGCGACATTTCTAAACCAGCCGCAGCATCTTTGATTGAAGCTAACAAGAAAACGCTCCGAGGGTCTGTCACAGTTTTCTTGTCATATTGGAAAAAAAAGTTTGTAATGACAGTCATTTTACGACAATCTGAAGCGTGAAAAAAGATTGTTTTTCATAATTTTCGAATATTTTTCGAGGAGTTATGCATAAACTTGAAAAAAAACGAGTTTAGATTTTTTTTTTCATTAGATTGGTCCGAAACTTTTAAGATTTTTTGAATTTTTATTGTGACCATTGAAGGAGGAAAATCGTGTCCAACAATTTTTATGAATTCGCTAGTTCTAAAGACTCTCCGGCTTGCGATTTTGTCCTAGTTTTTTTTTCTTGGCTGATTTCGAGGCATTCAGGACGCGAAAAATGCTGAATTTAAGGCGCGGTGGAGTTCTGGTCGAACCGCCGACGTACTTTAATTCGACGCCGAAGGCTCCGCAGCACACCCAACAGGCGCCATTCGTTTGCTTACTCAAAGACTCCGAAGTGAATGCCGATTTGAAAGTTTGCCAAATTTTACCCTCCCCGGTGAAAGTTTACCTACCTTCACAGACTGTCGTTATTTGATTTTTAAGGGCCGTCGAAATTACGATGTTGCTTTCCTGAAACAAAAGCTGAGTTACGAAGGGAAAGGGTGAGCTTTTATTTATTTTTTGTTCGCAAACTCCCTATTTCCAAAAAAAAACCTTCAGGTATAAACAAGGCGAAGAAATATTTTTGGAGTCGAGCGAGTACGGCAAGTTCACTGCAAAGATTGAAAATATTAATGAGAGGATTGTCACTTTTAAAGCATCTCAGGTTAGTTTTCAAAGATATCCGTTTAGAAAAGGGGGGGGGGGTAGCTTCAAACTTATCTTAGAACCGCCATAGGCAGAGGTAGGATGACCCGCCGAAGCTTTTTTAATTCCTCAAAAATAAAGTTCTTTTCGAATTCCTAATTAGTGCAAAAATTATCTTCTTCACTCTTTTTTATTTTTTCATAAAGAAGCTCACCGAAAAATTAAAAAATGACTGGAAACGTTTTTTAAAGGCCTTTTTTCAGAACTTTTTTTCATTAGGCTCTTTGGACGCGAAAAATCAAATGAAAAATTGAGGTTCAAATAAATCTTCAACAAAACTCGAATTTGCAGTAGTAATGATGCATATGAACGGATTTCGCAAGAGACCGAGCATAGCATTTCGATAGCAATTTTTTTTAAAACTTAGTCAAACAATCTTTTGAATATAATTGACGGTTATCTAACCAACACGAATTCTTGATTCTCAACGTTGTTTTTATGGAAATTGTATTGGTAATTGAAACTTTGGGCACTTGTTTTCAAAACTAGGTTATGACGAAAAGAAAAAAGATAGTTATCTATAATGTCGAAGAGTACTTTGGCTGTTTGAGAGGGAAACCATTGAATTTCTAAGTGTAAAGGTCCCTCTGGCGAAGCATTCAGACATTTATATATAAAAAAGTTTTTTTTTTCTTTGCTTTACGGTAGGAATAATATTTTTGGGCGTTTTCCTAATATAGAAAGTCTTCGTAGAAACTGAGTGATCGCTGGATTTTCAAAATAATACTTTTGAATAGGTGAAAAAAACAAAAGATTACACGAATATGGCGTTCTTCAGCGACTTTATAAATACTACGATTAAAAAGAGCCTGATTTTCAATGCACTCTGTTCATGCATTTTGAGGTTCTGATACTCGTAAAATTGCAGGGAAGTATCAAAGCATGTAAAACGGATATTTCCCAACGATTTTCTTTAAACTCGTACATTTTATAGCTGTGCAAATTTCAAAGTTTTTTTTTTTACAGCCGTGGGACATGCGGCTCTTGCATATGTGTACCTCTGATTTCGTCGAAGGTCGCGTCAAAGTCTCCAAAAAGAAGAACTAGAATCTGAATCGCCTCCCACTTCTGTGGATCCTTCCCCAGTTTGTTAATTTCCACGGGTTTCCATGGCGACCTCGCGCCGCGCAGTCGCTCAACGGGTTTCCTCACCTCGATGTCCTATCCCACACAGCATTTTGAGCATTTTCCCACCATTATTTTTGTTTTACTTTTACTGTACTTTGCTGTTGTTGTGCTTATATTCGCATTAATCTTCGTGTTCAAGGTAAGACCTGATTGTAGATACTGTTGAATTGAATTTGAATAAACTAACGATTCCTCTTTGTTCAGCCGAATTGGCTCAAACAAAAACCGATGGATGGGGACATCTGGCAAATGACCGACTGTTCTTTCATGAACTACTGCATTCCCTGTACCGATTGCAGTTTCAGGCATTTACTTCGCTCTGTTTGTCCGGCACAGGTTCAACTTATTTTGCATAAAAAGATCGCATATCTTCTTTTTTAGAATTGGCGCAAAATGATTCTCTGTGATGGCCAATGTTTTCATCGGAACGAAACGAATAGAATTGATTTTCTGTGCTGCACAGTTTGACTTAAAGCAATGATATTCATTTTGAAAAAAAAAATAAATATGCAAAAAAGAAAAAATTTTACAAAAACCGTTTTTACAGCTTTAAAAGTGAAGCCTTAATCGCAAAAAGCACCGCATTCAACAAGAATTTTTGCACTTCATTGAATATTGCAGTTTGAGCAAATTTTGTGCTGCAATTATTAAACAAGATAATGGACAAAAAAGGAACCGCGAGAGAATTGAACCGAGAGAAAAAAAAACGCAGTAAATGAGTTTTGGGATAACTTGGATGAAAGAATTTCTCATCCATATCTGAATAAAACTAAATGAAAAGTTGGAGAAACTAGCTGTAGCTGCGTTGGAAGACGAATTCTTCGCGGCCACTCTCACTGAGTTCATCCATCGAAGTTCTTCTCGACATGAAGTATTCGTAGTCCGTCTCCTCGACCTGCAAACTTCATAATTCCGTCAAATTTACAAAAAAAATAATAAACGTCTTCATTGGGAACGTGGGACTGGACTGTGAACTGAGCCCAGGTTTCGTACTCTTGCTCAACCTCGCCGAACTGCTGAAACGAGAAAAAGTTTCAATGTGCTCTTTCCGGAATTTTTAGAATGTTCTTCGAAGGAAAGATAAGATCACCTTAATCCACTCGTTCTCCAAGACGTTTTGAGCGCTGAATCTTTCCTCTGGATCAACGGTCACCAGACAGATTATCAAGTGGCGTACGGCCCAGGAGACCTAAAGCATAGTGCAGGAAAAAAAAATCGGAACAAGTAAATTATGGGTGGCATGAAAAAAAAGTAGCGAATTTTCGAACGGCGACTTTTCATATCGTTAGGGAATTTTCCGACGGAGAAGTTCCTGAAGAATAATTTTCCGACTTCTTTTTTCGATAAACTCTTCGTTTTGAATCTTCTGATACAAAGTAGGTAGTTGATTCACGATTTAAACACAAAAAAATAGGAAAAAAAAATGTTAATAGATGTTCTATAAACCGAAAAAAATAAAGGAAAAAGTTGAAAAGGGATTCGTCGGAAAGTTCCCTAGCGATATGAAAAAATCGAAAAAGTCGCCGTTAAAAATTTCGTTCGCTTTTATTTCATACCTTCAACTTATGTTTCATTAATGTTTTGTGAAAATTATTGAAACCGTTCCTGATACCGAGAATAAAGTGCGAAACACTCCTTATTTCAAATTAAAGCTTGTAGACATATTTGAATTCTCTCATGAGCAAAAAAAACATGAGCCTGTCCAAACTGAAAAATTGTGAAATAAAAGTTAAAGTTTGAATTTTAGAAAAAAATTTCGTGAAAAATGATCTTACTCCATCCCAGGCCGGCGATGGAAACGAGAAATCTCCGGTGGCGATTTGTCGGAAAAGTTCGGCCTGAGAATTTTCGCCCTCCATACTGAATATTCACACTTCACAAAGACATTCCAGCCAAAAAATGATAAACCTTTGGAAGGGAGGGAAGCCGCAGAGAATCACGTAGAGAATGATCCCAGTCGCCCAGGTGTCCACCTTCTCGTTGTATCTGAATCACCGATCGATAAAGTGGAGAGGCTGCATCGTCCGTTGAGAAGAACTTTTCTTTCAGATCGATCATGTCCCGAAAGCCGCACACTCTATGGAAGGGCAATTTACCCTCGTTCGGTGAGAACTTCCGGAGCGACGTAGGTCGGAGTACCACAAATGGCAGTGAGGGGAGTGTCGTCCTGAAGCTCGCAAGCCAGACCGAAATCGGCCAACTTCAAGGCCAATTCTCCATGTTCGTCTTGCAGAAGCTCAAGAATTGGCGTTTATCATTACAAACTAGAAAAAAAAAACACATACCAACAAGTTTTCTGGTTTCACGTCTCTGTGTACTATACGACATTCGTGCAGATATCTGAACACATAAAACATGAAACTAAATATTTACCCAAGAATTTTGAACGGTAAAAAAATTATCAGAAATGTTGAAAGATTTTTTTCCCCACAGAAAAAGTAGGAAATTCTAATTATTTCTAAAGAAGGAATAACTCATACAATAACAGACAAAGAAAAAAATATTTATAGTATACATCAGTGATATATAAATAAAACCTGAGAGCCTCCGCTACACAGGCGATCATCCTGGCCGCCTGTCTCTCCTCGATTCTGCCGACTTGTCGTAAGTGTTCAAACAAATCCCCATCCTGTAAAAAAATGCTTATTAAACACAGAGAAAAAAATACCGCTGAGGGAATTTTTTTCTAAATATTATTTTTTTATTTCAAAAACGATCTGCCTACTGTTGTTTTTTTGTCCTTTGAATATTTTCGAACACTTTAACAAACGTTTTTCTTCTGAAATAAGATTTGGAAATAAGTCGAACCCTGATGAGCTCGAGCGACATGTAAAAACTGCCGTTGATGGGCCAGTACTCGAACATTTGAACGATGAAGTCGTTGCTGATTTTCTGCAGGATTCGCAGTTCGCTCTCGATCAGAGCTTCCTTTCCGTAGGCGTTCTCACGGGCTATCACTTTCAAGGCTCTTCTATCGTTGAATCTCCTTCAAATATTTGATTTCGAAAAAAATGAACAAATTTAACGAAAAAAATTAACTTAAAGGAAGCTGATTTTTAGAAAAAGTTATTATTTCAAGCATTTTTGAAGGTTTAAAAGAGCGTCGAATGCATTTAAAAGAATTATCTCTCCCTTTTTCTTTCAATCGTGATTTCCAAATAATAATGCAAAAAGATTTTTTTCAAACTTTATTTTTACTCTTTTCCCGCAGATAAAAGTTTTATTTTTCAAGAATTTGTTTCACATTTCCTAAAAAAACTTTCAACTGATGTCATAAAAAAACAGGTAGAAAAAAAGTTCTTGCTAGTGCTGTTCAAGTTCGTTTTTTTTTCATGAATTTCAATACACCTTTTCAGTCGACTGTGAAGAAGAATTTGCGATGAAAAATGAACAAATATACTTTCAAGATGAAAATAAACTTTGATAGTGCCGAAAAGAGTCTCGAAAGCCCTCGTTACCGAGAAGAAACAAAGAAGGAAGAAAATGACTCACTTATCAATGACTTCGTAAACAAGGGCAGTGTTTCCGTCGCCAATCAGTCGCTCAACGTCGAACAATTCTTCGAGAGAAGGCGGCAAATGTCTCGCTGAACGTTTTACTCACGATGAATTCGGAATCTCCTTGAAACACCAAAAACCACACCTTGTTCATCAGGAACAACACTGCCAGATCTATCCAAACGCAGACTTTCATTTCTCAAAGGCATGTGCCTTTGTTGGAAGCTTTTTCTGGAAGTCGAAAAATTAAGTCTCGCATAATAATCTGCAAAAACCTCTGCTTGCGTCCATAACGAGCAGGAACCCTCTTGCACTCTGAAAGAAGAAAAGTTGAAGTGATATTCACCTCAAGCCGTTCAGATTTTCCACAATAAGTCAAAAGGGGCTCAAGATAAGAGAGTAAAAAAAAACCTTCAGAAACGACCAAAAAGTCGTCTGCGGCGGTTCTTTCGTTTCCGTACGCGATGAAAACGTCGTCTTCGCGAAAAAAATCTTCCAGTGATAGAACCTAAAAAAAACCTGTTCGAGAAAAAGAAAAAACCCCAAAAAACCTGTCTTCCACTTATACCAAAAAGCTTCCGAATCGCTCCGCTATCCAGTTTGACCGAATCGGTAAGGTCAGTCAAAACTTGATCAAAAGATCTGGAAATAGTAGTTATGACACATGCAAAATAAAATGAAAGCATTGGATTTACCTTGCTGTTTTTTTATTCAAAAGATGCCGTACCACACGTCGCGGCTTCACTCCATTTCGAATAATAGTTATTATGCGTGGAAAAACAAAATCGGTGCGTTCCTGAATTTGAACTTTTAAAAAACCAATCAGCTTTTTTCGGTTCTACATTAGCTTGGCCAAGAGAGTTCAGAGCCATCGAAGAGTCCCGATAACGGTTAAAAGTGCTCGTGAGCGTGAATCGCCACGACGGCTCTTGAGCTTTCGCGTAGTCCATGTTCTTGAAAGTGTCCGTACTGAAAATTGATTTCAACCATGCTTGAGCAAAAAAAAAACTAACCTGGAACAGACATAAGAACAGTTGTCTTCAAATTGGTCGATATCAGTGATACGAGTAGAGCCATCAATCGTGAAAATATGTCTGATACCGTGAGTTAATATCGTCGAGTCGCACATAGCCTGGAGATAGAAGTTAATTTACAAAGGTCGAAAAATCGAAGAAAAAACTGACCTTGTTCAGATCTTCCATTAAGGGCTGCATGGTCTTCACTCTGTCGCAACGCAACGCGTACCACATTCCCTTAAAAGATTTTTAAAAAAAGACATATTAGTCAAACCTTGTAATATTGGTCTCCGTTCCGATAGAATCTTATTCTTTTAGCTTTCAAAACAGTGGATTTAGCTCCGATCCTACACCGGGTATTCATATCGGAAACAATGTCTCGCGCCTCTGTTGGTGAAGCACTTTCCGAACCGCAACTGAAATAAACTCATAAATAAATCAAATCTAAACGCCAAATCAAACTTTTCAACAATAGAAGAAGTCATAGATACGGGCTCTGATCGTAGATCGGCCTGTCGCGAAGTCCCTTCTGAAACGTCAAAGGTGGATGCTCGCGGAGTTGAGTCTCCATCTTCCAACTGGCGTACAGAAGTTGCTAAAACCGCGATTTATTTTTCAAACTTCGAAAGTTTTATAGATTATATTAAGTATATATGTAAAACTCACGTCTTTTCAAATAAGGAATGTTCGACTTTTTCATACTAATTCGTTTCGAAGTGGGACGAGGCAGAGTTGAACAATTACGAGTGGTGCTGCGGCATGTCGCCGGCATTAAATAACACTAAAATCAGAATATTTTGGACCTAAACTTATCAAAAAAAGTTAAAATAAGCATTAGCAAATTGAGAAAAAAATAATTTAAAAAAATACTCAATAGAATATTTAAAAAGTTGGGCCGATGAAAAGATTGGGACAATAAAAACCGTAAAAAAGTGGGTACATTCTTTTATACATCAAAAAAACGGACAAAAAGTACCTGAATACAGGTATACTTATAATGATTTCGATAAAGGGTTATATATATATATATATATATATATATATATATATATATATATATATATATATATATCTCAGTACCAATATATATATAGGGAACACAAAAAAGACAAATTTTTTTCCGCATCTTTTTGTGCATACTCCTGTTAATGTGTAGACACATTTTCGCATTAGCGCGCGCTCACCCGATGAGTTATCTTTTTCGCCGCGTTTTTGTGGTTTCTATTCTCTCGATTTGATTTTTAATCCTGTAGATTTCTCTTATTGAAGGCTTTAGGTGTAATTATCGACCAGAAAGATGAATTTATTGAAAAAAAATGAACTGCTTTGGAGCTAAGAAACTAATGAAAACAATAAGAAGATATTTATTTATTTAGGTTTTTGAAGATTTTTTTCTTTGGTCATCATCTGATTTCTCAAGAAACAATTATTCTTGTAACATCCAGCGGAATCGTATAAATTCAAGTATTCGAAATTGCTTCACTGCTAACGAAAAACTCGAGCTTTTTTTCGAAGTTTATTAGTAAAATATTGTAAAATATTAATACCAAGTAAAAATATTCACGACTAGCTCAAAGATTTTTTTAAAAATACTTTAATCCAATTTTTTTACTATTTCACTTTGTGTTAGCTTTTCCGGTCTTCAGAATTTGTTTCATTTATTTTTTGTAGATTATTGTAACTGACATTTTATATTTTCTTTCTTGCCTTGCAACCTTCATTTTCTATTGAACTTTTTGGTAAAAGTTATTTTGAATTAATTGTTTTTTTTTTTCACCAGCAAGTTACCGGAAATATATTTAGTTGAATTTTTTTTTCCATATGTTCAGTCGTTCGAGAAAAAACTGTCGTTTTCATTATTTCACTATTTTTATACGAAAAAATGCGTCAATAACTGTTTTATTGAGTGCCGTTTTGAATGGCTTCTACTCCTGTTCAACACTGGAACCTTGGGATTGGGCCCATAACATGCCACGCATGGAATAAAGACCGAACTCGTGAGTAACTTTGCTCTGAAAAAAAAATTAATTATTTTTCAGAAGTAGCCGTGTCTGCAGCCGGCAATGAGATTTTTATTTTTGAATGGAAAAACGGAGAATGGGTAAATATGTTCACACTCTCAGAGCACGATTTGCCGGTTACCGGACTCGATTGGGGAGCCAAAACCAATAGAATAGTTTCTTGCTCCCAAGATAAGAATGCCTTTGTATGGACCTTCGACAAAGGTCATTGGAAGCCGGAGCTCGTCCTGGTGGGTACCTGTGAAGATGAAGATCCATTGTAAAGTTGAGGTACGCTTTGATCGTGCAGCAACTTGCGTCAGATGGTCTCCTTTTGAAAACAAGTTCGCTGTTGGCAGCGGAGCGAAACTCGTCTCGGTTTGTTACTACGAAAAGGAAAATAATTGGTTTGGTGATGCTCCTGTTGGGATCATCTCAATCTCAAATTACAGGTGGGTGGCGAAACAAATAAAAAAGCCTATCCGGTCGACGGTGAATTGCATCGATTGGCATCCTAATAATATTTTGCTTGCCGTCGGCTCCTGTGATTTCAAAACGCGAGTGTATTCAGCATACGTCAAAGAGGTAATTTGCGAATTTCTTCCGTTTCAGAAAGAAACGGCGAACATAATCTTTCAAATAGGGAGCATCACAGCTCAATTATTCAGCTTATTTGTTCTCCCTATTAAAAATGTTTGCTTTTTTTGACCAAAAATACTTTCTAATGGTTCAAGGATAGATCAAAACTTCAATCCAAGAAAAGAAGATTTTGCCGAAAATGCGGGAGTTTCAAATTTTTGCGGTGCTCTTGCTCATAAAATTTTTGCGAACATTGTTTCTGGGCCAAATTTAAGAAAAAAAAATATCCGTTTTCTACCAATTTAGGGAGCTGGAATGAAGGCTAAAAAGGTCGATGAATAGCCACAGATTTTCGTTCATTAGTACAATACCCTATAAATTGGCAGAAACATCTGTGATGATTGTCTGAAAGGACATAGGGGCACTACGTAGGAAGATTTTTCTATGTTTCCAATTTGATTTGATTTAAGGTGGACGAAAAGCCGTCGCCAAACCCTTGGGGCTCGAAGATGCCTTTCGGACAGCTGATGACAGAGCACGCGGTGGGCGGCTGGGTCCACCGAGTCGCCTTTTCGCCCTCCGGATGCCGTTTAGCCTACGTGTCCCACGACTCCACCATCTCTCTCGTCGACGCCGGCAATGTTGCTATCTTTCTGTTTTCCTCAACTTTTCGTCTTCTTAGGATAACTCTGTCGTTCACACTCTTAGAACGGTACATCTCCCCTTCACCTCTGTAGAGTGGATCACCGAAAACAGTCTCGTTGCAGCGGTAAGTGTGAATAAATGAACATTTTCTTCCAAATTAAGTTATTTTTTATGTCAGAAAGTGATGCTACAGGAAAGATAAGAAAAAGTTTAACCCAAAGTTTCATTTTAGTGCTCTCATCTCTCGTGTACGGTAGTCGTAATAGGTCTGGAAAAAAAAAACCGGAGTTGTTTTTTTTTTCTCAAAAACTCGGTTCAGAAAAAAATTTTGTTTGTTTTCCTGGGTTTGAGGGTTTGCCTGTAGTTGAGGGAATTGTCGCGCTGAAACTCCATAATCGTGGTACAATTTTTGCTGTGATTTGAATTATCTGTTGAAGGGACATGACTGCTCGCCGATCCTCTTTGTAGTTACCGGGAACGATCTGAAGGAAGTCTGCAAGCTGGACATCCCGGCCAGCAACAAGACTTCGAACATCAGCAGCGCTTTGCAAATGTTTAAAAACATCGACAGGCATGTTTTTTTTTCATTGAGCACTTGAGGAATTTTTTTTCAGAAACGCGGCTTCGGAAAAGGTGGACATTCACTTGAAGACTTTACATCAAAACAGAATAACGTGAGTGGAATTTGGAGTTCAACGTGTAATCCTCGTTTTGAAGTCAAATTCTACCTCATTCCGGCGCTCCAAGCAAAGTTCTCAAGTTCACAACTTGTGGAACTGATGGTCTTATTGCTCTGTGGGACCTCAAAGTATGTGAATTTGATTCTCGTTATATCATTTTTGAAAACAAATTAATTGAATTTTTTGTATAATTATACTTTTTTTAAATCAGGAAACGATAGAGTTTTGCAGGGTATGTTTTTGTTTGTGAAAATGATTCCGAGTGAATTAATCAGGATGAAGTCTAATTGATATGCGTTTTTCATTTATCTTTCGTGAAAGTAAGGAATGCAAAAATTTTTATTTCAATCAAAACGATTTGACTCGATTAACATGCATGTTTTCAGCTCAATTTATCATTTTTTCGAATAATTTACATTTCAGAACCATCCCGGCTTGTCATCATAAAGTGTCAGACAATATTTGATCGACAATAAAATGAAATATCAAAATCTGCTTTACAAATAAACATTGTTTGAAACTCACCCATTGCTCTTCGAGCACCCGTTTTAAATTAATTGTGATATTTGCCATTATATTCGTTCTATGAGACCCCATGATTATTTCTTAAAAACTATTCTGTGTTAAATTTGCTTGATACGTCAATATCAATTTATGAGAAATTGCAATAAATTTTTTTTTCAACATCATAAATCTTCGTTTATATGTTTTTCAGACATTCTCATATTATGGTTTCGAGTGAAATGAAGATTCAAAGCATTTCCTTTTCAGAGTTCAAAATGACGGTCGATTCCACAACGATGTGGACTCAGGAAAATTGTTGTGTGGTAATCAGTTTTCTCATTTTATTTTCGAAACGAATGCATTTTTCAGCTTTGTGGTGATTCTTGCCCTCTCGAGCAACAGAAAAAGGCTCACGTTCTGAAGCCTAGACACGTCAAGGTTTCCTATTTCCAAGTTCGTTAATAGAAATTTTTTCGCAGAAAGAAAAGGTGCAGTCATTCTATGTGAAAGAATTACCGAAGCGGGCTGCTGTTTCAAAAGATTCCATTCTTTTCCAAAGATATCAAAAGAAGAAGAGAAAAGTTGTTGGTTCGTACTTCTCCTACCTTCTTTTGTTGTCCCTATCAGCTTCCGGTTATTCACTCTAAAAGTTAAGGTCTCGAGTGTCTGCACGAAATCCATCTCAAGGACAAACCGGAAGTTTTCTGGTCTTGTTCTTTGTGTTTTGTCGCTGGCTCTTCTTTTGAAGCCGCTGACGCGCATCTTCAGGATCCTTATCACATTAGAAGCTATCTTGTAAGATTCATAATTAAAGCTCTAGTCATATTTTCGCGTAGGTCGAATATCACAGCCAAGAGATGGAAAAGATCGACGATATTGCGGCTGATTGTGACTATCTCTTTACCGTCGGCGATGGCTATTATGAAAAAAACGGTTTTTAAAATGGGTTTTATCACTGTTAATCGCCTTTCTCAGGGGTCACCCTTCCTCCGGAAATTATCGAATTGGACTTTTCGCACAAAGAAGTTCTTGAAAAGTTTGGTTTGTCGGACGTTGAAGACTTCACGGAGCACCTGAGTCCCAACGATCCCAACAGAACCATAATCATCTGCACGGTAGCAGGACCTTTTTCGGTTTTCACAAGAACTCGCTGCAGACGTGTAAGGAGCCAATTCCATGTACTTTGTCGGATAAGTACACAATCAAACGGGCAAAAAAGGCTCATTTGTCGTCGACCGAGCACTTGAGACGTTCCTTCTTCCTTCAAATGCTCGATATCTGTTAGTTTCGGTTTCCTTTTCCACATTTCAATTGAGATCTTTGAAGTTAACGTGCGACCAAACGCAGAGGTCGATCCTCGTTACAAAAAGCGCAATCACGACTGGAAAAAAGTAGGAAACGCTTTCCATGGAGCCGTTTGCGGCCTGCGCTACGCAGTCATCTTTGGTTTGTGACATTCAGAAAGTTTTGTGCAAGTAGTTGAGCAACCAACAGAGCACCAAACACTTTGTGAGCTGTGTTATTGCACAGTCGACTCTCTCGACGAACACTTCTCGAGCGAATATCATCTTTTGCGATTTGCGGTATCTTCCTTAAGAAGAGAAAATAAAAGCATAATGTTGATAGGCAACGAAGTACCCGCATGAGATTTACCTTCTGAAGTATCTTTCGCCGGAAGAGCGCCGCAACGGCCTTTCCGCCCTTCTGTGGCGGACTTCTTTGGAAAATGACGAGACGCGTAGAGCCATGATCAGCGCTTTGCCTCCGAAAGTCACGGTTAGTAGCAAATCGGTCAGAAATCTGCATCACTATAAAACAGCTTTTTGTCGGATTTCAAATGGAACAGCCATATTCGTTATCTTATACGATGATTTATATCAGGAAAAAAGAATTCCAGCTCAGTCTCTCTCTCCTTTCTTTGCAAACCTCAGCAAGCGTTTTTAGATAGTTTTTCCGCGCACTGAGAAGAAAAGTCTAACTTTTCTGCAACAAAAGATATTTAAGGATGGTATACGAAATGATACTCGTCTTTGTGAAGATCTGATGCCTTCTCTTGGAAATGCGGAAGGAAATTGCATTTTCTACTGTTCGGTGAGATATTCTCTATAAAAAAGTTGAAAATTTTGTTTGTATTTATTTTTTTATGAATTTTCAACAACAAAAATAGTTAATGAATTTCGCATCTTTCGGAAATCACAAAGCTATTATCTTTAGAATTTTTTTGCGTTTTCTGATTGATATTGATTTTTCGATCGTAGATCGGTTATGAAAAAACTTTTACGGATAAATAAAACTGAAAAAAGCTGATAGTTTTTTTTTCGAAAATTAGTTAGAAAACTCAAAAAAATTCGAATCGTCATTCAATTTCAACAGGTATGCAACACCATATCGAAAGCGACAAACGAGAGAATGAAAAAAGAATGGAGAAGTCACTGCGAAACTTTCGAGCATTACTACATGGACTCTCGGAGAGCTTGTTATTTCCATGGTTTCCCCCGAACAGAACGAGTTTTTAAAGTTAAAAAATTAGACGAGGAAGCGCTGGTCCCGTGGGTGAGTTCGGTGCCGCCTTTGGAAACGGAGCAAAGAGGAAGTTGGAAAGAAGTCGTTCTGGAAGTTGGTTCCCTCTTTTGAAGCCTTTACAACTGACTTTCCAGACAAACAACGTCCGAGCCCAGTCTCAGTGCAACATTGGCCTCAATTACCTGGTAGACGACGAGGACGCCGATGAGGTTCTTTTATCGTTTAATAGAAACTTTTTTTTTAAACAAATATGTTTTTTTTTCGGACAAAGTTAATAAAAGTTTTTCTAAGTAACATTTTTTTTTAAACGCGTTTTTGACTTTCAAAAAATTAAGTTTTTCTTTCAATTAATTGTTGCAAAGAGTTTTTCAGATGGTTTGCCTGCTGTGTGCACAGGTTTTCCAACGCTCCTCTTCGGTTTATTGGCATTTCCGCACCAAAGATCATACGATCAGATACATTTTCAAGGTTGGCTTCCTATTACAGAGAGGACATTTAGCTGTTGTGTAGAAGTTTGCGGAAAAAGAGATCAACGACGGACGGCTGGTCTCCTTGATGATGAAGCACGACAATCCGAAGAAGGTCGAACAGGAATTGCTCGAATTCATGCTGAAGAACACTACTTTTCTGGCCTCCAGCGTCAAAGTCTACTCTTTCAAGCTCTCTCGAGCTCTCGAAGCACTGCCGCCTGTTCCTAGACACCAGGTATTGTTTTTTTTTTTTGCGAGTTATATGAAAAAGAACACTTTGGAGAAATAAACATTTTGTTTTTTTCGTGCGCTTCGTGAATTATTATTTTTTGTTCAATTTTTTGTATTTTCCATTTTGTTCGCTCTTTTTTTCCATGTTTCACTAAGTAATTTTAAAAAAAATCAGCTTTTTTCACCCTTTCTTAAGTTTTTTTTGGAATTTGAAACTGTTTGGCCTTGTAATTGACGTTCATGTTAATTGAATAGTTTTTTTCGAATTTTTTTACACGTTTCATGTACCAGTTTACATAATTTATTATTAAAACTGGTTTTTAATTATTTTTTTATTAAATTGAGGCTGAAGCAAGATTTTTATTAAATAATTAAACGTTATAATCGATGTTGAAGCGATTCTGCTCCTTTTTTTCAAACTTCCACGCTGGCAAACTTCTTTATTTTTCTATTCTTTACCTTGCGTTTTTTTCTGAGATTTTTTTTTATTTTCCGCTATCTGTTAATTTTTTCCAAATTTTGCCGTTTTTTTGGGAAAAAAGATTATATTTTGTGATTCAAGAGATTTTTCGTTCAGGTGGATACTGCCTATCAAAGTTTGCCGAAAGATCCAGCCAAAAAGAACGAAATAGTCATCCCGAAGTCAGGTAATTCAATCATCCGTTTGTTATTTTTCCGATTGCCTCAAAAACGGAGATTTTTGCAGTCTCGAACCTTTCTGTGAGGCACGCCTTGTTGTGGACGAATATCGAAGTCCTGAAGTCATTCGAAGGGGAAGGTGACAAGGCGCCTTACATTCTGTGTCGTTGCAAGGTTACATATTCTCTTCCGAGTTCCAAACCGGTAGAACAGTTGTAAATGAAGAAATTATTGAGCATTCGAAAAATAATTCAGCACTCGAGAAAGCGTTGAAAACTTGTAAAATAGTATTTCTTTTGTACATTTTTCCTTTGTTTCTAACTTTTAGAAAGTCGAAAAAGCGTTTGATAATAATTCTAGGAAGAAGTAGACCTATGCTTACAGTCTCCAGCGAACAATCACGGATGTTGAAAATCATCCTTTAAACAAATGATCTACACGGTTTATTAACAGACAGCCGATTTTCTGCTTACTCTACAGTATTCTGCTCGTCTCTCATGAATAACTTTTGTGTGCAAACAATTCATTTTGTTCATTTTCGTAGTATATTTAATATTTGAGACGAATAAAGCATCAATCGATAAATTAAGGGATGTGAGGTTTCGTTCTCAGTCAACCCCCAAGCGGTTTCTGCCGACGTTTTCCAACATCATTTGGGAAAAGACCCGCACAAATGTCGTCTTTCTTTGTTGGCCACCAATAAATTCGGTCATTCAGCTTTTTTTTTTTCATTTTGATTATTCAAATTATCCTCACAACTGTTATTTTTGAAAAATTGCATCAATCTTTTAGACGAATTCGGATTTGTCTCTTCTGTCTCGTATAACTTCAAAGAGTTCAACAAAGGCTCGGCCAAAAAGGTTTGAGAATTTACGTTCTCTTATTGATCACTCGCTTAAGATGGCCTGGCACTACGACACGGAAAAGAAGAGGTTTCATTTTGTGCTGACGATAGTGGGGTTCGATGACGTCGTCGAGCGGTGGAGCGACTTTCCTGCTCGCGAAGAGCTGCCAGACTACTTCTGCAAGGTGTGCGCTCACCGCTTCGAGCACTCTGATGAGGCTCTCGAGGAGCATCTCCGGTCTGGCGACCACGTCATGTGCTACGTGGTAGGTTGCGTTTGTTTTTTCGGAAAACTGTCCTTTTTAGAACAAACACATCCCGCTGAGTGTGCCGGACATTGAGCGCGAAGTGAAGGCTCTCGAAGTGAGGAGGATGGTCGCCAAGCTGCTCAAAGGCTTGCCGGAAACTTCTAGCGGCAAGGTCCGCATATACGACCCTGTCACAGTTGCGCGTGAAGAACAAGCTAAAGAAGCCAAAGAAGCGCCAATTGAGAAGAAAACACAAGAAAAAGCCAAGGCTCCTCCTCCAGCTCCACTGGTAATCGTTCAGAGGCCTTTTGAAGATCCTGAAACGTTCCTCCGAAGGAAAAGGCTGGAAGAAGCGCAAATGCCCGAGCAATCAAAGCAATCCAGCAATCCTGAAAATGAGACTTCATCTGTGGTCACTCAAGAAGGTCCTCCGCCTCCTCCGCCACGGACACAGCTGTTTCCCGTTTCCCTGAACGTCCAGCCACCGATCCAACAGCCTATCATGCATCCTCCAGTTTTTCAACCTCCGATAATACCGCCACCTGGCTTTGTTCAACCGACGATACAAACGCCGGTGATGCAACCGCCTATGATGCCTTCCATGGCGATGCCGCCTCCGTCGATGCCGAATCCTATGATGTCACATCCGATGATGCCGTCGACCATGATTCCACCACCATTTTTTGGATTTTCTGGAGTCCCGCCACCAAACATTCCAATAGCACCAGTCATTCCTCCACCACCAAAAGCTTCGATTCCTGCTCCGAAGTTGGTTGTGCCAACTCCAATCCAGACGGCGAATCCCGCTGCTGCTTCTGTTCCGAAAATCAAGCCATTCAAACTTCTCAGACCAGAAGAGAGAGCGGTCTCGCCCCCTCCAACAGTTCGCAAAAGGTCTCTAGCCAGCGGAAGGCCTTCAAGTACGGATATGGCTGCCAGCACGATCAAAAGTCGCAACGAAATGCTTGAACTCAGTAAGTTTCTTTTTATCGAAAGTTGTCTAATTTTATAGAAATTACCGCACAATTCGTTGGTTGATGATCAACAGGATTTTGAATAAAACGTGTATTTTTAAAATTTTCAGAGCGTTTTGTTGTTTTGTTAGAACGTCGACTGATTGACAAATAAAGAGTATAACAATTGTTTTTTTTTCTATTCTTAATTTTGTCTTTCACTAATCGCTGGTTTATAACAGGAAGAAGCTGAAATTGCGTACTTCATGAGTCATTTCTTGTACACAATCGAACAAATAATTTTTTTTTTTCGAGTTTTTGACTTATTACCTCGCTGATTCAGCTTCTTCGAACTCTCTTCAATCAATCTTCCAAGTTTGTAGACAAAATTTAAGTGAGCCTTTCTTGCAGTTATCACTCGCAATGCAGAGTCGATCCCGGAAGATGAGCTACCGACTGAGTTCAACGAGTGTTTGGCGGCGAATATACGAGTGGTTGGTGCTGAGAGAGTTTTTGAAGTAAGTGATAGAACAACGGGTCGTCCAGTTCGAAGCCTTGTAGGTGATTTGCGCGGACGATACCCGCTACGACTCTTTCTACTGCACCTGCTGCAAGTTCTGGTCCGCGCCGGGAGCCATGATCGAGCACCTCGTCGATGATTCTCACCTCGAGAGTTACCTCGTCAGTCAGGAAAAAGAACTTAAAAACTTTTTTGACCTATAGGATGGTCATTAATTTCAAAAAGTTTTTGAAACTCTTTTGATTTGGGTCATACTTGTGCAGCCAAAGTTCAAAACCACCACCTTAACTTCCCAGTCTTCGAAAATTTAAGACATCATTACTCCCTGAGGTCAAACATTTTTTTTGCGTTTTTTTTTTCGAATATCTGTAAGGGAGCTCCTCAGTTCAAAAAACTATTGTAAGGAAAAATTTGTGCTCTTCGTGTTTTTTTTCTTCCTAATTGTCGCAAAAAAGTATCGACATTATTAAGAAAAAAAGAACGGCCAAAGAGCAAGGGGCAATGAAAATTTAATTTTTTTTTCTCCGATACCCAGGGAAAATTTTCCAAGTTGATGTTTTCAGACTTATTAAAAATTTAAACTTTTCTATCATTAAAAAAAACTGATTCATTTTTGCATGTCGACAAATTATCTTTCAAAACTTTTTCCTTGCAGTACGCCGCTCTACGAGATCTTTACTACGAGGGATTCGGACCGTACAAGACACGTAGCCTTCAAAAATGCAGAGCTGAAGCGCGAAAAGTATTAACAATCAAAGTTCAAACTATCTTTTACCTTTTTTAGCGACGACCTGATCAGAGAGTTGTCAGTCGGATGTGCATGCTGCTCGACGCTGCGACGATGAAGCGTTTTTGGCCTGATTATAAGGCGGACTTCTATACCGTTAAAAAGAAAGGTCTCTTTTTTTGTTGATATCTCATCGAGACTCTTTTTTCTTGCAGTGGAAACGCCTCCGTCGACGGAGAAGTCTTTGTGGAAACCTATCGGAAACGCAGAACCTGTAGTGGAGTATGGCGAAGACAGGTAAAGCCTTTTTCCGCAGAAGAACTCGTTTAAGATATGATTTCGATCCATCTTACTATTAATTTCGAAAAGTTCTTAGCTATACCGAAACTTCAACGGAAATATCCACTATCTATACGAAGCTTCAGTTTTGAAAATGAATCAAAATGAAAAAAATTTTTTTAACATTTTCTGTTCATCAAAAAATAGTAGAAAATTGCAAAGATTCGTATACCTAGAAGCAGAATTTTTTGAGAAATCGGTATAACAAAAGTAGCTCCCCCTGTTTAGATATTAATTTTTGCTTTCAAATAAGTTTTTCAGTATGGATATCGAAGAAGATCAGGAACCAAATGTTTCTTCTCGTCGAAGATCAGTTTCCAGAGAGTAAGTGGAATTGATGAGCTCCTTAACAATTTAGTTCACTCTTTTTCAAACTATTATTCATTATGAAGGTTATTCAAAGTGGGACTTTCAGTCGTGACATTCTAAGAGATCGCTACCCGAGCTTTTCTTCGCAAAAAAGAGCAGATTCGAGAAAGTGAGTGAACTTACTATTTTCTTCCCTTGAAAGATGGAATATAGTATTTTATTTTATCTGTTCCCTTTCTCAATTTAATTATGTTATTTCCAGTATGGAATATCCGGATGAGCGTTCAGGCATTTCGTCTCGGAGCAGATATGAACCCAGAAGGTTCAACTTTATATCCTTGATCCATGTGAAAGTTTATTATTTTTCAGTAAAGACGAATATCCCACCGAGAAGGCTTCAAGCAGACGTCGAAGCAGGTCACGGAGGTTCGTAACATTTTTTTCAATTTTGTCGGTGACTTTTTCATTAAGTAGTAAAAAAAAATGGTCTAAGAAATGAATATCCGTAAAAAAAAACCTAGAAAAAAAAAATAGAGTATGGACTATCGAAAGAAGGTTTTCAGTCGGGATCGAGAACGCGTTTGGGAAAAGGAGAAGCATCGTGCTGGCAGCTCTAAACACCACTCGTCGAAGAGTAGCCGAAAAGAAGAGCTGAAGAAAAAGACGAAACATTCCAAGACACGCCGCAGTTCTTCGAGCTCTTCTTCCGATGAACGTGAGGTTGATGACGTCATTAGAAGCTTTGCTGCACCTCCTGGTTCAACGACGTCTCGTAAACGCCGCGCCAGTCCAGAAGCCAACGAACGTGGAGATTTCGCCGACAAGCTCGCCAGTCTCCGCGACATGACTAAGAAGGGATTGATCAAGGCGACGGCGATAGATGAGAAAATGATGAGTGGAATTAGTCGCAGAAGGATGGAAGAAGAATCGCCCCCACAGGCAGTGAAAAAAAGTGTCGACGCGACCTCGATGCGTAAATTTCTTGGCATGCTGCTCACGATTGACAAAGACAGAATGATGACGGGCGGCGCAGTAGATCCATCGAAAATCCACGGGATCGCCTCAGAAGTCGGACTCCAGTTCCATAATGACGGCGAAATGAACGACATTCTGGAAACGTTGGCTGCACAGAACGCATCTTTTGAACGAACGCAGTCTGCGGAGCCAGCTCCAAAGTCTCGAAGCAGCGGATCAATCGACCTCCAGTCTTTTGGAATTTTCAATTCGGGCAACAGTTCGTTGCCTCCGCCACCGAAACCTCACTATCATCCTCCTACAACTAATCCTTACCACCTGCCATCTTTGCCGCGTCATCCGCTTCCGCCTCTCAATCAGCGTCCATACGCCAATCACTCTGCTTCTCAGAAAAACTTCACAGAACCTCCTGTAAAAAGTGATGAGCTGAAAAGGATAATGGAGGGTTTGAAAAAAACCAAGGAACAAGAAGATAACAGGAAGTTTTCTTTGATGATGAAGCCGCAAAACTACACAGCAAACGTCGATGAAATATTCGGCAACTCGACGTCTTCTTTGGTTTATCCTCATGATGAAGTAGCTTCGAACTCTTCGAAAAATTCCGTCCCCACGTCGCTCAGCGGATCTCCAGATCCTTCTACGGATAGTCCAGAATCTATGCTTTCGAAACAACAAAGGAAACGACTGAAGCGAATCGAGAAATTGAAGCTGAAACTGAAAGCTGAAGAAGAAGCAGTCAATGAAGAGCGCCAACAGCGGCAAGATCTACAAGCTGCCAATGAGTCAGAAGTTGACCAAAGCAAGCAAAATGAGAAGAAAGAACAACAAGAAGAAATACCGCTGATTGTTTTCCCACGACTTGGTCGCTCTGGGATTCCTAACAATTGGCCATTGCGGGGACCTAGAGGTCCCACAGAGACGTCGGAAGCGAACACCTCCAACGAACAGAACGCGACTACGACTCCCGCTGCTCCTGTGGCCCCGGGTCAGAAGATGGCTCTTGCTCGAACAGTTCTCCCCAATGGATCTCGTGTTTCTTCCGCTTCTGAACCCTTGCCAAAGAAGGATGCAGCTATTGGCTCTGCTTCGGTAGCACCTCAAAACACACTGACCACCTCGACGGCTTCTACTCCTACGAATTATTCATCGGAATTCTATCTGAATCCTCCGCCAGGACTCTTCAATTTGCCGCAGCAGCATTATCAAGTACCGGTTCAGCAGCAGCCGTCCTACGTTCCGCCACCTCATCATGTTCAGCCTCCTGCTCAGCTTTACCATCTTGCTCCAGAACAGCAGTACATGCTGCAGCAGCCGCCGCATCTTGGCATGCCTCCTCCGGTTATGGCGCAACAGATAATCCCTTCCCAGCAATTTACAGTTTATCAACAGCTTCCTCCCGATCCCAACGCACCTTTTCCACCCTATCACGATACGAACTATCATCCATTTTGATTTATTCGAGATTTTCTGTTTGAGCTATGCCCTTGTGGTTTAGGTATAAATTATATCCGTCTATTTATATCGAGTTTTCAAAAAAATCCAAAACTTATGATAGCTAGTATAACAAATTCAAATGAAAAGGTTTCAGAACTACTAAATCTTTTGACTTTTTATTTCTAGTTGAAAAAAAACACTTCTTTATATATTTTTTTTTCTGTGGTTCTTCTCCCCGTTCACTTTATTTCTTGCCATCTACGTGTTTCCTGTAGTTGTTTTTTTCTCTAATTTATGAATTCTTTGAATTATTTCTTCATTCTTCGGTCTGTGAATACACCAAAACGAGACTTTCTTAGTTTTCCCAATGAATCGGTTTATCTGTTTTAACATCAGTTTATTACACAACGATGAAACGCAAAGTAGTGACGATGAAGTAAGTCAGAAAACGGAGCGTGACCTCCCTTCTGACCCAATTTCAGGGCTAATGTCTTGAAAAAAGGTACGAGTTGCGGCCGACCGTTTGATTTCCCATCGCTGGCACCACTGATTCATCAACTGCACTTTGCCAAGGTCGAATTTTCGCTTTTCGGGATTTTTCTGATGGTCCCCTAGACGATAACGTTTTTTGAAAAAAAGTTCTTGCGTAAAAAAGAAGATTGGAGATTTGAAAGACAGAAATTAACGACCTTTTGATTGGATTAGAAGCGCAACTTGACCTCAAGGTTTTCCCTCTAAGTTTTGATTGCTTTCTTTTCAAGTCTGGTCCAAAATTTTAAAAAATCTTGAAAAGGCGTTACCAGGATTCATTAATATAGCCAGCTCGAATGCTTTAGTGAAGTAGAGTAATCCAATCACAGGCGAATTGGAAAGAAACCATAATGTGTCCGCAAATATACAGTAGCGGAACTCGACCATAAACAGTCGGATTGGAGGGAATTTTCGATATGTGGTGTGAATAACCAAAAAAAATACTCACCCATTTCCTCTACTGTACCTCTAAAAGTGGATCGTGAAGACCCCATAATATGTCCATCGTGATACCTCCGTGAAAACCTTTTAGCTCTATCTGAGCCATATCAGAGGTCCTTGAGAGTCTATCTCAAGTTTTTGAAAAAAAAAATGAGAAGACAGTGGATTTGTGTGTAAGAGGTCAAGGAGTGAAAAAAGATACAAACATTTATGTAGTTCATGTTTGCTCGGCCTGAAAAGATGTGCACTTTCTCCTTGATTTCGATTCGAATGAGGTTTCGCTGCCAGAACTCATGAAGAAGGTCGGCCTGCGGGAAAAAAAGAAATTCAAATGTGCTGATTGCAGGTAAAACAGGCGCAGCAGCACCGACGAGATGAAACGCCTCACCTTGACCCTGGAGATGTTTTTCGGGTGCACGAGACCCCACGCAATCACTTTTGCCCCGTTTTATTCGTTCGGTCCAGCGGTGTCGACGACGTCGCTTTTTGTCAAGAGCCGTTTTTGCATGGCAAGTCCTTGTTCGGAAAAGTGGCACCGTACCTCCGAACAACCAAACTCTCAAAATCATGCAACGCATCGCCCGTTTTCTCATATGCCGAGAAGCTGTTGTTTCTAGGTGGAACTACCTCATGAGGAAGCTAATTCTAATTCGTCATTTAGAAACTTTGCATAAATAATCTCTGGAGGAATTTTTATTTGGAAGAAGTTCGTAGAAAAATGGAGAATTCCGAGCGACAGGAGGTATAATACAGCATTTCCCACACGTGGATTTTTAAAAAAGTCCTATTTGAAGGATTACTAATTAAAATTTACAGAAAAATAAAATAGCTTTCTTGTAAGCACATTCTCGATCACTTTTGAAACAAGAATATCAAACCTCAACGATTTTGTGAGATTTTCTAGCGGATCCATTGGCTTTTCCAGCGCCTGATTTAACCTTTCTCGGCAATTAGACAGAATTTTCCTTATTTTATTTGGCTAGACTATTCTGCTTTGGATCTTTGAAAGAGTCGGGAGGTTTTTCTCAGATTTGCTCCTTTCTGGTGGTTTCCGGCGTCGCTGGCATCTTCGGATCCGCATGTTTTTTGCGGCGATTCTCCAACGATCTTATCCACGCCGATATCTCACCAGTGCCATCGTCCTTTCCCTCATCCGCGCTTATCTTCTGTCCGCCGCAACAATCGGCATTTTTTTGGGCTCCGTCTTTTTTTTTTCTTTAAATTCCCCGTTTTTTTTTTCTACCTTGATACTTCTTTGGCTGAATAATTTTCGCCCAAACAAAACGTCACTCGAAAAAAAGAACATGAATTTTCGGGTGGTTTAGGTGTTCATGGTATCATTTATTTTCTGAACGAGAGTACCAAGGAGTATTCATTTACTCATTTTATGTATTTACATGAGCAAATGAGAAAGAAAAGCCAAATTCGCCAAAAATCTTCTATCGACCTTTCGGATGAAATTTGCAGCAAAAAAAGATCCAATTTTTCGTCAAGCTATTTAATACTTCAAGGCTTCCAATAGCAATAAAGATATAATGTAAATACGGAATTCAAGAAGGTGTATAGTTCCAGCCCAGTGGGATGGATTTGAGAATTTCTCTGTTTTTTTTAGGCTATCAAACTTTGAAGCTTCACGTCTTCTGATTATAATCATCGAAGAGCTTAAAGGCATATTCAGAAAAGACGATGTAAGTGAGTGGAGATAGGGATTCAGTATTGTCGGTCAATCTATGAACATCACCGCTTTTTCCGGTTTCCAATTTAACTTATCAGTTGACAAGGTCAGTCAAAAATTCCTGACCCAGTTTGCCAGATTTTCTGTTTCGGACCCGCCTCATATTTATCACCTCTGTTTTTTGGGTCTCTCAGAAAGTTTTCGACTTGTCTATCATTCGATTTCTATCTTTTCTTCCTACTTTGAACTCGGTCTAACTTTTACTTCGTAAATAAACTTTGGTCCACTTTCGATCGGTCAGAATTATGTTCAGCAACAGTTTTTGTTTGCTCTGCGGCGAGATCCCGGATGACCTCGTCGCTCCCGATTTACTTAGTCTTATTTCCTACGGACATCCATATTTACCTGTGAAATTTGCAATTGTGTCCATTCCACAGTTCTTTCCCCATACACTTCGAATTTCGTTGCACTTCCTGTACACGGCCCTTTGAGCGCTGCGAAATCGTTTTCAGAGTCACTTCCTAGTCTCAGGGAAAAGCTCCCCCACCGATCAGAAAATAATAATATTTAAAACTATTGTTCGAAACTCTTTCCATCAAGACTGCAAGGAAATTTGAGAATCTATTTAGTTCATTCCGCATTTGAATAGTACTTCGCGAGACGAGCCGTTGATTTATACCATTTTTCTCCGCTCCAATTCCTCTCGACTTCAAAGTTCCAGTGGCGCAATCGTAGACGAGACGAGAACATCAAATTTGTCCTTTTTTATGAGAAAAAGGCGCTAGGTCCAATTAAATTTGCGCTAAACGGTGTCCTTTGAAGGCCTTTGAGGACCAAGTCGACCTCGAAGGCCCGAGTCAAAACGATCACAGCTACTTTCGGATCGGCCGTAGCTCTTCGGGAATTCCTAGTGTTTCCCTTGTTGCGTCAAGTTTTGTGGAACTGACAAAGGCAATTGGCCTTCGTGCCTACGACCCCTTTACGTCCATTCAAATTCAAATCTTTGTGATTTTTCAAATTCACGCAATACTGGACAGCGTTCGTTTCTTTATAAAGACATTTTTAATTTTTTTTTGTTTGAGTCATTCTTTGGCTGTAATAGAAGTGGCTTCCTGGTGGATCATTAATTTGTACTATTTTTGTATGATATAGATTTCTACAACTCGAAACCCCGTATTCTTTCTGAAACCTGAATGATTAGAATATTTTGAAAAATTGCGACTTTTGAATTGATCATATTGTTAGGAAAATATTTGGAAGAAACTCTATCTCGCTTTTTTTTTCGGAAAGTACACAGGAACCACTTTGCTCAAATCCAGCTTTTTTTTGGCGTTATGGGCGGTACAGGTGGAGGCGCGTTTAATCTCAGGGAATGCGAAAATGTCCTTGACCAGACCTCCAAATATTGCGTTATGCCGTTTGTGAGCGGATGGAGACTCCCGAACTTGTTAGCCGCTTTTCTCCTTGGAACGAGACACCTCCGTCCTATTTTCCGGCCCCGACACTCCGCCTTCGGCGTTGACAACCGTTCCAAAACGACGTCTTCCGCGGTTGCTCCGCTCCGATACTTCTGCACCTAAAATCTTTGTGAAATCATGGCTTTCTAGGTCTTCCTATGATTTCTCTTACCAGGGCTGTTCATGAAGCTTTCGGAATGGGTTCAACTTTTCTAGTAGTATTTTTTTTGAAATCCTCTCTGTTGAAGTTTTTTTTACGTGCTGGGATATGGCTAGAAAACGAAAACGTTTCTTCAATTTAGAATATTACTCCAATTTTGTTTCATTTTTAGAGTTCAAAATCTTCAAGCAGTCACATTTCAAATAGATTTCTCTGTCGAAATGGAACTATGAATTGAACATTATCGTAAAAAAATATCTTGAAAGGGTTTTTTTATTTCGACGGTAGTATAAACATGGGCCTGATTGAATACTTAATCTCGAAAAAAAACTTGGAAATCGGATCAAGATTTTTGATGGAGATATGAAATTTACTCCTTTCTAACCTCATAGATACAATGTTCTCTTTTCGTCTTTTTATCTTCACGCGTTTCTAAATTTTGATTCGAAACTGTTGTGATGTGATTGGATACAGGATGCGAGCAGCTGGCGGCGGGCATTCGGCCCGACGCCTTCACATTTTTTCAAGCGGTTCACCGCTTCTGCTCTCCACGATTCTTCTCTTCATCCTCTTCGGTTGTTCTTTTCATGTTTCCCCCAGTTTAACCCCTTTTTTCAGTTATGCCGGTCGCCGCTATTTCGAAGAACTTTGTCAACGTCTCGATGCCCGAAATGAGACCGACCTTCGTCGTTAACTTTGACACTGCCACTGTTATTTGCCAGCATAGGTTTTCACCGTTCCTTTTTTTACCAATTCAGAAATCCTCAACAAAAGAAAAAGTATTAGAAAGGTCCCTGAAAACGCGAAGCGCCAGTTTAAAAGAAAAAGAAAGAGATGCCTCGAATAAGAGAACATCATTCGAAAAGAATAACTTCCCTAGCTTGGGGGAACCTGTGAATGATTGTCATGAAGAATTTCGCAGCGCGGATCCGAGTGATCTCCACATCCACAACATGAGCTCGCTCTGCGACGGCAATCAGGACTGCTACCACAACCCCGCGATGCACGACGAGAGCTTCCCATACTGCGGTAAGACCTCCAACCGTTACCCTTGACAAGTTTTGATCAGAGCGCAAATGCGACTCGACGTGTGGTGGCAAGGGAGCCTGTCTCTACGACGGCAACCGTGCGATGTGCTACTGCGACTCCGGCTTCTCTGGTCCTTCCTGCGAAGTCCAAGACGCCAACGAGTGTCTGGAACGGCCGTGTCACCTGATGGCTCACTGCCAGAACACCATGGGCTCCTATGAATGTCGCTGTTTGTCGGGATTCTCCGGCGACGGTCACAGCTGCGTCGACGTCGACGAGTGCGTCGATTCCAAGTGTCCGGACCACGCCGAGTGCATCAACCTCCCGGGAACTTTTTTCTGCAACTGTACTCAAGGATTCTCGCCCAAGGTATCAACAGAAGATTTGGAGTAGAAAATTCTAACTAAACTATTTGGCTTCGTGATTTTTTTTTTGTTTATGATGATGATAATTTTTGAATAACGTCCTCACATCTTCATATGCTTGAAGAAACAACGAACTTGAAGAGTTCAGGGTCAACCATTGGAACGTTGCGCCGACATCAACGAATGCGATCTGAAACTGCATGATTGCAAGCCTCACCAAATCTGCGAGAATACGGTAATCCCAGGACCTGGTTCTTATTTTCATTCGAAAAATTTTTGGCTCAACATGGTGGTATGAAGTACTAAGGAAAAATTCGTTTTTTTATGGATATATAAATACTTTAACATATTGAAAAAAATTTTTAACTGATAAGAAGTTATCAAATATAGATAGAAAATGGGCCTACGTAATGGTTTTTTACAGAATGAAATAATTTTTTCGAAAATAATGTTTAGTAATCATTGACCTGGAAAATGTTTCATTTTTTTGTGTCAAATCAATTTTCCAGTTGGGCTCCTTTAAATGCGTGGACAGCTGTTCGGTGGGCTACGAGTCCAACGACGACCGAGATTCAGAAGCGGTCGGAGGCTGCGTTGACGTCGACGAATGCTCTCGCGGCACCCATTCCTGTGATCCTCGCGCCGACTGCACCAACACTGTCGGTGGCTACACCTGCGAGTGCGACGAGGGCTTCACCGGCGACGGCAAAAACTGCCAGCGTTCGTCTTTCTTTCCTTTTTGATTTTTTGTCAGCCAAATGGTTTCGTTTGGTAGAATTTTCTTTCAGCGGTCACGGATTGCAACCTGAACGGAGACATCTGCGATAGACACGCCCATTGCCTGCCTGGCATGAACATGTGTCTCTGCAACGCCGGATACGTCGGCGACGGCATCACTTGCCACGGTAGAGAATCCTCAAGTATCCTTCCTCAAACTCCAATGTAGACGTGAACGAATGCGAAGCGAACGTCAACACGTGCAGCTCCGAAGCCCGTTGCGTCAACATCGAAGGCGGCTACATTTGCTGCGGCGCTGAAACCGACGACGATCGCTGCATCGAACGTCTGTTCACGACTGTTCTGCGAACTCTGAAGTCCTTCGGTTTCAGAGCAGGGCGCTTTCTGCAGTGGCGGCTGCGGACTCAACGCGCTCTGTCTCAACTCGTCTTGTGCCTGTATCGATGGCTTCTCCGGCGATCCTCGTCGTAAATGTCTCGGTTAGTCTATCATCTCCGTTATTTCGGTTTTTTCGAAGAGTTCAATAAGCCTCCCTTAAAAATACAGAATCTGATCAAGGTTATAAAAAAGCAAGTCAGACTAAGTATCAATTTCGTAAAAAAAAGCGTTATCTGATTTCTTCACGCCAAAACTCTAGGAATAACTGAAACTGGATTCATTCCATAAATACTATATTTCGCACTGTATCTGATCATAAATCATTTTTGATTTTATCTTCTTCTTTATACCTCCAATAATCAGCATTACTCTTTTCTTTTTTCTTTTTCCTTTTTTTTCGTTTTAGTCTTCTTTTTCTCTTCTTCTTTTCATCGCACCTGAGTTTTATGTCTAGAAAATTTTGAAGATTGCTGAAGGAAGTCTACTAAGCCGTCAATCTTCAAGGCCCGAAACGGCAGCGCGTTAATTCATGAAATGTTCATCCTCTTTCTACTCAGATTTTATTCATCAAAATTAATTAAATTTCAAAAACCAATGTTCTCTTTGAGTTTGAGATCAAAGTTGGTTAAGATGTGAACGAGTGCGAAGACGAGAAGAAGTGCGGAGGCGTCGGCGAATGGTGCGTCAACCTGTCCGGCGGATTCACTTGCTGCAACGCGGATAGTAAAAACCCAGAATGCCTGGTACCTTTTTGTCGTCTTTTGCTCATCCATCGAATTTCCCCCAGGTTCTCAAGTCGACGGACGTGGCGGCGCAACAGAAGCTGTCTTCCGAAGCGGCGGTCACGCATTCGTCTGTTCTTTCGGCGTTGGGCGGCGAGTTGATCGAAGGCTCCGGCCAGTCGCACACCTCTTCCGGAGGCTCGGTTGCCGTTGCGCGAGGCACTTTCACGCCTTCTGTCCAACTCATTTCTTCTACTCGTTAGTTTTCTGACAAGTTTTTTTTTTTGAATTTTCTCTCCTTCTAACGTTTTCCAGCGTTTTGGTCTTCCTGCTAAAAATTCTCAAAAATACTAAAAATACTGGAAATTCTGAGATATTGTTCTTGAAACCAACAACGCGTAAACAGTCGGCGTCTCTCGATACAGCTTCAAAAATTGTTTGAGCAGCTTTTCAAAATATTTCAAACTGTTTAGTAAAATCCTCGTTAGATTCTTTTGACTTTGGATTCACTCAACTCTTGACAGACTTTTCAAGCTGTTTTGCAATTTATGAACCAAACTTTACCGGAAATCTCGTCAATCAGGCTGTGATCCTACAAAAATACAGCTCAAATTCAGAGTACGGCGATTTCCAGGTCTTATGATGTTGAAACATATTCGATCTCGATATGCATTTTTATGTCGCAAGTTTTAAGAATCGAGTGTATGAAAAATGAATCGCTGCAGTAATTTGGACCAACTCGGTGAAAAAAATCAATATAATTCGAAAGTTTAGTTGCAATAATGGCGTTTATTTCGACTTTCAGGGTTGCCATGCACTTCTTACTGCCCGGCCAACTCAGACTGCGTGAAAGGCTTCTGCGAGTGCTCGAAAGGATACGGAGGGAACGCCTATTCCGGCTGCGAAGGTTCGTCTCCGCTGCATTTCCCTTCATTTGAAATCTCTTTGTACTCGACTGATTGAAGATGTGGACGAATGTCTGACCGGAAAGCAGTGTAAGGAAGAGGCCGGCGAATGGTGCGTCAACCTCGTCGGAAGCTTCGTTTGCTGCTCCATGGACAACGCCACTCATGAAGACTGCATCGGTCAGTTCTCAGAGGAGTCATTTTACTCTTCAACACGATTTTTCAGAAGTTTTTCACAACTATCTTATAATCTTTAAGTTTTCAATGTGGCTGTGAACTTTTTAGATTCCTTTACCATCCGAGACTCTAGAAATTCGTATACAGTACGTTTCAATGTTCAGGCTTGAACATAGCTAGAGTCGAAATCAGCCAAAAGGCCTATTAACTTGACTAATATAACGAACTTTTGTTTATCAATTCATATTCCAATGAAAAACTTTAAATTTGTTTTAACGCGACTATATTATCTATAAAAGATTTATGGGAGCCTGATTGAACATCAGAGGATATTTTTGAATGGTTTTTCGAGTACAATGTATGTCTTAATCACAATATCCTTTACAGTATGACTTTTCCTCCTCAATTTTTAATCAAACGTTTTCTCCTTGTAGGAAAGCAATCAGTTCAGGCTTGGAAATAACTCGCGGAAACGGATTGCGACTGATTGGCGGCGTGGAGGAAGGCGCGATCGTCGCGGCCTCGGCCAACCGCTCATCTGGAGACGAACTCATCACGGAGATCGTGCAGCAGAGCCGCAACTTCTCCTCTGGCCAGATCATCGTCGCCCGCAGCAAAGTCTCAAGTGGAGAGGCTCTCCTTCAGACGACGCCTTCTGATGAGTTCGGACTCGAAATCGTGGCTGATCGCGTCACGGCCACGCCTTCAAGTCACACCACCACTGACTCGTCGGTTTGTTAAAGTTTACATTCAACCAAAAACTGAGAAAGTTGATTCAGGACGCTGATATGCTACAACCGGAAGGCTCTGGCAGCGAGTCTGGAGTGACTGGAGCATCTCCGTCTGCGAATAGCACACTTTTGGTCAGATTCACAACTCTCGAAAACGCCGCTGGCAATTCGACTTTTTCTTCAACCGCTTCTTCAATTCTCATTGAATCGCACTCTTCTGGCAATAATTCGCGAGTTGCCGAGTTCGAATCTAAAGGCGGAAGGTCATCTTCTTCGGAAGGTGGAATCATCTTGATCGGAGACGGAAAACACAAAAAAGAGGAGCCTGACAGTGGCGAGGACAGCAACGAGGTTGGACTCGAAATCGTCTGGACCAACTCTTCCGAAATCGTCGGCAACACTAATGGAACAGTCGATACCGATAAGGTCTCTTAATTTCACGAATATTGTTATTTATAATGAAATCAAAACTCGAAATTTTTTTCTATGATTAGAATTCCGATGCCAAAACCTTCATTAAGAAATATTTAGTTTTAATGGTTTTCGAAGTATGAACGGACGATAATCGTTATTTCATTTCTACTGCGTTTAGGTTGGTTTGGAAGTCTCTGGAGAAAGCCTGAGTAGTACGACAACGACGACGGAACTTCCTTTGATCCTGACGGCGGACAAGACGACAACTGTCGTGACTGGGAGAATCATCGGAATTGAGGAAACGAGTACAGCGGCCACTTCGACTCCTCTGTCCAACGGTTGAACTCCTCCAAAATCAGATTAAATCAATTATCAATGTTTCAGCAACTATCGGTTCAACTCAAACGACGCCGACAGTAGACGTAGAAGAGTGGGAATCTCTGACAAAGAACGCCAGCAAAGGAATCTTGACGTCGACGGAGCAAACGACGCCAGCGATCGCCAATGCTTCAATCGTCCCTCCGGAATCGTCGTCTTCTCCCACATTCAAACCTAACGAGACAACTGACGGCTTCACCCCAATTCTGCACTCCAATCAAACGTTTTCGGGATCATCGACGCTTCCGAGTGCCCTCACTACATCGGCACCGGAAAATGAAACCGGCCCCGGCACCGTTTCATTCACAGAAGGTCCTCCTGAAACGTCTTCGGAGGCAACGTCGACAGAAAAAGTTTTGTCTACGTCAGTCACAAAGACTTCAGAAACATCAGAAACACCAACGACGCCTGTTCCAAATTTGGAATCGACGTCAACTTCGAGCTTATCTACCACCAGTGAAGTTGCGCCTATCAGCTCTTCTCCAGCCAGCATCGGAAGTTCATCATTGCCTCCCAGTTCTACAACTACAACAGAGTCTCTCGCTTCTTCTTCGGAGACTAGCATTTTGCCAACTGCGGCCACTGAAGCGAGCGGACTCTCATCAGAAAGCGAGTCGACCTCAACATCAATCGGAGAAACTGAATCGACGACCTCATATTTGTCTACCCTACCCTCAGAGTCTTCTTTGTCCTCTTCATCGACCACTGTCGCTTTTGAAAAAACTACTAAGTCTGATACTTTATCGGAATCTACAACAGTGACGCCATCTGAGCTATCCACATCATCAACGTCTGAAGGTTTGGAATCGTCGGAACCAACAACATCTTCTGCCTCAACGACCCGGTCGCTTCCAACAGAATCAAGAAGCCCCTCTGTTCCTGCGTCTTCCACGACTCCACTGCCGAAGTCCGTTTCTTCTCCAAAAACCATCACTTCAGAAGGGGAAGGTCTTCCTTTGGTTCGTACGACGTCTCCGAATGAAACAGAAGCTGAAAAGAAAGAAGAAGTAACATCCACGACCCTCTCGAGCAGCACGTCATCTGTAGCATCTTCCACATCGCAACCGGAAATAGATGAAATAGAAGGGTCTTCGGAAGTTATTTCTCCTGCTGAACCTACAGAAACAACGCTCCTCTTGTCGACATCTTCGCTTACGACGTCCGCTACTCTGCTGCCTGAAACAACAGAGTCGTCTTTTTCCGGCTCATCAACCATGACAGTGAAAATAACTCCAGAGTCAACGACCAGTAGTACTTTGGAGCATTCAACTGAAAAACAAAAAGAAATCACTTCCACCACGCTTCCGACAAGCTTATTCCCAGATCTTGGAGAAACAACTGCAAAAAAAGTCGGTGACAGGGAACAAGTCACCGAAACGCCAACGACATCAGCCAAGCCAGAACCGACAGAAGAAGGACCAACGACTGTGACGAGGCTTCCTTCGAAGGCTCCGACGGCCGTTCCACAAGAGCCGACCAAGGACACGTTCAGCCTTGCCACGACGTCCACAGCCGCTCCCAGCAATGTCTCTTTGGTGTAAGAGTATTTGTCTTGTTTTCGATCTCATCGGACAATTTGAAGCGAGAAGACCAAGTGCACGAGCAGCGACGAATGTGGGAAGGACTCTTTGTGCGAGAGACGGACTGGCGTCTGTCGCTGTCTTCCGGGCTTCGAAGGCACTCCTCCACACACTCCCTGCGCTGGTCAGCTTCTTTTTGAAGTCCAATCCTTTGGAAAAGAAAATTAGAGCAGTCATTCCGTTTTTTTTGGACCGCGAAATTTATATTTTGGCGTCGGTATACATTAGCGCTTTCATTCAATTTGAAATATTGATCAAAAAACAAAATGGGAAATTTTTCGTGTTGCAGACTCAACTAGGAAAACTGATTAAATTTTCCCTGATTTACTCTTATTACCAGATCAGTTTGCAGTTTTTGAAGTAAGAGTACAATCGATCGATCAATGGATGATGGCTCCGAAATTTCAAAAAGAAAACTTCCTTTTTTTGACTTGTAAATCACTCGAATCGAAATCAATCGCGCAAGAAAAAGTTCGAAAAATATGTTATTTTTAATTTGTAATTAGAAAAATTCGTTCTTTTAGAAAAATCCAATGTAAAGTTTTTCACAAAACTATTCCTATTCTTGATCTATTCATAAAAATTAAGGCTCCTTTTTTCAAAGAAATTTCTGAAAAAAGGGAAGTTTTAGACGTGGACGAATGTGCCAGAGGACTTCACAAATGCCACGAATCCAGCCGCTGTCACAACTACGTCGGAGGCTACACGTGCTTCTGTCCGGTGGGCTTCCGCAAGAACGAGTACGGCATCTGCGAAGACGTCAACGAATGCGAGGAGTGGCACTCGACGTGCTGCGGAAGCAACAGCACCTGCGTCAACAGTCCGGGCTCCTACTCGTGCTCTTGCAACCAAGGTCGGTCTTTCTTCTCGACTGGAGATGAGGAAGACGTTCAGGATTCATCGGAGACGGCTACCACTGCGTGCCGAACCGCATGACGCCGTGCAACGCCGAAGAGCAGATCCGAGCCGACTGCTCCAGCAACCGCATGTGCATGGTGAACGGAGACGGCTCTTTCGACTGTTCGACCTGCCTCACTGGCTTCGAACTCGTCGAAGCCGAGTGCAAAGGTGACTTTTGAGGAAAAAAAAGTTTTGAGATACTCCAAAAAGCGAAAAAAAAGCTGAAGTTTATTTCAAACGGCGACAGAAATAAAGTTGAAAAGTTTATTGAAAACGAGGAACTTTTTGCTTGGGTTTGTATTCACGAATTTTTACTCACTTTAATTTCTTTTTTGAGTTTGTGGACTGCAAGTGGCGAATAGAATTAGAAATATAATGATTTAAACTTCCCCTCACTTTTAGGTTGCGTTATTCTCGAGGCCGATGGCTTCCTATGACAATTCAAAATTTAAACATTGATTCAAAAAAAGTTATTATCAGATATCAACGAGTGCGACTCGAGTCACATGTGCCACTCGAAAGCAGTTTGCTCCAACCTCAACGGAAGCTATTCCTGCGCCTGCGTCGAGGGTTTCCGCGGCGACGGCTTCATGTGTGAAGACGTGGACGAGTGCGAACGACGACCTTGCCATCCCAACGCCGAATGCACCAACTCTGAAGGCTCCTTCGCCTGCAAATGCGCCGAGGGGTTCACCGGCGACGGCGTCAAGGAGTGCATGAACCCACTGGAGAAAAGCTGCGAAGACGTCGAGAAGTTCTGTGGAAGGACGACCAACGTCGTCTGTCTCTCCGTCAGAATCTACAACGACTCATTGACTTCTGTCTGTGAGTGTGACCCCAACTACAGGTTCGACGAAAAGACTCGTCAATGTGTCGGTAAGACTTTCAAAATGAATTTGTGAAAAATTGATGAGATCAGACATTGACGAATGCATGGAGGACCGCCACAACTGCGATCCAGCCTCCTCGGTTTGCGTGAACGAAGACGGCGGCTTCCGCTGCGACTGCGCTGAAGGCTACGAGGGCAAAGGGGGAATGTGTGTCGGTAAGTTCCAAGTCGCTGAGGAATACTCGACCATCAAAAAATCAGAATCGTTTTTTTGGAGGGTTATTATAGTTTTGAACATTTGTATAAGTTGTGCTTGGCCAGACATCGACGAGTGCGGCCGAGGAATGGCTGGATGCGACTCGATGGCCACCTGCATCAATCGGATGGGGAGCTGCGGCTGCAAATGCATGGCCGGCTACACTGGCGACGGAACTCAGTGCTTCGGTAAACGAGGATCTTCTTCTGCTCTCCAGAGACCTCTTTCAGAAATGAAGAAGCCAGAGACGTCGACGCGCTGCACGGAAGAGTGGGAGCGACTTTGCGAGGTCGAGAACAAAGGCTGCCACGTCGACGAGGAAGACGTGCCTCAGTGTGGCGCATGTCTCGCCGGCCACCAACCTGTCAACGGCACCTGCCAGCGTCAGTCAACTTTTTTCTTTTTGTTATAAAGAAAATGATTTTTCATTTCAATCAAATATGGGTGATGAAAATGTTTAACAGGAAAAGTAATTTTTCTCTGAAATGTGTCGTTTGCTAGAAAATAGCCGAAAGGTTCCATGTCGGAGGTCTTAGAAGTTTCAAAAAGACTAACTTTTCTTTGGTTCTCTATCACCACGCCACAGATCTGTATGTGAGCGAACAATAAACATTTAAAGTCCAATGAAACCATCAAAAGCAGGCTAAAAGCGAAATTTTACGGCTTCGAGCCATAATTTTCTTATGACTTATCAAAGAGTGCCTTTTTTTCCAGAAAGTCAAACAGTTTTAAAACAAGAAAATGACCTTTCTTGTAGGGCTGTCCAGTGCTATCTTGAATGAATAAAAGCATGTAGAAGTTCTAGTTTTATTCCAATTATGTTTTTTTTCTTATTGAGTAAAGTTTTGTACAGTGTCAAAAATTTTTTACACCAAAATTGTGGATTTTGTATCCAATCAGTTTTTTTTTTCAGCGGTACAAGGAGTCGGACTTTGCAAAGAGAAGAACGACTGCGACGTGCACGCCGACTGCATCGACGTCCATCCGGGATCCCACTTCTGCGTCTGCTCGCCAGGATTCATCGGTGACGGCAAAATCTGCGACGGTATTCTGAATCTTCTCACAAATCTTCATTTTATCCAGATATTGACGAGTGCTCACTGCACGGAATGTGTGACGAAAACGCCGTCTGCAAGAATTCTATGGGCGCCTTCGAATGCGTCTGCAAAGACGGCTTCCGAAGGGAGGGACGTGTTTGTGTGGCTCAGCCTGGTACCTTTTATTTTGACTTTTGCTATCTTTTGTCCAAGAATCGCCGTGAAGTTAGATCTGTAAGAATTTTGACCCTGAGAAGTGAACGAATATGTATTCTTTTTTGATAAAAGTCTATAAACTGAAAAACTGTGAAATATGATTTCCCAAGCATTTTTCAGCGACTTCTACGAAGCCACCGCAAGATAGAAACGAAGTAACGATTGATGGCGATGAGTCTGGCGAAGATCTCAACAAAAACGCCGCTCTCACGTCTACCGCCTCTTCTTCGTCTACGACAACAACGACAACTACGAAGTCTCCTGTTCCACCGAAGTCTTCTTTGACGACGTTTTCCTCTTCGCCGACGTCTCCTTCTTCGTCGACGCCTTCCTCATCTCCGACGTCTCCTTCTTCGCCGACGTCTTCCTCTTCTCCGACGTCTCCTTCTTCGCTGACGTCTTCCTCATCTCCGACGTCTCCTTCTTCACCGACGTCTTCCTCATCTCCGACGTCTCCTTCTTTGCCGACGTCTTCCTCTTCTCCGACGTCTTCTTCTTCGTCGACGTCCCCTTCTTCGCCGATGTCTTCCTCTTCACCGACGTCTCCCTCTTCTCCGGCGTCTCCTTCATCATCGACGTCTCCCTCTTCTCCGGCGTCTTCCTCTTCACCGACATCGTCAACCACCGGTACGACTTCACTTAAATCCAGCAACCCACAAACCGCACGTTCAGCAACGAATAATTCGTTCACGAGCACTCAAAAAGCACGAGTTTCTCCGTCTAACACCCCGAATGAGAGTGCAGTGTTTACTACAACTTCACCACTAATCACAAACTCACCAAGAATCTTTTCGACGTCGCCGACCGCCGTGACCAGTACGAAAGATGTGAATTCAACAGCGGAAAACGTCTCCAAAGTAAGTTCTAGTAAAGATCACACTGAAGTATCCGGAGAAACATTTCAAACATCGACTTCTCTTCCATCAGACCGAACCCAAGGCTCGGAGGCTCTGAAAACAACTAATTCCTTTGAAACGTCGTCTTCTGATCTAATCACGGAAGCTTTGGAAAGTTCTATCGGATCCTCAAAATTATTCTCCAGTACTACCTCGGAAACTGTTGGCTCTTCAACAACTCTCACTGCTGTCGAAACATCTACTAATTCTCAAAACGAAGTTACCTCAATATCATCGAGCCAATCGGGTCCATCTGTGAAAACGGAGAACCCTGTTGAGGTCAAAGTCTCGACGTCATCTTCGTTGGAAACGTCTTCCACCTCTTCTTCAATTTCAGTTTCACAAAAGACTTTTGGAACGACGTTAAGGATGACTTCAGAAGGAGAACGAGAGAACCTAGGCACGACTTCTCTCGAAACCACTCAAAAAGCTCCGATCGCGACTTCAGGAACAACCAAAAGCTCTTTTGTTCCAGAATCGAGTGTTTCTTCTGAAATGTCATTTTCTCTGCCGAAAACAGGGAGCTCAGCCCAGCCCATATCTTCGAGTCTTAGCACAGGAAATAATGGATCTACAAGAAATCAGAGTAGTACAAAAACTTTCACTGATTCTCCAATCGAGCTAACTTCAACATTTTCTAACCAACCGAGTCAATCACAAAAATCAGCTAGTCCTAGTTCGACCGGCAGCTCGACTTCCTCTCCCTTGGAGCCAGCCACTGTGTTTTCTTCGGTCACAACCTCACAAAGGACACCTGAGCGAGCAGACTTCAGCGCCACTTCAACTAAAGTGCGTGTGAGCGAGCATGAAAATCTGTCAACAATTGAGCGCAGAAAAATTTCTGCGGCTCCTCCAAATGGAGTTACAGAAAACCCTGGATTGCCTGAAACCGAACAAGTATTAACTTCCACATCAAGCGTAACAAAGAGCTCTAACACTACAAAATCAAGCGTATCGTCAGGATTCTCATCTTCTTCGGTGCTAAATATCACCGAATCTCCAGAATTTTTCTCCAGCTCCACCTCAAAAGCGAACGACTCTTCAAAAAGTTACACTAACGCTGAAATGTTGACTGATTCTCCCGACAGAAGGAGTTCAACATCTTCGAAGCAAGCAAGTCAATCAGAAGTTACCAAAAAACATAGCGAGGGTTTCGGCTCAACTTCTTCCACCTTGGATTTATTTCCTGCTTCTCCTTCAATCGCCGATCTGCAAAAGTCTTCAGAAACAACGTCAGGAATGACTTCCCCAGACACGAAAGCTTTTACTAAGGTGAGCGTGGACGAGCTCGAAACACCGACAACAACTGAGTTATCAAGTTTGTCTAAAGTTTCTCCAAAAAAAGCTGAGAAAACTACTGGCTCTTCTGAAAAAGAAGCTTCGACTTCTGCTTCGGGAATATCTGTTGAAGAATCCACAACATTTCCCAAATTCTCTACTCTACAATCACTTGCGACCAATGCTCCAACAAGTTTTACTCAATCACTCAAAATGGACGCTTCTTCTCCGTCTACCAAATTAGTAGGAGATGCCTCTGGAATTTCTTCAACAACTTCAAGTCTTTTCACTGATTCTGACAAATTGACTTTTGGAGCTGAAAATTTGAACACCCCGTCTAGCACGATTTTAGCGATTTCAGAATCGACTTTGAGCTCCTTGATCATGAGCACTAGCCTGTCGGATTTCACGTCTTCCGCTGCGCCCCAAACGTTCCCGACAGAACCCGGAGAAAAGAAAAAACAGACTAAAGAAGAATTTTACTCTATCTTGACTGCTCACTCAACAACTGTAAATGCTCAAGAAGTTCGGATGACGACTACTCTGCCAAGCTCAACAGGAAAAACAGAAGAGGAAATGCCAACAGACACTTCTAAGGTTGATCTGAACTCAACTAGTGGCATTACGAGCATTTTCAAGATTCCAACTTTTTCACCTCCTACCGAATCTGGAACGAGTGGCAAAGCAACATCTATCTCTGAACCTTTTCCGACTGGTGCTCCTATCACGGAGTCTCCTTCGATCTCCTCAGCTGGCAAAGATTTTACTCAATCAATCAAAACAAGCAGCTTCTCAACACAATCGAGCCCAGTTAGTCGCTCGGATGGGTCGACTTTTGGTCCTGACAATGGTTTCAGCGCGACTCCGACTTTGACCGTCGAAGGTGAAACGCTTGAAAGCTCCACGTTTCCTCCAGATACAACTACCAAAGTATTCTCAGAAGGTACACACACATCTTCGAACGAGAAAAAAGAAACGACTAAGGCTCCAGAAAATGGCTTCAAAAACACGCCAAGATTAGAACAAATACTTGGAGCGTCAACAGAACGGCCGTCGACAGACATATTCATAAACATCACAATTTCCGAAACACCAAAAGAAGAGACGACAACTGTCAAGAGTGATTCGAGCACAAAATCGGAATCGGACGAAAGCCCAACCACTGACAATACTTTCAAAAGTTCGGAAAAATCTTCTGCTGTTACTGAAAAGATTTTGCCTGAGGAAATGATAGAGCCGCGCTGGACAGGCTCAGCAGACACTTCTACGACATCTGATTGGGTCACAGAAAAGAGTTCTTCTAGCTCAACTACGGGAAGTGCCATTCCCTCGGGAACTTCTTCGAATCAAAATCTCACCGCGGATCTGACTCATCCTTCAACAGCCGCTACTGGCTCATTTCATCAGAAAGAGGAAGGTGAACCAACTGAAAAGAAAGATTTTGGGAACCATGAGTCTTCTCCAACCTCATTCGAAAGCTTCCCAAGCTCCACCACTGAGAGCTTCGAAGTCCGAACGTCCCTACCTGCGAACAAAACAGTCGAAGGAGACTTCGGAAAGGAAAATCTTCCCACAAAAACAACTTTGAGGGGCAATATTGGAAGTTTCGAAGCCAGTACAGCTCCTTCTGAAGAAACAACGTTTTCTACTGGCAATATTTTCGGAAAAGAAAGAATCACCAGCACAACGAAACCTGTAATCTCTGCAAATAGTAGTACTGAGTCACATAACAGTCCAGAAAGCTCCACGGGAGGCAGTTCAACGCTTTCCGTGTCGACTGAAGAGTCGAGTGGGCTGAAAGGAGCTACAAGTCAGGAAAACTCGCAAACTTTGAAAGAAAGTACGTCTGTGACCGAGGCCGAAGAGAGCACTACAGGACCCTCAATCCTTCAAACAAAATCGGACAGTTCGATTTCTCCCGAATCTCAAAGATTTGAAACGGAAACTCTCGAGAGCAGGACGGAAACCTCTCTTGAGACCACAACAGCTCGACCGAAATTGATCGATTTCACTGACAAAAATGCAAGCACACCTTCTTCTACGGCTTCTAACGTTGAGTCGACTTATCCTCCGCATGAAACGAAAGAAGCTGAAAGTAGCACGGTTAGCGGATTCACGTTTAGTACTACCAGCGCTTCGAATCTTCACGCGGGTGACCTGAGCACATTGTCTACTGAAAGCTCGACGACTTCAAGTAGCACATCGATGAATGCGGAAAGCTCTACTAATGATCTGGGAGAAGAGTTACCAACTACAACTTCTCCCCATCTTGAAGTGACTATCAGTTCGGACTTGTCCTCATCATTCTTCAGTGAAAGTTCAAGAGTTGCCACTTCCTCGCATAGTCCACCATCCCCGAACGAAAAACTCCCATCAATTTTTCCAAGCAGTACTTCAATTCCTACTTCGACTCAAACAATCGTAAATAAAGTCACGTCTGAAACCTCTACCACTAACATTTTGAGCACATCGGCTGAAATAAATGAGGAAAACCTCTCTACAAAGCAAACTATTATAGCGACAAGCACACCTAAAGAAAGCCCTACTGACGATCCGGAAATCAACCCTGATGCAACCGAATTGAGAACTTCGATTTCCACTGAGAGCTCTACAGAGCTGTCGATAAATGTTACAGCCGAAAAAGAAGAATCATCGAATTCAATAACTTCTGAAACACATGAGAGAACTACTGCAAATTTCACGCAAAAAAACTCAACTCTCGTGCCTGCTGGTAACGGCTTTGAACATTCCACAGCGGATCCATCTTCAGTAGCAAAGCTCGATGAAAAGAAAAAAAAAGAGAATTTCAGCACCAGAGGACTCCCCGAGGTTTCAACGATCAGTATCAAAACTGTCGATGAGACTTTGGAGTCTGAGGTTTTTGAAACCACCCCATCTTTGTCAACTCCAGCTTCTGGAGAAGCAGTTACTCAAAGCTTCGAAGCAACCTCTCAGTTTGGATCGGCTCCTACTAGTTTGAACGAAGTTTCGTCGTCGAAGAGAACTTCCCCGAGAGGTCAAAAAGACGAAGTCCAAGAGACAACGTCTTCAAACCCTGAACTCGAAGAAACAACGAAAAAAGGGACCTTTGAAATGCTAGAATCGTCTACTCAACCCAACTTTTCAATTGAACCTACAGGATCGGAAAATTTTTCCGTTGAAAAAACTACAGCTGATTCAAAAATGGAAAACAGCTTGAGAAGTATCATCCCTGAGGGAGAAGAAGAAGAATCTGCTGCCTGGGAAACCAGTACAGGAACGCCTTCCAGTCCTTTAACAGCAGCTTCGATGTCAGGAAACTTCGAGTTTGGAAAAATTAGCTCAAGCGCAACTTCTGAAACAGCAACTCAGACGGTTTCATCGTCGTTGGTCGAAACAACTCAAAAAACGGGATCAAATTTCGAGAATACTTCGTTTCCAACCGCAAATTTGACTAGGCCGACCGTTAACGTTATTGAAAATGGGGAGTTCACGAGTACCGGTGCATCTAATGCAGTCACAACCGATGACTCGTCTCGGACTTCGACTGGCAGTAGTTCCAGTCTATTAGGATCTTCGAATCCAATGACGAAAGAAGCGGTCAAAACTGAAACGTCAGCAAGAACCTCGAAGCTGACCACAGCCACCATTGATATTGATCTGGAGACACCTCAAACTTCCGAATCAGACAAAAATATTCCCAGCGCGAGCCTTTTTGAGACCACACTCCGAACTGCGTCTCCCCCCTTACCAGTTGAAAAAGAAGAAGCTTCGTCAGCATCTTCTTTTGTTCCAACTCAAGATGAAACTTCTGCTCGCTTTCCCTCTTCTTCTATTGGCACGATTCCTGAAAATCAAAGCTCTACCAGAATGCCGATGGCCAAAAAAGAAGTTGAAGATGTTCAACCAACTCCTTCGAAAATGACAACTGGGGAAGAAGAACTCACTTCAGAAACGCCTTTTGTCCTCGTCTCTGATGGAAACCGAATTCCTACTCAAAATGAAACTTTTTCTAACAGAACGCCTTCTTCCAATGGAGCCACCTTTGAAATGGAGAATTCCACCACCTTTTCAATAATGAACGAAAAAACTGAATCCATACAGACTACATCGTCTACCTCAGTTAACAAACTGAGTTCTGAAGGCCCATCTGATGCGAAAATGCAAAATGAAACTTCTTTCAACACCACGCCCAAAAGTTTAATATCTTCTTCGACTAGCACCTCATCTGAGATACAAAGCAGAAGCACTTCGATGCGGAACCTCGGAGGGACGCTCCTGCCAGAAAAATCTTCGGAAGTAGCTTCCAGCTCAGCAGTTCCCGATTTCACGTTGTCCACTCTCACTGCGTTGCCACCCTCTTCACCAGAATCTTTCACAGCATCCACACCTTCAACCCAGTCTGCAAGTGGTCCGCTCTTTTCGTCACAAGCAACAGCACTACACAAAACCACGTCAGGTACCGTTCACACCGTCACGAGCTCACGTGAATTTGAATTTCTAAATAATTAACATTGCCTTAACTTTTCCGAACAATCTATTCAAACGTTTTGAAAATTACGAGACAAACTTCAAAGCACGTGTGCAACGTTTTTCTAATAATGTAAAGAGTGAACTCTAACTTTAAAAATCTATTTAATCAAAGCACGAGTGAAATTAATGATAGAGTCAAAAAAGGCCGTATAAATGGAAGTCCGTAAATTAGTGTCATTCACGGAATAACAGTTCAAATCAAGCATTTATTTCACTTTCAGAAAAGCTTTGTTGACGGAGAGAAAAATATTGCAGTTCCTAAACTCATTTACGGAGCGTAATCTCTCATTTATACGACTTCATCCTAACAGAATCAGTAAAATACAAAAAAAAAAACGAATATTTATTTGGAATTTTAATTAAATGTACAGGTCACCGCGGTCCTCCTAGTGCTACGCCGACAGAGGCTCCAGAAGTTGTAGAAGTGACCGAAAATGCGTACGGAGTTCAAGTAGAAGAGACGACGACCAGAAGTCCCTCATCCGCTACAAAAACTGCGAATCAGCCGACAGAGACCTCGACTGGAGCTGTACCTCTCTCACTTGCTCCGGAAAAAATGTCGACACTTCAGTCGACGACTGGGACAGAGACATCGACGACGGAGAAGACGTCGAGCTCAGAGGCGGCTTCGACCTTGGAGACGACGACGCTCCCTGAGTCATCCACCCAAAGTGAGTGTTTTATTTATTTTTTCGCAACTCGTTTGTTGGGAAAACCTTTTTCATTTTTCAGGCCTTTGCGCAAAGGCGAGTTGTCACGAACTGGCTGTGTGCGAGGAAACGACAGGAAAATGCTCTTGTAGAGAAGGATTCGAAGGAGATGGCGTCAACGGCTGCAGGTAATAACTGCAGTTGGAGAGTTCAACCCAAAGCCTCATTTTGAAGCAAAAAAGCGAGTGCCGACTGCCTTTCTCTACCTTCGCTGTGCTCTTCGCACGGTTCCTGTGACGTCACGACTCGCAGCTGCAAGTGCGACGCCGGCTACATCGGAGACGGCTACTCTTGCGAACCTCATCCACAAGATTGCGTTCTCCGTCCGAACCTCTGCGGTCCTGAAGCGATTTGCATGGGCCGACGCTGCCAGTGTCTGCCTGGCTTCACTGGTAAGTCTGTCCAAATCAACGAATATCATCTTTTCGAATCAATCAAAAAACTTAAAACCCAAACAAAATATTTTTGTTCTCAAATTATCTCAATTTTTAAAATAATTTCATTCTTAAAGTGTTGGAAATGTATGAAGCCCTTTTCGTGCGAAGACTTTGGGATCAAAAAAAAGGTTTTCTTCGTTTTACTTATCAGAAAACAGAAAATGTTCCATTGCAGACAAAGTTTCATCTCAGATTGCATTTTTGATTGCAGGCGACGGAGTCAAGTGCGTCTCGATCCACGAAAGAGCTTCCAATTGCACACAGTGCGACTCCAACGCCCACTGCGTCGGCGGTACGTGTGCCTGCAACGTCGGCTACTTCGGCAACGGACTTTGCTGCGTCCCTGATCCGCTCGACTGCGTCCACTTCACCGGAATCTGTCATCCTCACGCCGTCTGTGATGCCGAGTCTCGCCAGTGCAAGTGCTCCTCAGGTCCGTTCCTAACTTCGAATTCAATACTACTGTAACTAAATTTTATGTGGCACAATATTGTAGGGAAATCGATGAATGACATTGAAAATTTTTAGAAAAAAACATTTTTTTTTCAAATTTTTTTCGTTCTGCGATTTTTTTCAATTTCATGTGGATTTATAAAATGGTCTTGTAGTGTCAGAAGTTTCTTTGATAGTGTTTCTTCCTAATATGGGCATGCGCAAATTAAACGATTGAAAGAGGAAATTATTGAAAAAAAAACACATTATGCGACCATAATGGGCTTTTCATTCGAGGCATTCTCCCGGAAACTTCAAAAAAGCATAACTTTCGGAATGCTGACTGTTTTGCATTGAACACCTACTGCTCACGATTTTTTGCTAGAAAAATTGAATAACCTGCGATTTTTATCAACTTCATTAGTTTACGTTAAAAACATCTTTCAAGTTATTCTGGATTTCCTTCAGGATACCTCGGCAACGGAATCTCGTGTTTCCCACAGCGCTCCTGCAGAACGGACGCTTCGGTTTGCTCTCCGCACGCCATCTGCCTTCCTACGGGAACTTGTGTCTGCCGTCACGGCTTCGATGGCGACGGACACATCTGCGCAGCAGGTCGCGTTTCAGCCATTCACACATCTCAATTCATGAAGTTTGAAGAAAAAAATAACTCGGAATTTCAGTGGGCGCCAGTCAGAAGCTGGGTCTGAGTGACGTTCCGACGTCTTCTTGCGTCGTTCCTTGCGACGAAGACACTCAGCTGTGCATCTCCGGCGAGTGCATCTGTAAACATGGCTTCAAAGCCGTTGATGGAGGCCGCTGTGATGGTGATTTTTCCTTTTCTGAGTACCTTTCATTGATTATCGTATTCATCGTCACAATCGATCACTTCTGCACGAGCTATTTTTCCAGACGTTGACGAATGCGCTGAAGGAACGGATAGTTGTGACCGACTTGCGAAGTGTAGCAACACTCGGGGATCTCATGTCTGCACCTGCCCCGACGGCTTCATCGGCGACGGTACTTCCTGCATCCCACACGTCAACTCCGGCAAGCTCTCAGGTAGCTCTAACTTTCTTTGCAGCCTCTGTGAAAATGAAGCTTCAGTGTATTGTGAAACTGATGGAATGACGCTGGTCCTCGGCAACGACACTGAGCACTTTGAGGGAAGAATGTTCGTAAAAGGCCAGGCCGAGAATCCTCACTGCTCCAAAACCTTCACATCTCTCGTCAACTCGCATAAGCCCTACATCTTCAAGGTCTCCTTCGAGCACTGCGACGTCAACCTTCTCGAAAACGTGAGTCATCATCTCAGTTTCATTCCCAAACTCTCTTTTCAGCACACTCTGGCTTCTACCGTTGTCGTACAGAAGCACGCCATGTTCATCACAACCAAGGCTGACTCCTACGACCTTCGTTGTTCTTATCCCATCGGAACTCGAAACGTTTGAAAGCAACAAAGAACATCTTTTCATCGTTGAATCGTTTAGGTGGAGTCTAAACTGAATGTTTCTGAACTATCGACAGCGTCCACGCTAACAGACGCCAAGAACTCGCCGGTCTGCAAACTGACCGTCACCAACCACGAGGAGCAGTTCATTTCCTCCGCAGTCGTGGGAGACTTTCTGCGGCTCAGCCTCGAAGTCATTCCCAACAGTGAGCACAACTCTACTCGCTCTCCCTAACTCTAGTTGCAGACACCTTCACAATCGTGCCTCGCAACTGCTTCGCGGTCAACATCGAAAATGGCGAGCGGTACACGCTGACGGACGAAAGCGGCTGCGCGATCGACGAAAACCTCTTCCCACAATGGACCTCTGTGACGCCGGCACGCACTCGCGTCGTCTTCCGCACTTTCAAATGGCCGGACAGCTCCATGATCCGATTCCAGTGCGACTGCGCTCCTTGTGTGGGAAAATGTCCTCAGGTTTGTTGCCTTTGAGAAAGGAGATTCCGAGTAAGATTCAAAACATCGTTTTCAGCCTGACTGCATGCAAAAAGAAGTAGACGCTTTCCGCTTCAGACGTCATTCTGCATCAGACGATGAGGCTGAAGCAAGTGAAACCGTCGTTGTAAGTTCCATCTGGCCTCTGAAGACAACTTCTGTGTGTTGCAGATGAGCGGTGTTCAAAAACTAGCCGTGTCCTCGATCATCGCTGTCAAGGACCATGCCGAAGAAGCCATGAATCCTGAGGAAGACGGCATCGTCGTCCACAAGTGGTACAGAGGCAAGTTTTGACGTCATCTTTCTCACTCAGCGAAGGACCTTTCAGAATCATTCAACTCTGCGGAGACCTGCATGAGCTATGCTTCGGCTGCAGCAGTAGCCGTGCTAGCCGTGATTTGTGTCGTGCTCCTCATCGCCATCCGCAAGTCGGCACGTCTTCCAAAGCCTCGACTTGGCTCATCATCAGACCTTTCGCGTCGTATTTAGAAGCTTAAGTGCAACTTTCTGTTTTTGACCGTTTTATCTTGTTATTATTTCTCATCTTCTTCACAGCTTTTACGCATACGTGTGTCTCTCACTGTCTCAAGTATTTTTTAACTTATTTTGTTTTTTTTTAGATACAAATGTTTTTTCTCTTGTTTCCTTCCGGGTGCTTTTTTGTCTCAAAGCCCAAGAATGCTGACATTCCACTCTTTTCTCGTATTCATGTAACTTCCCGTTTGCCTTGCCAAATGATGTGATCCAAAGATTTGAGGCCTTGTTTATTATTATTTTTTTTATTATATTTAATGAGCAATAAAACAATCTGCATGAAATGAAAGAAAAATAAGATTACAACCGGTAATGAAGAGAACCCGTGGAAAAAATGGCACGAATAAGTTGAATCAAAAAAATAAAGTGGGATTTCAAACAGAACCTAGACCGGAATCGTCATGTCGAGAAATCGGTAATGAGGGAGTTATCTGCTGATAAAGGCGAGTCTGAGGTCGGAAGGTCGGACAGACGATGTCGCCGGCGCCGATGGAAGAAGCCGAGTTGAGAGGGGACGTCATGGTGGAGTCGCTCTTGTTGGAGAGCCAGTAAGTGAGAGGACGCGTCTGGTCCCACGGCATGTCGTATCTGAAAAGGTTGCGATTGAAAGGAATTCCGGACTCGAACGATCTACCTGTTCTCCTCGTCGGCAGCTTTTCCAGTGATGTAAGGGAAGAAGCGAGGCTTGGCCGAAATCTCACGGTTCACTCTGAAAAGAACAGAAGTTCAAGATGGAAAATGAGAGAAAATCGAGAATAAATGCCACCAAACTAAGCTAAAGGAATGTTTTCTAATTTTCTCAAGCCTTTAACAGTCAGAAGCTTTACAAGCGATTTCCAGTCTCTAGAAGAGTTTAAAAACGAAGCTGACCGTTTCTGACGGAGGTACAGAACGAGGATGAAGGCGAAGCAGGCAGAAGAGAGAACGGCGACGACGGCAAGGACGAGGACCCCGAGATGGACGATCCGCTGGTCGGCAGAGATGATGGACTCCAGAAGCGAGTTCTGCAGCGTCGGGAACTGCTCCACAGGCTGAAACAGGAAGATGAGAAACGAAAAGAAAAGGGAAATCCAAGGGAAGGAAAGAAAAGTACCTCCTGGCCGATGATGGCGACCTGGTTGGGATCTGGACACCAAGGACAGCGTTCCACGAACTTCTGGACGCTGAGAGTCGCGTTGAAACACTTTCCCTTGACCACGATCGTCGTCTCGCCGTTCTCTTCCAGGGAAGAAATCGCCTTTTCGCCAAAGTCGCCCTACAGACAAGCATTGACTTGAGCAGATTGAGTGTGAGAATAGTTCGGAAAGAAAAAGAAAATCACTAACGATTTGACGCTGCTTCTCGGCAAAGACGCGAATCGACGGCGTCTGGTCGCAGATTCGAGGAAACCCGTAGGTCCTGTCGATTCCCATCACTTGGCAAGAGAGAGAAACGTCTTCTACGCGTCCTGAAGGCCAGTGAGTCGTCACTGGATGGACCAATTCCTGAAAACTCGCAGCTCAAGTCCACAAAAGTACTGGATGAAATATTCGTCAACCAATATTTTCATGAATTGAATAGGATTCAGAAAATCTAAGACGCAATAAAAATTAAAGACTTCTTCAAGAAAAGACTTTTTTTGCAAACCAAATGAAGAATTTAAATAGGAAAGAGCAAAAAGCGTGACGAAAAAATAAATAAAGAAAGAAAGACTCACCTTGAGGAAATGCTCGGTGATAGGCCAGTTGGACATTTGCTTGCCGCTGGTCGAGAGGAGGTCTTCGTTGACCTGGAATCCGGAAATGGACCGCTATAAACAGGTAGACGGTTACCTGGAAGTGCGGCTTGGAGCAGAGCGACGTCGTGATGCAGCCTTCGCGCCATTGTACGTCTTTCAGCTCGACGGTCAGCCAGAAACCGGCGACAGTCGGGAGCAGAATCAGGAGAAGCAGCATCTGGGTCAGAAGAGACATTCGGAAGCCGAGTTAGAAGAGAACGCGGAACGTGGCTTTTATACGACACAGAGAAAGGCGGTCCGAGCCAGATTCCCAGCCGAGTTGGGCCGGCCCAAGCAGTTGGCACCGGAGGCCTGAGAACTCGCCACGTGCCGAGTTCCCAGTCGCGCCGAGGTGCGAACTCGCACACTCGGCGGTGTCTTTCCGCCAATCTGGGAAAAATTGGCACAACAAACACATTCTTTGTTTTCCAAGAGTCTCAAGTACAAAGGGAGCCGCGCCGAACCGATACTCTTAATTATGACGGAAATTTCCGACGGAATCGGAAAAGAAAGGTGAAAAAATTTTACAGGCTTGAGAGCCTACGCTCGAAATCAGAAGTTTGTAAAAACGTAGAGAATTAAAAAAAAATACAAAAAAAAGGCACGAGCTTTCCAGCAAATTTGAGAAATTTTTGTTTCCTTTAAAGCTTTTCGAGACATTTTTTTCCTCCGTTCTAGCAAACTTATAAGTTTATAAAATCTAACGAGCTCTTGAGATCTTGCAAAAATTGAGACACTTAAAAGTACAGACAATTTTCGAGAAATATGATTTTCTGCACAAAGTTTATCGTGTTTTCGATTAAATTATCCTAATCGATCTCAAAGTTTTCGAAAATTGCAAAGATCAATATTCAATGCTCTGTTTCGATTAGCTCAACTTTGAAACTTTGAAATTTTCCCAGGGTTGTGGCCTCAGAAGTAGAAAAAGGTGAGAATGTGTGCGAATTTTTACCAAAAACGGACTTCTTTGTTCTTTTTCCTCGACTTTGTGCCTTTTTGGGCGAACCTCTCTGTGGGAATGAAACAAGGAGTGACCTGCCTGGGAACGTCTAATTGGAGATTCTTTTGTCAAAAAGTTTCTCTGAGCATTCGAAAATCTTGTTTTTGGCCCAGAGACAGGAAACAATTTATTAATTTGTATAGTCAGTTTTTCACCTGTTAACTTCTGATTTCAAGCGAAAATTTTAGTTTTTTTCAGGGACAGAGTTTAGAAAATTGCAGCTTGGAATTCTCAAAATATTCGTAGTAAAAGTAAAAGTAACGCTTCGAAGTGAAGAAAAAGAACTAAAAAATGAAGTTAAAAAAATCTCATAAAAATAAGAACTAGAAAAAAAAACTATTGAATGAAAAAAAAAAGAAAAGTATGAAGCGGAAAATTAAAAAAAAACACCCAATTATGAGGGAACACGAAAAACACGTTCCGCTAGATTGACATTTGACGATGTCAATTATTCAGTGACTCTGGAAAACCTCAAAATTGTAAATTGGATATAAAACTGAGTTGCGTAGAAACAGATCCCGTTCAAACTTATGAATCTAACAAACTGTGGACGCCATACCGGTTTCAAAAGATCGGGAAAAAAAGTTGGACGAGGGGAGAGACTGAAAATACGGCTGCAACAATACTCGATAAAATCTTTTCAGGCTCTCAAGGTTTCAATTTCGCTTTTTATTGCGCAGATGTTTATCGAAAGAGGAGAAGGCGTCAAAAACGCTCATATATACTGCGAAGCCAACAAGCCAAGGACGTTTTTTGAAGGAAGTACATGCTCAGTTTCCATCAATCAATCATTTTAATTGTACACAAATGATTTTCTGTTCATTCGAGGAAATCGAATCGAATTTTCGATTTGACATTAGAAGGTTTTTAGGTTGACAAAATAGAAAACGGGAATAAACTTGAATTTCCAAATAAGTTTTAAGCAGAGGCCGTATGCAAAAAGAAAATGATTTTCCGTCATTATCCAGCAAATAGAAAAGGCCTGAAACTCGCTAGGATATCATTGATTTTGACTTTATTTGATGTACTCATTTTCGAGTTTTAAGAAAATTTCGGCAAATCATTTTCCGCTTTATTGCATTCGGCCTCAGAATGGAATAATATGATCCTTTTGCAACAGAGTAAGATTTAAGTGTTTAGCACATTCTTTTCGAGCAAGAGGGAGGTCCACTGCTTGAAAAACTTGAAATGGTTTTAATTGAAGAACTTAGAAGACGTCTATTATTACTTAAAAACTCTATCTTTACCTATTTTGACCCACGGGTTTGAGTTCACGGGTTTGCCGAAATTTCAAAAAACCCCCATTTTTTTCAAAGCACCTTGAGATTTTTTTTTTCGGAAAAATATCACAGAAACGAAAGACAAAAAAATTTATCACAGATACATTAAATATCGATTCGAAAAAAAGAAATGAGAGAAAGAGACTTGTGAAAAATTATAAATTATTCATTTTTGAGACTTCCAGTTTTGAAAAAAATTGAAATTAGATGAAAAAAACTAGAAAAATGTATTCTACCAAAGCATTTCTGAGTTTTCCTGTTTCAACATCATTCAACACTCAGCCGTAAGGATGAGAAGAAGTAATAGGAAAGTTAATGAGAGTGCGAGTATGCGGATGGCGGATTTACAGCCGTTTACAGGCGGTTGAGTGCAGCCTTGGCCAGGTAAAGGCACACCTGCCGCCCCGGGGGCCGTCAAGGCCTCATTGTTTCAAAAAATCGCTCGTTTTTCTGTGCCACGGAAGCGTTTAGCGCTGGCAAAACAAAAGGAGATCTCTTTTTCGAGTTCCAAACGACGGCCGAAATGAATTATTTCGTCCCCAATTTTTTGCTCCTGTGAACGTGCAAAAGTGCGGAAAATTTTGTGGAATTGAAAAACACTGAATCATAAATCGATAAAAAAAATAAGAGGGAAAAGGGCAAAAGACTTGAGTTTTTTTAAATTTTTTTCTAAAAATTTTTTTATATTTATATATAAATTCTCTGCGATGTGCTTTCCGAAGTTTATTCAACTTTAATAGATTCACCTATCGCTAAAAAAAATAAGTTGATGAGTTGGTAGTGAAATATGATCTAAAGTTGCCTCCCTGACAGAAAAAAGCGAAAAAAAAGGACCTCCTGCTCAAAATTGGCCTGTTTTTCTGAACGCCTCTCCAATTTCAGACATGAACAAGCCAGCCGCATAATTATGCGCTCGCAGCCTATAAAATAGGAAACTATTATTTTTGCTGAAACTTGAAACGACCAGCTTTAGAGATGAAGAATAATTTCATTTTCAAGACTTTCCAAGCAGGATAACTCATTTTTTTGTCGTTTGCATGGTGACCGTGAATATATGATCACAAGAAAACGATAAATGAAGAAGAAACGAAAAAAATCGTCTGGTTGGCTTTCCGGCGGAAAAAAATGGACGTAGTCGTTGGGTCCTTGTAAAATCGCAGAAATTTTATTTTTAAATTTTTTTACAAGCGATTGATTGCAGTGTTAAGAACACAGATTGAAGTTTCACCGTGGAAAACGTTTCTAATTAAAGTAGCAATCCTCGAAGCTGCAAAAAAAAAAAATGTGAGTCCTGATAAAACAACTTTTTTTTCTCAATGATTACGATGAGTAGTACGCAAGAAGGAAATGAAAAGATGCAGCAGAAAGTATAATTTTTTCAGTATTCTCAATTGCCCGGAGCTCCGTTTCAAGGAGTCAAGAATAGCAGACTGGGAGGTGACTATGAATATGAGGAAACAGTAAGCCATAAACAAGATGAGTGGCATCAAATATTGCGACCAAGCGTTTAATAAGGACGACGCGAATTATGTGGCAACCAACGAGACACAAATGACCAGGCAGCACGCTCCCGAAACTGTTGGTAATTGCCGAGGCTCACGTCAACATCTCCAAGGAACAACACACCTTTTTTTCTTATTTGAAAAATAAAAAAAGGGATTCTAAACTTTAACTGCAAAAATCTGTCCTTTAAGAATTATGTGTGCTAAAAAATTTTTGAGATAAAATTTCCAGAATTTGTAACTTATTATACAGGTTCCAACGGATTTCTTTTAACTTTATTTTTTGAGTTCGTGAAGTTCATGGACTTTGAAAGTATAAATGGGAGAAAAATATTTGAACTTCCGAGCGGCAACGGCCGCGTAAAAATATTTTGCGGCAAAATTGCTTTTTGGAAAAAATTTATAGTCCTTCCGAAAATTTCTTTGACCTCGGTAATGAAAACCGGACGCACTCCGGACTAGCAAAGTTTTTAGTGTCCACTAAAGAGGTTCTCTACTTAGTGACCACTTCAGTAGTTTTTCGTCCAGTATTCCTTCCAGTAACTCTGATAATTTAAAAAAACTGATTGGACCAGTTATGCTGATCCATTGACCCCTAAAGTGGCCACTAAAGTTTTTAGTGGTCTAGTAGTAGCACTTAGACCTCAATAGTGGCCACTAATTTTTAACCCCTCAAAAAGAGGCCCCTAATTTGACTACTATATAGTGGCCACTAAAAATTTTCCTAGGACGTTACTGAGCAATTCTAGGATAACTTAGAAATTCAGACGATACTAAATGGTCACTAAAACGCCCTCACAATTTTCGCCGCCTAAACTGGAACGTCTTCCTCAACCTATCTCCTGATTGATTTAACAATTTTTGAACATTTTTTCATGTTTCTAGTAATAAGATATTCAAGGGACCATTTTGAGAAAAATTAAAGCGCATATAGTCGATGTGCCACAAGTTGAAATTTCATGGAACGACACTCCGCTGTTTCGATTTGTGCGGTAGCGCGCAAATGCGAATTTGCCAACTTCGGCTACGCTAATTTTTTTGGTTTTAATTCTAATTTTGATCGTTTTTTAATTGTTTTATTTCTTTTAAATGTGTTATAATCGTTGAAAAAGATTGCGTTGTACAAATGTAAACGAAAGAACACAGTAAATTTCATGATCTTCCTCGAAAAGAGGGATAAAAAAGTGTGTTTTTGTTAAAGCCATGTTTCAATGTTTTCATCGTTTTTTTTCTGTTTGTCGCAGTTGTTAATGGATTTTTTCAGAAAGTGAGTGGCTTATAAAATGAAGATTGAAATCAAAAAAATTAGGGTGGCTGAGGTTGGCAAATTCGCAAAAAGCGCGCTACCGCACAAATCGAACGAAACAGCGGAGTGTCGTTCCATGAAATTTCAACTTGTGGCACATCGACTATAACATACTTTCGCAGTAGTCTTCGCGAAATAATAAAATTGAGTAATTAAATTACAGTTAGGATATGTTTCATTTTGAAACTCTAACTTCAAAAAAAAAAACTAATAATTTTCTGCAAAGCGCATTTCCATTCGCGTATAGGATTTTCCTTATTATTTTCACATGGTGAGTGCTTTTTCGAAAATAATGAAACATTATAGAGATTGATAAAAAATTAAATAAGGAACCTTAATGATTGATTAAAGTCCTCATCTTCCAGAGATGCTCTTATTTATCAGAAAAACTGAGCGTCGAGGAATAATACACTCGAGGAGAAGCGAAATTGATGTGGCACTTTCTTTCAGGCCGTATCATCTCAAAAAACGCGTACATCATTTCTCGGTTTAACGAGCTGTCAGGAGCCGTAATGCTCTCGTTCCTGGGGAATACCAGCCGCCCATCAAAACTCTTTCATTTCCTTTTTTGGCAGAGCAAAAGCAAGTGCGATCTTTGGTTAATTAGAAAATGTGATACTCTACTCACAAAATACTCAAAATCAATAGGATTCGCTAATTTGTTTATTTTGAGTATATCATGTGAAAAAAAATATAAAACAATTTTGATTTGAAATATAAAAACGTAGTATTATGCTCAAAAAATGAATGTTACTTGAAATCGGTGAAAGTCTTGAATGTCTGAAAAAAAAATCTCCAATTTTCAAGAACCGACATGAACACATGGAACGAAAAAGTCGAAGTTTTCGTTCCATGTGAAACTTTTTTTTTAAAGTTTCTTTTGAAACTTTCTTTCTTTGAAATTTGGATTTTCGCAGGTTAAGTCATTCAGAATCTTTGTCATGTATCGATGGTTGGCTTACTTCTAAAAAACTCCAATGATGTGAAATAGCTTACTTCAAAAGAAGTTACTGAAGACAAGAACACATGTAATAGTGAGCAAAACCTAGAGCCGTACCAAATTAGGCGAGTCCCGGCGGATCTTTCGAAGCGAAACGAGCGGCTGCAACTGCCTATAATTATCGTTGAAGCGCAACAACCGAAATCAGGAAATCGCCGCGCGTGTTCAAATCGTTTCCTGCGTCTTGGCGATTCGAAACAGATGCTTGCATGTGGGAAGCCCGTGAATTCGTTAGATATATCTCTTTATTAGCTCCCTTGGAAAAAGAGGGCGAAAAATGATCAGAAATGCACAAGTATTACACAAGCTTGCAAGAATATACAGAACTATATAAAAATCTGCGGAAGAAGGCAATGAAGGGGCGGAAATAAATTACAAACGAGAAAAAAAAAACCTAAATCTTTACACCGGTTTCAAAAAAGACCCGTAACAATGGACCAAAAGAGAAAGAAAAATCAAACAGACTCGAGACCTGAGTCGTCGTGTCGCATGATGGGTTCGTTGGGAGAAAGGTGTTGGTATATCCTGGTCTGTGGGCATGGAGGCCGGTATGTCTGGTAGCCGTCCCGAGAGCAGACGATGTCGCCGGCGCCGATGGAAGAAGCCGAGTTGAGAGGGGACGTCATGGTGGAGTCGCTCTTGTTGGAGAGCCAGTAAGTGAGAGGACGCGTCTGGTCCCACGGCATGTCGTATCTGAAAAGGTTGCGATTGAAAGGAATTACGGACTCGAACGATCTACCTGTTCTCCTCGTCGGCAGCTTTTCCAGTGATGTAAGGGAAGAAGCGAGGCTTGGCCGAAATCTCACGGTTCACTCTGAAAAGAACAGAAGTTCAAGATGGAAAATGAGAGAAAATCGAGAATAAATGCCACCAAACTAAGCTAAAGGAATGTTTTCTAATTTTCTCAAGCCTTTAACAGTCAGAAGCTTTACAAGCGATTTCCAGTCTCTAGAAGAGTTTAAAAACGAAGCTGACCGTTTCTGACGGAGGTACAGAACGAGGATGAAGGCGAAGCAGGCAGAAGAGAGAACGGCGACGACGGCAAGGACGAGGACCCCGAGATGGACGATCCGCTGGTCGGCAGAGATGATGGACTCCAGAAGCGAGTTCTGCAGCGTCGGGAACTGCTCCACAGGCTGAAACAGGAAGATGAGAAACGAAAAGAAAAGGGAAATCCAAGGGAAGGAAAGAAAAGTACCTCCTGGCCGATGATGGCGACCTGGTTGGGATCTGGACACCAAGGACAGCGTTCCACGAACTTCTGGACGCTGAGAGTCGCGTTGAAACACTTTCCCTTGACCACGATCGTCGTCTCGCCGTTCTCTTCCAGGGAAGAAATCGCCTTTTCGCCAAAGTCGCCCTACAGACAAGCATTGACTTGAGCAGATTGAGTGTGAGAATAGTTCGGAAAGAAAAAGAAAATCACTAACGATTTGACGCTGCTTCTCGGCAAAGACGCGAATCGACGGCGTCTGGTCGCAGATTCGAGGAAACCCGTAGGTCCTGTCGATTCCCATCACTTGGCAAGAGAGAGAAACGTCTTCTACGCGTCCTGAAGGCCAGTGAGTCGTCACTGGATGGACCAATTCCTGAAAACTCGCAGCTCAAGTCCACAAAAGTACTGGATGAAATATTCGTCAACCAATATTTTTCATGAATTGAATAGGATTCAGAAAAATCTAAGACGCAATAAAAAAATTAAAGACTTCTTCAAGAAAAAGACTTTTTTTGCAAACCAAATGAAGAATTTAAATAGGAAAGAGCAAAAAGCGTGACGAAAAAATAAATAAAGAAAGAAAGACTCACCTTGAGGAAATGCTCGGTGATAGGCCAGTTGGACATTTGCTTGCCGCTGGTCGAGAGGAGGTCTTCGTTGACCTGGAATCCGGAAATGGACCGCTATAAACAGGTAGACGGTTACCTGGAAGTGCGGCTTGGAGCAGAGCGACGTCGTGATGCAGCCTTCGCGCCATTGTACGTCTTTCAGCTCGACGGTCAGCCAGAAACCGGCGACAGTCGGGAGCAGAATCAGGAGAAGCAGCATCTGGGTCAGAAGAGACATTCGGAAGCCGAGTTAGAAGAGAACGCGGAACGTGGCTTTTATACGACACAGAGAAAGGCGGTCCGAGCCAGATTCCCAGCCGAGTTGGGCCGGCCCAAGCAGTTGGCACCGGAGGCCTGAGAACTCGCCACGTGCCGAGTTCCCAGTCGCGCCGAGGTGCGAACTCGCACACTCGGCGGTGTCTTTCCGCCAATCTGGGAAAAATTGGCACAACAAACACATTCTTTGTTTTCCAAGAGTCTCAAGTACAAAGGGAGCCGCGCCGCGCCGAACCGATACTCTTAATTATGACGGAAATTTCCGACGGAATCAGAAAAGAAAAACGCGATTATCTTAACGAGAAATACGTATCCATAAAAATAAGTGAAAGCGTTCAAAAAGACCATAATTGGATGAAGTGGAGTGAACAAACTTTGCTCATAATGGATTCGTAAAAGGTGCAATTACACACTGAGAAATTTTTTTATATTCCGTGGCGAAAGCGGGTTAAAATAATCTGAAAAGCACACAAGTGTCGGTCGAACATCACAGCGACACAAAACCGAAACCTAAGACAACTTTTACGTGGATACAGTACTCTCAGTTCGGTTTTCTCAGGTCAAATTAATGCAGATTTGAACAAAAGTTTGAAGTAGGTTTTTTTTTCTAGAATTTCTAAAGGCATGATAAACTATAAATACGGAAATTTCAAACATGAAAAATATACTTGAAAAAAAGCAAAAAAATTTATTTTTGAAACAACATCAAGACGCAAAAAAATAGAGTCACGGATCAAAATTTGATAATAAAGAAAAAATGTTCTTTAGAAACTTATTTTACTGTAAAAAGGAGAAATAGAAAAACCGACTTTTGAAAAAATTTCTTTTGGTCTATCAATTTGGGTCAAAGATCAAAAAAGACCACGAATCTTAGAACACAATCTTTTTTGATTGGGAAGAAAAAAAATATCGGGTGAGCTTTTTCTGAATATTTTCTGGCCACTCTTCCACAAGAACTCGAAAAGTTATCAATAGAAAATCGAAATATGGACATTCGAACTCAGAAAATTTTTGCCTAGCTAGTTCTAGCTAGACAATCACTATTTCAAAGTACGTATTCAATCAAAATCATCTAAATTGATGGAGAAAACTTACAGAAGTGGGCACTTATTTAATTTATTCCTCCTACTCATTGCAACTTGGAAAATCGAAAAAGCACTTCACTACCTTTGCCTACACTGGCAAAAAAAGAACAAAAAACGTCTGGCGGGTCGCAGATTACAAATTTACGAGGAGCTGAGCAATTAGGATGATGGACGGAAGGATAAAGAGCTATCGATAGGCTCGGTAATGGAGAAGAGCCGCCGCGGCTCCTTTCAACCTCCAACGTGACCTTAATCCTTGTGGAAACAGACCCGCGCAGAGACTCATCACTCAGCGGGCGGCTCTTCCCTGTCATCGCCCGTTTTTTGCCGTTCCGCAACTTTTCCAACTTCATGTTCCAGGCTTCTAACAAAAAGAAAGGGCTCGAAAATATAAAACGCGAAAAAAATTTATTGGAACATTAAAAAATAACTGGTACGTTTTGGTGATTAATCCTCCGTTAACTGTCAAATCTTCGAACTTTTTTTTCAAAAAAAAATATCGCCAACTGAAAAAGTTATATATTATCTATATTATTATATACTCGCTACCGCAATTTTTCGATTACACATTGTATATTAGCAGAAGCCAAAAATAAAGTCTGAAACGAATCAAAACTTTGAATATATAAAAAGAAAAAGAGCGAGGTTTCATGTAACTTTTTTTCTTATCTTTTTTTAGAAAAAAATTAGAAAAAAATTAGCAATATATGGTTCTGAAGATTAGAAAAAAATAAAAGCAAACAAGAGAAAAATTTTATAAATAATTTCAATCCTCTCAACACCCTCTCAAAAATTGAAATATTTTTCAAAGGTCTCAAAAATGATCGAAAAGACAGAAATCTTATTCGAAAAAATACGGCGTTTTTTTTAAATTTCTTACACAAATATCAGAGCAGTGATGATATTTTTTTTCAAATGGGTTGAAATGCGAACAATTTTTTTTCAGAAACGGAAATATCAGAACAGAAAGCTTTTGAGATAACCTTGCCTGGTCGGCTTCGCTCTTCCTAACGGAAACAGAAAAATCGCAACTCCTTCAAGCGGTTTCAAGACTATATATGAAGCCGAAGAGAAGAAAAGCTGTACGAAGCGGCAAACGCAAGTTTACTCGGAGGGAAAACTTAAGTAGCTTTCGGCGGCAAAAAAACGTGGGAAACAAACAAGTAAGATCTCATGACCGTTTTTTTTTTGTTTCATAAAGTTCGGGATGCGGAAAAAGATACGGCGACGAGGCGCCGAGCCAAGTGGAATTGGAGAGGAGGAAGACACTCGAAAGACCGGACTGATTATTCGATAAATAATCTGTCCTCTGTTTGTCCTTGCTTCTTTTTTCCGCTTCTGGGCGGCAAAAACGCCTTGTTTCCAGGACCATTGGCCGTTAATTAGTGGACAGGCCGAGTTGGACCGTGTCGTGAAGATTTAGAGTTTTTAAAAGGTACAGACTGAATAAAATAATAGAAAACTAAAGAAAGTCTATTTTTTGCCTCCTGATCCATTTGAACAAAAAGAGATGCCAGACCAAACAAATGAGTTCAAAAACAACAGATAAAGAGTTTGGAAAAAGAAGGAAAATAACATCGCCAAAAACTATTCTGAGTGGTTTTAAGATAGGCGGGCTTCTGGAATCAAGAATGGACTCACAACCTTTTTCCCATCATAAATTTTTACTTTCGATGCACAAAGTGAGTTGAAAAATGGCTACACTTTTCGATGATATGCTGGCAAAGAAGTCCACACCGGCCGTTTGTGGCTGATAAACTCGAAAAATCAAGTAATAAGAACAAGAAAAAAGGAAAGTGAGAAAGTAGGCAAGTTGGTAACAAGTGCTCCGGCAAAAGAGAGACGTCAGCGGGGGTTGACGAACGCGACGAAACGAGCGGCAGCAGCAAATCGCGTTTATCCGATGGCACGATGATTGCGGCGGAATCTCTGGAGACGTCGGCGGCAGATGAGAGCGCCGTCTGTAGACGTGGCGGCAGATCGGGCCTCGATACCAGCCGTGTTTGTCGAGTGCGTGTTACCGTGCATGAGGAGGAGACTCGTGCGGCTGCTCGAGGAGCCCAGAAAAGTTGTGCGGAGTGTGTCCACTTGGCCTGTTTGTGGCACACTCGTCACGGATTCCAAGTGCTCCCAAATAACCGCCGAGCACCCGAATGGTCACAAAAACCATTCGCGCCTCGCTTCCAGTATAGTCTCTTCAATTTCTTTTTCTTTTGGCAAGCTTTCCAAGAAGAGATGGGCGTCTGAGAATGATCTTCCTATAGCAAAATTTAATATTAATATTTTCTTTGCAGTTCAATCAAACTGTCTTCGTTTGAAAAAATTCAGTAAAGAATCGTCTAAAACTTTTTAAAACAAGAACTAAGAATTAAACATTCGTTTAAGACATTATCATTTTTCGACATCTCTCTGCTACTTTTTCAGAGTTGTTCTCGGGTATTGAAAATAAGTGAATGGATCGAAAATGTTTCAGAATACGGTCATTTCCCTATTAAATACGTACTTTTCCAGCTAGCGCAGAGAGAAGAAAAGAAAATATTCATAAATAAAATGTTACGAGCCTTCTGAAAAACAAGCTGGAAACCAAGGAAAAAATGGATGAAAAAGAGAGAACAAAGCGCTCAAAATAAAAATAACGAGAAGATAATGAAATTAACTTACAACTGTATAAATATCAAAAGTATGAAGGAGATAAAAAATGAGGAGCGGCGGCATCCTGCTGAGATTGTGAGCTCTGGCGCAGAGCCTATTAACAAGACAGCTCTTTTGAATAATTACTATGCATTTCCACTCCACTCATTTATCATTTACATTTTCGCGACGATCATAAATTACAATCTGTAGGGTCACTTTGAGTTCGCACTCACAAATTCAAAATACCACCTCTCTTGAAAGATTCAAAACCTAAATTTACAGAAATTGAGGAAATAAAAACAGAAGAGTTCGATATCGAAAGTTGTTGATGAAGAAGAGGAAAAGAGACGCACCGAACGGAAATACGCGTTCGACGCAAAATGCGAGGGAATTTGCTGAAAAAAAAAGGCAGAGTGGCCATGTGCTACAAAATTCGATCGGCGGTTCCAACTCTCGCAGATTTGACAAATTGCAGATCGCCGATAAAAATGCCGAGATTCTATCGGAGCCCAGAGGGGTCATCAAGCGGAGGAATCCACCAATTTGTGTGCGTATCAAGCTAAAATTAGGCATGTCTGAGATGCCATCAAAGGGGAACCTTCAAAGCGTGATTTCAGACTTCCCAAAAACTTTCTGAAGGAGCAACATTCTTAAAAGCTAAACAATCATCAAAAAAAATTTGATAATGTTTGGAACTTCGCCCTTATGAATAAAAATGAAAACTTTAAACTTATAATTTTTTTTTCGACAACTGCGCTATTCAGTCAAACGTTTCCAATTATTTAACAAAAACATTAAATAATGAAGAAGCAAATTTCGAAGTGAAGTAGGAAAGTCTGATTTTTGAAGGTGAAAAAAACCAGCAGAAATTTTGAAAAAACATAAAGCTATTAATGTCATATAAATCTTAGTATTACCGCATTCGGTACATCAAGAGAGAAAAGAGAGGGTGAAAGTCTAAAGCGCGACTCTCAAGGCGGCGAGAAAAGGGACAAGAGACCGGCTGTAAGCAATTGCTTGTCAGACTCGGCCGAGCTAGAAGTTTTATTAAAAACAGACGCGAGTGAACGCATTAGAGCCGTGGTCTGAACGTCGAGGACGAGCCGTGCGGCGGATTAAAGGAACACGGTCGGTAATCTAAGATTTGTTTTGATCGATGTTCGGGTTTGCCCATGATGAATCGCCGAGATTCTTGTCGCGCAAGCCAGCATCGCAGGAAATCGCTCAGAAAACGCAGCGACTTTTCGCTTTGGTATCTTTTTGTGGGGTCGGAGCAAGGCTACAACAATTAACGAGGGACGGAAATGAGAAAAAGAGCAGCGTCAGAACCATGTGGTTGCGCAACAACGTGCGGAAACCAGGAAACAATGCGGCCATCCAAAAGGCGGGGCGCCAAAGACCCCTACAGCTGCTCGCCACACCTCCGACTCTCAAATTACGACCAGAAGAAAAGAAGAATTACAATTTATCGCTGCAAAAGAAACATTCACAAGGACAGGTGAATAAGTTAATAAGTTAATCCTCGCGAAGAGGAAGGAACTTCTGAACGATTGGCTTGCCTGCTTCTGCAATGATGAGGTGAATCTTGTCACCGGTGGTTATTTCTCTCTCAGCAGCACTTCGGAACGCGTCCTGAAAAATCCGTCAATAACGAGGGCTATTATAGCCGTTTCCATAACATGATCCTTTGCCAAACGCATGGAACCAAACTCGTAAAGCTTTCAATCGTTCAGCAACAAATTTCCCACTATGAACTTTCAACGTCGATGACAGTTTCTTTTTTACAATTTCACAGTCAATTATACTTTTCCGACAACACTTTGAACGCGGCGCAGAATTAAATAATTATAGAAAGAAACGATCTCACAGCATGCACGAGAACGTAAAAAACTAATTTAAAAAAAATCTTTTCTAAAAAAAAGACGTAAGCTTTCAGCTGAAGACTTTTTTGGACGTTATTTTGACGGATATAAAAAATTACGCAGTACAAAACGTTCAGAATCAATTTTTAGAATGTAATTGAAACTTGAAAATTCCTATGAAGAACAATTAAAAGTTCTTATGAAGACGCCCTGACAAAAATAGAAAAATTTGAAAAAAATTTTGGAAAAAAACTGCACATATGAAGAAAAACTTGATTGAAATAAATGTACAAACACAAACCTTCATCAGAGACGTGGCTCTCTCCAAAGTAAGAGGCGGCTTCTCTGCTTCATCAGACAGAGTGACATGACCGATCTGAACGCTCTCGACTTGGAAAAAAAAATACTTCGGAATTTACAAACCTGACAGTCGAGGAAAGGAATGATCATGGGCTCGGCGTTTCCGCTGGCCGAATAGGCGATACGTTCGATGCATCCGATAGGGTCATAACTGAAAACGGCCCCTTTTCCTGAAACTTATTTTAGAAGTTCAGTAGGAAGGATCTTCGAACCGTGTTCGTCAATGCCAGCCAGAACCGCGCCGGTGTAGTAAGGGAAGAAGCGCCGATAGTAAAGGTTTCGAGAAAGGAGTTCAGCGCACAAGTCAACCGACATGTCGCTACGGTAGTCGAAACGGTATTTGTGGAGTCGCGACTGTTTGAATTACGAAACTGTTGCGAATATCATGCAAAGAAACGTACTTGCAGAACCTTCTTCAGCTGCAGAACGTCTCCATAGAATCCGGTGGTAGCCAGAACGATAGAGTCGTTCCTAAAACTCATTGAATGAGTGGAAAAACAGCAAGTCATACAAAATATGCATCTTTTCTCCATCGCGGGTCAGAATGTTGATATCGTTCTGCGTCAATCGGGTGTCACTAGCCAAGATGGCGAAGTTTTCGCCAGCGATAGCACAGGTAGAACTGAAAAAAAAAACCGATTATTTTTCGATTTGAAATAAACAAATATACCCTTCAACTGAAAACTTATGATCGAGTTTCTCTACTCACTCATTTTGAAAAACGCAGTTCTTATACATATAAATTGAAAACAAAAAAACTACTCTTTTTAAATTTTTTTAGCATCGAAGAAATTGGGAGTTTTGTATTCGAAAGAGTTATACAAAAAAACTACCCTATGAAATACATTTCTTGAAATAACAATTATAATTTTTCAGTTTCAGCTCATAATTCCGATCGAAACATAGTTTCAAAAAATCGACTTACCCTCCTTCAAACGAATAAGGATTCCATCGTTGCCGCTCAATGATTCTCGAAGTTCTCCAAACAGGCTCAGCTTCCGCAGCCTGATATTTTGATGAAAATGATGTAATAAAGTTGAGGAAAAACGTTAAATTCTCAACAACTACCAGAGCAATTAAACAAAGACAAAAAGGAAAACCTTCATCGCAGCTTTGAAGGCGAACATCTCAGAGTATGGATTTGGCCCATTCTTAGCGATTCCAGTGAAACTACAAGCCATTCCTAAAAAAAAAAATGCAGATTTGAATCTGATAAATAGAAAAAAAAAGTTTAATAACGAAAGGATAGTAAATAAACACTCAAAGCTAGGTAACAAAACTTTTTTCTGAACTCGTCCGCAAAAAAGCTTAGAGCAATGAAAATTGGTATACAATGAAGAACATCTATTTAAATGTTTCTTCAATACCAACGATTTAGTAGCATTACTCCCCGCAAAGTTTCAAACTAGAAGATTTTTAACAAAACAAAAACATTGCATAGTTGCATAGTTACGCAAACCAGAAATAGAAAAGATATATACGCGAAATTTTAATTGAAAGGCTTATTATATGTGTTTCCGAAATACTTTCTCCTCTAAACCCCAATAGTCGCAAAAATATTTTATATATATAACGATGATAAAACAGAAAAATAAAACATTTGAAACGATGACATGAAAATTTTTGACTGCGGAGTTGGCATTTTACTTGACGGCATCTCACATACAGTACTTCTATCAATTTTTAATTTTGAACTTCGTACAAAAAATAATTTTGTTTTATTTTTTACTATTATGAATTAATTTTTTTGGATCATTTTTAATAATAGAACTTAGATTTTATGATAAATTTTTTTTCTTTAATTTTTTGAACACACTCCTCTTTCCACTTAGTTTTTTTCCTTTTTTTTCGACATTGTTCAATGTTATTCAGATGTCAACAGAGTATTCCGAAGTGGCTTTGAAAGAGAAATTGCATCGACTCACTAACCATCCTGATTCCATCCAATCTTTGTCAAGTTGGATTATTCAGAACAGCAAATACCGCGAAAGCATAATTCGCGTGTGGTCGAAGGTTTGAATAAAAAAGTTATTTATGATTTTATTATTCATACATCAGGACGCTCGCAAAGAGTCTAATGCTGCGAGAATTGTGAATTTGCTTTACCTCGCTAATGACGTTGTACAGAACTGTAGGAAAGTTTGTCCGGAGCTCAAGGATCACTTTTTTCCCGTCCTTGAAAGCGTTATAAAGTGCGTTCAGTGTTTTGAACGTATTACAAAATTTTTTAGACATTCTGCGCGTAACCCGCCTCCTGAAATTGAGAGAGTACTTCCAAAATTAGTCAAGGTTTGGAGGGAGCGAGAAGTTTTCAGCCAATCTCAATTAAGACGGTTCGTTATCAGACTTATTTTCAAATAGTTTCCTTTCACAGTCTGGATGACGCCCTTTTACAAGGAAAGTCTTCGGCTGCATATCCAACGCCCGTATCATCAGTACCGGATCTATCCAAGGTTGAAAGTTTAAATCTTCGAATTTGGAGAGATATATTTTGCTTCAGAACAATCCGCAGAAAGAGCTCTTGCATGAAGAAGTAGCAAAGAACTGTCAGGAAATTTTGATATCTTTGCAACGGTTGCAGGCTCCGCCGAGTACGGAGCGCGAAGTAAGGTTCTTGAATTTCTTTTCTTCTTTTTTTTAAATGTTTTTTGTTAAGAATCCAGCTGGCTACTTTTCCCGAATCAATATCCTGTCCAGAGATGTTGCAGACGATTCGGGATTCAAGCCAAGCGAAGGAAGTTTTGAAGCACAATGAAGCAGCGCTGCCGCTTATTACCGATTACTGCAAAAGGTCTGCGTCAAACCGATTCGATAGTATAAGACGCAAGATTATTGTTCTTTCGAAGAATAACTTTTTCTTAAAAAAATTTTTAAAAAAATTTAATAACTTTACTTTAATTAATACTTAAGAGCTAACCTCTTTTGAACTTTTTGAAAAATATCAAGAATTAGATTTTTTTCCTCTTTCCACGACTCGTTTGTTAGTTTTGAGAATTTTTTTAACGATTCTAGCTTTCGTAATCTTGTCGAGGATTTAACTAGCCGGTTCCAAATATGGTTGCCAGTTAGCTGAACGGAATATCTTTACCGTTACGTACACACTTTTAAGGCTGGGAGAAGAAATGCTGGAAAGACGAAACCTGCAACAGCTCCTCGACAACCTCATGAACAACGTACGAAGCTGCGTCGAGTACCACGAAAAGATGTTGCGCGACGTCAAGAAAAAAGAAGATAGACTGAAGAGCGATCTTGTAGAGGTTCGTTACTCGAAAAACCGATTTTATACCGTTTTTAGGTGGAAAAAGCCTTCAACTCTCTGCCAGACCTCAACGCCGAAGCTTCTTTCATCTCACGATCTCTTCCCGCTCTCGAAAATCTTTTCGATGTTTAAACCCTATCACTTATTTTATTCATAACTTTTTATGGCCTCCACGGGTGTAATCACTGCTCTCCTGATAAAATTGTTCTTCAACTTCTCTTTAGTTTTATCTAACGGTTATATCCGCTCATTTTCTTGTATCGACCTCGATTAAGTTCTTCCTATCTCGAAGCACTTTAGATGGGTATTCTGGAAAAGATCGCTGAGATCGAGCATGAAATCTCGAGAACTCAGAAGAACAAGGCAACCGAGTATCATTTGGGACTTTTGAAGGTAAACTTATTCTTGGCTTGACGATTGCGGAGAAAAATCGAAAAAAAAGAAAAGAAAAAAGTGGTTAGCAGATGTTGCAGCTCCACGAACCTTCACGTGTTTTGAAAATATTCACAAACGATTTCTAGGCGAAATTGGCCAAATACCGACAGCAGTTACTGGAGCCGTCGGGTAAAGGGGGAGGCAAAGGCGAAGGATTCGATGTAATGAAAAGTGGAGATGCTCGAGTTGCTATGGTAGGACATTGCAAGCGACGACTTGCAAATCTCTGTTCAGGTCGGATTTCCGTCTGTGGGAAAGTCCACACTTCTCTCTTCCATGACCAACACTCACTCAGAAGCAGCCGGCTACGAGTTCACGACTCTCACCTGTATTCCTGGCGTCATCAATTACGAGGTTTTCCAATCGTTTGTATCCATTTTTCTCCAGCTAAAAAGTCCATAATTTCAGTTCTTTCTCTAGCAGAACTTCTGCGTCTGTAAATTTTCCAATCTATTCGAGTTCTAAAGTTCAAGTCAATCTCTTTCTTGCAGGGTGCCAATATTCAACTTCTTGATCTTCCTGGAATTATTGAAGGAGCTTCTCAAGGAAAAGGTTTCGTATTATCAAAACCTTTTGAAGAATCAAATAAACTGAAGGTCGTGGTCGACAAGTTATCGCCGTCGCCAAAACAGCGGATTTGATTTTGATGATGCTTGATGCGGGAAAGAGTGACCAGCAGAGAGTTCTTTCAAAAACCTGACACATCCGTAAAAATGAGTTTCTATAGGCTTTATTGGAGGCAGAACTTGAAGCAGTGGGCATTCGATTGAACAAAAGACCGCCACATATTTACGTCAAGCAGAAAAAGGTTTTTCTTTCAATATTAACTTGAACATTTTCAACGAGTTTTTTGTAGAAAAAAATTCTTTTTTATTAATTCGAACTGAAAAAATCCGGAACCTCTGATTATGAAAATAATTACTGAAGTGAAAATTAGCGTTTTTTCTCACAATTTCGAGAAGTTCGAAAGTTTGATAAAAACGAAGTTACTGATTGCGGCCTAATCATTTATATTGTGGCTTTCTTTCAATTCTCCAAAGTGTAATTGTTTTCAAAACAGTTTTAAAGGTGGGAGGCGTCAAGTTCACGCACACGGTGCCTCTGACGCATTGCAACGAGAAACTGATCATGACAGTTCTTCACGAATACAAGATATTCAACGCCGACGTCGTCTTCAGGGAGGACTGCACGTTAGAATTTCGCCTTCATCCAATTTTGACCTTTTCTCTTCAGTGTCGACGAATTTATCGATGTCATTCAAGGGAACCGCGTCTACCTCACGTGTCTATATGTCTACAACAAAATTGATCAGATTTCTATCGAGGAGGTCGATCGGCTAGCCAGGTTTTTTTTCGTTTTCATGAGGCTATTCCAACACTTTTGTTGCTAGACTACCACATCATGTTGTTATTTCTTGCGAAATGAACCTCAACATGGACTATCTTCTCGAAAAGATTTGGGAGTACCTGGCGTTAGTCCGCGTCTACACTAAAAAGCCAGGAAATGCTCCGGATCTTGGTTTGTTTTCTTCTTTTTTTTTACCAATTCTTTTCTTGTTATCTTATTTCATCTGTGCGGGATAAACTGCACTACATTTAAAAATTATTTTTAAAAAATTTATAAATGGTCCAAGAAAATAATATGGGTTTTCAACGGATTCAAACTTAGTCATTTAATCGTCGTGCATAACTTCAAATTTTAATGATAAGTTTAGTTTAATTTTAGTGAAAGACATTCTGGCTACCTAATATGAAGCCGTGATGATTTTGAAATATCTACTTTCTATCGCTATTCTCAATAATGTTATAATTTCCTTTTATTAAAATATTTTCTGAAAGAAGATTTTCGAAATGAGTTCCACATAGAGCAGAGGTGCAACTTGATAAACGAAAACTAGTTTTTTCGAGTTCCGAAAAGTCTTTACCGTTTAATAAAGAAAGTTCTGAGTACACTGACTTCTTCATTTTCGAAAATTTTACCGCATAGTTTCTGCGGATAAGTATAACCAATTTCTAAAACCTGAACTCTTTCTGAATAGTTGAGTGTTTTTTTCGCAAGAACATGCGTTATAGGGGCCGAGGACGGCATCATTCTGAGACAAGGCGCCACCGTCGAACATTGTTGCCACGCCCTGCACAGGACCCTCGCCGCTCAATTCCGCTACGCAATCGTCTGGGGAACCTCGACCAAATTCTCTCCACAACGCGTCGGAATCCAGCATCTTTTGCACCACGAAGACGTCATTCAGATCGTCAAAAAATGATTTCTTCAGTTTTTTCTATATTATTTTCCTATTTTTCTTGTTTCGCACCCGGCTTGTCTTCCTGTTTTTCATCAAGTCACGTGTAGTTGTTCAAATTTTTGGTGATATTATATGAAGCTAATATTTTGTTTGACCATAAAAAGTTGATATTATTCTGGGTTTTCCTTTCAATTTAAAATGTCTTTTCAAATCGAAATATTTTAATATTTTTTTCATTTCATAAAACGGATTTACTCTAATAGAATAAAACTTACAGAAATAACGGAGATGTGATAACCTTATGAACAATATGGAGTTTGTACAAGTTTTATTGTTTTTTTGCGCAGTCAGTACTAGCTGGCAACAAACACCCAAGGTCAGTTGGAAACCAATTTGAAAGAAGTCTTGTTTTTCCAGCCCATAGTCGCTAGACTGTCTCATGGACGAGCCGACGGTTGTATCAACACCAACTACGAGTCGAGCAACCCCCTGGGGCCTATAGTCGAGTGCAGCACACTTCCCGAAGAATTCGTCGACTGCGACGATCCCCAGCTCGTGCAGCAGTTCAGCGCCGCCGTCAACATTTCCATCAGCGTGAGTGTCTCTCCAGGGCCGAGCACGGAACCTCTTCAGGAGGAGGGAAAATGCAAGAAGTTTGGCGGGCAGCGAGCCGAAGACGTCGAGTGGACGACTGTCAACTGTCGCGCGCTTCCATGCATCGAGTGCAGCGGCGAGCGCGTGTTTCAGCGTCCAGCTCCATGTCTCAAGTGCGTCATTCACAGTTTTGAAGCTTTTGAGCTCATGGAACCTTGTAGATACACGGGTCACTATTTCCTCTCCACCGTCCTCTACTCGGTGTTTCTTGGCGTTGTCGCCGTCGATCGCTTTTGTTTGGGCTATTCGGCCATCGCCGTCGGCAAATTGATGACTCTCGGTGGATTGGGGATCTGGTGGATCGTGGACATTTGTCTGCTTGTCACGGGAAATTTGATGCCTGCCGATGAGTCTAACTGGGAGCCAACCTATTAACTTTTTCACTGTTAACTTTGAACATATCCGTGAATGTATATGCGTTTATGATTTACCACTTCTTGAGAACATTTCGAAGCAAATAAATGTCCATAACTATTTCTTTCCAGTCAGGGGAATGGGCTTTTCTTCGCGGAATACCATCGACACATGAACCTGAAGAGGAGTTTTGATTTCCTTTTCTGAAAGTCTTGTTGAACCTCGACTCCTTTCGCGTCCTCGTTCTCTAACAGTACGTTAGTTACTTTTTGCATCAGCCGAGCTATGTAGTGCGAACGATCCTCCGTTGCTTTGAAAATCAAGTTATCGTGATTCACTTTCTTTCGAGCTCACCACTCGTCGGACTTTTCAAGCTGACTCTCGTCTGTTCTTTTTTGATCGGAGCGGCGAAAACCGTCACTCGGTTCTACAGCATTCCAGCTATTTTGAAACGTAATTTATGCTAAAACAGACTGGCTTTTTCTTCACGTTCAGAAGCTCCGAAGGGTAAGGTTCTTCACTACTTTGCCACTCCTGATCTGAGTACTTCTGCAAGCTTTCTCCAGACGTATCTTGTTCTGGCAAAGTACTTTCAGAAGCACAAGAAGCATAAACACGTACCATCTTCAGTCAAATTCAGCTTTGGCAGTGCACGGATTGATTTCTAAAGAGAGCAGTGAGACTGATTTGGTGAGATTAAAACCTCAGGTGACGTCTTTTTTGGAGCCGGTACCTTATCTGACATTTTTGCACGGCCTTCTGACCGCTTTCGTCGCAAAATAAATGATTTTCGAATAATATCAACGGACACGTCAAAAAATATTTTTTATTGGTAAACGATTAATAAATAATGCATCGATCAATAGTCGAAAGTTTTCACATAACGATACATTTTTCTCTTAATTTCTTGCGTTCCTTGACTTCCTTGCTCTGATTTTTTGTCGTAGAACTTATCCTCGCGAAGTAGACAGGAGTGGCACTGACAGTATCCCACAACATGATGACATAAGGCGACGAAACGACTTCTGTTTGTTCTCCGGAGACGACGTGCAGTTCTGGCGACTCCTTCCTCGTCCCATGCGTCGGAGCCGTCGTTCCGTGGGAATCCTTCTTTGTTTCTCGTTCTCCGGCTCTGAAAACAGATGTGAAAGAAAGTTTCGGAAGAAGAGAACTCACCCGTGGGCTGAAGACTCGGGAGCGTTCAGTATGGACAAAACGTCGAAGTGTTGTATATTGGAAAGTTGGCCGGACTGGGAGGCGCAAGATGGGGACGCATCTTCTGGAGCCAGGTCGCCGAAGCCGCCGAGATAAAAGATGGCGTTCATGTCGAAGCACGCCTTGAATTTTTAGAATTTCGGTTTTCATTCAATTACGAACTCACGGCGAAGTGAGAACCAATGTTCAAAGAGTTCATTTGCTCGAAGTTCCATGTCGGTATGTAAATTTCTTCGTGTGTTGTCTGAATATTTGAAGTCCGTTTTGTATCTTGGATTCAATTTACTTCGGTAAAGGTCTTGCATACGAGAGTAGGACACGATCCACCAAACTTCAGGGCAGTTCTTTCAAGTTTTTCGAGTGTCACCTAAAATGCATGTAAAGAGTATGAAGAATAAGTTGCGGTGCGCCGTAGGAAAACAGGTTGCGGGTCTGTCAACGGTCCACAGGGTCACAAGTCCACCGCGACCCGAACAAAAGGGTTTAAAAATGCTGGTACTGGGAAAACCGCGACTTCAAAATCCTCAGCCGTCTATTGGTGATCACTGATATCAGGATATCAGGATACCTTGGCTAATCGACTTAGGGCGCCGACGCCGCTCAAGCGGTACAAAGCGTTAAAAGGAGAAGAATGAAAAAAAAGAATAAAGAAAAAAATAACCTGTTTACAAGCGTCCATATCGTAAATGAAGTGTAAAAGAAGCCCATTACTGGCGGTAGGAACAATAAAAGTCTTCCAATCTGTTGGAATAGCTCTTTAGACTGAAATCTTTATTTATAAAAACCGTTGTCGCTCGTGGTAACTTCGAGTCTCTTGGCACCAGATGTCTTCATTTTCAAACATTCCTGAAAAAGTGTTCAACTAAAAGTTTTTTTTCTCTACATCGAGATGAACCACGTCATTCACGAAGTAAATTCTTTTCGTGTCGATAATATCAGGTGGGATTGCAACCTGAAAGTTTTCTTAAGAAATGCCGCAAAAGAAAAAAAAAAGATTTACAATAGCGTGGCTGGCCCAACAAAGAACAGGGACTTTCATTTCGTAGGTCGAATCTGAGGCATTCGCCTCCTCAACCGTAGTCTTTAATGTCTGAAATTGGAATTCATTGGAAGATAATCGTTTTCTTTGCTAACGTTCATGAACTGTTGCTTCTTCTTGGTGTATGCACGCCCTCGACTTACTATGGAATCGTCGCGCCAAAGTTGGAAAAATCCCCGATCTCGGAATTTTATCTGAAGTTCAAGGCTTCAATGTTTATTTCACTTTGCAAAGGAACATGAACCAACTTTAATGAATCGCGCAAGCCAATCGTTGACTTCCCGGACGCCATCGAAAATATTCAATTCAACTTCGAATTGGCCCAGATTCTAAGGAAAAAATTTTTTAAGATTTAATCTTCCAATCACCTTCATCGTGTGGTAGGAGTAGGTTTTAGTGAATTCTGGATGAACCATGGCCCGCTGGACGTTGAGAACATGACCGGGCCGCGAACTGAGCATCAGCGAATAGTTCCAGCGCTTCAGGAACTCGCACGTTGACTCGACCAGCTCCTTTGTCTGCAAAGGAAGTTTTGGCTTTCCAAGTAATTCCGACGACGGCGTACCTGAATACACGTTATCGGTTTGTGGAAAGCGTCTGTGAACTCATCTCGGAGACCTTTCGTTCGCTGTAAGTAGTTCTATTCGCTAAGCGCCAGAAAGGAACCGTAAAACAAAAGTTAAGATTGTAATTTGTTGAAAAGCTCTTGCTGAAGTGTTTGAAAGAGCGGAGAGGGGAGGTTTTTGTCTTTTCAATCTTACAAGGAAAGTCGTTTCACTTTGTGGTGGAGAAATTCTCAAAAATTGGCGAGAAAACTCCTTGAGATGCCAGACGAAGATTCTAAAAGTCTCAACCTGCACAACTTCTTGGTTTTCATGAAATGAGGACTCAAAGTCGAAAAAAAACCTCAAAAACCTGTAAAATAGGCCGTTTCGAGGCTTTGAGCCTCTATTTCTCAAAAACTAGAAAGTTGTGCAGGTTGATACTTTCAGAACCTAGTTTTGGTTGAATTTAGAAATGTTCTGACCAATTCCCAGGAAACTCCCAACCGTAAATTAAAACTTCCCCCTTGTTTCAACTCTTGAATTAGATGGTATACAAGCTACACGATTTCTTTATCTAAGCCACATTCATTGCCACCTCCAGGCCTTCATTCATCTCATTGGAAGTTAAATGAACACTTCCAATTAATTGTTATTTTTGACAAAGATTTTCTCACGTCAAAGTCGCAGTTCCCAAGAAGGAAGGCCATGGTGGAGATGAGCTGGGGAACGCTAACCATCATTTGCGGTTCGTCGGTGCTCATCAAACTTCTGAAAGAATCTCGGCCGTCTCGCAGAAAGGTTCCACCAACGTGAAGACTCGGAAAGACATGGCGACCCATTTGTCAATTATCGTCTTTGGCAACTTCCCTCTTTCGTAGCTAGTCGGTGCTTCTTCTTCTGTCATCTTCTGCCCAAGATATTATTGAAAAGCTGTACTTTAGCGACGCTTCTTATTGACTCAAAGAGGGAAAATTGACTTGCCTAGTACAATTTCCGGTCTCGTTTTCAATAAAATTTGACTCAAAGAGGGAAAATTGACTTGCCTTGTACAATTTCCGGTCTCGTTTTCAATTAAAAAAAAAACCTTCACATATAAATAAGGCATACATATTGAAGAAAAAGGTACTAAAATTCGAAAAGGTGTTTTCTAGACTTTCTGAAGCTTTCTTGGTGAACTGAGATTGCGTCTAATCAACTGAATCCATAGTTATACAAAAAGAACTGGAAAACTCACAATTGTACCCTCAGAAGTTTAAAAAATGAGAAAAAAAAACACGGCTGACTCTACCACGTTTCCAATTTCCCATATTATCGTCTTTCGAGAACGTTTATATGCATTAACAAAACAGCGTTGGAAAATGAGCAACAACTTTATTGACCGTCGCCGACTGGAAGAGAGATTCTTGAAGTGAATTGTTGGAGGTGTTTTTCAATCGGCTTTGATAACAAATTAACAAAAAAAAATTTGGATTTTTTGTGACTTCTTATTTTTTGCTCTCTTCCTCGTTGGTGGACTGATTGGGAGCTCGCAAGTTGGCCCAAGCTGTTGTCGGATCGAACTGAATGTTGGACCAAAGGTTGAAGTCTGGGCCAGCGAAAAGTGTGTTGCCGAACGTGGTAGTCGGAGGCGTTGGAGCGGCGACCGAAGGGCCGAGGGACATTCCGAGGTTCTGGTAGAGTGGATTATCGAGTGTCGACTGTGCTCCGTGGCTCATGGAGAGGCTGGGATCACTGATCGGGGTCGGCCACATGGCCATGCTTCTTTGGTGGGCCAGCAGTTCCTGGTCGCCGTCCAACATCGAGGAGAGCGCCACGTTAGGCAGCATCGGCCAGAACGGCAGCACTTCTAAAATATCAATAAAGGTACAGATTCTGCAAAAAAAGTTCAGCTATTATTAATTCTTAAAATTACCAGTTTCGAAGAAATTTTATTGAATCAAAAAAAGCTCTAATTGTATTTCATTTTTCAAATTTATACACAAAAATTCATGAGCAAAAACTTAGTTTTTGATGGCATACTGTATTAGATCGGAACAGAAAAATATATTACTGAAGTTTTAATATGAAAAAAAGCTTAACAACTTTTGAAAAGGAAAATCTAATTTGCCTTTGATTTTTTTTTAACACGATTTCTTTTCAATGGGAACTGTAGTTGATTATTCGATGGTAGGAAGGAATTTTGGGTTCCCGAATATTCGTGAGCGTTAATTGTGCATACACCAATCTTGGAGGCTCGAATCTTTGAAAATTTGAATCTTTGCAAACGATTCTTGGGAATATTCCTCTCTTTTTTGAATTTCCTTCTTTTTTTTCTTACATTTTTTTCCTTTGTCGTTTTATTGTGAAGATGCCGTGTTTCGACCACAAATGAACACTGTGGGATTTTTTTCAACTTCAAAGTTTTTATCAAATAATGCGTCTTTCTCGCATACACGTAGTCCAATATTCGCTGCAGAACGGCTACCACATTTTCATTCACTCTGTATACATCCTCCATCAACTTTCCGTGTATTTTATTCACTCTAAGTGGTAGCTCTCTCAGTCGGCCGAGGCTACCCTAGAGTGTACACGGTATCCGTGCCCGAGCCCCACCATCACCGCCGTGCCCGTACAAGCGAAACTGAGGGATCTCTTTGTGGAAGAACGAGGCGAAGGACCGTAAGACCATGCTTTCAAATCATTCGACTACACGTTTTGACTTCTTTTTCGCCAAAGGCGGTGTTAGTGCCGCTCAAAAGAGCAATTTTTTCACCGCCTAGTCGATACCATCTGACTAAAACAACCAATAAATATTGATGATGATGATGATGAACTTCAAAACATTGGAAAATTTATAAAACATAAGAAAAGAGGTGAATATTCCCAAGAATCGTTTGCAAAGATTCAAATTTTCAAAGATTCGAGCCTCCAAGATTGGTGTATGCACAATTAACGCTCACGAATATTCGGGAACTCAAAATTTCTTCCTACCATCGATTATTCGCCTACCAGGTTGGGACGGAGGCTCAACGGGCTGTCCAGAGCTCTTCTTGCGTAGTTCGGCATTGCGCTCGCTCTTTTCGCTTCCGACAGTCTTCCTTCTCGCATCGAGCTTGACAGGTTCCACCTGGACGTATCTTTCGTCTTGAGAAGACACCCCAACAACTACATGAGATTCTTCAGACTTGGCGATGCCTCTCGGTCGGTTGCTCTTCTGGGATGACGAGAAAGAGTTCATGGGTGAGAAATCTCCTTCGTCTTCAGAATTGCTCAAGAGCATATCTGTAGTTGCCTCAGCCAGGGCGATCAGTTCCGCGTCGACGTCATCTGTAAACTCCTCACTTTACAAAGTCCATCGGAGAATAAAGAAACCCGGGAAAAAGACAGGTTCATCGATCCAGTCTGGAGGAGCACTGCCTTCGCTCATCAGACTTTCAGAGTCGTCGTTCACAAGATCTTGTTTCCTACCGTCTGCTGACCATTCGTTGTCCTGAACTCAGATTGAGAGCCTCAGTCCGACTGCGAAAAAATAACCATTTTGACAAGGCTCGAAGCGAGCGACGGCGTCGGCGTTTGCGGCAAAGACGGACATTCCGATTGGTCTTCGTACTTGTCAGAAGACCAAACAAACGAAGTCGACCCGGCGACCGGCGTCAGATCTTCAGCGAAATTATTCTGCTCCACCCAGTCTGCAGCCGCATTTTTGACTGTTGTTGTCGTTTTCGGGGCAGGCACTTCTGAAATTCGACAAAATTTTGTAACGAGAAACCTGAGAAAAAATACCTATTTTTGCCGTGGAGCCTCTCTTGGCTTGTTTCGATTTGTTCTTGGCATTCACTTCACCCTTCAGTGGACGGTTCTGTTTTTCATTCTTCGGTTGCCCTTCCACTGGTTGCTAAATAAAAGCTATAGGAAAAAAAGAAAAAAAAAACACGAAAATACATGGTTTGGTTGTGGCTTGTTCTGTGAGGCGACATTGGACGTCGTGGTGTTATTAAGACGATCTTCAGACTTTTTGGGTTCCTCCTTGTAGGTTGCTGACTTTGGAGACTTGGAACTGGAAAGGCATAATGTGAAACGAACTAAAAGAAGTACATACGCTCGAAGTTGCTGTCGGGCCTTCTTCGAAGGCGCTGCGGATACTTCCGGAGCTTTTGGCTTACCAGAAGGTGCCACCGCGGCTGTTACATTCGCAGTTATCTCTGGAACTAATACTTATGATCGCATCTTTAGGGTTTGGGAATGATCTCATTATAGCATGTTGTTTGAAGCATTAAAGTTTCCAGTGTGTGTATCTGTGAAAACTGTTCAAGTTTTTACATTATGAAGCTAACCAAACTCTCCTCTCATGTTGATAGAAAATTTAGAAGCGGTTGAATCGGTATTCTTATGTTGCTCGACTTCTGTCCTTTTTTTCCCAATTATCTCCATAAACCTCCTATGATCGATATTTAAAGTCTTTCTTCAATTTTTCATACTTTGACTTCGTTCTTTTCGTGTTTTTTTTTGAATAAAATTTCACGTCTAAATGTTGTTGCTACAAAATGTCCTAATAATTTTCCGAATAAATGCAAGGGGAAAGGTTTTGACAATGGATCGCCTTCTGAGCCGGGTTATAGTAAAATTATCCCTATCGATTTAATTTCATTGCTCAATAACTTGTAATCAAAACAATAATATTTTTTTGAAAAAATTAAGGAAACCTTCTCGTTTGGAATATTCTCGCTCTTCTTCGCTGCTGAGTGTCGTTTCGATTTTCGAAGTAACTACGGGTGTCAAGTTCTTCTTGCGCTTCTGAAAAGAGTTGTTTCACAAACTTCGTTTGATAAAATTAAAACCTTGCCGGCTGATTTGGGCTCGGACTTTTCGCCTCTATAGAACAGCGACCACTTCCAGACCGAATGAACGAGCTGGACGACCCAGTTTGCAACGCGAATCAGGAACCGAGAAACGAGCCAAGCGTCGTCCGAAACCTTCAGCTCGCTTGGCGTATTTCCCTTCCATTCCATTTCTGGAATGATTCAGTCTCAAATTTGGGTGAAAAAGGAAACAAACTTGGCGTTTTGACAGTTTCGTGCGCCTTCATGTTCAAGTTCTTCAAATCGAAGACAGTTCGTGGCGCGGCATACTGTTGGCGGATTCCACAAGCGATGGCGCGATCGCCTTCCAAATAAGCACAAGCGAGAACACAAACCAGGCAGAATCTAAGTCGTTTCTTGTACCACGGGTTGCGTAATTTGAAAAATTCATCAAATTTCACCGATTAAAGGAATGCGATCAGAACACATTAATGTCCGACAGTCTACACGAAACTGGATTAAAATGCTCAAATTTAAAGCAACATGGGTCCAAAGTTATTTTAAAATGAATGATTTAATTTTTTTTTTTTTGCTTTTTTTCTTCAGATTTCCTGGTGCATTTCCATATAGTTCCTCAAAAAAAGCTACAATTCTGGCGGAAAAGACCTTAGTCACAAGTTTACATTGGTGATATATCTTTTTGACATATTTTCTTATTTAATACTTTTTTTTCCTGCAGCATTAATATCATTATGGATTAAAGATATTTCCTACATTTCTGTGTTATCTAACTTTTCTAAAAGAATATTCACTAGTTTGTATTGATCTGGTAGCTAACATTCTGTCATTGAAAATAAAGATTCCTATTCCGAAAGCTTACATCAAGGCGGTGACGCAACTGTAGTACATGATGTTCTCGAAGGGAGGCCTCGGCAGCGCCTGATGACACTTGGCGAGCATGTCGGCGGGGACCGTGGCGGCCAGAGGAAACAGCCACGCGCTTCCGTTCATGTGCATGTACAACTGCAGGTCGGCCTCGTTGGTTGTCGTCAAGAAATCCGGCGTGTAGCTGAACAAAGAGTTTGAACCTTTCAAAAAAGGGAAGCGTTACGCAATGTCGAGCGAGTAAGATTCGTTGGGTTGCAGACGGAAAGGGTAACAGTTGAGGATTCGGAAGCCGCGATTCTCGCAAGGGACGCCGTTGATGCTCATGTTGGTGACAGTGAAGTGCACCTCGCCCGTGTTGACAACGGCGAAAGGGCGGCGGACTGTCAGCGTCGAGTGCAGCTTGTGCATCAATCCTGCAATTTCTCAATATTCAAAACGTCTGAGGTTTACGGGTTTTGCATATTTTATCCTAGTAATATTCAATTGATTCAAATCTCTAACTTTTGAAGAATCTTTAAAAAAAGCTTAATAAAACTTCAATCAGTTGAACGTCTTCCATCCAACCAAGACATGAGATCCATTAAAAAACTTCTATGCGACGCTAAACTTCATTTTCGTTTCTAATACCCAACTATGGTGTTCGCCTCTCTTCACCACGTTCTAAATTTAAGCCTCATCCTGGACGAGCTTTCGAAAATCGATGGAAATTGAGATTGATAGTAAATATAAACCAGAAAAATTTCTAAACGGACTTGAGTTTCGCTTTTCTTGTTATTTTACAGCATGCTAATAAACATTCGCCCTTTTTCATTCCTTGGCGATCCTTTTTCTCGATTTTTTTTCTTAGAAAATGATTAAAAAATAATTTCTTCTTAGATATTTTTTTTCAGCAGCCACCCTTTTTTCCGAAAAGCGTTCAGACAGCTCCTACAGGTTCTAAAAAGAAAAATAGTGTTTTCAATCTAAAAATGACTTTTAGGATTGTTGCAGTCCGAGAGATGATCCTGGCGAATTTCGAAGAGCAAGGGCTGTTTGGAACGAGCTTCCACGCCCTCCACTTTCATTCCGATCCGAGCGCCTTTGCCGTACATCACCACAGGCTCAATCACCGTTAAATTGTTTCTAAAGAGAGATCCGTTTTCCATTTCGATCACTCTTGCTCAACCTGATGAGGAGCAGAGAAGATCGAAGTGTGTAATCTGAGGGAAGGAATCCCAACCGAAGTCGCACTTTCATGTGAGGTTTGAGCATCAGAGAAAGCGTGAACCGTGGAACATTCTGGGGAATGGCCGATTCGAGTTCTTCCCGCAATTTGGGCACAGGAGAGTCGCGTTTCAAAGTGAACAGCTCGGTGTCTCTCAGTGAGAACATCAAGGTCTCGTTCATTTCCACCTGAAGACGTCCAGTTGAAGCTGAGATTTTTTTTGCTGAGACAAACGTGTTCAGAAAGAGGAGTGAGAAGGTGCGGACGGAACAGGTCGACGAGAGTTTCAGCGTCCGGGTATATCACTAGAGGGATCACTTGGACGACGATTGGCAAGCTCGTCGGGTTGTTGAGAGTCAGGTTAACGATCTTAAGCAGACATTGAAACGGAGTAAGTGAAGGCGGAAGAAACTGTGAAATTCCCTAGAGCGGTCAGCGGAAAGTGGATAGAATTGCGTGTGAGAAGACGAGGCCACGTCAACTCGGCCGATGTTTTGATCTGAAAAAAATTCTTTTTTTCTTTTTTTCAAAACAGCGGGTATTTCTGAAAAAAAAAGTACTTTCAAATAAGTCATTTTCTCGAGAAGAGAATTCGAGGAGCACCTTGATGTTTTTCGCCTTATCCGTGTCAAGGATAATTGTCGTGTTGACCCGATGTTTTCCAGCCTTCACCAGGGCGTCGTACTTGCTCCGCTGTCTTTTGTAGAGGTAGGCGTCGATTTCCGCAAGATTCGCCGGCAGCGTCAATCCGTGCACAAACCACTGACCGTCTAGAAAACAAGATAATCAAAACTGAACATCAGGATTCAACACATTGATTTTATTTTTTAAAACTCGCTTGAAAAAGCCGATTCGCCTGTATTGAAGCCGTAATAAGAATCCTCTTTCATTTTCATAGAAGATACCGTGATTAAAATCAAGTTGTGATGAATCTTAATCAGGTTCAAAACATTATAATGATGATTTTTTCAAAAATTTCAGAAAGAGATTAAAAGAAGTACGATGCGCAAAGTGAAACGAAAGTGATCGGATTGTTAAAATTTTGTTGGAAATCAGACTTTCTTGGAACTTTGTGAAGTTTTCTTTCTATTTTTCAATTGAAATTTCGATAATTTATCACAATACAAATATTCCACACAAATTCTTTAAAAAAATTGAAATTAAAAATATATTTTTCCTATAAAAATTTTTGAAGACAAAGCCATTTACCTGGACTCTTGAGTGGGAGTCCCAAATAACAGTTTTCATGAACGCAGGGCAGTTGTGGAGAGAACATAACACGTCCTGAAGCGGGAATTTGATTTAGACGAGAACTCGAAAGAGTACCCAAGTTGGTGAGGCGGCCAGACCGTAGCAGTGGAGGCTGAGAAGGATCGAAAGATTCGAAGAAAAAGCGGGGATCCTGGGACAAGGTCGTCAGTCTTGTCACCACCATGTCTTCAGCAAAAGAGTTGAAAACCTGGAAATGTTCCTTCAAGGAGAAAAACTCTTTCGAAGGGAGATACTTGTAAAGTGCGATAGACGAGTTTTGCAGGGAAGGTCTGTCCAAAGGAGACGTGGTCAGGGATGGATTGCAAAGTTCCGCTCGAGACCTGCAAACGTTCATTGGACGCCGAGGGTCGGCTGAAACCTCATAGGTAACAGAGAAGAGTTTGCTCTCATATTCGGTCTCGAAAAGAAGATTCCCGTCATAGACAGTGCCGTCGATAGGCACTTTCAGCTCCAAATCGAAGACGGCGCCGCTCTCTGGAGGAATATCCGCATCCGTCGCCTGGAATTCCAGTCTTTGCAAAGTTGGTAAGCAGATCCTACCCTGGCATGCTCGGTCCGTTCCAGATCGTCGACGTCATTCGAGTTGATTCCTTTTTTCTGGATGCCCACCATGTAGAGTCGATAGGCTTGTCTCGAAGGGACAGACAACTTTCTCAGGTGCATTTCAGCCTTGTTTTCGTTCCAAACAGTGAACTGAATTCGGAAAACTCAGATCTCTAGACGATACCCTTCACCAACTCTTATCGTCCTAGTGTCGTTACGTTCAACGTAGCCGAAATTGAAACTTTGCTTGTCCACAGAAGCCAGTTGAATCTACAAACGCTGATTGGAAATGAAACAAGAGCCGTCGTCTCACATTCATTTTCCCGCTAAACTTGTTCATAACTACGCGAAAAGTAGAAACGTTGGTGTAGACGTAAAAAACGGCGTTGTCAAAAGAGTCAGGCACGCGTTTGTTGTATTTGAGGACGAAAACTGGCATTATTGCACCCTTCTCCAGTTTAACTGATGGTGCGAGTAAGCGAACCTGTAATTTTTTTATACTTTCCGGTTTCAAATACCAGAAAAACGAAAATTAATATCGCATAAAATGATTTCATACTGAAAAATAGTTCTGCGCGTCTGAAGACATTGAAATATTCCAAACGACGACATCGAAAGGCAGGTCATTCCGAAGTCGAACTGTTCGTTGGTGCGGCGGCCGAAGACTCTCCTGGAGGGCCAAGTCGTTTCCCACCGTCAGGATCCCACTGAAAACGCCAAAAAGTTGAATGAAGCGGAACAGAAAAACGAAAATGAGGCTGAATGAAGCTTTCCAAGCTTCCATAAAGGTATGAGAGTTAGTTTTTGATTGAATTGAATCCAGAGAGAATTTATGATACTCTTTGAATTCAATTCATCTTTAAAAATTAACCATTTAAAAACTTATATTTCTATTTTTGGCATTTACAGCAAAGTGTGAGGTTCTCAACAATTCAGATTTTCGTTCATCTACCGACCCCTGGAAAACAGAAGCGCGGAACGGCATCGTCACGTTATAGTTGCCGCCACGAGAAACAGCGATGATGTGGCCAGAAAAATGTCTTAAACCCGGCTTTTTGTCGGGGAAATCAACGCGAGAGGCGTCGAAAAACACCTTGACCAAGTCCGAAGGTTCGCCTGAACTTTTTCTCATTATTTTTTTTCTTCAGAGATCCATTGAAGCATTCAAAATATAATCATAAAAATCAAAAAAATGAAGGAATAAACTGCCAGAGAATCGGATTTTTTTCAGATAGGAACGTTTTGAATTTTTTGTTGGATATTTATCTTTCTGTCAGTTTTCAACTTCCAAGAAAAATTTTATAAACACTCGAAACATGAAGAATAAGCTATTTTCCAGCTCTGGTTTCATTTTTTATTGATGATATTCTTTTCTATGAACTATCTTTATGTGTAATTTTCTATTTATTTGAGCGAAGATGTTAGAGAATAGCACTAAAAAGTCTTGACATTTCCTAAACAACTTTTTTAAAATCTTTGGTCTCTCATTCTTAATTGAAAAGTTTGAAAGTTGCCTGGCTGGGTGATATGCTTCCCCGGCAGCACCGGAATCGGCGGCGGCGACGAAAATTCCATATAGATACCCGTGTGATCGCCTTTCTCTACATATAAAGTCTGAAAAACGAATCCATTGCAAAGAAAAAACTGAACTTGCTACAAAAATACCTCGAATTCAAGTCGACCTCGCATAAGGTATTGATAAACAGAAAATGTTTGCGGATTCGATCGATCCCCATGCCTGCCAATGATGATTAAAATCATAAAATAAATTCGAACCAACCTCAATAAACCGAAATCGAGCAAATCGCTCGTGGCGAAAACGCCTCGCGTACTTGATATTTCAACAGGTATTGCATAAACGATGTCCTCTATTATTTTTTTCCTGAAATTGTCTGTCTCTCGACAGAAATCAAAGAAAGTCCAACTTGTTCCCTTCGAGTAGAATAGCAGAAGCTTTGAAAAATAGAGTTGAATTTTCTTCATTACCACCCACAATTAGAATGTTGGCTACCTTTTTAGTTTGATAGGATCGAATGTCCTGAAATGAGAAGATTTGGAAAACTCGGTCAAAAGAACTGTACCCAATACTGTGGCAACTCGCCAGCAAACTTTTCATCAACAAAATGAGGTAATTCGACATGTGCATTGCCACCTGATGAGGTGATCTGGAATGAGAAGAGTTTGGGTGAGAATGAAAAAGAAAACACAGAAAGTGTTACCCTTTCGAATACAGAAATCCCAAACCTCGGTGAGTCGTAAAGTGTGAGGGTGAGGGTTGTGGATAAAAAATGGTTTTACGGCAGATCCGTTCAAAGGGACACGGAGACCGGTGAACGGAGGGATTCTATAAGGATTCGAAACGCAATTGCCTGCCGCCTGAAACCTTTTTGCTGTATATAAGCTTAGACCTTGAGTGGAAGAAAAGTGAATCAATGGAGTTAAAACCGAAGATAGTGTACCTCTAGTGTGAAAACTGCGGAAGATGTGTAGACAAGAAATGTAGTTTTTCTAAGTCCAACTTCTCGTGGGAGGAAGACGACTTCAAAAGACGCAGTTCCTTGTGGTGCTAACTTCTGGAAAATCGATTAAGTGTCAAAAGACTCATAGGAAACTCACAATTTTATCGAAAAAAGTTACATGAAACTCGAGAGAGTTGGCGATGATAGCGTCCACAAGAACGGACTCTTTTAAAACATTGCGCACGAAGACGCGTTGTTTTGAAGCTCTCCCGACATGACTGAAAACGCTATTCGAAAAACAGACTTCTTTTATCCGAACCTCTCTCCAAAAGATAAAAATGGCGGATCAAACTCGAGGGGCAATTCGCCAGTTCCAGCCAACTTTTTCACGTTATAGTTTTTGTCCCTAAATCGGAAGTCGCCAAAGTTTTTTCTTTGAAGCCTCACTTCAACTTTTTTATGTGTCGCTTGATGATTTTCGCATCGCCCTCGTTGAAAGTTTTGTGTGAGTCCGGGCGAACCGTGGTGCTCAGATAGTGGAGCTCCTCGCCAGTTTGCACGAAAGCTGTGTGCAGAACCGGCAGGTCGTCAACTACATTGCTCGGAAGTTCGCCCGAGTCGAAGGACCACTCAAATTTAGGTTTTAGACATACTAATCACAGTCTCTTGTTGAAAACTCAACCAATAAATGATTCCCATGAAAACAGAAATGTTTTCTGCATTTTTTATCGTTTTTCCAATCAAAATTTCAAGAGTTTTCTGTGTTTTCAGTCACTTTGACATTTTGACAAAATTAATCTTTTCTGACAACAGATCAGAAAAAAATTTGTTTTTTTCTTAATATCGATGTTTCATTATCTTTTTCAACATGTTAAATGGAAGATGAGAAATTCATTCGAAATACGAAGCTCAAAAAAATTTGAAAAAATACGGACTACATAGATTTGGTGAAATAGACCATAGCGCTTAGTTGAATCAAAAATTGGCCAAACTACTTTCTGAAAAAAATTTTTTTAATTTCGTTTTTTTAAAAATAAACTAACTTGTTTTTTTTCATAAAGCTATTTCTGAAAGACATTCTTAACTTGAACACATTTATTCCAAAGCTATCATTACTGAAAAAAAAAAAGTTTTACAACTTACTTTTTGTTCTAATGCAAAAGACGAAAGCACAAAGAAGATAGAGTAAAATGCTGCCAATAAAATGAATCGAAACATCCGAACATGGATCTGCAACATTTTCAGAAGTGCAAACAGAAAAAAGAGATTCATATCTCAATGAAAACAATCGTATACGCAACTGTAGAAAAAAAAAATAACAGAGCAAGAAGTCACAAGTTCTTATCAATCAACCATCAAAAAACCCGACATGTGAGCCTATTTTTAGCGCTTCCTTTTCTTAATGACAAATCATGCGAAAATAAAAAAAGTAGCGTCAGAAGTATAAAGAATTTCACAGAAAATCGATAAGTCTTCGGGGTAAGAATGACGATGCGATCGCGCACCCATTTATGGGTCAACCGACGTCGCACTTCTTTCAAAATTTGATTTACATGAAATACTTTGAAAAAAAAAACATTTACTATATATTAGTAGTAGGGATAAAAAAATTAAATAATGAACGGGAAAAACTTAACGAATTATTATCTATTTTTTTAAAAAAAGATGAAAAATTACAAGTGAAATGCCGGTGCATAATCACTGAAACGCAAGTCGGTTATTTAGGGAAAAACTTTCAGAAAAGTATGTCAGAAAACTCTCTCCATAATATTCCATTTGAACGCAATCAGTGACGGCTAATGCGTTCCTTCAAAACCTGATTCTGATCTTGATCGAAGTTACACGTGTCACCAAAGACATTGTTAGAAAACTCAGCTTGTCAAGGTGGAATAAAAATTTTGAAAAATTCTAAAACAAACGAACACAGAAAACTTTGTTTCTTTTTTTTTGTTTGCAAAAATAAAGAAAAATGAGCGCAAGTTATAAGAAAAAAAGATTTTTCAATTTTTTTAGAAAAAAACTGAATGAGATTTTCACTGGAAAAAGTTCTTCAAGACATAACTTCACTATATACGTAACACAATGAAGAGAAAAAAATTCGTAATGAAAATGAAAAAAGTGAAAAAAATATAACTCGAAAAATATTGGAATTTTCCATGAAAGGGAAAAAACCGGTTTTGCGAAATGCGCCCCATTGCACTCTTGGAGAATTTACAAAAAAAAAATGTTTTTTTTAAGTCTTCGTGTTATCCTTTTTCCGAATTTCATCTTCATTTTTCATTGTTATGCCAAAAAATACAGAGATTTCAGAAAATCTGATGATATCTTTCGAAGACTTTCTCCTGAGACCCTCGAGAGTGATAGATCCTTTTAACCGTTTTGTTGGGCGAATAAATCCATTCGTTGTATGTGTCGAGTTTTGTCAAGTCATTGGTCCACGGCCGCTGACGATCGTATCGTCGGATCCAAACAATGAGCGTGCGGTTTGTGGTTTTTAATCGAAATTATTCGAGTTATTTAGTGCCAGGAGTCGACATCAACTCCTTGGCCGTGTGGCTGATGAGTTCTGAAACTGCGCCAACAACGGTAGTTGTTCTAGATAACAACCAAACTGGTATCTCTGCTATCGCTTACTATTTCACCATTTATGACATTCGAGCTCGTGCATTTCAGGTATTTTTTTCACAATTTACTATTTTCCACCTCTTGATCGTCAAAGGGATATGCTTGAATCGGAATTTATCAATCTTGTACATGATTTTTGAAGTTTATTTTTACAAGAATTTTTTTGAAGATGTTTCAATTTCTTGAATGTTTCTTCGCCTTATAATAAGTGAGGTCATTTCACTTTATGCGATGGAGTTTTTTGAAGTTTGAAGAAAATACTCTCCGACGTACTGGATAATTCTGAAATATATCTTCTCTGAAATTAAGACGTTCGTTCTAGAAAGAAATATAGAAAGTTTTGCAAACGAAAACTTCAAGGATCTTGATTGCGTTCATCAAAGAAAAAATTTTTTGGGCGGATTCAGAAAACTTCCAACCTCTAAATGAGATAAATTTTCCTGTCAGAGTTTTGATGACATTCAAAAATACAAGCTCTTTTCTTTTTTTAGAGACCACTGTGCGTGGCTTTTCTGAGTTCGGATCGTCCTACGAAAGATCATTTGCGAGCTTTCGAAGAGAACGTCATCAATTGCTTGGCTCCCGTCATTTCTTGCAACCGTCGGTTCTTTTTGAGAAGTGTGGCGGACATTGTGAAACTTTCGGATAGCATGGGTATGAAAATTTTATCTGGTTTTAAACATTTAAATTTCAGACCTCTCGACAATCCAACAGTATTATACGCTTAACAGCGATGGAACCAAAGTCCCAGATATGAACAGATTAACAAACGTTTTGGAACAGACGCGAATACTGAAAAGCCGCGTTTTAGCTGTTGACGACTCCGAGTTCAACCGCCAATGGCCTCGTTAGTTTTTTTTTTGTTCAGTTTCAAGGTTTTCCAAAACTTTGTTAAGAGAGCAAGTGCGTTGGTCACGAAGTGGAGAACTTGGAGGACGCCGAGGAGATTTTGAGATCTTTTCGAAGCGCTTCTGTCCCTCTTCAACCTGTAGAAACTCTCGCTCCTTGTGTTTGTGCAGAGCAATTGTTTCCACTAGTTCAGTCTCTTTTTTAGGCTTTCGTTGATTTCAAAGAATCTTTGCGGACAATTCTGACGGCGTGCACGAAATTGGGCCAAAGAAGCGGTGTTCTATTCTCTTCGGGCACACCTATAATGAAGCTTCCCAGAACTGAGACATCTCTGCAGAATTACGCAGAGAAAAGGTTTCTTGTCCGTTTTTTTTTCCTCCAAACATACATTTTTTCAGTCAAGAAGAAAACAATAAAAGCAACGATGAAACGCTCCGTTTGATGACAACTCACCTAGCTGATGTAATTACTTAGTTTTGTGTTCTGTCGGAATCGATGGTCCCGAGTCAATAATTGTTGGTTGAAGATCATCTACCCGATATTGTGCGGCGACGACTTGGTAGTGTGCGGCAGCGAGCAAAGAAAGAAAACCGTGATGGACGTGGTCGAAAAACTTTGTAACATTGCCCCTGCCGTCAGTGGAAATCTGGAAAAAGCTCGCTGGCTCACGGATCGACTTTGGTATTTTTTTCTTTTTTAGACAGTATAACTTTTTCAAGCTCGGCTGCTTTTGGAGGACACCTGATAGAATGGGTTTTGAAAAGTTTAAAAAATAATCCGAGGTCAAAAATATGTTGGGTTTTTTACTTTTGACTTCATCTAAAAAAGTGGGAAAAATCTCTAATATATAAAAAAAAATTCCGACGGTTTGTACATAATTAAAAAACAACTGAATTCTCCTTGACACAAATACTAAAAATGCACAAATTTTTTCATCGAAAACTAAAATTGTTGCAACTGTTCTATTAAAAACAGAAAACAATCAATTCGGTTCTTACTGTCAGTAATTGCAATTTGCAAAAGTTTTTGTCGGAGTGGTAGTCTTCAGGTTCAAATCGAACTTTATAAAGAGAAAAAAATTATTTTTCTATCTATATACTCCATTCATTGATGTTTCGTTACAAAAGTGCCATGACACCTCTCTTTTCACGTATTTTTTTTTTCAAGTCAAATGTGAATGTAGTATAACAGTAGCTACTGCATATTTACTACCTGTGCGATATATCTTTCCAGTGCTGCTGACGGCGCGCCCCGCCCCGCTAGGTAGATAAGTTAAAATAAAGTTCAAGTGAGAAAAATTCGCATAGTAACGACTAATAAAGAGTCTATTGGTAGAAGGAAATAAAAATTCATTTATATCATTGAGTAACGTTGAAGAAATCTTCTAACAGTGTGACCGCTTCGCGGGGCGGGGCGCCCCGGTCTGATCAGCAGCTCTGTATCTTTCTTTTGATAGATATTTACATTAAAGTGTCGAGAGAGGCGTCTTCGGGCTGAAGTGTGCAAAGGGCGACGCAGTGAAGTCGCTGCGAAACGTGGTCGACATGAATCGCTGCGTTCTGAAAGGCACAGGCTACGATGGCTCTCTCTTGATCGGGCTGACGAAGCGGAGACGATTTCCCAGCGACCAAGCTCTTCTCGCCTTTCTCGCCGCCTACTTCACCGACCTCTGTTCCCTTGCCTACGTGGCGCGCAATCTTCCTCACCAGAAACTCAACAACGAGCATTTGTCAAAGTCCGACGAAAGAATCATACTCAGCTTCCTCGCTAAGTTAGACTTTATCAAGTATCACGCACTAAAAACTGATTGTGACATTGCATGTATTGAGAAACCATGTAAAATTGTAAACTTGTAAATTCCTTCAATAAGTTGCGTATTTGCGCAAAACAGACGTGAGTGAGTCGATGCCTGTTTTTTTGTTGATGCTCTCTAGCGCATGAATCTCCGCGTTTCCTTTGTCTGTTGCAATCGCCTGATGATTTCCATTATCTCGTTACGAAGTATGACTGACTTACCATGTAACAGAAGCGGCTGCCACTTTTCCCGACGTCGCTGCTCCACGTGCACGCGTCTACAATTTTCCCGTATTTCTGTAATTCTTACGGTTGATTTTGATTCGTGTATATCAAACTTCTTGTATGTCCTGATAGAGGGCCGTCGTGCCTACTGACAAATCCCAAGTGAAAATCAGCTTTCCGTTGTGAATCGAATAAAATAATGTTGAACAGCTGTACTTCCACTTCGTTAATAGGAAAAATGCGAAAAACGTTACGCTGGGCTCCATTCCACTTGAGTGACGGCTCTGCTAGAATCTTCTTTTCCCAGGGTCACAATTGGAGATTGTTTTCCAATCTTGTAAATTGCGAGCTTTCCGATGGATAGTCCTATCTGTTCCCAATTACGGCTCTTTTTAAACCTAGATAGAGCTTTACCAAAATGATAGATGAATCGAACGGGGAGATCTTCATACAAGTGACTTCTCCGTTGAGTTCTGAAAATGATGAACCCTCCTGAAGTTTTTGTCAGACAAAATACCCGCGTTTGTCCTATACGTCCTTGGACCTACATTGGACGCTTCTGCGCGAGACACGCTGTACATTATTCCAGTATCCGTACCTGTAGGACGACTCAAAGATAATCATAAATTTCAGGTTACCCATGAAAAATCGAAGAGGTCTTTGTGCGATCGTCAGACAGTTAACTATGAAAGATGGGGAACTTCTGAACGATTTTCATTGAAGAAGCTTCGCAAATGGATCTCCTACCGATAAAGATGGGGATGCGGACGTATGACGGCAGAAAGATTCAGTTTTATTTCATCGTTTCTTCTCATCACTAACCAAAAAGATAATGTACCACGAGCGTCCAATGTACACAGTTCTTCTTCGTTTCTGAGAAGAAAAGAGTACGAAAGGTTCGTTCAGACTGACGTGTGATGGCAGAGCTTGATGGATACGAGCGGAGAGGCATCTGCGATTGTCGGAGCCAAAAATGACGAATCAAAAGAAGGTCTTCGCAGCACGACATCATCGTCGCTGTCTGAGAAATCCTTTTGAAATCATAGAAATGAACTTCAAAGAACCAGGCCAGGGAAGTGTGTCATCGAAGGTAGATTCCGCAGCTAGAAGGTCGAAAGCACAGAAAGTTCCATCACGCTGAAAAATTTCTTCATAACAAATATGATTGTATCAATGAAAAGTTTAGAAAAGGTTCGAAAACTGAAATAAAAACCAAGGCGACAAAAAGGGCTGTAGATCGGGTGCTCTTGGTGATGCTCATAACTGCATCTTGCACGACGAATAATCTGAACTAAATTTTGCTGTGCTGTTCGTTCTAGATGTCCTTACTTTGAAGGAGGTCTCATGCCGTGGACAGGAAACTCTACAACGAGCCCATTGTTTGTAAGGTCTTGGGCCAGTGATTCGAAAATTTCGAATGAAACGTAAAGGGTGTCATTGTCGCCCTTGAAGACACAGGTAGCCTTGCTAGCTTGAACAGTTCGGATTAAAAAGGCCGAAGGAAATACTCGCTGACTTTTGGCGACTGCTCCCAGTTGCAGAAGGTTGAACCCAATGCTGAAGTTTAGCTCGCTCTTTTCGCGCATCTCTGTTTCTTCGAAATCGGCGGTACTTCCCAGGACTTCGTCTAACACCTAGCGAAAAAACCCACTTCAAGCCATTCTCATAAAGATTCTCAAGAACTTTTTTAGAAACGCACTTTCGGACACTGCGAGAAGTTTTTTTTTATATTTATTCCACATCTGTTCTCCTGCACAACTTTTTTTCTATTTCAATTTTTGTAGCTAATTTCTTTGTTATATTGCTATATAGTTTTTGAAGGAACATCAGCACAGCCTTATTTATAGAATCGGATTTAACCTAAGCGAAATGCACCTACTCGAGCTGCAGCGAAAAGAAAGTTGCTGAGTCGAGACCGGTCGAGAGACGTCGACGGTGCTGGCGGATCGGCGGCTGGGCATTGTGTGGCGACCGACTCGGTCTTCCTCGTCTCCGTCTGAACTTCTTCGCTCAAATCCTCGTTCCCAGTCTGAGCGTAGGCCTGAAACGCCGAAATAGTCGCGGTGCTTGCTCATCGCCTACGTGGGAGACGTTCGGCGCGGCTGCGTGCATTTTCTCTAGCATATGGTTGGGGTTGTCCAGAACTTGGCATCTCGTTATTTCGACGTCTGTAAGAAGTTTTTACTCAAAACAACTTTGATTACACTTGCTGATGAATGATTTTAGCTTGTTGAGGCGATCATTAGCACGGCTTCTCGACTCAAACTGAGGGGTTTGTGAATCGGTCAGGCTGATGGCTGCCTGTCTAGAAGGCTGTAAACGAGCTTTGAATATGTGTTTTCTTCAGAGAACACTCAATAAACTTTCGTCCTGTATATTATATTAGTTCAAAAAACAGACCACAAAAGGCTTATGATTTTCCTGTTGTAGCTGTCGTTTACTGACCCGTTTCGAAATTTCGCTCTCATATTCCGCCGTCTCAATTTCAAATATTTTGTTTTAAAGTTAACATAATTTACCTGAGGTTGACCCACAATTTCCAGAGTATTTTCCTTAGAAAATTCTTCAACTTTTTGTGAAAAGCTATCTGAAGAGGGAGAAGCATAACTGGTCGTACTTTCTGGAAGTTTTTCCACAATTTCCTCGGTCTCATCCTCAAAATCGTCCTGAGTATGCAGAAGTTTCGAGAAATAACGTATAAGTCTGTTAACCTCATAATAGGTCTCGACAACCGCCTCTTTTTCTTTTTTCTTCTTCTTGTCTTCCAAATTTTTCTTATCGCTTCGCTTTGTAGACTTTCTGAAAGTTAGTAAACGTGAAAAAAAAAATTTGGAAGTTCAAACTTGTCTTTTTCCTTGCCCTTTTTGTCACGAGAGCTCATTTTAGGGAATAATAGAAGAATCGAAAAGAAATAATGAACGCTTCCAGTGAACGCCTCCCCTCTTGGTTTGCGGTTGCCATGGCAACATCTTGCGACGTCGTTATATTAAATTAGCGTATTTGCCATCTTCACAAAAAATGTACGTCATTGTGAGACATTGTAAAAAAAACATCAAAAAATAAACCTTTTAAGAGTTTCGTCATTGTAAAACATTTACAAAACTTTGAAAAAGAAAAAGTGAGCGTGAAAAAAGAAAAAGAAAAATGATGTTATTTCCAACAGCCATGAAGGCGTCGGAACAGCTCGACGGGAAGATGAAGAAGCAGCCGGAAAAAAGTCAAGTTCCGAAGAAAAGCGCAGTAGGGAAGGTCTCGCGAAGGAGTGAGACGCGTAAGAAAAACTCGAATCCGAAGCCGTCGTTGATGTCGATGTCGCCGAAGATGCTGAGCACGTCGCTCAACGTGGAGGAGGACGAAGACGTGACAGAAGAATATGACGTCATCGGACCTCGAGTCATCGGCAAAGGAATCGCTATTGTCAACAATTACTACAGCGAGAAGAAGTTGGAGGATGGTTCGTAGCAAAATTTGCGCGGTTTCTAAAGTTAAGCGCTTTTGCAAAATACTCTTATGAGGTCGCGATGAAGTGAGCTTTGGAAGCAACATCTCAATATTTCGAAAAAATAAATTAGCGACTTTTTTGCTGCATCTCTTTTTCAACTCTTTCTTGAGCTTTTGAATTTAAAGTCCTAGCAAGAAGGAGAGCCTTGATGATAGGCGTAAAAACGTCTTTAAGACCTTTTACAGCCGCTTCCAATTGAGTCTGTTTCTGGGACTTACGACCAGGGGTTCTTTTGAAAAAAAATTGTTTTTCTCGTCAAAATTTGAACTTTTTTTTTTTGAGAGACGAGTAGCAAAAAGCATGGGAAGGAGGAAGAAGACGGTTACTTCAACGTGGAAACCGCCGCAGTCAGCCCAAAGTGCGTTAGTCCGATAGGAAGCGTCAAAAAGGTAGTTTTCTCTCTTTGTTTCATTTTAAGATAAACCTTTGTTGAAATCTCCAGCTCGCCGATACCGAGCGTTTGATGTCTCTTCCTATTCAAAAGGTACGGATCCGCAACTTCTTCTCCGACTGCTACATGGTCGTGGCGACCCTCAACATCGCTGCTTTATTGCATTTTCCAACGGTCATGATGCTCAATGGAGGAGGTCAGTCTTCTTTTACTTCCTGAGCAGATCTAGAGGGAGTTTGTCGTCTGTTTCACTGATTTAAAAAAATTAAGAAGATTTCCCGAAAAAAAGATTTTTGGTTAGAAAAAAATTTATAAAAAAATGCTTATCTATTAAAGTTTCATAATTTAAGTCTACTTCTTGATACCGTTTGTCTTGTGCACGTTTTTTATCACGATGCCGATTGGCTTCATCGAACTCGTCTTGGGTCAGTTTTCCTCGATGCCGCACATCTACCTCTTCTCCAACATCGTTCCTATTTTCACCGGTTCTTCTTCCCGTTTTCCAAGGAATTATGGTTCTTTTCCAGGATTCGGCTATATTTTGATGACAGTGCAAGTTATCGCCAGCGCTACCACAAAGTTCGAGCACAAGTATGTGCTTTGTTTTTTAAACCTCATTTCCCACCTTGAAGGTACATGTCCATGTTGATCGAGTCCATGATGCGGATGATTGCTGACGCTCGAGCTCGCTTCTGTGACATCACCAACTACGGGATACCCGGTGAGATGAACTTCGTGACGCCATAACTGGCGTCTTTCAGCCTGTTTCGATCCGAATATATGCGCTGGCAAGTCTTTTTTCTTCATGGGCAAATGCTTCAACCCGGACTATGTGTCGGCGGTCTGTCTGAAACAGGAAAGAAGCAAAGATAACTGTTGCCTGCAGAACAGTTCCTACCTGAAGACGACCAAAGTGATGATGCTCTCGCGATATTTCCTTCAGAACACGCCGGAACTCGCCCAGGTTGTCCAGCCCACAATTAACGCTCGCAGGTGAGCACTGAAGTTAAAATCCGACAATCATTTTCGATGCAGAATTTTCTCCCCGAAAAACCCGCAGGCTCATTACTTCAGTGCCATTTTTTTCTCGCTTTGCCTCGTTTTCCTGGTCGCAAGGCCTGGGCTACGGCCAGTCGCCGAGGTAACTTTATTACCTTCCAAAATAAATGTCTAAATTTCTATTCAATCAAGTCGATTTTTCATTTGAAAAATTTGGCAATGAGCCTCCGATAAATCAGTTATTGTATTGGTTTGAAGCGTCACTTGAGATCCCATTCTTTCGCATCTATCGTTTCAGTCGACGGCGTACATTTTGGGCGCGTCTGTTTTGTCCCTGATTTCATTGTTTGTAGTGCTCGTTTATTCTTGGAGGGACGAAGCTTTTGGTGTTTTTGAGGTCCGTGAGTTCCACCTTTTTCCCCAGATATCTTTTTCATCCGAAGTTTGAAAAAAAAAACTGTGAAATTAGTATCTTTAGAAGTTTTGTGAGGAAAAGTTGAAGTAAAACTCATTTTACGAAGCTCTTCTGACTTGGCGGTTCGGAGTTCCGAGAGATAAAACAAAATAATTGGAAAGGAATTTCATTCTTAGTTTCAGTTGCTTGGCTATTCAATGGAAGACTTTGCGAAGATTGCGAGCCCGGCGACTTGGTATGTCGCTTTCCTCATGGTTTGTTTCTTTTGTTCAACAAATTTCTTCGGATTTTCAGTCAATGATGTGCTTTTCGGTGGGCGAAGGCACCAGGATAACAGTGGGAGCAACTCGGAAGTTTCATAGCAACGTGTACAGGTGACTGTGAGTGGGAGTCCCCAGAAAAAAAAAGTTGAAAAAGGAAAAGAGTCAAACTTGCAACTTCTTGGGGAAATTATTTTATGCGTCTCTGTAAATCATAATTTTCTTGTCATACTGATACACTTTTTTTGCAAAGAATTTTTAACATTTGGCAGAACTATTTTAATTTAAATTGAGAGTTTCAAAGAAATCGGACGCGTATGCGCGCTTTCCATTTCACTTTATGAGAGCGATCTCAGTTACCTGAAATGGAAAAAAGGATTTTGTAAAGTATATTTTAATTCATCAGAGCAACGTTCGTTTCATTCGTTTACCCGCTGTTTTTCTTCTGTTTGACGCCGTTTATCATCGGCGCCGTGCTTTTCGGAGGAGCTAGAGTTGCATACTCAGAGGTCGAATCTCGCACTCTCAGCGTCATCGAAGCTCGTAAGTTCCTTTCTTTTCAGGAAATTTAATTATTTGATTTTTTTTTTCTATCATTCTAGGCGCCTTCGTCAGGCAGTTCGACCTGGCTTTCGACAATATTTACTACTTCTTCGAAGGATGTAGAGAGGTTGAACTTTGAGTTGTAACTTCACTGCCAGACAGTTCTCTGACTTCTATTCAACCAGTTTAGCAAAGATAGTTTTTTTTTTTCAAAATGTTCAATTCTGATATTAAAAGATATTGAAACCTAATAAATGTTGATAATAACTTCAAAAAAATATTAAATAAGGATGCACTCTAAGAAATTCATTGAGCAGTGCAGCGGGTTTTTTCTCTCTCTTCATCATCCAAATTTTCCAAAAGTCATTTTTCCCTCCACGGTTTTCCAGTTATGAACTGGTCATATATATTCTTGTGTTTGGTTGTGGATTACACGTAGTTTCAGTTGGAGGACTTCCTCTTCTTCGGTTTCGCAGTGTCTTTCTTGTCCTGGCAGGTTGCCCAGCAGGTCTTTCAAGCCTTTCAAAGCGAATCCTGATCATTTTCTTGTAGATGATCTCCGCCGAAGCTTTTATCATGCTTGCCCATCGCGCTTTCAAGTCTTTAGCTCATTTGAACGAACTGATCGTAAGGTTCTCTTCCATTCCAAGTTTTCTGTATTATTACCTGATAATTTTAGAGGTTTCGTTCTACTTGTTTATGTCACAGCAGTTGCAACGCTACACGTGAAGATGAAGGTTTGGTTTTTGGTAGAAATTTTAAGCTTTCAATTTCTATTTCTTTTAATGAGTCTATATAAAATTTTAATTCCCTTCAATGACTGATTTAAAAAAATAAGTGCTTCATAAATTCCATTATCTAAAGCGCATTCATAAGACTTGGCTAAATTTTTCCTGAGGAAGCTTGTCCTCCGCATCTCCATTCCATTTCAGTTACCAGTGTCAACAGATTCCTAAAAAGAAAAATCAATCCCATCGTTTTTTTTTTTATCTTCTCTCAAAATTTTCGCGTGAGAAACTCATGCAATGCAAGATTTATTCTACGTTTAAGCCATATTGACGCAAAAATAACTTCTAACAATTACCTGCACAGTTTACTAAAAGAATATCAATAAAATTGTTCTCAACCAGGTGGTAAACTAACAAGAAGCCGTTGCGATTTTATGTTGCGAAATCAAAAAAAAATGCCTTCGTTTTTAGCACACAGAGTTCGAAGTGCTGCTGACAGCGATGATATTCATCGTCTTCTTCGAAATCACAGTTCTCTGGTTCTACTCAATCAAAAGATTCCTTCCAAATCTCAGCGTAACTATCTCCCGATACTCTTTTCATATATATAGAAAAGCTGAATTTCAGTCGTTGCTGGAACCGAAAGAACAGGAATGGACTTACAAGTTTCGGCTTCTCTTTTTTGTAGTTTACAAAGTACTCTTGCCGCTTATTTTAACGGTATGTAAAGTAGGACGTTGACCTTTTTTTCAGAACTTTGGAGTCGCAACCATCAAAAAATTATTACAACTTTTATTTACAGCTATTCATCGGGTTGCAAATTTGGCTTTTTCACCACCCCAAGTACTATCTCGTACCAATTGTCCTCCTACCATTGTTCATCTATCGTGTGAGTTCACATGGAAAAGACCTTGTACATTTTGAAGTTAGGCGGTGAAAGAAGGCGTGAGCAGAGAATCTTGGAAGTCTTTGTTTCGTCCGACGCCCACATGGGGTCCTCTTCTCATCAAGGACCGGAAAACAGCTCAAATACAAGAACGCGCCATTCGTCTCAGTATCTAACTGCTTTTTCTATTGCCTTCTTATTCAAGATTCTGTTCATAAAAGTTTTGATCATGCTTCCGGATCCTCTTCAAAAAAGTTTGCTCAATCTTGCTTTGGTATTTACCTCTCAATTATCACGAAACAATTTAATTAAAAAAGTCAAAAATATTATTCCCGTAAATTGGAGTTATCTACAAAAAAACTTGTGTGTCCTTGAACAGTGCAATATTGTTAATAAGGGTTGCCCATGGTGAACGTGAGAATCGTTTCAAGCAGCCATTGTTCGCAGACCAGAGAATAGCGTGCAGAATTTCGGTACTTTTCGGGAACCTGGAAAACAGCTACTAAACAAAAAAACTTTTGTCTAGAATTTTCCCGGTATAGGTGATGTTCAACTCACAGCATGACGGATGCTGTACACGACGAAATTGGGACTGAGAAGTCGGTTGTGGAATGGCCATTGACATTGCTGCTCGACGTAGGAATCGCGTATAACGACTTCGCCACCGCCCTCTCGGACCAATTCCACGAGCTGCGTCCGTTCTCAACCCAATACATATTGCAAAGCCCCTCAAAGACTCACTAACCTAGCATTTCATAGCGCGGCCTCAGAAAGTAAAACTTGCATCCGGAAAAAAGTTTGGCTTCCTGGAAATATTGGTTTGTGACATTCGCCGCCTACGATGCCGCTTTCGAAGTTAATTTAAGGAATAGATTAACCCTCAGAGAGTGAACAAGACAAAAAAGATTTTAGAATCAGAGATCATTTCTATTTGGCTGAAACTACTTTGAAAGCGGAGTAACAAATAAAATGCTTAGGTTTGTAAGTTTTCATGTCATGATTTGAAAAATTGATAAGGAATACTTGCCCTGAGAAGAATATTCCTGAACAACAGCGCGAAATATTCGGAAACGTAAAAACTCAGGAATTAATTAGATCTTCCATGGAAAGAACAAAAATATTGATTCTGCTCTATTAATCAACAAACCCGTCTTTCAATGCACTTGCGCCATTTTTCGATACTCTTAGTCACGATTGGCCCTCCACTCAGAACGCGGATTTGGGAGATCTAGGAAAAACGGAATGAATTCGTGGATTTCATTTTTATTTTTCGAACTTCGTATGGTCTTTCTACCGCTTGAACTTGGCCTTCTAGACATTCTTCAAGCCAACTCAGCGAAACAATATTAATTGATCTGCAAATAGCTCAGGTTTGAGAAAAAAAAGCCTTCTCACTTCATCATAGCTTTCAAAACTGTGAACATGTTAGTTCCGTCGAGCACGAAAAGCCCCGCATCGTCGACCTCCAACGCCAAATGCGTGTACGAGAAGTCATCACGTGTCACAATCTGAAACTTCCGAAAAAGTGGAAAGATCGCCTCGAGTTAGGGCTATTTGAAGTAATAAATCTAGAAAAAAAAGGTGACGGAAAGATGTACCTGAACGTTATTCGGCAATTTCTTCTTGGCCCAACGAGTGGCCAGCGACGGATCGATGAGATGAACTTGGAAAGTTTTCGCTCGAGGCGGCATTATAACTAAGAAAATTTGTTCTGATTCGGAAGCAGGCAAAAACGAACTCGGCTGCAGGGGACGGGGCTTCTCGATATACTTTTGGCACAGATCGCGTGTCGCACGGCAGTACTGTAGACTTTCGAACGTGGTGTCGCCGCCGATATCTTTAACCTGAACGAAAATTAGTTTCAAGAAATAAGTTGAGGGTCATGAGACAAAAAAACCATTTACCAGGAAAAACGAGAAAGAAAACTAAACCTTAAGACTAGCGCCTTTTTGAAGCAAAAGCTCGATCATGTCGAAATTTTGGCAACGCGCGGCTTCGTGCAAAGCAGTTCTACATCGAGGTCCGCCTGCAAATGTTTATTAAACGTATAAGCATCACTTTTAATCGGTTAATGCACTTGTGTTTCACAGAATCGCAATCAAAAAATTGTTTTCGAGAATATAGGTACGAAAAACAGTGGCAAAGACAGAAATCTTTTCAATTGAATCCGCCCACCAAGAAAGGCATCCTCAATTATAGTCTTAGTCTATTTTCTGGAACCCTGAACCGATCTCGAATAAGAAAAACGAGAACTTTATATCGCAGAAAGTCTAAGTAAGAACGTTCAAAATACTAAAACTGACAAGCGGCATTGATAATGGCCCCGGCGTCGATGAGCATTCTCGCCGCCTCGAAGTTGTTGTTTTCTGTGGCAACGTACAGAGGCATGAATCCTCGGCTATTGCTTTCGTTCACATCTTCTCCCGCCTCAAAACCGATCCCTTCAAAGGAAGAAATACCTTCGAAACCTCAATGGCCTTCTGCAGCAGATCAGGGCGATTGTTGAGGATAGCGCTCATTATGACGTTCTCGCCGCGATGCCCAGCGACGGATTTTCTCTTTAGAACTTTTTTGTTTTCTGTGAAGGGAGTTAGGAAATTGCCTTGCTTCTCGCAGGCGACATGGACCTTCGTTTCGACCCTTCCGAAGAGATGTCTGGAGCTTCGCTGCTGGCAGAGCTCATTTTTCGGGTGAGCGTCACCTTTTTCGAGAAGGCGTCGTCATCGGCGATCAATGCTTCCTCGTCCTGATCTCATCTTTTAGAAACTTCTTGGGAGTCTGATCACCTCATGAATGAGAGACAGTCCGTCTACAGCCCTGCCCAAATGCTCGTACTTCCTGGGAGCCGGAATCGACGATCTCCTCTAAAAATCTTCTTTCACTGAGGAAAATAAATGGAAAGCCTCACCGGCACGAAAGGCGTGATGTCGTCAGCCAAGTTTTTCGCGGGCACTTGTGACATGAACAAAAGATCTGCGCCGCATGGTAGTTTCGAGAGAAAATTTTCATCGGAACTGTCCAAACGCCTCCTTTTCTTTTCCCTGCTATCTTGCGCATTCGATTTTTTGTCAGTTCTGAGTTTTTGAGAGGAAACATATATACATTCAACTCAAAACTAAGATTTTCTAGAGAAACTAACTGACGATTGAAAAACATACGAAGACTGAGGTTCTTTGATTTCTCTCAAAGGGATGTTGTTGAGATGTAATTCACCAAAAAGGTCGTACTCTGGCGACCCGCAAGCCTTTTCTCTGAAAGGGGCTACATGACGAAAACTGACTTCTGCAAAAACCAACCCTTCGTCAAAGCCCTCCAACTCTAAAAACTCTACAGGTTGCGTACACAAAAACTCTTCAATAGTTCTGAAATCAAAAGTTTTTTTGAAACAAAATATTATTTGACCTCGCTTTGAATCCCGTGTTTTCCATATTCGTTAAAATGCTTTGTGTGGCAGGAAGATTATGATCATCCTGACCCGCAGCTTTATCAAACTTCAAGAAAAAAGTTTAAAGTACGCGTTTATTAATATGGATACCTGAAGTAATAGATCGGACAATTCTTCCAAATATCCGTAACAATTGTTTAAAGTCGTCGCGCCCGATATCTTGTTGAGATCGAGCTGCAGATAACATTCGGGACAGAGAGGAAGCTTCTTGCGCTTTTTATCTGCAGATTTGAAACTCACGATACACTCCCTGAAAGAATTTCTTAATTTATTTTTAGTATTTTCTGCATATTACCAACAGAAGGCATGTTTACAAGAAGCTCCGACAAATTGAAGCTCTGAGCAACTTTTACGGCTGAAAACCATTTATATTTCCTTATTCTGATGATGAAAAAATTACCAAGATATACAATTCACAACTTCTTTGAACTGATTAACGACCTCGAGAGTGTTTGAAAAACGAAGTGTATCCGGCATCTTAATATATCTCATGTCTTCAGTGTTCCTTAAGGCTTTATCAGTACTGAAACTGCAGTTTCAAAACTTTCAAAAAAATTTTTCGACATCAAGACTTTACAAAACTGAGCTTTCTATATGTTAGTCGCATTTGCTTTAACTAAATGGCGGGAAACCGTGATTTGAATTTTTTCTAGAAAATTTTAAAAAATTTCAATGTCATGTTTATATATAATGTTTATATATAGTTCTGTGTCTCCTATATATAGGAGACACAGAACATGTTTCAAAACACAAAGGTACTTTCTCGGACCTTGGTAACGCGATCGGGACGCGAATCGGACGTGTTGGGGCATTCCTAGAGGCCACTTTAGCAGCCTCAGCTCTCTTAAGTGATCCCTAGAATCGCCCAAAAACGTCCGGAGCACGTCCGCTTCGCGTTACCAATGTCCAAGTTCATTAAAATGTTTTCATCGGCGCACCAAAGTTGCCCCGAAGCAGTACTGATTAATTTTCGAAAGTTCATTGCGTTTTCATCGGACAAAACGAAAATTGCTTCGAAACGCAAAAATTCTGATGCAAAACAAAAAATAGTACTGTTTTGGAGCAACTTTGGCGCGCCGATGAACACGATTTACGTTTTGAAGCAGTTCCGTTTCTCCGATGAACACGCCATCAATTCAGAAAAAAATGTCGAACTTCCATTTTATTCTTCATTTTTTTGTTGCAGCTCAAAACTGAATTTTCAACTTTCAGCTTGTTTTGGACTATTGAAAAATTTTCAATCACTATTTACAATTTATTGATAACAAAAAATAATTTTTCATTGGTTCTATCCTAGCAATGAAAATTTTTCAAGAAATTTTTTTCTTATTTTTCTATATATCTAAATGTTGTTCTTGCTGTATATGCTTTTTTGTAGCTCAAGCGTCTTCTATTTCTAAAAACGGTTTTTCATTGAGATGATCGTTAACTCTATATTCAAAATAGAAATCGTTTTCAGAGATTGATAGCCATCAGAGAGCTATTTTGTGATAAATGAGCAAGAAAAACAGGCTTTGCCTGGCAGCCCTCGAAGAAGCAAAAAAATGCGACGTTTCAGACGGCGGCTTCGTTGAATTTCTCAAAAAAGCAACAGACCAACAAGTGAAGGATGATTTGTCAGTGGGAACCTTTTTTTCAACTTTTATGTATGGAACTTCAGCGGAGATTACATTGATAAAGGGACACTGCCATTCGTTTTCAGCGATGAACCAGTTCGAAGATTTTTGCAGGCTGCCCGATTTCTGGTTTATTTATTCATTACGTCACTTCTAGAACGTATATTGCTTTCAGTACAATAAAAAGAGCTCCACGGACAAAGTTTATTGGGAACATCTTGCCAGATTCAATGCTGTTTATGACGGTTTTTCTTGTTCCATCAAAAAAATATATTTATTCTCTTCTGTTTTGGAGGAAATGATAATGTTATGCCGCAAAGTGAGACTATCCGATACATGGCGATGCCGAAGTCGTTTTCAACAATGTTCGATTCATTTTTCAAACACAATCTTGATTTTTTTTTTTCCAGAAAAAAGGCTTTAGAGGCTTTCAACGTACTGTGCGGTCGATGTAAAAAAGAACAGGAAATAGTGGTTCGATTCAAAGATTTCGATGCTTTTTTGGTGAAAGATAATATGAGAATAATAATTTTCAGAATTTTCAGAAACACATGATTTCATTTCACCCTAACTATGTGGTAGATTTTTTCGTGTGTTCGGAATGCAAAGACGGATTCTTGTGTCACGATGATTTTCGGAGACATTTCCGTAAAAATCACAGTACTTCTGAAGGGGTTTGTTTGACTTTTTCATGTTTGTTTGATTTTTCTTTTTGAAATTTCTTTGAAATTATCTCTTGAATGTTTTTTTCAAGCTTCTTGATTGAAGCAGTTTAGCGGCAGTATTACTCATTTCAGAGGAGAGCTTTTTCGTCTTTTTACGTTTTTTGCGAACAATGTGGGTTGAGCGCCCTACTGCAATCTTCGGAAGTGGACTCTACTCAGCTTTGGAGTCGCTTTATTGAGTTCTATGTCAGTTTTTGATTTCAATAGAAAAAGGTGAAAATCGTGAAGTTCTTCTTCCGCTTTTTTGGATTTTGCTTACGTTTCCAGATTCAATTAATTAATAAAGGTAGCAGGGTGCACCTTTTTTTTGAATAAATGAAAACGGTTTTGACAATAACGTTCAAAAATTGCGAAAACTTTTGAATTTACAAAATGCCGCATTGTGAAGTTCCAAACAGTGGGATAGCGGCTATAACCAGTTGATAATGATATTTTTTGTAGAAATACCACATTAATGACGAGCTACGCTTACTCACAGTTTGGAGCTCTTCATCTAAAGATCCATCGAAACATTCTCTGTTTTCATATAATTCCTGCGATCAATGTGAGTTTATTGATCCTGTCATTTTTCCAATCAATCTACACAGATTCATACGACTTGCCCGTTCATAAAAGTGGGATTTGTCCGGATTGTGGGGTTAGTTGCAGCTCCAACGTTGAAAAGAAGTGAGTTTCGAAGATGTTTCTCATGTTTTCTGATTTTATTTTTCAGAAAGCATTCACTTGAAAAGCATTTTCCTCACGCAATATTGGCTCTTCTGTTTTGCTCCAAGGTGAGATAACTAAGTTTCGTTCTCTCTAGTATCTGTGTGATCTTTTCTTAAGAACGAGAGATCGACGGACACGGAAATAGTGAAATCGGAGCATTTCCCACAGCCGGCAGTTTTCTTCTCCGACGGTCAGACTTTGAGGCAGGAACTCAAGGCCAGTGCATATTCCTTGGCTAGTGGCCGTACAGAAATGGCCAAATTGCGGAAAAAGTCGTTTTCTTTCATAAGTCTTCAAAAGTGCTCAGTTCAGGGTTTTTTTCTGCACCAAATGTTGTCTGGTCGCAAACGGAGAACGCGTTGTTAACCGTCATCTCGCGGAATGTGCCGGAATAGAAGAGGAAGACGTTTTCTGGCTCGAGTATGAAATGCCACAGCATGTGAGTTAGAGGTTTTGTTGAACTTCTTTTTGTGAATAATCAGCATTCGACAAAAAATTCATTCTATTGGAAAAAGCCATGGGCCTAATTTCACACTAAATTTTAATTTTATGTATTCTGTGAAAATTTAAGAAAAATTATCATTTACTCGCATTCACAAAAAAATGTTCTTTTGAAAGTTTTTCTTTTTTTCGTTTTTTCCTTGTGCAGAAAACTGGAACATTAATTTCATTTGGTTCAATTCCCTCGTCGTACGCCTCCCTCTCAAAAGGAGTGATTTATCGATTGCAGATGATCCCTTTGAACGCTGGAGCATCTGGGTTGCACTGTAAAGTGCCTTGTATGAATTGCGAAGAAATGCTTTGCTCTGTGGAAGGACTCCGCGTTCATTATCTTCTGAAACACAACTCTTTCTGTTCTTATGTGGAAGATGAAAAAGGTAGTCTCGTGTCACTTGCCCAATAAAATTTTTTTGCAGACACTTCTTGGCGGTGCCCCCCTACTCACGAGGCATATAGACGGGAAATCGACAAAAAAATTGGATTGATTCCAATCGAAGAAATGAAATCGGACCGAGAAACGACAGGTGAGGGGTTCTTAGTTTGACACGGGTTCTCTCCATCTTTTTGTTTAATTTTTGTTTTCAGCTTCTGAGAAAAATTGTTCTCGAACAGTTTCAGAGGAGTCGATCGCGAATGCGACAATGTTCCGTAGTTTAATACAAGGTTTTCTTTTATATTTTTCATTTTGAGTGTCTTCGAAACCCAGAGGAAAACGTGGATGAGGAGCCCAACATACTTCGAGAAAAAACGAAAGAAGAAGCTGAACCTCCGTGTCAAATAAGTAAAGTTTTCGCGGATTTTTTTCCTATTTCTTTTTTGAGAAGTGCTTATGAGTAATGAGAAATCGGAATTTTTTAAGGCTACGACGATGACATTACGGTTTTGAGTGATAGCAGTGAGCCTGCAGGTGAAGATCAGAGTTACGGAAACCCTGGAACGAGTTTGGCCCGAAAACTTCTCAGTTGAAATATGAGTTTTCTAGGCTCTGCAATATCCGACGAGAAAAACTTTTCCAATCCAGCTTGCACAGACGTGCAGGTTTCCTAATTTCAAAACTAAGACCAATGGGAAAACTCTTTACAGGCTCCGGAAACCAATATGGAAGATGTCGCTGCCGGATCTCCCTCAAACGGTTCCAAAGATGATGCAGAAATGCAAATTGTCGGCGAAACGAGCGATGACAATATTATCGTTGAGACCCAAGTGAGTTTATTCCAAAGAAAGGAAAATAAAGCGGGTTCGCAGGGACCACGAAACGCGCCAATCGAAGAGGCGATTGATGATGATCTGATCATTATTTCATCCGCAGTGTACGTCTTGGACTTGTTGCAACAATATAATCGGGTTTTTTTCAGGGAAAAGAAAGTTAAAGGGCGCGCAAAAAAGTACCAGTGTAAAACTTGCAGTGCAGGCTTCTACAAGATGGCCAGTTTGGAGGAGCATGAAAGAGAACACAATCTGGACATGGGCAAGGCTTTGTATGAGGAGGTACATTTCTTCCAGTCGGCTCCAACAAGTTAATGGGTACCTATAACAACAAAGAATATACATGACCGTATCGCAACAGATAGCAAACTATATCTACTCTACAAATATTCTCTATTTCTAAAGCGAGCTGGTCAAAGAAAACTTTCAATTAACTGACTCTATTTGAGCAAGTCGTTGGAATGTTTCAGGACTATGGTCTGCCCAGAAAAGCTTTCGTTTACATTTGCCAACTTTGCGTCGCTGGATTCGAAAGCAAGGCGCAACATGCGGATCACATGGAGAGACACCGGCTATATCGCCATGTCCTCATGTTCGTGAACAACCGAAAAATGTCCCGATTTCATGAAAGTCTTTTCAGTTCCTGTCCGTCTTGCTTCGCGACTTTTTTAAGCTACGACACTCTTCATGAACATCAGAAACTGCACATCTCCAAAAAACTTTTCTTCAAATGCACCTTGTGTACGCCTCTTCCAGCCCCTGTTTTTCACTCAGTAAGTTATTATTTATACATATTATACACCAGAAAAGAGTCTGACGACAGACCTCGGCAACTAACGAAAAATGTTTTAAAAAAATGGAGCAAGGACATTTCTAAGTATAGAGAAAGGCTTTAAATAAAAATCAGTCACTATTTTCTTTTAGACATAAATTAATCGACTAGGCGGCAAACAAAAACTTTTAAAGCTATAACGAACAATCGCATCTGACGATTGTCCGTTATAGTCCAAACGTGTAGTAGATCAAGTTGAAATCAGGCCCTCGTTTTTTTCTGCGCGTAGCTCATCCGGATGCGCCTCCAATACAACTTTTGTGGAATTCGAATAATATAAAGTGTAATATTCAAAAAACGTTCTTGGAAGGGATTTTTGCTGCAGTAGGGGGGAGCTCTGAAGCCGTATGCACTGGAGAGAAAAAAGATCTTTATGCCGTGTTCAAAGTAATTTCCGCGAAATGCAAAATGATCTCTGACTCTCCAAAATTTAGTGATCTTTTCGTTTCTCTAACGGGTATTTTGCATTTCGCGGAAATTACTTTGAACACGGCATTAAAAAAAACCTTTTCTTTTTGCGCGCAAACGGCCTTAGGTATGGGAAAATGGATTTCGGAAAAACCTGTTAACCTAATGTACTGTTCATAAACAAAAAAAAATCACAAAAAATACTCTTGCAAAAGTTTTTCATGAAAATTTTTTTGAAATTCTATTAAACCATTTTTTTTTTTTTGAAATTTTTATTAGTTTGAATTGAACTATCTCTGACTGCGTTATCGCTCCAATTTCCGATTTATCGTATGTTGAGGACTCCCAATTGATGCACCACACGCATATGTATCACGGCGCATCGGTTCTCTTCATCTGCATGGGCTGTTCTTTGGGCGTCTGCGGACTCGAGGCCCAGTTTGTCGATCACATCAAGAGTTGCCCAGGAATCAGGGTCTTCCTTCTTAGTTCAATTCTCATTCGCTTTTCTCTGTTTCAGATGCTTCCGCCGATTCCGCTACAGGCGAGAGTCGCCGTTTTTTCAGTGAATTCCATCCGCTACCAACCGGTAAACGAAAATGCATATCTCCAGCACCGCGAAGCCAATCCTGTTCGTTTGAAAGCTTTTCAATTAATTACACGAAAAAAAAAAATTAAGATAGACGATTTTTTTCTAGGGTCTGTACCACATCCCAAGCAGATGCACTCATGTTTCATTTCTCCGGTTCGGAAGCGCCTTTGCCGTTTGTAGAGAGCCCAATTGTTTCGGATTGGTGAGAAAATTCATTGAAAAGAGGATGAAAATATTTTCAACGAACTCCAGGTTTCCCCACATGCTTTTGATATTCATGATAAGCCTCCATTCATCGAAGAAGAACATTTCCATGGAAAGGGGATCATCGAATGGCTTTTCCAACAAGTTGAATCGGGTCTTCAGGTTGGAAAATCTGTCGTTCCTTCTAAAAAGTTTTTTGCATCAATTCAAATCTCAAACCAAGTTGGCATGCGCCTTTCTCATAAAAGTTATCAGTGCGTTGCATAAAAGTCTCATCACCTTTTTTCTTCACTTAACACAACGACAAAGAGATATTGATGTATCAAATAAAGCGAAATTCCTAAAAAAAAAAAATAGAATGTTCACATTCAAAACAAAAATAAAAATTTTTTCTAAACTAGAAATTTTAAAAGGATGCTCTAATCGCTGAAAAATTCGGATCATTTTCTAATCAGGCCAATGGCCTTCATTCATAGTAGGAATATTCTTCAATCTTTCGTAAATATCTAATTCAAAAACTTCTGATTTGATAAGAAAATTAAGTCTTTTTGAACTTTGACCTAGAAGTTTGCTCACTTTTCCGTTTATTTACAGCAACCGTGCGCGATTTGTCTAGACCAGTCAGTTATTTGGCCGGTCCGTTACATGATTCCGATACCTTCGAGCGAAAAAGAACGCAAAATGTGGAAGTTCATTCTTCAGTCTGACTTCAACGCTTACAGAATAACACCGGTCCGATTGGATTCCTTTCCAGAAATGACTTCTTTTTGCAGCGGTCGCCGCTTCCGAACCAAGGATACCTCTGTTTCGCCCACTTCAGTCCTTTCGCTCTCATCCCTACAAACGACTCTTTACAGCTCTTCAGAGTGGCTGCGAATGAAGTCCCTCGTTTCAATTTTGCCAAGGCGATCGTCTTCGAAAGTCCTTTCGAGTTCGCTTTTCCAGAGTATCTTGCTGTTCGTTTCGTTCTATTATTCAACCTTGCGGGAAAAAAATACCCTAGCGCCAGCTTTGTTCGAAATAAAAAAGTTTAAAGAAGTGCAAAATTTTAAATTTGACAACAATTTTCCAGTTTCTCGATCATTTTCATCGTAACAAAACAGTTCACGAACATGTAGCTTTGATGCTTTAAATTTTTTACTAAAAAAATATTTAAATCCAACGAGCTAGCTGCCTTCTCAAAGTCAAATATTGTTTTTTTGAGAAAAGCTGGCCAAAATTTGCAAGCACTTTACCAGATGGCCATAGAAGAAGATGGACAAATCAATTCCTATTTTTAAATTTAAATTCGAAAAGTTACGCAGCATTAACTTTTGCCGAAAAAAGTTGGAAACTATTCGAACATACTTTTAATTGATTTCGAAAGAGTGGAATTCGTGCTGTTTAGTTTCTTACTTCATTTCAAATATTTTTCTTCTCGTGTTAAAGTTTCTTTTCCTTCGAGACTTGAGAGAAATGGGAAGATTGGAACTTTTCAGCATTTGAAAAACAATTATGAAGTAGCTTAATGGGTGAATGAAGCTTTGTATAATATTTCGAAGAACAAAATGGGCGTTTGTTTTGAAAGTTAAGAAGAGATTTTTCAGCAAGTGCAGAAGGACGTCTTGTCTCAAGAGGGTCTGGATTTCATCAGGAAAGTCTCCAAATGTGCATTGGTTAGTGGCGGAATAGATGGTAAATGACCGAAAACTATAAGCATAATTTTTTGAAAAAAAGATTTAAATTAAAAAAGATAGATCGTCACATATGTGTAAATAGGAATCTCGAAGAAAAAAGCAAGGGATAATTTTATATTTAGTTCTTTTGAATTTTGGCGCAACCTTTCCGCGTCTGCGGTTTTTTTTAAAAAATTTCATTGTTTTTCCGTCAGTGCAGACTTTCTTTGCGAAACTTGAAATAAAAAATTTAAAAAATTGAATAATAAATGTTGCTACCTTTTCCTTGAAGTAAAGATTTTAAACGGTGAAAAATGTCCCATCTAGTTCAATTACTCTGGACTTGTTCCTTGAATATGTTTGTCACATACACAGTGATGAATCGTCACAATTTTTGATTGGCTTTGCAGTGTCGTGGGTTCATTAGATCTTCGATGGAAAGTTTCATACACCGATGTCATCCGGGAGCCAGATACCTCTGCACTCTTTGTCCTTTACCGCACGCGCTCCGAGAAGAACAGCACATTGTCCATTTCCTGAATCACCGTGAGACTTTCCATAGGAACTCAAAACTTGATATCGCTTTTCTGAAACTTGTGACTTAAGTGTTCTCAAAAGTATGCACAAGAAGTTAAATGAGTTTAGAAGGGTGTTTTACAACAGAAGTTTTCTTTATACATAAGTCTTTCTAGAGAAACAAATCTAGTTGCTTAGTAATATATGGAGCTTTGAAAAACTCCCCAATATGGAAAAAGAAGTCAAAATTTTTACATTACCATGAATGAGACATAAGAATTTTTTGTGTCTAGTTTGAACTCTTTGGGAAAGTTTATTTTTTCAACTTCTCAAAAGTTGGCATTAAGGGAATACATTTTATTTATGGCTCTATCTATAAAAATACTGTTCCATTTCATACGCATTGGAATGTTTCTCTTCACAAACCAACGCTCTTGTTTTTCAACTCGAAAGTAATTATTTGAGGCGAGATAGACTTCCCAATGATCACGCTGATGGAATGTCCTTTCTGTCAACCTGGAGAATCGTCTTTGTACCCGCATCAAGAGTCTCTGAAAAAACATTTGGTGGACCATCACAAGTGGACCGATTATTGCTCACAGTTGGTTTTTAACTTTTTGTGTTTCTGTGTAATATTCAAGGATGTGCGGTAAAACGTTTTGAAATGGAACTAGAGGTAAACTTTTTGATTAAATATGAGAAGCGAATCGAAGAGAAGCAAAGATTAAAATGTCCGAAATTTTTCAAAGTGTAATGATTTTTTGCAAAATCTGTTAGAAGAACTACAAAAATGAAATATTTCCAAGCAGTGCAAAACAAAAATTGCTGCCCATCTCTCATAGGAAAAAGGAAAAAGAAGACCTAATCCTTGATTCTTAGTTGCAACTTGCCAATGTGTACCGTGGAGGCGAAACAGAGACACGAACTTCAGCATGTACTGAGCAAGTGAGTAGATTCATTTTATCGGTTGCGGCGAAATCGAGGCTATTTTATTTTTCTCGAAAGAATCTAGCGGAGAAATGTCCCTTTATGGAAAAATGTCTTGAGGAGCGCATGGTGCTGTTGTTACTGCGGCCTCATCGACAGCCGCATAGTTTCTGAGAGGGATCGTTATACCCATTATTTGTTCCATTCTGTCTCCGAAGTCTTCCGTTGCAGATACTGTCTGGCCATTTGTGAGAGTTCCGTGCAGGTCGGTGATCTCCTCTTTCAAAAAAAAAAAATCGCAAAGTCTTCAGGTCGAAGCACATTTCCGCGAGTCTCATTGCGTGGGCACTTATTGCCGACTTTGCCCCAGAACCATCGCCACAGCCAACCATATTTTCGAAAGACACATGGTACGCGCCTAAAATTTTTTTTGACAGATGATTTGATTTTAAAAAAAAACTTCAGTTCTTCGGTTACATTGAACTCAAGAAATTGGGCCATATGGTCTTTGCGGAAACTGTAGAACTTTAATTTTTCCGTCTTTCAAGTTTTTCTCCGGGGGACAATAATATTTCCACAGCTTTACATAGGTGTAGAAAAAGTGAAAAAATTTTTAAAGTGGACTCCAAACTTCTTTTTTTTTTTGAGTTTTACCTACTCCTCTGCACTATCAGCAGAGTGGGCGCTATGAAATCTAGTAATGATCGGCGAAGATTTTGTTTTTTTTTTTGTGTAAAACCGGATTGCCCCAAATTTCTAAGGTCAGAATTTTCAAATCGTAGATTTGAAAAAAAAAATCCAGTCTTTTTTCCTTGTTGTTGATATCGGCACCGTTTATATTTGGTAAGATTTGAAATTTTCAGTTGACGTTGCTCTCCCTGCGACGAACAGAAAACGGAACCGTCTGTCCTCGGGCCGACGTTATTGCCCTGAGATCAGTCGTCGGCCTATCAGCCAACTCCCCTCCGGTCTTTTCGAGCAAATAGATATTTTTTTCAATTTCTGTCTTCGTCTCACCCACTTTACAGTTCTTATAGCGTTTCACGCTTTTTATTTTTTCGATTTTAACTAGGGAACTCGGGTTTTTACAAAATTCTAATAAAACGTTGTACTTTTATACCGGTATACCTGAATCAAATGTTTATTGTTTTTTATTGGATCTCACCTCGCCTTGATACCTGTGAAATGATTTCTGAAAATAAAATGATGTATTTTCACTTTTTTCTTCTCTGTTACACTCGCTAAACGATCAACCATGTTATATATTTGATTAGAAAAAAAAAATCGGGAAAAGAAGATCGTTTTCAGACAGAATGACGCGCTTTCCAGATATCGACAGTTATTTCTCAGAACTGCAAAGGTTTCAGTTTCAACCGACTTGTAAAAAAAAATTCGAAGTTATAACTCGTCCGTCTAAAGCTGAGAATGTTCAAATCCCATGGCTTTCAGTAGCTAATAAAACACTATTTTTTGAACAAAACTCGATTCAGGTTGATCAATTCGTACGACTGGAACCGAGCACAAACCGCGTCGAGCCTATTTTCCATGGAGGACGACCACAGCTACCTACCGTACCTCCAAGTGATCCCTACAGTCATTTCGAAAGAACAACGGAGCTTGAAGGTGGAAAGCTACGGGAGTCGGACTCGAAGAAGTCGCCTCAACGACGAGGTCTTCGACGAGATGACGTGTCTCCATCTGCACGTCCTCTACTGCGTCCACGTCGCCAACGACTTCGTCTCCGCCCACTCCACCCAGATTCAGGCACTTGTTCATCGGACTCGATCAAAGACCGTCAAAGATATCGAATCAAAACATTCTGAAAAAAAGAAAAACTATTAAGTTCAAAGATAAATGTGTAAGAAGTTCGATAAGATTTTGTTGAACTTTGGCACAGGCTTTTTGAAGTATTATGCCAATTCAAGAAAAAAAAAATTGAGCTGATATAGCCTGTGTACCACGACTTGGAATTTCACCAAACGACATTCCGCTGTGCCTTTGCGAAACTTGGTCGCGAATTTTCTTTTTTTTTTATTAAGGTACTCTACTTTCATGTGCGTCCACAGTAATAACAATCAATTGAAAGCGTGACCTAGATTCGAAAGACGCTTCGCGAACGCACGCAGCGGAACAGCGGAATGTCGTTCGCTGAAATTTCAAGTCGTGTCACACAGACTATAAAAAAAAGACGAATGTATCACATCTTATAAGGGAGATCATTTTACTTTGCGGTTGGGAATTTCCTGAAAATTTGTCCTAATATCCGTTGAAGTACCAAATTAAGGCCTTGAAAGTCTCAATCTGCACAACTTCCTAGTTTTCAAGAAATAAGGACTCAAAGCCCCCCAAAATGGCCTTTTTGACTGTTTGTGAAGGTTTTCTTTGACTTGAAGCCTTTATTTCTCAAAAACTAGGGAGTTGTGCAGCTTGAGGCTTTAGGAGTTCTTTTTGATACTTTTTGATATGACCTTCCTTGTTAGTGATTTGTTTTGCAGATAGTCCAGTTGTTCAACAAAGAGATCCTGCAGAAACGAAAGGAGGAGAACTGGTTCATGCCGATTTTCTACCAGCTCTGCACGGACCTGCGGATTCTGTCCAAAGAGGTCTCCCTCCTTTGTCCCTCCGGACGTCCGCAGCTTCCAGGCAGAAGACGTCTCGTCGCAGAACGACGACGGCGAGGCGATGACGTCATTCTACGAACAGGCCGCCAATTGTCTTATGGAATGTTACAGAGCCTGTGTTTCCGACGTGTGAGTTCCCATCGATGCTTTTTTTAAGCCTTAGAGGATCCAGAACTGGATGGTTCCGCTAAAATTCAATCTGAATCTTCGAACGATATGAACTTGTTCATTTTGAAGTCGGTCTGTAAAAGTAAGTATCAACACGACTAATGAGGTCTGATAACTTCTTGGGATAACTTCGATTCGGGATTTTCTCAGGGAAGACGCGGAAACTTCGATCTTTTTCAAAGACACGTTTTTTTCCTTCTAATGTTTTTTTCAGCCGCACGGAAATTCATTCTTCGAAAAAAGTGGCCATGCTCAACCTGACGAATCAACTTTTCCGGATATATTTCAAAGTGAGACTTCATTTCGAGTGAAGGGATTATTTATCTTAAAAGATTGGAAAACCAGAGGCAAGATAAAATTATATTTTTTCTCACCTATTTTGGTCTTTCATTTGAAGAAGCGACATGCGGAAATTGTCGAAAATTGCTTAAAATGAATCGGAGACAGAAAATGGGGCTTAGACTTCAAACTTCTCGTCGATTCTCACCTCAGTCCTACTATCAGGATAATTTTCAATGTGTGCATTATACTAATTAAGAAAAATGATTTCTAATGAGGCAGGGAATGCTACGATTTTTCTCAAAAGTGCTTCCAGATCAACAAACTGAACCTTCTCAAGCCTCTGATCCGTGCCATCGAAAACTGCGGTCCTCTGTACCAGGAATTCTCGATGGCCGACAAAGTCACCTATAACTACTACCTTGGTCGGAAAGCCATGTTCGACGCAGACCTGCCTCTCGGTTTGCAGATAGTTTTCATTTTGATTGCGATCTTTAAACTTTTTAGCGGAAAAGTCTCTAAACTACGCGTTCCGAAATTGCCCGCGCGACTGCATGTCCAATAAACGACGAGTTTTGATCTACCTGATCCCCGTGAAAATGTTCCTCGGCCACATGCCGACACACCGTTTGCTCCACGACTACAAGCTCGACGAATTCGAAGAGGTCCATTCCTTTTCCAGAAACCACGACTGAATTTCTTCTCAGGTGGTGGAAGCAGTGAAGGACGGGAACTTGGGTCGTTTGGACAGAGCCCTCGAGCAGCACGAGAAGTTCTTCATCAAGTCGGGAATCTTCCTGATGCTTGAGAAACTTCGATCGATCACCTTCAGAACGCTTTTCAAGAAAGTGTGGGTGGTCGGGGCGGACGCATGTCTACTCAGCCTTCCTTTCAGATGCTCCTTGCTCGGCGGCTCCATTTTTCTGCTCGAAGTGTTTCTCTGCGCGTTGTCCTTCGCCCAGGTGAACGATGTCGACGTTTGCGAACTCGAGTGTATTATGGCCAACCTCATCGCCGAGGTTTCTTTTCCTTTCAGACCGGAAAGCAAAAATATATAGCTTCGCTGTATTAGCTAAGCATCCAGAGAGTTGAGTACTTTTTGAAACCTTCAGAAAAAGATCAAAGGGTACATTTCCCACCAACACGGAAAGCTCGTCATCAGCAAGAAACAAGAAGCGTTTCCGGCGCTTTCTTCGATCTCAGCAGCAATTTGAAGCGCAGGGCGCGCAATTTTATTTTTACATCCTTGACAAATCAAAATGAACATTTTTCACTCTTTATCACAATTTTCACAAGAAAAAGGGCAAATCTCATCGCGTATTTCTTCACGATCGCAGTGCGAGAAGAGGACTAGAAATCGGCATCGCCAGTTTTTGTCCTCGCATTTTTCTGCCTATCAAAACTTTCTTAGAAAATTTTTTTTGTTTCATCATTTTTCAATGATAACATTTAAGCGAAGAAATTGAAGCGAACACGTAGTAAGACACGCACGAAAACGTGAAACAAGAAGTAACGTAGAAACATATCATATCACAGTCTGGTGACAAAGATATAAAAGAACTAGTGAACTGAAAAATAAAACAGATTGAAAGACCCGGAAAAGACTTAAGACACGTTCTGATGCTTGGAACAAAAAGAAAAGCGAAGCGAGATCAGCCGAAGATCATAATTCGACGGTTAGTGGCGACTTTGGACACCTGAGGCTGCTGCTGCTGCAAACCAAGAATTCACGTTGTTATCTTGTCCGTTGCTCCTATAAAGGGGAGAAAAAAGAAAACTCAAAAACGAGCAAACTAATATATTAGTATTAAGCTGATGTCACGGGAAAACTCACAGAAGTTATTTGATTTGTGCTGATTTGCTGGTTATTATTATTGTTGTTGTTTTTGTTGTTGTTGTTGTTGTTGTTGCACTGGTAGAGTTTGTTGATCTTGCGCACGTCGATGTTGGAGAAGGCCACCCGTTGACCCATCCGTTCTGCGCCTCCCTTCAATCATTCCGGTTTCGAGTGGAAAAAGAGCAGCTTACTCATAAAATACTGAAAATTACCTTTCTAGAGCACGAAAAACTTAATTAATGGGAAAAAACTGTCTTCTGCTTCAGCACACTGATAATAAAATGAAAGACGAAAGACGAAAACATTGAAAATTGATTTCTTGAAAAAAAAAAGTGGCAACTTTAGGTGGAAGAAATCGGTTCATTATGAATTAACCTTATTTTGAAGAGATCACCTGTCGCGGAACGATCGTCTTTTTGCCGGAGCCGCTAAACGCATAAGGACCGTAATGCATGATGGAGGAGAAGTCGTAAGGTTCATCGAGATGCGAAATCACGTTCAGGTTGTACTTTTCGAACTGGTCATCAGCGCCGTTGACCACGTTCCTCCAGACTATTTCGACGAAGCTGTCGCGGTCTTGTCTGTCGGTTCATTGGATGGCAATTCCTTTCTCGGAGGCTATGTACCTGCTCTGTTCGTGAAAGAAGCCGACAGCGTGCATGAGTTCGTGGACGATCGTGCCGACTTGGATGCAGCCCGAGTCGAGTGAAACCGGTTGTTTCCCGCCAGTTCTGCGAGATGAGTTGAAACTAGGGAGTTTCTGAGAAGAACCGACTTTCCGACAAGGCTGTAGCAACCGTCGTCGGGATGGATGTAGAGGTAGTCAGGGTGACGGGCTGGGTCACGGGCAACGAATTTCACGCATGTTTTTGTGTGATACTCCTAGAGGACGTTCAGAGAGTACTCAGCAAGTTTGAGCAGTACCTTCATGGCGTTGGCGATGACAGAGCGAGCGTAGGCGCCATATTGAGAAGACAGCGTGTAAGGAATCTCGGCGTTCGGCCAGCGTCTGTGAGGAAAAATGATTTCTGAAGAAGATCGAACACACCTGTAGGCTTGTCGGATGGCGTTGCGCGAAAGTTGGTTGTTGTCCTCGGCAAACTTTTTTGGACTCTCGAGTGCAATGTCGCCTTCGCTGTAATTGCCCATCGTCGGGTCGTCCTTCACTTTGATGCCTGAGGCCAAGGTTTCCCTCTAGTGATTATGAGTGGTACAGACCTAGGTTGTGCAGCTGGAAGCGCGAGTGGAGGTCGTTGTCGAAGTCGCTCGCCTCTAGAGTCGTCTCGAACTCTACCGTGTTCTTGTTAACCACCTGCAAACATCTGGACGAATAGAATAGCTTTTTTTCTTTTTCATTTTTCAAAAAAAATATTAAAATATTGATGATAAAAGCTTCTGGCGCATACAGTACGATGAGATAAAATCTTGGTTCAAATACCTGTCAAACTTTTTTCATTGGAACTTTGAGGGATCTGTTAATTTAACTTCAAAAGGTTTTTTCAACCAGCACCAAGTGAGGGCAAAATCAGAGAATGGATTAGATAGGCGATGTGTGATAGAGTTACAATGAATAAAGACTCACATCTCTGGAAGTGAGAACTGAGGCGCCGGAGCAGACGGCTGGAAGGAGCGCTAGGAGGAGTCCGAGCATCACAGGATGTGGGTCTGATGCAGCTGGACCGTGGCTATTTATTCCGTCGACGCGTCGCTCGACGGAAGTGATTAAACCGCCGTCGCAGGCTTTTAAGATTTGTTTGCGGACATTAACTCGCCGAGTACTGCTGTGAGTGACCCGCGGCTGTTTGCACTTCGAATCGACACGCCGCAGATGACCAGCACCGCTCAGGCGACTCATCGCACGGCTGTTCCTTTCAGAAGTTCAGCACCTGGGTAGACATCCCAACAGACGACGTTCCAATAGGCTCGCCCAATGACCAGAAGCACGTCGGCAGTTTTTACGAGTTGCCAAAGGAGTGCGAGCGAATTCGACGACAAAGAAGAGGGAAAACGGGTTCAAGTGCGAAGAACGCTTTCGGCCTTTTTCTTCACTTTGTTTGGATGCTGCCACCTTTCCTCCTAACCGTTTCACTTTTATTTCGCGTCAACTCCCCAAGGGAAAATTTATTCACATGATGAAGATGGAATTGTTGTTACTAGCTTTTTTTAAATGAGAATTTTCTCGCGGCACGAGAAAATCACTAGGTTCGTGTTTAGTATGTAAAAAAGGGGTGACTAAGAAATAGATCACGTGGAAAATTAGACCACTATATAAGGGTCTAATTCCACTGATCATCAATTCAATATTCACTCAACTCAACGCCCTCTCCAATTCCAAATCGCCCTCGCCATCATCGCACGACGACGACAGCGAGTAGCAGCCACCTTCGACTACTTTTACGTATTGCTTTTAAAGCGTTTGCGACTCGGATAGAACAGAATACACTCCCAATATTTATTTCTATTTGGGAATGTAAAATTAGTCGAAGGTGGCTGCTACTCGCTGTCGTCGTCGTGCGATGATGGCGAGGGCGATTTGGAATTGGAGAGCGCGTTGAGTTGAGTGAATATTGAATTGATGATCAGTGGAATTAGACCCTTATATAGTGGTCTAATCTTCCACGTGATCTATTTCTTAGTCACGCCTTTTTTACATACTCAACAGTTCGTTGCGTGAATTTTTAAATCTCAATATAATCAATGTAACACCTTGACTATCGGATATGAAAAAGGTGTTATTTTTGAAAGTGAACATGATCAATTTATGAAATTAGAGAGATTTCTACGCCACTGAGAGCTCGAAGAACAAAACCGAAACATCCATTTCTTGATGTGTTCTTCTCCCGGAACGCCTCACCATTTCATTTTCAAAATGACCTAATTGTCTTTTACCTTGCTTGTATGGTATTCAATTCGTTTCATCCTTTTCAACTTTTATCACTTCAAATTTTTATGTGACCGTGAGAAAAAACAAAAACTATCAACCGAGAAGGAAGTATCGAAAAAAGAGCCGCAACGAGGGTGATGGCCGGGACAACGGAATTTGAAATTCACTTCTCATCGGCTCGTGCACCCGCTTTACTGTCAGATTAGATAAATATGAAAAACTAATACAGGATCTAAGTACCCGTGCAAAGAAGTTGAGCCCTTATTAATTTTGGACAAAACTTCGGTGGCAAGTCAATGAATGCTGTAAACATGCGCTAGGTGAGAAGAAAAAGACATGACTGGCACACATTCGTAATATTGAAAACAGCAATCTTCTACACGCAGCAAAGTTCAGTTATTGAAGTGAAAAAAAATTGAATACATTGACGGGCAAAAAAGCTCAAGCTTCTACTTTTTTTTAAAATTAAAATCATTTTTCCCCTTGTCTTTCTATTTCATGATGAAATTTGAGACATATTGGACAAATTCTTCACACAGAAGCTTTGATTCCAAAATGGCCCACTAAAGCAGCAATTAAGACCGTCTCTGTAATTGAAAAATATACATCAATGCAAAAAAAAGTGGATCACGAACAAAAGTGGATCTGGAACCAGAGAGAAAATTCTCAAACGAAAAATGTATTCATTTGCCTATAACCCGCTGGTAGGATTTCGAAGGGACGGCTGTGGTTCAGGCGGTAGGGTCAGTATCGCTGGCCTCGTGCTCGCCGTCATAGTCGCTGATGGCACGCCACGCGCGGCGACTCGGAACAAAGAGCTTCTCCGCTCCGTCGGCCTCCGAATCTGACGACATATCTCTGGTGAAGATTTGCGCAAACGTTGGTTTCCTTAAAACACAATTTTTCCTTCGCACATCTTCTCAAAGGACCTACGAGATTTCAGTGCAAATTGCAAACCAATTAAATTAACTGAAGGTGCCTCTGTTTCTTTTTTAAGCTCTTAAAGATGCTTGGCTAAACAAAAAAAAAATCTAGAAATTTAGCGAGAATGTTATTTTAATTTTCATGAAATCGCCAAACGCAACGCAACGTCTTCCCATCATGGTATGATGAAAAAAAACTTTTTTTTTATCATCAAATTTTATTTAAATTCAAAGCATCGTAGTGCCCCTCGAAATGGCTAAATTCGTTGCAAAACTCCGTTCGACGGAAATCTTACACCCTCCTTATCAACTAAACTACACTATAATGACGCGTTTAAATCTTTCGATTTTGAATTCGCCTTGAACCATACTTGAACCGACCATGTCAATGCGCTTTCTTTTTTCTTTGGAAAGATTTCTTTGGAGGAAAACTTTTGTGTGAATCTTGTGAGAGTTTTTTTTTTCAAATTGAAAAAAAGCTTTTGTAGGTATGATCCACTTGGACAATTTTACAATATTTTAAAAATTGTGAGAGAAACATTTTTGAATGAATTAGCGTCTACGAACTTCAAAACGTAAAAAAACAAACAAAATAAACTCGAATCTCAATGCTTTTGATTATCTTTTCCCCTGACTAGGGAACTACTAGAACTCGGGTACGTGTTTGGAGTTGAAACTTTGGTGGCTTATAGACCCGGGTAAGAGTACTTGGAAACAAGAGAGATTATCTGCTAAACCCCATAGGCTTTTGAGAAAAAGCTTATTGAAAATGAACAGTTTAGGCTTGAAAATTATCAAATTTCTGGCTTTCCTCATTCTTTTGGCTGGGAAAAAGTTTTTTAGAGTTTATCATAGCGGGATTATTCAAGGCGATTAAATTAAAATATAAAATAAGGTAAAAAACAGTATTCTGAAAAATTTCAGGCCTAATTTTCCCATTTTCTACTAATTTTTTCTCAGTTCTCTATTGGGTTTAGCAGATATTCTCACTTGTTTTCAAGTATTCTCACTTAGGTCTATAAACCACTAAAGTTTGAACTCGATCCGCGTACCCGAGTCCGAGTAGTTCCCTAGTGAGGTTGACCTAAGTGCCCTGAAGAGAGAGAAAAAAAGACAAACCGAGCGTTGGGCTGAGCCATCGACGTCATCGTATGCCGGCGCTGAGCGACCTTCGTCCGTGGCCCGGTCGGATTGCGAGAAGCGGCCTCCTGGTCCTGCTGCGAGAAAGATCGGACAGGCGAGCAGCACGCGTCCCGGCGACTCCTTCAACAGCATCTTCAGGTGGATTGGCCGTAACATTGGCCAAAAAAATGATCCGCATGCTCAAATAAATGGAAATCTCACCCCGAACTGGCTTCTTGAGCCGAGGCGTGAGTGTCGTAACTGGAAACACCCGAGTCTTTCTCTTCACTTTCGTTTTTCGTCTCCTCCTCTTCTTCTGGCACCACCTGCAACTACCCACTGCAATTGCGTATGTTGAACTATTTACGAGCGAAGATTTTCTAAATTTTTTCCTTGCTTCATTTTAGTTAGGGCAAAAAATTTTTCTTTCAGAAACAAATTTCCAATGAAGGAAAACTGACGTGGACACGTCGGGACGGCGACCGCGAAGATTCCTCGGCGATATTGAACAGGCCAATACTTCGCACCTCAAAACAAAGAATAACATTGTGGAAAAGATTTCCACGAACTTTGTTGTTCTCGTCGAGGTAGTGGAACTCGTACATGGCGTCGTGGTTTCGCGAATATTCGATGACGTGTTGTAGAGAGTCGTCGTCGTAAAGGCTTGAGCCGCTGTTACTCTGAACTGACTTTTTTACAGAAAGTACTAACGTTGAAGAAAGGAATTTTAGAAAAAAATATAACACCTAAAAAAATCGAATACAAAAAAATTGTCTTTGGAAACTTCAGAACAGAAGGTTCTTCTTTTCTCTTTCTACAAAAAGTTTCGCTTGTTGATAAATAATATTCAGGGCTATCATGATTATCTCAACATAGAGCTCAAACTTCTGGAGTCGAAAAAAAAAATAAATAAATAAAAACTGCTCTCTTTGGAAGAAACCTTTTTGGGTTTGGATCTGCGGTCTCGTTCCCGAATGATTTCCAGCTCTTTTTTGGCTTCTTCGCTCATTTCCAAGTCCGTTTCTTTCTCCTCGATTTTGCTCCCTATCCTGTCCATTTCCGTCACCGCAACATGGCAACCGAACCTAAAAATCCTTGATGGTATTCGGGAAAAAAAAAACACTGAAACCAACTATGTGCAAAGACGAAATAAAATTCGAAGAAAAAAGAAAAGAAGAGAAACCTGGTATATCGAGACTTCTGAATGTCGACCTCCGTCAGTATGAAGCTGAGCAAGGCCTTCATTCGATTAAGGAACCACGTTGGAGGCGTGACCATCGTTAGATAGGATGTTATACTGAAATTTAATTGCGCTCAGTTATATGCAAATTAATTATTTGAACTTCAGAAAAGTAATTCTTTTTTGGGCCACAGATTCAGTTGGAGTTGACAAGTTTTTATGAAACTTCCTAATGGGGTGAACTTTAGTGTTTGAAGCTTTTCAAATATACTAGTCGAAAATAGTCAGCCGAAATTAAATGCAAAATATTTTTGAGGAGAAACATTATAGCACTTTCTAGGCACTCTAGAAAAGTAGAAAATAAATGAGAAAGTCCTACTTTCTGACCAAAACGATAGCGACGTCGAGAGGAAGTTTGCTGACGCCCAGAGCGGTCCTCGCATAGCGCATGACTCGGAACGACAGAATGTAGTGGAAAAGACTGTTCTCGGCGGCGACGGCTTCGTCGAAGGCTGAAGCTTTTGGATGAGGAGGGAGAGCGAGCCGAGGCCTACGTTTTCGCATGATACTCGGGAAGACGCTACTCACTTCCGCCGGATACATGTGTTCGCTCTCGCAGCAAGTGTCGCACTCGGAATCTCCGCGGACCCTGTATCTCACGATAGCTTTTCGGAGGAATCTGATCGACGGAACCTCGTGGAGCTCTGCTTTCGACGGCGAGAAGACGCTGGCGGGGAGAGGACGCGTTGTTTTTCTTCGACTGGCGCCACGAATCCCGAAGTTCCTTCGATTTGCACCGTCAGACAACGGATGCATGGGGCGAGGCCTGCAAGGCAAAATGAAGATTTTTATATGATTTTTCAAGTTCTGAACAGTCTCTAACATACAACAGTCAGTCCAATACAAAAAAGTGTTGGGGATTCAAAAAATGCTTCACTGACTAAAAGTACAAAAATCATGTGTGTGTGATTTCAAAATTCAAAAACGTAAAAAAAAAAATCTCTGACGGCTCGAAACTGATAACTAATAAAACTGCCAGTGTGTCAACTGAAAGATTACCATTTTTGGTGAGAAACCGGAGACCGTCCTCAAAGCCTTGGAGGCACATTTTGGACAAATCTTCGACGGTTCTCGGCCACAAGCACATCATGAGTCGAAACATGTTGCGTGCCGTGAAGCGGATTGACGTCCCATGGAAGTCCATTCCGAGGATGCTGAAACAAACTGTTGCAACCGACCAAAAACGAGTTCGTTGCCTGGCGCTATCCCAGTCCGGCGGACAGATATCCGATTCGCCGGAGAAGGGGCTCACCGTAACTGTGTACTTGTCGAACATCGGCTGGTTGTCCGACATCCCGCCGTCCATATATTGTACTCCTCTGAACGAAGAAAGAAATAAATTATTGAGCGTGCAAGTTGAGTATGTGGAAAATAACACTGCGAAAATCGAGCCGCCGGACTTGCGTTCAGCTGCGGAAGATACAGCTTGAAAAAACGAAAATTCTGACTCGATGTGCAAAAACGTTTTGCAATGCGCTTTTCACCAAAGTGTGTCATTTATTTTCGTCTATTTCGAAATCTATTATTATTTTTTTCTTTTTTTGATGGTTGAAATAGTTTTCCGCATCAAGTCCGAAATTTTTGACTTATTTTTTTTAACTGGCATCAATTTCGTGTGGAAAAATAATGAAGGATTTGTGGATATGAACATAATTACATTTTTTCAAGGAGTCACTTTTTTTGAGTGATAAAACAACCGGAATATCACCGAAAATAATTCAAATTGAAGTTCACTTCGTCTGCGTCTTTTTTCCTTATCGCCGAGGTCAGATAACATGGAAAAATCTTTTAAACACGAAAAAATCGGCAAGAAATGAGAGCGCAAAAAAATAGGAATGTTATAAGTGGTGGTGAAAGGGATACATTTCAAAGGTTTCGGTTGATGAAATAACCACTTCACAGCCACCAATGTATAGATTGAAAAGTGTTAAAAGTAAAAGTTACCTGAAACGCGGAGGATTGAGACCGCAATAAAGCGGAATAAAGCAGCTACACATGATGGCCTGAAAAAAGAATGCTCATTTTCAATTTCTTGAGAAACCGACATCAATTAGATCCTCGTTAGAGGTGTACTCGTCGACAATGACGTTCTCGTGGTCGCTCCAGCGCGTCAACGAAATTATCAGGCGTCCCGTGCATCTGCATTCAGATTCAATAACACGGGTATCAAATAATCGATTTTAGATTAAATAAATCTATTCAAAATTGCTACGACGATGAGAAAAAAAAAATTAAACGTTTTATAGGCATCTGAAGGTAAAGTCTTCTTCATCTCGATTCTCACAGTTCCCAGCAGATCAAACTCTGGATGCAGCGGTCCCAGTGTTCGAGATCGCGCCTTAAAAGAAAAAAATTCAGTCAATATATTACGAATTGCAGCCAAGAGTTACGAAAAAAAAAACAGAAAAAGCCGAATTGAATAGAAAAAAGGTAAGGAATACCTGGGCGACAACTTTGAGAATGGTGCTTGTTGCGTGTGAAATGCAGACTCCAGTGATCAGGCCGGCCGCCACAATCGAGCCTGCCGAGGCTCCCAGAACCTTGTTCTGGATCAACTCCGGTGCGTATTCCTATAAGGACAGAAATAAAACATTCGCAAGCCACGAAGAATTTGTGACAAGCTTGTTGAAAGGTTCAAAGCTGCGTACTACACTTTTAACGCGATAAATTTCGAAAAAAATCAATGCTCTCAAAACCCCAGATAAAATGAAAACTATTCGAAGCCAATAAAAAAGACTCCAGTTTTTTTTCCACTTCTAACTTTACAGAATCCCACTCACTATTTCTATTTCTTTACTTTTTTTCGTTCAACTCTCATCTTCAAAACTTTATAGATTTTTTTAATGTAAAACGAACATCGAAAGAAGGTAAAACAACATCCACTGAAGGGGGGAGGGGGGAATCTCTGCATTTTTTGTAAATTTTATTTATATCAACTTCCAAGAGAACCTTATGTACACATCTATTTATCCAAAAAAAAAAAGTTCAAACTATTACCTTTCTTTCAAAGAAATACTTTTCGAATAGAAAATAAGAGATTTCTACAGAATGATTTTTTTCATCTCAACATATTTCACAGCATTGAAATATTATAAAACCATAGCATATGAGAAAAAATCAAAAATAGTAAAAAAATGTGATTAAAAAAACCTTGATAGCTGCCGCGACGCCGGCGTGATATACGCAGAGAAATCCACAGCCGGAAAAGGATAAATTCATAAGTTCCGGACGACAGCCGGCCATCGTCATTTCGGCTGAAACAGTGCAGCTGCTGAGGTCAAACATTCGATAACTGAACAAACAACGAAGAAAGACAACATCAAGCCCCAGAAAGGAAGTGGCTACACAAAGGAGTGGACCGTTAATAATGACTGGGAAATGAGTAATATGTTAAAGAATTTAAAATAATACAATAACTTTCTTTAACATGCTTTGTGATAATATAGTCTTGTATTAGACACTTCAGAAACAGCACTTTCCAAGAAAAGGGTAAAAGAAAAGCAAAACTTTGAACAAGCTCGGTTTTTATGATGGGAGGAAAAAATATGAAAAAATAGTCTGGAAAAGAAAGTGCACGTGTGACGAAACAAAAAAAAAACGGAAAAATAAAATATCATGCCACAAGTGGCGCGACAACTTTCCGGTTATACTAGTAAAATCGCTCTAGCGCACTTAAAATTTGCTAATTTCGAAAGCTAAGATTCACCCAATATTGTGGACTATATCGCAGCGAGAGTAATGCTATACCATGGGGGAGCCGCGAGCAATATCGGCAATTATATTGGGTGTTAGTTTATATATATGAAACCAAGGTCTAACTTGGATTGCCCTAGGTATTTACACTCGGAACGATAACACTTTCTGAAATTTCATTTATACTATTTGATGATCTAACTAGATGAAAAATTTTAAGCGCCTCAACTTGCAAAATAGTTTTTTTGTAAACCGATATTTTAAAAAAATCGCTTTCTTGAGTTTTGTGCAGGAAACTGAAAATTTCAGGCATGCATTATTGTAAAAATTTTAACTAATATATACACCATGTAGTTCGGCCCGTTTTCAAAATCTTCTGCAGTTTTGGATGAAATCATCTTCAATGTTTTCATTGTACAAGTTCCTCATTTTGGTCTTAAGGTCAATTTTCACTATAATTTAATTTAACTGCGAAACATCGCAAGAAAAGATTTCCGCCAGCGTTGAATTTTCAAAAACATCTCAAAGGTAGCACGGAAGCCAGGAATATGAAAAGTGATTTACTAAAAAACGAAAATAACAGAGATCTTGTTTGAATAATTTTTATATTTAGACGTTGATTTTATGCCCAAAGGGATCGAAAAAAGTTATTTTATTCATTAAAATTAAGTTCCAAATTCCCGCTTTCCTTTTCAAGCAGGTTGAAAATTGCAGAATCTTCTTGTGGTGTTTTGTCCTGACCAAAGTTCGAGAAATTTTGAATTGCAAAGTAAAATGACCTCCCTTGTGAGACGAAATTCCTTTATTTTAAAGCCTTTTCTTAGGAAAACACGAATAGAACAGAAATCAAAGTACCGTTGCACAACCGCGTCCAATCTGTAGACGGGGTATGTAAAAAACGCGTGTGAAAAGAAAAGAGAAAGGGCCACGTGCCACGGAATCAAGAGAATAGACGGACTATAATGAGTGTCAGACAAGAGGCTTTCCATCTATCAAACGGCGCCGGAGGGCAAAAAAGATAGCGACAGAAGGCACGAAACACGTGATGATACAAAAAAGACACTCGCACGTGTTATCATCATCTCTAAACAAACGTCGCTTACCGTTTTCAATCCCAGCGGCAACGTTTTGAATCGAGAATTAGATAGAATTGGATCTGGAAACCCAACATCATTAGATTTTCATCGTTTTAATGGGCGTCTTTGAAGACTCAGCAAAAAAGATAAGTTCAGCTGTACATTTTACGTAACAACTGGCATGCTCTTTGCACTCGAAAAAAAGGAATATTTTCAAAAAATTAATTTTATATGAAACATTTTAACAGAAATAGTTGAAAGTCCAGATTCATCAGATTTTGAGAGTTTTTTCACGGAGGATTTGCGGAAAATTAAATAAAGACGAGATGGCTTCTTTTTTAAACCAGTGATTCCTAACGTAATAAGGTAATAAGCTTTCAGAAATTTTTGTCATTATTTTTTTATTGAAAAAAAAAGTCTTTTTAGTTTGAGCTCACCTCGTCAGTCGGGGAAAAAGATAAAACACACGTGCTTGTTGAGCACTACTCGGGCTATTGCTGAAAACGAAATAGGTAGACTTGACGTTTCATTATTCTTCACGTGAGAAGATGGGCCATCAAATAAGTTAAGCTTCATCGAGACCAAAAAAAATACTTTAAACTGTACCCTGTTTTTAAAATTACAGAGACTCTGTGTCAAATGCTACTTGAATAATTACGCGAATTGCGGGCAAATGGCCGTTCAGATTTACCTAGAAGAGCTTACGAACTTCTTCAAATACGCTCGAGGTACATATCACAATGAAATTTTGACTTTTCCAAACGTCTTTTTGTTTGTAACAAATATGAACTTCCAGTTAGGAAACAACAATTGATCAAAAAGTCAACACGGAAGTATTGTTTCAGTCTTTAGTCTTTATAAGCCTATAACAACCATTCGAGAGATAAATAGTGGCACTTTTGATAAGGTTAGTTATTGAAAAAAAAACAAAGAAAAAGAAGAATCAAAGGAGGTCGTGGAAACGTGGTGAATCAGCGAAATCAAAGTGAAGTATGCAATAGAATGGACTCGTGAAAAAAAGTATATTTAGATAATAATCTTTTCAAATAACCTCGTTTTTTTGGTAAGTATTGTAAAGAGTCTAGAAGGATATTTACATTTCTTTCAAAGCAATTAACAAATCTCAACAAATGACACGAAGGAAAATGATAAATATTCAAAAAACAGTAGTGGCTTCAGAGGACCACGGATTGTTGAATGACGATGGCGGCGAGCATCTGACAAAGGTTGGCGAGGAGGATGGCCGCGTGGGCCGTTTGCTTGGCCGTGGTGTCGTCGCGTTGCGAGTCGAGGCTCTCCATCCACTTGTGACTGTGAAGTCTGAACCTTTTTTTTTCAATTCAATAACTCATAGAAATTAGTAACTATACCGAAAATTTCGAACCCATTCACATTTTAGAAACTTTAATTTGAAAAATATACAGGTAAATCATTTTTATTTTCAATATCTCCGTTGGGATCAAAGTTAAAAGTAATTCCGTTAACCTCCTTTCGTATGAATTCCTCTTCCTTTAGTTTTGTTGCTTCTTCTTCAAATAACGCTAAAAAAAATCAAAGTTTTATGGAAGGTTGAAAAAACCTCGGAGGGACGCTTTTCTCTTATGTTTTTTTCAAAAAAAATTTTTTCTTACAGTACTCATATTCTACACCAGTGCTCCAGATTTGAATCGGAGACTGTTATTTAAAAATAACAGTTTGGTCTCAAAGCGAGTATTTTTTTCCCTGAATGAAGAAAATTCGAAAGTTCATAAATCAGAAGATAAACTTTTTCTTACAGAAACTTGATCTCCTCTCGTTCAATTTTTCAGATTTAGATCAGCGAATATGTTTCTTTCTCCTTTTTTTGAAAGATAAACTTCTTTTATTCAGCTGACTTTTTGAAATTATGAAGCAAAAATCGGAAAAAGAAATTACTCAATGAATGAAGAAATGGAAAAATAGTCATGTTTAATGACTTTTTTTATTCTTAAAAAAACAAGATTTTCTGGTATTCTATCTTTTAAAAAAATTGACAAAAAAACAACAATAATTTCTCATTCTGAGCCTCAGCTGTAATATCTTTTTTTCACGAAATAATTTATTTGTTCTTTTGTCAGAACCTCGGGTTTTCACTCAATAAATCAATCAAATCTTGGTCGTTGATGTCTGATTTGATCTTTGGTCACTAGAATTTTACGACAGATTATCTCAAAAAAGAGACGTTCATGTTCTTTCCGCACACAAAAAAAATTGGAAAGCTAGGAACATGTGCAGATTACGAAGCTCAGATTTTCAGCATTCAATAGTCAGAAATTTCGCAGTTATTTCTTCTGATAAACTTGAAAAAATTACGGAAGATATATTTTGCCATTTTTTTTTAACTTGAGAACTCTTCTGAAATAACGTCAATTTTACTGACCTGTAGGTGGCTAATCTACGAGATCCCCCAAAACTTCGACCCCAGAAAAGCGTTGAAATTGAGTCATCGGTGTTATTTTCTGCCCTGAAGCAAGATAAAAAATATTGGAACACAGAGCAAAGTACAACTTTGCGTTGTAGTGATGTTGGCGGCGAATTCTGACAGAGCGCATTTCGAGGGTCCGAAGAGCGCGTCCGACCCAAACCTCGAAACCTTCCACTCCTTCGGCCATGCAGTCTATCCGCGTTTTCAAGTTGTTCAGCGTCTGCAGAACACAAGATAAGGTTGTGTAGTCTCACTGAAACATACTGAAATGATCGAGTTCTTGCTGTTATCGTTTTTTGAATCGAAGAGATAGAAAGAGAGGATAGGCTGAGGGAAAGAGAGAAGAGTGGCGAGTAAGTTGCAGAGCTCAATGTTGAAAGGAAGAGAGTTGTCGCAGAGAGAGTCGAGAGCCTGCAGAAGGCTTGTCAGTAGCAATGGATTCTCTGAAAAGGTCATTCTCTCAGTAGACGGCATACTGAGCTAACCTGAGCAACTAGATACAGAGAATCCTGTAGTTGTGGGTTTTTCAGTTGAAAAACTATCCCTTCGGGGCTGATCAATGGTATTTTCGGCTGGATCCCGTTGCATAGAATTCAGCTTTTGCTCGACGAAATCAACGAGTTGATCGGTAGTCAACGAAGTTGTCGTCGGCGCGCGTTTTCCCAGCAAACTCAGCAACGTCTCCTTGTCCTGGAAGAAACAGTCTTTTATTACTGAGAAAGGAAGTCACCTCGACGTCCTGCCAGCCCGAAAGAATGAAAGAATTCATCATTTCGCCATCAGTTTCTGGCTCAACAACTGTCATCTGAGTGTTAGTCTGAACTATTCAAAAAGTTATTTCAAAAGAAGACAGCATCACAGTTTCACCATTTGATCATCAGATTCGCTCAAATCATCCAACGAAGCGATTTGAAAGTAGTCTACCATTGATGAAGTCATCAATCGAGAATCACTGAAGAACTTTTTTTTCTGGATTATTTCAATTTTCAGAATAAATGTGAAGTTTTTCATAAAGAAAAACTGTCAATATATTAAAAGAAAAAAATGACTTGAGTGGAGGAAGCACAAAATTAGCGTCCTCTTCGAATTCTGTTTCATTAGAGTCCAAAGAGTCGTTTCGCGTCGGCAGTCCAAGAGCCCCAACGTCTCCTGAGCTGAGGCAAATAAGCAAAACAAAAAAAAAACTACGGATACCGTTGACGTAATCGCTGGAAGTGTGCGACGAGTGGAAGTAGCGATTGACGCCGTGAAGACCTAATGACGTGGAAGATCTACTAGAAGACCTCACAGACAAGTTCTGAAAGCGAAAGAATACGGATAGGTCAACGAAAAGGGTTAATGACAATCTGGGAACTTGGCTCGTCGTCGCTGTCATTGGCGAGATAGCTCTTGGGACGGCTGCCGTCGTAGCGCCATTTCCACTCGGCGCACTGCTCGCAACGGGCCTCCATCCGGATCCGACTCTCCGTCAGGTAGGTCGCCAAGGTGTGCTGAGAGCACACTTCGCGGAAAGGCAGGATACAGCTTGGCACGGCTTCCAAGATCTTCTCGGACAGAGAAACGCACCGGTTTCTGTCTTGGACTGTCTACGAAATTTCTTTCCATGATAGTTAGCAAAGGGGAAAAACCTTTGAGATATTTCGTCTGTTGGCAACTTTTGTCGATAGCAGAGGATGGAAAATTGTAGCTGAAAAGAAACATTGTGTTTTTTTTTTGTTGTTGTCGAAATTGAGTAAAAACAACCTCACCTAGCATGAAATCTTCGCAGCAAAGTTGTGATAGTGATTCCAAAAGAGACAATGAAACAACAGCTGCCTGAAGATTTGAAAACGTCGTTAAAGTGCCAATAAAATATACGAATTGGAGTTTCTCAACAAATGTGTTCTCTTGCTTTACCTTGTCTCTGACGGTTGTGAATAAAATAATGCGCTCGTACAAAATAGAACCGCCGTCGTCTCTCTCCGTTAGTAGAAGGCGGAAGATGGTGAAAAGCAGCGCGCTTTCGGTGATAACCTCGACACACATCTGAAATTCTGATGAAGAAATTCCGAGGCGAAGTTGGCACCTGAAGATAAGAAAGACACGCGGCGATCCACTCTCGGTCGTCCTGCAGAAGCACTGGCTTCACGACGGAGATCAAGAATCCCGAGTAGAAGAAGTCGCAGATTTGCTCGACGACGCGAACGTGGCCGGCTTGGACGACGGCGTTGCAGAAGAGCAACGAAGAGTGGAAGTCGAGAAGAGCGTCTGCCTTCTGTTCATCGAGACTCCGTTCGCCGCCGTCGCCCAGAAGGACGCGGTCCAACTGCGAAAAACAGCCGGAAAGCCCCGTCGCCACGACTGGACAGAAGTCAGTCTGCAAGAAGCGTCGACTTCATTAATGAATTAAATCCTTTCTATTCCACTTGTCTATTTCCAACTTCACATCCTTGAAATCCATATGTTCAGCATGGTTCATTCCACGTGTCCATCTCGCTGAGATTTTTCAAAAGCGGTTAACTTGAAAAAGTAGAAGTGAAAAATGGGACATCGGGAGAGGAACCAGTTTTTTTATAGGAATACAATTTTTCCATGTAAGACGCCGACTAGGCAGAAAAAGAAAACTACTAGTAACTTTTCATTTTCGTGAAGTGTTTGAGAAAAAAAAAATCCTATTCTTTTTTTTTCGTAACCACTGATCAACTGTCATTTCAAAGCATTGTGAAATTCTCTGAGATTTATAAAAGTGGGACAGAATAAACATTTTAATTCGCAAAGACGCATGCTTCTATCTTACGGGCGCCTTCTGAGCCGCCCCTTCCCTCTCAAAATTTCAGAAAGCATTCCTCTCATGAACATGAACTTCTTTTTTTTCTCACCTTCGAAGCCACGAATTCGGCGATTGAACTGTGGTGTGCAGAGACCGAAAGAATCAGTAAAAGGGCATCTCGCGACAACTGGCCGACGTCGTTCTACAGCACAAACCCTGCTGTTAGGTAAACTTTTGATTCATTTACCTGTTCGTAGAGAAAAGGAATGAGAAGCGTGAAAACTGTGAATTGCTCGAAACCATTGGCTCGATAGAAGAAAAAGTGCAGAAGGGTACGATCTTCGGCAAGCTTCGTGCAAATCTGAGGAAAAGCTCATTAACTATAAAGACAATAATGAAAACCTGATTGAGCAACAAGACAAAATGTTTTTCTGTCGTGCTCGGGTCTCCTCTTTTTGGCTCTCTGTACCACATGCCGTCAGCTCGTTTGCACCTGGAAACAGAAATATATCTGCGATTCCAAAAGACGAGGAACCATTCGCAGAGCCGAAGAAGAGGGTTCAAAATCGGTTTGTGGACGAGAAGACAGTGGTTCTGGGTGTGAGAGCCGCCCACGATTCCTTCGTACATTCTTATCAAAGCCAGCTGTATTCCATGATTTGCTGGGGCTGGACTCGAAGAATCCAACCTGACAGGTGGGCTTGAGAAACTCTGGCAGTTGGATGGCCCAGTCGAGGATCCTTTCGAAGATCTGCTGGGTGAAATATCGGTCCAAAATGGGTCCGATGGCCGGCTCGGGCTGCGAATTGACTTCCAACATCAGGAGGTTGCACATGTGACTCGCACTTTCCAACAGAGAAGTCATCTGAAATCTGAATATAACCCCAAAAGGAAGGTCTAAAGAATAGAACCTCTTCGTAATTGACGTCATGCTCCACATCGGTGAGCTTCTTTTCGAGAACTTTTTCTGCGACGGCCCATTTGGCGTCGAAAATACGTTCCCACTCTGAAGGGTCCGACGCGTACGCCGAGTTCCACTTATTTGCTGGAAGATTTCGATTTTGAGAGGATCATAAGACGAAACAAACGAGAACTAGCGTTGAGGGAAGTCGCAGAAGCTTCTGGAGAGTTCAACGTCGATATCTTGTTCAACCATCTGATCATGCCTGAGCCGGAAAAAAATATGTGAAAAAGGTATGAACCAGAATGATGAAATATAGAGAGGACTAAATTAAACACTTGACGAACTGAAAAATCAAGTTTCAATAAATACTTTATAGCAACAAAACGTAACAAAAAGTCTCAACAATAACAAAATGCATGATGAAGTTTGTCCGATTTTAACTTCAGATTTTTCCTTTTCAACGGCTTTCCATAGAAGGGAAAAAAACCTTTTAAACAAAAACGAAAATATTTCTCGAATCATCACAACTTTTCCTGTCAAATAGGGATCTCAAAACTGCATTTTTTGTCCTATGACTAAGGATATCCACGTTTCTATATCTGAAGTTTCCTTCGAACCACAGAAATGTGAGCCGGATGGAAGTACCTCGAAGTGGTATTGCGGACAAGAGCCGTGGGTCTTCCTACGAGAAAAATCAATAGCTTTGACTCAAAATCCTGGAAAACCTGGCGAGTTGCGAGGGAGCTGTCTCAAGGCGTTGAAGGCGATGTAACCGAAAGCTATTCCCTTTCCTTGTGTCATACTCTGTTCTCCACTCATCACTCGTCCAATTATTTTCCTGCAACTGTTTTTTTAAACCGAAAATGTTTTTTGTGAGAATCAGAAATTCTTTCAATCGCTAAAAATTTTTTCATTTGTCGAATTATTCAGGAAAATGAAAATCACATATAGTTCTAGCTTCTATTCATTTGTATTTGGCAGAATTCACCTCGACGCAGATTCCACATAATTGACCCGGCTTCTGGCCTCATTCACGTCGTTTTCATGTTCCAACCTCTGCAGCTGTTCTGCTCCTCGAGAACGGGCAGCAACTCTTTTCAAACGATTCATTTTTCTTCTTTTCGAAGCACTGAAAAATGATTTCTCAACAAAAAAGGAGGATCAACTAACGGTTCAGAGCTATTCTCGACAAAAATAGAACTCAGGCGGATCGGTTTCTCTGAAGCACTCGGATCAAGAGAAACGAAACCTTCGAATTTTCTCGAAGTGAGACCAGATTCCTGAAACATTTATCGTGATAAAATTCAAGGCTTGTCGAGCTGAAATACGGGAAGATTGGTTTTTCTTTTGCGAAGGAAAATATCATAAATGTTAAACTGATTGAAAAATATCAAGAACAGGCGTAAACTATGAAATTTATTAATAAACTATGAATTCGCCTATCCTCTCAATTTCTAGTTAGTGGATCTTCTGAATTTCCCTGTTCACACTCCTTAGTACCAACCTTTTCCAACGTCACTTTCGCGTTCAAAACAGTCTCCTTCTCCGGTCTCTTCTCTTCCAGAAAAAATTTGGCTTTTTCTCTCATCTCAACAGATTTTTCTTTAAATTGAAGTTAGGAAGTTTATGAAAACCTGGTTCAAGTCAACTTTTTCGGGATGGCAAATGATAGCGAAACGCTTCGGACGACCGCCACAGGGAAACTTTAAACGCACCGGAACAAGAAAGTCCGTTCTATCCAGTTCTAAAATCCTCGAACTATCAGTATTGAGTATTTCCAAGAAAATAACCAGGAAGAGCTGATTTTCCATGAAGCCATTCCGAGATCGCCTTCAAAACCGACGGGTTTCTCATGACAGATACAGAAACTTCCCTGGATTAAATATCAACCGATCATAGCCTATAGATGGAAGCTCACGACGAATTTTCATCGTTCCATTCGCGAAGAAGCTTTTCCCATTGAAAGGAAAATGGATAGACAATAGACAAATCTTCCCAAAACTTAACTCTTCGGTTGAAAGGCCGCTTCGAATGCCGAATCTGTGAACATATTCCGATAAAAAACGGTTTTTAAGTAACGACTCTATAGAGTCAAAAAAATAATTACATTTTCGAACGCCGTTATAAGCGTATAGTGCACTTGAAAACTTACCCCATATAGAGCATTTATTCCAATTATTCCCGTCCAAAAAACATGACACTAAAATCCTACTCATAGCAATGCCAAAAAGTAGGTTTTTGTTATCCACACTTATTCTTGTTGGTACATGATATGTTTAAAAGTTTGCGACTGGTATTCATATATTTCTAGAAAAGTTCTCGCAAGGAACTTGCGAAAAAAGACTTGATCTGACTGGGTAGAAACGGAGTGTTAAAAATAGATCTCACGAGATAAAAATAGACAAAATTTTGAACCGTTCCACGTAAGATCCGCTGTTTACGTACACTGCGCGAAACTAACTATTTTTTGACGCTTCGCTTTATTTTCGTCCGACAATTTAGCCGCGTTCAAAGCTAATTTGACATCAAAACAATATTTCTCGTCTTCCGAATCCTTTTAAAAAAATGATTTCGGACTAAAAACAGTTGCTCAGTTTTCTAAATTCTTTTCTGAAAATATTTTTTTCTTAAACAAACTAACTTTAAGTTTAGATTCAACGTTTCCCCGGAAACCGTTCAAAATAAACTGAATAATCTTCCTATACAAGCTTTTGATGATAATATTCCATCTCTTATGCTATAAATGGCTCATATTTCCGGGTACCTGTCACCTTGCTGAGGTTGGCTCTTTTCTTGTAATGTTATTCATCTGCCCAACCTATTATTTATTCCATTTTTGAAAGTCGCCAACTCTGCTTTCCCAATGTTCCCAAATTGAAGATATGACACCTTCCTCAGGTTAAAAATCTCATTATTTTCGCTATTTTGGAACATTTTTATATGGCAACAGCCTCCTCATGGACTGAGTTCTGTATTTGCCTAGTATATTTATTAGAAATCTCCAATATTAAAATTAATGAAAAAAGAACCAATAGTCACTTCCAATTTTTCATTTGATGGTTTTTCATCGAACTTTGACACATTACTCTGACGAGATATTGCAGTTAGCATTTTTGCAAATAGTCTGCAGAACACCTTTTACGTCTGATGTTCCGCAATAAATTCGCATGTTCGAAAATATCTCAAAGATGATGCAGATCGAGAGCATCGTCTGGGCAAAAAGCAAATTACTAGTTTTCAGAATACTGTCAAAGTCAATGCACAATATCGTCCGAGTAATAGCTCGGAAATGTTTCTTGACATCGGAAGAATAACGCTTTGCCTGCCTTTCTGACGCATGGTTGAGTCTCCTATCTGTTTTCGGCTTATTTCGTCGCTAGCTCTCCTTTCCGATCGCTTTGTCACTTTTCGCGTCGTTGCGCAAAAGACTTGAAAATAAAAACCTCGAGATCTCTTTGCATTTGCTCCTCAAAAAGAGCCGAGGCTTCGGCGTCGACGGCGTCATCCGGAAAGTGCGGCAGAGCAGATTCGAAATGGGCTGCCACGTCGTCTTTTTCTCCGCTCGCGTGGGCTCCACTCCACTGAAGAGAAATCCAAAAGTCTTTTCCTTAAAAATTTTACATTCTATTAAGTATTATTTAAAAAAGAAAAACCATCTAACAGAAAAAAAAAAATACAAACCGAAGCCTTCAGGAACAATTACTTCTGCTCCCGTCAAAGTAGGCGATCCATTCTTTACGATAACCATTATCGGCACCTCGAATTAAGATTATTTTTTTGGAATCAGGAGGTGAAGTACACTTCAGCAAAGTGTCAGCAAAAGTTCAACCAGAGGTAAAAAAACGTTTCCTAGTTAGTTTTGTTGAAGGAAAGTTTCAAAAAGGAAGGAAAAATATCATCTGATTTGACATTCAGAGAATCGATGGAAAAAAATACGGAAAATATAAGAATGAAAACAACTTTTAGCAGCTGATTGGAAATCTGCGCACAATATTTATTTTTTCTAAAAGAATAAAACCTTTGAATCCGTCTTCACAACTCCATTGACGAGGTTCGTGTTCAACCTTTCCAAATCAGACTGAGACAATCTGCAAAAAAAAAAAACAAACGTTTTTGACCAATACTTCCATGAGAACCACCTTTTCTCAAGAGCAGCCTGCCTGGATTTCGCGTTCCAAAGAAGAGACTGAGGCATAGTTTTGAAGCTTGAAGGGCTTTCTGTACAAACAGAAGATAAAAAATCCAACGGTTTCCTCTGAAACCGTTTATGAAAAGATTTAGAAACACTGAAACGAACTTTTCTCGTAGACAGTCGTGGATCTTCCACCAACAGAGTGAATACGGCTCCATCGCGCAATCCAGAAGGCTTAGAAAGAGAAATACACGAGACCCATTCCTCATGGTTCAAACTGAAACTCAAGAAATTCTGGCTCAGGTAAACCAAGGAATATACTTGAACAGGTCCGATTCTGCCAAGATAATCGATTTCGCGACGATTTCCAGCGCCTTGGGACCGAACAAACTGAACCTATTGAGCAACAAATGTAAATCCGATACCTAAAAAATATCATAAAAAGAGGAAAAGTAGACTTTGAACGACCTTCACTCCATTTTTTCCTCGATATTCCCTTTCCAAACCTTCCATCGTGTTTGATTCAACGTCAATCGCCTATTAATGATTTCATTTTATTCTTTTTCGGCCATTATTGAATTTACTTCTAACTCGAAAATGGACTTCAGCAGGCCAAAAACAACGTTTCGCGTAGACGGATGAATCCAAAGGCTAAGAAGGTGTTCTTCACTAGCGCTAAAACCAATAGGAATACTGGAAATAAAAAATAGGGAACCTTTCAAAAGACCATAAAAATCTGGCCGGACCAATACATCGCTTCGGAGTCTGAGTCGAATCGAAAAGCAAAGTAGAGGTCTAGAAAAAAAAAAGAGTAATATTGAAACCAATGGCAAAACCTCGATAGAACCGTTGAGTGAGGATGGAAAGGCGAAAGTTGGACCAGTGGAAGAATCGCAAAAAACAGCGAGAGATTCGATCAGTCGGCCCTGGTCAGGGGATTTGATCTACAAAGTTCGAGAAATAATAGAGAAAAAGACAGTACAGCTACCAGAAAACAGGCAAGATGAGATCGGTCTCTGACCGTGCAATGACGTAGAGAATCTCGGAGCGCCGCTCGGAAACCCCTCTGATAACTTTTCTCCGCGATTTTGAACCCGTACCTTCAAGAAATAATAATATGAGAGTCTGAATGGTGAAAAATACCTTTCCACCATTTTAAAGCGTTTCGCGTGCCAGATATGCGTCTCCAACCATTTCGCTTTCCGTTTTCTTCTTTCATAATTCTAAAAATGCTGAAAAATTTCCGAAATTTAAAGTCTGGAAACTCATTTTACAAAGAAGCTCGAGAAAAAACAGGCGAAGCCTAATAGTAGCTGATTGAAAGATATTTTAACGCTTTTTTAGAAACATTTTTGAGTTTCTTTTTCGTAACCTTCTCAGATTAACGGTGAATTTGAAAAAAAAACAAAACCTTTCATCATTTAACCATGAGAGTTTTTGGTTTTTTCAAATTCCATAATTTCAAATCTAATATGAAGATCATGTTTTGCTCTCGTGAGTGGAAAAAGAACACTTCCATTGATTATATCAATATTTTCCCTCGAGGATCAAAGCTACAACCTTCAAAATATTGGTGGGTTTACGACGAGCGAACCGGCTCGGCGGCTTTTTTCTGTGTTTGGAAGACGCGAGATACGGAGCGGCGAACTGTCGTATTCCACGAGGAAACCGCCGCACTTCATGAGCCATCGCTCGTCTGGAAAAATCACCTATTTCCTGTTTCAGAAGAGACGAAACCTGCGCATGTGACGCGGAAGCCTCTGTGCCGCAGTCCGAGGGCCTTTCGTGACCTCTCCACTCACCAAAGCCTCATTATCGATAGCCTAAAGAGGAAATCGGAAAAAAGTCGAGGATAATAAGGAACCTGAAGCAACTGAGCGACTGACTTGGTCCTCGCTTCCACATAACTTTCCACTTTAATGAACCGTGGCTTCTCCGCCATTTAGCTGCTGGGAAATCATTTGAAAACTCTCTTAACTAGCTCAAAAGTATAAGGCTTTCAACCAAAAACGACACACAAAAATACGATGAACTCGAAATTCATTACAAACTGATAATATGACTATTCGCTGATATAACAACTAAAACAAAAACAAAAGTAAACGTGAAAAGCTAAGAAGAAGAGCTTTTCCGTTCTTCCAAATGTCTCAACTGCAGCGCTCGTCGTTCTTCGAACAACAGAGAATCCTGAGACTTTGGTTGAAAAATAAAGTAGGCAAATCTCCAACCTCCTGAAGAGGCTTGTCAACAATATCGTGAATCAAGTGTTTCTTCAGCTCAGTTTCGTCGAGGAATTCGTCCTTCAAGACTTTCCTTCCGGTAACCGGATCTATGACATTTCCTAAATGAAAAACAAAACTGGTTATTGAATGTTGGCTTTTCAAAAATATCATTTTCATACGAATTAAAGCGAACCAAAACGGAAAACAACTCGGTCGACGACATGAGAGACATCGGCTTTCGGGCGAACGGCTCCTTCGATCCGCTTAATGAGGACTGTGTCGCCCAATCCACTCAACGAGCTCCTAGAAGTTTTTTTCTATTGGAATCGTGTATTGGGAAATTTTTTTTCTAATTTATACATATTATGAAAATATAATAGTTAAGACAGTAATGTGATTTCAATTACAATTTACAATTTATTCAGTCTTCAGAGTAAGATGTAGAAAATCTCTGCTGAATCATGGTATAATCAAAGAGTTAGTCGTCGGCGCGGGTTACGGTTCAAAATAGTTGTCCGATAAACTTTTCCTTAGCTTCTCCCGACTTGACAGCCAGAGTTGAGAAATAATGCGTGCCCGTTGTTAGTACCAGCGAATAAACTGCTTCACCATGTTGGAACAGTACAGCGCCCAGCTTGTCCAGGGCCGACGGTTGTCCGAATATTATCCCATGAGAGAGCGGCAATGAGACCGACTAGTCGACGTGATGAAATGAGATAATAATGTGATTTCGCGCCAGTTAAAAACAAGATGACATAGAAGGAAAATTTGAAGTTTTTTTTTTAGTTGAAAAAAATAACCGTACTTTTTATTTTGTCCATAAACTAAAACCAACTTATCAAGGGCCCAAAAATCGAAAGATCTGGCGAAATATTTTTTCAAATAAATGTTGAACTCGCTCATTTGGCAACGGACCTGTAAACGTCACTATATAGACAAGGAAAATCGAAAGAAGAAACCTGAGCGCATGGTATCCGATCAATTCCGATCTGCGTGATTTCAACAATTTTGCCGAGTAATAACTGCGTCCCGACACGACTTTTCCACACAGAAGTTTTAGGCATCCTGTTTTCCTTGCTTTCCATTCGAACAAAAATACAAACTACGCAAAAATAAATGAATAGACTCAATGGACCGTTTCAAACAAAAAAATAAAACTCGAAAATAAAAAAAAGTTCATTTTGTTCTGTAGACTAAATGGGTTCTTTAGGAGGCGGGACAAAAGAAGTCGTTTTGTCGACTCGTTTCACTCTGCTAGGATCGCCCAACAGCGCTACAAACTCGAACATTTTCAAGTCGCAGCTCAGTTTTTGCAGAATTTCTCTGAAGCCAAAATTTTTGTTTTGAAAATAAGAAGGAGAAACTTGTTGGCTTCGAAAACGCGGTACTTCTCCTGCAAGTCCTTCGTGATCATCTTGCCGTTGCGGAGCACCCGATCCGATTCGTCGGTTTCTTTTTCTTCTTTTTCTTCCTCTTTCTTCAAGCCAACTTTAGCGATGTAGTCTTCAATCGATAGCCTATGAGTCGGATTCCCCTTTTCCTCAATCAACAACCTGTAACTCTTGAAATAATATCTTTTATCAAAATTGAATACCTACCGTATTTCAACTAATCTCTCCAATACATTTTGACATTGCTCCATCAAGTATTCAGCTTCGTCGGCCGGCGTCGGCAACCGTTTATCCCTTTTCTCTGTCATTTTCTTAGTAGAATTGCATAGCTGAGAAGTCCTGAAAATCTCTTCAGCTCAAAAAAACCCCCAAAAAGACCTGGCCGAGAGCTCGTGCACTAACTCCCTTCCCAGGATACAAAGCTCATAAACGCTGAAGTTTGAACAATTTTGAGCGATGTTTGAGGGATAAATTTGATCCGCTACCTCCTGAAATATTCCATAGAAGAGATGAAAATGGATATAGCTAACAGGTTTCTGCTGTGAAGAACTTGTATTGCCACTGTGGTTCGAGGAAACTGAATGCGGCATTTGTTGGTACAAAGGCGCCGTCAGAAGCGATTGACTCGTCGAAGTGCTCGGCCCCTGCTGCGGCTGCTGCGCCAGGTAACTTCTCAACGAAAAAATTTATTCGAGATTGGAACGATAGCTTTTATCTTCACATATTAGGACAGGGAACGTTTCAAAATGTTTCACATATAAACTTCTCAATTTCATATGAATAACAGGAACAGATAAATGTGTTTTTTCAATAAACTGAACTTTTTTCTCATAAAATATCGATTTTAAAAAAGCGAAATTGGCCAAACCCTTCATTTTGAAAAACTTGGAATTTTTATCCGTTTCGATCATACATGGGCAGACCATTTTGAAGGCCCTCCTTCCAAGTATTTTTAAACTAAAATTAATACTACTTCTCTAAGGCTCAAACTTGGATTATTGTGACCGAAAAACCTCTCGGAGGTTGAAAGTTGATTCTATTCCTAATTTTCCAAACTTTCTATAAGCCAACCCTTTCTCCCGGCATGACAAAGTTTTGTACGTGCCCATCTATGGTTCCGGTTACTTATAAAAAAGCTCACTCCGCGACCGTTGGATCGAAATTGGGCGCAGCTGCTTTCGTCGGAGCTGCATGTTGTTCAGCCATAGGATTATGAACCCAAGGGTGAACACCTAGAGTTTAATGATAAGAAATCGGAGAAATGAGATAAATGATTCATGGCATATCCACTGACCAGCCGCATAGTGTTGATGGTAAACGTTTGTGGGATACGGCATGTTTCCTGGGGCAAATCCGTGCATTCCCGGATACACACGAGCTCCTCAAACACAAAAAAATACACACGAGCTCCTCAAACACAAAAAAAAAACACAAGTTCGATCCCCGCCCCGACCCAAACAAGGGGTTTAAGAAATGTTGGTAGTGGGAAACAACGACTTCAAAATCCCCAGCCGTCACACACAAGGACGGATATGTCACTGGAGCCAGTCCACTGATTATCATCAGGATAGGACATCGGCTAATCGACTTGGGGCGCCGACGCCGCTCAAGCGGTACAAAGGCGTAAGAAGAAGAAGAAGAAGAAGAAGAAGAGAAAAAAAAAAAATCAAAAAGTAAGTTATCGAAAAAAAAAAACCAGGTTGTTGGTAGACCATGTTCGGGGGGATTCCTCCTTGCATCGGTCCCCCTTGCATTGGTGCACCTTGCATTGGTCCTCCTTGCATTGGTGCACCTTGCATTGGTCCTCCTTGCATTGGTGCACCTTGCATTGGTCCTCCTTGCATTGGTCCTCCTTGCATTGGTGCACCTTGCATCGGTCCGCCTGGCATAGGTCCTCCTTGCATCGGTGCACCTTGCATTGGTCCGCCTTGCATTGGCCCTCCTGGCATCGGCATTCCAGGATAAGCCATCGCTATAAAATGCGAATTTTTCTTGGTATATATAAAGTTTGAGTTCTTATTCGATCATGAAACACTGCAGAAATATAAATAGTTATTACGATGATTTGGAGCGTAGTAGGCCATGGCTGGATGTTGAACGCCGCCAAAATGTGTAGGTGGAATCTTAAGTAAAGTTATATCGGGATGATAATCGAAGAAACCTGCTGATTTGGATTTGGGTTGTTTTGTTGCATCTGAACTCAGGTAATTCGTTTCCATAAAACAGCCGAAAACAAAGAAGAACGAACTTTTCGGATTTTGACCGGTAGAAAACATGACCAACAAAAGAATGGAAATTCATTTTCAGGAGGTAGCAATGTGACAAGCTTTGAGATCTTTGTCATTTCTTGGAATAAGAGGAAACAATTTCGCGAGCTCTGAAGAAGGCCGCGACGACGCCGACCACTTGCAAATGATTCGAACATCCCGTCGAAAGATTTTCCTCGGCGTCGGCCAGACCATTTATGATCTCGCACATCGCCTAAAACATCCCCTTGAAATCTGGAACTTTCTTCCTTCCTTAAACTTAAACTCATAGAAGCAATTATTAAAAGATTGTCACCTCATTAGGGATGTCCAACTGGCAGACGAGGTCGTGAATGTGTGTGATAATGTCTTGAAGAGCGAAACCTGAGATGATTTTCCTGCGAAGCTCTGGAAAGAAAATAAATGTCGAGAGAAATGAGAAACGGCCTTCACCTTCAATGCAATACTTCGCAGGCTCGTTCAGCAAAACTTTCAAGACTTCTTTTATTTCTACAGGTGTCGGCTGGCCCACACACTGATAAACGTTGTTTTCGTTGATTTCGTCAAACCCCATCGAAGTGCTCTGAATAAAAAAAAAGTATGACTATGGAAAAAGAATATAATAACCTGTAAGGTATTCAAAACAGACCGCATATCGCCGTTGGATATTGCCAGAAGGGCGTTTTTCCCATTTTCTGTCATTTTCAGGTTTTCCCTATCCACCTCAACTCAAATATGACCAAAAACTCCAAAAACACAGCACGAACCACGTATTGTAAACGAGGAACAATTAAGCTCAACTCTAATGGAGCGAAACGGAAACGAGTGCATCTGAAAAATAAACGGAAGGAGTTCAAAAAGCTTTAGAAAAAAAGTTGCCTTGATTGAATAGCCGGAATGATGGAAGATAAGAAATTGCAAATGATACAGAAACGAGCATTGTCGGTGTATTTTTCAATAATTCTAAAAAAATGGATGTAATAGTGAACTGATAGAGGCCAAACCTTCTGAGAGCGTTTTGAGCGTCGTTTGTCATGGAATCAGCTTCGTCCAAAACAACGAGTTTGAAAGGAACTTTAGATTCGTCTGCTCGGAAGTTGACGAGTGACTTTGTTTGAGCAAAAGTCACAATTGTATTTCTTAAAAAATCAACTTTATAATGCATTAAACTTTGATAAAACCTCACGACGTCGATTCCTCGCTCATCCGAAGCATTTAATTCCAAAACCATAGAACGGTAGTCTGCCGTCGAGTACATCTTTCGCGCTGCGGCCAAAATAGTCGTCGTTTTTCCTGTACCGGGCGGACCATAGAACAGCAAATGAGGGAGCGTGCGATTTTCGATAAATCGGCTCACTGAAATTAACTAAGATAACATTTCTTCTATAGTACTATTCGAATTAGGACTAATTTGTTCAAAGGATAAATGAAAAAACCTACGAGTTTTGACAATTTCTTCATGAGCAACGAGTTCGTCGAGTTTTTTTGGTCTGTACTTTTCGACCCAAGGAAGATTGGTTTTAACCTCCATCCACTTCAGCAAACAATTATAACTGATCGCGTATTAAACAGTGTTAACACAAAAACTTTTTTTACAAGTTTTAAACAAATTCAAATTTTTTACGGAATGCGCGCGCCAGCGGAATCGTACATTTTCGCGTATGTGTGCGATAAACTAGTGCTCACCATACACCATTGCAAAAATTAATTAATTTAATTAATTTTGCAAATTTTTTTATACATTTTTTTAAAAAAATATACACGTTTTGTTGACGTGTCAAAATTACGGTCTCATATATAAGTGTTAAATATATATATATGAAAAAAATTCGATTAAAAAAATTTTTTTTTCTGAAAAAAACACTTTTTTTAAGTTTTATTAGTGATGTTTTTTTCTCAATCTTCTTCACGGATCAGTTTTTTTTTCGAAATAAATGTTTATGAAAAACGAAAAATAGAAGCCATAAAAAAACTTTTTTTGTATATTCAAACCAACAATTCAAGCCCAGAAAGCTGAAAATGTATATAACATGTTTCAACCGTGTGCTGTGTTAGTAACGAATTCGTTATAACATGATCAGATTTTTTTTGTAGAGAAAAAGGTTTTTCATGCTCTTCCTCGTTATTTCTCCCAATATTTTTCAATGATAGGGCCCTGTTCTGTTTATAGCGCATTATATCCTGTTCATGTTTTTTTCTTCTTTCGAAGACACGAGATACCCTCAGTTTATATGCTGAATCTCTCTTTTTCCTTTTGTAATAAATATCTTCGAAAGCTTTTTGCGAGGTTCCAACAACGTTGTTGGTTGCAGAAGATGAGCATTTTGGAAATAAACTCGATCACCAAGAATGCCGAAACAATGCTCGATTATTTCAAAAAAGGTTAATTTTTTTCTTACTTTCTTATTAAATCTTTTAATTCAGGAGAAGAAAGTGTTGATCAAATCTTGAAGAGATCTAACAAAGTTTCCGAGAAAGTTTTGTGCATGTGGGAGTACGAAAAGGCCTTGAAAGCTGTCAATTCTCTGACCGTCAATGGAGAACGTCGAAACGTCATTCTAGACGACCTCCAACGGGAAAACCGACAGATTATAGCATTTCAGGTTTTTTTTTTTTGAAAATCTTTGCAAACTACTTATTATTTGAAGAACGAGAATCGTTGGCTGAAAGAGGCAGTGGAGCTTTGTATTTCTACGCTGAACGATGTGATGGAAGGGCATACTTCGATCCGCGAAGCTATAAAAAGGTTTTTTGTATGATCTTGATTATTGTTCTACATCCTTGATTTCAGGCAAGAAAGTTTGCCTCATATCCAAGATTTTTCGAATTTACTTCCTGCTTGCATGGAGTCTACCCTTCAGGACGAATTAAGGTGTGTTGCTAAACTTTTTTTTTAAAGAGTGTTATCCCTGAAGTTGTATTTTTTTCAGAGAAAATGTTGAAAAAATGTGTGAAATAGTGAGTGCCGCAGAAGAAACCCAAATCAAAGACAACGCTCTCTACGGACAGCTGGTTACCGAGAACAAAGTTTTGAAGTGAGTCCCTACGGTTTTACGTCTATTTTTCGTTAATTGGTATATGACAAAACTAAAAAAAATTATACTTTATCATTCAGGCGAATCACGTTATGCAGTCCTTGAAGTTAATTTTTTTTTATTAGTGTTTTTGTCGCTGAGCCTCGAGCGTTTTTAAAACTAACAGTCTATAGGTTGGAGAGAAAAAAGGAGATCATTTAGGAGTTTTTTTTGAGAACGGACCTTTTAAGGTCTTTTTGTCGCATGTCTCTCAGTTCGGCTTTATTTGAAGTTATACTGCCCTTTTATTCATTTTTTAATTAATGTTGTAACTTTTTTAGAGATATGATCGGATGGGCTTTCCTTTCTTGTCCGACGGCACGAGCCACCATGCGAGAAGCGCTTCGCCAGATCGAAGAACTCGAAGAGGAAAACCACCATTAATCGAATCTCGCACAGAGTTTACAGTACTTCTCACCCTTTGATCACAGCGTCTATTTTTGTATCTCTTCTCTCTCTTGGTTTTTGCTATCGTCTGCGCACAGTGATCAATTACGTCGTCATATCATTGGTCAAACCAGCGAATTTTCACCCTCCAGTCATTGATCTTAGGATCATTGACTTTCAAACTCATTTTGAATAAAAAATAGTCGACAAAAACAAAATTCGGTACTATATTTGCTTGTTTTGCAAAGTCAGCGAACATAGAACGTTTATCTTTTCTGTTATATATATACTTTTTGTTTTTTTTTCATTGTTCCAGAATACGGGTTACGGTATCGAAAACAACTTTCCCACAAACTAGACTTTCTCCATTGACTGTTTGTCCTGCTTCTTTGTTGCATCATTATATATCTGTACATTCATGATAAAGAATTTATAACAAAATCAAAGATTAAAAGCTTTCAACATAATAGCCTTTCAATTTGTTTGTCATTGCACGATATCTTTTAATACATTATATATATATATATATATATACTAACATTGCAAGTTCTTGCACGATAGTGCATACGTCGCTTTTTTTCCCGTAAGTTTAATGAGAACTGTGTGATTAACCCTGAATGGGGAATATCCTAGAAAGGACGTTTGCAGTTGGAACGAGGTGAGGCATTGGCCTAGGAAGAGCTCTGACGACGTTCGGCCTGTAGAAGATCTGCGGCGCCAAGGTTCCTTTGGCAGTTTCCTCGATGCCGACGCTTTTCACCTGCGAATCGCGAAGATAAGATCCGTCCGACGGACAAGGTTTCTTACAATGGCTGTCGAGTTGTATTGTCCAGGAACGAAGGTTTCGACTCTTCCCTTGAGGCACGAATGAAGGAACGACTCGATGTGTCCATGCTGCTCGAGTCGGTTGTTTGCCTATAAACAGATCGACGTTCTTTTTTGTCCCCACACTCCGAAGTCTCACCTTGCGAACTCCGTGTCCTTCGTCTGGATAGAGGACATAAGTCACGGGGATGTTGCGTTTCTCGAGGGCGGCGACGAATTGGTCGGATTCGTGCTGTCGGACTCGCGGGTCGTTGGCGCCTTGGAGGATGAGCAGAGGCTTGCTGACGCGGTCGGCGAAGAACAAGGGCGAACGAGCGGTCAGAGACTGACGTCCGGCCTCACTGAACCTCTTCTATCCTTTTTGAAACACGGGATGATTGACTCACGTGTTGATATCAGCTCCCACCATCTTGACCAGGTCCTGATAGAAACCAAGCCAGTATGGCGGCACGGCCTGCAGCAGGGAGACCAGGTTCGAAGGTCCGACTATGTCTACTCCACAAGCGAACACTTGTGGCGTGAACGTGAGTCCGACGAGTGTAGCGTATCCACCGTAGCTGCCTCCCATGATGGCGACTTGGCTGCGGTTGGCGATTCCTTTGGCGACGGCGAATTCGACAGCGTCGAGTAGGTCAAAATGCATTTTTCGGCCCCACTCGCCGTTTCCCGCGTTTGTTAGTCGCTTTCCAAAACCGACACTTCCTCTGAAGTTGACCTGAAATGAGAGTTATTAGTGAATCTCAGGATAATCCAGAATACCTGAAGAACGGCGTAGCCTCGGTTGGTGAGCCAGGCGTTGAAAGGACTGAAGCCGTACGTATCGCGAGCCTTGGGTCCTCCGTGCACTAGAACCACCAATTTCTGGGGAGAGGCTGGAATCAAGCCGTGGTCGGCGTAGCCTTTGTCGGCAATCGGCACTTGTGCGGCTGTCAGAAGAGGCTCCTGAGAACTCGGAAGTTTTTTGATTGAACTATTATTCGATTCTACCTGCGCAGGCAAGCTAAGATAGGCCTGGATGACGAGGTCGTCTCTAGTCTTGAAGTCGAATCCGATCTGCTTGTTCAAAGGATAGCCTTCAAGTTCTGGACGAGTGTTCATGAACAGTTCTGCCTGAAATTCTAGTTGATGTCCAGCTGAATTGGAGGGCTAACCGTCTTGAGCCACCTCCGGTAAACAAAGATTTGAAATGGATCCTCAGCCGAAAGGTAAGTGACCAGCCATGTATTCATGTCTGAAACGGAAAATGCAAACAGCGCTGTGGGCGAAAACAATACCTGTGCTCAAGGAGAGAATCTGCAAACTGGCCTTGGGCCGCAGGTTGACCAGGTATTGGAGGTCCTCCATGACTGTGTCGTTGGCGATGAACATTTCAGGCTTATGATAAACTTCAGTGAGACCGAGCAAAGTCTTGTCCTGAGGATGGATGAGGACGTTTCCGATCTGCGCCTTTGTGGCCGTATAAAGAATCTCACGAGTCTTTGGGTTCTCGAATGGGAACGTGACCAGTGCCCCTGAAATTTTCTTGTTTTCCATCAATAAATGTTCTCAGCAGAATCACCTAGGTCGGTGCCTTCCCCGAGGATCCAGTACATGTTTTTGTTAGTCTTGTCGAAGGTTATTGGCCTGAAACAGAAATTTTTTTTGAAAAAAATTCTGACTTGGCTTACATTGTGATTGGCTTATCATCATGCTCGACGCGCATGTACTCTACCCAGTCAGACTTATCTGTTGTCAGGCTTTTGAGGTTTGCTTTGTCGGATGGACTGAAAAGGTAGAATTCTATATAATGTAAGCTTTTTGTGTTTTACCGCGAGTAGATCATCACTCCTCCAGGTCCTTCTTCCCCTCCGAGACGAATTTGCATGTCGTTGTCGAAGATGAACATTGGGAAGCGTTTATTTCTGACCACCAGCGTCAGTTCATTTGTCTTGAGGTCAAAGTTATAAACGTTATGAAGTCTGAAAACAAAAAAAGTTGAATAAAATTTCGAACGAAGATGACTGACGCTGGATTTTCGTCGTTCAGACCGATTATGAGACGAGAGTCAATCATGTTGTTGGCCATGATTGCGGCCTTGACGTTCTTGCTTTCCGAGATGGAGAATCTGTTCATGGGATCCGTCTCGAGAGCTTCCTGAGATCTTTTTTGTCCGATGCGCGAAAAATAACTAACTCACCCTTGAAATATTCTTTTTGTAGAGCCGAGTGTTCTCATCGCCATGGTTGTCTTGCGAATAAAGAATAATGTCGGGGAGAGCAGTCCAAGTGTAACCTTGAATGATTGTGTGATATTGGAAAATCACGAAAGAAGCAAATGAATTTTGAAATATCTCACTGAGTACGTCGTGGGAAGTCTCAAAAGTGACTTGACGAGTAGAAGAACATGAGACACACCGCGTAAATAAATTCTTGGCTCCTTTCTCATCTGGAGCAATGAAGCCGACAAGTCTGAAGAAACCAGAAGGTTGACAGTGAGGAAACCTCTAGCTACCTGCCATCTGGACTCAGCGACACCGAAGAATATTTAGAATCGGCAAAAAGAAGATCTCGTGGAATAAGAGTGGCCTTTACCACGAGCGGGAGAAGGAACAGCCAAAGCATGAACCCTGAATAGCCGTGTTGTGAAATGTGAAGTCGATATGGAAAAAGAACAAAAATGAACGAGCAAACGTGATGAGATCTTAGCAAAGAAGTGACCGGAGAAGCGGAAGTTGACCAACACACGCGCTATTTGTATAACAATTTTCGGGAGTTCAAAATGGACAGTAGCGAAATCTAACGAGCAAACAAAGGAGTTCTTAACGGTTAGACGGCCCGAGTTGCCAACTGCTGGCCTTTATAAGACGAGGCCGACAATGGGGTCGTGGACAGTGGGCCGGCCAGGACTCAAATCCTCGGCTGGCTCCTTTTGTTTGAGCTTTGCACACTTGGGCGAAAATAGACACTGGCTCAGCAGGTGGAGAGCGAAGAAGAAGAGGAGTGGACGGTGGAACTTGCCTAGGTCCAATAAATACATTTCAGCCCAAAGTTTTATGGCGAGAGGGTTGGCGTAGGCGTTTTGATCGGTTACGATTCCTCAACGACTGATCAAATTGTCGGACGACTTCCGACGTCTTCTCTCTCTCTCTTTTCGGGGAGAAAAAAAAACAGAAGTGCGGAACACGTGTGAAGACGTCGCATCAAGAGAGAAGGAGAGATGAGCTACACGCCATCACCTTATCAAATCATTTGTTGTTTTTTTTTCCACTTCCGACATTCCGCGAATAGACCAAGTCGTTCTGAAGAAGACCAGCAGTGTTTTGTCTGATCTCGGCGACTCCCATGGACGTCGGTGGTCTGGTGTGAGTCATTTTCTCAAGCTTCGGAACTGAAAATCATAGGTTCAAACTTTCATCTTCGACATCTTGAATCCCAACGATTGGTATCACTCTTTGCTGTTTGATTTTTAGTGGGGTTGACCAGTTCCTTGCGATATTTTGGCCCTATGGCGATGCAAATATGTCATCTGTACAAAGCACAATTTCTGTGCCCTGAAAAAATTTGATAGTGACGCTTGAGGATCAACTTTTGGTATTTTTTAAAAAGAAAAATTTCTCAAAATTTGACTGTCTGTTTTGAGTTTTGAAGATTGTAATTTTCCGAGCACAACTAGTCATCGATATGAGCTGGGATTTTCTTTCTATTTTTCCTCTGTGAACTTTTGACCTTTTGGTGTTTATTTTTGTTCTTGCAACTTTACAGTAAGTTAGAGTGATATTGTTGCGACTTCCTTTTTTTGTGACCTTGGAACTTTCTTTCTAGTTCTTATCTTTCTCAGTTGCACGGTACATTCAACGTTCCCCAGTTTGTACTGTAGAGAAGTTTATCGCCCATCTTTCTCCAGTTCTTTTTTTTTTCAAAATTTCGAGGGCATACTACATTGGTAGAAACTATCTAATGTGTTAAAAATAGCAACAGAAAAAAAAAACGAAGTTAAATGTTGTAATAAACTTATTCTTCAGCACAAATGAGAGTGGCTGCGAATCTGACGATGCTATTCACGGAAGTTCCGCTGATTGAAAGGTGTGAAAATGAACCAATCGTTATTTTTTCATAGGTTTGAAGGTATGCAGCTGCAGCGAGAGCCGGCTTCAAGTTGGTTGAAGTCAGTCTGCCTTATTCGGAAAGCGCTGAAACACTGAAGGAACAGGCCGACAAGTACCAACTCCAGCACACCCTCATCAATGCTCCTACTGGTAAACTAATCCAACACATTATGAACCATTAGAAAGGATTCTTCATGTAAATTGATACCTGCATGTTTGTTTATATTTTACCATTTCGCATGTCTGTCACACAGTTTAACATTTCCAAGTCATGTTCTAAATTTCAACGCCGTTTCAAAACGGCTGTCGAAAGGAAGACGTAGGAAGACCACAGAAAGTTTTCTCCGAAAGTTTCACGTGACGGGGGCTCCTCCATCGGACAGCCACGACCTTGATCCAACGAGTATATTGACTACAGATGAAAAAATGTCTCTTTTCTCATGACTTTTCTTCTTTTTTTCTAGTTATCGAATATCGGAATAAAAACGAAGAAAAAACCAAGAAAATTAAAATGTTGAATGAATTTCAATGCAAAAATGTTTCATTGTTAATTAACGTTGTAAAAAGACACAATTGATGATCAGTTCAGGTGACTGGTCAGCAGGTTTCCGCGGCCTCGCATCACTTTCCTCGCAGAGCGAACAGTTCGAGAAAAGCATCGAAACTGCCATCGAGTACGCCAAAACGCTCAAATGTCCGAGGTAAATGGGGTTTCGCGTTTCTATAAAAACTTTTTTCAATGACGCCAAATACATCTTTCACTTTAAACTTTCAGAGTACACGTAATGGCTGGAATTCCTCTTGGAGAAGATATAAGATTTGCTTCGGAAACTTACTCAAGGAATATACGATTTGCCAGTGAAAGGCTTCAGAAGGTTTACTCTGTGCAATCGACCTCGATTAAAATGAAAATTACAGGAAAAAATCCTCTGCCTCATTGAACCTATCAATACGTTCACCATCAAGGGATATCATTTAAACTCGTTTGATTCGGGTTTCCACGTGAGAAATAATGCGAAAATCTATTTTTTTTTTCAGCTTCCAAGCTTCTGGATGAACTCGCCGACCCCAATTTGAAAATTCAATACGTATGCTCTTCGAATTTCATTTATTCGCATTTGAAGGATTTTTTTATTTAGAGTTCTTCATTATTCAATACTTTAGGACATTTTCCATGCTCAGCAAATCAATGGTAGCCTGACCGCAACTATGCAGGATCTCCATGAAAGAATCGGTAATGCCGATTATCTCTTCTTCTTAATATGATTTCTCACATTTTTAGGATACATCCAAGTCGCACAAGTGCCAAATCGCGATGCTCCAAACGCTTCCGGAGAAATCAACTTTGCCTACGTGTTCGAATGTATAAACAAAGTGAATCCAAAATTAATAATTGGTTTTGAATACAATCTGAAAGAAGCTCGTTTTGATAAAAAATCATTCGACTGGATGTTCTCATTTGGTTTGCAATTCTAAATCATTAGACCTTGCAACTTTCGTGAAAAAAATTTGAACTAATTGTACTTTTATCGTTGTACAAATGTTAATATTTTGTATAAATTTTTTGATGTATATTGTTTGAATTATTAAATTTTTAAAAAAATTGATTTTTACTTGAAATAAAGAAAATTTAAAATTAACCTTTCTTGTTTAGACTTTTTTTACCTTTGCAAATAATCATCGAGAGAAATCCTTAAGTATTCAAAAGGTCTAAAAAAGAGAACTTCGATAAGTATTTTCAATAATAATATATGTATATACATATTTAATTTTTTTAAAAATACCGCCGAAATTTTGACGGTGCAATTTTTCACAACTTCGTGAGGTCATGCGGTTATGAGAGACGGTGTATTTTACTTTGAACACCAGATCGGACGACGGTTTGTTTATATTTTTTTTATTTCGTTTTATTTGAATTTGAATTTTCGTTTAGTTTACCGGAAACTTCCATTTTTAAAATATTGATTATTGAAATTGTTTTGTGTTTCCTGTTCTTTTTGGGTGGGGCTTGAACGGTGTTCAATTGTTTTTTTATAATCAAGTTTATGGATATTTTTGGGCTTGCAAGCAGAAAGACTAACAAAAATAGTTTTTAGATGGTCGTAGATAAAAGTAGCAGTGCCACTGGGGAAGTTTATTTTCCACGGGGTGGAGGCACTGATTCTAAACCGAAAAAGAAAGATACTCAAGTTGTTTCTACAACGACCAAAGCCACGAAGGGAAAAGCTGAAAAGGTGCGTTCTAAAAATGTTTAAATTTGAAGAAAACCGTAAAATGTTCTGATTTTGCTCAAGTGCTGACTAATTTCAGAGAAAACTAGATACAGAGAGAAATGTCTCCAGCAAGAAGAAGAAAAAAGATAAAGACATGTGGACATGTAACGTGAGCGATGAAATGTTTTTAGAAGGGCTCATGGGAGTTGGAGTTGTGCAAGAGGTTTTCATTCTGTCTTTTAGCGTGAACTAAAATATTTCCAGGTTTTTGAAGATCATCTCTTCATGGAGACCATGGCCCACACAACTGTGGAGCTCACCTCAAACAACGTAATATTTCTTTTTTTCTTATATATCGAAAAATATTTTTAGGTTTCTCCGAAGTTCAGCGAGCTTTTTCAATCGCAAGGCTTAACGATGAGTAAAGCGTTTACAGTGGGACAAATGGTCCCATTCAAAGTCATAAATCGAAAAGCTAAAGACGGTTTGTTGAGAAGAACCTTCATTTGAAATGTTTTCGTGCTTTAGGAAACAAGCATGTTCGTCCTAAGGTGACTTGCGATCCACACCAACTCAACTCGCACTTAACGCCGAAGATGCTGTCGACTGGCCTTGTCCTTCACTCGATAGTCATCAGTATTGAAGAAAAAGGTATAAAAGGGTTATCCGCTGAATTATAGCGTTTTTTAGGCGCCATACTCGATTTGGGAATGGATTCGCTGCAGGGATTTGTCGAGAAAGAAAGTCAGCCCCAGGGGATCTTTGAGGGACAGCCGCTGATCGTTCGCATTGAGAGCGTCCTTTCGCGAGTCGTTCGTGTCTCCACTCTCGTCGAACAAGTGCCGAAAAACGCCAAATCCTATATTTTCGAAGTTTACAGGACAATCTGAGCATGGGAGCTTGTGAAAAACTCAAAATGGATCATCTGATGCCGGGGACGATTCTAGACTGCGAGCCGACCGACGACGAGCCAACCGCCTCCGGCATCACAGTCACTATTGGAAACGGTATCACCTTTACTTAACAACTTTTTTAAAGAATCTTTTGAACAAATTTCTAAAAAAGTCATGACAAACTGGTTTTCCAGAGAAGCTTTTTAAAAAAAAGGATCCGAAGTTTGACAGAAATAGGGAGAAGTTGTGAGCGTTTTTTTTCCTTATTATTATTTTTTCCGGTTTTAGATATACCTTTTGAACTTATGAAGTTCACCTGGTTGAACTGTCGATAAATAACCTTGCTTCACTTCTCTTACGTTTTTATAATCATGATTTCCTTTCTTTTCTTCCATCAAGAAGATCATATTTTTTTCATTAAAAAAAATCAGGCATCCGCGGAACGATCCAACGAAGAGCCCTGCCTACAAGTCTCCGGGAGAACGTATCCGGCTTCGGGAAGTCGATTCGCGCCGTCGTGATGATGTGCCAACAGAACTCGAATATTCTGGTCCTGAATGCCCATCAAGACATCGTCGCCGTCAGCAAGCCTCAGCGACGCACCAATTTCGAGGTTTCACTACTTTGACGTCGTCTCGAATTGTTTTTGGCAGGGAATTTCCGTCGGCGACAAGATCCAATGCAAAGTCTTCGACGTCATAAAATCCAAACATTCTGTTTGTTTTTCGATTTTGAAGGACGAAAATAAAAAACTGACGATAACTGCAATTGGCGCGAAGGCGATGCTCGACAAGTCTGAGAAAATTGGTGAGTGAATCAATAAAAAAGGTTCATTTGCAAAAAAAAGTCTACAGATGTGAGTGAAATTCCTGAGAATGAAGATAAAAAAATTTTTGTGAAAAAAAGTTTTTCGAATCAAAGAAATGCTTCAGGAACTTCTCGAGTTCCGTAAAGCCGTAGTTCCATTAAAAATAACTTTTTTTCTCGAAATCACATAATTTTTTTATGAAGGAACTGAAATGTTTTTCTGTTCCATAGTCATATAAGAGAAGTCAAAACACGGTTTGACAAAGTTAAAAAAAAAAAACCAAAAAGAGCCTTTTCAGTTTAAAAAAAAAGCTAAAAATTATTTCTTTCTGTAATTTTTAGCTAATATGCCAGTCACATGTCAACGAGTTTTTTCTGCAGAAGAGGAGTACAAGATCGGAAGTCTGAAGGAATGCCGGGTGATCGGCATGAGATACGTGGATCGTTGTCTTCTCGTGGCGACGCGACGCGACATTCTCAAGCAGCCTCTCGTTTCCTACAAGGTATCCTCTTTCAGCGCAGATTCGTCGATCGTGAGCGGAGGCAATGATTTTTGTTAAAAAGCAAATGAAAACTTAACTCTTAGAAGCTTTTCCCATGTAAGAAGTACGAGGGTCAATGAAATAGTCAGAAACTTTTCTTGACTCCAACCCCTCCGATTATTGACGACTCTTTGCAGTTCGCGTTGTCTGAAAAGGAGTCAAGGACATGGAATCAGTTCAGATGAATCTTTCATTTAATGATGCTCCATGTTCAGGATGCTGTTTGTGGAGACGTCGTTGAGGCGAAAGTCACGTATTGCAACAAGTCGGGCATTTATCTCAACGCCTGCAATTTCGTCCGCGCCTTCATTCCCCTCACATTGATCAGCCCCAAAACAGCCAAGAACTACATGAAGAAGTTGTCCGTCGGTACGGAAAGTTAATCCTCTCTCAATCTCACACGAAAGTGCGAAAATCTCTGTTATGATAATATATTTTCGGAGTACCTGCAACACGAAACATCTTTTTTGAACAGAACGCGCTTTACGAATAAAAATAAGAGAAAATAGTTTGCAGAAGTTCGAAACTATTTTTTGATGAATTTTTTAGAAAATTTTTTTTTGCAAAATTAACAAAGTTCAGTTCACGTATTTCCAACAATCCCTCCTTAACTTTATATCTATGAATTTTCGAAGCTATCATTTTTTTCAAACTTGTAGACACTGTGCTGAAGTGCGTGGTATGGGATGTGAATGAAAAAACCAAACAAATTATCCTGACAAATCGCGAAGAAATCGTCAATTTCCAGGTGATTATTTTGACCTTTCTCTGAATTTCCTCGGGGTTCAGGGATCGAAGCTGAAGGCAGAAAAGTCTTTGTCGGAGGGAAACACGTATCCGACGACTGTTCTGCAGATCTTCGAGAAAGGTTCCCTGCTTCTTCGAACTTTCCGCGGTCTTCGAGGCGTTCTTCCTCATTTTGAAGCGGCTCTACTGCAGAATGTCAAGTCAGCTTTTGTGATTAGTTATTCGTTCGAAGAAAAGGAGGAAGACAAAAATACATTGAAAACTTAAAAAAAATGAACGGAAAAAATTGATAAGGATATCCAAAAAATCTCAAGACTACGGAGTTATTGAGGCAGTGGATAAAACGATAAAAATAAATTTTAGTGAAAAAAAAAGAATGAGAAAAAAGTAAAAGCGGATTTTCAGAGTAAACGATTTCGTCGAGGCTAAGGTGAAGAGCATCGACAGCGCGAAAAGGGTCAATTTCACTCTCGGATCGCTTCCCAAGCAGTTGGTCGCTTCAGAACTGAAAAAAGTCATACGACCTAATGTAACCATTTGAAAAAGTAAATTCCAACAGCAACATTCATTTTTCCAGCCGACAGAGCATCTCAACAACGAAAATGTGTTCTCTGGCGTCGCGAAATCTCAGAAGGCCAATGAAAGTGTGACCGTCGAGTATAGTGTTGAAGGACAAGTATCGCAGCTTTTCGAGGCCTTTTCAATGAAATGATTCCAGAATGTCGAGGCTGTACTTGAGAACAGCATGATTTTCGACAGCTTGGATGCCCCTCTCGGAAGTTTAGTCAACGCTTCGATCAAGAAAATGAAGTTTGACACGATCGTTCCTCTGGGAACAGTTGGAAACTTTAACCGAGTATGGAAAAACTGTCTTTTTCCAAGTATAATTACTGTTTCAGGCTTGTGCTAAGGGCTCTGTGGCCACATTTATGAAGGAAATCGGGCAGAAGCCTCTGCTGACTTTCCAAGATCTCAAGGAGAAAATGGTACGGAATCGGATTCAATTTTCGTTTTAAATGGGAACTTTCAGGTCCTTTGCGCAGTTGTTCATCAAAAACTGGACGACGTTGGAACTTTTGTCGAAATCTGCGGTGGATCCGGTCTCGTTGCGCTTTTATATTGTCGAGGTGCGCTGTTTACAAAAAAAGATAATTTCAGTACTGTTTTTAGAACTTATCAGTATTAGGTTTTCTGTAAATGTTTATCAGAAGGAAGGTTTTAAATCGGAATAACATTTTAGGAGAGAAAATGTTGGACTCTCCGCATCCTCTGGGTCACGTCCTGATCGGCGAAGTCGTCAGACTGAACAAGGAGAAGAAGTTGTTCTGCTTCAACCTCGTGGTACCTACATTATGTTTTTTTTTTTGAATGGCAATGCATTTCTAGACCGGTTCCGGAAATACTCTCGAATGCTTCTCCTTGACTTTACTGAAAAACATTGTCGACGAACTCTCGTGGGCCGCAAAACTGTCCAACTTTCCGGTCCCAGGTTGACCTTTCCTCTCGATCTTTCTGAATATTTGGCCTCCTTAGGCACACAACTTTCCGCCACTGTTTCGAATGAACTCGATGAATATTTCGTCGTTCGTTTCTCTTTCAAAAAGAAGAAAATGACTGGGATTTTGCACAAATCGACTTCCGTCGAAGCAAAGGTGTGTGGCCTCCAGGTTCATGAATTTTTTCTAATCAGGTGGGCGAAGAGCTCGGATGTATCGCCGTGGAGAACAACTACTCAACGAACGAAGTTTTAGTGGCTTTGGCTTCAGATGACGTGAGCTCTGCCTCCACATGAGTAAAGACTGAGAGTTTACAGAAACCGCGTGTGGTTTCTGTCCGAAAAGATTACGTTGCCTTGGTTAGTAAGAAGGGACTGATCTACATGCCCACAAGACTCCATCCTAATCACGTCCCTTCTACCGGTAAGTGCTTTTTTCTGGCCGTGAAAACTTGCAAAACTTGTTCGATGTATATTTTTTATTCGAAGTATTTTACAGCTGAACTGAGAATTTTCCAAATAAAAAAACATTGCAAAACACTAGTGAGTTAACATTCGAATAAGTTTTTGCGAAAATCCTGTCCTTGCTTCTTTTTTCTTGATTTCGGCGGCTTAGGTGGGAGTTTCTATGGGTTTCTTTCAGATTCTTCCTCAAGTCCGCCGACTCCCATAAAATTTATATCACGGGTTTTTTATTTTCAATGCTCTTGATTGTAAAGTAACATAGTTTAAGCGTTCAGCTAATTGGGCTGTTCAAAATATATCAAATTTTACTTCAAAAATTTAAGAATGAAAATTGTTATCGAATATAAATAAATGTTCACACTATTCCTGGAAATTTGATAAAGAGAAAAACAAAATATAGATAAACTGAGGAAGTCTGGAAATTCAGGAATACGTAAGAAAGTTGAAAAATACTTTGCTCGCTTAATTGTCGCTTGACCTCGCTTTGTATTTTGATATTTTTTTCCGTTTTAATCCCCCTCGTTTTACATTATTTTTTTATGAAAAATATTCAAATATAAACCAAATATAAACCAAAAACCTTTCACTAAAATGATTGATCTTTTTTTTGTAGATCTGGTGAAAGTCGGCGATTCATTTTCTGTCAAAACGAGTAAGCATAACGAAGTTTTGGTGGGTCATCGGAAGGAAGACGAACAGCTCGCGGCTTCGTTGGAGGACCTTCTCTCTGGGGGAACGACTCAAAAGACGAGCTTTGTAAGAAAAAAAAAATTCTTTTAGAGATTCTTTTTCCGATTTTTAGATGGTAAAAACCATAAAGAACTTGTCGATCTACACGGGAGTTGTCGTTGGAGAGTGGAAGACGCCTGAAAAACACACCAAACAGACACTCTTCGCCAAGATTTCCTTGCCTGGCGGACACATTGGTTTCCATTTTATTAAAACTTTAATTAAGTATTCTCTGTTGAATTCGCAATATTTTTCGATTTTATAACGACCATAGTTTCACAGATCTGTGAATGTGCACTTTGATCTAAGAATTTTGGAAAGATGAGTTGAGAAATGAAAAATTGGGCAATCTTCGTGATTTTTGAAGGAGCTCTTTTTAATTCAATGTGGTTAAACTGAAATTTTGAGTTGAATTAATTGTAAACATCTTGGTCAATTCAGAATTTTACGATAAACTAGCCTTTGAACAAAATCGAACTTAAACAAAAATATGGACATTTTGGGGAAAAAGCAGAGTTTCATAGATAGTTAAAATGTCAAGAATATGTTTCCTACTCGTTTTTCTCAGCTGAGTTTGTATTTCCTCACATTCAAATACATCAGGCCGCATGCACGTCTCCGAAATGCCGTCTTCGGTTTTGGTCGAGAAGTCCTTGCCTCTGGAGGCGTTCCTCGGAAGGAATCTCCAGAAGGAAGTCATCGTTCGAGTCATTGGCTTCGTCAAAGCCCAGGGAAAGGCGAGTCCAAACATTTTAGCGCCATTGCCATAGTTTTACAGGAAAGAATCGCGGAGTTGACAATGCGAGAAGCCAAAATCAACTCGGTCAAAGCTCATGCTAGCGAACTCGGCTTCAAGACCCACTTCAAAGTGATTTTTCAAATCTCGCCTCATTGGGATCATATGTTTGTTTGTGCAGGAGGGAGAGAGAGTCATGTGCTTCGGAATGGCTTCTTCTTCGCCCAACAATTTGAAGCTCGAAATCAATTCTTTATGGACGGCAACTGTGCCGCGTGAAAATGTTGGAGAAGACTTGAAGGTTTCTTTTCATAGATAAGAATCACTGAGGGGTTTTCCAGCGCTACGAAAAATTTGAGAAAAAAAAAATTGTATTCTGTCTGAAAAAAATAATTTTACAAGCTCGAAGTTTTTTTATTTTTCAGGCTCTGAAGCCAGAAGGAGGTGTTATCGATATGGAACTGGCGAAAGGCGAAATGCGCTTCGCCACTGTCACAGCCGTCAATAAAAAACAGAAAACTTTGGCTGTTTCGTTTGAAGTTCCAGAAAACCGAGTGGGTATTATTTTTCATCTTTTTTTTTCTTTTCTTCTTCATTTCTAGAGATTTTCAGGGATTCTCGAGAGGCCAATGCCTGACCGGCCGCGTTTTCGAGGTCCAAAAGCGTCCTTTGTCTGTCCGACTCCATCTCTCTTCCGGGCTACAGGCGATTTTGAGCCCGACCGCTGTCTCTCAAAACTACGAAAGTGTCGCCAACCAAGTGGCCAACAATTTTGCCATCGGCCAGGTTTTTCCACACATCAAAAAAAAGTTGAGAAAAGGATTCAGATTGCACAAGTTTACGCTTTTTGTATGGGCGAAGCTCCTCGCAGATACTACGTCGTGACGGAAGAAAGGTTTTCGAAGCGCGGGAAAGAGGAAGAATCTGATCGCCGTCGGCTGATTTCTGACCGTACAGAACTGAAACGCGGACAAATTGTAGGGAAACATGTTTCGAACAGGTCGTGTAAGGCAAGGTTTCAGCTCGACGGTTTCGTTACGAAAGTCCAAAAAGAAGGAACGATAGTGGAAATCGGTCCAGGAGTCCGTGGAAAATTGAACTTTCTTCCCGACAAGAGAATGTCATATAACGAAATCTCCATTTTCTGATAGCTGTTTTTTCAGAAAGCCCATTGCTGTCAACAGCGTAGTTGCTGTACAGATTCAGCACATTGACAAGGAGAGCATTGTTCTGAATTTGGAAAAGGTCTACGACGTGTTGGCTAACGCGGTTCGGAAACTTTCTAAACATATTAATACTCTATTTTTTTCTCAGAGTTTGATTGAGTCGGAGACAAAGAAAAAGAAAAAGGACGCCAAGGAAGAAGAAGGGATAGTCGACGTCGAGGTTTTTGACCCGGGGCTGGCCTCATCCCAACTTCAATTGCAGATGGAGGATCCTGGATTCGATTGGTCTAACAGCGGCTTCAGAAACGAGGACCTGGCCACTGTTGGAAAGCTTTCTTCTCAGGAAAATGCGATGGAAGAGAAAAAAAGTCTTCAAAAATTCTTTCTGATCACACATATACTTTGACTTCAGAAGCAAAAGCCAAGGACTCTGCGAAGAAGGAAAATTTGCAAGAGGAAGACGAGAAAATGGACGACGAGGAGTTTGCGAAAATGCTTCGAAACGATCCTAATTCTGCGATGCTTTGGATACGGTATCGATTGTTGTGTCTTTCGTGACTGAACGTCGCTTTCACTCAGATACATGAGCTTCTTCCTAGAGAAGGACAATTTGAGTTCGGCTAGAGCCACAGCTGAAAGGGCTTTGGAAACCATCAGCTACAGGTTGTGGCGAGAGTGTTTTCTCTCGAACTGAGATCTTTTCAGAGAGGATTCCGAGCTTTTCAACCTGTGGACGGCCTACCTGAACATGGAGGTGGCGTTTGGCGATGAGGCCTCCGTCAAGGCGGTTTTCGACCGCGCCTGTCAGAATGCCGACTCGTTCAAAATCCACAAACAACTTGCTTCTATCTACGACAACGCGGAGAAACACGAAGTTTGCTTTTCTCTGACCTTTCTGCTTCTTCATTATATAGAGCTTTATATTCACTATAACTCTGCTCTTTTCAATTTTTTGTGAAGAAATTTGTTTTCTGAGCTTCCCGATGTACGACCTGGCTGAAATCTGATCTCTTTCAGGAAGCACGCCAAATTTACGACACGATGGTCCGAAAATTCAGATCGAAGCATATCGAGGTTTTAACAGTTCTCGAATGTCCAGATTTAGATATTTCTCCCAGGTGTGGTACTTGTTGGCGGAACACGACATGAGAAATGAGAGACAAAAAGAAGCCCGAGAATTGCTCCAACGCGCCCTTTCCAGTGTCCCCAAGCAGCAACGTAGAAGTTCAATCTCAGAAATCGTTTCAATTCCCGTTTTCAGACACGCAATTGATCACCAAGTTCGCTCAGCTTGAGTTCAAGAGCGGGGATACAGAGCGTGGAAAGACTCTTTTTGAAGGCCTGGTTAGAACTTTGAGAAAAGTATGAGCTCAAAGGTTTTCCTTCAGGTGAACTCTTACCCAAAAAATACTCAGCTTTGGTTGGTCTATGCCGATGCCGCTCAGAAATACGTTGACATCGAATTGGCTAGGTGAGATTACTTTTTCATTCTTCTCTAAGTTTCAAATATATTTTCGAACGCGGCTCGTAAAGTTTTCTTCTAAGTTTATAAGGCGAGGCTTTTCCCTAGTACACGAAGCTTGGTCTTTAAGTATCTCCAGAAGCATGAAGAATATCTTTGAAGAATTATGGAACCTTTTGTTTTTCTATAACTCGAGAAATTCAGGCCGCTTATTTTATTTCGCGCCTTTTTATCGAGTTTCCAGCTAATCCGTTTTTCGAAACGTTCACCTTCATTCCTTGAAAAAAAACTTTCAGTACCTTTTCATAATAAAACGCTATGAGGGTTTCTTTTTTTAAGCTTTTATTTTTTTTTACCGATCTTTTTCATCTGTAGCTTCTTTCGCGTCTCCAAACTTTAATTACTGTTTCTCAGATTTCTAGAGTGCTCTGAAATGAGATCTGGCTTTTATTTTTTTTTGACACGTCAACCGCTATTTTGTCAGGAATGTGTTGGAACGGGCTTGCGCCGTCGGCTCCTCGATGCACATGCTCCGGCCGCTCTACAAGAAATGGTTGGAGCTGGAGCAACGCCATGGCGACGCCGACGCCATTGAACTGGTCCGAGCCAAGGCCGAGAAATACTTGCAATCCGTCGCCGACGCCATGGAAGTCGACTAGAATCTTCTTTTGTTTCAGATTTCTATGCGTTTTTGTTGGGTTACCCGCCAATTGTTATTGTTTTTTCTTTGTTAAAGTTGTTATTGTTCTGATACTTTATTGTTGATATTCCTGTTATCCACGTTAATAAATCTCAAAACTGGTGTCTATCTGTTTTCTTTAGAACGAAACGCAGGTTTATAATCTCTTTTTCATACTTCTCTCTCGTTCAATTCTACTCTTGTCCTCAGTGCTCAGCACGGATGGCGCACGGTGCATTCTGCTTTGGAGTCAAAAACTGGAGTCTGCACCGTGCAGTTTTGGTGCTTTTTTGGTGTCGCACTGGTGTAGCGCGCTAAAAGCACTGATTTGACACCTTTGCACCAAAAAATCACCGAAATCGCACGGTGCAGACCCCAATTACGCACCAGAGTGCAAAAAAGCAGAATGCACCGTGCGCCATCCGTGCTGAGTGCTGTGCGCTGGGCCAAAATATTAGCCGAATCGGCCCACAATTAGTCAAAATCGCGAACTTTTTCTTCTCATTTCATAATTTAAATAACGTAGTTTTCTTAGTTTACTTAGGGGACGCAAAGCCCCGCCCCTTCACGCCACCAAAATGACGATTTTTTTGTTGCAAAAACGGTTTTGAGGCGTTTATACTAGCTAAAGTCCCACTTTAAAAATGAACTGTTTCTGTTAATCTATGTAATCGACAACGCTCTACAAGACTGAATATTTTTTTAAAAACTATGTATTTTTTTCAAAAAAATAAGCGAAAAAAAGTAAGATTTAACACGAAAAAAACTGACAAGTTTCACAAAAATCGTCGCGTTTCAGAAAAACCAAGTGAGGAACGCTTCTAAATTTTAAGTATGTTATACATTAACATTTTTCTTTATTTTTTTAGAGTGAAAATGAAAAAAATCTACCGACGCGAAAAAAATATTAAAAGCTTGTAAAGTGACACCAAACTTTGAAGCTGAAATGCGAAAAAAATTTCAGCGACAAGGTATACTTTTTATTTGATTTAAAAACTAACAGTGTGTCCAAAAAAATAACAATTCAAAAATGAAAAATAATTATTGGGACATCGAATCAAATTATATTTGAGTTTTACCAAAACCTCCTTTTTTTCGCCTGCCTCGTTGACGCATGAGCGAATAGGATCGCGTCTATTTTTTTGATTATGTTATTAGGCGTTCAAAAACTCTATCAATGAAAAAATTATGAAAAAAATCGATCGACGAGAAAAAAATAACGGCTTTGAAAACCTCGAAAAAATGACAATTTTTTTTGAAGTTTCGGAAGATTTCGTGCAAGTGTCCGTAGCAGTGTTTGCGTCAAATACACCGATGCGCCCTTTTTAAATGTCGCAGGAGCCGTTTTTTTCGGAGTCATATTGCACTTTTTTTCCTGTTTTATTTCGAAATAACATTATTTTTTTCATTTTTTTCTTTTTTTCCAAATCGAATGATAATAATTTCTCTGAGTAGAAAAACAAGCTGAAAAAAATCCCTTTGACCTTTTTTTCTAGGAAGTTTTTTTGATATTTTATCAAAAAAATTCTTATGAGGATTGTACAAAAGATTCATACCAAAAACATGAGGCTCAGTTCGGACAACCTCTCAGAACAGAAAACTGATTTAAAAACGGTCCAGAAACGCGTAAAAACATTTAAAAAGAAAGCGTGCGGCAGCGGGTAAACCGTGAGATTTCGCCTCCAGTTGAACGCCGAGCGCGCTAGTTTTTTGGCCATAACTTTTTTCTTAGTGGAGCTTTTTTCAAAAACTAAACGGATTATGAAAATGGACAGTCTCCTCTATCGAACAATGTGAAAAACATATTTTTTGAATCGTTCTGAAGAAATGGCTTGCGGTCCCTAAGTTTACTCATATTCGATCACTCACTTCCCAATTTCGAGACAAAAGGTTCGAAAAATGGACAAAAAGATCGAAAAATGGCAAAAAAATTCGACCGCATTGCAATTCTATAGCTGATTTACGGCTGGCTTGAGCCATCGAAAAAAGACTCCTGGCACGATAATCCGCGAGGTAGCGTCTGGCTCGTGGAGAGCGCAGACAAAACACCCCCTTAGGGTCCCAAGCTGGCTGTGAATCAGCTTTATGGCCAGCCCGTCCTAAAAAAGCTCTCAGCTTGTTTTTCGGCTAACTGTGGTGAGTTTTTTTCATGGATCTCAATTTTTCTCGCAGCTTCCTGTAGATAGAATGAGCGCGAGGGTGGGAGACGACCCTCAGAATAAGTCCATCGACGGAGTCAAGAACTTTCGACGGCGACTCGGTAACTCATATCAGCTACTACGCACGGCCAGGGTTTTCAGGAACGGAGATGACCGAAATATTGCCCTTACTCTACCTTGGCAGTCTGAGAGACGCTCACGACCCCGAACAACTCGAAAAATTCAAGATTCGAGTGAACTTTCTTATTTTCTAAATAGCTTCTCTGCAGAACTGCTAAACTCAGAAAAATTGAATTCAACGATTTTTCAAAACATTTCGGATAGAGAGAATGAAACGTTTCAAAATTCATTACGGTTTTAACTTATGAGGTTACGGTAACTTCACCTTCTACTAGATTTTACAAAATAATACAAAAATTTGATGCCGCTGGCATACATGTTGGCTTGTTGAATTGCAGTTTGAAAAGATATTCCTAACAATATTTTTCGGAGCTGAGGCGATTGAGACAGGTTGGCGCCTTGTCGCGGTCACAATTTTTTTCAATATTTTTAAAAATTTACCGCTCATTTTTCTGTTTTTCATGTGTTTAAATTAACAGTAAGATCGGAACGATTTTATTGTTTCTGTTAGAAAGTTTACAAATCGTGAAATTGACAGGCGATTCTTTCGGTGCATGACATGCCGCGGACGAGTGAGTTGCACCAGGGGATGACCATCATGCAAATTCGCATTTCTGACAGTTCGGCTCAAAGGATCTCGGTGCATTTTCGAGACGCGATCCAGTTCATTCACGAGGCCAGAATGCGAGGAGGTCGCCCTGGAAGTTCCTTCTCCACAACTAAGAACGACTTGCAGATGCGGTGCTGGTGCACTGTCTTGCGGGAGTCTCGCGCAGCGTCGCCCTGGTCGCAGCCTACGTCTGCACGACGCTGTTTGTCGTCGACAACTTCCGTGTCCTCAGCTTCATCCAGTCGCGACGCCCTGTAGCTAACCCCAACTTCGGCTTCCGAATGCAACTCGCCAACTTCTTCGCAAAAGACGTCCGTCCTTCTCGTTGTCAATTTTATCTGGACATGTTGCAGAGCCCTCGTTTGGAGCGTCAACGGCTTCTGTCTTCAGGCGGAAAATTGTGCGCCGACCTTTTTAAGGCGGACAAGGTCTACTTCGCCAACGGCAGATGATTCTTTGTTCAAAATAGTGAAGTTGTCGCTTCGTGTCAATTTTTTGCTTTTTTCGTATGATCTCTCGTGCCTCAATGTAAACTGACTCAATTAGCTTAGTTTTATTCTGTATCAAAACATAGGTTATAGATAAGTTTGAAGGAGCAGGGCACTTTTTCACAGTTACCGGAGAGGTTTTTGAGTAAATTCGAATCTTTTGGGTTTCAGCGCCTTCAAACTGTTCCATCTGTTTTTTTAGTGGAAAAAAATTGACCTTTTTCCCAACAAATTTGTTGTATATATTCATTAAATGTTCCAGGAAATTCCCTCAGAAACCGCCGAAATTACAGGTGCTCTGAGCTAAAGAGACACTACGGTGCTTTTTTTTTCAAATCTGTCTCGAAATCTGTGGACACACTGAGCTTATTTTCGTCCTGCCAATTCACTTCAAATATGCTGATTCTCATGGAGAAACTAGTAAAATATGTTATATACGCGAGAGCGCTTTCCCATCGTTTTAATTATTATATCCGTGACTAGATGCTGATTTTAACTATTTTTGAACCGGAGACAGCTTTGCTCTCTACGGCGATAAGAGACACCCGCGTATGATTATTGCCCGATGAGTCTCTGAAAACAGCGTATACTTGCTCGTTTATCAATTTCCATCCTTCTCATTCCTACACTTTTCCCAGTCTATTTATCTTGTTTTTACTCACTGTTTCTAATGGATCTGAATAACCGTTCTTTTTCCCGATGTAGATAAACTTGCTTTTTTATGCAGGGTAAATGGAAGAAGAAAAATCGGAAGATGTCGGAAAAGTCTTTGTTGTCGAGGCCGACGGAGATTCCAAGAGCTCCTTCGGGGAAATGTGGGATTTCGATCTTTTTCGATCATTAAAACTTTTCTGGGAACTGATTCTGGGAATAGAAGACTCGATCATTTTCGCACCTTGAAACCAGCTTGAATCAATTTTAAAAGTCCAAAAGGAACATCAAGGAGAACACCGAAAAAACATTTTTCATTAGATGAGTTTTGGAAGTCTGTTCATTGTGTTAGGAGCGCTATTTTTTTAAAAAGAATTTTTGAAACTTCATAGGCGAATCGAGAAAGGGTTTCGCGAGACCCTCTGAGTTATATCGCAGGCTCTGAAGTCTCACGATGGTACCTCGAGGATTTTGAGCAAAATGAGTGGGACTTGAGAAAGACTCAAATGCCTACAAGATGGCTCAGATATAGCTAAAAGGTATGCCGGAGGTCTCACGATGGACACATTATGGGGTCTTCACGATCCATTTTGAGAGGTACCGTTGTGGACACATTATGGTACCTTCTCGATTCGTCTGTGTTTCTCAAATGGCTTAGAAAGTATATTAACCCGATTCTTAAAAGTCAGTTTTATCATACTTTTTTTGAAGTTTTTCCAAAAATGCTTCCAGAACCTTAATAAACAAAGAGCGGTTTGTCAAAGGTTTCATTTGACTCTTTTTTAAGGGTTTTGGACGAGAAACGGACCTCATGGCAGTCAATCTACCTGCTGACTGCCATCGGAATGTTTTGCGGTATTCAATTTTCCATTTTCTTCCCGACCTTATGGCCATTTCTTAACACGGTTAGTTGAAAAGGGAAAAAGAGAAAAACGGCGGGATGCAGGTTGATCCAACCGCCTCGGCGGCTTTCTTCGGCATCATCACCGCCGCTTTCTCCGTCGGCCAAGGACTTGCCTCTCCAGCCTTCGGTTTCTGGATGAATCGCGCCAAGTCCAGTCAGCTTGTCCATTCAATTTTATGTTTTGGAGTCTTTGGTGGAAAAGAGATAAGCTCAGAAGGACAATCTAGGAATGTGGACAAAAAATTGTCAGCCTATTTGTAGATCCAGCTTTTATTTTTGGGAATCATGTTTCTGTGAGCTCAATTTTTTAGTAATCAGGAATCTTGTATCATAATTAATCAGAAAGTGGAAGAATTATATGGATTGATTGCTACAGTTCGACAACCCCTCGTGTTTGGAATCGTGGTGATGATCGTGTCGAACGTGATCTTCTGCTTCGTCGAGTCCTTCCCGGAGAAATACCGTCGCTGGGTGATGATGGTGGCGCGGTAAGGCTTCAGATGCCTCGATGACACGTCTCAGATTCTTTATTGGCATAGGAGCCGGCACAGTAGGTGTGATGAGGGCCTATGGAGCCACAGCCAGCAGCCTCAAGGACCGCGCCAGAGCCATCACCTTCATCCAGGCTTCCTACGTCATTGGAATGACTCTCGGACCTGGTATCCAGGTGAGTGCCGTTCAGGTGGAGGCAGCTCATTTCTGTGCAGGTGGCCTTCACGCCGATCGGCTATCCAGGCCTGAAAGCAGGCCGATTCCATCTGGACATGTACACGGCGCCGGCCTGGTTTGCCTCGGTGATCTCCTTGCTCTCGCTTCTGTTCATCTTCATCTTTCTCGAGGAGAACTACGCCGGCGTCGATGATAAAGCCGAGGCCGAAGGTTCAGACTCGCGCTTCTCTCTTTCCGTTACCTATATTCAGATTCTTACACGGCAATGCCGTCTTTCGACAAATTGCCCGTGGCTATTTGTGTCGGCACGCAGTTCACTCTTATGTTTATCCTGACCAATCTCGAAACGTTCGTTCTTCAACTTTCAAATCAACAAAGTCGATCTGAAAAATAAACGAAATATTTCATCTACTGAGCGCGATTAAAGAAATATTTTAATTTTCGCAGAAAAAGCTGAAAAAAATAAGTTCTTTTTTTGGACTTGAAACAAAAAAAGGGAAGTAAGTTTTCTTGGAATCTGATAAATCTGATTATAAACAAACACGAAGAAAGTTCTTTTGAAGGAAAAAAATCTCGCAAAAGACTCTTTTCGTATAAAAATCTTTAAAACCACAATAATCTTTTTAGTATTGGCTCGCTTTATGCGAAGATGATGTGGGGTTGGAGCAACTCCCAAGCAGTGCTCTACACAGGTCCCAATCTCTTGGTTTCTCTTTTCCATGTCATTTCTACAGGTATAATGCAAGCTACAAACGGACTCGTTGGCGTCTTGGTTTACGCCTTGTTTGCCGTCAAACTCGGCCATTAGTTGGTATTTTTCTCCTTACCCGAGTTACTGCGAACCTTTCCATTTCAAGATATGAATAGTTTTACTTTCTGAAAAAAGAAGGTCGCAGCCAACGAAGCTTACCAGAAAGCGTATCTTTTGAGTTAGTATTATAAAAAGGAGTCAGACCGGGTGAACATTCTTCTAAGGTTCAATGAAAAATTAAGAGCAGTTAAATTACAATAAAAAACTTATTAGATTCAGTTTGAAGATAAGTTTTGATAAAATAATTCAAAACATCACTATGCGCCCAAGAATTGGGATTTTTTTTATTGGACTTGTGGTTTTTCAGTATTTCTCAGGCGCGAGAAAGGATTTTCACACTGTTTGGATTGGGCCTAGGTGTGATATACCACGTAGCCACCTATCCGTATCCATGGGGACCGCCGCTTCCTTTCGAAATAAGAAGTTTTTGCTCTTCTTCTCAGAGAAGGATTTCTTTGTTTTGCAGACGAAACGAAAAAAGGAAAGAACATGTCGGAAGAACTCGGCTGCAATCCAGACAAGTATCGGTGGTGCGACTACACTCGCAACGTTTCTCTTGTCACCAAACAGGCCGATTTTGAGCTCTTGCAGGTCAACTTTTGGCTGTACGCCTTCATGTACGGCGTCGTGTTGGGCGCCTGCTTCCCGATCGTGAACATCTCCATGAATACAATCTTCAGTAAGATCCTTGGAGCACGACGGCAGGTTCGTCCAGAAGTTTATTTGAAGAATAAAATCTTGACAGGGAACAATGCAAGGCATAATGCTGATGGCCGGAAGTTTCGCACGCACAATAGGTCCCTTACTCGTCTCATGGATTTTCCAGGAGTGGGGACCTGATCCCCTGTGGATTATGGAGGTTTTTTTTCTCCCTTCTCAGAAGAACTTTTGAAAAAGTAAAACTGTAGGTGGTGGTCCTCGTCGTGACGATGGCACTGTGGACGATTTGGTATCGTCGCCTGGTTCCACTAATCACAAATCCCAAGTTAGAACCCTACGAGTCTTGTAAATACGACAAAGGGGTTCGAACACGGATATAAGCTTGAAATCTAGTTTTTTTTAAATTATTGTACAAATGGTCTTTAATAAATTTTATCTAAATAAAGTCTAAGAACCGTGACTGATTTTTCTCTGTTCACTCTCCTCGTCTCCCAATTGTTCGTGGGAAGGAAAGTTCTCGAAGAAGCGCTTCTTCTCTTCTTCAAGCTTGTTCTGTTTCTCTATCTGAAACAAATCCATCTTCGAAGAATGAAACCGATTTCTAACCTCATAGGTTCGTCCTGGGAGCATTTTTGGGTTGACGTCGATGCCGGCGCGGCTTTTCCACTCCGCTTCCGACTGGAGGATCGTCTCTGTCTGAAATCTGATGGTAGTCAGTCGGAGAAGTCGTCGAACCGTAGAAGTCCATTCGTAGCCGCTAGGCGAGCCGACCAGAAGATGTTTCAGTTTACCGCCACTCAACGCGTTTATTTTATCGAACTGCTCGTCACTCATGTCCGGTATTTCTCTGAATAGATACAGTAAGACAGAAGTCGGGACGATGAGGAACCGGCGAACGGTTGACGTCATGATGGGATTGTCGCCGTCGTCGACGACCGCCCTTTCATCCACGTCACCCATAACGTAGAACAGCCGGCCGTTGTCGTCCTCCACAAAAGCGTTTCCTGAATTTTCAGTTGATAGGCTTCTAAAATTTTCTCTTTCTATCTCACACGTTCATACTCTTCTGCACATAATTAAAATTAGTTTCTATATAAACGTCCTTTTTTCGAAGTCAAATGGAGACTACGCTAAGTTAAAAAGAGTTAAGACCATTCTTTTAGAATTTTTTCTCACTTTCTACTACGCTGACTAGAACAAAAGTTGAACGAAAACAGAATTTTATCTTCTGTCTCTTTGTCTTAAAAAAGCTTGAGCATGCATTGACATTACACCGACAGATATCAAGAGACGCAAAAAAGCACATTTGAACACAATGATTTTTGTGGTTAGACACTTTCCACCTCTCGCGTCCTGAACGACCCTCTCGTCCTCCAGCAACCGAATCTCGGCCTCCACTCTCTCCAGGCAATTTTCGTAGTCGACTCCAAGTATTTGCAGCCGAGGTATCGTCTCTTCCAGCAGTAAAGCCGCTTTTCCAACGTCCTGGAAAACAAAAAAAAAATTTGGAAACATAAAATTAAAAGTACTTTCACATCCAGGCCTTCCAGACGTAGGTATTTCAGTTTCTTCATGCTTTTCAAGCCCATCAGACCTAAAATGTCAGCAAGGATGAGCTAGGTGAAATGAAAAGGAACCTTTGGCGCTGATTCGGTCGCAGCCACTGAGATCCAGCATCTCCAGCTCAGGGAACATGGCGCCGACTCGTCCCAGGAACCAGTCGTCGACGTATTCGCAGTTGGCCAATCGCAGAAGTCGGAGCTTTAGAAGTCCTTCCAAGTTCTCGAGACCTGAACGCCTCCTATTTCCGAACGATTCCTGGTAGTTTGAAACCTTCAAACATGAGTGAGGTTCCACTCGCATCGATCGCTTCGATAAGAAGATTTTCCACCTTTCTGCCGGGCAATTTGTACTGCTGAACCTCGGAAATGTTAATTATTCGTCAAAGAAAATCGACCTTGCGTTTATCTCGTTTATACCAAGAGTCGTCGCCTAGGAACTTGACGGCGGCCCCTCGATGAACAAGAAAATGCGCAGCGGCCAGGTCGGCGCCGAGGAACAGCAACCGTTCCGGAATCATCCTCGAAACGACTCATGAACTGAATCGCTGGGCAGAGAAATACCTTTGGTCGTACTGCATGTGCTGGAAGTTGGTGTAGCGGTTGTAGCGACGGATGTTGTCGAGGCTGTGGTCGACGTAGCGCATCTGAGTGTGCCAGGTCAGCAGATCCATTGGCAAGGCGCCAGTTTCCCGCCGAGTCATGTCCGCAGTTGCCTTCTTTGGCGCTACTGAACTCGTAAACCATTCGTTTTTGGCAGGTTTTTCTAGCGAAATACTCTTTTTTTTTTTTGAAATTTTCCCAATTGTAGGGATTTTTGGTTTTAAAAAATTGAATAACCTTTGATAAGAAGCGTAAAAAACGAAACGAAAAAATCAGATAGGATAATTTTTTATTTGTTCATCCAAACTTCCTTTTTAGACTTCAAAACCTGCGAACATCTTTCTTTTCTTTTTCAACCTAAATGATCAATATTATGATAATTTACCTATTTGGGCGAAATCTCAAAATGGAAATATTTTATAGTTTTTCTAAAAACCACGTACAGTCCTCTGGTCGTTCTGGTGTGATGTAAAGACCAGTTGGCAAGCGAATAAAGTTCTTCATTCGCGTTTTTTCAACAACATGGTCTTCCTAAAACATCCCTTCAATAATCGAAAACTGTTTCCAAGATCACGTTGGCCTTCTGGAGTTCCTGCCATCTTTTGAAACGAGGCCATTTATGGATCCAAGAACCGAGCGACGTTGTTCCGCTGAACTTCCTCGTGAACGTCCTGCTACATGTCGCCATCACATTCCCCGCTAGTTCTTCCACAGCTTCTCCGCACGTTTATTCTTAGAACTGGTATCAATTTAAAAATTCAAAGCTCACGTAGGCTTCAAAGTTAAACGAATAACTGTCAAAAACATATAAATAGTTTATTAAAAAGAAAAGATCTCGACATAGAACCGGAAAATGCATGAAAAGCAGCAAATGCAATACTCTGGGAGAAGCTCGTGGGTCGTGTTTGATCACAGAAGTCGGAGAAGAATCACAAGTGAAATTGTCACAACTAAGGAAACTTGATGATCACATGAGCAAAAATACTACAACCGAACAAAAAAAAATCAAAAGAGAAAATAAAAAAAAGAACCTAGCCAACCCAAGGAAGAAAAAAAAGAACCATTAGTGAGATTATGTACTTTTATACCCAGAAAAAAAATTTTGAAAAAAAAGACAAAAAAAAAGAAGTGAAAAGGCAGATTTTTTGGAGAAGAGTAAGCATAAAGATCTTTTCTCAAAAGTTTTGAGTTTTTGGAGAGAAGAAAAAAAATGATATGACCGTAGGAAAGAAAAAAAGCCAAGTGAAAAAGGGCACCAGTAGAGGATTAAAAAAAAGTGAGAATAAAACAAAAATCAGGGTCGGAGACCTTCGAGGAGCCACTTTTGCGCCTTCGACTCGTCGCACTCGTTGAGCAACACCTCGTTTCCTTTAGCCGCCACACACTTCCCCGTTTTGACGTGCATCAGAACGCCACTCTGCAACACGAGTCTCTTTTCAGAAAGAAAGAAAGTATTTGGAATAATTTCCCTCGTCGGTATTTTTGAGGTGTGGTTCTTAAAAATTCTCGTCTTAAAAAGACTTGCCCTTATGCATCAAGGAGAGATGGAACTGTTTTTCACACTCGTAGAAATACCTCGGATTTGAGCTTGAAGATGTGTTTGGGGTTGGATCGGCCAGCGGAGCACTTTTCCATGCGAACCGCGTCGCCGATTTGATAGGCGGCGCCGGAAGAGAGACAAAGGTCGTCTGAACGGATTTCGCCCTTCCCAGTCAACGCCCACGCCTTAATTCAAACTGTTCTCAGCGTTTGAAACAAGAATGACCCATAAAACTGAATAGAAAAAATGATTTCAAATGTGAAATTCACATTTGTTCTGATTTAAACTCCTTTCTGGACTGTCTGAAGAAGCATAAGGGCTTCAGCAAAGATTTTCGGGCATAATATAGAGAGAACGGAACACGCAGTTGAACAAAACCTATTGTGGGAAGTAATTTTCGGCGTATGTCTAAGATAGTTTCGAAAATTATCCTTTCATACTTTTTTAAACTAATTCAAGGAGAAAAGTGCTGATGAGAGTCATCTCCTACGCCGTCCATTTTTAAGACACGAAACGGCTTCTCTTTTTATTATCATTTCACTCCAATCATGCTCATTTGATTTGTTAAATGTGGTTATAACGATTTTTTTACATAACATATTTTATAATATAGCCGAGACTTGTTAAATATAAATACCTTAAACTCTCGTCTTCGAAAATTTTTTTTTCAATTAATTTCTATCGAAAGTTTATCCTTTGGAAAGATGTAAAAATCAGTTAACAACAATGAAAAAAATTTTGATATGAAAAGATAAGGTTATTTTTTTTATGACCGCGTGCTTCGAAATCCCCTTTATGTTGTGATATATTTAATTCAGCCTACTAAATTAGCAGGCTCCACAGTTTTCCATACACAAACAAAAAAAACTGAAAAAACCGCAAATCAAAAAAAAGGAAAAAAAAACAAAATTAAAAGATGTCCCTCAGGTCTCCCATGGAAAACGTTGACCTGATAGTTAGGTATGTAAGGATCAATGAATTCATCCTTAAATGTGACGGTGAAAACAAAGCCGTCAGGAAATCGGAAAGTCTGAATTGTGAGCGTTCCATTTTGGTATGAAAGGTCTCCCTCGTTGTACTATTCAGATGGAAACCTGGTTGCCTCCAGCGCCATGGCAGTTCTGCAGGCCGACAGGCTGGCCGTCCTTCTTGCCGTTGGTGTCCAGGCAAGTCTGCTCTTTTTCGTTCGTAACCGCTCCCAGAGACTTGAACTCGGACGGGAGAGGCGCTTCAGGGTAGATGTTTTCCAAGTACCTAAAAAAGAAGGTTTTCAGAAAAGTGATTCCGCCCAAACTTTTCAAGGAAAACTCCCTGAATTCCATCGGATAGAAATATCTCTTCTGGAAGACAAACTAAAATTATATGACTTCCAAAAAATGAGATCCGCAGACTAGAGTCTATTCAAAGAAAGTTTACACAAAATTTTATATTAGAGATGGCCTGATCGAGAATTGTAACGAAAACGCTCACAGGGCATTCAAAGAGCGACTTCTTTAAAAAAAAAAATCATTTTTATCGAGACTGCACTGTAACGGCTTGAACACGATAAAATTGAAAATTCATCGAAATTTGCTAATATTTAGAAGACGAACCATTTGAACGACTTGCACTGGAGATTGTTGCGGAGTTGAACACGCGCCGACAAATCGCCGGCGTCGACGTTTCGAGCCGCCGGCACCATTTTGTAGAAGAACGCCTTGTACTCGTCCATCCACACTTCAGCCGTTCTGGCCGCGTTGTGGTGAATCACCTTCAAAGGAATTTTGAAGAAAACAAAAATTTCAAATCCAGTATTCTACTAAAAGTTTTAAAGTTAAGAAGTATACGAAAAATGCGTTGAAAATTTCGAATTTGAAAACTTTCTCTTTGCATCTGTGTGAAATAGGGCTGGAATGTTGCCAAATTTCGAAAACAAATCTGTAGGGAAGGGTACCTTGGCGGTTCCACCTGGAAAGGTGTAAGGAGTCTGTTTGCGGAAGACGTGTCCAACGCGAGAGCATGGATGAATTTCGAGAGAGCCGCCGCACATCCAGACCTGCAACATTCGAGTTTTCGAGAACCAACACTGAGACTAGCGACCCTGAAGGAAATCTCGAGATTTTCGCCGCCCCAGACTTGCATGCCCTCGTCGTAGCTGCCGATGTCGTAGAAGAACTGCTTGTCAATGGCGAACAATCCGCCAGCAATTGTTGGAGTTCTAGAAAAGTCATTTCAGTCATTCGAAAAAATCCAAGTTCTAGGATAAAAAAGCATCAGATCGGAAATGGGGGATAAGTGATGAAAATCCTAGAAAAATTACTTGCGAGACAAGAACTGACTGAATTGGAACTGAGCGATCGTTTCCGCGTCGCGCGAGTTCCCTCTTCGGAACCGGGTACCAACGGAAGTTGAGGTGCCAGTTGAAGCCGCCCCACGTCGTGTCAGAAGCCGTCACGTACTCGAAGGTGTCGTCTGGACTATTCATTCAGAATCTGAACTTCTCGATCGAATATACCGGAGATGACGTCGATGATGGGCGCGACAACGCGTTTCCTGTCTTTGGCGACGCGCTCCAGCAATGGTTCGAGCCAGCCTTCAGTGACCTTAATGACTGGCTATATTCCGAACATAGACTTCTTCATACTTCCACGTGAGCGTCAAGGAAAAGCAGAATTTTTCCCTTGGCCATAGCAGAGCCAGTCAAACGGGCGCGAATCAGACCACTTCGTTCCGGAAGATGCACGATTTGTATGGAAACCTGAGAATCCCTACTTCTTATTCATCAGCTTTCCGAAAATCTAAATATTTTTATTTCTATCAACTACGTTCTCGGCAGTAAAAAGGCGGAACAATCCATAAAAACATAGGAAACTGAAAATCTAACTTTAAAAAAGTTTATAAAGTCTCAACAGAAAATTTTATTTACAAGAATAGGGTTTTGCCAAGAAATTCAAAATAAAAGTAAAATCTGACCGGAAAACGTCTGAGATAGACGTCGAGCGGCTTTCGCAAGTACTCACGGTCGGATTTGTCGTCAATCAGGATGATTTCTTCAATCATGTGCCGCGGGGAGCTTCAAAAAGTTTTGGAATGTTTGAAATACAAAGTTGCTTCAACACCGATTGACAACAGAATGAAGAGTTCTGAGCAAAGTGCTCCACGCTTCGTTGTGGAAAACGATGATGATGGAGGTCTTGGGAAGAATTTGCGTTGAAAGACCTTGAGCGTTGGATTTGCAACTAGAAAAGTTCCTTCTTCGAGTCATCGGAAGTAGGTTCGAACCTTTCGGAGCGATAGTCGGGAAGCGAGCGGTTGATTGAAATCATCTCACTGGCCAGCTGTTCAATTCCAACAATCACTTGGGAATGTTTTCGCAGTTCACTAACCACGTTGAACTGATTCTCGAGGAACCTCTTATCCTGCTCTTTCTTCTGGTCCTCAGGAACACTGACTCCGGTGCCGCCTTGTCCGTGATGAGGCGCTCCGAAAGACTGAACTAAAATTTGGATCTTTGACTATTTTGTCGGAACATGAAGACGAACTGCTCAAAAGTCGCTCCAGAATTCGCTTCGTGTCCGGATCAACATCCATGTCGACTTTTCTCTGTAAAAACCAAAGGAATTGCTGTTTTTGAAAACGTTGATTACATGATCTTCATTGTTTTTGTCGTCGTGAAGTTCTTTGTTGGCGCTGTTTTCTACATGGCGACCAGCTCGAATTCCTCTGAACACAAAAATGTTTGGAGCGAAGAATGAACAAACCTGTGGGCTTCTGGGGAAGGAGTAGGAGAAGGTTCGAGATAGTAGAAAAGGATGATCACGTCGACCAGCACCCACACGATGGAAGTCGCGATGACGGCGCGGCAGACTGCCGATCGCCCGCCCATTCGGACCATCGCCTTCTCTTTTCAGTCATTTTCATCAATCGCGAAAATTGGAACAGGTATGATATGCTTGATAGCAGTCAAAAAGTTTGAAAAAGTCCAATAAATAAATCTTCATCTCTATATCTGTACAAAGCACCAAACAAAACAATAAGTATCACAAGAGTATCACAAACTGAAAGCTACGTTCTGAAAGTTAAGTTAAGTAGTTGAGGTTTTAATTGCTATGCAATAAAATGGTTAGTGTCAAGGAGAAATGAGCAAATGAGGGTTTGTTTTAATCAGTCGAAGATGTCTCCGTCGGAAGGGAGCGCGAGTCCACAGGCGACGAGCCAGTCGCCAAGATCCCTTCCGCAGCAGGAGATCCTAGCCTCGCACAGGGGCACACTCGGAGCGTTGAGCTGTTTCCAGCTGCTCCAGCCTTTCGAGTTCAAGTCCACCTGGAATGTCCATGGTGAATCTTCCTAATAAGGACCCACACCATCACGGCCTCGCCACAGGCGGCCTCGAAAAACTCGCGGACGGCTTCATGAGATTCGCGGCTCCAGAACTCCTTTCCGCCAACTGGTCGCACGCCGCTAACCTGCAAAAAAATAAACATATTTTTTTGACTTTCTAATCAGATTATTTATATATACACTTTTTTTAAATGTGAGCATAAAGTACAATGATGGTAGGAAGAAATTTTGGGTCCCCGAATATTCGTGTGCGTTAGTTGTGCATACACCAATCTTATATGCTCGAATCTTTGAAAATTTGAATCTTTGACAACGATTCTTGGGAATATTCACTTCTTTTCTGATTTTTTATAGTTTTTCCAATTTTTTAGAAAACGGAAATTGAGGGAGAATGTATAGAGAGTGAATGAAAATGTGGTAGCCGTTCTGCAGCAAATATTTGACTACGTGTATGCGAGAATGACGCATTATTTGATAAAAAGTTAGTTGAAAAAATTATACAGTGTTCATTTGTGGTCGAAACACGACATCCTCACAACAGAACGACAAAGGAAAAAAAAATGAAGGAAAGAAAAGAAGGAAATTCGAAAAAGAAGTGAATATCCTTCCTACCATCAGTACAATGACTGTTTATGAAAACATCGAAATATTTTGCCAAACAGTTTCAGATACAAACTATCTTTCAAAATTGTATTTAAAAGTTCCCTTATGTCGAAAATGTCTCATGGACGTCCAGTTTTTGTAATCGCAAAAGAAAAGCGAAAAAGCTGACTTTGCACTTGAACATGAGCATTTTCTTGAAAGGCGACGCCGAGTTGAGTTTTCGCATGGCTTCTTTGCGGACGTAGTGGAAAGCGCCGACATCCACCAAATAAACACAGTAGGCCATTTTGTCTGAAAATCAACGTCTTGGACGGAAAAAAAGATGGATTCACCGATTTTGCTAGGTCGTAAACATTGAACGCGCTCCCACCTATCATCGATCGAAGCAGCATAGAAACTGGAAAGAGCCAGTTGTGGGAATTATAAACAACTTAATAAAAAGTTGGGTGAAATAAGATTTGAAACTATGCCAACGAAAAATTGCGAAAAATCTCTTGTTTCGATTAAGTTCTGAATTAGAACAATGTCAATTAGAAAAATTTTCTCTTCAATTCGTTTCTTTTTGGTTTTCATTTTTAAATTATATCTATAGATTAGTTATATATCGTTTCATTTCTACATCCCGAGTGGTCGGTCTTCATTTCCGCTCTCCTCTGAGATTTAATCCGACGCCCGCTAGCCCAAGGAAAATCTGGGCGCCGTACTGTTCCTACATGGAGAAGCAGTGACCGTCGGAACGAACAGCTCCCTAACGATCTACGAGCAATTCTTAATCAACGCGATTTCGCATACTGACGATCGAATCATCATTTATTCCAGAACATTCTCTGAAGACGAATGAAATTGTAACTTGTAGCTATATTTATCAGATGCGGTTTCCTTCAGAAATTTGAAACTTTCCATTATATATTTTTAACGCTTTTAGGTATCCTAATTAAAAAAAACTTGAATCTTTCATCTCTTTCGGTAATTTTCCTATTGATCATCTTTTTTGAACAAAAAGAAATAAATGACTATGAAACCACAACACAACTATTTTGAAAAAAATTCATGAAAAAAAAAAACTTGATTTTTCACGCAAAAAATGTGGCAAAACTTGAAACGTTCTCCGAAAGCGGCAGATAATCCGCGACAATCTTTGCGCATTTCTCTGAATTTTTTTCAGAAGCTCGTTTTTCAATGAAAATGAGACAAAATTTGTTCGCGAATATCTCTACACTTCTGTGATTACCTTCCCAGCTGCGGCTGACCCGAGATTTCGGATTCCGGCAGAACACATTCTTCCTTCAGCTTAGTGTACATGTAGTCCGGCATAGGATCCTGTAGGAGATCTTCCCAAAATTGTTGACAAAGGGAACCGAAAAACCAGAGAAAGTTGTCGTAAACTTATGTCCATGGGCCCAGCGGCAAAAAGAGCACTCGCAGGGAAAACGGTTTTTGGCATTTGCGAAGTGCTCATCGGTTCTATCTGAACAAAGAAGGTTTTACGGATAAGTTCAGGTGACTTCAAAAATTTTATCACAAAGTAATCAGCCAGAATCAAACTAAACTTTCTACGTGATATGAGAAAAAAGTTTCAATATATTTTTCATGAGAACGATTATATCTTCTCCTTCGATTTTTCGAAAAAAATTTGAAAAAAATAAATTAAGAAACCAATAATGCTCGACAAAAAAAGTTATTAACATAATTTCTTTTTTTAATCCCAGAGTTCTGAAAAACACCCGATCTTTTTTTTATTTCGAACTTCTAAAAAAACTACACCAATCAAAAATGAATTTAAGTCAGTTCGGAAAATTTTTTTTTAATTTCAGCAAGTGCAAAATAGAGTACCACTATGAATTTTTACAATGAGAATGTATAATCTGAAGTAAAAAAGTGAACAACGTTTATAACTCTTTATAAGTAGCGCCTTTCATGAAACTTAAAAATGAAAATTCCAAAGACTTAGTTCAAAAAAATTCAATTTTTCTTAACATTTTTTACATTGAAACAATTCAAGTTTTCTATATAGTTTACTGATCATACCATGAAAGGCTTGTCGAAGCACCAGTTACTTGGAAGGGAAGTCGCGGCTGCGGGCTGGCTAACACAAGAAACGCTTCCCAACGAGCTAAAAATACCTTTTCTAATAAAAAAAAAATCAAATAGGGAAAGTACGGAGTCGCGTCGGATTGCGACAGTTCGGCGACCAGCGACCGCTGGTTTTCGTCTCCCATGTCCACGTGACAGCGGCCGTTTTTCTCCTCCATCGTCACAAGCTGAAAAAGCGAAGAAATTCACCAGAAAATGAATAACACTTGCTTTGAAGTTCTTCGGAAGCAGACTGGGAACGTTGCTCGACCTCGTTTGCTTGTGGAAAAGAGCTTCGGTCAAATTTTCCTTCGAGAAAGCCTTTTTCTTCTTGTCGCTCTCTTCGATGTCCAGGCAAACTTCTTTCACCAGAGCACCAACTTAAAATTGTCTAATAAAAAATCCTAGCGAAGTGATGCAGGAAAAAAAAAGATGACGCATATGGATACGTGCAAGATCATTTCTTTCTTTTTTAAGATGTCAATGTCGGTTGTTTTGCTTCTTATTTCATTATCATTCGGAGCACCGGCAATCACCGAGGTAAAGTTCTAAAAACTATGAAATTTCGACAAAACGCTGATACGTCTTTTGAACATCTCCGAAATTTCAAAAAAATAAAATTTAAAGAAAGTTTTAAAACCATGGTCTTTTGGGATTCTCGCTGGGTTTTTTTGAAAAACAATACTGTTTTGATAAAACAAATATTGGTTCTGAAAAGCCGTTAGTACTATTTCAAATTATTTTTGAACCTTGAAAAATATCTAAGCAAGCATTTTTTTTTAATATTTTGCTTTAAGTTCAGCCAGTTGTTGAACAAGATATATCGAAAATATTCAGAATGGAAGCGGAATAAAGCAATTTGGAAGAATTGAAGAAGATGAACAAATGAATGAAAAGTTTGGTTTCTGTTTGGAGCTCAAATGTCTACACAGGCAAATACAGACACCTGAAAGAGCACTTGAGCGACCGAATCGACGTCACCAAAGACATGAACGAGAGTGAGCAGCGATTCTACTATTTCAAACTGAGCGACTTGGATAGCAACCTCAAGTTGGATGGCATCGAAATATACAAAACACTTGCACATAGTCATGAAGGTTTGAAGCAAAAACGCATTTTTCACTCGAAAGATCTCAGAAAAAAACGAGAGTGTTAACGAAAAAAGTATAACTGAACAGGAAAACGAAATGGAAGATATGATAGACCGTGTATTGAAGTGAGATAATGGAAGTTTCACAACAGCAAAAAATTTTTTCAGGTATATAGACAAAGATAACGACGGTTTCATCGATTATTCAGAGTACGTCAAGTACTTGGAAGGAAGAAAGGTCCGTTCGGAGAGTGGCAGTTTTTTTAAATTTAAGGATAAACTTCACCAATGGAAAATTACGGTAATAAGAAAAAAAAAATAAGCTTGAAACCCTGAACATCGACTTCCCTTTGTGAATAGGCAGTATTTCGAAAACCTATGTTACCAAAATCGTAGACGACTGAACTGTTACGTTAGGTGAAATTATTTGAAGGCGCCTTTTTTGGATACGATGATCAAAGTTTCGTTATGTAGAAGCTAGAAATCTGAGAACCTTAGTTTTTGGTGGTTTGGAAAAAAGCCAGCGAATTTTCGAACGACGACTTTTCCGATTATTTCGTATCGCTAGGCAACTTTCCGACTGATCCCTTTCCGACTTTTTTACATTATATTTTTCGGTTTATAAAACATCTATTAACGTTTTTTTCCAATTTCTTTGTGTTTTAGTCATGAATAACTTGCCTACTTTACACTTACATAGGAAAATTTAAAAACGAAGTGTTTATCGAGAAAAAGTCGGAAAAAGTCGCCGTTCGAAAAATTCGCTGGCTTTTTTTCCTACCACCTAGTTTTTTTAAGAAGACCCATTTTTTTAATCAAAAATAAAACAAATTTTTTTGTCAAGTTCTAACTAAATTGCCTTTTTCAAAGTTTTGAAAGTTCAAAAAAATGGCAAAAATATCTATAAGGTCCCCACATATGTGTTTATTTCCATTCATTATAACACACTTTCAAAGTAAAAAAAGTGAATGCTACTTCAAAATCTTTGATAAAATCTTGGGTTTGAAAGGAAAGTTTTGATGAAAAAATCTCACCAGATACAACAGGATGCTTCGGAGGCGGGAGCAACCGGAGCGCATTGACCGGATAATTCTCCTCGACGCCGACGTCGACGAAGAAACACCGTACTTGTCCGTTTCTCGGAGGATCCTCAAACTCCCAATTCTTCTTTTTCTTCTTTCATGCAAAAAACCTGTGCAATAACTCGAAACCAGGTTCCGTTCGAGTCTCGCAATGCATAGGCTCCGCCAGCCAATATCTCCTGAGACTACATGTGAAAATAAGCGAGAAAAGGAGTTGAAAACGTAAATCTGAACGCGGCTGTCCAGAGGCGAGGCGATTTCCTGGTCGAAAATCTCCTCCAAAGTCGAGCTGATACTGTTGAAAGTGTCGTCGTCGACCGTGGCGCGGATGAACATACGAGAATGAGAATCGAAAGCCACGACAGACACTTCCGCTCCACATTTCAAAGCACTCGACACTTTTTCAAACTGAAAAAAAAAACATTTCTTAAAGTCTTCAATTGTTATTTTTATAATAAAACACTGAAAAGAAATCCTACTTCTGAGAAAGTTTCCGAAAGCAATCTCTACTACCATTTTACGACCTATGAATAATATTTTAATCAATAATAAGAATTTTCCTTTACTAAAACTGTATATTGGTGTTTTCTTTGAAGTCTCCCTATAAAAAACAAAAAAAAATCCAAAAAAAAGTGTCTTATTGAGATAAAAGGCCTAAATTAGAAATTTTTCCACAAACAGAGTTTTTTTAATTTTCACATGTTTAAAAAAACTTATTACAAAAAAACTCGACTTCCAATCAACTTTCAGAGATTTTTTTTTCTAACGCAGGAAACTTTTTATTGAAACTCACTGATTTGGCGTGCTCGAGAGGTTCAGTCTCCTTTCTCAACTTGATTTCTTTCAACTCTTCTGGGGTAGGCTCCACGTCGGCCCGAACTACTATAAAATAAGTGGATTACACAGAAAGCAGAGTTTCTAAGAAAAAAACCACAAAACCAACAGAACAACAGTCAACTCACATAAAAAAAATTGTCAGTAAAGATCTGGAATAAGCACATATATAGCTTCTTAGGAATTTCTTTACAAGGGAATTTAGTCGAACCTCGAACGTTTACCGAGTTGATTGGCGGCCGCTTGAAAGACGAAGTATTGGAGAGCCGGACGAACAAAATTGTGATAGGACCACGTGTCTGCAGATTTTCAAATCTTAATTTTAAAAAACGAAAAAAATAATTAACCTGAGCCTCGAACTCTTCGGCAGCTGTGACTTGTTGAAGCCAATCGGAAGGCAACTCGCGTCCCAGCCCTTTGGAAACGAATCTAAACATTAGTTTTCCATATTTGGAGAATAAATCTGTTAACTTACTCTTCATGGTATTTATCGGCCAAGTGAGTGGACGCTACACCCATCGGAAAGTTCTTCTTGATCATCTCGTATAAAAGTTCTCTTATCTCCTCCATTTCTTCTGAGACATCCATATCTGCGTTCACTGAATGAATAGAAATGAAACGGTTCAAAATCGTGTGGCTATACTTTTGTCGAAAATAGTGGATGGGACAAGGCCGCTCATCGACATGAACTTGGAACTTCCCTGGTTCGTCATACCCTGAAAAAAATAGTTCCAGTCTATTTAAAGAAAAAACTTCGACAATATAAAAATTTTTTTAATAGAAGCTTGTCTAGAATTTCTAAACCGGAATGTCACAACTTCTTCGAAAAATTTGTTATTTTTTGAGACAACGTACATTTATAAAAAAAATTCTTAGTGAAAATAAATTATTTAAAATAAACAAGAAAAATCTTCAAAAAGCAATTTTTAAATAAAACTTTGAAAACATAATTCAAAAACGTTTACCGTGGAGATTAACTTAAAGTGAAAACTTCCTCAAGTACTAAAACACGATAACTTCAAAAGAAAGAATGTTTTATTGAACGGAAACAGCTTCGCGCACACCGGACTGTACAACGACACGCAGAAAAGAGGGCAAGAGAAAGACAGCGCGATCGCGACGTGCGACGTAAAACCCCTCGAGCAGTCCCCAGAACACGCGGCGAGCTTTTGAGCGGAAGTATTCATTCGTGTTGTTGAATTAGGTTATTTCTTCTCTAACCAAAAATGGAAAATTGAGTTCAAGAAATTGAGCCAAAAATGAGAATCTGTGTTGGGTCATTTTTCTGTACAATACATTTTTGAAGATTTAATTTTTAAGAAACTCTGAAAGCTCCTTCAGGAGATGGCGTAAATGGAAACCAAAAAATCCAACTTCCTTTCCATTTGAATCATAAACTTTCAAACTAACTCAAGGTAAATAGTTTAAACATCAAAATAAAAACACGAATAGTTAATACAATGATAATCAGGCGTTCATCGGCTCAGGTTGCAATGGAAAGAAAGACGAAGAAGAGGATATATTACCGCCTCACTCGTTTAAATTCTCAGCTCCTGAATGCCTTACGAACTAAAAAATTGAATGCAATATTTGAATATTTGAGGCGGAAACAAAAACGAGGAAAAATTATCATATTAATACATTTCTTGCAATCCCTTAATTTGTGCATAAGCTGGAAAAATAGATCCTGAATCGACGCGAAACCCTTCAAGTTCCATTTTCTCGAAAAAAAAAAACTATGATTTTGGAAAAATGTGTTGTATTCATAAAATATGTTTATTCCAAATTTCAGCTTATCGAGAAATGATGAAATCCGCTACCACACGTTTCAGCGTGAGAATTCGTGAATAAATTAGTTTTACGCACGTTGAGATCGCGGAAATGCTTCCCTAAGCTTACAAAAAAAAACAGAAGCTTTTATGAGTTTCGCGGCCGTTTCTGTTACGATCAGAAGGTTCCAGACCCATTTTTTAAAAACCGACTTAAAACTCAACTGAAAAATTCTGAAAAAAAACGAAACAAATAGCAAAGTTTCGACCGGCGGTACCGCCCGAAAAAGAAAAGCGAAAAAAATCAAAGTTTTGCGTGAAATGCGGTGTGTCTGACGCGCTCATGATCACGCATGAACGAATACTGATAAATTTTGCGCAATATTTTCGAAATTACGCAAGAGTCCTTAATTTTCCCAAATTATGTTCGATCAAATGTTTGTTATAGGCATCTAAGCCTCGCAAGGGCAGTCTACCAGGTCTCAAAATGCAACAGCAAAGCCGTAAATTGCTTTCAACGGTTGGTAATTTTTTGATTTTTCCTTTTAATAATTTTATCGTTACGAAAATGTTTGCTCGGAATTCTTCTCCTTCTTTAAGAAAAAAGAAGGAAAATGGAATTTTGGCATGTGGATGTGGAAATTACCCTCGAAACACGTGTTGGTTGCAGACATTTTTTCGGCAGCCCGAGAACAGCCGCGGATCAGCCACCAACCCCATATAATATATCGCGTCGAGATTGATACGTTGAAAAAAATCGCCAAGCTCCAATCGTTACTAAGATCTACTTTCGGGTTTTCAATTTATTCAAGATATTATGTTACATGTATATTTTTGCTTAAATCTCTTCATTCGAGGTTGGACTTCGGAAACCGAAAGTTGAACATTTCTTTCTTATCAATCGAGAACTAATTATTTCAACTTTTTATTTTCGCTATTTATTTTCGGCTACTTTCGCGAATTCCTAATTTTGGAGTTGTTAATTTGTAAGAAAAATAAGTCCTTAACAGAAAAAAAGAGAAAAAACATTTTTAAAAAATTCCTGGCTCCGAAACTGACGGCGCAATAACACTGTCTTAAAAATGTGTGGTAGTATCGGCTGTTCTCGACAACGTAAGTTTTTTCTGAAATGGACTCCTTTTTCAGAAAAGTTTTCGCTTGAAAAATTTAAGCTGTGCCAATTATAGTTCTCAAAAAAGGATGCGCTTATTGTGATTTTTTCCGATTAAATCGCAATTGTGTAGGAAAAAAACGCCCGACTTGCAAAAATCATATATATATATTTTTCTTTTTTATCGTTTTTCAAAAAATCTTCAAATTTACCTGTCCTGAAATCTAATCTCAACATTTTTTTTTCTGTCTTCACATTTACTAGTCTGTTGTTGGACTTTGTAATTTGGCCAAGCGTCTGCTCTTGTACCATTCCATGTTTAACTGTTCCATCTATAAAGTTTCCGCTTTCCTCATGAGATACCGTAAGAAAAGAAGACTATGAGAATTTCCGTTATGATAACCGGTGCAAGTTGCTGCTTTTTTTTGCTATGCTATAATTTCATATGTACGTGAACAAAATATAGCGGAAGAAGCAACGTGGACTGGTGCGGACAGCGGAATGAGTTATAACCCCAAATATGGCTCATTCATTCCATTTCTTCTCACATTTTCGCTCTTAATGCGTGTGCCCCAGGGGTAGAAGGAGGAACTTGCTCGAAATTTCTTCTTCTGCCCTGACGCCACCTGATTTCGACGCGTTTCCGCGCCTTTCATGCACTTTGCCATGTTCTAACCACGCATCCTTCCCGTCTTCGGCTTCAGATGCGTCGAAATTCGACACCCATATGGATTTTCGGCGAGCGCGCGACCCCTCTCCTTACACGTGTTTCAATTATCTCAAGAACCATCAGAACTACCAACCATCAGAACTATCATCATGCAAAAAATGCAAATTTATATTAATTGAAGATGTTTTGCTGGTAACTTGAGACCCATTCTATTCAGATAGTTCTTTCTGCGGCTTTTTTCTTCATAAAAATGACTTCCTGAAAATTTTTTTTTTCTTTAGTAAATGTTATTTAAAACATTCAAAATTGAACGAAACTCCACTCGATTGACCAAACCGATTGACCAAATCGCAAAAAAACTTTATTCAGTGGTCTTGATTTTCATTTAGGCATCGCAGCCCGAAAATTCAAAATTTTCTTTTTTATAGGACTAAGCTTAGTTATTCTGCGTCTCTCTAGACTCGTTTTCAATGTTTTTTAGAGTTGGTGAAAATATTGAAAATTAAATAATTACGATAAAATTTTTATGCGCCGACGCCAGTAATTTTTTGCATGCACAAAGTTTTTCCTCTTAAAAACTCATTCTTATTCCAAAACGTCATTTTCTTATACATAGGGCATCCATGTCAAAACGTGCTTGTTAGAGTGGACACGAATCAAAATCTTTATATATTTTGTCTTCATCTGAAATCAGTATTTTTATATTAATTTTCCTACCTCACTACCTCACAACCTCAGAAATCCTCTGAACAATAGAATAATCCGAAAAGTTATAATAATCCTCGTTTGTTTTTTCTTTGCTGTGATTAATCTTACTTCATTTTTCCAAACAGGGTGATTCAATACTGTCTCATAATTTTACTTCAATCCTCGCCAAAAATTTCGAGGTGTGACCCTTCGGATAAGCTCAATTAGTCGGACTCTCTTCGCGTTGGAAGCCGTTCTCATCGACGAACGCCATCTTTCCGACCTTTTTTCTCTCTTTTTCGAGATGAAAAACGCCGTCAATACGCCTTATGGCACAAGAACCATCTGCCTAGTTTCTAGGCTCCACACTGGAAAACTTGTTGTAGGATTCTCCTCTTATATCAGTCAAGTGCAGAAGCCGTTGACCTTCCTTCTTGTTTTGAAGATAAGACCCGACGCGTCGCGACAGTTGGTCCAGCTCCTGGAAAGCTCCGCCTATTTTTCCGAGGGGTGGGCCGTTGAAGCCTGCGATAAGCGACTTCTTCGGCTTCTCTCTTTTTCGACGGAAATAAACGCCTCGAAAAGGCTCTTTGACTTTTTTGAATCGACCGGCCCCGACGTGCGTGGGTTCCCTCCATGAGACTTTTTTTGAAGAAAGGTAGTTTTGGAAAATAGCAAAAACAAATCAGTTCATTTTTTTTATTTCCGATCCTTCACAGAGCCTTTAAATTTTTTTCTTAATGGTTTCTTTCAAGTTTCATCTTCTTTTCGTTTGCCTCGTTTATAGTGATATAGAGGTCTATATGATTAATGAATCACTTATACTTTATAAATTTCTTAGGCCCCTTACGAGGAAAAAAACAAAGCAATGTATTATATATATAATTTTTCATTTCTTTTTTTGAAGTGTTTTCTAAAAAAGGAAGGGCTATTCCCTGAATTTTTTTTGAGGAAATTAATCACACGCTAATTTCTTTTTTCACGTTCAAAACATCAGGTTTTTCAAGTCATGATAATGATCAGACCGGTCATCTTTTAGGATCTCCTTGAACTTTTATTAATTATCAGGTTCTATAGTTCCATTTACAGTTCAAACTAATTTTTTTTCAGAAAGATTCCGTGATCTTGAAAAACTTCATTCCAAAATTGAATTGTACCCCATCTAACGGCGTAGCTGATTTCAACATGAACCAATAAGAAAAGCGATCAATTCCGGGGGAAAAATGTCAGGCCATTTGTACTCGAATATAAAAAATAGCAAGTGTGCCTGTGAAATTTGAACCCACCCTAACTTTCCGACTTACCTACTGCAGAGAAAAAAATCCATCAAGTTCATAATCCTCTGCCTTTTCCCGCCATCAAGTCTATCTCTCTGCTGACTTCTACTTCCCATTTTTCATTTCATTAGCAGGGATGAAACAAACAATAGTGAAATGATTGGGAAGCAATCTTTGTGAGTAACTTGGAAAACTAAAATTTCTAATGGCTGTTATTTCAAAAATGCTTTCCAAGTATGTAAAAACATCTTCTGCCAGGTGGAAAGAAAACAATGGAACATTCATATTGGATTACGTTTTTCTGAAAAAGGCGTATTATGTCGTCTCGTGATTGTTTTCATTTGTTTTGAAGGAAAAAAATTGCAGGACCGTGTCGTCTTCTCGCGATGAGGGTCTAGCATGCGGGCGCTTCTTTGGTAGGTCTCCGTCTGAACGAGAAAAAAAAACCTTTGCTTTGCTATAATCCACTTGTGAAAACAATACTCCGTTGAGAAAACAACCACAAGATGTTCAGGGTCCAGTTCTGCTTGTTTTATGCGATTCCCAGCGTCACGAGTGGCGGAACCGAGAGGAAATGTTCGCGAAACAGGTGCGAAATGCCTATCAAACCAAAACATACAACGCTCTGCGGCTCTCAACATCAGTGCAATTGGCGAGAAATGATGAATTTCCGAGACTGAACTGGGTCCAGGCCGCCGAAAGTTGCAACCTTTCAATATCAACCCAGAGAGCGCGTTGAAACTTTGTTAAGAAGGGAAGCCCTTGAGAAATCTTTTAAAGGACCTTCGGCTCTTTTGACAAGCTTCACCCTCGACTTGATTTACCTCACACAAGAAACGATCAGAGCGTTCCTCACTCACAGTTTTTACCTTAATATATTTATGGAAAGGTCTCTGGAGGTTTAGGGTGACGCTAGAGTAATTTTTCAAATTGGTCCCCTTTATCCCGTAAACAACAGAATCCTTAATTTGATGACAAGAATACCTTTCTGAATTTTTTGGTCCTAACTCATTCATCTGTCCTCAGTTTCTAGGGAACAGCTTTTTTTTTGATAAAGAGAATAAAAATATTTTGCATCTATTTGAATTAAATGTGAAATATATACATATATTTTTGTTTTTTATAGATAATTATTCCATTTCAAAGTGTTACAAGTGAAGATCTGAGAAGCCATAAATAAGGCAAGCTTTGTTATCCCGCAAAAATATTGCCGGTTAGGTTTTCTGCCCAGCGTCTGACAAAATTTTCATTTTGAAGACACAAAACACTCGAAATATTTTTTGCATTCGAAAAATCGGAATGAAGCCAGAAAGCGCGTTTTCAACAAAATAGAAAAGGATTTCGGGGAAAAATCAATGAATTCAGTATCAACTTGGGTAAACTTATCGACACGCTGCTCAACGACTACGACGTCCACCTTCTGCCACAGTCCGAAGGCGTCAACGTCACCATCGAACTCCATGTTCAGGTTCTTCTTCTCACTCTTTTTCCGTTTCGAGACAGTTCGAGCAGCTATATTTCCTTTTCTTGTTCATCATTAATTTTTTCTTATTGTTTTCTCAGTTTTCTTGCCTCGTTATAAATAACCGCTTGTTTTTCAAAACGAGAAAAAAACTTTACTTTTTTTTGAATAGTCGCTCTATGCTTTTTTTTTTTGAATGAGAAGCATGAAAGGCATTCCTAGCAGAATGATTTCCGGGGCCATTCGTTCTGGCTATTTTTTTTCATCATCGTTTTTTCAACAAAAAGGCGAATAAAAAGGATTGCGCTTGAGAAAGAAAAGAAGAAACATGGAATGAGTTTTGCAAGAATTTTTCTATAACTGTGCATAAGTTGAACAGCGAATATTTTAAGTCTTTTCTTTCGGTTTTCGACTTTTCCATTGATTGAAGGCGATGTTGGCACGTTGTTTAAGGGTGTTTAACGATAATTTCTCAACTTTATTCGCTCAAGCCGTTATAATAAAGACGATCAACTTTTTGTTTATTCTATGATTCAGCAGAGAATCTTCTCTGAAGACCGAATAAACTTTTAACTTGTAAACTTACAATAACAGTTCATATAAAGAACTCCATAAGCCATTCTATGTGGTCAGAAGTTTCGTGATTCTGCCACGTTGGTTTCTTTTTTCTCTCCAAAATCTTCTTTTCGAAACTGAGTTTCCAGGGCGTTTCGGGAATCTCTGAGATCACCGGAGACTTTTCACTCGACGTCATGTACAGCGAAATTTGGCAGGATCCGCGGCTCGCCTTCAAACATCTTAATGTCTGCGCCACAAATATCACCCTCAAGGTTTTCCTTCCTTTACTCTCCCAAGTTACTGCAACTCGGCCAAAGAAAAAATGAACATGAAAGGACTTCTTGGGGAGAAGAACTTCTGATGTTTTCTACGTCAATTATATTAATTGGTAGCACTAATGCACTGGTCACACTCCAAACGCCCTATTTCTCCTCCAACTGAGAAAATAGAAATAGTAAAAACAACATGAACTTTACAATTGGCATAATTTTTTTGAATCCAAGGAAGTTCAACTGCTTTTTTTTTTGTCGAGGTGCTGATTTTCCTTAGGCTTGAATTAAGTAGATTTCGACTTGCTTTTTAATTATTCGTTCTTTTTTTTCTCTAAAATGTTTGACTTTCGTATTCATATAATTTTTTTGCTCTTGAAGGTTTTGAAAAGCTAAACTTGCAAGAAAAGAAAGAAATAATTTCCGTATACCCTCGCACTCGGAGTTCGTTTTCAGTTCGTTCCAAGATTTCTATCAGGTGATACTTATTTTTTTATTCGTAGAATATTTGAATACTTGCCAGTGGATTTTATAACACCAATCACGCACATGTTAAAAAAATTCATTTTTTTTTCCGAATGAAATATAAAATACGTTTTCCGATGTGACGTTCACTGCGTCTTCTTGATTGAAACAAAACTTGCAGATTTTTTTCTTGCAGAAATTATTCAGAGGTGTTTCTCATGACTTCTTCATTGTAAAAATTGTTTCGAAAAGTGATAAGTTTCAAAAGAGAAGGGACTGAATAACCTATTTTGGAAAAAGCCGTTTCAGGAGCATTTTGGAAGATGTATTAAAATCTTCTCGAAGTACATTCAGAAACCTGCACATCAATGTGTTGTTCTTTTAGGCGGTTATTAAAACCCTTGTCTTTTCATTGGAACCAAAGTTTTTCAATGCTGACCGAACGAATGTTTTTGGAGGAGTTTCGCGTCAAGGGGTTTAGGCCTTGAAAAGAGCCGTGACACGTGGATCTGAATGATGAGCCGGCAACTGCTCGATTTTTCTCACCTTCTTTTTGCTTCAGCTAGCCACCAACTGCTTCCGACAGTTAAAGCAAAAATTTGCCGGAAAATGCAACAGTTTCTTTTCAAAACGGTTCATAGACATCAGCAGCACTCATATGCACGCTATAGTATATTCACCAAACGCTTGAGCCGCTTTTCAAGTACTCCGGGCTGAATTTCTAAATATTTTCTAACGGAATTCTTTTTTTTCAGCAAGTTATTGAGTAAATTGTTTCACCATCAAAGTTTGTTTCCCTCAACTGTCAATAAGGCTTAGGAAACTGTAGTTGAAAAGGAATCTTTCGATTAACTAACCAAGATTTTGAAAATTCTCATTCAAACTCAAGTTTTCAGTCAGACTTTCGAAAGAAGATATGGACGCCGGACACGTGCATCATCAACAGCAAATCGAGCTCGATCCACAGCTCGCCCAGTGAGAATACCTTTGTGATTCTCTACGAGAACGGACTCGTGTGGAGCAACTTCAGGTGTTTAAAAGTCGGAAAAAATAAAATTTTCCCCAAGAAAATAAAACTTTTTTTGAGTAAAAGAAAATGTCTCGATTTCAAGTTATTATACTTTAGAATTTATGTTTCAGGCTAAGAAAACATTTTTCATTTTTTTGTTCACTGAAAATAAAGGAACTTCTGACCTACAGGGAAAAATTCTGAAAGATTATCTTCAGGTTGAACGTCAAAACACCGTGCAGCGTTAACCTTAAGGTAAGTTTCTGTATATAAGGTGAACTTTGTTATTTAAAAAAAACTGAACTCTTCAAAATAATGTTCGTGATAGAGTGCTGTCTTTTAGCTTTCCTGTGAACTCTAATCTGTTTTTCGACCCGTTTTTCAATGAATGCACCACAAAATTCAGCCTGAATCACAACAGCTGAAATTAAATTTCGTGAAAAAGCTCGAAACTAAATTTTCACAAGGGAACAAAATAACGTTCTTTTTGTCTAGGAAAAAGAGCCGTTTCTTTTCGACTCTCGAGCCAGAAAAAGAGGTTGCAGGAACTCCTCAGACAGCATTTTGTGCCACTTGGCCTGACAAATGGGATGCTTTCCGAAAAAAGAGTTTGGCAAGAGGAAATGTCCGAAAACAGGGGTGTAGATGCAAAATGGCAATATGACACACGATGTATCCATCTTATTCTAAACATTTCTTCTTCCTGTGGCCAGATAAAGGGAAAAAAAAACTGGGCAGAAAGCGAAACGAACGCAATTTTGTCGAAATTAATCTTTTTTCATTTCGCGAAACTGCACAACTGCAAACATATGCGTAAAAAACTATCGATTTGGAGTGAATTGTCAATTTTGTTTTGAAAGTTCTGTCTCAGGTGAAGAACTAACTCCGTTTTGATCAGGAAAAAAAAGTTCCATGAGAATGCTTTTTGATAGGAAAACAAGCTGATTATTAAATATTTTTTAACGCTTTCTTTAGTTTACTACAAGCCGCTTGAAGAAATTTTAGATGTGGTTTTTTCAAGAAATTTTTTAAATTTTTTTTCTGGAAAATAATAACTTAATGACTATTTGGGATGTTCACTCACAGTTTTAATGTTTACTGAAGTAAGAAATAACTTGCCTATGAGACGTTTTCAGATGTTCCCGTTCGACTCTTTGTCATGTGAAATAGTGCTGGAGAGCTATTCTTTCAACACAGACGAAGTTCGGCTGATGTGGCACGACGTGCCGATCACCATGATGGAGAAGGTGGGCGGCCACGGCTCCTGCGTACCCCATCTGAAGGTTTCAGGTGGAACTCCCGGACTTCGACCTCATCGGCTGGTCCACCGACCATCAACGGCTCGAGTATCCCAATGGCATTTGGGACCGCGCCAAGGTTTCTTTTTTCATGTACTTCGTTCTCTGCTAGCAAGTCACAGGACCTTTATGAATCTAGTTTTTTCATCGCCCTGCAGATCATAAAAAATTTTTTGGCACATTTTCTTTATTTATTAGCTAAAAGCAACCGTACATCAGTTATACCTTTTTAATTTTCTATTCCTACAGGTGAAATTCACTTTTGCACGTCGATACGGCTTCTATCTTTTCCAATCGTACTTTCCAACATCATTGACCGTAATCAGTTCCTGGGTCGGCTTTTTCTTCGACGTTCGCTCCGTTTCAGCCAGGCTCGTTCGAACTTTTGTTTCTTCATCGCTGACTTGCTACGGTAAAGGTCACAAATGATTTCCATTCTACATTTTTTGAGTGCCTCTATCAAGTTTTTTTCAAAAAAAAAAATCGCGAAAAAAAGTTCGCACAGCTCAGTAAAATATTGTGAGCTAAAGATTTCGTAGAAAATTTTTGTCTTGTTTTTTTTTCAATCTGCAAGAAGTGGCAAATGGGCAACAGTACATAAAAAATGGCTCAAAGAATCAATTTGTTCCACCTGATTCATGATTTCAAAAAAATCTCAATTTAAAATAAAAAGTTCGACATTCCGTTCAAAATTAAGCGCACGTCCCTTGTTTTTGAGGCAGTGACGACTACACTACATTTAGAAACAGGAGCAAAACTTGTTCAGAATCACGCTAGGAGTGTCATCGCTGCTGGCTCTGACCTTCCAGTTCGGAAACGTGCTTCGACATTTGCCACGGGTCAGCTACATAAAGTGCCTCGACGTGTGGATGATCTTCTCAGTCATTTTTATCTTTTGCACTCTCGTTGAACTTGCAATCGTCTGTCAACTAAACAGGTTTTTCTTCTTGTCAAGCTTCGCTCATTTCGAATTCAGATGGGAGCGGGAACGTCAGATCGGCTCTAAAGTGCTCGGTCACTGGCTCAACCAAATTCGGTTCGTTATTATTTCTCCAAATTTGTTTGCTCGCCCTCGCTCATATGAAAGATGCCCCGTTTCTATTAATATGACGTCATTCACAGCAATATTCCTTGTTTGTGTAAAATAGGGAGAATGTTCCAGAAAGACGCGGAAGAGCGAGTCCAAGACAGAAACGGTGAGGAAGCGACTTCTGCCGTTGCGGACTTCTGAGGAGAAGCCGCCGCCCAACACACTCAACATCAACAAAAGTCCTGCTAATCTCTCGGTGAGGCCTCCTTCGAATCAAATGCTCAAGTTAAATTGCTCCAGAATGTCCAATTGCAAGTGCCAGAAAACGAGAGCTACACGTACAGAAAAAGCGAAAGTTTCACACATCGAATTCAACGGATAGTCTACTCGATTTGTCCCCCAGATCGAGATTGGACCATCACCAGTGTACAGGTGACAATAATCCATAAAAAAAAACGATGGAAAACCTTCTGCAGGTCGACAGATGCTCAATGATTATGTTTCCTTTGTCTTTTCTCGTCTTTAACATCATGTAAGTTCGAGAAATGAAAAGGGTCGAAATTCCATTCTTCTAGATACTGGTCGATTTATTTTACCAAAATGGATCGTCCCATGTAATATTGGACTTTTCCGATATGTCCTACGTTCACAGGGTAGTATTCATCCAAAATGTTCACTTTTTTATTTTCATAAAGGTTCAACCGAGATTTTGAAATATGCTGAAAGTATAACAATCAAGAAACAACAAATTTCAACAAAGCAAAATAACAATAAACGATTTTCAAGAAAGATATAAGATTGAAAAACGGCGAATGAACTATGAAACAAGAGCTAAAAGTTGGCGCGCCTGGTGTTCTGCGGCGATCAGACGATCGTGGAACTCCGACGGAGGCCGGTCCTGTTTGCCTTGGTCGGCGCGAGCCAGCAAAGACTTCAAGGAGAGACGGATCCTGGCGTTGGCCTAAAAATCCGATTTCTCATACATTCTGGCAGCACATTAGTACATCTCTCTGGGCGTTGGTAGCAGTACTGTGACCGGCCAGGACTAGTCTTTCATTCGACAATTTGACGGCGGACTCCAGAACTCGTGTAGCCTCTTCTTCATTTTTGTGCCAGTTCTGCAAGTAAAAAGGAAATTCGAAAAATTCAGATGCAATACGACTTGCAAATTGAGGCATTGAATTGATTGAAGAAAATCTTTGACTCGGATTATCAGGGTCCTACCGCAACGCAACCACGACGCTTTGAATTTTTTTATTCTTTGATTTATTTCAAGTGTTTCATCAGGGTAAATAAAGAAGCTCATTTCCCAACTTAGACCATGTAAACCGATGAAATTTTTCTCACTTTCAAAAAAATTAATTAAAAAAAGAATTTTAGAGGTCTACCGTTATGGTACAATAATTTCACAACTACACGGAGTAGTAAATCGACAAAAAGAGCATCCGAATCAAATTAAAAGTCCTGCCTGTTTATTCGAAGCAACATTGGAACTCTTCTCGAGGAGCTGCACATACTGTTCATACGTCGTCGTGGTGTTGGACGTCAGTTCCGACGGTTTCTTCAGATCCGCGTACAATTCCAAAACCTGAAAAAAACACGATTTCAAGTCGGAAAAAAGATAATACATGCCTTGGAGGATAGTGTGTGAGTGGAAGATATACGAGCAAGAAGTTTTATCATTTCGTTTTTGACCTCTTCTAGCTCTTTCAGCTCGTTTCCTCCTTTCTTAAATAAAACTTGAAGGAAAATATTATATCGAAATCAAACGTTGGCTTGTCGATGCAATACTTGACGAGCAATAATTTCCAAAACTTCCTCGTCGGATTCGCGTTTCTTCAAGTCCAGCAGGCGGTTGTACGCCATTATGGCCTGGACATCACAATTCGAACAAAATGAAAAGAGGAAAACCTGGGAGAAATCGCCGACGTCAACTGACAAGAGCATGAAGTTTTCCCACACCTTGGCATGTTCGTAGTTGAACTTGAGCGCTTCCTGAAACGAAGGTAACTTTTTTTTGATAAGAAAAAAAACCTGCAGAAGTTTCCAAGCCTTTTCTTTCTGGCCTGCTCGTATATACGCTGCCGACAAGTTGCTCCAGGCCTCAAAGTGCTCCGGCTCAAGGCAAACGCATCTAAAAAATAAAAAAAAAAATTCAAGTCCAATTTTTATTTCAATCCTAAATTCTCGACAGATCCACTTTTTTTCACTTTTTTTGGTTTGTCTAATCGACTTTTTTTGTTTAGTGAAAAAGAGTCTTATGTTTAGAAACTTGATCATTTCGATCGAATTTATTAAAAAGAGTAGAGCGGGAAGATTGACCTGAAAACATGACAAGGTTCGATGCTTTTTGAATCTGCTTTTGCTTTGCTTGAGTAAAAGAGTAAAACCTTTCGAAAATTTCATCAACAGAACATAGGCGAACCCTAAAAGGGTATCGCGATACTCTTTGAGGTATATTGCAGGGTTTGAAGTCTATCGAGTCTCCTCGAGTATAATACTTCCGAGAACTTTGAGGAAAATGAGATATATTTGAGATATACTCTCAAGTACCTTCGATATGGCTCAAATAGAGATAAAAGGTATGCTCGAGGTCTCACGCTGAACATATTATGAAGTCTTTACGATATATTTTGAAAGACATCTTTGTGGACACAATATGGTACCCTACCGACTCGCCTGTGATCAACAACTTATGCAGCCCTAATCAATTAACTCTCAAACGTTGTTCTCAAAAAATGGAAACCTGTGATAGCATTTGATGGCGTCTCCGTACTTTTGCAGCATCCAGGCGCAGTAACCGGCGTTGAACCAAGTGCCAAGCTGAAGCCGAAATCAACGTCGAGGTTGGAGAAGAGCCGAACCTGGATCGGCTGCAGCTCGAGACTCCTCTGGAGGTTCGCAAATGCATCTTCGAACTTCTTCTGCATGAGGAACAGATGGCCGAGAGAACGTCGGGCCCGGGAATTCCTGTCTCCCGAAATCTGAAGACAGCCGACTGTAGCAAGCCCCTCCAACGCACCTCGATCGCCTTTTCGTAATACTCGGTATTGTGAGTGATATCCCCAAGGTAAACGTGGAGCATCGAATCATGCGGTTTCTCTTCCAGAAGACGTCGAATCAGCGTTTCAGCCTGAAGACTTATTTCTTTCCGAACGAAAAAAAGACTAGCCTTTTCTAGTTGACCAAGACTCTTGTAGCAACTGATAACATCGTCCCATAATTCCAATTTCTCAAGGATTATCAACGCTTCCTATCAAAAGAAAGATGTATTTCTCGGATGTTTGGTGGAAAGTAACTGATGTGCAGCCGAGGGACCTCAGAATGGAGCTCTGAAGGACGGCCACTTGCCAGAAAGGCCACAACCCGGCGGCCAATGCGAAGTTAGCTCTTTCGAAACGAGTCGATTCCTCGCTCTATAACAAAAATAATTTCTTCTTTTTTTGTTTTGTTAAAATTAGCTTTAAAAACATATTTTTAATAAACCATGAGCAAAAAAATCATAACTTTTTCAGAAAGGGTTTCTCTAGAGTACGTGCCACTGTGTCTGAAAAATTTTTTCGCTATATATCTTTTAGAAGAAAAAAAAAATTTGTTCTCAGAATTGCAAAAACAATTTTAACCTAAGATTGACAAAATCATTTTGATAAACTTTGTTACTTGCTATTCCATCAAAAGAATGTTTTAAAAAACCAGATCATCGATGCCGGTCATCAGCTTGTGTAACAGCTCAGTTTGTGAGCAAGCACGTTCGACCTGAAACTTTTATCAGGAAAGAAATTTGGGACCGCCTCACCATCCGCTTATTTTTCTTTTCAAGTTCTGAGCGGAGTAAGAGAGCTGACGCTTGCAGAGGCCAACATCTGCGAGAAGCGAGAACCTGGGAATCAGAAAATCATAAAAAAGGCTGATACTTTCTCTGGAAAACCGGTCTATAAAATTCGACAGGTTTTCGGACTTGAGAATATTGTCCGCTTGTGAGTAAAATGAACGATCCAATCAGAAACGGAGAGGAGAAACGAACTGTGTTTATGAAGGGCATGCAGCGTTCCTCGACGATGCTGTCGGAGCGATGTGTGACGAATTCGAAGCGCGCCATCCACAGGAGACAGGCGAGCTGTTCTGCTCTCAACGTTCTCCCGTCGACGCGACGTCCGTCCTCCGTAGAGTCTTGGATCGTGACCTTAACTTATCACCCAAGTTCTCAAGTTTCTCAGCGTCCTTTTCAGCTACAAAACTCCATTCAGTCGAGATGAATAGCGAGAAAAAAATAAAAATAAAAAGTTCCAACTGTCTTGATTATCTCTTGTAAGATTATTTCAATTTCAATTCGTTCAGGACGCATCACTTCCCAAAGCACTCTTTTCGCTAGTAGTCCCTCTATCCCATCAACTCAACAGCGCCTTCCGCACATATAGGACTTCAAATAAAATAAAATTTATATTTTTTTTAAATCATAATTTATTCTAGGTTATGATGAAAAAAATGTTCAAAGATTTTTTTATGATTTAAATTTCACTTGGGAGTCGTATCAACTCAAAGTAATGGTTGAGATAATTACCCGAATCAAGTTTTTTCTTTAAAAAAGTTTTGTGACTTGTGTTTTGGACTTAAAAGCTTGTATCATTTTACTCTGTTTCTTTTGACCACAGACCTCCTCTAGCAAGGTGTCGTCGTTCAGAGCGCAGTTTGTCGGAACATCCACATCGGCGTCGAGCGGAGCAGATTCCGTGCGTTCCTGAAGCCACAGAAAAGATGAGAAAATGATGAAATCGTCCTAACTTGAATGAAGTCTTTGAAAGCTCACCGTGTTCAACAAGACTAGCTGAGCGATCGATTTGTTCTGAAACCGTGTTCTTTTCCCAAGCATTCCCGTGAGTTCGATATTTATCTCAGACAAACGCACAGCGTCACTAAAAAAACAAATTCCTAAAGAATTCAGTTAACTTATTACTTCAACTTGGCGTTTGCTTGATCGTAATCATAGTACTGGAAGTGAAAATAAACCATTTCGAGCAACGTGCGAACCACCAAATCAGTATTTGTCTGCTGTTTCAGCGAGTGTTCGAGACAAGTTATCTGAAGCAAAAAACTTTTCAAAGGGAGTTTTGTGCAAACAGACTGAGATTTGGCCGATTTCCCGAATTTCTTTACTTGGTTCCACCAGCAAAAGTTGCCAAATCAAACAACACCTTGAAAATGAAACTCGTTTTCATAATTTTCTAAATGCACCTGAGTTTGTTAAGCTCGAACTCGAACTCAAGGCCAGCCAAGTCTCTTTTGGGAAGCACTTCGTAGAGGATGCGCTTAGCAGTGTACAACTCCTTCGAAGACCTGGGAGATATTAGCCACAGTTGCGATTTCGAATCAACCTTGAGGCAGAACAAATTGGATTCGACTCGAATGAGAGTTTTTTCCTGGCTTCCTCTTCTGATATCGATGATTGTTCGCAATTCCCTGCGCGCACTGGGTTGTTTGATATTTAATTCAAACTTGAAAACCTGGAAAGCCCGCGAAGTTCGAAGCGACGGCTCGATGGAGCAACATAGAGGCTTCTAACAACAAATTACGTTCATCCATCGTTTCCGATAACTCAATCAAACAACGTTAACTAGGAAATAATCGATGAATTTACCTCTACTGTTGGATTGGAACAGCTTGGATCAGTAACCAAAGACATTCTCAAAATTATTAATCGTCTTTTTTTAATTATAGAACCTTCAAATATTGTAGCCATCAGAAAACAGCTTCACGTGAAAAACTCCATGAAAACTTCAAACGTTTAACATTCTCCAAATATAAAATTCTATATCAAACAACGAACACAGTGAACAGCAAGGAAACATATGCACAACGGGCTCTACTGGGCCTTGGACAACTTCTAAGGGTACCACCAGAGATCATGAGTAATGAACAAAAGAAAATAGAGGATATATTGAAGAAAGACCCGATCATTTCTTGAAACCTTTGAGAATAGGATAAATCTGGCTGAAAGCGTCGTCAATGTCCTTTTTCGTCTTGGCTCCAGTTATCACGACCTGAAAACAACAAGTCTAATACTCATTTATCATGCAAGAAAGTGAGTTTTAGGCTTTGAGTTCATTTTCTGAGTACACATCTCTCCTAACAACTTATATAAAAGCTATTCAAGACACCCGAATATTCTTCCTTTTTCAAAGTTTGATAACGAAAAAGAATTGAATGAACTTTTTCGAACAAAGCTTGATTTGAACACTAAGAATAACTGACGAGATAAACGCGAGGTCGGTGGCGGTACATTGACGAACTCGCAAAAATGTCGCTTTTTTCTAGGCGCGATCTCGCATTTGTCTCGGCGCGACCTCGCATTTTTCTCGGCGCCATCTCGCATTTATCTTGCATTTCGGAAATTTTCAAATTGCGAGAGAAATGCGAGCTCGCGCCTAGAAAAATGCGAGCTCGCGCCCAGAAAAATGCGAGACCGGCGCGAGAAAAAAAGCGAGATATTTGCGAGCTCGTCAATGTACCGCCAGTGTCTCGCGTTTATCTCGGCAGTTATTCTTAGTGAAGTTGGTATGAAACAGCGGAGGGAGATCACGTAGAGTCCTGGGAGAAGATTTGAGGTACATAGCGTGAAAAAACGAGCAATGGAGAAGTTTTTTTTTTCGTTTGTACACATAGAATTTGAGAGAAAATTCCTACTGAAAATATATTTAGTGATTATGGGGATTTTTTTTTGAATGAATACCAAAAAAAAGTGATGAAAAAAAAAGAAAACCTTTCCAGAAACGAAAATGAGAAGAACGACACGGGGTTTGACCATTCTGTAGATAAGGCCAGGGAAAAGCTCTGGCTCGTAAGTACTGAACTGCGCGTGAGTCAGGCAGAGGCCTTCGAGTTGAATCGGAAATCGCACGTCGCAAGATCCCACCATGTTTTGCACCTCCAATGATTTTTTTTTTTGAATATTTGAAAACGTTGTTCTAAAAACCGTGAATTCAGTGAACTTTGCATTGAATCCCAACTTCTGAACGATTCTCGCATACTTTCGAGCGGCATTTCTGACAGAAAAAATGTTTTGTCTGATATTTTTCATTCGAACCGGCTAGCTTCTTCGGACTTGGCTCCAGTGCAGACCATTTTGCCACTGGAAAAAATCAAGGCGGTGGTTCGAGGCTCTCTAATACGCATGATAACCGCAGCAAAACGCTTCGGATTGTACTCGGCATTTCTAGCGTGAAGTGCGATGTTTTTCAGGTCCAATGGAACGCCTAGAATCGATATACGGTGAGAGTTGCGGAGAATGTCCGTACCGAGGTTCACAGTGGACACAATGTTCTGAAGCATCGGCATAGGAATATCGAGGGCGCTGGCTGGCGTCTGCGGCATCATCGCAGTGGGAATGCTGCTCTGCGGAATATTGAGACCTTCGCGGAACTGCAAAACCGAGACTCCCATGCTTTTCGGACAGAATGGAGAAAAACTAACGTGCTCAACTGGAAGAGGAGTCATCGGCACGGCTAAGCTCTGATATACAGATGGAGGATTCATGTCCTGCAAGAGGAATTGAGGGGGAAATCATCATAATGTAGACGAGTTTGCATGCGTTATGAGTATTCTTATGCGGCGTTCAAATTGATTTCGGTGAAATGAAAAACTTGTTTGATCCTCCCAATTTTTGTTTTTTTTTTTTTAGTTATCTTTTACTCGGGCAAAGTCGGAATGGTGGATAACGGCCGCTAAAACAAAGAGGCTAAAAAACCGCAGAAAGGCAGCAAAAAATTCCCTTTATCGAGTCTAGGATACTTTGGGATTTTAAAGGCTCAAGAAATGGTGGAGAAGTGAAGAGGCAGCAAAAATGGTGCATAAGAGCCGATGAAATGGCGCAAAAAAGGAGCCTTTCTCACCCTAAAAGGTCAATTTCTCTGGAGCCTTTCCCACCCTTCCAACTTTGCTTATGTTAGTTATCTTTAGTTATTTTTTAGTTATCACAGATATTTTTAATTCCGCGGAATCACTTTGAACAAGGCATTAACAAGGCATTAATTCCGCGGAATCACTTTGAACAAGGCAACAACAAGGCATTAAGTTGCGAGACGATCTAATTTTTTTCCAAAGCTATGCTTGAAAAACCTGGAGAATAGAGCCAGGGTTGCCCCCAACATTGATTATAGAGGAAGGGTTGATGTTGAGGTTGTTGTGAGCGCTGCCAGGAATACTTCCAACATTGCTCATGCTCATTCCCATCATCGATCCACCTTGAGGGCCTTAACAGACTTTTTGGAATAAAGAACACTGTACTCATTCGAAACTGAATGGACCATGAGCGTAGGAAAGGTTTTTCTCCTTCAAATACTTGGCTACTAGAAAGATTTTTGAGACCAGAAACAATTTGAAAAACGAAAAAACCGTGTTTGAACAACAGAAATGGCGTGTTTTTCAACAACTCGAGGACGTTTCTGCTCAGGCGGGCAAAGCTTCCGTCTGTTCACGTTACAGGGTAATTAACAGCGGATAGCTCATAACGTCTGAGTCAGACACTTTCAGAAGCTTTGCTTGATTAATTCTGAATTTCTACACTCAGTTTGACACAACAAATCACAAACTCTTTTATTTTTCATCTTCGTTACCTGATAAAAAATAAACAAACCATGCAAATGTTGAGCGTTGGAAGAATGTTGGACAAGAGAATTGGGACCCATCAAGCTGCCGGGTCCCATGATCGATCCAGGACCGAGGACGGATCCAGGACCGCCGTGAACTCCCAAAACAGAAGAAGGACCGCCATGGCCGCCTGAAACTCACCGGGTTCTTCAGTTTCACTGTAAAAAACAGACCGAGAACTGAAGAAGGTCCGTGCGCCGGAGTGTCGCCTCCGAGGCCTGATCTCACTGAGGGACTGTTCATACTCCAAAACAGAATCAAGTGGAGCAAAAAAAAAATTAAAGAATATAAGTAAAAGTTGTGCTCCAATAAACACATCGCTAAAATACAATAAAATGTAATTTGAAAAGCTTCATGATCGACAACGACAAAAACAACAACAATAACAATTATCAACAAAATTCAATAGAAATGAACAATCTAAAGAGACCAATTAGACGATCCATTCAGAAGAGCCGTCTTGAAATGCAGCATATCCACAGGCGGTTGAAGGAAACTGAACGCGACTGAGTGAACTTTTTTCTCCTAGAAAATAAATTATCTTCATAATTTTCTTTGAATAACATACCTCATGCTTCTTCTGGAATTTGCCACCTTTCCTCTTATTAAACTTCGCATTTTCTTCAGAATGATCATCTTCATCCTCGTCGACCTCCCCAGCCTAGAATCAAAATCGCCCCTCGAATCAAGTTTCAGGAAAAAAAAACCTGGGACTTCAAATAGCCCTCGCTGACTTGGTTACTGTCTTCGCCGAACGACTTGGCCATATCATTGGCCATGATTTCATCAAGGCTTTTGTAACGCACGAAAGACTCTATCTGTTTAATCAAACTATTGAACTTTAATAAAATATCAGTACTTTCTGTAGAGATTTGTCGACAAATCCAGCTCGTTTCCTGACATTTTGGCTCCAGTGATGTTGCAAGATCTTTACGAAAAGACATGAAAACGTGAAAAAAACGAACCTTTATCTCCCAAAGTGAGGACTGCATAACATTCGTCTTGCTCAGCACATCCTCATCGTTGTCGAAAGGGTCCATAGATAAAGTAGCTGAAAATTACCGAGAATTGAGATTAAATAACAAAAAACTAAACTTGGAAAAAAAAATAACCACCTGGGATAGGTCGATTTACAAGTTCAGCGGCATTGGGATGCCGGGTGAGTAAATTCCGAATCAATCCGAGTGTAGGTTCCTAGACAAAAAACGGAATGGGATGAATTGGAAGACTTACAATAGGCTCTATCGATGAAAATAATAAACAGCGGCTCAGACGCTTGGCGAAAGCGGCCACGATGTAAATCGGCACGTGTCTGAAACATGTCCAGTGTCGTGAAGAATTCACAAGTCAAACTAACGAAGAAGACAAAAAGGCGTTGAGAAGGTTGAGAACTTTTTCAGTGCTTTCGAGGTGAAACAGAGAAGGCTTCGTCAATGAATAAACGTGGTCGTAGAAATTCGGGTACTCACTAGAGAAAACTTCACGAACTCATTTCGAAAAGAAATTCCCACAAATTATGACAAGTGATGAGTTTGAAAATCGCTCCAAGTGACAAAATCGCATAAGTGTCGCCTTTTTCGAACATCTGGATCCGAAAAATAAAATTAATTCAAAATTTAAAAAAAACCTTGAAAAAGAAATCCGAAGATTTGAAGGGCGTGCGAAGCAGAGGAAGGACGTGTTCCGTGATATGAACAATCATTTTCAGCGCCACCTTCGAGTTTACCTTAAAAATCATTCTTTCTTAGAAAGATTTTCGCCGCAACAAACATTTCCTGTCATGAGGGCGAGCCACAAATTGTCGTAGTCGTTTTGTGCTATCGCTTTTTTCCGTTTAGACCACGCAGGTTGTGTGAACGGAGATACTGAGACGAAATAGCGACAAAAAGTTCAAAAATTACCAAAAAAAAACCTCCGCCGAAGAAAAGTTTTGTCAGTCGGACTGATGCGTGAGGGACAAAGGTGGCAAAATGGAAAATATTCCACCACGTGTTGACACTTTCTCTACCAACATTCTACAAATTGTAACTGAAATCCCAGATTCGAGTTTTTAACAAACTCACAACTGATCGCTTCTGCAGATTCGCAGAAACGTAATGAAATAAATCTCTTGAAGAGAATATTTGCGACAGCTTCCGTAAGTAAATGCGACGGATTTTGGAATTCCGCAAAAGAAAGGAACAAAACCCCTTAATATGAATGCATATTCGAATATATCGATTGAACTCACATAAACTAAATTCTTCAATGAAGCCGTCGGTATTATTTTACCGTTAGCAGGATCTCTTTCGAAAGGCTTTGTCTTCAACATTTCAATAGACACAACCTGAAAAAACAAAATAAGAAATAAGTCTGGCCACTGACCTATTATATTAAATATAAAAAAATATAAAAAAATAAAACTAACTTTGGGTGTTGCAGCAGAGATGAAAAAAATTTTTGTCCATTCTTCTGTTGATTTTCGATATTGTTCCTCTTTTTCTAGTTCGCATTCTTCGTTTGCATTTTGCAAATCAACATTAAGATATTCGTTTTCCTCGTCTTCGGACTAAAAACATTTTATCACGAAAATAAGGAAGTCAAGATTACAATTAGGTCGACTTCATCGTAGTCCCCGCCAAACATTGCCACATCTATATCTTTCATTCTGTAAAAAAATAAAAAAAGAACTCTTGAAGAATTAAAAAAAGAGTTCAACTAAATAGATTAATCTTAGTTTTTGAAATAGCCGGCCTAAAATAGAATTTTTTTTCTAGATACAAAAAAACGACCGATGTGAAAAACTGTTTGAAATGAACAGTAGCGAAAAAAATTGAAACTACTACCTCTCAACATGAGAAAAAAACTTTGAAAAACAATAACTAATTGTCATTAATAAATTTTATAAATTTAACAATGAAAAAGAAGAGAAGAGAAATAATCATCTTTGCTCTAAAGCAAAAAAATGAGATCCCTTGAGAGTTTTCTGCAAGTTTTTTTGAAAAATGTTTTATAAAATCGTAAAAAAAATTGTTTTCTCTTCTTAATAAGATCTAGTGTTTTCTTTGTGTTTACGTCGTGAAGGGAAATCGGCCGGTTCGCATGGTTTTATTCATAATGGCCTTTTTTTTTAACTTTTCAAAGGTTAAAAAAGGTTTCATGACAATTTCAAGACCATACGGTTTAAAAGTTCGTATCATCAAGAACTATACACATTCTGAACAAGTAAACAATTTTTAACTGAGAAGTTTTCAAAAAATAACCACTATAAGAACCGTAAGGGCTGACTGAACAAACCGCCCACGCTTTTATTTTTTTAATTCAAATTAGTTACTGTTTGACTGAATCAAACGGAAAATTTTACAGAAAAGTAGGAAGACATTTTTTTTTTCATTTAGATGATTCTTGAATTTTTTCGATCGATTTTTATAGTTCACTCCGCCTGAAATTTTCTTCATTCGGAACTTTCTCCTCAATTCTTTCAGTTTCAGATGCTGAAAAATAGTGTTCTTACGGCTTTGAAATCTTCGCAAACAGTTTCGACTTTCCGCACAATCGCCAACATTCCTGCACATGAGCATCACATCAGATTCGATATGAAGGTTGGAAGAAAGAGGCCATGCTCAGACGCTCTCGACAGGTTTTTTGGAGAAGAATTCTTTGAGTCAATAATTTTTTTTCTTTTGTAGATTCAAACGATTGAATAACGGAATGTGGATCCGTGCTCATCCTGGCAGAAATAAATTGCGTTATATGAAAGATGATGTTTGGCAGAGAACAAGTACTTATTTCGAAACTTGCACTCAGGTTTTTCGCACTGTTTTTTTTAAACTGCATTTTTTTTTAGGAAGAGTGCAGGATATTGGATAAACTAACGACGCCGTATTGGCTGCGGCCCAAGCATTATCCGAATGATCCATATCAAGCATACCATGTTCGCCACGGTTTTCTTCAGACCCATGTGTTTTTTTTTTCAAGACTTTTTTTTTAGATTTATCGTCGCCTCGTGTGGATGACCGCAATCAGCTTGTTAGGGAGCGAAAGAAGGTATGTTGATTATTCGAATCTCTTGAAAAAAAAAAGCTTGGAGGAAAATGGAGAATGGAATCTTTGATGGATTCATTTTCAGGTGCTCTTGGATGACACTACTTCACAGAGACACTTTCGGGATTGTTGAATGTAATTAATAGTTAGATGAATAAAGTTTTAGAGAATTTAATAAGTATGAAGAAGTATTTTTACCAAACAACTATCTTAATTTTAATCTGTGGCAAAAAATGATTTTCAAAAAATTTCTCTATAACTTTCGGTTTATTCAGTATCAAATATGACATACAGACGAAGTGATAACTGTCCAGAACAGCTCTGCTGACTTCAAGCTCTTGAAACAACGTAAGAGTTGAAAAATATTTTGTATCAGATGTACATGTAATAGCAAACAACGGGTTAATTCGAATAAAACTAATTTTGATGGGAAAAATTATACAAGTTTCATATTTACATTTTTTCAGAAATGATGGATATTGAGTTTTGATCGAGATCTATTGCGTTTTTCTTGGCGAGGCGTTCTTGTGCTTTCCTTCTTTTTTCAGGTGTCATGAATAGAGTTTCGACCTAAATTGTTTTTTTTTTTCTTGTTTTCTGGTTCTTCTTTTTACCTCGTCTATCGAATATCCTTTGGTTTCGGGAACAAAGAAATAAATGAAAATCAAGGCGACAATGGTACATCCGCAATAAATGAAGAAGGTGCCTTAAATTTTAAGTTTTTTTTTTCGAATTCGTTTTGTTTCTAACCGTATTTAGTCGCTGCTTGACTTAAAGATAAGAAAGTTAGTGAAATGATCAAGTTGAAAATCCAATTGACAGCTGTGGATATTGATACGCACGTACTTCTTGCCCATAAAGGATAAAACTCAGCGTTCATAACCCAAGGCAGCGGGGCATAACCTAGGAATAAAATTTCCTAGGGCTCGTATCAGCTTTCCAACCTGTAGAAAATGCTAGCAAGTAGAAAACCATGATGATTATAGGCAGAATGGTGTATTTCGTATGGCAATAGTTGTCTTCCCATTCAAATAGTGAGCCTGTGAACAATATTAGAGCCGAGATTTAACTATTATAAAACCATTATTTGTGAGTTTATCGGAAGCACAGATTCCCGTGCTGGAGTACTTATCGGAATTGTCAGTTGGAAAGGGCAGACAGTAACCTGAGCAAAAGACTATTTTTCTCTTATATTTTCTCTCCACCTCTTTTTCCGGCTTTAGACTCGCAGAAGCCGCAATTGTCGTCGGTTACACAAGCGTCGCAGTTTCTAAAAATCTTTTATTCTGCACTACCGAAAAGCCCTACGAGAATTTGCGACAATGGTCCGCGTTGGGGAAAGAAGTGTTGTAGTTGGTCATGCTTGCGTATTCTGTTCCATTGTACGTTTTCAGTGCGTCCTGCGCATAATCATCAATTTTGATCTCACGAATCAGCTCACCTGACTAATAAGCAAAAAGGAAACGCCCATTGCGATCAGGGCGAGAATCACTCCGACCACGGAGAAAATGAACAAAATTCTTCTTCCCACCCTTTCGATCAGGCTCATGGGAATGAATGTTCCAAGAAAGTTGATTGCTGAAGGTATTTTTTATGCAAAGAGAAAAAAACTCAGAATACATGACGTTCCGACGGAGATCCAAATTGTAGTGTGATTGTCTTTGATTCCAGCCGACCTGATGATGTTGCCAGTGTAATACCTGCAATTTTTTTCAAGTTGAGCATTTCTCATATTTCATTTTACATAACAGTGTTGATTCCGGAGAGCTGCTGGAACATTTGTAGCATGCTGCCAATAATCAAGGCCTTTCGAACGTGCGCCGTCTTCATTATTCGAACTATAGTCAGACCGTCGCCTGTGATTCGTACTTTTTCATCTTTTTTTTTAGAGATTATCAAAACCTATTTCTTCTTTCGCCTTTGTCTCTGCTTCAAACGAGGCTTGGATCTCATCTAACTCGTAGTCAATCCATTCCTTGTCGCCAGCATAAATCCTTTCCAGCACCTGGAACTCAGTGTAGATTAATTGTAGTAATCTAAAACAAACATTTCTCGATTCTTCTTTCTGACCGTGCTCGTACAACCAGCGTGGACTCTCGGGCAAGAAAATGAAGCAGACAAACTGAATGATCGAGGGAACAGCTGCGAAGCCGAACATGAGTCTGCAACATGCTCGTGAACCGTTTTCTTCTTTCTGGACGGCGTCTATATAACCTCCAGCCGACCCTTTCTGGATCTATGTAACTGAAAGCGCCGCCGACGACGTTCGCGATGACCAATCCGATTGTGACCATGAGCTGGAAGCCGGTAACGAGACGCCCTCGGATGTGCGCTGGTGAAGCCTCGCCGACGTAAACCGGCACAATCATCGAGGCGAATCCTGCGATACTCTGGAATTTTGTGAGAAAGTCGTTAGGCCAAACCTATGGCGACTCCAAGGAAGATTCGACCGATCAAAAGAACTATTTTGTTCCAGGCTGCGGCACAAATACCAGCCCCCACGCTGAAAATGATGGTGGCCCCAATGATGACCTTTTTTCTGCCTAGGTAGTCAGAGCCTGTACCGGACAGCAAAGATCCCACCGCCGCCATTCCTGTAATGTGTTACTTTTCTCTTTTCTTGTTCATTAAGGTTGAGAGCAGAAGTCATTTTCTGCTTCATGGTCGTTCGCATTGAATTTTAAAAATTGATGTTTTGCAATGGTTTTGGGAATAGAAATTAACAAACTGTCTTCAAAATTTGAAAAGCTATGCGTCATAATTTTTTCTTTCTGGTTAATAACTCGGCTGCAACGGTAATAAATTTGAATCGTTGAGCGATTTAATCTCATATTTAATTTTGACTTGAAGATACCTGTTTATATAGAAAGAACCCACACTTCGAAGATATATAACTTTACCTTTACTTGGTTTACTTCGGTTGGAATAGATATCAGTACTATCCAGTAGAGTTCTCAAAACCAAACGTTCGAACGAACGTTCGACCAAACATTTTCGAACAAATGTTGAAACCAAACTTTTGGTTAAAGTTTGCTTTTGAACGTTCAACCAAAATGAACGTTCATTTTCCGTTCGTAAAAAAGTTCGTTCAAAAAATGAACGTTCACTTTTCGTTCGTAGAAAGTTCGTTGAAAAATGAACGTTCATTTTCCGCTCGTGAAAAGTTCGTTTAAAAAATGAACGTTCATTTTTCATTTTAAAAAAGTTCGTTCAAAAAATGAACGTTCATTTTTCGCTCGTGAAAAGTTCGTTCAAAAAATGAACGTTCATTTTTCGCTCGTGAAAAGTTCGTTCAAAAAGTGAACGTCCGTTTTTTTATGTGAAAAAGCAAACGTTCATTATTATAAGAAAAACGATTTTCGAACTTTTTGGTTGAACGTTTGAAAAATGATATATCCTAAACTATCGAAAAAAATGAAAAAGTTTATTTTTCAAACGGTCATTTTTTTGAACGTTCGGTTTTGAGAACTCTAATATCCAGGCTTCCTGACGCATTGAAAAAACATTAAATTTCGGATCACTGCTTCTTTATGGCGTCCCATTATTTCTAATGCCATGTTTAAAGTGATTCCGCGCAATCCATAATAGGCGTTAGAGAAAGAAAAAAATAACTTAATTTGGGAGAGTCCAATATTATTTTGCATTTTGCGGAAATTAATTTGAACGCCGCATAAAGAAGATCATCTGGTAAAATGGTATCTTCAATTTTTCGCTTGCTTGCCAAAGTTCAGTTCCAAATTGACAGTCAGAAGAGAGAAGAATCGCCTCCCTGGCGGACTTTTTACACTTAAGCCTTATAATCAGTGATCAGTATGGCACACTTTTAATTCCTATCTTAAGCGGAGTTTTCAGCCCCTCATCAGTAAGTACAAAGTTTTTTGACCCGCGTGTTAAGGCACAATAAGCTTTACTGATTACAATAGACTCGCCATATGCTTCGTCAATAAGCCTTTCAAGTTTAATCTGGGTGAAGAATTTTGTATTTTCAAAAACGAATTACTTTTATCGGTGCCTAGAAGTCAATGAATTTTTTTTGTTAATTTGAAAACTTATTTCCTGAACGTCATTAAAATTTCTGAATGAGATCTCGGAAATTTTCATTTCTGCGGTTTCTGTTTATCTTGAGTAGGGACCGCAGACGAAATTTTAAAATTTTTTTTTCAGCATTGAGCTTTGTATGGTTTGATAGCTGTTTCGATTAAAAACTCAGAACCGTTTAGTTTTTCGAAAAAGATTGAGGATGAAAAAAGTTATGACGAAAAATGTGGCGCGCCGCGCACCATTTTTTTAGTACTGAAATTTTGGTATTATCCATTTTTGACATTTTCCTTGATTTTTCTTCTGGAACAAGTTTTGATACTGGTCTAATATGATGTAACAAATCATAATAGAGTGCTAAAATGATAGAAATTTGCTAGTTTGCCGAAAAAGTCGGTATTTCCCAGAAAACAAAAAACTGACGCTTGCGGGTATCGAACTCGCGACCTCAAAAAGACAATCCGCTGCGCACGCGCTGCGCCAAGCTCGCGAGGGGGAGCTTCCATCCGCCTTACCCTTGAGCCGTTTGAATAGCACAGACTGTCTATTTCAAAAAAGAAAAATTTTGAAGTAATTTAGCTATTTTATCAGAATATGTTCGCAAATCTTTACTCAAACTTTCCGTGGAAATTCACTTCGAAAAAAACTGTTTTTTTAGTGCTTTTTTTGCCTCGTTAAACGATCGCTGCATTAAAACGGCCCCGTAAATTTTTGGCAAAGACTAATTTTTTATTTTATTCTTTTAATTGAAAGATTTTTTACTAATAAATGCATATAATCGTTTAAAAAACCTGCGTTCGACCGCTTTCTGGGTGATAAACGCCGCTAATTTTATTCTCTATTTTCAAGAGCAATTTGGGCGATTAAACAACTTTTTTTCAAGCACATATGCTGTGGAGAAAAAAATTTAAGTAAGCCCATGGTCTAAATTTTGAAAAAACAAAAACTCGATTATATTCGCTTATTAACGATATTTTTGAATTATGACTTTCGGCACTCCCTAAAATTTTTGGCAAAGACGAATTTTTTTATTTTATTGTGTTAAAATTACCGTTACTTGAATCAAAATCATTATTTAAAAAAAAAGAGTGCGTTCGACCTGAAAACACATGAAAAAGCAAAAAATAGCAAATTTTTTAGGTTGCATTCACGTTTTTTTGTACGACATTCCGCGAGAACGCATCAAAAAAAGCGTGAAATATTTTTTTAAAACGAAAGAGGAAGCTTTTTCTGTACATGTGTGTCAAAAATTTATTATCCAGTTCTATATATTTTGCAACTAAAACAAAATGAAAGTTGAAAACCAAAAAAAAGCCACTTTTACTATCGCGAAAAGGGGCGTGGCTTTGCGGTCCCTAATCTTGAGTTGACATGTTGAACGCATTATTTGCAAAATGTCACTTTTAACTCGATATAAGACCGCGAAGACACTGCAGGCGATCTTTGTACTTTCGAAAACCGACTGAATCCAAGACCAAAAAGACAATCTGAAGAGCAGTGCGTTACACGTTTTGAAGCGCTGCCGGACAGTTCTTATCACACTTGAGAGTTGCGTTGGAAAGCCGAAAAAGTGGGAGGAACGGGACGAAAAATACCAGGCGTAATGCTAACGACGATCTCTTGCCAGACGGAGCTCATCGGCTTCATTCCAGGACTGTCTGGCACGTACAGCATCGCCGCCGACACGATTCCTGTGTCGTAGCCGAACAGAAAACCACCTGAAAAACAGCTTTTCATGTTGGAATGTCTTTCAAAAATTTTGATTTTCATTTAACTTCCTTCGATAAGTTCATTTCGCAGAAGGATCAAGAACATTGAATTGCCAAAACAAACCGATAACTGCGGCAAAGGCTAACATGTAGACGAAATATCCAGTCTTGGGGTCCTGGGCTGGCCTTTGGCGGCCGCTCTCCACGTTTGCACTCTGAAATGCGCGGGATCGTCGTCTTAATCATAGATGACTAAAGAAATTTAAGTTAAGTCGAGTTACAGCAAACTTTGAAACATGAATGGAAATTGAAAGCTTGTATTGTATAAAACACACATAATGATGAAAACTCACCAAAGCAACCTGTACCATCCGAAGACGAACGCCTCTCACTTGAGGTTTCTGAAATTTTTTCCACTTTTCATTTCATGAAACAGATAGAAATTAAATATTTAACAGGATTAGTGCGCCTTTTGAATCCTTCGTTCAAAGGAAAACGCGAAAAAAGGTTGAAGTGGTAACGGATACTTATTTTGGAAAAAAAACGGGAGAATGTTTGATCAATGGTTCAGAAGAACGCTCGGCACATTATCAAACAAGTGCGAGAATTTAAGAAGAAGCATGGTAATCGAGGCGAGCCGATTCGACTGTCCTGTGGGCGGGGCCATTTTTTCGCCCTTCTTATCACCTGTCTTTTTTCGAGCGTGAGAGTTACTGGTGCGAGATAATTAAGCTGAACTTCAAAAATTAGTAGATCAAAAAAATGCTACTTTTTCTTTCATCCGATTTCCGGTCTTCGGAGCAATGTGTCTTAACAAGATCCTTATCTATAATCTTGAACAGTGAAACAAGAAGTTTCTCGGAAGCCTTGCAAAATATAAAAAGTTCCCAAAAAGATTTCTCCCCTACTCAAAATGGGTATGATGTTTTGACACACGGATTATGAATTGTTTCCAAAAGATTTTACTTTCAAATCCGCTTAAATTTGTTTAGGGAAAAACAAGTCAGTGGATTCTGTTTTTCAATACGTCATGTTTGTCACGGAGAGTAATCTTCTTGAAGTCTCTTTAGCAAACTAATGTATTGAAACTGGAGCCAAACACCGTCAAGGAATCAACAGAATTTTTAAAATAATTCTGCAGAATTAATTGAAACATTTGATTGCTAACATGGGGAAAAGCTTTGACTGAAAGTCTTAACTGCAATTGTTGGAATGAAAAACATGAATATCAGGTTACTTGGACGTTGGCAAAAAAAGGTCATTTGCCATTACCGTTTCGGCATGAATTGGACGCTGGAGTTTCTAAAAAAAGCTGAGTTTTTCATTGCAAATTAGAAATTTAGTGGAAGTTCTTTATTAACAGTTAAGCTAGTTTTAGTGGCAGAAAAAAACTATCAACTTTTTAAAAGAAAAATGTCAAGAAATTACTTATAAAAATAATTTTTTTGATTTTTGAAACGAATATCTGAAAGACATCGACCCAGTGTTTGCGATAAAACTTTTTTTCTGCACTTTGAGACCTGAACTACAACAGGGAATTATGATGAAGAAGTTGAGAAAGATCAGAATTTTTCAGTTTCTCTCGAACACAGGTCATTGACAGATAATTCCGTAGCTCTCCTTTCCAGCTTGTCGCGCGCTTCTTCTCGCTCAGAACCTTTCATGAAGAGGATTTCGACCTGAAAACACATCGGTCCGAATTTTTATAGGATTCGAACAACTTCGTCAATGGAGTAGCCTTTGGTCTCAGGAACGAAGAAATAGACAAAAATTAGAGCCAAAAAGGTGCATCCGCCGTATATGAAGAACGTTCCTGCAAAGTTCAAAACAAATTCACAGAAAAACTGACTCCGACTGGGAAACTAACCGTATTTGGTGGCTACCTGACTCAACGAAAGGAAAGTAAGTGAAATTATAAGATTGAATATCCAATTTGTCGCGGTTGAGATCGAAACACACGTGCTTCGGGCCCACAACGGATAGAACTCGGCGTTGAGTACCCACGGCATCGGACCAAATCCTTAGATAAAAGCCAGAAAATTTCGATATTCTTCTACTACATTTTGCACCGATTTGATCACAAATATTTTTGTGGTTTATTTCGATAATTTGTTTACCTCATACCATGTTATGGGGTTCAAGACTACTTTTATCTAAACTCTTACAATAATGTGAGTTTCTCGCCTAATTCTAAGCTGGATCAGACTATATTAAGTCATTTTTTAACTCAGCTTTCTTGTAAATCCACCATTTCCTGGACTTATAATCTCAACCGGGCTGTACTCGCCGCAGCCGTACCGCAATTCGTCAATTACCCTTTACTCTGATCTAGTCTGATTAATAATCATGGAGTAACGTGTCCAGCCATGCTCAATTATTTGCCTCTATTTGTTTTCATATCAAAATTAGTTGAAAAATTGATCGCTTGAGGACAATTTTAGAGAACATTTGTGAAAGGAAAGGATTTTTCAACTTGAAATAATAAAGGTTCTCGATGGTTATGAACCCATTCGGAGCTCTTGGTTGAAAAAGATCAAAAATTGATACCCGAGGAGAAGGTCAACAAGTAAACGACCATAATGATGATCGGGAGCACTGTATACGCAGTATGGCAGTACGTGTCTTCCCATTCATACAGCCTCCCTAGAACGATAATTATTACCGCTCATTGTGATGATACAACCATTGTTTGTGAAATTGTCAGAAGCGCAGATTCCCGTACTGGAGTACTTGTCAGAGTCGTCTGTGGGGAAGGGGAGGCAGTATCCTTGAAAATATCAGAATTTATCTGTCCTTTCGACTTTTCGAAAACCTTTTTTTTCAGTTTTTGATTGGCAAAAACCGCAGTTGTCATCGGTGACACAAGAGTCGCAATTTCTGAAGTTTCTATTTTTCTCCCTTAAAGTCAAAAACCTACGAAAATTTGCGGCAATGATCTGCGTGTGGGAACGTTGTGTTGTAATTGATCATACTTGAATATTCTGCGTCAGCGTATGTTTTCATCGCATCCTGAATGACTTTCCCGTTCCCAAATGCTTTTCTTAGATTCACCTTATTTATGAGCAAGAAGGAGACCCCCATTGCAATCAGGGAGAGAATGACTCCGATCAAAGAGCACAGAAATATGACTCGTCTTCCCGCCCTTTCGATCAATGCTATCGGAATGAACGTTCCAAAGCAATTGATGGCTGTATCAGAATCAAGAGTATTGATGATATGACAAGAAATAATCAACCGGAAGTTCCCACAGAAATCCAAATGGTAGTGTGCTTGTTCTTTACTCCAGCTGATCGAATAATGTTCCCCGTGTAATACCTGAATCTTGTTTCTCCAACTGAAACTTATGAGGAAGCCTGACATGACAGTGTTGATCCCAGAAAGCTGTTGGAACGCCTGCAACATACTTCCGATGAAGAGAGCTTTGCGAACATGCGCAGTCTTGAGTATTCTGGAGATCGTTGCTCCGTCACCTTTTCTCGGGATATCAACTAGAGGTTCCCATCGCCACGTACCTTGTTCTTCCTTTGATCTTTTCTCTGCCTCGAAAGAAGCTTTTATCTCTTCAAGCTCATACTCGATCCACTCTTGATCGCCTGCGTAAATTTTTGAAAGAACCTTGACAAAGAGATTTATTCGAAAGATCTTTCAGAAATACCTCTTGGGCTTCTTTCGTTTTCCCATGCTCAAAAAGCCAGCGTGGGCTTTCTGGTAGAAAAAGAAAACAAACAAATTGAATAATTGCTGGGACGGCTGCAAAGGCAAACATGAGTCTGAAACGATACGTTCAAACGCGATTCTTGGTCGATTAATCACCTCCAACCAACTTGCTCGGGATCAACGTAGCTGAAAATGCCTCCAACGACGTTGGCAATGACTTGGCCACCAGTTATCATCAGCTGGAAGCAAGAAATCAAGAATCCGCGGATGTGCGACGGCGAAGCTTCGCCGACGTAGACAGGCACAATCATCGAGGCGAATCCTGCACGAATCTCTCATTCTGGTAGACCTTGGGGATTCGAACCGATGGCGACCCCTAAGAGGATCCGACCGATCAGAAGCACTATTTTGTTCCAAGCCGCGGCACAAACGACTGCTCCGGCCGTGAAGATTACCGAAGCTCCAATGATAATTTTGCGTCTTCCGAGGTAATCGGATCCCTTTCCAGACATTAACGCTCCAATCGCCGCCATTCCTGTACTCGACCTTTTTTTTTCCGGAAATCTCGTTTTCCCACCAATACTTTACTTTTTCTCTCTACTGCAATTCTGTTAGGGGAAACGACAAAGAAACGTCACTGGTGACGAATCCTCTTCGACAATACGTATTGTCGGCGTTCCGAAAAGAACCACGTGATGTCTGATTCTCTGAGGTGCCACTCGGTTGTATGTGGCAGCCGATTACGCACCACGCAGAAACATGCCGTCGACGATAAGGCTTTGCATTACAAGATGCTACCGCAAACAATCGAGAGAGCATCTCATTTTTATGCGAAAAAGAACACTTTTGGAAGTTGCGAGACGACTTTCGTCTTCTTTTTTTCAGGGCTTAGTTACCTTTTCAATGAGACTATTTTTTTTTGATTTTCTTTTTTTTTAGAAAGATTATGTAACACAAATAATGGTGGAATTTGATTCCAAATTTGAATTTCTAAACGTGAAATTATTCGATCAGAAGTAACAGAAAAGAACTTTTGAGAATATTCTGGACAAAGGACTTCTCATTTGAATTTGTTCTGTTTCTCAATAAATAGCTACACACCAGGCGTGATGCTGACGATAACTTCTTGCCAAACGGAATTCATCGGCTTGAGCCCTGGGCTCTGCGGCACATAAAGCATCGTCGCCGAGACGACGCTCGTGTCGTAGCCGAAAAGGAACCCTCCTGAAAATCGGAGAATACGTGGAAAGACATCGAGATCGAGATGAACCGATGACTGCGGCGAAGGAAAGTACGTAGACAAAGTAGCCCATTTTCGGATTCTCCGAAGGTCTTTGTCGGCCGCTTCCCGCGTTTGTAGTCTGATAAAATACAAAAAAAGTTTTCCAAAGATTTCTCAGTTTGAATTGATGAATTATACGATTTTTTTAATGGGATTTCCCATTTTTCTCCACTTTCGGTAGATCCGTATTAGTTTTTTTTTTACAGGGGTGGGTCTGATTTTCAAAAGTTATAAACTTTAGTGGTCCTACCCAGTTTTGCGGACTTTGCGCTTCAAAATCTCTATTTGGAGTATCAGAGTGAAAGTTTATACTATTTAACCTCTTTTTTTTAAACGATTGCTTCTTCAATTCATCGAAAATCAACATACGAGAGCTACTTGAACCATTGTCGATGGAGGTGTATTTCCACCAGGAAGGTGCAATAATCAATGATTGGACAGTCTGGAAATAAATCGATTCAACATGAGAGACAGAGTTGTAATTCGAAACAAAATTCCCAAGTATACCGAAAGGTTGGGGCAAAACCGGTAACAAAAATGATAGCTCTGAAAATGAGAGTCTGCAGAGAACTAAACGGATTATACAACATGTTTCGTTTTGAGAAAAAAAAAACGAAATGACCGAAAATTGACCCTTTTTTCTGCCCCGAAATAAAAAAAAGTTACCCCGATTCCGAGAATCCTACATAATACTTGAGATCGGTTGAAAACTTGAAAATGTCAGGTCTCATACCTTACCATTTTTTTTTGGAATGCATACAGAACAACGACTCACTGAAAAAAGAAAAGTTTTCAGGTAAAGGTTATTATTTTTTATTTTTTATTCACTCATTATGTTTCTCATTTCCGCCTGGAAATTAATCTTAAAGAAACCAAGAATTTTCACATCCTGCAAGAACACATTTAAACGACGACTTTGAAATGATAACGATAACCCTAAAATGCATAAAATGTTTGATAGCCGCAACTTGGATGCCGTCGTTCTCGAAGGCGCGTGTTCTGAAACTTTCCGTGTGCTCCGCCTCTCTTTGCATCGAAAAACTGCGATCAACACGAGTGATACAATTTTTATTCATTCTACAGTTATTGGCACGTTCCCAGCCGTATTATTTGGCAATATGAAAAAATGTACACGAGATTATTAACATATTTGATTTTTCTTGAACACAGGGCCACATTTTTCAAAATGAGTGTGAAGCTAACCCGATGCTAATTTGGCAACTTCGGAGTTCTATTATGAACTTGAACTATTCCTAAAATACTGACCTCGATTCTGAGAGAAGCTACAATTCCGCAATAGATCTTCTGAAATACGCCTGTAAGTATTGAAAAAATTGATACACAGTATAATCTACTTATAGAGAGTTAGAAACAATTATGCAGCAAAACTAATCAACTGTATTATGACTTTTAAGGCGACGAGGAACCCTGGTCTACGATTTTTTGTCGTCGTGTTACTTTCTGTAAAAATCAGTGAGTGAAAATTCGATAGTACCAAGGAAATAACCTTCACGACCGGCAAGTCGAATTCGTCGTCACTTGATTCGGAGGCGTAGACTGCCGGAAACTTGAGACCAGCCACGAAATCTTCTTCTTCTTCTAAAACATAGAGTGAAACGAAAAACTTGAAACATCTCTTTCATGTCAGCGTCGAATTTGACTAGGAAAAAACTTTATGGTGCACTTAAAAAAAGTCTAAACCTCATACAAATATGTTTTTAACAGTCTCCAGAAATTGAATTTTTTGAAAGAGTTACTCTAACACCAAAAAATCCTCTCTGTTTCTTTCAGTCTTATCCTGCAAGTGAACAGGGAAACAGAACGTGACAACAAATAAAAAGTTTTTCTTTCATTCCTTTTGAAGAAATATCACGAGAAACTGACCTGGAAGGGGCGACGGAGGAGAGGAAATCGAGGAGGATGTGCAATTATCGTCGTCGTCGACGACGTCCTTGTCCTCCGGTAGGAATCCTTCCAACTCCACGTCGCTTTCCTCTGAAGCGCAATTCAGTCTGAGAGGCTACGAGCGGATTCTCACCACAGAGCGGATTTTTCTCGGGAATGTGTTCGATGACGGTCTGGCACACAGGTCCAAGAAGGTAGACGAGCACTGCCGTTTCTACGATTTTGTACTTACCGTGCATATAAACCAGAACGGGCTGAAAAACACGATGGCCGAACATGCAAAACGGAAGTGAAAAGAAAACCTCGACAAGAATCGAGTAGCACAGAGCGAGAACGGATTTCGTCGCGTCGACCACCAGAACGCAAATCGGCCACAGTACAGAGTCTCTAAATTACTCAAATGGTATAGAAGCCTTTTTGGCAAAACATACAGAACGCTTTTCAGTAAAAATTGCAGTCAATAACTTTCTACGGTGGAAAATAGAACATCAAATTCATCGCTATTTTTTGAATTTGTTTTTCGAAAACATATTATTGAACCAGAAAAACTCGACGTTCCTATTTTTTTATTTTTTTGAGCTTGTATATTTCAAGCTTTTATCAAAAGACCGAAAGTAATGTGAGCTCACCGGATAGCCAATGCCAACTGATGGAGTTTGTTGCGAAGCCATAGGCGGAAATTATCAAACTGGCGTTTCAGAAATCTGAAGAAAAAATAACTGATTCCGCACAAGAAAGATACCTGAGAGTTGGTTGAACCGTCGTTCGATTGATGAAACCACCGAGCCTTTTGAGTTTTTCCAAGACCCATCTGGTCAGAGGAGGAACCCAATAACCACAAAAAACGTAGACCAAGCCGTAACAAATATAGTTAAAAGCTCGACGTAGAGGATGTCCAACCTAAACAAATTAAAACTGAGAGTCCAATTCGGATCAATGATTATAGAATTTTGAACTCTACTGTACAAAACAAGAAGGCTGTTCACTGTTCAGAGTAAATAATTGCCAAACGGAAAGAGAAGGAAGCGTAAAAAATGTTGTGTTGTTATTTTTTGAAAATAAGATTTCATAGTTCAGGAAATGATCAGAAACGTGAAAAATAACCTTTACGATCAACCAAAGTTTCAGATCTGGCCACCATTCAGCGAAAAACCAATAACGTAGCCAGGAAGTTACGTAACGAAACGCTCTTTTTATCCGCTCAACAATTTGAACTTGAATCCTCAAACAAGGAGAAAGAAAAAATTATCTTGTGGAATTTAACTGACCAATTATATATAGATGCGAAAAGCGACTTGAAAAAAAGAAGAATATTGTTGAGAAACCCCGCAATGGAAGAATAAGTCCTTATCGCGCATTTTTTAATGAACTCCCACAACGCTGAAATCGATCTCATGAGAAGCTTACGAAAAAAATTCAGTGATTTGATAGATCATTAAAACAATAAGAATTCTTTTTCGAAACTCACGCGGAAGGAATTGAAGTAAAAGCACGTATTTTGCCCACTCATACACTGTCTTCACCGGTTTCACAATAGCCACCTATGTAAAATAAAGTGGTTTTAGAACAACTCGTATCTTGCACTTACATCAGCTGTCCATGCCAGAGTTTTTACTGCTTCCCTCGAAAATTCGTAAACTTGTGAATTTATCTCGTGGTATTCCCAAACAGGATTAATCAGTAAACAAACCACTTAAAAAAAGAATGATCGAAATTCGAAAAAAAAAACTAAGCAAACTTGTGGCGAATGCAGTCCAGCGGGCTCTGTGTAGTTCCTCGATGTGAATGGCGTTGGCGCTGTACAGAGAACCACACACTGCTGCTGTCTTGAATCATCAAATTGAAAAATTATTCAAGAGATAAGAAAAGTGAATTCGAAAACTTGAGAGTGAAAAAAAAAGATTTTGAGACGCACCCGCCAAATGGATTTTATAGGCCAGCAAAGAATGTGCATAATGATGCTGTTCTCATGTGAAGGCGACAGCAGTACATCCCAAGCAAATATCCCAGCAGCCGAAGCAATAAAAACCTTTTCTTGCAGTTTTTCATCGCAATATATTGAAACAGCCCTGTATGATGAACTCATGATTGAAAAAAGTAGAAAAGCTTCACCAGAAAACACTGTTCATCAGCATGAGATAAAGGCCTGTAAGTGGAGATCGCCATTCTAACGTTTTTCTTGATTCTAAGCGGACCGCTTCGGCAGCTTTTTTAATCGAATCCATGGTGGGGAAAAAGTCTGGAAACTTAAAAAATAATAAAGCGTGAGCTTTTCCAAACCTCGAATTTTCACAAGTGAATTGAATAGTTCCCGCTCATTTCTCCTCTTATTGAACAAAAATCTTAAATTATTAACAAAAAAAAAACTCAGATGAACGCCCGTAGGAGAAATTGAAGAGAAATGAATAAAAAATGAAAAGAAGCTTCATCAAGTATGCTCTGTAGGATGCAAAAATGGTCCCTCAAGAGGCGCGCCCTTCTTAAACTTTAAAAAAAAAACGGTTAAATAACTTTTAATTATATTTATATCCCTCTTTATAGGTAGCCGTTCAATCATATCAAATTCAAAAAACAAAAAAATACATGACTACAGAGGGCTTTGGCGTAATTGTATCTGTCGACGACACTTCATATAAGGTTAGATATCCATCATTCCTTTTTGAAATTTCCAGTTTCCTAAGAACTTCAAATTAAAAATTCAAGGTATGGCGCGTGAACAAAGAGCTCGAAAGCTTTCCGAAAGCTACAGGAAAAGAAGAAATAGGAAAACTTCTCTGTGTCAGTGAATGTAATTCGGAGGTAAGTTTTTAGTTTTCTTATCATGGATTTTATTTAAAAAGCAGATCCATAAAATTTAGACCTTTAAAGGTTTTTCCATTCAATGTCCATAACGATTCACCAATTTTAACGGAAAGATGCCTTCTCCAGAATATTATTCCCAATGATCGTGTTCGTAGTTTTTTTTTCCAGATAAAAGTGCGTGACGCCAATGAAAAAACTCTTATTACGACCGTTGAAAGCGGTGTCCTCAAAGTGAGTTTGTGTGATTTTGATCACATGCTTCCTATCTTTTTGAAGATATCCTGCCATGTCCATTTTCCTCCGCCTGGCTTTCTTGAAAAAAACGTGAATTGGCGTGGAGTCGCTTGGTCTCCGCAGCTCGGGGTAAGGCTCAATGTTTTTGTCGAAATGTTGACTCGTTTTCCCCAGAAAATTGAGTACGACGAGGTTTTAACGAAATTCTACAACAAAAATCATCCAATGAAGGTTTTTTCGAAGTTTTTATTTTACATATGTTTTCAATCAGTTAACAGTTTGATACCATTTTCCAGGCCAAAGTTCGATACGACTCGAAAAGTTGTTTTGGTTTTGTCATCGAAGAGCTCTTCACATCTCCAGATTTTTGGTTGTTTTTTTCGTTCGCGGTTTGATGTCTCTAATATATATGTGATTTTATATGAAAGTTCCAGCCGTGGTTGAAAGAATCTTCTGAATTTAAGCCTCTCGACGAGTTAAATAAAGAATTGCTCCCCAATTCTCATGTTAGTACAACTGATATTTTTTTTTAGCGAAACACACTTTTCAGCTTCATCGCCGAACTCAGAAGTCACCAAAACCACGTCGTTCTGAGTGCTTCGAAGGTTATTTCGTTGCTTGGTGCGGCAAGCAGTTTCAGAATGGTTAGTCTCCGAACGTGCCACTAAATTATATATTCCCTCCATAGGTCATGTCAATGAGCCGGTGTTGTGGAATTCTAAAATCGGCTTCTTGTTTTTATACAAACATTGTCGAAAAGATTTGGTTGTTAAGTTCAAGGTTAAATATTTTTTTGCTTTGAATAATTTCGGATTTACAGCTCGGCGACAGGTTGTCTTTCCGAGTCGCTCAAAGATTTATCAATAATAAAAAAGAAGAAACAGTTTCCGAGGATTCAAAATCTACATGGGTTCGTTGTCTTTCAATCATCTTTTCAGTGCAGAAAAAAACAAATTTAAATCTTTTGAGTAAATTTTGTGCTATTTTGGCGGGATTTGTGTTTTTGATGCGCACTTATCTTCAGTGTCATCGCCTGTAGAAGAAAAATCGGGCTTTTTATATAAGAAATTATACTTTTTATAAATTGAGAAAGATGGTTTTTCAGAGCCAAAGAAAAAAAAAATGCTTACCTGACTTCTTTTTTTTTGAATAATATAGCGAAGGCTGTTGTTTTTTTCCTCTGTTTAAAAATAGACCGCATGTTTCAGTTTGCTGATTTTGTCAAACCTGTTGAATCGACGCATTTCACCCCAGTTCGAACCCACCGTTCAAGTTTGGGTTCCTTGATTGTAAGTTTTTGAAGATGAAAAAATTCCTATCATATTTATTTAGCTTGAAGCGAAAATTACAGTAGATGAACATTTTATTGCTGTTCTGAATGGACCTGAGGAAGCAGGAAAAATCGATCACCCTTATTTTAAAAAGGTATTGAGTGATGGTAGAAAAGAATTTTGGGTCCCCGAATATTCGTGCGCGTTAGTTGTGCATGCACCAATCTTGGGGGCTCGAATCTTTGCAAATTTTAATCTTTGCAAACAACTCTTGGAACCAAAAAAGAAATCACCTCTTTTTTGAATTTCCATCTTTTTTTTCCTTCATTTTTTTTCTTTGTCGTTTTATTTTGAGGATTTCGTGTTTCGACCACAAATGAACACTGTGGGATTTTTTTCAACTAACTTTTCATCAAATAATGCGTCTTTCTCGCATACACGTAGTCAAAGATTCGCTGCAGAATGCCTACCACTCTTTCATTCACTCTGTATACATTCTCCATCAACTTCTGTTTACGAGAAATTGGAAAAATTATAAAAAAAAATCAGAAAAGAGGTGAATGTTCCCAAGAATTGTTCAAATTTGCAAAGATTCGAGCCCCCAAGATTGGTGTATGCACAATTAATGCTCACGAACACTCGTGGTCCCAAAATTCCTTCCTACCATCTATTGAGTGAGAGCTGAAATTTTTTTATCTTCTCAGATCCATTTCATTACAAGTATTGTTCGAAAACACTTGCAAAAGGTCAGTTCCTTGTTGCAGTTCCTGTTATTTTTTCATATCAGGCAAATTTTTTGCTGTCTCCTGGATGTGTGATCGAGTGCTTGATTGAGCCAATTATCAACGCGAAAGATATCATCAAGAGTTTTTGGAAAATTCATCAGATCACGGGTGTACGTTTTCTATGAAAGTTTCTCAAGAGAATGACTTAATTGCAGCTTGTTCCCGCAAAAGGAACGCATCTGGTGGATAGCTTGATTTAATGTGGAAGTTTCTTCACCTTGTTGATTTACGTTTGTGAATAATTGGTAATAATTCTTTTCATTCATGTAAATATTTTCTTGTTGTTTTCACTTTGAATATATAATAAAGTTGTTCAAAATCTTTGTTTGAAGCGCTTCAAAAGTCATCCCCCTTTGACTATCTTTCCTCCTGATTTGTCTTCGGAATAGTATAATAGTCTTCAGATGTCGTGGAGGGGTCATTACGGAGGCTTTAATAAAAAATTCGTTTCGGCTTCCCAGAGCAGCTCGGCTTCCACGAGCTTCTCGAGTGGTTTACTCTTTCTGCGGAAAACTTTGAATTGTTTATTTCTTGCTTCTAGAAAAAACTGACCTGAGCAATGTCCCTCCGCCCCCCGTTCTCACCATTGGAAACCAGCCACTTCCTCCTACGCAAAAAAGCGCTTTCAGTGCAGCTCGTGAAATGGAGTTGCAGAAGGAACAAGAGGTTTTCCGAAAATTTTCGGTTTTCAAAGTTCAAAGTTTTCAGTATGCTAATCTTATGGCTTACGGCGCAAAAACAGAGAAGCAAGCTCGGAAAAAACAACTATATGAAGACGAGTATGTTCTTCGATTCCTTTTTCTAGCAAAATTTTTCGAATTAGACACATTTTAGGTTTTTTAAGCCCCTCTTATGTTTTTGTCATTTTGAGCTGCTTGTGAAAAAAGAATGAATTGGAAAAAGGCAGATAATTTTTATCAATTTCACTATTCGCGTATCCCTACGGTATTGAATTTAAAAATATGGAGATTTTGAAGATATTTGGAAGGTGACCATTCTGACGAAGAAGCTCCTGCGCAGAGTGAGAAACCCGCCGCCGGAGCGAATGATGAAGAAGACGAACTGGACGCCTTCATGGCTGGAATCAACGAACAGGTCGTTTTTTGCCATCATCATCCCATTCATTTCAACTCGACAGCATGCACGAGCAAAGCCCAAAAGACCGTTTGAGGTTCATAAAAGGAGAGCAAATTTTTTGTTTAGATTTCCGAGAAAAGTCAAAAAAGTTACTTCTCAGCTCTTTTTCAAGATTCTAAGTGAAGCTATTTCTATGGAGTTTTACTCCTTCTTTCTCCAAACTTGTTTCGTCCTTCTTCAACACCTTTTTATCTCCTTGAAAAGACCATGAAAAAAAAAGTCTCAAAAAGCTCTATGAGGAGCCTTTTTAGACATTCAGAAATTTTGCGGGAAGTTTACAGAATTTTGCAAACTGCAAATAAAATTAACTCTCTTATAACACTCATAACTTTCGCCATTGAAAACAAATTTCTCTGATTTTTTTCTCGGCGGTTTAAGAAGTTTTTTGACAGTCTGGTTTTCGAAGTTAAATTTATTGCAGAGTAATTCAAGAAAAAACTACATTTTGCATAACTTTTCTTCGTTTTCTTTTCTTATTCGAGAAGCTTTCAGGCGTCAAAAGATAAGGCGGAAGCAGAAGTGAAGGAAAAAGACCGAGCAATCGGAAAAGATACCAAAAAAGACGTGAAAGGAATCGGACGAGCTGACATCGACGAAGAAGACATGCAGGAGTCCTATTTCAAGTAAATTAAAGGGTTTTGGCATCGGGAATGTTGGTTTGCAGGTACATGGAGGAACACAAGGAGAGACTTGGGGCAGAAGAAGAGGAGTACGAGTACGACGAAGATGGGAACATCGTTTGGACCTGGAAAAAGGTAGATTTGTGCCTCTTTGCCCCTGATAGGATAACATTTTTTTCAGACTGTGTTAAACTTTTTTTAAAACTCGGGCATCAAAGAAAGTCTAATGAATTTATGCAAAAAAAAACTCTGAGGTTATTACAGTTTCCATTGGTTTTGATGTGTTTCTTTTAGCATGTGCTTGTCTCTCAATACTCCTTCATTGATTTTTTTTCATAAGTTTTTTTCATAATATTAGCAGGGTTATTTACCGAAAACTTTAGAAGAAATCTTTGTGGCGTTTTTTAATATTCTATGACACTTTTCAGGCCTGTGTAAACAGCATGTAATAATCGTCGAATTGAGGTGATCGACCCTCTGCCGACCATCGACCACTCTCAGATTGACTACGCGCCGTTTCCGAAAAACTTCTACGTTGAACACGAAGACATTGCGTACATCCATGATTCTCAGCGGATCTATAATGGAATCTTCAGACGTCTTCACCTGATGGATGTGATAAAGCTCCGGGAGAAATTGTCTCTTCGGGTCGGTGGATTGAATCCGCCGAAGCCGGTCTGCTCCTTCGCTCATTTTTCTTTCGACAAGGCACTTTTGGAAGCGATTAGAAAAAGCGAGTTCGAACACCCGACCCCCATTCAGTCTTTGGTAGCCTATTTTGCCTTTTGTCCTTTCCAAGAAGCAATCGAAGGCCATTCCTGCTGCGCTTTCTGGCCGAGATGTCCTCGGAATCGCCAAAACAGGCAGTGGAAAGACGGCCGCTTACTTGTGGCCTGCAATAGTTCATATCATGCATCAATCCGATCTGAAGGTTCCTAGATCTTTTGCGTTTTCTGTACTAACTTTTATTTCTCAGGAAGACGAAGGCCCTATTGCTTTGATTGTTGTTCCAACGCGTGAACTGGCTATTCAGGTTTCTACAAGTTTATATACCAGTAAAAAAAAATCATTAGGCGGAATAAACAAGCGTCGAATTAGAACCAAAAAGCTCTTATATATTAAAAAAAGAGCTCACAATAATATCTATAGATCGTTAATTCATGCGAATGTTCTTCCGACACGTGTCAATACTTTTTTTTTCTGACGATTTTCGTGAATTTTTTTTTTGGAGCTTCTACTTCACTAGTTGAAGAGTAACATTTTTTGCAGATTTAATAATTAAGGAAGTGAACGAGTAGAATTCAAGATCGGTTTTTTCGCAGGTTTACACGGAGGCCAAGCGTTTCTGCAAAGTCTACAACATCAACGTGGTCTGTGCCTACGGCGGTGGCAGCAAATGGGAGCAAGCGAATGAACTGAAAAATGAGGGCGCCGAATTGGTCATTTGCACGCCGGTTATCGACTTCATGTTTCCATTGAAACATATTGATTTAAGGGACGAATAATCGATTTGGTTAAAATGGAAGCAACCAACTTTTTGCGCACCACTTTCCTTGTCTTCGATGAAGCGGATCGCATGTTCGACATGGGATTTGGTTCGTTCCGAGTGGTCAATGCATTCACAAGGATATTTCACATATATCCTGTTTTGATAGATTTTTTTTTCTTCTAGCGACAAAAAAAAATGTGACGAAAATTCTTTTTAGCTCAGCTTCGGTATTTATCGATTAGATAACTTTAATTTTTTTCCTCTGAAAAAAATCTTCTTGAAGAAAGACAAAAAAATTTTTTTATTATGGACGAGTGTCATCTGAAACAACGATTATGAAGTTCTAAAAGATCAAGTTTTTTTTTTCGTGCTTTTGTCTTCGACATAAACTAAATTTTCAAATGCTTCCCCAGAAGAAATTCTTTTTTTAGAGGGAAACTCTATCGGATAAATAATAAATGTGCCGTTAACAAAAGAAAATGATGTGTTGATACGCGATATAACGATTTTCCTGTGAACGCTGCCTTTGTTCAGAAGCCCAAGTGAAGTCGATTTCGGACCATGTCCGCAGCGATCGGCAGTGTCTCATGTTCAGTGCCACTTTCAAACAAAAGGTTTTTTGAAAGGCTCTTCTCCTTCCACAGACTAGATTTAGGTAGAAAGATTGGCTCGCGATGCGCTTTGTGATCCCGTCAGAATAGTCCAAGGCGAGATCGGCGAGGCGAACGCGGACGTCGAGCAGAAAATGCTCCTGATGTCCAACCAAGAAGCCAAGTGGAACTGGCTCACCTCCAACTTGGTCAAATTCGCTTCTCGTAAGCTTTTTGGAAGTTTCAAGGGAGTTAACAATGATTGCAGTTGGGAAGGTGTTGATCTTTGTGACGAAAAAGTTGGATTCTGAAGAAGTCGCGAGGAAACTGAAGGTTGGAGAATCGGACCATTGAATAATGTGGAAGTTGATCTCAGCTCCGGGACTTTAACCTCGTTCTTCTTCATGGAGATATGCTGCAAGCAGAAAGGAACGAACACTTGCTCTTGTTCAGGAAAAACATACAGATAATGGTGGCCACGGACGTTGCCGGTACTTGCCCAAAATGATAGTTACTCGTCTCACCTATTTATTTGAGCGCGGGGGCTGGATATCGCGGAAATCCGTACTGTCATCAACTACGACATGGCAAGAGATATTGACACTCACGTTCATAGAATCGGTAGAACTGGTCGTGCTGGTACGTATTTCAACTAGGAGATGGCTTTTTTGACGTTGTTGAAAGGAGAGGCTTTCAAAAACGCATGGAGACAAAAATATTAATCTGAATGAGACTGAATCAGAAAAGTCTATCTCAATGAAAAAACCATCAAATTTGAAACATTCCTCTCACAATAGTGATTTGTAAGGTTTTGTAAGTTTTACTATAATATAACCCAGTTGCCACGACTTGAAATAACGGAGTTTCTCTGCATTCTATTTTTTTTTGTGATGTTCTCGTTTTAGCATACTATTTTCATGTTTCTATGACCATACATGAGATACTCTTGGTGGGAACTGAAAAGGAGGTTGGCAAAAACCATTAAAAAATGTTCAGGGTGCGCGCTAAATGGCGCTAGTCAGATCTTATAAAAAAAAAAACGAAAATTCATTTTGTAAAATTCAATTGACCGGCAGAAGCGATTTTTTTCTTAGTTAAAAGTGATCGGGGAAAAAACACTTTTCATTTTCGGATTCAGCACTATCAAAGTAGTCTGGTTCGACCTTTCAATGGCAACTATTGGGTGTATAGGCTCCATAGAATGGCCTGGAATGTATATTTTTTTTCAGGTAACAAAGGAACAGCATACACTCTGTTTACCGACAAAGATGCTGAAATGGCAGGCCACCTCGTCAAAAACCTTGAAAGCGTCGGACAAGACGTTTGAAAGGAAACAATTTTGGATCACAGTTCCGAACTTTACAGGTGCCGCAGGAGTTGATGAAATTGGCGCTGAAAACGCCGCACTTCCAGGCGCAGCGCCAGAGCGGAGGTTTCAGCTCTGGTCCGCAGCAGAGACTCGGCCTCGGCTACCATCCCAAGACGAGGGCCGATCGTTCTGGTCCGTTTGCTTCCGAATCATTCAATTTCCTCGATTTCTCCAGATAAAAACCTCGATCCTCTGAGGGAACAGAAATCTTCGACCCACAAAAAGTCTGTTCACGACATCGTCCAGAGTGCTGCTTCTTCCTCTTCTTCTTCTTCTTCCGGTACCTCTCCAGGAAACGCGCGAATGTCCATTTTGAAATCTGCGTTCAAGGTTTTCGGATCGTTCTTTTTTTATTTTTGCTTTCCGTTTCAGCAATCTTTTCAGTCTACCTTTCAAAAACCGAAATCTGAGGAATCTTTTCTTCCACAGCAGGTTTTTTTCATTTTGACAACAAGAATGTGGGGAGGATATTTCAGGTGGCGTCAGACCCGCGGCCAGAATGGAAACGAAAAATCGATGAACTCAACGCTCGGTTCACACAGCAGAGGCCGCAGCAACCGGCCGAAGCGCCTCAAGAAACTGAGCAGCCCAAAAAGAAAAGTCGCTGGGAGTAACTTGAGTGCTTATTTTCCTTTATTTATGAACAAATTAACATATTCAAAACCGAAATATTTCAACCGAGGCAATACGAATGGAACCTGTATAACAAGAAGTGAGATGAAACGGCAATTGCACAACAAGGGTCACATTGAAAGGAGCTTTGAGGGTTTACTCAACAAGACTAGTTTTACCTTTTAATTTCTCAACTTTTCATAAAGGTGTCTTATAACAATAAAAAGGCAGTTAATGGCAAAATGATATTGTCAAACTTCTGGAGAGTGGCTTCCATAGCGGTAATGATGAAAGCGACGAGAATGCAGGTGGTCGTCGAGGCAGCCGAAGAAACGAACGCCTTGGCGCCGAGCAAGAAAATCGTCACGCTCAAAAACATGGCCGCACTTCCTTCCATTGTTTTTCTGCTTCTGGAATCAAAAAATAGACTTTTCACACTGACGTCATTACTTTGGCCAATTTTTTGTTCCCCACGTGTAACCGACAATAGCGGCCGCGCTGTCTCCCACTCCAACGGTAGCAACGCCGGCGAGGTGTTCCAGATGCGCAGGAGCGAGGTTGCGACTAAGCATCAGTGGCAGGAGCATTCCCGCGAGCAGCAGCAGCGGCGTCAGGAGCACTACCGAGTCCTGGTGGTCGCGGAACACCAACAGCGTCTCGTTTAGGAACTCTCCCCATGGCGGGATGTTGTGGAAACGCAAAACCTTCAAATAGGCACGAATTTTTTTTTCAACCTTGACTCACTTCCACAATGATGAAGATACACAAAGACAGGCTGCCCGAAAGCCACAGAAACTGAGCATCGACGAAAAGTCCAGAAATGAACACTAGCGAGGCAGTCAGATGAAAGAACTTCCTGGAATGTATGTTGTCTGGTTCTTTTTTCATTGTAGCAATAGATTCAAAAAAGAGCGAACTTAGAAACCTTCGAGGGGTCCCAAAGACTAAAAGGAGTTTCATAGAGGCCCTATTAGGAACCTCTATAGGGACCCCTACGCTCCCCTTATAGGGTCCCTAAAATGATGTCCTGGGGTCGCCTATAGGGTTCAAGCTTTGAGGGGTTCTAAAATTATGGGTTGCAAAAAACTTCATCCTGTATGATAAAGTATGATTGATTTTTGATGATTTATAAAAATTCAATAACCGGGCGAGTACGAAATATAAAAAATATACACAATTTTTAGCTTGGGTTCATCAGGTAAATAAATAGTGGACTGTGCCTCAGATTTGAAAAAAAAAAGAAGCAACTCAATTTTCAATCATCCCTATCTTCTTTTCGTTCGTCCTCAGACCCATCCGACTTGAGGAGCGGCATACACTCCGTTCACCACAGGCTTGAGACAAAAATTACCACAGACACGTCTCGATTTATTTTTTTCGCCGTGTATCGCAAAACGTGAAAATACAAGTAATCATAATTTCTCAATTCAGTGCATTATAAAAAAATAAAAAGGGTGAAAAAATGTTGTGGTAAGAAGTTTTTTTCGAAAAAAATTTTTTTAAAGATTATCAGTGGAGATAGATTTATAGATGAAGATATTATATCGCGCGGCCGTTTCCGGTCTAAGCCAGCGGCGAACGAAGTTTATAAGTAAAAAAAAAATAATTCTGCCTGTGGTTGAGAATATTTTCACCGCTTGGTTTTTTTTCCAGTTTTTTATAAGCTCAATTTTGCTGAAAGTTCAAATTAAATTCTTCTAAAAATATCAGCTTTTCTTCCATAAAAGGTTTTTGCGACTTTTTTTTCCTACCTATGAACTGTAGTTATAGCTGGGGCAGAGTGAACGGATGCACAGAAAAGTAGAGAAGCGACGACGTTGGCAGCCCAGAAAAGCAGCAACGTCATCCTGAGACCTCTACTTTGTTTCAGCGGTCCGTGAAGGCTCGCCTGCTCTGGGAGAATCTGTCGACGACGAGGCCGACGAGTAGCAGCGGCACATCTCCCAGAGGAATTTCGACAAGTCTTGCGAACACGACGGCCGCTCCCATGACGACAGTCGCCAGAAGGCCGTTGACGAGGACGCCGAGCAGGGCCGCGTCACCGGCGACTCGCCGAGCAGCCGCCGCTCCGACCACAAACAAGGCTGTCGACGTCGCCGCCACTTGCACCAGACACTTCTGTGAGACGTCGCCGTCATTCATCCCTACACATGTTCGTTAACGACATCGCTCTCACACTCTTCGTTTTATAATGATTTCTGAACAGCTTTTGCTTTTTGCACAACTCAAAAGCGCGTCGGCAGAATATTGATTGAAAAATGTGAACGTATTAATACGATCTGCTCCACCATACTGTTACTTTGATCCCGCCCGGCGCCAAATATAGATTGAAATAGAAGTTTTTTACTCATTTTTTTTCTTCAAAGTACTATCATCGGATCTCGACTTTTCAAGGAGAAAATGAAGACGAACAATGAAAGACACATATTTATTCTCTCTTTGAGCGGCACATTGCATATCAATTTGTATAAATACATTTTTCGTTCATCGGTAAAATAGTGGGAAAGAGCGGCGTCTCCTCGCGGATTATTTCGTTTCCTGAAAAGTGAAAATCTCAGAAGAGAAATTAAGAATTATTTCTGACCATTAAAATATCTGTTCCAAGCTTTCTAATAGGCTCTAAGTGTGTCTGTGGCCCTTAGGCATTAAATAAAAACTAAAATAAAATCTAACCGCTAAAGCAAACTTATCTCACTCAAGAAAGCTGTGTTTGAACAAAAGTTATTGAAAAAGATTGGAAAAAAAACGAAAAATGTTCGAGGAAAGAGTTAACCTGGACTACAAGAGGCATTTGAGGAGGCTCTAATGAAAAAAAAAATTCATTTTTTCGAATCTGGGAAAATATTTTTAGTAGGAAAAGTAACAAACAACATAAAGAAACAAACTTAGGGAGTCAATGATTTCCAATAAAACTTTTCGGCAGGTAAAATTTAAAAAAATTGATAAGGTTCAAAATGAATCTAGAGTTTCTGCGAAGGAAAGATCCAAAATTAAGAAGATGTGTCCAATATTTTTTTGGTCTTACAAAAATTCAAGTTTTGAAAAAAATAACGCTTGTTTTTTGAAATTTGTTGTAGAAAACTCACCAAAAGTATCGAAAAAAAGGCACTAAGTATTCTTTTTGAATTAACTTTCAATCAGGTTTTACTAACTAATAATAAAATTATAATGACTATTCATGATAAGAAATCCAGCTTAAGGGGCATGGATAAAAAAAGAACGAAAAAAAGGGAAAGGCTGAGACTCCCTCGGCTTCTGTTTGCTGGGCTCGGACGACTAGATTAAAAAGGAAACGCTCTTCATTCATATTAAACCAGTTTTTGGGTGTCGATGAGCGGAGACGACCTCATCTCCGCTTGTATGCATTAATACACGCAGTTTTATGAATAAAATGAGTAAGTTCAAAAAAAACTCATCGAAAAAATTCGATTCAATACATCAAACAGGCTTTTGCTACAAATGAATAGAACAAAGGCTTTCAAAACTTTGAAATTATTTTGCGTTTCTCATCAAAGAATCTATAGAGCACATATTTCTTTGGAAACTCATTCGGTTCTGGAAACCAGCGTGGACAACGTTTTTTCGGAGTCTTTGAGTACAATCCACAAAGGAATTGACGCACGTCAGCCAAACTTCCATTTGATATTCTTTTTATAAATAATATCGCCTAGATATCGTTGGATTATCGTAGAGTTTAGTTTCTCAGAACAGAAAACTGCTTTGGAAGCTTAGAATAGAGTTTTGAAGGCGTGTGAATAAACATATTCGACATAGTGATTATTCTCGCCTAAAAATTTTCTCAACGACACTACCGTTAATTTTTTTTTCGCTATGAAGTCTCATGATATATTATCCATAAAAAATGATACTTGGAGCGAAAAAAATTGTTTTCCTCGAAATTTTTTCCAGTTTCTCAGAAGCTTCTCGCCATGAGCACTTCGAAAGCATGTGTCGATTCAGCTCTTCAAACTTTGATTATTTACTGAGCTTCTCCTTCGAGTTTGATACCAGAAATGTGGACACAGAACTAACCAAATTTCAATTTCTTCCACTAATTCTCAATATTTAAGTTTCAAAACATTTTTCTCAAATTTTCTCAAATGCGGACAGTAACAAAGATCTCTTCAATTTCAACAGGATTCACCGGATACTTTTTGATTTGTTTGTTGTCTGAATAAACGGAATAAATCTTCAAATTTCCCTACCTTGTCCTACTCTTTCCAAATAATCAGAGCATCGTTTCTAAGTTTATTAGAGGCCCGATGACCTCATTATTTCAGGCTGTTTCTATTTCAAGATTGGTTCACTTTGAGAAAAATGGGATAGAATATTCGAGTCGGCTATGAAGACGAGGACAGCAGGTCGACAGACGTCGGTCAACTTCCAAGAAGAGCTCCGTGGACCGTCGCATTACAACCTCCGGACACGCGATACTTGGCGGCAACAACTGCTCGCCACACACTCGAGCCGTCGTCCGTTCTCGTCAAACTAACGATAAAGAATCCTCTTCTGTTCCCCTCAACTGTCGTCTGCTGCACGACCTGCGCTCAATCACCGCAGAACATTCATTATTAGGGTAACTCAGTTAAGATGCCTTTTCGGACTGTGAGAAGGTGTGGCCGCAAATAAGACCGCCGTAAACTACTTATTTTGATATAGATAAGCTTACTTTTGCATCAGAACTTTTTTTTATTATGAGCTTCTCATTTGAACTTCTAGAACATAATCTTCAACAAAAAAATTGTGCTGAACTGAAAAAAATGTAAATTTTGTCCAAGTTTTTTTAATCTTCCGGGACTACGGTCCTAGAGAATGAAAAAAAAATATAGAACACATAAATGATGAAAATTTTTAATAAAAACTTGTTTTTTTTTTCTATAGAAAAGGCCATCGATTTTTCAGTTGGAGTACTAATAACATTTCCATCGAGAGGTCCATCATAATTTATCGAAAGCACAAGGGCGAGCGAGAAACTACAAATTTTCGGTTGCCTCAAACGGCGCTTCGATCGTATTACCACAGCAACGGAGCGCCCGAGAAGACTCCACGGCGCGAAAAGAGAGAAAAGCTTTATCGATAGCGAGTAAGTCAAATGCAAGTCCAAGTCACACCTTCGGCATATACTTCCAAGGAGAAAAGAGAGAGAGAGAGAAGGGGAAAGGAATCCCACACAATATTCCGAGGAAAAAAACATAACATCGGTCTCTCTCTCCAGCCTAAGCGAATCTTCGCACAGCTTACTTGATCTAAGACTGTGGCAAAGCATTCACTTAACTGGCGATAAGACTTCTTGAAATCACAAAAAGATCACGCGAAAGAGTAGAAGACAGTCAGAGACGGACACAGATTACCTCGGCGTACAGTTTCAGCAGCAGTGGCAGGAGTTGGTCGCCGTTGGTCGGATCGTCGGCAAGGCTTATCAGAGCCTGACCGAGAGCTCGCTTCAGGTCGGCCGGCGTCGTGATTAGTCTCTGATGAAGAGCAAGAAGAGGTGACAATTGGGATGGTGTCGCCGCTCGTCGTGTTGGCAACTGGCAAACATATAGGCAATTGAGTGCTCGGGAACATAGTGAGAGTGAGTGAAATGAGAGGGCGTGGAGCAAAGAGAGGCACCGCCTTCGAGCCTGGCTCCACGGACCACGCCCCCAGCCGCCGCCTCGAGGCAAATGGCGAGAGCTCGCCGGCACACATGTGCTCTGCTGCAGACTGATCAATTCGTCGTCGCACGTCGCAACACCCGCGCCAGCGAATAGGCGCGTCTCCGAGTCAAAAAAAGGAAAAAAAAACACATTAGGAGCGAACGGAGCTCTCTCTCTGGTGTTTTTCGGACTCCACAGAGTTCACACTCCTTTTAACGCATTCAAAGTCGGTCCATAAGGACTCTCCAGTAAAATGGAAAGCGCAAAACCTTTCCACTCAACTCACTAATGTTCCGAGTATTCATATGATTCTATTTCAGCGTTGGAATCTAGTATAGACGCATCCTAAGCCACAAAATAAAGAAACTGACCCCCATAAAAATTTTCGAAAAAGAGCCCAAAGAATTAGGACTGGTAATTTCATTACAGCCGTCTTGCAAATTTGCGGGCCAACCAACAAAAATGGTCTAATTTTTAATCAAAAAGTTCTTCTAGAATCTAGCTCGTAGTCATCGCGTGAATATATATATTTTTCTCAATGGATAAATATCACGCCGAAATCTAAATTCCCAAAGATAGAAAAAATGAATTAGGCGTTCCGAAAAAACCAGACTAGTTTTCTGAGCTTGATTTTCTGTGTTAAATTTTTATGTGGCCATCCACGCGAAGCTTTTATATTCTGCTCGCCAGTTTTCCTATTTTTGAAATAAACGACAGATGGAAAAGTCTCTGTCGGCTAGTTCTCTCTGAAAGGCTTCTCTTTTGCAACGTCCAATCCAAAAGGGGTTTCTCTGCACACCTCCGAATAGAGCTGGACGAGAAGTCGACGGCTTTCGGCACGAACAGCATCCATAGCGTCGGTCGCATTTGCAAAGCTCAGTCGGACTTGTTGTTCGATCTGAGTGTGACCGAGAGTGAACAACTATTGTTGTTGGGTTAGTTCCACGGAAAGTCCACGACATGCCGAGAAAATTCTTCGAAAAACAGCTGCTTCCGCTGCGAGTTAACGACTCCACCCACATGCAAATAATGCACCATAGCCATTTTTTTCGACGTCCTTCCAAGAGGCGAAAATCAATGAGCAAAACTGGAACAAAATCTTAATTAATGTCACGCAGGGCGGCGGAGCGTCGAGTTTTGGACTTCCTTCTCGGAATAGACGAAACCACTCGAAAAACACTCAAATCGCAAAAAAAAAAACGTGACACTATGAATGATAAAAAACTAATTGATACAAGTACTAGATCTTTAGATTACGAGGAAAATTTCAAACCTTGAGTTCATTGAAACCATCGGAAAACTTATCTCTTATCTCATCTTATTTGTTCACTTTGAATGTTATAGAACTTTTTTCATATAAGCAATGCAAGTTGTGAAAAAAAGCTGATAAGGACAGTTGATCGAACTTTGGATTTGAAAAAAAAAATGGATAAACGGGATTGCGATGTTCTCTGATAGAGAAAACGTTTCTTGAGGTATTCTAAAAAATGCCTTCGCAGGAAGACTATAAATCCATTCCCTCTTTAAGAGTCCCCAAAAATGAAAATAAAAAGGTCCAATAGGCTGGAGCCTAGAAATTTGGATCCCGCTGAATCTCAAAAAAATATTGATGAAACTTTGCAGATTTTTGCCTTGAAGCCGAGTTATGGCGCCTCAACATTTATAGAGATTGATCCTTGAACTCACCTTTCCTTTTAGCATGTAAACTTCAAGGCGCCATAACTCGACTTATATGTGAAAATAAAGAAGTTTTCCATATGCTCTGAATACAGAAGACCTCAAAGTATCTTTTGCAAAGATTCATCAAATTCTCAAGTAGAGTCTTCTTGGAAAAGTGAAGTTTGAGACGAGAAATGAACATAGAACTCTAGTAATAACAAATTTTCGTAAATTCAAACAAGACACACTGGATACCTCACAAAGAAAAGCATGCAGAAGGCTTAGTTTCGTCAAAAAATATTTAAACAAAATTGAATCAGTTTGTTTTTCGTTAGATTTTCACTCAGTTCTGTACTTTTAAGAAAGGTCTACTGCAAACAAGCAGGATAAAAAGAACAGGAAATTCAAAGGGAACCTCGTCAACGGCGGCGTTCTCGTCCATTTCCTCGTTGAGCCGTTGCCTCTCGAGATTCTCTATGAGTTCGACGTCGTCGGCGCTGAGCGGCCCTCCGTTCGTCTGCATCTCCTGAAGACGTTCCCGCATCGCCGTCAGGTTCCTGAAAACCAGATGATAGAAAAAAACATATTTTTGCAGTTCTCTTTAACCTAGAGAGCTGCAAGTTATAAATGGTTCTTTCCGGGCTCAGTCATACATAGGCAGAACATTCTTGAAGGCCGACTACTATTCCCAAATAAAAATTAATACTACCTCCCTGAGGCTAAAACTTGTATTATTGTAGTCAAAACTAACTCCCGGAGGTTGAAACTTGATTTTATTCCCTAATTTTCCAAAGGGTTGGAAGAGTTCTGTACCTGCCCATATATGTACCCAATTTTCATATTTCCTCTTTTTATTCCTCATTTCATTTCCTGTTTGTTAAACAACCACTACCACGAGGTTATCTTTGAATAGGTCTCAATATTTCGGCCACTCGTTTTTTAAAATCACAAATATTGTTTATAAAAGATGTTGGAAAGGCTCTCAAACCGACAAGATTCGACATCCCATGCCTTTGGATTCAAACTCCAGACTAGAGGAGAGCGGTCTTTCGAGATTTCTAACTCCAGCGCTCGAGCACAACTTTGGCACGTATTTAACAACACTAATTAGAAAGGAAGAAGCCGTATTCCGTCGACGTGGAATTCCCCCGAGCACCAGTCTTTTCCAAAGGCTTCGAATGGCGTTTGAGGCAAGCGCCAAGAAATAATTGAAGCCCGTACTCTGTACCGGGGCCAATGGAATGGAAAAGTATCGAAAATTCCAAAATACTTGGAGGATTCTCTTTGAAAAGCTCCAAAGCCAAATTTTTTTGTTCCTCTATGAAAATTTCCTTGCTTCTTTCTCGCTAATAGAAACTCCAATTTTATTTTCGTAGCAAAATTTAAATGAGGGTTATTAAAAAAATTATCTAGAAATTCTGTAGTAGCGGATTTGTTGACAATATTATGACCAAAAAATATCACATATGTTTTGGAAAAACTCAAACTCATCAAAGTCGGTGAAGACGAATGAGAACAATGCAAGAAAGTGACTTCTATAGCGGCAAGCTTTTCACAAAAATAACTCGATGACTGTAGACATTTAGGATTTCTTTTCTCATGCTGTTTTTCTCATATTACAAAATCCATTTTTTTTTCATGAATACTCTGATTTCCACACTGACTCAGAATGAAAGTGCTGAAAATAAAAACGAACTGAAGGTTGGCTTTGGCGTTTGTGATGATTTCGTCGAGGTTGATCTCTTCGACCTGTTCGTTCTCCTCGGCAGCCGGCTGTTCCGTACTGCCAGATGACGCGTTCTCTTCTCCCGTTGTCCCTCCAGATGTCACTGAAATCATTTTTTGCGCGTACTTTTCGACTTTATTTTCAATCATGAGTCAACGATCCGTCTTCTGAAGCAAGTCATTCCGCACATTTTCTTCTTTATAACTCAAAATTGCTGACCTGTGAAGAATACAACAGTTCGTTTATGTTTCATCAAAAGTTAAATGACGGAAAAGACAATGGCTAGAAATAGTGAAGATACCACTTAAAATTCTATGCAGGGTTTTTTTTATTTGTAGAAAAAAAAAAATCAGAACAAAATGAGATTAAATTTTTTCTTCGGTTGAGATCTGAGCAGAAATAACAAGTTATCCATACTAACTTTTTTTTAGTGTTTTAACATTTCGGTTTTTTTCTTCAAATAAGAAAAAAATTGCTAAACTGAGAAAAAGTCTTTTTCTTTTTCTGAAAAAAATTGAACTGTGACGCATGATTCTCACTTCTGATATGAAATCTGAAAAGAAATTTTGAATTTATGTTTTTCAACTTTTTAGGCAACATCAATAATGAGATGATTTCCACAAAAAAACAATCCAGTTAAAAAAACTGAAGAATTTTTTTAAAAAAATTAAAAAAATCATAAATATAATAAAAGGAAATCAAATTACTTATTTACTTTGTTAAAATTCCAAAAAGAAAGAAAGCTATACATTGAGTCTGCTTGGCGGCATTGTCCTGGAGCATCCCGCGTATCTCAATAATCCGTTTTTTCCTCGCCTCCATCGCGGCCAATTTCTCGCGAATTATCGCGTTCACCTCCTCTTTCCTGCAAAAAAAAGGTCTTGGAAAGAGGAGAACACATCTAATTACGAGAGTCGACAGGGAGGATTTCAAGAAAAGCCACAAAGAAAAAAAGAAACGGAAAAAGAACGGAGCCGCAAAATGCGATTCCGAGGGCCCTTCGAGTCCACCGACTGGTCCTCTTTTTCTCTACTCCTCTCTTGTCTTCTCAAAGATCCTCTGTCTTTCAGAGAACGATAAAATCGATAAAATATTCAAATTTTGTTTCAGTCATGACACCAACCGCGCTATAATTCGCTTCTGCCACTCATCTCTAGCGAAAACCAAAGAGGTATACCAAAAACCGAAAGTCGAAATTTTTTCTTCTCATTTTCTATTTTAACAGAAAACTTTTGCGTAGGAATTTCGAATTAAAAATCTACTGCAAGTATATGCTGCAATTAAAAGATTTCTAAACCGAAAGTTATTATATATAGTAAGAGCTGGAAAAAGAAAAAACTTTAAAAAAATGAGATGAAAATTTTTAAATAGGAGAGAGCTGAAGTTGATGGAAATCGAAACGCCTCAAATGGTAGGGAAAAAAGAGCTAGAGCAAAAACTGATCAGATTTTAGAATTAAAGTTATTCGAACTATTTCGATACGATCATACAGAGGACTCGAAAAAGAGTGAAAAATATATTTATTTTATGACATTTTTTTATGAAATTTTACGGTAGAAAGCTAAACTATCGCAGCTCGTTTTTTTTGACTGATTTTTATCATCATTTTTCGCTGGCTTGTTTTTCACAGATTGTACGTTAGGTACTTGTACCTCACGTCATTTCGAACCAGAAAATTTTTCAAGACTCTTTTTGCTCAAAAGGTCTCCACACGCGGCACAACTATTCTTATTCAACTTTTTATAGGAATTTTTCAGATTTTTCATAAAACAAATTGATTCTTTTCTTCGCATTTCCTCCATATCTTTAGGAAAATTGTACCTTTCGCGTTCTTTCCTGATGTTCTCGCGAATCTGCTTCCGTTTTTCCTCAAGTTGTTCTTCACTCTGTTGGGCCGCCTGGAAATTAGGAAAATTCTGAAAAAAAATTTTCCTTGCAAGCTTTCTTATCAATCAATCAATCAATCAAATCATTTATTTTGTTGGTTTAGTCATAGATGTATCGACTAGGCGGTGAACAAGAACTTTGAAAGCTATAACGAACAACCGCCTTTGGCGAGCTAGAAGTCCAAACGTGTAGTCGAAAGAGTTGAAAGCATGGTCTTACGGTCTTTCGCCTCGTCCTTCTGCGCGTAGTCCATCCAGTTGCGCCTTGACGAGCTCAGAATGTAGCGGATGTTGTGCTGGAGCCCGGAGACCGTGCTCTAGGTGGAAGCCTCAGAATGAGAGCTACCACTTCGAGTGAAGATTTTACACGGAATGAAGATTTTACACGGAATGATTTATGAATTTATGAATTACTTTGTGAAAAAACTCGTTAATTAGAAAAAAAGGGCATTCAACAGACTTCTTCTTTAGAAATGGGCGGGATCCTCTGGTTTCCATTCATCACGGAACTTGCGGCTTTAATCGTCTCTTCTTTCTAAACAGCTTGATTGGAATTATTATCAGTTCCACGAATAAATTCCTTTGGAAAAAAAACGTAAAGAAATCAATGGTCCCTCTAGAGACACCTTGTTTAGATTCTTCTACGCGCATCAACCAGAATTCAGATACAATCTCTCAAAACAAATGTGAAGCAACCTTTTGTTCTTCCTCTTGACCTAATTGGATTCCCAGCCGAAGACATTGCTTCCGCAGCTCTTCCAGCTCTTTTTCCTTTTGTATTGTCGTCGACTTCTCAGTAGCCACTAAAGTTAAAAATAGTGATAAAATAAATAGAAAAAAAATATTCGGAACTGACGTCGGCGCATCTTCTCGGTGACCTCGGCACGTACTTGTTTCGCCGTTTCGTCGAGTTCTTTTGCTTTTTTCGTTCTCAGCTCCATCATCGCGCTTTTCTGAGATTAAAAAATTGAGAATCAAAGAAAAAGTTAATATAAAAAAACACTAAGAAAAAAATAATACTTAACTGAAAAGCAGTGAAACAGATTTTTGAAAATCATATAAAAGATATCTCCTAACAAGGAAGGTAATTCTACTTTGCGGTTTGGAGTTTCCCGACGATCGCCTAGACCGGTCCTTGATGTACCAGATGAAAATCCTGACAGTCTCAATCTGCACAATTTTCTATTTTTCGAAAAAGGTCATCTCAAGGCCAAAGGAAATCTCCGAAATCGGTTAAAATGATCTATTTTGGGGCGTTGAACTTCATTCTCCAAAATCAAAAATTTGCGCAGGTTGAGACTTGCAGACCCTAGTTTTGGTGCCAAAGAAGTGTTTTGGCTATTCTGGCCCCTTTTCCAGAAATTTTCACCGGCAGAGTAAAATAACTTTCCTTGTAATCCCTATAATTCAAAAAAGACGTTTCCTCTTTTAACCGAGAACTATTCTTTTTTCAGCACCGGCTTCGAAAATTAAATTCTCAATTCTCTTCCGCAAAAAAGTGGAAAAATTAAGGTATTTGTAAATTCCTGCAGTATTTTCAAGCTGATAATGCAAAACGAGCAGATTTGCGTGTATCTAAATTTCGATTTTTTGACTGTTTAACTTCAAGTTGTTGTTATTCCCAGCAAAAAGCCGTCCAATATCTCTCATTAATCCGTTACCCATCGTTAGAGAATAAAATAATTAATCAAACTTCCACTTTCATAAAACTTTTAATGGGAAGGAGTCATGAAAAAACCTTCAAAAGCTACGGATTCCATTATAATCTGTTCAGATTCAGATTTTGGTTTTCAAGTCACCGTTTAAGCTCCGCCCCTTAATGGTGCGATAAACCAATTAGAGAGCGAGCGTTTTTGAGCGTTTTTGAATGACGTCATTGCTCTTGACATTCAAAATCCGAACAGACTATAGAGCATACGACCTCATATTTATATTACTTGTGAACCCCTCTGCATCTCAAGTTTGAAATGATCTTTCCCTAGGAAAATGATTCAAAACAATCGACAAAAACACCTTTTTTTTGTGAAGTTGCAGCCGCTCGACGAGTTTGTCGTTGAGTTCACTTGCGGCGACGGCCGCGTCGGAGACTTTTCTCAGCTCTAGAAGCGCCTCTCGCAGCTCTTGGACGTCTGCCAAGTCTCAGCGGATGACGTCACAAACTCCTGGCCGAACCTGGATCGCCGTCTGCCTCGTCAGCAGGAGCATCGGAAGCGCCGTCGGCCTGCGACTCCCGGATCAATCGGAGTTTCTCCTCGTCGGCCGCGATCTTCTGCTCGTAGTCTTCGGCAATGTCCTTAGTCGCCTGCTCGTGGATTCCCTGCACAATTCTTCGATTATATCGATTTCGTCTTTTTTTTTCTATTATACTTCCAGTCTGCGAGCTCGTTCTTCAGTGCATTCAGGAGATTTTGAACTGACTTTTGAACTACCAAGATCATACTGAGTTAAGCGATTCTCCACTAACTACTCTTCGCGGATGTACATAAACGATCAAATGAACCAAATTTTTGAGCTCGGAGAACCTGAACCGTTGGGCAAATTAAAAATGAAGAAAATAATTCTTAAGTTTTAGCGAAAAAAAATCTATAAAACCTTCTGAGGAAGGGAATTTTCATGCATTTCCTTCCGAGAAAAGGGCCTCCAAAACTTAAACTTTGAAATGAAAGATAGGGATTTTTTTCAAAATTTGAAATCATAGCTAGTTTTTCTCAGTTTCTAATAATTTTTTTGATTCCTGAAATTTACTAAACTTTTCCGGAAGAAATTAAAAAAAATTGAAAGTAATTGATTGAAAAATGACACACCAAAAAGTTAATACGAGAAAGAAAAAAAGCCTCTCGAAATTAATATGCAAAATTAAGAAAAAAAAAACCCACTCAATTTGTTTAAAATTCAAAAATCAGACCAACCACAATTGCCTGAAGAATTTCGAGGTACTGGTTTTCCTGCGTCGTAAGCCCGTCGAACGCCTCTACTAGCTGTTTTATTAAAGATTTTTTGTCCTGAAACAAATAACCATTAAAGTTATTTTCCGAATGAAACCTCATTTTCGACGTCTTGACCGACATCCCGCAGTGCTTGAGCGATTTCTGACTTTTTCGCCCTGATTTCTTCTATTCCTTTAGTGACGTTTCTCCTTCTTGTAACCTGAAAAAACCCATTACTGAGATTTCAAAAAACCCTAAACTCACAAGATTATCGTCGGTGACCCGCATAACTGAAGTATCTGAAGCCATCTGAACGAGGAGAAAATTGATTACTTATTAATCCAGGGAAAAACTTTTTGAAAAAAAATCTGGCGGCCATAAAAATACACTTGAACGATTTGAATTTTTTTTTTAGATCAAACCGCATTTTTCGCACGTTATTTGTGAAAAAACACGACAAGAACAAAAAAAAATTAAAATTTATGAACTACGGTATACATCTTTCCAATGCACGCGTAATATTCACAGTCAAAAAAATTCACAAGATGACAAATACAAAAATTTTAATAAGAGACAACATGTTTTGAATCATTTCTTCTAAAAATCAATTGGAAATGCCTTTTCTATGTTCAAACTTCGGATTTGAACTAACAAACTGAAAGAATCGGAAAGAAAAAAATCGCTATCGAAATCAGACGCATTTGTTTGCGTAAAGTGAGCAATAAAGAAAAGAAGGAAATTAAAACGGAGGTGGACCGGAACTCGGCTGGCGTTACAGAAGTAGGCGTGGTAAAAAAGGGAGTGGGTGTGCGCGAGACGAGGAAAGTGTGTGTTCAATCGATCGGTGCACAGCCATGAATCAACGTCGTCTCCAAAAACGACGTAGTTGATCAAGACAATTTCAACTAAGGAATAGTCAAGAATACTTGGAATACATCTCTTAAATCAACGTGCTTTTTTTCGATATTTCGAAAACGTTTTCAGGCAGCAAAAACTATTTTTCGAGAAAAAAAAACAAACTTCCTTGTTGATTAAAAATATTTTTTAAATCGAAAAAAAAACTAAAAGTATCCAAATATACTTTTCAAAACATTGATAATGGATATCAAACTTTTCAAACAAAAACTTGGGAGGAAATGGTTTTCATAATTTAATTTCAAAGTCCTAGACCCTGAACAGTTTTCAAAAAATATTTCTCGCAAAAATGAGTCAGGAACGATGAAGCTTTGGTGTCACTCAATCGTACCGAAGTGAATAAATTGCGATTATCAGTTAGACCCGAGAGGAAGAACAAAAACCGTAAAGTGAAGAGGTACAAACAAAAGTATTGGTGAGACATGAAACGATAGCGTCGGCAGCGATAAGAGGATAGTTCAGACCCATTGGAAGAACGAGCATTTCTCGCTGGAATTGAACGGAAGCGAGCAAGTCCAGAAGCGTTTGCCCTTGTTGGGACCTTCCTTCTGCACAGTTTTCTGGACGGCTTGCAGCGGCGGGTTGCAGGCGCACATCACCTCTTCGGCGTCTGCAGAGTCAACACTGCGCCCGGATCAGCCTCTGTTCAAACCTTCCGCCAGCGTCCGCGTGTTTTTGCGTTCCCGAGGGCGCCGCGTCTCCGCTTCGTCTTCGCCATTGTAGTTGGACATCTGTGAATTTTTTTTTGATTGTGATGGCGGACTTGTTCAAAAAATAGTATGACTAAGAGCTACTTGACTTATGCGTCAGATCTTCTAGATGTAGAGAAAAATTCCACTGAATATTAACAAAGACGAAATGAATCGGTTTCCGGGGAATTCTATTATTGAAGATCGGGTTTTCAGAGCTTTTAGATTAAAAAAAAAAGAGATGGACTCCAAACACAAAAACGGAAAAAGAATCTATAAAATCATCGAGAAAACTTTTTCGAACGTATGCCTAAATGACCCTCTTTGTCAAAAAAAGACTCACACTCAGTTTTTATAAAAAAATTAGTTTTTCATATTTCAAACAAGTGTTTAAAAAGTAAAGACAGAGAATGTTGACATGAAGACTTCCACAGTGTGGATGCAAACCAGCTATCCGAACTCGAAAAGGCAAAAGAACAGACGTTGGCTCCAGAAGCGGCCATGTCGTTCTTTCTGCCGCGTCGACTCGCCGTCGTCTTCCGTCCACCTCTGCCTCTGCCTCTGTCGGCACCGCCACCGCGTGGGGCACCTCGGCCGCCGCCGCCGTCTGGACCTCTTGGCGGACCTCCGCCATGACCGCCGTTGCCTACGTCTGGCAAGTTGCCAGATGACCGCTTATCCAAATATCTAGAAATCTTCATTACTTATGAAAATAATTAAATCAAGACTTTTCTAAAGACTTTGACAGGAAAAAAACTTTGCTTTCAGTCTCATCGAAAATTGTCCTGTACTTGCCGATCTGAAACCACACATGATAGATACTTTGCACGTTATCCTACTAATGTAAGAATCTCAAGTACTATTTCACATATAAATCAGTTAGTGCAAAAGCTCATCAGGTAAAACTCGTATTTGCTCTGATTTCATATGCAAGATGGAAATTGCCTGCTCAGTCAAAACATCGCGTTTGTTTCGATTTCTGTCGCAAATGTCCTTCAGACCCCGTTCCAGGTTCGCTCGCAAATCTGGCTTACTCATGGCAAATCCTGCAAACCGTTGCAGAGATCAAGGCTGCAAACTGGCGAAACCCATGTCATCGTAGCCGTCGACGAGGGCCAACCCGATGAAACTGGGCAGCAATTTGCCATCGCCTTTCACCCCGATGTAATCTCGTTCCTACACTTCTTTCACTTGAAACGTCTCGATATAAAGAGCACCTTGATTTTTTCAATGTGTTCTGCGTGAGTGGCATCAGTCCCAATTCCAAACTTATCCATCAGAGCGATCAAATCCGCTGTCAGAAACTTTTTCGAGAAAAATATAGGCCTGAGAAACCTTCTGTGAGCAAATCCGGCGGTTGTGTCGTTCCGTCGACAATTCTCAGGTTGAACTCTTTCAGAATTTCATTTTCCACGTAGGTCGGTATCTGTTTGTCACCCCATTTCTCATAGACGTACACGTGCATGTATCCTGGGAGAATTTATCTTAAGAATTTCTTTTCTCACCGCTACAATTCTGATGGTCACAGACCACTTCAAAGTGTCCACTTGACTTTCTCTCAAGATCGCGTATTATTCTTTTAAACGAGGCTTATCAACTGATTTCATAATGATACACAAAGTCAGGAGAATTTGTGAAGTTTTTACGGAGTTTTCAAAACTCTAAAAAAACGCGTTATTATTATTATTATTATTATTATTATAGTTATAGTTATCTCACTTCTACAACCCGATTTTTCGGTCTGAAACTTCTCTGAAGACTGAATAAACTAGTAAAGAACACGGGATTTCTATTTAGCTTTATGTCTCTTTTTTTTTCTTTATCAATACGATAATTTGAGATATTTTTCGTAGTTTTTCTCATATTTTCATATTTAATCCGTTCATTAAAATGGCTTTAGAAAACATAAAGATGTAAGATACCCTTCCCTGAAATTGCTTACAAACCTAAAAAGGCTTTCGCAAGCTTTTTTTCGAAAAAAGTAAGCAGGTCAAGGCGGGATTAAATTAATGCTAACCTAAGTCCTTGACGCAAAGTCCATTCGCGTGAAACCTTTCGCTGTTGATGCGCAGCTGAAACATTATGTAAGGAAGTCTTGATATACTCAACAAGTTCTGATCGAAAATGGTCGCACGTGGAATGGCTTGAGGCGTGCCTCACCACGTAAATCCAAGCCCTAACCGCACCGCGACCGGTTCGCTTCGAGCCTTTCCACGTGAGAGCCCAGCAATTCAAGTCGGTGGGGAGAACTTGAATACATTGACGACGGTTTCCTCGCCAGAAGCGTCTCTCGAGACACACGCCAGAAAATGCCGCACCACTAACTCGTATACCCTCCACTCGTTCCCGTTCAAAGTTTGTCTGAATGGGCCCGATCCAGAAACATGGCAACAAAGTTTGACGGAACCTATCAGCGAACTTCAGCGGATGAATGGGGGGATGTGCTTCGTCGCTTTTGTTCCCGTTGCGAGGGTTCACGCCTCGTTCAACGACCTGAACAGGTTCGCCTTGGATCAAACATTTGAACGATAGGACCTCTTTGGCAAAGTTGCCCCATTCGTTCGATTCGGCCTGCATTTCAACTAGTGGCGCCAACTCCATCCCTTTAGGGAATTTATTCGTCTCCGTTCTGTAAACCTATCATTTATACAACTATGAACTGAAAAGACAGCGAGGAAAGAAACTCTAAAGGTCGGAATTTTCTGAAAAAATGATGAAACTTTCAGAAAGATTTGAAGGTATTCGTTAAAACACGTTCCTTATGAATATCTGTTTTCAAGAAATGGAAAGGGCAAAAAAGCTTCTAGAGCTAACCCAAAACATACATTATATAATTTCATCTATTCGACAAATTTTGAAAACTATTCTGCGTCATTTTCTTCTATATAATTCTCGTAGTTCACAAAAGTAAAAAGTATACTACAATAACGCCAAGGAAATTCCGAAAAAATGTTTGGATTCACACTTTTTTGTTTGAACCCTCTGAAATTCTGGAGAAGACTAATCTCGAGCTTCATCATTTATGATACCTCGGATACGAGATCCAGCCTTTGCTGTACAACTTCTCGGCCACAGACATCACTTCCTTCGCCGACATCTTCAACTTGGACGAGCCAAGCTTCTCCAGCGCCACAGTATCCATCGCCTGCCAAAATCCTTCTCATCTTCATAACATAACTAAAGAGAGACGTATGGACGCCAACGCGACTTCGGCTTCTTGACAACCTTCTCGACGATCGCCTCCAACTTCTCTTGGCAGTTGTCGTAAAGGACCTTTGAAATTTTGCTTTGCAATTGATAGAAATAGAGAAAAAAACATTAACTACGTCTCGATCGAAAAGGCGATTGCGATCCCACAAGAAATCGACCTTAACAATAATATCACTCATCGGTTGACGATATAAGACAGAACCTTGATCCCATTTCGGACATGTTCGACGAGTAGCCGCCAGAAATTCTCCGGTTTAAAATTTTCAATCATTTTATAACGGTCGACGACGAATCCGAGAGTCGGGAACTGGCAGCTTCCGTAGCTTATAACTTTTTGATCTAAAAAAAATGAGAAAAAGTCACGAAAGAAACTTACTTTGACTTTCAAAGATGTCTCTAAATTTACTCCGTAAGTGCAATGTTTGCAGTCTGGTGAAGGCGGCTCCTTAAAAAAACGAATTCGGTTCAATATAACGCAGTTGTTTGAATTTTGTGGGCTGAACCCAGCTTTTTCTATTTTTTTCAAAAACTGTTACCGCCCCTCAGGTTCGTCCTCATTCGACCCCGTTGCTTTAAGTCATAACTAGATCAACTTTTCGAATCAAGAAACAATGAAAACCAAATTTTAATCTAGACCTATACGCAGGTCCAACTCAGAACGGCAGTCAACGGCGTCGACGATATTGTTGTCTAATCTCACCAGGTTACGAACCGCTCGATGGACCGCCGAAGCAGTTATTTCAGAGAACCTGAACTTTATTTATTTATAAAATCTTATTTAAAAATTCACTTCGCTCGGAACACGTCGAGCCGCGGATTGCTTTCTTTGCAAACTTTTACGATTTCCGCTCCGATGTTTTCACCCTAAATATCCTTTTTATAGAACTTTTCGAGTCAAATACGAGGAGAACCTCTCGATCACAATCTGTCCAGATGACGAGGACGTCGTTCTTTTTTGCCTCTTCTCTAGAAAGGAAAATCATTTTTACGCTTTATTTTCCTAAGGAAATTGTTGCAAGAAACTTCACTCCAGTGCCCACGACAAAAGTAAACTCTACTTTTTTTAGAGGGCATTTTTCAGATTTTCATTCAAATTCGATTATGAAAAAACGGATAAATAAAATAAATTTGAAGTTTCTGACAAGAAATTTTAATTCACTGCAACATGAAATTGCCTCTTTCGCAGAAATAGAAACTAAAAGTAAACTCTCAAGTTCCTATTAATTTGATACATGTATTCACTGTTTAAGATTACTTACAAAATTCCTTCGCATAATCTATAAAGTTCCTCAGACAAAGTTCTAAACAAAAACAATCTACGTCAAAGTCCTGGCGATATCCTTCATCCCATCGGCAACTTTTTGTTGCACAGGCGCATCAAAAAGAGAAGCGATCCGTACAGTCTGAACTACAGATTCTTCAGTGAACCAACGACAGAAGTTGGACCTGCCAATTGGCCATGTCGGCGTGGAACGCCAACTCCATCATGTGACCCGAAACACTCGTTATCGAAACGACCGCATTCTAATAATCAGACAAGGGTCGTGAGTCTACTCACGGTGCACTCACTCGTCCAAGCACTTGGGTTTGGAGTTCGTAGATTTTATTGAATTTCGACCGGCCCTCTCGACGATTGAAGTGTCCTAATAATAGCCTTTGAATTCTTAAACTTTAAAAGAAGCTGAAAATTAAAAGGATTTTATCAGTTTGATGCTTTTAAGACACAGTAAAAAGAGAACCATTGGCTAGAAGACCCGAAATTCCTTTTGCAACATCGTTTTTCTCCGCGACAAAAAGAGCTCGTAGCATACGCTGAAGACTAGTTTTATAGCTTTTTCTTCTGGTAAAAAACAATAAACTAGTTCGTCATGAACGATAAGGAAACACTCGGAAAGGGCGGATAAAGATTTTATTGAAGTATGTATCAAATGATTTCTTCTATAGCATCTTCTTCGACCAGAGCCTCCTCATGATCCTGGAACAGAAAAGTTATCGAAAATTTTGAAGCGAGATCCTACAGCTTCAGGCTCCTCATGGACAACTTCCTCTTGCAAACATTCTTGCTCAGTGGATTCCTCGACCGTCTCGTCCTCCTCAAACAAGACTTCCGGTGCACGGTGGAAAAGATTTTTGATACCTCGTAGGGAAGTATGTAGGAATGGTCATTGTTATGCGGGCGAGACATCTCCAACATTCTCTTCGCCGTCTCCACAATGTCTTCTGCGTTCTCTTGACGACGATACCTGAAAAAAGCTCATCCATTTTCAGAACTTTGAAGTTCAAAAAGCGAAAAATGCTTAAAGCTTTTTTTGAAAGTCGAGTCTGCAAGAAAAAAATTTTCAAGGCGCTGAAAAGGTGTATGTGGCAGACGGTGAGCCACAAAAAAAAAGCAAAATAACTTAATGTTTCCGGAAAAGTTTGTTAAGTTCGTTCGTCAACTCCTGCTGATACTATTTTATGAACCAAAGATCATTCAAGGCAAAAGCTTCCAGCTAAAAAGGGTTTGTTATTCAAATTACTCAATCCATTTTCCTTTTAAGAATCTGCGTTTCCTGAAGTCTAATTGGGTTTCGATCTGACAGACCGGCTTTTCCGCGTGATGGGTCCTTTGATGGTGGTGTTGCGGACGTGATGGTTGACGATGTGGCGGTCGAGATTCCTCTTGGTGATCGTCGCGTAGCCGCAAGAAGGGCAGTTGTACGGTTTCTCCCCCGTATGAGCTCTGATGTGCACTTTCAAAGAGGACGAGGTTCTGGAAAACATATAAAATATATAAAATACGTCTTCAGCGCACTTTCATGGTCCGAATGGAGGAGATGAAAATTACTTCAGCGTTAGAGTCACAAAAAAACAAATAATTTGAATACTATGTGAGAAAACCTTCTAGCGACCGAAGCAACAGCCCATTGCAGATATGTTATTGATTTAATTACTCAAGCTTGAGTGATAAATCGTTGGACTTCTTTCTCTGTGCCCAAAGTGAAAGAAAGAAGCAAAGGACGGGAGACGTCAATTTACTATATGACTTCGCTTTCTTTCTTGAGTGAGAATATTTCATACGAAAACGGATATTTCAAAATACTTTTTTGATTTCAACTATTCCATGAACTTCCCATCAATTTCTCCATTAAAAGGCCTCCGCTTTTCACCTCTTATCTGTGAGAAATAGAAAAAAAAAATCGAAGTTTCATAAATAAATATCCACCTGAATCGTTTCATGCAAAACTGGCAACAATAGGGCAACTCCCCGGTATGTATCCTGAAGTGTGTGGCGAAGTTGTGACGGTAGAGAACCTTAGAGAAAGTTTTTGTTTCGTCCAGAAGTTATCTACATACTAATCCGCAAGTGGGACATTCCATTTTCGGTTTGAAAAGGTCGTCGCTGGAATTTGCGAGAGCTCCGAGGACTTGTCCCTAAAAATTTCGAAATTCCGAAGTGCTTAGAAATTTTTTCTTTTCGGGCTCGGTGGCACAAAAATTACCTGTCGATTCCCTGCCAAAAATCCAAAACCTTCAGGATCCTCGGAATTGAACTCTTCTGCAAGCAGGTAATAAGGTGCTGGTTCCTCTAACTGTACCCGTGTTATCGGCAGTTTCTCCAACTTCTTCTTCTTCTCCACCCCCTTCTGCCCGTTCGTTCGCCAGTTCCGGAGGGCCTTCATCGGCATCGTTCTCCTCAAAATTCTAAATCGAAAATAGCCGACCAACAGTACAAACTTTTGAAGTTGTAGGAGGCGGATTTTCAACAGAAACGACCATTTTGAGACCCCGCGGTCCGTCGATAAGCTGCTCTTCTTGTTTATCACCCTCAGGATCAGCTTCCTTCTCGGCAGGAGGGTCTCTAGATGACATAGGTATTTACAGGAAGAGGTGAGGAAGGAATAATTTATGAATACTGTGTCGCTGTTGAGCTCGACCTGGAGCTTGGTTCAAAAACCACCTAAAATCAGAAAAAGAACTCGACGTCATAACCTATCAGTTAAGAAAACCCTTCGTGGTCAGAATAGTTTAAAAAAAAGCAGACAAATCGAAGTCGAGGGATTTGGTTACAGAAATTGACATTAATTTCAATCAAAACATCATAGTTTAGTTACTAAGGCACATTTCTAGCGTCCGGAAGTACAAAAGAGACGAATAATCTCAAAACAGACAGTTTGTAGTTGTTTCTCGGAGTTAAGAGCGATTTCAAATATTTTCAACTAAATTTTTACAAAAATAGTCATCGATCGCCTTTTTTAAAAAGCCGATTGCGCTGAGCTTTCAAGAGAAGCAGAACCCACGGTTTGGCGACACTTCTCTCTTCTTTTTCGGCACGCTGCCACTGCTCCAGCTCGATTTCCCGATGGACGTTGACACGGACGAACTCCTTCTTGGTCGTCGTTTGAGTGGCCTTGATCGTGATGCCAGGCGGAGGCTTCCGACTCGACGACGGCATCTGCGGCTCAGTTGTCGAGCTTCTCCGGTCGCTGAAGACGTGCGACGACTCGGTCATCGCGCTCGCCGCCTCTTCTTCCATCGCTTCTATCATACATTCCTCGGCGTGCCAAAACAGATCTCTCTGCAAGTCCGAAACAATAACAACCTCAAACATGAGACACTTCGGAATGAATCTCTCAAAAATTTCCTCGCAGAAATTGTTTCGCTTGACATTCAAAATCCGAACAGACACTCCCTTAGTACTCAACAAAGCTCTTCAAACTTCCGTCTCTGAAAAGTCAAAGAGAACTGAAAAAAAGATTCAAGGCTGAGCTACCAAAATTAACTATTGTTCACAAAATATCGAACGACGACTTCATGCGAGGATTCATGCTTTCTTTTTTCAACTTCATTCGCAGATTTTTAAGAATTTTGTCGATGAAAAGTTGAAATAACCTTATCATGGAAAGTGGAATGACACTCTGGACAAGTGAATTTTCTCTGGTAAGAAGTCGTGATCCATTGCTCATTGTTCGAAGTGCCAACATTTCGCAAAATCATCTGAGGCAATTAAACGAAAAAAAATTCTAAAGAGCCAAAGAAGATACCCAAAATGGAATCAACCAGCTAAATCCAAAGAAAAAAAAAAAGAAAAAAAGCAAGCAATTTTATTCTTCCGAGTAGTGAAGTTAGAGGTAAGGCATTTCTCAACCGTTAGAAAATGAAGAGATCAAAATGGAAAAAAAAAATGAGTAATGAGACAACAATGAGAGTTTATGTACATCAGAGATTGGCCCAATCGACAGGCTCCCGACCACTTTTCAGCAGACTCTCGTTCACTTTGGAGAAACATCGACAGCCAAACCATTTCCTTGCGCTCAGTGGCGACGGATGCGCAGTCTACAAAAAATGTTATACCGTAATGACATAGAGCCTGCATTCTGAAACTATTCTAATATTTGTTCTCTTCGAAGTTAGTTACAAACTTTTATGTGATATCAAAAAAAAGCTTTAAAAGATCCTTTTTTTTCTCAAATTTCGGGTTTATGACAGTTCATCTAATGAGAATCGGCTCGAATTCACCAGCCCAGATTTTCGAACTCCTTGAGCAGAGACGTCTATCATAACTACGCACTATGGATAGTGTTTTCAGCAAGAAAATTTATCTACATTAGATTTTAATTCATTTTCTTCCCCTGTCTGTTTTTTCATTTTGGTTGTTCATATGGCAGGTTCACGATAGCTCGGTAAATGGAGGGGCGTGGCCTGTATGCGCTCTCAAAGAACTAGCCACTTGTTTTTTTTTCGCGTTAAAACCCTTTTTTTCAATGGCTCAAGCCAGTCGAATCAGCTATATGCAAAATGGTAGCAATTATGAAGTATATAACAATTTTGTTTCGAAGCCCCCCCTCCCGAAACATAGACTCCTCCCACTTTTCTTCTCGCCTGCCGAAATCATTTTTTTGTCCAGATTGGATGGGGAAAGCTGTTTGATAATATTAGCTATCAGAAAAAAATATTATTTTGTCTGCATGACTCTTTTGTAAGAATTTCTTGCGGTCATCAACAAGATGAAATGTTGAATGACAAATTCCCATTCCTTTCAGCGAAAGAGATCAGATTGGCTGCTTCATAAAAATTAATTTTTTTGGAAACTATGCACCTCCTTTACTCCAACGATATTCTTACTATTTAACACAAAAACAAAAAAATAGACTCTTACATTTTTCTGGTATTCAAAATCACCGAACAAAATACGCTTCTTACTTCATAAACTAAAACTTAAAAACGAAAAAAATAATAAAATGAACAGCTTTTTTTCCCAGAATGAACGAGTTGCTGATTTTTTTCCGAGTAAACATGATGTTAATTCAATAATTAATAATAAAAAAAGAGAAAAAAACCTTGATGACGACGTGTTTGGCCTTGTTGATGAGAGCTTCTTTCTTATGAGCAAACCCGCCCCAAAGAAGAAAAACGACAGGTTTCTCGGCCGTTTTTGAAATTAAAGAAATAACTGCATCCGTGAATTGTTGCCATCCGATGTTGGCATGTGAATTTGCTTCGTGGGCTCTATAAAAAACTTTTTTTGAAACTAATGCTGCAAAGGAAGGCATTTTTGCTTTCTGGTTGGAATACCCTGAAAAATAGCCTTGACACTCATTGACGTACAAGAAAAAAAAATCCTGAAAGTCTCAATTTACGAAAAAATCCTAGTCCTTGAATAAGAACATCTGAAAGTCAAGGAAAACCTTTAAAATCTGGTAAAATAAGATATTTTTTGAAGGGGGAGGGGGTATGAGCCCTTATTTCTCGAAAACTGAGAAATTTTTTCTGGTACAACAATCAGTTATCTCGGCAATTTTTGGGCTATTCCCAATCAAAAAAATAAAATGAGCTTTTTTAGGCGAAAAAAAGCATCGTGGCAAAGTGCTTTGGTTGACAAGACGCAGTTGCAGAAAAAAAAAAACAAACTTGACAGTAAGAGTTGCGTTGAGAAGAAAAACGCCTTGTTCCGCCCAGCCGTTCAAACAGCCGTGGCTCGGCCTTTTGAACCCGGGGATATCGACTTCAAGTTCCTGAACTTTTCAAATCGATAAAAAAAAATGAAGAAATGAATCGAACTTTGTAAATATTGACGAGAGATGGTGGAGGACGAACCCCATGTTTAACAGAAAACGCCAGACCATGAGCCTTCAAGCAATAGGTAAACGATAGTTTTCAAGTTGAAAAGTATTGTAAAAGACGAGGAACGCTTTTGACATTTGTAAGAAGAATATTTGATTCACAGGGGAGGCCATTTTACTTTGCGGTTAAGAGTTTCCTGAAAATTGGCCAGACAAAGTTTTTGATGTACCAGATGTAGATCCTGAAAGTCTCAACCTGCACAACTTCCTAGTTTTCGAGAAATAAGGTCTCAAAGCTAAAAATAGCCCATTTTCATTGATTTTGAGCTTTTTCTTTGACTTTGAAGCGTTTTATCTTAAAATGGAAGAAGTTTCGCAAGTTGAGATTGTCAGAACCTCTTCTGGTACATCAAAAAGCGTTCTGGCCAATTTCCATGGAAGTCCCAACCGCAAAGTAAAATGACCTCCCTTGTCAGGAATCTTTAGGCAAACTGCGTCTATTTATAAATTCGTGAAAGGTTGTGATTTCAAATCAGAACCGATTTACGAAGGTACCTGTCCATCGTTGTGGTAAGGGTCTTGGCCAATCAGAACCACCCGAATATCATTGAGATCTGTGTCAAAGGCGGTAAAAATTTCTTCGCGCGGAGGAAATATCGTCTGGCCCTTAACGCGTTCATGAATCTCTGTTGAAGGTTCAAAACAAAATATTCAGAAAGAATGCAGAGAAGAACGTACAGCAGCGTATTTGCTGGAGAGGAAAGTTTCGATTTTGCGGATATACGGCCTGGAAAGCTCTGTCTGGAGCGCGTCGAACCACGGTTTTGACCGAAGTGATTCAGAAATGGAGAAAACTTTGACTTCTGATGCAACTGTGTCCACCTGGAAAAAAAGAACAGTTTAAATTAGTGAATCAATTTAACCTTGGCCGTTTCAAGAGAAGTCCGATTCTCTTTCTCGTCGACTTTTGCGACGACGGAGTCCGATTTCGTCCGTTTCGATCCCACAAACTCTGAACTTTCCGTGTTAGATCTGAAAAATATAGTCAGATTTATCTTCAAACGAAGCCGCAACCTTTTTGCGTTTGCGGCCTTGAGAAACATCTCAGGTATTTTGACGATCGGCTTCGAGTTCATCGAGGCTTCTGTTCGATTTTTGTTTTTGAGTGATCAATTTTGCTATCAAAATATTCATCGGTTCAAACCGTTAGCTTTGGTTCTCAAAAAAAAAAAGTTGAAAAGAAACTGTCTTTTTCATTCGAACGATCAAATTGACACATGACTGAGAACTTGAAATGAAGAACCGGATGTTGAGAAGGTAGATGAACACTCAGAAGAATAAGAAACAGAAACATAACACATGTTAAAAAGCAGTTATTGATTATCAAGACCATCTTGCATTGGAACAGAGATCGTTAACGTACACGCAGTTTAAATATACATCTTTCACATAGACACCGGAAGACTTGAGATAATAGTTAACCTAATAAGAATGAACATAGAATAAAAAGTTAAAGTTGAAAAACGGACACTTTTTCGTGAACCTAGAAGAAAAGTTTCAGCATTTTCTAAAAGAATAAAAAAAAACTCGTTTTGAAACAATTCTTCACCCGTTTTCGTTACCCAGGCCCGTTGCTTTCAGATTTTCTTCAACATTTTGTACCTCTGAAAACGAAAACCTTCAATCCTTGAATCAGATACATATGCGTTAATATTTGCTGTCCTTCAAAACGATGCTGTGAATGGGTTTGAAAATCGAAAGCTCCAAAATTTAACGAGGTAAAAAAGCTTGTACGCTGACATTGTTAAGTAGAAGGTATACTTGTAAAAAAAAAAAGCTTTTTTCAAACCAGTTTTACAAGACATTTTTTCTAATTTACACTCTTGAACTCTCAAAAAAAAACCTCCAAAGTGCAAAATTAAATAACTTCTCTGTGAGGTCTGTGAAAACAAGTTCATAAACACAACCTCACATTTCAACCTACCGTATTGCTTTGAAGAGTTCTCGGTTGAGTCGTCTGTTATCGACGCTCCAGAAGCTTCAAGAGAAGTAGAAGCAGGAGCTGGCTGAGATGATAGAGCTAGAACTACTGGAGTAGACACCAGCCGATCCGAAGGAGCCGATTCCAGAGAATCAGAACCAGGTTGTTCGGAATTTTTCAGCAGAGAATCCAGAACAACATCCGCTTTTGAAATTTCCGCGGGGTGTGGAGCAGAAGCTGGTGGGACGGTTGCTTCTGCTGATTCAGGTTTCGGAGATGGAGCTGGCTGAGCTGGAGGAGCTGCTTTAACTGATGCTTTCCCGGAAGGTCGGTTCGCAACGGCCTTTTTGTGAGCACCATTCATCTGCTTTCCTGTCTGTATCGCCTTTGCCATTTCCTCTGCAATCTTCGATTACTCAAAATGAACTCTGAGCACACAACACAATCCTATGAAAGTTCTTATAACTGAAAAAATTTTTTTTCAAAGTTCACCTTTCAGTTTATGGGCAAGTTTTATTTGCTGCAGAAGAGTTTCAGGATCCGTGCCGCACAGATTTGGGTCCTCCTTCACAACGAATTTTGCCTTCTGAACCCGAATATTTTCGAATTCTCAAGAAAAAGAGGATTACCTTCGTTCGATCCCTTTTACGGGGTTTGCTTGGCGCTGTCTGAAAGAACGAAAACTGTATTTTCTTTTTGTAACTAATCTCACTCTTTTCTTTGCGTCGATGACATTATCGGGCTGACCTACAGGTTCATCCCGAGATGGGATTTTCTGAGCCCCAGCAGGCTCCTCCTGAATATAATGAAAAATATACTTTTACAAGTAAAAATTACATAAAAACAGAAATTCGCTTTGTAAAAAAAATTTAAAAAGAATCATTGAAGTTACTAAGAAGACAGGTTTCGAAAAGAGTAGCTTGATGTAATGAAAGAAATAATGAGAACCTAGGTATTTTCCGAAGTTAGAGAGGATCAATTGAAAAAATGACAGAAAACATCTACTTGAACGAGTGAACAAAAAAGAAAGATGAAAAGAAAACCTCCGTTTCTTTGAATGCGGGAGAAGACTGCGTGCTGGAAACATTTCCATCGTCTTGGTTGGTCGAATCATTGGCCCCAGAAGGTCCGGGTTCGTTCTCCGAAGGCGACGCTCCAGATGATTCTGGATTCAATATGAAGGTTAAAACAAGGAACAAAAATAAACTGCAAAAACAAAAGTCAGGTTTGAAATAAAAAAATAACCAAAAGAAGGTAGAAGATAACCTTCAGGTATAGGAGAAGGTGATGGCGACAAAGACTCTCCGTGTTTTTGCATGGAAGGAGATGTCCTTTTCGCCCGACGTCTTCAAACATGAAATGTAATTTCCGACAGTTCATGAGAAATATTGAAAAAACATTTTCTAATGAGAACCCTCCAATTTAAAAATAAAATTTGCAGAGAAATGAGATTTTCTACTAAATGGATATTTTGGATATATTCTGTCCTAAATTTTTTTATTTTTGGTGAATATAATCTGGAAATACAAAGATGAGAAACTTCCAACAAATAATTCAAACCTCTTGGCGGCAGGGCGTCCGTCGTCGGTCTTCACGCTGCCGTCGGAAAGAACTTCCTCCTCCGAACTGTCGGAGCAGTTTTCGAACTGCGCTAGACGGTCCATCAGGAAGTTCTTGTCGCGAGAGAGCTTCAGAAGTTTGCGTTGGAGATTGCGAAGTTGGTTCTGGTAGCATTCGTTCTCCTTAAAAGAAGATCCTGATGGCTGAATAAGAGATAAAATGCTCACGTAGACGAGGTTCTTGAACTTGCTCTTGTATATTCGATACTGTTCTTTGACGGAGGAATTCCGACGGTCGGTTTTGAGAACAGCAGCGATGGCCGCGTTGGAAAAGCCGTGTCGGGCAAGGAGCGCATGAGATGAGAGCGCGCTCGAAGTCGAGGGCTTCGTTCCGTTCGCTTCGGAGGCCTCCAAAGTCAATAATAAGCGGGCATGGAGCATGATGGCGAGGAGAGTTGTTGTGAGTAATACCAAAGACGAAAAACACATGAGAGGTCCAAAAGAAATTCATTTGAATTTTGATGAATAATTGCGGAGAAGATCTCTACAGCACCTCAATTACGACTGAACGAAAAAAAAAACCCAGAAAAAAGGTAACATTGAAAAGGGCGGAAATCTCTGCTATCAGCCTCTGAGAAACACGAATCATAAACAATATTACGAACTTTACATTCTGGTTTTCTACTAGCGAATTTCAGCTCATTTATGCACAAATCTATTGTCACGGTGCTACGAAAAAAAGACCAGCGAAAATTCAAACGGCGACTTTTCCGATTTTTTCATATCGCTAGGGAACTTTCCGACGGCCACCTTTCCCCCAAATTTTTTTTCTCGATAAACTCTTCGTTTTAAATCTTCCTATATAAGCAGGCAAGTTATTCATGATTAAAACACGAAGAAATAGGAAAAAAAATGTTGATAGATGTTTTATAAACCAAAAAATGTAAGGGAAAAAAGTCGGAAAGGGATTCGGCGGAAAGTTCCCTCGCGATACGAATAAATCGGAAAAGTCGCCGTTTTAATTTTCGCTGGTGTTTTTTTCATACCATTATTGTCACTAGTTCCGACTCCAGTAAATCGAAAACTTCGATAAACAGTTCATTGTACCATTGACAACACAAATTGAGATTCGATCATTTTGCGCAAAACCCAAAAAAATAAACACTCACGGCTTTCAACGCTGAGCTAGCAGCCAACGCCTTCTCGCGTGCCAGTTTCTGAGATGCCAGAAATCGCTGTTGGACTGAAATAGCGGCCGAAGCTCTCGAAAACTGGAGTTGCCTTTGAAGGAGCTGCAAATGCGAGAATTAGCCGTTAACTGATGGAATTTGTTTGATCACCGCTTGCATTTGGGCATGAGAAGCTCCGGCAAACCCCAGAGGTCGCCTCGGAACCATGCCGATTCTGTGGTAAGGAGAGGCAGGCATGAGCAGACCTCCTGTCATCGGCTTGAGAAGTCCTTGCTGAAACTAGTCAGAAGCTCTCAATTTGGAAGATATTGGTCGCTCACATGAGAAGCTCGGGCGAGTGCCGCGTGCAGAAACGGCGCGGTGGTTCTTGGCATTGCGAAGAACGGCCGTGCTTGATGTGGGAAAGTTGGTCTCCTCTGCGAAAACATAAGGGTTGCTACTGGCTCTATACCGACCTTACCACTAGTGAACCTTGCAAAATCGGGTTCTTCGAAGATTGTGGCGCCTTGGAAACGACAACTGCTTGTCTAGGTTCCGTTGGAATACTCGACGTTGCTTGGGGCGGCCGCGAAACGACGGGTGGAGCCTCAGCGATTTCAAGCTGCAAGGGCTCCGTGTGCGGCGTTGACTTTTCCTTCGCTTCGACTTTCGTCTCCGTGTCTATCGTTAACTCCGACGGAGGTTTTTCGACTTCTTCTTTGGACGTGCTTGCGACGGATTCCGCTCCGATGGAACAGGGAGCAGGCGAAGAATCTTCTTTTTGCGGTGGCGGCTGTTCCGAAGGTTCCAATGGCTGTTCCGAAGGTTCCAATGGCTGTTCCGAAGGTTCCAATGGCTGTTCCGACGGTTCCAGTGGCTTCTCCGACGGTTCCAATGGCTGTTCCTCGGCTTTCGGCGTCGAAGTTTCAGCCTCCGCAGAAACAGGACTTTTTTGTGAATCTTCCGTTCGATTTTGAGAGATGGGACCTATGGAAAACCCCTGTAAACATTTATAAACATTCAACGGTTCAGATTGAGGTTACATTGGATGAAGAGCTTTCGATGGTTGTCGTTGAGACGGTCGGGTTCACAAAAACGTCTGCGTCCTTCTTCGCTTCTGAAATATTCAGATCAATCAAAAATGGAAGAAGTGATATTTAAGGGAAAAATAAAAAAATAATTAGAATGAGAAAAAAATAAATAATTTTTCTTTCAAAAAAATTGAACGGTTTTATATTTACTTTCCCAAAAAAACTCGATTTCCAAAAACTTTGTGAACTTTTTTTCTAAAAATATAGAATGAGAATTTGATAATAGATTAGGTTTTAAAAAATCGAACCTTCCTCTGAAATGGACGAAGATTGTGAGATTTGGCTCGGCTCTGAGGAACTCACTGTTGGAACTGCATTCTGAGTACTTCGAACTTCTAAAAACTCCTTTTCGGTTCATAACTCTGAAAAATTGAAAGAACCACTCGAATTCGGCCATCGATTCGTCGCGATCAAACGTTCCAACCGAGAATTCGCCTTCGGGAAATTTCTTTTTGTGTATGCCGCTTTGAAAGAACTGACTCCTTGAGAAATTTTTTGAATTTCTTGCTGAAATGGTCACTTTTCAAAGTTTGCAAATCGACGAAACCATTTTTGAAAGTCCATTGACAATGTTTTCTGCTGCAGAATCTCTTATCTGTCGATCCTCGGATCGAGCTTCTCCAGATGTCGAGGGAGCTTCATCCGGAGTAGAAGAAAGGTCGAGAGGTAATGGTCCCTCCTGAGTCTGACTCTGCAGAAACAACACAATATAGTCCCCACTGATTTAACGAAACAAGAAATTTAGAAAATGTGATTAGAGGTTTTAAAAAATTCAAGTTACCTGGACTGAGGTCGACGGAGAATCAAAAGACGAACTCGTAGAAGGTTCATCTGAAAAAAATTTTTTAATAAGCTCTGATATTGCCAAAAAAGACTATTTCGCACAAATTACCAATATTCGTCCTATTTGGACGTTTTGGTAGACGGTCCGATGTTCTTTTTTGCGGACTGTGTCTGTCGGGTTGCCTTCGTTGGGACAAAAAATCGCTAGAAGGACTATCCGAACAACCAGGTGGGTTTCGCTCTCCTAAAACACAGAATAAGTGGAAGAATTCAATCCAAAAATCAGAAAATAACACACTTTCTCCATACAAGCAAGTGAAACCCTGACAAGACAAAAAAAAGTGGAATCATCAAAACCTGGGCTTAGCTGAGAAGATGTCGTTGGCTTGGGGTTGAGAGAAGCAGAAAAGACGGTTGGTTGAGAAAAACTGAGCTGTTGGTAAGGTGATTCTGAAGTTGATCGTAGAGTTTTCCTATAAATATAACAAACTTGGAAAACCATTGTTCTGCGGCATGCTCGGCATCACAGAAGAAGAAGGCATCTGAGAAGAATCGCATTTGAGAACAAAATTTTCAAATTTTCAAACTTGAGGATTAGCCACCAGCGACGACGAGTATGGTGATAAAGCAGAGCCGAGCGAAATATAAGGATCACTAGACCTGCAAAAAAAAAAGTAAATTTTATTAGTGATCGTGACAATACTTTTGTGGTGGGAGAGAAATTGGAGGCAAAACAAGCGGGGGCAGTCTTCCTGTTGATGTCGACGGTAGGCCTATTCGATTCGTAAAACCCGGTAACTTCTCTGCCATACTAAAAACTGACTTTTCTTCTATAAAAGTACTTCTATAAAAATATTGAAGACATATTCTTCAAAAATACGAGTATAAAAACGCGAGTAAAGTAAAACCGATTACCCATTTAATTTTGGTGGTTACAAACGAGTGATGAAAAAATTTGTACAAAGTCGGTCAAATTCAAAAATTGAATTTTTCTTTTTCATTAAAGAGGTTCGACATAAATCCATTAAGATATGTCATACTTCGTATGAATATTAACACTATGGTTCCTTTCAAACCGTGAAAAAAAAAGAAAAACGTTAATAATCGAAACCTGAATACACAAAAAAATACTTTGCCAAAAACTTCAATCATTAAAAAAATTCAATTTTTTTTTCGCATTAAATTGAATAACTTTATTGATAAAAATATTTAAAGAGATCAAGAAAAAAATTTTTTTCAAGATGAATTATGATAATCTTATAAACTTTCAAAAAAAGCCCATAACAATGAAAAAAACTTGAAAAAAATAAAAAAATTATTAAATTTTTTTATTAAGAAGATAATATTTTGAAATGCGTTCCCGCGTTTTTTTGTTGAGGCGGGGCTTTTTTTCAATTACGGTGAAACGGATTGCTGCAGTCACTTTACTTATTTAGTACTAAAGGCACTGTATTTGACGACAAATATTTCAAAACGCATTTTCCGTTGAAAACAGGATCGTGTTCAATTTGCCAATTTGAATCTGAACACTTTAATCAAATAAAAAAAATTTAAAATCTTGAAGAGTTTTTTTAAATTTTAAAATCAAACTCTTTCGGCGCGAGCTCCCATTGAATCGCTTAGAAGAATATGAAGAAATTGAATCCGTAGTTGCGCGTTTTTAGGAAAAGAAAACAGGTTGGGAAACACAATTTTGTGTTCATTGGGTTGCTGCAAAACCGTGATATCGGCTATTTTCAGAACTTTGTGTTTTAGCGACATCCGAAGATTTACCATATATCCGAAGATCGAAGCAAAGTAAAAAGGCGAAATTCCAGTGGAAAACGTATAGTTGATGGCGCGAGTAGTAGTACACCCAACTGAACGTCCTACTTCCACTCCTACTATTAGTAGCGCTCACCAGCTGCCCCAAACAGCTCACCCTGCTCTCACACAGGTAATTAAGGTCTTTCCGGACCTCTAATCGAAGCACTATCGAAGGTTCTCAAATCAGCGAGAATAACGGCTCACAGGGGACGTCATTCGGGTGGAAGTGTGGGAACGAAAACTCCCGAGCTTCAGTTACTCCTGGACAACGATTTATTCTGTTTGCACACAGACCGTCGGACGAAGCTCAACCATATCCAGCAGTTGAGTCTACTACATTTGCTCGCCCAATTCTTCTTGGTTTTTCCTTTCCAATAGATTCTGTAATTTAAAGCAAGATTTAGGAAAGAGCGGAAGACAACAACAAATATGCCTACTTCGAAGCGATTTTTTTGGGAAGAGAGGGCGAACCGATCGTCCACGACCACAGGATCTCCGTTCTGATGCAGCTGGCTTCTTTTTCGCTCCAGTTTCCTGTTCTACAAGTCTTCAATAATATTTCACAGTGGATCAGCAAGGTTTTATCATCTTTCTAGTCTTCGAGAGTTTGCAAAAAGTTGTACTCTACAGATCAGTGTGGTGAAGCAATCTCGATATTATTCCGAACTTCTTGTAGATATGTTGATTGACAATTTTATCAAAACTTGTGATAGAAGTCGGAGAATGGTAAGTTTCTCTACCTGGTGTGCTGCATTTTTTTCTCTTTTATTCAGTACGAATATCTTTTGCCTCTGGAAGCGACCTGTGCAGAGTTCACAGCTATCTTCACGGCTTTCGGACCGCTCGTCGCTCCTATGAGTTTTCCACTCGCAATCGTCCTTCAAAATTATTTGAGTACGAACCTCAGTTATATAATGCGGCACTATCGGGACACTCCATACCTTGGAGATGAATTTTCAACAAAGGTTAAAGCGACTTACTTTCGTCTTATTTATTATTTGGATCATCTTTCAGACGATGCCTGTGTTACTGAAGTTCGTCGTGGAAGAGTCGGCGAATCCAGCTCGAGAAACGATTATAACTTCGATCGCCGTTTCTCTAGCCAAGGTGATAGAAAAATGGAGCGGGAAGTTCCTCACTGGAAGAGCGACGTGTGCGAAGCAACCGATAAATTTTGGTTTGTTTTTGTGAATATTATTAGGGTGTCGAGAGGATAAAAAGTGTCGAAAATGTGCTCTCACTTCGCGGAAGCTCAGATTCATTTCGGCTTGGTTTCTCGAACCAATTTTTGAACTTGAATTTAAATTCCATTGCAAAATATCTTTAAATTATTGCAGATGTTCTATTCTCAAAAGAGCTAAAATGGAACCGAAATAGGTGCAATTTGATTTGCGCTGCAGCCAATGTTGATTCCAATAAAAAGAACATTTCTGAGGTGAACACAACTTTTTTTCATGTACGAATTCATTTCAGAGGCTTTCCGATCTAGATGTACCTACAGATTTCGCTCCATCCCTTGCTTTTGTGCGAAAACAATTCTTTTGAAATTGCTGGTTTGTTCTAAAACGAGGTTGAAGTCATTGATTTTCATGTAATCAACAAGTATAATTCATTTATTTTTAAACGATTTATATTCTTTTCATTTCTATATTATTGAACTACATTCTCAGTTAAAACCTCAAATTCAAAGCAATCCATCTCTTCTGTTGTAGAAAACTTCGCGCGAAGTAATCAAAGATCGCCGGTTTCTTGTTTATGTTTTCTTCTTTCCCAATCCCTTCTCGCGCACGTTTTTATTTATTTCCATTTAATTCAGGTTTCACTTTACAAAAAAAAAAACAGCACAAAAAAATATGGAACCTCAAAAAAACTTCTATATTAATCGGTTAGTTTTTTTGTAAAAAAACTTGTTTACTGTAAAAAGTTGAAACTGAATTCTCGCCGTAGGGTAAGCGAGAATCTATTATCACATATCACGCATTCTGTTTGTTGGTGCGATAGAGCATTGTTTACACTGCCCGGCCGCCCGTAGGTCGTGTTTGATCATAATTATTTTCCCCTTTTTCTCTTCGAGTTCATTTGTTTTTAATGAAATTGAAATTTTTCCGTTTGTTTCTCTTGTATCAAAGTTCCGTCGCAAACATTATCTAGAATTTTTTTTAATTCGTAGGAGAATGGGTTTTTATTTCTTGAGATTTAGTTAATATAAATGCTGCTTCGGGCATTTTGTCGAAACGTTCGAATAGCAAAAAGCACGCAATTTTTGCTGGCCACCAGGCGGCCACTTTCTACGACTTCAGCTGCTCTTGGGGGCGGCGGTCATCATCATCACGGTCAGATTTTTTTTTTTTTTTGAGTTGAGCTCGGATATTCTAGAGCCAACCCCAGTTTACATTCCGAAGCCCGGATCTTTGGATTGGTCGCTTTGTGGCAGGCCCGGAGTATGTTTAATCCCCAAAAATGCCGGTTTTCAATGAATTTAGGTCAAAAGAATTTCGACTGATTCTTACAATCCGAAAAAGGATGATTTTCTGTCGTATCTGGGAGCGGCAGTGGCCGTTGGTCTGACTATTGCTGCTTTGGTGATTTTTTTTTCACTTGTCGAAATCATTTAGAACGTAGATCCGAATCGGAATTTTTTCTGACTTCACTCGGTAATTTTATGTGACAAATTCCAGGCGGTTTACACCGATACGTTCAAAGGGGACAAAGACAATCATTCGAAAAATCCAACTCCACCTAAACAAAAGGTTGGGAATTTCCGTCAGATTTCAGTTTTTTTCAATTTTCAGACAAAAGAAATAGCGGAAAAGTCGGATAAGAATCCTTCGCCTGAATCTGGAAAAGCTGCCCCTCCCAAGGTTTTTTTTTGTTGATTTTTGCCTTTCTATGCGCATCATATTTATTTTTGATTGAAAACTTATTGAAATATTTTTCAATTTAGAAATAATCGCTTAAAAAGACTCTAACTGATTAAGAATCATCTTCAGCTCTTCAGAAGAATATCGAGTGAGCTGAACTTTGGTCGATTTCCTCTCTTTGAAATTCACATACAGTGTTCATCTCTTTTTGTGAAACGTTCAAAAGTGGCTATCTGAACCAGTGACTTTTTTCAGTCAAGCTGTGTTCAGGAACTACGATGGAATTCTCACATGAAAATGGATATTAAAAAGATTACAAAGTACTTTGATCCAGTATTGCAAAGAATGGTCTTTCTAACCTCTTCCTTGCATTATTTTTGAACTTTCCAAAGATATGAGGTATTTGTAAAACTGATGATCCTGATTCAAAAAATATTACATACGCTTGCAGGGCCAAAAACTTTTACGTTTGAAAGAGTAGAACGGCGGGCTTCAGTTTTCAATAATGTGGAGCGTTACAGAAGGAAGAAGCGCAGGAGGAGCGACAGGAGCACAAACCAAAGGTGCACGACGAAGACAAGCCCTCAGAGAAGAAAAATAATGGAGAAAGCAAAAAAGAATCAGACAAGAAGAACTCGACGGAAGGAAGTGAACATGCGGTGACCAAGGATTCTGATAAGAAGTCTGAAAACATGAAGTCGGAAAAGAAAGAAGAAAAACCGAAGGTGGAGTCTTCAGAGAAGAGCAAACCGGAAGACAAACCTGAAGAGAAGTCAGAAGAGAAGCCAAAAACTGAAAACAAAGACAAGAAAACAGATGATGATAAAAAGGACGAAAATAAAAAAGAAGACAAGAAATCTTCGGAAGATAAACCAAAAGAAAAGTCTGACGCTTCTGGATCTGAAAAGAAGTCTGAGAAGAAGGAGGAAAAGAAGGAAAAGGAACAGGCTCAAGACATTTCTCCTGCAGGAAATAAGGTAAGCGTAGGGTTTGGACTGTTAAGAGAAGTTTCGGTTTCAGAAGAGCGATTCCAAGGACAAGAAGCAGAATGAGGTGTGTTTTTCTTCATTCTAAAACTTTATTCAGTCAATTGTTTTCCTTGTAGTCCAATTATGAGTGTTTCAGGTGAAGGAAGACTCGAAGGCGTCTTCTTCAAACGAGGTACATTGACCGCCGGTTAACCCGCATTTGCGAACTTTGCCAGAGTTGTGCCTTTTGTTGTAATTACCTGTTTACTTCCTTTTCTGCTCGTTCCAAAGCAAAGTCAGATTTTTATTATTTTTTTGTGATAAAACCTTTTATGCACCTAGAAAGTTCAGAGGAAGCTTGACAAAGTGCAGTATTTGATTGTGGGGTCTGGGACGGCAGCCTACTACGCGGCGCTTGCCATTCGCGCCAAACACGCCGACGCCAAAGTATTGATGGTCTGTCAAACAAAAAAAAATCGGCTTGCGATGAATTTCGGCTCGCAGATTGGCGAGGAAAAGCAGTTACCTTACAATAAGCCCCCGCTGTCGAAGGAACTCTGGTGGTACGGTGACAGTGAGACTCCGCACACCTTGGAATACACGGCTCTGTCTGGCAAAAAGAGAGATATTTTCTACGAAGTTCAGGTGAATTTGGGGGAAGAAAGTATTAAGTTTTTTCGAGGGTAGACTGGAAATCCGAACGGTTGCACCTTTTGGAAAGTTAAATTGATTACGACCGCGATAACTTTGTATTGAAGTATCAATAATATTGAAGGAAAAAAAAAGAGCAACTTGATAACATATCTTGCAATAAAAGAGTTCAAAACTATCTGAAATGTTCCAGCATGCTTTCGACTAGCTTCTTGTGAATTATATCAATAAGTATTGAATTTAAGTGAACTTAGTCAGATGAGAATAATTTGGGAGTTTTTTCCTTCTCAAAGACCAAAGAAGAGTATTTTCTCGAGCGGTTTTTATCTCTCTTCTGAAAAAAAGAACTATCCGTATTCCTGCCCGGTGTCGGAAAAATATCAAAGGAAATCGGCACACTTAACCTCAAAAGTTTTCACACTGCGAACTTTCGAATTGGTAGCAAGTTAGAAGAAGCTCAGTTTAAATATCTCCGAATTTTTCTGACATTGAGTCAAAAATGTTGTAATCGATTTCAAGCTTTCCGAATTTTAGGGTTTTTACGTGGATGAAAAGGAGTTGGAAGAGACTTTGCACGGAGGAGTGTCGTTGATTTCGGGCAAAAAAGTGGTCAAAGTATGTACCGCGGACAAAAAAGCTTACCTGGAAGACGGCTCTTCAGTTTCTTACGACAAACTTCTTGTCGCCACAGGTCGGTTCTTTTTTTCTCGCCTTTTCTCGGTCGTATTCGAATAACTTGACCGGGTGCAGGATCGCGACCGCAACCATTCCCCTTGTTCGACGAGGCCGACGAAAAAGTTCGTCGTCGCACTTCATATTATCACAACGCAAGACTTTCATAGTTTCAACAGGAAAAGTTTTAACAATTTCAGGTCGATGACTATAAAAAACTTGAGAACGAAATTAACAATAATGGCGTCAGGAATATCACCGTCATAGGCAGTGGTCTTTTGGCTTCCGAACTGGTTTATGGCATCAAAAGAAAATATGAAGACGTGGTTGTGAACCAGGTTTACATTCAACCTAACTTCAGTTCTGTTTCTTTTTCAAGGTTCTAGAAGAGCCCTACAATGCGAGTCTGATCCTGCCGCAGAACTTGGGCGAAAAAGCGAGCAACTCGCTGGAGAAAATGGGCGTCGTTTTGTACAAAAACGACAAAGTAACAAAAGTCGAGCCGTCAGATAGACAAATCAACTTGAAGGTTGTTGTTTCTCACTTTTTTCGGGATACCCGGGTACATGACGAAAATTAGTCCTTGTCCGCTTTATGGCCCGTTTAGAAATTTTTGAGTTTTTCTTCTTTAGAAAGAATTTTTATCACAGTTATTCAAAAAATTATATTGTTTTCAGCTATGCTGAGCTGTTCTCAGAAATGAATGAAAACAAATGTTCCTATTCAGAGCAAAATGAAAAAAACCCAACATATAAAACACGAACTGTGTTCCTCCCTTAATAGTTACAACAAGATATCGAAGCGACCTTATTTCATTAATTTTCACATTCTGTCTGTTCAGAGACCTTTTCTTTTCATTTTGAAAACGGAAACAGTTTCTGAGTTCCACATAATGAAGCAAAAAAGAGATTTTTTTTTTCGCTCATATTGGAAAATGTTAACACGGGAAACCTCTGTTGCAGCAAATTTTCATGAAGTTTTTTTCAAATTCAATTTTTTTAGTTTGACGAGTGTCAGAATACTGACCTTAAGAAGGTAATCGAAGTAGATGAATCTTTAAAGGCATTCTTTTGTTGTTCTTTTCTGTATCAAAACATGTTATTTGTCCCGTCTCTTCGGCCAGATGGTAGGAAGGAATTTTGGGTCCACGAATATTGGTGAGCGTTAATTGTGCATACATCAATCTTGGGGGCTCGAATCTTTGAAAATTTGAATCTTTGCAAACAATTCTTGGGAACATTCACCTCTTTTCTGATTTTTTTTAAAATAATTTTTCCAATTTTTCGTAAACAGAAGTTGATGGCGAATGTATACAGAGTGAATGAAAGGGTGGTAGGCATTCTGCAGCGAATCTTTGACGACGTGTATGCGAGAAAGACGCATTATTTGATAAAAACTTTGAAGTTGAAAAAAATCCCACAGTGTTCATTTGTGGTTGAAACACGAAATCCTCAAAATAAAACGACAAAGAAAAAAAAATGAAGGAAAAAAAGATGGAAATTCAAAAAAGAGGTGAATATTCCCAAGAATCGTTTTCAAAGATTCAAAATTTCAAAGATTCGAGTCCCCATGATTGGTGTATGCACAATTAACGCTCACAAATATTCGGGGACCCAAAATTCCTTCCTATCATCTACGGCCATAGTCTATTCACATTTTCCAGCTTGCCAGCTGCGAACTCAACACGGACTACGTGGTTGTGGCCCTTGGAACGGAGCCAAATATCGAAGTTGCTGAAGCATCGGGACTTTCGGTTCACCAACAGTCGAGTGAAAAAAAAGCTTGTGTTTGCAGACGGATCCGAAGTTTGGCGGCGTGACGGCAGATTCTGAACTGAAGGTGGCAGAAGACGTGTGGGCGGCTGGCGACGCCGTCTGTTTTGACGACAAAGTTCTGGGTCGTCGACGGATTGAGCACTGGGAACACGCCCAGATCAGCGGTAGACTCGCCGGCGAGAACATGGTCGGCGCCCAGAAGGCCTTCTGGTTAGTCCTTTCTTCGTTGAAGCAAGCAGGTCTGGAATCTTGTATCGAAATCTTCGCTGATATTTCTAAATACGGAAGACGATTCGAAGGGAGAAAATTTGCCTACCATGTCTGCTTTGATCCTATAGATGTTTAGTTTGAAAAAAAAAAGTTTCGAATTTGAGCCGGGTTGTAACTATTTTAGTGACGCGTCAGGATTTATGAATTTTACTAGTATTTTTAGTGAACTCCTACCGCCGAGATTTTCCGGTTAGAACTGTCTTATGTCTTCAGAACTTAAGTAGGTTTCATTTTGGGCCTGTGTTGTTCATAAGGACGTAGAAATTGCTAAATTTTCTTCCAAGGTTTTTAAAAGTATAATACGCCTCAGAGAAGTGATCAAAAAGCTTCTCAAAACAAATTTAAAGATTATTTTAATAAAATCATTCAAAAAAATGTTTTTGAAAGTCTAGATAAACATAGGAAAAAATGTATGCCATAGAATACATATTTAACTTTTGGTTTGTCATGTATTCAAACGATCTGTCGGTGAACAAGAGCCAACTGCTTCCGGAAAATCAGGAGTCCGAAAGTGTAGTCGTAAGAAAGGAAAACATGATCTCGTTTGCTTGTCCTTATTGACGGTGTGCAACTAGCACAGAATGTAGCAGGTAGTGTATTTGAAACTCTTAGATCGTGCTCTTTTGTTATAAAAACAAGTACGACCAAGGAACACGGAAAACCTCCATACAAACCCGAAAGTCTTTTTATCCAAAGTTACTGTTTCAAACTATCACAAGGAAAAAAAAAGAGCTTTTAAAACTTGAACCAGACAGATCAGCATGTGTCAGGTACCAGCCATCGTTCTTCTCCAAGTTCGCACCGAATTTCCACATGAACGCTGTAGGAAGAATTGATTCTTCTCTGCCCACGGTGACAGTGTATGCCGAGCGGGTAACTCGCTTCTTCGTTTTGGAATGTTTTCAAACATCTTCAGAACTTGACGGACAACTTGGAGAAAGCGGTCGTGTTCTACAAAGGCGACAAGGGCCAGGTTGTCGGCGTCCTTCTGCTTAACGTCTTCGGAATGTCTTTGGACGTCGCTCGACGCATCATCGACGATGCCAAGCCGATATCGGACTACCGGGATCTTACCAAGCTTTTCCCGCTTTACGAGATTCCAACACAAGAAGAAAATGATAATGAAACTTCCAAGGAAACGGCATAATCATATTTTATTGCACCTTTTAAGCGATCTCTGAAGTTGATTGACAACTTCAATTTCTTAGCTTCTCATGAAAAGTTTAATGCCGCGTTCAAATTGATTCCGCGAAAGCCGAAAAACCGTCAGAAAGTGGAAATGATAACTATATTTTGAAGAGTCAGAGGCAATTTTGGATTTCGCGGAAATTAATTTGAACACAGCCTAGAATTTAGATCATATCTTATTTTTCTAGAGTATTACTTTTTGTTGAATTTTCTGTTGTTTTCTTTCTTGTTACCTGTTTTTCATGTCATGACTGTTCTTCAGATACGTCTACCATAAATCTGAATTTTCTAGACTTTCTTGGAAGAAAGAAGCCGCGGTTTGAACTCGTTTTGCGTGCGGCTGCGGAGCGGTCTGTTACTGTTTGAGAAGGGACAGAGGCCGTTGAAATAGGTCCAGAAATAGTGCGCCGAAGCCGGAGGGCGATAGAGTCGAAAACCGCAGGCGCAGCATCATTTCCGCCATCACTTCTACCTGATCAATTATCGGCCCTGCTTTTCAATTACTTTTGATAAGAGTTTTTTTGAGCAGTTTTTGCAAAAAAAGCACTCGTCAGCTGCCAGGGTTGTAGGTAAGGTGGTCCGCGAGTTTAAATAAAAAAGGCCACGAGTTTTTTTTCAAGTGTGTAGAACTGCAGAGCATGATCAGTTTCACTCGAGTCAACAGTTATTTCGAAAGTTAGCAAAAACAATCTCAAATTTCGAGAGAAACATGCTTAATGAGTTCGGAAATTTCAATTCTTCCTTCTTTTTTTTTTAAAGTTTTTTCATTTCTTCGTTCCCCTATTACTCTCATAGTTTTCCGCTTAAGATAGTTTTTCTTACCCTTCTTATGCTTGGTATCCAAGTCTCAAAAATGTATGATAACATAAAATTTTTCCATAACGTAATATATTTTATAGGGCAATTAAGTTGGATAGGTTGTAAATTTTTTTATTTTCTTTCAATCCATGCTTCAAATTTCTATTTATTTCGATGTGTTCGAGGTATTACTTTCATATTTTGTAGACCACGAATATCGGGGATATCCTACTAGTCTTATCATGATTTAATGAAAGATTTAGTATTTCAAGCCACTTGGTTTGCGTTTTGTCACAAATAGAAAGTTGAAATGTTTGTTTAATACCAAAAATTGAAAGATTTCCCAACAAACAAGTCTTGAGATCCTCACAATTAGAAAAAAAAATCATTCAAAATCAAGATATTGTTTAATGCGTGATTAATATGAAAAATAAGCTCATCTCCATCCTGAGTTTTCAGAAAGAAACGAAATGAACGGGCTGTTGCACATGCACGCTCCGGCGGTGAAGAAGCTTCTGGGGTGGAAAATCGGCGACGACGAGGAAAAGTGGGCCGAAAGAGCCATCGAGGCGCTCGTAAAGAAACTCAAAAAGAAAAAATCTGCTTGTGGTAAGTCGAAGTTAAAATTTTTTGAGATAATTCAATTTCTTCTTAGTTCTTTTAATTTTTGCCGACTGAACAATCATGACTGCTTTTAAAATGGTAGCTTCTTTCATGAGAAAATGAAAAATTTACAACAGGCTCTCTGGAAGATCTCGAGTTTGCACTAGCGAACCCCGGCATTCCCTCGAGATGCGTCACGATTCCTAAAAGCCTTGACGGGCGATTACAGGTTTATTCCCTTCCTCAATTGTTCTAATCACAAAGGAAACGTTCCAGGTTTCGCACAAAAAAGGTCTTCCTCACGTTATTTATTGCCGTGTTTGGCGGTGGCCTGACGTCGTTTCGCATCAGGTTCTCTTTAAATTCAAAAAAGTTCGAGAATTTCGCTTTGTGTCCGTTGCTTGCTTGGTTACGAGTTACGAATTGACAAGTTTATTCAGTCTTCAGAGAAGATTTAGTGCTGAATCATATTATAAATTAAGAAGCATTTTCCTTGTCATGAAACTGTCCCATACTTGCATGGGGCGCACGGCGTTCTTTTGACGACGCCCCTCCCACAATTTCCGTAATATTTGACGTCTTTTGTGCATACACAGAACGACGCTAACTCGCATACTCATTAAATTCAAAAATAATTTTTTTCCTCGAAAAATAGCGTTTTTTCAAAACTATTGCCGTGTTCAAAGTAATTTCCGCGAAATGCAAAATGGTCTCTGACCCTCCAAAATTTAGTTATCTTTCTCTTTCTCTGACAGCTATTTTGAATTTCGCGGAATTACTTTGAACACGGCATATAGACGTGGAAAAAATCGATCCTTTCACAATTCCTTTTCTAGTTGACAAAAAACATTTGGGTGAAAGTTTTTCTTATTCTCTGAACACTTTCATACCTTTCATCCTCAAAATTGGTTAAAGTCCTTTTTTTGAGTGAAAAACGTGGAGTTTTGTGCCAAAAATGACTTATTGTGGTTCTACGTGTCTTTCCCGACTTATTGAAAATTAAAAAAAAGTTTTCTTTACAGATTTAGTTTAGTTCATCCACCTAGTGGTATTTTTTCTCCTCTGCAACATCGCCATACCATTCTGATGTTGCGAAAATGAAGAGATTGATTGATTCGAATAAAAAATTTAATTTGACACTGAAAATGTTGCTGAAAGGCTTTTTTTTTGCTTTAAAGGGAAAATTTGGTCAAAACACAGCAGTTAATATTGAAAATTGAAAAAAAAAGTTCCTTCGCATTTTGCTGTCGCAATAAAAAATAATTACCGTAAATCAGTACGAAACAGATAAAGATACAACTGAAATAAACATGAAAAATCACGTTAAGCACTTGAGCAACAAGAAATTCAAATGTTCGCGCGCAAGCTGTCTACCGTAAATCTAGGTGGAGCAACCCTTCCAAGCCGCTCCACATTTTCAAAAATTTTACATTTTCTTCCACTACGCAGAACGCCGTGGGCGGACTTCCGGAGGAGATAAACTGTTTTAGGAGCTGCGGGCGATCCCCGAGTGCAGTTTCCCTTATGAAACGAGCAGCAAAACGCAGCACATTTGCATAAATCCGTACCACTATCAAAGGGTCCAGCGGCTCACTCAGTCGCCGTTTCTCCCTTCTTACGCTGCCTCTTCGCCTCAGTCGATTCCTTCTCCACACGCCTCAGGTACCACTTTGAAGTCTGATTTTTTTTTCTGCTTAGTATTTTATTATTTTGGGTTCTTTCGAAAGAGCTGATCCGCTTCATCGCTTAATAACTTTTTTTTTCCATTTTTTATAATGTCTCAATAAAAGCTTGAATCTTATAGGGATTGTCTTTCAAAAATAAATGTTGAATTTTTCGGAGTTAGGTCTTTTCTTTTTGATTCTTACGAAAGTAATGTGAATAATATTTATTTGAAGTTGTTCGGAGAGTTTCAAGTTCAATGAAAAAAATGTATGCAGTTTTATTATAAATCCTATATTTCACCCAATTTCAACATCAAAAAAACTTTTTAAAAAGAAAAAAAGCTTATCATTGCAAGTCCAACAGGACAATTCCGAAATTTGTTCGTTGTGGAGGAAGGAAAGACCTTTCAGGCGCCAGCTGGTTATCTTTATAATTCAGTATTTTGGTAGTGTTCGCCCTGTGTATTTAAGTGACGTGTTGAAGTGTAGGGAAGTCATAAAAGTTTTCTTTGTTCCAGGTGCCTGGGCGTCTTCTTCAGTTTCCCGGGCCACATCTTGTGCCAGCTCGCCTAGTCCGTCTTTGTTCTCAGAGGACGGCGATGCAGTGAGATTTTTTTTTTTGGTTTTCATCTTAATCCTCCTTTCAACAAAAATAGGCATTTGAAGAGCTTAGAGGGTGAATTAATCCTAGGAAATCTAGGCTCCGAGCACGAAGAACTGTTCCATTATATCTCCAAACTGCTGGGCGACCATCTCCTACTACGAACTTAACACCAGAGTCGGCGAGCTGTTCAAGGCAAGTTTAATTTTTTCCTTTTTCCAACTTTTCCGGCTGACTTCCTCATTCAGTTGAATAACCGATGTGTGACTGTCGATGGGTACACGGATCCTTCAAATTGCGATCATCGGTGATTTTGCCATTTCTTTTCGTTGATTTAACAAATCGATATTCAGAATTTGCCTTGGTCAAATCACAAATGTCAACAGGAATTCGACCATTGAAAATACTAGAAAACATATTGGAAGAGGTTTTTTTTCGCTTTCTGTTCTCGCAATTTAGTATCTTTTTCTTCAGGGTTACGATTAGAACTAATGGATAACAATAACGTTTTTGTTGTAAATTTGTCCGACGCTCCGATTTTCATCCAGTCTCGGAACGCAAATATCGCAATCAATCAGGCACCCACAAAGGTTTTTTTTAGTGAAAAATTGAATTTCAAATTAATTTTTAGGTCTGTCGAGTTCCTCCTCAACATACAATGTGCGTCTTCGATTTTAATCTTTTCTACCAGGTTTTCACAATGAAATTCTCAATATTGAAATAAAAAATTAAGATGTTGGATAGGACGCAAAACGGAGAACTCAGTGAGCTGCACGACCTTAACAAAATGTGTTTCATCAGGATTTCCTTCGTCAAGGTTCTTTGATATTGAAGTTCTTCTATAGTATTTTGTTTTGAATTATGTCATAGTAGTTATTTTTTTTTTTTTTTCCGAATAACCTAAGAAAAATCAGTTCTAAGCCTTTTTCCGAACATTCTTGGCGGTTCTTTTTTTCAGTAGTTTACGGCTCTTCGCAGATAATTGTTTTCTAGTTTGGGGACTACCTACCACAGATCAGATCTGCAATGAGCCATTTCCTTTGTCAGAAAAGTTTTTTTTCGAATTTTATAATTTCTATCAATTCAAGATAATTTATTGGTCAAAACAATAAATACCAAATTTTTTATGAAGAGGACCGATAAAGTTCGAATGATTTTTCTTGGTAATTTCATTTTGACGACCTCAGGGCTGGGGCGACGACTACCCTCGCCAAGACGTCACATCGACGCCGTGCTGGCTCGAACTCCGACTTCACGTTCCCTTGGCGGTCCGTTTCCTTTCATTTATGAATATATCCCGCCTTTTCAGTGGATCGATCAAACTCTTCCACAGGCGCGGATGCCAGAGAACGAGCCGACGTCCGTCTCCTGAATCTGCGCATTCTCTCGTTTTGTACACTCCACCGCGACGCGTTCCATAAACACTTTCTTGAAACTTTAATTATGAATGTAAATCCTCGATAATAAAATGATTGAGATATGAGAGATTAGAGAGCGGGATTGCCGACTGGCAGAACACTCGAAAATCCGCCGCCCATCACACTTCGCACGTTCTTCCACCACGATCCAGTGTCGTACCTCTGCGAAAAAAATTGTTTTTGCTTTTAAAAAAATTTTTTTATCTAAATCAAACTAATTGACTTTAAACAGGCCTGAAAGCCACACGTTTGGATAAAAAAGTCGTAATCTAAAGATTGAAGAAAATGAAAAAAAAAAACATCTATAAATTATCTCGATTGGAGGCTCTTCTTCAAAGCGATGTTCAGTAACTTTTTTTTTACCTTGGAACAAGTAAAATCATGAAATGAACGTAGTGAACTATGAAGAAAACCCCCAACTCACGTCATCGTCGCGAGCTTCTTCGATAATTGTCATATTTCTGAGCAAATTGGGTATTTGATAACGCAGAAGGTACAGGACAGACATCCCAACGACCTGAAAATTGCTGCTTTTCCTCCCTTCCAAAGTTCTGACCACAGCGTTGCTGACGCCACTCGCCATCGAGTGCTCCTCGCCGGTCAGTTCGCAGAAGTTCCAACAGCAAACGAGCGCCTGGAAACAATCGAGTCCAGCTGCGCCGAGGCAATAAAAACCGCCACTATCTGACCTATTCGCGGGTTGCCAACTTTGCTAGGGATCTGCGAAAGTTCAACCCCAATACATACAAAAAACTGATCGCAAAGACCGACCATAGGGACCTTTCCAGACGGCTCTTTTGTGAGCCCATTTTTCTAAGCTTTTTCAAAACCTTCGACAGAACGCTCCAGCCGTGATAGACGGTAAAAACGGCGAGAACCAACGGCCAAAGAAGAAACAAGAGGAAGAACTTGTGGTTTTGCTGATGGATGCATGTCTGCAGCACAGGACAGTGGTGGTCCATCCGAGCCACGCATCTTTTGCAAACCTGAAACCTCTTGCCATTCGCAAGTTCTCCCTCAGAACTGACACTGCAATGATGAGCTCTGTCGGGCTTCGGAAACTCGCATTTCTTGCAGTAGTTCTGCAGTTGGTGTTTGTGTACTTTTTGTGTATGATTCAAGAGTTATCTTCTCTCAAATTTCATTCAATAAACATCTTTCAAAACCTTGTGTTTCTGCTTTTCAGCGAGCTGGATTTTTCGCGGAGGGGTGAACACCTTAATTTGTGATTTTCCTTGACCAAATCAGCACGTTTGTACCGTTGAAAACCAAGAGCAAATTATAACGATCCATAAAAAATGGAAAAAAAGAAGCGAGCCTCGACCGAACCCTTCATAGCTTCTCGAAGCGAACAAAACAACTATCACCTAGAAAAAACGCTCTTTTTGGAAAGATCTCTGTAGCCATTTTCATGGCACGTTTCTTCTAACAATCCAAATATTTCTGTTTGAACTTTCTTTTTCAGAGATACAAGCAAGGAAGCTTTTCTCATCCATCTGAAAACTGTTTGCAGTTCAGAGCTTCTGAATGAACCGAGGAAACCGTGCATTTTGATGCAAGAGGAATGCTTTTCTGTGGAACCCGCCTGAAACCAGAAGGCGAAGGCCAGAGGCCAACCGACGACCACGAGCCACCATTTCGGCTGGCAGCGCATCTCGGCAGCCGAAATCAGAAATGAGATGAGATCTCGAAGCGTCACGTTCAAATCCCTTAAGTGTTTTGTTTGATTTCAGCGAAAACCGACGGCTGAAAGCTTTCACTGTCCACCGCAAACATTATGCTCTCGCGCCCTCAGGGCAAATCGCCCATTCTGTCTCCCGAACGCCGTTCAATCACCCAGATTTCTCGCATTTTCTTCTTCTTATCGTACATCTTTGTTTTGTCTGTCTTCTTCATGCGATCCCTCCAATTTCGTTTCTTTTTTCAAATTCTAATTACACCGATCTTCACAAATCTTTTTTTTCTCAAGCCTTCTATCAAAAATTTTTGGCGACTCGAAATTTTTCTCAACTCAAAACACTGGACTGTTTCAAATAACGTAACCCATGAAAACTCTTTTTTTTTTCTTTAAATAACCAACAAAGAAATTTCGCTATCACCCAAAATAATCGCCTATATACATATATTTATATATCGCAGCAAGCCGCAAGCGAGTGTTTTTTTGAATATTCGTTTGGATGTCTTCTCTACGTGTTTTCAGGTTGATTATTTCGAAATATTCCACTCTAACTGTAACTGTTTTTTAATTTTCTTGAAGTTCTTACCAAGTTCTGGCTAGTTTTTTTTTTTCAAAAGCTTCTTATTAATAAACATTAAAACTCTGAAAAATCCTCGGAGCCCGAAGACGTCCTGGCTGCACGAGAATAGACTGTAGTTTGGCTCTTCTCTCATTCGCCATCGGTGAGAGAGAATCGCCCACGATGACTAATCTCGAGTTTTTCGAAACAGGTTACAGCGTAAGAAGGAAATTTCGCAGCTGTTGCGCTACAGCGTGGGTACGGCCGTTCGGTCCGTTTTTGCTCTTTTCTTCTTTGCTCGGCGAGTCCTCGACGCGGAGTCCGCCTCTCGCCACCGCCCCTTCGTTTTCTTGCTTCTTCTCGTGTTTTTGAGACTTTTCTTGGAAATATACTAACTTTAGATGCATCAACCCAGTTCTGAACCGTACTGAACTCAAAAAGAGCTGAATTTTACTTTCTCAAGAGATGAAAACGTCATTAAGATTTCGCCAACAAGTTTTTAGAGCATCGAAAATATTGTGAAAAAAATTGTAAATCCATTACATGATATTTTCACTTGTTCTTATAAATGAAGCGAGTTCAAAAGATCACTTTAAAAAAATGGCTGAAATTCGAGCAGTTCACTCAACTTTTTCTTATCTACTTTTTCTTGCATTATTGTAAAAAAAGATGATTTTAACTCGAACTTGAAAAATAATCATGACTTTTTCCATCGAGCCCAGAATTTTCCAATTAGAAGTGTCAACTTCAAAACGGGTTTTGTAGATCTCTGAGAAAGAAAAATGAGAAATTGAAGCTTTTTAATTTGAAGCCGTTTTGGTAGTTAATAAAATAAAACGAGGTTCCAGTAAAAACCACTTCAAATGAGAAAACCCCAACAGATTTTGAGCCTCTCCTTGCAAATCTCCTTCTTCTTGTATTTCTTCCTTATCTGTTTCGAAAGCAGTACTACATCGCGGCGCTTGGTTCCGATGTGTTGCCGACGAAATTTTCTTTTGTTTTCGACCCTCTCGCATTATTTCGTCTTTTTGCCTAGCATTCTTTTTATAAATAAATGTTGGCATAAATGAGTCACGACGTGGGCCTCGGGCCGCCTTTCTCATGCACATCGACGTGCCTTCCTTCTTCAGAACGATGCCCTTCAAGCCGATCGAGCACCCCAAGTGTCCCAAGTGCGGCAAGTCCGTCTACGCCGCCGAGGAGATGTGTGCCGGCGGCTACAAATGGCACAAGTTCTGCTTCAAGTGCAGTTCGTTTCTTTCTAATTCTGATCAGAAACTTTGTATCAAAAAGTCTGAGCTGGCCTTAATTGAGTTGAAGAAATGATCTCATCGTTTTTTGAATTACATGAGTTTTCACAAAAACATGAGAAAACGTGAACACGTTTTTTGGCTCACATAAAAACCAAACTCTCACTAATCATGGTAAGCCTATATTGATCGTCACATGAAGATAGTCAATCAATCAATTTTTTAGTCTTCATAGACGTTATCGACTAAGAAGTTAACAGGAACTTTTTTAAGCAAGTCCTGGAAAATAATGAGTTTTTCTATAGGATAAGCATGCAACGTCTACAGAATATTCTTCATTTTCTTTTCAGACTTTCCTTTCTATTTTTTCTCAGCTTTTTTCAAAAAATCAATAATTTTTGCCATCGAGCGGATGTGTGCTTTACGTGTGTCTGCGTGTGTTTGTTAATGTTGGTGTCTTCGTAGCGCAAGCGTAAAAACCAAGTCTGAGAAAGTCTAGGAATTTCAAGTTTTTAAACATCACATAGGTGACATACCTCCGAAACAGAGCCAAAGTCTCTCGTCACGTTACGTGGAATAAAATGGATATATACTTCAGAGTAAAAAAAAAACTTCAAAAAAAAGCAGCAGCATATTTCGAATAATCGAATTATTCCTAATAATTCCAAGCAATAACTCAATAGAACTCGTGGTGATTTTCATCAATAATTAAAAAAGAGCCTATGTTCTACTTCCTAAAACTCACATTTACTGAATCTCAAATCAAATTGAAATTTCGACGGTAAAATATTTTATCATTTGTCGACTTTGTTTTATTGAATTTTCTGGTCCTTTTTCTCAGTCGCCCACAGCGGCTGTTCTTTTGTTAGACGGAGAACGAGGACTCTCTTACTAGAGTGGAGGCTAACTGATTGGAAGTGAGATATAGTCAATTCAGGTCCTGGTGAATGAATTATGAAAACAAAATATATCTGAATAGCTAAATTTTTGAAACATTGGAAAAAGCGCGTGCGAGGCCGACAATTATTGAGGCATGTGCAACAAGCTGCTCGATTCGATGAGCTGCTGCGAGCATCAGGCGCAGCTCTTCTGCAGACAGTGTCACTGCCGTCGCTACGGTCCCAAGGTCTGTGTCGGGAGCGCCTGAGAGCCAACCGTCGGTTGACCTAGGGCGTCGGCTTTGGAATCGGCGCCGGAAGCCTCACGATGGACACCGGGGAGCAGTTCGGCAACAAGGAAGTCGACATGACGTGCGCTTTATTTTTTCCTGTTTTTATCTTTACCTCTAACACGTTCGAGTGGTCCCTGAAGCGATGTCGGAACTGTCTCTTGCTTGATTTGATCGTCGAACAAAGTCCACGGAAGCCATTTGTGTTAACAAAAGACTGCTCTAGTTTTTTTTATCTTTCCTAATAACAGCTGCTTTGTGTGTTTTGCTTCTCCCTCACATTTGCTTTGCGTTTCTTGGTTTTTTGTTTTGGTACCGACTGAGCCGCAGCAAAAAAAAGAGGTGCTATAATAGATATTGAAATTCTTCCCTGAGGTGTCAAAAATTAGCCAAATTAAATTGCTGAAAGTAAAACTAAGAGCAAAAAGCGACCTTTCCTGTTGCTTGGTAGAAATTTTTATACAAACAACCTAAACCCTTCCAGCAGTTTTCCGGAGTAATTACTTGATTATATCATTTATGAGAATTATTTTAAAGAAATATTTTCTACGGCCCATGACAATACAGCAACCCCTGTGGGGGACTTTTCTTGTCACGAAAATGACATCTGAAATTGAAAGTGAACATAACCAGAAGTTGAAAATTAGTGAAAGTAATTCAAAATCTTGTCAAAATTAACTTTTTGAGAAATCTTCTCTCTAAGCTGGTATTTTTGAGAGAGCCTCCATGTATCCATTTGAAACTTTAATGAAATTTGAACTTCAAATTCGTAGTAGGTGAGAAATTTTATAAACAAAAAGCCTGGCCAAAAATGAATGAAAGGAATGGGTGGAGGTTACAGACATGTGCAACAAGCTGCTAGACTCGACGACGGTGGCACCACATGAGAACGAGCTGTACTGCAAGCAGTGCCACGGTCGCAAGTACGGCCCCAAGGGGGTCGGATTCGGCCTCGGCGCCGGTTGTCTCACTACCGACAGTGGCGAGAAGTTCGGCGGCACAAAGCAAATGTGAATCCCCTCACTTTTCCCCATTCTTTGGTTTCTCAAAAAGCGAGTAGTTTTCGTTGTATTTCTTTCATTTTATCCGCCCACGGTTCCCTTCTGCTTGCTATCGCTGGAGCTTTTCTTTAAACCTCTGACACTTTGACAGCTTTTTATCAACTTTTGAGTTTGTTCTAATCATCAAGGAGCTTTTCAATGAGCAAAGAGTGACCGTAGAACTGATAGACTTACTTTTCCGCTGCACGCAAGCTCCCTCTACACTGATTATTAGACAGAACTAACCGATCCGTTTGTTTCAGAAACCGACCGATGACCGCCGAAGCCTTCACCGCGCCGATTAACCCTTCGCACAGTTAGACAGCCTTCTCTCCTCCATTCCCTCATTTTTTTTTCTTTCATTCTTACTATTCACAAGTATAAATGTTTGACGCTTTGATGACTTCATGTGAAAACGAGGCAAATAAATAAATTTACTTGGGTTACAAATCGGTAACGATTCGCTTGTTGGTCGGCCGTCGCGCCTCGAACCGAGGTATCCGACTTGGCTGAAAACCAGAGAAGGTTCGGGCAAGTAGGAAGCCAAACAAACCTCGTTTTGTTGTGAAAAGCTCGTCGCCGCAGTCGTTGGTGGGGGCTGAAAGTCAAAACTTCCCTCATTAAACAATGATCAAAAAACTTGAGCGGATGCTTTTTATATATTTTTTTTCAAAAAATTTCGAAAGCAGCTTACATTTGGGGGAATGCTGGGTCGAGGGATCCTTGACGCTGAAAAATGTTCCAGAATTTCTGGTCTTTTTTCTGATCTCTGGAAATAGTGACTGAGGTTTCGAAATCTCAAAATGGGATTACCGACTGTATGTCGCTATTTCCCACTGTGATGTTTGTCACGTGGCCGTAGCTCGTGGACCTGTAAAAAAAAAAGAGCTCATCTCCTCTTTCCGGAAGATTTTTCGTCGTGACGACTAAGGTTCGAAGAAAACCTACATGAACAGTATCAAAATGTCTTCCAAAGCTTTCAAGTTCACTAAATTAATAAATTAACTATTATATACAGTCACCAACTTTTTATCATCGAAGCTCTCAAAGCAGAATCAGACCGACCTTGTGGGAGGAGTGAAGTCTTGGGAAATGTCTTTTGGGAGTCCGACGACAGGGATCTGCGAGGACCTCATCCGCGGCTCTTCCAAGGGTTCCGCCACGTCAGGAACTCTTTTCTGTTGCAGAGAGTTTTCGATCTGCAACTTGATCCTTCCGTTTTTTTTCAACTTGACAGCTTCTGTCTCGATTATTAACGATAATCAATGTCATCAAAAATATATTGAAATATCTTATACACTTTTAAAAATATTATTTAAAGCTATTTCGCGGTTTTTTTTTACGTGGGAAAGAAGCCTTATTTGAGAAGCAAGATTGGTAAATATTACCACGATTTGCACTGGGTCAAAATCAAAAACGGAGATTAGTGAGTGAAAAACAATAGATTTACCTGCTGACGGATTTCGGAGCGTCGAGCTTCTCGCGCGTTGGCGTGGCTCTGTCTGGCGCCGTACCGTTGCGAAGGCCGTCGTTCGAAAGTCGAAGTGGACCGCCGCGAGAGCCGCGCGCCCTCCTTGTGGATAGTTTCGTACTCGGTCCGGCCCCTTAATCGGAAACTTCTTCTTGGACTGAAACTCCACAGTTAATTTAATTCAATTTATTCAGACATCAGAGTAATCAAAAAGGCTCTGCTGAATCCTGGTAGATTTGAAGAGCTCCTTGTTGTTGCGCGCAACGGTCGACCAATTCTCCCCAAGAACGCTTCGGAAGTCATCTCGCCAACGTGCTCGTGGTCGTCCAACAGATCTTTTCTTCTCCCAGGGCCGCCATTCTACGATCTTCTTTGCCCACGTTTCTTCTCCCGTCACGATTTTCTTTGCGAAGAACCATTTTCTTCTTGTTGCAACCATTCGAGCATCACGCATCTTCAATCTTTCGTGGAGCCAACTGTTTGATCTTCTATCCATTAGAGTCACACCAAGCATTCTTCTCATCATCTTCCTCTGTGCTGTGGCTAACAGAGGAAGATGATGAGCACAGTTACCTGTATTTGAAAGTGCTGCCCAGTCGGAAGAGCTGCGACCTTTGCGAACTCGTCGTCGGCCTCGCTTTCAACCGGAAAAACGTGTGCTGCTCGATGGCACACTTCCAAAAGTGTTTGCAGGCCTTTTCAGAGGTCAAATTGAAAACAAAAGTGTGCAGCTGGATCTGACCGTTGTTCTGAACTTTTTTTGGTTTTTTGCACTTATTTTTGAAAAGGTAACCGATTGATCAGCGTCTTCTTCGACGACCAACGTGATTCTCTTGTTGCGAAAGTTGAGCTTCTGCAGCTTTTCCCAGAGGAAAAGACCGATCTTCTGCTCACCGTCGAACACGAGCATTCCCTGCGGCGTCAGACCAAGGTGGTAACTACAGATCTCTCGGTGAAAATCGAGAGAATCCAAACTCACGTGTTGCCATCCTTTCCTTCGACAACGTGCATGTCCACGCCGTACATGTCCAAATACCGAGCTCTGTTCAGAAAGTTCATCTCTGCCTGAGCTGGCGTTTGACCTCTGGAAGCGCCAACGCTTTATCGGAAAAATGAGGGGAAAGTCACTTGCAAGCCTTGAACCGCTCGAGAATCTCGACCTCCATCTTCTCATCTTGTTCTGGATGGAACCGGAACTCGGAGACAAACAAGGCTGTGTGTTCCATAGGATTGTAATCTCCCAGCTCGGCTGCAGTTTTACAATAGTCACATCAGAAATGGAAGGGGAAACTAACACTGAAGAGCATAGGCGGCGAGTTCTACAGCGACAGGTCGGCTGCAAGGAAGTCTGCCTTGGGCAATATCCTGTTTGAGCTGCAGGAAGAACTGGTATCTGAGCACTTTTCGTTCAGAAAAAACCAAAAGATGAGCCACACCTGGTGAGCTCTTCCTTCAGGTTGCTGCCGGGCTCGCACGTGTAGAACTTGACTTTGAACCGGAGTGTGTAAGGTGGACCAATGTCCACCTGCTTCACTACTTTCTTTGTCGGATCCAGCCAGTGCTGCAGTAAAAAAAAACATAAATCTACATTGCGCGAAAAACGTTGGCTTTCACTCGATTCATCAAAAAAAGCTCGTTCAATTAAATGATGAGAGAGAAACTAGCACACAGTAGAAAACTATCGTAACGGTAAACATGAAAACTGTGTTTCTGTTTTCCACTGCCAAACCTGGACATTGTAGTGATCGGTGAATCGAAGTCCAAAATAATCGCGTTCCTCGAGGTCCAACGAGTAGAAAACCTCGTCGTAAAGTTCACTCCCCAGAGCATTTCGCTTCAAATCATGAATAAATTTTTGCTTTTCCATGAGGATTTTGAGCCTAATGCAAAAGCTTCTCAAAGAGAAACTTTTAAGTGGCGTAACCAAAACTTTTGAACATGCAAAAAAGTTTTAAAACAGTTTTTAATCTAATTCTTGCTCAATCAAAAGCAATACATCAATTAAAGAGAAACAATTTTTCTTTTAACTCTTGAAACTTGCCGCACTTGATACCATATCAATGTTCGATAAAAGTTCAGTAATTTTTAAATTTTAAAAATGAAGGAAAATAGACTTATTCTCGGACGATTAGTCTGATTTGTTTACAGAAAACTTAAAAAATAGACTATGCAGAATTAAAATTTTGAAAAATATTCTGTTTACTTTTAGAAGTTGTACGTGTTCTCTTGAAGCCTTCACGGAAAATTATCTTTGAAAAATATTCTCTTTCAATTATTAGACACAGCTTTCTGGACATACACTCTTCAATTCTTGGTTGATTGAAAAAATAGAAAATTGTTTAAGCACGAATTTTCTTTTTTTGGAAAAATTTAAAAACACACAAAAAGCATAACTTTTACAAAGACTGGGAGAAATTTTAAAAAGAAGAAAAAAAAAAAGAAATAAAACTGGTAAATACGCCAACACCTTAATATGACTGTTTCAAATATGTTGTTTTTTCGTGCATTTTACGACTTTTATTCGCAGAAAAGGTGAGAAAGAAAAGAACAACTGGTTTCCGTCTCTCCATCGCTACAAAAATGACTGTCCAAAACAGAGGACTTTTATTAGATGTATTCATAAGAAAAGATAACGTTGATCAGTTTATCTGTCTGACACGGTTCAGAGGAAAAAGCTAATGTGCCTTTCAAGCGTCTATTTAATTTTAAGTTGCAAGTTTTGGCTTCAATATTTTTATTCAACATTCTCTTTCAAATTTATCAACTGGAATACTTTGAAAGGCTCACCGAGATAACGATGTTGAGGTGAGTTCCGTCGAGCAGGAGTATCTTGCACATGGCGAAGCGTTTGTGGTCCAGCTTGCTGGAGGTCGAGTCGCCGGCCATCGGAGCCCGAACCACTGAGCCGCGACGCAGCCGCGCCGACAGACTCCGGAATAACCACGACATCTGAGTAATGCGCCCTGTTGACCAATCGATAAGGCTGATAACCCCACTTCCTCCTACTTGGCCGCCTATCGGCACTGCCGACTCCAACTCAAGATTTTCGATCAGCAAAATGAACTTTTCGCTGATTATGTCTTAAAATTTCATTTTTTTTTCTCATGGACTCACTTTTTCTGAAGGAAAAGAAAATGAAAAGTGAAACCTCTTTTGACTTTAAAAAAAACATCTATCAAAATATACATTCAAGAAAAATATGACAGGTCCCAAAATCCTGTGAGCCACGAAGAAAAAAGAGAATGGACAATGAAGTTCAAAGATCTGGAGATAAAAAAATTATAGTTTTTTTGGAAGTCTGAAAAATAAGCTGCATTTTTCAAAATTTCTGAAGAAATAATTATCACAATTTTATCTACATTGAGTTCAAAAAGCGAGAAATAAACATTCTCAATTTTGAAAAAAAAAATGTTGCTTTTTGCGCTATATTTTCGCCATTCTGTCTGAAATCCCAAGAATAAAAGTAAAAATAGGATAAGAGCTGAAAATGTTCGAGATTTCTGCTCATGTTCTTTAACTACTCGAAGCTCTCACTTGCGGCAAAGAGTCACTACGGGGCCGTTCCACGTCTTCTGATTGCATTGCAGTTATAATCACTCACTAAAGAGTAGGGCAGAAAAATAAAATGAATGGGAATGAATGGAAATGTTTAGCCCAAGCACTTTTTTGTTTGCGCACACTTTCTTTTTGCGATTGCAAACATTTCGATTCAGCCCAAAAAGGAAACAAATCGATTCGCTTCAAAAGAACGAATGTGCCAGAAATTTCAAATGCGAGGGAGATTTTTGAATGAATCGAAATGGCGGATCTTGAAAGTTATCGAGAATTCAAACGTTTAATAGAAAGTTAATCTTTTTTTTTCGTTGATTAGTTCGAAAAATAAAGTTTTTCGGAGAGTTCGAAAAGGTTTTTCATGCAATGTCAACTTGAGAAATTTCATAAACTCGAAAAACCTCATTTTTTTTAAAAAAATTAATAAAAAGAAAAACATAGAAAAACGAAAAAAAGGAACCTTTCTTTTGTTTTTTTATGAAATTTCGCCGCTTTATCGAATCATTTTTGGGGTGCCACTTCATCCGGTCGAGATTCCTGTAATTTTTAAGATATTGTTTGTTGAAAAAAATAACAACAAAAAAACATTCCATAAATTAAAAAAAAAATTTGGATGATGCTGAAATTTTTAAAATTTGTACACTATTATCAAATGTGTAACGAAACAAGCAAACTTTTTAGCAGAAAACGATTTTAAGAGCTAAACCATGTGAAAGTTCATTTTGATAATTTCGTATGAGAGCTCAATAAAATGTAGGGGTCAAAAAATGTAGCAGCTGCTTCCAAAAAAACATTTTTTTTTTCGGACTACAGTGAATCATTTCCAGATGGTCCACAGACATTCGCGATTCATTTGCAGAAGTTTCAACTCGGCAAATTTTCAAGGTTACATGGAAACTTTTATCAGTCACCAAAGATAGGACAAGTATTATTTCAATTTGGAAAATTATTTAGGAAACAGTTTTCTGAGGGGAAATGAATGACGTCATTGAAATTAAATGTCGGGATTTTGGATTGACCGCTTACGTGAAAGGAACGACGGAGTGGACGCGTGCCTGTGCGCGCGCGAGAAAATCGGACCAGGTAGGACAGAAAAAGAAGAAGAGGAAGAAAGGTGCGCGAAGCAAGGTCAGACATCGGCCATATGTGGCTGCCAGCCTCCTCTCATTAGCCTCGGCGGCCTTTATCTCTCTGGTCCAGGTGATTTCTGGGCCAGGTGATCGTCTTCCGGCTTCCTGACGCAAAAACGTGTGACCATGGCGACTGTGACAAGTCGCTGGGTCTTCGGAAGAGACCCCAGTTGGCCCAATCAAAAGTTGAAAGATCATTGAGCTTCGATAGTCTCGAAATATCAAAGTTCGATTACTTCTACTCGTTTGGTTTTATATTTTGGTAGTTATAAATAATCTTTTACCGTATTTTATCAAAAAAATTTTCTGTCAGGCGGCTCTTATCGAAATCAGCTGAGCTGCGTAGGCTATTGAGAACAAAAATTGCCGAAAACTGGAGATTGAGGAGCCCTCGACTCTTAAAAAAAAGATCTTCCTTTCTATTCGTCTCTATTTCGTCAAAGAATAATTCGACTCTAAAAACATCTCATAAATAATTTCAACAGCCTTTATGAAGTAGCTCAATAAATAAGTAGGTATCCCATATTATTCGAAAATTGGTCTCATTTTACTTATCCTGTTTTCATATAAGGCGATGGATACTTATTTGACTTTAAGAGCATGGCGAACTCTTGACCTAGGTTGCCTTCGATTCACGTCATTATCTAGATAGTTAGGCGACGTTTAAAGAAAAAAGCACGCCTTCCATTCTCGTCTTAAGCTTTAGATAAATTTTGAGAAAAAAATAGATCATGGGAATATCAAGTTTTTTTTGAATACGTAAGAATTTTTCCCATTTTGTTTTAGTCGAGTTATCATTCCTCCAAGTGGAACTTCTACGTTCGCACTTAAGAAAAAAAGTTTTTCTGACTCGTTGAGGCGGAAAATCAGGGCGCATCATCAGGGTGCACTAAAGGACGCTTCAGCGAAATTCCCTCAGACTGTGCTTTTTGTAATTTTCAAAAAAAAAAAAAAAACACTATCGACGAGCTGAATTTTGTAACGTGGAAAATTATTTTCTTTTGTGAGCGTGTCTATACTCGAGAAAAGCCGGAATAGTGGGCGTTAAAAGGGAGAGGCTCAAAAAAGCCGAAAAAAGGCAGCAAAAAGGGTACCTTTATCAAGGCTACCATTTTTCTAGAATTTCAAAGATGGTGGAAAAGGGGAGACGCAAAAATGGTGCATAAGAGCCGAAGAAATGGCGCGAAAGGCAGCAAAAAAGGAGCTTCTGTCACCTTAAAAGGAAAATTTCTATGGAGCTTTTTTCGATCCTTCCACTTCGCGTAGAAATTTGAAGAGACGGTGAATTAAAACACGTTTTGAAGAAGCTTTTTCAAGTTAAAAATTATCCAGTATCAAAGCTTGCTCTTTTTTTGTATTTTCCACAAAAAAAAACTTGAAAAAGGTGTTAGTCACCAAAAAAAATGTGCTGCCATTCACTTTCCGTTCCTTTCCCCTGCCTATTTTTTCTTTGAAGAAAGCTCCGAGTTCTTTGGCTAATTCAAAGAAGAGGAAAGAATGGGGATCGTTCTTATGCGGTGGAGGAAATGCTATTTATAGCTGCGAAATGGGACCTCCTCGTATTCAATTTCCTTCTTTCATTGAAAAAAAACTGTCAGAAATGACCTCGAAAATAAAAATAAGCTCTGTATGATTACTGACCGATCACGAACATTAAAAAAATAGGTTTTGATAGAATAAGTTCAAACGGATCAAGGCAGAAAATCAAACAGTTTATTTTCCTGCTCTTTGCCAGCGGTAAGTCGGCTATAGAATGAATAAAACTGGAAAATATTTTTTACAAAGACTCATGCCGTGCTCAAGGTGATTCCGCAAAATCCAAAATAGCCGTTAGAGAAAGAAAAAAATAAGTAAATTTTGGAGAGTCTTAGATAATTTTGCTTTTCGCGGAAATTACTCTGAACAGGGCATCAATTTTGAAAAAAACGAAATGAAAAATACGCAAACATACTTTTATAGTATTAAAATTAACTTAATGCCGTGTTCAAAGTAATTTCGAGGAATGCAAAATGATCTCTGACTCTCCAAAATTTAGTTATGTCTTTCTTTCTCTAACCGCTGTTTTGCACTTCGCAGAATCGCTTCGAACACGGCATAAGATCTGCTAAAACTTCTGAAAAAAAGATAAACATTTTTTCTAGAAATAGGAAAGTCGAAAAATCCGTGAAGTTTACCAGAGCCAGATGTTCTTTTTTTCTCAGCTCCTTCCAGAAATTGGATGATTTTTTAACGAAAAATCAGCAACTCAACTATATCCGTTTCGGTGAACAAACTCGTGTTGAAGCTTTCTACTAAAATCTTCATATTTTTAATTTTTTGAGACTTTTAAATATTTGTTCTGAAGCTAGCTACGGAAAATTCAGTTTATATTCAATTTTATCAAATTTTAAATGTTTTCCAAGTACTCAAGTCTTTAGAAAAAAATGTGCTTTTTTTAATCTTAATAATTTATTTTGAAGATAATATAAAGGCTTTGAATTACATATTCTCAAAAGCTTTTCAGGAATTTATCAGTTATAATAACAGAAACAAAAAACCAGTCTGAAGTACATGTAACTGTAGACGCGGGAGGGCGCTAAAGCGCGTGGGCGAATCGACTTTTTACAAAAGCCAAAGAGATTCTATGGGAGAATGCCGAAGAAAATTTTCAAAAAGACCAATGATAAAAGGGAAATGATGGACGATAGGATATTGTTACGAGCCTGAGGCCGCGCGGGCGGTTGGTAATGCCGGCGAACAAAGAAGTGGACGAAGAGTGGCCGGCTGCGTAAATATTTGTGGAAACAAGACGATGGTCGCGAATCAAAACCGTCTCTTCTTCAGTTTCCACACCTTACCGAGGGACGGCGATTAGCGAGGATACACCACATGTTTGGCTCAGCACACTTTCCCTTTTCAGAACTTGCGCGAACGTGTTTTTTGTTGGCCGTTCACCGGTTTCGCTTGTCGAGTATATTTTTCAACTTACCAAAGAGTTTATAGTGTGCGACAAACAGTAGTTGTCTAGATACTTCTTTTTTAATTATTTTTACTTCATTTTCTTAGCTAACTTTTTTGATGAGTTATTTTTCAAACAAGATGAAAGCTTCTCCTCTCAAATGTGGCAAAAAAAATGATAAATGCAACTAAAATGTTTTTAAGGTTTCTAATATATTAATCCTCAAGAAAAAGCACAATTCTTAATAAGATTTTTCAATTAGAAAAATATTTACGGAGGAATAACCCGAAAAACTGAAATACTTATGCAACAAATGAAAAAAATTAAACTGAAATCAATGGATTAAAAAAATGGTGGTATAAAAAAACACCAGCGAAAATTCAAACGGCGACTTTTTCCGATTTTTTTCATATCGCTAGGGGAACTTTCCGACGGCCACCTTTCCGACGAATCTTTTTTTCCGACTATTTTTTTCTCGCTAAATTATTCGTTTTGAATCTTCCTATATAAAGTAGGTAGTTGGTTCATGATTAAAACACAAAGAAATAGGAAAAAAAATGTTGATAGATGTTTTATAAACCAAAAAATGTAAGGGAAAAAAGTCGGAAAGGGATCCGTCGGAAAGGTGGCCGTCGGAAAGTTCCCTAGCGAAATGAAAAAATCGGAAAAGTCGCCGTTTGAATGTTCGCTGGTGTTTTTTTCATACCACCTTAAAAATACCTCATAAGATCTTCTCCTCGCTTTCCCGTTTTCTTTATAGGCGCCATCATCTTCCATGTACAAAACCTTTAAAATCATGGGAATCATTGAAAAAAGGCTCACTTACCAATAGATAGTGCAAAGACGATATAGCCTACACGTTATGCAATTTATTCCAATTTGACGAATTGGAATTAATCGCGAGCAATCAATTTAGTTCCAAAAAAAAAATTTTATTAAAAACAATTTAAACTTTTGCGTCCGCAATGAGTTTGCGCAACTAACACAGTTAATCTTCCGCGCAGATCAGAGATGAACTTTTTAACTGTAGAGTTTTTACTCAACTCTCAATTTTACGGATTGGGCAGACCGAAAAAGATATTGTCTGTGACTTTTAACAACACTTCTACTAGTAGCTACTCACAGCGTTCATCAAGTTTTCAGCTCCGGTCACTTCGAAAAAGGTACTTGAATCTTTGTCTTTCGGAGAAATTCGAAGACGGGAAACTGATATATTCCCACGGCAATTGAGGAGCGCTCTGAAATGAATGTATGTCAGGCCTTAGGGGATTATGCCTGACAGGGATTGATCCGAAGCCATCTGAGGCGTGTCCAAACTATATCACGGACCCGATTATGTCGCGTCCCAGCAGCAAAACAATGCAACGAATAACGTTCCTCTTTCCTCGCCTTTTCTCTTTTTTACGAGCAAAAGAGACAAATGCGACACAAATAAACTTCTCAACTTTCTCCTACCTTCTTCTTCTTCTACGCACTCCTTCGTTATTCCTTTCTTCGTTTTGTTTTTCTTCATGCTTCTCATTCTTAATTTATACAGCGCAAGTCTAACTGCATATCTTTTTTCTCTACCTGCCTGGGCAACTTTTTTTTTATCCTGGGAACCTTATCGCGAAAATGTCAATACTTTCTACCACCGCTATGCTGTTATATAATGAGTGTAAAGGAATATTTAAACTTTTCTGTGTGCTTTTCGTGAAGTATGAAAACCAACCTAGTTAAATGAAATTGCTGAAAATGTAGGAAGTTGAAGCACTTCCCGTCAAAAGAAACTTTGTAAAAACCTTTTGTTAGCGTTCGTTAGTAATCTATTTTCTGTTTTATACGCAGTAAAAATTGATTTGATGTGATTAACGTTTCTATTTAAAATCTGAATTTAGCACTCGCAAGTGTGGCTTTATCTTCTCAGTTAGATTAAACGGAAACAGTTTTATTAAACTTTTTTTGCAAAATTCTTCGCGAATAGAATAGATTTTTTAAGAAATCTTGAAATTTCTATATCGTTGCAATTTTTTTTTTGTTGCGTGAATTCATAAAAAAAACACTTTCATCGTTTTCGAAACTTTTCCGTATCTCTTTGCGATTTATTTTTTTCAAAGGTATGATAGACTGCGGGTTCTGAAAACGTTTTCTCAAATGGTGTTTAGTGTTCATCAAATCAAAAATTTTGATTTAAACTCTTTTAATATTCAAAAAAAGTGAGTTTTTTTTAAACATGTTAACAGCATCTCGTGATTTAACAGACGGGAAAATGTCAGTATGCACTTGGCGGCAAAAGTGCGTACACCAGGAACATATCGTGTGGATTTGAAATTTCTTTGATTCAAAAACTTTGAAGAACCCCTTTGTGTTGAGCATTTAGGAATACTTATCAGTTCTTGAGAAAACCCTTGGTTTTATTTAGCTGAGCGTTCAAAATTATTTGTTCGAATAAGGCATTCTAAGAAAATTTTAGGGGACCCCGATAGGGATTTAGGCATTACGGGGCCCTAAAAGGGACCACATTTGTCCCCTTATCGGGCCCCCCCTTAACTGTACTTAGTTGTATTTAAAAAACTTGATAAACGATTTGCACGCATGTTTGAGACAGTGCTACGGTGGTCGGTCAATTTTGCGCCATCAGTTTCGGAGCCAAGAAATTTTTTTATATTGCTTTTTTTTTTTGCAATTTGTTGAGGACCTATTTCTCGAGGTTACAAGGTAAGTTACGTCAAAAAAAAAGTAAACAAGTTTCCGTTTTATTACTGAAAAACCTTACCAAACTACCGTAATACGACCGGCCACCTTGAACAGGCGTGTTTGTGACAAATTTGTGGAGTTTCAGTTATACAAATTTGTGAAGTTTCAGTTATTGAAAAAATTTGAATATTGTGGAGTTTCAGTTATACAAATTTGTGAAGTTTCAGTTATTGAAAAAAATTTGAATAACATTCAATGGTCTTCTTTATATTTTATATAATGAACTACTCTTTGAGATGCACGTGAAAGGTAAAAAAAAAGTTGTGGCGACCGTTCACGACTTCTTTCATCATTTTTTATAAATTTTCTTTGCTCTTCCGGTAGTTTGCGCTCTGAATTATAAAAAACGTCCTATATTGATCTTTTTTGTTTTGAAATTCTTACGACTGTTTGTAAATTTCTGAGCATGTTGCGAAAATATATTCTACCATGGCACATTTTCTTGACATCGGCCGTGCTAAACTATTGGAAATTTTTGAGAAGGAAATTCGCTCTTATCAGGTGTGAAGAAAGACAAGATTACCCTTTAGACGGAGAGGGTCTCATTGCATTGTTTGATTAAAGCTGTTTCAGTGTCCATTGAAGAAAGACTTCAATTAAACTAACAACCGCTATCCAATTTCGAAAAAGCCCTGGCATTTCGGGAATCTAAAAGCATGATGTTGTACGAGTAAGGCGTGCAAGCAAGTTGGGAGCTCGTGCCGTTTTTTATTGATGGTGCTAGTTGTTTCTCCACCACTCTGTGCAGCGTTACATCATTGATTTCGTGTAGGAGGCAGCTCTCCTCGAACCACTAGGCATCTTTTCCTCCTTTTCTCATGCTCTTATTATGTGGACAAGCTCTCCTAAGCCTACACGTTCTCGTCTCTCTTCGATAAAAGTTTTTTTGTTTCAACTTTGAAAAAATGGTTTCCGAAATCCCTTTCATGTTTTTTTTGTTCAGAAATTTAAAAATGATCAACCAGAAAAGTAGACGGAAGATTGGAGGAACAGCTCCCAGGTCGCTACACTGCAATTAACTTTCTCTCTTTGGTTTTTCTTCTCTCAAACGCAATATAAGCGTTCTTCCAATGGAATGTCGGGCTATAATCTTATTTTAACCACGTAATCATGAAATTGTGTCATTTCTTCAGCTCTTCGATTTTAAGTTATTTTTGAATTCGATTTTGGTGGGAAAATTAAAACGTATTCAAAGTTTTTTTATTCAAATGTTCAAAAGCGTTTCTCTTTGATTTCTTCATTATTTATCCTTACGAATATTTGTGCAATTTATTCGATTTCAGACTATGGTGTTAAAACCATTAGAGTTTTCTCATTGTATAACCGATTCCCCTTGGTTCCGACAAAGTCTCCGCGAGCACGAACAAACTCTAGAAGATGCGAATAAAAACATCAAGAACATTGAAAACCATTGCAGAGAACTTCTTTCTTGTACAAAAAGTAAGAAAATCCTTTTTTTAAATAAATTTAAAAAAAAAAAAAAGTTTGCCGAAAAAAAAATTCAGATTTATAGAGTTTTCACTTTGAGAGTTCTGAAATTATACTTGACTTTTTTTGCAGAACTATCGCAGGCACAACGGTCTTTCGCCAAATCTTTGAGCGAATTCGATATCGAAACCGTCGGGACCAACCAAACCGACGACGAACGTGTTATAGGTTTTATTTGTCGGAATTTAATCATCTCTTAAAGTTTATTTTCTTTATTTCTTTTCCCCCTTTTTTTTCACGATATGGTGCTTTCAGATTCTCTCATTCAGTTTTTTTCTTGAACTCAAAATTGAATCTCGACTTTTTTTTTCAAATTTTTTTATTTCTGAATGAAAAACTGAACTTGTTTATCAAAGAAATTGTTCTGAATCAAAGTTATGAATTTTTGTTTTTATTGAAGAATCTTATCAATTCATAAATACAATTTTAAATCCCAAAGTATCATAATTCGCTCAAGTCGGAAATATATGAATGCTTTTTTTATGAGATTCTATTTTATGAGACATCCGAGCCTTCATTCTATTTACTCAAGTTTTTTTAGGGACGTGCTTGAAGGAGTTCGCAAAACTCATCAATCAGGTGGAAGAAGAACGTATGAAAAATGCTGAGCCAAGCCGAAGAGCAGTACCTGGAGCCTTTGAAAAAAAGTATTTATTCTCTTTTTTTATTTTTTTCTGAAGGTATTTTTTTGTCGAAAAATTTCACAAAAAAAGTCTACAATTCTGCTTCAAAATCGTATTAAAGTTAGTTATTTGCTGGCAAAAAATTATTTGGTCTATTTTTCGTGGTGTAAATTTTTAAATGTTGTAAAAAAATTATTAGTTCTTCAACTAGATTTCTTCCATTTTTCGAAATTGAATTATTTCTCATTCAAATGAAGTCAGTGATAAGAGAAAAAAACCTTGTTTCGACAGTGTTAGGCCAGAAGTGTACGATGTGAAAAGTCAAAAAGTCAGTTTCATGGAGTATTATCGTCTTGAAAGGTTCAAAAATCTAAAATATAGCGCTGGATACTCGGAAGAGCATGTATCTTTTAGTTTTACTCACAATCACAGCAGCCGGAAACCTAACTCATATGCAGGTTCCGAACGGAGGCTCTGGGAAAGACTTTGAACGAGGAAAAGCGGAAATACGAGAAAGAGAGCAGCAAATTTTACTCGAGTCTTGAGAAGCACTTGCACCTGAGTACCGTTCGTTTTTTTCTTCTCGGTTACAGAGCTGTTTCAGAATATCTGTTTTTTTGAATTCACTGCACGTTTGCAAAGAAAAAAAATGAATATTAAAAAAAATTACGTTTTTATAAATAGTGATTTTTTTGAATATTTTAGCTGCGAAAAAACGATTTCCGAGAAGCCGATGCTAATCTGGACATTCAGCAGTACAATTTCTGGAATGCATCTCTTCAGGCAACTTTTTATGTTTAGAATGCGAACTTTACCGATTTTCAGTACGTTTCTGAGATCCAATCAGTTCAAGAACGGATGAAATTCGAGTTTGTCGAGACTCTCAGTTCTTTTTTGTACTCTTGGCTCACCTTTTATCACGTCGGTAAGATTTTTCGCCCTGTTTCGCTTTCTAAACCGACTGTTTTCCAGGACATGTGATCCACGAAGATTTCAAGCCTTTCTTAGACAATGTTCAAGTAAAAGTACAAAAAGTTAGTTTATTCATTTTAGCGGAGAAACCTGATGGGTTTTTCTTCCAGACACGAGAAAGCTATCAAGCAACGATAGCAGAAGCCGAAGGGCTCAAAGAGAAAATCCTGAAAAGCCATGCGAAATCGGTTCGTTCTCATCGTAAAGTTGGAAAGGAGTTCAGAAAAGTAAAAAACGCAAATAACATATTCCCTTTTTTGCTAAATGGTTTTTTGTCGTGAAAATTATTCGTGGTTTTGACTTTTGAGTTTTCAGATATAGAAAATCACAGAGTTTCGTTCTCTCACGGATTTTTATTGAATATCAGTTAAAAATATCTCCATCCATCGTTTATTTTTCTTCTGAAGGCTATGAATATATAACGTCAACAAAAAATGAAAGACAACTGAAAAGGTACGTAAAGAAAAATCGGTAACATTTTCCGGCTTTTGATGCATTTAATTTCGAAGCTTTTCAACATGCTGATAGCTTCTGGCACTCTGTATGTGCTCACTTTTTTTCTATAGCTCATATTTGGCGAAAAAATATGAACACCTTCGGAAGCATGTATATTTTGCAAGAAAATGTGCCGATAATCTGCGGAACTCGGTTTTTTGCTTCATTTTCTTTGGAGTTTTTGAAAGTGCATTATGCTCCTGGTGGGGAAAAAGTTTCGTTTCGATTTGTTAACAAAAATGTAAATGACACTACTTAAGAAACTTTTTCATTTCTGTAGTTGATGCCATTTTTCAGCATCCGTCAAAATTATTCATTTTTTCAGGGATCTTCTGCAACCATGAAACAAGGCTACGTCTATCTCCAAGAAAAAAGCAAAATTCCCAGCAAGTTTTAATTTCAACTAAAAAGAAATTTTAATTACTTTAAAACTGGAAAGGAGAAAGAAGCATATAAAAAGGCGTGAAAAGGAGATTGTTATACTCGTCCTCAGATTTATATCAATTTAGTTTTTCCAAGTAATAATTTTCAGATCCAAGCGCTTGCCATTTTTAGTTATGAAAAAGGATGAAAATTTTTTTAGTGGTACTCGCTTGTTGCATTTATCCGAGAAGATGACCTTTCTTTTGAAATTCTCAGCATAGGTCATGAGGATTTTTCGTTCAAAGATATGACAGGTATCATATTTCAAAAGTTGACTAAAGAGGCGAGGAAAGGTTTTAACCTTTATGAATGCGTAAATCAAAGTTAATCAGTTACTTTTTTCTCCAAACTCTGCTGTTTTTGATCTTTTTCTTTCCTAGAAACTATTGGAAGAGACGTTCTGGTGAAATGGACCAAGTATTATTGCGTTTTTTCCAAGGAAACTCGTCTCTTCACGATGATCGCCGCAAAAACAGTGAGAATGAAATCGATGAATTTCTCGATGAAACTGAGTTCTCAGGACACCAAAAATGCTTTGGGACAGTCCGTATCTTTCAAGTTCAAAGAGTGTGCCAAGAGATCTTCCGATAGCATTGACAAGAGGTTTTTTACTTTTACAAGATTCTTTTTCAGTATGACTTTTGGAATTTTTCATAACTTTGCTCACAAACTCTCAAGGTTTAGACGAATCTTCCGAATATCGTTATCAGCAACATTTTTTTTTCGAATATTGAGGTTTAAAATCCACGTTTAACAACATTAAGGCCTGCAACAGATATTTTGCAACTTTGAGAGTTCAAATCTCTGTGAAAGAAAATTTGTGCTGGTAGCGACTATGAGCAATCTTCATCTGAACCTTCGATGAGAATTTCGGCAGATTTTTTGAATTTTCCACTCACGTTCAAATTACCTCCCTCTGTCACCATAAAAGTGCGTTTATTTTTATTTTTTTCAAAGATCAGAGACGAAAATAATCTGTTTTTCTGTAAATCTGGGTTATTTTTTTTTCTGTTTCTTTCTATGACGAAAGAAAGGAACCTATCTGCCATTTGAACATTTTGAAACCAAATAAATTTTTAAAAATAGATTTTTCATTCATTTGCAACTTTTCTTCTCAGCTTTTTTTCTCCAGTTCATAAAGTTTTCAGCTATAAAAAAGGAAAGAAAAAAGATCAAATTTTTATGCATAGTGCCTCGAATACAAGGTATGATCGTGGGTTTTGGTTAATAAAGTAAGCTTCTTTTTTGTCATTGTGAGATCCAACCTCATTGAACTTCACAATGAAATGACTTTTCGTGTTATTTATGCCAGAAATAATCAAGGAAGTTGAAAAACAAGAGATTCACTTGAAATGAGACTTTTGGAGCATTGAAAGACCCGCTTCGGATATTTAGCGATTCTCGATTTATATGATCAGAAAATTTTCTTATTTTTTCGAAATCTTCATATTAAAACAGTTCGAACTTGAACTTCTCAATGGAAAGCTTCATGACTCAAAATGAGGGTCGTTCGAACTTCATAGAAGTTTTACCTATTCGGAAGAAAATAGAGAGGTGTTTCTCAGATTCTGTTTCGACGTGGTGGCGGAAGAGCGGAGCGACGTGATGACATTCCAGGCGCTGTCCGAAGAAGACCTCCGCGAATGGGTCGACGCGATGGACGGCGGCAAAACTTCGGTATGTTCTGTTCGCGTACGGAAATCGTCCCACCACAACCAAACTTCCTATTTTTGTGACTTTGAAGTTTATTTACTAAACCTTTTACTACTTTCAAATAGAATATGAAGACATATGGAAACCAAGAAATTAGAACGTATGCTTTGAATATTTTTTTCATTTCCAGGTCTTCTCTACGGCGCGGAACCCTTCGTGTAGCAGTTATCAGCAAAGTTTGTTTTATTTTCATAAATCTCTATTTTTTCTCTTGCGCCTCCTTGTAGGTATAGTCGATGTGCCACGACTTGAAATTTCATGGAACGACACTCCGTTGGGTGGCCGTGGCCGTGAAAGCGCCTTGCCTTTGCGAATTTCGGTCGCGCTTTCCATTTTTTTGTTTTATTCGAAATTTTCATTATTTTAATTATGTTTTAATAGTTTTCTTCGCGCCAAAATCATAATTATCTTTTCTAGAGGATAGACTGTTTCATTGATAAAAAAATAAAGTAGAGTAATTTTTCGAATTTTAAGCGAAAAAATGCGTTTATAATATTTGAAAGTTTTTCATGAGATGGTCTTTGGTTTTGTTCAATATATTCCGTTATTTTACCTTCATTGAGCCTTTATCGACATTTCTTTTTTCATTTCAAATCATGTAAAAAATATCCCAATCAGAAATAAAATACACAGTGAATGATTTTTAAAAAAAATTGAATGTTTCTACATTGACGAATTTTTATTTAAAAAAAACAGATACATAAGTTCAAAGGAAAAATTATTAGTTTTCTGGACATTTCGTTCAGCACATCGTTTCCACTATTCCATGTGCCCACTGTTCACGCCCCATTCCTGACGCATAGTTCAGCAATACGATTTATCTAAAGCTCCATTTAAAAAAAGGAACGAAAAACCTTTCTTCAAATTATGGTGCATGTGCTCATGGAAGTACACATCTTCATTTTATAAGGCGCTCACTTTCTGAAAAAAACAATTAACGACTGCAAACAGAAAAAAACGATGAAAACATTAAAACATGGCTTTAAAAAAAACACAGAAACTATTGTAGAATATTGTGGCGTTTCACCCGCAAATCCTTTTGGTAAGTCTTTGAAAACTTTTTTTGAGAAACGAGAAAAAACAATATCAAAAGCGATTGAAGAATACATGAAGTTTTTTTCAAACTTTTTTTTAAATCGCTTTTTTTCGAGAAACATCATGAAATTTACTGTGTTCTTTCTTTTTACATTTGTACAACGCAATCCTTTTTCAACGATAATATTACATTTTAAAGAAATAAAACAATAAAAAAACGATCGAAATTAGAATGAAAAACCAAAAAAATTAGCGTGGCCGAAGTTGGCAAATTCGCCAGATGCGCGCTACCGCACAAAATCGAAACAGCGGAGTGTCGTTCCATGGAATTTCAACTTGTGGCACATCGACTATAAAAATTCTGTAGTTTTTAGAAGTTTTCATGCCATTCGATTCGACGGAGCAATCCATTTATTGATCTTTAAAAAAAGATTTTTTTGGATTTCCATTTTAAAAAAAGACAGAATTTGGGACAGATAATTTAATTCTTTTTTTGTTCTTTTTTTACTCAAAATATTGAGATACTGAAGGTTTTTAAGTTTTTTTCGAAATATTTCTTTAAATTCGTCAAGCACATTATTGACTTTTTTTTTCTTGAACTGTTCGCGCCTTTTTCGTCATATTTTATTCCGTTAAAACCGAAGTTTTGTCCCGATGTCTGGTTTTTCTTTTTTGACTAACTCATGCAGAGATTTTTTCAAGAATATCATCTGAATACGTTTTTTCGTGATTATATCTTATAGATTCGGAGAATTCTAAGACATTTAGAAGTCGAGTTTTACCAAAGATTGAGACTGAAACAAGCACAAGTTGGGCTTTTATTTTTGTCGGCCACTGTAATCAAATTTTTATCGTTTGTCTTATCTCATCACTTCACAGCAGTGGTCTTAATTTCCTTTCTCGCATAATTTGATATCCTTCAGCTCTTGAAAATTTTGGCGTTGTGTTATTTTTATTTGGGGAAGCACATACTCGTTAAAAGGCTCACCGGGCCCAGAATACAGTTCCAAGACTGCCGAAATGACTCGTGAAGCGACTGTTACACGAAACTAAGAGCAGCTCTTCGAATAATATTCATTGATGAGCAGAAATGATCTCTGAAGATTCGTCGAAAGTTTCAAAAAGAATATTTGGCTCCTGCTCAACGGACCATAAACAGAAGTTTCTCCCTGATCAGTTTAGCGTCAGGTCTTAGCTTGAAGATTTTCCTCCTTAACAATTTTTGCGTGTCTCTGGTGGACGCCCAGGGGAATCGGCATGAAAGGATAGGTGCCAAAAATGGGCGGTCCTGTCGCGCGTGTATGGAAGACGTTGAATGACGTTATGCGGCATTTTTCGGGACGCACAGCCAAATTGAATTGACTTGAAAAGTTGCTCCGTATTTCCACAAACGAGCTGTTTCCTTATTGTCGTTCGCTCATTGTGCATTAACACGGCAGCCCTTCGCCGATCTATCGTTCCTGCACCCGACCGCCCGCTGGAGTTCCGCTTTGCCTCATCTCTTTCTCATGTTTCATTTTGATCTCAACTGCTCTAGGGTTTTTTATAACTCGAAAAATGAAGCTTCTTCAGCTTGAAAATGAACCGTCATAAGCAAATTTTCGGGAAAAGAGTTTTTCAAATTCCTCCGTATTTAAACCTTTGTCAAGTCGTCTCTTACTCTTTTGTGCTCACACGAAAGAACCTCAGGATCATGCTTAAAAAAAATTAAAGGTTTAATGGAAAACAGCGTTTTTCCTCAAAACTCGATTTTGGTAGCTCAGTTTTGAGATACCCATCATTTCGCGATAATGGGCCACTAAAGATGCTCCAAGGCCGAATAATGTTCTTCTCATATATTTACCCGCGGAGTCTTCGAAACTACTTTGAACGCGGCTCGCAAAATTTTTCTTTCCTTGTTGGGCGTTTTTTTTTGAGTTCAGTTGAGAGAGGTTTCTCGGATTTACAGTTTTCTTCTCATAAGACTAGTTATAAAACGAGAAAGCCCGTGTAGATTAGCATAGTCATTTTTTTTAAAATTTCATCAGAAAAATACCGCAAAGTTAATAGCTCCAGCTTTATTATTAACTTAACAATTTAAAGAATTCTTCGAAAATAAAATGCTTTATTAACTTTTGACTTTTATCGTTTTCTTATGCTAACATGTAAGGTTTTTTTTTTCGAGCCAGCAACTATTACAATTATCTCCTTCCTTGTGGAAATTTGAGTCTTTTCGTATGTGCCATTGTTTCATCGCACACGCGAAGGAATTTAGTCTTGAGATTTTGAGGCTTGAAGTTGAGACACGCGTTTGACGGGGTGTCCGCCTATTGCGGTTTATTTCGCCGTTCTTTCAGAAACTTTGTTTTGACATTCGCTTCGTTCACCAATAAGCTAGATTTTTTTTCAGTTTTCTTGAAGCTTATTTGTTTACAATTAATTTGAGCATACTCACTTTCCTACAGTTTATGAGGGTCACTAGTCAAGTTATTTTGAAAAGAAAAGAAGTTTTTTTTTCAACCGGCAGTCTTAATTTTTTTTAAAGCTGTCTAGTTCAAAATTTTATGTTCGCCATTAATTTTGATCCCATTTCTCCTTGCACATCGATTTGCAGCCACATTTTATCGTTACAAGGTTCTCTAAAGCTCACAAGCTTCGTATAAAATAAATTACTTTGAACTCAGAAAGTAAAATTTTTTTGAAATTTTTCTCGAGAAGTTTGAGCTTAAGTCCCGTGATTCGAAGTAAAAGTCGACTTTGATCTGGTGGCCATGGAATTGTTTCCGGGACGGCATCTGGCACCAGAAAGCTTTTTTTGAAAGAATCGTGTAACAAGAAATGTCTGTCTGTTCGCGTGAGTGAAGTATGAAAGTCGGTTGGAGCGGCAAAGAAGCTTAGAGGACTGAATGGGAGATGGAAGGCAGGGCACGAAGAGGCTGAGAAATCCTCCGCCATCCAACACATGTGCATCCATTTGCATTATTTACGCTTTCCTCTACTTGGGTTGACTCCTTATTTCTCCAACTTTTTTTCTTTTTCTCTAGTCACTCATCTAAGCTCTAATCATTTCGAAATGTGAACTCTTCTGCTTTTGGCGACGAGGAGCCGCCGGATTGATTATTCGGCTTTTTCCCATTGGTTGAGAGGTGCTCCCAGAGCTGCATTTTGTCTTCTTTTCGAAATTCCGTGAAATGTATCAGACGTATATCAGATATAATGGGCAGGCCTCTGTCCAAATTTCTCTATCTTTAAAACTTTTGACGGCTCTCATTTCGAATCGGTTTTCTTTTTTTCATTCATGTTTTTAAAAAAATAAAAAAAGTTTCAATATAGTTGAAAAATTTTTTTATTTTTTTGAAAAACATGAAATAAAAAAAGTTGAAAAAAAGAAAAATGAAATGAAATGAAATAATGAAATAGGAGGAATTTTTTTACTCTGTGATTCTCCTGATTAATTTTTCATTATCTTAGACGTCCGAGGCATAACTACAATGACTTTGAGTTACAAAATCACGATTAAACTTTTCACAAAAAGAAAAAAAAAACTTAAAGTTAAAAGTTAATTAAGTGACAGAAAGCCTCCGTCAATCATTGCATCGAAAAGTTTGAGACAATCTTTTTTATTTAAATTTTTACCCCGAGAGCTCAAATTGCAGTTTCGTATCCACTCATCGCCTAGTTTTTTATTTCATTCGCGACATTATTTTTTTCAAACTGATTCATGGAAATTTTGTCACTTCTTGGTGCCAAAAAGCCCACCTCGTGTAGCTCTTTTTGCCTCTAAAGCTCTTTCAATCTTCCGTGTTTCTCATTGAACCGTGAATGCGATTCGCGTGCGTGTCGGCTCCAAGCAAACAATGCCTCGGATGGACTCGCAGAAGGAGAAAAAGCGTCGACGGCGGATGGCCAGCCGCGGCAGCTTCAACGAGAAGGGCCGCAGTTCTTCGTGGGGCGACGCCGGACTCGCGATTCAGTTGGCGACAGCGTCTTCGCGTTTCAACGTCGCCGACGGACTCCGCTCTTTTCACAAGGCATCCGCATTTCTACCGGGATTCGTCGTCGAAAACTGCAACGGTACGAAAAGTCTTCTTGCCCGGCGTATTTTTTTTTTGTTCCTAACGACTTTTCGATCAGATGTGTGTATAAACCTAGTTTTTCGATTTAACGGTCATGATTTCATGTTCCCTCTAATTGAAAATCAAGGAAATTATAATAATTTGTTTCTTTTTTTTGGTCAAACCGAAGCCCTAGAAACTCTGAGACGCCTATTTTGATTTGTGTACTCTTTGAGGAAAACGCTGAAGCAAGTTCCCTTTCTTTCTCCTTTCTGATTCTCCCGATCGATTTTTTCTTTTTGAATATTTGCACGGTCTCAACGGTACAAGCTATATATGGGAATCAGACTAGTTGGCAGAAAAAAAAATTAGTATTTGGTCAACTGAAAGCTTTTTTTAATTTATTCGAATTTTTTTAAACGCAGAAAAAAGTTAATCAAGAAATCAGGTTGAAGTGCTAAATTATCACAATAACAAGGAAAAAAACTCAGAAAAATTTTTCACAGGTTTGTAAATAGCTATAAATTTATCAATTGATATATATATATACTATTTTAAACAACAGAAGGTTTCCCGAACGGCTTTCTTCGACATAGCTTGAGATCCAACAAAGAAAAGATTTTTTGCTTGGAGGCACAAGAAAAGTCGCAATGGATGCAATTAGCGTTGTGTTTCAGCGCAACTCGACGAAATCGGCTTCGACTTTGTTCACCAGTGCATTTCCTCGTTGGAGGAACGCGGTTAGTCCGTTTTTATACGAAAGCTGTCAGAAATGCGCCAATGTAGACCTCTTAGAGCTAATTGGACTTTAATTGAGTGCTCCACCAGATAAATTAGACAAAAACAGCCGTCTGGTGGCCTTTTTCTTTCTCAATGCAAATTTCCCTCCAGGGATCCGAGAACAAGGCGTATACCGAAATTGCGGGGTGACGTCCAAGGTCCAAAAGTTGATGCAGCTGGGACTTGACCGCAGGAAAAACAGTGAAAAATCGTTGAATCTTGGCGACGACGAGTGGGAAACGAAGACCGTCAGCAGCGCTGTCAAGACTTTTTTGCGGTGAGTTCTCATATAATGGTCCCTTTTCACGTTCCCCTTCTTTCAGTGTTCCTCATTCTTTTTCCGGTGTTTTTATGGAAAACTGTGTTGCAGAAACCTGCCGGAGCCTCTGATGACTTTCGAACTGCACAGCGTCTTCATAAACGCTGCGAAAATGAACGACGCCAGAATGCGCGTCGATCACATACACTACTACGTTCACCAGCTGCCCGCCAAACACAAGGAGATGTTGGAGATGATAATCAGACATCTCCGGAGGTATTTCTCAATTTTTGAACGAATATCTTGATATCATCAATTTTTGAGGAGGTTAAATAGTCGCTTGCGAATAAAAGCTTAGAAAATCTTCTCCTGAACAAGTCAAAGTTTAAGAGTTACCCGTTCAGTCAATTAACTTATACTTTTGAGAAGGAAAACTCCCATTTGCGCCTTGGAATTCCTTTTTCTGCGCAAAAATAGTTACACTTCTTATTCATTTGTGATGCATTAAAAAGAAATATGAAGTGTTAAAAGGTGGATAAAATCAGAGCTATAACATTGTGGCTTTTAAATTGACAGAAGGTTGATTATCTTTGAGTGCAAAGTTTACAAAATAGCGTTTCCTCTCAATTTTGCGTTAGTAGACGAATTTTTCTTTTTTCTTGTCGCACAATAATTTTGAGTTGAAAAAAGTTGAAAAAGTGTGATCATATGGCTGATAACCAATTTTTATATGAAGTCTTGAAGAGTGGCCGACCGCTGCGAAGAAAACTTGATGACGGTGGGAAACCTCGGCGTGTGCTTCGGTCCGACTCTTTTGCGACCCAAAGAGGAAACGATGGCCGCCATCATGGACATCAAGTTCTGCAACGTGGTCGTCGAAGTTTTGATAGCCAACTGCGATAAGGTGCGTTCGGAGAGCCCCTCTGCAGCTAGATCTTCGCTCTCAGATATTCGCGTCGAACCCGCCGATTACGGTGGGCCCCTCGCCGCCGAAACCTGACCACTATATGGTGGACCAGAGCGAGCGGCTCGTGACGCCTTCAGTCGCCGATGGACCTGCGTTTCTCAACTCGTCGCAGACTCTGCGAAATCGCGCACCTCCGCCACTGTCGCACAGCTCCGTCTACGGCCTTTCCAACGTTCGAAGGACGCCGTCTTCGCCCAAAGATGCAGGTGCATAAGAGAAGCAGAAACAAGAATATGTATCAGAAGTAAAACAATGATGGCAAAAAACAATTTTGATGAGTTAAACTTGAAAATTATTAAGTTATTGAAAATAATTTATTGCAATTCGCTACCGGAATTCAAGTTATTTTTTTCTCACATCAAAACTTTGAAGATCACTTGCGGGAAACAGAAAAAAATCTAAGCGAGGGTTTTTTTCTCTGCGAGTGTCTTTTGAAAAATTTGAAAAAAATTAACTGTTGAAAAATTTTTGAACTTTAATTTCCGAAAAACGTTATATTTTTATAATACGCTTAAAAATTGAAAAAATGTTAAGACAACTGAATTCAAAAAAAAGATAAGATCAAACTACATCATTTTTTTTTTTGCACTTATATTCGACCAGAAATTTTTTTGATATCGGTGATGAATTTTTTGTTATTTTTTAATTGGCAGGTATTTTTAGCCCAAGATTTCGCTTCGACATCGGGTCTGAGTCCAGCGACGTCTCCAGTGATTCCGACGGCACATGAAGTCTTCGCCGACGACTTCGACCCCCATCACAAGACTTGCCGCACCAGAGACAGCTCAGACTCGCTCAACTCGATGGCTAGCGCCGGCTCGACCAACGACGACACTGCGGAGACGTACGCGAGCAAGAGAGCCGCCGCCAAAGGTGCTCCTCAATTCCTCTCAACCGCTTCTATCTCTCTGCCGTTTTAGGTAGAATTAATACGACCTACGCACCCACTTATAGTCGACTGACATGCGAAGCGTAGGTCTTTTCTTCTTCTTCTTCTCCTTTGCTCTAATATTTCGGCGGCATGGCTACCTTTCCGTGTGTACATGTGCCCTTGACGGGTCTATCAAAAGGAGCTCAGAAAACTGCGACTTTAACGTTGGAATATCAGCCTAGAACATGGAGCTTGAAAAATTTGGTATTTGTGGCCCAGAGATGCCTGAATGATGCGATGCCCTGAAACAACTGAAGTATGCATTCTTTTTTCACATGGTTGAGAAACGCTTATTTTATGTAAAGTAGTCAAGCAAGAAAGAACTTTTTTTCTCAGAGCTTGTAATTGGCTCAAAAGATAATAAAAACAAGTTCGGGATTGATTCTTTCGTCAGAAAAAAAAAACCATATCTCACTGTTAACCAGTCGCATTTTTCTGTAGCTGAAATTTAGGACTTGCTTAGAGGCCTTTTTCGAGAAGCATGTGATCCATATGTTGTGTTCAAAGTTATTTCGCTAAATGCGAAAAAGTCGTCAGAGAAAAAAAAGATAACTAAATTTTGGAGAGTCAGAGATAATTTTGCATTTCGCGGAAATTACTTCGAACACAGCACTACGAAAGCATGATTATCCGTTTTTTTTTGTTTAAACTTTTTATGAGTTGTGCCCTTGTGTGAAGCAGCAACACTCTCGGAGCGTTGCAGTAAAGACTCGAGAGGACCACGCAATGGAGCGCATCTCACCGCCAAGACAACGCAGCCCTCCCGCACGTTTTCTTCGTTGTACGTTCAGATACCGAGGTATTTTCCTTCTATCTTTCTATAGCTTCGCTGCCACGAATCCTTCTATTGAGTTAAAATTATTCGACGTCTTGTTTTCGCACAACAGACCTTTCCGTTAAAGTGTCCACTCTCTCTACTTATTCATTTGTTTCTTTGTCAAATATCTGTAGGTGAAACCTTTGATATTTCGAATCACTTTACTCGAAATTTACGAGTAGTTCTAGAAGTGAGAAAAAAAAAATGAAGATATGAATGACTTTCTCTCCATTCTAAAAAAAAAAGCTGTGGATCTGAAATTTCTCTGAAAGAATTGTTGCGCGAAAACTCTAAATTTCTCTATACACTTAAGCCAGACAGCTTTTCTTTTCACATTTCCCCTCTGTGCAGACGCATGATCTTTCGTTACAATCACTTTTCTTGTCGAATATGAAATTTCCTTGGTGTTCCTATCCGTTAAGTGTTTCAGCATTTGCACCATTGCCCTCCCCGGCATGACACATGGCTATCCACATTTTTCACGAAATGCACAAAGTGTTTTTTGTTTCCAAAAAGAACGATGATTCATATTACCATGGTTTTATTGTATTCATAGCTATTTTGATCATTCATATCAAAGCGCTTTTTTTAAAACATGCTCCTAGCTTTTTCATAGAAGGGCGATACTAGAAGATTAATTTTAGTAGAAGAGTGAAAACGCTTTACGCCTGTACGCCGGACCACGACACCGAGCTGTCTTTCGAGCCCGGACAAATAATAACCAATGGTATTTGATTTTGTCAACTTTTCCATATGGTTTTCTTCAGTTTACGAATCCAAGGAAGAAGGGTGGCTGATGGGAACACTCAACGGTAAGACTGGGCTCATACCTTCGAACTACGTCGAACCCTTGCCATGAAAGGAAAAACCCATGCAAAAATTTTTCTTCCTGTCGATTGAAATTATAGATTGTTCTAAAGTGTAACTAATTGATATTTCAAAGCTAGGCTATCATATTTCTTTGCATTCTGCTTTATAGGCCTTATCGATCCCCGCGTGTTCCTCAAGTTTCAGTTTTTTCTGTGTCACCTTCAAACCAAGGCATTGCCATAAGAGAATTTTCGATTCTACGAGCAGTTATTTTCATTCGATAACTACGGGCTCTTGCTATTGCGCACAATAGTAGGACAAAGATGTTTCACAGTGTTGGTACATTCAAAAGCGGTTAGATGTATGTTTAGTTTATTTGCTTCCATTTTTCCTTTTCTTTTATTTATTACTTTCCTTTTTTCGGGATGATTGCTGTATTTTTTGAAAATAACCATTCCTTAGACGATATTGTTTTCTTGTTTTATGTAATAATGAAGCTAGATTTAAAATTCCGAAAATTACACCCCCTTTTATACCTTCAAACCCTTCATCTCAAGCCGCTATATGCCTCCAAATAAAGGCGTAGAAAAGAGAAATTGGGTTTTCTTCAGCCTTTCAGAGTAAATTAAAAAGCTCTGGAGACAGTGCAAACTTTTCAACACAAAAAAGTTGGCATGTATCCTTCCTAACCTGTATAATGTGTTCTTGTCCCCCCGAAAAATTTCATGAAAAAAACCTTAAAATTTTTTTCTCTCGATTGACGATTACCTCAAGAATGTGGTCGTTTTTTGGTTGTGCTTCTACTCATTTTTTCACCCATCACCCCTATCAATAAAATTTAAAGTTTATTGGGATCGAAGATTTCAAAGTGACTCAGAAACGGTGACCTGCTCGGTTTTTTTCTTATAATCAGCTGACAGAAGTTTCATAACCTGAAAATCAAGAATCGAACAAAACATCATCAAGAAAATACCTCGGCGTGTTTCAATTCGTTCTTTTTGAAAGAAGCATAGTTCTGCTGGACAAAAAGGGCGAATCCACTGGCGGTCCTCTCACTCGCCAGGACTTTCGTCTCTTTGCGCGAATCGTTGACGAAGAGCGCGAAACGGCCTCCACAGATGCCGCACACCTTGGCGGTCGTGTCCAGCGATTTTGACTGCCTTTTGATTCTCAAACAACCGAAATCGAGCGCAGTAAACATGCGCGACTCACGTTTGCTTACAGCCTTCGCATACGTAGACAAACTTTGCGCTGATTTCGTAGTTGTGGCAACGTTCAATTAAGGGAAGAGTTCTGAAGGTCTTCATGCACGTGTACGCCCTGAAACTTCCATCTTATCTTCAGATTCAGAATCTCTGGCAATAAAGATCTAACTCTGACCATTTCTTCCACACGGGACCGTGACACTCTCTATAGCGCCTTTCTACTACCCAAACGGCTGCATGACACATTTCGTGTACTAAAGTGTCGCGCACACGTTCTGAAATACACAAATTAAGCTGAAGTAGTTCAAAATAGGTTTATTTCAAATTTTGGATTCAGCATTAAAAACATTCGTCATTGATTATTTTCTTATTTTCTCGTGACTGAAAAAGCGAACACTATTTCGTTTTGTTACAACTGAGAACCCTCTGAGCTTTTTCAATTAAAAACAAATGGTAGCCTGTCGCTCATCTATGAAGATCTTTGGTGTAACTTTCTATTGGAGAGAAGTTTCTGAGGTGAAAATCGCACATTTGGTCCCCACTTCTGTAGTAGATGGTCCTAGGTTGGTAAAACTGGAAGGTTAGGTAAGACAAAACGAAATTAACATCATCTGCCTTGAAACAGGAAAAGCCTGTTTTTTCGGGTTTGTTCGACAAAAAAATTCTTCTTGTGTTGCTCATTGATAAGATCGTTCAGTGCAGTTACTTGAAAAATAAAAATCTGAAGAAAAAAAATTTCCATTTTTTGTTTTCGTAAATTTCGACCCTATTTTTCAGTGCGTACAGCAGATAACTCTTCTAGCTTTTGAGTACTCTCACCAAGGAATGCCTAGCACAGAAGTTTGAACCAGAACTGCGATGTTCATCTTGGAAACTTCATCGGTAAGGGCAAAAACAATGTTTCGATGCAGACGAAGACCTGCCGTGTCGCAAACTTTGGTCGAGAGTTCGATGGTGCTGCTGCCGTCGCGGTGGTTCTTGCAGAGGCCCGCCGTTTTTCGCAGTCTCGGATTCCAGATGACGCGCATCGCTGTCTCCAGGGTCTAGTACCCGAACTTTGGTCATTCAAGTGAACTCCTATTCAGACCTTGTTAAAACACCGTCTAATGAATATCTCGACGAGCTTTGCAGTTAACGCCGTCCGCAGTTTTTCCCCTCTCAATTTGCCATTCTTCACGAAGACGAGCGCTTCTTGGTGCCTTTAGAAATGAAGTTATATATCTCAAAAGACAGCTCTTGCAACCTCGAACAAGTTGACTCTTTAGATAATGAATGCAGAAACAGTTCATCTTCGTCCAACTAAAAAAAAAAAAAGTAGTCGTTCATTGCCTTTTGTACGAAGAAGATAAGAAGCATAAATGTGAGCTAGAGCTGTACGGAGAAATAGCTCTTCGGAAAAAAAAATTTAATTTAATGTAGTTCATTTCTGATTTTACTGATTGAATCGATTAGAATTAAATTTTCAAAAAAGCTGTTTTTGAAAATTCGAGAGTCGTGCAATCAGAATTATTATTGTGATCATACTGTCAAAGAGTATTTTAAAAATGGGAGAATCGAACGTTCGAAAATAAAACGTATTCTTGGCTAAAAAATGTAACCTTGCGTTTTGAACGCGTCGATTCCAGAGTTTTGGTTCTTACGGCTCTTTCTTCCTCACTGGAACTCGTGTAGTCCTCTTCGTTGTCACTTTCTTCGCTGTCATCTTCGAACTCCACCTCGTCGTCGTCTACCACGAACCTCAAACCTAGCACTACGTGGGAAGTTCTGATGTTTCCTACTTCTCGTCCAACCGACTCTCACACTTCTTCTCTGTTTTTTTGGCCGGAGTGCGAAGAACAGCCAGATCTGAAAATGATTTCATGAAAAAGAAAACTTGATAGACACATTAACTACTTCAAAAAAGATTAAACATTAATTAACGGAAAAAAACGAACATCTCTCGAAACTGTCGTCTCCAGGAGGTGAAACACTTCTTCTAGCCATTTCTTCTTTCTTTTCCTCCGCGGTGGTTCTTGTTGCATCGAATAACTCAGGATAGCATTCAGCTAGTAGCTTTTTCTGATCTTCATCTTCTAAAAAGAAATTGGTTTAAATGACTGATATCACATAGAAACGTACCGATTTCTAATAATGAAGGAGCTTTATTCAATGTTTCTCTGTTTTTCGTCTCGCTTCTCTAAGAAAGTGTCAAAACCAAAAAAAAAAGCTCAATTGGTTTACCGAATTCGCCGATCTGGGCGAAATGGACATTATCGATAAATTTGCTTCGAGCATAGATATTTCTGAAATTCGGACGTGACAAAAAACTCGCAATGAGATGTACCATTTTCATCATTGACATAATAGTTATTTTCCAAGCAGTTGTGATCCTCCTCAATCATTTAAACCTAAATTATATCACTTCACAAAGAAGCCAACCTCGTCAGCCGAATCACGAAGATCCTTGGTTGCTTTCTCATTGGGAGACATATTTCCAAAACTATCGTTCTCAGCCGTGCTATATTTAAAACAAATTTCAGGAAAGAAAAACTTTAAAAAAACATACACATAGGAAGAAGTAGAGCTGCCGCTGCGATTCAAGCTCGAATCGGTCAATATCTCGCGAGTGTTCATAGAAAAACATGAAATAGGAACTTTTAATGAAAAATGGGAACGTTGAAAGTTGACAATCAGAATAGGCACCTAAGTTACGAACACAAGCGAAAAGCTAATAGAAAGCTTTAATAGTGAATTTTATTTTGAAAAATTCAATACTGTGTTCAAAATAATTACCGCAAACTTTAAAACTCTCATGAATTTATCTATACTTTTCACTCCCTGATGGTTATTTTTGAACTGCAAAAATTTCCAATAACATATAAAAATAAATTTATACTTGACAAAAAAAAATGGTGAAGGAAATTTGAATTAGCTCCAACAGGACGTGTAGGCAGAGTAAACTCAACTCGCACGAGCTTTCGAGGACCGTAATCGGAGAAAGCATTGCAAAATTGTCGTGAATATGGGATCGATCTCATATATATGGAGTACCAAGAAACTTGCATACATTTTTGAACATCTTCTCAAACGCAATATTTTTAGTTTCAGTTAGCAAGAATAGTCGCTGCGTCATTGGAAATCTTTGAAAGGTTATTTAAGAGGAAAAAAAGAGAATGTAGCTCGTTAGTCAAGTATAAAAGAGCTTCTGAACTGCCTTTGACGTCTACAAATAAAAAAGAAGAAAAAGCGGAGTCGCATAAATAACTAGAACGCAACGTAAGCTTTCCACAATGCATCTCGAAATTGACTCGCAAATTTGGATGAATTTTCTGCCCGTTTCTATTGAATGCACTTCTCGAAAATCATCCTTGTAGGTTATTTAACTCAATTACATAGAACAGGAACAGAAAATAATTATTTTCTTCTTGTGTAAAGTTTCTGCTCTCATCATGAGTGATTTATTAGATGTCTGTTGTTCAATCAAGTACTTTCTTTGCATATTAAACTCCAGCGTCCTTTCCATCGCAGTTCCCTCTAAACCTCGAAAAAGAAGAGAGAAACTTCCTTGTTCTTGTTAAACAAACGACGGGATCTTTTGAAAGAGCCGACTTCTGAGTGTTTCAACCTGGCCGACTTTCGCTTCAAAGGAGATCTGATCCTTTGTGTCGCCGTGGACGTTTTTGTTTGCGCGTTTTGTAAATACGAGAGCGGATATTAGGTCAATTAAGAGTTGCCGCAGGCGCTCGGCTTTCCCTCCGGAAAGAAGCTCAAAAACTCGTGGCATCTGCCCGGTTGAGATTGTGGAAATATGAAGGGCGAGTGAATAATTCAGACGCATTGCATGAGACTGACTGCGTCGGCCCGTGTGAAAATTCGCCGTTTTCTGCTTTCAAACATCCATTGATTCATTCATTTTCGGTAGTCATCTCCAGCTTTGATGTCCACTTCCCTGAAAAAGTCACTAAAAATGATACCATTCCAGGAAATTTCGAGATTGATGGAAATTGTGGCTCTCTAGCTTTTTTCCGGCCAAGGAACGAAGGCAATTTAAATAATTGTGATTTAACAGTCCACACACTTTTTTCTTCAACTCTCGTTACATCTTTCCCCTAAAAACCCATTTGCAAGCTCAGATTTTTTAGTCTTTCTTGAAAAATCTCGGCAAGAAGCATCCGCAAAATACACTTTTCTCTGTTTTTGTTATCTTCTTTCTTTTTCTCATTTATTTGCCTCAGAACAAGAGTAAAAACACGGATTATGATGTGACTAACATAATAAAATTTGGAAAATTGGAAAAAGCTCTAAATTTTGATGATTCCGGATTCGAAAGTCTCGGTTCTTCAGTGCTTCAAAATTCTGACCCTACCATTGTGTTCCCTTTTTTCAAGTCATTCAGCGGAAAAACGAACATTCTATCGTCAATAGAACGCCGAGAAGAAACACCAGATTCGAATCCTGCGGTTGTTCGAGAAAGAAGGCCCACCTATCTTCTTTCGGCTCCTCAATTCTGCGGCAGTTTAGCAATTTGTCGTCCCAATTTGGATTTCGGACCGCGCCCTCTACCCACATAACATATTCGCCGGAGCCGGTCGCCGTCTTCCTTAATTACATGGCAACCGTTATTTCGAGTCGTCTCCGCGTTTTCGACAAAACTTTTGAAACAATCAGAAGCGAGTCTTTGTTCATTTGATGCGTCGATTCAGGACTTGAGTCTGAGGATTCGAACGCAGATGCGGCATTTCGTGTCGATCGCCGTCGTCGTACACGCCGTCGCTGCCGACTACCAGTGGTCCTACGACCAAGACGTCTTCGGCGGTCCTGACTTCTGGGGTCTCGTCGAGAAGGACTGGTGGATGTGCAAGAAGGGCCGTCTGCAGTCGCCGATCGACGTTCAGGCTTCGCAGCTCCTTTTCGACTCCTCCATCAAGCCGATTCGGATCGACAAACTAGGAGTTGGTATTCTTTTGTTAGTCAAAAATAGTTATAAAGTTTAGAATTTAGTTAAAAAAAAAAGACCGCGCGGAAAAATATAACAAGCTTTCTACAGAAAAATCATAGTTTCAAGGCAGTCAACTAGTATTTCAATTTTCGCAGGTAATGTCAGAGCTGGTCAACACAGGACAGATGGCCCGTGTACGCATCGGAAACTCGGCGCGAAAACCTTCAGTTAATCTCACTTCCGGCCCTTTTTACGGATACAAATACCGGTGAGAGCTTAAAACCTTCAAGTTTATTTCGGAATGTCAAAAAATGGCAGAGAAGCTCTTTGGTGCAAGAATTTAAAACGTGTCTTGATGTTTTTTTTAAAGTACGAGCTATTCGAGGAACAGAAACACTCCTCGAGTTGACAGAATTTTCGAAAACGTCGACTTTAGAATTTATATATAAATTAAATCATCTCTTCATATATATCATATATAAGAACAGAAGACTTTATTTCAATTTTTATCGAAAACTTGTTAATTAGGTAAAAAACGAAGCTGATAAATTTGAGTTTTAAGTGAGGAAAAATGTGATTTCACAAAGCTATGGATGAAAAAACCTAATATTATTTACGGTCGTATCTTAAGCATCAAGTTAAAAAAATTCAAACTTTAGAATCCAAAGAATTGACATCCATATGGGACGTGGTACCGAGAATGGTAGTGAACATACGATAGATGGAAGACGCTTTCCGATGGAGGTTCGAGACTCAGTTCTCATTCTCAAAACAGAAGACATGTTCAGATTCAACTCATATCCTTCAACACGGATCTTTACGCAAACTTCTCAATGGCTTCCAAGTCTCCGCACGGATTGGCTGCTGTCGCTATTCTCGCTGATGTTGGTTTACTAAGATTTGAAATCTCACTGAACCTTCAGTTCGGTCCGACTACAAACTCAGAATTGGCAAAGCTGACGACCGCAGTCCCCAGCATCCGCTTCCAAGGCAATTGACACAAATAAGATTTTCTGATGAATCGATCCTCAGGAAACCGCGTACAATTATCTAGTCTGGAGCCTTGGAAACTTTTGCCTTATACACGCGATATTGTCACCTACGAGGGTTCGCTAACTTCACCCGGATGTCATGAAACAGTTACTTGGATCATTGCTAATCATCCTATTTACATCACAAAAGACCACGTACGTCTTCTCTAAATATTTTGAGATCTTTTCCTTCAGTTCAATGAGTGGGCCAAAGTATATTCCAACAACAGTGGCGAAGAAAAGTCCTACATCGGTCCAAACTTTCGCAAGATACAACCAACCAACAATCGACTAATAAGAACGAATATTGAATTCAAAGTAAGGGAATCCTAATTCTTTTTTTTAAAATCAAACTTTAGACAAAAGTGGAATGCAAGATTCCCGGTACTAAAATTTTGTACAGAGCAAACGAACAATCCGCAAATGCAGCATCCAAGCACAACTACCGCAAACACGGTCATAAAAATATTTAGGCACTACATGTTGGTTTTGAAATGCAAACGGGCCTTTTCGTCATGGGTATTAATTGACCCTCGTTGTTATTTCCTTGGTGTGTCGCCGAACTTTTGTTTTCTTTTATTTTCCTGCCGCATGCAACGTAGTAGGAAATGATTTTCCGTCATTTTTTGTAAACAGAGAAGGCCTGAAACTCGATATTAATTCATTAATTTTAACTTTTACCGATGTTATAGGGTTTTAGGAGTACGTTAAAATAAGGAAACACAAACCAAGCATGATCCTATGTAAAAAAAAAAACTCTAGTGGAATTCATTTTCGAGTTTCAGGAATATCGAGGAAAGTCATTTACTTCTAAATTGCAAATGGCCTCATTTTTTTTTCTGTATGACATTCTTTCAATTTTGAAAAAGATCAGAAATAAAGCACAAACTTTGGTATCTGAAAAACTTTGCAATAAGAAGGATAAATCGCAGTAAACGGTAAAATATTTTTATTTTGCTCGCATACGACAGAATTTCTTAACTGCAAGACGCAAGAAACAATCTTTTCTTTCACTTGTTTTATACACTACGTAGTTCTAGTTTAATGATGAGTGTCGCGTTCGGCCTCAAAACCAACTCCGGGAACGTACTGCTCGGCCTTGTTGTGGAACAGCGAGTGGTTGCCGTCTCCCCAAGGGAAAGGCTGAGATTTATATTACTAGAGATACATTTACAATAGGAAAAATATTATTATTATTCAAAAATAAAAAATTCGATTTAATAACTTCTTTTTTTAATTGTTAAAACGTTATTAAGTTTCTTAAATGAAAATTTAACTTCCTTTTCATCATGCAGGAATTTATAGCATCGCTTCTTTTAATTGCTTTTTGAATATCTTGATTCTTTGCTTTTTGGTATAGTTAAACTGTGAGCGATTAACGACATTAAGAACTGTTTTTTTTTTCCTAAAAAAAAGTATAGAGAAAGCAAAAACTAAAATCGAATAATGAACAAACCTTGTTGCGTACGTTGAGGAAAGGATAATCGACGTATTCTGGACGAGCATGAGACCTAGGAAAAAAAGGTTAAGTGGCAAATGTAATAAATTTTTCAAAGTTTAAAAGAAGATAGGAGAACTTCTCTCTTACAATTATATGACAGTAAAAAAATTTCCATACAAAAAAAATTTTTTTTTTTTGAAAAATCTCACTTTGCCCATTTCAGAAAAAAAAAATTACAGATACCTTAAACCTGAGTGACGAAGTTTATTTCGCTCGTTATGTTAATCAAATCTACTACAAACTACATATAGTTGAAAAACTCAGCAGAAAAGTGACTAGACTTGGGAAATCGTCTTATTCGGTTCCAAACTGAGAATTTGGATATGAACTAACTTTTTTATTCCATCAATGAAATTTAAAATGTTACAGAAATTTTCAAGTCATGCTAGATAACGACGCTGAAATTTTTTTTTTAACTGCTTTTATGCCGTGTTCCAATTAATTTCGGCGATTTCAAAATCGACGCGTTATTGGTTTTTAAAAATCGCCGAAACTACTTTGAACACGACATTAATGAGAGTAATAAAAAAATTGATTCCTCATAGAATGAAGAAAAAAAGATAGAAACAAGCAAAAAAAAATGAACTAACATGTGTTTCTTGTGGTCACTATAAGCCGCATACATCGTCAGAGCCATGCAGGGAATCGATGCCAAATAGAAAATCTTTCTCCAAGTTTCCTTCGTGGCTAAAAGGCAAGGCAATTTGTCTCTCGTGAGAAAAAAAAATAACAGGTACTTTGAGAAAAAAAGCCTCTTCAAAATAATCCTTGAAAGCAGTAAGAAGATATCCAGTTTCTAGAAGAAGCGCATTTTAGTTTCCAAAATGACAAAGAACAAAAAAAAAAGAGATAACTCGCGATCCTACTCCCATTCTCTATATTACTGAAAAGGCCCGCTTTCACCCCTCTAATAATTGAATTTTCCACTTTAATCAGACAAAACTGATGGATTTACCCGGATAGTAAGAATGGCTATACGTTTCTTAGTCTCGGAAGGAAACTCACTTTCGGCATGTCTCAAAGTGGTAGTCAGAGATTCTTTGAATCCTTCAACATTGTTGCTTCCATAAAAGCCACCTGAAGAGTTTCTTTTTGACGTCTTCACAACAGTCCTCAGAGGTTGAGAAAAGCGCTGCATTCTGAAAATTATAACATACTTTCGAATATTGAATTGAATCAGTAAATCGCTGTTGTGAGTAAAAAGAGTGACACTTTTTTTATAAAAATTTTTTTCTTCGTTTAACCAAGAAATTCAATTTCTCACTTTTTGAGAAAGAGTTTCGAATTTTAGCGAAGTTTAAACTTTATAAAAAAATGTATTGCAAAAGAATTTATTCATTCTAAACCAGTCCGTTAAACTTCATTATGACTTTTAACAGAAGGAAAAAAGTTACTCATGTAAAATCGATGGAATAAGCGAAATAGTAAAATATATTCCTTCTTGAAATAGCTTCAAAGAAATCGAGGTGTTTTTAATCAACAAATAAAATAAAGAAGGGCTCGTCTAAGAAACCAAGCATTGTAAGGCGTCTTCTTCCGCCCGATTCGCCTCGACTCCTCAAACTTTTGAACGCTCTGAATGATACAATCAAAAAAAAAAAAGAAGAAAATGAATGTAAATTCTTGCTTCTCCGCAGTAAATACGGGAGATGGACGTCCGCGTGGTAGGAGACAACCACACGTTCTGCGCTGCGCCTTTAATATGGCATTCTGCTTTCAAAACGCGGTTAAATATTTATATATATATATATATATATATATAAACATATGAATATATATATATTGTTTTGAAAAATGTATTAAATTCAATCTCATTAATAATTTAAAGAAAAAAATGACAGTCTTCATTTATGATCAGGCTAAACTAAATTTTTTTCAGATAGGTAAAAACTGATTAGTACTAATTTTTTTTGGACGGTACTATAGTTTTTTTTTAATAACATTGAGGCACAAAAATAAAATCAAGAAAAAATTTTCAAAATGTCAAAATGAGGTTAATCAACTTTTTCTTCTTTCGACTTCTAAAAATCGCTGAGAGATTCGATCTTCGCGGTATGAGTGACTCTCGGGGAAACATGTTTCTAATTTTTTTTCAAAAGGTTAGCAGAGCGGAAAGAGTGCTAATCGTTTCAAAGATAGTTTGACCAAGCCTTCGTAATTAGATCTGTTATACCGGTCTGATATTCCAAAAAATTAAGTCTGTTTTATATAGAGTTTTCCTTTATTTTTATAACTTTCCTGTCATAACCATTCTATCTCCTTGCAAGGCTATCTCAAGTTTTCTGATTGCGTTCAAAGTTAAAAACAAGGTAATTATACAATTTTATGTAAGCATGGGTTAATTTAGCATGTATTTCAAAGTCCTCCTCCGCGAGGCGTAGATATGAGCTTCAAAAGGAGGTCGTCCAACTGCCACAAATCGAAGAACTGTATCTTGTGGTGACTTTCTAGACACTCCATCCCAACAGCCTGAAGATTGGTTTTATTGATTCATTACCTTTTGAATATTACAAATATGCTCGACATGAGTAGGATAACGTTTCCCATTCTTTCTGCGATGATTTCCATTGGTAAACTAATTTGCCTGTAGTGCCAATTGAGGGCCTGTTGGAGAAAATTTGTGTTATCTTCGAATATTTCAAAATTTCACTTACTTTAAATAATACATTCAGTTGCCCTGACATAAAAGTCTTCAACTCGGGTGAAATGTCCGAACTGCCTGAAATGTTTATTTCTAAAGAATAAGTGTAATCAATGGTGATATTCAAAAAAGGTAATTAATTTGTAATTTCAGTAGCTATGGAAGCAAAATAAAACCAACTGGCGCTTTTGAAAGAGACGAGAGCTTTGAGAACGACAAACTCGACAAAAGAGAGTCCAGTAGAATGCATCGAAATACAAATTTCGTTGAGGACCCGTAGCATTAGTGGTCGGTATAGCCTCAAGTTCTAACTAATAGAGACGATGTTGAATTCTCTCTACTTGATTTTGAGGTCCGCACTGATGGTGTTCTCTTCGTCGCGCCAGCCGTCCTCGCTGCTGCCGTCGGCGTTGACGAACATGGCGTTGAACATGACAAAACGGTCTGGCAACCCGAGACGCGTAGTCAGATAAGCAGGATCGAGAATCGTATGGTAAAGAACGCAACGCCGTAGAAATATCAACTAAAAAGTAGCTGTGAAATTTTATTAAGAAACTATCTAACGCGGTCGTGAGTATTGAGCATTTCGAAGTGACGCCACCCACGAAGCCACTCGTAGGTTATCAGAATCTGCGGACGGATGTGTTTCTGGATGCCTGCGAACGTCAGCTCGTGTAGGTCTTCCTTTGAGAAAGGCTGAGCAAAGAATCGGTGAAGAATGTGGCAGAAAAATACAAATACTGGCTTTGGAAAAAGTCTTTGAAACTGAGAGAGCGTACCTCAACAGAGAAGCGAATTTACTCGAAGCCGTCTTATGAAACTTTTTGTAGTGGAATACAAATAAATATCGTAAGTATCAAAAAATTTATTTTCGAGAGCTAACTCAATTTCTGTCACGCAATTTGGAAAGGCAAAGCAGAACTATTGATTTTGAAGTTTTACGACTATCTTCCCTAAATTTGACTCACTGTTTTTGTACGCTCGAAACCTTATGTTGATTGGAAAAAACTAAAAGAAGACTTTTTTATTTTTTGCAATTTTTGAAATAAAGTTAATATAAGAACATACAATGTCGTTGACATTTTCCGTCGTGAGCAAATTGCTGATGCTGTTGTGAGCGCAGTAGAGCAGCTTGCGCCGTTCGTTGACCAGTCTTTCCTCGCGTAGAAGACCTTCCAGCAAGTTCTCAGCTTCGAAGTCATACCTTAATGCTCGTTTGTCTCTCATTCTTGGGACAATTTTCACTTGAGTTGGAAATTAGAAGGCGAAGGAACACTGTCAGAGTTTGAAGAAGAAGGCACATAGTTTGATTCTGGCGACATTCCGGCCATGTCCTGAAGGCTTAGAAAATTCTGAAGATTTGCTCAATTAATATACCATAGCAGAAGCCAAGACGTCCAGAGCATTGGGTGTTTGAGTTGAGATATTGGCCTATGTCGGATTAATTTGATTTGAAAAGGATTATTTTCCTACATATTCTCTCTCTACACGAGACGCGTAGACGATCTTCCTTCTGCCTGAGTTGCAGTCGCGTCGCGGCTGCACGGCGGCTCGTTCCATGCCCATCTCGATGCATTTCGCGTACCGACAGCAGCGGCAAATTACTCGCATTGCTGAAAAACTTCTGAAGGTTCTCATATCTTCAAATCAGCGTTGAAAATGCGGTTTCTTGGCACAGAGAGAAATTTTGAAACTTTTGAAACTTTGAAACTTTTATTCAGTCTTCAGAGAAGGTTTCTCTGCTGAATCATGGAATCATTGAAGAGCTGTTTGTCGGTTCGCGAAACTGTTGTTGATCAAGCGTAGACGGCGCGTAGAGCCTCTCGTCTCTCTTTTGATAGTAGTAGACGACTTTCGAGCGCTCCGGCGATCACTGCTTCTCCATGTAGGAACAGTACGGCGCCCAGCTTGTCCAGGGCTGGCGGGCGTCGGATTATATCTCAGGCGAGAGCGGAAATGAAGAGCGACCACTCGGAAGATAGAAATGAGATAATAATTAGAAAAGATAAATGCTGCAAGATGTAAGATGAAGGATTATATAATTGGATCAAGAGAAGATATTTATCACGGCCCGAATTATCATAAAACAGCAGAACGATCTAATTTCGGATCCCGAATTCCATAAAACCCACTGTAATTGATTTCACAGCCTCCTCCTCGGCTACAGAAGAAAACCCTGTTCAAAGTAACCGTCCTTCTGAAAAGGGCGAGTCGGTCAGGTCACTCCAAAAGAAGCCCAAGAACCTGAAAAAAGCTGCGCAGGCAGAGCAAGCCGGAGCGTTGAAGTGGTAGCCGGTCGACGGAGCCGCGCACACGGAGCATTCGCAGCTCTCGCGGAACTCTGGAAGTTTCAGTTGATATTTCGATCTAAAGGGAGAACAGTTCCCGCCGCGAAAGCTCGATTATCTTTAAAACCAATCAGGGAGCGTCTTTTTGCATTTCAAGGAACAGTGGAAATTAAAAAAGATTTTTATGAGCTAGATATAAAGTGACAGCAATTTCTTGAAAAAGTTAAACTTGCGAATCTTACTTCCGAAAAACTCCTTTTGAAAATTTTGTTAAAGCAACTACTCTGATATACATATAATATATGAAGAGATCCAAAGCAAAAATTTCAAAGTTTGAAATTCTAAAAAGGTGTTCTAAAAGTTTTTTTTCATTGATAATCAGAACTTTAACTTGAACCGATTTCAAAAGCGAAAACCTTGCTTGGGGGTGGCGAAGTCTTCTCGCTTGAGCATCGGAGCCGAATCCTCGAAAAGTCAAAGAGCGACATCGAGGTTTTTCTTATCGCTTTTCACAAGACACGCGTGTTATCAAGCCATCGATTCGATTCCCGTTCTCCTTTTCTGTTTATGACTTCTCCTGGATGTGGTTATCACGAGGAGCTCACTCGAGGTGGCCTTTTAAAATGTGCGCCCTTCTTTGTTTGCTCATCAATTTCCTTGTATGCCCTCTCAAAACAAATTTTTTTATTTTCGATAAAACTCTTTATATTTGCGTAAGAAACTGAAATGTGAGTATTTATTCAATAAAAAGTTGCACAATCAGAGCACCTGGAAATTTTGAGACCCACGTGGAAAAACTCGTGGCCAATCAAAGTATCAGAGTAAGTCAGTAAATGGAAAGGACTATGACGGAGGCGGCAAAACGAATAGGATCATGTGACACGGACTGCATAAGGTTTACATGTTTGGAACACCGTTTTCTTTCGATGGAATCTGAAAAAGGACATTTTGTTGAAAAAAAAAATTAAAAAATAAATAAAAAACTCACATTGGCTAATCGGACCTGCAAGTGGAGAAGTGTTGTGATGGCCGAGGGATCATTTTTCAAAATAAATGCCCGGATGGTCTCCAACGCTGAGGAAACCTTTAAAAAAGAATGAAAGATGCTAAAGATATCGGAACTAACTTCTTTGTCAGAAATGCGAACAACAGCACTTTTTAGAACATCAGCAATCAGACCTTTCTCGTCGACAAACTGTAAACATTTTAATTCAAAAAAAAGGTCAGAAAAGGAAGTTAACGAGTGGCTAAAGAGGAATCCGCTTACGGCAGAGGTGATGGCTGTCTGCAAAGTCGGCGTGTCTTGCGGGGTGAGGTGCGCCTCCGTAGGTGTTGGAATGTCGTTGACTAGGGTTTTTTGGCCGTCTGCAAGTTGTAAATGCAAAAATGTAGGAAAACGGGGAAAAACCGGTAACAGAGTAATTCATTAAGTTAAGATGTTGAGCCACGCCGAAGTTGGCGGTGGTCGCCTGTTCGACACAGTTGAGAAGAGCTGCTGTCATGCCTGCAATCACACGAAAATTAAGACGTTTTTTTCTGCAGAAATACGAAAAACATTGATGCGGAGAAAAAGAAGCTCAGAAAAAAGGAAAAAGTGAAGGCCGAGAACAATTTTTTGGTAAAAAAAAAACTGTAAAACCTAGCTCAGATTATTCGCAGAATTTTCAGGCTGATTTGAAAAAAAGCTTTATGAAAGTTTTGTATCTATATCAGATACGTCGTATGAGAAAATTATTGGTTTGTTTTGGGATAATCGTTTTAAAAAATGTAACGACTTTTAAGTCTTTTAACACGCTGTCTCCGTAATTCTCAAAAAGAGTGGGTACAACAGAAAAAAAATATTTTTTGATTTCGATGAAACTTCACCCACTGTGATATTCTGTCGTCAGAAATGCCGACGCAAGTTTTCAGACCGATTCCTCCTACCGTAGCTAGGTTACGGTAGGCAGGTACGTTTTTTCGTATCTAAGAATCTAGGCGTTCTTTCTAGGCGTATTGTATATCAATCGATAGGGATTGCAATTTTAGGAAATTTTTCAGTACATACCATCATATGTTACTGTAGAAATTTTTTGAGTTACGGTAATTTTTGTGTCTGCGATTTTGGTTTTTCCGTCACTCTGTGTGTTCGGGGAGAGACCACGGCTGGTAACTTTCCTGAAACATTCTTCTCAGCAATACCTACGGAGAGATACCACTTTGAAATGGATCTGTCCTACCGGTCATTTCGAAAAATCGCTTCGAAGAGGCTCAACTTGGCATCTGTCGGGGAAAATCGCCCGCGGTTAGAGATTTCTACCTCTCTTTCCTCGTCAGATCCGGTGCTAAAGTTTGTTTTTTTTTGATAGTGCAGGGTTGTACTTCATAGATGATAATGTTCCCTCAGACTTTCAGCCTACCCGTCTAGCTCAAAATTCAATTTGAACCCGATTTTGGCCTAAAAACAACGATTCTCAGATTTCAACGTTTTTTTTCTGAGCTCAGTCCTACTGAGGCTGGGCTCCAAAGTGTCTTTTATTACTTTTACATGTTACATGATTTGTTTGATCTAGGAAAAACTGTGTTTGAGCCTACCCGTCTAGCTCAAAATTCAATTTGAAGCCGATTTTGGCCTAAAAACAGCGATTCTCAGATTTCCATGTTTTTTTCTCAGCTCATTCTGTTTGAGTCAGGTCTTTGAAGTGTCTTTTATTACTTTTACATGTTACATGATTTGTTTGATCTAGGAAAAACTGTGTTTGAGCCTACCCGTCTAGCTCAAAATTCAATTTGAAGCCGATTTTGGCCTAAAAACAGCGATTCTCAGATTTCCATGTTTTTTTCTCAGCTCATTCTGTTTGAGTCAGGTCTTTGAAGTGTCTTTTATTACTTTTACATGTTACATGATTTGTTTGATCTAGGAAAAACTGTGTTTGAGCCTACCCGTCTAGCTCAAAATTCAATTTGAAGCCGATTTTGGCCTAAAAACAGTGATTCTCAGATTTCCATGTTTTTTTCTCAGCTCATTCTGTTTGAGTCAGGTCTTTGAAGTGTCTTTTATTATTTTTACATGTTACATGATTTTTTTGATCAAGAAAAAACTGTGTTTGAGCCTACCCGTCAAGCTCAAAATTCAGTTTGAAGACAATGTTTGGCCTATTCTTGCTTGAATCCCTGATGAACGAATTCACAAAAGAGTTTCTCAGCGCCTTGATACTAGAACGTATTCCAATTTTTGTGAATGACATTTTTCGAGAGCAGAAAAGTTCATGAAAATATTTATTTTCTCGTCAAAATCTTCGAAGTCGAAAAGCACTCGAAAAACAGGTTCAATTTGGATTATTTCAATCTAAAGCAAAATTCAAATTTTAAGAGACAGATTTTATCTATCAATAATTTCTCCAGAAGAGGGATATAATATCGAAAACCACTGTTTCTAGGCCAGACTCGGCTTCAAGTTGAATTAAGAGCTAGACGGGTAGGTTCAAATGCAATTTTTTCTATATGAAATATTTCATACAACATAGAAGGAAAGTGAGAAACACTTCAAAGACCTGACTCAAACAGAATGAGCTGAGAAAAAAACATGGAAATCTGAGAATCGCTGTTTTTAGGCCAAAATCGGCTTCAAATTGAATTTTGAGCTAGACGGGTAGGCTGAAAGTCGGAGGGAACATTATCATCTATGAAGTACAACCCTGCACTATCAAATAAAACAAACTTTAGCACCGGATCTGACGAGGAAAGAGAGGTAGAAATCTCTAACCGCGGGCGATTTTCCCCGACAGATGCCAAGTTGAGCCTCTTCGAAGCGATTTTTCGAAATGACCGGTAGGACAGATCCATTTCAAAGTGGTATCTCTCCGTAGGTATTGCTGAGAAGAATGTTTCAGGAAAGTTACCAGCCGTGGTCTCTCCCCGAACACACAGAGTGACGGAAAAAAACCAAAAATCGCAGACACAAAAAAATTACCGTAACTCAAAAAAATTTCTACAGTAACATATGATGGTATGTACTGAAAAATTTCCTAAAATTGCAATCCCTATCGATTGATATACAATACGCCTAGAAAGAACGCCTAGATTCTTAGATACGAAAAAACGTACCTGCCTACCGTAACCTAGCTACGGTAGGAGGAATCGGTCTGAAAACTTGCGTCGGCATTTCTGACGACAGACTATCACAGTGGGTGAAGTTTCATCGAAATCAAAAAAATATTTTTTCTGTTGTACCCACTCTTTTTGAAAACTTTTGAAAATTACAGAGACAGCGTGTTAAGTTTTTTTTCATTATTTTTATGGTTAAAACCATAAAAATAATGAAAAAAAAATTACATAAGTTCAGATATACACTAAGAATAACTGACGAGATAAATGCGAGCTCGGTGGCGGTACATTGACTAACTCGCAAAAATGTCGCTTTTTTCTAGGCGCGATCTCGCATTTGTCTCGGCGCGACCTCGCATTTTTCTCGGCGCCATCTCGCATTTATCTTGCATTTCGGAAATTTTCAAATTGCGAGAGAAATGCGAGCTCGCGCCTAGAAAAATGCGAGCTCGCGCCCAAACAAATGCGAAACCGGCGCGAGAAAAAATGCGAGATGTTTGCGAGCTCGTCAATGTACCGCCAGTGTCTCGCGTTTATCTCGGCAGTTATTCTTAGTGTACATTAAAAAAAACCGTTATCATATTCACGTGTACAAATCATGGAACCCTGACTCCTCGAAAACTCTCTTGAAATGAACGTAACCAACCGTTTTAGTCTTGAATTCGTTTTTTCACATTTTTTTTTGACGTTTTTTCTTTTTTCTCTGCTAACGTTCATTCACTACGCACATTTCAAAAAAATATTTAGGCTCTCATGGCCCTTTTTTCGTCCCCTTCAGCAGAACGGTCTTCTGTAGAACTTGAAGGTTGAGCCAGTTGGTCACGATTTTCGTTTCCCCTCCGGGCTAGAGTATGATTCCGTTCGAAGCGCGTTTTTCTCTGCTTTTGCCTTTTTTTTTTTGACATAAAATCCGTTTTGTTAAAGGCGTATGCCGAGATATATATCGCACGCTTTGAAGGGAAGGGTTCTGTAGCTCAGAGGGTAAACGAAAATCGCGACAAGCTGGCGCGCGGAATGAGCTATTTCGCCGAAAGTCTGAAATGAAGCGCTACCATCGTTGGAGACTGGGAACGGCGGGTCGCGACGCGGCTCCTCCTCTTCGCACTCCTCCGTCTCTTCGTAGGTCACTGGAACTCCGGACATCGTTTTCAGATCTATTTTGTGCCGTCTTTTAAACGCGTCCAACCATCCTTCAGATCCCTTGAATGTTTCGATCCCTGAAACCAGCGTTTTTTCAGAGGACGACTAGAAGATTTAATTAGGTAGTTAACTAGAAATTATCCTCTATAAAGGAATGTAATTTTGATATTTAACCTAGTTGCTTCGCGTAGAGCATGGCTTTTTCTTTGAGTTGCTTGCCGTTGACCACGATTCCGCTCATTCGGCACCCGTCGAAGAAATCCCACATCATAACATTCAGGCCGACGTATGAGGTTCGACGCACCTCAAAAGTCAACATCACAACATGGAGCGAAGATGAATGGAATTAATACATATTACTCATTGAAACTATTGAAAATATGCGCTAAAGTTGGATAACTTTTTGAAAGTTTTCTAATAATTTTTCATCCGTATTTATCAGATTCTGTTGCACGAAATGCGTCTCGAAGAGTCAAAGGATCAGTTAGAGCTCAAAAACAAAAGTTTTTTACAAGTTGAAGTTGAAATTTTCAGTTGCGAAAACGAGGGAAAAAACCTTAGATCGCCTTCTGTTTGGCTTGACTGGAGTGTTGATGTCGCATGGCCCTTGGATAGGAGCAACATAAGTCGAAGTTTGGGGGTTCAGATTCATGTCCTGATTCAAGAACAGATGCTGGAACTGAAAAGCACAGGTCACTTCAAGAATCAAGCGAGAGGAAAACAGCGCCGTTGGGAAGATCGCTTTTCATTATCGGCACAGGAACGTTGATGTCGCACGGATAGGAAACGGAGAATCTCTTTTTTTCTTCCTGACTGAACTTTTTCGCTTTTTCTTCTCACCGAGAACTCTTGGACCTACCTTGTCAAGACTGGAGTGGGGTCGTTGAACACGAGGCTTTGTCCCTAAAAATCGCAAAACTTGGATGAAAGCGCAAAATTCACTAACTAGAGTACTGTCAAAAATTAGACAGCTCCCAAAACTTTTTCCGATCGAGCTAAACAGGATTATCATCGCAAGGAGCTTAGAAAACTTCAACAAACTTTTTGTAAAAATAGGGATTGTAGGCGGCAAATGGAGGGATTTCCATTGAAAGAACAATGACTGGATTTCCTGAAAAAAAAAAAAGAGGAAACTGACAATCAAGAAGGAACTTTTCAACTTTTCGGCTCTACAGAGAGAAACGCGGAGAGATGCTCGACAATGCTCTGGTGAATCAGAAATACACTGTTAGTGAAGAATTCTGAAAGATCCACGAAACGATTGATCAACAACAGTTGGCTGAACCTTCGAGTTCCAGGCTGGGGGCAGAGCTGTCGATGGCGATGCCGTGAGAAAGTAGTAACTCCAGAAGACACGTCCGAAGAAGGCAGCCTTCGCACTGGAAAGTCAGGGCTTCGTGCAGTGGAACCGTGAAGGAACCTTGGTGCAGGATTTGTCTGAAAGTATTTCATGGAAAAACTTATCTTCTATCGCAGATAGCAAAATAATAATAACAATTTTCATCTTACCTAACAATACGGGAAAAAAGTTTGAAAAGTTACAGAGATTTTAGTTTGAGGGTGAGGCCCGCCTCTTTTTTCAGAGCTTAGAACATAATTAATTTCTAGTTATATTAAACTAAGGGCCCTCCAACACTATCATAAAACTGAGAAAAAAAAACTTTTTACACTGTCTTTTGTCGAATTACATAAGTCTGTTAAATCAAAGCTTTAAATCAAGATAAAATTGACCTTCACGACCTCAAGTTTGTGCGATGGATGTAAGTGAAATTTCAGCCTTTAGTTTACCGTTGTGTGAATTGAGATAATATCCGAACCGTGATGAAAACTAACGTGATAGGGACATACGGGGCACCTTTAATGAAATAATTTCCTTTTTCGCGTGAACCACGGGATATCTTCGGGTCAGACTTCCAAAACGGAGGAAGAGGGTAGCTGTGGATAGTCATGAGCTGAGTTTCAGGCTCATCTTTCCTGCAAAGCATTTATCATGAACAGCCGAAAAAACTTTTGACGTACCCTGATTCAGGTAAAGAAGGCACAAATCTTCCTCGAGTATTGTTGTTCGCGTACTCTGAGATGTTGCTCAAAATTTCCTAAAACAAGCTAAATAACAATTATGTAGTTAAAAGTTACCTACTCTCTTGTAAATTAAACTACTAGGTTGGCTGGTTAGAAAACAACGGTATTGTTGGAGTTCATTTAAATATGAAAAAAATGATATCTAGTTTGAAAATCCTAGCTTGAAAAAGAACTATGAATCGATAAACCCAACACTCTAAAAAACCTGATAAGAGGGAAGTTCCCATTTTAAAAACAGCGCATTCAAAGGACGGAAAATTAAATTTAGTAAGATTAGAAACAGCGCAAGAAGCAAAACTTCATCTAAACCGAACTTCGAAGTTTTAAGCCATTTTCATTTTATTTGAAGGATACAATCAATTAATCGGAGATATAACTATCCACGTGGGTGCCTACTTTCCAAACAAATTACCTATTAAACTTGCAAGTTTCCTTTTGTCGTGTAAAATATCTATTTTTTATTTTTCGGATTGAAAACATTCGAGCTGACTGACCTCGATACTGATGTTCTGAACTTCAGAGTCTCCTTCAATAATGGGAATTGATTCATCGCTGCTGGTATAATTAGATATGAGCTCCTTGAAAAATTAAAAATACGTTGGACTTTAGGAAAAAGTGGAAACTTGAACTGAAACTGGAAGCAACGGAGGCGAAGCTCCGTTTTCCGTGGCTGTAACCGTAGAATTTGTCGGACTCTCCTTGGACTTTTTACTCTTTATCATCCGCACTCTGTAGTTTCTTAAGTGCTGCGCCAGAGCTTCCTGAAGTTTCTCTCGTAGGAAGTATATCAGAGCTAATGACACCTTGACAGACATTTCCTTGTCGGAAACGGCAGCAATATGAGCCACAGAAACCGGTGTGAGTTCGGGACCGACCGGGGCTAAGCCCAAAGTCTGCTGGAAAGTTTACAGTGTGGAGAAGTTGATAGGGAAAGATGATTCGGGTACCTGAGTATTGAAAGAACCGCGTTGACTATCGAAAAAGGCATTTAGGACGGTTGTGTCGCTGACCTGAGGGAGTCCTGGGTAGACTTCCTAAACGAAACTATCCAGACTCGAAAAATATTTCGACAAGCGCCAATATCACAATGTATTAAAGCATTTCTGGCTTGTTTTAATGAACTGAAAACGCTTCAAAAAATTTTGCGCACAGAATTTAAATTTGAACATTACTCACCCTTTCTCTTTGTACATTGTCTATGTAATCCTCTACGCCGTTCTTCATCTAAAAAAATTTTTTTTAGATAAATAAAGTGAATTTTTCGCTTTTCGAATTAATACCACTTTTGGACTTGTTTCTTCATCAGTCGCCTTTTGATCGTCTTTTTACGAGCCTGTAAATTATCTTCACTCCTTTTCGAAATACATTATTAGTTTGAAATTACTGAATGATAAGGAACGATAGAGAGATAAAGAGTAAGATTTCTTTATTCAATATAAACGTCAAACCGACCTCAAGTTCGTATTTCAAAGGAATTTCGTCGTAACCCAGTTTTAGAGAATTCAAAGACGTTCGTGTAGATCTTCTAAGCGGTGATGTCATTTAAAAACCTACAAAAAAAGAGAATTTCTTGAGTCGGACACACTAAAAATGAGCAAAAAACCCAAAAAATATTGAATAAAGAAAAAAAGATGACTAGTCGCATTTTTATCAAGAAAAAGAAATTTTTGTCATGAGATAACACTCAAAAACTTTAAAAAGGTAAGAGATATTATCAAAATACTGAATGTATTAAAATCTAGACCAACAATTTTTACAAATGCATGCTTTTCTGAGAAATTTCATCCGGAAGAAAAATAAGAAAGATTAGTTTTCATAAATTCTCTCCTATTTGCGAACCGTCAGTTTTTTCTTCCTAGCCTTAAGCTTTACACGTATATCACTCAGATAATAGGGATTTTCTTCAAGGAAAGAGTTTAAAGGTTGCAAAAATGATTGAAAGGAGGCGCTTCGATCGGAGAGAAGAGTGTGAGAGAGAGAGAGGGAGTGAGTGAAAGGAGTGACCAGACGGCTAAACGCTCTTGCGTGGTCTTGGAGCGGTGAGAGAGTCTTCAGATCTCGGAGAGAGCCATACAAGCAGATAATTTTGCCCGGTCTCTCCGAAGGCGCTCTGCTCGTCGGCGTCTCTTTTACACAACGTTTTTGAAGGCTATGTCTCGAGCGCCACACTCTTTTTTGCTGCTTTATAAAAAAGCTGCATACGGTTTAGTAACCGAACAGCCAGCTTCTTCAAACTTGAGCAGAAAGAGATCACTAGAAGGAAGTGTGATTTTTTCTTTATCAAGATCTTCCTGTTTCTTTACATTAAATAAAAACAAACGAAACCAGGTTTTTTTTTCTTCCTAATGCGTTATTTTCTGTTCATTTGGAAATTTCTGATGAACTTCTTTAAATAAAAGCCACGTGTAGCCACCGACCATGTAATTTTTAATGACGAAAAATGTTTGATATCTTGAGTAAGTCAAATTTGTTTTCCATTCTATAGTCGACTACAGCCTTCGATTCTCATTAACTTTCAATATTATTATTAATTAGAAAGACAAAATATTTGAAGAATATAAAAATCGTGGCTTATGGCGACGTTTCCGAGTATGTTCGAAAAATATCTTTCATACACCTCGAATTAACAAAAATTTTCTTTTTCCACAGAATATTTTTTTCTTTTCACACAATAATCTTTACTCAACTTTGCGCGTCGCATGCGCTGCTTTTCGTGAACTGCGTAAAAACAGTCAATCACACGGAGTTCTTTGGATCGGATGTTTCTTTTTTTCCTGCAATTTACGCAATTTGCAAATTATTATGTTTAGAAAGAGATTTTTTTAAATTTGTAAAAAAACTTTTCAAATTTTTTTCGAATGTGCTACCTTATTTCGAAGTCATCTGGAAAAATTTGAGGTTTTTCTTCCAAAAAAATGTTTTTTTTTATATTTTTCCAAATTCAATGTCTCTTTTTTTGATTTTAACGCTCTTTCTTGCTTTTGGTACTTGACTGTAAATGCGAATTTCAGGATGTCTTCCAATATTAGTTTGTTAGTAAGCTTTTCTATATGCATTTTTTTGATTTCGGCTTTCTGTGATGAAGAAATAAACGACTATGGATGGAAAACGAATCTCGTTGATGTCGTTCCGCAACAAAAAGAAATATGCAATATTGAAATTCACGACGCAAAAGATTTATCTACACGGGAGTTTTTGAGAAGGTTTTCTAATTTTTTTTTTCATTCTGTCTGAACAATGCATTCAGGTACGCTTTCTCCGAACCTGTGATTATTAAAAATATTGAGAACGATGAGTTTCGGAGGTTGACATCGCGTGATGAAATGATCAAAAACTGGTCCAATGAGAAAGTTACTCTTAATTCGGCTAATACCTACAGTTACACAAGAGTATGATGAAACTTTTTCGAAATATTAATTTATTATGTTTAGGTAGAAACTTCGTTTGGAGATTATATTGAGAACCGGCTCAAGCCTCAAAAACTTGGATATCTTAGGAAACGAAACTTTATATTTATTTGGCGATATCGACCAACGGTGATTACTTTTTAATTAAAAGAAAAATTGGTATTTTTAGAACGTGGGCCTCTCTGCTAGATGAATATAAAAAAACCGAGATGGGAACTTCCTGGACATTCCCCAGCGCTCAGTTTTGGCTTAGCTGGAGCAGGTTATCTTTTTCTTCTCGTTTTTTTTTTTTCAATTTTGAACTTTTATCGCACTAGGCAGTGCTTTTTGTTCTCTTTCAACTTCTATCAAAGCTGAAAGCTGAGCGTATGTCGTAAAAATGAATGTTGAAGCAGCTTAAATGAGTTCAAAGCAATCAAATTGGAATTTATGTTAACTCATTAACATTTACGCTGCGTAAAGTCATGTTAGGCTTTCAATAGGAAGGTAATATTGTTTATAAATGTTTGTTCTTAAAAATTTTCTTCACCTTGAGTTCAACTTGGTAAAAAAAACACATTTGGTCGAAATTTTTCGTTTTATGTTTAAAAGTTCTAGGAACTGGTGTTCCTTTCCATTTTCATGGGCCCGGCTTCGCCGAAGTCATTCATGGGAGCAAACGTTGGTTCTTGTATCCGTTTGAGAAAAGACCGAATTTCAATCCTGATAAAACGACGCTCGAATGGTGAACTTTCCTCTATAACTAACTCTCATAAGTGTATGTTTTTCGTTGAAACAAAATTACTTTTCAGGTATCTGAAAGATTACCCAAAACTGCAACGCGAAGACCTTCCTCTAGAATGCGTTTTGAAACCCGGAGAAGTGATCTATTTTCCCGACAAATGGTGGCACGCCACTCTGAACATTGAATTAAGTGTTTTTATAAGCACCTTTTTAAGTCCCACCAAATAAGATATTCATAATTATCATATTATAGATAATAATTATTAAAAATAAAGTTATTTAACTTATTTAGCTCGAAGAAACATATTTGATTGTGCAATTACTATAATTTTTTTCGTGTACTCCTCTTCTGAAAAAAAGTTTACGTGTTATCTCTTTTATGTGATGATTTCAGTTCTATGTGATGCTTTTTCTTAACAGTTCGATATTGTATTCAATTGATTTTCAATTAAAATATTAAATTTGATACTTTTTCTGTGTTTTTTTTTAACGGTAACTAGTTTCACCGGTGAGTACCTTTTTTTTCTCGACTGCCTCTGTTTTTATCAATTCTTGCGTAGCAATGGCATCTAGACGACGCATCGGTGTTGGCGCAGTGCAAAAAAAGCAGGAAACTGCTACCAAGGTTCGATTTCTCTTTCCGTTTTTTCTGTTTTCTCGAGTTCTCAAATCTTTCGAAATGGTTCTTACCTTAAAATCGTTTTCTACAGTTCGCTGCGAAGGGCGAGAAGCTGGCCGGGGATCAGTTGCAGCAGTTTTCTCAACAACTGGACCAATTAGCTCAAGGGTGGGTTACGAGTTCATTTTTCTTGTTTTCTTGCATTTTTTGGTTTTTTCTTGCGTTTTGAGCTTCTGGAAAGTAGAAAAAGTTTGGATCTCTGATTTCGCTCAGACTGGAGATGTTTGCTCACCGTCACCGGGACGAAATCAGGAAGAACTCGCAGTTTCGCCGTCATTTCCAGGAAATGTGCGCGAGCGTCGGCGTCGACCCTCTAGCCTGTATCAAATCTTCCTTTGCAAGACTTACATCTCTCAATTTCAGCTAGCAAAGGATTTTGGGCGAAAGCGCTAGGGTTTGGTGACTTTTACTATGAACTTGGCATTCAAATCGTAGAGGTATTTTTTTCGTTTTTGAGTTCGTTTCATTCATCTTTTGTTAAGATTTGTCTCTCGACTACTCACATTAATGGAGGAATAATGACTGTAGAAGAAATTCGCAATCGGCTGATGAGGACGAGGTCGCGAACTCGCAAAGAGACTATTTCATTGTCAGTGTGACGTGTCCGTTCCCAAAAAAGTCTGAGTTAATCAGTGACGACATTTTGCGCGCCGTTGAGAAGCTCAAGGTATTGGGCGGCGGCTTCGAGTTGGTTCCGCTAGGTGGTGGCCGATTCCTCGTCCAGGTTTTTCTTCTTTTTCAGTCAACCCTATTAGGGATGTCATTTTAAAGTGAAGTTTGGATGTTTCTGTAAACTGGCCCAAAAATCTGGGAATGTCCAGAAGAAAACGAATTTTTAGAAACTTTCGAACTTGACATTAAATTTATTTTTCTTGGTAGAGGAACAATAGAACTGAATGGCTCAAGTTGAATACGCGACTGAATAAATGAGAGAAAAATTTTGTTTCCTCGAAAAACTCATTTCAATGGTTTGCTTAATTTTTTCGAATTTAATTTCTCATATTTTAAATTTATTTCTTTGGATTATCAAGTTTTTTTTTTTCAATTTTATTAGGGTGTATCATATAAAGTCCCAGAGTTGAATTAATGTATATTTACCTTATTAAAAAGATTTCCAGTCGATTCCGGGAGAATTGAGCATGGATCATTCTCGTGTGCTGCAACTCGCTGAAGATACCGCCTACGTCACTTTAGAGCTCATTATGGACCGTTTAAGGTCTGAATTCGTTACCCTTTTGTTTTGACCATTCATTTCAGATGGGACGAGGCTCGAGCTCAATCCGTTCTAGATTATCTGGTCAAAGAAGGTCTTGCCTGGATCGATTCTCAGGTAAGAATAGACATTTTGAGAAACGGTCTCACACGGGAAGTGCGAAAGGTCGAGGTATTGGAATTTAATAAAACTTGGTATATAGGTACTTCCGAACACCCTGAATCCAAAGCAGTTGAAAAAAAGTGCGCCTTTTTGGTTCTAGTCGAGTTAGGGCGTCTCAAAGTTTGCACGCAAAAATTGCATTGGAAGGGAGGAGGGAATGTCTTGCGGCGGCTAACTCTAGCTGCCAGCGTGGTGTAGTGGCTAGAGGCCTTGCGCTGTGAAACCTGAGGCAGGTTCGGCCCCTTTTTGGTGAAATTTTTTTTGCCAATTTTTTTATTTGAAAAATGAGGATTTTTTGATGATGGAGTGAAAGAACAGCTCAAAATTTTGAGATTCACCGTTTTATGCCCATCTGAGAAAGAATTTCGACAAAAAATTTTTTTGCTCCATTTTCCTTGCCTAACCATAAGGCTTAATGGTCGACCCACTTCTTCAAAAAAATTTCTGATGAACCAATAAAATCAAATTTTTATGAGATTTATTCTTCTCTCCTTCCTTTATGACGTTATGTGTCGAAAGCTGTGAATCAATATCCAGCTTCACTTCATTTTCGCAGTCGAGAAGATATGGCGATGCTTCAGGGGAGGAAAAATACCAGGAAGTGGGCTAACTAACCGCCACATTTGAAGAAAAAAATTGTTTGATCAATAAGAATAGAAGCATAGAGCTACAATAAGTTGTTATTCATGACATAAAACTATGAACTCTCGCAAGAATAATCACGACGCTCAAATTTCCTGCACAGAGCATGACAAAAAAAGACTAAAAATTTTTTGTTGAAAGTCTTTCTCAAAACGACATAAAATAGTGAGTTTTAACATTTTGAACGGAATTTTTCGTTCCATTTTCAAAAATTCATCAATTTTTTCGAAAAACTTTAAGGCAAAAAAAATTTCACCAAAAAGGGACCGAACCTGCATCATAGGTTTCACAGCGCAGGGCCTCTAGCCACTACAACACGCCGCCTGCTGGCAGCTAGAGTTAGCCGCCGCAACACATTCCCTCCTCCCTTCCAATGCAATTTTTGCGTGCAAACTTTGAGACGCCCTAACTCGACTAGAACCAAAAAGGCGCACTTTTTTTCAACTGCTTTGGATTCAGGGTGTTCGGTAGTACCTATATACCAAGTTTTATTAAATTCCAATACCTCGACCTTTCGCACTTCCCGTGTGTCAGAAAAAAAGAAAATCTTAAAAAAAAAATAAATTTCCTTTTTTCAGGCGTCCGACACGACGCAATATTGGGTTCCGTCGCTGTTCCTTCAGCAGTATTGCCACTCTTCGAGCAGCACTTCCGTGTCGGAAAGCATCAAAAGCGTCGCAATTTATTGATCTCCTTGTAAACGCCGTCTTGCCATGTGTATATATTACCTTCTAGTCCATTTTCAGAAAAATAACAGCAAATGCTATGGAAACTTATTTATTGAATGAAAATGTCTTCTCATTCTAATAAAATTGAAAGCTACGTTTTTTTTTAATCTGTTCCAACTGTTCTTTTCATTTTTATTTATCTCGATAACAGATTCATTGGTCTCAAAAAATTTCGAGCTTTTCTCTTAGGGCAAATGGCTTCTCTAAGAGTCCGACCAGAACACTCCGGACCGCCTGAATTGGTTGGCTCAAGGAATTTGTTTCATGTCGAATCTGGTTTCAGTACTACAATGAGGTGGAGGCGAGCAGATATGCTTCGAATTCGCACATTCTGAGCATTCAAGCTGAAATGGCGGAACGGGCGCTGGAACTTCTAGCGTTGCCAGAAGACAAGTCTGCTTTTATACTGGATGTTGGTGAGTTGAATTCTATGGTGGATTCCTTTTATCGATAAGATAGGCTGTGGGTCTGGTATGAGCGGAGAAGTTCTGACGAATGCAGATCATTTTTGGATCGGCCTCGACATTTCCTTGCCTATGCTCAGTGAGTCTAACTCGTGTTCCTGGCCTTTGAAAGAAGAGAGGGAACTAGTCTTGCTCAGAGATCGCCTCCGCTGACAAAGACGCGCAAGACAACAGCGACTACGTCTGGCAGGACATGGGCGCCGGCGTTCCTTTCCGTCCAGGAACCTTCGACGGCGCCATCAGGTTCCGTCTTTCTTCAAAGTCCGAATTCTACTGTTCTTTCAGTATCTCGGCGATCCAATGGCTGTGTCATGCCAATTCGAAAAAGGAGAACCCTCGGAAGCGCCTTCACGACTTTTTCCAGTCTCTCTACGCCTCTCTGGTTATTTTTATATTGAAAATATTCCGCGCTTGCTCCCCAAACTGTAGTTCACCGAATTGGTTTTTAGGATATAAAATTAGTTTTAATAGTTTAATATAGCTTTTTATACCTCATCATGGCCTGAATCAAATATTTTAACCTGTATTAAATGAAAAACCAAGGTTCTGTTTTACTTACTCTCTTTTTCGAAGTTCACGTAAACGAGCATTCAATATTATACATCAATATACTTTAGGTGCCTTTTCCTCAGAATTTTTCCTTTTCCATTTTGTATGCAAAAAAGAAGCGTTTTGAAGGTGATTTCTTAGATAACTCGAAGGGAAGATGACTTTAAAAGCAGGAGATGAATATAAATTCTCCGTGTGGTGTCAAAGAGAAAACAATTTTTGTCTTGTTCCTTATCGAACAGGAACTTCAGGCGAGAGGGTCGCGTGCCGTGTTTCAGTTCTATCCCGAAAATGAGCAGCAAGTCGATCTGATAATGTCGCAAGCCACGAAGGCCGGCTTCAACGGGGGTCTAGTCGTCGATTATCCCGAATCGACCAAGGCCAAGAAGTACTTCGATCAGGGAAACTGTGAGGAAACGTGTTCTGCAGGGTTTACCTGGTTCTGATGACTGGAGGGGTCGCCAATTTGCCTCCCTCGCTTTCCTGTGATGAGCCGCGCAAGTCTCAAGTCGACAACACGGAAAGGACGTCGGTTTTCCATTTTATTTATTTAATTTTTTTGATTTGTAATCTTTTGGACCGAAGCATAACAAGGTTTTGATAAATTTTCCGCCAAGTATTCTGCAAAGACAACCAAGTTTCACTTTTTATTTTCCTTGCTTTTAATATATATAACATTTTTGTCAATTGAAAGGTGAAAAAGCTTTTCGAAATCAGTTACTTCAAGCAGGTCAAATCTTTCATTCCTCTAATTGAATATTGAACTAGTCTGAGCAGGCTTTGACGGAAGAAAAGAAGGGCACAGAAAAATCAGAATTTTTAAAGTTGCTTTTTTTTCAAATCCGTAAAATTCAAGTGCTTCAAGTTTGTCGCTAATATTTTTTCTGACTGCGTTGTAAAGACTGTTAATTTCTCGGACCCATAATGAAGTCAATTTTCTCGGCAGATTCTTTTCAAAAAGGTAATAATAATAAATACCTGTCGCCAGCAATCCTAATTTAAAAAAAAGTTTACTTGGTAAATGAGGCGCATTCGTTTAAGATTCACTATAAGCGGCCGGAGAGATTCAAAACCAGCCAAAGGATCGAAGGCGTGGATCGAGGCAAAACGGCAGCGAATGGTACGAAAGGGAAGGTAGGTATCGAAATGGTAGTTTATACTTACCTGGTGTCCTCAGAGATGTACGACACGAGTCCAAGTATTCCGGCAGGAAAAGGAAACCAAAATTCTAAGTTTTCAATTTTTTTGTTGTTTTTTTGGTTGTTAGTTAACTGTTGATATATTGAACGAAAAACTAATAAAAAAACTTGTTATTCTTACAGTGTTATAGTTGCTGTAAAAAAAAGGGAAAGAAGTCCGTTTAGGTATTTAAATTTGAAAGTTTCTTATTTATTTTTTTAAGGCCAGAAATTTTTTTCAAAATCTTTTTCATCATTGCAAGACCGTGGATTTTTTAAAATTTTTAAACTCTTGCTTTATTCGTTTTTTTCATTCTCTATTCATTATCGTAAAGTGAGCCTTTTTGTTCTAACCTTATATTTTAAATTTTGAATTTCGGAGAACATCATGAATGCTATTATTTTGAAAATTAATTTTTCTCAATTTTCAAAAAGTTTCGAAATTAAGAAAATAATTCATTGAAAAAGATTTTTGTGTCTAGTGAAATTTTTAAATTTACTGTAAGGTATATTCCACTTGTGCGACTGATTCACTAAACTAGAGGAAAATCCCCATTTCGAGACGCCGCGTTGTTATTGCTCGGTACTGAGGATCGGCCGGCGGCGAGGGACACTGGCTCCGTGGCGGCGGCCGCGCGCCAGTGACCTCGCTCTGTCTTGACCCTCCATCCAGTGGACATGTGGCTGACCAGCGTTCGCACTGGATGTTGTTTGGGGATGGCGCCGCGCCGCCAGTGTCCTGCGTTGCGGCCACTCGGTCCAGCTCCCGACCTTCTCTAGGCCTTTTTTCTACTTTATCCCGTCTGAACTCTTAATCCTTCTATAAAGTGCACAACGGTTTTTCCGCCACTCCAGTCTTTGCATTTGAACCTAGGACATATTTGCACAGCGCAATTTTCAGAAAAAAAAAATGTTCTATCCTCATCGTCCATTATGAGGGTTTATGGGGTGGACAAATACTGAAAAAGTAGAATATATCTTGCTCCTGTTTCTGATAAGAAAAAGTGAAAAATTAAATTTTTTTCATTCGTATAATTCTTTCTTTTTGTTGAATGTTTTTGAATAACATCCAAATATCAGTCACTTCCTTCTCTCCTTCTTCTGAGAAATTTGCGAAGATGCTTAAAAGCTTCTCCATATATATATATATATATATATATATATATATATATTTTTTTTTACACTTTTTTTATCCGGATTTTTGACTTTTTCATTCATGTTTCTCGGCATTCATTGAAACTGGTTTGTTCGCCTAAAGATTCGAATACGGAACCAAAATGAAAATAATTTTTCCTTTCGAAATCACTGAAAAATTGTCCTAAGTCAGCAACTTGAAATACACAAAAGTTGTTTCAAAGTTTGAGTATTTCTTTGTTCCTCTATATCGCAAAGATGGATCTCTTTAAACTTTATTGAGACAAGGAATCAGATATCTAGACATTATAGTTGTTAAACGGATGGTGAACACGGCGTTGCTCACACTGAAATCGGAGGTGAAGGAGTATGGGGACGACGCGGATTCCTGCGGAGAGAGCACCTCGGCCGACGGAACGCCGGTGTCACACGACATGCTCGACTTGTTCAGCGGAGGCGTCGACATTCAGAAGGTCCTCGAAGCTCTGACGACGCCTGCCAACCCCATTGGCGTCCTTTCGAAGGCCATCAGACCTAATGAGAAGCGCTCCGTTATGCGTCGCTACCGCAGAGGGAATAGAAAAAAGGTTATTGGATTTTCATACTTCGTTCAGTTATAGGTGAGTAACAAACTCTTATATAATTGTATTATATCTCTGGATAAGTATCGTCAAATCCCATTCACCATGCTTTGAAATAGTCTGCCTTGTCTGCATCTCTTTACTTTACGACACGACTATTAAATGAAGGAAATAGAAGGTGTTTGGCGAGATTCGCCGCTTAGAATTCAAAGTTTTTCAGCTTTAGCAAGTGGATTAGGTGTCAAAATAAGTTTTCTTGCTTTTTTCCTAGGTCTACAAGTTATATATGAATCGGATAAGTACTCGCTGAGATATCCTCAAAAAACCAAAACTTAATACACTTTTGAGCGGTACTGTATGTCTTTTACGATAAGTAACATCTGATATGATAAGGTTTATGAATTAATTTCGAAATTTAGGTCATCGACAACGGCTACGTGTTCACCTACGACAAAGATTCTTCTTGCGGCAGACGCAGCTTCTGGCGCTGCGAGCGAAAAAGCGAATGTCCCGCCAGAGTTCACACAGATCCAGTCACCAAATCAGTTTGTCTTTTTTTTTTCAATCCTATTCCGAAAAAACTATAATAGACTGCTTCAGGTCCTCAAAAGAATCCACGAGCACAACCACGAGCCGCCCTCGCCTGAAGAGCTGCCTTCGTGGCTCAAAACTGAAGAAGACGTGATTGTAGTCACCGCTGCTGCTGCTCCCATCAACAGCGCCGTTAGCTCGGAATCTTGCCAGACGGCCGCAAAAACAGAGGTGGAAGAAGAAATGGAAACCGAGATGACTCCAGCTGCGAACGTCGATCCGATGCAACCGAAGAAACGAAAGGAAGAGGAGAACGAGTTTTCTGGAGACGTCACGAAGGCCTCGGAGAGCAACAACGACTTCAAGGAGTTTGTGGACGTGGCACGTCGTATCATGCTGCAGTTCGACTCACTTTGGAAAGGCCAAAAGTTAGTTCGACTAATTGAGCTGCCTGCTTTGCATGTTAATTCTCTTCAACCGCGTTTCTCAATTCAATTATTCGCACGTTTGTACCACGGGAGAATTTGTTTTTCGTTGAACTTCCCGTTCCTTTATGTCCATTTATTCATTTTGGAATCTAGCAAGCAGGAAATCGCTATTCGAAATGGATGGTTTTTACGCGGATTGCGAAAATAGCTGATAAATCATGCTGTTTAGAACTGACTCCGTTGTCGACTGCGATTGTGAGGTTGCCGATTTTCTCGACTCCCACAACTTCACAGAGCTCAAGTCAACTTTTTCAAAGTGCGTGTTAATTTGTGAAAAAGGGATAACTTAATTTTTGTTTTAATTGAACGCCAGAAAATTTGAGATTTTTTTAACTTTCTTCTGTCTGAAACGCTTAGTTTTTCAAAAATTTCTTAGCAAGAAAAAATTATTGAGTTCAAAAGAAAATTTTAAAAAAAATCATGGTCATAAAAATCTTTGTTTGGTCTCCTAAGTTTAGAACCAAGGGCTTTTGTAGAAATAAGAGCGATGACTTTTCTAGAAAGATCAGAAGTTTGATTTGTTAGAAATGTCCAACAAAAAATTACGGCTACCTCGGAGAGTAAAAGATTCGAACTTGAGTTAGGAAAGGGTCTTATCAGTAGCTCTACACTGGCTCTGACCAATACAAAGAACTGAAACTGAAACGAACGGCTTGGGATGAATAATGGAAAGATAATTGTTGACGAGTCACAGTTAAGGTTCACGTTGAAAGACATGCGGAAATTGAGTGTTGAGCAAATCGGATTGGCCGTCGGCAGCGACATCAACGGCGTCCTGCTGCACAACCTGCTGCACGAGTCAGTTCGCCCCTAATGACGTCATTTGTTGGCTGCAGAGATCCCGCTGACAACCACGACGTTCTGCGGATTTTCGTTTCCGAAACGTGCAAGGAAGACGGAGGGCCCTTCTATCAAATGCTCTGTTTGCCACACAAAACCGAGGTTTCTTTTCAAATCCCTGTCAACTGTCAATGGCCGACCCTTTTACAAAGGGCATTTTCTTCCTCAATTAATCATTTTGGACTCGTCATCAAGAGGAGAAAAAAGGGAAAGATAGATTTTTGTTGTTTTTGATGAATGAAGTTAAATATTTAATGAGCGTTGAGAGAAGAAGAATCGTGGGATGAACGGGAAAAATAAATCGTCGCCTACATCTTTAATAAATAACCTAAATTTTATTTTAATAACACTTGCTTTGTTAGTTTTACTCACTAAATTGTTTGTTACTTTCAAAACAATCATCTCTTTTTTTTTGTTTTGGCTGCCTTCAAACTTGATGAGAAAAACTTTTTCCGTTTGACGGAACGCGTCCAAAGTCTGAACACACTATACACAATTGTGTGCTCAAGATAGTCACAAGGATGCGAACCTCGGAAATCTTATCGAAATAGGATCTACCAGATGCTCGGAAAACAATTAACGAGTGCATTTCAGAAAAATATTTCCTCTTAGATTTTTTCGCTGCTGATTATTTAGTTTTTTTAAAACTCTTCACGACAATTTCGAGAAAAAAAGAAGAAAAAGAAAGAAACCGAAAAATTACTATTTCGCGTTTTTTTCGAAAAATTTTGTGAGTTAGTTTTTTTCATTTTGAATAAATAAAATTTATCGCTTTGAAAAATTTGAAAAAAAGTCTCAGATTATTTTTTGGAAGTATTCTTTTTTTGAAAAAAATTTTTTTTTCAAAAATTCTGATAAGTTACGAAAAATTTTTCAATATAAATGTAAAGCTCTAAAATACATGCAGATTGTTTGAAAATGAAACTGCGGAACGTGATTTACTCTATTTTAAATGAAAATGAACCCCGGAAAGTAGCCTCAACAAAAATGATTTTTTTTTGCAGTGATAATAGCTGCTTATTCAAGTTTGAGTTTTTGGCTCAGAGTTGTTAACAATTTATTTTCCCATTTTTTGAGCGGCTCTTCTGAGTTTCTGCTCAGTTTTCGTAGCTTCGTTTAATATCTTTGTAAAATTCAAAATTACAAGTTAGCATAAACGTTTTCAAAAGCAAATTTTTTCTAAAAGTGTTGTCGATAAACTGAAGCTGTCCAAGATGAAGGGTTAAATAGAACGTAGGACATGGTTTTCGGAACATTATTTCATCTTAGAAATTACTTTTGAAATAATAAATTTATTCTATTTATTCACAGAAAGCCCTGAGAGAAGAGCTTGAAAAGATGCTGATCAAGGTGCCGAAAAGGCTGTGCGTGGCGGGGCCAGGAGAAGTCAACGTCCTGCTGTCTGATCGCGTAAGATCTTTCTCTTATTTCATTCACTTATTCACATACAAAATGTTCTTTTTGCCAGTTTTTGTCTCAATTTTCTCGTCTGCAGATCGTTGCGACCTGGAAGAATGAGCAAATCTTCGAGCTGACGACGTCAAAAACCTTCTGCAGACTTCGATCTCTAGACTGATCTTTTTCATTCGCTGTCCACTTTTCTTCTGCATCAGTTTAATGACATGATGTGCTGAGGCCGTATGCAGTGAAGTGAAAAATGGTTTCCGCCGTTTTCCTGGAAATGGAAAAGGCCTGAAACTCGCTAGAATATCATTGATTTCGACTTCATCCGATGTAACAAGGCTTTATAAGAAGATTCGGATTGGGAAGAAACAATTTCAGTCTAAAAAGACTAATTTTAGTCATTTTCGAGTTTCAGGAGAATGACGGAAAACCATTTTCCACTTTATTGCATACGGCCTCTGGTCCTAATTCTCTGTGTAGATGTGAAAAATTTCTATCCTTTTCAACAAGGAATGGGACAACTGACTGTGAGCTTTTCTCAGCACCGAGCCCATGTCATTTTTTTTCTTCCAAAATATGTCTTTCATATAAATTGCCGTATGAAATCACTTTTATTTTTGCTCTTTTTGATGACGGTTAAAAAATCACGTAGTGCCAAATTTTTTTTTTTCTATTCTTTCCGGATAGCAACGTGTTTTTAGGAGTTCCGATATCATTTTGTACAAATGCCTATTCGATTAACTGAATACGTGTCTTTTGTCTTTCGATCTCCTGGTCTGAATGATCTTCACTCTGCCCACAGGGCCAAAACCAAAGACGTATCTCCCCCAGTCGACCCGCCACTTTCTCTAAAAACGTCTTTCATTTCATGATTGGTACCCATAAATTATTTTTACTTCTTAGCGCCTTTGAAATTAATTCTAAGATTCTCCTGACAAGAAAAGAATTCAAGCCGCGAGAAGTACGCAATTAGAAAATTACACGGGGATCGTGCAACAATCGCCGAGTGCCTTTCCGCGGAAGAGAGCTTAATTGAAAAGAAAAGCTGCCGGCCAAACCTCTGCCCACTTTTGAGACGTTTCAAGTGTTCAGGCAAGGAAAGTCATATGCGTGAGGTTGGAATCCGCGCGGACTACGGTAACGAAGCCACTCGTCTATTTTGATTAAAAGTTCACGAAGGTAATTACTCCCCAGAGATGGCCTCTCAACTGCTCCGATAAACAGGAAGCTGTAGAAAACAGTGAGGAAATTGGATAAACACTCGGCCGATCATCTGTTCGAACTTGAGAGTTTCGTTTCGAAATACAACACAATTTCTACAACGTGTCTCTTTTCTAACTTAAGGTTTTTGAGGTTCCTTATCTTGAGAATGAGTTCGATGAAAAGGTCCGATTTGATTTAATTTCCAGCAGTTTTTAAATACCTAGGTAAGAGTTACTAGAAGAGATGAGATGTAAAAAAAATATACGAAAAATAAGTCCGACAATGTAAAATGAACTTTCGAAGTTATCATTCATATTAAATAAAACTTTTGGTCCAAAGAAGTCGTTATGAAACGAGCGAGGTATTGTATTTGAAAACCGCATCATAGAAGGTCCGAATGTTCGAACTTTATACTAGTCATCAAAATAATTATGAGTAAATATTTTGGTGAACCAATGGAAAAATATGGACTTGCTTCATAATGTCCAACATTAAATGATTCGTCTTTTCAGAACCTTTGAGGTGGAAGTTGAATAAACCGAAGAATTGAAAAATTTTAAATTTACGCCGTCCGAGTCTTATCAATCTCTAAGACCCGGATCCTTTTTTAATTGAATGAGCGCTTGTATTTTATTATTTTACAGCACTTTATAGTTTAAAGAAAAGAGAAAAATGTGTCTGATGAATTCATTCTTAGACTTTAATTCAACTCAATATTTCCTGTTCGGCGCGACTTGGAAATCTGGCCTGCCTCTGTCCTCTAGAATTATTTTCAAAGCGCTACTTAATTTTTTCAGTTTGAAAAAATTAGAGCACAGACAAGTCAGACTGTTTTGAGTCGTGACCTAAGGAGTTCTTCGAAAAAAGTGCGAAAATAGCTAATAAAAACCCTCTAACGTTTATTCACAATACAACGCACGATCACATTTGGGAAATGGCGGATGGGAGTGGCGCAGAGACTGAGATATGCAACAACGTCTTCGGTCAGAAGTCTATCATCGACCGGCACTGCTCAACTTGTTGAGGTTCATGCCGAGGAGACCGTTGATGAGCTCTGCGTTTGACCTGAAACGACGCCAACTGGATGGCCGCGAGACAAACTGACCGTTTGCCGACGGCGCTCAGCTTGCCGAGGTCCATGCCGATCAGACCGTTAATGAGTTCGGCGTTGCTTCGCTTCACGAACTGCATGTCGTCGTACATCTCAAGAGACAAGAGACCTTCACTGGCTGTTCATTTTGGCCCCACGGGGTTTCGGAGAGCAAAAAAACATCCTTTTTCATTCACCTATTGCCTAGACAAGTATTCACAAATCTTTGACGCAGTTTTTATGTCTGGTCTGTAAAATAAGTGCCCCCAAAATATAGTGGAGCCTTGACACACAGGGAATTTGCTTCGGAAAGTCAGCTCGGAATTCCGAATTCTCAGCTTTTCTCAGCGAAAAGACCGCACATAATTATGTGCGGTCTTTTCCAACAAGAGAGGTCATTTCACTTTCTGCTTGGGAAATTTAGGAAGTTTGAATATAGCTCTTTACGCGGAAGCTCTTCACGTTTTTCTTTCCGCCATAAAGACCGTATATCAAATTATATCAAAACTTACCAACTTCTTTTCAAGATCTTTTTTTGCTGTCTTTTTTGCATTTTTGTAGAGCAAAATGCAAAAAAGCTGTTGTTATGGTAGCTTTTTTTGCTGTTCTTTAAAAACGTGACCGTCTCGCGCGTAAAGCACTATAAAAACACTCTTTTATTTATTTTTTTTTTCTTCAATGAAGAGCTCGAAGGTTTTCGAAAGTTTTCTGGAAGTCTCATCTGCACAACTTTCATTTTCCTGCCAAAAACACAAAAAAAAACAATATTTGAAGAAACTTTTTTCGAAATCTATGACGTTGTTCGATCCCATGACTTTGATAAGGCTCTTGTCGTCTTTTTTTCGAAAAGGTGTTAACGCTGTGGGAAACTGGGTGTACCGCGAAAAAGAAAACCAACCTGTGGTGAACGGTAGAGGAGTGGCGTCGCCGTGGACACAGCGATAAGGGAGGCGAGCACAAGCAAAACCAAGGAGAAAATGTTGCAGACCATCGTGCGTCGTGTCGTCGTTCCAAGTCGTGAGGCGAAGGCGTGCCCAACCATCCGAGAGCAGAGGGGCGGTGCCTTTCAGAGCTTTGTCGCCACGCCTACTTGCCGGCCGCTCCAATTAACTCTCCTGCGATTAAGTGAGTCAATCACCGGAGAAAATGACGTCTGAGTGATAGTCCTTCCTGCCGGAAACAGTCGCTCAGGTCTGCTGGCTCGCCAGTAGCACGCGGAAAGCTTTGCGAAAGCTTCATTCAATAAATTATCAATGTGTGTTGATCTCCTTGTTCTCCTTTTGGACCTCAGGATGATGGTTCCAAGAGATGAGCCAGAATCTTAAACCGTCCTAACACTATAGTTCAAACTCTGTAGTCGCTGGATGTCCTCACACCTGAGTTCTTTGACACCGCGGTTCCAGACAATTTCTAATAAGCTAATTTTTTATTCTAGATACAGCATTAGATTTATAGTTCATCGGAACAAAGGCATTATGCACACATTTGAAAACTTCTAACCTTAAAAAAAGAGTACACGAACAAAGACACTTAGAATGATTAGTAGGAATTTTCGTTTTCGAGTGAAAACGTGACGCCGGAGAGCTCCTAAGCGTTTGAATAAATTTTTGGACACGAAATTTGTTTAACAGTAGAAGAATTATATCTATGTCTCATGACGTTCCAAGTCTTATTCGAACAACGAAGGAGAACACCAAAAAATCAAACAGGGCGACCAGTGCGTTGGTTTCTCATCTTCTCCATTCGGCTCTGCAGGTGCTTGTTCGTCTCTTTGGCTTCATCGAGCAAGTTCTCCTTATCTCGAAGCTGAAAAACTCAATTCTGAACAATTGGCCTTTTCGTAAATGTTTGTGGAGCGTCAGGAAGCGCAGCTTAACTTCCAACCGAAGAACAAGTGACTCAGGAAATCTCAAATCCATCGTGCGAAACGTCATTCGGTCATTGCAGTCTAAGCACGAATTGTTGCTACGCATCCGTCAAATTATTTTCATTTTTTTTTTCGTCGACTTTGAAGAAGTCCTTCATATGACATCTTAAACGACTCGTGGGCTCATTTTCGAGGAAGAAGAGTAACGACAAAAAAATGCTCGTTTTTCAAGTTATTAGTCCAGAATATGTAGCAAGAAATAAACTAGTCCCCAGGCGTGCCTATTCCGAAGTACTCGGACCACAACGTCGCAATTTTCTATTTGAAACAAAAGTAACGTAGAAAAAAATTACTTATACGCCACAAAAAAGCCAATAAACAAGAAATTGATAACCTCGAATATCCAATTACATTTAAAATGCTGTCTAACGGCCACTTGATCTCTCATAAGATGCTCTCTGCTCTAGAGACTTAGAACTTTTTGCCACATTTCCTTTTGAATAGTCAAACTATATTGAATTCAGCAGACTCTCTAAAAAATAAAATCAGTTTGAATCGCCAAGCTCAGAAAATAAAAACCCAGAGGGAAAAATAAGAAAAACACATTCACACATTTTTTTCATTTTTTTTAGTATCCATTATCTATTTGGAAAAAAAAATGGCTAAAAAATCGGTAAAAAAGTTCCTTACATTTGTGTTTACATATTATATTTTTTTTTTTCTACAAGTTTTCGCCAAAATCTTCGTTCACTACTCAACCATTTGTACTAAAAACTAAAACCAAAAAGCGTATAATAAAAGAATTGAGTTATGTCGTGACAAAATATCATGAATTTGCACGCAAATTAGCCAATGGAATCTGAGCCGCCCCTGGTTGGGCGCCGATGTCCGGCTGTCAGCAACTATCGCATTCACGGCGCGTCGAGACTTGCTTTGAAAAAGACGCAACGCCATCCATCATACTCGTTTCATTTACTCCTCGCGCGCATTTACTACCCCTCCGAAAACAAACATCGTCATCACCGATCCTAGCACAAAAAACTCGCAATTTTATATGTTACCTCCTTTTTGAGTTGACGCATCTGCGTTTTCAGCTCGGTGAGCTCTTTCTCGGCTGTGTCAGCGTTCGTCTTGAAACGCTTCATCTGGCCTTCCATCCGAATAACCTGCCAATTAAAACGATTTAAATGAGTTCAATGAAAGCAAAACCAACATTCCCTTGATGATTAGTGTTTTCTCGCTCGAGGTCTTGCATTTTGAGTTTTATTTCTGCCAGTTGTTTAACAGCGTCTTCTGAGAAACATTTTGTTAATGAAGCTTCAGAAAACAGATGTTTGAAACATGATGTACAAATAAACAGCCAGGATTTATAAGTAACGCATTAGGAACTAAATTTTTTTTCTTATGCTTCGATTAAAATATTCCAAAAATCTAAATGGCTAACTTAAACATTTATTTTCTGATTTCCGTTCCTAATGAAATCGTATGATTGTTTGAAAAAAAAATACGAACTGTTGACGTCGTCGACGCCGGCGCCGTTCGAAACCGAAGAAGCGGCTTCGCGATTATTTCGCGCCACCCTTTGGCTGTAGATGGTCTGCTCCATTTCCTCGTAATCTTTTCTCATTTTCTTGTTCTGAAAAAAAAAAAAACAAGACTATTGCTAGAAGCAAACAACTAGCCATGTCCACCAGCTTCTGTATTTTCTGATCCAAAGTGGCTGTTCCAGGAACCACTCTTTCAACCAGTCGTATCGTTTCCAACGAGAAAAGCAATGGTCCAGTGGGTCTGAACCGAACCAAAATCCTGGTGATCAAACCACTTTGTGAACAGCAAGGAAGAGAAAGAAGGAAGAAAAGTTTGCATCGAGGTTACGGTAGCTAATTATTGTTCCTTCGCCACCCTCGCCGCAGCCACAAAATTCCTTGCCAATCCAATCAACACTTGTGTCGTCACTGTTTGCCAATAAAGTTGTCTCGAGACTCTTCATTAAAACGAAAAAGAAGCATTGTTACACACGCCCTCTCCTTCTACACGAATTCTGCCCTCATTCGATTAGGCTTAATGAACAGAATATCCTCCTTTCGGCTTCTTTCAAGGATTTTGCGTTCACTTCGTCTTATTCACCCAAGGGGAAGCTCTTTAGGTTCACAAAGATGATCAAAAAAGAGTGTTGCAACAGAAATAGCCTCCCACATTTGCGTAGACGCTGCATTCGTCGCAGAGGATTCCTCGGAGCCTTCCGCTTCTTGTTCAACCAACACTAGACCATTATCCTGAATAGTGGGTCTACATCAAAACTTCGAACAAACAAGACAAAAGATGCAAATAAATAAGAGACCTGTATAAGTTGATCCCTATGCGCTATTTCTGCTTTCAATTGATTTTGTGTGTGATGAAGAGCTTCAACCGTTCGTCGTAAAGCTTTCACTTCCTTAAAACAAATCTGTTTCAACAAACATGGAATCCAATGGAAACGAAGAAAAAAGAAATTGATTGTTTTCGGGTGTATTATAAGCTATAGAAGTTTAATGATGAATATTTGTACAAAGAAAAAGTTTTTTTGATTAGAAACACTCACCGCGAAAAAAAGTATATATATATATATATATATATATATATATATATACTTTTATGTATATATATGTATACTTTTATGTATATATATGTATATATACATATATGCAAAACAAAACATTTATCGTGAAACCTTGAGGCAGCAAGTGGTAAACGGTTTGAAAATAAATGAAAAATGCTTTGAAATATCACATTATTTTGAAAACTTTTTGGCCGCGTGAAGGTTAAGTAAAAAGGAAAACTATTTTTGATCTCTAGAGTTTAAGTTTTGCCGTTCACTAGTTCGCGGTAAATCGTTTACCAATTTCGTACACGGCTTTTGGTTGCACTTTAAAAAAAAAATTCACAAGAGCTGAGGCGGTGATATTAGGATTCCATATAACTCTGTACAAAAATACTTTCCCATGACAAAAACCTACTTTTTTTTCGGTCGTAGTTTTTTTACACAAAAACGTTTCGCTTGTTTACCACTTTTCTATGAAGTTTTTTTTTGATTCCAGGAGAAACGCAGTAAACATATGCTTTTATATATTTATTTAATTTTCGTAAAAAAATTGGAAGAACGGGAGAAATCTGTAATTATTTTTTTATTTCAATTTTTTTATTGAAGCTTCCTCAACTTCATAGAAATCACATGGCTTTTGTTAGTTAAATAATATCATATTAACTCAGACTTGGGGCGCGTAAAGGCCATCACAACTATTTCTCTGACGCACACTATTTCCTCGTTATCTAGCTGCGAGAAAACGAAGGAATAGCGTAAGTCAGAGAAAGAGTTTTGACGGTCTTACATTTGTCTTATCTATTTTTTTTTATATGACTCAAAAAGTTTACACGTCGTGTAAACTTAATAAATGTAATAAGTTTATTATTGTTTCTTGTGCGAAGTTTTAGGTCAAGATGGCGTTCCCAAGTAGCGGTTTCCGATTTAACGGGAGGTTTTTTTTTTACGCAATCAGTTCTTCTGATTTCTCGTGGAAAATTCGAGTTTTCAGCAACGATGAGAATAAAAGTGACAGAATATGACATACAGTTGTTAGATTTCGACACTCCTTATTCGTCAAGTTCAGTGAAGCTTCTTTCTCTTCCAGTTCGTCTTTTAACAAGTCCACCTGTAAAAAAATATCTTATAGTCTGTGTGCCACGACTTGAAATTTCACGCAACGACATTCCGCTGTGCCGCTACGCGCCTTTGCGCACCTTGGTCGTGATTTTATTTTATTTTTTCTTCTATTAAGGTACTCTACTTTCAGGTGCTACCACAGCAATAACAATCAATGAAAGCGTGACCTAGATTCTAAATACGCTTCGCGAACGCACGCAGCGGAACAGCGGAATTTCGTTCCGTGAAATTTCAAATCGTGGCACGCAGACTATATTAGAAAAATCTCACCTCGTATAAAAGAGAAGACTTTTTCATTGTCGAGCTGTGAATACAAAAAAACATTGCTTGTTGAACGCGATCTTGCAGTTCCATTACTTTTTTTCCTGAATTTTTTTGTTGCATCTGACCATATTTAGAAAAAAACATAAAGATATCTTGAAATAATATTCAAGTTTGTTTTTCGAAATATTCTGTTCAAATTAATTTTGGCGATTCCAAAATATACGTCTTATTCGTTTTAAATTATTCAGAAACCATTGACTTTAAGCTTCTCCGTTAAAAAATTGGGTCCAACGACGAGATGACGACTTTTACGCGCTTTCCGCAAAATTCCGAATTTCAAAGTTATCTACGGCATTTTTATCCGAATGCAGGGCCTTCATTTTCGCTCTCGCCTGAGATGTAATCGCCCGCCAGTCCTGGACAAACGGGGCGCCGTACTGTTCCCAAGAAGAAGCTGCTAGTCGTCGGAACGTTTAATACTCGGCTAATACTATTCCGAGAAAGGCGTGATGATATACGCGCTGTTATTGATTAACGACATTTTCGTATCCGACAAATAACTCTTCAATTCTTCCATGATTTAGCAGAAAACCTTTTCTGAAGGCTGGATGAATGTGTAAATGTTGAAGTCTATCTCGTTGTAGGACCCACTGCTAACTGAATTATACTTTGCGCATTTCGCAAAACCATTTCGAACGAAAAACAAGTTTTGAAATTTCAAAAAGTACTTCGAACAAGACGTGAGCAAACTTTTAAATGACTTGTGGCATGTGAGATAACTCATACAGGTGCACGAGTGTCAGTTAAAAAATGCATTAAAAAAGTGGTATAAAAGAATTGTTTTTGAGCGGCGACTTTTTTCATACCGCTAGGGAACTTTTCGACGGCAACATTTTCGACGAATTCCTTTTCGACTTTTTTTTGCTTATATTTTCCGGCTTGTAAGAGATCCATTATAATTTTTTGTTTCCTCTTTCTCCGTGTTTTAATCATGAGTTCACTACCTATTTTATATACATAGATTTGAAACGAAGAAGTTATTAAGAAAAAAAGTCGGAAAGGGAATAGTCGTAAGCGTCGCCGTCGGAAAGTTCCCTAACAATATGAAAAAAATTGGAAAAAGTCGCCGTTCGAAAATTTGCTAGTTTTTTTCATACCTACGAAAAAATATCTAGAACGGTATAAACTTCTAGATATATATTAGCGTTTCATCAAAAATTGGTAAAAAAAAAAATAAACTCACGTGCAATTCTTTTTTCTCTGCACAGGACGGTGATCCATACCCATTAGAAGTAGACTGCAATCGCATGCGGGTTTAATTTTTGTAAGTTTTTGAGCCGAAAACGCAAACAAAATTCATGCATTATTGTATTAGATTCTAAGACATTCAGTAAGAGTATGTCGATCTCAATGTAGAAATATACTCACAGCAGCATCTTGTCGATAAACTTCAGCGTCTTCCTGAAAGAACACAGATTGAAAGTTAATTATATAAAATAATCACCTCGACTTTCTTCTCCAGATACGCGTACCTATTCTGTCTAGCTTGTTCTCGGGTCTCTCTTTTCATTCGCATTCGTGCTTCCGCCTATAAATTTTTATAAATAATTACGATCGATCCAAAAAAGACAGTTTGAATACCTCTCGTGAAATTTTGTCTAATACTCGTTCTTCTGCTTCCGTCCTTGTCAGTGGCCTCCGTCGACCGTTTGCGCTATACGAGGAGCTCATACCTTCAAAAGTCGTCCTGCAAAAAAAAAAGTTTGAACAGCTTCTGAACGAATTATCTTAAATCAATTCGATAAATCTAGGCAAACTTCATTTTTTTTGCCATTCATAAACGTATTTTCCTAAATTTTCCCCACATTTGTTCCGTGAACTTTAGTACTTTTGTGTGAAAAATTAAAAAATTTTTGAAAACCTTATCAGATTTATTGAAATTATATGCGAAGAACAAGTTCAACTCGTATAGCCTCGATAGGCTGTGTATATTAAATAGAACGAATTTTAGTAAAAGATAGAATGAATCTTACTAAAAAACTTTTCGTGATTATCCAAATTAAGTTGGAAGCACAAACTACCACTTTGAATTATTATCGAAATAAAGAATTCATCATGGTAGTATGAACTGAGCAAATGTGAACAAAAACAAAATTTTAACGGAATCGATTGATATGTTAAAACGAGAACACTTCAACCTCTTGCCGATGCTACTATAGTGTCCCTTCAAGTAGTCCCTCAAGGAGGGTGTCGCTTCAGATCAGAGCGAATTCAAACTCGCGCCTTATTGCGCCCCGCGCGTGCTAGGACCAGTTTAAAAGAGAAAAATTTTGGGACATGGGGATCTACTTTTTTCTTTTTAAAATAATTTTGTTTTGAATTCGTTTAGTTATACGTTTTCGATCCTTCTGGCTGTTGGAATGTTCGAAGTTTTATTAAGGACAATTTGTATGAGATCAGTTAAATCTAATTGTGAAAATTTTTGCAACGTTTTTATAATTTGCTATGAAAAAAAGATTGAATACATACTTTTCCAAATTGCAGCGGTCAGGTTTGAAATTTATTAGTTTACGAGACTGCTGACTTGAATGATTCTCGCACCAAAAGAAAAAAAAAACGATTGCTGCACTTGAATTACTTGTTTTTTTTGTTCATTTATTTTTCGGTGTGGGAAACCAAATGTATAAAATACCTATATACACAACCGGTTTGACAAGAAAAATTGAATTTTCAAATAATGTTATTCGTCAAAGGTCGTTGGAAGGTGAAACTATTTGTTTTTTTACGCTATGTGAACTTGTGAGATAAAAACTGACTTGATCCGTTCAAGAAGTTTTTTTTCAGGTAAACATCGTACGAAGCACTCAAAGCTCTCAAAAACTTCCAAGTCTGTCATGACCGATGCTAAGTTCGTGGTTTGTAGTGTTTATTTCTATTTTTTTTTTGTAGAGGGAATGTGAACGGAAACGCTGTCTCCATCGACTCTGATGGCTTAATCGAGGTGATAAAGCTTTTAAAACTCGATAAAGCAACATAATTTAGGGCAACTATGATCAAGTTGTGGGAACTTTTGATGAAATGGGGTTGAAAGAAGAACTTCTTCGTGGAATTTACGCTTTTGGTTTCGAGAAACCATCAGCCATTCAACAGCGTGCCATTGTTCCTTGTACCACGGGTATTGAAACTTTCGATTTTTTTTTCGATTTCTATAATGTTACAGGAAAAGATGTCATTGCACAGGCTCAGTCCGGTACTGGAAAGACGGCTACTTTTTCTGTTTCTATCCTGCAACGAATCGATCACACAAATCCCACCGTGCAAGCTCTCGTCATGGCTCCTACTCGCGAGCTCGCTCAACAGGTTAGTCTCAAAGAGAAAAAAAAATAACATATGTTGTTATCAGATTCAAAAAGTGTTGAGTGCTTTGGGAGAGTATATGAATGTGAGCGTTCATGCTTGCATTGGAGGAACAAGCATTAGAGATGATCAGAGAAAGCTTGAAAGTGGTGTTCACGTTGTTGTGGGAACTCCAGGCCGTGTGAACGATATGGTCAGCAGAAATGCTCTCCGTAAGCTCATTCATCTAATAAGTCGCCCACAGTCAGAGTTTAGACACTGACTCTATCAAAATGTTCGTTCTTGACGAGGCTGACGAGATGCTCTCATCTGGATTCAAAGACCAGATTTACGAAGTCTTCAAGACTATGCCGAATGATGTTCAGGTTTGTTAATTACAAAGAAGTTTTGAGACGGTGTGCTTCTTCAAATTTTCGCAGTCATTCTGCTAATTTTTAAAAGTTTTTTTGTTTTCGGTAAAATTGAATAATAGGCAAGGTATAATCTTTATTTTTTGTTTAAAAACTTGCATTTTCACGTTTAGGTGGTTCTTCTCTCTGCTACCATGCCTAACGAAGTTCTTGAAGTAACCGCGAAGTTCATGCGTGAACCCATTCGTATTCTGGTCAAAAAAGACGAACTGACCCTTGAGGGTATTCGTCAGTTCTACATCAATGTTCAAAAGGAGGTTTTCCGATTGTTTCGTTTGACAAAGTAGATCTCAATAATTTAGGAATGTAAATTCGAAGTTCTGTGCGATCTCTACGAAACTGTTAACGTTACGCAGGCTGTTATTTTTTGCAATACTCGTCGGAAGGTTAATAAAAAAAAAATAAAAAGCTTTTTTAATCGAAATTCGGAAAACTTTTAAATAGGGACTGTTTAGGTCGAAACTCTCACCGAGCAGATGACCAAACACGATTTCACGGTCTCTTGCCTTCATGGAGATCTGGACCAACAAGAGCGTGAAATCATCATGCGCGAGTTTAGGTTAGTTAGTGATATATTATATAAATATTGAAAAAAAAAACTACTTCAATAATACTGAAAAGACAATAATTCATCGTTGACTATCCTATTTTTTCAAGTTTACATAAAGTGTTCCAGGTAGTAAAAAGTAGTACGATTCATTGTTTAAAAAAAGCTTTATAGTGTTTTGCTCATTTTCTTATTAAGGTCTGGTTCATCTCGCGTTCTCATTACCACCGATCTCCTTGCTCGAGGAATCGACGTACAGCAGGTAACTCTTCACAGCTATAGAACAAGGAAACATAAATTCTCAGGTTTCCTTGGTTATAAACTACGACCTTCCTTCAAACCGTGAAAACTATATCCATCGTATTGGTCGCTCTGGTCGTTTTGGTAGAAAGGGAGTGGCGATCAATTTTGTCACTGACAACGATGCTCGTCAATTGAAAGAACTCGAGCATTTTTATACCACTGTTATCGAAGAAATGCCTCATTCTATCGTTGACTTACTTTAATGGATTCCTTTTCCGGTTTTTTTTATTGCATCTTTTCTATTAATAAGCACATTTTATTTATTAGTCTCCTTTTAGGGGTTGTTTTCCTTTTTTCCCTGTTACTGTTTTGTTTTTTTTTTTCCGCGGACTCCCAATAAAAATGAATATAACTTAATTTTCGTGATATTTTCCTTATGGCGTTTGACGCAATATCGCAAGTTAATGAAGTGTATTTATTTGATATCGTCCATTTTTGTTCAGAGAAGTTCGATGGGTAAAAAGAGACTTGCAAATGGAGACCGGCTTAAAGCACAAGTCCCACTTGATGAACAGATTGAAAGTAGTTCTCTAGCAACAGAAAAAACGGAAAGGCGTGACAAATCGAAAAGAAAGAATAATTTCGAAAACGAAGAGGTTTTGCAATATTTATTGTTCAATCGGATTGTGGGCTTCAGTTCATAAGTGGTAACCTATCGTCCAAAATTCTAAATGCAGCGAGAAGACAGTTGCATGAAGACCAGGAAGGAGGAGATGCAGATGAATTTTCTTCCAAAAGGTTTACTGAATTTTCTTGCTTTTCCTAAGAAAGCTACAATTATCTCTTTGAGACCTTGTTATTTTCGAGAGAAAAAGATAAATAGATTTCGGAGAGTCAGAGATAATTTCGAATTTCGCGGAAATTACTTCGAACACTATATAATCCAACCTAAAAGCAAGTTTACTAACTAAATAAGGTTATAAAAGTCAAACAGAAAAATTTGAATTTTTTTTTCTCAATAGGTTCGAGGACCACCATTTTCAACCAGAAGCTTTTTTTTTTAAATAGAAAAGTTTGATTTTAAATATTTTGAATAGGTATAGAAGGTTATATCAACGAGTTTTATATAGGCCATTCCGCGGCAGCTTGTTCTTTTTTTCTGCAAAAAAAAGACCGCTTACCGATATGACTAAATTTTTGAGACTTTTTTCAGTCTTTCGAAGTGTTTTTCGCAGTTTTGTAGAGCAAAAGCGGAAACTGGGTTGCGGTAATTTTTTTTTTCTGCGGTTCTTTCAAATGTGATATATATATAATCAAATTTTTATTTTGTTCAGGAACTATTCCAAATTTGAAATTTAGGCAGCGAAACTTTTCGATTGGAGCTTCATCTCTGGCCAGCAATGACGAGGAGGACGATCAACAAGGGTTTGAAGATTATGATGATGCGGTTATTGTAAGAAAAAGAAAAATAACTTCTTTTATAGTTCGTTATTTTCAGGAACTCAACCCACAAGATGAAGTTGACTTAGAAAGGTTTATCGTTAAGAAAGAGAGCTCTCAAATGAACACTTTGTACGATATCATCCAGGTTCACTATTCCGCTTTCCTATATACATGAAAATTTTCACATTTCGATACTTTTCAACTTCGGTTTTAAAAAAAATCTAGTTTAGGCTAAAATCGATGCTAAAAAAACGGAGGCTGAAACGGCGCTTAGTCAAGCAGATCCTAATGACTTTAACGTAAGCAACATACATTCCTTAATATCAAATCTGCTGTACTAGATGCGAGACATGGATCCAGAAATAGTTGAAATGTATGTTCAAATCGGCGTTCTTCTGTCCAAGTACAGGAGTGGAAAGATTCCGAAAGCTTTCAAAATCATCCCGAAAATGATCAACTGGGAGCAAATTCTATAGTGAGTACCATTATCAAATGCTTCTGAATGTTGTCGGTGTATGTGAAATTATTTTAGCCTCACTCGCCCCGACGAGTGGTCCGCAGCAGCCATGTACCAAGCAACCAGAATTTTCGCTTCAAATTTAAATCCACGGATGTGCCAAAGGTGATTTTCTCTCACTAGAGAACGTTTTTTTAACGAGATCTATTGCTAGAATTTTTTTTTTCTTTTTCTGCAATCAGGAGGTCCTCAAGTTCACCTTAGCACAGTTTCATCAAAAGTTCAACCGGGGGGTAAAAACTTTACCTAGTCAGTGTTGTGTATAGTCAAAATTTAAAAGAAAAATTGAAACTCAACTATTTTTTTTATTCCTAAGTAATTACTTAAATTTTTCTCTAGCGGTTTTTAGCACTAAATGCTTATTGATAATTTGTTTTGTATTAAACCTGTATGAGCACATCTGGTAGAAGTTTTGGCAATTTTCACCCCATCTGAGACACCGTTTTAGCCCAGTTGGGTCACAGAGTTTTCGAAATAAACACAACTGTGTAATTTATTTTTCTTACACCTGTATTTTCCCTGTTTTAGCCCAACTGAGACTCAAATAGCTTAAAAAAACGCGCGTTATTACTCGTAAACCCATTGAGACACTTGACCAGCACGAGAGACTGAACTTTTTAATTTTATAACGACATATTAGTAGAGAAGTCTTTCAAAAACTTAAAAATACTTTTTTTCATTCTGTGCAAAAAATTCTGTTTTTGACTATTATTTGTATTACAGTTTTTTTTTGAAGGCTAATTCGTTTTCAAATTTTCTAAGATTATTTTTTATTTGAAATAAATTCTATATTTTCAACCTTGAAACTGCAGATTCTACAACTTGGTCTTACTCCCGCGCTTGAGAGATGACATTGACGAGTTCAAGAAGCTGAACTTTCATCTTTATCAGGTTTTTCCTTCACTTTTACGTTGAAAACTTCAAAGCTTTAGGCGTTGTGTAAAGCTATGTACAAGCCTTCGGCGTTCTTCAAAGGAATCATCCTTCCTCTATGTGAAGTAAATTTTTTTCCGAACTGCTCATGCGTTTTTTGTTTTGAATATGAAACAGTGAAATTTATTTTGCAGTCAGGAACTTGCACCCTACGGGAAGCTGTTGTTTTCAGTTCAGTTTTGACAAAAGTTTCCATTCCAGTCTTCCACGCTGCAGCTGCTATGTTGAAGGTTACTCTAGACCTCTTTCTAAATCAATTTGCCTTTTTCAGATCGCAGATATGGAATACACAGGATCGAACTCAGTTTTCCTTCGTGCTTTGATTGATAAGAAATATGCACTACCATACAGAGCAATCGACGCCGTCGTCAATCATTTCGTAAGGTTCGACTTCCACGCATGATGTCTCTCCAACGTGTGCTCATTTTTATCAGAAAGAGAACGAGAATAGAAAAAATATACGAATTTTTCTTCAAAAATTCCCAAATTTACACACTTATGCAGTCTTTAGAGAACATTCTCTGCTTAATCATAAAAGTTTGAAGAGTTATTAGTCGGCTGGCGAAACTCTTTTTGACCTCAAATTATGCGTAGATCATCTCGCGCTTGTGATAGTAGTAGCCAAGTGTTTAACGTACTGAAGATGAGCTGCTTCTCTGAGCTTTCTTTCGATACCTCACCTAAGATCTCGACTTCAGGTTGAAAAGAGACGAACGCGAAATGCCTGTTTTATGGCATCAATGTCTCCTTTCGCTCTGCCAACGATATAAGAATGACATGAACGAGCACCAAAAAGCGGCGATTCACGACCTTATTCGCGTAATTTCACTTCATTGGGTTTTGATCAAGCTCAATTTTTTCAGTTCCAAGGCCACTATCTTATTTCTCCAGAAGTGAGGAGAGAGTTAGAGTCCAAGGAAACAGATGATGGTCACGTCGTCACTACATTAGTAATACCAACCAGAAGTGACGATACGATGGAGTTCTGAGTTGGAAAAATGTCTAGCCCCTTTCCTGTTGATGTTTTCTGTTGTTACACTTTCCTCTGTTACATTAATAAATTGAGTGAAAATAAGTATAATATATCATACAAACTGGGCATCTGTTACCATAGTCATACTTTGGTTTCCTTCGAAGAAATAGATCTCAGAATTACTGTTGAGAAAAGATAATAATCTATGAATCTCGGCATCTTGTTTCATTCTTCTAAACTGCTACGCCGAGTCGACAAGACATGTTTTCAAACGACGTCATGTGTTTATTCTAGGTATTAGTATTTCGTTCTAGAGCTTGACATATGATTAGCTGTTTACAGCTTGACGGAGAAATGGCAGAAACAGAAGTTGCCGACTGCGGCTTCAATAGTCGCTTCGGCTCCATCTTCCGTTAAGCCCTACCTGCAAATTATGCGGGCAGATAAGCCCATAGGTAGGTAGGAACCGTTTGAAAGCTCATCTGCAGGTAATCCAGGTACCTGGCTTTTGTTCTGGCCTTCGGCGTGGGCGATAGCCATGGCGACGCCTGCCGGACAACTTCCATCCTTCTATTACCTTTCCTTGTTTGGCGCCGGCGCATTTCTGATGCGAAGCGCCGGTTGCGTTATTAACGACCTTTGGGACAAGGATTTCGATAAAAAGGTTTTGATCAAAAACTCTTCACATCTTTTCAAAAATAAATTGCTCTAGAATTTTTTTTTTCAATCTGTTTTTCTCAATAAATCTTTGAATTTCTTCTATTCTCAGATGCAGTTGTGGAGATATCGTTTTTCGAGGGAAATAGCTTATTTTTTCAAGGACCTTGAAAGCGTTTAAGGAAATTATTTTTTTTAACAAGCCGTAAAAGTCTGAAATTTTTTAGGTGGAGAGAACGAAAATGAGACCTTTAGCGTGTGGTTCTTTGACGAACAAACAGGCAGTCGGGCTTCTTTCTGTTCTTCTTTCATCTTCTTTAGCGATTCTCCTCCAGTTCAATTGGTATAGGTAAGTGGCAAATATTCTACGTTGGAAGGTAATAATTTTTATTAAGCGTGGCCGTCGGGGCTTCATCAATGTTGCTGGTCGTCGGTTATCCCCTTGCAAAGCGGTTCACTTATTGGCCGCAGTTTGTTCTGGGTACGTTCAATCGAAAAATATAATAACTTTTACCGGAGCTTCTAACTTTCCTTTTCTGATTTGCTCGCCTTGAACTCTTTTTTTATTTCAATCAAATCAAAATGTTTTATTTCTCACACACAAGTACTAAATTTCACGAAATAGATGTAGAGAGAGTTTGGGAACATATGTGTCGGAACTTGTGGTGATGGAGGGAAGAGGACTCGCGGTCGTGTTAACCCCCCACTTGAGTAAATTGGAATAACCATGAAGTTATTCTTTTTAAATGTCGATTATGTAGCTTTCATATTTTTTTGTTGGATCAAGAGTGTTTAGTTCTGTAATGTTGTTTTCAAACCATTTCTCAAGTTTAGATCTGAACTTATTTTTTTTCATACTCAAATACTATGTTTCTATCCATGTGATTCCAATGATTGTAAACTCTTTGATTTCTCAATTTGTTTTGGAAATAAGCGTTCACAATAGATGTTTTTGCAAACGACTGGAGACAGACGAGAAGATGAAGTATTCATCAAAGGACTTTGAGTAGAAAGTGTTAATTGATAGGTTCGCTGATGTATCTTGCAATTGTTCATTGTTTTTTGCCAGAAGAGGCTTCTGCATCGGTAAAATTTCTCTCTACAGCTACCTTTTCAAAAAATACCCTCTCGCCTTAATTTATATTTGTGGAACACTTTTTGTCGCCTTTTGACTACTTCTTCCAAGAGATTCTGTACGCGGTTTTTCTCTTTTCACAGTGGCATTCACATTCTTGTTTTGCTGTGATGAATCCATAGAAACATGAGCGCATTTTGCAGGGGCAACTCTGAACTGGGGGATTCTGATCGTATGGGCCGAGCTAGCTTCAATTTCCAATTACCCAACTTTTTTTGCTCTGTATTTGGCGAGCGTCTTGCACACCGCCGTCTACGACACCATTTACAGCCACCAGGTGTGCCATTCTGATTTCTCTCCGGTGTGCTTTTTGTCTCCGTCTTTCATCGTAACTCTGTGTTATCTTTTTCTTCCTTTAATTTCCGCTACTTGATTATGGATTCTTTCTCTTCTTGAAAAAAGTTATAATCAAAATTCATCTTACAAGTCCCTCTATCAAAATGTAAAAAAAACGTCTGTCTCCTGCTTATTTGCAAAAACGTCTAGTTCGGCTTCGGAATTCACCTAAAAATACCATAATGTTGTTTGCGAAAAAAGCTCAGCTTTGGCAACATTTTCATTTATTGATTTCAAAATCTTTTGGTCACTTGTATTTATAGCATATTTTGAAAAGGGGCAAGAAAAAAAGAGATGACACGATTGCTCTGAGCTAATAGAGATATATGCGAAATAAGTTTTCACAAAGCTATAAGTATACCAAACTCATTAGAAAAATTTCAGCTGAAAAATACTCAGTTATGAATATTTGCATTATTTTTTTCTGAAAATTTTGTATTTTTCTTATTATGTTTATCTATCAGAATGGCAGAGACTTGAGATGAAAAAAACCATAAACACGATTAAAAAATCGTGCGAGTTCAAAAAACAAACTAGGTTAGCCTACGTCCTCTACAGAGCAAGAAATTTTTGAAATCTCAATACTTATAGAAAAACACAATTTTTCAAGAAACAAGAGATGATAATATGAACGAACAGTTAGGGAATGGAAGTGTACGCGTAGACGTGTTGTGCGGCTTCAGGACTGACGTTCAACTGGGGAGCTCTTCTGGGCTGGACGGCGATCCGCGGTGACTTGACGGCGACTCCTTTGCTTCTCTACGTCGCCGCCTTACAGTGGACTCTTGTCTATGACACAATTTATGCACACCAGGTCTACTGCATGGAAATGTCGCTTTTTCTGTTTTTCGGCTTCCGCTTTTCCCAGAACTCCCGAGGAATGCTTGTGATTGACAAAATTTTTTACCTTATTTTTAACAGTTGCTGGCTTGTAGAAGAGAAGAAGTCCGTTCAAGCTTTGTTTAGGACAAAACGGATGACGTTCTCATCGGAGTGAAATCAACAGCACTTCGATTCGGAGAAGATACCAAGAAGTGGCTCACCGGCTTCTCGACCTCCTCCGTCGGACTCCTTGCACTTTCCGGCATGGCCAGTCACCAGCAATGGCCGTACTACGCTGCTGTTTTCGGTTAATTAAAGCGCTAATTAGTTTCTGAATGCTGTTATTCAGGAGTTGCAAGCCATTTGGGTTGGCAGATCGTTTCGTTGGATATTCACAATGGAGAGGACTGCTGGCGTAAATTCAGAGCAAATCGTTGGATCGGCTTTCTTCTTTTTTCCGGAATAATCGCTTCAACACTGTTGAAAGAGAAAAATCGCGATGATTTCGATGAATCAGATTTAAACCACGATTAAACCTCGTTGAATTAGCCATGTGTAGAAATTTTTCTTAAAGAGAACGGGAAAAAAGAAGATGTTGATCGTGAATATTGAAAGATTTGCGCGAAGATATGTAATAAAAAAAATTTAAATGAATCGGAAAATGCATAACGACATGAGAAAAAGGCGCGAAAGAGACGGTGTTGAATGTTGCCGAAGCTTGACGTATCCTGTATCGGCGGCGACTCGTTCCGCCCACGCTGGCGATCCAACATACGTCGCCGCATTCTGTCGATATACATATCCTTGTCCGTGCTTTTCGGTCCCCGACAAATGTTCGCTTTTCTGTTTTTGCTGCCGCTAGTAACTGCGCAAGGACGCTCGTTCGCCGACACGGTGTTCGATGTGCCGGCTGACCTTCTCGGAGGTGGTTCAGCACTAACAGCAGCTCAGGCGGCCCCAACGAACTTAGCTGTCCAGCCTCCGATCGTGCAACCTCCTCCTCAGTTGCCAGCGTTCGAGATGCCTCGCCTGCCAGCCTTCGATGGCTTCACTCAACCGCCAGTCACTCCGGCTCCTTTCACGTTCCCGACTCACGCTCCGTTCACTCTTCCAACTCATGCTCCGTTTACGCTGCCGACGCATCCGACATTTACCTTCCCCACGCATCCGACAATTGCGCCGATGACGTTCCCCACTCCTGCACCGCCAGTCCAACAGCCATTCTTTGTTCCGCCTGTTCAGCAGCAGTTTTTTGCTCCACAGCAAACACAGTACTACGGCTACCCCAGTTACTTCAATCAGCAACAACCCCAACAGGTTAATAATTTAAGAAGCTTAATTGTGAAAAGAGATATCTCTTCAAAAAAATTTCAAATTACTTATTAAATTTTTTTGAGCGACTCAGCGGATAAGTTAGAAATTGAAAAAAAGATGCGAAAGGGCAAATTAAAAAAATTTTTTAATACAGGTTTGATTGATATTTGGCCTGTTTTTCGAAATTATTTTTTTACCACTCATTTTCTTTTTCTTCAATGATACCAAATTTTTTTATTTAAAAAAATATATATGTACATATCAGCTTTCATTTACCTTCCAAATCATTCGATATAATCGATATAATCGAATGATTTGGAAGGTAAATGAAAGCTGAGTTTCCTTTGAGTTGAACAAAAAGTGTATGGTTATCACAGTTCAACATTTAAACATCACATTATTCCAAAAAAAGAAAATTTTCAGGTCTATTCAGCGCCAGTGTATCCTCAACAACAATACGGACTTTATCAACCTCAGCTTCAATTGCCGCAAACACAACAGTATCAACCTCAACCACAACCACAACCCCAATCCCAACCTCTACCACAGCCTCAACCACAACCTCAATCGCAGCCACAGCTTCAGACCCCAGAGATTCAGAACATTTATAACCAGCAGTCCATTCCAGCTCAGAGTTACCAAGAGAAAACTCAACCGGAGGTTCCCCAAGTCTCCAACCAGGTCCCTGTGAGCCAGGAAACGTCGCGGATTTCAATCAGTCCAGCGAAATCACCTTTGGCTCTTGCGGCCCCGAAGGTTAATCATAATTCTAATTATTTTTTTCCTGTCTAAAAAAATTCCTTCAAAAATGTTTTTTTTAAAAAAGCGAACAGAAGTTACAACTAGTTTTGTATGCATAAAAAAGAGAAACAGAATTTTTGAAAAGAATTTTGAAAAGTCTATGTGGTCACAGAGGTAAGGATATTTCAATTCTTTTTACAAAAGGTCAAACTCAGTCAACTTTCTTCACAATTTTTTTTCAGTTTATCCTTATTTGTGATTTTTTTGTTATTTACTCATTATATTTTTAGAAATATCATTAACTAGACAGACTTTCTCAGATTGCCGAGGAAACGAATCAAAGCGCGGAGGTTGTGCCAACGGCCTCGGTCGAGGGACAAAAAACGGCGGCAAATCCGTCGACACACCTAGCCCAAACGAAAGTGAACGTCTCGGCGACGCAAGTCCTCGAACACGCGACCCTCGAGGCCGAGGTTCGTCTTTCTGTTTTCGACAAAGATGTCAAATATCCTGCTGGCGACGAGGAAACACGTTTTTCCTCGCTTTTCGGTCAGGAACTCGTTGGACGAGATTGCATTTTGGGGTTCAGGTCGACGCGACAGTCGATAGGCATCTCTGGTTCGACGCCACCTTTGACACTACAGGTACTGACAGTGCCTCTAATTCAAGCACTGCTTTTCAGAATGCCGTAGGAACCTGACCGGAATCGGCGCCAGATTCCAGAAGAAGTTGCCATCCTACTTGAAGAAGAGCGGAAAGGTTCACAAGTGACCTTCAGACTCCAAACTCAAGCACCATCACATTTCTAGGATTCTGCACTAGCAAAGCTCGTGGAGCAACGAGTCATCGAATGCGACCGAAAATCGACGGCTTCCCACTGGGATAAGGTCGACCAACTCCTCGCCAAGATCAACTTATCCAAGACGTTTGTTCTATTCTCATACGGAAAATAACTTCTTTTTGAAATTATTCATTCGTTGAAGATTATAATTTATTTTTCATGTGCCACAACTTGAAACATTTTAACTTCTAGACGTCGTCTTTTCTCGCGGCTTTCTCATGTTTATTTACTATTTTCACCTTGCTTGACCGTTGAGGGAAAAGAGACATAGACTTGCTTGACTTCTCAATTGAATGAATGAAATGTTTATTTCGCTCACAGACAGATCTGTGGCGTGGAGGAAGAGAACCATGAAAGTTATATTTGCCTCACTTCGATAAAGTTCCACTTTAATCTAAAAAAATATTTTAGGTCGAAATTCGAAGAGAATCAAAAAGAAAAATTAATCTATAAACGAGTTTGAATCATTTTGTGAAATTTGCAGCTTCCTTATCAAAAAAACCAATTTTTTTCAAACAAATTTTAAATCTTCTTTGGTCATCTCAAAAACCATAACTCTGTTTAAGCCGTTCCAGTATTTATACACGCGTTGCGTAATAAAGTTGTAGTGAACATGATGGATTGGTGGTGGTTCGAGTTTAAGGCCGTTCAAAAATATAATTTTATAAATATAAGTCAAAAATATAACTTTCTTTGAAAATACAGATATTCATTTTAATTTTAAGTGGTAATTCGAACATGCGAAGCACGGCTCTGGTCATATGATACGATATTAATAATTCTTTGTGATCACTCAGATAATATTTGCTCATTTTTAACTTATTTAGCCCTTTGAATCGAAAGTGTCAAGCTCGTAAGAATGAAGAGATTTCCATCATTTTTTAGCAATGTTTTTTAGAATCAAGGTAAAAGAATAAGTCACGTTTTAAAAAGTATGCACAGGCCTTATTAACTTATAACCGAAAAACCTTTCTGAACTACCGTAATACGACCGGCGTGTCAAGATCATGAAGTGGATAAAAAGGTTTATGACAAGTTGTTAGTAAAGACCTATTTTAATATTATGTTATAACTTTCTTACAGTGAGGAGTCCGAGTGTCGTGCAGGTCTAATTCAAGAACGCATATCTTGCTTTAATGTTGTCAAGTTTGCGTGCCAATTCGTGGACGAGGCTTTCTTATTTAAACTCATCCCAGCCAGAATAACTATTCAGGTAAATTTTTTTATCGACTACCGCAAAGCGATATTTTTTTTAGGAAGCAAGGCAAGCTGAAGGAGGCGCCGAAAAATGCCGGAAAGTCGTCCGAACGGTTAAGAAACGAGTTGAGCAGGAACCATGAGGCTTATCAACCTGGCTCGATTTCAACAAAGTGCAATCTCAGTGTACATGTAATCATTGTTCCCAAATAATTAAATATATCAAAAATGAGATTAGGAAAAACCAATAAAAGACATCGAAATTCATGATAGGACGCGACATAGCGCAACAGGTTGTGTGCCTGTTTACAACCTCAACGGATACAAGTTCGATTACCTCCGCCACTTTACCAATGGGTTCAAGAAATGTTGGTAGCAGAAAATCTCGGCATTATGAAAACCGTCTCCAGAGCAGGTTCACTTATATCAGGATAGGACTTTGCCTCATCGACTAGTTCTATGTGGTCACAGAGAGGCTCAAGCGGTCCGAAGGCGTAAGAAGAAGAAAAAAATTATGATGGGACAAAAATAATTCATAAAACGAAAAATCAGAAATTTGAGATTAAAAAAAAATTAAGAAGGTAGTAATTTTTTTTGTTATGACACATTGAAAATTCATTTCACAAGCATAAGAGTAACGAAATCATCAATGGAGAGGTGAGACAAGCAAAAATTAATCGCTACTCGTAAATGTTAGTACATGTTAAATTTAGATATATTACTCACCTAATTCGATTATAAATTTTCAATTCAGCTATGATTCATGACTTGATTTTCTAAACATCTGGTAGAAGTTTATCGTTGACGTCGAAAGAAAGTTGTCTGGACTGAAAATAAGAAAAGAAAATCATTGGTTGCCAATTTTCCGATAACCTTGTTCAAGAGATCGGCGTAGATCATACGCATGTCATTTTGGCCGGTGCGTCCAGGCCCATCAAGTGCTTTCCGGAGTTGGTTTAATGCGTTGTCAAGCAGTTTCTGCAACCCCCATCTACCCGAAAACTAGGAGAGCAAGGTCGGAGGTTCAACAAATTGAGTCGAAAACTCATAAATAGATCAAAGCGACCAAAAAAAACCTGTCTTTCTGTATTACTATCTTGGAACTTCGCGACTTTATTCTTCACTTTTTCGAAAGCATCTTTCAGCAAAAGATATTCCTTTTGATCTCTCTCCTACAAAGAAAATTCAAATGCTACATTTTCAAAACTAAGAACTCCCGTACCCTTTTTTTCATGCATTGAACTATACGCTCCTCGCGACTTTCAATCTCTCGCTGCAGCTCAGCTTCTGCGAAAACTTGAGTAACCAATGTAACAAAATAAAAATGACCTCGCTTGAGGAAAGCTTTGAGTCTTGAAGACTCCTCTTGCAAATTCTCAGAAAGTCTCTCGTTCTCTTCCAAAAGCTCTTCACCTGTCTTCATATTCACTCTCTTCTCTCTGAAAAATATCAAGTTAGCTAAGAACTAAGAAATCAACAAAATTTTCTGACTTTTGAAATTTCATACTAGCTTTGCTTATTCTCACTCTGATGAGTCAGGGTCAGAGAAAATGATGTTCGATGACTCATTTTCACACCTTATAAACTTTACCTTTCAAGTTCACTCTCAGCCATCTCGAGTCTTTTTCGCAGATCCTTTTCCTCTCCGTCCCTCAAAAGTTTCTCCTCCTGGTGTTGCTCAAACACTCTTTGCAAATCTTCTTCCAACTCCTTTCTCTTCGCTAATTGGAACTTCAAAAAAAAGAAAAATGGGTTGAAAATCGCAAACTGAACACCTCGAACTCTTCTTTAAACCCGAAGGCAAGTGCATGGTTGTGTTGCGACTTCCCTTTCTCAGTTTCCAGCAGCTTATTTAGCACGGCTATCTCACTTCTGAAATCCCTGACTTGCTGAGAACTCCAGAAACCGACTAACTCGAGATCTGAGCTTCGACGGATCGCATTTGCATGCGAGGCAAGTTCTTCGCTCAATTGTTCGGCCATTTCCTCGTTCTTTTTCCTCAACTGCCTGCAAAGAACTCGACTGAGAAATTGTTAAAGTAACATCCGAACATAAGTTTTTCGTCATGTCTTCGGACCTTATCTTCGAGTCTATCGCTTAATTTTTCATTCTCATCAACTTTTGACTTCCAAATGTTTTGGTCAGCCTTCAAGATTTTCAATAAAGACTCTCTGAAGCGACTAGCCTGAAAATCAATATGAAAAAATAGGTAGGTTGATGAAAAAACTGACGGAAGCAACGGAGGACTTCTGTTCTGAGTTGACGTCTTCGAGAAGATGAACAACGATTTTGCGACATTCGTTGGCCAGAGGCATATCATCGTTCTCAAACTTATCGATGAAATTGATTTTTATTGATTGCTCCAAAAAAATTGAATCGAAGGCTCACTGCATTGTACTTAGCGAGTTTTTCAATCAGTTCGTCCAACTTTCGGTTGACGTCCGCCGGCTTCTGGCGCACAGGTTCTGAATGAATCCGTCCAAGACGGCTCAGCATTTTCAGCGAACCTCTATACTCTTCAGTGGATGTTCCTGCATTACAATAAACTATTTCTTGTGGTTTTTCAACGTTTTCGCTCAATTCTTCGTCGACTTGAACTGCCCGGTTCACCAGCTCTACAGGAATTGTTTGACCTTAAATAGGTGCGTTAATATTCTGAAACCCTCTGAACTTTGTAAGACTGAAAATATTTTTTTCTGTTTTCTGTCGGTAAAACTTGAAAAAGTCGGAATTTATCGACACCAAACTATTTTCAAACTATTTGAGAAGAGGAGCTGAAACTTTCAAAATATTCATTTTTATAGAGCATTTTTATGAAAGAAACCGCTCTTCGATAGATAGAAAAATGAAAATTTCATCATCATTAACACGGAAAAATAAAATGAGTCCTTGGACAGAATGATCTAATAGATGGAGTACGTTATAACTTCGCTGATAAGTCTCTTGCGAACTTTATTTTTCTCTGCTCAAGTTTTGAAGTGCTGGAGATAATATTTGAAAAGAAGAGATCTTGATTGTTTGAATGAAATATAAAGGAATCGCCGAAAAGTTTAAGGCTAGGCAAGTTTTAGAATATGCAAAACAAAGGAATAGAAATCCACTCAAAGCACAAAAACATTGCAACTTGAGAAAAAGAGGACTGAAGAGTTTTTTGAGAAGTAACTACCTGGGTACGTTTCAAGCCGGACCAAACACTCCTCGAGTTGTCTGACTTTTTCTTGGTAAGCTGACGTATCTCGGTAATACTGTTCCTGTGCCCTCTCCTGGAGATTCGATCCTTTCAAAAAGTTTTTGAGCGAAAAAACCTTGTAATTTTCATAGTCTTGCAGTATTAAATCACGCACCCTGCTCAGCGACTCGTAATCTTGGATGGAACCTTTGTAAGCTTCTTCGACTTTTACCTGTCACTCGATTTTTCTTTTTGAAAACCCTGTCAACTGTCTACCAAGTCTATTTCGCGCTGGGAAACCACTTCTTCCAACTTTACGATCTCAGCTTTTCTCTCGCCGTTTTCCGATTCCAAACGTTGCATCAGGGCTTTCGAATTCGCCTAAAGACGAATAAGATAATCAATATTTAAAATTGAGCTGTTCATATGCGATAAGATTTCAAGCTCTAAGATAAGTTCTCTACTTTTCAAACATCTTTTGCGTAAAAGGAGTTTTTCTCAAATTCTCTCATGATTCTTTTCTTTGTTTGAATACTAGACCTTCATTGATTTTTCCTATTCCTACTTGAAACAACTTGTGATAGGTAACTAAGCATCGATCGAGTCTTCTCCTTCTCTGAACCTCCTATTCTTTTTATAATAGTAATAAATGTTTTCGATATGCTCCGCTCTCGTCTGAGATTCAATCAGACGCCCGCCAGCCCTGGACAAGCTGGGCGTCGTACTGTTCCTCAATGGAGATGCAGTTGATCTTCGAAACGCTTAACATTCGGCTACTACTATCTCAAGAAAGACGTAATGATCTACTCCCCTTTCTTGATCAACGACAGTTTCGCGATCCGACAAACAACTCTTCGATTTCTCCATGATTCAGCAGAGAATTTTCTCTGAAGACTGAATAAATGTGTAAAGGTGATATTTTGAACTTTTAAATACGCTTTTTTCAGGTACTTCCTCAATACTAAAAACTCCACGCATACATAGCCAACTAAATTCCGTCGTCAAGGTACAATGAAAAACAAAACTTTCATGAGCGCGACCCAGGAACTCACTTCAGCTTCTTTTAGAGCGTCGAACTCCGTTTGTAAAATGTTGTGCAAGCGCAAGTTTTCCGCGAATTCTTCTTTTACTTCTTTCAAGCCTTCTATTTCCGCTTTCTCAGAACGCTGAAATAATTAACTTTGCGAACTTCTTCTATGATAAAACCTTGCGTAAATGATCAATTTCGGCTAAAAGTTGATCGTTTTTCTCACGCAGAACCTGCAGCTCGCTTTCGTTTTCCTGTGCCTATTTTTATCTTTCATCAGGTTTAGAAGAATGAAAAAAACCTGTTTTAACTGAAATTTGAGGCCTTCGGTTTGATCCTCAATGAGAGTTCTCTGTTTGCGCTCCAGGGATAAGTTAGAGCTTAAACTCTCTACTTCGTTCTCGAGCAGGGACAGTTTCGTCAAAAGATCTATAAATTAGATAGTTCCGTAAATTTTCGCGTCGACGCTAAATTAAACCATTTTTATCGCACTCCAGATTGAGATTCGACTTCATTAGCTCATCTTTCATTCTCGCTATTTGCTATAAAACATCAATACTGATTGAAAAAAATTATTTCCCTATTTTTCTTAAACTCTGAACTACTAAAATAAAAATGAATGAAGTTAAACTTTTTTTTTCTATTCTATTCAGACTGTAATTGTGGAATACCTCATTCTCTTTCTCCAATTGAAGAGCCTCGAAATACTTGGCGTCAGATTCCTTTAATCGGAGCTGTAGATCTTCTTCCTTCTTCAAAAAATTCTCCTTAATTTTATAACTGAATGAAGAACGATAAAAAGAGTATTGAAACCTTCAAACTGTTAGCGAGCAATTCGTGTTCCTGCTTATCCACTTTCAAAGACTCTACAGCTGCTTCCAACTCTTCCAACTGTTGTTTTTGCTCTTTATTCCGCTCATCCAAAACTAAGATCTCTCGATTTCTTTCGTCGACTAGCTTTTCCGTCTCAGCTATCTAAAGGAACAGTCATCAGAACTAGAAATAAAAGAAACCTTGGAATAAGCCTCATCTTTTTCGAAGCCTAGGAGCTCGAGATCTTGCAGTAAGCGACGTTCCTGTTCGTGCAGTTCTTCGTTCTCCTTCCGGAATTTCTTCAGCCGCAGTTCCAAATTTTCTATTCTCTGAGCCTTGCAGATAGTCCTGATTTTCATAGAAAAAGATGACGTACCAGCTCTTTTTTTTTAATGTCTTCGTTGGAAACTTGGTTCAAATTCGATAGTTCAGAAGAGTGCTCGGAGATTTTGTTTTCTAATAAAGCTTTGTCTTCCTCTAACTTCTGCAGCTTCGCAGTGAGATCAACCATATTCTAAATACGTTTCTAAAAAAGTATGAAATGAACACCTGCCGAACTTCAAATTTTTGAGCGTTTTCATAAAATTCTGTTTGAACTTCAGCATCCTGGAATGATTGCTTTTGCGTTTGAAAAAAATCATCAAAATACCGAGACTTCCATGTCAACTTTGACGAAAGCTGAGGCCGATACAACTGTTGGCTGCATCTAAAGACAGAATGAACACGCTTCGTGAGAGATTATCCTTGCCGAACGTAAAGAATTTTCCAGCAGTGAGCGTTCTTTTTTCCACTCCTCTTGAGATCTGATATACTCCTCTTTCAGACTATCTACTTGGATAGCCTCGTCCTGTAAAAGTAAAATATAGCTCAGAGACAATTTTTCAAAGATACTTTCACTTCTAAAGCCAACTTTGGAATAGCGATGCCGGAAAATGTTGGTATCTATGAGAAATAACGATGAAAATGTTGTTTAGAAGGGATTAAAACCATATTTTCGTCGCCGCGATCAAGAAAGTCGTTGTAGAGGATTGAATTCCCCTTCAATGAATCAACCTGAACAGTATTCAAGTATTTCAATACGTGTCAAAAGTTATACCTCGTACTTCAACTCCAAATTTTCGTTTGCAAGTATAACTGATTCATTTTTCGTGCGCATCAGCTCTTCGTCTTTATTCTTGATTTCTTTGCTCATGTTCAGAATACATTTAATACACTCTAAAGGCTCCTTAATAACATATAATATTCAAAAAGTTGTGAATACGTACGAACAACTTTTTTTTGTTTGTTTTCATCTGAGAGTATGGTAGGGTTGCCTTCCACGAATGTTAAATCTTCTTTGAAAGATCTGAAAGCCGAAAAAAAGTTACTTTTTTCGAAAAAAGCATACTCGAAGTGAGCAAATAATGTGTTGGAACGACAACGCCGAAGTGGAGTTGACGTCAACGGAGGTTCCAAGTTTTCATAAACACGATTCTAGAACTATTAATTGAACGAACTTGATATTGCAAGAAAAACCGAAGCATCGGCAACATTCTCAGTGTCTCGAGGAGTTGGATAGCCACTGTCGGGTCCCGAATCAAAACAAGGTTCAGCGGTCGAGGGATTTCCAGTTTTCATAGCCAATCCCTGGAATAATTTGCTTATTGGATATGAAAAAAAGTAGAAAAACTGTGATTTTAATAGCAAAAACTTTTTTGAATAATATAAAGTCGATAGGCTGGCGGCAGGTGTGCGTAAGGCCGGGCATTGGGCTCACACTTAAAAAAAGCCTGCGTGGGCTCGGGCCAGGCCGGGCTTCGAAAAGAAATCTTTAATTTCATTTTGAAAAAAATTCACGGAAAAAAATTATTTTTTTACTTGCTGAATCATAGTTTCTAATACCTTTATGAGAAAAAAATAAACAAAAAAATTCCACTTTTCTCGTTAAAAAAAGCGAAAAAAATTCAACTTGAGAGAATTTGAATTTTTTTGGGCCGCCCGGCCATTTTTTTGCTTAAGGCCTCCCTAGGGCCAGGCCGGGCCAGGCTTGGGAAGAAAAAGCGAGAGGTTGACGGGCCGGCCCTCGCACAAGCCTGGCTGGCGGGACGGCCCTCGCAAAAACCTGGTAATTCCGTGTTCAAAGTGATGTCGCGATTTTTATCTGTCTCTTCAAAATTCAGTAATATTTTTCACTCTATCATTTTTCACGGAATTTCTTCGAACAAGGCTTACATATAACTTTGAACAAGCCGATGACCGGAGACAAAATCCAGTTTTCCCTTCACTCGCGCCAAAACGATTCAAAAAAAAAAGTCCATAGCGCGCCTTTGTCTAGATCCTATATTATAATATAAATTAATATTAATTTAACTTTGATTTTATATATATTTGTCAATTTTTGATAATTCATTTCTCTTTTCAGTTTCTTTTTCTATTCTTGATATTGCGTTTCAAATTATAATTTTTTTAATTTTATAGCCCATAGCTTGTACATCATGGAAATTAGATTTTTTTAGAAAAATTTTTTTAAAAAAATTTTTTTTCTTGATAAAAAGTTAGAATATTCCTTTCTAAAAAAATTTACATTACTCATTTTTTTAATATATGTATTTATATATCCCGTACTAGAAAAATGACAAGTTCTTTTTTCTTTTATTCTTATTAATCATTTAAGAAAACTTGCTTATAGCGCCTGTTGTTCCCATGCAGTGAAACTGGGTCGCTCCTTATCTCGCAAACGTGATTCATTGCGGAAATAAATATTTCTGCAGTTACAATAGAAAATTTCTACCTAATGCCTTGGGATGATAATGAAAATATTCACTGCCAAATCGGCATATGTTCACAATATCAGCTAAGAAAGTGCTCTTCGAATTCTACCGGGATATGTTAACACAGGAATCGGACAGGGGTATCGCGATACTGCCAGTCAGGGGCGGAGTTATCTGGTTGACATTCTAACTCTGAACAGACTATAACAGCTGTTCTGTACAGAACTTTAAACATTAAACTGAAAGAGGTATAAAAACGTGTATAGTGTGCTGAAGGAAGCTAAAAAAGACGCAAGTTTGATCTCAAGTTTGATTGATCTTCCTGTTTCGGGCGCCAATTTCAAATTTGAATCGCGCCACCTAATTCCGCGAAACTCGAAATTTCAAGGTCGCGAGTGATCAGCGTCCCAAGTTAGCCGTGAATCGGCTATAATTATGGCGCGTTTTAAGTGAATCTACGTATGTTAACGTTAATTTATGGGTTTCATGAAACGACGATGTTTCCTATAAGGTCTAATCTATCGATTCCGGAAAATTCCTCAAAAAGTATTGAAATTCATCAAAACGGTTTTTTTTTTCGATGGTTCGAAAAAAAAAGCCAGCGAAATTTCAAAAGACGGCTTTTCCGATTTTTTCGTATCGCTAGGGAACTTTCCGGCGAATCCCTTTCCGACTTCTTTTCCATTATATTTTTCGGTTTATAAAACATCTGTCAACATTATTTTCTATTTCTTTGTGGTTTAATCACAAATAACTTGCCTACTTTATATAGGAAGGTTGAAAAAAAAGAGTTTATCGAGAAAAAAATTCGGCGGAAAGGTGGCAGTCGGAAAGTTCTCAAGCGGTATGAAAAAATCGGAAAAGTCGCCGTTTGAATTTTCGCTGATCTTTTTTTCATACCACCTTTTAGTGAGGTTTTTGGGAAGTTCAGGTTTGCAATGCATCATCGTTTGAAAATATTGACTCGAAAACGTTTTAAAGGTCAAGGTGAAGATTCCTATTACACCACCTGCGCAATCTTTTAGTTTTGGAGATATCATTTTTCCAAAATTAAGTACATATCAATTTTTCACTGTTTTTTTATTCAGTATCATATCGAATCCGATTTGTGAGCTTCGAAGTTGTTAACCTTTCTGACTCTTTCTTTTTTCAACACACTCAATTGCCCTGTTTGCATCTTCATATTTCGAAAGTTTTGTTTTTAAAGTTTATTTATTGCCAGGATGATGAAAGTGTTTGGACCCCCGCGAGACAGGCCATGGGTTTCAGCTTATCTTTCGAGTTACAATGTTTTGCTTTTCTTACTGAATCTTATTGCTTTTTGGGACTTGTTTAATGCAAATCAGAAAGGTATTCATGATTTTCTTGCATTTAATAATAGTATTTTGTCTAGGGAACTTCAATTTTTCTCATCATTACGATTACCTTTTAATAACGACTTTCGCGCAGATCTTAGAAGTCGTTCATGCCAAAATGGGATTGACAAAAGCAGACCCTAAACCAGTTTTGAAACAGGTTGATGAACGTTTGTGATTTCTGTGAACATATTGAAAGTTCAGGTCCTTGGTCGGCTAGCAGTATTGGTCATTACGAGTTTAGCACGAAGTGTTTGGAAGACAAAACCAACTTACTTATTGTGTCTCGCTTACGTGAGCTCGGAGCTTGTCAGGTTTATCTTGAAAAAAGGTTTTATTTTTATTTTCTCCGTTATTTTAGGTACCCCTACTATGTGCTGCGAACGCTAAACTACAATTCTTGGGTGACCAACTGGCTTCGCTACAACTCTTTCTTAGTCCTTTATCCGATCGGATTCCTTTGTGAAGGTAAATTGATATATTTTTGGTGAATTATGGCTTCATTGCAGCCATAACGTTTTACGGTGTCTTCAACGACATCTACAATTCGGGCAAGTGGAAGTATACGTTTGACAAGCCGTCACCGTTTTCCATCAACGCAGCGATATTCCTGGCCCCGCTCGCCCTTTTCGCGTTCCCCTACTTGGCGTACACGCTATTTTCTCATATGTGGGCCCAACGAAAAGCTCGTCTTTTTTACGCCAAAAAGACTCGTTAAAGATAGTCACATTTTGAAGCTGAATGTTTGGATAAATTGATTTTTTCCGTAATTTTGTGATTTTTCCTGAAATAAGCAGTCTTTTTTTGCCAAAGTTTTTTTTCTCGACTAACACAACTGTTATTTAAACTTAAGCTTTGCATTATTCTTAAGACTTCGACTTTGTAGATGGAGCATTTCATTGATTAATGTTTGTATGCTCTATCGTACTAAAGTCGGAGAATCCACAATTGCTAAAAAAAAACCCTTGCTTTTCGCCAATTTGTTTTTTTTTTTCAATCTCTCACATTATGATTTAATTCTTACTTCACTTCATTAAATCATTCAAATTGTCTCGTTTTTCATTTCATCTTTCAAAAGGAGTGGTGCTTTTTCTGGCATATTTTTGTCTCTTGTAACAGTTATAAAGACTTAGTTTCAGACATTCATCGCTTGCACAATGTATTTACGTACATAATATCGAATTTTTGTCCCAGAAATGCCAGGCGAGAGAAGGTTTTTTACAAGGTACGCTTGCCAAATTCAGCTACGTTTTTACATGCCCTATTAATAATTTTTTTTTCTTACAATCTTTGAAAGTGATAAGAAGAATACAATGCAAAAAAAAATTATATATAGCCCATTCCCCGCCAGCTTGTGACTTTTTTTTTACAGCAAAAAGACCGTATACAAAAATAAATCAATTTTGATCCCGCGCCGCTTCAAGATCTTTGGTTTTTGTTGTCTTTGTTTCAGTTTTGTAATGCAAAACGCTGTTCTCACAGTAGCTTTTTTTCATTCAAAAAGTGTCCGTCTAACATATTTTTGGCGCTTTTATAAACATATAAGCAAATAGAATCAAAAAAATTTTTCGTACAAATTTCGATCAGAATTGGACGGATGATTGAATATATATATATATATATATATATATATATATATATATTGATTTACACTGTTTGTAGTTTTCGATTCTAACAGAAAGGTTGTTTTTCAGGGCTTGCGCCAAGAAAAAAGCAAGAGATGCGCTTTACGAAGATTTGTTCTCAAGTGTGGTCGAAAAAGCTTTTCTGACCCCCGTCGAGCAGGTATATTATTTACACATTTTTCTTCCAAAAAAAAAGAGTATAATAAATTACATAGGAAGACCTTTCTTGTGACGAGGCTCCGATCAACGGACCTTTAAAGAGAAAAAAGACTAAAGGTTTGACCTGTCAATGCGGCTCTCTTTTCGAGAAACACGCTCAGCTTCATGAGCACATAGTTTCTGAGGTTGTCTTTCGCACAACTGACTGATAAAGCAGCCCATTGCAGCACGGAAACGACGATTTCGTTTCGTGCAAAGAATGTGGCATTCGGAGAGAGGCTATTCATCGCAATAACGTGTGCCAGTGAGTAATTTTTTTAATTAAAAAAACTTTTTTTCTATTTATATGAAACATGAAAGCAACCTTTAAATGGTTTTTCATTACATAAGACAATAAGACACTCTCCGCAATTTTTTTCTTTACAATTTTAATGAGAGTTTTATCGAAATAGATCAAAATTATAGAAAAAAAAAACGGGGAGGTGAACCAATATATACACCATCTATCCATTATGTCTTCAAAAAAAAAAGTTTTAGGATAAAAATGGGCGAAAACGGGGAGGTGAACCACTCAGAAAGTGCAAACACACAAAGTGCATACGCAGAATTCGAAATTTCACATACATCACCCTTCGCAAATGAAAACTCGCTATTGTCGTAGCACCGAAAAAAAGAATCTTGTGGAAGTGAATGCGTATTTTAAAAGTCTTATATCTAAGGCTCGGCGGGAAAGTTGACTACCTGTATTATTCACCTGGTTTCATTTATCACGCGTTCTCCGAGAGTATCGATGAGTTGCCAAAACAGTGAAGTAATAAAAATAATGTTGCCTTTTTCGAGCTCATACTTTCATCACAGAACTACACCAGCTTTTGAAACTTTTAATTGAGGTTTTGACAGCCTCCGCCCCTTTTGAGAATTACTGTAGCGAAAACATAAAAAAAAATCGAACTTTTTTTTTTCCGTGGTCCAAATCGAATGGAACTTTTTTTCCAAACAAAAACCAGTAAGCTACTGAATATCGGTAAAATTTTGAATTCCATGAATGAATTTTATGAAATTTTTTGAAATTGGTGAGATTTTTCAGACTTTCCCTCTCTTTGAGCTATCGAACTCGAAAATGATTGAAGCCAAACTTTGCCTCAGATACATTCACTTATATTATCTAACCGTTCCAGATGTGACGGATGTGTTTTTTATATCTCAAAGTCAGTTTTTCAACGGTTTCCCAAAAATTCAAGTTTTTTTTTTGATTTTCGTACGAAAATATTTTTCTCTGAGGTTTTCCTCCAGTTTTATCATTTCTCACATTTCGCTTCTGTAAAAAACGCTCTATCAATGAAAAGCTACAAAAACAAGGCTTTTGAAGTGTTTCATTGCTTAAATTCCGTGAAACTTGCTTGTGCTAGCTTTAATTGGTACTGTTGATTTAAAATCATATGTAATGATCTGAGGCAAAATTTGGCTTCAATAAGTTTCTAGTTCGGTATTTTAAAAGGAGCAAAAATCTGAAAAACCTTGCAAATTTCAGAAAAGCTTGTAACATTCTAATTCGAAATGTAAAGTAACTCCAGATAATGTCAAAAACAGTTTACTACTCTTGTAGATCTTTTTTTGTAAAAAATTTAATGATTTTCGAAGATTTGGCTAACTTCGAATTGGACGCGTTCAGAGTTGGAGGTCAACTGGATCAATTGAAACTGGAAAAATATGGACAAGTTTAAAAAGAATAAATTTTCACGGATCGGGTGGTTCTTCCCACCTAAAAACAAAAAAAATGCACGATTTTTAAAGAAAATTAACTTTTTTCGGGGTGAAAAAAAAATTCAAAAGAAGGTAATATACAAAAATGTTCATTCTGATACTGGCTTTCGTTTAAAAGAAGTTCCATTTGATTTGGAGCACGTAGAAGAATGTAAAAAATTTTTTCGTATTTTGGCTACAGTAATCTGATAGTGAGGACTATACCGCGCATCTCAAGAAATATTCTAGAAGGTAATTTGAAAAAAAAAATGTTTCACACGTATTTGTGCGAAGAACGCACTATGAGGTTTCAGTATTTGCGAGCTTTTTCGTTCTCAACTTGGATGAGCACCTGAAGACGCACTATCAGAACTGCACATCTGCCGGCGCTGCCATGGAGTGCCGCCACTGCTGCCGCACTTTCACCAGTATTTTCTGAACTCGAAAAATAGTTTTCAGTTAGAGATTCAGCTGTGAAGGAGGTGCGAGAGCATGAAAGGGTGTCTCACGAGGAGAAAGTTCGGCGGAAGCAACCACAGCGTTGGAAATGCACCTACTGCCATCTCGAGTTCTTATCGCGCCACGTAAGTGTCAATCTCATTTTCTCTATTAATGCGCATTCGTATCCATTTTCAAAAACAAGATGTTCTAATTAGTTGGAAAACTATTCTTACTGTTTTTATTATCCAGGTAATGTTGCTCAATATTTTCTCGGCTTGCACAGTTTTTAAGTTGTAATAAAAGAACGCATTCAGTCGCTTGCATTATATCCGGAAAAAGGGCTTTCGTTCTCGGACGCTATTTGTGTTTTTTTTGAGGCATTGAGGAACAAAAATCAACGAAAAATGGGCTTTAGTCGATGTTTAGAAAATTATCAACTGAAAAGAAACCACTAAATGTTTTTTATTCAACGTACAAAAGTCAATCGAGGTCAGCCAATGAATAGGATCCGCGGTGAAATAGCTATCGGAGTGCTATCCGGCAGCATACTTCCTAAGCTTGCCTTCGCAAATGCAGAAAGAATTGGGATTTGAGTGCACGGAAAGAATTTTTAAATACCAGAATTTTAGCATCTCTACGCTATTTATTGATTTACCGTTAGAACATCCCGATTGAATTTGAGAGAGCACTTTCTTAGCTAATTTTGTGGATACGCCGATCGACAGTTGTACAATTTATTTTCTTTTAACTGCAATGAGCGAAATGGTCGAGATCTGTTTTCGCACGTGTTCAATTCCTGTAATTTTGACTTTTGCTCGCGTTTTCTGTTCAGCCATAGTCAAACAAATATTTTTACTTGTGTAATAATGTTTGTATTGACGCCAAGAACGATGCGCGACCACTTACACACAAACAAAACAAACTGAATACCGCACCCCGCATTTTCAAGTCGAACGAAATGGATTTTTAAAAATTGGTTTGTGAGATTTATTAAAAGTATTCAAAGTTAAACTAAACCAATCTTCCTGGTTAACTATCATTCCGGCTTCCCGACTTCAAATTTCACGGTTTTGCATTTATGAAAAGAATGGGTTGAGGGACGCGATAGCCACGTCGTCACGCACTTTTCCAACGTGATGGACGAGGTTTGGAAGAGCCTGGACGATATGCAGCACGAGGTTTCGGGTGGGAAGTCTCAGCTTTCGTTCTATTGATTGCGTGTCTTTTCCAGCCATGCTGAACGAGTGTCCGATCTGCAGTTGTGTGATGGGCAGCCGCAAAAGCTTCCGGATGCACGTCATTCATCGGCATCTCATCATCGACCCAGAGACCTTCATTTGTTCGTTCTGTTTTTCCTGTACCATCCTTGAATTTCTGCCGATTCAGCCAAAACGAACGTGAAAGTGGAAGTGAAAGAAGAAGTCGAAGATCCGCTCTACGAGAGAAATTGTAATTAGCTGTTTGATAAGAATAGTTGTTTAAGCGCTATTGATTGGCCTAATGTATATATTATTGTATTAATTTCAATCAATCTCTAACTGTTTATTTATAATAATTGTAAAATTTTCTGTGTTTATCTTTATATCGCCTTTAGCATTTTAGGAGCATATCTATCATTTCGTTTGTATTATTATTTATTCACTCGTTTGAGGTTTGTTTATGGTGTGTTTATGGTGATATATATATCAACGTGTTTATATAGAGTTAATGTCACAGTGGTGATAAGTATTCTTATGAAAATAAATTAATTTCGTTTGTCTTCGAAACCTCTTTGCTGTAAACGTCAGACCATTAGGTTTCGGTTGTAAAGAACTGTCGGAAAAGGAACCTAAGCTTTAAAGTGCAAATTCAAAAAAGTAGTCTGTTTTCTTCACAAAAGTTTAAAATACTGTACTTTTCAACCATTTGAAAATGCTTATCAAAAACCCTCGAGAAAAACAAAGCATCAAGTTTTGAAGGGTTTCGATGCCGATAAGATGTAGTGGAGGCTGATGCGACAACACTACGGCGTAGTCTTGGACCTCGCGATTCTCTTTCCCTTCCTTTCTTCACGAACTGCTCGATGACTTTGGAGCTGCCGATAGTGTTCGTGGCCAATGGCGTCGTACTGCCAGGGGCGTCTCTTAAGCTGCCCATTCGAAGCAAGAACAAGTGAGTTCTGTGGGAGAAGAAGGGAAACAGGAGTTTGTCGCAGCATGGGGACAGTGGAGAAGTACCTGCTGGACAAGTCGTCGAAGACGATCGCCGTCGGCTACCGTCTCTCCCAGGAGAAGATGTTCGAGGCCGCGACCCAGGTCGCCGTCCAACAGGTCACCTGCTGGACCTTCAACTCCCACGTCCAGTACACGCTGCACGTCGTCGGCCTGCAGAGGATCTCCGTCGACAGAATCTCCACCTCGACCTGCGTTGCCACCCCTCTCCGTGACGTCACTGGTAGGTCTCTTCCGAAGAGGATCCCGAATGTTCCGAACTTTGTTTTTTATTTGTGAAATTAATTTTAATTTGAATTCTCTTGATTCTGCTTGAATGACTGTATGAGATAACTCGTCAAATTTTCTCTTTTTTCAGCTTCCGGTAAACCTTAACTTTTTCAACGAAGAAATTTATTATTTTAATTAATCGACTTTGAAACGAAGTTAAATTGAGGTACAGTGGGGAATGAAAAAGTTTTTTTTTTGTTTGAGATTATGATGAGTAATTTCAAGACGAGAAAACTGCGACACTTGGCGAAGAATTTCTGAAGATTGTTAAACCGTTCATCGAAAAGTCTGACAACGTAGAGATAACTGTCCAACTGAAGCGCTTGGCCGAAGAGAAAAACTTCGGAGCTCTGGTCGATCTTTTGTTCGTTCTTGGCTTCTTTTCATGACAGGAAGCGAGAATTTGCAGCGTCTCACAGCTGAAGAACGTCAGTTACGTGCAGCAACTAGAGTTCCTGGCAAGCAGAGACGTGAACGCACGACTGCAGCTGTGTTCTCAGTGGATTGAGGACCAGATCTCCTCGACCAGATCCGTTCCCAGCAGTGGGACGTCGTCGCTTCAGAAGGCTTTGGCCTTGAAAGACCCACAATCCTGGAAAAAAGTTTCGAGGTCGACTGGAGGCCACAAGTCGCCAGTTCAGGCCGTCGAGGAGAAACTCAAACAGATGGCATTGCCCGAGGGGATTCAGGTCAGTCGAATCGAGGCAACTCCACGACGACTTCCGGCTTGTTGCAGGATAAAGTGATGGGTGAGGTCGAACGTCTAAAGTCGATGAATGCAACTCAAAGTGAGCACAACGTGTTGCTCAACTGGCTCGAGCTGGTCGCCGCTCTACCGTGGAACGTCTCTGAGAACACGGAGATCGACCTCATTAAGGTTGTTTGAGTTTCACTAAAAGGTGAAGTTCCAAAGTTATAAAAGCACTTTTTTTTATAACGAATCGTCAAATCTGACTGGCGAGAGAGTCGTTCAAGTCGGAACTTTGGCATTTTTTGAAAAAAAAAAAACTTTACCGAACACTTTTTGAGATCTAGATTTCAGTTCTCAAAACCAAAATCTCAAAATTGAAGACTTTCCCGAAGTTTTCCTTTGAATTATTACTCTCAAACAATATGCTTGAGTTTCTTTTTATTCATCAAATCAAACGTCAAGATTATTTTTAAATGAAAGCTATTTTTTTCGATTTAAAAAAATTATCGTCAGAAGTAAATTATTATTTTTTCAAAAGTTCAAAAAAATCAACCAAAGTACATTTTTTTTCTAGAACCGAGAATCCAAAAATTTTTAAAAATGTAATTTTTTTCGATCAGGAAAGACTTTTCGTAATTTTAACCGACTTGAACTTGGTTGCAAATTCAAATTCTCGAAATTTTTGCGCGCAACGAGTGCTATGCAACCTTTAAACTTACCAGTCTCTAAAATCCGAATTTTGTGCAAGTAGCGACTGTGAGATACATTTGAGCTTTAAGAATGTTTGAGCAAATCAAGATAAAAGTCAAATCTTCTTGAAATACCCCTCACGGAAGACACCTGTCTCTAAAAGAATGATCTCATGAAGAGTTCAGGCGAGGACGATTCTAGAAGCGTCCCATGATGCGATGGACGACGTCAAGCAACGTGTCCTGGAGCATCTCGCCGTTTGCAAACTCAACGACTCGGTACTTTGTTCTTCGATAGCCGTTCTGAAGTCATTTAGTCTAGGTAAACGGCGTGATTCTTTGTTTCTCTGGTCCTCCAGGAATCGGCAAAACGAGCGTGGCTCGGGCCATTGCTCAGTCGATGGGACGCAAGTTCCAACGCGTTTCTCTTGGCGGAATTCGCGACGAAAGCGACATCCGCGGCCACAGGTGCTTTCGTTGAAATGGATCAGAAAGTCCTTGTTTTCAGACGAACTTACGTCGCTTCGATGCCTGGCCGTATTATCGAGGCTCTCAAGACGTGCCGCGTCAACAACCCAGTTATTCTTCTTGACGAAATCGACAAACTGGTCGGTGTTTTCATGATTTCCTTTGTGTATCTCCGTCTTCAGTACGCTGGCAACTCGGGAAGTCCGTCTGCGGCGTTGCTGGAACTCCTGGATCCTGAACAGAACAACGCCTTCCACGACCAGTAAACTGTTCCTCGTTGATTTACTGAACGAATGTTTAGCTATCTCAACCTGCCCTTCGACATGTCGAATGTGATGTTCATAGCCACCGCTAACGACCTCAGCAACGTGGAACCGGCGTTGCGAGATCGTCTCGAGGTCGGGTTTTCTGAAGCAAAGTGGAAAATAAAGTTCAGATCATTGAGATGAGCGGCTATGGACTCAAGGAAAAACTTAACATTGCCCGAAGACATTTACGAGCACGGCAGCTTCTGAAGCATGGCATCTGCCCGGACTACCTGACCCTCGACGACGGGGCCATCGAAACAATCAGTCTGGAGCGTCTGAGCGGCGTGATAAATGAGGCTTGTTTCAGTTGAAGAGTACACAATGGAGGCAGGAGTGAGACAGCTGGAACGACACATTGCTTCGGTCTGTCGATACGCCGCCTTGAAGTAACCAGTTTCCTTCTCTAAGTAGAAGTCCTGAAACTCCAGGCTCGCCGAAGCGTGCAACGACGACGTCCAGGCTGATGTCGTGCCCGATCTTCAGCTGCCGATCATCGTCACGCCTTTGCACATCCATCGCATCCTTCGGGTAATCATACTCTCCTCTTCTAGCTGAACTCCCAAAAGTTCGAATATTTTCAAGAAGAAACAATAACGAGGAAATAAAGAGAGGAAAAATGGAAATCAAAGAAGTTTTTTTTTCGGTAAGCCAAAGATTTTGAGGAGCGGTTTTTAAAATTTTTCAAAATGCCAGCGTTTCCAAAAAAAACCTAACACAGATTTTTAAACAATTGAAGGTACGGAAACTCCAAAAATCTCTTTCCTGCTGGTCGAGTACCTTTGACATCTAGACTGCTTCTATGTAAGGTCTCTATTCTTCATTTTCAGGGCAAGCAGATGAACAGGATCAAAGTAGTCGAGTCGATGCGGCCTCTTCCGCCGGGCGTCTGCTTCGGCCTGAGCGTGACCGCAGACGGCGGTCGCGTCATGCCCATCGGTGCCGTATCTCCGGCGTTCCAGTTTGAAAAAGGTCTTCAGAGGCGTCGAAGAGCGATGGCAATGGAAAGGTGACAACGACGGGAAAACTCGGCAAGGTTCTCGAGGAGAGCGTTCACGTCGCCGCCGCTTGGCTCGCTTCCAACGCAAAAAGGTTCGCTTCCGCCTCGATATTTCCTACTTTTTCTTTTCTTTCAGACTGGAAATGACACCTTTGAAGAACTACGACATTCACGTGCACCTTCCTGAAGGTTTTTTCCGTCGCTAGCTAACAGTATTTATTACTACAAAGAAATTAAAAAAACGTGTATGTAAAAAAAATTTTGAATTCACATTACGGGGAACGGAAGGAAATCTGACGAAGATAAATTTTGCGCTGAAATTTCCTGGGCAAATTATTTCAAAAATTTCAAAAAAAAAGTAGGGTCTCCTGTTTGTATTTCCATGGAATGTCCGCACAAATCCAATTATCCCCAAGAGACGTTGGCAGGTTAATCCTGTGAGCAGAAACAGAAATCGAATTAGTGTCGTTGTAAAGAAGCCAAACGACTTCTGAAATCCTCGCCGCCCTAATTGCAGTCGAACTTTGACTCTTTCTGAAGCCTTGAATGACGTTTTGTGACGTTTCAGATTTTTTACTCATAATTTGAGACCTTTAATTGGATTAATCTGAACAAGATTCACTTCGCGATTTTCTTCCGAATTTAAATGGTCTGCCAGAAAAGATGCTAAAGCGTTAAAACCAACGTTTGCTTTGAAAGAAAATTTTGTAATCAATGATGATAATTTCTTTCATGTTTTCAGTGCCTTCTTTATTATTTTTCTTAAATTGAATCTCTGACAAAAAAAAAGAAATTCCTAAAAAAAAAATGTTGCGGTTAAGGTGGGATCGGAAAAGACGGACCGTCGGCAGGTTGCGGCTTGGCGGCGGCACTGGCTAGTCTGGCGACGGAAACGCCACTCCGGTCCGACACAGCCATCACCGGAGAGATCTCACTCTCAGGCCACGTCCTGCCTGTGAGTCCGACTCCTTCGACTCGAGCTAGGCTGCTTTCAGGTCGGCGGCATCAAAGAAAAGGTCCTGGCGGCGCAGCGCGAACGTCTTCAGCGCGTCGTCCTTCCCGCCGCCAATCGACAGCAGATTGAGAAGCTCGATGATGACGTCAAGGTTTGTCGCGAATATTTTTCCTTTTCTTGACGCGAATCGAACATGTCGGGCCGTTTCTAGTTACCACTTTAGTAGCGTGAGCACTCTTAAGTGATCCTAGAAAAGCTCAGAAACGTCCGGAGCACGTCCGGTTTTCATTACCGAGGTCTGATTCTAAGAGAAGTTAATTCTCGTTGGAGCGAAAACGCCAAAAATGTTGTTAGAATCGCTTTCTTGTTTTGAAAATTTCGCGTCTTTGATCAGCAAAACTAAATAAAAAATACGCTAAACATATTTAAATTGCGCATTAGTTATCACATCGCATTTCCCGCGCTAATGTCGACTAATTTGTTTAATTAATACCGCAGTCTTCCCCGTGAGCGTGACAAAGAGTGTTTTTCTTCTGTTCTCGGGATAATTAGCACACAAAAGGTTTTGAAATACGTCACTATCGAAAATTCAGCAAAGGGAAACTTGCGAAAGTGGATAAATCGGCGAAAATAATTTGGGTATATCTTCAAAGCTTCGCTATGTGAATTTTTTAGATGTTTTTTGAAGGTTTTCTGAAGGTCCTTATTGCATTTTGAAAAATTCTTGAAGAATTCAATAGATTTTTTTTATTTTTTTAAATTTGGTTTTTACTGAGTGTAATTATCTTGTAGCGGAAAAAAACTGGAAAGTTTAATCTTTGTGGGTATTTTGATCCTATGGAAAGACTTTTTTGTCACCTCAAGTTGGAATCTGAACTACTCGTTATGCTCATCGTATGCATTATTTCTCTTTTGAAACTTTTCCCTCCCACACAAAAGTACTTTTGAGAGGGTAGCTCTGAGATAAGAAGCTGAAAAGCTTTTTCAACTACTTCTCGTTGAAAAAAAACTATTTGGATGGTTTTCGAGCAATATGAGTTAGGAAGATTCTTCAGGAAACTATAGCTCATTGAAAAAGGTGAACCCTCTAAAATTTCGTTCCTCATGCCGACTAAAAAAAGCTCAACGAGATTCCGACGCTGAAGCAGTCTCCCACGCAGGCTCGTTGCCGCGCATGGTTTCCTCAAAATAAAGAGAAATTGGCCGCCAGCCAGCATCCGATATTATATTCTGATTAAGCACCCGCAGGCGCTTGGTGTAAATAGATTTGGCTTGGACGTAGGCTGGCCTTTTCGCAGAACTGCGCAGTTTTTTGCAGCCAAGTGGTCAGTATCAATTGGTTGACTTGACTGCTTGCCAGACAACTTTTTAAGAACAACTTGAAATATGATCTTTCGGAAGGTTGAATGAGACAATGTCTTTATTTCAGCGCGAAATGGAGCTCGTATTGGTGGAGAACATTGACCAAGTCATCGCAGCTATGCTTGAGAATCGCTTGTTTTCCAAACTGTAAATTTTTTGCTGAATGAATAAAATTTTTTGGTTGCATGTTTCTCTTGCAATGTCTTTTTCCTTTCTGTCGCGAACTTAGGAGGGCTGCATCCACAGTCTTCACCCTCATCGACGCTTTTTCTTGACGCCCTCTTCTTTTCTTTGACCTCTGGAGAAATTTTCTCTTGGCTATTAAAGTTTAGTTTTTTGGACAGAAACACAAAAAGAAAACCATTTTGGACAAGCTGATTTTAATTTTTTGAATTTAGGTAGTCATAAACAAAAAATTTCAAATAGCTTGAAGAAATGCTTCACATTCTCTTTCAAGAACTTGTTTAATTTTGAAAATAATTACTTTTAGAAGACGAAGGATTTCGTGAATAAGAAGGTCAGACAGTGTATAGATACTCATAGACTTCCGGCTCTAGTTTCAGTCAGAACCTTTCTTGCCGCGAGCCAGGGCTACGCGTCAAAGGAGCAATCGAGTGGTCAGAACAAAAAGACGTCGCCACCGACCGGTGTGACGCTAATTTCTGAGCAAAAAGAGCACAGACGCAGAAAAAAAGACTTGCGTTTCTACTCGAGTCGTGGGCGGAGCTTTTGGGCTTGCGCTGGCGGAGAGGCCTATCGATCTCACTTCAAGCCTTGCGGCGCCTATGGAGTAGCCCCGGAAGGCAGATGCCTCATCTCCTTCTCTGCGCCCTCCTACCAATCCTCTATCTATCATCTACCGTAACACCGTTTCTCTTATACGGTAGGTACTGTCGTGAGGACCGTCGTGCCGTGTTTTGTTGTTTTCCATTATACCAAAGTTATAGTCTGTTCAAAAAGACTTGCTGAACCTTCAGAGGCACCAAATTCATCAACTTTTGCCAAATCAAAAAGTGTTTTTTTTTTACATTGAAGAACCCAAAGTTAGAAGTTCTCATAAAGACGATTTACTGGCCTCTTTTTCTGCTATTCTGAGAAAAGAAATCGTTTTTGAACAGACCACACAATCCGTCTTGGAATGCTCTCTATTTCAGTTTTCATCCGAAAAAAATCGAACTTTTTTTTTGTTTACATTGAAGAACCCAAAGTTAGAAGTTCTCATAAAGACGATTTACTGGCCTCTTTTTCTGAATAGCTATTGGAAATAAGGACGAACGGGAAAATAGTTGTTGTTTCTGATTCATTTCATGAGAATTTCCTCTGAATTTCGCGGTTTCCACAAAGATCCAGACTTATTTTTTACATACTGTAGCTAGGAGAACGCTTATCAGCGTTTTTCCTTTTCAAAGATTTTTTGACTAAAATTTTTTTCCAGAGCAACGGCGATCATTTAATAAAAGTATCTATTTTATAATTAACCAAATCGCTAACAATTGGTTTGAACCTAAAGGATTGAAAACGCCCAACTTAATGGCTTGATTAACCGGCAAGAATTGAAAGGCTCATTTCCTTTTTCCACTTGGCAGCTCACTAAGACTTTAACAGTATTCGCTCTTCTCATATCCTTTTATGGTCATCAAAAAACGGAAGTTCATTCCACTCCCAGCTCGTTTTTTCTGTGAACCAATTTTAAAGAATAACTTAAATAAACGTTTCTGAAGGTTTTCTCTGTAGAAGAGGTTTTTCTTGATTTTTCTCGAATTCGATTATCCTGTCACTCGTCATCTTATCGTCATTATGATCCTTTAATCTGTGGTGAGAACGATCGGTAAGTAGTCTAAACCAACCTCTTGAGAATTTTCTGTGGATTGGAGTGGGAGACACGCGATTTCTGACGTTTTTCCCTGAAAATTTGGCTGTTTTCAAGGCTTTTTTGTAGTTCTTCGCTCCGATTTCTTCTAGGACAGCTTAAAAACCACTGCCTGCGCATTGCGAGACGAGGAGAGCGCAGAGAAAACAACTCCCACGCCTTCAAGGCATGACATCAGATGACGTCAGGCCGACTTCCGGAAAAAGCTCGGCGCTATTTGAGGAAGGGCCACAAGATGACGTAGATCCGAACCTTCCGTCTTATTATTAATGACGCCAACTTTTTCTCCCTTTTTCAACTATTTTGAGTGTTAAAACGAAAAAAAAAATGTTGTTTGAACTCCTACAAGTATTTCAATTTTTATTTTCAAAGAACATTGAGTTTTCTCAGGCACTTCCTATTCACATCATCAACCGCTTCTACTGTTCATTTCACTCCATATCGCAAGTATTAGCGCAGATTTATTTTCCATAAAAATTGGCACTCACTCAAAATTTATCAAATTTCGCCCTGAATTCGCGTTGAAATTTGACTCTTAGCTAAAAGTCAACTTTTTTTAAGAGCTGTTTATAATAAAAATTATCTGGCAAAGTGGTATTGCCAATGTAAATAAAGATTTTCTGAATACCACTAAAAAAATCACTATATATATATATAGTGAATTGATATCATCAGAAAATTTATGGAAATTTAATAGCGATGCATATACTAATGTTTTTTCATTATAAAAAAAATTTGAAAACCGATCGCATGGAAATGAAAAACTTTTAGGAAGAGAAACTGCACTATGTTCATAATTATTTTTAAAATGACTCATCAAGGCCAACTACAATGTTCCTCTTTGCCCAGAGGCACTAATGATCCCGACGTCGGATTCGCAAGGTTTCCTCTAAATGAATGTTCCCCGAGGCGTTTTCTTCCGCTCAGAAAAAGCAAACACAAAAGGCTCGTGTTTCTTTCAAGGATATTCTGCAGGGCTTCAAAAATGAGCCGAAAAAAGCGTCGAAGCGGGAAGAAGAAAAAGGAAATGGCCGGTTTCCAGAGATTTATTACGTGCAAAAATTGTGCTCGGCATAATCCAACTGCCTTTTCGTTCCCATCCGACTAAAAAGGACAAAAATGTCAACGCAGAATCAGATTTTCAAAAAAAAAAAAAGAAGATTCGGGTTGAAGAAAATTTCTGCCATCTTTAAATAGAGGAAACCTCGTAATAATGGCATGATCCAAGAGTGCCAATAATTCCATTCAAATTTTATCTTCTCAAAGTGTAAACTAGTAAAACGAGCCGAGAGAAAAGCCAATTTCGAGAGCGAAACAAATGTCGCGGCCGGCAAATGTCCTAATCGGCAACTTTACGCTCGCTTCGATATAATTTACAGCGACATTTTTCATTTGTGTGTAAATATTTGGTGCTTGGGGAAGCTTGGAGGAACATTAGCGGAATTGTTAAAACAATTAAGTCTTTAAAAATTGAAGAAAAAAGGAAAATTAGGTAATTTTTTAATAATAATAATATATTATACTATTATTATCGTTGTTATTATATTCGACTAGAAAAAAAGTTGAACATTTTTTTCTGGAGGCCGCTCTAAGGCCGGGCCGGGCTTTACTTAAAGAATGGCCGACTGAGAGGCTGACGGGCCGGCCCTCGCACAAGCCTGGGGTCAGGCTAGCCCGGGCTTTGGGCCTCTTTTTTTCGAGGAAAAGCCTGCGTGGGCTTGGGCCAGGCTAGGCTTCGAAAAGAAAAATCTAGTGAACTTTTCTCTTCTTCATTTTCATTTTATTACGTGTTAAATTTTTTAAGGCTATCGGAGATGACTAAAGTGAGATCTTCAGTCTTCTCCGTATGGAAGTTATTTTGACGAAGCTCTCGATCGAGCATCCTATTAAAATATAGAATTATTTTCAGCGAGTTCTGTTATTATTGGTTGAGTGACCGCAATAATCAATTGGAGTCCGGTAATTGTTTTTTGAATATACGAATGGATGGCTATCCGAGACGGAGCGCGGCTTTTGTTGTCGTGTTGTCCACCAGAATCGTATAACCTGAAGCAAAAAGCCAAAGGAATGAGGTTTTTTGCAGGATGTGGCCTCAGCGACGATTTGTGCGACTCCAACGAATACTGCTTTCCTGGTCTGTTGCCCTTTTTGGGAAGAAAAAGGGATTGATCCCCTTAGCTATAGATACTTTTTTGAAATACCAGAAAAGCTCCAATAAATAGAGAGCTGTATTTGATGTCGTCTGAAATTAAAAAATTTGAAATCATTTTCTTTACGTTGAGAAAATGGGTTTTCTCAAAAATTTTTAATATAATAAAAGTTTGAAAAAGTTAGAAAAAAAATTAAATATTTAGCCACGCGTAATCCATTTTTGATTTCGAATTATTTTTCTTTTAGAAGAACCATTTTTTTTTTTGAATTGGGAATTTCTCAGATGGGGTGTTCGGCCAGTGTTACTCTGAAGACAGCGGCGCTCCTGTGCCGACTGCCCTCGAAAACCTTGATGACACTGAGCTCCAGCTGCTCCAGCTCGAACTTGTCAGGTGAGTAGGGATCTTTTGGAGTTTTTTTTCAATTTTCAATCTATTCTGAGGGTTTAACATATTTTTTTGTTTAAAAAAATATTATTCAAATCAATTTTTATGAACGAGTTGTAAGAGATAATAATTGAATACTTTACCTTCGTGGTAAAGCTTCATTTCTATATCGGCAAACTTTTCTGGAGGAATGTTCACATTTTTCAACCAAAGTAAAACTTGAACTTTGGTCTAGCCAAGAAAAATAGGAAAAAAAAAATTACACCAATTTCAGGCTAGCTTCAAAAAACAAAGAATGGGCGCACGAAGAGACGCAGTGTGTCCTGGCCTATTTCAAGCTGTCGATGGCCTACTCTCTGCAGTACGATCCAGACTTTTGTCAAGTCCGCAACCCTTCCAACATCTGGGCTCTCATTCAGGTCTGCGGCCCTTTGTCCTTCTTTAAAAACCTTTTGAAGCTGATTGACGTTGGCTTGGCCGAAGATCCCAGCCTCCTTGAAAATCCTTCTTCGGATCATTCGATGGAAGAGCTGACAGATGAGCTCCTGGAGACGTCGAAGCGGAGCCAACTCGACGAAGTCGACGACGTGAGTGACGAGGAGATGTTGCGAATCATCCGACAGCTGAAACAGCCCCTCGTGCCCAGTGAGCAAGAGATCGAAGGTTGACTTACCCTTTTGAACGAATTCTGATTTCAAACAATGTCAGATGTGCTGCGAGATGAGCAGAACGACGAGCTTGTCCAGCAGTACCTTGAGGGGATCGTTCACAACGAGAACCCAGGTTGTTATACCTTTGAAATTGAGAAACCTAGAAGTGACTAGCGCTGAGCTTAGTGTCGGCTTGTAGATTGGCAATACAGGAACATCGTTGTTGAAGATTTCTCGGCACTCAGCGACGATCAACTGACCGAGCTCATTGAAAGACTCGTCGAACTCAAGAACAATATGTCCGCTGAGAATCGAGGTTTTCTTTTTCAGAGAAAGTGGCTGCGAAACTGGAGAGTTTCAGGCGAACAAGAGATGGTGGTCCCTCTTGATGCCCTCGGCGAACAACAGAGCATGCTCAAGAAGGACATTGAGCGCGTCGGCGAAGTTAACACAGGTAGGTCTTCTGGTACGCGCAGGTCCTATCAATGGTTCAGGCCTCGACAACACCGAACACAAGATCGTCAAAGGCCGCAATGACGGCGTCACGCGTGTCGCCGCCAATCGTGTGTACCTTAAGGTTCAATTCCACTTTTTTCGTTTTCTATTGTAAGTTTTTCAATTTTCAGGTCAACATAAAAGAGGAAAATCAGTTGTACCCGCTCATCGAGTTCCTCCAGAACACGATCGCTCTCCCCAACAACCTCATCTTCGACGATTTTCAGTTACTATCCAGAGAGAGGCTATGGCTGACGTTGATTTTTCAAGATTTGAAAACGGCCAGCTCTCGATGCGGATATCAAGACTGAAAGACGCGAAGCCGCAAAGCAAAAAGCGAATCGAAAGCGTCGAAGGCGTCGCCCAAGCCGTCTGTGAGTTGAATTATCCCTCTTCGGGTAGAATCGAGAGTCTGAAGATAAACGTCGAAAAGACATCGCTCGACTGTCTGGAGCAGAAGTCGCGGAAACGGGAATCGGCATCGGCGACGAGTCGCTGCCCATCGAGTCCACCGACCGCGACTGGATGCTCGCTCCCGCCTTGTTCGTCTGTGTCTTCACCATAACGGCGCTCGTCATCGTCGCTGCGGTGAGATGACGTCATTTGAGCGCTCTTCAGAGGATTCTCTACAGGCTCACCTCGTCAAGTCGCGGCGCCACAGCAAGAACAACATCCAGCAGATGGCCGACCAACTCGACGGAAAGAGCAGCTTCGCCTACCAAGTCAGTTGTCCCGGAAGATAATCGAGCGAAAAGAAAAAAGAAATTGAGCACAGACGTTCTGTTTCGACTCCCGCTAGTAGAATAACAATAAGGTAGATCTTGTTTACAAGAATATCGGAATAATTGGAATAAAAAAGACCATTTAGAACTCAGCAAAGTTCCATCAGATTCTCAAACTGTGTCTTTTTTATCCTATTAGAATAATTATCCTACTTCACTGTGCTGTCTCTTGGATAATTGGATAATTTTGTTTAAGACCAAAAAAAATTATTGGTTTTTTCCACACCGCACTTAAGAAGAACTGTCATCAACATCCGCAGAAAGGAAAACTTTCGAATTGATGCTTGGAAAACTTTTATTTCAAATATCTGTTAAAATTGAAATGCTTTCTAGTTCATAATCTGCCTTAGGATTCCGAACTTTTTGAGATTCAAAGTATCAGGCGAATTTTTGATTTTTTTTTCGTGAAACTTTTTTTCGGGCTTGGCGGTTTAGTTGATTTTTTTAAATCATTTTTCAGAATTTTCCCCATCAATCTATAGAACATTTTCAGAAAATAAAAATAAAAATAATACATTGACGCGAGGGGAAGGGTGAAAAAGAAAAATATAGGATAATGGGATGAAAAAATAAAGAAACAAATAAAAAGGAAAACAGAGGGAACAATGATCAACTTTGGAATGAGTGTGAGGAAGAAGATAAGGAAAAGCAATAATCCGTGTTCATAGGTAGAGCGGAATATAATTATGTTGGATTGAGTCCAATTTCAATTATTTGTAGTGGTAAATGAGTTTTCTTCAAATATCGGACATGGCTTTTTATTAATGTTTAGGCTCCTTGAAAATCATCTCGTAGTTGATAAGCTTGATTAGAAATTACAACAAATACATTTTTTGAGAATAGTTTCGAATGGGTGTTCTCAGGACCTGTGTCGTCAGAGGGCTTCGATGGACATTTCCAACGGCGGCCGCGCAAGCAAGAGCAGTTCCACCTCGAGTTGGTGCGACGAAACGGCAGCTCCTCCGGCCATCGACATCTCCACAGGCCATGTGGTCCTTGTGAGTCAGACCTGCTCCATCCTTCGAAAACCTCCTCCTGCAGAACTTCCTGCAAGAGTGTCTGAGCGAGCCGACCAAGATGGAAGCTCAGTGGAACGCCATCAAGGACTACAAGAACGTTCAGAGAGCGACGACGAGAGCAGTTCAGTTCGCTCAACACAACCGCTCCATTTTGCCATGTTCGTTAGAAACTTTAATCAAATTGAAAAGAATCGCCAAACTCTGCCAAAAAAAAACGTGACTTGGCAATAAACCCAATAACATATAAATATGTTACTGCGTACGTATGTTTAGAACGAAGTTTAATTAACCTTGAGTTTTGGCGTTCTCATACTCTTGTATTATTAAAGTTTAATTTAAAAAAATAAAGAAAAACTAATATAGGTGTAATGGACATGGAAATTAAAATTCCGCATATTTCTTTCATTTTTTCTGCTTTTACCGTTGTGCTAAACAATTTTTAAGTTATAGGATCCTAATTTTTCCAACAGAAAATCCATTTTTACGCTGAAAAGTTGAAAATGGTCAAAACCGAAAAAAAAAAACCTTTTTTCTGTATATTTGGCACATTTATTCCCTTTCGGTAAGAAAAAAAAATGGAAACCAGCTATACAACACGTAAGAAGCTTCCAAATGCTCAAAGAAATGGAGAGCTTTCTGGGAAGAGTAGTGAGACGGTTGCAGTCGACGACAACATCGTGGAAGTCGACGGAGCGAGCCAAGGAGAAGACGGATACCTCAACGCGAGCTTCATCTACGACGACGACCCGAAGCAGCCGATGTACATCGTCGGGCAGACGCCGACATCGTCGCAGATCCGCGCGTTCTGGCAGGCCGTCTGGCAGCACGGCGTGTGTCTTATCGTCAACGTGTCGACTCTGGAGGAGTGTCGCCAGGAGAAGAACTACTGGCCGGACACCGGCAGTGAGGTCTACGGCCCATTCGAGGTTCGCTTCCGTCTCGGTTTCACACTTTTTCGGACTCGAATAGGGCTTTCTTCACTTAGAAAACAAGTTAATTTCTTTATTTTGCTCTTAGCTCCGAATTTCCTGAAATTACCTCCATTTGAACTTTTCTTATTTCTCAGCGGCCATCTATGTTTTATCTTCTCTAACATGGAAGGTCATTTTTGCGTAGGGTTTGGAATTTTCTATAAATTTGCTCAAACAATCTTTGGTGGACTGGGAATCGATTCCCCATAGTCGCTATCTGCGCAAACTTTTCGTTTTGGAGATATGATTTTTCAAAGTTCTTGTCCTTAAAAACGTGACAATGTTCGGAAGGAATGTGTCCGCAGCACAAGTCATTCCATGGCAGCTAGGAGCGTGGTGCAGTGGCTAGCGCGGTAGCCGGCGAAGCCTATGACGAAAGTTCGAATCTTTTTGCGGCTATCGTTTTTTGCCTTTTTTTTTTTGACGGAATATGATGAACATGTCGAAATTTCAGGATTAAAAACGTTCCAAAACCGTTCGATGACCATTTAATTCCAAAAAAAATCTTTGTAGTTTCGGCATGCATCGCATCATCAAAATTTTTTTTCTACAAATGTATTTGTTCAAAAACGTTTCGGACTACGAAATTTTGGATAACATCACTTCTATTGAAATAAACAGGAAAATTTGAAGAAAAATTTTTCAATAAAACTCGTTTGCCAGGTATTGTATGGACTTTTCTGTAGCAAAAAGGCGAAAGTTGCCTTTTGAAATAGTGAAATTCTACCAAACTCTTATTTATTTCAACCAGGGTGTGAGAAGATCTTCGATGATGATTCAGCGCTTTTTTCAAATGGTATCTGCTGTTCTTCAAAAAAAAAAGTCTCTGATGATGTGATGGTCGGTCATAACTTCAAGACTTTCAAAAGAAACTTTTTGTGAAAAAAGTTATTTTTGGAAGAAATTGGCTATCGAACGGTTTTGGAACGTTTTTAATCATTAAATTTTGAGATGTTCGTCATAATCCGTCAAAAAAATAATGGCAAAAAACGATAGCAGCAAAAAGATTCGAACTTACGTCATAGGCTTCGCCGGCTACCGCGCTAGCCATTGCACCACGCTGCTAGCTGCCTTACAATGACTTGTGCTGCGGACACATTCTTTCCGAACATTGTCACGTGTTTAAGGACAAAAACTTTAAAAAATCATATCTCCAAAACGAAAAGTTTGCGCAGATAGCGGCTATGGGGAATCGATTCCCAGTCCATCAAAGATTGTTTGAGCAAATTTTCAGAAAATTCCAAACCCTAAGCAAAAATGACCTTCCATGTAAAAGAAAATTGTTAAATTTTAACATTTTACCATAATTTAGTGGTCGAAAACAAAAGGTTAGATAATTTTTTTCTTTGAAGAATGCATTTGAATTTAAGTTCAAAAAAAGTTTGCTTAAAAGCTGTTTTGATCAAATTAAACCAAATAAAATCCAATCGTATCATATTCACAAACTTCGGTCAAGAAAAAATCAAACGTTTGTTTTAGACTCTGTCTTTTTGATTCAAAAGCATCCTAGAACGCTGGTACTGTTTAGATTCACCTCGTGTCGGAGCACATCTGGTCCGACGACTACCTTGTCCGCTCGTTCTACCTGAAGAACCTGCAGAACAGCCAGACCCGCACCATCACGCAGTTCCACTACCTCTCGTGGGCCAAGAATTCGACGCCACCGAGCGCCAAGAGCCTTCTCGAATTCCGTCGCAAGGTCAACAAGTCCTACCGCGGTCGCTCCTCAGCCGTTCTAGTCCACTCGTGGGACGGCTCCGGCCGGACGGGTGCCTACTGCGCCGTTGACGTCATCTGCGCACGTCTTCTCCGCGGCGTCCGTCAAATTGACGTCGTCGCAACCGTCGAACATCTGAGAGATCAGAGAGACGGTATGTCGTTTCTATTTCGATTCGTACTTTAAAGGTAGAAGAGGTTTGGCTGACTCGGCTATTCAGAAACAAGAGGTTAAGGATTTTTTAGTGGTTCAAATTTTAAAAATTCAAATTTTTTTACTTGCAATGATTTTTAAACAAACAAAAACCTGCCTTATATTTAGTTTACAGAAGTTGAAATAAAGATATTTTTCTGCTTAACCTAGCCGATAGTCTTTCAACTAAATTTGCGGATAGGAGTTCTCTCAATTTCTTCATTGGTTTCTCTTTTTTTTTTAATTGAAAAGTCTGTATGCCAAATTACTGACAAATTACAAATTAAAAAAATAAACCTTTCTGTTTTTTTATTCCTTGCAAAAAAATTTGATAACGAAAAAAATGCATTATTGTTTTATCAGATGAGAATTTCCAAGGAAAAATATTTCAATTCGTAACTATATATCATTTACATTATATGTTTGAGTATTCAATTAGTCGCCAACTGAGCTTCTTCTCAAAAACAGTCGGAAAGGGGAAAAAGGCAATAAGGTCGTCCGATGTTATCGCTTGTCTCATTAATTTGCCGTCTATGAATCCGCGCCGTTCATATATGATGATAAATTGCCTAGGAAACCGCCTAATGGCTGTTCAGCGACCAGCCACTGTTGCTACGTCTTATTAGGGGCCGTTAACGTTCTTCTAAAGCTTTGATAGTGACGAATCACATTACTCTTGTCATTCTTTCATGGCTTTCGTAAAAAAAAAAGTTAGCGCTGCGTTTGAGGTTCATGCAGTATCGTAAATTTATTGAAATAGATCTTCGAGTCTCTAAACTAATATCAAATTGAGCATTAAAGGCATGTTAAAATTCTTTGAACATACCCGCTTAATTCGGAAATTCTTCAATGATTTGAAGGTAAAAACTGAACAAAGAAGGAAACTAGTCTTTTTTTTGAGAATCGAGATAACTATATAAAACTGTACTCGATATTTGAATTACAGGAATGGTCGGCACCGGCGATCAGTTCAAGCTAGTGTACGGCTGCGTCGCCCAAGAGGTCAATCATGTGCTGAAATCTTTGTCCCAGTGAACAAACTCCGCCCTTTTCTCCTTCCGATCTCGTCGCTTCTCCTTTTTCTCCACGGCCATATCACCACACGAAATCCCCCCATGGCGTATTCCCCACACGAAAAAAACCTAATTAATGAATCTTGTCGCTGTTTACGATTTAAATCAGTAAAGAAAACTATTGAAGGTAGTTTTGTATGTGATAACGTTCCAAACTGGGCGAACAAAACGCTTTCTAAATCACAAAGATAATTTTTTTCAGGAACAACACAGAAAAGAAAAAAACAAAAAAAGAGACGATTAGAACCGGAAAAATTTCAAAAAGTTTTACAAAAAAAGTTTGAGAACTTTTTGAAAACATTTTCTACCTACAAAGGAAAGTTGAATACTCATAGCGACAGAATCAGCTTATCGTCATCCTTTTAATCGTCATTCAATCTTGAAAAAAATAAAAAGAATATATAAATATGAATAAATAAAAAAAATTTCGGCCATCTGGAATGATTAACGGTATAGTCTGTTCAGATTTTGAATGTCAAGTCCTCGCTCAAGCTCCTCCCCCTCACAACGCGATAAACCAATCAGAGAGCGAGCCATCCACAGAGCTTTTTCGAATGACGTCATTCTATTTGACATTCAAAAACTGAAGGGACTAAATTTACGAATATTGGGGGAAATTTCTAAAAATTGGCAAGGATGTGTGACAGCACCATCTAGGTAAATAGCAATTAAAACATATTAACTTATCAGTGGTGGTAAAATTATATAATCTTTTATACCAGCAGGCTCGTGCGAGGACCGGCCCGTTAGCCGATCCTCCGGCCTGGCCGAGGCCTTTTCTCAAAAAAATAAGGCCCAAAGTCCGGGCCGCCCGGCCTGACGCATATTTCTGTAAAACAGAAAGAAAGTTCCGAACACTCGTTATACGATTTTATTTTATTTTATTTTATTTGTTCTTTTGTACTGAACTTTCCTTCCTTTTTCATACTCGCATAAATATTCAGTCATTGATATTTGTTTGTGTGATAAAGCGATTAGGTTACTTCGAATTTCTGACCAAATTTTAGAGCATTCCAATATCATTTCTTCTGAAATTCGATAAAATAAAATGATTCAATTGTTGTTTCTAAAATAGTTGTAAGCTACTGTCAAACTTTCGAATCGAGCATGAGCTCATACAAAATTCGAGAAAAAGGTTCTTCGAATCTGAAGCGTTTCAGATGGTTGTTGTGTGTGACCGAGAGTCCGTGGCCTTTCTCGAGAAGAAGACGTGCACTACTGCATATGCGCCTCTGCATGGCATTACACCTGGGACGGCTTCCAACTTGTTTGGTTGGCCGCGCGGGTACGCCTTCAATCGCCTCGGGACTCTTTGTCGCTCGTATGTTGCCATTTTGAATAAATGTCAGTTTTGATTCTCGACAATCGCTCATAGTCCTCTTTCTCTAGATTCAACAAGATTATCGTTTGCAGATTTGATCTTCTTGTTTTAGAACAGAAAAGCCGTTAGTTTCTCAAATTTTCGTCGAGATTAGGCTTCATGTATGAACTAATTCGGATACATGTTTTCACTAAAAAGCTCCATTGAAAGCTCATTTTTTTATTAGTTCTGAGCTTTTTTTTAAATAGGAAAAGTAAGAAACTTCGTAGGGAGATCTTTTCAAGCTCTTCACCTAGGAAATACATTGAAAGCTCCAAAACCCCTTTTTGTAGAATCAATTTTCTTGTTAGCAAAAATAAATCTGTTCAAATAGGTCGAAACCATTTTCTTGACCCTCCGCCTTGTCTTACGACAACAGCTTTGAATTGAATCGCTTCGCGAGTTTCGGCATCGTCGATGCAACTCGTTTGGCGTCATATTTGGGGCCGCCGATGCCTTCCTTCTCCTTTCTCATAACAACTCGTCCGCCATCATTCACACAGTCACAGTTGAGGGCATCATGAGGCACGGCTTCTGCCTCCGCCTTCTGCTCGTCTCCTGCTTCTGGCACGGCTGCCACGGCGTCAAGATCATCGACAACGGACTCGCGCCCCCGGAAATCGTCCACACTCCGCTCTCCACTAAACGTGAGCTCTTTTACTTCGTTCTTTCCATTCCCTTTCGAAAAAGTAAAACCTTTTTTTGATCTGCCCGCTTATTTGAATTTCAAAGCTCACGATCCAGGTTAAAGGGGATACTAAGGAATTTTTTGAAAGTAATAAAGTGAGATCCGTTCTCGATTGACTTGCTTCACTTGGAAAACAACAAACTGAATTTTCAAGCTTGAGCGAAATTTTCTTTCAAAAACGCATTTTTCTATATTTTTGATTCCTAATGGTAAATATCATACAATTTTTCCGCAACATCAGCCTTTTTTCAAATTAAAATAGTTTCCAAAATTTCTTTCATATTTTCAAAATTATCGAATTTTCGTTTTCTCATGCAGTAGATAATGCTCCTTGGGACACAAACGAGTAAGAAGAGCTTCTCTTTCCGTGGAGTGATTGGCTAATCGTTTGGATGTCCTACTCACAAACTCTCTTGATTTGCGATGAATTTTCTTCAAAGGACGGGTCCATTGAACTAATTATTCAGAAAAGAAAAACAAATTCGTGATTTCCAATACTTTCCAAATATTGCCTTTATAGAACTTCAGTCATGAGTCGTTTTAATTTTCTTTATGATCGATACTTAATATTCTGTTGACCTCGAATTGAAACAGTCTGTCTTTCTTGCGTTCTCCTTTGTCTCGCCTCGAGAACGTAAATCTTAGACTTAGAGTGTTGATGAAATAAATTTTAAAAAAACGGCAAAAACGAAATCAGACTGTTTGAAATGAAAAAGTGAGGTGTGTAGATGCTTTTTTTCCCCTTTTTCGAGGCAGTAAATCAAACAAAAGTTATTTCTTTTCACTTTCGCCGGTTTGGTTTGCTTTCGGATCGATGGACGCTTTTGTATGGCACCATTTATGGTAGTCTAATGATTGCGCGACGAAATGCAAGAAGCCTCTGACGTCATCTGTCCGAGGGTGAAACCGACCGGTTCATTTGACTCGCAATTCGAAAGCGACCTCCTCCCGAGGTCTCGACCTCTCCAAGTTATCGTTGAAACGAGAGCCGGTTTGTCTGAAAGTTTTGAAAGAAGCATCTTTCACAAAGGCTCCGACACGAGAAGATATCAATCGAAGACCATTTCTGCATTCTTTTGTTTTCAACGTCAATACTCCATTTGTTTTTCTAGTCCTTGATGTAATCGGTTGCGCTATGAAGAAGTTTTTTCGCCAGCTAGAAGTTCAAATTTGTAGTCCAAAAGTATAAGACATGCTCTGCTTTTTTTTCATGGAGCTCAGATAGCGCCTGGAAATGTAGGTAAAATCTCTGGACCTTGGGAACCGTGAAGTCTTGATTGAAGTCGGATTTGGAGCTATTCAGTTTTTCGATGAAGTCAACAACTTTATATAAAATTGTCTCGTTTAATATCGGATTTCCAGCGCGATGCAAGGTTTTCGCTCCTCCGCTGGACCTCGTCTTTCTTCTGGACAGTTCGGGTTCGCTTAGAGACAAGTTTCAGGCAATCGACAATTCGTTGTACTTTGCATCAATAGAACTTCTAGGACGAGATTGACGTCATTCGTCGCATTATTAACCACGTCACTATTGGCAACTCGGCGACTAGGGTCATGCTTATTCAGTTCAGGTGAATCTCATTTTTCTTTTGTTTTTGTTGTTTTTGAATTTCGAGTGTGTCTAAAGAATTTTAGGCACAGGAGGAGTTCAAAAATATTTTTATTCAATTGATGAAATTGAGATGAATGGAAAACAAAAATATCGATGGCTAAATTTTATAAAACTTAAAAAATGTAGCTTTGAAGGTTTATTAATCATATATATATATGTCAAGATCGGAAAAATCGGTTTTGCGTTCCCTTTGCACAAGTTTTATGGACGAATGTAGAAATTTAAACTTTTTTTACTTCCTCTTTGTCTTTATTATTCTTCACTTCCTTTGTTGAGCAGTGACTTTTTGGTCAAGAAAGTATCAAGGAGAAAACTCGAAACGGAGAATATTTTGTTTCTGCAGTGGGACTCAGCACCTAGAGTTCAACTTCGACAAGTTTGCCGATCGAGACGAACTTCTGGCGGCTCTGGACGTCCTCCGACATGTTTCCGGCATCACTCGCATCGGCGCCGTCTTCGAGTTTGCCCTCGAAATGTACAGAACCCCGAACAATGTTGGTTCTTCGGCCTTACTTTGCTACCGTCTTTCCTCAGGGCTGGCGTGACGCCTCAGTTCCCAAGATCATCTACTTGCTCTCCGACGGAAGGACTCATGACTACCCCAAGGACTGGCAAATGGCCGAAACCCTCCGAAGGTCTTTATTTCAACTTTGGAAAATAGAAAAAAGTCGATCAGTTCTATCAAAAGATCAAGACATTTTGAAATTCGAGAAGCGAATAATTTCAATAACTTTTTTCTGGATCCAGTACCATCCCGAACGTCGACATCTGGGCTTATGGGACAGGCGACTACGTTGCGATGACAGCAATCGCCAACTACACGCAGAGCGAAGCCAAGATAACGACCAACCAAAACCTGCACCAACTGGAAACTCAGTTCGACAAGTTCCACGGGACCGAGATTTGCGAGGCGCAACCTGGTGAGTTCCCGGCAGGCCAATACCGATGAGATCCGTGATTCAGTTTGCATCAAAGGATCAGACAAGCCGCTCGACCTTTTGCTCGTCGTCGATGCTTCCGAGTCCCTTGACCACCTTTTTGCTGATCAGGCATCTGTGCAGTTTGTCCCGTGTCGAACTCGCTTTTTCAGATCAAGTTCCTGATGGACCGTGTCATCGACAACATCAACATCCATCCGGAGGCAGTACGACTTGCCCTCATCTCCTACTCAGGAACTGCTTTCGTTCATTTCAAGTTCAATTCATTCAAGTACAACAACAATTCTGTCATCAAGGAACACTTGAAAACACTGAGGTCGATCAAAGGTTGGAAAGAGGAGCAAAAGTTGAAGTGGTTGGAAAAATTCAGGAACAACGTCGACACAGCTCGCGCTAGAAGACGCCCTAGATATGCTAACCTCCGACGATCCCTCCATCGGTCAGCTAATTCCTCATTCCTGAAAGCAAGTAGAGCAAAAAAGAGTCTCAGGTACTCGTCGAGGGGTTCCAAAAATGGCTTTGGTGATGACAGATGGACATTCTCAACGGTCACCGAAAGAGATGGCCGACAAACTCAGAGCTGCCGGTTACAGAGTGCTCCGGGACATTTTTAGCAGAGATCTTCAGGCATCATTACTCTGGCAGTGAGCGTGACTCCTCGTCCGTTGGTCGATGAAGCGGAACTGCTTCTCATTGGCGGAGACCAGAACCGCGCCTTCTCTCCGCATAACTTACAAGTTGATGGGCTCATTTTGGAACTCTGACGAGATTTATTTTTTGAGGACTTCGAGGCGGAGTTCATGAAGCATGTCGGGTTTGGATGTGACGGTGTCGAGTTGGCTCCAGATGCAAGTAGGTTTCGGTACTCAGGCTGACTAATTCTGATTGGAAGTGGCAGAACCGAGAGTCCGCGGTGCCACTGACATCACCTGTGAGGAGAACGCGCTCACCTTGGTGGTACGGACTCAGCGAGCTCTTCAAGGCGTCATGTACGCCAACAACTTCCACGACGATGAGAAATGCATCTTGGTTGGTGTTCCTGATATTTAGTCGTCTTCAGAAGAAAGTTTGAGAGGAAAAACGACGAATCTCGCGAAGTGAGGTTGACGATTGTCGAAGGCACATGTGGACTGACCAAAACTCCTACGCCGGTTGGGAACGGGAAAGGAATCTTGAAATTTTGTGCATTCAGGACGGTCATGGCTACCACTTCAACCTGACGGTAATCCTGCAGTTCCATCCTTTGATTATCACCAGAGCCGATCAGGTTGGTGTTTGATGCGGGAAAAAGAAGACGTCAAAGGCCAGGGTCTCGACGTCGGCTGCTTCTTGCCCCATCCCGTGCCGCCACAGGAACTCCAGCGCAGTGTTTCCAAGAACGCCGCCGACTCGATTTGCGTCTACCGTCTGCATAGGTTCGTTTCAGAAGGTGGATCGGAATTTTTCTTTCCTTCAGGTACGGTCCGACTCAATGCGTGGCCCTCGACGCCAAGGTTGGAGAAACCATCTACCACAAATGGGAGTGCGACACTCGTTTGATCCTGCAAGAAAGCAAGTCAAACTGTACAGAGTTGCAGCTCCCGAGTACAACTACCTGGTTCATGATTGTCACGTTGAGTCGGAGCAAAACACGTTCAGAATTGTAGATGAGAATGGGTGAGAGACTATTTGAGATTGAAAAACTCGACTTTATTTCACTACTGTTTTTCCCAGTTTTTCCCAGAAAGCGCCGACAGTATAAAAGCGGGAAAACTCACTAATTTTAGAAGTAGCGCTATAGACAAGTTTTTAATATCTTCTCCAGACGTTTTGAGATTCGAAGTAGTAAGTTTTCATGGTTACAAGTCTGGTTTAAAACCATGTGGTAGATAACCTCGAAATGAATTATTTGAAAAAAAATTTCTTTTCTAGTCGCCACAGGATACCGAGAGAAAGCCTGTCCAAAAATCATCCTTTCTTTTTATAGGTAGGGGCGGACTTCCCCTGCTTCTCTGGCCTACAGCCAAAGCCATTAATTCACAAAAAAACTGCCTTGAAGGATCTTATTAACACGAGAAAAACCTTACTAGGTGATACAAAGAAAACATTTTTGAGATTTTTCTACCCTTTGGCGTTGAGAAGGTAATTTTAATTGGTTTTGAGTAGGCTCCTTCAGATATACCTACCATAATGTGAAGAGAACTGAAGAAAACTTCGTAGAAGACTGAAACTCGACCTCGAAAAGATGAAAAACATCTATCTCCCTTTCTTGGAATTTTCTCTCTAATTCAGAATTCAAATTTTCCCATATATGCTTTCGATCTCGATTCCTAATTACTTTCAATTCAAAGTTGCGAAGTGGACCAACATTTCCTGGAGACGCCCAACTACTCGAGATTCTCCGAACACCCCGAAGAGGCGTACGTCTTCCAGGTTGGCGATCAGCTTGACTTTCTTGACGGAGATTCAGGAGATGTCGGTGTTCAAGTTCCCCGGGGACAGCGACCTCGTTTTCCACTGCAAAGTCTCTTTGTGCGACATGACGGCGTCCAAGTCGACTTGCGCTGCAGCCATTGTCAGTTGATTTCCCTTTCCTCTGACTCTTTTGCTGCAGCCGCCGCGCTGTTCGCCGTACAAGCCGACGTTCCCAGTCCGACAGAAGCGCGGCGTCATCGACAAGTGGCGGTGAATCCATTCTTCCAATTTCCCCCTTTTTTGGATCGAAGAGCCTATCCCTTGAGCTTAATGGCAAATATTATTTATTTTGATTTGAAAAAAGATGAAAAAACTTTTACTTTTCAAAAGTCCGTCTTCAGAAAGTTACATTTTTTTTTTCGAATTCTCTCAATTGCAGAAGATCGGACGGGCTTCTTTCTCGCTCGCGACGTCAAATTGTAGAAACCAAATCTGGGTTCTACATGACAATGCACGTCGAGACCAGGCAAGTTCCAGCCCATTCAACCTTACAAATTAAAAATAATCTATAAAAACACCTCGACAGAACTCTGAACGTGCTCCTGAGCGAGAGCATACGTCCCAAGGATTCGGTCAAGTACTGCGACATCTCATGAAAACTCGGCGCATTTATTCATCACGGGTGGCTGTTCTGCTCTCATTACCTGTATTTGTACATACAAAAACTTGTCGTGAAAAGTTGTTTCTTACGAAATTCATAAAGAATAATTTCGAAAACTTTAATTTCAAAAGTATGATGAAATTGAACAATAGCTTTTGAGCAAAACTGACTAAATGGCACATAATTGAGAAGAAGAATTACAAGAAAGAATTTTTGCAAAGTCAAAAGATAAAGAGTCGATAGATAAAGACATGAAGAATGTTTTAAATTAATGTGATAAAATTTGAGAAGAAACTGACCCACATGAAGAATGCATAAACATCTCTCATTCACAAACAATAACAGGAAAATTGGACAAGAAAAAAGTCTTCACATAGAAAAGATAAAATCTTCTAACCCGTGGAAGTTAAGGGCAATTCAAAAGAGGTACTATAAAAAAACTAAGCAAGAACTAATTGTAGGTAAAGAAACGAATAAAATTGAAAATACACTAAAGAGGACTCTTCAACTGCTGTATGACATAGTCCTGAAGGCTTTGAGGATCCGTGAGGACATTCGTATTGGTCGCCAGGTGTACCTGAAAAAATTTGGCAATCTCAAGATGAAAATAAAGGTTTGGGGAGCTGCTACTTCGCCCCCCCACCCCCCATGCGGAACCTTGTGATGCCTGATTCATAAAAATATTGACGAAGAAAAACCATTGCTGGGCTTTGGAAATGGCAAGTAATCATCATGAAAGAGTGAGGAAATAGACGTTGGGAAATCTATTGAATATTGAATCAAAAAATGCGTTGTTACATTATCATCCAATCCATATTGTTTAAAAACAGACGAACCAGCAAAGTGCTGGCGAGTGGCCGCAGTTCAGAGGCTTTCCAATGCTTTTCGAACCAATCTGAACACGTCGCAGAAATCTGGAATCGTGGATTGTTCAGAATGTACATTTTGTCAACAAAATAGGTTTCTTCAAAATGGATACTAATTTTCTACCGGAATTTAAGTGGAGAAATAAAAAAAAATAAAAAAAATTGTTCATATTTTCATATGAAATTAAAATTCAAAACGCGAGAAAAAAAAACTCGAAATATTCTAGTTTCCCGCTTTTATATATAAAATGTTTAAAAGAAAATGTTAATGCTTTTTTCAACCGCACCTCTTCACGCGAAGCTCCTTCGCCGGCAATGTTACTTGCAAAAGAAGCAGGAGTCCCGGCGCTGATGGACTGCAGCATGCGGCACATCTTCAAAAAGAAACTCAGCCCTATGGCACGCTTCATGACGTCACCAACCACCCAGAAGCGCCAATCCTTGCGCGAACCCTCCTTGACATAGCGTTCGAAGAAACTCTCCAGAGCAGTTTTCGAGTCGACTCGACTTGAAGACCCCGCGGACGCCGGCAAATTCGACTGCAACGCTCTGAAAAAGACCGTTTCTTCAGAAATTGATATCAATTTTTACGCTATTTTGTGATTCAAACGCTCGATGCGCGATTTTGCGTCTTCAATTTCCTGGGACTGCGACTCGCGGCTAGATTGAAGACGTCGGATGTGGTCAGCGGCCTTGGCCAAGACTACAGCGTTCGTTGGTTTCACTCCTCCCGAGTACAAATTGGGTACCTTAATACAGAACTTTCGTTCTCAAATAAGTTTAAGAGCAGAGAGGAAAAAAGAAAAGTTCTGGATGTGAGTTTTGTAATGTTTGAAAACATTGTCCAAGGACCACACTTTGACGCGACTGTTGGCTATTTGGCGCGAATTAATCAGGGATAGCTTTTTGGGCTCAGTTTATACTATTTGTTCAATGATGTTTTTTGGACTCGGTTAAATGAAATCACACACAAACTCAAAATAAATAGAGGTGAGTTCGAGAAATCTCACCATTTCCATCAACTGATCAAAGCCATCTTTCAGAGCGCTTCTGCGGTTTTGCTCTGCATGAAGATGTAAGATTCTCTTGCGCTCTTCAGGATGCAACGTGGAGTCGGCCTGCACCTGTGAATGAACCCAAAAAAGTCATCAGTCTGATATTCGGTCGAGAAACCTGTCTGCTGCCTCTGGCCGGTTTCACACTAGACGGCGCGCTCAGTAACATCGGTTCTTCCTTCAACTCGACCTTCTCAGCCGGCGTAGTTGGAACGGAGTTTGAGCTCAGAGAGGTGCCTCTATATAGGGCAGCGTCAGCGATTGAGCTCGACATGTCGTCTTCGGAGACGTTGGACAACACCGACTGCGGCGTCGGAGCGTTGGTATTGGCCAGGCTCCGCACAACCGAAGTGCCGGCTGTGAACGCCGAGGTGTGTTGGTAGAGGGAGGATGGATCGATCGCAGGAGAGAACTTAATACCGAGATAATAACTTCTTGCAGACTTCGATCAGAATACTTTCCACGACGCTGTCGGCGAGGCCACGTTGTCCAGACACAACGAAGATGTCCGAATCCGCTGATTCGCCACGTTCCAGTCGTTAGTGGACTTGCGTTCCAGAGGCGATGAGTACATCTGTTCCTGCAACAAAGTAATCGCAATCAGACTTTCGAAGATTGAGATCTGTGAAAACTTTCAAGTTCATTGAACATTACCAGAGAACCTTAAGGAAATTGAAGCCTAGAATATGAAACTTCCTATCTTACTAGTTACATCGGGTGTTCCAAAGTAAACTTTTTAAAGACTTTTCTTGTCTTCCAAAAGGTTCATTTCGTGTGATGCCACCTTTTTGATGTCTGACTTAAAAAAATATTCGATCGTTTGCTTTTTAAGCTCTTCATCAAAAATAAAATAAGAGAAATGACCTTTTGAGCTAAAACAATAGGAGGCTGCTCGAGTCGGTAGGCGAGAGATCCCAATTTGTTGACGACGCTCATCGGATTGCACAGGTCCGAATCGTCGTTCATTTTGCTGCTTCCGACGGAATCGCTCATCGCCAGTAGGATAGTCGGCGGTGTGGATGGACCTAAAAAAGATGGGAAATGTATAGGTTTCCTCAGGATTTCAAATTTTCTCTCCCCATTTTTGGTCATGAGGACATGAATGAAACTTATTGATTTCTGACTTGGAGTGTCTACACAAAATCAGTAGTGTCAACCAGAGTTGAAGAAGAAAAGATAAGTTTTTTGAACGTTGAGCGGTATTCAAAATTTTAAAATGCTTTTGGAATCTCAAAGTGTTTGAGAAAAAAAAAAGTCAGAACCTTGGATATCACATTATTGCTTTGATATTGTTTGATTTGATTGAAGAATTTTCAAGAAATAGGCAGAAAAAGTCAGAGTTTAGTCGACAGTTCTAAGAAACTAAGAAAATCGCAAACCGCGTAGGAAAACTTCGCTTCCCACTTGGAAATATATTCCAATAGGTAAAAAAATTGAAAACAATCTTTCGTATACCGATTTAAAAGCTTATCGAAGCATTCTAGTATTTTTTATCAACCAAAAACGCAGCAGCCGTCACACAAATATCGCAGAGCTGTCAGACCTGGAAGCAGATGACTGAGCGGCGTCGCGGGTCCGTGGTGGTTGGAGAGCGACAGTGGCGTCGCGACGGACAACGGACTTTGGACGCTGGCCGTCAGGGGCGAATCCAGCCACCAGGACTTGGCCGGCGCCATCTGCAACCGCGATTCTACAAGAACACGAGAGGAGAAAGGACCATCGCGTTTTGAGAAGCGAGGGATGGCGAACTGAGAAACTGCGGCATGTAGTCAGAATGGCTTCCGACGTGCACACCCAGCGGTTTAGGGTCCAGCTCGTTCGATCCACTTGTTCCTGGCAGCGAGACCTGAATGTTCAAATCCAATTCGGCTCATTCTTCTCAGATATTTGATTTCAAACTAAGATAATCTTTTTCTCAATAATCTGATGCACTGAACTGAGCTTTTTAACAAATTACCCAAAAAAAAAATCCAAATATACTTTTTTGAGCTCGAGTTTTCCTACGAAATATTAGAGATAAATGGGAAAAAATTCATATCATCCATTAATGAAACATTCGCAGAGTATGCACAATCTCAAGGCCTTTCTTTTCACTTTTTTTAATACCACTTTATAGTTATATCACAGAAGACTAGTTTTCCAAAAAAGAAAAAAGTTACCAGAAAATTGTTCTGTTTCCAAGGAGAAGTGCTGAGCGATTGATTCCTGAGGCTCTGGAACTGAGCATGAGAATAGAGGGGCTGGCTACTCGTCGCGGTCATCATCAGCATCTGCGACGTGATCGAGGAGGACTGTCGCGTCGGCATCGCGACTGCCTGGTTGCTGGAAAGAATCGGGGTTGGGAGCGAAAGTCGCCAAGCGGCACCTGTAGTCGACGAGCATGCTCGCGGCGACGTAGTCTTGCTGCGACGGACGAGTCGTCTGTGACTGCGCGACGAGCTGCGGAGGCTGAGGTCTGCGCGGAACGTCTTGCGGGGGTCCCATTGAATCCAGCTGAAACAGGAAGCTGTAAACAAATCAGAATAGGAAGCTGACTATCGGTTGAGAGGGAGGTTCCGGAGGAATGGCTATTTCGTGAGGTTTGTTTGGAGTGGGAGGATCCGGAAAGTCTCCTAAAAAACAACTTTAGAAAAATTTCGATTCATTTTTCGTGCTTGGCAAAATGACGCGTTACTAGAGTTCACCAAACCGATCATTCAACCATTTCAATTGATCAAACTATTGACATGTCACTGTTCAACCAAATTTTAACATGTCATTTTTTGAGAGATCGTTTATTAGATCAGTTTTTGATCTCTTACATTAATGATCAATCATTGGATTTTAACGTTTTGATATATCGATATTTCGACCAATATATTCAATACAACATTTCGATCGATCATTTTTTTCGACCAATATTTTTCAATACAACATTTCGATCAATCATTTTTTTCGACCAATATTTTCAATACAACATTTCGATCAATCATTTTTTTCGACCAATATTTACAAAAACAACATTTCGATCAATCATTTTTTTGACCAATATTTTCAATACAACGTTTCGATCGATCATTTTTTTTCAACCAATATTTTCAAAAACAACATTTCGATCAATCATTTTTTTGACCAATATTTTGAGCTTAAAATTTTGATCGATCGAAATTCTGAGCGATCGATTTTCAAAACAGATCGCTCACACGGGGCAAGTTTTCGGAGTACTAGTGAAAAGGTGAAAATATTTAATTTTTTTCCGACAAATTAAAGTTTTGCATTTTTCTTGAACTTATTTGTTATAGTCTATATAGCATTGTAGAAATTTTTGCTTTTAGTACCAGTGAACACAGAGAAACAGAAAAAAGATGCTGTTTTCATTTCTCTCAAAATAACTTTCTAAAATGCTATAAAGCCAAAATCTTGCCTATCATTGAGTACGGATCCGAACTAATGTGCCCGCTAAATTTGAATGATATAAATCAACTAGTCAGTTCAGAGAAAATTTACCAAAAGATTATATCCGAAATTAGATTATCGCAGTAGATTAGCCAAACTGAAACTATCGACGTTATGGACTAGAAGACTTTTTAAAGACGTTTGTTGCGTTCACAAATACATTCATGGATATTTTTGGAGTGAGTCGCCTGTTAAATTAATGATGAATTCGAGTAGAAATAATCAACTCAGATCAGCTGTTAGATTTATTTGATTGATTTGATTGTTTTGATGTATTATTTTTTTGTATTTGTCGTGCAGATTGCGGAATGGCGAATAAACACTTGAAAATGAAAAAAATGAATATTTCGTTACGAAAAATCAAAAAAGAAATTATGATGAACATTTGAAAGAGAAGCGGTTTTTAAACAGTAGTTTTAAACATACTTTTTTTAACAAAAAAATTCATTTCGATCAATCATTTTTTTCGACCAAATTTCCAATAAAAAAATTTCGATCAATCATTTTTTTTGGCCAATATTTTAGGCATAAAAATTTTTGATCGATCATTTTTTCGACCAATATTTTCAAAACAACATTTCGATCAATCATTATTTCGACCAATATTTTCAATACAACATTTCGATCAATCGAAAACTGAACGATCGATTCAAAATGATCTCTCATTTAAATGAAATGTTGACATGTCGAAAAAACGAGAGATCATAATCATGAGACATGTTAATCGTTCGGTAGCAAGAAATGTTAATCAATCATATTTTTGGTAACATGTCATGAAAATATTGGTTGAACGATGAAAATATTGGTCGAACGATCGGTTTGGTGAACTCTACGCGTTACCATTGCCAAGCTGCACATTTCGGCTTTCGAGTCGAGAAAAAAATTTACTATGACATTATTAATTTTTTTATTGATTATCTTCAGAAACTCTTGAAAGCCTACCATAGAAATTTTCGCCTTGATAGCTCGAAAATATTTTAGAGACCGAAAAAGTTAATATGTTCGATTCTAACTACCATGCAATGAAGTAGCGTTGATGAACCCAAATCGAATAACACAGAACAAGCGAAATTATACTACTTTTGACAAGATCTTCGTCATTTATTTTCACAAGATTGGAATAACTAATGACACTTGACAAAAATGTGTCTGTTTGCGAGAAGATATGTTACACTACGATCGAAATAATAAAGAGAACCTAGAGAAGCCATAATTTCCTCGAGACTTGGCTGCAACGAAAGAAGGCCGGGCTGCATAATGTCCGCGTTACCGCTTTGCACTGAAAACTCTTAGCTAAAGGCCAGAAGATCGGAGGAAAAGAGACATACACATTTCCTTGGGGTTGGGAAACATGTAAGGCTGGTTGAGGGACTCGAATAGCTCGTCCGTGAAGACATTCTCGTAGTCGTCGACGTCGAAGTACTCGGAGGACATGTTCTTGGGAGTCTGGCTGCGCTGCGTCTGCACCCGACCGTCAACATGTTTGTTTCCTGCGATCAACGAACCTTGTTTGGAGGCTCGCCCTCGACTCGCGTCTGGGACACGTCGCCTGTCGCCGACGCCGTCTGCAAACCACCAAATCTTCGCAATTCTAGTTTCCAGGCGTTATATTCAAAAAGCATCCGAGTTATCAGTATCCGACAATGATTTAGTTTCTCATATTATTGAAAAGCCACTCCGACAATAAACTGAGGATCCATAATTAATTTTCATTCAAACTTTGAAGTTTTCATCTTTTTCATTTTGTTTTTTTCTGAATAGTTTGTAGAGACTATCTTATGGAAAAACCTATAAAAAGGCTTGTCACAGAAATAGACAGAAAACACAAAAAAATTAAAAAAATTAATTAAACAAAAAAATGGTTGCAAAAGTTAAATGGACTCAAACTGAATCGAAAAAAATATCCGAGTTTTCAATTCTAAATTTTTTTCATTTCGATTTATTCGAAATCAAATATAATTTTTAGGGTAGAGTCTATCTTGAGGGTGAAAGAACAAAGAACAAACAAATAACTTCGCAAAAAAACATTTTTTTCAGTCCCGATCTTATTATTTTCATCCTCACCTTTCAAACTCGAACAAAAAAGACAATGAACTTTTTCAATGTTTGGAGATTTTGTCATAATAAAAATTCACAAAATGAAACAGAAATCAATAAAACTATTAGATCAATCAAACCTCAGAAAAAACCAGTTAGATTCTCAAAAAAGTTCTCACAAACATACCGATTCAAGTTTAAAACCAAGACAGTTCTGCAGAGAAATAAAGGAAATTGAAAGTTGAAGTGAAAAAGCTCCAAAAAAAAGTACCCGTTTCCTCCTGTGGCATTTGTCGTGAACGATATTCTGCTTGGATCGGATTCTCCAGCGTTTGTATTGGGCGCAGACGGCCTCCATCCGTCGTTTCCAGTACATTCCTTCCAATAAACTGCCCTGAAACTCGTTTCTCTTTTTAAAATCAAGCGGTGACAAAACGATGAAAAGCCGCCCACCTCGATTTTCTGATGCGTCATATCGTCATCAGGAACTGCGAAATAGCAAAAAGGCGTTTTCTTTTTTGTCGGAGTTTTCTTTCGAACTGCAAATATTATTTTGAACTTTCAAAACGGCGATCAAAAGTGAAGCACGAACATTCGATGTAATATGCTCGCCAGATGACGTTATTCAGACGGATTCTCTGCTTCCAATGAAGCCGTAGACCCTTGAAATCCTTCCACTTTGGAGTCGTCATCTTACTGAAAACTTTCGATTTTCGCAAAAACAAAAGGAAGGAGTCTCACTTGTACGCCACCTTGATGCACTTGTTCAGCTTGTTGAGCGACACATCTATGGCGATCGACTGAGTCTTTTTTGGCCCGAACTTGTAGAACGTCACTGGTTTCTCTTCCTGAGAGCAATATTTTTTTTCTGAAGGAAAACAAGATAGAACAAACCAACTCCTTTATTTGGTTGCTGCATCCAACGCTGGTGTCCTCTGGCTTTTCGTCATCTTCGACGACGTCGACCTAGGAACTCAATTGAAAGCAAGAAAGTGGGTTTGAAAAAAAAAATTGGTTTTATGAGATTCGGTTTCAAACATGGATTAGGAAATCAGAAAAAAAAAACCCAACTTTATCAATCTCTGAGTTAAAAAAAACTAGAAAAGTTCATCTAGATGTGTTTAGAGCCATATATCCATACTTTCCTGTAATTTTTCCCTTCGAAGCTATAAATGCAAGGAGATATATAAGTTTCTATCAGAAGCGAGTTTATCTTAATTGATTAATATATAATATTGTGATTTTTTATGAATTTGCTACATCGGGCAAAAACTGAAAGCAATAAGAATCGAACACACGTAACCGCCAGAGGTCTTTGAAACTAATCGAAAACTGCGGATAATTCCCTTCATATAAAAACGCAGCTGCAAAATTCTAACAGGCCGACAGAGCATAGAATTGAGAAAACCGTTTTTATTTTTCAAACAAACTTCAATGTCTTCGTCGTCGTCATCCGCGTTAACCTCCGTGTGCGGATTTGACGTCATGAAATGGCCACTGTGGATTTGTTCGTGGGCCATTGTTATTCTGAAAGAAGGAACCAAAATGCGACTGCCATGTGACTTTCGACGGCGAAACGAGGAAACACGTGCGAGTTAGTCGGCGCTGAAGTTAACTACGAGGCTAGCAAACACAAAGTTCAACTTTTAATAGTGTTTACGATGAAACTGAGAAGCTCAACAAGTATTAACTACAATGGTCACCGAGGAAAACTTTGGAAATTGATTTTAAAAGAACATCAAACTTAAAAATGTGAACCACACTTTTTTTCCATTTTATTCCCTGAATTTTCCAAAAAGTTTTAGAAAAATTTTCTCTAACCGCATTTGCACGATTCATATAACAAAAAAGGGCAAAAAAAAGCTCACTATTGGTTCCATATTAAAAAATAAAATACCAGCTGATTTTAAAAAGCATTTTGAATAGAATGAAAAACGTAAAGAAGCAAACTCGATTCAAAGAAACTCAGTTAAATTAGAGAATTCAAAACGACATGAAACTTATGCCGTTTTCAAAGTGATTCCGTGAAATTCAAAATAGCCGTCAGAAAAAGAAAAAGAACTAAATCTTGGAGGGTCAGAGATCATTTCGCATTTCGCGGAAATTACTCACGGCATTACTAATTTTAAAAAAGCAATTATGAGACTAGTCTTATTCTATGTTAATTTTTATTTCGTGAAAAGAAGAATCTTCAACAAGTTGAGGCACAAAAAAACTCGTTATGTTCGGATAGGACGTGGCTATTTGAAGAAAAAACCTGATATGTGTTCAAAAAATGGAAAGGCACCGCGAAACGTTTGAGTATGAAAAAAAAATCGATTATTAGAGTACTATCAATGGCGGGCGGCAAGAGGTTGCGGTTTCAGTTTTTAGAGAGGTAATCGCAACAAAGCACAAAGATATGGGAAGGAAGGTCGGCAGCCGGGAAATGCGGGGAAACAACGGCCTACGAGACAAGAGAGAGCGGAGGAGAATTCATGGAAACGATACATACGACGTATTTGCGGAGAGGTTGAAAGAAAACGAAAGGCAACACGTGGTGGTGTTTTTCCCGCAGGCGCCGTCTGAGACGACGACGTCTTCCAAATCTTTGGATGAGAAATGATCTTTTTGTTAAGAAGTCAACCCAGGTTCAATAAGTGACGACCCATTTTCTCCATGGAACAACTAAGATCAAAATTGCCCGACAAGAGCGTTTGGAAATTAAGGCATTCAAGAATGTTCTTCATTCAAATTTGGGAATATTTTTGTTTAAAAGAAAATAAGGAATGAAAATAAATAAAAAAAGGAAGCTCAAGGGCCAATATAATGATAAAAAACATTCTTATATATATTTGAGAGCCTTATTTTTATTTTCGATGTATTACAGTCAACCCGTAAGCACACGCTCATAGTCTCGATAGATCTCTTTTAAATCTCGCATTATGAGGAACAAAAAAAAAACTTGGGAAACCGTGGAAGAGAAATGAAGAGAGGTCAAGGGGTGCTGGCCACGCCGAAAATCAGTGTCCAACAAAAAAAACCAGTTTTCTGCTAGTGGCGTCAACATTATCTCAACCTTTGCGGAACCAACTTATCAATATTCCATCGAATCAACTGGGAAATTACTCCCCATGAAACGAGAGCGAAAAAAAAAAGACAACAGGTGACCATGCCATAAAACTTTATTGAATCAGGGAAATTCAGCAACTTTGGAACGTGTGAGTTTTAAATTGTTTAGAAGTCATCGACAGTAGCGATTTGAACCTTCTCTCCTGGTTTAAAAGGCGGCATGCCCAAGTAGGGACATGTGGCACAACGGAACGCGTCTCCCAGCGCACACTGAAACCTTGAAACTAAGAGGATTATCTCCGGGGTTTCGTACTCTTCCGCAGTATCAAATTTTAATTTCTGGAGGCGAAAAAACTCATGTAAAAACTCACACTACCACATCCTTTGGTCGACGGAGCATTTTGGACTCTTTCTTTCTCCTCCTCTTCTGCCAAACCGCATGTGCAGTTTTTACATGCTCTCTTTTTCTTGTTGTCGCCGGGCCCACACTCCGCTTTAAATCAGCAGATATGAATTCAAACAAAAAAAAAACAGGAAAGAAGCACCTTTGAGTTGAGCACCAGAAGGTTTTTGCAAATCCTCCTCCTCGAGAAGTGCGTCTTCGTCTATCACGTCATCCACGTCCTATAACATAAAAAATTGTAGCAACATTTTTTTCGGACATCATTCTATCTACAGCGGCAAAAAAGGATTGAATTCTTACGGCATTTGCTGCAGACAAGTTCAGTGAAAACGTCTGGCCCGTAAAAGCTGGCTTCGAGCCAATAAGTGGATAAGAGTCTGTAAGAAAAGGTCCTCGATCAAAATTTTTCCTTTTAAGTCTTTTAAAAATGACAAAGTTACATGTTTTCACTCTTAGATCAACTCTCTCGTTTTGCTTTTGTTTTTTTTCACCAAAATTTCCGTGAGAAAAAGTAGAAAAATTCGAAACTTTTGTTCATCCGTGAACACTACTCTCACAGCCTCCCATGTTGGAAAAGTCGCCTATTAATGTAAAAATGAAAAATTTTTAATAAACTCTTCTGGAATGATTCGGTTGTGAAAAAAATGGTCTTACTACAAAATAACACCAACATGGAAAAGTAGTTCGCTTTTCAAATAAGAATGAATAATTTCACAATTTTTTTTTTGATACTTGTTCATTTCATTTTAAATGGTTCAGAAATCTCCAATTTTTCGACATAAACTTTTGAAGCTTGTTGTACATATGAATTGAAATACGAAAACTGAGTGCTAACCCGCATTGGATGGGATGAAGCCAGCGATGCGGAGCTTCCTCAGAGCAGAAGGGAGATTCTCCGCGGTGCTGAAGGCGTAGACGCGGCCGCCGGGCTGCGCGATCTGGAACGCGAACTCGAAGGCCTTGTTCAGCAGCTCGCCTCTCTCGGCGTCTATCACAACTTGGGTGAACGACTGCGCCATCGCAGATTGTTCTCAAGTTTATTCCTTTCGCTCCCTTTTTAAACATCAACTAACCGACGGCCACAATGTCCATTCTCGCCAAGTTTGGCATGTTTTTGAGCACATCCTGAGAGCCTGTACCTTCGCCTGGAATAAACGTCCTTTTGATCACTAATCGCAACAAAAAACCTTCGAGCAAAGCTAGTGTAGGCTCGGAGAGGGAGAAATCAGCATCCATAATTCTGTATTCTGAATGTGGAAGTAGGATTAGACGCTGTTCGATAAAGTTGGATTAACCAAGGCAAGGAAAAGAAGAAAAAAACACAGGTAAAATTTCATTATTTGATTGGTTAAAATTCAAAATTTCAAAGTAAAACGGATATTTGAAAAAAAGTTAGAAAAACACGAACAGAAGGGCTCGGGTCACGTTATGAGAATCGATTAGAAATAATAAATGAACAGCAAGAGTTAGAGAGAATGAAAAAGTCTTCAATCGCTTTCGTCCGACTCGCTGGAGTCGCTTGAGCTCGACTTCTCCTGCGAAATGTATCTATAACTGCCGAAAAAACTGGAATTTTCGAACCTCGGGTTCTTCCTTGACTTCTTCTTTGACCTCTTTTTTCACGGGTTTATCGTCATCAGAGTCATCAGAGTCAGATATATACTCTTTCGATATCGCCTTCGAAGGAGATCTTTAACGCTTTGTTAAATATCTTTTAATATATTTGGTTGCCATGAAAATCTTCAGGGTTCCCTTTAAAAAAAAACCTTTTATTCGATAAACTAAAGCCCAACTTTTTTTTTCTTCATATTACCAACCTTCCAACTGATGGAAAACAAAGTCACTGCGAGAAATAGTGAAAAAGAAACTGACGGTCCGGTGGATTTCCTGGAGGCCTTCGGAGCTTTGGAAGAAGAGCTGGACGAAGCTGCCGCTCCTCCGCTTTTTTTGTATTCTTTCATTTCGGCGTCATACCGTTCCTTGTCTTCCTTCGCCTTCTTCTCATACGGCTTAAACTGAATATTCGAAGGTTTCTCCTCCAAGAAAACCGACCCTCTTCTCGTCGGCGTCCATGGCCTTCCACTGCTCACCAGCTCGTCTGGCCGTATCCGCGACACTGTCGCCAGCCTAATATCCGTGGGTTATGAAAATGTTCCGGAAGTGTTTCAAACAAAAAAAACCTTTTTGATGCTGCTCCTGTTGTCGTTGAACCAAATCATGTAGGCGGATTGGCCCCGTTTCGGTGCATTAGGATCCTGAATAAATAAACACTTCATTAATCCCAGACTTGAACAATTTCTCGAAATACAGGGTGAGTACTAATTATTGAAACACGTTTGAACTAGCGCAACTCCGAGGAAAAGTGAATGATCCGTACCAAAATTTTTCACTGACAATTCTGGAATGTACATTCCAAAATTCATGAAACTATTCTAATTCCTATCTTCATTCAGCTCTGCTCTGGCTCGAAAAGAGTGTAGGACCCAAGCCCCAACGACACGCGGTCATTTTTCGATGTTTATAACTGGTAAAAAGTTATCTGAACGTTCATGTTCAAATAAATACACAAAAACTAAACTTTGGGTTTTTCGCAATATTTCTTAGAAATTTCCATCAATGAGCGTTAACACAAATGATAGGAGCACTCCCCGAAAAAGAGCTAACAAAAACCGTTTTTTTCATTTTCAAAATCATGCAAAAACGGAATTTTATCTCTGCTCGAACTTGATTTTTTCTAATTCAGTGTAGAACTACTTTATACAAAAGCCCAAAGTCTCAGCTTTGAAAAATATATAATTGGGTTAAGGTTAGGCTGTTCTTATTTGAGAGGGGGGCTGTAATATGCGATTAATCGTTGATCTTAGATTTTTTCGCATATTTTGCAGTTCTAAAAAGAAAGTAAATCTAGAGTAGCCTGAAACACATTTAGAATAATGAGTAACGCTAGTAGTATAAGACAAAAATAATTTAGGTTCCTAGAGTTGGCTCCCTTCTAAGAAAAATTGCCGTTGTTAGAGATGATGGTTAGCCGCGTGCCAAAACCTGATTTTGGGCAACCGATTGGTAAGTTCCAATTTATCATGATTTGATCAAAAGACAAGATATTAGAAAAATGTTAAGACTTCAAGTTCACGAAGGCGTATAGACTCTAAATAATTATGAGTGAGTTTTATTTATCAAGTATGATGGGTACGCCAGTCCTGAAACCATTGTTTCAATATTTAGTACTCACCCTGTAAGAGTCTTTTTTTTCTATAGCGGCAAAAGAAGTTTAATACGTTTGAAAAACTTGTTAACCTTCTTGCGCTTCTGTTTTTTCTCCTCGCCTTCTTTCGTTTTCCTCGGCTCTCTCTCCTTGGACGCTTTCTGGAAAAGAATCGAAATAAAATCAAAATTTCATCAATGAACAAGCCTTTTCTTTTTTCTTTTTGGGCTCTTCCTCTTCTCCTGGCTCCGACTCTCCTGAACCGCTTTCGTCGCTCGAACCGGCGTCAGAATCGAACTCTTCATCTGGCTCCGATCCACTTCCTTCCGATTCATTCTGAAAATTACACTCACATTCGGAAAACTTGAATGAGCCAAAATTTTTTATCAATCATCTTCGTAAAAAAATCCTTTTCCTACAAAAAAGTTGACAATTCCCGTTTAGAATCTAAGCAGAGGACAAAAATTACTTCTGCATTTTTGGTAATTTTTTTTTTTGACGCTTCAATCTTTTAAGTAACCGAAATTCCGGAGTGGCCTATTTCTCAACTTGTCAGGGTTTTTTTTTTCTGAATAGATAACTGAGACCTTTTCCTTCTTTCTCGTCTTCAAATCCTCGTCGAGATCGTAATCGTCTGAAACCAAAACGGTACAGGTTTCTGGAGCTCGATCTCACCGTCGTCACTGTCGCTGTCGTCACTGTCGGCACGTTCCTTGCCTTCCGCCTTGACCGCCTGCAGATGCGGGTCGATCTCGTCGTCGCTGCCAGCAAACTTGTCCTCTGCGTAGCTCTTCTCCTGTACCAACTTCGTTTTCAAACATTTTTTTGTTCGAACGGCTAAGGAATTGCAGAATAATTCAAAAAATTATGAAATACATCATTGAATCTTTTAGACAAACCATCTTCTTCGCATTTCTGATGCGCAAATGTTTGTTTTGCACGTAATCATAAAGCTTGTTGTATTCTTCCCTAAAAAGTTTGATTTTCAAATAGAAATAAAAAAACTATATTTTACTTCTCAATGCTGTTGAATATCAATACGTGTCCAGCTTTCATTTCGATTTCAAAATCGAAAGTGCGAGTGGAAACGTCTGATCGTGCAAAGTTAACCGTACTGATCTGAAAGAATAAGTTACATACAACAAGAGTCAGAGATTCCAGAGAAACCTCTTCAAATCGAATATACATGGGCGGCTTGTGGATGTAGAGGAATCCTTTCTCCAGAGGATACAAAAGCCCAGAAGCCTGCTTGTGAGCGCACTGAATGGCCGGAGTTCCTGTATTACTGCAAACAAAGGAATGAGTCATTTTCTATTTAAGAAAACAAACCCTATGAAACTGCCAGGCACAGTGATTTTCATGTTCACGAGTACACGGAAAAGTTTCGAAACAATCTAAACAAGTATTTTGTGTTGCTTTTTTGTATTTCATCAAATAATTCAAAAATTAATCAAAAATTTTATATGAAAACAGACAAAAAAGTCTCACTTCGTAAACTGGTCCACTCATTTCTCTTTCAAGCTTCCCTCCGAACTGTTCCTCAATTTGTTCACTGAAATTTAATCTCAGAACCAACTCTCAAAAAATCTAAATACTTTGTCAATCCGATTTCCAGCTCAATCTCATCTTCCTTGACAAACTCACACACAAGGTAACTGTAACGGGTTTGACCCTGTCGAATAGGTGGGTTCAGAGAAATCTGCAAAAGACTGAGAGACGGAAAAAAAGACATTCAAACCACAAAGTATACGTGACGGCCGTCCTTGTGCGGAACAAGGAAAAGTCGAGTGATGGTTTTGATTGGAATCTTGTAGTCGTACGTCTTACCATGCAGCGACAAATGATTGGGAAACACTTTGATGTCGTAGCGACCTCTCAAAACTCTTATCATTCCAAAATATGTATGTATTTCTCACCGCGGAGTCGTACAAAGAATCTGTGAAAGAATAGCGACAGGCTGTCCTGTTTCAACCTCGATTCCGGCATACTTCATTACAGCTTTTCGGAATTCCTGAACGGAAGAATTGTCCTGGAAAGTCAGTCAGACATACTTCGACAGGATCGGCTTCTTCATCTTCTCCATCAAAGGGCATGTGAAACCGCATTTCCATCAACGAGACCGGGCATTCGTCGTTCTTTATTGATTACTTTGTCAGGCACATATCTTTTAAAAACCTGGTGGAACTCCAGCGTTGCTTCATTCTTGTTTCCTGCACAATTAGCCACATTTGAAATAGGGATTTCAAACACGGGTTTATCTTCCCAATTGAACTCAATGTTTTTTCCTAAAAAGAACATGAAAAAGATAACTAGACTCTCTCACTTGCCTTTGACCTCACAATTACCAAAGTTCCATCCCTTCAGAACCAAGTCGTTTTGTGAGAGCTTTGTGTCCCACTTATTTTCGAAAAATTCTTTTAATTTTTCGAAATCCTCAAAGTTATTTAAAAATTTCGGATTTATCTTTTTTAAATCTCACTGTGTCTTTGAAGCCTCCAAACCTCAAACGAGTGCCATCGTTCAAAGCTAAGCGAATTCCCTGCTTATTTCCAAGACGTTGCCAATTAATTGCTTCCAGGTCTCCAGAGTTTATATTCGTTAATTTACCAGTGCTCTCATTTTTGAAAGTCATTGCTGCATCCGTTATGCGCATTCTGCCTTCGTTCTGAAACTGAAGTTTTTCTAAATTCAACGCACAGAAATAACCAATATTCCCATGTCTTCCACAAAAACATTGTTGAACTCAAGAACGCCGTTCATTCTGAAACATACTGATGATAGTCACTTCAAATAAGGTCAAGAAAAAAAAAAATTCAATCTAGAAGACGAAAAACGTTATAAAAATGTTTTCTTTCAAAAATTTCAGCGCGCGAAACTCGGTGTTTGCGTATACATGCTGTCGTATACAGTAATCAAAGTTTAAATAAAAAAGTTTCTAACGAGAGAAGTGTACACGTGTGTGAGGTGAAAATCGCATATATATTCCCAGGTATGAGTTTTCGAAAAAAAAAATTATCAGCTAAGCGCCATAGGGTGCTGAGAGGTAGGCTATCGTAAATAAACAGTAAAAGCTAAAAAACGATCTCTTGGGGTAATTGTGGAAAAATCCGAAAAAAAAAATCAGTTTCTGAGCATTTTCCGTACATTTTTGACAGGCTATTTCTCCGTACCCTATGGCTCTTGGCAGATATTTCTTTTCATTTTCGACATATGTCCTTGAAATAATTTTGAAAAGCTTTGCGACGCGCAAGTGTGTTCCTCCCGCACGCACTCCCTCGTAGAACTGCAACCGCTTTTTTTCAAAAAGTTTTTCAATTTTATAAAATTTATTCAATTGAATCAAAATAGTTTGGATACGTTTAAACTCAGCCATACCTCATTTTTTCGAGTATTGACATTCAAAAGGCTCGAGGGGGTATGAGTAAGTTCTCATGAAGTTCGCTTCCTCATATTCGTATCTCACCCTTGCAAACAACGCCCATTAAACAACAAAAAAAATTTACCCCTAGAGGGGCAATCGTTCAGGGGTTCAAAGATAGCTTCGCGGCCCCTATTTTACCCCCTATTGAGGCCCCGAAACGGCCAAATCCTCATCGGGGCCTCCTAAACTTTTCTTACAAGGGCTGTGTGCGCGGTGAACATCGAGTTATAAATTGAGGCTTTCATGGTAGATAGACCTAGGGGAGAGTCCTCCAAAACGAAAGAGAAAATCTGCTAAGCGCCATAGGGTTCCGAGAAAAAGCTCGTCAAAGTTTTGCCGCCGCTCGGAGTGCTCAGCCAGCAACTGGGAGCGTGGTGAAGTGGCAGGGTTCTTGAATGGCGCTGACGCTATGCCGGGTTCGACTCCTTTTGACGTCAAACTTTTTTTGCTCTTGCTTTTTCCAGTTCTTCTCCACTCTATTATTAAGAAAAAACAGCGAAAAATGTTTGAATTGAAGGAGATGATTGAAAATTGGATGAAAAGGAAGGAGAAAGCACAAAAAAAAACGTTTTTGTGTCGTATTCAGTTTTTCCATTGATAACTTTCAAAAAATTGTTCAAATAATTGATGCTTGGGAGGCTTTTCGAGATTACGACACAATAAAATAAAATAAAAAGTTAGGAACCTCCTCTAAAAAGTTTTATACTTGTGAATAATATCACACCTGGCTCCTCTGGCCTCATTCAACCATTTTATATGTTGTTTTTCTTTTTACTGTTTGGAAATCTTTCATCGTAAAAATTCCACCGACTGCTTTATTTTCCCTTTTTCGAGTACCAGAAGTTTAGTTTTATTGCTCACCGAAACTTCTGAAATTTCATGGAGAATGCAAAATTAGATTGACAGGACTCCCTGTGCTCTTCGGGCTCGTACTCACACTTCGTTTCTTTTTTTCATATAATTATGAGTGATTTTCTCACTTATATTTTTGCTTCAATTCCATCGTGTTGTGATATCGAAAGCCATAAACCAATTATCAGAACTTTTTTTCCGATATTTTCAATGGAAAAAAACCTAATATGACACAAAAAAAGTTTGTTTTGTGCTTTCTCCTTTCTTTTTTTCCAAATTTCACGAAATATTTAAAAAGGGGAAAAATTTGAAAATCAACAGACATCTTTTCAATTGGAATTTTTTTGAAAGATTTTTTTGTTTTCTGACTGAGGATCTCCACTTTGCTGTTTTTCATCAAAAAAAAAAATAGGAAGCGATTTTTTTCCGTGTGATCCTCAGACGAACTTCTGCGTCAGGATGGGTGATGACGCAGAAAAACATGACGCTGCGAAACAAGCGGCTGCTGCTCCGGGTCCCCGAACCACAGATTGAGCACTTGGCTCCGAAGTCAGTGTGCGCTTCTTTTTTCTTCCCTTATCCCAGATTTGCAGTAAAATCATATTAACATAACATTTAACATAAAATACCTGTGAATAGCATTTTAGGTTTTTTTTTTTTTGAAAACCGGTCATTAACACAGGCGGATCGGGATGGTACCATAATATTATGTGTCCATCGTGAGACATCCAGCATATCTTTTATCTCTATATGAGCCATGTCGGAGGTACTTGAGAGTATGTCTCAAGTCTATCTCATTTTCCTCAAAGTCCTCAGAGGTATTATACTCGAGGAGACTCGAAAGACTTCAAACCCTGCAATATACCTCAAAGGGAATCGCGATACCTTTTGAGGATTCATTTTCCTCAGAAAAAATTGTATTTTAAGATTGGAAAAAAGAACTTTTGGACGTCTTGCTTGCTCAATAAAGATTTAATTAGCATTTTTTTTTTTAGTTAATTGTTTTTCAACCATCTTTAAACAAAAACTTTTCTGTTTTGATTTCTGGCCCTGATGTTTGGAAAAGGGTCGAAACACATGTTATAGCCATGTCAACTAGTCATTTACAATCTTTAAACGCTGCGTAACTTCTTTCACTTCATGTCAAAAAAAAAGAAGCGGAAAAGGCCCATTGTAGGAATTCCGAGCAGATGTACTCACGAATGTTGCACCAAAAATAGTCGGAATGGGCTGCCATTACTGGACTCCACGCTTCCATCTTTGATGAGCTGCAGCTCGTCTTTTGCTTCGAACGCCAAAAAGAACTTCTTTCATTTTTTAGGGAAAATTTTTTTTTCGCTTTTTCATAGAAAATTAAAAAGCATATGTACCGATTTTGCTATCTAGTTGTGAAAAATTTCCCGTTTTTCTTCGCATTGAAGCTTTGGTAAATAAATATAGCTATTTTGCTTCTATGAATAATTTTTTGGAATCGTCTAAAGGAGATATTCATTCTAAGATCTTTTTGCCGAAGTCCTGGGTAGAAGTTGCTCTCGAAGTTAAGAAAGATGGGCGGTGCGGATATCTGCGGAACCAGTTGGACAGTCGCCAGATAGGCTCCGCCCCCAGTCCTCCTCCCACTGCGCCCTCCGTAATCGTCTACTCCTTTTTCTATCATCCCTTTTCTTCCATATAAATCTAATTTTTGTGTGTTGATTTTATCGCTCTCAAAAGCTGATGCCACCTTGAGGACAAACATTTTTTAGAAATCTACTCTCTTTCAGAGTTGTGTTCGAATTAAATCATTCGGTGATAAAAATTTTGCGTTCGACTGTTGATAAATGAAGTTTAGAACAGCGATAGTTAGTTTAATTCGAAATTTTGTGAAAAAACTTCGATTGTTCGCCTTTTTCTTGCCTGAAAAAATGTATCAAGGTCTTGCTCTGCTTTTCAAAAAAAAAAAACCAAAACCTAATGCTTTTTTTTATTGTAAGATAAATATAGGCATGAAGTTCTTCAAATTCGCGAAATTCTTTTCATACGTCCTCTTTTCTTTCTCGCAAGAAAGTTTTTTTTGAAGCTTCATTCAATGCGAAAGACATGTTTCATTTCAAAAAAAAGCCGCGAGTTCCTTTTTCTAAATTTTTTTTTCTTATTTCCTTCACTTTGAATTCTCAAACTTCGGCAAACTGAAAATGAGCTCTTCGCAATCAGATTCTCTGAAAAAAGTTCGGCGCTTGCGATTCCCGAAGAAGGCGTCCGTGGCCGGAGAAAAAATTGGTTTAAGATTGATGCTCTTCGTACTTCGTACAGCTGCAAAATTGGGCGAACGTTCGAAGAAGAAGAAATATTGGTATTGACCCCCCGAGGACAAAACCGCCGATGCTCCTAATTGCGGTTTTTTTCCGGCCGAGTCTAGGCTTTTTTTTTATCACGACTTACTTCTCCATATCAACTTACCAGATCTAAAGGCTTGGCTTTAGACTAAAGCTTCTTTCATAGTTGAAGTTTTCATTTTCTTTAACACGAATATGCATAACAAAACGAAAGAAAAACTTTCTTTAAATTAACTATTGATAAAAAAAAAAGAAATTTATCTACATTAGAAGAAAATTTTTTTTTCAAATCTACTTGCATTCCGCTGTAGACGGCCACGCCCTGTCCGATCTTTTCTGGCTACTTTTCTTTCCTTTTTTTTCATTTATGAAGTATCGTTAATACACGTTTATCCCTCCTAAAGGTGTTTTCTACTCAATAATTTTTGATAATGCAAAATTTTAGTGAAAAGCGCGAACTTTCTTACATTTATTTTCTTTGGTATAGCTCTGATCTTTTTCATCACATTCATTTAAGTAAAAGCTCTTTGAGAGTTTCCAAACGATTAAAAAGGTCGTCGAAGAGCCCCGGAGCACTTTTGCCTCAAAACAAAGGGCTGCGCCGCGTCTTAATGTACTAACGAACGAGCCACTTTTATGTTTCACAGTCAACTTCTGTCCGAGTGTCCGGTTTCCCGACGAAACTCTCGGAGAACAAAATGTATTCCTTTTCATTCCAACAAGAAAAAACATTTTAGGTCTACTGTCTTGAGATAGGATGGCTCTTATAAATTTATCTTTTGTTTCAGGTATGTGGCAGTTTAATAACCATGATTGGATTTTTTTTTTTCAATCCTAAATCTTTTCGAAATAGCATTAAAAAAGACACCTTTCAAAATGTCTTTCTACAGGTCTTCAAAACTTTGATAGTCAGTTCAGCCGATGAAACTATTTTTTTTCAGTTTTTTTCAAATCAGCAAGTATCTTATTTCAACTTATGTGTAAATCGTCACAAACCATGAGTGTGAGTTCGAAGTAAAGATTCTACAAAACTGAGGTCCTCAACGACCCAAGCTTCTTACCATAAACTTCTTTCAATCTGAATTTAATTCAGAGCGAAATCTCTGGTAATTCTAGAAAGTCCGATGTATTGTTTTTGAATTATATGCTCGGTTATCCATGAGAACCGGTCCCTACTTCTGAACCTCACCTTGGTCTCCACCAATTGCACTTTGACACCAAGTTGAAACAAAAGCACACCTGAGGGCCAAACGATTGGCACCAAGATTTAAAGCTTCGGGGTGCGTGTCGGCCCCAACGTGAGGACGGCGCTCAAGCAAGTGTCGGACCAACTGTCGACGATAATCAGCGATCGATGCCGCCGTCTGCTCTCGAGCTTCTCCTCCTTGTTTTTGCCGCCCTCAACGACACCCATATTTCCCAGCACCGACCAACCTTCACCTCTGAACCACAATTTCTTGTTTCCGCTCTCTTCAACATTTTCGATGAGCTTCTAACCCTGTAATACGTGTTTACATCCAATTAAATTAATTCACTTGTCCGAGGAGTTTTCTCAGTTCCTCAATTTTTCACTTCCTCGATTTTTTTTAGAACTCTAGAAAATCTTAAGAAGTCCTTGCTTACCAACAGTTGTTCACCTACTTGTTTTTCATTGAAAGCGCGATATTGGGAAACAAAAAGTTGATGTCCTCAATGCAAAAAACGGGAAAATGTGCTTTTTTTGCTTTCTCAACCTTTTTTTTCCATAAGGCTGTTGGTGTTTTGAAACCAAGAGATAAGGTTGAATCTAGACATTTTTTCCGGAAGACAAAATTTTAAATTTAAATTTTCGAGCAAGTCCTCAACAAAAAAAAATTAATTACTGCGAGTACTCGGCTCCAATTTTTCACCACATTTCCGAGTTCCTCTATGATGAAATGACACTTCTGAAAAAAAGTTAACTTTTGAATTATTTTCAAATTTCAAAGGGAGAAGATGAATGAAAAGCAAAAAAGAAGTCCATCTTTTGACATTTCTATTATTTTATTCTGATTTCTTAACTTCTGGCTGTTCTGGTGACACATATAGTCTGTTCAGATTTTGAATGTCAAGTCCTCGCTCAAGTTCCTCCCCCTAGTATAGTCAATGTTTCCCGACTTGAAAGGCGAGGGAGGCGTGGCAGTGGGAGCGACGCGTAGCGTGTGCGTTCGCGGTCCTTGGCACGTGTTCAATTCAACCGCCCTCGACTCTTTGAAAATCCCGTTTTTTTCACTCTTTTCATTCCTTTTTCAATTAATTATTCATCATGTTCATGTGTTCATTAAAAAATAGTAGAAAACATTGAAGAAGATCGGTTGCCGAGCTTTTTAAATAGTCGGAGGCAATTTAATTGAACTCGTGCCAAGAACCGCGAACGCACACGCTACGCGTCCTTCCCCTTGCCCCGCCTCCCTCGCCTTTCAAGTCGGGAAACATTGACTATAACGCGATAAACCAATCAGAGAGCGAGCCATCCACAGAGCTTTTTCGAATGACGTCATTCTATTTGACATTCAAAATCTGAAGGGACTATATTGTGATTGACAGAATTTCGTAAGATTGAGATTTGAAGTCACTGTGGCCGCTTCGCGACCGCTACGCATGCGAAAAGCTAATCTTGGCGAGGAGAGTTGAAACTGAGGAGTTTTGAGTGCTTTCCACTTGAAAAATGTAGTTTGAACGAAAAGCTGCAGCTGACCGACGTGAAGCCTTGATAAGGGCAGAGGTTCGTGTCGAAATCTCGATCCCGGTGCTTTTCTTTTTTTTTACGCCCGCCCGCGCGCAAACAAACCGTCTCTCCGTCAATTCTTTGCACATTGTTGGCATTTTCGAACACTCCTCCGAATACTTTCTTCGCCTTGCAAAACCTTTTCCGCATTTTGCAGTGGTCCTTCTTTTTACTCCAAAAACGCTCCTCAGGGAGATGTCGCCGATTTTATCGCATTTTTGACCCTCGATTCCCCAACTCAGATAAAATCGCAGACTCAACAGAAAAAAAAACTTAAACAGTGGTTTTCTCTTTCGAGTTTCGAAGACTTCTGTCCCTATTCCATTTTTCCCTATTTTCGTCCTCCGATGTACTTGACGCCAGCTGTAAGACTTCTAGATTTTTCTCGGTTTTCTGTTCTAAAGTCGACTTTTATGATGAGTTCTTGAGGGAGCTCATGTGGTTTATGCCAAAGTAGTTGAAGACAAAAACTTCTCCGAGCTTAGAGGAAAACATATTAATGTGAAAGGTCACACGAGAATCGATGTGGGGATGATTGTTTTATTTGTTAGATTTGTGGGAAAATTTCTTTTAAAAACTCAATTGACTCTGGAAACTGTGCTTCATCTTTAGCGAAATTCGAACTTTAATCCATTATCCAGTGCAATTTTTTTTGTTATCAAATCGCGACTTCCTAGATTTTCCAAGTAGAAACTTCTCTGCAAAATGAAAATTCTTTTATGATAAGGCTCATTTTCGTTAGAAACACTTTCATCTCATTTTCTCACAGAAGCTACTGCTTAAACTTCCTAATTTCTCAGTAAAACTTCGCACTGGTGAGAATGAGAAGACTTTCGCACAAAAAAAGATTATTTTGTCATTATGTCACAGATTTTTTTTCGGCTACCTGAACTCACTTTTTTCTCATCCACTTAAGTTGGAAGCCGAACGATCAACAAGGTTCCCAGTTGATTGTTCAAATGACCGATGGCATTTTTTCAAAATCAAAACTACTTAAAAATTTAGGAAGGTCCTACAATTGCATTATATTTTTTTTTTCTGATTTTATTGGCATCTTCTAACCTCTGTTCCGTTTTTTTTTGGCAGGTCCGATGTGAAACATAGGCATTTACCATATATTTTGAAGGACACTTTACATAAACTTGTTTCGTACTAATTGCTTTTTCTGTGTTTAGTTATTTCGTTCTCTTTTTTGAGTGAGAATTTGAAGATGTGTCGATGGCGACCGTCGGCTCGTCTTCAATAGTTTCGTATGGCGGCGCCGCCACCTCGACCTTCTACCCAACTGTCGTCCACGTTCGTTTCACCCTCTTACAACCAAGAAAAATCCTCGAGTCCCAATCAATTTTCCAAAATCAAAAGAATTAAAATATGAAAATATGAAAATATAAGTAAGATATATTTTCAATAAGAGTTGTTTTCAGGATCCGTATATCAATCCGCTGACCGAGCACCAACTTAAATCTTGCGACTTCTATGCTCGCCGGATGCAGGTTAAGTTTAATCCAAAAATCTGTCACAGGGGAATTGTTTCAACTGAGTGGGACTTCTGAGTGAGTTTCAAATCACTAGATCCGTTTTCTCGACGAACGCGGGCTAACATTTATACGAAGATCTGTGGAAAAAAAAATACTTATCGATCTTTATATAATATTAATATGTTTCGGCTCAATTTACTTTTGAAAAGAAAATAAGTAATTTTCATAATCATATGGATGAGCCTTGTCCATGGCCAAAAAGATCTCGATCGGAAAGCTTTTTTTTTAATTTGAGGTGAATTTTTGAGATACCTTCGTAGTTTTCGAGCTCACATTGGGAATCTACGCAAATTGAAGAAGTCTTGTCTCTTTCAAAAGTCTAAGTGTGAGTTCAGAGCATATTCTATTAACTTTAGTTTTTTGCAAAATCCTCGGGCAATTTGTTGAAATACGAGTTTTTCAAACTTCCAGTTCACAAAAACCATGTTTGGAAAGGCTAATACAGTCGATTTTTCCCAACTTGAAAGGCGAAGGAGGCGGGGCAAGGGGCGGGACGCGTAGCGCGTGCGTTCGCGGTTCTTGGCACGAGTTCAATTCAACCGCCAGCAACTATTTGGAGAGCTCATTTATCCTCTATTCATTTATTTTTCAATCTTTATTGATTTTTTTCATGTGTGCCTTAAAAGTAGTAGAATAGATAAAAAATAGCAGTGGAGCTTGAATTGAACTCGTGCCAAGAAACGCGAACGCACACTCCCGCCCCTTTCTACGCCTCCCTCGTCTTTCAAGTCGGGATGGGTTGAGTATGAGGAGGGTTATTTTACTTTGTGGTTGGAAATCTTTTGAAACTTCGCCAACTTTCTAGTTTTCGAGAAAAGGCACCTCAAACTTAAAAAAACTGATCAAAGTTCGTTCAAAAAGAGCATTATCAGACTCCAGTTTCTCAAAAACTAGCGAGTTTTGCAGACTCAACTTCTGGTAAATCAAGTAGTTTTCCGGGCATTTTTCGGAAATTGCCTGAAAGTGAATTGACCTTCTTTGTAAGCTTTTCGAGTCTATGATGACCGTTCAAATTACCTTTTTCCAAAGGCGGCTCTGGACTGGATTCGTAACAGAGATCACACCGATTAAAAGTAGTGGCCAGAGACTTGTGACGTCACAGAGAAATGGGAAAAACAACCGTTGTAACTGGTCTTTTGCAGGAAAAGCTGATGGCGGAAGCGAACGCAGGGGGCGACGGCGGGTAAGGGATAACCAAGAGACTTGTAATCATGAAGAAGTGCAGACACGTGGCACAACAGAGACGCGGCGCTTTGTTCTGTCGCTCGGGAACGTGGCTCGAAATCGTCGACGACGTTAGCAGAGGCAACGCCGTCGCATCACCCATCCGAGGCACTCAGCTCGAAAACTCGCGTTTCAGTATGTTTCTACTGCAAATATCGTCCGCAAGTGAGGTCACAGCATATGTAGCTCATTTTTCACGACTCGAATTAGCCTCTGCATCTTTTTTTCTATCGGCGACACACTTTTGTAGATATGCCGTTCTCATGTTTTTCATATACCTTTCAGCGTAATAACGAGGGTCCTGAAATATTCAGCGGAACAGTTAACAAAAAAGTCTATACCTCAATGTGAGAGTACAGTTAAAAAAAAGTATCTGTTAGGTATCGTGGACTTTGTGTCCGTGGCGATGGGTCTGGTCAGCATCAGAGGCGTCCAGACACAGCGGTTCGTGTGCATGGACTCGCAAGGAAAGCTCTATGCAACGGTTTCGTTCTATTTCAAACCCCAGCCACGCTACTGCTTCAGCCACTGTCCAATTATTCTGCGGAGTGTGTCTTCCTCGAAGAAATGATGGAAAACTACTACAACGTCTACTCTTCCTGTAGCTATGGTACACGACAGCGACCATGGTAATATCTAGGAACTTTCTTCTGTATAACAAGCGCTTTTTTTTTAAATAATACAGTAGAGAATTTCGGAAATTAAAAAGTGCTGGAAAACAACTTCGAATTCGGAAAGGGCAGCGCGACCTCGCGTTCCAGGGTCGAATCCATTCAATCCACGTACTTTTTTTTTTACAGCAAAAGGCCAATTATCGTTACCGTCTAATGGCACGTTCTTTTTTTGCGCAATGATTCAACCCATTCCCCACAGCGACAAAAGTGTGAAATTGGGGATTCAGACATAAAGACACTTCAATCTCGCTGAACTCATTTTTTTGAAGGCCGCGTCTTGAAAATCTGCTTGAAATTGGGAAAAGCAAGAGATGATGGTTAGAACCAACATTAAAAAAAGAGTTCTTTAATAGAAATTGTTTCATTTTGTGAAAAGAATCGAAAGCCCCAAGCAAGCAGTCATTTCTTCAGGTTCATGGAGCTCAGAAGAAGCGGTAAGCCAAGACGAGGTCCCAATACTCGCAAACGGAGAAAAGTAACAAAAACAACGGTTTCAATTAATGAAAAGAAATTTTCAAGGCGAGTCACTTCTTAGTAGTTCACTACGATTCACCACCGCTGAGGAAACCGAAGCCTAAAGAAGGCGAGGTCGGGAAGGCAAGTGCTTCTCACAACTGGGATAACCAGGTGGACTTTCAGAGCGTGGACCTGTCGACTTTGGTGGTGGCGTCGCTTCTGCATCAGCCGCCGAGTCATCCCTACTTTCGACCGTCGAGCACTCCGTCGACACATCGAATCTCGCGGCTTACCGCCAAAGTTGTGCTCCAGACGCAAGACCCTAAAGAAACGGCCTCACATCGCCGGAGGAAAGAGCGTCCGCGCAGCTACCGCGAGGATCGACTGCGTCGAGAGGAGCGCAAGAGAAAGTAAGTCGTTTGTCAACTTGAAAAGTGCTACCCAAATATGAGACCACTTATCTCGTCATACATCTGTCACGCATACGGTGGGAAACCGTCTGAAAGTCTTCGTTCTTCGAAAAGTTAGACAGACGATTAAAGTTATAGATCCGATTTGCAGAGAGCGACAGCAAGAACTGAGAAGGATGCGATTGATGGAGGAGCGCCGGAAGAACTTACGGCCAGACCGCAACTCTACGTCCTCTTTCCAGCGTCGCTGGTGATCTTTCTCTTAACCTAATCCACAGTCAACCGATCATCATTATTTTACGGGTATCCCACATAGGTTGCTGAATAATATATGCTTTAAACTCTTTTCCCCTTGTTTTGTTGATTTCTGAATCCTTCAACATTTTTCGGGTTTTCTAGAACGGGTCCAAACCATGAATAACTAGGTTTCTTATGTATTTTCGACATACGAGTTTTGATGATTCGAAGTTTGCTTTTTTTTTTGCCAATAAAAATTTGAACCACATTTTCAAATCATTATTTACACAATAACAATTGGAAAGTAACGGATTCAACAATAGAGAAAAAAGGACTGAAAACAGTTGTGAAAAAAGTGAACGAAGGAAATCAGTTATCACCGTACCGTCCTTGAGACTTGAAAAGCTTGTTGGACTTCATGCCTACCCTCAGATCGAATCTTCGGCGGAACTTCTCGACAAACTTCAAGTCCTTGGCTGCCTGCTTGGCGATCGTTCCTGGAGAGAAACCCAACTTTGAGTGATAGAAATGTTGCTTCACCTGTGGTTCCAGTGTAGGCCAGAGCAGGGAACAAGCCGCGGACCTTGTCGATTGCGGCCTGACCGACCTGTCGCTGCTCACCATTCACCGGTTTCAAGTACTGCTTGTAGTAGCGCATGAGAGAACGATGGCCGATTCTTCCACCTTGAAAAATACTGTTTGGCGAAGGGAAAATATAACCCGTGTAAAAAATTAGTATGGACTTTTTTTAATCGGTAATCCAAACCTTTTATTGTCAGTCATTCATTTTAGAATTCAAAAAAATAAAAATAAAAATAAAAAAAGAAAAAAATAAAAAAAGCGTTCTTTGGATTTCAAACAAGATTTGATAAAGAGAAAAATCGGAGAAAGCACCTTATTATCAAAAAAACCAAATATTCTGTCATGCGTTCATTTGAGCGACAAACGCGAAATAAAAACGAAATTTTCCCCCTATATATATATATATATATATATATATATATATTAGGTCATTTACTAAGTTTCTTTCTTTTTTTCGGTTGATTTTTTTTCTCCCCCGTCATCCTCAGCTATCTGTTAACATGACTGTTAATTTTGGAGTTCCTGACTTTAAAACGAGCAATGATATACTCAAAAAAGGGCAACCAACTCGATTTCACCCCCTCTTAGAAAAAAATTTTTTTTGTTTCTTCTAAAAGAAATTATGATTCAATGTTTCGTAGTTGATAACAACGAGGGAGGATGGAAGTACAGATAGAGTAGGCAAGCTGACTTTTTAAACAAAAAACAAGCCTAAAAATCTTTTTTCTTTAAAAGTTTCGGTCAATGATCAATGACAATGACATGGTCGCTGAACATTTAGACGCTTTTCTCATGAACGGCTTTGAGGATGATTTTGATTTTTTGTGGTTATTTAGTACAGGCATGGTCTGTATCAGTCACGTTTTCTTCAGAAGGTCTAAACGTTCGACGCCGTCAGAGAGCCTCTAGAAGTTAATCAAGCTGTCATTTCAGTTGATTACCGTTTCTCAAAATTTTAGGCCGGAAAAACTCAGTTGAACCACATCTGGCTGCAGTGACCTTTGTTGTACTTGTTTTTTTTATTAACTTGAGAGACAGCAAAGAACAGAAAGTTTGAGAGTGGATAGAAACCACTGCCCTGGTGCTATAAAAATTTTTTGATGAAAAAAAGCTGTAAAATTAAATCCTCGAGTTTCACGGTAGCTGCCGGTTGCTAATGTTGTGCCTTCAATTTTTTTTCAAAACCTCAAACCTGATAGATAATTACGAATGTACTTCGGGGAAAATCAAACAAAAACAGGACGCGCATTGTTTCAACAATGTTGGCCAATCATAAATTGTATGGTCTGGCTTTTGAATAATTAACTCATTTCTCAAATTTTTTGGAAGCAAACGAAAACTTTCACGAGCAAGCACACGACCTCAGTTTACGTTTTATGTAACTTAATCGAATGATAAGATTGAAAAAGTAAGATAAAAAATAAATTCGCAAAACTTTCCAAAAATCGAGATTTTTCGAGTTCGGACAAAGTTCTTTATCTTTTTTCTGCATAGTGTTATAGTAGTACAGTTAATTTAATCTGAACTTCAGATTATGTAGTAGTAAATAATATATGAAGCAAAATTGTGAGAAGTGCTTTTTCTGGTTGAAAACTTTTTAAAAAAAGTCCTTCAAAAAAAGAAAGAAACTTAGTAAACAACCTAACATATATATATATATATATATACATAAATCAACTTGGAGAACCTGAGGGAAGGGCCAAAGACCAGCCATCGTCGTAAAGAACGTCGTTAGAAGCATCATCTTCCTTTTCATACATAGAGCTGCAACTCAAACTGTCAGGAAGCTTCACGGAGCGCGATTTACCTGTAATCATAGAAGTCGCTGAGTTCAATCATGCTCTCGGGATCGCGACGAAGTTTGCAGTGCTCCTTGTCTCGCATGTGGCGTTGGCAAGACTCCACAGCGGCAAACCTTGCACGGACGTCGGGGCAGAAGATGCAGCATCTGCCAGCGCCGACCTTCAGTCCTGCAGCCAGAAACTCCTTTCTACGAAGAGTTTTCTTCACGTACCTAGATATTTCAAAAGACCTGGTTCATCTACTAGGTACGTCTGGTCAGGGACTTGGAATCCGTGGTGAAAGTTCATGTGTTGCTTGATTTCGGAGATGCTCGGCTTCGTCTGGTGGCAGAAAAGACAAGAAGTGACTGGTAGAGCCTAGACGAAAGTTGTTCACTGAAGATGAGTGCAACCAACTTCTTGCTCGTTGAAGTCGATCTCTTGCTCATCATCGGTTCCGTTGTCAGTCTTCCAGCCGCTAGAGCTGTCGTCGTCGTCCTCATCTTCGTCTTCGCTTTTCATGCTGACATCTTCATTCTCCGGTTCTGAAGTTTTCGGCGCCTTTTGTCTATTTCCCTGCTGAAACTCTCTCAAGCTACAAAAATCGAAAATCCAACAACCTTCTTCGGCTGTTTTGGTCCTTTTTTCACAGATTTCTCGCACTCAGCGTGTTTCTTGCTTGCCAAATGATCATTCATGGCATTTTGCGATTTGAGTTGTTTTTTGCAAACAGCGCAGTAAAGCAGTTTCACTTCTCTTTTACTCTGAAAGATAATTTTTCAAGAGTGATAAAAACTGGCAACCAACCGGCTCTGTCGAGTAAGACTGCGCTTTGACGGTGAACTGCTCGGACGAAATTGGCGGCAGTTCAGCAGCCTACAAATTGACTCAATAACAGAAATCAGAGAAGGGGCTTACCATACGCTTCAAGTTGTAACGATGCCATTCACTTTTGTAGTGATCTCTTTGAAGATCAGCACTATTAAAGGCAACAGCGCAAGTGACACACGTCAATCCAGTGGAAGTGTCCATGCTAAGAATAAAGTATAAAAATTGACAAGTCCAACATTAAGTTTGAGATAAATCGGAACAAAACCAAGAGAGGAACAGAACAAAAGAAAATCAGACAGAAGGATTCATTCAAAAACTCAAAATCAACAATTCATAACAAGTAGGAGGCGGAATAAAAAAATTACACAAAGCTTAAGAACGAATAGACTGTTTCGATGGTCCTTCTTCTTCGTATTCGATTTCGACGCGTGGCCGTTGTCTCTGAAGAGAAATGATCTTATTGATGATTTTCCTTTTCCCAACCTTTTTCAACTTCTTTGAAATTGAGACCTTGGAATCTGCTTTCTTTTTCGTTTTCTTCACGCTTTTTGCAACCATCTTCTTTTTCGCTGGCGGCTCGTCCACGTCATCCTCTTCCTCGTCGTCAACTTCTTCATCATCCTCATCACTTTCCTCCTCCTGAAAAGAGAAAAATCCAGGAAACACGTGCTGGAAGCAAGAGACCATTCTCCAATCATCGTTTTCGCTGTCCGTGTCTGGAGGGGTCCATCTACCGCCATTATCTTCCATATCTTCATCCTCTTCGTCCGAAGAGTTGAAATCCGCAACGTAAGTCGTTTTTCCGGTCTCCTTGAACGAGTTCATAGGTTTCAAAGGTTAAACATATACTGGATCGAAATTAACTTTCGAAAAAGGTGCCTGTGCTCCCCGAAAATATTTCTTTTTCCAGTCTCTGCGAAGAAAAAGCTCCGAGAATCTGCAGTCTCACTGTAGAAGAAAATAAAACCAACGAAAAAATTGCACGTGAATAAATTTCCGTGGAAGAACTATTCTAGAATGAAGAGCCACTTAAAAGCTCCCAGCGTGTGCAAAAGTGGTATTGAAAGCGCTCATTTTTTCAGGCCATTACTATTTTTAATCCACTCAGTAGTTTGCGAATAAAATGCCCAAGCTTTTCCAAGCAAACCTCGATTGATCGCTTCAAATATCTAAATCAAGCAGAACAAAAAAACGGGAAAAACCTCATCGTCTTGCTCAACCTCCTGTTCCTGCTCAAGTTCCTTCTCAGTGTTGTCCAAGAGCTGCTCAAAAGCTTCTTTTCGGAAATTGTAAACATCGCCATAGGTGCCTTGCCTCAAGTCGATCACTGTGAAAATCGAGGAGAATCAAATAAAACTTGAGTCTTGCGAGAAGTTCTTTCTCGATGGCGTGATCGAGTTTTGCAGCTATCAGGGCTTTCTCCTCCCTTCGCTTTTCTCGTCGTTCAACTTTCCGGCCAATCGTCACTATCTTCTTTTGGCTCAAAACGGAAAACCAATATGGAAGCTAACTATTTCGCTCACTTCCCACGAACAGCAAGTTTTCTCATGCGAATCAAATACTGGTGAATTCTGATCAGCCTCGCTTTACATTTGTGCCGGACATACTCACTCCAGTGAAGTAATTGGTCGCTAATTTGTTCCAAAGCCTGAGGAAATCTGTGAATAGAGCTTCAAAAAAAAATCCACGATACCTTATTCATATCGCGTGAGAGCTTGGTTTTCTCCCAAAGTCGACGAGGATAGTGACTTCGCTCGATCACTTTTGCATACAGATAACAAACACCTGTAGGCATTCGGTACAAGATCTCAATTAAAAAGAGAAAGTCGAACCATTCTCTTCGCGGACCGTCGCGTACTGTGAATTGGCAAGGGGACAAGAGGCGCGATTACAGAGGCCTGTCAAGTTGAACTCGTTGCGGCAGAACAAGGTCGGTTTGGTCCTAAAACGAGAGGAAGAACTGAGAGATGGCCGAAACAATAGCTACCATGCTTTGAAAGAGCATTGTCCTTTATTCAAAACGTTCCACGTGACGTCATCGCACTGCATCCCGTTACCTGATTTCGGCTAATAAAAGGTGACAAATAAAACCGAAGCTTAAAGTAATAAAAGGCTCACTCCAACCATTTCATCGAAATTTTCCTTTCCAATTAAATTAATATGTTTATTTTACTCGTTAAAAAATATACACCGTTCAATAGATACTTTGACACGAAATACGACCAAAAGGACAACAAACAAAATTTTTTCGAAAGGCAGACTCAACAATCTGACAAAGCAACTACTTCTTCAGTTTCTTGAACTTCTGATTCATTCGCTGGCGTGATTTCCTTCGTTTCAGGATCGTCCCACCAATCTTTTTGTTTTTGTTCCGAACATTTTTCTTCAACTTCTTCGACGTCGCTATCCAAAACAGAGAAAGGGTTAGACTGTTGCACGGGAGAGCGAGGGCGGATCTAAACCAAATCTTTTTTGAAAACCAGAAAAAGTTAAACACACCGTTAAAGTTTGCGGCACCCTTTTATAAACTTCCCGCTCTGACCTGAGTGGTTTCAAGCCTTCTTTTTCACTTTCAACAGGTCCTTCCGCGGGTTTTTTCTTCAGAGAATCGAACTCGTCTCTTAATTGATCATAGTGGTTTTGAAAAAAAAAAAATGAAGTTTTACTTTCTCAGAGTAATTGGCCCAGGTGTGGCCAGAGCTCCACGATAATTAGGTAAATCGCTCAAAAGTATTAATGGTTGTGAAGAGTATCCTCTGAAGGAAGAAACGATTTTGAAAATGAATGCAAAAATCAAACTCTTACCGCCTTGCTTTCAAGACTATGCTGCGCTTTGGAGAAATGTCGACACTGTATGATTCGAGTTTGAAATACTGGGCGTAGTTGTGGATGAACCGTCTTTTCTCTACACCCATAGGATCCATGTGGAGCGTAAAGCAATCTTGCGATTTCATGGGCTGACAAAATACAATTAATTATCGACAGCAAAAAATAAACCAACGTCATTCAATTCTTTCAAAATATCCACGATGACTTTCTCGATGTACTTCACAAAATCTGGGTGAGACTTCATAATGTTCTAAATTATAGAAATACACATCAAACAGAAAAAGATGAGAATTCACCTTTAGATAGTCACTATATGTGATAGTGGGAAGTAAAATGGTTTCTCCGGATTCGTCAAGTTCAATGTCCAGAGCGATCGCTAACTTCTTGTTGCGTTCAAGCTTTTTGCAATCTTCGTCGCACTCAAGGCTAAAAAAACTTTTTTTTCAAAGATTTCGCGTGAAATTTCAAAACCAGTTGAGTTCCGTCATACTACTGCATCGCTTTAATTTTCCCTCACTATTCTCCGCAAAACCATCAGTCGTCTTTTCTGATTTTCCGGCGAACATCTTGTCCACCTAAACATCAATCAACTGTAAAAGTGACACATTTCAGCTGGAACTTCAAAACAATGAAGCTGCGTCTTGCGTCGTCCACACGTGCACGTTACTTCGACCTTCTGTTTGCACAGTGAAGAAGGACAGCTCGTAGTTCCGTGGCAAGGCAAAGAGCATGCGTGTTCGCATCCCTCACGAGGGAAGTTGCATGGCCTCACGCAGGCAGTATTGTTCTGAAACAATATCGAAAATAAAGAGTGAAACAGAAAAAATGACGAAAACTTGAAACTACTGCGTCACTGTAAATACAAAGCGAGCATTTCGAAATTTTTTTTTTCGTCTACTAAGCCACACGATGAAAATCTTCGAACGGATTCTTGACAAAAGAATAAGGAATATCGCCAAAGTGACATCAAACCAATGCGGATTAGTACGAGGCTGTGGAACAACAGATGCAATCCACGCAGCCAGGATACTCTTCGAAAAACATCGAGAGAAAAACGTCTGCCTGCACGCTGCTTTCATAGACCTCGAAAAAGCGTTCGACCGCGTCCCCCACGAACTTATATGGTACGCACTCCGGCAACACGACGTCCCTGAGGCCCTGATAAACCTTGTCAAACTGCTGTATAAAGACACTAAAAGCAAGGTAGTAACCGCAGCTGGCACAACCGAAGACTTCTCGATCAAAGTAGGAGTGCACCAAGGCAGCGCCCTATCGCCACTTCTCTTCATCCTCGTCATGGACACTTTAACAAATGACCTGCAGACACCTACCCCGTGGACCCTTCTTTACGCAGATGACGTCATGATTGCTGCCACCACGAAACAAGAGCTCCAAAATCGGCTGGAACAATGGAACGCAAGACTGACGCAGTTTGGACTTCGGATCAACCTCAAGAAGACAGAATACCTGAGCACGGACAAAACCGAAAACGGCACCATTCGAGTGGACAACGTCGACCTACCCAGAACTAACTCCTTCAAATATCTTGGCTCGTCGATTGCGGATGATGGTTCAATAAACAAAGACATCGCAGCGCGCATAAACTGCGCATGGCACAAATGGAAAACCACCACAGCCGTACTGTGCGACCCAAAGATAGGTGACCGACTGAAATCGAAATCTACCGATGTGTGATCCGTCCTGTCGCGCTCTACGGAACCGAATGCTGGCCTGTAACCAAAGAAGCCGAACGCCGACTTGCAGTCATGGAGACTAAGATGCTGAGATGGACCGGAGGAGTCACACGACTGGACCACGTGCGAAACGAGGACATCAGAACACGCTTTGGGGTAGCACCGATCACGGAAAAGATGAGAGAAGCCAGACTGAGATGGTACGGCCACACTCTCAGAGCTAACGACGAATCTGTTGCTAAACGTTGTTTGTTGATGGAAGTCGCTGGAAAAAGACCGAGAGGGCGGCCGAAACAACGATGGTTGGACGCTCTCCACAACGACATGAAGAACACCCGACTAAACCCAGACCATGCAGCCGATCGAATAAAATGGCGCCTACGATCCAGAATAGCGGACACCGCAACCGAGCGGGACAAACGCTGAAGCAGAAGTGATTCAGGTTTCTCTCTGCTTTTATTTTTTTCATGAGAAACGCGGCTAGGACTTTCCGAACACTAACAAAAACATTTTTTTCAAAGAGAAGGCGTTTGAACCTGTTCACATGGGGCGCTGTGGCATTTCCTGTTACAATTGTGCACGCCACAAGATAGTTCGAGGCCACATTCCATCCCACACGAAACTGCTTCGATGTGACAAGGGATGTTTTTCCGTAACTAAAAATTATTATGAAATCTTACTTCGTCCTCATAACTAGTTGATATAACCACTTACCACATGTTTCCCGTAACAATACTTCTCCGTTAGAAACGTACACGGTGGACATCGTTCTTCCCCATGACAACTATAAAAGTTTCAATGTAGTCAGTTTTTTTCCCGGATTGAAAAGCGAGGAGGCAGGGAAAGTGGAGAAACGCGTTCGGCCAACCGTTCTTGGCACGAGTTCAACCAACTCAACCGCCAGCGACTGTTTGCAGAGCTCGTTTATCACTCCTTTCTTTTATTTTTTAATGATTCATTGATTTTTTTTTTCATGCCGTGTTCAAAGTAATTTCCGCGAAATGCAAAATACCCGTTAGAGAAAGGAAAAGATCACTAAATTTTGGAGAGTCAGAGATCATTTTGCATTTCGCGGAAATTACTTTGAACACGGCATCATGTGTGCATTAAAAAAATAGAATAGATACAAAAATAGCGAGCTTTTTAAATAGTCGGTGGCGCTTAAATTGAACTCGTGCCAAGAACGGCAAACGCACTCGCTACGCGTTTCGCCCTTTTCTCCGCCTCTTCAAAGTTGGGATGGATGGAATATATTAAAGAGAAGAAAAACAAAACAAACTTATGTGTGACTGGATGGGCACATCTATGTTGACGTACGCATTTCTCATGACATTCTGGCAAGGAAGAACCGCAAGGAACTGGAGGAGGTCGAATCGTTCGACCACAATGACAATACTGTTCATCAAAGCCTATTAAAGATAAAATTTTGTAAAGATGTAAGGATGAAAAATCAGCTCAGAAAAAAAGATCACTGCAACCAAAAAAAAAAGTTGCGAAAAGTTCGCTGGTTTGGCCGGATTTTCAGATTTTTTTTTCCGAAGAGTTTTTTTTTTCTAGTAGACGGCAAATCTGCCAACGGAAGACAAAATTTTAGCAACCAGTTTTTTTTTAACCTTCTGCCGTGTTCGCAGCGGTTAGAGAAAGAAAGACATATATAAATTTTGGAGAGTTAGAGAGCATCATGGAGAAGCAGTGATCGTCGGAAACGCTCGAAAGTCGTCTACTACTATCACAAGAAAGACGAGATGCTCTACGCGCCGTCTACGTTTGATCAACGACAGTTTCGCAAACCGACGAACAACTCTTCAATTATTCCATGATTCAGCAGAGTACCTTCTCTGAAGACTGAATAAAGTTTCAAAGTTTTCAAAGAGAGCATTTTGCATTTCGCGGAAATTACTTTGAACACGGCATTCGCTAGCTCGTTTTTCGCAGCTTTTTTCTTCATACAGACATACACGCTTCATTTTTAGTCGAAGAAACTTTCAGAAAAGCTCGCATATATCTATCAAAAAATTTCCTCTGAAAAGTCATCGAAAGAAATAATAATAAAGCATACTTGCGTTGAGGCAGCGTGGACATTGCCCTGCATGACAAATGTTATCACAATTATGGTTCCCACATGGAAGACGTTTGTTGCAAATCTAATATAAATATTTAGAAAAAAAAAGAACAGAAAAAAAACTTACTTGCATACAAAAAAATGTTCATCTTGAACGCAACAATCCTCTTGACACTTGTGAATACCGCAACTTTTCTTCTTACGACATCTTTTCTCGCACAGGTAAGGCTGATTTCCTGAAAATTTGCAATAGTGATGGAAAACTAACTCGTGAGGATAAGAAAACATTTTTTCAGAATTTTCTGTTAATATCATCGGCTGCTTCTTATGATTGTTCTCGTCCGATGTATATATTTTACTATGCGTAGTATTTTCAAAAATTCTTGCTGAGTTGTACAATGAAAAATAAATTGTTCAAATCAATTTCCCCGGAATTGCAAAATTACTCTTCAAAACGTAGTTATCTTTCCCTTTCTCCTAAGGAATTTCTTGTCGAAAAAACTTCATTCCTTTAAAACTACTATTTAATACAGCATACCAGATTTGTAGATCTCCACAAATTCTAAGCAAGAAATGATGGTCTTTTTATTTCCACAGCGACAGGTAACTCCCGTGCCGCACAGACATGGAGGACAAGGACCGGCGTGACATTTTTCAGCACATCGGTGATTTCTTCCTGAAAAAAAAACTGAACGAAGTCAAAAGAGAGAGAAAGAAATAAACCTTTGGATCCACATTCGAGAATTTTTCCACATACGGCTTCACACGTGGGAATGGCGTCTGTACATTCCGATCGCACGACTTTCAGCTCGTCCAAAGATTTTTTTCCACAGGGGCAATGAGTAACCTTCGCGGCCGACATTGGACAATCGCCGCAACCATTATCCCATTTTTCATGGCATCTAAACGTTTCTACTATCCACGGGGAAAAAGTTTTTTACAAAGATTCGATGGCAGTTATCAGTATCTTTTACTTCTCTTTTTTATTGATTGTCAATTTTTAATTAGAACTGAGCTATTCGAATGTTCTCTTTCTCACTTCACCAGGTTGATAAAAAGATATTATTCTTAAACACGTGATATTATATAAAGATTTATGTAAGAATTTGAACTACTTAACTCATAATAAGTTTTAGATTAAACTTTCAATGCGAAAAATGAGAATACAGAACAATTTTACAGGCAACATTTTGAAACTATACCTGCGTTCGCATTTATGGATTCCACAGCTGTATGTTCCTCGACACGGCGATTTGCAGCTAAAAGATGTTTGTGGATCGTTCCCGCAAGAAACCTCTCGATTTTCTTTGCCGCAATAACAAACTTAAAATAAATTATGATTAAGCATATCTATAAATTCAACAAACCTTGAAAAACTCTTTCATTACATGAATCGCAATCTCCGCTATGACAGACATTGGTGCACCGATGATTTCCACATTTCAGCATCTTTCCACAAACTTTCTCGCACTGAAAAGAAAACTTGAAAGAAATTTTTTCTTTATTTATAAAACTTTCATCACTATCTTTGACCCACAACGAACAGTCTTTTCTTCTGCGCCGCAATTGCACGTCCTGACAACCTGAAAAAGCAATATTTACTATCTACACATTTTTAAAGCTCCCTAAAAACTGAAAAAGTCGATAAACAAACCTGAAGGGGGCACTCGTTGCAAGGTCCTGGATGACAACGATCAGTACACGGATGAGGACAATCGGGACCGCGCTTTTTCTCACAGACACCATCACAAGTGTGGGGAGTAGAGCCTCTATAAAAATCTGGTTTCATACGAAAACAATTGAAACAAACAGCTCGAAAGTTGGATTTTTCTGTTTCCCACAAAAGCAGAAATAGTTGTAAGGCATCCTCTCGTATTTCGTTTGGCAAGTGGGACATCTCCATCTAATAATAAACATTTGAACAACAAATTTCTTCTTTTCAACCAACTTATTGTCATCTTCTCTGCTAGATTTTGCCCAATCGATTATACAACCATGTGAAATATGAAAAATGTGATAACATGTATCACAAGACCAGGTTCCCTGAAATTTATAAAAAATAAAACCGACACCTTGGGAGAAAAAAAACCTGCTTCGAAGTGATACGTTGATAACAAATAGCACACTCATAAGTGCAGTTTTCCAGTTCGCGAACTAATCGGTCTAAATAATAATTAATTATTCCCTTATTTTAGTCACTGCAACTGATAACCTTTTAATGAAATATCTTTCCGGCCGGAATTCCAATTTCTTTTTCTTTCGGAAAACATTTTTTTCTCGTGCGATGCTTTTTTTCTTTGAGATTTTTCCTTTCTCAAACCGGAATCCTTATTATCCTCTGTTTCTGTGGTTCCACCTTGAAACGAAGTTGTTCTTGGTACAAAAGGTTCGGCATTTGGATTGAAATGAAATGGAGGATCTAAAAATTACGGCCAAACATATTTAATGAAAAAAATAGAGTGCTCACTTTTTTTCGTAGATTTTCGGCTTTTCGTTGTCCTACTCGCTATTTTTTCAGAATCTGAAAAAATGAATTTTTTCGACCAATAAAATGTTCAAACTTGAGCCGGAAGGGATATCAATTTGTGAATTCATTTTTAGAGCTTCTGTGGATTCTCGCGCTTGGGTTCTTTCTAAAATTTATTCTCATGTAAATCATTCGAATATTCAAAAAAAAAAATAAAAATGAATAGCATACTCGTTTCACGATAAGCCCTCCATGGTAGTTTTTTCTTGGTAGAGACCTCTAGAAACAAGCTCGGTTGTACTGAACCCCTCTCTGACGATGAAAGCACAACATCTGAAAGCGCCTCTTAAAACTTAAAAATCTCGAAAATGAAACAATAAATTGATGGAAATGAAAAAAAAGCTATCATTTTCTAATTAGGGGCGTTTTTGATTTTAAATACTCAGAAGGTAGTATAGATGATACAGGAAAACATCGAGCATTTTAAAATTTCGATAGAAGCTAAAAATTCATATCAAAAAACGGAGAAAATACTTCGAAAACTAACATAATACTTGAATATCTCTGCATAAAAAAGTTTAGATTTTATACTTACTTTCGCTTGTAGGTTTCACTAAATTTTCCTTTAATGGGTCGTTCTTCACTTTAAAACGATTATTATTTCGTCTTCTATGGCGTTGCGAACTGGCTGAGGCTTGTGCAGATGAAGAAATTGTGGATAAAGAAGGAACTGCTCCTACTGTTGCACTACAACTATCCATTGATTCTGAAACCAAAATTTTAGAAAAACATAAAATGGAATGTGGAAAAGCGTGATATACATTTGATTCGAACGAATAATCCAAACAGTAGAAGTTCAAAAACCGGAAAACTCACTGAAAATTTCCCTTTTTCTCTTTATATAACACTCCTACAATCTTTCTGCTGTTGTGCAATATTAGACAATTTCGCAACCACTGGCAGAAATTGTCGGATGATTAAAGGCGCACGTTCGTTACAAGCAACGTTAAGCTACAGTAGCCCCCGTTTGATTTTCTCTTTTCAAACTTTTTTTTTCGAATACTTCTCTTCATCGTTCGCTGTGTTTATGGCGTGTTCATTGGACAAAACGAAAATTGTTCCGAAACGCGAAAAAATTGCTTCAAAACAAAAAATTAGTACTGTTTTTGAGCAACTTTGGCGCGCCAATGAACACGATTTTTCGTTTTGAAACATGTTCCGTTTCTCCAATGAACACGCCATTGGAGAAATCCTGGCGAAGTTATATCTAAATTTTGGAGAGTCGAAGATATTTTTTACTTCTGCGGAATTGCTTTGAGTACGGCGTTTCTTTCGTTTTTTTTTATTGACCCAATTTCGGTTCTTATTTCAACCCCGTGGTTTAGAAAACTGTCTTCATGCAAATAAAAAGTTTGTAATATCCGAAAAAAATATCAAATTTCTGAAATCTCAGTTGAGTAGTTTTATTTGTTTTAAATTCATAACTCGAATCGAAATTCATTGTAATAAGTTGTAGAGATCAAAATAATTTTAAAGAAAGAAAACTTTCATTTTCCTAGTTTTAATGAACCTATAAAATTAACAAAAGCCTCATATTTGAAGCTATTAATGCGCGCGTTTTGCTGCTTTTTTTTCCCTATCTCTGGACGATGATCAGAAAAAAAAAATCAGGGAAAATAGCATGTGAGGTCAAATTTGAGAGTTAAAATTTTTTCGCTTGGAATGTACTTCGAATCTGAGAAGAAGCAATATCTAAGAAATTTTTTTTCATAAACTTCTTATCAATAATTTTCCACAGGTCAGCTGTTAGATTTATTTGCATAGGCAAAGTCGGAAGGACCCTCCGAGGGCCCATAAAGGACCATAGAAATGTTTCTTTTAGGGTGATGAAGGTTCTCTTTTTGCTCCATTTTCTCAGCCCTTATGCACCATTGGAGCCTCTGCCTTTCTCCACAATTTCTCCAGCCTTTAAAATCCCAGAAATATGGAAGGCTCGATGAAGGGAGTCTCTTTGCTGCCTTTCGCTGTCTTTTTGCTGGCTTTCTGCGGCCTTTTTTGAGCCTCTCCCTTTTAGCGGCCATCATTCACCATTCCGACTTTGCCCGAGTGATTGTTTTGATGTTTGATTTTTGTATTTGTCGTGCAGATTGCGGAATGGCGAATAAACATTCGAAATGAAAAAATTGGCCTTTTTTTTTTTAAGTTTTCGGACACAGTCCTTTCATTTTGATTCATGAAAAAAGATTGTTATATATCTAAAAATCTTTTTAAATTTAACTTTTTCTTTTTTTTATCAAGACTTTTGTTCTTTATATCATTCAAATCCTTTATTTGAAGTTTACAGGTAAAAAGAAAAAATGGGACGTATGCACAACCCCGGAAAGGGCATGTCGAAATCGGCACTGCCTTACCGCCGCTCCGTTCCTTCTTGGCAAAAGCTGACTGGAGAAGACGTTCAGGACCACATCGTCAAACTAGCTAAAAAGGTTTTAGGTCTGAGGGGCTATGTGGTTCGAATCCATTAGTTACCATATGATCTATTTTTTTAAATTATTGATATCGTTTTTTTTTTTCAATTTAGACTTCAGGGACTCCGACCATCTCAAATTGGTGTGATCCTCAGGGATACCCATGGTATTGGTCAAGTTCGCCGGTTGGCTGGCAACAAGATTTTCCGCATTCTCAAGGCGAAGGTTTTCAAATGGGAAATATTGTGTGACTAAGAGCTTTATTTTTACAGGGTATGGCTCCCGAGCTACCTGAAGATCTTTATCACCTTATCAAGAAGGCTGTCGCTATCCGCAAGCACCTCGAGCGCTCGCGTAAAGATATTGACAGCAAGTACCGCCTCATTTTGGTCGAATCTCGTATTCACCGATTGGCTCGGTATTACAAGACTAAGCGCCAGCTTCCTCCTACCTGGAAGTACGAAGCCGCTACGGCTGCTTCCCTCGTTTCATAATTGTTATTATTGTTAAAATAAATGTTGATCGTTGCTAAATGGTGTTTTGTTCACTGCTTTCTACGAGATTTTCGGTGCGGAGTGCAATCGTTACACCGTGTTCTAAGTAATTTCGACAATTTCAAACCTTAAATCTTATGTTCAAATTGATTCCGCGAAATGCGAAATACCCGTTAGAGAAAAGCAACTGGATCTTGCAAAATTTTTGGAGAATCAGAGACCATTTTGCATTTCGAGGAAATTACTTTGAACATAAATGCATTATGATCCTTTTCTATCGGTTTTCCACAGATTCGAGAAGTTCTCCTTTTCTTACCGACATCCTAGGATTTCGGTAGGCCGGCTTTCCGCGGGCCCTGCGAGGTCAGGTTTTCTTACCGTTTAGCGCCTGTTTTCTTCCTGTGAATTGATATATACATATATCTGAAACTCTTACGGCTGTTTTGAATTTGGCGGAATCACTTTAAACAGCAAATTTGCAAAAGGATGGACCATTTTGAAACGCCAATATTGGCAATGTAGGCATTTTTTTTATAAATTGTCGATGATTTGGAAAGAAAAATTTAAGAGAAATCGGACGATACCCTCCTTCGTGAACAAGAAATTTATACGAAAATTTTTTCCTATAAGCTTGAGTGGAATAAAATTTTCAGGACACAGTTTTCACTGGTTGTCATGGTTACGTTTAGCATGTGCATAGGGTTTATTGTTCAGAGAATATAATTTCAATAGCTGAACATGAATATGAAGGTTTGTAGTTTGATATTTTTTTAATGTATTTTTTTGAAATGTTTTAAAAACTTATTTTACTTAAATAGTTCAAATTTCGCTTTTTTTAGTCAGAGATTTTTTTATATCGCAGGTTCGAAATCATTTATTTTGAGTGGACACTTTCATTTTATATTACTAGATTTGATTTCGTGAGTTTTTTTGAAAAAAATATGAACTGAGAAATATTTACAAAAAAAGTTTAGTTGTTGTATCGACGGACCGAGGAGCACGTCGGGAGCGGCAGATGTCAGCTTCGCTGGAGACCGAATTCGAACGCACTCGCTATCGCGTGGTTTGGAAATATTTAAATTTACGAAACTTTTTTTTCTCATACAGTATTCTCAGATTTTGAATGTTAACAAGCCTCTAATGGCGCTATAAGCGACAAAGATTTTCGAGCGAACTGTAGCTTCATCATCATCATCAATATTTATTGGTTGTTTTAGTCAGATGGTGTCGACTAGGCGGTGAAAAAATTGCTCTTTTGAGCGGCACTAACACCGCCTTTGGCGAAAAAGAAGTCAAAACGTGTATTCGATTGAATTGAAAGCATGGTCTTACGGTCCTTCGCCTCGTTCTTCCACAAAGAGATCCCTCAGTTTCGCTTGTACGGGCACGGCGGTGATGGTGGGGCTCGGGCACGGATACCGTGTACACTCTAGGGTAGCCTCGGTCGACTGAGAGAGCTACCACTTCGAGACAAATTCAATCCATTTTTCAGTCCCAACAATGCAGTTATTCTGTACGACAAAAAGGGGGAAGTAATCGACGCGCTAGACATGACAGGGTTTTCATTGAAAAGCACCTTCTCAAGTTGTATTACGGTTTGAAGAAGCGTCGTAGACATTGCATGGGACAGAGAGGGCGATTCTCTGGCCGTTGCCGGAACTTCATCCTCGCTCATCACCGTCTGGGAGATCAACTCCCGTTCGACGGAACAGATAGAGAGCGGTGTTGCCTCCACAAAGTAATTTCATCCGTGAACTATGCCACAAACACTCAAAATTCCAGAGAAATACCAACATGTCTAGCTTGGTCACCGGTTAGTCTGACACTTGCGTGTGGAAACAACGCTGGCAACCTCTTCATCTACAACCACCGCACAGCCAGGTTCAGTTCAAAAGTAGTTTGTTTGAACTCCGTGAAGGCAAATTGCTGTCATCATATCACCTCACGCTCAAACTTCTCAGTTAGAAAGTAGTAAGAGATAGAAATATACTAATAAAAATATCACCAAACAGTTTGAAGAGGATTGCAAAAAGGTTTCAGAAAAATCTCACTCATGGGAAAACATCAGAGAAGCATCACGCAGATAAAATTCACAAATGATGACCTGATTGTCACATGCAGCGACGACAACACTATAGTTGGTCTGAAAAATTGGCTTTTTTGAGAACAAAAAAGTCGTTGTTTTTAGTTTCCAATGTGGATGGCGACACGGTCAGCACGACTTCAGTGACTGGAGAGCCCGGGAATCTCGATATCGGCGTCGTTTTGCGCGGAGGCGTTCCTCACACTATGGTAAAATGTCATAAAAATAGAGAAGGAAAGCAGATTTATATGCCTATTTATGAAGGAGAAAAATTTCTGATAAAAAAAATCTCATAACTTTGAACGACGAACTTATGCCGTGTTTAAAGTAATTTTCGATAAGTTCGAAATGGTCTCTGAGCCTCCAAAGTTCAGTTATCTTTTTTCAATCTCGGACGGATATTTTGTATTTCGGGATCACTTCCAACACGCCATGAATGTATTTGCAAAATCGTCGATCTGTGTTTTTTTTTCCTGTTTTTTTAATGCTTTAATCGCAGTTGAGCTGCACGCTGGGACGAAAAATCTTGATGTTGGCGTCGCTCAATGCTCTGGAGTCGCCCTCAAATCTCCAGTTTCAAGAACGTTACGGCAATATCGTCGACTACACCTGGTTTGGGCTCTGTTCAAAACAAAAACTCAGATGTTTTTTCTTCTCATCTCATTTTTAAAGGTTCAATGATGGGTTCCTTGCGATTGGATTCGACAAAGGCAGTATCGTTACCATTTCGGCTCAACAATCGGAGCTGGGATCGGTTAGTTTTTTTTTAGCTCAATAACCTCGAAAGAAAACAAAAACAGGAGATGAGCAGTATCAACGAATACAAGACGTATCTCGGAGCTGTTGTGGCAAGTCCGAGTTTCGGTAAAATCTTGAGCGTTGGCGATCACCAGTAAGTCAAATGAAACGAAAAAAAAGTCACACTTATTTAACTCTCTGAAGTTTTCATCCGGTAGAGCGAGGGAGAATAGATATTCACCGTAGAAGAACAAACCAGATGTATCTTAAACTTAACCGTTGAGTATCTGACTTTTTTTTTAGCGAGGTAGATATCTGAGAACGCCTGTGGCAAAATAAAAAGTTCGATATAGGAAGCTAAGAATGAGAAAGAAAAGAAAAGGAGTTCGCTCTTGAGGTGTATGTTTGAAGGCTAAAGGTGCGCGAAATGGGTCAAATGTCGGACTTGTACTTGATGCTGGACGTGGATGCCGACAGGGACCTCTGCAGTCTGGCGTGCTCGGACGACGGCCAGCTAGTCGCCGTCGGCTCCCAGGCTGGCCAGATCTCCGTCTACCTCACTAGAATGCCTTCCCTCGGCGCTTCCTACCAAGACATCGTTCGTCTCTTCATTTTCCTTATGAATCCTTCTGAAACTTCTTTTCGGAACGATTTGAAAGATTAGCTCTGTCTTTGATTCTGGTTTTTTATATCCAAGAAAATGAAAACGAGCTTCGAAAGCAGCAAATATGACAATAACAGTTCCACGTAATTTTTTTTTGAGTGAATTTCGAGATTTCTTTCTCCAATAAGCATACTATCCTTTTTTGTGTTTGAAACCAGGTAATGATTGAATGACAAGTTAAGATCGTCACCCTCTCTTCTCTGACGCAGGTGACGGTGCAGAGCGAAGGAGACAAGGTAAAAAGGTCTTCAGACATACCAAAAGGGGACTTACAGACGCGCAGTGCCACCGTAGAGATCTTCGTCGAGCCGTCGATCATCGCCGTCGGACCTTGCCACGTCGCCGCCGCTACCAACAACATTGTCTCGTTTTTCGAGTACAGCTTCTCGCTCTCTTCCCATTTTCCTTCCGCCGTCGACAAAGGTTCGTTTTCTTGAGTTTTAAACTGGAGCAGTTTTGCAACATTCCACTAAACTTTAAATCAAAATTACTTTCGGAACAGCTTCCCAATTTTTTTGTCAAAATATGTTCGATTTTCATCCCTTTGAAAAACATTTCTTTCTACTTCTTCACGTAAGGCTCTCAAAAAACTTTAATTATTTATATATATATATATATATATATATATATATATATATATATATATATATATATATATATATATATATTAATGGATTATCTCGTGTTTCGAAATAAGAGAAGGCGAAAAAAAGGGTAATTACCGCACATACATGGGCTCTATCACAGAGTGAATTAAAAAACTACCATGTATAAATTATAATAAGTGAAAAAAATTTGGGAAAGGGAAGGTTGTTTGCAGTACCTGAGCCGGTTTCAAAGGTAGAATACCTGTCCACGGTCCTTGGAATCCAGCTAAACTACGAGTACGCTGCTGTCACCATGGCTGGAAAAGTTCGACTGCACAAAGTAAGCAATTTTTTTCTAGCATGAAGAGAAAAAGTATGCTTTTTTTTCAAAAAAAAAATAATTCTTAATTCCGGTATTCTAAAATTAAATAAAGGTGGAATTCGAAAAGATCGGCATTTTAAAAATTCAGGACCTTCTTTGAATTTATAAAAATTGAGATATTTTTTGCAGATAGTCGAGTCGGATGAGAGCCGGTCGGCAACATTTCCAGAACCGTCGCGAAACGCCCGCCTTCTCACTGCAGCTCTCTCCGAAAACTTCTTGATTTTCACAACCGATGTACATATCGAAGGAAAATGAAAGAAAAGCCTCAATTCTCAGAATCACTACATAGTTTACTTCTCGCTGGAGGAGTGGGCCGTCGTCAGCGAATACAGACATTCTTCTCCAATCCGCAGCGTTTTCCCGCACCCACAGTCCGTCAGTTGCTGCTGCTTCGACGACCGCCTCGAAACTATCGTCTACTCGTAAGATTTCTGAACAAGAAATGGCTCAATCAAAAAATTTTACTTAGAGTGCATTTTACTCAATGCATTTTATTTTGAAAAAGTGTTTTTAACTTTCTGTATCTAGAAAAACTACTAGATTTTTAATTGAGACGTTTCTTCAATTAACTTGAAATTCAGGGAAAAAAATTTTGAAGTTGAAAATTGTGATGTTGATTTGTATTATCCACGTTTATTGAAACTACCAAAGTTTAACAGAGAAAAAACCGCAAACTAATATTTTCTTTTTCAGAGCTATCGACGACGTTGTTTTGAAAGTAGAACCAGTTGGATCTACAGTTCACGTGAGTCTACCTTGACTATTGTTGTATTCCTTTCTTGTACAGTACAAAGGAGTTCTCTGGGAGACGTTCACTATTGACAAGGGCACTTTTGTTATTTTCGACAACCAGAATCTTTACGTTTTTCTGCTGACGAAGGGAAGAATCGACGGCAACGCTGTCTTGTACATTGGAAGCACCAAGCTGCCTTTCGGCCACACTCCTCTTGCTCTGAGCAAGGTTCGGTCTGAGTTGTCCCTCAAGTGACTTTTTTTTAGGGGATTGTTCACTGTCTGACGACCGTCAAGAGTTCCTCTGTACTTTTGGAATCTCACAAAACAGATACGCAGCTTGAGGGGAAATCGCAGCAACAAGTTTCTACTTTTTTATTTTCTAACAACCACGATTCGTCTTTTTTTTTTCAGATTACAGAGCTCCTTCAACAAGCACTATTACTTCAAAGGTTTGTGATAAAAAAATATGTTTTGGAGCTTCTAAGAAAGAAATTGAGTAGGTCACAAACAAATTTGGACTCAAATTGATTTTTAAAATTGTGTCGATAGTCATTGCATATGGCTCTCACTGCATTTCATTTCAAATACCAATTTCCCATTCCACATTCTGTATAACAAAAAGTAAGCAAACAAATATCGATAAAAAAAATCGATTTTAATCGACTTAAAAGTCCTACAGATGATCTGTGAAACGGTTGGAGGAAGAGAGTGTCTAAATTCAATTTTCTTTCCTCCACTTTTTTAAACGTTTAATGGAGTCTCTTGTGAGAAATCTTTTTGATGATACCATCATCAAGTTACAGCCAAGGAACTTTGATGCAATAATTTGTACGCACCCTGTATTTCCAAAATAACTCACGCTCAGATGGACGTATGCTTGGCGGATCTGCGATTTCGCCGGCCAACTCTCACATTGGAACTTATTTGCGCATGCGGCGTTAGTGAATGCAGACGTTTCCCTTGGTTTGTTATATAATACTAATAATCCTATCGCTTCATTTTCATTTCTAACTTAAAAAACTTTTTTCATTACGTTTCTTTCAGCTCTGCGAATATTCAGAAATATTGGCGATGTCGCTATGGTAGCTGCTTTGGAGCAAGTAAAGTTTATCGAAGAGAAAAATTTGCTCGCAGCTCAGGTGAAAAGAAAATTTTTCTCAGAATCAGTAATGTTTATCCAGGTGGCGGTCATCCTTGGAAAGTACGACGAAGCCGAAGAAATTTTTCTCAGAAGCTCGAAGCCTAGAGAAGCTTTGAATGTGAGGAAAAAAATCCGAGTTGAAATTCGTTTTGATTGTAGATGAGAAGAGATTTGCTAGAGTGGCCGAAAGCTCTGCTGCTGGCAGAGAAGTTGGCTTCTGATGAAATCCCTTTCATTTCTAAAGAGTATGCACAGGAGCTCGAGCTGATGTAAAAACAATTGAGATTATGATCCCTACTGTTTTCTTCTAGGGGAGATGATGCGAACGCTTTGATGAACTATGAGAAAGGCGTGGTCGACAGCGAACAACATACGGTTAGTACTCACTAGTTAGGAGTCCTGCAATTCCAACAACTCGTTTACCGTATAGTTCTCTTTGATGTTGAGTGAATCACAGAATGTCTCAAAACCAAAAAAGACTGTTTTGAACTGCTTTTTGCAGTACGACCGCTCTCCGGCCGAAATCTCCGAGCATAACGAGATTTGCACGTCTGGAATAGCTAGAATGTCGATAAAAACCGGTGATTTACGCAGGTTGTTGCATCCGAAAAGAAATGAGTGGCAAAGAGTTTTTAGAGGGATACAGTTGGCAAAGAGTCTTCCTGGCCGCGTTGTCAAAAGAGATTGCGCGATAATTCTTGAACAGATCAAGCAGTACACGGAAGCTGCTCAGTTGTACGAGATCGGACTGTTTTTCGACCGCGCTGCAGCCGTTTGTCTCAAGGCAAATGCCTGGTATGTGTCCCTCGGCTGGTTTTATGTAAGGGTTTGTCGGAGTTTAGGGGAAAAGTCGGAGAGTTGCTCGACAAAGTCAAATCTCCTAAAGTTCACGTGCAGTATGCAAAAATAATGGAGAACGAGCGAAAGTACAAACAAGCTGCTATTGTGAGTGATCTTGGTCTTTTACATGAGCATATATGAGAATTTCTGGAATTTTGAAGCATTTCTTGGAACCAGAAATCACAGAAAATATCTTTTAAAAAAATTGTTTTTTATTTCGTAAAATTTTTTGTATTTTTTTTTTCCTTTTTATTGTAATTTTTGCTTCAACTAGCTTTTGTAAATTTCCATTAAAGAAGGTGCTGATGTTTTCAAATTCGCTTGGATGTCGATGAGATAACGATTTCAAAAAGAACGATAGGTTTACAGGTGGAATTTATGGCTCTGATGAGTTTTAAGAAAATGAAAACGGGAGTGTTTCAGTCCTACGAGCGCGGACGAGACTATGACAACCTTGTAAGAGTTTTACTCGACCACCTTAATATGCCTGAGGAAGCCGTTCGTGTTGTACGTGAGAGCAGAAGCATCGAAGGCGCCAAACTCGTTGCCAAGTGAAAATTAATTGGAAAAAATTGACGACTGATGGTGCTTCTCAGGTTCTTCTCTCGCCTTGGCGACCACAGTTCTGCAATCCAGTTCCTGGTGATGTCACAATGCGTCCAAGAGGCGTTCCAGGTCGCCGAAGCCTACGACTGTATGAACGAGTACGCATCGGCAATTGAAGACATCGGAACTCCCGAACAAGCCATCGAACTCGCTCAACATCTCGGCCGTGCCGGCGATGCCTTCAATGCCGCCAAGTTTCACATGAAAGGGGGACAGTTCGCCACGGTCTGCAGGACGAGAGAAAGAAGAGATTTTAGAAATGATTCCAGGCTATGGATCTTCTGATGGGTCTCGGCGATCGTTCTGACGCTATGTTGCTAGCTATTGAGTGTGCCCATAAGGCCGACGATCGGCAACTCACACTTAACCTCATTCGTTTCTTCCTCGGCGGTGTCGATGGCGTTCCCAAGGTAGAAACGTTTTTATCTATAACACATGACAACCATTTGTCTGTACAAAGTTCGCTGTAATACAAACGTTTACGAAGCGGTTAGGTTCATATAGACTCTTTTTGAACGTTCCCGGAATAATTGTGATTTTTTGAATTCGGCAAGACTAGAAAACTTGGAAATTACTTACAGGACTCCGCCTACTTGTTTCGGCTGTACGTCCAGTTGGGGCAGGTGCGCGAGGCAGCCAAAACAGCTGTTATAGTTTCTGGAGAACATCAAAGTCGTGGATCTTATCGTATCGCTCGCGATGTTTTATACTCTATGTTTTCGGTTCGGGAACGCTCTGATTTTTTCTTAGTTATTATTCATCACAGAAACTCAAAGAAAAAGAGATGAAGGTACCGCAAGAAATGGAACACAACTTGATGGTAGTACATTCGTATATGATCGTCAAGGTCCGTTCTTACTTGATTTTGCTTCTCTACAACGTTTCTCTACAAGGGACTCATCTCGAGAAGAGACACTGTCAAGGCGGCGCGAATGCTCCTTCGCACCTGCAACAACATCAGCCGATTTCCAACTCGTGAGTTTTTATTTTTATAAGCTCGGGTCAGGAGAATGAGTTTCTTTACCGCGAGAGAATGTTCGATCTGATGATTGGATGCTTTTCACTGATATATCTTGCGAAATTTGCTCCTTAAATGTTTATGCTGTGTTTACTGAACTAATTTATTTGAGTTCTTTTTTTAAATTTCCGATCCGTATTTTATGCGTCCTAGTTCATTAACCTCAGATTATTAGGCCGATTTTTCCACTTCAGAAATTCATGAATTTTAGACGTTGTCCAGATTCTCACTTCTACCGTGGTTGTGTGCTCACAGGCGCATTTCCGACATTCGGCTTATAAATGGGCCACAGTTCTCATGAAGCCTGAGCACCGTACGAAAATTCACGAAAAGTACAAGAAAAAGATTGAAGACATCGTCAGGTTGATCATCGAATGATTACTGTGGATCGGAAAAAGTTCAGAAAATCTGGCAAAGAAGTCCTCGATCCCGAAGAACCAAGGACTCCTTGTCCCTACTGCAAAAACTTGCTCCCAGAAACCGATCTCACATGTAACAACTGTAACAACAATATTCCATATTGTGTGATTACGGTTTTGAAAGTTTTTCTTCTGATCTAATCTATAAAAATCTCAGGGTCGGCACATTGTAGCCGATGATTTCGCGCTGTGCGGTGGTTGTCAGTTTCCAGGATACTTCTCTGAGTTCAAGAGGTACGTCGGTTTATTGATTCATTCATTCGATTTTATTCCGATAAATGCTAAGTGAAGCGCAGACACGCGAAAACTGTCACGTCGCGGCGGACGGACTATATGATAACTGGAAAAATCGGATGATGTGATTTTTAAAGCGATTTTCGGGGTGTTTCTATTCTCAAGAAAATGGCGGAAAGTGTTCGTCCTCTTTATTTCATACTCTAAACGAGATGTGAAAATATTAATTTCTTTTCACCATAGTCATATTTGGAAACTGTTTGAGACCATTTCGACGTACCAGTGTAGTTAATTGTAAGGAAAAAAAAAAAGAAATTGACAATAATGAAAGTTGAGGTTGGCATCTTTGGAAGAAAAGTGTCCTTTGTGTGACGAGGAGCTGCGGCAGGTGATCCCACGCGACATCACGTCGTTCCTCGGCGAAGCTTGAGCCTCAGCTTTTTCGAGTGCCCCTCCGCGTCGAGCCAAGTGCGAGAAGAAGATCCCTTGTTTGCCATATCTTGCTCCGTAGGCACCGCCTTCTTTTTACACGAATCTGTGCCCACGATTGTGCGGCTTCTTTTGTTTTCTTGAATAAATTGATTTTCTGATCATTCCGGCAGTTGATGCGTGTTTTTTGGTCCTTTTGTGCCGTGTTGAGCACCGTCCAGGCTATCTTGCCGTTTTCTAATGGCTTGCATGCCGTTTTCGCCACTGCTGGTAGGTTTTTCGGGTTTCAGCTGGAAATATTTTCTCCGAATAGGTTCAGTTTGAAAAAAATTTCGTCGAAAAAAAAAATCACGAATTCACAAATCGCCCACAGTGAAGATTGAAATAAAGTATTTACACTTATGGAAAATCTCTTCCATAATTTTCAAGCTCTTTGACTGATTATTATAATCCGCAGAAACGAAAAAAGTTGATGAGAGCTGCAGCAGCACAGCAGAATGCGTTCGCGGAGCACTGTGCGAAGGCGTCTGCCGTTGCTCTTCATCGCACGTTGCCGTCGATGCCTTTTGCTGGAAGAGTTTGTCAACGGCAATGACTTTAAAGAATTCCGTGCAGAAATGAACCCCGGGGAGAACGGTTGCATGCACGACGAGCAGTGCGACGCCGTCTGGCCGACCACGCGATGTCGTCAAGGCGCCTGTCGTTGTGCCGTCGGCGAGAAGATTTCACGGACCCGGGAAGGAGCCGTCTGTCATCTCCCAGGTTTCAGATGAACCCCTCGCAATGTGTAAACACGCAAAGTGTACACGCCAAATGCGGACTTTCACATACAGTACTCTTTTGCAAAAGAAAAAAATGCGAAAAATACCTAGTTGCCGAGAAACTTATTGATTATTTTATAAAAAAATCAAAAATCTTCTCTTCCCATTTTCCGTGAGCTACTTGAAAGAGTTTCATTTTTTCAAATGAAATTTTAGGACAATGTCCGACAAACGGTGTTTTTGGCGCCTTGTACGAAAGAACCTCCAATGACCTTGCTTCCTGCACGTTTGTTGATGCTGAAGTTCTCCTTTTTTGCCACTTCAAATATCTTAATAACAAGATTCAGAAGAAGACGTTCATCGGATGCGACGAATATCCGGAAGTCTACGACTGCGTGGACGGCGTTTGTTGCCCGAGTAGAGGTACTTTTTCTCTGACTTGCGTTTCAGCTAGAAAAAAAGGGCGAAACCGACGCCTATATCTAACGGAAAGCGCAGTTTCGGCGGAGCATCGGGTGTAAGCCGATCGTCACTTTACCGCTAAGTGTTTGTAACTGACGCGGCGGTGCAAACACACGGCGATATACGGTGCGGGTCAATCGCCCGCAGTTTTTTTGTTAGTAATACCTAAGATGTCAAAAAAAAAAGAAAGAAAATCTGCGTAAGTACTTTGCACTGAAAGAGAAGCTCGGGCTTCTGAAGAAAAACGAAAAGTTTGGTTGGAAGACCTAAAAATTGAAAAAAAAAACTTCAGCATCTGATAATTATAAACTGTAAGTAAGATCAGCAAATTAAAATTGGGAAGTATAGCTGATTCACGGCTGGCTTGAGCCATCGAGAAAAGGGTCCTGCCACGAAAAGAGACGAGATAGTGCCCTGATTGGTGGAGAGTGCAGACAGGCCACGCCTTTTTGCGTCCCAAGCTAGCCGTGAATCGTCTATAAACCTTTGCGAAGATTTGCTCAGGAGGTACAATGCGGTAGAGCGAGTTCTGAGAGAATGATCAATGAACAGAAACTGATTAAGCTGATTCAAATTCTGTATCTTCAATCTGCAAACCCACATTTTTTTTATAGAGAATGTGCACTAGGAATGAAGCCTAATGAAAAGTTTTCGTTCAAACTTTTCCAGACGTTTTCTTGTCGTAGTTTTTTTTTACAGTATTTCGTCTCTGTAAAATATGCTCTCGTTTAGCCTGAAGATGGTTTCGCATCCACAAGCGATTTGTGAAGTTTTATTGCAATTTTACCTGAGGTATATCGAAGCGTGTGGTTAACGATGCTTCCACGAGAACACCTCTGCTAAACTGAGCGAAAGGGGTATACATTCAAGCACCTTCGGTATGTCTCAGCAAAAGTTGAAAGGTATACTGGAGTCTCAAGATGGACATCTTATGATGCCTATCCGATTCGTTCGCGAAAGCTCAGTTTATTATTATTTTAAAAGAATGTCATGCTCAAAATTATGCTTGATGTAATCTTTTAGTTTTTTCCCCTGATTTGTCAAATTTTGAAGGTTTGACCTGCTCGTTGCCGATGGACGAAGGCGAAGACGATGTTTCGCCTTCCGAGTCTTTCGAGCTCAGAGAGCAACGCTGGTTCCACAACTCGGCGAGCAGAGCCTGTCAACCGTTCGTTTTTTCCGGCTCTGGCGGCAACGCCAACAACTTCCGATCGAAGATACACTGCGAGAGCTACTGTCTCAGACGTAATTAGCCCAAATTTCCGGCAGAAATAAAAAAAATGTGGAGGTTGCGAAAGAGGAGATCCTTCGGCCATATCGGACTGTGCGACCTCTCAGAAACCATGCGATGAGAACTACGAATGCGCACTAGTTGCAAATAAAAAACATTTCTGCTGCCCTACAGCAGGTAAAAGTAGCTCGAAAAAGTATTTCAAGACAGAGTTCAGCTTTCATCTGCAGCGCACCGGGAGGCGTTACGATTTCCAAGTTTGAAAGTTCGCCGTTCTCTGTAGGATCAAGTCGATTAGGCAAAGAGCCTACGCTCAGGTGAAACTCGTTCATCTTTTCAGACTTGATTCTTTTAGATGGTTCTGGGACACGGCGTCGCTGACATGTCACACGTTCAAGTTTAATGGTCAAGGAGGAAATTTCAACAATTTCCAAACAAAGTCGCATTGCACTGACTTTTGTGCAAAAAGCCTCTGTGCTTGGAGCTCAGCTCTGAGAGATCCAAGCGACGACGTTCAAAGATGCTCCAGCGAACAACGTTGTCCGGCGACACACGAATGTCACCACACCGTGTGCTGCCCCAAGCCTTGTCAGACCCCCTTCCAAAGCTCAAGTTGAAAACTGGAATGTTCAGCGACTGTCTGCACACAGCCGCTTGTGAAAGGCGAGGACTGCGGCTTTGAGTCTTCGACGCGCTGGTTTTTCGACTCGGCGGCTGGCCTCTGTAGGCCTTTTGAGTTCAGCGGCTGCGGAGGAAACGACAACAACTTTCCGAATTCGCAGACTTGTCAGCAGATCTGCGACAGTGTTCGAGGTGCTTCTGTTTCACTTTTTCCGAGCTGATCACATGATTTCAGTAGAAGCTACCTGTCCTCAAGGCAAACCCTACGTTTCTTCGGGTCCCAACGGTAGCAAGTTAGTCTCTAAGCGGATTTTCCACCACATTGAGTACATTTCATCTAATCCTTTAACTTTCCTATTTTGTAATCCTCTTCATTTCAAAGGAAAAATGTCGATGAAGAAAGTTTTATGTTTTATTTATGAAAAATTCGGAAGAATTAACAATACCTAAAGTTTGAGATGCTCCAAGGACTCTGTATCGTGCCCTCCAAATTTCGAGTGTATGTTCTTTCGGAACTCGCACACTTGTTGCCCAACGAAGCGTTAGTTCTTCTTTCCTAAAAAAAAATGCATCCACCTCGGAATTCAGAAAACGTATGCTCTCAAGTTTTGGCGCCGGGAATGTCCTGTGGGGATTCGCCGACGACCAAATGGTGGGACAAATAATGGGAAATAACATTTGTGACGTTCTAGGTATTTCGATGCTAACCAGGGCAAATGTCGACCTTTCGAGTTCCTTGGATGCGAGGGAAACGACAACAACTTTGATTCTCCGCTTCTTTGTTCTGAAATGTGCGAAACTTCTGGTAAGAAGAGAAAATAAGAAATTGTGCTTTCTTGGGCTTCCGGAATGAAAGATTTCAGAATGTGCTGACGGCGGGGAAGCTCTGGTGGACGAGTCAACGGGAAGCACGATTGTGTGTGGCGACAATGGCGAGTGTCCGAGTACCCATCGCTGCTCTCAACTGGTACGACTTGCCGGAAACTGTTCACAGTCGGTTGCAGATGCGGTCTCGTAGAATGGGCTGCTGTCCGTCACGGCAGTTTATCTGCTCTCAAACCATGACGCAAGGCGAATCTTGTGGCTCGCCGTCTAAACGGTACCTTCTCAGCTTGTCTTTCGATTGGTAAATGAAACGTCCCAGGTTCTTCTTCGATGCGAAACAGCAAGTGTGTCTGCAGTTTGATTTCAAAGGGTGCAACGGAAACGGAAATAACTTTGCGACGAGATTGGCTTGTTATCATTTTTGTCTCAGTGCTGGTGAGCCTATTCGATCAATTGTTCTCAGCACATGTTCAGCGTGTTCTTCTTCGGAGACCGTCTACCAGGCGTCGAATGCAGACTCTCCTTTCGACTGTACTCTTCAATCTTGTCCTCGCGGCTATTCTTGCGTCCGCGACGCGTGGGATTCCAACAAAGCCGTGTGTTGTGGCGCCAGCAATCTCGGTATGATCTAAAAGATGAAGGAAAATATTTTTAGTGAAGAGAAAAATGTCGTCATTTTGTTAAGTTCTACTCGCGGTATGGCAACGCATATATAAGAGAACGATTGAATTCGGCTCGAAATGCCGAGAAACTTAGTATTATCGGAATAAGAATTTATATTGAAGCTTGATGGGACTGATGTTTCCTGGGCAGAGTTTTGCTGTATCTGAGCCCTTTTTTTGTCGTTCTCATGAATTCATGCGAATGTTTCGATTCCAGGAATTTGTCCCTCGGAACAACATCCCATGCTCGAACCTCGGACACAGCAACCAACTGACTGTGTTCCAAACAAACCGGTACATAGTCATAACTAAAAGGTCCTACGTCAATATTTTTGCCTAGGAGTCTTGCCCTCCCGACTTCCAGTGTATCTTCAATGATGTGCGTAACCAACACTTTTGTTGTCGAACAATTAATCGAATTGGTTCGTAGTCCTTTCTACATTCTCCCAATCGAAGATTTCACAGAGAAATGTCCAAAAGGCGGTCGTGTAAGCACCTGGACGGCGACCGCCGAGCCGGTCGGATGTGTCGTCGATGAACAATGTCCGGACCAGGCTCAGTGTTACTCGCCTGTCGTTTACTCTCTCGGTTTGTGCTGCTCCAGTACTGACGATGGTAAAAATCCGATACTTCTTGTTCTAATGTTTGACTATTCTAGTTTGTCCGCCTACCTTCACTTACGAAAGAGAAAAATCAGAGAGGAAAGAGTGCTCTCCGTTGGACCGCAATAGCTGCTCCATCGATCGGTAGGTGTAGTCCTCGTTTGCAAGTCCCAGTAAAGGGATTTCCAGGCAATCGATTTGTCTTCTCTCCGAGCGCTTGGACCGATTTGTCTGCTGTCGGAGGGAAGTTCGTCTGGTCAATGCGATAGAGAAGTGTCCACGAGGATCCGTATTCGGTATTTTATTCCAAAAACAAAAAAACGCCTGCGACACCTTTTCGTAGAGTCTCAGCGCATAACTTGCGATCCTGAAACGCCCTGCCCATCCACACATTTCTGCGTGAAACGCGTTTCGGACAGGACAGGCATCTGCTGTCGACATCCCAAGTGAGCAGTTTCCCAACCACACAGTACTCTTTCCCAGAATCGCTGAGCGAAAAAGAACAACTCGGCGATACATAACCACGACGGCTCCCAAGTCCTCGGAACGTCAGTTTGTTCACTAGTCCGCGAATAACTTGTTTGGATTTCAGCCTCATGTCCGACTGGTCAGTTTCCTTTGAGTGATGCAACCGGTTACATGGCCTGTGACCTTCTAAACGAATGTCCAAAGGACTACAAGGCTTTTTTTGAATTTAGAAACTCGTTTATTTTTTGTTTCAGTGCACGATTCAGAAGAATGGATTGAAAACTTGTTGTGGGAAGCATGTAAACGACGTTTGTGAGAACGGCGCGAGTCCCCTTCCAGATTCTCAAGTTTTTTTTTTGATTCTTTTCCGAAAGAAGATTATGGATTAAGGGCTGTGACGATTGTCCAATAGGCTATGTTTGTCAAAACGAATATTGCTGTCCAGACGATGGTACTTCCGCAGACTCAGTTCGCAGAAAAATTTCTCTCTTACAGATTTTTCTTGCAGTAGCTCGTTTGAAATTGGAAAGACTTGCAGCCGCGAAGCGACTAGCAAAAGGTCCAGTAGGCTCCATTTTGCTAATTAAAAGAACGTCGCTCTTTTAACCTTTCTTCATTTCTTTCTCCAAGGTTTTACTTCGATGCTGGCTCTGCAACTTGTCGACCTTTCACTTTCGGGGGCTGTGACGGCAACGCCAACAACTTTTTCACGCGAGAGGCCTGCCTCAGCACCTGCGTTCGACGGTCTCTGCCGGAGATCGTCCCGTCTTTTCTGCCGGATCAGCCAGCCGCGACTGGAAAGTTCTCTCCTGTTCTGGCCGAGCAGATCAACTGCCCAAAACCTCTACAAAACCCAAAGGACCATCCGCAAATGTGTGTCGTGGAACGCAAGTCTTGTAGCGGTGGGCTCTCGACGAAAATCTCACTGAATGAGACTTGACAGAAAACGAAAAATGCGTCGCCACGGCTTCAGGCACGTTCGTTTGCTGCGTTCAGCCGCCGACGCTGAGAGTCTTCATGCGGAACATGTGCGGATCCAAATTCATCCCGTTCGTTTTCACTTCGCATTAGAACATGCAAGTCATGTATTTGGCTAACTCTGGTTTAAAAAACAAATAAATCACTTTCCTCGGTAGAAATCAATAGCAGCCTCTCAAAAACAGGAAAAAGAATGTTTCATTCATTCCTTAATTCAGAAAGTTTGACATGCATGGTGACGTGCAGCGGTGCAGGACCCATGCAGAGTGCGCGAAGAACCATGTCTGTAGAAGAAGTCAGCTTCTTTTGCACAACATTTGCTGCAGAAAAGGCGCGTTTGAAATCTCTCTTCTGAAAAAAAAGGTTCAGATCGAAGAGCCAAGTTCTCGCCGACGTCACCTTATTCGGAAGGCGAAGAGAAGTGTCCGGATGGCTCTCCAGAGTGCACAACGCCTCGTGAGTTTGGAATATTTCCTCTTTTTTCAATTTTTTTAAAAAAATAGAGAATGAATAATTTATTGAATATAAAAATCGGTCTTGCAAACATTGAAGATAACTGCCGAGTCTGGCGCGACAAAATGCGATATCGCAGGCGGTATATTGACGAGCTCGCATTTTTCTGGGTTTTTTTTTCTCGCAATTTGAAAGTTTTATGCGACATTTTTCGAAAAAGTGTAGAATAATTTTTCAAAACTTGAATTCACCAAAAAGAAACACTGAAACCGAAGGTTTGATAAGTTTTTTTTTTCAATGATTTTTTCTTTCATTGTTGATTTCAAGTTCATTAAAAAGAATATTGGTGGTTTGAAAAAGTTAGAATATAAATTCAAAAAGTTTAAAAAATTTTTTTTCTTGATATTTTTTAATGTATAATTGACCGAAGTTTTGGAAAAAAATGTTGAAAAAACACGTGAATGAAATGCCTGAATTCCTGAAAGAGTAAATACGCGTGAAAGAGTTTTCTGAAAACTGGTGAATTGATCCTCAAGTTTTTTCGTTTTAAATTTAAAAACTTTATTCATCAAATAGTTAAAGTGGAGGATTGCACAGGAGAAAATTGAATTTTATGAGTCGGAGGATGTTTTGAGCCAGTTCTGAGACGTTAGTTTTAAAGTTTAACCTGGGATGAAACCTTGGACGAATTGAGGCTTCTACCCCGGTGACAAAGGCTGCTTGTCGGATTCGCAGTGCCACGTCTCTTCTGAATGCGTCGACAACGTCTGCATCTGCCGCAATGGAAACGTTCAGTTCCATCGCATGTGCAGTATGTTCGCCCTTTTTATTCTCCTCAAAGAGCCTTTTTCAGCTTCTGTCTGTCCGCCTTATCACAGAAACGTCAGCGGTGTTTGTGTATAGCTCGGCTGTTAATTCCGTACTTATTCTGACGGGTTTTAAATGTTCTTACTAACAAAGATAAATGCTAACTTTTGTTCAGCCCGTTGTTGCTGTCCTCAGAATGATATTATCAGGATCAAATAAACTGGAATCAATTCTTGAATTTATTTATTGAGGTTTGGATAATCTTCACCACTTTTCGAAAAGAATCTACGATGGCAGTCGTGGAAAAATCGTTCAAAATACTTTGGTAGCGCGCTGCTTTTTCAATTTGTTCTCATCGAAAAAATATCTGAACCCTAAATAGTCTAAAATTGTCGAAAAAAGTTTTCTTAAAAAACGTTCACATCTAATATCGAACTTGTCATTTGGACCAACAAATCCCATCGTACAGTAGCTCCGTTTCCCATATCCATGAAAAATTTTTTCCAAACTTCATACATGATACAAGTGGGAAACTGAAAGAAAAATGGAATTTTTTTGAACAATAGTTTATTGACAGATCAGCGTGAACCCTAACGAAATATAGAATTTGAGAGAATACATTATACAATTATAAATCATTTGAGTCTTGAGGGAAAATATAAGATCATTGAAAGAGAAATTGAAAAAAAGTTTTTATGACATAGATATTTTCGAAAAATGCCAAACAGTTTAAAAATGAATATAAATTGAAATATGATCATTTTTTTCAAATTTGAGTTCAGAAATCTGGTTATTGCAACTTTTTATGCTGAATTTTTCCATTTATTATCCATTTCTCAAGTCTAACATGTCTATGTGAAAATGTTTGAAAAAGTAAAAGAAAAAAACAAGGTTTCGAACTTGAAAAATTTTTCAAATTGTGGAGACTTCATTTTTAACACGTTTAATGTCTCATCTTCAACTCAATAAAATTCAAACTTATCAGAATGTCTATTGTGCTAAAAAAAAAGCAGAACAATGCGAAAAATGAAGCGTTTGAGCCATGTGGGAGAGCAGAACGCATGTATGTAAACATGGGGGCAGGCGCGAAGCAAAATATGGTTTCTCGCGTCTGGACGAATCTCTAAGCTTCTTTTTTTGCTCCTTCGGAAGCTAATTGCCCGGCGTCGCGGCTCTTCGCAACGGCTTCTGAGTCGTCGCCGAATCAGACCTGCCGTCGTCGGCTTCTCCATCCATTCCCACGCCATCTATTCGCTCCGTGTTCGGTTTCACTCAGAAAATGTCGGATTAGCCGCTTGAGGTCACTTTTCAACGGCTTCATTCACATATAAATGATTCCAATCTTACTACTGATGCTGTTTTATCGCGGAAATTCGAATCAAACGCACGTCTCAGCCATCAAAGGAGCAGCTCTTCGCTTTCCTATAGAGTCTAGGCCCGAAATCGAATTACGACATCTCCTTGTCCGTGCCTTTGCCTCCCCAAATCTCATTTCAACTTGCGTGTAAAAGCCTCTTGAGAGGATTCTCAATATTGACCTAACAAAAATCGAACCAGAAACAAGCCATCAAATTTTTATTCTCATTGTCTTTCATTTCTCTGATAATTTGATTTTTTTTTTAATATTTCAAAAGAAAAAAGATTCTCGATCTACGAATAAAAGGGAAATTTATTACCAAAAAAGGCAATCCCAAAATTGCTGCTTCCTTTTTTTAAGATGATTCAAAGATTGCTTTAACGGGACTTTCTCGTTGTCAAAGAGTAGGAAAAAAAATTTTTTTTCAGTTTTTTGGAGAATCTTTTTTTACAAAAAATAATTCAAAGAAAGTTAAAACGCTAATAAATCGACGCTATTCCGGAATTAATTTCATTTGGCTTATGCATTTAGAATGGACAAACGTGTTCTTTGAAAAAAAATTGTATTGACTGTTTTAGGATAAAATCGTTTACCTGAATAGACGGAATCCCCTAGAGTCTCTATGTTGTCTTTCGGACGTCATAAGAGGTCGTCTAATCTTGCCTGCCAAAAACAAGGGTTTCCTCGTGCACATGGGCTCATCTGAGCCGTTCCCGCTGACTCTGCACTTTTTTCCACAACTCAACCTTTTTTTTGTTTCATCTCTCTTGGGACAAGTCTATTTTGCGCTTGATGAACCTCTCGTTTATAATTTCCATTTCGAAATATATACGTATATCCCTCTGATAATGTTTTTCAGTCGAAACTCGGTTCTAGAAAGTAGGAAAGAAATTTATTCAAAAAGTTGCAAAGTTTGGAATTTTGGACTTATATTCTCGAACTGATTGTATGAATGTTTCATTGACTTCTCTCCTCTTTCATTTTCAGTTTCGAAACTGAATGCAGTTTGAAATAGTTTCCCAGGGACGAAAAAAAAAACAACTGGAACATACCAATATCTTTTTCTTATTAGTTTAGAGGAACGATTTGTTTGGAGGAAGTGCTTTGTACAGCCAGAGAGAAAATAGGGAAAGTTTTAGTAATTTTCGAACACCTGGAAAATCCTTTCGTAGTTTCTCCTCTCGTCAAAAGCTCTGAGGAGTTTCTTAGATTCATCTTCTTGTTTTCCTACAACTTTGTACAGGAAATGCGTGCGAAGAAGCTGACAAAGACGAGAGCTCGGCAAATGAGGCGCCGTGGAAAAAAGTGGCTGGATTATTAGTCGGCCATCCGAACAAGTGCGAGTTGGATCCTATCCAGATAAGCCGCTCCTCCTCCAACGAGAACGCTTCTTTTGTTTTCACAAGTGGTTTGGATCCCATTAATAAAATAAAAGCGTGGCGTGACATCATCTGGATTCTGGCCAACTTTCCTCGTCCTCAAATCTTCCTACAAGGAAAATTCTCGACGCATAATTGCACTTGTCCTTAGAGTCAATTCCCTCAAATTCTATTGCAATAACTGCTGCCAATTTGCATTTTAATGCGAAACGGTGGTTCCCTTAAAAAATTGCTGGTCTTTAACATAGTTTTCTTATTGATTAAATAGCGTAGCGAAAAGAAGGTTTCACTTTTTTTGGAGCATTTTTATTGTTGGATGAACTATGTGAAGCGGTCGAAAAATTAAAAAAAAAATCGAACTAATTTAATTTTCGCGAAAAGGACATTACTATGCAGCCAAATGTTTTTTTTTACTTTTTGCATCACATAAGGATGCCTGGTCTAAAACTAAACAGACTCGTTCTGCATTTGAATCTTCCATTTTCTTCGAACATGAAAATTAGTTTCAAACACCCTGCACCTTTTAATGATAGTGCATTTTCTCGATGCGAAGCGTTGAAAAATCACACTTTTTCTCCTTTATTTTCTGTCAAAAATGCTCTATAGTGATTTCAAAGACAAAATTTCTTTGCGATAAAATCATATTTATAATGTTTTCAGTTATTTTTTTTCTCATAAATACTTTTAAAATTGAGAGATACGTTCAAAAAACTCCTTCTTAACTTAATTAAGTTCATAAATTAAAAAAATTTTTTTATAAATGATCGTAAAACGTTAAAACGACAAAAGTAACGTCACAATCTTTTTTCAGTTTTTGAGTCAATCATGTTAGTCACAAAAAAGTTAAATAGAAGCGGACCTCTGTTTTTCAGGGAAAAGTGATCTTTCGGAGTGAATTAGCTCAATTGCCGTCGGTTCTCTCTGGCCGAAAAAGGTGACGGCGCGAAATGCAAATCCGTTTCATATTATTTGCCGGCACATCAATCTACAGCGGGTCGGCTTCTCAGCCGCATCTCTGTCTTAATTCGCCGCTCCAACTTCCTGCCGCGTCTCTTTTTTCTTTCCAGTTTACTTACTTGATTTTTATTTCAGACTTTTTTCTTCCCATTTTCTTCAAGATATTCGTCTCAATGCAAATTGCTATGCAAATGTTAGTGCGTTGAAAGTGTGAGAAGAGGAATATTAGAGTTGATTTTTTGGATCTTCATTTCCAAAAGAGGAATACTTAGGCTAATGAGTTCAATTAAATTTATCCATTGAATTGGGAAATCCCAATGGCCAGGCTAATCCATATTCTAACGGAAAAGAAGGAGTGTCCAGAATTCACGTCATTTCAAAATCTGGAAGCCAAACTGTGCGTTTTGCTGATGAAATTTCTCCATAACACAACGTTCAAACAAAATATTTCGTTTTCTCAAAGGAACGCTCAAGAAAAAACTATTCCGGAGCATTCCAACGATTTTGAGTTATTGCTCAAGTTTGTTTTGGGTTGCTTCCAAAAAGTAGGGTTTTCATTCTACTTTTAGCTTCTCATTATTTTCGAGCTGCTTCATCCACGTGAACTAATGTTTAAAAAAAAAGCGGGAAAGTTCCCATCTAGGCCGAAAAAGAAGATTTCCAAGAAAAAAGGAAGACCAAGAAAAGAAGAAAAACTGGCAAGTCGAGAGAGAAAATCAAAAATTCATGATCCGTACACCTTTTTACAATGGGCTCACGTTTTCGAAATTTCTCTCTTTTTTCATTTTCTCTCCTTTTCATTTGAAAACCGGTTTTTTGTTGATACATTGGTCCTTTATGTGTTCCATTACTTGATAAAATGGCCATAAATTCGTCAATCGGAGCGTTTGAGATCTTTTTTTCAAGAAGTGGCTTTTTTTTTAATCAAAATAATCAATCTCGAGATCCCTTTACCAAGCTCTTGTGAAGGTTAAGAACTTTCGAACTCGGAAAATAATTTTTAAACAAACTGAGGCTCAAACAGAGTGGCCATGGTTTTCCCAAGTATAACTTTTCGATATTTGTTCTTCCTTTTTTTCTTTTTTTAAAGTTTGTTATGATTCCCATTCCATGAGATATTCGCTGAAATATCTCGTCGTTGAGTCTATCGGTAAGGTTGTTATTATTTTTTAAAGTTAATAATTTTTTTAATTCTCTGGAGCTGCCGTATTTTTGGATCTTTTCACTTGGCGTATTTAAAAATTCTCTTCCCAAAAGTTTTCTCTCAAGTTTCCTCTTTTTTTTTCGCAAGGAACGGAACTCAATTCGAATTGTTCCCACAGAAAAAAAAAATGGCGTTTCGCATGGCCCAGGGTGTCGTTATAAATGTTCGGAAGTCTAATGTATCAAAATGATCGAGTGTGAATAATTGAGTCGCAGGGCTGGCCGAACAGCTGCGAAACACGCGAGCCTCTCATCAATTCCGCCACGTTTTTTTTTTGCCTCAAAACACCTCCTCTGGAAGTCAAAAATATTTAATGATGAGGCAGTTGATGATTTTTCTATTTATTTTTTTTTTATCGAAAAAACCTAACTCGTTTTCTAATAGCTTTTTTCTTGCTTATGGAAATCTCATAGATTCAGGCGTGATGCGGAGATGACCATCATGGCGGAGAGCGACACCGAGTCGGCGACCGGCAGTCCGCGCCATCTCGACGTACCTTTCGCCAACAGGTCCCTTCACAAACCTACTGTCATTCGTTTTCATGCCGTTATCAAAGTCATTTCCTCGAAATGCAAAGTTATCTCTGACTCTCCAATATTTAGTTATCTTTTTCACACTTTGGCGGCTGTTCTGAACTTCGTGGAATCACTTCGAACACGGCGTTAATTCTTTTAAGTAGACCATATCAAATGAATTTGATGAATTAGCCATATGACATTAAAAATTAGTTAAACAATTCCCAGAAATTCGCCATTCAGAGAAAAATAATCAGTATAATAATAACTGATAAACGAATGCTTTTTGACAACTGCGCTCCGTTTCCCATACTTCCATGAATCCAACGAACACATTTCAAACCAAAAAAAAACTTCACATCTGCACATAACTTGCAAAAACTTTGTCAGGCGCCACCAGTTCTACATAGATAAAAAAAAAAGATCTTCCGGTGCGTTTAAGTATTGTACAACGTGGAACCGTGGTTACAGAAACCAAAAAAGAAATGAAAATGAGAATTTAAGGGTTATACTAATTTATTTTATTCTGAAATTTATTTAGCTATTGGCTTTTCACGTCATGGAAAACGGTGACTTCCTTTGGCTTTTTGGCTTATTTCCCTTTTTTTTGCTACCAACTCAATTTCCGATTTTTGGTCTTTTTGAAAACGGCGAGTTGTTATCTTGAGTAAAATGGAGATTACATCGGAATCGAAAAACTCGACTAGGACGTGTTTGAGACGAATTTTTCGCAGTTGGCAGGCCGCTTCCTTGTTCTTTTTGGTGTCTTGAAACATTAGCTGCGGTGGTTCTCGCACGCAGTTTCCAATTAAAGCGTTTCTCAAAAATGTTTGTTTTCTTTGCCTTCCGTGGAAAAAGCCTTTCTTCTCGCCTTTTCCGACTCTATTGCCTGCCAAACAGCCTAACGAGTCACTGCCAAAGTTCGTCGGAGTCACACTTCGGCTCCGATTCCGCTTTTTCTCCTTTTTTCATAAACCAAGTCGCGGCTTTTTAGGGATGCACTTTTTGACATCAATTTCTTCGGCGAAGCGAATCAAAAGGCAGTCGTCGCGTATTTTGAAACATATCGAATCAAACGCCATGAAACTGCTTGATTCGCCATGAAGGCGTACAATTTAGAGAAAAAAAACGAGGAGTTTCTGGCAAGAAATGGGAAATGTTTATGCAAAATTGGAATCCTTTGCCCGGCCCAGCCGTTGTGTGACTTTTTGTTCACCAATTCCAGACTTCTTGCTCTCGATTGATTTTCTAAGCTTCTCAATATTCGTTGAAATGTACGTTTCACTTATTTCTCCATTCACTTACAGTGAATTATAAATTTTCATTCTAATTAGACCGCTAAAATATGTATGAGGGAGTTCGGCTGGACTTCAATCAATCTTTTTGAAAGGAAATTTTTATAAAAAGTGATCCCAGGATTATTAAACTTCGCATATTGAATCACATATTTTCCACGGTTCCAACTTGAAAAAGAATTTTTTTAATAGATTATTCCTTTCATGCTAAGAAAAAAATACCATTGGTTGAAATTCATAAAAAAATCTCCATTATGATCTTTTTTTAGTTTTTTTCTCTAAATTTTTTTAAAAATCTCTAAAAAATAATCTACCATTTTCTAGACTCATTTCTAACATCGAAACTAAATCGGTGTCAAAATTAGGACAAAGGTACTGTTAGTTGAATTATTCTGAAGTTTATCTGAGCTGAAGTCATTTTCAGTGAGCTTTCAAAAGAAAAAAACTTTCAGGAAAACACTGCGGTCGTCGATAATAAAACACGCGAGTCGGGCCAAAAGCCCTGGCCGGAAGACCGTCTCTTTTTCCTCCAAAAACAACGACAAGAAAATCTCGAATGGTCTGTAAACGTTTAAAGTCGGTGAAGGATAGGTATGGGTTTCAAGTAAACGACTGTTGGAACTACATGCAAACGGGCAGCGAGTTTGTCAAACTACGGGGAACGAATCGACAATTTCGCCGGTTCTTCAGGTATCAACGTAGTAGGGAGATCTTATCTGACACAGTTATTTTCAGTCTCGATGCGGATTTATCTCACATTCGATGGACGCCGACTAATAAAAAGCCTCATAAAGCTAGGAGTACGATGATCACTTTATCAACAAGATTTTACACCGAATTTTTTGTAACAACTTTTCCAAAAAAAAGGATTGATTAAATAAATATCGAGCTAGGTTGAAAGCAAAAAAGAAGAATTCGTTGCAGTAGCGATCGATGAGATTCGAGAGATCCGTCTGGGAAAGAACACGGAGCTGTTGCGATCCTCAGACGACGCCTTGTCAGACCTGCAGGAGGAGTGTCTCTTCTCCATCATTTACGGCGACGAGTACGAGACCCTCGACCTGATCGCGGCCAGCGGCGACGACGCCAACATCTGGGTGACCGGCCTCATGGCTCTCACTTCCAACAAATGTCCGTTTCCGCTTCTAGTTTTTGACTGAGAGGGCAAAATTCAGATGAGTGCAAACCTTCGAGTTCGGTTTGGGCAACTCTTCGAGAAAGGTATTTTCTCCTTTTTGCATCGATTCCTGTCTTAAGGTGGCTTGAATCCGTGTTCGACGAGGTGGACGTCGAAAAAAAAGGATTCATCGACGAAAAATGCACGTTGAAAGCTATAAAGCAAGTCAATTCACGGATTTCGTCGGCCCGTGTTAAGAACAAAATCAAGGTTTGTCAGGAGCTTAACTGGATGGGACTTCTTTCAAATCAGGAGCTCAATAGCGGTGCCGAAGAAAGCGAAAGGGGGAAGGTTCTCAAACGGGAGTTTGTTGAACTCTATAAGGCATGCAGAAAATGACTTCTTTTGTGTCTCAAAAGTTATTTTGTTGTAGGAAATTGGAACTCGACCTGAAGTTTACTTTCTCATGGTTCGATACGCTAACAAAGACTATCTGAGCTGTCAGGACCTGCGGCTTTTCCTGGAAACTGAACAAGGGGTTGGAATCACCCTTCACAAATTGACCTTCTATCGTTTTTGAGATGGTCGGAGTCACGACAGACTTCTGTGAAAACATCATCGACCAGTACGAGCCGGCGCCAGAGGCCAAAGAGAACAGTCTGATGACAGTGGACGGATTCACGGCATTTCTTCTTTCTCACGATTGCGGAATCTTTGATCCCATCCACACGACACTGACTATGGACATGAAACAGGTGACTAAACCATTTCTCAGGTAATGAATGGATCCCTTCTAAGCCCTTTGCCCGGTACTTCATTGCGAGTTCTCAAAAAACGTACCTCGTCGAAGACCAACAAGGACCCGCTTCTGCCGATGGGTACGCCTCGGCATTGAAAAGGAACTGTCGACTCATAGAAAGTTCGTTTTTGGAAGCTTGCTCCAACAGGCAGATGCACGGTTGCAGTGGACATTTGGGATCCGTGCGAGTCGAAAGGAGAAAAGGAGCCGATGATCCAGAACGGTCCGCTGGCTCTCAGCAAAGTGAGCATTTCCGAGGCTCTGAAGACCATTCGAGAGCACGCCTTCGAACGAAGTCGGTACCCTCTCATCCTTCACGTCTCCGTCCATTGCTCGCTCGACTGGCAGAAGGTCGCCGCCAAGCTCATCGTCACTCATCTCGGAACAAAGGTCTTCATGATCAGGCCGAATGAAAACATTTTCACAAATAGAGTTCTGATCTTTATTTAGCTGGAGGCATTTTTTATAACAACAAATCATAAAAAAAAATAAGAAATTAACGAAAAAAAAGACAAGGCAGACAGTTCCAACCCGTTCCGGAAAATATATGATAGAAAGTCAAGTCCGGCAACTGTTCATTTCGTTGACTTGGCGTTTTTCCTGTTATTATAGAGAGTTCGAAAATCGATTTTTCCTAGCCAATATTATTTCTTCAGCTGTACTTGCCAAGTGCGGACCCAACCAACTGGAAAGATGAGAAGAACGTACCGACACCCTACGACTTCCAGAACAGGATTCTGATCCTGGGAAAGAAGCTGGTAGACGTTCTGGACAGCGGCGAAGTCTCCGAAGAGGACGACGGGGTTGCCAACTCGTCTCGTCGAAAAGGGCGCAAGTATGAGACTCCGGGTCCAGTTTTCTAAGAAAGACGAGTCTAGAATACGACTGTGCAAGGAGCTGTCTGACCTGGTTCCTCTGTTTTTCGACATCAAGTCTGTCAGCGATTTGTTGGCGACGGCGCCTGGTTCCACTACGAGTCAGCTTCCTCTTCCTTCGAAGTCTGGCATTTTCTTATTTCAGTGAACCCCCGGAAAAATGTGGCAACGTTGCCAGAGGCGACTTGTTTGCGACTCATGCACACTTACGCGTCAGAGTTTGGGCATACAACGCGAGATTTTTGCGTCAGGTAAGAAGCTTAAGTTCTTTAAAAACACTTGTTCGCACACAGAGTGACACCAAACGCTTCTCGTCTCGACTCTTCCAATTTGAACCCTCAAGAGTTCTGGAATAACGGAGTGCAGCTGGTTGGACTGAACTATCAGACTCCTGGTCTCATGATGGACCTCCAGGTTGCATTTGTAGCTGAAATGATGAAACGGAAAAGTTTCAGGAAGGCAAATTTTCGGAGAATGGCGGATGTGGTTACGTGCTGAAACCCTTGATAATGAAGGACGACCTCTTTGTGCCGGGCGAGAAAATCCCTGCGGCGCCACAGGCAAGACTGCTGTAGATGTCTCTCCAGTCTCTCGTTCAGATTCTTCACCTGCGCATTTTATCCGGCCAACAGCTACCTAGACCTCGAGGCTCCACAGCAAAGGTCGTCCTCAACTCGTCGCCCAATTTATCGCAGCCTGTTGTTCAGGCCGACTCTTCGGATCCGTTCGTCGTCGTCGAAGTGTTCGGACTACCTGGTGACTGCGCCGAGGAAAGGACGAGAACCGTCAGAAACGACAGTACGTGTTCTTTCAACTTGTAATGATCCAGACCGAAATATATTTCTTCTTACTTTTCCAACAAGTTGTGAAAAAAAAGGATTTGAAACGAAAAGGGTAGTTATGTTTACTTTTTTCTAACCAAATTTCATTTTATAACGTTGAAAGGTTCAATTTTTTGAAATTTTCAGACAATAAGCCCAGCTTAAAAACTTTCTCACTTTCTTGACAAATTTAAATCGTGGACTAAATTGAATTAAAGTGCCTGTAAAAAAAGAAGTGATATGCAAGAGTGAGCTTTCATACATTTTCCCGATGAGCCCTCTCTATAATTAAAAATTCCCTCTATACGAAAAAAAACCCGAACCAAAAAAAAGCCAGATTTTAGCTAAGGAGCGATGATTTGAAGTATCTTACGGAGGATTCTTCCAACAGGAAGGTTAATGGAGAAAGTGCAGGCAACAATCCTTCGTTCGACGAGTCGTTCCAGTTCCAAGTTTGTGTGCCGGAGCTGGCCCTGGTCAGATTTTTGGTGCTCGACGACGACTACATCGGCGACGACTTCATCGGCCAGTACACGATTCCCTTCGAGTGTCTTCAGCCAGGTCCCTTTCCGGTTCGGGAAGTTCGACGCTTCAGTTCCAGGCTACCGACACGTCTCTTTGCTGAATAATGAGGGCGATCCTCTGGAGAACGCGACGCTCTTCGTTCACATCGCCATCACGAACCGTCGAGGCGGCGGGGTTTGTCTATTCTCAACAAGTGTTAGGCCTAGAAACTGGGTTGGAAAACAGTCAGCCTTCTTTTTATTTGATTATACTTTATCCGTTCCATATAATATGCTAATTTCCTGATTCAAATCGCCTGAATATGGACCATATTCAGGCGATTTGAATCAGGAAATTTTCGAAAGCTCGATCCATGAAATTTTCCATGCATCGATGGAAAAGAGAAGAAAGAAGGAAAATGGAAGCCATAATGTATTAAAGAACGAGACACTTAGGAGTTCAAAGTACATTAATGGGAAATTTGCGTCATGGAAGATCGAATTTCCTGTTTCATACGAAATTTTCCCAAAATAAAAGCGAGAAAACTCGGAGAACATTTACTAATAGCAGATAATTTTTACAATTGAATCAAATTTTTCTTTGATATGCCGCTTTTGATGCGCGCCAAAAATTCCTTCTATATAATTATTTTTCTATAAGTTCTATGATACTTCTGTGAAAGTTAACAGTGAAACCTTCTTTATTTTTTTCATTAGGCAGAAAAATCGGATCGAAATCAAAAATCTTTGTATGTTGAAAAAAATGATATAATAGATTTATAATAAGCAAATTTCGATATAGGAAGCTTTCATTAAATAATAAACGAGACTACTCCTCAAAATATTCCAGAAAGCTTTTTTTCACAAGTTGAGAAAAGCGAGTTATTTTTTCCTTGATACCATAACTACATTTCTCACTTACTCTCTACTCATTCGACCAAGTTTTCGGAAGAGACTATAGTTGGAAACGAGAAAAGTAGGCGTGACCCCGACGACATTTGCAGAAGGCCAAGAAGCGAGGAATGTCTGTGAAGCGCAAGAACTCGCGCATATCCTCCGGTATGAAGCTCGTTGGCATCAAGTTCGTCGACGACCAGTTCAAAGTCGCCGTCGCTCCGCTCGCCGAGTCGATCGCCATGCGCAACCGTCTGGAGGCGGCCATGGTGAGTTTTTGTCAATAATTAAAAATTTATTCTTTTTTCCTGACAGTAGTTTATTTTCACTCTAACTCCAACACCGTTCTGAAAAATGTTGATTCAAACATGTCTTTGACTAGAAAGCATTTTGTGAATGTACAGGAACCAACGAATTCAGGTGGATTGGCAAGAGGAGTGTGGACTTGGTCCGGCCGGAACCATTCGGCAAGGGATCCGACTGATACATTCCCGCATGATGACTCTCGCTGTCAACTGTGAGTGTGTTTCTGAACTACATACTCGGGCAAAGTCGGAATGGTCGCTGAAAGGGAGAGGCTCAAAAAAGTTCGCATGAAGGCAGCAAAAAGATTCTCTTTATCGAGCCTTCCATTTTTTCTAGAGCCTCAAAGTCTCAAGAATAGGAGGAAAAGGGAGAGGCAGCAAAAAATTGTGCATACGATCCGATAAAATGGTGCAAAAACACAGAAAAAAAAAGAAGCCTTTGTCACCCTAAAAGGAACATTATTTGAATCCTTTTGCGATCCTTTCCGAATTCGTCTATGTAGAAGCCTCAGAAGCCATAAACGCCATTCAGCGCGACGAAATAGTTCGACATTAGCAAATTGGCCTATTTCCATCAAGCAGTTGCTATCACGTCGTGGGTAACAAGCAACCTATATCCTTTCCCATAAACAATATGTGGCGAGTTTTCGTTTCAAAGTACAAGGAGAACCTTTCTCTCGCCGTCTTTGGGCTCAAATTTGTGCTCTTTTTGAAACACTTTGAAGACATTTGAGTAGTGACGAGAAAGTAATCTCAATTGAATAACCTCCTTCCCTGCAAATCATTGCACCCTATAGATTTTCATTTTTTTTTTTTTCTTATCAATGTTTTTTTTTTTACATTTTTTTCTTCAATTTACATTCTTCTGAATTCAGCCTCGCCTCCTTCCTCTCCTTCCCTCACGTCCGACCACAGTCGTGGAGGTGACAACACTCCATATTTCTTCATTGATAGCGATGACCAAGGGGTGAGCGACGGCAATTTGAAATTTTCAAAACCTTTTGTTCAAGTACCCTCTGATAACGATCAGCGGGAACTTGCCTGAACAATTGCAAAGGACTTTTCACAAGCTCAAGTCGCTAATAGGACACTGCGTGACCACTCTTTCGCAAGCTGATCTACTTCTCAGCAAGGTTGATCTGATAGTAATGTTTAAAAATTAAAAATCTCCACAGATAGAAGATTCCATTCGAAGAATCTCCGAATGTCACGAAGAACTAGCCAAATTATGTATCGAGAGTGGACTGAAAGGTCAAAAAGCAACAAGAGCAGCTGAAAACTTTACTTGGAATCTTCGGTAAGTCTAAATATCATACTTGGGCAAGTGAAGAATAGTTTGGGATGAAGACTCACCAAATATACCAAAATAAGATATAAAATAATTTCTAACCCCAGGGTAGTGATGAAAAATATAAAATTAGGTTTTGACTTCGGGAGGTTGTAATAAAGTTAGTTTAGGAAGACGCGGTAGGAGGGATTTGCGGCCTTGAAAATTGGCCTGCCCATTTATGCTTAAAATTGAGCAATAACATGAAATTTACACTACAAAAAACTTTCACTTTCAAATCGAAAAAAAAGCAACTAACGAGGGAAGTGTGTGAGGTGAGCATTGCAGATATGACTCAAATTTCCGTGGTAGATGGTCCTAGGTAGGAGTATTCGAAAATGAAAAGAATTATCTGGGAAGCGCCATAGGGTATGATGTATAATAGCCTGTCGAAAATGTACAGGAAAAGTTAAAAAAAAGAATTCTCTTTGAATGTTCTGTCGAAAAAAAATTTCCGTGTTTTTCATGTCATAGTGAATAACAATCGACGTTTTGAAAATCGAAAAACCGAAGAAAATCAGTTTTTGAGCTTTTTCGTATACTTTCGACGGGCTATTTCTCAGTACCCAATGGCGTCTGGCAGTTATTTCTTTTTGTTTTCGGATACTCATACCTGCGACTCCCTAACACAGAAGTTTGGACCAGATATGAGATGTTTACCTCACAAACTTTCCTTGTAAGTTAAAAGTATTTTAAATTTGAAATTGTATTCCTAATTATGTTTATATAAATAGTCTGAACGAAAGTAAAATAAGCAAGGGAAATTTAACATTTTACAGACTGTTAAAGGCTCAACTAAATCTTATGAATAAAAGCCAGGAAGAAGCACAAGATGTCGTCACGCAAGTAAGACTTTTTCTGGATTATTCGAATCGAGGTGCGATAATCAGGTTTTCGACACGGGAGGAGTTCTTGGAATTCTTTCGGACAAATTGATGAGCCGCCGCAACGGACGGCGGTTCTCACGCGTCGTGGCAGATCCTCTCAAAGATTCGGTGCTCTGATGCTTGGAACTGATCTCTTCGTCGCTCTTGAATAATTATCCCAACTGCGAACGGGACTCTGAGAAGTACACTATTTGATAGACATTTTTGAGCAAATAACTGTTCGGGCCTTCCGATTTATGAATACAGCTTCTTTGAATAACATTGCAGGATGTTGAAGAATGAAAAGCACAAAGAAATTATTTGTCAGAATGTAGAAGTCAAAAACCCGATGGCTGCATGTACAAATGATAGAGTGGTCGAGTGCGAACAATTTGCGGAGGCGGATTTCTCATTTTTCAGCCGCTTCCGAGGCTTCATCATCTTCATCGTTTCCCTCTGTTTCTCGGCTTTGCGTCTCCAAGTCTTGCAAAACTTCCCTCAAAGTTTCCAGCTGACTTTCCACTTCTCGTATCTCTTCCATCGAATCGCCGAGTTGAGCGGATAACTGCAGAATTTCATTTGAATAGCATAATATGGGCACAAAGAAAAAAAGTGCTACCATTACTGAAAAAAAGGAAAAAAAAAAAATACAGTGAGTACCACTAAAGCTAAAAACTTATTTTCGACGCTTCATTTTTATTTTCTTCTAATTGTACGCATTCTCACGGGAGCGTAAAATCTATAGATGAGAGATTGTCGAAAATAAAGATTTCACCAACGTGCAAAGTCAAAACGCAAAGTGAATTTTTAACTTTTTTTTTGCAACGGATCTATTAGAATGTTCTCGACCTTTCATAAATCTTTCGAAAGACGTTACTGGTTGTTTTAAAAAGCATTGAAAGTTTCATTACCTTTTCTCAGGCTCATTTTTCGTTTTTTTTTTTTAAGGGTAGTCTCTGCAGTGCAAGATTCGCGCTTTTTAGCATCTCCAAAAATCTTTTAAGAAGTTTGTTCATTACACGAATCACTGCGGAGAAAAACGGTTAACAAAAACATTTGGCTACCATTTAGCACGCAAAATTCCCCTTTTAGACTTTTCTTGGAGCACATTTCGACCGGCGCGAGCGCCTAATGTGATTCTCTTGTGCGAACTATTTTCGGTAGCTTTTCGATTTATAAATAATTTTTCAGCAACCGTTGACCGAAATATTTTTCACGTCAATTATCGAAGAAAAGTTCTGAATTAGTCTAACAATGGATGAAAAAAGTCCTCCTCAATGCAATAAGCAAAATTGACGTACCTGAAAACTTTTCTCCGAAATTTCGTCAATGTCTTCTTCTAGACGATTTGCAAGAGCGCGCCAGTAGTTGACCGTCGGTTCTTCGGACGTTAAATCCTTCAACAAACAAAAAACGTAAATTGGTTGAAAAAAAGAGGAAATCAAACCTCTGCACTAATATCTGGGTCTGTTTCGCTGATTGTTACTTCAGTCTGCACTGATGAACAAACATGCTAAACTATCTTTTTCGAACAAAAACACTTTCAAGTTTTTTAGATACCGTCGTATCATCTGTCTGAGTTTCAACATTTTCCTTATCCTTTGGCCCGATTAGAGGAGAATCGATGAGAGATTTTATATCGTCTATATTGACCTGCAAAATAATAAATTGAGAAAAAAAAATCAGGATAAATACCTTTAATGGATTTGGCGCTTTTCTTAAAGTAGATGTGATGGAAGGACTGTTTCGCGCGATTGAGCATTTTCTGATCTCTTGCAGCCCCACACGACTCATCTTCAAATAAATCAAGGATTTTTTGTACGCGCTTTATACGCGGAAATAATAAGTACACAGTCGAAATGATTAACGCTTTGAATCAAGAAAAAATATGACGAACTAAACATTTATTTCAAAAAAATGATGAACAAAAAGGCATTAAATACATTTATAATACAAAAATTTTGGTTTTCGAAAGTGACTAGGACCCGATAATTGCACCGTTGTAATGCAAAAAGAAATATAAGAAAAAAATAAACTCGAGGAAATAGATTACGCGCTCGTTGTTTCTTCTTCTAGACTTTCTGCAGCTTGTTTGAAAAGTTCGGCATATTCTTGTTTTTTCGACTGTAGCTTCTCCAAAACCTCCTCTAACTCTTGCTCAAGCTGAAAAAGGAAAAATATTCTGAGTTTAAAAAAAGTTGAATCTACTTCTTTGTTCAAGATTTTCATCTTCTCAAACTCCGCTTTCCTCAACGTCACCAAAACTTTCCAATAAGCCGTTTCAGCTGTTTCGTTCGCACAGTTATTGGATGTTTGGTCACTGGGGAACGAGACTTCCGTCTGCTCGCTAGCATCATATATTTTTGTCTGAACGATGAATAGACTTTCAAAAATAACAAATGAAAAAAACCTCTGTTTGAATACTTTTGGATAAACGATGAATAACTTCCGGCTCTTCGAACACCGTGAAAGTTGAATCTTGAGATTTCAAGGAGCTTTTCGAAAGTTTCCGTGGCGGATGTTGCAACATTATAGATCGTGATTTCTGAAAAATTAGGGCAGTATAAATTGTCCTGGAAAAAAATTAATCAGAAAAAAACATTGTAGTGAATATAAATGATTATTCGATGAGCAATGCATTCAAAAATCTTCGACTTTTTTTGACTTTGAAGGACAGCTGTTTTCGTGAGTGATTTCTTCAAATAAATACGAAACGCATCACAAATGAACTTCAGATTTTGAATGAAAAAAAAGACAAGTGAAAATCAGAAAAAAATTGAGCTAAAAAAGAACTTTGAAATTTTCTTTTTAAAATTCAAATCAAAAAAAATTTATACTGAAAAAGTTGAAATTACTATGTTATGTCATTCCTGCCTCCCGATTGGTCAGCTTTAATTTCCCCTCTCGTCTGAGATTATATATGATGCCTGTCACCGCACTGTTCCTACATGGAGAAGCATCGTCGGAACGTTCAATTGAATTTGATCAAAACTCGTCTATACTACTAAGAAATGATGTTTAGATCATTATGATGATCCGTTCTTAATAAACGACAGCTTCGAACCGACAAACAACTCTTCAATTAAGTTATTTTATGAATCAGCGGAGAATCTTCTTTGAAGACTGAATGAATTGTAAAATTCATAAAAACTGGTTTCTTCAAGACTAATTTTAAAAAATCAAATGCTTTGAAGTTACCCGTTTGATGATCGTACTCTATATTTTTTTAAGCCCATGAAAATCGTAATTAAAAATGAATTCATCACTTTATTTTCAAGAAAATGAAAGATTTTGAAATATGGTTGCATATCATCACAATTTATCAAAACCAAAAATTATCAATTACTCTGAAGAAAAAAATTTTTGCGCTGAAAATACTTTGAGCACTCAGAAAAGGTATGTAGGAACAACTTAACAGCAGCAGACCGAAAAAAAAAAATAAAATTTTCTTTAAAGAAACTTCAAAAATGAGTGATATTGAAGAAATGGCACTCCAAGACGCCATACCAAACTTTGAATTTGCCGCCTTTTTCACTGACTACCGTACCCCAATAATACGCGCCCTTGTGCCAATCACTAAGAATAACTGCCGAGATGAACGCGAGACGCTCACGGCGTTCTTTTGACGACGCCCCTCCCACAATTTCCGTAATGTTTGACGTCTTTTGTGCATACACAGAACGACGCTAACTCGCATACTCATTAAATTTAAAAAAATAATTTTTTTCCTCGAAAAAAATAGCGTTTTTTTCAAAACTATAGACGTGGAAAAAAATCGATCCTTTCACAATTCCTTTTTCTAGTTGACAAAAAAACATTTGGGTGAAAGTTTTTCTTATTTTCTGAACACTTTCATACCTTTCATCCTCAAAATTGGTTAAAGTCCTTTTTTTGAGTGAAAAACGTGGAATTTTGTGCCGAAAATGACTTATTGTGGTTCTATGTGTTTTTTTCCCGACTTATTGAAAAATTAAAAAAAGTTTTTCTTTACAGATTTAGTTTAGTTCATCCACCTAGTGGTATTTTTTTTCTCCTCTGCAACATCGCCATACCATTCTGATGTTGCGAAAATGAAGAGATTGATTGATTCGAATAAAAAAATTTAATTTGACACTGAAAAATGTTGCTGAAAGGCTTTTTTTTGCTTTAAAGGGAAAATTTGGTCAAAACACAGCAGTTAATATTGAAAATTGAAAACAAAAAGTTCCTTCGCATTTTGCTGTCGCAATTAAAAATAATTACCGTAAATCAATACAAAACAGATAAAGATACAGCTGAAATAAACATGAAAAATCACGTGAAGCACTTGAGCAACAAGAAATTCAAATGTTCGCGCGCAAGCTGTGTACCGTAAATCTAGGTGGAGCAACCCTTCCAAGCCGCTCCACATTTTCAAAAATTTTACATTTTCTTCCACTACGCAGAACGCCGTGCGCTGGCGGTACATTGATGAGCTCGCAAACATCTCGCATTTTTCGCATTTTTCTAGGCGCGAGCTCGCATTTCTCTCGCATTTTGAAAATTTCCGAAATGCAAGATAAATGCGAGGTCGCGCCGAGAAGAATGCGAGCTTGCGCCCAGAAAAATGCGAGATCGCGCCTAGAATAAAGCGACATGTTTGCGAGTTCGTCAATGTACCGCCACCAACATCGCGTTCATCTCGTCAGTTATTCTTAGTCAAGGCAAATCCAGTTCTGGGAATATAATATGTAATAAGCCTCTTCCAATGGTATTTTTGTACTAGATTATCCATCTGATATGTTGATAAAGTATTCGAGATGAAAGTTTTTATATTGAAAAAAGAAGTTAGGTAACGATATGTAGGAAAGGACACGAACAAAATATCAAAAATCAAGGAAAAGAAAATTTAAGACAATTTTGAATGTACAATTATGAGTTAGTGTTCCAGAAGTTTTCGGAATGACAATATAATGATTATATGACATTACATTGGAATGAACCCTTAGGGCGGTATGGATTCATTTTGTCGTTGGCAAAGCCGGTGATAAGTGCGTCGTCCCGTTGAACGTCCTGAGTATACCTGAAAAGTTAGAAATATAGTTGAAAAAAAGTAGCAAAACTACTTTATGAGATCGGCTGCAGCTTGCGACACAGGCATACGACGAATATTGCGCTCTCCTCGCAGTTGTTCCACCTCAAGAATTATTTTAAATTATTCGAAAAGAGAAAAAAAAAATCAAGCAAGGTTATATTTTTGCTAGGTTAAATACCTGCTTTTGCGAAGCTTGAACTTGTTCTCGATTCGACATTTCGGCAGCTTCTTCTAAATATAATGGATCTATTAATAGTGAAAAAATGTAAGAGAAAACTTTCAGCTTTTTCGCGTTTATAGTTCACGAACATTCTACGCTAAATGACGAAAAGGTGCTAGGCTGCCAAACAAGATAATTTGCCATATATCAAAACTTTTGCACTTTTTCACTCCACTGCACTAACTAGGCAATATTACTCATCGTTTCTAGAAACTAGAAATGTTGGAGTGACGACAAACTAATTAGTGATTACGTCAAAAGTCACATGGCAACAGACGAACCAAAAAGACAAAATAAGAATCTTAGCGAGAAAGAGACGCTCGTTCAAATTGGCCCCGATTTTAGAGACATCTTCTTTTCATACCACAAAGAAATAAAAAAAAAGTGAATTAAACCGAATGAAACTAAAAAGTCCACGTGACAGCGTGTTGAAATCTTCAGGCAGATTTGACGAAAGAAAGCAGCCCAAAGAGGTACAATTATATCAAACTGAGAAATACATTCCCTGTCGAAGTTTTTTTTAGACGAAAAAAGAAAATGGGGATTTCAGGCGAAAGGCTAGAGAGCAGGATGAGAGGTGAGGAGATTTGCTTCCCTTCGTAAGCTGACAATCTTTCATTTCATTGAGAAGCACGCAGTATGTAACCAATCACTTGCAATTAGGGGGTAGACAGAAAAAAAAGTGAGCCTGCTGCTAAACGTCTAATACTATTTCCGTTTCGAAAAATAATTGAGCTCACAAATCAGGGAAGAAACTCTTTTTTTTTGTTGATAAGTTTACTGGAAGTATGAATCAGAAGTATGGAAATCTTAAGTAATGATTAGCGAAGAGTGTTTTCATCAATAAAAGTAAATTTCAAACCAAGATTTCGGAAAATTGACAGCGATTTTTTGAGTATGTGATTTTGCGTGCATTTTTTACAGTTTTCGATCTCTACAGTTTCCGTAGATAAAACAGACTCGCAATGTTCGCAACATAAAAAATCAATTACTTTTATTTTCAAATAATATATACAATAGAAACCGGAATAACTTAAGGTATAACACAGCTTTGTTTTGTTTTTTTTTGACTTAGCACCTCCGATGGGGTCTTCAAATAACACGCTTTTTTTCACCGAAAAAGTCTATTGGAGATCCAACGAGCAAAAAAAGATTCATGCACATTTAGTATAGATTATCGTCCCCCGGCGTTGTAAATCCCAAAGTCGTAATTAGGTCGACCGGTGGAAAAACTGTCGACGTAAGCTTTGTGGTGAGCCAGTGGCCTCATCGCGAATTTCACCTAAAAAAAAGAGAACACTTCATTTAAAGGTTACTGGCCGGAATGATATTTATGTAAAGTAATGCCATGTTCAAAGTGATTCCACGAAATTCAAAACGACCCTCAGAAAATGAAAATGACTGAATTTTGGCGAGTCAGAGTTAATTTTGCCTTCGTGGAAGTTACATTTAACACGGCATAAATCCTCACTTTACCAGAAACGCAACGGTAAATTATTTATATAGTCATGAATTGAGCGAACCTCAGGCTGATTTTGCATTCGAACGATGTAAGCTGCCATTCTCGGATAATGCAAACCCGGGAAGTACCTGAATTGGAATTTTCAAATTCTCTACGCCACAGCAAAAATAAAAATAATTTTGCAATGGAAGTTTCATAAAACGGTGTCGGGAAGACCTGAATTGGCTGGTTGAGGTCAAAGTTAGCAGTTCCAGCCGTTCCAAAAAGGGCCAAACCATGTAGTCAGCAAAGCCTGGTATTTTTCCTGCAGTATAAACATAATTACAGTTGTAAGTCATTGGGGCCTAAAAATAATAATTGCATCAGGCAAAAATGAGGATTTACAGTAAAATTGTATAAACATATAAACACGCCCCTTTTCCTGCGACCCTGACGAAAGTTTCTACACAAAAGTGGTTCCCCCGATTTCGCCACTTTTTTGCTTATAACTTTTTTCATTTTTCATATTTTTTTTTATGTTTTCGCAGTTAGCTCTCGATTGCCATCAGCTTTCTTTTCATATAGGTTTCAACTTTATATCACTGACTTTGGAAATTGGCCTGCGGTCCCTAGATTTACTTATAATTCATTGAAATGAAATTGAAAACATCCTTACTCTGAATAAGGATATTTTCAACTCCCCTTTGACGGACTTTTCTTCTTCGCCAAAGTCACTATATATGATGGCGGCATGAAAAAATGATCCACTTTCTCTATTCTAAAAAAAAACTCGCCTCCGAAGAAGCTGTCTGTCAGAAGACCTTCCGCGTTTCTCAGCGCAACGTGCAAGTTGGCGTCGGTCTGTCTCTGGACGTGTGGAGCCGAAGAGCGGAAAAAGTCGAAAAGGACGTTGATGAGCTGCGGAAGAAGGTGTTTGGAGTCTACGAGCTGAGACTCACTGGAGAAAGCCTTTCGACCAGGATCTTTTGATGCGCTTTCTCAAAAGGATCGCGCGGCAGGATCGAGTTCGAGGGGAACAGCTCGTCCAAGTACTCTACGATCACGTTCGACTCCCACACGACCTGAAAAGAACCTTGAGATCCATCAGAGCATCTGTTTCTTTCTCATCTGCGCTCTATTTTTGTTTGCGCCGATGCTTTTGGTGCAAGTCAAACATTAACTGAAGATAACTGCTAATGCGATGCGATATAGTCAGCGATACGATAGAGTTCTGCTTATTGTGGAATAGAAGCTCATTCATAATCTTCTGTTCAAAAGTCTCATGGACGCTAGATGCATTTAAAAGTTAGCCTCTTAAAATCTCAATTTCAATTTATGTTAATGGTAATGAGAAATGTTTTCAATAAGATGAAAAAAAAATGGTCTTAATATTCGCAGCTGCAATTAAAAATTTTTCTTCTAAAGTTTTTTTTGAAAAAAAAAATCAAGGATTATGAATATGCTTGCTAATTTTTTGAATTTTTTTGATTCTAACCTTTCCATTTATTTCGAGAGAAGGTACTCGACCCAGTGGAGATTTGGCTAAGTACCAAGATGGACTCTTGTCTGGATTCACGTTGACGACTTCCACACTGGTAAGAGGCTTTTGCTATTTGACGGACGGTTTTCAGACTCACGGAATGTTTTTCTTGGCCAGATAAAGAACAACTCTTTCGGCGTACGGACAGAATCTCATGCTGTAAAGGCGGTAAGATCCAGGCGCTAAATACGGCTCAAAAGATCCTGCAAATTGATATGTTCATTTTTTGATTTATCAATAAGAAACTGAAAAAACCCCGCAGCGAAAAAAATTTTTTGACGAGTAAAAAAAAGCCGTTTACATGTTAGATAAAACTATCAAATCGGATCGAATTCGATTTAACCGCGGGATAAGAAAAAAGTGTTAAAACAATAAATTTCGAAAACTATGTACGGAAGATAGACTCGAATAATTTTGAATCCTCAAGCGGTTTGGCTACAAAAGCAAACTTTAAATGTTGCGCAGTTTTTCAAAGACACCATTAGGACCTTGATGTAACATTGGAGAGTTGAGGCTTCGAAGGTTGCTGCCGACGGCGGCTCGAGAACTGAACTTTAGCGGCGTCGCCGGATGACTGATCGCCGGACGAAACTGAATCGCGGTCGGAGACATGGCCGTAGGGGAGCTCATCTTAATAGGAAAGTCCCGAAAATCGAAAAGGGAACAAAAAACCGTCGAGACTCCAGCGAAGGCATTATCGAAGACGACGGTGGCCAACTGAGACAGAAACTGGACGCAGAGCGCGGCAGACGTCGAGCAGTTGCCGGCCACGACCATCTGTACCAAGTCCTCCGACGGCTTCTGACCCATTCAAACAATATTCAACAGTCGGATTCTATTGAATGTAGCGGTTTCGAATGAGCGTGTGAAAATATAGAATCATAATAAAAATAAATGAATGTTAATTCAGCTAATTTCAACTTCTTCCGTGTCTCCGTGTAAAATATTCACTCGAAGCGGCTGCTCTTATTTCGTGACTTGTTTAGGGATAAGTGCCATCTAAGGTCCGGACTCCAACTGGAACATCCGCTACCTTCTGAGCTCTTGATCGGATGAGAAGATCAAGGCAAAGGACCTTATGCCGTGTCCAAAGTCATTCCGCGAAATGCAAAATGGCCGTCAGAGAAGGGAAAATATAACTAACTTTTGGAGAGTCAGAGATAAGTTTGCATTTCGCGGAAAATACTCTGAACACGGTATAAAGATTCTCTGGCGTAAATGCAGCAAATTTTCAGCACGAAGCGTCAGACTTTTTCGAAAAAAATGAAAATTTTTCGTTTTTTGAATGTAGAAAGATCCAAAAATCATGCAAAAATTGGAAGCAGATTCAAGATCAGGCAGAATGGCTTTTGAAATTTTGAGATACAATTTCTAGGAGGGTCCAACTTTTATTGAGAATTGAGAAGAGGATTTCTTGGCAAAACGAAAAGAAAGTCATGTCGGAAACGGCTCTCCAGACAGTACGCGGATCCGGCAAGCGCCAGAGGGGCGGAGCCTTGTCTTCCGGAGAACCGGCCGTCCTCCTCGTTCCGTGGTCGCGTGTTAACCTCCGAAGATCGGGTATCAGTCAGCAGGCCGACTTTCCCACCTGCGTATACTTTCCTGAACACATGCTTTTTTAAAAGTGCGTTATATATTTCGAATATTCAAAAAAAAAACCGTTGAAAATGAAGAGTAATATGTAAGAAATAGTTTTTGAAAACCAAATTTCAAACATTTCATCAGAGGAGACTGTAATATAGCATGAAAGCTGAAAATCAATGAGAATGCCACTGTACAGTATTCAAAAAAATTCACATAAAATTCTTTTTATTTAAATTTTTTTTTTTGAAAAGCGATTGTAATCTGCGTGAAAAAAAAACCAAAACAAATATAAAAAAAACTAAGATTCAAAAAATTATATTTAAATATGATTCCTCTTTTTCAAAGTTTCAATTAATTTTCCAGAAGTAAAGAATGAATGAAAATTAAGAGCCAAACTCGGATTAAAACTTTTGAGAAGAGTGAGAGAGGTTCATTTCAACTGTTGTTTCTCGGGGAAAAACAAAAAAAGGTCATTTTTTTCTATTAAAAAAATAGATTAGACTTTTTGCCGGTAGCCACATTCTCGGTATCGCATTCACGGGCCGTAAGCCTTCATGCACACGGCCCCAGAAGATCAACACCAGGAAAGAAACACGACGGCTTCCGACTGCATGGAGACGACTCAGCCGAGCAGCAAACAGCCATGATACGGAGCAGCTGCTTCGTTCCGATTCCAAAAACATGACACAAAAAGCAAGACATTTCCTTCCATCTTTATAACTATTACTGCGAGTCGGAGCCAAGGCTGCCGTTTTTCTGCCAACAATCGCCGTTTCTCCAAAACTCCAATGGCTTGACCAGGTCACATTTTTCAGAAAAATGACCAAACTTTCGGCCTGAAAGTTGAAAACTTTCGTTTCACTAATAGTTTATTCATCTAGGCCTCTTAAAACTAGGGCTGTGATCATTTGACAGCATTGTTTTCAATGGAACTCGTTCTTAAGAAGTAATGACGCTTTTCTTTCTTAAACAGGTTCCTTCGTGAAATTAATTCACCATTGATAAAATAAGTTTGCAAACTAATGTGCTGAATCGTTTCAATTACAACCTTTTAGATAAACTTTCACCATTTCTCTACATACGATCCATTCACCCATGTTATCACTGAAAATAAAAGTATGAAGAATAAAAATGAGCACCAAACGTGACTGACGCTGTTTTAAACTAGTGATCACCTTTATAATGCTAGCAAGAATTTTAGATGTCAAAAAAAAGAGAAGAAAATAATGAAGAATCAAGCGACTTCTTCCTTGAACTTCAAACTTTTTTCTCAGTTCAAAATGATCGGAATTATGGAAACCGTAATTCGATGTATATTTAAAAGTTTCGAGAGCTTTCCGTGACATCAAACTACGCAGAAACTGATGAGACACGCGTGCGATCTAGCCGAATTGCGACAAGACTCTCAAAAAAAGTTTGGGTTGTCCTAAAGCGGCTCTCCAGTAGGAGCTTGACGCTAGGCGTGCAGCATCGAGAGAAAAGCGGCCCTCTCGAAAACCACCAATGTTCCCATTCATTTTTTCTTATTCTTCTCTCCCCCACTGTTTTTGCCCGAACACGCCGATTGTCCCTGTGAGTGGCTCCGTGTCTGATCTTGAGATTATAAAAACTACAAAGCAAACATACGAATAAAAGGCATGCCTTGCAGCAGAATTATGACTATCTAACGCAGAAGAACCAGAAAAATTGCAAAAAAATGCTCACTTCCTCTGAAAATCCGGGTTTTCTCGAAAACTTTGCAGCTTCTTTCAAACATAATCTTCAAGTTTCTTTTTTTTTCTTATTCGATGATCATACTTTTCACGAAACCAATCTTCTCCTTTGTAGCCACATGTAATAACTTCAGTTTTATTTATGAAGTTTGAAAGTCGCAAAATTGATTGCAGAGCTGATTTTGTGTTAAAACAATATTTTAAAAATCATATTCAACGTAAACGTTCTGCTCGACATGAAAAGTTCCAATTCTGAAAAAGATGATTCACGCTGACTGACATCAAAGATGAAAAAGTCCTGCTCCCTAAAATGTTTTTTGGTCAGGATTCTCCGTGCGCAACACAGAAACGTATGGGAAGCAAAGTGCGCTGTGTTTACATTAAATTTGCACTTGCAGGAGAGCGGCACGGATTCCAGAGCCGGCAGCCGACGATGGATAATCGAGTGGACACGTAACTCACGCCGCCGTGTAGATCAACAATAATCTTCGATTGCACCTCAAACAATGGCATGCAACCGTCGCGGCTCTCACTATACAGCAAGATATTAATTCCTAAGGAAAGCTTGAATCACTTTTTTTTTTACATTGATCAGTTTCCCACAAACTATGATTGGAAAACTTACGCATTGAAAACACTTTTCATAGTAAGAAGACCTGGGTGAGGGTAAAAAAAAAACTAGAAATCCACTAACTTGTAAGCCGAAAATTTAGGAAGCCCACTGTTACTTTTCCTAGCCAATTTCTCCGAGAATATTTCGGATAAGAACTTTAACTGAATTTTTCAAACCCTAACTCAAAGAAATTGAGAAAGTGAGGGACTTTATAAGGCTCTTAATCATGCAAAAAATGTACAGGTAAATATTAAAGCGGAATGGAATAGTTTCAAGATATTTGGACTTCACCCTCGACAATATCCTTCAGACTGAGAATTTCAAGCCGACCAGCCCCTTTGCTCTCGTTTCTGACCAAGTCGTCCAGAAGACGGAAGTTCCCAGGCTCTATCAGCCCGATCTGAGAGAAAGGTGTTCTGCTGGGACTAGAAAGATAAGACGAACCAGTTCGAGGCCGCTCTCAGCCCAGTCGTCCACTTCTACCTCACTGAAAAGTTGCTTCAGTTTGACGTGGGCTCCTTTGGCTTCTTTGTTTCCCATCGCGACGCGAATCCTCATCTTGGCGCGTTCGATCTTCATGGTCTCTCGCAGTTTGGGGATAGCTTCGAGAGCCTAATTATGCTCTGTTCAACTCTGTTTTCCGTTTCTTTCTCGTTCACCTGTTGCTTGGCACTTCTATTGGGTTTCAGCGAAAAATGCACTTCATGCAGCGCTTTGTCGATTACAGAAGGCGGAATCGGACGCTTCGTTTCCGGATTCACTACCATCGACGCGATCAACTGCGAAACCTAGAAAAGAAGAACGTCTGCTCAAAAAACTAAGTAGGTCGTTTCCATTCTCTCACATCAAAAGCCCATACTCGCTCGAAAAAAGATTTTTGTCAAACCTGGACTACTGAAGGGATTCGAAGTTTTTTAGTTTTTTTTTGACATACGTGCTGAGTAAATCTAGAGAAAGTTTACAACGAAAAGAATTGAAACGAAGCACAATCTCAACAAATTGGGGAGTTAAACAAAATCCTCTCCTCAAAACAGTCTTCACTTTAATGTGATAAAACTTTTTCGAAATTTAATAAGACTGCTGCGAAAATTAATTTTAAAAAAGGAAACCTCTTTAAGGGATTGATCAGAAGCTGCTTGTCGTTCCTTGTCAGAAACCTGCAGGTCGCCTTTTTCTAGGATCTAAAAATGGGAAAAGAAGTCCTAAAAATTATAGTCGATTACCAGCTTGCAGATCTCGAGTTGATCTTCTGAGCCAAAAGCAGCCGCTAAATCTTCGCGTTTGGCGAGTTGGCCTTTGGAGACGTTGGCGAAGACCGTGTTGCTCTGCAGGACTTCGTCGATATCTTTCTCCCTTGAAACCACGTCATGTTAACCCCCGAGATAAGAACAAAAAAAGAGAAACGTGCGTTTTATTCCTCCAATTGACCACTTTGTTCTTATAACAAGCAATCTCGAATCTTTTGCCCATCTTCTTCATTCGCACGACGGCGACATTCGTCAACACTTTTTGATTTGTTGGCGTCTTGATGTTTTTTGACATCTGAATCAAAATTGTGAGAACTGAAGCGAAAAAAACCAGTAATAAAAATTGCATCTGACAATGTGGAACATCCATTGATTCACCAAATAAAAGTTTTTATTTGCAAGTTGACTCATAAGTGAAAAATTATTGTAATTGGATTACATGTATGACTATTGATGAGGGCGAGGAAAATGACAATTCTATACATTTCTTGCACACAGGTAACAAGTTCTTGTCTAATACGGTAAAGCCATCGAAGAAAGTTTCTTTAGAACCAGAATAATACTGAAAAATGCCAAAATGAACAAAGAGGTTGTGAAAGATGTGAGTTTTGGTACCCAAAGTTGAGTAAGAACAGGAAAAATAACTATATACATTATTAATGAATATCATGAGATAAGAGATACAAGCATAGATACTAAAAAGAGCTCAAAACGGAAAAAAAGTCTGGAAGAAGATACAAGAAAAAAGTAGCCCTGCTTTTCGGTTCGTTCTGATAGAAAATTGCCAGCATTAGAAAATTAGCAATAAAGAATAAATAAAACTATTACTTGCATTTGTAGAGTCTTGCTGGGTTCAAAAAAGTCTCGAAGTAAAAAAAACCGTTATCAGTGTTATATAAGGTCTCTTCGGCTCGATATCTTTTTAGGCTCCTTCGAAAAACCCAGAAAGAAGAATTTCAAACAGACTATAACACTTTAGAAAAAAAGAACGGACAATCGTTATACGCAACAAGTAGTTCTGGCGAAATAGTTTTTTTTATAAAAAAATTATTTGGATTCAGAAAAAATTTCGAATTCGCTTAAATGACTTTGAACGCGGCATAAAAATATTTGGCACATAGATTTAGTATATTATGCTCTGTTGAGAAAAGGGTATTCAGAAAAAATAATAAATGAAAAGATAGAATCACAAAAATGAGAAAAACTAATAGCTTTTTTTCGGGCCAACAAAAAATTTAGAGAAACATTTTCATCAATAAACTAGAATTGTCGCACCGCTATAATGTTAAGAAAATGTTTGAAGTTCACTGACAAAAACTTTCCATATCGTTCAAAGACGCATAGCGACACCAAAAAAAGCTCAGTACTGCGTAATTTATAGAAAAATGAATAGAAAACCTTGCTCTGTCTCACGCCTTCAAACAATAAAAAATTTTTTGTGAACAAACTTGACCTATTCACAGAAAAATTACATGTAGAAGTTCTAATCAGGCAGTATCAAAGCAGTTTTAGGCAAAATTTTCAATTCGAGAACGTACTCGGTTAGCCTTTCGCTAGGTTCTGCCGCTTTCCTGACCAAGCTCCAATGAAGGTGCAGTTTGTGATAAAGTGTCACATTTTCATGGTCCAAAGTCTTTTCCACGGCCGCTACCGTCTGAAAAAGTAAACGAATGTTGCAACCTTCAACTTGAACCAACTCTCTGATTGAGGCAGACTACTGGCCACATGGAGCAGCCTAGGGAGCAACAGCAGAACATTAGCCCACACAACAGCCATTTACTGAAAATAAAAATTAAACAACAGCTTTCAAATGAGTTTTCCTCTCTTCAAGATTAACATTCCAAAATATCTGGAAAAAAAAAACCAACCTCGACGTTTGAACGTGCCTTTTGAGAACTCGATTAATCCTGTTTAATGTTGCAGAAATTTCTTCTGGCGCTATGTATCCAGCAAGTTCGGGAGGGTATTCAGTATTGAAGCGGGAATTCAATCCGAACCTTGAAAAAAAAAAAATTGAAAATTGCATTTTCCTTTTAAACTCACATTGTTATCGTTCCAACGCCACGAATTACTATAGGATCTCTCTCGCGCGGTACGAAAATAGGTTCAGCTTCATCACTACTCGATATTATATCTATTTCATCCGACCCAGTGTCTGGTTGAGCTTCAGGCATTCCCCAACCCAACCAAATTTGAACGCTTCAAAGAATCTATTACCTGGAAAAAGTTCTTTGACTAGCAAAGAAACTAAAAGATGAAGGTTTTTGTACATACAGTGAGATGAAAAGAAATTGGCGAAATTCTCAATTTGAATTACTTTTCAAAACGTCTCGAAGACTCTAGAAAACTGTCTCTTCAAACCTACATCGATTAAAGATTTCCTTGAAATCACAAAGAATTTAACAAAATTGTGAAAACTGAAAGGAAAATTGCAATGAAAATCATGAGGTTAATCAATATTTCACTTTTCGCTCTAATGAAAAGTTTTCTACCCTTGCGTGACCACTTGCGGAAACCGACTTGCTCCAGGGGGTGCTAAAGCGCAGAGCGACCTCACAATAGTTGAATTTCCACACTTTTTAAATTTTGGAAATCGAAATTTAACTCGGGTTTTTGTCGCAACCGGGAGCTTTCTTTCGTTTCGTGTTCAAAACGGTTCATAGAACTTTCATTCTGTATAAACGGATGCTGTTTCGTTTTTTTCTCTCCACATTAATGTATAATTCTCTAAAAAAATCGCATCAAAAAAAGAGGACCGAGCCTTCGAATCTTTTTTTCTAAACTTATAATTTATAAGATTTTTTTAGTGGTTTCAGATTATAACGTTTGAAGACTGAAACTTGGCTTTTGGCAGAGCTATGGATATAAACTACAAGGCAAGTACTATCCGTTTTCCTTGTATAAGTAAAAAATTTCAGTTTTCCAATCTGATAGGTTCAGTTTATCGACAAGGACAAGTTACCTTTTCTCCCGATGGCAACACAGTCATTAGTCCAGTGGGAAACAAGCTATCACTGTTTGATTTGAAAAAGTGCGTTTCATTTTTATTCCCATTTTCTCGTTTATTTGAAGCAATGTATCGCGCACATTGGCTTTGGAAACGTCGTATAGCATTTATTCGGTTGCCATAAATGTCAGCGGCACACATATGGCGCTAGCCGACCAGAGTTTGTGAAAAAAAAAAATTTTAAAAATCCGAAAGATGTTTTCAGAAGGCCAAGTTCATTACATAAACATGCGGAGCGAAACAGTCTTATACAAATATTCTTCTTGTAGAAAAATAAAGTCCTTACAGTTTTCTCCAAATGGACGGTAGTTATCGTCAAGGTTTGAATTGAGTTATTGAACGCTTTGAGGATGCTCGCAGTTTGTCGGGACAACGACCTTCAACTGTTTGAGTTATCATTGACAGAGAATCAGGTCGCTGTGGTGTTATCAATTTTCGTCGTGACTTCGGATTTTCAGATGTTTCATCCATTTTCTCTTTTCCGGACGTACAAATTAAGTTCCGAATCTTTGAATTGTGTCGAATGGTCATCCGACTCGAGGTAGTTAACTTTTATGATAAACATAGTGTTTTATTTCAGTTTGTTGGTGGCTGGCGGAGACGACAAGCTGATTCGCGTCGTTGGGTCACGAGATTTTCGAAATCTGTTTGTCCATCCAATATCTGCTCATAAAGGAGAGATTGTAAATTGCCAGTTTTTGAAAAGTTCGTACGATGTATGTCTTTATTTGAGAAATTTTTAATTTCATCTTTTTTTTCAGATGATCACAATTTGTAAAAGAGGAGTGGCCAACGTTTGGACGAGCTCACATCAGATTGGAGATCTCGAGGAAGGTGTTTGGCGGAGAGACAACAGAGAAACCACAGAGGAAGAAATGAGCAAAAAGATTTTTTTCGAGAAGACGAAAAAGTGGGTCTTCCAATGTATAAACATGGAAAGTACGAAAATTGTTAGAGAGAAAGAGAATTCCTGACTGTCAATGGGCAGTTCCTGTGCCTATTTTCTTTTTATGAGTTTCGAGGATAATCTTTTCCGTGTTTTTAATGAAGCCGTACTTGTTTTTTGAGGTTCTCGCTGAGCGAATCATCTGGAAGTGGGAAAAACGTGGACATTACTTCCTGTAAGCTCCACGCTAACAGCAATGTTCTCGTTACGGCTTTCGACAATGGAGTTTTTGTGCTCCACGAAATTCCCTCTTTCTCTTTAATTCACAATCTGCGGTACGTGTATTTTTTTCACTGGGAAAAAATTTTCTTTCAGTGTTTCTGATCTCAAAATAACCACGGTCGCAATCAACTTGAGTGGGGACTGGTTGGCGATCGGATGTGGAAAGGGATCAGCCGCCCAACTTGTTGTATGTTCTGCCTTGCCTCGTTCTCCGGTATGAAGTTTTGTTTCTAAGGTGTGGGAATGGCAGTCCGAAACGTACGTGATGAAGCAGCAATCTCATTCTCTAAGAGTGACCAGCGCAAAATATTCTCCGGATGGAAGTTACATCGCGACTGGAGCTGAAGACGGAAAGGTCTTTTCGAAGATTTTTTCGGAAATCTATTTTCTAGAGCACGTCTGAATGGAGATTTGACAGGAATACTTTCCTGTCGCGATTTTTGAGTCTAACTAGTAGAATGAAGTTCTAGTTTTGAAATCTGGGGCTTTTTTTTTTCGAAATCTTGGTCATTCGTAGTTGAAAATAGATGAAAATCTTTAAGGTGAAAATTTGGAATTCGAAAACGTCATTCTGCACGGTGACATTTGCCGAACACACTTCCAGTGTCACTGCAGTGAGATGGACGCAGAACGGCCGAGCCATTCTCAGCGCTTCACTCGATGGCACTGTCCGAGCGCACGACTTGAAGAGGTTTCCTTTTCTTCGGGTCTCCCGACGAACGCCTGTCTTCAGATACCGTAACTTCCGAACCTTGGTATGTCCCGAGCCGACTCAGCTCGGGTGTTTGGCCGTCGACAGCGCCGGAGACATTGTCATTGCTGGAGGCAAAGAAGTTTTCAACGTGCGCGATGCTTGTTGAATGTTTCCTGGATAATTTTGCGGCTTCAGATTTTCGTGTGGAGTATGGACACAGGTCATTTGCTCGATATCCTGTCAGGCCACGAGGCGAATATTTCCGCCGTCGATATTCACAGCAATTTCATCGTGAGCTCTTCCTGGGACAGGACGGTCAAGTCAGTTGTTGAAAACTGCTTTTTTTTTTTTTGATACCTAACCATTTTCAAAAACTTTTTTAAAGTTTATTTTTTTTTCTTTTCACAAATGCCAATACCTCATTTTTGGAATTGACTTTCAATAAAACAAACTGAAATGATAAATTAATTGAATAAAAAAACTTTTTTTTTACTAAGGTTTCAAACTAGTGCTTCTCAGAGCATATTGGGCCTACATAGCTCTGGATAGATTTTAGACGGTTCATTTTGTTTTTTTGCAATAGAAACAGTACATAATTGCTATGTATAAAAATCTTAATAAAAAAACTAAATGGTTAATTAAAATTTTTTTCAATGAGTTTATTTTTCAATTTTGTCATCTTTGCGATTTAATTTATTGATACGAAAAAAAGTTGAGTGAGAAAGGAAGGGAGGGTCTTCATTCTAAAAAAATTAAATATAGCGACCATGACAGACTCATATCTGAGTTTTTGAAGTAGTGTATAGGGGAGTTCATGGAAAACTTACATAAAATTGATCTGCTTTTCTAGATTACATGAATTTCAAAATTCGAATTAATTCGAATTAGAAAAAAATTGGGCAGTAATGGCTGGTAGACATAACATATTTTTAATCTGCGAGAAAAAAAATTTTGTCCAGTGTTAAAAAGTCGTTGAAACTCCCACTTTTAAACTTGTTAGGCTCTGGAGTATCGTTAACTCACAAGCCGACACTACGGAATTAGCTCATGAAGCTGTCGACGTCTGTTTTTCGCCAGGAGGTGACGTCGTCGCGGTGCTGACCCTCGATTCCACCATAACCTTCTATGAATCGAAAGAAGTTGGACTTTTGCTGTCTGACTCGCAACCGGGGAAAATTTCAGATGGCTTTCATCGGCAGTATAGAGGCGCATCTGGATTTGGATCCGTCTCGCGGCAGATTCGACACTATCACACGACAGAATGCAGTGAAGAGCAAGTGAGGAGGATTTCTCGGACTTTTTGAAACCTTTTGAAACCTTTTGAAGGTCTTTCACAACGATCGCGTTTTCTCCCGACGGAAACTTGTTGTTGGCTGGCGGAGAATCCAACAATTTCTGTCTCTATTCTGTCACAGACCGTCTCTTGATGAAAAAGTTTACGGTTACAGAAAACAGAAGTTTGGATGGAGTTGCGGTGAGATTTCAAAAAAAAAAAAGTTCTCAGTGCGTCTTTCTTCAGCTTGACGTGAACAGACGCAACTTTACCGAGTTTGGAAATATGGAGCTCGTTGACACTTCAGACGAGGAAGAAGAAAGAGGAAACAAGAAGGTTGCATGGAAAAGTTTCCTTTTTATTTGAATATTTGCAGGCGATCCAACTTCCGGGGACCAAAAATTTTGATCTCGGAGAACGAAGATCGCATCCTGAGATGAGCGTTTTTGCTGTCACTTATTGCCCCACAGGTTCTTGCATATAAATAAAAATCCTAAGCTGCGAAGATAAATTTTTGGATAATTTCAGCCATGAAAGCTTAGTCTTTTCATGCTATATGAAACAAACTTGTACATATCCATAGTTTTCGAGAGGAACATTAATTTAGTGCTCGATTTTTTTTCGAAAAGTAACAGTGCTCGATTTTTTTTCCTTCTGTCTATTTGAGATGAAGTTAAATTTTATGCAATTGGAAAATATGACGAAAGGCAATAGGTCGTCGATTTGCGGTGTGTTCGACAGAAGGAGTTGGGATTTATTCATTGGATGTAGTTTCGTTGTTCGATCCTTTCCAACTCGACAGCCGCACGAATCCCGACGTCGTCAGAAGGTTTTTCGGATCTTCTGAGAGATATTCATCTGTAGTTGTTCAGAGCTTTGGAAATAAACGATTATTCGCTGGCTCTGATGGCAAGTCTCAAGCTGGCCGACTCCCAGTTCATTTGCGACAGCTTGGAGTCGACTAGTATCACCCAAAGTACTCACATTTTATTTCGGTTTTTGATGATCGATCAATTCTCAGTCCCGTTGGTTGTGAAGAATCTACCTCTAGCATACGCTGAGAGGCTACTCAAGTGGATGTCTGACGGAAATATTGTTTCTTCTACACGACATGTTCACTTCTACATGGTTAGAAATCGTATCTTGCCCTGAGATCCTTTGTAAATGGAAATGGAGTTTTTTTTTTTAATTTTTTAAATTGTTTTACATTATTGAGAAACTCTGTTCACTTTTTTTCAAGGACCGTTTTTTTGTTCAGATTATTGTTTCTATTAATGAAAAAAATAGATTTAAAAATTCAAGATTTAAATTATCCGAGGCCGGTGAAACATGAGAGTTTTGTGCTACGACAAGAGCGGGCTTTCGGTTTTTTTTAATAGCTTCTCAGCTTTTCAATTCCGTTTTTCTATAGACTATTCTCTAAATTTCATCTGCTTTATCTCGTTATAATTCATTTCGATCAAGTTCAAAATCATAATAGAAACAAAAAGCTGAAAAGAAAACTTCTAAAATCGAATGCGAATTTTTTTTTTCCTTTGACTTGTTTTTTAACAATTTCCCGATTTTTCCTTCCAAACTGAAGATTTTTGAAGATCTGGCTGAGAGCGTTGCTCCAAGAGCACGGAATGCGACTGAAAGGTCGAGCCGACGTCGCCACTCTGACTGGGGTCCAGCAAATCCTCGCACATCATTCTCAGCTCATTTCAAGCATGTGAGCGTCTTTTTTTTCAAGTCTATTCACATATTCGTTCAAAAAGGCTACATATTTCCTATGTAAAAGTATGTAGTACATAAGTAATACTTGGTGTTTTTTGTACAAAGATTGTTTTCAGGGCCAATCAAAACAAATATTCGTTGACTTATTTTTTGAATGCAAGGAAGATTAAAAGGCCGGAAGAGAAGAAAGAAAAGCAAGAAGAAGAGGACGACGGAGAATCAGTAGAATCTTAGATATTTTTATATTTGAAATTTTTGTTTGATTTTCGCTTTAACCGTTTATTGTACATGCTGTTGTTGATTTTCCAGAGTTTCTGTTGTTATTTTTTGTTGCTTGTTATGGAACATTGTTATTATTTCTTACTATAAAATTTTTTTATCGATTGTGATGACTAATTTCTGAAACAGTTATATCTAATTATCTATTTGCACTGTACCAAATTATGTTTCGTCTGTTTTCTCTGGATATAATGTTTTTGTATAGATGCCACGGGTCTCCAAGCCGGAAGGGGCTAAATGGCAGAACGCCGAGATGTCCGTCGACAACTTCAACGACGAGAACTTTGCTTTCTTAGCTTCTTTCGAAGAAATCCTCGCAGATAATGTTGAAGAAGATGTACCAAAGGTTGTTTTCAGAGTTTTTTTCAATCTTGATTGAAAGTTTTCAGAAAAGAAAGCAGATCAAGAAAAAACCTCCGAAAGAAGACTTTGAAGCGAGTGGATCGAAGTTTTCCACAGAAGAAACGGATCAACCAGAGGTTGACGTAGAAGAAAAGCGAAGACTGAAGAAAGAACGGAGGAAAAAGCAAATGGCGTTGAACAAGTTGAAGAAGAAAGAGAGATTGGCGAAGCGAAAGACTAAGGTGGTGGTTGAAAGAGTCGTCACTTAAGTGAGCACTTCAGGAACAAAACAGCCAAACGAAAAGCTCCGATGACTCCTCAGAAGTTGATCAAGAAAAGAAGAAGGAAGAGAATGTGAGCTTTCAAAAACTAAGCTTTTGGGAATAAAACATTTACTTTGTTTACAGAAAGGAAAGAAGCGAAAAGCGGGCGAATCAGGAGCAGTCGAACCCAAAATACCAAAAGTGGAAAACTCGGGTATTTTTTTCTAGATTTAATCAAAAACTGCAATTTTTCAGTTAAGAAAACGCCCAAGGAAACGGATGAGGAGAATGGAAAATTAGCTGTTTCTCCGGGTTAATTGAGTTTTTTTTTTTTTATTGAATTGAAAGCTCATTTCAGACAGCGTAGCCTTCGATGTTAGCGCTTGGAAAAACTTTCACTGTCTTCCTTCTGAAATTCTGGACGCTATCGTTGATCTAAAGTAAGAGGATGAAACGATCTCATATTCAGTGGATGGTTATAGATTCTCCGAGCCGACCGAAATCCAAAGCTCAGTGCTTCCCAGCGCGGTCCGCGACCGCATGGACATTCTTGGCGCTGCGGAAACTGTATCGAGCAGTTTTGTGTCGCTCTTCATCATCTTCTTTTCAGGGAAGTGGAAAAACCTTGGCGTTTGGGATTCCTGCAATTTGCCGTCTTTTGGAGCAAGATGAGGTAGGAAGAAGGTCATTTTTTGAGTAAAAATAGAAGAAGAAATTATTCGGATCTGAAAAAAAAAATTCTCAGAAGGCACAAGGACCCCGCGTCTTGATGATTGCCCCTACGCGCGAACTTTGCATTCAAATCATGAGCCACGTCAAGGCTTTGATAAAGTTCACTAAGTTCACTGTGAGTTTTTTTTTCTATCAAACGGGTCTACTGATTTTGCTAAGGCACAATGTATTGTCGGAGGATTGGCACAGCCGAAGCAAGAGCGTCTTATCAAAACTCGTCCTCCGGAAATCATCGTCGCTACTCCCGGCCGACTTTGGTCTATGCTCGAAAACGTGACTTTTTTTAATGGAAACAAGAAAAAAACAGTTTCAAACTTTGAAGGCAGCTCCGGGTTCCTATTTTGCAAACTTGAAAGACCTGCGATGTTTGGTTGTGGACGAAACAGATCGAATGGTCGAAGAGGGCCATTTCGAAGAACTCACTCACATACTCAACAAGATACACGAGTTAGTTCCCCACATCAGAGTTAGCTATTGTGAATATTTAGAGAAGCGGAAACGGAAAAACTGCAGACGCTAGTTTTTTCCGCAACTTTGACTTTTGCACAGACACAGTCGAACAAGAAACAACTGACACCCGAACAAAAAATTCGTTAGTTTTCCGTATATCTGGCTAGGAATACTATCTTCAAACAGAGCGTCTGATCGAGTTGACTGGGCTGCGAGAAGGAAATCGCAAAATAGTGGATCTGACGCGGCAGCTCGGGACGGCCGGCTGTCTTGTCGAGACCCGCATCAACTGTTCCGATTTGTTGGATAAGGTGCGTTTAAAAAAAAAATCCTAATATTTATATTTCAAAATCAATTTTGACTCACCTCTTTTTATATCAAGTTTTTATCACCAGAACTTGTTCTAAAAATGGAAAACCTCTTTTGAGAAAAATTTGAGACTGCTGACTACAATAATCAAAAAAAAAACTTGATTCTAACAATTTTTTTAAGCTGGAAAGGGAAAATTTTTGCCATTTTTCAATCACTACATGTTTCTTTTGGTAATCTGACGCTGAAATTTTTTTGTTTGGTACTGTAAAGGAAGGTTTTGCAATGGAAACGTAATGCCCTAGTATAAATTCTTTTTAGGACACTTCTTTGATGTACTTGTTGAGCCGGTACAGCGGTCGGACGTTAGTTTTTGTAAATTCTGTCGACGCCGCCCGACGTCTCCACGGAATCTTGAGCGCTCTTCGCCGGAATCCTCTTCTTCTTCACGCCAAAATGCTTCAGAGACAACGGCTGCGAAACTTGGAACGGTTCACCGGTGAATCGTTTTTTAAAGAAGCCGACGCTTTTTCGGAAAGTAATCAATCAGTCAATCAAATCATTTATTTTGTTGTTTTAGTCATAGATGTTATTGGCTAGGCGGTGAACAAGAACTCTAAAAGCATAGACTAACAACCGCCTTTGGCGAAATAGAAGTCCAAACGGGTAGTCGAAAGAGTTGAAAGCATGGTCTTACGGTCCTTCGCTTCGTTCTTCTGCGCGCAGTCCATTCAGTTGCGCCTTGACGAGTTCAGAAAGTAGCGGATGTTGTAGCTAGAGCCCGTAGACCGTGCCTCTAGATGGAAGCCTCGAAATGAGAGCGGTCACTTCGAGTGAAGATTTTACACGGATAATTATGACATAAGTTATTTGAATTTGTTGCAGCTGAGCCAAACTCCGTTTTGCTGGCGACAGATGTCGCGGCTCGTGGTTTGGATATCAAGGGGATCGATCATGTCATCCACTATCAAGTACCGAAAGCAGCAGAGGTCCTAAATTTCTCCTTGTATGGGAAACATTTTAATAACCTTTGAAAACGAATTTAGCGCAGTTCAAATTATAATTTCTTTTTTCTCGTAACTGTGGAAAAGATAGTATCAGCGGAGGGCTAAGAATTGTGAGACATCATACGCATAAATATTGGGTTTAAGACCTACATCCATCGTTCTGGCCGCACCGCTCGTGCGCGAAACCGCGGTCTGACTATTTTGCTCGTTGATCCTCCTAGCAGAAACCATTACACGCGGCTATGTCGCAATTTGAATCGGAGTGCGTTCGAAATCCCAGAAAGTCATGTTTTCTCAATTTTTTTAGTGGAGGACTTGGATATTTTCCCGATAGACAACGAGCCTCTGATGGAAACACTGAGGAGAAGGGTAAAACTCGCGTCTGAACTGGACAAGCTCACTTTCAGATGTAAAAAGGTACCCCCAATCTACTTCCATCACATTTTTCATTTTTTGAAGATTCGTTTGAACGAGAGTTGGTTTGAAAAAACGGCACGTGAAGCTGGCTTAGAGTATGACGAGACGCGTAATCGGGAGCTCGAAGGGGCCAACGAAGAAGTCGATCAGATGAAAAATAAAGAACGCCAGATCAGGGTGTTATTTCTTCAGTTTTTTGATATCTGCAATTTTCGCCGCATGTTCAGAACGAACTGGGTATCGAACTTGAAAGACCCTTGCCGCGCCAAAATGGATCAGATTATTTGGTAAGACTGTGTTTCTCAGCCGTTTGCCAAGTTCTGTTTTGTTCCAGAAAACACGATATATCACTCCCGATATTGTTTCCAAGCTGAATGTGAGTTTATAATCAGAATCTTCGAAAATAGTCGGTCTGCAGGCGACCAAAGAATCGGCAATCGACTTGTTCCACGAGAAGAAGGCAGAAGCGAAAGAATGGAAGAAGCGAAACAGAAAGGCAATCAAAACTGTAGACATCAAAGTTCGTAGTTTGTCTTTCCTTACACTGACGTTGGACTTGCGTCTTTCACCACTTTCTCAATGTTTAATAATGAATTGATCGTTGCAGATTAAGCCAGAGAAGAAACGGAAATGATGGAGAGTACGGAGAAAATTTTTTTTCAAAATGTTAATTTTTGTGGTTTCTGTTAAGTTTATGGATTGATCGCTTTTATAATGTTGTTGTTGTTGTTGTTGTTTTGTTGAAAATTTATTAATGAAAATTTTGGATTTTACTTTTTATTGCGAAATTTCCCGGTCGATAGATACCGCTTATACTTGCTTCATCTTGTCCGTCCTTCGTGTCTCAATTATTCGTCCATTTCAGTTGTGTTTCATATTTATTTTTTTTCTTGGCTCATATTGGTTCGACTTTTTTTTCTAATAGTGAAGATTAGCAAGACGTGAAACGAAAGGTGCGTTTTTAGGAAATGTGAATTCATTGAGCCGGAAACTGCGAATTTTCATATCACTTCCAAAAATATTGTTTCCCTTCGTTCAGATTTGTCATTCAAACAAGTTTTTTTGAAAAAAATACGATTACGCAGAATAATTTAAAACAAAAAAATTATAATAACGTTCATTCGGAGTATTTAAATGATAGTCTATAACCGTTAAGAGCCTTCGAAAAAGTTTTTTGAAATATTTTTGTCTGGCTTCCGTCTTTTCAAAAAAAATTATCCTTCACTGCTTCTGGACATTTATTCTCGCAAATGTCGGTGCTATGACAGGATCGCAACGATTAGCCCAAGTTTTTTGTCCTTCTTCACTGACCATGTTCCTTAATTTTTTGTTTTTCTCTGCCATCAAATTTTTGCTTTTTTTTTTGTTCGGCTTAAGTCAACGGAGATTTTTTTCAAGTTTATAATAGTTGAAAAAAAGAGATTTGAACAACGCTTCATCGGAGAATTTTAATCGCTTCTTTTTTTTGCGGCAACTTTCCCCGCCCATGATTCGTCACTTGGTAAAAGCTCTTTCTGCATCTTCGTCCTTGGCGGCCAACTCAGTTTTTCTTTTTCTTTCGATATCCGGCCGATTAGAAGGCTTTCTTTCTTGTTCTTTTCTGTTTTTTTGTTTTCAAACTCTCAAATTTTTCCGTTCTCACGCTTTTTTTGCACCTTTGGGAGACTCGTATGAAGTGATTTTGAAACAACACATACTTATTCTTTTCGGCTTAAATTATGCGAATTTCATCTGCTTTTCTAACAATTTTTAAATCGGTTTCTAGATTAACTTTTTTTTTCAAATCACCGAGTACTTCAATTTTTTGGGTCTCGACGAGTTTTTACTATAAAAATCGAGAACACCTTATGAAGATGAATGAATGTTTATTTCGCTCACAGACAGATCTGTGGCGTGGAGGAAGAGAACCATGAAAGTTATATTTGCCTCACTTCGATAAAGTTCCACTTTAATCTAAAAAAATATTTTAGGTCGAATTCGAAGAGAATCAAAAAAAGAAAATTAATCTATAAACGAGTTGAATCATTTTGTGAAATTTGCAGCTTCCTTATCAAAAAAACCAATTTTTTTCAAACAACTTTTTAAATCTTCTTTGGTCATCCTCAAAAAAACCATAACTCTGTTTAAGCCGTTCCAGTATTTATACACGCGTTGCGTAATAAAGTTATAGTGAACATGATGGATTGGTGGTGGTTCGAGTTTAAGGCCGTTGCCTCTCAGTTGGTTTCGTCTATTTGATATCGTTTGTAATTTGAATGGAGATGGACACCAATAATAGCCATATATGAACTGATGTGTAATTATGATATCTTTTTCGCAGACGCCTTGTCCATAGAGTGTCTAGAGAAAGGGATTTTAGTCTTACAGCATAGGTTTCTTTTTGGGGGAAGCCGTTTGGTGAATTTTTCTTTGAACCGATTCTAGCCTGTTTATGTCAGATTGGGTTAGTGGAGAGAATAGCTCCGATCCATACTCTAAAAATTGGTAGAATTTTTGGCTTTATAACAGTTCATAAAGTTTTTTTAACGGAAAAAAAGTGAAGCAACGGAAAAAGATTATTGATTATACGAATGCTTTTTGACTATTATGTCGATATGATGATGCATTTTTCAGATCGGAACTGAAATTAACTCCTAAATCTCTAATCACCTCTTGTTTGGGGATGGATTCCTCTCCTATTCTATAGTCGTTCCAGATTCCCCTTCTTTTACCATACCGCACATAGGCGCTTTTAGAGCTAGAAATAGATAGTTGCCTTTCTAAAAGCCAGTATCTTATTGAGTTAATATCTGATTGCAGCTTGAGGTTATAATTATCAGTTTCTGAGCTTATGAATAATTTTACGTCATCTGCATAAATGAGCATTTTGCTATGTTTTTACGACACTAGTTATATCATTCATGTATATCAAGAAAAAAACAACGGTCCTAAGCAGCTTCCTTGTGGAACCCCCAGACAACACCTCGGTTTCGTTGGATACCTCATCATTGAGGCGGACAAATTGAGTTCTATTGGTTAAGTACTGTGAAAACCATTTGTGTAAGCGACCTACACACCCATAAGCTTTTAACATTTTAATGAGCCTCCTATGCGTGACTGAATCGAAAGCTTTACTAATATCTAAATAAACAACGTCCACATTCTGATTTCTACTGGCGCACTCGATTAAAAACTTCTGTTTTGAAGAAGTTGCGTCGTTGTATTTCTATTGTTGAGAAAGCCGTACTGTGAATCAGAGAGTATATTGTTGCTCCATAAGTGATTTCTTAAAGCTCGGACAGTAATAGATTCGAAGACACGACATGGAACGCATGTTAGGCTCACAGGTCTGTAGTTTTCCGCTTTTTTTGAGGGCTATTTTTTGAAAAATTGGTCTAACTATTGATTTCTTCCAAAGAGAAGGCAATATTGAGGTATCCAATGACTTCTGGAATATTAATGATAAAGGCAACGCTAGGGGAAGGGCAAGTTTTTTTTACATAAAAATTGATGATAAGTTATCTGGTCCGGATGAGTAAAGAGGTTTTAATTTTTTCAATGCTTCATATACAACATGAGGTTCTACGCTCACGTTGTCTATAGTGAATTGAGGTTTGAAAAACTGGATCGAAAGATTTTTTTCATCATCAACTGTATATACGCTGCTGAAGTAATCATTAAATACATTTGCTTTGGCCCTGTCATTTTGTGATCAGTTCATCGTTCAAAAAAGTAATGCAGAAGGCTCTTTGATTACACGTGTTTTTTTGATTTGACGTAATTCCAGAATTGTTTACTCGAATTCGATTTTTTTCGAGAATGTTTTTTTCTTGATTTATTTTATATTCTTTTTATGGAATTCCGATAAGATCTCATGCTAGCTTTGTAAATTTTTTTAAATTTTTTTCTCGGTACAAGACTTTTTTTATATTTTATATAATTCTTCTCAGTTTTTCTTTTGAGCCTAATGAGGTACGGAGGGAATAAAAGGTTTTATGATTTTTTGTGGAACAAATTCCGCTATAAGTGGGTTGAGTATGTCTAAAAAAAGTTGGTACATAGCCTCCGGAGAACAACAAGTACTAAACCGATAATTCCAATCTATGTATGACAACTTTAGTTTAAGAGCTTCGAAATTTGCTTTTGCATAGTCATAAACCAATTTTGAAGAATTTTTGTTAAAACTGGATTTTTCGATGTTCAAAGTGCATTCAACCGTGTTATGGTCTGACAGGGGCTTTCCTATATCAACAGTACTGGTAAGGCTTTTGTCCGATACGAAAACCAAGTCCAAAATATTGTCACCTCTTGTACATTCTCTAACCTTCTGTGTAAGACCATAATCACAAACTATTCTAAGAAAAACTTTTTTTGAGATTGAGTCGGTTGCACTCAAATTGTTCCAGTTTATGTTCGGAAAAATTGAAATCTCCGGCAATTATGTGGCGTCCGTCTCCAATTGATTCGTAAATATGAAACATATATGATGAAAAATTCTGATATGAAATGCGGATTCCAACCGGGAGGCCTGTATACAACTGACAAATACCATGAATTTTTTTGCTATTGATGTTTGTAATTTTTGATGGTAATGGATTCGAATGCTTCGGAAATGTTCTGACGGACTTCGAAATGTATATAGTTTTTTGGATAAAGAATGAGTAGACCACCACCTTTTTTATGATTGGGACGACATATGTAAACAGAACTATAATGATTGAAATTCGTAAGAAGATCTAAATCATCGTTTGAATTTAACCATGTCTCTGTAAAAATGTAAAAGGTTGAGCTGCTAATTCCACATTCTGTTTCTAACTCTATTAATGATTTCTTACTTTTTAACCCTCTTAGATTCGACATATAAAGTTTACTTTTAGTAGAACTCATTGCGAAGACTGGCTGTTATTATTATCTACGGGTTCAGATCTTTCCTCCACCCCACCTGTCTTTGAAGGTACGTGAAGAGATGCTGGGGCATAGAGAGACTGGTTGTTGGTGGCGACGATGGCAAGGTCCCGAACGACGTAGCACTTCCGACCGACTTCTTGGTTCATGATGTGGCACTGTTGACGGAGGCGGCGGTCTTCTTTCAGCTCTTCTATGCTGAGGTCGTCGCGGGCGAATGTTCCAAACGTCGACTGTCCGAGGGCTTTCTTGATCGGGAAATAGCTTTTCCTTGAGGTCAATTTCACTTTGATGATTCGCGTAGAACCGGCTCTTTTTGTGCCATGACGGAAGACTTCGGCAATGTGTGTTGGATCGATATTGTTGGCTGAGAGGATTTCACGAGCACAGCCGGTCAGGTCTTCTTGTTCCGCTTCTTGATGTCCAACTACGACAATTAAGATGGTAGGAAATTTATTTAAAAAAATTTCCAATCTGTAGAGCACATAATTTTTAGGAGCATTTTTCTGTTACCTTCGACGTTGGTTGGTTTTTCGAAAGAATTTTGATTGAAGTGTTCCATAGCAGAAAAATCTCTTCTAAATTGATCTTTTTACACCCAGTGATAGAGCCCGATTTTTTTTTTGCTCTTCCATGTCTTCTTTTCTTTATTTACTTTAAGTTCATCCAACTAGAGAAGGTTTCTCGTTGTACGCTTAGATGGAAACATGGACTTTCGTAAAAAAACCTAGGCGAGAACTCATACGCTGAACTGAGACCGTCTGCTGAAAATCAGAGCAAGGCAAAGGTTTTGAAAATCGGATAAATAGAAGTTGGCAGAAAAGTCCCATGAGAGGTTTTTCTGAGCCGTATGCAAGAAAGCGATAAACGCAATTATCGTGGTTTACTCAAAATTGGTAATGGGTTGAATTTCCCATTTAGAAGTCTTTCATACAAGGTCTTAAGCCTTTCTCAAGTTTTTTTGCGATACGAGGCCAGTCAAAATGTATTTTCAAACCTTTTATCACTTTTCTGCGTATGGTCTCTGTATTCATACACTTCAAAATTTGATTTTGATTCTACAGGAAAAAAATAATGAGAAAATTGTCGTGACTTTCATTAATAAAAAGCACCACTAACTACACTATACAAATTCATACTTTGAACTTACAAAAAAGATCTGGCCAATATGAGAGGCTTCCTTTTAATCCATGCTAAAGCTGAAGGAAGGCTTCAGAGCTTGAGCCTGATTTCAAGCAGCTTCTTTTTCGGTTCGTTTTTTAAAGTTATGTGAGAGTTGAAGAATAAAATTAGAGTGACGCAGTTCAACTGTGGTCATGCCAAAAAAAGTATTCAAAAATTTTAATCGTAAGAAAATAAATGTTGCTCTTTTCAAAACTATCTTCTTTTTTATTCCGCCTTACTGATCATTCATCTTTCAATTTAATTAATGGAAGTTGATACAAAGTTTTTCAGCATACGATCTCCTAAAGTCTGTTCAGAATTAAAATGTCTACTCGCTAACTCCGCCCCTGCTGGCACAGTACCTTTTCGCGTCGATATTTTATCGCGCGGGATGTTTTTTTAAAATCTTTTTTGTTCTAACAAATACAAAAAGAAGTCGAAAAACGCAGCCATATTAAAGATCCATCGTCATCTGGAGATAAAACATGACCCGAAAGATATTTTAGTCTTGTGGGGCGGAGTTCGCTGCTTGAAATTCAAAAAAATCTGAGATTTTGTTTTTTTTGTTAAATAAAATTATACCAGTCTCAGAAAATATTTTGTGCACGTGCATCCTGCCCAGTATGTCATTTTGCGGATAAAGTTACCTTCTCTTCATCGAAGTAATTTGAAATTAAACAAATTTTCATTACTCGTTTTGTGAATTATCGAGAAAATTTTTGCGTATCTGTTTCCAGTCAATGAAACAGTTTTGAGTTTCCGGAGCCTTTTTTTCAAATTTCAGTCTCTTGTTTTCTGAATTTTTGTCGAGTGTGCAAATATTCAATTTTTGAGTTCTATTACCAGAAAATTTGCCACAACACTTACACGGTGTTCCAAAAATTGCATATTGAATTTGAAAAAAATAGATTTTTTTCAGTTAAATTTTATTTATTTGCATGATAGATACAAATCGAACTCATCATTAGCTTAGACCTTTATAGACTTTCCATCAAATCAGACTTGTGTGGTAGATCATTCTATAATGAACGTTATGTTTTAAACAGACAAAAGATCAAACAAGATACAAGCCTTAGATGATTGCGGATTGGAGCAAGATTTCCTCTTTCTGTATATTTTCCGCTTCGTTATGTTTTTTATTTAGTTTCATTTCATTTTTTTGGTTGCAGTTTTTGTCGTGAATGACCGCATTTTTTTTTTGAAAGATAGTTTCTTTGTAATCTTTTTTTGTTAATGTGTTGAGCTTTTAAAATGTTTTAGTTTGTGACTTTCAAAACATCTCAATATGCTCTTATTTCCTCGACTGATACCCTTTCCTTCTTACCAGTTAGTCGATTGACCACTGGCTTCGGCTCAAAAATTCTATTACCGCCAGCAGTAAATTGATTAACTTCATGTGTTCAATGGGTTTGGACGATTTTAGTTGATAAATCGAAGATGACGACTCCGGAAACCATGGGCGCCGGAGACCACTTGAAGTCGTTCATCGAGCACTTGCAAGACGCCTTCGAAGAAGAACTAGACACAGAAATGTCGCGCACACGCAGTTGGTTGTTTCTTGAGGCACTTTCAGTTGGAGACTCCAGACCGGGCTGTCATGAGGTACCGACCGCCCTACACCCGACTTCCACAGCACGACCTGCGAGGCGACGCCATCAACCTCGTCTACGAAAATATGCTCACCAAGTAAGAAGGCCTCGGGAACATATCCAAAATTAATTTTTATCATTTCCAGCAATCGGTAGGTTGAAATACAAACCTTCTTCGCGAACCCCGTCATTCACCTCTTCTCTCCTTTATTAAGAACAATTACTCAAAAACTGTTTTTAGGCTATGCCCTCCGGAAATTGCGCACACATTTGCGGTGGCCTACGTTGACTTCATGGCTGATCAACTCAATACGCGAAAAGTCAGCTTCCAAGAAGGTTTCGTTTTTCAAGCGGAAAAAGGTTATATATCAAAGTTTTCTAGATGTTTACAATACGGTGGATGTGAGTGCCTGGTGCAAGCAAGTGATGGACGGAATGTTTCCTTTCGCAAAAAAGATTATCTCCGGAGAGATTCCAACGATTGGTTCGGAATGAGGCTCTACGAGAAAAGAGAAACGGACTCAGAGTTGCCGGACAGCATTGCGATGATCTCCACGGAGTCGATGCGTGGCCGGCGCGCCAAGCAAGAAGATCGCTTTGTCGCCTACACCACTGGAACCACCATGGATCCAAACTTCGAAGTGGGATATCCGTTGCAACGAGGGGAATTTGTCTGTTTCAGGACAAGGTGGGACTGTTCGGCGTGTTTGACGGCCATGGAGGAGCTGAATGCGCCATCTACGCCGCCGCCCATCTGGCCGAAGAGTGGATGGCGGTCAGAGCAGAGAAGCCAGACCTCGAGACCAGCCTCTCTCTGAGTCTCAAGAACTTGGGTCTGTTCAGTTCTTGAAACGACCGACAAAAGATATTTTATTAATAAAACTGTAAGATTCGATTTTCATTTTTGTCGTTAGACGGAAAATTTTTTCTCATTGAGTTCGGATTTTGAATATGCGTTTTTTTCGAATGGTTTTTTAAAATTGTTGTCAAATTCTTTAAGAAAGGGCTGCTTTCAAAAAATTCAACAACATTTCGCCGGATTTTTTATTATTTTGGTTTTATTTTATTTTTGGCTCGTTCACGAACGTTTTTTTTGTCAGATTCAGCATCATTTTGCACCGGTTGTTAATCTGAAAACCCAAAGTATTCTTCTACTAAGATAGTTCTTGCAGTCGAAAAACCTCAGGGGCCTCGTTTTATTCGCCCTGTTCAGATCAATTTTTTGAGTTTTTGCTCAAAAATCACAAGGTTTCAAAATTATTCATAATTTTGTACTTTCTTTTTGGTTTAGTTCATTGAAGGCCAAAAATTCACAACCGATCGGTTCGAATTATTTCTTTAAGATCGGCGGATGACCGTTCGATCTGAAAAGGAGCAGTGGCGTGGCGGGACCACAGCCGTCGTTCTGGCTGTTTCTGAGGATGAGCTCGCTTTCGCCTGGCTTGGAGACTCTCCAGGGTTTCTTTTGACATTATTCGTCAGTATCTGCTATGATCGAGTTCTTCAGCTATCTGATGAGCCCATCGAAGTTGGAGAAAATCACCAGGAACCATTCTCCTTCCGACCCGGTCAGAATCCTGTCTTCCTTTCTAATCTTGGTTTTCTTTTTTGCAGGACGAAGCTCGACGTGTGGAAGAAGCCGGGGGTCAGTTGCTCTTCATCCAGGGAGAAATGCGCGTCAACGGCGTTCTGAATTTGACGCGAGCTCTAGGTAGGAGTCTATGTATACGTGGAACGGCACAAAATTTGAGATTATCAAGAGGAGACTTGATTAAATAAGTTTTATTTTAGCTTCAATTTTTCCCTTTTTTCAGGATGAGGACTATGAAAGGCTTTCTCATGTTTTTTAAACATATTTTTTCAAATTAAAAGCTGAATTTAACGTAAAATGGTTTAGGCGATGTTTCTGGTCGCCCGATGATCAGCAACGAGCCCGAGCTGAAGACGGTTAAACGGGAAAAAGATCAGTACATGGCGGTGCTCGCCTGTGATGGAATCACAGACGTGTTCAGCACCGAGGAGATACTCAGACTCATCGAGACTTTCATCGCGAACAACGACCTCGAGGGTAATTACGCACTCAACTCTGAAATCTGAACTCGTTTTCAAGACTATTACGAACTTGCGATGTACATCTGCCGTCAGGCCGTGGATCGTGGCTCTGCCGACAACGTCACTGTTATCGTCGTTTTCCTCCGCTCTCCTGATGAAGTGAGCCATTGATCGATAGGTTTCATTCTCAAAAAGCAGAATGTTGAAACTGAGATCGTAAGATTATATCAAAAAGCTCGAACAAAGCGCCGATGAGAAAGAATAAAAATTGGAAAAAGGGTAATTTTCTAGGCCTTTCTGATAATGAGAAAAAAGTTTTTTCGTTGGTAAGGGAATGTTCTGCAGAAATTATGGAAGATGAGTTGTTTTCTGTGGTATGATACCTGGATTTCGTCCCGGAAAAACCGAAAAGTGATCCTAGTGACCACGCGTCTTTCATCTCTTCATTTCCGTGAAAAATGATTTTATTTTTAAAACTTGATAGATCTGGGAGCTGATGAAAACGGAGCCTTCGGATCCGGAATCTTCTTCGTCGTCGTCGACCGATTCTCCAGTGTCGGACCCCGACTCTGACACAAACGATGAAGAATCTGACCAAGAGAAACTCGATGATATGTAGGTGGAATTTATCTCTACTAACCTCTTCCATGTGTATAACCACTCTTTGAATCAAGTATTATTGATGACTGCATAACGCGATCCGTTCCTCTAGTTACATCTCTACTCACAATTCTATTACAATTTTTCAAACGGATGACATATCAAAACCCGTTCTAAAATGTGCCTACAAACACCCCGTGTTCTGTTGTTTGTGATTAAACTAAATTTGACGGTTCATAATTTCATAGTTCTGGACTTTTTTCCTGTTACCATTCATAATTTTTGTTTTTCTACCTATTTCGGATGCGAGTTCGCTCTCCTTGGAAAGTTGTTTAGTTGGAGCGAAATCTCACGGTATCTTTTCCAAAAATTCATGTTTTATTTTTCATGCCATCTTGCATCCTATTTCCACTTTTACATATATTTCAAAGAATTTTTGCTCCTTGGGAGTTCCAGAACTTTTATATTTGTATAAAATTCATCTTGTATCCAAGTAGAAGGCATTAAAGCAAATTATTCATATATACAAAAACTTTCAGGTCATGCTATAAATAAGTATGATTTCAGAGATTATCTCTGTTGGCGATTCCTCATGAGCACTCGGAATGTTTCCTAAGAATTTGACACTTAGTGAGTTTAGTGAAAAAAAAAACTTAGGTCACTTGTTAGTCAAAGGCACTTCGAAGGCAGGAGCAAGAAAGTTGTTTGGGGAGCTAACTAATTGATTATAACTATACGGATCTCAACCAGAACAAATAATGACAGTGTTAGGCTTGAAGAATTTCTCGGCGCTGTCGCTTGGACTCCAACTTGCCCGTAGGCACCCACGAGACCCAGTTTCCGTGCTTGTCTCGTTTCGTACTTTGACTCGCTAGAGGATACTGCCAGTGGCCACCGCTGAAGTCTGTCTCCACTCTGAAAACTTCTACTGAAAGTGCGTAAAGAGAATCCATGTAGTTGAATATTGAAAGATTTGAAAAGAACATTACTTGAAGAATTTTCATCAGAGCTCTTTGGGCCGTTTGGCCGAATCGGCCATCAATTATTGCAGACCTCTCTATTATTTCGAAGTTTCTATTAAATTTATCTGGTTAAAAAAACCATTTTGATCGTTCACTCCCCGATTTACACACTTAAATTTTGACCGCCTCGCGACCGCGTTGCTGAACAATGGCCGCACATCCCTGGCTTTTATAGATAACTCATAAAAGGGAAATTGTTGATGATTTGCTCTAAATAAGGTATTTTTTGTCAGCGATTCATTAGCTATTCTGTTTTTCCAATCTATCCGCTCGAAATCGTCAAAAAGAAAATGATTTGGAGGAGAAATGAACGAAAGCGGCGAAACTCAAGTCTGTGTCAAAGTGAGATTTTTTTAAAAAAAGATGTTTGAAATCCTAATGAAAAATAAATATTCAAATATTCAATAAGTATAAAAAGTAGTTTATGGATATTCTCCTCAAACTATGTACTACCACGTTTCTGAAGGTTTTCATTTTTCTTGACGAGATGAACCATTCAATTTTTAAAGGCTCTTACCTGAAGTTGCGCCATTCAGGAACGTAGAGCCGGAAGCAGTTAAGACGACGAACGCCGATCGTCGAGTCGTCGTCGTACTTCTCCTTGCGGACCACGGCCCAGTCAGGCAGGCAAAAGTCGTAGCAGTCGCTACACGACGCGTCTGAACTTCGCACGGGTCAACCTCCTACGCGAAACACAGATCGGACCTCGAGCGTGCACATTCTGCCGGAGGAGATACCATTTGGCGCCGGTACAGTCCTCGATCCGGTCGCTAAACTTAGAGTTGGCGGCGACTGGCTCGATTGGCTCGGGGTCGAATTGCCAGAACTCTTGCCAACCGAATGTCGATTGTATCTAGAACGACCTTTCTCAATGATAATCGGAGCGGGCAACTCACCTCGTAACTAGAGTCTGAAACCGCTTCGGACAGCGAGTCCATGTTCTCGATGGCACTCCTGAACATAATCTTTTTTTAATTTCAAAGTTATGATCATTGTTGGCAAAAAATTATCTAGTTTATATTTTCCAGCCTGTTTTCTCTACCAAAATAGATGAGTATAATAAATAGTATATCGGAAAAGTTTGCAAAACCATTCAAACTCCAAGAAATTACTGTTTTCGTCATGACTTGAGACAGGCTGGCACGTCTGCCCCTCTTTTCTCTCTGGAAAAGCCAAAGAAGCAAAAAAGTTACGTAAATATAAGAGCGGAGATAAAAAGATGGGGCAGAAAAGTTAGATCAAGTTGTTGGGGAGTGTCTTATGATTTTTATACTTGGGTCAAATTTTTGCTCACAGTTGAATAGTTTAACGAGAGTCAAAGTTTTTATATAAGCTAGAAATCTAGATTATTCGTTCGTCTTCAAGCCCAAATCTGAAATCGATTCTCAGGATGTTGATCAAAGTATCGGATTGTGGGGATTGACAACGTTTCAAAGGCAGCCTGACCTGTCGAGGGGCATCAAGAAACAGACGGTGTGACGGCCGTGCGTGTCCGTCAGAGCGTGATCCGCAAAGGCTACGTAGCCCTTGAGACTCTTGTCATTTCCAAACAAAACCCAGACTCACCGTGGAAAAGTCGATCGCGGTGAAGCTGTTGCTCTTGAAAGGAGCGTTGCCTCGAAGTTCGAAGTGCGCCTGGCTCCTCGAGTAAAAGTGCACGAAAACTGAAAATGCATCGTTCTCAAAAAGGGACAACTGAGAAATACCTGAAGATGGAAGGGCTGCCGAGATAATATTAGGGTTTTTCCGACGGCATTCTTCACAAACTGGCGGGAATAACAAAAACTCGTGCACCTGTAAAGCATCTTGGTGATCTTCTCTTTTGAGAGGTTTGAAACTCACCGCGTAAGCATTGAAAATTGCTCGGAATATGATGAACAAAAGGAAAATGAGCAAAAGAAGAAGCAAAAGAATGCAACACAGACCCATCCGCTGCTGCGAGGTCGACTCAGAATTCCTGAAAAAGCACAAGAAATTGGAAAAGCGTATAAAACTTACCGAATAGCGTAGGTGATGCCGTCGTAAATGTTCTTCAAACGCTTCACCCAAGAAACTTTTTCTCGAGCTTCCGACATCAACGAAGTTTCAGACCGTGGCTGAAATCGTAAAGGTTATTCATTGAAAAGTGCTCGAAAACCTACGGGGAAATGTCTGGAAGACAAGTCTTTTCTTTCTTCGCCGTCCCAAGACGTCTGCATCGCGCGGTAGCTGTCTTTCCGAGCCAGCGACCTGCAATTGCAGACTAGAACCTCGGGAAAGCAAAAACTGAAGATATACGTTCAATTCTCGTCATAAGCTTCCTTTTCGCAAACAAAACTGGATGAGGAACCTTTTATCCCAAAACTTTACCACAAAAAATGAAATTTCTAAAAATGAAACTGAATGGAAAGGGTTTAAAAAAAACTTGAGAGTGTTTTCGCCACCGTCTATTAGGATCACTAACATTTCACAATGCTGGAAAGTCATTTTGAAGTTTTTCTGGATACTCACAAGTCGTGTCCCAAGAAAACCAATTTACCGAAAAAAAAAACTAAACTCTGAAAACTGTCTGATAATAACTTGAATTGATTTTGAAGCAATACTTACATATTCTGACAGGCCGACGACACGAACCGAGGAAAACAGTTTTGGGATGCGCATTTGCATCGTTTACTTTGTTTGCCTTGATTCACGCCGCTGGCTTCGAATCGCCTCAAAAGAAAAAGAACCAACTCGCTGTCGCTGGGATATTGACGCCAGGAGCCTCCGGCCGGCGACGGAACTGTGAACACTTGCTGACTGGATCCCCGGAGACCTGCAAGGGAAGTTCTTGCGACGTCTTCTGACGGACTTGCCGTTGCGGACGGCGCTGGCCACCGTCGGTCTGTGGACGATCTCCTCGACCTGCGACGTCTCCGTACGGCTCATCTCGCGCAGAGGACCGCCGCCATGAGTTTCCACGATTCGGGCGCCGCCTTCTGAAACCGAAGACTATTATCGAAGCTTCGTGCAAGAACTGGCCTGTGGTGTGTATTTCATGAACGTCGTAGCCAAAGTTGTTGATAACCGTTCTGTTGGGCGATGACGTCGACTGGTCGAGCCGGTTGCCGGATGTGTTTAGAAGACTGAAATGAAAGAAGTACAATTCAAATTTCATATTATCGACGAACCTGGCGTTGTGCGCCGCACTGACGTTGTACCGCTGCGGAGAGACTTCCAAATGTTGTCCGTAATCTGAGATTTTTCTATCAAAATTCTTGAACTGGTTTTTTCTTCGTACTTGCAGAATTATGTAGAAATGAAGCCTCACGGCTGACATCTCGTTCACCTGTCGCCTCGTATCTGAACTCTACAGTACTCCTATTTTTTCAGAAACCTGATTTCATAGAAAAATCAAAAGTCATTGGCAATATATATATACAATTATCTACATATGTTCAGTATAACGTTCCACTCGAATTTATATGACCTGTGATCCAAAATTTGGTCGCCACGCTGCTCGAAAGTTTCCCGAGTCTCGCGGACCGTCGTGATTGGTGGCAGTAGGGCTCCTGAACTAGAAACTATCATCAAAAAACTCCCAATCAAAAAAAAACCCCTTCTACTTAATAACATTCTGCAGGTTCACTCAAATTTTCTTATGTAAACAGGATATCAGAAATCTGCCAAACTTTATAGTTTCTGAGAAAAAGAAAAACGTCTCCTATTCTCAGGCAAACTAGCCACAAAAACTAGGAATTTATGCCGGTTGAGACTAATAGGAGACTTATCTGACTCATAAAGGAGTTTTCTGAGAACATAATTCGAAAAAAATAAGCTTTCTAAGACCTGCGCAGACGCTAAAGACGTTTTTGAAGGCTTCTATGGCGTACCTCCGCTAGGTCGCCGACCTTCTTCGATAATCCGATGCTCAATTACCTCGATCTGCTCGACGACCATCCTAACGACGGCGTCTGCCTAGCGACTCTCTGAAAAAGCATGATAAAAGCCCAAAATCAAAAAAAGCGAAACGAAAATACTCGAAGCAAGTTGATGTAGACATCTCCAAACATTGCCGAAATTGGAAAAAGTTTGCCTCATAAACTAAAAATACTGATTTTGAGGAAGTAGTTTATACTTTAAATAGGGATTGAATAAAGAACTTAATCGCGAAAAAAGTGCTGAGTCATACAGCGAAAAGAAGAACAAGTTTTCTTTTGGCACGCGTCTGGAAACAGAAGAAGAAGTCGAAAACATTCAACCCGATGAAAAGCGATAAAATCAATCGATCGGTTTGAAATTCCGTTGAATTTCTGTTGTGGCGTCGGTCCGTCAAGGCCGTGTTCCTCAGGTGAGACGGCGTCCTTGGGATCTCAATGGCTTCTCCGTTTTTTGCCTCCTCGCAGCCGCTATTTGGCGACCAGTTGTTGAGTTCCGGTCAAATCCTACGATTACTGAGAAGAGGAAAAGGAACGTCGTCCAGAAAAGTGAACACCGGAGTCAGGTATTGAGATGAAGACGAACACTAGTGATATTGGGTCGACGACGCAGCGGGAGCTGTTCATTAATCTGCGCGTCTCGAATTTCCGAACGCCTTTCAATCTGCTTATTGATAAGAGCCTCAATTCGGACGTATAAAGTTTTTATCAAAAAAGTTCTGTAAAAGCTAGAAGCATCGAAAATATACATAGGTCATTCTTTCCAAAGAAAATATCAAAAAACGGAAAACGGCGAGTCGCTGAAGTTCTGGATTCTATTGGAATGGGCTAAAAAACTCTTTGAAAATGAATATTTTCAAGTCTCGAACTTTTGAACTATCTACTTTTCGAAAAAGCTTTGAAGAAATATTTTAGCATGAAATCCAGGCGAGGGATCATTGTCACTTCAAAAAAAGTGGTACATTTTAAGACCCAGGACATCAAGGAGTTTTCGTGGCTGTTTTTAATAAATTCCGAAGTTCGACGACTTCAAGAACATAAAATCGACCACTTCTCAAACTTTTTTTGAATCAAGCATAAAGCCGTAAAGCCAGTGAGCTGATAGACTGGAAACGGAACTGAGTTGTCAGAGGATGACATAGGGATATTCGAAGTGATTCTAAAAGCATAAAATAGAACTCGATCGATGGCAAAAGCGGAGGTTTTGAATAGGACGTGTCCGCAGGCGAAGTGGGTCAAAATGGGTGTCGGACAAGGTAAAATTTGCATGCGATGTTGCGCCATTGTTCGTGTGGAAACAGCCCGAAAAGAGAGATCGTTTATCTGTTTCTCACAAGATTTAAGAGGCAAATTCTCCACGGCTATGAATATTGACTCGCCTCAATTTTTCTAGTCTGATCTCGAAAATAAAGAAATTATTACCGTTCAGGTTGATGGTTCGATGGAAAAGTTAAATCTCTCAAAACTTGAACCCATCAAAATCATATCCTAAAACATGAAAGATTCGATTTCTAACTTAAATTCTATCTTATCGAAAAATGATGCGGATCGAACTAGAGAAAGGTCAAAAAAGTGGGAAATTTTTCACCTTCTTCCTGCTGGAGACGACCTGAAAAGCTCTTCAAAAGAAGGCGTGTCAAGATTAAACCTCATCGAAAATACCTTCAGAGGGTAATTTTCTTTTTCTGGCCTTCCAGGTGAAAACGAAAAGTGATCAAAGGCCACATTAATTGCTTGGCATGAAGCCAAGGTCGCTCAGACCGTTTTCTAGTCGAATTCGTTGTCTCCTAATACATCCCAAAAATGTTTGGAAAAATGAGAGAAAGAGAAAAGGCAAAGTCACGACGTGCGAGGTGTAGTTTACAGAAGGTGAAACTCGAAAACGAGTATCGGCCGAGTGACCAAGGCGAGAGACACGCCGAAATGAGAGACGCAGCGTCGTCGGATCGCCAACGGCAAAAAGGCGAATGAGCTGCGTTGTCGATTTCATCCATAATTGCACGGGACGGCGGATTAAAAACTGAACTGGGATTGTGCGGCCGGCGGATGTCCAGCAGGTGTCCGGAGGGAGCCATTCACCTCGATAACGCATTGTTGCCAAGTGGTCATTGTAGCGCTGTGGAGAGCACCCACTCAAGTGCACCAACACAGCTCATTTACACACAACTTATATGGTCCTCGAAACCAGTTGCTCAAAAAAAGTTCTGTTTGCGAGTTTCTGTCTCAAGACGTATCCTGAAAATAAAACTCCTGGGAAGGCCTGAGGAGTTTCTAGAGGGAGATCCTTTCAGAATCTATTTCAGAATTTCTTGAAATCTGTGAAATTGAAATTTTGAAGATATTCCAAAACGAACAAGTAGGCTTCTGAGATGGCTCCTAACAAGGTGCAGATTCCAAAAGGCTCAAAATTTAAAGTTATTCACCTTTTTTAATTCCCTAAAAATCTTCACAGCCTTCTCCGATCTGGAAAACCAAAATTAATTCCTCATTCGCAGGTTCAGTTCCTTGACAATTTTTTGACAATTAGAAATCATCCTGCCTACAGTCCAACTATGTTGACCCTTCAAATCCGTGTCAGATCAGCGCGCTTCGTTCTCCGCAACAGAACGTGAAATTAACCCAAGAACACAGCAAAATTCAGAAATTTGGGTTGAAAAAGCAGATTAATTCAAACCAAAGTCGTCGGCGGCAGTCTATTTTTCAGGTTATAAAAAGACAAATGAAAGAGAGAGGGAAAAAGAAAAACTAAATATGAATAAAATGCGCTAAAAAGCCGCTCAAAACACTGAATCAAGAAAAAATCTATTAAGTAGCCTTTTCGTGAGCCTAGCCAAGTGAAAGTCAATGTAGTGAACATTTTCTAGCCACACACAAATGACCGGAAGTTTTTCCCCATCGGAAAAGAGAACAGATTTTCGAGGCAATTTGAATGAAAAAATCTTCCCATAAAAATAATGGTTTACTTCTTTAATAAAAATATCATAATACAAAATATTTGACAAGTGAAACACTTTTTTTTAAATGACTCGTCTCGCGGCATTGAAAATCGTCAACAAGAAGGTGAACATATTTCACTAAGCTCGATCGCTGAATCTTTTGGAAAAGAAAAAGTCGTCAGCGAAAAAAACAGACACAAGCTAAAGAAAAAATCCCGCTAGAAAAAAATATTTACAAGCAGAAAGGAACAACCGAGATGACCCGTCAGAGGTGAAGAGGTACACGAAAAGATGACGGCGAGTCACGTTTTTCAGGTTCTCGACACGCTGGCCACGCCCCTTCCGCATCAAGTCTTCGAATAATTAGGAATCCTTCCTCAGAAATGAAAATTTGCGGAAATTTGGAAGCTTTTCGAAGTTCTACTGAATTCTACACGAGAGCGAAAAATCGAGAAGAAAAGTAAACTGACATTCAGCAAAAATGAAATAACCGGTAAAATGAAGAAAATAAAACTGGATGAGATTCAAATGTCACGAATATTTCCTGACATGGCAGGTTTGGGCAAATTTGCTTCAACGTCGAGAAACTGCTTCATGGTGTCGACCTGCAAAGAAATCGACTTGTCTCCTTATATAACTCGTAAATGTGTTATTAAAAAGAAATATTTGCCTTGTCTTTGAATCGTCCCAGCGAATGTGAAACGCGGTTTTTGTGTATCAAGTAGCTGAAGACGACAAACACAATAACCACGGGTACTAAAAAGTTGCGACTCTGAATGTATCAAGAGAAAAATCACAAACTGAGCATCGCCGTAGTGATGTAGCCGGCGACGGGATAGCCGACGGCGTCAAATTTGACATAGAAAATTACGCCGATTTCTACGAGGAAAAGCAAAAGACCGATGCACGTCGAGAACAGCCAGGAGAGATCTATGTAGAACCTGAATACATTGACTAAGAACCCCACCTAAGAAGTTTTTGATGTTACTTCCGAACAAAAAAAATTAATTTCTTTTTTCTTTTTTAATGGAGCAACCTTTTTGTCAAAAACAATTTAAAATGTCAACTAATGTTTTTTCTTTTTCGAAATCTTATCAGCCATCTTCTCCCTCACCTCAAGAGTAAGTTTCCAACAAGTCAAAGATTAGCCTAAAAACCTTCAATTTTTATATTCTCCCCGAAAATCTTATTGCGAACCAAAATCTTCAATCAGAGACTTGCACTAAACTCTCACTTCAGCTTGAGATGAGGCGAGTCTTGCGTGCAGCCAGTCGCTTCCATGTACGGAAGAATGCAAGTAGACATCATCAGAGCTAGCAAATGGACGGACACCTGAATTGGCAGAGTGGACACCTTCTACTGGGATATAGGATAAAAATACCAACCAACAAAGAAGTCACGACGCCGAGTATAATGAGCAAATGATGAGGAGTCGCATCGTCATACTGAAGTTCGACAAGGCAAACCTGAAAAGGAACCGAACTGAACAGCAACGCTCCGACAGCTCAAACCATGGCGAAACCGGCCAAGAGCGCCGAAGTCCTGCTACTCGCCTTGAGCTGAGCTTTGCTCAAGTCGTAGTTGTACTTTTCGGCCATGTCCAGCTCTCCCCGGTGTCTGAAAAACGCAATATAGGGCTTAACATTCGAGGTAATTGTGGTTCGTGTCAGAACTTTCACAACGTTTCCACAACTTTTCCGAAATTTTTCAAGACGCTCCAGAAAACTCTTTCCGTTTGGGAGGAGGTTTCTAAATCTTGAAGTTAACAGATTAGAAAACTTTGAATGAAAACAATGCGAACGGAATGAAGAAACGTCACGAACGCGAGATCAGGCTCAGGATTTGGTGTGGAGACAGGGGTCGGAATCCTGAGCGAAGTAGTACTACCGGCGGCAGATCCGCCGTCGGTCGGTGGACGCAGATAAAACTGCGGAAGAGGCCACGGCACTCGCTGATCCTTGTTTCTGCCATTGGCCGCCAGGGGGGACGCAGACGGTCGAGTCGCGGAGCTGTGCCAAGTGTTGACTACGTCGCGGATGTCCTCGACGGAGATTGAGACACGCGGTTTCTTCAAAAGAGAAACGCGACTCGGATCCACGGAGCCTGGCATCTATGCGTTCACTACTTGAGAAGGTGACCGACAAAGGGCGAAATAAGAACCGCCAGAAACAAAAGTTTTTTCGACCGACAATCTTATCAGTTCCCACTTTTTTATCAGCCCGCTTTCCAATAACGTTATTCTTCCATCCATTTGCAAGCCAAATTTCAATCCAAGAGAAAATTTCGACCCAAACAGTTCGAGTTTTATTGAGATATCAATTAGTATTTCGAAATGAAAACTTTCGATTCGGTTCTTCGAAAGCAAATGCAAATGGCTCAAACAACAGCATTTCTGAAAACCTTCCCTTGATATAACAGTCTTTACTTAGTAATGAAACTCATAATTTAATTGGATGAAATAATCTCTTCCTAGAAGAGTCAGAGCTTCATTTTAAGCATAAACTGAAATCTCAACCCTAAATTTTCGTTTTAGTTGAGATCTTTCAATAATTCAGTTTTTGAGCATTCTTCGTTGATATAACTACATTTTAGAAAAATCGCTAAAATCGATCGAAAAGAAAAAAGAACGGGAAAAAGGTGCAGTGAAAAGTGGACGGGTGAAGGTGTGAAGAAAAAAGGGCTTAGTCATTTGAAACGAACAGAAACAAGACGCTCCGCAAACACATCGCGGCATAACAGTGGCGACAGCTCCAAAAAGATGCAAAGTAGGCTGGAAAAGGCCAAAATGATGGCGGAAAATACGCTGTGTGCACAGATAACAATCTGGAAGGCAACCTACGAAATGTCGTCAAAAAGTGGAAGATTCGCTGATGAAAGACACGAAAACGGTTCTTGTTATTTAGGTTAAAGATAAAATTGTTATATCATCGAACATGAGATAGTCCAGGCCGGAAAGCACGTATTAAATATCAAATTCGAAAAATTAACAAAAGCTCATGAAAAAAATTTATGATACAACTTTGTGAGATGAAGAAAATTTATGCCTTAAAATTTACTGTTTTAATTTCTTTACCAATTTTTGAAGAAAGAAAAATCTTAAAAAGAAAGATTTAAGTGATGCAAGCTGATTCAAGTCTCAAAAAGTACTTTTTCAGCTGAAAAAGAGTTTGACTCGGAATCAAAAAACTCTGATTGATAGATCAATACTTTAAAAATGTGTACACAATACAAAAGAATCTCGATTTTGAAATGAGCCCAACAATTGCAAAGTGTTATGTTCCTTCCAGCCGCAACTACCCCTTGTATGACGACGAAACAAAAAACTCACTCTTCAGCCAAAAAACTGTGGACGGCATTGAGTTCGACGTTCGACATGGAGAATCCGTGTGAAAGCATGCAAGTTGACCCCCACATGCCCTACAGAAGTCAAACAGAAAAGGGGAGGGAGCGGCGACTTGTAAGGAATGACGAATGTGGGAACCCAATTCTCCTTCGTTTCGGTTCTCTCGCGATGCCTCTGTTCGCGACACAATTAATCTCTACTTTCACCGAACTTCATAAACAATAACCCAACGATCAAATCTGCAAAGGTTTTCTGACACCTCCACATAGGAAAAAAAAACAAAATCGATCTCATTTTGAAAGAAGGAAGGCTCGAACAAACTTTGAGAAAAAAAATTTGATATTTTCTTTTCAATTTTTTTTTTTACATAAAACCGTGCCTGTGGGCCAATTTCCAACTTCGCTTCAAGACCTTCCTTTTTTGCTATCAATTTTTTTGGAGCTCTCCAGAGCAGAAGTATAAAAAAACCGTGATTACGGTAGCTTTTTCTTTCAGATGTGCTTTTCAAACGTGATCGGACCATCATACTATACCAGACTCAGAAAAGCTTAATATTCCAGAAAAGCAGCTCACTCTTTGGAAAAACAGTGGAGGACCGGAGAGAGTGTGTTTTGGGTGTTGGACGTGACCACGTTGCTTCCAGCTCCTCCAGCTCCTCCCATTGGCGGCGTCTGAGTGAGTGCGAACTGCACCCTGAAACAATTCAAATCAAAGCCTGAGTCACGTGAAAAAGTATCTGAAAATCAATCAGCAAGAAGTAAGCCATCAGTAATGGAAAACATAAGGCGACAAGAAAAGCCTTCATTCAAAATTCGTTTGCACAGAGTTATTGATTCACTTCGAAACACCAGTACTGACTTGGCTCAATTTCTCATTTTCGCAACTTTTTTTTTCAAAAACTCGAAAGAGTGAAAAAATTTTGAAAAAAAAAAGAAAAGTTAGTTGCTTAGCTTCATTGATAACTGCAGCCTAAAAACCATATTTTTTTTCTAAGATTACGTGACAAATTAATATTTCCACCCCACCTATGTTGCCCTTAAATGATAAAAGACAAAAACAAAAGACTTGTGAGAAACCTGTGTGGAACTGAAGAAAAATAAGAATATTCGCTTTGGCGGCGCAACGGCTTCATCCGAAACTCTTGATGAATTCTTCAGAACAGAAAAATAGAATAAAAACGCTGGAAATTCTGCTCGTAGGCTTTTTTGACCTATGAGCCAGCCATGAAAGCTTTTTTCTACTGTTTTTTTTTTCTCTTTCTCTGAAGAGAATTGCATTGTTTTCGCGGTTTGAAGCGCAGGATCCAAAACGATTAGGGGAGATTTGAGAGGGCTACCTTGCGTCATTTAAAGATGAAAGCGAAGCGCCGATGTTCCGATTCGTTCCAAACAGAGGAGGTTCTGAAAAAGACACAGTAATTTTGACGTGAACCGAGTGTGTAAACCTGAAAAACGTTTTTAATTACCAGCTTGTTTTGGCTTTTTTTTTAAATTTCTATCCTGTTCGAAGAATGCTCAACTATTGTTAAAAAAAACCGGAAGACGAAAAAAAAAAACAACAGTCCATAAATTAGTTGTTCGAGTTTGGTGTCCAAAATTTCAAGGGAGACTACTCATACTCTTCGAATATTTAAAAACATCTCCCAAAACCATTTCTTTTCATTGAAACAACGAACGGAAATAGTTCTCACGTTTGTGAAAGAGAATCAATAAAAAGAGAGGAAGCAAACAGTCACAAGCCATGAATTCCACATCGTGAAAAAAGATGTGAAAAGATACTAGAGAAAATGACTTTTAGATTGAATGGATAACTGAAAAAATTCAATTTGACAACCTTGAAGGTGAAAGGATTTGCGAAAACCGTCATTAAGTTCGAAATTTTTCCCCAAATCACGAAAATAAGAATCTTTTTTTGTTCGAAAAAAACTTTTTTTACTGAACTTCTTATCGAAATAAGCAAAAAAATATTAAATACCATGTTTTTGAGGTCAGATCCTATTCACGGAAATATTAAAAAAATTAAAACAGTGCGCAAGGAAAAAAATTAAAAACTTGCTCTAGACACTTAAACGAGTTTTTAGTCGCCATTTACTTTCAGAATTCTTTTTTTTGTGGTATAACAAAAAATTAACAACTCAAATGTGAAAAAATTAGAAATCCATTGTTGAAACGTAAATTTATATTCGACATAATTATCTTTATTTTCGCTTTGATAATTTTTTGGACGAGAGTTAATTGATATTTCAGTTTTATTGTCTTGTGTAATTGTTTTTTCGTGGATCTGCTAGAGCGATTTCTCAAATATACCAGCGTGATGATCGTCGCGATCGTCGCTGGAGAGCATCGAGTAAGTTTCCATGGCGGACGGCGGCAGAGAGCGCAGCGCAATGGGCGAAGGAATCGCCGTCGGGTCAATGGACCAGCGGCGGCCACTTGGCGTTCCGTGCCACGTTTGCTTGCTGCCCGCCATATCCGCCAACTCTTGACTCGACCTACGGCTCAACCACCTTAGGAAGATCAAAGCCAACCACTGAAACATCGAGTCTTTCAAATCGGCAACCCCTATTGAGCGCTAAACTTGTGCATCGTAGCTTGACACGAAATATTCGTACTTCAGTGGCGCCTAGAACGCGTATTCAACATAATCAAAACGACTGCGAAGAAGAAAGGCTCTATTTTCAGTGGTTCACATCTGCCGTTCATTTGCGAAGATTCGGAGAGTGTGAAAGGATTACAATAAAGGATTCAAATGATTAGGTGAAGAATCACCACCCAAAATAACTGACTATATTAAAGCGGGCACTAGATGTTTTTTTCAATTTATGAACTTTTCCTTTGTTTTATTTGTTGAATAAACAGCTTTAAGTTAGTAATTTTAATAGAAAACACAATGCTCTGAATAGGGTAAATTTATTTTTGATGTAATCGTCAAAATGCGTTCCTTAAATTTTGAATACTTTATTTTTTCTTTGCATTCTATTATTTTTCATCGAGTATATTTTCAAATTCCAGTAATAATAAAAATAGTAATAACTCTAACAAAAATGAGGGTTTACCCCGCAGTGAACCCCGAGAAAAGTGAACTTGTGGTTGATGTTTGCGCTGCACCCCGCGTTGGACCTGAGTGGGGTGAACCCCTGGGGCAACCGGTCGGAAATAAAAAGTTGTTTTTGAGCTACCGTACCGACCTAAGAGGAAACAGTACGAAATGGTGATATTGAGAACCAAGCCACTTCTAAATCGTTCACGGAAGAATTACCTTAATAGGCATTCAAAGCTAAACGGGGTGCACCCCTGGTTACACTGCGGGGTGCAACGAGAGTTCGACACGGGGTGCACCGCAACTTTTGTTAGAGAATTTATTGACATTTCAGCGTGAACTCTAACGAATTTTCTAGGATCTAGAATTAATTAAACTCCATTAACTTCTATTAACATCAAAAAAAATTATGAAGGAGGAAGGAGTAAATAAACACTAAAATAAAGAAGGTATAGGGTCAACTTTAAGGAGTTCACAAGTATAGTCTGTGTGCCACGACTTGAAATTTCACGGAACGGCATTCCGCTGTGCCGCTGTGCGCCTTTGCGAACCTTGGCCGCGCTTTTAATTTTTTTTTTCTTTTATCAAGGTACTCTACTCTCATTTGCTCTCACAGCGGTAACAATCAATTGAAAGCGTGACCTAGATTCGAGAAACGCTTCGCGAAAGCACGCAGCGGAAGAGCGGAATGTCGTTCCGTGAAAGTTCAAGTCGTGGCACACAGACTATACGAGGAGAATAAAAATTTTTTATAATAGTAAACTAGACGAGATTTTTTTATAGTAAAGTAGAAGAGATCACAGAAAGCATGTATCAAAAATATTGTTCAGCTTTTTTCGAAGAGTGGTCAAGGAGACTAACTAGTAAGTCCTAAATATAAGATTAGTTTATTCCAAAGACGAATAATTTTTGATACAAAAAAATTAGAGAGCTGGCCAGCTGGTAATAAAAAATACTACATATTCCGACTTCTGCTTAAATAAAAACGTTTTGAGCTGATTTTTAAGCTGAAGAATCCGAAACCGCTCTTTTTGGCCATCAATACTTGATTTTCTAACACTTTCAAAATGTCTACACAAAAATTATTACAGTGAAGTATATATAAATATTTGAAAACAAAAAAGAACTTTGAGAAATTCAAAAATGGCCATTATGAAAAACAGTTCAAATTAGAAAAATGAGCATGCGAAAAAAAATTGATTTACAACTATTTTGCAAGGAGGAAAAAATTTGAAGTTTTTTTTTCAGTCTCAAACGCCTCTATCCGCTGAACACAAGAGCACAAGAGCAACACGCCGTATCGCGAATCGAATTCGCGAATTACAGTGTCACCCACCACGGTGTTTCTTTTGCGACGCCCCGCCCACTTTTCTCCGTCAATTAGGACGTGTTTAGTGCATGCACAAAAAATTTGGAAAATAAGGTTAACCGATGACATAAGTGTGAGAAACGAATGAACATTGAAGAAAAAAGACGAGGAAATTAAAAGAGATTAAATAAAACTATATTGCTGTGGAGAAACAAAGTACTTTTTATTATAAAAAGTTGACGGAATATCCGGATATAAATGAATTCCGGAACATACTTTCTCAACTCCACAGACTTTTTTCATGTAACTTCATCTCATTGATGTCCACAACCTAGGAATCTGAACAATCGACAAAAATAGAATAAGAAAACATAAAATGGGGTAAAACATGTTCCATACAAACAGGTGGAGATTTTCAAAACGCTTCTTCATCACGAGTTTTAAAGTTAGCCTCACAGAACTACTTTCAAAAAACGTCTAACAACCCAGAGTATACCCCGATCGTGGTCCCGCAATACTATCAGCAATCTACGAAAAAGAAAAAAAGTGAAAAAAATATGAAAAAAATTGACAAAAAAATCAAAAAAATAAAGCCACTTTTTTTCAAATTTCGCGGGCGAATTTCGAGAAGTGCGCAGACTTTGCCGAGTTTCAAATTCCTTGTGCCGTGTTCAAAGTGATTCCGCGAAATTCAAAATAGCCGTCAGAGAAAGAGAAAGATAACTAAATTTTGGAGGGTCAGAGACCATTTTGCATTTCGCGGAAATTACTTTGAACACGGCATTGCATTTTCTTCAACTGGCAGAAACGCCGTGCCACGCCCAGACCACATAAACGTCGTCAGATAGGGCGTTTTTTGTGCACGCACTCCCGACGCAAACTCACATATTACGGAGGCTTTTTACCGTATACCAAGCTCTAGAGCAGGGGGTATGAAAACAAGATTAGCGAAATTTGCGTTGGCAAACTTATCGAAGACCGCAAAATCGCGGGCGGTGTATGCCACCGTGTATGCATACTGTTTGCGCAAAAATCAATAAACACCTTTCCGACGGAACTTTTTCCGACTTTTTGCCTTTTTCAAATTTTTTTGGATTTCGTCACTCATTTTTTTGGTTTTTTTCTGTTATTTCATCTTTTTCCATCGCATTATGATCCTTGTATCGGAAAAAAAGACCTCAATTTTTTTGTTTGAAGCAAAAAAATATTTTTTTGGAATAATTTTTCGTCGTGATGGCTGTTGGAACATTGTTTATAACAGTTTTTTCTGCGTTTCAATTACAGAATGAGTGAAGAAGAAAGAGCTATGAGAGAAACATTGGATGACATGCTTGATTACTTGAGTGACACTGATTCCTACAAATCTGTAAATTATTGTTTTCGTTTCGGGCAACATCAAAAATTTCCTATATCTTTCACATTCTTCTCGTGTCATTTCTTATTTTCCCAATTTCTTGTTTTATTTCATTTTATTTCACCATTGTCCATAAATTTGTTGTTTCCAAATCTTTTTTTTTTCATTGACATCGTTTCCTATCGGATAAATATATTTTTATCGAGAAAAATAGGAACAATGCGTACCAGAGGATCATAATGCGATGGAAAAAGATGAAATAACAGAAAAAAACCAAAAATGAGTGACGAAATCCAAAAAAATTTGAAAAAAAGAGGCAAAAAAAGTCGGAAAAAAAGTTCCGTCGGAAAGGTGTTTATTGATTTTTGCGCAAACAGTATGCATACACGGTGGCATACACCGCCCGCGATTTCGCGGTCTTCGATAAGTTCGCCAACGCAAATTTCGCTAATCTTGTTTTCATACCCCCCTAGAGCAGAGCTCTCTTTTGAAAACATATTAAAACATCAGATTATTGTTTTCGTCAACATATAAAAAAAATATTCCAAAAAAGAAATAAGTAAAAAACTAAAATTTTGAAAGTCAAACTTTTCAATAATTTCGGAGCCTTATAACTTCTGAACTAACATGTTATAAATCATACGGAAGCACTCCCAAAACACGCGTCCTCTGCACTATTTTACGAATTGGTGGGTCCCAAAGAGCAGAAAAATTCACTGAAATAGAGAAACGAAAAAATGGCCAAAAACGACAAAACTGGTGAAAAAATTTGAACTTCGAGGGGAAAAGCAGCAAGCGTGCTCTAAGCCTATTCTCAAAAGTTTTACACTCCAATCCACTGCGTGGATTTGCCGTGTTATGTATAGACGATTCACGGCTAGCTTGGGACGCAAAAAGGCATGGCCTGTCTGCACTCTCCACCAACCAGGGCACTGTCTCGTCTCTTTTCGTGGCAGGACCCTTTTCTCGATGGCTCAAGCCAGCCGTGAATCAGCTATAACTCATTTTAAATTAATATTATATATATGCAGACAACTGTTTACAGTAGCTGTGCACGCGATGTTGCGGACGTCTCATTAGACTCGCATTTTGTGTGAAATAACCGCCTTTCTGCTTCAAACAAATGGTTTCTTCTCTGAAAAATCGATTAAGAAAACAGAAAACACACATTGATAATAAAAAAAACACAAATAATCGCTATCCCAATCGAAACCTGTGTAAAATCATCATTTTTCACCAGAGAAGCATTTTTGCGATCAAAGTTTGCAAATTTAACATGAATATAAAGATTTTGTGACAAAAAGAACTTTGGTGACAACAGAAAAAATTAAAAATTGAAAGCAACGAAGAAAAAAGCGAAATTCCGAAAAATGGCGAAGCCTGTTGTCCATAGAGCAACTTTACTGCAAAGCGCCCTTTTCGCGGGAACTCAAGCTTTCCTTTCTCCGACTTTGAATTATTTTTTCTTCAAAACTAGGAACTACTGTACGTTTCCAAGTTTACCGTTCGATTCGCAATGAAAAGCTCTACAAAATACTGCTTTGAACTGAAACACCGTTTTTAACTGCCCCTATGCCTTTAACTTGCGCGATGGTACTAACTTTTTAACACTCCATTCTCGTTACAATTTTAACGCATTAAGTTGAAATTTACCATACCAAGCTTTCTCTTGAAATTTATTTCCATAGGTCTGTTCGTAAGTACTCAGAAAAGCCTTGAAAAGTAAGCAGGAGCATTGGGTAGCAAAAAAAGGAAAATTTTATTTCACACTTTATTTTAAAGGAAAAGACAAAAAAGAACTAGGACTCCCCGCACGTGCGCGCATAGTGTTTTTCAAGAAATTCTTTCAATTCTTACTTGATTGCTTTCGTAATTTTCTCAGCTGCTTTTTGGCTGAGCTCAATATCTCGTTGACATTTTGATGGTTTCCCGGCTCCTCCAAGTTTTTTCTCTTAATTTTATTTTGTTTTTTCGATCAAATTGATGATAACCAAACGTATAGTTCCGTTGTTTCTTCTTTTCGTTCTTTCATTGTTCCCGAAGAACCATCTGAAACAGCCTCGAAAAGTACATTTTTCGGACTTACTCTTAGGAAAAGAATCTGAAGAATTCATGGCGGCTGATAACACTTCTGACTGTGTTTCTCGTTCTGTAATAAATATTCCTTAAGTGATCTTCGTAAAATATTTTGCATCAAAAAAGAAAGAAGACCTTTTTTAAATGTAGCACGAGGTGTGAAAAAGGCTGCGTCAGAATCAAAAGGTTGTAGCGTTGACTTCGGTTCCATGGAGTTTTCCGTTGTTCTGTGAGCATGAATAATTAGAAAGCTCCGCAATTGAGTGATATGGAAAGTTTCTTGTTTCAAAAAATGTTTAACATCGAATAATCTCTAGACATGTTCCGAATGCTCTCAATGGCAATTGAAATGAAACAAAAGATGATTTGAAAGAAAACTTTGTAAAGAAATTTGATGAAAATTTTGTAAAAAAAACATTATGAATCAATTTTACGGTGAAAAATCTCAGCATTTGCTAAATTGACGGTTTCCAGAAACTTTTGTTTATTTCATATTTCAATATTTCCAGGAAATTCCAAAAGTCACTTTCCTATTCAGAAATCTATTTCTCGTCTTATTATTTATTATTTATTTTTTTGAAAATTTTCAAAGCACAGTCTTTGTTCAGAGAAAGAGAAAAAAAAACCTGTGTGAGGAAAACTGACAAGAAGCTAGACTAGGCTGGCTTCTGGAGCGTCCGATGGCCGGTCTGGCAAGGCCCATGACACTTGCGAACGAATGCCGTCGATCTGAAAACACCGCTTCTGTGGCCCAAGGCAGCCAGGATTAGACGTGTTCGAATCCAATGCACAAATAGACCGACAGACTCGCCAGTGTCAACCCAAATGAACTGTCCGCTCAACTTTCATCACACAAAGCGAAGACGCGTTACAATAATTACGGAACTTTCAACACTCTCAAAGCGTGCAAGGGAAAAGGGTTCAACTTGCGATCAAACTACGCTCGAATATTCGTAAGTTAGAGAGCACTGATAAACAAGAGGGTTTTTTCAGGAAAAAAAACGCCTGCCCTCTAAATTTGAACGCTCTCTAACTTTCGGAGATTCGAACTGATGCACTGTTTCCAAATAACTATAAAGCGAGTTTTTGACACGAAGTCTAGTGAGTCAGGCTTTGATGTTTCTTTGGCAATTCGCTTTGAAGTACCGGGGACTTTCAACTCAACGCAATTTTCATCTCTTCTTCCCGATTTACACTAAATCTCTTCAGAACGCCGATAAAGGATCTGGACAGCCGATGAAAAAAAAATGATCAAATCCAAAGATCTATGAAACGTCAGATGCAGACATGAATTTGAAAAAATTAATTTAATCATGTTGACTTACTCATTTTTTTGAATTTTTTATGCAGTTTTATTGAGGTTTTTTTTTGGGGTTGGCTGTACCTCCAAGAGAATAACGCTGATATTTTAGCGAAGGAGCTGAAATTTAACTCATCACTCAAAGATTTGAAATAGTGATTTTTTTTTTCTGAATCTTTTTTCATTTTCAGATTAAAAAAGAAAAAGCAAAGATTGAACCTTTTTTGTGACCAGAATTAGTTTCCCTCGACCGGAACCAGGCTTGCCCGAAGTTCACAGGCAGAACTCTCAAAACTGGCGTGACTGAACGGTTTGAAAGTTTCCAAAGAGATCACATCGGATCATAACGCCTACCCTTCATCACCGTCGGGAAAAAAACTTCAGAAGAGAACCGAGAACGACATAGAAACTGAACTTCCCTGCTCCCGCCAAAGTTCTTCACTAACCGCCCACTTTTTGTTCTGTTTTTGCTCTCGGTTCTCTCATGGAATGGCACAGAGAAGTGCGAAAATCGGATTATTTTTGATGCCTTGAGCATTGATTTTCAGAAAAAATTCCGAAAAAATAAAACTTCATTCACAGAACAACAAAAAAAAAACAGTTTCAACAAATGTATATAACTTTGAAAGGCAATACCCAGATCATCAAAAAAAGAAAAAAAAAACAAAAGAAAATTAACTGAAATACGCGTTTATTGTTTTTTCTTGGAGATGCGCCTGGGGGGACTGGCTGCACTGTTGCATTTCCGTTGCAGTTCTGTCCAACGTTCCACCCAGTACCTCTTCTGTCCGACCAACAGCTTCCGGTTATCTTGACTGGACCAAAAACTTGAACCACGATGAATTACAGGATAGTTTTCTCAGAAAAATTCGTTAAAAATATTAAATAAAAGTTGCCGTAAAAAATAAAATAAAATAATCCTGAGATGTAATCGCAACAGCAGCTCTACGGAAAATAAGAAAATTTGAATTTTCTTCACTATTTCTCATCAATTTCAAAAACTTTTCTAATTGCTAATTACTTGGCACTTTTTATTGGTTCGAAAATCCCAAAATTCTCAATGAAATCACTAAATCTAAATTACAAACAGATTTTTCATGATAAACTAATTATTTTTACTTCCCTCTCTATGATCAATAATCAGAAAAATGAACACTTTATTTCAATAAATAGTTAAAACATCAACCTCATTCACATTGATTCCCATTCTTTTTTTTTTTGCTATCATGAGTTTTTTTTTCCATATATCTATGATTATTATGTTCTTTTAAACAAAAATTTGAAATCTATTTTCAAATGGAAAAAACATTATATAGTTCTGTAGGTACTTCAACATGAAGCGCCTCTCTTTTTTTTTCGAAACATTTTTAATGAACATAGGAGGAAACCTTTGAAGAAAGCCTTCGTCTTGCGGAATCCGCAGCCTCCACGAACGATCCTCCTCGACGCGGTCGCCGAAAGTGCTCAGAATCTCCTCGGCGTCGCGCGAGCTCAGCTGGAAGCACCTGAACATCAAACTCATTTCAGTGCCACACGGAGAGCTGCAGACTTTGTGAGCGTGTTTCTGGTGACACGATGACCGCCGTCGATGAGACACAGAGCCAGGTCGCGTGCGTTTCTCCACAGGTCAGCCCGGTACTCGTCTACCTGAAACCTCCCCGTAACAAAAATCAATTTGCAGTCTCGGACCTTGGTAACGCGAACGGGACGCGAATCGGACGTGTCTGGGTATTTCTAGTGACCACTTTAGTAGCCTCAGCACTCTTAAGTGATCCCTAGAATCGCCCAGAAACGTCCGGAGCTCGTCCGTTTCGCGTTACCAATGTCCGATGTGGTCTTATACAAAACAAATATTAGCAATACAGCAGATATAAAAAAGGCGAAGCGAGTCCTCTAAAAAGACAAAGAGCAGCTTGAAAAAATTTGAAAATTCCAAAATGGCTACAAAAATTGATTTTCTTCACTGCAGTCTGCAGATAAAAAAAAAAATGAAAAAATGGTTATGGTTCAATTACCAGTCAATTAATTTTCCAATGCTCCGTTCTGAACTCTTCGCTGATTATTTTTTTTTGAATCATGGAGTATAATGGTCAAAACTAGCACCATTAACTGGTGCTAATTTTATTTTCTTGTCGATTATTTTTTTTCTCTGATAAACAGTTTCAGTGAAGATGACTGGTAAAATATCAGTTTGGGTCTTTTAAAAAATCAGGAAACACACCAAGACTATATGTCAAGATTCTTTCTATCCATTTCCTTGAGTTCAACCTATCCAATTTGTTAGATTATTAAAGTAAATTGAGTTAAAAGAAAAAATATAGAAAAAAAACCCTACGTTACATATGATGACGTACCTTTCCGGGAACGTTGGAATGGGCCGGAGGCAGGTTTTGGAACAGTAAATCCGATTGAAGAACCCAAACTCCTGGAAAATTTGATGATTATAAGCCGAATAAAGCGAATACCTCGAACAAGCCTTGAGCACTGCTGTAGGTAGTCAAGAGCTTCATTCGGGCTATACTGCCCGTCAATTAGGGCAAACATTTCTTCAGTTCGCATCACTTGAGCTGAACCTCTACATTGAAAAAAAAAGTCTACTGAAAAAGGGAAAAGCTGAAATTTGAAAAAAAAAAATTGAAAAATCATCTGATGAAGATTGCAACAGACAATTAAAGATAGAACAAAAAATAATCGAACGAACCTTTGACCATGTGAGCCCTCACTTGCCAGTCTAAAGGCATTTCCCGGATCTTTTTCTTCGACAATAAATACTCTTTCCCAGAGACTATCGCTCTGAATCGCCAACAGTACGGTTTTATGAGAACAACCCACATCTCTTCTTTCTGGCTGCAAATTATCGCAGAGTCGACCAGACTTCGAACTTCTTTTTGGCCAATTTTGCTTTCGGGTTGACCCTTTTTCGGCGATTTTATTTCTTTAGTCGAGGTTATTTCCGTCATCTTTTTTTGTACAATCGTGTCCTGGATGGGAGTTAAGATGTGACATCGGTTAGTAACGAAAACCAATAATGAGGCAAAACTATTTTTCCTTGTATATCTTAGCATGAAAGTCTCCAAAAAAAGATAAACTTGAAAATTTCTTCCCATTAATCAGTCATTAAAGTCAGATTTTGAAAACGGTTTTGAATAATGCCATGCGAAATTGTGAATTAGATGCGAATTCCGCGAGGAAAATAATTCTTTTCTTTTGGCTTTCAATTACGCGAAATAACTTACAAGGTGCAACCAGAAGGTATCAAGATGAAAAACTGTTGGAACTTGGCTGAGCTGTACTTCAAGGAATCGTGATTACAGAAAAAGGTAGAAGTCTCGCAATAGATCTTTTTTTTTACGAGTTATGAAGCTTCAAACTTTTCAAATTTCATCGAAAGTTCAACCGTGGACCAAAAATGTTCCCTTGTAAGAGGTACCTTAGGACAACCTGGAAAAGAATGATTGGCAAAAAACTGCAAAATGGTTTTCATTGATTTGGATTCAGGAAGCTCTAAAGGACGTCTCAGCAAAATTTCCACGTATTCTCAACCAGACACATTTTATTTGGACTTTCAATTCGAAAAAACCTTTTGCAAATGGACATTCATCGGGATCCAAACGTCATTTGCAATTTTCTTCTCCCGGTGAAGTGCGCTTGCCTGAAAACTACTCGATAAGGGAAAATAAACGTTAATTCTCTACTTCTCTTCTTTTTTTCTGTCGCTCTGTCTCAGGTCTCGAAAATTTTACACGGAGCTAAAAAAAAAAGATGAAGCTGAGTTCAAAAACTGCGACGGAACCTGCGCTCCGTCTGATGGAGCTTCGTCTTCCGATTCTCCAGTTGCATCACCTGCATTAGAAAATTATCCTTGTAGTTGGAGAAGTTTTATTCCTATTGCAACGAAAATTTACCGTCTTCCTTCAATCCGACAACTTTTTTATTGAGGAAATTGATCGATCGATGCATTTCAAAAGTGCCTTCGACGGCGTGAAGATAGAACTTGTCTTCAAACTGAAATCAGCAAAGAATATGGAGGAAAAAAACTTTGGTTCAGGTAGCCGACGGCGTTGCAAATCGGATTCTCATAAGGAAAGGCGCGACCTTCGAACACGTCGTCATACTTTTTCTCGCCAGTTCTGGAAAAAATACCGAGGATAAATAGCCGCAGTTATGTGAAATAATTTGAACTTTCCAAGTTTTTTTTTCGAAAAATAAAAAATACTGGGATTTGACGGTGACGGATCCTTCACACAAGGCTTCGGCTTTTTTCTGATCGTAAGAAGCGCTTTGAGTATCCGGAGAGAAACGCATTTCGAGCTGCAACAGAAAATTGGTTTCGTTTTTTTAAATCAGATTCATTTGAACAAAACAAAAAAAAATAATGTATGAACTTTTCTCTCAGGGCAGAAATTAATTTTTGTGAACTTGAGGAAAAAACTGACGACTCGAACGTTCTTTTTGTATCGCGCCCTAGGGTTGTTCTTCTCGTCCCAGGCGTTTTTCTTGCGGTTTGGAAAAGATACACAGTAGAGTTCGGTGTTCGGCAGGGACTCGCAAACCACCACGTCATACTGAAATTAAAGCTTTATTTTTCACATTTTCCGTAGAGAGCTCACGCAGCTCACAATATCGTCGCCTGAACTCAGAAGACCATAGCGCAACCCGTTTTGGTCTTCTGTCGACAACCCGTCAACTTCCATTTCTTGAGAACCGTTTTTACTACCCAATAAAATAAATATAACCTCATGAAATACATATAACTGAGTTCAAATTACCAGTCTACTACGATACATTCAATAAAATGGTATAATTTTTATGAAACAGCAAACTTGGGCAACAAAAATCTCAACAATAAAATCAACAAGCAAATAAAGTGAAAAAATATGGTTAGAAAGGCACACTATTTCAATGAGAGTTTGGGTAAAAATTTAAAAATTGAGGAAGTTTTAACTTTGATCGTGCTGATCTAACAATATGTCAGGAAGCTTTCTCAGCCGATGGTTACTATCCGTTTTTGTTCCTGTAACTTCTAATCAATCTTGAATATAATATAAGTTTCAACGAAAAATTATTGGAAAGTTACCAACCGTAAGCCATATTCCTCTGTTTTAATGAAATCGTGTCCAGTTTCGCCACCTTTTTAATCGGTTTCAACTTCGAACTGCACACTGCATCCGGTTCAGGCTCTTCTCCTGGAGCTAGATGACTTGAGGCGCCTTTTTTGGTCAACCAACCTTCTTCATAAATTGCTCCTCCTAGATATTTATCTTTTGTCTCGCGAGGGATCACCGATATACAGCCGCTCAAAAAGCCGGCTACAAGAGAGGGACATGAAGTCGATCCAGAAAGCACAAACCAACCTGGTTTGATGTTTTGAGCGTCTTTGCTGACCACCTCCTTCATTGCGGGAACGTGGAGCATCTTTCCCAGCTTCTTTTCGCTGTTCACTACGGCGTTGTACGTTCCAGACTCTGAACACAAACCAACTCATTCAACGAAACGTATAACAGGACGGTTAAGTAAGGAAGAAAACCGATTATGATGTTAAATTGAAAAAAAAGTAAGGGAGTTTGACGTGTGAGATTTTCAGATAAGGTATTTTTAGGATAAGAAATTTTCGTCCCAGTTTTAGTGAAAGTTTTAAAAGTTTGTGAAGTGTGAAAAAAATAATACCTGTTTTTAGTTTATTCTTTTTTAGAATGGAATCATCGCAAGAAAACTTGAGTTTTCTCAAATCTTCCAGAGACACTTCTACTGGTTTCCGAATGAGGTAAACTGCGAAACGGTCCTCCGGACGAGTTTTCACAGAACCATTGATCTAAAATTTGATCTTGAACATTCAAAAAAAAAACTATGATTAGTTTGATTTATGAAAAACGTTTTTTGTTCCTATATCTATCTTTATGATTTCGGGATTTTCAACAGATTAAATTATTGAATGATATGTCCTACAACATTTAAAAAAACTCACTTCGCCATTCTGATCGATAGAATTGTGTCCATTCGAATAAGAAACATTAGGAGTGTCGTTTGTATCGTATATATCAAGCTAAAAATAAGTGGAATTTGAAGAAGTTAAAAAAAACTCACATCAAATGAGCTCCTTTTACTCTTTTTTAGTTTCTTCGATTTTTTAGCGATTACTTGGTATGAATCTTCAACTTCTTCGGCTGACTCATTTGTCTTAAAATTAAAAAAAAAAATATAAAGCAGAATAAAGAAATTACCTCAGTTTTTATTCTTTTATAGCTTTTTGCTCCTAGTCCACCATCGTTTTTCATCGTCGTCTTCGTGTTTGCGCTTTTTTTCGACATCGACTTTAAATTATGAAGTTCAATAATAATCACCAAAGAAATAAAAATAATGAAAAAAATGAAGTAAAATATTTAAAAATTCACAAAAAAAGCTTTTTCTAAGAAAAAAACAGATTTTTTTGCAACCAGGTGTATGCAGACTAGAAGATTACCGTGTAAAAAAAGAGCTCGCGAGCTCATTCTTTCTGGGCCCATGGGACTTCCCTTTTTAAAAAAATAGAAGGCAGCAGAACAACTGTACATGACGAATTTTTTTTTCATATGATGTTTGCTTGGAGCTCACTTTTCAGGAAAAAAAAATGTATATATATCTAAAAAAAGTATATGTGAAAAATTGAAATTTGCGTGCAATGTTTCAATTTTTTTCTCGAATCATTTCTCCCCGGAATGACGAGCACTTCAACGCTGCTATCTCTCAAAAATAAGGCAGTTTCTCGAATTCTTCTCTTACTTTATTCTCTTTTAACTTCAGGTAAATACTGCAGAGTCTTCTATCGATTTCCGAGTTGTGCTCACCAAAAAAGAAGTTCGCAGCATCTAGTTCAGTTTAACATAAATATTTCGATAGGCGGCGAATATTGCTGTGGCGGGCAAACTGATGCTGTTTTACCCCAAGCCATCGCTTGACGAAAGTATCATGTCGAAGATCCCATTAACTGGAGTTTACAAAGACGAGAACAGGGAGGTTCAACGAGTTTTACTAGAGACTTTCTATGAATGTAGTTTTAATAATTAGAAAAAATGTTGCAGGCCTCATTTTGCACACTGGACGTCGATGAAATCGGCTGGCACATCGTCGAGGCCGCGTCTCCGAGGCCTTCTTTCGACACTTTGCCTAAGCTTCTAGACTACTACTCTACCTACATGTTCCTCCGATTTTTTCTTTCCGTTACCTCTTCCGATTCAGGTTCAAGGATACCAAGACTTCTGAGTTTCGACCTTTGTACCAGAGTCTACCACGCAGCAGTGTTTCAGTGAACACTATTTTCGAAGGATCCCAATAAAATTGTAAAAAAAAAAAAATGAATCTTGGACTTGTTAACAGTTACAAATGAAGAAGTCGAATTGAATTTTTTCTTGTTTAGTGGAACTGTTGATCAACGAAGTTCCGTCCATAACATTTTAGGACGAGAAAGAGGGAAAACAGTTAACCTCGACCGGTTTTGAACAACCTTCGGCGAAGTTCTCGCCGCGCTAACCTTTTTTTTTACCAGAAAATGCGAAGATGATCATTCAAATTTAGAGTGAAAATAAGTTCCTATTTTTATCATCTTAAAGCTGATAAAAATAGGAAGGACGAGTTGTCAACGTCAAGTTTTACAAAGGGATGTTTAAAAGGGGAACTTTTTACAATAAACCGATTTCTTCTACTATTTCCTTCGAAGAACAAGCTCAGAATAAGTTGCTAAAAAGGTTTTCTCCTATTTTTCTGATGTAATAAACTTTTTTTTTAATAGCACAACAATAGATGTCGACTTTTTCGATGTTTTTGTCCTCAAGGTCGAAAACCACTTGCTTGTAATCGGTAAAGAGAGAAGTCAGCAAAAAAAGGGATACGGAGAAAGAGGGCGGAACTTCTTCTCCGGCAGAGGCAGTGGCCGGGTATAAAATGGTGAAGAAAGACGTTGGCCCCAACGACGGACAATGGACGTCGACACGAGACTCAAGGCCTACCGGCTGGTCGCCTATTCGGCCGTCGGCTTCTGCGCAGCTTCCGTCATTTCGGTGATTTTTTACTTCGTCACTCCAAAACTTTCAAAACAGCTAATGAGCAATATTGTGAAATTTTGCAGTTATGCGTTATGATGCCGATGATTCACATGTACCTGAGCGGAATGAAGGGTCGTTTGACCGACGAAATTCATTTTTGCAAACATTCAGCAAAGAATGTGTTCGACGAAGTGAACTTCATGAAGGCGTCCGCTGACGTCAAGATCAACGCTACCAGACAGACTCGCCACGCTGGCTACGGCGGCGGATATGCGACGGGACCATCGATTGGAATCCGCGGAGGAAGTCAGGTGCAACAAAACCAAGGAGGCAGCTGTCAGACTTGCTGCCAGCCTGGCCCACCAGGACCGCCAGGCAGCCACGGAAGACCTGGACGTCCTGGCGCTCCAGGAGCTTCTGGCATGCCCGGAGCACCAGGACGAGGCGGCGCTGCTCCATGCAGTCCTGTGACTCCGCCTCCTTGCAAACCATGCGCACCCGGATCGCCTGGACCCGCTGGTCCTCCAGGGCCGCCAGGAAACAACGGAGCTCCAGGAGCCCCAGGTCACTCCGGCGGTTCTTCACGACCAGGACCTCCAGGACCAAAAGGAGCTCGTGGACAGCCAGGAAATCCTGGACAGCCAGGCCAGCCAGGAGCGCCAGGCCGCGACGCACAAGGAGGCTCATCTGGAGTTGCACTTCCAGGGCCTCCAGGACCTCCAGGACCTGCTGGTGCTCCAGGACAGCCGGGTTCGTCAGGACGTGGTGGCGGACCAGGTAAGATCTTTTCCCTTTATTTTTCTGAATGTATCATTCCGGCTTGATAATGACTCCGATATGAAAAATTGCGCCAAAAGAAAAAATATATATTCCTACATATCCTCATAAATATTTTTTGAGAAACTTCAAACTTTTCTCAAACCTAAACATAGTGTAGTCTTGCGCATATTTTACCTTTTATTTTCAAAATTGAGGCGATCGGATAGAAACTCAAAAAGAAAATCTAGTTTATTTTGTTTCGAGTGACTTTTGAACAAAATTTTTGTTTCGTGCAGAAAACAAGCCAGCCAGAGTCAACAAAACTTGAAAGGATAAGAGATGGTCCAAGGGAAAAAAATTTCTGGACAGTAAAAATTGAATGAAAATGATTTTTCAGGACCTGCTGGACCAAAAGGAGCCCCAGGACAGGCTGGAAGGCCAGGAGCCGATGGAAACCGCGGTCCTCCAGGAGCCCCTGGATCTTCTGGAGGCTCCGGCGAACGCGGTATCTGTCCTAAGTACTGCGCCGTCGACGGCGGCATCTTTTTCGAAGACGGAACTGTTCGCAGACGCTAAACTTGCCAAACACTTTATTCACAATAAAATGTTTCTCAAATAAAATCAAAAAGCACAATCACAAGGAAAAAGACATGAAATCCATTTTTAAACCGGGTCCAGTTTGTCGATTGTAGGATCCCATAATTGCTGTTTCTGTTGTATGATTTGCTCAATGTTGGGCTTAAACTTCTTTCCAATTTTTTATAACGGAAAAGGCTGGACTCACAGATTCTGGAACGAAGGCAGCAATCTGTACCTCAAGTTTATCGTCAATTTTCAACACACAAGCTGCATTTCTGCAAAAAAAAAAAAAACAATAACAAGTTGCCATCATAGCCAAGAAAAACTTGTAAAGGTTGCAATAAAGAGGTGCTGAGAAAATAGTGATGAGTTTGTGACTTGGAACTACCCAGTAGCCATCGAAACACATCTAAGACGTAAATGATTATTCCGTTTTCGCATATTCGAACCTGATGCGCTCTGATGATTAGTTCTATTCCCAAACGATGGCAAACTTCATCAATCACCTGAAAAAAAAAACCTGAGAACTGATTTTCCGTGGAAACAAACGTTGGTACCGAAAGCGAAGCCTGAACCCCGTGAACTTGTTTTCCACTCGTGGACTGCCAAATCAGGGTCCGCCCACAGCATATCATTGACCAGACCACGAAAAGGATTGCGAATAGGTTTTGGATGATCGCGTAGAATCTAGAGTCTTTTATTAAAAGTTTAGAGATATTTCTCGATATTCGCTGTGGAAAACAACATTGAAAACTGGCCTTATTCTAAGACTCAATTTAATTTTCTCAAAAACTTCGAATGTCACTCGGGAGAATCATATTTCATATTCCTGAACGTTACCGCAGGGAGAGTTTGAAGGAGTTTAAGGAAAAAGGTTTTCCTACATTCACATATATTCCACTTTTCAAGTCAATAAGACTCGCAATTCACGGGCTCCCAAATGCCCTTGAAAAGGTTTCAAAAAGAAGAATAGGGAACTAATTTTTGAGTTTTTTTTTTTTCAAAAGCTTTTTTTCAGTTCCTTCTGGAATTTTCCCGTGTAACTCAAAAATATCAATTCACCAGATTCAAACTCATTTGAATCCTCACATTTACGATGCCTAAAATTTCACGGCATCAGGTTTCTGTTTAGCACAGTTAAAAAAAAGAATAAAGATTCCGTTCTCAAGATTCAGGTTCTAAAAAGTCCGTTCCCAACATCTAAAGTGGTGAGCGATGGAGAAAGGCCGCCATGCATGCACAGGATTTTGGTCGCAACGAGAGCTGCGATCGGAAGTTGGTTGAAGCATCGCTGAAACCTTTCTTTTTCCGAACTTCGCAACCTCTACCTGGAAAAGCGCCCAAATTTCTTCGCCGTTGGGAATGTGATTGAGGCATTCGTCATAAAATCCATACTTTTTGTTCACTCGAGCTATTTCGTGGTTTCCTCGAAGTAAATAAATTCCTTCTGGATAGCACACCTGAACTTCACCGTCAATCAATCAAAAAAAAAATTTGTGGTACCTTGTATGAAAAAAGAAGCATTATGCATTCTATGCTCATCATCCCACGATCTACGTAGTCTCCTGAAGGTTTATTATAATAAAACGCAAAAAGGACAGCCTAACAACCTGTGAAGACGTACTTCACGTGGGGAGGCCTTCCGATCAGAAGGAACATGTTGATGAGGTCGTTGAACTGTCCGTGCAAATCACCGACGACCACGCAAGGCGGGTCCAAGTCCAAGAGGGCTTTTTCGCCTCAAAGCAATTGTTTTTTTTTTCTTCAGAAAAACGCCAAGACTTACTGGAAAAGACTGTAGAGGCCTCCTCGATCACGACTTCGAACTCGCGTTTCTTGTAGCGAATTTTGTGAACCTAAGGGATTTTTGCCAGATATTTATTAGAAACTGTCATTAATCGTTCTCTTTTTCAATGTATTGTGGCGAAGGTCTAGCCAAGCTGCATCTTTCATTCTTTATACCCCTGCTTTGATGACATTGTAGTGGCGCTCGATGAGTTTTTCGTAGTTCACGCGTTCGGAAGTGACTGCTTCGGCGGTCTTCTCCATTTGCAGGTCGATCTTCCGCGTCGCTTCTTTTTTCTCTTTAGCTTTGCTCTTGGCGATTGCTTTGGAGATCCTAAATTCCTTTGCTGCCTGGTTATTCTGATACGGAATGAAGCAACCTGGACTGGGTGGCGAGAGCTTCACGAGCGGCTGGCGGCAAAACGTAGGTACTCATGCACGTTCCCCCCGAGGCCATCCTAAAGTTTCATTTTGTTTTTATTCCTTTCCAGAAGTTGTATCTTACATTTCAGAAACTCCTTTGTGGTTGGTTTTTGACCTGCAAACGTCCATAAATGAAGTTTTTTTTCGTTAGTGATATCAGGTGAGCAACTGAACTTACTCCGACTTTCGAAAAATAGGCCGATCATCTCGGATAGTGAGCAAAGCGTTTTTTTTCTAAAAATAAAAAACAGAGCAGTAAAAAAAAAGAGGGAGGAAAAACCTTTGAGGGAGTGTAGACGCTGACAGGCGTCATCTACATTATAAATTGACTTTATTGAAAATTCTAAATGAGTCAAACAGCTCCTGTTCTTCTCGAGAAAGCGCATGTTGATACGTTGGCTGACGGTTCATCTTTGTTTTTCTTGTCGATTTTGGATCTTTCACCGTTTGGTGCTTTCGGCTTTTGACAATACTTTAAACAACAATGTTAAGTTAAAATAATAGAATCATATTAAAGCTCGTAGACCTCCGACTGAAGAACATTCTCGTTTAGCGGCATTCCTAGGAAATAGCCACTTTACTTTCCAATTAATCATTTTTCAAACACGGATTTATTAATACAACTTTCATCTTTTCGAATCTTCTCTTGAATCACTTTTTCATCGTCGAGCAATGAACGTGAATTAGTATATAAACTACTGAACGCTTTTGTCGCCAGCGTTGATCAGAATTAGGCAAGTGTGCTCTATGGAAACCACGAAACTTTTTTTTACATTTCTAAAACATTTCATTATTTTATTTTCTTATAGTTTAGATAGTTTTTATTCTGTTCAGCTTATTGAAAATGTATGAAATACAGATTTATTCTAAGAAATTAGTGTTTAAGAAAAATTGAGCGCGCGTCTAAGCTCCTAATTTCGCAGCTTTCAAATTTTATAACTTTCTATTAATTAGAAAAAAACTTTTCAGAGATTAATAGCTTTTTTTCAAATTTCTGTTTTTAAGGTTGAGAATGAGGATCGGTCACGCTCTTCGAATCAGCAACTCGGTTGCAAACTTCAGTCAAAAAACGGGCTTCGGTCCAAACCGATTATTTCGTAAAGGAACGCATTTTGTTGGCACCGAGCCCCCTGCCCTCAAGTATCACTTGGTAATTTTTAAAAAAGTCATTCGAGCATTTTTTTTTTTCTTGAAGTTGCAAGATAAAAAACCAAGCGAACCGTACGGACTACAAGGATCGAGTCACCAATTACCTGGAACAGGAAAAGTTCACAGTCGACTACCTGTCAAGGTTTTCCAATAGATTATAAAAAGATGCTCAGAAAAAAATTTGTTAAGAATAATTCTTAAATCAGAGAATTATTTTGAAATGTAAAAAAAGCACAATGAATAGTCTTTAGAAGCTTATGGAACAATAAATCCCCAGATATTGAATATTTTCATAGGAGTTTGAGTCAATAACTTAATTTTCAGGTACATATGAAAAAGGACAAAGTTTACGCGTGGTGTAGTTGTGGGTACAGTGGAAACCAGGTGGGTGCTCAGTTTTTTTTCTGTATTTTTTGATTGATCTTAAGCCTCTTTGTGACGGTTCCCACAACTCGATACGGATTCCTGACTTGAAACTGAAACCTGTCAGGTTCATTCCCGAAAAGGATATGACCGTCTGGCTCTGTAACTGCAAACAAACCAAAAACAGGTTATTAATTGGGTTTTTTTTTCCGTATTTTAGAGTTTTTATGATTCTACAGACGCCCCATGTATGTATTACAGGCCATTCTGCGACGGTTCACACAAAAATATCACGGATGAAGACAAGAAAGCTGGTCTTTTCGATTAGAAACTATATCCCAATTTAGGAAGTTGTTATTGATGCTGCTTGACCTTTTTTGTACAGTTTTCCGAGGTTTAGTTGTTTTTTTTTTCGAATAAAATCACTCAAAATCCCCGAAATGGGGAAAAATCAGATCATATGTATTTTGAATCTCGATAAATGAGATATTATTGCGCGACTTGAATTAATTAATTTTTTTATCTTGTTTTTTTTATCAATTTTTCAAAGTAAAAAAATACGCCGATTGACTAGTGTAAGAAATTTAGTTAGGCGCAAGTGTTCTGCGCCATTTCAGTCCTTAGTGAATTTAGTTGTAGAGAAAAACGCTTTCATTTCACTATCAAAAAAGAAAACATCTATATGCGAAATGTTCTTTCTTTCTTCTGACCCTGAAACCAAAAATGATTGCAATAGATCGGACTTCATAATCTCGAACAAAACTTTTATTGAAAATTGATTTTATGAATAATAAGCTTCGCATTTCTTTTTTCGCACTTTTTCGAACAGAAATTTTTGAAAAGATTGAAACGTGAACTATTTGCTCACTGTGTAATATGTGCCGCGAGCAGATAACAGCGCCGCGAGCGCTCCATTCGCTTTTTTCATCTCTTATCTCTTCATTTCCGTATGGCTTTCGACTTGAAAATCTGGATTTGGTTTCTAAGAAATTGGACTTCAACTTATGTGGAACAGCATAAATTCCAATAATTGAAAAAATTAAGTAATGAGGGTGTGGGTGGCATCGTCAATCTTCTACGCGACTACCTTTGCCGTGTGCGAGCTGTTGAGATTTTCCGTCTCACGACTAGTCGATAATCCCAAGCGGCTTTCCGTGCAACTCCTGTTTGAGGTTAATTTTGCTTGAAATATACTCGAGTGAGTCTAAAAAACGTCTACTTGTCAAATCCTTCATAACTGAGGGAGTGAAAGGTTTCAAAACTGGAAAAGTCCTTTTTTTTAATGCTTTCCTCAATTTTTCGAAACACAAAAATAGAAAAAAGCAATCTAATTTCGTGTAAAAGTACTCACGGAAGTCCAACGGAATTCAAGCTTTTCTCTCATTTTTGCCTATCTGTATATCTGGGTGTAGCTTGAAGTTCGCTTCTGGAAGTAGTTTGATAAGGTCACGGTGTTTTTTTTATTACGCAAGGTCAAGACTTTTCGTAAATTATGATGCTTAGGGTGTAAGCACACCGAGACGCAATATCGCATACTCAAAATGTTTTTTTTTCAATTTTAGAATTTGCGATTTCAGGATAATAGCTCCTGAAATGTTCGAAATTTGTCAGTTTGAAGAATATGATGTGAAATAAACATTCACTTACGTTAAAAAAACATTTAGGAACGATTTCAAGAGGGGAAAAACTCTAAATTACTGATTACAAAGTAAAAAAACAAAAAAATAATATGAAGGTGAAGCAGCTCCCATTGAATAAGCATTTATAAATACGAAAAAAATATTGAAATGAGGAAAAATTCGAGGAGCAAATGAAAAAAACATTTTATATACCTCGAAAACCTAGTTTCAGAAAAAAACAAATAATGGATAGAAAGCAGAAATTTTTAGAAAAAAACCTCGTATGGCGAAATTTTTTTGTTTAAATCCGAAAAAAACCATCAAAAAAACTAGAAAAAATATATAATTTAGATGATTCATATATCAAAAATCATTAAACTGCATCAGCAAATTCAATTTGGCTCTAATTTACACGAAACCGGTTTTTAAACTACGTCAAAGGAACTGGATAATAACTTTTTTTATTATTAACTGATTAAATTAAAAAAACTATAGTTCCCAAAAATAGAGTGACTCTTTTTCATGTCGCGAAACAGATTTCCAAATTTTGAAAAAAATTAGGACTTTTTAGAAAAAAATCTTCAGCTCTTTTGAAAAAAAGTTAAAGATCTGAAACCGGTTTTAGAAAAAAATGCGCAATTTAAAGCTCCACAAGATGTACCCATAGAGAGGCGGATCACATAAATGCAAGAAATAGAAAAAAGTAAAAAACCCAGGAAAAAAGTGAAGAAATTCAATTTTTGCATCAGGAACCATGAGAAGGGCGCAATAATGCGCCACGGATAATATGCCGCTGGGACCCAAAATTTCGCATTTTTTTTCATTGCGCGGAACACCGTGAGGTATACATTATAGTTTCGAAAATTGACCGTTCGACCGACCGTTCGACCAATATTTTTTCAACATGTCATAATAAATGGTCATTGGTCGAACGGTTGGAGTTTCAACATTTCAACATGTCACTTCAGAATGACATGTTGGTTTTTGACCGTTCGAAATGTCACTCTGAAATTGGTCGGTCATTTTTCGAACGTTCGAAATGTCACTTCGAAATTGGTCGGTCAGTTTTTGACCGTTCGAAATGTCACTCTCAAAATGGTCGGTCATTTTTTGACCGTTCAAAATGTTACTCTTGAATTGGTTGGTCATTTTTCGACCGTTCGAAATGCCTATTCGAAAATTTTCTCTTACGCTGGAGGTGAGGGCTCGTGCGCGAGACACATTCCTTCTTACTGCGTTCCAGTCTTTCACGTGCAAACTTTGAGCCGTCATAATTTGACTACGAGGCAAAAGGCGAGATATTTTATTTTTGATTTGGAATCAGCATGCCTTAAAGTACACCCCTGCGAAGTTTCATCAAAAGTTCAACCGGGGGATAAAAACAGTTCCCTTGTCAGAGTAACTAGGAGCTTATTCATTATCACGAAGCACGCGGAGTTTTCTCAAAATTCCATACTTTTCGCAAACGTTGATTCAATTTATTTCATTTCAGACATTTCAAACTTTTTTCAGTCAAATTTCGATCGTTTGAAACGCCATTTCAAAATTGGTTGTTCATTTTTTGACCGTTCGAAATGTCACTCTCAAAATGGTCGGTCATTTTTTGACCGTTCGAAATGTCACTCTCAAAATGGTCGGTCATTTTTTGACCGTTCGAAGTGTCACTCTGAAAATGGTCGGTCATTTTTCGAACGTTCGAAATGTCACTTCAAAAATGGTCGGTCATTTTTCGAACGTTCGAAATGTCACTTCAAAAATGGTCGGTCATTTTTTGACCGTTCGAAATGTCACTCTGAAAATGGTCGGTCATTTTTCGAACGTTCGAAATGTCACTTCAAAAATGGTCGGTCATTTTTTGACCGTTCGAAATGTCACTCTGAAAATGGTCGGTCATTTTTCGAACGTTCGAAATGTCACTTCAAAAATGGTCGGTCATTTTTCGAACGTTCGAAATGTCACTTCAAAAATGGTCGGTCATTTTTTGACCGTTCGAAATGTCACTCTGAAAATGGTCGGTCATTTTTTTCGAACGTTCGAAATGTCACTTCAAAAAAATGGTCGGTCATTTTTTTGACCGTTCGAAATGTCACTCTGAAAATGGTCGGTCATTTTTCGAACGTTCGAAATGTCACTTCAAAAAAATGGTCGGTCATTTTTTTGACTGTTCGAAATTTCACTCTGAAAATGGTCGGTCATTTTTCGAACGTTCGAAATGTCACTTCAAAAATGGTCGGTCATTTTTTGACCGTTCGAAATGTCACTCTGAAAAATGGTCGGTCATTTTTTTCGAACGTTCGAAATGTCACTTCAAAAATGGTCGGTCATTTTTCGAACGTTCGAAATGTCACTTCAAAAATGGTCGGTCATTTTTTGACCGTTCGAAATGTCACTCTGAAAATGGTCGGTCATTTTTCGAACGTTCGAAATGTCACTTCAAAAATGGTCGGTCATTTTTTGACCGTTCGAAATGTCACTCTGAAAATGGTCGGTCATTTTTCGAACGTTCGAAATGTCACTCTCAAAATGGTCGGTCATTTTTCGAACGTTCGAAATGTCACTTCAAAAATGGTCGGTCATTTTTTGACCGTTCGAAATGTCACTCTGAAAATGGTCGGTCATTTTTCGAACGTTCGAAATGTCACTTCAAAAATGGTCGGTCATTTTTTGACTGTTCGAAATGTCACTCTGAAAATGGTCGGTCATTTTTCGAACGTTCGAAATGTCACTTCAAAAATGGTCGGTCATTTTTTGACCGTTCGAAATGTCACTCTGAAAATGGTCGGTCATTTTTCGAACGTTCGAAATGTCACTTCAAAAATGGTCGGTCATTTTTTGACTGTTCGAAATGTCACTCTGAAAATGGTCGGTCATTTTTCGAACGTTCGAAATGTCACTTCAGAAATGGTCGGTCGGTTTCGTAAATTTCAGAAATTGGTCGGTCAAACGAACGGTCAGAAAAATGACATGTTATAACCGTTCGAAAAACTGAACGGTCATATCAGTTGAACGGTCTAATTGGTCGAACGGTCGAATTTTAGAACACTAGTATACATAGGGAGCGCAAAGCCCCACCCCTTCACGCCACCAAAATGACGATTTTTTTTGTTGCAAAAACGTAACTAAAGTTCCACCTTAAAATAAACTGTTTATGATAACCTATGTAATCGACAACGCTCTACAAGACTGAATATCTTTGAAATCATGTATTTTTCATGAATAAGCGAAAAAGTAAGATTTAACTCGAAAAAAAACTGACAAGTTTCACAAAATCGTCGCGTTTCAGAAAACCAAGTGAGAAACGCTTCTAAATTTTGAGTATGTTGTACATTAACACTTTCTTTATTTTTTTTGAGTTAAAAAAATTTAAAAAAATCTAACGACGCGAAAAAAATCGACGCTTGTAAAGTGACACCAAACTTTGAATCTGAAATGCGAAAAAATTTCAGCGACATGGTATACTTTTTTTATTTGATTTAAAAACTCCAAATGTATCCAAGAATGAAAATTCAGAATGAAAATAATCATTGGGAGAGCGAATCAAATTATATTTGAATTTTACCAAAACCTCCTTTTTTCGCCTGCCTCGTTGACGCGTGAGAGAATAGGATCGCGTCTATGCTTTTGATTATTTTATTAAGCGTTCAAAACTCTATCAATGAAAAAATTATGAAAAATCTAACGACGCGAAAAGAATAACAGCTTTGAAAACCTCGAAAAAATTGCCATTTTTTCTAAAATTTTGGAAGAATTCGTGCAAGTGTCTGTATCTGTGTTTGCGTCAAACACACCGATGCGCCCTTTTAAATGTTGCAGGAGCCGTTTTTCGGAGTCAAATTGAACTTTTTCCTGTTTTATTTCGAAATAACATTATTTTTCATTTTTTCTTTTTTCCAAATCGAATGATAATAATTTTTCTGAGTAGAAAAAAGAAAAATAAGCTGGAAAATCCTTTTGACCTTTTTTCTAGGTAGTTTTTTGATATTTTATCAAAAATTCTTATGAGGATTGCACAAAAGATTTATACCAAAACATGAGGCTCAGTTCGGACAATCTCTCAGAACAGAAAACCGATTCGAAAACGGTTCAGAAATGCGCAAAAACAATTAAAAAGAATGCGTGCGGCAGCGGGTAAACCGTGAGATTTTGCCTCCAGTTGAACACCGCGCGCGTTCGTTTTTTCGCCATATCTTTTTTCTTAGTGGACCTTTTTTCAAAAACTAAACGGATTATGAAAACTGACAGTCTCCTCTATCGAACATTGTGAAAAACATATTTTTTGGATCGTTTCGAAGAAATGACTTGCGGTCCCTAGGTATACACGCATGTTCAAGGCGGCCGGTCGTATTACGGTAGTCAAGCTAGGTTTTTCGGTAATAAAATGAAAACTTGTGTACTTTTTGTGATGTAACTTGTCTTGTCACCTTGAGAAATAGGTCCTTAACAAATTGCAAGGAAGAAAAAAATTTTTTTTAAATTTCCTGGCCCAGAAACTGACGGCGCAAAATTGACCGGCCACCGGCCGCCGTAGCACTGTCTTAAACATGCGTGTATAAGAAAGTCTGACAATTGGTATCACAGTTCATCGGAACCGTCCAAGTATGCGTCCCTATGTTCGACGTCGGCACCATCATGGACCACTATGGCATTATCGGCGTCTTCGTCGAAATAACTGTCATTGAATTGGCCAATTGCTACTTCATGCGCGACGCAGTTGCTCATCCTTGTCCTTTGGTTGGTTCGATCCACCTTCCACAGTCGATTACTTTTGTAGGTCACTTCATGTTATCGCAAAAGCAAGGCTATCCGTCGGGCTGTATATGTGTTTTTGGTGGAACTTGCGGCTGGTTCTCAAACTTCTCGTTGCGGTTAAAGTCTGACTATTTGTAGCTTATGCGTCCTATTTTTTGGCTCGAAGTTTTTGGAAACTAGGAGTGCACCCTGTTCACGAAGAACTTCTACACCAGGACACATGTACTTCTGACTTAACAGTTATTTTTTTCATTCTTTAAAATCTACAAAACTTTAGTTCAGTTTTGACTTTCGAAGGGCAACAACGAAAGTTAGGAAGGCAGTTTTTAGTAAAGTAAGGTCTTGTTTTGAATTTATGAAATACGAGCTTCACGATAAATCAATCAATAAAAGAAAAAAAAAATGAATGTCCAACACAGAATGCAAGAATATAAAACTCACTCAAAAAAAACTAGAGAATTATCAAAAAAAAAAAATTAGTCGTCTTGTACTCTGAAGTATTTCACAAATGCAAAAAAAGCCTAACTCTCCAAAAGTTCACCGCCCTAGCTTTCGTCTTTCGTAGTTGCTGAATAAAATGGCAGTTGAGGTCGCACTCACTACCGGAGCTTTGATCGAAGGAGCTGCAACATTCTTGGCCAAGGCTTTTGAAAACTTCATCGAGGAGCGCTATGAAGACACCAGGATGTGCTCCGTGGCTAACTGCATCTTCAGCGGCCTCCTGTGTGCCTTAGGTACCAAAAAATGACAAGTTTGAACGGTCGTTTGAAACCCTTTGGCCTCGAATTTTTAAAAGTTTGAAGAAGGCTCTGACAGCCCCTTTAATATTTAAAAAGGAAAGTACCATAGAAATCGCTAGGAGGTCTTTGAAAGACCTTTTTTGTAATTACGCCAAAAAAGAAGAATTTTTCTCAAAGGCATACACTACACTGGCATGTACGCCAATCCGATTGTTGCCTGGGCTTGTACTTTCAACTGCGAAGGGGTCTCTCATATCGGCCATCTTTTTGTCTACTGGCTCAGTCCGCTCATAGGATGGTGAGATTCTCGAGAGATTTTCATCGAAAAGTAATCACTCCTCAATTTTCGCATTTAGGTACATTGCCGAAAAAGTTTTCGGCGAAGTGGACGTTGATTTCGGAGAAGATGACATCGCAGTAGAACAAATCAAGAAGACGGAATAGAAAAAAAAAACGATTCTATGATGTGCAATAGCTTTCAGAATACGTGTCGATTTGTCGCAGAAATGAAGTGGTATTGATTTCTTTCCTTTTTATTTTTGACATAAGGAACCAACACTCAATAAAAATAGACAGAGCGGTTGCCTCGGGGCGCGTAATTCTGGTGATGAATCCGCGGTTCTGGACAACAGTCTCCAACCGCTTCAATGCGTTCTTTCTGTGAAATTTCGGTTATTGGTAATTCGTTTTGCTTTTAGGCGACCTTTTTCGGGGTCGTTTTTTGGTGATACATGTAGTCTCCGATGTAAGCCGAATTCTGAAATTTTTGCGTTGTCTTTTCTTTTTAGATAAAATTTTGAGCACATTTAAAAATGCACCAGTATAAAAAAACTATTGGTTGCTAAATTTTTCTTAAAGGCATAGGGGCAATAAAAATGGGGTTTCAGGTGAAAGCAGTATCTTGTATAGTTTTTCTTTGCGAATCGAACGGTGTACTCAAAAAAATTACAGATGTGACAACTTTAAAAGAAAAACGCGATTTCACTTTCCCGCCTTTAATTTTGAAAAAAGCTTTGGATCGGTATGCAGACAACTGTTTACAGTAGCCGTGCACGCGATGCTGCGGACGTCTCATTAGACTCGCATTTTGTCAGAAATAACCGGGTATCTGCTTCAAATTAAGGGTTTCTTCTCTGAAAAAAACATTTAATCAAACAAAAAACACATACCGATAATAAAGAAAACACAAATAATCGCTATCCCAATCGAAACTTGTGTAAAATCATCATTTTTCACCAGAAAAGCTTTTTTGCGATCAAAGTTCGCAAATTATACATGAATCGAAGGCTTTGATGACGAAAAAAACTCTGGTGACAACAGAAAAAATTGAAAATTAAAAGAAACGAAGAAAAAAGCTAAAATCCGGAAGATGGCGAACCCTTTTGTCCATAGAGCAACTTTACTGCAACGCGCCCTTTTCGCGGGAACTCAAGCTTTCTTTTCACAGACTTTGAATTATTTTTTCTCCAAAACTAGGAATTTCTGTACGTTTCCAAGTTCACCGTTCGATTTGCAATGAAAAACTCTACAAAATACTGCTTTGAACTGAAACACCGTTTTTTACTGCCCCTATGCCTTTAATAAAATTTCTTCCTGAAACTAACTTTTGTTTCTTTTTTTGTTGAATGTTGCCAATCTAGTATTATATTTTGAAGACTCAGATTTCTTCTAGACAAGTCTGTTTCCTGAAAAATGTCAACTCCAATGTGTTTTTGAGAAGATACGTACCACTTCACTGAGAATAAGTTGGTATGGCGGCGGGCAATAAAAATACTCCTCCGCTTTCTGCAGAGCGGCCGTCAGGTAGTGGCTGAGTATTGACAAGCAATGTGGCTGGTGAGTTTCCTATTTGATTGCAAAATATAAAACGAGCCTTCGTCACTCAAGAATTAAGAAAAGAGAAAAGGAGAAGAAAAAACAGACCGCTATATTTTGGAGAAATGTCACGATCTATTTTAAAAATACTACTTCCTAACCTGCCCATACTCCAATTCGGCGAGTTTTGCAGACGCCTTGTATTCGGCAACCAACAAAAATTCGGTTAGGATTTTCATAGACCCAAAACTTACCAAGACTTTATCGGGAATATTACGCCAAGGTAGTTGACCGACCATGTTCTCGATGGCGACGTAGTAGACAGACCACAGGTCGTCCCAGGTACTGGCGTCCTAGGGAAAGTTCAACTCAAAGACCCCGGAAATGAGCTGAAACCTGTCGATGGTGGATATTAAGAGAGACGTAGCGCAGGGTGCCGTGGAACGAACAATGCGGTTTGCGTGGTTTGATCTTTCCGTTCGGCGCCACGAAGCAACGGCTCATTCCGAAGTCGAGGACGAAGAGAGACCGTCCGTCATGAGCCCCAACGCAGAAATTGGCCGGTTTGACGTCTCTGCACTGGTTTTACGTCTCCGCCTTGGCGGTCAACGGGCGTTAGCTAATCGGTTGTCGTTTGTTAGCTAACACTGGAAAATAGCTACTCGGTAGCATACGCCGGACTACCTGGTATTGTCAAACCTTTGCGACTTGAAAGGCGAGATGGGTAAATTGACAAGGATGACTCGTACATGGCGCAACTTTTGGCGGGAAACTAGAAACGCGAGCCTCTTTTTTTCTTTATGTTTTTCTCCTTTTTGGACGGTTCTTCGATAGATTTTTTCAGAGGTTCTCAAAATAATAAGTTGAACGAAAAAGGTATAAAAATCATAAAAAAACTTATTTTCTTCTAAATTTTTTCCATGACCTCGGGACCCCGCCAAGAGTCCACCGATATGCAAAACTTCATCCTTGCCCATCTGCCCAAATCTTGAATTAACTATAGCCATTGAAAATGTCAGGTAGGATAGTGATGGTATCCATATACATCTTCGGTATTATCCAGATACCATAGAGATGGAACCTTTAAGCTAGTAAATGACCACCAATTAGCTTACGCCGAAGGATTTTGGAGAAGCTACTCTGGTGCTACTTGTACTTTTTCCCGATTGACTTACCCACTAACTAATTACTTAGAACACGCCTCCTCTGAGAAAATCGTTAAACTTCAATTATTAAAAGAATGATAAAAATAAACATTCTTCAAGACGGCGATACCATATGCTTCAAAGTGATGACAGTTGAATAGGTACTTCCGTATTTTCGAACTTTGTTTCAGATAGCTCTTCCCATTCTCAAAGTTATTTCGAAAACATATAACTCGTTTTACCTAAAACACTTTTTTTTCCATTTTCTGAGTTATCAGCGAGCACTGATCGATCAACGCATACACAGTGGATCAATAAATGAAAAAAAGATACAGTTTTCAGCCTTCTGCTTGAAAAAATTTGAAGAACTGAAAAAGCGCCTTTTCTATTTTTTTTTTCTTTTTTTCTTTTTTTTTCTGGCACATTTATATGTGGCAGCGCGTCATATAATTGTGGTTTTTCCTATATATTTTTTTGCGAAGAAGTTGTGGCTAACCGATGAAGCCAGCCCAACGTGTGCATGGTTTTCATGGCGTCAATCATTTTGTACAGAATCCACATCGAAGTACCAATACTGCAAAATTTCATCAAAAACTGTGCGATCATCATTTTTCGTGTTCTCTCGGTTTACATATAGCTCCTTCACAAATTAATTCTTATCAACTTTCGAGAGCGAATATTTATTATAGTCCAGGGTTGAAAAAAAAAACAAAAACTTTTAAAGGAAGAAGGAGCACGGGTGAAATATATAATGTATGCTCATTTTATGCATAATATTTCCATGTCCTAGACCATACTTTCAAAAAGTGAATACCAATTCAGATATTTCAAAAATGCGCAAAAATTATAGTATGAAACGGCCTATGAAGACCATTTGATTTATTTTCCTTTTTTTTTTGGGAAACTAAGTGAATAATTTGAAAAGTTAAAAAAAACCTGAACCGATCGAATTCAGTTGTCTTTTTCAAATCTCTCACATTCATGCCGCATTTTTCCATCGCCTAAAAAAGTTGGTGCAAGGCTGGGGGAAAAAAGCTCCTAACCATATATCGAACATTTCCCACGACGCCATAGCCGAAATAACGTATGAACGGCTCAAAGGAACTCTTTTCTTGAGGATTGTGTGCACGGTTTAAACTGCGTAAACAGTGTGCCTCAGAAGCGAGAAGTTGAATCTGAAAACCCTTCCAAGCCTCTACTTCTCCTCCAAACTTACAGAGGCCGAGAGAGACTCAACTTTCAAGGCAACGTTTTCGCCTGAACACCCTTCGACTGCATCGAAGACCTAGAAGGTAGACGAGAATATCCTTTCAGCATGAAAAGTTTCCCAAAATTTTGTTCGAGGAAATCTGATTTCGAAAAAGATCTCAAGAGGCCTAAACGTTCTCTTCCACGTGCACGTACGTGTGGAAGAAAAAAAAATCATCAAATTTGTTATATGCTTTTATTCCGTTAACTTCGAAGTTCTTGATTGTTTCTCAAACTTAAAAACTCAAAAGATAAAATTATTTTCTTTTTTTCTAACAAAAAAATCTCGATTTTAAAAATCAAACCTGTCCGAATCCCCCTACACTGATCATGCGATTGACGTAAAAAATGTCCAAAAATTCGCCTTCTCGTATCAAGGAAGGATCATCAACTTTGAGTTCCGTGTGCAGGGGGGCCATCTCAAACAACTTTTTGTAAACAGAAGCTAGAAGAAAACATTTCATTTTCGAAAGATACAACTGAAAACCAACCAGATAAATCTGAAAGTGAGTGATAAGCAATGAGCTCGACATAACCGAAGTTCACGTTGCTCAAAATTTACATGACACCTTCCCATGAGTTTCAGCCGTACATAGCTATATAGACAAACCTAGGCAACCTAATTAGTAGGACTATATACCTGAAACCAGCTTGGGCTATAAGATTTCTGAGCGTTTTAAAACCTAGCGACTATATAATCATTTGAAATCTAGTAAGTTTTCTTCCATGAACTGATTTGAGATACATAACAATTATATAGCAGCTACCCAATCCAGTTCAACTAGTCACTACATAGCCGCATCGTTGCCTGGGTGGTTTGCCACTGTAAAAGCCGTCAAGGTTTGAAATAGAAAGTTTATTGACAATCATAGAAAATTACATGTCATTCAAAAAAAAATTTTAATTTCTGAATACTTACAAATGAGAAGCCAATATAAAGCAATTAAAAATCAAAAAAAGAGGCAAAATGAACATTCCAAAAATTAAAGTTTTTTGCTCGCCTCCAATGTGTTGCAAACCGAGAACACTGAAAATAGCTTTCTATTTTTGAAAAAAACGGCTTAAATTAACGAACCGTTTTCTAGCAGCGAATTTTCCTTCTCCAGCAACTCTTGCTCCATTAAAAGTGTTTCAGAGATTTTCGAGAATATCTCGGAAGCCTTCGTCTTTTCTGCCAGACGACTTTCCGCAAATATCATTTCTTCTTCCAAAAACTTCACTTTCTATAAAAAGTTCCAATTATTAAAAAAATCGGACGTGAATCTTATTATTCAACGATAATATAAGCTACTCTAGGAGATTTATTTTGAAAATTGTGCCAAAACATGAAAAAATTTAAAAAACTATTATGACCTTTTAGTTTTCTATTATGACCTTTTAGTTTTAATTTTTTTTTTTCAAAATTGTCGAAGAGTAGTGCTAACTATACTCAAAAAAACTTTTTCCCCAATAACTTTCATTCAAAAATTAGGATATAAAAAAACCTGTAAATTTTGAAGAAATAACTATACGATATCAAGAGAACTCCACGTGAACTAGCTCACCTTCCTTTAGAATTTTATTATCTTCCTGAATTCGTTTAATGTCTTCTGTGATCCCTTTGACGCTCCCTTGAATTAGTCGGAATGAATTAATAACAGGAAATTATATCTAACCTTTTGAAGTGGATTTATATGCGTCGACACTTTGTTTGAATTCTTTGACGATTGCTTCACTGAAACTGAAAAATGTTCCCGAAACTTCATTGGTAACTCACAAACTTTTCATATTCTTTCGTTCATTTAGTAAAGTTTGTGAATCAACTTCTGTGATTTTCTAAAATAACACAGCTTTAACATTATTCACTTCAAAAAGAACCTCTATCCGATTGAAAACGCCGCCCAAAGAAGTTTCAACGTCAATGTACGAGTTATTCATCGTGAAGGACGAACTGAAAATCGTTAAAACTGAAACCCGTTTTATAATATAAAAAGAAAAACTTCGTCAGTCAGCACGTTCAAATTAATTTCAAACCAGTGACTCGGGCAAGGCAAGTTTTAAACCAGTGACTCGGACAAAACTGAAAATCTGCTCAAGTTTTTCTCAAAAAAAAAAATCTTGTAAGGGACACCAGCAGATCTTGTTTATCTCATTTTATTTCATCTTTGCATATTTTCCACATCCTTTAACAAAAAGGATGCTGAGAAGCAACTAAAAAAAGATACGAGTGGATTCAAAAAGGATCCGCTCAGGATATGAAAAAAAGGAGCTCAAAAAGTTTTCCATTTATCATTTGTATTTAATACGAACAGATTTAAAAAAATGGCGTTTTTTTAGTATACTTGACCATGCTTAAGGAATTTATGAACTTTATAAATTCATATTTCTCTGTGCTTGAGATCGAAAATACTAGAAGAGGCTTAATATTTATTCAGAAAGCTTTTCAAAAAATGTTCAAAGTAATTCCCGCGAAAATGCAAAATGGTCTCCGATCAATCCTCCAAAATTTAGTTATCTTTCTTTTTCTCTGACGCCTATTTTTAATTTCGCGGAATCACTTTGAACACGGCATTAAGTTCTAATCAATGTGACTCAACTTTGATGCCGTGTTCAAAGTGATTCTGCGAGCTCGCAGAACTCGCGAGTTAATGGCGTCTCTGACCCCAGGCGCCAGCTATCCGCCAGAAAAAGTCATTTCGCCAGCTCGCGCCCATCAAATTTGTGGCGGTTTCCTGGCGATTCTCTGGCGACATAACCAATAGCGCGAATTTGCTTTTATTACTGTATTTTATATTTCGATCTAAAATTTTGGGACTCGCGTTTTTTGTCTTTTTGTTTTTCTATTTGATTTTTTGCTGATTTCACGATTTTTCAGTGTTCGTTTCCTGTTTTGTCCAAACTAGCGCAGAAGCGATGCCGCAATGCAGTTTTGATGTAACAAGCAATTTTTTTCTTGATTTCATTTTTTTTCTTTTTGTAAAAAAATTCAAAAAAAGCTGTCTATAGAAGTAGAAAAACTGTAGGTTGCGTAGGTCGTTCAAAGAAAGAAACGCGATTTTTTTGCAGGACAATTAAATTTATAAGATAGTTTTTTTACATCTGGAGTTTTGCAGCAAAGGCACGTATCCTCCTTCAAACGAAACAAAAGAACAGACTTTAGTTGAAAAGAAGTTTAAAAAAAGTCAGAAAAATTATTAGAATATAAACCTTTTTGTTATTTGTGTAGAGCTCAGTAAATGTGATGCGACGGAGGGTTTCAGGTTTGAAAAAAACAACAGCTTGAAAGGTTGGTAAATAAGAAAAATTCGAATTATTTTTCTCGATTTAGTTTCGTGGATGATCAACCGCTCTAAAAAGCTTAATGTTTTTCATGCTGAACTTCTCTTTCCGTGAGGCTGAAAGAACGACTCCAGTTGAATTAGTAAGTGTTTTTCGACTTTTTTTCCTCAAAAAGCTTCCTTCAGAAAAAAAGCATCGTCAGGAAGTCCCCGTTACGGCTGAAGGATGTTTTTCCTCTGACTTTGGTAAGTTTTGGATTTCATGTAAAGCACTTCATCGATATATTTTTCGATCTCACCCGACGGCGTCATGATGTTCATTGCAAATGGATAACGATGCTTTGACCAAAAATACGGAGAACGGGTTCGACGCAAAATGTCCGCGAAATTTTTCAAGTTTTTTTATATTTGTAAACTTTACACGTTCATCAACTTTATGAGCCTCAAAAAAATATCTTGATGCACCCAAATTATTAGTATTTTTGTGTCCGTAAAAAAATTCAGCTTTATCTATTTTTTTACGGACTTTTTTTAGGGATCGAAATACTCACTTCGCATTATTTTTTTCTTTATTTTGTGGCCATTTGAAGTAAATTGATAAATGGCTCAAAGTTTTCTTCACGAGTAAAAAAATTTTTTTCTTTTTCGAAAAAAACTTTGTATAAGAGTCTTCTATTTAATTCTCTATAAACTAATTTTAAAAACTTAAGCCATTTATTATTAATAGAGCCTTTACCACTTTACGGCCTTAGATTATAAAACTTCCTCAAACTTTTTTTTACAACAGAGACTCTAGTATTGCTCTTTTATCCTCTGAATTTCAACCTTTTGCTCGAAGAATGTGCGAAAATAACTTCAGAGAATTTGTTAAACAGCTTAATGTATCAATTAAAAAAATTTTTGAAAGGATTTTTTTAACTTTGTCTCCGATATAAATTGACTGCTCGTCGATATCACTTCTTAGATGCGTTGGAGCTTTAAAAATTTCTCTCTTCTTTTTGGTATTTTGAAGCAACAAATAACTCTTTGCATATTATCGAAAAATTGAAAAAAATTTTTAAATTTTAAAAATTTTTTTGCGTTTACGAGCAGTCAACTTCAAGTTTCCTTTTATTTCTTCGGATTTTTTTGGCTTACATTTTTCTAAGGTGTAATTTTTGGTAAAGTTTTTGATGTTCTGTTATTATGATCTTTTTCGAATCGAAAGATATTGTTTTAAATTAAGTTGTAAACTTTGCAAGCGTTTCCTTCTTATATCTCATTTTTTTCAAGTTCTCTTCATGTTTGATTTTATATGTTGATTTTATTTCCATTAAATGTTGTATTTTTTTGAAAAATAATAAAAGTTGATAAAATATATTTTTTTAGTATAAAAAAATAACAATATTGGAGGAAGGGAAATGATTGAAAAAAGGGGGAATCTGCGCGCTATAGATAACCCTGGCGAATTTCTGGCGCGTTTTTCGCCAGCTCGCCGCGATATGGCGCGCCAGCTCGCGAAAGACGGGGCGCGCGCTGGCGAAAGATTGGCGGAAAGCTGGCGACTGGGGTCAGAGGTGTTCATCGGACAAAACGAAAATTGCTTCGAAACGCAAAAAATTGCTCCAAAACAAAAATTAGTACTGTTTTGGAGCAACTTTGGCGTACCGATGAACACAATTTTTCGTTTCGAAGCATGTTCCGTTTCTCCAATGAACACGCCATAAAAAATGGAAAAAAAACAAAAACAAAATTCAAACTGCGCGCTTTTTCAAGAAATGGGTCTTGCAACGACATCAGGCAGCATGCAGCGAAGTGACGTCAGAGTCTTTCCAGCGCGTGCAGCTTTCGCAAAAAAATATTTTTCTTCACTCGCTCAACGTTGGCATAATTATTTTTTTTCTCCAAAACAGTACTAATTTTTTTGTTTTGGAGCAATTTACTTTGCGTTTCGAAGCAATTTTTCGTTTTGCCCGATGAACACGCCATTAGCTTCTTCATGTAAATTGGAAACAACTTTTTTTAAATTTCCGATAAGTGTTTCTTTTTTGTTTTTTTCTAAGTGTTTCCGCAAAATTCGAAATACATTTTACAATTTTTCGGGAGCTACTTTAAACATTAATTGAACAGCGGTTAGTTACTATAGCGTATTAAAACAACAAAAGATTTTAAACAGTGCACCCAGTACACTGCAGTGTGATAAAAATCTCAGAATCTTTCTCCTTTGGAAATATTTGATATTAATCTTTCTTGTCCATTTAATTTCCATGTACGTATTCGATATATATTTTAGGACTACACGAAATGTCTTTTCTCAGTGGTGAAGGAGATGATTCTTCCAATCCAACCATTACAACTTTGAAAATACTCATAATTGGCGAAAGTGGAGTGGGTAAATCAAGGTGAGAGCATTTTCTTTTATATTATTAATAATTTGTTTCAGTTTGATGCTTCGTTTCGTCGACGACACTTTTTGATCCAGAGCAGGCCGCAACAATAGGTACGTTTTTTTTTATTTCTCCGATTTTATTCTTTTTCTCCTTTTTTAATGTTTTAAATAATTTCCATCGTATTCTTTTTAAAAATTTTTTCTAAAAATATCGTTGACCATCCTTCGAAAAGTTTTTTTTCAAGTTCAAATCTTCCGAGCGAACATTCAGAGCTGAAAAGCGATTTAGTACGTTTGTTTTATTTTCGATCTATTCAGAAGCGGTTGTTTGTGGGCTTATAGATCCATAAGTTAAACTTAGGTCCTATAAACACGATTTGAATATCAGGATATGTGAAAATTTTCCTTGTCTCATTTTTGCTCATAAACGTCGAAAATTTCATTCATTGAGTTTCGATGTGTGTTACGGTTTTTTCGAACAAGTTTCTCTTCTTTTTTTTTATGAGGTATAAGTTATATAGGTGTTTTTAGGTGTTGATTTCCGGGTCACTTCTATGAGCATTGATGGAAACCGGGTAAAACTCGCCATCTGGGACACAGCTGGACAAGAACGTTTTCGAACTTTAACCCCGAGTTATTATAGAGGGGCCCAAGGCGTCATTTGCGGTGATTTTGTTCGGTGCTCGCAGATAGAACCTTTATTGTTTTTTCAGTGTACGATGTTACAAACCGTAGCACATTCGAGCGACTGGGTCATTGGATGACGGAAGTAGACACGTATTCAACCAAAGATGAGGCTGTAAAAATGATTGTCGCTAACAAAATTGATATGGTAAGTGATTTTGATCCTGTCAGTTCAGTTTTCTGAATCAATGAACGGAAAAAAAACTTTCACCGCAATTATTCTTAGCAGTAATTTCATTTTTTGTAATAATAACTTCCAGTCTCCTAAGTTTGCCATACTATATGAGAATTCTCAAAATTTCCGTCTTCTCATAAATAATTTTCGCCTGATTTTTTTGGACACTTCGATAAGAAATGGAAAGGCCACACTTGTGTTGATTTTTCTGTTTCCTTCATATCATGATTTTCCTCTGAAAAGGGTCAACCAATTGTTTAGTTAAGATTTTAGCGCTTCGAACTACATGCAACCCCCAAAACTAAGGTTTTCAAAAGAACGAAGTTCAAAAATGTTTTGATAGACCGGTTTTTGTGTGATGCGGTAGAATTGCGAAATAAATTTTGGTATAAAAAAGATTTCCACAAGAAGATTTCGTCCAACATAATCTTATGACAAAAGTCGAGAATATGCATTAAAATTTTGAATAGTTGCACTCGTCAATGCGGGTTAGGGAGTTGAAATTTATTTAAGATTTTGTGGACTTATTTTATTAATAGATTTACGTCGCATTTTTTTTCGTCTTTCGTTCTCAATTTTGAAAAAAATCTCAACGAAAATGTTTGAAATAACAAGAAAACCTCATTAAAAACTATAATACTTCACATAACTTGGAACCATGAAAACGATGAAAAATTTTTTTAATTGTTTTTAATTTAAAAATGAAAAATTTCACAGCGTGTTTTCGTTTGTCGCCAAGTGATTTTAGAAAACTTTTGTTGTCTGAATTTTGTTTTCGCGTTCCCACTACGTCGCTTTTGTAGGCTTCAATTTTTCCTAACGCCAAATGAAGAAAAAATTTTTTTTTCTTCAAGTTTATCTGTTTAGGACTTATTTCTTTCATCAAAGGATTAAATAAAAAAGCCAAGAACTTTTTCACCAGTCTTAAATCTCTCTCAGGTCGAAAAATTTTTTTTTTTCTATCATTACCTTCCTAAGATTAGAGATAAAAATTTTAATTTATTATTTTGGTAAATGTATGCAACTCTTCCCGTACAAACGAAGTTCTGTACTTTTTCATATATTTTACCAGTCCGTGAACGTTTCTTATTATTCTTCATTTCATATTTCAGCCGAACCGCGTTGTCACTCGAGATGAAGGGTTGAAGTTTGCGAAACGGCACAGAACTTTATTCATCGAAGCTAGTGCGAAAACTAAAGAAGGAGTTCAATTGGCTTTCGAGGAGCTCATAGAAAAGGTTTTTTTTTTCTTGATATTCTGCTACTCGCAGTTTGGTTTTTTGTTTAGATAATACAAACACCGAACCTGTGGGAGAACGACAGGCCGGCTTTCCGTTTAGGAGCTCAACAAGCGGCGAACGCATCTCTTTGCAACTGTTGACGAATTTTATGTTCATATTGGTTGTATCATCCACGAAGAATATTTCTATATGCCATTATTAAATCTTAACTAGAATAATGTATATCGCTTGTACATATTTGTCCATTTGTTTGTTCTCATCTATAACCGTGTCTTAATTTCCTCTGAGCTCGGGGAAAGTCGAGTTTTTCGGTGTTCACATTCGTCTAGTTTGATAGTTGTTTTATGTGACCGATTTTTTACCCTCAGTTTTCTTACCATCTGTGAATACAATGATTTAATTTTGAATAAGAATGAGTTTCATAAATTTTTTGTATGTTTTTCGTTTTTGTTTCATTCCCACCGTTTTATATCGGTATTTTATTGTTATCTATAAGGAAATTTTTATTCTTCGTTCACTTCTAAACAAATTTTTTTCAATTTCAGATGGCCGAAGTTCTGGCTAACATCGAGCGCGAGTTCATCGAGGCCGCTCAGAAAGATGGGATCGAAAGTTTGTCAGATTCGGTCAGTTCATTTGTTATTCATTTGTTACTTGTAGAAGTTTTTGGCGAGAGTTTCTTCTATTGATTCTTATTTTCCCGTGCTACTTTTTTTATATCGAAGTGCTCTGATCACTTGTAAAAGAAGTCAGTTTACTCTCCGGTTTGAAATTTCCTACAAATTCGCTCGAAAACAAGGTTTAGATAAAGACCCCGTAGTTGCTTCTGCGCAAACTTCTAGTTATAGAGATTTTTGATTTTTAAATTTCCAAAATATGGATTTAAACCCCAACAAAGTTCACCTCAAAAACCAGAGTTTTGCCCAGGAGGAGATTATGTCGGATTTTAAACTAGACATTCGAAGATTCCTTGAGCTGATTTTCAGAAAGTTTGAAAACGCAAATTAAAGTAATCTTCTGTTTTAGTTATCAATTTTCGCTGTCCATTTCAGCAGAGAAAAAAGAGAAAAAAGCTCTGTTTTATACTTACATTGCGCGGCAACTGCTCTTTTTCCTAACTGCTAAACCAGAAACGACTATTATAGTATGTGTGCCACGACTTGAAATTTCACGGAACGACATTCCGCTGTTCCGCTGCGTGTGTTCGCGAAGCGTCTTTCGAATCTAGGTCATCCTTTCATTTGATTTTCATTGCTGTGGGAGCACATTAAAGTAGAGTACCTTTAATTTAATTTAATTTATTCAGACATCAGAGTAATCAAAAAGGCTCTGCTGAATCATGGTAGATTTGAAGAGCTCCTTGTTGTTGCGCGCAACGGTCGACCAATTCTCCCCAAGAACGCTTCGGAAGTCATCTCGCCAACGTGCTCGTGGTCGTCCAACAGATCTTTCTTCTCCCAGGGCCGCCATTCTACGATCTTCTTTGCCCACGTTTCTTCTCCCGTCACGATTTTCTTTGCGAAGAACCATTTTCTTCTTGTTGCAACCATTCGAGCATCACGCATCTTCAATCTTTCGTGGAGCCAACTGTTTGATCTTCTATCCATTAGAGTCACACCAAGCATTCTTCTCATCATCTTCCTCCTTAATAAAAATTAAAAAAAATTAAAAGCGCGACCAAGGTTCGCAAAGGCGCGCAGCGGCACAGCGGAATGTCGTTCGGGGAAATTCCAAGTCGTGTTACACAGGCTATAACGCTGCTAATTTTGCATCTCTAGTTGGAATAAGTTTCGGGAAATTTGTGTATTTCAATCCTTCCTGTCTATCTCGGAGCCGACCATACAAGGCGACGTTGTAGAGGACCTCTAAAGCTCTGAAGCGATTTTTGTAGAAAAACGAAGCGCTTCGTCTCCACGACGAGTGTAGAGACGGCGACGTTTTTTTTTTGATAAAAAAAAACAAAAAAAAAAGAGCTAGTCTTGAGGAACTTGACGTTTCTTGTGCCCAAGATTCTGGGGTCCCAAATACGATTGGCGAATATTATGAAAAAAATTTTTTCAACTAACTAACTAATCGACGCACATTTGAGTGAATTGTGAAAACAATGGGCAAGTATTTTCATATTCTATTTTCAAACAATTTATTTTGAATGAAAAAAATGAAGAAGTTGACGTCTATTTTATTTTTCAGACTGGCGTAAAGGCAGAGGTTGAAGACGTACGAGAACGCGGTGATGAGGGAGAGAGAAGGATCGCAAGAAGAGGAAGCGCAGTCGGAGTCGTGATCGTGATCGCAAACGATCTCGCTCGTAAGTTAGCCCTTTTTATTTTCTATCCTTCACTGTGTTCAATCAACTATATTTCAAATAGAAATTTAATTTTTTTGACTATTAAAAAAATTTCTTTATCTGGATAATTATTATTCACGGACGGGTTCGGAAACTAAAAACCGGAAAAATAGACTTAAAAAGAATTCACGAGCTTTCCACACAGTCATTTCTCGCTCTAAAAGCCGAAACACAATAGGGGTCAATAATTGATCAAAATTTGAGAAGTTTAGTGTACAACTGAGATAAAGAAGTGTATATCGCAACGAATATTCAAATTAATTCAGTAGGCCGAGGGGAAAAAAATAACCTGAGAAAAAAATCTATGAACAGAATAGTACCAATAAGTGTCAATAATCGATATGAAAAAGGAGAAAAAAACGGTTTTTTTATCGAATTGAAAACAAATTTTCTGAAAAAGTCTGATCACAATAAGAGAAAAAGCGCCTAAAAAAAGTTCTGAGAAATCTATTTTTTTTAAGTTTTTTTCTGCGAATTTTTTTGGTAGAATTTTCCTATAAATTTTTTTGACAGGTTTTTTTGAGTTTTCTTCCTTTGAATTATCTACCGAAAAGTTCGGACAAACGCTGTAAAAATTTTTAGTGTAGTCACCACCAGTTAACAATTTTTAGGCGCGAGCGGCGGGAGAGATCTCGGGATAGAGACCATAAAAGACGCGATAGATCTCGGGAAAAGGCTCGCGAACGAGAAAGCGAGAGAGATCGTGAAGAGAAACCAAAAAAGAAGTACCGGTTCTGGGATGTTCCTCCAAGTGGTTTCGAACACCTAACTCCCATGGAATACAAGGCTATGCAAGGTTGAGACATCCGTTCATTCTTTTGGCTCACCAGCAAGGTTCTCAGCTTCGGGTCAAGTTCCGCGAGGAAACATGCAGTCGGCTGTGCCTGTAGTCGGCCCTTCAGTAACCTGCCAGTCGCGCCGTTTGTACGTAGGTAACATCCCGTTCGGATGCAACGAAGAAGCCATGCTCGACTTTTTCAATCAACAGGTATTCACGAGACCTTCTAGATTTCATGCACCACACCTTGAAACAGTCAGTATTCTCTACGTATTTTTATCTTTAGGCGAAGCTTTCGTGTTTTATTCCTTTCCGCGTATTTATCATTTTTTCGGAGAAGGAACGTAGAAACGCAGAAAGCTCAGATTGTTTTGTAGTGGCAAAAGCGCTATATTCAAAATAAAAAAATGTATATATATATATATATATATATATATACATTTTTTTATTTAGGATGTGTGTGTATATATATATATATATATATATATATATATATATATACACACATTTTAAATAGTTCTGCAATTTTTATGTTAGTTTCAACGAGGATTTGATTTAATTAAGAAACGTAAATTTTAATATAATTGATGAAAATTATTGTCCAGTCGAGAAAGCTAAATTTTTTTATTTTACTTCTTATATAGGAAAAAAATTAGACTTTTTCAGTACATAAATATATTTGAGATGCACCTGTGCGGATTGGCGCAAGCTCCGGGTAACCCCATCCTGCTTTGCCAAATCAACCTCGACAAGAACTTTGCGTTCATCGAGTTCCGTTCCATCGATGAAACTACTGCTGGGATGGCTTTTGACGGTTTTTCTTTTTCAGCGGATGTTAATGGCAATTTTTTTAGGAATCAACTTCATGGGACAACAGCTGAAAGTTCGGCGCCCACGTGATTATCAACCAGTTCAGTCGACCTTCGATATGAATGTTCGGATGCCTGTTTCGAGCATTGTCGTCGACTCCCCCAACAAAATATTCATCGGTGGCTTGCCCACTTATCTCAACGACGATCAGGTTCTTTTTTCTTTTTGAATTTTGTCTAGGTTCGATCAGGTTGCAATCATAGCCATACATGAGGTAGCACAGGCCTAACGAGGAAGGTCGTTTTACCTTGCAGTCTAGGGTTTTCTGATATATTTTCTCCTAATTTCTCATATGCTAAACGCAAATATTCGGAGAATCGACGCCTCGAAGTTTGTACTCATTGCAAATGCAGAAAATCGTTTTATCAGGTCAAATTGCGACTTTTAGGATTAGCAGCCAATATTCCCATAAAAAGGAGCTTATAAACCTGAAAGAGAAAATGTGGTGAGCCCTAATTCAGAAATAGTTGGAGAAGTGATTGGCACTTTTTGAATTTTGGCTGACCCTGTTTTGCATGTTCAAAATATTCGAAAATTCAACTTTGAATCTGAGAAAACAGGAGTTCTTGATAGGAGACTCGGAATGAGTGCAGCCCGACGCAGTGAAGAAACTAAATGGAATTGTCAAAAAGTATTAGAGCAAATCCCTGCTTACAAGTTAAGATTGCCTTCCTCGTTAGAGCACCCACGGGGAATTTTTTTTTCTGAAGAATAGAAGAATTTACTAAAAGACTTTCTCGTAGAAATTTTTCGATAAAAATTAAGATTTTTGTTTTTTGAATGCTCATTTAGAACTTCATGGGCTTAAGGGACTGGGCCGACCTATCTCATGTATGGAATTGGCCATTCCTCAATAGGGCTTTTTCGAGTTTTGTTCGGTTGCTGATGAAGAGAATAAGCAGTGACTGTTTCAGTCGGGTCGCTGTTGGCTTCTCATCGCCGCCGCGTGCTGACCATGCTAGAAAGTGTGTTTCCTATCCGAAGACCGCATCAATCAAACACACTTTTTTTTTTTGCTTGTCTTGGATTACTTTCCAGATTTTCAGCTTTCCTTTAATTTAGGGTCAAAAACGTGGTATTTATGTCAACGGCGGTCTCGTTTTTCTTTTCTTTTCAGAGGGTGCTAACAAACTTAGGTATTTTAGAGATTTAGGTTTTACGGACAATTTTCCCCGCACAAGAATCCCCGCAGCGCATTGAAATATTAAGTAATGGCGATGCAGGTGGTGTTATCATTCATTTAGTTCCAGGGCTCACTGCGACGTTTCTCCAACGAAATAAATAACAATTGTTTGTATAAGTTTCCATTTGACTAATATTCAGGTCAAAGAACTTCTCTGCTCGTTTGGTCCTCTTAAATCCTTCAGCCTTAGCGTTGATTCTCAGGGAAACAGCAAAGGATATGCGTTTGCTGAGTACCTCGACCCTACTCTGACCGACCAGGTATGTTTATTCATTTTTGTATTCGATTAGTATTCGAAGTTAAGTCGAATAAGCAACAGTTTAAAGCGCTTTTCAAACTAGCTGTTTTTTTTAATATCCATTTTTCATATTGAAAATTCCAGGCCATCGCTGGTCTGAATGGAATGCAACTTGGCGATAAACAATTAGTGGTACAGTTGGCTTGTGCCAGTCAACGCAATAACGTGCATTTGCCACACTCGGCTACCGCTATCGCAGGTTAGTTTGCGACAAAAAACGTTTAGTTACTGTGGAATATAGGAATCGATTTGTCGCAAGGTGCTGGAGCTCCCACGGAGATCCTTTGTTTGATGAACATGGTTTCCGAAGACGAACTGAGAAACGACGATGAATATGAAGGTAGTCTTTCCATAAGCTATAATTTCACAGTTTTTATCCCCATTCTCCATTTTTTTTTCCAAATTCAAATTCTTACCGTCTCGCTCTGTTCAGACATTCTTGTCGATATCAGAGAGGAATGCTCCAAATATGGTGTCGTCCGTTCTGTTGAAATTCCTCGCCCTTACGAAGGTTACGTTGTTCCTGGTGTCGGAAAGGTTTCATTTTATACTCTCACGGCTACCGCAATCATTATCTCGTTAAGGTCTTCGTCGAGTTCGCTTCGAAATCCGACTGCCAGAAAGCGCAGGCAGCTCTTACTGGACGCAAATTTGCGAACCATACCGTCGTCACGTCTTATTATGACACGGAGAAGTATCACAATCGCCAGTTCTAATTTATTAACTATTTTGATATATTTGTTATAAGGTAACCTACATTTCTTTTTCCGATTTCTGTTGGTTTAACTATTTTTAAAAGTGGATGTCAAAAAAAAAAAACTTTCCCAGCTCTGTATGCACTCTCTGTTGAAAATAAACATGTACCAAAAATGCTTCAAAAATTGTAAACTTCATGCAAGAAAAGAAACTAACAATCGATAAGTGAACCGTAGTATTCAAAAGAATAGTCAACCAAAAAAAAGACATTGACTGTTGTGAGTATCACTGAGTCGTGCGCCCGAGTCGAGGAGCTGCCGACCAGGTGTCCTCCGCTGTCAGCTGCAACAAAATGAATGGGAAAAAAGTTCTTTACATCGAGTTTCGACGTTTTTAAAAAACCGCTCTCAAATTCTTTTTTTCTGATTTTGTTTTCGAAAACTGCTCAGAAAACAAAAAACCATCGCCGAAGGTAATCTCATATATGTTAAGAGCTTATAGAGCCTTACCCAGGCTTGTGCGTCAGGCCGGGCTTTGGGCCTCATTTTCGGAAAAAGCCCGCGTGGGGTTGGGCTTCAAAAAAAATTTATCATTTCAAAAATTTTCACCAAAATGTGACTTTCACTTCTGAAATCATAGTTTTTGTTAAACTTTAAGTGAAAAAATGAGACGGGCCGGCCCTCGCACAAGCCTGGCCTTACCGAGGTCATTTTCTTGATGAGACTCTTGATTTCGCCCTCTCTGATGTTCCGGCGCTTGAGCTGTTGCGTGAGTTTGACGACGAGCTTCTTGCCTTGGCGCCGCTTCTTCTCGCCCAGACTCTGCAAGTCGGCAATCGGAGATGGCGAAAGAGCGTGTCGTACTGTCAGCTTCTCCCTGATGGAGCGTTTGTGATAACCTATCGGGTCGTACGCGACATCTCTGGGAGCGTTTTCTTCTTCGCGCACTGTTCCCAGAAGCGAGCTCGCCCTGAAATTGTGTCCAACCACAGTTCGGAATTTTTCCAGACTCACATGGCCACCGCACAAAGTGCACGATTCTTATCGCGCTTTGTCTTCGCTTTATTCCGTGCGAACTGTAATTGGGAAATGAAAAATTGAATAGTTGCCAATTTTACCTTATGGGTTTTCCGATTTTTCATCGCCGCTGTATCCTCTAACTCGTTGCTGAAAAAAAAGATCGGCGGAAAAATTGGAATATAGTTTTTGTATCTAAGAGACTACGAAAAAAAAATTGTTCTTAATTTGATTATGGAGCATCTGAATGAATGACAAAAACTATTAAATCTCTTTGAAAAAAAAGGAAACTCAAACTTTTATTTAAAAAATTCTTTTCGATAACTAAGCAGTGGATGTTTTCTATATATCCTCTGCTGTTTTTTTTCTAGTTTTTAAAATGTTTGAATTCTGGTCTGATTGAGTTGATCAGAGGAGTTGAGATATGATGAAATCCGTTTCACTTACACCTCGAGAGACTGATCGGCTTCGGCGACGGCTTTTTTGACGTCATCTGTCAGAAGTTCAACGTTGACGTCGAAATAAGACGATGTGAAAGAGACTTCCATGGCATTGCACATCTTGAAATGGAAGAGGATATTAGATCCAGAAACACTTGAGAGTGTCTCTTCGGCAAACCTTCAGCAAAAGTTTAACTATTTTCTGGCTCTTCGTATTTTCATCCATAAGAACGCCCAAGATGTCGGTGAAATGCACCTCCTCAACCTGAAAATTTATCGAGTAGGAAGTTGGTTCCCTGTTGTAATCTACCAGATTTTGGAGTATTGATACCAACAAAAAAAAATCGCTTTTTCACACTAAGAATAACTGCCGAGACAAACGCGAGACGCTGGCGGTACATTGACGAGCTCGCAAACATCTCGCTTTTTTTCTCGCGCCGGTCTCGCATTTTTCTGGGCGCCAGCTCGCACTTTTTTAGGCGCGAGCTCGCATTTCTCTCGCAATTTGAAAATTTCCGAAATGCAAGATAAATGCGAGATGGCGCCGAGAAAAATGCGAGGTCGCGCCGAGAGAAATGCGAGAGCGCGCCTAGAAAAAAGCGACATTTTTGCAAGTTAGTCAATGTACCGCCACCGAGCTCGCGTTTATCTCGTCAGTTATTCTTAGTGCACTTGGGCTCACGTAGGTGCCGCAAGCCATTTCTTCGAACCGATTCAAAAAATATGTTTTTCACACTGTTCGATAGAGGAGACTGTCAGTTTTCATAATCCGTTTAGTTTTTGAAAAAAGGTCCACTAAGAAAAAAGATATGGCGAAAAAACGAGCGCGCGCGGTGTTCAACTGGAGGCAAAATCTCACGGTTTACCCGCTGCCGCACGCTTTCTTTTTAATTTTTTTTTGCGCATTTCTGAACCGTTTTCGAATCGGTTTTCTGTTCTGAGAGATTGTCCGAACTGAGCCTCATGTTTTGGTATAAATCTTTTGTGCAATCCTCATAAGAATTTTTTTGATAAAAATATCAAAAAAACTACCTAGAAAAAAAGGTCAAAAAGGATTTTTCCAGCTTATTTTTTTCTTTTTTTCTACTCAGAAAAAAATTATTATCATTCGATTTGGAAAAAAGAAAAAAATGAAAAAAATAATGTTATTTCGAAATAAAAACAGGAAAAAAGTTCAATTTGACTCCGAAAAAAACGGCTCCTGCAACATTTAAAAAGGGCGCATCGGTGTGTTTGACGCAAACACAGATACAGACACTTGCACGAACTCTTCCAAAATTTTTTTAGAAAAAAATGGCAATTTTTTTTCGAGGTTTTTCAAAGCTGTTATTCTTTTTCGCGTCGTTAGATTTTTTTCATAATTTTTTTCATTGATAGAGTTTTGAACGCTTAATAAAAATAATCAAAAAGCATAGACGCGATCCTATTCTCTCACGCGTCAACGAGGCAGGCGAAAAAAAGGAGGTTTTGGTAAAATTCAAATATAATTTGATTCGCTCTCCCAATGATTATTTTTCATTCTGAATTTTTCATTCTTGGATACATTTGGAGTTTTTTTAAATCAAATAAAAAAAGTATACCATGTCGCTGAAATTTTTTTCGCATTTCAGATTCAAAGTTTGGTGTCACTTTACAAGCGTCGATTTTTTTCGCGTCGTTAGATTTTTTTAATTTTTTTAATTCAAAAAAATAAAGAAAGTGTTAATGTACAACATACTCAAAATTTAGAAGCGTTTCTCACTTGGTTTTCTGAAACGCGACGATTTTGTGAAACTTGTCAGTTTTTTTCGAGTTAAATCATACTTTTTCGCTTATTTATGAAAAATACATGGTTTCAAAAATATTCCGTCTTGTAGAGCGTTGTCGATTACATAGGTTATCATAAACAGTTTATTTTAAGGTGGAACTTTAGTTAGTATGAACGCCTCAAAACCGTTTCTGCAACAAAAAAAATCGTCATTTTGGTGGCGTGAAGGGGTGGGGCTTTGCGCTCCCTAGGCTCACGTTTCGAAAGAACAGCAGGAATTTACGCTTTTTTAGATATGACTCAGGTTTCCTGTTGAAGAAATCAATTGCTCAGATCAAATTGTTTTCAAAAAAGGTGCTTTGATATTCTATATTACTTAAATGAAGACAACTTCCATTGAAAGAGTTTCTTTAATCCGAAAATTGTTAATTGACGCCAAAACACATCTTAACCATTTTGAACAGGAACTGTTAATGCCGCATATCGCCGTTTCGAGCAGAGAAAAACGGTTTATGTGATTTCATTTGAAGAGCGACAATAAAAACAGGAAGGTCATTATAATAGCAATAATAAAGGACAAAGAATATAGATACTTCCCCGACGCCCATTAACGCATAACATAACAAATCTCGACAGAGAAAAAGAAACCTCGCTGAGGTTCAGGGCAAGGAGAGCGTCAATCAGATCGTCGGTCAGCCAAACTCCGGAGACATTCAAGTTGGAACGAATTACTGTTCCACTGGAAAAAAAACACGATGAAACCGAAAAAAGACGAAGCAAACAAAAGCTCTCCGGAAATGTTTTTAGTGGAGACAAAACGCGTCGGCCGTGCATTTCCCGCTTTCCCGTAGATGTACATCGTCACCTTGTCGACGCCGCTGACAAAAGGAGGCAGCAAATTTTTATCTCCCTGTAAAAGAATGCAACAACCTTTCAATTGATGGATCGCTTCAAAATTTTAATTTAAAAAAAACAAGGATTTTATAATGATTTGGTTCTTTTGGCCATATTCACTCCGCCACTCTTTGATACACACTTTTAGTAATATAATTTCAATTTCGGTGAAAAGAAGTTTCAAGTTCACGCACGGGATCTTGACCCTGTGGGAGGGCACGTTGAGAATGTATATCAACGAAACGAGAATAGCGCCCAGCTAGCGACCATCTTGATACACTCCAAAAAAGTGTTCGAGCAAATTTTTTTAGGTTTTTTTCCAGGATGAGTTCTAAAAATAAACCATTTCATTTCTAAAGCTGAAAAAAATATCTGCTTTTAACTTTCCCGTGTAAAAACAAGATTATTTCTCAACTCTATATCTCTTTTTTTTTAATTTTCTTTTGTTTTTCAATTTTCGACACGGTTCAAAATAATAACGTTCTCATATTTTCTTTGGTGAGACTGTTTGACATTGGCCGCATGTTTTCGTGTGACAAGATATCAGATAACAGGCGAAATCAAATAAGTGATGCATTTTTTCCCGTAAAAACTGAGATAACAGTAGCTAGACCTTGATTCGAAGTGCGATCGGTACTTTCGGCAAATGACGCCAATGTTCGAGCAAGACATTGTTGAAGCGATGGCATACTAAGCGCGTCCGGTGCATGTCCTGTGACTCGAAATCAGAATCTATATATGGAGCGTGAAAACGTCAAGAGAAAGACTTGTGTCGCTCCAAATGAACTCTTCGCGGTGGACCAGTTTCTGCAGTCGCGACATTTTCTGAGGCTTTTGCCCAACAAAGGCGAAGATTTTCACCAAACAGTCATCGTTAAGATCGAGGATACTCGTTTGGTGGTCCACCTGAAGCATTTCTAGAAGCCCTTCAAGGATATTTTCTAAAGGTATTGAAGAAACCAAAAAGCTAAACTTCCTTTCAGTTGATAAGATGAAGATATTACCAACCTCCATACCATCAATATCGAGATCCTCGTCGTTTTCAGTCAGCAAGCCTTCAGCCATTTCCTTCTCCAAGAAAGCATTTTTTGATTTTTTGGCCACAAAACTTGAAAAAAGCTGCCTTGTCTACACCTTCTTTTTCAACGGCGAATTTATAGAAAAAAACCGTTCTTTTTCGCAGAGCCGCCGCCAACATAGGCTGCATAAAAGAAGGTGATAAACGGTTTACGGAAAAAAAAAAAATCAATTTTCTGACATCACTCAACAAGTCAAGTTCACAAAACTCAAAAAAAAAAAAAGAGGACCTATATTAAAATTTTCTTAAAAAAATAAGACTCTATCAATATGAAAAGCCATTTCTCTCTGTGCTTATAGAGCAACCGCCCTTAGTGGCTTTTTGAACAATAATAATTATGAAAAATTTCCGTTATGGAGGGGTTTTTTTCTGAAGTACTGAAATTTAAAAAAAGGGCGAAGATCTAAAATATGAGCCATATTTGCAGAAAAGCCAGGCAGAGCAATCTGATTAACCTTGAAACTCCGGTGGAAATCCTGAATTCTCGAGAGATTGTTGTTGTTTTCCATTTCTGAATTGAAAACCGATATTATACTTTCGACAAAAAGTGTTTAAAATGAAATATGAGACGTACTGAGAACCCCGCGCCCCCTAACCGGCCCCTGGAATTCGCTTCCACCAAAAAAAAAAGTTTAGGGGGCTCCGATAGGTGGATAAATAGGGACCCCCGCGGGGGGGAAAATTTCAATGGGCCCCGAAAGAAATCCCGGAGCTTCCATTAAACCCACTAAACGATTCTGGGTCCTTATAGGGGTCAAATTTCCTTTCAAAACATTTTTAAGGGGCGTTGCTTAGAACATTAAGGACGATCATGAGGAAGCAAATTCTAGTGTGAATTTGATATTACTCAGAAAAAAAAAGACTTATTATTATTTTTAAAAAATCCTAAGGCTTTTAACGCAACACAAACTTTTAATTTGCCGAACACCCTGTTGCGCTGAAATCCCACGTCGAAAATATGATTTTTTTTTTGTTGAAAATGTCAAGGGAGTTAATTCCAATTGAAAAAGTAATAAAGGAGAAAGGCAACCGAGCTGACAATTTTAAAAAAATGTAAAAAAAAATATTTATTGAATCAGAGTAATTGAAAGTTGAGCAGAAAACTTTGAAAACGAAAACACAAGCAAGAACTGAAAAAAATATATATATATGCATCATTTACACTCCGAAGCGAAAGTAAATAATTCGAAGAGTTTGAAGAAAAGTAGAATTGTTATAACACGAAACTTTAAGAGACCTCACAACCGTTTTTGAGAGATAACGTATATTAAAAATTGCACGATAGTTTGTACTTTTTTTGAAAACTGAACTTCAACTTATGTACACTTTCAAGCACAATAGACTCACAAAAGAAATCTCTAGTAGGAAAATTTAATCTTCAAAGGAGTTCACTGACCAGAAATATATATCGACATAGCAACGCCACAATGAACATACTTGAGCGGTTTTCGAAACTTTTCACCTCAACACTGGTTTTTGAGTTTGGAGAGTTCATCTAAATCACTGTAGAGCTTCTCTTTCTTGATTTCGAGAAGTAAGTCTTGTCTGAAAAGCCGTTTCATATATTTAATAGAAGAGAAGATCATCAGATAGGACACAAGAATGACAGGTGTGATGCAATGTTGAAAACTCCTCGGAAAAACATAAGTCTTGAATGTCTTTCTAAGGTATAAGCTCTCCTGATCAGGTTGAGAACTGAGACTTTGTGGGTTGAGAGGTCTAGGCACGGAATTGAAAATATAATTCTGTTAGCCTTGCCAGCCAACAAATTCATGATTCGCATATATCTTTAAAACTTTCTTGAAAAATTTACTATTCCAAATTGAAAGAAACTTATTTTTACATTTTCTTTTGCTTTTGTTTTTTTTTCAAAATGGAGATTTTTCTTGAAAATTTTGTAAGATCCCATCAAAGTTGAGCCATAGTCAAAAATATGTTAAAATTAGTTTCTTTTTTATTTTGACGATGTTCAGAGGAGGCTATACCCCAGTTAGGCTTTTTTATATTCACAGAAAGTTTCAATTACTCTACAAGATCTGCGAATCTCTGTGTAAACACTTTGTACTGTCTCAAAAGCGTGCGGCACTATTTTTTTCTGACACCCTCCACGCTAAGAAGAAACTTGTGAAAATTACAGTGTACATGGTGTCTGCACCGTCCACAGTTTCAGTGTAGAACGAAACATTTTTTTTCTCTTTCTCGATACCTGTCGTCGTAGGAATCAATGCCGATGTCTTCAAGATCTCCTTCTGACATGTCAACCAAAACGCGGCCTGAAAATCGAACGAGCTTGGAAAAAAGAAGCTCACGGGTACCGGTAACATTGTGGCGCAAGAAGAGAGGAGAGTATTTGAGAGCAAGTTTCGGTCGCTTTTTTCGGAGCCAATGGTCGACGTCGCACGCCGCCCAAAAGCAGATCGGTCGGTGTGACACGATTTGGTACACTTCTTGGATCCCCGTCATTCTGAAAACTCAAGTTTTATTCATTTTTTTTTGTAGAAAAAGGCGAATCGGAAGATAAAATAAGTTTCACGCCGTTCGCAAGATTAAAACATTGTCTTTTGAAATATTTATTATGAGATAAAACTATAATACCCAATATGACATATCTACCCAGAAGTTTATCACAGAATGTATTGTTGAAGGCAAACGAAAACAAACCAAAAAGGTGAGCTCTAAATGCTTTTAAACTCGTGGCAATAAGAAATGAGGAAATTACATGAAATAGACCCGATGTTAAGGGAATACTCTATTGCACAGGAGAAACAATACTTCTTTCAAAAAAAAACTGCTCAAACAAGTATCAAGAAAAAAATTGGAAGAAAAAAGGAAGGCATATGCAAAAAAAATAATATTAGCTTGGAAAAGAACACGGATATGAAATAAGCCCACATGATGTGTTTTTGATTACAAATCTTAGTTTCATGGTTTTTTAGAACCGAAATTTAGCGCGGGCTTTTTCTCAACTAGGACGTTTGTGAATCTAAAGAAAAGGAAAAGAATGTTAGATTATTTTGTTTGCCGTTCCTAGAAGAGCATAGACAAGAGCTCCAGCGACGCATTGCGCAGCAGTGACTAAGTATACGAGAGACCAATTGTTGTCGCTGGCTTCCAGAATGTGGCCTGCCAAAAACACACCTACGAAGCCAGTGATCGCGCCACAGGCGTTGAAAATACCTTAAGAAGACTAAAATTCACAGAGTTGCGGACAGGAAAGTTACCAAAAACTGAGCCGGTGTGATTCGGAGCAAAATCGTGGGGATTTACTGAAACTCCTCCGTGGTGAAGTCCTCGTGAAGCCATCGCCATCGTGAAAATTGTCAAGGCCATCGGAAAAGAGGACATCAGAGGAACCAACATGAGACAAGCAGCGACGCCCAGAAGGCTGGCACACTGAAAAATTAATCTTTTTTCTTTCTATTCCACCCAATATTTGTGAAACCGCTAGCGATGACTTTCCTGATATGAAAATACACGTTCAACTAAACCAACATTTAAAAAATAATCTTATTGACCTCCATAATTTTTCTCGTGGCAGTTGTGGATCGTCCTGTAGACATGAGTCGAGATGCGATATAGGGAGCGATGAGTGACGTCACGACGACGGCCGAAGAAGGTACAACGTTGTAGACAAAGCCCATCGCAGTTGGAAATTCCTCGTGGAAGTAGCTCGGGAGCCAGTTGAACATCGTGAAGTAGGCGTTCGCTCCCGTATACTGAGCGATAGCAGCCGCCCTGAAGAAAAAATCTTGATAAAGTTCTGATGCTAGCCTATAAAGACAAAAACAACTTAACCCAATGAAACTGACGGAAAGTTCACAAGTTTCTTCAGTCTTCAGAAAACATTCTCTGATCAATCATCATCTACGAGCCATATTTGGTCAACGCGATCCCGCAAACTGACAATCCGACTCTTCATTTATTCCATGATTCAGCAGAGAATGTTCACTGAATAAATTTGACGGAAGGTCTTATGAAAAATTATTGGTCAACAATCATATCAATTTGATATTTTTTCCTAGTCTTTTTCTCTTTACCTATGAAAGGCCGTTTTAGAAAAGAAAATAAATTTCGAAAAAACACACCAAAAAGCCGGATGCTTGAACAAAGCGCTCCATGGCACAGCCAAAGTCTTTTTGACAATGTGAGATTCAACTCCACTCTGAATAAGTTCATGTTCGACGTTGCAAAGATTTCTGCGAGAGCTACCTTTTTCAGCATTTCATCGTCTTCGCTAGTCGGGGAAATCCTTCGTGAACGTCCGTGATCCAGACACCAGCGAAGGCACCAACACCACAAAAGCGACACGATCCCTTAATGAAAACGGAATTTGTAGGCTTCAGTGAAGAGTAGAACGAAAACAAACATGTTCCTTCAATAAAATTTAAAGATAATTATTTATGGATGTTCAGAGCAATTTAATTGGACCTCGATCCAATGAGTTTTTTTCAAATTTCCAAAGTTCAATATTATTACAATATTTCTAAGTTTTTTTCGTGTCTTATCGCCAAAGTCAACTTGTATTCTTACCGCAAAACTGGAACAAAGCACGCCAACCAGCTTTTTCCAACAAAATACTTCCAAACGCTCCGACCAGAACAGTTCTTAATTTTTATCATAAAAACAGCTAAAGATCCAATTGTATCCAACCCGCAATGAGATCCGGCTAGAACAATTCCGAAAACTCGTCCTTTGTCACTAGCTGTCAAGTGGCGAGATACCATGGAAGCCATCGAAGGCATGTGAAAAGCTTTAATCAAAAAATGATAGAACTTATATAAGAACATGAATTGGTAAAAAAAAAACACGGCAATATTCTACCTTGTCCTATTCCGGTCAAGACGCGAACAAGCAACAGAAAGAAGAGGGGCTGGTTCGTCCAAACAGCAAAATCAAATAACTGCGGGGTGAAAAACGTCAGGATTGTCCAAGCCAACGTTGAATAAGGCAAGATCTGAAACTATCAGTTGTTCTATTTTTTTTTCTTCCTTCCAGGGATAAGAATAGTGCTGACAATTTCAGGAATGCTCTAAATAGACATTTATAAAAACTTGCAAACGTTTTCGCCTCCAACGGAGTCAGCCATCGGTCCAGCGAACAGTTGCGTCAGCGCATATCCCCAGAAAAAACAAGACAATACCGTCCCCTGAAGTTCTCTCTATAAGGTTTTACTTTCCCCTTGCATCGTACAGAGTCAGATTTGTTCCAATTGAATTCTTTGGCAACGGTTGCTGCGCAGATCGGAAGGGCTGCTCGAGATGCGTACAGGACGCAGGTCCCCGTGAACATAACTATTGTCCATATGCGCGACTCTTGTCTCAAAATTTCAAAGTTCAGACTGTCTTTTTTAAACAATACAAAAATTTTCTTTTGCCCATAATCCCAAGCTCCGAGAAAATGCGAGAGAGCCACGTGATGAAGTTTTTAGAAACACTTTCTCTCTTCTTATTTGAATACTATAAAATTTTAAAACTAAATCCAGCAACGAAGACGCACATCTTTTACCAGAAGACTCCGTAAGGAATTTTGAACAGACTGCAGAATAATATCAGTATAAAATTCATTTTCCCTTTCCAAAAGAGCAGGAAAACCTGTTTAGGTTCCATCCATGGATTCAGATTCACAAGAGAACCAAGATATAAAATGAACCTGGTCCACAATTTCCCGATCGGCGGTTCATATTCCCCAGGGCGCCGTAGCATACCAGTTACCCTGTTGGTGATATACTTTCTGAAAAAACTCTTTTGTCGAATATCTTACAAGAAAGGCGTTTCGATACAAAAGCAGATTAATCTAGATTTAAAAAAAAAAGATATAATAGAGCAGAAAGACAAACATGAAAACACAAAAAATGCGTCTTGCAAATAAATTAAACCACGTAAGCGATCCGAAAGAACGTGAAGGATAAAAAATAACTCGAGAATAAACTTAACAGAAAATCAAAAGAACGAATTTTTTGAATTTACGGAATGATTCTGAACACGCGTGCACGACATAAAGACTACATTTGTTACATGAAAATTTTCAATAACTGCATATAAGCTTAAAAAGAGATCAAACAGTCCAAATAACACAAAAATTTTTTTTTGAATAATCAAAATATTTTTTGCAATAGTGTTTCAATCTAGTTTCAACCACTCGGAAATATTTTGAACCCCGACACGAATGTCCGTCAATTGTGTGGTTTGCGGAGACGCAAAACTGCATTCACAGAAAGCAAAGATTTTCGGAAACGATTGTTCCTCGCACTACACTAATGCCGTGTTCAAAGTAATTTCCGCGAAATGCAAAATGGTCTCTGACCCTCTAAAATTTAGTTATCTCTCTCTTTCTCTGACGGCTATTTTGAATTTCGCGGAATCACTTTGAACACGGCATAAGAATAACTGACGAGATAAATGCGAGCTCGGTGGCGGTACATTGACTAACTCGCAAAAATGTCGCTTTTTTTCTAGGCGCGATCCAGCATTTCCCTCGGCGCGACCTCGCATTTTTCACGGCGCCATCTCGCATTTATCTTGCATTTCGGAAATTTTCAAATTGCGAGAGAAATGCGAGCTCGCGCCCAGAAAAATGCGAGACCGGCGCGAGAAAAAAAGCGAGATGTTTGCGAGCTCGTCAATATACCGCCAGTGTCTCGCGTTTATCTGGGCAGTTATTCTTAGTGCTACTTATATATGATAATTATCGATTCGTTTTCTGTTTTTTTTTTACTGTGTTTTTAGAAAAAAATTTTTCTTCAGAAAATATTTTAATTCTTTTTAAGGGGGTTTTCATTACACAATAAAAAAACCCTGGCGCGTTTTGAGAATAAATGTGCTTTTACCCCTTCTGGTTAGAATTTTTTTCGAATAAGAATTCCGAATTCGAAAAAAATTAGCAATATAATAAAACGAGCTATTCTTTAAAAAAATTTCTAGGCTAAACATTCTTCTCACCAATTGGTTCATGTCTTTGAGTTGAAAAATTTTTTTAAAAAAATGACTAGAAAAGAATTTTCAGAAATAATGAAATACAGATCAGTCGTAGAGAACGGAGCGGAAAAAATGCAACAAAAATAGTCAAAAATTTATTTCAATATGATGTATAATGAAAAACACGAATATTGAATTTTCACAAGAAATGATTATGTTTTTTGAACACGTAAGTATTATGGAAAGAATATTTGCGTCTTCTTTTCACTGCGGAATGTTCTCCTGAAATAAATAGTTCACTCTAAAAGAGAAAGAAATCGAAAACCTCTTCGATTGTCGCAAACTCTCTGTGAGTGCGGATAGTAGCCGGGCTGAGAAGTTTGTTGGACATGTCCAGCAGTGATTCTCGTGGAGCGTAGTTGGAAACACGCTTTTCCTGAACAATTTGAAGCTGGACCAAGTTCCGGAATGGTGGAATTTGAAAAGACATCCAGTGACCAAAAAGTTTCGAAATTCCCTTGAAAGGGTATTCCCAAAATTGAACACTAGCAAAAAAAGAATAATCAAAATCTCACACTTCTTTGATCCTTTTCTTCAAATAGAAGATCATTTGGTTCGGGTGGTCCAACCATATCGCTTGCTCCGAGAATCGCCGGAATGTTTCGCGGCGGGACTCCCTCTGTAATGGCAAATTGCATACAAGTGAAGAAAGATTGAAATCACGGTTGATGTCGACGTCTTCCCATTTCCGCGAAATCATTGTGTTTTTGGCTCCTGAGATCACGGAAGAAATGCTCGATGTCGAGCTCGAAATGATTCCTTCCTTGAAAAAGCACGAGTAGAAAGGTCGACAAAAAGAAAAACGAACCAAAGAAGCCATTCTGTCGAGCAAAGCGGCATTTCTTGCTACCACTTGCTCATCGCAAGACGCCAACATCGTCGAGACGTCCTCGCACGTCTTTTTCGCCTCATCAAGCGTCCGTCCCCCCCTCGATTCTTTTGAAGAGAGGAAACTAACGGAAGAATCCTAAAAGAAAAAAAAATAGTTTGGAAGAAGGCAAAAAAACCTCAAAAAGTTTTAGCTTTTTTTGGTCGACATCGCGACGACATTTTCTGCGACGTCTGTGGCTTCCTTGCTGTAAGAAAAAATCGCTTAGAAAGCAGTTAAAAGAATAAAATAAATTTATATTCAATTCAAAAAATTTCACCAGAATATTTTATCTTTTTCGATAATAGCGCGTTTTAATCGTAACGGGAATTTGAATTCGTTACAAAAATTTGAAAACGGATAAGCGACGAAAAAAGAAAGAAAATTGAAATTATTCCAACTTTTCTTTTTCGTTGATTCAGACATACATTAAAGAGGCCCATCTTCCAGCCGCTTTCTCAGAGATATCGTCGACACCATCGACGACTTCGGAGACGACATCATCATGAGAAGTCGCAACAGCTTCCAGGGCTTCTAGTGCTGCCGCTCCGTCGTCTCTGAGCTGCGCATCAAGAACTTCTCCCCTTGAAAATTAGAACAATCAGCGTTACTTGAAATTATAAAAGAAAGTATTCATTCTGGCTCGCAAGATGTTTTTTCCAGTTTTTTCGTACAATTCTTTCAGCTCATTTTTTTATTATTTTACTGAAAATTCACACCATTTTTTCGCAAAAAATTTCTAACCACCTTTCTTACTTTTGGTTCTTTTTGGTTTTTCCCATACATGGGCAGAACTTTTTGAAAGGAAGTCATTACCTTCTCCAGAGCCATCCTAAATTAAAGGCAGTACTACCTCCTGAATTCAAAATTAACTTTAGTTTTGTCAACACTACCTCCTGAGAATAAAAGATGACATTATCCTTCATTTTTTTTTTAGCTTTTGTAAGACAACTCCTCCTCGCGGATTTATCAAGTTCCTGACTTGCCCACATATGACTTTTCCAATTACTACAATCTCCCTTCTTTTAGACCATTGATTTTTTTTCAAGTTAAAATCATTAATTCCGTGTAATATTCACTCGAAGTGGTCGCTCTCATTTCAAAGCCTCCACCTAGAGGACGGTCTCCGGGCTCCAGCCAACACATCTGCTACATTCTGAGCTCGTCAAGGCGCAACTGAATGGACTACGTTCAGATGAACGAGGCGAAAGACCGTAAGACCATGCTTTCAACTCTTTCGACCACACGGACTTCTAGTTCGCCGAAGGCGGTTGTTAGTCTATACTTTTAAAGTTATTGTCCACCGCCTAGTCGATTACATTTATGACTAAAACAACAAAATAAATGATTTGATTACTACCTCTCATCGAAATCTGCTGTGCTTGCTCCGACACTCGTGAGCCCCTGAGCCAACTGCGAAACCAATACTTGCAGCTATAATGTCAGTAGTGAATGAAAGTTTAGAAAATCCTGCAGACCTGCTGAATTCGCAAGACTTGCGCCTTCACATAAGAATCTCTCGTTTCTTTCCTCTGTTTGGCTTGCAACTCTATAGCGGCACGTCGTTCTTCAAGCTATAAAAGGTTCAAATCATTTGATAACACATTTTCTTCAATAAAAACTTTTTATATGTTTTCAAGAAAAAAAAAATGCTTGTACATAGTTTAATGGATTTCTCAGACGCTTTTTCCATTTTTTTGAATATCTATGGATTCTTTTGGGGTGGTATTATAATTTTTTTAAAGTTTTTTTGCAACGAACCAATGGCGATAACTCCATCTGTAGGTTGTTCATTTCTGCCTTGACTCGATTGATCCGATCTTTGAGATCCTCTGTTACAGCTATCACGTCTACCATGAACTGAGAGAACAATCCTTTGAAGTTATCCTCAAAAGTAAAATTCATCCCAATCAGAGCTTTAGAGACACCATATTAGTGTTCAACATGGTACAGATTTGAGTTTCGGCTCCAAGACAATCTCCAAAAAAGTCGGAATAGATCCGAGAATCCTCTTCGACGTTATGTTGAACGTTCTTCGAAAAAGCAGCGATATTATTTTGAATAGAGGTGAAGGTAGATCGCAAAGAAGTCGTGCACTGAGCTGAAAATTTAACAGTCATGGATTTCCGGAAAAATATTTCCAACTATTCTCTGCAACTTCCGTTACCATAAACGGTTTAGAAGAGGCTTCCATATTCTGGGATGTCTTGGAAATATCGTCCAGAGCAATCGCAACCTGAAAAACTGTTGAGAAAAGCCCTATTTTGTACACAACTTTTTCCGAAACGGTGTTGGCCGCCGACTTGTTGCGAAAAGCGACAAGATCCATCTGGTCGACTTTATCCCAAAAAAGAGCCAAATCTACAGACATGTTGTCCGCTGAATCCCGCATCTCAAAAATTATTTTTCATTTTTTTTTTTCCTTTTAGAGTCACCTCTTTCAGTTGCGAAAAAGTAATTAGCGCAGAAGAGTGCATCTCTTGAAGAGCAGATTTGTGAATATCTAGCTCTTTCTGTTTATCATCCAGCTCCTGAGATTTTATTTTTGCAAATACGAAGGAGAAAAACAAAAACCTTTTCCTTTTCGGCGATTTGTCGAATTCTTTGAGCCAACTTGTCTTCCAGTCGTTCTTTTCTCTCATAAAGAAGCCTGTACTGTTCGTCCATGTAGACCAAGTCTTCAGTGAACTGAAAACGGCAGAAAATCAAATAATTGATGAAGAGGCTCGCGACTTATTCGTGTCTGAACCGAGGAAACTTACGCGGCGCAACTGGTCAACCGTGGCGTCGAGCTGCTCCTCGAGCTCCTGCATGCGTTCTGTGTTGCGCAGTAGCTCTCTGAAAGCAGCCGAATAATTAAACTCAGAAGGCGTCGAACTCACTCATGAGACTCTTCACTGAGATGGACTCCAGTCTTCTCCCGAGCTGCTCGCAAATCTCGACGCAGTTTTTCGATTTCATCAGAGAAAGTCTGAAATCATTACAAGTAAGCTGTGAGCCATAATCTAATCTGTACAGTCCAAACTAAAAACTCCAAACCTTTTTCAATTGGTTTTCAATTTTTTTATTTATCAAAAAATTTTCAAGGCTTAAAATTTTTTATTATTTTTAACATGAATCGAAAATCTTTACTTTTTCTACGTAATTCCTCGAAAACTTATGAACCCCTTTTCGCCTACTTTTGCTGGGAAATGTGTGCAATGAACCAAAAAAAAAAATGAAACTTTTGGTTGTAATATTGAAACAATATTCTTAAAAGTGCTCGCAGAGAAAGAGCTCCGAGGTCAACTTCAAAACAAAAATGAAGATAATTGAACAACGTGATTAATTTCAAACCTTGAGAATCGCTTTTCTTGACACCTTAGTATTGCAAACTGGCCGATTCTTGATGTTGGCGGCTCGAATTGCATACTCCAGAGTGCTCACACTTTCCTGAACATATCAGCTGAAGTTGAATCATAAAATTATAATTGCACCTCAATATTTGAGGAAGCTGGCGAGAGAGTCGCGATAAGGCTTGTGATTGTCGATCCTCCAAGACTGTCCTGCAGGAGGCGGGTCAGCTTTGACTCCCTAAAAAATGGAAAAGTTAGACTTCTGAAAAAAAGAGATATGAAGCAAGCACCTGTACGGAACGTGAGGACCGCTTGTTGTCAAAGCTCGGATCACCCTGCCGAGAGTAAGAAGTGACTGATTGATGTTTCCTGAATGAGTTCGAAATTTTTTTTTATCATTTCCAGACAGTCGCATCTATCTGAGAAACAAAGTTCCGAGCAGTCCCTTGGCAGGCAGAAAATGGAAACATTTTCAAAAAATTTTTCTCTTCTCACCGGCTTCTTTGGCGCGTTTGCCCTCGGCTCCAGAACGCGAGACGTTTTCAGATCCAGCGAGGTCGACAAGGTTCAATTTTCCTTGTTTGACGAGTTCATCGCCGGTCGCCGTGTTTTCGCGTATCACCACGCTCACCATGAAGAGAGAGTGCGATCGGCTACTGTTGATATTCATCAAAGTAGTTGCCGTTCGCCGCTTTTCGGCCCCCAGTTTCAAAAGTTTATACACATCCGCGCGATTGCGGACAGGTACTTCTTCCACTCCGGAGACTATAACACCCTGGAATAATACTAAAATACACCAATAAAAAATCACGGCGACTCGATAACACTTAAAAGTCAAGGCTCTAAAAAAACCTTTTTCGTAGGGTCTTCAAATATTTTTAGCCTTTCGCGATCTTCACCAACAGAATTCGCAGCCAAAAGATCGTATAGCTCTTCGTTGTAAAGCTCGATGTAGGAGACGCGCAAGGAGTATTCTTCACAACCCTGAATAATTCATTGTAGAAGAATACAGCTTTCTAACGCAAACCATTTGGTCAAGTTGCTCAAAGATGTCTTCGACTGCTCTTGGAATGATTCCAGTAGTAGGATCGTCTCTCCAGGACTTGGTTTCTTCGCTTTGCTGACCTCCTTCCATAGTAAAAGTCTTTCCAGTTCCAGTTTGTCCATAGCTGAACTTGGTAGCCCATAAATTAGAATCGATAAAAAAGACGTACGCGAAGACTGTGCAATTGAATCCAGCTATGACTTTCTTCACCTGCCCGGCAACTAAATCCTCGTAAACCATTTGCTGTGTTGCGTCAGTGTCGTAAACCTTCAACTCTCGAACAATTAAAAGATATAATAACAATAATCACCTTGCTGAAAGGTCCAAAAGTCTTCATTTTTGTAAAAATGGAATTTTTTTGACGGTCGACTTTTACCGCTGACACGCTTTTTTCAGCTTGTTCTGCGCGATTAAGAGGTCTGAAAACGCTTTTTTAAAACTTAAATTTTATTAAAGTTACCTGACTCTCACAGCAACACGAATATTCGTTGGAATCTCTTCCGTGCTTCTCTTGCTAGAAGACATCTGTAAGCAAAATTCATGAGAACATGATTTAGAATTGAGGAGCAACAGACCTTGGACGGTATTATCATCATTTTAGCAAATGAATTGTATATCGAAGAAAACGCTTTTTACAGTTCGAATTCAAATTTTTGAGAAGAAAAATGTCGCTGCATGCAGTTAGAGCGTTTGTGGTTTGAAATTAAATTTCGCGCCAAATACCAGCCCTAAAGTTCGCTATGGAGCTAACTTACTTACTTTTACGACAGCAGGCTTGTGCGAGGGCCGGCCCGTCAGCTTATCGGCCCCCGGCCATTTTCCAAGCCCAGCCAGGCCCGGAGGCCTTAAGTGAAATGGCCGACCCGGCCCAAAAAGCTCAAATTGTTTTCTAGTTGGATATTCCCCTTTTTTCACGAGAAAAGTAATGTTTTTGCTTATTTTTTTTTCATAGAGTTATCAGAAACTTTGTTTCAACAATTAAAATAATTTTAAGTGAATATTTTTTTAATGGAATTAAAAATTTTTTTTCAAAGCCCGGCCCAGCACGAGCAGGCTTTTTTCAAAAAAGATGGCTCAAAGCCCGGGCCAGGCCACCTGGCCTGACGCACAAGCCTGTATGACGGTCCAGCTAAATATTGAAGTTTAATGTATTCATCAGCTGATGTAGTCCGTTCAGATTTTGAATGTCAAGCAGCAACCTAGCTTCTTGGTGCGAATTTCTCGAAGCTTATAGAAAGTTAAAGATCTAAAAGCCGTTTTCTGTGTTGCGTTTTCCCAGGCAGGACTTCTAGCTTGAGACTCACCGGCAAAGATTTTTCAATTCAGATAGTTGTCAACGCTTGTTCTATTTCGCAGCGCGATCGACACGATCTCTGGATTGGAGCGGCTAAAGACGCGTCCGAGTTTTTATTTGCCGCATCACCTCAGCTGAATGCGAGAAAACGACGAAATAACATGCGGCAGAGAAACAGGGCGCGCCTTCAGGCGCTCCAGGCCAAAGATGCCGCAAGCAGGCTTTTGCGCCAGGCACGGCGCCCCGGGCCAAGCCGGTCTGTCATTTTGGGTGAATCATAGCGCCAATTTAAATAGGTCAAAAAAATGTTTTCCAACATTAGATCTACTCTACAGAAGATCAAAAGCTTGTGTGTCTTGAAGGAACCTTCAACGACCACAATGACAAGGGAGGTCATTTTACGTTGTGGCTGGGATTTTTCTGAAAATTAACCAGAAAACTTCTTGATGTACAAGGAAATGCGATGGTAGGAAGGAATTTTGGGTTCCCGAATATTCGTGAGCGTTAATTGTGCATACACCAATCTTGGAGGCTCGCATCTTTGAAAATTTGAATCTGCAACACGCATGTTTAAGACAGTGTTACTGCGGCCGGTGGCCGGTCAATATTGCGGTTTCAGTTTCGGAGCCAGGAAATTTTTAAATTTTTTTTTCCTTTTGTGCAATTTGTTAAGGACCTATTTCTCGAGGTTACAAGACAAGTTACGCCACAAAAAGTACACAAACTTTCATTTCATTACCCAAAAACCTAGCTTGATTACCGTAATACGACCGGCCGCCTTGAACATGCGTGGCAAACGATTCTAGTGTCGTGTTCAAAGTAATTTCCGCGAAATGCAAAATGATCTCTGACTCTCCAAAATTTAGTGATCTTTTCCTTTCTCTAACGGGTATTTTGCATTTCGCGGAAATTACTTTGAACACGGCATAGGGAATATTCCCCTCTTTTTTGAATTGTGTTTCGACCACAAATGAACACTGTATAATTTTTTCAACTAACTTTTTATCAAATAATGCGTCTTTCTCGCATACACGTAGTCAAATATTTGCTGCAGAACGGCTACCACATTTTCATTCACTCTGTATAGTCTGTTCAGATTTTGAATGTCAGCCAGCTAACTCCACCCCCAAGGCTACAATATCTTTCGCGTCAATGTTTTATATCCAGATGACGATGGCCCTTTAATAGACTTCGCGTTAAATCGCAAACCGCTACTCCCTGACATGACGTCATTTTGACTTGGCGATTCGCACACGAAGTCATATTCTTTGATTTATTTTTCACGTTTCAAATTTGTAAAATTAGATTCGACGTGAAAATTTTTCCAGTCACACGAGAAACAGAAAATTATCACATCTAAAAATCCCCTTTTGGTTGAAAACTTTGCAGGAGCCGTTTTTCGGAGTCAAATTGAACTTTTTCCTGTTTTATTTCGAAATAACATTATTTTTCATTTTTTCTTTCTTCCAAATCGAATGATAATAATTTTTCTGATTAGAAAAAAAGAAAAAAATAGGCTGAAAAATTCCTTCTGACCTTTTTTTTCTAAGTAGTTTTTTTTGATATTTTATCAAAAAAATTCTTATGATAGTTATACAAAAGATTCATACCAAAACGTTAAGCTCAATTCTGTCAACCTCTCAGAACAGAAAACCGATTTGAAAACGGTTCAGAAATGCGCAAAATCATTTAAAAAGAAAGCGTGCGGCAGCGGGTAAACCGTGAGATTTTGCCTCCAGTTGTACGCCGCGCGCGATCGTTTTTTGGCCATAACTTTTTTCTTAGCGGACCTTTTTTTAAAAACTAAACGGATTATGAAAATGGACAGTTTCCTCTATCGAACAGTGTGAAAAACATATTTTTTGAATCGTTCTGAAGAAATGGCTTGCGGACCCTACACAAAAGTCAAAACGTTGACAAACGCAATCCGGGCGCAGTTTTTATGCAAAGGCGCATTTTAAGCTCTTCCTGTTCTTCAATTTTTTCACGTGAATGAAATAAATATATAGCCAAATATTTGGATTACGCTTATTTCTTGTGATCCGAATGATGTCATTAAGTGACGTCAGGGAGTAGCGGTTTGCGATTTAACGAAAACTCTATAATAAGGCTGCATTTTTGACTTCTTTTTCTATCTTTTAGATCAAAAAAGATCAAAGTCCCGTGTGATAAAAAATTGACGCGAAAAGGTACCGTCTCAGCAGGGGCGGAGTTAGCTGGTTGACATTCAAAATCTGAACAGACTATATATATTCTCCATCAACTTCTGTTAACAAAAACATTGGAAAAATTATAAAAAATCAGAAAAGACGCTCACGAATATTCTTTTTCTTTTATTATAGTTATACAAAAGATTCATACCATCGGAAATGCTCCGGAAAGTTTCAATCTGCACATCTTTCACAGCTTTTTCGGGTTTCGAGAGTTTCCTTTGAGTTTGATGTGTCTTTTCTCAAAACCAGAAAGTTGTGTAGGTTGAGATTTTCAGGATCATTTTCTGGTACATACCTCAATGAGTTTCCTGACTAATGTTCAGGAATTTCTCAACCACGAGGTAAAATTTTTGTGAGCAATTTGTGAGCAATTTGAAAAAAATTATATTCAATATGGTTAAATTTATCAGATTGAAACTTTGAAACCTCCTTAATGAATTTGGTATACGTTGATTCAACTCCAGATAGATTGTGCATCTCATCAATTTAAACAACGAAAATGAGCCGTTCACGCCTTTTCGGTGTATATAGTCCGTTCAGATTTTGAATGTCAAGTATAATGACGTCATTCGAAAACGCTCTGTGGATGGCTCGCTCTCTGATTGGTTTATCGCGCTATTAGGGGGCGGAGCTTCAGCGACCACTTGACATTCAAAATCTGAACAGACTATATACAAAAATTATATTTAGTATAGTTGAATGTATCCTTAAAATTCTGAACAGAATATACGTGAAAACGCTATATATGAGGCCCTTTCTATAGAGTGTTTTATATATGAGGCCCTATGTATAAAGCAAAGAACTGAAAAGAAAGAGCTATATAGTTTGCAGACACAACAGATCTGTTCAATGTTGAATGTTAACCAGCTAAATCCGCCCTTGCTGAGACGGTACCTTTTCGCGTCGATGTTTTACCGCGCGAGACAATTTTTGTTCTTTTTTGATCTAAAAGATAGAAAAAGAAGTCAAAAATGCTGCTTGACAGTCAAATTTGAACAGACTATACCGTAAATACAACCTTTTGCTCTATAAAACTGCTAATGAAGGCAGCAAAAAACTTGAAGCGAAGATGCTAAATTTTGATCTAATGGGGTCGAAGTTATTTTTGAAGGAAAGAAAAGTGTGAAAAGCTGGCGCGGAATGAGCAATATATACAAGCACCTTCAAAAATTGAAATTATTTGATTGAGTCATCGAAAAAGGAAAGAAAAGCAACATGTTTAGATTTATTTCTATAGACGTAATACACAAAGTGTGGAAAATATTTATAAATTGATTTAAATCAGTTATCAATTTTTAAGGAGGTGAGTTTCTGGGGTGAATATCGCAGAACTGGTCCAAACTTCTATGGCAGGCAGCAGGATTGCGCGGAAGTGAAATTTTCGAAAAAGGAAGAAGGAAGACGGGTTACGGTACGAAAAAATGTTTGCGGAAGACGGAACACGAGTTACTCGGAAAAGTTTTAGGGGGCCCTATAGGGGGTAAATTGGGGCCCCTAAATGAAACCCTATAGGGATCCCTACGAATTTTTTTAAAGGTCCCTTTTGGGGGGCACGGAAAATTTCTGAAATAGCTCCGGGAGGAAATGGAGAAACTCTTATTGAATGCGAATCGTTAACACATCCGCAGTAAACTCATCTCATCGCGTTTGAAACTGTTTCCAAATTTATTGAAAGGAATTGAAAACATTAAGAGCAATCAGGATCATCAATGGAAACAGATAGACATAAGTAACAAAACTACGAGCAAAAAGCTGAAGATATGAACAACTCGCGAAAGTTGGTGATGATCAGCAAATTAATGTAACAGGATATTCGAGGAAGCAAAAAAACTTTTGGCCGTAAAAGACCCGTATAAATATTTGACACGTCTAAATCACAGCCAACGGAAACCGTATAGATCAATCTAATAGAAGCTCTTCAAGACAATAAAGATACGCCTAAAGCATATTGATATAAGCGCTACTTGCGAAAAAATAGAAGAAAAACGCGTTGTGTCAAGGCAAATTGTTGGGCAATTTTCAATAAAAAACGGTGGGACTTCCGACACGGAAACGGTTGAAACTACTTAGATAAGGGGCAAAAAGTTTGGCACATATAAAACAGAACAATTGAACAGTGAGCAATAAACAACCAACGTTGACATTTGAAAGCAACTTAATTTAAACAAGGATAAAAGTTACAAGAGAGGCAAGCCTGGGATTATGTCACTCTTCGACATCGACAACAACGTCGTCTCCTTGGGAGTCCCCATCGTGCGGAGGTGTTTCCGGTACTTCTTCGTCGCTCTCGTCAGCAGCTGCGGAACTTCCGCTTTTCGGTGAGGAAGCAGCCATATTTGCAGGGAGTTTCGCAGTTAGTTTTCCTGCAAGAGAATGTAGTTGAACAAAAAATAAGAAACCATTTTTACCGGATGTGTGACGTTTGCCGACCTTAGGGGAGCTATGACCAAAGCGTACTGTGACAAGCTCAACTGAAATTGGAAGATTGAATTGTGAAACGCAGTGGAGTTTACGTGGCGCGCTCCGTTGGTACTGGGATTCTTTCATTTTTTTTTCACCTTTAATGAACGCTAGTTTTAGTCGATGCAGACACTCACCACTTTGGGTGACTCGCTTCTCTGTAGAATATGCGGCAGCAAAAAAAGCGTCTTCGTTATCCGAAATGCTGAGTTCTTCCTCGCAGTTGTTCACTGAAATAATAAGAAAAATCTAATTATCTTTAATCTAATTATTATCAAACAATGGCGTTACTTCTTCAATTTTTTTTTTCTCACCTTCGTCGCCTCCATCAGAGGAATTGCTCGGCCCGCGGTAATCTTCCGTTGATTCTGGTTCATGTGGCGGCTCAAAATTTCCGTCGGCTGATTCCGTGCTTCTACGATCATTTATCATTATCAACATTTTCGATATACCTTTCAGAATCTTCATCGCTGCTGTAGAACCAATGCGCATCAATAAACTCGCGACGCCGCGGCATCTTAATAAAAAATTAAGTCTTCTTTAACGAGCAATAATCAAATAGAATATATAAACACGCATTTACATCAAAAACCTCCAAAAAACATCATCTACCGGTGAATTTCTAACTGTTTCACACAATCCAATAGACCAATTATACATAAACGAAACTCTGAAAATACCAACATAAAAAAATACTCTGAACATATTTACATAAACCAATATATCAATTGTACGTAAACGAAACACTGAAAATACTGAACCAATGTACAGATTGCCGTGTTAACTTTTATGGAGCACAAAAAACGCACAAATCATTATAATACAATTTGAAACCATAACGAAAAAATCCTACTGACAACTCGTTCGTGAATAACGTATAGTCTGTTCAGATTTTGAATGTCAAGTCGTCGCTCAAGCTCCGCCCATAATGGTGCGATGAACCAATCAGAGAGCGAGCCATCCACAGAGCCTTTTCGAATGACGTCATTCTACTTGACACTCAAAATCTGAACAGACTATATTACTTCCTTAATTAAAGCACCACAGAAATTGATGAAATATACATACAAGTTATAAAGTTAAACTAAAACTGAGTCGACTGAGTCAACTCAAAACTTAGGAAATGAGAAAGATATTTAAAAAAATTAAAGCACCACAGAAATTGATGAAATATACATACAAGTTATAAAGTTAAACTAAAACTGAGTCGACTGAGTCAACTCAAAACTTAGGAAATGAGAAAGATATTTAAAAAAAAAACCACGTTCGTTCCAAGGGGTCTTCGCGACCCCTTGAGGGTCTTGCAATTTTTAGGGAGCGATTTAGGACCCCTTTAGGGGGCCCTAGGGACTTCCCCCTAAAAAGGCGACTTGCAGACCCCCTATAGGGCCTCCTAAAATCGCGACCCCCTATAGGGCCCCCTAAAACTTATCCCAGTAAGGAATAGGAAATTTTTTTTGGAGGAGTACGCGGTTTGCAGAAAATGTTTTAAAAAAATGTATTTATTAGAGAAATACCCTAGAGAGTTGAACCAAAACTATCAGAACAATTTCCCCAAAGAAGATTTTTTAAAGATTAACGTGAAAATTTCTTTAAACAAAAAATAAACCAGTGAGATTTGAATTTCTCAGCCAGTTGAAATCATAACAAACTTTCGTAACCTCTGAGTAACATTTGGTCTCAACTATCGAGGAGCTTCAAGCCTCTTTGGCAAGGGCCAGGATATCAGCCCCGAGGAAGAGTCTTCTGACTTGTGAACGTCAATTGAAGCTGGGATACTTTGATATTGGAATCGAGAAAATAATTGACCCTTCTACAGATAATATGTAGACAAAATTAGCTCTATTATCTCGCATGCTGAGCAGGTGTCTCAACGGGTGTACCCGTATTAAACCCGTGTTTCTGAGGTTATTTTAGTCTCAGTTGGGCTAAAACGGGGGAACAACGGGTGTAAGAAAAATAGGTAACCCAGCTGGGCTAAAGCGGGGTCTCAGTTGGGCTAAAAAGTGCCAAAAGTTCTATCAGCTGGGCTTATACGGGTTTAATACGGGGGCACCCGCGGAGACCCCGTGTTAGCACGGCGGGGTTACCCTGTTCAGCATGCGAGATTATATCAACAGGCGCACAAACGACACCGAAAACGCGCATTTTTCTATCAAAAAATGTTTAAAATAAGAGTTGAAGAGCAAAAAGTTTTTAAGGAAGACGGAACACGGTGTTACAGTAGGATTACTATCTTTCTCCGTTCTATTGTATTCATGTGTGAACGATGCTCTCGGCGTGTAATTGCTCCGGCAGACACGCCTGTATCTCACTTGGTTCCCTTGCACGCGTCTTGGCCACACGCGTGTGAGGCTCACGAATAAAGACTTCATGACATGTCACTGTCGACAGTCTGCCTTCAACACGTCTAAAGCTTACACGGAAGAGCCGGTGACCCTTCCGGTAAAACAACGGGTTAAGGAACAGAAACTTTTTTAAGGAAGACGTAACACGGGTTAAGGAAGAGAAATTTATGCGGAAGACGGGTAAGCTGAAGACGGGTAACGGAATTCCGTGCAACCCTGGCAGGCAGTCCTAAGTAAAAGTACTCAAAAATAAAAGTTATCCTCTAAGCGCTTCTTCTTATCTTATCTTAGTAATCTTCTACCGGGAAAAATCCGGCCGAAAGTGTACAGGAATCATTCAAAAACAGTTTTATCTGATGTTAGATAATAAAAAAGTTTCATCCCGTGTTGCCTATGATATCCATAAAAGTTGTTCCGGATTCCGAAGAAAAACAGCAAACGGTTTTCTTTTCGTTTGTTTACGGAACTTTTCTAAATCTGTGGAATGGTCATTTTTGCGTAGGGTTTGGAATTTTCTATAAATTTGCTCAAAGGATCTTTGATGGACTGGGAATCGATCCCGCATAGTCGCTATCTGCGCTAACTTTTCGTGTTGGAGATATGCATTTTTAAAGTTTTCATCCTTAAACACGTGACACTGTTCGGAAGGAATATATCCGCAGCACAAGTCATTGCATGACAGCTAGGAGCGTGGTGCAGTGGCTAGCGCGGTAGCCTGTGAAGCCTATAATGAAGGTTCGAATCTTTTTCCCGGCTATCGATCTTTGCCATCAATTTTTTGACGGATCATGGAAATAATCCGACGTTACCAACATGTTTGATTTTCTGCATGAAAGTATAACCATTCGATTCGTCTCATTGAGATACGTACGAATAACATAAAATTATTTGGCGCTAGTAAGATGAAATAACTATATGGTGTGCAAAAACCAGAAAAAAAACTCCAAAAGTTTCAAAAATTTAGGCGCCGCTATTTCTAGACCAGGGGCGTGGCTTGCCTCACCGTAATCTTGTGCGGTGGCGCGCACATGCCTACTTTTCCTCAGTCGTTTTCACCCAGTTTTACGGACGAGGTCGCAGCGAGAGAAACGCTATATCGCGGGGGAGCCGCGAGCTATATCGCTCGCCTCTCGGCGCAAGGTCGCTCACATCTCGCTGCTATGTCGCTCTTTCAAAAATTTTTTTTAGCTCGATTGGGCTCTTGATTTGCTTTCTATGCTTCATACTTTTTATTGGGTTGTACATGATAACATATCGGTCTTTATCAACCTTCTTTACTTTTTTTATTTAATATAAACAATATATTTAAATGAAAAACTTGAGAGCATTAAAAGAAATTTCCAAATAATTGATGATACATTTTTCGAATTCGAAGTAAACTGAAAGTATGTACAAATCTGAAGAAGAAAAAAAAATTGAATTGAGGCGAAAGAGTGAAGCTTCAAGTAAGAATAAAAAAGGACAATATGAGGAAAAACATGTGTATCGTTTATTTTTCATAGGAAAAAAATGTGACTAGGAAAAGAGTAGTTTCAATAAAAACAGAAAAGTAAACCGATTGTAAGCTCGTAGATGATCTTTAAAAGTTCAAATTAGAAAAAAAAAATAAAGGAGGGAGGCTCGAAATGAAAATGAAAGAAGTTTTGAAAAAGAAAATTAAGCTAAACAATCAGATTGACCCTAAGTTCCCTTAAAAATGTTACTGTAAGCTTTGACTTGATAGTTTTCGGCATATCCTTCATTTGCTGCGTCAAGAACTTTTCTAAATGATAAAACCGGTAAAAAAAGAGAAATACTGAAAAAAAGTCCAACCTTGAATAAGAGAATAACTCACAGGAGCGACTGTATCAAGACAGCAGTTCGTGCTTTCTCGAAATCATGCCTCATTTCTTCTTTTCCTTACCCATCGACGCCAAAGTGCAAATCATATCTTCAAGCAAAAAAATGGATATACTGTTTCAAAAAAATAGTTTACCAAGAATCTTATTGATTGTATCCAAAAAGCAAAGTTTCGGTGCCATCTCCCACGGATCTTTCTTGACTTTTATTGATCGAAAAATGTTAGATGTTTTTTTGAAGTACTAATAACCTGAAATTATTGGTTAAAACATGATGCGAAAAAAAGGACTTTCAAATTCAAGAAAGGTGTGCAGTGCCGTCAAAATATATACAAAAACGCTTTTTTTAAATCACAACTTTCTTTAATGGGATTTCACCCTTTTGAAACTCTCTGGAAATATGATGACTGTTGATTGTAACACCGTGGTGAAAACTTAGAAACACAGCTGAAAAAGTTTCAGAAAGATTGAGCTCTATACGAGGAAGTTGTGAGCGAAAAATATTTTTCCTCTTCTGACGGTACTGTATGAGCGTTACATTAGTTGTAAAATTAACATTTTAGAAATATTAAGTGAAAAAAATAGACATAAAAAAAATCAGAGAGAATATAACACACGAAAAAAATTAAACAATTCAAGTAAAATTTTGATGGCACGTAAATAGTGACCAATCGATAATCCGCGACCTCGCGCCGATATCGCGCCGGGAGTTTGCTAGAGCTGAGCGAGATGGCAGCGAGATATGTCGCTGCTATGTCGCGCCACTCTCGCTGCGATATAGTCCACGAAACTGGGTGATTCTTTATATTTCCTCATTTTTTTTTCATTTTCTTTTTCATATTTCTTTTAAGTATTCCTCTTTGATTTCAATATAACTCCTTCTATTATTAAATTCTTAATTTTCGAAGATAGGGTTCTTCTCAAGTATTTTCTTTAAAATCACTCTGCAAAAAATGTGGAGCAACATTTATTCATTGCTTCACAATTATTAGCTTTCTAATTGTTGGTAGAGAGAAAATTGACAAACAAATTCAAAAATTCAGCTATTTTAATCACATTTTTTTGGATTCTTCAAATTATTATACACTGCGCGTAATAAGTATAGGAATCCCAATAAGTTGCGCAATTCCATATTTTAGAAATGAGTTAAGAATATTCCACCAGCGTAAGACTGTTGAGTGTACGGAAAGAACTTACCGTGCGAAAAATCTCGGACGAACTCGAATCTATATGGCAACGCGACCCAATAAAACCGAGAAAGAACAAGTCGCGTCAAAAGTTTAGGGTATATGCGAAATTTAGTAACTTTACCCACTTCTCGTTGAATATTTTAACTTCACCATATGTTGTAAGAGTAATATATAGTGAAGTGAAAATTTTTCGTTCGCGTTTCCGTATAGACCGGGGTTTATCCGAGATCTTCTGCACCGTAATTTCTTTTGCATTCTCAAAAGTAGTTTAATGATAATGAGGCCGGAAAAGGTTTTATGTTGAGCAAAGTATCATAGATTTTTGACAGGGTTTTCTGAACTTTCATAACTATAGAACGTCGAAGATGCGGTCGATGTTATTTTTTTATTCAAACAAAGATCAGCTAACGAAGCATCAGGCCGAACAAAAAAAAAGTGTCTTTCCTTGACAAAATATGAATAAATACCTGGTAAACGAGCTTTATTGAAAACATTTTCTTCAAGTTTTCATTTTTATTTCATTAAAAGTGATTTTCCCCAAAATTTCGTATTCTAAACCTTTTTGCAAATAAATTTAGAAGAAAAAAAGTATTTTTTTTAATGATGTGAAGCATGCCGCAACTTCATGAAATTTCCAAAAAAAAATTTTGTTGAAAAAGTTATTTTTGGAAGAGAATGGCCATCGAACGGTTTTAAAACGTTTTTATTCATGAAATTTCGACATGTTCATCATGATCCGTCAAAAAAATTAATGGCAAAAATCGATAGCCGCAAAAAGATTCGAACCTTCATCATAGGCTTCGCAGCCTACTGCGCTAGCCACTACACCACGCTCCTAGCTGCCATGCAATGACTTGTGCTGCGGACATATTCCTTCCGAACAATGTCACGTGTTTAAGGAAAAAAACTTTAAAAAATCATATCTCCAAAACGAAAAGTTGGTGGTATGAAAAGAACACCAGCGAAAATTCAAACGGCGACTTTTCCGATTTTTTCATATGGCTAGGGAACTTTCCGACGGCCACCTTTCCGACGAAATTTTTTCCGACTTTTTTCCTTTATATTTTTCGGTTCATAAGACATCTATTTACTTTTTTTTTCCTATGTCTTTGTGTTTTAATCATGAACCAACTACCTACTTTATATAGAAAGATTCAAAACGAAGATTTTATCGAGAAAAAAAGTCGGAAAAAGATTCGTCGGAAAGGTGGCCGTCGGAAAGTTCCCTAGCGATATGAAAAAATCGGAAAAGTCGCCGTTTGAATTTTCGCTGGTGTTTTTTTCATACCACCGAAAAGTTTGCGCAGATAGCGACTATGCGGGATCGATTCCCAGTCCATCAAAGATCCTTTGAGCAAATTTATAGGAAATTCCAAACCCTACGCAAAAATGACCTTCCATGTTAGCAGATAATTCTTTCGCTTTCGAGTTCTCTTACCTAGGACTACCTACCATAGACGTTTGAACAAAATATGCAATGTTCACCTGCGACACTACCTTCGTTCTTACTAGTGATTTGCGATAGAAAATTTTTTTTTTCGGCTTGTGGTACTAGTCTCACTTGGTATAACAAAAATGTTTCTTCGAATAGTGGTTTATTTCATTTGGCGACGCTGAGTTCTTCGAGCGGGATGGCGCGGATGCGGACGAACTCTCGGCCGACGATTTTAGTTCTGTTGGCAGCGGCGCGAGCATCAATGACGCCTTCAGGCACAAGGCCAAACTCCACGCAAATACGGTCCCATCCAGGTGGTCCCGCCTAAAAGCGAAACTTGCGTATCCCCTAATTTTATTATTACCTTTCTTTCTATGGACATGGTAAGCTCTTCCTCGTCGTTCAAAATAGCTTGAACCGGAGACACACGATAGCTATTCGGGTTGGAAATTTTGATCTGAACGTTAATCTCGTATCTGCGGCTGCGGAAACTGTGAAATGCCTGATAAACTAAAGGAGAGAAGCCCGCGTTCCTGACGATTATCTTCAAAGTGCCGCCGTCAGAATTTACTTCCACGAATCCAGAAGCGACCGACAAGCTCAACTTCGGGGCCATTTTTAGTTTCTCCGCTTTCTGCAAGCTTTTTCGCGTTAAAAAATAAGCCACTGAGCCTACTTCTTTCTTCATGACGTTGAAGTTGTCTATGTTGAAGTAGGACTTATCAATAACTGATGGGATTTCCAGTCGGAGCCCTTAAACATTTGCTAAACTTTTTCTTAAGATATACTGAAAAAAAGTTCAAATAATGAGAGAAAATTTAAAAGAAAGGAAGTTGAATTGAAGAAACGAGTGACCATCGGCAATCATAACGGCTTCTTCGTAGAAGTCGAATGCGATGTCTTCAAGTCCCGAGCTCAAGTACTTCATGTGTGATATCTTGCGCCGTTCTTCCAGCCACATCTTGAATGAAAATGAAGGGCTTCCTTTTTTTTAGTCCTACCTCGACATCTACGTGGTTTTCTTTTATGAAGTCACTGAATTTTTTGACTTCGATGTCATGCGCAAACCGATTTTTCTTGTAGAAAATTTCGAGGCTGCTCATCTGCGAGCTTGTGAACGGACCTCCTGGCAGTTTTCCAGTCTAAATCCAGGTATTAACAGCTTTTTCTCATCATAGAACTTACCTTCTTATCAGTTTCCACGTCCGAGTCCGGATACTCTATCGCCAGGACCATTTCATTAGCTGGGACCGAGGCATCGGAAACTGTTTACATAAATCGAAAACACATATCTAACTCACGCTTATTCTGGAGAGCCGAAGCCGTTAAGGCTTCGATCGTTTTGATAGCATGCGATTTCTTTTCCTCTTTATCTTCAATCTTAAAACATTTGTTGCTTTCCAAACTGCTTTACTAACGGCTTTTCAAATGAGTTGGAAATTACGAAACCTATTTTTAAACCTTCATGTTCGTATACTTTTGCAGCAGTTCCTTGTCCTCGCGTTTCTCCATAGGAGACTTGTAAGGAGGATGCTTGCGATCAGGAGAAAATTCGAAAGATCCACTTTCCATTGTTGCGCCTTTCATCGATTCATCTTCTACTTTTTTCGCGAACTTGTTGAGAGTCGCGGATCTTCCTGACGGCTGAATTTTCGATTCTTTTTCGACGGCTTTTGTTAAAGCCGTTGATGTATGTGATGTCTCCGATGAATTTCGCTGCGTTCTCATCGCAACTTTTTCTTTTTTTTCCAAATATTCGTGTTGCTGATTCTGAAACAAGAACTTATCGAAAATTAAAAACCATCAAAATCTCTATTCTAGAAAAAAAACTATTTCTGATGAACAAATTAGAAATCGCAACGATTTTCCTTCAAGGAATGATGCAGAACTTGTTTCATGATACTCTGTTTACAAGCTGAGAAAAAATTTTTTTTTCTAATAGTTGCAAAGTTATGGTGATAAAACTGCTGGATCTTCAAGAGCAAATTTTTCAAAAAAAAAAGGATCGTTATATGATCATCATTTCAATTCGCAAAAGAATTTATTAGGAGCCAAAAAAATGTTTCCCCCTCATACTTCCTTTGGAGTTTTTTAGGAGTAGAAATGTCTCTCCCTATTTTTCATGCCCTCGAAGTTCGAAAAAGAAAATTGGAAACTAACCTTTGAGTTGGGCATCGGGGGAGACGAGAAGAAGTACTGAGCTGGAGTCGGCGCCGACAGTCTCCGCCTTTCGCCGTTGTCATGGATTTCGAAGTTCCCGCAGAACGTTTACCCTTGGGCAAATTAACATCATACTGTATCTCGATTACGACACACTTTGTCTGAGTCTGGTTGCTCAGTCATGAGATGAAAACCGATCTTAATTAATCTTCACCTCAAACCTCTCGTAATTTCTTATAGGAATCAAAACAGCGACTCGACATAATTTTCAGCATCGACTGCAAATGTACGCTTTTTAATGAATTCAATAAGTGAAAAATTACACGACGGGAAAGCTTGATTTGCCGCCGAAGACATTAACATAGATCTTTGACCACGCTTTCTGCAGACCTAATTGAACTCACCTGTGACACCTCTCTCTCTCTCTCTCCGACCCTACGCGCTGATTGGTAAGTGAAAACAATTTGCTATTTTTTTGTTATCAATTAAAGAAAAGCATCTGAGTCAGCTTATCTACTAGTTTCCGTCGGGTGGAAAAGTATGATGAATAGAGTTCAAATGTCTACTAACCCAAAACAATTTTTTTTTTTCAAAGCTCAAAATACGAAAGTCTATTACTAATAAAATTCTCAATACATTCGACATTAGCTGCAATTTTTTGAAATACACAGAATTGCGAGTTAGAAATAGCTCCAAAAGACCGGCAATATGAAAATTTTATTGTCGATTATATAAGAATACAAAAAGAAATCATGTTTTCACAAGATCCTCGCCTTGTCGTCATATTCAGCTAGTCGAGCATATAAAATTTCCTGTAATTTATGTAAATTTTGAAAATAAAAACATATTTCGTTCAGATTCCGGTCGTAAAATTTAAAACTAGCTCTAGAAAGCCAATTCTTAAATTGACTGCACACGCAGTTTGAAGCGAGTCAAGTCAATCAGAACTTTTTGGGCTGGAGAGCAACTTAGGACAGCCAAAATCTGAACACACTTCAGAAAATTTACTCCGTATAAATGAGAACGAACAAACTCCCAGCGCTTTTCGTTCATTTCGCGAGGTTTTCCGAATTTGCTCTGAAAAGAAATGAAGTTTTAATGCTTTGAAGCCACCAACAAACTTTACAATAAATACAGTCCACCGTGTTTTCAGGATGCTCTAGTGCATGTCCTTTGAACTCGTCGAAAGTGTCGAAAATCTAAAAAAACAAGAAAATTAAAAATTGTTTTAGAAATCTTTAACCTTGCCACACGTTGTACAGGTAACGCCCATAGAATGAATCTGTATGTCGTGGTGAACCAAACCCTGAAACGACTAGTTTTTATCCGCGATTCATTTTTCTAAGTGCAACTAGGTTCCACCTATGGAAAATTTTTAGTTGTGGAGTACTGAATTTTCAAAGATCTTCCCTGTTCTCAGCTGGTGTTGTTAGCAGGGTAATTTAGAAGATTGATAATTCCTCATACTGAAATTGTTCGTACGTAGCGATATTCGAACGCTCGAAGACTTTTTAAGATAACTCACAGCGACATAAAAAGTTTACAAAAGTTACTTACATATTTAGGTTGGAACATTGGGGGTGTTTATAGGATTGAACCCCAAAAGAATAAACGAAAAAATTCAACCTTTGAATTTGACACAGAAAGAAAATAAAACTTATAAGAAAAAAAGTTTCTCGAGGAGCTGAAACTCCTTGATTACTCCAAGTGCCTTGATAGGAAAAGAAAAGAGCGCAAACCTTTGAGGACATGAAGGTGTGGTTGCACTTGGCGCACGGAACGAGTTTCTTTGCTGGAAATCTACGTCGACGTCGGCCGACCGGCGACTCGGAAGCCGAACTATCGCAACTGGTGCTGCTACACCGGCGACGTCTTTTGCGGAGACCAGAAACTCTGCCCCGAGGAGAAACACTCTTCTTTCTGGGCTTCTCCGTTTCCTTTTTTTCTACTTGACATCGAGGCTGTGGCGGCCTTCGCCGGAACATAGGCTTGTCCTTACCTTTTGGACTCACATTTTTGCTGAAAGTTGTTTTTCGATAAGATACCGTTTCTTTTCTCACTGTTTCGTTCTCCGTTTACACTGAGAAGAAGATGATGATAAGAGGGAAGAAGATGATGATAAATTAGAAGACACAGAGGAAGAACTGGAAGAAGACGAAGAAGACGAAGGAGATGATGAGGAAGACTCAGAATCACTGCTCGAAAAATTTTTCCGCTTAGGCAAACGATAAGCTAATGGAATGTTTCTGGAAAAAACGCAGGTTAAACGTTTTCGGAATGAACTTATGACTTATGAAAGCAAAATTCGAAAACCCACCTCTTTTTCGTAGACATGGCGAAAAATAAACTAGAAATGATAAATACTTAAGCCTCATTTTTACGTGTCACAACAACTCCCCTTTTCCACGTTGCAATAAAGAAGTATTCATTTCTCTTCAAATAAATGGAAATGAGGAGCGATAAAAGCCTTCACCATATTCAGCATAACAGAAAACAGCCACAAACAATCAGGTGAAATCGATAAATAATTGATTGAATATAAAAAGATACACTGACAAAATCAGGTTCAATAACTTCGACCGAAAAGAGCAAAGAACTGGGGAGAGGACTTGCAAGCCGGAAGAACGCAGCTGGAGGGAAGCTTTTCTTTCGGTTGTTCTAAAGGCACACAGAGAGTCTTGGCTCCCATCTGAGCACCTTCTCCATCTTCACGAGTCGTCGACTTCTTGATCTCCTCCTCGCATTCGGGCTTTCCGCAGAACGGAGCCAAGATGATGAACTTCTCATCGAGCAGCCGCTTCATTTCTTCCAAGTCATTCGTCACTTTCATATGAGCGTCACGAGCTTCCAAAACCCTGAGAACCATTTTTTTTAAAACAAAAAATGGCCTGCTCACGAACTTTCTGTACATTGCGGCGTGGATCTCATCGAGAAGGCCTTTGACAGACTTCGGAAGACTTTCATCCAAAGACAGCGCCCTTTTCTCGCTGCTGAACCGCACCACAGCTGTCACTTGATTTGCAGCCAAATCTTTGGGACCGACCTTAAGTGGTAATGGAAAAGTTTATTCATCTGTAGACGTACCTCCAAACGAATAGGAACTCCTTTAAGCTCCCAGTGATTGAATTTCCATCCGGGTGAGTAGTTATCTCTATGACTCAATCGTCTTCCCAACAAGTGGTGCAAATGGCTACCTGAGATCAGACTCCGCCCGAACGTCGCTTTCGAGGAGCTGTTCAGTGAGCTTTGTCGCTGTCGACGTCAGCTCCTTGCGTTGCTCGTCGGTCGTTTGGGCGGTAATACCGACCGGCACGACTATCGCCTGGATGGCAGCGACACGCGGAGGCAGAACCAGTCCGTTGTCATCGCCGTGAATCATGACCATCGCGCCGATAGTTCGAGTTGAGAGACCCCAAGAATTTTGCCAAGCAAATGTCTGCATAAAACGAATATGGGTGAAGACATATTTTATCATTTTACAGAAGAGGTCATGTTATTTTGAGGATAGGATATTTCAAAAGCGGCCAGTGCACTCTCTAATGTGCGAGATTAAGGTCTTGAGACTTTGAACAATTCTTTCTCGAAAAGTAACAAATTGCGCAGGACATCATCTGGTACATTGCAGAACAATCCGGCCGATTTTCAAAAAGTTCCAAAGTGAAAGTTATAACGAATTTTTTTGTTGTTTATATATTTTTCTAACTCCGCTCCTGCGCTCTTATTATTTCGAGTTTCCAGCTCAATTTCAACGGTTAATAGAAAAATTTTCGAATAATAACACTGGAAATTGAAATAAACGCGGCGTGTGACCTAAAGAAAATTATTCAACTAGAAATTTTCCATAAATTACACTGAGTTTGCAAATTAAACGCACGAAATGTACCTTTTGTCCGTTGGAAGGATCCTCAAAAGAGATGTCGAACATCTTGGAGAAATTCTGTCCCAGATGGTGAGAAGTGGCGCCCTGGATTCCACGACCATTACATGGGACGTAGGCTTCAACGGTTGTCGTGAAATCGCCACCGGCAAACTTTTCCTGAGTTGGGGGCTCAAAATCGAATGTTCAATCGTTGCACACTTTCTCGCTTTTTCGTCCTTTGACAACTGGAATGGCGAGCAGGTCGGTGTAAACACCAGCGTAAAGGTCCAAAATTTGGAAAACTTCTTCCTCGGCCTCTTTGGCGCCGGCGAAAGCCGTGTGACCTTCTTGCCAGAGAAACTCGCGTGTTCTCAGGAACGGAGTCGGGTGTTTGAATTCCCATCGCTGAAAAGGAACAATCACAAAAAAAAAAAAAAAATGTTGAAACTCCTCAGGAAAATCAAAAAAAAAAAACGATACAGATTCCAAAAAGTTCACAATCCTGCATGATTTTGATAAACTCTATTTTTGCAAGTGATTTTTTGCTGTGATTCCCACGAAAAAAAAACCTACGAGAAAATTTTACAAGCCTTGTTCTTTTCAGTTCCTACTTCACGATTTATAGAAGCAAATCGATAACGTCTCTTTACATGAAAAATCCAAGTGAATTAATAAATATGATTTTCGAAACTTTTTTGTTCTACTGAAGGAATAGTACTCACCACGACATTGCACCACTGGTTGAGCTTTATAGGCAAATCCCGATGAGACTGGACCCATTTCTTGTAGGAAGGGTACATGACCGTCTCGGAGGTTGGTCGAATAGCGATTGGTTCAGCCATTTCCGAAGATCCCGCACGAGTGACCCATGCCACCTCAATAGAACGTCATGTGACAAAAAACTATCAAACCAGAATACGATCCAGGTAAAAAAATGTTCTATATGAGAGACCAGAAATTCTCAACCTTCATAAAATGGCGACACAAGAAAAAGAAAGAAATTTGTCAAATTAATTGGTTAAAAATAGTATTTTTTAGTCATTATAATGGCTACGAGTGTTTCAATTTTCAATGGAAACGAGTATGCGCCTGAAAGACCAAAAAAATCGTCTAATCTGAAGAAATGAGTCGGAAAAAGTAGATAAAAAAATTAGACTTAAATGGCATTATTAATTCTCCAAATGGTTGGGCTCAAAATTTCGACATTTGTGAAAAAAATGATGGATATTTTAAACGTAACTAGAATTTAAAAAAAGGTTTAAACTTGAAGAAAAAAATTTATTTAAAAAAATGCTAACTTTGCATTAATTCTAATGCAAGCTCATCCAAGCTTGACCAATCGTAAATGGAAAAAAATAATTTTCACAGACTTAATGATTCTCCAATAAAATTAAAACGTTGAGTAGAACATACCTCGGGAGCGAAATCTGCAATGTGAGTCTTTTCTCTCTCCAAAGCGGCATTACTCACAAACATGGGGAAGTAACAATTTTTAACGCCAAGTTTTTTGATGCCTGTGTCGAACCATTCCTTAAATGAAAATTCAAAATACTCCGAAAAATTCTGGAACCTGGATAGACTCCCAGATGGCATAAGACCACGGACGCAAGACATAGCATCCAGAAACATCGTAGTATTCAATCATTTCAGCTTTTGTGATAACCTGAAAAAAATTCCAATTATTAACATCCTTTCTGTCGAACCTGGCTGTACCACTCGGAGTAATTTTCAGCCTTCGCGAATTCGATGCCGAGCTTGGTCTGTTTCTTGCCGTCTTTCGCTTTTTTGTCTTCCTTTACTGGTTCCTTTTTGATTTCTGTTTTTTTTTCTTTCGGCGCTTTTTGCTGTCGTGGCGCTGGAGCCGAAGCCGAAACGTATTCTTTTCCATTTTGCTCTTTGAAAGTAAGCTTCAGCTCTAGAAGCTTCTGAATGGCATCCTTCTTGGCATCCTGGATAGTTAATAAATTGTGATATATTTTCTAAATTTTAAAAAACCTCGGATGTTGATTTATCGGACTTTAAACGACGAACTTCTGCCGCTTGATCTTCAATTTGTTTCTCTAGATCGACACTAACCATCGTGTATTTTACCCTTCAATAAATAAAATAAATTAGGATACACCTATTTTTTATGGACTATGTCCCAGAGAGAGTAACGCTACACTAAGAATAACTGCCGAGACAAACGCGAGACGCTGGCAGTACATTGACGAGCTCGCAAACATCTCGCTTTTTTTTCTCGCGCAGATCTCGCATTTTTCTGGGCGCGAGCTCGTAATTTTCTAGGCGCGAGCTCGCATTTATCTCGCAATTTGTAAATTGTCTGAAATGCAAGATAAATGCAAGGTCACGCCGAGAAAAATGCGAGCTCGCGCCCATAAAAATGCGAGATCGCGCCTAGAAAAAAAGCGACATGTTTGCGAGTTCGTCAATGTACCGCCATTATTCTAAGCACTGAGAATAACTGCCGAGATAAACGCGAGACACTGGCGGTACATTGACGAGCTCGCAAACATCTCGCTTTTTTTCTCGCGCCGGTCTCGCATTTTTCTGGGCGCGAGCTCGCATTTTTCTAGGCGCGAGCTCGCATTTCTCTCGCAATTTGAAAATTTCCGAAGTGCGAGAAAAATGCGAGGTCGCGCCGAGAGAAATGCGACATGTTTGCGAGTTCGTCAATGTACCGCCACCGACCTCGCGTTTATCTCGTCAGTTATTTTTAGTGAGTGTATGTCGCGAGTCTTTAATAAATTTTTCTTAAAGAAAAATTTTTCAATTTTATTCATTTTATTATAAAAGTCAGAAAATGAAGCAAACTTGTTTTTATATACTTTTTAATGAATTTCTAACTCGGGCAAAACTGAAAAGCTCCCCAAAAGCTTTTCTCAAAAAAAGACCTTGAAAGGGTCCCCAGCAGATCTTTTTTATATCGTTTCACTTCTTTTTTGCATCTTTTTCACATTCTCTAACAAAAAGGATGCTGGAAAGCAACTGAAAAGATTCGAGATGATTCAAAAAGGATCCTCTGAAGCTATGAAAAAGCAGCTCAAAAGCTTTTTTACATCATTTTAGGAGCTTTTAGAGGAAGCTTTTTATCTTCCTCTCAGGATCCTTTAAGGATCCTCAAAGGAACTTTTCAGTTTTACCTATGAAGAAAAAGCGACATAGCAGCTAGGCTTTGACGAGGTCGCATAGTTAAAACTGAAAAGTTCCTTTGAGGATCCTTAAAGGATCCTGAGAGGAAGATAAAAAGCTTCCTCTAAAAGCTCCTAAAATGATGTAAAAAAGCTTTTGAGCTGCTTTTTCATAGCTTCAGAGGATCCTTTTTGAATCATCTCGAATCTTTTCAGTTGCTTTCCAGCATCCTTTTTGTTAGAGAATGTGAAAAAGATGCAAAAAAGAAGTGAAACGATATAAAAAAGATCTGCTGGGGACCCTTTCAAGGTCTTTTTTTGAGAAAAGCTTTTGGGGAGCTTTTCAGTTTTGCCCGAGCGTAGAAAAAGGTTTTGGCTATATCGCCTGCGGCCCGCTGAGATATAGTCAGTTATTTTTGGTGTATTTATGTCGAATATCGATCTTCCACAATTATTTCAAAAAGAATAATTAATAAATAAAGTTTATTTAACTTATTTAATAACATTCAGTTAACCAGTTGTAATGAGGAAAAAACCCAGTAAGGATAATAAGCCAAAAGAGAGAGAGAGAGAGAATACATAAAGATAAAAAAAGTTTTTTCGCATATATCTGTACCCATCCACTTCTCCAATTTGTTTGAAGCTGTGTACAAAAATATAATGATGAGTTGTGAAAAATCTGTAAACATCTTTCGTGAAAAACCGCACGGAAGGAGGTTACCGTAAGAAACAAACGAAAACTATAGCTTTTGCTAAAACGTTGTTTAAACACCTGTATAAGAGGTATATTGCAAAAATGAGAAAAATAAAAAAAGATGTCAATTTAACAGAAAAACTATTTCCGTTTTTCAAACAGTCTCCTCCATAATTTGATAAACCAAACTATATAGGATATTCAAAAAGTCAAACTTTAATCGTTAACAGCTTTCTGAAATTTCGAAAAAGAAAAAAAAAACTTTGAAGTGTTAGCAAAACAGCTAAACGAAAATTTTTTTCCAGCGATTTCTGCGGACGGTTCACGGAGAAAATGATTATATTAAAGAGGATGAACCTCAAAAACTATCCTGCAGCAATAAAGATTGTACCGAGAAAAAAAAAAATCAGATGTGGCAAATTGGGGCATTCGGAAACAATTTACGTTTTTCAATGTTATGTACGTATGAAAATTTCAAAGAGGAAAAAACGCGATGAAAAACAGAGTGTATATATTTCTTTTTCAGAAGTTCAAAAAAATTTTTAATTGATTAATAAAAACCTTTTTCTCTAAAAAAAGAAAGAACCGAAGCGAAACAAAGAACACAGAAAGTGTCAGAAAGATTACCATTAGTATAAAAAAAGTTCAAATAACAAGAAAGTCCAAAAACTTCTCGCAATCGAAAGGAGCTTACGCCAACAGTGGAGTAGAAATTGAAATATTAATTTTCGTTAAAATTTTTCCGGTCACATATATTTTGATCGGAAACTTTCAAACAAACTTTGAAACAAATTATAAAATCAATATTAAATAGGAAAATAATAGATCAAGAGAATTTTGAGAGAATCGGAAAGGCAGGAGTTATTCTTCGTCGGCGCCCCACTGATAACCGCCAGGTCGTTCGTCGTCAGGCAGCGGCTCGGCCTGTCGTTCTTCACAGAGCCACACCAACCACTGCGGCGTCTTCAGCAGCCTCGTTCCGTGCTCCTTAAGCAAACAAGCTGGTGACGTCTCAGGCGGAGAGAGCAAACTTGGTAAGGGAATACATCCTCGAGAAAAAAATAGATGTGACCGCAGGCAATTCCTAGAAAAAAAAAATGTGTTTTTTGCGCAGCGGAGTTTTTAGGTTAATTAAAAACTTCATCCCCATCTTTTCTAACTTTTTAATATCTATGAGGGTTACTGATTCATAATAGTATCAGAACTGTTTGAGGATAAAGTATAATTTTTTTTCCATTCTTACGAAATACTTTCTTTGTGATGATGAAAAGTCTTAATGTTTCTCAAAATCTTACTCTTAAAAGTTTGCACAAACTCTAAGAGGAAGTACTTTTGAAAAAAACCTAAATATTTGACAATTTTTGAAAAAAATACCCATGAAATCAACGATGGCGTTGTTTCCGAGAAGTAAGGAGAAAAGAAGTAGAACCCAAAGGAAGGTACGGCGCAGTGAACGAGAGAACACCAAAGAAGTTCATCTATATGAAAATTTAAAAAAATAACTGACGAACCTTTTATCGCCAGTAATGATAAAAATTAACTTTCTCTAAAACTTCATTTTCAAATTTTTCTGAAATTTTCTCAGAGAATTTCTAATGCACTAGAAGAAAATAATAAATATCGCAATCTTCTAAGAATTCTCCGTTTTTTTAAGAATGGATGTTAGAATATAGAATAAAAACAATTTTTTTCATCGGTAAACACGTACTAAACTTCAAAGAGTATGTTTTTTTTAATGAGGAATTTTTGCAGATTGTGACTTTTTAAAATATCCATTTAGCCCGTCGAAGAAATTTCAAGAAAACTCCCCAAAAAGTAACAGAGACAAAGTGAACCTAGACGTAGGCTTTTTTTCTGCGCCATTTGGGTTTATTTTGAAGAGTTGGAGTTGGAAAAAAAGTTGAAAAAAATGGTATTATGACAACTTTTTTTCTCTAATTACCTTTTTTTCAACTACGCTTCTATATAAATTCAGATGTTTTTTTAAACCTGTATGTGAGGATTACGCCTGCTCCAGACGTATACAAGCATTATCGTGAAAGCTTGGCCTAGGAAAAGCATATGAACGAATATTCCGCAAACGATCTGCAAGAGGAAAGTAAAAAAGAAAAGAATCTCGTTGGTGACCATAAGGAGAGCACCAAAAATGAACATGAAGACGAAATCGGCTCTTCTGCCACGGAAAGAGCCCTCCTCCAGCATCATACAGTAGCGGTATGTGAACACCATATTGAACAGGAACGAGAATCCAAATGAACCGAAGAAACAGAACGACGTCAGCAATCGCCAGACCTGATGGTTGATAAATGAGAGCACTTGATAAGAAATAAAAATTTGCCTGCCACTGTTTGAAGACCAGCTCCCAGTTGAAATAAAGCTGGAAAGGAGTGATGAAGTCAAGTTGCTGGAATAACTTCATCTGTTTCTGACATGAACAAAGAGTACTAACGACGGCAAGAGTCACAAGGACGCAGGCGGTGGTGTAGGCCCGCGTCACGGGAGGCATGTCTTCATAGGCGGCGATCAGAGCGTTCATCTTCAAACTGAAAGGCTAGGAATGGAGTTGGGTTGAAGCTGAAAAATATGCATTGAGATCAACTGACTCGAACAAACAACTTTTCAGAAATAAAATCAAATATATTTATATCGATTCAACAATTTCCAACAGAAAAATTGGGGATTTATACCGGTATCATTAAGCAAACAACTGAACTAAAATGGATGGTTAAGGAGTAAGGATGGTGCTCGTGTTTCCCTTTCCAGCCAGTTGGGTCAAAAGTTTGTTCAAGCGACCGACCATTCGACTTGTGTCCTTGATGAGCCCAGCCGTAATCAAAGCGTTATCGTAAACCTGCAAAAAAAAAAAATCAAGATGAAGGTGAAAGAAAGGATTCATCCCAATCATGTTTGAACACGTCTAAAAGCTACGGGGGACAACTTGTCAGACGAAATTCTCGGAAAAAAGGAATAGATGAATTCAGGAGGCTGAACTATACATACACATTTTCTTTGCCATATTTGAATGAACGATTAAAATTGTTGGTTAAATTTGAGAAAAACCCTTTTTTGAGACAATTCAAACCAAACCCCTCAGTAATCAACAAATCTGAAACCTTTTAGTAATCGATTCACACCCGAAAAGAAAATCTTTCTTTTTCTTCAAAATTTCACATTTAATGGAAAATGATGAGTTCAGATGACTCAATAATGATATCAAAGCGCTTCTTTTTCACGAAGTCACCTAACCTGCTCAGCCAGAAGTTGCGCGGTTTCTTTATCCGTTTTCCTCAATTTATAGAGGCTTTTGATGAGAGGATGAGTGAGGTTGACATGGACGTGAGGTTTGAAGTGAACCTGTAAAATGCAGCTCTTTCAGACAATCGAAAGAGGAGGGAGATACCAAATGCTCCATATCTTTGATTTCCCCGGTCCTGAGGAAATGACGAGCAGCCCCCATCTCCATGACGGTCACCATCACGGGGTGCTCGCTGGGTCTGTGGTTGCCGGAGATTTCGTTGACTCGGACAGAGCCCAGAGATTCTCTCAGCCAGTCTAACAACTCCTTTTTGTCGACATCGCGAAACTCTTCTGCAAATATTTATATACACCTTTCTTCTTTCCTTCAGATTCACTTTGATCTTTTTTCTCATCCGGTTTCTCGGCCTCCTGACCAGCCCATTTCTCCACGGGGACTAAGTTCTTCATTCCGAACTGGTGCAGGCTCAGGAAAACAACCTATGATCCAAAAATATTGCGAAAAAAAACTATCTGTGAAGAACCTCGTCGGCCGGGTCGTATAAGAACAAAACTTCTCGATTTTGAGATTTGATCACCTCGTAATACGGAGACGACTCGGCTAGTTGACGACTGTAACGAGAAACTGCTCAATTGGAAAAAATCAAAGAACGGACTTGTTGGCGTACATATAGTAGATCTCTTTCTGATCCTCCTGCATCCGCTTAACGTAATCTCCAAGACTTGTCAGCTCGCCAGCCTTTTTGGAAGAAGACTCGAAGAGAAGAAGCTTTGACACCTCTTCCTATCGATCGAAAAATACGGTTGGGCCAGAAAAGACAACCAGAACCTTGGCGTTTTGGTCCTGTTCGGTGATAACTCCTTCTTTGAAGTAAAGGGAATAGTTTTTGTAGAACTCTGAATACTTCACAGGATCTTTCTTCATTTCCGATTGCAATGTGGCGAATATCTTATCAGTGAGGATTTTTCGAAGCTTTCTGCAAAACAAAAAATCACTTTTTTTAAAAGCGAAGATGGAATCTAAATGAAAAAAAAATACATTGAGAAGATATGAGAGCAGGAAAATCTTTTTTATCCTCTTACTTCTTAAATTTTCCACGACCATAAAATCACTTACGGGAAGTTCAAAAGATGATTTCTTTTTAAAGCTTTTTTTAAATCATATCTTTTTCGTGAATATTAATGTTTGAAAAAGTCTTTCTTTCTCTCAGCTTGAACTATTTTTCGAATTTTATTTATTTTTTTCCTTCCGAAATACCTCAACACTGGGTTGTTTTGCAACATCTCACGGCTGAGATTCAAAGGAATGTCTTCTGAGTCGACGACGCCAACAACAAATCGAAGATAACTGGAACGAAAAAGAAATATTAAAGCTGCAGAAACGCGGATCTAACTGTGGAATGAGTTCCTGCGCATCAGGCTTGATGAGAACGCGTCTCGCGTACAAGGCGAGCCCGCAGTCTTTCTGTTGGGCCATGAAAGAGAGCTGGTTGAACTGCATTTGTGGAATGTACAACACTGTGCGCAAGGAAACTGGAGTGTCAGTCTGAAATCTTTCAAGTTAGGAAAAAAAAAGCTCTCACAGGCCTGAAATTGAATCGTGTAAAGAGCTCGTTGGAAGAGATCGAGTTTTTTCTGCGACTTCATCAGCTGTCTGCAGAATCAAAGCCGGATTAAGAAGAAAAAACTTTCCGCCTAGCCATTCAAATAGAAACAATGGCTTATAGCATATGAAATGAGAAAGCATATCTAGAAGGTTATCGCCAGAAGCCTCCGATAACATAACTACTAATTTTTCTGATTTTCTATCTGTTATTGAAAAAAAACTGTCCATCGCGTATCATATTGTGAAAATCCAGAAAAGTTCTAAGGACTGACTTGAAAAAGTTCTCATGCATTTCTTTAGTGACGTCACGGGGATTCATCGTCCAGATAGCATTTAGACTGTTAACCCGTTCGCCGTTGAGGATAATCGGCGAAGAGACAAAGTACGAGTACTTGTTTATCACCTTAGAAGAGAGCTGTAAGAGAGTTTGGAGTTGATCAGGGAACCTCTTTGATGCGTTCTTCCTCGGCATAAGACGCCGAATCGCCTGTTTTCAGACGCAAAACTATTTTCGTCCCAGTGGGAAGGCCATCTTCTTCGGAAACTTCGTAGTTATTGTCGCTGAACCAAGGATAACCCCCCATATTCCAAGACCAACCCATTCCAGTGCCATCGAAGCCCTTTCGAAATGTCCGCATCGACCTTTCTCGTAGTTACCGTCACTGAATCGGCCACCATGAAAGCCGAGTAGAAGCCAACGCCGAACTGGCCAATCACCGCTTCGGCGTTGTCTTTGTTCTAGAGTATTTATTTATTTATTCAAAAGATATTGAAAAACCTTCTCAATAAAATCTTTGCTTCCGGATTTCGCGATAGTTCCCAGACATTCGATAAGATCTTCACGGTTCATACCTATTCCCGTGTCTTCGAACGTAATCTCTCTTCGGTCCTAAAAGACTTGGTAATTGTTATAATTGACCATACATGTTAACCTTGTCCGTGGTTATCCTGATCTCACTGGGTCCTTCTACAGCCTGACCAGAGAGCTCTGCACACCTGCGCTTTTCCAAAGCATCAGAGGCGTTCGAAATGAGCTCGCGAACAAAAACCTGAAACATTTTCTCGCTCTTGGCGAAGTTATCGACAAACCTCACTATGAGAATATAGAGATTTAGCGACGATATCCATCAAATTTCTGGTCTCGGCCTGAAACTCGTGGCGCTTCGGGTTTGATGCGAAACTCCGCGTGGCCGCCCCCAGCGTCATTCTCTCTTTTCGGTTCCCCAAAAGGTTTACCCCAGTTGAAACCCTCGCCATCGATAGAGCACGATAGCTTCTCATGGAACTGTGAAGCATTCGACACGCCATCGACGTCATCTGCTCAGATTAAAGTACACGGCAGCACATAGAGGACCCAACATAACAGGGATTAAACCGCTCAAAACAAAAATAAATTCAATTAAATGAAAAAAAATTTCTGTCCAAATCAAAGGGTATACCCAAATGATAGAAAGAAAAAACTTTGAAAAGTTGAGAACATGTGACAAAATTTGACAAAATGAGAGCAAGAAAGTGAAAAGTTGCGACAATCATCAAAGACGTTTATTTTTGACAGGCGTCGCCTCCATTCTTCTGGCGAGCGGCTCGAAAAGACGGACATAGTCGTGGCTGTCCTGAGACATCATGTCGACGAAGCTTTGCTGCACGTCTTCTGGGAATCCCGCCAGGCCGCATTGAGATTCATTCGTCTGAAATCGGAACAGCCTGATTCCTCGATATAGAAAGCTTTCGAGCAATGGAACGAGCATCACGTACCTGAGCGAATTTGGACGGAGTCAAAGAAATTTCGCCAAAAAGGTTGTCAAAGGCGTCGTGAACGCTAGAAGAAACGTTGAAATTGAGAAAATAAGTTCAAACAGACGTTGACTGTTCTTCATTTGAGCGCGTGAACCGAGGGCCCGGCGACATTGAGAGATCCCCTCCGAAAAGTCTATCCATCGTTCCACCATTACTGTACAAGTCCCTTAACAAGGAAGGTAATTTCTTTGCGGTTGAGAATCCTTAAAAATTGGTCAGAACATTTCTCAATGTACTAGATTATGGCCCTGAAAGTCTCAATCTGTCCAGCTAGTTTTCAATAAAGAAAGGCTCAAAGTCGAAGAAAACCCACAAAATATTTCAAAATAGGCCATTTTTGGACTTTCAGCTTTTATTTCTCGAAAACTAGAAAATTGTGCACGTTGAGACTTCCAGGACCTCGCAAAATCTTAGTAAGGAATGATCTGCCTAATTTTCAAGGAGTTCCCAACCGCAAAATAAAATGAACTCCCTTGTAGGAACGAAAAACATTGATAAATAAATTCAATTTTTCTTCGGGCAGAAACAGAAACCGTCATTTACTGAAGTTCCATATCGACGTTATAATATTTTCTCTATGTTACAGCAAAATTGGAGACTTTATATGAAGAATAATAACATTAATCAATAATTTCACCAGAAATGGGTATTGCATTTACGCATTGAGCAAATCAAACCTTGAAATCATCAAACAAATATATACAATACACAAGAAAAAAAATATATCAATATATCAATTCAGCTCAACTTTAACTTTCATATTTCAAATAAATCAAATAGTTGTTTCTGATCTCATTCAAGAGTCTTTTCAAAAGATTGAACACATTTCATTCGTCTCTTTATCAAATTAACACTTTGTTAAGTTATTTTCTGATTTTTTTCGTTCAATTCTTTTCAAAGTACTTATTTCTCGTATTCTTCAGAGCATTATTTACACTTCACTTATTCATCGGTAATTTTAAATTAATTAACAGTTGCATAAATAAAATCTTGAAACACAATACCTTTCATCTTTGAACGGCGTCATATACACGCGTTTTTCCGGTGTCTTCTCTGGCGTTCTCAAGGCATCCAAAAAGTGGGCGGCTGCAGATTGAGGTTCTACTTTTTGCGAAAGCTGAATTCCGTTTCTTGATCACTTTTCTGAAATGAAGACAGACTGCAGAAAAGTCGGTTTGAAGTGGAGTCTCAACACATTTTTGCCCATCTTCCTGCTGTTTTTTGGCAATGATCGCTGCAGCTCTCCTGGCATGGAACTGGCTGACGTATCCCGTCCCTGGACACGCGAGTCCCAACTCCGTCTTTTCTCGAAAGCTCACCTTTCTTTGGATCTTGTTTAGTTGGAAGCGGCGCAGCGAGCCATCGGGTCTCCACGAAATCGTCTTTCTTTTTCACTGCTGGCGCTTTGTTGAAACGCATCCTCTTCTGAAACTAACGCTAAATGGAAGAATTCCAAACAGGACTCACTTTCTTTTTCGCCTGCAACGCTAGCAACTGATCTTCAAACTCCTCGTTTTCTCGCTGAACGATTTCCGATTCAATCAGTTGCGGAATATCGATGACCGCTTCTCTGGGAGCAACCTCAAACTAGATAATCAAATTAAAGAACACTTTGAAATATTCGATGTCCGAAAAAATTTTAAAAAATTGATTTTGATTGCTGTAAGCGTGTAGTTTTTGAGTTTTATTCGTACTTGAACACGGTATTCATCTTTCATAAGTTTTATCTGAAAAAAAATTATTTTTCAGAAAAAAAAGCTCACTTCCTGAACAGCATTCTTTGAGACGCGCGTTCCCTTTTTCACAGGCGGTTCCGAAAAGTCATGACTGAAGGCAAGAAATCAAACAGCTTTCCAGTAAACATCGAACCTCTCATTGACCTCTGGATGATGACGATCTCGTTCCCGTTTTCTGTTGGCCGCCATCATTTCTTCGTCTTTTTTGCCGCACAGAGACTCTCCATAATCTCTCCGTAACAGCATAGTCATCATCTTAAATTGGCGCCCTTCAAAAAAATCTTCCAATTGTTTCCACCTCCCACGGCTCCACGTGATGACGATTTTTCTGTGGCGACAGCTCCAAACTGTAACGAAGTTCGAAAGTTTCTTTCATCCCACACTGCAAAATATATCTTTCTTTACGACAAGAAAAAAAGAAAAAATTGTTCATCAACATACCGTACAGTAAAGTTCAGCGACAATGGCTTCGCGAATGTTTTCTGCACAGATTCCGTCATGTAGAATTTCATCAGTTAGCACAAAAGGACTTGGATACAGCACTGTGTAAGAAGGTTCTGAACAGACCAATAAGTGGTTCTTTGGGATGATAACCGACTTTTTGACAAAGAGCCCACATCTTTCTTTGTCGCCTTAATTTGTTCATATTCCTTTTTGAACCTGCAATCCCTTCACGTGGAAAAAAAAAGAAGAAAAACGCCACTTATTGAAAGACAAGGCAACTGATGGGGACACGTCCACTTCGGAAACAGTCAGCGAGCCAATCTCCACTTCTTGGTCCGGCCAAAGTCGAAAGTTGACATTAGAAGTCGCAGCAGTTTCCTCCAAGATGTTCTCATGCCAAATGGAAAGTAGTCACAACGAACCGAAGGCTCTGGTCCCCACTTTTTCGTTAATAATTCCATGATCCGTGATATTTTCTCGTTTGTGGATATCCTCAGCTTTATCAAAGGGTTTTGTTGTCGAGATATCTTCAATTTGATCTGAGCAATATTTCTTCTCTGTGGAAATGATTACCACATAAGCCGCGTCACCATAGGTCTTTGGTTTAATCTCAACAGTTACGTCCGCAGGAAATTTATCAACTCTTCTCGACCCTGAATTCGAAGTAGCAAATGCTCGGTTGCCTCGGGACTACTTGAAAAGAACTTGAGAAGACTCGGACAGGGCGGCGTCTTGATGACGACTGACTTCTTGTTTATTCTCACGGTAGTCGATCTAAATGAACAGTTCACTTGGTTAAAGTAAGAAATTAAAAAAAAGAAACCCGTCGAAAAGCAGTTCTCTCATTCGGTCGGAAATGAATTTCGAGCTTCCAGTTCTCTTCTTCCATTCACAAGCATTGATGCTCAAAAACAGCTCTTTGGCGTCTTTCGGCCCATCCCCCATTTGCTCTGAGCCTTTTTTTTTTCAGAAAACTATTATATTTTTCACAACACCTTCATCGATAACGAGAAGCTGTTTGAGAATTTTCAACGAGTTGAAGAAATAATTTTTCGTTTGATCTTTGTCTTTGTGTACCTTCCTCTTGGCCATCACTTTGACAACGGAATCAAAGTCTTTCCCGTGCTGAAAAACAAGGAGACCTCTGCTACTTTGAAAGAACCGAAACAATCTGACCATTTTTAATCCTTCGTAGTACGCCATCACATCTTCATGCGTCCAGGACTTCGCGGCTCGTTTTCTCGTTGTTTCTTCGACTTCCTTTTCTTCAAAAAAGGTTGGAAAAATTTTGTTCGAATTTTCGAAATTGAGGAAACACCGTTTTTCCTCAGAGAAGCGGAAAATAACACACCTATCGGCATACTTGATGGGTTAATCAGCTCCATGTTAGCTAAAGTTTGAGCCGCCTGGGCGTCCGCATTGCTCACAGAAGCGATATTGTGATTTTTGCAAGATGATCCTGAGTTCGATGAGGAATTGTTGAGCTGAAACCGTAGTGTCACAGAAATCACCTATTCGATATTCAAGAAAAAAAGCTGGACGAAGAACAAGAACTACTCATTGAAAAAAACCTGGAAATAGGTAACAGATGAGAAAAAAGAACTATTTTCCTTTGTCAGCAACTAGTTTTGAATTATTTTTCCAGCTTAAGCAGCCTTTATTTTTTATCATGCTTTCCCATGAAATTTCTTACAACAGCCTACCGGGACAGCTCGTGTCGGATGGCCAGAAGGCGGTCGGAATGCCATTCTCCGCCTGAATTTCTCAACTTTCCTCACTGGCTTATCAGAGTATGAACCTGGAAAAACTGGTAGAAGGCGGCGCTTCTTCCATTTTCGAAGTGGACGGGACATCAGAGGCGGACGGTCGCAAACTAGTCATACCTTCTCAATTTTGCGTTCAATCTGATGTGCAACACTGGCTGGACAATATAGAGATAGGGTAAGAATATTTACTCTTAAATAAACATTGAGCCTATTTAAGAAGGGAAATATTTATTTACAAAATTTTCAGTTTAATGTTTACAAAATATTTAGTTCAATTTTCGTACGGTGGTAAACCAAACTCTTCTGGTATGAAGTTCTCGAGGCTTGGTAGAACTTGTGCCATTTTGGATCTACAAGACAAATCTTCGAAAACGATTTGTCGGAAAACGACCTGAACTCCTCGTCCGGATCGTAGATGCTCGTATCAGGAATCATCACACACTGCATACCGGCGGAGATTGCCGAAAGAGCTCCGTTGTAAGAATCTTCGAAAACCAAACATTTTTGGGCCGATTCTGGGGCTGTATTGAACCTGGAACTCGAAAAAAAAAACATGAGTTGATTCTTGTAGGAAGTTAATGAGTTCCTAGGTGTTTGAATAAATTGTCGATATATTGTGGAAAATGTATCTATTCCTTCCTATTTTATTTTTGAAATCAACTCTACACCCGTTGAACTTTACGACCGCGAATTTCCTTAGACTTTCGGCGTGACGAAAAAAGGAACAAACTCTAACCGAACATCGGATGCACTTCTGGTCAGACTCTCATCTCTCTGACTCCACATTCAATAGAAACGATTGAGAACTACGAACCGTCGCATTGTGACAAGGAAAGGGTCAGGATGAGGCTTCCCGTTGAGAACTTCGGGGTCGTCCCCCGTCAGAACCTCAACTATATAGAATATTTCTGAGAAATTCGAGGAAAATTAACATGGAGAGTGACCAAATCCAGCCATTCGCGATGATTTTTGGCTTTTACCGGAAACGTGCGGCTGCAGGAGCCCGTGCACAACGCGACTGGGACTTCTGAATATAAAAAATCGTTGTTTTTTCTTTTTAAATTGACGTCAATATCCTACTAAACTTTTTCGATTACTCGTTCTTGGCTCAGCACATCACTTTAAGACCTACAATCGTAAAGATATTTTCAGATTTGAATTCCGATTTAGAAGGCCCTGAGTTACTCAACGTTTATGACAACGTTCTAGAACGTAGCTTTTTCTTAATATTTTGATTATTTTTTGTTTTGTGGAGTCTTCTGAAGCTTTTAGAGATTGATATAGCCTTCTCAATATTCAAATGTTTCCTTTCTCCAACGTCTTTCTACAGTTTTCGATATCTCTTCTTGTTTCATTGAAAATTGAAAAAGATAAAAATGTTCGACGTGCCGTGCTTTATGAGGTGTCGCACGAGTTTCTCGGCTCCCGGCAGAGCTTGACATTTTTCAAACATGGCATTCAGAATCAGATCGTAGTCTCTCGAGTATTCTTCAGGCGTCACTCGATCTTCGATTTTAAGCTGAAAGCACCTTGCCCAACTGTTTCTTATTCACTAAATCGGTAGAACTTCTTTCAAAAGCCAGACGATGGCTTCGTCATGTTTCTTTCCCATTTGAGCTGAAATAAAAAGATTATTTCTCACGGATCGATAATAAAACCTTTTTTGAGGTCCATAGTGAACTCCTTGCCGAAACGAGACAAAAGTGTCCTGTTTGCATGAGTGTAGGCGTTTTCGGTGTCGACTAAAAGACCGTCGAAGTCAAAAATTACGTGCGTCACTTTTTTCATCCTAATTATCCATAAAGTTTGGCAAAAACCTGAAAAGAAGGTAGGCGATCTCGTGTTATTCAGTAACAGTGATGAAACTAAAGTTAAAACTCACGTGTAAAGAGATATTTATGAAAAAGAAAATTGAGTTATAAGTGTGAAAAATGTCAAACTGCAGAAAAATAGCATGCGGATATCAAAAAAGGTGAATATTATGATAATTCGAAGCTTGAACATGAAACAAAATGAAATATAAAAAATACACGAGAAAAATAAAGCGATAGTTTTTTTTCCTTCGGTTTTCCCTATTAAAAGCAAAACAAGCCTATCGAGGCCCGTTCAAATTAAACATTTCAATTTCGGATGGCTTTGTTTGCCAAACACCGTAGCCGTTCTGTCGCAGCCTGGAAAAGTCGGAAATTTATCGGCTGAGTAACTTCCAACATACCAATTTATTAGAGAAGATTTGGCGTCTTCGTAATGCTTACAGTTTAGTTTTAAATTTTCATAAGTTTGCTTCGCAGATATTGGGGCTCCCAGTAAACTTGATGTCTGCAAACAGGGTGAGAAAAATTTCCAAAAATAATCGGTTTCCTAAAAACCAATAAAATTGATAAAAAAAAAAGCTAATTGCTTTTGTTTCAAATATCATTTCAAATAAGAAATTAATGAATTGAAAATTGTTAACTTTGCGAACTCAAACTATTGAAAAATTGTACACTTTTTCTCGTGTAAATTTTGAAGAAACATCCAAAATTTAATGAGCAACGAACAAATAACAAAATAGTTGCGACGACGAACCTTGGCAAAAAGACGACCCATTTGTCTTTTGGACAGCCTCGAGTCGCCTTGATGGCCCTCGGGTGTCCCTTCCTCCGTCTTGATTCGGCCCGTCGTCGTGGAAATGAGTTCGACGTCGCCGTCAGCCAGATTCCAATTCATGGACACTGACGACATTTTGATTATTGGCTCGATTTTCGCATCGTTCGACTGAGTACGAGAAAGTTCCTTCTTCAATGCAGAGTTCACGATTACCTGACACTCTGCGACGAATATCTTGTTGACGTGGAAAGGCTCCGGAGGTTGGAACGTCTTGATTCTTTGAACGAGTGCCTCTTCCATCCGCCTCACGTCCATCTTGTCCGCCACCGCGATGGACGAGTAATATACCTGGAAAACACTACTTTCCAGGCGAAAGATTATTATATATTAGACACAAAAAACTGGAAAACCGGACGAAAGATTCTGTTTTTCAAATCATACAAACCGGGTTGATAAAGTGCGAAAGAAGCGCTCCTTGGACGCCAAGGACATTATGGCGAAGAAGTTTGTCCGAGCAGGACATGGTCCTCAGGCGGTCTCCGCAGTAGATTCCATCAATCGTCTGGAGGTCCATCTCTTCACCTCGGCCCAGAACCGTCCCCATTCCTGAAATCCGATCTGTCCGTCCGTCACAGATCAGTCGCACCTTTGTCGAGCTTAAAGCGCAGCTTCATCACACCGCTCTCATCAGAATATACGTTCTTCTGAGCTTTTTACTTTCTGCCAAGCCTTAGGAACGATTTTTACCATAATTCGTGAAGCCCCACAAGGAGCTGAGTTCACAAATAGGTGAAAGGAGACGGATGGACGAATCGAGAGACGGCCTGATAATCAAGGCTTCACAACTTTTTTTTCACTACTGACCATGAGATCCTTCGACGAAAATGGAACTTCTTCGATCATGAAGATAAGCCATAAGTTGAGCGTACAAGAATCTTTTCAGAATTGCTAATGAAAATTGATTACACTGAAAACCTCGATAAGCCTCTCCTAGCCAAAATTTCAGCGTGGCAGTCCATGACTGTGCTTCCTGAGCAGCTCACATTCGTTCCTGAGCGAGAAAAAAAAGTAGAAATTTTCATTAAATCTGTACCAATAATGCACTTTGTGCCAGTGGCGAGCGAAATAATCTTCATTTTTTTGCTGGAGCTGTCCATGAGAAAAATGGAAGATATGATATTCTCCGTCCCAAAGGCAAGCGGTTGTTTCTGAGCTAGTCTGAAAATCGAGAATAAAATTATTTTTGATATATGAGAACGAACTGATAGAATTTGGCGTAAGTGTGTTGGCGAACAAGTTCGAACAAAGTTGTATTATTCTCGAAGAACACTTTAACAGTCTGTTTGGTGTTCAGGTAGCCAAGTTGCTCCTGAATTCAAGTTATATTGAGAGGACTTCTGGCGACTTACAGACAAGCATTTCAATGCACACGAGATTTTTGCCAACTTTTTCTGCGCCATTGCCTTTCCGGAGATTTTTCGTCCGAAAACTAAGGCGCAACACACGAAACTTCTTGAAACGAACAAGCTTGCACGAAAAAATCAAGTCACTTATCATTGACACAGAAGAACTCAAAGACAAGGTCATCTTCCTCTAACTGAAAACTACAATGAGTTTAGTCTCAAAAATATGATTTGCCTGTTTCCCCAGCTCCAACGCAAGAGAAACTGGGTTCTTCCCACTTCTTCGCAGAGCGTCAAGAACGTAAAACGGCACATCCTCATAGAGCTCAGAATTGGCCGACTCTATTGAAGCCTGGGCGCGAAAATATGGAAATTCCAAAAGAAGAAAAAGTTTCTAACCTGTTTTATAACAGCATCTTTCGATTCCATACTGAAAAAAACTGTAGAAGACAGTGAATCTCACATTTGATCAAGGTATTTAGACGTGAGAAACCAATAAGAACATAAAATCCATGAAAAAAAAAAATTCATTCGTTACTAAGAGGCTAAAAAAAATACAAAACAGAACAGTAGTTTTTCGCTCTCAATTCCATGTGAAAAATGTTAACCGAAGTTTGAAATCTAGCTAGTAACTACGAAAAACACGTGGGTCGTATATTTATCTGTAAAGATATTCGGCCTGGAGGTTTGCGGCGAGTTCCGGCTCCCAGCGATCTCCGTTGAGCAACAGTTTTTCCTGCAGAAGTAAATTTTGAAGGAATAGAAAAATGCAAGAAAAAGGTACCGACCTTGTTGTAGAGCAACTCCTCGTGTGTTTCTGTGGAATACTCAAAGTTGGGCCCTTCAACAATGGCATCGACTGGGCAAGCTTCCTGGCAGAGGCCGCAGTAAATACATCTGCAAAAAAAAAATTAATTGAAAACATTTTTCGCCCGTTTCAAATATAGAAAGAAGTGAGTCTTTTGAAAAAAATGATCTGAACTTTGCAATCGCAACTAACTTTGTCATGTCGATATCGTATCGAGTTGTTCGTCGGCTTCCGTCTGGACGAGTCTCCGCCTCGATTGTGATGGCCTGAACTTGAAATTACACAAACTGAAAATACAAAGCTACACCTGAGCAGGACAAATAGCTTCACATAGCTTGCAGGCGATGCATCGCTCTTCACCCGAAGGATAACGACGGAGCGCGTGCTCTCCCCTGAAGAAGTTCCAGAAAAATTTTTAAAAAAATCAGCAAGAAGGTCTGGCTTAGCGCAAATCTAACCGGAATCGAGAGCTTAATGGCCCTTTCTCGAATGGATAGTTGATTGTAGCAGGCTCCATGAAAACGTGACCAAGCATCACTCCAAATCCTGAAACTTATTTATAATTACATATTTCGAATAACAGAACCTCGAAACAGCTCCGTGAAAAAAATAGTGTGAAGTCCGTAGTTAAGATCACCAGACAAGGACCCGTCAGTTTCCGCCGGCATTCCAACATACTTATAGTTTGAGCGTTTTTGTAGAACGGAGTTAGAAGTAATGGCGAGCTATAAATATTCTAAAGTCGTCCTTGAAAGAAGATGCAACGTGTAGCTGTCATGTCAAAAATTTAAAAAAAAAACCTGCGCAGGAGCGTAACGTCCGAAAACGCCCTTCGTCAGAGTAGAAAAACCTTTTAAGGTCATTTTCTGAAATCAAAAATTTTAAACTAGATTTCGGCACAAATACAACTATGATAAACAAAGTAAATATAGACTATTCACAGCTAACTAGAAACAAAAAACAGGATTTTTCTGAGTCTCTACCAATCACGCGTTATTTTTTTAACGCTTCAAAAATCATTTATCTGAATATCCCAAGTCAGCCGTGGACTCGCGAAGACAAAATATAAATTAAAAAAGAAAAATAGAATAACAATAGCAGAACGAAAAACTCGCGCACGAGTTGCATTCGAAACACCGCTCTATTGCACTGCTCCTCCCCAGATACCAGCCGGGATTTGGAAAAACATCTTGAATTACATTTAAGAAAATTTTCACCGAAAACTTATTTTTACTTTACTTGTTGAATAATGGTTTCTAATAACCCTATGAGGAGAAATAAGAAAAAAAAACCCCCATTTTTCTCGTTAAAAAGCCGAAAATTTCGACTTGAAGAAAATTTGAGCTTTTTGCACATTGGCACAACATTTTGCACAACAACGAGCTGCATGCAGCGAAAAGGCTCAATCTCTGCCATCGGCCTTTGGAAAGCCGGCACCGTACTTCTTCCTACGACCTCTCTTGTACCTGATGTTCTACGAGCGAAATTCACAACTTCTCTGCCTAAGCCACAGCTCCTGCCGCCGTTTGAACGCAGTCAAATCAATGAAAGTCGATTGCACATGTACTTTTACATTGAAGATGCAATAAACATTTTTTAAACAGTTTTTAAAACAACATTTTTGACGATACACACTCGCTTCCTTAATTCTTCACAATTTGTTTTAACCAAGAAACTCGAACTTTTTACGGACGAACAAGGTTGGAAGTGTTGAGCGTTATGTTAAATTCAAAAATTGGTTCAAGCAGCAAAACTTTCCAGGAATAGGTGTTTCCTGCTCTTCAAGATTTTCACAAAACGGATGTTCTATCTGAACCTGCTTAGATCTTGAGCAAATCTTTCAGGCATTGGTGACGCTACCTTGCAGTCAAACAAACAGGTGTGAGTTTCACTGAATAGCGACGATCACGGCAGCAAACAAGGGCGGTTCCCATGAAGCCGCAGTAGATGTGCAAATTGACCGTGATCGAGTTGTCCTACTTTCCAAAGAAGACCGTTATCCTCCAGGTAGGCTAATGGCGCAGCGACAGCAAGTCAGAACCAAAAACTTGATCGGTTTCCTTCGCTTCTCTAGGACAAAAAAAAAATTAAATCTGTGAAAGAACTTTTCCGGACTTTTTTCCCTTCAATTTTGCTATGTGATTTTTTTAAAAAAATTGAATTTCCGACTTTCCGAAAAAAATTCTGCCAGCTTTTTAAATTTATTTTTTTCATTTTTTTACACCTTCCCTACTTCTCAAAACTCATTTTACTGCATGATGCTTTATCTACCAAAATTACAAAAAAGGGGCTGGAAGTTTTTCAGCTTGCTGAAAAAAGATACAATTCTGGAGCGCACCAAAAGAACCTTTAAAATTAAATAAAAAAATCGATTTGTTATAACGACGGTGGGTCGTCTATCGAAGGATGGGCTATTTCTCCCAAATACCGCGCTTATAACTTGAAGTGATTCCAATGCTCGACCGGTGTAAATGGCAGAGTGTTTCGAAGGCACTTGAGATGCGTTTAGTGGCAGAAGCACGCGTCATTGCTTTCGAACGAGTTCTTGTAGGGTAATGGAAATCTGAACGGTTTTTGTCGGTCGACGCCTACTTTATCGCCATTCTTTTGGTCAAAAAACGGTATCCGACGTCTCTCAAGGTCGTCCTTTCGCCGTTGTTCGTCAACTTTCCATCTGTTTCGATTCAAATCGCCAATTAATAATTGAGTACATATCCTTTTTGGTCTAAGTTGCGTCGACGTCCCAATCTTTTTATTCTCTTGACCTGGTTTCGGAAAAGCAATAAATCCTGATCAGATGTATTTGCTGCACTTGTTGACTCCTTGACATATTACGTCAAATCCTCTTTTGTCTGTATTGGTATTGTTTTTGGACTGTTTCTTTGAGGAAGCGTCTGTTTGCAAAAGCAGGAGCTAAACGGTACTCGACAAGGTGCGGAGGACCCTTTGCCTGTTTCTTCGGCTGTTCGGAGCCACTCGGCATCTGTCCATATTTGGATGGCCGATGAAGTGCCAAAGCGCGTCGAAATTCTCCAGTAGTTGTGTACACAAAACGGATTCATTTGCATAATATGCACCGATCCGCGGGTTTTCACGCATTTCTGATGGATCCGTAGGTCCTGCAGGTGGCTCATGTACTTCTTCTCTAAAAACAAATGGGTGTAATGTTTACATCGTTCATTTTTTCTGCTGCTTCTGCTTTTTTCAATCTACAAGCAGTATTTTTCTCTTAGTCTTTTGTGTTTTTCATTTTCCCTCAATCTATTTTCATTCTGTCCATCTTGGAGGACGTTTGAGGAAGGTTTTCTTGAAGAGAGAAAAAAATATATTGGATGAAAAAAATATGTTGAATGGTTAAGATATATAAATAATTTAAGACGAAACCTCTTATGAGAAAAAATTGTAATTTTCTCCCAGATTTTATATTAATTTTTTAAATAAACAACTGGCTGAACATGATGAAGTAATAATAATGATAAGTTAACTGGCAAATTGAATTCACTCGCTAAATTCATGTAAATTGAATTTTTTTTTTCAAAACCATGCCAAATCAAAATATTTGCGTTCAGTTTCCGGAGACTGATAATAACAGGTTTCTTTCCAAGAAGTACATCTTGATCTGGCATGACCGCGGCATTTCTCAAAGAGGGTCAAGGGCTGCTCGGCGACTGTCGTCATCTGTGATCCATCAAAATTCGCCGGTTTTCGACTCCACAAGCTCGCTGAGCAGGGCGGGGGCGTGGCTTGGGCGCGCTGCTCCTTTCTTCTTCTTCTTTGGCAAATCTTTCTTCCGCCCGTTCTGTGTTAGATAAAATCTATATCCTTTCCTTAGAAAATTCTCCAAAAAAAAAAACTAATTTCTTTTAAAAGGTCACTGAGAAAACGATCTTTTTTTTCGACAATTTCTCGGATTGTAATAATTAAGAACATTTATTAAATATCATGAATACTGTAGGTTCTTTCGATCCGAAGGCTATAGAATAAATGCTTTTTTTTTACAGATTTCTAGTGCCAAAGCGCGCCGAATTGGGATTCTAATCAACTAACTTTTTTTCCCATATTTTTTTGTGATTATATCTTGATGGAAGTGAATAGATTTTAAAAAGTGGAATACAATGGCCAGTTCAACTTAGGTCAAAATTTTTATCCAGTTTTCATGAAAATCGAATTTTTTTTTTGCCTCAAACGCCTGCGATTATGAAATTTTACCCTCAGACAGACATTTGGATCGTACTTGAAAGTTGTAAAAGTTCAGATGAACATCAAAATAAGGAGTTCTCGTAGAAACTTCATTTTGCCAGCTTTCCAAAGATTAATGATGGGTGTTCTAGCTTTTTAATGTGACCAGGTTACATTTTGACTACTTCAGAGTTGAAACGAGAATTCGACATTTTTGAAGTTGAGTGAAATGTTTGATTGGAAAGAAGTGATAGATGAGAATGAAAAGCGCCAAGAAAGGAAAGAGTTGTGAACTTCTTGTCGGCGGCGGATGCTCGACGTAATGCGCTTTTCAGTTTGGCTACTTGCCCACAATTAGCGTTGAAGCGTCGATTAAGCACTTGTGATGTTCCCGCGAATCAGTCGGAACGGCGCGCGACCTTCCACCCAGGTGTCCTGTCCTTGACTGCCCCGCAACACAACAAAATACCGCAATTATTGCGTTCCTTCGTCTTCTAGAGAGCCCTGTCCATCCTTCCAAATCCTCTCTTCTGTCCAGTCTTTGTCCATGTGCCTAATTTTTGCAAGAGTCTTCATATTTCTTACAGTTTCTCTTTCTAGCTTTGAAGCAAATCACTTTTTTTGCAAACTGCGAAACTTCATTCCGAATATGTTCATGTTTTTTTTTATATTTGAATTTCGTAACGAAAGACGATCCTGTGATTTCCAACCTACACGATTTCCATATTTTGAACAGGGACTTCTAGATCTCAAAAAAACTGCAAAAAAATCTGAGAGTTTAAAGTTTTCACCTTTTCTCGTAATTCAATAGAAATAATCTTTTTTTCTCTGCTCAAATCTCCGTGAAAATTTTCAAATTTAATAATTATCAGATTAATTTCACCTCAGTCAATGAGCTATCACAGTGAAAGGAAAACAGACTCTCTAGTATGAAAAAGGCGTTCGGCGTTTCTGATTCTAAACATTGCCAGAAGCAGATGGCTCAGAATTTTTTCAAATCGTAAATTTCCATATCTTTTCAATAAATAACTTGAACCATTAGAGTGGATTGGACATCAGATGGCCGGTGGAAGACGTCTGGTCAAACAGCCGTGTTTGCCGACCGTACGGCGTCAATTAGCCGCTTGTTTCTGGCATGCACACCTCGCCACTTGTCAACTTGTCATTTGTCACTCGCCGTGCGCCATTTGCATGCATTTGAATCGGCAGTCGGCCTGTTTCAGAATCCACAAAATGTTGCGATGAACGTCTTCTGGATCGTCCTGGTGCCATGCTTCACCGCATTCCTCGTTCCGGAATCAGTCCCTATAGGACACGTCGTCGGCTACATCTCTGGCAAACCGGAGGTCTCCACTCAGCCACGATATTTTGTCGTTTTTCCTGACGAACAAACGTCTAAGGTGAGCTACAATTTGATAATATCCTCAATTTACTTCCTCCCAACTATGACGTCACACATGAAGAAACCGATCATGAATTTTACCTTGAAATGTTCTATTCGAAGACTTTTTGTCTTGACTCCTTTCGCAACGACCTTCGGTTTCTCAAATGATTAAGTTTTGCTCTTATGCGACGCGATTTCATGAGCCTTCCATCAAAAACGCTTTTCAATCGGAAATAAATTCGGCCTTTTAACTCCAAACGAAGTTCAGAATAGGAGCTAGGAAAAAGTCTGAGAAGCAGCTATTCTCTGAGATTCTACCAAATTTGGTTATTGGGCGTGAGAAGCTCCGTTTTTTGGGGTGGCTCTAGGACTTCAGCCTAACATTATGGAATTTCGAGCTAATGAGCGCAACGGAGGTCTTTGGGGAATTCAGCTGATGGCAGGTGGTCTAGTGCGTTCCAACCAATAGAAAATGAACTATTCTGGCAGACGAAATTTAGTTTTAGCTGTTTCTTTTACAAAAGAAGAGCTCATATCTTCATGGTCTGCATTGAAACAAATTGAATTTCGTGAAACAATTTTAGATGTTAGTCGAGATTCTTCACCTTGAAAGATAGTTGTTTGGTTTTCAAAGTAGGCTTCGGACATTATCCCAGTGACAAAAGTAGTGTCAAACGAACAGAAAGGTGTTTTCTGGTGGTGCGAATGAGACTAATTGACCCGGGGGGGCAGATGTCGCATAGAATATTCTGGAATTCGTCATTACGCATCCCGAGGCCCAAGCAACATGTCCGTCTGGTCACCGCCTCTGATTCAATTTTCGGCAGCGCGGCCTGATTGTCGTCGTCCGATGGAGGAGGCCCAAAGGAGCCGTCCATCTTAACTTTTGCTGAGTCATTCTAATGGCCAGTCGCTACTCCGAAAGACTTGAATTCAGGACCGCAATTGTTTTTGTGTCAGAACTGTTTCCAGGTTCCGAAGACAACTAAAAATATTTTTCGATGGGAGAGAAAAACCGGAAGAACATTTTTTCCTACTTATCTATCGAAAAAAGTTTCTCATAAAAAAACCGTTCTCCATCTGCAAAATAGCATTTCCAGTTGGCGGTATAAGTATGATTTGAATCTTAAAATTTTCAGTTTTTAAAAGTCGATGAAGCATCTGGTGAAATCTCGACGGTTTCACTTCTGGACTACGAGAAACGGAGTCGGTTCGAAATTTTGGCTGTACCTGTGCAGGGCGCCGACGGCATTCAGATCATCGTCGACGTCGACGACGAGAACGACAACGCCCCTAAGTTTGCCGACGAGTCCCTCTTTGTCCGTTCCTTTTTTTTTCTTGTAAAGGGAAATCTTTTCAGCTGGAGATATCAGAATACGCACACATCGGCTCGGAATTTGCTCTACCAGTAGCTTTTGATGGAGATGGACCTAAGTACGACGTGCACAAATATCACATCGTCCAGGGAAATGTCAACAACGTTTTCAAAGTGAGAATTGAATGAATGATTGAGAAAACAAAGATCTTCCGAATGCCTCAAATTTTTTCAGATTTCAACACGTCGCCTTCACGATGTCCTTTACGCAGACCTTGTGGTGAATGGACAATTGGACCGCGAGTACCGGGACAAGTACGAACTACTGGTGGAGGCTCTCGACGGCGGGAATCCTCCGAAGTGAGTTCCGAAGTTGGTGGGGAGCTAAACGGGAGGTTTCAGAAGCGGTCAACTGCGGGTTTCCATTAAGATCCTTGACGCCAACGACAACGCGCCTTTATTCACACAATCTCGTTACTCAACCACCGTAGCCGCTAACATTTCAGTCGGTTCGTGGTTAGACATAAAAAAATCAATGAAAAAAAGTGATAGATTTTTTTCATTAACTTTATTCCAGGCTCCACAATAGTCACAGTGAAAGCTACCGACGCCGATACCGAACAAAAATGCTCGCATAACGTATCATTTGAAAAAAGGTTTAGACAACAAAAAAATAAATCGAAGAAACATTTTTCATAGTACCTTTCATTTGCAGCTTAATCTTATCTTTCGATTTCTCCAATATATTTGTTTTTTCCGAAAACTTCCAAGATCTGTTTTTTGAAATAGATTTTTTCAAAAATCACTGGATGAACCCGTACAGACATATCAATCCCTTAATTTTTCAGTCAAGATTGATTTCATAGAGTTTTTTTTTATCTTTTTATTATTACTAGAAAAATGAAAATAAAAATCGCTAAAATTCAGTTGGAAGCTTATTCAATCTCCGGTTCTAGAGGTAGGGGACGTGCCGGGATTCATATTTTTTTTTGCCTTTGAGAAGGAAAAATTCTTCTAAACGCGTTTTCTTATATGTTTATGATAACTATTAGTGAAGGTGACCACTTTTAAAACGTTTCAAGCACTTCATAGGTAAAACTGAAAAGTTCCTTTGAGGATCCTTAAAGGATCCTGAGATCTCTCTCGAGAGGGAGATAAAAAGCTTTCTCTAAAAGCTCCTAAAATGATGTAAAGAAGCTTTTGAGCGCCTTTTTCATAGCCTCAGAGGATCCTTTTTGAATCCTCTCGATCTTTTTAGTTGCTTTCCAGCATCCTTTTTGTCAGAGGATATGAGAAAGATGCAAAAAAGAATTGAAATGATGTAAAAAAGATCTGCTGGGGACCCTTTCAAGGTCTTTTTTTGAAAAAAGCTTTTGGGGAGCTTTTCAGTTTTGCCCGAGCACGGTGTTTTTTTCATTACGCAAGGTCAAGACTTTTCGTAAATTATGATGCTTAGGGTGTAAGCACACCGAGACGCACTATCGCATACTCAAAATGCTTTTTTTCAATTTTAGAATTTGCGATTTCAGGATAATAGCTCCTGAAATATTCGAAATTTGTCAGTTTGAAGAATATGATGTGAAAAAAACATTCACTTACATTAAAAAAACATTTAGGATTGATTTCGAAAGGGGAAAACTCTAAATTACTGATTACAAAATAAAAACAAAAAATATTATGTAAATGAATCAGCTTCCATTGAATAAGCATTCATAAATACGAAAAAAATATTGAAATGAGGAAAAATTCGAGGAGCAAATGAAAAAAAAAACATTTTATATACCTCGAAAACCTAGCTTCAGAAAAACAAGTAATGGATAGAAAGCAGAAATTTTAGAAAAAAAAACCTCGTATGGCGAAATTTTTTTGTTTAAATCCGAAAACCATCAAAAAAACTAGAAAAAAATATATAATTTAGATGATGCATATATCAAAAATCATTAAACTGCATCAGCAAATTCAATTTGGCTCTAATTTACACGAAACCGGTTTCAAACTACGTCAAAGGAACTAGATAATAACTTTTTTTATCATTAACTGATTAAATTAAAAAAACTATAGTTTCCGAAACAGAGTTACTCTTTTTCATGTCGCGAAACAGATTTCAAAAATTTTTGAAAAAAATTAGGACTTTTTAGAAAAAAATCTTCAACTATTTTGAGAAAAAAAGTTAAAGATCTGAAACCGGTTTAGAAAAAGTGCGCAATTTAAAAACTCCACAAAAATGTACCCATAGAGAGGCGGATCACATAAATGCAAGAAATAGAAAAAAGTAAAAAACCAATGAAAAAAGTGAAGAAATTCAATTTTTGCATCAGAAACGATGAGAAGGGCGCAATGATGCGCCACGGATAATATGCCGCTGGGACCCAAAATTTCGCATTTTTTTTTTCATTGCGCGGAACACCGTGCGAGTTTTGTGCAAGTTTTTGAATAACCGTTTAAAAATGAACAATGGTGTGAGTTTTATGCGTAGATTTGTTTCAAACAAAAGCATCATGATGAGAGACGATGCGCCAAAGTGAAAAAGAAAACGGAATATATAAGTTTCAATAAATTATAAAGGCCAAAAAGGACAGAGACACCCAGTGCGTTTCTGCTGAATGCGCGAGTGACGCGCCATCTGTTTCCGAGCTTTTTAAACATTTTTTCATTAAATAATGTATAGCTCATTCCATTTATTAAAAAAATAAAAAAAGAAGAAAGATGAAATTTTGAAAAAAATTAGAAGTCTAAAAAAATTTTTTTTTATAAAAAGATGAATTCTCGAACTTATCAGCCAAGTTTCGCCATTATCGCGCGCCATGGACATAGCTCGTAAATAACGCCGGCGCGCCAAAATTCGAAAAATTCTGATTTTTTTTTTCTTATTTCTTTTCTCATTTTGCGATTTTCAAAGTAATTTCTGGGAATTTTTGTCTCTGCTTTTCCGAAATTAAGTGATATTTTCCACTCCCTGATGACTGGACTTGGCTCGTGATGGCTGGACTTGGCTCGGCTATTTTGCATTTTGCGATACTTTTTAACACGGAATATGCTTTTTGGTGTCCTTTTTGATTTCTCCCTGACATTTTTTCGCAATTAATCAATTCATTACGTTACTTAGAAAAATATTTTTTTGTTTTTTTGTTCATTTTTTTCCCTCGCATACCACAAATGTTTTTAAATAATCTGCGGTATATACCTAAGATACTTTCCTAGTTGTTAGAACACAGAATAATCACCTCTGTATGGTTTTGAATTAGACTTTTCTGGCGGCATTCTTCGAAATAACTTTTTTTGCAGATATCTTAAAGGAAAAATTAATTTGTATTTCACGGACTTTTTCCAGACGAACTCGCCTTCCAACTTGTTTTTCTCAATATCGTCCTCGAGCGGAGTGCTGACAACAACAGGACATCTTCTGCCAGCCTCCGTTCATGACGTCATCGTGGTGGCATCGGATGGAGGATCGCCTTCACTGCAGTCTACAGCAGTCGTGTCGGTCGTCGTCCAAGGAGCCACTTTGACGCCTCCAGCCATCGACCTCATTTGGCTGACGGAAGCCTCGGCCGCACATCTTCTGGAGAATGCGACACTCGGCTCCATCGTCGCCCGTGTCAGCCTTAACGAGGAGCACAAGGACTGGTTAGTACTCTCAAGTGTGACGCCATAAAATGTATTCGACTTTTTATTATTATTTCGAACGGTGCAATAAGAAATTCAAAAATTCGGTCAGTTTTAGAAAAAGAAAAAAACAAAACATTAGAAAAAAACGAGGGTTTTAACAAACTTGATATATACGATTTCTGTTAGTTTTAACAAAAAAATAAATAAAATTTTTTTCTCTTGACTTTTTATATTCACGTTTTGAGCAAAGTGAATATCAAAAACGAACGAAAAAAAGTTCATTATAAGAATAAAAAATTACAATGAAGTTATAAAAAAATAATTAAAGGACAATTATATATTGAAAAAAATATTATAGTTATTTTAGATGTTTTTTTAAACAGATTTTTGTACTAAACGGTTTTCAGACATTTTTGGTAGAACTTATTTTCATTGTAAGCTTTGAAGGGATGTTTTGAATAGTATTTCCAAAAAATGGAGAAATTCCATTTGCAGTGTTTTGGAGCTGTCCGGCTGTCATTCTTTGTGTCTTCAACAAACGGATTCTGCCCACGTTTACCTACTACTAGTGTGTGGAAACTTTGACAGGTAGAGGGTTTACCTCAAAGCTCAAAGAAAACGCTGGTCATTCAGAGAAACGACCGAGGAATTCCATTTGAAGTTTTCCTTGAAACGGGACAACGCTGTGGTCCTGGAACATCCACTCTTGCTCACCATCGGTTGGTCTCCTCGTCGAGAAAATCGAACGCAGCAATTCAGGCGACGTCAACGACAACTGGCCGCTGTGGCGCAGCAACCCCGTCCATCTCTCGTTGAACCGAACTGTCGGCGGGGGAAGGATTCTGAGCGCCTCCGACGCCGACCTTGGCCAGAACGGCTGGGTCCGCTATTCGGTGCTCGACACGAATCTCGTCAGTATCGACGCTGACACGGGCAGATTGTTCATTCCGAAGGAGGTGGGCAAGTTTGTGAAAAAACTGGCATACGAAAGAGGATTTCAGTTGGATTGTGATGTCGGACAGGAACTTCGATTCCGTGTCAGAGCCGAAGATGGAGGTGTGCCGCCGTTGTCCAGCGATCTGCAGGTTTTTGATTATATATTTTCTGAAATTTCATGACCAAGTCCAGAATATGTCAATATTGTAGGTTTAGGCAGGCTATATTTCGTACGGGAGCTAACTAACCTAGAATAGTCAAAATGTAGCATCTTCGTATTATTTTGCTACGCGCTCTCGTGCGTCAACCAAAAACTTTACTTTTCGAAATTGAAAAAAAAAGAAAGGCTATTCCTGAAAAGATTTTGAAGTTAAAATTCATTTTTTATTTTAATCAAGACTTCCCCATGTGATTGAAGGTGACAGCGGACCTGTTGGACTTGGAAAGCCGACCGCCGACTTTCGAAAAGGCACTTTACGAGCTGGAAGTTCCCGAAGATACGCCTATCGGCACTTGTCTGGTCAAGGTTCGTTCAGAATTAATTGTCTCTTTTGGGGGCGCGTACGTCAAAGTCGGAGGGTCGGTCCCTGAGGCGAGATCGCTCATCCAAAAACCTTGGCTGCGAAAGGCCAAATATATTCCGTTTGCTCAAAATGGCTCGCGTTGGAAAGGGAGAACAAAGTTTTTCGCTGAAAAACTGACCTATTCGTTCAGTAAATTGGAAAAAAAAGCTCTTCATTTTACATTATGAGGAAGTCCTAGCTTTGATTAAGGTCTGAAACTTGTCAATGATAGTTAATAGGTTGACACTGAAACTTTTATTCCCACATTTGCCTTTCATAAAAACGAATGTGTGTAGCGATGTTGGTTGAGTTTTATTCTTTTTTGACGCCGGAGCTTTTGCGTCGGTTCCCAGCACTCGGAGCTCTTTCCGCAGTGTTCGGCTTGCTGGCAGACCTTGCGCGGCTTTCGCTGGTCGCTCGGGATCTTGTCCCAGATGGCGCCGTAGCTTCTGTAAATATCTTTTTTTTTTCTGCGAAGAAGCACGTCAAAGACTTTTTGGCTTTGCGGTAGGCGGTCGCGCAGCTGCTTCATCCAGCATGTCCAGCATATCTGCTCCCTTAGACTTCGTTTTTTTCTTCGCAGACGGCGCCCGTTCCAGCTTCATCTGAAAAAAATGAATGTTTTTTGATTTCTATCAAAAGTCAAACCTCTTGCATCGCAGTGTCGATGGTCTTGTTGCGTGTTGCGTCGATTGTGAGAACATTCCCGAGAACGGCTTCCGTCTCTTTCACGTAGCTCATTTCTTCTCCAGCGTCGTCGAACATGCTTAGATCGAGTTCTCCGGAATCTAAATCACCTTTTAGAACAATCAATCAGAGAAGATTGCCTGAAAGAGAAGAAAAACAAGAAGTGTGCAAAACAACAGCGATTCTTGTTAAGCGTTTATTAAACTCTGGCGCAATAATATTCTAATTTCCGCGATAGGAAAACAAAACGCGTCTATAAATTATAATTTAATTAGGTGTAGTCTCTAGATGTATGATCTCAGAATAATCATGAAAAAAATAACGTTTTTTGGCTCGATTGCCGCTCGAGGCACTGGGAGCCAGGTCGCCGAACATGGACTCGAGGAGCTTTAATTCGTTTCCTTCGCGTTCTTCCTCGCTTTTGGCGGTGCCGCCTGCTCCCTGAATCTGAGACGGAAAGATTACAAAGACGTACGGATAGATGATTTTGAGAGAAATTGTGCAAAAAAATGGAAATAATTTGGTTTTTAGCTTTTGCTTCATTTTCTTCCAACGAAAATAAGAATTAGGCGCGCACGCAAAACTTTCGAAGGGCGTCGTGAGACACAAAAACAACTGAATTCCCTTTGTAAATAACTGAAAAACTTTGGCTCTTAGCAAGATAGTTTTAGAAAGCGTTTTTTTTAAAGATTTCTTGTTATTGAAATCATTCGAGCTGACGTTAGGTAACTTTAAAAAAACAATTTTTCAATGTTAGAAACCGCATTGAAAAAAAGTTCTCGGAAGATAAAAAGGTTTTTATATAAGCAAAAGTTTCCACAGAGAACCAGCTTTCGCGTTGTCCGTGGGATGATAAAGTCTCACAAATGTATTGAGGTTGTTCGGATCAAAAAGCTTGATAAAACCCATTTTCGTAATCCTAAGGTATCCAAAGCTGAAGAAAAGAGAACAAATGCGGGACTCGCATGACGTCTGACAAGGTTCATAGAGCGATTAGGCAGTCGTCTTGATTTAATTTGCGGCAAGGCGGGAGATAGACACGGTTCTTCAGTATCAACCGGAGCTCCTGTTTGTTTGCTTTACATTTTCTTCCTCAACACTTTGTCATAAACTTCTTCCTTACTGAACCGACATCTTTTCCGAAAATAATGTCAGTTGTTTAGTTGTAGTGAACTGTTGCCCTTGGCAACCGACCTTATCAGCTTTCTCAGCTCTTCGGAAAATATTCCATGGCAACAAGATTTCCTCAATAATTATTTTCATTACAAAGGGGACTTTGCGAGGTTTTCAAACAATTCAAATTACTTTCCGAGATGAGATTTGGTTATCTTTCGGAAATCTAATTCTGGAATAGTTTTTAGCATGCAAAATATTAACTATTCTCGGCTACCAGATCAGTCAGTAAATTGATTTAAATAGCCAAATCTAGAAAAGAACAACAGAATATTCGAAGAACTCGTTTCATTTTGTGTTTTTGCAATCCGTCCTTCTGATTTGACGAAGATGAAAAAAAGCCCAAAGACTGAAATATCAATTTATTATGAATATTCGAGATCTCGCCAATCATCCCTTTTTTTCTCGCTTCCATTCCAAGATTTGTAGGGTATGTAGCAATTTGATAACTTACTTTGAGCGAACTGGCGTCTTTGTACATGTTGGCACCAAGTGTTGTCGAACGCTGTTCCACGTTCAATCCGTCGGGCTGCCAACCTCCAGGATGAGAATTCTCACCGACTCACTTACTTTTGGCTCGAATAACATGTACGTGTACTCTGTCGGAATCTCATTCGTTGTGTTGACTGTGCCGTTTTCGTAGTACTGAAGTGCACAGTTGTTTTTATTGACTAATTATAGAATGCTTAAGAATGACGATTTCCGAATCGCCGAATTTCTTTCAATAGATGTTGTATCTAAGATTAAAAAAGAAATATTGGTTATACTTTGGTTGCGCCGACCGGCTCTCCGTCCTTCGGAAGTACAATGGGTTCAGAGTCGGGAAACAGGTAGAAGTGACCGCTGCTCATTTGACGATTTTCGCGAAGCAACATCGAGATCTTGACGTGAGCATCCTAAGAAGGAAGTAACTATTACTGTTTCTTTCACAGCTCCACCTGGAAGTAAGAGAGAAGACCGCACCTAATCATGTGCCAGGAGAATGGAGAAAGGTTGCGATAGAGCGAAAAAATCTGCAAAAATGCCTTCACGGCAGTCAATATTTTTGAGTTCAAAGGCCGTTCAAAGCCGACTGAAGCTTGGGAGGATAAAAGCAGAGGAAGACGAGCTGGCAGTGCACAAGCTAATGTTGCCAGTCTCAACAATTAGCTGGCTCATTGCCAACCCGACACCTCAGGGGGAACGAGGATTATGTATTCTCGAAATCACATACCATGGTATAGGCGTGCTCGACAAGTTGCTTCACTTCTTCGTCATTCGGACAAGTATCCATGATTCCCTGGAGATGGTTCACGGTCACTGTCATGACCTGAAAAATTCAAAAGTCTCAATCAAAGTTTTTCAAGTCTCCAGAGGGAGCTTTCACTGGTTTTTTTCTGACTGGGTTACATCTTACACAAGTTTTTAAAAACTTATTTATTTAGTTCAAAAAAGGAATTGCTTTCCCGCTGATAAGTGGGACTATCAGTTTTTGACTGTTCTTAGAAAAATTATTATAATTTTTTTATTTATGGCTATGACAAAAAAAATGTTCGGTGCCTTTTTTTTTCCTTAATTACCGTCTGAAATTTATGAATATAATGGAATTCTTTTTTCCTGGTGTCGAATGTCAAGAAAACTAACTGACCTGCTCTGCCATGACGATCTGCTGCAGTTCAAACTTGGTAGTCATTGTCATGAGATCGAACAGTTTGTCCATGCTGCAAGCACCGGCCAATGACAGTGGTCATCTGATGTGAGCTCCTGGCTAGAGAAGGCGGAGACTTACCCGCCCACCGCTAACTACAGGGGAGTTCGAGCGACCTGATAATGAGCACCTGTTCTCGTTAAGCCGCATAATGCTGGAGTGGGCCAGCCGTTCATAGAGCATCTTCAGGCTTCTCTTGCTCGGGAGTCCGCGAGCCTTGAAGATTTCCTCGAGGTTGGTCTTGTTGAGCACTGCCAGCAAGATCTCTTTAAGCACGCGACCGCTTTTCTCGTCGTCTATGTTCTGCAGATGCAGAAGTTCAAACGAATAGCGGACTACAGTGAACTTCGGCTTTTATTTTCCAGTAGTTTTTAATGAAAAATTGGTTAATTTTTATACTAAATCACCTTCAAGCTTCGCTCTAGGTGAATGAATTTAGTTTTTTTATCATTATAAATCAAAAAGAAATGAATAATAAGTTTTATCATTTGAAGGTTTATATCTGTCAAAATAGTTCAAAACACCGGAAGAATTACCCTCAGTCGTTGCTCAAGAATGTACATCATTTCGCCAGCCATGTTAATGTATAACACCGGTAGTAGTCGGTCGCTCATTATCTTTAAGAGTGAAAAAATAATAAGAAATAAACAATAAAATTTTCGTTGAATTTTCTCGTAAATAATTAAATAAGAAAAACATACTAAATACGAAGAATAAGAAAAAATACTTTTTTTCAGAAGAAACAGCGTTAGAAAAAAATTTTCAAAGCAATTTCCAACATGGAAGACAACGATGAAAAGAAGAAAAAAGGTCATGAGACCGAACAAAAGAAACAAAATTAAAATTTTCGAAGTGAACTCGAAAACAATGATGAGGCGGCAGCCTCTGAATTTAACGATTTTTTTCATTTGAAGTCACCGTTCGTAATACATCCAAACACGATAAGAAGAGTTTTTTTTTTTCAATTAACAACGAGGGAAAAGGGTCGCCATGGCGACTCGAAAGAAATGCCGCACCACAATTTCGACTCGCCTCCAGACAGCTGCAAATAATACCCAATTTGGGTGTTTCGCGCCACCGTTGATAATTCCATATGTCGGAAAGAGCACGCGATTTTCAGGTCTCCGCCAACAACAGCCGATGTGGCGGCTCCAAACGCCTCCGCTACAGTATCCAAGACGGCGCGGTGAGACCAAAACATCAAAATTCAAAGTCTCGCTACGAGGAATCGGAGGAGAAAATTTTACAAGCAATAAGAACAACTACACATTCAAATGATGTGTTCAAATAGAAAGATCTATCATGCGTACGGGTAAATAATTAGATAAACTGTCCTTTCTAAAAGGAAATCCCTCCAATCGAATATTCAACCGAAAAAAGAGTGGCTGAAAAGAGTGAAGTCTCAGATTCTGAACATCGACTCCATTTCTGGGACAGTGTGTGTGGAGAAAAGCTTCGACTACGAAACGCAAACGACGTTCCAGACCAACGTGATCGCATCCAACTCCGGTAGGTCAGACGGTCATCGTGACCAGAGCTCTCAAAATCAACTATTCATCAGTTCTTCAAACTAAAACGAGCTAATTGGAAGTTATAGATTGAGATAGCTCACAGCTCCAAACTGAATATGAATTTACCACCTTCCCAAAAGGGAGAGTCAACGGGACTATCGAAGTTCAGAAAAAATATAGAAGCTCATGAAGAAAATTTGAAATGTTTTTAAAAAATGTATTCTCTTCATCTGTAGAGAGTGAGTAGGACTTTGTGTAAGATTTAACCAAAAATTCATATTTTCCTTGAACATTCGATATAAGGCTAGTGGTTTTGATATCTTGCCGAATGCCAGGCGGAGAATCTTCGACGGCCTTGGTATCGATTCGTGTGACCGACGTCAATGACAACGCACCTGTCTTCTACCCTCAGATCTACAACATTTCGGCTCGGGAAGGAGAACTCTCCGATTCGGCTTTGCTAGTCGTGTCCGCCGTCGACGCCGATCGTGGCGTCTTCGGACAGGTACATCCAATCTTCTCAGAAATCGTATTCATCGATGTTCAAGCTCTCTAACATTGAAGTTTTCAAGAAGATTAAGCATTACGATGTGTTCGAATTCTAACTTCTGATAAGAAATGTTTCGCCGAGAATTTCCTGTTGTAAATTCTTTAAATAAGAAATATTTTCAACCGATGTTTACCTTCATGAAGCGATATGGATCATTCATTTAGCGATGTAGACTCTATTGCTTCATGAGTCAGACAGAAGTGGTGATTAAGTTAGTTTACTCTAAGAAAAAAAATGCCTCGAAAAAAGTTTTAATGTTTATAGAGAAAGAGGAAGTTTTCAAATTTGTGGAAATATCAAATTCAAAGAGAAAAAGAAGTAAAGTCAGAGGTTTCCCATCAAAATAACAGCAGAGGAGGGCTATGGTGGGTACACACGCCGAATTATAAGCTTCAAGGCAAAAGTGCAGAGAGCAGGTGGGAAAGTAAGGCTTCAAAACTGACTATTAATGACATTTTTCCGCTCCGCTCGTGAGAGAAAGTAAAAAAAATTTCCTGAGTAGCTTTCCCGTTATCGTTAACGCAAAAATTCTGATTGAAGCCAACACTTATTCTTCTTGAACGGCGAAAAAAAAGAGATGAATGTTGCCTCGGCACTATGTAATCAAAAAATTTTAGAAATACATGACAAGAATCATAAAAAGCGAGGGAATCTTTCGGAGTTTGTCTTATTTTGTTTACCTTTAGCGTTGTTGTTTTGAAGAAAAATTGAATATCAAAATCCTTAATAAACGCTATAAAAAGCCGTTTAATTACTGTTCTGATTTTGGGATAAAGAAAACAAGAAGTGCAGGTTCGATATGCGTTGATGAGCGACTCTGCCACATTTTATATCAATATATCCTCAGGCGAACTTTTCGCTAAGGTGAGTCGAAAGTTTTTTTTTCCAATTTTGTTATTACAAATTTCAAGAGACGCCTGCCGCGAGGGAAATATCATTTGATCATTTCTGCTGTGGACGGAGGCGGCCTTCACGCCGAAATCGCAGTAAGTTTTGTTCCTTTGATCATTTATTCATTGAACCATACAATGGAAAAGCGGGATCTTCATTCCAAGAAATAGCAAGACATTCCCAGCCATGACTTCCTACCTCTGAAAGGTTGATTTTCAAGGCGCACGTCCACATTTTGGTGATTTCGAGCGATGCGGTGGCCCCGGTCTTCACTCAGCTGAAATACGTCATCAGGACGACGGAGGACATTTTGCCAGGAATCGTCATCGGATCCGTGGCTGCCGTCGCTCCAAACCCCGTTCGCTACAGGTTTCTGCCGAGCTCGGGCCAACCAGGAACGGGGCACCTCAAACCTTTGGTTATGGGAACTTTAGCACAACCGGAAGAGGGTAGTTGGAAAGATAGAAAAGCATTCGAGAAAATCAGAAAGTCTCTTTCAAAGAACTATATCGATAAGGAAGTTTCATTTTTTTTTTACTTTGGTAATTAAGCTCTAAATTATAATTTTTTTATGAATGTTTCTCATGCCGGTAGCGAAACTGTTAGAAAATAAATATTCTTTTTCAAAAAAGGACGATGAATGATAAAGTTTAATCAAGCTTGCGAAAAAAAGAATCATTTGCAAGTCAGTTCCCATAAAAAAAGGTTTTGACAATTCAAAAAAAAAAAATTCACACTACGATAATAACCCAAAATAAATCTTCACCGCAACTATATTTCAGACCACAGTTTTATTTTATTTTCCAGCATTTATTCGGGGGATCCTGAGCAACGTTTTGCAATACAAGAAAACACTGGGAAAATTTCGGTGACCCGATATTTGGACTCGGATCTACATGATACTGTACTTCTTAATGTCCAAGTAGGTTTTTTCTTGGGTTTCCTAATGAATAAGGAGCCGATCCGCATCATTTACAAGTTCTGCAATATTCAGTTTGAAATTGAGTAGTACCTTGGTTTCAGTCTCCTGATTGTTTTTTTAAAATATTAAAACCATTACCAAACATTTTTCAGAAGAGATGTAGTTTCCCACGTTTTTTTCCCATTAACTAGCATATTGAAAAAATATTTATACTTTTTTAGTACAAAAAAATCAAATGAACTTTTTGGTTCTTCAAGTTTTACTTGAAGATGGAAAATAATGAAGTTTTTGTCTGTTTTTCGAGAAGCTTTTCGATTCCACACGTCGCCTATGACTGTGTACAACGCAAAACTGCGCTTTCTTAGAAATGAAATCGGCGTCAAAGAATTGCACTTGTTTTGTCATGGAGTGCGGCGAAAGGAGGTGGAGGTCGGGTGCAGCCTTTTTGGGGGAGTCAGAGGCCTTTGAAAATGTCGGATTTGAATAATTTTTCGAGAGGTGCTCGCCAGAGCATCGAAAAAAAACTGAGATTTATCATCTTGTAAATGGAGGTTAATCGGCATGTTCTAAAACACGAGCGGTTGTGGGGCACGAGCGGCACGACCGTTACTAAATCACAAGCGGTTTCATTTTCGCTCCTTCGCGAACGCTTCTAAATCACGAGCGTTTTTGGCTTATCGTTCTGTTCGAGCGTTTCTAAATCGCGAGCGTTTCCATTTTAATCATTTTCTTTATTACCATCCAAGTGTGTGTTTTCATATTTCTACCTTCTTTTTTTCTCCTTGAATACAAATTTTGACGATCTTATATGCACATTTTTTTCGCTCAATTTGTTGATTGATTCACATTTGAGGTTCATATAATGGATTTTTTTCTAAGTTTTTTTGCGGTCTCTATAATTTCACAGATTCTGCGTATGGCAAATTTTTTTCTAATAATTTCATCTGATTTTTCATATTCAATATTTCACAGATTTTGCGTATGATAAACTAATATTTCACAGACGTCTCGCATGAAAGTCAATATTTCTCAAATTTTGCGTATAGCAAATTTTTTTCTAATACTTTCTCTCAAAAATTTTTTTCTGGTAATAGAATCTCATATTCGAATTGATGCCATTCATATTTTATTCTCCTCTTACCCGCTAGAATAGTTTTGGAGATACTACCAAAAAAATTTATTCGTTTCAAGCTTTGAAAAATATTTATCATGAAACGAGATACGAAATTTACGAAGTATCAAAAAAATAAATTAATAACCGTAGCGAATGAATGAAATAAATGCCATAAGCGTCTGGTGGTTCATCGGTGAATGACAGCCGTATAACGAAACAGATTGGAAAAATGAAAAATATAGAAAAAAAGGAAATCAATGTATAAATCAGAGTTTATATGCAATAACAGGGGGCTTCCTGTAAGCAGGTGAAATTGAAAAAAATAATTCTCCTCACTGGATCCCGCGCAGAACGTTCAGGGGAACTTTTCTAACATCCGAAAAAAATTCGCCCTCATCATATGGCTGATCCGAAAAAGAATTAATCTCATCGAGGTGAACACCGATGATGTTTTGGTTCTCTGAAAGATAATAATAATTTTCCGCATCCGTTAAATTTTCTATAATTTTCGATTACCATCAGTCGATTTTTCTTTTAATTCAGTTGTAGATCGTGTGGAATTCATACTCGTGTCGCGGATTTCCCCTTAAAGTGATTTTTTTGATACATGTTAAAAAAACTTGTAATTAGTAACCCACCTTCTTCAAGACTCAGGTATGAAAAGTTCGACAATGGAATCTGAAACATCCAAATTATATGAGAAAAAAACCTCAATATACCATCCATTGGCTCCAAAAAAATCATCCGGAAAAATCTTCGGGCGGTGTGTAATTGCTTTAAAAAAACTATCAGTGAGAAGGCAGGGAAGAAACTTACGACATAGTGGGCTTCGGACGATAACCAGAAAAATGCAGCAAGCTCCCGTTGTTCCAGAAAAATGCAGCAAGCGGCCTGTTACTAAATTTTATAATTTCGTATTATAATTCCGCCCAAACAGCGCTTATAAAATGACTATACTAGCTAGATTTTTGCAAGAAAAACACAGATGAGAATCAGAGAAAAAAAGTTCATATTTTTTTTAATTTGTCATAAGCAAAAATCTGAGAAATATTGACTTTCATGCGAGACGTCTGTGAAATATTAGTTTATCATACGCAAAAATCTGTGAAATATTGAATATGAAAAATCAGATGAAATTATTAGAAAAAAATTTTGCCATACGCAGAATCTGTGAAATTATAGAGACCGCAAAAAAACTTAGAAAAAATCCATTATATGAACCTCAAATGTGAATCAATCAACAAATTGAGCGAAAAAAATGTGCATATAAGATCGTCAAAATTTGTATTCAAGGAGAAAAAAAGAAGGTAGAAATATGACACACACTTGGATGGTAATAAAGAAAAATGATTAAAAATGAAACGCTCGCGATTTAGAAACGCTCGAACAGAACGATAAGCCAAAAAAACGCTCGTGATTTAGAAGCGTTCGCGAAGGAGCGAAAAATGAAACCGCTCGTGATTTAGTAACGGTCGTGCCGCTCGTGCCCCACAACCGCTCGTGTTTTAGAACATGCCAGGTTAATCTCCTTCAAGAGGATTTGGGTAACGTAGATTTTCCCGGACTTCATTTTATCATTGGGAAGAAAACTTTTCTTAGAAAAGTTTTTGTTGAAAAGAAAAATCTTACTAGTTAGAGATTTCGAGATTCGTAATTTCCAGCGTAACATTTAAGAGCTCTTGCCAGTTGTTAGAGAGAATTTTTTTCATAAGACCCCTCGAACATTTTTTGACGCGAAACAGATTTCTATTTTGGTAACTGAAGATATTATAGTTTACAGTCTCCCCATTTCTCTCTTTAGCGTTTCCGCTGATAAGAAACTTGGATTTTTTTTTCATTCATATCAAGAATGGATCGGAAAATATTTTTTCAATCAAGTTCTATCAAATAAAAAAAAAGCAAAATTGAGGCCGACGTCGAAGGAGGCGGCTCCAACCATACTCAAGTTTTGATACACATAGAAGATCAGAACGATAATGCTCCGAAATTTTCTTCTTCATTAGTTGAGGTAGGGTTTTCGGAACAACCTGAAAGTTAAAACTGAAATTGGAGATCGTTGTGCGAGAAGATCAACCCAGCGGAGAAGCCTTCTACGTCGTCCATGCCATCGATAAAGACCGCAAGAAGGTTCGAAGTGATTTTTTAGATTCGAAACTACTAAAACAGAGTTTGCTTAAGATATTTGACCTTCGTAGTATTGAAGAGGGACCTGGCTATATTTTATTGTTGAAATTTCGTTTCTCAATGTTTTTTTTTTCACTCAAAATGTCTGATTAGTTCGAAAGTCCTTTTTCTTCGAACCTGACTCCCCATGGAAGTTTCTTATATGTACCTCTGTGGCTTAGTTTTATTTTCAATACAACACCCAATAATCGGAAGGAAGATATTAGAAGAAATAATTGGCTGACCATTCTTAACCATGAGTTTCATGCGAAAAATATCTGAGCATAATTTTTTTTTCAGGCATAATTCGAAAGATAAAATGTTTGTAGAACGGACGAGTACGATATTCACTTCTCTCCTCTCATCCGCCAAGTCCCGTAGTCGTGGATGGCGTCACGGGACAGCTTATTCTGAAAGGAGCTTTCGACCACGAATCCGTCCGCGACTTCAAAATCCGCGTGAAGGCGCAGGACGAAGGAATCCCGCCCAAGTCTTCTAACATCACTGTAGTCCTTCACATCTCTGACGTCAACGATAATGCTCCGATTTTCGAGAGACACGAGTATCGCGCCGAGGTTCACATTTTTCTTATTGTGGTCAATTTTCAACGTTTTGAGGTGGTCGAAAACTCAGCAGCAAAAATCGAAGTTGCCAAGATAGTAGCCAGGGATGCTGATTCCCAGGAGAACGGTCAGGTGTTGTACCGAGTAACAAATGGTTCTGAAGTAAGTTTTCTTCCGAGTTATTTCAATGAGCCTCGTTCTTAGTACTTTGGGATTGACGAGAAGCTTGGCACGCTGTACACGAAAAGATCCTTTGACCGGGAAATCATCGATCATGTCGATGTGACTGTAGTTGCCGAAGATCGTGGAATGGTAGGTTTTAGAGTTCTCAAAAGTAAATGTTTGAACGAACGTTCAACCAAACATTTTCCGAACGTTTGATGAATTCGACCAATTAGTTAAATTTCACATGAACCGTTTGTTAAAAACTTCATTTTGGTTAAATTTCATAACTGAGCATTTAAAAAAATGAACAATTACTTATTTTTCGAAAAAAATTTGGTTAAAAAAATGAACATTTAAATTTCATTTTTGAAGTTTTTTTGGTCAAAAAAATAAACATTTAAAAATTCATTTTAGAAATTTTTGGTCAAAAAAAGTGAACATTTAAATTTCACTTTTGAAAAATTTTGGTCAGAAAAAGTAAACATTTAAAGTTCACTTTGAAAATTTTTGGTCAAAAAATGAACATTTAAAAATTCATTTTAGAAATTTTGGTCAAAATAGTGACCAATCAAATTTCACTTTGAAAAATTTTTGTTTAAAAAAAGGTAAACATTTATTCATTAATTAATTCATTACTATTACGGCACTTGGCAGTATCTGTGCCAGAGTCAATTCTATCTCAGTCTCTCCAAATGAAATCTTGAATCGATTACTTCGAAATTCAAACTAATTTCTGGTTATAAATTAATAAATCTGTTGGAAAAACAGTGATCTGGATGGTCAAGGGCAAAGCTAAAAAGCCGGTTAAGGCCGAGAAAAATTATATAGAACCGGTCAAAAATGAGCAGAACGAAAGAAAGGTGCTATCTGGATTAATTGAATGAGGAAAAAGAAAAAGTATTGATTTGGATTTTGGTTCGGAAAAATCCAGGTTCGGAAAAATTATCGGCCAAAAAAATGAACATTTAATTTTTCACAGTTGAAAAAAATTTTTTTCTAAGAAAAAAAGTAAACATTTAAAAAAATCGTTTTGAAAAATTTTTGGTCAAAAAAATGAACATTTAAATTTCTCTCTTGAAAAATTTTGGTCAAAAAAAGTAAACATTTAAAATTCATTTTGAAAAATTTTGTTCAAAAAAATGAACATTTAAAGTTCATTTTGGAAATTTTGGTCAAAAAAAGTAAACATTTAAATTTCACTTTTTGAGAATTTTTGGTCAAAAAAAGTGACCATTTACTTTTTCACTTTGAAAAAAATTTGGTCATTAGGACGAACATTTATTTACTAGTCAGAATATGATTGTTTAGAAAATGACCATTTATTTTTTTCAGTCATTATTTGAAAAAGTCACAAAATGAAAAAGAATGAAAGTGATCAATTTTTGGTTGATCTTTCAAAAAAACGACATTCGTTTGAAATGTCAAAAAGAAAAATTTTTTTGTATTTGAAAAAAATGTCATTTTTTTCAATTGGTCATTTTGAGAACTCTAGTAGGTTTCAAAGAAAACAAAGGAATTGGCTCATTTAGGCTTTAGGACATTTTTATTGAAAATTTTTTTTGGATTCTGCTTTCCGTTAGAACTTTTTTTTGAACAAAAAAGTCGGACTTAACCCTTCTTGGTCTTCACAATTCATTTAAAGCTGAAGCAATTGCAGCCCTCTCACTCGACGACAACTCACGTTCGCGTCGACGTTTTGGACGTGAACGACAACTCTCCGTCTTGCCAGTCGATCTCCGCTTTGGTGATTCTCTCGACGGCCGGTCCGTCCTCGGTCGTCGGCACGATTGTCGCTGTCGACCCCGACAAAGGCCTCAACGGCAGCGTCGTCTATCGGAGCCAGATTCAGCACTCGCTATTCATCGTCAAGGCGAACGGCGACGTGCAACTGCGACGACCACTCAAGGAGTCGGACGCCTCCGACTTCCGACTCTCCGTCATCGCTTCTGATCAAGGAGTTCCTAGGAAGAGTAGCGTCTGTCACGTTGCCATCAAAGTGTCCAAAGGCGAAAGCGACGTTATATTGACAGAGCCTTTCGCAAGGTTTTTCCCAAACATTTTCTCAAGTCATCCTCACTTCTTAGAAGCATCTCGTTGCCGGAAAATTGTTCGTCCTACTGTCGCATTGAGTCTTTTCATGCTACGGGGGTCGCCAAATGGCAACTTCAGAGCAGTGGTTCATATTGTGGTTTTACAAGTTAACTCTGGAATTTTCTTAGAACTGTCCAATCACTTTGTCATCCGGGAAGGAGTTCTTTCTCTGATGTCTGTTCCTTCGCACCGTCCGCCTTACACGCTAACACTGATTCTGTCGGACTCGCAAGGCCGACAGAAGCATGTTCCGATCCGGATTCATGCTTTATCTGCCAAGGTAGCTTTATAGAAATAAAAAAAGAGATTTATATCCTACATTCTTTTCAAGAACTAAAAGTTTTGAATCTTTAAAACAGAAAAAAGTTCAATAGTAAAACTTTTCAAAAATGTTTTGATAACTTCCAATTTTTTGTTTTGATTTTTGTAGAACCAACAACCGCCAATACGGCTTCAAGACTCTATGGCGATTGGTGCCAGAATCGGCAGCGTTGGTGAATCTTCCTCGACTGGAGAGTACTTCTACAAGCCGCTGAACAGTTCAAATTGTCCGTTCGCGCTTGATGAATCTTCCGGAGCACTTTATCTCGCTGAGAAAATCCGCGAGCCTGAAGTTTTCACCTGTTTGTTCCAACGCTACAACACGACGGATGGTGTTGCTGAGGAGTTTTCTGTCGATTTTGAGGTAACTCTCTAGTCTCTAGTGTCTAAGTCTGAGATCTGCAGACAACATCAAATCAGCTGGACAAGCCCGTTTTCGAGAATTGGACAGTGAGAACAACTGTACGGGAAAACGTGTCTCCTGGATCTGTCATTGCAACTATGAACGCCTCGGCGTCCGATTCTACAACCGTCAATTACCGATTTCGCGAAGAAAGTCTCCAGTTTTCCATCGATCAGTTCACCGGCGCTGTCAGCCTCGTAGAGTCTCTCCACTGGCACGAGGTAGAACCTACAAATGAACTCGCTTCAATAATTTCCAGGCTTCGGTGCATCTCCTGGTAGTGGAAGCCTTCGTGGGAGCGAGGTCGACAAGCTCTGTGCTGATAGTTGAAGTAGAAGATATTAATGATTGTGCTCCACAGTTTCTCAGGTATGTCGGAAGACCTAGTGCAGAAGACAATAAAAACCCAAAAAAAAAAAACAAGTTAAAAAAAGACGATAATGTGTGTACTCCGCAATAGGCTTTAATGGCGAATAAATAGTGTTGCGCGGAAAATTATTTTGTCTATTTTTGTCGCAATCCGACTGTCTTTTGGTGTTGGAATAGAGATTGTGGTTCAGTTGCTCGTTATTTTATCAGGCTGTCAAACAATTCTTGTCCGAAAATTTTCAAAATTCTATAATTTTCCTTAGAAGTTTTATAGTATCAGGCAAGTGTAAGAACCTTCTAGAAGGTTCTCCAGAGTTTCACGCTAGGGGTATATAAGGCGCAGTTGTCGCGTCCAGCTACCAGTACAAGCTGAAATGGACCAAGGTCGGATTCGTACGTTCGTGTACTACGAGCTGCTGCTGGGCAACGACACGGGCACCGCGATCGCCAACATCTGCAGAGCGTGCAAGGAGGATACAGTGTCGCAACGCACAGTCAGGCGTTGGTTCAATCGTTTCGAGAGCGGCGACACGAGCCGACCTGCTCCCGCTGAAGATCATGCTCTGCTGCTGGTGGGCCGCCAAGAACTGCTGTACTTCGAGCTGCTCCCGCAAGGCAGGAGGTCACCGCCTCCATCTACACCGACCAGTTCGAGAAATTAGCCGCCGCCATCCGAGAAAAGCGTCCCCGACGTGCCTCGGTCCATTTTCAGCACGACAACGCGCGCCCCCACGTGGCGAAGGAGACCCAGCAGAAGTTAGCAACGCTCGGGTGGGAGACGGTTTCCCATCCGCCGTATTCCTCGGACCTCGCTCCCTCCGACTACCACTTGTTCCGTCCGCTCGAGCACCGTTCGGCCGGAAGAAAATTCACCAACTACGACAACCTCAAATCCGACTTCGCGGACTTGTTTGAGTCGCAGCCCCCGGAGTTCTGGGGGAAGGGCATCGGCGACCTGCCAAATCGATGGACCACTGTCGTGAATACCTGTGGTGATTGTATTGTTGATTAGACTCGTTTTTCAATAAAGTTTAAAAAAAAATTAAAATGGTGAAATTTTCGGACAAGAATTATTGGACAACCTGGTAGTTGGAGAACAGTAGCTTGCTTCAGAGGGGGAATATCTTGCTGTTGGTATGGCTTTCATAGTCGGCGAGATAGTGTTCTATTCCTCTGTTTTTGTCGAAAAGAGAGGCGTGGCTTCCGTTCGCGCTTTGGCCGTGACAACTTTTCGACTTTGAGAATAGGAGAAAATTTTTTATAGCGTAATCAAGCTTATTGTACTCTTAACGAAAAACTGACCGAGTGAAGAAAGTTATTTTTAATTACTTGATCTTGATCGCAGTTTATACTTTCAATCGATGAATATTGACAATGGATTGTTCAGCGAGTCTGACGTTTACGTGGCCATGTCGGAACGACGCGGCGTTGTGCACCGGGTAGTGGCCACCGACAAAGACAGCGGAATGAACGGTCGCGTGAGATTCGAGTTGGCAGAGAAGCACTCGAGTTTCTCCGTTGACGAGAAGACGGGAGAACTGTCCATTGGACAAGCCTCCGTCTTCCCGCAAAACATCACTATCCGAGCCTACGACTATGGCTCTCCTCCTATGAGCTCGCAACAGATATTGAATATCCGGTAAGTCCGGAGATTCTCAAATCAGAAATTATTTTTCGTTTTCAGTGTTTTGAACGAATCTCGACAGCGGTGGCATCATTTCGATGAAGAGGAATACGTCATCGACGTGGACATAAACACCCGGGAAGACGCCGTCGTGTATTCTTTTGATGGTTCGTCTCTAGTGCCGTACGATGCTTTTTTCTCACTCATGACGGAACTAGTCAGTTCCCTAGTGTTGAAAGATTTGTTGTGTATCTGAGGACAATAAGAAATTGCAAAAAACTGAAAATAGAAGAAGATTACGTTGATTGAAATTGTTCTGAAGTACGTTTCACGGAGAATTGGTAGAAGTTTCTTCTTTTAATTTTATTTTTTTGGTTCGTTCATTTTTGAAAATTATATTATCAGTTTGTATCGTCACAATTCTTGATAATTAACTTTAATTTTTTTTTTCTTTCTCGCCATTAAGTTTTTGAATTGATATTCTGTTTTTCACGGCTTGAAAAGGTCTGCTATCATTTCAACTTTTGGCGAGCGCGTTAGACCATTTATTTTTCTAGGGACGCTTCCATTGCGACTCGTACCTGAGAGCAGCGTTTTCCGCCTTCGCGGAGCCAACATCGTCGTTTGTTCGAGCGCTTTGCAGCCGCAAGAGCACCGCTTCACGATTGTCGCCGAGTCAGACAGAGGCGTCGTCGACTGGGCCCCGGTTTTTGTCCGGGTTCTGCGACCGGCGGCTCCTCCTCCCAGAATTAGCTCAACGTCGTGTGGCACTGTTTCGGTCGAGGAAGGCAGGTCCGTAAACTCTGTAAAGCGAGTTTTTGCCGTTGACGCTGCGAAAAACGCTACGTACCGTATACAAGGTACAGTTTTTTTTTAGCCCACGTTCCAAAAAAATTTTCCAGGTGTTAAACCCGATTTTTCGATAAACTCAGCAAATGGAGTAATTTCTATGAACGCGTTGGACAGAGAAAACTTACAAGAGCATCTCCTAGTGGTCATCGTCGAGGATGGAGGCAAAAATGTACTTCGATAAAAAGAATCAAACTAGTGAAGACTTTTTTGAGGACTCTTGCACAGTCAGGGTGGTGGTGACTGACATCAACGACAATGAACCTCAATTTGCTGTTGAAACACCCCAAGAGCTACTTATAAACAGCTCTCGGAAAGTTGATGACGTCATTTTCAGGTGAATAGGGAACAAAAACTCAGGGCACAGAAAAGAAGATGTTCAGTCTTCATGGTTCACAAAGCTATCCGAATTTAAGGTTCCGCGCATCAGACATGGATATTGGATCGAATGGTAAAATAACGTTTGAACTGATAGAAGACCAAAGCAACGCGCTGGATTTGATCCCAGAAACTGGAGATCTCGTTCTCAGACGGTATGGCCAGCATAACGACGTTGTCTGTAGCTCTGTTCTCAGTTTTCCCGCGGCTGGCAGCAAAGAATGGATGATCCGTGTCCGCGTGGCAGACCAAGGATCTCCACCAATGGCTTCGGAACGATTTATTCGCATGAAGAATGATCTCGCAGCCGAGGAAACGTTGCCCAAACCGGCCTTCCTGCGACAGTCTTACATTTCTTCGGTTGATGAGGGACTTCCACGAGGACAGCTCGTCGCCAAGGCAAATCGAGCAGTCCTGGGCTTTTCCAACCTTCTTTCAGGTGGCTACTAACTTTGGCGACTCACCTGTCACCTACAGCATTGTCGAGGGAAACCTGGACTCGGCCTTTTCCGTTGGCTTGGACGGCGTCATCCGAACTGCTCAGGTTACCATCTTCAAAGATATTCTTTACTTTGAACCTTAGGAACTGGACCGAGAAATCGTGGAGCGATATCATCTCAAGCTGATCGGTACTGGACAATGGGCCGGCCAGATTGAAACACAAGTCGTCGTCAGAGGTAATTGAAGGTTTTTAAATTCCAAAAAAAACGCTTAAATCCGGTTGGAAACTCCTTTTTTTGAAATTTTTTCGCGAGATGTTATTAATGCACACAATGCGGCGTTTTTCATAATCAAAAATTTCCCAATGAGAGTTTAGTTAACAACGTCAATGACAACCCTCCGTCGTTCCCAGCCCCACGACAGAAAAAAGTCAGCGAAGGTATGACTGATGAGGAAACGAAAAAACAAAATGCCTCTAAGCGCTTCCTGTCGGATCCTACGTTTTCACTGTTGTGGCGAATGACGTCGATGGCTTGCGACCTCTAGAGTACTCCTTAACGAATAAAAGAGATCTCTTTCACATCGACAGGTAAACTTGCTTTCTGCTCGTAGAAAAAGGCCTTTTTCAATAATTTTTTGAGAGATTGATTTCAGGTTCACTGGAGTTGTTCACTTGCAGTCGCCATTGGACTACGAACTAGAAAAGGAACATGTCATCCGCGTCAACGTCACTGACGGCTTATTCAGTGCAACCACCACGACTACTGTAGTAGTCCTCGACGCCAACGACAACGCTCCCGTCTTTGCGAAAACTTTCTACGACATTCAGGTACCACCATACATCGGCTGGATACCACCCCAGCCTTTTGTACGCGAAAAAAAAAATTTGAAAGTAGGTCGCAGTTTGCAGAGGGCAGGCTGCGCCCCGTGTTGCCTTTTAGCCGCTTATGATTGCCATGCGGCCAACCTTCATTTTGAAGATTAAACATGAAGGGTCAAACCTATCCGAATGAATTTTCTCTAAAATTTTACTAATCTTTTGAAATTTTAAAAATTTCGTCGAAATCTAATCTCAAAACGTTAGAGGTTATAATCGTTTTGGTCAAATTTGTTTTTTGAAGGTTTTGTCACAAATCTGAAAAAGATGGTCTTTTTTTCTTTTTTTAAAAACGGAAAGTTTCATATGTCAAGAATTGAGACTATTCATTTTAAGACGGAGCCGTTAATTTCTTTGGATACTCCTATCGCACGGATCCAGGCACACGATGTGGATGACGGTCAGAATGCTCAATTAGTCTACTTTCTGGCCGACGATGAGAAACGCTTCAAAATAGCTCCTGACAATGGTTGAAAACACGTCCATTCTTGGAAACCATTTGCTGAGTTTAGGAACGCTGTACTTCACTCATTTCCCTGCGCGCAACTCAACGTTTTTGATAACTGCAGTCGCCAAAGATCGTGGTAGCCCCCCACTGACGTCATCTGTAGCCGTAAGAGTTACGGTAGAGAATGCCACGAAGCAAAAACGACCAGTATTTTCTAAGCCTGAATATGAGTTTGTGGATCCCATTTTTCCGAGTGTTTAGCCAAAAAATTTTAGATTTGATGTTCCCGAAAACGTAACAGTTTCAACAGTAATTGGCAACATTTCCAATGAATTCGATTTCCTGACTTACCGAGTGGTGGACGTCGAAGCGTCGAAGTTCTTCTTCGTGGACAGATTGGGGCGGGTGTCGGTGCAGCAAAATTTGGACCGCGAATCTCGAGATAGTTTCACCTTTTTGGTAGGAATTCGGTAATTGACGATCTCAATTCGAGGTTCTCAGGTCGAAGTAGACTCCGAAACGGCGACAGAAGGCAGAGGCGCTTCGACGGCTAGGGTAGTCGTCCGCATAAAAGACGTCAACGACAACTCGCCGGTTTTTGGAGTTGCTCCAATAGTTTTTCTTCGAGACGGCCTACAGAGGGGTGACGTAATCGCTCAGTAAGCTGTCCCTGTAGGTTTTTTTATCCGTGGGAAACTCAGACTCAGCGCTAGTGACGAGGATTTTGGAGAAAACGGACGCGTCAGCTATCGGATTTTCGCAGGAAATGACTATGGCGTGGTCTCTCTGAACTCAGAGAGTGGCGCTTTGCTCTTTAACGAATGGAACGACGGCCAGCTCTTTGACTACCCTGACGGTTCCTGGTCTCTTCTCGTTGAAGCCCACGACCACGGAAAGCCATCGAGGTTTCCTTTCAAAGCCAGAGGAAAAGAGCTCGTGTTTTTTTTCTGGGTTCTTCCACATAGGAATCAAAAAGTTCAATAATGAAGGCTTCTTCAGAGAAGTTGTCTATCAAAGTGATTTTGAAACTCAAAATCAACGGTTCTTCAAAGTTTGAATGTAATTTTCTGAATATGCCCCTATCAGAGTTTTCTCTTGTATGTGCGTATTATTTGTAGATGGAGCACTTTGACGATCCCTGTGACTTTGAAGTTGACGTCTTGGAGCGGCACGGCCCCTTTCTTTGTCCTGCCTTCCTACGATTCACATGTCTTGGAAGACACGCCCTTGAACAGCGTCATTGCTCATGTTAAAGCGAGTAATAGATATGGGTTGCCTAACCGAAACCTAATCTACTCGATCAAAGACAACACTGACGAAGTAAACAGAACTGTTTTGGTGTGGGAACTGGGGAACAGTTGCAGAAGTTCGGAATAGACTCCTCGACGGGAGAGATGCGGCTCAAGTCTTCCCTCGACTGGGAGTCAGCCTCCTTCTATAGTATGTTCGTGTCCGTTTCTGACAGCCATGGCAGGTCGGCGGTCGTTCCTCTGAAAATTTTCGTGGAGCCAGTGGACGAGTACGCCCCTGTCTTCATCAGCAACGCCTACAGATTTAAAGTTTTCAGTGTTAATATTGATTTTTTTTTTTCATTCGACGATGTATCAGGTGCCCATAACAAGAGAGATAGGAGACGCTATCGGAGAAGTTCAAGCGGTTGACGAGGACGGTGGGAAACATGGGATAGTCAGTTACCGAATCGCAGACCTGCAGTCAACAGTATCTATTGACCCGGTCACTGGCGTGGTTTTCGGCTCTGCGGTATCTTTAGTTCAATTCTCAGTTTCAGTTGTCTTTGCGCAAGAGCCTCGGCAAGCGGAAGAACACAACTTTAGAGCAAATAACTGTTGTAGCGATGAGCCCTGCGAAACAGTCAACGACTACAGTCTTGTTTGAAGTTTTCTTTTTCTTTTCCTTTTCTCTCTGATTTTCTGTTTTAGTTTGGTCAATTCGCGAATACTAGCCAACTTCTGAGTTTCTTCCAACTGAAATATGTCCAGATCTTCTGTTTGGCAACAGTTTTGCTTCTGTTCTGTCTACTTATTGTTATGATAAGCTGCATGGCTTGCAAGAACAGAGATGCCGAGAACGTTCCTAAAAAGGAGGTAAAGCTGTAAAAACAACGTTGCATTCGATAATCTAGTCATTGGAGATTTACTCGGTGGAAAAACGGAAACTGAGTGATCATCCAAAGCCTGCTATCTTCAATGCGAGAGCGGCTGGCAAGGTTTCGAAAGGATTTCTCGAGCTCCGAAGTAATGGTAGAGACCTTTTGCAGGCGTGCTCGATGACGTCATCGTCGTCAATGAATTCTTCAGCGATCAGACGCGTCGACCTCGTCTCCACGCGGTCGCACGTCGACTCAGGCATCGATCCTGACACCGTTTCAGTCAATTCCTCAGTCACTGACTATCTTGTGTCCATCGGCGTCAATCCCAACCCGATTCCTGCACGCCTCAAGTTAGTGTTTCCGAATTTCTTCATTTCAAGCTTTGAGTGAATATGGCCAATAAAAATGAAGTTCAAGACGAGTATGTATGTAAAGTTTTTCATTTCAACTTTCATGGCTTAGTTGCGGTCGCGCAAACCTTCACTCAGCGGGGAATAAAAGTTTAAGTTTTAAATAAAATAAGGAACGATTCATACCAGGTATCTGCGCCTAGGTAAATCGATTTTGCAAATAACTCGTTTTCGATTCACGTAAATTCACTTGGTGACATCTTGAAGTAATAGGTGGATCTTTCTAGAAATTTCAGCAGTGTGCCATGAAAAATATTATTCTGAGAAAAATTCAAAAATTTATCAAATGTTACGTGGGAAAAATTTTGTTGTCGAGATTTTCAACTGTTATGAAACTCGCCGTGGTGAACGGAGTGATGATTTTCATATAACTTTCACTTTCAAGCTCTTTTGTGATTTCCATAATCTCAGGACAAACACGACATACGACTCGTTGAACAACTCCATCCTCAACGAGTACATCTATGCCAGGGTCGACGACGTCATCCCACCTGGACCCATCAATCTGTCACGAACACTCGACATGATGGATCCGCCACGTTCAACGGCATGTTCCGCCTCGAGCTTCTCATACGATCTTTTTACAGTACTCGACGCAGCGTCCACACGCAGTTCCGAGTTTCCAGCCGCTGACAGAAATCTTTTCGGAGATAGCTGAAATGCAGCGAGAAGAAAGACAGCGTCAGTACGTACAAGTCGAAATTTGAACTTGCGCCTTTATTTTGTTACTTTTTTCCCGGTGCTCAACTATGACCTCTTTCACTGTTCCGTTATTCTCAGGGTTTTCGCATACGTCATTCTCGTTTTGCCTCTTCATTGCCATTCGATTTCTCTCAATTAGCTCAATGTACATCCTTTTCATGTATAAATTTTTATGGAATTCAAAAATTGTGTCAAACTGAATTGTACTCTGAATCGGTGTGACAGTGTCGTGGCCGTGGTTTTATCGTTATATTTGGCGGTTTGTATGGCTCGCAAACTAACATTTCCTTCCGAATTCGTTTTAGCGATATCATTGAAGACAGGGGTGTGAGAAACGGTCCGAAATACGTGGTCGCATACCAACGAGTGCAGAGTCCTTTTGGCAATTTGATTCCTGCAAGCTCATGGACTCGATAAATTGAAGGTTTGTTACCAAGATAGAACTCTAGAGACAGCAAGAGCAAGGGAAGCGAAACAAGAATAGGTACAAAAGATTGTAGTAGCAGGCTGGATGTCAGTTCGACTCGTCTCCGTTGCAGCTCTGAACTCTCACATCAAACTGAGTTGCTCTTCACCAGACGAACCAATGTTTTGCTTTTCGTAGCGCTTCACATATAAATAAATCAAAAGATTGATGGCGATGGCCGAAACGTTCAAACCCAGTGTGAACAGAATCTGAACAAAAGGATGTGTACCTGTGTACATCAAGGTTCGAATCGAAAGCTTCTCTTCTCAAAGAAGCCCCAGAAAACAGCATCAAGATGTTAAAGTTTTCAAAAATGACTGCATTTCTTTTTTGGATATCCGGTTCTATATATTGTTCGTTGAACCAAAAAATATTCTTTTATTCAAGATTCTTCCGCGATACGAGAACGGACACATATCCAGAGTCGTAAGGCTTATGATAATTATCAACAATAACTATATATGCACTTTTAAGTGTATAAATACTATAACGGTTTAAAAGGGATATTGTTTTCATTCATTATCAATCTCGAAATGGAAGCAAACTTTTCTGGTTCTTCGCCTTACGCCAAAAAATTTGTCGGCGAGCGAAAAAAAAAAAGTTCATTCACTAATTCATTAGAATAAGTTAACTGGAATCTTTTCATAGGAACATTGAGTTCCGGATTATCTCTGTGCGGCATAGCTCAGCTGGTAAGACTCATATCTAACGTCCGCGAGGTCGTAGGTTCGAGTCCCCCCGAGGTCGACCAAGCCTTTCATTCCTCCGGGGTAGATAAAATTGGGAGCTGCATCCAGCGAAAAGGCTCAATCTCTGCCATCGGCCCTTGCGGAGCCGGCACCGTACTTCTTCCTACGACCTCTCTTGTACCTGATGTTCTACGAGCAAAAATCACAACTTCTCTGCCTAAGCCACAGCTCCTGCCGCCGTTTAAACACAGTTAACTCAATGAAAGTCGATTGCACATGTATTCCTACATTGAAGATGCAATAAACAGTTTTTTTTAAAATAGTTATTTCTGTCAAAGCAATACTATAACGTATAAACAAATTTAGAAGTAGGAATCAGATTTCTGAGCAAAGTTTTCTGGGATTCTTTTCAACGAAATTGAAACTAGTCTCAGTTTTCCAATTTGTGCACTCTGAGCTCATTTGCCGTGGAGCTTTCCTCTTCCTTACTCTGATTATTTCCATGAGCTTGCTGATTCGAAAAGTCTCGCATTGATCGTTGTGCACAAAGTCGCCGAGTGGAAAGTTGAGCAAGGCGATCATCAACTGAAATGTTTATCTAGAACCTCGGAAAGGACAAAACTAACAAAAACTAGGGTGATTAGAGAGTGGAGGAGGAAGACAAAGTCGGAAGCCGGCTTGCAGTTCTGAACGACGGTCCGATACCGGTAGACGCTGACCGAGAAAGGAAGAACTTGGACGCATGACGTCATGCCGCTCGTGAAGTTCTTCAGGAGGGAGCACATGAGCACTGAGTAGGAAGGCTCGACGTCCATCCACAATGACGTCAGCAGGTACAAGTGCTCAACGAGGAATGGAACGTAGAGAACCACACTCCCGAAAGTCACAAAAACAATGGTCGGCTGCAGATTTTTGCTGACTTTCAGGCTCGATACCTTGAACCGACCTTGAAAGCGTAGAGCAGATGAGGTCGAGCTATGAAGAAGACGCAGAGGCAAAATGTGAAGAATATGCTGGTCGAGCTGAGGAAAAACTCGACCGTCGCCCGCCCTCTACAAAGACTTTTTCGATGTTTTATGTTTGTCCGGAAAAACTAATCCTCCATTTGAGACGGTTTCAGTTTTCATTCATCACTTATTGATACTTTAAAAAAGTTTGAAAAATTATATTAATAATTATCTACAATCGCGGCTTTAAGATTTTCTTTTCAAAAGAACCACAAAAGATAAAGTTCCTTACCTAGCTCAAAAATTAGAAAAATATTTGGGTACTACATAAAACCATGCATTTTCCACATGTTCATCAGCTATTGAAAATGGTAAAAAGGGGTTCGACTCACCTGTAAGAAAGAGGAGTTTTTGTGGCGGAGTACAGGGAAACGTTAGAAAGAACTTCATGGCTGGAAAATTTCTGTCATAGTTTAGATAATCGGAATTTAAGGATCTTTGAGCTTTTATAAACAGTTCTATCCTTTATCCTTTTCTCGAAAATGACCTCCAGTGAGCTACTTTTCTTATTGACCCACCCTTAGCCAAAATAAGTGTTCAGCCTTTGAAAGGCGAATATATCAGATAAGTTTATACAAGTGACGAGCAAAAACGGAATCAGTATAGCCAGATTTTCTGAGGAAAAGTCCCAGAAAAGTAGATTTCCTAGATGCGAAATGCATGTGACAGTGTGAAACGCGGAAGTAACTTCCGAATCGTGCAAACTTTTGCGAAAAATAGAAAAATCAGCCGCAAAAACTTGTTTCCACTCTAGCCGTCACTTACGTTTTGTCGCCGAAAATTTTAAAGTCGTCGACTCGCTCGAGAACGCGCTCCATCGAGAACGGAAGGGCCTCGAAGCAACTACGACTTGAGATGACGCAGTCGGGAAAACTCCACGTGGAAAACGCTGCTGTCAGGAAATAACGGGACAACGTGGCTCTCCAATTTTCCCGTGCCGGACGATGTTTGGCCGAGGTCGCTTCCAAAATGAGAATCCAATTTCTCGACCTTTTCCCGGAGAGCAAACGTTTGACAAAGCGCCGCTCATTTTTCACGATCAAGGGAGCACAAATCGCTACTTTTCCGTATAGTCTGTTGAGATTTTGATTGCCAAGCAGCTTACTCCGCCCCCAAGGATACTTTCTTTCGCGTCAATGTTTCATCGCAGATGAACCTTCAATATGGCTGCATTTTTCGACTTCTTTTTCTTTCTTTTTGAACAAAAAAGATCAAAAGCAGTCCCGCGCGATAAAACATTGACGCGAAAAGCTACTGTGGCAACATGGGCGGAGTTAGCTGGTTGACATTCAAAATCTGAACAGACTATAATCAGAGCCAAAACTTTTGAGGAGCTTTTTTATGTGGAGCTCAGCCTTTTTCGTCGATACTCTCGGATTAACTGGTCGAAGTATCAGCTCTGTACGCAAAAAAAAATTAATTCAGTTCTGTAAAGCGAACAAAGGAAGCTGAATATTTAGCAGTATCAGACACTTATATTGCAAGCCATGAACTTGCCGCTTTTTGCCCACATGATTCTATACATATCGGAAAGTTAACTTTCTCGGACCTTGGTTATGAAAAGTGGACGGTTTTCTGAGCTATTCTAGGGATCTGTTAAGAATGCTGGCGCTACTAAATTGGTCACTAGCAATGCCTCGAGACGTCCGATTCGCATCTTGTTGGCGTTATCACAGTTCGAGTTGTTTTTAATCACTCTTTTTCTTCACTCTGGCTGTTACAAACCTGGAAAGTTCATCAACAAGGAAATTCGAGCTGTAAAATACTAACTATTTGTAGTATGCTCATGCAGGTCTTTTACTGAGCAAAATAAAACTCTCTGTCAATAAACAAGACTTTCGTTTGCACTTAATGAGTTGCGGTCTAATCTCTGAATTCCACACAGCCTCTGTAGGGCTGAACATGACGGAAAAAACAAAATAAACAGAAGGCCGCGGAGAGTTGCAGCGAATTGTTAGGTTTAATTAATGTTTTTGTCGCTCATCAAGGCGCGAAACCTCATCGATCACTTCTGATTGATGCATCAATTGCGCGGCCGGCATGGGCGGTCCGTCGACTATTCTGGAAGATTTTCTCGCTCATCTTGCGGATCCAAGAGATCAAAGCAATGTAGTCGATCTTCAAGCTGGAGAGCGAAAAACAAAGTTCAACCCACCTTTTCTAGGTTTCATTCAACCCACTTTTTCTAGTTTTAGCTGATAGAGCTCACAATCATCGTTAGCCTGACGTAAAAGGGAAAAAAATTCTAATTTTTCCTTCTACATTTATTTCATCATCTTTTGAAGTTTGTAGTGGGTTCGAGAACCTTGGAAACTAACTCTCAGTTTTTTTTGGAAAGAACTTTAGAACACCATTTTCTTACTTTTTTTTTGAAATTGTTTTGTTGATTATAAATATAATAACTGCCCAAAGTTTTAGAAGAAAGAAAAAGCGAATGATTAATTATTTATGTATCTATTATTATCACTTGTAGAAGTGCCAATATCAAACGTCGAGAGAACGAATTCCCACGAATTGTTTCGTTGAACTCTGCCGCCATCGCCCGCATTCGGAAGCTACAGAAAGAAGTCGCCCCAACTTGTCTTCGACGTTGTCAAAAAGGCTTGGAAGGTAGTGTTTTTCGTGAAATATCTTCAAGACTAAGCTCAATCCGTTTCAAAGCAGGCAAACTTTAAAAAACTTTCGAAAAACGAAATAATTTAAAAATTACAAATGAAGATTTAGAGGGGACAAAACATTGAAACAAGATTTTTTACTTGAACGGTCTTTGAAGAAATTTGAAGAACGATATTTTTTTAAAGTTTTTTCTCTTACTTGCTTTTCAAAACCCGTTTCATCGAAAATATTTAATTTTATTTCAGTATTTAATAGGGAAATCTTCTTCATTCTATCAAAAATATTGTAAATTTTCTTTTCAGCCTTTTTGTGTGAACCTTAACTTTTCGAGGCGCTTCTGCAAGAAAATAGAGACGGAACTCTGAAAAATATCAGTTTTCGGTGATAAATTGGGACTTTTTCGAAGAGTGACACTATCATTTCTGTTTTATAGCCCGTTGAGAACAATAAATAAAACCACAAGGTTGGAACGGGGAACTGCAGATTGATAAGGCAAAGATCGAAGAATGAACGTCTTTTTGAGGTGGATGTGCATCGCGGAAGACGTGCGCAGATGACGTCGCTGGGCGGCCTCCATACAGTCGGCGTCTCCGCTGCCTCGTCTCTCTTCCACACTGTCTCTGCACACAAGTCGTCGTCAGTCGCTAGGTCTGCCTTCCGACAAAACAGTCCGCTTCGTCTGTTTCTGCGATATCGTCGAGATGAAGGAGAAGCTGCTGGAGGAGGGCGGCAAGGGCGCCGTCGGAGGACGTTGGTCGCGCTTCGTCCGCGGGTTTCGTCGCGACTCCGCTCAGCTCTGGCATGATCTTTCCGACCCAAGTCGTCAGTTTTCTTCATTTTCTCTTTTCCAATCACTTTCCACATTCTTTCTCATCTTCCGGGCTCTGATTTGCCTATTTTCGTGAACTTTCGATTTCATTCGCTCGAGCCGGGGCAAAAAGTTATTTTTCAAAAAAAGCAGTATTAAAAAAAAGTCAAGATAGATTGCAAAAAGAAAAAGTTTAACAGTATATGAAAGAGTTAATCAATTACTTTTTTGAGTAAAAGCGTACAATTGTCCGACTTGTGCCTTTCTTTCATTCTTGTGCTCGTATTTTTGTGCTTGGTTCGCAAAAATGAAACTGTAAAAAACAATCTGTTTTTCGTAACTTATCAGATCAAGCAAGTCGATAGATGGTCGAAAACTTGTCGACTATCGTGATAATCAGTTATTCGAGGGCCCGGCTATTTTCGCGTTCCTTAACGCGATCGAGTTCCCGAAAAAGCTTTTCTTTCGTATGACCACAGTATATCTCTTGCCGTCAGACGCCGACCACATTTTTCGCTTCACTAATCGATAATCAGTCTGGGGATTGGATAAAATTGCGAAAACGACCGGTTTGCAATAAGTTGCGCAAGCACGGCGAAGATTTTAGTCGAAGCCAGAAGGAAAAAAAGCTTTTCTTTTACAGAGATGCGGTTTCCATGGCCGACGAACACTCCTCTTGAAGTTCACGAACTGGTCGGCGCAGAGAGGTACCGAGAAAGGAAGGAAGCAAGAGTTGATGATCAACTGCAGGTTCGACTCGTCGTCCCACCGTTACCACATGCCCTTCTTCTGGATGACGATGGCTGTTCCGGCCACCCCAGCTTGGTCAGTCAACATGATAACGAAAAAAAAAAGAGGAACTTTTAGATCCCTCAAAAATCTAATCACTCTTCAAATATTCATTTGTTTTTTGGTTCATTTTGGCTTAGATTTTTCAAGGTATGAATCGTTCAAACGAAGGTTTATTCAACGCAAAAAATACTTGAGAAGATTTTTCAGAGGCAAGTCATATTAGATTCTAGCTGAAGATAATGAAAGACATCAAGATTAGAAAATTCCTCAATACAACGCACTTGAAGATTGCCATTTTCCCTTAAGTCTACGCTATGATCCATGATAAATTGAAGAAAGATAGTTATCACAAAGAATTCTTCTACATTTTTGAATTGCCGTTCTTCATACCCTCAAAATGAACATTTTAGGGGTTTGATGGTGTGTATGATCGAAATGGCATTCGCTTTCGTCTGTTTCTTTTGCGTCATCCTGCACTATCTGCTTTTTCTGCCCAAATGTGAGCAATTCGGTCGGCCGCTCCTCATTTTCTTCCTCACTGCCGTCCAGTACTCCGTTTTCTACTCTTTCAAGGTTCGTTTCATTTTGACATAACCATATAATTTTTTCACGGGGTAATTCTGCAGGTAAGTCAAAACATGAAGAAAAAAAAAATTAATCTGAAAATTAGGCGAAATCAGTACGAACATTTCGAATTTTTTTAAAATGTTTTTTTCTCGTTTTCAGGTAGATTTGGTGTGATTTCTTTTTCAAAAAATTTCGTTGAGCTAGATCTTCTGAACATTCCATAGAGTGAAGTTATGAGGAAAAATCATTGATAAAAATCTTGTTTAAAAAAATTTACCATTGTTTTAATTTTTCGAGAAAGAAAGTCTTAAAGTTCAATTCAACCGCCCAAAAAGTTGTCTTTGTGCTCAAATTAGATATGTGTTTTAGTTGAAGCTTCCCTTTTTTTATTGCTTTGAATCTCTGTGTCTGACTATGAGAAATATTCCAGATAGTTTCTAAAAACAAAATGATGGGATCTCCAGAATTTTTTCTTTCTTTGTCTTCGATTCTCACAGAGGTCGAAATATTGTCGAACTGTTCATGACACTCTCAGGTGTTGTTCGTGATCGCGGTGGTGGAGCGAAGGGCGCGACTTCTGCGAGTGCAGCTCTTCTTCCAGTACGCGACGTGCGTCTTCCTCCTGCTCGACGCTTCTTTCGCCTTGGCTTCCGACCTCGGCGGATACAACGAAGAGGTCTTTTTTTTCTTTATATTTAGATTTTCGAGTCGCTTTTCTTGCATTTCCTCCCTTATCCAGCACGATTACGACTTGCAATGACTAATAAACATATTTTTCGACCCGATTTCTCAGCTTCCACCATTTGATAGATTTTTATTCGTGATAAGGTTTGAGTCGGTGGAAAAAAAACTTTTAGATGAGCTTTGAAAGGAAACAAAAAAAGACTTTCTAAATTCTATTCTAAAAAAATTTCTTCAGTGACGTTAAGTTGTGAACATTCTTCTCAGGCAATTTTTTAAAATTTTTTCCCTATCGCTTTGAAATCGAAATTGTCATTTTTTGTCTTAAGAAGCTTCATAGAAAACATACGTTACCTTTGGAAAGAAAAAAAAAATAGAGTTGAATAGAAATTAATAGACTTCTCCAAGTTTGAAGGGCTATATAACGACTCTTGTCTCAGGGGATCTATTGCGAAAAGAATCCTATGCTGATTCGGTTCGTCGCCGTCGTTTCGTTGGTCTTCCTCTTCGTGCAGCTGTTTCTGCGCATCGCCACCGTCCAAGTCTTCAACTTCATGTGGGACACTCGCAAGTTCCGGTTAGTTTCTTTCCCAATTACTATTCCACGCCAATTTCAGACTTTTTATCCTCATGCGAGATGCCTTTCTTTGAAAATTCCAGTTCTTTTACTTTTTTTACGGTTCGAAATGATTCACCGACAAACGTCTCTTTTCATGTCGTTTCTTTTTTTCTGGCGTCGTCGCGGTGATCTTCTTTTTAATTCGAATCAACTGTCCATCGCCGATTCCACTCTCTCCATTTCCGCTCAATCTGTCTTGACCTTTCGTCTTGCTTTTCGTATTTCTTCCGCTTCTCTCTCTCAGATTTCATTTTCGCTGATAAACTCTTTTCCTACGTTTTTCTAAAACTCGGATGAACTTGAATTTAAGGAAGGCGCTCCACAATTCCAAATGGCGATATCGCAAACGCGTCTACTTCTCCTACTGTTCGATTATGCAGGAAGACATGAAGCGTCTTCAGCTCAAGGTGTTTTCAAAGTTCAATTTGGTTTTCGATTGGTAGCGGATAGTCAGAGTGCCCTTCAATCACCTGAAACAAAGTTAACCAACTCGAGATACCTGAAACGTCAAAATATTTCGGAACTTTTCAAAAAGCGGTAAAAGTAGCTAACAAAGAACCTGACAAAGGTTAATCGCGTTTCTGGAACCCGATACGATTTTTAGAAAAAAATTCAAAAATTTTGATTCGGAAGTTTTTTCTGAAATCAAATGAAATTGATTGCAGAACAAAGAAACCAACGTGATAACGCGCATCCGCAACGAACAAGAAGAAATTCTCAAGAAGATCCAAATGAAGCAAAACGTAACCAACATCCTCATCTCGCCAGATGAGTCGACGTCGGCCAGTCCGGTCGGAAGTGTGAGTGTGAGTTGGGACAAGTCTGTTGTCACCCTTCGTCGGAACATTTTCCAGACACTCTCTTCATCGCGAGATCCACCTCAGTACTTGGTGGCTCCTCTGGGCAAGCGAAAGCCAGAGAAAAGTCTGCCGCGAAAAGCGAAGAAGATCCGCGACGAGGATGGCGCCCCTCGAATGCCTCCGAAGAGACGTCCGAGGCCGGCTTTGCGTAAAGGTGGCGTCCGAATCCAGCTAGAGGTAAGGGTTCCGATAGTTGTCCATACGAATCAAAGACCCATTCTCGTTGTTTTTAATAGCTAGAAGAAATCCAGAAAAAAAACAAGATATAGTTAAGGCCTTTCACGACTACAAACTTTGACAAAACTTTCATTTTTCGAAAAAAATCAACACATGTTTTCCTTAAGACATGCAATAATTTTTCCGGTATAGAATGATGAGTTTCGTCGTCATTTAAATGATTCCCCTAAATGTTTTGATCCACAAACAGAAATTGGAACAGCCTTTGCGTTTTCTCAAAACCAAAATAAAAACTCACTTGCCGATGCGAGTCAAAGTTCGAGACACATCTAATTAAAATTTCATCTAATTGAAATTTCACTCGAATCATTTCACCCACGAGGTTGAGCTATGAGCAACAAGCAAGTCATTATTTCATTTTTCAAAGCTGCGTGATGATTGTTGCGAGTCCCGGGCAGTACTGAATGTAAAGTTTGAAAATTCATAATTTACAACCAAAAGCTTGTGCAAGTAGCGAACTCAAGACCTTTGAAGGGTCTTTCGAAAATTGTTTAGAAAAAAACAAAACTTTACACTAAAACGAATCTGAAGAATTATTGCCATTAACACAGTATAAATTTGATTACTGTCAAGTTTTTTTTTCCTGTTCTCAACAATTTTCTACTGAGGAAAAGGCTGATTAATTCGAGAATGAATGTTTTCAAGGTGGACCACGAAACGGTCCGTCTGCTGCTGAACAAAAACCGGCAGAACGGGCCTTTGCCTCTCAAAATCGAGGAGGACAACGAGGCTTCCGACTCGGCTGCCATCGAAATCTAATTTTTTTTTCTCTCGTGAAGAATTTCTCTCAACTCTGCTGTGTCATCCTCACTCTCCAACCTCTTTTTTGCTCAAACTATCTTCTTAATTTTATTGTCTCCCAAAACTTATACCCAACTTGTTACGGGTATGCAGCAATACAGGTCTCTGAACAGTTTGTTTGCACATTTGCCATTAATGCATTTCTCTATAGTTTGATGAAAGCAGAGCTTAATCCTACAGGGTATTGATTTTATTTCACGCGTTCAAATTTCGTTGTTGGTTAAGTTGATAAAGTATTGTTTATGATTCATTAGTTCAACATTTGATTTACAAGCTTTTCCTTCCGAAAAACGGGAAAAGGCTGGAATGCAGGTGGAAGTAGGTCTGGCTTAGGACTCTTCTGACTATTCAAAACAAATAACAACAAGAAAGACTGGAAGTAAGGCGTCGGTTTTACTCATCGAGTAAGTAGCGAAGAAAAAAACATGACTAAATATTTTTTGGTTCAAAAATATATATAATTTTTCTGGTGTTCATAGATGTACGACTGAGAGCAAGTTATGGGGTGGCTCGAAAAAAAAACCCTATAAGAGGAAACTAGAGGCTCATGATGCGACGTTGGTTGAACTCAAAGGCGCGACAGTGCTCAAATTTGGCGCCTTTGGCGAAGTTGCGGGGGTCGAGAGGCTCACACTCGCCGCCGCAAGTCCGAGGGTAACAGATGAAGGAGGTCTGTCGGACGTCGATCAACGACGTCAGATGGAACACTCCGTACGCCACGATCATCGCGTATTCGATCATGGCGAAGATCTCCGGCACTAAACATTTCAAAAAGGTATTTAGCTCCAATTTTGAAGCAAAAAAAAGAACGTTTGCTCAGCATGAATCCTTTTGTATATTTATCCTTTTATAAAACACGTCTAGCTTACAAAACTTGCAGCGGTAGGATTATTTTCAAGTTTACATGTTTCAAACCCGTTTACGTTAAAGTAAAGGCTCTTGCATACGGCCTCATTTCTCGGATCGCAAGTCGGAATTTATTTTGTTCGTGAAAAAGAGCTTGTATTAATTTCGACTAGATGTGAACAAAAAAGAAACCGAAGTCCTTGTTAAATGTATTTTCATGTCTTTTTTGTTGTAAGAAAAATATGAAAAGCAATAAAAAAAAATTATTTTGGTAAGATGCTTTTCAAAGCTACCTTTTTTTAGATGAAAAAGGTGAGCTGAAATCAAAAAGAAAAGAAAAAAAAAATCAGAAAGATAAATAGGTTTCAAGTTTTAATCTATCCTTTTTTTCAAAGCCCTTTTTTCTTTTCGTTCCTTTCAAAAATCTGAAGAAAGACGCGCATTCTTTTTGATCTAGTCTCAAAAACGGGCTGCGCCTTTGTTTCAGAGAAAATTCGGCACATCAAGGGCCGTTTTCTCATATTGTAGTGAGCGTTGCGACCTAGTTATGTCCAAAACGTCCAAAAAGTTACCGTAGGAATGACAGAGAGGGAAAGTGATGCTCGACTGGTGGAACTGAAAGTACTGCGGCGTCAAGTAGCAGTACACCGCCGTTGACAGCAATTTCAGCGAGATCGAAATAGAATCCAACTTCTGAATTCGGTTGAGATGCAAAACCTCCCAAAAGGAATTACATGAGGACTTTTGGAGCTGAAGCTGAACGTAGAGATCGAAGTGGTGAGCATGTTGACGCATGACGTCATGGCGAATGCAATCTTGCAGAATCTATTGGCCTCTGAGATCGAAAAAGTCGGTAAAAAATGCAGATTGTTGTTGTTTTCCATTATTTTGTACGTACTTCAATTCTCAGACAGTCGGTAACTTTTTTTTTCCCTGTTCTTTATTCACCTTCTTTTTTCTCAACTCACTGAGAGATACGCTTCCTTCCCATTTATTTATATATGCAGCTTCCTTCCCATTTATTTATTTCAGAAGACTTTTTTTTCTATTTCGGATTGTAAGTTTCTCTTCACTCGTAACTGAGAGAACCCAAAAAGGTTAGTTGTAATTATAATAGTGGCTAAACAACCTGGGAAGTCGTCGTGCACCGTGATTATACTCCACAGCGACATAGCCAATACTTCCAGCCCTCAACAAGGCAGGTAAAAATTAACTGATTGAATTCATACCTGTGAGAAGTGGCATCAAATCGCAGCAAACACGATAGACCGAAGTGTAAAGCGACTTGCTCTCGTTGCGCATCAGGTTCCTATGAAGATTGGAGCCAAGGTCTCCAGAACTCTATGGAGAGACTCACCGAACAGTGTGGGCGTGGAAAACCCGGATCGTCATCGGGATGCAGGCCGCATACCGAAATAAAACGTTGCCCATGACGTTCAGCTCGAAAAGATTCAGGATCGACGGCAGGCCTGGCTCCGGAAAAGGAATCGACGACTATAAAGAGATGGAGCCGATCAATTTCATACCGGTGTTCAGAGCCGAGATCGAATTTGAAAGTATTATGGAAAAATGTGTTGCATTTAGTTTTGGACTTTTCTCGGAAGGGTTCAAAAAACCTAATTCAATAATATTATTTTTCGGTTTTGTCGGTTCAATCGTTTTTTTTTATTCCCCATTTTCTCTCTCTCATGATTACGTGAACAACGAACGTTGCATCGAACTCTGCTGCTGCCGTATTTGAGGACGAAGCCGCGCAGAAGCTCTTGCTCGGAGGGAATGTAGTCAGAGTCGAGAGAAGTGATGACTGCCGCTGCAAGATGTCTGACTGGAAGAAGCTCTTCGAGAGAACCAACCGATGAAGCTGATTACCGAAGTCACCGTGAAAAACGCCGAAACCCACAGCACCGGAAAGTTGAGATAGGCTAGTTCGACGTTGTCGTCGTCCACATGACCGTATTTCAGCCTTCGGTTCTCGATGCTGTTTTGAGGGACCTGTGAATTGAGTTGTGTGATTGGGTTATAAAATCTTTGATTTTACTCAAAAAATAAACTTTAATGTTACACGTTAGTGAAATTAACGCAATATATGAATCACCCCGACGACATCTGCTAAGCCCCACAGGCTCCTGTGAAAAAAAGCTTATCTCTCTCAAAAAGGTAGCCGGGCGCATTTTTTTACTTTAAAGAAATTTTTTTGTCTTTAATAAAAAAATACTAAAAAAATTACCCACTCGACACGACTCAAACCCCTCGGAAACTCAATCATGAGACCAGCCCCCAAGCCACTGCGCCAGGCTACTTATGTGAGAGCGGAAAGTACAGGCTCGTTCACGACTTTCCAGAATCTCTAACCCAGGTGATCCAAATTTCCAACTCGACCAACCTTTTGAAAAAACGGAAGCTAGTGAGATCACATCGTGACTCAAGCTTGAAACTAATCATGACGATGGGTTTGATCGATATAGATCTCGTTTTTTGAGATTCAATACATCTTTAGGGACTTGGAACAAACGTCGACGACGAAAACAGAGTTGGAACAAAAAAGGGTAGGAAAAACGTTCAGCAATTGGTAAGGTTCAACATCGATTCGAAATGTCATCAAATCCTACTCAATGAACCGTAATTTTGTTTGAAAAACAACAAAAAAAAACTTTTATAGTTTGAAAGAAAGATTCTAATAACTCAAAAGTCTCAAATGTTTCAAAAAACTAACCCGGATCTGATAATGGTGATGGTAGCTCCTACGGAGGTCTGGATGTGCCGAGCCTTCGAAGTAGTCCCGAGAGGTTGATGCGACCACGCTCATCTCTCGGGATGGATTCCTGGAAGACGTTGAGTTATCGCGGGAAATCGATGGCCGATGGCGGAATCGAAGCCAAAACAGGCTAAGTGGTCATCGCGCAACTTCTCTTTCGGCGCTGGGAGTATGTGAATGAGGAAAGTCATCAATGAGTTTCGAAAGCCAAAAAAGAGAAAAAAACACGTTCAACTGAAAAAAAGCTTAATTGAAAAACAGTAGAAAAATTCTACCGCGGACCAACGTAGTTGCACAAGAAATCATTGTGCATCAAATGTAAGTCGGATTTTTAGGCGAGTATAAAATAAAGAGAAGATTTGAATAACTAATCTTGTGCAACGGCTTCAATGTTTATCCTTCAAAACATTCAAAAAACGCAACCGTCGCCTTGTGTGAGGTTTATGAGGCACAGAAAACTTCCCTTTTGAATGAACGAAAATGGGACAAAAGACCATGAGCCGCGTTGAGAAGTTTTTTGCTGCTTTCTATTTTCTGCTGAACCTCATTCTGAGACTTTTCGCGACCCAATTTGGAGAAACTTTTACATTATTATTCCAAATAAAATCATTTAAAATGCTAGAACAGGATAAAGATTAGTGTGACAAAAGAGAGACAATACTCCTACTGGAATATTTATTTCCGTTTTGAGATAAACTTTTCAGATAATTTTTATCTGTTAGAAAAGGAGGTAGTTATGAAAAAGACATGAAAAGCTAGAGGTCAAAAAAAAGGTTTAAAAAACAAAATAATTCCTGACAATGATTCGTCGAAACAAATTGAGAAGGTGAGATTGTCAATCTGCAAGATGACGTCAAGAGAAGCAACAAAGGGGAAGGGGAGAAGAATGAATCGTGTGGCGTTGTATCGAGTGGCCACGATGCGGAATCTCGTTCGCCGTGGCCGCCCCTCAAGGCGATGGAACCGTTCCGAAGTAACCTCGCTTATGCAACAAGCCACGCAACACTTGCATACAACAAGAGGAACGCCTTCCAGTTGTCTGGAGTTTCGAGACGCTTCCAGTTGTTCCAAATCTCAAAAAAACCCCTCCATCCATAAACATTCAGAAATCTTGGAAAAACTCCCCTCAAAAAGCAAAACGAAAGATTCTGAAGTCAGCACAAGGTCGTACTTTATTTAACGTTAGGCTTCCCACAAAAAAATTGTAGCTGTAAAAATGTAAGCTGTATAAAAACTTTTCTCATGGAACAATTGTTATTTTTCGGGCTGTTTCAAGATTGTTTTTTGGAACCGCCTCATTGCAATTGTGAACCAGTAGTGATTCAAATGAAACTTTAATCTTTACCGCAAATCCCTACTTTCTATTTTCATTGGTACGCAAAAAGTCTGAAACCAGTAGGAACTTCTCTCAATATCCACCTATTTCATAATCAAAGCTGATCGCAAACTTGTTATTCAAATTTAATATCAGAAAAACTAAATGGGCACCAAATGGAGATCAACCCAGGTGTTGGCTGGGTAGTACAGGAAATGGTTTTCTCGCCGCATCCGATCCTGTTCCGCGCCTGTCGACGCATTGTCTTCTCACGAAAAGCCACGCTTTCTATCGGAACCTGACCGCAAAGGATCTTAGAGCTATCTTTCCCATGAAAATCATCTTTTTCGTGAAAAGATATAACTGAGAAACAATTTCGAGAGAAAAATGGAAGAATAACTTATCTAAAACATTGAAACTTTTTCCGAAAAACGTTTGAAAGAACAGTAAAAGGGAAAATTAACAAGGATATATATTATATAACCTTTTCTCTGAAAAAAAACGAAGAACGTCCTCCGTTTTGCTCGAGTTCCAAGCATGAAATCTTCAATGAAATTTTTCGATGAACCTAAAAAAAGTGTATTAAATGAAACGATATGAAATAATATTCAGCGATTCTTAATTAAAATCGTTAAATAGTTCACCACGAAGTGTAGAAGACCAAAGAGCCCAGGCACTGGTCCAACAGTGCGGAACGACCGGTCAATATTGTGCGTCTGCTTCGGATCCAGGACGTTTTTTTAATTTTTTTTTCTCGTTTTTCTTAATTTTTTCATAACCCATCTCTCGAGGTAACAAGATAAGTATCGTCTCAAAAAATACGCAAAAAAAACCTTTTAAAACCGAAAAATATTTTTAAACTATCTAAATACGACAGGCGCGTGAACTCTAAAACAGGCAAAACAGGTATACAGTTTGAATTCGAAATAATATTGTGTATCAAGAAGCTTTTGAGCTAATTCATTTGCGAGCTCAACTAAAACTTCACCAGTTCAACAAAAAAGTAAATCCTTTGAAGTATCCCGATACCACTGAAGAAAACCTGTCAGTCCTCAAACGGAGAGATCAAAGTCAAACTCATACCGGTCTCGCTTTCACTCCCACCCTTCTTTTTGACTCATCAAACCGCGTTTTTCATGAAATTCTCGCTTCGGAGAGGTGTTTTCCAGAACCTTCGATCGTTATCGAGGTTGTCCGTGTCGCTGACATGACTTTGAAACGGAAAAAATGTTGGGATCAACACCTTTTCCCGAACAAAAAGTACTCTTTGATGAAAACGAAAAGAGGAAAGAATTGAACGTTATAGACCAGAGGTGGATAATGGCTGCCCTCTGGCCGCCCTGCCTGCCAAGCCATAAACGCCTAAAAGGCAGAAATGACTTTTTCAAAAGTCAGCGTGGCGCGACGGTCATTTGTATGGCGATATCGCCCTAGCATCTAGAAGCGCTTGTTTTGAGCGATGAATGAAACTTTTTTACAAAAACACAAAAACACGAAAAAATGGTGGTATGAAAAAAAAGATCAGCGAAAACTCGAACGGCGATTTTTCTGATTTTTTCAAATCGCTAGAGAGCTTTCCGACTAATCCTTTTCAACTTTTTTGCTAAATAAACTCTTCGTTTTGAATCCTCCCATATAAAGTAGGTAGTTGATTCATGATTAAAACACAAAAAAGGGGACAAAGTGGCCGTCGGAAAGTTCCCTAGCGATTTGAACAAATCGGAAAAAGCAGAGCTGTTCTCGGGGCGACCGCGGTCGACCGAGGGCCCCCCGACTTGCGGCATATTCGAGGGCAGCCGCGGTCGGCCTTTGGTAAGGGTCAACTCGGTCGACCCGTAGATACAAATTTTGTTTTGACTCCCGGTTTTTTGCGAATTATGGAAAGCGCAAGTTTTACTGAAATGAAAGTGAAACAAAAAAACATTTATTATCGAGCAAATAAAGAGAAAAACCGATGAAATGAGATATTAATCCAAAAATACAATAGTTTCCTAAGTGGCCAGAACAATTTACAGAACTAGAGAAAACAAATTAATAAATAAAAAAATAATTTGAAATTTTTCACATCATCAGGAATTTCATTTTTTTGCAAAAAAATTCATTCAAACCACTATTTGAAATATTATTTTATTTATTTACAAAGAGAAAAAAACGAAAAAAAGATGCGAAAAAAAGTGAAATCAAAAAGCACGATTTCTGTCAAAAAAACAATAAAATTAAAAATTTTCATGGATCATAAATAACTTAAAAGTTCATTTTCAATATAAAAAAACTAAAAATAAAAAAACAAAAAAATACGGAAAAAAATCCTCGCGCTCGCTTCGGGGGGCCTGAATGAAAAACCGCTTCGCGGGCCGGGGCGCTCAGGGGCGCGTTGCGGTCGGGTCGGGGCGGCCTCGGCCGGGGCCGCCCCGACCCGACCGCAACGCAAATGACTTTTTTGGAAACCAAATGAATCAAGAGAAATACTTATGCATCAATTTCATAGCATCTCAAAATTTTTTTGTCGAAATAGTTCTCTAGTGTGATTGAAAAGGTAGCCTTTTGACCCGTTTCAAGACAATTCCCTGCTGAAATAACTGTTACAGTAGATTGAAAACGTTAACACGAAGTTGCGAAGAAAAAAAAACAATTCAAAATTTACAAAATTGATAATGATTAGTTCAGGGCGTTATCGCCACGTACTTGACCTAGTTGCCAAAGACCACGTAAATTAATGGCTCATTTCTATCGTTTGGCTTTTTGGCTTGGCTTGGCCGCCAAGCCAAGGACTGCCTTCCCAATTCTCCACCTCTGTTATAGACTATATCATTCAATTCTATAACTTATATAAGTCAATGTTTTATCTCTATGATCTATTTCACTTACTTGAGGACCTCCACTCATGGAAAAAGAGGCTTGATATTCAGAAGAGAGAAGAGTGAATAAATCGAAAAACGAAAAACAAGCTGGAGATTTGACTTTTCAGATAGCCTCAAGGATCTACACTTGCTTCGAGGTCTTTCAGCAAACTTTTCGATACTTGCCTATCGCAAAGATGAAAGAAAGAAAGGGACAGTTGCGTGACGGAAAGGACAGTGACTGGACTTTGAGGAAATGCCGTGGGAAACGCGACACTCTCGGCGGCCCACAAGGCACCCGAAATGGCAGACGGCGGATCGGATGTCGACGTGCAAATCTCCAGAAGAGCCAGTCGTTTACAAACGAGACTTTCCTTTTTATTGCGGTTCCCTTCGTTCCCGACTTTTCCTCCGAAATCTCCGGAGCTCGGTAATAATTTTCATACTTGTGTACTGGTAGCTTGTCAAGTTATTTCGCAGAGCGTAAACAAATTTCTAATTAATTTTATAAATTAGAGGAGCCTTTCTGAGACGAACTTTATCGGATAAAATCTTTATAGGCGATATTCACGGCTAGCTTGGGACAATAAGAGGCGTGGCTTGTCTCTACAAACCAAGCACCACCTTTTCTTTATAGTGATAGGAGCATTTTTTCGATGACGAGCCCGCCGTGAATGGGCTATAGAAGACTTGGTATTTAAGAATACCGATTTCGTGTCCCCTATAAGTTCTGATCATACCTGTAGAAAGAGTAAAATTCCTCCGACCAGAAGAAATTGACTTAAACTGGCAGCAATTTAAAATAGGCCCGATTTATCAGAGCAATGTAGGTTTTTGCGAAAAGATGTAGATCATAAATTCGAACCAGCCTTTAAATTTCTCTCAGAAGTTGTTCTATTTTCATTTTTAAAGGATTTATTTTGTAAAATAATTTTTTTTCAGAAGAGAGGACCAAAGAACTATGTTAAAAATTGTATTAGGTCGTTTACTAAGTTTCTTTCTTTTTTCGGTTGAAAGTTACTTGGTGTATAACTTTTCAATTTTGGATTCAAACAGCAAACAATTTTTCCCCCGTCATCCTCAGCTATCTGTTAACATGTCTGTTAATTTTGGAGTTCTTGACTTTAAAACGAGCAATGATATACTCAAAAAAGGGCAACTAACTCGATTTCAACCCCTCTTAGAAAAATTTTTTTTGTTTCTTCTAAAAAAATTTATGATTCAATGTTTTGTAGTTGATGAAAACGAGGGAGGATGGAAGTACAGATAGAGTAGGCAAGCTGCCTTTTTAAACAAAAAACCAGCCTGAAAATCTTTTTTCTTTAAAAGTTTCGGTCAATGATCAATGACAATGACATGGTCGCTGAACATTTAGACGCTTTTCTCATGAACGGCTTTGATGTTGATTTTGATTTTTTGTGGTTATTTAGTACAGACATTGTCTGTATCAGTCACGTTTTCTTCAGAAGGTCTAAGCGTTCGACGCCGTCAGAGAGCCTCCAGAAGTTAATCAAGCTGTCATTTCAGTTAATTACCGTTTCTTAAAATTTTAGGCCGCAAAAACTCAGTTGAACCACTTCTGCTTTGACACATGGCTGCAGTGAACTTTTTTGTACTTGTTTTTTTATTAACTTGAGAGATAGCAAAAGAACAGAAAATTTGAGAGTGGATAGAAACCACTGCCCTGGTGCTATAAAAATTTTTTGATGAAAAAAGGCTGTAAAATTAAATCCTCGAGTTTCACGGTAGCTGCCGGTTGCTAATGTTGTGCCTTTAATTTTTTTCAAAACCTCAAACCTGATGGATAATTACAAATGTACTTCGAGGAAAATCAAACGAAAACAGGACGCGCATTATTTCAACAATGTTGGCCAATCATAAATTGTATGGTCTGGCTTTTGAATAATTAACTCATTTCTCAAACTTTTTGGAAGCAAACGAAAACTTTCACGAGCAAGCACACGACCTCAGTTTACGTTTTATGTAACTTAATCGAATGATAAGATTGAAAAAGTAAGATTAAAAAAAATTCGCAAAACTTTCCAAAAATCGAGATTTTTCGAGTTCGGACAAAGTTCTGTATCTTTTTTCTGCATAGTGTTATAGGAATACAGTTAGTTTTAATCTGAACTTCAGATTGTGAAGTAGTAAATACTATATGAAGCAAAATTGTGAGAAGTGCTTTTTCTGGTTGAAAAACTTTTTTTAAAAAAGTCCTTCAAAAAAAGAAAGAAACTTAGTAAACAACCTAATAGTGAAAAAACAAGAAAAAAATAAATGAAAATATTTTTTTCGTTAATCATCCGTTCTCTCGACGTCTCTCATGTTTACGCGCTATTTTCATATTTCTCTGACCTGGCCGGTGAGGGAACAGAGAGACGCAGACACGCGAAAATGTCAAGTCGCAGCAGACAGACTATATTTCCTACAAAAAGTCCGTGTGCGGAGGGTTTTCCCAAGTTGAGAAAATAAACTTGCACTAAACTTGGCGGCTTTCTCTTCAATCAATTTTTAACTGATACACGGCTAGCTTGAGCCATCGGGAAAAGGGTCCTGAAATGATTATAAAAGAGACAGGGCCTGATTGGTGAAGAGCTCGCCTCTTTGCGTTCCAAGCTAGCCGTGAATCGGCTATGAGAGTTGAAAATTCCTCGCACTGAACAAAAATAACCATTTGCACAGAGTGACGAATCCCACCCGCAGAGTAAACGGAAAGGTACAACACGTTTTAAAGGAGCAACATAGCCAAACAGTCAAATGAGACGCTTCTCGGTGCTTCTGCCGTATCTTTTGATTGTTCTGCTCGTCTCCGTGCACTCCCGAAGCCTCGTCACCAGCAAAAACAAGGAAAAAAGCTGCAAGGTTGGAATCTCCCTTTCCCGTTCTAGAAACTATGAAACCGAAAAACACGAGAGAAATATATATTTGGTATACAGAAACACTAGTTGAAGGCGTACAAGAGGGCAGCTCTGCACGAAGTTCTCGACCGCATCTGCCACCTGTGCCACGAGATGTTCTCCACCAAAAGACCCAACATGAGAGCCGACTGCCGTTCCAACTGCTTCCGCAACGGCCATTTCAGAGCATGCATCGCGCTGTTCCGGCCTTCCCTCGACTCCCTGTTCGGCTCCTTACAATGATCTCTTCTTAACCGACGGGTTTGCACCAGTAATTATTTTTCCATTGCCACTGTTCAGAGAATCTTGTTTCTTTTTAAAAAAACCTTATACACAGAAACCAAATTTCTCCAAAAAAAAAAACTGCTTCTCGTATCACTTTTGAGATTCCCAAATATGTTCAAACTGATAAATTCTTTAAAGTTCCTGCGAAACGCGGCATATAATCATTTCAGTGAGAAACTTGCGCTTAAAATGGATCTGTAACGATGAAACGATTAACTGGGGAATATTGTAACGGGAAAGTTCAACAATAGATTGGCTTTTTGAAATGGATGTAGGGTAAATTAGATAGAATGAAAAGAAAATTTAAGATTTAGAAAAATAAAACATTATGAGAGCTCAGGAGGGGAAAAGCGCTTCATTTGGAACCAGTATCCCAATGGGTGTTAATGAAAATTTTTCTTTCCAAAAAAAACATTCTAGAACCAAAGTGATGCGCCCTGTACATGCTGGTATTAATTGCGCTTTGAAAAGATGAGCGTTTATCAAGAAAAAAAGGGATTAAAAACCAGCTTTTCTTAAAGTTCCCATGCGCGAATGACACAAATAAGTCGCAGCATCCCTAAGGGCACGTAAATGACATACTAAAGTTAATCCATGAAACTCAAGGCAGAAAAAATTAAAGAGCTTTGAGACAAATGGAAAAAAATTTTTTAGAAAAAAAAAGAGGAAAAAAAGAAAGGCCTGAGTTTGGTTGATTGAGACAAGAAGAATTAGAAAGTCATTTGGAGAATAAGTTAAAACATAAACAAAAGTGAATCATAAATAGGAAAGTTCACATTTGAGAACACACAAATGAAACAACGCTCAACAAACAAAAATGCGTGAAAAACGTTGTAAAACTAGACAGAAGAGCAATCAGCGACTAAGCGGTGGAATTGAAAAATTCTATGGCCACACAAACGGGACAACTAAGCTTAACCTTTTCTACTCTGATGTTATTCTACTGATTGACTGTGATGAGCATCAGCCAGTTCGCGGACAGTTCTGGTGAATACATGACATTCAACACACGGAAATGGGAGCGTGTGAGTGTGTGCTGGTGAGTGTGTAAAAATCCAAGTAGAAAGTATTATTTTGAAGGTGAGAAGCGGGTGATTAACACGTTCAAGGTGGAAATGAACGAAATCTGGGCTCCTCAAAGATACAAAAAAACGCTTTGAAAAAAGCTCTATTAACAATTTGAATTCGAGTCGGTCACTCGATATCGAGCAGCGCCGCGAACTTATTACCGGCCAGATGTTTACCGCCTTTCGAGTCCTTGTCTTTCTTCAAACCTCCCACTTAATTTGGATCTAAGGCCAAAACTCAACTTTTTTCTCTTTCTTCTTGTCCTTCTTCTTGCCTGCTTCCGATGGCGTGATCACAGCAGCCGCAGATTCGGAAGCCTCAACCTCCTTCGTTGCCACTTCCTTCGTCTCTGTGACGAGTTTCTGCGTTGCTTCGACATTTACTGCTTCGGCAGGCTTCGACTGAAAAATCCTCGAATGGAATCGTATTCAAAATGTGAAACACTGGAATAATAAAATTCCTCGAATACACTAAGTTTTCAGTTGGTTGTAGTAAAATATTAACGTTTCATTATCGCAAAGCAACGATAATTTTTCTTCAATCCTCATTCGTTTCTTTCGAATTTTTTGAGCTAAACTGGTCAAAAAAATTAGAAATTTCAATCTTTAAAAAAATCCCATTTGTTCTTGAAAAGCTATTAAAGCATGAACTCTGTTAAAGAATGAACAATGACTTTCTATAAGGAAAACTTTTGCTTGCGACTAAAGTTAATCATTCAAGTCTATCAAACTTTGATATTTCTCATTTTTCAGTGTCGCCAACCTCTGCTTCTGTGTGGACATTGGTACGCGGAGGGTGGTGCTTGCCGTGGTGGTCGGGTCCTCCTCGACCTCTTCCCCTGCCGCGACCTCGACCTCCGACATAGTTCTGACCACTTCGCAGGGACGCTTGCGAACCATGATGCTCCTGGAAAGAGGCGTGAACAAAGACAAAAACGCCAGACAAATGCCTTTTTCTCGGACCGATCCGATTGTGAGCCTTTCCGGTCTCTGACTTTATCCGTCGGCGTCTGATCCCAGTAGCCTACGTTCTTCTCGCTACCAGAAAAGCTGGACCGCCGGTCTCCTTTGTTTTGGTAAGGAACTTTCGCACCAAAAGTCGCCCGCTTTGCCTTAGAACTGCCCCTAAAACTTGGTACTTCCGTGCGTTATATTAGATTTGTAGCCAAAAAGAAATATTAAGCTGATTCCCATTTTCACTCAAATTACATCACGAGTATAACTTTTTGTTTTTTGGGATTATTCACGTATGTTTTTAAAATTAAGCAAACCTGCTCTTTGCGGTGTCTTGTGTGGAGCGAGTCTGGTCGAACTCCTCGACAGGAGCCGCGTCTCCGGCTGCTCTCTCCCGTCTCTCGCCGATTTGTCCCATCGTGGCGCTCTTCTGGAGAGGCGCGGTCCCTCCGCGATGAGGTGCGTAGACTGTGGGACTGGGTCGAACATGCTTCTTCTGGTGGCTGTGTCCAATAGAATCTTTGGACGCTGACGGTGTCGACTTCCGATGGCCTGATGACGACGCCGAGGCCGGCAACGGAGGCAATTCCGACACGACAGACTGCAAAAGTAGCTTCCGATTGATTTTCAACTGACTTCTGTTTGATCATCGTTAGTGCAATATACAATATCATATTCACGTTCATTCATTCCTTATAGATGTTCTCCCGCTTTATTTTTCTACATTTCCGATAAAGTTTGGCTCAATTCTATTTTCGACTTCCCTTCTTTGCAGAAGGACAAAACCTGACATAAGTTGAATTACGAGTAAATCTTAAGAAACTTGGGTTTCAAAATATTCAAATATAGAAAATATTTATAGTCACGCCTTTATTCGAAAGAACTAACTGGCGCAAAAAAATATGTAACACTTTATTGTTGCGGGATTCTCTATAACTTCTAAGACTTTCAATTTCTAACAAAAAAAAATTTTTTTAAGGTTGATCGTTTGCAAAGCTTGTAAAAAGTATTTTTCTCTTTCTTTAGAGCTTAAAGAAAAAATTTTCAACTCAATCGCCTGAAATCAGATTGAAAAAAAAAGTTATTCGTGTGCGCTAAATTATATGTGTACTCTTGGTACACGCAAATCCAGACTTTTTCGACGACAGGCGGGGCGATAGGAGGTCTATGAGCCGGATCCATCGGATGACTGCCTGAGGTGCGGTCGAAGCTATCGCGTGAACTATTGGAAACTCCATTTTCAACTTCCACTGACGGCCTCTTTTTGATCCTATCAAAGGCACATTTTAGAGCGGAAATGTTTTTTAAACACTAACGAAACGCTCCCAGGAGCGCCGTCATATCGCTGCTTGTTATAGCCGACATGGTGCTGCTGTTGGTTGTAGTCATTGGGCGGCTGGATTTGAAACTTTTGTGAAACTTTCACAAGGAAAACGTTACCATGTCGTGGGATCTACGATCAGAATAATTGGGATGTTCGTGATGTTCAAGAGGCAGGGAATGTTGTTGTTCAGCGGCTAGCCTTTGTGCTTCTTTTTGTTTTTCCAGTTCCTGGAATTTTCTTTGTGCAACTGATAGAATGATAAGGAAAAAGCTGAGACTTTTTACACACGTGTAAAGAGTATTAACGAGGTTTAGAAATAAAATAAAAATTATTATTCATGAGATATTCCTTTATAGTATTCAGAAACAGGCGTTCTACCAAGTGACTCTCATTTTTTCATCCCAATGTTTAACCATGTTCTTTAGATATCAATAAACATAACGGATACAGCGGAATCCAAAAGTAACAAAAGTGTTTTTTTTTTCTTTTTGTGAGTTCAAAAGGAGGATACGCAAAGCTTCGAAGGCAGACGACTTGACCAACGCTCGTCCGCTTTAATCTACGTATTCCCTAGGTGTTCATGATTTCAAAACCTGACACGACGCTAAACTACTTTTTCTGAAGTTTTCTACCATTCGATAGATCGTTCTGCTCCATAATTTGATTGATAAAAACAATGAGATTTTCAAAAAATGATATGCTCAGATGGAGAACTGAACAAACTTCCTGCTCGCGTTTCTTCTGCTTCTCCTCGAGCTCTCGCAGTTTGGCTTGAGTGTCGACGGGCTTTGCATCGCCAAAAATGTCACGATTGCTCGGTTTCTTCACAGCCGGCACCTGGAAAGATATAGCAAATGATTCGAGAAACCGTCCTACCCGCGGCGCTTCGTTGACAGATAATCGGGAGCTTGCTCGAGAGTAGTTGTCCCTTTCCATTTGCGTCGACTCAGTTCGAGAGCGGGCACTAAAGCCGTCGAAAATACAAACTTCAAAAATCACTGCTAACATAGGGAGACCTTCCAGCGTAGGATTTGGAAATTTCTATAAATTTTCCTGAATACTCTTGGATAGACTGCTAATCGAATGTGTGTGGTTGCTATCTGGGTAAACTTTTCGTTCTCGAGATAATGATAGAAAATAAACTCAGGAACCACTATCTCTAATCCTCGTCTCGCATGATCACCCGGATGATCTAAATACTGCAAATGCTTATCCTGACTGTCTTTTCGTTTAGTTTCTTTGATTAAGTCCAAATAAAAAATCTCAAATATTAGGCTAATTTAAAAATAATCAAAAAAAAAGGCGTTGAACTGAACAAGTATGTATAATCTCGTCATTTTCATATCAGGCTTACATAATAATGAACATGACTTTGAGGAAAGATTCCTATCTGTCCGATTTCAAAAGTTTCAAAAAAAAAAACCTTGAAAACTGAAATTCTTTTTTGAAATGACAATTGACGGTGACGAACCTAATTGGCGCAGGACGTTGTTCTTGATTCTGGTGTTCGTAATGATAACTTTCGCTGCGTTGGAGCTCCCCGACGAAACCTCCACGATCGCCATAGTCGTTCCCGTAGTTGTTTGGCTGAAGATCTACACTTTTGGCAGAGTTCTCGAGTGAATACATACGAAGAAGGGTTTTCGGAAACTGCTGCGTCCAGAATATCCGCCATCGCGGTCGTGCATGTTGTAACCGCCGCCTAAAAAAATCTGATTTAAAATCCTATAACTAATTATTTTGGAGAGGAAACATGTTTTCATTGAGAGTCGGATTTCAATAAAACCATAGTTTTTTTCAAAAATGTTCCAGTTCAATAAATTAGGTACACTGCATCAAACAATCAAAAAATGACTCCACTCAAAATCTAATGAAAGTTTGCCAAATCGAACGTCTTTCCTAGTTTCAGCAAAATATCTTCGAAAAAGTGGACCTATTTAATTTCCTACAATATAAACTTGTTAAACACAATATCTAACGGGAATCAGGCTATTCATTTTTCTAGGAACGTCTGAAAACTCACCACGACGGAAATTCGCCGGCATCGTGTTGTAGTTGTTCTGCGGGCCGCGATTGTCGCGATAATCCCGTTGATGGTAATGTCTGCAAAAAAACTCATCGATGAATTCGATAGATTTCGGCATTGATAACTTTATGATGAATTTTTTTTCTAAATTATTCTTTGACGCACGCGTTTCTTCATGTTTTTCAACTTTTTTTCCGTTAAAAAAATTCGTTAAAAAGCTGATTTCTACAGCTCTGTAATTAATTTTCATTCTCAAGTATCTTAATAAGAAAGATAAAATGAAGAAAATCTGAATAAAACTTCAGAAAGACTTCGGTTGATGTCGAAAATGAGAGATTCAATTCACATAGAGCCGAGTTAAAGTTGATTTTGATCATTAATTGAAGGTTCGTTATAATTTCGAGCGTGCTGGCAGAACAAAAAAAAACAGCGCACAGATAGTAGAGGCCCAAACTTCGTTGGTTTTGTTTTTGACGGCATCCAAAGAAGGATGCGCTATATTTTTCTTTCACATAAACATTACCCTCCATGGCGACCGTCGTTGAGACTGTTCTGGCTGTTGTAGCGACTGTTGTTGCGATTGTATCCGTGACGATCGTCGCGACTGCCTACCGAGTCGCGATTCGACGAAAATCGCGCTTCCGACACTCTTGCAGGACGCGAATGTTCTTCTCTCTGCACGTAAACCTACAAAAAGTAATTTTTAGAAAAAAAAAACCCGAAGTTTTGCTACAAAATTGACAGAAAAACGGACATGGAGCGTTCTGCCCTGAAACTCCTCGCCGTGCTTTTGCAGAGCCATCAGTAAGCCGTTTTGGGTGTGGAATTCAAAGGTGGCGTTGCCTTTGGCTTGCCTCATCTCCAGGCTCTTCACCTAAACAAAAAAATAACTCAATAAAAAAATCTTTCTTTTTTCCATTCGTTTGTAAATAAAAAAATCGCTGAATGCGCTCAAATTTAAAAAAACCTGAAATTTATTGAAATAAAGCGATTCGAATATAAAATATATGAAAAAAACTCTCATTTTTTTCCTTTTTCTAAAAATACTTCCCATGTACGACACTAATAAGGGACATTATCTTCATTCAGATAAATGTTGAACTTGAAATATTTTATCGCACTGATGAAATAGCACAATAAAAGCAAAACTGGAATATCAAACATTTTTGATCCTTTTTCTCAATACTAAAACTTTTCTCTCTAGGGGATCGTACAATTCTTTTCAAAACTATCAAGTACCTCTTCTTCTCCTCCAAAATAATACAAGAGCTCCTCTTCGTCGTGGGTTACTGAGATGTTAGCGACCTGCAAAAAGTTTCTAAAAAATTGTTCTTTTATTTGTCTCTAGAAATTATTGGCAAAATTAAACCTGGGCAAGAAAAGGAGGAGAGTCGGGAATTTTCTTTTTCTTCTCCGTAGATCCTTCTCGTCCATCGGTAACGTCTTGAGATGATGACACGTCTTCACACGAACCTTGTGTTGTGGTTAACTAAATGTATCTCATCAGAATCATTCAGATCTATTTCCTATTTTTGATTCCAAGGCGTATAAAAAAACGGACCGTAATTTTTGAAAAAGAAGTCTCCCTTTTTTCGTGACAATAAAATCAATTTATTGACATCCAAAAATATCAAACGAAATTAAGCGTTTCTTTTAAATCACAGGGTTTTCAAAAAGTCAAAAAGGCAAAAAATAAATAAATGAACAAAAAACAAAAATACCTCTTCTTCCGCCATCATCAGGGCCCATGATCCAATTTCAGTAACATTCGGCATCACCTAAACAATTCAATAAAGAAATGAAATAGTATTGTGGACAGTCACGTCAGAATTTAAAAAATATTGACCTGCAGATTCTTTTTTGAAGCACCGCCTCCCGAATCTGCAGGTTCCATAACAGACATCTTCGTTCAGTAGATGGTTAATCTTACTGCCGCCTGAAAGTTTCGAAAGATGCTAAATTCGTTATCCAAAAGAAGAAAAAAAAACACTATCTCTAGGTAAGAAAACCCAAAAACAAGAAAGTTATGATATTAAAAATAAAATAAAATTTCAAACGCTTTGAGAGGAAGAAAGTTTATAGCCAAGATTTGATCAACAGGTGTAATGACATTGGAACCTGGAAAACTGTAAATGCTTGTGGATAGACAAACAAAACTTGCTTTTTTTTCTCTCTCAATGCAAAGTTAACAGAAATACTTCGATACACCTGAGAGACGTTTGCTGTGCAAAACTCAAAATCAAAACTTTAGTACTTTCCACTCACATATTAGGGCTAAAAAAGACCAATTTATAGACGAGAATGCCGACCCTTGCGTTCTTCTAACATTTCTCCAACGATTCAAAAAATGAAAAAAATTATCATGGGCTGAACTAATAAATAGCTGTTTAACTACTCAGAACGCTGATGTGATTTTTGAAAGAATTCGGGGTAACTAAGAACCTATGGAGTTGCATACATCAATAGTGTATAACTCGATACGCCTGCCTTATCATTGCGCGATAATATTAAGGACGAGGTGTGATTCATGGAAAACCAAACAAAAATCAAACGGAACAAAAAAATAAATTTGTATAGATTCAGCTAATTTTGAAAATAAGGAATTTGGAAAGTGGTAAAATTCAGTGGGAAATGAACAGATAATAAAACAGATTAACAGTGATATTCCCGCTTGAAATTAGAATATCATTCAGTTTCAATTTTTTTACATTCAAAAAAAGCTTCTCAATTTACTTTCATCTATTTTATATTTCAGAAAAACAACACAAAAATTTCGCGATGTAACAAAAATATCAAATTTATAGTTCTCAGAAAGTTAAAAACAGTTTCGAAAAAGCTTTTAGGATATTATATACAGTATTAAATTAAGTAAAAAATAATAAAGGATCCCGAACTTTTATGGAACGAAAAATCAGGCAGAGTTAGGAAGAGATCAACAGGTATATCAAAGACACAATGTCAATCAAAAACATTATCAGAGATTCTTCAGACTACTCATAACTTTTAAAAACTTCAATCACGTGGTTCTGGTAATTGTAAATGGGAGAAAAATGCAGAAAACCGGTAAATTGCGGTAACTACTTTATGAAAATTGGAAGAGATTTAACTATAAAAACCGGCGTGTTTCTAGCCTTTTGATAGTTTTCTCTCCAAAAAATTTCAATAAAAGCAAGAGAGAACTTTCGCTTTTGCCGAATTAAACGCAGATATTCAATTATTTTTGGCAAAACGTCAAGGGTTTGGAGAAAAGAAAGGCCGACGCCAGTCGCAGAGAGAAGGCGAAGGCTGCAAAACCTCGGAGACGCAGGGTTCAACAGCTGAGAGAGCACGCAAACGCGGAGAGTGCCGCTGTGACGTGTTGCCGTTCGCCGCTGCTCCGATCATTGGCAGGTCCCACGTATTTACAATCACATCGCTATCGATAAAATACATTTTCAAAAACCATTTTTCAAAAAATTTAATTCAACTTCCAAGCTTGAATACTAACTACGAAGACAACTAAAAAAATCTGAAGAGCAAAGCCAATTTGTTGCTGCTTCTCTGAAAAATAAAAAGGCATTTTTTGTATTGAAATAGCATGAGCGCTTTAGAAAATAAAAATTTTGAAGAAAATTTAAATTATTTTATTTTTACTTGAAAGGCTTGATGAGTTGAACAAAATTTTCAATTTGTGGAAAATGCAGAAAATTTGCTTTCCATCAAATAGAAAGCATACCTGCTCTGATTTAAATATATGTATATATTACTTTTCCGCCAATATCTCCCTCAGCGACCCTCTCATTTTTATAGACTTTTTTCACGTTTTCTATTACCCGACCGGTCAAGGAAAATAGACGCAAGCGGTTCAGAGCGAGGAAAATGCCACAAAAGTTAATCGAATCTCGCTGGATCAGTCTTACTTCTGTCAAAATCTATTATAGCTGATACACGTCTGGCTTGAGCTATCGAAAAAAGGTCCTGAGACGATAAGAAAAGAGACAGTGTCCGGTTGGTGGGGAGCGCAGACAAGACACGCCTTTTTGCGTCTCAAGCCAGACGTGAACAGGCTATTATTTGATAAACTGTACGTTATATGAACGTAACATATGGCCGATCGATATAAGAACATGGTAAGCTTTCAGAATTTTTTTCTCTGAATTTCTCCTCACTACAAAGGAAAATTGTGTTGAAAACGAACTCTCTAGATGCAAATCAGAACTCTTAATCCGGTTGTTGGGGCTTCTTGAAGGAACGTCGGACACCGGGATGCGCTTCGGATAGTTGCCATGGGCAATGCGCGCTTTAGCGAGTCTTCTCCGTGCATTAATCCACCGATGCTCACACTCCCCCGTATAAACACACGGAGAAGCTCGCCGCGAGATTATCTGCTTCGATCATTATCATATCATCCGGCTGGCGGCCCGTGAATAGCATAATTTGGACGAGCTCCCTATATGATCCGCAGTTTTTCGATGGGAAAGGAATCCTCAAAGGCGATATTTATGCTTCTCTCGCCTTTAGAATGGCTTCTCTCACGCGATTTCAACTGCCATTTAAAACCTTTGATGGAAACTCATTTTCTTTCTTCATCTTTATCTTTACGAAAAATTATCCAATTTCATTCAATCAAGTTTTTTTTATTGCCTTTAATGTTTTCTGCGAAGAAACTCGTTCTCCAAAAATTTCAAGTAAATGTTTTCCTTGTGCTGGTAGTTTCTTCACACTCCGAAATGGGGAAAAAGGTCTAGGATACTAGAAAATCTTGGTTTTATCTGCAAAAATGTTTAAAAGCCGATTGGAATTATGAAAAATGGTTTATGGCCGGAGATGAAGCCGCCGCCGCTCATTCTAAAGGGGACACCGGTTGAGCTGGACAAAAAGTCGCTTACCAACAATAAAAACTTGCCTGCCACGCCGCCAAACATGCCTGGAGGGACGACAGGACCGAAGACGGTGGCTTGAGTCATAAACTTTTTTTAACTCTCAGAATTCAGAGACGACGCGAAAGCATTGCGATTCGGGCTCGCGAGTTTCTCTCCGCCGTGGTCAAAGGGAACATGATGGAAGTCTCACGGAAAATTTCTCCTCAAGCTCTCAAGGTTCGATGGCCAATAAAAAAAAATAAATGCACGTTGATTTCCGACAGGCTTTAACACACGTTCTCCGAGATTTTCGATTAACCGTTGGTACAAAAATTTCATCTTCGTTCCTGAGAGCTCTTCTTGCTATCATAGATAGTGAACAACCTCTTGAACATTTAGAACCAGGTTTTATAAGGCTCCGCCCACTTTTAGGCTTACTGTAGAAAAAAACACCGTAAAAAAACCAAACTTTTTTTCCTAGTGGAGCAAATTGGTCCAAACTAATTTTAAAAACAAAAATATGTTCTCTTTTTGACCATTTATAGTTATAGAGCTGACCCGGAAAAAAATTTTTTTCTTTCAGAAGAAAAAAATTCAAGTTTTTTTGAAAAAAATGACGATTTTTCGCAGTCTTTGAGTCATAACTAGTACTAGAACCCCCGAATGCCTGGATTTTTTTATTTTTTTCAATCGACGCGTTAGGGTCTTGTGAGTAGAGGAAAAAAATGCCTAGAAACTCTGAATCCGGGTGATCCAGTTGACCTCCATCTCGAAGAACGCGGCCAACTTGAAAAATCGCAAAAACCTTTGAAAATTTCTATTTTTTTGTGAAAGCCGGATTCCGTCTTGTTTCTTATTTTTTTGTTCAACATAACACAGCCTGCTGCAAAATTGCAGCTCAAAAAGTAGCGAGCTGGAACCCTTTGAAAAAAAGATTTCTGACGTTTTTTTCTGATTTTTTTCGTTTTTTTCGGCATTTTTCAAACTTTTTCGCTCTAACTAGTACTAGAACCCCCGAATGCCTGGATTTTTATTTCTTTAATTGACGCATTAGGGTCTTGTGAGTAGAGAAAAAATGTCTAGAATCTCTGAATCCGGGTGATCCAGTTGACCTCCATCTCGGAGAACGCAGCCAACTTGAAAGTGACTAAATTTTTAAAAATCAGTTACTTTCTTGGGAGCAGGATTTTCCCTCACTTCTTTTTGCCAATCAGACACAATTCACTCAACACAAAATTGGCACAAAAAATTATGACTCTCAAGCATGAGGAAATTTTTTTTTTCCAATTTTTCACTTTCTCGGATTCATTTTTTTTTCTGTCCTTTCCAATTATTGAGCTCTAATGGATTAGGATACCAGGAATGCTTTGAGTTTTTCCGTTGTACTGATCCGTTACATCTTCCCAAGCTCTTTAAAAATATTCCCAGGCTCTGTTTCCGGGTGATCCAGTTGACCTCCAAGCAACCAAAGCGGTCGACCCCGAATTCGAGCAAAATTAAAAAAATTTTCCAAATCGTTTTTTTGCTTCCTAACCAGTAGTTCTCATCATCTGGAGGGTTTTCAGTGTAGTTTCCACCAATTGCTAGCGTCAATTTTTATTTTTAGCTCATTTTTATTTTTGTCAGAATTTTTTAAAATTTTCGACGGGAGGCAGCCCCAGCAATACCCCCCAAAACTTTTTGTCCAAAATAATTTGATCAGCGTTTCAGTCCAGTTGATAATTCAGAAGGAATGAAATAAGAAAAATTTTCGCCACAGGAAGAGGAGCAAGTCTCCTCTAGATTCTTGCGAAAAAAAAAATACAGAAAGCGATATATTGATCATGCCTATGGGCCGAGGGAAAATGTTTGTCGAAAGTCTTGGTAAATCGAGTGAAATGAGAAGCCATCTTCTTTTGGACAAAAATTTTTGGTCCATTTCCTCGATGTCGATGAATTCCTCCTAGAAAAACTGGCAAAAACGAATTTCTTCAAAAAGTTTCGAATCCCGGTCATAGACACCACAGTGCAAGGACGCTTTGAAGCTTCATAACTCGAAAAGTAGATCTATTGCGTGAAATTTTATTCGTGTTCTGGAAAGAGGAAGTCTTATAGTACCTTTCAGCAAAGTTTCAACAAAAGTTCAACCGGCCACCAAAAAAACACTCCCCTTGTCAGTATTTTTTCAAATTTTTTTGATTCTTTTCGGTTGAAATAGTTTTGTCTTTTTTTCTGTATGAGAAAATCTGTTCAAAAGACTTTCGACAAACATTTTCCCGGCGAAAATTTTTCTTATTTCATTCCTTCTGAATTATCAACTGGACTGAAACGCTGATCAAATTATTTTGGACAAAAAGTTTTGGGGGGTACTGCTGGGGCTGCCTCCCGTCGAAAATTTTAAAAAATTCTGACAAAAATAAAAATGAGCTAAAAATAAAAATTGACGCTAGCAATTGGTGGAAACTACACTGAAAACCCTCCAGATGATGAGAACTACTGGTTAGGAAGCAAAAAAACGATTTGGAAAAATTTTTTAATTTTGCTCGAATTCGGGGTCGACCGCTTTGGTTGCTTAGATGTCAACTGGATCACCCGGAAACAGAGCCTGGGAATATTTTTTTAAAAGAGCTTGGGAAGATGTAACGGATCAGTACAACGGAAAAAAACTCAAAGCATTCCTGGTATCCTAATCCATTAGAGCTCAATAATTGGAAAGGACAGAAAAAAATGAATCCGAGAAAGTGAAAAAAATTGGATTTCCTCATGCTTGAGAGTCATAATTTTTTTGTGCCAATTTTTGTGTTGAGTGAATTGTGTCTGATTGGCAAAAAGAAGTGAGGGAAAATCCTGCTCCCAAGAAAGTAACTGATTTTTAAAAATTTAGTCACTTTCAAGTTGGCTGCGTTCTCCGAGATGGAGGTCAACTGGATCACCCGGATTCAGAGATTCTAGACATTTTTTCTCTACTCACAAGACCCTAATGCGTCAATTAAAGAAATAAAAATCCAGGCATTCGGGGGTTCTAGTACTAGTTAGCGCGAAAAGTTTGAAAATGCCGAAAAAACGAAAAATCAGAAAAACGTCAGAAATCTTTTTTCAAAGGGTTCCAGCTCGCTACTTTTGAGCTGCAATTTTGCAGCAGGCTGTGTTATGTTGAACAAAAATAAGAAACAAGACGGAATCCGGCTTTCACAAAAAATAGAAATTTTCAAAGGTTTTGCGATTTTCAAGTTGGCCGCGTTCTTCGAGATGGAGGTCAACTGGATCACCCGGATTCAGAGTTTCTAGGCATTTTTCCTCTACTCACAAGACCCTAACGCGTCGATTGAAAAAATAAAAATCCAGGCATTCGGGGGTTCTAGTACTAGTTATGACTCAAAGACTGCGAAAAACGTCATTTTTCAAAAAGCTTGAATTTTTTTCTTCTGAAAGAAAAATTTTTCCGGGTCAGCTCTATAACTATAAATGGTCAAAAGAGAACATATTTTGTTTTAAAATTAGTTTGGACCAATTTGCTCCACTAGGAAAAAAGTTTGGTTTTTACGGTGTTTTTTCTACAGTAAGCCTAAAAGTGGGCGGAGCCTTATAAAACCTGGTTCTAAATGTTCAAGAGGTTGTTCACTATCTATGATAGCAAGAAGAGCTCTCAGGAACAAAGATGAAATTTTTGTACCAAACTTTTTCGCATTTGTTCGATTTTCTGGGAGAATGCGTGTTAAACATTTGAAACCTTCTTCCGTAAAGCGGAGAAAAAGAATTGTGGATTCTAGGAAATATTGCTTCAGATAGCCCATCCGGTTACTGGAAGCGTGGCTTTACACCTTGCAGTTCTGAACGGACACATGAAGATAGTGGAGATTATCCTTTCCTACAGCGTGGCCACAATCGACGCCAAAGACAACGTACTTTCTGTCTTTTTTTTCCCCAAAAAAAGTCATTTATGAATTCAGGAAGGCAGAACGCCTTTGCACTACGCGGCCGCCCTGCTTGGTCTTCATGGCGATCCTGCCATGTACTACTACCTAATGGAAAAAGGCGCCAAAGACACTATCCTCGGTTTTCATTCAATTATTTTTACAGTTTTCTGGTCATACGGCTGTGGTTTCTAAATTTGGAATTTTTCGCCAATAATTAGGAAAAAAATTGGAATAGTGGTGGTTACAAACAATGAAAAAAACTTCACGAGAATGAATCTCGGGCAAACTGAAAAGCTCCTCAAAAGCTTTTCTCAAAAAAAGGCCTTGAAAGGGTCCACAGCAGATCTTTTTTACATCATTTCAATTCTTTTTTGCATCTTTTTCATATCCTCTGACAAAAAGGATGCTGGAAAGCAACTAAAAAGATCCGAGAGGTTTCAAAAAGGATCCTCTGAGGCTATGAAAAAGGTGCTCAAAAGCTTTTTTACATCATTTTAGGAGCTTTTAGAGGAAGCTTTTTATCTCCCTCCTAGGATCTTTTAAGGATCCTCAAAGGAACTTTTCAGTTTTACCTATGATACCGGACGAAAATGCGAAAAAAAAAAGTAAAATGTTTTTTAAACGAATCCTATTTTGGTAAACTTAACTCTTTTTGGAATTGGTAACTTTTCTGCGTGTAACTACACAAAAATCCGACGATATTCCAGTTTAAGCTTTAGGAACGAAAAACTCCGACCTCGGTAACGGGAATCGGACGCGCCACGATCGTATAATTGAGCCTTTTTAGTGGACACTTAAAGGCGCCTGGGCATATTGGCAGTAAAAACAGAATTTGAGGGGAAGCAGTATTGTGCACAGCTTTTTCATTGTTAATCGAACGGTCTACTTAATAAACCAAAGATATAGTAATATTATTAATTATGAAGAAAAACGTAATTGTATTTTTCCGACTTTTAATTTTTTTTTTTAATATTCGTTTAAATGACGAAAAAAACTTGTGACATAGAAATGATTGAAATTTGAAAGAAACGAAGGAAAAAGCGAAAATCCGAAAAATGGCGAAGCGTGCTGTCGACAGCGCCATTTTTCGGATTTTTGTCCATAGAGCACCTTCTTTGCCGAATGCTTTTTTCGCGGGAAATTGAAACTTTTTTCTCTCCGACGTTGAATTATTATTTCTCCAAAACTAGGAATTTTTGTACGTTTCCAAGTTCAAAGTTCGACACGCGATCAAGAGCTTTACAAAATGGCATACTTGTCTCAAACCCTTTTTCTTACTGCCCATATACCTTTAGGAAGACTGACGCATCAGAAAAAAAAGTTAAGTCGGAATTTGTTAACGCGAAACGGACGCGAATCGGACGTGCCGAGGCATTTCTAGTGACCACTTTAGTTGCGTCGGCACTCTTGAGTGATGCCTGAAATTGCTCAGAACAGAAATGTCCGTTTCGAGTTATTTATACGAATTTCGGAGACCTCTGACATGGGGCGCCCACGCATATTCAAGGCGGCCGGTCGTATTACGGTAGTTAAGCTAGGTTTTTCGGGAATAAAATAAAAACTTGTTTACTTTTTGTGACGTAACTTATCTTGTAACTTCGAGAAATAGGTCCTTAACAAATTGCAAAAAAGAAAAAAAGTTTTAAAAATTTCCTGGCTCCGAAACTGACGGCGCAATATTGACCAGCCACCGGCCGCCGTAGCACTGTCTTAAACATGCGTGCGCCTAAAGATCGCGATGGCCACAACTCTTACTGTGACCTACACTATTTCGTAGTTTTCTGGCAGCTAGCTCATTTTTATTTTCATTTTGCAAAGAAGTCCGCGCACCTTTGAGTCGGTCGAAGCTTAAAAATTTCTAAATTTCAATATTCAGTCATCAGTTTCGAATAATTCTAACGAGTTTTCCGTTAGATGCCGAGGGGTTCACAGCGCAGGATGTACGTCAAAATCCAAGTCTCGTTTCATTGGACCGAGTTCGATATCAGAATGTGTGTGAGTTGTTTATCGTTTTTAGTCTGACATGGTAAGAAAAGCGCCCATCTTTGAAATAAGATCTAAGTGCGGAGCAACATGAATTATTTGAGATCCGCTGGCCGTAGACGCCGAGTGGGACTCGCTGTTTGCATCGCACTCCGAGGACGAACTTGCCAAGATGGTCCGGAACGGAGTCCTCGACCTCGCTCATGCTCCGCCGCTGCCGCTCCACCTGGAAGTCTTCAGTCGGCTGACACAGCTCCAGGCAGTTCCTTAGAGCTCCTCTGACAAATTTATCCATTTAGGCCCAAGTTTTGGGAGTCTGGGAAGCGGTATCGGCGGAGGACGATCGCACTTTGAAGCAATTAGTCTGCGATAAGTCCATGGCCTTGTGTCGGGATTCTGACGGTCGGACTCCTCTACACAACGCCTACAGGTTTTTTGTTCTTCGAACTTGGTTAGACTCTGTTAACACGGGTTGAGATAGTTTAGTCTGCCAGGTTATTTCAACTTGTTAACGAGGTGAATGAGAATAACTAAATAAAAAAAACAATTCTCCCAAAGGTTCCCTGGAAAAACTAGAAGTATTTAGTTACAAAACTCAAGAGCCGTGAGAATATGTGTCAAAATACTAGATCCATCGCGTTTTCCAGAAGAGGGCACCAGCCATCCATTGAATATCTTTTACATTTAGCCCCAGAAGCCGCGAAGATTCGAGACAAGGTTTGTCAAAGCAGAAGTACTTTTTCGAAATTAAAAATTCTTTTTTGAAATTCACATCAATTTGTAAAACAATATCACAATTTCAACATTTAAAAGAGTAGGGAAAGTTTTTTCATTAAGCTGGTTGTTCAATGGCCTTTTCTTTTACCAAAACAAAAAAAAATCTATAGAACCAAACAAAAATCTGATGGCTATTATATTGTGACGACCTGAAAATTGGAAGATTTTTGCTGTTTTGACTACTGTTTTAAGATAAGGGAAAATTTAAAAAAATAACTGTCAACATAGGCGAATCAAGAAAGGGTATCGCGAGTTTCTCTGAGGTATATCGCAGGCTCTGAAGTCTCACGATGGTACCTCGAGTATACCTCTGAGGACTTTGATCAAAATGAGATAAACTTGAGAGAGAATCTCACGTACCTCCGAGATGGCTCAGATATAGCCAAAAGGTATGCCGGAGGTCTCACGATCCATTCTGAGAGGTATTTTTGTGGACACATTATGGTACCTTCTTGATTCGCCTGTGAAGATCGGATGACTTTGATTCACAAAATCATCCAAATCAAAGTTCTTAAAAATATTTCATATTCTATATCCTAATCTTATAAATATCTATTGAATCTCGTCCTTCGTTCCCATTACCTTGAATCTGTCTAGAAGGGACGGTTACCTGTCGACTACTCGTATTCGGCTCCGCTACTCGCCGCCCATGTGCCGAACCTAGCCAACAGACGAGTTTGTTTCAAACATCGCGTTCCATAATTGGAGACGCACCCTGATTTTTGCCTTTTTTTTGTTCAAACTCATAACCTTTATTCAAATAACTTCTCCTCGTGAGATACCTCCTTATTATCATCAAAAAAAAAATTGCGTAATATTTGGCACATTTGATTTTTTTTTTTCTAGGAAAAATTTCTGATTCCGAACGGGCAGTTTTTCACTTTTTTCAAAACTGAATTTCCAGCCGTCTCGTACTAAAATTTTACATCATGAACGTTTCCACGTAGTCAGCAAAACAAATGAAGAAACTCCACGGTAATGCAAATTTTTCGATGTTTTTTTAATTTGGGAAAAATTCAGTGGAGCAATCGCTCTCACTTCAATAGAAGCTTCCTCTCCAGAAGGCATAGAACCATCTGTTTTAGAACGTATACAAGGAATAAACATAAACGAGAGAGATTTCTCGGTGAGGTTTTCCGTCTTTTCTTGAAAATAAAACTGGCCGTTTGAGGTATTGGAAGAAATACAGATGGAAGGAAAAGCTGACCAAATTTGGCGCGTGGTTAAGAAAAATATTGGAAACAGTGAACTTGCTCGTCATGTTAACGAGTTCCGTCAAATACAGGTTTTTTTTAAAATTTAAGCTTCTATTTTCGAGAGATGAAAAATTATGGGCACAAGAAAAGTTTGTTGTTCTAAAAAATATAAATGAATGAATAGCACTTACAGATGAGACTCAACTCGGCGATTGACGCCATCGAAAAAAACGACGACGTTCGTCTGCGACAGCTCGCCGATGATGACGTCATGAACACTCGCGACACCCGCGGAAAGTCGAATCCAGCGATTTTCGCACTAACCTCATAATCTCTATGATCCGCTACAATCCTTTGAAATGATGGGCGGAACTACTTCTGACACCTTTCTTATTGGAATTTAATCTCGAATATGAGTTCTTGGAAGATTTATAGGGTCCATTTCAGGAATGAGATTGCTCCATATAGCGGTTCTGAAGGAACGGCATGAGATGGTTGAATATCTCGCTGCCAACTTCAGCACAAGACTCGATTCGTTAGACCAGGTGAACTTGTTCTTCAAAGTTTTCTTCCAAGCTTATCAGAGAGAGTTTTCAAACTTCACTGATTCATTCCTCATAGAGCTGTAACGTCTTTCAAAACAACTTGAAAATCAGAAAAAAACGTTGGAAAACGATTAAATTTTTTTGTTTTGGATGGAGTATGACCTCTCGAATTGAGGCTGGCAGGACAGCGCTTCACTACGCCGCTGTGCAATCGAACGCCATCTACGACACGCTCGTCGACCTCGGCGCCGACCGCGATATCGCAGACCAGGTCCCACCTTCTCGTTCTTTTCTGTATTTCGAATGCCTCAAAATTGAAAATATTGTAAGATTCTCTTTTGACGTTTTATACTGTGTTCTTCCTTCTCTATTCGCGTCATGCTCATCACCACATTAACGATGAAAATGTTATCAGTTTTGGGGAGGAAAAAAAGAGAGAGGCGCGACTAACACGAATATTTCTTAGTGGTATCAGCCTTTCAGCCGGATATTCCAGCGTTATTCTCTCCGCTCGTTCCATCGCTCCTTGTGCTGCAGCTCTATCACTCGCTCACGTTTTTTTTTATTTCTTGCGTGTCATCTTCCAAGAGTATTGAATTAGCAGGGAAACATACGTATTCCTTCGAATAATTTGACGTCGAGTCTACAAACGACCAACTTTCTTTTATGGTTTTCATGAAAGTTCATGATCTTGACAATTAACAAAAAGTTTGATTTTGTGAGAAGGTAAACGTCGCATTTAGTATTAGACTGACATTTGGCTGTTTTCATTCATAATTCCAGAGATAATTTGAGCTCTTTTATATAAAATTTCGAACTCCACACTAAAAATATCTTCCTTGTCAACTATACCGGTGGGAAGGGGATTGCTTTGTAGAAAAATCATGCATTTTTTGAACAAAACTGTTCATTTTCGACCGCGGAACTTCAGGACGGCGTCACCGCGGAGGAGTACCGTCAATCGCCGAGCAGATACATCCGTCCGGCGTCGGCTGCATCTTCGCTTATGCTTCGTTCCATGTCTACCGACGATGAGTTCTTCGATCCAGGTATTTCCTTTTCAAAAATATATCCATCTGCTTTCCACAGTACAGCAAGAATATACAGTCGTATAAACGGAAGTTCTGAAAAGTTGCAGTTAGGAGGATTAAAAACTTCGAGAAATTTTGCGTCATAAAAAAGCGTTCCCAGGAGTTGTGTTTGTTCATCTTGAGACACGCAACTGCAGGTTTATTTTAATAATCTTTCCCATATCTACTCACTTCAAATGGAAGCTTTTCCTTTTTGGGAAATTCGTATCTTCTAGATGTAATCCGAAAAGATGGAGATGAATTAAATTGCGATTACTAGGGGGATCTCTGGGCCTGCGGAAAGTCGCCGTGGGCACTAATCTGTCCTGATGACTTCGCTTCCGCTTGGCGCCAACTTGACAAATTTGTCATCGAAAGGGCGTTGTCATGGCTTCTGGAAGGCTTCAGTCTTTCCGAAACATCGCGTGACACGACCGCCGAGGAATATTAGATGAGCCTTCGGCGATACCTGCGAGCTTTTCTTCGAGTCTTGTGTTGCCGACTCGGCCGACTCCCGATTTTGAAGCAGTCGTACGCGTTTGCAAGTTGATGGTTGATGCATGACGCGCTTCCTTTCTCGCATTTTTATTTTATGTCTTCTCGGGACACGTCTTCGCGGTGCGTCGTTGAAACCCACGGTTTGTTCCTTCCATTTGCTCGCCTAATTTGAGCCGCTCATTCCATTTTCACTACATTATTAATTGAAGTTTCTGAAGCCTAACCAATAGAAACAATAAATATCACTGGTCAGCGCAACGCTTCTTTCTTCAGGCGTCTTTTAGTTGCGCGAATTATAATTATACTCTATGTTCGCCGAGAGAGACTGATGATGGAAGAATGACTTGACATAGTCGCAAATTGTTCAATATGTCATCAATTAGATAAAAAGAAAAACAAATGAAGGTGAGGCAACAAATGCGAAGTCGTTCTATATTTATCAGTAAGCACTTTTTTATCTCTATTATTGAAATATTTTAAGTGCGACGTTTTCAGACGCTCCAACAGAGAAGCAGGTCGATGAATGGCTCGAAAAAGGCGACGTCGCGAAACTGGAGCAACTCGTTCTTGACGGTCGCGGCCACATGTTGAGGTGCGAGCTCAGAAATGTTATATCTCACCGATAAATGGTTGAAAGTTAACTGTAGATCAGTTTGAAATGTAAAAGGAAAGAGAGATGGAACAATTTTTGAAGGGAGAAGAAGACCACGGACCCTGGAGGTGTCGAGTTCATGTCAGGATTGACTCAATATTTAGTATGCCCCGCTGTTTTTGCATTAAAAAATAGTGATACAACTTGTAGACTAAAATCGATGCTATCCACAAGGCTGTAGAAGAAGGCGACGTCAGGCGAGTCAAGTCTCTGATCGACCGCTCGCAACTCTCTACCGCAAGGGACACTTACGGTGACAAAATGTTTTACGTGGTACTCTATGCGGCGTTCAGAGGGTGTTCATCGAATAAGAAATAAGGGTCAGGGAAAAAAGAACCAAAGTTTTGGAGAGTGAGAGAAACCCATAAAAAGTCGAAAAATGTTTAAAAAAATTGGTTGTATCAATCGATTCAGGAATGACGCCGATTCACAAAGCTTTGCTACATGGCCAAACGAACACTGTGCGGTATCTTCTGGGAAAATATCCGCATTGCGTGAATGCCACCGACCATGTACGAGTTTCTGTCTGGAGATAAAATTGAACACCTTTTTGGGGGGTTTTTGGGATGAGTCGATAATTTCAAGGCTGTAACATTCTTTGAGTACAAAAGTAGTGATGCGAGAAAAATTGAAATCGATGGGTTTTCGATTCAAATTTCTTCTTGAGCTTCGACATTTGAACTTACTTTTCTTAGTTGTGACTAATCTTCTTCTAACGCTCGCAAAAAATCTCATGAGAACTTTTTTTTCTAAACCGATTGGTCAAAAAATGGACAATTAAATGGTTAAACAGAGCTTAGGGAAGTTTATAGTTTTTTTTTATATCATTAGGTTTTAGAAAGTGCAGAAAAGAGCGGGTTCGAACTTGAAAGCATGACAGTTTATGATTTTTCCTGTTCATTTTGCGGTTTGAAGGCAGGTCGGACTCCTCTGCACTACGCTGCAGCCGACCCAAACGGCGAGCACATGATAAAGGTTCTACAGAAAAGTGGTGGCGACGCCTTCATCGAGGACAAGGTTGCCTTCCTTCCCCTTCTTTCCCAGCTTTCTCACATTTTTTATTTTCAAAAATTGTCCATCATAGATCTTCATCGCAATCTCGGAGTATTCATCCGCTGTCTTTCTTTTTTTTTCATTTAGTAATATTTACGGAGAGCATGAAGCGTCATTTTGAAAAAGGTTGTTTTGATAGCCGACTCGCAGAAGAGAACTGCGGGCTTCTGTTTTGCCGCAAACTGCCATTAACTCTTTCATGTTGGGCTCATCTCTTTCTTCTAAAAGTTTGTTTTCCGAATGGGCAGAATCGAAGTATTTTTCTTCAATAACTAGATGCTTTTTGAAAAAAAGAAAAAAATCATATGAACAAAAAAATTATATATTTGTTTATCAGGTATCACAAGGGGTGTCATTTCAGTGAGAAGTTTAGTTTTTTAATAATTTTCCCAAGCATTCTTTGAAAGTTTAGATGAAGGCTCCATAGTGGATACTTACGCGTATTTTTTTATATTATAATTATTCAAATTTTCGGGAAATAGTGAAGGCCTGAATCAGAGTTCAACGCGAATTTCGCAAGAATTTTGTCTGCAAAAACTCTTAATTTATTAATGAGAAATCTCCATTTTGACCTTGAGATAGTATTTGGAAAAATCGAAACTCCTGACTGCAATTATCTCTTTCAAGCTTCTAAAAGTGAATTTTGCGTGATGGGATCATTTTTTGAAGCACGGACACACGCCGTTTTACTACCGCACTCATGGACAACGACTGAATGTGCGCTCTATGAAAGACAATGCCGTCATGAATCAACTGATTTCCGGCCAACTCAGCCGTCCATTGCTCCAAGGTAAACATTTTGTATCCCATAAAAGGACACTTTTATTCCAAGTTTCAGTGCTGTGTGCCTTCTAAAATACCATAGGATGGGTTTAATAAAAATTGAACTTTAATTTATAAAAAGTTTAAAGACTTGGAAGAAGACATATACGACTGGATCCACACCGGTAACATAGGAAAGTTGGAAGAACTTGTGCTCACCGGATATGCCGACCTTCTCCTTGGACGCAACCACGAAGTCGAAGACGCCGATAGTATCGGTTTCCTCGAGGTCCTTCCGCAGTACCAGGTGTTCACATCAATCTATCTTTTTCGGATCTTTTCAGACTGGCGGAGACTTTTTCTCGCATAAAATCCTTAATTAATTTTGATATTAAGGCGAAAATTCAAGCTATACACAAGGCTGTTGAAACGGGAAACTTGCGAGCTGTCAAGTTGCTGACCGATCGGAAGAAGCTATCGCTCTGCAGAGACACTCGTGGACTCTCTCCGCTGCACAAAGTACAGTTCTTGTTTTTTTAAAATTTCCGACTTCATTCTTCTAGGCGATCGTTTTTGAACGAACCGATATTGCGAAATACCTCATTCGCAACTACCCGCAATCAGTGAACGCAATGGATCAGGTCTGATTAGCTTTCACAGGCCGTTGACTTCGAATTGCAGAAAAAACGAACTCCTCTTCACTATGCAGCAGCTCTGAAGGATGGCGGATATTTGTACAAAGTGATGCGCAAGTCGGGCGCTGACCCCAATATTTATGACTGCGTATACTACCGGAGAGTTCCCCAGGATTCATCAGGATGTTCAGAATGGACGGCCGGCGAAGTATTACTTGAAGCACGCGGGCGAGATCGACTTGTCAGCGATGCGTCTGGATACAAGGGCTGCTCTCAAGCAGGTCTTTCAAACTTCTGAATCAAGAATGCGAATGAAAAGGTGGGACTTCCAGGTGCTCCACAACAGAGTGGCTCCGAGCTACTTGGAGTCTTCCATACAGCAATGGCTCCGTGACGGTCAAGTAGCCAAACTCGAGCAGTTGGTTCTTTCAGGTGAGCCCCGCTAATATCACAGAAACTTCTGCTTATTCAGGCTGTGGAGATTTACTCCAAAACAGAACTTCGAGCCATCCGGACACCCAAAACTTCCTTGACAACTTGCCAGAATATGTAGTGAGTCTAGGCTTTTTTCTTTGAAACTTTCAAAACCTCCTCTTTGAAGGAGAAAATTGATGGTATTCACAAATCGATAAAAGATGGAGACCTGGATCGATTGAAAGATCTGATGAAGACGAAGAAGTTGGCCATCGGTCGGTTCCTCATGTTTTGACCCACTCATGGATTTCTTCAGCCCGAGATCGGTTTGGCTGTACTCCCCTGCATGCGGCAGTGGTACACGAACACACAGACATTGTCCGCTACATCGCCGGCCACTATCCCTCCGTTCTCAACGCTCCAGACTATGTAAAGCTTGGAAATACTGTGTCCCGAAAAAATTCACTTCAGAATAAAAGAACGGCGATGCACTACGCAGCGGCGGCGCGTGACGGCGGACATTATCTGAAGATTCTCGGAAAGGCTGGGGCCGACCCGATGGCCGTCGACAACGTGGGGACAGCCTTGCTTTTTCTGAGTGCAATCATTAACAGGAAGGAAGAACTCCAGACTACTATCGACGGAATGCTGTGATAGACCTGAAGATGATCAAGGAGCGCGACGAAGAGTTCGAGGCGATCACAGAGGAGTTCCTGGAAGATGGACCTTTGATTGAGAGTCCGGCATCGCCAGATTCTGGAAGCGCCAGGTTTGCTTCTATCGAATTAGAGGTGCAAGTGTGCAGCATTTGCAAGCCCTGAAATGACGGTTTCTCACTAAAACTTTTGATTTCGCTTCCTCTTTGATCTATAATTATAGCATTTCTTAGATTCTAATTTATTTTCTTGAACTGGCCAGGTTCTCCTCTATTTGGAGCTTCTCGCATTTTCAGATTGAAGTCGTGAAAATGTATAATTGGCATTTTCGATTCAGAGACTTTCTTAAGTAAGATTAGATAGGTTACTAAGACTTTCAAAGTTTAGTTCTTTTCTGACTTCCCGTAGCTTTCATACTTATTTTTAGCTCCGTGATCGACTCGTCGCGGCCAGTAGAGGAGGAGGAAGAAGTTGGCGACAAGCACAAGTTTGAGCGGATGTTCCGAGGAAGAGTCGACCTGCCGACTTCGGAGAACGGCGTCTACCTTGCTCGAACTGTGGCTCCAGTGCTCACAAAAGCTCTCGCCGAGGTTCCGGCTTTCTTTTTTTTTTAAACTTAACCTGCTTGTTTCATCTCTAGGTGCTGTTGCGCCGACCGGCAGATCCGATAGGCTTCATCTCAGACTGGCTGCAGAAGTATCACAATGAAATGCCGCGGAGGACAAATGGACATATGTGAAAAGTCGAATTGGAGCTGTATGTATAAACTAAATAGGTGACAGAGAAAAGCTGAGAGCTTTTTCGTACGGCTAGCACCTCGACTGTTATCCGAAAATCTTCAGATTTATAAATCTATGAGATGAGAGCATACCTCTACATTTTTAACGGAACTTCGCCTTTACTCTGTTTTCGAAAAAAAAAAACTGTCGTCATACTGGTCTTCATAAATGTTTATCAGATTTCATGAAGTTTCTCAATTGTTTGGATTCCGATAAATTTTCTTTTTTTTTTCAGCTGGACTTTTTGGTGGATTCTACTTGAGGTTAGGTCTGAGTTTTTTTCTCGAATACATTTGATTTGATATTGGTTAATTGGATGGACTCATTCTGCAAGAAATCAATTTATTATGAAATACAGACAGAAATGAAAAAAAAAATCGTTTTCCATGAATGGATTTGGTCATTTTTGTAGAGAGGTTTGTGATGGATGGAAAGGTGTCATAGAAGTTATGATAGTCAAGTTTCAACTGTCCATGTTCTGTGTCGAAAAATAGATTGTCACGGGTATCGTGTAACCGAAGAACTAAGGAAATAAAATAAAAATTTGAAAATCAATTCAAAACCGCGCAATATACAGGAATAAACATGAGCGAAATGATATGTGATGTCGGAGAGCTGGAGGATTCAGCAAGACTGGCTGGACGACGCTGGCGAAGAAGGCTGCGACGAATCTTGTGATTACAGACATCGAGTTAAACCTTTTTGGGAACGGAGGTCAGTCGGAGCAAAGTCGGCGAGAATGGGTGCAGCATCTTCAAATGGGAAACATACGTCTCGAATTGCTCCGATGTGAACCCGCAGTCTTCGCACACGAACACCTGTCATTCTCATTAGAATGGACTTTTTAAGAAAAACGCGAAGAAGCGAACCTTGCTTCGACGCTCCTTATAGGCATAACGATGTGCGACGCCGTGTACTTTCCGTAGATGAGATTCCAGAGAGCATCTTTGGGTGAAAGACTTCTCGCAGTGTTCACATTTGTACGGCCTGACTCCTGCAAACTTCGCGTTTGTTCGGAGGCGAGGAAAAGGGTCCGCTTGACGTCGTTATTATTTGCGGCGGCCTACCATTGGCGGATACGGTCTGATGCGTCTTTTTGCACAAAACGGCAAGGCCGTCGCGCGTTTCACGGAGAAAGGCAAAAAGAACCTGTGTGCGTCCGCGTGTGACGCTTCAGGTCGAAAGTGTCGTTGAACCCCTTTCCGCAAAAAGTGCACAGGTAGCGCTTCAAGTCCGAGTGACACTTCACATGTCTGTTCAACAGCCGCTGCAGACCGAACTTCTGAAGTTTTCGAATTTAAAAATTGAATAAATCGCCACAGATCAAAAAAGAAGCATCATATTTCAGCCTATAAAACATAAAATCAGTTCCGTCGCTGGTTTGAGTTTTACTACGCTCGCCGATTCATTGATTCTTCTGAAAAGGTCGAAATTAACTATCTTCCAAATCGGAAAATCCAATTTTAAAAAATTTATAAGAGATATTTTCAAGTTTCGAAAAGGTTTTCATTGGAAAATCTTGGTTAAGAACATTTATTCCATAACTGAGACATGCGATGTATGAAATGACAGCCCTGACTTTTCCACAAATAGAGCAGGCGAGATTCTCTTCGGCTGATTCCTGGACCGTCGTCGAAGAAGCCACCGCATGCGAAACAGAGGAAGCCAAAGGCGCTAGCGGGTTTTTCACGCCGTAGCCGCCGTTGACAAACTCCACCGACGGTGGGGGTACTATCTGAAGTTTAAAAAAAATTGATTCCATCTCGAATATTATTAACTTTATGGAAACAAACTTTCTTCTCAAAGTTTGCTGATCAAATAGGATCCAAGGAATAATCAAAACATGCAAAAACTGTCTAAAGAGCAGATTTTTAGACTCGTAGACTGTTTTATAATAAACTTTTTGATGTGATGAGTGGCCAGCATTTGAAAATGTCAACGAAAAAAAAATTCGATGACTAGCGCTGAAAGCTGCGAACTCGCTGTAAAGACTTCTTTTCGCTGGTTCCGCTAGTCAATCCTTCCCGAGTTGAAAGGCGAGGCAAAGGTGACTTGTTGCGTATGCCGCATTTTATGCGACGTGGGTTTTTGGCTGGAAGCTCTAGGCTCGTTTTTATGTTTATCGTATTTTTCGATAGTTTTCAAAAGTTTTCAGTTTTGATGGTTTTAAAAAAGTACTAGCTGTTCGAATAAACGTATAAAAATAATGAAAAACAAAAATTTTCTTTTATTTTTCATTTATTTTTAACTTTTCTCCATGATTGCTTTTGACGTCGAGTTTCCTGTCAAAATCCGCGTCGCTTACACGAAAATTCATACTTGGCAATTCGCCCATCTCGCCTTTCAAGTCGGGAAAAAAAATACTTGACCAATCCCACTGATTTTCCTTACACATTCAGCTGAAGTGTAAATTTGAAGGTTCTGACCGTGGGTATGGCTGCCGGAAGGGATGATTCTGGTGGTTTGGCCTCGTCCTCTTCGTGTAGGAATCGTTCAATGAGAAACTGTAAAGTCATTGGAGTCTTTTGAAACAAAGTCAGCCGACCTTACCTTCTTTGACCTATCCTCTCTGCCGCCATTGCTCAAAAGGTGGCTTAGAAGTTGGAAGTTTGGCAACATGGGAACGAAGAAAGAAGAGGCCGACGGCAGCCATACCCTAGAGTCCATCCACCGGACTCTTAACTTCCAATCGTTAATTAATCATTAATCATTAATCGACTAAATTGCGACCCAAAATGAGAATTCGACGAGACACATTTTTCTGGAAAAAAAAAACGAATGAAGCTTTTTCGCCAGGGCTCAGAAGTGCATCAGAAAAAAAAAACATGGCAGATGAAAGATTTTATGAAAGGAAATGGATCAGTCAGATACAAAAAAGCAATTATTACTGAGAAAGACGTCGCGAAAAGGAAAGACAGTGAATTGATCGGGTTTTGCTGCGACGAGTTACGGTAGTCAAGTGTTTTGGCAAGGCGTTCGACGATTTGAAGACAATGAAGAACAGGACCCTCGAGCCTTGGGTGTCTGTTTCTTTAACTGGCTTCTGTCCGAATAACTTCTTGATGCAGAATACAGAGAAAAGAAGCTTTGTAGAAAAAGAATAATGTTGCAAACAAGTTTGACCGAATTGGTTTTCCAGTATTTTTTGCTGCTTGATTTTTAAACCCCTGGTTCAAGATTTAGTATCATGAACCCTGTTGAAAATCTTTTATCTTTTTCTGTGTCTCTGATTTTCATCTCAGCGTTCTACGAAGATTATTTTGAATATTGAAAAACTCTTGTTCAATCATATGCTCAAATCTCGAGTAGACGCAAAAATCCAACTCGGTGCTTTTTCTTAGTGACCCCTGATGGTATCTGGAAAAAGAACAAAAGAAAGAACACAAATAGAGAGTGGAACAAATGGAACGGAGGTACTGTAGACATTGCGCAACGGCCTGCGGGCGTTCTCTTCTCGGCTTTTCGATCGCTGCGTTTCTGCCGTTTTTCCACGTCGCCTCCACTCTGAGAAGGATGATCCGCCCCAACGCGGTTTCCAAATTGCCCGCAATCATCGCCTCAAGCCTCCCAGCTTACGGTATTTTATGCGAAACGGTTGTGGCGCTAAGCCGCCAGCGTGTTCTTCTTCGATTGTTACGGTTGCGTCATTGGCGGCAGTTATGCCAAAAGATTTGGCGACTGTTTTGTCAGCGCTCTGCGTACCGTAACCCTCTGGGCACACAGAAGGACAAATGCACACAAAGGCATGGAATGACTGATGAAGCGTGGCCGGCGGTCGGATCCGTGTCAGCATGAGGAGACAGAAATGCGCAACCGGCCTCTCAAGTTGTGAAGACCTTTTTAATATACAACTCTTTAGGAGTTGGCCGAGTTGAAGTCAGGCCTGTAATCCTACAAAAGTGGTTCCGCAACGGCTGCATTTTAGCCTCCGCCACGCCTTTAAATTTTTCAGCTCGGTAAAACTCCATTCGCCACAACTTGAGACCGTCGAACTTCCCTGATACTTTTTTCTCTCAAAGGGAGATCGCCTTTTACGTGTTTCTTCTATAGTTCTATGATTACGTTAGGCTGTTTAAAGTCGGCGAGATCTTATGTCATATTAAAGCATTTTTCCTGGGTTTGAATGAGAATTCCAGCAAAGATTATATCGCATTATTCCAAATTTTTCGAGAGTTCAAGAAGAGCTAGCGCATCGGACCAGTAGCAATCGTTAGAAATAACCAAAGAGCTGAGAGAGCAAGTAACGTAGATTTGTTGGAAGAAGATGGTAAATTTTTCTGAGGCTCTAACTGGACATTCACGTAACTATCGTGTCAAGAGGGATCCGCTAGTTTTTCATGGAATCGTGTAGCACGGATATTAGGGCGTGAACTATTCAACTAGCAAATTTCTTCTCTGTATTAAATTATTTTACTCAATTACAGGAAAGCTTCATATGATCGTAGCTACACAATTTCTAAGAAAAATTTACATGCTTCAAAAAAATCCACATCTTTTAAATTTAATTCCATCTAATCTTTAACAATCTATTAGAAGGAATTCCCAGAAGTGGATTCAAAGGAACTAAGATAAAAACCCAAAAAAAAATATTATCTAACCTCGGATAACGCGGAACACGCCGCGATTAAATGTAAACCTTCGAAGGTTGTAGATTTTTTTCCAAAAGAATTATCGACAGAGAAAATTTTGAAAGAAAAACAAAGTCTATGTACAAATGAGAGGTTTTCATACGTATGCAAAGAGGAAACTGAGCAGTCCAGATGAGAGGACCGCAGATGCAACGGAGGAGGAGGACGGCTCGGAGGCGTCTGACGACGTCGTTGGTCACGCCACGACGCCTCCGCCGCCGTTTCGGCGCTACCGTACGAAGGGAGTCTGCCAAAGGACGACAAAGTTTGGAAATCATCTGTCTTGACTCATCGAAAGGATCTGTCGATTATGACAGAATGTAATGTCGTCTAAGACATGTGTTAGAACAAATGAAGACAACCGCACAATCTGAACTTCCGGAACGCGGAATTCAGTAAACTCTTCTCCCATTTCCATCTGCTGATTTAAGCAACAGCTTATGTTACGTCTGCTTCCGTAAAGTAAGAAATTGTGCAGGTTGAGAATTTTAGAATCTTTTGATATTATTATATAAGCCGAAAAGAAGGAGCAAACGAAATGGCGCGCACAAAGTAAGTTCAGATAGCTGAGAATGGCTCCTTCACTTTACTTGCTTCTGTTTCCGTTAGAATAAAATAAGAATAAAATCTGAAGAAACTGAAGAATAGAAAAAAAGAACAAGAGAGGTAAAAGTTGACACACTTTTTGGATAATTTTGCGCTGGCGAAGCTCATAAATAAAACAATATTGGGGTCTGCGTACGGTACATCCGCGAGCCGACAGAAAGAAATGAGACGTTTCCCGGGTGGAAACTCCAAGTTCCGCTCATTCACACGCATATTATTACAGGTGTCACCTAGTCGGTGGCGGAAAAGGTAACAAGTTCCACGGCGCCTCCAAGGTCGCCGTCGGCCCTCATTATTTACTCCTTTCTTGGAAGTGCCACCTCTGAATACCGCAATCCGCACCGCTAATTTGCGGAAACGCCGTCTCCCTTCTGTTTGTTTCTGGACTGTTTTTTTTTTCTTCTAGGAGCAAGATCGTTCTCTTTAGGAAACAGACAGCCAAGCGGAGGCGAAGTTAAAAGGAAGGAAATGGAAGAGCAGGAAAGCTTTCTTTCAAAACAACCAATTTTTTAAAATCGGAGAATTCATTGAAATCTAATTACATCTTATAAATTTCCCAGTAGTAGCTTCTAGAAGGAGCTCGATTCTTATTCACTCCCTCGGTTTCTAGGAGTTTCGAAGCAACGGGACCAAAATTTTTTTTTCTGATGGTAATAACGAGTTTGGACAACAATTTACAAACTAGTGATACTTGAGGTAAAGAAAAAAATTTTAGGAAAAAATAAAAAATTTACGAAAATGAAATGGTTGAAAGATTTCGGACTTCGCGCTCTCTTATCGTAGTTTGACCTCCGCACCGGAGTAGACCTTAGAGTTTATCTTGTCCCCCAGTTCGTCCAAAGCTCTAAAGTCTGTTCAGAGTTTGAATGTCAAGTAGCTTACTCCGCCTCCAAGGCTACAATATCTTTCGCGTCAATTTTTCATCGCAGATGAGATGACGATGAAACTGGCTGCCATTTTTGACTTTAAAAATCTAAACAGATCATAATTTTTCAAAAAAATAATTTGTTTGTAACGACTTCTGTAAATCATTTTTTTTAAACTTATTATCTAAAAAATTGAAAAAAAATAATTGAACTTTTACAGTTGCTGAAATATTTGAAGGAGACAAATTCGAAAAAAAAAAATTCAAACTTCAATTCATTCATTTTTTCAGGTTTAGTAACACAGGCGAAGTGCGAAGGTACCATAATGTGTCCACAAAGATACTTTTCAAAACGGATCCTGAAGACCCCATATTATGTCCATCGTGAGACCTCCAGAATACCTTTTAGCTATATCTGAGCCGTCTCGGAGGTACTTGAGAGTCCCTCATATATAGACTTGATCAAGTCCACTAAGAATAACTGACGAGATAAACGCGAGGTCGGTGGCGGTACATTGACGAACTCGCAAACATCTCGCTTTTTTCTAGGCGCGATCCCGCATTTCTCTCGGCGCGACCTCGCATTTTTCTTGGCGCCATCTCGCATTTATCTCGCATTTCGGAAATTTTCAAATTGCGAGAGAAATGCGAGCTCGCGCCTAGAAAAATGCGAGCTCGCGCCCAGAAAAATGCGAGACCGGCGCGAGAAAAAAAAGCGAGATGTTTGCGAGCTCGTCAATGTACCGCCAGTGTCTCGCGTTTATCTCGGCAGTTATTCTTAGTGTCTAGAGCAACAAACAATATACCCAGAAGTGTTGATCCAGCCAAATTTTCTCCTTATTTTGAACATAATTCTCTGAAAACTTTTTCATGCAGGGTTCAACCGATACTGTGCAATACCCTTAGAAATCGAATCTTTCAGCACTTATTGTATGCGACATTCCCAGCGTTAAAATGACGTTCCGCGGCGCCTCTGGCCCCGTAAAACCCTCACTGGAATGTTCGCTCCCTAGATAACGAACAAAAAGCGCGAAATCCAATTTTTTTTTCGTTCTTTTTTTTCTTTTCTTAAAAAGCTTTTTTTGTATCAAATTCAAAAGTTATGCTCTGGTGTGCTTTAGCACTGGTTCAGATCTTCATCTGGATCCATCAATTTAGAAGAATTCTGCAGAATGCTGATAAAGGATAATTTTCGCTATGAATTTTACGACGTTATCAAAAAACAGGTTTTTTCAAACATCATTTTTTTTTAAATTGAAGTTTTAAAGAGTGTCGTTCTGGTTGTATCAACAGATTTAGACGCGTTGTGTGCCGCTCTGGTTCTTTCGGTAAGCTCTTTTTTTCTTTGTTAAATTACTTTATAAAGCATGTTTTTGTTTGATTGACTTGTGTTTGCATCTGGTATGAAAAAAATCTAATTTTTCAAGAATTGAAAAACATTTAACTTCCCATTAAAATTTAGAAGCCTGAACTTTTCGATGTTTAACTTTAATGGAACGGACTTTCAGAACTTTATTTTTCTATAATAAAGGTTCCCATTATTTTTTTCGGAGAGCGGTGAACTTGAAAAAAATTATTCAAAGCACCATGTAAAAAAATTTCAATTTTTTTCCTTCTTATTCGCTTTTGAGAAGTTTAGTGATTTCCCTGAATATAATTGCTATTTATTTTCCCCTTCTTCTCAAGTGCCATCGTTCCAGTTGATTTAAGTGATTAAATTTTATTTTTGTATAAGGAATAAACGCCGAGTGAGATCGTATAAAATTGTTGAGATAGCTATCCACATTGGTATAGACATTATATACAAAGGTAAATTTACATTGAAAGTTAAACGGGTGAAAAGAAGTAGTTCGAAGAGAAGCTTCATCGAAATGCAAACTGAAAGTTCTTCTATAATTTTATATCGATTCTTAAACGTACCGAATTGAGCGATGTAGTATTTTTTATCAGGCCAGGCGTAGGCAAAAAACTGCCACAAATTGTGCACCCGTCTAGAGGTGTTTTTTGTCTCTGCGACGACTTCGAAACAAATAGCTGCGTAGCAAAGAAGATCTGTGATAATTAGAATCAGGAAAAGAACGACTGGTTGTCGATCACTCCCTCCGTCCTGAAATTTTCTCAATTTTCTCGCTGTTTGAAAAGTTATTTAGCTTCTCGATTTTTCGAAGAAACTTTAAACGTTTTAGAAAAAAGGAGCGGTGTAGTGTTAACAGAAAAGTGGTTGCGTATTATTGGAATTATTTGACAAGGGAGGTCATTACACATCAGTTATCAAAACTCTGAATCTGGACTTGGGTACTTTAATGCGTTAAAAAGATAGCGCCAGTCCAAATCCAAAAAAATATTCAAATTTCAAGAAAAAAAAAAAAACTAAATATTGTCTATAAATTAGCCTTCGATGACTTTCTTTAATGTGAGACGATTTTTCTCGAAAACTAAAAAAGTATACAAGTTTTCCCAAATTTCAGAAAAACTCGAAGGTGAAAAAAAACGTTACACACGGCTGTAGTTTCGATTTTTTTCCTTATCGGCCTTACGTCCGAAAAATTGAACTGTCGTCTTTTTTTGAATTGGCGAAAAATGTTAAATTCTTATGGACTTACTAGATACAAAACCAAGGTAATCAGAGTAATTAGTAAGTCCATCCATAGAATGAGACATCTTTGACCAGACACTAGAATCATATCTTTTTGATCAGTGCATTTCCTCTTTCATGCTAATTTTAGCGGATTAGAGGAGTCTAATGGAGCGCACTTGACCTTTCACTCGTGCAAACGTTTTCTGAAATAGCCATTTTTTGCAGGTTCCAGAGATCTTCGGGTTTCTTTGTCATTTTGTTCATAAAATGTGTTTATAGCATCTTCTCAAATGCGACGACATCGCCTACACTATCGTGGCCGTAGACGGCTGGCAGGATGTGGAGAGGACCTTTTCCGAGCTTCAGGATCAGAGTTGGTTCTATCACCCGTCTGAATCGACCCAAAAAAACTCTCATCTGACTTCCCAGAAACCTCGATTGTCATGCTGAACTGTGGGGCTGGACGACCCATCACCAACATTCCTGACGACAGCACCGTCTTCATCGTGGACTCCCACCGTCCTTTCCATCACGAGAACGTCTTCGACCCTTCTCAGATTCGGCTCATCGTCGACAGTTCTGAGCTCAACGACTTGAGGTTTTTTTCCACGGTGCAGTAGATTTAAAGATTTTCTTCCCTTTGCATATTTTTAAAGAACGTTTACTCATATTTTTTTATAAGCAGCGCACGAGGTTTAAGTTATTACTATGAACGGTAAATAACGTTTGAAACTTCATAAAATGCGTCTTTGCTTTTTTAAACACCCAAGGTATAATTTTTTCAGTCGGAGGTTTCAATACTCTTGCTGTGAGAATGAAATTTCCGCAAATAAAAAAATTATATATATATATATATAGATTTTTCATAAGGTATATATATATATATATATATATACCTTATGAAAAATCGGAAGTTAGTTTGAAATGTCAGATAAGTTGGTTAGCATCACAATTACTAGAATATGATAGACTAAGATTGAACAAAACCGGTTCAACAGGAGTGTGAGTAAAATACTTTACGGGAGTTTTTTAGTATTCCCGAACCTCGCCAAGTAATGGACTATGGATCTGGCGACGACGACGACGACGAAGGTTCAGAAGTCGATGCGGAAAGCGAAGAAGGGACCTACGAATCGAGACTGGAAAGAGTCCGAAGGAGAGCCATCAAAAAAGTTCTCAATTCGCTGTTTATCAAGATAAATGCGGATATTTGAGGAGGAAAAAAAGTTGTGGGAACGACGGCGGCAGGACATCCTCTGGCGGTACTACGAAACCAGTTGGCATTCTGTCCCGGTAACTTTCCGCCCGTTTGCTTCTATTTGTGATCTCAGAGTTCGATGCGGCTGCTCGAACTGGCCGCTTCTTTGAACCGTACATCTGCAGAACTGATGTGGTTCGCCGCAGTCGGCCTCAACAGCCAGTTCGTCGACCGACTGGTTCGAAACGAAGCCTCCTTCTGAGAAATCGCCTTCGAATCTCAGATTTCGATCGAGGCCTACACGGCAGTTTGTATCGACCGTATGAGGCCTTTCATTCATAAGTTCTCCCCTCGAAACATCGCGACCAAAGTCGATGACTCCTTGCGGATTTCCTTCGAGAAAGAGTTTGTTTTCTTTCGTAACTCTTTATTTCTCTGTGCAACTCAGCTAACTGAGCTAGGCAACGAGCTGACGTTCTCGGAAAGTTGTTCGTACCAGCATAAAACTTTTCAACGAGAAACTTGAACTTTCAAAGCTGTTAAGAACGACCGCCTTTGGCGAACTTGAAGTCCAAAGTTGTAGTTGATCAAGTTTAAAGCAAGTTTAAGGTCCTTTGCACGTTTTTCTGTGCGTAGTCCATTCAGTTGCGCTTCGACGAGCTCAGAATGTAGCGGATGTTGTGCTGAAGCCCGGAGCTCGTGCTTCAGGTCGAAGTCTCGAAATGAGAGCGGCCACTTCGAGTCAAGATTCACCCGGGATTTGAAAAAAAAAATAATAAAGAAAGAAAGCCGAAATTTTTGAAAAAGCGGTTTCAAAAACAACACAAACGGTTTTTCTATTTAGATGATAATTTGGGAATCCCTACAATAATATCAAAGGTGTTTGGAAATTATTTTATTACAGACTCCCGATCGCTCTTTATGCACACTGGGACTTGTACAGTGCGATGATGGTGGACGAATATTTTTCGATTAAAACCAAAAATTGGACGCAGAAAGGAGATTTGAATATCCGGCATCTCTTGGCCAGTTTGGGGTTTCCCTTCGTTTATTTCAGTATTCAGAATGATAAAATTCAGAATCACTTTATCGGAAACCAAACAGAAGTTCGAAGCTTTGTCGACGGAGCAGCGAAAAACGTTGACCGCGATTCTCGAGAAGGAGATGTCCTCCGCCTTTGCCACTTTTTTCGTGCACCTTGGCTATTCCTGCAAGTTGAATGCCGCAGACGTGGCTCGGGCAGTAATCTTGAGGTTTTTCGGCGAGAAATTCCTGAAAACCCGGCCTTTGATAGGCTGGAAGTTCCGCAGTCGACCAAGGCGATGGACCGTTTTGTGACCGGGGCGATGCTCGTCAAGGCCTCCATCGCTGGGACCAAACAACAAAGGACCCATATCAACTACACTTTCGAGAAAATGTACCAGGTCTACTTTATTTCCCTCTAATGTGAAGAACGACCGAACTGCTTGGGTTCAGGAACACTACTTTTATTTAATACTATCGGTGCTAGGAAATGAATTTGACGTGTATTTCGTGTTATTACGGACTCGAGTCAAATGTAAATCTTTGGAGTCTTTTAAGTTGGAACAAGCAACCACTAAAAAGAAAAGTTGATGCGAAAATTTGAGAGCTCTTTGACAGAGAATGCTGGGTGTTCTGTGGAAGTCGGTGGCGTCGGCCATCAATCAGTCCGAAATCCTGCCGACAGGACCGTTTTACCTGTACACCTGTTCAAGATCTCTAGGTATTTTGCTTTTTTCTTTTGAGTATTTGAAAAAAAAAATCTCAGATGATTTATTTTCGTAGATTCACTTTTAAAATTAAATCTTTTTTGTGAGAGCGTATACTGTTCTTAAAAATTTGCGAAAATTCGTACTATTTCTTCTCCTTTATATTTTTTTGGTTGGTTACAAATCTCATCCAAAAACGTTATTGAAAAACAGGCTTCAAGTTCCAGTTCCGTCTTAGATTCGAGTAAGATCTTCACACACCGTGTTGGAACTTTTTTACTTTTTGTTCGAAATAGTTTGAGCGAAAATTTCGGCAAATTTCTCCTGGTGTTGACTGATTTTGCCAAAATGCCAAACTCCAAACTTTTTTGATTTTTTCCAGTAGAACTTGAAGATTCATTGATTTTGCAGTTCTTCTGGTTTTTAATATTCAAAGCTCTGTCAGAAATCGTGGTTATGTTATCGAAATTTTCTATCCGGGTTTAACAACCGGTTGGTTTTTGGTGTTTTTTTGTGCCAGATACCAGGGCTGCGCGGAGTTCCGTTATCCGCCTTCCGCATAAATTTCTCTTCCTTAACCCGTGTTCCATCTTCCTTAATTCAAAGTTTTGTCCCCTAGTCCGTGCTCCGTCTTCCTAGAAAAATTTTTGTTTTTCAGCTCCTATTTTAAACATTTTTTGATAGAAAAATGCACGTTCTCGGTGTCGTGAGTAATATGATAATGAAGCTAATTTTGTTACATAATATCTGTAGAGAGGCCAACCATTCTCTCAATTCAAAAATCAAAGTATCCTAGCTTCAATCGACATTCAACGCCTAGTAGATACTAAAAAAAATGGCTTGTTTGAAAAAAAATTTGACTGTCTTCTTTTTCCCCACTACAGGTTTAATTCATATCACTTATTAGCACTTCAGAAAAGCTGAAATATTTGTTTTGATTAGTATATTGGGATTGAAGGGATGAACTGAAATATGTTCAGACGAAGACTTGGCCGCGTCACGCCATTTTCTGTTCAATTTCTCGAGTTTTCTGCTGCGGGCTTTCGCCGCCTCGCGGAAAGGACGATCAGGAAAGCCGTTGGTAGTTACGTTTCCGTTGGGCGGCGACCGGAGCGGCTGGATCGTCGTGACCGGAGTGATGCCGCTGGCCACGGTCTACGAGGACACTCACCTCAAAACGTGGCTCTTCTCTCTTCTTTTCTTCCCCAATCATCCTCTTAAGGTGCATGGGACGAGCGTTTGAACGAGTTAAAAAGATGGCTCCGAAGGTCCAAATAAACGCCGATTACTTCGATTCTGATGGTTCACATAGTTGGTAATCCTTACTTTATATCGTATTTGCAGTTATATTGTTGAAAAGTGAAGACCGGGCGCGATTCTTCGATTGCTTACAGTCTATACTGGAAACCGGCGTCCATTAAGTTTTTTTTTCATTTAAAGACCGACACACTGGTATGTTTATATTTTGCGCTCAATCAAATAATGACTTTATTTTCGAATATTTGTGCATTTTTTTTTTGGTAAAAAAATGCTTTTATTGACTGTCCTTTGTTCTTGTGCTTGGAATTTGCGAGATGCGAAGTTTTTTCCGGATCGATTCTGTTCATGTCACGCTGTTGGCTCTCATCTCAATTTCTCCCTATTAACATATCAAATTGATACGAAGTGTGGCCCTTTTGATTCTTTTACTTTGTTAATTTCTCTTTCAATATTCTTTGTGAACGATGGAATAAATTGTTTGTATGTAGGGTTTTTCATGCTCACTCATTCAAAGGTTTTCAAAGTCCAAGCAATGTTTTGAATTTAAAAAAAAAGTTTTTTTTTCAAACTTTAGTTCGGTAAGAACGGAAAATGGCATCCGAGCAAAAGAAGAAATTCAATGAGAAGCACGAACTCCGACGCAGGATATTCAAGGCGACAAAGGCAGAGAAGACCAATTGGCGCAAAGGTTTGTACAAATCCTGGAAGTGTTTTCAAGACGAATTTGCAGTGAAAGCAGATCTTTCGAAGTCGAAAGAATACAAACTTCTGAAGGAGAAAGAGCAACTCGAGAAAGATTCTGAGCAGAAAAACGACGTCGTTGATAAAAGTGAGAGGATTTCTTTTTTCCCGTTTTTTTATTTTTCGAGTTTTCTTATTCAATTATAAATTTTCAATTATAAGTGGCATATATGATAAACAAATAATAAAATGTTTGAAGGCTTCAACAATTTTTATTCTGAAGTATAGCTGGTTCTATATTATTGTATAGCTGAGGCTTTAGTCATCGAAAAAGAGTCCTGACACGATAAGAAAAGAGGTCGTACCTGGTTGGTGGAGAGCCCAGACAGGCCAAGCCTTTTTGCGTCCTAAGCTAGTCGTAAATCGGCTATAGTTTGAGAAAAAAACACCAGAATTCGCAATCAAACACGGTAAAAAACTTTTGAAGAGAAGGAAAAAGTTGCAGGCCGTCCTTATTCGCTGTCGATAGCCGTGCCCGGACAGTTCCTGAACAATGCGCAGAGCAGCGAACTTCGTGCCTACATGGTCGGCCAAGTGGCCCGAGCGGCGACTCTTTTCTGCGTCGAGGAAATCGTCATTTACGACGAGTCGTGTCGCATGACCCAAGAGTCCCTTCAGCTCCACAGTTTTCCACTTTCTTCAGCCTTTTCAGAGCGATCGACTCTTATTGGAATGGATCTTGGCGCGGCAACACCGAAACGTCCGATTCCAACTACGAAAGCTGCTTCCATCTGGCCAAGATACTCGAGTATCTGGAATGTCCTCAGTACCTGCGTAAAGCCTTGTTCCCCATTCACAAAGCTCTGAGATATGCAGGTAAGCATTTCCCAACGACTTTCTGAAATATTCGGATAATAGTTTTTCTGAGTATTAGCTGCGCAGGTGATTTTCGAAAAAAATAGTTTAATTGATACCATTTTTGACCACGAATATGTAGTTGTTAGTATTTCACATTCGGTCCTCAGAAAGCATTCAAGATATTTTTTTTAAATGTGATAGTCCAGAGAACAAATGTTGAGGTCTTTTGAATCCATTGGACGCACAGCACCATTTAAAAAGCGACGATCGGAGTTTTTTCTTCCGCGAAGGAATCGTTCTGAAAAAGCCTGTTAAACAGGGACGCGGACCCATTTGCGATATCGGATTAGAAAAGGTGGTTTGTCGAATTATTTAGAAGTATTTCGATCTTCCAGGAGTTTCAAATAGAGTCTGAAATTCCTCTGCCACCTGGGACTCGTGTTACAGTCGAGATCAAGAACATGGACGAAGGTTTCCTTTTTTTTTTTGAAAAGTTTTCAACTTCGGTATTGAAGATGCAAAACGATATCGCGGATCTCTGAGCAGTGCTGCCAAAGTTCGCCAAAAAACAGGCCAGTACTGGGGCTACTCTGTGAGGATCGTCACCAGCCTTCAAGAGACCATCGATAGGTCCGAATGTCCTCATTTTTCTCGCACGAACATACATGGGTAGAACTTTTTTTTAAGGCCGCTGATCATTCCTCCCGTGGCAATAAATTAAAGCCAATACTATCTCCTGGTGTTGAAATTTTCTTCAATTTTTGTCATGTCTACCTCCCTGGGGTAGAAACTTATTTTTATACCGTACTTTTTAAACGTTTTCAAGTCAACCCCTTCTCCCGGACTCATTGAGTTCTTTACTTGCCCATGTCTTCTTTTCTTCTTCTTACGCCTTTGTACCGCTTGAGCGGCGTCGGCGCCCCAAGTCGATTAGCCGAGGTCCTATCATGATATCAGTGGACTGGCTCCAGTGACATATCCGTCCTTGTGTGTGACGGCTGGGGATTATGAAGCCGTGGTTTCCCACTACCAACATTTCTTAAACCCCTTGGTTGGGTCGGGGCGGGGATCGAACTTGTGACCCTGTGGACCGTAGGCAGGCACACAACCTGTTGCGCTACGGCGCGCCCTTTACTTGCCCATGTATGTGCACGAAATCATTATTATTATAGATCCAAATACTTGACTGTGGCTGGAGTTTCGCCTCGAGGCATTCCCATTGGCCAGTTCGACGTGTGCGTCCTCAACAAACCGTACCATCCAATTTACAATCCGAGCTACATTCTTTGTTTCAGAAAAATCCTTCTCGTGTTTGGCGGCATTTCCGGAGTGGATGCCGCCGTGGAGAGCGAAGAATTGGCCGAGTGGAAACGCGCCGAAGATGCCTTCGACGTCCTCCTTGCGACGACCGCCTCCAACGGGTCTCGAAGCGAAAGAGTCGAAGAAAATGTGTTGGCCGTTTTGGCCCAAGTACAATGTAGACTCGAACAGCTCTCCATGTGATACTAACACCGATCGTTCCCCCTTTGAAACATTTCATTCGTTGATTTATTTGCTTGCAAAATTCTGTTAACCTTCCTTGTTATATGACTATTGTTTCAACCTCTTCTTACATAAGAAAAACGATAAATTTCGTGCTTCTCTTCGTTTCGATTCTCTTTTTGTGGTTCCCTTGGCCGATAGTACTTTCTTTCTTATCGCTTTTCGGGTTTGCCCGATAAAAACTCTTTAAAGATGCAATCCAGGCTATTCTCAGTTTCTTTTTCATTACTACGTTCTTCTTCGTTGAATTTACATGTAAGTGAAGAGTGGCTGTTCTTATCCTGACATTTTTCCTTCAGAAATCTCGGTGGCTGGTCTCTGGCGCCCCACAAACGTCACTTCTTCGACCAGCATCTACAAATTTGGAAAAGGGTATTCAACGAGTCCCGAATGTCCTTCCGCCTAAGAAAAAAAGTTAGTTTTCTTATCATTAAATTGGAAAAATTAGGAGATTTCGGGATTTAATTATATAGTTACGAATTATTTATATAAGATACACTACTAAAAGAAAATTTTTATCTATTTTTATGTCTTTTCTGTCGGATCTGTAATATTTTCATCCTTTCTTTTCAATGATTGTTTTTATGCTAAGTGAAAAAAAATGGCTCTCGAGGTAGCTTTTAAAATTGATTTCTCTGCGTTTCTGACTTCAATGCGGCTTCTTTTGAATATTCTTTGCGTGAATTTTGTGAGACTAGCCTCGAAAAACTTGGGAGCAAAACCGCCGACGCGGAACACTTTCGGCTTTTTTCGCGTCAGAAAATGAAAAGAACGGCGAAGCGGCACAAAATAGACGAAAGATCGGGCCAACCGTTGGAATTTTTCGGACAATGCAAAAGAACACGCGACTGCCATCTAACAACCGTTCTTTTTCTTTTCTTTTTTTTTGTTGACTTTCTCGGGAAATACGATCAGCGCACACTACTTTTTTCCCAACTACTTTATTCGATTTATTATATTCTCATTGATATTTTCGCTTTTCCACGAAAAATTCTTTGGGGGCGTCACTTTGACTCATCGCATGTGTTTTTCGAAAAGCTGTTTTCACTCTCTGCCGAATGTGTTATTTTTCTCACCTTTCTTAGAAATTCTTGAGCTAGACTAGTTGGCATAAGTTATTTACGAAAAAAGTGTAGAGTTTATTTTTGTATGATTTTAGGGCCACGTCTAAAAAAATCTCGTTCAACTTTCAGAAAGAAAAAAAAAGACGAGAATCGATCGAAAGAAAGTTTAACAAAAAGAAAATGAAACAAAGTTTCTGTTGAGTTTTGCTTGAATAGATTCCAATCAATTTTCAGCTTTTTGCACTTCGTACTTTTATCATGAAAAAATTTCTTAGCTGGATTTCTCAAAAAACATGTAAATGACATCCCTCAAGGTACCAATTATAAACTTCTAATAGCCTATCTAACTCTTACATTCATAAAATATAACTTCATAATGAATTCATTCATTCATTTCATTTCAAGTGTTTATTCGCCATTCCGCAATCTGCACGACAAATACAAAAAATAATACATCAAAACAATCAAATCAATCAAATAAATCTAACAGCTGATCTGTGGAAACGGCTGGAGGAAAAGATTGCCTGTATAGACGGTGCTAACCCCCATTTGGTATTTAAGTTTGTTCTTTGTTTTTTAATAAGTTAGAATTTTTCTAGATTTTAGTTGGATCTAATGATTTTAAAAACGATGTGTTTGATTCGAACCATGAGGTGAGCATAATCTGAAACTTGCCGATTTCGTATTCAATGATAGTTTCTCTCTCCAGTTGGTTCCAAATGGGTATGACTCTATGATTTAGGAAGCGTTGTTTGATCAATGCATCCATTGGTTGAACAAGTCTCATTCCATTTCCTCTGAGTTGATTATTTCTACTCGAATTCATCATTAATTTAACAGGCGACTCACTCCAAAAATATCCATGAATGTATTTATGAACGCAACAAACATCTTTAAAAAGTCTTCTAGTCCATAACGTCGATAGTTTCAGTTTGGCTAATCTACTGCGATAATCCAATTTCGGATATAATCTTTTGGTAAATTTTCTCTGAACTGATTCTAGTTGATTTATATCATTCAAATTTAGCGGGCACATTAGTTCGGATCCGTACTCAATGATAGATAAGATTTTGGCTTTGTAGCATTTTAGAAAGTTATTTTGAGAGAAATGAAAACAACGAAATAAATTATTTATTATTTTCATACATTTTTGTACTACTATACTCACATGGTGCCCCATTTTCAGATTACTCGTGAAGAAGAATCCCAGGTCTCTGACATTTTGTTTAGTGCAAAGAGTTTGATCGTTAATTTTGTATGTACTGGGTTCTGTCTTTTTTCCAAACTGAACTAACATGCACTTCTCAGGAGATATTGATAGTTGACGGCCCTCTAACCAAACATCTTTAAAAAGTCTTCTAGTCCATAACGTCGATAGTTTCAGTTTGGCTAAGTTATTCAAAGAATTTATTTTTTTGTCCGTTACGGATGATCTTTTAATTTCAAATGACAGCACCAAGTCGAACGTACTTCATATACTAAATATTCATATTATAACACCTTTAAGTATTGATAACTGTCACTGTAAACTTTTCAGTTTCCTATCTGTATAGACCAAGTTCTTACCAGAGTTCACCACAAAACAGACGTCTACGGTTTCAGTGTTATCAAATATTCCAAGCAACATATCTCTGTTTCTTGGAACACAGGATGTAAGACTGCCTCGAAAAATATCCAAAATAGGACTTATTCAATCGTATCTCATCCATTTAATAGTATAGCCCATTGCGCGACAGTCTATTTCGTGGTTACATAATTTCTACAATGTACCTTGTCTCATACTGCAAAATTTTTTTTTGGCATGTTTTTCCCATTCTCAAAATCTTTCAGAGGTTAACCTAGCGACCGCAAAGCCCCGCCCCTTTTCGCGAGGGAAAAAAGGCCATTTTTTTGGTATTCCGTCTTTGATTGTTTCGTACAGCCGATAGAAACAATGAAAAGTGATGAAAATTTCAGCATAAATGTAGAAAAGGTTCCTCTTTCCGTTGAAAAGGTTTTCAGATACTTTCCATGTGTTTCAACGGAGTGTCGTACGGAATAGTGAGGCGAGTTCGAAAAATAAACTTAGTTTTGCGTTTTGATATTCATGTAGGTCGCGGACAAAGTTGATTTTTTGAAAACTACTTATAAACAGTAAATGCAGTTTTTTAAGCCGAAAAAATAATAATTCTATGTTCGCCGAAAAAATTAAGAGGCGCGCAAAGTCAAAAATTGTTTTCTCAATTGTAATGCAGTATTGGAAGATGTTTATGCTTTTTTCATATTGAGAAAAACATTGCTCAAATAATACTTGTTGACAACTACCAGCAAATGTACTGTTTTTGAGTGGTAAAAAAAGGTGGAGAATTTTTTTGGGAGTAATTTTGAAACATTTCCCGGTCGAAGACACGCGTTTTTTTCTTACTCATTTATAAGAGTTTTTTTAATTTTCAAACAAATAAAAGCAATAAAATCGAAAAATTCAAGATCGCCGAAAAAAATTTTTCTCAACAAAAAAAGGTGAATAAAAAGTAGGCGAAATTACATTTTTTTATGGGATTCAAAGAGCACTGTAGGCTGTATTTGTGCAGTCACTGAGACGAAAGTGATGGTAAAGTGGAATTACAGCTCGTAAAACCTTCTCTTTTGGCTCCTGAAACCGTGCCGACCTTGCAAATAAGGGTGCGCGCAGATTGCATGAGAATTCGCAAAACCAAAATTTCAGTGCAAAAATTTTTGCTTTTCAATTACTTTTAAATATTGTTTTCTCCTCTTATTCTCAATATTTTTCGTTTTTCTTTTCTGTTTTCGCATACTACATGTTAAATTCATTATTTTTATAACAAAAACGAAGAGCTAGCTTGAGTTCGAAAAATAGGTCTGTGGTCCCTAGGTTAACCACATTCAGTAATGAATGAAATCACAGAAATTATACAATAAAAACCCTCTGAAAATTGAGGAACCTTTTTTTCAATAAACATTCAATTAAATGTTTTGAAAAATTTGAAAAAAAGTGGATAAAATGTGGAATATTGTCTGACAGCGTATATTTTATTTCGAAAAAAATTTCTCTATCCTCTGAGGGTAATGGTTTTCCAAACTCATTTTTTAAATTTATCATTAGATCCCCTCACCGAAACTGCCGTGATCTAAAGTCATGCGCGTAAAAGTGGTGAGTGAATTACAAAGAAGTTGTAAATGACTCAAATTTGAAAAAAAGTTTTCTCTTCTTTGTCATGCTTAAACGACTTTTATAGGTTTTTTTTTACAAAGGAAAGCCTATTCCGACTTCTAGAACGCAAGTTTGAGCCACCAATCCGTTTATCAGAGGGAGGATAAAAAGACTTTGAAAAGGCTTCGGAAAAGAAAGCAGCCTCGAGGGATGAATCTAGATGTGCTGGTGTTTATATGTGCGTCGGGGCAAATTATGCCGAGGTCATTGGGCCTCGCTCGCACCACGTGATTCGCCGCGTTGGTGGCGTTCTCGTCGTTGTCCGACCCTCTTCTGGATGCGGCGAACCTCTTCCGCCGGCTATTCTCCTGCCTCCAGTTGTTTGTTGACGGACTCGCCGGCCACGAAAACATGCGACGCACATGGGCAGAGTCGCGCTCAAATGTCGCCAACTATTTCTCAATGACGTTTCGAGGCTTCTTCAAACTTTAGCGAAACATCTTAACGTCCAGAAAGACTTTCATTTCTCAATCATCTTCGAGTTAGAGGGTTACGGCATCAACCTAATGAATCGACGAAAATACTCCATAAAAATGTTTGAAAACAGCTTTTTTTCTCAACATTGAGCAAAATGGCTTTTTTTTAGAGTTTTGCTTCTCTTAAAAAACATGTTTTGAGAACTTTTTTTTTTCAATATTCTTCTCTATACAAGCGTTTTATTTATATCTAAGCAGTTATGAGATGAAAATGGAAACGAAATAAGCAGCCTTCCCAGTTTCGAAAGTTTTCTATTATCTCACTCACTTTTGCTCCGAATCTGATAAATAAGTCATTCAAAATCACAAGAAACTAAACTTCAAACATTTATATGTTTGTATTCTCATTGAGTCGGTGGAAAAGGGCCTCACTTCTCAGGACCCTTCAACACGAGCGGAAGTCCTGGCCATGCACATGTGACCCAATACAATTCTTCTCTTTTTTAGTTTCCCGACTCGCTTTAAATAAATACACTTTGTCTCGGCCAGCTGCCGGTTCAAGCCCTTTTTTTCACGCAACCTCCAATCTTCTGTCGTCTTTTCTTTTATTATCTGGACATTTTTTTCCTTTTTTTTAAACTCATACGCATTCACTTGTATATTTTTGAGGTTAATTTTCAGACCCGCTGAAGTCATTATCAACCATTTCTTGCTTTTTAGCTCTCTGTTCTCATTTTTAAATAACGTAACATCTCTGACTCATAACTATCATATCCTCCTGATTGCAAAATTGAGAAAAAAAAAGTGATTTTCTAGATTCAGAATTCGTTTTTTTTTATCGAAAAAGTTCTCAGAAATTGGAAAAGGACAACGATTTCGGTTGGTATGATGACATGAGCCGGGGGCACTATCGGTGGCAGTTTTTTTGTATGCGACAGCTCTTGTTGATAGAGCGCCTTTTTTGAATTTTCTTTATCATATTGATCTTTAGATTGATGTTTTCTTGTTTTTTGTTCTTTTTTTGACGTCTAACGACACGGGGAAAAACAAGGTCCAAAGGTTGTTTCCCCTTGATAGGTGTTCCGATTTGTAATAATTTTTCCGTTAACCTTATCGAACTGCTGAAATTTTTCTGCCTAATGGTTTTACAATATTTTCCCAGCAATCGAGATCATAAAAGGAAATACGAAATAAAAAAGTTTGAAAAAACCGAAATTTTCTTCATATATTTTTTTTCCAATTGGAAAAAGTACTAACACGAATTTTCAACAATATCAATTTGTTCATAACTACCTCAGAAGTAGGTTAAAAAAATTCAATGTACAAGAAGATTTAAAAAAATTTTTAATGACTTCTAATTGATTTAAAGAATCGGAATTTCAATGTTTTTTATTCTTCTTGCTCCCGTTTTCAGTTAATCTATTTCACAGCAGCTCAGTTCATTTTTTCTTCCGCCAGCTTTCTTTTTAGCTCAACGCAAAGTCCATATGCGTGCGTGTGTGTTTTTCGCGAAGCGAACGCTACGTATTGTTTTTGAGGCATTCGCTTATTTGTTCGCTCAACTTCTTCTCAGCAACTACTGATCATTTATATTCTCTCAAGGTTTTCTTTTCGATAGTTTTCATTTGAATATATCTTCCAAGTATAATCAAATAGAAAAAATGTATTCTTATGGGCCGGTTTCCGAGAAGCGTCCGGTCGAGATTTGATGAAATGAAATATCGATTTTTTGTGGCAGAAGTGCTGGAAAGGGGCTCCCTTTTAGAAATGCATGGATTATTCAGGAATCGATTACAACGATTATTAGAGACAGCCACTGGGCGTGGCCTAGAGTAGCGTATAAAAACTTTTCGCCGCCGATACAAGAGTCGAGTCTTTTCTTTGGCTCTTCAAATAACGTTTTGAAGCGGGTAATCTTTCCTTCTATCATCCATCAGATCATTCAGAGTTTTTCAAATATCACAGAAAAAGTTATTGGTATTACAAACGGTTACTGTTGGAATTTGAATATTCCGGACTGGATTCTCGGGTTGGTCACATTCTTATAGAGTTATAATATGTTATTTAAGCCTGTTTACGAAACGATTTCTTTTTTAACTTTTACGTCTCACTTCATTTTGGTCCATCAGGGGTTTCCTTTTCTCCACTTTCACTGGGAATTTCCGTTTCTTGACGTCATTTTCTCCTCGACTCCGTTCTTCGCGCATCACGCGTTTTTGTTTTTTTTTTTGGCAAAGAGGGGCATCGACTCCGCCTCTTCAGACTTTGTATCAACTCTTGCTTTTTTCCACCTACTCTTATTCATTTTGCAGCAAAACGAAACGGTTGTTCATGAATATATTCACGACATTGGTTAAAACATGACAAGTTTGATGCTCAACCCTTTTTTGGTCTTCTTTGCTTTCTGTGAGTGTTGTAGAGAATTCAAATGCGTTTGCTCAAAAGACTTTTTAGTTTTGAGTGATTAGACTCCAGGACTGATGAAAAGGAAAAGAGGCTTATCTCTGTTGGGAAGAGTGTATGAGCCGTTCTTTTATTGTCTTAAAGTAAAAACGTTTAAATGGACTTATTTTCTTATTTTAAGGGAACTGGCTCAAATGGTTGTCGTTCTCGACAATCCTGATCGCTGGCGCGACCTACGTTGGCTATCTTTTCACTCCCGACTGGCGCGAGATCGTCGACAGTAAGCACTACTACAGTAACTGGAAGGTTGCTCTTTTTCTCTTTGCCGTGCGAAGTTGAGATTCTGAAGATCCGCGTGTATCTCTCTTTGCCTTTCAACACGGCGAGTCGGTTGGTCGGTGGCCTGGCCAACCGAGAGATCCCAGTTTGGCTGCGAGAGCCGTTCCTCGGGACTTTTGCTCGGGCTTACGATTGCAACATGGAAGAGGCCGTGGAGCCTGACCTCAAGGTCCCACTTTGTATTTACTTCCAATACTTTTTCTTTAGAGTTATCCGTCGTTCGCTGCGTTTTTCAATCGGAAGCTGAAGGAATCTTCTAGGCCGATAAGTGAATCGCCGCTGGTAAGGCTATCTTCCGAGCTGGATCTTAGGTTTTGCTCATTAGGTCTCCCCTGCCGACGGCATCGTTCTTCATTTCGGCAAGGTCGACGAGAACCGCATAGAGTATGTGAAAGGGCATGACTACGACGTCGGTTCTTTCCTCGGAGAAGTTGAAATGACGCAGAAGGTTGGTTGCGTTTCAAATTCTTCAACTAGAAACTTCAATCTTTTTTTGTTGTTTTATTCTTCAGTTAAGAATTTTGGTTGAAAGAAGGGCATTTAAAGCTTTCTTTACAATTTTTTTCCGTTTTTCTCATTTATGCAAATTTGGTCAAGTTTCAACTCAAACTGCTGTCAGGCCAAGAATATGACGGTAACAAAAAAATGAAAGGATAGAAAAATGTTTTTTTCTCAAAGAAGTTCTACTTTTTCTCAATTTTCAAAAATACTTTTTCATTTTATCCAAGTTAACTAGTAGGACAAATTAAGTTATTAGTCATCGAAAAAAAGAAAAAGGAAAGTAAAAAAAGAGAATGGATAATAGAAAAAAAGGATAAAATGTATACAAAATGCTCTTTTTGAGTATATTACTACTCGAATGTTACAATAAAGACGAATAAATCTGATTCCAGTCATTCTTTTGGCTGGTTGCCTATGACGATCCAAGTAATCCGAAGGAATTGCCGATTATCAATGATCTGTTTTAAGGACGAGTTGGACCTTTACCAAGTGGTTATTTACCTTGCTCCTGGAAATTACCACGCGTTCCATTCCCCGGCTCGATGGGTCGCCAACCAGTGCCGCCATGTTCCCGGTCTCTTTTTTTTCTCTTTCTTCTTCGTTTCTTATTTTTCGAAAACTGTTCTGGTTTCCATAAGTTTCAACTCATCCAAACGTCTTCCAGGACTTCTGCTTTCTGTGCGGCCGACGCTGCTCAGCCATGTGCCTCACTTGTTCTGTTTGAACGAACGCGTCGTTCTGAACGGCTCCTGGCGCCATGGGTTCTTCTCGATGTCGGCTGTAGCCGCGACGAACGTCGGCGACATCGTCATCGATGCTGTTCGTCATCAGAATCACGGAAAAAACACTCCATTTTCTGTTTCAGGAGCCATCTTTGCGCACTAATAAGATTCAGCGAAGGAAAAAGGCGGAAAAGATGATGAACACGGAAACGGAGATTCACGCGCCGTTTCTTTCAGGAGAACGAGTAGGCGAATTCCGTCTTGGCTCCACTATTGTTTTGGTCCGTTTTAAAGCTTTTAAATTGAGGTTTGAAGTGTGATTCATTTTGCAGAGCAATTTTTTTCATAATCTGTAGTTTACTTGTATCGTTGAGAAAAAAAAGATTGTGATCTGAAGCAAATTGCAGTTTAATTCCCTAAAAAGGACGAATGGTCAGTAAAATATAAGATTAATTTTACTCGATCCGCGCAGATTAGTGGGCGTGTCGTTAGAATTGCCATTCATTCTGAACAACCGCAAATTAACTACGAAAAAAACATATTTCTAAAGAAGTAAACAAAAATTACTTTCGTAGCCAATATTCGAGATTTCAGGGGACTTTTTCAAGACAGAGAAATTGATGCGTTATAGCGAAGACGAAGAAGAACATTTTTGCAGGTTTTCCAAGCACCTCCAACGATCAAGTTCTCGATAAAGGCTGGAGATCCACTGCGCTACGGACAGAGTATCGTCAGCGACGGAATCTGAGGCCCTCGTCGACCTGTACATTCAAGTTTTTGTGCAATAAGTTGTGATTATACCTGTTAACCGTCATACCTCGTTCTAAGGGAAAGTCGTACCAACTGGTACATAGAAAAATTTAATTATAAATCTTTAGCGCACTTTAATCTTTGTTAACTTCTTTTTTGATAATCCTGCGGGTGTGCATTTCAATCTGCAATTATGTCATTTGGTTGCTGAAAATTTTCTTCCGTTCGATTCAATTGTTTTTTTTTATTACGGCCAAGTTTACGTGTCGTTGATTGATCAGATTGCATGCGATTCATTGCCATTTTTTGATAAACTTGAAGTCAGAACGGAAGTATGGAGTTGTTGATCTGAAGCATCGCTTGTTCGTGATTTTTTCCAGCTCTGACTTGCGCCATCCGAGAGGTTCTGCCGAAGTAGTGAGACTCTAAATCTAAGGTTTTATCCGTCAAAAAGTTCAGTCAAAGCTTACTTTTTTCAGAAAGAGAACAAAGTTCAAAAAGCATCGTTTCACGTTCTGCGAATTCTAAAGAAAGGTCTTCTCTCCTTTCTTTGTGTTCTTCCAACTGAAATTTTCAGGAAGATATGTGCCGAAAATGGTTTGGGTTCAAGCAAAAACTTTCCTGAGTTCAGGAAATTCAGCACACCTTTTTCTGCACAAATTCAACGTTGAATCTGCGAATAGAACGGTTCTGCGAGAGTCTCTCGTTGATTTCATCGAGGAGCTCGACTCTCCGTCGGGGTTTTATCACGACACATTTGCGCAGAAATTTCTCTTTTCTTTTTCTAATCTGGATCGACCGAAACTGCAACTTTTTTTCTTTGTTCCCGATAATTGAAACGAAAAGACTCACGAATTTCTGAATTATAAACGCGGCATCGTTGTGGCGGCAGTAAAAAATCTGGTCTTGAAGCTGCTCCCGCTGGGTCTTCAGCATCGCCGACGGTTTCTGTGCCTCGTCGAGCAGAAATCGACAGACGTCTCTGGCCGGCATGCTCACCAACTTTTCCATCATCTCCTGCTCGTATTCCTGAGAATCTTTCCAGAGACAATTTTGCAGCTACCCGTTCAGTTCTTGACAGCTTTTGTACATGTACAACTCTCGCCGATAGATTTTTGACGAACCTTTTCAGATCGCAGTTTCTTGAGTTTTGCCATAAGAGCTTCATTGTGCAGAGATATTTGCGTCAAGCCATCCCAAAGAGCGCTAAAAAAGAACTTTAAAAGGGACGATGTTGTGAAGAAACATTTCGCCAGCTTTTTCCAGCGCGCGTTCCTTCTTCTTCTGGCTCTCTTTCCACCATCTCTGCAACTTCAAAGCAGACTGTTCCTCCTGTAACAATTATTAGAAGGAGAAAAGGAAAGGAACCAACCTTTGTGCTCATGGAAACGCGCAACTGAACCCGCTCCGGTCATCGTTGTCATGGAGACGTTGACCCTAGGTGACGTCATGAAAAGGGATTTCACCGTTGAACCTAATGGGCAGACAGAGGGAGCTATCAGGACACTTTGAAAACGTTCAAAATGCAATCGCAGAAGTTCTTCGTTGTTTCATATATAATCGAAATTAAAGAAACACATTTTTTGGACGTTATCAGAACCCAACGAGACGCCTCCGTGTTGACAATTCGCGAGAATGCGTTGAATGAAATCGAGCTGAGTCAGAGTCAGATTTGTTTGCGAAGACGTCGGAGGGCCGTTCGCGAGAAGAGTACGAACAGTCCGCGCTGCATGTCTTCTGATTTGTCTTCATGTCTTTCTTTTCTCGTCGTTTTGCCCGTCCTCGGTAAGCCTTCCCGGCTCCTCGAAGGAAGGATCAGTTGCAGTGCAGTCGCAATCCTACAACGACGTGATATGCCGTCGACCGTGGTACTTCAACAGTCCGCGGCCCGCCCCCATGTCGGCTTTTATAGTGCTCACATCTCTGTTTCAGAATCAGACCATAATACTTTGAGAAGTTTTCCGACTTTTATGAGAAAATTCTTCGTTTTTGAAAGATTTCCGGATGAACTTTTTTTTTGCTCGAGAAAAATAATAACAAGGAAGGTAATTTTACTTTGTGGTTAAGAATTTCTTGAAAATTGGTGCTTGATGTATCATAGGAAGATCCTGAACGTCTCAACCAAAGGTCTTAAAGTCGAAGAAAGTCCTCAAAATCCTTTGAAATAGGCAATCTTGAGGCTTTGAGCTCACATTTCTCGAAAACTAGAAAGTTTTACAAGTTTAGACGCTTAGGATCTTTCAAAATCCCAGCAAGGAAAATCTGGCCAATAATAGAGAAACTACCAACCGCAAAATAAAATGACCTCCCTTGAACAAATAATAAGTTCAAAACTGTAGATCCTAGGGATTTTTAGGCAATACGATTGTTCAGTAGTTCGGAAAGCCTAGGGAATTTGGTACGAATCGAAATCATTTTTTGAAGTCTCCTTAACCCTTTTTGTTGTTCAATCATTCATTTTGTGAGAATGTGGAAAGCTGCGCCGAAGAGAAAATCTTTGAGTTAGTATTCTTCGCAGTTTACCCATTCAGAACTGAAAATAAATCGAAAGAATACTAAACGCGAAATTGCAGGCGTTGCCCCACGCCGTCGTTTTTCTTCTATTACGAGTGTTGCGGCGAATTCCTGGAAAATTGCTGTTGGCGCGTCCGACCTGAACCAATGTGAGCCGACAAACCAAAAACGGCTTGCAAGACTCGAGACCACAGAGGGTCTACTCTGTAGTTCAAGCTTTACTTTTTTTTTGCGAATTCAGCAATGATCTGCACAAAAACCAAGGAAAATTGCAAAAAAATTTCATAGCAAAAAAATCTACTTTTTTTGGAAAATCTTCTTTATTGGGAATTCAGCGATGCTTACTTTTCGAGGCCTAATTTTCAGAATCAGAAAAGATACAGAAAGATTAAAGAGTGAGAAAAATTGGTGATTCAATTGTTTCAGATACGTGACTGTAGCGATTGTGTTGGTTCTTTTGTTGCTGTGTAGCTGCTGCTGCGTCGTCGGCTTTCTTGTCAAAAACAGGAAGCGAAAGGGCGAGAAAAGGCTGGAGACGTCGAACCGGCAGACGGAGACGGAGAACGTCGTCTCCTTCGAAAGGAGCACTCAGATGAGCGAAACCGAAGACCGGCGGCGATCCTACGCGGCTGCACGGGACCGCGACATCGACTACCAATACTTCTGAATTTTTCGAAGCAGTCTTTTTTGGCTTCTGTAGACGACCGTAAATAGACTAAACCTCCAGCTCTCATTGTAAATAGTTGTACTTAAATTTAGAGACCGCAAAGCCACGACCCTTTTTGAGATGGTGAAATGCACTGGTTTTTTAGATTTTGTGTTTGATGTTTTCGTAAAAGCGCAATACTGAATCAAACACAGAGAAAATTAGTGGAAACATAGAGAAAACCTTCCTCTTCAATTTGATATACTTTTCACCCGATTTTCAAAGCGTTTTAGCGGAGTGTCGTACAAAAACCAAAACTAATTTTTTTCTTCGGGTTTTTAACCTAGTTCCATGTCGTTGGCGCCTTTTTTTATTTTCGAATTCGATTTATAAGTGAAAAAAACACATCTTTTAAGATAAAAAAATTAAAATTTCCATGATGCCTAATCTTCGTGAGGCCACGCAAAGTTGAAAAATTTTTTTACTTGGTTTCGAGAGCGTGTAAGTAAAAAAATTTTTTTATTTTAACTTGTGCATTAAATTGTAACTAAAACTTTATTAGTATAAAACTTATTCCGAAAAACTTTGTTTTCTGAGAAAAAAAGACAGTGAAAAATTTCGAAATTCATTTTAGCATGGTCAGATGTCGTTGGCGCCTTTTTTTATTTCTTAATTATTAGCGTAACTAAATTTTTCAATCAATAAAAAAATTAAATAAAAAAATTTTAGCGATGCCTAAAAGTTTAATTATTGTTAATTTGAAGCCAACGCTAAAAATAACAAAAAACGCCGAAAACAGAAGCATTTTGAACTGAATTTTGAACTCTCTATGAATAAATTATTTTTAGGTGGTCCGAACACACGTGACTAATAATTGTTCAACTATCATAACTTTTTTTTAAACAAGATAGTCCGTAAATGCTGTACGTTGAGGTGAAGTGGTGTATAGCGCGAACGCCTCTCATCTCCGAGGGATGGGCGTGGAGCAGCGCAAGTGTTCTTGGATACAGTTTTGATATGGCGAGTTCGATCCTCGTAGCGGCCATTTTTTTTTCACGAAAAAATAGCTTTTCTCTTCAAACTTGTATTTTTATACTGTTTTAATGACCTATTATGATTTTGAAAACCGAAATAAACTACTAAAAATCCCATATGAAAACAAAATGAACGACCAAAAGTGTAAAATCTAAACTTTCAGTACTAAATTTCGCGACATTTTTCACTTCTTTTTTGACCATAACTTTTTTTTTTCAACCTTTTTTGATAAACTAAACTGTTTTGAATAGTAAATTGGAGCAGCTATCCAACCATAGTAATATTGAAGCTCGAACATTTTTTGAAAATTTGGTTGCGGTGCCTACTTAAATTCCAAGTATAGACGATTCACGGCTAGCTTGGGACGCAAAATGGCGTGGCCTGTCTGCACCCTCCACCAACCAGGGCACTGTCTCGTCTCTTTTCGTGGCAGGACCCTTTTTTTGATGGCTCAAGCCAGCCGTGAATCAGCTATACTTCGAAACAGGTAAAAAACAATTTTTTGAGGCTTTTCCGGAGAAGTGAGGCGCGAGTTCCAGGCTCCGCCCAACGCTTCTGAAATCGTTTGTCTTCTCTTTTTGCGACAAAACCCATGTGAATGCCGAAGCGAACACGGCCGTGAATATTTCAGCCAATTTCTCTTCGCTCTTCGTTTTTTTTTTGCTCTGGTTCCCCTTTGAATCGTTTTCTAACCGAATTCACAAAAACAACCATTTACAAGCTTTTTTTGTTCCCCAATCACTCCAGAGCTTAATCCGTCAAAAAATAAATTAATTTTTCCGTCTGAAGGATTAACAGTGAACAACTTATTCGGAAACAGCTCCGGTTGTCCAGTTTCAATTTTTTTTTCACACCGTTGTTCTTGTGATTTTTTTCCCTATTAGCTTTCGCGTTCTGGACTCTTTATCACTTTTTTTTATCGCACAATAAAAACAGTTTCCTGCTACTATTAGCTTTTTTCCGCTCTAATCGGTTCATAGATTTTTTTTTTCTGAAAAAATATTAGTCTTTGAAGTACGTGAAATGGAAGGAATCTAGTGAAGAAAAAAAAGCCATTCGAAAATTTTGACGTAATTTGGCCCCACTTAAAGTGCACCCTCGAAACAGCTCTTATCGAGCTTGGAAAGAAGAAAAGCGAAAAAGAGTGTCAGCCGTCTTTGACGAGCCGGAAGGAGTCTGGACAAAGTTGAGATGGCGTCGTCGCGTGGCCGGGAACGGATGCGTCAGAAGCCGCAGCGGCAGTTCGCCTTCGGGTCCAGCACTCCTCGCGACCTCTCCCATCTTTCCACCGTTCGTTTTACAGTTCTTTCCTCAAAAAACACGCATTTCTTTTACTGTTAGCTGGTCACAATTGATACTTTCCGTGTCTTCATGTGTTGCCAGTAAAAAGAATGCCAGTTTTTTCTCTTTTCTCTATTCTCCCTTCTCGGAATTTAATATATTACATCTCATTCGCGGGACGTGAAAAACTCTAATCTACCTGTTCTCTCCATCATCTCAGCGGCGAGTTCATTGAAACGGGAAAGTATTGGAAAACGTGCACAGGTTAATAAATAGAATAATTCATAACTGGATTAAAAAAACAATTTTTCTAAAAAAACAATTAAAAAAACAATTTTTTTCCTTTTTAGAACCTGAATTTTACCCTTGCGCTGGGAATTTTATAAATCGCTGTGGAAACGAGAAGAAAACTCGCATTTTAAGCCGTCTCGCAAAAATATGAACTAGCTTTCTGAAAAAACAACGTGCCTCTTGTCAAAATAACCAGCCCTCTTCCGGTTTAGTGAGTAAGAGCAAAACCATGGAAAGTTTGAAAAAAAAAACCGGATTTCAGCTCACCTGCAAGAGCAAAAACTCTCTTCACTACTCTAAACCTCAACGTTGTGAATGAAAAATGAGTAGTAAAATGTGCGCAGTCTAATGGGGGAGTTGAAACGAGTCCCAGAGGACGTCTTCGAGCTTCAACTCTCCAACTGGCGCAATTCGCTGAGCAACTGCGCAAAAGCCGAGAATCCGATGAACGTGGAGAACAATTTCCATTTATACTTTGAAAAAACATCCAAAAGATAACAAATAAAGATGACTCGAACAGTTTCTTGAACGTTGCAGGTGCCGCCAGAGTATCGGAGTTACGACGCCAGAATCGAAGTGGTCCGAGAAGGTCCTGAGCTCAAAGAATACATCCTCAAGGCGCGATCTGTTTCCAGAGACGGTACCGATTCCTACCCAACTCATTTAATGCAGCATTCCCTGCAGATTAAATTTTTTCTTTCAGTCAAAACCAAAAAAGACATTGTTATTGAAAGTTTGATGAAACTTCATTGAACCTTTTTTGAACCAAATATTGTCGCTTCGCAATAGTTTCCAAAATTTCACTTTTGCACTGGTTTCAACGCCACTTTCCTGAATCCGCGCAGAAAGCAAAGTGTTTCGAAAAAAAAAGCGTCACGCTTTCCCCGATAAAGTTATATTTACTGTGGATAGACGCATTTCTCACACATTTCTGCTTGTGAGGATTTTTCACAGCCAAGAGGGAGGCTTTTTTCTTGAAATTAGTCTATAGTCTGTTCAGATTTCAATGCCAAGTCTTTGCTGAAGCTCCGCCCCCTAATGGCGCGATAAACCGATCAGAGAGCGAGCCATCCACAGAGCGTTTCCGAACGACGTCATTCTACTTGACATTCAGAATCTGAACAGACTATATCGATGACTAAAAATTATCGGCAATGATTATGCGAGAAGAATTTTATTGCGGTTGAATGTAACTGCTTACAGAATAAAATGTGACAGATTTTCACTAACAACTCAAAATTTTATTTTCGATTTGAATGACCAGACTTCTCAGTACAAAGCCTCGAGTTTTAGTAACAAACGGACGGAATTGGGCGTTTGGGTCTTCGACACCACGAGATTTGGCTCATTTGGTGATGATCCCGCCACACCAACGCATCTATAACGCGAAAATTCCGAAGAAAAGTCCAACCGCTCCGGAATTCAAAGCTTCCACGAAAAGAAGTACAACAGGTGCGTTTCTTTTAGGTCAAAGGTTTACTGAAAGCACAGCACCGCCGGTTGGTCGGCAGCCGTCCATAGCACGTCCTGCAGGTTCTCGATTCAGTGAAAAGGACGAGGAAGTTAGTTCGGAGCCCGACTTCATCCAGGTGCTGAGAAATCAAGCTCTATCCAGCCTTCTAATGTTGCAGGACCGAGAAGAGTTCGTGAAAGCGATGAAAGAGGAGTTCAGGAAACGGATAAAGAACATTAAAAACGATGATGGTGCAGAGCCAAGAAATTCTTTAAACCAGTTTATTTTTTGCAGAACAGAAGCCAGAAGAGCCAATAAGTGAAACTTCTCTTGCAGAGCCCAAAGTCGTTGACAATGTTAATTTCACGAGAGCTGCAGGTTTGTAATTCTAAAAATATGATAAAAATCGAGATGAACAGAAATAGCACCGGATCCGAGAAAGTCGATGCGTATTCGTGCAGACACTCACGACGAAGACGGTCAGGATGCCCTACAGAGCCGCGCACCGGTGCAAAAGATGGACGATCAGGTGAACTAGACTGTATTCTACAAGTAGTGGAAAGCCCTCAGATCACTGTTTCGGAGCTGAACGAGTCGACGCCTGCGACGGAGATCGTGGTGAACGAGGCCGGCGAGACGACGGACCTCTCCAACCAAACGACCGTCTCTAACACTACGGCCATCGTCGATGACTTACTCAAACGCGTAGAAAACGTCGCTGTTGATGATCAAGAAACTGTACGCCTAAGCTTGCTGTGAAAATCGAAACTTTATTTTTAGGATGAGAACCGGATAAAGTTATCCACGTCGGAAAAACACGCACACTAACAATTTTCGATAATTTCTTCTCGAGAAAACTTATCTGGAAGTTTGGCTATTTTATTTAGCTGCATATCAAAAACTGAAAGTATGTGAAAAATAAACTTTTATTCAAAAATTCTATTTAAATTTTTTTAATTGAAAGCACAAGTTTCAAGTGAGGCGATTTACACAGGAATTAAACACAAATGATGCGTGAAAAGTTACTGATCGATATTTAATTTTTAAAACTGAAAATTTTGATTCTAAACTCCCACAACCGCTCATATCACCTTCCGAATTATCCCGTTATTCAAAAAGTCAGTAGAAAAAATTGATAACCCGGGAAAAAAAGAAAGAAAGAACTCGAGAAGAATCATCGGAGATGAAGATTTGGCAGAAGTGAACTGACGGAGTTGACCCAGAGATTGGCACAGGCGGCGTCGTAACATTGTCCGCCGTACTCGACCGCATTCACAGAGAGTTGTCCGCAAATCGCGCAACTCCTAAAAACCAACGTTTCTCTACTCCTTTTGATACATGAAACCGGAAAAAAATTAATTGTGAAAAAATTTCACCAATTCTTCGAAACCTTATATATAATGAGGAATCGAAAAGGTACGTTCAAGGAAAACTTTTGAGAAATCTTCAAAGATAAAAGTTTAAAAGAAATGCAGAAAAATGTGGTGAGGAGAAGCCGCAAAATATTTTGATAATTTTTTTGAAAAAGGTTTTTTCGCGATTCGGAGATGGAAAATGAACCTATGACTAGCGTCGCTCTCCAAGAAATCCGGGCCTTTGACGAGGTGCGAAAGACGCTTCCAGCACTTTCGACACGCCTCGGCTTCAGTCGTCGACTGCGACGGCAGAGAAACGCCGGCGGAACGGCACACTCGGTTCATTATCTCGAAGGCGATCGCGAGGCCTCTGCGAGCATCGTTAGTGTTTCACAGTCTTGAGCACTTTAACAAAATTCAATTTCAGAATATCGTCTGAGTCCAATGAGCAGGCTTCCTTCTATTTCTCTGCTTCTTTCTTGTGGTCTTACCCAGTGAAGATTCCAAATCCTTTGATAGTCAGTTGAAGTCTCTAGCTATTACGGTATTTTGTTGTATGCGAAGCCACCTACGAATTCAGAGAACTGCTTTCCGAGAGAAAATGAATGAATAAAATACCTACAATGAAGTCTCATTTTTAGATTGGATACTAAAAACAATTTCCATTCAAGGAAAACTATTGATTATGTTGTTCAGTTCCTATACCACGGCCTGTTATTCATCACTAAAGAGTGATTTTTTTAAAATATTTCATTCCATCAAAAAAAAGTTTTCGATCACACACCTCAGATAGTTTTCTCCTCGTTCGGTCGCGGCGATTTCCACTAATACGGCGTCGTTTTCTTTGGCGAACAAGTCATTGGCTTCCTTAATATCATAGAGTCTGCCGAAGAAGAAAAGCACCCACTTGGAAGAGAAGAAAGACCGCGTGGACGGTTTCTCTCCAACAAGCGACGGCCGCGTTCTCAGGAGAGCGACCTTCCCCATTCGGACTTTCTGAGGCGTTCCACTCGATTCCGACGAGGTCTTGTCCCGCCACGGAAGGAGCTGCCTTCGCCGGCGAGCTGTTGACCGAGACGCTGGGAGATTTGCTCGAAATGAGGTCCACCTCCTTCTTTCTGGTGGATCGTCTCAGAGGCAGCAGGGATGTGGGAATGAAAGAAGACGCCGTCGAAGACTTTGTTCTGCATTGAAACCAACATTTCTCTCGAAATCGTTCAATGTTTATTCTTTTGAGGATTGGAAACGATGATAAATCAGTTTTCGTCTTTGATAACAGTCTCTTCGTTGTTTTTATCTTGATCTAACTTTGCTTTTATTTTTTCATTTATTTTTTCTATTGAACTTCCTTCACAGTTCCGAATATTTGTCCTCTAATTAAACAGTGGAGATTTTGATAATTTCTTTGAATGAATAGTGCTGACACGATCCGGTCTTGAGCCTTACACAAAGTATTTATACTTTTAAGACTTTATTTTGGGATATTTAAAGACGCCGAAGCCTCACATGATTTGAAAAGACGCTGAAATAGGCCGATATTTCACGAAATTAATGTTTCCAAACTTCCCTAAGAATGAAAATGAACATAAAATAGCTAACTATTCCACGAGAAAGACTGAAAAACGCTTGTCTCACTTTGTAGTGACCGGCGAGTTTGTCGAAGTCGATTGAACATTGTTCGAATTGGTGGGGAAGGCCTGGACCGTGTTGAGAAAAGGAATGGGCAAAGAATCCATCGTCGAAAGAGCAGCGAGGGATTCTTTTTTCTGAAAGAGCTCTTGTATCTTCCAAAATGAGAGGACGGACCTGAGCGAGGGCGATGAGCGCCAAGCAGGAATAGAACTCAGGACGCGTCAGCTGGCCTGGAAGCGTCCGGTTAACCGCCGACCAAATGTAGGAGAGTACGTGTCGCGGCAGACCCGAGGTCACCATCAGATTGTAAACTGGAAGAAAACGGAAACTCAGGTCAGGAAATGCAGATTGGCTTGTCAACTTCAAAACATTTGATCAAATGGAAAACTGCAAAGGTCAATCGAGATATCCACTTCGTCAGTCAATAAATAGGATACGCGGTAAGAGTGCTATCGGAGTGCATTTCGGCAGCATACTTCTAAAGCTTTGTCAGCATTCTCAAATCCAGAAGGCATATAGACAGTTTCGGAGTGCACACAAATGGTATCGAAAGAGCAGAAAGTTAGTCTCTGTATGCTATTTATTGATTGACCGCGTGCAAGTTCCGGCTGAAATTGAAAGTGCACTCCGTTAGCTATTTTTGAGGATACGCCGATTGACCAGTGTGGATAGTACAATCTTCTAAAAAAAAAAGCCAGATTCCGAGGTTTTTGTTTCTGGGGGTGCATTAAGTTTGCGCAAGTGTATCACAAACAGAACTTAACATCTTAGAGTTTTCTTTTTCTTTCAATTCTTATTTTAAATTTTTTTTGCATATAAAGCAAAATTTCATGCAAAAACTCAGCTCACATAATTGATATTGGTGTTACCACGTCCAGGTTTAGTTTCGTGTGCCTGATTTCCTATGCTAGTGTTCTTGCTCATTTTCCAAAGACTGAAAGACAAAAAATAATTACCGGAATTCGATGAACCGAAAAAAACTACCAAAATAGAACGAAAATGGAAAAACTCTGACCCAAAGCCGTGTTGGGCGGTGTACTGAGTGTCGCGGCTCCACAGGCGACTATCGCGTCGACGTAAAACCGAGGCACTCGGGATTCGTCGAGCAGCGCAGGCGGCAGAAGTCCCCCACCGCCACTCAGCATTCCTAACAAAAATCTCAATTTTCAAATTATTCACTGCTGTTTTTAGAAACATTTGTGATATGAATGCTTGAAAGGGGGCGAAAAAACTTTTTTTTTATTCTCGAAATCAAATTAAAAAAAACCCTATACCAGATTGAACCAAATTTGACGAAACTTCACTACAAAAATTTATCGCTTTTTTTCTAGTTTTGTATAGCATAGGTGCAAAAAAACTGTATTTACGGTAGATTATTTTCAGCTGCGCTTTTAAAATGTGACAGAAATTAAAAAAAGAAAAAAAAAATGGCGCGGAACACACTGCATGTGAGTCTGACTTTCTCCATACGAGCTAATTTTTACAATTTTCTACCTCCAACTGTTGCTTCGTAATACCCTCCTTTTCGCAAAATTTAATTTCTCTTTGTTCCACATTTGGAATGTTTTTTTAATGATAGCAAATATTTGAGAATATTTAGATTGGCCATAGAGCAACCGGTCCTTTTTCAACCTATCGACCTCGGCCATTTTCGAAACCCGGCCCTAGGGAAGCCTTGAGCAAAAATGGCCGGCCCGGCCCCAAAAAGCTCAAATTTTTTCCAAGTCTAATATCAAGCAGCTTTTCATCGACAAACGGCAATTTTTTAAACTATGATTTAACAAGTTAAAATAAGTCTGTCACGGCTTTCTTGTTAGGAGTATTTTTCCTATAAACTTTGCTATGGATGAAACTTCCGAGCTAGCAACCATGGAAGAACGCTCACCGGTCTTGCCTGCAACGGGAATGTTGCCGCTTTTAATGACTTCTTCCATTATTTGACTGTCCATGACAAACGTTTTATTTTCGAGGCCTCCTGTGAGATCCATCGTGCTTCTTAAACACGTTTCCTTGTTATCGCCTTCTGGATAACATATTTTCAAATATTGATCATGGTATTCAACCGTCTGCTTCATTATCTTCATGCATATGATATATCAAATTTTACAATTAAAGTATTTTTTTTATTCACAATCGGTTTTAAAAACTTGCAATATTATAAATAAAAAAATCTCAACGGCTCTACAATTCGGATCGCGAGTTTCACAACTTGAAGTGGATTACAACCGAAATCAAACAGCTAACACAGTTTGAAAAAAGTGCGGAATAAGTCAACATACTACATTGACTTGAAGCTGTCATATCAACATTTGTTACACAGGGCATGGAAAGGAATGAATTTTGGGGTGAATGAGTGACTAAATAATATTTATTTTGATGGAAAAGATACCAACGGATAAGATATAATGATAAAAATTATGATGTTCCGAGGATAAGAGCCACGATCATACCGTAAAGTCCCAAGACCTGGAAATGGAAAATTTCATATTTAGGCTAAAGAATTTCATACTTCGGCCTAAATAGATCTGTTATTTGCTTAAAATTTTTCTTAAGACTCAAAATTTTATTCTTCGATAATTTGAGACCAGTGTTACTCACGAATAAGCGAAGAAAATTTCGAAAATAAAACAACTTTCAAAATTTACAACATAATATGGGTAAAAAAGTCGTGACAAAAAGATAATTAAAAAAAACCTCCTATTACTTCTTTTGTATAAGAATCGAGAATGTATAAAATCGGAAATCAGCATATGTAAGACGAAAATATTCTACTACTTGAAAAATTATCATCATTAAAAGTTTGATCAGAGTTAATGCCGTGTTCAAAGTAATTTCCGCGGAATGCAAAACTATCTGACTCTCCAAAGTTTTAATTATCTTTTTTCTCTCTCTGACGCATATTTTGGCATAAACTTCTATACATTCCTCCATTCAGCGTGACGGTTTTTAACTTTCTTTTATGAAAAAAACCCCCCTTATTGAAAAAAATTATTTTTTTTCTGCCTATGTGTTACTATTCAACCCATAGTAATTTTTTTATTTCATGATTTACCAATCAAAAATTTACATTAAAATTTCAAACTCACTTCAGAGAAAAATGAGAATGAGAATCATTCCGACGAAAAGTCTTGGCTGTTGAGCAGTACCACGGACGCCAGCATCACCAACGATTCCGATGGCGTATCCGGCTCCAAGACCGCAGAGACCACAGGTGAGACCGGCGGCCAAGTGAGCGAAGCCTTTGTTAAGATTGTACCCGTCGGAAGAAGCCATAACTTTGCCTTTCAACACCATTGCCACGACTAAACCGTAGATACCGATGATACCTGAAAAAACAATGATATAAGCGAAATTATAAAGTAACGGTCAAAGTTGGAATTGAAACTCACCAGCCATAATAACTGGGATAACGGACTTCATGATGAGCTCAGGTCGCATCACTCCCATTGAGCAGATTCCGACAGCCGACTTTGCCGTTCCATAAGCTGCGCCGAGAACGGTGAAGATCTGCGCAGAGGCAGCACCCATGTAACCGAAGAATGGGGCGTACGCCGCGGCTTCAGCTGTCTTAAGGTCGTACGACATCTAAAAAAGCATTAAAATGAAAATTTCAGTTCGAAAGCGAAAAAACGATATTATGCGACAGTACGCAGAACGAACGAGATGAAAACGAAAAAATGAAGACAAAAATTTATTATTTGGAATGGTAGAGCGCCACAAAAACTAGTTAGTTAACACTGAATCGCGAATATAAAATTTACAAGTGCAAGACATCGGGAATGGTTTAAAATACAACTATTCAGCTAGGATTTAGGTAGCACCAAGAATAAGAGCGACAATCATACCGTACAAACCGAGAACTTCTGCGAAAATGAGAATCAAAATCATGCCTACAAACATTCGCGGTTGTTGTGAGAGGGCTCTCACTCCCGCATCGCCGGCGATGCCGATGGCGTAGCCGGCTCCAAGTCCGCAAATACCACACACGAGACCACCAGCAAATTGCGAAAATCCAGCGTTGATAGTATATTGTGATCCACCAGGAGCCACTTTGCCGGATACGATGACAGCGACGACGAGTCCATAGATGGCAACGATACCGGCCATGACGACAGGGATGATGGCTTTCATGACGAGGTCTGGTCGTGCCACCGCCATCGATGCGATTCCAGTGCCTGACTTGGCCGTTCCATAGGCAGAGCCAGCAGCCGCGAATATCATGGCTGAAGTGACTCCCAGACTCCCAAAAAAGGGTCCGTACATCGCCTGTTCAGAAGCGACGAGAGCTGCCGTGTCTTCTGGGCTCATTACCGACGCTGAAATACCAAAAATTGGAAGCCCAGAGTAGAAAAGCGGTCAAATGCAGCAACGAGAAGAATTGAAGTTAAAATAGGATCCAAAGAACTGAAGAAGGTGGATCAATAAGACCAAGCGTTGCTGGCCAATTGACTAGTTGAGGACGCGTTTTTTTTTTCACACTGACATCACATATATGTTATATTTTCATAAAAGAATAAAATTTTAATGTGCATGGTATGAGCATTCAATAAATCTACAGAGCAAATTGCAGTGGTATGACAACGGTGATGGCTGGTCGAAAACCGAAGAGCAACACGGTAAGGTCGATCTCGTGGAGAATGGGTCCTGCGGCGCGGTTTTCTCCGCCGTCCACTTTTTCTGCCTTTTCACCTGCGAAGAGCGCGTTTTCATTTTTTCAAATTTTTTTTGTTAAACCGTTTTTTTTTCAAATTTTCCAACCAATCACAATAAATTATCTCCTCTTCAATTAAACGTTCAAAATAATTATCCATTACGCTATTAATATGAAGTTATTAGCTTTGCGTTACCCTTGCTCAAGTAAAAAAATAGCTTTTTGTGAATTCTAAACTAGTGAAATTTTTTTAAAAAAATCATTGAATGATGAATAAAAAAACTAAAAAAATAGTTTGGTGATCGATTTTTTTGAAAAATTGCAAGCTTTTTTTGAAATCAAATTATTTTTTTAGAATTACAGAATAAATCAGATTCAATATTGGCTCTTAATTATTCTGACACACCAAAAATTAAATGGTTCATGAGGTAAAAAGCAGAAAAATGTTTGAATGAGTTTTACGTGAATTTGCAATCAATAAGCTTAAAAATCAAACGCGTCGCAAAGTATCATTCTATTTTTCAAAGCAGCTAAAGCTCTTTCATCAGTCAAATTTATTATTGTAAAAATATGAAACGAGGAAAAAAAAACTCAACAAAAACAAACGAAAAAAGTATAGCAAACTTTCTAGAAAGAATGAACAGAATTCTTTGCAGGAAGCAATTATAATAGGTTGGCAGCGAAATAAAAACAAAAAAATAATCAAAAAAAGCAAAAAAAGCTTTTTATCCTTTAAATAATCGAAATATTGTAAATAGTGGATTAATTAAATTATACTGAAATCGAGAAAAAAATGAAATTCGATGGCGCATGCCCCGCCCAATTCGTGCATGGTCGGCACGCTTTTCAGCACAGCAGGCGTTAACCCTGTTTTAGAACACTGTGAGCGTTCAAGTGCGCAGAGATATATCGAACTGAGCTTCCTTTAAAAAAAATTGGTAGCTAGCTTCGAACGTGTCAATTTTATAACAATTAAAACGCCCAAAAATTTGAAATAACAAAGTTTCCCTTGACAATTGTTTTTCATAAATGTGTTCGAAAGTGCTCGGAAGAACTTTAAAACGTGAGCAGGGGCACTGGGTAGTGTTAAAAAAATATGAAAATTATATTTCAAAACCGTATTTCAGTGGAAAAGGCGAAAAAAGAATCAGTACCCCCGCGCGTGCGCGCACCACTGCCTGAGGAACAGAATCGCTCGCAATGCTCTAAACAGTGTCTAAGGGCCACGGTGTTTTTTTCATTACGCAAGGTCAAGGCTTTTCGTAAATTATGATGCTTAGGGTGTAAGCACACCGAGACGCAATATCGCATACTCAAAATGTTTTTTCAATTTTAGAATTTGCGATTTCAGGATAATAGCTCCTGAAAAAGTTCGAAATTTGTCAGTTTGAAGAATATGATGTGAAAAACATTCACTTACGTTAAAAAAACATTTAGGAACGATTTCGAAAGGGGAAAACTCTAAATTACTGATTACAAAGTAAAAAAACAAAAAGATAATATGAAGGTGAATCAGCTCCCATTGAATAAGCATCTATAAATACGAAAAAAATATTGAAATGAGGAAAAATTCGAGAAGCAAATGAAAAACATTTTATATACCTCGAAAAACCTAGCTTCAGAAAAAAACAAATAATGGATAGAAAGCAGAAATTTTAGAAAAAAACCCTCGTATGGCGAAATTTTTTTGTTTAAATCTGAAAAACCATCAAAAAAACTAGAAAAAAATATATGATTTAGATGATTCATATATCAAAAATCATTAAACTGCATCAGCAAATTAAATTTGGCTCTAATTTACACGAAACCGGTTTCAAACTACGTCAAAGGAACTAGATAATAACTTTTTTTATTATTAACTGATTAAATTAAAAAAACTATAGTTTTCGAAATAGAGTGACTCTTTTTCATGTCGCGAAACAGATTTCAAAAATTTTTGAAAAAAATTAGGACTTTTTAGAAAAACTCTTCAACTATTTTGAGAAAAAAAGTTAAAGATCTGAAACCGGTTTAGAAAAAGTGCGCAATTTAAAAACTCCACAAAAATGTACCCATAGAGAGGCGGATCACATAAATGCAAGAAATAGAAAAAAGTAAAAAACCAATGAAAAAAGTGAAGAAATTCAATTTTTGCATCAGAAACGATGAGAAGGGCGCAATGATGCGCCAAGGATAATATGCCGCTGGGACCCAAAATTTCGCATTTTTTTTCATTGCGCGGAACAGGCATGTTCTAAAACACGAGCGGTTGTGGGGCACGAGCGGCACGACCGTTACTAAATCACGAGCGGTTTCATCTTCGCTCCTTCGCGAACGCTTCTAAATCACGAGCGTTTTTGGCTTATCGTTCTGTTCGAGCGTTTCTAAACCGCGAGCGTTTCATTTTAATCATTTTCTTTATTACCATCCAAGTGTGTTTTTTTCATATTTCTACCTTCTTTTTCTCCTTGAATAAAAATTTTGACGATCTTATATGCACATTTTTTCGCTCAATTTGTTGATTGATTCACATTTGAGGTTCATATAATGGATATTTTTCTAAGTTTTTTTTGCGGTCTCTATAATTTCACAGATTCTGCGTATGGCAAATTTTTTTCTAATAATTTCATCTGATTTTCATATTCAATATTTCACAGATTTTGCGTATGATAAACTAATATTTCACAGATGTCTCGCATGAAAGTCAATATTTCTAGCGGGTAAGAGGAGAATAAAAAATATGAATGGCATCAATTCGAATATGAGATTCTATTACCAGAAAAAAATTTTGAGAGAAAGTATTAGAAAAATTTGCTATACGCAAAATTTGAGAAATATTGACTTTCATGCGAGACGTCTGTGAAATATTAGTTTATCATACGCAAAAAGCTGTGAAATATTGAATATGAAAAATCAGATGAAATTATTAGAAAAATTTGCCATACGCAGAATCTGTGAAATTATAGAGACCGCAAAAAAACTTAGAAAAAAATCCATTATATGAACCTCAAATGTGAATCAATCAACAAATTGAGCGAAAAAAATGTGCATATAAGATCGTCAAAATTTTTTTATTCAAGGAGAAAAAAGAAGGTAGAAATATGAAAAACACACACTTGGATGGTAATAAAGAAAAATGAATAAAATGAAACGCTCGCGGTTTAGAAACGCTCGAACAGAACGATAAGCCAAAAAAACGCTCGTGATTTAGAAGCGTTCGCGAAGGAGCGAAAGATGAAACCGCTCGTGATTTAGTAACGGTCGTGCCGCTCGTGCCCCACAACCGCTCGTGTTTTAGAACATGCCCGCGGAACACCGTGGGGCCTGCGCGCTGGAATGACATGAAAAATATTAAACTTATAACTTTTTAGTTAGTTAAAAAGCCAAAAAATAAAAAAGGCACCCCGCGCGTGCGCGCAGCAGGCGCCGCGCACGCGCACTTTTGGTAACAAACACGCGCCGTCAGTGCCTGAGTATAATCTTCTTTTTTTTGAACGTACGTCAAATCCACCGTTTGCGTACCGAACGTAATAATCAACGACAGTTTTCTGATATTTTTCAATGCGATGGCAATTTTTTTCTTGCTTTCTCTTATTTTACTACAACCGTTTTGTTTTGATTGTGATTGTTTCAGTGTTAACACAACATGTTGTTTAGCTCCATGCTAGATAGTGTTTTTGAAATTTGAAATTTCGAAGTGTTCTTTTATTTATTTTATTTTTTTTCGAACTACATTTTCCTGATAATTGTTAGTAGGTTCTATCGGGACCTCGAAGAAGAATTTCGCATAAGAAGAAGTTTTGATATTTTTTTCATTTCTTTCAATTCTACTCTGGCGCTAGGGACCCGAGAGTGCCCTAAAGATGTGGCGAAGCCCGGGTTGTCGCTTCCTTTCTGTTTTTTTTTAATTCAAAAATTATTTTGTGTTTTCTTTGCTTGTTTTTCAAAATTGCTCTTGTTTCTCCAGTGTCCGGATGCCAAAAGTTTCATACCACAAGATGAACCGAAATAAAATAAAAAAGCGCGCGCGGCGAATTAGACTCGAGGAGCTAAATTTTTTTTTCAGTAGATTCTTGAACCTACTTCGCCGCGCTCGTCAAAACAGTTTTCAAAAAAGGATCAATTTATTCGTTCAATAATTGAAAATGCTCATGTATTCGGCTTCAGATCTTCACTCTACGACGTGGGTCTGTGGCCTATAAATTATAAACTAAGATTGTCGTTTCCTCTCACTTTTTTTTTGTGAATAAATATCTTGAAAAAATTTCTCATTATATTGGGAATATACTTTTCGTTTGGATAAGTTGCAGACTAGGAACTGATGCGCTCATGTCGATTAGCATCTTTGGTTCGATTATCTGTGGTGATAGGATTTATCGCGCTGTTATTCCTTCTATATTTTTGCGTGATTCTACTATCTGAGGAATTTCAAACTCGGTTTGAAGAAGAGTATGTTGAAATCTTTTTCTTTAACATAAATATTTTTTGCAGTTATGATATTCCCCAAGTTACCCCCCGATCTCATGTTTTATGTGTTATAGTGCCGTACCGAGATAGGTTAGAAGAATTGACGCAATTTGCTCCTTATATGGGAAGGTTAATTTTTTTTTTGGTTTCATGAAACAGCAAAAAAAGGAAGATTGCAGTTTTTTAAAGTCTCAAAATGTTGAACATATTATTCTTGTGGTCAACCAAACGGATAGTTTACGTTTCAACAGAGCGTCTTTGATAAACGTGCGTTTCACTCATTAAGTTTTTGGTTTTAATTGTGACTGTAGGTTGGATGGAATGAAGCTGATCGTTTGGGTTGTGACTACATGGTGATGAACGACGTTGATTTGTTACCCGTCAACCCTGAAATACCATACGGATTTCCAGGAATCGGCACTATTAGGCACATTACTTCACCGGAGTACCATCCCAAGTCAGTTTTTTTCCCTAATAAGTTTCATGGCAGATGTGAATTCCTCAACTTTGCTAGCTACTCGTTCAACCAGTTCTAAAGTGCATTTTCAGATTACACGTTTTTAACTTGCTAACCCCATTTTCAGTCCTAGCTTTCAAAAAAAAAAAAAAAAAAGAAGAATAATAATAAGAACCTTTAAATTTTGTACATATTGAAAATTCAACGGAATTCAAAGCAGTCAATATTCATTTATTTAATTCCTTTCAATCATAAGTCAATAACAAAAAAAAATCAAAATTTTACAAAGTTTTTTTTTCTCCCCACGTTTTTCTCTCTCACGGAAACGATGAAAATAGTTTACAGATACAACTATAGCAAATTTATTGGTGGCATTTTGATGTTGACCATGGCAGATTACAAATTATTGAATGGAATGTCGAACAAATATTGGGGATGGGGCCTTGAAGACGACGAGTTCTACTTACGAATAAGGTTTAGCACCATTTTAGCGGTGTAACCCGTCATTTTTCAGCGAAAGTGATTTGAGACTGACACGTGTGAGTGGTTTGACCACGAATCGTTCCAATACATTTCGACATCTTCATGGACCCGAACGCAAGAGAGATTATTCCAACAGCAACGATAAAGTTCAGCGTGCGTTCAAAAGACAACGCGACCGGGTATGCCCGATATAATACATCGCTTCAACTTTTGACGCTCTCTTTTTTTTGTGTCAGTTTATTAGGTTTACTAGGGGGAAAATATATTATAGATCCAGAAGTAATGAAAAGGAAGAAGCAAAACATATTTTTCAATATTCAGATGGTTATGTTGTCGTCATGAAAAAAAAGGGTTTTATCAAATGAAAGAACAGACTTTGGCGCTCCATAGCTTGTGTGCCATAGCGCCACAGCTTGTGTGCCTTTCTACGGTCCACAGGGTCACAAGTTCGATCCCCGCCTCGACCCAACCAAGGGGTTATTATAAATGTTGGTAGTGGGAAACCACTCAAGCTCAATACTTTTAGTGTTATTTTCGAGTTGTAACAAGAACTCCGTATTATTTTATGTTTTTTCTTCAGTGCAGGGCAAAATTTTGTTTTGAACTGACAGAGAGAACATTTTTATTACATGATCCGAGGTATTCACTCGTTTTCAAAATGTCAAAACGATACAATGAGGTTGTTTCATAAGTCCTTGGACTTTGAGGGTGGGAAGCCATCGACATTTGTTATACAGTTATATTTCTTTACTATTATTACGAGCACATTCTCTAGATAAGGTAGCTTCTTTGTTTTTTTATTCTGTAGTAAAGCTGGAAAAAAAGCGGTCTGTTTAGAGCTCGAAAAATTTTTTTCAGTAATTATTATTTTTTTGTACTTATTTGTGAGAAAAAAATTTAACTGACAAACTGAGTTTTTTTAACAGAAATATCATGTAGATCTGTGCTTTCGGGAAACAGCTGACGTTTGGAACCAGCTAGTGGGAGAAAAAAATTTTAATTTTCTCGAGAACCGGATCTTTAAAAAAAGATAATAGAGTGGTTTTTTTCCTTCTCCAAAAAAATCCGGGGTGATGCTAATCGATTTTAAAGATCTTGCAAAAAGTATGTGGAGTCCTAGAGATTTTAAAATATTATGCAAGGTAATTTCCATTGATTTGATGAACCCTGAAAATTTAAAAATTAATTTTTCATTTTTTTTTTCGAAATGAAAGGCCTAATTGAGGCATAATTTTGAATTCGAATCTTTCTTTTCAATAATCCTCGGTTCCAAATAATTCATGATTTTGGGTGATAATATGGATTACATCATTGTTATTATTTATCAGTCAGAAATCCTGACGCTGCAGAAAATAGTGTTCCAAGTAAAAATCGCAAAAATCTACAGATTACTACTCTTCTCAGAAAAAATTTCGAAAAGTGTCCAAAAAAATAGTTTCAAGACAACAAAACGGATGAATTTTTGTTATGAAAACGCTGAAAATTGCAGATTTCGGGACTGAAAGATGTGAGTTACAAAATTGCTACGAGAAGAGCGATGAATATTCAAAATATCACTTTTCAAGTTATTGATGTAGAGCTGAATTGTGATATTTCATGGACTCCTTATTGCAAATTATAGATTTTTTTAAATTTTATTATTTATTATTTTATTGTTTCGAAATTTTTCCTTCTTTAGTTGCCTTTTTCTATCCGCGGGTTTCTTGTTACCATTGATAATAATTATGAAACTTTTACGGGTTCATCGACTTCATTTATACCCATTCGGTTTTTTTATTTCAAAGTCCTGTGATTTTTTTCTCAGTTCTCTTTTTACTTGTTTTCATTGACTAATTGATGTTAAAATAAAAAAATTATAAACAGATTATGAGTGTTTTATTTTTTTCAACCGCAAGTTTAAAATTTAAGATTGAATAATACATGAAATCAACTGAAAGAACTTATTAATAAAAAAATTTTTTTCTAGAAGGGCTTTTTGGAAAAATGTTTTTAATTCGGGTTTTTCTTTCTCAATAAAAAAATATTTTTGCTAATTACAATTTATTCCAACTTCACAATCTGAATAACGAGTACAAATTATTTTTTTATACAATTTTTGATGGAAAAAAACAGTTAATACATCAGAAAAATATTTACCGGAAATATTATTTGATATCATATTTTATTTATCGATAACAAGTGTCTTGGAAATGTAAACGTACATACGGGTCAATATTTCTCACTAATTTCGGAAGAGGACAATATTTGATTACCCGAAATTCACAGTAATTTGATGGAATCAAGTCTTTAAATCGACACCTATACAATTAATAATCGAATTCCTTGGAAAAAAAAAATTAGAGTATTCCACATGAATTTTCACCGTATTTGTGGTTTTAATTCATTACAACAGCTAGCAATACTCTAGAAAGTTCGATCATTTTCTAAAAAAACAATTATAGCGACAACATATATCCTTGAGAACAATCTTTAACTATTTAGTTACAAAAAAGTTCGATTTGCTTGAATTAAAACGCTGTACTTTAAATAAAACACTAAATGGAGGCATGGTTAACATGATTACTACAGGAATTAATTTTGGGCGTTTCGCTGTCGCGGGCCTGATAGAAAAGAATGTACGCAGACTCCGAGTTCTTCTGCATACCTCCATCTGATAATCCAGAGAACTCCTCCATCGAGCTAATTTCCATTTTCTAAATTTTTGTTTTGTAAAAATTTTTTTAAAATACAACTACCTCCACAATATCGTCATCGAACAGAAGCCAAAAAGAATTGCTCTTAACGAGGGTGATGTAGTGACCACGGTTGGGAGTCGCGCCGCAGTGGACAACCGCGGCAACCAAATCGTACATTCGGTCGCTGTTTGTCGCGTCGTCGCTCTGAAACCCCACCAATCAGCAGGTTCACATGAAATCCTCAAGCCACCGCTGAATATGTACTGATCTTTAGCTTGGAAACGGAAAAAGATCTTTACGAACTTTTTCTTGTCTGCGGTGCAAAGAATAAATACGATAAGGTTTGCTTTACGCGAGCTCTTGCTGACAAGTGGCATTTATCCGCTTCAGAAAAAAAATTCGTCAAGACGATTTCGACGCTTTTTTTCTAATTCAAAAAGCGTTTTCGAATGAGGCGACAGTAGGAAAATCTATATAGCGTCTCTTTTAGAACACTAACCCTTCAATTATCATCAGGTCATATATATTTTACGATTCAATTTCCATTCATATTGAGGAACGAGCCAGCGACAGATCAACCATTATATAAGATAAAATGAAATAAAGAACTCAAAAAAAGAAAATAAAAAAGAAATTCCTATGACCACACAGTTTGCCCTCAATATTCAATATCTTCTCAATGAAAAAAAAAAAAGACTAACTACGTTAAACAATCGCAGTTCCAGTGGAAAGAGGACTCGGTACGAAAGCTTCGTGTGTCTATTGAGTTGATCGACATATTTGAATCTGAACGAGACTTTTTTGAAACCTATATTTGTCAAGTTAAGAAACAAAAACAAAAAAAAACCTCTTCAAGTGAAGAGCAAGCATTTGTGGAAGCCGTTTGATCCGCATGCGCTTCTGAGCCTCCTGCTTAGAAGAACACGTCTCACAAAAGTATTTCTAAAAAAAGACTCCACGTTTTCGAGGTCCATTCATGGCTTTTTTTCCTTTCAAGACTTTCGAGCCACTGGCTTCGTTGTCTCTCACGAAAAATCCGCTTGAACCGAAATTATTTGCGGCAGGAAATGGTCCAATAATGGAGCGGCGTTCGTTTTTTGCCTTTTTTACATTTTTTTTTTCATTCGGTTCTAATTCTTATAATTGTCGATGTTTCTAGAATCGACTAAATAATTTATAAATTAAACTATTTCTTTCAGAAAATACACCAAGGCGACAACTGAACAGCAAAAAATGATTTTCCCACGACAAACCTGGTCGCCACATAGCGTTTCAGTCTCACTGAACACGCGCAAACAATGACTGATCGACGTGTTTTGCTCAACATCAACAGAAAGGTCGAGGAAGTCTTCATCTTTGCTTGAAACCTACAACGTTTGAGTCAAAATAACGTGTTAGAGATAAAAAGAACCCTACAGTTTCGCAGCACAGGCATCGCGTTTCGTTCGTTAAGGTTCCTTGAAAAATCTCGTGAATCCAAGTCGTTTCAGTTTTTCCCCTTCAAAGTTCAATTAAAATCATATTTTGATTTGAAAGAAAAATACTTTTCGTCTTCTTTCTTTTCATTTAAACCGGCGGTGGCTGGACTGATGTTCACGGTTACAGCACCTTTCTTCAAGCTTTTTTGAACTCTTTCTTTGTCCGCATTTCTTTCCTCTTGCAAGGTTTCGGAAATGGTGTTCAGTAGATAATTTAGAAATTCGTGCGCGTCTTGTTGCATGTAGTTATCGAAAAGCTCTAAATAGATTTCAAAACTTGATTGAAATTGAGCTTTTCTAACCGTTCTCTTTTTTCAATTTCGTGATGAACCTCTTCGGAGCGATAGTTCCTACGCGTCGTTTCTGCGTAGCGATGTTGTGAAAAAGATCCGCCAAACACATGACGAGGTTCTCTTTCGCTATAATAAAAAAAATTTTAATAAAACGAATTCATTATTAGAAACAAAAACTAAATTCAACATCACTCAGCATTAATGACAGAAAAATGAGTATTTTTCAGTTTAGAAAAGTTTTGAAAATTTATATGTATTATACTTTGCAAAGTCATAGACACAAAAGAAAACCTGTCTTTTTCAGTTGTTGTTTGTACTGAAGAATTTTTTCGCGAAACGGGCGACAGAAGTACAGTGCTTGGATCACCGAATTACAATAACAGGTATTCCCAAACTGAAAAATAAAATCTTCGACAAAATCAAAAAAAGCAAACATTCACTAATCCATAGTAGTGCTCGTTGCCGATAAGCGTGTCTCCATTTATTTCTTTTTCGAGCTGAGACGATCCATTTGCACCCTGAACAAGGAAAAAAAAACTGAATATTATTCATTATTTTCTTACCATTAGGGGTATCGGTAAAAACGGCAAGCACGAAATTTCTTTGAGGTTTAATTTATATACACCAAATGGATCCTGAAATAATATTTAAAAATATATCGAAAGAAGCCAAATCAATACATGATTCAAGTGAGCGGAAATTGAAAATATCAATACAAACGTTAAAACGGAATGTTGGGCTTCTGAGCAATTTTCTGCTCATATCACCATATTTTCATCGTCTCTCGAGACTTATCAGCTCTTAAGTGGACCCTTGCTCTCTCCATTTGCGGTGGAGCACATTCCTATTTTCTTTATTTTTCTAAATTAAAATGTTGTATTTTTTCCTTTCAATGTTTTTGAAAATTGAAACCCTTCCTGTGAAAAGTATGAAGGGAAACTTTATAAAAATACAAAAGTATTCAATACAATTTTATTCTACTGTTCTGCGCGAAAAATAATTTTAAACAATAAAGGTTGTCTCAATATCCCATAAATTTTTTCAGCAATTTTACAAATTCAACTTGTTGGGAAATCAAATGTCGTCGGAAAGCGATATGGTATTCAAGTCACCTGCACTTCCGCCGCCTGAGCACTTTACAACTTGCCAACCAGTTGTTTCTGAGATTCCCGTTCACTCACCTGTTGAAAGAGAGAAAGAGAGTTGTTCTGTAGGTACCGAAGATGTCCAGAAAGTGAGTGATCTCATTCTAGAAAATTTTAAACCTTTCGAGTTCAGATAGATTCTAAACAAACTGCTAAGGTTTCAATCGCACCCCCCGAACTGAGCTATAAACCGCCTCCATGGGCATGTCAGCCAGACGATGAAATGGATTATAAGCTGGAGGTCACAAAATAAACATGTATTTACTTGAGATAATAAATCTTTAATAGGTTTTAAAAGATGGGCGAATTCTCACTCAGTTCGATATGAGAGAGAGAAAGCACCCTACGTTTATTGTTATTGGAAGACTTCCTAGTTGTGATGTCGTTTTGGGTAAGAATTTCTCGCGCGCTCGTTGAATTTTCCCATTTCAGAACACCCCTCAATTTCTCGGTACCATAGTATTTTACAATTCGGAGAAGATACGATGGCAAAATCAGGAAGAGGCTGGCACATCTACGACATGGGAAGCACCCACGGCACCAAGGTTTCAGTTTAAATAACAGGATTTTCCAAAAAAAAAAATTATTGTAAACATATGATTGCTCTAGGTTAACAAAAATCGCCTTCCTCCAAAACAATATATACGATTGTACATTGGACACGTGCTTCAGTTCGGAGGTCTGAATTTTCTCTCTCTTCGAAGTTTGATGATTTTCCGGTAGGAAGCACAAGGCTTTTCAATCTCCTTGGACCGTCTAGTGACTGCGAACCAGAGTGGGACTGTTCTCCGAGCGAGATGAAGCAAAAAGTCCAAAAAAAGGTTCTTTTTTTTTTCTCAAAACTCGACCGCTAAAAGTCCGCAGATTCTGGAAGCAAAGTTGGCGGCAGCGGCTAGACAGGAGATCGAGGAAGAGGGAAAACGAGAAGAGGAAAGCGAAGGTTGCAACTGGGGAATGGACTACGGCGAAGGAGAAAAGTCGTCGGCCGCTGCAGTTCGTTTTTTAAGCCTTTTAGAAATCCAAAACTTGCTCTAAACTCTTTCTGAATACATTCTCTCAAAAAAACAGGTCGAACTGGATCCTCATTTGATGGAGGACCGGGAAGCCTACTACCTGCAGGATCCTCGGAAAGCACTCACAAAGTTCTTCGAACGTGAAGGCTTCGACATGAACTTTGCGTTCAGCGAACAAGGCAGTGGCCACACTCACAAATGGGTTTGCTCCATCGAGTAGGTTCCTTTCGCTTCACGCACATTAGTTTTGGGTTCATATACAACTTGCGTTTCACATCGTAAATACAGAGGGACGATAGGTTATAAATTTGAAGAAATAGCTCAGTATTAAACATCATTTGGAAGTGTCTCTTGACGAGAGGTCGTTTTTCTATCAGTTTTTGAAAGATGAAAGAAGGAATTTTCCAATTAAGTTCATTTAGACTTTCAGTTTCGTAGAAATTCCAAGTTTTCCTAATTACTGTTCTTAGTGTTCCTAATTAGTGTTGGGTATATTTATTGAAGTTATCGATCAATACATTGGTCGACTAAATTTTTGCAAAATGTAGTACACAACAGTCAGAAAAAAGGTTTAGTATTCAAAAACTTGAAGTTCTTAGTTGAGGAAAAGTGAAAGAAAGAAAAGTGGTTTTGGACGTAAGCTTTACTCAGACTGCCGGTGGAAATCGACGGCGTCGACAGGGCTTTCACGGCCTCGGCCACTGTATCCACTTCGAAAAAGGACGCTCAGTCGCAATGCGCTCTCGAAGCGTGCAAGATTCTCGATGCCTACGGTGTTTTGAGGTACTCGAGAAATGTCACTTTGATCGCATTTTTTCTAGACGAGGGTCTACTAAACTCCGAGTGAAGAAAAAGACGTTGGAAGCGAACGATTACTACGAAGAGGACGACGACTTGTACCTCGATCGTACAGGACAACTTGAGAAACAACGCGAGAAACGCCGAATATGGGCCGAGGTTGGTGTGAAATGCTGGCAAAATGGGCCGTATGTATCAACCTTTTCTCGGTATTTAGTTCGCAATCAGTAGTCTTCCACTCCCAACTAATTTAAATTTAATACGTTGAAAAAGCGTTAGTCACTCTACCTTCATCGAAATGCATCTTCGTTTTCGATTTCAGCAAAATTTTTTGTGCAATTTTTTTAAAGCTATGTTATAAAAGTTTCAAGTGAAAAATAAGAGTCCCTCGACATCAGATGAAAATTTCCCGTACAAAAAAAATTTTTTCAAACCCGAACAAACTTGATTTTTCCAGTTACACTATGATCTCAGAAACTCGACGATGAAAACGAAATTGTATTCATAATCACGATAGAAAAAAAAGTTCGGATTATAAGTTCATCACTTCCTTATTAAGGGTAATCATAATAGATTTTAAAAAGCGTATGAAAGGACGCTTTTTACCCGAATCGGTTCGAATGGTGCTTGTACGAGCTGTTCTCGTCATCTACGTAATCAAAATGTCTTTTCATGTTTCAGGAAGGTACTTATACGAAGAAAGTCGAAAAGGATACGTACGACTCTCTTTGTGTGAAACTGGAGCAGGCGAAAAAGGACGTCGCAGAGATTCAACAGCTTCTCGACGCGCTCAACCCCGTCAAGAAAGAAGGTTTGAAGAGCGGCGGCGACGCCTTGGATGACTATGTCCGGCAGCTGGAGAATGGTGTCGTCGGCGGCGACGACCTGAAGGTTTTCCGCCTTCAATCAGCCTGAAAGGAGCAGGGATTTCAGACGAAAACAGAAAAGTCGATGCTGCGTCAGAAGTTGGTCATTGCCACGCACGACGTTCAGAAACTCGAAAAGCTGGTGCGGATCGCCAAGCCGGTGGCTCTCCCAGGATTGAGCGCCCTCAGCGCCACTTCTGGTACAGCTAGAACAGTTTTGATCTTTTAAATCAACCCCCTTTTTTCGCTTCATAACCCGTTTCCGTCTGAATTCTAGGAAGCTCTTGCCAAATTTTGCATGAATCAGTCAAAAAGACGCAAGAGACACACAAAAAAAAGTAAAATTTTGCTCCCAACTTTTGAATTCAAAACTAAGTTCTCGTCTTGGGCCACATTCAAAACCTTCCTAATAAAGGATATTGCACCCTACAAAAATGGCTGTATCGCAGCGGGCCGCGGGCGATACAGCCAACTCTTGTTGCGACATTTCTTTTTTTCCGCAAGCTGTTATTGACTTTTTCACCTCAGCAAGGCTTTAAAAAAACTTTCAGGAGACAAACAGACGTTTTTGCGTAAAATGCTGGCAGCGAGAAAAGCGAAAGAGGCTCAAGCCAATCAAGGACCGGCTACTAAAGAAGCCTCTACAGTTCCTCCTTCGATTCAAATCGCCCAGGAAGAGTTTACGCCTGAGACAGAGGAAGAAGATGAGGTTCGTTAAGTTCGAGGGAAAGTGCAGTGAAAAATAAGAGTCGTCAGATTTTTTTAATTTTATTTTTTTAGAGTTGGCTTGTTCTGCGTTATTTAGGTTTAAGCTGAGTTGGAAAAAAGGGTGTTAAGATAGATTTTTCTCTGAATCAAATATGTTGTAGAACACGATTTTTTTTTCATTTTTTGAAAAAAAAACTATATATTATCACTCGAGCCGTTTTCGAGATACGGTAGCTCAAATAATTACGGTTAAAAAGCTTCGAAATCTATATATCTGCAAAAATCAACGAATCTCGATCAAAACTTGTTCCAAGTTGTTTAATAATTTAATTCTGTTTAAAAAAAAAACTGTTTATTGCATCTTCAATGTAAGAATACATGTGCAATCGACTTTCATTGATTGAACTGTGTTTAAACGGCGGCAGGAGCTGTGGCTTAGGCAGAGAAGTTGTGAATTTCGCTCGTAGAACATCAGTACAAGAGAGGTCGTAGGAAGAAGTACGGTGCCGGCTCCGCAAGGGCCGATGGCAGAGATTGAGCCTTTTCGCTGCATGCAGCTCCCAATTTTATCTACCCCGGAGATATAAAAGGCTTGGTCGACCTCGGGGGGACTCGAACCTACGACCTTGCGGACGTTATAAATGAGTTATGCCAGCTGAGCTATGCCGCCCCTTTAATCCAGTTTTTGAAAATCTAAAGTATTGTAACGCGGCATCCGCTAAGAGTCCGTTTTTCCTCGGACGCATGGCACCATGGGGAGGCGAGCCCTAGGCTCCGCCCCCAGGGTCCATGGAGGACGAGGAAAGGCAGACTTTAGAGGACGGGCACCAGAGAGATTCGCTCTCTGGCTTTATATGTAGTTTATGTAATATGTTTTATTTTGCTATTGTAGAAGTAAATATTTATCGCACACAAAAGAGTCGTATTGAAGCAGAAGGAAATAATAGGAGTTTGTCCCGAAGATGACATTCGAGTCCCACTCGAATGTCCGGAACCATCAGAAATCTTCAGCCAAGCAACTATTATTTTACAGTATCATGTTTGCGCATTATTGCTAATAAGTGAGAATTTTTCCTGACAAAAACTCAAAATCAGTATATCAAGTTGCGAACCGAGTTTTCTCTTGACTCTATCAAAATAACAAAAAAAAACTATCTGTTAGGCCGAAAATGGATTAGGCGAATTTTCCATCTAAATATAAGACGCGAAAAATCTAAAAAAAAAATTTGTTATTTTGAGTAACATTCTTTTTTTTTCTTTTTTCTTTCTTTAGAGTTTTCTATACTTGGTCTACACCAGAAAAATTAGTTTTCAGAAGGCTGCCGTTTCATTACCGCCTCCATCTTCTCCCGGACTAGTACAAGAAACAAGCGGTGCTGTCCCGTTTCCACTTGAGCCAGTCGTCATAAAATCAGAAGTAACACCAACCACCGATGAAATGATCACTACAGTGGCGACAGACAGTCAGTTACCAGCGAAAAATGAATTTCCGCCGTCATCTTTGCCTCTGACTCCGAAAGCACCTGATATCATCGTCAACGTTGCTCAATCAAGGCAGAATGATGCGCTACACGAAGATGAGCCGGTTGAGAAAAAGAAAAAAGTGACGAGGACTCGGAAACGGGACGAGAAGAAGCTTGCTGGCGCCGAAGACTACGGCGTTGGGTACGACGACCGTGACGAGAAGTACGCTACTTGGATGCCGCCTGAGAACCAATCGGGAGATGGAACATCCGCCTTGCATGCCAAGTTTGCCGGTAGATATTAATTTAATGTTACGTGAAAGTTTGTAAATAAAGTATTTATAACGTAATCGAAACAAACAAAAAAGGGAACTAATTGTGAAACTTGCTCACAATTTTCAGTTGAAATCGCGCGCCGGCGATATCCCACGGTTGGCCTTCTTATCCAGCTGAAAAGCTTTTCAAGTAACTTCCAAACAGCTACCCTACCTCGTATTTTTCCCATTCAAAGTCGGCGGGACGAGCTTTGTCTCTGCGAAGATGAACACCCCGATTCTCTTCAGAAAACTGCTCCACCTTCAGTTCATCATTGAAAAACTGAATTTAAAAAAAAACACACCTGCACATGAAGGTCATCTTCTTCCGACATTTCAAGTTGTGTGATCAGATTGAATAGAGCGACCGGTGTTGGAAGTGACGGTGTCTCAATCTTTGAAAAGAAAGACAGCACGTTTTCGATATCTCTGGAATCACGGTTTTTTTTTCCAATCATAGTCCAAGACGACCAGGAAATTGTCGGGTTAATCGTCCGATTACCAGGAGAATGACAAGAAAAGTAAAGTAATTGAATTTTTTCAAACTTGAATCCATTCTCCCTTTAGTTCCAAAAGAAACGGTTTGGATGAATAGAAAATTTTAAGTTTTTTTGATAAAAAAAAATACCTTGTGAGAAAGTGCAAATTCCTGGGATGTGACAAGTCCATTGCTTGCGAAACGTCAATAACATAAACCTGCAGAAAAAGAAAAATTTAACTCAAGTGAAAATCATCATTGAAACCTTTCCTTCAGAGAGCAGCAGGTTAAACTCGCTGAGATCGGCGTGAACCAACTGACACTCTTTGTACAGCCGGCACATTATCTAATAAAAACAGCCGTCGGCCGTCAACTTTGGGGAGGAGCTCACACTTTCTACTTGCTCATAGATATTTCTACGTTCGACATCGGTGAAAAATCCCCAGTCGACGTTCTTGAGCCGCGGAGCAGCGACGCCGTCTTCGCCGATGAGTGACATCACCAGAAGATGCCGCTTCAGCTTGACCGGCGTCGGACACGGCAATCCCCACTTGGTCATTCTGATGGGTTCCATTCTTTCTATGAGTATTCATCCGGCATCTAACCTCATCAGGTTCATGAATTCTCTTTCCGCCCAAATACGCAACACTCCGCGTGGGTTTTTGAAGCGGAAATCGTCTTTCACATACTCGCTTCTAGAAATATTTAGATAAAAGAGCATGAAAAAAAACCAACCTGTTCTTGAATTCACTCAGAGTAGTTTTATAAACTTTAACAGCAAAATGAGTAGAAGAAGATTGAGCTGCATGGAGCACTGCCGACTCCTGAGTTTCAAATTTTATGCAACAAAAAAAAAAACTGAAGAAAATGTTACCTTTCCTGTAGCAATGACGCCTTCGATAGTGTCAAAAACGCCTTGGTTGATCCATTTGAACAGAGACAAACGCGTGTTCGCATCTACCGAAGTTTCCATCGTTGCCTTTTCTTCCTAAAAAAATCATACAAGAATCAGAAAAAAAAAACATTTTTTTTGTGAGTGAAAGCTGATGAAACTCCAAACAAACCTTGTCCTTCATACGCATCTGTCGCTTGACCTCCGTTTTGGCGAATGAACGCAGCGAATTGTAGACGCGGCTGCTGATCGCGTCGCTCACCAAGTCGCCCGTCGAGACGTTGACAGCATCCTACAAAGGTAATATCTTTCACTTCCATAGTTTAGCGGTCACCTTTTAAAAATGCCAAAACGGGTAAAATCAACGCTTTCAAATTTGTTCTCTATCTGCATGAATTTTGACAAAAGGTTCGGACTAACTTTTATTTCTTAACCTTGTCAATAAAAGTTTTTTTGCTACGTAAAAATTTCAAATTTTCTTTGTTCTAGCTCAAAAACCTCCCCTACGTACTTGTACTGGGACTTTATCAAATTTTCTTCAAAATTAATTTTGGGGTAATAAAGTTAAAATTGTTTTTCATGTCCACGGAAATTCCAATCATTAATCTGGTGAGAAACCTAAAAAAAAGAAAAAGAAAAAGTAAGTATTCAATTAGTTTTGGCTACGAAAAACACACATCATCAATAAATTTTTTACATTCAAAGTCTTGTCGGCGTTGCGACGAGCTGCTATGGTCGGGTTATGTTTAGTGACACTTCCAGTGGTACGCAAACGAGAGGAAGACGCAGACTCCTCGTCAAGCTGCAACATGAAATTGGAATAGGTTTCCACACATGACAATCGCTCAGAATTCCCAATAAATACTCGCTTTTGCGTAGAGCATGTCCGTGGCGATCTGCCTAAGTTCGTCGTCATCCTCATCTGAATCTTCGTCAGTCTCTTGAGCCGTCTTCGGACAGTATCGATCCGGAGTCACCACAACTAAATCAAGGTGATTGAAAACTACCCCTTCTGTTTAATAAGGTACTACCATTCTTCATATTCCGGGCATTCTTCGTTGTTTGCTCTCCGGTGTTGGATGAAGAGGCAACCGCTCTCGCCAGATCAGCCTCTCTTAAAAAGAAGAAAAATGCGGTGAGTTTATTAAATAAAATTTTCTAAAATACAAGCTTTGAGAATAAGATTTAGGATTTTGAAAGAAAAATATAAAAAGGTATAAAAGGGAACAAAAAGGAGATTTTGAGAAACGTTTGAAACTTTTTTTAGAAATTCAAAAAGCTCTAGACTCTTTTTGAAGGCAGTTTGGACTTTGCCCGTGGTTTTAAAAATTTTAAGTCACCTATCAAAATGACGTTGAAGAGCGATTGCCATTTCTTCGTCGGTCATTCCAGAAGTATTGAGCAAAATTTCATCGATAGACTCCGAGTTCATAACATTTTCAAAATCCTTATAAAGTTTCTATTAGATGAAAGTCTCAGTAATGAAACCTTAAGAAATGTTTCTTCCTGCTTTTTTTCTTCTTCGTCAATGCTTTGAGCTAGGTCTTCACTCATTATGTCGACAAAACGAACTACAGGCTCTTCGACCTAAAATATGAGCACTTCGAAGCAACATTGGACAGCAAACTTCATTATCATTGGTTCCCCAGGCGTTTTTCTTCCATGCGTTTGGCCTACTACACTCACCCATCTGCAAAAATTTTAAAAAAATTTAAATTAATTTTATTCAATTAAAAAAGTCGGCGGAAAAATTGCAAAGATATTATGGCTGGTATTTTGCGAATGTTGAAAACAACGTTATTGAAATATTTCACAATACACTGGACGCAATCGTCTCACGAAACAGCACACCAAGAGGCACTCGTGAACAGAATCAAAGTGAAGAATTTATTGCGAAATAAACTGACTAGTGAAAAAGAATCTGAAATGTAATACAAAAAGCATAATTTTTTCCACTCTGATAGATTTCTGCAAAACGGAGATTTTTTCACTTTGAACTGTGGAGTTTTCTGAAATTGATATCTCGGTGTTATATCAAATTTGAACAAGAAATGACGAACTTTCAAAAAAACGTACAAACCAACATTACATTTTTGTTGGAAACTGTTTTTTTGTTTCTTCCTTTTTTTCATCATTTTGAATGTTTAAAAAAATGTTCTAACAATTAAAAAAAAAAAAATCATCCACTGTAAAAAACTGCTTCAAAAATAATTACTAGCCCACTATTAAACTGAAATGATATAAAAGTTTCGACAAGGAAACAATTCAGTTATCCCGAAGTTTCAGGAATTTTCTCATAGGGGTGAAAGCTCTGTAGGCGAGAAAGGCGTCGGAAGGATTTTCCAGATAAACGCGTTCAGAGGAGCCGCTAGTCGGTCGTACAAACACGACTTGTCCCTTATCGAGACGCAGAGACTTTTCGCCTTCAATATGAAATTGTCGATTCATAAAAAAATAAAGAACCTAGAGAAACACTGGCAGCTCCATTGATAACTACTAAAATCGAAGAGCTGTCCGTGTAATCAAACTCGAACTTTTCGGAGACATTCAACTGGAAAAAAGAAAGATTTACTCAAACTGACACAATTTTGAACAGCAGCAGAAAAGCATAATCTCCGATCAAAACTTGAAAAAGCGCAAACCGTGACTTCCTGAACCCAAAACTCGTCTACTCCGGGCGGCGTGAAGAGACGACTTCCGTTAGGAAGAATCGTTGGCACGTATTTCGGAAGCAGCGTTTCCGAGTAGTTGAGCATTTCGACAAGAGACCTAAAAGTATTTCTCCTGGTGGAAATAGAGGAAACCAACTCGACGTCGATAAACTTGGGGGTGAGACCAGCACGGATCGTGTTGTCACTGCATGCCATGCACTCAACGCAGTCTGAACGTGAATTCGATGAGAGAAAAATGATTCGCAACTCGCCTCCGAACAGATAGGCATGTGGCATGTTGGGAGAAAGAAAAGTCGCTTCTCCTGGTTTCAGTTTGAAATAATTGAGGAAAATTGGAGCTAAAGCGCCAACGTCGCCTGCAAAAAAAAAGTACCAGTTTGCTCGAAACAGTTACTGAGGTTTTCAGAAAACGAAAAAAAGTGTATTGGAGCCACGCTCAAAAGATTTTAAAAAAAAATTTGTAAATGAAAACCTGGAAAAAGTTTTGCCAATCGAGCTATTATGAAATGAAGATCTGTCGCGTCATCTTAAAAAAAAAAGGAAGCCATTTTTGCTGTCTAACACAAAAACCACCTTTTACTCTGTTATAAATTCTTTCGACAATTTTTCCAATTTCGATTGAGTCGGTTTTCCAAATCTTGGAAAAAACCACTCGCAGAGAAGATGGGCTGGGTGATTCGGCCAGTGAAGACAAAGCCGCTTTCTCATTATTGCCGAAAAGTTCCAAAATTTCGGGAAACCCTTTTAAAAAAGAAGTGATTTCTTTCGAAAAAAAAAAGGGAAAAATTAGAAACCTTGCAAGTTCGCAGCAATTTCTGAATGGCAACGAAAGCCACTCAAAAGCTCGAAATCGGTGAGTGCGATTGCAATTTCTGGTTTATGATTGGCGTCCGAGTAGTTTTTGGGATCTTTCGAGTGTAGTATTTTTGCTTGCTCCTTTAAAAAAAAACCTTTTTTCATTAACATGTTGAAAGCTCACCTTTGTTGGATGTATTTGAATGGAAAGAGGACCAGCAACAGATAAAACTTTGAAAAGATACGAAAGCTCAGCTAAAAGAAACCATTCTTCGAATTAAGTGCATGTTGGAATACAAGTTTCTTCGGCTCCATGAAGACTTGGCTCGACAGAGAGCTCATCTGATAAAAGTTTTCCTGTTTCTGCGTTTTTGGAAGGTCCATTTTGGTGAGTTCCCATCCACAACTGAAAACCGAAGCCTGATTCGGAAAGGAAAGAGGATGAGAAACCTCAGCGTAGGGCTGAGAGCCGTCAATGGCGTCCATGTGCTTTCCGTCGATGCCCAAGGTGCCAACCAAACTCTCGCCTCCTTTCTTACCCCATGAGTAGTTCATAACAGAACATCGAAGTTTGAACATTTGGGCTGAAGCTCTAAAATTCTCCTCGAAATCTAGCCGTATAAAATAAAATGAGAATGATGATCCCTCAATATTTGCTCACGTCGCACATGCCAGCAATGTAGAGAGATTCAAACAATGGAATATTCCTATCAAACTCGCAATCAATACATAAAAACCTTGTAAAAAACTGTATGGGTTCCAAAAACACTTGAAAAGCAGTTTGAAAGAAAACAGCAACACTGTTTATATTCAGCCAAAAATATTTAAAAGTTACACGCTTCAGAGCTGCATGCAGCGAAAAGGCTCAATCTCTGCCATCGGCCTTTGGAAAGCCGGCACCGTAACTCTTCCTACGACCTCTCTTGTACCTGATGTTCTACGAGCTAAATTCACAACTTCTCAGCCTAAGCCACAGCTCCTGCCGCCGTTTAAACACAGTTCAATCAATGAAAGTCGATTGCACATGTATTCTTACATTGAAGATGCAATAAACAGTTTTTAAAAACACGCTTCAGAAGGTTACAAGATTGAAGGAAAAAGGGGAAAAAAAGATAAATTTGTGATCGCTCCGACAACTGCGCGCATAAAGGCGCCCCTTTCCCCGCCTAAAGGCGCCCCCTTCCCCGCCTAAAGGCGCGCACATCCCGCGCTTTCGTGGCGCAGTAGTGCCGCCGCGTCGGGGGAACTGCGCTGTTGTGCCGCTTTCAAGGCACTTTCAATGCGGTGTTACCATTCAAATGGCCTCCTTTTGCTCGATTGGGCTCTATTTTTCGTACTTCGTCAATCATGACTGATTGATAAAGTACGAAAAATGAAGCCAAAAGAGGTTTTGCCTTATTAGTTTACAAAATTTCAGACATCAAGAAATAATTTTGAGGTAGATTACCTATAGGAAATTATAAAGATAACATGTTTGTAAAATATGTATTTGAGGAAACTTCATACAAATAAAAACTCAAAAAGACTGTTCAAAACTTTTTTGTAGGCGCCATCTCGCATTTATCTTGCATTTCGGAAATTTTCAAATAGCGAGAGAAATGCGAGCTCGCGCCTAGAAAAGTGCGAGCTGGCGCCCAGAAAAATGCGAGACCGGCGCGAGAAAAAATGCGAGATGTTTGCGAGCTCGTCAATGTACCGCCAGTGTCTCGCGTTTATCTCGGCAGTTATTCTTAGTGGAAGAAACGAAATCCCAAAAACTTTTGAAATAAAAATTGTAAGAAACATGTTCGCGCTGGCGCATTTTCAATCTCGTCGCCTCAATTTCGGAGGTCCTCCGACTCTGCCGAGTTCGGGGCGCCTTTAGGCGAAAAGGCCAGTTGCGGGCGCCTTTAGGCGGTGCCGTGTCGGAGGCGCTGAACTACTCATTTTCTTAATATTTTTTTTAAACACACAATTTAACAAAAAATTAACCGAGCCGCATTTATTTAGTAGAAAGTTAGAAATTTCGATTAATTGAGAAAGCTTTGGAGAGGAAGCTTAAAATCAAACTCTCAAGATGAAGAGATAAACGAAAAGGCATACGAGAATGATAATTTAAATTTCGGGTGAAAACAGAAAAAAAGTTCCACCATTTGTAAAAAATTTTATAGAGCTCACTTTTTAATTCATAAAATATTGTTTATTTCTCGTGAACGAATTCCGGAAATGTCCAAACACTTAGGCAAACCGGTTTTTTTAATTGATCAAATGGAAAAAAATAATAGGATTTATTCACCAAAGTACCAGAGGAATTTGAGTCGTTTGAAAAGTTTTGCAAATCAAATGGCTTTTAGATCGTCTTTTTTTTTTTTTTAATAGAACGCTTTTTTAAAAAAAAAAAAAATCCTCGAAACCAGTTTCAAACAAAATAAAAAAGTTGGGAAGATCAGAAATTAGTGAAGTAAAAAAGTGAGAATATATATGAACAATTAATTTTATCAACTTTAAAAACTATGAGCTCATCAGAAAATGCTTTTCTACAAATTATTGAACCTCGCTTTTTTCAACTTGATCTTTTGAACCAGTTAGATCTAACTAATATTAGAACCACTGTGCGAAACTTTATGCCGTGTTCAATTTGATTCCGCGAAAAGCAAAATGATCTCTGACTCTCCAAAATTTAGTGATCTTTTCCTTTTTCTAGCGGGTATTCTGCATTTCGCGGAATAAAATTGAACACGGCATTAAGCCCCCAAATGATCGGAAAACCTTTCTATGCGTTTTCTATGGAGCGCGTTTTCGAAACCGCCGGCTCTAATTTGAAATCAAGGAACTGAGGCTATCTTTCTTATTAAGAAGTTTATTTTCAGGCAATTTGGTTCGAAAAAAGGAATATAGCTGGGCAGGCAAAAACAAAAAGATTTGAATGAATTATGTGTAAATTGACGAGAGTACTTGAGAATGTTGGTTACGCTTAAATTGAAAAGAAGTGAAAAAAAAAAGTTGAAAACACGTACCCTTGCAAAGGAAAATATTTTGATTTGCTGCACGGTAACAGGTTTCCTCAATTCAGTTTTCGCCGTTCTGAAAAAATAGGAATTAGAATTTTTTGCGAATCTTATTTTTTTTCGCCTGAGCAATTTTTCACCTGAAAATTTCTATATAGCAAGGTGGACGAAAATGCAACCTGTTGTCAACACAATCAACCATCATCAAAAATGCTAATTACCTTCAATTTGTTGGCCTTATCAGATGATAATTATGTGCGAGATCTCGAAAAGCTTTTGCAGCACGACTTAACTCGACTTCTAGCCTTCTCACGACACTGCCAAATCCGGGCATCGATGCGGCTATAAAGCGGGCATCCGGATGAACTAGTTAACACAGAAACTGCTACGTCTCAAGTAAGAAAATCTTTGGAGGGCTCGGGCCAGGCCAGGCTTCGGAAAAAAATCTTTTTATTTCATTAAAAAAATTTTTCACTGAAAAAAATTACTTTCACTTGTTGAATTATATTTTTCTGATAACTCTATGATGAAAAAAATAAGCAAAAAGCTCCACTTTTCTCGTTAAAAAAAGCGAAAAAAACTCGACATGAAGAAAAATTTGAGCTTTTTGGGCCGTGCCGGCCATTTTGCTTCAAGCCCTTATAAGGCCGGACCGGGCTTGGAAAAATGCCCGGAAGTCGATAGGGCCGGCCCGTCACCCTCCCGGCCCCCCGACCATTTTGTAAGCCCGGCCCGGCCTTAGCGGGGCCTCAAGAAAAAATGACCCGCCCGGCCCAAAACGCGCAATTTTTTCTAGTCGGATATCAAGTTCGGATATAAATTTTTTTACGACAAAAATTACGTTTTTGCTCAATTTTTTTCACTTAAAGTTCAACAAAAAAACTATGCTTTCAAAAGTAAAAGTAACATCTCGGTGAAAATTTTTTAAATGAATTTGTAATTTTTGAAGCCCGGCCCGGCCCGAGCCCACGCGGGCTTTTTCCTGAAAATGGGGCCCAAAGCCCGGGCCAGGCCGCCCGGTCTGACGCACAAGCCTGTGGTCAGCAGGCTTGTGCGAGGGCCGGCCTGTCACCCTCCCGGCCCCCCGACCATTTCGTAGGCCCGGCCCGGCCTTAGCGGGGCCTCAAGAAAAAATGACCCGCCCGGCCCAAAACGCGCAATTTTTTCTAGTCGGATATCAAGTTCGGATATAAATTTTTTTACGACAAAAATTACGTTTTTGCTCATTTTTCCACTTAAAGTTTAACAAAAACCATGATTTCAGAAGTAAAAGTCACATTTCGGTGAAAATTTTTTTAAATGAAAATTTTGAAGCCCGTCCCGGCCCAAGCCCACGCGGGCTTTTTCCTGAAAATGAGGCCCAAAGCCCGGCCTGACGCACAAGCCTGGTGGACAGGTAAGAAATTTCATGAAAGAAACAGCGCTCTACTGAATTAGGCGCGAAAGAAACTATTTCAAAATGACGAGCGCGAAACTTGCCGCATTTTGAAGGTCAAAAATTTTTTATTGAATTTTGCTCGGGGGGTTTTTTTTTTGGAATTCGATTTTTCTCGGAGTTGTTTTTTTCTGGGCATATCAAGAAAAATCGTGAAATATTTTTGAATTAGTTATGAGGAAAGGGTGTTCAAACTCGAGACGCATTTTTTTCTATAGTCTGTTCAGATTTTGAATGTCAAGTCGTCGCTCAAGCTCCGCCCATAATGGTGCGATAAACCAATCAGAGAGCGAGCCATCCACAGAGCGTTTTTGAATGACGTCATTCTACTTGACATTCAAAATCTGAACAGACTATATTTGTAGTTTCTTGCAATTAACAGCTTCATTTTAAGTTTTCATTAGACTTTTTCGGTTCACAATGGAGAACATCATTGCTGGTCGTGTACAACAGGTTGAAGACCCGGAAGGACTACGAGTTCAAAAAGAGTTCTCGCGGTTTCTAAAAACGTATGTATGAAATTTTCTTTTGCGATGTTTTAATTCATTTTCAGTTATGCCAACGAAAAAAAAGAAAATGTTTATAAAGTGGCTATGCGCGATTTGAGCCAACCCGAAAGAAACACTCTGTTTGTTGATATGCAGCACGTGTATGGATTCAGTACTAACCTTGCTACCCTAATCGAACTTCATTTTTACAGGTTTTTATTTATATTTCTACCCAAACTATTTAAACACAACCTGTTTACCATATCAATGGACTTATGATAATTTTTTTCCAATTCCAACGCACCCAATATTATGAGCTTTTTCGCAACGAGAGTAATGCTATGCCGAGAAAAACATCTCTCGCTAAAAGTTTTTGCTATATCGCCTGCGACCGCTGCGATGTAGTCAGGTATGTTGGGTGCGACTTTGAACTCAATAAAGTATGAAAAGTTCCTGTTTCGAAAAAAAAGTGGATTGCTTGCAGACTATATCCATTTATTTGTGAGGCTCTTCAAATTGCAACAGTAGAAGGTTGCGAAGAGGAGGAGCGTCAGCAGATGCACAAAAAACAACTCTACGTTTCAATTTTCAATCTGCAGACGAAAACAAAGGTGTTGATTGGGTTCTTTTCAATCTTCCAACTATCAATTCAGGTTCGTGAGCTTTCCGCCGATAAAGTTGGCGGTCTCGTGCGCATTTCCGGTCAAATTGTCCGAACTCATCCTGTTCATCCAGAATTGAGTAGGGCGACTTTTGTCTGCGAGGATTGCGGTGTGACGACCCGCGATGTTCTTCAACAATTTCGTTACACTCAGGTTTTTGTACCTTTATGGAACACTCTCCAACGGATTGTTTTCCAGCCCACACGCTGCACGAATCCCCAGTGCATGAATCGCACGCGCTTCAGTCTTGACGTCAACGATTCGACTTTTGTTGATTTTCAAAAAATCCGAATTCAGGTGTGGTTGCGCTAATTGTTATCCGTATTGTTAGTTTTGAGGAATTCATCACTCAGCTGAGAATAAAATTAACTATATTTCATGGTAAATATGAGAATCGAATCATTGTTTGATCTTCCAATCAAAACATTTTTCAGAATAAAATTATGTAGTAAAATTTCTATGGAACGATGAGAATTAAAGTTTGGGATTCATCGGTTCCGCTTCTTTTTTCTTGAAATTGTTTATCTATTCTATCTAGGTTGTATGAAGTAATATAACATTTTCTCAGCTTGAGACCATACGTCGGCTGGATCCCACCCCAGGGTGCGGCCTACTTCTGTTTTAAAAAAAACGGCCTATTGCATCTTCAATGTAAGAATACATGTGCAATAGACTCTCATTGAGTTAACTGTACTTGGTCGACCTCGGGGGGACTCGAACCTACGACCTCGCGAACGTTAGAAATGCGTCTTTACCAGCTGAGCTATGCCGCACCCGCCTACTTCAGTACATTTTAAAGTTTTTTTTGCGCCCAAAATGCCGGGGTGGATTCCAGCCGATGTATGCTTGAGATTGCGGCATTTGCAGTTCTCGCGCAAAGCTGGCGAAAATCCAAAAATTATCGCGTTACTGAATTTTCTATGACTTGTCTTCACAGTTGAGAAGAAAGTAATAGGCGACAGATCCTTGAACGAGTTCGCATTGAGCTTTCTGTATCTAGTAATGGTGAATCAACTCCTACTCAATCAGAAAATGTTGGTTGAAGGAGACTCAAGCGGAACTTCCTCGCGGCTCTATCCCCAGAACGGTCGACGTGATCGTCCGCGGCGAAATGGTAGAAAGTGTTCAACCTGGAGATCGGTGCGACATCGTCGGAACTCTCATTGTCATGCCCGACATTTCTCAGATGAGCACTCCGGGGCTGAAAGCCGAGACTTCCAATCAAAACCGAGGTCTTTTTATGATCACAGTCAGCAGTAGGTTCAGCTCATTGATGTAGATTTCAGAAAAACATAATTTTTTCTCATTCGCACGCGCCAAAGCCTTTTTTGAACAACTGGCGAATTTTAGGGAAAGCACTCGAAAAGGACGCCGGTGTAACAGGTCTCAAAGCCTTGGGAGTACGAGATTTGACGTACAAACTTGCCTTCCTCTCTTGCCACATCAAACACTCAAACGAATTGATCTCTGCGGATATCAGCTCCGACGAGCCCGACTACGTTGAGCTGTGGCAGCGGATGACCCCCGACGAGCGTCAGGCTCTCAAGAAAATGAGCGAAGATCCGAAAATTGAAGAAAACATCGTTTCTTCGTTGTTCCCCAACATTTACGGCAATTATGAGGTAATAAAAAATTCGTCTTTTTTTTTAATTCGAAAAGGGTTCAGGTGAAACTGGGAGTTTTATTAATGCTTCTGGGCGGCGTTCCGAAAAGAAGCAAAGACGAAGGAACGACACTTCGAGGCGATATTAACGTTTGTCTTGTTGGAGACCCCTCGACGGCAAAAAGTCAAGTTCTTAAGTGTGGTTCTCGAAGGAGCTAGAAAAAAGGAGTGAGTTCAGGACTGTCGAGGAGTTCAGCCCGCGGGCCATTTATACGTCGGGAAAAGCCTCGTCTGCTGCTGGTTTGACTGCCGCCGTCGTCAAGGTACTTTTGATCCTCTCCAGAAAGGCGCAGATTGAAGGAAATGTGTTTTACAGGACGAAGAATCTTTCGAATTTGTCATTGAAGCTGGCGCTTTGATGCTCGCTGATAATGGCGTTTGCTGCATCGACGAGTTCGATAAAATGGACCCTAAAGACCAAGTCGCCATCCACGAAGCCATGGAGCAGCAGACTATTTCTATCACTAAGGTTTTACTTCATATATAGATGAAATAATTGTTTTGTTGAAGGCTGGTATCAAAGCGACTCTGAACGCCCGTGCTTCCATCCTGGCGGCTGCCAATCCAGTGGGAGGTCGATATGACAGGTCTCGTTGTATAAGATGAGCTTACGTATTGTATATTCAATTTTCAGTTTTAAAAAAAAAGAAGAAAAAAAATTTACGACATTCATCAAAAACTAAGTTTTCAGATCGCGTCCGTTGAAGCACAACATCCAGATGTCGGCGCCGATTATGAGTCGATTCGATCTTTTCTTCGTACTCGTCGACGAATGCACAGAGGCTACAGACTACGCGATCGCCCGCCGAATCATCGAGAACCATCGCGCGATCAGCGAGAAAATCGTCCGTCCCTCAGCCTACAACGTCGAGGACGTCAAGAAGTACATTGCTTTCGCCAAATGCTTCAAGCCTAAGGTTTTCACATTTTGATGTAACTAAAGGGCGAATAACATATAGTTGGTGTTGAAGTTCTCTGAACGACTTTAGCAAAGTAGTTGATTGAAAATAATCTGCACGTAAAGGTACGGAAAGTTTTTTTAAAATTAGATTGACTAAGTAGTTTAACTGTGAGTAATCTGTGTGATTGCATAGGAAAAATGGAAAAATTCCTTTGAGGATCCTGTGAGGAATTTTAAAAGGTTTTTCTAAAAGCTCCTAAAATGATGTATAAAGGCTTTTAAGCTCCTTTTTCATAGCCCCAGAGGATCCTTTTTGAATCCGCTCGAATCTTTTTTAGTAGCTTTCAGTATCCTTTTTGTCTTTGTTGAAGGATGTGAATAAGATGCAAAAATGAGATAAAAAGATCTCCTGGGGACCCTTTCAAGGCCTTTACTTGAGAAAAGCTTTTGAGGAGTATTTCAGTTTTGGGAGTTTAAGAGCGATTCGAAGTTGCTCTGAACAATTGCTTGTCTTCTCCAGATAAATGCCGAAGCTGCCAAGGCGTTGGTGACCGAGTACAAGAAGCTGCGGATGTCAGACAGCAACAACGCGGCGACGAGTTCCTGGCGCATCACCGTCCGGCAACTCGAGTCGATGGTCCGACTCTCGGAAGCCCTCGCCAGACTCTACTGCGCCAAGGAAGTCACCATCGAGCACGTCACCCAGGCCGCCAAACTCCTCAACAAATCGATCGTCAGGTAAGGTTTCACCCCTTCCGAAAGACTAAACGATTACATTTCCCAACTTCGGTCAAGTAACATGGTTATTTAGACGTTGTATCATTTCTTTAGGGATCCTTCACAAACTTCATTATTTTACGGGTCATTTTTGATGTTTTGTGAACTTTTCTCAGTAAAATCGCCAAGTTTCAAATTTTTCAAATATTATTTTTTTATCATTTTTTTATTATTTTATTTAAATATTTCAAATATCGAACAAATAAAAACAAAAAAAGTCTATTTCATCCGTAGTCCTAGCTTCCAGTAATGATAAGAGCGACTGATTCCGAGAAACTCGTTTTCTCATCTTTTTTTCATTCATATCAGATATTTCAGGAATAAGAAATGTTTTTTCAAAGCTTTGATTATGAAAAACTGAAAAAAATCTAATCAATTGAAGAAATAAACGAATCTTCAGTGACCATAAATCGCGATCATCGCATGAATAATTGGGCCTCTTTTTCAGAGTTGAACAACCGGATATCGCCTTGGAAGACGATGACTTTGACAACGAAGTCATTTTCACTGAAGGAAACAAAGAAAATGCTGGAGACATGGAGCCAATGGATCAGGATGGCGATGCTGACAAGGCGAAGGTTTGAGAAGCACTGAACTAGTTTTGAGAGTTAAAAATAGTAGTGTGTTTTTTATTCCGATATGATTTTTTTTTTCATTTTTTTTTTCAATCGAAATTATTCTTTACTTTCGAAGGTTTGAAAACTTTTTTCTCGAGAAAATGTAGGAATCAGCCGATCCGAAGTAAACAATTCTAAAAAAACTTGTTTCGGAAAAAGAAACCTAGATATGATATTTGAAAAAAAGTGCCAGGTGAATATTTATAGAATAAAAAAACAGAAAATGATGAAAAATGATGAAAAAAAGCGGGATTGCAAGAATAAAAAAACATTTAAGAAGTGTTACCGATATATTATGTCTTGTCGTTCAAACTATTAAGATTGGAGGAGCAATTTGAAAAATTGAAACAATGAAACTGAAATAAAATTAACTTTTTTTTCTTGGGCAGGTCGATTCTTCAAAGCTGAAAATCAGCTACGAGGACTACATGCGGATGGCCGACGCATTCGTCATTCGGATGCGCGCCGACGAAGAGCAGCAGGGCGAAGAAGAGTACGCGGGGATCAAGCAGAGCGCCGTCGTCCAATGGTACCGTATCCCTTCACGCATGACGTCATGAATCATTGTGCAGGTACCTCGAGCGCATGGAAGAAGACTTTACCACGGAAGAAGAAGTCGTCACTCAGAAGGCCATCTGCGAACGCGTTCTGCGGCGCCTCGTACACGATGATAAAATTTTAATTGAAGTTTGTTATTTTTCGAATTGAGCTGTGGAGGAAATTTAGCGCGTCTTTTTGAATTTTGAATTGAAGGGGTTTTCACATAGGAAATAGGTTGCCCATAAAACGGTCAGTCCACGGCTCTTCTGTTTTTTTTTTTAGTTTAATGGTTTATTCTGAAGCATTTAACTTTGTTTTTTTCTATTTCAAACTATCGCATGAATGCCATATTGTTATGACACTTTTTTTCTGAATTCAGGGGATTTCTTTAATTTTTGAATTAATTTTTTTCATTAGTTGTGGATTTAAAAAAAGTACTTTTTTTGATGTTGTCAAAAAAATTTCCCAAATATAGGTTTTCAAGAAATACTTTTTTTCAGGTGGAAGGAGGCGACGATCCGACTCTTTGTGTACATCCTAACTACGTTGTCGATGATGAGTAACTTTTTTTATTTTTGAACTCTTAATTCGACTACTCATATGAACTCATTTGGTTGTCAAAAACTCACAATTTTCCTTATTCTGTCAAATTGTGTATCGAGGTAAACGATTTAACACACTGTTTTTGTGATTTCTGAAAAAGTTGGTGAAGAGTATTCCCATCTAAATTTGATAACTTGAAAAATTCTTTTCGCTTCAAAGACTTTTTTTTTGCTCAAAAAACGAATGATAAAAGGATTAAAAATTTATCGCGGTTAATACCCACTTAATAGAATTAAAAATAAATACACAAAAATTCTTCTCATTGTTGTTGGTGTTGTCGGAAAAGAAACAATGTCATAAAGTTGTGGAAATATACACATAAAATCGGAATAGCCTAATCGCAGTTGTGAGGGCAAGGCTGCGGGCGGACAACCATCGACCCTGGCCACTGCGACACGAAGAAACTGTTAGTAGAAAATCAGAGAATGATAGGAAATGAAAGAAAAGGAAGATGCTAGCGGTAGCTAGGCGAGACCACCGATCTTGAACTCGTGAAGGTTTTTGTGGAAAAAAGGAGCACGCAACAACAAGAGGAAGTGCAAAGCTGGCTATATATAACAATTGGCATTTAAACAACTCTACAAGAACAATAAAGTGATCAACAATGAAGCTGTGGTAATTGGCACCCAAAGATTTTCAGAAGATTCAAAAAAATTCATCCATTTTTATTTTAGAAATATTCTCGATGATTTCACGAAAAAAGGCAGGGCATTCAACAACGAAAAGCGAAGGTGTGTAAACGAGTGAAAGAAAAAGAAAATATTTTGTCCTGGTCTTAGAAAAATAAAAATATGCAGCTGCATGATAAAGAATAAACCGTCGCCTACATACGTCTACTTTATACAAACACAATGAATATAACATCCAACTTTGTTCATTAATTATATCGATGGAGGGAACTGGAAACATGAATAGCTGAGATAAAAAAATTATTAGAGAAAATTTCAAACGTAGAAGTATATTTATATATAGATAGATTATAAACCGCATATTCTACACTCGTTTGCTACCAACACAGCGAAAGGAAATCAAATGCACCAAAAGAAAGAAAAAAACAACAAAGACAGAAAGTGAGCATTTGATTGAAACGAATGGCTCAAAATGCTTCATTCACATCGAGCGTGCGACCTGCGCATAATAATTTATTATAATTTCGCTTCTGGGGCAAGTATATTATTAGTAGAAACTCGCACACAGACGCACGCGAAAATACAACAAAGAACAGATAAAAACCGAAGATGCCAAGGCGAGAACCGTAATTTTTATGAGAAGAATTGTGAGATACTGGTATCACAGATTTTCGACACGCGATATATGTTTCTTTTTTTTGCAGGAGATATTCTTATGTGTGGGGTGAGAGATAAGGCAACGAGCGACTCTAAAGAAAAATTGCAACAACCGAGACCACTGGGAAAGGCAACAAACAGAATAAAAAACGCCTAGCGAAGAACTAACGACAGCGACATCATCACCGGAAGCCCGAGTCGGACTGTTGCGGAGGCTGGCCGGGCTGCGGCGGTTGGTTGCCTTGAGGACCGCCCATCATCGGAGATCGCCCCTGCAAAAATTCACACTTCATTCATGACCATCTTTTCGCTTGTAGCGAGGTTCTATAAGCATTGCGGTCGGACGCAATGAAGCCCTCTTCGTAGCAGTTTTAGCCATTCTCCGCGACCAGCGTTTTTTGAGTAAAATAGACCGTCTTTTTCAAGGATTCCAAATTTTAATGAGGGAAAATGTTCGCACGATTCCAAATGAAGCCAGTTGTAAATTGAAAAGCACATAAATTAATCCACGGAACTGATTTTACTACACACGCATAAAATATTTCTTTTTGGTTTTTCTGCTTTCTCGCTCTATTTTTCCAAACGTTTCCTTACTTTTCTAAGCTCTAGAGACGAAATATAATCGTGGAAGAAATAGAAACCTGGCCAGGAGCAAAGGCGCCAGACTGCCTCGCTGCGTGCTGCTGCTGCTGCCACGCGGCCTGCGCTACGGGATTCATCGAGGCGAATTGGCCACCAGGTCCGCGGTTCGGCTGCGGACCGCCTGCGTAGAAGTGCTGCTGCTGTTGAGCTTGTTGCTGCGAACCGGGGCCGCCGCCCATCGCACCTGTCGGGTACGGCATGTTGATCGCGGGCTGCAAACAATCACTTTCATATTCAATTTCAAATGATTTTCAACCAAAACTCAGCGAAAATGTTCGACTTTCTTTTACTAAACCAGTTTTTTTGCACAAAGACGTTTCTGTGACGGTGAAGGGAAAGAACCTGATGTTAATGTACTTTTTATTTATTTTTTCTCCTTCTCAGACTTCCTTTTCTTACTAGTGTTCAAAATCACGTGCTCGATCACATTCAGCATGAAACATGAAACTAGAAAGGAAGATTTCAAGCCTAAGAAACGATTTTTCAGTTTCAGGGGCTATGTCCAGAAGGTTACTTGGAAAATTGACACCTTCAAAACTAAAGTTTTGCGCATGTGGCAACTAAAAAAGATCTTGATCTAGACCTGAAGAGTGTTTGAACAAATGTATGAAATTCTCCATGAAGGAAGTTCATACAGATTTTTCTGGTTTTTGTTTTTTTTTTGTTTAAAATTTGCCATTCATATCGGTAAATATTTACGAAAAAGAACTCACATCCATAGTCATTTTCATGCGTAGGAACGCAGAAAACAAATGCGGAGTTTTCTTCAGATCGTTGAAAAGTCCTTCGCGTTCTTCTTGCGTCCTCGACGTCTTCAACCTCTGCATGATCTTCTGCAGTTGTGGATTTAGAGACGGATCATTCGCTTGTTGCATTGGATCTGAAAAGCTAATTTATTTAGAGAAAGGCCATCAGTAATTTGGTTTTTTTTTCTTTAATTTACGTTTTCCTTTTCTTCTTTATTTTTTTTAATAATGAATAGACATGCCTGCTGGTCCAGCCATGGCGCCCATTTGGTTGGGAGTCGGCAATCCGTAGTGGTTGAGTCCTGGTTGACCAGGTCTGTAAAATGTGAAAGAATGGAGGAAGAATGACAAGAGAGGAAAATGATGATAACTAGAGAATCTGACCCAATTTCGATTCAATCAAAAAAAAAAGTTCGATCAGGTGAAAGGCTGAAAAAGAAAAATAATGTCAAAACGATGGTATGAAAAAAACACCAGCGAAAATTTAAACGGCGACTTTTCCGATTTTTTCGTATCGCTAGGGAACTTTCCGACGGCCACCTTTCCGCCGAAATCCTTTCCGACTTTTTGCCTTTGTATTTTTCGATTTATAAAACATCTATTAACACTTTTTTTTTCTTATTTCGTTGTGTTTTAATCATGAATAAACTGCCTACTTTATATAGGAAGATTCAAAACGAAGATTTTACCGAGAAAAAAAGTCGGAAAAAGATTCGGCGGAAAGGTGGCCGTCGAAAAGTTCCCTAGCGATACGAAAAAAATCGGAAAAAGTCGCCGTTTGAATTTTCGCTGGTCTTTTTTTCATACCACCGTCCAAACGGCTCAAAATACATAAGGTTTTCATTTCTATTATAAATTTTAATATGTCTTTCATCATAAAATGATAAAATTTTTCATTTTTTTAGTCAAAAAAACTTTTTTTCTATTCATTTTAAGCATTGCAAAAATTACCGGAAGCTGGGATTGATTCCACCAGGTCGTTGCTGCATTCCCGAAGGCGGAGCCATCATATTCTGTCCCATTCCAACAGGGGCTTGGGGCTGGCCTTGTCGTTGTTGCATCTGATTCGGAAACATCGGATTCAAGCCGTTTCCGGCGAGTTGCTGCTGCTGCTGTTGTTGGGGCGTCATTGCCGGTTGACCTGAAGACAATAGAAGGATGAGATTGAAAGCTGAGCCTTCTGTCTTCTGTTTGGATCTTTCTTTTGCCAAACGTACCCATGAAACGCTGCTGTTGGGATTGTTGAGGGGCGTTGAGAGAGGACAAGCCACCGGGTCCGCCGAGACCAGGGTTCCCGCTGCCGAGGTTGGTGATTTGCTGGCCCAAGCCTCCACTCGAGCCGATCGACGGCGACTGTGTCAGCGAAATCGGCATCGGAGGACCACCTTTCGCATGAGAAGACGTCGACGGCGGATTCGAACTGGCAGGTGGCGTTGGCGCGCTTGTGCTCGGAGTGGAAGTCGATTGAGTACTTGAGGCTGAAAAACCAAAGCACTTTTTCGTGAATGGAATACGAGTCCTCCATTGGAGCTCGCTTCAAGTTTTTACCCAAAGTTTTCTCACTATTAAAAATTAATTTAAAAAAAAAACCGGAATTTAGAATAAAAATGATGCGTCAACCATTCTACAGAAAAAAATGAGCAAAAAGTAGAATATACCGAAAATTCTCAAAAGCTCATACATAACGTTAGTTTAAAATATCAGTCTGAAATTTTCTCTCCTAGTTTGCAACCTCTTCCATAAAAAAGCAATATTTACGAGACACACAAAAGAAGGAAGAAAACGTACCACCGCCGACGCCAGCCTGAAGGCCTTCCATTCGTCGTCGCATCATCATGTCTGCGCGACGAGCAATAGAACGCTTCTGTTCGGCGAGCTTCTGACGGATGTTCATGCAGAAGGGCACGGAGCACTGCTCGCGGTTGCAGTGCTTGGCGTGGTAGCAGCACAAGGCGATGAGCTGTTTGCAGACGGGGCAGCTCGCGTTGATGCGCTTCTTGCACATCTTGGTGTGCTGCACGACGCGCTTCATCTTGTGACACGACATCCTGCGGCAGTTGGCGTCGCGACACTGGCAGGCGTGCACCAAAGACTGGATGCATCGCTGGATGCTGTCGAATCGGTTGGTACCGCCCTGCTCGGCGACCGTATCGCTGACGAGGCTCTTGATCTGTTCCATAGGATGTTCGTGCTTCACCAGCGCGTAGCACGCCTCGCACAAGTCGAAGTCCTGAAATACACCAATCATCTCATGTTGTTCTTCGAACTTCTTTTGCGACACGGTAGAAGCCACGAGAAAGTCTCACTTCGCACGTGTTGCAGTGGAACTTGGCGTTGTTGTTGCTGCACTTGTTACAAGTGTACTCCATTCCCTTGGCAGAATCGGCTTCGTGTAAGGCATGGCACAGGCAGAGAGTCGAGTACCTGAGTTTTCAAACTGGGAATAAGCAGTGAGATATTTTCATTCATAACGGAATATTTAGACCACCTTCCTTTGCACCGGAATAAGTTCATTTCCCTTCATAGTTGAAAAAGGGAAAAAATTCTAAAAAACAAAAAAACCTCATCAGTATACGCTTGATTCGGACGTAGGATTATCTCGAAACGTCGCAGAACCTTTCGCTTTGAACATTTTTTAGAGAGACTTTCTGTGTTCATCACGTTTCTGGTGTAGATTATATACAGCAAAGACGAAAACAAGAACGTGGACTTGACAAAATTTTGTCTTGATGGTTTTCCCTTTTTTTTCACTACCTCAATCAATTAAAACCTTTCTGAAGAAGGAAAACAGTAGTTCAAGTTAGGCTCAGGTTTCAAAAAACATATTTTTAGAATTTCAAAATGAGAATTAAATATAAAAACATCATAATTCGAAGTTTCCAATATTTCTGTTCAGTGATTTTTTCGAGCGATACTCAGCTTATAATTTAAAAAAAAGTTAAGAGCCCTAATAAAGCGTACTAAAAGACTGACTTGGCCCTTCTCAACGAGGAGAACTCCCAATGTTCGTCGCGGGCGCGAGTCAAGAAGGTGTCCCGACCGTCCATCATGTCGCTGTTGAGCAGGGGGTCCGGGTCGTTGGTCGGAGTGCTGAGCATGGAAAGCTCCGTTTGCTGCGACACCAGCCGGATCGTGAAGAAGACCTGGAAGCTTCCGTCTTGCAAAACGATCCTTTCAGTCTGCTATATCCGTTTCCGAACACTTTTTCTCATTCCCAATATATTTCTCTCGAAGGTGCTTCCAAAAATCTAAAATTCAATTCAAACTCAATATCAATTCAACGCAATATGATAATTCGACCAACAAGTCACGCATAATTCATAAGAGGCGTCGCCGAGTAAAAAAAAAAAAATAAGATCTTTTCGTATATTCTTCAAAATTTTCTCTCCTATTTCAAAAAAATATCCACAGAAGACCATGAAAATGTCAGGAAAAAACAAACTTCTTTGTGTTTTTCGAACTGAGAATAGAGCTTGTCGGTGATCTCGTTGCCCGTCAGACTTCCTTGCTTCTTCTTGTTCATCTTGGCGTTCTTTTTCAGATTGTTCTTCTTGTTCTTCGAACTGAAGAAGGCAAGATTTGTCAATTCAAAAATTTGGTCGAACCTCTTCTTTTTTCCATTGTCTCCGGCCTGGAAAATATCGTCTTCTTCTTCTTCGCCTTCCGTCGCTTCTATCTTTTTCCTCTGCGCCTCTTCATTGCCTGCTTCTCTGCAAGACATTTATAAAAATGACCTTTTTTACCAGTTTTGGCTCGAAACTCAGACATTCGAACGCCACTCTTACAAAATTGAAATGAGAAAGAGAAACAATTTTTGTTCTTATAAAGCTATCGTCCCTAGTTTCAAATCATCTTGATTGCAAACTCCTCTTTGCGCATATCTTTGAAGATTTTCTTCTAGCAACTTGGAAAAAAATGTTCTCTTCAACCGAAATTTCCTTCCACAAAAACAACGGTGGATTAATAAATCAATGAATCGCATACCTTATGCAATCTTCAATGACGTTAGGCCAGAAATCTCCTTCGAAGTAGGGCAAAGAGGCCGGAGTTTGCAAGTTGTCGTCTCGGGCCTGCTTGTAAATGTCTTTGAACTCGACGACGGTTTTCTCGACGACGCCCTTCTCCAACATCTTCTTGTACCAGTCCTGCAGACGCTTCGGCTTCGGGATCTTCTGCTCGACGGGATGACAGTGGAAAATGTAGTCGTCGCCTTCAGAAGGCGGACACGCCCAGATGTGGGCCATCGTGAATCCCATACCTCGGACATATCTGCACAAGAGCCAGTTATACGCAGAACGGAGGATTCACAACTCACTCAAGGTATCCGAGCAGAATCTCATGGTACACGTCAGTACGAAGCTCTCGCGGTTGGAAGAAATGAACAGAGTCCAAGTAGGCGATGTAAACTCGTCTGAAAAAAGCGTTGATAGAAAAAATACAAAAGGATTTGAGGAACCTCGCATTCGGAGCCGGAGACTGGCTTCCGTATTCTTGAACGTGTAGACCGAAGAAGCAGACTTCGACGCCGTCTATCACTTCAAACGCGAAAAGAGCCTTCGTTCGATAGGGAAACCGATCTGGGAATGTGCCGCCGTTTGCGCAGTACCTGAATAATCAAAAATACCAGTGGATTACAAAGAAAAAAAAAATTAGAGACGTCGTGAAACATAAAAGACTTTGAAAGAGATGTGAGAATGGATCGAAAACCACAATTCTGGCTTTTTAGAACAAACAATTTGAAAAAAAAATCCTTAGCATTAATTCGGTTGAGGAACTACTCCAAATGATCATATGGACTGGATAAACGAACTTTGCCTTCATCTGCGGCTTGACCTCGACCTCTTTCTCTTGGACGCAGAGCGTCCTGATGATGACCTCGCAGTTCTCCGATTTGTTCGCGTAGTTCTTCTGGATGTAGCTGTTGACGCGCGTCTCCAGGAACGATGACATCTTGTTGTGGCCCAACTTCTTGGCCAGGAAACGGTTCTCCGGCTTCGGATAGTTCTTCTGAGTGCGACACGTCTCGCAAATGAAGCCTTCCGGGAACACCTCAAACATATCTTTACTATTTGGTAGGAGATTAGTCTAAGTAAACATATTTCGCGAGTTTCACCCCTTCGAAAAATTTCGATGTTTTAGGGAAAAACGAATCAAGTTTTGAAACGGATGTCTGCCGATTTTCATTGATTCAAAGTTTTAAGTTTTAAATTTTTGAAAAGGATAGCTGACTTTTCTGTCGTGAAGAGCGCAGATACGATGCCAGCGGCGGTGGCAATACTTGCAATTCTCGAAAGGCTCCATGTCGATGACGTTGTTCTTGGCCTGGACGAACTTGTCCTTGGCCGCCATGTTGGTCGTGTCGTTGGGGTTCTCAGAGAGAGAAATTCCCTCCGGTGGCAACGCTTCGAAGCACTTCGTACAGTAAGTGAACCGCTCATTCACCACCACGCCGTACTGATTTGAACTCGATTCGAAACTGCAAAGATCCTCCTGATCATTGAACCAATGACATCAACAAGAATATGCTGTACACCAAAAAGACAAACGCCTTACTGGGTAGTGGGAAGTGGCCGAAACTTTTTTAGCATTAGTAATGGGTTCAATTCGGAATGAAATTCTATAAAAGCCTTTTGTTAAATTTAGTTTTATGAATGATTTTTGAAATCTATGCTTCCAGCTACATGAACTTCTTGATGAGGAAATCAAACTACCTTGAAGGTTTTGTCGCAGGTTTTGAAGGTTTTTTTGCCATTCACAATAATTGACTTATGACAAGATTAGCGAAAAAATTTGCTATGTTGCTTCAGAAGTTATTCAAAAGTTATTCAATTAAAAAAACTTGAATGTTATATACAATTTTTGGAAAGAGCATCGGAACATGGGAGCTCAAAGATTGTTTTCGAAGAAACGTACACCCAGTAGGGCTGATCGCGTGCGATAGTACACATAGGAGCGCCGTAGCAGAAGAGAGCGAGGGGCGTGAAAGAGAGTTTCCGCGAGCAGCAGTAGCCCATCTCCTTCATCACGGGGTCCATCTCGGCGACGAAATACTCGCTCAGCTGCAATCGAGTCCAGTTCCCTCAGATCCCCTCCGTCCACCAACCTTCGTGCTGTACTTGTAGACCTTGCTGTTTTTTCGATTGTAAAGCCACGCGTTGTCGAACATCAGCCACATGTCGTCACAGAACTGCGAGGCGTTTTTGTAGACGCCTCCGTTGAGTTTCTTGCAGATGGTTTCCAAGTCCATAGGGAACTTCACAATATCCAGATAGTCCTGAAACGCCATTTTAAAATCATGAACATCTCCCTTCGAAAGAATTATTATGGGCAGGATCGCATGCCTCACAAGGAGGTGCTCTACATTCGCATTTGAACAAAGATGTTAAACTACTAAAATAATCGTTTTATGAGTTGACAATTGATCTATCACCACTTGAGAATTCAAATCAGGAAAAACTTCCATTTCTTCCTTTTTCTTTGCTAAAGTCTTATAAATGAAAGATACGCGCTGAACATACTTTCAGAGCAAAAAAGAGTGAGAAGTTTTGAAGTTAAAGGAAAAAAAAAATTGACAAAACCAGAAGTGTATCCCTTTCAAAGGATATCGACAGTTTTGTGAGTGCGAACTTTTATCCCCTAAAAATAAGCAAAAAATATCTACAGAAGTTTAGAAATTTTTTTTCATAAGTATCAACATTTTCTATCCATTTTTCCTAACTATGTTTCAGACACGAATGAAAATGAAATTCGAGGAATCGGAGGATTACCCACCGGTATACTCAGAAGGACTGGATCTACAGGCACGCGGAACGGTACGGCGTCGTCGCTTTTGTCGAGCTTCTCCCAGACCGGATAGAGATGAGCTCTGAGTTCGTCGGCGTTGAAGACGGTGTCTTCTCCAGGAGGAGGCGTCGGTTCTCTTTCGGCCGTCGTCGCCGGCGTCGACGGCTCTTCTTTCTTCACGCTCGGCAAACTTGTCGACGGCTCCGAGACATCGGTTTTCGGAGAGACTTTCGGCTCCTCTTTGACGCTCCGCGAAGAAACTCCTCCGTTGGCGTTTGGAGTGGGACAGGGCGTCGAGGAAGAAGAGGAAGGACCGTTGACGAAAGGAGTCGTGCTCGAAGCTCTCGAGTCACTTCCTTCCGCCACCTCTTGTTTCACGATTTTCTGGAACTTATTTGCTAAATAACCGAACACATTTGAACATGTCTACCATCGCAACAGGGGTTGTGCTGTTCTCTGCTTGTCCTAGAGGTCTACTCGGAGGGTTGGATGGGGGTCCCATCGGACCGTTGCCAGTGGGAGTAGCTCCTGGGTTCAACTGAAAAAAGTCTCTTTTCGAAGAAAGCGAAGAAAGGATGATACCCAGGGCTGAGAAGCCTCGGCGCTCTCGATGGAGGTCGACGGTCCAGGGTCCAAAGGAACCGGGCCTCCGCCGCCTGTCGCGCGAGATCCAGAGGCTGGCGGTGGCAGAGGGGCGTCGCTCATCAAATCAGCCAACTCAGCGCAAACTGCAAACATTTGGTTGATGGAATAGAAAATGAGTAGTGCAATTACTTTCTCCAGGTCCTTGAACTGCCGCTCCCTGAACTTGGCTCTGGTTCATTCGGAAGTTCTTCTTCTCCTGCAGCTCTTTCTGGATCTTGTAAATCTTCTCAGCTAGCAAATGGTAGTACTCTTCCTGAAAATGGTATCATGACCAGCTGAGGCGTATCCTCGTGCTCACCCTATCGTTGGCCGACTCGAACATTTCCTTCTCAACTTTCCGCGCGTACACGATCAGGTCTCTTAACCGAGCATCTTGCATCGCATTGGGGTCTGGAGAAGGGAAAATCGCTTTGACGAGTTTGCCAACAAGATGGTTACGAAGGTCTTTGTTCACTTGCAAGTGCCACTCCTAAAACTCGGGTCTTATGATAGAACACATCAATCTTAAGAAACCTTAGCCGTGTCAGGAACTTCCGGCGCAGGGAGATTGTAGTCTGGACGTGAGCCAGGAGCGATGCTAGCCGCGAGAGCCGCGCCAGGTCCGCTGGCTCCACTCAACTGCTTGTTGGGAGGATTTGGCAGTCGGAATGGATCACTGAATGAGGCAAATGAGTCATCATATTGAGGAGAGTTTTCATGAGAAGTCCCAGAACACTCACCCATGGTATCCTTCGAAAAGAGCCTGTCGTTGCTGAGCGTTCATCGACGACGGCCCCATCGTGTTAGGTGAGCCGAAGGGTCCCATCTCGTTGTTGTTGACGCTTGGCGGAGCATCAGAAGAGACGGAGAAAGGATGTCCCCCGACAGAACCTGGTCCTGCGCTTCCTGGACCACCTCCCAACATCAGGTCGAGGTCGATGAAGCCGGAAAACATTCAAAATGAAACAGAGGACTCCCACGTGAAAAATGAATAGGATTTCGAGACAATCAACCTTTTTTAAAAACGTTTCAGATTGAGCTTCTTTCTGAACAAGATACGATTCGATAAACCAATCATCTCAAATGAAAGTCACGCTCCGCCGTAATGGAAGAACGCAAAATTGATGTCAAGTCCTTACTTTTTGGAAAATCGCTCATTATTGATAGTTGTGGTTTGCTCAAAGAGAAGACAAGAAGTAGAAGCTCCATTAGACAGAATTAACTAGAAAAAAATGTATAAGATTCAATCAAAGCTAACAATTTTATGTTGCATTTTTTTGTCTGCAGTTCCAATAGTCGATACCATTGATAAAAACACTAAAAATTGAATTGCTATATTAAGCTCGAGAAAAAAAGAATAATATTTTTTTTATCGAAAGTACAAAAAAATAAAGCGGAGATGATGCTTTTTGTATATTTTCTTTCAAATATCAACCTTGGTTTATAAAGACTTGCAAGAAATTTTTCGAAAACATATTTGCGAAAGTATATATATATATATAAGATCCAACCTGCTGTCGGATTGTCTTGTATCCGTTTCAAAGGCTTGCAAACGGGGCAGTCATCTCGCGTACAATTCTTCCAGTGGGCGATTATTTGACGAGAGGAAGCGCAGTGGGCGTCTGAAAAATCGAAATGGCTGTGGAAAAACCAAAAAAATATTTTCTTTTTCCAAATACAAAGGAAAAAAATATACTTTTTATTGTTCTAGATTCTTTGAGTTTGTAAAAAGACAAAAAAATTCGGTTTTTCCGTCCAAAAAAAGAAAAAAATTTAAGTATCAACTTCTCTAGAAAAAAACTCAGATTTCTTTACAAACTGACAAAGTTTTTTTCCAGACTCCATACTTCTATACTGTCGTTCAAGCTTTCTTTTTGAATGAAAAAGACGAAAAAAACAGACATTGACAGGCTCTTCCATTGTTGCAGGTGGTCATGTGCTGGAGGACTTCCTTCATAGTCGAACAGTGCGGCAAATTGCAGCTGGAGCGGCCGTTCTGATCCGGAGGCGCCGTGCCGTTCTTCTCGCTCTGAAACCCTTCGACGGTCCTTGCACAGAGGGCCTCTTCTCACCGTTCTCTCCCTTTGTTGGCACTTGTGCGCGTGGAGCAGGAGCACGAGCTGCTGCTGGATCAGCTTCCGTTTCTCGGGGTCTTGGCTGCTCGGAGTGGAGGCGCCGCCGCGACCGAGGCCGATGGAGGCCATCGGATGGCCGTGCATCGGATGGGCGCCGTTCGCCATGCCCAGCATCTGCAAATCTCTTTTCTATTTTTAAGATTAAGCCCAGTCGGAAACATAACTTATGTGCTTCAACTATGTTTTTAATCGCTCACAATTGGAAAAAGAGAGAGAATTACTTTACTTGGAAAGATAGTTTTTTTATCTTAGCGTTTTTTTCTGGAAAAATCTTTAAAAAAATTTTTTTGAAGGATAATTCTTAGTAAAGAAAAACTCGTTTTTTTCTAGTTGCGAGCCTCAGAGAATCACATTCTATTTTGTCAGAAGCAAAAAAATCTTCTTCTCCAATTTTCCAGAAGAAAAAAATGAAGCTATTTCTCTTAGATAATTGATCAATGGAAAAAAATTTTTTTCTAAAGCAAAGAAAAAAATTGATGAAGCTTGTTGTTTGAATAGTTAAATTGAAAAATACTGAGGGATCGTTTTTCAGATAAAAAAATATCTGTGACTTTCTACAAAAGATGCATTTTTTTAATTTATTTATTACTTTGTTATAAAAAATGAAATATCCAACAAAGTCAAACTTGGATAAAAACTTTTAAAAAAGTAATTCCGAAAAACGGTAAAAATTGAGGAAGAATAAACGAACCGGTTGCGCAGGAACACCGGGCCGAGGAATACCGTTGGCATCGACCATCATCTGAAAAGGAAAGTGAAAAGACAGTCTGGGGAAGTAACTGACAGGTCCTTGCTGCATCATCGGGTACTGGCCAGGTCCTCGGACCATGTACTGCTGCGGCAAGAACTCGGGCCTCGGTTGTCCGACGTAAGGAGATCCTGGGAACGGCTCCATCATTCCGTGAGGTCGCATCATCTGGTTTGGCATCATCTGTCCCATCCCTAAAAACAGCAAATGAGGCTTTTTTGGAGACTGACGACACCTCTGCCTTGTGGAGGCATGCCTCGACCGACACCGTTCATCATGGCGCCGGGATGCCCTCGACCCATCGCGACGGCAGGAGCTCCCCGGGCCGCAGCACCAGGATAAGGCATCCCCGGAGGAGCAGCGCCAGCGGCGCCTTGCTGAGGGTAAGGGTAGCCGCGGATTGGCTGTCCGCCAGGACCCGTGATCATTCCAAACGGCTGGCCGGCTTGTCCCATCATCATCGTTCCCTCGGGATACATGCCTGGTTGAGCGCCTCGGATCGGCTGCGGAGCTCCGGTTGGAGCTCCGGGAGACGGTCCTGGAACTCTGCCGCCCATCGCGTTCGGAGGTGACAGCATCGCGTTCGGTCCATTGTGCATCAAAGGACTCCTGTGAATACTTCCATCAAAAATTGCCGAAGAATCAATTTAGTTTGTGGAATGGTTTTTTCAACAGAAATGTTCAATCTTGAAAACTGCATTAAGAAGATCGGATAATTCATACCAATTGAAAAAAGGAATTAAATATGCCCAAACTTTCAGATCGAGAGTATAGAACAAGTATCGTATATGAGTGGAGTCATTAAAGTTCACCTATATCCAATCTCAATTCCACCTATTTTTCAAGTAAACAAGAATAGCTTTGAAAATATTCCGGAGACAAGAGACTCGGTTGACGTTTCGTCCACCTTTTTCAATGTTTTTTTTCAAATTAGAATTTGTTCCTTTGTGTGAGAGCATGGGGAAATAGAAAAAATGAGAAGCAATGCCGATAAATGAAATTTATAAATAAGAACCTGGTATTAAACGCGGCTCCCTGCTGCGCTTGTTGACTGTAGGGCTGTGGAGGCCTCGGCGAATTGTTTGAACCTTGAGGTTGGTTCATCAGCAGTTCCTGAAACAGAAGTTGGGCTCCAAAAGACCTCTGCGGCTTCACCTGCAGCACCGACTGGCCTCCCGACGTATTCGGCTGTTGAGCATTTGTTTGCGAAGAAATGAAGCTTGGCTGAGGAGCCGCCGTAGACGTCGTCGCCTGCGACGTCGTCGGACCAGAAGACGTTGCGCCGCCCGACGCTCCGCTCACTGGCCCTGCCGAAGTGCTGGCTACGGCACTCTGCTGCAACTTTCGAGGATGTTCAACACAAATCTCTTTTTCCCTATTTTCTTCCATTTTTTTCTTTTTTTATATCGTTAGTCAAAATTATATAAATAGTGTAGATATGGACAATTTTTTTCATATTCAAATGAATTTTTTTGTAAAAGTCAAAACCCAAGCATTTCTTTTTTTCAACTAGTCAATTACCGATATTCGAAACTAGAAATCTTAGTTACAGTTCTCTTTTTTTCTCGAGTTTTTTTTTTCAAAGAATTTTTCGTCAAATTCAATTTTCATTCTTTCAAGTATAATTAGGATGAAACTAAAAAATGGAAAGATAGTTTTAAAAAAAGAAACATGTAAAAAGGTAGCGGAAACATTAGTTTTTTCTGAAAAAAAAACGATGGTGAATTTTAAAAAAAAACCTCAGCATCGCTGCCAGAAGTTGGAAGTGGATCAAGTTTTTCCAACTCACTGAGAGCGTCGATGCCTTCTCCATCGTAGTCAGCTGAAACATCAATGAAAAAATTGACATAAAAACAATTAAACAAAACCTGTATCGATTCTAGCTTTTTTGAAGGCAGGTTCATCCATTGCGGCACGGGGGCCGGATACTCGTGAAGGTTCAGTTCGAGTCGCCACGTCGAATTTGTTTTTAATAACTTATCGAAAATATTTTTCACGCTCCCTCTTCTCGCTTCATCAGATTCGATGGGTTAGAACGAATCCGACTTTATAGAAGCGAGATAATTTGTCCAATACGTCTCTGAAAACTTCTCGATAAGTGGGAGAATTGATTCATGGTTTTTTTTTAAAGCGAACGATATTGACGTAAATAAATAGATAGGCAATAAAACGAGAGAGCATGATTATTGAAAATTAAGTGCAGTTAAAGTTCCAATAGCGGCCAGTATTTATAGTATAGTATTGTTTTGCGCATAAAAAATGGTGAAATAATAGGGTACATATTTTTTTCACAAAAATGTTGAAAATAGTTTTGAAGTAAAAATTAAAAATGTTCAATTTACGTTGTGAATACAGACCAATTCATATTTCTCAGATTTATTCAGCAACTTTTATGATTACTGTAACTGAATATTCATGATACGTTAGTTTGAAATGAATCTCTAACCTTCAGTCTGCTCAAAATTGCTTTCTGATGTGTTTGAATGATCATAAGAAGGTCACGAATAAATATGGCAAGTTTTCAGTATTTTAAGGTTTCTCCGTTTCGATATAATCTCTCGCTAATTTAAACACCCTATCGATGGTTATTGAGCGGACTATAATGGAGCTTCTTTTAAATGAAAACGTTTAAAATTTTTTGGGAATAAGCAAATTTTGCAGCTCAATTTCTTGTGTGAAATCATTGTTCATTGTTATCGAATTAGTTTAATTCAAGGAAAAATAACAGAGAAAAGAAAATTTTCTAGCGTAATCATACTTGTTTAGCGTTCAGCGAAATAGTTCTCCGTTGCTGCAAACGCAGACAGATTTTTCAGCGAAAGAGCACGTGAGTGTGGGAGACGACCAACTTGCGCCCTATCGAACCGGCTGGTCGGCCAAACGTCGGAGTCAGCAGGGCTGCCGGAGACGCGACTATGGGGGAGCGTCTCGCCGCGCGTTGCAGGTTCTTCGAGGTACGGTACCGACGAGAACGCAGAGGCGACCGCTCGCGACAAGCTCGCATGCGACGAAACTCGCGGCTTCATCCAAATACTGATACTAGTCGGTACCGCTTTGAAACTGATGCTAACGGAAAATTTCTCTATTGAGATGACGGAGACGTAAACAAGAAGCACAATAAGAATTCCAAAATCATGCTCAAAAATTGAAATACTTCAAGTGAAGCATTAATTCGATAAAATTCAAAAATCTCTTTTTCAACACAATGAGCAATCAAAAAATCGTTCCCAGTAGCTCGAAAAAAGGATGACCCAGATCTCAAGCAATTTCTATCGAAAAACTATTCAAATAAGCTTCTCGGTACGATTTTTTTTAGGTTTTTTTTTTTCGAAAATCAGATTGACAAAAAAAATGTTTAGAATGAGCAACAATTAGAAACTGAATACATGGAACTCTGCGAAACGTGTAAAACAAACCTGAGAAAAAATGAAAGAAGAATAAAATAATAAAAAAGTTTGAAATGTAAGTAAAGAAGAGGAGTGAGAAGCGGACGTTAAACACATGAGGACTAGCGGAGAGCGGCAGGTCAGTTTGGAGTGGGAGGAGCGGCTATTTTGGAGGCATCCGAGCTCCATTGAGATTCCCCAGTTACTGTACAGGAAGAAGCCGTGTTTGGAAACAGGACTCGGTCCAGCGGTCCGTGTCCTCAAGATTGTAATAATGGAAGGAGGCGTGGCCGTAGTTGTCTCCCTCGGTGGCTCACACACCCTCCGCCACACACGCTCTCTCTGTCTCGACTGTCGTGCCGCATCCTCGCGCTCCTCGACCTCTACCGTAATCTTATCAGCAGCTTCTTCCGCAGATCTCAGAGTCTCGAGACGACGAAGTACCTCTCCGATTGAGACTCTCATACAAGGACCTCTTAAAACTTTTCATGCTAAGCGGGAATGATGAAAAAGCAGGAAAGCTAGACGATTTTTTGTTCTGAAAGATGAATCTGTCAAATGTATGAAACAACAAATAAAAATGCTCTTGAAGCTTCTTAGCCAGCTAACAGCTATTTCAGAAACAACCACCAAAACGGCAAAAATATTCGCTTCAAGTTATTTTTTCATATTTGGTAAGAAGACACCGAGGAGAACCTTAACTCTTCTTTCAATGTGACTGCTTCTATTTCGAGGCTGTCACATAGATTCCACTATTCTCGAGATTCAGTGACAAAATGTCACTAGCAACTTCTGGGAAGGCGCTCGAAAGGGACTGGAAGACGTTGAGAAGCCTCTTGTTTCTGTTCTTGAGAGGAGTTCGGAAGATCAGCAGAAGGTGGCCAAACGCATCCAAATTAGCTTCCAAGAACAATTTATTTACCTGCCAGAAGGCTTCTTGAAAGCCGCCCAACAACTTCATCAAAAAATTCACTGGCTCTAACTTTTATATGATTCTATAATTTATTCAACGCTCGATTATTTTTTCTATTATTTTTTTGAACCATAAACATAATAAAATGTTTATTTAGATATCAAATATCCATTAAAAAAGGTGGTAAGAAGGTGCTGATATGGAAGTTTCCACCCTAGCATCATAATGATTCTGGCAGGCGTGAAAGCATGTTTTTTTTATCCTCCAATTCCGTTCCAAATATTTTTGAGAATTATGATAGAAGAAGATACACGTATACATCGATATGCGAGTAAAATTGCAAAATAGGGGTTCGGAGTGATACCGGAGGTAACCGAAAAGGTTCGCTTGATTATTGATGGATTTAGATGAGTAGGGTTGGTATGAGTTCGGATGGATGTATGCCGAATTGAAGCAGTCGAGAAAGGATTGATTCGAAAAAAAAAAACAGAAGTTGGGAGTTAAGTTTGATCCGTAGAGAATCGGTGGAAAAGTTGAAATCATATCTAGAAGTCAGTTCATTCCATAAAGAGATAGTTTTAGAAAAAAATTTAAAAAAAAAACTGACCGGAAGTGCGAAATCCAAGTGAAGTTCTTTGTAAAGGAAACATAGTGAAGAATTTATTTAGTAAATGGTAAGCGGCACAAAGAATTTTATAAAAAGAGATAAATTCATTCATACTACGAAGAATTCCGTGTAAAATATTCTCTCGAAGTGGTCGCTCTCATTCCGAGGCTTCCACCTAAAAGACGGTCTCCGGGCTCCAGCCAACACATCTGCTACTTTCTGAGCTCGTCAAGGCGCAACTGAATGGACTACGCGCAGAAGAACGAGGCGAAGGACCGTAAGACCATGCTTTCAACTCTTTCGACCACACGCTAGGACTTCTAGTTCGCCGAAGACGGTTGTTAGTCTATGCTTTTAAAGTTATTGTCCACCGCCTAGTCGATTACATTTATGACTAAACAACAAAATAAATGATTTGATTTGAACAAAGAGGGGTTCAAAATTGGCTGAGACGATCCGACTATGAAGTCAAGCCAATATTACATCTAAAAACTTCTCTGCTGAATTAGAGAAGATTTGAAAATATCATCAGATGCGATAGAGGGTCAAAATATTTCACTTCAAACTTCAGGAATAGGTTTCCCATTAGTTGAAATGTTCTGAGATAGGGCAGAGAGGGAGAAAACTTTAGAGTATTCAGTATTAGATTACAATGTAGTGTAGCAAAGGATATAGCTGATTAACGGTTGGCTTAAGCCATCGAAAAAAGGGGTCCTGATAAGAGACAGTGCTTGGTTAGTGGATAGCGCAGACACGTCTTTTTGCATCCCAAGCTAACCGTGGATCCCTTATACGATATGGTATTTAAAGGTAAGTTTTTGAATATTTATTTGAAGCTTTTCATCAATGTTAAGGCTCAGAAAACGAACAATTGAGCTTTGCATCCTTGTAGGGTGATATTGGTATCAAGAAAATATTGCGGATGAAAGTTCAAAAATGATCTTGACTCAAAACGTTTTAATGTCTCCTGATATTATTCTCAACCAGAAACATGGCGAGAACCAAAGAATTGCAAAAAAAAAAATAAAGATCAAGCATCAGATTTCTGCGTGAAACCTGGTTTCGCTGAAAGCCTACGTCCATTTTCTCGAATCAGATGGAAGTAATCCATCTTTCCGCTCCTGAACAATAAAGACTTTTTGGCTTATTGTTTAAAAAATGGAAAGTTTTGAAGAATTATCCAGTACTCACCAGGGAACGTTTTTTACCCCCCGGTTGAAATATTGCTGAAGCTTTGCTGAATTGTACTTTAGGGTCTCCTGATTGCAATTCAATTCAATTCAATTCAATTTATTCAGACATCAGAGAAATCAAAAAGGCTCTGCTGAATCATGGTAGATTTGAAGAGCTCCTTATTGTTGCGCGCAACGGTCGACCAATTTTCTCCAAAAACGCTTCGGAAGTCATCTCGCCAACGTGCTCGTGGTCGTCTAACATATCTTTTCTTTTCCCAGGGACGTCACTCTACGATCTTCTTTGCCCACGTTTCTTCTCCCGTCACGATTTTCTTTGCAAAGAACCATTTTCTTCTTGTTGCAACCATTCGAGCATCACGCGTCTTCAACCTTTCGTGGAGCCAACTGTTTGTCTTCTATCCATTAGAGTCATACCAAGCATTCTTCTCATCATCTTCCTCTGCGCTGTCGCTAACATGTTCATCTCTGTTTTCTTTAGGGTGTAGACTTCTGATCCGTATAAGAGCGCAGGTTCTATACAAGCTTGGTATATTTTGACTTTGTTCTTGAAAGGTGTTGTTTTCTTCGTCAGATATATAGAAAACTTGTGGAAAACTGCCCATGCAGATTGCACTCTGCGGAGTAGTTCCGTTTTGAAACCTTCCGCGAAATGAAGATGGGTTCCGAGATATGTGAACTGGCCAACATATGATACTTCTTTCCCGTCTACTTCCACTTTTCTCTTCGCTCGGATTGACATGATATACGTTTTTGATAAATTGATGATCAAGACGGATTTCTTGCTCTCAGTGGCTAGTTGGTTTGCCATTTCTTCTGATTTCTTCGAACTTGAAGCGAACAAAACGATGTCGTCAGCAAACCGGAGGTGTGTGAGAGGCATTCTGTTGACGAATATCCCATGTTCACTCCAGTCAAGTCTTCGAAATACATGCTTAAGAGTAGCGTTGAAAAGGTTGGGCGAAATAGTGTCGCCTTGTCGCACGCCTCTTCCAATTTGTACTGGGACGTCGTGCCCGCGGAATCGGACAGACACTTCGCTTCGTCGTAGATGTTCTTGAGCGTGTTAACAATTTTCGAATGAACGCCAAATTCGCTTAGAGCCGTCCAAAGAGATCCGAATTCCACGCTATCGAACGCCTTCTTATAATCGATGATCATAAAAAATAATGGGAAGCGGTATTCGTGTGACTTCTGGATCGTTTCGGAGACGACCAGTGTGTTTTCTGAGGTCGAGTATCCAGGTCGAAATCCCGTTTGTTCGATAGGTTGTGCTTATTCCAGAGACCGTTCTGCCCGTCTTCTTAGGATGGAGGGGAAGAGTTTGTGGATGGTCGACATCAAGGCTACAGTTTCCAATTTCAAGGCAGCTCCCTTTCTTGTGAAGTAGGCTGACCATTGAGTCTGACATCGAAGTCGGAGTTCTCTCGTTTTGGAGACATTCGTTGTAGATACTCGCAAGAAGTGGGACTGCATTTTCTTCGGCAGCTAGGAGCATCTCCAAAGTTATGAAGTCAGGTCCAGGGGCTTTCCCTCGTTTTGCTTTGCGCAAAGCAGTACGAATCTCGCTCGGCAAAAAAGACGGAAGGTCATCTTGGGATGGGCCGATGATTGCCGGAGAGCTTTGTTGTGAAGCATACAAAGAGTTGTAGAATGCTTGGACCGTCTTTGCAACACCTTCTTTTGAAGCGGCGATCGTTCCATCAACCCGCTGGAGTTGGGTCAAAGCGATTGAATGCTTTTCGAACACTCCGATGTTTCTTGATTGCTTTATCGATCTTATTATGTAGGTTCATCTCGATGTCGTTCTTGATCGAAACCCGAAGGGCCTTGTTCGTCCTGCAAAACTCGATCCGACCAGAAGGTGTATGAGTCTGCGACTGGAGTTCTCGACGCTTCAGAAAGAGTTTTTCAGTCCCTGCCGAAAACCGAGAAAGAATCGGCTCATAGGTAGTCGCGATGGTCGAAGCTGCTCTAAAGACTTTCTTCAAACACTCGTAAGTTTCAGGAGAGTTTTGATTGAAGAGTCGTTCGACGGCATACGAAAATAGTGGCTTGTCGAAAACACGGTTTGAGGTTGCGCGTTTGTTGACGTGGCGGGAAACTATCTTCATTTTTGCTCGAACGAGACGATGATCGGTGTCAAAATGAAGATTCGCGATGACGTCCACGTCGTAGATAGGGCACCGACGATCCGCAAATCAATGCAGTTCTTCGTGACGCCATCGGGATATTTCCAAGTCTTTTCTGGTTCCACGCTTTTTGAAGTACGTGTTCCAGATTCTCAATCCGTTTGCCTCACAGAACTCAACAAGTGTGTTATAGTCAATGTTTCCCGACTTGAAAGGCGAAGGAGGCGGGGCAGGGGGCGGGACGCGTAGCGTGTGTGTTCGCGGTTCTTGGCACGTGTTCAATTCAAACGCCATCAACTCTTTGAAAATCCCGTTTTTCGCTTTTTTCATTCCTTTTTCAATTATTTATTGATTATGTTCATGTGTGCATCAAAAAACAGTAAGAAAAATTGGAAAAGAGCGGTTGCCAAGCTTTTTGAATAGTCGGCGACAATTGAATTGAACACGTGCCAAGAACCGCGAACGCACACGCTACGCGTCCCGCCCCCTGCCCCGCCTCCCTCGCCTTTCAAGTCGGGAAACATTGACTATACCACGATAATTACGGACTCCTATGCCATGACTACCGAAAGATGATTCGGTTGATGTTTTTGAGCCAACTTTGGCATTGAAGTCCCCAAAGGTCAAGGAATAAGAAGAATCCGCCCCCGGGTGCCGATCACGACGTTGGATTCGACTCAGAGCCTGCTCTAAGTCCTCTGCTGGAAAAAGCCTCATCGACATAAGACGTGGTTGGTGCACACACTTGGATGATTCTTACCCGGTCTTTTTTAAGTTTAAGGTCTAGGTACGCAAGTCGATCGCTAACTGTTAGCGGCTAATAGGAGTGAAATCGACGTTGGCTGCCAAGCTTTTATGAACGAGGAACCCTACACCGGCTTGATGCCGTCCCATTGGAGTACTAATCACTATACTAGGCCCCTCTCCTGATTGCAGATCAAGAAAAAAATTTCTCGCAATAGATCTCGTTTTCGAGTTATGGAGCTTCAAAGTGTGCAAAATACGCAATTTAGCCCAAAAAAAAGCGCTATTTCGGGCTATTGAAGTGTCTTAACTCGAAAACGAGATCTGTTGCGAGAAATTTTCTTTCTGTTCTAGAATCAGGGAGTCCTAAAGTACACTTCAGCAAAGTTCCAGCAAAAGTTCAACCGGGGGGGGTAAAAAAACGTTCCCTAGCCAGTGAAGTATATAATGTACTGAATATTGGCTGATTTATGAAATAATATGAGTTTTTTGTTATTTTTGCAAATAATTTGTCACCATAGTTTGGTTTTTATGTTTATGAGGTTTATCGTTATCGTTCTTTGGATTTTTCTTCAAGCAAGTTGACAAATGTCAGCTGCTTCATTATGTGGGAACAGTACCCAGCTTTTCCAGGGCTGAGAGGCGTAAGATCAGAATATTTAGCTAAAGTGGAGATTCACTCGTCAAGAAGGTGATTCAAAAGTAATGATGAAAAAAAAGGCGTAATTGAAAATATTTGTAAAATTTCTCAGAACGGAAAAACGCAAGATTTTCAATCAGTGACTCGAATTCGACTCCTTCAACCGGTCATAAATTCTGATCCATAATGGAAAGAAGTTTACACTGTCTCATGATATCCCCACTTCCTTAAGCCAATCTGAAAACACTTATGACCATTCAATAATCTGAGTTAGAGTTCATTTTGGAACAGGAAAAAGAGGACGTTTGTAACCCTAGCCATATTTTGCGGAAAATGTGTTTTTTTTTTGTCAGTTGCTGAAACCGGTTACCACAGTTCCCAAACTCTTTCCAGGCAAAACTTGAAAAATTTGTAAGTTGACAAAAAAAATTTCAAAAGATCCAACTTGAATGAATATTTCTTCAGAGCATCTATTTTAAAAGAGCCTCTGAACCACTCAAAACGTAGTGTATAATGATTTTCTCGCATTTTGAACATATGAAAAAAAAAACGAGAGAAAGATGAGTCAGTGGTAACGATTAGAAAGTGTTATTGTTGATGTTGTTTGTCAAAGGGCGGCAGAAGAAGCCACGCCCCTTGCCTCTTCGTACTTTTTTTCGCCGTCAACTTTATTTTAACCACTTTCCGAAGTTTGTGTATTTTGAGGGCGAGAACAGTTCTGCTATTCTGCATTTTTTTTTTTGTTTCTAGTTTTGAATAAAATGTAGAGCTTATACCTGGCTATCAGATAAACTGTAAACTCTAATTTGTTCAAGAATTTGAAAGAGTTCTACACAACTTTCGGTTTCGTGAAGGAGTGAACATGCATAAATATTTGCTTGTTTGCTCAAAAAGGAAGTTCTTGAATACACAGCCGCCTATAAACCGTCGCGTGCCCCATTCCATTCCTCTACGTTTCAAACCGTCTTGAAATCCGAGTTCTCTTCTCTCAATCTCCCTTAAGAACCTTATTTTCTAACAAATTTTGACATTTTTTCGTTCTTTTTCTTTTTCAAAAAATAGCATAAAATTCTTTAAAACCGTTTCGGACATTTTTTTTTTCAAAATAGGAAGCCATTCAGAAAATTTTTTTCAAACGGTAGTTCATATTGGAATCCCTGCCAGACTCTCCAGTTTTTTTTATTTTTTTGAAAAACTTATACTAAAAAAATATACTAAATTCTACAGATTTGATTTTTTTATTCTCGTTCGAAATTGATCTGAAATTGGAGTTTTTGTTTATCGCGATAAATCCAGTCGAATCGATAAGTCACAGGGTTTATTGTTGGTAATCGGTGTAGATGCATCGAAATCGCCTAGCCCTTCATCGAACTGGTTTGCCGACCCCTTTGCCCTTTGCCACACTTTTTTATTTGTCTCTTCTCTTCTTTTTGTTTATTTCTCGCAAAAATTCATTGATACAGTCTTTTTGAGAATGGCCACTGCCACCATCCATTACGTCTCTTCTTTTGATGAAGTTAGTCGGTTTTTTTTTCCAAATTAAAAATTGAAAGTTATACTTCATTCGAGGCAACCTGAAAACTCTCCGTTCTTTGTTTTCTCTCGAAAAACTTTCCTCTTCAAGTCATTTTTCCGAATTTCTTTTTTCGGTAGTGAGAAAAAGAGCGCAGAATAGCCCGAATTTTCCAAGTTGTGGCGAATGAGGTGTATCTAGAAATGCATCGTTCAAAGTTAATTTAGCAGATTGGTGATAGTATTGAGTAATTTTATTACACATTAGTCGAAGAAAAAAAGAAATATTTTTTTAAATTAAACCGAAAAATTGATATTTCTTCAATTTAAATGCGCCAAAAAGTTCTGGTAATTTTCTGACAATTGAAAAAATATGGCTACTTTAGTTTTTATTGAAAAGGGCTGCTAAACTTCTTGTTATTCGAAAAAATGATCGAGGATTGCTGAATTATAGAATATGAACACAAGAAACTTCAAACGTCCGTAAAAATCGTGAATGATAGTTGGACAAAGCTGTAGTCTGATTAGAACTTTAGCTAGAGCTACAGAAAATTAAAAAGCTTCTACTACGCAATGGGATCATTGACAAGTAGGATCTTTGACAAGCTCAGGTAACGGCGGCCGAAACTTTGGACCGGGCGATTCGAGCCAAAGACAAGCTGCAGGTCGTCGAAGTTCTGCTGCGAGCCAACAACACTCAGCGACAGATGGTTTCCCTTTTTCAAGTTTCAATTAGTCAAATCCCAGATCCGTACTCCCTACAAAACGCGCTACGGCAGAGACATGGCTGAAGCGCTCAAAAAACAATTTTCCGGCGACTTTGAACACTTTATCGGTTTTCGGTGCAGAGTTTCATATAATTCACTCTGTTCAGTTTCTTTGATGCACACGCCCACTAAATACGATGTCCTAGAGCTCCATTCAGCCGTGAAGGTTGGTTGCTCCGTTATCTTTTTTTCTCTCTTCATACATGTTTCTTTCAGGGGTTAGGAACCAATGAGAACACTCTCATTGAGATCTTGACAACGCGTACAAATGAGGAAATTGAAGCCATAAAGTGAGGCGAATTTTTACCTCTCAAAAAACGCCCCTGAAAATATTCTACAAAAATTTAGCCTCTCCATCCCCTCGGCAAACTTGGTGACAGAAACAGAAACTTTTCCCTCACAAAAGAAAACCGGCTCACAAATTTGTACTTTTCCTGAGATCTCGAAAGCATGTGCTGTAATTAATTTTTAACTTTTATTTGCTTTATTTTGATCTTCTACTTTTTTGTTTTAACCCTATCGTATGGAGACTGTCTCACAATTCTACGCCTTTATTTCATCATTAAAGAGGACAGTGAAAAAGGGAAATTTCACGTAAAATGTATCAGAAAAACCAGGTTGTGGATTGGTGTATATATTCTATATTATATAGAAACAGGTTTCACTTTTTCCTTTTCGAGAGTTGAAAACCGCTCGAGCGTTGGGAAGAACATCGTTACAAAGTGATTTGACAGTCGATGAGATACGTTCTTACTCAGCTAATCAGTTGAGAATACTTCCAGTCTGAATTTTCTGAACTCTGTATTGGTCTAAATGGGTGTTATTTGAGAAATACCTACTGGACGACGTACGAGAAGAAGCTCGAAGACGTCATCGTCGGCGACACTTCCGGAGATTTCAAGAAACTTCTGGTGGTGCTTCTGCAGGCACGACGTGACGAATCTCACAACGTCAACCACGGCTTCGTCGCTAGCGACGCCACCAACATGCTCAAGTCCCTCGACAAGAAGTCTGAAGTCGACAAATTCGATGCGGTTTCTTCATTTTTGCTGTTTCTCCATCCATTTTCAACTAAATTCAGTTGCTCAGATTTGAAAACCATAGGCATTCAATAAATTAGGATCGACGAAAAATCAGATTTTTTTCATAAGAGGAATTTCAGTAAAAGTATCAACTCGACTGAACATTAAAAAATACACGGATTCCTCGATTCCTCGACTTAACGTTCATGTTGATTTCAGTTCAAAATTTTGGCGACTGCGAGCCCAACACACGTGGCAGAGGTTCTGAACCAATTGGAAAGAGGCAGCGGAAAAGAAGCGACGAAACTAGTGGAGAAGGAGTTCAGCGGCGACATGAAGAATCTTCTTTTGGTGAGCTTGGAACGGAGACGTTGCCCTAGGAAGTTTCTCAGGCCCTGATCGAAGTGGCCCGAAACAAGGCCCGTTTCCTCGCGACGCAGTTGCACGGCGCCACCAAGGGGTTCGGCACCAGGGACAAGGATCTCATTCGCGTCATCGTCGGCCGCTCTGAAGTGGACCTCCTCCAAATTCAGCACGAGTTCCAGACTCTCTACGGAAAGAGTCTTGCCGACGTGCGTTGCTTTTTTAAATAATTGGTTCTGTCTTACAGTTTGCGGGTTCAACGTCTGGATTGTAATAAAAAACATTTTTTCTGAGAAAAAAAGAACTCTAAAATAGTTTCTCGACGAAACAGACGAAGAAAAAATCTTTGACTATATTTTAAACATATTTTGAGAGTTTTAACAGTTGAGAATTTTCGAAAAATGAATCAGGACGACATTCTTTTTTATGTGCCGACTCAAAATCCTTGAAGCGTTAACCTGAGCAATTACCTAGCTTTCAAGGAAAGAACGTTGCAAACCGAAAAATAATCAGAATCCTAAGAAAAAGCTCAGATTCCAAATCCATACGTTCTCCAAAACAGGAAAGCTGTCAAGTTGGAGACCTTTGGAACAACTGTGTAGTATCTATAGTAAATTAGAAAGTATATAGTCGGGAACACGGCATGCGCGAGAGGGCCACAGTGCCTGCATACGACACACTATACTTTACGGGAAAAAAAAATGTGATTCGCAACCGCGAGGTAAAATGGCTCATATGAATGATCATTGCTAGATTTTCGTCCTAATGTACTTAATGCGTACTTTTTGTTTCATTTGTTTCGTTTTTTACAAAAACTCTGTTGCAGGTGGTGAAGAATGAATGCAAAGGTGAGTATCGAGATGGACTTCTGGCCGTGCTCCGAGGTAACGCCGATCGCCGTTGATTTCTTTTCCTTCCGACAATTTCCACCACTCTTCTTGCTCTTCTCCCCTCGCCTTTCATGTTTTTCCCCAATCAAGCAAATGGCCGAATAAAATTATGAACGTCTCACAGCGCTCATTTCTTATATCTCGTTTACTCGAAAATACTAGCATGTCCTCAGGTAGGAGGTTTCTCTTCAAAAAAGAACAAAAGTCGCAGAAGATGACGACCCGAGGGTTTTGGCTCCTCAGTATTACGTTTTGATCGAAGTTGGCTATCTCTTCTTGTTCGTCGTTTGTACCGTACTTGTGCACAAATTACAGTTGTTGCAGGTTTAAAACGCTTTTTCGAATCCAATTTTTCAGAAACATTGAACCTTGAATATATTCAGATTTTTTTTGATATGATATAAGACAATGGGAATAAAAACGCCTACGCATATTTATGAAATAAGAAAGTACACTAGTCAATTGGGAGTAGGGACTGGGTAGCTAATTATTAGCTACATTCATGCTTTCGGAAAGCACATACGCTCGTCAGAAAGCATACCCGGTAGCATCGCGATATCTCTCCGGTAGCATCCAGGTACCATTGTGATAGCACCCGGTTGCATACAAACGACCATCGATTAGCATACGCCGATTGACTTTGGAGTTGCTACCTGGTACCTACTTGTATCGACCTGCCGATTCACATTTGTAAAAAAATCCAAAATGCTAAAATCTCAATGTACAAAATGAAACAATTCGAGAATTCCTACAAATTCAAAATAATCGCGTTTTCTCTTTTTCCGATTATCTGATCTCTTAAAAATTCACTCTGTCGAGTAACGTGAGAAAAATACCGTCAATCAGAATTTTTGAAAAATAAAGGTGAAAAATGCTTGTGATGCTTGTCCATTTTCTAAACCTCACTCGGTCCGACCTTAGCGATTCAAAAACGGGCCCGGCTCAAATCGCGCAAATTTTCTTTAATTAGACAGTCACAAAAGAAAATATTGCCGTGTTCAAAGTGATTTCCGCGGACTGCTGACTCTCCAAAATTTAGTTATTTTTTTTGCTCCCTGATGGCTATTTTGGGTTTTCGGAATCACTCAAACATCAGTGGGGGATTGCCGGGTAACTCTGAGGGCAATTGCCGCGCTGCGTTCCGGTAGCTATAGACGATTCACGGCTAGCTTGGGACGCAAAAAGGCGTGGCCTGTCTGCACTCTCCACTAACCAGGGCACTGTCTCGTCTTTTTTTGTGGCAGGACCCTTTTCTCGATGGCTCAAGCCAGCCGTGAATCAGCTATACCCACAGTCCTTCCCGGTAGCTACCCAGAGGCGAAAAAACGGCGTGCGGGGAGTTACCCTCTGCTCGCATTAAAGTTTTTCCTTTGAATGTTTTTTTTTTTCTTTCTTTTTTCTGTTCTCATTGTTTCGAAAAACTATTTATTTATTTTACAAATGCAAAAAATGATTTAACGAAATGAGATTATGATGGAAAAATCTGAATTTTAATTGTAGAAGAAAAACATCATAAAAAGAAAAAGAAGAACCAGATTAAGAACAACTCAACAACAACAATGAATAAAATACACATCAAAAGAATAAAATCACATCAGAGAGAAAAATTGAATAAGGAAAAAGGAATGAACAGTTTACTATTCTGATTTCACAAGTAAACTGTAAAAAACTTCAGAGGCAAATTTTATTTTTTTACTTGGTCGAGCATCTTTTTGTTCTCCTCGAGCTGCATGAGGATTTAGAAAACCTTCTAGAAGGTCTGCCAGATTTTTCTGAAACAATTTATTGATGTGTTACAGTTTCACTGTTGAGCTTTACCGAGTCTTCCGAGGAGCACAGCATTATCTGAAGTGACGTTGGACTTTGTGACTCGCGAACTTTTTTCAAATCTGAAAACTTAGAAATTTTTTGAACAACAAAAAATGAACTGACTTTTTTCAGCCGGCTTTAACTGGCCGAAAAACTATAACACGGGCCGCTTTCCGAGGTTTAGTTCGTCCATTATAGAAGTATATATAGTTCTGAAATCGAACCTAAAAGATATTTTGAAACGTTTCAAGTGCTGAACGATACCTTCAACAAGTAATTTTTTCACGTTTTATGCGGTGTTCAAAGTGATTCTGCGAAATTTAAAATACCTGTCAGGAGAGCGGAATAAACAACTGAATTAGTTAGAATCAAGGATAATTTTGATTTTCGCGGAAACTTCTTCGTACACGGCATTAATGAAAAAAATTATTTCCTATATTTTACAATTTTAAAACTTGAGAAACATATTTTCATCAGGCGAAAAATACGAAATAACATTAAAACGGCACAAATACATAATAAACAATACAATGAATAAAACTGAAAGTTCAAATCCAGAAACATTTAGAAACAGCGACGACGCGCTAATTTTGCCGGTAATTCCCCACAGCGTGCAGCGATTTTTTTGGGTAGTTGCCTGGAAGACTCTCGGGAAATTGCCCTTCCCCGGAAATTCCCCGGTATAATCCGACGTTACCAACATGTTCGATTTGCAGCATAAAAGTATAACCATTCGATCCGTCTCGCCGAGATACGTACGAATATCATAAAATTATTTGGCGCTGACCACTTTGGAAATATTAAGATGAACTTTATCAGTTTTCAATCAAGTAATTTTTCTGAGGAATAGAAGTGTTTGCTTTTTCTTTTAATGCATTAGTTAAGAAAATAGGCTTAGTTTTAAGGCTTCACACGGAGGCGGAGCGCGCATAGCGCGAAGCCGACTGTGGCTCGCTTCGAAAAAACTGAGCCACAGTGAACAATTCGTCAAATAAATGAAATAGCTGACATAAAAATCATGTAGTTTCAAAACGTGGACACTAAAAAACACTATCAGGTAGCTTTAAACGATTTGCAAACTTGACACGCGTAGCGAAAAAATCTGTAAAATGTATTTCCCAAAAAAAAGAAAGAAAAATATTAAAGGAGCATACTGTGCGTAAGCGCGGACTTTGACGCGGTCGGTTATTTTTTTAATGTGATTTCTCATTTTTGCATTGTTTTTCGAATATTTTTCCTGTTTTTCCTGATTTAAAAAGTTTTTTCTTTTCATGGCGTAGTAGCGATAGTTGAATTGAATCAGCGTCGAAAAATACAGCGAAATTTTTGAAATTTTTGGAGTTTTTTTCTGTGTTTTGCGCACCATAAAGTTATTTCTTCTTACTAGCGCCAAATAATTTTATGATATTCGTACGTATCTCGACGAGACGGATCGAATGGTTATACTTTCATGCTGAAAATCAAACATGTTGGTAACGTCGGATTATTCCAATTCCCCACTGGTGTTTGAGCACTTTGAATACGGCATGTGATTTGAATAGTAAAAAAATGTTTAATTATTTTTTGGTTTGGATGAAAAATTTTTTTCAAACGGATATAAAAATTTTTATTCGATGCCTGACCTGACCCAAGCCCGCGCAGGCTTCATCGTAAAAACAAATGAGACCCAGAGCCCGGGCCAGTTCAGCCCAACCACTCAGCCTGAAGCACAAGCCTAAAAATTTCAAGTGGCGGCTCGGACCTTGGTAACGCGAACGGGACGCGAATCGGACGTGTCGGGGCATTTCTAGTGACTATTTTAGTGGCTTCAGCGCTCTTAAGTGATCCCTAGAATTGCCCAGAAACGTCCGGAGCACGTCCGTTTCGCGTTACCAATGTCCGAGACTGTTCATGCCGTGTTCAATTTGATTCCGCGAAATGCAAAATAGAGAAAGGAAAAGATCACTAAATTTTGGAGGGTAAGAGATCATTTTGCATTTCGCGGAATCAAATTGAACACGGCATTACTTTTTTTTTATCTATCTGATATCTGTTGTTTGAAGGCACGTCTGTTCAAGGCGGCCGGTCGTATTATGTCTTTTGTTATTAAAATATAAATCTACTTATCGAGACGTACGTATGCTCTTGCTACCTCGAGAGTTCTCTCTTGAAATTACAGACAGGAAAAAATTTAGAAAATTTTCTAGTTCCGGACAGGCGACGCAATATTAGCTAACGGCCACCCTACCATGGCTACCCCCTAAATCCACAGATTTTCCTTTTAAATTTTTTGCTCTAGTTTTTCTCGATGTTTCTTCCTCACACTTCCTCGAGCGTTGTAAACAACTGAAGCCGAATGCCAAGTGACAATAGAAATAATTCTTCTTGATCTTGATTGTGAAATGAGTTTTTATTGCTGCCTTTCATGATATACTAACAATTCGAACATGAAAAAACTTTTTGTTGTTTTCAATAAACTAAAAAAAGAATTGGAGAGAACCCATTAGCAAAATGAAAGCTTTTTTTTTTACTTCATTGGTCGATTAGTTCTTTTCTCACAATAATTGGTTGGGTGTTGGTATGATTTGGGTTTAATTTTTTCAGCACGGGTTTCCGTCAGCTTTCAAATTCAAATAAAATGATACGAAACTTACATCAAAATTTTTCTCGATTAATTTTTCAAGTTTTTTTTTTAGATAATTTTATTGTCTAAGGTCAATCGAGGTATGCACTCCGTCAGTCAATAAATAGGATAATCGGTGAGATGGTGGTATGAAAAAAAGACCAGCGAAAGTTCAAACGGCGACTTTTCCGATTTTTTCATATCGCTAGGGAACTTTCCGACGGCCACCTTTCCGACGAATCTTTTTCCGACTTTTTTTCTCGATAAAATCTTTATTTTAAATCTTCCTATATGAAGTAGGTAGTTGGTTCATGATTAAAACACAAAGAAATAAGAAAAAAATGTTCATAGATGTTTTATAAACCGAAAAACATAAGGGAAAAAAGTCGGAAAGGGATCCGTCGGAAAAGTGGCCGTCGGAAAGTTCCCTAGCGATACGAAAAAATCGGAAAAGTCGCCGTTTGAATTTTCCCTGGTATTTTTTTCATACCACCGGTGAGATAGCTATCGGAGTGCACACAAATATTAGGTTGTTTACTAAGTTTCTTTCTTTTTTGAAGGACTTTTTTTTAAAAAGTTTTCAACCAGAAAATCACTTCTCACAATTTTGCTTCATATAGTATTTACTACTACATAATCTGAAGTTCAGATTAAATTAACTGTACTACTATAACACTATGCAGAAGAAAGATACAGAACTTTGTCTGAACTCGAAAAATCTCGATTTTTGGAAAGTTTTGCGAATTTATTTTTTATCTTAGTTTTTCAATCTTATCATTCGAACGAGTTACATAAAACGTAAACCGAGGTCGTGTGCTTGCTCGTGAAAGTTTTCGTTTGCTTCCAAAAAATTTGAGAAATGAGTTAATTATTCAAAAGCCAGACCATACAATTTATGATTGGCCAACATTGTTGAAATAATGTTATAGGTCATTCCGCGCCAGCTTGTCACGATTTTAAATTTCCTCAAAGCTAGAGAGCCCATTTCGGCGCTTCGCTTCGATGCTCTCGGTGTGCCCTCTTGCGTGCGCCTTTAATAAAACATTATTTCTGATTAAGATATTGCTTCAATCTTCTCTATCTCTTTTATTAATTTACGAGGTTGTTTTTAATGGATTGATTTCATTTTTCGCTTTAACTATACACACTCAGATTATGTGCTGGATTTGTAAAAAAAAAAAAATCAAAAAGATTGAATTATTATTTTTTTAATTGTTATTAAGGAAACCGACTGTTCGAGCTTTTTCTTGCATATAATTTTTTTGGGTTAGTTTGATATAAAAATTTGATGTTACAACTGTTTTTTTGTAAAATAAGAAAAATTCCAAAAATTCGGAAATAATGAGTTTTATTAAAGGCGCACGTAAGAGGGCACACCGAGAGCATAGAAGCGAAGCGCCGAAATGGGCTCTCTAGCTTTGAGGAAATTTAAAATCGTGACAAGCTGGCGCGGAATGACCTATAAAGGCACAACATTAGCAACCGGCAGCTACCGTGAAACTCGAGGATTTAATTTTACAGCCTTTTTTCATCAAAAAATTTTTATAGCACCAGGGCAGTGGTTTCTATCCACTCTCAAATTTTCTGTTCTTTTGCTATCTCTCAAGTTAATAAAAAAAAACAAGTACAACAAAGTTCACTGCAGCCATGTGTCAAAGCAGAAGTGGTTCAACTGAGTTTTTGCGGCCTAAAATTTTAAGAAACGGTAATTAACTGAAACGACAGCTTGATTAACTTCTGGAGGCTCTCTGACGGCGTCGAACGCTTAGACCTTCTGAAGAAAACGTGACCGATACAGACAATGTCTGTACTAAATAACCACAAAAAATCAAAATCATCCTCAGAGCCTTTGATGAGAAAAGCGTCTAAATGTTCAGCGACCATGTCATTGTCATTGATCATTGACCGAAACTTTTAAAGAAAAAAGATTTTCAGGCTGGTTTTTTGTTTAAAAAGGCAGCTTGCCTACTCTATCTGTACTTCCATCCTCTCTCGTTGTCATCAACTACAAAACATTGAATCATAAATTTTTTTTAGAAGAAACAAAAAAAATGTTTCTAAGAGGGGTTGAAATCGAGTTAGTTGCCCTTTTTTGAGTATATCATTGCTCGTTTTGAAGTCAGGAACTCCAAAATTAACAGTCGTGTTAACAGATAGCTGAGGATGACGGGGGAAAAGTTGTTTGCTGTTTGAATCCAAAATTGAAAAGTTATACACCAAGTAACTTTCAACCGAAAAAAGAAAGAAACTTAGTAAACGACCTAATAGTATTGAAACGCCGCAGAGTTAGCCTCTGTATGCTATTTATTAATTGATCGATTGCAAATTCCGACTGAATTTGAAAGTGCACTCCGTTAGCGGCTATAGCCATTATCGTGGATACGCCGATTGAGCACTAATTCACTTTTTAGTTTTAGAATTATCGATTCATGGTAAAATAGAAATCATCCTTGCAAAAAAGATAATAGAATAGTAGGATCTTCACGTCTAAAAATTTCCGTTTAGGTATTCAATTTGAAAAAGCCTAAAATATATTATATATGGAACTCTTACTATTTCGTTCTCTCAAAATGACCCTTCACGGCCGAAAAAGCTCGCCTATGAAAGAATTGAAGGCGGATGAAGACTTGGTGACGGTGCATCATCTCCAGCACAACGCCAGCATGGAAAGACAGGCCGAGGAGTACATCGCCAACCAACAAGTTTCTCTTTTTCTCGTTTTCCTTTCTCATTCGCCTTTTTTTCAGGAGCACTGGATCAAATGAACACAGACTTCGTTTCCTCAAAAAATGTACGTATTTGCGTCATAAATATTTTTTTCAAATTATTCAGTTCTTTTGGTCAACTTTAAATTATAAGTTCGAAAAAAAGTTGTCCAAATTTGATTTCTACCAAACGACTTTAATTCCGCTGGCAAGCTTTTCGTTGTTGGATTTTAAATCTGTGAGGAATAAGTGAAATTTAATTCAAAGTAAAGCGGAAAAAATAACCATGTATGTTGGAAAAACTATTATCAACTTTTGAGAATTTGCATGAGATACGTTTCTTTTTTAGCTGTAATCTCCACTTCAATATTGAACTTGAACTAATTGTTAATCCCGAATATATTGAAAGTTGAAGAGGAAAAACTTTTGTAGAACAGATCAATCAAATTAAAATGGCTAGATATGGAAAAATTAAATAAAATCTGAGATTTATCTCAATATTTTTTTCTTTATTTCTTGTCGTCTCCCTAAACTTCTTCCCTTTGATAATTTTTGATAAGCTTGATAATTTTTTTGAATTCATTGAAAACTTCGATGAATTGTGATTGAGTTTAACGCATCCATTGTTTACGGTTATAAGATATAACTAATAGTTCTAAAAACTATTCAAAACACGTTGTTCCGTATCAGCTCTACTCAGTTGCTGAAAATGCTTCGGTTGGCTCTAATTGAGGTTGGAATGGCGTTGAGAAGGATTGATGTTTCAGTAGTGTCTCTCCTTGTTTTTTTTCTGTTAGATTACATTTTGAAGTTATTGGCTACTACAAAAAACAATTTATTTTACTCTTGATGTTCTTTGAGGGCAACGCCGAGTCGCAAGCCTGACATTTTTGATACAGTGAGAGGCTGTAAATCAAGGCGGAAAAAGACGCCGAGCTGCCCCGTAAACCCGAAAAAAAGAGTTGCACAACTGACCTGCGTCCAGGTGACCACCATCCACACAATACTACACGCTTCCATTGTCCTACGGCTCCTTTTCCGGGCTCCGCATTTAATTATGGACTTGCTGCCTTTCGAACCATTTTTGAACATCTAACAAGACATTTTCGACTGTAGATGATTTTTCACTACGCGGATAAAAATTTGGATTACTGTAATAGTTCGAGAAAGGAAATTTTTTTCAAAATGGCTACTGGACTACTTGACGCAATCTGATCGTTTCATATCGTTAGCTTTTTGATTTTGCGATTACGATTCGAAATTGACTTTAAATGTCTGATTAAATAAAAAAAGTAAAGGTAGCTGAAACTTTTGAGGCGCGTGCAATGTTACAAAAATGCATTAATGACTGTTTGAAAAAAAAAGCCTGCAAATTTCTGAATAATAGAGTGATATCCGCAATGAATGCGGTATGGATCTTTAATTGATATTACCATTTCTATCCGAAGATTTCAAGTGCCTCAAGCTAAGCGACGCTTGAGTCAATGTTTGATTTTTCTCTGTCGCTCTCATAGCCAAGTAGAAAAAACATGATCGGAATGCCTCATTTTGAAAAAATCAACATTCACAGTCCCTCCTGAAAAAAAAAGCGTTGCTGCTTTCAAAGAAGAATCGACAGATCGATGGCAGCTCATCCATCCGCGGAATGCAGCGCTGTATAAACAGACACGGCGACGCGAAGAGGCAGGCGGCTGTCATTACCGTACCCCCGGGATAATCTTCTTCATCCGTCGACGTCCTTGACTTTCAAGGAGGCAACAAGAAACACAAACTCGCTCTTTCAATTTTTCATTGAAGGTGTTCGAAGAATTATCTTTTCTCAATGAGATTCCAAAGTTTCTTCCCTGTCACTTCTAGATTTATCGAATTGAATGAAGCCCGGTTATAGAATATTTCTGAGGTTTAGGATCAGTGGCCAAAATCTTGATTGAATGACTCTCAAAAATTTGTAAATGGATCTTCTGAGTTTTTCTTTATATATACCTCTCATCACTTTCTTCTGGTATTTGGAAAACTAAGTTATTTGTGACATCTTAAAGGTTTTTAAAAGAACATTTTTTCTGCCATTCAATGATGCATACATTTTTCGAACATTTGATACCAATGAACTTTTTATGAACGGAAAGTGTCGATTTTTTTTTTATTTTGGTCCCAGAAGTGAAAATTGAAACAGGGTTTAAAAAAGTTAACTTTTTTTTTTGGCTTGATCCTAAAGAAGTCGAAATACTTGAAGTTTTTGGTGAACAGGGGATGACGTTGGCCCTCTTCATTTAAGATAATTAGAGAAAGTTTCTTTAAGAGTTCGAATATTGAAAAGAGAAAGTATTGAAAAAATAGAAACAATTGATCGAAACGAGGAAAAATTTTTTGGGAAGCGTAACTTCTTCACAAAGAAACGCCGCGCTTTACGATTTTTCAGTTGCGTCGGCACGTGGCCCCGTAAAAGTTTGCAACTCCTTTTTTGGCCGCCAAAGCGATTTTGCAAGTGTTTTAGCGGGTAATTAAGCTGTTGACCGTTTTGCTGGAAGCGCGGCGCCACACTGTGCACACGTGCAAAACGGTTTCGTTTGGAAGAGCCTCCCGTCGCGATTTAATGATTATGTACTGTTTCCAGAATGCTTCTACGTAGGTTGAAATTCCTTTTAGTCAGCCAAATATTAATTCCATTGATGAACGTTTCTGGTATGAATTCTGTAAAAATCAACAAGTTGACCATCAACATAGAATCAGTACAGGTGAATCTTAGAAAAAAACAACAGAAAATACGGAAATTTCATAAATAAAACCATTGAACAATGAAAAAGAAAATTGAGTTTCTGTTTGACACTTCAGAATTTCATAACCACACTAGAATAATTGTTCGTGCAATTTCTCCCATATTCGTTCTTATCTCAATTTTCTAACGGTTCGCTTTTAAAATCTATCTTTACTTTCTCTCACAGTATAATCTCATAAAAAAAAGTTTGTGCGAATATTGAACTTTTTCCATTTCTGAGGTTCCTATCTCTACATTTATTTTCATTTTAGATTTTTTAATCAAAAAGATGCGATGATTATTTTCTAATTAAATTTCAGTTCAATTAAAAAATATATTGTTTTTGGCAAAGGAGTTTGATCTAAACACCTACTGAGAAAATATGTACACCTCCAAAAAGCCCTCTTTGATTCTCTCATAAATCAAACTTTGACGTCCGGGTAATTAACACGTCTTCAGGTGAACATGTGAAGGCCCAGAGGCACGTCCCGAATGTTTGTTGGGACTCGTTGGCACGTCGCCACGTGTCACGTCTTCGGCGGCGACGTCGCTTGACGGAAGTCCCTCGAGGCCTGCAGAAACACCGGAAGTGCGAAAGTAATTATGGAGCCTCGGCAGTGTATCGCTCGGCTCATTCTTCACCATGACAAAACGGTTTGACTCAGAAAAAACGAGCATGATTTGAGAGAAAACAATTCTGAACATTCGGATTTTGCATCTGCAAAACTATAACCACATTCTGTATCGCCATGACTCGGAAAAGTCTGACTTGTCTGCGCCCTCTTTTCTCTAAAAGCTCATTAAACGGCCGAAAAAAGCACATAACCCAAGATGATGGCCAAGAGAGCGTAGAAAATCCCGAGCGTTTCAAATCGGGACAAATGAAGCAACATTTTAGTGGATTCGAAAATAATTCAAACGTTAACGTCAAGATTTCAAATTTTTAATCAGTTTCAGATCATCACTCTAAAACTCATTATGGCACACAAAATGAAATACCAATTATCGAAATTTCTGAACCATCAATAAATAAGCGAACTTTCAAATCGTTTGCAATTCGACTAAGAGGAAAACGGAAAAAGGGGACATTTCGTTGTTTCGATTCCCTCTTACCTAATGAATTTCATTTTCAGAGACAAAAATGAATTTCTATGGATCAAATTGAAATTTTACTATTCAAGCCAATATTGGATATTTTTTGTTTTCTCAACCACAGTAGCCCATGAAGGCAGCCGAAACTTGTTTGCTCAGCTACCGTAAACGGGAAAATCTGAGGCGAAGACTTGAGCGCTGTCAGCAGCATCAACAAGAGCTGGAAGAGCTTGAGCTCTGAGCATATGGCAGGTCTCACCTGTGGCGGGGCTCGCTTTCACGAAATCTCCTTTGGAGCAACCGCCGAAACCCCTCTAATTAGAGCGGCCTTGTTGCGATCGCCATATTGCATCGCTCAGCGGTTTGAATTCTCAGTTCTTCGAGCAAAAAACTTGATAGTTTATCGATAATTTTCTCAATAATTTTCTCGATACGTTTATCGATTCCAGAAAAATGAATCGAGGGACGTGTGAAGATCATCAGATCAATTTTTAACCTAGAAGGAAGTAGCCTAACTAAATTTTTCCCGCTGAGTAGCGCATTTCCAATTTTTCCGTTTTTGTTTCATTGTGGTTTCAAGCAGTGCTCATAAGTACTACCACGAGAGAGGAATTCCCCTTTTTCAGAAGAGAATCGACTGACTTATTTCATATGAAGAGAGCGAATGCTCGTCGGTTTCCACAAGGCCGACCGTGCGCCATATTCTTGTTCCTCCCGGAATTTCCAACCCTCGCATTGGAGACGGCGCATGAAAGGGCACGCAAGTCTATTGTGTAGCGACCTACAGCCAAAAAAACCTACCGTAGCCGACTCCCGACCTGAAAAACGAGAAAGAGACGGAACTAGGCTGAGTTCCACTTCTGACTTCTTGCTCAAAGTATTTTCTCGGAGAGGTTGATGCGATAAGACAGAGATATTCGAAACTGCCATCTCCTTCAAACTCTTAACTCTTTTAAACTTTTAGGAACTTTCCGCTTTTTGTAAGTGTCGTAAATGTTTAGAAAGTTGTGTTAGGTGTACATCGCAGATTTGGTCCAAGTTTTGTGGTAAGTAATCAGAAGAGAAAAAATATATAAGCGCTATAGAACACTGAAACAGCTACTATTCATTGAAAATTCTTAAGTTCCAAAACAAATATTTCTGAAGATTTAGGTTATAGGCAGTAACACGAGAAAACTTCTTTTTCCAACCGAAAAACCTATGAAGAGAGTGTCTGAAAATTTTCTGCACGTTTTTGACAGACCAATAAGTTCTCCTATCATTGAAGATGCTCATCTGAGAAAGTTTCCAGTGAGTCTGTGATTTTATTCGAATCTTGTATGGTAGTGTTAGATGTTGGTTGAAAATATTCGGTTCAGACCCGCGGCCAATTCGTCGTTGCTACATCTGCGAACCTTTTTGTGTGTACAGTGTCTGATCAGAGGAATATTACCGTAGCCGCGGTTCCACGACGGTTTCCAAAGCCGCGTTTCACAATGCAACCGAGGAAAATGTTTGTTTTTGCGAGTTCCCCCGCGAGGCATGGCTGGCTGGGATCGAAAAAGAAGAAAAGGCGAACTTGCTGGTCTACGGTGGCTATAATTGGGGGTACGCAGAGGCGGCCGAGACACCAGCGGAACGACGTGTGGGCACACACACGATAATTGCCAGAAACGAAGAAATAGAAGACGAAGATCGATTTTTACAGGAAGCGAGAGCCTCGCGCTGAAACCCCACCAAAACATAGCCTCGAGGAGTACGGTAGTGAAGAGTTTTGTCTTCTAAAGTCGATATGTGAACCGTTGTACTCGAGATCCACTCCTTTCTGCAAACTTCATCCGAAAAACAATGACACCTTAAGTAGCAGAGAAAATGTTGCGAATCCACTAACCGTGCCAAAAAAGAGGCAGTTCTAATCACTATTCAGAAGCCGTTTTGTTTCTCTCATTTTTCAAGACTATCCGTGAAATTCGATTCCTCTGTGAAACGAACTAGCGGTAAATCAGCTGAAGATGAAAAAAGCTGAGGAGTCGTGTATATTTTGAAGGTGACACCTATTTTTCCAGTGGCGTCTAGCTTTTTATGACCTTTTTATGGGCTCGCAGCTGTCAGTTTGCGCCTTTCCCATCCCAATCTCATCCATGTCTTCTGAGCATTCTTTTTTCATTAATCTATGACGGCGCTACTATCAAGCTTTGAGATAGTTCTGATTTACTCCCCGCTTAAACAATCAGGTCGATGTTTTTTTAAACTATCTTTTTCAAACCCTTAGTTTCATAGATGACAAAATCGGAAGATTAGATGGCTTTCAAGCCGACAAAGACCAAATTTTTCAGCCATTCGAAAAATTTCTTAAAAAGTTATACAAGAAATAAAAAAAATTGAGAGAGAGCTATCGGCAAATACAGTACAATTATGTTCCGAAACTCTCATCACATTAAGTGTATTGAAATATTGGGCGCGAAGCGAAAATTGGGAGAGTTACGCTTGTATTTGCTTGGAAACATTGAGAAGTGTGAAAGAGGACAGTGTGTAGAAGACAACAATGATGAAAAGTGTCAGTTTCACAGAAACCTGCCGACGGCATGGTAACAGTTTCGTGTGAGACGATTCGCTCTAATATTTGAAGCCAAGTGTTAAAATTGACACTGTAGTTGGCCGAGAACTGAAGACTTCCTGTGGATTAGGTGGGATAACTCAATTCTTGATCGGTTATGGAAGACTGAGGACCGACGCGATCGGACAAGGGCCACGGCTCCGGTAATTAGCCGTCGTCCAGAACAATGCACGACCTGCAGGGGGTCCATCTTTCTAATCCTGCTGTCCTACTCCGCAAAGGCCTTCAAACCGCACAAGCAACATGTCACACCTCCGGAAGAGAGATTTAGAAAAAAATCATTAGACAAAGAACAACGATGAAATTTGCCAAAAAAAGAAGATCATCTGAGTAAAAGAAGAGAAAATTAAAAGTTGGTAGCAAAAGAGAGCCGTGGACGGTGTCGACCGGCAAAAATGGCTGAAAATGGCGTTTTGGAGAGAGGCCGCACGGCTGGAAACGACTGCCAATCACCTCTAATAATACGGTAATTTCCTCTGAAAATTTGCCGCGCAATCGACTGTCTGTCTGGCCTTGTCTTTTCATACCCCTCTTCAAAAATGGTCAGCGTTGAAGCAGAATATTTTAATGATGAAGGATCAAATCAGAGGACGTGATGAAAGTCAGCCAGAATTTGAGTGCGCGCCATGGACGGGCAACGCTTGCAACTGTAACTCTCAAAATGTCATTTAGAACCTATCAGATATTTTTTTGAACATTCTGCTCCATCTACTTCTAAATTATAACCCCAAGTTGGTAAAATTATCAGAAGGGTATTTTTAGTTCTGATTTCGGACTCTTCTCTAAGTTCGCTTAAAAAGTTTATGATGGAAGTCACACTTTTTCAAACTTTCTTCTTGCGATATTTTGGTGTTCGTTGATTAAGAGGATAAAAAAACGACATCTGTTTGAAAAAATGACAGCGCATTAGATATTTCCAGAACTAGAAATTCGCGAGACGGCTTCTTATCTAGTTTTTCTGGGAGTGTTTGATAAATTTTTGGGAGTTTCTAAAGTTGTGATAGAGGTCCTCTTGTTAGATTCAAACAAAAAAAAAGAAAGAAATATGAAGACAAGAACGCGATTGCACAAAATACAAGGGTTTTGACGTCAAACATAAAAAAACGTCGAAAAATTTCTAAAAACTCAGGTTTGAAGCAGAAAAAAAAAGAGAAAATACGGCAGCGAGGAACTGACGAACTCGGAGCCAGAAATGAGTGTGGAGAGTCCGAAGATAATCGGCGACGGCGATAAACGTTCACGAAAATGGCTTGTGCTGCGTGCTGGATATGTGCTGGACAAAAAAGTGGGAGAGAGACGGACACAGCATGCGAATTACTAACAATTCCCCAAATTATGTGTCATTTTCGAAAGCAATTCACAGGCAATCTCGCCGACCGCCGCACGCCTCCAACCAGCCACTCGGCCGTCTTTTTCCTCCCGGAATCACTGTTTTTAGCCTCCGTTATCACTTTCTGTGTGGGAGAAGATCTTTCTCGGATCCACTCAAAACTCGGTTTTTCTTTAAATCAATTTTTTTTCTTTGCGTTTCGTGAGTCCATTTCATACGTGAATCTGAGATGTTTGAGAAAAAATAAGAAGGTTTTTCAAACTTTCAAAATGTCAAGACAAAAAAACACACCGAATAATAAGCTGAGGAACAAGCTACAAAGGAGTTTATAATCTGTAAAAGAGGCGGTATGAAATTTGAACTTTTTGAAAGCTCTGACTACTGAAAACCTTGCCACTTTGTTTCGTAGATTTGATTATTTTTTGAAGGTATAAAAAATTTATTTCGTGTTTATTCAGACAAAGTGAAACAATTCTTAACTGAGATGAGAAACTGTTATGAAAAAGTAGATCGAACCTGAAGGTTTCGCGGCAAGTCAATAATCAAGAAGCGCGCAAAAGTCTGGTCCAGTAATTAGGATTTACTGAATCGCTACGTCAAGTTTTCGTCCTTTTGTCGGTAGAACCAATAAAAAAGCAGCGACCTTGCGAAAAAGTTGCCGCTGGCGCGTGCCGTCGGTGATGTTATCTGGAAGGAAACGCCACGGATCTACACCCGCTGGTTTTCTTTTTCCGCGGTCTTCGTGACCGCCTTGTTAATCTGCGTCCGCAATTAAGTTGTATCCGGAGGACTCACTTGTCTATCGACGCGTCACAACTTTCCTTATCTCCGGAATCGCTCCGAATAATCCACTCATTTTGACACCTCATAATATATTTCATTTACACTGTTTCATTCAGAAGAACCTTTGCAGATTTGCTGTAACGTGAATGCGTTTGAAGCACAGAAACCCGAACTTTTGTGTTGATAGGCGTAGTTTGTACTGATGTGGTGAAAGCAAAAAAATTCAAATTGAAAGTTTGCAACCCAACTTTTTTTTACAAATCTTAAGCCTCGATGGAAGGGACTTCAAAATATCAATTTGTTTTAATTTTTTCTATGTTGAACTTGTAAAACAGAAAAATGAATAAAAATGAAAAAAAAAAGTTTTAGAATTTTATTTCGAGCTAATGAATCGCTCGAGAATTTTGATTGTTTCTGTGTATTTTTCAACAATTTGAAAATTTGTGCAAAAGCTCCTGTTTCGATATTTTTTTGCATAAATTTGGCTCCTTTCTGTGAATCTTCTGATTTGATCTTTTTCAGAAGAGCTCGGGACTGGGTCCAAGCTGCCGCCGGAGGATAGTTTGGGCCAGCAACGTTTTGGGAAAATTGCTCTGCCGCGCGGCCATACCTACAATTAGCTGCAATACCCCTGAATTGCCGAAATTGCACTGCGGCCAGCCAGAATCATCGACGACGACAAGGTGCACGTCGTCTGAACCTGAAGACCTTCCTCGCGAGGTACTTGAGCAGTACCGATGCTCCGGAGACGGTGTCGGGCAGGACGAAAATGGGCGGCGCCAACGGAGAAAGCGTCAGACCAATGGAGGCCGAGAGGGCGGACGCTGCGCTCCTCCCACTTTTGTCGTATACGGCACTCGAGCGTCGCCTAGTGTATCCGCCACCACGTCCGACCCTCTGATTATCTATCGGCTGCCCACTTTTTAATTGTGTCTGAACTCGCCGAGCAACAGCATGGACATGGACCAGAAGCCGTTCGTCGACTACGGCTCTGCCGCCGGCTACTGCTATCCCAACGCCGACTTCGCCAGAGGCACCGCCGTTTCGCCGTACTTCTACCACACGACCGCCTCGAGCATGTACGCCGGCAACCAGTACATGAACTATCCGCAGGCCGCCGCCAGCTCGCCTGAAGGTTTGTTTTCCGTTTCCTCTTCTTTTTTGACATTTGATACTCAATTTTACTCTGCAATTTTTAAGCTTTTTGCAATTCTTTAACAAAACTGTTCGTTCTTCTTCCTTGCCATCGAATAAAACTGATTTCAAATTCATAATCATCATATGAACTGTTTAAGTTTTCTCTGAATTTGTCACTTTTTGACAGGTTTTGACCTATTCGTGGTTCTGTCCAATTTTGATCTCTTTTTGAACTTCTTCCGTTCTTCTTTTTACTCGTACAAAATTAACTTTCCAACATTAGAGTTTGAAGTTTCATAAAGTTTTCCGCTCTTTCATAATTTTCATCCGCTCGAAACATCACATTTTCCTGCGATAATTTTTTTCGTCGGGACTAAGAAAGTTTTGTAATGTTTTTTTTCTTGCGCGAAACGACATTCTCTCTTCGAATGTTTCAAGCCGTCGTGCAAAAAAGAGTACAAAAACATCGTGTTTTTGCTTTTCAAAACATTTCACATTGGTTCTCCTTTTTTTGTCTTGAGAAAGCTTTTTTCAAATATATCTGACTTGATTCGTGCAAAAATCTTGTTTGTTCAGATCAAATGACGACGAAGATCATCGAAGGCGGCGAGGTCAAAATCAACGGCAAAGGGAAAAAAGTGCGAAAGCCGCGAACGATCTACAACTCCCAGCAGCTGCAGATGCTGCAGAAGAAGTGAGTTGGGGAGGTGTCAGGAGTGTCAGTCGGTCTCTTCTTTTACTCCGTTTTCCCAAAACATGCTCTGCACTTTGCCAACGGCACCGAGGCCTTTTCTTTCAACCGTCATTTCTAACTTAACACTTACTCCATTTGGGAAACGAGAATAATGTAACTTGTTTGTAAATGTTCTCTTGAAAACGTAAATGATACTTTTAGAAAAATATTTAAAAATACTTTTGAAGAATATGAGATATTCCGTCTACTAAAACATATTTTTGAAAAAAAGTATTTTCCAAGTGTTTTTAAAAGTGTCACTTCTGGTTTCCGAAGGTTCTCAAAAATACTTGAAAGTATCTTCGCGCTTCGTCCTTGCTACAATCTGTTTGCACGTGAGAGCATCACGAAAATTAATTTTTCTCTATCGATTGAAAAATAATGAAAAAACTTCATATTTTCCAATTTGCTGCCATACCGATTGAACGAAAAACACGTCAACTTTGATGATTGCCAAAATTATGTTGAAAAAAGGTTCAAATTTTGAACTTTATGTGAACACTTCAAATAGAGGTGTTCATATTTCAATCAAATCCCAAAATCGTCCAAAAAATGCTTGAATAATAGAATTTTGTGAAGCAAATACAAAAAATTTGTAGCAACTTCTTTGTAGGTCTTCTCGATAAGTACATTTCTAGTAAAGGAATGAGAGGATACCTTAAAGATGCAAAGTTAAAAAACTCCAAGATTGAAAGCTTTTTATTTCGATAAACATTTAGTGCTCCAATTGAATTTCGGACGTTGCAGGTTCCAGAAGACGCAGTACCTGGCGTTGCCGGACCGAGCCTCGCTGGCCGCTGAGCTGGGATTAACTCAGACGCAGGTTAGTTTCGCTGCAGTTGATCCTGACACCTGGCTCCATTTCACCCTTCCCGTTTGATTCGCACCATTAACTCGCCTCTAAGTTGACTTTGTCGTCCGCAAAAACCCAACGTCGAAGGACATGGGAAACGCGTCCCGATATCTGTTGGTTTTTCCCGCATATCCAAGTTTCGCAACTCTTTTTCATTTCAACAAAGCTCAGGAACCGTGATATAAGTTAAGATAATCCAGCACGAAGTTTTCAAATTCTAGATTTAATTAGAGCCAATGATGGCGTCATTATGTTTTCCTCCTGCGAAGCTTTCGAAGATCAGTTTATTATTTTTTTGTTGCGAGAACTAATTTGGGTGACCGTCGCATTTCTATTTTTTCTTTCTCTGGGACTCAAACTTCTGAAGCTGTTTTCGCTAGAATCCTGAAATCAACTGAGACGTTCTCAACACATTTCTTCTCTTTCATCTCCAGCTGTTTTTTTTCTGAGTTTCATCTGCAAACCGGAAGGAGTTTGGGGTTTTTCCGTGGCGCGCAGGTGCCAGATCGTTATCTCTTGGATGACGCGCCGTCCATCACGCAACGACAACATGTGTTCCGCTATCTTGATCACCGTTGATGCGCTCATGCTCATCAGCCTTTCCTCTCCGAGACTGGCAGCACCTGAAGGCTATCTCTCGAGTTGGCAGCCAAGTAGAATAGTCAACTCCGTGGGCTCCTTGACAGCTAGCTCCATCTTCGAAAAATTTCCCTTTCAGTTCAACTTCTGAGGTCTCAAAAAGTTCCATCGTTTCATTCTAATCATCTCGATCTTTTGCAGAAGCTTATACAATAATTAGATGTGAACAGTAAGATGAGAGCTTCAGAACTTCTGAGTCCAAACCTACACATTTCAGTTTCTCTCTAGTAATTTTTTTTCAATAACTAATTGAATAACTCCTTTAAGTTTTGATTTTTGTATCCAATAATCTCCAACTTTTATTCCGAAAAGACAACATTGCAGTTTCTGCAGGTCTTTTCCGATATCGGAAGCGTTCATAGATATTTAATTTCTTACGACCAAAAAGAAGTAGAGTCATCTTTAATCCATACTTGTGACCGATCCTTATCTCAGTGTTTACTGCAAAAACTTTTGGCTTGTCAAAACAACTAGCTCCGTATGTTGAACCAATTCGTCGGTTTGGCGAATCTCAGACTCAAGGCCTATCATTTTCGCGTTTTTCGAAACCCGCAATTTGATGTGCCGCCGTCTTCTTTTCGCTTCCTGCCGCTACTACCGTACTCGGCCAGGAAAAAGAAGACGAGTTATGAGAAATAACAATTCTTGTCTTCAAATCGTCTTTTTTCACCTTTTATCGACTTTTCTGGTATTCGCAATTTGGTTTTTTTCTCCTGTAAGACTATTACTTGAGTTTCTAGACTGATCAGTTTCATGAAAAAGTTTCTCAAATTAGTGTATATCCGTTGAAAAAGGGTTGAATATCTTCTAACTTCTCACCACTAAAATTCTGAGAACTTTCCTGTTCGCTCAATGAAACTTGAACGAAACTGCAACCAAGAAGCTGAGTTGCTCTTTGGTCGGTACTGAACTTGAGTCCTCAGAGTGAAGATTTCGAGTAACATGAGCAATACGGTGCCAACGAGGTTCAAGTGGGTTATACAATCGACTAACCTCAATAAGCCGGCCATAATGCGCATTTACTGCCGCCGCGGCCTTCGCGTTTTTTTTCCGCAGGCTGACGCCGGCATACAGTACCTACCTACCTGCAGCTGGGACTTGCTCCCACCTGCTCTCACCTGTTGCGTTAGGCGCCGCGTGCCGTCGCTAGGGACCCACCGTAACTCGACGCGGAGGAGAGTGACCTCCACCGAAGGCATCCGTCGGACTAATTATCTGGCCTGTCCATGGACACGGATTGTGAAAGCGTGGAAATGTCATGGACCGGTGACATTTTGGCTGAAGGGACACTTCCCTTTTGTCGACTCCGAGGTTCGACCAGTTTCTAGCAATTATTGACCAGATGTACTCTCAGATAGTCATTCTTCGAGTGTCCTCTTGGAGAATTCGGAAAAAGCCGGCAGTTCTGAAAAGTTTCATTCTATCCAGCCATTCCTCGAAGAAGAAAAGGGTCGAGAATAGTTATCAAACATTTTTAGCTCCCAATTTACAGCCTATATCTGTTTGAGCCACTTGAATCACTAAAATCGGGATGCGATTTTTGAGAAAAACTTAGCAGAAAGATTGTTTTCAGATTTTAATTTGATGGAATTCAAAATGAGTAGCACCTCCTCTTTGGCATGTGCCCTACAAAATTTGCCTTTCTATACATTTCCTATTTTCAGGTGAAGATCTGGTTCCAAAACCGGCGGTCGAAGCAGAAGAAGCAGAAGAACGTGACAGACAGAACGTCCGACGAAGAAGGCGAGGCCGAAGACTCACCGCCGGGCTCTTCGCCTCTCTCAGAGTCGCAGCCGATGTCCGTGCAGACGCCGCAGCAGCAGCTCACGCCACAACAGCCGAATTCCATACCACAGGACTGGACGGCGTCCGCGGCCTCCACTGCCACCGCTCAGCAGCTTCCGGCGTCGGTCACGCTACCGCCGATGCCGTCGATGACGTCAATGCCTCCAGGACCGCTGGCGTCGTCTCTTTCGCCTTACGAAGGTCTCAAGTATCCTGATGAAGCCAAGAACTTCCTCTACGATCAGCACATGTCTTCTTACTACTCCTATCCTCTTCACCAGCCTTACCCTTACTAGGATGTTCCCTTTGTCTCATTTCATTTTTTCTTTTCCAACCTAGTCATGGCCGACGAGTTTTCATAACGACAAAAAATTCTCCTTGGTCTTGTATAGGTACATTTTTCGATAACAGGCCTCGAGCCAATTAATCTTTTTTTATTTGGGTACGGCTTCCGTTGAATTGGCTCGACGCTCTTATCTCCTAGACTTGAAATTTTCTCGGGGACCATTTTTTGAAGTCGACACAGTCGGAACTCAGTCAGCTCGTTTTCATCTTAGTTTTCCAATTTCTCATTCGACCAGCAATTCACAGCTTTAAGCCTATTTTGATTAAGTGGAGATCTCTTCTTATCTTATGTTACCCCAAACTACTGTCCAAAGCAAGATTTTCTCCCGTGATTCAGTTTTCTGTTTCTCTTATTTCGCCTATGCTTCAGTTGATCTTATCATTGAACTAAATTTATATAATAATTTAAAAATTTTTTTGAAATGTGTTAACCGAATGCGAGTCGGGTTCGCCTTGTAATGAATGGATTCCTCAGCTTCTCAAACACCTTTCTCGGTTTTGTTTCGATTATGTTCTTTTCTCTGACGAAGAATAAAATTGAAAGATTTTTAGAGTATTGAAAAGTTACACTTTGTCATTCCAATAAAATAATCAGTGGGAGAAGACTGCCCGCAGAAAGGAGGACGGGAATTCGCGGTCAATTAAATTAACCATTGGCTGTCCTCAAAAAAGGTAAATCATTGCGGAGGCGATCGCGCATGCAAAAAAAGGCATTGGGAAACTCGGCCGCGCTGCCTTTTATCTCGTTGGCGCAGCCGTTCCAGAATGAAAAGTGTTTCAATGGGTTCCCACAGACGAGACGGAGCCCGTAGACAGTCCGAGAAATACGGGCGATGCCGACAAAGAGGCACGGAGGCAAAAACATCCAAGGTGCCTATTGGCACATTTCGCGTGCTTGCGGTCCCTTCTTGGACCACCGTATGACGCGTTGAATGAGCAGTTAGCACGCAAGAGTTGCAATGACCCCGAGAACAATTCTCGAGGAAACTGAGCCCGAAGAAAAAAAGACAAAACTTGTCCATGGAGCACATATTTTGATACACACGTGCCAATTTCGCCTGCACTGTTTTTTTCTTGCAACTAAATTTTCTGCGGCTGAAAATTCCCCTATAGGAGAGACTAAATTATAATAATGTTGCACTCAACAATAAATCGAATTTTAAAAATTATTTTTTTATTATAAAAAAACTTAATTTGACGAACTAGGTTCAGTATGATTAAGGTAGGTTAGGAAGTGTAGAAGGGAATATTTATCGATTCAGAAAGCTCACAACATAAGCTCTCGGAAATTCTGACTGTGTTTCATTTATAGAACATGAAAAAATTAATAACTTGACATTTGATATTGAAAAGAAGAAAGAATGGAGGACACGGGGGCAATGATGGCGGCCAATTTCTACTCGTGGTCGACGGAGATGTGCGCTGCTGCGTACCGATGCTTTTGTTCGCGGTAGATCAAATATCGGATGGGGCGCGAGAGGAAAATGTCCAGGGCGAACGACAGCAGATATGACATCACCGCCGCCGAGACCGACGTGTACACCTGCAAATTGCTCGAAGTGCATCGCGAGGTTTTCTGAATAAAACAGTTTTCTAGTTAATTCAAAAAACGAAGAGACCTATAAACACATTTTCAACTTTTCTCAAATCTTCCAGTGCTCTTCTAGCAAAGTACAAAATTTTTTTCAGAGGCCTGCAAACGATGAACGGAGACCTTTCCCATCAAAATTTAAGGATCGTAAATAAGTAAATGATAATTATGTCTGTTAAAACCACTTCCGTAACTATTCTTCTGCCCGGAATGAATACTTAAATCTTGTTAATAAGAGGACGTTAAGATGAGAGAAGAAGAATTACATAGACCGTCTATAGACGCTTTGACAAATCAAGTTGAAATACTAACTTTTTTTCTTCCGTTTAAAAACCAGCTGGAATTCTCCGTTCGAATTTCTATGTAAGTATCTTCTATATTTGAATTCAGATCCCGAGACATAAGCTCATGTTGTAAGATTATAATTAAATATTTATATAGAATTGTCTTTAATACGATTTTATGGTGAAAAATTCATTAAGACCGTAAAAATAACTTAATAAATTTTTACTATTGTCTTCGATGTTGAACCATTGAAAAAATTCAGAGAAAAGTCTACTAACTGGTTTTCAAAGATAAACTTCTAAGGCTCTAATTCCCTAACTTTCTAAGATATTCCAAAAGATATAATTTTTTTTCAACATAGTCCAACTTTAAGGTTTAACTGGAATATCAGAAGAACGGGTCCAGACCCGAAGAAAAATGACGGAAAACCGGTTGAACACCTGTGCTCTCATTCCAAAATCAATCGAGCGAGTCGAAATTTTACTCATTTTCACCCTCTCAGGATGACTCCGCCGACGTCTTCACTGCCTTTCTTCAAGCCCTATCATTTGTTTTCAGACAACCGACTGGGGGCGGAGCCAGCTGCATGAATAATGCAGTGCCGAATGGAGCTTTTTGCCTCACACTTTGCCGCTCGTGAAAAATTCAGGCGATTCGAAGAACCGAGCAACGCGAGAAGCGTCAAGATTGACACATCGACTTACAGTACTCCAATGGGTCGCGTAGGCGGGCTTGTTGAGGGACGAGAAGAAGTAGAGGATCACCGGCTCCGAGAGAACCAGAGCCAGCCAACTCATCTTCGACAGCGGCGCAAAGACGCGCCATCCCAACAGGGCATTCAGCCAAACTGCAATCATTCATCCGACAATGAGATGGCTATACTTTCAGAGAGAAAATTTTTTTGACAAATAACGAAATATACATGATTTAGTTCCTTCACCTATATAGCACAAGGGTGAATCTGATTCAAAAGGTTTTAAATAATTTTTTGACATATGAACGTTTTTGTAACATCTTTTCTCGCTTTACCGTAGCTTTTTTCCAGATTACTGATCTTTTTGGAACTATCTCACTCCTTCAATACATCTTTCAAATCGTTTCAGTCTGTAATCGATAATCATTACTAATAAAAACTGTTACATTTTACTAGACAACATAGTTGTTAAAGCAAAATACATGTATTATATCATACTATGGAGAAACGATTGGATACAGAAAAAACACACAGTATTGAATGATTGGCAGAAAACTTCTTATTTCGCTGAGGGAATTCGAAAACTACTTTTCCCCCAGCTTCACGTTAAAAAGTCATTTTATTTTGTTTTTCATGTCTAAACCTTGAAATCGTTGATTACCATCAAGAACTGATGCGGTTTTTGAAATGATCACGAACCGAAAGCTCCGTGATGACAGAGGTAGACGAAGGAAAGCAGAGCGAAGGCCCACAAAGGCCGGTGGAAGGTCGCATAGAGAGCGATCGGCAGCGGGCTCGCCTTGGCTTCTGCCGCGTAAGGCACCGCCGCGAACATCGCCGTCGCCGCACTCGTCACGCAGATCACGCCAAGCAGAATGTGTGGCTTCTGAAAGCCGGCTGAAACTTCCTTCAAAGACTCTAGAACGCACATATGAGAAGCCTCGGTTTCTCAAGCGATCTTCCGCCGTGGCACAGCCAACGCCGAAGATGAAGCCCATACAATAGGGAGAGATGCGCGTCAGTGGGGACAGCATCAGCAAGTCGAACAGGTTCCTTGTTTTCTCGAGTCTGAATTCTTCTAGATTTTCAAAACAGAAGTAAGGCTTACGGAACGGGTTCGACGGTCAGCATCGGCGCCGGCGGCAACGAGTAGAAGTAGGCCCGGTAGAATGAGAAACTGACTGAGGCGATGATGCCGAGGTAGGCGACCAGCTGAAGAAAGTTTTTTTGAAGGTGAAATGTGGACTTGCGAACACCTTGGCCCAACGAAGGTGACTTCTCGAGAGCCATATACAGAAGACGAGTGTGATGTAGAACTGCGCCTCCAAGGAAATGACGTAGCCGAAGTCGACACACTCCAATTTCTCATTTTAGTTGAAAGCTTTTCATGAAATACTTTTAAAAAATTCAAACTTCTTTCCACAAAAAAAATATTTTTTTAATGTTACACTTGTTATATTTTATATATTTTAAAGGAAATTTTTCACGAGAAGAGTGAATGGAAAAAAAATTATCTGCGTCAAACAGTCTACTTCCAACTAAATCAGTTTATCAGAGCTTTAGACTGTCGTCATTTGATTAAGGGGTTATACAGTTAGCTGCTCAAAAAGATGATTTTCCTTGACTTATAGCAGCGAAAAAGCCACGTTTGGGTGATACGCGTACTGTGTTGTCTACGGAGAAGAAGTTGTTGATGAAGAGTATGTTCTTCCACCAGCTGCTCTCGCATCGCTCCACTGTTTCCGTGTGGATCCACATCGGACCTGCCCCCAACCCAGGAAAGATGACGTACATGAAGAGCACGCAGAAGACGTAGGCCGGCCAAAATCTATTCGTCTACCAGATTTTCAGTCATTTTTGATCGAATTATCCACCTGAAGAATCGAAGGGCGATGAACCCGAAGGCCTGTTGTCCGCTGTCGATTTGCCCATAGAGCAAGAACGTCGTGTAGAAGGCCGACAGAGCCAGGAGGCCGTCGATCTGATACGAGTAGTTGTTAACGGGATGCATCCACAGCGACTTGACGCCTTCGAAAGAAAACGCCACGTTCTCTGAACAAAATTCCGCTTCGCAAACCAGCGCGTATATGTCATACCTATGTACGGAAGCATCATGTTGTAGACGTTGCCACAGATGATGAAGATGAATGCGAAGAACTCGAGACCGTGCACCACGTGCAAACCGTCGTTTCCTCTTCAAAACTTTATTCCCTGACGATAATGAAGACATTTTAGAAATCGTTTTTTTTCTAGTTACGTCATTAATAGTTTTGAAAACTGCAGCAATCCCCACCATTCATACGCATCATTCGGATCTTCGCGAGGCCTCCATTTCAACTTGTAGAAATACCCGTTCTCATTTTTGGAATCAACAAAATCAGTTTAAGTTTCTTTGAAAAAATTCGGATAAAGAGAGAAAGTTGCCATCGGAGGACGATCATTCAGTATTGAAAAAGGGTTTAGCGTGTGCCAAATGACTCTTCTGCTTTATTTTCCAACTTTTTCAATTTTTCAAAGAGACAAACAGCTTCTAAGAGTAACCCCTTTTAGGGTTTCTTCATGCAAAAACCAAATAACCTGCGTGTAGAAAAGGCTCTTTTCGAGTTCTCCGAGATGGAGAAGCAGGACAGCGCCGAATCAATGATCTCCTTGCGTGCCGAAGCGACAAACTGCGGCGTCAGCCAAACCACCATCATCGCCCTGAACTTTCCCGGGTTTAGCTTCGAGACCCATAACGCACATCAAGATGTAGGTGACCATCGACCAGGAGCTGTCCGACTCGCACTCTACCGTCACCTTGTACGGAGAAAACTCTGAGTTGGACTCGTGTCTGTCGAAGAAGTGCGAGACTTACTCTGAGTGATTAGCGTGAGCTGATCAACAGAACACGACGAGGGAAAACAAATTCCGACAACGATGGAAAGTGGATCCGTTTGCGGGCAGCCTTGCTCCACCTGTGTTAAAAACTTCTCTACAAACTTTGCTCTCATAGAAATATGGACATTTGTTGGAATTCGTAGAAAGGAGGCCATGTGAAAGTAAAAAAAATAGGAAAAAACTAATAGATCAGCTTCTTTAAACGGTGAAATCGATATGAATCGAAATTCGCTAAATAAAAAAATTATAAGAACTGATATTACCGTTTAACATGCCTCCAAAAATTGTTTCAGTGTAGCGATTCTGAGCTTCGTTAATCTAATAATTCAATTGAGAAAACTTTGTTATTTCATTTCAAAAGCTCGTACTTGAAAGAACTACTATCAGCAAAAAAGCAACCTGAACATCCGGAACCTCGACTTCCACGCGACAATACTGACCGTCGAAAGTGTTCGAGCTGCAAGAATCAGGTGAGAATCTTCTCGGGAAACTGAAAATACTATCGAAGGTCGGTGCACATTTCGTAGTCGCCAAGCCAGTAATAATTGCCGTCGCTGATCCCCGCCGCCGGTTTTCCCAGTGAGTCGAACCCTTAACATCCTTGCTCAAGAGTTCTTTCAACCATTGGCTACATCGACCAAAGACTTGCTCGCTCGATTCAAGCTTTTTCCCAAGGTTAGGTCAAGTGCAAATTTATAAACCATGAAAATGTCGTAAAAATGATGAAGCCAAACAAAATGAAAATACCAAAATTTTTGCGATCACTCTTTGTAGTAATGGAGGTTCTCAAAAAAACTATACGTGAAATGAACTTAGTTTACAATAACTTTCGAGAAAAAAGTTGAGAAACTTAAAGAAACTCTATGTGTATGCAGTATTTATTTATATTTCTTTTTTTCAGCATCCATTAGACTTTTTCTTTTTCTACTCCCAAGTTGGTTCCCTTCCATAGATTTTTTTAGGTCGGTGAATTTACGCATATAGTTTTCAATGACTCCCTACGAACTTTTATAAAAATTATGGTTTTTTTCTATTAAAAGAACCCCGGGTGTTTCTGAGCATTTCTCATGACCTCTTCAGAGGCCTCACGACTTTTAAGTGTCCCCTGAAAAGGTTCAAAAACGTGCGGACGCATTCGTTTTCCGTTTCGGAGGCCCGAGAAAAAGTTCTCAAACGGACCGTGCCCAGCGGCCCCCCTGTTTCTTTTTCAATGAATTAGATAAAAACGAACATTTTAGGACCCACATGTTGTCGGCTTTCTGATGCGCGCACTGCGAGCAGCCGTCTCGGTCCTTGCTCAGCTTTTCGCATCCATTGAACGACTCTTCAACCTCACAAACTACATCTTCTCGATAATTCTCTTCGTCTTTCAAACTATTTTCTCGTACATAGTTAGAAGTAATAAGACATATGTTATACTGAACGAATAAAATTATTTAAAAAAAACCTATAAGTAGGTCGATTGAACAAAAAATGCGTTCGAACTGTTCTCGACATTTGTGCTCCACGGGCAAAGCTCTTGATGCATTACCTGAACCGCAAAGACAATTAGATTGACTGAATCTTGCAACTCGAGAAAAACTGAAAAGCTCCGCAAAAGCTTTAGTCAGAAAAAGGCTTTGTGAGGGTCCCCAGCAGAACTTTTCATCTCTTTTTATTTCATGTTTGCATCTTTTTCACATCCTTTAACAAACGAATGCTGGAATGCAACCAAAATCTTTGAGGGGATTTAAGAAAGATCCGCTTGGGACATGAAAAAGGAGCTCAAAAGCTTTTTCACATCATTTTAAGAGCTTTTAGAGAACCCTTTTTAACTTCTTCTCGGGATCCAAGGATCCTCAAAGGAACTTTTCCATTTTACCCATGAAACTCCACAAAAAAAAAATTAACGAAAAAATTCATAGAGTTATTGGATAAAATACTGGACGCCAAAAGCTGCTCAATTTCTTATTTTTCGAAAACTGAATTTTCAAATTTTTCGCATAGCTGCACAAAAAAGGGAAAAACTAATGTTGAGAAAACTGACTTCAAATTTATCATCGAATAATGAATGAGAGTCGCACGGAGGCTTAATTTCAGAAATGACGATTCAAAAACAAAAAAAAACAGATCGGACAACTTACAGAACTGCGGCATTTTCTCGAAAGTAGAAGCGGCGCTGATCGACGGCAGCTTATACTGGTCGATTGGACGAGGTCGCGGCGGCGTTCGGAATGGACAAAGAGTGCAGCACTGGGAGACGGCCAGCAGCGCCGGCAAAAGCGCCAGGCCTAGCCGCATTGTCCTCCTAAACTTACCCTTACAAGTTCAGAGTTGCATTTAATTGAATAGCTGATTCACGGCTAGTTTGAGCCATCTAAAAAAGGCCCTGACACGACTGAAAAAAAGAAGGAATAGTGCTTGGTTGGTTAAGACGCAGACAGACCACGCTTCTTATCGTCCCAAGCTAGCCCTGAATCGGCTATGCAGTAAAATTTGTTTAATACAGATTCATAAAAATTGGGCCAATACATTCGAAGCCTGGATTTTTCTGATATCAAAAACAAATTTTTTTTTGAAAAATATAGGGGCTCTTAACTTTGAAACGTTAGAAAAATTTTGCGGGAATATTTTTTTCTAATCGTTTGAAGAGAACAGAAAAAAAGACAGGACTTTTGATATAACGGATTCGACAAATTCTCACAAATAAATGACTGGCGTGGTAAATGCGGATATATATATATATAAGCGAATCACACCGATTTGGAGCGGTTTTTAAAGCATACTGTAGGCTAAAATTCTGCATAAACCGAACGTGGTTTTGGGCTACTTTTAAAGACGTCGGACACTAAGAATAACTGCCGAGATAAACGCGAGACACTGGCGGTACATTGACGAGCTCGCAAACATCTCGCTTTTTTTCTCGCGCCGGTCTCGCATTTTTCTGGGCGCCAGCTCGCACTTTTCTAGGCGCGAGCTCGCATTTCTCTCGCAATTTGAAAATTTCGGAAATGCAAGATAAATGCGAGATGGCGCCGAGAAAAATGCGAGGTCGCGCCGAGAGAAATGCGGGATCGCGCCTAGAAAAAAGCGACATTTTTGCGAGTTAGTCAATGTACCGCCACCGAGCTCGCGTTTATCTCGTCAGTTATTCTTAGTGGAGTGGTCCCTATGAGGAATCGGGTAAAAAACAGCCACTATTGCACACCCGTTCAGACCTACAGGGATCCGACCGTTTTGCACTGCGCCGTATCCGCTGGCCATATTAGACCATTTTCTATTTATTAAAAATGAAAGAAGGGGGGCTGAATTGAAATTTGGAGGTGAGTTTTTTCCAAGTAGGAATAGTTTCAAAGAAAAAATCATTGGAAAAATCAATCATCATAAAAAATAATCTCCTAGCATGTCCCCTTTAGGGGTCACTATTTGAAGCCTCTACAGAACCCAATTTTGCAAGCTTTAGCGGCATCTATAGAATGAGGTGAAGTGGTACCCAGAGTAAAACCTTCAAGGGCGCGGAGGGTTGACCCTATAGGGACCCTTCTGGAGTTCCTAAGCAGGCTTTGAAGAAAAACGGCAGGCATGCATCAGTTTAGAGAGCTCGGTAAATGTAGATTTTTTTTTTCATTTTTTTTGACAAAAACGAGCCAGCAAAAAACGAATTACCGATACACTGCCAAAAAAATCAGTTGAGAAAAGTGAATAAAAAATTTTGCCCGCCCTTGGCAGAATAGGCAGGTCTGTTGCGCTCCGCCGAGAAAAGTAACCTTTTCAAATTGAGAGTTACAGTTACTATACCATTCAAACTATCTCAATTTCGGTTTTGTATGGTTGAGAATTTATGGAAGAAATAATCGGAAACTTGTAACGCGAAATGGACGTGCTCCGGACGTTTCTCAGCACTATATAATTTTGATCGAAAGTGCTCGAAACAGCTTTAAATTTCCAACTAAAATTTTTTTGTGTTTTGTCGCATTATTTTTGAGATGTTCAAAAATTCGTGTGAGAAAAGTCCTGTGAATAGTTGAATAGTCCGATTGCCGAAAAAAAAATCGATTTTTGGTCACCAAATCTCTCACTCCCTGTTCGAAGGTCAACAATCTCCTCGTTCCTTTTCTCTTTTTTTTCCCCCTAGAACGCAAACCAGAAGAGTTAGACGAGAAAAATATCTGCCGTCAAGTGTTCTAAAATTTAAAAAAAATTAATTAGAATCTGGGGGACATGTAATTTATATAGAAGTTTGAAGATGTGAAAAAAAAGTGAGCATCCTCGAAGTAGCAAATATAACATTGAAAAAATTCACGTTTTTTCCCAGAAAAAAACTTCAAGTGTTCAAGATCAATTTCGACCCACTTTTTCCATCATAATCCATCGAAGGCATTAGGAGAAATAAAATTATTTGTGCCACGTTGAAAATAATTTCGCGAAAATCGGAATTGTTTGACATTTTCAAATTTCCTCCATTTTCGTCACTCTCTAATTGACATGTAATCGCCAAAATTAATTTAAACGCGGTATCAGAAAAAACAAATCCACAGTCGTGAAGAGAAGTTTCATTATCAGTTCTTATCGCAAAGATTGATCGATCGATGAGAAGGCGACAGAATAATTATAATTCCTATACACGCAAGTGAATTCACTTGTTTTACTCTTCAAAACGAGAGACAACAGAAAGCAAGGACTGGAAACGCTTCGAGAAAATCAATTCTCTGGCATTTACAGGGTCGTCCACCAACCATCAAAAAGACTGTTCGAGAGTAGTTCATGATAGATGAGCAGATAACGTATGATTGACACAATTCCATGTTCGTTACGTTTCATTTGAAGAACTAGGGCATATTACAGTATAGCCCCCCCGCATATGTTGGATATCACCCCCCGCGACACGTTCGAACAAGCCCCCCCACACTTATCCAATATAGCCCCCCGGAACTATCCAGTATAACCCCCCCACACCGAAAAAAAGCACGCAACGATCACGCAGGACACGTGTCAGAGCTTCCATTTTTAAATTTATTTTCTAATTTTTTCGTATCATTCGTCGTTCTTGGTTGTTTCAAATGGTTTTTGTATTTTCACATGTAAATTCGTGTTCTTTTTGTGAATTTAATATTTTTTGTCATTTGTTTTTTAGACCATGGAAGAAATTAGGTCGCTGACCGAGTTTCATGAGAAGTTCAAGTCAGACAAAGAAGTTTACGGGTACGTCTCGCCGAGATACGTACGAATATCATAAAAATTATGGGGCTCTGACCACTTAGAAAAAAATTTAAGATGAACTTTATTAGTTTTCAATAAAGTAATTGTTCTGAGGAATAGAATTTTTTTGCTTTTTTTCTTTTTCATGCACATTAATTAATAAATTACTTAGGAAAAATAGGCTTAGTTTTAAGGCTTCACACGGAGGCGGAGCGCGCATAGCGCGAAGCCGACTGTGGCTCGCTTCGAAAAAAACTGAGCCACAGTGAACAATTCGTCAAATAAATAAAATACTTGACATAGAGGGGGTCATTCTGAAATAGAGGGGGGCCATTCTGAAATGGGAGGGGGGCCATTCTGAAATGGAGGGGGCCATTCTGAAATGGGAGGGGGCTTGTTCGAATGAGCTCTGGGGGGACTATTTCAAAGCCGTGCGGGGGGCAAATATGAAAGATTGCCTAGGCATTTCAGAATCGCCCCCCGTTTTTGTACTGTGGGGGGCCATTCTAGAATACATATTCACCCCCCGCGTTCGATTCTTCCCCCCACATGAAGTCCTCCTATTTTACCCCCCACAGATCGGAACTTGGCTTGGTGGGGGGCTTGTTGGAACGCGGGGGGCAAAAACAGTGTGGGGGGCGATTCTGGAATTTTTCTTCATTTGAAGAACTATGTAGAAAGGTCTTAGCAAGTATTTATCGGGCGAAGAGCATGTAATTATACAATCCGGAATCATTGATGAGATAAATGTGCTGAAGTATCATAACTAATATTTTGATGTTGGAACTAAAAAGGACACAATTGCCGAGCATTGACACAACGAGACCACAAGCAAAATTGATGTAAAAGTATTTACAGAATTTATGATCATCGATTGAATTTCAAACTTCAACCAATTTACATATATTTCTAACCCGTGAAAAACTCGCAAGTTCTCATTACTCAACGCAATAGTGGAGCATGCAAAGAAGGGTAATTAAAAATGTTTCAAAACCGCCAAAAGATATCCCAAAAAGAGCATGACATTAAGAGCACAATCTCGCAAAGCCTCATTGAACAATTTGTATATATATATATATATATCATCATATATATATACATATACATATAAAAACATATAATACTGTACAACCCATCGACGAGGAGATTGTACCAACCCATCAACACCTGCAAAATTTCGTGCAAATAGTGTAATTGCAATGGAAAATAAGATAGAAAAAAAGGAAAGGAGAGTGGAAGGTTTCTCAGCACTATCTGTTTGCAACGCCTGGTATGGGCTAACTAAAAGTCGAGTATTAATCAAATTGACGTTAAAGGCAAAACCAACCACGAGATTCGACAATATAACAAAATTAGAACTCAAACAAAACAAAATAATAATTAGAACATGAGGAGCAATTGAGAAAAAAGTGCAGGCATTAAAAATATAATATATCATATACAGAAAAGAATAGACATGAGCGCTTGTTGAAAAAAACCAACTTGATAATGGCGTGTTAATTGGAGAAACGGAACATGCTTCGAAACGAAAAATCGTGTTCATTGGCGCGCCAAAGTTGCTTCAAAACAGTACTAATTTTTGTTTTGAAGCAATTTTTTCGTGTTTCGGAACAATTTTCGTTTTGTCCGATGAACACGCCATAATAAAAAACATCTAAGAAGGCTGAATAAAAGCGCTACAAAGCATTTTTATGGTTGTCGACTACAAAATTATCATTTGTGCCCCATTAGCTCCTTTTCCAGATCTTCCAAAGCCATAGGACGAATCGTAGGAGGAAGACGATGATCTCCTACAGCCGATCCTAGAAAGATATTGATCACAAAAGTCTGGCTAACTGTATTCACCTGTGAATTGAGAAGCCTGAACTCCAGCAGCAGCAAGAAGTTTTTCCAATGGAGTCTGTATAGGACCGACCTACATTACTCGAAAATAATCGAAGGAAACATTTTAAAAAATACCTGAGAGAGTTCCGAAGGAATCACCGTTTGATGAGGATTGTTGCTATGATGAAATGCACCTACCGAAGCATTCCGTTCGGCACCAGGAGCGAGAGCGACGCCCTGTCCTTGCTGAAAAAAAGAAACTTAAACAAAAGTCCAAAGTCGTATATTAACCTGGTTTTGTTGAAACAGTTTAGCCATCATCGCATGAGGGTGCTGTTTTCCCATTAGTACACGCAAATGATGAGCCTGAATAAATTCTTTTTTTTCCTATATACCAATGGAAACCTGAGCCGCTGCTGCAGCCGCCTGCTGTTGAGCAAGTAGTAGTTGGACGTTTGGTGGTAGGTTGGAAGTGTTCTGAACCGGCGGACGCCAAGCAGCTAGTCCCAGTCCGCCTATAAAAAGTTTCCTATTTAAATTCCATTTTTTTTTTTCGTGAGTTTGCAGAAGACAACCTTGCATTGCGTTTACCATGGCGCTGTAGTTGTTTTGCATTTGAAGCTTTTTCAGAAGAGCAGCTTCCGGTGATTCTGTGAATAAAATTAAGTACTGTGAAACCTACAAAAACGAAAAAATAGGCGAGTCGCTGAAATTTGAAACCTTCGTAAGCATTTTTGCTTCTATTTTTTTCTTTAATGTTTTTAATGGCGTAGGCAAATTGGGTTTTTAAGACGAAAAAAAAATTTCCGCTGTGCCGCTGCGCGGGTTTGCGAACCTTGATCGCGCTTTTAATATTTTTTTTTCTTTCATTAAGGCACTCTACTTTAATGTGCTCTCACAGCAATAACAATCAATTGAAAGCGTGACCTAGATTCGAAAGATGCATCGCGAACACACGCAGCGGAACAGCGGAATGTCGTTCGGTGAAATTTCAAGTCGTGGCACACAGATTATACGAGGATTCAAATCTTCGCTCCCAAATCTATGCAAAATCTGGTACAAATTGAAATAGCTAAAAGTTCAATTTAATCAATGCTTTCGTCCTACTGTTAAACATTGGATACCTGTGTCGTTTTCTGATGGACTCTCCCGATTCGATCCTTTTTTGTTCTCTTCACTAGTAGACGCCACAGAAGCTGCGGGAACATTTTTGCTCAACTGGCGCTGCACAGATGCTGGGATCATCGAAGTTGCCGACCGCGTCTATATATTTCGAAATAAAATCATGTTCTCTCGTTTCCATCAAAACCTTGTTTTGCTGATTCTGCTGATGCTGATGTTGCTGTTGAGCTTGAAAATTCGCGAAAGCAAACGTTTGCTGCTGAAGAAAATATCGGTTTCTAGCAGCGGCAAGACGAAGCTGATCGTCTAGAGATTTGACTTTGAAAAAGAGTCTATATAAGTTGATAAACGTAGTTGCTGGGGGATAGGTTGTCCATTATTAGCCATTGTTGCCGCAGCAACAGCTTGTTGAAGTTGACTTTCTATATGAGCATTGATGAGCTGAGGGTTCGAAGCAAAACCTTGAAGAATGAAAATGAAAGTGAAAACACTGATGAAACGCACGAGCAAGTATCATTGGATCAGGAACTATTGGGATTTGTGGAGTCAATCCTGCTGGCGCTTGTGGAACAGGTACAAAAGCATGGGTTTGAGAGCTGTTCGCATTGTTTGTCGGTTGAACAGAAGCTTCGTTGGGTATCTGGTGATGGCCAGGACCGCCATCCTCCTGAAAAAATTTTTTCTCACGTCTGTGAGTAGAAAATCGGCGCCTTAACTCGAACTTAGCTGCTTGAGAGCAGAATAAAAAACTGATAGTAATTGTGTTGACAAAGCTAATCATCAAATTAGTTTTCACCTGTTGCTTCGCCAGACGACGTAGATGGTTGAGCAATTGAGCATGTTGCATAGGATCTTGTAACGGGTTGCCTTTACCGGTCTGGCGGTTCTAAGAGCTAAAATATTAGAAAAAAGAGTCTGAAATACCGTGTTCGCAGGAACGTCAGTTTTATTGTTCACATTTGCCGTGAAACCACGTTCGATATCTTCCAGTTTGATCCCAGCCTTCATATTCGCAAATTGAGCGCTAATATTACCATTCGCAACGCTATTCTGAAAAGATTGCTATCATGCAAATCGAACAACGATAAATATAATTACAGATGGAGTCTGTGTTCCAGAGGATGGAGTCTGGCCAAAAATCTTGGCCAAAACTGGATTCGGCACAACTTCATCTGCGTTTCCTTTCACGATGTTTGAAGCGGCTGGTATATTCAGCTGAGAAGAAGTACGGAAAAATCTACTCAAACGACTTCCACCAACGGGAGCCTCATTTTCCAGTTGATCTTCTTTCTGAACACACTAATATTCGGTGATTCCTAGTCAAAAATAACAAACAAAACCTTCGCATTTTCATTAGGTATATCTAAAATTCCCAAAAGAGCAGCAAATTCTTGATCAGTTGATGGCAAGGCAGTACCAGCTGATGGAAAAGCAATTTCAGCCGAAGTTATCGCCGTATCTTCAATATTTTCCACATTTCCTAGAAATTTTGTTCAAATTTTCGCAGAAGAAAAATGCCAACCTTTATTATTCGTTAGACCAGCCGATGAAGGTCTAGAATGATTCGCAGACGAGGCGCTTCTTTGTTCTTTCTTACTTTCAGCAGTCTTTGAGTTCTTTTTCTTGGCTTCTGAAATACTAACACGATTAAAAAAAACCTATCTCAGTTTTCAACTTTTTGGCTCGTCGAATCCACGAAGTTCAATCATATCGTCCATCGTTGTTGGACCATCTGCCCATTCAGGAAGTTTCTCAGAACCGCCGATGCTACCTGCTCTTTCATCTCTGAGAAGAAAAAATAATGATGAAAACTTTACAGCTTACCTTTTATTGAAGCTAAATTTGGCTGTCGTGGCAGTGCTTCGTGAGTCCTTATCTCCGCGTCTCCACTCGTTTCTGTTCGGACGTTCTTGGTTGTTCGATTTCTGCTTTAAAAAAATATATATATAACCAATTGAGTGAATAAACTAACAAATGGCAGCTTGAAATCGCCAGTTTTCAAGTTCGTAAACTTGTCGGCTCCACCAGTACTGCCGTTGCGCCAATTTTTTCCGACTCCACCAAGACGATCTACATTTGTTTTTTCACGAGCACCATCTGCAAGAAAAAAAAAATTACTTATGCAGTCCTAATTTTTGATGAAACGAATATTTGAAAACGAATAACCGATTCTTAACACTAGGGCAGTTCCATTGAAAATAAAAAGAAAAAACTTCTCTCGCAAAAAAAGTCACTACCTGAAAATACTGAATTCTATTACCGCTATATTAGAAAAAAAAGAAAGTAAAAATCACCTTCTTTGTTTTTCTCTGCATCAGAAGGTGCCCGACAGCCGCTTGAAAATCCTCTGCGTTGTGGTGAAAGCCCCATGTTTTCATCGATTGCGCCGGTGCATAAAGCTTCTTGTATTTTTTTCGAAGGAAGCCGATTTTTAATGCCTTCAACCTCCCAGCGATATTCAAGCCATTTGTACGGGGAGAACTTTCCATCTTCCCTTAAAAAATACCATAAGATCCAACGACAGTGAACATCATAAGGAAAAACTTAAAAATTCAATCATTCTCACCCATCGAAATCAACCGAAAGATAATCAGGACGCGTCATGCTAAGTTGAGTTACTCGAAGGCGCATCATTTCGTCTCTATCGTATTTCATTCCGCAATCCGTAGATGACTTCTGACCGAGAATCGTAGATACCATAGGATGAAGGACGCCACCTCCGTCAACCTCGCTAGCCATATGTACACTGAAAATTGCACTGTTAGAAAAGCAACTCACTTGAGCAACAAAAACAAAATAATAACTGCAAAGATTGATCAGAGATGTTTTTCAAATCATGACTAAAGACTTCAAATTCAATTTCAAGAATCTATGACGAGCGATTCACAATAAACATAATACATTATACAGAACATGAACAATTTAACGACGGTACATTTTATCTGAATTTTGAGAAAAATTGATCGAAGAGTCACATGAGAGTAATTGAAAGTTTGAAATGAACTTTGGGCTTCATTTTTTTATCACATTCAGAAATTACTTCGAGCGGGCGACCACCAAATTACATACGATCGAATTCAGAGCCTTCGCGCACTTTGGGCAGCTCTCCCACGCGTACGGATTACGGTATATGCCGTCGTGGGGCGTGAAAAGGTGTGCGGGTACACTAGCGCTCCCCAGTGGTTCACTACGATTTTGGGACTCAAATTCTTTTTTTAATTCTTTTTTTAAATTAAATAATAAGTTTTTCTTTTTTTGTTGTTTACGCCGCGTTCATAGTAAATTTGGAGATCTCAAAATGATCTCCAAAATTTTCTTTATATTTATCACTCTCTGCCGACCGTTTCGAGTTCGCCGAAATTAATTCAAGAAGCAATAATTTAAAAAAATTTCTCAGCTTTCTCTATTTCTTTTGGTGTGGATGCTAAATAAAAGATGTGCCTTCACTTTCAACGAAACTTCTTCGAATTAAAATTCATTTTTCGTAAATTCCGTTTTCAAAGTAATTCGCGAAAAATGATCTCTGACTCTCCAAAATTTAGTTATATTTTTCTTTCTCTGACTGCTATTTTGCATTTCGCGAAATTACTTTGAACACGGCATAAATATGGTCTGTTCAGATTTTTAATTTCAAGCAGCTAACTCCACCCCCAAGGCTACAATATCTTTCGCGTCAATTTTTTATCACACAGATGACGACGGCCCTTTAATAAGGCTGCATTTTTTACTTCTTTTCTATATTTTAGATCAAAAAAGATCAAAATTAGTCTCGCGCGATAAAACATCGACGCGAAAAGGTACCGTCTCAGCAGGGGCGGAGTTAGCTGGTTGGCATTCAAAATCTGAACAGACTACAAAAGCTCTTTTTAAGGATCGTAAAGCATCTTTCCATCGAATCACTGCTTTTTTTTTTGTCTACGGCTTCGAAACATACATGGAATGAGCATGACTGGCGACAACACTAAGAATAACTGCTGAGATGAACGCGAGACGCTGGCGGTACATTGACGAACCCCCCAAACATCTCGCTTTTTTTCTAGCATTTTTCTGGGCGCGAGCTCGCATTTATCTCGCAATTTGAAAATTTTCTGAAATGCAAGATAAATGCGAGGTCGCGCCGACAAAAATGCGAGATCGCGCCTAGAAAAAGCGACGGTGGTATGAAAAAAAGACCAGCGAAAATTCAAATGGCGACTTTTCCGATTTTTTCATATTGCTAGGGAACTTTCCGACGGCCACCTTTCCGACGAATCCCTTTCCGACTTTTTTTTCCCGATAAAATATTCGTTTTAAATTTCCTATATAAAGTAGGTAGTTGGTTCATGATTAAAAACACAAAAAAATAGGGAAAAAGTAAATAGATGTCTTATAAACCGAAAAATATAAGGGAAAAAAGTCGAAAAAAATTTCGTCGGAAAGTTCCCTAGCGATATGAAAAAATCGGAAAAGTCGCCGTTTCAATTTTCGCTGGTCTTTTTTTCATACCACCAAAGCGACATGTTTGCGAGTTCTTCAATGTACCGCCACCGACCTCGCGTTTATCTCGTCAGTTATTCTTAATTCAAGTCCTCGATATACTCCGTTAAGATTTTGAATTTCAAGTAGAATGACGTCTCGAAGAAAGTTTAATAGTAAATCAGTTTTTATCAAAACAATTATTAAAAGAATATATCTAATCCCGAAAAGAATATATCTAATCCCCAAGAATGAAAGCTCTCTGAGGATGACTCGCTCTCTGATTGGTTTATCGCGCCATTAGTGGGCGGAGCTTGAGCGAGGACTTGACATTTAAAATCTGAACAGACTATACTTCGAGGCTGGCGCGTACTAAGCCTTTCTGAAGTCTATTCACCCACTAGTTGACGTTGAAGGGGCAAACTAGACTAATTCGATGGCGCTGAATCCAAAAATGGAAAGCGTTTTTTTTAACCGATCAAGTTTAACTAAGAAAAAAAAAACCGCTTGAGCGTACGCCCAGAAAATTTTTTTTTTACGATTTTTGCCACCCCCCCGCCCCCTTTCCACTTTTTTCTCATTTTATTGTCAAGTCCCCTCCCCTTTTTCAGGTCCGACAGAGACTATCCCATGTATGCTTCAAAAGATGAAGAATTTTTCATGTTTAGAGTGGTGAATATTGGAATATTGTGGTTTTTGTTATCCATGGAGAAAAAAAAAGCAAAACGGAAGTGTAAAGTACTCTGATTTTTCTTCTTTTTTTTTAGAATAGGTCAACAGACAAACAGCCATTTTCAACGCTTTTTCAGCGCATGCCCGCCTACTTGTTCAAAGCTTCCAGTTGCGCAGGCTAGGCGACTTGGTCCGGGCTTAATTTTGTGAGATGAGCAAAAGTTCTTGTCATTAATGTCAACAGCGCGGTTTAATCCAGGCGGTAAGCTTGCGCCGGAAAATTTTCAACAGGGCTGAACTGGCGCACTTGACTTCTGTAATTTCATACTTCAAAACAATTGTTTTTAAACGGGCTGTAAGCTTGCTCTCTCAGAATGATAGAAATTTTTAATTAATTTCTCTCTTGCTATTTGTCAATTTTTTTTTTCCATTTTCAGTGAAGTTTACGAGTTGAATTTTTTCTTTCCGTGTTCGAGACATAACAGAAGCTGTGTCAGCTTGATATCTTGTATCTTTTATTCCATGTTCAGAATGATATCCGCAATATTATTAAGTTATCTCTGATTATCCAAAATCTAGTATTTTTTACACCCGGATGGTTTTTTTTTTAAACTGTTAAAACTGTTAATTGCATCTTTAATGTAAGAATACATGTGCAATCGACTTTCATTGGTTTTAACTGTGTTTAAACGGCGGCAGGAGCTGTGGCTTAGGCAGAGAAGTTGTGAATTTCGCTCGTAGGACATCAGGTGCGGACGTTAGAAATGAGTTATGCCAGCTGAGCTATGCCGCCCCTTTTAAAACTATTTCTACGTAATTTTGTCGTTTTCCTCATTGTTTGTTCTATATTCAAAGTATTCCGCGTTATCCAAAAAATCCGCCAGAGAAAACAAAGACAACTGACAAGATTTGGAATCAGAAAATTTAGCATTTCGCGCGATTTACTTTGAACAAGCCATTCGATCGAGAGCTAAAGTTCTCTTCTAATCTTTTTGATTGATAATTTATCTGATTCATAATTTTATCTTTTAGCTTGGTATCCGCTAATAATGGCGGTCGGAAAGAATAACAACAAAATGGGCAAAAAGGGAGGCAAGAAGAAGGCAGTAGACCCTTTCTCGCGAAAAAGAGTGGTATGACATCAAGGCTCCTAAGATGTTCTCGACGCGTCAGGTACTTTTTTTCTTTCATTCATTTAATGAATTTATTTGCTTAGTTTGATTCTATCCAGATTTTTTTGAGATGAAATTTGAATTAAAAAAAGTAATCGTTTTCAGGTCGGCAAAACTTTGATCAACAGGACTCAAGGAACCAAGATTGCTTCGGAAGGCCTGAAAGGGCGTGTTTTCGAAGTCTCCCTTGGAGACTTGAACGACATTGAAGCTGATTTCCGCAAGTTCAAGCTTGTGTGCGAAGACGTCCAAGGAAAAAATGTTCTTACGAACTTCCACGCTATGTCGATGACACACGACAAGCTGTGCTCTATCGTCAAAAAATGGCATGTACGTATCATTTAATCAAGAAATAATAAGGCAAAGTTGTAAAAAAAAAAAGAAGATGATCCGTAGAAGCTTTTGATAGGTACTGTTGAAATCTATCCACCGTGATTCCCAATATCCTACTTGAAGCGTGTGCCGCCTCATCAACTGAAAGGACAATTCAAAAAATAAAATAACCATTTTTGCGGCTTTTCCGTGATTATGCATTTGACAATCATAGTAAAACAAAAGAAAAAAAATGCTGTCTACCTCCGGAGACTCCGCAGGCCTGGCTAATTTTTCAACTGGTTTCTTTTATCAAGAAAACATTCAACGAAAAACCTAAGAATAACGAAAAATAAACGAAATGAAAAAAATTCCATATATTGTTTAACTATCAGTTAGACGTTAATTAAAGGCAAGGGGGGTGCATCATATCCAATAAAAATGGGCGACAGAGGTTTGCTGGAGTGCTGCGAGATCGCTTCGATCTAGCGTCAATGTTGTCGCTATATAGTCAATTTTTCCCGACTTGAAAGGCGTGGCGAGGGGCGGGACGCGTAACGAGTGCGTGCGCGGTTCTTGGCGCCAGTTCAATTCAATCGCCGCCGACAAATTAAAAAGCTCGACAATCGCTCTTTTTCTGTTTTTTTTTTCTACTATTTTTGATGCACACTTGAACATAATCAATAAATAATTAAAAAGGAGTTAAAAGAACGATAAATAAAGCTCTCTGAATGCTCGCTGGCGGTTCACAGCGTTCTAAAACGGGGTTCACGCAAAAAGAGGCGCACACTATTCTCAATGGAGCGCGCAACTTGGAGCGTTGTCAATCAAAATCAAGGTGCTTTTTTTTACTTTAATTTACATGCTATTAACTTTTTTCGATTGTTTTTTGAAGTCTTTTTTTTGTTTCTATGCACGTAAATTTTCAATTAATGTTTTTAAACGTATTAGAAAGTTTTTAAAGTGTCCATAGTTCGTTAATGTGTCGAAACGTTGTTTATAAAAGAAAATACTGTATCCAAGAGACAAAATCGAAATTCCAACTCCAAGAATCGATCAAAATATCAGTTTCCAACTAATAACCAAGAGAAAAAAAGCTGTTAGTGTCCGCGCAAAAGAGAAGAATTTCGACTTGACGAAAAATTCAAAAAAAGGTGTAATTGGTCTGTACCTAAGAGGCAAAACCGAAAATCGAAATTTCAGCTCCAGGAATCGATCACATTATCAGTTTTCAATTACTTAAACAGGAAAAAAAAGAATACTAAATCAAACCTGAGTTAAAAATTTCGACTTTCGTGAACAGAACAATTATGTAGTCCTTTGAACCAATCAAACCACAAGAAAATAAACTGCGAAATTTTAAGAGAGTTATAGGAAATGACTATAAATGTCAGGAAAAAAAATGCTAGTCTTCAAATAATCAAAAAATCCGGACTCTTAATTACGACGCGAAAAAGACGATTGTTAGCCACGCCCACTCATGCAACGTCCGCATGCTTTTCAGAAAAGGGGCAGGAACCCCGCTTTAGAACGCTGTGGGTTGTATTGAACACGTGCCAAGAGCCGCGTACGCACACGCTACGCGTCCCGCCCCTTGCCCCGCCTCCCTCCCCTTTCAAGTCGGGAAACATTGACTATACCGTGGTTTATCTTGAAGCTCGTTTATCCCTCTTTTCTTCTATATTTTTATTTTTTTTTCATTTTTTTCATCTGTGCAGTAGCAGAATAGATACAAAAAGAGCGGTGACCAAGTTTTTTAGAGAGCAGGTTAAACTTGGAGAGACCAGACTTGTACCCTCAAAACTGAGGCATGCCCGCTGGCCTGCCGTTTCCTTTTTTAGATGCGCGCTGGCATGCAGATCAACGTTTGACATTTCATTCCAAATGTTCTCTCATTTATAATGCCGTGTTCAATTTAATTCCGTGAAATGCAAAATACCCTTTAGAGAAAGGAAAAGATCACTAAATTTTGGAGAGTCAGAGATCATTTTGCATTTCGCGGGATCATATTGAAAACGGCATATAGTCTGTTCAGATTTTTAATGTCAACCAGCTAACTCCGTTCCCGCTGAGAAGGTACCTTTTCGCGTCGATGTTTTATCGCGCGGGACTAATTTTGATCTTTTTGATCTAAAATATACTCTGACCCTAGTCGCCAGCTTTCCGCCAATCTTTCGCCAGCGCGCGCCCCGTCTTTCGCGAGCTGGCGAAAAACGCGCCAGAAAGTCGCCAGGGTTATCTATAGCGCGCAGATTCCCCCTTTTTTTCAATCATTTCCCTTCCTCCAATATTGTTATTTTTTTATATACTAAAAAAATATTTTATCAACTTTTATTATTTTCACAAATACAAAATTTAATGGAAATAAAAATCAACATATAAAAATCAAACATGAAGAGAACTTGAAAAAAATGAGATATAAGAAGGAAACGCTTGCAAAGTTTACAACTTAATTTAAAAACAATATCTTTCGATTCGAAAAAAGATCATAATAACAGAAAATCAAAAAAATTTTACCAAACAATACATCATAGAAAAAAATGTAAGCCAAAAAAATCCGAAGAAATAGAGGAAACTTGAAGTTGACTGCTCGTAAACGCAAAAAATTTTTAAATTTGAAATTTTCCATAATATGCGAAGAGTTATTTTTTGCTTCAAAATACCAAAAAGAAGAGAAAAATTTTAAAGCTCCAACGCATTTAAGAAGTGATATCGACGAGCAGTCAATTTATATCGGAGACAAAGTTAAAAATCCCTTCAAAAACTTTTTTAATGGATACATTAAGCTGTTTAACAAATCCTCTCAAGTTATTTTCGCACATACTTCGATTAAAAGGTTGAAATTCAGAGGATAAAAGAGCAATACTAGAGTCTCTGATGTAAAAAAAAGTTTGAGGAAGTTTTATAATCAAAGGCCGTAAAGTGGTAAAGGCTCTATTAATAATAAATGGCTTAAGTTTTAAAATTAGTTTATAGAGAATTAAATAGAAGACTCTTATACAAAGTTTTTTGAAAAGAGAAAATTTTTTACTCGTGAAGAAAACTTTGAGCCATTTATCACTTTACTTCAAATGGCCACAAAATAAAGAAAAATAGTGCGAAGAGATTCTGATTGTTCACAATTATGATCAAGGCATTACATTTTTGTTGTGCAGTGATACAACACGGTTCTTCAAATTTATCAGCCCCTTTTCAAAGAAAACTACGAAACTTATTTTCAAGTCCGAAAAAAACTGCTTCGAAAACTCTACTCGTCAGCCGAATTTCGCGAGCATGACAATTCCGAGTAATATTTTTGAGGCTCATAAAGTTGATGAACGTGTAAAGTTTACAAATATAAAAAAAACTTGAAAATTTCGCGGACATTTTGCGTCGTACCCGGTCTCCGTATTTTGGTCAAAGCATCGTTATCCATTTGCAATGAACATCATGACGCCGTCGGGTGAGATCGAAAATATATCGATGAAGTACTTTACATGAAATCCAAAACTTACCAAAGTCAGAGGAAAAAAAACATCCTTCAGCCGTAACGGGGACTTCCTGACGATGCTTTTTTTCTGAAGGAAGCAGTTGAGGAAAAAAGTAGAAAGCACTTACTAATTCAATTGGAGTCGTTCTTCCAGCCTCACGGAAAGAGAAGTTCAGCATGAAAACATTAAGCTTTTAGAGCGGTTGATCATCCACGAAACTGAATCAAGAAAATAATTCGAATTTTCTTATTTACCAACCTTTCAAGCTGTTGTTTTTTAAACCTGAAACCCTCCGTCGCATCACATTTACTAAGCTCTACACAACTAAAACAAAGGTTTATATTCTAATAATTTTCTGACTTTTTAAACTTCTTTTCAACTAAAGTCTGTTCTTTTGTCTCGTTTGAAGGAGGATACGTGCCTTTGCTGCAAAACTCCAGATGTAAAAACTATCTTATAAATTTAATTTTCCTGCAAAAAATCGCGTTTCTTTCTTTGAACGACCTACGCAACCTACAGTGTTCTACTTCTATACACAGCTTTTTTTTGAATTTTTTTACAGAAAAAAATGAAATCAAGAAAAAAATTGTTTGTTACATCAAAACTGCATTGCGGCATCGCTTCTGCGCTAGTTTGGACAAAACAGGAAACGAACACTGAAAAAAATCGTGAAAGCAGCAAAAAAATCAAATAGAAAAAAACAAAAAGACAAAAAAACGCGAGTCCCAAAAATTTTTAGATCGAAATATAAAATACAGTAATAAAAAAGCAAATTCGCGCTATTGGTTATGTCGCCAGAGAATCGCCAGGAAACCGCCACAAATTTGATGGGCGCGAGCTGGCGAAATGACTTTTTCTGGCGGATAGCTGGCGCCTGGGGTC